AGATCTAGTCGAATTAAGATATAAGATAGCTACCGTAGCCGTCAAGAATTAAGAGTCGATATTTCCCTTTTATACGTATCGTCGTCGCTAGAATGAATAGCTTCTGTAGCTACCGAAGGCTAATTTTATCGGTAGTCTAGCCGTTTAGCGAGACCTCGATACGCTAATCTTTTAGAAGATAAAGCTTCTCGTCGAACCACGACGCTATAAAGTTTTTACCTTTAAATATTACGTACGGTAGTAGCGAGTAGCTATCAGCGCTTACTGCTTCGACCGTAGTAACCTATTTACGATTACCTAGTTATAAAATCGATCGCCGACTATAATATTCCGCCCTTATAATAACCTTTTATATAGCTATAATCCCTATAGCGAAGCCGGTCTCGTTAAAGTTATAGATATCCTCCGGTTAGATACCGTATGCGTCGACGATATCTTAGACGGTCGTAAACTAAGCTTATAGTAATTTTAGGTCTTCGTTTTAGGTGCGTTAGTAATCGTAGTGTCTAGAGAAGGCCGAACGAAGCTTAGGGCGTCTTTAGACGAAGGTTAATGACTAGTTCTTACCTACCGTAGGCGGAGGGTCTTTATTACGTATAGCTAATAGAATATTAGCTATTTTATGTATAGTAGAGGGCCTAGGCGCTATACTACGTATATCTATAGAGATTATCTACTTAGTAAGCGAATCCTCTTCGTATTAGGTTAATTTATGACTAGATAGGCGTATATCGACGTGTAGGAGCCGGCTAGTAGTGTAGTATTATAGTATAGTACGAGGTATTACGTATAGCTTCGCTACTATACGTATAGACTCGATACGACTATTTTTAATATTATTAAGGGCTAATAAGATCTTGCCCTCTTGATTAGTCGATTTCTGTACGGATTCAGAGCGAATTAGTAGTATAGTAGGTGGTTAAATTAGGTAGGTAGTTTAGAAGATACGTTTTTTAATAGGCCGACCGAGCTACCCTATTAAAAAACGTATCTTCTAACCTACCTACCTAATTTAACTACCTACTATACTACTAATTCGCTCTAGATCTACTTAGAAATTAGCTAATTAAGAGGGTAAGATCTTATTAGCCCTTAACGATATCAAAAATAGTTATATCGAGTCTATACGTATAGTAGCGAAGCTATACGTAATACCTCGCACTATACTATAATACCGTACTATCAGCCGCCTCCTATACGTCGATATACGCCTATCTAGTTATAAATTAACCTAATACGAAGAGGATTCGCTTACTAAGTAGATAATCTCTATAGATATATATAGTGTAGCGCCTAGGCCCTCTATAGTACGAGAAATAGCTAATATTCTACTAGCTATATATAGTAAAGACCCTCTAGCTACTATAGGTAAAAATTAGCTATTAAGCTTCGTATAATAACGCCCTAAGCTTCGTTTAGTATTCTCTAGACGCTATGATTACTAAAAAGCCTAAAACGAAGACCCTACCTTACTATAAGCCTAGTTTACGACCGTATAAGATATTATCGACATAAATAGTATCTAACTAGAGGATATCTATAACTTTAATAAGACCGGCTTCGCTATAGGGATTATAGCTATACAGAAGATCGTTATAAGGGCGGAATATTATAGTCGGCGATCGATTTTATAACCGGGTAATTATAAATAGGTTATAGCGGTCGAAGCAGTTAGCGCTAATAGCTACTCGCTACTACTATACGTAATATTTAAAAGTAAAAACTTTATAGCGTTATAGTTCGACGAGAAGCTTCTAAAAGATTAGCGTATCGAGGTCTCGCTAAACGGCTAGACTATCGATAAAATTAGCCTTCGGTAGCTACAGAAGCTATTTATTCCAGCGACGACGATACGTACGAAGGGGAAATATCGACTCTTAATTCTTAACGGCCACGGTAGCTATCTTATACCTTAATTCGACCAGATCTACATAGAAAATTATATTATACTACTTTATATACCTCTACACTCTTCGCATCTTTTACAACCGCTTAATATTAGGTATTTTACTATATTAAAACGTACATACAGTCGCTACGTAAGCGATCTTACTCGTACGTCGTATAACTATATCGACAAGTTCGATTTCCTCGCAGAGTACGCCCGGGTACGCACGGAGGCCTTTCAACCTTATATTATTCAAAATAGCTTCGCTGCTACCGGTCTTATTCCAGTCGACGCAGATCGAGTGCTTTCGAAGCTCAATATCTTACTCCGAACGCCATCGTCACTAAATAGCAGACTAACCACTAGCTGCAGCCAATTTAGCCCAAAAACACCCAGGACGGTCGTGCAATTGCAAAAATCAGCTTCGATATTAAAGGATCTATTAAGATATCGGTCAAATAGCCCTCCGAGCCCATCAAAAACCGTGCTAGATCAGATTATCAAAGGCGCTTACATATCGCTTCACGGGGCCGCGCTATTAGCGCAGGAAAACAGCGATCTACACACAGCGAATTAGAAAATACGCCAAAAACGCACACGATCTAAACAACAGATAGTGCACGAAGGAGGCCTCACGGTCAAAGAGGGCCTACAGCTAGTTCAGCAGCTGAATCAGCCAATTGAAGACACTCTAGTAGTAGTGCAGCCGTAGGGCGATGAGGCTATTCAACTAGCTCAGCCAATCAGAAAAGCTCCACCGAAGTGTAGTGGGTGTGGGCAGGTCGGACATAAGGTTAATTATTGTAAAAACCGCTAGATATAGCTAAATTGATACGTTTTGGTTAAGATATTAAGATTCAAAATTTCCTAATGGGGTAGGGTGGCTCGGTCGGCCGGGTGGCTCGGTCGGGCGGGAATTACGTTACTGGTTACATAATAAAATGTTGTGCCCCGAACAGAAATTCTGTTGTGTCCCGATCAATTCCCCCGAGCCGCTCACCCCACCGAAAAACACGAATCTACGCGTACCTACCTTATTCAACTACCCACCATGCCACCAGAACGTATGCAAAAATCGCGAAACTCTATCAAGCAGGGGGGCAAGATCTTATTAGCCCTCGAGGCTATTAAAAACGGCCAATTTCCATCGATACGTGCGGCTGCAACAGTATACGGCACCCCCCCCCTTAACGCTTAGGGATCGCGCCAACGGGGTAACTCCACGCGTCGATAAACGCCTAAATGGCCATAAATTGACCCAATTAGAAGAGGATTCGCTTGTTGAATGGATTCTCTCTATATGTTCGCGTGGTGCAGCGCCTAGGCCTGCTACCGTACCAGAAATGGCCAATATTCTACTTGCTGCGCGCGGAATAACCCCTCCGCCTACTATTAGTGTTAACTGGTTATCAAGTTTTATTAAACACGCTAAGAGGGCAACTAGCGGCAACTGCATAAAAGGCAAGGACATGGTGCTCAGGCGGGGTATCGCGAAATCTTTCCCTTGATCGAATTATAGAAAAGCACATTTTAGGTAGGGCAGATCCCCTCTGGGTGAATATTCAGGTGGGTGAACTACCGCCTGAAGCCGCCTGAAGCCCGGGTGCGTAAAGCGGCGAGCCGCCCACGAGAAAACACTGGGCGCTAGGTAAACATCGCCATAGTAATGCTGTTGTATGTTTTGTTCCATCGTTTTTGATGGAGGAAGTGTGCCCTTAGGTCTTTTCAAGATTGTTGGATACCCACTGCCCTGGTCATCAAGGGACTTATAGTATGAGTTTCATCTAGTATCGCGACCACCGCGTCCACGTCCACGTCCATGACTGCGACGAGCAGAGCCTCGACTATAGCCATTTACACGACTACGACCCCGATAAGGACCTCGACGCGAGTTTTCGTCGTTAGGGTGCTAGTTATCACCGCCGGGACGGTGGTATAGGTAATAACTGTGGGATTGGTCGTGGGTTGGAGCTTCGTAGCTGTTTATATAGTCTGATTGAGGGTATAGAATATCCTTATCTCGCTTCCCCTAGTAGCGCCTCTTGTGGCTTTTATTTATAAACTAGCTTTCCTATTCGCCCTTATACGAGTTGTCTTCACGCATAAGATAACTTTCTCTCTGACGATAGTATTAAATATCATTGCTATTCCAGCTAGAACAGGCTGCCAGTTTTATATCGTACCTACATCGGCTAGATGTGAACCTCTGGAAAGGTAATCTACTTCGTCTTGACGCCGGATATCCTCCCCTTTGTTTTAATAACCATAAGCGGACTTGAGGGACGAATAACTTATCTAAGGCGCATGATTCATTCGTAGTAATGAGTCGAAGCGCTTCCTCTATTTACGGCGTCCATCGTAAAGTATCTTGACGCCCAAGATAGGACAAGATATTGAGAAAGTCAAATGTTAGTAACGCTGAGCCCCAAGCACAAGACTCCTGTCGAGTCGAAAAGAAACAGGAAAAGGCGAAAACAGAAAAGCACAAAAAAGGAGACTAGCGTAGTTCGACCCCAGACTACGAGAAAAAACAAATTGGGTTGGGAACGATTTGTTTTTGCTAATCGTGTCACTCGTTTCCCATTCCCAAGTAGCCCACTGACCCGTAGGACACCTAGTTCCTTCTATCTATTACTTATTACCCACGTGAGGGGAAAAAAAGGAAGGCACCCGCCAGGAGACCGCAGAAATACTAGACCCGATATGTTGCGTCATGACGGCGCGCATTCTGTGGATATCGTTAGTATAGCCTTATAGCGAGAGAAGAAGTAGCATGGAAAATCCACCAGTGAAGAAGAGCGAAACCGATTTATTTGATCACTTATCTGCGTGCTGACACCTCGCTAAATCTTTCCCTGCTGAAATCCACAAATATGAACTTTTGTTTAGGTGAAGGGCTAAAGGGGCGTCCGTTCGGGCGGTGTTACGACTCGCACCTAGACCCGCTGGCCTAATAGGGATGCGGCCGAATTGGAGATAGTGTGCTAAGTTGGATAATAGAAAGGAAAATTGGCTAAATATATTTGCTCCTGTTTGCATAATTTTCCCCTTGTCTGAAGTCCCGATACCCCTACTGTTACAGCACTCTTAGTGAGTGTAAACTGCATATTCACTATTCGTTCTCATCATCCTCCCAGGTAGCTGACTGTATGAATGGCTCCTCTACCAACTTCACACCCGCCCTTTCAATCTCTGCGGATACTGTGACAAAATGCTCCTTGTAAGAGTCGGTCGCCTCCATAGGCAATGTCAGGTGGATCTCTTGAAGAGCTGGTAGCTGAGACTTCTTGGCGAAAAAGTCATGAAACATGACCTCGAGTGCCTTTGCCTCATCGCTTGTTCCGTGGGAAACGAAAGAAAGCTGCGAAACCGAAGCAGGTATGATGTCACTGATCAAGGACTCGGGAGAGGTTGGAGTAACGGCGGTAAGATTGCAAACTGCAATTTTGAAGGGGAGCTCAAGTCTTTGTAGCCTCTGAAAGCCACATATTGATACCTTGCCGGGGGTGATAGAGACGTGATCTTCCGCATCGACGAGTAAAGAAAGATCTATGAGGTGGTTCCCGACGTTTTGCTCGATTGCTAGGAGGAACTGGCAGAGATCCCAGCCCTGCTGAGGATCACTATCTTCTGCTCTTGCATACAAGCACCTGAACGTCTTGAGATTAGGGGTGCATTGAAGAACACTCGCAATAGCTGCCTCATCAATAGAAGCATCTATGAGAGAGATATTTTCAAGGGCTGCATATTCAAACGGGGCGTTTCCGTAGCTGCCACCTGTACCTTTGCAGATATATCCTCCAAAAGATTGGACGTTTGGCAAGGCCAGAAGAGGCCGTGCCCAGTCTAGATCAAATCTGTTCTCTGCACAGCCATTGCCTACCAGGCTGGTGACCGCCGCAAGGCTAGACCCACTACCAGGGGCATTCCTAGCTTTCGAAATAATAATATCAATAAGTTTGTCGGGTGCGGTCTGTGGCTTCCACCATCGAGGTAGCTGGAGAGTCTTTAGATGAGGAAGGAGGGTTAAAGCAAAAGCGGCAGCATGTTGTGAATAGCGAGCGGCGTTGAGGTCCTCCTCGATTGCAGCGTAGTATTCCTTCCAGTCAAGGCCTGCTTGCTTTAGGTCGGAAGAATCGGCAAGCATTTTCATCACAGCTTCTTCACGGCTATTATCTGTTGCGTATTGCCGCGATAAGCCTTTCGTGATTCGGCTGTCGTGATTGAAGTCGGCATGTTGAATATAGCGCGCGACAACGGGCTCCATTGCGATGCGCCCGATCAAATTGAACGCTGAGCTGATTGTGTCGGGCAGTAGAAGTAGCGCCGGATTACTCTTGACCAGCTGGCTCGGATTTGTCTTGTAGTAATAGAAGTCCTGGAATTGACGGCGCAGTCTGTTGTGGTACTCAATGAATGGAGCACAAACCGCATGCATCCGCTTGCAAGTTAATGCAAGGCTCTCGAAACCCTCTGGCAAGACATATTCGGCGACGGTCTCAAGGAGCTCGTTTGGGAAATGCAATAACTCCATCAGTAGTAGAGAGGAGTATTAAGATGAAAATGGTCTTTGCTGGCAGACTGAGTGCTCGTTGATGCTTCAAGGATAAAGTTCGGTTGGGGAATGGCCGCTGCTAGATACCTGTTCTCGCGGCGGCAAACACCTCCTGATCCAAACTCACCGAGAAATCAAAAGATTTTCAGCAAGAAGGGGGCATTTATTTGATGATTCATGAATGGCCAGTGAACATCTCTTGATTCCTGTGGGGTGCGGTACTAATTACTTTCAGGTCGGCCCCAGCCGTCGGATGCCCGGCGATTGTGGGCTTAAGTAAGCGTTTCTGGTCAATTTTCTCAGACTGCCCGCTGCAAACACGTTGATCCATGCCTAACTTGGGGTCTGAGTAGTTGTCGTACGTACTGGACTTTACTCCGTACTATTGTGGAGTCCATACAATCACTGCACGTCAATGGCCCCCAAGGTAGCGGGCCTGGTTCTTCCATCTCCACCGTCGGCCCCGTCTTCGGAGGTTGATGCGTCCCACTCGCTTACTCGTTTCCAATAATAGAACTAGAAATCTTATATTCCCATTCACTGTTTAATTTAGCCCTACTAATTACAAGTAGGAATATTCAGCTTCAGCCCGTTCTGCCTAGGGACTCTTATGGTACATGTCATGGATGGATCATACGCAATGAGTGGAGGATAAACGATAGACCGGATCCACATAGCGTATCTGGGTTCTTCTGGACGCGAGGACTTTGCTTCCTCGCGCTACGTCTTGTATCTAGAGTCGAATAGTCGTTCTTTATACTGATCATTTATCTCGAGACACTATCTACCTCTATGTATACCCAATCCCTCGGAAGGCCGAAACTAACCGCCTCAACACAATCTCTTATTGTCTTCCATAGAAATAAGCTGGTATGATTTCACCCGCCCACTTACTCACTTTTACCACTTAGCAACGCGTAGCACATCTACCTATATGTATACCATATTCCTATCCGAGAAATCTAGGATTCATCAACATCATAGGTATAGTTGTAGTCCGGCTACGTTGATTGAAATGCCTGTCACAGGCGTCTCCAGTCATCAGGCAGAGCATTGTACGAGTAGTAGTAGTAGTAGTGGTGGTAGTGGTAGTAGTAGTATCATTTACCCTCACCCCTTGCGAATTTTAAACTCTGGCAGATTGTATATACAGATGATCATAGCCCCTCCGCCTTCTCGCATATAACATCGATTGCCTCTCCCAGCTCGATATCTCCCACAGCAAACTCCGGCGCCACAATCGCCAGGGAGTCAACCATGGCCTCCAGCATCTCACATGCAAAGGCGCCCCCACCGTTGCTGTCAAATGAGTAATTAACATCGAGGTAGTCCGAAGCTCCCGCATCGTGCTCTCTCCACCAGGGGTTGTAGTAGTTGACTCCGGCAAATCCAACCGTGTTGCAAAATGTTACATCAGTGTGTCTGTCAGGGGGCATGATATCCCCGCGCTTGACGAAAGATGGCAGCCATTTGGCCCACCGAGACGTATCATCTCGTTTTCTATACTCCTCCGTATCATAATCCACTTTATAGCAGTTCTTACCCGACGCCGCATTCATTGCTGTCAAGGCTGCGCTTCGGATCATGGCATCCCGCAGGGAAGTGACGTTGTACTGACTGGCTTCGACCTTGACGTCTATCGTGCCTTCAGCAAGGAAACCAGCATTGACGTAGGGGACATTCTTGATTTTCGCAGTTCCGGTCTCACACCCGGTCATGCTCGTTGTCTGTGTGACGGAGGGACACAAGGATTCCAGCGCCTTCGATATGCCAGTGTAGAGTGCCGAACCAGTCATGGTGCCCACATGGACTGAAGAGCTCCCGGCCTGGACAGTCACTGCTCCTGTCTGTACGACACAGTTTTTTATGGAGGTGCATTCATCCTCGTTGTTGACCACGGGAGTGCACACCTGGCAATGCTTCGTATCCGTTGTGGCGGGACCCAGGTGTGGAGTCGTCGTAATATGCCCACTTGTTGGGATGGCAGTGTAGTCACAACTCTGGGTTACCATTGTGACGTGGGTCGGGGTCAAGAGAGGTAGTGTGACGCCGTTGCAGATGCATTGGGCAGAGTTGAGGCCCTCATCGGGATCTGCATCCTTCATTGAGCAAGAAGGCTTGGATGTGGTTTTCGGTTTGCAAGCTTTGGTTGTTCGCTTGACCAGCCCCGTGTTGGCTGGATCGCCTGCCATGAAAGCTGTGATGGTTGGTGTTGGTGCTTCATCAGTTTCTTTCATATTGAGGTAATCGCGTTTGTGGCCGTCATTTTCAACGACGCTTCTCCAAGACTCGAGATTGCTTGGATTGATATCATCGGCAGTGCCATCATGAGACAACACTAGATTCCCGTCACGATGAGTATCTGGAAAGGATCGGTCTGCAGGTGCAGCAGAGGCAGTAAATAGCATTGGAATAATAGTCCAGAGTAAATGCATGGCGGGCAACTTCTTCGCGATATGATAAAATAATTTTGAACGATGCAAGAACAGGAACAAGCTCTATTTATATGCCCTACGGACACGGTAAACCCATAACCTTGCTAGGCATATCTGCTCAAGGGGACAGGAGAATGGAGCCACGGTGTGGAGAGAACGAACGGGTTCCGGCCGCAAGTATCATGAGACGATATCGTCTGAAGATGAAAATTCGATGGCCATCAAGGACGGGACTCGAACTGAACCAAACAAGGGGCCAAAATGGATGATGCCGGTTCTTATTGGGCCGATATACATAGAACGCCTTACATAGATGTTAGGTCGGCCCCAACGATGCCGTGAAACCATGGCCAATCTCTATAATTTTGGGCTAATAGCTGCTGCGGATAGGGCTCTTTGCAAGGCTGACTTCGCCGATGTCGAGATTATCACCGGTTTAGAAGAAGTTTCAGAAAATAGGGGCTAAAGCTATGGAAAAACAACAACTTCAGCGCCAAATTGAACTTTTGAAATATCTCAGGAACCAGACCAGTTAGCGAGTAACAGACCACGGCAAATTTCATCTAACTCCCTGCGCTACACCTTGATACCGGCATTGACCCTGTCAGGCCAGTATCATGGTGGTACGCGCGCAAAAGGGTGTTGGGCCTGTCCCGTCAGGGGCGCCCGGAGGCCCATCGAAATCTCTGCCATCGAACCGTAAGCGCGTACTAAACGCCAATCATGATGCACAAGCACTATTAAAAGCACTGTGCAGCAAGCAGAACGGGGTAAAGGCCCCAGAGACACAGTATTCCAAGATCGCCGACTTCCTGAAGCGTATAGAGGCGTTAACGAAGGACCTCCTATTAACACCGCTGCAGACGGACTAGTAAGCAGAACTCACCGCGATCCGTAAAGATATACAGGATATTAAGATAGCAGTCGAACCGCCGGCGAGATAGACCGTCAGATCCTTCGCTGAGTAAGCCAGAAGGGCGCCAGCGCCCGTATACTATCTATCCTCCTCCCCTAGCTCGTCCGATTCTACGCCTATACGAGTCTCGGAAGTAGTACGTAACCGGGAAGTAGTCGTATACTTAGGAGACCGCTTATAGGTTAGCCTATTCCGTAGGATAATTAGCGCTAAACTTACTAAGCGTACTAACTAGATAAGGGCTAAAGCCGCATAATCCGCCTACGACCCGATACCGGTACTCGCCTAGGTAATAATCCTAGCGTCCCGATAGCTTAAATCGGGTAATATCCGGTTCACCGTACGTAACGTAAAAGAGGCAGAGATCTTACGGATATACCGTAAGAAGTAGACTAAGGGGCTCTATAAGACCGCCTTCGTCTACCTACCGACGTAGGGAGTAGTAGTTCACGACGTTAACGTACGCTCTCTAAGAATTAACCGGGCGTCGGAGGACTTACCGTAAGAGACGGTAATTAAAGACCTACTAGCGGAGAATATCTAGTTCTAGGGAACGAAGGCAAAGATAGCTAAGATCTATTAGCTAAAGATTCCGTCGGGTAAGAGCGGCTCCCTTATCCTTAAATTTACCTCGCTAGTCCCTATAAATACGGCTATTAGCTACAGAGTCCTATAGGACTATAATAACCTAATAGCGGTCTTATACGACTATAAGTCTCGCCTACGATAGTACTTTAACTATTAAAAGTTTAGATATATAGGAACCGCCTATTCCTAACCTATTAGATACGTATACTATACAGAGGGCTATTAGTCTTGGGATTGCCCTTCGAAGGATATACGCGAAAAATATAAATATACTAACTACGAAGGCGTATACGCTATATAGAGTTAGGACTATTAACTTCGTATCTAGAAGGTTAAGCGGATAAATAAGCGAGCTAAATACTAGAGAAGATTTTATCTAGTCCCTACGCCGTTTAGCATCCGATAGCTACCGGCGAACCTATAGCCCTCCTCCGTTAGCTTATAGGGAACCTCCTAAAGCTTATCTAGCGAAGAGCTTAGCGATACGAGTAGCGATATACTAGCTATATAGCCTAATAACAAAGGCTCGTAGGATACCGGTCCTATCCTATCTCGATCCGCCTAAAACGTAGCTACGCCGGTTACTAAGGCGGCGGCTACTAAAACTACTAAAACTATAAAGAATAAAACTAAGATAGCTAGTAAGCCGGTAATAGCTACCGACACTAAGTCGATAACAGCTCTAGTAAATAATAGTATAGAATAAGGATAAAAACCGTTAGATTCGATAGATACTAGGGTAGATAAAGCCGAGGAAGAACCTACCTCTAAACTTATATAAGCCTACCCTAAGCTAAATTTAGCGGAGATAGGAATAGAAGAGGCTATAGAAGCCTATACTATATTAAACTCGACCGATACAGAGGCAGAAAAGGCTAAAGTAGGCGAGGCTAGAGTAGAGGAGGCTAAAGAGGAAGAGGCTAGAGAGAAAGAACCTAGAGAGGAACTTATACCTAAATCCTTATAGATTCGCCCTATAATCCCCTTAATCTCGCTTAAATTACTTAATAACTACTAATTTAGGCCGAGCGATAACGTTATACAGTACTAACTAGTCTTTTACCGAACCTTCCCTCCTGTATTATCTAAATCCGAAGCAGCTAGAGAGCGAACCGCTAAAGTACGTACTACCTATATAAAGGCTATAGAGGAAAAGAAATTATAATTAACTAGCGAAGGAAAACGGTCCGGGGACTCCTAGTTAGGGGACTCGAGTAATAGAAGATTAGTAAAGATATCGAAACTAATCGAGAACGTAAACCGGCGAAGGGTAGAATTAATATCCGAAGCTAAGAATGATATATAAGAACCTAAAGGCTAATTAGTACTATATAATACTAACGAACCGTCGATATCCTCTCTCTCTTCCCTACCGGAATAGCTATCTAACTAGGAGTTCTAACTATTATCGCTACTATTAGTACTATCGCTACCGGATCGACCTAGCTCGCTACTAGAGATAAGTAGTAGGAAGCGGAAGAAGCTATATAGTAAAAACCGCTAAAAGGAAAAGCTAGGAGCGTAGAAAACCCCGAGGAAACTAGCCCCGTCTAAACGTTAATAAATTAGTATAATCGGTAATAATATATACTAAGAGAACTTAAAATATACTAATATAATATAAACCGATAGAAAGATAAGATAATAGCTTAATTTCTAAAAGACCCGGAGGTTCTCTTAGTAGATATTATCGCTATCTAAGAGCCGTAGAAATTAGAATTCAAAGATAACACTTACCGGCCTTACTAATATACCTATAACCTCCTCCGACCCCCGATAGACCCGAGCCTACCCGTCGAAGCAGCTCGTATATATATCTATATATTTATATTAAAGAAACTAGGCGAGTATACCTACGTTATCTACTCCCGTAACCTATAAGAGCTCTAGATAACGCTAGTCGACGGCGAAGAGCTTCGGCTATTTAATCTATATAACAAGAGAGGCAGCTAGGGAGCCTTAGATCTATTAAAAGAACTTATACCGTTAGCCAGAGAACGTTAGAAGGGCGTCTCTTACCTAATTATAGGTAACTATAACCTATACTACCCGGTATAGGAAGGCGATAGGGTCTAATAGCTAGAGCCTAAAGCCGATAAGCTACTCGACCTAATAGCCGTTACTGTATTAGATCCGTAGCTACCCCTAGATATAATCACTAGGCGCGATAAGGACTTAGTAACGACTATCGACTTAGTTTTAGCTATAGCTAACCTACGTATACGCCTAGTAAGCTATACGGTAACGGAGAAAGTATATACCGACTCGGATTACCTCCCTATATATACTATAATAGATATCTCGCCTATCCTAGCCGAGGAAAACCTACGGAGGAACTAGAAGGCGATAGACGTAGAGAAGTTTCTAAAATTTATCGAACTAAACCTATATTAAATTAGTAGTAATAGTAATAGCCTCTAAACCCCGTAATAGATCGACGACGCTACCGACTACCTTATACGTATCGTCTAATAAGGTATCTAGGCGTCTATACCCTTCGCTAGACTATCTAAATAGTCTTAGCCCGAGTAGACCCCTAAGTATACCGAGGCTATTAAAGAGATATACTATATATTCCGTCGATATAAGAGGGATAGTATAATAGAGAAGGACTAGAACGAATATAAAGAACTAAAGAATAAGAAAGGGAAGATAATTAATAGGGCTCTAAGAAACGGCTTCTGTAGCTAGGTAAGATAGATAGTAGAAGATAGTCCCCGTAGTCTCTAGAAGGTCTCTAAATAGATATATATATATAACTAGCCGGCCTACCGTAACGTCCTAATACTTAACGGGAGAGATAGCCCGGTAAAGACGAACTAGTAGAAAGTAGAGACCCTCCGCTAGGTATTCTTTCCTTAGCTACCGGAGGCCGACCTCTCTAATATCCCTAATACGTACTTACCGAAACAGCTAGACTTCCCTATTATTACCTAATAGGAGGTTAAGGACGCTATTAAGAGAATACCGCCTAATAAAGTACCTAGTAAGGATACAATCCCGAACCGTATATAGAAGATCTTAGTAGATAGCTACGAGTTCGTAGCTACTCTAATAGCTATCTTCGATATATATATATAAATAGGCTTTAATCCTCGCTACTTCTAGCACTCGATTACCGTTACGCTGCTAAAGGGAGGACTAAGAGACTTCCGTAAACTAAAGTCCTAGCGCCTAATCGCCCTACTAAATACCCTCGGCAAGATACTAGAGTTAGTCATCGCTATTCGTATTACGTAGACAGTAGAGGAATATAAGCTCCTACTAAGGACCTATCTAGGTAGAAGGAAAAGTATTAGTATCGACTATACTATATAGATAATCCTTAATATAGTATATACCATATAGGGATACGACTAGGTAGTCTCTGCGCTATTTTTAGACGTTACCGGCGTATACAATAACGTTTCCTACTAACGACTACTTTATAACCTCCGTAGGCTAGGACTAGGCTATTTCGCCGCTTAGCTAGAGTCTTTCTTAACTAGCTACTCGATATATATTAGGCTACTAACTAGCTATACCTTAGATATCTTCCTTATACTAATAGGGATCCCCTAAGGATCACCGCTATCGCCTATTATCTTTCTAATCTTTAACACCCCTCTCATCCTTACGTACATAAAAGGTATAAGTAAGGATAATTATATACAAGGAATTAGGTAGATAGACAATATAGCTACTATCGCTATCTCTAAGTCTTACTACTAAAACGTATAACTACTAGAAGGCGTATTAACTAAGGCCAACGTCTAGGCCGATCGATACGCAGCCAAGTTTACACTAAAGAAATTTAAACTTATTCACTTTCGGAACCCCTAAATTTAAGACTAACCTATAGCCGACTAATATCGAATTATCTAGCCAGAAGATAGCGACTTTAATATATACAATATCGACTATACATTCCCTACTAGCTATAACTAGATAGCTATATAAACCGCTACTTAGACGATCTAACTAATTAAATAGGCCAAATATCTCGGTATTTAGCTCGATAAATATCTTATATTTAGTATACATCGCTAAAAACTACTCGCTAAAGCTAACAGAAGCCTCGAGGCCCTCCGGGCTATCACTAGCTCTACCTAGGATATATCTCTCTACGCTATATAGCGGGTCTACTAAGCGGTAGTAGTCCTATAAATATTATACAGCGTTACCGTATAGTATTACCCTAAGATAAGAACGATACTATATAGAGAACGGCTAAAGATTACTAACGAATACACTAAGATCTAGCGACGTACCGCTCTCCTAATCTCCGGCGTATTTAAGTTAACTAGCGTAGCCGCACTTAATATAGAACTATTCTTACTACCTATCAAGCTCTAAATAGAATAAATAATCGAGGAAACCGCTATCCGGATCTAAATAGGGCTAAAATAGGCCTAACCGGAATACCTACGCTATAAGTATACGACCAAGACTACTAAACGTAGAGGATAGGGACTACTAGAAGCCTACCGGTAGAAATTAAAAGGAATCCTAAATATCCCGGGGGTCTAGGAGACCCGTAAAGCGTTCGTTCTATTACTATAGGAGACACGGATCCTATACATAATTAAAGATACAGAGGCTACGTAAGCCTCGTATAACCGAATCGAGACAGAGTCTCTCTTCTAGGAGAGCCTTATAACTATAATATAAGAGGAAGGAGGAGGAAGACCGATAGGATAGAACTATAGCCCGATAGTTCTATCCTTTATAGATAGAAGTAGGTATAAAGACTAGGTTAGCGCCTCCGCCGTCGCCCTAAAAGACGGCATCTTCCTATAACGATACCTAGGGACTCTCTAGGAGTCTACTATATATATTACGGAGCTTAATAGTATCGAGATAGCGATCGCTAAGCTCTAGATCTATAAGCAGATAGTTATTTTCTCTAATTACTAGGCTACTATCTAGATAGTGCGAAATCCTAAGCGGTCCTCCGGCTAATACGTACTCTCTTAAATTTATAATTACGTACGAGCCCTCCGACCTGTTTATATGCCTACGTCCGATAAGATTCCCGTCGAGATCCGTTAGATCCCCGTATACGTAGGTATACCTAGTAATAAGACGGCGGATATTAAAGTAAAGTTAGCGGCGACTAATAGGGCTATCGGGAACGGCTCGGATTAACCTATATCCGACTAGCCTCGATTCCTACTAGCTAGCCTAGCTAAAAGCTATATATAGTAGTAGATTAAGTAGCGCTAGGCTACTAAGTAGGACTACGAAAAGATAGGGAAACCGACTAAACGGTTACTCCCGAAGCCGGATAAGAAAGCCTTAGAGCTATATAAATATCTACCTAAGCACTATACGTCGGTATTAATCTAAATACGTTCGATACGCATCGTATTAAACTATTTCTTATATAAGATTAGCGCTTATAATTCTAACTAGTATTACTACGAGGAGGGGTCTTAAATACCGAGATATATCCTTATACAGTATCCGTTATATACTAAGCAGCGTTACAAGATGCTAGAAAAAATCCGGGCACAGATAGATCTTAGAGCGACCGCTAACTACGAAGCGATCGTCTCCTATCCGTAGGCTACCCGCTACGTAGCCGAATTTATATTATAAATAGGTCTCCTAGGCTAATTCCGGCAGACGGAGATCGAACTAGAGCTAGTTACTAACGAAGAGCTAGACCCTAATACGGAGCCAGATACTAACGCTAAGCTAGATACTAATACTACGCTAGATCCTAACCCTAACTCGGAACTAGAAGATAACGAAATAACGGCCAGAGACAGCGAATCTAGCAGGGGAGTAGGCGGCGAAGACGATATATAATATAACTACCGAAACCCTAGCTTAACCTAAGACGGGCTAGGACGATTATAACTAAATACGCTACACCGACTAGTCGAGTTAACTCTGGTTAACTAGAACAGCTTATATAGCTAGCAAACATCAATCGAAAGAAGCAAGCAGCTATATATACGCTGCCGGAAGTAGAAGAAGGTAATATATAGCGACGCAGGCGAGAGAGGGCGAAGTGAGGGAGGAAAACAGTGGGATTAATTATTGAGGGTATATAGGTACTGTAATGGGCTAATATTCAGCTGCATTTGTTTGGCAAAACGCCGTTTCCCTTTATATTTACTATCTACTACGTTTCGGGGGCGTTCGGTTAGCTCTTACTTCCGCCGGAGGAAGCGCCTACATAGCCACTGCGCACTAGCTGGGCTGCATTAGGTTAATAGAGTTATCATCATCATTATCATCATCATCATCGGGCTAAAGCTATAGACATTGAGTTATACTACATAGTTTCCACTGGGGCAGAAACGTAGATCCCGGGGAGGGTGGCAGCAAAGAGCTAGCAGCGGTGCATATTACCATTTAAAGCCGCAGTTCATTAGGGGCGAAAAGGAGAAGACGAATGAGAAATAGCGAAGTAGAAACACCCCTGATTGATAGAAAAACATGTTGAATTTCTGCATCGAAGTGAGAGGCGGCGGGATTGTAGTCCTTCTGGGCAATCTAACAAAGAAAAGCTTGAATGTCTATCCCATTACTTTACTCGATAGTGAATACTGGTGGATAATTTTTCCGAGGTCGATTTATATACGAAGCTCAAAATATCGTGGGGGCCGTGTAGTACGTGGGGCCCCCGTACCTGGACCCTTAGGCGCGCTGGTGCGCCTATCTCCACTTGTGCGCCTCGGGGGCCGGGGGCTTAGTTTTGCAAGTAGAAAGTAGGATGAAGGAAGTTTTGTAATAAACAGATTCTCAAGACTACCTAGAAATACCTACGTTATAGTATGTTAAACCTAGTTCCGCGGCTCTCGCACTCTGAATATTGATCTCAAAGAGAATTCCTTAGTGAAGACATGGGCATAGAGAGGGAGAGCAATGTCTTTGTTCAATTAGCAAACAATGCTAACAAGAGGCTGAGTAGGCTATGGAATCGTCTCTACCCACCCATTCCTAGGGAAGATTCAAGAATTCAGATCCTGAATCAAGAACTTAATTGGCTAAAGTGGATGATCAAACCACCTACTGTAGATTACGATTAGTTAATGGTTACCTCACCGTATTATCATCCTCCGGTATGGTATGCACAGGGAAGGTAGAAGCCGTCACCAAAATTGTGTTTTCTCTGGAGTTGGGTCAGTGACTTGAATCTTATGCGAAAGGTAGCTCCGATGGAGACGGCTTTTATGATATGAAACTATGAACAATGTGGCCAAAGCTGTGATACTAGCCCTTAATGCTAGATGTTTGTGACTTGCTGGAATAATTATAGTGGCGACAAAGTGGTAAAAATGGTGCTAACGTGTAATTAAAGACTTTCCCTGAAGCTACTTTCCATTCCGAGGGGACAAAGACGATTCATAATGGGAAACAGCGAAGTCATCATAGATTTCATTAATTGATAGTAAGTACTGCTGGGTTTGTCGGGCGACATGGAGGGGCGATCAAAGTTAACTTCCACTGACATTAGTTCGATCGAACAACATAAGCCATGAATGCATGATCACCTACCCAATAGAGACATCGCGAGGCTCGGAGTATGGGGGCCATCTAGGTACGAGTTGGCCCTCCCCCTGGTCTGACACACGCTAGGCCCTCCATGGTTGTGGACCGTCAGCGGCCTGCCCCCAACCAGGTTCCCGGGGCTTGAATTATCTCACTTCGAGTAGCTTGGGGCCAAATGGCCCATAAGTCAATTCAAATACATAAACCTGTTCGGTGTTTTGGTGGGAATATCTGAAAATATAAATGTACCGCCTCTCCCGTGCGTGTTTGAATACCAATCACAGCTTCTTTGGCTTTTCCTCTCTCATCTTGTTCTATTAAAGAATCTCGCCACTATGCGTTTACTCTTTTACCTTTTACCAGCTCTGCTGCCTGCCTTGGCAGCACCCACAGGCTCAACGGATGACGGGGATGATTGCGACTTGTCTGATGAGACCGAAAAGCTGAACATTAACGAGGTTAATGACGGACCCACGGACGATGGTTCCGCAGGTATCGGAGTCGAGTTCGAGAGTCCGTGGTTCTATTTCAAGAGTGATGGTTGCAGTGCAGATGATACAAATGCAGCGAAGAAAGAGCTCGTAGCCGGGCGCAAAGGCGACAACTGGATGTTGACGGCAGACACGGGAGCAGGCACCTCAAAACTCCAGGCAGAGTACATTGTGGACGGCCGGAAAGTCAAGGTTGGCAAGGGCACAGCCCAAACCGCCGGTAAGGAGATTGCAGAGGATCTGGTGAGTTTATCCAATTACAAAATCTAGATGGCTGAGCTTTCTGATTGACCCGACCCTGTTAGCGTAAATGGTCACCATGGACAGGACGAAAGGGCGGGAAGAAAGTCTATTTGACAGTTGCGAACAACAAATGCAATCCATGGTATATCGATTCGCCAGGCCCTGATGACGACGCCGACAATGTGCCCTGGGAACCTCAGGTCACTGCGCCAATGCCACTCGAGGCAGTCTACTATCTGATGAAACTCCAACAGGCGGCTTTGGACAAGAACACCGCTTCAACAAATGTTCTTACCGGGTCTCCAGTTCGCTTTGCAGATGACTTCGTCCTAGTCACAAAGCAATATTTTACCTCAAAGCCAAACGGTATCGACCCAAACACTATTACCGATGATGTGCTTGCATTCTGCTCCTTGGTCTTGACATACGCCAAGAACGCCAAATACAAAATGTCAGGAGATCAGAGTCCTAAGTTCTTCACATCTTTCATGCCGCGAAATGACTTTACTACACTATATAACGTCGTGCAAGATAAGCTCAAGGGCGATCTTTGGGATCTCGTCAATACTCTTGCTTGCTACAAGAGAAAAGTTACAAAGGAAAACAAGATTGTGACTAAATCGGGCCTAGTGTAAGAATTCCACCCCTTCTAATCTGCTGATTCAACTGACAATGTATGTAGTCTTGACAAGGAATTCTGTTCCGGAACGCTCGCTAAGCCAGTTCCAGGCAGCAAGTTGAGTGGACTGCAGTACGAGAACGCCAATGCCAACGTGGAGGCAGGAAAAACAATGAGCATCAAAAGCTGGGTCGAAAACATGAAGACGAATGACTTACTCCGTCAGTTTGATCAATACATTGATGGCTCCCTCGGAGGTCTTGGGACCCGGATGGAAACAATGTATAATTCGGATCGCAAAGCGCCACTGTTCGAATTTCGGGATATTCCGGATAAAAAGACGTCGGAGATCGAGCAATACATGGCGGATGTCGACAAAGAGATCCAAACGCTTCATGATAAGTACAAGAGCGCACCCGCCAGTTGAGTCAAGCAACCCGCACTGTCCATGGTCAGATTGAGTCTATTAAATCATAGAGGAAGTACGGAGAGCGGAGAGATCGATGAGGTACAGGTATTTATGCAGTTCTCGGGTGAGGCCTCTGTGACCTTATCGATCAATTAATTCAGCATAGTCTCCATTTCATTTGAATTTCTTGATTGTCGCTAGCTCTAAATCTAGACCGATACTATAGTTTATACCCAAATTTCCATAGAGTATTATTGAAGGATGAGGGCATCTGGCGATATACTTTTATCTATCGCTATCGTCCCCGTGAAGGATTACTTTGTTTATCCTATTACATATGGGTGTGCTCATCTTACCACAATCGGCACTCTGATCTATCTGATAAGGTATCTACTTGCAGGATAGAGGACCTGTCGACCAGGTAAGGAGAAGCAAATAGATTCAATCTATACAACTGCGAAGAGTGGATAGCTTTCCTTCGAGGATTTCTCTGATGCCTGCCAAGTAGAGGTCCACTGTGCGATGGACTGGGTTTGGAGGACCCTGCGGAGTATACCGTATACCGCGGCGAAGATCCGAAATACGAGTGTTCGGTTGGTGCTCTCTTCGCTGAGATAGTATTGCATGAATCATGGCCTGCGTGGCTTGATGCTGTTATATGTTAAGCACAGCTCTCCCAGCAGCAGACCGTTCAGCTCGTCAGAGCTTGCATAGCGATGCTAACGAGCTCTCCAGTCGCGAATTTTAATCAATGCGATGCAGTCTTACAACTTGGAAAAGGTGGGCGGACCCAAATCGTCAGCACCAACGAAGCATGCTTAATTTGGCTTCTCGCACGTGGAGGAGCAGATGTATTCACGGCCGTAGGGGAACCTAGCGGTCCCCTAGGCGACCACTTGCCCTGACTGGTCAAATTTTTACAGGGCATACTGAATCTGTTCTGGAGACTCTGCAAGACCCAGTTCGCGACTATCATAGAAAAACCCGGTTGTGATATCGGTTGCAATACGTGAATAGTGGTATTCGGACAACAGTTCTGAATCAACAAATCGAAGAAGGAAGAAAGATAGCTGGCTGAAGACAATCATTGAGTTGCACCATAGCAAGGTACAGGAGAGGGTCGAACGGAGACGTTCCTTGAAGAATACAGGATGGGGCTGGATAGCGGGGGCCAGATTGCGGGGTGAGTTGTTTATGAGCGTCCGAGAGTAAATGTCGAGGATCATCACGCGTCATCTTCGGTTATATGTGCAGGCTCAATGGCTGATGCCGCCGAATCAGGGGCGGAAGCCTCGCCGATCTCTCCGGCCGCTGGTTCAGGCATATAATATGGAACACCGTCCTCCCCAGCATCTAAGCGTAGGAGGAATGTTTCCCAAAGCTCGATCAGCTATGGTAAATTGAGTTAGCGACAGGACGACGATGGTTATGAAATTGTAATCATCTTACCTCCTTTTGAGCCTCAACGGCACTCTCCAGGAACGTTTCCACACCAGATTTGAAATCCTCCACTTTCTCCTTCTCGAATTTCTGCAGCTCGCCCCGCATCAAGCGGCCCATATCCTCAAACAGAAGTCGGGTTTGGTGTACCTTGCGTTCCGCATCGGCGACGTCCGCGTTGGCCTGATTCAACCGATCCTGTTGAGACTTGCCCTGCCGGAGCAACTTTTCCTGGGTGTTTTTGCGCTTCTGTAGATCCGACTCTGCAGCATGCCAGCTGTGGAAGGCCTTTTGCCGTTGAGAAAATGCGGTCTTCACACTACCGATCAAGCGAATGTATTCATCAATTGTGATGCCCAAAGTGAGGACGTCCTGTTGTGCTTGGCGTTCATAGAGTTCTTTAATCCGGAATTGGAGCTCGGACAGACCATCCAAGGGAGATGCCAATGCCGGGGAAAGCTCAACAGCAGCGAGGGCATGAAGCGAGCTTGAGAAATCGCCTGCGGCCTCGGAGAGTCCTTTCCGTTGCGCGACCACGGTGTCCATAGATTTAAGGAGCGCCTTGAGCTGGGTCTCTAGCGCGTCCAAATAGATCTTCCGATCATGGAACCACTGTTCAGAAAGTGAGTCAGCCTGTTCAGAATTACCAATGAACCCACTTACGTCGTCATGCTCTACAAACTTGCCGCCTCCGCCAACCGAAATACCAAAGGTGCTGAACATGCCTTTGCTCTGTCCGAGATCAGGCTCCCGGTTCTCCTTATTCTTAACGTCAACGTTGAAGGCTTCACTTTCCAGGAATATCTTTAAGTCGCCATCCTGCTGGAGGATCTGGTGAGAGGCAATCTTGTTCAGCATCCGTTCGAGAGCAGCTCGCCGCGACTCCACAAAGTTTGTATCAAAGCGGCCTACGGCCTGTTTCTCTGGGGGCGGAGCAACAACCACACCGGGGTTGTTATTGTGCAAAGAGTTGTAAAGCCAGAGAAAGTCACGGTACCGGCGGCTAACTGAGAACTCGGGTAGGCGGTATGCCTTGGACGTTGTCTAGGAACCCATGTATGGTTAGCCTTGCGCTGTCCAAAAGTGCCACCCACATCCAAAGGCGATCAATACCCTTGTCCGAACTTGGTAAACAATGTGACTACTTGTCAGGTCTCCCACTTTGTGTGGATCTCCCACACTAATGTCAAATGTTGGTTTCGCAGCTTGCTCTACGCTCATGCTGGGTTGCGATTGCCGCTTCAGTCCCTCGAAATCGACCGGGGGCTGCACAGGCGGAGGGCCTCGGAAACCAGCACCATCTTCTTCCAGGGTCACCGAGTCCGCGAGGCCGGCCCCACTCGAGGTCTGGGAGAAAGTTGATGGCGGTTGAGGGCTGCGAGCAGCGAGCGATTCTTTCTGGGGAGGGGCGGGGGCCTCGTCGGAAGGAGTCGCACTCGCGTCGGCCGTCGCTTCTCCCAACGGGCCAAGCGGATCGACAGTGTTATCGACGGCTTCCAATCTTGTAGCCTGTGCGCTGATCTTGCGCGTTCCTCGCGGGACTCGTCTTCCGGGTGTTCGAACTTCCGGGCTACCAGCTGATGGAGCGACCTGGGCGGGAGCTGCAGGAAGAGAGAACCCTACGTTTAGTGAGGGGTTGGTGGGAATGGAGATCTTTCAAGGGTTTGACGCACCACTATCCTGGATACCGTTCTTTGGTTTGCTATGGCTATCCAGGGAATGTGACGGCTCATCTGTATCCTACATTAGATCGCAATCCAAAGAGCTGTGGTATCATGACTGCCTACCGCCCCACGGGGAGGCTCCGGTGTCGAGGTCCATTGCTGCCGGTCGGGTACGGTCGAGGAGGGGGCCAAGAGATCTCAAAGAATTGATTAGAAGATCGTGCACCAAGGTTGGGTTAGTCGAAGCTCCAAAAGCAGGGGGAACCTAGAAGGTGGGAAGCTGGCAGTTGGCAGTTGGAGGTGGAGCGGAGGATGATCCGCGGTCTTAGTCACTCACGGGATCTCCAGCAAGCCCCAATGATTGAGGGTGAGCTTCGCGTGTTTTATTGCACATCTGCTATCTTTGACTTTGGGTAACTTACTTTTTACGTGTCTTGCGCTTTTTACGATTGATATCATCTTTCAGAAGTCCCTCCCCATCCAAATCCTGTTGCTACGGCATAACAGCATGAATTCAGATTACATAAATACGTCACGTCGTCTCAATTGGACCTCAGTACCGATCAATCTATAGAAATGGTGGACTCAATACCTGTCCTGCGGCAGTCTATCGAAAACCATGGAGCCTTTGTCACTTATTTGACCCACGGAAGGCCCAGCTTGTGCATTTCCACGGCCAGCTGGAACAGATAGTCCAGACTTTCGCACTGGGTCTTTGCCTTGGCAACATTGTCACCCCAGACATAGCTGCGACAACAATCAGCATTTTGAAATCATCAGAAGCGCAAATATGGCAGAATTATCCTTACATTCCGTGTCTGCGAACGAGCACCGCGTACGTGTCCGGGTATGTCATCATGGCGGCCTCCAGACCACTAGTCAGGTCCTCCTCGAAGGCAGTGTTCTCAATGATGGGGATACGCAGGGTGTCATGGTATCCCAACATGCCCTTGCCCTTGCCTCGGGGAATACCCTTGATCTGCTCGATGGTGCTGATCTCAAAGCAGGCGTCCGGGCCCTTCTCCCGCTCGACCAGCAAGGTCACTAGGACTGCCCACTGGGAGTGGGTGTGAATACAGCAACCGGCACCGTTCTCAAAGGCCGTCAAGAACAGCGGAGTGCAGGCGGACGGATTGAGCTTGAGAGGCCGGCGGATATAGTTGCGCTCCTCGGCAGGGTATTTCTTGGTGGGCCATTGGAGGACGAAGATGTTCTCAGACTTCATAAGCTCCTTCTGGACTCCGGAGGGAGCAATGAAGATGTGATCGCCGTGGCGGATGGAGGTCTATTTCCAGTCAGCGAATGCTCTTTGCGCTGCCCGCACCTGAGGGGTCTCGAGAGTCTTACCCCTCCACCGGTGCCAGTAACCCATCCCCAATTGTAGAATTTGCGGCATAACTCCGGAATGAGGTTCGCCGGGTGCTCGGGGTCGGAAGACTGCACGAGGTGGTCATTGTTGGTGGTGGCCGCGACGGCCTCGTCTGGAGTGGAGGACATGGTGGGCTGGAGGGGGGAGTCAGCGCTGGACGTGAGCACGTTCCGACGCCTGTCGGGCGTGCCACAAGCAGATCATTGAAGCTGCCGAGACCTAGCGACCAATTCTCACTTACTATGAGACAAAAAAGTGTCAGTCAAGTGGTTGATCTGGGATGGAGCAGCGCCGGTCTAACTGGCGCAATCAATAAATCTTCCCGGGCGGGGTGGAATCTGCAGCTCCGCGCATTACACAGCACCCAATCACCCAATGAATCCTACGGCAACACGGGCGCTGCGCAACTGCCAAACAGGTTGATCGGGAAGAATTAATGGAACTTTCCGTCTACTTCAGCTGGTAATTGGAACCCTTTCAATTCTATCAAAGCAGTAGAAATCCCATATTCGCAACCTTGAATGCCTGGCATGAAGTATAGTTTCCTCGCATCGAAGGCGATCGAAGGGGACGCGGTACCTCACGGCCGCACTAGTCCCGATTGGGAGCTGCGATGAAGAGGCCACCTGGACCTTCTTCGACCTTCGCCAGTCCGCGTCGCTCTATATAACCTCCGCGTTTCTCCTCTTTCCTGAGGCTGTCTTTTCCCCTCTTCCCTTTACCCCGGTGCTGTGCGCTTTCCCTCATTTCGTCCCTTGTTGTTCATCATGCGCTTCAACACCGCCGTCACGGCTCTGGTCTCATCGGCTACCCTTCTGGGCTATGCCCATGCCGAGGAAGCGGAAGCTGTTCCTAATGCCGCTGCTGCCGTTGAGAAGCCCACCTTCACGGTATGTTCGGAACCACCCATAATTGACCTTGAATGATCCTCCTAACCCCCTTACTAGCCGACTTCTCTCAAGGCTCCCTTCCTGGAGCAGTTCACCGACGATTGGGAGTCGCGGTGGCAACTCTCGCACGCGAAGAAGGACGACCCCAAGTCTGATGAGGACTGGGCCTACGTCGGCGAATGGGCGGTTGAGGAGCCCTCTGTCTTCAAGGGCATTGAGGGCGACAAGGGTCTGGTCGTAAAGAACGCGGCTGCCCATCACGCCATCTCGGCCAAGTTCCCCAAGAAGATTGACAACAAGGGCAAGACTCTGGTGGTCCAGTATGAGGTCAAGCCCCAGAACTCCCTGGTCTGCGGCGGTGCCTACCTTAAGCTCCTCCAGGAGAACAAGAAGCTCCACCAGGAGGAGTTCTCCAACGGCACTCCCTATGTGATCATGTTCGGTCCCGACAAGTGCGGTGCCACCAACAAGGTATGTTCCAGGCCCCCGATGCTTGTTGAGTGAGATCATCAGTGCTCACCATCTTCCACTCTCTGTCCAGGTCCACTTCATCTTCCGTCACAAGAACCCCAAGACCGGCGAGTATGAGGAGAAGCACCTCAAGACTCCCCCCGTTGCCCGCACCTCCAAGCTCACCTCCCTTTACACCCTGGTCGTCAAGCCCGATCAAACGTTTGAGATCCTCGTCAACGGCGAGTCCGTCAAGGAGGGAAGCCTCCTGGAGGAATTCAACCCTCCCGTCAACCCTGAGAAGGAGATTGACGACCCCAAGGACAAGAAGCCCGCTGACTGGGTGGACGAGGTGAAGATCGCCGATCCCGAGGCCACCAAGCCAGAGGACTGGGATGAGGAGGCTCCCTTTGAGATTGTGGATGAGGAGGCGGAGAAGCCCGCTGACTGGCTGGAGGACGAGCCCACTAGCGTCCCTGACCCTGAGGCCGAGAAGCCCGAGGACTGGGATGAGGAGGAGGATGGTGACTGGCTCGCCCCCACGGTTCCCAACCCCAAGTGCGCCGATGTCTCTGGCTGTGGCGAGTGGATTCGTCCCATGATCAAGAACCCCGAGTATAAGGGCAAGTGGTCCGCTCCTATGATTGACAACCCTGCGTACAAGGGTCCTTGGGCCCCGCGCAAGATTGCCAACCCCAACTACTTCGAGGACAAGACTCCCTCCAACTTGGAGCCCATGGGCGCTGTGAGTACATCCCTTTTCCGTCCGCTGGTAGCGGCACTGAATGCTGACGTGTCTCGCAGATTGGTTTCGAGATCTGGACCATGCAGAACGACATCCTGTTTGACAACATCTATATCGGTCACTCCGTCGAGGAGGCTGAGCAGCTCCGCAAGGAGACCTTTGATGTCAAGTACCCCATTGAGGAGGCCGAGGAGGAGGCCAGCAAGCCTAAGCCCGTGGCTCCTGTTGGAGGTACCACTGTCGCCTTCAAGGAGGACCCTGTCACGTTCGTCCGCCAGAAGATTTACTACTTTAACCACCTGGCCAAGCAGGACCCCATCGACGCCGTCAAGAAAGTCCCCGAGGTGGCTGGTGGACTGGTTGCCCTCCTGTTGACCTCCATCCTGATCATCGTGGGTGCCATTCGTTCCAGCAGCCCGGCTCCCGCTGCAGAGAAGAAGGGCAAGGCGGCAGCCGGCGGTGCCAAGGAGAAGACTGGCGAGGCCACCAGCTCCTCCGCCGACACTGGCAAGGGCGGAGTCACCAAGCGCGCCACTCGCTCCTCTGCGGAGTAAAAGACGACACCAAATGTTGGAAGAAAGCGTTACCCCATAAACCCAAACAATTGAGATCGCATAGTTTTTTCCCTGCGTTGTTTTCCTTATTCCCCCAAATTATCACCTGTTTGTTATTGGCATATGTAGCACTAGTAAAGTACTTTTAGGTAGTGCGAGATCCACTTCGAAATGGAGGGCCCGGTATACTCGTTCATTTTTCTTCCTCAAAACGCGTATTTCCTCCAATGGCAAATTTCCTTTTTTAAGGGCATGAATACGGTGATACGGAAGGTCATACAGCTAGCTACTTGCTATAAGGATTGTCTAGACTGATCAGATCAATAGTAGTATGTTTACATGGGGTACTGTAGGTGGGCTGTACTTTGAAACAGCCTGGCAGGATATCGCGAACGGGTCATTTCTCGGAACTGCCTACCCCGAAGTAGCTCCTATGCGAGCTTGGATGCGATTGCGGGCAGCTTCGGCGATTCGAGTTGATTGCTGTGAAACCTGATTGGCTGGCAATACCGAGGCCAGCTTATCGCCTCCTCAGTTTGACCCCGTTTGTATGTTTGTATGGGGGGCGATAGAAAGGCGGTAGGGCGACCGGGCGGTTGACCTCGGGCCTGAGGTAACCTGCATTCCCTTTGGGTCACTGGCCGGCCTTCTTATACTTCATTCTCGCCACGTAACACAGCGTCCTTGACCTGCGTCTTCTTTCACCTCCTGTTGTCTCCCAAATACCCTCTTCAGCTTTCCTTTCATCTCGTCAATCTATCATGGCCGCCCGCCGGTCTTTGGCCCGTACCATCCCCGCTCTCCGCTCTTCTCCCCGCACGCCCCTCGTCGCCAGGGCTGCCTCCAGTGCCCGGTCCCTGACCACTACTACGACGCGAATTGCCCACCTGTCTTCTCAGCAATCAGTGTCGACTCCCGGAGCCATGTCTGCCGCTCGGCGCTTGCATGCCACTGCTAAGCAGCTCACGCCGGCAACCACCTCTGCTGCCACCACCGCTACCGAGTATCCGACGGACCACCAGCCGATTGTGAACCCGATCGATACGACCAACTTCATTGACAACGAATTTGTCACTTCTAAGGCCACCACCTGGATTGATCTCCATGACCCTGCCACAAACAACTTGGTGACCCGGGTGCCTCAAAGCACCGATGAGGAGCTCCAGGCCGCCGTCAAGTCTGCCGAGAAGGCATTCCCCGCCTGGCGAGCAACCAGTATCATGGCGAAGCAGCAGATTCTGTTCAAGTTCACCAACCTGATCCGTGACAACTGGGACCGGCTAGCCGCATCCATCACTCTCGAGCAGGGCAAGACCTTCGCTGACGCCAAGGGTGATGTTCTCCGTGGTCTGCAGGTCGCTGAGACTGCCTGTGGTATCACCACCCAGATGCCCGGTGAGGTTCTGGAGGTGGCCAAGGATATGGAGACCCGCAGCTACCGTGAGCCTTTGGGTGTTGTCGCTGCCATTTGCCCCTTTAGTAAGTTCTGGGACAACTGTTATCATACTTCCCTATCCGCCGCTGACTGACGATAAGACTTCCCCGCTATGATTCCCCTCTGGTGTATCCCTATCGCCACCGTTACTGGTAACTGTTTGGTCATGAAGCCCTCTGAGCGTGACCCCGGGGCTGCTATGATCCTAGCCGAGCTGGCTAAGGAGGCTGGCTTCCCTCCTGGTGTGATCAACATCGTTCACGGTTCCGCCCGTACCGTCGACTTCATCCTCGACGAGCCCGCTATTAAAGCTATCAGCTTCGTCGGCAGCAACCGTGCTGGCGAGTATATATATACCCGCGGCTCTGCCAATGGCAAGCGTGTCCAGGCCAACCTAGGTGCCAAGAACCACGCCGCCGTCCTGCCCGACTGCAACAAAAATCACACCCTGAACGCCATCGTGGGTGCCGCCTTTGGTGCTGCTGGACAGCGCTGCATGGCTCTCAGCACCACTGTTATGGTCGGTGAGACCAAGGACTGGCTGCCTGAGATTGCCGAGCGTGCGAAGGCTCTCAAAGTGAACGGCGGCTTCGAGGAGGGTGCTGATCTCGGCCCTGTCATCAGTCCCGAGAGCAAGAAGCGCATTGAGGACCTCATCGCTAGCGCTGAGGAGGAGGGTGCTACCATTCTCCTTGATGGCCGAGGCTGCAAGCCCGAGAAGTACCCCAACGGCAACTTTGTAAGAAGAGCAATCTCCATGTTGACGATAACCCTCATACTGATGTTAAGTTCATCCAGATCGGCCCCACCATCATCACCAATGTCACTCCTGACATGAAGTGCTACAAGGAGGAGATCTTCGGGCCCGTCCTCGTCTGCCTGAATGTCGAGACCCTAGATGACGCCATCAACCTCATCAATGCCAACGAGTACGGCAACGGCGCCGCCATTTTCACCCGCTCCGGCTCGACCGCCTCGCGTTTCCAGAAGGACATCGAGGCCGGCCAGCTGGGTATCAACGTGCCCATCCCCGTACCCCTGCCCATGTTCTCCTTCACCGGTAACAAAAAGAGTATCGCCGGTGGTGGTGCGAACACCTTCTACGGCAAGCCCGGCTTGCAATTCTATACCCAGCAGAAGACCGTGACCAGCTTGTGGAAGGCTGAGGACGCGGTCAGCACCAAGGCGAGTGTCGTGATGCCCACTCACTCGTAAACGCTGGCCATAATGCTTTTTTTCATTCATTTACTCCTTTGTCTCGTCATGATCATGTACTCTTTATGCATATTTTGTTCCTCAAAAAATTGGCCTACGAGCGGCTTCCGGCCCTGCAATGCAAATACCCCAACCGTCCTTGGGGCAATTACCTCTCAGGAACCTCCGTTTTCCCTCTAATTTTAATAGAAATAGCTCAAAACTACCCGGGCTTACATTTGCAAGAATGTTTTTAAAATGACCCCCAAGGGGTTGAACCCCGGTCATCTAACCTCGTCGGCTCCCACGATTCTTCGAATAGCCTCAACTGCGCCCGAGGCTTGGCACTCGTCACACGACACTCAACATCGAATAACACAGTCAAATGATAAGAACAATTTAAAAACCAGATCCCCCACATTGAGGAATGGTGCACCTCAATGTATGTCAAGCAGGCTCCTCAGTGGATCGGCCCCAAGACACCAGGGATGCAGTCACGCGATCGCCTCGGCCCAGCAATTTCTGCACATGACGGAAAATGGATGTACGCGTTACCCACTGCACCACAGGGGGAATCTGGTTAGAAAGAATACCCATTCGGGGGTCATAAGGGGTGATTTTGGCGGTGTTAGGAAGGTACGCTACTCGGTGGATGGATGGGACATACCTGCCGTCCGAGGAGACTGGGTGGATGCTAAGAGAAGACGGGATTGAGTGGCAGGGCTGGTTGGTGTGTAATCATGAACTAAATGTGGGCAAGCGCTCACCTTTTTCTAGCGGTTATTATTGGTGTCGGTAGCCAGTCACTATGGGAGGAAACGAGCAGTTAGGGCTGGTATGGGCAGCACCTACTGTAAACACAAGTTTACATCCACAGAATACACAATGGCCCTACCAACAGACCTTGCTCGGTCAAACGATTGATCAATCGACACCATTGAAGCAAGCTACGACAGTCAACAATACTTCTTTACGTCCACGCAGGTACATCAGGGTAGCAAATTAGCCAGCAATTGAGTTGGTCTACTTTCTATCGAGTTGGTGGAGCAACATTTGGGTCTCACGAAGCCCATCCAAGTTTTAATCCATCTCTTCTCATACCAAGCTTTTACTCGCCCCGTCGTGCCTCGAACTTGTACACCAGACGAGCCAGTTCGACCTGACCCTCCTTGGTCACGGCAACACGGCGGGTGTGGCGGCGCTGGCCATCAACAAGCTCGAAGCCCCAGATCTAAAAGAGTGGAGATTAGCACCCGCAAATCACATGCAAGCATCACGTATATTGAAATGCCAGAAAAAAGGCTAACATACCTGCTCAGCAGTCCAGCCTTTCTCATCATTCACGACAAAGCTCTGCATCCAGAGACCCTCACCCTCGCCAAACTCTGCACCCTCATCGTCAACAAGGAAGCCCTCCGCAGCAGATCCGTCGAGGAGGACCTCGCCGCGCAGGAAACGCTGAACCCTAGCATCCTTTTCACCCTCACCGACCTTGGTCTGGAAATCAACGGCCGGGCGGACCTTGCCGTCGTCTCCCTTGGAGCCACGGAGAAACCGCGACTTGCCGTGCACGGTGCCGAAGATCTTGTCGACATGGTCGCGCCCCTGCCAGTCGAGCGTGCGTGCCTCCTTGCTTCCAGTAATACCGCCGGTAATGACCTGTTCAACATCGATGTGATACACCTGCGGGTTCTCGGAGTCCGCATACTCATGCACATGCAGGGTAACGGTGGCGTAGGGGAGGGCCTTTCGGAGTACCCAGCTCATGCCTTGCTGCGTCAGGGTTAGCGGGTTTCCTTTTTCTGTGTGCCCTTGGCATGGATACCCATGTACGAGCTTGTGGAGCCCTGAGTGCACGCCCATTGGGTTCATACCAAAGACAGGATGGGATCAGCGGGGTCGGACAGGGTTGCGTCCTGTTGCACAAAGTCGTAAATCGTCAGTTTCAATTTCACCGGTGAGTAATATTCTCCTTCGCTTGGGAACATACCATCACCCACTGCCCACTGAGGTTCTTGACTGTGATATCGGCGGGAGCAGCCATTTCGATCTTGTAGAGATAGCAATGCGGGGTGATGGGGTAAACGGCGAACAACTTAGTGGTCGTAACAAGTGAGATTGTGCGAATTGAGAGTGGAATTGAAAGACACAATAAGTTCTGGAGAGATTAAAGGAGAGAGCAACAGAAACTACGTAGGTACTGGTCGCTCGGCCTCCCTATTATATACCTTTGCCTGTTGCTCTTGCGCATGTGGTTCTCCCGAGGCTGACACGTGCATGCTGAATCAGCGAACCTATGATGTCGGCGGGTCCGTCGGTTTCCCGTGCCTGTATGCCTTACTGCCTGAGGCTGTCAATCATCCGCGACTCGGGATATAGTTCCTCAATAGTGCTTCCATTGTTTTGAGTCTCCTCCCCCCACCTCCACCGCCATGGCATTCAGCAAGAAATACGCCGGTTTACCCGATCTGGTGAGTCCTCAATATGATGTATCTATTTTAACCACTAACAGAATCCTAGGACCCGGCGCCGGATATCTATGAAACCCCTGATTTGACCGACGAGGCATCCACCGTCCCCGTGAGTCTAGCATAACCTGCAGCAAGCGGCATAGGTCAAAGCTAACAATCGCACTCGAACCCAGACCACCACTGTTCGCACCGATTCCGATCATGATGACACCGGTTTCAGCTCCGACATCGACCGCGAGGGTGTGGACGCGGACCAGGCGCGTTTGCACTTCATGGGCGCGGCGGTCGACGCTCGCGACGCCAATTTTTCCGACAGCATTTCCATGAAGCGCCAAGCGTATCGCAGTAAAGACAAAAATCATCGCCGACGACGGAGACGTGAGGACGGCACCGAGGAAGTCGGTGACTTGAGTGATAGCGAGGACGAGTCGCTCGAGCGGCGGCTGGCACGCCTGCGACGAGAGGTGGAAGATCTCAAGGTGCAAATGGCAAATCAGTCTCGTTCGGGACAAAATGAGGCCGAGAAGGCCCAGGCTACATCTGCAGCTGATAAGCCCGGAGAGAAGGCGCTGGGCGACGGCGTTGCGGAGTTGAGCCGCGCGCTGGACAATTTGCATGCCTCCTCGCGAGGTGGCCAGTCTTCATCGTACTCGGCGGCAGCAGTGCTCACCCGGAAGCTTGAGACCGGGCCTCAGAGTTCTTCGGGGCCTGGCGCAGATACATTAAAGGCACAGTCCCCGGAAAAGGGCTCCGCAACAACCGCTGTTACACCCGTACCGTCTACCGCACCAGCTGCGGGCCTTCTTTCTCATGCGGCTGCGTTTGAAGGCCGGCTGGCACTTCTTGAAGCATCAATGGGCATCTCGAGCTCTTCGAACCCATTCATCGGCGACGGCATCAGCGAGCCCGCCCTACAGCCGGTGCTCCCTGCGCTGGACCAAATGACCTCCCGCCTCTCAACCCTCACCGGTCTTCTCGTCGGCGCAAACCCTGCCTCTGGCGGTCCCAGTACCGTTCCAAGCCTAACAACTCCGCACCTAGAAGCTCTCTCCACGCGAGTCCGCAAGTTGACCACTGACGCCGAAGCCCTCGCCTCTGCTCGCAGGCGTGCAGCCGACGCCGCAAAGGCTGCCCAGGCCGCTCGCATTGCTTCAGGCTCCGATGCGGACGCTGCGCCTACGGCGGACGGTCTCGGCACCGCTGATGACGAGCAGACCGCCAAGATCCAGGCCCTCTACGCTACCCTCCCAACCATCCAGTCCCTGCACCCCTTATTACCAAGCGTGCTGGAGCGTCTCCGCTCTCTACGTGCCTGCCACGCCGGCGCCGCCCACGCGGCTGACCTTCTCAACGAGCTTGAGAAACGGCACGCGGAGATGGCCTCGGAGATCGAGCAGTGGCGTGAAGGCCTTACGGCCGTGGAGACGAAGATGAAGCAGGGCGAGGCCGCCCTGCGCTCGAATGTCGAGACCGTTGAGCCCTGGGTGCGGGATCTAGAGTCTCGCATCGCCCGATTAGACGGCCCTCCGGGCGGCCTGTGAGATGCGCCGAAGTTCCATTTTGTTTATTGGTCTGCTCCTGGTGAGGGTGGAGATCTTTCATGATACATAATACCCTGCTGCATGTACTTCCTTTGATCTAAGTGCCTGGTGCGTTACGTAGAGTCGAGATGGGCTCAACTGTGGATATTTTTGTCAATTCTACGGGATAAATACATAACCTGTTGGTCGATGGAATAAGTTTACTCTCAAATCTTGGTATATAACCTAAGCGAGTACATATTTGGGACCACATAGCTTTCTTTCCCCATTTCATATGCTCGAATCCCCTTGAACCCGTTTGAGAACCTTGACCCTCGGTCTCATCTTCAACTCGACCCACCAGCCGCGCAATACAAGCTTCCTCACAAAATCTCGCACTTTTTCGTAGACACGTACTAAAGACTCCCCGGTCAACTTGGCCAGAATCCGTTGCTCCGCAACCCTAGCGGCAGGAGCTCCTGGTCTCAGGATAGAAATGCCAACAAAGCCGTCGACAACCTCGGCTGTCTCCCATTGCGAAGAGGGGAGTGCACTGTGCAGACGAGTCTCATCAGCATCCCTGAACTCAGGGTCCGCAGAAGCCTCGACAAGAACGTAGTCGAACTGGTCCCAGAATTTCCCGGTGGACTTGGTGTTTTCGTCCTCGGTCTTGTCATAGCTCCAGCCCTGTTCGGGAGATCGTTGCAAGAACCGCGTGACGCCAGTTTGGCAGGCCAGGTTCCCAAGGTAGACTGAAGCACCGCTGGACAAGGACTGCTGCTCATGGTAGCGGTGGAGTGCATTCAAAGCATGAGCACCAGGGTAGTTCGCTGCTGAGGCAGGCAGAAGCGCCAGATTGGACAGCAGGAAAGCCGCCACGGTCGAGAGAACCAGGAGGTGAGACGCGATATAAGCAAATGCAGATCGGCTACGCCGAGTCCAGAGATAACCAGCCCCGAGAGCAGCTGTAGCAGTGAGAACCGGAACGACATAGATAATAAAGCGCCACTCCTTGTGCGGTTGGGCACTATACAGCGTCACGAAGGCCATGCATGGCGCAAGGAGCGGGAGAATGGGCCGCCGCAGAGCGGGATTGCGCAGCGTAATCGGGATGGCGAGGAGGTAGATCAGCGGGTTAAGCAGAAGTCGAGGGAGCGCGTTCACGAAGTAAAAGTAGAAAGGCTCCGTGCCCCAGGCTGAGGACTGACCTTCGACAACGTTGAATAGGAACGCGTTTAGTTCGGGCCAGACGAGCTGGTTCCAGAACATACTGTCGATGCAAACAGTAAGAATGAGCCCACTCGTAAGACCCGCGAGGCCGGCAACAGCAACATCTGAGAAAAGCCGTGCGCGATGCGTGGCAAGCAAGAACAGAGCCGTAAATGCGACCAGAATAGCTAGTTCGGCGCGGAAGATCACGCCCGCCATAGTGAGCAGACACAGGCTCAATCTACCACCGCGCGCGCCGGCACGACCCCCCCATTGGGAGATTGAGTCGGGCAAGAGACACCGCATCGCTACGGTTGTCAGCCCAAAGGCGAATATGTTTGATAGCGGCCGCGAGGCGTAGTAGATGAGGTGGAACTGGCTGCTCTGAAACAGAAGGTACCACACAGCTACAGTCTGGCCGAAACTTTTCCGTAAGCCATGGGCGAAGACGCCTAGAGCAACGGCATTGTACAAGCCTAGAACAGCTCGGGCTACAGACAGCAATTAGCTTGAATCATCAACAGTGGGATGCAAGTATAGCAAGCTCCTACCCCAGATCTGCCGATTTACTCCCGTCCAAGCTGCCGTCAGCTGAGGCGATAACCCAGAGAGGATCGTCGCACCAACCGCAGTCCTAGGCACAGCGCCTGGAAACTCGAAGTGGTCATATTTACTGCGATTGGCGGTGGCGTTGAAAGGAAACCCGTGCGCGAGGATGTCATGGGTAGCCTGGACATGGAACGACTCTTCGACCTTGGTGTACGGCGCGACAAAAAGGTGCAGCAGAATCAAACCCGCCAGCAAGAACACGAGTCCAACCCATGCTGCATAGATATTAGCTATTGGCTTCTATATGTGGACGTTCGGTTGGGCCGGACTGACCCTGTCTCATGGTGGCTGCATCGGCAAGGACGAGTGGTTGATCCGGAGATCTGGCGCTTCCGCCGCACCTCAACTCGTCTTATCAACTCCGACCTTCAATCAATTCGACTCCGCCCATAGCACCCTTTCCCCCCAACGAGCAACCATGCTGCTCTTCGGTCTTGGGAAGCTTGTTTACGGTGAGTCAATTTCTGCTTTCGAATCTGGCTCATGCTGATCGCCCTCCTAGTCGTCGTCCTCATCATCAACTCCATCGCCATCCTCTCCGAGGACCGCTTCCTCGCTCGCAGTTCGTGGCCCCCTGTCCCGCGCTTGTGCTATGCAATCGCACAACTCTTGTGAATGGTATCTGTGCTCAGGTGAAGCTAATATATATGGAATCCAACAGTTGGCTGGGGCCGCACGCAAGCTGAGCCAGGCTTCGGCGCGACCTACGATAGCACCAGCGTGAAGGCGAAGTCGGTCAATTTGATTGCTAGTGTGCGGACAGTGATGCGGAGTAGGTGGCCTCCCTTTAAAATAGCCCCCTTGTGCTACGCTTAGCCTTGACATCTATTTCCGATGCGAGAGAGCAGGCATGCAATGCCATTTTCTCGACGGTAGTGCAGGCAGGCAGCAAGGCTTTCAAGTTCCCAGCTAATGCGCAAATGTGACCATAGTACCGCTCATCATCATCAACGCAATCATCATCGTCTACGAGCTCATCCTCGGTTGATTCCACTTCCCGCCCGACTTCTTTTGCCGAGCTGCTATACAGGCAGAGCAGGTGACAACCTCGCGACAGCTACCTCTCGTTTCCTTTGCGACGCCCCTGTATTGCGGCACCTTTTCCGTTATTTGAGCGAATCTAGGCTTTGCAGCCTAGGTTTTTTTTCAGCCACAAAATCAATGCGGCACGACGTACACGAGCAGACAACATACTAGAGCCGGTGGGTGGAGGAGAGTATTGATCTAGGTGTTTCCGGGAGAATGGACAGGATGGTTTCCTGGGCATGGCTCTTGTTTCCTGGGCATGGCTCTTCTGATTGTGTATTTCTGCATGGATAGGAACGCCGAGGTCCAGTCCATGTGTTGTTCTCTAGTCCTCCTCAAATTCCCAACCGACTTGTATATACCCACAATCCAATCAACTCAAAAGAGAATGTTCAGATAAGACAGAATAGCACTTGCAATTCAGTTGAATGATTACACAGTCCTGGTAAATATAGCAAGTTCGGGAATATCATAAGCTACTTGGCCACATTTGCAAGGTAATGGGGTGTGAAAACGGCATAAAAACCGGCATGCAATTAAGACCAAGGGAGAATTCGCTCACGGCTCGGCAGAAGGGACAAGAGAAGAAAAGGGAAATTGAACGCCATTCGATATAGCCAGATCCAATGCTTGCCTGCATTTGCAATCCCAAGATCATGACAAAATTAGAAAGATTGAAAAGTTTGAATAACGCCTCCTTTCAGGCCAGATAGAGGACAGACAAACCTCGCCGGCGAAGGTATCATGCCACCGTACATGTTACAGAAATCAGCAAAGCAGCAGGAGAAAATGAAGAAGAAACAGCCATGGTGGAAAATCCAAGAGAGTCTAGAAAGACATAGCTGGTGGAAGACCAGAGTCCACTGGGACCTCAAGGCCCTGCGGGTGCTCGACCGTCCAACAGGAGAATGGGGCGGACGGACGAAGCATGGCGCATATGGTGAAAATAGTGATGTTACATCCACGCAAAGCTATGTGCAAGAAGCAAATTGCGTTTATATGTGCATGATGATGGTGCTGGTGTTTGGGGGTGGGGGGTATCTCCGTGAAACGCGACTCAAAGCTGGCAGATGCAAGAAAAAGAAAAGGTCCTTGGAATACATAATGGTCTGCCGTTCATGATGATGCCTTTTTGAAGCTGAGCGACCTCCATCGGTGGGTTTGGCCAGTCTTTTCGTTCTTGGTGTCCTTGGTGTCCTTGGGGATCGGTGGCGGTGGGGGTACCAGGACTCGCGAGGGCATCTTTGGGTTAGAGAGACCCGGGGTATCCGTTAGGGGCACTGGTGGCTGTTCAGGCTCTGCCTCTTTGGCCGGGGCTTCGGGAACTGGTGTGGGCACCAGATCCGAAGTCGACATACGAGGTTCTTTGTCCTTGCTGAGGCGGTGGCTCAGGCTGCGGCTGCTGCGCCGAAGGAAGCTCAAGCTGGAGGACTTTCTGGGGGACCCATTCTCGGGACCAAGGTCAGCGGCGTCGGCCTTGCTGGCCTCAATAGCCCTTCGAAGTTCGTCAGCTTCCCGCCTGGCGTCCATTTGTTGATGTAGCCCGAGCTCTTTGCGGCGAGCCTTTTCGTTCCGTTCCCGCTCCTTTTCCGCTGCTCGGCGCTCCTTTTCCTCTCGAGCCTTCTCCTTCTTTGACTGCACATCGCTCTTTTTCGGACTCAGGCGAGGCGGTGGGTCGTCAGGGATTGCTGGCAGCGGTGGTTGAGGTTGAGCGGGCTGAACGGGTTGTTGGGAGGACGAATCGGACTCTGGGTGTTCGTGGTGAGGTTCCAGTTGAGGGGCGGTCGTCATTTTGCTGATGGGAGTAAACCGATTCGGGTCTTCGGAAGGGACGTAACTGGCGCTATGCACTTGAACCAGGTTATTCGGGGACGCCGGGTGTCCGTTAGATCTCCCGATATCGCCAGCTTCAGCAGCGGCCGCGGTGGACGCCTGGTCCTCCTGAGCTTGCTCCCGCATGACAGCCTCAAGCGTGGTCTCCTGGTAGAATAGAACGTATGCACAGGCCAGCCCGGGGCGATCACCGAAGAAATTCCGAACGTAGTTCTTATCGACCGGTTCCACAAGCTCATCGTCGAACAGTAACCAGCCGCGATCTTCGGTCTTGATGATGGCCACGTAATGACCATGATACGGTCCGCCGCCGATGTGGACGACAACCGCATACAACTCGTAAAGCCGATCCGGATCCTCGGCATCGTCGGACGTGTTGAAAAGCCGGAGATGATAAGGGTAGACGACCCGATGGAAGAGCTTTTGCAGTCGCTGCAGGTCTTCCGTATACTTAAAGCGTTTGAGGTGCAAGGCCAGCACACGGGGCAGGCGCTTGATCTTCATGCGCTTTTCGGCCTCCTGGAGGCCACCGCAGTTGTCACAGTGGAACTTGTTCCGCTCGCACAGCATCTCCTCCGCAGAGAATTTTCGAAGACAAGAGGTTACGGATGAATGCTGCTCCAGATCGACCGAAAGATCCAAGAACACCTCATCGCGTTGTGAGACCTTCTCGCAAGTCAAGCACTTGGTTTCCGAGGTCAATGTGCCTTCGAATAGCTCATGGACCCACCTCGTCGTGTTTGGAGACTTGGAGCCTGTGCTGGCGGTCAACAGTCCCAAAGAGTCTGCGCTATCGGAGGGCGGCGGCGGGAGCGCCTTCTCCGAGAATGCTTGCTTCGTCGCTTCCGCCTCCACGTTCGACACCACCTCATTCAGCAGTAGATTCAAGAACTCATGAGCATCCTGGTGCATGGCTGTCCGGAACATTTCATGCTCCCGCCGCAGCACGTCCAAGAACTGCTGGGGCCGAATCACTCCAATCCGAGACTGGCTGCCCACCAGCGACTCGAATATATCCTTCAGTGATGTAAAAGGGATTCCGACATGCCATAACTCGCAGCATTGTTCTTGGTCTCCATCAAGGGAAGGGTCTGGAGCGCGACCTTCTTCTTGTATTCAGGCGAATCCTTGTCTTCCGGCTTCTGGGGTTGGTTGGGAGGTACGCCCGCTTGGCGCGCTGAGGACGCCGGAGCCGCCGCCTTCTGCTTGGCTGCTTGTGCCTCAGCCTCCAAGTGCGCATTGGGGTTTTGGTACCGAAGGTTCTTGGCCAGCGCCGCCTCGAGGCTCTCCACGGGGGTACGCTGCGGGTAATTGATCACCGCCTCGCGAAAGGGAACGGAGTAATAGAGACATTGGAGGATTGAATTGCAATAGCAGGTGTTTCCGTACTGAAGGCGCATTGTCAGGTCAGCATCACGCCCTCATCCCATCGGCCTAGTGAAATGACTGAGCGGGAGTCTCACGTTTTCCATGCCATAAAACTTGTCACTGCCATCGCCTCGAAGCGGCCCCATGTCCTGTAACCTCTTCTCGAGCGGGGAGATCTGCGGCATCTGGGGGTCTTTCTTGGGTGGCGTCGCGGGGGAAGGGTTGGTCGGAGTCTGTGCGAGGAACCGTCAGTGGCGGTTCTCAACCAAATGGTCCCGCGAGCAGCAACGAGGGGCTTGGGGACCCTGGGAGGGCCTGGGGGGCACGTCTTGGCTGCGGTGCTACCGGCGGGGAGAGTTGATGTCGGGATCGAGTCGCTTACCCCATTGCTCCGGCGAGGGAGGAAGAGCCCCTTCATGATCGATGTGTGTCCTCGTCGGTCGCGCGCGGCGGCATGGAGAGGCGAGAACGATTTACCGGTCGCAACCAAGGAGGGACATGAGCGAAGGGTCGGGTCGCCGAGGGGGGAGGAGAGGGAGAGGGAGAGGGAGAGGAGAAGCACAGGGTGGACGAGAGGTAGGTTGGGGTAAATCGGGGAGGAAATTCAGGAACGTTGAGTCGCGGAGAGGGCGGTCCGGGGAAAGCCACGCCGGAAGTGTCTAGAACCCGGAACAGGAACGCAGGAACCGCCAGCCGGAGGAGAATGGGGGTTGAAGGGAACGGGAGAAGGAATCAGGGTTGGTGGCGCGCTGCCACGAAGGCTGGAGGATTAGAAAAGCCGGAGAGAGCAGAGCAGAGCCAGGACGATGACGGAGCGGAGCAAGTTAGTGAGCACTTCTCGGACGGGCTAAGTACTACAACAGTTTATATGAGGAGCGATGGAATTCACCGTACCAGCCCCTTGGGAAGTGAGGGACCGATTGGAACCTCTGGGCTTCTCTACTTGGTACAGCAGCGCAAATCGATGGCTGTGGATGACTGACGGCTGTTGGATTTCGCGCAGCCTGCAGCGGAAGCGTCCAGAAAAGCCTCCGGCATGGCTTTGGCCGACTGACTTGACCTGTAAAGCGACTGCGGAGTACAAAGTAGACGCTTAGCGAACGGTCCTGGACTAACTACATTGTCACTAGTCCCGTCTGGAGCGGACAAAGTGGCCCGTCAGTGCCGCGACATGCTCGAGCCACGTGGAGTTCTCGGCAGGTACTGGGCCAATCGCCGATTTGTGCGGTGCTGCACGACTCGAACATGACCCTCCACGATAGCACAACGTGTGCCAGATCTATCGGGCGGGTCCTGTAGAGGGGAAGGGGAACGGAGTCCGAAGTGGCCGGCCACCGCCATGAGGCTCGCTCGTGTTCTTTTCCCACCTTCCTTCCCCAGCGGAGCCCCCACAGCCATGGAACGTCCTTCCCCCATTTCGCTGCCTGGCCGATGAACTCTGGAACTCCCCCTCAACTTGTCCACACTGATTGGCTCGTGCCCGCTGCTGCTCACGGGCCATGTATCCGCCCCTCGCATGGCGTGCCACAACGGCCAATGATCGTCGCTGTCGTGGAGAGGGTGGCGGTGGAGTCCTTCGAATCCGGGCGCCTTCCTACGGTCCACGGCGCCCGACTGGTCACGGTAACCGCTCCAGTACCTCCACCGTCAGTCTGACCCTCCATCATTCCAGCGGGGGCCAAACACCTCCAAATCATCAAATCGTGCTGCAAGGAGCATACAGAACCCTTCCATCAAGAATCAAGATCACCCCGAATCCCTGCGGCCGCGCGGCCCACGCACTCCCATACAACTCAGATGGGCGGCGACTTTCCGAGCTGGCAGCGCCAGCGCCCCCAGAAATGATACAGTAGTGTGCGCCCACCTGTGTTGTCAATGATAGTGGCCCCTTGCGGAGCCCAGCGCGCGTGCTAAACCTCCAAAGGACTGACTGTGCCCCCGGACCGCGACCTGGTGTACGCCATCGGTCTCGAGACGTGTACGGAGACACCGCACTGGTCGAGGGAGGGGCCTCTCTTCCATTCTCACAGTAGGGGTCTGAACACGCCTCCCCCGCCTGGGCGCATTCGGCCGGCCATCAATCGCGTATTGGAAGAGGGGCGCAGAGGTTGCAGGGTGACCAAGGCGGCGGGCCAAGGTTGGAGGCTGGCTGATGCAGATTGCCCTACCGCACAGCTGAATCAAACATCTCTGTTGCCCGGGATGCATGTACATCATAGTGGGGGTGGCCCTCCGCAGGCTGATTCAATCGCCGTCGGCCCTGTGGCGCGAGGGAGATAGTCCCCGTTGCATTGGCATTGGGTACGCGAGGCTAGACCTGCGCAAGGACAACACCGCAGCCTCCGCGGTGCTGGTCTGCTTGGCAGACCCGAAGGAGTTACCCGAGGACGGGCGAAAGGTTGAAGGCTGACAGGAGTCAGTCTAGTCTGTCGGCCCTCGATGGGCTACACGAGGCGTGTTTCTTTCGCCCTTTCTATGAGATCAATTTGTGTCCAGGTCTAATTAACCCCAAGTCCGAGGCTTTTTGATTGGCGGCGATCGTCTTTTTTGTCGTAGGGTCTCATCCTTATCCACGCCCATTTGGCGACTCGACAATCTGATTCGCGGATTGGGCAACCATTAATTTATTTCGCTCTCACGATTAATCAATATCGGTCTGTCTTGGTAGTTATTACCCAGAGTTGTCGCTCACCCCGTATACAGGCTTTACTGAGTTAGAAAGGTATCAGATCCTTGAATCAATCGCCGTTGCTTGGTGCCTGGGTATATCGATCGAGCCAATTGCCTTGTTGCTATGTTAAACCTGCCCCTATTCTCGTAGGTACCTATACACTTGATAACCTCAATAACTTATGGCGTAAGCCTGCCATTTCTAGGTAAGCTAGCATCCTCACCTATGAAGCTTATGGGTTATCAAATGAAAAATGCCGGTACTTATGGGACACGATCAACTCCTGCAGGAGTTGGGCCCAACCTTAGTATTGACTATGACATCATTAGCCACACTAATCGAAACTATCTAGGTGCATGCTCTAAGCATCGGAAGAAAGCTGAGTTAAACACAGGGAAAGTGCCTGGTGGAATATATTACATACCTAGTAGTCCAGGGTTCTTCTTGTAGTACTCCCCTGGATTTCTTTCTGGCGATATAGCTCGATGAACAACACCGCCACCCTTTCCCGAATATGGGAGTCTTCAGATAGCAAGAACTCGAATAAATCTAGGTTCTTTCTTTTGAAGCTATGTTCCACTTTCCTTAGCTTTTATGGTCCCAGATTATCTCTCTGCAGGTGTATATGGAATACTTAGCAGGCCCGGATAAACCTCCGGAAAAACCTCCCCGAAGCAGGAAAAAGGCCCGACCAACCAATTCTGGCAACAACTTTTATCGCGAAAGCTCGCGACGCTCTTATGACGGGCCTTCCTGCTTCTCTACGCTCAGCACGACGAGCAATTGTCGACTCCTCCGGCGCGGTCTCTCTCGTTCGCGTGACTCATCTGCCAGCACAACGCCAGCGCGCCGCCGCCTCGAATCAAATTTGTCTCCGTGTCCCCACCATCCCCCACCATCCAAATCTTCCCCGCCGCACTCGTTTCTTTTCCTCAATCCCTCATTTCGCCGCGGAGATCAACACAATGGGCAAAGATAAGGGTCCCTCGTTCAACCTCAAGACCCCTAAGGGCACCAAGGACTGGTGCGGTTCCGACGCCATCCTCCGGGACCGCATCTTCACCACCATCGCCGACGTTTTCAAGCGCCACGGTGGCACCGCCCTCGATACCCCTGTCTTTGAGCTGCGTGAGATCCTGGCCGGCAAGTATGGTGAGGACTCCAAGCTCATTTACGACCTCCAGGACCAGGGCGGCGAGATCTGCTCGCTGCGCTACGACCTGACGGTTCCTTTTGCGCGGTGGCTCGCCATGAACCCTGATATCCGCAGCATCAAGCGCTACCACATTGCGAAGGTGTACCGCCGAGACCAGCCGGCCGTCAGCAAGGGCCGTATGCGTGAGTTCTACCAGTGCGACTTCGACATCGCTGGTACCTTCGACGCTATGGTGCCCGACGCCGAGGTTATGCGCATTGTCAGCGAAGTATTTGAGGAGCTGGGCTGGAACGGCCAATATACCATCAAGATCAACCACCGCAAGATTCTGGACGGCGTGTTCCAGGTCTGCGGCGTGCCCGAGGACAAGATTCGGCCTATCTCGAGTGCCGTCGACAAGCTGGATAAGATGCCGTGGGCGGACGTGCGTAAGGAAATGGTTGAGCAGAAGGGCCTGGATGGTGCTGTGGCGGATCTCATCGAGACCTACGTCATGAACAAGGGCGGGCGTGAACTGCTGAACAAGCTGCTCCAGGATGAGAGGCTTACTGCCAACGCCTCTGCCAAGGCCGGCCTGGATGACATGGCCCTGATGATGGACTACTTGGAGGCATTCAATGTGCTGGATAAGATCTCGTTCGATATGTCTTTGGCCCGTGGATTGGATTACTATACTGGCGTGATCTACGAGGTTGTCACCGAGGGCTCCGCCCCCGCTGTGCAGTCTGATGCCCCGGAGGCCCAGAAGCTGCAGAAGTCCGGCAAGAAGGACAAGTCGAAGAACTCCGAGGATGATGACCGGTCCAATGACCCTACTCTTGGCGTTGGCAGTGTTGCTGCGGGTGGACGCTACGATAATCTGGTGGGTATGTTCCTGCCCAAGGCGCAAATTCCCTGCGTTGGCGTTTCATTCGGTGTCGACCGCATCTTCTCTATCACCAAGGCACGCCTCGAGCGTGAACAGAGTGCCAAGACTCTCCGAAATAGCGAGGTGGATGTTCTTGTCATGGCTTTCGGCGGCAAGGGCTTTACCGGTATGCTCAAGGAGCGTATGGAGATCTGCCAGAAGCTGTGGAGCGCCGGTATCAAGGTAAATAACTTAGCACTCCTCTTTTCGCTCTGAGCATGCAGACTAATCCGTCTCAGGCCGAGTTCTCGTACAAGCTCAAGCCCAAGCCAATGCAGCAATTCAAGGCTGCCGAAGACGGCGGCATTCCCTTCGGCGTCATCATCGGCGAAGACGAGCTGGCCGCCGGCAAGGTCAAGATCAAGGAGATGGGTCTGGACAAGGACCACCCCGAGAAGGAGGGTGTGGAGGTTGATCTGGCTTCGCTCATCTCCGAGGTGCAGTCCCGCCTTGTCCGGAAACAGGGCGGCTCTGTTGTCAGCTTGGCGCAGCAGCTGCAGGGCGTGCAGGTTTGACCCCCTTCTGCATTGCAAAAAGTAAAGGATCGGGCGTTTGTTTTTTCTTTTCTTTTTGTTCCCCTTCATCGTCTCTTTGTTACCCACTTCGGCCATGGTTCGACCGCTTAGCATTACCCTTTTCTCTCTAAAATATAGACACCGTCTCCCTTTCTCTTTTGCAAGTGCCCAAGTCACTGGGAACCCTGCTGATCACGCACCTGGAAAAGTCGGGGGGTTCCATCGCCCAAGCCACATATAGCGGAGTTGCCTATACCCAATACATTATACACCGGCTTCTTAGAAAGATATAGTCTTTTATAAACTGAATAAATCGCAAAGATGGGTTTTACATTACTGTACTTTACGATTCGAGAGATGGTGATCGAGAGATGCTTGGGCTAGAGGGTCAACATGTGAGGAAGGCACAGAGGGCATCAATCTAAAGGAGATACGTAAAATATACAGCTACCTATCCTACGTCAGCAATCTTCTGGGGGGAAAATGCTCTACTTTTCCGGAACGGCTTAGCTAAATATGGATTATGGCTTGTGGTGATACGGTTATGGAAAGAAGTGGTTAATTGTTCAACCTAAGGGATATCTGTTTTCAACTCCGATTGTAAAAAGAACCGGAAGCGCCACCACTTTCGGCCACACCTAATAGCCCTCGGCATTCTTCATCAAGAATGACTTGACAAACGGCAGCTTATCAATGACGTCCAGACCCAAGCTGCGCGCCCAGGTAACAGGACCATGACCGGGGATATTATACATCTTATGCAGCAGATCGCACGCTCCCCCAATCTTGGCATTGGTCAAATACCGCTCGGAGGAGTACCGCTCAAGAGTGAGGAGATCGCCAATATCCATGCCGTGAGACACGGCATACTCGATCGTCTGCGAGAGCGCAGCAACATCCGCAAGGCCCAAGTTCAAGCCCTGGCCAGCTAGCGGGTGGATCACGTGCGCTGCGTCGCCAACGAGGGCGACCCGCGGGGAGATGTATTGCGCTGCGTGGCGGAAGCGCAGCGGGAAGGATGCGACTGTGCCTGCTTGCACGCCTGTTGCGACGGGGGGATGTGTGCAGGGAGGGGGTGTGCTGGAGGCGCCAGGACAGCTCGTCCTCGTGGGGCGAGGGATCTGAGGATGGCGGTGCCATACCCATCATGTACTTGAGGTCAGTTCCGGACAGCCGGAAGGCAGCGTTGACCATAGCCAGGAAGGCAGGTGTGGGGAGGGACTTGAGGTATGCAGCATGCTCGGGGGTTGTGGACCAGACGAGCGTGGCGTGATTGTTTGGCAGGGGGAGCAGAGCAATTGGGCCACCAAGGGCGGGGAGGAAGCGCTGGTAAGCTGTGCGCATGTTGGCGGGGAATGGAGGAGTCTCGGGGTCTGCGAGGGCGAGAGTAGCGACAATGCCGTGCCGGTTATAGTCCCAGCCCTGGGTGGTGATATCGGCGAACGAGCGCACAGGACTGTTGATCCCATCGGCGCCAACTAGAAGCCTGGCTGCAATACGGGACGATGATTGTGCCTCTGCACCAGCTCCTGTTGGTTTAATGGAGAGAACAGGCCACGCCGACAGGTCAGGTCCGTTGGTTGGGGAATCCGACCCATTCTCAATCCCAGCAACAGTAGTATTCGAGAAAAGGGTCAGATTTTCCTCTCCCGATGCCGTAATTCGCCCCAGCAAGCCGCGCACCAGGTTCGAATTTTCCGTCATCGTCGCCACAGTGCGCATAGCTTCAAACGCGGGAGTCTCCATCGACCAGTCAAACGATATTCGGGACCCGGTCTCGCCATCCCACACCTGCATCTCTTGATAGTCCTGCACACGCTGGATATCCAGGTGCTCCCAAGCACCGATTTTCTGCAAGAAAGCCTTGGAGGAGGGTGTCAGGCTGCTGACTCGGTTGGAGAACTGGGCCGAGTCCATTTTCCAGGACCGCGCCTTGTTGAGGTCTTGGCTTTCGATGAGAGCAACTTTAAGCTTTGAGGTGATAGGAGAAGCTCCTACAATTGAAAGCAATCAGAACCCCGTTCAACAAGCTTGTATTCGGTGGCAGTATCACTTACGCAGCGCCGCCAAAAGCCCTAGGCCCGCCGGGCCACCCCCGACGCAGACAACATCGTAGATGTCCGGGGCTTGGTTGGTCTGGGTACCGAACCGTCGTCGACCAGCGCCAACGCCATGCCGGCAAGACGGACAGACATATGGCCGTAGGGCGGCTCGCGGGATTGGACGCATGGTGTTTGAGGAATTGGATTTGCGCTGAAAGTCGAATGAATGATCACGAAACGCTCCGTCCCGATAGGTCCGGTGCAAACAGATCAAACATCACTCCTCACGCACGGTAGGACCTAACTACGCAATGAAGACCATACGATGAGTGCGTGTGCCTGGATGCTGTACCATAGAGAAAAGTAATGATATTGCGGGTATGAAAATGGTAGAAACAAGCTAGCTAAGGAGATCGGTTCGTGGACAGCTATACCAAACGCATCCGAAGTCATGGACAAAACCCCCACCCAATGTGCATGCACGTCCTCTCTCCTGTCTACCGCGGCCCAGCAGTGTGGGGGTCAGACTCGAGGCCCATATCAGAGTCGCCCTCCAGTTCTGCAATGAATCGCTCCCAGGTAGACAGGACACCTTGGTAAAAGTCAATGTGGGACTCGGCAAAGGCACCGAGAGAATCGCGGAACTCAACCGCCTTGATGCGCTCAAAGTCTGCTACTTCGCGGACGACTTCTTCGTCGAACATCTCGGACGTGGTTTTGGCTGAGTCGACTTCGCGGGTAAGCTCGTCGATGCGTAACTCAAGCTTTCGGACACGCTCGCGGCGAGATTGCTCATGGTCAACGCCGCGCATGTCCTCCATCTTGGAACGGATGAAGGAGGCAGGAGATGAAGTAAGTGGGTTAGATGCATAGTAAGCGGCCGGATTGGCAGCGAGCGAGTCGCGCTCAGCGACAGCCTTGTTGCGGTAATCGACCAGAGCTTCGAAATCGAGTTGCTTCTGTTCCCGGGTTCTTAACAGCGCTTTAACTGAGAGAATGTACGCTTCCATGTCGCGCAACGAGCCTAGGTAGTTCTGGTCTGTATGATCCCTCAACTCATGTACCCCACGCGCAGTCTCCTCTACCGAAGCGGCAAACACCTGCAAAGGCATTTCGACAGCCGGCTCGAGAGGGACAAGCTTGCGGAACTGCGTCGCCAGCTCCGTGTAATCCGTCTCTAGATCAGACTCGCGCCGCGCAACCCTTGCGACGGTTTTTTCCACGTGCGAGAGATCTTCGTCCAACTTATCCGCCTTCTCCTTCACCTCAATAAACCGCCGATCCGGCTTGTGCACCTTAGTAAAAGCGTTGACGAATGTATCTGTGAAATTATCGAAGATCCCAGTCCCTGAATTTTCCGACGAGGCAGTTGTCGACCCGCGTGTCGAGTGCAACCGCACATGTGCATTCCAGTCCGGTGACTCGAGGAAAATGATAAGCAGCGGGGCGCGGCGAAGCACCGGATGCAGCGTAAGGCGCTTCAGAAAGCGATGCAGTGACCATGATCGCCGTGTTGTGAACTCCGGTCCGAATCGGTCTCCTCGCACGTACTCCATCTTGTGCTTGTCGGGAAGAGGGGGCACAGCGCAGGCTGGATATTCGCGGTAGAGCGTCTTGTACAGAAAATAGAAATCGGTAAACCGTCGCCGCACACTAAATTCGGGTTTCTGGAATGACTTGAAATCGGTCTAGAGAGCAGATGCGTCAGTGATATGTTCTTGGAGTTAGACGTTGGGGATCCCAACGCAGCGCAGGCAGCAATAGCAACACAGCTTCGCCTGGGGAAGGGCCCCAGGGAGTCGGTAGCACTCACATGAGTTGTAACAAGGTAGGAGATATATGCATCTTTTGTACCGTCGCCCTCCTTTAGCGGCGAGTCGACGCGGCATTCCAACACGCCGTCGCCGATACCAGCGAGATCGACAGCATCGGCTAGCGGGCCAGCCTGGGGTTCTTCGTGTGCGGAGCTCATCCTCCGCTTGCCATTGGTGTTTTGATCATATCTTTGCGCCTCGTCGGCGTCTGTGCCCGAGGTGGTAGGTCGAGAGACATCGCTCTCTGCGTCATTCCTCCAGGAGACGCTGTCGAAGTCGTCGTGTTCATCCATGACGGGAAGGGAAGGGGCGTCGGTTAGCCGTGGTCACCCGGCGAAACGTACGTCGTTGCTGAAGCTCAGTAGTGGGGTCAAGAAATGCTAGAAGGCCAGAGAATCCAGGTGCTCAAGGATGGGACGGGGGGGAGCAGTTTAAATGGGGGCTGAGGCGGGAGGAGCTGAGAAGCTGCCAGTGGGATTCAGATGATCGTCCTTCCCCAAGGCGGAGCCCCCCCAAAGCGGCACCGTCGTCATCGCCGCTTTATCGCCTGCCACCCCCCCCCCCCGGCGTGGGCGGAAGCCGCCTTCTTATTGATCTTATGCAAGATGATCTGCAGACATTTTTCTGACTCTATAAGATTGTTGATATTATTTGGTTATTGGATATGCAAGTAATTGCTTTTGTGCGCAGACTGCCTTTACATCCTTGCACATGTAAAGCAGGGGAAAATTTACAGAAACTCCCGGCAGCCTGGCCCTTCTATGCGCGAACACAAATGCTGCCCGTAAGATAGATATGATCCCCAATATAGCACGTATGACAGTAACCGCACCCAATGCAAGAAGTGAAGAAAAGAGAAAATAACCTTTACAGCGTGGATCACCTCTTTTCAGACAAAAGGTGATCATTCGGCGAGTCATCCTCGCCATCTTTCTCCGGGATATTGGCAAGACGATCCCGGTATGGTTCCTCATCATCACTGAAGATTTCCTCGTCGCTCTCCCCGGCGAATGCATTATACAGTTCACCACCACGACGCTGAGGCCGACCAGCTGCCCCAGCCATGGGGTGTATCTCGTCTTCGTCCTCGATCATTTCGAACTCATAGTCATCGTTGGGGTTGGTGCGGCGGCGCTTAAGCCGCTGGAGCTGGAAGTAGACACCCAGGCCGATGAAGAAGACAATAATCATGCCCAAGGATGCGTAGATCCAGACCTGAGTGCGCTTCGAAGCCCCGAAGGAGGGAAGGTAGCTGGACAAATGGTCCGACGCAGAGGTGGAGGTAGGAGAAGCGGTGCTGGTGGCAGTGGCGGTAATGGTAGATTCCAATTCTTCGGCTGGGAATCCCGTCTCGGACGCCTCGCCGGGCTTTTGGTTGACAGGCCGGTCATGGTGGTCGTCAGGGTTGGTAGGAGTGGCTGTCTTTGTTGGCAGAGGCTCAACAGTAGTTGTAGCCACATGGGCTTCCTCGTAAGGGTGGTCGTCGTCGTTCTCCTCCGGTAGCGGGTGGAGCGGCTGATTAGTTCCATCGACGGACTCACCCCAGAGGTTGAGTCTCCAATCGATAAAGACGCCAGTGTGTTCGTTGACTTGAGAGTCTTTGACGATCACCGTCCACTCTCCCACAGGCGATTCACCCCTAGTTTGCAGATCAGCCAAAAAAGATCTCAAAGAAAGTCCAATCCTCAGATGAAAGACACTTACCAGTGAGCGACGGACATGAAAGTCCAGTCAACATAGCCGGATTTTTCATTATCGCTATCGCGAGCGACACTCAGATGACTGATAATACCCTTTGGGCTACGCAGTTCCACACTGAGATCACCACGACGAGTATGGTTGACGTTCATTGTGACCGTCACATGCTCCAGCTTCCCAAAATTGGCACCCTTGAGGTGGTCGTCCGTCACCACATACCGACTGAGCAGACCCTGGGAGCCCTGGGGGATGTTGTTGTGCACACGCAACCAGGGAGAGTTGAACCACGCCTGGGGCTTCACAAGGTCCCAGGTCTGAGCCTTGTGAACCAAATAATAGGTATCGACCTTGCCAAAGCCCCAGTCGTGGCTGAACTTCTTGCCAGACGGCAGATCTACCCAGCTGCCATCGTTTTCCTTCACTGGTACCGCAGACTCGATCATCAAATATTGGATGTCACGCCAGGTGAGCTCAGGCCGAGCGCTGAGTGCAAGGGCAATCGAGCCTGCGGCGAGCGGACCAGCCGCTGACGTGCCACCGTGCTGGGAGTAGCACTTGTCCGCACCAACGTCAGTTGTGTGGATCGCATCTCCAGACCCACTGCTGTACGCGACCACTAGCTGTGCTGAGCAGGACTCCGAATAGGTCGGGTGGTTTCCTTGACGATCAATAGCACCTACAGTGACACTGTAAATGCTGTTGGTATACCCGTCGAAATTGCAGTTGTCGCCAAACATAGCTCCGTTTCCGGCAGCAAACACGAAAATCGAGCCCTTTCCACCACGTCCTTGCTGCACGCCATTGACCATCGCGCGCTTGATCAAAAGCCCCGGCGCATCCATCGTTGCACCATCGTCAGGGGGCCCCCACGAGCATGAGTAAATATCATTATCCTGGAAAGCAAAGTTGATGGCTGCAGCTTCGTCGACGTCGTCAATCGCCTTGGACAGAATTCGAATCCCGGATACCTTGCTGTCATATGCAACACCAACACCACACACGTCATTCTTCGCCGCTGCGATTTCGCCCGAGCACCGCGTACCGTGCTTGTCATCATAAAGGAGAGGTCGAGGCTCGGGCCCATGTTCGTTGAAATCCCAAGAGCCCTGGGCAAAATAGTTTGGTTTTAAGTCGTTGCTGTCCATATCTAATCCATCATCAACCACAGCCGTCGCCACCCCATGACCAGTGATACCCTCCAGCCAGATGCCTGTAACATTGAGATCATGGCCAGGTTGCAGGACGTTGTATAGATGCCATTGGTTTTTAAATATCGGGTCGGTGATCCCCAAGGTTGACATCATCTTGCTCTGTTGCTCCAGCGCCTTCAGGTCAGCCCTGGGGCTGACCCTCTCGACGGTGTGCTTGGAAGGGGGCGGCATCCGCTTCTGCAGCCTTTGCCTGGGCGGCTCCAGCCTTTGTGACCATAGAATGCCCTCCAGCGGATCCTCACTTCGAGATGCGGCGCCATCCCCCGACCGACGGCGAAGCTTTCGCCTGGATTTCAAATCATCTAACAAGACGTTGAAGTTCGAGCTCTGCTCGCGCGGCAGGGAGAAAGTGTGATGGCCTCGCAGCTCTCCGATCTGGCCCTCATGTCGAGCACCAAGCATCCGTGCAACATGGGCGGGAGGGGTGGCATCGTCGAGATGAAGGGCGAAGAAGTCGCGAGATTCATGAGATCGGGGGTGAAGGGATGCGGAGGCTGCGCCAACCAAGCTGAGGACGACAGCAATGCCGCCAGCGACACGCATGATGGGTAGAGTGGCCGCTCGGCGGGTGGAGGCAAGGTAGCGCGCTTGCTCTCAGAGATTGGTTCGGGCGGTAGGGGGCGCTGCCACGAACGGTGCCAGACCTTTTTCGTGGCACAAAGGGCAGGGAGGAGGAAGGGAGGAGGAACGAAAGGAGTTGATTTAGGGTCGAGGAGAAGAATGAGAATAACGGGGAAGGGGAAGCGGAGAAAGAGAGAGAGTAGAATAGGAGGATCGTCGGGAAGCCAGAATAACACGGGACCCGACTGGGCGGCAAAGTTGGGGCAGCTCGAGGGGAAGGGTCTGTGTTGTGTTCGCAGGCAGTGCTCTCCTATGGCCCCCTATGATGCTGTTTCTTTCATGAAAGACCACGGTTGCTTCTGCATACGGCAGGTTAGGGGTCGAGGCGCACCCAAGGGTTAAAGGCTGAGGCTTACGTACTAAGGACGGGACCAGCCAGCCACGAGGTACAGAGGACTACGAAGTACTAGGCACCACGTTTCGCCGGCAAGCCATCAAAGAACATCGTAACTGCGGAGTACGGAATACAATCGACGTCCAGTCTACAATCATTATTGTTATGCTAAGAAGGAATGAAGAGAGACGTCGAGTGATCTTTCCGCACGGTCGGGAGTGCTGTGCAAGTTGCTGATAGTCTCTCATAGGCCCTGGGATTCCTTGCATATGAATGACAGACGGGTCGGCTTGGGAGGAAAAGCCGGGGCGCCTACAGTACAATGTCCCCACAGCGCCCATTATGTTTCCTGTATCATCGTTGAAAAACCAAGGGTATAGGATGAGTTATGATCCTGGAGGACATTGATGACCTAGTAGCCATGAGGCCATCTGTCGAGAGCCGTCAGCTGAGGCATTTTAGTTTTCAGGTTAGCGAGTACTCCGTATGGACGACCGGTTGGTAAAATGAAAGAAGGTGGAGTTCTGAAGGGGCGAATGCTTAATATCAGGGAGCTCAATTATGCCATTATGGTGATTGAGAAGGGGGAACGGGGCCGTAAAGTGGCAACAAGGTGTCCCACACTGTTCAGTGTTCAACCATAGAACCACGCGGTGGACTCCACTCTTAAATGCACTTGGCAACAACCAAATCAAAACCACCATAGAACAATAGAACGCTAACTGGAATCGAATTTCAACAGCCAGCAAAGTCTTGGAAGTTTCTGGAATCAGGGACAACCAGACAATCCGACAATCATTGATTCATGCATCTCTCGCACGAGGGGGGTTCGCTGGCCAATGAAGCTCGGCCCGCGCGAAGGCTGGGGGGAAATACCAGCCACCGGGATATTGGCGATGTATAGAGAGCGGCGCAAGCTCGTCCTCCACTTCAGCCTCTCCCAATTCTTCTCCTCCATTCCATTCCACTCCCACTCTAACTATCGGATTGTCCGATCATCCCATTTTCCAGCATTTCCGATTCCATCCCGCCAGGGAATCTCGTGCCACCCTCTTGCCCGTCACCGCCACCACCCCACCCAAGTACCTGACGGGCAGCCTGTCGCAACCTGATTCTCAGGCGAGGATGTGGTGAGCCCCCGTCAGGCATCAGGCAGAGTCGGATTGCAGTTTCGCGTGCATAAACAGAACCTCGTATGTCGAGTCCCATTCTGCCCTGCATTTTCTGTTCAGTCTTAAACAATGTCTTTGTGAGCGAACATTGACCAGAGTTGGATCTCAGCCGGGGCCACCCTTGAGTCGTTGAGTCGGACTTTTCGTCGGCGCCATCGCCCATCGCCCGAAATACTTCTCCATACATCGAGTCCAATATGGCGGCGGCGACAATGCGCGGATCGCCTGATCTGGCGAGCCACAGCTTTAATACACAGACAGGCAAGGGAGCTCGCCGAGCTTCGGAGAGTCGCAGGTATAGCACAACGGCTCCAAGCACGGAGAGCTATGAAGAAGACACAGGATACGAGCTTCCGGCGACAGAGGGCCCTTACAAGCAACCTACGCCTAAGGCCATCTCAGGTCCGAAGGGATCAGGGCCGCCGACTCGGTCATTCTCAGCCAGAGCAGCCGCCAATCTGAATTATACTACGCGCAAGCCTGCGCCTGCGGCCCCTCCGGGGCTCAGCGAAGAATCTACCACCCCTCGCGGCCTTCCACCCACCGACTATCTCCAGGGCCCCGATGCAGTTATGCAAGAGAATGAAGAGCCGATTCCCCCATCGGAGGCTGCTGCTCCGAGTATGCCATCGTCGCCCAGTCGATCGAACACCCTGCGCTCAACAAGTGGTTCTGGTACTAGGCGAGATTGGGCATCGGATCGTTCGCCATTACAGAAGCTTGAAGTGACCCTCAATGGGATCAGCAAAGAGGAGAAGCGAGCACGAGTACAAGAAGCCGAAATGAGGCTAAGAGAACGCCTTGCTCGCCAAAAAGTCGCAAAAGAGCAGGCCGAGGCTGCCGCTGCTGCCGCTAGTGCTCCTCAACCAGGTTCAAAGCAGAGCGCACCCTCGGAGGATCATGGCATTCCTGCTTACGCGAGAAAGAATAAACCGAAGGACATCATAGTGGAGGAGACTGCACGGGGAGCACCACCTATGCCTCGGCCGGGGGGTACCGGAGTGCGCCATAGCAGAGCCGTCTCAATGAATCCTCAATATCCGGTCATCCGTGGGCCCGAAATTGCTCATCACGCCCGTGCAGAACATGCCGTACCCACATCAGTGACGACGGGCAGTATTCCACGGCGATCAGTCTCAGTGCGTGAACATCCGGCAAAGGAGGGACCTGCTAGCGAAAGGTTTACACACTCGCGCCCAATCTCCCAGCAAGGCCCCCCGAAGCCGATGCAGGCTGTTCCTGCTATCTCAAGTGCAGAGAGGATAGAGACTCCTCTGGCTTTGAAATCCCTATCTGGTGGCTCGCTTCCGAAGTCGAAGCCACGGCAAACAGTGTCATTTGATGTGCCACCGCCCACACCTCCACCGATTTTCGAGTGGAGGAATGCACCCGTTGCTCGGCTTGGAGCCACAGACTTTGATTTCCAACATTTGGATATGGATCGAAGCAAAGCATGGTGGGAAGGCGGCGCTTCGTCCGATCGCAGAAAGAGCAGGGCTCTTCCCAATGATTATCACACTGCGGCTCAGAAGTTAACAGGTAAGAGGCAGCAGTTATCCGCCCCGCCGCAGGACTAGATGAGAAAATACGAGCTAACTGCAAGTAGGAGTCACTGAGCACAAAATTTTCCAGCCAAAATTGTTCTTGAGATGTGGCCCTCTGCTCAGATACACTGGCATCAAGAAAGAGAGTATCGATGGAGCCCACGGTCCCGTCGAAAAGGAATACTGGCGTGGCTCCATTCTGATTGTCACAAAGGACTCCCGCTCCTTTTACGACACCCCGCCTACATTGAGACTCTTCTCACAGCCAATGGATCTCTTGCCCCCTCCACCGGCAGAGGTCAATGGCGAGGACGGGGCTCTCGCACCTGAATATGTCGACCCTACTGCCGGCCTCATGAAAGTCGGCCGCGATGGACGTCCACTGTATGTGAAGCCAGTGGACCACCTCGAAGAAAATGTTGACCTGTCCGCCGTGGAAAATGATGACGGGATCTACGAGCTATCCCCCAGCATAATTGACCACAGCACGGAGGGATCCAAGCAACCTATATCTTCAAACAGAATCCATCACGTCGACGGTGAAACCGCGGAACTACATCGAGATATTTCCGGAGTCCGTCTATATGCCGATGCTGCCAGAGACGTAACCTTTTGGAGATTCAACCTTGAGATCGAGCTCAGCGCAACGCAGCAGCGGATTGCCTACCGCATTAATCAAGGTCCTGCCTTGGGATTCTGGGTTCCAGCAATGAGCCAACCTATGAACATCATGTTCCACAGTGGCAACGGCTTTGGCCCTACTGCCGACCCAGACCCTCTCTGCGGACCTGATCCACTCTGGCGTGATATTTTGAACGAGCACCAGACGCAACCTTTCCATGTGATGATCGGTGGTGGCGATCAGATTTTCAACGATACAGTGATCACAGACTCAGCACTATTCCAGGAATGGATCAAGATCAAGAATGCAGCAGAGCGATATGGGGCGCCACTTACCCCCGAATTCCGTGCCGAGCTCGAGAAGTTTTACCTTGAACGCTATGCTTCATGGTTCTCACAAGGTCTCTTCTCCTTGGCTAACTCTCAAATTCCAATGATAAACATCTGGAATGATCATGAGATATTTGAAGGATTTGGATCTTATCATGAAGATTTCATGCGAAGTGCTGTTGTCTCCGGGCTGGGGAAGATTGCGTTCAAGTATTATCTCTTGTTCCAGCATCACAGCGTGCCAGAAGAAACAGAGATGGACGAGCCTAGCTGGCTTCTTGGTGCCAGACCTGGTCCATACATTGAACAAAGAAGCCGAAACCTATTTATGTCTCTAGGCAGCGATGTGGTCTTCTTGGGCCTGGACTGCCGAACTGAACGACAGGTAAGATTTCTGGTGGCCCTTTATAACGGACGTGAGACATGCTAATACATCTCCACAGAGCAACGAGGTCCTTAGCTCCGAAACTTGCGAATTGATCTGGGATCGATGCCACCGTGAAATCATTAAAGGGAAAACGAAGCATCTGATTGTTCTCTCGAGTGTGCCCATTGCCTATCCTCGCGTGGTACGTTGCTCCGCTCGATCCATCTCCCCACTTCAAACTGACCAGAGCGCCCACAAGGCTGTGCTCAAGAATTACATGAACAGTCGCAAATCCCTAGGCAAAGCTGGCATGATCGGTGGCCTTGTCAACCGTTCCGGTGGCAACGTGGAAGTGTTCGACGACCACTGGACCGGAAAGCACCTGAAGTCCGAACGTACCTGGCTGGTGGAAGACCTGCAAGATCTCGCTGCAGATAAATCCGTTCGAGTCACTATTCTCAGGTAAGAGTTGCTCAATATCCTCGTCATTGAAAAATATGTATACTAAATCATCGCTTCAGTGGCGATGTTCACTTGGCGGCCATCGGACAATTCTACTCTAATCCGAAGCTGGATGTTGCCAAAGACCGAGATTACCGATACATGCCGAACGTGATTTCCTCCGCCATTGCCAACATGCCCGAGACAGAACTTATTTCAGACATGCTCAACAAGCGCAACACAGTGCATCACATGGACTCGAATACAGACGAAGATGTTATCCCCATCTTCACACAAGACGTCGATGGCAAGCCGCGCAACAACAAGCGTCTGCTCCCTCGGCGAAATTGGTGCTCTATCCGGGAATATCGCCCCGGCTCAACGCCTCCCGGCACGCCCGAGTCGGATATGACGCCGACCCCAGAGCCCCGTCCTGGCAAGCTTCAACGTACTCTATCGCTGGGACGTGGAGACAAAGGACCCGGTAGCAAGCCTGGTGGTCTCCTGCGGCGGTTATCCATACGAGGACCTCCTCCTACCAGGACTATGAGCTTCGGGCGCGAGGCTGCAATACCCGATCGAGGAGCTCGTGTCAATGCACCATTTCCCCGCCCCAACGAGGGCGGAGATAGCTATTTCCCGGGAGACCCACAAGAGCCTCAGCCTGGTCAATTCCACCGACGGCCTACCAATCTCAGTCTGAAGGCAGCCAAGAAAGCAGCCAAGCAAGGAGACGATGGCGCTGGGGCTTTTGTCGACCTCGAGGGTGGACTGGCCATCACCTTGAACCTGGAGATCAGTCCGCACGACCCCTCCGGCATCACTGTACCCTATAAACTACTCGTACCTGTCCTACGCTACGACAGCACCGAATATGACCCCCGGCCCACTCCAGTGGTCAAGGGCTGGCGCAAATGGCTGAGCATGCCGCGCATCAAGAAGAACGAGGAGGAAAACGGCGACGAATACGAGGAGGAAGATGACGCCGATGATTACGAAGACCATGACACCATCAATAATACCCGCGCAAACGCCGCCGCCACTCACCCACAGTATGAAAGATACCCTGGAAGTGACGAGGAGTCGGAGGGAGAGGTGCCGCACCGATTGCCCCCTGAGGCCGTAGCTGATGAGTCTCCCGAGGAGGATGAAGGGCCTAGTCGGCCACGAAAGAGGTGGTTTGGGGTGATTTGATGTACAATATGACGATTTACGCTGGTGTTTTGGGGGCTCTCTTTAGGATGTGTATGATTGTTTTTGATCTGGGTGATTTGATCTTGATGTCTTCCACCTATTTTCGTTCCCCGTGGGGTTATTTATTTTGATGGTTAAGACCACTTCTCAGGTTGATTGAAACTATGTGTAGATTGATGCGCGGAGTAGACATGTATTTATCCTGCGGAGTTGGTTATCGTTATCAGTATAGGGTTGAGCTTGTCATGTGTAGGCCAGCCGCGGCTACGAAGGAAAACGAGCCATTTTGGCCACGATTATGCAATTGACCAGACCGCCCTCGGGAGGGGCAATGGCGTGATCTCGCCGAGACAATCCCGACGATAAGAAGGCGATAAACAAAATTAGTCGGCTTAGTCGGCTTAGTCTGCTTAGATATACCGCCGCCGGCCGGACCTCGATATCATGCACTAATAATGCTCAAAGCCAACTTATCAATCAGATCAAGTCTGGTTCTAGTTAGTCGGGAGCCTCGGAGGCGGGACCACTTAGAAATGTGTGATGTGATCTTGTTATCCGCTTTGTGTCCGCCGGTCGAGGCCTTGTCACGTGCGCACATGCTTAGAAAGCGAGGGCCTCGACGCGGGCAAATGATTAATTCATGGGTTGCGGAAAGACGCACTTGTTCCTGATCCCATCATCAAGACCCCACTAGCCCCCCTTCCAGGCTTGATAATAAAAACCGTTTCTTACATTTAACCCCCCTCTCTTCCGAAATACCTTCAAGCTGTTTTCCTCCACTCTCCGCCGTTTCCCTTCCGCCCTCCGGTCCCTCGGATTCACTGCCGCCGCGGCCTCAACAACCCTCCACCAACAATCTCCTCCCTCTCCGGCATCGGTCCTCAAGCAACCTTTGTCGACGTCCCCGCGCGTCAATTATCCCAATACCGCCAGAATGGTGCACTCCAAAGTAGTTAGTAAGTGTTACGGCGTGAACGGACTCTGTTCGGGGAAGTTGTCTCAGGGCTAACAGGGCTTTTCTTTCAGTTATCGGTTCGGGCCCCGGCGCCCACACTGCCGCCATCTACCTCTCGCGCGCTGAACTCGAGCCTGTCCTGTACGAGGGTATGCTTGCCAACGGCACCGCCGCCGGTGGCCAGCTGACTACCACCACCGACGTCGAGAACTTCCCTGGCTTCCCTGACGGTGTCGGCGGCGCCGAGCTGATGGACAAGATGCGCGCTCAGTCTGAGCGCTTCGGCACCAAGATCATCACCGAGACCATCTCGAAGCTGGACCTGTCCCAGCGTCCCTTCAAGATGTGGACTGAGTGGAATGACGGTCCCGACAACGAGCCCGCCCACACTGCGGACGCGGTGATCATCGCCACCGGCGCCAATGCCCGCCGTCTGGACCTGCCCGGCGAGGAGAAGTACTGGCAGAACGGCATCAGTGCCTGCGCGGTCTGCGACGGTGCTGTGCCCATCTTCCGCAACAAGCCCCTGTACGTGATTGGTGGTGGTGACTCCGCCGCTGAGGAGGCCATGTTCCTGGCCAAGTACGGCAGCAACGTCACCGTGCTTGTCCGCCGTGACAAGCTCCGTGCCTCCAAGGTTATGGCCGACCGCCTGCTCAGCCACCCCAAGTGTAATGTCCGCTTCAACACTGTCGCCACCGAAGTCATTGGCGAGAGCAAGCCTAACGGTCTCATGACCCACCTGCGCATTAAGAGCACTGCCAGCGGTGAGGAGGAGATCGTTGAAGCCAACGGTCTGTTCTACGCTGTTGGCCACGACCCCGCCAACGCCCTGGTCAAGGGCCAGCTCAAGCTTGATGAGGATGGCTACATCGTTACCCAGCCCGGCACCAGCCTCACTAGCGTCGAGGGTGTCTTCGCTTGCGGTGACGTTCAGGACAAGCGTTACCGCCAGGCCATCACCAGTGCTGGTATGTCTATCATTGCCCTTTCTTATTCACAAAGCAAAATCCACTAACTGATGCTCCATAGGCTCCGGCTGTGTCGCTGCCCTCGAGGCCGAGAAGTTCCTCTCCGAGGCCGAGCCTGTCACCCAGGAGGTCAACGGCGTCAAGGCTGCCCCTGTCCTTTAAATATTCCAACCTCATCCTACCACAAATCTGCCATCTCTCCTTTCCCTCTCATGATCTCGACCATTTACGGCGCATAGGGTTTAAGATTGCTCGCGTGGACGCGCATTACTAGACTTATCTGTGTTCTGCGATCTGACTGTTCCCAATGCCCCATGCATATTTTCCTTTTCCTCTCATGGTTGACGGATTTTCGCTCATATACTACCTTGTTTCTGTTGGTTCCTTTTTTTTTTTTTTTTTTTTTTTTGTCTGGGATGCTCGATGATCCCTCTGATCAGTAGATCGGATTCGGGCTTGGTTGCTCGGGAATAATCGTTGCCAATATAGATAGAAATAGACGATTTTCCCAAATATCTCAGTGCTATCTCTAACGCATCGGCTTCCTAAATACTCCCTCCGGTTTAAGTCAACGGACAGAGAGAATATAGGGATTCGGCACGAAAGCTGTCTCATCATCATCACCAAGCCTTCAAGTTGGACACTCTACCAGACCCTGGCTAAGTTAACGTTTAAGGTTATTACATGATGACATCATCAAGATACTCCCATTCAGGAACAAGCCGTATAATAATAGTCCTGCACCTATTTGTTCCTCTAATCTTCCATCCGTTCATCCATTCTGGATATACTAAGCATCCTCGCTGGCTGACGTCAAGGTAAACAAGACAACCTCCCACTGAAAATGTCATCTGTGTATGAAAGCGTGGGTGTTGTGTCAGAGGAAGCAGGAGCAGGCATGTTTCTCGCGCACCTTCCCTCTGATACGCCCGTCTATTGCTACAACGCAAAACTCGATCTTGAGAGCCTCTTCCCTCCGTCTTCAGTCGAGGATCGCTTTGTCGTCGTGAAAAACTTCCCACCAGAAACCCTCGCCGAATGCGAGCAACAATTACCCGGACGGTGTGACTACTCGCCGTTACTACAGATTCTCATTATCACCATGCCTACCCTACCTCATGAAGAAGGGGCCGACGCCTTTGGGTTTATGATTCGGACCCTCGCCCAAGAGATGCAACTCCAGAGACGGCTTCAGTACTGGGTAACCACTCGTGTCGATACCCCCGATCGAAGCAAGCAAGCAGACCGGGCGTGGGGGCCCCGCCGCCAAGGAAGAGAAAGTCCAACGGTGGCATTGGAGGTTGGCTTCTCGGAGACTACAGCGAAACTCGAAAAAGATATCGCTTGGTGGATTAATGAATCCCATGGCGTGAGAATGGGAATTACTGTCCATATCAAAAAAGCATCCGGCTCTATTGAAATCAGATCCTGGGTGCCAGCAATCACGCCATCACTAAGCCATGTCCAAATCGCCTCAAGGGGTCGCCCTATTGTCGACAAAAACATCAGTAATCCTGCACCACCTCGAGTGGCCCAAAGAATCTTCATCAAGAGAGGGAAAGATGGTTCTACGATTGAAGGGGGGACCTGACTATTCCATTTGATGCTATCCTGTTGGATCAACCGAAAGCAGACGAGCATGACTTTGTGTTAACCGCCGATATGCTATTGCATGGGTTGGCAGATTATGTCTGGGATGCGATGGAAGAGAATGAAGTGATCAAGGCAAAAAAGAGGGAGAATCGATAACTCTTATCATTATGAGTGAATTGTCCCGAGCCGCGCTCAAAAGGGGAGTAAGACAATACTTGAAACCAGTTGTATTTGTATTCTAGCAGCGGTCTTTGCGAGATTGACACAATCCAACCAAGCATCAATCCCCTCCTTACATCTGTACGGACGATAAAAAGAGAAGTACAGGTGTAACACAAAGGAGCACTTGATGATCTCTTTGGATTCAGATTCCAATTATTGGAACTAATAATCTAGGCGCGACTGAAACAGGAAAGCTCAGCCTAAAGGGCCACAGACGAGCACGACGGAACCTGCCAGCTCTCATAGGGATTGTCCGCACACCACTTGTGCTTGACTTCGTACGATCGGCGGTTCCACTCCACAGCGACCTCTTGGAACTTCGCGAAGGCTTCGTCGTTGGCGAGACGATTAGCTTCAACCTGGTCGATATATGGCTGCTTCTCAGCGTGAGGAGCATTGCGCCACATCAGACCGAGGGCAGCGCGGATGTCATCCCGAGATGCCTTGGCATTCGGGTTATTCGATGCCGCCCGCCGAGTCGCGTCACACTGGTCTTTGCACTTGGTCCAGAAGTCCTTCTGGTACAAGAGGAATGGGTTGCGTCCTGCCTTGGGCGGTGGTGCTGGTGTGGGGCCCAGTTCCTCGTATATTGCTGCCCACGTAGCTTGGTCGTAAGCCTGCCGGCGCTGTTTCTCGGCGACGTTGGGGCTGCGCGATGCTGTGGCTGGCGCTGGATGCTTTGGGGTGTCTGGAACGGTGCTAGTCGTCGGGGTCGTCACGATGTTGGTGGTTGGCTTTTCCGGGACAAGGGGGACGGGGATCTCGATGGGGCCGATGGTAGCTTCGATCACTTCTGATGCTGCGCGTAGACCGGATAGGTAGGCGCCGTGGACGGTGGCGGGGTGCGTCCCGCAGGTGGCTTCGCCGGCAAAGTGGAGATTGCCCACTTGTCGTGCCATGAGATCATAGTCTTCAGGTTGGGCTCCGGCTGCTACGAAAGAGTAGCTGCCGCGAGTGAACGGATCTGACGCCCAGCGAGTGACAATGGTCTCGAGAGGGTCCGGAACGACAGCATGTTTAAAGACGTTTCGCAGCTGGGTGGTGACTTCGGCGATAATCTCGGCATCCGGGGTGTGCTCGGCCTGGTGTGCGGCATCCCCTGCCATGAGACCAACGAGAACGGGTAGGCCTGTCGTGCGAATGCAGTTCCAGAAAAGGTAGAACCGGCCACGGTTCGCGGCGTACTCCTCCTGGACCATACTCTCAGGGTTGTCAGGTTCGCGAAGAAGACCGAAGAAATCACGCTCTGTATCCCAGAATGGCTCGTCGAATACTAAGACAACTTTGTTCAAAAGGCCAAATCCTAGACGGGTAATTGCGCCTTGCTTCCAATCAGGAAGAGGTGGTTCGAATTGAACAGAGTGATGCTGGAGGGTGCCGAGAGAGCCAGTATACACGACGTGATCGCCTACAAACTTTTCGCCGTCCTCGCAGTGGACAACCGCCTTGCGGATTCCCGTGCCGTTGGCATCATAAGTGATTTTCGTCACAATTTTGTTGGTATGCACGTTGAGTTTCTCAGGCACAGAGTACAGACCGTACGGTAATTGGTTGTAACCCCCAACGACCATGGAATGCAGCCCTTCGAATTCATTACCGGAATCCTGGTCCGCCAAGGTCAGACTGAGCTTATTGGGATTGGCAGCAAAGGAGTACTCGAGATTTGCAAAGTGCCAGTTCAGGAGCCGCATATCCCGAGGCGTCAGTGGAAGCATACGTTGGTACTGTTTGATTCCCTCATCCATTACAGCACCGAGTGTTTGGGGTTTCGCAGCATGCGCAACGGGGTCCAAATCCAGTGTATCGTCTGCAGTGTAGCCGGTGTTCAACTTCCATCCCACAGCCTGGGCTGCCACGGCCGCTGGGTGGTCATTTGTATCGCCCTCGAGCTTCGGCGCTGCACTGTTGGTTGGATTGGTGTCTCCTGTCTTGTGTCCCACTCCTCGACGTCGGCGAATTCGTTTGGTAGGGACGAGAGAATCAGTGGTACCTGTCGCTCGTGCCTCCTCCCATTGTCGTACGGTCAGACCATCGTCCACGGCAGTCTCTCTTCCATCGTCAATCATCTCGCGGTCGCCCTCGGCAGTTTGCTTGACAAGTTTCTTATGACGATAGGCGAAGGCTCGTTCCGAAACATCTTCGTAGAGTTTATTGGCCATTTCATCCTGTGAATTGGGGACGGGGGAACCATCAAAGTCATAGATCGTGGAAAGGTCGTGCAGCAGATGGTGGTGAAGAGCCAGTTGGCCACGAACAATTTGATCAAGAGGATTCCCACGATCAAAGCCGATGATAATCTGGGCACCCATTTCTGCTTTGGGAACAAGGCCCGATGGCAAAATCTCAGATTGAAGACTGTGGAGAGGACGTGAGTAGACTCGTCCGCCAATTCGTGGACGTCCTTCAATCACAACGACCCGAGGTTCTGTCTCTGCGTCACGATGGTGCTTGAAGAGACCCTCTAGTTGCCGCGCACAACCAAGTCCTGCTACACCGGCTCCCACGACAAGGATGACAGGTCCTTCTTTTCGGCGTCCTCGTCGGGGAGGCACCAAAGGCATGGGGACCTCGACGCAGCCGAAATTGATGTATCCATACCGCGCCAGCCAGTCATAAGCAAATGAAGCCAGATTCATCCAACGGTAGTCTTTGGCACAGCCGAGTGCCTCCTCTCTGCTGACACTGACCATTGCGTTTCGAGTCCAAAGACGTAATATGCCATTGCGGATGTTCAGGTAAGCGGTAACGTGCATATGGCAGAGATGATCTTGCAGAATTTCTTGCTCCTTGTCATGCAATGCATATGGATCAAGTCGAGACGCATATGCAGCTGCCACACATTGCTGGCCATAGACGGACGGCGGAAGCTTGGACGGGATGGATGACCGGGGTCGACATTTGGATAAATCAACCTTGATGTTATCCAACACACTGACACCCGACGAACCCGACGGAGTGGGTAAAGAATGAGCTGGAGTAGTCGGAGGAGAGGCAGACTTCCCCGGCTCAAAGGAGGATGTGACCGAGGTCGATGTAGTTGTCTGGTTCAGCGTGCTTATGCTTCCACCAATATACGACTCCACTAGTGAACTTTGTATCCTATGGATGCTATCGGTGACGGTCGCATGCGAGACAGATTGAAGGCTAACAGGCCCCTGCTGATATTCCAAGGCCACCGTAGGCGAGGAATGAGCAAGAGGGGTCAGAGGACCGCTGTCAGTTCGAAGCCTCTTCACAGACGGCTCCGAGTGTTCAGGTTCGGACGACTCGATTTTGGCGTGTATATCAAGATTTGAAAAGCCATTTGAAGCCACGTGGTTCGCGGAGGGATGTTGTTTCGGAGGAATACCCGCGAGCGGCGGTATCGCCAAAGACGACGTGGCGTGCATGTTATAGGAAGGTCCAATGTTGCCTGTATCGACTTCTTTTTCCAAACAATTTCTGACCTTCAAAGAGAAAAACGTGGAGGTGAGGCAGGGGCGCTTAGACGTTGAGACGAGGCCTTACTGTCCTCCAGGGAGGCGGTTGTATCAAGATACAGAATCACAGGCTGGGATATCAAGCGGCGAAAGTTCGAATCATGTTTACTTCGCTTGCGCAGGGCATCGTTTCAAGGGCATAAGCTATTTGAGGAGCAGGACCAACGATATCGATGAACCTGCATCGAAGTTAGATGCTATGCTTCAAAGATGGGTTCTATGCTGATTTTTTTTTGGCATGCATTGTAGTAGATGTGGCGGAAGCACCGGAGACAATCGGGGATTAGGGACCTCCACATACATTCAAGTCACCCACTCCCCCGCAAACCCGACCCGTGGTGATTTGCAAATGGGCCGGCATCAATCGAAGAACAATTGCGACGAGCGGGCGTGGAAGGGAGGGGAGCCGGATTTGACGTTGAGCAGAAAGGCCGTTGTGCCTTGATTCCTCGTGGTGGGGCGTATTTCTCAGTCCGCCCGAGGATCGACTACACGGCTGCAGCACGAACTATAAGACGCGGCATCAATAGCATCAATAGCGTCAATAGCATGTATAGCATACACGATCCGGTGGATGGAAACACAAGGCTTGGCATAGTATCATTACTATTCATCAATCTATATCGGACTACGCACGGGTCTGGCGACTCTGGCTCTGGTTCTGGTTCTGGCTCTCGCGCTCTTGACATTCCTTTCATGCTTCGCGACCCACATGGCTGTGCAGCCCATAGGCATCATCGCCCTCGCCTGGGAAGTCATCGGAGTCATTATCCGTAAACTCATCATGGTAGGACCGTCGGTTCATCTGCTTGTTCCACCGACCCGCAGAATTATTGTCGCTATCATCTTCCAGGTCCAGATCAACATGGTCATCTTCTAGATCGTCGAAGCCGATGCGTTCCTCCTCATCGCGCGCGAGCATGGTGGCAGCCGCATTCACATCATCATCATCAGAGAACCGGCGGTGAGGCCGATGCGCGGCATGGTCGGCCTGAAGGGACTCCCGGATATCGGCGCGCTCTTTGGCCTCGAGTTCTTTCGCACGAGCCAAAGTCCTGCAATTTTGGGAATGATCTATCGTTAGCAATTCGGCACCTGCATGGGTCGGGCTTGGGGCCCTCGACGCGTCCGGAAAAGAAAGTGCACCCACCTGTTGTAGATGTAATAACCCGTGAACCCTCCAACACAGACCGTCACAATGATACTGATGATGTTGATGGCCTTGGTGCCCGCACTCATCTCCTCACCCTTCTCCGACAGCAGGCGCAGGCGGCTTCCAATGAATGCAGGAACCAAGAGTTTCGGGGAGATGATGGCAGTGGCCAGCCCATACTTCAAAGGCTGTACCGTGGGAAAGGTAGACACGGCCCCGTTGCAGATCGAATAGGGCAATGGGCAGAGGCGAATCATGCAGAGGAGCTTCAGCCCGTCATACTTGAGCGTCAGCGACAGCGCTGCAAATCTCTTGTCGCGTTTCATCAGGCGATTCACAAATTTCGAGAGCACGGTGCGCGAGACATAAAATGAAACGGTCGATCCGATAATGGTCGCGGTGGCGTATACGATCCATCTATCATCGGCGAGCCATTAGTACTAGGTCCCTTCCGATACGGACGCCGGCGAGGCCAGGTTGGCCTGGACGAAGCCACTTACCCTTTCCACCAGCCAAAGATAAACCCGGCGACTGTTCCCAATGTCGACCAGCCCACCAGGGGAGGGAATGAGATGAAGAAGATACAGGTCCACAGCACAAACGCGACGAGCCACGACGTCTCCCATTTTTCCGCGACGGGGCCCAGCCAGATGAACAGCTTGCCCGTCAAGACCATGAGTCCAACGCCCAATGCCGCGGCTCCGAGCGATGCGGCATAGAAACCAACCTTCTGCCATCGCGTCAACTGCTCATATCGACCATACAGTCCCCGATACACCTGTTTCACTTGATCGACCATGCGGTCGCGAAAACTGGTGGCCCGCTCGCCCGACCAGCGCGCCGACGAGTCGCGCCGGCCCGACCGACTCCAGATGGGCTGCTCCTCATCGTCGGGAGAATCTCCGAGCGGCTCTGGCGGCGAGGTTGAGAGCGCCAATGCCCGTGCGGTGGACTCATAGTCCGCGGGCATGGTGGGCGGAGGATACTCTGGATGGGAAGGGACGGGGATCGGATCTGGGGGGAGCTCTGGAGCGGCGATCGGCGGTTGCGGAGGCGGGAACGAAAGCACAGAAAACAAAGGAATCGCCCAGGGTCCGGATCAAGGGAGGGGTTTGGTCCGAAAGTGGAGGGCATAGAGAGGCCCTGAAAATCAGGGTTCAAGCATGGGAGCAGGGCATGGGGGCTGAGTCGCAGGAAGCCAAGGCGCTCTTGGTCGTCGAGACTTACCTGGTCTCAGCTCAGGCGGATCCGTCGGAGTTTTCGGTGTTTACTCTGGTCTCGATCTACATGGGACCCAACAAGATGGTTGGACCCTGTGCCCCCGGAAACTTTGGAGGAGCCTCGGAATGCCCTTGGAAGTGTAACTAACTGACTCCGTAGAGAGGTATATAGTTCGGGGAAAGGTTACTTGGATGCCTGAACGCAGGTTGACGGCCACGATTTCCTTCCCTTCCCCCGGGGCTAGCGGCAACAAGCAAAGGCAGCGTGCTCAGCTCATGGAAATGCAAATGGCAGTCGAGAAAGCAGACTACGTTTCTGCATGGATCGGTGATGAGACTGGGATCGCTGGCCGCGATCGGACCTTATTTCGGCGTGGGGGAGTGGTGAAATGTGCTGGAGTTCGACAGCCAATCTGCCATTGTGTTTGTGCTTCCGATGTTGATCTCCTTTCTCCGCCCCCTCCTTTGTTTGCATTGGACCACTCCCTCCACAAATGCACTCTCGGTTGATCCCCTCCGTGAATACGCTCTTGCATAACACCTCCAGGACCGGCAATGCGATGTAACCGCCGCTAAAGTACCTCCGCGACATATTGCTTCGACGACTTTCGGCCTGCCCCTATATCATCCCCGTCCCGCCCATTCGACTTAGCAGGGAAACAAGGAATCATGGATCGCGGCCTCTGATGCCCGATCTATGAGTCTCCTACTGGAACCCATCCGCATCTTGTTTGAACAGATTCGTTGCTCTTCCTGTTGGTACGCAAATTTCAACCCCTCCCGTCACCTGTCGCCCTCTCGCCCTCTCGGCTTTTCGCCTTCTCGCTCGCCCGCCTCCCTCAGCTTACTCCCCTTTCCGCCGCCGCGACAAGTTCGCAACCACACCATGGTGTCCGAGGAGCTCCTCGAGAAGTGCCTGGAGATCCTCCAGGACCAGGCGCTAGATGAAGAAGAGCAGGTCGAGAAAGTGGAGGATTTCTTGCGCGCCAACTCGTCATTATCGGGCGCGTCCCTGGAGAATGCCGTGTTAGACATCCTATGGCGGCATCGCAATCGCACACAGCCCGAATCGTCCCCTCCTCCGGCTCGTCATACCGTGATTCGTCGATCATCTCCGGCGCCATGGCAGATGGCTCGCGCATCAACACCGCTCTCGCCTCAGCCAGCGACGCTGGGAACCAGTCCGGGGAGTACCTCGTGGGTGCAGAACTCGCGCGGGGCATTCTCCCGAGCTCCGCGGTCCTCAACCGTCTCTCCGTTTACCTCGCCGCGGCCATCCCCCCGCCTTGCCCTGGCGCAACCGATCCCACACTCGCCCAGTTTGAATGCGTACGAATTCTCGGATCAAAGTCAGATTTCCGACTTCTATGGCGATTTCGGCAGTGATAGCAATGTTGATTGGTTGGTGGGTGACGATGCAAACAGTACCACCTCATCGACGGGCGCCCTCAGTGTCCCCGGGTCTCTGAGTGCGACTGCGGCCGAGTTTGTCCCGGATATGAGCCCACATGATATTTTGCGCACTGTGTTGGGAGACAAACGGACCAATGATGAGATTGAAACCGCCCTGGAGGCGAACAGCTATGACCTGGGTGCAACCATTGCCGCCCTTTCACAAGACGCCGAGGCCGAGACACTATTGAAGCGAAATGAAGATGCTCGAGTGCTGGTTGGTAAATCCATGGCGATGGAACCACCCCGTCCTGTGACCCCCTCTGGGAACGGTCGTAGCCCTGTGGTCTGCAAGTACTGGCTGTCTACTGGGCAATGTCTGAGGGCGGACTGCCGTTTCAGCCATGATCTCACCAGCCATGTGTGCAAGTAAGTCTTTTGGGGACCATCTTTGGAGCGGTGGATCAGGGCAGTGAACTAACAATCACCGTTACAGATATTGGGTGATGGGCAACTGCCTGGCAGGAGATGGATGTCCATTTTCTCATGACCCCTCCGCCCTCATTTCCAACCTCAGTGTCTCCAGTAATAGTCGCCCGGCCTCGCCCGCGTCCAGCTCTCTTTTCCAAGTGGACAATGGCTCCGATGCTTTCCCACCCCTTTCATCAGCAGGGAGCGAAGACCAGTGGGCAAACCAGTCTGGTGGCCGCTACCTAGGTCTCTCCGGTCCTCAAGTAAAGCATATCCCCCCGGGGCTTCACCCCGGCATGGGCAGACGCAATGGCAGCTTGACACACCTAGGACGTCCCACCTCCCGCCCAACCAGTCGCCACCAAAACCGACCCGAATTGAATCCCTCTGCTCTGTCTGTCGACGACCCAGATGCCTTCCCGACCCTCGCCGCAGTCAGCGCAAAGAATGCGGGAAAGAAGCACCATGGGAAGCGAGGGGCTCACAATGCGGCCAAAGAAAACATCCCATCCTCGCTGGCCGATGTTGTTCGCATGTCACCGTCACCTGGGCCCAATAAAGGGAAAAATGCCCTCAAAAGTGCGAAAGAGACCAAGGGCCGCGAGAACAGCGCGGCAGCTATGACGATCTCTCCTCCTCAAAATATTCCTTGGCTCGAGACGGGTGCGCGGGCGAACCAACAATATATCAAGTATCGCACAGAAGCCATCCGTCACGGGACTGTGCGCAACAAGTTCTTGCAGAGGTGAGTCAACTAAATGCTTTTTGCTTTTCTTTCCTTGTTTTTTCTGTATAAAGGAAAAGACCAGCTGACTGACATCCCTGATTAGCGCCGCCCAAGCATGGAACCGGAGCGATGCGCGAGCTGCCAAAGCGCTTTCCCTCCGCGGCCAAGCAGAGAACGATGCTATGCGTCGTTGCCACCGCGAAGCTGCACGCCAGCTTTACGAAGAGCGCAATCAACACCTGGTCCAGGCAGGCCTAGATGGAGCTGCGGAGGAGCTCTACGTGGATCTGCACGGCCTCCACCCCGAAGAAGCAATTGAGTACCTCGAGAAAATCCTCCTCAAGCACGCTCGGGAGGGTCTTCGAGTGGTATACGCCATCACCGGCACCGGCCACCATTCTAAAAACGGCAAGGACAAGATTGGCAAGGCCGTCAAGGCCTGGCTTAACGAGTGGCGCTACCTGTTCCGCGAGTTCAGCGTTCCTGGCGAGCGCGGCGGTTATGTCGGAGGCATCCTAGGCATCGACCCAACCAGCTATGACAAGTCTCTAGCCAAGGCTGTGGCCGAGAGTGATGATGTAGCGGCTGAGAGTGGTCCACCAACCCTTACTATGGGCAAGATCCAGTTGCTCAAGCGTGAGGAGATAGAAACGAACAACTCATGATTCCTCGGTCTAATCGGTGATCGCAAGATGCGGCACGATCCCCATTGCATTTGCATGAAGAATACCTCGTAATACCCGGCATGTTCATACTAGTTGTTTGAGTGTGCTGCGCATGCAGCAAATACAAATGTTTCATAAGCAGATATTTTCTTGTTTATGGTGGTAGCCTTCGGATGTAGATTGTATTTGGGATCTCAGCTGCTGTCCCGCGGGCAGTCCGCGAACACTTCGCCGACGGGCATCCTGTTATTGATGTCTTTGTGCCTCAGGCAATAATCATGTGTCATTGGCCGTAATGTCATTCTCAGCCAGCCTGCATAAGTTACCTTGCATCGACCACTATTCAGAGCATCTAGCCCTCAGAGGCTTACCAGGAAGCTGCGTGAGGAGGTCTTTTCAAGATTGGGATCAAATTGCTCAGGAAGTCGAAAAGAAATGGGAAAAGGTGAAAAATACAAAAGCACAAAAAAAGGAGACTAGCGTAGTTCGAACCCCACTAGACTACAAGAAAAAAAAATTGGGGTGGAAACGATTTTTGTTAAACCTGTCATTTATTTCCTGAGTAAACCACGGACCCGAACGTCACCCATTTTAGCCAACCTGCATAACTCATGCTTAGCTGGGTATAGCTAGTTATCCTTCCGTATAAGTGGGTCGCTATTAATTGAAGGCCGTCACCGTCGGGTAGGCCCTGAAACGAACAGGCACTGTCCGCTGGGGGAAGAGCTAGCGCGTATTAGACGAATCTGATGACGAGCTTAGCCTCGAAAGTTAGGAGTACTAGCCGCCCCCTATTATTATCAGTAGTATCGTTACTTGTAGTAATAGTACGTCTTAGCCGAAATATTAGACATAACACTTCGTATATTGCAGGCGAACACAATAAGGTCGAAGGATAAGGTAATGATGCATCTCGGTAAGGAAGAGGTACAGAAAGGAGTAGAGATCATCGTTGTACAGGAACTGTAGGTATAGGACTTCGATGGTGGTGTCAGTGGCGACGATATAATACGAACGTACTCGTAAGCGCTAGGTAGACGCTTCTATATACTACTAAGGCCCACACCTAATAGCGTAGGGGAGAAAGGCCGCCCTTACATGTGCATATACGTAAGTAAGCGTATCGAACCGAAGACTTGGTCTGTCAAGTACCACTCTAGATACTACGGCACAGTAACGGTAAAAACATCAATAGGCAACATCTATGTGTACAACGTATATATAGTAGGGAAAATACATGGCGAGGACGCGGCGTAGGGAGGCAAGAAGCGCAGCGGCAGCAAAACGAACGTTGAGGCTATTAAGAGAATAGTTAGGAAGCGCTGGGAGCGCTGACCATCATACCTGATTGAGGGTATAGAATGTCCTCATCTCGCTCCTGCTGGTGGCGCCTCTTGTAGCTTTTATTCATGAACTGGCTTTCCTATTCGCCCTTATGCGGGTTCTCTTCTTCAACTCGCAAGGCAACTTTCTCTCCGACAATAGTTTCAAATGTCAATGCCATTCCAGCTGGAACAGGCTGTCAGGTTTGTATCTTGCCTGCATCGGCTGGATATGAAGCCCTGCGGCAAGCCGTAACGATAAGCGACGAGTGATTCTCCGTGTAGATGGGTTCGTTTGATAGATAATATCTAGGTCTCATCGGTCGACAGTTGAGCTACATGAGGGATGGACAGGTTCAGCTCGTAATAGTACGTAATGGGTAGGCGGTCATCAGCTCTTCGTCTCTGGGACAATTGGCACGGGGCAACGCAGAGGTGATATGGTAAACAAAACTGAAGCCGAGTCCGTGGGGACGCTATTCAGATCCTAAGTGTAAGTACGCGGCCCCGCATTGCGCTGGACGCAAACTCCCGTCGTTGGGGGAAGGGACAGCAACCGAAACAGACAGAGGACACACGCACTTGAAGCTTAGTATAAAACATGTGTCAAGACAAAATAGGGCCAAATCCTAGGCAAAATAACTACTAGACCAAGAATGCACTATAGGCAGCATTCTTAGTCTATACTGTTATTTATTGCTCCGATAACATGCCAGCACTGCCCGCTGCCTTTCCAATAACTAGCGCGAAGAGATCAAATAGGGCGCCCCCTAAAGCTAGAGCAAGGGAGTCTGCACGGAATCTCTATAAGAATAATGTCGACTTTGTAGCTCTCGCCCTATAGTCGCGTGATTTTGTAAAATAGTTGAGGTTCAATAGACGGTTGGACTTTTATAATGAATTAGCCGTCAGACAACTGACTATCATTTATTGGGTTTTAACTTCGGTCTCAAAGTCGAACTCCCTAATAATTAGCTATACCCACCGGTGCCTGATAGGTTAAACTATATTCTTTAGGTGCAAGACCTCCTCGATTCGACGGCCGGAATAATATCTAATACCTATAATCCGGACCGAGAAGTTTTTAGAGTTAGTATTAGAGGTTGCTGCCTTTGGGATCGTTCCTATGTAAAGCACTTATTATCTCATCCTCTGCTACAGATTAGTATAATAGTAGCTATAGGAGGGCGAAGTTCCAGAAAGAGTAGGCGGAAGAAGTAGGAGAAACTGTCGCACAAATTTATGGGGCATAATACCGCTAGACTAAAAATGCACCATGGGCTATATTCTTAGTCTATACAGTCATTTTCCATTTCGACAGAAACTAGTTAGTGAGAATTGGCAGAAAAGTAGGCGGAGAAGACTAGTAGGAATGTGGGCGGAAGGAGTAGGCAAAAGGCGGTAGGTAGCTCGGATTTTTTGACGTAAGCCACGAGATTAGTGCGAGTCTACGACGTTTGTATTATGAACTACTCGATATTAGTAGAGTATAGCTTGGTGCTAAGCGGTCGTAAACGGCCTTGGTAGCCTCAAAGTTGACTATTTCGTGCTTTAAAATAATTGTTTTAAAACCGGAATAGCGCGTTCTGTCCGCGTCTTCGCGTTAATGCTAGTGTGGCTTATGCATTTCTAATCTTAGTCCTCGGAGTGTCTTCGCGTTACTTGCTTCTCTCGATATACGCCGCTTTTCTTAGTACGACTTCTCTACCATTAAAAATGACCTAAACCGCACCTAAGCCAAGGGCAAAAGCCTTTAGGTTCAAATTCAAGACCGCACTTTTTAGCATTAACAATAACCCTGTCCCGAAATACCTCTATAAACCACGAATTTAATTCCTCCTTTCAGCCACTTGTAGTTCGCGAGCTTGTGGCCCGACCCCGATTAAAGATCTCTAAATTAATTACTTACCCCCCTCCACCCCCCTTATGTGGGTAATAATTAAATAGATAGAAAGAACTAGGTAACCTACGGGTCAGGTGCAACGACCATCTACAAAAATTTTTGTCGAAGCTTTTAGGCAGATATCGCATGTGGGCTAAAACTCGATAGCCTATAACCTCTTAGGTATAAGTATAGAGACCAGAACGTCTCGGAGTGTCAACCCTGACACTATCTCTCACAAATACTATACACCTAATCTTGATTAAATAATCTAGATGTAGTCGATAGACCTAGGAAATAAGTAGTGGTTTAAGGATATACTAGGCATGCCTGTGAGAGTGTGCTAATTTGCTAGTATTCCTATATAATTTATTCTAAAGGCTCGGTACAGTCCCACGAAATTGAATGCAGAAAAGAGTCCTCAAGTCGGCAATCGTTGTGAGCATAAATATAGGTAAAAGTAACACCGACCGGCCCCTTCTGGCACATTGAATACAGGGTGCTCTTTCAGCTACAATGACAGTTCAAGCTGTCCGTAACGGCGATGTCAGTGAGTTTGAAGGCGCCAAATGGCACTCGGCCAAGACGGCTGAAGGTTACTCGCGTCTCCTGTCGTCGTCATGATAGCCTTGAAGCGGATTCTGTAGTCTAGATGGGAATAATGTATCGTGTTCAATTTAACCTGTACCGAGTATATAATCTTAGTATCGGACGATCAGTCCGGAGTTCCCTGTTACATGGGAATAGGTGCCTATACTGGTAGTTAGGTCTTCTGACAGCTGCGGGCTAGGGGCATGTTACAGGCATAAGGATTAGCATAAAGCGTCAAATCTGCGACGCTATCTATGTCTATGTCTATGTCCATGTCCATCCAGAAAAGAGGTTCGAACTGCAGGGTCAGCGACACTTCGATCCGACATAGTGCCCGGTTCCTCGGCTGCCACTCACACGTAACGAGCGCGCAATCAGCCATGAAATCACAGCCGGGTATACGGATAAGAATACCCGCGGTCTAGTCGGCCGCTGATCTCGGGGTCGATCGACGGGGACTAAGGCGCCGACAGTATTTCTGTTTTCGCAGCCGAAGCTTGACGGTACCCCTACTCCCGTAGGCCGATGAGGTGACTAACGCTCTTCAAGACAGCAGCTGCGGGTCCATAGGCAACTCCTGCTGCGCAAAGTCGCGCATTTGCAAAGGTGCAGAGCCAATCCTCAGCGACTTTGATGAGGATGGCTTTGATAGGGCTTTCGCCTTTTACAAGCCAAGTCAGTTTACCGTGCGCCGCTCTTGATTCGGGTAGACTGATATGAAGCTGCAGCTGCGAGGGTGTTTCCGTTCCGGACTAAGGGTTGAGGTGGCCGTCGAGCTGGAAGAGGGAGCGGGCGGCGGCTGAAAAATCAACATCTCGATTACACAGGCTTCGCCCGGGGAGAGCTGGTAGTAGCTCACCTGAGGATCGGGAACAAACATCAAGATATTGTAAAGTTTCAGTAGTTATGTGCGTTTCAAAGCTAGCAAACACATCCAATAATCCATCACACCCTACTTCGTACCCTACCCCCTCGCTCAGGGTTGACCCTCTGTTCAAGCAAGGCCATAATCTATTTTAATTAACTTTCCAGTACATACGACTATAGGGTGTGGAGAACAGTCAGCCGTACCCAAGCCAGTTAGTAGTATGGTAGGTGACCACATGCGAATCCTGGCTGTTGTATGTTTTCTTGGTATTTTTTGATGGAGGAAGTGCCCTTCCTGTCCTCGTCCTACCAGGTGAGTAGATATACCTTTTGAAAGACAGGAAGCCCAGAAGATTGCGATACCCACTGCTGACAAGATTAACGTTTTTGCCGTCAATGGCACAAAGTTATGATCGAAATACACTACCAAATACCCCAAGCTAGGAGTGTGCAATGTTAATGTCATGGAGCTATGCCGTAATGAAAAGACGATTTTCGCACTGAGGCTTCTGCATACTAGTAGAAACTGTTCAACTCAGAGGAATATATGGATTGTGGAGAGTATACAGAGGATATAATACAAGAGATGAACCTGGAGTTTTGTAATTATCCACAGACAGACAGAAAGTGTTTACAATGGCTGAATACAATAGAAAATCAATAAACGACCTCCAGCGCTTTATCATCCCAAAAACGGCAGAAATATTACAAGCAAAATGTCGTAAGGCATCTAAGCAGACGGTAATATCAGACGGTCTCTGCTCGTTCCCTTGCTCTTCTAAGACTCGTTGTGCTAACTCTGCATTCCTTGATGGTTCCATTGTGGTACCAAGTGACTTGCACGTCGATCGGACGATTGTCGCCTAGAGTTAGGCCCCAGAAAAGGATAACCGAAGGGGAGGTATGGTGATTCAAGACTTGAAGGCAAAACAGACAAATTGGCTGGCGGTACCTGAAATGGTCTCCCCTAGCGGACAAAACAAATCGAAGAGGAAAAAAAAATAGAGTCATTCGACGGTGGTCATCCTTGCGCCCATATTCTAGGCACAGGCGGTTCCTGCTCCGTTCAGCCCGGTGCTTTGTCGCTTCGTGGTTGCCGTATTTAAGCACTTTCCCTTCATGACAATAAACAACGCCCCCCCTTCTCTCTTCCCCCCATCCCCCCATTTCTCTCACTCCGTTTCTCTCACACCATTGAATGATTTCTCTCCTCTTCATCCATCTCGTCTTCATCCATCTCATCTTCATCCAATTCACGGTCTCTTCTTTCCTTTATTCGGCCAAACTTGTGTCAATTGCTCCCCTTTTCAACTTTGGGTATCGACTACATATGCATGTGGCTGTCGATATGAATCTTCATTGGGGCGGGGGAAGCTGTGCTTCATGGGGATCGAGAGCAGGTGGGTATACCTTCCAATGACCAGTGATGAAAACCGGTCATCCTTCTGAGGGCTGCTTGGGGGCCCAGTGACGAAATAGCTAATCTTCTGAGCGAGGTATGACAGCTTTCATGCGAAGCCCACTTAGTCACAGGACGAACCCTCAAGACCTGGCTAACCCCATTTTTCTCTCTCTGTATGTTTCGGACCTCGCGCTTCCGCTTCAACATTGCATCCTGGCATGATCAGCCTTGTCGCAATTCGTCCCAGTCATATTGTACCCTTCGCAGTTCAGACTGATACTACTGGAGGGTCTTTTCTGGGAATCATGGCGGTGGGAGGTCTGAATCCTCTCGAGTTGATCTGATGGAGATTGCCCCATTCCTCGGTGCCTCGGACCTGCAGGTGTCCTCGAGGTCTTGGACCTGATGGGTCTTCCCTCCATGCAGGAGGATTGCCGGTTCTTTCTAGGACCAGGCCTTTGTTCCTCTGTTGATGGCCTTCATAGGCCTCGGAATGTTTTCTCTTCCCTTCGTTCTCTTATTCCTCCGACAGATCCACAGTTGAACTCTGCTCTCCTGTTCTGATTCCTTTTGCGCTGGCTTATTCATGCCATCATGATCTTGTGTTATACTGCAGCAAATAAGACATGAAGTATCTGTGTAGCCAAGAATTTGCTTGCCTCTTTGAAAGTAAATGGGTCCAAGGTTGACCGAGCAAATCTATGAGATGAGAATGATGGCGCAGTTAAGTTGAGTATGTTGTTATCAAAATTGTGGGCACTTTATGATAATTGCCTGCACTTCATTGGGCGAATGCTTGTTACGCGGCCAAGATACAAGTCTCAATACAAGTACGGTACAATATCACAGTCCTCCTCACGGTCAAAGGACTCAAACTTCCCCTTCAGTCTACCGCACGCAGAGTTGACGGGCTGCGAGCTGCGCGTCTCATTGAAGGCGGCCCTGCACATCCATGTCAGATCCTGGTTCTCGCGAAGGGAAGCAGCAATAGGAGGATAATGCATGTGTTTAGGGACTACCACGCCTTGCGTGGGAAGACTGCAATAAGACCCAAGAATCAAGGTGGCAGACTTCTCATCCTTCTTGCGTCCACTCTTTGGAGGAGCCTCCCGTGCTGGGAAGAAATACATATTTCGGGCCTCGACCGAGCGCGGCAGGAAAATCGGATCCTGGAGGGAGCAAACATTGGCATCGGTTGAATCCGGTGAACGGAACAGCGGGATGCGAATGATATCCAGCTTCCGATCTCGTTGTGTGAAGAAAAGCTCGTCGTCTGTCCAAGTCAAGAAGTAGGGCAGGTTGGACACTGGGATGTTCGTCACTCTGCCGAGATCCACCGTGGTGCGGAAGACTAAACGAGGCGGGCTCCTTGCGGTCTTTGAGTCTGACAGTCGATGGGTCGATACTTGAAGACTCAGCAGTGCGGAATCTGGCTCGCCCTCTTTTTTCTCTGTCGCGGAGCCTTCCAGTGCGGCAAAATGCAGATGCCGCCCGTCACGAGAGAATTGTGTTTTAATGAAGATATGGCAACTGCGGGACTGCGAGCGACACAACTCGCGAGTGAAGTATGTCTTGCGGTCGTAGTTTGCAAAGAGAATTTCCCCGTCGCCCAGTGGCCAGACGAGTAGAGGCTTGGAGGGGTGAAAGGCTGGCGGGGAGCCAAATAAACCGCCCTTGATGAAGCAGGTGTAGTGGAAAATGGGCTCATCCGTCAGCCTGGTCGGATCATAGATCCGGATGTTCGTTCGCTTGGTTCCTTCACCCTTGGTGGTCTTGTTACCAAGTAGCAGTTCCTCAAACAAGGCGCGTTCTTCGTTGTCCGAACCCTCTTGGCTGTCTGAGCAGGCGCTGTACTCGCTAGGAGAGTAACGGCTCTCGACGTCGGAATAAGCCTCTTGAAGCGTTGCTTGGTCGCCAAAGAACCCTTGGGCGTTGTGTTCCTCCGACAGATTGCTTTTGATTTCCGTGTCCGATAATAAGGCAGCATTCTCATCATCCGAGTCACTCGAATCGGCCTCAGAAGAAAGTTCCTCTCTCTCATGTTGTAGCTCCTCTAGAGTGATGCGCTCATTTCCCCAATCATTCCACTGCTCGTCGTCCTCCATCTCCTCTGACAGGGACTCTGTGGATGCCTCACTCCAAGAAGTATAAGCGGTATTACTGCTGACGCTATCAGAGGAAGAATAGAGCAACTCATCAGTGTGTTCTGAGTCTGATTCGGCGTCCAGAGCCTGATCTCTTTGCGACCAAGGCTCGGCGTCGAGGTCGTCAGCATCCTCCAGAGAGATCGAAGAGGCTGAGCTAACACTGGCCCTGGCCCAGATATCACTCTTGCTCGCAACAGTAGTTGGCTGTGTCGACTCTGCAACATTACCCGTTGCTACTTCATCCAGAAGTCTCATAACACTCTCTCTTTCCTGCATCACGATCTCGGCACAATCAAGAACCGTTTCTGGACCTGCGACAGACTCTGGAAATTCAATGTCTGTCTTGGAAATGGCTCGTCTGGTTGATACCGCAACAAAGTAGCCATTACTGGCCATTTCTTCGATGTAGTCGTTTTCAGATCTCAGGATTGGAAGCAGCTTGTACTCGTCGTTCTCTCCTTTGCAATAGACCTGGGATCCAACACGCATGAAATTCAGATCCTGGGTAAATGAAACAAGGTGCGGTCGACCAGGAACTTTCTGGGATGTTGGATATTCATAAAGCGGCCAGCTTGAAGACGAGCAGTGCAGCGTCTGTGAGCCCTTGAGCTTAGGCTGACGACCTTTGAGGTACCAGCGCTCGCACCTGAACTTCAATTGTTCACACTCCCTGGAGGGTGATAGAAGTTAGTGGGTGCTGTTTTTCCAAGAATCCACACAAGAAAGATACTCAGGACTGACAGGGTCTCCAACTTCAAAACTACCATCCAGTCTGCTGATTCATCCACAGCATCGAAGCATCGGAGGGGAGCTTCTAAATTTTGATCCTCGTCGGCCAAAAGTATCAAGCTCTTGTATCGACTGCGCCCCTTATGAAGGAAGTTCCGAGGGCCCAGTGCTCCAAAGAAGCACCTGTCGATCTCACCCATGTAGTCGCCTCCCCTGGTAGTGTCAACGTCCAGGAGATGACCCCATTCTCCAACAAAAACACCATAGGCTTTGACCAGGTCCTCACCACAGTTTTCCTGAAGCCAGTGGGGAAAGACGCGTTTGATATGTCTTCCAGCCCAGGGTCGGTAACTATTCCACCAGAACCGAAATTGGCCTATATATATCGCTTAACACTGTTGTCGTCAAGATGAGCATCAAGGGAGAAACACAATACCTTCCACTAAGAGACTCTGCACCTGCAGCAATGTGAAAAACTGGGGGCTGGCCACAAATTGCGTGACCCTTTGGCAGTATTCGGGTGAGAATTCAACACTATCGAGGTGCTTATCCCAGTACTTGGCTGCATAGGAGAGTAGATGCTGATCTGCGATGTTATTGTCATCTAGATCAACAAATGCCTGCTGTTTCTGGGTAAGAAGCTGCCGATACCGTGGCTGCAACATATACTTCAGGCATATATCTGCCATCACCTCGTTCGTCAGAGCATACGCGCTGGATTCGGGACCGTTTCGCAGGATTTGGGCGTTCTTCAAAAGGAAGCTTTTCACGGATCCATGCCACAACGTGCAAATCTCAACCGTACCCTCCGGCCCTTCAGACTCCTCAATTTGCACAAGGGGCTGGCAGAGGTGCAAGATTTTACCCTTGTAAAGCTTTTCACCTTTATTCATGTTAAGTCCCTCTTGACACTTTGCCATAGCGGTACATTCGCAGAGCTCGTCCAAACGTAACGGCCGTTTGGCGTGGACTATGCATGCAAGAATCACTCTGTGGGACTGATTAGCCTTTTTTCCACCTTTTCCAACCAAGTAGGTTGAAGTGAAGTTCAACATACGAAACAAATTCCCTCAGTGACGGATCGATACTTTCCATCTTTCTCAAGTAATACTTCTCGTAGTCCGCAGGCACGCCGTCCTCGATGTGTTGATGAATCATGGAGGGTGTCACCGCACGGGACAGTGCATTGAGCATCAGCGATACCCATAAGAAACAGCCTTCAGCCTTTTCGCGAAGATCTCGAAGAATGAGAGTTTTCTCTCCTTCATGAAGATCATGTTCTTCCAAGACAGCGAATTGGCGAGATAGGTAGGTCTCTATGTCTTGGCCGTTGATGTCTTTAGTGATTTCAATCAATGAAAAGGCCTTCAAACGAGAATCGAGACACGTGCGAGGCTGGGAACTACACCATAGGCGCAGATGATTAGATGTATCATCGGCTAGATCGCGGAAGAAGTCTAAGATCTCGAAAATCTCATCTTTTCTCTTATCGGTTTCGCACTCTTCATCCAATCCATCAAGAAAAATATAAGTTGCCGGTACAAGCTTCACTAGCATTCGGATCACTGTTTTGACATCCTCGGCTTTTGCAATTGTGTGCCCACGCTGCGTGAAGGTGTGTATTTTCTCGGGCATGTCGGTGTGTTTCACCAGTTCATTTGTGAGTTGCTCCGCCAGGCATCGGTAAACAAACAAGGCGGGAAAGTCTTCATCAAATCGGAAGTACTGGTAAATGACGGCTGATCGGCGCGGGGTCAGCTGTGACACCTGCGCAATCGCATAAGCTGTCAAGACTGATTTTCCGACGCCGGGCGCAGCTTTCAACCACAGCTGAGATGCTGGGTCACTAATCTCAAGCCATGATTTCCATTTGTCATGATCAAACAGCCAGTCGCAGGTCGCCGGGCTCCTGCGATTCAGATTGTTCTTCTGATGATGGAAATTGCTCTCGTTCAAAAGGGAAACCCCGGGACGTAGCCAGTTCTGGACATCCTTCACCTTCTGGGCCTTCCGATCGCTTTCGAGCATTTCCAACTGCTTTGCATATCGCTCCTCGGATAGTTGAATATATTTTGACTGTTCTTCTCGCGAAAGCCCGGCAAGTCGACGCTCCTCAGCCTGGTTTTCGCGCTCCCCTCTATCTATGCCTTCCTTCACGTAAGGCGCAAGGCGATCTATCCGTTTCGCACTCTTCTCAATTTTCGCAATGATTTCATCAAGCTTGGAAACACTGAACGGGACCACCGATCGAGCGAGCCGATTGGCGACACAACGATTGCATTCTTTCTCGACGCGCAGCCAGAAACGAATGATGTCAATGTACGAATCTTGTAGTAACAGTCGCATTGTTGTTGAATGCCCAAACAGATCCTCGCAATCGTTTAATGTTTCGATATGAGCATTCAAGTCTGCGATTTGATCCCCGATTTTTTCATAAAGGTCAAGGAATCGCTTCGAGCAGTCAATCACGGCCCTCAAGCAGCCCCATATCACAGCCGTCGGCATAGGGTCGGCGGAACACAGTGTGTCGATCACACCGGAATATGTAGAAAGAGCGCTCACTACACTCTTCAAGACTCTCCGTGCTGTGTTGGAAGCTTTGCGATCGGTTTTCAGTAGCTGAAGCTCCTTGATGTCTTCGTTTACAGCATTGGCATCAAGCTGTACTCCCTCCCTGAGTTGCTTTTGCAGGCTTTGGATGAGTTGGGGCGTTTTGCTTTTTCCAGAGCAACTTGCGATAAATTCCTCGAGTGCAACTGTAAAGGCCGAAGGAGCCGCTGGCCCTCCAGGGCCACCGGCAGGGTCGTCAGTCATTGTTTAGGCCAGCATTCAGGAAGCTAATAGGTTTCCCATTGGAGATAATATCTTCAACCAGAGAAATGGTTACAAACGGAGCCTGTGGATAGGGATTGGGCGATGCCGATCGTCAATCAAATGAGTTTCGCTTGGAACATATCCTGCATCAAAGAAAGTCAAGTGTTGCGATTTGGCCCCCACAGGCTGCGGGTTTGGGCACATTTACCCCTCCACCGGGCTACGGTGGCGCACGTCAGCAAATAATAAGCCCCGAACGGCACGGCACTTTAGGGCCGGCGTGATATCACACCTCCTGCCAACGCATACCGTGGAAGTGGAACCTCACAAGGGAAACTCGGTGCCACAGATGGAAAATGTCCCGGGCTAAGGGGAGGATACCCCGCACGAGAGCCTCATACTGACGCGGACGGCTGAACTGTTCGGCCCAAGGTGCTGGGTGATTCCTGCATTTCGCATTTTGCATTAGCGCACTGCTGGTGGCTAGAGGGCGTGGGGGCCAAAGCGGACAGCTTTTCTCGGATAAGGCAGGGGTATGACGCTTGTCCTCATGTCAGACTGTGCGAAAAATTGCTGATGGTCAGAAATTGATCATAAGAGTATCCTCATCTTCTAACGTATTGAGTTGAGACGTAATCTTCGTCAAGAAATACACAACCAGCGCTATCATGGCAGAAGAGGCCAGGCCCCGCGCAGCGGGAACTAAACAAAATATGCCCGTGGAGACTTCCATCAAAAGGGTCATGACCGCCAGCGACAGCAAGGCCCAACGTTTGTTGCGCGTTGATCAGATGTAAGAGAAGATAGCATTCGAACGTCTGTATTCTCTGGCCCTCCCTTGAGACTGACAGAGAGTCTTCAACAGATACAGCAGGTATGGGCAAAGATAACTGGGCAATATTCGACTCCACTAAAGCCCGGCCAGGAAAGACCGACAGGTTCATTTTGTCAAGACTGCAAAGTCGGCATCCAAGCCTGATCGTTTTAGCAAAACTGCCATGGTCGTTCGTCGTGTCATCACGAAGCAAGGCATGATCTCACATACTGAGATCGACCTCCGATCGCCACATCTCCAAAGCGCTTTTCGAGAGATCTTCCAGGGTGTTGAAGGCCTAGAGCTGAACAAAATGCCCCCAGTGGTGAGTGAATCTGCTTCGTTATAGTTCACGTCAAATGGGACATTGATTGCTGAACCTGTCTTAGGCCAAGCCGGAATTGATCTTTTGGGCGGCGAAAGATCTACTTCGTATCAAGGAGGAAGAAAAGCTCAAGGAACAGCCCTGTCAACAGCTCATTGACGATATTGGGACAGCCTTGCGATTTGTTCAAGAGGACTATACTAGTCAAATTGACAGCTTGAAGTCGCTTCTGGAACAGAAGGAAATTACTTGGGATCTTCTTTGGACCATTTTTCCGCCAAAAGAAGTTATTGTCGCGCCTAGATATGGTGTCATGTCCCAAGAACAAGCCTTTATTCTTCGGGATTCCTCTTACGAGAAGCGTGAGAATGGCACATACTATTTCTCTGCAGTTGGTGACATTGTCACATTCAGTGGTCGAAGATTCGGCACAGGATTAATCACGTTGGAAATTGATAAATATGATGGATCTCGAAAGATCGAGAGCCTAAACTGCTATCCAATCTCACACCATCCAGGTGAATCTGTCATCCGGGAAAGGTTGATCACCAGGGGCAGGAAATATTTGTCATTGCTGGAGAAACCGGCATGCAGAGATTACTTCGTGACATATGGGGTAAAGGAGAAAATTCTCCCTGATGGATTGTCAAAATCGGAGATGTTCAATGTATGTCACCGCTGGCTTATTTTTCTGGAATGATCGGTCATGCTCACAAGCATCTTTAGGCCATGGGGCGAGTAGTGGCGGACCCTGAAGGCTACTACTTCCATAACAGCTCATCGGATTTAAATAGACCTCTTGTGTGGTCAGAAGATGAACTCAGTCGCAACAGCCTTTCGGATGATCAACTCTTGACTTGTGCCTCGTGGATCAACGGCTTCAGCTTGTCTAGTAAAACCTGGTGTCAGCTTGCTGTGACATCGCTGACCAATATCAAGTGGAACAACCTGGCTTTCGAAAGACTCGTTCTGGAAGAAACCCGTCGCGAGCTCATCCACGGACTCGTCAAAGCTCATGGTAAGGATGAAGCAGCATTTGACGATATCGTGGAAAACAAAGGCAAGGGCCTCATCGCACTCCTGACGGGGAGTCCCGGCGTTGGAAAGACACTTACCGCAGAGGCGGTTGCGGAAGTCACGCAGCGTCCACTCTATGTGGTTGCTACTGGTGAGCTTGGAGTTGATGCCGACACAGTGGACGAGCGCCTAGGGATGATCCTGGACATCACGCGACGATGGGGCTGCGTTCTGCTCATCGATGAAGCCGATGTTTTCATGGCTTCTCGGGGCAAGGATTTGGCTCGTGATGCGCTGGTTAGCGTTTTCCTCCGTCGGCTTGAATAGTAAGTCCTATGCCCCTTTCTCTTCTCATCTTCTTCCGGCTGATATCGACCTAGTTTCCGTGGTGTGGCTATTCTTACCACAAATAGAAGCGGAGATATCGACCCGGCATTCAAAAGTAATTTTGATTAATGTGATTCGGTTTCTTGGTGTCCACCGCTAATCGAATTATCTTTCAGGTCGAATCCACTTTACCCTTCATTATCCAGACCTTAACGAGGACAGTCGGAAGGAGGTGTGGAAGAACTTCCTCAGGACTATAACCAAGGAGTCCGAGCTTTCAGGCTTTACTGAAACCGACTATACTGCCCTTGCAAGACATAATCTCAATGGCCGACAAGTATGTCAAGCCGCCTATACCGAGTACCGGACTGCAATAGAGCTGACGTACCTTCCAGATCAAAAACATCGTTTCCTGTGCAGTTTCTCTGGCACGGGAGCAAGGGAAACCCATTACTGTGGAGAACATTGAGAGATTGCTGCAGGTGCTAGTTGACTGATGTCGTTGGGTATTTATTTCAGTTCTCGTACACCTAATAATAGCACAGTCATAGCATTTGCATTGACTTGGCTATTATTTTTTGTTTTTACCCTTTTTTTAGTTTCTCTCGAGGTCTCTTTACTTTCTAGGTAGACTCTCTTAACCAAACGCGGGCGATAGGTACGGACGGGTACAGGTTAATATATTCTATGTATGCCAGAGTGAATGTATTCAGTCATGACAATAATGTGCATATTCTTCTCAATTCATGGTGCATATTGAAAGCCCCAAGCTAGCTAGCAGCAATTAATCCATCAAATGGATTGCCTTAGAGTACCGGAAATAGAGGGGACCAGGAGCTAAAAATGGCTACAATGGGGGTTAACTTTGCAGCGGACGGTTGAGGGTGGAGTTGGCGTAGCTGTGAGCCAATAGGAATCAAGGGGCCCAACTATTCTGCCCAGCCACACCGCCCGGGAGGTGCCGCAATGCTAACGTGGACACGGGACATCCTCAAACAACAACAGCTCTCTTCCCAAGCTAGGAAGTCGTGGATTGCGGAAACGGTGCTTTTTGAAGCTTTAGGACCATTGGTTCTCTGCTGTTCATCATGGATCAAACACAGCCAGGAGACCTGAACTGGCGCCTCAGCGCTCACCCGATCACGCTACTTGTCTTCTTGGCAATTCGCATCGGTTTGTGCTGTCCTACCCTAGATCGCGCTGAAAGTACACTTTACTTACGGGTTTAATCAACAGGTGCTTTGCTTATGTACCTTTTCGGTGTCCTCTTCATTGATAACTTGTAAGGGCCCCTTGGTCGCTGACGATCTAGTCCCGCTAGAATACGGAGCTTCGCCGTGCTAACAAGGCTATCTAGCATCCTGGTGTTCATCTTGACCCTCCTCCTCCTATCTGCCGATTTCTATTATCTCAAAAACATTGCCGGCCGTCGACTTGTGGGCTTGCGGTGGTGGAATGAAGTCAACACAGCCTCCGGCGACTCGCACTGGGTCTTCGAATCCTCCGATCCCAACGTCCGGACGATCAGCGCCACCGACAAGCGATTTTTCTGGTTGAGCTTGTATCTGACACCGGCGTTGTGGGTGGGATTGGCGGTTTTGGCTATTGTGCGACTGGTTGGCGTCATCTGGCTGAGCCTTGTTGGTAGGTATTCCCAACTAAAGCGATCAACAACGATTCCCTCTGTTAGGCTCCCATGGCTAATCTATAAAATTTAGCCATTGCTCTCATTTTGACCATCACAAACACGGTGGCCTTTTCCCGGTGTGACAAATTCAGTCAGGCATCGACGTTTGCGAACCGGGCGCTTGGTGGTGGAATTGTGAACAATCTTGCAGGTGGCCTGCTGGGCAGGTTCTTCCGGTGATTCAGGGCAAACACCACGATTTACATTTTTCAAATTTGAGCTGGCTTACTGTGATGCTTCACTTGTTTCCGGCAATATGTATCCTCTACCTCTCCGTGTCTTGATAAGCTAAATGTACTGGAATTCGATTACCTCTTGGCAAACACAGCCTGGTTAGTGCTGGCAAACTGCTCTGAATCCCCCCCGCGTTTGGTGTAGCTTCCAGCTTAGGAAGGAGCCTAAATATCGTGCTCTGTCATTTGCTCCTCTTCCTCTTTCTTCCCTTCTCTTGTCTCTTCCCCTTCTTCTTTGTTCATCCTCAAGTATTTCATTCCCTACCGGGCACAACTGAATCACAAGGCATCTGGTAAGTAGCATCAACCGTTTGATATTACCTGTTCTCCCCTTCCACCCACGAGCAGTGGGAAGAAGTGCACGTGTTTCCGGGTGACGCTCATGAAGAATCCGACCCGGCTCGTCCATGACTGAGCCCTTCCTGCTGTCAATATTCTTGACTTACTATCTGTCCGTCACCATTTACGTGTATTTCGGGGGAAACACGTCTCTGGGACGTGCTTTGATGACTTTTTCAAGCCTTTTTCACGTGTTGCGGACATGACACTGATGGCGAAGTGAACTCAGGCATCCGCTGTGCTCCAAGATGTCTTCCGTCTGGAATAGACCGTCTTCATGGGACGTCAGCTGGGATAATGGAGACTCCCTCGGCGTGGAAAAGGGTGATTTTGATGGGTGGGATAACACTGTCCAAGGCATGCCATGTCCCCTCATTCCTTGACCACTTCCTTTCATCTTCTTTCACATTTCTCTTCCTCCACCACCTTCTCTTCCTACTACGTCCTCCATTTCTTGGCAAACTGACTTTCCCCTAGGTACCGGCAACAACGAGAGCATGGATACTCGCTCTTCTGGGCATGATGCTCAGCATACTACAACCCCGGATGAGAGCGGAGACTTCGCTTGCCGCGTGTAAGTCTTTCTGTGTTCCATAGCCAACCTCATCTGATCGCTAACTGAGAACCCCCAAGCTGCGGTGAGACTGGTCACTTCGCGCGCCAATGCCCAAATCTCCAAACCCAAGCTTGCTACAACTGCGGCGAAGAGGGGTGAGTTCAGACCACAAGGTACCGTGATTGTGAGCTTGTACTAATTTCGTTGGGTGCAGTCATACCAAGGCAGACTGTCCTAACCGTCGGAAGGTCCAGTCATGCTTCAACTGTGGTGATGAAGGGTCAGTTGTGAACTACAAAGCAATGCCGCCGAGGAGAATCTAAATTCGCGTCCCTCCAGACATTCCAAGGCAGATTGCCCGAACCCGCACAAGCCTATGGGCGAGTGCTACAACTGTGGCCAGGAAGGGCAAGTCCATGGAGCACCTACACAGTTGGGGTCTACACTAACCTTTTGGTTACCAGACATTCCAAGGCAGATTGCCCGAACCCACGCAAGCCCATGGGAGCATGCTTCAACTGCGGTCAGGATGGGTAAGTGATTGCTCATGATAAATATACTCAATTTCCCGATCAATGATATCTTACTATAAATGCAGTCACTCCAAGGCTGACTGCCCGAACCCTTCTGTCTTCAAAGGTGCTTGCCGCATCTGTTCGCAGGAGGGTCATCCGGCTTCTGCTTGCCCTGAGAGGCCAGTGGATATCTGCAAGAATTGTCGGGGCGAAGGTCGAGAATATCAAACCCATCATCTGAAATAAAAGCCAAAAGAACTGGAACTGATTGAAATCAATGATATAGGCCACATCGCTAGAGATTGCAAGGAGAATCGCAAATTCGACCTGAACCACGTTGCGGACCGGCTTCCCGAGGAGGCTTGGGGCATGATGAAGAAAGCGAGTGATGAAAAGGATATCGTCGACTTCCGCGAGGTAATATACCTCCACGTCTCACACGTTTGAATTCCTGCTAAAATTTGCAACAAAGGCTGTTCAAGTCTACTCCAAGGCTGTTCCGGATGCTACCTATGCAGAGATCGAAAAGAAAATGCGCGGAGAGACTTTCAAGGTCTTTCTCATTGCTCTGGTACCTGATTCCCTTGCCACATCTCCCATTAGTGGACGCCTTATCTAACGCTCAATGATTCCGTAGGAGAAGGAGCGTGAGGATGTCCTTAGCCTGATCGATCTTCAGGGCCAGCTAGACCGCGAGTATCTTGTCGGCTTCTTCTTCTCCGACAAACCCATGCGTGCAAACCAAGAGCAGCGCTGGCCTCGGGACAGCGATGAAAATCTTGAGCGCCTGGCCAATGCTGGGCTGCCTTACGATCGTCAGGTCACCAAGTGCTGGAACTGTGGGGGTAAGTTGACTTTGATCAAGCTTGGAAACTACCATGTTTTAAATCTGACTTGTCATAGAGATGGGACACAGTGCACGTGCTTGCAAGCAGGACCGTGCCGAGGTTGAGAAGACTGAGATAAAGTGCAACAACTGTGAGAGCATAGGCCACCGCGTCCGCGACTGCAAAGAAAAGCGACGCAGCAAGTACGGCTGCCGTAACTGCGGGTATGTTCTGTTTCCCATTCCCGTCCAAGGTCCACGGACCTAACAACATCTAGCGTTGAAGGACACGAGGCTCGTGACTGCCCAGAATCGCCAGCTGCAACCGACATCGAATGCCGTCGATGCAATGAAGGTAATGTTGCGAGTCCGACGTTCGTTTATCATGGAATGATGCTATACTAACAATCCTCTAGTTGGTCACTTTGCGAAGGACTGCCCAAACCAGCCTGAAAGAGTCCCGCGCACCTGCCGCAACTGTGGGTATGTATCAGCATGCCATAAAGGAAATAAAGATTTGACGAAACAAATGATCCCCTTGCTAATCTGCTTGTAGGTCGGAGGATCACCTTGCTCGTGAATGTGACCAGCCCCGCAACCCTGATATGATGATATGCCGCAACTGCGAGAAGTGTGAGTAATAATGACTCCTGCCATAAGCTCCCTTTGAAACATGAAGCAGAGACGTGACGTCCAATCATGTGGAATCGAGTACTAAAATTATTGCTCACAGCGGGACATGCGGCCCGGGATTGCCCTGAGCCCAAGGACTGGTCGAAGGTGAAGTGCAACCAGTGCGGCGAGAGTACGTTAATACCCCGGCTTTTAAATTGACCCAACTGATGATATGCTGATAATGAAATAGTGGGCCACACCGTGCGGCGCTGCCCCCAGCCCGAAGCTCTCAATGTGCCGGAAGAGAATGAAGCTATCGGTGATGGTGGTGACGAGCCCGATTATGGCCGGGGTCGGTCTGGCCAGGCCGATTATGACCATGGTGGTGAGGTCGAGAATGTGCGGCAGCAAATGGAAGATGTGGCCTGGTGAATGCGATCAGGAAATTTGCACCCAGGGGATGGGCTTTGATCTGCGCAAGGAGGGGACACTCGTTATCTTTCTATCGATCTTTCATGATGAGCGGCTGATCGGACATTGACCGTGTTGGGATGTTTCACCCAGTGAACCTGCACATGGACGATGGCCAAGGATGTGCGCTTGTTGTGCTTGATCGTTTCAACAGTATTTTCTCCCTAGCGGATTGGTCGTCTACTGATGTAGTTTTCCCACGGACGATTTTACGTTTTGATTTCGAGGGCGAGACTCGACATTATGGCAAATATCTTTTATCCCAATCTCCGTCCAATCGAGGTTTACATTAAGTGCATGGCAAGTCCCGCCACTTTGTAATTGGCTACAGGCTAAGATAACCATAAATCCTTTAATTGATATCTCAGGAAAGCACTGGGTCCGGCTAATTGGCCAGTCCTGACCAAACAAGACACCAGGAGTCCAAGATAACCAGAGCTGCGACGGGGCCGGTTGCAGTCTGGCGTGCCCCTGGAGAACCAGTGATGACGGCACCACACTGCCCGAACCACGTCTGCACATCGGCATCCCCAGCCATCCGGATACCAGAGGTCCATTTTCCGGCCGGCATCTCTAAGCTCGGTGCCGGTGCCGGGCCGTCTCAGCGTCGCCGAGCAGCACAATGCCGCACACCATGATTGATTTCGCGGTATTCACTCACTACAGAAAATCACCCGAGACCCAGTTATCGGGATGCATTGGCGCCGTTCTTCGCTCGTGGGTGACATGCCCGATGACCTCATTCCACGGGAGCCGCGCACTAAGGATGAATGCCGATACCGACCCGTCTGGTCTCGGGCTGAGATGATGTTTACCGTCGAGGGGATTCTTTGATTGGGCAATGGACCGAGCGATACAACGGTTAAAGGATCGATGCGCAAGTGCGCTTTGCGCCATAGTGCATGTTGGGAGATGTATTGCAGTATGGTGGGTGTAATACGCCGTTGTGACGCCGATCCCGTGTACTGTATTCTTGCTCGCCGCTGAATGCGGAGCACCCAGCAACCATTTATGCCCCGGGCTAGCTGGCTGGAGTGTGGAGGAGATGAAGGTTCAAGTTCATAGGACATAGGCTCGAAAGGAGGTCGCACTCGCCATTTGGGGGTGATATGTATCCCTTTGCACCTTGAGCATGTACGTTTCTTTTTCGCGGCTTCTACTTCGACCACTAGGGCTCCCCACCATTGCGGATATTGAGTCCAGATACCAAATTTTCGATTATCAATGCATTGTACGGTGGACCGTCAGCTTCATCTTTTCCTTGCGGACGTTGACATGGCTCGTGTACGAACATCAGTGATGCCCCGGGCAGGTGGTCATCTCTGGGAGATATGGGCGCGACGCCGATCCACCAACTATGCTGTTACAGCGGTGCGCAATGCTTCGTGCCGGACGGGCAATTGGTATCCAATTGGCCCCTTATCCTCAATGACTCTTCCAATGCAACAACAAACACATCAGAATGGCCAACATCGCCAAATTTGGCAATGTGATCGGGATCACAATAACGCATCTCGAGTGTGAGGGTTGACACGCACGAGGCCTTGCACTGTGTTCGTGCGGCCTGGCGATGATGTCATTGTAATCGTTCCCGTCTCGGTGATCGACCATTGTGTGCCCGGCTTTGCCCTTCGGACGGTCGTTCAGTGGGTATAGTCACACTCCGATTGATTGATTCTTGTCGTCTGAAGGATTGCAGTGGCTAGTGTAGCCAAGGCGGTAGGTCCAGCAGGGACTAGAGACTGGATCCGGCCAGTCGGGTTGTCGGGTTTCTCTTAACAAATGGCACGGAGCACGACCAACCCCCGACGGGTTCCTGGCCGACCGAAAAACCGGTAGACCCCCCTTGGTTTGTTGAGGCTGGGCCGTGCGCTGATCCGATCCGGTGCCTCTCGGCCGTATCAGACAGAGAGATCATGTTTAGGTGAGGCATTGGGTCAATGGAAGGGCCGACCTTGGAAAGTCTCATTCAGGTCGAAGGGTGACAATGAGTCCTTTTCTTTTTGCTCCTTTCCTCGGCCAGGAAGAGCCTGGAGAGAGTCGTGGAGGGAAACATGGGGAGGAATCCGGGGAGGGTCCATCGGACCACAAACTGTCGAGTCCACTATGTCGAATGGGTAATGGTAGTCTGTGCTATACACCCACTACTCACTTTTTCCTCGGAACTGTCTCAGCTCCAGCTCCCGCCCCACGCGAGCCACGAAGATCCCCTGCTCATCGATGTAGTCATTGATTGCCCAATTGGGTGTTTGGTCTCTGAAAGCAGCGCTTTTGCGACCGCTGGACTTCGGTATTGTTCGTATGGTCGGTATGGTACGATACCGCGTCCGTACCGAGCCCCGGGAAGCTGCTTCGGAGTTGACTCGACTCGTCCAACCCTCGTCAATCCTGTCTATCCTCTCAACGGAGCCGGTTTTCTTGGTGCAACCCGTGCCGAACAAGACCTGGCCGGCCATCCCGACCGATGATTTGCCGGTCATCCTTCTTGGCGGAGACTTTCAGTCTGCCTGCACCTGCTCGACCCGCCGCCCATGGTCTGGTCGGTCGACTATCGGTGTGGTATGGACTGAGGGGGTCGTCTCTCCCCCGATCCGGCGACGCATAGACATTGACAATGCGACCTTGTATTGTGTTTCCTCCTTGGGCCCATGATCACCGTCTCCTTTCGTTTTCAATGCGCACCGCAGATGAACCCCCTCGTCATGCCAGCAGTGGATCCCCCCAAAGTCTGCGCTTGTTTCACGGCCTTCTTAAACCCCAAGGTCTTCTCCAGGCCAGTGGTGGCCTCTTTACCCTACTCAGCCATCACTTTCTTGTATCCAATTACATCCTCAGGTTGGGCGTGCTGTTGGATTTGAAATTGTTCTTGTCTTTCACTGTTGATGCACTGCGCTGGGTCGAGACTGGCATATCTTGCCGTTGTATACATCTTGTCCTAGAGCCCTGAGCTCATTTTTTCACGGATATCACGACTATACCTCGCCATCATGAAACCGTACTTTGGATTGAGAGGCGGTGCCCTCAATATTATGATCAGTATCATTGCCGGTCTTGATTTTTTGTGTGTTCTGTCCCTTCTCAATCGAGCAATGGGCATCCTGCTAACTATCCTTCCTATGCAGACTTTTTGGTTATGACCAGTATGTCAACGTGGATGGCTATTGAAACAATGATCATATGCTTGGTGCTAACCGTACAACAGGGGTGTTATGGGTGGTCTTCTGACCCTGAACTCATTCGTCGCCACCTTCCCAGATATCGACACGACCAAGGCCGGCTTGGTTGGCCTCAGCAGGCCTGAGCAGAGCCAACGCTCTACCGTCCAGGGTATTACGATTGCCTCATACAACTTGGGCTGTTTCTTCGGTGCTATCTTCTGCATCTGGATTGGAAACTACCTCGGTCGTCGCAAGACAATCTTCGTCGGCTCCATCATCATGGTCGTCGGCGCAACACTGCAGTCCTGCGCCTTCTCCCTTCCCCATTTGATCATCGGCCGTATTGTGACTGGTCTTGGAAATGGTATGAATACCTCCACTGTCCGTAAGTGCATCTATCCCTTGGCATACTTGGTCCTCCACATAAAATAACCTCTCTTGGCAGCTACTTGGCAATCTGAGTGCAGCAAGTCGCACCACCGGGGTCAGCTCGTCATGCTGGAGGGGGCTTTGATTGCCGGTGGAATCACGATCAGTTACTGGATCGATCTTGGATTCTCCTTCCTCGACCCTAGCTCAGTGGCCTGGCGCTTCCCGATCGCCTTCCAGAACCTCTTCGCTCTGGTAATCATGTGCTTTGTACTGCCGCTACCTGAGTCCCCTCGCTGGTTGATTCTCAAGGGCCGCGAGGAAAAGGCCCTGGAGGTTCTCTCTGCCATCCTGGATATGCCCGAGGACGACCCCTATGTGCACTCCGAGTTCGCCGCGATCAAGGACGCCGTTCTGGCTGCTTCAGGTGTCAGCTTCCGCGATCTCCTGACTATGGACGAGAACCGCCACTTCCACCGTGTCTTCCTCGCCTACGTCAACCAGGTGTTCCAGCAGATTTCAGGTATTAACCTCATTACTTACTATGCCGCTACTATCTATGAGAAATCAATGGGGATGGACAGCCTGATGTCACGGATTCTGGCTGCTTGTAATGGAACTGAGTACTTTCTTGCGTCGCTGATCCCTATCTTCGTCATTGAGAAGATTGGTCGTCGCACACTGATGCTGGTCGGTGCTGCGGGCATGTCCATTTCCATGGCGGTCCTTGCTATCACCACTAGCTTCGTCGGCCAGAGCAAGCCCGGTATCGCCGCTGCGGTGTTCTTGTTCGTCTTTAACACATTCTTTGCCTGGGGATGGCTGGGTATGACTTGGCTGTATCCTGCGGAGATTGTACGTCGCCTCATCTCTGTTTCGAGACGTCTGATGCTGATAATAACCAGGTTCCTCTCCGCATCCGCGCCCCCGCCAACGCCCTGGCTACCTCCGGAAACTGGATCTTCAACTTCCTGGTCGTCATGATCACGCCCATTGCCTTCGACTCAATCGGCTACCGGACCTACATCATTTTTGCTGTTATGTAATTCTCCCCAAACACCACCCCCCCCCTTTACTAATAGCCATCACTAATAACCCCTCAGCAACGCCTTCATCTTCCCCGTCGTTTACTTCTTCTACCCCGAGACCGCATACCGATCTCTCGAGGAAATGGACAGCATTTTTCACAAGACCACGAGCATTTTCAACGTCGTTTTCGTCGCTCACAATGAGCCCCACCGCTATGGCAAGCACGGCGAGCTCCTCATCAACTACCAGACCACTGAGGTACATCTGCGCCGCGTGAGCTACGTCTCCGAAAAGAAGGTCAGGCCTCTCTCGTTGGGCTCGGATCTGGAGGGTGGCAAGGGCACGCATGTCGAAAGTCACGACAGTGTGTCAGATAGCGGCTAAGCTGTGAACTTGCAGCAAGATTTGCAAAATAAATGCTTTTCACTTTGCGTTACGCCTGTTGGCAGATTTTTATTGGACTGCCGCTTGAATTTCTTAATGAAATTCTCAACATTTTTCGCGTTGATGATGTGTTAAAGATATCCCTAATAGTATTAGAGAAGAGTAATATATAGAGGACGGGAGAAGTAGCGACTAGAAAAAGAAAAGCGCTAGAACGGAAATAATTTTGCGGCTAGGGCGCTATAGCCTCCTATCAATATTAAGATTCTACCGTCGTAGTCTTCTTTATCTAGATTAGATTAGGACGGCTATTAATCTACAAGGATGAAAACCAAATCCCCTATCGTCATAGGAGCTCTAGTTACGCTTAATGAAGGCCTTAAGTTTGGCGAAAAACTGTTCAATGGGGTTTAGGTTCAGTGAGTAGGGCGGTAGATAAACTAGTTTTACTCCTATAGCGGCATATTTCTGCTTAAGCCGCTTAGTATGGTGAAACGACGTATTGTCTATGACTAGTATAGATTTCGGTTCCGGCTATCTTCCGTAGTGCTAAAGAAGCTGATTAATGAACTTCTCGAATGAGGCGGTATCCGTATAACCGCGGAAGACACGCGAGAGGACGATTCCATCTTGGGTATATGTAGGTATATTTAATATTTGCTCGTCGCGATAGAACTATGATACTTATATAGAGGCTACACCAAGTGGTAACTAGTCGGTTCGTCTAAACCCGATCCGTTTATTATATCTAGACTTATCAATGTAAATAATATAATATAATTACAAGTCGGATAAATGATAAAGATAGACCTCTCGTAAATCGGCGTTTTGCTCTTTAGCCCTCGACTAAGCTGTGTTCTTAGGCTAACCTTTAGAAGGGCCCGCCTAATACTAGAAGTAGTTGCTAGTGTCAAGGATTCATCCAATAGAAAGATAACCATCGAGGTAGAGGCTGGGCCGTTCAATGGTCTTTGGAAGACAGTAACCTCTGCCCCCTGGCAGAAAGATAAGCGGGGCAGATAACTACCATGTTCTAAATACTAATGAAGTGCACGCTAACTATAAGTTGTCAAAATATGGCATCCACCAGTATTATTCAGCTAGCTACTAACCTGCTTCGATTAGCTCCTTGGCTGATTTCCCCCTATCTCTACGCACCTGCTATTTCTTCCATGTAAACCAATAATCATCCTTTTCATCTAAACCCCACTTTGATCTCATTCTCGATCTTATTTGTCTGATTAAGCTAGTGGTCTATACTATTCTGGCTTGCTCCGATAGGTATATTTAAGCCTCTAGTCCGCCTATCAACTCCGCATGACTTCATAGCAGACTCACCTCACAAACCGCATTAATGTCGCTGCCAGAACCCCATCTAGGGTGCCGCCTGTACGTATGCCTCTTTAGTCGACTTCTGTCTGTACTGACTTTGATAGTATTGTTTTGATCCTCACCGTCGCTTCCTTTCTTCCCCAAATCTTCCTAATCCAGACGAAACACACTACCCAAGGAATTTCTTCGCTTTCTATCTTGTGGAGTTTGATTCGGGCCACAGAACAGTTCACTATCTCCATATTTTCACTATATATTGAGTCTGGACCTGAGGGCAACATCCTCCTTCATGATCCGCCAAGTAAAGGGGACCGATTCAATCTGTGCCACTTTGCCATAGTTACAGTCCTTTTCTTATCACTGTGAGGATCATATTATAATATAAGACACGAGTCTGTTTAGAATCTTACCCTCTTCTCCCGCAGATTCGTTCAAACTATTCTCTACGGCGAGCGTAGATTCTTTCTAGTCGCCGCATATACTACTTTTCTTTTCGTCTCGATTATACCCCTACCTTGGATCCTCGAAGCCACTTCGCCATTTCAGGGATTAGATCGACAATTCTTCGCAAGCGTCTTCTGCGCAGTACACTCGATGCTTATCTACCCGATTCTCACGATTCTTGGCTTTGCGGGTATCTATTGTCAAGCTCGTAAAATTCTGACTACACCCTTTCCAAATGCATTGAGTTTATCGGGTTTGGCCGCACAAGCTGTTGTCTTCACGATGGTATCGGTGATGTTTATATGGGCTCTTCCATTTCCCTATGAGAAATCGCATGGCGAATTCAATTGGTTTAGTTTCTCTGTTTGGTACGGCATTATTGGATGGATTATTATCGATAACTTTGTCTTCGCACTCGGCCAGGCGGTGCTTCTTGTCTTAGGCCTACATCGTTCGTCTTTGAGCAAAGTCGGTGTGCGAGGAGGTGAGACTGAGCCACTTTTGGGGAACATTCTAAACGAGCAATGATTTTGAGTAGCCTGTTAGTTGTTGGGGAGGCTGTTCAATTGACCACTATGAACTCCACGTAATTTCTAGCTGGTACGATAAGCCTAGGTCGGCCTCGGTTGTCGTTCGGCTCGCGGACTTTGCCATCAATGCGAACCATTGTGCCTTTATAATCTTGAAAACAACCCCAATCCCACCAGTCAAGTTGAGCCCCCTTGAAATAGTACCGGAACGTATCCCCAGGCGCCACGTTGGCTGGGAAATCAGTCACTGCGTGAGAGTTAGGAATCTGGGTCTGCTGATTCTCTTCCTTCTTTTGTGGCTTAGTCTCTTGCGTATGCTTTATTATATCTCCATGGGCATGACAACGCCTTATCCACAGATTCTCGCATGTTGCATTCAAGGGGACTCGAGGATGAGGTTTATCAGGGGTGAGTGTGGTCGTATATATACACGGCCTGTATGAAGTTGGCTGAGAAACAAGAGTAAATCGGGGATTGTTTGAGCTTGAGCCATGGCTTCTTCTCGATACAACCTTTCTATGTTGGCTTCTTGGGAGAAGGCGGTGTAAAAGGTATAACTTATTTCCAGTAGGTATTATTATAAATCCATCAGACATGTAGAACATTAGGACTAGACCGACAAGCTGCAGTTGTGGTCAAATCCGGCAAATTCACCCTCGCTAGCTAGAATCCTAACTGAACCTTTCACAGTGCAAAAGCCAGCCCACCAAACACAGCCGCCAAAACTGTACCCATCAATATGACGTTGATATCGATGAACAATCCACTTGCCGAGTTGATACCAGAGATACCACCTCCTCCATTGGAAGAAGAAGAAGACCCTGAAGTAGTGCTAGAGGAAGCGGTTTGAATAGGGACTGCACTAGTGGAGCTCTTGAGAGAGGTGGCAGAGTAAGGGGGGATTCCGTGAGGGACGTGATGCGCCGAGAGAACGACGAGCTTGCATCATAGCTGTCGGTCACATAGGCGGACCAGATAGTTGTGGTTGTGGTGCGAGTAGACGTCACGGTTTTGACCGTGTAGGGGGAGTACGAGGTCCAGAAGTAGAACCAATAAGTCCTATCAGAATGAGAATTAGGTAAACCGCCCAGTCCGGCATCCGTGCATCCCCAGCGGGTCTGACTCACCAGTAGTAGGTCGTGTAGTAGTAGTCATAGCTTGCATAAGTATAGTGATAGGTCGAGGTGATGCTCGAAGTCTCCGTTTCAGTCACGCTCTCCACCGCAGTGACGGTGCTTCCCAGACTGCCGGAGTCATACTCCCCAGCACATCCTGACGAGGGGCAGCACACTTTCTCGCCGTTGTAGATGCGACAATGCTTGCCTGCCCGGCAGTAGTATCCACCATTGCAGCACTCCCCGCCGACCGGAGAGCAGTACCCGTTATCGCCGCAGCAGTTCCATCCACTCGGGCAGGTTCCTGAGGTGCAGCAGGTGTCACCGGGATCCGCGCAGTAGCCATTGCCGCAGCAACTGGTGCCGGTGGCACAGCAGCGAGAAGTATCATACGCGCATTCCGAGTATCCAGTGCGGCACTCGTAGGCTCTGGGCTCGAGACCAAAGAGATCGCGGGTATTGAGGCTGCCCACCTGGGCGATATTCAGGGTTGCATTCCACAGCTGTTGAGCCTCATCTTGGATTGCCTCCTCGGCGACAGCAGCGGCGAAGAGGAGAAGGAGAGAAACCCCCGCCTGCTTCGCGAAATTGACCATCTTGTGCAGGATATGGGATCAGAAGTGCCTCAATAATGCCGCATACGAGATCTCTGCCACGTAAACAGTGAGTTCGGCGAGAGCGGCGCGCGCCGGCCGGGGCAAGGTCAAGACTTAAGTAGGATCCTTTGCGGGATTGCCTGCCTCCATGCTTTGGAGCCTGCGCCCCGGCCAAGGATTAGGTCGTCACGCTAGCATTCGTATCGACTGTGATCCGAGGACAATTTTTCGAGCTCGCTGGGGAATACGAGGTTTAGATGCTTGGCGCGCTCTCGAGCCGCTTTTTGACCTGCAGGGTCTACTCCGTACAGAGGGAGGCTGAATGCTGGTCATCAGGGAGACTTATCCGAACCGACCGAATACGCATGTTTCATGCATTATTTCCTGTGTTGACGTCCTGACTTGAGGCGGTCGTCTACATAGGACTTTGGCTGTGGTATAGATCCTATGGATCAGCGCCCACCGGCGCGAACCGAATTTACGCCCGCGGGTGGGGCTTTTCCGGGGCTCACTGGGCAGACCCCCAAATACGAGCTCAGGCACGGTGTCCCCTTAGTTGAATGGCTATACGGCCAATCACTGGGTTGCTAACCATGCGGTCAACCCGCTCTAATCAATCCACCCCATTCCCAATTCGGGGAGTGGCACTTGGCAATAGGAATTTATCCACAAGTGAGAAGCAGAAGGCGAGTCCGAGCCGCAATTCTCTATTGCTTTGCTTTATCATCTATTTCTCAACATCGTCTACCGTTCCCAGCCGCTTTTCCGCTGCCTCCCACTCTCTACTAATAACCTCTAGTACCCAGTCACCTCTAGGCCGAAGCTTGAATTTCAGATCCCTCGGCATTGTCATGAAGCCCACCACGACCATTGCCCACGGATCCACCTCCTCTCCATGAGCGAGCTCGATATCAAATGCCCATAGCAAGCTAGCAACTTGCATGAAAGTCCCATCGGTAGCGACCCTCTTGCCCTGACAGATGCGCCGGCCTTGTCCGAAGACTGGCAGCGGGAGGTCCGTTGTCAGCGTTACCTCTTCATCGCGCTCCTGCCGCAGCCATCTCTCGGGTATGAAGTCCTGAGGATCTCCTAGCGCGGGATCAAATACTTTCTCATCGCGTCCAATGGCCCATGCATTAGCCATGACAGTGACGCCTTTACGGATCTTGACTCCCTGGAACTCGTCGTCTCGATCCGCCCTGCGGGGAATGGACCCTGGTGAGATAGGACGCCAGCGGAACAGTTCGTGGGCAATAGCGTCGATGAAAGCGAGCTTTGGCCGGTCCGAAAACAGTGGGAGACGGTCGCGCCCGACGACATCGTCAAGGACAGCGTGTGCCCTAGTCACACATGATGGCTGGTTCAGTGCTGCGATGAAAAGCCATAGCAGCTGGCGGGGTGAGGTCTCCATGCCACCTTGCACAGATGTCGCGAGAGTGAAGGCAAGGTCAACATCTGGAACGCCGGCGGGTGTGTGCTTCTCTGCTGTCAGGAGAGCTTGCTTTGTGGCATTCCAGCCTTCTGAATCCCTCCCGTGGCAGAATAGGCGCATGTATAGATCGACCTGGGTAGCATATAGTTTGTCGGCAGCACGCCTCCAAGGGGACAGAAAGGCGGGCAGGTGCCGTAACTGGGGAATGAGATCTGGTAGGATGGGATTCGCAGCCAGATGCGTCACCTTCGTCTGGATATCGATAATCTCATGCAGGGTGTGGTCCTCGCAGCGCGGGATGCGCAGGCTGTAATGAAGCGCTAGTATAACGCTTGCTTGGGTACGCTCCAATAAAGGATATATGGTATCAGTGCTCATCAAGCCAGAGTCCTTTTGGAAAGCATGACAGAGGTCATACAAAAGCTGCCTAGACTCAAGCTGTATCAATGGCTGATATTTCGGAGCGGCAGGCGCGCCGAGGCTGGGAGCGAGAATCCGGTGATGCAACTTGAGGTGATCATCGTAGTCATGCATCAGAGTAAAACTTGATTGCCCTGGCTGCGCGCCTGTAATCATCTCCATGCTGACCGATGCTGGACGGTTGCTGTACCACTGGCTGCGACGGCTGAACAACTCCGTCACAGCCTCAAACGAGTTGAGCACGACAATGGGTATAATCCCAAACAGTCTTGGGACTGCAATTGGACCATTTCTTTTGACCCACAAGTCCCAGTTCACCAGGGGCTTCTCCCGGGGGAGCTATGAAGGTCTCCAATAATGGGGAGCTTGAGTAGGGTTCGACAATTATCCGCTTCACCATCCTTGCTTCCTTTCCTCCTGCGAGTGTACAGCAGGGTTAAGAGCCCTATGACAGCAATGAACACGGTGGAAGAGGTAACTGCCATAATAGCTGCTGTGTCAAGGGAAAATACCTGGGGATTAGAAAGGCCGTTCGCCATTGCCGAAGAGGGGGGTCGAGTAGTCAAGTCCCCGCAGCTCGTAAGTTATGCAAGCATTGGTTCATCTTATCATTCATTACTTCCTGTCCACCTCAGTACATTGGTACCCAGTTCAGTGCCCGCGAAGTTGGCCAATCGAAGGCAAGTCAATGCCCAGGCGGTGTCCAAAACTGACCGGACGCTCAAATCGATTGGCGAGTGGGAGCACGCTAAATACCCGCAAGGACTGTCAGCAAAACAAATGAGTTAGAATCCACCAATGGCAACGCTCGTTTCTGAAAGATCTTCAAGGGCTCGAGCCAAACTGCGGGGTGACGCCTTCAATAACCCGCGCTGCCCAATTCTGCTAAATGAAGATTGGCTGTGCTCACCAGCAGGTTTGATGTGAAATGTCAAAGCGATCCTCTAGCCTGGTCGACTTCCTGTAGTGTACTGGAATCGGAAAGCTACCCACCTGTCAAGAGTACTAGCAGAACGAGTGCAATATATTCCCGCAAGACATTAATGGAAGCCCAGTGAATAAAATTACCTTAAATTACCCACCTCCCAGATAGTGACGGTGACACATATCGGCCACTCAGAATCCATAGTTCACATTTCAATATATTTGTTGCGATACAATGGAACTTGGTGCTGGCTTGGTGTAATACCAACTTCGACGGCCTTGTCATTACGTCAGCAAGTAGCTACATACATATCACGTGGTTTGTCCGAGACCGGCGATACTAATTCGCAGACGCAAAATGCGTGAGGATATGACCCAAATATGTACAAAAGACGATCTGGTTCGATCATTATTGCTATACACCATAACAAATCTTATAGACCAGCAATTCCAGTAGGGTGAGCCAAGGCGTTTTGACACCGATTATGTCCAGCATCATGAGGGGAGGGGTGGAGGGGTTGCATGAAGATGCATTACCCATAGAATTTTCATGATTTAATCGCTAGTCCTAAAGGCACGGGAAAACCTGCCTATCCGCGCTCAAGAGACAGCAGAGATACAGCAAGTCGGGAGGCCCAATTCCGATCACCAGATTTCCTGTGTTTGCACGGTAACATTCTGACAGCGGTGATCTCTGCAAGGGGATGGCCTGATCAAAGTCCACATCATTCCGAGCGCCTAGAATTTAGGAATAACCTGCAAAACAGCCTCCACTGGGGAACTGTGAGTCAGAAGCAGATACGGTTATTCTCGGTGAGCGATGTTTACTTGTTGGGGAGGCTTCCGCGGCGTGGAGCGCCGAGAGTCGGAAGCAATTTCCCACCGGCTTGCGATGCGCTCAACCTCAACAAGCTCAACATCGCCTTGGATTGTCTTATTTAACTTCTGCGCAGAGAGGCAGAAAGGCAGTAAGTCGCGTGTCTTCTGCCCATATTCTATCTATTCTTCTGGGTTCATAGAAGCGTCGCAAAAGTCCGTGGCTGGGCCTTTGCACTGCCAAGGCCTTACGCCCCTCTTCCTGCGCATTATCAGATCTGCAAACGGGGTGACTTGACTTTCTCCGCCACCAACTTTTTCTCTCCCGCTCAGTCAGCTTTGACGCGAGCTCAATCGAACGTGGTGCTAGCACACGAAATCTCGGAAAACAGTCACTGATCGTGCGGCAGACTTGCGGGCGTCGAAATTTGGGATCTATCCCGGATCGCCAGTCTGTTTGGTCCAGACGTTGTGTGGATTTGGATCAATTGGACGAAGAACCCGATAGGTGATCCGTACGTCCGGGAAAACAGGCCGGCAAAAGAAATACCAGACATCCCACTTCGCGAAAAATGTCAGCCGAGTCAGCCCAGACTGCCTTTGGCAGCACCAAGGAGCCTGTCTCTGGTGAGGTCTACGAGCGTCCGCAGGCCCCTTCTGAGTCGACAGACATGGACGACCTCGAGCCTAGCGAGTTCAATGTCGAGAACATTGAACGAATTTATAGGTAAGTCGCGTTTTTCGCGGACATTTTACTACCCTTAAACTAACACCCCTGACTCAGGAAACTGGACTGGCGCATTATACCCGCCTTCTGGGTTCTCTACTTCATGTGCTCGGCCATCCGCTCGAACGTTGGGCTAGCGCAGACAATGAATGCGAACTCCGGTCATGACCTTGCGGATGTGTTGCATCTGAATCCCCACCAGATTTCGACTGGTTTGGCACTGTTCTATGTTTGTTATGTGGTGTTTGATCTGCCTTCGAACCTGGTCATGACCCGCCTCAGTCCCCATGTGTGGCTGAGTCGCATTGTGATCAGTGTTGGTCTTATCGGCACCTGCATGACAGCGATGAAAGCAGCCTGGAGCTTCTAGTATGCTATATTCTGATCCGTTGCAGTTGCCATGATTTTTTGGTTCTAATGAGATATAGTCTTCTTCGCCTGCTTCTGGGTATTGTCGAGGCTGGGTTATGGCCCGGCATGACTTACTACCTCACGCTCTTCTATCCGCCCTCACGAATTGGAAAACGTATTGGCCAATACTTCACGGCTGCACAAGTCTCCGCAGCAGTAGTTGGGCTTGTCTCTGCAGGCTTCCAGGAGATGGACGGCGTGCAAGGGTATGTTGGATTCCAGTGGATGTTCCTGGTGTACGGTATCATTACTATCGCCCTGGGATTTGCGCAGCTGTGGTGGTTGCCCGACCGACCTGTGGCACCAGGAGCGTCGGCTCCAGAGCGCCACTGGATGCTGCGCTGCTTGCCGCAAAGCCGCCCTGCTTTGACTGGGCGGGATTCCATGATTCACTACCACGATATGAAACGCGTGTACCATAATTCGAAGTGGACTTGGGGGGATCTGCTCCATGTGTTCATGGATTGGAGACTCTGGCCACTGCTGGTCATGTACTTCGGTGTCGTCGGGGTTGGAATTGGCGTCCAGCTGTACGCCAACCTGATCATCAAGGCGATCAACCCGTCCTTGAACGGAGTTGATCTGAGCTTGCTCACTGCGCCCATTTGGATAGTAAGTTCTCTGGGGTGTGAAATATTTCATATTTCGAAGCTAATTATGATCTCTAGATGGATCTTATCGCTATTCTCATCGTCACTCCCTTCTCGGACCGTTTCCACCGCCACCGCGCACTGTTCTTCTCCATTCCTGTTCTTCTCCAGATTCTGGGCTTGCTGCTGACCAGCTACGCCGGCACTGATGAAAACCCTTGGCCGCGGTACGGTGGTCTCCTGATTGTCGGATTCGGTCTCGGTCCAACTGTGCCCATCACCATGACGTGGACTGCCGAGATCTTTCAGCCTCGGCATGGTGAAGTTGGTGTGGCCGCGGCCTCTGCCGTGGTCTCGGGATGGGGTAATCTGGGCAGCATTCTGACAACGTATGCGCTATATTCGGGATGGAAGAGTGACTATGAGGCACCTGGGCGACAGAAGTACCGCAAGAGTAATCTGGTCATGGTCGGCATTCTGATCGCAAGTATCCTCGCTGCGGTATTGATGGAGGTCTTGCTTCGGGTTGTGGATCGTAGGTCTCGTTATACTGGGCAGGAAGGTGATAATGATGGAGTTGATGGTGCGGCATGTCGTGAGATACAGCAGCGTGGTCTACAAGGGCTTGGATCGGGAGTAAGACGGTGGTTCCGACGCGACAAAACGGACTGCGAGTAAAAGTATGTATATAATCAGAACCGGCAGGTAATTGCTATAATTTCATCCGCCAGAGATACCTAGCGGTCAATTTCACGTCCCACGAACATACTTGATACACATGTATATCCGCATTCGTACCTAGCTATCAACTTGCTGTTTTTCTTCAGTGAGCCATAACGAACTCGGGCTCGGCACATATAACAGGAGGGGCGACCAGAGCATCAGTAATTGTGAGAAGACCCTCTAAGACAAAGATCCCACGCCAGCCACTATACTGTAGAATTGGGGAGAGATCGGGATATTTCAGCATTCCATGGCTAGTTCAACACGGACCAGATTATTCGCACCCTTCCATGGAGCCGATTGCATTAACAACAAGCCCGGTAAAGGAACCTATCAAGTTTGTAGCGCAATAGCAGATCGCAATACGGAATTGCAATTCGTGCAACGGTGCCAGTTACTAGGTGATGTATGTCTCGCCTGGAAACAGGCCCGCTTCAGTGACGCAAGTGGAGAAACATGCAGCTAGCAAGCTGGAGTAATTCTGAATCCAGCCCATGGACATAATGGTATCAGTTGCTCACATGTCAGAAATAGCGATAGCTTCATATCAGGAAACTCTATGAAAGCGCGCTGCGCTCTTCTAACGGGAACGATGAGAACACCCTAATTGCGCTCGGAATAATAGATACTTTCTCCCTGGTATTCTTGTATAGGTAGGCGTTGTAGATGTATAGGCTCGAGACTGGGTGATTGAAGGGGGTGACTTGCGTAATGCTCCTCTGGTAGAGTAATAAGTAGCGAATTAGTTTTGGTTACTAAGCTCATTCAGATGAGTCTGCTTGGTAAATGAACCTAGGCGGCCGATCTGTAGAGCGTTGCTCCTGCGATAATTTTATCCAGCCTTGGCTACTCATATACGGAGGCCCGTTCTAAGCTACCATTGCACTGCATCTTGGTGGTCTGGAGCCGGATTAATTGCGGCAGCCAAAATGATACGAGGGCTCTAGCCCTGATAGCTTGGTTTGAATAATAATATAGTTGGCCTCTTAGCTTAGCATATGGGTAATGAGCTTCATGCTGATTGAAGCAATCTACCTCGGCTTTTGATATAGATTTCTGAGAAACAGTCTCTCATATGCTCCATACATGTCTTGGATACTTGCATACAGGCTTTTGGCCATTACACCGCACGTTTCTCGAGCGACAAAACTCGGAGCTTCGGAGGAGACTCTTCTGTGCTGCCTCCGAGGTCCGGCATGAGGGTAGGAGACCGCCGTGGAGGACGAAAGTCAGGAACGCGTCAGGATGGAAAAGGACAATTGGTCCTTCTCTGTGTAACAATGAACCTTTATGCAGCATCCACCCAGACTTGCATGGCATCAAGTTACAAGGTTGCCGGGGAGGTGGAACCCCGGAGTTCGTGGCGTGTGGGGTCGGGAGGCTCGGCAGTGGCTTTGAAATTACCCAGGGATTGAGAGGCAGGAGTGATGTTGGTTTCAAGTGTCGAGCTACAGGATAATCGAGGTGAAGACCGCTCGCGGAGAGTGCATACGTTGTCGAGGCAGAAAGGCAATCAAGGCTATCTTCAAGTCATTACGGGGACGATCCGGAAGCTGTAGTGTGATGCTCAAACGATGGGTTGATTTTCCATCCATGTAATGATTCTATGCTATTGTACGTCACACATGCCCCACTGTCAGTGAGGGGTTCAAGAAAGAAACAAAACAAGAGATTCGGCGATTGCAACTGAGGGAGGCTAAAGAACGCAAGAGGCGGACCCTGACGCCACGAGAGGAAGGATAGATAGGGCTATCGGCGATGAACGCGGACGGTGGAGAGAAGGGCAGGTAGATGAACGAGCCACAGGAAGAGATCAAACAAGGATTCTATGGACGAGCTCCCTCGTGCAGTCAGGCCGCTCTCGTGGTCGGAGCTCCCAGTTGGATGCCGAAGGGTATCGGAGCGCTAAGACCAAATGATGATATCCTTAATTATTTAAAGGCCACCACACATAGTCTCGACGATGATACCAGTGATCTGGTAAGGATCAGCGTTCGAAGCGGGGCGGCGGTCCTCGAAGTAACCCTTGCCGTCCTTGGCGACCTGGCGGGGGATACGGATGGAGCCACCACGGTCGGCAACACCGTATGAGAACTTGTCGATGCTGCCGGTCTCGTGGCGACCGGTGAGACGGGCCTCGTTGCCCTCACCGTAGACGGCGATGTGCTCCACGTGGCGGGCCTCGAACTTCTTCATGATGGCCTCGATGACCTTCATGCCTCCCTCGGCACGAGTGGCGGAGGTCGAGACGTTGGAATGGAGACCAGCACCGTTCCACTCACCCTTGATGGGCTTGGGCTCGAAGGAAATGCGGACACCGAACTCCTCAGCGACGCGGTGGAGGATGAAGCGGGACATCCAGAGGTGGTCACCCACTATGAGAAAGAAGCCCGTTAGTCTTCCGAAGGGCACTCTTGAAAACAACCGGGCATCACAAGGGGGGCGGGGGGAAACGTACTGTCAATACCGGAGCAGGGGCCAACCTGGTACTCCCACTGAGAGGGCATGACCTCGGCGTTGATACCGGAGATGTTGACACCAGCGTAGAGGCAGGCACGGTAGTGAGCCTCGATGATGTCACGGCAGTAGACCTTGCCGGTACCGACACCACAGTAGTAAGGGCCCTGGGCACCGGGGAAACCACCACGGGGCCAGCCGTAGGGCCAACCATCAGTACCGAGGAGAGTGTACTCCTGCTCGAGACCGAACCAGAACTCCTCCTTGGCGTGGGTCTCCATCAGGCGGGCGGCATCGTGGCGGAAGTTGAACTTGTTGGGGCTGCCATCGGCGTCCCAGGTCTCGCAAAGAACGAGGATGTTGTCACCCTGGCGGAAGGGGTCGGGGAAGATGGCGACGGGGCGCAGGTAGACGTCGGAGTTGTCACCGGGGGCCTGGCCAGTGGAGGAGCCATCGAAGTTCCACTCGGGAAGCTCCTCGACGGTCTTGACGGCCTTGGAGAGGGTCTAACAGACAGGCACGAGTCGAGTTAGTCGCATGTTTCGCAAGCCAGTTGCCGCCAAGCAGCAGAGGGTGTCCCCGCACGTGATGCGGATGGGTGCAGGGTCGCGTGCGAGAAAAATCCCGAGCCTTATCGGACGGCCGATACGCACGGGGCAACACCATCCCACCAGAGCGGAGCGGCAGAGGGGGAAGGCAGGTTGGGCGGGCATACCTTGGTCTTGGAGCGAGTGCCACCGTTGGCGTCAATCCAGACGTACTCGGCCATCACCCGACCGCGCTGGTCGAGGGACATGTACTTCATGAGCTATCCACCCCCATGGCAAGTCAGTATATGTGAGTTTCCTCTCTGGCTCAAAGGCCATTGTGGAAATCCAATGCATCAAGAATCAAACGCACATTCTCCGTGTTGGAGACGACAGTTGAATCAGCAGCCTATGAAACGAGAGAAGGTCGGTTAGCCGCAAGTCCAGCGCGCAATGAGTCACCCGGCGGGCCCTCGCAACGAGAAACGTACCATAATGAATGATTATGGGGTTGTGTGAGATTAAAAGGATGTATAGGGCTTGCGAGCAAGCAGACGTTGAGTCAGAGAGGGAAGAGAGGTAAGTTCCCGAAGGAGAAGTAGAGCAAAGCACGAAGATGTGGATGGGAAATCCCAAGAGAGGGGAGGAGGGTGAGTTTTTAGATGGTGGGGGACGGGAGGCCGATAAAGATTTAAATTTAGTCACGCCGCGAGTCTTTTGGGGGCAAACGAAAGAGGGAAAGTGTGGAAAGGTGGAAAGGGTGGAAAAGTGGACAGTGTGGGCTGCGTTGGGAAAAAAAAGGGTAAAAAGAAAAGAAAAGAGTAAAAAAATGAGGAAGGCGCGGATCAGCCCCCACCCCTTTCGGGTTAGCCGTCTCCCCAGTACGCACATTACACACATACAACATATCTTACCGTTCGTACGTGCCCTTTACACGCCCGTCAGGATCTGTAGGGCAACCATCTAAAAGTGCCTCATATTGACTGCATTCTCGCCCGACCTCGGGGACGTCCGTTGGGCAAAACATTGTGCTCTCGGAAAAGCAAAATCACTCAATCCACATTCCTTGTTCCGCGTCAATGGTTTCTTTTTCTCTCGTGATCCCTCCGGACATAATCCAACCATCCGACTCAAACGATACACCCGAGCCAAGCGCTGTGCCGGAAGAAGAGAGGCCTTCCATCCCCCGGCAACGCCACTCCAACTCCCCCGTGGCATCATCGTCGCATCATACAATGGCTGCGAAATCGGTCGTCGCCGAGATCTCCGACCCTGCCTTCCCCTCGGCGGGATTCTATTATTCATCGCCTGGACTTTATTAGGTAGTGAATGCTTCATCCACCCCCATGTACGGCCGTCCACATTCTGGATTTGTGCGGTCGCCCGATCGACCTCCGCATTCCATGCACCCGCGACACGGATCCAATGGCATATCAAGTCTCTGTACCCGTAGATCGTTCCCCGACACCTCGTGGCTCGTCCGCGGTGTCTGTCGTGATTAATCGCTTGATCGGGGCCCAATCAGCAGTCGGTCCTTGTCAGAGGCGCCGCTAAGATGATCAATCTCTCTGCTCCCGTTGGGCCGATAACGCTGAGAACGCCTCCCTCCAAATCAACCCATATCAAATGGAGGGGGGAAGTGTGAGATGCACATCGACCCCTCAATCGAATTCTGAGTCTCGTCCCTCGTTTTCCCTTCTTGTCTCTCCTCCCCGGTACCTGTCACCCCACGGAGAGGGTAGGACCGTTTTTCCAGAGTGGGAAAAGTCCGGGGGAGGGTTTCGCCCCCGGGAGGACTCCGGCGCTGCGGCCACTTGAAAAGCGCATAAGATCGACCCGGACGGGGATGGATCAACTCGCTTCATCAACAGGACTCGGGAGGATTCGATAGATGCACAGATAGCCTACGGAGTTGCTAATTCCTCTGACCAACTGGCACCAAGATCGTTCCGGTCATGGCGCATATCAGCTGCATGGGCCGGGGTAGATAGTCCACCGCCCAACTACATCTGCGACCGTTCTAGAACTACCGCTGCAGCTGCATCGAACTAGCCAGCCCGGTGAATCCAAAATCCAAATCCAAAAATCCTTTCGCGAGGATCGCGTCTCTCGATATCCGCCATGGCCCACAGGCACAGGTCGAAGGTCGAAGGTGCGACGTGACCGATCTCCTCCGCACTCACCCAGCGTGTCCCTGAGCTGCTCCCGACTCCGGCTGCGAAGAGCGCATGGCGTGATTCGTTATCCAGACCCCTCGCGCTACTGCCGCGTCGGTCTGCGGCCGATACGATCTATCTCTCCGCGGTCAGCCTGTCTGGGCCCTATCAGCGGAGTCCAAGGCCGTGGACATGTCGACGGAAAAGCGGACTTCGGCCCCCGTGTACCTGCAGCGATAGACAGGTTCAGACGATAGATATTAGATATACATCGACCTCGATACGTGGACCCGTCTACACGTATGGACATGTAATCGGGGCGCGCACGGCCGACCGGTATACGGTACCATACAGCCCGGGTATGTATAAATCGCTCGGAGACCTGGAGGAGCCCCCAGCTACCGGGGACTCGATCGCTCATTCACAGGCGCCGCCTATGGAGTGTGGCAAAACGCTCTCGAAAGCCCCCCCCGCCGGCTCACCAATCACATCCCCTCCATCTCGGCCAAGCCGCTGGAACCGCCCCGACACCGGCCATGGGCTCGTGGACTTGCCCCGGGGCTGTTCAGTACGATGGTTCCCGATTAGTTGGCGTGAAGGGGGGATCTGTGTATTATTCTTGTTTGAGGCGCGTTATGGCACTCGGTTATGTAACATAATCCACCGCATCTGGCCGCTCAACGGTGTCGGGTATCGGATCGCAAGGGAACGGAATCGCGAACAAGTCAGTGCTCTGGGGGAACAGGGATTCTCCAGAAAATTGATCCAAGGGGGAAGTGGCGATGCGATCTCCCTCCCCCGGGTTTTCTCGAGTAAAATGGTCGAGGAATCGACAAGTCGGGGGTTTTAGGGATCGGGGTGCGACTTGGTGGCGGGAGCTGATTGGGGCGGGGCAAAGGCACGCACAGGTTTTTCCGATCGTCAGCCCTGTATAGAAGCCCCGAGAGGACAGTAGATAGATATTTGGGATGCTACGGTCGACATTCAAGAAACCTATTTGAAACGATAGTTCCTTCGTCCATGCATCGCCTGCTCGGGAGGCGTCTCCGGCGTTGCACAACCAGGCCGCTATTTTCTGCACAGCCGCAACAAGAATAGCAGCAGCCAGTGAGACACCACGGCGGGGTCGTTAGTCATCGTGGCCTGTAGCTGAGTCGAGTCGTACAGAGCATACCAGGCAAAAGGAAGACCGGGAAAATACCATATCGGCTAAACAGCCGAGTATTGCTCGGTCAAACCAGGAAGAGCCGAATGGGAATTATTCAATCGCGGCGGGGGCTGCGATCGACGAGCACCCGGATTGCTTATCATCCACCTCTGATTGGCTGAGGGGCTGTCTGACACATTGTGCTGACGAGAAAGGATGGCCCCTCCGAGGCATATCAAAGGTGGGTTCTCTCGTGCAGGATGGCGTTCGAACGCCGAAGTATAGGATCCTCCATGCGTGAAACGAACAGCCAAACGGAGCTCGTCTACCGTTCGTACTTTGTCTCTGCATCGGTGCGAGGCATTTTGCCGTTGAGCATTTGTCGTTGAGCATTGTACACAACATCTGCTCGAAAATGCGTTCACGGAATATGGGCAAGTAGATAGAGGGGTCCGGTTTGCCAGGCACCGCTGCGGGGCTCTGATAACAGGAACAAGCTAACGATGTCATCTGACGCACGCTGCTCCAGCGGCAATCACAGAAGCCTTGGGTCAGAACCGACCGGGCCCTGATAGTGCCTCGTAGTCTGCCCGTAGCGAGAGCTAACTTGGTCGATAAATCACTCAGGCGTTATTGGTTATTTTCTTAGTGCGCATCGGGCCTATCAAGTTATGGGAGGTGTAGTATATACGAACTGTACCTCATACTGTACGGAGTCCACACCTTTCAATAATGGTTTCCATCAACCTCTCTCGATCGTGTGGGGTGATCTCCGGACAGAAAAGCAAGGAATCGACGTAATAACTCAGCTGCTCCGCGCAGCCCACCCCACATGATAAACGTATCTGATCGACGGTGTCAGGAGCGATGACGCTGCGGGATGATCTCGTGGTCACCTTGGGGGTAGGAAGATCCTCGGGGATCGAGCGCAAGTAGTAGCACCAAGTGAGGTGACTCGGCTCTCTATGGAAAGTGGTCGCGGTGCCTTTTGGGCGGTCAGGGCCACAACAGTCAAGCTGGGCGGTACCTACGTCATGTACTAGGAACTGTCGAGTGGGGGGGGGTCTCGGTTTATCGGGTTACGATGCACACGATCGACGGCCCGACTGGGGAATTGTGGGATTCGTAGATTCATAGCGTATATTGTACACTTCTCAACGGGACCTCGACCCCGGAATAACTCGAATAAAGAGGCTCCTGGTGAGGGTGCCATGCGACTGCAAGCTAGCGGAGTTTACATATGACACGGCAGAGCTGGTCCTTATGGGAAAACTCTCATGTTGGGCTCGGATGCACCGTGGCCAGCCTGAACCGGGAAACATTCCACAAAATAGTTACCGACGGCGCAGTGCAGGCGTGGTCGTCATCCACTGGACGTGTGGCCTCAATGTCAGCTCCATCGGAAGGGACGCGCTAACCAACATACAGGCGGGAGATGTTGTCATCGTGTGGTGACATTGTGAGATCCCACCAGCGGCCGCGCTGTGCTCCGACCCAGCCCTGCAGGGACTGAACAAGACATGGTCAGGGGACTAACAAGGGTAATCGAGGCCGAGATTCGAGACACGAGAAACCCTCCAGCTCCCAAAGTCCTCGGCTGGTCAGCCTCACCCGCCGCCGGCCCGCTGTCGCAGCCAGCGCAGGACCCACTCGACCAGGATCCTCAGGTCCTGTGAGATCTCAAGAACCCGGGCGATCTTCTTGTGGATATCCTGCAGCGCTGGCCCGGCGGCGTTGGTCCCTTGCATCGCCGCATCGCCGCCGTCACCGCCCTCCGCACCACCATTCAGAAGCTCGGCAGTGTCGACGACGGACACGCGGCCATTCAGGCCAATCTCGAAACAGATTGAGACATGTACTGGCTCACGCAGAGACTTGTCGGCGTTGTTGCCGGGGTCTGTGATGAGCAGCATCAAGGCCGGGGCTTGGCCGAGTTGCGTACGTAGCGTCACGTCCACCTTGACATCGTCCAAATAGTCTTCGCCCGGGAATGGAGACGCATTGGAGGAAACCAAGAACGCGCGTGAGAAACCATCGCCAAGGAGGGCTTTCAACTTCTCCTCGTTAGGGTCATCGTTGCTGAGAGTAATGATACCATCTTGAGCAGGGAAGCCCCATGATTTTTGGCCCGCAGGATCCGATGAGCTGGTCGGTGTCACCTTTGAAGGCTCTTGTTGGTCATCCGTGTCCTTGGCAGGCTGGTTAAAGATGTTCCGTATCAAACTCGCTAACAAAGCATATTGACGGAAAACCTGGAGCTAGTTAGCATTGCAGAGAACCTCGAGAGAAAGGAGTGCATACTGGGAGAATATCAGCGAGTTGTCGAGGGTGCGAAAATGGAAGATCACGGATAGTACGGCCAGCAACGGACTCAAATGCCTGGAATGTGTAGCTGTGCTGGTTCGTGTAGGGTGTGCCCATCGAATCAAAGGCCTGCGCCGACATCCGGCGCTTTCTCCGGCCGGGTTGCGGCGTAGATACCAAGGGTAATCCGTCTGAAACCAGCAACCCATCATATGTAACCATCTTGAACTCTTGCGGTAGCTGCATCCCAAGATGCCGATAGATTTCGGAGGCTGCAAGGATTGGAAGGTCAAGGGGAGGGTCCAACTTCGCAACGAAACGACGATTGGGAGGTGACGATTCGAGCATGCTAGAATCCAGAGCCATGGGATCCGGATGATTGCCATGAGACAACCGCATGGTCTGGTGAGGGTCAAGCCAGTTCACGGATTCTGTGGGACCACCTGAAGCGGCCGACACGCTGTTCTGACCGGGTGCGAATACCTCGCTTCCCACCCATTCTTTAGAGATGCGGAGGGATGGATATCCTTCTTCACATTCGAGCATCACAGTCCATATCTTCAGCTGCTCGTCAACTCCTTTTGCGGTTTGGTCTTGAGGTGGGTCAATTGCCATCGCATCGGGGGAGTTTTTCTGCTGCTTTGCATCCAGGACCTTGGCCTGCTCAACCCAATATTCCAGACCTAGTCCGATCCGAGATCCTTTGTGCATGCTTGGGCGCCCAATGACACCTGCACATAGATGTTCGTAATCACCGCCGTATTTCCCGTCCTTTCCTTCCTCGGCCCAGATCCGCTTGAGATTCTCCTCCAGGTTTTCCAATGCCTCGAAACAGTTGACTTCTTGACTGAGCTTGTCGAGCTTTGCAAGCCAGTGTAAATTCTCGTGGAACCCCTGGAGCGACCTCCATTTGCCGTGCTCGACATCTTCGAGCGGTTGCACAAGGTTCCGCTTCAGGACCGCGGTAGCTTCTTCTCGTCGCTCACCTTCCGTGTACTCGGGGGTCGCGTATCGCAGACTAACATTTTTGACAACGTCGTGACCGGCGTAGAATTCGATCTCCAGATCGACGAAGTTACCGGCGATGTTAATGTCATTATCTTGCCAAATCGATTCAAATCCCTCCAGCTGGCTCAGTCGCTCGATACCTTCTCGGGATACACCTCTTCCCGCAACGCGCGCCCGAAGGCACTGAACCACCTCCCGGATTCGGTGCTTCTGTTCCTCGTCGCTATCGCGCCCAACGCCGCTGAGCTTGAGACCCTGCATTCCCAGATTCTGGATATCATTCTCGTTCATTCCCGGTCCGACAAGGCTGTCATGAACTGCTGGTGATGGACTAATACCAGTGAAGCCACCAAGGGCGAGAAGTGCTGACGGTGAACTGAAATTGACCGCGTCGTCGACGGCGCTTGTCACGGCAAGAGGTGTTGCATACTGATGCGCAGGGGCGCTGACCTGGGGTACATGACCAGGCCCTGAGGATGTCGGCGTTCTTATTGACGGCGATTTATGAGCGAAGGACCGAAGAGGCGCAGAGGATGGGTGCGGAGAAGAGGTGAGGTGGGTTGGCGTTGCGCCAGGTTTGGTCGATGGAGTTGCCATGATTGGCTCAGAAGCAAAGGCGTCCTATAAATGGAACTGCGGCTATCCAATAATTGAGGAAACTTATCATCTCAGAGTGGAGTATGCAATTGAATCTGGGGATCCTTGAATGCGCAACCAGCCGATCATGGGCAAGTGCTAGCTTCGGAAGTACTGCAGGCGAAGGGTGTCAACAAGACGCGCGGATCGAGACTTGATATCGATCGGCAGCTTCCTCGCTCAAGTCGACCGTCACCAACGCTTGCAATTAGCAGGCGCAAAGCTGCGTTTGAGGTGTCGTTCAATAAATAAAGACATTCACGTGAATAGGTATTTGAAGGTTGGTTGGTGTCCACCGCCCTGCAGACCGCCTTCTATCTGCACAATGACCGAATGTGGAGCTTCGGAGCTCCAGCAGCTTCACTGATGCTCATTTTCACCTGATCGGACATTTCGCGATCTCTAAAAGAGGCATACAGATGTTTGCAACAAGAATAGTCAGCCGACAGGTCTTCGGGGCCCCCAGGTGGGCACAGGCCCGCTTCGTGTCCACATTGGAGGGAAACCCTCACATTGTATGTGAATTCCGCGCAGATAAACAGCGATGCGATTTATTTATTTACTGATGATGCCATAGTATGTGTTTCCCAGTGAGAGACCAAGTAACTCTTATATTCTGTCGCTCTTGCCTTCCGAACCGGTCAACCCAGATCTCGCCATTGGAGTCTCCTCAAAGTTGCCGCCCACTCCAGACTCGCTCACGGAGAATCCCAAGTTCCTCAGCATCCTCCAAGAGGTCCTCGCCAAGCATGCACATGAGGATCCAGACGCACAGTCCCAGGCACAGGTCATGGCGTCAACATCGGGGGCAAACCTTTACACGGGCGGTGTCCTGACAGCCCACCGGCGGGGAAAGAGAAGGCGCTCTGAAATGGGTGACTCCAGTGGTGGTGCTAGCGGCCAAGGTGGAGCTGGTTCTGCTGGCAGAGGCGGCTGGATTCATGTCTCGGATAGCAGGCGGCCTCCTGAGTTCGGAAGGATTGCATGGTACGATGCCTGCCAGGTCGAGAAGGGTTGCGATCACAGCTGACACCGTACAGGCCAGAGGATATCTTCGGAAGTCTCGAGGTAGACGGAAACGGCCAATTTGTTGGTGGAGATGGCAAATATCAAGCAAGTGGTATGGTTTCGATGGCCTGCTGGTGGTAGTGTGTACTGTTTCAGCTGACACCTTTATTGCAGGCACATACAGAATGATCACGCGGAACGGAATGTGAGTGTTAGACAAAAGGCCTCCCTATTAATTTGAATGCTAACCTGGAAGATAGCTTGGGTTTGACTCCCTTCCTCAGGGAAAAGCTGGTTCAGCGACTCCGGGAATTGGAGAAGTAACAAACTCGTTCTTAATGCCCTCCCTGCCACGCAGTTCTTTGTACGATAGTGTATTATTTGGCTCCGATCGAAATAAATGCCTCAGCCATGACAGGAGATTGAATGTATTCCATTTTTTAAAAAGGAAAAAAAAGATATCCAATACTTATTTTCATCATTCTGATCAAACTCCAACGGGCATCCCGTCAGATGTGAGACAAATATATATCGGGGATTCCTCATCTCCTGGCACCACAACGAAGATCATAAAATTATTAGGTTGAGATCATAACCTATTTCATTTGTAAACTTGTTGAAAATCTCATTCATTTCTTAAAAAAGTTTGTTATTCGTTGTGATCCGTCCGGCGGCTTTGACGTGCTGGCCTTCTTTGTGGGCGTATTGCGCGTTGCACTGCGCATTTTGGACTTCTGCGGCGACGGCGCGGCTGGGACCTGATGTATTTTTGCTTTCTTGCTTTCGTCATTGGCACTCGCTGTGTCCGGACTGTGCTCTCTCTTGACCCCATGCTCGGCGGTGTCCTCTCGTTCTTCGTCTTTTTCACCCTTGATACCAGATTGCTTCTTCGGAGACACCTCTTTCGCCTTGGCATTAGCAAAAAAGTTGGCAATATTACTCTTGTTTTCCTTGCTGTTCACGGGGATAATGAAATCGGGTGAATTGTTGCCAACTTTGCCGACTTCTTTTGAGACGGGATAGCACTCGAGCTCGCCTTCGTAAGGTTTAAGAATTGATTGCAATTCTTTCGACCAGGTCTTTCGGCTAGGGTCGAGCCATGTTTTCATCTCCTCGCTTCCATAGTCCATGATAACAGGCATGCGGTCATGAAGGAACTTCAAATATGGATTCGAGGAGGTTGTGATCACGGTGTACGTGTATAGCTTCTCATCGGTGTCTACGCGCGAGCAATTAGCCCAAGTCAACCCCAACTTTCAACAGGGGCGCCAAGAGAACGCAGCACATATAGGATGAGAGAAAAAGCTCACTTTCGTATCTCACGCAATCCCACAGCCCGGCAAAGCACATCAGGTCTCCGTCCTTGCGCCGGACGAAATGCGGGACCCTCTCTTTGCCCCCTGGACCCTTCTTTAGCCATTCGTAGAAGCCTTGGCAGATGACAATACAGCGCTTGCGCTGTTTCATGGACGTCCACATGCCCCGGTTTTCGATCAATGAGTCATCGCGACAATTGATGGTGCGCAACATAGAGCCGTAGTCGGGCTGTCGCTTCGTCCAGAACGGAATGAGGCCCCATTTCATGCTCTGAAGTTTGTATTTGGGCTGTTTTGTATCTACGGGTTCATTGGTATCCCGATCATCATGCTTCTCTCGTTCTGGGAGGTCTTCACGCCGTTCCCGGTGCGCTTCTGTGTCCCGGTCGGAGCGAGAATGAGGGTCAGCGATGTCGGCACGGTAGACCGCGCCGAAGCTGCCTGGTGCAAAGTTGTATGTCTCGCGGACCTCATCGTCATCTGGCGCTTCGTCTACTTGCATGCCATGTTCCTGAAGCTGCTGTTGGATGTATGCCAAGCGCTATGGATCGTCAGTAGGTGGCACGTTCGGTTATGGGGTAAGCCAGGATGTGGGCAATAGTCAAGACCTACCACGCCCAGAGCGTAGCGCCCGCACATCGTAGAGGAGAATAAGTCGAATAAAGGCAATTTACGCCCTGTCTAGTACATATCATTCATGGCGCAGATAAAAGCTTCGTGCATGCAAACGGAAGCATGTAGGCAGCAGGGGAACTTCACAAATCCGCCCTCGCGACGTCATTGGGCCAAGACCGCTCAGTGGAAAAACGGAGCGCGGCCGGTCTATCACGTACCATCTCCAACGACCACTCGACACACCTCCACCTGGAAATTGGCACAGCGTCTAGTTGTTGATTCTTGCCAGGCTATTTTACCCTTTAATTGCACTCGATACAGACAGCTCCAATGTTCCGCGCAGCCTCGCGGCGCGCCAGCGCCTCCGCTCTGCACAGCGCACCAGCACAGCGCCAGTCGTGGACACGATCAATATACAGCAGCAATGGCCGGCCAACACTACGCCCGAGATGCCCTAATGCTACTGCCAACCTCCTCGCCATCCCCCACACCCGCCACCTTACCATAGCCCAGAAGATACGCCTGAAATACCGCGAAGCGTCCAAGGGCGTGTTCCGCAAGAATCCGGTCCTGCTGCCCCTTGCCATCTTCTCTGTGGTTGGGGGTATCGCCGTCTTCGCATATGTTGCTTACGTGGAAGTCACTCGCGTCCAGCCTCAATACCACAAGTTCCCTCCGCAAGTGGCCGACCAGCTGCGCACGGCAGTGTACTACACCGAGATCGATCTGAATCCGCCCAAGGCATTGAAGGCGTATAAGGAAGCCCTTCGGGTAGCTGTGGAGTTGGGTATGCACCCCTTCTCGGACGAGGTGCTGGGCATCAAGCTGCAAGTCGCGATGATGTTGGAGAAGGCAGGCTTAGTCAAGCCTGCAATCGAGGTGCTGGAGCGGACCAAGAACGAAGCCCTGAATTGGGTCGAAGAAGGCCGCAACACGGAGTCTGCACCGGTGGACAAGCTGAAGGTGGCACGGGCGCCCGGGCCAGCAAAGATCGCGCCAGAGAATGTCCAGATTCACGAGGACGGGCTGGAGGACGCGGAGAAGCAATTGAGGGAGATGCAGGAATTTGAGGCCAGGCAGCGTGACCGGGCGCTGAAGAAGGTTGTCGGCATGGAGATGAAGCTTGCCGAGCTGTACTCGAGCGACTATATTCAGGACGAGAAGAAGGCCGAGGCTGCGCAGGTCGCTGCTGTCGAGCTGTGTCTGAAGGAGATGCACCGCCGGCAGAATTTAGGCCTGCCTGTGGGTGGAGGAGATTCTGGCGAAGGGAATAGCGAGTCGTGGCTGAACATGACCGAGATTGCTACAGCACTAGCTGAGCTCGCCGATACGTATACCGCGAAGGACCGCAGCGAGCTTGCCATGCCTTTGTACCTGCGTGCATTGGAAATGCTCCGCGTGGCAGAGGGCAACTCTCCATCATGCAAGCAGGTCGTGCTGCTGAATAGCGTCGCTGGGGCAATGATTGGCCAAGTACAATTGCCGCCAAAGTCTCGTCCTCAGGAGAAGCAGACCGTCTCGCAGGAGCAGACCATCGATAATGCCCGGCAATGGGCCCAGAAGGCTATCGATGTTGCTGCGCGCATCCAGCCGCCGGTCCGCGATGAGGAGTGTGATATGACCTGTGTGGCCGCAACCTACAATTTGGGTGAGATTGCGGAACTTCAGAACAAGCCGGACGTGGCGCAGCAGCGGTATGCCGAGGCCAAGTCGTTGGCAAAGGGACTGGGCTACGAAGAGGGCATTTCTATGTCCGATGAGGCTTTGAAGAGACTTAACAAATAAAATTGACTGCGCATGGATGGTGAGCTCAATGGACATTGTGATCGTGTAAAATCCAACTCCAGCCGATATAGATATTCATGGCCGAGTTCATAGACTTTCTATCGAAAGATAACAATTGAGGGACCGCACATTGAAAGGTCCAGCTGGTCTGGCCTCCGCCCACATGGTCTCTTCACCACTGGTCAGGGTCTGCTCTAGAATGGAGTCACATACTGGTGCCCGGAAGAGCTACGTAATCTGGCAAGTTACACGATGCAATGAATCACACCTTATCTACGCAGAGCAACTTGAGTGAAGAAAAAATAGGAAACATTTTGATGCCTTGTGTGGTATTAGAACATCACATGCCGTCACAAGATTCCAGACATTCGATTTAATGGCAAATCGAATAAGCTAGGCATACCAGAAAGCCTCCTGGGCCGAAACCCCTCGGCCGCAAAGAGTGCTTCATTGCTCGTGGCTCATACATCCCAAACCAAACCAATGCCCTTCTTGTTCTGGTTTTGAACTTTTTTTTGATTCCCTTGGCGATAGATCAAAAAGAGGCCTCCTCCCTTCTCCGCTCACAACCAATCAACAACAGATTTACGCACGCGACATAACACCCCAGGCACGGATCTTGTTGTCGGTGTAACCGGCGAACAGGGTCTGGCCGTCGGCGGACCAGGCGAGGGAGATACACTCGGGGTCACGGCTCTTCTTGCCCTTCTCAACGTACTCGGGCTTGAGCTCATCAACCTTGCTCTTCTTCTCGAGGTCGAAGATGGTGATGGAGCTGCTGGTGGCAGCGCACAGCCAGTAGCGGTTGGGGGAGAAGACGAGAGCGTGGATCTCATCGCCGGCGTGGAGAGAGTAGAGGTGCTTGGACTCGTTCAGGTCCCAGAGCATGGTGGTACCGTCCTTGCCACCGGAGGCGCAGAGGGAGCCATCGGGGGAGATGGTGACGGTGTTGATGTAGCCGGTGTGACCGATGTGGTCAGTCTGCAGGCGGCAGGAAGCGAGCTCCCAGACCTATATCGTGGAAGAATGGTCAGCGTCACTGATACTCGTCCAAATCGATGTGTGAGGTGTAGTCAAGAAAAATTTTCTCCTGTCCTCCTCAAATTCAATATCACGAAGAACATTGAAATTTGGGATTCCATCAGGCATTGGTGATTGGTTGTCTCATAGCCGGTGAAGGCTCTGAAGTAGCAAATACGTAGAATATGCAAACATCATGTGGGGGAAATTGGCAAAGATGCAAGGGTTTCCAAAATCGGGGGCGGGTGAAGCGTACCTTGACGAGCTTGTCCCAGCCAGCGGAGACGATGACGGGGTTCTGGGGGTTGGGGCTGAAGCGGACGCAGGAAACCCACTCGGTGTGGCCCTTGTCGGTGATGGTGAACTTGCAGTCACCGAGGGTGTTCCACAGCTTGATGCTGCGGTCACGGGAGCCGGAAACGATCTGGCGGTTATCGGCAGAGAACGAGACGGAGAGGACATCGTTGGTGTGGCCGACAAAGGTGCGGGTGGTGTTGCCGGTAGCGAGCTCCCACAGGCGGAGGGACTTGTCCCAAGATGCGGACAGAGCGTAGGCACCGTCGGAGGAGATCACCTATTAAATAAAAAAAAAGACCCGCGGTCAGTCAAGCGCTCTCAAGTCTCTGCTCGATCCTTGAACAAAATTCCGGTTTCATTTTGCCTTCCATTGGATCCTTCGATATCTCCGGCGTGACCGAGAGGGGGCAAGATTTGGTGACATACACAGTCAGAGACGATGTGGGAGTGGCCCTCCAGGCTGCGCTTGGGGTAACCGTAAGCCTGCTCATCGCGAGTCAGGTTCCAGATGATCAGGGTCTTGTCGCGAGAGCCCGACAGCAGCATGTTGGGGCTAGAAGCCGAGTAAAGTCAGACGGGATCTCTTTGCGAAAAATTCGGAGCAGTTGGCCTTACTTCTCCAGAGAGGTGGCGAGGGAGGTAACCCAGCCATTGTGGCCCTCGAGGGTGCCGCGAAGAACCAGCTGCTCAGCCATGATGGGAGTGAGACGATGAAGGAGAGAGGATTGGCGGAGTAGGTCGTTGACGCTGGGGAGATAAAATCGCAGAGGGAGGAGGTTGGCTGCGTGCCCGCTCAAACCCTAACCCGGTTGGCTGTCGCCTTGTGTGGTTCCGCCGTGCCCTAACCGTAAGCGAAGACCACGTGATGGTCCTCGGCCGCCGTCGGAGTATACTGGAGTTTGTATACTTCCGACCATCGTAATTCGACATACACTTGTTTAGATGCGACAAACTCCCAATTGAACTCTTGTAAAGCTTTTACGAAAGCAACCTATCCGAATTTCAATGCTCTATAACCAACAAATACCGATCTCTCAGCTTACAAACCACGACAACCATTCATATGATGACATCCAGATGGGGACCATCTGTAACGACTGGTTTTATTATGGACTCAATGAGACCGTTGCGAGATGATAGGGCTCAAAAAACCGAAAGAGATTTTAGGAGAACTGCCAATGCACATGCTACTTCATTTTTGTTGATCTATAAGTTCCAATCCGGCAAAACTATACACGGGCTATCGGTTCCGCTCTTAAAAGACCTATCATACAAGTATAAATCAATCAGACACGCTGCAAGTTTCTAATTAGTTGAAGACCTGCACATTAGGCATCCGGCCCAAACCACCGCCACCACCAGTCTTCTTATTCTTCGCGGACTCAAAGCCAGTTGCACTCTTATCGCGCACATGCGCCCTTAGCAGCCGCAGCACCTCCGAGTCACTCCACCGCGATGGAACAGGCCGGTATGCCGCCTTGAATGCGCCGATTGTCTGCGCCCACTCGCCACTCTTGGCGCCGGTGTTCTTCCACGTCTCCGTGACTGTGTCCTCCTTAGGAGGTTTGGCCGCCTCGGGAACCTCGGAGGGCGGGTCTTGCGTTGCCCAGTAATAGATGTCCCAGTCATTCTCGTCCAGGAAGCGGTCATACTCTTGCAACTGGGCGTGGCTCATGTTGCGCAGGTAGACGTCGGCAAAGGTAGAGAGGAGGAGGTCGGATTCAAGGATGCCGCGCTTGCGGCTTTGGTCTGTTGGGTGAGATGGTCAGATTGTATTCATCAAGGAAACAACACATGGTGACGAACATAGTAGCCGGGCTCGCATGGTTGTAGCATCCTCGCCAGCTCTCTTCAATGGCTCGACCTTGAATTTGATGCCCTCCATCTCTCCCACCTCCAATTCGGGCTTCTGCGGCCCCTGGTCCTGCCGACCACCTGTGAAATGTTCGAGCTTTCCTGTGTACGCGTCTTCGGGGTTCTTGAAGCGAAGAGCCGTCGTGCCAAACGAACGGTTGATTGCCGAGGCCAAGCGCGTGTTGAATGATGCTGGCGCAGGTCGCGTCAAACGACTGATGATTCGCGAAGCAGACATTGTGGAATTTGTAGCCCTATATCTCGAGGGTTGACTAGGAACAGTGGAAGGCGAAGAGAAGTGGTGATAAGCGTGGAATTATTAATGCAGGCTTGACATCATCTGGAGTATTGACCCGAAAAAAGGTATTCCGGGGCCTGCATATCCCGATGTTTGCAGTGTTTGTCGGTCGGCCGCTCCACTGGATCGCCGGGGATTACACAGCGGCCTCGGGATGCATGGGGATATACTATACTGCAGATCCATTGAAACGACGTATGTGTTAGAGGACTCAATTAGACAATGTCATAGCCGTCAACTGATCCAGTCGCTGAATTTGGCGTTAATGGATCAAATTAATCTAGAAGTAGAGTAGAGATCTATCGGCTGCTTTACGGTAAAAACAGTGTACTAGAAGTGTCTACTACAGTGACGGAAGTGAATGATTAAACCTCTGCCTGCGGCAGGGCGTGTATTTTATATCATTCAGGTCATGACTATTAGAACAGAAATGCCAAAAGACACGAGCGAGTACATAAACAGCCAGCATAGCGAAACTCCCCATGCAGCAGCACTTCGAATCCAAGATCGAACAAGTAGAAATGCGGAAACATCCAAACCATGTATGCAACTCGTCAGTCCCCCACTCAAACTAACAGAAAAAATCAGCATCTCATTCTATCTAAATGAGATGCTTGGAACGGAAGTAGGCCCGCAGGTACACAACCTGCCACGCCCCCAGGCCGGCGAGCATGCCCATCGTGCCGAACGCGAACCACTTCACTCGCTCATTGGTGCTTTCGTTGGTATCGCGCAGGCGCTGCTCACGTGCGCGCAGGTACTCCATCTCCGTGACGATGTCAGCAACCATCTCCTCGATGCGGCGGAGATCGGTCTCAACGGGCTTGAGCTTCTCCTGTGCTTGGATGGAAGACCAGTCGCGGGCGTCGGCACCGATTTCGACATCGAGTTCAATTTCACGGGAGGGGTTTGCGACAGCGTCTATAGCGGGAGTTTGGTTAGTGGTGGGCCCGGGATGGGCATGGTAACGAAGCGTGTTGACGGGAACTTACTGCGGCTGTCAAGCTGGTTCTCAAGACACACGTCGAACGCGGTGTCAGCGGTTGAAGTAAACGCCTGGCGCACTTCTCCCACAATATCCTTCGGACGACCATGGTCATTGCCCATAGCATCCTTGATCTGAATTGCAAACGCCGGTACGTTAGCCATCACGTTCCGCACATCGAACCTCCCTCACCATTCTTCGTCAGAAGTGAACCCCCCAGAGCTCCCCGGAAAGCGTAGAACATACGTGCATGTTAACTCTCTGACCATCGCCCTTCTGGCCGCTCACAATGGCTGTGACCACGACTAGCTGGTCCTTCGACACAATGTTGCGAACGCATCGCTCGTTCTTGCCCGAGGTGGCGGGGAGATCGAATTTGAGGGCAGACGCGAGCTGTACCACGAGAAGGAAGAGTGCGAGGATCGACCTCATGGTGAATGGAGAGGAGCCCATGGTTGGCGGGTTGGTCGGTGGTAAACAGGAGAGCTGTTGATGCCACCTGGTAAGGGGACTTGGGTGGGATCAACAATGTTCCGCGGCAGGACATGGGGTTGCGCCACATCTCCTCAGCCACAATCCCTGGCCATCTCAATATTCTAAGGACAAACCTCACCAAATTGTGTTGAGGATTCGATGCCTAGTGCATGAATTGATACCTCAAACATGGCAGATCAACGTCGCTTCTACATCTAATTACCGATATGCCCCAAGACAAGGACATTTGAGAGTGGGAGCCCTCTTTATCCTCTGCCCAAATCGCAGGCTAGCTTGGTAGAATCAACCATAGGCACGAATGATAAATCCTTTGAGAATAGACGGAGGTAATTCAATTGGTATAAATTTCCAGCAACCTTCCTTCGTATGACCTGAACTAACAAAGCAATCTACCAGTCCTGTCCTTCCCAAATAGTCTCTGCGATTTCCTCCAGTTGTTGTTGTGAGATTTCGACATCTTTCTCCCGCGGGCAAGTTGGCTGGCGACCGAATAGACTTTCAAACGAGATAACGATAGGATGATGAGAGACATTTGTCTGCTCCCCTTTTTTGGTAATCCAAGTGACCTGGGAGCGATGGATCCTGTCGTTTTGCCACACCCACTTTTCAATCCGGATTTCTGGCTTAGACCGATTGATCCGGAGTGTAAGGCATATGTCGGCATTGCCTTCATCAGGGTTCAACCAAAACCGGACGTCGGAATTCAATTTCGGCTCCGTTTCCGACATCGCAATCTCGAGCGTAACTGAGGGTGAGAGGGGTTGACCACGCGCTGTTCTTTTGGGTCCCCAGCCATAGTCAGGCGCTTTCCCCTTCGTCTTCTTCCTTTCAGTAAGTGCCCCTGGATATCCCCGGAGAGAAGAGAATAACCCCATTTGCGATACGTTGTCGCGAATCATGCTGTTCATGATATCGGCCGCCCAAGCGTGTGGAACTAAAGCCATGATGGCTAGGATAAGTTCTTCGTTTGTATCAAATGCACGGCAATATCGTCTGATGGATGTGTCTGCGTTTTGAGGATCGAAAATGGTTTGGATGGTCTCTTTGCTTGCATGAAATAGGACGTATTCGCTTGTGTCCATCGAGGCTTCGAAGCGATCAGGTATGGAGTTGAGGACGTCGAAGAATTGCGATTCTCCATGGTATTTACATCGTTTGATCGAAGGGGGCAGATCTTTGAGGAAGCTGCCTTGGTGCTTTGGCATCTTGGTGATACTAAAACATATGAATAGGAAGATTTTGAGATATGAATTGATCAGAAAGTGAATGAGGAGTGAGAGATTGGATTGATCAAAGTGAATGAGGAGTGAGAGATTGAACGCTTACTTTGAAGATTACTTAAAATTACTTTTATTGCCAATTGGGGGTAGAACAAAATGATATAAAATATACCCTGAATAGGTTACTTCATGATGACACTTTTATCCACCGGCTACGGGAGACAAAAGCGAAATGGTTTTGGGTCTAAGATATCTGGTAGCCGTTTAGAATGGTCGTCGGACCAAATTTCTGCCCTCTTACCGAACAAATTGCTGAGAATCAAGTGATAATGTACTCGACTCAAGAGAATTCCTAGTCATGTTTACAGGGAAAGAAAGTGAAATGAAGAAAATGGTTTCCGAGCGTCAAGGCTTTTAGATACAGGCACAAGGACTTCAAACATGGTATCTCGCAAAAGTTCACAAAAGGAAAAACCAAAGACGTCCGTCAAACCAAAACACGGGGTAAGAATCGAAAATAGACATATCCAAGATAACCCAGGAGAAGAAGAGAAGAGAACAAGGAAATAAATTCAAGTGAAGGTCCATATTAGTCGTTCAGTTCTGTAGAGTATCACATCCACCGAGCGTGGAGGGTAAGCAGTTCAGTTCCGTTCATATCAAGGAAAGAACATTGAAACAAAGAGGAAAAGTGCAACAACGAAAAAGCCACCTGGGTGTAGCTGTATGATACAAGCAACGAGAGATAAGGTAAATACCACAGGGCGTGAAGCTCTATAAAAACAAATGATAGCGTAAATGTTGAGGAAAGAGAAAGTTGAGACGGAAGAAGAAAAATGTTCTCAAACAAAACGATGGACATGAGGTATGTGGATCGTTAGATAAGCTGAAACGCTCAAAGCATGACATCGAGTTTGTAAATGAATCCAGATGAGGAGACTGGGGTGGGATGGAGTGGGTTGAGCTGAGTTTACACCTCAACCTTCCTTCGGCGCACGAAGAAGCGCGAGAAACCGCCCTCTTTCGCCTTAGAGCCTCCAGCCCGTCCGGCAGGCGGCTCTGGGGGCCCGGTGTTGCGGAGGAAGTCTGCCAGCGCGGACGTCTCGGTCTGCCTGTTGGACGCGGATGGGATGGTGGCCGGGTTGCGCTCCCTGCCGACCTTGTAGGAGTAGTTGGAGGCTTGGGGCGGCTGGGAGTTGAGAGTGCTCTGGGAGCGGAGGGAGCTGATGGACATCTTGGAAGAAGGGGACTTGTCGGCGGAGGTGGTGCTGCGCATGAGCCGGGATTTCATGCTCGTGGAGCTCGCAAAGCCAATGGGTTTGTAGGAGGGAATGGTGATGTTGAGCGGCTGAGGTTGTGACTGTTCGATGTCGGGAGGGGGTGTGCTACGCAGGAAGTCCATCAGGCTTTCCTCCTCGCGCTGGGGCGGCTTAGCGCTGATGAGTTCGTGGAGCAGGTCGTCATCATCATCGTCGTCGTCGATGGCGTACGGGTCCGAGGCGCGGCCTGGAACGCGACGCTGCTTGCGGACAGGGACAGGGCGAGTGTCATCTTGCATCGCAGCGCTTGTTGGCGCAAACTTCGTTTGATCGTTCCCGCGGTTGGCCGAGTCCAGCAGTCCGGTCCGCGAGCCAAAGGACGTCAGGGACTTGCTCGGCGTAGAACCATCCCGGCTACTGGCAAATGAGCTGCTGGTGGTGTGATCCTTCTCATTCTGCGAAGATTCGAATTGGAGATCATCTGAGTCGATGGTGTTGCGGAATGGTGCAACCGTACGTGGGATACGATGTGCGCCGGGCTGCGGTGGGCCCTCGCGAATGAAATCAATGAGTTCGGAGGTCTGCGAGCCTCTTGTCTCAGCAGGACGAGCCTGGAGACGGGTCCTTTGTGGGGTCAAACGAGACGTGTTGGTAGTGCTGGTGGACAAGCTAGATGGGGGTCGAACGGGTGAGCTAGTCATGTCCGTAGAACGGGGTTCGCGCGCTTGTCCCGTTGCAGAGGGCTTCTGGTGCAAAGATACCCGGGAAGCGATGGGAATATGCTTTGGAGACTCGGCGGACTTGGTATGCCCAAAGTTCCTGTCGCCGGCGTGCCGAGAAGATAGAGGATTTTGTGACCGAGGGTCCTCTCCTGGTGGACCCGTGTTCTTGATGAAATCAGCGAGATCAGTGGTGTTCGTGGTGTCAGACCGCGGGATCGGTCGAGGAATATCCGGAAAAGTCATCTCGCGGACGCTTCGGGGCGTCAGTGTGAAATGGATCGTCTCGTCGCTGTTAATCAACTTGTCGAGGTCCGTAGCGTCGTTATCCACAGAGCCTGCGCTACCAGATGCCCGGCTTGTCTCGGATGAGCTACGGAGACGCAGCGAGGGAGACTCCCCCGGTGGGCGATTCATGAAACCCTTCAGTTTGCTAGACACTTGAGATGTAGTAGAACCAGCGGTGACTGGACGCTTATCACGAGCACTGCCGACACTGTCCGAACGACGGGTTTTGACCTGAATAGAGGACGATACTGAGGTATTTGGGCGAGGCATGCGCTGAACTGCAGCTCGCTGCTCAACTGTTGGAGAACTGCGGTTGCTAGAGGTGCGGTTGCTAGCCGTGACCACGAGTGGACTGGGTCTGTGGCGGCGGGATCGTTCCGATCGCTCGCTCTCCGTAGCAGATACCGGATAAGAGGAGTCGGAAATGTCAGCAAGCTCTTGAGCGTCAGAATTTTGTTCCGTGGGCTTAGTAGTCTCGGTCGGCTCGGTGGATTTTTCAACAGTCGGCCCCTGAGGCTCCTGAGGCTCCTTGGGCATCGCTTGCTTGATCTCAGGCACGATCGCAGGCGTGGAAGTCATGGCGGATTTATTCTGATCGCCATCACCAACATCGCTATTGTCGCCAGGAGAATTGATAGCCTCGATAGAGGCGGCAGATGGTGCGGGTGTGGACTCGGCCCCTTGCGTCGCTGGCGGCTTCTCGACGACCGACTGCATGTCGGATTCACTAGTATCTTCAAAGATCGGCTTTGCATTGAGGAGTGCAGGATCCCTGCTGGGCTTCCGTCTGGGTCGCTGGATTGTCGACGTCAGCGTGGGCTTCTCACACATCCCTCGCCCCTCGATCACCTCGGGATCCTTGGTTGGTGAATCGCCTAGGGATGCGACCAAAACACCAGCGCTGTGATCGGTCGTAACGTCGTCATCCTCATCCTCAAGCGATCGCAAGGACGCAACTGTCTCGTTGACTGGAGGAGCCGCAACAGCAGCAGATGCAGCAGCCGGAGGCGACGCCGGTGGTTCCTCCTCCTCCTCCTGCACCACGGACATCCTGTCCTTCTCTGCCGATTCCGCCGCAGACTGCTTTAGGGCCTCCTCGTGTGACGTGGTGATCGCGATGCCAGGGGCATTCTCTTCCGCATCTACATACTCCGCTGACTCGTCATCCTCGTACATGGTTTCGAGCTGCCTTTTCTCCTCGGAGGTACTAGGAGACGGCTGATCGGCGGTGGCAGCATGGTCAGCCTGCGGGACCTGGCGCGGTGGGCTGGCCGCCGCATTGGGCAACGACCTCGAGCGAGCATGGCGAAGGCTCTTGGCATTGTCAATGGCCCCAGCACTCACCGGAGACCCATTGCTTGACCCCGGGGACTTGGGAGCGAGGGATGGCGACGACAAGACCATCAGACTGCGCGGTCGCACTTTGTGCGCCACCATGGCCTGCATGGTCTGCACCTCACCCTCCAACTCGGCAGAGTAGCCGGGAACCTCAATCTCCTGCACATCATAATCGCCCATGGGAAGAGGGACAGTGGCAGGGTCGACCGGGGCCGGAATCTCCTCCGGGAGGGGGTCTTGAGGGGTCAAAGGCTCCTCGATGGTCGCAATGCTGCTCTTCCGGCTGTTCGCGAGGGTATTGTAACCGCGGCGACGGAAGGACTCGTGAGACAAGGTCCGCGAGAGTGTCGTGTTGCGTCTGCGCTTCCTCCACGTGCGCCACAACCGGCCGAGAGTCGCATTGAGAGCCAGTTTCTCCATATCCAGATCCTCCACCACGAGCCGGTCGATGCGCTTCCGATCCTCCTCCTCCTGCTCATCGGCCGCATTGACCTGGCTATCGTTCAGTGACGCCGACAATCGGGAGCGCGCCGTCTCGCCAGCAATCACAAGGGCTCGCTCGCCGATATACTCGATAATCGAGGTCAAGAAGATCGCTGCTGCTGGCGTAATGTTGTTGACGTGGCTCGTGAACCTACGGGGTGCACCCTCGGTCTCCCCCAGGCCCTCCTGCGCAATAAACTCATCCTCATCCTCCTCTTCCATGTCACCTAGCCGAGTGTATACCATACAGCGCAGGCGTGTCAGTCTCCACGAGCGAACGAGATCGAAATCGCCGCCCGGTTCCTGTCCGCCCCGAAATTCCGCCTGCTCATCCTCCGCGCCTCCCATATACTCGCTCAACTCCTCATCGGCGGTGGCCACCACCTCCGAGGCCAGTCGCGGCTTCAGTACGTCTGCGAGCGCGGGTCGAATGCAGGCGAGCTGGGTCGACTTGGACCCGGCCAGGACATTGAACAGGAGGTTGTCAAGGAAGCTGTTCAGCAGGGCGAGCGCGGCGGGGGTGACCAGCGCGTTTGCGCCGGCACCGGTCTCCTCATCGTCGGCGACAAAGTCGGCGGTGTTGAACTCTTGGTCGGAGGTGATGATCTCCGAGGCCGCGGAGGACGAGATGAAGGCCGGCGGCGGGCGAACTGAGGGAGGCGCCATGAGGTTGACTCGGGGGTGTTGCGAGTCGCTGGAGAGACTGGTGCTGCTGCGCGAACGGCACAAGGTCCCAGCGTCCAGGAAATCAGATCCTTTGTAATGTTGCATCGCGAGGAAATCGGGCTGGTCCCGGGGCGTTCTCTCGTGGATGACCAAGCGGGTTATTGCTTTTGCGAGCCTCGGTGGGCGTTCGTGTTTTCCCTCTCTCCCTCTCTCTCTTCGGGGTTCCGGGTTTCGCGACCCTCGATTGGGAGGGTGTGAGAGGTGTGGGAGGTGTGTTGCAGAAGCGGGACTGGGTCGGAATCAAATCTCTAAATCATCCTGTACTCCCACCAGGCGCAAGGTCAGCCCGAAACATTCTTCTGTCGTGAAAGCTGACATCCAGACACATGGGGGGATCATTGGGGGCCATGCGGCCATTGCAGCCATTGCGCCCCCTGGGGGCCTTTTTTTGTCTTCCTTTGGCGGTTGGCGTCGCCTTTGGCCGAGTTCGTACGACTCTGAGGGGCCATGCAGGCAGGCAACGTCCGCCGAACATGGCGCAAAGCAAGGGAAATTCTCACATACCCGTGTTGACCGGCGCGAAAGCGAGTAATCATGCCGTCCGCGATTTCAGCATCCGTGAAACGAGTGTCGTCGGGGTTATGGGGGGAGGGAGGGCAGGAGAGGAGCGGGCAGGAATAGGGTCAGGATGGAGTAGCCTAATTATTCTAATTATTCCGGCGCAGCTCACTATGACCTTTCCCCCCGGTCGTGGTGAGTGGAGACTGGTTGATTCGGGGTCGACTACCGAAGAATAATTTATGGAGCTGGCCGAATGGCATACATAGTCCTCCGGGGGGGATCAGATCGGACAAAAAATAAATAAGAAAAAGAAGTGGATATCTTTTCGGTCCTGAGTACGGAGTATTTGATTTCACTATGCCCCGTACTGGACTCCGTACTGGACTCCGTACGGCAGAACAATGTCCTGATTTGGGAGTACTACAATGTGCGTGCTTTGACTTTGGAAACGGGGAGCGTGCACAGCCCGCACGAGGGGCCACTCTTCTTTTCCGCCACGACGTGGCTACGACCGCGTCTCTTCTCTCCACCTCCGGCCACTTCTGAGTACCCCCGAAGTACTCCGTAGGAGACATCGCAGGTCGTGACACCCTCTCACCTCCCATCGTACCTGCCTGAATACCTCCCTTCGCAACCATGGTCCACCCCTGAGGTGACGGGGCTGGACGGCCTATCGCGATGAAGAAACCAGGGGTCGCGGGTTGAATGAACCGATCGACAGGCCCCAAGAGTGCGCTATCCGGCTCTATCAGGGGCGATTGTCTGGATCGTCTGGGTCGTCTCGGTCGACGGGACTGGCACTGCCAATCGCCGTCTGCCGATGGCATTGGATCGGGGGCCCAGTGATAGTTAGTCTTTCACGCCTTGCCCGTTGAGGGCGCATTATTGGATTCTGGCTTTCTCCAGTCAGCTCATCGGCCGCTGGAACCGTACTGTGCGGAGTCCTTTCCACCCTGGCCCTTTCCCGTAGTTTCCTCCGTACATAGTTTACATAGTTTCTATGATTTCCATGATGGTCGGCTCGTTTCGTCCATACCTCCGGAGTAGGCTTCGATCGCAGTTCCATGCCTTCCACTCGGCCACTCCGCGGGGCGCAAACCCCCTGCTTTTATTAGCCTGGCAAGGTGGAGCCCACCACATCCGTGGTCTGGCTCATAGGTCGTAGGACTCCACCGGCACTGTACAATCTTCCGAGTACGCACACGTTCCTTCGGCCTCACCCCTCGTTCCATGGAACTTCCCCCGAGACGGGGAATCGCACGCCCCACGAGGCACCGATGCGCTCGATCAGAATCAGCGGCTTCGGGCCCCCAATGGCCCAATAAGGCGCATTCCTGAGATGAGCGACTCGATAGTCGACACCCGGCCAACGTGGTCTCGGGTCTTGCCCGATCTACCAGGTCCTCCCATGCCCGATTTTTCGTATATCGTCTCAGCCGGATATCATTCGCACCCCCCAAGATCGATGGATCGGATCCTGATCGCACCTCGCGCCTCGCGCCTCGCATCTCGCACTTGGCCTGTCCTTCCTCCCCGATCCCGTCCGGCCAAATGACGACGTGCAAGGTCTCCCCACGTCCTCACGTCCCCCGTCCTCGTGTGACGAATCCAGCATGGTACATGGACCCAGTCGAACCAATAGGACCGGTACCATGTACCGAGGAGTTTTGGTAAATCCAGCCCAGGAGATGTATTCTGACCTCCGTCGATCACAACGATCATCGTGTGGGACCCTCCAATCACAGCCACAGCCACCCTACCTGATGTCCACCGTGCGCGAACTGATGTGCGGGAGCACCCCATGGCAGAGAGAATGGCTCGGAGAATCCGTGGATTCCAGAAAATGCGACGCATCCTCGGTGGCTCGATGGAGGCTAACACTGGCGGTTGCGCTCGCAGTAGCGGCGCTCTACGAAGTACCATGTCATGATCAACTCAAGCTTACGCCCGGTGGAGTGACGAGGATCCTCAGCACAGCCAGACAATGCATCCCAATCACCCCATTATCCGTCCTTAAAATTGACTGGGATCATCCCTGATCATCCCTGGCATCTCAGCGAACCAGGTGCGCCAGACGGAGGACTATGTCGAGATGTGGAGCCCTCGCGGCGAAATCCAGTCTCAATGAGCGGTCAATCGCAGCCCCTGAGCATGAGGCAGATCCCGGAAATCCTTCCCGTGAATCATCCTAAACCACATGTGAGAAGCGTCGCATCGTCATGCTGCGGGCCTTCGCGTCCTGGAGATATATGACTTTATGACCGGCGTGATCGGCGGCCGGGTCTCCTTGTCCATCTCGCATGCCGCGTTCTCTCCGCAGCCGCGGAGGCAGCTCTCTCTTTTTGCTTACGCTCCGTGCTCTGTATACATGTAGCTCTGTTATGCCCCCCAGCCAACCTCTGTTGCTTTTTCCTGGCAAGGTTGAAGACTGGGAAATACAACGTATTGCATGACGCGTCCAGGGGAGTTTCTATGGACGGCTGTGCTGTGCTGGGCTTAAGGTAGTGCGATCAGCTCGCGATATATCATTTCCCATCTCCGGTTCACCATACTTCTACTGACTGCCTGTGCCCGCGATTGGTCTATCCAGGAAATTCCCCTGCACCCCAAAACGCATGCTTATCTTAAGCGTATAGGGCGCAGGAGGATGGGCGGCTATCACAGGCCGCTCGGGCTAGGAGAGGGGGAATTAATCTGGTGGTGCTGTATTCCGTAGTTAGCCATGAAATCAGCTCATCCCATGTCTATCTCATCTCATCTCGTCCTACCAGTGCCCCCAAGCCCCCCAGCTCGCCTGAACTACTCGACCCCGAAGCCAAGTTCTGTGTGACGCACCATCCACCGCAGGTTATCATAACCAAATATTCGTGCCACTCACTACGGCCATTGGCTATTCCCATCATGGACCCATTTTCTAGAGTGGGCGCTGATCGCTCGCTTGCCCCAGTTGAGTCGCCATAACCGGCAATTCCCGCCAGCCGCACGCGAGGAAATCAGGATGTCCACGGCCTCACCCCAGTGAAGGGCAATAGTGGGTGGACACGGTCCACTCCCGCACTCGGCGCTGTCAGAAACTGGACTTCTTCATGCCAATCCTTCCGGGTCTCCACACCGCGCGAAGCTAAGACGGCAGAGAGAGGAGGGGGGGGGGGGGGGGGGTTTGTGCAAAGGAAGCGCTAGTATATCGAACAGCGTGCAATGTTGTTCATGTGCGACTGGCGTATACATAAATCTTATGGCGAAGTATCATCCCATTGGTGATGAACACCGGATTGGCGGTAGGTGTGCATCCAAACTCTTTTTGAATAAGGTTCATACCACGAACACGATACATCCGGAATCGACTGCTCGCGCAGACGTTGATTTCAACAGCCTGTCCCCCTCACCGCATGGCATGAATGAGGGAAACTTGGATGTATCCGACTCCGCTGTGTACCGGTCTGTGCTTCTCTCGCCGTTAGGTGATCAGCACCGGCAAAACGGCGACTGGATACCTCCAGCCTCACGACCTGACTTGAGCCGCCGACCTGACTTGACCGCTTATCAGCGAGGAGCGTCACACAATGACCCTGTATGGGCGGTGCAGGGCGTTAGTAGTTCGTGATGCACCTGCGTTGCTCGTGCGTTCCTTTGAAGTACTTCGTACAGTCGAAATCCTTCCCGGGCGCGAGAGACCTGGAGATACCACTCGGTCGTCGATCTCCATGGCAATCCTCGCAGAACTCCACTAGCAGCCACATTTCAATCTCTTTACGAAGGACCAAGTCGTCCCTGTCCAGTGGAGAGACAGTGGATGACCACTCTACGCCCCGCGCAATGAGGTTGCCCGCAACATCTCCAACCCATCCAGCGGAGATACCGATATCAATCATTGCTGGGTACGGAGTACGCCACAAAAACATGGACAAAGCATCGGGCGCAAACCCACCTGAAACCTCATCAGCCATCAGCCCATCCCTGCCGCATGTGGAAGGAGCCTGGAAATTCTCCGACGCCTCAACGTCCGCTAACGTAGCGAGGTGGCCAGATTTAACCGTCGTCGCCAGCCGACCAGACGGAAGTGCTCATTCGCGGGGACTACTCGTCGCAGCCAAGAGGGCGGAGATGTCAGAGAGAGTGTCAGTGTCAGGGGTCGCGGGAGTTAGCTTCCGAGCCGTTCGGGAGGGAAGTGGGGTGAGACAGGTTTGGGGGATAGTTAGGATCAAGTCTGAAACACGCGGTCGTGCCTTTCTCTCTCTCCCGTTTCGGGAGCGAGCGAGGGGTGGGCGTGGGTGGTGGGATTCTAGACTGTGGCGGAGGGGCATTTGGCTCTTGTGTTTGGGATTGGGTTGGGTGAACTTTATTTGGCGAAGGGAAGGTGGGATCCGGCCTACACCGATGAGTAGGCAATGCAGCAGCATATCTCGACGTGGTGAGTATTTGATCTCTACTATCTTCTCATCGCCCTGGGCAATTCCACATCAGCACCCGAAGGACTCCAGAAAGACCGACCAGAAGGAATTTCGAAATGGTTCCTGAAGAGAGCTCACGAGGAGAAAGATGAATGAGACTGCTCCATTTATGGACCGTTAGCTTCAGACTCGAGTCGTGGCTAAATCCATATAAATCATTCACCACCGTGCTCGTATGACCATAAGCTCAAGGGGGTTAGGACATACTTCTTTCTGTCGTCCACCCCTCTTGGTAAGTATGCCCTGTGCAAGTCGATTGCACACCCGGTTGCGGACGTACGCTACAGGTGGACCAAATGGTAAGGTCTTGGAGTTACCGTTTAGGAACAGTTAGACCTTGTTGAGGCAAATGGCGCCCGAGATCCTTGTGGATGGACAGCAGGGGTAGGTGCCAGGACCAACGCGAGAGGCTGTCCTGTCCGTCCACTACTGGTTCCAAGAGCGGACGACGACACTAGGGGGGAAGCTACAGCTGAAGTGGTTGAAGTTTGCAAGATCTTGGAAGAAAAGATATCAAAAGCTAGCTAGACAAAATACAGGACGCATAGCCATGGCCCGCGTTGCTGTTGGGAACCCGAACGCTTTTCCATTTCCCGGTTGTTGTGAACCAGAGGATAATACCCTTTGCCGAAGGCGAACCCGAAATAAGGTGTTGTTCATAATCGTAACGTCGTAGCTTCTGTTTTATTTAAAGACCCGGAGCATTTGTGGATCTAATTGGATGCAGGAAGATCCTGAGTACCGAGGGCATGGACAATGCCGCCGGCAAAGAAGCTCATCTCATCCGGGCATACATCGACCCGGCCGTTGGCCAGACGGTCCAGGAGGAAGTGCTCGACCTTGCCCAGAAGGACTTGATGATGATTCTGAGCCCACTCGGGGGAGTTGGAGTCTGCTTGCTCGGCGGCGTCTTTCTGGCGAAGAACGACTAAGTCGTCCAATTCATCCACGGAGAGGAGGTTGCGGAAAACTCCGATGACATGGCTTTGGATCAAATCCAGATACATGCAAGGTGCATCGTCCGGATGCATGAACTCACATTCGTGGCCCAGTCTAATGTTGTCTGCCTGGGTGCGAATGTAGGTTTTGTATTTGGCGTCGGCTATTCCGTGAATACCGTTCATGTAGGCGACAAACAGCTGGCGATCGACATCGATCGCATCGCGAGTGAAGTCCTCAGGAGAGTTGGCACAATTGCGAACGAACTCTCGATGAGAGTGATCGCTGTCATCGTCGTCACTGACGTCGTCCTCTGAGAGGAACGAAGAGCTTGCAGAGCCAGATTGAAGTGCCAGCATCATCATCTCATGACATGTTATCTGAACGTCAGGGGTCTCATCGTCCTCAGAGAGCCCAGGGCTGCTGATATATTCGATCTTGGGAGCAAAACGAACAGAGGGCCCAAACTCGATGAATGTATCATCGAAAGTGTCAGTGCGGTCTTCCCGCGTCTCAGGGACATCCTGCGATGTCTCCTCCCAGATAGAAAAATCGGACATGTCGCCATCGTCGTCCTCATCTTCATCGTCCTCTGAGAGAGCATCGAAATCAAATTCAATATCGTCTGAGCCATAACCGGACTCAGATTCAGTATCGTTGACATCATCTTGAATGTCGGAGGTGACGTCGGAGGTGGAGTTCTTGAGGATCGACTTCAAGAGTGGGTGCAGATTGGTCTCGCGTTTGTCGATAAAGGTCTCGGTACTGGTCTGCAGCGGAGCAAGATTTTTGGATGAGACAGACACTTCATCAGAACCGTAGCAACTGTCTTGCGAGAAAGACACTTCCAGGTGCGCAAAAGTGGAGGAAAGTGAATCCCAAGACTCCCGGTGGGTGGCGGGGGTGGCGGCCATCTTGGGCATAGCAATGTTTTCGCGAATCTTTATAATACCACGAATATTCCTGACAGATTTCGAGCCTCGCTACGGCCCGGTACGTGGTGGATAGAGGCGTTGAGAAACTAGTGGAAAGTCGAGATAATAGAGTGGCGAGGATGGCCTCGAATACACGGAGAACGGTCCATGGTGAGGCACACGGTGATCGTGTGATCACTTAAGGAAACTGGACGGGGCATTCCCCAGCATGAATAGGCAGCGAATACATATTGTGCGCGTGTGGTGTTGGATCGTGGTAATTGCGGTCGGTCGAGGTCTTTCCTCTGCCCTGCGACTCTTCGGGTATTGTTCTGGAAGACTGCGCGCGAAGCAATTCAACGTGGGATTTCCGTCGCAGAGAAGACGAGTCGAAGACGAGAATCCACTCAAACTCAGTGTGGTGTCAGGGATGTGGTGACGGGGCAAGACGAGGAGGCAAAGGAGATCGTGGTATTTTGGCGAAGCAATGCAACCGGCACCGGAATGTCACAGGATTGTGGCGGGGCCTTCACGGCAGTGGGTGGATGAAGATTCACTCGCGAGAGGCCTGTTGGTCGTTGAGCGAGATTCCAAGGTGGAGGTGGATGGTCAGGAGACCAGGATGGTGAGGAGAAGTTGTGATGACCGAGGTGAGAGCCCACGTTCCGCGGGGTGCCTCCTCAGAAGGGTGTTGAGTCACCGGCAAATCCTCTTTCGGGGGCAGCGGCAACCGTCGGGAAGGCGAAGGATAACCAGGCAAGGCTGTTGAAGGAAGGCAGCCGACAGAACTGGGCTTAGGTAACAGTCGAGAGAGGGCGACAAAGTGCTCAAAACAAGCAAAGATGGAAAAATCAATGGAATTCTGTCAGCTGGTCTGTGGTGGTCGCCTCACGAGATCTCTCGTCATTCTGAGTCAGCCGCCGCTTCGCCGATCGATTGCTCTGGATCCGCGGTTCAAGTGCCGGCAACCTTAGCGGTGGATGGCGTACGAAACAGCAAGGGAAACCTCGGGAGGTCTCCAGCAATGCAAGGAGCTGTTCCGATGAAGATGCTGTGAAGTTGCTTTCCTATGATTTCCCAAAGAGGTCTTTCGAGGAGGTTTTCAGAGAGCTTCGGAGGAGTTCGAAACTCTTCGAGGACAACTCGTGGGAAAACGAGCAGAAGAAAGAGGAAAAGAGGTGCTAGCCGACTTATTTGACAGGTATCTTCAGGCGCTACTTGAACTAATGCACTGATCTGTCAAGCGGTTAGGCTGTACTTTGACGTGGTTGGCCCTGTCTACTGGGCAAGAGCTGTGCCCAAGGCCGGACCGAATGGCCATCTCCTGGGCCCAGCTTACAATGATCAGGAATTGCACAGTGCATGTAACGAATTGAAAGGCGCTAATGCCCACACTGGGCGCCTCATGCCAGCCCCAACCTGCGCTGCCTCCTGAAATGCCAGTGTTGCAGGGACGACCGCCGCGACTGATTCGACTCGAGAGCCCCAGTGCACTTTTTGTCGCATTGAGCTCCATAGAAGAAGACCAGAACCAAAGGCTCGGCAGGTTTCATTAACATGCATTCACGCGTTTTAAGTGAGAAATCAAATCATTTTTTCAGTCCTTTCACCGGCCTAGTCGGGCGTATACCAGCGCCGACGCATCAATGCGCACCTAATACCGGTCTCTCTTACAAGGAAGTGTTGACCCCCTTTAACCCATATCTCTGCGAATGGACACCCGCCCGAGGGCTTGGCTGTCCATGACCGGATTTGGCTTAACGGTGCCCTGAGAAACGAAGAATACCCAAGGAACTCACATATCCCCTGTCGCGATGCCCTGGGGAGGTCTTTGATTCGATGATCCCTGGCACAGTTCAAAGAAGGTTCCTTCCAGACGTGGCCCAAGGACTGATAGTCTGATGCATTCGATGGTTTCTCCAGGAATCTTCGGCTACGATTCTTTAAAAAGGGTGGATAATTATAGAATACAGGATCAATTCGAGAAGAGCCAACCGCAGGACAGACGGCCGACGATCCTCTGCAGATCGGGACTTTCTTCCTCGCATAGCCATACGCCGCATGGGAGCCTCAACGGCCTATCTGTCTCTCAAATTCCAAGGGACTTTTAGGTGCATTGTTGGAGCGGGCGTGACATTCCACCCAGCCTTCAAACATCCCCGACCCACATTCCAGCTTCACCTGCGCCCTGGCCTTCGGCCAAGTTACAACGGCGTCTCCACGAGAGTGTAGTACTGACTAATGATAGAACAGAAGAAAGAGAAGTGGGAGGAGAGCAGTCCAGCAGATACGGCAGATCCTACCGTACCCCAAAGTCAACCTGGATCGGGCGACTGATGATTAGAACACCACTGTGATGACGCATACACTGGAAAGAGGGGACGATGCCTGGTGACCAAGCCAGTGGAAGAGTGATGGTTCCTCCTGAACGGCTCGGCGGGCCTTCCGATCCAATGCTCAATGCTCCTCTATGCCACCACACGAGGGATGTCGATTTACACACCGAGTGTTGATTTGACATGCCTACTTCCTCGTTCCCCCCACTCCCGCCACAACGACTTATTCAAGTCCCCCGCTGCTTCTGGTTTAGTGAGGGAGGGTTGCATTCCCACGGGTGGCTATCCGAGCGGATACCCACCATGGGGGTGGGCACCGTTTGGAAGCTCCAACAGCCCGTCAGACTGCTGGGCTCTACGATTGGACTGTCATGCTCGGGGGGGACTTCTGCCATTCCTTCGAAGACCGGTGGAGCCGACAAACAGCCAACCGGGTCTTTCATAGCGCATTCCTGACACTTCTTGGCCGGCGTTTTGGAATGTATGCAGAAAGTCTGAGGCTGGAGTTGCCAGCGAACATTCAAATAGTCGCCTCCAGCTGTTTGTTTGCTTTGCTTTCTTTGCATACTCAGCAGTGTTTTTGTTGATTGACAAACAGTCAAACAGTCTTCTTTGCAGACCATATTGCACTCGTTTTGCATCCTTTGCACGTCTCTCGCTCCTCAGCCTACTCGGCAGATCCCCGCAGATCCCCGATCCTCCGCCAGCCCTAATCAGGACGAACCCCCCGCGGTTCATTGATTTTTTGGTCACCAATCACCGTCCGCTCTGCTGCTCACCTGCTGTGGCCGCAAACGGAAACACAAAGCAAGATGTTCGCCCAACCGTTCGATCATTCCTTCAATGACTTATTCAACCAATACGTCAATATGGATACCTCTGCCCCCGATGGCAAAGACCCCACGCTCTCTGGCGACCTTGGCCAGCTCTTCCCGCTGGACTCTCTATCGGACTGTGGCGATCTCTCCCCCACTATCTCCACTTCTAAACGCCATCGTCAATCACCGCAACCCTGGAGTAAAGACTGGTCCCTGCAGGACGACAGCTCTGCTGGCGATCAGTTCGCTTTTCAAGACACTATTCATCCCTCCGCCATCTCAGACCTCGGCCTGAACACCTTCGAAGTCTCTTCCCGTCCTACAGCTCATAGCGGACCCCCCGCGACTTCTCCCTCTACTCCCCCGCTACTCCTCGGCGCAAAGCGAACAAAAGTGCACTCATTACCCCCAAGTCTATTCGCCATCGTGATCCGCATGAGCGTCGTGCGCTGCTGCGCAAGCAAAGTTTCTCCCCCAGCTTGATGCGCTCGTCTATCCAGAAAGGCAGAATGGCGTACCCCGAGGCCTGGGCCCAGAGGATCCAGAACTTTAGCCTCACTGGCTCAGACGATCGCCTCCCATTGTCTCCCCCTCCCTCCGATGTTCTGATTCAGCATGAGAACATGTCCACCGACACATCCACCATGAACCACCACAGAGACTCGGTAGAGATGCCCCCTCAGTATGATGCTCGCCTCTTCCACCAGTCCCCCGCTGTTTCCATGCCATCTCCCTCTGCGGGCGCACTTGCCCGTCATCAACAACAATATATGGGTCACTCTGGCTCCTCGGCATTGACCAACTCGAGCCCTCCCTCCGCGGATGAAATCTTCTCTTCCTCGCACTCTTCAGATCCTCATTCTCTTTCATCATGGCAATCAGACAGCTTAGCCACCTCTCTCTCCTTCACCCCCGATCTCCAGAGCCACGATGCACAATGGTGGTCTCCCATGGCCTCTCGAGTCGCGCAACAGCAGCAGACCAACTACCAGACCATGGTCACATCACCTGCGCCCCAGCGCTCCATGCAAAGCGTCGGGAGCCAAAATGACTTGATGCAAGGAGGGCTGATGATCCAGCTGGATCCCTCCTTCGAAATGTCCGGCGACTCCTCCATGCTCCCCATGAACAACCAAAAATTCATGACTCCCTTCACCGCTCCTCAAGTCCACAGCACCTCCCGCTCCCCATCACTATCTCCCAAGTCCGGCTCCTCACATAAGGATACACGCAATGGTGTCAAGGGGAATAATATCCGCAAGCACAGCCGCAAGCTCTCGGGTCAAAGCATGAATGGCCCGAGGCCTGCAAAGAGCTCCACCAGCCCCCGCGGAGCAAACAAGTCTGTCAGCGTGTCCTTCGTCAACTTCACCGCCCATGACAGCAAGAAGATTCTCACTGGTGTGGCTCCTTCCGGTAGCTCCAAGACGAAGGCTCGTCGGGAGCAAGAGGCGAAAGACCGACGCCGCAAGTTGAGTGAGGCTGCTCTTCGCGCCGTTCGCAATGCCGGCGGTGACGTGGAGGCTTTAGAAGCCGTACTATGTTAAAGCACAAACATTCTTGAGTTTTTCTTTGATTGCCTTGACATCTTTGTTCGTTATAGCCGGTGTTTTGGGATTTTTACATCATTGGGAATATCTGCTCCAACGGTAGTTCTGGTGTTTGGGTTGTCTTTTTCTTGTCTTTCCAGCTTTGGTTTTCGGGTTATACTCCAAAATGTTAGATGTATTCTATATAATGTTTAGACATATTTGTCGATGTCTAATATCAACCAAAAATTTTGAACATCAAACATTATTCCAGACTTTCACATACGTAATCTGTTTGATGATCTGCAGCCTACAGCAAATTTGACCGGATACATCTTTTTGGTAAGCTCGAGACATCTATTTTCATTCTCTCAATATACTTCCAGTTCCTGGTACCTTTTCCCCTTGGCAGATCAATTTTCTAATAGCTCGTATCACCATCTCTAACTATTTCCATTTCTTTTTGTTCATCCTCATTCTCATCTATCCGCTTGACACACACATACCTACATTCTGCGCGGCTGTCTTGAGCCTTATCAAGGTGAGTCGACTGGCAATTTTGACTCTGAAACTTGTATATATCACCCTCTGCCATATGATCACCATCTCATTATTCCCATCTCACTTTCTCTTTCGTTACCACCTGTGCGCACAACCCACTCGTCTCATTCTCAACGGATATTACGCCGTTCGTTTCCCCCATTTCGCGGTCAATACGTCTCCATTTTCCATAGCTTCTCCTGCTCATTTCCTCCATCGTGTGCTGCATGCGCTATCTCCCTCAACCGTTAACTTCACACTTCTCTCCCTTCTCTCCCTCATATCATCCCTAACTCGGTCAACTGGGTTCGCCTCTGCTCCTCACACTTCATCAATCCCTCATCATTGTGTTGTCCTAATCACCATCCATTTCCAATTTTTTGCTCTTGCATCAACAAGACTGCCATCCCCCTCCTGTCTCCTCGGTGACTTGGTTCGTCTTTTCATCACTATCTCGAGCTTCAATTACTGATATGTTAACAGACAAAAAGATTTCGATTCCTTTACATTCTTTCACGCCGATTCCGATCCGTCCTTTCTATTTTCCCGCTCATCCCGATCACCTTTCCTCGGTGCCCTCCCTCCTCCAGGATTTCACACTGGGCCACACAGAACCCAGACTTGTGATAAAATCCCTCTCTCGCCATTCACCCATACTCCATTAACGCTCCTCTGCCATTTACTCTTCTCCTGCCATCTACTTCTCCTCCTACTCGCTATCTTCCAATTTCACACATCCTCCCTCCCACCAGACACAAATCCATTGACACACAATGTCTGGTTCCTACCGAGGCAGTTCCAGAGGTGATCTGCCCTACCGAGGCGGTCGTCCTGGCGTTGGTGACGGCGGTGGTCGCGGTGGTCGCGGTGGCCCCCGCGGTGGTTATCAAGGCGGTAGTCGTCCACCCGGCGGTGGTTCCGGGGGTTCAGGGTAAGTATATCACGCCTTATTTACTTTCACAACATACTTACATCTTAGTACAGCACCATGCTGGAAGGAGTTGCGCAAGTCGCATCACAGGTCCATAAGTTTGAGGACCAGTGTATTCAGTCTAGCCAAGGAGCTCGTGCCTCGAAAGGCCAATTGGCTCTCCGTCCCGGCTATGGTACCAAAGGACGCGCTATTGTTCTTCGCGCCAACTTCTTTGAGATGGAGTTCAAGCCTAGTGTCAAGTTCTACTCCTACAGAGTCAAGATTAGCCCGGAGCCTAACCCTAAGAGGCATCTCAAGGAGATCTTTGCGAATATCCTCGCTACCCCGAACATTGCTGCAATTGGTGCTGCCACCGACGGGTCTACTGAGCTTGTGACCCTGGGGGAGATTGGAAACATATCTCCGCTGACGGTGAAGGTCGACATGAATGGGGAGGGGTTCAAAGAGTACTCGGTCCACCTAGACTCCTACGGTGTCATTGACCATCAAAAGGTCGTCACAGGCCTCCGCGATGCGGCCTTGAAAGAACTCATCGATAGAGAAGCCATTGTTGTGCGAGCACTGAACATTCTCATGGGCGGTCATCCCAGCAAAGACCCCGGTACTGTCACTATCGGTAAAGGTGGCAATAAGTTTTTCTGGGTCGACGATCGTCAACAGTCAGCAGATCTCCAAGGTGGTCTAGAGTGTCTTCGTGGTTTCTTTGCGAGTGTGCGTCTCTCCGCTGGTCGTGTCCTTCTCAACTTGAATGTCACCCACACTGCATTCTACACTCCCGGGCCGTTGAGCCGCTTGACCGAAGCGTTTGAGAAAACCTTTGGAGAAGACCGCGTTCTCTTCAACAGATACGTCCGATTCCTCCGAGTTGAACTCACCCACCTCAATAATGGTACTAAAAAGGGAAAGAGTCCTCGCGTCAAAACTATCTTCGGCCTTGCGTCACCTCGTGATGGACGGAAGGATGCGCATCCTCCTAGAGTACCTCGCCTTGGTTCTTGTGCAGACAATGTCCAATTTTGGATGGAGGAGCGCGACAAGCCCGGAGAAGGAGCATACATAAGCGTCACCGACTATTTCAAGAAGGGTACGTATAGTTCTGCCCCGTCCACTGATGAATAGTTCTGCTAATACAACTGTATAGCACATAAGATAAGTCTGAGGTACGGCAACAAACCAGTGATGAACGTCGGTAACATGGAGAGGCCTTCATACCTCCCTATGGATGTGTGCGTCATCCCGGCTGGTCAGGTCTTTCGCGGTGAATTGGGTACCGTTCAGCGTCAGAACATCATCGCGTTCAGTTGCCGAAGACCTCCACAGAACTATGACTCGATTCTCGAGGACGGCCGTGAAATTATTGGTGCTAAAGGTGGTCAAATAAAGAACCTTGGGCTTAACCTCCGCCCTGAGATGGTTGCTGTGCCTGCGCGAATTCTCCAAGCTCCCAATTTGAAGTATGGAGCTTCGACTTTACAACCAAAAAACGGTTCCTGGAACCTGCGAGACCACAAATTTTGCGCCGGCTCTTCTATCGGGCGGTGGGCTGGTGTTGTGCTAACGCGAGGCTATCCTCCTCGGAACGATCCTACGAAGGCATTTCAGCAGTTCCATAACAATATGAAGGGGCTGGGTCTTAAAATATCTCCTCCTCTCCTTCCACTTTTGTTCATTGATCTGCACAAAGACGACGCTTCCAAACAGATTGGCCAGATTAATGACATGTTCACGAAGCTTCGCAACAACAAGGTCGACTTGGCAGTCATCCTGTTGCCCCCTGGCGCGGACCGTATATTCGATCATATCAAATGGGTCGGAGACACCAAGGTTGGCATGTTGACTCACTGCTGCCTCCTGGACAAGTTCACGAAGGAAACTGGAAATATGGATCAGTACTATGCCAATAACTCCATGAAGGTCAATTTGAGGATGGGGGGTATCAATCAGATGGTTGAGATGCCTGTATCCGCTCCATTAATTGCTGCCGGAAAGACCATGGTTGTTGGCCTCGACGTGACTCACCCTTCTCCTACTGATCCGGATACTTCCCCCAGCATTGCATCTATCGTTGCGAGTGTGGATAGTCGACTGGGTCAGTGGCCAGGCCAGGTCCAAATCCAGCAGCGCAAACAGGAATCTGTTCAGTACCTGAAGATGATGCTGCTGGCTCGGCTTCACCGTTGGGAGAAAGAGAATAAAGTACTACCCCAGAATATCCTGATCTACCGTGATGGCGTCAGTGAAGGCCAGTACAACATGGTCTTGACCGAGGAACTGAGGCTGGTCAAGGATGCTATCCAGGCGATCTACAAGGGGCCCATGCCAAACGTGACTATCTTGGTCGGTGGGAAACGTCATAATGCTCGCTTCTACCCAACAAGTGCGAAAGAACAGGATCGGACCTCAAACTGCAACCCTGGAACTGTGATCGATCGCGGCGTCACCCGCCCTATCTACTGGGACTTCTATTTGCAGGCACAGTCCGCGATCCAGGGCACAGCGCGCCCGGCTCATTACGTTGTGATTCACGATGAGATTTTCACCAATCCATCGTTACGCAAGGAAATCGGATCCAACCCCGTGGATGCTGTTCAAGAGCTGACCCACAACATTTGCTACATGATGGGCCGCTGCACTCGCTCCATTAGCTACAGCACTCCCGCTTTCCTGGCTGACCGGTTCGCTGACCGCGCTCGCAAATACGTTCGTGCTTACTTCTATGAACATCTTACTGTCATGAAGAACATGGACCCTCCGGCGCCCAATGACGATTGCACCACCTTGGCGGACGCTGTTTCAGAGAGCATGGTGTACATTTGAAGAATGCGTCCCATTGAAGTTCAACCTTGAGCTTACCCTTGAATTTACTTTTCTAAATTTCGGAATATCTGGCATTTTCGAGCTTTGCCATCTGTTTGTGCCTTGCTCAATTGTCTTGTTCTATTCATGCTTCCGTCTTGCGGAAGTTGATGCGTTTCAAATTGCATCATTGATATCAGAATGTCGACGTTCAAGGATCCATTGACTGATTTACCACAGACAAAACAATAAAAAGGGGAGTGATACATTTCGAAGAGGACATTGCAAAACTCGAAGATCATATGGAAAAAGCGGAAAATGGCTGAAAAAAAGAGCGTATCATTCCAACAGACACTTACTTGCATGTTAGTTTGTCTGCTGCTTTCGTGAGCTTGACCTTTCGAGTGCTTTTCTACTACAAAAATACACAAAAAAAGGCCTTAGTGCCACCCCAAAAATCACGTCATGCCACTTCGTAATCATTGAATATGCAACTAAAATAGTAGAATGGAGCTATAGATACGGGTCCGTCAAGAAGCCCGAGTAATTATTGGGTCTTATTTATCGACTTGGAAAAATAGAGGACATAGCCAGTGTATGAGACATGAAAGAAAATAAGATAATGTACAGGGGTCAGGACATAGGTTGCCTGTATTACAACCCGACAAAGGCGATTTGCGAGTTGATAAGTGGTCGTAACGGTGGCATGTGAAGGCACATACAACCCCCAACAATTTAAATGACTATACACGGTTCGCAGCAAGCCTTCGAATGAAAGACCCTCAACTTGTCGTTTCCAAAGACCGGATATCAGAGTAGCAAGATGATCAGTGACTTGATATCTCTCTGACAAACCTCAAATAGATTCACTGAGACTCTTTGGAAGTATCCTCATAAAGCCACTTATCTCCTCAGCCAATATTAAACTTGTATGCCCATTGGTTCATTTTTTAACCTCTGGCACCAACTTTCACCTCTTCGATGAAGGAGTCCAGGAGTCGGGCTGCCAGCTGTCTCCCGGGTTACCGGTGTTGGCCTTAGCCCATGGATCTTCTTCTTTCGTGGTCTTCGACTCCGCGGAGGCGGGCTGGGGTTGTGGGGTCGGGCGAGCGAATGGCGAGGCGTTTTGGGGAGGTTCGGTGGTCGTGTTTATAGAAGAATCGCTGGTTTCTTTAGGCGGGGGTGGCTGTTCTGTCTTGGGTTTATCCAGGAAGGATGGTTTGCTGGCCCAGCGTTCATCGGCGAGTCGAGCGAGCTGCTTGATCTGCGCCTGGCGGATCAAATCTTGCTGCTGCTCTTCAATGCTCGGCGGGTGTTCGCGGACATATCGGAGCCATTGATGCCATTGCGCTGTCCATCCAGCAAGAGTCAGCCATATATCCTCAGGCGATCGCAGGGAGACCTGTGCGCGATCATTGCCAGCCAAGCACGGATATCCCCGCATGAGACAAAACTAACGTGTGACCTGGACATCTCCATAGTGTGTTTTAGGGTCGAATTTCACGATGCGTCTGAATCGGTTGGCATTTGCCACGTCTTTGAACTCCCAGAAGGTGTTTCCGGCGAGATCCTGGCCTGAGAGAGTAATGGTCAGCAAGTTCGCGACGTTTGGGAAAGGCGCACAAAGCACCACGGACAGACAACGAACCGACAAGAATAGACCGCCGCCAGGGTAGCCGGAGGCTCTTCCATTTGAACCAGAGACTGTTCACCATGGTGTTGTTGAGACGCAAAGGGAGGCAAGGAGGAGGCGCGGAGAAAAAGTGGCCCGCGGCAAAAGAACCACACCGTCAGGAACGTCATCGGCGGATCCGAAATAAACAGCCCCAGGCATTCCATTCCACTTCCTTTCCCCCCCCAAACTCTCTTGTCTCTCCCTTATAAGTATCCTCCGGAGTGTTTTCTGATTTTGAGTTCTGACCTCCTGTGCGGCTCTTTGAACTGCCTCGCAGTGCATCACTCTCACCTGCTACCCAACCTAACTTCCCACCGTTGGGGCTGATTAGGCACACCCGCGCAAAGGGATACACAGGCAGACAGCGACAACGCCTGTTCAGTCATTCGACACAACGCTATCCGACCACAGACCGATGATTCAAAATTGACCATGGCTTCCGTCACTTCACTGGACAAAGACCTGCGCAACATGCGGCTGTCCCGCTATACCCCGCAGGCAGCCGCGGAAGTGCGCGACTGGATCGAGGAGGTTCTACGGGAGAAACTCCCGTCCGGCGATCTGCTAGATGGGTTGAGAGACGGTGTGGCTCTGTGCAAGTGAGTTGTAATTGCAATTTTTCCATGCTCTAGTTGCCTGGAATTGGAGCCCTGACTGGTTTTGTACAAGGCTGGTCAATTTGGCCGTGCCACCAGGCGTGAAATATAAGCAGTCGACGATGCCATTCGTACAGATGGAGAACATCTCGCATTTCCTTCGCGCATGCCAACTGGCACCTCTGAATCTTCCTCCTCACGACGTTTTCCTTACGGTGGATCTGTACGAATCCAAGGACCCAGCGCAAGTCCTCCAGTGTATAGCAGCATTCAGCCGACGAGCAAATGCTCTCGAGCCCGGCAAGTTCCCTCGTCCAGTTGGTCCACAGAGCAAGCGCGCAGTGGTGAGTCCGAATGCAACCGGTTCGTCGGGCACTGGCTCCTTTACTAGAAATGGTCGGGCTTCGAGCAACGCCAGCGATGCCAACCCCCGTTCCGGGAGCCCCACAAAGCCATCAGGGTCATATAGCTCATGGAGCAAAAGAGGAGATGAGGGAGCGACCTCGCCGGCTTGGAACATCCACCAATATGGCTACATGGGTGGAGCTAGTCAGGGCAATCAAGGCATTGCATTCGGTGCTCGGCGACAGATCACCACTCCAGGCCCAGCTGTGCCTAGTATGGCAGAGAAAGTGAAACGTAGACGTGAGGAGGAAGACAGGATTCGCCAGGAGAACGCGGATAGAGAGGAAGCCGCACGGATCCGTCAGCAAGAGCAAGAGGAAGCAGAGGCCCGGGCCAAGGCCGAGGAGGAACGTCGGTGGGAAGAGGAGACCGCTCGCTTGAGGGAAAAGGAACGCCAGGAGATGGAAGCTGAAAAGAAGCAATGGGAAGCGGAGAAGCGCCAGTGGGAGGAGGAGGAGCAGCGCCGCGTTGCAGAAGAGACACAAGTCGAAGAACGTTTGGAGCAAGAGCGACAGCGTCGACGGGGCGCCAACGATGCCCGTCTCAATGGCCAATTCCTCAGTCAGTACCAGGCCGACCAGTCTCCTCGCAACGTCAGTGCCAGCAGCGGGGCTGGCTTACCCCAGGAGACCCAAGAAAGCCGCCGCATCAAGGAGCTTGAGCGCGAGTTGGAATTGGCCAAAGAGCGAGAGCACCAGTATCAGAGCGAGCGGCAGAGTGTTCAGACTCCGAGTGGCGATGAGACTCAGTCTCGCAGCCGCAGCCGTCAACGTCCTATACCCGTGCCTCCCAAGCCCAGCTACGATCTCACCTCTCTTGAACAGGAACGCCGGATGCTTCGCGGAGAGTGGCAGAAACACCAGGACATGCCAGCAGCCTCCGAGGAAGCCGAGGCAGCGGAAGAGCAGGCGCGCCCTCCACCTCCTCGTCCGCTACCAGAGCCTGTCCCCTCTTCGAAGCCCGTAGTCCCACCTCGCGACCTTCCTCCAGCTCCACGTCCCTTGCCGGACCCGGTGGCTTACTCTGCAAACCATGGCCGTGAGAGCCGCGTCGACCGCTTCCTCTCATCCAACACACCACCGCAGGCCCCTGCCCCATCTACACACCGACCGCAAGACTACAGCACCACCTCCGAAGTCGACGCCGAAAATAGCCGCCGTATTGCCTCTCAGCAGAAGACTCGCGCTGGTGGATGGGCATCCAAATCACTCCTGGAGCGGGAGATGGAGCGGGAACGGGAACGCCAGCGCGAGTGGGAAGAGAACCAGAAACAAACCGAAAGTGCCGCGCGTGATGCCTCCATGGGCTCGGGGCCAGGCCAGAGCTGGGATGTTCACCAATATGGCTACATGGGTGGCGACAACCAGAACCGCGGCGGAACAGGCCTGGGCGTTGGAGGCGCCAGGCGCCAGATCATTGGCCCTCGTCCTCCGCCCTAAACAGTCATTTTCTTCCTCCCTATTCAACCTAGGAGTTTCTTGTTCTATCCCTGCTGTTTATTATTCCATTTTTTTTCTATTATTCAGGCTGCAGGACCTTGTTTGATTTTGCGTCGGCGACTTGGTGGATTGGTGGATTCTTTCCTTCCGGCAAGGTTTCTCTCTGGAAGCCGCACCATTCTATGCTTATGTCTCTCTTGTTTCTGTTGGTCACCACGGATGCAATTTCTTATGTAGATAGCGCAAGGTATACATGAACCCCGGTCATTGCGGAACTGTGCCTTGTACTCCGTATACTCCTCCCCATTACCTACGGCAGTACTCTCAATGGCCTCTGGGGCTAGAGATTGCCAGGAAATGTATGAAGACGATCGAAACACAGAAATCAACCACCGCAAACACACTCTCCCCCATAGATCAAGTATCCCGAGTGAATAGAGCCAAGATTTTTGCCTTTCCATGAATTGCAGCGCTATCTAATCCCGTCTGGCCGCTGCTGTTTTTCGAGAAAGCTGTTAAACTTTGGTGGCTAACAAAGGTGCAGCCACTCCTCAATTGGATGCTTATTTTCAGCCTCACGCCATGAATTCTGCCGCCTGACCGACCATGGAGGGGGCCTGTGCTCAGCCTCGCGAAGGAAACATTAAGAACTCATATCCCGTCAGTTTACCTTCAGGCAGTTTTTGATATCTTTGAGGATTTTTGAGTTTTTGACCTTGGACAAAATGGGCGAGATCCAATAGATCTGCGACATTGCCATGCTACCACTTAGAACCGCACCGATCCCGGGCCCCTGAGCAATGCCCGACACCAGACGGCAGGATGCTATGAGCAAGCTCTCATCAGGCTACGACCATGATGATAATCACCACGGTTCAATGTCCGATAGAACAGGCAGCTGGTTTTTCGAGGATGCACGTGTGAAGCGCTGGCGCGACACCAACCAATCTAGCATTCTATGGTTAACAAGCAGCCCTGGGCAAGGAAAGTCCGTGCTCGCAAAGGCACTCGCAACGCAGGCCGGAGATTGGTGGGGAAAAGGACACTTGGCCCCTGAAACACATACGACTGTTACTTACTACTTCTTCCGTGACGGACATGCGCGGCGGATGACGGCTGCCAGTGCGGTCTGCGCTCAGCTACATCATCTCTTTGGGAAGTCGCCGTATCCTGCCTTTATCGAGCAAACCTGGGCCCAACTACCCACAGGACGGGAGGCTGGAAACTTGTTGAAAGAGCCATTGTCGGACTTTGACAAAGTATGGCCTCATTTTGTACGGTGTGCCCGCGATGCGCGTGCTGGGCACTTTGTATGTGTTCTGGATGCCGTGGATGAATGTGAGTCCAGTGAGAGGACGCAACTTCTGCGAGCTATCGCCCAGTTCTACTCGGAAGATACAGGTCTAGTGCCAGGCCCGGCGTCGATCGTGAAGCTTTTGGTGACCAGCTGCTCGTTAGAGGGTGGCTTAAAGCGGGACTTTGAGGAGCTTCGAGATGCAGCTGGTGCCGGAGTGACCACTTTGATTGGCATTGATGAGCTGAATCATCGAATCCAGTTGGATATGGAGCCTACTATCAACGGTGTTCTCGACCATCTTCAGGGCGAGCAGCAGCAGCGGGCCAGACATATCCTACGGGGAAATGAAACGAAGAGTTGGCTGTGGCTGCGAGTGGCCACTAGCCTGATTCTTAATACGCTCAAAGCAGAGACAGATGGGTCTTCACCCTTTGCGAGCGTGGACACTCTGCTAGGAGACTTTCCAACGGACGTGGACGGTGTCTATCAAAAAGCATTGGACATGACGACTGCCAAATGGGGTGCTCCACTGGTCGACCGAATGCTTCATGTTCTCCTGGCCGTACAGCGACCGCTATCAAGCCGAGAGCTACTTTCGGCGATTGAGTTTTCAGATGCCGATCCTGTCGCTGCTATATCCACTCCGCATCGGCGCTTTTATGGGGAGTTGGCTAGACGGCACCCTGAGCAGAATGACCTTCTCATGGGTATTCTGGATGGCGTTTTGTTAAGGAATCAACAAACGGTCACTATTATTCACAAATCAGCGAGGGATTTCCTGCTGAGGAGGAATGAGACTCCATCACCAGCGCTGCCCAACGCATCATCCTCTTGGAGAGGTCGTGTTGACATGGCGTTGGGACATGAAATGCTTACGCGAGCATGTCTCTTCTTCCTACTAACCCTCAAGATGAAATCATATGTGCATTACAATGAGCACAAATACAAAAAGCCAAAAGTACAGAGGAATATGCGACGTGAGGAGCGCAGGGCCCCGTTTCTACGATATGCTGCGCAATACTGGCCCATTCACTACAATTCACAACCCAAGTCCGCCGCAGAAGCAGCCCTGGATCCAGTTCGGGTGTTGTGCACTGGCGATGGCCCGGAACGAAACAACTGGATGTATCTATACAGCGGGTATGGAGGATGGTGGTGGTCTGATATCGACGTTGCGGCCCATCTCGGCATCGTCCCTCTGGTCAGAGAGATACTGGACAAGCTGCGAGGAGCCGATGGCGCGGAAGACCCTGCCAGGGACCCCGACAGCTGGCATAACTGGCCACGGAGAGGCCTCTGCCCGTTGTACAAAGCTGTGGGGCGCGGGGACATCAGAGCCACGCGAATTCTATTCGATCATGGCTTCATTCTGAGGCCAGGCTGTGAATGTGATCGGTCGTTGACGACCGCGGCTGGGAACGGAAATACGCAGCTGGTCAGATTACTCTTGAATCGAGGAGCAAGCATCAGCTGGGAGAGCGAGTTTGGTGGCACGGCCCTGGCAGACGCATGCCATCATGGCCACGCAGACGTGGTGAAGCTCCTCCTAGATCGGGGGGCCAATGTCAACACGGGATTTAGCAATATTGGCCTTGCCTCGCGGAACCCGCTAGAAGCAGCGGCCTACGGGGGATATCTGTGGATCGTGCGGGTGCTGCTGGACCGCGGCATCGACGCCCAGTCCTCGGGAATCAAGGCACTCTGGGAAGCAGCGGGTGAAGGCCACAAGGAGGTTGTCCGTCTTCTGTTAGCGAAGGGCGTGGCTCCCAACGTCTCATGTAACTCTCTGTCGGGCAGTGCGCTGTGCCGGGCTGTGCGCTACGGACATCGGGAGATTGTACAAGCGCTACTCGACCACGGGGCACAAGTCTTGGAGAATGAGATGAAGGAGGCGTTCTCAAAAGGAAACGATGATATTGTGGAGTTGCTGATGGATCCGTACATTTCTTTGCTGCTCTCCTGAGGCGTGTTGGAGTGATTGGATATCATCCCGAGAAGGTGGAGAGACGGCCGTCTATATTCAATACAGATTTCGAAAGACCTCGGGATGGGTTCTGCGCCCACATGAATCCAGATGGATCTCTACTCACCCAATAACTCCGCCTTGATATGCACGGTCCAACGACCTTTTCTAAGGGAACTAAGTCCTTGCTCGGAGGGGTTGGGACATGATGTAGAAATAGTAATTCTAGTAATTCTAGTAATACCCGAATATGGATCGTGACGGTCATTGCTATCGTAATTATCGTGACTCCAGCGAGTCCCATCCCTCACACCTTCTAACCGTCCTGGACCTCGAGAAGATCAACCAGGAACATCAATCTCTGCCCGCTTTCCTCTAGCCAGCACCATTCAAGCGACTTCTTCTTCCGGCTAGCTTGGCTGCGGTATGACTCCTTATCCTCCCGACGGCGAATCCCAGCTTTGACGGCGGATTTCAGGGAGGGCGTGAGTTTGAGCATATTCTGGCCCGCCAACAGAGTGACTAGTGATTCAAGAAGAATAGAGAATTTGGCATCGTCGACCACACTGGCCGTAGCGGCTGCGTATGGGAGAAAGCATTGTTCCAGCTTGGCATCGGTGAGGTAATTATCGTGCGATGTCCGTGCAGAGCTTTCAATCATGTTGAACAGCAGAAACTCGCAGAGAGTGGATTGCGATTCATCGTCAAGTTCCGGAGCCACAAATGGATTGACAAAGACTTGGAAGATCGGCAGGGGCATGTGGCGGATCTGCTCCACGAAGAAGTGGTAGAGTTCACCCAGCTTGATAAAGTCCTTGGGCAGATAATCGGAGACTCTCGATAAAATGCCGAGGAACTTCTTACGCAGTCCAAGAGAGTCAAGGCCGCCCATGTGAGAGACACCACCACTATTGTGAGCGAGGGCGGTTCGACATGCATCGAAAGCTTCGGGAGCGGGCTCTGCGCCACTTGGATCGGACGCGTTCCTGGTGCCTCGCCGAGTGCGCTTCGAGCGCCTCCCCTTCGACACATCACCCAGGGGCGTGGGGGCGCGGGACTGTGGCTTGCTCTGACCAGAGACAGAGGCATCCTCATCGCTATCATCGGTCAAGTAGTCACCGTATTCTTCCTTGTCGATATTGACTTCGCGCTCTCTCTTCTTCGCCTTTGCTCCGTGTTTATGCGCCGAGAGAGATGCAAGCTCCTTATCAAACACTTCTCGAAACTCATTCACCGAGGCGGTACTGCCGTCCGCAAAGATGGCCCTTACGATCCGGCGAGTATTTCTGTGCCCCACGCCGGCGGAGATATACTGAAAGATCAAACTCTCCCGAAAGACGCCTAGGTCATCTTCCAGGGGTTGTCTTCCTCGGCCCCTTCTTTTGCCGTTTCCCTCTGGTATACCATCTTGGGGATTGTCTTTTTTCTGTGCTTGCGTCGCCTCGTACGTCTGCTCTCGCTGTGTCCAGTCGTCTATAAGTATGTCACACATGAAATGCAGCCAGATCTGCCAGCGGTCCCATCGTTCCGGATGCAGTACGGAGCAATTGAACGCCCAGCCTACAGCATGCCAGAAGTCCTCCGCACGAGACCACAACGAGTCTCCCTTGCCCAGCTCGAGGTTCAGCAGCCGGGTCTCGTCGTGACGTAATTCACTGGTCGGATCATGCTCCTCGTGGCATCGCCTTCCTGATCGCGAGAGTTTAGACTGCGTAAAACTGAAGGCAAGGTTGAGCTTTGCCTCCATGGGGTTGACTTGGGCGCTATAGAGTCGCAGGAGTCGCAGGGCAACATCTGGCGCATCTTTTTCTTCGGTGGACTTGGCGCGCGTCGTCGTCGACGGATGGACCAAAAAAGTCGCTGCAAGGGCAAGATGCTGCGGCAAGGGCACTAGGACATTGTTGGAGGCATAGGTTCCTGACGCAAGGGTGCTAAATAAAAGCTCTAACGCGCGTGTATCTGATAATTGCGTGTTAGCCGCATGGAGTTCTCCGCAGGATGGGGGACGAGGAAAGCGGACGGACAGAGTTTTTCCTCAAAGAAAATGCCAGTATGCTGAAGCAACTCGAAAGGCAACGGCTTGGGCGTCCGATGCGAGAAGTCGCCCGGGGGAGCCATGGCCTCGGCGTGTTGCAACGACATCGCCGCCGCTGGCCGCGTCTTCTGGACCTGGTGCTTATCGATAAAGGATTACGTAAGTTGGGCAATCACGCAGGCAGTAGTTCGATGTGATGTGTATGGTAGGATGATTGAGAGGACATGTAAGAAAGGAAAGGTGGGAAGAAGTTGGTTGAAGTTGAAGCTCTTATTTCCAACTGTTGCTGGCTGGTAGCAATCAGCTTGTCTTTGAGTGATATTTGTGCTTGAAGTTGTTCGCGTGCCTCTTGCCGTGATTTAGTTTAGGACGATCAACGCCCTTGCCCTTGAATCTATGTTTTTTTTCAACTTTAAGAAGCTCTTATTCTTGAGAATGGGTCATCATTGATGGCCTTCTATAATGGCTGTTGGAGTACTACCCAGGCAGTGCAATCCAATGCATGCTCTGATACTACTGGTCCTGATGTATATTGTTACGAGGTCATAGCATGTTGCAATTTCAGATCCACCAAACAGCCACAGAGAGATGTTCCTACTAGGGATGTACCTCACTGTCATGCTTTCCCCCACCCCCACCAAAAAAGCAGAAGGAGCAGAAGAATAGAAAACTTTTGCGTAGATGGCTCCCTCCCCACGATAGAGATTCATCCCTTGTGGTACTTGCTACTAGGTACACACTAGAATGATGCAATGAAACCCCGCACAGCCAAGCCAAAAACGAATGACTAAAGTCAATGACTTGCATTAGGTTGGTACTCAAGTAGCTGCAAGCCCCCAGTTATGCAGAGGCTCGGAGCTCCCGGCAATTCTACAGCTTCCGGATTACCATGCTACATATCGGCAGAAAGAAAAGGATCAGAAGTGTGCGGTATAGGATATGCAGGGCTCTAAAGCTGAGAGAAACCTAGACAACCCAAAGGACAGGTGGTGAACGAAAGACCGGTTCTGTCTCTCCCGGCCCATTTCTTTGCGGTGTTCTTCATATTTGCCAAAAGGGAACAAGGAAGGGAAAATCTGCGACAGCCAACAAACGGATTTCAAACTCCGTGAATCAACGCAATGCAAGAACTTCTGTATGAGGAGTCGGACGGTTCGATGGGTTCGAATATTTCAAGGAGGGAAGGTAAGGAACACAAGGAGCGAGCTCGCAGGCCAGAAGACGCCGATGTAGCCAAAAAAGGAGGAAAAAGGAAACACTATGACTCGTCTGGTATATCGGAGAAGAGGCCTATTCGCAGCCGATGTGACTGGAGACACGATTTGTTAGTAATTGAGTCATTCCGGGGAGGTCCGAGGAAATGGAAAACGTACGAAAGGCAATTTAGGGATGACGACTCCCAATGTGGCCAGAAAGTTGATGGTAAAGTATGTCAGGTCGTAGTGGGTATAGTGTGTGCTGAGGAGGAAGAGCACGATGGGCACGCAGAGCAGGAACTTCTTGGTCGGTGTGTACTGGTCGCCATTGTCGATTTGTTCCCACATGTTGAGGTTATCGTAGGCACCGGCGTTGAACTCGAACGGGATGCCCCGCACCCAATGGAACATGAGGAACGAGCCGAACATATAGCTGATGTTGGTGAGGGTCCATGAGGTCTCCTGGGAGACACCTGGGATGATATCGTAGAAGATCTTCAGCGCGGCAATGAGGACGAAATGGATGGTCCAGGCACCTGTTTACGACAACATTCCTAGTTAGCCCAGCTCGGTATCATGGGTGTTCCTCCTCCCGTTCGGGGTGTTGTCCACCGTGTCCGAAGCGGTTCGGTCGGGACTTTGGGGAAAAAACAGCGCAAGCTTGACTCACCCTTGGCATGGACCCAGTTTGCATTGAGATTGGGCAGCGCAGCCTGGTCACTGATATGTTCCATGGATTCAGCGGGCTCCTGGTAGATGATGCTGCTGGACCGCCGCCGACGGCCCTGCTTCTGCGTGTTGGGGGATAACCGCTGTGGTCCGTCCATCTCGGGAGAAAAGGAGATGGTACGAGGAACCAGCAGGGAGGACTTGGAAGTATTGGACGCCAGCGTGACAGAGAGCGAGAGCACTTGTGAGGAGAGGAGGGGGAAAAGAGCGTGGGGATGATGAAGGTGGCACAACGGCCCAGAACTGGAGTCGGGCGGACTTTCGGGGGGTCACGGGGCAGTCTCGATTTTCCCTTGCGCGCCGTGTTTCTGCTAATTCCCAAAGCGTTGAGTGTCGAGCGTTTCCAGAAGGTGGACGGGATTATAGCAGTCTGGTGTGCGAACTTGACAAAGACAAAGAGGACGAGGAATTGAGGTTTGGGAATTGGGCCAGACACGTGCAGCGCTCACAAGCTCGGAGCAGCACAGACGCGACTAGTACGCTTCCAACTAGCACCGACGAACTACGCGGAACAAGGTCTCTGTGCTGCCGGTGGCGAGACAAAGGGGCCCAGTGGCTTGACAACATCACTCTAGATGGAGAGGTGGCTTTCTCTAGTTTCTTTGCCTTATTCCGTCTACGAAAATAGAATGTGGGACTGAGTCCTTACTGATACTTCTGTTTTGCGACTCATATCCACCGTGGAGAGGCTCTGCCTAGACCAGCTAGCTACTCGACTACATTGTGCGACAAGCCAAACTGCATAGGATACCCGGAATAACCTCTTGAGACATCTTGCTGTCTCATTCTCTCGCTGTCTCATACTTTCTATACAGGAAGAGATCGTCCCAACTTCCACCCCCAAACACACACTGGCCATCTTGCACAACTGGCACGTGCCCGCAGCCGTAAAATTTGGCTGGCCATGCCGTTTAATCCCCGACCCTCCACTCCTCCCTGCGCTCTCCAACCCCAACTCGAGCAACTGACTGGTCATGTCTGACCCTGGAGATGACGCTGACTCGCGAACGGCCTCGTTCGGCGTCCAGCGCGCTCGCAGAACCACTCCCTCCCGAACCAGGCCCGACAGCGACTCCCATCCCACGAAAAAGCGGCGACGGAACAGATCCCGCAAAGACAGCGATGTGAGCGACTTCGTCCCTAAGGGGGCTGCCTTCAGCGCCAACTTGTTGGCAGTCGATCCCGATGATACATCTAGCTCTGGATCAGACTCAGACTCAGACAATGACTCGGACAAATCTGATGTGCAAGGCAAGCCCGCGCCCGCGCCCGCCAACCCCCATGCGGGCAGCACGGCGCCGGCGATTAGCTGGAACCAGGGGACAAAGGCTGCGGTGCGAACGTCGCTGGGGAAGCGCAAAGCCGAGCCTCAGGCCCAGCCACAGCCACAGCCACAGCCGCAGACAAACGGACACACCGCGAATGGAACCTCCGCAAAGCAGTTCAAAGCCGTAAACGGCGCATACTGGCGCAGTCGCAGTGCTTCTGTATCGTCCGAGGCGAGCAAGGCAGACTCGGTGAAAGATTCCGAGGTCAATACCAACTCTGAAGAAGGCGAGGTGAACTCGGGAAGTGATTCGGATGATTCTGAGCTGGACTCCGAAGCCGACGATTCCCTCATGCTCAACATTGGCACCAAGGGAGATGGCACAGATGATTATGATCCAGAGTCTCTACTCTTAGAAAACAGCCTGTCCAACGGTCACGCCAATGGAAAACCTAATGGGAGCACTGCAGCGCCTCTTCCGGGCTCTGAACCAGTGCAGACCGAGTCTAAAGAAGAGGCGTTCAAGCGCTTTTCTGAGAAATATCCCACTGCACCTGTTTCTCTGCTAGACTTGAAGCAAGATGACATGGATGTTCAGGCTAAGTTGGTGTACTGGGATCGAGACGTCAATGCCATCGATCTCCAGCTCCCGGTGGGCTGCACCGAGTGTCTTCGCCAGGGCCATATGGCTGAAGTGTGCCCAACCAAGGAGGTACGTATTGTTCTAATCTGACGCTGTCTCCACTTGATATTAACGCCTATAAAGTGCATCCATTGCGGAGCATGGGATACGCACCAAAGCACACAATGTCCCTCATGGCGAAGATGCCAACGCTGCCGCGAACGAGGCCACGTCGAAGACAACTGCCCATCGCCCCTGAAAAGCTCGGCCGCTGAAGTCCCCTGTGATCTGTGTGGTGCCTCAACACACATGGAGTCTGATTGCGACCTGCAATACAACCTCCCAATGCGGGAACCCCTCTCCCAAAACATTGTAGTCTCCATCTCCTGTGCCCACTGCACAAGCGGGAAACACCTCATTGGCGACTGCCCACATCTTCCCCCCGACCTCCAACAAAAAACTGCGTCCTTCACCCTCAAAGACATCGATCCAGCCAATATCACAAACCTCAACGACCCCGTCCGATCCCGAAAGGGCCCCCCTCCGCCGACGAGTTACCAGCGCGGCAAGGGACGTCCTCGTGGGCCTCGGACGCCGCCATCCAATAGTGAGGACGACATGATGCCCCGCAAAGGTGGCCGGAAGCCGCCCCCTCCGGCACGAGGCAGAGGTCGCGGGACTATCAAGTTTGGCAGCAGCGTGGTGGCTGATAAGCCACGAGGCCGGCCACCGTCTGGCCCCCGCCCGAAAGGCCCACCACCGCGAGGCGGCGGAGGTGGAGGTGGAGGTCGGGGTCGTGGCCGTGGCCGCGGTGGGAAGCCCCGTGGAGGGCGGCCATGAAATAGTATTCACGAAATTTAATACCAGTGTACATTTGAACGGTCTGATTGGGACTTGGAACTGCGATTTTATACATTAGCTCACGTCTATGAGACCCTTCCTCGGAGCAAACTGTAGGGATTCCCATCTATAACACCCCAATGTCTGCCCGGATATGATATCATTTCAATGCGTAGCTACGGATATCTATCAAGCTTACGATCTCTACTCGTGCACATCATTTTGCTCCCGGCCGACGAATCCTTGCTCCAGGATATCGACCAGCTCATCCAGACGAGTGATGCACAAATCTGTATGGGCATGTTCGCGGAGATGACCGTTCCGCTCATTCAGCAGCAACACCGTTGCCGCGCCGGCAGTATGACCAGAGGTCATATCATCAATGCTATCACCGACCTGTTGGTAAAGGGCGATCAGAATTGTTCGGGGGCAATGAGAATATATTACAACATCCATGAAAGGCTTACCATAATCAAGTTCTCCGCCCGATTCGTCAACCCCCATTCCCGCGCAATATGCAGAATGCCTGCCGAATCCGGTTTGGGAAGCAGGTTGGGGGTATCGCGGGTGATGATGGGAAGGAAAATGTGACTGGGAAGATGGTTCTGGATGAGATAGTGGACCGGGGCCCTGCGGGTCTATTAATCAACAGAAAACTTGGAAACTACGTATAGGCGAGAAGGCACATACTCAAAGTTGCGCGTGCAGAGTGCTCGCCGCAGCCCGCGGGATTGGAGATATTCCATTAGTTTGCTGAGGCCCGGCTGCGGCTGCTGCTCGAGCATGGCGCGCCGTTCGACGGCTTGGACCTTGGTGACCGCTGCGGCGCGGTCCTCGGGCGTGGGAAGGTCGCGGATGTGGTGGAGAATGTCGACCGATTTGTCGATTCCCAGTGCAGCTCTGGATGGATGGTTAGAGGAGGGCGATATGGCGTTTGGGGATGTAGTATATAGGTTGCCCGGTGCTCTTCTAGCTTGGTAGACCGGCCAACAAGACCACGGGCTGATCGATTCAGATATTGAACTTACCTCATTTCGGCGAACATATGGTGCTGTGGCAGGCTACAAGAGAGTTAGCTGGCTTCTGTATCGGCAGTTCGAAGTCACAATCGGGTTCCCCGAACCAGTCCAGGCAAGACGGGGTTTCTAATACCACGCATCGCAGAGATCGCGATTGTTTTGGACACAGCCATTACAAGAGCGAAACGAGGAACAAAACAGCCCACCTTTAACTACTCATATAACCACTGAGACACAAAGGAGGAGAAAATCCTTACCACAAAGTCCCATCCACATCAAACACTATGCCCTTCAGCACCGGCGCATCCGACGCCTTCCCGGCATCGAGCGGGGCGAATCGCCGCGGGCGAAGATGGGTGCACTCCGCTGCGACGGTAGACATGATGACGGATTTGGCGGAGCGGAGGGATGCGAGGCGAGTGGTCATGGATTCTGGCGGGAAAGGTGAGGTGAGGTTGCGGCGGAGTTCTGGCCGGAAGCTGTCTGACATTCCCGCGGATCGACGCTCCACTTGAATCTATGGGATGGAATCTACAGGATCTATCTTCGCAGAGATCTGGCGTACGGGGCCACGCAATATATGATGGTGAATAATTTGACGATCGTCCCATAGTTCTATTGATCCTAATTTTGATTTTGTATAGATCGTTCAGGGCAAATCGGACGCAGTGTCGACGAGTCTGGCATCGCGCCTTCCTCCGCAACTGCTCCTGACCGACTTCATTGTCAACATGGACAAGATCCAATTCCTAGCAGTTGCAGATAACATCTTCCCAGGTCCAGCCCTTTCACTCCTTCAGTCCACCTTCGAGATGCCCGTGCTACTCCAAAAGCACGCCCCACACTCCATCGCCATCCTCCCCATCTCCTTCCTCACGTCCATCTCGCTCGTGGTCGTCCTCTTCTACCTCCAGTTAATCTACGGGATCTCCTTCATCCTGCGCCCATTCTGGCCCTGCCGCTATGACTTTCCACCCTTGAGGCTTGCCATGGAGCGAGCCGAAAGACTAGCCATCGACATAATCACCGGCATCGTCCCGCCGTCCGTCTATCGCTCGCCGATGCCGAGCGGCCTGCTCGTGCACGAGGACCCCATCTGCCACCAGATCACGACGGCCCTACACGCCTCGCATGTAGGCTTTGACAGCATGTGCTGTGCTCCTTCGCGCGCGGTTGACCTCGCCAACCCGCCGCAGTGCTACCCCGGCTCGCCACGAGGCCGCGCATCGCCCAGTCTGCACCTCGAGAACCGGGTGCACGAGAGCCGCGTTGAGTACGCGCGCCCTTCGCCCATGGACGAAGCGTATCGCAACGTCTCTGATTCCTCATACTACGACCCCGTTAAAAAATCTATTACTTCCACCTGCCGCCCGCGCCCTGCCTTGGAAACCACCCAGCACCAGCAGGTCTTCACCCCACAACTCACCACTAAGCACCCGCGACAAGAAGACCACCAAATCATCGAGGTCGTGCACGGCACATCCATCGATTCGATCCCTAGTTCGCCCCCCTCTATGTCAAGTCACCTGCGGTATCATTTGACGGGCCCAGCAGGCCGGGCGACGGGATACCGTCTACCTCGTCACGCTATACGGACGACTCGACGCAGCTGAGTCTAGATTCGGACCGGAACACGAAGTGCCGCTCGACGGAGAGTTACCCCGGGCGGTTCCCTGTTAGCGAGGGGATGGAGGATAGTTCGGATGCGACGGCGTCGTCTGCGTTTCGGGAGAGGGGGACTACTTATGTGCGGCCCTTTTCTGACTATTAGGGATGGGCGTTGATGCCTTCAATGGGCGCTGCGGTATTGAAACTTGGTTTGGAGCTTTCTTGTAAAGAGCACTGGGAGTTCGGAGTGTCGAGGGGTTTATACCTATTCTTTCTTGGGGCTTGTCATTGAGTTGTGGGATGGTTGAGGTCAGAGCGAAACATCGGGTTGATCGCATTGTTGGGTTGTTATACTTAGCCTCTATCCTGTCTCTCCCTCCTAGCATCACCGGCAAATGGCGGTAATACAGAATCTGTTTCCTAATTTCTATGTTGACGGCGTCAATACCCGCATCACTTCCAACTGTACGTAAGTCTACAACTATTCTTCTACCAAGAAACTACCAAGAAACTAGCAAAATGTTCTAGAATTCCCATCAACCCAATGACAGGGTCCGAGTAGATTGCACCAACGAAATACGCTCTGTCCACGCTATCTACAACCAAGTCTCATGACCAGCACTCTCCTCGGCAATGCGACGCGCGAAAGGAGCAAAGGCTTGACAAGGAGACAAATCAAACATACACGGAAGAGAATGACTGGCTGGCTGGGTGCCCCATCCACCTCAATGCCTATGAACACGAAAAAAAAAAGGCGAAATGATCAGATCCAGGACACCAAAAGTAGAAGAAAGGATTTTGGCCACAATTGCTTGTAGATGAGATGGGGATGATTCAGATGATATGCGGGTTTCAAGAATTCCTCGAATCCTCGAATCCAAGGCACGGTCGTCAGTGTCGTAAAGGGCGTGAGAGATGAAGCCGAACAAACAAGCAGGGTCGTCAGATGGAAAAGAAACAACGAAGAGAAAAAGCGCAAAAGTCATGAGCAAAACTCGCTAGACACAAATACAAGCCCGAAGGGTATCACAGTGCGGTCAGAGCGTCCGTCTTAATAGTCGTCGTCATAGTCGATCTGCATCGGACTGCCGCGGTAGCGCGTGCGCTTGATGTTGCTAGGACTGTAGGCGCCGCTGGACGTCAGCGGCCGAGGCCCGGTGGGTTTGCGAGTTGGCGGGGAGCGGATGGTGGAGCCCTGTAGTGCAGAAAGAAAAATGGTTAGGAAGAGTCCCTTGTTGCGGAGAAATACTGCCAGAGGGAAGTGATTGGCTCGAAGGTGTAACGTACCCGTGAAGCAACGCGGTCGCTGCCATAAGTTTGCGGCTGCGCTTGTGTCTGATCCTCATCTTCGGGGACCTTGGGTGGCCGTTCTGGGACGAGAGGTCCGTTGTCTTTGATCTTGGGCGGACGAGGCGGCAGGCCAGTAGCGCGCGAGCTGGTTTCCGAATAGCCTGCATCGGAGATAGGGGAGAGGCGACTGCCGCCGCTGAACCGGTTTTGGTTAGGGTTCACAGCTGGGAGGCTGGGGTTGGAGCCCCAGTGCTCGGAGTTGGGTGAGGTGGGGGTCGCATACGTCTGCGCCTGGCTTTCCAGCTGGTTCTGATACCGGCCGGTGGGGCCCTGGCGAGGCTGAGGGTGCTGCAGATCCAGACTGCCACGGTGGGCTCGATACTTGGGCGCTTCGGAGACTTGAGAGGGGACCAAGGGGGAGGGGGGTCGGTTCTCCTGTTGGTGGGTTTCGTCCAGGGTGTAGGTGGACCGGATACGGTCGTCACCTTGGGGATCGTAGTAGTCGCCCGTCTTGTATGTGTCCTGGGCGAGGTCCGAAGCGGAGCGGGACATCTCAGAGTAAGGACGCTCCTTGCGATTGGGCTGAATGCTGTTGCGGATATTGTCGCCCATGGACGAGGCGGTGGTCTTGGACCAGCGGGAGATCTTGGGGAAGATCGACGAACTGCTGGATTTGTGCTTGCGAGCTTTGTCAGAGGCCTTCGGGGTCGTCTCGTTACTACGGGCTCCTGTAGCCACGGGCTTGCGAGGAGGTGTAGCAAGAGGCATAGACCCAGCTCGCTCGTGGCGTGCAGGTTCTTTAATTGGAAGATGTGCAGTCACGTAAGGATCATCTTCATCGATCTCCAGATCCTCATCGTCCTCTTCAGGGACAGTGTCGACACGCTGATCCACAGTGGCGGGCCGAGGGCTGCCCATGTAGGGAGAGCGGCTGCCCAGAGCAGCACCATCTTGACCAGTGGTATCATAACCATTAGGATCAGTGCTGGCTCTCAGAGTACCATTGCGAGGGCTGGTGAGATCTTGCCCTCCGCGCAACGCCTCAACCTCCACCAGCAACTGCTCCAGCATACCCTCAATTTTGGTGAGATCATTGCCAGACTTCATACTCAGACCCTTGAGCGCGCGCTTGAAAATATTTTTCCGCTTAGACTGCAGGTCCTCCTCATCCTCCATGTTCAATTGACGGCTGCGAGAGCCACTGGGAGGCAATGGCCGAGGCCCACCAAGAGCTCTGAGCGTTCGGTCGTGCTGCTTGTCACTGGTATCCTGGAGCATTTCATCCTGCTGTGCGATGAATTTCCTCATCTCTTCGAAAGAGGTACGCATTTCTGCAGCGCTTCGGACCAAAGTGACCAGAATCTCAGTATCTCTGGCGTTCCGTTGAGCATCGCGAACAGTAAGCTGAGAAGTAGGCGTTAGTACATGTTGGACAGGGCGCGGAATGACCGTAATGAACTTACATGATCCATCAAAGCAACAATATCCTTTGACTGAATCCTCTCAATGCCACGTCCAGTAGCACTATCATAAAGCGGCGATCCAACACCATGGGAATACCCGCTGAAATGACGCTGATGATTGGGAGCAAAGGGATCATCGCCCTCAGTGGGACTATCAAAAGCACCCATTCCAGCATCGGCCCCAAGACCCCGGCTGCCTTGCTTGGGGGTGGCAATACTCGGAGACATCGGGTTTGCAGCCGAGACATAGCCTTCATCCTTGGCTCCAGGGGGAGTACCGAACAGCTGACCGGCCTGCTGGTCAACAAAGTAGTCATCGCCGCCGAAGATGTTCCGGGCAGTCTCGTAGTACTCAGCATCGAGGCTGCGTTGCGGGGCCTCACCCACATCCTTGGCACCGCCAGTCTGAATCTGAACAGCGGGAGAATCGAAGTAGGGAGGTTGTGCGACACCCCATTGATCCGGGGTTCCCTGAGCGACGCCGCCGATGGGGCCTTGAATGATGGACGGGTTGGTGTTGATATCCGACTCGGACTCTTGGCTGCGCTCCTCTGCGTCGGCGAGAGGACTTTCAAACCCGCGAGCAGCAGCAGCGGCTATGCCAGCCTCATCCAGATCTTCGATTGACTGCGTGACACTTTGAGGAGGCGACGTAACGCCCATTCGTCGGGGGAAGGATGTCTCATCAAGACTGGAAGCTTCTTGGACTTGCTTTAGTGGGCTGCCACGCTTCTCAGGGCTTCGGCTACCCGCGCGCTCGTACTCGGTTTGAGAGCGGTTGCCGGAATGGCCAGATGACTGGGACTCAAGCACAGAGGGGTCCATCAAGGAAGCCACTGCGGACTCAACCCCCATTGGGTGGACGAACTGAGGGTTGGCACCAACACCTTCGGCCACATGTTGGCCCTCCTTGATTTTGTCCATGAAATCAACTTCGCTGTCGTCGTAACCCACTGACCGTCTAGACTCTTCATCCGGTCCATACAGCTCTTCCCCAGAAGCATGCCACGATTGCTCGTACCCCAGCTCCGGACCTTCTTCCCCATGCTTGAAATCACCCCGTTGGCTGTGGGGGCTGATCCCATCGGTCCGAGTAGATCGTGCCAGGTTGGTGCTTGGCGCAGAGGATAGAGAGTCGATCGAAAGGCGCGGCTCCCCCTCCCGTTGGACGTCGGGGTCATACTGAGCGTTGTAGTGACGACCATGAGTCTCAGTCTGATCGCTCGCAACGCTCTGAATAGGACTCAAAGGCCGGCCGGCCTCGTAGCGGTTTTCGTGTATGGCCCGGTCTCCGGGATGAGCAGCATCAAGTAGGTTAGCAGCGGCAGCGGCAGCAATCGCCCAGTCCTCGTGGTCACCGCCAGGAGACTGACTCATGCCACGCAGATCACGGTCCGAGACGCTGTGGACGGAGAGATCGCGTTGTGACTGGTTCCCATGCCGCATGCCCAGCTCATATCGTGAGTCCACGGGAGTCCGTGTGGGGGTGCGAGAGGCGGGGGAAGCGAGTTGTCGTGGAGACCCGCGAGGGACTTCCCCATGCACGACAGTCTTGTGAGGGCCGGGACTCTCAGTACGTTCGGAGAGCAGCGAGGTCCGGGTCAACTCAGAATCGATCTCACTGTGCATAGGCATCCGCGGCACATTGTGCTTTTGGAAAACGAGCTCAGTATCATTAACGTTGAAGTTCTCCACGCTCTTCCGAGAGCCGCTGTCCTTGTGTTCTTCCTGGCCAAGGCTGGACTGAGAGTCGTGATGCTTGAGAGACGCTGCTGTCAGGGCTGAGCCCACTCGTCCCGCCGCCTGGGCATCCCGAAGGCCCTTGCTCTTCTGGCGTCGAATCCTGTCCTGCTCACTGAGCTCCGGTCGGCCCCATTTCACCCAGCCGCCATCAGAAGTATCGCTACTTTTGCTGGATTTGCGCTCCTTGGTAATTTCTTGGGTCATCTCCTTGGACCGTGGTCCAGAGTCAGCCAGCACAATACCCTCATCCTTGCTACCCTTGTTCAAAACCACCCGGGGCTTTATTATGTCTGGTGCACTCGAATGTTTAGACAAGCGTCGACCCAGTTCATCTCTCGAGCTCGTGGAGGAGTAAGTGGTAGTCATGTCGCGCTCTCGCTCGAACCTGTTCGTATTATGCATAACCTTCTGGTCCTTTTTCAGCTCCTTGAGCTCAGGCAGAATCAATCGTCGGATGGCATCTTCCACAGTCTCCAACAATCTTGGGTTGTTGATCGAGGACTTGGAGGCGCCAGACCGAATCGAATATTGATCGCCAGACTTGCGGTTGGACGAGACCGCGGAGGTACTCAGCAAGCTGGATTCGGGGCTGGGGATGATGTCCTCTTCATGGCGCTTCCGACGGGATGGTTTGGGTTCAGCCTCTAAATAATCCTTGCGGGAGGAGCTCTTGCTCTTGCTTTTATGTTTATGTCTGCTGCTAGACACTTCTTGGGGTGACCCGCTCAGTTTCTCAGCGACCCGGTGCGCAATGCGCTCCTTGCTCAGGCTGCGGCTTCGCTGTCGGGATGGCGTCTTCAATAGATTTTGATCTCCGCGACTGGAACCACGCTCTAGACTCTGGCTTCGTTTGCGGCGAGGACCAGCCGAGGAGGTTGCGTCGAGCATGCTGTCAGCGGGCATGGATGAGACGTCCGATGAGTGTGGCATGAATCTGGTATCGCGCGAGACGGTGGAAAGCTCGCTCCCGAGATCTCGATTGAGAAACTCGATCTCGACCGGCGGGCGCCGCGGTGGATGTTGACTGTCCTCCTCAGCCGAGTTGCTGTCGCTGAGGCTCTGCTCCTCCAGGCCGGATTCGACCACCTGTTTTGACTTGGAACTGGGCGAGGTGAAGGAGATGCGCCGGGTGTACGACGGCTTGCGACTGCCGGACTCAGTGATCTGGATGCGGTCCTTGTCCTTGAATTTGCGGGCCCCCGAGGGTGTGACCCGAACTCGCACGCTCGGCCTGGAGACCACGCCTCCCGATTCCTTCCCGCCTTCGAAGTACTCGATCAGCAGGGAGGTTTGGGAGTCTCGGTGTGAGTGCGACAGCTTGTCGTCCCGGTCCCGCAGGCGCCGGGTGGAGACGGTGATGGGGCTGCCGTCGTCCGGGATGGAGTACGACGTTTTGTCTGTGCGGCGAGAAAGGTCAGTTGCCAAATCAGTGCCTGTGGTGCTGTCGCCCGTGGTATCGACGATGGATTCTGTGGGGGCGGGGAGGACGGGTCTGCGGGTGTCGACCCCCATGGTGGGAGGGCGGGCTGTGGTGTGTGGTCTCTTCCGGGCCTCTGGTTCTTTTGGTCCTCAGCCCGACAATCGCATGCTCTGAGAGGATGGATCCCGGTAGACTGTTGGAGAAAGGGGATTGTGGTCACTTGGTGGTGCTCCGTGCTGGGGGGGCCACAATGAAGGTGGGGGAGAAGTGGAGGCTGAGGCTGGAGGGAATCTCGAAGATTGGAAGATGGAAAGAGAGATAGAGAGGGGGGCGAGGGATGATGTCTCGAAGATTAGAGATTAGATAGGAGCTTGAAGCGTACCAGCGCAAGTCACCACCGCGTGGGAGGAAACGAAAAGGAGGACGAAAGGAGGGAAAAGGCAATGGTGTGAGGTGGTGAGTGGTTGCTATGCGGGCTGAGGTTCGAACGAGCTTCGTCCGCCGCCGATCCCCTCACATGAAAAGGGCCGCCGATTGGGGGAGGGCGGATAGGGAGGAAGAAAGGGAAGAGGCGATTATGCGATTAAGCGATTATGTGATGCGAGGGATGGAAGAAGAGGAATGGAAGGGTTGCAGGGAGGACCAGGAAGAAAAAGAGAAGTGAAGACCCGCAAAGTGCAGTGCCAACGGTCATCAGCCGGCCCAGCCTCCCAGAAAAGATGGCTGGGGAACTCCGCCGGTTCGTTCCAGAGATCACAAAGATCACCCAATACGGAGGAGTGGCTACGCCTGAACTCAGTGTGAACTCTTAATTGCGCACTCCCAGCCTCTGTGCGGAGTGACAGGTAAAAGTAAACAAACGGAGCCGTGGGTTGGGCTGCGGATCCCTTCGGGCGGCTCGCGATGGTTCCCTGGTTCGCTGCCCTGCTTCTACTCCGTCGTGCATCTAGTTCTTCGTCTAGGCACTTCTCTTCCTCCGTAGGTCGATAATTCTTTTCGCCTGGTGATCGATGGCGAGGGGTCCTCTCATCCTCTCACCGCTATGCTTTGTACTTTCCTAGCCATCCCGTTCTCCCCTCTCCATACTCCTACCCTCTCCTATCCTCCCCATCACCCCGGCAATGGCACTGATGAGATGATGGACGGACGATTTGACCTGTTCGCTCTGTCACACCGCGCCGCCACACGGACCAACAAACCTGCGGCCCTCCGTGGGCCCCGCTGGGAATTCGTTGGCCGAGGTGCTGCACCCGTTCGACCGCCCCGATCAGTGGGAATACAAGTGGGCAAAAGGGGACAGCACAACTGGTGGTCGCCCTGACGACAGACCCTCCAACGGGCCTAACAGGCTCACAGGCCAACCGGCCGGCCATCCATCGACCGTCCGACCCTAACAGGCTCATACACGATCCACTGAAAAAAGGCTGGCAGGGCTGGGGAGGGCCATGCAGACCCCGTGATTGGCCCCAATGTTTGCCAACACATCCATCTCATCACACCCGCATCCTGGCTGAGGGTGTAGCCACGATACGACCGGTTGTCACGACCGAGCCTCCGACCGAGAGCACGGACCGGCTGGCGACTGATGGACGCATCGACTCCCACTGTATGGTTCAAGGTCTCCATCTTGACCTAGGGCGTGCGAGGGGGCAAGTTAGCGGGAATAGTCTGCTGCCCTGCGGAGGGAGACGACAGCCAGACGCGGGCTAGAAGTGCAAGGGGGCTGCTGCGGATGCAAATCACTATCATTTGCCTATCGGGCCTGCTCGCATATGACAGCTTGCCGCTGGTAAGGTTATACTCGCCGATTTGAACTGCCGAAAAAGCGCACCGAAGCCGGGTCCTCGTCTTCTGAGGGGAGATCTGCTCCCAGTGATATTGTGTCAGCCAGAACCGCTCAATGGGTCTCTGCTTCTATGGAGAGACTACGACCAAGCATTGCAATTTGCTTCTACGTTCCATGCCACTCCCCACGTGGTGGACGCCTCTGTGCTCCCACATGGCTGAGGCCGACTGCGCATTCCAGTGCATGCCGCGATGGGGAAGTGGGCACACGCGGGGCAAACTTTATTACACGTTGACTGACGTTGGATTGATACCAGATAGAGGGGAACAACTGAAGTGGTAGAGAAAGAAAAGGGTAAAATCGATGTATCTACACTAAATAAACGCCGTAATCCCCAAGATGAAGATGCAGACGAGACACTTTTATGGATCCCCCAACTCATACACCTCAAACGACCATGACAAGGATTCATATTCAACAAATGCTTCAATCGTCGTGCTTCCGCTTGTACTTCCCCTTGGGCTGACTGCCGTACGTCCGGCGGCCCTGCTGCTCCTGCTTCTTGTCCCGGCTCAGGCTCGCCCCCAGCGAGATGTCAATCCGGGGCGGGGCCGAGAAGCCGAAGCCCTTGGCCACCTTGACCAGGTCCAGCTTGTGAACGTCGAAGACAGAGCGGAGGGAGTGCGAGGCATACGCCTGCAGGTAGGAGCGGTAGCCCTCCTTGGCGGACTAGGCGAGGAAGAGCAGTTAGTACATGGCCATTCACATTGGTGGCAGAGAGAATGGTGGCTGGCTCGTACCTTGTTAAGATAGTAGTTCTGTCCAATGAGCTTCTCCAGCTGCGACTGGACATTGACGATCTTCGAGACGGGGAACTCGAACTCAACTACCGGCACCCGCGCCTCCTTGAGGTGCTTCAGGAAGCCAACCTCGGACGGCTGCAAGAACATCAGACTGCGGCCCTTGCCGTTGGCGCCACGCGCAGTTCGGCCGACACGATGGATGTAGTCGCGAGGGTCATCGGGGGGTCGAACTGGATGATCCAGTCGACGGCAGGGATCTAAAAAGAAGAAAATGATGAGTATGGTTCAATAAGTGTATGCAGAGGGGAGAAACAAACATCCAGGCCACGAGCAGCAACGTCAGTACAAATCAGGGTACCCTGGCTGGCGTTGCAGAACTCGAAGAAAGTGTTGGTGCGTTTTTGCTGCTTTTGCTTGCCGTGCAGCTCCAGCACAGGCAGGTCGATGTAGTTCAGGAGCTCGGCATGGTACTTGACGCAGTTGCAGCTGGAGAAGAAGACAATGATCTTCTTCTTGAGGTTGCGCTTGAGGAAGGAGAACAGGAGCAAGAAGCGCTTGTCAGCTTCACAGAGCACGTAGCCTTGCTCCAAACCCTCCACGGTGCTGTGCTCCTTCCGGTGGTCCACGTTGATGTACAAGGGACCCGGGCGCAGGGATATGCGGGCCAGATCCTCGACCTTGGTGGTTTGCGTGGCGGAGAACAGCATGGTTTGGCGCTCCTCAGAGGGCAGGATCTTGACAATCTGGCGCATCTCATCCTCGAAACCGACTTCGAGAATACGGTCTGCCTCGTCAATAACCAGGGTCTTCAGGTTCTTGAAAATGAAACCCGGGGTATTCTGGAGGTGATCGAGCAGACGACCGGGGGTGGCGATCAGCAGGTTGACACCCTTGACCAGCTTCTCGGCCTCGGCGCGGCGGTTGGCACCACCGATAACGATGCCGTAGGTTTGGGAGTGGTGCGCCATCAGCTCGCGAGCGACACCGAAGATTTGCAGAGCCAACTCACGAGTGGGAGAGACCACAAGGACACCAGTGCCGTTTCTGGGCTTGAAGCGCAAAGCGCTAAGCATCTCCACCGCAGGAATCAAAAAGGACAGAGTCTTGCCGGAACCGGTCTTTGCAGCACCCAAAACATCGCGACCGGCCAGCAGGGGCGGGATAGTGCGCTGTTGAATCTCGGTCATGGTTTCGAACCCCATATCTTGAATACCCTTCATGGTCTTCTCAGAAAGGTTCAGCTCAGTGAACTTCTGCAGCTCGCCCTCTGTCTGGGGCAGGCGGACTTCGTCCATAGCGGGGAGATCATCTCCTTTCCCATTGACATCCTCCACATCGTCCTTGTCGTCCTCGTTGTCGTCTTCCTGCTCCTCAGCATCCTCAACCTCCTCGACATCCTCGGCCTCGTCGGCACTTTCCTCGTCGTCGCTGGGCGAATGGCCCACTTTGCGCTTTTTGGTGGAATTGTCCACAGCAGACTTGGCCGGCGCAGCCGCCTTCTTCGCTTTCACTGCGGGGCTTGACTTGGCCACCACTGGCTTGGGGGCCTCCTCATCGCCTACGGCGCGGGCGGCGTGCTTTCTCTTCCGCTTCTTCGTGATGGACTTTGCGGTGTCCACAGGGCCGGGCATCTTGCCGCCTGGTGCAAGAACTAGCGGTGGATATCAAGTGGAAGGCTGAGAAGTAGCCAGTGAAATTCCAGCTGGGTTGGGACAGATCGGAGGTTGTGTTTTGATCTCCGAGGGGATATCCTATCGCTGCGGAAAATCGGTCTCTACTTTTTTTTCTGGTCGGTGAGACTGGGCAAAATCTCCACATCACGTGCTGATAGCTGATTCTGTGCGTGCCATACCACCGAGGCATTAAGGCATTAAGGCACCAAGGTATCCGGTAAATCAGGCATCAATAGCAATGCTTTGACTGTATGTAGTAGACAGACTCAACTGAGAGTATCTACAGTACCTTATTGGAGAATGACACCTGAAGAATACCACCTCATCGAATCTTCATACGTTCGCTCTCTGCACACTCATTAATTGTGGAGCTTGGCATAGATTATAGCCGACTCCACAGCCCCGTTCGTTGCGGATGCAAGTTCCCAGATCTCTCACAATAGGAAGCGTGTGCAAGGACTTTTGAGCTGCACAACCAAGAGCGGTGGAACTGAATTTACAATGCTCCCTGAGAAGCCAAATTACCGCGATCTTGGCCTGGGCGGATATTATGAATTAATGCAAAATGCGTGTACAGTCACTGCTCCGTGTAGACGCGTCTCATGCCAAGGGCTTAGGCTGTTACGTATTTCGTTCACCTTGGCAGCCTATGGTGTGGGCAGGTATTAAATGGACAGTATAATCCGTACTGCATACGATACGCAAGATACGGAGGAGTGGGCAGGCTACTGTACCAGATGCCAATACGCACTCAATTAGCAGAATGGATACCTCTCGTTTATTACGATTGTTGTGAATGTTCCAGCCTATAATTCCGACTAGATCTCCTGTCATGGTGACGAACCTAGGACACGGGAGCCAGTGGGCAGGGCTGGCCCACCTAAGCGGTAAGCAGCACACATATAGGCGGTGCTTCACATTGTGAGCAACGTTGTATTAGATCTCGCAGCAGCAGCGGCTGCTCATACACGGACGCCCGGTCGCAATGGTCCAGTGGCAGGGGGGTAAGGAGCGAATCACGATGGGCATTGGAAGCAGCGTAAAATTAAAGCTGGATCCATCGGCCAGTCAAAAGCCACGCCAACCCAATGAAACCCTGAACCAAAAATAGCCTTACGGCCGCCCATGGCCCGCGAGCGCTCGCAGCCGGGGTTCTCACCTGAGCATGATTCATTATTTACGAGGAGCTGAGCAGCTTCAAAGCTGCTCTCCCGGGCGTGCACATCGGTAGATGGCGTGCTACACATGCGGGAGAACAGACGGGTCAACCAACGTCATGACGCGCACCCGAGCGCGATGATCTGCCCATCGATCAGTCCTCCACCCGGTGATCAGGGATGGACGAGGCGCACGGATAGTACAATATAGGTCACAAAGCAACAAGGGCGCACGTGGACTGGTGATCTCCCAGCCTCTTGGATCCGAAACATGGCGCGGCTTTGGTTCACGCAGTGTCAAATCATGTGCATGCATTGACATCCCCATTGTAAAGAAGTATACGACAACATACTGCGTGGGCGCCTGAGATTGGCGTTTTAGGCGGGCGGGCAAACGAGGGAGGCTGTGCAACGCTAAAGCCACGGAATATTTGATTGGGATTCTGGCAGCCCCGCGACGATCAGCTGTCGGCTGCGTTCGCAAGACATGTTGAAATACTTCTTAATTTAGGATGGTAGGGCAGAGATTCAGGGTCGGGTGAGCATCGCTGGCTGGTCATGGCCTCTCCGCATAGTTTAAAATGGACCGTGTGTCCTAAGTCTCTAGGTAGTACAGAGTACAGTCTGTACTCGTACACTCTCTATACTCCCCAGATCTTGCGTGGTTTACCCAAGAAGGGGACAAAAGGTACATAGGTTGTACTTCAGAGTCACTGGGAATACCATAGTCCAAAGACGTCACCTCTGCGTACTGTGCGGAGCGGCGGCGGGTGGCCCCCCTTGCTCGGCTCAGGGGCACCATCGGTCTGTTGCCAAAGCATAATCGGGATTAGGCTGGGTCTGGTGTGCCAGGCAGACAAGATACAAGTACAGTACTTCCTGGTACATGTATGTATGACATACACCTCCTGTACAGTAAGCCCAGTACAGGCCGCCTTCCACACTCACACCCTTTTTCAAGGGATCCTTCAGAGCCTTTCAGACACGCGAACTTCGCCTCCCCCGGGAACGGTCCTCGCCTTCCCTAAGGGTAACGATTTGCAGAGGGACTCTCCACCAGCCTAATCTGGCACTCCAGTAGTGAGCGCTGTTTGCAGGCCACCCCACATCGCAGGGCAGCAGTTCCTCTGGTACGAGGATGAGGTAATCCGCTCTCTGCAATGTCGGGGACCCGCTGGAACCCACTACGATCCATCTACCGCTTGCGGGGCCCAGATCTCCCCTGAGGACGCGTGTGCGTGGACGGTGGACGGAGGCAGTGAGGCAGTGATGGGAATATCATAGTAGGGGGGGGAGGAAGAAGGAGACTAATGATAGGCAACAAAGTACTGTATATACGGAATCGAGGGTCAAGTTCCTGTTGACGGAGTACACACCTACATCATCGATCACAGGCATGCTCCCCTTGGGCATAGTCGGTGGCCAAACAGTGGCCAAACCGCGGTATTATTCAGTCGGACGGAGTGATTCGCAGGGATTCGTAGAATTCGTAGGCGCCGAGGCGTGCCAAGCCCGGGGGCGGTGACTAGATGACAATACAGTACAGCCCCGAACGGGATGGTAACCACATTCCAGGTCGACCCGCCCAGTCCCTGAGACACTTCACTGGGCAAAGACTCTCCAGAGACACCAAACGCTAGTGCCCCCATTTCTCCTCTGTCGACCTCGACTTTCTCCCTTTGTACCTGGATCCGTCTCCAGAGAAAACTCACCTTCCTCTTCCCAACCTCCTCCCCGCTATCCCAGGCCATACTGTGTGTGTCGCCAGTCCACTCGCTCCTCCTCGATCGCTCTCCCTTTTCGACTAGTACGACTACGTACCTAACCCCCCATTTTGCCCTCCATCTTCACTTCGACTCGGACGACCCTAGCTTCTCGACTCTGGCAGGAATTTGCTGCGTCGCCTGTTCTTCTGGACTCTCGTCCACCGACTCTCGTTTAAAATCACAATCACCTCTCCAAAACATTCCAGACGAATTTCATCGGTTCTCCCCACCTCCCGTCTCCCGTCTCCCGACAGTTGACCCGCTCGGCGACAACTCCAATGACGCGGTAGAAACAGCCTCATACGAATCGATCACCACCACCACCACCACAACTACTACCAAAACGATTGATCACCGGTTTTCGCGGCATCACCTGGAATTCACCACTGATCCTACCTTGTCCGCCGAACCCTCTCAGCCGCTACGAGACTTTCCGCATCCGGCGGCTGGCAACGTGGTACTCTGGAGTACCCGCTCTGACTTTCGCCGTCATACTCAGGCCCTCCTCCAATTCTTCTTTCCGACCGGCTGGTCGCTTTATCCGACTCTCTCTCCTCTCCCGACCGTGACTGCTTGCCCGCCAAAATGAGGTCGCTATCCCTGTTAACATTGTTTGTTGCCTTCCTGGCGCCGCTAGCGTCCGCCGTCAAGCTCCTCGAATCCAATGCGCTGAATGTGTGCATGGAAAGTAGCAATTTCACTGCCACATATTTCAACGTTGTGTTCTACCCTGGAAACAATTCGCTCACGATTGGATTCGATGGCGTCTCCTATATCTCCGGCAATGTCGTGGCCGACATGACCCTGACTGCTTATGGTTACAAGGCTTATTCGAGCACCATTGACCCCTGCTCCATTGAGGGCATGGGTATGTGCCCGATGGCCCCAGGTCCCATTGATTTGGGTCCTGTTTCGCTCTCGCTTCCCGACGGCACTTCTTCCAAGGTTCCGGGTGAGTCGCCTGGCGCGAGCGTTGTAGATGCAGGAAGTGCATGCTAATCGTTGGCTTTCTAGGCATTGCTTACACGGTTCCTGATCTTGACGCGAATGTGCAAATCATGATCAAGAGCAAGGAAACTGGTGAGAAGATTGCCTGTGTATCAGCTTCGCTTTCCAATGGCAAGAGTGTGTACCAGCTGGGTGTGGCATGGGTAACCGCAATCATCTCCGGCTTGGGTCTGGCCGCATCCGCCATTACCTCCGGCCTAGGCCACTCCAATACGGCCGCGCACGTTGCGGCGAACGCGCTCTCTCTGTTCGGCTTCATGCAAGGCCAGGCCATGATTGGCATGATCTCGGTTCATATGCCCCCGATTGTGGAATCTTGGACTCAGAACTTCCAGTGGAGCATGGGTATCATCCACGTTGGCTTCTTGCAGACCATCTGCACCTGGTATCAGCGCGCTACGGGCGGTACTCCCTCGACTGTCCTTTCGCAGCTGGGTGACACCTCCGTGGAAGTTCTGAAGCGCCGCAAGCGCGACTTCATCGACCCAACTATTAGTTTGATGAGGCGAACTACTGGTTTGATCTCGAAACGAGCTGACTCGAGCCAGAAGCTCATCGTGGTGCGGGGTATCGAGCGTGTCGGATTTCGTGCCAACATTGAAGAGACCAATATCTTCCTGACTGGTCTGATTTTCTTTGTGGTCTTTGTCTGCTTGGTGGTTATCATCGTCACCTCCTTCAAGGGCATCTGCGAGTTGCTCGTCAAGCATGGCAAGATGAAGAGTGACAAGTTTCAGGACTTCCGCAATGGCTGGAAGGTCGTTACCCGTGGTATCCTCTTCCGTCTCACTCTGATCGGTTTCGCCCAGATGACCGTACTCTGCCTGTGGGAGTTCACTCGGCGTGACTCGGCCGCCGAAGTTGTCCTGGCTGTGGTCATGATCCTGTCTCTGCTCGTCGCACTGGGCTGGGCGGCTCAGAAGGTCATTCGCCTTGCCAAGCGTTCCGTCACCATGCACAAGAACCCGGCTTACATCCTTTACTCCGATCCCTCTGCCTTGAATAAGTGGGGCTTCCTGTATGTGCAATACCGGGCCACGGCGTACTACTTTGTCGTTCCGTACCTCGCCTACATTTTTGTCAAGGGTATGTTCATTGGTCTCAGCCAGCCCGCCCCGGTTGTCCAGACTGTGGCCCTGGTGATCCTTGAGGCCGCCATGCTGGTTGCTGTCTGCGTGATGCGCCCATGGATGGATAAAAAGACCAACATCTATAACATTTCCATTGCTGTCATCAACTTTCTCAACTCCATATTCCTGTTGGTCTTTTCGGATGTGTTCAACCCTCCCGGCATGATGATCGGTGTCATGGGAGTCATTTTCTTCGTGTATAACGCCGCTTTTGCCCTGGTCCTGCTGGTCCTTGTCCTGATTGCCTCAGTCTACGCCGTGGTGTCTAAAGACCCGGATACTCGCTACCAGCCTATGCGCGATGATCGCGGCTCTTTCATCAAGTCCCAGACCCAGTTGACCACCGAGCTGGAAGCCCTTGGTGCCACTGCCCGCGGCGATGTCAAGAACGGCACCGGATATCACCAGAACCCATTCGACGACGACTCTGCCTCCATCTCCAGCGGCACTGGCGCCACTGGCCACCACCGCAACAACCTCGATGCTACAAACAGCGCTCAAAATCTGAACCGCCACCAGCCCCCTCCCTCGCCTGTCGACCCGTCAGTACCGCTCTTCCCCAGCAATGCCTCGACCCACTCAGGTCATCGGGGGCCACCCCCCGGCTACGACCAATATGGTCGGGCTGCATCACCTGCGCCGCGGAACTATGACAACGCCCCCGTCGGCGCGTCCGCGCTGGCAACCAACTACAGAGCGCAAAACAACGCCAGTCCCTGGCAACGGGGCGCTGGCTATGACCACTAGATGGCGTGGTATCCGCCTGCATTGGTTTCCTAATTTTATTTTCCAATTGAGATGAAGATATGTGATTTTTAGCGTGGGACAGCGATGGTCTATGATCCGTTTCCATCCGCCATCCTTTTGGGTCCGGTATCTGTTTGGTTTTTGAATCTTTGTCTAACTGCGCTTTTTACCTCCGCCCGTACGTGGCTCGCCCTTTTCTTGACTGCACCATTATCCTTTCCCTCTTCGTTTCTTCAGTCCACTGTCTAAAAGCGGTGCGATTGCTTTTTATTTTACTCTTTTCCTCCTCTCCTTTCCTCTTTCAGTCTCTCTTTTCGTTTCTATCTCAAAACTACTTGCTTTGTCTTTCCTCCACCTCCCAAGGTGAGAATACCCTCCCTCGCCGCGAAGTCGGCGTGTACTCTTGGATTTCCTTATTTTCTTTTTTCTTTTTTATCCTTGCTAAACCTGGCGTTCTGATGCATTTCGATCATGGTGATCGGGCCATGGGTTGCTCGCGGGGTTCGGAATATACAATCTCTTCCTCTTTTCCTTTCACTTCGTCCCGTGTCTGATCCGAAATACAAGTTCTTTGCGGCCATGTACGCTATGTACTCGGTGAAGGAAGTAGTCCTAGTGTTTAAAGAACGAAAGCACTTGTGTTACACTTCGTGCAATCAAAATTCGTCGTTCCGTTTACCGTGCTCTACTTTGTGCATGTAAATTTAGCTCAGACTATAGTAGCGAGGACGACTCATTTGCCCCAACGCCGTGTTTTATTCATTGAAGCATTCCCATGTCCATGAAGCTGGATGGCCGTCGGTATATTGTAGTAGCCATAGCAGCCGGATCCAGTACTGAACTTGAGATCGAGGGAAACCAGAAGACGCTATTATACAAAACCAGTGAAGAGAGACCCTGCAAGCTGAGAAAGGAAGAAAGCTTTTGCCTCCCTGCAACGCTTCCTCCCCGCAAGGCAAGAAGCATCACAGCGTCTTCCCGAAAACGCAACGTGATCATGACTGAGACCAGGTATTGGACCGATAAGAAAGAACGTCGAAAGTGAAAATGAAAACGGACAGCAGCTCAAGACAAATCACCACTTCTCTCCCATCCCAGGGGGCGGCCCCCCTCCAGGAGGAGGCGCGTACCCCTCCGGACCACGCGGTCCACTGGGGATAGGCGAATGCGACGCTCCATGCTGTCCGGGCATCGGCGGCGGAAACGCGCCCGCGGCACCGGGCGGGGGTATAGGGAAATTCGGGAACCCGCCAATCGGAGGCGGGGGCAGGTTGCCTGCACCAGGGGGCATGTTGGGCATGGGTGGAGGGGGAAAGCCACCTGGAGGAGGGAAGCCACCCGGAGGGGGGAAGCCACCCTGCGGCGGGGTGCCGGAGGCGTGAGGTGGGAAGGGCGGCGGGAAGGGCATGCCACGGCCGCCGGGGACTGTTCAGGGGTGAGACGAGTTAGCTGGATGTGGATTGGGATCCTGGAAGGGACTTTGGGAGCACGTACGAGGCAGCATTCCTGGAGCGCCTGGGGCTCCGGGAGGCGGGATGCCGAAGGGTGGAGGAGGTCCTTGGCCTGGACGGCCTGCAAGAAAGATAGTTAGCTTTGAATTTTGAATTTGGAAAGTTATATGGGATTAGGGGGATAGAAGTACCAGGGAAGCCAAATGGAGGCGGGAATGCGCCGGGAGGGACCATTGCGGGATTGGGGACGGCCTGGCCCTCTGCGGCGTATGAGGAGGTGATGGAGTCGATGACCGATTGAGCCTTCTCTTGGCCGATCTCTGCATCGTCCGTTAGCTATACTCGGCCAGCTTGCGTGGAAAGCTGTGGCCGGGGTGCGGCTTACGCTGGTAGTAGTCCACGACGTTGCGGAGGTGGTTGCGGCCGGAGTTATGCGCCTTGCGGACACTCATCGAGTCGTGAGTGAGGTACACATCGCAGTAATCGCCTATTTATGGATCGCAAAGTTAGCCAGCTTGCCTCGGAATCGTGTTTGGTAGATGTGGTCGTCGATATCAAAAGTGCTTTATCGCAGGGCCGCGTCCGGATCGAAACTGAGAGAGGAGCGAAAGAACGACCGGCAGCGGATGTGGGGGCTGAGCACAAAACCTACAGAAGAGTTCACAGAAGGTCAGCAAGGATATCAGAATCAGTGAGTGGCTGAGGGGACTTATATTTCGGCATCTTGCCAGCTGCTGCAAGCACTTGGCTGCTCTCGCGCGACGGACGAAATTTCCCGTTCCAAGTGGCAGTCACCTCGTGGAGGCCTTGAGGACTTGTCTGGAAGCGGACCGGTGCCTCTGGTATTTCAAATTCGAAAATCCCCCTGCGATATCCCCGGACGTGATGAATTGAGAGGAAATCGAGGTAGCTGTGTTGCAAGGTCGTCTCGAAGCTCAATGGCGAGGGTCGCGCAAGGCGGTGTGGTGCAGCAGAATCGGGCTTATCGCGTTCGGAAGGTTTGTCGCAAAGGTTGTTGCGGTGCTGTAGCAGACTTGGAAGTTCTAGACAGCGAGCCCAATCTGCTTGGAAAATGAATGATATCGTTGTGGTGTATTCGCCTTGGTTTATATTGAGTTTTCCATTCTGATATAATAATTTTCATGGAGGCGCCTACGGTATCCATTTGACTAACTACTAATCTATATTTCCAAGGAAGTACTCGATGTACCTTGCATACTGGTTTGGTTGAGAGATACCCATATATGTCTTCACAATGAAACCTTACCTCCTAGGTGAAGGCACCAAATTCTCACCACTTTCAAATCCTTCGCTGCTAAGGTTCCCGTGGTGAGAAGTACCTGCCAAGTCAATATATCATTGTGAAGCAGGCATAAGCTGGATTCCGTCTCCTAAATAGACGTAGCGAAGAAAATTGACGGTATTGCCTCAAAACACGTTAAATCAAAGATTAGCAGCATCCGAGACGCATTTACCGCCACCTGAGAACAATATACCGGCTCAACAAGAGCGCAAATTGGGAGCGAGGCGCCGAGTGGATGGGTTTCGTTGCTAAAGGAGGAAATATAAGCAGCACGGACATTGCAAGAACGGGAAAAAGGGTTCAAAGTCTGCCGAGAACGATTTGTTACCGCTTGATATATCTGAAGCAGATTACTGATCTGTCGGGCGATTAGAAACTGGTCTGAAAAGTACCTTGGGGATACCGAGTTACCTTGGTGATACCGAGTATGGAATGGAGATATTCGCCCAATTGAAGAGGAGAGAAGGGAGCATACTACACGGCGATTCAATATTCCTGGTATATGGGAAGTCATGATGGAACAGAAGGTTTATTCGGAGGCTACCATAGATCAACTTATGAAGCTGGAGGATATGGATTAGCTTACGATCTCGGACGAGAGTAGCATCTTCTTGCATATTTTCAGGGACTGCGCCTTGGTTCCCAATTTCTCTCGTGCTTTCAATCACATCATCGGATTCAATTCAACTGGGGACTATTTAGGATAGTGTGATAACTTGAATTGGCAATGTCGGATTCAGGAATCTTTTTGGTCGTCTTAAGAGGTAGGGCTTTCATTTCTCGGCATCTGTCACTGTAAGGCGGCAGGGGTTGTATGTCCAAACTTATCGGGCGTAAGTTGGTGCTGACATCCTGCAGAGATCTACAGACTTAGGTTGCAGTATTCCCCTAAATACTCTTGATTGGCAAAGAAGACAAGGTGGGGCGGAACATTTACAGGGATTTGATTCCTGGCAGCGTCACCTATTCAATTCATCACACAGCGCAAATAAATACTTTGACGAATTAGATTTATCTCCTCTTAATTCACTCCCATATGCCAAAGAGCGGAAAAACGGGAATCTTGGGGCTCTTTGTCTTTACATGATTGTTATGAGAGAAAATAGGAATGGAGACTCATTGTTTCCGCTTACGCTGATTCTCATCACAAACTATAACCTTTGTAGACAAGCGTGAGTTTCACTCGATTCTATCGACGGGCATTAGCATGCCTCAAGTGGAAGGAGTAGATGGGACAGATATTGCTTCTCGAATTTAGCCCCAATGCCCCTTTTCTTATACAGCCTTACCAACAGCCACAAAATGGTTTAAAAAGGCTTAATCAGCAGCCTCAAACTTATTGTGAGCGTGCATGTTCTTTCATCTCACCATGAATCTCCAATCTGGAAACAGTGGCCTGGTGGGCCTGCTCCTGGCATTTCTCTCATACTTGGCTATCTGCTGGTCTGTTCCAACCAACTCTGCGGCGTTAGTTGATATACTAGTGCACAACAAATTGGACACTTGCTAAGAGAGAGCTGCATATAGAGTAAGATCATCTCACACCATCGAGAGGCGCGTTTTGCCTGGAGCTTTCCTGGTCAAGCGAAACGACTACAGCGTCTTCCTCGGCGAACTTGCACAAGCCACTAGAGTTGATCAAGGTAGCGAGACATTCTTGCCTTGAGGACAGGGTGCAGTTATTCTAGCGAGTGATGGGTTTATGGGATTTATTGGAATCCTCATCGCTGGACGCGGGGGCGCAATTATGGGACACTATAGCGACAGCGACTCGGACATAATTCAGGCGGGGACTAATTTGCCTACTCTGATCAAAGACAACAAAGATGCATTGGCTGACGCTACGGCGTATATTTACGCCCAAGTTCGTTTACGGGACACTGATGTCTATGTGTCTGAGAGCAACAACAACAGATTGGAACAGATTGTCAGCGACAATTTGGGGATTATTGCGCAGCGGGTGAAGTACATCGAGCCCGAGGATTTGATGGTGGATGATGATGGTGAGTTGCTTGATGATTGTCCGGAACAATTGCTGTATGGTGCGATGATGGTGAAGCAGTCCGGTGGACAGGCCGCGTGGGAGGCTATCTTCATTGACTTTGCCTGGCAGCAGTCCGCTGCCGCAAATTCTTAGGCCAAGGCCTGTGTATAGATCATTTTGCCCTTAGTTGCAGCCTGTTGATTGTAGTAGCATAACTGAACGGCAGCAATCATGTAATCTTACGGCTATAATTATATTGCCTATTGCTTTCTTGGTACATATCGCAAAAGTCATGATCGCGTTCTGGGAGCCGCCGAGACAGACAATAATAGAAAGAGATAGTCACAGCTCTGAAAGCACGTCTATGGGAATAGGGACAGCCTTTGGACGGTGAAGCGATCCCGGGGCGAAAACCAATAGCTACAGGTTCTAACGTGTTACAGCGCGTCCGGAAATCGGTGCCACCACCCACACTCTTTTTGATGTTTCGCGAACCCTAATGCAAACGAGCACCTGGCTACTCTTATCACAGTCCAAGAAAACCATCGCCCAGCGAATAACGATTAGCTGTTATGGTTGAACACTGGAGGCTCTGGAGTGTCGGCAAATGCACGCCACTGGGGATTATGGTTTCCCGTAGTGAGGAGTTCCTGGGAGGTTGGTTCTACATTTTAGATGGTTCATCCGTCAATTGCGAGCTCGGGGTTCGTTCAATATATCGGCCAATCCGAAGACTGGCGAATACGGATGGCTTGCATGCACTAAGCAATCCGGCGTTCGTATTCGCATTCCCGTTTATATGGGAACAAGCCACATCACGAACAGATGGCCCATCACACGAACATGATGTCTCTTTATTAGCTGCCCATCCAAGCCCTCCCAAACCGCAAACCAGTTGCCATACATTTACTCAAACTTCGCTCTGCATCGACGATTCAACGGATCACAATTTCATCATGACGACTCCATTCCCGAATATCATCATTATCGGCGGCGGCATTTGCGGTCTCGCCTCCGCAATATCGATTGCGCAGGCCTTCTCCTCACACGAGGCCAACCCACAAATCACCATCTACGAGCTTCGCGACGCTCCCAGCACATTCGGCGGTCCGGTCAATCTTACGCCGAAAGCCGTACGCTGCCTCGACAAGCTGGGCGTGTTCGACGAGTTGAAAGCCATGAGGGCGGGCTGTGAGGTTGACTCGATCGAAATCATCTCCATGCGTACGGGCGGGCAACTTTCTGTGATAGACTATGCGGGGCCGGATAGACGGGGGCTTGGGGGGTATAAAGGATGGAGGGTGATGCGATATGAGCTTCTCTGTGCGATGCTGAGGGTGGCGGAGCGGCTGCCCACGGTGGCTATTCGGTATGGGAAGAAATTGACTCGTGTTGAGGAATTACCCGACAAGGTCCATGTTTACTTCGAAGATGGGGGGATGGAGACCGGCGATGTTGTGCTGGGCTGTGATGGGATCCATTCGTCTGTGAGGAGTCTTGTGGTGGAGGCTGACCGGAAGCCATATTACTCGGGATGGGCAGCAGCGTACGGGTTTGCAAAGGGGACAGCAGTGTTTGGTGAGGACGAAAAGCCGTTCTTCACAGATACTGCGCTGGTGATGTCTAGGTATGGGTCCGCTTTGACGACATTCTGTGACCATGACCGAAGCATGATCTATGCCGTTCTCTTGATGGAGATGGAGGAACAGGGGTCTCGAGAGGGGTGGAAGTCCATTGGCAAGGATCAAGAGAGGGTACGAAATGAAGGGGCAAGGAGGACACAGCAGTCACCTATCCCGAAGATCGGGCAATTGATCGAGAAGGTCGAGGATTGGACGCTTTACCCGATTTACGTTCTACCTCCACACGGCCGATGGTCTACGGATCGCATCTTATTACTGGGAGATGCAGCTCATGCGGTGTGCCTCTTCTCCTGTCTTTTGGCCCCGGGACCTTGTACTTATTTGATTCTACAGATGCCGCCCAAGGGGGAAAGTATTGGCCATGCTTTAGAGGATGCAGTCAAGTTCTCACTCATACTCGCTCGCTTTCATCGTGAACCGCCAAAGGCCGCGTTCGACTTTTTCGAAAATCTCCAACGCAAGAAGACCGAAGATATGTACAAGGTCGCATCGACCGGTTGGATGTCCAACCGCGATATAGGCGCTATTGGGAGTAGGCTCCTGGAATGGTTTACGCCACTGTTCTTGTGGTGGACAAGGGAAAGCTCGGAGAAGGATCTACTTGCCGACCCAACCGATATTCCGTTCCCCAGTACATAAATAACGTCTTCTATAATGAGCCAGTTGCTGTACGATGACTGGCTATTTAATGGACCCATGGCCTTGCGAACGGATCAACGACGTGACTCTTTTCGTCTTGTACAATAACTATCGGCTTTGCTAGAGCTTGTCTGGGAAAGAATGAAAGAAAACAGGCTTCCAATTTAGGGATTAGGGATCTGTCCTTACATGTTCTAGCTTGCTGCCAGGACCCAAAGCCGACCAATATGGATGCGGCCTGTGAAAGAGTATCTGTCGTATTCTGATGTAGCACAGTATAGGGTGATCTCGATTCCAGTAAATTCTGTAGTGCATTGAACGGTACCTCATATCAAGAAGACAGGAATGAATTTACAGTAGCATTGTCTTTGGAAGCTACAGTTCGGCCTGAGGCAATGAACATGGATCCCATGTGACCCATCCTGTGGTCATGGAAGCACCCACCAGTCGCCCCGATACCAGGAATCGACAACATACCTCACACTGAAAGAAGAAACGGGCACTCAGGTGAATAGAGGCGAGACCTAGAACTCGTTTTCCGGAATAGAGACCCAGTCCGAACCCCTTGAATCTACGAGTCAACTCCGACGAACACCTGAAAGGACCTCCTCGCCCCAATCTAGCAATAACCAACACCCCTCGCCTACGCCCCGGCATCAAACCGGTCTCGCCAAAGCACGCAAACCTGTCTCAAAGCCAAAGTGCAGCGAGATTCGTACATCGGCCTCGCATCAACCCTGGTCGCAATATCTTGCGTCATCGCGGTCAAGTCCAGCCGGCAGCAGCCGGTGCAGGATTGGCGGGATTTCGAAGAGCGGTCTCGACCAGCGGCGACCAGTCATCATGTGTCATCATGCTTTACTATTAGATAATAACGTAGGGGATGCAGTGGGCTTAGTTCCTAGAAGGGATCCACTGCATGTTTTGGGGAACTGCAAGGTGAGGGGAGACGGCGGCCTGGTGTGATGTGTGCGATGTGTGAGGACTGGGGAATTTCTTCTTACGAGATAGGTATTCCGTCCAGAGTACCCTGTGGTTCGTGATTTAATCCCGCATTCACTTTGGGCGAAAGGCGTGCCGGGAGAGTTGGGGGGGGAGGGGGAGGTGGGCATGGAATATTTGACACGGAGCATACAGCGCACTGCGGGCATGAGATGAGGTTGGGGCAAATGCCGTTTCTACAAGATTATTCCAAGATCAAAAATAGCGTTATGAATGTCTTAGTCTTGTTCCCTAGGGTCATAGATAGACTTGAACCTGGATCTGGCGTGAAGCGGGACTCTACTGTCGAAAGAATGTGGTGTTCGGGGCAAACCCAGCATTCGGTTCCAGATATTGTCCACATGACCTGCAGGGCCCTTTCTCCATTCTTGCAAAGGACACTTTGTTCTTTAAACGGGGCGGGGTTGGGTTCCTCGGCTGAGTGCACCGAGTTGGAGAAGGTGCCAACACGGGGTCCCCGAGGTATCGCTGGCCATTGTAACGGGCGGGCCGCCCCAAACATTCGCCTCCTACGGCGTGCATCATGGGGCCAGCAGAGCACTGATTCAGGACCCAGCGTGACCTCCAATCCAGAGCGATGGAAATACCCGCCGGACAGTAGCGTGTGCACGGAGTATAGAATGTTGAGAGGGGGGTCCCAAACCAGCAAGGGCAGAGTCTGGGGAAGAACAAAATCCGGGGAAAGGCCAAAATGAAAAAACCGCGCCAGCGGCCGACAGGTGATTGGCGCGCCATGCCGGGCTCGGATCCGCCGGCCACTCAGCAGGCGCACATCCCATGAGCACGCAGAATTTTCTCGGGCCCTGCATTGGACGGCGTGAGATGGGGCGTGTCTCGTCATGTCTCCACCGTGTAAATGATCCGGGGAACGCCATACCCGTTTCGGGTCAGTCGATCCAGAGGTTTTCTTTTCTGGTCAGGGGCACAGTGCCGAGCTACCGACGGAGAGGAAGGTATCGTGGCAGGGGCGCGGGTCTGCCGGTATGTGCAACTATTGACAGGGGGAAAAAAGGAGAAATGCTCGGCACTCTGGGCATTGATCTCGGCATACTGCTCGGACGTTCATCTACGGTGCTGCCAAGGCAGGGTGTGGACAAGGGGGGGGGGTTGCGTGGATTTTGAGATGGACGATCTCCCAGGCTCAGGTACCGAACTGTGTGATGCAAGGCCCTAGCCCCGATCGACCGAGGTGCGAGGGGGGAGGAAATTATCCCGCACTACGGTGTTCAGATGCGGATTGAAGACGATGGGGTCATCGTGCTTGGATCGGCGGCCCCCTGAAATCAATCGATCCACTTTTGTATAGGGCTTCGTACACCGTATACTCCGTACAATACAATAGCGACAGTGGTTGAAGGGTGTCGTGCTCGGCACTCTGCACGATATACGGGGTCAATAATGGGCTTGATGGTGTGCGCACTGGCGTGCTCACAGCTCCTCGCAACGCGAGCATTCAGGGCGAATAGAAATGCCCCGTTGTGCTGTCACGACAGGGTGGCCCGGGATGGCCTCAAATGTCGCGAGGCAGTTGCGCATCGTCACCCAGCTGAGAGTGTCAGTGACGGCCGGTCCGGGATGATGCAATATGGCCGGTGTCATTCTCAACCCGTCGTTGGGGTCACACGGATCGACCAGGTTACCGTCAGGTACTGTCGGCGCCTGTATTGGAGGGCATCACGATGTGGAGGTTGAGCACACCTGACGTGAGAGAGCGCCAGAGCCCTGAGCCGGGCCACGAGGGCGCGAGGAATGCGGTGAACGGTAATACGGCCAGCTGTTCGCAGAGTCTGGGCGCAATGTGCGTGGTTTTTTGAGGATTTCCTGGGGGTAATGAAAACCTCGCTGCGGCCACGAAACCGCCGCTCATTCCTGTTTTTAGACGCCGCGGACGGTGATTGGCGGGTGAGGCAGTTTCTGTTACGTGAGGACAGCTTTCATTGGTGGTCGGCAGGGTCAGATGATCCGTCCTGCCTTGACGGTGTCGCTGGAAATGCACTAAAGCGGCGAGAGCCAGTGGGGGGAAAAAAGTGGACTGGAGTGGAGCGGTGGGAAGACATGAGGACGGGCTCAAAGACCAGTCACGGGCGGCAAAGCGGGCACAGGACGAGTCACGGGGCGAGGCCATCCACTGCCGCGCTGTTGCTGAGGCACCCAATGGGCTGACTCAGCGGGGCTGCTCTTCCCTAATGGGGGAGCCAGTCTCGCCATTTTAGCCCGATGACGCTACGAGAAAGAATTGCGAAAAAATTGCCAAAAAATTCCCCCACAGCCAGGCAGGCCCCACCGCAAGTAGCGTGTGACCCGTGGATGTCGTGCCTGGCCACAAGTCGCAAGGGCTGCAAGACCTGAAATGACTCCATGGCCCCTCAGCTCTATAAAACTGCAACCCCCGCCACGATCCAACAACGACTCCATAATTTGAATCTGCAAATTTTGACTACTCAATCTCAATTTCAATTTCATTGAAATTGCTTCCACTGTTCTTCGATTCCGCATATGGCCTGGACCGCTTTATAGTTGCTTTGCAGCCAGAATTTACATACTTGCCACATACTCGACACAACTCACATCCATCGCCATGCCCGTCTCATCAAATTACCGCGTGATCGAACCGCACCCGTCGGTACCTCACTCCACCCGTCCGGCTGTCTACACAGGTCGCGGAGGCTGCGGCAATGTTGTCAGCCTCAAGAACACCAAGACTACCAACTCGCGGACTGCCACTGGCCCGGCTTCGTTGACGCGCCTCAACTCTCACACCCCCATGACCTTCACTTCCGGCCGTGGTGGTGCCGGCAACGTCCACAGTAGCGGCGAGCGCGCTATCTTCAGTTTCGATGAGGAACTTGAGCGCGACCTTCGCCGTGCTGCTCCCGTCTACCACGTTGGCCGTGGCGGTGCTGGCAATATGATCTACCGCGACGACTCCTCCAACTGCAGCCTCAGCCGCAGGTACTCCGCCACGAGTACCAACACTGCCAGCAGCTCTGGCTCGGTGGCTGATCGTGCCCGCGACATGGCCCGCCGTGGCCTCGAGAAAGGCTGGTGTAAGCTCAAGGGCACTGCATAGACCGCGCCCCAGACCTTGACGATATCACGACATTTACGACCCCCCCAAAAAAAGTTTTTGCTTGTCGCCTCTTCGGCATTCCAACCAGCTCCATCTCACTTTTTAATCTCGCGGATCTCTTGAAACCAAGAAAACCATTCTGGCAACGATATGGACGGTCTTGAACCAAGCCCTCTAGCGGATCTCTTTCAACAACCCGTTTCTTTATTATGTCTGGATCCACCACTCGTCGCTCGATACCCTTATTCCCGCGACGATGCTTCAACTGCATCTCTGTTTTCTGACCGTGCACTTTGTCCTGTTCTGCAATTGCCTTTGCGAAAGACTCCTCACTCCACTATTACCGAGCCATTATGAGATCGGCGTTTCTCTGTTTCTCCAGGCTTGCCACTGCCCTCAGCAGAGCTTGCTTGGTTGCATACTTGCATATGCCAGAGGCAATTTCTGCCTTTCGGACAGTCATTTCGCGCCTGATTGCGCCAGATGAGGCATCTCGTTTACGGTATCTCGTTACATTTGGCAGCAGTCCATCGAAGGCCCGTGTATCCTTAGTCATTTGGCTTTCTTTTCTCAACCACATTTATTGTGCCTGATGTCTCATTTCTTGTTTCCCCGTCTTTGTCTCTTACAGATTCCCCAATGGCGCCACAGTTACTATTTCCTAGCTCTGAGCTTAACAATGAACTGCACGCCACTTCAGGCTGTATTGTGTGACTTGAAGAAACTTTTTTCACTCTTAATTCTAGTAGTTTCTAAGTTCTGGTAAATTTCATTGGTGCATATGCGTTTGGAAGGCGTGTTCCTTGTTCAGTGGATCCAGCCGATGGCGACATTGCGGCCGGGCCGAACGTGGTGGCACTGGCCTGTCAGAGTCGCAGCCGGGGCTAGGCGAGGGCAGCCGCTGGGGCATGTCGCCTCCCGTCCCTTTGCCTCCCGGCAAGCAACATCATGCGTGCAGTTGGATTTTTACCCCGTTTACCCCGTTCATCTTGACCGGTGCCTCTAACGGCAATGGCCTGTACCTTGAGTTTTGATATTTTCAATGACCCGACAACTATGATGTCATTCGGGTACATTGGCAAAAAAAGACATGGAAAGGAACAGTCCTTTTTTTTCAGTAAATTTTTTTTTTTCAATTTCTTTTAGTTTCTAGTTTTTTTTACCTCGTCACTGCATTCGGGAAGATTTACTTCACAGCGTATAGTAAAATCCCGCCAATCCTTCGATTTCCAGTGTGCCTCGCTTAGCCTTTCGATTCGCATGATGCATGTATGCGACAAGGATCCCAGCGACGGTTAAGATAACGACATTGCAACTAGTCAAAATTAAAATATCAGCGCCCGGGCATTAAGTGTAAAGTGAAACAAACCCGTACTTACACAATTGAAGCCACGACTCCAACAAAATACTCCGGCGCATCCTGAGACCGAAAAACAAGCGCTCCAATAATACCACCCGTGCCGCCAAAAGTAATCATACTAGCACTGCAGAAGGCTCGCTTCCACTGGCCGCGAATATTGTTCGCCTGCCATGCCAAGACAGCAGGCACAGTCGCGTTGCAGCCAGCGCACACGAGGAAGATACCGAGGTATTGCACTCCCGGAGAGCGTGCCCACTCTAGTAGGCACAAGCCAACCATGTTCTGCAATGCGTTCCACACAATGAAGGGGCTTCGGCAACGCCATTTATCACCCAGCCAGCCTTGGGTGTACATAATGATACCAGCAAAGAAATACGGTGGCGTACTAAGGACTTGCGCAATTCCGACACTGAACCCGAGTCTGCTGGAGAGAATGATGGGCATGAAGAAGGCCAGCGAGTAAGCGACCACAGTACTGCATCTGAAGTAAGGTTAGCTAGTCGAAGCGACTCAGAGAATCCATGAACATACAAAAAGATCATCGCAAAGGCCCAGACCTTCAGCTCAAGCCCAGGTTTCAAGAATGCAGACCAACTAAAATGCTCGTCTTCTACATCATGCTGATCCCTATCAATCTGATGCAGGACAAAGTCAATCTCTCGCTGCGACAGGAAATTGTGCGCTTTGTGTGCATCCTGTGGGAAGCTGATGATAAGTATGTAGCCAAAAACAGCCAGGATGCAGGTGAGAAGGCCTTCCATGACAAAAATCCATTGCCAGGCATTGAGACCTCCGAGGCCAGCCATTTGCATGAAACCATATGCGAGAACACCAGAAAGTGAAGCCCCAACGGTACTGATCAGGTAGAAGGAAGAGTAACGTTTGTGCACATCATCTCATTTTGTTTGTTAGATGAAACGAGGTACTCAGATATCCATGGACTTACAGCGACGGTACCACAGAGAGAGGAGGTAAATAGCTCCTGGGAAGAGCCCTGCTTCAAAGGCTCCGAGGATGATGCGCAGGCCCATCATGACCTTCCAATCATGTACAAAGCCAAAGCACTGTTTCAATTAGAACGCTGTCCGCCGGAGAGGTCAGACAACTTACTAGCATCACGACACCCCATAAGAAGGTGATTCCAGCAAGAAATTGTCGGGGACCTAATTTGCGGACGATGATAGAGCTCGGCAGTTGAAAGAGGACATACGGGACGAAGAATATCAAGACAATGAGAGACTGTCAAGTAAGCGGGATATTTAATCCACAAAATTCAGAGGAACGAACATATCTTGACTCGATATTCAATGCAAGATCCTTCTGCATCCTGCTCAATGTCTTCCAGGTCAACAAACATAGTATACTTCAATGCCGTCAGCCACATACCCTGCAATTGACGCATTTCCTAAATTGGTGCGGTCCATGAGACTAACACCAAACAACAACCCAAGACCGGTGATGAGTCTTCGGTCAATCTTGTGAACGATCTGCCGTTGCTGCCGCTGCGTGAAGCCAAAGTCATCATTCGGCACCGAATAGCCACCCATCTCGACGTGCTCCGAGCCTTTCTTTGGATCCATTTTGGAGAAATCGAGAAGTGGCTGGACAAAACCGAAGAATGTTTTCACCATACCGCACGGTAGATCTATAGAATTATAAAGCTGGGGTCAAGGCGGGGGTGCCGAGCCCACTTCGGTAAATTCGGTACATGGACCGAGATGGGGCGCCGAGGTGATCACTTGGGCTCGGCATAGTTGTTACATTTAAAGCAGAACGCTCATTCGCAATCAGACACAGACACAAATATCTCGCTGCTTCTATTTAGATTTTGTATATCCGCCTCCATGTCAGAGGATTTCGAAAACGCCGATCGCGGCTTCATGGGCTCCATCGAGCCATGCACAATACAGAACAAATCAGGCCACACTGTCTGGGACATCAAAACGTTCGCATTCCTCGAAAATGATTGCCCCGAAACCGTGAATGCAAAGCTGTGGCGACAGGGCCAACTGACTGCTAAGCATGGTCTTTTCGAAGTCACGAAAGGGACCTATCAAGTACGCGGCTTCGATATCTCGAATATGACAATTGTTGAAGGACGCACGGGTGTCATTATCATTGATCCGCTGGTATCCCATGAATGTGCTGCTGCTGCGTTCTCACTCTACAAGAAACATCGTGGCGACAGGCCTCTGACAGGCCTGATCTACTCCCACTCTCACATTGACCACTTTGGCGGGGCGCGAGGAGTCTTGTCAGAGGGCATGGAGAATTCCGTTCCTATCATCGCCCCCTCCGGCTTTATGGAAGAAGCGACGTGCGAAAACATCTACGTGGGACCCTCCATGCGCCGCCGAGCACGATGGATGTATGGAACGAGTCTGCCGAAGAGCCCAGAGGGACAGGTTGGATGTGGGCTGGGACTGGCGACGTCGCAGGGCTCAACCTCACTCATCCCACCGAATGTGCTTATATATAACACAGGTGATGAGAGAGTGGTGGATGGCGTCCGGCTCGTCTTCCAAATGGTCAATGGGACCGAAGCGCCGTCCGAGTTCAACTTCTATTTCCCAGACAGCAACGCGCTTTACATTTCCGAATGTGCCACCCACAACATGCACAACATTATCACCCTGCGCGGTGCACTCGTCCGCGATGCGAAAGCATGGTCTAGGCACCTCGACGAAAGCATCGCCCTTTTCGGCGAGAAGGCAACCGTACTCTTGGCCGGGCACCACTGGCCAACCTGGCGGAAGGAGAAAATCAATCAAATGCTCACTGAGCAACGGGATATGTACGCCTTCATGCATGACCAGACTGTGCGCCTCATGAACGAAGGTATGACTGGCATCGAGATTGCGGAAACTCTCAGACTGCCCCCGGCCCTTGATAACGCCTGGCACTTGCAAGGGTACTACGGCTCACTCAGCCACAACATTAAAGCTATCTACCAGCGTTATATGACCTGGTTTGACGGAAACCCCGCCAACCTGTGGAAGCATCCTCCTGTTGAAGAAGGGAAACGGTATATCGCCTGCATGGGTGGCGCGGATCAAGCCATCGAGATAGCGGTGAATTATGCAGACAGCGGTGATCTGCGCTTCGCAGCTACATTACTAGGCCATGTAGTCGCTGCAGAGCCCAATCACACCAGAGGTCGGGAAGCACTTGCTTCTGTCTATACTCGACTAGGTCATGGATCTTTGAATGGAACCTGGCGCAACTTCTATCTCACGGGGGCGCAAGATCTGAGGAGCAGCCCACAGCATATCTATGGAAGCTCATTGGAGAAAATGGGTCTGCCAAAACTAGATCCGCTATTGAGTGTTGAGCAGTGGTTGGCAGCTCTTTCAGTCCAGATTGATGGGCCGCGCGCCGCTGGCGACTCCCTCATTATCGACATCGCCATTTCCGATGTTGGAGAAACATGGCGACTTATCCTCAGCAACGGTGCTCTGACATATAGAGCCTTGTCTACGAAAGCACTGTCTTTGGATGAGGCTGGCCTCCAGCTGCAAGTGACCAAAGAGGAGTTCCGAATGCTGCTTCTCAACAAGCAAACGGCTGAAGCTAAGACAGTTCAGGGAAACTCGGAGCTATTTTTGAGGTTGATGCAGTTCTTTCCATGGGGGACCAAGACTGGCTTCAACAGCCACTTGTGAATTATCGGGATCTTTCATTTTGTGTGTTCAATGCAGGAAGAGTTGAATTAGTATATGCTATGGAGTCGAGATAGAGTGGAGACACAATGATACATGTTTGATTGACTACTTGTTTCTGTACGGGAGAGGTCACTTTAGCTCAATGTATCCAAAAAGCCGAGCTGGTATTCATCAAAAATCCAGTTCAAGTCGTCACCCAGCTCTGCCATCCTATCTAATATGGTCTGATCGTTAGAATCGTTGCGATTCTCTTGTATCAATGCCATTCGAGGACTAAGCGATCCAGGGAAAGGAAAAAGACCATTTAATAGATCAGAATGAAGATGGCATAACCACGACTCTTCTGTCGGCCGAGTGGTGTTCCGCTGTTCATCTGGGGCTCCCGCATAAGGCATTGCTTGAGTTGAATTGAAGTCACACAAGCGGTCAACTATATCTAACAAGACCCCTGCTGGCGGCCACTTCAAACGCATGTATCGCAGTGCATTTGTCAAAATAGAAAGCTCTTCGCCACAAAGGTGGTCATTTCCGTGACAGGCGGCGTTATGGTGGATCTGCGGCGCGCATCCTACCATCAGAAACCAATTATTAATTGGCATCAAGTAGTTCATTTCGTCGCGGTACATTATTTCCTCATACAGGCGTGATATGCAGGATGAAGCTACCAATGACGCGGTAGACGCTGTTAGCGATGAGAGAGAGTGGCTGAACAGGCGAAAGAAGACGATCAGGCAGACGAAATAGTTGATGTGTACCTCGCTCACATCCCTCCGGTAGGGGTCGCGGTTGTTACCGTGGTATAACTGTAGCTGCAGCGGGAGCTCGTTGATCCACTGCTGCAGTGATTGCAAGACTGACATGGCCTATGGATGGGATCAGCTAGTGAAGCAGACTAATAGTGGTCGTTGATGCAATTTATGATCTCTGACCTCATCCTGTGGCATTTCCCTTTTTTGACAATGGCGTTCCACAATCCCGCCCAGGATCACATTGAGTTTCGTATATTCAATAAAGAGCTCAGCTTGAAGATTTGGAACTTCAAAGTCGTCGAGTTTTGGTAATCGTATATTGAAGTCCGTGTCTTTGATGATCGTGGGTCGTCCGAAGCAAGCAGTTTGAAGCTTATCCTCCACCTTTTGGCACTTTTAGAGCTGGTCCATATTTGACGCCGAAGCAAGTACATACAAATAGGAACCACATTATCCTTCGGTCATTCCCTGGATTCGCAAGTTGTGTATAAGTTGACTCGCAATGGAGGCCCATTTGATGGGCCAAACGCGTTGCCATCCCAACCCACTGCCAGGAACAGTCGAGGCTGACAACCTTGGGAGGAGTGATATTCCTGAAATTCAGAAGACAGAGAGCCTTTAGCACAGCTCGTTGATCCGCTTCATGATTGGTATAGATTAGCGCCTTCACTTTGTTGTAGTATCTCTCGCTCTCTTCGAGAAGCGGATGGATCCCGGGGTGTTGCAAGAGAGAGCCGATCAAGCAAATGGCCTGGGAGATCAGTATTGACGGCTGGCCTGTTGAAAAATCTTCTCGGTCCAGAATGGGGGCACGGTGGTATAGGTGCTGGAAGTAGAAATCGGCAAATGCTTGGACTTGTGCTTTCGGTGGCAATGAGGTGGCGGCGACAGCACCTAGAAGCTCCTTAGAGAAACGATCTCGTACAGCCCCTATTGCTCTTGGTATCAGATTTTCCTGTCGGCTGGCTAAGGGAGACATAAATGACTCTGCGCCCACGAACGCCTGTGGCTCGACTGATGATTTGGCGGTTTGAGACACATTTTGCATCTCTTGCAGCTCTTGGTTTGAAGATGCTGGGGAATATAGTGGCCCAAAGTCGATGAAGGTGGGATCACGAGACCCTGTGCCTTGTGACCTAGGTGGCTCAGCTTTTTCTGAAAACGTGCCATGCCGCCTAGTCGCATAAAGCCGGCGGCCACGTCGCCTGCCACAAGGGTTAGCAGCCGAGGAAGCATGGTGTGGAACAGATAGGGGACTTGCCGGCACACTTGCTGACGCCTTTTGCAGTTACTGCAGGCGTCGCTTGTTTGATCTTCAAGGTCGCATCGGACCTCCCCGCACAAAGTCAGTTGTTGGTCGCATGGAAGTAATCAGATAATATAGCCAGTACCTTCCTTGTATGGCAATGTAAGCAGACAACCCTGGCCCTATCAATGGCTTTCTGTTTTGAAGACATGACTCAATCGGTGGTAGAATGACAGGCTTGAATCATCCAAACTCGAGAGGTGCATGCAGCAAGTCTAATTTAGTCTACTCGGTTGGTTGCTGCATCCCCGCATTTGACTTATGGAACCAGCCGAGGCTTAGCCTAGCAGCAGTAATCTAATGAAATGGATGGATGATGTGACTCGCGATTGCTTTCGTATCGGAATTTTCTAATACAAACCATCCTTGACATTCTGTAAGCACTACGCTAAATTGGAACCTATGAAATATCTAAAGTCTATTAGGCAACTGTCTACCCTAATAGTAAGTAGAACCCGCTGTATACCAACCTTCAAAGACACAAAACTCCAAAGTCAAACTGTGAGAAGAATAGAAAAGTTGTATTTGCACAGATCGGTGAGTTCGCCGACAAGATACCAAAATGGCGTGTCACATAAGCAAGACAAGGATCAAGGAGATTGGGGGATATGATGGGAAAGGGGTATCAAAAGTCGCAGAGATGCTCGACTCGGACTCAATAACATTTCAAGTAATCGCTGATCACTTGGATGTCTACATTGCGCTGCCTATTACGCGAATGAAGGCAGTGGCACACAGTTGTTGATTTGGTCTGAGAATGTCCTCACTCTTCTTCATGGTGGGGTGAAGATAGGATCATCCGGTGGTTTTCGACGGTTACCAACTTTGCAATCGCATTGAGGGCATGTTGTAATAGAGAATGGGGAGGCATCGGAGGATCACGTCGGGGAGAAGGGAAGCAATGTCGCGGAATTTGCACCCTTGATAGTTAGAAAAGACGCTACTTTAGGCGAATCGCTTGAAGATGATCTCAGGGTCTTCGTGCCACTCATCCGCGCTCACCCACATCTATACGAGTCAGTTAATGAAGTGCTCAGGTGATTTGCTACCTCAATGATTCCACATACCTTTCTGAAGGTGCTTAGACCAGCAAGAATGCTACCTCCGATCCATGTGGTATACTTGCGCTCCGCAGGTGCAGAGATCCGAATCTTCATGTCCTCGACCGCAAGTCGCTTGATCTCACGCATGAGGCGGTCCGGGAAGTTCTTGCACAGAGTCGATCCACCGGAGAGCACAATGTTGAGGTATAGTGACTTGCGCAGATCAAGATCGGTGCGAGTAATAGCATCCTGGACGATCTGGTGTACACCGGGGTATTCGAGGCCGATGAGTTCAGGATCGAAGAGGATTTCAGGGGCACGGTAGCGTTCTTGACCAATCTGCACAACAAAGAGAGGGTACACGTTAGTAAAGTGGTAGGTCCAAAAGTAGGCTGCGTTGCATCGACATGATTTACCTTGATCCTGTGGCCGTCAGGCAAAGTATAGTCGACTGCTTTAGCATCCGATTTGTGATAGCTGTTCATCCACTCCTTTTCCTCGCGCTTTGGGTCTAGCGACACATAGCAGACCTTCTCCTTGATCATGCGCACCACCTCCTTTTCGGCGCTGGTATGTAGCACATGACCAGCTTTTCGCAAGAGCAACTGCATCTGTTCTGTAACATCGCGACCGGCGACATCAATCCTTCGAATACTGTTGGGAATGGCGAAGCCTTCGAATACTGGCACAGCGTGAGAGACACCATCTCCCGAGTCTAGAACGACACCGGTAGTGCGCCCAGACGCATAAAGAGATAGTACAGCCTGGATAGACATGTAGAGTGCTGGCACATTGAAAGCCTCGAACATGAGCTGGGCGGCCATGTCACGGTGGGCGCGAGGGTTCAGCGGCGGCTCCGTGAGCAACACGGGGTGCTCCTCGGGGAGGGTCTTGAGCTCGTTTTCGTAGACGTAGTGCCAGATCGATTCCATGTCCTCCCAATTTGTGACGATTCCATGCTCGAGCGGGTACCGAATCTTCAGGAGACCGCGCAGTTCCTGCGCGCGCTGGCCGATGAATGAATCGCCCTCCAGCCCACCGGCCATGACCCGTGGGTGTTTGGGCCGGCCGACAAACGACGGGAAATAACATGAAGGAATCTCCTCGCCCGCGAAGCCGGCTCGAATGGTTCCGCTGCCATTGTCAATGACAATCGGCACGTTGTGAAGAGTAGCCTCTGCCATTGCGGGGAGTGGTGAGAAAGGAGGAATACGGGGGTCGGGAAGTCGAGGCGCAAGTAGTTGAGACGGCCCCACGGCCTAGGATCGACGACTCAGGATATCGGAGGCGGATTCGGAAAAAGAAAGCATGTATTGTCTCAATGGTGGTTGACAACGTTCACCTGTCGAGGGCGTCAGGAGTGGAGGCTTCTGCGGCTTCGCGTCGGGAGTTGTCAACAAGAAGCTTGGGCCAATGATGGTCCCCGATGGGGTCGCATCCACTTCGGCTGGTTCATCTCAAAGAAATGACACTCGCAGTTGTTTGTACATTTATATCTACATAAGCAACAATTGGGGCTCCCTTCCGCCCTAATAGATGGGTCTTGCAGGGACTTTTCTTTGAGGATTTGTTTTTTGGTACTTTAGGAGTAGGTCTAGTAGACCGGCCGCATTCAAACAAACAGCAGGGCCAGGCAACTGTTCGAAAGAGAGCAATTTTGTAACCCTTGTAATGACGCCACTGTTGAGATATGAAGACCAACATCTTATCATCAGTTGAATGAATTTTGAGACTATTTTACTGTCCTCGGGGAATATTTTGTGTATCCTTAATGCATTATGTGCATGCGCTGGTAGCTCCTTTGGGCCCGGATCTTACTGGTATGTTGAAGCTGTTCAAAGAAACAGACTTCATTCCAGCTGCCCACTTCAGACTGGAAAGACCAAAGGGAGTTTTAGACGTATGTAAAATGGTTGCCATGGGGAGGCGAACAGGACGAAACGCTGTGAAGGGGAGCGAGCAGGTATACACCACATGCGCTTGTTTCGTGCCGAGTATGGTGCTGTGGGCAAGATAATGCTTTCTTTGATCTTCCCGCCAGCGACGCAGGAGCATGGGAATCTCGGGATTTTGCCAAATTTTGAACAGAGAGAAAGCCACTGTGAGAAAAAGGAGGTGAGCTACTACACCCTTTCCTAGTCCGGATCCAATGACCCTCCTCCAAAGTTTGGAGAAAGCGACAATAGAGCATCATACCTCAATACAGAATTGATGCGGAGATGCAAAACACCTCATTGCATGCACCAAGTGTGAGACCAAGAAGTTTCAGTCCACGAACGAAAGCTCATCCGACAGGGGCACGTCCAAGCTGTTTTTGCTGGCATTCAAAAAGAAGGGTGCACGCTCACGCCGGTTCGCTGCTTTGCCAACAGTGCTGGGCAGATCTCTGAGTCGATCGTCAGATAAGGAGTGTCATCTCAGCTGAGAAGGAAGTGGGAGAGCTTACGCAACGTTGCCAATTACCGCATACCCCTGGCATGCGAGTTCATCTGCGAGCTCCTGCTGGTGATTGTCGGCGAGATCGGGATTGGGAACTACCACCAATGGTACGCTTGCGCGAAGAGCGGCCAGGATAGAACCAGTACCTGAAAAACGGTTACTCTCCATGGACTTTGTTATCCAGAACTGAACAGGTGCCTTACCAGCATGGCTGATCACCATTCCCAGCTCCTGATGCTTAGAAGAGTCCTCCTGCACCATGCGCAGATATTCAGTTAGACTGGGCCGGAGGTCGAAGCCACCAATATCTAAGCCGTGCGCCCGATCGCTGCTCTTGACTCTCTCGGTAGCATATTTTTCAAAGATGTGCTGGCCGCCTTTGCCATACTGAACCAAGAGGTGGGTGAAGTTGTACTTCTCCAGCTCCGCCAAGAACGATTCCTGGAGAACTGCCTGAACCAGCTTCTCGAACGACGCCGTAGCTCCTACTGTGACAAAACACAGTTTCATGATGATAAAATAACGTATTTAAAATTACTGAGGATCGAGAAGCTGGGGAGTGTCGAAAGTGGAATCATCGCAGACGTTGTGGTCGCCGCTCTTGCTATGGAATCGATCACGTGCCTCCCAAATAGGCTTAGATCGGATCGGACTCGGAGGTGGAAAACATCGAAAAAGGCACTTCCGCAAATCCATCCGCATATCAACGCCCGCAACAATGGCTTGTGTTGCTCGGTCATTGTCGCGCTCTGCCCGAGCCCTGGCTCAAAGGGGCCCGGGATTTCTTCCTGCCCGGTCATTTTCCGTGTCGCCCTTCCGGTTCGTGACCGAGGACCCGGTCATTCCTCCTCCCCCGAAGGACCTCAAAGCGGAGGATTACCCACCTGCTCCCGAATATTCGCCGGATCTCCTCACCAAGGAGGAGAGGTCCATGTACGATATGCTGTCTCCCGAAGAGCGGGCAGCCTTTGATGCCGAGAACCGCCGTATTGTTGCCGATTTCAATGATGTCGAGAAGCGCGCCGCGGCTTTTGCGGAGCTCGAGAAGAGCGTCGATCAGATTGACAAACAGGAAGATATCCGTTTTGAAGATGTTCGGTCTAAGGTCCGCGGATTCTGGGCCGAGGACGATGGCGACGAGATGGCCCAGGTGGAGGACGGAGACGAAGAGATTCAAGATGACGAAATCACCTCAATGGCCTATGCTGAGATGGAACTGCATCGGGAGATGAGAGAATATGCCCGCATTGCGGCATGGGATATGCCAATGCTGAGCAGTAAGATCTTAACCCTGCGTTGTGATTACTCTGGAGGTGCTAACCGCGGCTCCGGCCTCTTTCTAGAGCTTGCCAAACCTTTCACACTGCCCGCCGAAACCCACATTCTCCGCTTCCGCTACACTACATACATGGGCGAGCAACATCCAGCTGAACCTAAGGTGGTCGTGGAGCTTGCATCCCAAGACCTGACCCCCAAGTACCTCACCGAGGCTCAGCGCCAGACCTTCCTGAAGCTGGTTGGCCCGCGCTACAACCCCCAGACCGACATTGTCAAGATGTCCACCGAACAATTCGGATCTCGCGCACAGAACAAGCGGTATCTTGCCGATGTCGTCAACTCGCTGATCCAAGAGGCCAAGAAGGGCGATTCGTTCGCGGATGTCCCGCTCGATTTGCGCCACCACAAGCCCAAGTTCCGCGCTCATTTCCCTGAGTCGTGGAACATGACCGAAGAGCGCCGGAAACAATTGGCGGCGCGTCGCAAGGAGCGACTGGATGCCGAGTCGATACGGGAAGCTGTCATTGATGGCAACCAGATTGTCTCTGAGGCCGTCTCGGTCCTTCCAGAGCTTAACCCGGCGCTGAAAGCCCGCGCCGCCGAGGAGCGGGAGAAGGTTGCGGTTAAGGTTGGAGCGCGGCCATCGAAGAGGCCGATGCGCCGGTGAGGTGTCTTGATTGGCAATGTATAGTTATGCTTTGCATGGTCTCTTTCTCTGGGGTGTAAGACAACTGCGGTAGACATTTGCGAGGCGCGGGCGCATTTTCTAAGGGGTTTAATCGGCCCTATTTCTTCTCAATGTACTATAGCCATTTTATTCCAAGTCACCGGTGCCTCGCTGCCATTTTCCTGAATGAATCGATAATGATCCAGGCTTCTACCACGCGTTGCATATTTCACATGGCCCGTAGTCCGACGGGCCGTGAAAAGAACCGTGTTCTTACATGCTAACCTTGCATTTACAACACTACGAGATCGAAGCAGAAGCGGGTAAAAATAAAAATAATTGATATGTCCTCCCATATGGTTGCTTCCAGAAGGAGATAAGGGAGTCGGCCGTTGCTATCGGATCCCTTCAAGAAAGAGGGTTCCAACCTGCATCCTCCGTCTCACACCCTTCGTCCAGCCTCCAGCATGCTCGCTTTTGTTCAGGCCCGGCATGTCAAGGATATCTCGTTTCCCGCGAGGGTACAAGATGGGTCCTAAGCACGCGGAAATTTGAGAACAGTGAAAGTCAACCCACAGAAAAGTAAAGTACAAAGCAAACCGGAAAAGGCGCACACAACCGACCTACTTCCGACGAACGCCATCGCAGCAGAAAACATCAATGTTCGTCAGAATCAGTCGTCAAATCATTAACCACTCATCATCTCGCGTATCTCTCCTCCATAATTGTTCATGTTTCCAGGTGGCGCCGCACAGAGGGAAAAATGGCGAGCGAGGATTGGTTGTCATGGTTGTTCAATGTTGCCAGATGAAATCGCTTATATCATAACAGACAGGTAATTTTATCTGGCAATGTGGGCATATCTCGAAACGGAAACATGGTAATGCCCGGGTGAACAGGGTCCAGGGTAAGTACGTCAACGGAAAAGATCAAGGTGTAATTCGTGCATATGATCAATCTCATGCAATATGGTCAAAGATGTCTGTGAAATATCGTATCACATGTCTAGTAACGGCGGATAACCAGACGAGAGAGCGGTTTTTTGGGATCAATGCGATACTGGGCACAGTCTGCACGTGAAACAGGGCGGAGGTAGTCCTGGTACTGGCTGTCGAAGGGGAACTTGAGGTTAGTGTCGGTCATGGTAGAGGTAGGGCGCTGCACAGGCTCGCCAATAGCACCCCAGTTGAGCAGGACCTCGCTGGGATGGATGGGCTCCGAAGTAGCCACAAGTTCTCTCAGCAGGGAAGCCGAGAAATTGGAAGAGCCACCCTGAGTAGCGGCCGAGGAGGCGGCCTTGTCAGCAGTCTCGGTCTCAGTGCGATTGGCGAACTGATTGAAGGCAGGGGGTTTAGTATCTCCCCGAGGGAGCTTGACACCGCCATCCGAGCCGAAATCGAAGAGACGACGAGACTTGGTACGGAAGGGATCCTTCTCGGCCTCCTTGTTCATGGGGGAATTGAATCCACCCGGGGTGGTAGTCAGCTGGCTGAGGCGAGAAGACAGGGAATTGCGAGTTATACCGTCCTTGTCCAGGATGTGCTGCGCCATAACATCAGGTTCAGAAAGGCGAGAGACCCCATGGTCAGACAGGAGATCGAGCTTGGTGCCGGTGGTGATTTTGAATGAGTTTTCGCTGGTACTTGGGGACGAGGTCTCAGGAGTGGCATTGTTGTAGTTCGCGGAGGTCTGAGTTAAGCCACTACGGTTTCCGTTCTTGTTCCAGTTCGGGATGCCGTTGCCACGGCCCTTACCAGCGCCAAATCCAGCACCACGGGGAGACTTGTAACGGCCGCCACGGTGAGGGTGGCTGTTGGTGGTGCTGTTGGTGGTGCTATTGTTGGTGCCACTGGTACCAGTGGTGCTGGCATTGTCAGTGGTGGCATGGTACTGGATAGCTTTTGGGGTAGGCTGGTCAACAATTGCATGGTGGTTTGGTCCACGGGGGTTGCTAAAGCTGGGCTGCAGCAGACTTGGCACATTGTACTTCTCACGGTACCAGCGAGGGATGTCGCGAAGGCCAAGCTTCTCAAGCATGAAGGGATCGGTTGGCATCTCATGCTTGTACAGGCAGCCTACAACCATTCCAGTTAGCCCAGTACTGTAGGTGAGAGTACTTCGAGGATACATACCCTGCTGCTGGTAGTCACACTCGCCGTGGCGAATCCAGTAGGAACAGTACTCCTTCTTGTGGTTGAGGCTCTGCTGCAGTGAACTCTGGTCAGAGATACTGGGCATAGAATAGGTGGACACGGACGCCTTACCTGTTTACCATTGCCATAATTGCCGTAGTTGCCAGTGTTATCGGTGTTGCCAGCGTTGCCAGCAGCATTATCATACAAGACAGGCGAGGTAGACTGGCCAGCCGCAGCATTCGAAGCAGGGGTATCAAGGATGTAAGCAGCATCCAAACCACGGTACAGAATGCCCTTGATGGACATACGAAGGTGAGTCGCAACGTTGTCATCAGCCATGATCTTGAGGAGCACCGCCTGCAGTTCAGCGAGGTCACCCTTGTTGATGATCCCACCATGAGAGGTAGGAGCAGTTCCGTCGAGAGTCCAAGGCTCAGAGCGAGGAGCAACAACACCGCAGCTGGTCATTCCTTGAGTCTCACCAGCAGTCAGGATACGAGCAACACCGCGAATCGTGACCTGAGCGGGCAAGTCATCCAGCGCAATGAGCGGAGTCAGCACTCCGTTGGGGCGGCTGCAAAAGAACGAAGGACGAGCCTGAGAGCTCATGGTGAACTCTGTTCAGCTATTCTTATGGCAGTGAAGTTTGAAAGCCGGGAGGTTGTATGTAAAACAGTCTTAGTTATGGTAATGAAAGAGGAGGAGCTGGGTGGTGGAGAAGGTTGACAGAAGAGAGAGAAAAGATGGGAGATGGGAAGAAGGTCGAAGATTCAAGAATAGAAGAAGATGGGGAGAAGAAACACTCCTGGCTGAAGCTCACGCGCGTGGGTTCACTTCACTTGACAGTGGAGTGCCACCGTTACCTGGAATTTGCCATGCATGAAAGAGATTCACTTATTTTACGGTTCATCCCGCCTACAATGAGGACATAATTGGGATAACGCTTGCCAACTGGCTATTGTGAACCAAATCTTCTACAACACAATAGAATGACGGGATGATGGATTGGTTGAGCGGCTCGTTGAGCCGGCGAAATGGACATAGATACTGCTGAAGAAGTCTAGATAAGCTTATTTGAGCACTGTCAACTTGAGGCAATGCCTATCAGCGGGTCCAGTATGCAGCTCTCGACATAACATGAGCATACAGAAAGAATCCAGAGGTGTATCGTATCCTTGGATAGTACAAGTCTGTTTTATTCTATTCAAAGGCTTGATGTTGGGACACACTGAGATAATGAATGAATGCTGCCGACCTCAACCGGCTGAATTCAGCACGCATCTGGTTGACATTTGAGCTTGTAAAGGCTTTTCTACATTTTTTCCCTATATCTAAAGGCACTGAATTATGACACGCGACCTTCGAACCGCCGCCACCCCAGGACCCATTGTTCACAGGCCCGTCACTAAGCCTTTGAAAGCTATCGTGTCCTGCAATTGGTGGTTCTGGTTCAAGAGCAACAAAGCCCATGACTTTTCTTATGCACTCTAGACATTTCAACGTTTCAACCTCCTTCAGCTTTCAATGACACAGAGGGAGTGCCTTTACGCCGATACCCTTGGCCTTCGCAGAGGCACTCGTTGGGAAGCTGTCTTGAAGACTAGATAGCCAAAATATTGATGCAAAAGAGGAGTCGTGGAGTACGATACACAGGCTTGGCATGCAGTCTCTGGGGACGCGAATTTGATCTCTGAGTGATGCCTCTGGAGGACCGGGTATCCTGAGGAACAGAAAGGTTTTCACTCGCACTGGAATACTACCCTAGATTTGGGGGCCGACCTGTGGATTTACTATCCTCCGGTGATCAAACGCACGCCATCAAGAATTACGAGCGTGGTAGCACGAAGAGCCTCTTTTCCAATGACCGTCAAAGGGTGGCTAACGTAGTTTAGCCTTCTTGGAGGCTAAAAATGAGTGACGTTATTGGGCAGTCGAAGACATGATGGAATGGTTAAAAAAAGGATGATGTATGCTAAGATCAACCGGGTATCATAATCATCGCTCATCAGAAAGGCAAAAGAAAAGGTCCAGGCTAGTTTTAACGTCTCAGTCTGTGCGGGACAGTCTGAAAAGGAGAGAAAAAATCACGGTAGACGATACCTTGCAAGAAGGTACGTTCCTCCGTAAGATTCTGTAAATCACAAATATAAAGAACCCCCTTCGTGAGCAACCATCGAGTGATTGTGCTGTTTGAGGGCCACAGGAGTATACACGATGTGATTGAGGAGCACCAGGGCCTAAGTAAGGTCAATGATCATCGGATCATTCCTCGGGGGCTGAACTATAGCCGCAGGAGGAGGCTGGGCAGGCCATTCGATGTGCTGACTGCGTGGCGCCAAGGAGATCCGTGGCACTAGTAGGTCTGCCTCTTTTTGCGCCTGTATGCGGGCCTGAGCTGCCAGGTGACCGAGGGTACCTTGCAGGTATTTTTTGGCCAAACGAACATGGTCTGGGTTTTCATTGCTCCGGCTTAACGCATCCAGCATGCGGCGGACCTGAGTCTCAGACCTGAAGTGCGAACAGTTACGATTTCTGCCGAAGTGCGCTAGGCCACACAGAGGGCAATATTCGTGTCCCACTTTCTTCAAGGCGCAGTGGCCGAGCAAGTGATGCTGGTTGCATGCAATGCAGCGAGCAGGGAAATCCATGGTGCCATCCAGGCCGAGAGGTGGTTCAGGTGGCGGGTTGTGGACACGCTTGAAAGAAAGTGACTTCGATTGGGTAGGAGTCGGCTGTTGAATATCCATCGCGTTCTCAATTGCATTTGACGTAGTGTCGCTTTGCGCAGCTTCCTCTTCTTGCTGGAACTCGACGTCACTGTCGCCTGCCTTGCGCGCTTTGACAGGAGAGGAAATCATCGCCCCCCGCTCGTTAGCGTCGTCGTCCTCTCTGATAGTTTGGTAGTTGACTGCGGCTCGTTTACGCTTACCACGCCCAAGACCCTCCGCCTTTCTGTATTCTTCCTCTTTGGCATCGCGCTCCCGCTCACGGAGTATTTCCTCCCAAACAGTGGCATCAACAGGCGTCTCCTCAGTTTCGGTGACTTCTTCGAGCGTGCCGCTGTCATTCTGCCACACACGTGCGAAGCTGAATTGTGGCTGATCGGTCGAGGAAGCGGGGGTATCTGACGCAATCTTTTCAACCTTTACGGCCTGGCTGCGGTCGAGGAGCTTGTTGATAGAGTCCGAATCATAATGGATGTCGAGAGACTTGTCGTCATTGAATAAAGCTTGAGCACCGTGCCTGAGGATGGATTCCAAATCCTCCTGGTCTTCATCAGCTTCCATGCGCTCAATAAGCACATGATCCAGTGCGAGCTTTTTCTTGCCCATTTCCATGATCTTTTCTTCCACTGATCCCCGAGTGGTCAAGTGGAAGACCAAGACGGTGTTCTTTTGGCCAATTCGATGGGCACGGGACAAAGCTTGCAGGTCTTGCTTTGGATTGAAGTCTGGATCCATGATGATGACAGTGTCAGCAGTGGCAAGGTTGATACCCACACCCCCTGATCGAGTTGATAGCAAGAACGCGAAGAACGGAGAGTTGGGCGCATTAAACTGATCGATCTGGTGTTGCTTCTGCCGAGATGTCAAATTTCCATCTAGGCGGCAGTAGCGAAGTTGAAGACCACTGAGGAAGTCTTCAACAACATCTAGGTTCTCCAGAAATTGGCTGAAGATTAGGACCCTGTGTCCACGCTCTTGAAGTTTGGGTAGCATCACATTTAGCAACCTGAGTTTTCCAGAAGCCTCTACTAAGCGTTGAAAAGCCACAATAGGATCACTGGTCATTTCCTCGATGGCTCTGTTGTAGATAAAAGGGTGACAAAGACATTTTCGAAGCTGTACCAAGATATTGTTCAAGTTGTGCCGCTCGATCTTTTTGTTCAGTGAGCCAGTCTGCTTCTTGCAGATTGCCTGGATCAATTGCGGGTTCTTTCCCAGGATCGATTTGTACAGCTTCTTTTGCACGACAGACATCGACACGGGGATGATAATTTGCACCATGGGCGGAAGAAATGGCAACACCTCAGCTTTGGTACGACGAAGGAAGAACGGACGGATCATGTCGTGAAGAGATCTGATGTTCTCCGTAGTAAGCGTTCCGTATTGCTCCTCTAATATATTCGCATCCTTGTCGGGGTCGAGGAATTGTATCAGGTTGAATAGCTCCCGAATATTATTTTGCAGAGGCGTGCCAGTGAGAAGAACCTTGAAGTCAAACTTCATTCGGCAGAGTCGATCATACAGCTGTGATTTGTCGTTCTTGAGACGCTGTCCTTCATCAACGACCAGCCCTCCCCAATGAATTCTAGACAAAGCCTTCTTCGCCTCTTCATCTACCATGCTCTCGTACGAGGCAATCACCACATGGCATCGAAGTTTTCTGTTGCGCTGGGGGAACATTTCGTAATCATTCGCCATCTGGCGGGAGAAAGCTGAGCCATAGTATGTGACAACTCGGATTCCCGGCGACCACTTCTTGATCTCACGCCGCCAGTTGGGAACAGTTGAGTTGGGGGCAACAACGAGGAATGGCCAGCACTGATGTTTCTGAATAAGGGTGGCAAAAAGAGCAATAACCTGTATCGTCTTGCCCAGGCCCATGTCGTCGGCTAGGATGGAATTTTGCTGCTTCATGAACATGTAGTAAAGCCAATTCACACCGTCTAGCTGATACTCCATGAGTTGGCCACCGGTGATCAACTCGGGTTCAGTTTCCAAGACCAGATCCCTCTCGAAATTCTGGCGCCGCACAGAGTCAAGGTGCTTCTTGAGGGTGTTTCGATTTGGGGGCTCGATAGTGTCTCGGTACAACCAGTCATTGAAAGCGAGCTCGAAGTCCTCCCATCGAGCAGTGTCATTTAGGTCCGGAGGCGATTCCCAGACCGAGTCCTCATAGTTTAAGCCCTTGTATTTGACAAACGCCTCTTGAACAAGCTCGGGATTATTCAGATCCTCCGGGTCGGTACCATCTGGAAAGGTAACATCAAAGACGATATCAATTCGTAGATTCTCCTCCGGGATCGCCTCTTCAGCTGTCCAAATTGGATTCCGGGCCTTGGGAGAGTTGAAGAACGCTCGACGCATGGCGACAGTACTGACGCCCCAAACCCAGTCTCCAGGCATCCAATTAGTCCGGAAGTATGACTTCTGCTTCCACTTGACGAGATACTCCTTTTCTACTTCCGGGATAACTTCAACAAGGGGTTGTCTTGAGCCCTTGAAGGGTGAATTGCAGGGACGCCAAGCAGCTAGAGCTTCAATCTCACCTGGGGCATCAGAGCATTCTTGGCATTGCCAATGCGTCGTGTATTCGCAAAATACCTCCGTGAGGTCATGATCTGGTTTCGCCGGAAGGTGTTCAATGTGGAAGGCTCGATGGCAGCTCGCGCACCGGAAAAGGATGTTATCGATGCTGTTTACTTGAGCCATGTCGACCGGGGTAATAGGGTCCGTACCACCATTTGCGATGCGTTGCTGCTGCTCTTCCTTGGAGGAGAGACGTACCCGGAGTGGCTGTGACATCGGGCCCTTTTCTTTGCAAACAGCGCAAGAGCCTAGGTGAGGAGAAACATCGTGTTTGCTGTGTGCAACCCCAAGACAGCGGCGACACTGAAGAATGAAGTGCTCCTCATCAATCTTTGTGACAAGGTGTTCTCTGCTACTGCGGGGACCAAGACACTGTTGGTGATATGAAGAAGTGCAGCCCTGGCAAAAAACAAGTGGTCCTTTAACTTCATCGTCCTCGTAGTAATTGCAGGTAGAACAGCATGCAAAGTGTCGCTGTCTGAATTCATCATCTCGTTGAAGAACGGGGAAAGCTTCTCGGGCTCCGGCGTATTTCTGTTGTTTAGGAGCGTCACCCTCTGCGTCCGAAAGGTCATCTTCCAATCGTTCACGCAGGTTGTTGCGGACGCTCTTGCGGAGACGAGTGGAAACACGCGTTGGCGGTTCGGGGGCAGGTGACTCCTCGTCCTCATTGGATGATGGAATCTGTCTTCTTGGACGTCGGCTCAACCTACGCCGTCTTGAGGGCTGGCGCTCATTGAGTTCATCACTGGAGCTTTCCTGGTTTTCATCGGAACTGGAGCTGCTTTGGGTCCGGTAGAACGCAGCGTACTGGCCAGGCGCAGTAGAAATATGGCGGCGTGGCCGTAAAATTCGACTGCCGGAATCAACCATTTTCCATTCTCCATCTCCTGTCCCATCTTCTGCCCCGTCCCCCCCGAATGAGAGATTGCGTGCGGTGGCTCGAGAACCTACCATTAGAATTTCGTCGTCAGATTCCGTTTCTGGACTGAATACATCCAGAGCTTGCGTGCTATTTTCAAGACGCATGAGTCGATGGGGTGTCATCTACCAAATGAGCAAGAAAGGTTAGACAAATAGATCAACAATTTAAAGTATCAGGGTAGCTCTGACAATCTCTCGTTCTCCGCTCGCAAGTCGAACGGTGTACACCGGCTTCTCGGGATTGCTTGATTCGATGTGCAAAATTCGCCGGACCTTGAAATGGCCCGGAAGGTATTTGTAGTCGCTGTGATTGTGAACTCTAGGGACAATGACTTGGAGGATTGGATTCTGCATGGTCACTGGCTGTTGGAGCTGCTGGGCCTCTTGAGATTCCTGCCGAGGTTCTGGCTCATTGACCGGTGCTGGGTCAGATGTGAAGCTCTCGGGTTGCCTCATTAGCTGGTCAACCATTGCATCGTGGCCATTGGGCCCTGGTGACTGGTTGTCTCCTAGCTGAGACATGGTGGTGAGAGTTCCCGCGGTGTGCGATGAGCGGGATCGCGCCGCGAACGCGGTCACTTATCGGCGGCAAACTGATCGGCACGTAGGAGGAGGAATAACAACAGCAGAGCGAGAGTTTGAACGGGCCTTGAATGAGATGAAATGATACTGAGACTCGCGAGACCGCGGAGGAACGGGTAAACAATACTAGAGGATGCGGCGTTTGGAGAGTGAAGGAAGGTGTGAGGCAAACACTCGTCAAAAGGAATGCGCTCGGAGCTCATACAGTAGATGCCTATCGATATGCCTATCGATAAGCTACAATGGATAAATATTATTCCGAGATGGTCCAGGCGTAGTTAGTTAGCCGTGCTAGAAAACATCACTCTGCTAACGACCCCAAGATGCCTTTGAAAATCCCAAGAACGAGCCTCGGTGCGCAAATCTCGGTTTTTACGCCGCCATCTGGCAGCAATTGGGCTCGTCATGCTTCCTTGAATTCGGCAATTGGCTGGGGCATTCGCAGGTCTCAAAATGCTGGCTCATCCGCCAGAGCGTCCAAAGATGAGGGTGGCCAAACGAGACCACGGAGAGGAGATTCCAGGACTTGGCCAAGTGGACGTGCTGTGAAGGGCGTCAAAGGCCCATCAAAATCCGACTTTGACGAGGACGAGTTCGTCCGAACTGGCAAGTTTCGAGGAATGCCGCGGGAGCTCAGGGATCGCGGACAATGGAGGTCGAGAGAACAAGCACCAAAAACGAACTCAGCATCCCCCGGAAAATCGGATACCCCGAAGACAAAATCCCGCGCTCATCGTGTGACGGACAGCATGCCGGAACGAGTGAAGGACAACGTGAAAGTCCCGGAATCGATTCCTTATACCAGCCCAGCGTCCGAATTTATCTACGGTACTAGCGCCGTGGAAGCGGCCCTGCGCTGTGGCCGGCGCAAGCTCTACAAACTGTACCTATATCAAGGAGCCGGTGAAGACCTTAGCCCGGCGAAGGTGGCTCTCCGAAAGCTGGCCCTATCCAAAGACATTGGGATCAAATTGGCCTTTGCGGGATGGGACCGGCTTCTAGACAAAATGTCTGCCGGTCGCCCACATAATGGGTGCGTTCTAGAGGCATCGCCTTTGCCTAAGCTTCCCGTGCGTGGTTTCCATGTCGTTCCCTCTATATCTGAGAGCCATTTCCGCGTAGAACTGGCACCCCAGTCGCGAGAGGAAGCTGCTGTCAACGGTACGAACGACCATATCCCGATTCTCCACCCGTCGAACCCGTCGAACCCGTCGCAAGACCAACCCCAACACCGGTATCCCGTGGCCCTGCTGTTGGATGGAGTCGTGGATCCCGGTAACCTAGGCGCCATCATTCGGTCTGCTTACTATCTTGGAATCGATGCGATCGTTTTTGCTGGTCGAAACTCTGCGCCTTTGTCGCCTGTGACGATCAAGGCCTCGGCTGGTGCGGCGGAAAATATGACTTTACTTCATGTTAAGAATGAGGTGGACTTCATCCAACGCTCGAAGGATAGTGGATGGCGTTTCTACGCTGCCGATGCCCCCGGTCCCGGCGCCACCTATCTTGACCGCGCCACGGCGGATGGCGAATCCCAGGAAAGTGGCCTTCCCACTATGCAAGCACCCAGTGTAATCATGATGGGAAGTGAGGGATCAGGGCTGAGCTCACACATCAAATCTCATGCAGATGCGACTGTCAGCATTCCAGGCGCCCGCCATAGTGCCCATTTGGGTGTTGAATCCGACCCCGCCCGCATTGATAGCTTGAATGTGAGCGTAGCCGCCGCACTATTGATGGAGATGTTCTTACGGACTCCCCTTGCGATGTCCGGACCGCTCAGGAAGAGCAAGGACCGAATGTGGTGAATTCGGCTGTACGATCTTATTCCTTTTCCCCCGCACACTTGCAAAAGATACCTCCTCTTTGTACATTATTGTTGATAACTGCTATTGCTCAAAATGTAACTCTACTATCTTCTTATTGCATTGGAAATGTAAATGCTGGGGTTTCAGAGCCCGGCTTTGAAATCTCCAGTAAGGTGCTCTTCATAAGTCTAAAAGCACTCTAAAAAATGCGACCGCTTTGTCCACGCTGGGCACCCCGCTGGATTTCGCGGCGGCAGTGGAAGTGTTCCGCCCATAGATATCCCGAGTTTTACCGCCGAGGTCGCAGCCATGTGGGGAAACCCGTCGATTGATCGATTCAGCAGGAAAGGATCCGCAAGATAAATGGCTTGGTCAATTATTGGATCTTAGATTTGAGATCCACTGCATAAAAGGGGGCCACCCCTCTTTGAACCTGCGATGTCCATGATTCTCAATCGCCCAATTCAAACCCTGTCCATTGAAGTGAAGTCCCCGCAGCATACATTATCAACACATAACTTGCCCTCATAGACCCCACAATGATCCCCGAAAAACAAATTCCTACGAAGGCGTTTGTGGTTGATGCCCCAAAGTCTCCATTTGTTCTTCAAGATGTTGTTTTGGATGAAGTGCGGGATCACGAAGTCCTAGTCGAAATGAAGTATACCGGGCTCTGCCACACAGTAAGTGCTTTTCACACTCGCCTTGGAAACTACCCCACGACGGCAGACACGATGTTGGGTATTTCACACATCCTGACGAATCGGTGGTAGGACATTGTTGTTCAACATGGAGCTGTTCCCGTTGGCGACTACCCTGCCGTGCTTGGTCATGAGGGCGCAGGCATTGTGCGCCGCGTCGGTAGCGGCGTCAAAGATAAGACTCTGAGCGAAGGCGATCAAGTTTTCCTCAGTTTTACCACCTGTCGTAAATGCAGGCAATGCCAGGAAGGTCGGCATGGATTTTGTCGTAACTTCACTGAAATCAACTTTGGCGGTGTTCGTGGTATATCCGCTGCAGATTCCCCCATTACCTCTACCGAGGGGAAAGCTATTAGGGGTCAATTCTTCGGACAGTCCTCTCTGAGCAAGCTTGCTATTGTTCCGGAAACCTCTATTGTCAAATGTCCGGCTGCTTCTGGTATCACAGATGCAGATATGGCCTCGCTGGCTCCGTTGGGATGTGGATATCTCACGGGTGCAGGCACAGTGCTGAATATCCTGAAGCCTAAACCCACTACTCGATTTGCCGTACTGGGTATGGGGGCAGTTGGATTTGCAGCTATGCTGGCCGCACGGGCACAGGGGGTGGAAACCGTTATCGCAGTGGATATTGTCGATGCAAAGCTCGAGCTAGCTACTTCTTTGGGTGCCTCGCACACACTGAACACAAAGCAGGTTCCCGATCTTGCGCAGCGTCTGCATGAGATGTTCCCTGAGGGAGTAGACCAGATAATTGATACAACAGGCGTGGTTCCTCTGCTTCAATCTTCAATCAAAGCGTTGGGCCACGAGGGGGTGTTGGCCATTGTGGGTGTTTCCCCGCGCGGAGCAACATTGAACATTGATCCGCTAGAGCTTATGGTCAACTGCAAGCGCGTCGTTGGTGCCATCGAAGGGTCTTCGGATCCAGCCACAGTGAGTGATCCGTTTTGCAGCGCGTATGTTGGATTAAACTGATGCTTTCTTCTTCGCTTTTCTATCAGTTATTGCCGCAATTGATCAGCTGGTATAAACAGGGCAAATTTGCGGTTGACAAACTGGCCACGGTCTACGATGCGAACTGTCTGAGCCAAGCATTAGAAGACTTGCAGTCAGGGAAGATCATCAAGCCGGTGCTTAAATGGGGGGATCTTTCATAGTCTGAGAAAGGCTTGCGGAAAATAAAGCGAGAAAGCAGAGCAATCAAAGAGGATTTCTTCGAGTCAAAGGATCACAAGCAGGATGAATGGAAAGAGTGAGGAGGCACATCTTATCTAAAAGGCCTCTCCAAGTACCTCGTGAGCCGAGAGGACCTTGAGAGCACCTGTCAAAAAAATTGAATCAAATTCTTGTACACGCAATGTAGCGGTCCGATAACTGCACACATGACATTCATCGCTGTTCTCTCCATGTAATTGAGTAGACTTGAGAATCTAATCCAGAAAAGTAAGTGAGCTCCAACCCTTTTAAGGAATTGTGCAACCTGCAACCAGCAGCCAGGTTTACCATTTACCCATGACTGCTTTTGCTGGTAGATCGCGCAAAATCTATCTTCAGGATTTCTTCAATTCCCAAATTTTGTATTCTAAAAGCAGGACCAAGGCAAGTAGTCTCAGGGGCTTGATCTCGAAAAATACATTTTGGTACATGCTTTCAATATGATAAGCCCTATGTTGGTGCTTTCACTCTCGAAGGTATGCTTTGGGTGGGAATCATCGCCATTTCGCGCCGATCTTATTTTACCCTCATCCATGAGTATGATAATTGATCTCATTTACGCTGTGCTACGGGCAGAATGCATAGGCTAGGTATTATATGCACCGTATAAGCCATTGGCTGTGGCTTTTCAAACATTTCAGTCATGTATATCACGAAGTTGAGCTAGTTTCAGGATCCTTAGCTAGCTTACGCACTCTGTTGAGATAAATTATCAGTAAGGAGTTTTCCCAGTCTATGTTCCACCCGCAGTCCATCATGCTCATATGATCTCTTTCCTAGTTTTCCTTCCCGGAGCACTGTTCGTTGGCGTCAGTATACATATTGGCTATACGTTCTGATGGTCTCCGATCACTCTATATCATTATGGATTGATAGACTGGATATACGAGACTCCTATCAGTCCATTGACTTAGGCGGACGTGCTCGACCATATGAAAGGAAAAGAGTGAAGGCGAACTAGAGGTTAAATGTGACACACGGCCTTGGGCAAAAACTGGATATATGGAGGGAGTGAGAGGACTATCGGGCCTAACCCAATTAGGCCGGTTTACTCTGAACAAACAAAAAGCAATTGCATTCGCATTCTAGTGGATAAGTTAAATTGGATTCTTCTGGCTTGTGGTTCAGTTTCGGCATTCACGTCACGCCTGGTTGTCATGATTCCAACAGCTAAACAATAGCACATGTACTACTCTCTGTGACCTATATTTTAAAATAACGTGGTGTTACTAATAAGACTTCTGATCGTAGCGTTGATCTCTCCTTGCCAACGCTTTCTAAGGACGGCCGCAGGGACATTGGATCGCAGGGGTGGTGACTCTCTAGCTCTCTTTTTCATCAGTTCCTTTGTTTTCATGCTTGTTTATCCCTTTTGTCGCGTTTGCACTACTTTCTATGATCTAATTAGTATTAAGCCATCTGATCCTGCAGCGGGCATATTCGCATGCGCACCGGGCTAGTCACCGGAAGGCGCAAATCCCTGCATAGCACCTATATCTAAGGAAGCTCCATCGGGAATAAGACTATTAATCGATTGAATCCGAGATGATCCATAAGTGGAAGTGAGATATTCTGCAAGGATCTCCTAAAACTAAAATTGAAGCAAGAAAACACAAAGCTCAGAACAGCAAGTCAAAAAAATACCAGTCTCCCCACTGCAGTGTGTCTTATATTGGCAGGTTAACCTCAGGACGGCTGAATCACTGGCAGCTTAGACTGGACATCATGGTCATGACTGACTAAAAATTCCATCATTGGCTCTCAGGCGCTATCAAGATCCAAGGGATCAAGGGGTACCACCGCCAGGGTTGCAGTTACCGTGGCAAGTATATGTGGCACATAAGGAAGTCGATGTGCTTGAGCAAGAATCATCTTCCTCGGAGTTGGCATAGCCCTCGACCTGGAAGATAGCATCGGTCTGATCGATTTTGACGTCCATCACACCACCCTTCTCGTCGCATGCTGCGATCAATGAACTATACGACTCCGCGCACATAGCTTGAATACCCGGCCCTATATAGCTGCCTGCCGCCGTATGCGCAATAGAATAAAAGGCATTGCAGGTAAAAGTCCCACCCTCACCACACATCAAATTGGTGATTTTGACAGCCACCACTCCATACGCGTAAGGCGAGACTTTAGAAACCCATGTACAGAGTTTTCCAGCAATGAACTTCTGTTGCTCATACGTGACGAGCCTATTTGCAAAATGAGGGGGATTGGTACAGGTGTGCCCAGTGATTGTCTCAGTGTACCGTTTGTCGAGTCCACTGATATCCGAAGAGTTTCCGGCTTCCCGGTACTCTGCATAAGGAAGATCGTCAGTTGTGTTGGTCAAGTAGACCCCGACAATGCGAGCCCCAGAGCCAAAGTAGTCTGGAAGGGCAAAGGTGCCATTCATCAGGTTGTAAAGGGACTGAACATGGCCGACGGTATCGGATGGGCTATGGTGCGAGAGAGCCCAGATCGATTGACTTGCGGTGGAATTCATTCTTGCGAAGACATTCAGACTGAAGGATAGCAGAGCTACTATAGAGGAAATCCGATTTGTAACCCTCATGGTCGAATCAGGCCGCGATCTCAAGGTGAGAGGAGAATAGTGAGCACTTTGAAGTAATAAACTTCAGTTCTTGCGGGTTTTCACTCTTTAAGTACTAACCTTTCTTCTGCGCTAGCCTGGTTTTGCTTATCAGTAGAAGCAGGTCTCGAATATTCCGCTTGCGCAACTTAGTGTAGATGCCCACCGAGAAGTAATTATCCCGAGGCTAGGACAAAAACAGAGGATTGATTGTTCCTATACTAGATCCTTGTTGGCCTAGCTAATAATACGCAAACTAGAAATACCTCTTTAATTCCAAATTGCCCCTCGGGTGCATATTGTACTCATAGGAACGGGGCAGGAACAGTAGCTCACATTAGTCGGTGATTAGTTTTTGTGAACGACTTGCTGGGCTTGATTCCTGGTTTTAATACGCAAAAACTACGCGAATCCGTATGTTACATTGGGGACTTGTTTCGCCTTGACGAGATCCTTAACTAAAATCTCGGTCCACTATATTGAAGCCATTGGAACTTCACCTGTGTTTCGAGGAAGATAGAATTAACCGGTAGGGACTGGGCTCCGCAGGCGTCTGATAGATAATTGCGCCCATTGCTTTGTTTGGAAGGGCCATACAGCTAAGCGATATGTTAGCTTGATTTGATCAAGGATCGGGCCATAAGCAACTAGAGCAAGAAGGGCGCTGTGTGAAGTGAGGTGGTACTATCGACAACTTCGAAGGATTGTGCCCTTGTAGTGTTACGTGTACTGCAATCCTTCGTGGCTCACTCGCCCGTCGGTTGGCAAGCATCAGCTAGCATCAATGTGGACCCGGGGCCGTGCCGCAGACCCGTTCGGGGAAACTTTTTGGTAATTAAGCTAAGTGGAACCATGCTTGGCCCTGACCTCCGTTCCCAGACCCACGCTTTTGATTTGATTGGAGTTTCCTTTTGTCCAATATTTAACGCGTACCCTTGAGCTCGAAAATCCCTCGCACAGTTTACGTGTTTTTGTCCCCCTATTTGCGGAATGCAGAATATCTAGCCTAGCTGGGCCCCCGGCCGCTGGTGCGCTCCTCAGCTTTCCTAGAGCTCGCAGTTATCATCCCAGCTTTGCAATACTCTTGGCCATTTTGTGCTATCAACCCGCTTTTGGATTTCGAATGTGACGGCCGAGCCGACCAGCGCATTTTTTTCACACAGACAAAAGATTCAGACCAGTTGAGGCATCCCTTAAACATGTCGTTGGACCTAGCCAAGTGGGATGTTCCTCAAGACAGCCAAAGCCAGCAGGCGCCGGCCTTGAACGTTCCATTAGTGCTGCTCCTAGCTGGGGCTTTGCTCGGGCTTCTTCTAGTATGTCACTGTTGATCGTCAACGCATGCAAATTCCATATCAAATTAAACTAATGAACAATAGGCCGTGTATAGCCATGGATATGTCTTCGCAACACTGATCGCGACTCAGACAGCCAATGCTCTAGTGCAATCATCACTCTCACGACTGCATTTTCGAGGTCTTTCCATCTCTATCTTCCATCGGCTGGTCAAGATCTATCTTATGTCTATAATTCCTACCAAGGAGTTTAGTCTACTGAAGTGTGTACTTCTCAGTTTGACAGCCGAATTGCTACTTTCAAACCTGAGAGTAGCTAATGTGCATGTGATTCTCACCCAACACTCGGGCAGTCTCTCGTACTACCGTTGTCTTCCATCATGGTCAACGTGGTGCAAGACCTTCCCAGCGATCTTACTATATAGCATCGCCTCAAGTATATGTTTTTATCTCCCTATCTACTTCATTCAGTTGGCTAGTTTTTTGAACGAGCGGCTAGAGGTCTCAGAAACCGTGCAGTTCATCTCTCTCCCTTACCACTATTGTGACCCTTTACTTTGGGACACTTGTTCCAGCATACGCGATTTTTATTCGAGTCGCTGCCTCCGCACAAAGGAATGAATCAGTGACTATCAAGAGCGCGTGGCAAGGCTTCCGGTGGCAATCTCGGTTGCAATTCTTTAAATTACTTGGAGAGGTCCTTTTCCTGGAAGTGTGTGTCACCATAATTATCTTTGTATTTGTGCTCGCATTTTGTCATCCGAATTTGCATGATGGTGTTTTCAAATTCTTTGTCAAATATTTTGGTTAGTTGAGGATCACGAGGAACAAGATATGTGTTGAAATGATTGAAATATATCGCTAGATCGTCACTTAGTATAATATCTTGACATGGTGATGTGAGGGTGATTAGAAGTGTGTGTAAGAGCAATCCCGCGCCGCCTACTCGCAATCGCATTGGCAGCCGCCATTTTGACTGAAGCTTGGACGCATCAGCAAAGGCCACTTTAGGCTCTCTAGATCGGCAGGCTGCATGTTGCAGTCGATGTTCGCAAGACGTACAAATGTGGCCTAGCATTTGGGCCAAGTTGAGTCGTGGCTCTGACGCTGCAGCTAAATTTATTTAAAGAATAGAAAAAACGAGCAAAAACAACTGTTGCACTAACGACTAAGCAAGCTACCCGAGGCCCAAGAAAAACAAACAAATGTTGACACCCCAGGCTACAAGGCCGGGGCAATGACACCTCAGGCCTGCATAATATCCACATTACCACGCGTCGGAGTCACCAAGCCAGCTTGCTCTCACCTCCTTGGGATGACTGTCAAGATGAAATCGGTCGGGAATCTATGATGCAAAGACAATATCTACGTAATGTTGGTCCAGGTGTGACTTCGTCCACACCTGGACCAGTGCGTCAGCGCTCCCGACAAGCATGTCTGCCCTGTCGCCGGCGGAAGCGGAGATGCGACGGCAAATTCCCTTGCAATATGTGTCAAGGATATGACTACGAGTGTGAATATGAGACTGGAGACCAGAACCTACCCACGAAACGCCCCATGGCCTCTGAAGAGTCACCAACACAGCCAGCGGGTAAAGCGGCGCGCCTAGCCTCCGCGGGCTCCCCCGCAAAACCGGCCACAGGCTCGTCTATCCTCCCTGGTATTCTCGAGCCATCCAAGGCTCGATATGTGGGAAGATATTCGTCTGTCGCCTTTCCTCTCTATGTTGGACTAGAGGTTCAGGCGACAAAGCTTCCACGTTTGCACTCATTTGCATATCATTCGGGCATCCGCAAGGAGCCACCCTGTGCGGTTACCCACAAGATCGCCGAGAAAGTCTCATGGAATACGATGAGGAGCCTTATTGAAGTCTATAAGGCCCTGATTCACCCGATATTCGGATTTCTGGACATGGATCTTTTCTCTACGCGGTGCGAGAAGCACTGGCACGGGCAGCCACAAGACATGGTTTTCGAAGCTATGGTCAGCGGAGTTTTGGCTTTAGCCTCCTTATTCAATGGGAACCTGGATCAAGATGTGGAAATGTGGCTAATTCTACACGCAAAAGAAATCCTCGAGGATTGCTCTATTAGCCGCTTTCCTTCCCTGGAACAAATCGCGGCGTGGATTTTACGAGCCATATACATACGTTGTACCGGGCGACCGCATGTGACTTGGCTGATTAGCTGCACTATCATGCACCTTATTGAGGCAACCGGACTACATCATGCGTCAGAGTACGTGGTGCAGACGACGGGCAGTCTTGCTCCCGGGCAGGAGGTATCAAACACAGGCATTCGAACGGTTCATGTAGCCAACTGCCTTCATATTGTCATTGCGTTCGAGTATGGCAGATCAATCATGGCTATCAATCGACCGACTCTCGGACATACCCGACAAATGACTCACGACGGGGGTTTAACTCCTCAATTGTGCAATCTTGTTGCAGCTCTACCTGCCACTCGGGCGACTGACGACCCTTCTGATATGACAGGAGATCTTTCGTCCGCACTCGAAAAAGTCGTCGAGATTCCTGTCGATCATGATTTTTTGCTACTTCTAAGAGCCGATCTAGCCCTGGGCATATACAGACGCCTTCGAGTCATGGACTCGAAGGTTCAGCAAGTGCACAATGACCGTGTAATGGCCGCTGGGACTGCCGCTCTACCCGCGGCACGAAGACTGGTGAGTCAAGGCCAGCCGTGGTGGAATGTAGTGGGTACTGCCTTCCAGTTCGCCTGCGCTCTTCTCGTCATGGATACTTCTTCCGGCTATGAAAAGCTTGTGGAAACGATGGACACCTTGGAAATGGTGGTGGACCGATTGGACACCCACTTAGCCAGGGAAGCGCTGTCAACAGCACGACAGCTTGTTCGAGCATCGTTAGACAAGAAGCGAAAGGGGGTTGAAGCCCTGGAACGTATTGTGGGATCTCCTTCGCCAGAGCTTGCCGCTCGTCAAAGCGAAGGCCAGCTGCCACAGGATTTCTCATCACTGAGCCCATCGCTTGCGCCTCAACTCCCTTTGGATCTTGATTCTTTATGGGCTATGGAATTTCAACTGCCTTTGTGATCTGGTGAAGGACTATGATTGTATGATAAATGATTTCAAGTCAACTATGACCCCTTTCTTGACCTCCAGGCCACAGCCATGAAACAAGTGGCGATGATTGTGCCGAGACCGGCGAGACCAACACCCACGTATGTGGCTCCGCGGTACCCTTTGAGGACGTCTTTCCCATCATCGTTCACGTATCTTTCGACGGTCCCGGCAAAGCCGAGGCCCAATGAGATCGAATAGTTCACGACCGTGTTTACGAGGGAGCCTGCAGCGCCTTGGTCTTTCTGTGACATGGAATCGCTCAGAATCAGGATTCCAGATGGGAAGGACATATCCCTGTTCGGATGTTAGCTGCGGGCGTATGTTTCTGAAGTTGAGGTTGTCTTACATCCCCCATGGCGTGACAAGCATGATCACAAAGGCATTTGCCCAGTATATCTGGCCCATTGGCATCGACGCCAACAGCACCTGGCCTGCTAAAAATGCCAGCATGGCAATGAACATGATAATGCTTGCAGAAATTCGGCCGAGGAGCAAACTGGTCACCACAGCAGCGCAAGCTCCAGATGCAGAAGCTCCAGCCCACTTGGCCGTCACAAGCAGCCCGCTGTTCCCTTCCAAGTTCTCAAGGATGTTGAAATAGTAGAACACCAAGACACCGAAACTGGACCAGCCAGCTGCAATACAGCCAAGCACCCATCCAGTCTCACCTTTGAACACCGTCGGCGGTAGCAACGGATAGACTGCTTTGCGCTCAGAAAACAAGAACAGAACCAACATCAACATCCCAGCAATCAGCAGGACATAGGTGTACGGGACTGCCCATCCTACCATTGCGGCCTGGTTCCACGCGAAGTTGATCAATACCAGTCCACTGACTCCGGTGACAGCACCACGCACGTCTAGTCGGTCGAACGTCGAGAGGTCCGGACGCGGTTGTTCTTGTGGTACATGCGGTATCACGAGAAATCCAAGTATCGCAAAGATGAAACAAGTGATGCCCATGATCCAGTACGCCCACGGCCACCATAAACGTTCCGCAAGCAACGAGGAGAAGGTCGCGCCGAGGGTGAATCCGCCAGGTGCTACACCCCCAAAGAGGCAAAACACCATTCCCTTCCGGCGCCCAGGGGGGTAGGATCTACCTAGGATAGCAACTCCATTCGGCAGAAGAAGAGCAGGGCCAATCCCCTGGAACGCACGACAGCAGTCAAAAAAGATTGGATTCGACCACACCGAGAAGCCTCCCAAAAGAGACCACAGACCGAACCATAGGAAACCGATGATGAACAGCAGTCGATGGCCGTATATATCGCCCAGTCTTCCGGATACAAAAATGAAGGTTCCAACAGTCAGGCTGTACGCGGCAGAGGCCCATGTCAAGTCCTTCGGAGTGCTGTTGAAACTGGCACTAATAATCTTGAGAGGTGCGATCGAGAGCGCAAGGCCAGCCTGCGTCATGAACTGAGCGGCACAGACGACAAACACAAACGCCGCTTCATGCAGGGGTGATTTTGGCTCGCCAAAGTCTAGTTTTCCCGCTTCTTCTTTAGCTTCCACATCGTCACCAGGCGAAGCCATTGAAGACGGGGTACTTTTGGGTTCTGCGGTATCCGTAGGCGCGACGGGTGCCTTCTTTTCTAGGTTACATGTGTTAGCATAGAAATTCCCAGACGATAGACGTATATTGTAGCTACCTGGATCGTAGCTCATAGCTGTTGGATCTGTTTCGGTTATTTCGTTTCCTGCCATCATCAGGGCTGCTTCAAGGTTGAGGACGCGAGAATAGAAAACACCATTCTATGACAGAAAAGCGAAACACGGTCTACTAATAAACGAAATGCGACCTGCAACACTAAATCGTTTACCACGGGCCGATCGCGGACAGCCTTTTGTTCTGGCCTCGCTGATTGATAACCCACCTTGAACCTCCGCCCGTTCTCCGCGTGGGCCGCGCGGTCCGCACGAGCCGCTCTCATCCGAGCGCGCCAGTTCCGTTATCATGATCCTTGCAATCTGTGTTCAGCAGGTGGCTTATGGAAATATGAATAAGGGCTTACGGCAGATTAATCATCTCGAGCAGGCAAAAGGTACCATATCTAGACTTTCTATAAAACGTCCTGGACGTCCAGCCTGATAGACATCTCAATCTCACCAATCTTCCCCTACCAGCCCAGCCCGCATTAGCCCAGAACATCGCGTATCTGCCTATATAGACGTGTCATGATGAAGGCTCTCCAACTCACGCGTGCTTCTGCAAACGTCCCTCCGGAGCTGTCAATGGCGGATTTACCAATTCCGCAGTTGACACCCGGCCACGCCCTCGTTCGAATCCACTATGCCTCCATCCAACCATCCGACAGACTCAATACACAGGGTCTCTTCCCACATACCACGTTCCCCCGAGTCCCAGGACGCGACTATTCGGGCACGGTGGTCGATATTGTGGGCGACAGCATGGAATCGCAATCATGGATTGGGAAAATGGTCTACGGAACTAGCGGGTCCAGTCTCGGCTTCGACATCGACGGCACAAACGCTGAATATTGTCTGGTGCCGGAAACTGCACTCGTCGAGAAGCCAGCGTCCCTATCGTCGATTCAGGCCGCAACGGTTGGAGTTCCATTTACCACTGCGATGATTTGTTTGCAACGCGCGCAAGTGAAAGCAGACGACGTGGTGCTCGTGCTTGGCGCGAACGGCGCCGTGGGTTCTGCGGTGACGCAGATGGCGCGAGCGATGGGATGCAGACGAGTTTTGACGGCGGCGCGTCACGGAGACCCAAAGCCGGACGTAGTTCTCGGCTCTGTGGTTTCCATTGAAACAACTCTTCCCGCCTTGACCGATGGGAAGGGCGTGGACGTCGTGATTGATACGGTGGGGGACTTGGCTCTGATGGCGAGTGCAATAGCACAGTTGGCTGTGAAGGGACGCTACGCTTGGATCACAGCCCCTCGAGGAGAGGCCAGTAAGGAGTTGACCTTTAACGTGTTCCAGGCATACCGCAAGGAGATTTCGCTCTTGGGGTGCAACTCGGTCGCGCGCACACTGGAAGACACGGCGGGATATTTACGGTCGATGAATGGGTGGATTGAGCAAGGACTCCTGGAGGCGCCGAATGATGCGGTCTTTGTCACGGTGAAGCTAGACGATGCCATCGACGATGGGTATGGCAAGTCTGCGCCGAAAGTGGTCATTGACATGTTGTGACGAGAGTCCAGATATGTCAGATGTTGTGTATGGCTAGAATGGGAATCCCAAGTAGACAATACGCATGAATTTCTCAAGTAACTAGATACAATCTCAGATAAAAGATGGTGCAAAAGAAATGTACGTAGTCTGAATGGTAGACCGCCCTATTGAGGGGGCGCAGAAAGGTTCTGGTGAAGCTCCTTTCGCTGCACAGCGCCGAAGCGCATGTTGCCAACATCGAATACCTGACATGGTTAGCTCATATAAGATCACAAGGCAAAGTAGGTGGTACTCACAGCATAAATTCCCTTCAAGAAGGTATCGCCCAAAATATCCATGTCCATAGAGCCGCGGCTCTGGATTCCACCATAGACATATCCGGACTTGGCTGTCGCAAAGCCTAGATCCTCCTTCTGGACGACAAACTGCTTGTCACCGACAGCAAAGGACACCACGGGTAGCTTATCCGCGGCGGTATTGGTGGGATAAATGTAGCCTTGGCTGTCATTATCGTAGTAGGCCCCGTCAATCGCGTCATAGATTGCCTTGCAGGTGCTGTCATCGACGAGAGCCAGAGTCGTGCCCGTATCAGCGATCGCCTTGTTGCCACTACGAGCAATCGATTTGCCGTTCACCGTTGCCGATGCCGAGTCAAACATCCAGAAGCCCTGGCTGTTGTCGATGGGTGTGTAGGAGATGTCTTCGCCCGAATATTTCACGGTGGCCTGGTCAATAAATCCAAACGTATAGAACGACTCGCCCTTGTCAGGCTCGTCGGCGTCACGCCAGGATCCTAGCTTCGCCGTAAAGAGCTCTGCGGTCTTTGGGATATCCGCTTGAGAAATCATATTCTCGACCGGTGTCTTGACCGCGGTTGGCTTCACGGTGTTGATGTTGCCAAATGCAAGGCCGAGTAAACCGTCCCCAGCGCCACTAGCAAACTGTGCAGACATGGTGTCCGCCAACTCAATTGCCTGGCCCTGCACGACCACGCCGCCGATGTTGACATTATCGTTTCCAACCGTGCCAGAGGCGGAAGACCCATCTCCATACGAGATCTTCCATGTGGAGCCATCCTTGTTCTTGAACGAGCTCGACTTGCTCGGGTCAAAGACCGTGTGGTTCGTGTTTTGGGACAGCGTGGCAGATGGCAGCTTTGTTGACCAGACCTATTTACCGTCAGTCTCCGCTGATTTGGAGAGCCATACATGGACAGCTGGACAGCGCCGCTTACCCAAAGGTCCGCCGAGCCCGTATCGAAATCCAGGCTCAGAGTCTGTGCCGGGGTCCCGATGCCGATCTGGGCCAAATACATCGAATCGTTCTGCACATCGTCGGCGCCAACCTCCCCAGCCTGGCCTGTATCGGCGCTCTTCTTCTGTAGGACCTGACGGGCATGAACTCGTCCACCGATAGGCTTATCAGTGTACTGGCGACCCGTCTGCTGCATAGTTGTGCCGACGAAATACGGGCCCTCTTTGGTCGGATGGAAGCCATACTTTCGCATCAAATGCACGTATGACTTTGGCCCCGACTTCTGGTAGTGCGGGTTGGTAATGAGTTTGATCTTGGTAGCGGCCATGGTGGACGACTTGCGACACAATTTGGACTTGAGGGACTTGAGGACGGACATGGCTGGAACTTTATTGTGTGCAGACTATATGTAGATAAGGATATTGCTAGCAGCCTGCAATGAGCTAGCTTGCTATGAGCTTGCAATGACGGGCTGGCTGAAGATGTGGATCCATCGTCGTTTTATCTAAAGTGAGACGAGGGGATCAGTTGCCTGTTATCCTGTTGTTGTGCATGGAATGGCTGTCGCCTTTCGTCATCGCAGGTGATTAGGCTTGTTAGCGCCATGTTTAGTGTCGAGTGACGGATCGACGTAGCATTGCTAGCATCGGATCGGCAGAAGCGTATCAGGTGGGTGGGGGGCACCGCCTCACGCTGCAGGGGCAGGTGGTGGCGAGAAGAGGCACAAGATAAGCCTTGGATTACTTTCTATCTTAATTTGGCATTACACAAATCATCTGAACGCCAATCCCCAAAAGCCCAAACACACAACCCCCACCATATAGCAACAACCGGGAAAACAGAGACGCCGGACTCATTTCATCGCTTGCGGGTCTTTGACTTGGGTGCGTTGGCAACACTGGCTGCCCGCGAGTTCGGGGTCGAGGTGTTCTTGCTGCCGCCTTTGGCGGGCTTAGCCTGTTTGGCCTGGAACCGCGTTAGTTTAGGTTGGTCGGGTGCGATCGCCACAAGGGGGGCACTTACTGTGGCGCCATTCTTAGCCTTCTTCTTGGCAGGTGCCGCGTCATCGTTCTCCTCCTCTTCTTCACGGCCGCGACCACGGCCTTTGCCCTCGCCATTGACTTTGGTTTCGGGCTCGAACTCCTTGGCCACGGTGTTCAGCAGTGTGGTGCAGCGCCGACTGATCTCGACAGGGGTGCGGCTGAGGAAGAACCAATCAAAGCGGAACAAGGGAGATTCGCGGACCTCGTCCCGGATCTTCTCGAATAACCCATCCCCCTCGACACCGTACTTGTCCAGCATGACCAGGAGGAAACGGTCTTCTTCTTCGGTATATACCTTCTTGTTGGTTGTAGACACAGTGTAGTTGATCTTGAGCTGCTGCAGAGGCACACGGTACATCTCCATCTTCTTCCGCAGCATCTTACGCTGGTGGTTCATCTTTCGAAGCTTCTCCTCTCCCTGGTCAATCACCCGTAGGTACTTGGGATAATCTTCGATTTCGGAGTATCGTTCCCAGAAGACCGCGGCATATTCCTCAATCTCGTCGGGCTCCTTGCTGTCGATTTCGGTAGCAATGCCCTCGTAGTCGGTGCGCCCAAACTTAGCCGATCCATTGACGAACTGCTGGAAATCACGTCGGTTCCATGTCGAAAAGCCCTCCTCAGTCATGGCAGCTTTTCTGGTCTGTTCTTCCTCCGTCAGGGGCTGGGCATTGTCAATAGTGTATTGGGCGAGCTCTCGGTCTGCCTCGCGCTCGCTAAGAGTGTCCTCGGGGCCCTCGGCTAGCTCGGCTTTGTGGCCAATCTGCTTCTGATGCCAAGCAGTCTCCTGCGCCTGCAGCTCCTGCAGCTCAGGTGGGAAGAACTGCCAGTCGTGAATGGTGATTTGCTTTGGTGGGCGAGGCACCTTGGGCTTGGTGTCGGCGGTACGGCCGCCAGTGGCCAAAGCTTGGCGGTAGTACTTGTCGATGGAGTAAAATTGCTCCTTGCGCTCACGCTTGGCAGGGTTGATCCAGGTCATACCAATGTCCTTCTTACGATCGGTGAAATCTTGGCCATTCCACTCATACGCACTCTCGGAGCTGAACTTTTGCAGATCGTCGATACCAAGTGCCTCGTACTTCTTATTCAACTCAGCCGTCCTCTCCTCACCCTTTCGAAGGATAGCCTCGAAGTTGTCTTCGGTAATGTCGTTCGAGCCGGTTCCAGAGGGACTCCGGTTGCCGAAGACACTGGCAGCACCGTGCTGGATCATACCGAGCAACTCATCCTTCGAAGCGGCCTTGTTGGCCTGCTGCTGAGCCCGGCCTTGCTGAATAACCAGTTGATCCAGGCGCAGCTTCTGGGCGGCCCGCTCGAGAACCTTCTCTTCGATTGCATTCTCGGTGACAAATCGGAATACCTTCACCTGTTTGGTCTGACCAATACGGTGGGCACGATCCATGGCCTGGAGGTCAGCCTGCGGATTCCAGTCACTGTCAAAGAGAACCACAATGTCGGCGGTAGTCAAGTTGATACCCAGCCCACCAGCACGCGTGGTAAGAAGGAAAATAAACTTGTCCGATCCTGGCTTGTTGTAGTCGTCGATGGCGGCAATACGATCCTCATGGGCCGTGGTACCATCAATACGGCAGTAGTTAAACTCCCGGAACACGCAATAATCTTCCAAAATATCAAGGACACGACTCATCTGGGAGAAGATAAGCACACGGCTGCCGTCTGCCTTCATGCGCTTCAAAAGCTTATCAAGGATCGACATCTTGCCAGAGTTGAAAATAAGGTGCTCATCAGTCGTGTATGGTGGGCCGGGCTCGGCGCCCTCGAAGAGGTAGGGGTGGTTGCAGCACTTGCGCAGTTGCATGACAATGTTCAACAGACGGGTCTTGGATTCGCGCTTGCCACCCGCTCCGTTGACCGCATCGATATCCTTCTCAAGAATCTTCTGGTACCATTTGACCTGCATGTCGGCCATGGGTACATATAAATTCATTTCTTGCTTCGGCAATAGACTCTTTTCGACATCGCTTTTCACTCGTCGAAGCAAAAAGGGCCGAAGCACACGGTGGAGCTGCTGCACCACGGTGTCTTGGTCAGATTCCTGGTTAGAGAACCACTGATCGAAGGCGTCCGAGTCACCAAAGACATCCGGAAGCAAGAAGTTAAGCAAAGCCCAAAGCTCGTGCAGGTTGTTTTGTAGTGGCGTTCCGGTGATCAACAATCGGTTGCGGGAGTTGAAGAGACGAATGATCTGAGACAGAGAGGATTCCTCGTTCTTGATGCGGTGGGCCTCATCGATGATGATATACTCCCAAGGTAACTTCTTGAGATGTGACTTCTCGCGCAGAATCATTTCGTAGCTGGTGACGCAAACATCGAAATTCTCGTCGGCCAGACGTTCTGCGATGAGTTTCTGTCGCTGATCCTTGTCACCTTGCAGAACAAGGACGTCAATTTCAGGGGTCCATCGGGCAAACTCGCGCTTCCAGTTGTCAAGAGTGGACTTGGGCACAGCAATTAGATGAGGACCACTGATGTCACAGATATAGCGCAAGTAGCCCAAAAACGAAATTGTCTGCAATGTCTTTCCTAGACCCATTTCATCGGCCAGGATACCGGAGATACCGTTCTCATGGAGAGAGACCAGCCAGTTCAGACCAGCAATCTGGTAATCACGGAGTTCGCCCTGAATGAATGCGGGCGAGTCGCGGAACACAGTAGTGGTGTTGCCGCCCCGCTTCTCATCCTGCAGGAGCTCAGCGTCCTCCTCCTGTTCAGTTCTGCGGCGTCGTTCACCACCCGCCCCACCAGAGCGAGAAGAACCTTTGCGGGCCTTTGCTTCCTTCTCCTCATTTTGACGGTCAATTTCAGCCATAATCTCTTTGATGCGAGGGTTGGGGTTGGTCTCGATGAAGTGGCGAAACAAATCGGTAAGACCGAGAAGGTAACGGAATCGACGAATCGAGTCATCTTCCTACAAGCATGGTCCAGGATCAATAGCTGAAGAGAGGGAATAGCGGGAGTAACTTAGCAATCCGTACCTTAGACTCATCCAGACGGCCATGCTTTTTGCCTAGAATACTTTTCCTCAGCTGGGTAGCCTCGGATCTCCGGCGACGTCCATCTGCTTGGGCGAGGTCGCCTGCGACACTGCTAGCAGTTGTGTGAGGATTGGTGTCCGAATCCTGTGGAGAAATACCATCAGCCATCTATCCAAATAATGATTGTATGAACCCAGTTCATCATTACCGTGTAGTCCGGGGTATCTTGGTAACTCTAGAATGAAGTTGAAATTAGCAGATGCTCAGCAAAGCTGACATTGATTCAAGTGGTGCTAGGAGGAACGGGGAAGATCCTGCCACCCAAGTGGGAATATTCGAGAGCGACGATCAAGGATATCACGTACCTGAGGCGCGTCGGCGCTGTCAACAGGAATCGATGGAATAGCATCATCATATGCGTCTGTCATCGGTGTGTCGGCGTGAGACGGCGAATCGGTCGGGGTTGGTGCCATCTTTGCTTTCAGCGCACGAAGCGCAGACGTTAATGCAATGAAGACCAATCACGTCTCTATCGGAGGTAGGTCGCAGAGCGCGTAGAAAGCCCGCAGCTTCAGGTCTTTGAAGAAGTTGCGAAGGAACAATTTTGCTCCAAGGAGCTTGGATGGAACCAAAGTATCAAACCAAATTGGGAGCCTGGACCAGGTGTAGGAGGGAATCCGGGCAGGTGAAGCGCAAGAGAAACGCCAGGCGCGCCGAAGAATACTGGAGGGCGCGGCGAGCGGGTACGCGCTGATTGGCCAAAGGGTTTGCCGTGCGGAGCTGACTCAGCTCTCGACGCTGGCCCTTCGGAGAATTGGTTTCGCCGCGGGTGGGGTCACGTTACCCGGTCAGTGCAAAAAGCGCAGAAGATCATCTGCAGCGCTAGGTACTTGCTAGTACCCCTCCGACTCTCCGGCGACACCCTACGATAAAAGGAGTTGGGAGATCGCTTTTGTCACCTCCCAACTTCGCTTCTCTGCCTTAGAGTCACGGCCCCTACTTCTATATACGCTTCAGTTTCTTTTGTTAGACTTCTACGTGTGGCAACATCGCCTTCGAAGCACGGCCCGCTACATCTGACCACCCTGTGACTACATCGCTTGCCCTCCACTGTCAACATCGAGCTATCTCCGTCTTTCGCACCCACCTTCACCATGGATTCCATGAGATCTCTCAATACCTCCTTACCCACTTCAACACCGCGCCCGCAGCCATCCGAGCAACTCCTCCAGTCTTTTAAAGCTGCGGCTCTATCCGTCACCAACCTATACAAGAATGCCGTCTGTGAACAAGCCCAGGCGAGGTCCGCTGGCTATCAAGAAGCTATTGAAGATTTGCTTCACTTCTTGGACCGTGAAAACCTAGGCCTTGGCGATGGCGAGGGGTGGAAGGTCCGACAATGGGCGACGGAGAAGTGTGATGGAACTGGATCCCAGGCCAGCGATGAGGATGAGCGAGTGGACTTGGACAAGCGTGATAGAAGTGCTACGCCGGCTACCACCCGCAAGGAAGCTCCGACACCTGAGTCTACTTTCCGCCAGCAGCCTACCTCCACTCCGACCCCCGCACCGACCTCCGTGCCTCGATCAGAGACTACGGCCCCCGCACCGCAACCACAGGACACTACTCTTGGATCACCGACAGTATTTACTTTCACCGCTGGGCCAACCTTCCCTCAATGCCAGGAATTCGATATGGACATGCAATCGTCCGACAACTCGACTCCGCCATCGCAAGATGATGCTCCGGTAAGCGTCTCGGTGATGCCTCGAAACTCCCGCCAATCAAATCGCCACAATCATACCCGACCCAACGCGCGATCTGTTCCACGAGAGGGCCCCGCCACCATAGGATCGAAGAGGAAATCCACATTCCCAGATTTCTTTGACCTATCTGGGCTAGCAAACGGACGGGACAACATGTTTGGAGGAGGGAAACGCGGCAGGTTTACCTAGGAACCAATCATACCTAGGCTCCACGATTTCGACGAAATGACGAACATTCTCTTCTGATTGTCATGCAGCAGCTGGGTGGACATTTGGGGTGCTTTTTTCGGGTGCATACTGAGGAAGGTGAATTCTTGCATATGGCTTCGCTGCATTTTATTTGGTTATCTTCCATTGGGTTTTCCTTTCTCTTCTTCCTCTTTTTCATTGTCTGATCCTGTCTTCCCTTCCCCCTTTGTTTCTCGTATACCAGCCATACAGCATATAGAGGATTGTGTTGTGGTGATACCCGGTGTGGCGGCAGCTATCATTAACCCATGATGGTCCAACAAATCATTATGTTACAAATACCCCCAAACTATGTCCTTTTCAGTATCGTACAATTCTCCATAAATAGCAGAACCGGCATATCTAATGCCGCGAGCCGGGGCGTAGTATGTAGCGCCACGTCGGTCAAGGCAAGGAGATCAGTTGAATGCTCGCCAGAGACCCAGGCCAACTAGACTAGCCGAAATGGTGGCAATTCCGAGCCGTCGCGATCCCATCTTATACTTCGTTGGGCCCTGCATGATCGCCTTCTCTTGCTTGCGGAGGTTGTTCATGCCGGTGTAGTAGCTGTAGACTCCGAGACCGACAAATGCAGCGGATCCTGTTGATAAACAGTTAGTGGCCTGTTCCTCGATCCTTGACAATTCGCTCGAGCTCTACTAGACATACCAGTCACTCTGCAGGACATGCAGTCGTCCCACTTGTCATCCGATAACGCCAGTTTAGCATCCTTCGACGGCCAGGAGCGGTTATCTGAAGGTAACGACATTGAGAGTGCGACAGCGAGCACCAGTGGTGTCTGAAAACAATAAAAGCGACAGAATATCTGCCGGGGTACCGACTTGTTCAATTTAACTACGACTTTCCCACGGAAATGGTTCGCGCAGCCAAAAAGTAATCACAAGGCGGGACTCGGTGGCAGAATGCACAGCTTTACATTGAGCTATACAGCGTCAAGACATCCTGCCCCCAGACAACAGCCACCATGAGCGGCGAGATCGATGCCGTCTACATATATGACGAGCACAAGTATGCCATCTGATTCCCCAAGTGCAGAGCTACATTGACATCCCTCTTCTAGCGCCCCTCTCGTCGAGCATATTTACCGATCCCGCCCGCCATCGGCCGCCGCCATCCTGCCCCTCTACCTGGCTCATGCTGCCCCGCGCCCCTCCTTACTGTATCTACCCGGAACTACGCCTCCGGTGACCGTGTTCTCGACTATTCAGTCAAATCTCCTGTTTCTCGCCGTGTCTGAGGTGGATACGGAGCCGCTGTTGGTCCTGGAATTCCTGCATCGCGTGGTCGATGTACTCGAGGAATTTGTCGGTGCACCGCTTCTCTCCAGCAAGATCCAGGCCAATTACGATGTCGTCGCTCAGTTGCTACATGAGATGTGCGATGCCGGGGTAGTCTGTAACACCGAACCAAATGTTTTGCAAGAAGTTGTGGAGGTGCCGAGCTGGATGGGGAAGCTCCTCGGGGGAATCACTGTGCCAGGGTAAGAATTGGGTCCCTGTTTACCGGTATGTGGGTGGTTTCTTACATTCTTTTATGAGTAATCTAGCAGCACATCCACGCCAGCTCTAGGAACAGCCAACCCTTTGAAGCAATCCCTGGCCACCGCGAGCGCATCCCAAGGCCCCGCAATTCCCTGGCGGCGGTCAGGAGTACGACACACTTCTAATGAGCTATATGTCGATATTATTGAATCTTTGTCTGTGACTATGGCACCTTCGGGCAGGTTACTTTCTGCGTTGGTTTCCGGGACTATCGCATTCACCGCAAAGATATCTGGAGTGCCGGATTTGCTTCTATCATTATCAGCGCCGGGAGGTCAGCAAGCACTCGCACGCAAATTTGAGCTTCCTGTTTTCCACCCCTGTGTGCGTCTAGCTCGTTGGCGAGAACGACCGGGTGAGCTCAGCTTTGTTCCCCCTGATGGCCGCTTCATTCTGGCAGGTTATGAGGTTGATCTACTCCCGATAGACCCGGGTCTAGATCAGCCACCAAGCCACATGGAGAAGCTCTTTCTCCCTGCTATCGTGGATATTCGCAAGTCCTTGGGGCCTTCAGGCGCAGATTTTGAGGTTCGGTTGACTTTGAATACCGACTTCCCGGGCCAGACCTCATCTTCGCGGCCAACCGCTTCGCGGAGTGGATCAGGGACCTCCACACCTTCCTTCCTTGGCGGTGGCAGTGGAAGCTCCTCCGGGCCGGTACTCGAGGAGGTGGTTGTGAGCGTTCCAATTTCCAAATATGTGCGGCATATCACGGACATGCAGGCCAGTCGCGGTGATGCACAGTTTTCTCATACCAGCGGTCTTCTTGAATGGCGGATTCCGACCACCCGCGACGCAGGGACTACCTCTGGTACTGCGACTCTTCGCTGTACCGTATCCGGTTATCCATCGCCGGACGAGGACCTGGAGGATAGCTTAGAAGATGAGGATGCCGATGCTAACCTCCTCCAGGGCTACTACGAAGCCCCCACCTCCTATGACCCGTCATCTAACAGTACCAGGAAGAGCCGGGACCCCTCCAAGCGAAAGAAGAAGAAGAAGAAGTCGAGCAAAAAATCTCGGACAGCCGAAGAAACCGGCGACGCTCCAGGTGATGGCCCATCCGAAGAACCAGTCAAAGCCAAAACCCCCTCCCCCAATCATTCCAAACCTCAAACACCGCAACCCATGGCCCTCGCCCAACCTTCCTCCCAGCTTCCAGCTTTCTTCGCGCCATCTTCTACACCTCGTCCAACGCCCCGCAGAACCAAAGCCCAAGTCAACGCGAGCCTAATGCCGAACTCAGCCTCAGTCTCCTTCTCCGTGCGAGGCTGGCTTCCCTCCGGTATCAAGGTGGATAGCCTGACCATTGATCAGCGCCGCAGTCGGGGTCTTGGGGAGAGTGTGAAACCATATAAGGGGGTGAAATACCTATGTGTGAGCAAGCGCGGTGTAGAGCGGCGTTGTTGATGGGATATCTTGGCTTCGGGACATACAACTGCGAATTGACGAGGCAGTCATGAAGCCAAGGCCGCGACGTGATGGCATGAATAATGAGATACAATTGTGATCAAAATCCAACGGCACCCTGACCCTTGCCCGGATGAGGTTTTTTATTTTTATTTTTATTTTTATTTTTTTCATTATTCTTCTTTTCCAAATGCTGTTACACGGACTGATAGTATAGCTGCGGATCAGCCTTACCTACGCCAACGAATTGTGCCCCAGTGCTAACGTATGCATCGCACTCGATTGACCTTAGGTGATGACATGCATGCCCAACACAAGAGGTATATGACGCCCCTACTTCGGAGCAGCCGTGAATGAAATTCTCATGCCCACCTAGCAATAGAATTTGGGAAGCTTACTCGTCTCGGGATGCAGCGACAGAGATTGGTCCCATAGACGAGCTATATGGCTTGGAAGTGATCGTTCTCACCCCCTTTCCCGTGCATCAATACTTAGAGACGGCAGTTCTTGCACCGTCAACTTTGTTCTTCAAGAGTTCAACTGCCATGAAGGGGAATCAAAACTGTCTACAACAGCTGTCATGAGATCGCCGCGGGCGGCAAGCTGCCATCTTTCCTTACAGGGGCCGTGGAGATTTTGCCAACTCGGTTCTCGAAGGCTTCTGGAAGGCTTCGGAGATTCTTCTTGCTCTTAGGCCTCTGCACTCTTTTCTGGCTCCATAAACACTTTCACATCTGATCCCACTACTCCGATGGCTTCAATTTCACAGCTCTGGCATCCTGCTGCCAACAGTCCACATCGTCTTGATGACCGGCTTTCGTTGTCGTGGTCCACAGAAAAAGACAGGGCCAAGACAAAAAAAAAGTCAAAAAGTTCCCATATGTGAACCAGGCCTAGCCAGACCATGGTCCTACCATGAGACGACCAGGCACAATAATGAGGTACCGGTGTATAGCTTACCAGTGTATAACTTATATGTAACTACAAATGATCCCGACGTAACTTTACGGAACCCGCCAAGTAACTTTAACTGATCATTCGGTAAGAAAAGCTTAGACGAGAGCTTACATGAATACGAGGATCCAGGGACGGCCGGCAGTGAATCCCAAGATGTCTTCAGAGGCCAGCAAATGCTGTCCCACGAGCGGCACACGCCGGTGGGGCGCGATCTATAGTTTTTTTAGCACGTCTCCGCAGTTTCCACGTTCGGGATAAGCCGCGGGCTTTTTAGCCGCGTACAGCTCAGCACGGCTCGGGAGGACGAGAGCACCTGGCAGCATCAACCGAGGTAACAGCATCGCGAGAATGAGGGACGCTATTGCCCGCTTAATATACGCGATCGTCTCTAAATCGGTTGCGGTCTCCCCACAGAAAGCGGCTATTTTCCCCCCGGGAACAACACCAAGCTCAACCGAGTATCCGGTATGGGTGGCTGACCCTTGCTTGGTCTGAACCCTCGTATATGCCGTCTCCAAGCCAGCTGCTCGGCCACAGTTGCACGAAGTCAAATGTGCCGTCCGCGCACACTTCGAATCATCATCGCTATCCAATGGCCGTGCCGGCCCCCAGTGAGGGACGGCCAGGCCGATAAGCCAGCACGCTAGTCCGCCGCCAACCGCCAATCGCGGATTCGCGATTTGCTTCATTATCACGCCATTCAGAAGACGCAGCCGCGGCGCGTTGTACGCCTTACAGTAACCACAGTCGTAAACGCAGTGCTTGACTGGCCAGTCAGCATGAAGTAAAGGTAAAAATGGCGGCAAGCATGACCGGTCATCCACGTGTAATTTCTTTTTCTGACCTTTTTTCTTCTGCTTTCTTTCTTTCCCTCGGCCTGCTTTACAGTGCTGCAGAGCCTCTCGATTTGCATCTACGTTGGATCTCTGCGTGTTGCATTTCTATTTCTCCCCAACAGATCCACTTCCCTGGCATTCATCATGTCCAAGATGGACGAGAGCGACGAGAAGAAGCGGCCGGACGACGTGCAGGGGACAGAAGTCGATCCCTCGAGTTCCTTTGAAACCATCACAGCTCTGGTTGCGGAAGGTATGGTGAACCCCCTCCTCCACGATGTGGGCGGATTTGTGCATGATGGGCTAACGATGATGGGCGATGTGATCCAGACCATGAACATGAAATTAAGCTGCGGACCATGTCCTGGCAGAAAACGGCCGTGTTGTTGGCGGGCGATCAGGTCTGCTTGGCCATCATGGCCCAAACGTGGTCTCTCTCGTGAGTGCATCGCCTCTTGCAAATCCCCGAGAGCGGGCAATCGAGTGTTGAAGACTGACGGAATTGCGCTTATAGCGTCCTTGGATGGGTGCCCGGCATCATCACCATGGTCCTCGCAGGAATCCTGTTCTGGATCACCTCGATTACCATGCACAAGTACATCATGAAATATCCGCAAATCAAGGACATCTGTGAGTGAAAATGGAACAGATCGGGGCACCGAGAGTTCTTTCGTCCAATCTATACTGTATGCTGGGAACTATATACTGATCCATGGTCGAGAACAGGCGATTTCGGATACTACGTTTTCGGGCAGAGCAAGTGGGCGTATGTCTTCTCGGCATTCATGCTCCTTGCCAACAATATCCTGCTCATCGGATTCCATGTCCTAACGGGGGCGAAAGTCCTGAACACCTTGTCGGGCCACACCCTGTGCACAGCGGTATTCTCCGTTATTACGACTATCATGGGTATTATCGCGTCCGCACCGCGGACGCTCCACCATGTCAGCACCATGTCCATGTTTTCCTGTGAGACCCTGCTAGTTCCCCCATGATCCCACCCCCGGTCTCTGCTGACATGGATTCCGATAGCGGCATGCATGGGTATTGCCATCCTCCTCTTCCTCATTTTCGCGGGCATTGAGAACGCCCCGGGCTACGGATACAACGGCGACTACCCAAGCGACGGGCCTGTGAAGACCTACGCCTTCCCGCTTCCCGGCACGACCTGGGTCGCCTGTATGAATGCCGTGCTCAACGTCACCTTCCTCTGGGTCCCGCAGATTCTCTTCCCGACCTTCATCGCGGAGATGGAGCGGCCGCAAGACTTCCCCAAAGCGCTGGCCGTCCTCTCAGTCATTTCTGCCGTCCTTTTCATCGTGCCGCCGGCCATTGGATTCCGGTATCTCGGCCAGTACGCCACAGCTCCTGCATTTGGTAGTCTGGGTGTGACCGCATACAAGAAGGCGTCCTTCGGATTTGTCATTGTGCCCACGCTCGTCATCGGCGTGATCTATGCCAACGTCACCGCCAAGTTTATCTATAACCAAGTCCTGGGCAAGTCCCGGCACGCGCACAGCCATACCTTCACCGGATGGAGCGTCTGGGGCTTGATCATGGTCGGCATCTGGCTGCTTGCGTTCGTGTTCTCGGAAGTCGTGCCCAGTATGGGCGATTTCCTGTCCCTGCTCAGTGCGGCCTTTGATTCGTTCTTCGGCTACATTTACTTCGCCATCGCCTACTGGCAACTCAACCGGGGCAAGCTATTCGCCGGTCTACACAGGACGACCATGACGCTGGTCAACGTCTTCATTATGATCGTTGGGCTGTTCATTCTCGGGCCGGGACTGTACGCCGCGGTCGAGGCGATCATCGCCGATTACTCAGGGTCTACCACGCCCGCCTTTACATGTGCGAATATGGCTATTTAAGAGCGCGGAATCCCCACGGAGGGGAAGGCCTATAATGTAGCTCAACGAAGCAAGTGGAACCAACCTACAGAAAAAAATCACACTACAGTAGCACAGCCCCAAAGTAAATCATATACCAGCCGGAACGGATTGTAGTTACACTAATACAAAAAGCTAAAACCCCAAACCTAAATGGCTCCCATATTCTCCCATTGGCCCAGGCTCCTCCACCCTCGGTCACAGCTTCGACGATCGCTTTTCGAGCACTTGCAGCACGAAGTAGGCAACTACAGAGCACGTTAGAAAATTGCGGGATCCACAGATCAGACTTTTGCAAAGTGGGACAGTGCACGCGGCAACCGGACATGAGGAGGATAAATTTCAATTAAGATTTAGGACTTAAGTGTACGCCATTTTTCAGGGGAGATGTGAAAAGAGAAGTGACGTGAAGTGAAGGTGGGAGAAAGGGGCAAACAGAGACATAAAAGGAATGTTCAAGGGAAAAAGTAAACAATCAAAATCCGCCATCACAAGGATGAGCAGTCTAGAATCAAAATCGGTCCAACGTTTCAATGGGGGGGTATAGAGGGGCAGTAGACAGTCTCGAGGGCTGATTGGGGCTTCAACGCTGTCGACATAGGAAAGGCCAGAGGGTGGGCTCCGGCTTTTTGTTTGTCGTCTCCTTAATATGATGGAGAGGAACGATGATGATAAGATGGAGAGGGCAGAGAAGAAAAGTAAATCAAAATCCATGATTCAAACAAAGATCCAAACAAAAGAAAAGGAAAAGGTTGAGTAATGTTGCCAAAGAAAAAAAAAAGAAAAAACTCAAAAGGGATATAGATTGTGAAAAATCAGAATCAAAAAAAAAAAAATGAATTTTTACTCACTGGCAGCAACAGCAGCAGCGCGGCCGGCGCCAGCCTTCGCGCTTCCACCACCCAGCGTCAGGATGAAGCGCAGCCAGCCCAATGTTAGCTTTTGGCCGCTGCGATCAAAGTCCGGCACCAGAGTGCTGGCGGCCTTGAACTTGCTCAGCTTTCCGGCGTACGGCGGGTAGCGGATGGCGAGGAGGGACTCGAGCCAGCTGGGGCTGCTGGTGATGGGGCGGCGGTGCACCCAGACGTCAAAGCTGGAGCGGCCGCGGTAGGCGCCGTAGCCGCTCTCGCCGACACCACCGAAGGGCAGAGTGGGGATGTGCAGAGCGGAGTCGTTGCAGGAGACACCGCCGGAGCGGGTGGAGGAGATAACTAGAGTACTGTTAAATTGAAGCCGGGTTGATGGGATAGACGAGGGAACTGACTCTTCGCCACATCGGCCTTGGAGCCGAAGGGGTAGAGGCCGAGCGGGGTGTTCTGAACGCCGTTGGCGAGGTTGATGGCCTCGTCCAGGTTCTCGACGGGCAGGATCGGAATGAATGGCCCGAAGCTCTCCTGTGTACAGAGCGAGTCCTCCACAGAGTCGACCAGGACCACGGTGGGCTCGATGAAGAGCTCCTTCGCGTCCATGCTACCGCCAAGCACGATCTTGCCCTTGGTGTTGTCGAGCATTGACTTCAGGCGCTGGAAGTGGGTGTCGTTGATGATACGAGAGTAATCAGGCGAATCCTTCGCACCCTGGGGGTAGAACTCCGCATAGGCCTTCTTGAATTCTTCCACAACTTTGGACACAAGCGACTTGTCGACAAGCAGGTAATTCTGCGAGGTACAGACCTGACCCGCGTTCAGGATCTTGCCCCAGAGCATGCGGCGCGCAACCAGGCGCGGGTCGGCATTCTTGGTGATAATGGCCGGGTTGATACCGCCCAGCTCGAGGACCACGGGGGTCAAGTGAGGTGCCGCGGCCTTGGCGATGATACGGCCGACACTGGCACCACCCGTGAAGAAGATTTTGTCCCATCGCTCGGCCAGGAGAGCCTGTGTCTCGGGAACGCCACCCTGGACGACGGAGTAGCAGGAGGGGTCAAGGGAGGCCTCACAGATCTTTTGCATGACGGCAGCGCTGCGGGGAGCGTTCTCAGAGGGCTTGATGACGACGGTATTACCGGCGGCGATAGCTCCGATAACCGGACCCATGGTCAGCTGGAAGGGGAAGTTGAAGGCACTAGATCGGGAGGGAAAGGCAAGCGATCAGTTTGCCGTGCTACCATTGTCGTCCGGAAGATAAAACCTACCCGATCACCAACACGCAGCCGAGGGGATCCTTCCGGATCTTGGGGCTCATGAACTTGAAGGAGAGTTCGATATCGGGGGCCTTCTCATCCTTGACCCATTTGTGCAGGTTGCGGGTGGTGAAGACGATGTCGTTGAGCAGCCAGCCGCTCTCTGCGACTTCAGTCTCGAAGCGCGGCTTATTCAAGTCCTGGGCGCACGCCTCGACAATCTCCTCCTCATGGTCCTTGATGCTGCGGACAACCGAACACGTCAATTTCGATCATTTTGCTGCCATTAAGGCCCTTCCATCCGTTGTTTAGGGGGTGGACTTACGCCCAGTAGAGCTTGCGGAGCTGGACGAGACGGAACTCGACATCGCGGGTCTTGTGCTCCAAGAACGACTTGCGCGTGGTGGAGATGACCGCTGGGATAGCCTCCAGCGAGGTAAACTGCAGGTCGGGTAGCTGGACGCCCATTTTGAAGTATGGGAAGGATTCAGAGAAAAAGCAAAGAGTCCAAGGAAGGTGTGGGACCAGCGAGATGTCCAGGCCTTTTCTACGCGGGCGGTGCGGCAGGTTCTCCGCATGGCACATGCATCGCTCGGCTGATTGGCAGCTTGCGGTACTGTTGATCCCCGCTTCCCTCCTTTTTCTTCGGGGCTGACCTTCTCCTTTCTCTCTTGGATCTCATCCCTTATTGCTCGGTGAGATTAAAGATTAAATCGAGTGGACGAGATGCATTTTACGATTGCATTTCCCTAGCATGCATCCTTTTGTCTCTGCCTGATAGCTCGCCCAGTCTGTCCGACCGTACCCCTCTACCTCGCTCCACCCCAGCTCTTCAACCGCGGCTTCACACGGCCCCACTTGGATTGGGGCGCGTGCGGTTGCCCTGATTGGATGCGATTTCGTGGCTGGCCGCTGTGTGACGACTCTATTCTTTCCCCGGCGACTTTGCAAACAGCAAATAGTCACGAATGCTAAATTTAAGACAAGGGGAGATTCGGAGTTCAGTGCAACACATTCACGGTGTCAGTCGAAATTACTCATGAATTGATTTTCAGACTATGCAAAACAACACTCGGCTCGTCTCATCTAAAGGCGATGCCGACGGGAATCAGGTCACGAGACTATGTCACATATCGCAAGAAAAAGAAACAAACGAGAAACGCCGCAATGAATTCAAACGGTATACACAGGTATACGCAGGTATACAGTGACTTCCCCATGACTCGAATCACTATGGATCACAGTCTGCTCAGTGCTTGAACTGGTCCTCGGTCACACCCTTACCCATGGCCGCCGTGCTGCTCACACCGCCCGAGACCATTTTAAGCAGGTTATCGACGTAGTTGGCACCACTCCATTTCTGGTGGGTGACCACGTCGACGCCCTGCTCCATCTCGGGCTCCTGGACCAGCTCGCCGTAGGCGCGCATGCCGTTCTGGGCATACGCCTTGGCGAACTGGTGCGAGATGAGCGCGGTCGTGTGCAGACCGGCCAGCGTGATGAACTGCCAGCAGTAGCCCAGCTGGCCCAGGCGCTTGATGTAGGTCTCCTGCTCGTCGCGGGGCATGGCCTTCTTCCAGTTGAAGGAGGGGGACAGGTTGTAGGCAAGCCTGGAGAATGACGCGTTAGTAATGGAGGTCTGGACGAAGAGATGAGATGGGAGGGAATGGAATGGGGGATGACGCACTTCTGCTCGGGCCAGACGGCGTGCACACCGTCAGCGAACTCCTTCGCCTGCTTGTAGTCGGGCAGCTTGCTCTCCATCCAGATGAGATCGGCAAAGGGTGCGTAGGCCACGGCGCGGTTGACGGCGCACTGGGTGCCGCCCTGGTAGCGGTAGAAGCCCTCACGGGTCCGGGGGGCGTCCCAGTTCCAGTAGATGTCGACACCGGTGATGCCCTTGGCAATGGCGCGCGCTTCGCTGTTGCTCTTGCCCTTCACAGCCTTGAGGTACTGCTCGATCAGCCCCTTCTTATTGACGTGCACGCCGCCGTTGATGGAGTCGATCACAGCGTCGTCGAAGAGCTTGAGGCCAGCTTGGGCGGTCCACTGGTCCTCAATGGCCTGCAGCTCGGCGCCGTTCTTGCCTGCCTGCTCGCCAGCGACCATCAGGTCGTTCAGGGGTTGGAGGTTGGGGTTGGTCGCGCCCACAATGAAGGCGTGGTCGCGGTGGTCGATGGAGGAGGTGATGAGAGTAGCGGCCTCAGAGTCGGTACGCGCAATGGCCAGGAGATCGGTGCCCATGATATCGGCCTGGGCACGGATGGCAACCAGACGGTTGATGTGCTCGCTGATGGGGACCAGCACCTTGCCGGCCATGTGGCCGCACTTCTTGGTACCGGGGGCCTGGTCCTCAATGTGGATACCAGCCGCGCCGCGTTCGACGAACAGCTTGGTGAGCTTCATGACGGCAGTCAGACCACCGTGACCGGTGTCGGCATCTGCGATGATGGGCCGCAGGTAGTCCACATTGGCGACCTTGGAGCGCTGGTCTTTGGGGGTGGTGATGCGCTCCTCGCGCTGTTTCCGGTCATGGAAGAGCTGTGCCATGAACAGCTGGTTGACCTTGCGCGGGACAGTGTCCTGGAGAAGATATCGTCAGTACCGCAGGACTCAACTTCGGTCTCTCCACACGGTTGTCACTCACCATGGGGTAGTCTGCCAGATCGGGGGAGGGCTCATCAGTCGACGAGGCAGTGGACGAGCTCTGCCAGCCGGAGACGTAGATGGTGTCAAGGAACTTGCACATTTGGGTGATCATAGTGGGCTCGAGGCAGCCATAGGTGTAGCTCGCCTGCTTGGTCTATTTGTGGGAAGCTGGCGTTAGCATCTCTACTCCCATTCCGCCCTCGCAATCCGAGACTGACCTTCCAGTTCTCCTCGAGGATACCCCAGAGCTTCTTGGCCTGGACACCGGAGGGGTAGTCGATCTTCAGATTACCGCGTTTGGCGACAATCTGCTCAGCAGTGAAGGGACGCTTGGTGAAGCGCCACCGAGAGTCCTTCCACCAGTTCTGGACGGCCTGGACATCCTCCGCATACTTGCGGTCCTCATCTTCATGCAGACCCATGATGTAATTTTGAGGGGTATAGAATACCACGAGGGGGATACTCAGAAAAAAGTTTATAGATTCGCTCGAGCAGCAGGGTGCGTGAAATCAGCGCAGTCCACAGCGAGTCCTTGAGATGATCAAACCAGAGGGACAGGAGAATAGATAAAGCGACGAGTCCGCAAAGGAAGGGTAAGAAAGGGGAGAGGAGATTAGTCGCATACAAGCACAAGCACAAGCACAGGATCAGATGAAAAACCAGCTTAATCACAAGCCAGAAGGGAAACCCGGGGTACTTATTTGCTTTGCGAATGCGTCACCGTCCAGCGGTCGGTAAACGCTCGGCTCACCGGGTGGGCAGCGGAGGTCCCAACCCTGGAAAGCCTAGGTAATCTTGTCCAAAACGTACAGCGACTCGACCGATGCCCAGTAGAATCCACGGGCGTCGCCCCCGTCGCCCCGAAAAGCGGAAAGCGGGTGCGGTGGTTCGGAAGAGAGGATCCAGACTCTGGAGATCCTCGGTCTAATGGACGGCTGCGTTCGGCGCTCTGGAGCAGCCGCCGGGCTGCGCTGTCACCGCATCCTGGGCATTTTAGTTGCGAGACTTTCTTTATTGTGATCGGTAACTCTCTGGTATGTTGTTTAGGTGTTACTGTTGCTCAATTCATCCTCCAGCTCGTTGTTTCTAACCACATGGAAGGGCACGAGGGGGTCGGGATGGCGACATGACGTCGTTGGACACATGCGTCGGCGTACATGACAATACGCCCCAACTTTCACGTGCGGTCGCTGTCGGGACCGCATGATAATAACTCGGTCTGACGAACATGACAGAGGGATTGACGGTCGTGTAGTCTGTTCAGCTCCCTGTCCGGGATCGGTCGGCCCTTTTTCCCTTAATTGTCCATCGTGTTTATAGCTGGAAAGTCCCAAGGCCTACGCCGTTAAGATGAGCGCCGCCTGAGTCATCAATACAGTCCTGTCATGCCCCGGTATTCAGTGCATCTCCACCGCGCATCTTCGGGCTGCACCAGCCTGACTGCGCCCGCCAGCGGGTCGTCTGGGATGAAAGGCAATTCCGATCGTTTTGCTGAAACAGGTGAAAAGAGCCGGGGGTTCATTTAACCATTCTCTGTCTGCTTTGCCACTCTTACTACTGTAGGCTGCTTCTCGAACCCACCGTCTGGACAGTTCGGACCTTGTATCTTGAGAACCCTTTGCATCTCTCAATAGGGCCCTAGAGGAGCAACGAGGTCAAATCGGAAGAGCGGGCTTCTTTGCGCAACTATCGAATGGACCCTCCGTACTCAGTACCGTTTTGGACGCACCTGGTGATCATCGAAATGACTCAAACTAAACCTTCTTCGTTGGACCTCGGCTCAACCGATGCTGACTACGCACATCATCCTGGGCCCAGGAACGTACAGTAAAACAAGGCAGACAGGACGAAGGGTATTGTCGTATTTTTGCGCATCTATAGTACTGTACCCCGTAGTATGTAGAGGGGGATCATTCACCCTCTCTGCCTCCTCACGCTCCGTCCTCGGCGATTCCCATAGGACATCCATGCCGAGATCGAGATGCCTTTTAAGGTTATCTGTACATCAACGTATAAAAAAGAACGACAAAGCTAACCTCAATCTTCACCAATTGTTTCCTCACCACGCAAATAAAACGAGCATCCATCATAACCGAACCTACAGTAGATGTTCAACAAAGCTGTCACAGCACCGTATCCCCAGGTACAGTGGCAGTGCAAAAGTTTGAAACTATTTTCTACTCACCGCCTACTGCCCACCGCCTATACCGTGTCCTTCCAACACTCGACATATTATTAATGCTAGCTGATTTACCGGCTATGATGGCTCTCCGGGCAGGCCCGGCAATTACTGAGGCCGATAGGTGGTATAAATACAAAACATATACGTTGTTGCGGTTTAATTTCAGCTATTTCAGTAGATTTTTATCCGGCAGAAAAAGCTTGGCACTAAGGGAATAGTTTCAAACTTTTGCACTCCCACAGTACCTCCCGCCGCCCGCCCCGCCGCCCGCGAAAATAGCCTCGGGAAAACCAGGGTGCCTCTGCATTCCCCACCGTGGAATGGTCGAATCTGGGGCATTCGGCGCGTGTGCCTTCCCCTGCGGAGAGCCCCCTGGCGTCGCACGCGATTCGGGATCCCTGACTTCCTTTCGGATGTTGACCGTGACCGGCGACTTGCCCAAGGGGAACCGGGTTATTTTCGCTGGCGTCATGCTTACGGGACGGAAATGGCGGGGTGCAACGCATGATGCCTTGTTTGGAAAGGAAGGAAGCTTTGGTTTTGGTTGTACGTGACGAATGGAAGTGAATTGCATCAGAGCGAAAAGAGTGATAACCAAGCAACAATGTATCGCAACCTGCGGCCCCTGTACAGCCAAACTTCTAAGTCCAAGTCCGTGCCAATTTGATACTTGGCCCATCTGGCCACAGACCCGCCATAACAGCCCACATCTTTCAACCCCCCCCTCCTCTTTCTACATGCACGCCCTACTTTTTGGGTGTCTGTGATGTGACGTCTAACAAAACCATCGCGTCCATCAGACTGAACGCAAACTCCAACCAGGTCCAAGGGCACAATGGCACCTAACCCGATCAATACGCATCGGACGCATCAACAGCCTTCTTGTACGTCTCATAAGGAGTGATAGCACCCAACGAACGCCTCATGTGCGCGTTGAGAATATCCAGCCCATAAACGTAGCTAGCATTAACCCACCCGAATCTGCGATTATCAGTGATTAGCAACATGCCTGCGCTCGCAAACCAAAGGGGGAACAGAAGGGGTAAAAAGGACGAAACTCACCCTTCACGAGGCGCGCCCTTGAAGTCGGTCCCCTGATTGCCGTACTCGGCATCAACCCGGTGCGGATCAATCGGTCGAGTCACATCATACTTCTCCACGACCACACCATTGAAGTCGACAAACGCCTTGGTGATCATGTACAGCCACTTGTACGCAAGCCGCTCTGCCTCCTCCTGGTACCCGTACCGCAGGAAGCCGGTCCACGCCAGCATCTGCTGCGGCGCCCAGCCGTACGGGAAGTCCCACTGGCGATTAGGCCGCTCCAAGCCCACCGGGCCGCGGGACTCCTCAGTACCAGAGACCAGGCCGCCGTACACTTCAAGCCGAGGCAGGGCCTTTTCAACCATGGTGGCGGCCTGTGCGGGCGTCGCGAGTCCGGCCCAGAGGGCCCAGAAAGTGGTGGCGCTTTCGTAGTGGATACGCTCTTGCTTGACGGTATCGTAGTCGAGAAACATGCCCTTATCAGCGTCCCAGAGTAGCTGATCCATGCGTTGCTTGCGCTTGCGAGCGCGACGGTCCCAGGAGGAGGAGGACTCGGTCGCAATGTCCTTGGTGGCGGGTGTCCGGAATTCGACCGGGATTGCGAGCTTGTCATTGAAATAAATCCGGATGATACGTGCAATGTCGACTTCATATTTATACAGGAGGGAGTTGAGGTCGACGGTGGCCAAGTTGGCGCAGACGCGCTCTAGGCGATAGCTGGTATCGTGGCCGGACTCGCGGACTGCCCGATCATGCAGGAAGTACTCGTCCAACTCGGGTTCGACCACGGCGCGGGAATTATACGCCAGGACAAAGTCCTTGAACGACATACCGTGCTTTTCGGCGTACGGCATGAGGAGATGAGTAAAGTGAGTCGCCTCCGTCTCCGGCGGCACACCCCAGCCCTCGGGACGATATCTCGAGAGACCCGTGACGGGGTCATATCGCGGTTCCGCAACCCAGACACTGTGGTACTCTTTGATGGCCGCCAGGACTGCGTTTCGCAGGAACTCCTTCGAGTCAGGTTCGTTCTTGATCCGCTCGTATACCCGTAGAGCCATGTCGGTGAGAAACGGGGGTTGCGAGCGGGTCAGGTAGTAGGATCGGTTCGCGTTGAGAATCTTCGCGTAGTGCTTGATTTCGAAGCAGAAGTTGATGACCATGCCCTTGGCAAGATCAACGCGATCACTCACAAGAAGACCCAGCGACTCCATGTAGCTATCCCACCCGTACAGCTCGTTGAAACGACCTCCCGGGACGACGAAGGGAACACCGGTCAAATCCTCCTCCCCAGTGACCTCGTTGCGGGTCTTCGTCATTGCCAATGCTAGCAGTCCTGGCTTCTCATTGAGCTTCATGACATAGTCAGGGGTGATGTTGGCGTCAAGCATTTGCACGTCTAGCCGCAGTTCTGGGTGAGTCTCGGCGAACTTCGAGTAGTATTCAAACTGTTCCGGAGCCCCGGGAGGGATATAGATTCGGGGCCGCGGATCATCAGTCCAGTCCTTGGGATCTCTCCCAGCCACCTCAATATTGGAGCCATCGATACGTCTGGTGAGCGCCTTCCAAAACGAGTTCTTGATGAGCCGCGAGAGTCGGGCAACGGGGTTCTCGCTCAAGCGGGCCTCGTCAAGGATGACTTGCTTGCGACCGTAGTCTTTCGCAATAGTAAGCTCCTGCAGGAGGTTGGAAAGCATGTAGGTACCGCGTACATCTACACGGTTGTATCCCGACGACCCTGCAGTTCCGACCGAGAGTACCTATTATCGTCAGCTGCCAGTAGGGTCAATCCTGATCGGTCAGCAACCCACCTTGGGACCAAGATCTTCGATCGTGATCTGCATGTTCTTATCGGTGTCTTCTTGCTTCAGGAGAGCGTCGAGTGTTTTGTCCACATCGATGAGGAACTTGCGGGGGTGTCCGGAGGCCTCATCTGGTCGGCACCGTCAGCTAGCTGCCTCGCCATTGTGTTGGGGATCCGATAGCGGTTGTGCATACCGTGACTACCTCGTCTGGAGGGCAGTGTATCCAGGAACTCATGAATATCTCCACGGTTGTAGTCCTTCACGCTCTGGACGCACACACAAACAAAAGTGAGCAGGGAAGGCCGATCCGCGGGGTCGCCGCACAAGCACTGTGGCTGCTTACCGTCGAAAAAGCGCGCCGCCGCTCTCTGATCCTTGCAAGGGAGTCTTCGTCGCCATAATAAACGTCTGGATGGGAGTATGGATCGAAGGAGGGAGCCCGCTGGTGGTTCCCATTTGACGAGCTCATGGTATGTCGCGGGAGGCGAGGGAGAGGAGGGACGGAGGGGCACAATCTAGACTCCGATCGTGCGTAACGCAAGGTGGCCGTGTGTGCACACCGACTTTTCTGGGGGTTCTGACTGTGTTCAGCAGCAACAACAGAAGAACAAACAACAGCACCGACGTGGATATCCTGCTATAAACGCGATGCGGATGACCCTCGACAAGCACTCCGCGGGGGGCGATCTGATGTAGTCGGTAAAGAGATAGGGGAAACTTGTTCGTAGAACGGGGATTCCGGGTCAGTAAAGCGAGGGATTCGGTTCTAATATAATGTCAAAGAGGTGTTTTCAATCCTGTACGCTGCGAAGCCGGTGATGGTGGGATGGATGATCTCGATTCCCACAATGATCTCATGCGAGCGGTGATGATGTCGCCGCTCCACTCCGCGTTGCCTCCGATAAGACGATGATAACAGCGTAGCGGGTCGCTCCGGTGTTGGTCACGATGAGTTAGCGAGGGAGGCACTCCCGCCAGATGCGCCGGGTGTGTTTTCTTTTTATGAGTCTTAGACCGAAACGTGTTCTGGTAGGAAAGAAAGCAATTGTGCTCTTAGCCGAGAGAGCCGGTGTGGCGATCAGCCTTCCGTCGGCATGCCAGAAAAGTGAAGAGCTGCGTCTCCCCTAATATACGGGAACCGGGAACCGGGAACCGACCGTGAAGGCCGCCATTGGGATCTGGAATATATCAAATGACAGCCTGTCCTGTCCCATTTAATATCTACAGCGATTTATATGACACAATCCTCTGCTTTTCAGCGCCTGCCTAGCTTGGCTCCAATTAGATCTTAGCAGCAATGGAGCTACCACCGTCGACCGAGATGGTCGCGCCGTTAATGTAGGCGCCCGCCCGGCTGCTCAGGAACAAGCAAGTGCCAGCGACATCCTGTGGGGTGCCAATTCGGCCCAGGGGAACTCCAGCCTTGATGGCCTCGCCGAAGGATTTGAGGGTGGCAGCCATCATCTTACTCTCGAACGGACCGCAGGCCAGGGTGTTGGAACTATGACGGTCAAATGCCGTTAGTCTTCGCAGGACACACAAAACACCACAATAGATGTACGTACGTAATGTTTCGCCTCCCTAGGTGGTTGGCCAGCACCCGGCTCAGGTGGTGCAGACCGGCCTTGCTGGAACTGTAGGCAAACGTCTCCAGCGAGGGGACACGCAGGCCATCGATGCTACCAATATTGATGATGCGCGCCGGGTCATTCGGAGAGGAACCCTTCTCCAGAAGCGGGGTCACGAGTTGGGTCAGATCGAAGACGCGGTGCAGGTTAAGGGTGAGGACGCGGGTGAAGGCCTCGGAGGGATACTCGTCGTAAGGGGCACCCCAGTTCGAGCCGGAGTTGTTGACCAGGACGTGGAGCTCTGCAATTTAGCAAATGATATTAGCGGAGTGGTCCTCAAAGTACAAATTGGTGGTTGTGACTGACTGCTCTCACGCTTGCCCAGCTCCTCGGCCAGCTTCTTTACGTCGTCATACTTGTAGAAGTCGGCGGGAATAGCGTGCGCTTTGCCTTTGCCAAGCGCATTGAGCTCGTTGACAGCCTTATCGCAGGCCTTCGCATCGCGAGATGAGATATAGACAGTGGCACCATTTGTCACATATCCCTCGGAGATCATGCGACCGATGCCTTTGGCGCCGCCGGTGACCAGCACCACTTTGCCCTGGGCCCATAGTTAGCAGACAGCGTGGAATACTGGATAAATTCTCCCACTTTAACGTTAAATAAGGTCTCTGAATCCATGACTGCAAGTATAGATTGCACTTAGTGTCCAGAATCCAGGCGTGGACCCATACTTTTATGCCCCCGCGTAGCTCCCTTACACCCCATACATACCCGACGACCGAGCGCGTGAGCCTCGGCTCCCCGGGCCCATGGTTTCTCCGGAGTAATATACGCTATGCCTCTTTCAGTCGGTACCTAGGGCAGCTCCGTCAGGGTTTCGCGGGGTCTGCATTTCCGGCGTGGTTGCTGCGTGTTCCAGCGATTGTTTACATTATTGGTTGCATTTACACCCAGCATTCGATTATTTGTGTTTAAGCCATTCCGCCGTTCTGTCCGGCCCTCTTTTCATCATGGATGAGCTACTCGCCAAGCACCGGAAAGAACAAAAAGACCTACAAGGGCGCATCACCCAGAAGAAAAAGTCCGCCACTAAGAAGACCCGCAAAGGCGTCAATGATGAATGCGAGCGAATGCAGCGAGAGCTCACCGAACGACATCAGGCGGAGATTGCGGCGCTGAATGGGGAATCCACTGAGCCGGTAGAAGAAAATCTTGAAGATCTCAGCCTAGAAGATGGGATACCAGCAGAGGGCGAACCGAACGATGACAAAACGACTGCACCGACACCTCAAACCCTCGAAACGTCCTCTACCACAACCTCCGAGGAGCCTGCCCCAAAAAGCAAGAAGCCCAACCGCCAAAAAGCCCGCCTTGCCCGTCGTGCAGCCGAGCAAGCTGCCCAGTCCGCTGCGGCGGCCGAAGAGGCCGCCAACCAAACAAACTACAGAGGCAACGAGCAGGAGGTCATGGACGCTGTTTTTCAAAAACTCGGCCTCAGGGAGGTTGAAGTGACGCCCGATGGACACTGCCTCTTCTCTGCGATTGCCAAGCAGCTAGACGAGTCCGGGGTGGGTTTGCGGCCGGACCCAAGCCGCATCGTACTCCAGCCGGCCACGCAAACGCGCATTGACACTGTCGCATCTCCGCAACACGATGGGTACCGGGCCGTCCGAGCCGTCACGGCGGACTTTATCACGGAGCACAAGGACGACTTCGAGGCGTTTCTGGAGGAGCCGTTGGATGTCTATGCACGGAAGATTAAGCTCACTGCCGAATGGGGTGGCCAGCTGGAGCTGCAGGCTATCGCTCGGGCCTACGGCGTCGATATTAATGTTGTGCAGAAGGATGGGCGGTTGGAAAAATTCGAGTGCGGCGATATGGACAGCTTCGATGAGGTAGAGCAGCGCAGGCGTGTGGTTTGGCTGGCGTATTACCGGCACACCTACGGGTTGGGAGAGCACTACAACGCTCTGTTCAAGAAGGACTGAGTGATTTCCACAAAGATTAACGGTCAAGCCCTCGGCTTGCCGAAGCCTTTTGACTGCCATTTTGGCCCTCAAGGCCGGCCTGTTCTGGCCCGACTGCCTGGGATTATTTTTATTTCCCATTTTCCTTTTCTTTGCATCTCATACGCACTGGCACAGATCTAATTACGTCGGCGCCAAATAGAGACTCTGTCATAGATCACCCCATTCTCACCCTGGCCTACCTCATGCGTGCGCTCAGGCTGCCAGTGCGCCACCCTCTCTAGGCCGGCCGTGCTCGGCTCCCGCAGCGGATCCGGCTTGATGAGGCCCTTGTCATTGTAGGCAATCTCTTCACCGGGGTGGCTCAGGTGCTCCATGTACGCCTCGGACGGCGAGGGATATGGGGGCCCGGCAGCCAGAGGATCCTTGTGACGAGGGAACTCCAGGCAGATCAGGTTGCCCGCTGGAGACGGAGCCAAGAGCTCAGTGTGTCGAAGTGCCCACTTGGGACGGAGCTCTGGTCTCAGGGCACAAAAGAACTAGGGGATTTGGTTAGAACGAGAATGGCAAATATTTTGAAGGGTTGAAAAGAGGAAGCCAAAGAACGGGAGAGGTGCTTGACTAGCTCGCAAGTATCGAAACAGATATTCGAGAAGTCGAACGAAATCGAACAATCGAAAAACAGAGCTTACTGTGTAGTCATAAACGATGTCGAATCCATTCCGAGGCACCCCGATATTCTGCAGCCACGCATCATCGAAGAAATCTCCCTGCACAAACGTGACCTTTCCACGACCGACACTCTGGTCCCGCACGCGATACCAGCTGTGATTCTCTGCCTCCTCCTTCTTGCATACCTCGACGGCAGTAGCGCTATACTCCAGGCCATAGGCGTCGTACCCAAAGCTTGCCAGCAGGAGGACATCCACACCGCGGCCACAGCCAGGAACTAAGGCTTTCCGCCTATATGACTGGCCCTGTGCGTCTTGAGTGAGGGGCCCGCCAATCGTGCCAGCGCGCTGCACCAACGCGTCTTCCAAGGCTGGGTTGGGGAAGCCGCGGTCCCAGGGCAGACTGTCGCCCTTGTCCCAGAGGGCGGCCCAGCCGTCGATGTACTTTTCGGCCTTGAAATTGGCCAGATGGACCTGGATATCCTTGGGATCGAGGTTGCGTGGCACGTTCATGGCTGAGGTGTTGTAGTGGTGGAGTGCGGGGAAAGGTGGGCTGGCGTATGAAGTTGAAGGTGGCTCGTGAATGGAGATTCGTAACCGGACAGAGGGTTTGGGGGGATGTCTGGATCTGAATTTGAATCTGGACTTGAAGCTCGACGAGTAAAATAAGCAGAGGAATCGAGTCGTCAGCACACCGTCTTTGCCATGTTTATTACCCTAGTTAGTTACCGAGTCGATCGATCGCTTATTAAGCACCTCCTTGCAGTGCCCGAACGGCCTTGCGATTGCGATTGCGGTGAGGATGTGGTGAAGATATCATGTCGCTCGCCCATATCATCCAATCCGCCACGGGGAAAGGGAAGGAGGGGTTATTCGTCGAGCTTATTCCCATCGTCTTCTTAGTTCATACTTTATAGTTCTCGGTCACACGAGCCACACCCCATGGTGGATTTTCCCAATCACGCACTGCCGGGCTAAAACGAGCCAATCTGCGTCTATCGGGACAACTGACGGACATCTTTGACTTATTGACGCCCATGCCATATTGTCGTGATCCGGGGTAATGTCCCCTTCTGACGCCGCGCGGTATCAACCGCCCAGGCTTTTGCCGACGGAAGACCGGCACGGCCTCGCCGCACGATGACTGGCTCTTCCCTTGCGAGACCCACGGGCCCTGGAGGCGAGTTAGACCGTTCTTGGTTTTGGCTGCGACCCCTCTCTTGTATCGGCGGATTAAAATCCAGGGCTGCTAAGTTGTCATTTATAAGATAACATGGGGCACTCGGAGGTCGTCGGTGGTTGTCGGTCGTCCGAATGCAGACGTCGAAATACAAGCCTGGTCAAACTTGGCGAATCCGTCGAAGATCACGATTCCTTCGAACCACTTTTCCTGAAAGCTTTCAGATTTGTACTTCCTCTTGTATTTATTTCATGCGATACTCAATTCAGTAGCCAGTCGGGCTAATCCTGCCAGCTTAATACTCGTGCCTGCCCCAGTGGCTGCTGCCCGAGTCGACGGTAGACCCACGCCTGCCTATTTCGGCTGCTGGTGGGCTTTCGCATTTCCTCTCTCCAGCCCGCTAAGGGATTGCCTGCAGCGGAGTTTTTCTGGCCTTGTCCATATGTTCCCTTAAGTCACCCTGCTATCAGGCCAGTGTCCATAGCCAACAAGAGCCGTTCATGTGCGAGCTTTAGCAGCGCAACATAACCGTCTCGCCGCTGATCACAGGCTTCTTTTTTCAAATCGGTATTGATCTTCGGGGATAGTAATTTCCCGCTTTATGCCCTGCGCCGACGGTCTCCATCCCGGCACCCAGATCGGCCGTGATTAAAGCTTGCCGGGTCTCTCGATTTGCATCGGCCGTGTCGGTATATCGGCCCTCTGCAACATCACAATGCCCGCGGAGATTGAGCAGGATGGCATTGCCACGTCGGCGATACCGCGTTCAAGCTCGAGCAATGATCATTCAATAACAACGGCTGAGGGGAACTTTGAGATTGACGATGCGCAATCGCGATCGCATACCTCTAGCATCGGGGCTGGGGATGAAGAGAAGCACATGCCGGAAGAGCACATGCCGCTCCCACGACAATCGACCGAACTAGATCCAGCAATTCAAGTCCCGCGTTCACAGCGCCGAGGACTGTTTGGCCAGTTCACTCTGGTGGCAGAGGTCGAGAACCCAAAGACCTACGCCCGAAAAATGAAGTGGTTCATTACGTTCATCGTTGCTGTTGCAGGAGCTACAGCGCCAATGGGCTCGTCCATTTTCTTTCGTAAGTTGTGGGCTGAGCCATTACTGTATCTGCACGTTCATGTCGGTCTAACTGGATCTCTCAATCAGCTTCGCTTTCCCAGGTCACCAGGGATTTGAACACTACGACTACAATTACTAACCTGTCAATCGCCCTGTACATGCTCAGCATGTCTATCTTCCCGTTGTGGTGGTCATCATTCAGTGAACGGCTCGGACGACGTACGATCTATTTGGCTTCTTTCGTCCTTTTTGTAGTCTTCAATTGCCTCTGTGCCGTCTCGAACTCTATCGCCATGCTGATCGTGATGAGAATGCTCAGCGGCGGTGCATCCGCTTCCGTCCAGGCGGTAGGTGCAGGAACCATTGCGGATCTATGGGATTCCCACGAACGAGGCCGTGCAATGGGCATCTTCTATCTGGGCCCTTTGTGTGGGCCTTTGTTTGCGCCCATCGTGGGCGGTCTACTAGCAGAACGTTGGGGGTGGAGGAGTACCATGTGGTTTCTTGCCGCCTACGGGGCGCTCACGGTTATCTTCATCTTCCTCGCTCTGCCAGAAACGCTTGTCGTGCGGAAGCCTGTTCTTCCTGCCCTGGCAGATGATGATCTCACTCCTGTCAGTCGCCCGCTCAGCCGAGTGTCCTCGCGTCAGGTCGTCAGCTTCACGACCAAATGGCTCAAGTGGTTGAAGATTGTCTTCATCGATCCTTTGAAGATTGTTCTGTACCTGCAGTATATCCCCGTGCTTCTGACTGTCTACTATGCAAGCATTGCATTCGGCTCGCTGTATGTTTTGAACGTGAGTGTTGAAGACTCATTCGGTAAGCCACCGTACAATTTCAGCACAATCATTATTGGCTTGCTCTACATACCCAACTCCCTGGGGTATGTGGTGGCTAGTCTATTCGGTGGACGGTGGATGGATAACATCATGCAACGCGAGGCGAAGAAGGCAAATCGGTATGATGAGAAAGGTAGGCCGATTTACCGCCCCGAAGATCGAATGCGTGAGAACGCTTGGCTAGGTGCTTTCCTCTACCCAGCGGCCCTTATTTGGTACGGGTGGACAGTGGATAAAGGGGTGTTTTGGGTGGTTCCGGTATGTTGACTCGACACAGAAGGCGCTTCTAGTAAAGGAGGATTGTTAACCAACTTGTTCCACCACCAGATGATCGCAAATTTCTTTTTTGGTATCGGTTCAATGCTCATATTCAGCATGGTGACCACCATGTTGACCGAGTTCATGCCCAAGAAGTCTTCGGAGGGGGTGGCCCTCAACAATTTCATGCGAAACATATTCTCTTGCGTGGGTTCTCTCGTCACAGCGCCGATCATCAATGGCATCGGCAATGGTTGGCTATTCACCATCCTCGGTCTGGTCAGCTTTGCAAGCAGCTCGGTTATCTTCTTGATGAGGGTTTTTGGTCCTCGCTGGAGGAAGACGATGGATGAACGCATGCGGTGATATCCACTGGACTTTTCATTTGAGCTTTGCATTTTATATCAGCCATTCCTGCTTCTCCTTGCCATGCTACACACTTGGGAGGCCGATGATCTGACAATCATTCGTCGTCAGACTCTCCCCGTCCGCACATAGGTTTCTTCATGGCCGTTGCACCGCATATTTACATTTTCGCTGCATCGCTCATTTTGTTTTACCTCGGTTCCGTTGAGCGATAGTGTGACTTTCGTTGTACCTTTTTGTTCTCTTGCATCGGCAGTTCTGTTCCCTGCAAGAATACCTGAACATACGCCGAGCCTCTCTCAGAGCTGTGGATGGATGATACCCATTGTCGAAGTTATCAAAAATTAAACCATTATCATTATCACATAAGAAATGTATAGAGCGATGATCACTCCCATCATGGCCCTGTATTAGCAAAGCGACTAAGGGGCACGAGGCAAGGCTTTGCACGTCAAGCTCGGCTAGGGTACCAGGGTTACCCCTGTAACAAGAACCATCATCAAGAACACGCATCACACGGATATCCTTCAGGACCCCCAAAACACAAACACACACACAAGCGCGCTAAGTTCTTCAGATCCCCGCACCATGGAATGCATAGAACCTGTAATCTCTGCATCCCAAGTCCCCAGAGGCCAAAGAACAGGGCGAACGCGCCATATGCACGTCCCGAGTCTACCATGCACCAGAAAAACAAGGCAGCCAATCAGGCCACCGTACCATAGATCCCCGCTAGAACACACTCAATTGCACGATGGGTGTGCTAGACACGCAGCCGGTTGGGGATCAAACGGACGTCCCTTCTTTAGGTACACTTCATGCCGGGCGACTTCGGAGACGAGGTATAGGTACATGTACTGGGTGTGGACTTGGTGTCGGGTCAATTCGTTATTTTGGATTGTTTGTCGCGCTAACAGGTGTGTGCGGTGGTGATTGCTTTTTATGAACGGTCCCAGGCGTTCTTTTGAAATGCATTACTACTATGTTCTACAGTACTTTAACCTCGGATGAATGATTATGTCGAGATTCGGTGTGCAATGGTTTTCATGAGGCCTCTGAGTGCTAAGAATGGCGTTATATAGAATGGGCCATAAGTCGGAAGAAGGGCTACTATTACCTTTATGATTCAAAGGAATCCGAAGGCTATCAATATTTCCGGTAGCAAAATTGACACCAAAATTGACCAGTGTTTTGTTCCCATCTTGGTAAGATTGTTATCTCCCTTTAGGATAAGTGCAGAGATATGTTCTGTACCTTACAAAACCGGAAAAGTCATAGCGCGCTCCAAGATAGATTGTCTGCAACGCGTCTCAATATCTCTGCCTCATTTGTCCAAAACTCACACCCAGCGGACACTGTTTTGAACTCTCTAGCTGTTCTTCAGAATCCGCCCCAAAACTCAACATATTCGCCCCCTGTATAAAATGTGGGTTCCACGGTGTAAATTGGCAATGGGGTCAGTGGGCCTCGTTCAAATCACAGTACCTACGTGTCTCAGCCTAGTACTCCCATCTCGAGCAATGTAACATGATGGATTCAGATATCCAATGGTATTCACGAAAAGATTCCGGCACTATCAAGGCCAGCGTACCAAAATGATGATCGGGCCCTAACCCCCAACCAAGAGGCACAACCCAGCAACCTTCACGGAGGGACGACTAGTTAACAAAATACCGGGCTTAAAATAAAGAAGAAAATCAACACACGAACAAGATAATCTGCGTTTCTTCAGTTCTGCTTGTGCAAAAAAGATTTTCTCTGGCTTATAGCACCGAGTGCTATGCTGTTTCTAGCTTCCTGAGTGAACGACCACGCGTCATGCGAGCTGGACTCCAGAGCACATTTCACAGTGCTTGCATCGTAGTGTCAAGTTTTATAAGGAATGCATCTATTCTAGGCATCATATCAAGATGTCACTCCCATCACGTATCTAGGATCGAGGTCTCCCTGGTAGCTCGCTGCGTGTCATTTACTGCTCGCACGCACTGGGTCACTTGCGATGTGCTAGCAGCAAGCGTGGCGTGGATGCTCGGCCCGCTGCAGGATGCTGGATAGTCAGTTGGCCCAATTTTGGAATGGGGCGAAGTTTCACGAGTATACAACAGATCGGGTAACAGGGTACTCTCGGGTCGCGCCGTCGCGAGAACCGCGGGAATTCGTTGCCGCCCTTGCTAGGTACCTATGCATGCACCTCAATTCGGATTCGGGCCACGATAGGGAGCACCTGCCCTCGGGTTTTCTTTCAAAACCAAGGGTGGCGATCTTCCGATCAGATAAACCGAATCATTGATGGGCAAGGGACGTGGTGGAATGGCACTGGCTGGAAGATCGCACGACCGCAGTGATGTGTCACCTGATCCCGCCTGACCTTGAGACGTCCCAAGTCATCGTTCCACCACTTCCCCTCTCTGCAGCGCTGCATAGGACTGATGCATCGTCCGTTCTGCAGGGTAGAAAATCCAGTCTTCATTCAAACTGCACGCTTGCCGGGGACACGGTCGCTTGGAAGCTGTTCGCCTTTGCGTTCGCTGTCGGGAGGGGGATCGGTCTGCTGAATTGTCGGTGTCGGAGAGTGGAGTCCATGGCTCCTTAACGACTCCAGCCAATTCAATTCGGACCCTCCAGTTTGAATCATTTGACTCACTAGGCCAAGATTTCCCCTGGAAAGTTCCAATCCTCCAACGCCGCGTTTCTTGGGGGTGACCCTCGCCTCCCCCACCAGCGCCAGGCCTGCATCCTATTTGCCGCCGTTACCGGGCTCGTTGGGCAGAAATGGGTCTTTCGACTGCATCACTTTCCGTTGCTCGGCGGGCACCTTGAGTTCCCACTCCCCCCAGGAGGGGAACACTGCAGGTCTGCGTTCGGGCTTCATTGAGGCCACTCGAATTGTCCTCAACCCACCCAATTGCTATATTTTTTCCAACCGCACACTGCGTTGTGTGTACCTTACTGGCAGAGCAAAACTACTACAGAGAAAAATTGAAGTGAAATGAACAATGGCACCCCACCCCCCACTTTACAGACCCATATTGCTCCATGAAGCTGCAGGAATGCCTACCCTATCTGGATCGTTTGACTTGCCAATTCCCAATCCCACGCCGCCATGAGATGCTTGCTACTGCAGCGCTTCCTGCAAGTGGAGATTGTGCTGCCCTCAACCGGCCCTAGTCATGGACTGGTCCTCACTCATTCATCCAATGCTGGCCACCACCGCATGAAGACCGAGGCGACGTGGTCCAATGGTAAGCAGTATCATCGGGCAGTTCACGGATGACGTTCAAGGCCCAAGACCGCATTGCAACGGAGTGCTGCCCATCCATCCGGATAGCGGACGAACTATTATACGCTGCCTCGCTATGACTGTCCAATACAATCTTCGCGTCTCCGGAGAAACAAGCATATGCTTCTTTCCCTTTCCGTCTTCTAATACATCGCACGCTGCCCAGTCTCACAATTCTCAAACCTCCCCATCTCTTGCTACTTTCTGTTACCTTGTGGCCCCAGTCAACCCTTTTCTTGCATCGGTCGCCTGTTGTCACTTTCTTATTGTTCCATTCCTCGGCGCATCAGGCGCCAGTCAGCATCGTCCACACCTCGATATATGATACGTCATTGATCCGAGGCCATGGCCGGCAAAAACAAAAAGAAGAAGAATAAGAACAACAACAACAACCGCCTTCCCGTCGGTGCTACGAACTCAAATCCTGAGACCACAGACCTTCCTGACGAGCCTGCCCTTGAGCCGGCAGCCGTAGGCTCCGAAGATGAGCTCGCAAAAATTCCAGTATGCACAGCTCCCTAAATATTCATATCACTCTTTCGAAAAGCAGTATCAGACTTTCGATCGGAGCACTTTGAAGCTCTCCTATTATCCTGTCATCTCAAATGTTGGTCGTCTGACGGAGGGCAAGGTCCAGGACAACACACAGCCCAGTGCTACCGAATCGGAGAACAAGCCCACGCCTGCTGCTGAAGCCAAGGAAGAGGAGCCCTCTAGCTCCCCAGGTGAAAGCTCAACGACTACCGAGCCTGCAGGTACGTGCAGAACTTTGACAATGACAGTTGTATACATTGTCAAGAGGAGCGTGGCTTTTGCTGTGTAATTGTTTCTCACTTGAAATACATAGAATCCCCAGAGGCAACGACACCTCCAGCAGACGACCCGCCTGCTGATGCCGCTGATGCCTCAAGCGAAGATGCAAAAGTGGAAGAGAAGGATGCAGCCGGGGCCGATGAACCAGCGCCGAACGCAGAGAGCGAAGGCACTACAGATGGAGCCCCTACGGATCCTCCTGCGGAGGGTGCAGAGCCCGAGGAGACGGATGAAAGCGCATCCCCCGCAGAAGATGACGGTGCAGCAAAGTCCAGCGATGACAATGCAAACAATGGTACGAAATACCCACTTGCCTATGGGAACCCTTTATGATTAACATTTTCTAGACGAAGATTTTCCACCAGTTGACCCTGAGGCTGGATACGACGGAGTAGAATCGGAGAAAGAAGAGGCAGCGAAACAAGCTGCAGAAGACGCCGAGGAAGCTATGTCTCAAGGAGATGGTGAGAAGGCAGATGCTGCAGTCGAAGAAAGCTCAGACGAAAGCAAAGAAGAGGAGTCTGCGGCGAAAGAACAACCACCTGCAGCCGCCGAAGAGCCCGCCGAAGAGCCCGCCGAAGAGCCCGCCGAAGAGCCCGCCGAAGAGCCCGCCGAAGAGCCCGCCGAAGAGCCCGCCGAAGAGCCCGCCGAAGAGCCCGCCGAAGAGCCCGCCGAAGAGCCCGCCGAAGAGCCCGCCGACGAGCCTTGTGCCGAGCACTCGGATGGTTCGGGGGATGGTGCTCCCCTGTCAGAGGAATCACCTACAACAGAAGACCCTCAAGCCCCGGAAGCCGGATCTGAAGCCGGGAAAGATGCTCAGTCTGAATCGTCAGAAGCTGATGCTAATGTGGACGAACAACCACCTGCCGAGTCAATTTCTCCTCCCGAAGAGGAACCAGCAGAGGAGGCTTCAGCTCAATCGTCTAAGAAGAGCAAAAAGTCCCGAAAGGAGAAAAAGAAGAAGGGCAAGGCTGGCAAAGCAGCGAAAGAACAGGAACCGGAGACTACCCCCGCACCGGCTGCGGATCCAGCGCCTGAGCCTGAGGTTGAGGCCGATAAATCCGCCTCTGACGACCCAGCCGCAGAAGAAGTCGCTGAGCCAGCTACTGAGAAAGCTGCTGAACCGGAAGAGAATCCTGCCGAGGCCGAAGCGAATCCTGACAATGCCATTGCAGAGCCCGCCGAGGACACCGCCACAGCAGAGCCTGAGAACACCGAGCCCGCAACAGAAGCGGAGGAGGCCCCAGCAGAAGCTACGGATGAGCCGGAGGTTGCGCCTACAGAAGAGCCTGTCGCACCCGAAGCCTCTCAGGACGACGTACCAGATGCCACAGCGGTAGAAACGCCTGCCGAGCCAGCAAAGGAAGAAGCAACAGAAGATCCTGCTGCAGCGGAGCATGAAGCAGAAGCGAAGCCCGAGCCGGAGCCGTCAGCAGAGGCACCTGCGGGGGAAACCACAGAAGAATCAGCCACTGACGATATTGCTGCTGAGTCGCCTGCAGAAAAGGCTGTCGATGAACCCGCTCCAGAAGAAACCCCGGAAGAATCTCCTGCAGCTGAGGGAGCCCCAGAGCCAATCGCTGAGACCTCGGCCGACCATGCAGCTGAAGCAGAGACTACCGAAACTCCGGCTCCAGACGCGACTGAACAGCCCGTCACTGAGACGCCAGCCGAAGCTGCGCCTGAGGAGGCACCAGCACCTGTGGAAGAACCTCCTGCTACTGAAGAATCGCCTACTACCGAAGACACGCCACCTGCTGAAGAGACACCTGTAGCTTCAGATGAACCGGTTGAAGAGGAGAAGGAGACGGAATCACCGGTAGAGGCTGCAGAGGAGGTAGAACCGGTGACGGAGCAACCTGCCGCTGAAGAGCCCGTTGCTGATGCCCCAACTGATGAACCTCAGGCTGAAGTAGATCCAGTCGAGGAGTCTTCGACCAAGGAGCTGCCTGCAGAGGAAGCCCTGCCAGATGACTCTGAAGCCGAGCAGCCTCCCAAGGAAGATGTGCCTACTGAAGAATCTACTGCTGAAGCCGCGCCTGCTGAAGAACCGGCTGTTGAGCAAACTGCTGAGGAGCCTATCGTCGAGCAACCTGCCCCTGATGAGCCTGCCCCTGATGAGCCGAGCGCGGAGGAAACAGCAGCTCCGGAGGAAGAATCAGCACCTGCCGACAGCGCTCCAGTAATTCCAGCTGAAGAAGCATCTGAAGAGCCTGCTCCTACTGAAGGCGAGGCTGCCCCGCCTGTCCCTGAGGAGCTTGCTGAGGAGACTACTGCGCCGCCTGCACCAGCTGAGGAGCCACAGGCTCCAGAGGCTGCTGAAAGTGCACCACCGGAGGAGGCTGCTGAAAGCGCACTACCAGAGGAGGCTGCTGAAAGTGCACCACCAGAGGAGGCTGCTGAGCCACAAGCTCCAGAGGCTGCTGAACCAGAGGCTGCTGAAAGTGCATCGCCAGAGGAGGCAGAGCCTGAGCCAGCTCCTGCAGAAGAGGCACCCGTTGAAGCAGCACCGGCCGAAGAGACCCCTTCTGCAGACCCCCCTGCTCTCGATGAGGTTGTTCCTGAGCCTACCGAGGCTCCGGAAGAGGAGGCTCCGGCTTCTGACCCAGCCCCCGCTGAACCGGCACCGGAAGAAGCGCCTGTGGAGGAGCCTGCACCTGAAGCGGAACAGACGAGGGAAGTTCCAGCAGAAGAGCCGCCAGCCGAACCTGAACCAGCTCCTGCTGAGGCTCCTCTTGAAGGCACCGCTCCAGTTGAAGAAGTCGCACCCGAAGATGGGCCACCTGCAGACCTTGCGCCAGAAGAGTCTGACGATGTGCCCCTGGTCGAGGCATCAGAACTGCCGGTGGGAGACTCGGCAGCTAGGCACAACTCCCGCCGACGCAAGAAGCGCCCGACTGGCGAACGTGAGCGACGAAACTCCAAAACATCATCCGAAGGGCAGAAGAAGGAGCAGCTCAAGCGCCAGAAGAGCGAACGCGGCCTGTTCACCAACCGCTGGGCAAAAGCTCTGGAAGAAGCCCGCAAGCTGCACGAGGAGAAGAAGAGGGCGGAAGCCAACAGCCAGCGCAGGCAAGCGGCCATTGCTGAAGACAAGGAACGCAGCGGCATCCCTCCTTCAGAAAAGTCCGTGAACTCCAAGAGTTCAGGATCAAAGGAGAAGGAGAAGGAAAAGGAAAAGGAACAGCCAGTTGTGGAGGTCAAGCCCAAGCGTCGCTCGTCAGAAGCAGAGCAAAGCAAATCGGTCAAGACGTCCTCATCCTCGAAGCAGGCACCAACTTCCACGCCCAAGCCCAAGGCTTTCCTGCGATACATGAGCAATGCCCCCAACGCCAACAGCAATGGACTCATCGTGCGACCTAATGGCTCTTCCTCTTCCTCTTCCTCAAAACCTGCAGCCGCCACGCCAGCTTCTGAAAAGGAAAAGCCCCGCCGGGCATCCACGAGCCACAGCCATAGCAGTGGTAACCAGGAGCGCTCTTCAAACGAGGCGAAGCGATCCAGTGGCCGCTCCGAGAAATCTCATTCCCGACGCGAAGCTGATGCTCCCCGACAAGAGAGGAAGTCTCGACGACGCTCCGTCGAAGCAGAGGTTGGCAAGCCCCGGGACCGTGAGAAGAAGTCTGAAAGCGCCGGCGGCCCGGAGCAGAGCGGCAAAGAGAAAGAGATTCGCGCTCATCGCCGGCACAAGCGTGAGGAATCTCCCCCGCGAGAGCAGTCGAAACTGAAGGGTTTCTTCCGAGCCATTGCTGCTCATTAAACAAATTTAGATTAGCTTTGAATCGTGTGTTTTTTTTATTGTTCTTTTGGAGAGAGATATTTGATGATGATGTGAGATGAAGATGTCGAGTCTGAGATATGTTGTTTATCCGATGTATGATGTTATGGGTGCATGAGGAGCGAGCATTGCCGGAGTACTGTCTTTTCTGTCGTGATGAGACCGGACTCTATCATTCAGACTGTTAAATTTAGTCCAGTGATTTTGCCTTTTGTGGTACTATCAAACCACCAATTTCTGCCCTAGTTCCAACTCCGGCGATGCACATTCATTCATTCATTTGACTGCACTCGACGTAGTCCCATCCGACGTGAGGTATATACACCCATTATCGTCAAGCTCTGGAGTATGCACATCATCCATAATGCAATGCAACGTATGCTCATGATGCAGGCCATGAAGCCAACCATTATTTACCGATGCACACTTTCATTCTTCGCCGGAATCACCCTCGAACACCACCCACACCAAGCCCGATGCAAGCCACCCTCTTCACGCCCAAGATACTTTCCCGTCTCACGCTCATCCTCGTACTCAACCACACAAGCCCCCACCATAACCCGCTTCTTAGCCTTATGCTTCATCAGCCCACCCAGCCCAATGACTTCCTGGCGGAAGTACCCCGGTTCTTCGTCATCATGGCTATCCGTCGCGATGAGCTCGTGGTGATACGAGGGGTGGCTGGACGGACTATGACCCGAACTACTGGTGTCACTCGCCCCTTCGTCCGCTTCGCAGTCGACCTCGAGCTCGATCTCTTTCGCAGCGAGGCATGCTTCGCCACGGCCGCATTTCACACCCTGGCAGCCTTCTCCAATGCCCGTGCCTAGCCCACCACCGAGGTAGGTGCTATATCGCGTGCGCCAGGCCCAGACACGTCGGTATGTGGTGTCGTTGCTGCGCAGGGTCTGTCCGCACTGCTGACACAGCCATACGGCTTCGTCGCAGTTACAGATGCCAGCGCAGCGTGCGAGTTCGGCCGCCACGGTATCACGGTCGCAGGTATCGGGGGAGTCCATGTCGTGGGGGGCGTTGGATAGGTGGCAGGAGAGCGGTGCGGTACCGCAGGGTCGGCAAAGACGACGGATACGGTTCTTCATGACAGTGGGGGAAGGAGGTTTGATCGTGCAATTCTGCAGCCAAGTCAGCTATTTTTCTGCCCATTCTACCAGAGGTTCATCATGGGCAAGGGCATACCCGGCATACGATCTTGCTGCAGCGTCGACACTCGCCTACCATGTCGCGTGCACATTTGCCCACTTTTCCCCGCGTCATGCGCCCTGGTTCACCGCTGCCCTGGCTCAGCAGCTGCAGCACCGACTTGACGCTGCTCGGGATGACGGCACTGCCGTCTAGCATTTCTGCTACGGTCTCGATATACTCATTCTCGCAGCGGAGGGTCTCACGCACGAGCTGGTGCCGGAACGGCGCTAGATTGACGTGGAACTGGCGGCATGTTCGAGATAATGCGTGGAGGGTGTTGAGATCCACGGCGCGGGCAATTTCTTTGACAATGCTAGACCACCGGTAAAGTGTGAGTGATGAGTGTGTGGGGTAGCACGGTCGCGCTAGGGATTCCAGATCCACTTACGGGTAACAGCTCAACGCCGCCGAGAAGGCATTTCGGTTGGGATTCTCGGCGCCCGACGCTTTACCAGACAAGCGGACGATGGGGAGCGCGTCGCAGCCGTCGTCCGAGGAGGTAGGCGAAGGCAACAGTTCAGCCGATGCGGTCGCAATCGGAGTGACCATCAGCTTCGGCGGGAAGGGCTTCCCCAGGGGGAGTGCCGATCCGTGATGCGCCGAGAAAGCATCGCTGTCCAGGTCGACGAACACCACCATGCTGCTGCTGCCATCAGAGACTGGTCGCGGGATCAGGTGAATGGGCACATCAGATAAGATCAACGATCTTGATCTTTTCCCCGGGGGCGCCTTTTATAGGCCCGGGTGGGTTTTGCGTGATTCTGCTGGAGACGTGCGGCAGCCGCGTTCCGAGTGGGATGATGTGCGATGGATCTGCTCCGTTCGTCGGGGCGATGACTGCGCCGTTGTATGAGAGTGACTCATGAATAGGCCAGACTCGGTGGGCGCGGTGAGGGGGTTGTGGGTTGAAGCTATTCAAGTCGAGAGCTGCTCGGGAGGGTCTGTTGGGCGATGATGACATGCGCCCCCTCTCCTTTCCCGTCGCGCCTGCCCTTTCCGGTTTCGTGCGAACAGATTAGGCGGTTGACCGAAGACTTTGGTCCGCCAAGTCGCGAACGACTTGTTGTGCTATGCTCTCTACATGAATCAGGGGATCATCCGGGCATACATCAGTACAAGCTTTAATAGTGCTTCTTAGTGACATCCATCGATATCGTCCTCAGGCTCGCTAGACAATACATTCGATGAACCCCAGAGACCCACAACCTTATGAGAGCCCACCCAGATATATATCTCCCGTCACCACCGCGATCTATTGACCTTGTACAGCAAAGCCTTTCGCTACCATAGGACTTTAGCACAGCTTGTTGTTGTTGAATTACGAGGCTATTGGTTATTGTATTGACCACGTGCTTTAGAGCGGGCGACTGGCGGCAATACGTTCGTATGCTGGCATGTATTGCCTGCCTATATTTTCTATATTTTCTACTGAATCTCACCTCCCACCCCGGTGCTACTCCAGTCCTCTTCCAGTCCGCATGACCCTTGCAGGCAAACCCCCTGGCCCGTCTTCCTCTCGGGTCCAGGACCAGCAGTAGATCCCCCCACACCCCGAACCGCAAAGCCCGCGAGAACCATCCGTGTCCTGACATCAGACATCCCAATTGCGGTGCCAGCCCACAGGATAAGCCCCGTCCCGGTGTTCCCGGCGCAAAGCCTCCGTCATTGCGAGAAAGTCACGGCCCCCCCGGGGGGCCACGCCCAGCTGGACCGAAGCCAGCCACGATCGACCTCGAGAGCGGCGGTCGAGCAGGCCGTATCCGAGAACGATATCGGGGTGGCCGAGATGTGGACAGACACAGACGTGGCCGGGACATGAGGATAAACGAGATACACGTGCGTGGAAGGATCGTGACGAAAGACGCGAAGCTCTGACAGTCCCCACGACCGGTACGGTACTTGTGAGAAGGCGCAGAGAGACCGAAAGGAAGGATCGCGCACTAGTGAGAGATTGCCAGCCCAGCTCGCTCAGCTCGGCCAATTCCCGACCCTCAACCACGATTGCACCCAAGGTCCCGACAGCAAGAGAAAGGGAAGGATGAACTAGCTCATTGGTTCCTGCCTACACCCTTCATCACCGCGCTCATGGGCTGGCCTTGCCTGGTTCTCGGGCTTTCCCTCGGGTTCAGTTTGGATTAGTTCAGGCGGGCAATGTTGCCTGGCCCAGTGCGTGGCCGCGAGCAGAGCAGGCAGAGCAGGCAGAGACGCATGGACGCACCGCGCCAGGCAGAAGATAACGTCGAGGGCCGCAAATTCTCCTACTGGAGCTAAAACTGGATGAACGACCTCGCAGGAGGGCCCGGCGAATGGGAGCGGGTTTACGATCCAACAGCGCCCACGGGCCCGCCTGGGACGAGCAGGGCAGGGGACATGATGTCATGGAGCAGACATGATCGCGGCCGAGATTCGATAGTCTGTACAGGTCTGTTGCGGGGATCATGTCCGCGGCGTTGGCGGATTGTTTTGGGGTGGCGGATTGGTCGTTCGTTCTGGGTGGTTGCGCTGGCTGTGGTGCTCTGGACAATACGGATCTGCGGCCTGGAGGATGAAGTATATCGGCCAACCCTCTCGGCCAACCCTCTCGGCCCCGTCCAAGGGACCAACCACACCGAGTTCAGGCTAATGAGCCTGTCCAGAGCCCTGAGCACGAATCGGGGCCGACGCATTCTTGAGCCTTTTGGCTTCGCACTTTTTACCCAATCCCTCCCCGCTGGATCTATGGTACTCCCATGGAGAGGCGAGCTCCCCCAACTGATTTCCGAAAGTGGTAGGAGCGATGCGGCAAGCTCCCCAGGGACGAAGGATCCGGCATTGATTGCCGACCATGCACGGGGCTCAGGGGAAAGGGGGGAAAGGAATGGGAAGCACCCCCAACCCGGTCCGGGGACAGACACAGCGACCTGTCGATAGAGCAGCTAGCTCGGTGTCCGCGCACCTACCGGATTCCGCACGCCCACACATGGCAACCCCAGGATCCCACATCTGGCCCAGGACCAAACCCAACTGCCAACTGCCAACTGCCAACTGCCAACTGCCAACTACCAACTACCAACTTTCCACATGGAACCGACTACCCTGATCAGCACCTCCTAACCAAGAGATCAGCCAACAAACCCCGTGAAACATGAAACGTAGGATCCGCAGGTGGCGGGGCGTTCGATCGGGCATTCTTCGCGTGGCTTGTCCATGTGCGGCGAGCCCAAACGGGGAACTCATCCACACATGGCAAGCATGTAGGGAGGAGATGCAGATGCAGATGCAGGCTGATGCGCGAGGAACCAGGCACAGCCAACCACGAACAGGGGATATAAAAAGAAATTACTCCATGATCAGCACGCCCACGCCCGCCGAAGCCGCTGAAAGTCCACGTGTAAGCAAGTTGAAACAAGCGGTGCAGGATCACCCTGCCTGACGCACGACCTTCATTTGCCCAACGCGTGCTAGCCTGGCATGCAGCATGCAGTAGCCAGCATGGACGCTGCAGTAGCCCCCGCCAGACGCCTTCCATTGTCTCAATGGGGCGTACGCAGGCCGAATGGGGTGAATTAGCGGCCGCTTTGGCTCGTCAGACGAGCCGGGGAAGAAGGGGGGGGGAAATTAAACGGGACACTCCCTTGCGGATTTAGCGTGGATTTGTGTGCTAATTTTGTTTGTTTGGACTATGCGCGCTCTCCCTCTCTCTCTCTCTCTCTTTCTCTTTCTCTCTCTCGTATTTAACGCCGATCATTCGACCACATGGCAAGTGCAGGGATGCGAATCCTGCGGCCCGTGGCGACTCGAAATGAAAGATTCCTCTCTGGGGATGGACCAGCAGGCGTACAGAAGTAGTATTTGGTCTTAGGAAGACACCGGTCTAGGAGGTACTGACCCTCGCCCAGTCCGCGAGGTTCTTTCGGCCGGACAGTCCTTCGAATTCCCGAAATGGACTCTCATGAAGAGAGCCAGGATACTATGCAACGCTGTTTTTACGTTTTCTGCATGTCATGCGCCGAAGCTATCCCCTCCACTTCCCCCCTTGTTGTTTTTTCTGTGTTTTACCATGCCCGGATGAGGGCACAGCAGGGGCGTAGAGGGGAGAGTAAGACGAACTGCTTGCCGGACCAGGACGAATGAAGTCACAGGGAGTAGCCGCATGTCGTACGATATCCCACCGTCCCCCAGGCTCGGTATACTCCGGATCGCGACCTCACACTGGTCAAGAGCAAGGGGAGACGTCACACGCCGAGATCCAGGCTGCACATCACTCGCCTGCCATTGGCCCGCTCGATGATCGCAGGGCTCGCAAGGCTCGCGGGGCAGACCGAACGACCCAGTCTGCCTTGCCACATGGCCGATCCGTGATCCGCGGGCTGCAACATCTGAAACACCAACTCTCCCCCAACATTTCGAACCTGCAGAAGAATGCAGGCAACCTTCGCCATGCTCGGGATATTTTTACGCGGCACTAACTTCACTCGGTCACGGACGACGGGACCACAGCCCCAAACCCCGTCCAAACCCCGAGCGGGATCCGAAGGGTAAGAGCGACGGCCGATGGCATCCGTCCTGCCCAACTCGACGGTGGTCGCGACGAGACGAATGATGGTGGGAGTTTGGGGATAGGGGCCGCGATAACGATTTGGTGTTGCGATCGTGCTCGCGAGGCATGGGTCGCCTCGCGGTGCCTGGCAGCTGAAGGAGTCGCGAGGCTGGCCCGAGTGGGACCGCAGGGAAACGAGGAGCGCTGAGCTTGCTGCCACCGTCTGATCTGTGCGGCAGGGATGGGTATGTGGAGAGCAGGGGGTTTCCAGGGTTCCACGGATTTTCCGGGAGCAGAGTCCACGCCGTTGAGCGGGCGTTTCAGCGTGCGTAATCTGGGCCCAGGACGCCATGGCAATTCCCTCCCGCATCAGCCCCGTCGTGACAAATATGGTGCTTGACAAATGTAGGGCTTGACAAATCATTCCCGGGCATGATGTGCATGAGTCCCCGTAGATTGAGGCGAGACTTGATGTGCAAGAGGATCTCGGCTCCGGACGCCATGGCGGTTCTCTCCCAGGTCTGCCTCCCGCAGTAGTTGACAAATCTTTCCGTGACAAAGATATCTCCGGTTCGCTGCGCAGTGGCAGGGAATCCGTGGTGTGTGTACTCGGCATAGAGCTTCATGTGCACCTGTCGGAGTCGATCGGTACCCAACACCGTTCCTTCGAGCAGGCATCCTGTGATCTGCAGACTGAGACAGAGGGAAGGAATCTGGAATCCGGGTATAGTCCGTCCAGGACGATGGTATGCAGTCTGCACAGTGCATTACTCAAAATCCCTTGGGCCCACACACAGCACTGGCGACGATCACGGCGAGCCCATTGGCCTCGATCACAAAGGAAACTGATTCGTAAATGCAGTCAATGCACGGGGCAAGCTGACTGAACACAAACCCCAAACAAAAACCAGTCAGAATGGGCAGGGCGGGACGGAGATATGCTCCATGGCAGAGACGGGGGGGGGGAAGGTGACCTCAATACTACTCGTGGCCAGCCATGGTCCATGAGCCACGGGCCACGGGCCGTCGAGGGTGCCCCATCGTCTGGAATGCTGGGAATCTGGGAATGCCGGGGAATGTGGCGGGAGGCCTGGTGGGGCAGGCGAGCTCGCGGTTCTAACCCGAAGAGGAATATGTACAGCCCTGGAAGAAGTGTGCGCTAGAGAAAATCGGGTTAATTCGAGCTAAGTCACAAAATCCCCAGCAAGACTAAAATTTAGGAAAGACCCACTAAAAATTAGAAAAAAAATTAAAAAATAGAAAAAAAACAACCAAAAAAGGAAGAAAAAGGTCGAGTCATGAGGCTGATGGCGCTTAGCATCCCGTCCTCTCGGTGGGGTGCCGCTCGCCTCGATTTGGCAGGTAGGCTGGCAGTTCAACGGCCTTGGCGTTTTTTTTTATCGTGCCCCAATAATCGCGCCCGCGGTGGCGTTAGAGTTATGAAGGATTCAAGGGTGGAAGGAAGCAGAGCAGAACTTCAGTTGTTTTGGTTCGTGTCCTGGCGCGTCGAGCGTTAGTTCCCTGCCTACTGAGAACTATATATGCAGAGTATTGAGAAAGAGGGGCCGGGGGGGGAAGGGGAGTAACGGCTACCTTTCTTTTTCTTCAGGGGCAAGGCAGATTCCTGAAATGGCATCTCCAACAGGTCCAGGAACATGAAGAGCAGTCCAGATACCAGATACCATCCGGATTGGGATAATGCACCCATTCCCCCATCGGGGGAGGAAGTTTAGGCCACCCGACAGTCGGGTTCAGGTACACCAGAAGCAACGAGTCTGCTTGAAGATGGGATGGAATTGGCGTGGGAGCAGTGAAGGAGTAAGTTGTTGCGTGATGGTGATGCCTTCGCGCAAGACTAACTCCGGCTTCGCCGGTAGTTGATCACCTCTCCTCGACTACCGAGATAGGCCGTGGATATCAGGATTCGTCACGACTCGTGCAGAAACGTGCCCCTTAGGCATGCCACGGTGCTGCTCACTGATAGGCCCGTGGATTGAAGATTCACGCAGGATCTGAGGTGAGATTTTAAGAGCCGTGAAGAATATCGCACATTTGTCCCACCGCGGGAGGAATCGCGGCCGCAGCCCTAAAGGATTGGTCAAGAGCCAAGTTGGAATTGGCATTGGAGGAGGCCAGCAGACGACATCCAGCCTTGCGAACAGACCGGGCCATTCAGGGCTCGGGGAAAAAACGATGCCAGAGGAGCGGATCCATTGGGTTCCTCCCAATTCAGGAAGAGGTGCGATGAGACGGACACAGCGAAATCGCCGATCGGCCGGGGGGGGGGCAGACGGGTCCCATTTGTCCCATTTGTCCCATTTGTCCCATTTGTCCCATTTGTCCCATTTGTCCCATTCGTCCCATTTGTTGGGTCCAAGGGCGAGACCAGCTGCGATCACAAGAGCCTCGTGGTGGGGCTGGGGTGCCTTGTCATTTGCTAGCTCGCCAGGTGTGTGTTGTCCAGCCCTCCCTGCGGGAAGATTCCGCCCAAAGGGAGGTGTCGAGTGTTGATCGCGACTTCATTTCGCCGGGCCCGGAGTCAAGTCGTGCTGGCCTGGACGGTGGGAACAGGGGGCAAACGGGGGGCGAATTCTGATTTCTAGGTGCCCTTCCAGCTTCGTCCCCCGACTAGACTGTTTTCGCTACACTCTATACCATCTCTATACTCGGTCGGTATGACGGTAGAGAGCGTCAGAGTCCCGCAGGCATTGCGGGTTAAGTGCTGATGAAAGACGGGAAGCCCAGCAGGTACCCCCTGCACTCCATCCACTTCGAGTTGACGAACCGCGATGGACCAGCTGCACCACCTTGCACTAACAACCAACAGACAGCCAACACTTCCTCTTTGGATAGTACTGTACATTACGCCCAGCCTATCTGCGGCCCATAGCCCCCCCCCCAAGCTCAAAACTCCACGCCCCAAGCCCCAAACCCCGAGTCTCTGGCCCCTGCTGTGTCCCCCGAATGCCCCCCTCCCCCTCCCCCTCCCCCCAGGGCACGGCTAGCAGCCCTAAAAAAAGAACCAACATTCGATCGTGCACCCTGACTGGCGAGTTCGCAACAGACTCCTTCTGCAGCGGCCTCAAGGAGGGCGATGACGATAATGGGGTGGATCAAGTGGCTCAGGGCGCATATCTTCAGGCCTAACATTGCGGCATCGACGGTAGCCACGTGGTCATGGCCATGGCTGGAAAACGGTCAGACGGTGCATATTTCCGACCCGGCCATGACTTGGGGTCCCTTTCTCTTGCATGACACCTGGAAGCACCAACGGAAGGGGCCCACCTGCTTCCCATGAGGGCATATACGGCGCACGACAAAGTGAATGGCTGCTGGGCTCTCCAGAGTAGGGACACCATCATCAGGATGGTTCCTATCGTCGGCATCCCCGACTCCAAGGCTTTCGATGGTCATCGAGCATGCCGTGCCTCTGTTGATCGTCTACTCGCCATGCCTGCGCCATGGTGTCGGTCCCTGGTCCCTGGTTGTGAAGGATTCAGAAATTCAGTGGCAGCATCGGACCCCCTTCTAGCTATCTTCTGGGCCGTGACTCGGCCCTCGTCATGATCCGCATCGCGTCAGACGAAAACGGCAAAAAAGAATGCTGGAACCCCACCACCACGCGAGGGTGGGGAGGGTGTAAGACTAGGGGGAACGAAGGATTTGGCGCGAACCACTCCCCCCGGGCAAGTAAGATTACCCAGCCACGAGTCAGGTATTAATGTACGCCCCAGGCACTAACCCGAACAGGGCATTAGTAGCCAGGAAAAAAACGCCGCTTCAGCCCGATGAAGGCAGGCTATTGCTGGATAGGGACTAGACTGTGATCACATGAGCAAGAAGGGGGTCGCGGCGATTTGTCCGAGCGGGCCCAGGTCCATCGCCACGAGGGAAAGCTGTGAGCGGCGAGCTGTCCGGGCTTAACGCCAAACTATCCCGGCCCTGATCTTAACCGGCCCAACTATCGCGCGGGACGAGCACCTCGCCTTCGTGCCGTTATAACGCCCGTCGCGAACTAGACGGGGCGGTCGAGTTCGTAGCTTGACTAGTTCACCATCTTGCTGGCTTGTTATCCAGCGGGACGGACGGCCCGACGCCTGTCTCTCGTGAACATATGACCCCGAAAGTAGAGCGTATACCCCACGCCCCGGCCCGGTGTGATGTGGAATGGCATCATTCGGTTCCTGATTTGCTTATCGAGTCACTGTGTAACCATCGACGCCCGGCCCGCAAGTTCTGTATATCAAGTACGCTTTCCGTTTTGGGTCCTCCTGACTGTGGGAAACACCGCCATTTGGCAAAGGTACTGCATGCCGATGCCCCTGTCATTCCACCCCCAATCCATCCTCCCCATTCCGGCCCTCGTGGCCCACGAGGCCCTCATCTCATGGCCCCCTAGGATCTATTTTCTGCACATTCGGGGCCGAGCACCGGTCTCCCCGTCACACAGCGGGAAAGCATTTCCTTCCAGAATAAGTTGATACACACAGACAGCGATCAGTTCCCTGCCAGCGTTTCAAGTTCCCTCCCAAACAAGCTGTAAGCCAAGCCGTCAGCCAAGCTGTAAGCCAAAGTAAGCCACCCTGCCACTGTTTGCCACCCCCCCTCCCCACCCGGCCCGGGGGAAGCACGCGAACGACCCATGCGGCATGCCACGAGAGCGAGTGTCTGGCCGCCAGGACGGAGCCCGTGCTGCTATCGTTTAAGCTATGCTATGCCGCATAGGGTGCATTCCAAAGAGAATGGGGCCAACAGTGGGGGGGGGGGGAGGGCAAGCGTTGGGCTACGCTACTTAGTCATGGTCCTGCCGGGCGCAGGAGATGAACCGGGCGTCGATGGAGCAGTTTAAGACTACGGAGTCGATGATGGGGACGGAGAATGCACAGAATCGTGTGTGCACCGATGGATAACATGGATAACATGGATCATCAGGGCGAAGCATTCTTCAGCGCGTGCAGAAGCAGGAATTACACTTCGTGGCAGTGTTTATTCTATTTCCATCCCAGCTACTCTATACTTCCCGTGCGAGGCTCCGGGGCGAGGGCCATCCTGCAAGGCATCGCGAGGATCCAGTTCCCAGTGACGTCGGAAACCGGGGAATCGGGGAATCGGGGCCAGGGGCACCGGGGAGGGAGAAGGGGGCTGGGGCTTTGGGGGGGGCTTTGGGACGGGACTGGGAAGGGAAAATGGGCAGTGTCCTGGTTGACCCCAGGGAGGGGGAAGGGATCAGCAACGCTGAAACAGGCCGTGAACTGCCCGCCAAGCCCTTAGGTCGAACCCCCCTGCCGCTAAGGCGTACTGGACCCACTAGGTGGACTTAAGGCCCTTGGCTGGCCCACGGACTCCAAGCCCATAGTATTCCCGAGCGAGGATCGAGCCGATCCACTGCTCAGATCTTCCGACGTTCACCCGCAAGATCTGGCCGGAAGAAAGGGCGGACCGGCTTCACCGTGGGAGTACTCCGTAGACGTCGACCGCTTGGCATCGTTTATAGCCCGGATGCAAAGCGGGTGGTCCACCGATCATACAAGAACAATGCGCTGGATTGGAAGGAAGAATAAAGAAGAGGGTTCTGACGACCGGCCGCCTCACCCGCAGGCAGTCCAAATCAGCCTCAGGAACGCATGGAATGACATAGGCGAGGGTACGGACGACGGATGACGGACGACGGATGACGGACGACCGACCACGGCCCAGGCCGCCGGTAGCCAATTGCAGCCCCACCCAAGCGAGTCTCCTATTACCCAATCGGGCGTATAATGCGATCCTGCGAGTCTCCCTCAAACCTTCGTCCCGGCTGCTTGACGACTCTATCAGGAGTGGGGCAAACCCGTTGGGTTTCCCTGAGAGCTTGGACTTGACGGCTTCCTATCGGGATTTGAAATTCTGGCGGGCGGTGAACTGGTATACCCAAGATACTTGACTTGTGCGGAGGAGAACTATGTGATGAGATGACTATCGGACCATCAGCACGACTCCTTGGGTCATACTGTCTAGGCTAAATGCCAGAAAAAGAAAGCTGTCTGCACGACACCAGCCAACACAGCACAGCCAACATTATGGTCCGGGGCCAGGAAGGCGGCCTGTTGGTTGCATTCCCGGCGCATCGGTAGCGAGCCCTCCAGTGCTCCATCCACTCATGACGCGATCTCAACCAACAGCTCACCATGAGCCCAGGAGGAGACTAAATGCACTAAGCATTTAGTCCACTTGGCACCCTGCCTTCCGCCCCCTCCGTGATTTACGAGATCACTAAGGCCTCTAAGGCCACTAAGGCCGCTAAGGCTACCAACAAGGCACCCTGGGGTTAGTCAGTCGGCCACAAGGCCGCAAATCTATCGACCTACCCAATCCGGCAATGAGATGGCCCTCTTTTGAGTCGCCGACACGGGTCCACCTGGCCCTCGACAGATAATGATTATAGAATCATTCATCAGATAATTCAAACATTCTCTAATAACATTCTGATCAGAGAATGTGCTGATATCCTCCAGGCTTGAGAAGTATTTTTATTTTCGTATTTGAGGTCGTCCCCTGCCGCTGCACGCCTCAGCCGCACAACCCTGAGCCAACCCGAGTGTCCCCTTCCCCCTCCAAACCCACTTACATAAACCCTCCCCCCATCCCCAGGCCAATTCGTCCCAATGAGGCCTCTCGCACCGCTAACCCACCTTGGCAGTGATCTTCTTGTTGGCCGGTTTGGGCCGGCCCCCTGCTCGATAACGTGGTGTAATTTTAGGATGGGCTTATGCTTGATCATCCCGAGCGATCATCGCCTCCACGCCTGTGCTTGGTTCCCTCTGATCTAAGGTTAGAGAAAATTATGGGTATTTTTGGAATGGGAATTTACTGGGATTTTAATTATTTTATTATTTTGATTTTCTGGATTTACAATTTACGATTTACCATTTTTCTGAATTTATTTGATTTGATTTTATTTCCCATCCCCATTTAATTTGGGAAGTCTATTAATCCGCCGGAGATCTGTAGGAACAGCTTTGGTTAGTGCCATCGTCGTGCCTCTATATCAGTCCACCCTCCTCCGCTCTTCTTCACCTCTTCTGCAGTTTCAGTTTCAGATCATCTGCAATCCTCTGCAGTCCTCTGCAAGCCTCTGCTTCAATTCCATCACGCAGACCTCGAAGGATTCCTATATATCTTCCCTTCCCCTCCCCGTCCTCCTCTTCCCCCCCCCCCCCATCCTTTCCTCCACAGGATGGCCCGAGGATCTTCACAGGAGCGCAACAACATTTCTCACAGCAACTCTCTGTCATCCAACCACATCATCTCTGTGCTGAACAGCCCTGCCACCTCGGCCTCAGAGTCCCCCGAACCTCATCTCGCCGAATCATCCACCATGGTCGCCCGCAAGAACACCATGCGCCACAGCCCTCAGGCGGACATTGCGCTGCCGGTGACTTACACTCCTACCACCCACCGCATTAGCAAGGCGAAGAAAGGCAAGCGCGTGCATGCGTGCGAGTATCCCGGGTGTAACAAGGTATGCGCTTATCCTAGGACTCGTCCAAATCGATGTGCGCGCAACAACGCTGACCCCCCATCCGCAACATAGGTCTTCACCCGCGCCGAGCACCGCAGACGTCACGAACTGAACCACAACCCTGAAGCGTCCTACCGGTGCACACAGCCCGGCTGCAAGAAGGCCTTCCACCGGCCGGATCTGCTTGCGCGCCATATGGAGAGACAGTGAGTGACCCAATCGCGCCACCCCCGGGGAGAAGAGAGACCGAGAGCTAATCGCGACTACGACAGTGAGCTCGAGTCACAGCCCGAGCAGTCCCAATGGACGCCCCAGACCTCCACCCCGCTCATGAACGACTCGGCCTCCGTCCCGCGCTGCATGGCCATGGATGGCGGAAGCATGCTGGCTGATGCCTCGCATCAGTCGCACTCGATGTCCATCGGCTCGATCGTGGCTCCTGGCATTCACCCGAACCTGGCCAACGACTGCTCGCTGATGTGGAATGGCATGGACCTGCCTCTGCAGCCACGAGCAGCGCCCAACATGTTCCAGGACCAGCTCCCCGAGTCGGCCGACGACAGCCCCTTCTATTCCTCGCCCGCAGAGACGTGCCCCTCGCCCCTGTCGGACGTTGCTTTCTCTCTGCCTCCTCACTCCAGCTCCATCTCCTCCATCTCCTCCATCTCCTCGGCCGGCACCGTCGTCGACCAGTACCCCAAGGGTATTCTCAAGACCGAGTTGATCGCTTCTCCACTGCAGATGGCTTCGCCTCTGCGGTGGGACGGCTCCGACGCGGGCATGCCCCCGTCGCACCTGGTGCCGATCTCGCTGGAGGAGAGCCTGATTCAGCCGCCCGTCCAGTGCCACTACCCTTCTCCCTCCTGGTCTAGCGCCGACTGCCTGCCATACGACGAGCAGGTGCAGTCGCTGACCCACTTCCACTCGATGAACTGGAAGCAATGGGCAATGTGAACGGAGTCTCCCTGATTGGTCTTGTATCGAGACGCGCTCCACGACCACGGGCCGTGCTCCATTTCATGACTTAACGAACTTCTCTCCCAAGCTCCCCTCCTAGCAGCTTTGAGTCGATGGGTCGCATCAGGCACCCCATCCATGACTCTCTTCCATCCTCTCCCTCCTCTCCCCCACCGGAGGCGCCGCGACCCGCCGTCGCCCCTCCTAATCATCCTGCAAACCAACCCCTCTCACCCACAAAAAGCGACCAACCCGGGGCATGGACCTCGCTCAAGCGCCAGGCAAAACGGCGCAAGCCATGCGCCAAGCCCCAGGTCACCCCCCTTGCCCTTACCGACGCGACAGCCGAGACCTCCGTCTAGGGGAGAGAGCACACCTCGCCCGGCCCGTCAAATTGGCTCCATGCCATTCGCAGGTCGGAAAATACCGGTCCTGAGCGTCGAGCGCGATGCGCGACTGCGGAGCCACTCCGGTGGAGCAGCTCCGCTTCGGGCAAGCGGCTCCACCAGGCACGAGCCCTTGTGCCAGGAAACCACCGCATAACCAAGGGCGCGAGAGGCCGCGAAATGAACAGAACTCTTATTACCATTCTTTTTGTTGATGCGTGGGGGAGTTGGAGTCCCTAGACAGGTGAACGATAGATGTTTTCCCGGTGTTCTGTGGTGTTGGTGTCGATGATTTGATGATTACATGCGTTTCCTGTGTTGGTTTCCTAGTTCTGTTTGCCTGTTCTTTCCTTTGTGTTGGCTGCTGTATACCCATGACCCCCCCCCCCCCCCCCCCCCCCCCCATGTTCTATATGAATTCCCCCGGTGCTGTACATAACATCATTTAACTCTGCACATATTCTCCATCCCAATGGATATGAATCCTGATCCTATCATTCTATCTGACCTCTCCATATCTCTATCACCAGCCCCAGTAGCCATCGCAGTCACACCTTCCGACCAGGCGAAGGGTCCACGGAAGTTCCAACCTCCAGAGCCGCACATGGTCCTGTCCAACCATGCGACCTGCCCAAGGTCCGTTCCACCGTTTCGCAGAGACAGCTACATGTCGATCCGAGTTTCGGATCTCGCGCTCTCTCTCACGGACAGCTGATCGGCTGTACCCGCCATCCGCGCACTGCAAGCCGTGGTTCGGCAGATCTCCTAGTTCCACGGTCGGCGGGCGGGCCACAATTCCAAATCGTGGAGTCTGTTACAGTACGAGAGAATCAGGATAGCCGTCCGTTTAGTGAGCTACACGGAAGTGTGCCCGGCCAAGCGACGCGGTCGCGGAGGCACTGACTCGCAGAGCCCTGAACTGATTACTACAAGTGGTTACGCCCGCAAAGTCTACTATGCTCCGTAATCTACGGAGTCAAACTTAGACTTCCAGCCTGTCCCAATCCTCGTTCGCGCCTCATCCTTTAAAGGTAGGAGTCTCCAGGTAGCGTCCGGGGATCGCCCCGCCCGCTGCCTAGGCCTTCATCAAATCCTTCGTCCCCTAACTCCACCCCTTCAGCCTTCGTACCGTGTGATGTGTGTCCCTCTTGAACGCCAACCACCATTACACCAATTCGCCTTAGCCCCGATCGACCGAACGAGAGAGCCAGGCGTTCGCCGTCCCTCATTTCCTTCCGGCTCACGCAGCCTTGGTCGATCTCCGGCCTCGCGGGTCTCGCCCTCCAATGACGGCGATGACACAAGCGAGCGGACGGACTAGCGTGCTCATCTCATCCAGCTAAAAACATTAGTACCCTTTGCTCCCTGTTGCGAGGTGACTGCCTGTTCGGGACGGAGCCCTGTTGCCCGCCTACCCGCCATCTCCAAAATAAAATTCACGTCACGGCACTTCAATTCAATTCCAACATCCCACTCCATCCATTGGAGTCACGAACCACATCACCAAGCGGCTGCGTGCCCCACCCGTCACCACTCCAGTCTCCTCCAGTCTAGTCCAGACCGGAAGCGCCGCCCTCCATCGTTCCGGGGAGTTGGTCGGTTAATTCCATTCCTTGCCCGTCAGACACACACTCCTCCCTTAATCCCCCTAATCTCCTAACTCCCGAGGGAAAAAAAAAAAAAAAAAAAGGCCAACTGAGTACTGTCATCACATCCAGGGGATCTAGGACGTACTGACCAGAAGGTATGAAAGAGTCACAGTCGAACCGAGAACTGCCTCCGATCGTACTATTCCCCAGGTCAACGGCCTCGCCTCCATGCATGCAATCATCGCCCAACTTTCCAGGTTGGGTCAACGGTGCGGGAGTGAATTGTTAATTAGAGGCCACCATGCGGCGCAATCTGCCGCCGTTGCCAGCTCATCTGCATGGCTGCGTAGCCTCATCTGGAAACAGGCTGCGAACGTGCATAGTGCATATGCATCGGATAGGGTGTACCCAGTCGTACTGTAGCTGGGGGGGGGGCACCCTCCCCTCGCTTCGGCCTGCATAAGCGCCGGACCGTGGATATCGCTATACCTCCGTAAGCTGACCCTGATATTGAGCTTGAGCTTGAGCTTGAGCTTGAGCTTGACCTTAATCTTGCCCTTCGTCGTACTGCGTATCCCTCCTCACCCTCTATGCGGGCCTAGTCTGTGGAGAATGCATCCTCGCTTCCGACTCGGGTACAGGCGTCGCTGATAGGCGCAGAACCGGCCCGTGCGAAATCGCCAACCGATCCGCGCTCGTGGCTGACTGGACTGGCCATGCCCGAATGGGTGGAGGCGAGTCGATCAGCGAACGTATCACGAGGCTCTTGGGAGCATGTGGAAGGATTTCTTAGTCTGTTTCGCGATGCTCGCATTGGGGGAAACGGAAAAGGGAAAAGGGGTTGATATGAATGGGGGTTGGATTTGTGTTGTGGTCTCATTTTTGGGTTGGGCGTTGTGGCTGGCTGGGCATTGCGATGTAGAGGAGATGTTGCTACGTATAGTGGGTGGTTTCAGGCTTTGAGTAGGCATTCTCCTTTCAATGCTTTTTCTCGCGAGTTGCTGGACTAGTTTCTACTACAGCTCCCAAGGAAGGGAGTCATTGGAGAAAAAGAAAACATGGCTGTCCCGTACAGCGCCATCCTCAATCATCGAGCACCGCCCAGATTTCCCTCGCCATCTGCTCGAATACGGGTGTCGGCAAGGTCAAGTCAGTTTCTCCTGCTCGTTCCACGCGGAGGAATACATCCTTAAATGGAATGGTGAGTGTGCCGGTAATCTTTGGAGGATCTTGCCGGTTGGATGGTCGTGAGATCTCGACCGTTTCGACGGGGTGCGGATCAGGGCCGCTTGATTGCCCTTGACGTAAGACCCATTTTTCTATTGTGATTTTGCCTCGACGATGGACGCTGAGGGTCAACGCGACTTTAACATCGCCGTTTGACTCGTGCAGCCAAAAGAGCATATCCTGCGTTAACTTGCTTCGTGGTTCCGACCACTTGACTTCCAGCACCATCGTAGGCCACTTGGTGTCCCTCGCACTTGGTATCTCTGCGGGTTTCCAGCTGGCGTCCGCTTTTTTGCTTCGCGTCCGGCCTCGGATATTCGCGGCTGTCATAGGAGTGAGGGTGCTGGTCATCCCGAGGGCCCAGTTTTGAATAAGTGTAGTGCCAGAAGCAGTGGCTGCAGCATGAACCTCGGATTCCATTTCGAGTAGAACGATGCAACGATGAAAGTCGTAAGTGACCCACGATTTCGTGAGGAGTTCTTCTCCGGAGTTCACAAAGCCCTCGAGGAAGGAACGCTCGTCCACCCCGGAAATGATCACATGGGGGTTACCTCCCCTCTCGCCCTCGAGCCGCAGAAGCTCCTGGTCTAGAACCCAAGAGCATTGCTCTACTCCTCGATACGGGTATTGTGGTGTGGTCGCTGGAAGGCCGAACATGATTATGTGTGTTAGTTACACTTGAAAAAAAAACAGACGTGAGAAGAAGGGGAAAGGAAAAGATATTCTCAAAATCAATTCTCAGAATCAATTCTCCAAAGTCAATCCTCAGTGGAACGGACACCTTTACATCATGACTATGTAATGTGCAGGTAAACTGTGTAGCGTGGAGCTGAGGCATGAAAAAGCCTTTGGCTTTGCCTACCAGACTCGCTTGCTCCATTCCATCTCACGATTTCAACAGCCAGCCAGTCACAATGGCAGCAGCTACAGCCATGGTTTCTTTCCTCCCAGGGTTTTCCTCTCTTGATTGATACTAGTGGCATGGTGACTGGGTCTTATTCACCCGAAGCGGGGCATGGAAGAACCGAAAACGTCAACAAACAGACAGGGACACTTATTCTTGATGCTCCCAATGAGTGAAAACAGGATGCCGTAATCAGGCTTGTCAGTCTTTTGATGCTGTATGCGAGGATCTCGAGCTCCGTCTTATCCGACCAGGCTTCTGCCCTGGTTGCAGAGGAGAACTTTAACTACAGAATTGGACTCCCTGTCCGTTCTTCGTCGGACATCGGCTTCAATAACTCCTAGCGATATAGTTGCATTCTTCCTGTCTGAGCTCGCAGCTAAAGGAGGGTTCGGATCACAAACGTAATGAATATCGATGCAGAAAACCCTTCCGTCCATAACGAGTAACGATTAGTGCTCCGGCACGAACCAAACGTAGAAAACCCTGCGACTTCAAGTCCCTTTACAGCATAGAGACTAGCTGGTGAAAGGTTCACGCAGGTGTGTAAAGCCCCAAACAATATCCAGATAAGCGATACTGTGCCTCCCATCATAGACGAGCGATAGCACACAGCACCAAAGTCCCTTGAAAACAGAATCAACACTCAGAATCGAGTGATTCTTGATCGATATGTGCCGTCCACATGTCACGGACATACAGCATTCCATCGATGGCAGGATAGTCCTGTTTACCCAGGAGATCAGATGGCCAAGCAGCTACTCAAGATTGACTATCCCTCCTCTCATGATCTCAACTGAGCAGTGTTAGATTTCAGGTCACGGATTGAAAATCTCTAGGATGAAAAGTGGCAGCAAGTCGACCAGCAAAATAGGGCCAGAAATGTGGACCCTGACGTTTTGGTTGACCCCAGAGATGACCTTGACGCTATCAAGGTGCTGAATAAAGATCTTCAACACTTGGAAACCTTACCTCTGGCCATCGAACTTTATAGATGGTCTGCTAGACACTTACTATGGGTGCTATTCAAACTTTTTTGGTCGAACGTGTGTTATGAAATTCGCCGACTACTGACCGCCGACAAAAAAGAATTACTGATTCACGGAGCTGGAGGTGTCTTGCCTAGACTGGTTTGTTAGGAAGACGAGGCACATGATCGAATCCGCCCCCGATGGACTGACACAGGTAGTGGCATACCTAGAACTAGGCGGAAGCAGGCGATCTTGAACACGACAACAGCTCTTGGAATAGTGCAAGACATGCTCTAATGGAAGTATGCTATAGTTCAAAGTCGGGTGGTTGTATGAAGAAAGTGGCAAATCTTGAAGGTTTAGCTTGGTGAGAGTTGTAGTTATATGGTTCAGCCGCTGGCAGTTGGCGTTCACTTGTACGCTCAGCTCGGTCATATCAGCGGGGTCTAGGTACTTTCTAGAATGGGTCAGTAGAGCTGAATCGTCATTGGGGCCAGATAAAAGATAGTCATCTATGGACTACATAATGCTGCTATTATCTGGTTAGATAGGAAGGTCAACTTAGGTCGGCGATATAGGTGTAGCACGATTGTTTTGATAATTGTAGACACCTAACTAGGCTATTCATATGTTGTTCTAGATAGGAAATCTCTATAGTAATTTCAAGATAAGGTTGCCGTAAGAAAATACCTAGCCGCTAAGTGAGTTTTATATATTAGTTTTTCTATAGCGCAGGGTACTAGGCTAGACATCCTAAGCCTTCTAGCTATACTATACACTATACCCATTCCTAGGTAGATATACTCAGAGTTAATAGCTCAAGGTTGGTCGGTCTACAATATCCTGACATTCATCTTACGAGTCTATTGTTAATATATATATCCATTCTTATATAAGGTACAGGCTAGATCTATCTCCTCTACCTACTTACACACCCCATCGACAAGATCGAGATATCACGACCATCCAACCGGTAAGATCGCCTAAAGATTACCGGTACTCTCACCATTCCCTTTGAGGATGTATTCCTCCGCGCGAAAAGAGTAGGAGAATCTGATTTGACCTTTCCGCAACCCGTATGCGAATAGCTGGCGATGGACATTTGGGATGCGCTCGATGGTTAAGGATACGCTCAATGGTTAAGGATACGCTTAATGGTTAAGGATACGCTCGATGGTTGAGGATGTCTTCCTCCGCGCGAAAAGAGCAGGAGAATCTGATTTGACCTTTCCGCAACCCGTATGCGAGTAGCTAGCGATGGATATTTAGGATGCGCTCGATGGTTAAGGATACGCTCGATGGTTGAGGATGTCTTCCTCCGCGCGAAAAGAGCAGGAGAATCTGATTTGACCTTTCCGCAACCCGTATGCGAGTAGCTGGCGATAGACATTTGGGATGCGCTCGATGGTTAAGGATACGCTCAATGGTTAAGGATACGCTCGATGGTTGAGGATGCGCTCGATGGTTGAGGATGCGCTATACGGGACAGCCATGTTTTCTTTTCTCCAATCACTCCCCTCCGCGGAGGGTTTTGTAGTGGAGTTCCTTAACAGTTAATGAAGATAATCATCCATGGACCACATGATGCTGCCATTATCCGGTTAGACAGGAAGGTCAACTCAAGTCAGAGATACAGGTGCAGCACCGTGTTATTGATAATCGTAGGCACTCAATAGGGCTATTCGTATACCGTTCCAGATAGGAAATCTCTATAGCAATTTCAAGGTGAAGTTGCCGTAAGGAAATAGCCGCTAAGTGAGTTTTATATGTTAGTTTTTCCACAGCGCAGGGTGCTAGGCTAGACATCCCAAGTCTTCCAGCCATCACACGCCATGCCCTTTCCCCGACATACTCGGAGTTGACAGCTCAAGGTCGGTCGGTCTACAATATCCTGACATTCATCTTACGAGTCCATCATTGATATACATATCCATTCTCACATAAGGTACAGGCTAAATCCATCTCCCCTACTTACACACCCCATCCAGTGTCCGCGCGAAGCATCAACAGTGAGCTATATGCCTGCGTTTGATTGGAAACAAAAATGCCTCGATCCCCCGTCAGAGGAACGAGGGCTCGAGAAAGCAGCTGCTCAGGACAAAAGAACAAAAAACGAAAAGATAGGTAAAAGGATTCGTGTAATTCGGAAGAACCGGTCTGCTCATGAGCAAACGGGTTGACGCCAGAGCTTCGATCGAATCGAGAAAGCCGAAATCAAAAACGCCTTTTCAGATATAAGATGTGTCCCGCTCGTTGATCCGCAGAGCACCGAGACGCGATATTTGAACAATCCGGCATGGATGATCTGTCAATGGCCGGTGGGGGATTGTATGCGACATGGAAGAAGAACAATTTGGAGTTGGCTACCAAGTTGCGATAGACTTTGCTGCAACAAAATAGCTGAGAACAAGCCGATGCGGATGCCCCACAGCGCACGTCCAGAGGCCGACCAGAGGAGAAGAGAATAAGAATCGCCAAATATAGACACCAGATGGGGTCGAGCCATGTGCCTTTCGGATATCATAACTCCGCTAAAATAACCTGAGGAAAATATGATAGACAATGGAACAAAGGACTCTCGCAAAGCCGGGAGGGGAGTCGGAGGAGGAAGAGGACAGGAATCGATGGTGAGGTTTCGAGAGGTTCAAGGAGAGTAAAGGTGGTCGAATAGGTAAAAAACGGCCGGATGCCTTAGCGACGATCCGGGTTGGTGACCTTGAAAGATGTTAGCAGATGTGTCAATGTCACGGGCGGGCACTGTTCCTGCTACTCACCTGCAGGATTCGGCGGGAGAAGTCATGGTCATCATCGATGCTGCCATTACTCTGGCGACGCTGGGCCATGTAGTTCCCGTCGAACCGGGAGTCCGACATGGATGGTGGCTGCGAATCGCGGCCATAGCCACCGGCCGTACCGCGGGCGCCAGTCTCGGCATTTTGCTTCTTCGAGCGGTAGAAAAAGAATGCAGCGCCGGCTAGGGCGGCCACACCGACCACACCGACCACCACGCCGGCCGCAATGGCTGCCGTATTATGGCTGCTCTTAGTCTGTTGTGAGGAAGTGTCGGTGGTTTCTTTAGCAGCAGCGGCGGTCACGACGATGGTTTGACCCCCAGAATCGGTCGAGACAGAAGCGACGGTGGTATCCGTCTGGGAAGCCGTCGAGTCACCACTGCTAGAAGTCGATGAAGACACTGTGGGGACATCAACCTCCAAGCCTGTTGTGTATACCGAGTAGAAACCTTCGCCACCGCCTAAATAGTTTGTCAGTCCCCATTTGAGCCATTATGGCAACCTCGTCCGACCACGAGCGGTAGAGCAACATACACATATCTTGCGGCCAGCCATCACAGGGTGTGTTGCACTTTCCCTTGGCCACCTTGGCCGATGAGGGTGGTAGTTCTTCACCGCAGAGGCAGTCTGAGCCTGCTGTTAAAGCGAACACCGCCGCATTATCTATGACGCACCGGTCCTGGCACCATCCAGAACTCTGGAAGGTATATGATGTCTGATTACCAAGACCGTCGCTGCTGCTGTAGCACCCGATGAGGGTCATGGTGGCTCGAGGAGCCAACACTTGGAAGGATTTGGCGGTGACTGGACCGGCGGCGAGCAAGATGCTCGAGGCCGTCAAGGCGGTCCGCATAGTGAAGCGCATAGTGAATCAAGAGGAAGCGAAAGAAGGGCGGAAGGAGGGGTTGAGGAAAGGAAGACCGCGTCAGACACAGTCGAAGCAGTTGAGGAAATCGAAGAACCAGGAACGACCCGCGTAACCCTTGAGAACTTCTTGTGGAGGGAAGGCAAAAGTAAGGAACCAAAAAGAGTGCCGAGTAACGTCGTCAGTTAGGAATCAAGCCCTCCGGCATCGAAACACGGATGTTGTATTTGGGGCGTGGAAACGGTCGGTGCACCTTTCGCCGGGGTGGACAGGATGAGACTGGGATGTCAAAACTGCGTGACGAGCAAAGCAAACGAAGGTGTGAAAAAGGTAGGATTCGAGAGTTGATAGCGAGAGGACTGGGGTACACGACCCTGCGGAACAAGACGGGCAAGATGGGCCTCGGTGGCCTTTGGTGAGTTTCACCCCCCTAAGCAGGGTTTTGTTTCGGGGACAGGGGGTTTGGCGCGACTGAGGTATCGCAGGCCAGTCGACTTGAGAATTGCCGCGTAGGTTGGCGAAGTCGAAAATCAAGGGCGAAGGAGAGCCGAGAGAAAAGAGTGTGGTGGGTTGGAGAGGATGGAGGAGGAGAAGAGCGAAGGAAGACTGTGCACGAAATGAGAGTATGGAGGAGTATGGGGCTTACGTTGTTGCTCCATCGGTTTTAGTGTGTTGTCGAGGTGGGTTCAGGGACAAGAAGGGGTCCGTTGACTCTTGGGCCCGGGGTATGGTGATGTAACTGTAGGTACACTCGTTGTTTTGAGTACCAGCGGGACACTCGAAGAATAGGGGGAGAGCCCTCCTTTCCGAGAAATCCACTGGTGAAAACAACCACATCGATGGCTCAGTCTCTGGTACTCAGTACATCGCAGGTACCGGAGAAGTACCGCTCCAATACCGACGCAGGTCCCTCTGAATATCCTCACGGTTTTGTTTGTCCCTTTCCCCGTATAGTATACAGTACTCCGTACAGTACTCTGTGTGTGTGGGCCATACAGAACCAAAAAACCCAAATGACCCAAATTCCTAAAGTGACCCTTGTCCCCACTATTTTTCTCACCTTTTACCAATCATGAGCTCGTCTTACATGAGTAATCAGGCACCTGCGCAGTCCACCAGTCTCCATCAGCTTCAATCCGCATCAATCAGCGCCAACCAAGGGCCGTACAGCCGATCACCCCCCACTTTGGCTCCCACACGGCTTGGAGCCCAGGTTCAATGCTGCGCGAGTCCTCCGTCAGTGGCCACACTGACTTCACGCCCGCTACGATCGTCCCTCATTGCCACATGAACGCCCCTCCTTCTGCCATGCTATCCTATCCACTGCGCGAAGGCATCATACTGGAGCTACTTTAGGGCCCAGTTGGGCTGCTTTGGGGACGGAGGGGTACTGGGCGACCACGCCACCGGACGACATACAACGCTGCTCCTCCTGGGCTTTTTCACGGGCGTTTTTTGCGCCCGGTAATACGGTACGCACTGCATACTCCGTACAGTCAACAACCAATTACAGTACATCTTTCTGTACAGACATGTATAGACACGCATTCGGTTCTGCTTATATTACGCCCAATAGATCGACCGCCTGTCATGCGGGCGCACCAGACATCCGATCAGAAATTTCTGAGAGAACGCTGCTGTTCCTCGACACTGCATCCGACAAAAAGACGATATTACTGTACGGAAGCCCCGGCTAACCATTTGTCGTTCCTGCTGCTGGGGAAATGAGACTCGTTAGCGTATGGAGCCAATTTCCCTCCCGTGTCCGGGGGTGTGAGGGATGTGACGCTCCCAGCAGGTGCTTGGCCGGGAGTCTTCCCTGTCTCGGTGAAAACTAAGGCTGAGCCAGAACATAGCATGGTAGTGAGACTCTACTTCGTATCCTCGGCCACCTCTTCCATCTCTCCTCCACAATCACCTTCGGAATCTCGGGTTTCCAGGCAAACCCCCTTATTTTGTTTGGGGCGGGCACATTACCACGGCTCCTGAGCGGCCACTCCCGGAGTGGACCGACGTACCCAAGGTACACGCTGTCTCGCCGGCCGGTACGGAGTACTCCGTACACCTGGTATGGTGCCGTACCGAAAACCCTGGATCGTCCGTCCCCTGCAGGACCCAGCCGCCTGCTGGGGGCGCAGTTGACAAGATTGAGCGATGCTCGCGTGCGAGACGAGTCCATTATGCCTTTCATGGGTAAAGGAAGCATCGCCAAAATGCTCGACTCGCCATGGAAAAGAGAGACAAAGAAACCCCTGAGTTATAATCTACTGTAATAATCGCCGCAAGGCAATCTCCAAATACCCTAGGGTATAGTGGTTTCACCTCGACCGCTGGTCCGTCCTGCCACCACCAGTCAAAGCAAGGTTTCTTTAGATGAAGTCAGTATCTGGACGACTGTTTCAGCGGATGCTACCCTCCATGGCTATGTTCGAGGGAACCAAGACGAGCTACTGGATGAACTGGTGGGTGTTCACGATTGGCTGGCGAGGAAGCCAGGAAAAGACCGACATAGAAGCATTGTAGTTTCAGGCTGAACGATGCATCAACCAAATATGTTCTCTCGCATGTATCATTCGTCTGCACCCCCCATGCAAATCCATCTCCATCATTTTCCGCAGCGTAGTCCAACAATCCAAGCTACATTATGCCGGTTTGTGTAGATGCCCGTGAATGCTAATGAATGCTATATGGAGAGATGCCCCTCATGTCCGATAGGATGCCAAATGACCAATTGGTCACATCGAGCAAGTTACTATCTCTAGCTGATTTCTTCTGGAAGCAACCGCTGGTCCACCATGACCGTGTTACACAGGTTGCATTCCCCAAGAGGAAGAACCGAGCGGCATGATCAACCATATCTTACCTGATTACATATACCGCGCTCAAAAGCAACAGGCGCAGATAGTGGACGGTCGGTACACCTCAACCTGCGTACTCCGTAGACCTATCCGAGGGCCGCCCGTTTTGACTCACCACGCAGTTATTTATGGAGCGGTGGCGCTCACTAGACCGGGTGGATCTCCACCTGCCAAAAGAAAGGACCTGGGGGCTGCCCCTTGCGCCGCCAGGATGGAAATTGAACACAGACATACAACACACAATTCAACCACAGGTATTGCATGGGAAATTTTCATGACGGTCGGACTTTTCCGTTGCCGGTCCGTGTATTGTTACCGTGAGTTCTTTGCGGGTTCTGGACTCGCGACGAAAATCCGACGTGCACTAGGGCCTGCGTGTGGATATCTTTTTCGGGTCTCGAGTCTTCTGGGGTGGTCTAGAACCTGCGAGTTTTCGTCTGAGGGTTCCTGATGGCGAATCTGGGCACAGAACCTGTGAGCTGTGATTTCTAGGCGTCGGGAATCTCGGGTATGGCAAGGAGCTTGGACGTTGTTCGCTGTGTGATGACCAACCTAGCCGGTAGAACGGCTGTGGTTGTTCGCAATGCTCGCTGGATGGAACTCAACACGCACCCAGTCGAGCCCCAAAAGATGGTCTCTGCTTCTATATTCCAGCAACCGATCTTAGGGATCGTGATGTACCAGGATTCCCGGATTTGCTATGTACCATGCACCCATGGATGCCAGGACTATCCTGTCCTGGTTCAAGCAATGATGATGGTCACAAGTGGATAGCTGTAGCCCATGACTCCCTGCTCTTATATATTCTGCCGATCAAACTGGGAATTCAACTACCTCAGGGAGAGCCTTGGATGCTCTCAAATAAAAGAATACTCAATATACGTATTCATCAACCACATCGGTGCACGAAGCTGCCCCCCATCCGTCTTCCATTCCACAGAAGAGAACCCAACTACATATTCCCTGCCAACATCCATAGTGAATGACTCTTGGGATCGAGTGGCTGTGGCCTGTTACTTGTCGCCTGCTGGGCTCTCCGCACCAGCACTTCGGGTTCGTGGGGCAGAGGCCGCGTCGATCGCAGAAGCCAGGAATAGGCCGCAATGTAGACACTTGTAGTATGGCCTGTCGGCATTGCCGTTGGTGTTATCGTGGCGGGTCTGTCTGACAACACCGCTGAGGCCACAGGACCAGCATATCCCGGTGGGAGCTGGTGGTGCTGGCGGAGTGGCCTCGTCCAGAGCGATCGTCATGATATTCTGGAATAGAGGGTTTAGTTTTGTGAAGCTCATGGCTGATTACGAGGCTGCTCCTCTTACTTGTACCGGCCGGATGCGCACAGGCAGGCGAAACCAGGAATAGCAGGCAAGTATTCTTCTTCAAGCTTGAAGTAGGGTGGCGTCTACAGTATGGTAGCGTCGCTGAGTATGACGCTGTCCAGCAATCAGGGCTATGTGGAAGCCAGGATTGTGTGTGCGAGTTAATAGAGAGTTCTGGACATTCCGGCAGATCCGCATGCATTCACAAACAAATACATCGCTCCCGCAGATGTCATTCTAGACTTCAGGTTTTATGAAGAGGATGCTATTCATTCACTTTTCTGTTCTGAGCTACCTCGGACGACCCCCACCACGTCAGGGGTCTTCGATCTAGCCAGAATATCCGTTAAAACATTACGCCATGTTCGTGCAGCGGGAAAACGAAAAACAAACCCAAGGCCCCGCACAATGGGACATCTCATCTATGCAGCCGAAATCCATTGGGGAAAAGAATTCATCCTCAATTAGGTATATTGAGATCGTGCCCACGGTGGCTTATAGACAGCAGTCTCTCCTTTATTTTCATAGTCACTCGTCCAAATGAAATAGAACAGGTCTAGACCATTGTTCCAAGACTAAATTGCCCACCGGAATTTTGGATACGGCCAGACATTTATGGCTTGGGGATGTGTAACGTCTTGCTGACCATCAAACATCCGTGCAAGACGAACAGAAGGACAACCGGGTGGAACTCAAAGATAGTGCCCTCGGCAATGACGCCAAAGGGAAGGTTCTCATGAGTCCAGCTTTGGGATACCCAGTAGGCCATAAGAGAGGCAATCGACAGGGTTGTGGGGATCGGGGTGCCCTGAAAAAACTTCGACTTTCCACTCGAATCCTTCGGCAAAACAGCCACTGTCACATTAAACCGAGCCAAGCGGGTCAGCCCGCATAGGACGAAAAATGCCAGGAAGACTTGATCTAGCGGTTCGCGTATGCCAATGGCGAACGCGGCAGCTGCAGGGGAAAGGCCGAAGGAGATCTGCGCAAGCGTATCAAAGAGTCAGTGCATAGTCTCGTGAGTTAGCATGGTAATAAGGAAACTCGTACCAGATCCGCAAGCGAATCAAGCTCTTGTCCCATCAGGGACGACTTCTTGCGCCACCGCGCGATCTTGCCGTCCATGAAATCGAAAAACAGACCAAATGGCATGAAAGCGAGCGCAGCCCACAGAGCACCGTAATCAGAGGGGTCCCCGAGGCAATAGCGCATCGACGAGAAGACGGACATGACTGTTTCACATGGTTAGCGGCAGACAGAAGGTCGTCGGAGGGCATGGACTTGCCGCCACAGAAACCTGTTGATTGTCCGGTTAGTCATTTTGGATCTCGGAAGCCATTTTCTATTGGGCCAAGGTACTTACCATTTAGCTCAGTTACCAAATCGGCAAGATGGAGAGCCCTGCGACAGTGTTAGCGAGCTGAGAGGGCTAGGCAGCGGGAGAGGTATCCCAGATACTGACTTCACCAAACTAAAGTGCCCATGTTCGGATGAAAGGAGCATTCTCTGCTTAGCTTGGCCTGTGAAGCGTTAGCAACCACGCGCACGAGGGGCTCAGGCTGATCGCGAACTGACCTCCGTCGCCGGCGGAGAAGACGTCGCTGTTGGAAGTGCTCGACGCCATGGGTGTTTTTCTGCGAGACATGCTCAGACGGAGAGAAAATAACAAGGGTGGGAATGCCGAGTCGAAGGTCCGGCTGCAGCAGAAGGGTAAAGAGGGGGGGCTGCGGGATTCGGAATGGCAGTCAATAGTCAATAATCCTGCTTCGAGAGTGTTGACGGACGCACAGTCGCAGAGCGGTCAACGTCATTTCCGAAGGGCAGTAACCGGGGGGCGGTGCACTCACCTGCACCTTGCACCCTGGATCCTGCGCCACAGGCCACCAGCCACACTTCGGGAAAAAAAGTTACATGTTGGAAGGTGCTTTGGCTACACAGTAACTGATACGAGTTCAAGACCACGGACAAATAGATAGATAAAAACAGAAGAATCAGATGTTTTTGTGTGACTGGATATATTCTACAGTCTCTGCAGCCAGAGAAGCAGCAATTGTGTCAGGATGCACAAGAAGAAAGGAAATATTCCTGCAAAAAGCTCCCGAATCCCCCAAACGCCATAAGAAGACAAGTTAATCGGTTAAGAAGTCTCTTTACCCACGACCACGGAAGCCACCGCGAGAGCCACCACGAGCACCGCCGCGGGAGAAGCCGCCGCCGCGACCACCGAAACCGCCGCCACCGCCACGGCCACCGAAACCACTGCCGCCACGACCACCACCGAAGCCACCACGGCCACGGGGAGCACCGCCGCGAGCACCGAAACCACCACGACCGCGGGGAGCACCGAAACCACCACGACCGCGGGGAGCACCACCGGCACGCTTGGGCTTAGCAGCACCTGGAGGGGGCTTGGGCTTGGGAAGGAACCTAGATGGGTAGAAAGTCAGTTCCCGCTGCACAAGATAGTAGACAGACAAGGCGGTTGAGACGTACTTCTCCAGAGGAAGCAGCTTGTCGCCGCCGATGAAGACCTTGTCACCGGTCTTGAACGAGGTTGCGACAATGCCATCCTGGGGCTTGACGGTGAAGTACACCTGGTTGATGGGACCGAGAACCTCATCGACCTTGCCAATGGGAGTCTATCGTAGAGAAGTTAGCTCCATTAACTGCAGGTCGGTGATATCAGTGGAGGCGTACCTTGTTCTCGAGGTAGATCGGGGCGTTGAAGTAGGGGATCTTCGGGTTGATCGACTCGCAGACCATCTCACCCTCGCAGGCGTGCATGACAGTACCCATCTCTACCATGAAAGATCAGCATCGTGTTCGAGAAATTGGCATATTCAGTGAGAAATACCGAAAACCTGCGCAGGGGGACCGAACGACGGCTGGAAGCCTCCGCGGCCTACATCAAAAAAAATTTCGTTAGCTTCTCCAGACCGACCATAATCTCGCAGCGCTGGGGGACAATCGCATACCACCACGGCTACCAAAGCCGCCTCGGTTCGCACCAGTGGCAGCGCCACGCCCACGGAAAGACATGTTGAGATTTGTTGTCGTTGAGGGTTCTTGGGCGAAGAAGTTTTCGGGTGGTGGAAACTTCATGCGGTAAAGCGTCGCTAGCCAGGGCAGTTTGGAGTCACATGACTCACCGCCCCTCCTCCCGAAAGAGTCATTTCCCTCGAGGCGGAGTATGAGTCAAATTGAATCCCCTCCCTTTTCTCCTCGATCAATTTCTCTGCTACTGCCCAGAGAGATCTTACAATGGCTTCCGAAGCCCCCATGGATCTGCCCGTCCGGCCTGCCCCCGAGGCTGATGGCAGTGCTCAAGCCGCCGCTGCCCCGCCAAGGGATGCCAAAAAAAAGGCCCCCCCCTCCCGACGTTCTCCCAGACTGGATGATCGAGCGTAATAAGCTCTTTGAGGAGCTCTGGCAACAATATTTGGAGGAGACCAAGAACCGTCCGCACCCCGAGATTAACGTCACCCTCGATATCGGCGACGGTAACCCCTCCTCTGTCCCTGCAAAGGCCTACGAGACCACCCCCGGCTCTTTCCTGCGCGATGTGCCCAAGGAAGTCAGCGCCGACGTTGTCGTTTCAAAAGTTAACGGAGAACTTTGGGATCTGAACCGTCCTCTGGAAGGCGACTGCAAAGTGTCGCTGGTTAAGTTTCAGCACCAGGAAGGTCGGGACGTTTTTTGGCACAGTAGTAAGTAACCTACCTACCCTTCCTTCTGTTCTCACTCGGCTTAACCATCTCTAGGCGCGCACGCGCTGGGAGAGGCCTGCGAATGTGAGTTTGGAGTAAGTGCGGACTTTCTTCCAGTCGATCACGGTCCGAAACTGAACGATGTCACGCAAATTTAGTGTCTCTTGTCCCACGGTCCCCCGACCCCTCAGGGTTTCTTCTACGATATGGCTATACCTGAAGGGTATGTAAACACTGGATATGCTGTGTGCGGGGCTTGCCTAGAAACTAATAGTTCTGGACAACAGACGCGTCGTTCACCACTCCGACTGGCCCGCGCTTGAAAGCAGGGTCTCGCGCGTTCTCAAGGAGAAGCAGGCCTTCGACCGGTTGGAGGTTTCCAAAGAGAACCTCAAGAAGATGTTCGCTTATAGCAAGTACAAGCTGCACTATATTGACAAGCTTGTGACCGGGGAGAAGAGTACTGTTTATCGTTGCGGCGATTTAGTTGATCTCTGTCGCGGTCCTCACATTTCTCACACTGGTAAAGTGCGAGCCTTCAAAATCTTACAGAATTCGTCTGCCTACTTCCTCGGCGATCAATCCAACGACTCTCTCCAGCGTATCCGTGGTGTCGCTTTCCCGGATAAATTGGGGATGAAGGAGCACTTGAAGTTCCTCGAGGAGGCTGAAAAGCGGAACCACCTTAGAATCGGAAAGGAGCAAGAGTTGTTCTTCTTCGACGAGGTCTCCCCTGGTTGTCCTTTCCTGCTTCCCAACGGAACCAAGATCTTTAATGCTCTTCAGTCCCTTCTCCGCTCGGAGTACCGCAAGCGCGGCTATCAGGAGGTCCAGACCCCGAACATGTACGACGTCGGCATCTGGAAGCAATCCGGTCACTGGCAGCACTATGCGGACGATATGTTCAAATTGAACGTCGAGAAGCGCGAGTGGGCTCTGAAGCCCATGAACTGCCCGGGGCACTTTGTTCTGTTCGGCCACCGTGATCGCAGTTACCGTGAGCTGCCCCTGCGCATTGCCGATTTTGGTGTCCTTCATCGCAACGAGGCCTCTGGTGCTCTGAGCGGCCTGACCCGTGTTCGCAAGTTCCAACAGGTAAGCTCCTCCAACTTTGAGCCCCGCCGCAAAACGTGCGCCTGGAATGAGCCGCTTGCTGAAAATTATATGTAAAAGGATGATACGCATATCTTCTGTGCTGAGGATCAGATTATGTCCGAGATTGAGGGTCTCTTCGACTTCCTGCAGTCCATCTATGGATTGTTCGGCTTCTCGTTCAAGCTCAAATTAAGTACCCGACCTGACAAGTTCCTCGGTGAGCGCTCTACCTGGGACTATGCCGAGGAACAGCTGAAGAAGGCCATGACCAAATTCAAGGGCGACGACTGGACCATCGATGAGGGTGACGGGGCCTTCTATGGCCCGAAGATCGACATCACCATTGCGGACGCCCTCAAGCGTGAGTTCCAGTGCGCCACCATCCAGCTGGATTACCAGGCGCCGATCAACTTCAAGCTTGAGTACATGAACAATGAGAAGCCTAAGGAAGGGGAAGGTGAGAAGAAGGAGGGTGAGACCTCCAATCAGCTCGCTGCTGGTCGGTCCCGCCCCGTGGTCATCCACCGTGCCATCATCGGTAGCTTCGAACGTTTCCTGGGTATCCTGATTGAGCACTTCGCCGGCAAGTGGCCCTTCTGGATCAGCCCTCGCCAGATCCTGATCGTGCCGGTCATGCCGGCTGTCAACGACTACGTTGAGGAGATGCAGCGTATTCTCCAAGGCGACAAGCTGAACGTCGACATCGACGTCAGCGGCAACACAGTACGTCTCCCTTAATCCAACGTCTTGTGCCTCAACTAACAAATAGCAGTTGCAAAAGAAAATCCGACGAGGCCAGTTAATGTATTACAACTTTATCTTCGTTGTCGGCGCGAACGAAGTTTCACAACGATCTGTGAACATCAGATCTCGCGACGACGCTAGTACCCATGGACAAGGTGTGATGGTGCCGCTCGAGGAGGCTCGGGTGAAGCTGCGGGCATTGCGCAAGGAGCGTCGGTTGGAGAGTACTCTGTAGTTGATACATTCGTTACCGATTCACGGAAAATGAAATGAAGCACATGCGGATATTCTACTGATTCCATGAAATCAATCCATACATACCTAATGTAGTAGAGCAATCAGGGTCTGGGTTGAGCTACGGAACGCCGTACCCTTAAAGCGAACACACCTTGGGTACAGTAGATCGACAGCTTTTGACGTTAAAGAAGGGAGTGCTTATTCGAAGTTGAGCCTACTTGGTGATCTCCCGTGTAAATAAAGTACGCCTACCGCTCTTGGCTCTCTAGCCTTTTCCAGATTTCTGCCCTTTTGGTCCTGATGATCAGCAGCGTTTTATAATAAGGGGTTTGATAGACACCTCCCCCTGCCTGATTCATGTGGTAGAGCTTCCCACAATAGTTGTCTGGTTTGCTCAGTCTATAAGAAATTCCATGACTCTGTCGGGTTTTCGGCCGTTTCATTTGCAGAAACGATGAGTTGGCAGCTTGGTAAAGCTTGGATGCTGGAACCTGGATTCTCTCCGCGGCTTGCAAATTATTTAAGGGTAAGGTGGATGAGTTCTGGATATTGTTACGTTGATCTACTGATCGACCACGTCGTCGAACATGAAAGGGGTTTTTTACTTGGAGCAGAGGTAGAATTTGAAGGGTTCATCAAGATGATAAAGATGCCACTGGGGGCGGGACTAGGATAGAGAAAGTTGGCCTGAGGGGTTCTGGGTCAAGGCATTCTTTGATGATATGGATCCAAGGATATTCTGCCGGCTCACGGGGTCACAGTTGCAAATAGCTGGTATCGGTGGTTTACCATCTCCTGGTGTGAGACAGGTATCATAAACGTTCTCAACATGTCTCATAACCCCTGTCGATACTAGGTAGACTAGCTCCTGGCTGTAAATTGGAAAATTTATTGAATTGTTCATCTTATGGCGTTCAATTTCAGTACGGTGGTTCCTGTGTCGGCGATTGATGGTATCTTTGTAGTTGTGAAGAATGCTTCAAAGAAGCATGCAGTTCTTCCTTAAGCATCCAATGGGCATTCTCAGTCCGGGAGGCAGATGCTTCGCCTAGATGAGCCTAAGGAGACCTTTTATATTATCGTCAGAAGAAAAGAAAGCTCTAAGATCTTTCCGGGGGGGGGGGAATACAAAGATGACATTATGTCTAGTTACAGATGAGGGCAGGTGCCATCCTCTCATTTCTCAGGTTTCTTTAATCATGATACCACCTTTTCAAGATCAAGCAGGCTCCGTTTGACCGTCCGAACAAGTCTTTGTCAAAAGAGCTCATCTTCACTGCTTATAGCGGCATTGTCAGGAATATACATGAAGCGTATCAGTTGAGAGGATGGGCGGACCCACATGGTGTATATCTGGGTTTCCATGAGCGCGAAGAGGCCATTGTTCTTTTGCTTCCTTGCGGTAGGTCTTGCATCCTAAGTCCATTAGCTTCTTATTCTATGAGTTATTCATCTGGAGAACGCTGTTTACTTGGGAGTCCCACATACCTATATCTTCGTTGTTCGTAGGATTTTCCTAAGGCTTCTCCAGGGGCACTGGTGGGAATTCTACTGTAGGTCCACACTTTCTGTGTTTCGGAATTTCTCCACTAATTCCTAGGAACTCATGGAACTCGTTTCAAACCGTGGGAGGTCCATCCTGGCCACTCAATCTCTACATATTCGATCTTTAGGAACTCATCGTTAGTAAGTACAGTGTCGTGGCTATTACATTCCTCCTTGCAGCCTTATCACTTTACCCTAGCGAACCTTTTTTATAGCTGCTATTCATAGATCCGGTCTCGTTTCACTGGTTCCCATCCCTAAGTCCAAGTTGTCCTTGATTCCAGAGGGCTAGGTGCTATCGGCTCCTGCACATTTCACCGCTGCATCTGTTACGGTTTTTGAGTGCTGCGGAGTTGTGTAGAATCCTCGAATTTCTCAGTTTTATGGCCCTCTCGCAGTCGAATGGCTCTCAGCTGTTGGGATCGCCGAGAGCTGCGGCATTCCTTCGCAAAGTGACCTGGTTGTCCAAACTTGTTGCATCAATTATCTTCTCTTCGTCATTTCTGTTCGTTCCTCACGAGCCTGGTGGCATCCGAGCTCGATTAATTGTAGTCACTCAGGGTTCTCTTTGCGTGCTGTTGTATGTAAAATACGCAGGAGAAGAATCTATGGAGATACGTGTATTAGTTGGGTGGTTGCGAGCAGAAAATGAGAGCTACACAATGAGACTAACTGATAAAATCCTAGCAGCCCTGGCTCCCTTCAACGCAATAACTTATACATTACTGGGGTCATTATACCTTCTCTTGAAATTTGAGATGAGGGTTTGGGCCACCGCGGTCATGATGTCTATAGCGATGTCTATTGCCCACAACTTGGAAAGATACTACAAACCATGGAGTTAGACATTCCCACAATATAGACGACTTGAGCAACCCTAAAATATGGTATATGCTTTTGTGTCAAATTATCTAAGTATCGAACGGACTTTCCAGGGCATTGAGGCCATCCTCAAGCCCAACGCAGAACAACAACATATGATTGGGGAATGTTCGACGGTGAGACTTGATGGCCAGAGGTCTTTGTTCGATCCAGATTGTCTCTCATTTCTCTGAGATATCTGGGTTTACGAAGGGTATTCCAACGCCACAAAGAATTGCTCTGGTGCTGGCTGTCGTTTGCAAGTCATGGCCATATAGAATGATGGAGATTCCCGGTTCCTGGAGTGGAAGTTGCCAGGACTTTCGCCATTTGCTTCCTCTATGAGGCCCTGTCACTGCTAGCTCATTTCTCTTCTCTCTTCTTGCTCAATACACTACGTTCCTCTCGCCTCCCTTTGCTTCTTGCTGAGGTCTCGACATCTTCATCTCCTCCAACCACTCCCACTCCTCCTGCGTGCTCTCCGGAGGTCTCGACAACTCCATCTTCCCTAGCTACTGTCATCAACAACCTCATAGACGGTATTCTGCTGCTCACTTTACTGAGCTCTCGACACCTTCGTCTCCCCCCACCACTTCCATCAACATGTCAAGGAAGTTAAAGAGCTTCCCATGCCCACGCGCAAGGGACCTGAACTGTGACGAGACGTTCGCCACAAAAAAGAGTGCATACCAGCATCTTAAGAGAGAGCACGGCCAAGTCAGATGGCCTTGCCCACTCCCGGAGGAGTTAAAGTGTGACGAGACATTCTTCACGAAACAAGTTGCAAAGAAGCATGCTAACAGCATACACGACCAATCTAAATGGCCCTGCCCTCGCGCAGAGGAACTGGACTGCGACGAAACGTTTCCCGCAAAAAGAGTGCATGCCAGCATGCCAAGAGCGCGCACGGCCAAGTCAAATGGCCATGCCCACGCGCAGGGCAGCTGAATTGCAACATGAAATTTGCCACAAAAAGCATTGCCATCCATCATGCTAGGAACGTGCATGACAGACTGAAATGGCCCTGTCCCTTAGCAAAAGAAGAGGGATGTACTTCGGAATATACTACCAAAGTGTCGGCCAGAACGCATGCTGGGAACGTGCACCTCCAGCTCACATGGCCCTGCCCACGCGCAGAGGAGCTGAAGTGTCGCAGAAAGTTCATCTCGAAAAAATCATGCAAACGACCATGCTGAGAATATTCATGGTGATAAGTCAACTCGGAAAGAGTTTCCTTGCCCATGTGCGCAGGAAACCTGCTCTGAAATGTTCCCTTGCCTACGATCTGCGAAAGTACATGCTGTGACGATACATGGCAAACTTGAGCCAGAAAAGACAATTATTGCGGCGTGGCCCCTGGCAGCGCCACATATTCCCCTCAGAGACATGGACGGGGAGATAATACCGGGATGGGACAAGCTCCCAAAGCTGTCCTTTCTGGACGGCAAGTGGAAATGCCCAGACCCAAGTTGCAGCACAACAAGCGCGTCAAATACTGAGGTCAAAAACCATTACTTGGCCATCCACATGAGGGCCATTTGGCCTTGTCGGTACGCTGAGACATTGCATTGTGACAGAATGTTCTTGTCAATGCGCAGTGCCCGAGACCACCAAACGGTGCATTTTGACGGGTACAGGTGGATATGCCAGTACGATCGATGTCTTGCTCAAATACAGGGTAGAAAGTCGACACGAGTCTGCGCCTTAGCGCATTATAACCTGCATATTGAACGGGGGCACTTTCAAAAGGGGGAATGCGAACCTTTAAAGGTATGTAACAATGAAAGAACAAATGAGCACCATTTAATAGAAGCAACAGGTCTCGATTACGCCCTCTGATACGAATATTGAAGCCATGGACGACGAAGTTCGGAATTCCGAGGATGAAGAAGATGGAGACGGAGGAGATTGGGGGAGTGAATCCGAAGACGAAGACATTCGGAATTCCGAGGATGTCGAACCGACCACAGAGTCGGCAGCTGCGTGGCTTGGCAGTCCGCCAAAAGATCAAGACAAGCTCAGAAAAAGTAAGACATCCAGGATGTTGCTGCCCCATACTCTATTGCTAATCCTCGTGATTTAGATGCTCAGTCTGAAGGCCTACGACACTACGGCCTCAAGTGCCCAGGGCCGGGAAGGGTTGTTGACGGACTAGTGCTTGGTACGCAGGTGTGCCCAAATAGCACGATAATCTCGTTCGAGACAGGTGTTCTTTTCAGGAACAGGCATAGGACCCGGCGTATTGGGATCAATATCCGATGCAAATCCTGCCATGGGCGATTTATATTTAACGAGTTTTTGAGGACCAATTATCTGGAAGCAGATGCTGATCAGAAAACGTGCAGCCATAAGAGCTGCCTCAATCCTGTGTGGGAAGGCTCCAAATTCCGTCGTGATCACTATCTCCAGTGGACTCCAGACCTCTTCTGCGAAGAAAAACCTGCTATGGATGAGCTTCGGACTTTGTTCGACAAAGCGGCTTCTGAGCAATGGTTCCCCGATACAAAGATCATGGCCAAAGTTATCGAGAGGGTGGAAACCGACGGCAAGGCTAACATCCCGGCTTCCGAGATTGTTAATATCGACCTGGAATTCGGTCTATTTTCCCGGGAGGTGCTCCAAATCGGCCTCGCCAATCTCGAAGGAGCGAGAGTACTCGATTGCCTTACGAGATATAGTGAGGAAATCATCGCGCCTTCCACGTCGCAGCTCTCTGGACCGGCAACTTGGCCGCAAAAAAAGCATAAGGACATGGTCAAAGCCTTTTTTACACAAGATGGGACCCTTGATGCAAAGGGGGTCGTTGGAAAACTCCGAGAAATCGGAATTTCTAAGAAAACCACTTTCCTGCCTTGGGCGTCCTGGTGCTTCGACCTGTCTTATTTGAGAGACTGGTTGGAGGCTGAAGGTTTCCACGATGTTCTCCCCGGGGATGAGAATGTCTGCCGGCTTCTCCTCGAGTTCCGGGCTAACGTGAAGAGGGTGATTGGTAACACCTGCTACCAAAGCCGCCCGTTTCCTCTAAGTCTGTCTATTCTGTTCCTGGTACTATTCGGAGAGGACCACCCTCTCTCAGGGCGCAACCACCATGCGCTGGTGGACGCGCAGCAATTAGCCCTGATGGCAGACCTGTTCATCGACCTTTGTAAACCCCCTCACAAGCGGGTGCGCTGGCAGGGATCGAACAAGAACCTGGGCTCGTGGAAGAGGCAGCAACCCTTGGAAGGTTTCTTCCCCTCGATGAGTCCAAACAAAAAGGCAAGGCTTTCGTGAGATGGGTGTGGATGAGATTGTTTCATTCTTTGTGCATGTCTACGGGTATCGTGGTGCCCCTGGGCGAGTCGCGGTGAAGGTGCTGTGCAAGGAACGGCGGTTTGGAGAATGCCCGGTCAGGGTCGAGATTGAGATTGAGATTGAGATTGAGATATGATTGTGTTACCGAAGATTGATAAGTGCAACGAAGTTAAATTTCCCTCTCTACCTCGTCACCCCTCCGTCTATAACCGTTGAGCCGATCCATGGAAGCGTGGTAGGGCTGGATCGGCGCCCAACAGGGAGGGCGAGGGCTCCACCAAACAAAGCGCGGCTCGTATTCCAGTGACGAAGACTATCAGGGTCTGATCTTCTTGTCAGCCCGAAACTTTCTTTCAGCTGGACAATATCGAGGCTGGGTCGGCAATGCGATGAAAACCTGAAAATCGTTTTGTGCAAGCCCGTCTGTAAAACTGCGCTGTTGGCCTCAGCAAACGCATCAAACGCATCAAACCAAACGGTCGGATCTCCCGCGGGGACTGCGGGGCTCAACTTTCCCATCACACGTCGACTCGAGTCAAGGCTGCTTCCCCTTTTCTCAATTGTGGAATTTTGGGAGTTTCACCATCTGCTGGCATCGCCTTTGTTTTCTTTCTCTTCTCTTCTCTTTTCGGCCTTTATATTCATCCCCCTCCGCTCCTCTCCTCCTTCCGTCAACAACCGCCCACCATGGCCGACTTACAGGGCCGCAAGGTCTTCAAGGTCTTCAACCAGGACTTCGTCGTGAATGAGCAGTACAATGTGACCAAAGAGCTGGGCCAGGGCGCATACGGTATCGTGTGGTAGGTGTCCTTTTCGAGTCTCGCCTGGTAATTAGTCGCTGTCTGGCTGACGAACCTGGTGCCGCAGTGCCGCAACCAACGCTCAGACTGGCGAAGGTGTCGCCATCAAAAAGGTCACCAATGTTTTCAGCAAGAAGATCCTCGCCAAGCGAGCTCTGCGCGAGATCAAGCTGCTCCAGCACTTCCGGGGTCATCGCAATGTACGTGCCCCTCCCCGCCCGCCATCCCTCATGCCCCCGCGCTGACCCGGATCGTGCTAGATTACCTGCCTGTACGATATGGACATTCCCCGCCCGGACAACTTCAACGAGACATATCTCTACGAGGGTACGATGGATAACATTCCTTGTTTTGTGTGGCGAATATCTTAGTCTGACGGCGCTGCAGAATTGATGGAGTGTGATTTGGCGGCTATCATCCGCTCTGGCCAACCCTTGACTGATGCGCACTTCCAATCCTTCATCTATCAGATCCTCTGCGGTCTCAAGTATATTCACTCTGCCAACGTACTGCACCGTGACCTGAAGCCTGGTAATCTGCTTGTCAATGCGGACTGTGAGCTGAAGATTTGTGACTTTGGCCTGGCCCGCGGCTTCTCGATCGACCCGGAGGAGAATGCGGGCTATATGACTGAGTATGTTGCGACAAGATGGTACCGTGCACCGGAAATTATGTTGAGCTTCCAGAGTTATACCAAAGCTAGTATGGCATCCCTCCCCCCCCCTCTCTCTCTTATTTCTGCGAGAAAAGTAGGATCACAGCAAACTAACCGTGTGTACTAGTTGATGTCTGGTCCGTGGGCTGTATCCTTGCCGAGCTGCTTGGTGGACGCCCCTTCTTCAAGGGCCGCGATTACGTTGACCAGCTGAACCAGATCCTGCACTACCTGGGCACCCCTAGCGAGGAGACCCTGGCGCGCATTGGGTCACCCCGGGCCCAGGAGTACGTGCGCAACCTGCCGTTCATGCCCAAGGTTCCCTTCCAGCGCCTCTTCCCGACCGCCAACCCCGACGCGCTGGATCTGCTGGACCGCATGCTTGCCTTCGACCCGTCCTCGCGGATCTCCGTTGAGGAGGCCCTCGAGCACCCCTACCTGCACATCTGGCACGACGCCTCAGACGAGCCGACCTGCCCGACAACCTTCGACTTCCAGTTCGAAGTGGTCGATGACGTCCCGGAGATGCGCAAGATGATCCTCGACGAAGTCATTCGCTTCCGCGCCACTGTTCGCCAGCAGTCCCAGGCCCACGCCACCCAGCAGCAGCAGCTGGCCCAGCAGACCAACGTCCCCATCCCCGAGAACCAGCAGGGCGGCTGGAAGACCGAGGAGCCCAAGCCCCAGGAGGCGGCCGCTGGCGGCGGGCATCTGAACGATCTGGAGTCCTCGCTGCAGCGCGGCATGGACTCGGTGCACCATTGATTTCATTTCGACCTGGGTTGAATGGAGAGATTTCGTTGGTTTCGCGCGTGCAATGCGTTTCATTTTGTTTGGTTTGGTTCTGGTTCGGCTGGATCTGCCAATTGCAACTTGGTGTTCCCCCCTGCATGTTGATATAATGAATTAGCAAAGAGATACCTCCGAGAGAAAGACCGGACGATTGCATGATATATTGGTTCTTGTGCTTGTGTTCTTCTTCTCCTTTCTTCTTGCCTTGTCCTCCTTGTACTTTGCATTTTGCCTTGATATATATAACGTGGGCTCCTACATGGACTGTTTTCGAGTACCTGAGGCCGCCAGTTTGGATCGGATAGATAGATGGTTGTAGCCAGATCCACCGCCACCGAAATGGAGATTCGGATTGAAAGCATGAACAGAGCGACTACCTAAGCGAGGCTAAGTAATGGAATGAGGTTTTTGTCACCACTGACCAGCGACCGCCTGAGAGGGTCAGTTGGTGACGAGATGAGAAGCGGTTGTATCAGAGAGAGCCAACGTACTATATAAATTAGAGCTATATACCCGTTCCCATAATAGCCAAGAGACACGAAGAAAGATCGATTCGCTCATATGCTACCCGCTAGAGCCCCGTCAAAGATAAAGAGTCAAGCCAAAATAAGAGGAAAACAAAGACATAAGCAAACACCAAGCTATGAAATAGATATAAAACCACCATGGCAACTACCATCAATGATAATAACCCCTCCACCAAACAGCCATACAAGCCGCCACCACCAAATCCAACATCTTAATCCCCTCATCCTCAATCACCAACTTCCCCAGCTTCGCACTCTTCCCCCGCATCCCGCCTCCAGCCAACTCCCGCGCAAGCGACAGATCCAGCCGCTCCTCGTCCGAATCTGGGCCCCCGCTGCTGGTGCTTGTACTGCGGGGGCGCGATGGCGGATACTGGTGTCTGAACTCGCCGTGTCGGGAGAAGCGGGCTGTGCGGAGGGAGGTGCGGCGGAGGAGGGCGGAGGGGTTGAAGTTTTGGCGTGGGCTACTCGGCGTGTCTGGGGTGTAGGGAGAGTTGGGGCCTGAGTGGGCGCGAGGCCGTGCGTAGTTGTTTGGGTTGAGGAGCTGGGAGAGGGAATTGCGTTTAGAGGCCGAGTCGGGATTGGAGGGTTCGCGAGGGTTGCGGGGGGAGGGGGGATTCACGGTCGGGTTGGAGGTGAAGGAGTGATGTGGGTGAGGATGTTGGTGTTGGCGATGGGAGGCGTGGAAGTGCAGATTGGCAGCTTGGAAGGGCGTGTTGAAGCGGATCTCAGCGACTGTAACCGCTGCGGGGGTGTTGCTTTCGCCAGGTGGTGGATTACCAACCCCGAGGATCATATGCTTGCATTTGAGGCTGCGGCCGTTGACGCTCGAGGAGAAGGTGCAGGTGCCGTTCCAGGGCGAGTTGAAGGCATAGTAGCCGCTTTTGAGCTTCGAGCCGTCAGGGATATGACCGGCACCAGTGTCGGCAGAGCTGCGGCCTCCTGTGCGAGAGTCCTCAAATTGCCTTGAGACGCAGAGTTGACGATGGAATTTGCGCGGACCAGTTGGCTGCGGCGGCGGCCGCGGCTGCAGTTGCTCAGCTGGGTGTTCAGGCCCTAACGATGGGGGCATGGAAGGCCCTCCCGTGCGGAGCATCCCGGGGGGAAGGCTGGCAGCCAGATTCGCAAGGGAAACTGGTTCCTGAGATCCAGCAAATCGATTGTATCCAGGCGTCGAGATCTCGATGTCAATCGCGTTACGGTCCATCTGTGGCGTTGAGATGGTCCCGACGTTCCACTGCGTGCCTGACGCAGGATCACGCCGGATGAGCGTGATATGAAAACCAGCATTCCCACAAGGAGCTTGGTTCGCTCTTGGCTGGCGGGTGGGAGATTGCCCAGGGCTTCTATTCGGCGAGCGAAAACCATCATGGGACGGGCGAGGCGGCAATTGAGGTCTGTTGGAGTCCAAACTGTGCCGACCCGTAGACATGTTCTCGTACCTCTCTCGCCAAACTTCTTTCCCTCGGGTCTGGACATTGTCCACGAACGCACTCCAGCGATTTGTCTTTCGTGGTTGGTCGTCGTCGGCTAGGTGCTCGTTGAGTGGCTCTTCATGGGGAGGCAGCGGAGGCAAAGGCCGCCGCGCAGTCGGGTCAATTGATTCTTTTCTCGGCTCACCATTCATATCTAGTGGCGCGTTCGCGATTGGCGTCCCGGCAAAAGACATGTTCTCCGCCGAGACTTGCGGCATAGGCACCGGCCGGCGGGGCAATGGTGGAGGGGCAACATTCTCCTGCGCGGGCATAGGTACGGGCATAGGCGCAGGTGCAAGCATAGGCGCAGGCATAGGCGCAGGCGCAGGTGCTCTCTCATGGCCTAAATTGTCTCCACCAACAGGTTTTCGACGAACGTTGTTCATGCGTGCGAACTCTCGCTGCGCAGGGTCATCCACGCTGGCAGCCTCCCGCTCGTCCCTACGCCGGTGCGCTTGTTCCTCGCGCTCCTGCTCAACTTCCTGTAGCAGCGCATCGTCCTCGGGTGCCGCAACATGGAGATAGTAAAGTGAGGCATTGATAGCCTCGGCGGAGACACTCGATTTGGTGGGTGGCTTGAGAGGAGAGAGGAATATGTCTGTCATATGCGTACGCATCCTGCAATTAGCTACAGCTTATCTCAGCGCAAGGGGCCGATAAGCCCAGCAGGGGATGTGAAGTGCGGGGAGCAAGTAAGAGCAGTGATACGTAGAAGGAATACACACCTTGGCTGCCCGGTACCCTTACGATGTACAGTTGCAGCGGGTCGTGCTTCTCGTGGGTGGGATTGCGTGGGTAGGCGGGGGGATTCGATGCGATGGCGGTGATCGACGAGAGCGAGCGCGCCTCAACGGGGCCCTGTTGCGTCGCAGGGATAGTCGACATGGCGGGCACGGCGGGGGGTGTGCCAGCCCCGGAATGAGAGGAAGTCAATGGGGTTCGGAGGTTTAAAGCAGTTGAAAGCAGACGGTTTCTTGCGGCGTCGCGGACCAGGCTGTAAACAACGGTGGGTCCGTTCGGTAGTGGGCGGGCCCGGACAATCCACTGGGGGCCCGGTTGGTATTTCAGTCGTTTAGTCTTTCAGTCGCAAATTTGGATAGGACGAGTACGTCGCGCGGGACGCTTAGCCTGGAACTAAAGCACAGCGACGCAAGGGAAGTGTGATAAGAAGGCTGCCTGATCCGAGCCCGCCGGGTGGCGCAGTACGCGGCCGGCTTGCGCAGGCACCGGAAGAGTGACCGCGTTACGTCGCCGGCTCTACGGGGATCTACAGTACATAATCCAGGAGGCACTTGGCAAGGAAAAACACTCTTGGCTGTGGCGTATTCAACATTTGGGATCTCCCAAATAGCTGCAAGGCTATGAGATAGGAAAATTGGAGGTAGGAGCATGCAAAGAGCGGGAGAGAAACCAACAAAAAAAAAGGAAAAGATAGAAAGGGAGGGATTCTCCACGAAATGGGGTGTCCAACAGAAAAGAAAACTCCAATAAGCCCCTCAACAAAACGCCGCCGATGGAAGACCCTTTCCATGTCCCGATTCCCAGGTAACAAACATTAAACCACCGTCTCGGACCGTTCTCCCTCTGCGATGACCGGTACGCCAAGCCCTCGATCAGGGCTCTGCAACACTAGTTGCTCGTGGCGCCGAGCGCGGAGGAAGTCGCTGACCGCGCGAATTAAAATAAACCATCCGACGATCATGAGGATGTACGATATCCACTCGCTGGTGGTGATGGCTGATATCGCGTTGCCGCCATCGCCACCGCCGGAAGTGTCTCCAACGGAGTTGGGATCGAAGCTGTGGCTATTGGGGTCTGGGGGTGGGACATATTGATCGCTGGCTCCGTCGCCGCCCGAAGGTTCGCTGCTGCTTCCCTTCATATAGAAACCGTATTGAACAAGAGTAAGGCCGAGACCCGCTCGGCTACCGTTCTTTGCGGCATGAGTGGTGTGCAGGAGGTAGGTCAACAGGAAGCCGACGAGCTGGAAAGACATCGAGATCATGGCGTTCCAAACAAACGAGAAAACGGACCCCACGGGCAGTCCGTCGACATAAACTTCGTCGGAAGAGATGCCGGGTGCAACGATCGTGGTCTCCCAATATGGTGGTGTCGCATCGGCGGCGGCTTCCTCGTAGGACTATAGATAGCAATTATAACAGCATCAGCAAATTGTAACTAACAAACTCATAAGAACAGATTGATCATCAACTTACGGGCGGTAGATCCTCGTTCTTCTCGCCCCGTTCTGGCTTGGCCGCCAAATTGGCAAAGACTCCGTCATTAGATTGAGCGACAGACCGACCTCCTCCGGGTAATGGTGTCGTAAAGCTAGGCAGGATGGTCGGTCGTCGCAGGAGCGTTGAAGTAGGAGGCTGATCTTGTCCATTACTCCTGATTTCCGACGACGACGAGGCTGCTGACTCTGTCTGGTCGTAGTTGGCCGGTGACCCGACATCCGGGTTGGCACGCATCAGCCGCTGCCTATCATCAGGTTCATCATCATCATCCGATACGTCCTCGTCGCCAAAGGCGTCGGCCAAGGTCTGGTCGTCATCGTTGTGGACTGGGTCGCCGCGAAGCAGTCGCCTCGACGGCGAGGACGAACGGGAACGGGAACGGAACGAGGGAGGCGGAGAAGTCGGGTTGAGATCGGATCGAGTAGGGTTCAACTGATAAGATTGCGAGTGATCCTCTTCATCGTGGGCGTTCACCTAAAGAGTGGTTAGTTTGATCAGAGTTGTATCCGGGGGCGATGGCGTTCTGGCCGGGGCAATGAGATCGCCGGGAGGGGAATTAGGATGACGAACCCGTTGATAGCGCTGCGAGCTCATGACGAGCTGAGCGGGAGCGGCGGGAGAGAGGGCAGTCGGAAGGGAGGGGGAAACGACTTCGGAAGCGAAACGAAAGAGAAAAAGAAAGAAGTACAGAAGCACAGAAGCACAGAATCACAGAACAGATTGCCCGACGGGGACGTGAGGTGAGAGGATGGAAGCGCCGGGAATCGAAGGCAACAGGGAGTGATGGGTGCCTCAGGCAGGACGATCTTCGCTGACCAACCCGGGCTGACCTAACGGAGTTAAACTGTTAACGTCAACTTGTTTCGTTAATGATTCCCAAGTTCCCTCTCCGCGCGCAACATGTCTAAACCACAGGTATGTCTTGGTGATTGTGTCTCAGTACAATATCTGTGCAAGGAATGTCCCATTTGAAGTCCTGTACCTGACACCACAACCCTCCAGACTCTCAGCCCTCGCTCCCTCCAAACCCGCATCTCCCACATCCTCAAGCATTGGCCCTCAGACGCCGTCCGCCCGGCCTCCGTCTCAGTTCAGACCTACCTCCAATCCCAGCTAGGCCAGCAACAGAATGCAAAGAGCTCATCACAGGCCGCGCCATCGCCGGCGCCTACAACCCAGTCCACACCAAAGATCTCCGAGTCCTCTGTGAACGCGCTTTCTGCGCTGCTTGAAAACCGCTTTGCGAACCGCTACCCCCTGACGCAGAAGATTCGGTACCCAGCGAGTGACCCAGAGCACTATGACAATCTCATCCGGGAATTTGAGGAGGCGCCCAACCGCGACTGGGTTGGGCGGTTGCGCAAGAGATTGGGTGGACTGTTGCGGCTCCAGTGATCGCGCTTTCTTGACATAATGTATACTGTATAAATGGGGTTCGTCTCTGTGGCATTTTTTTGTGGTTTAAGGGGCTGGGTTACAAAGGTCTGTTGTTTTGCATGGCATGTACCAATATTTTGAGCGTGGAAAGTATTGTATCACTACTCCAATAATACATGTGTTTTGGAACTTTTCAGTATTTTAAAATGGAAATACTAATGCTAGATAATTTCGTGGAGAGCAAGCGCCGAGTCAATTCGCCTGTGGACTAACTCCACGAATGAATAAAATCCTATATACAATGACCCAAGTGAATCCTGAATGCACGCTCTGGGTGAATTAAATCAGCAAACATAAGCAAGCAAAAGAAACCCTTCATAGATGCATTTTAGAGCATGGGCTTCAGGTCATCGGCGACCTTGAAGGGAGCCTCAGTCTTAGCCTTAACCTCCTCGACGGTCACACCGTCGGCGATCTCAATTAGCGTCAGGCCATCAGTGAAGTCGACGTCGAAGACGCAGAGGTCGGTGATAATACGGCTGACACAGGCGGGGCCGGTCAGCGGGAACTCGCACTGCTTGACGATCTTTGGGTTGCCCTTCTTGTCGGTGTGTTCCATGGTGACGACAACCTTGGTAGCGGACGGGTTAGAGACGAGATCCATAGCACCTCCAAAGCCCTTGATCTTGCCTGGCAGCATCCAGTTGGCCAGGTCGCCCTTGGCACTGACTTGCATGGCGCCCAGGATGGTCAAATCGATGCGTCCAGAGCGGATCATGCCAAAGGACTCGTCGCTGCCGAAGACGGAGGCGCCAGGGTTGAGGGTGACGGTCTCCTTGCCGGCGTTGATGAGATCGGGGTCCTCCTCGCCCTTCTTGGGGTACGGGCCCAGGCCGAGGATGCCGTTCTCGGACTGCAGAGTCACCTCAACGGAGGGGTCGACGAAGTTGGGAGCCAGCATGGGCATACCGATACCCAGGTTGGCGTACATGCCATTCTTGAACTCCTTCGCGGCACGGCGGACGATGCGCTCACGCTTGTTGGCGGTGTCACCCTTGCCCAGCGCTGAGGTGTCGGCGCCCTCCTCCTTGGCGAAGGTGTACTTCTCGATCTGTTTCTCGGTGGTGCTCTGGACCACGCGCTTGACGTAGATACCGGGGAGGTGGATGGCGGCAGGCTCAATTTCACCAGGCTCAACGATGTGCTCGGCCTCGACGATGGTCATCTTGGCATTGCGGCCCATAGCACCGTTGAAGTTGGCCGCCGCGTAGCGGAACTGGCAGTTGCCCAGCTTGTCGGCCTTCCAGGCCTTGACAAAGGCGTAGTCGCCCTTGATCGCCTCTTCCATGACATAGTTCTTGCCGTCGAACACCTTGGTATCGCGAGGCTGGCTGTACAGTGCGACGGTGCCGTCGCTGTTGTGGCGCAGAGGCAGCTCGCCGGTCTGAACCACGGTACCGAACGCAGCCGGGGTGTAGAACGCGGGGATGCCCGCGCCACCAGAGCGGCAGCGCTCTGCGAGAGTACCCTGGGGGGTGAGCTCGAGCTCGATCTCGCCAGTCAGGTACATGCGCTCGAAGGTTTTGTTTTCGCCGACGTAGCTAGCGATCATCTTCTTGATCTGCTTGGACTGCAAGAGCAGGCCCAGCCCAGAACCGTCGACACCGGCGTTGTTGCTGACAGCCGTCAGGCCTTGGATAGAGGGGTTCGCCCGGACAGCGTTGATCAGTGTATCCGGCACGCCAGAAAGCCCGAAGCCACCTGCCAGCAGGGTCGTATTCGACTTCATGTCCTTGGTGGCCTCCTCAGCGGAGGCGAAGACCTTGTTGATTGCGGCCCGGCGGACGCTGCTGGTAAACGTGCGGGCAAGGAAGCGCTGGTGCTGTAGGAAGGTATGCCGGTGTCAGTGTCTTCAGTGACTAGCTACATGCAGATATTTGGACGTACCTTTACTGGGTCAGCAGCGAACTGCCGCGCAAACCGCAGGCACGTTGCCACTTGAGAAGGCATGGCGAATGACTGCGATTGTAAGGAAGGAGGAATGAAATTGGCTGTGCAGGGAGTGAGAAGAGGGAAAGTCAAGACCAGCAGGGAGCGCAGCAGCAATGTGGAGGCGACTGCGACGCCGGCAGTGGGTCGGTCTTATAGTCCCGTGGCGGCAGTGGGTGCGGAATCGAAGCCGTTCATCGTTTGTCTTCCCCGGACATTTCCCCGCAGGAAGCTTCAGTGCCTCTCCAATCCCCTCTACACTCCAACTACAATCCGACAGCGTTCTTGGAATATTGCTCTTGATTGAAAACTATGATTTATAGTGCTAGCTGTCTACTCATCTTCATTTACAGTTGTTTTTACTCAATCGCGCTGCGAAGAATGCAATGAGAACAACAGCCGAAATGCTAGCCGATCCGATTCCGATCCGCGGGCCGCCCGATGGCTGACGTATATTGTAGCCTGAGGCAGTGAATCTATCATCGTCGTTGAGTCGGCTCCCTTTAATACGAAATTGACGATTTTTTGACATCCGATTCATCTTGTAGGGCAGTGGAAATGCTCACTGGGTGAACAGACATGGAAGCATTAGATAACAAGTAATATCCGTAACTTGCAAAAACCCGATAACCTAGGAGAGCTCCTACGGGTTTGATCCCGGAAATGTCATACGTCTAACAAAATTCTTGGTTCGTGGTATCTTCCGTTTATGTACACCGACAAGAAATGGTCTTCTCGCACATGCAGGGACATCAAAAGACATAGCATGGGTATGACAGGAAAGAGGGGCGGCAGAGAAAACACTATGAAATCGCCGACGACGGCCTCACAGCATTGGTCACATTCGAGAAGGACTCATACATTATCGCGTGGCAAGAAGTTGCCACCTGCCATGAAGTCAAGTACGGAATTCAAATCTACCAGTTCGAATCGTCTTTCTTAAGGTTGTCCATGAAGGCTTTCTCCTTCTCTTCAGCGGCCGTGGGCCAGGTGGGCGTGGGCCACTCGATGGGTGTCGCGGTGCTGTCCGTCGATACTTGGTACGACGGCGGCTCCATGCTGACATCTTCAACGATGGCGTCCTCAGTGATGCCTGGAGACTGAATATCTTCCATGGCAGTGGGAGCCTCCGTATCCGCGGTCGTCACATCAGGAATCCATTCGGGAATGGCGCGACAAACAGGATCGACCAAGCGATCCTTCATCTTATCATTAATGTAGACAAGGAAGTAAGGGGTAGGTGGGTTGTTAGTCTCGTTATTCTTGAAGATTTCGTCCAGGTTCTGGACCTCGGTCACGTATTCGTCATTGTATTTGCGCCAGACATTATTGCGGAAATCGTAGATGTAGATCCAATAATGCCCGAACGAGACGGAACCGTGGTGCACGAAGACAGCGTATAGCTGGTATGGGAGATTCTTGTAGCTGGAGAATTGGTTGGAGATCTTGGTTTGAGTGCTCTGGATCTCTTGGTCGACAGCTAAGAAGGGATTTAGCATGCTGCAAGAAAACAGTCAGATCGATGATCATTTGGGTGCTTACACTGGAGCTCAGCTTCCACGATCTGAGAAAGTTGGTCAAGCTCATTGAGCAGCTCCGGTGTGGTCTCCATATCTCCATCGTTCTCAATCGCTGCAACATCTTCCAGTACGTCTTTAGTATCGCGAAAGAGTTGTGTCATATCAAGGTTGTCATTATCCTGCATAGAACATTAACTTGTTGAATTCAATGTTGGGGACATACAACAGTGTCATTTCATACGTGCTTCCGCAACAGCTCTGCCCGACGAGCTTCAAGCGATTTGAGTGTATTTTTCCATTCCCAACACTCACGGCGGCGATTCACGATCTCTGGCTTGGTTGTATCCATATACCGGTCCAGGTAGATTGTCTGCAGTAAGTCTAGGTGGTGGGTTGACTTGAAAGAGCTCTTCTTCACCGCGTCGAATTGAACTCGCTGCACCTGAACCTGCAGTATAGGAGGGAGGGAGGTGATGGCTCCATACTGCTCGGCCTCCGCATTTTCAACGCTGATTTTCTGAGCATCGAATGCTCCGTCAATGGCGGCATAGATGTCTCGCGACCCACCGGCGACATTGACTTTGATATCGCACCACCGTTCCTCCTTGGATCGCGTACCTCCTTCGGTGGTGATGTAAGACCGCGTACGACCATAGAACAAGCTAGTGATATGTTAGCACATTACTTGGCATTTCATAGTTAAATATACTCACTCCTTGATTTGATCGACCTGTTCGCCGTCGTTGTCTATTTTCCGCGGCTTAATGGCACACTGACTCTGGAAAAGCACGTTGTTGATCACCTCCGTGACATCTTGCTGAGCGCCGATTTCCACTTCTTCTATCAACTGCTTCTGGCGATCGGCCTCCGAAGTCGGGCGTGGGGGTATCGGTGGCGGAAGACTAGGAGGCTCAGAATGGAATACACCCCCATAAGATTCAGACGCAGGTGAAGACAATGGTCCAACTCCCCAGTCCCCATTCTCTTTATTCTCAGCAGATAGTGCAGGTTCTAGGCTGGTGATGTTTTCTGACACCAGCGTGGCATCGCTGCCCATGTCACTAGCGTTAGAGCCTTTCACGAGCGATGCTTCATTCTCAGGAGCTGCCCGTTCTTCATTCGGCTCTTCCGCAATGGGCTGAGGGGGTCCGAGAGGTCCCAGAATGGGCTTTCCCTCGATGTCACCAAGACTATGTGATTTCGAGATAGTCGATCTCCGACGAATTGCAGCTTCACCCCCGGGCTAATCAACGTCAATCGTGCCAACTCCTGGCTAGGAGTAACTGAAGACTGTGTCGAGGTGATCATGCTTTGGAATAGACCACGAAGCTCCCCAAGGACTGATTCTCTTAGCAATTTTTTCAACGGCGAGGCGGGAGATCGGGGCGCTGAAAACTTACATTTGAGAGACCGCTCCACTTCCTTCCGGGCCACTTTGCGGGAGCCGACCTGCTTTTGGGCCACGCTCGATTCATCAGTCAGATCCATTTGGTATTTTTCGATATTTAGAACCATATCTCGGAATGGAAGGACTGAGAAATAGAACTGGAGAAGGCTGTTCAGATAGCACGTATTGCCGATATTCTGCAGACCAACGGGCCACTCAGACAAATCGCGATCTGGCTCATTGGAAATTCCAGCCATGTTACGCAACATAGGGCTATCCATTTCTTTGGCAATTATGGTCAACGCACGGCTGTAAATATCGGCCTGACCGGGATTCTCATCGATGCAGATCGTGTAGGCCGCCATGATAGCGCCATCGTCGGCAGTACGGTCTGGAATCTGAAGCAAGCGGTAGGCATCCCCAATTTCCATTTCTCCGGCAATAGTCTCACCAGTATTGAGGAAGTGATTCAGCACTGTTGACTTGCGAGCTTCCGCGATGAGCTTGATTGCGCGATCCGCGAGGTCCCTGCATGACGGATTGTCGTTCAGTTTTGCCGTGTACATGGTGATAATGAAGTCATCGGGGGTGTTGTCCTCAACACCCAGAAAGACCTGAGCCTGCTCAACAGTAGAAACGCGATCTTCTGACACGGCCTTGATACGCTCGCTGGCTCTGCTGGCGCCTATCCGCCACAATTGCTTGCGCGACTCGGTCTCTTTCTCCGGCGAAGTCGAACTCAGATAGGCGTAGAACTTCCCGATGATACTGTCCTCGGTGAGGTTGTAGTCATCATGCCATAGCCCAAAATACTTGTACGCCTCAACGACATCATCATCCGAATACCTTCCTTCGGCGTAAGCATATTGCACAGCTTGGTCGATTATCTCGTAGTCTTCTCCACCCCGAAGAGTGGCGATTGCCTTTAGACAATGCAAGTACAGTGGTGCTCGTGCTGGGTCCACAGTAACTTGTCGATCATATGCTTCTACAATAGCCGAGGCAGCCATATCCTCTGTCGCTCCGATATCCTCGTAAAACCTGTGACAAAGAGAGTAATTAGTAAACAGCAAATACCCACTAGCTGATCACCGCCAGACAGGCTGGGAAGACAAACGGAGCAGGTGGCATTGCGAATTCGTGGGCGCGAGTGGATTTCGGATCTGATTCATGCATAAGCGTCAGGGCATCTTAGGCTTCCGATGGGAAGGACGAACACTCCAGGGCCTCCAGCGCGTAGAGGATATCATCTGTCGATGAAGGCGGAAGGGCAGGGAAATTGACACCCCTTTTCTCTGATACGGGCCGCTGATGTAGCAAACAGAGCAGTTCTTGGATAGCGTCGTCAATGTATATTTTCTCTGCATCCTGGAATGGAGTTTCTGTCTGAGGGCTTAGGCAAGGCGGCTGCCAGGTACCGGCATCCTGTGGGAGGGATCAGTTAGATTGGTATTGCTTCAAAACAAGATAAAATGAAAAGGTACGGACGGCATCATATGCAAACCCAAAGAATTTCAGCAGTTCTTCACAGGCAGCACCCTCAATTCCAAACGAGAGCATGAACCGTTTGTTGGAGGAGGAAATAGGTTTGCTGCGGTCCTGGCTGTGGAGGGCGTTGGTGAGGTAGATGCGCAGGTTGTCTTGGACGGTAATAGGCAACGGAATCGCCATACCCTCCATGCGCTCCGGCTGCGCTGCAATTGCCTTCTCTGCGCGCTGACGGACAATAGCCGGGTCGTTCAGCAACTCAAGAAGCTGAGGAGTAATGAGAGGAGTCAGAATCCGAAGTGAGACCATCGCCGAGCAAGAGAGGTGGGAGCACTGATAGTGATAGGTCTCCGCCACCTGCCCCTTCTCTGTCACCTCCTCCGCCATTCGATTACCCTGTTGCCGTCCTGACTTGTACACGAAGTGGTGCATATGCTCCGACATATGGGCCAGAGCGAATGCGTTCCCACCGTTCTTGTGGTTGACCACCATCTGCAGGTGGCAGCGACATTTCGAGCAGACAGCTGAAACCTTGGACGATGTTCCCGGTCTCCGTCTCTGCTCCGCACTTGTCAGGTGTGTTTGATTCGACTTAGTCACATAGGTATGTCGGCAAGCATCAGGCGATATGAAGTCATAGACCCTGTCAGCAGCTTCCGGGTACACTGGAGGTACTTGTGAAAGCAGGTTGAGACCAGTACCCGGAAGATGCGCAGGGTCATACAGTCGAATGTCCTCGGCCAAGCGGGGCGCCGTTTTGCCTATACATTGTAGCAATCAAAATGTCAGCAGCTCGTTCTACAATAAACGACCGAATGGAGGTTTGCTTCTTGCATTGTTACTCACCCGGCCGCTGTGGAGGCAGCATGACAACGGTGGGTCTATCGACGCAGCACAGCACGGATCAAAGCTCTTTTCTTTAAAGGCAGAGCAAATCTGGGGATGCCCAGGTGCTGATCACCCATAGGATCCAGCTAACAGCTTGGGTCCCCGCGATGGAACAGTCTCGTGGATGGGGACTGGCTGGCGGAGAGACAGCGGGGAGCCCACCGCACTGGGCAGCAGCGGGCGGTAAGCTTGGAAATGATGCTGAAAGAGCAGGGTTAAGGAGTCGAGAGCGTACCGTTGAAGATATGCTTGAAACACAGCGAACCTGATGAAGGGCAATGGAATGTAGAGCAGCAAAATCATAACATGACGCGTTGTTGCGTCTCTTTCTTTGAGAAGAGCCGGTCGAGCTCTCCATGTTTCGTCCCATATCGTGAGGCGGTGGGCGAGGCGGTGAAACACAGCAAAATGGAGCCCGAAATTCCCACTCAACCGCACCTCAGTCCGCCCCAGTCCACTTGCAGCTCATCCCTCCCAGCGACCATGGCGCACCACGAAGAGGACCACAGCTACCACCCCCAGGATGCTGTTTCAGCAGCCATCAAGACCACCATGTTGACTGGTGGTGTTGGTCTCTTTGCTTCAGCTGTGCAGAACACCCTGGTGAGGCAGAACATCGGCCCGCTGGGTATCTTCATTCGCAGCGGCAGCACTATTACTATCCTCGGTACGAACCTTCCGTCGAATGGGTTCCTAGATGTGTCAATGCTAATATAATTGTTTGTCTAGCTGCGATGGGTGGTACCTACGAATTCGCCAAGACCGCTTCAGCCAACCTACGTGAGAAGCAGGACCCTGTCAACACCGCCATCGGCGGTTTCTTCTCCGGTGCCATTCTGGGCCTCCGAGGTCAGTTATGATTGCAACGGAACCATTGAAGACTTTCAGACCATGTGGTGTACTGACTCATCTCTAGCCCGCACCCTCCCCGCCGTCCTGGGTTACGGTGTTGCCCTCTCAGCTGGTATGTACGCTTTCGACTACACTGGTGGCAACCTGTTCGGATACAGCAAGAACAAGGAGGAGGATGAGTTTGAGCGCCGGACGAAGCTGCGCAAGGCCTTCCAGACCCCGGCCGAGCAGACTTTTGCCGAATTGGGTGAGGGACGCGGTACGTTTGGCACCACAACCCCTCGCGAGTGGGAGTTCCGGATTGAGTGATGCTAATTGGAATATACAGGCATCTACGGCCCCAACTACGAGGAGCGCCGAGCAGAGCGGATTAAGGAGGCATATGGCATTGAGGTCCCCAGATCCCCGGTCCCCGCATCATAAAGCCATTCCCTTTCCTACAATGTCTTGATCCTGCCCTTCCTCTTTTTCCCCCGGTCGCGTTGTGTAAATTACCCCCTTTCATCATGTTGCCTCTAGAGCATGCCGGACACATCAATCCGAAACAAGTTTCTTTCTGTTAGAACCGAGAGGCCGGAGCGACGTAGATGTGTATACCTATGGGTGGTGAGGATTGAACGGTCATGGCTCGATGCAATTACTCGGTAGGGTGTAGTGAACCAGGTATACCTATTGGATATATCTGAGAAGGATAGCGTTCCGGCGTATGTTCGCAAGTCCAATTTTTCCATGCGCAGCCCAAGGCCATTCAATTGTGGCGGTGGTTATTGCTGTTGGTTTCGGTTTCATGGTGGTGTGGAGGGGAAGGTCCAGGGCGGCCAATGACGAACCAGGTATATCAAACGTCCCTCTGACACTCCTCTCGGAGCAGCTCGATGCATAATCGCCAGACTGCAGCGGAACAACCTTATTGATGCTTAAATCCGAAAGCTCATGCGCTTTCTGGGATGATGGGATTATTTCAACTACGCCATGTCTGCCCAGCCCCTCTCCCACGGATTGCGTTGGCTTGGGACAGACACCAGCAACTACACGCCAGGACCACGGCAGAACAACTACAGGCATCAGTCGGGTTTCGACTCTAGATCTTGGAAGAGCACCCTTTGACTGTCGACCCTGCAGGAATAATCGCCATGGAGCTGCTCTCCATGTGCTCCCGTTCATGGTGCGGGTCTCCTGGGATGCCCCAAAAGGGTGCAATCGGCTTGACAAGCGTTGCAAGAGTGACCTGCATCATTGTGCCCTCGAAAGTACCGCGTAGCGTCATTATTTCGTCCGTACCCGGCACGGGGCAACACGTTTTCCATCGAGCTTCGGTATTGTTCCTTTCCCCTCGGCTCTGGGTGCCGACGTCATGCAATAATCCGACGGCCGATCAGGGGAGCGCGTCGAAGGAGAATCCCCCTTTTCTACAACCTTACTGATGGGGCTGAGCCACAGATCGCGTGGATCATGCTCGCATGAGCCAAGCGCAGTCGCCTCCCGTCTCCTCGTCTCAGGGGCCTGCAGGACACAGGCGCCTCAGCGTGGCGGAGCCACCTTCGTCAGCCACGGCCCAGGCAGACAAATTGCCAGAGTGTTGGACTATGGCGTGAAGTATACGCAGGACGGAGAATATTCTCGCCCCAAATGATCCTGATATAGCCCTGCAGAATCGGAAACCGGAGGCCGGGGTCAGGAGTCGGACAAATGGATCGTGGGCTTGACTTCACCTCAACGGTTGTGACTTCCGAAAGCCCCAGTCCTCGACGTCAACCATCGTGATTAATGCAAATTAGCTTTCAGGTGGTGCTTTTCCCCCTCAGTGGATGCCGGGCCTCCCGAGGGGGACGGTTGACTGTAAGTGGTGTGTAACTGGGCAGTGACGGGGCTGTTGCTGGGTTGCTTGGTTTTTCTTGGTCGTCATCACTTCTCCGATCGCATCCCCTCCCCTCGTAGACGTCATCCACACCATCCTCATATTATTTACTGGATCGCCCCTCCAATGATCCTCTGTGCCCGCGGCGACTTCAATCCTCTTCCATTTTCTCACGTTCCCCTTCCCCCTTTTATCTCCATCTTTGCGAGTAATCTCGCGCGGTCCCTCGATAGTCTCTTGTGTGGGGCGTCCGGATTGATCTCCATTCGACGGCGCCGGTCGTCAAGCCTGTTCGAACGAACGAGCTCCCCGCAAACAGATCCAGGCCCAAGCCGCCCCGTTCGCTGGGTAACCAGGCACTAGCCTGCGCGGCGACCCCCTCTTATCTGGCTGTCTATCCAAAAAAGCCCTCTCTTGCCTGCCTCACAAAACCCCATACACCTCCCCCTGCCGAATTCCTTTGTAACCTCCGAAACCCGAACCCAGTGCAAACCCGACATCCCCATTCCTCCTCCGTTCCCGTCATGGCTATGGCCGCGCGGCCACAGACCCCCGTACAGGATACATACTCGATCCCGCACCCCAACGACCCGGGAATCATGAGTCGCGGATATGGCACCATTCGCTCCTCGTCGCGGCCCAGCTCCTACGCCGGCACCGGTTCGGCCTTCCACTACACCAACAGCCTTGACAAGCCCCAGGTCGCCCACAATCCGCGGTTCAAGGAGGACTTTGAGACTGCCAGTCACCGCAGCTCAGTCGTGCTGGACGGCCCCTCCGGAGGGAGCGTCGGCGTGCAGCGTTCGGCCTCGCTCATTTCGCCGGCCCCGTCCCCGGCCCGATCAGGGACGCTGCGCAAGAAGGCCTCCCTGAGCAAGAAAGGCAGTCTGCGACGCAATGGGAGCCGGCGCTCGATGCGCGCGGGCAGTGTGAGGAGTCTCAGCTTAGGTGACCGCGAAAAGTACAACTCCGACGGGGCAGAAGATGTCAATAGTGCATTTATGATTCCAATTCCGACCAACGGCAATCCGACAGAGGTACTGTCAAATCGCTTTCAAGGTATGAGTGCAGCTGTACCCGGAAAAATGTCTCTTCTTTCTTTTTGGGCTTATTGACTGACTGGCTGGCCCTTTAGCCTGGCGCAAGATCCTTAAGGATCTGATCGTTTTCTTCAGGGAAGTGCAGAAGTCCTACGAAGCTAGGTCAAAGCTATTCCTCTCCGCCTCCCATGTGATGAACAACCAGGTCATTCCCCCAGCCTTCCTGCAATCCGGTGGCCTTGCCGATGCGACCGAGATTCTCCAACACTTCCACCGCCAGGGATATACCGAGGCCAACAAAGCCGTAGAGGTGGAGATTGAGGTAATTAGCCAATTAACGGGTCTCCGGAGTGATCTGCAGAAGAAGACAAAAGAGATTAAGAGTCTCTCGGGGGATTTCAAGAACACGGTTGAGAAGGAGATCGACGGTACCCGCAAAGCTGTGCGCAACCTGCACGAGTCGCTGGGCATGGTAGACACCGATCCCTCTGCTACCTCAGGCAAGGGCGACCCGTTCTTAATGCGCCTCAATGTCGAGCGACAGGTTGAAAAGCAGATTGAGGAGGAGAACTATCTTCATCGGGTTCGTCACCTATATCATGTGGGGGTAAAAATGTGCTTGAATAATTAACTAACGCTTTATAGGCATTTCTAAACTTGGAAAACTCCGGCCGCGAACTCGAATCGATTGTCGTGAGCGAGATTCAAAAGGCTTATAATGCCTACGCTAGTATTCTCAAGCGTGAGGCCGATGAGGCGTACGACACGGTCGAGAAGCTACGCGCAGGGCCGATTTCTATGCCCCAGGACCACGAGTGGAATGCGTTTGTCGCTAACACAGAAGAACTTGTCGACCCCCGCATCCCTCTACGGAACGTGGAGAATATCACCTACGCTGGCAAGGACCATCCGGCAGCAGCAGAGGTTCGCGCCGGTATGTTAGAGCGCAAGAGCAAGTACCTGAAGAGCTACACGCCCGGGTGGTACGTGCTTTCGCCGACGCACCTGCATGAGTTTAAATCGGCCGATCGCGTGGCATGGCAGACTCCTGTCATGTCGCTGTATCTGCCGGAGCAGAAGCTGGGATCCCACTCGCAAGAGGATTCCAGCTCCCACAAGTTCATGCTCAAGGGCCGGCAGACTGGTGCCATGCATCGGGGTCACTCGTGGGTGTTCCGCGCCGAGTCCCACGAGACCATGATGTCCTGGTATGAGGATATCGAGAGTCTCATCAACAAAACCGGAGAGGCGCGCAATGCCTTTGTACGCCGACATGTGCGGAGTGTGAGCGGCCGTTCGATTAACAGTGAGGTGTTGGAGGATGACGAGGCCGATCAGACCCCCTACTCTGCCGGGGCCGTGATTCTGGGCCAGGAACGGCCCACATCAGCCACCCGTCAGCCCGGCGGGGCCTTTCCGAGTGACGTCCAGATCGACAGGCACCTGCAGGCGCCGTTATCCCCATCCAGTGGCGATAGCTACGCTGGTCGGGATATGATCGCTACGGCTGAAGGCCTTCCAGCTGATACGGGCGCCGCGGGCTCCTCGCGATTCTATGGGGCCCACGAGTCCGCCACTGCGTCTCCGCAGGCCACCAATGATGGCTCGGCGGACCAGTCCCGATCCCGGATCAGCCGCCATGACAGCTACTACGGCGACTGGATAAGCCCTACCGCCATCGTGGCCCAACAGAAGAAGAGCCGGCTGTCCGAGACGATGAATGCAGACGATCGCGAGATCCGGTCCGAGGGGGATCATAACTCCATGGTCGCCGTGCCCGGTGTCCTAGAGGGCACTGACCGCCGTGAATCTTCTGCTCCCCCGCAGATGGCTCGCCGTGAAAGTGTATCCACGGCGCCGACTAACACGAACATCACGGACTACACCAACAACACTCTGGCCACTTCCGTAGACGAGACTCCTGAATTCGCCAAGAACGGCGCTGCGGTCGCCAGTGGTTCAGTTCCATCCAATGGCCTCGATGGATATGCCGTCACTGGTGCTGGCGGCACTGCCAAAACAGGACCGGATTTAAGCCGGCCCAAGCAGGACAGCATCGTGGCCATCGACATGAAGATCCCCGGCCACTTCCCACGGACCAACGTGGCCGCATAACTTTTTGCTTCCCTTCCTTTTTCCGCCCCTTCCTTTGTTTCATTTGTTCCTCAGTTCGTTTCAAGTATTCTTCTTCCTTTCCCTCGGACCCATGCGGTCCCTTGTACATGTACCAACCCCCACCACCCTATCCCCCACACTGCGCCCTAACTGGCTTTTCGGCGTTTGGGTTCCCTCGTTCCGGGTTTTGAAGGCGCACGTTACCGGGTTCTGTCGATTCTCCCGTGATTCCCCGGGTGCTGAGCACCCGCCGCTTTCTGCTTTCGTTGATCGTGATCGTTGGTGTTTTTGTGCCTGTTCTGGAGTGATGAAATGAAAACGATTTGTCTGATCTCAATGGATGTGTTGGGGGGGGGGGGGGTGTTGCATTTGCCTTGATCTTATATCCACCGCTCGGTAAGGCATGAAGATGGATGAAAGGGAGTTGTATCTGTCCTATCGGGATATAGTATCGATACGGCCGGGGCCTCGGGCGATCACCGGGCGTGGCATTTGAGCGCATACAGTAGTATGTACTGTACTTTGTACCTCGGGTACCCCCTGTATGTCGTACGGTTGGTGTGAGGAGTGTAAGGTGCTTACTTCCCCTTCCGCGAGCGAGGTGCTGATATCTGGGCCCGGGCTAGTCTGCACCTGCAGGATCGGTGACACGGTCGGCGAGACCGGCGCCGGCCGAATTGCAATCGGTAAGGTGGAGAGGAGGGAGATAGAGATACAGTACATACATATGCACTTGGTCCATACAGTAATGTTCTGCTGACAGTCTTTGTCCGTCTTGTCCGTGGCAGGTATGGCACTGCGTCATCATCATCCTCTTATGGCCTTTGCACGGTCCAGAGGTGAGAAGCTCGGAGGCCTACCCCATATACTTCGTACATGTCTAGCTACTCCGTAGTTGGGAAGCCACGGCGTAACCCGTAGTTCGTCATGAGTTGCGTGTTCTATATCCTCGGTATACGTGTCTCGCCCTTCTCGCCCTCTCCCAGTGGCCAGGCGGTGGGGCCCAGGCAGGTTGGAGGTGTCGAGTATCAGAAATCAACCTACGAACCTGCCAACCTGCCAACCTGCCAACCTGCCAACCTGTCAATCCACCAATCCGCCAACCCAAACAACCTCAACCCGCCGTCCTCCCTGCCACCTCCATCTTCTTTCCTCAAGGCTTCTCCTCTCCTCCGCGCCTCCGCACCCACCTCATCAACCTGTACGACAACCTCGACCCCGGAATCATGGGTGGGTGTCCAGCTTGTCCCCTGTCTCACGCCAGCGTCAGCTGTATATGCCGCGTATTACTGGATTATTCGCCCGTTCCCCGTTCCCCGTTCCCAGTTCCCAATCCCCCCCGTCCCCCCCGTCCTTCCCCTCTTTCTGCTCTCCGTCGCTGTCCCCTTGGTCCTCCGTACATTCCCAGTTCCCCCCCCTGCCAATCCTCCAATCACCGCCCTTGCACCTTTCACCTTTCGCCTTTTGCCCTTCATCTTTCCCCCGCCCGCCGTCCTCCCTTCTTCCTTTCTTCCCACCCCTGATCTTTCCGGTCTCTCTGCTAATCCTCCTTCTGTTTCTTCCCCCCTCAACAGCGGACGTCTATCGACCTTATCAGGTAAGTTCGACAACTTTTGTTCTATTTCTTTCTACATTTTCCCGTCGCATGGATGGCGGTCCGTCGCGGTCGCGATGCGCCGGTCTGGCACCCGTCGCCGACTATCGTGGATTGGTCAGTGCGGGGGCGGACAAACAGCTCCAAGGCCGCCGCATGTGAATTGCCTAGACCTCCTCGTCAAGGGACAAAGAAGGAGGGGGAGGGGCGCATCGTGTCTGTCTGGATTTCGCAAACACCCTTCAAACACCCCTCGGATTGTGCGCTGTGCGCACAACCCAACGCGCAGTGCCCCCAAGCTACCTCCGGGGTCCTCGATCTCCCCCATTTTGGCCGTGAAGTCACCTGACTGCGGCTCCTCCACCCCAATCTTGCGCTCTCTGCTTCCCTCCGGTGTCTCGTCTCTTGTCTCGGCTGCGCCTCAATTCATCCCAAACACACCACTTTCCCCCACTCATATTAGTCCTCGATCATTCTTCCCTTCCTCATTCGTCATTTGTCATTTGTCGATTCACTCGAATCATCCCCCCTGCGCCATCCCCCCTTTCGTCGTTTCAATGTCTTCTGAATACCCATACCCTGAATATCATGACTCTGACCGCGTGCAGCGTGAGAGGTCCCGTTCGCCCCGCCGCCGTTCTTCTCGCAGTCCCCGACGGACCCGTCGCTCGTACTCGCCGCGCAGTCGATCTCGCAGCCGTGACGATTACCGTCGCAGTGATCGCGATCGCCGTTCTCGTTCTCCACTGAGTGCTGCTGGTGCTGCTGGACCGTCGGGCTCCCCCTACGGTGGACGCAGTGGTTACGCGCCGGGTCGAAACTTGGAAGATCGTTCCGCCGCCAAAGAAAACATGATGCAATCCGTCCGCGACTCGTCCCAGCAAGACCGCCGGGTCTATGTGGGCAATTTGTCATATGATGTGAAATGGCATCACCTGAAAGATTTTATGCGACAGGGTGAGCATGCTTTGATCCGGGTGGTCCGCGCATCTGGGGCAGGATAATGGCTGACCAATGGGCTCTTTTTCTTGCGTGCAGCTGGAGAGGTTCTCTTTGCCGATGTGTTACTTCTTCCGAATGGAATGTCGAAGGTGGGCGCCAATGCGTAGAGTGGCTGGTTCCTTTTCTACTTCCCTGATTTCTCGTGGTTTTTTTCTGGTTTCCTTGCATGGACTGTTGGGTTGACGGGCTGGGCCTGGTTGTCCGGACACTGTAGGGATGCGGGTAAGTTTGACCCCCTTGGGCGATCCCACGGGAACAGTTGCTGATGCGCGAACAGGATTGTGGAATACGCTACGAGGGAGCAAGCGCAAAACGCAGTCAACTCGCTCAGCAACCAAAATTTGATGGGCCGTCTTGTTTACGTTCGCGAGGTACGCGGTTGATATCAGTCTTGAGGGTAGAGTGGGGCAGGCGCTGACCGTTTCAAATCAAGGATCGTGAGGCCGAGCCTCGTTTCGTCGGTGGCCCTCCGCGCGGCGATTTTGGCGGTGGTGGCCGGGGTAGCTTTGGTGGTGGCTTTGGCGGCGGCGGCGGCGGCGGCGGTGGCCCCGGTGCCGGCCGCCAGCTCTATGTGTCCAACGTTTGTAGCCCCCAAGGTCCCCCGTGATGCTAAGATTTGTGTGAACCAGGAACGGTATTAACAGAATCCCATTAGCTCCCTTTCAATGTGGGTTGGCAAGACTTGAAGGATCTGTTCCGCCAAGCTGGTAAGTGCTGCATTTGGGCGCGGGGATGACGACGAGTCGCCTCCCCCGTGTTTTTGTCTCCCCTTATCTTTCCTTTTGTGAGCGCTTGGTGAATTGACTTCAACCCTTTCCAGCCCAGCAGGGTGCCGTCATCCGTGCCGATGTGCACACCGACCCAACCGGTCGTCCTAAGGGCTCCGGTATTGTTGCCTTCGAGTCTCCGGACGATGCGCGCAACGCAATTGCGCAGTTCAATGGCTACGAGTGGCAGGGTCGTCCCCTGGAGGTTCGTGAGGACCGCTTCGCTGGCGGTGGCCCCGGTTTCGGTGGCCGCGGTGGCTTCGGCGGTGGCTTCGGGGGTCGTGGTGGCTTCCCTGGTGCCCGCGGCGGCTTCGGTGGACGCGGTGGCTATGGCGGTGGTTTCGGCGGCCGCGGTGGCTTTGGTGGCCCAGCTCCTGGCGGTCCCCCTGGCCCTGGCGGTCCTCCTGGTGGTGGCTTTGGCGGCGGTGGTTTCGACAATGCCGTGGTTTCGGTCCCCCCGAACCCTTTCACTGACTTCGCGACCTCTGGTGGTGAGAAGAGCGGTGTTATCTACGTGCGCAACGTACGTTCCGAACCTATGATTGCGGTTGACGTATCCATGGAATGCTGATCAGATGATAGCTTCCCTGGTCCACCTGTAATGAGGACCTGATCGATCTGTTCTCGACCATCGGCAAGGTTGAGAAGGCCGAGATCCAGTACGAGCCGAATGGCCGCTCCCGCGGCACAGGTGTCGTCGAGTTCGACAGCCCCGATACTGCTGAGACTGCTATAGGTAAGTGGTTACTTCCAAGGTATTGCGCTTCCCCCCTCATACTAATTCTCTCCAAGCCAAGTTCACTGGCTACCAGTACGGTGGTCGCCCTCTGGGTATCACCTTCGTCAAGTATTTGAACGCAGGCGGCGCTCCCGGCGACGAGATGATGGAGGGGGCTGAACCGACGGAGGTCATCACGCAGGACCAGATCATGTAAACCGTTTTATTCTTCTGGACGCTTGGGAATTTTTTTTACCCTCCTTCTTCTCTCTGTTTTCTTGTCCTTGTTGCTTTCTCCATGATTCCCTCATTCCCGTCATGTCTCCCACCACAAAAGGGTGCGCCGATTTGCTCTGCTTAGAATGGGAAATGTCTGTGCTTTGGTAGTTTGCACGTGCAGAAGATCCGCGCTCCACCGAACATCGCAACTTTAACCTTTTCCAACTGATCTCGCCCTTCTGTAAACTCCACTAAATCACACCTCACTCGACTTCCTCGCAATGGCATCTCTCGTCCGCCTGCCCGCTCCTCGAAGGGCCCCGTCATCCATCCCATCCATCTGCTCCGCACCAACTCCCCTCGCAACCCGCCAATTCCACACCTCCGGCCAGCTTCGTCCATCACCATCCAAGGTGACCACCGCCATCAAACCAACCTTCAAGAACCCCGCCTACACCATCCGACCCTACCACTCCCCCCTGCACCCACGTCTCCCACCACACGAATACACCAACAGCCAAACCGCCATCCTAACCGCCTCCCTCCCACACATTCCATCGCAAGGTTTCACAAACGCAGCTCTCACCCTCGGCGCGCGCGACGCAGGCTTCCTCGATGTCTCAGTGCAGCTCCTGCCGCGTGGCGAATTCGACCTCGTTCTCTTCTGGCTTGCCAGTCGGCGCGGCCTGTTGCGGGGCAAGGTCGAGGAGGGCGCGCTTTTCACCCGCGCTGCGGCGGAGAGGGGGCGCGAGGTTGGGGGGTTGAGCGTGGAGGAGAAGGTGAAGATCCTAGTGTTGGAACGGCTGCGTCTGAATAAGGATGTGAAGGAGGTCTGGCAGGATGTTTGTTTTCCCCATTTCCTTCCCTCTTTTCCATCCCCGTCCGTATCATAGCACATATCTAACCCCGTTCTTGTCTCTCTCACAGGCCCTCGCCCAAATGTCCCTGCTAGGCAACATCCCTCTCGCCCTCACTGAGCTGCACGCCCTATCTAACGACATCCTCACCCTATCCGGCGACGCTGCCGTCGACGGATCCTGGTATGCGCGACGCCTAGGACTAAGCGCCATCTATGCTAGCGCCGAGGTAGTTATGACGCGGGATCCGACGCCGGAGCTGGTCGAGACGGAGGCGTTTGTGGAGCGCCGGTTTGCTGATAAGGAGGCGCTTCGAGAAAAGGTCGAGGGGGTGGGGTCTTGGGTGGGCTTTTTGGGGAGCACGGCTGTTGGGGTGGGGAGGAGTTGGGGGTTGAAGATTTGATCTGGGATTTGGGGATATGGGATATGGGATTTGGGGATTTGCCAAAGGATCTGGATTCCTGAGATGGGGAGGGGAGTTTTGAACGGCTACTTCGGTGCTGATGGTTTTTACCGGGGGAATCTATCTAGGCTGTCTTGTCTGTGTTCTTTCTCCTGATCTCGGGTTTGGGTGCTTTCCGTCTATATTACATATTTGATTGAGAGGGCAGAGGGACGGAGACCGAAGACTGAACCCGGGGCTTGTATTCTACTCTATCTACACTTTTGATACTCTAGCGTCTACCTACTAGCGAGCGCGCTTCAACTTTCGGATATTCTACATTCCAACACCATTAGAACTAACGGCGCTTAAACCTCTAGAGTCTGCCATTCCATTCAAATATATCTCCTTGAGAGAAACTTCGATTAAGTACTTATGCATGGGCTACAACCCACACACCCCACCCACAACATCTCAAAGAACTCCCCGTCCTAATGCAACGAAACGTTCTGCACCGCTTCCTCCACACTAACCGGCTGCGCACCCCCCGTCCCCACCTCAGGCGAAACAAGCAGCGTCGGACTAGTTGGGCTCGTCGGCGAAAATGGATCAGAGAGCGCCCCAGCATGCTCACACGGCGTCTGCACTGCTGGCACGTTGCTGACAGCCATCGCCACAGCCTCCGTCTCGCTCTCCTTTGGCTGTGAGCCGGTGCTGGCCCCGCTCTCGACAGAGTCCGTTTGCCCATGCGCCTGCGCCTTGCCGCGGCCCCAGCGCCGGGTTTTCGGTGGCAATGGTTTCTGTCCGTGCTTGCTGGTGCCTGGGCCTGGGCTGGAGGCTGTTGGGGGTGGTGAGGGACGGTGGTGGCTGGTTGAGGGGGTTGTTTGGGTCGAGCGGCGGGGTGGGGGGACGACCGGAGGTGGGTTTGAGGCGGTGCGGCGCGCGTGCAGTGGCACTGGGGGTACGAGGTGGGGGATTGTTGCGGAGCTACGCCGGTCTGTGGTGATGCCGGCCGTCGTGACAGGGGAGGGTATTGTAAGCGTTGACGTGATGGGTGCGGTGTGTGTTGATCCCGGGCTGACTTCGACGCCTTCGGGAATCGTGTTGCGGTCACTGCTGGTGCCGGGTGAATATTGGTCATCTTCATCGACAGCGAGGCGACGGCCGCGCCAACGCCGGGATTTGGGTGGCTCGGGCTTGATCTTTGGTGGGCGGATGCTAGGTGCTTCGGCGAGGAGGTCAATCGTGCGGCCGTCTTTGCGGCTAGGTGTGATGACGCCGGGTTTCTCGTGTTGCGCGGCAACAGCTTCCACGCTGAGTGAGGATGCGGATGCGGGCTCGAGGTGCATGCCTAGCCTTTGGACGGCGCTGAATTTTCGCCGCGACTCGGGTGCTTCGGACGAGCCACGCGAGTCTAAGGAGTCCATCCTTGTTGGCGATGCTGTGCCGGGTGAATCAGGGATCGTGCTGGTGTGTGAGAGTGTACGGGTCACATAGATTGGTTCCATCTCAATAGGTGAGTCTCGCTGGACCGTCTCGTCGAGGACTGTGTCAATCGTAGTCGTGACCAACTGAGTGGGAGTCTCTTGCGCAGAAGTACTGATGTCGGGCTGCTTAACATTCCGGAGCCACTCTACTGTCGCACACCGAGCAACGAGTCGCCGGGTAGTCTCATCAACCTCTTCGAAGTGGGGGATCTTCTCCCTTTCGGTCTCATTTCCATAAGAGACTTGTCCCCTAACGAGGATGCTGAGCAATTTCCTGAGCTCATCCCGCTTATAGTGTGGTGGAAGTCGCAGCTGAGTATGTGCCAGCAACGGATACAGGACTCGAAGATATGTATGTCGCAGCGCAGATGCTTCCTCGGGTAAGTCCAGCAAGTTGCGAATCAAAATGTCCACCAGCACATGTAAATCATTCGTGAAGAAATATTCATAAGTGCTAGGAGTAGTGAAGATCAGATAAAGCAGCTTCAGGGTAAGTAGCTGTAGAGAAGTCTCGGCTAATCGAAAATATCAGTTATATCAGTGATATCAGCTCGAATTTCCGAGTTGTGCTGCACATACCTTCACGGTTGATAAGCAGAATGATATTCTCGCCAAAGGTCTTGTACAAGCTTCCGCACACGGACAGGACCTTGATCACCTTGTTGGTCAACTGGCTAGAAGAAGATCGTTCATCAACTAGATCGTGAGCCGAGATCATAAACTGTTCATTCAGAACCAGCTGTGACAACTAGTTAGATTCTTCAGTCTCCATCTCGGTGGACAAACAACACACTCACCAGAACCCGGATAACAGGATAATGGTACGGATCCGTGACATCGTAGGATAAATCTTCAATGATGTCGAAAAGACACCGAATGAAATCGTCATCCACAAGTACTATTCACAAGAACCAGCTTATTAGCTCCCCATGTTCAAGAAACCCAGGCCTTTCACACCCAGCAGCGACATACCCAGGTCTCCAACCTTGACCCTCTGAATCCGCGACATTTCATATAGCAAGTCCATCAGCAACCGGTGGAGACCCCCACCACCGTCCGTATCATCCCTGCGCAGTGCCTGTATCAGCTCGAGGAGGCGCGCAAACACGCCCTCCTCGTTCATCATCTGCAACGCCGTCTCATTCTGCCGGCCGTCGAAGAGAAGGAACGACGCAATAAAGTGCAGTGTTTTCGGGTCATCTTCCTAAAGACGGCGAAATATGAATATCAGCGGGGTTGTTTGGTGTGGTGTTGGGAGGATGGATAGGTGGGTATCTACCTGCAAGAGACCGTAGATAATCTGCCGGCGGACGTAGTCTGTGTGAGCACCGAAGAGACTCGACGCAAAGAGATTATACGAGCAACGCGAGATGTCGTATTCGGTGGAGAGGAATTCGTCTATAGGCCAGATATTGTGCTGTCAGCCATTGTACTAGACATCTTCGCTTCGGGACACACGACCGCCCGTCGGCCCTGGAAGGTGGGGGAAGTTGTCACCTTTATACTGCGTCGTCAAGCTCAAATACCCCCTGAGCGCGTCGTCAATCAGGTCTTCGGAATCGCAAGGCTTGGAGACAATATCTTGGAGTTCTGGCAGGCGTTAATTGAGAGCTGTTGCAGGGCAGATCGACGACATCCCATCGTCACATCACCAGCCTGGGGCTAGTGTCGGTCCCGAAGGTTGACTGCCCACGCAGGGGGAGCACGACTTACCATTCCAGAACTGCTGGGGCTCCGAGATCTCGGGCTCCATTTCCCACCGAGCTCGATCTACGTCTTGGGGGGTGGCGTGTCAGAGCACTCATCCCGTCTTGTTGTGCCGGGGAGGTTGGAGATACGGAATGTGTTGGAGGCGGGGGAAGCGGTCGTTAGCTCAGTGTCCACTTTGCGGGCGACCCGACAAAGGACAACATATCTACAAAACAACATGTGCGTTATTACCATGCTGTTTTAAAAGAGGATATTGTTACAATCAGATAAGCGTATATGCACATTTCGCTGGTATCATCACTATGCAGGGCAATTTCCACAAAATTAAGACAGAACCTCACACAATAGAAGGGTAAAACAACCATCATGACGCTGGCCGTTGGAAGGGATGCGCTTCAGTATTCCTGCGAGAAGGTCAGCTTTCTTGGCCCACGAAATCCACATGACTACACCACAGTGCTAAAATCAGGGGCATTGGCCAACTTACAGCACATATTTATCCAGATCCACCAGGCTAGGATCGCTGAAGAGCAGGTAGAAGTACTTCAGCGTCTCTGCCGTCCAGAACGACTCCATCGCGTCCTTCTGCGCGGGCTTTGGCGCCGTGACATCCTTAATGCCCGCGTGCGCCAGGTTCGTCCGCGTATGCTTGGTGATCGCCTCGAACATCTTCCACCCCTTGCGCCGCCAGGCCTCGTCGCCGGTAAGCCGGAACATAATGAAAACAGACTCGATGGCTTCGGGCCGGAGGAAGTACTCTGGCGCCGAGATGCTGGTCATACCCGGGGGTAGGCGGTCATTGATCTCGTTGCCCTCAGACTGTGCCACGAATGCCGGACGGGGCGCCTCGCGGTTCGCGATGTTGTCGATGCTAACGGGCCGGGAGATGGGGGTTGGGTTGGAAATTGGGGTTGCGCCTCGTTCAACTGCAACGGCGTCGCGCTTGTTGTATATGGGTTCCTTGTCGCGCGGGTTCGTTGAGCCCGGCATGGGGAGAGGCACAGCGACGCCGCTTTCGCTGGGCTCTTGCGACTTGACATCGCCGCTCATCTTCACCCGCTGGCCGTAGGCACTCTCGCCAGTGCGGAAGCGCGCTTCGGCCTCGGAGTCCATGACGTGCGAGTAGCGCTTGACGTCTGCCTGGTAGAGCTTCTCGTCCCACTCGCAGGACTTGTCCTTGCTACATGGCAATAGACGGAATCGCTCGGGCATGATGCCCGTGTTGGTCGACTCGTATGCCCAAACGCAACCGTCAGTCAGCTTAGCGGCAAGGTCCAGGTCGCCGTCGAGGCTAAATGCCTTCGCGCCCATGGCAACCATACCACCGAGGAAACAGCTGAGGTGGGTACTTTCGTACTCGAGATCGGCGGGGGAAAGGGTGCCTTTCTTCGTGGGATCGAGGGGGCCCGTAGACGCCATGAAGCGCAGGTCGCGCTCGCCCTTCACCATAGGTGTGAAAAGTAGATTCTTGCGAGCTGCATCCATCGCTTTCTTGTACATCTTCTTGTACTGGTCGTTCACGCCACCCAGCATCAGGTACTCCTTCGGCAGATACTCGTAGGTGGAGTCGGCTAATCCGCCCATGCCGTACCTGTTATCACGGAGTGAGAGCGGAAGCTCTAAGCCACCGTCACACTTCTCTGTGACGGATGTTGACTCCTCGCCGTCAAGCTTGCTAGCACCGCTAATGTAAGGCGCAAGCTCTGCTGCCGAGAGATCGATATCGGTGCTACGCTCAGTCAAGTGAACGTAACTCTCCAGATCAGTTGGTGCAACATATGGCTTGCGGATGCGCGTAGACGTAACCATAGCCGAAGACGAATTGATACTTGAGACGAACCCCTCAGCGTCGTCGTCCGTAGGTGTGGTACTGTCCCGGCTAGGCCTATATTTGGCACAACCCTGCGCGTTCACCCGCACTGGCCACAGGCCAGGAATGTTGGTCGAATCCTGGAATTCTTCCAATCTGTTTGTGACTCGGGCAATTGCGTCGTAGTACTTGTCCTCCTTCGTCAATTGGGCCAAGCGGGTGAACTCCAAGGAGAGTGATCCAATTTCGGCCAAGGTAGCCTTTGCCGATGCCCGGTGGGGGCGGATAGTGTGGTCACTAGATAGGACCATTAGCCCAATTAAACGTGAAATGAAAACAGAAATTTGAAGCGAGCTGGGTAAACTCACGGTGTCCAACGGTAGTATAGCACAGGCATACGGTTCGGCGTGTCGAAAGCACCAATCAGAACCCCAGCCAACTCTTCAGCCTTCTCCAACAAGATCCCGTATTTTTGTCCAGAAATGTCATAGGCACCGAGCAGGCCTCCCAGATAGCGGATCACGGTTTCAAATATAGGAATATCCTCCCGGGGTGAAGTAGTGAAATTGATTTTCCTGACCGCATCCACAGCCTCCGAGAACTCATCCTTCATGTCCATGATCCACAAGGTATCCAAGGAATCAACCAACGTCGCACCCCAGCCATTAAAAGGGTCCTCGAAACTCTCAGAGAGGGGCTTAACCTCGTCGTGTCCCATCGCAGCTTTCTTATATCCTGCCCATGCGTGCTTGAATTCAGCTTTGATGGTGCTCAGTCGCTGCAGGCGCTCCTGCTTGTCGGCGCTTGTCTCATCCTTGGCCTTGGCCTGCAGCTTCGGTATAGCCTTTGAAGCCTCTTTTGGCAGCTTGATCAATTCCCCCACTGCAACGGGGAACCGCTCGGGGGGCGTTGTCCAGTGCGCGGCGGGGCCATTGGGGTGTTGCTGGACCGACAATCTGCCTGTACCGCCGTGGTCTATTTCCTCAGGAAGGGTATCAGACGCATCGCCTGTGACCGACGATCCGGTTTGTGGGATCGCGGGCAGCAGCTTGCCGCTGCTTCCGGGTTTCTTCTCCTTCAGATCGTCCGAGCTGTCGGTGCTTGGGTACGTTGGCGGCGCATTGCTGGAGGAACTAGATCCGGTTTCTGAGCCAGCTCCATACTCTGATCCAATCCCCTTATTCTTATCTCCCTTTGCACTACCCGGTCCCACGGGCGATTTGAACTCGTTGGATGGCGGGTATCCAGGATAATTGCTATTTGGCAGGGATGGAGGCGCGTACTTGTTGCCATCTTGCGCAGCCGGGGCTTCTGGGGCGGGCAGATTCTGATTCGGAACCGCCGGGTCGGATGAATGGTCCCCGGTAGGGTTCTCGATCAGCACAGCCTGGCTCCAATCGCGCGATCGGGCGAAATGGAGGACGAGCAGGACGAGGACCGCGGCGAAGACGATCAGGACGCGGTAGCGGCGGGCGCGAAACATGGCGGGCCGTCACACCCCTCCGGGAGGGGGAGAAGGGATTTGTTAGTGGTGAGTAGGGATCCGAGGGGACTAGAAGAGGGCGGAAAGAGCGGAGAGAAAAAGAGGCGAAGAACCTCGCGGACGAGGCGCGGTGGAGAGGAGAGAGTTCAATGTCACGAGACGCCTGATAATGCGGAGCGGAGATCGACATGTGATGGGTCGGAGTCAGGAACCGGTCCTCACCCTATATGACTTTGGGGCCCTTTAAAGGAGGGATTGGCCGATTGCTATCTATAGCCATGAATAGCTAGGCCCCAGTATTGCCCACTCTGCATCGTTCTGTCTTGCTTGTTGATCTCTCCTCGCCAGCCGGCTCGCTCGCTCCTCTCAGCCGAACAGGGTTCTCGATCGAGCCAAGAGCGCCGAGTCTCGCCAACTCCCGGCCCTCGGGCCGCCCACTGGTGACACTAGTGGACACTCTTGGGCAAGGCCACTTCAGCCCCTGGGCTGGATCTGGAACCAATCATGACTGCCTGGCAAGGAGTCGTCGACGTTAGTCCGACGTTGGTGTGGCAGGATTGCAGCCCATGTTTGACCCTGCCTTGTGTCCGAAGGTCGGCAAAGTCAATTCGGTCCAGTTCGAGCCCCTTGGGTCCAAGTAGTGGAGACTCTCCTGGATCGGGCGATCAGCAAGGGTCTGGCGGATCGACCTATCACCGTGGGGTGGCAGCTCTACGGAGGACAACTGGACTGGCTGTTCCAGGTTGGTGAGCCCGCTAGTCAGTTAACTGTGGGGACTAACGACAGTAAATACAAGGTAACTCCGGAGTACTCCGTAGTTAGCCAGGTGAGGGCATGTCTGTTCCGACCCTGCCGGAGCGAACACGACGATAGGCAGGGGCCACAACGGAGTCAGAATACTCACGGTGCACAATTACCTCACCAAAGAAGGATATAGCCCGATGATGCCACATCTCGTTGTTTGGTTAAAAGGGGCAAGGGTAAAATAATGTCTATTGGTACTATAGAGTACTGTATAACAAGAGGTCACGATAGGTGCGTTGCTCTGCATTATGGTGTAGTGAGGTGGCCCACTTAGGTTAGGCCCCAAAAACAGGATACGAGGACCCTGCAGGTGGACTCCAACACATGTTGGAAGTGGAGTTTGCATAAAGCATGCGAGCAAATTCAAGATTCCGTCTACCCGATCACTAAAGAATAGGAAACAGTACGTGTCATGACATGCGTGGATCGTCTGTATTGAATTGTAACGCAGAAACGCCGTAAGTGCACGACAGGACGAAAACTAAGTCCTAGATCCCCACGGTAGTCCGTCGGCCTTCAGTATTAGCCTTCTGGAACTGTTGAATGAGACCCAGAACACCGACGCCCCCGGCAATGGCATCGATATTCTCGCCCTCGTTGCCCTCGTCAACATCCTCCTGTTCCTCTCCGAGGGGATTCATGCGCCATGAATCGCCGAGGCTGCTTTCGCCGGTGCCTGCACCTCCACTAGAAGCACCACCTGGCTGGCGCGATGCGCAGGCTTCTGGCGACACTTCCTCGTCATCGATGGTGCTGGCGATGGGGTGCTGTGAGCGTGCCAGTCGAGAGCGCTGATAAGGTGCGTGATGTGCTGCAGAGCGGAAGCCAGAGCTAGAGGGTTGATGGTGCGGGTCCAGCAGGATAGAGGGACCAGGCGAGCGGGGGTCGCCTGGTGGCGCGGGCCGGAATCTGGGGGCGGCAACGATGGACTGCGGACCCCATGGTCCACTTGCTGGGTTTAGCCGGGTCTGACGCTCGAATCGCTCGGGGAGACCACCGAGCTCGTCGGACTCGAGAGTAGGTAGAGTTGGAGGTGGATGGAAGGGTCGGCGTTTGTTGGGCTGAGGGTTAGTTCCGTAATGATCCAAGAAGCCATAGTAAGAAGCAAGCATTTTGCCATTCTTGGTCGAGAAATAATCGCCACGCAGGTCCTGTCGGCCGGTGTCACGTCGACCTTGAGACATGACATTCGTGCCTTTCTTGAAGTCAAACACTGCAAAGGAACATAAGTAGCCCACGCCATCGACATGGACCGTGAACTCGCGGAAGAAATCGATCAAGCGGTCGCTGCACTTCGGCAGGCTGAACCACAGGACAAAAGGTGTAAAGATCATGCTCAGTATCTCCTCCAAGAAGATCACGATCTTGAGTTGGTAAAGAATAGCAAATTCTTTGCGCACATCGTCACTGTGCAGGCGCCCCTTCCACGTGGAGGGGAAATAATGAGTGAAATCTATCAGCTCACGAAGGGCATACTCCGGATCAAAGACGTCGGTTTCCTCTGGTGCCAGCCCTCGAGCAAAAGCCCACACGGTACCGAAGATACCAAGGTAGAACAAAACAGTACGGTCATTGGTAATTTCGAACCCCAGAAACAATTCAGGATCAATCACTGAAGCAAGCGCGAGCACCGACGCCAGCGCTCCAGAAATAAAGGCGACGAAACGAGCGACCTGGACGGTTTTGTCCTTGGGAAATTGATCGATGTAGCGACTAGCAAAGGGGTAGGACATGTTGATTCGACGCTCAAAGAGATGCCAAAGCTCATTGAATTCGCGAAACTTCCACTCCGCCAGCGGGGTGTATTGGCGCGATCCTATTTGGGATGGGTTCTTCTTGAACTCATTGAAGTACCGGAAGAAATAGTGCATGAGGAAGTAGACGACGATGAACGGTGCGACAAATATATTCATGATACCGGCGAAAATGAAGCGCCGACGTAGGCCATCGCTCAGCGCTCTTCGATGGGTATCTTTGAGGAAGAGGGTTCGAAGTTGTCCTTGCTCGTTAAACACGTAGTCCATGATGCAGAGGTTGAGGTTCCATTCCAACGTCCGTGAGAATAACTGACGATTCCGGAGAAATGGGATCGGCAGAGTCAGGTCCAAAATGTCTTTATTTACCAGCGCAATCATGTAGTTTTCCTTGCGCATCAGGCGATTAGCAACATCGTGAGCATCCATCCGCTGCTTCGACTGGCTGCCCAGAAATCTTCGGTGCTTGGCAGAGACTGCGGCTGCGGTAGCTGGATTGGCGTCTCGCAGTGTCATCAAGCGGCTGACAACCTCCTGCCATGAAATTGTCTGGACTTCAGCATCGGAGACTCCAAGTAGGTAGTAATAAAAGTCATGCATATGCTTGAGCCTACGAATATCCAGCAGGTATTGGAAGAGCTTTCCAATCCAGAAGAAGCTGAATAGCCACAGTAAAAATGTGGATGAGCCAGACATCTTGGACGTGCATTTGGGCACGAGAATCTCGTCCAGGGACTTGCTGCCCCGGACTTTGTGGTAGTCAACGCAGTTGGTTAAAAACGTCGTGAATCCCACCACAAAAGCGAACGTCCTGCATATGCCTGTCAGTGCTGGTCCGGTCTCATCACAGAAAAAAAGACACCGGAATCTAAGCGTACAAAAGATTCAATGCTCGACTCAGCAGGATCGACCAAAACCCGTTCCCTAGGAAATAGGTATACACATCCTTCAAGAAATTGTCCAAGTCTTCGACATTCGCCCACCGCCACATGGCTTTCTTCTCTGGGTCAGTGTTGCTCAAGCTCGGATGTTGCCGGGCGATGAACCACCGAGCCACGGGGTGGGCCCCGGCAGTGTCCGATATTGGTTGCGTCTGGTGCGTTTCCCAGCGCGGTCGTTCTGGTTGTGGTGAGGGGTGAGGGCTGGGGGTTCTTGATCGGCTGGGCATGCTATGAGGAGGGGGAGGGAGGCGCGACTTCAAATCTTCGTCGTCATGCCCCTCAACCAGCAGCGATAGGGGCACATCCTCATCCCGGTCGTCGAGCTCATACCCCGGCGGTGATGGCTGGGTCATCCACCGCGGTCTGGAAAGTTTCCGCCGGCGATTATGAGACGGTGAGCCATGACGATCTGTTGACTTCCCCAACGACCTCGGACCTAGCAAGCCTGCACTGGGGCTGGAGGTTTCATTCTGTGCCGCATCCACCAAGGCATCCTCTTCCCGGTCACTGAAGTGGTCCCGGTGGTCCTCCCCATGGACCAACCCCGCGCGCTCTTCGACATCGGAGGAATCTGATCCAGCATCGTGCTCGCGGATCGCCTCGTACACAGAGGGGGAGTCCGTCGGGGGTAGGAAGCGGGACAAGATATTAGAAGACATCATCTTGCCATCCGATCGAAGCTGATATACGTGGCCCTAGAGGCTCATCGCCGCGGCTATGCGTGTCAGTCGTATGTCGTCAACAAGGAGTGCGGAGAAAGAAAGGACGCGCTATAGCTCAAGACCGCGTCGCAGGTTGGATGAGCCTCTTATTTGTCAAGAATCTTGTTATGTATCGCTCAAAGGAAGTGCAGCTGTCTTTATTCGCCCCGGACCCTGTGCGCCCGTGCATCTGATCGCGTCTCGTGAGAACTGCTGGAGCTCTGCGTGATCGCTGGCCCCGAGAGCCGCCCCATTATGACATAATAAGCTTCCGCCTGTCCGCCTGTCCCACCTGTCCGCCTGGGAGCCTGGGAGCCTGAATCTGCAGCCTGAGGCATGACTTACTTGTTGCGACACGAGTCATGTGGTCGGCCGATGCCACTGAGACAGCGCGGTTTGTGCGGGGTCAATACTGCTCGAAAGAGGCAAGAACGCCCCCACCATGGCCCTGGCTACTGCAGAGGGTGAGGGCCCGAGCGAGGGCCCGGCGTGGCACCGAAAGTACGGAGTACTTTACTTACCTCAAGCCCTCGAATGCTGGCAAGTGCTGACGTGCTGACTTCTAGAACGCTGCGCGGCACCGTCACTTGGCGGTGTCGTTCAACTCTGGGTCTCGGGTCTTTGGGACTCTAGACCCGATGGCGCGTCCCGATGTTTCTCCCCGAAGTGCATCAAACTCGGTGAACTCAGTGCTAATTCTACTTCCTTTCACCCTCTACACCGAAATTCAGAATGCGTCTGCTTGTCACCCTGATAGGAGATATTCTCTCTCAGGATCCGGGAACCTACGGCGCCCCGAGCGGCTCCACTCTCGGCGATTTCCCTCGATCGACCTTTTTTCAGTAGGAGACTCGCGGTCAACCGGTTATCATTGACTCTTCACGACCACAGTGGCGCGAGTTGACTGGCCGATCGACCGAGGTAGCAGCGACTGAGCCCCGTATGGTGGCATCCACTCTGAAGTTTGTACCGGGTACCTACACTGGACTTGGTTTAGCCTCCCTGCCTCTAGCAAGAGGCATTCCGTTCGGTCATTTCCCCCCTGACGATGGGACCCAGAATCTGGACCATGAACGGTGCAGTGACCCCCTTCTTACATCCGTACTTTTGGAATTGGCTCGTGTGGAGGTGAAACATCGGGGACAGGGGGATTAAGGACTGATCGACCGGATCAAGTCCTTGGCCTTTAGGCAGCCGCTCATGATTCAGGAATCACTCAGTGTTGCTCGCACCAGTGCCCTCTAGGCCGGTAGTGGCTCAGGTCCTAAACAGTGGCACGCAATTTCGGGGTCATCCTGGCATATTTCATCAGTCTGTACGGAGTATCCACAGCCAACAAACTATGGGCTGAGCCCCCTGGTATTCTGAAAGGGGAGAAAGGGGGGGGGGGGGGGTGCCCATCCCGTCGGGACACACTAGTGGGTTAGGGAATATCGACCTTTTGAACACTTGAGCCTTCTAGTGCGATACTCTGCAGTTGGCCCTCCCGATTAGTGCCATTTCTCGTTATTTTCGGTTAAGGTGGATGAACAATGGGCAAGAGGCGAGAGGCGAGAGAAGTCCCCGATGGCCTCGCCATCTGATACCCTGGCTAACGGTCCAGCGCGAGCACACCTGCCGGGTGCAGGCTGCGATGCTGGGAGGGATTCCGCCAGGCTGTGGAAAAGAACGGATCAACGGCGATCGGATTGTTCCCCTGGTCTCCTTTTGGATCGGACGCCAGCATCGAGAAATGATGATGCTCGCCGTTGGAAGAATTGCGGTCAATGCTACGCAAGGGAATTGCCATTTCCTCCAGCACCGGGCCGTAAAAACATTATATACGATAATAATAATTCCACAGATTAACCACGCCCATGGTGACTCTAATTTCATGAAGGTTAGGAAGGAATATGAACATCTTACTGTATTAAGATTGATGGCATCACGGCATAATTTCGAGGTCCGTCAAAAGGTCTCCAGGCTAGAGGTTCGGCCTGGAGGAAGTTACGTTGTTAACTAGTCAGTTCATGGAGTTGCACCTAACTGACCTAAGTGACCTGCATTGCGCGGGCGCTCCCCTATACAACTCAGCTCCTCCGTTATCCGCACTCCCCCCCTCTCCCCTCCCCTCCTCTTTCTTCCCCTTCCTCCCCCAGACGCTGCAACCACCCAGACACCATCCACCTTCCGATTATATCTATCTCAGCCGATTCCCTTCTGCTGCTCCTGGCCCCGTCTGCTCCGAGGCCGCTGGAGCTGGGGATCTGCAAAACACCGACGCACACAAACCCCCCTCAAAACACCAGCCACAACCCGCCCGGAACTCCAGCAACGTCGACGCAAGACCTCCCCATTTGAAAAGGGACTGATGAAGGTGTGTGTGTGTGCGTTTCTCTTCTCTGGCTCTTCTCTCCCTATGCCTTCCCCTCCCGCCTAACTCACCCCTCCTCTTCCTTTTTCCTCGCAATAATAATGATATCACGCCGCTCTCAACAGCCAGTTCTTTGGGCTTCCCGCTCCCACCACTAAACACCTTCCCGACAGCGACACGGTCACAAGTGACCTGTTGAAGGAGTGAATGCTTACCGTCTCATCCTAGGACCTGTTTCACCTGGACAAACGACGGTGACCCACGCCTCCCTTTGTCCCTGTCTCGTCGATCCCACCCAACCTCGACCGAATGTACGATTCCGACCCCCTTCCTTTCTCTAGACTCCATGCGTTCTCCTAGCAACTTTCTGGACAAAAGCGATTCCAAATTGCTCACGCGCGGCTGAGCATCGAAAAAAATATATATACCGGGAGGGCACGTACATTCGATACCGACTGATTTGGAGGGAGAGGTCGTGTCGGGCGCGTCGAGTGAATCTTCTGTTCCTGTACGGTCCTTGTTTGCTTGCTCTCATCGGCTCGTGCAGAGCTGCGACCGCACAGAATGGAGTCCGATAATCCGAATGGGTATAAGCGGAGCTCGATGCACCAGGCGTTTCATAGCCGCCCCGTGGAACGACGTCCCAGCAAGAAGTCCTCCTCTCGGGATCGCCATGGCATGGTCTACCCAGACAGCTTCCGTGACACAAGCATTCGCACCGTGACCCCGGAGTCCCACTCCCCCTTGTCTGAGGCGGAATATCTTACTGGCAACAGTGCGAGCGCGCCGTCACCACGGACCACCATGCGATCGCGGACTGTTGAGCGGAGCGAGCAAGAGACACCCACAGAAGGCAGGAACCAGCGCACACGATCGCGAACGACGACTCTGGAGGAACAGCGAGGGGATATGGCGCCCAACACGGTGAAGACGCGGACCCGGATCGGATCGGTTAATGCGAACAGCTCGTCTCAGCCCAAGATGGTAGACACGAAGCTCGCAGAGGAATCCGCAAGTTCAATTGGTTTCCCTTCAATACACTCGCCTAATTACGTTGGGCAGGCCGTCACACGTCAGCGACTCGGCAAATCTCCAGGATCCGGCCTCACGAGCGCCGTGGCACACAACCAAGCGGCCTTCGCCTCGCCCCTATCGAACACCGACGCCGCCAAGATCCTACAATTAATGAAGACCACATGTGGACGAATGCACGGTATCCTCTCGTTTCGAACGGCGGCGAACAGTCCATGGTCGTCGAGCTCGTGGACATCCGGCTACTGCGCTATCAACGTCGCCACGGGTAGTCTGATATACCAAGCCAAGGGCGAGCCAGCCCTGGCGAAGACATTGATTCCCGATCTACGTGGCTGCCGGGTTCGTACATTGTTCGACGCAGAACTGCAAAGCACCTACCTCAGCGTTCACACATTCACCTCCGGACTTGGCATTCAACTACGACCCCATGTGAACGAGACGTTCGACTCCTGGCTCGCGGCTCTGCTTTGTTGGCAGCCCATTCGACCAAAGGGCGTTCAGAATAAGATGACTAAACCCCAGGCGGTGGTCATCGGTGATCGCCGTATACCTGAGCGTCGACGAAACTCGGAGAGTGCCCAACAAAAGGACGCAGCCATAATCAAGATTGGAAAGATGCTTCTTTGGGATAAGCCGTCAGCATCTGGAGCTCGCCCGGCTTCTGTTCGTCGAGTCTCGACGTATCGACAATCAAGAGCTCTGAATTCTTCGTGGCAGCGGGTAAGCTGTACATTGCAGGAGAACGGCTTTTTCAAGCTGTTCACCGAGTCTGATGTCACCCTCGTTGCAACCGTTCAGCTATCCCAACTATCGCGCTGTGCGATTCAGCAACTGGATTCATCAGTATTGGATGATGAGTTCTGTATTGCTATTTATCCGCAGTATACCGCACACCCTGTTCTTGAGCCTGGGATACGCCCCATATACCTTGCTCTCGAGAGCCGCGTTCTGTTTGAGGTCTGGTTTGTGCTTTTGCGTGCATTCACCATTCCGGAGCTTTACGGCCCCGAGGCCTTGGATGATGAAGATGGGGATCCCAACAAAACACCAGAGGCAGAATCTCCCGGGCATCCTGTCCCAGACATGTTCCGAATTGAGCGTATTCTTAACCTGAGAGTGACAGAGGCAAAGCTTTGCCGAGCCAAAGAAGAAGAAAACCCGCGCAGTCGAAAAATGTCCCGATCGCATGGTTACTCTGCTCCATCACCGCCCAAAGCCAGTGATTATTACACCGAGGTGCTCTTGGATGGAGAGATTCGCGCCAAGACGGCAGTCAAATATCGTACTACGAATCCGTTCTGGCGCGAGGACTTCACTTTTAACGATTTGCCGCCAGTGCTGTCCCAAGCCTCTATTCTCGTCAAGACACTCAACCCAACACATAGGGATTGGACACTCATCGCGCATGGAACGTACTCCAGTCAAGATGTTAACGCAGCCAACATGTTGGACGAAATCGAGATATCTACCAACGACGCGATTTTTGGACGTGTTGACCTGCGTCTTGAGGAATTGGATCCTGGCGTGGATACAGAAAAGTGGTGGCCCATTTTAGATGATCAGGATCAGGCGGTGGGAGAGATGTTCATGAAAGCACGGATGGAAGAGACGGTCGTCCTGATGTCGGAAGAATATGCGCAAATTCACGACCTACTCCACGCTTTCACCAACGGCCTAACGATCAACATGGCCCAGGTCATGTCATCCGAACTGACTCAGCTGTCCGAAATGCTCTTGAACATCTTCCAGGTCTCCGGGGCGACGGTGGACTGGATCTCGGCGCTGGTCGAAGATGAAATTGACGGTGTCCACAAGGAATCTACGGCCAACCGCCTCCGCTACACGACCAGGATCCATTCCAATGACTCCCGCGAGTCTGCCCAGGACCGTGAAATCCTCGTGAGAGATATGGGACGGACGGCTACCGTCGAAGCTAACTTGCTGTTCCGTGGAAACTCGCTTCTCACCAAGGCGCTTGATCTGCACATGCGTCGCCTTGGGAAGGAGTATTTGGAAGAGACAATTGGTGAACACCTACGGGATATCGATGAGAGTGATCCAGAGTGTGAGGTGGATCCGGCTCGCGTGCCACGCACGGAAGACCTTGACCGCAACTGGCGCAATCTGATTGCGCTTACTACGGGTGTCTGGAAGTCTATTGCCATGTCCGTCGCTCGCTGCCCTCCTGAGCTGCGGCGCATTTTTCGGCACGTTAGGGCTTGTGCAGAAGATCGCTACGGCGATTTCCTGCGCTCAGTAACCTACAGCAGTGTTTCTGGTTTCCTGTTTCTGCGTTTCTTCTGCCCAGCTATCTTGAATCCTAAGTTGTTCGGGCTGTTGAAAGGTAAGACAAAGAGACTGAGCCAAGTCTAAAGTTATTCGCTAATGACATTATAGATCATCCTCGTCCTCGTGCCCAGCGCACTCTGACGCTCATTGCAAAGGCCCTTCAAGGACTGGCCAACATGACCACATTCGGCAATAAAGAACCGTGGATGGAGCCAATGAACAAATTCTTGGTCGGCAACCGCGCCGATTTCAAGCTCTTCGTCGACCAGATCTGCAATATCTCGGCGGAGCGGCCAGCTGCTCTCATTACGCCGTCTTACACCACCCCTCTCCAGATTCTTGGACGTTTGCCAGCTACCTCGCGTGAAGGCTTCCCCAGTCTCCCTTTCCTGATTGATATCGCTCGATGCTTTGCCAATTTGATCCGTGTCTGGTTGGAAGTGGTTCCAGAGCGCTTGTCCGAACTTGAGGAAGTGGACCCGTTCCTGGCTAAGTTCCATGAATTGGCCGTGCAACTGCAGGAACGCACCGAGGATTGCCTCGACGAGGCCGAGCAAGCGGAACGCCCAAGCGGAAATCTCGAGGTCAAGTGGGAGGAATTAGTGGACTCCATGGAGCGAACTGTGACCTTCTACGACGAGAGCTCAAGTAAACCTGCAACACCAGTCCTAGAAACGACCATGGCAAGCAACGTCCCGGTCCCAACTTCAGTCTCGAACCCCGCGAGCCACCGCGGCTCAGTCGGCTTCTTCGCCACCCGCCCTACCATACCCCGCCGATCGACCGACAATGGGCCAGAGGAGGATGACACGCCGCCCAGCTCATCCTCAGCTACCTGGGACCAGACTCGCATGCCATTCTCCATTCCTCGGTGGTCCGATGCTCGTGACAGCACCGGTAGCTCCAAGAACTCATCCACGTACTCGCTCGAATACTCGGAGAATGCCAAAGCCCGCCGGTCCAGCGTCACCAAAGAGTCCTCCAGCAAATACCGCTTCTTCGACTTTGTCCCCGCGCCGTCGCGTCGCAAGAAGGACCGAGACCAGTCTCAGCATCACTCGCACGAGGATCTCCGAAACGAGTTCTAACTGACACGTACACCCTATCACTTTGCATTCGTGTGCCTCTTGCATCTACCTCTATGCGCTCATGAAGTCCACGCTCCATTTCCTTTGTCGCTCCATTTCATCTCTCATCCCATCCTCCCACCGCCATTCTTCCCGTCTCAATCCTCGATTGGGCTGAAACCCCATTTCTCTTCTCGATGTTATCCTCAGCATGTGTCACGGTGTTGATACCCTTCCTTCTTTCCCCCTCCTTTGGTTCTCTGTGTTTTCGAAACCCTCGCCCCTGCCCTTCCTCCATCCATCCCTTGCATATCATACGTGCCCTCCAACCTTACTCAGCCAGCCAGTCAGCCAGTCACCTCTCAGATATTGGATGAGAGTAAACAACAAACAAAAGACTGTATACCTAAGCGATTGGACGGACGCGGGGCTTGACAAGGAAGAACTCGAGTTTGCGTTCTGTGGGTGTTTTGCGACGCACCGTTGGCGTGCTCGTACGTGTGTGTGTGCTTGGTGGTTGATGCCAGCGTGTATATACTTGATCGTGTCCCTCAAATAGACGGAATGGTCTCTTGTTCTCGTTAGCGTGACCGAGGTTCTTTGCTATATCTCTAGGGAATCGTTAGTTCTAACTGTATGTCCCTGTCTCGATGCATATAACCGAACCCCCAGCTGCCAGGCAACGGCATCTGCGCACCCGCCCGGTTCAACTCCCAGAAACCATTTTCAATTTCCATGCAATATGATTCTAGACTTATTGCATCGCAGGTCTCGACCCGTCAATCGAATCTAAACTAGATACAGTATTTATTAGAACCAGATCTACAGCGCAGATCCCAACTTCCCCATTCTCTCGGACTCCCGACTAACCTCCATGCGTTACAAAAGTTCAACTTTTTGAACGGCCCCAGTCTGCCTTTCATCTCTGCCTTTCATCCAGTCGTTGATTTCCGCGGTAAGTGGCATCATCGTTCTTATGGATAGGTCTTATTGACTATATTATTTGATCTAGACATTCTTAATGCAATATCTCGGTAACATGAGCCAAGCCTGGGTGTTTGTCTCTTCCGCCCTCGCCTGATTGCCACCTTGAACTATCACGAAATTCAAAACCAAAGACAAAGTCCAGAACTTGAAGAGGAGACCAACAGTTCTGTCTAATGTGAATTATTGACGGGTCGTGGGCTGTGGGACTACTTGGTTCCATGGCTTCTCATTCCACATATCTCCAATCTTCTTCCTTATGTCGGACTCTGATGTTGTATATACATCCTGAAAGAGGTTTCTTTATGGCAGTCAAGTACTAGCAGTATATTTTGCCTAGCATAGCAAGTCTCTTAAGTGTAATAACGTAGCATGAGCGCTGGGGAATTACTCTGCACTTATGTAGGTAGAACTCCCCGGGTCCCACCCCAAAGCGTTGGTAATGAACTTTTCGGGTTGCAGCAGCTGGCCGGCTCGAGTGAGTGAGTGGATAAGTGGAGAGGGATGGGGCCGGGCCGCAGCTCTTCGTGTTGGTCGGACACCTAATTCGGCAAGGATAACCCCACGCATCTTTACCACACTCGGTTCCCGGCGACGATGGGCGGCCTGATAAACATAAAACCTACTGGACCGGACCTCCCTCTCCTACAGCACTGAAGAAGGCAAAGATAATTTCGTATCTCTGGCCCTCCACAACACCGCATCATACACCATGAACGCTTCCTCGAGCGGCTCAACTGTGCCACCTTCCCAGGATGATAAAAAATTCCTCATTCGCCGCATGCAATACTCGGATATTCCATTCATGGCAAACATAGCGACAACCGAGTATTTTGAATCTGATCTTAATAAATTTCTCTGCCCGCATCGACGTCAATATCCCGACCACCTCCGCCGACGCTTCGTTCAGATGATGCGAGCTCGCTATTTGGACCCCCGGTCTATGGGCTTTGTCGCCGTGGAGCCTTCTAGTCCCCGACAGCCTGTAGGCTATGCTCAGTTTACCCGGTTGGGAAATGACGAGGCCGCACAGCGTCTCATCACGGTGCAAAGCTCCGTCTGGCTCGCGCTGTGTGGCTGGTGGCTTCGAATCCAAACATCGATAGAGACCTTCTTGTGGCCGGACCGATCAATCGATCGTGACGCGATGCGCCAGTTTGACACATTCGCAAAGCGCGACGCCCAGACGTACTGGGAATCCACCGAGATGAAGGCAACATATCAGAACCGCTGGCATGTGCGAAGTCTTGTGGTATCCTCATCGCACCAGCGCCAAGGCATTGGCCGGGCCCTAATGGCCGAGGTCTTGCAGCGGGCTCAGCACGAAGAGGTTGTGGTGGGACTGGAAGCAAGTGGGGACGGGGAGAAGCTCTATCGCGCGCTGGGATTCCGGATGCGAGGCCCATTCTCTTTGGTTATTGGTCCGCCAGTGGGAGGAATCATGATGTGGACGCCGGAAAAGACGGACGACGTGATGAAGTACGAGCTTTCGGATGCAGACAAAGGGGGTTACCTCAAGAGTGTGACGGCGGCCATCTTCTATGAACTTCCCCTCGGCATTGATCAGGAACGATTGATTTCCTCCATGACGGAGGGGTTGAAGAACGCAACCCGTCAATTGCCCTTCATGGCAGGATATCTACACTTTGATGACTCCGGCAAGCTCTGCATCACGAAGTCCCCAGCAAACCAGCTAGAATTCGACATCCACCGATTCGAATCCACGGAGCACAAGTCTCTCCCCACCTTGGCTGCAACCTCGTTCTCTCCCGATACAGTGGATCTCACTCACTTCTTGCCCGAAAGCCCAGAGGACGAGAAGCCAGTGTGTAGGTTGAAACTGAGTCTCGTTCAGGGTGGCTTGGTTCTGGGATTCAACGTCAATCATGCGGCCGGGGACTGGACTTCGATTGAGAAATTCCTGTCCCTCGTTTGCCAAAGCAGCAAAGCACACCAGGAGCGCCGGAAGATGCCGACTTACATGCCCGATCTGAATAGGGCCCCATATAATACCCCAGCTATCGACTCGACAAGCTCGAGACAGGATCTATTAGAAGCTCTCCCGCTGTTCTACGTGATGGAGAAGAGCCAATTCAAACCACCGCCGTCACAACCCTCCCAATCTAGTATCTACAAAATCTCGAAGGCAACAGTCCAACAAATCAAAGCGCAGTGTTCTCCCTACCTGAGCGGAGTGGATTTTATATCCTCTTACGACTGCATCTCTGCCCTTATCTGGGTGTCAATCACGCGTGCCCGGCTGCATCTTCACCCGGAGAAAGCCACCTCCACATCTCGCTTCATCCACCCCATCGACGTCCGAGCTCGAGACCCGGAAAGCAAAACTTCGGAACGATACTTTGGCAATGCCGTGATCGGGTCTCAAGCAGGCCCCCTCGATGCCCAAGCCCTGGTGGCAGACGGAGACCGGGGTCTCGCAACCGCAGCATCTCTAATCCGCCAATCTTCGAACTCCGTCAGCTTGTCCTCCATCGGCTATATGACCGCTCTCATTTCATCCCTCTCTCCCACAGAAACGTTGGGCACCCGGGCAGATGTAACCGGAATGGACGTATTTATGAATACCTGGTACTCGGAAAGCACAGAGAAGTACGATATTGGAGCGGGTACGACGCCAGTAGCATTTCGACTCCACTCATCTACGCCGGGGGCTTGCGCGGTAATCCTGCCCGCTTTCTCGCGGGGACTAACGAGGGCATTCGAGGTTCATCTGCAGCTAGCAGTGGAGGAGCATGAATTGTTGAGAGGAGATGCCGAATTTTTGAAATACTTCGACCCTGTTGCATGAAAGAGGACTTGTGACTGTGGGACTTAGGCATACGACTTGCTTCTTGAATTTTTGGGTCTTGAGAAATTCCCCGGATTACCCGCCATGCTGGTAATCGCTATATATGGGGATTAACTGTACGATCGAGCATGTTGAGATGAGTAGTATATTCAATGAAAATCCATGCAGCGCAGGTTAGACGCAGCCAAATACTATCTGCGCCGCCCAGTTGAAAGCATCAAACTTCGCATCCTGGCCCTCCCATTCCGTCAACGTCTTTATACGTCGAGTCCACACCGGGCTGATATAGCGGTACACGATAACAAAGGACTTGTAAGGATTCGAGCTCGAGTCATCTTTTAACAAGCCGTTGCTCACCCCAAAGCGATGCTGCTCTCTCGCGGCACTCATGAAAGCTGGAAGCAAGTTTATCGAGTCGGGAGTTCCGGCATCATGATAGACCCTAGTGCCGTATGGGATTGCGAGAGTTTGAATGTCTTCGTCCTGAAACTCGTTGATCGGGGATCCCACACGCTCCATCTGTCGCTGTTGGTCTTGCATTCCTCCTTCAGATTTCTCGATGCGATTCTGTGCCTTCGTGGCCTGCTGCCCCTCGCCATGTGCCTTTTCGTTGTGTTTCCCCGTCCATTCGTCGCGCTCGCGTCCCAAGGCCTCCTTCGCCTCCGCTGCTGGGCCGTCCGTGGCGGCGGCTGAATCTAGCTTTCGTCGCCGCTTCTCGAATACATTCTTGCTAGCGGTATTGTTGGAGAAGAGAAGGGCATTGCCCTGAGTATACTCTGGGATTGGACACCCGCCATCATGTACAGCTTGTAAGGCTGGCACTTGAACTTTTCGCGGCTGAGTGTGGTCTACATAACCGAGTACCTTTTAATAGCACTCAAGTTTAGATGAATTTGTTTTCTTGCGCCCAACAGCTCGCCATGGACTAATGGGGCCGCGGGGCTCACCAAGTGTCCATTTCAATGCTTAGCATGACATTTCCTGGGCACTCAGCCATGGAAGACAACCTCATACTGAGCGCACTGCATTAGCAACATTAAAAGTACTTGAAGAGCCAGTACCCTCCCCCCTTCCTTTATCAAGACTCCAGAGCTGAATGGCGCAGACCTTTGGAAGGGCACTGGAGTTCCAGTCTCAACAAACTGATATCTAGAGCACGTCCAAATGACCTCAGATGCGAGGTTACATCCACAGACAGACTTTGCCACTAGCTGTGCCGCCTGCGACCCAGTTCTTGCTACGATGAAATACAGCTACCGCAGGAACAGCAGTGATGCCATCACCGCCAAGCTGGGCCAGCTGGTCGCCAGAGCTGCTGTAGACATCGACAAAGCGGTTCATGTTACCAACACAGAATCGCTGGATATGGGATTGGGGGTTCATCTGCCATTGGGGACGAAGACTGGCCAAATGCATGTTAGAGCTTTGTTGGTGAGAAAGAAGAGAGAAACAGGCTCGAAGACTTACATGGTCACCCAACGACCTGTTTGACAGTTGTGCCGCACAACAGTATCAGGCCGGAATTCCTGGTCAGAAAGTGTATGGCCTGGCTTCCATGACGAAAAGCCCTTAGCTCCAACGTCATAGAGCTTGATGGTGTCATCGTATGATGTAGTGGCGATTTGGCCAGCGGCATTGAATGCAGCATGTGAGACGGAAAGGCGGCTCTCATGCTCGGCGACCGGCACAGGGTCATTAGTTGACAGTTTACGCAGATCCCACAGCTTCAACGTCCGGTCCAAACTTGCTGTCGCGAAATAATGCGACTGGGAAGGGCACAAAGTAAAGCCTCCGATCTTCTTTTCGGAAAGCTGCCAATGAGTGACCGTCTTCTCTGACAGTTTGCTGCGCATATCATAACGTCCGAATGTGCCATTCAGAGTGGTCCAGTACAGGGTGTTTGGGTCCTCGGGGGCCATATCAAGTCCAGAAAGAGCCTCGTCAATGTTTGTCGACTGGGGACCGTACTTTTCCACTGAAGTGGTCTTTTCAAGGTCAAGCTCTCGGATAGAGCTATCATAACTTGCGGTATATAAACGTGTCGGCTTTGACGGGTGAACCATCATCGCAGTGATCGTCCGCGTGTGCGGTTTGAGAGTGGTCAGAACCGGATCGGGATCATCGTCATCCTCATCATCTCCCGTCTCTGGTTTCTCTTGGGATGCGTCGAAAACACCCAGGTGGCCCATCTTATCACCGGCAAAAATCAAGGGCTTGGACTCGGAAGGATGGAAGGCCATGGCATAGACTCGCTCGGGCGTGATTTTAATCCCTATAGAATTCCCACCGGTCAGTCAGTCACTTCTAAATTGCGCGCAGACGTTGGATGAAGTTCTTACTTTGGGGATCCCATTGCCCCCACAAACTCAACCCATTCATTTCTTCCCGCAAAGCTTTCAAGTCCTTGTCGGTGGTTTTCTTGACGTCTGCATCGCCGAATGTCCGCACGTACGGCTCTGCGACACCCTTGTTCACGACATCCACCCCGATCAAACCATCTCCGTTGAGCTTCTGCCCAGCAATGAACATATCATTTGCAGAATATGAATCGGTTCGGCGGACTTTCTTTGCCCGCTCAGCCTCCCTAGCCGCCTCGTAATCGTCTTCGGCCTTCCGCTTTGCGACTTCACTATCAGCTGTCAGACCCCGCAGGCGCGAGGACTGGCGCCGAGGTAGTGGAGACTCCTCTTCCTTGATGCGCTTCGGTGGTGCTCTCTTCTTCGGTTTCGGGCCATTGCCCCCGACGGTCCTTGGGCTGGTGAAAATGCCCGCTGATTGCGCCTCTAAGCTCAACTTTTTGAGTAAGGCATCGCGCTCGGCGATGTTCGCAAGGCGCTGTTTTTCGAACTCGGAGAGTCCGCTTGTATTGTCGGCCGTCATAGTGAGCGTAATAGAATAGAAACCTGCGGAGCGCAAGCAAGTGTGTAACGCCGGAGTGGCTGCGCGGGAAACGCGTGGGCGAAGAACGCGAAGTCATGTGACGATATTCGGGAAAGCTCCAGCCATTTCAACTTTTCTACTCTCAGCTCAACGCAACAGCAAATGCTCAATGGCGACGAATATTTCCCGCGCCTTCTTCCTGTCGGCGACAGCAAGTTCCCCGACCCCGTTTCTCTACCAAACACGCACCCTTGCACCAATATCAGACTCGCTGCGGAGAACGTTCGCAGCTCGTGTCCAACAATATTCGACCGCAAAAAAAGCCTCTTACGATTACGATAGGACCGAAAGCGATCTCACTTCTGACCAGGATGAATTGAGTCAGGAGCCTCCGCCCCAGGAGTCTGGTTCGAGCCCGGCGAGTGAGAATCCTCAGCCCCGGAGAAGCTATTTGCGCCGGCGTGGTGCTTCGCTGTCGCCGAAAGTTCAAAGCAGAACGCAAGTGCCCTCATCAAAACGGAACAAAAATGCCAGCACCGTCACCGGACGTGAGAAGAAAGCCTTTGGAGAGCTGCTTGGGCAGCTCGGCATCGGACGCGATGGGGGCAAGGCGGATGCGGGAAGCGTCACAGAATCGCAGATTTCATCAGGGGAAGGACAGGAGCGCATTAACGACCTCATGATAAAGTTCGGCTCGATCCTGAAGGATGTGCAAGAGAATGCCAAATCTTCTGCCAGAGCCACGAGAGAATTGCAAGGAGAAACCCCTACAGACGAAGCCATTCCCTTCTCTAGTCAGGCTCCAGATGGCGCCAGCATGACGGTCGGATCGCCAGAGGAGAGTGGCAGCTCGAGGAAGCTCCGACTCAGTGATCTTGGCTATACTGAGCCAGCTTCGGCCACTACCTTGGAGCCCATGATCACCATGGAAGAGGCAATCGAGTTTGTCGTCCAGAAGGAGTCGGAGAAGATTGAATACGCACTATTCAACGCCATCGAAGAAGGCAAAGGCGACATGGGGCTGTGGGAAGTCTGTAGAGAGCGCATTTTCTCTGTGCTACATCATTTGGACGAGTCAGCCTTGATCACAATGCCAGGCCCGGACGGTCCCAACCAGACAGCACCCTCATCTGGGCCTCTGAGAATCCCGGCTGTCGTCCCAATTGGCCCGGTAGTATCAGCACTTTACCCGAAGACTCTCTTGATCGCTTTCCGTTTGTTGAACACGCATTTCCCCGACTCGCAACTCATTGGTCAGTTTCGCTCTACTATCAAGGAACAAGGCCGCGCATCTGCGCTCCTTGGAACTTCCATCGCGCTCTACGACGAAATGATCCACTTTTACTGGCATGGCTGCCATGACCTCCCGGCAGTGATATCATTCCTCCACGACATGGATGTTACCGGCCTGGACCCCAGCTGGAGAACCTGCAAGCTGCTGAGAGAGATTGCACGCCAACGGCAACAGGATGTGGATCCTCGGCGACAATCCCAAGTTGGCCAGGACTTGTTCTGGGAATTCCCTCCCAACAAGAAAGCATTTGAGGAACTTTCTGGGCCTGGTGGATGGCTGGAGAAACTCAATGCCCGCGCTCGGGAGTCCAAGAACCAGCGCGCCATCCCATCCGCTCGTGTGCGTGTGTAAACCGTGCCCATTTGCCTCCTAGTGCACCTTGACATTCATGTAGAATACTTACTGTATATTTGTATAAATCATCTAATATAGAGCATCAGCATTAAATTGAAAGCGAATCTCATCATATTCATTTGTCTGAAGAAAAAGAGCTTATCTACACCGCTATCGTATGAAGATTGATATCACCCTGGCTAATCGTCTTAATCTACCGCTGATAAATGCCCCAGAACCGCTCGGCATCGAATGTATACTGGTTGTCCTGCTTCCAAAGATCATCAAAAGCAGTGAAGAGCACAAGATCGTCCCCCCGATGCGCAAAACTGCGGCGAATGCTCTCAACCGCAACTCGTTGATTCTCTGGTGACGGTACTGCCGCGCCATTGGACTGTCCAGCATGTGGCCATCCGGACTCTGTGATGATTGTACGCTTACCACCAGCTGCATCGGAGACAGCGTGTGCCTGTTCGAGGGCGTACGGTCCGGCGTTGTGTGGTTGCTGGGTAGCGTCGAAAAAGGCATGGCAGTTTGCGGCACAGTAGTCTGATGCAATGCATAATTCTGGGTGTTTGAGGAGCACAGAGAAGGTATCAACTGTCACCACAGGCCCTTTATATCCCTGCTTGCGAAGAATAATGCGAGCCTGGTTGACAGCGTTAGACACATCAGCAGGCGCAGCCATGCCGCCATTGACGAGTTCATTGCCAATGGCTACAGTGTGAAACACAGTCCAATCTTTCTTTCCATCGGGTAAAGTAGCCGCGTCGGTGAATGCCTTGAGGCTTGCAGGAAAGTCTGTTAGATCGTAGATTCCGGCGAAAACCTGCATGTGGTGTTGCCGTGCTGCTCTGGCGACGGTAGTAGTCTGGTTACAGTCCGTACCATAGATGCGGACATAGGAGTATTCGGATAGTTTGTCCAGTTCTTTATTTACTTCCTCCTCGGACTTGCAGCTTCTATCTGCGTTATATGGGGAGTAGGAGATTCCGAATTGGCGGTGCTGGTGTTCGGGATGATTGGGGTGAGGGTGTTGAGCGGGAGGCCGAGGCATCTTGTGCATTTTATCGGTTGGAACTGGCCGGTCTGCCAGCGTCGTTTCATCCTTGGGTGCTGTCGGTGGCGCAGCGCGAACACTATGGGTGGTATCGGGCTCCGGTGCCGGGATCGAAGGTCGAGAAATGGTAGCAGGGACCTATCCGACTATCAACAACCTTTCGAGATGATGGTTTTTGTCATGGGGAATGGGCTTCGCCACGGACAGTCTCTTGTGGTGCGGCTGTCGCAGCAACGCGGGTCGTTTCGGTGCTAATCAGGTCTCCGTCCTCATTTACCCAGACAACTACCTCGGCCTCAGACTGGGCCTGAGAGGCGCCATTGAGCGCGGCGAGACAGTGGTCTGGACCTATGCAGATGTTAGTAATCAGGTCTCATACGATATGAATCGCCATGTCCCTCTTACCCTGAGCATCGGCGTACACGCCGCATGCGAGAAAAAGACCAGCAGCGCCTGATTAAGGCGCTTCATCACACCGTCGAATCCTTGGGTCGGGTTCGTCCGAACCCTCAAAGCTGGAACCTAGGGTTAGCAGAGTAGACCTCTCTCAGACCAGGAGCGACCTCAGAATCCTCGCTGCGCACGGGGGACGTATTCATGCAGATCAAGCAGGTTATATCCATTCAGAGGCCTAGGCACAAAATATCTACTACACCGTCGCAGGCCATGGCAATAGCTGGTAAACAAGGGGCGTCCAGGCATAGCTATTCAATGTGGGTGCCATGGGGAATGAGATCGGGGCCCCGATCTGGAGTGGCCACCCCCCTTGACACTAGGGTTCAGGGGCTCCCAGGGGCCAGCCTGGCTCGCTTGAATCATTTTTGAAAAGAGATCTTGGTGTGAAATGGTAGAGAGGGCGAGATCTCTCTCGGAACTTGGCGGGGAATGTTCCTAGTGACACCCAGGCTTGTGGAATGCTGAGCCCATTCCAGCTTCGTTGCGCCGAGGCCTAGGGGCTCGGACTTTGGATACGTGGGATTGCAGTAGAATGTGCACTATCGGAAATTTCATGTCACATCATGCAGGCCGAAGGGGTAAAAGGGGACCTCACATTGTGCTAGCCTTCATCAAACGGTTCCCCGCTTTGGACGAACTTGTTTTCTTGCTGCTTGATAGGACGGGGATAGCGGGATAGGAGGACTTCTTGAACAAGGCAAGCCCAATCATAGTACAATGGATAGGGGGTTAATAGCGAGTGTATAGAAATGCGATGTGGCACAGCCATAAGCCACAGCCATAGTAAAAATAGTATTAAACAGTCTAGAGACCATGCACCGGTGAAATGAAACTGCCCCCCGAAAAAAGGAAGCAAAAACTAAATAATAGCAGGGGGAACAGCGCTGTACAGATTGAGGTAGCAATAGTAATGCATATCAACAAGCAGCTGTAACAATACACGGGATGAAGGACGGGAAGGGAGGGACATTAGGACGTTTGGTGAGGTCGCTAGACCAGGCCAGCGGACGTATGTATGGAGTGATGCCGGGGATCATTGGAGCATGAGCAGTCATTCAAGGAAAGAACGAGGGACGTGAAAGATATAAGGTGTTCACCTCTTCTTGCTCATCACCTTTGTAATGGCGTGCCGGATGGTGGTGCCGGCTTTCTCGATCTCCTTCTTGGTCAGGCCGATTGTGACGCAGACCTTGAGGCCGGCGGGGACAACTTGCTTTGGCTCAAAGTTGTCTTCCAGTGTCTTGAGGCGGGTAATTAGGACTCCGTTGGCAAGGCACTGTATACGAAGAATGTAGGTAAGCAACTTATCATTTTTTTGGAAAGGGGGATAATCGTGAAAGCGTCGATACGAACCTCGTCAACAATATCCTGGAGTATGAACTGCTGATCGTCGTAGGAAAGCTTCTTGGACGCCACAACCTCGGGCTTGATAACCAAGATGAGGATCGGGTTCTCCGGAGAGCTGGTGCAGTAGACCCAGTCACTGCGAGGATCCAGCTGGGCACGCATGGCCTTAGTGAACTCCCGAAGCTGCGAAACGGTCTCGGGGTTGCTCTGGAGCAGGTTGATGGTGGCACTGGCAGTGGTGGAAAGTAGAGCAGGGAGCGCAGCAGAGAAAGTGTACGCTGCAGCTGAGATCCGCTGGTGGTGCACGATCTCCTCGGATCCAGCGCAGAAACCTCCGCCTCCAACGAGAGGGCCAGCCAGTGACCCCACGATCATGTCAACCTCGGCGGCGTCAACATTCTGGTGCTCAGTGATGCCCCGTCCAGTGCGGCCCAAGACGCCGAAGGACCATGTCTCGTCCAAGATAAGACGGAACTTGTACTTAAGTCTCAATTCGATCTACAGCTAGGATTAGCATCACGCACACGACACAACTCTCCACTGCAAGGCGTTTACTCACAATCTTAGGTAGATTGACCATATCACCATAAGACTCGAAGAGTCCCTCGGTGATAATGAACCGTCGGGTCAGCGGCTTCCGCGCCTGCTCCTTAGTAACCTTGGCAAGCACACGCTCCAGGTCCTGCATATCATTGTGTTCATACCATCGGACGATACTGCGAGAGATCTGAATACCCTTCCGTATAGCAAAGCTCACACCCTTGTCTGCAACGATAATGTCGCCGCGCTTAGAGAACGCAGGGATCACGCTGGAGATGGTCGAGAACGCCTGCGAGTACATGATACAAGCCGCAGTGCCCAGAAAAGAAGCAATATCCGCCTCGGTCTTCATGTGCACGTCCTGGGTACCGTAGAAGCCGCGGGGGCCGCATGGACCAACACCATAGTTGCGCAGGGTCTGAATGGCCTGCTCCTTGAGAGCCTCATTTGTGTTGAAATTATAGAAGTTGTAAGAGCCGAGGTTGGTCACCGTACGACCATTGGCAAGCTTGGATTTGGGTCCGACAGGACTGCATGTCGCGATGATCCGTTAGCCAAATGTCCAAGAATTCCAGCTCCACATGCAGCGAGCGCCCGGGGGAAATGTGCGAGCTTACCCTACAATAACCGTCCTCTTGTCAACCTCCATTTCATCTAGGGTGGTGGGCTTGCCCACCAGTGGCTCGGGAGTCCACTCATCCACCAGGTCATCAATCTCATCCTCGGACAATGGCACGACACCAGGCTTGGTCGAGTATTTCGGGGCGAGCAGGTAGCGCACTGCGAAGAGGAACAGGAAAAGTTCCACTGCAGACCGGATTGGGTCGTCCTGGTAACTGGATTTCACGTAGCGTAGGAAAATCGCCGACCCGGGGACACGATGGAAGAGGTTCGCGAGTTCGTGCAAGTACTCGGAAAGGAGACGTTGCGTCTCCTGAAGATCCATGGCGGGGCTATCTGGGGGCGCTCTAGGCGCAAACAGATTAACCAAGGGAATTCCAGCGACTGAAAGTCCTAAAATACCACCGGGCAGGACAGATTCAAGGAAATGGTTGACGGATAGATAGATCCCCGGGGTTTCGCGGAGAGGTTAACGTCCGGCGGCACGTGACCGTAAATGACTTGCGCGGCCCTGAAATTGCATGAGCATTCCACTTGAGAAATCTACGAGGCTTATACTTGAAGCTGACGTACAACGGTTGCCCGTAATTTCTAGGATAATGAAGCAATGCAGATTGTATTCCATAAGTGTTTAAGAGAGGAATAAGACAAGCTATGGGAGCGGCAAACGACGGTAAATTCCCAAGGGCAATGACAGAACCACTTGAGACAGAAGTGCCATTCCACACAAGAAGCCATTAAGATCAACAAGTGCGCCAGTGATTTCACAAAAGAATGCAGCGATCGCAGGAAAAGAGTGAGAAAGGAAGAATAAAAAAGACAGTAGAACTTTGTACAGGCCATTTTCATACAAGGTCAAATTGACCTCGTCACAACAAACGCTGGAAATTGTAGTTGCCGGCAGTAGGGGTAGGAACAGCATGAGACGAGAAGCCCTTGGGGAGATTGCTACCGGTGTGGTAGGTCTGGGTATCATTCAGACCCTTGTCAAGGGGTTGGAGAAGGAACATGCTGTTGCCACTCTTGACACCGATAGTATTGTACAGTGTGAGCCGGAGGCTCTTGTCGATACCCATGTTGCGCACAACGATGGGCGCTGCTATCAGGACGATAAAGAGAACCAGCATAACAAAGTAGAGGATGGCAAACCGAATCACACGTCTCTTGCGCAGCTTAGACTGCTTGAGAGAGTAGATCGGAGGACGGATTTGGCGACTGCAGAGCTAATGTTAGCAAATTGGAAACTCCATCGATACAACGTTACACAACACATACCTGGGACGCAGCCAGAACAGAATGACAGAGTGGAACTTGTCGGCATAGGGGACGGCAAGAGCCGGCAACATGAAGAAGAGAATGACATGGCCGAGCACAAAGTCGGCGGCGAAGTAACCCAACTCGGTAATTTTGCACAAGAACTCACGGCCAGGCTGAGACAGTGAGTGCCAACCCATGTTGTACCACTTTCCAGTCCACCAGGCGATGTTGGACTGATCATTCCTAAACTCACGCGTCAGGGCCAGCGAAATGATCAGCTTGTAGATGAAACGCTGGAGGGCCATCATGGCGATCATGCCAGACACAGTACGGGGCCAATTGAACGACTCGAGAACGAAAAGCACCTCGAAAAAGACGATCAAGACAATAACAGCGATAGCATGGGCAATCGCAGCCAGGACCGCACCAAACTTCTTGCAGCATAAACTGAAGATGGGACCCATACAGCAAGCCATGCCAAAGAACATGCCGGCAACACCAGCGTTGATACCGATTGGAGCGAAGGCAACGAGGGCAATGCGAGCAATGGCATCCGGAGCATACTTGACGTCATCGCTGAACATGGTACGGGAGTTGATGTACAAATAGGGAACGAAAGTCACCGCAACCACAACCAAGGGAGCGACGATCTCACTGAAAAAGATGTTTGTGATGCGTGCACGAGGAATATCCCCAGAGTTCTTCTCAGATGGAACACCAAGAACCTTCTTCTTGTAACCAGTGATGCGGGTACGAGAGAGGCGGCAGAACCCGATCCAGGACGAGGCGTGGGACCGAGAGTTACCGCGCGAGAGCCAGCGGAGATAATCACGGTAGTCGATGAAGAAATCATTCCAGGAGAACTGGTGCGGGTTGAAGAGGAAGGGTGAGATGATGAGGGCGAGCAGAGACACCCAGAACCATATCAGGGCAGGAGTCCAGACAGTAGTGGTGGCGAACAGCAGCATCAGCAGCAGACGCGCTCCAGCGTAGATAGACGGGCCAGCGAAACGAGAGTACAGAACACCAAATGGAATACGGGCAGTTGCGAAACCACGGCCAGTACCAATGTAACGAGCACCACCGAAGGACAAGTTCTGGTGGACGGCTTGAGCGTAGATCTGACACACGAATACCTCGAACATGAAGGAGAAGGAACCGAAATGCTTAGCCAGACGGGTAGCCATACGCCAGACACCACGCTCAGTCAATTCTTGGACAGCCAGGGGAACGAAGGAGATGAAGAACACGATGAAAATGGAGATAACGCAACGGTTGACCCAGTTGATGATGGGGGCAAGGTCGGCGCAGTAGGTGGGCTCCAAAGGATCGGTAATGGGCAGGTCGGAGTTATAACGGCAAGTGATGGTCTCGTGCTTCAGGGCACCCAGGTTGATCAGAACGATCATGAACATCTGCACTGAAAGCATAATGAACATGTTGTTGATGTGGAAACCAGGGTGGGCATAGTAAAATGACAAGAAGCGGTCGAGAGGCAATTGGGTCCCAAGGTAGTAGTATTCACGCGAGAGCATTTGCTCACCCATACCAGTACCAATCTTGGTTGTGAAGTTTAGAATCGAGCCGAAACCCAAATCACGACCCTTACCACACTGGAAGTACTCGCAGTGCTTGATGCGACCACCACGGAGAAGAGCATTCATACCAGCGTAGATATCCTCGTTCAGGTGAAGACCCTTCTGAGCCTTAGAAACACCACCACGCGTACACATGAAGGTAGCATTTAGGAAATCAGGGTGACCGTAGTGCAGTTTACCACCGATCTGAGCCAAAGTACGGGCGAAAAGGGTACCGAATGTTTGTTCCTTGGAGGCAGCGACATCACCAAGCACACCAATGCTCTCGGAGAAAATGTATTCACGGGCACCAAGAATGGCAACGGGGTTAGTATCAGGCGAGGCGACACCAGGAGTGTAAGGCGAAACGTTGTCAGTGGTCAGCTCCTCAAATTCAGCGAGAACGCTCCGGATCTTCAAGCATTCTTCAAGATAGTTGTCTTGGTTGGCATCGATCAGCTGGATGTATTCACCACGATAGAAGATAATGGCGTGGTTCTGGTTATCGGACTTTCCGTCACCGAGGATGGGGTTGCCGGAGAGCTGGACGCGGAACTTGGGCTTGCGCATGCCGTTTTCGAGCAGCTCACAGTGACCGTCAATCAATGCGGAGTACAGGCGGGGCTCTTCACCCTCAGCGATGGGTGGCTCCTCGTCGAGATAGGCGATCTGTAGGTCAGGGTAGGCACGCAGAAGGAACTCCGTGTTCTCACGCTCATCCTTGTTGAACTTGGCATACCGCTGCATGGAGACACAGATACGGAACTTGCGACGAGCCATGCGCTCGAGCTCACGCTCGAGCTTCTCAGAGTTACCACCGAACATCTGGACGACTTCTGGGTTTTCAACACGATACAGGAGCTTGATAGCACGGCTGTAGTTCATGAAACCAGACACTGTTCTGTAAAGAGTCTGGGAACGGAGAGAAGCCCAGATACGGGTACGGAGCGTGTACTCAGGAGCAGCGGACTTGAAACCGATGCAATAGAAGGGCAGATCGTCGATCTTGCTCTTAGCAGCATCCTTCTCACCCTTCTCGCCGTATTCACCATTGAATTGCGAAGTCTCATCGGCCAGAATCTTGGTATCCTTGACGAAGCAGTCCCACTCGTGGGGGTGGAGCTGTTTAAGGTACTCCAGCACGGTGACACGGGAGTAAGGCTCATCCTCACGAATGATCTCACGCAGGGACAGTAGGATCTTCTCACTGTAGTGTGGAATCAGCACGGTGAAAGTCGGCATGTTGTCCACGGGTAGGGGCTCGGGCATGGGAGTCGACAGAGACTGGGCGAAGAAAGAGATACGTCGCTCAGCCTCACTACCAGCAGGGAAGAACTCAGTCTTGAAGGACTGATCTTCCTGTGAGACGAAGAAGGTGGGCGCACGAAGAGTACGCTTGCCCTCTTGCTCAGAGGGGACTTGGTGATAGAGAAGCTTCTGGACATGGTCAATAGCGAGTAGGTGCTCACGATACATCGAGATGATGATGGCGTTCCACACCTGGGAAATGAGGACCTTCGGCTTGTACTTGATCTCCATGTCTGTGGTCGCGAGTACCTTCGAGTAGATGCGCTTGGGAAGGCGCGAGAAGATATTTCTCCAGGGGGACCAGATAGACACACCGAGGTAGAATGAGCGGGCCACCGAGAAAATGGTGTTGCAAATAATGTACCACAGATAACTGTCGAGGAAGAATAGACACAAATCCATGAAGAACATGAGTGCCAATAGGATCTGCGGCTGCCGGTGACAGAGGATGTTGCCGAGATACTTCACACCAGTGCACTCGTAGATATTCATCGGGGACAGGATACGGATGGGGTCCTTGAACGACAGAGTCAGGAAGAAGTAAGACTCAGCCAGCTTAGCGCCGAAGACGCAAATCCAGAGACCGTAAGACATCCACATGTCGTTACCGTGAAGGCGAGGGAAGCTAGCAGTGAATGTTTGGCTGGCGACGTACTGCCGCCCACCCTTCTTCAAGTAGCTACCGAAGAGCGCACCGAGAGGCTGAATGGCGAAGAAGACCGCAGTCATGAGGGCAATGACGAAGTGCACGATACCGAGAGCAAGGCCGACCGGCTTCTGGATCTTTTCACTTCCGAGCTTATCCAAGAAGCCGAAGATAATAACACCAGGAGCCAGGTTGATAATGAAGACCACAAGGATGAAGAGGAACCGCTTGCGCAGATGTTGAGCACCCGCCCACCGACGGGGGACATACATCCACTCGCAAATAGTCGCAAATAGCTGGATGAAGCCTGCAAGAGCACCACCAAAACCAACAGCAGCAAGGTACTTGGCAGTGGAGGGTTTGTTGTCGACTTGCTGTTGGTAGTTGGTGGCATACAGAGTGGGGGCGTTGTAGGCAGTGAAGAACCAGAAAGAACACAAGTGGATAACCCAGATACGGTTGAAGTTGGTGATCAAATGGAACCACGAGCGGGTCTCCTTGTATGTCTTGAAGAATGCCTTCTTCCATAGGACGTCCTTCAACTTGGGCCAACGTTCAGCGGGGGGAACATCGACAAGACGAGTCTTGTCCTCGAACCCGATGCGCTCAATACCCTCAGGATACCAGAACAGCTGATTCATATCGTCGTAGCCAATGATCTTGTTGTGGTCGTGCTCACGGCGGACATACTTGCCTTCAAAAATCTCGTATCCCTGATCACGGCAATACTGGTAGAGAGGGGTGATGATTTCATTGAGGTATGTGAACTCCTCAACGGGCTCCACACGGTTCTGGCAGTCGGGCGAGGAGTAGTAGTCGTCGGCACACTTGAAAATGAAGCAAAGACACTCTGGCAAAAAGCGGACCTGGTTGGCTTCACCCCAGATGAGCAGATACAACGCAATTTGGCGGGCGCGATCGTGCTGGGACATCTTGTTCATGCGGGACTTCCAGCGATATTCCGCGGCCTCCAGGCTGTTGTCGCCCTCCAGAGCCTCGAGAGTTTCCTCCTCATTTTCGGGGTTCTTCTTCGCGGCCTTTTGAGCAGCCTTGCGAGCCTTGCGAGTTTTGCGGTCGGCCTTGCCCAGCTTCATCCCAGCAAATCCAACTGCATCGTCTAGGTCAAGGTGGGCCGCAAAGTACCAGCGGCGGTAGTTGGCATTGTGGCCACCAATATAATCGGCATGCAGGGACAGAAGTGCCTGGTTGGGGGTCATACGGGAAGCACGAGAGTCGAGTAGAGTCATCATGTGGTCATACATGTTGCGCATGCTGTCGCGCTGGAAACCAAACTTGTTGACCAGGTCCAGGAAAATATCCTCCAGCTCCTCCTTCGACAGGGGAATCTGTGCATCCGAAGTCCAGGCAGGGTAGGGTTCCCGCGAACGCTGGCCAGCCGGCAACGCGTTTCCGTAATCCATGCCATAGACGGGGGTGGAAGCCCCCGATGACCGGTTGCCGCCATATGAAACCTGGGATGAGGGCGGACGGTAGCCGTAACCGCCACGACCGTATTGGCTATCGGTATAGCTGTTGTAACGCTCGTCCCCACGGCCATAGTAGTCCATGTCGGCCGCACGAGCTGTTTCCGATTTCATGGTGAAATCACTAAAGGTCTCGGAGTCCTCCTCGGAGTCATGGCCGCGTCGACCACGACCATAGCCAGCCTGGCCCGCATCGTAGTACTGATCGGCGTAGTATTCATCCTGGTGGCCAGCCTCGTAGTATCCTCCGTCGGCGTAGCCTTGAGCTTGAGTATTACCACCTTCATGTCCGTAGGTACCGGACGCACTAGAAGTTCTTTTGTCAGCTGTTTTGTCGTTCCTAGGGCGAGCATCCTCTGGCACTGGAAGAGAGAAGGTGGAGATGTGAGACATGATCATACCCTCGGTCATAATAGCCATCGCCGTATTCCTGGTTGTCATAGTATCCCTGGGCAGCATGTTCGTCCTGGTAGTAGGCATCGCCATGGCCCGCCGGGTGGCCGTAGCCCTCGTCATAATGGCCTCCTTGTTGGTAGCCAGACATGACGGAAGAGTCGCAATCGATAGCTTGGTTCGAGCTCTAATGAAGGCAGTCAGTCGATTGCGCTAACACACAATGGCACCCGTCTTTTGCGGCTCGTGTCGTGTTGCGGGGGGTAGCCGGTGAATCCATCCGACGCGAGGTTCTTACCTCAACCGCGACCCGTTCACAGTATTAACTAATTGATAAGGCGAGAGGTGATGTTGTTGGGAGCGAAATTAATGCAGCATCGACGGGAAACGAATGGCGTACAAGTCCGTAACGGCGTTGGTCTAAAAGGCGTGTCGAGCTAACACGAAGATCCCGAACCCGCGAGTCTCAAACTCGGTCGGAGATGTAACGAGCGAACAGAATCACCAGTGGAGAGTCGGCAATCGTGACTGTGTAGAAGTAAACACTTCCCTTCTCCGAACCTTCCTCAAGGAAACGAGAGTGTCACCTTAGCAAAGGAAGATGGATGGGGAGGAAGAAAGCGAGTGGAATGGGAAGGGGGAGGGTGGTTGGAGGGACGGAGGAAAGAGACAAGATTGTAAGGAGGGAAAATATTGGCTGTGCTGTTATTTTGGGATCGGGGGATTGTTCGAGCTAATTTACGGTCACGGCGTACGGGGGGGGGGGGGGCTTTGGCAGTGCTGGGCGTACCGTGACAATTGGCAGAGCAGCACTCCAGGTATCCGGTACTTGGGTGGAGTGCGGGAGCCACCGTCTACGTGGCGGTATCAGTAACTTCCACTGCTGGGGCTGGTTTACCACACGTGAGGTACCGGTACCATACAAGCCACCCCGGCCACCACGGCCAACCCCATACGTACGCCCGATACCCATACCCTCAGGGGCCTCAGCCTTCTCCCTCTCCCTCTTCCCCCGGCCCAGGTCTTGATCCGCCGTTGTTGTCCAACGGTACAGTACAGGGCGACACGCATACAGTCCAGGCGTACACAAACCACTAACGCTATCGGCCAATCAGCAGCAATCGTGCTCGCCCTCCACTATCAACTGTATCCAATGAGGCTGTCCAGGCCACGCCGGATTCCAAGGGAATTGCGACGGCCCCTGAAACCTGCCCCACCGGTGCCCTCCAGCATGTATTCCCGGTAACAAATTAGGTGGTCCAGGTATCTCCATCGGGGGATACCTGCTCTGGGACTGCGTGCCCACTCCGTGCCCACTCCGCGCCCTGATTTGCCGATGCCTTGTTATTGTTACCACTACGGCATGCAGGGATAGCGTTGCACACCTGTTATTCATTCCTCGTTTCTATGCGACCACTGGCCATTCAGTATTCGTTGCGCAAGTGGAACGACGGACGACAGGCGTGATGCTCGATAGTCAATGGAACAGCAGAGAAGCCCAATATTGTCGTTCGATCGTTTATCTGTCTTTCCGATCGGGGTTGACAAAGAGTCGCCGGCCCATCTGGTGCGATCCATGGCTCCCAAGCGACCGAACCAACAAGCATCCACTGGTGTCCGTTGGATATCGCTCGTTGCAACATCCTAATCCCTAATCCTGCTGCTTTTCTGGGGTTTACCGCTCCATCTTTGGATGATGATCGTCAGTCCTTTTGCTTCTTCTGCTGAACTGTTCATCCCAGCTCACACAGAAGAGACGCAGAATTTTGCGCTAGCACATTCAATTTGCCACCGCAATAATACACCTAGTACATCGAGTACACTTAGCGTCGCGCGCCGTCTCAAAATGTACTGCTTTGGCTTTTCCCACCGTTGGGGCCATCCCGGATTGAGCCCAGCGCGGTCCTATAATAAAACTCCACACGTACACGGCTCCCCACTGTCCGCCCTGGCCTGGTCGCAAAACCGGCTGTTGGCTTTCCCCAACCTACAATTTTCTTTTCTGTTGGCCACCCTCTCAATCAGGACTTGTGGTGCAGAATTCAGCATAACAATGCATAACTAAAGATAACTAAAAAAACCTTGGTTTTCCGTTGCATAGATGCCAGTACCATATCATATGGTCCCTCAGTCCCCCCTATCAGGCCACTTTTAATACTCTTCCCAATCTGACTCGCATATCTGTACGGATATCTGATTCAGACGACGAGACAGAACACCGTACAGTACGTTCGCTGTACACCGTACGGTACAATCGCAACGACTGCTATTCCGTATTAAAGCGTCGCAGGCGATCCCCACCCTTGACCCAGCCTTTCCAGCCTGTTCCATCAGCCAAGGTGGATCGCGAATGCTTTTATTTTCTGATTTCACGCCTTGGCCTGGGACCACTCTGGTTCCAGCCGGGAATCGACTCGGGCTCTGCGTACGCAACGCGCTGCGAAGACTACGCATCTAGCGGGCATTTGTGATCTGGTGCTCGCATGAATTTTATGCCGGTCCCTACAGGAGTACTCAGTTGTATACTGTAGTAGACAGTAAGAAAAAAGAGAGCACTTGCAAACATCTTGATTCTCGCTCTTATTGGAGGGCTACAAGATCGTTATCTATAAGACACGTCGCGTCTGCGCGACCGTATCGTCTGGAACACGATTAAGTGCGTACAGCAGGTGGCCCTTTGTTTGCCCGCTGCGATGCAGGCCTGCCGCAGAAACGATGCATCCACTGCATGAGAACCGTCATCAATCTCCAATTTTCGTCTCCAGCCCTCTAGTATCCTCGACTCCTGCGACGAAGTTCCAACACCGTGCAGTACTACTCCCTCCGTGTCTTCACTATTGCCCTTCTCCCCCTGTCCCCTGTCCCCTGGGACAGTCAACGGTCTCCATATTCATTCTAGGCCTGGGCTTCCTCCCGGCGGCCGATCGTCATCGCCAAAAATAACCTGTCTCTGGCGTTCGAAGGGTCTAGTCGGCGATCGCTTGCGGCGCGGGCTTGCCCTAATGTTGCAAGTTTATTGTATTGACCCGCTTTCTTTGAATACCCGATAACTCAGATCCCCCTTGGCCTCTTTGGGCTTAAGTGTGGCTGGAGGCCACAATCAATGGCGGGATCTCCTTCTCGCAATGTACTTTACCGTCAGCGTGCCACTGGCGTCATTGGTGTCAATGCGGCTGCGGCAAACTTTGGATAGGTAACCCCTGGTCAGGGAAGTACGGAGTACGGTTTTGCGGAATTGCCACCCTGATATCTGATAATTACAAACACGAGTCCGTCTTCGCCCTCGCATGCGATTTTAGTCATCAGAGGGGCCGTGTCCGAGTTGATCGTTGATCCTTCCGTCCACTCCGGGGGCTGTGAACGTGATCCTGGGTCGATCGCTATCCTTCGAAGGCGGGGGTCCGGGCAACAGTTCATATTTTGAATTATGCTCGACATGAACGATCACTAAATTGGAAAAAGGCCTGTCATGCATGCGATACCCGATACGCTCCAGCGCCTTTCAACGTGGCTACTCGTGTGTACTCTGATATCTCATAAGCTTCGCATGTAGCGACCGGGATAGCATAGACCAAGATTCAAGTTGAATATCAATTCCACCTGTTCAATCCCAAGCTGGTGTACGTCGTGATTCGACCCCAATGGCTCGCTCGGAACCAGCCACTGCTGGGTGGCTTTGATGCTTATTCCCGCTTTGCGATCGACCGCCAGGAGGCAAGGGGCATGTTGATCTCCATAGAGGCATGGCAGAGGAATGGAGCGATCATGCTCCGGTTGCTAGCAGTCCATCGCCGGCTGGAGCGCGCCGACGCAGGCACCGTCTCTCCTTCTCTGCAGGGAGACTTGATCAGATCGGCATATTTCGGATGCCATCCATTCCACGATGCTGCATGGCAAGCTCTCCGGGTATTCCGTATGCCGAAAACAGCTTGTTATGTACATAGTAAACAATATGCTGGTGAGTTCCTGCAGGTCTATGGATCCTGGCGGTCGGGCAGAGTTTCTTGCAGCCCTGTGGGTTTCAGGTTGTCTCCCATGCGAGGGCCTTGTACCTGGCCCCTGGTCTCTTCTGAAACTTGGCCGTGGCTCACCAAATCAAATAATTGTGATATTCGGGTTTGGCGGCGCTCTTGACGTTCTCCAGTTAGTCTCGGTGGGCTGAATTAATGGGCTAAAGCCATTGACTGAATCAGCGGATCGAATAATCCTAGGCAGATACTGTACATATTTCTGTTGATATCGTTCGGGCCCGTCGATTCGCGCTGGCAATGCTCCTTATGGCAATTATGACTACGGTGGACAGATGACTTCACTTATGTATCTCTGGTGGTCTTGGTGGGTTGCACTAGTCGAATACTCTGGGATGCTCTCTTTCCATGGAAAGTGGCCTATCTGGTACGAACACAATCTGCTGCCTTCACTGAGTGCATCGATCCCGTTTATGGCCTTGTAGTCCGGTGTTTGGTCACCCCCGGAGGTCTAGGTACCCGCAAATGCGTTTAGGTCAGAATATATATATAATGTACTCATCCATCGACAAAATCACGTAATTTCCTCAGGACTGCTACCTAAACCTCAACCCTCTTGGCTAGTCCATTTTCCACTCTAACTGGCTCATCTCGCTCCACCAGTATGATCCTCGGTACTTCAAGCTAAGCACTCCTGAGCAGGGTTCAAAATCACTTTTTTCACATAGATAATATGATCTACGCTTAATAGAACGATTCTGATAGCTAAAAAACCATTTCAGATAGATTTGAGATCGCGAGAGTGTAGGGCATGTTATGCTATAATCGTGAGCGTACTTGTTTACAGTGACAGTCCAAAAAGTATTTGTACCCCTTCATGGAGTACACCCCGTTTCCTGACCGCCCGAACTACTGTACACAGCCCACACCGTCTACCTCTACAAATTCAAAGCGCACTACAACACGCGCTTATGCGTCTATCATAAGAGTACTCCGTACAATTCGGCAGGTAATAACACCTAAATCCGAGGATAATATTGGCCATGTCTCGAATAGCATAAGGGCCTAGGCTGGTAGGCCTCACATATCAGTATTAGATATCCATTGTATTGGCCACTTCTTCTTAGTAGAAGATAGCCTTAAGCCGATGGTGACGCTTAGGTATAGTAGAGAGCATTCCGTTGATGCGGTCGCGCAATGTAGAACTAGGCACTTCGCATCGCGTAAGCAGATAGAGGAATGTTGGCCATTTTTATAGGCCTATATCGCGAATATGACCCTACCCTCTTGCTCCTACGATTTTAACGCGTTTTCGACGCGTTTTCGTGTCACTGTATGTGGTAGGAGAAGATGTACAGTATGTAGTTTGATCTTATGTTGTTGCAAGATCAGAGAGGGTCATCGCCTAGTAACGAACAGACCAATCGATTAAGAGAGTGTGTATTGAGGAACTAGGGAAAAGTAGCCAGATAACTAATATCTGCGCCAAGAGACTATTTAAAAGTGGTCAGTAGATAGCTATAAATATGAGTGGAGTATTCTACTCGACATATATTGTTGAGTGCGGATGTGTCTACTTTGCCTCCATTATCGGACCCTCTTTCGCAGATACATCCTCAGTGAATATAGGCTGTTCCAAGACTAGTAGCTAGATCGTTAAATGCATGGAAATTGAAGTCCCTCAGTCTTCCAATCGCTAGATCACAAGAAACAATCCAGAAGGCTTATCACCATTATTGGCTATATTGGTGAAGCTGAAATCTACTTATTGGATAGTGTTAAATATTTCGAAAACAAATATGCAAACGAGGATGTTTACTGCGCTAAAACTATTTAGGGGAAGGATAAAAATAGGTTGAGTGACACTTTTGCTTATCAGTCTTACGTATCATCGCCTTATGGGATGAACCGACCTGTAAGTTTCTTCCTTGGGTTGTGCCTCGATCGTCAAGAAAATAGATAAAGCATGGCGAAAACCAATCACAGGTAGACTGGGGAGTTGGCTGGGTATTAGGAGATGCACGAACAGCAGGACAAGTGGAGATCCCGGAGCCAATCGTATTTTGCTATCGGAGACGGTGCTCACCCGGTAGGCACAGCGCGATTCTTTTTCGACAGATATGAGGCAGCGTGTACAGGCTAGTAATGGTAGGAGGCTGTCAAATAGATTGTGAGATAAATTTTCTCTGGAAGCTGACCGCTGTTGAAGAGTCTTGCACCTGTGCACCACCAGTTCAACGCATCCCGTTGAGGTGAGGCCGGCTATAAACGATCCAGGAACTGGTTGTGGAACTACTGCACGCAAGCTGACTTGACTTTCACCGCGTGCAGCAATATTTGAAGCCGTAAGAATTCTCGAGGCATTGAAGGAACGTACATGAGGATGGACAACCAGATAGTGACTGAGTACCTCTGCGAGCATTAAATACAGTACATGTGTCCGCCGTGCATCTAGTGATCCTCCACAGATTCTGGATATAGATCACTAAACAGGCAAGATGTAGAGGTCACCACGGAATATCTTCTTGGTGGGAGCCTCGGAAATGTAGTCTTCCGAGTATTTATTGTACTTTGAAGTTATGTTGCAAGTGCAGACTCAAGGTTGCTATTGTACCGCTACAACCAATTGAACTCCTCAACTCTCTCAAAGTAGATTTGCTCATGAATTTCAACGTGCAGCTACTTGTTCACTGTGAGGACACATGCTGCCCAGCTTATCGTTAAGTGCACAGCCAATTTTCTCACATACTACTTCAATCCAACCTTTGTGCTAAGTACTGCAGTGGGCGTTAAAGTACGTCGACGTGGAGCTTTTGCTACGCTTTCTTTATTTGGGTAAATAACATGCTTTTGAGCCATAATGACGATCTAGAGCGGTGCACCGACACAGTATGCCTTACACGCCACGCTAAGTATTGCCTTTTTCTAAGGAAAAGATCAGGTAGGTCTTAGTTTCCGTGCAAAGCCTGGATACTTGTCCCCAATATCACTTAGAAGGGTTTTAATTTAGCGACAAGCCCTCGAAGGGTCATTTGATTAATGAGGTCCAAGAGTCTTCGAGAGAGGTCTTGATACTCCGCGGGCATCACGTCGAGGAGGGATGCTGAATACAACTAGGGTAATCTGACGGTGGGGAACCGAGACCGAGGAATCAGTCATTTGAAATGATGTAAGTGGTAGGGCGGGGCCATAGAATGAAGAACAAGACCACATAAAATCATCAGTCTAACCTAGGAAGACCCACAAGTATACGGGATAATTGCTCGGGATGGTAACAACTTAAAGCAAGGAGTGAGAGAGTTGATTACTCCGGCGATTTGAGGTGATCAACAAACCCACCTCACTCAAAGGTCAACGCACGCCATCCATTCAGAACAATTCTGCATTCGGTCCCTATTCGCCCGCATATGGATATTGCGTTTTTTCCTTTCATAGCAATCGACTCTCCTGCCCAACTTGTGACCCAGCAAAACCAGAAGTACAATGATCGTTCTTATAAAAGGTAGCACGTCAGCTATTCGTAGACCACAATAGATTATCCTTACTGCTAACCGTACCAAGGCGGAGTGACTGTGTCGATTTTCAGGGCGAAAGTAGCATTTTCCAATTAATGGAGTGTCTTCTTTGATGTCTTCTTTGATGTCTAGACATGTTTACCGAGAAATTGCCACATTATCGCCCAGAGCTCGAATTGTAACCCAGGTGTGCTGCTCTTGCCTTAACCCCAACTTGTTCCGGGAGGACTGAACAATTGGACAATTCCAAAAGAAGAGCAAGCCGCAATTCAGCCACATTAAATAGTATCAGGTAGGGAGGCTGTTTGATAAAACAGTTGACAGGCGCTGCATGAGTGAGTCGAACGGTAGATTGGATGTCGAGAGCCAGATTTCCCATAAACGGCCGGCGCTTTATGCTGAAGCTGGAATATAGTTTAACCGTGATAGTATGGCATAGTACCAACTTCGCACTGTTGTGCATTGGCTTCTACTCATATTTGTGAGGGAGAAGCTGCGCTAGTATGGAGTTCGCCAGCATCTGCGCTGTATTGGACGCCTGTGACAGTGCACACTGTCAGTTGTTGAGCCGCCAGTTACTGCAGCGAACGTTTACCCGATTTGGAGAGCCCTCGAGTTAGCTTCATTCAGTGCTTACCCACAGACTTAGTTAGATGCATATCAGGTGAAATAATTCATTCACTGACCGTGTCTCATCAAATTTAATATAGATATTGAATACATACGGACACAAGAGGCAAGTATTTCTGACGAGCCAAAACAAGAAGTCCTGATTAAGAGCAGATAAGCTCTCCCGGTGGACTCTATTTCAGAGTTGTAGCCTTAGACTTAGCCTCGATAAACTGGAGCAAGAAGTCATCTCGTTCCTTCGCCACCGCATCGACATCAACCTTGTCCATCCACTCTTGCACACTTGCACCGAGGGATTCGAACTTCTCGCTCGAAAAGTCGAATGCATTTTCCTGCATATCTCCATCCCACGATTGCAACGCTGGCCCGAGGTGGTCCATGAAGTGCTTGAAGCTTCCTCCTCCGCCGAGCGTATTGGTCATGAAAGGTCCTGTCAACGCCCATCGAAGACCAACTCCGGATGTGACAGTAGTGTCTGCATATGGTTTGCACCAGGTTAACTCAAAATCTCAAGATAATGAAGATCGAATTTAATATAAAGGAAAAGAGAGATCACTAACCCAAGTCACTGGCTGAAATGATTCCTCTTTCGACCAGGCTGTATGCTTCTTTGCACAAAGCAGCTTGTAGCCTGTTGGCAATAAAGCCGGGTGTCTCTTTCTTGACGAGAACTGGGCTCTTGCCGAGGAATTTGTAGAACTCCATAGCCTTCGCCGCATAAGCATCACCAGTTGCGGGGTGAGGCACAACTTCCACCAGAGGCACCAAGTGGGGAGGGTTAAAAGGATGACCAATGAGGATCCTTGACGGATTGTTCTTGCAATCGGTCACAAATTTGGAGGCAGGGAGACCGGAGGAAGACGAGAGAAGTAGCGTCTCCTTGGGTGTATTGGCATCAAGGTGGGCAAACAGTTGACGTTTAAACTCCAGCCGTTCAGGTGCGTTCTTTCTCATGCATCATTAGCATTTGCTTTATAAGTTTAACCTACCCATAGCTCTCGTCATCTGCTTACCTCTTGTAGGATGTCAATCTCCTCAAGATAAGGGTCAATTGATGGCACAAACTTATAGTTTTCCAAAGAAGCACCCTCACTGAGGCCTAGCTTCTCCATGGTAGGCCATTCTTTCTCGAGGAATGCGGCGAGCTTCTCGCTGGCCCCCGGAGCTGGGTCTGAGACGATGACCTTCAACCCCCTTGCAAGAAACAGGGCGGTCCAGCTAGCACCGATTACCCCAGTACCAACGACTCCAATAGTCCCGAAATGGTGTGACATGGTGTAATGCAAAATTTGGTAGCTATGTAGTTGAGAACCTTGTTTATGGATGGCTCGAGTAAGTGCGCCTCAGTAGATATAACTTATAATATAATTTATGGGGCTTCAGGGATGATGGGCCAATCAAAATGTTAAGGCGAATTAGCCGACCGTACCGCGGGCCGTGGAAGCCGGGAAGCCGTGTATGACGACTACACTGGGCTTTAACAAGCGTGAGGTCCAATAAGATTGCAGCTCAAGTCCTGGTGCAGATTAGATGAATGATTAGGCAGGGACCCTTGGATGCATCCAAGGGACTGGACAAGAGATTCCGACAAGGTTCTCAGTTGAATGCGCTAAATATCTCAATCCTGAGGTTTGACAAAAAGTATACCCGCCTGAGCGACAATAAGTTAAAACTTCTTCCTTCTAGTTCTGGACAAAATATTAGTGTTAGAGTATCATTAATATGCCGAAGGCTCAAGAGTTGAATTGGGCCAAGCCGAAGATTGAGAGTCGGCCTTCCTATGCTACTGTATGTTTGGCTTAGGAATTTTTACGAGATCTGTTTCTGTAAGGGGTGTTGGATATGAGGCTGCTGCAGATCAGGAACAGAGCTGCTGCATCAGAAAAGATTCCTTGCACTCTCTATATGAAGAACCAACTGGATCAACTTGGACTTCCAAAAGTCTATTATAAACAAGAGACGTTCTTATCTCCCTGAAATACAATATGGGGGACTCCGAGGTCTTGGAGCCGTTTGATTGGTCAATTGCACCCCCGCCTTCCGAACATAACCTAAGACCCCTTTTCCTTAGTTTCCCGGCCCCACCTTGGGAGCCAAATGGGGCAGTCGGCAGTCGGCATTTGCGGAACTTATTGCTCGTTTGAGAGAGTAGTCATCCGGTGTAAGCGGTGGGAGCCTGCATGCCGAGGAAACTGCGCTATAAAGGTGGCTGGCCCACTTACATACATAACTGCATCTGCATCTATTGCATTTAGACCTTTCAAGAGTACGCGGAAGCTCTGTAAAATCCACTCACCACAAAATGCCGACCGAACATGAAGTTATTCCGGGCACGGACGTCTATGGGCCTGGCACCTACATCGACAAGCACTTCATTCCTGTGCCTGAGGATGCCCGCCGAGTCTTCGAGCTCTTGGCTAAGGCCACTCCAGGCTTCACCGAAGATCCTCGCGTCCTGGATTCAGTGAGCTTTGAGGGGAGTCTGGAACCGATCATTTCCGGCCCCATCAAAGCTCCCGTCGTTGCCGCCGCTCTCCATGCCATGTGTGGAGTTGTTGCCAACGAGATCTTGGAGCAAGCTCACGGTGAGAAAGAACATGAGCGACGCGTGACGATCAACACAGACCATGCTGCTCTTTGGCTAGGCTCTGTCTTTGCTGTTAAGATCAATGGATCAAGTGCCTCCGATATCCTTTTAGCTGGCGGGCTTCCGGCCCTCTTCAAGAGAGATTTTGAACATGGAGCTTTCGGCAATCCGTTGAGATTGCGTACGACAGCCCTTTACCCGACCAAGAAACCGGATGTTTGGTATCAGCTTCACGGCTCGCTGAATGCGGATCCTGTCCTGGCCTCCATCGGTGTGGCCCCCGACACGAAATGTACACGCGAAGAAGCATACGATTTGATCCGTGAACATGTTCAGAAGTTTACCGCAGAGGAGCTTGACATGATGAATGTGAAGAATGGCTTCTGCGGTAGCACCTGCTACACTCCGGCAGCATGGAGAGAGACATTGATGGGCAAGCGACTGGAAAAGCATCCGCTTGTCAACTACACAAGGGAATCCTACGCTATCCCTACTCCCCCTACACCTAGACCTGCTGGCCTCACCGACAAGCGTCCTTTGGCAGGCATCAAAGTGGTGGAGCTTGTCCGTATCATTGCTGGTCCAGTGATTGGATCGACCTTGGCCGCGTTCGGAGCAGATGTGATTCGTGTCAACTGCAGCCGGCTTCCCGATATTAATGTAAAGAGATCCCCTTTCCCAGTTTTATATCCTCAGTCCTGCTGTGCAGTTTTTGAAATTTACGATCTTTGGGTGGGATGCTAACGCGGCATAATCACAGGCCCTGCAGCTCGCGTTGAATGCTGGCATTCGCACGATCGATCTGGATCTCACCAACGACGAAGATTTGGCAAGATTGCATGAGCTCGTGCAGGACGCGGATGTCTTCATCGGAGGATTCCGTCCCGGAGCCTTGGCACGAAAGGGACTCTCCCTTCATAATATGCTTGAGATGGCTGGAAAGCGAGGAAAGGGTATTGTTTACGTCGAGGAGAACTGTTACGGACCTGATGGTCCCTTCTATGACCGACCCGGATGGCAGCAGATTGGAGATGCCGCGTCAGGTAGCTCATATGTGACTGGAAGAGCTCTCGGCCACACCGATGGTACTTGCGTGCTTCCCCCTCTTCCCATCTCCGATATGGTCACCGGTCTGATTGGAGCTTTGGGCGCATTAATGGCCATTCGTGATCGGGCTACACTTGGAGGGTCGTACCATGTGCTGAGCTCCCTGGTCGCCGCGGACACGATTTCACTCACTCCTGAAGTCGGATTGTATTCTCCCGAGGTGGTCAAGAAGAATGCGGACACTTTCCAATGGGATCCTATGGGCCCGGCGCAATTTGTCATTGAGCTGCTTCTCGTAATGATGAAGGGCTGGCAAGCGGTCTATCCGGAGTACTTCGCGGAGAACTCGCCATTTATGGCGAAGTTCGAGGACTCTCATTGGGGTGCCATGGAGGTGGTCAAGCCTGTCGTGAGACTAGGGGATGAGGCCGCAACTCCCCATTGGGTGTCGCCTCCCGTGCCTCACTGCTACCACGACCGCAACATCTCATGGCTCTAGTCGAAAGGATCAAAACCACTCGGCCATGCTATTGAAAGAATATAGCAGTGCGGGGAATTTGTATAAAGTATAAATCTGCTGATGTGATCATATCATTCACCATTTGACTTGGGAATAAATTTCTATGCTGTTTCGAATTTATCCGAATGGTACACCGGAAATTATGAGCCGTAGGGAAAGTATAAAATCATATGTAGTTTCTTTGCGCTATGATAAGCCTTGGGTTTGCTTATGATCCTCTGGGCCTATTGGAGTCTGTAATACTAGTATAGAGCCATGCTTTCCTTTCTCCGTGTAAACAATTTGTATCACTCCTGCGAGTAGCCGCGTATTACATTATGTCGGATTTAGCACTATCTGTCTAGCATGTATGGGAGATGTTCAATGGGATTGTGATGATTAGATTGATTGATGATTTCGGCCGAAAAGTAAGAGGGAGAAGCTGATGAAAGTAACCAACCCCCGGGGCTTGTGTCTGCACGGCCGGTACCCGGCTGTTAGAAAGCCTGAGTTTCACGTGTAAACCAGAAATCCCCATACAAAACCCTAAGAGAAGTGGGCACCTGATGAATAAGCCCATTCTAAGTGGTAAGTTACCACTCCACATGACTCGATAGATTAGTGAAAAGTCTATTTATTTATCCTTGTTACGAAGTTGGTATTCAGTTAATAGGCATAGTTAAATAAGACAAACCCTAGATTTCGAAGTATGATTAACGAATAACATGAGGGTATTTTTGTATTAATCAGCCTTGGAGGATTTCCAATAGGCAGTTGAGTAAACATGTAGTCATGAGACGCCGTGAATGCAAATTATGGAACATAATGGAGGAGGCCTTTCTCCCAGCAGATAGGTGTGTAATTCATGCTTGCGTTCATCACAGGCCTTGTGAGCTTTCCGAGGTGCCTGTGGGTTTGGTCAAAGGTATCGATCCTCTGCGCTCCTTTCCGTCAATTGTACCCAGCAGCTGGATAGCATCATCTGTAACGCGAAGAGGACCTTGAAGGTACTCTCTTTCCCCATTCTCTTTCTGACTATACAAGCCCCCTGCGATTGCCATTGCAGGCGCGTCTAGATTGGGCATGTTGCCCCATTCCCACTGCAATGTACCACCATATTGCTTAGGAAGATCCTCGGGCGCGATGTGGGCCAAGAGGGTAGCTGTCGTCTCGGAGGGCGACAAAATGTGGATTTTCAGAAGAGTCGGAGGGTCAAACCATTTTTTGACTATATCCCATATAGTGATGAAGAAGGAAGATGCACCGATGATCTAGTACATTAGTCTGTTAGCCGATGTGGAGTTCAGTTGGAGAGTCCAGAAACAGACGTACGAAAACATGGCCGAGAGTTTCTGGATAATAAGTCGACGCCAATGCAGAGGCTGCTTGTAGATATGCCCTGATTTTCCAAAAATGCGTGACACCCACCCCGGTGATATCGATTATGTGGGTGGAAGCAGAGATTGGGACATCCATATTTGGGCGTGGTAGCTGGGAACACAAAGGCAATGTAAAATGCAACAAGTTGTCAAATAAAGCTTCAAAGTGAAGAACGTGGGGAGACAGTGAGTCATGGCCCTGGCCGGGGTGTGAAGAATTGAGCGCGGAGATCCAGTTTTCAATCTTTGACTTGGTGAAGTTTTTGACGGGGAATACGAAGATCGGGAAGCCGTGATTATCGCGTCGTCCTGTCCATTGTGAAAACTGTTCCATTTAGAAATAGGGCACAGGTCAGCGACGAGGGACAGTCGTTTGGCTTTCCGAACAAAATCGGTGGTTCGGATTTGTTACTCACCATTCTCCTCGACGTTTCATATGAAGGGATATCCACGTTCTCATAGAACTTTTCAAGGCCATGCTTTTTTCTTCTTCTTTCCTCTGCGACATAGAACCGTGAAAAGGCGTGGTCCACATCAAAGTTTACAGAGCGCAAAAATCTCCTAAATTTTTTGAGAGGTATAATTAGCAATCTGAATGGTAGTTTCTCCTACGGGGATATGTATTTTCTCCGTGAGTGGACTGAGTAGTACCTACAAAATTGTTGCATCAGAGACATCTAGTGACCCATTGTCTGACGCATTTTTGAGACCGGCCTTGTCACACTGGGACTTGAACTGAGAGAGTTTCACCTCCTGCTCTGGCGTTAAATGATTTTGATGACCCTCAGTCCAGTCTGCAGGTTCTTTTTCCGGCGATGAATGGCCTGAGATAGAAGCACATCCCGCATTCTCTTTGGTATGCTCAAGTACCGGCGTTTCTTGACAAGTGGGTGACATATCGCAGATGCGCCAAGCAGTGCTGTGAAATGAGATGTTGGATGGTGGCGCAAATCAATTCAAACTTGCGAAAACAGGAAACATCGGCTGAGTTATCGAACATTTGTCTTATGAGTTAAAAAGGACCGGAAAATCAGAACCCGAGGTGAACGTTTTGGGGCTGAAAAAAGAGTTTTGGGTTTGGAGCGATGGACCCACAGCTCGGAGAGTTCGTTCCGCGGGATCCGGTAAGGAGCCGGCATCGGAAATCTGCTGGCAACCGAGCGAGCCCCTGTCCGGTGTCCGAGACGCTGACTCAGCACGGTGCCGTGCCGATCAGGGCGCCCCCCGGCTTTCGGGGCATGACTAGCAGCAAGGCAGCTCTTCAGCTCTTCTTCTCGCGCCGGGGAAAGTCTCGAAACAAACACAGGTTGCTTAGGCGCATGACTTCGCCTCTCAACACCTTGTGGCGATAAAAACCCGCGGAGAAATCACCCATTCACCCCCTACAGACTACCGATGCTGCTCCAAGGGATTCCCAGGCCGATAACTCCGCCAAGGTAATGACTGTCCAAGGTTGCACCTTGCCGGATTAAGCTCCAAGGAGTTGCTCCCATGCCACGGGAGGAAAACAGAGGCAATCGCTTCGTACTACATTGGCCTTTCAGCATGTCTGCGACAGTCTTCGTTCTAGGACATTAAGATTAACTTACTTATTTTCGCTTATGAAGAGCGTCTTAAGACATATATACAGACTCGCTGTCTGGTGAGAAAGAAATGGCTGGAACTCATAACGCCTTCGCAGCGACGGCACTTAATATAGCATTTCATTAAATGAGTCAAAAGAATTCCAAAAGTCCATGAACGATGTTTCATCCAAAAGTGCATTGAGGACATCATCGCTGACTGTGGGAGGCACGGCCGCTGCTTCAGAGGATTCCACGCGTGGATTAGACGCGTCAGATACATCCGGATTTTGGAAGGTCGAGCCAATGAACAAATGAGGGTGCAGTTCGTTTATGGCCCCCAAGAAAACACCTCGGTACACCGCGGCAGCTGCGTACGTGTCCTGCAACTCTTCCATGACCATCATGCATAGCTCCAATTTGTTGAAGCCTACACGACGTGTAAGAGCATCCGCAGATTTGCAATTGAGGAGGTGGATATGCATAGCCGGTACTAATAGAGTAGGACTATATTTGATTACGAAGACTGGTTAGCAATTGACATGGAGATACAAAGGCCGGCGTCCTGGCTTGGATATGAAGATTGCACTCACGTCATCGGACCGGCGAAACCAAGAAGTCTTTCTCGTACAAGGTCATTGAGAATAGAGTTGGATTGCAATGCCGCTGAGTCTAGCTGGCTTCGTATCTCACTTTGCCACGCCTCCACATGGGCAGGTGGAAGGTGCTCCGGAATTTTGGTGATATAAGGGCGGTAGAAAGTGATCAAAGATGCCCTGTCACCGTAAGAAACAAACACAATCATGATGTAAAATCAGAAACTGGCACTCACTGATAATGCAGCTGCAAGTGGTATAGATAAAAGGCTGCCAGACGACTTTGTTCATGTCCAGGCCTACTTGGTATCCGGAATTGCAAGAGGTCCGTTTTGAGCGAGTCAAATTGTTGGATCGTCGGGTTTGAGCCCAAAGGCTTATAACTAAGTGCGAGAATTTCACCTAAAAGCTTACTCAATTTGATCAAAATGACCCAATATTCAGCCAACTGAGGGAAGTCGCTCGGGATATAAGCGCTGGTAATTGACGCTGGTAGTTCAGCCACATCACTGAGCAAATCAGCAGCTGTAGGCATCGGTTGGTCGCAATCGTCAAGATTGATCCTTAGAGGCCGCCCTAATGTCAAACTCAACCAGCGGTCTCGGAAGAAACAACTCCACCAAAGACGACGCCAAATAGGACGCCGGCGATCAGGAAAGGCTGAATTGACCTTGGCTGCATCCGGATCTCGGTGCAAGCCCAACATTTGACAGAGGCTGATCGCAACGCCTATCCAGTACCATGGCTGCGCATGGCTATCTCCTTTTGAGTGCCAGAATCCCATGAGGAGGGCCGATTGTATCAGGACTACCTTGTCAGTCTCGCCGGAATTATTGTACATGCACTAGTATTTCATTAATTGTTTGCCACAAAGTAAATTGATCAAACCACTTACCTTTGCACGAGAATACATAGCAAATTTCATCTCTTTGCGGGATGAGTAGCCCTCGAGCGACCAAATACTGTCATCGACAAACTAAGAGTAGAAATTAGACAGACGTAGCCAGGTGTAGAGGATTTTGACCTACATCTGACGCCGCAAAGAACATGCTCCATAATAACAGTAAATTCCACTCGCTCATTTGGATACCTGAATTGACCTTGAGGAGAACTTTAACATCGACTATTGGCATGATAGGGTGTATATGATGGAAATATGCGCGGAGAAGCTCGGAACATGTATTCTTCTGCGGCATGGTAAATACGCCCTTATGTTGAAGATATTCCCGATCTTGTGCAGATAGCGATGGCGACGTGTCCGGTGAAAGCAAAATATGCTTTAGCATAGTCTGGTCCGGCCGGGAGCAGACATCGAGAATGGATGTAAATCCTGGAGCCTCGCCTGTGCTAAGATTAGTTCCTTTGGTACCCAAATAGAAAAGCAGGAAGACGCTGAGTGGCTATAATACCAATATAGAAAGGAACCTGGCCATTCCTGTTATCTTGCCCCAAGACCGTGGAGGATATCTCGACACCAGTACGCTCGGCAACGTCGTCACGTCGCTCAGTGATAGAATGATGCTCAGTGATAGAACGAGGTGTCCCATCGTCCCCAGTAGAGCCCAACAGTCCTGTCTGAGCGGCTTCTGCAATCGGATCGAAGGATTCTCGTTCCATAGCAGCTGAAGGTTTCGGTGGAGATATACTGCTTGGCTCGGTTCTTAAATGACTGACCGGAACCGTCTCCTGAGGCAGTTGACGAGCAACAAGCGATTTGGTCTGTACTTTTCTATATTGTTGAATAAATGTCAGCCCTGTGAAGCTATATCTCTCGTTTCGAGCATGCGGGTGTTGCCTTGCTAACCTTCGCCGCTGTCTCTCCCGGACGATGCACTCGGCTCTATCCTGAGTACAGGCAGCGCACGGGATGCCGGTGACGGAAACGCTGCAGCGCACTTTGCGTTCACGACAATTTTGGCACGCAACAGCCGATCGACGGTGGCGTTGTTGTGGCATTATGGTGCGTCAGGACACTGAATACAGGCGGCGTCACGTTGCCTCAGGTAGCTGTTTAAAGTCTTCAGTTCCGGTCCCGGGTGAGGGTCACGTGGATTCGGAGACCTCGGCACAGCAACGAAGACACCCGTTTGGCCCTGAAAATGGGCTGTATTTTTAAGCTCGCCCGCCAAGAAATATATTACCGAAAACATGTATATTATACCAGTATATATAGTGGCAGTGCAAAAGCTTGAAACTACCGTATGCGGTCTGGCGCGCAGTCTAATTAAGTGTCTTCCATAAACCTTACCTAGAAGGACAATTAACATCCACAGGCTTCTATCAGCAAGCTCATATCCTTAATTACACCTTGAGTGGCCGATTGTGTATTAATTGATCTTTCTCCATCAGCCTCCCTGATAGTCTGTCTAGATCAGAGTCGTTCATCTGTGAGTACTCTTCAACTCTTTCCATTCAGCAGTTTGCTTCTGCTTCCTCCAAATCCGAGGCAGGTTGAGGCCAATAGGGAGCCAAGTCAAAAACTGGGAGATTAAACGGGAAGCCCATTTCTGCAACCATGAGTGCACATGTCAAATACCATGCCAGGAAGGCCACAACGAAAAAGAGTCCTCCAGAAACCTAAAGAACTAGCGTTAGCAGGCAGGCAAATGAGGACATATGTTTGGTGCGCACATGTTTGAGATGCAGTGCGGAAGGAATATTTCCGACGCTGACCCTCCAATAAGATGCGGAGAGGATGAAGAGTGCAGCTGTTGCATCGGCAAAGAGAGTTGCAAGCACGGCATTCGTTTTGAGAGTCGCAATGAAGAAAGTAAAAACTCCGAACGCCAACACAGAGATATATAGCGCTATACCCGCATTATAGTCGGGTGTTAATGCACCCTCAAGTGCATTGCCCGTCGGTGAATATGACGACGCAATATCGGCAGTTGGCAATTCAAGGAGGCCAAGAGAGCACCAAAATACACAGAAGAAACCGCAAAGCATCATGTTAAAGAAGTTCCCAAGTACCCACTCAAAGATTGTTGAGAGGAGAAGGAGAACTGGCCCGGTAAAGAAGAATATTCCACTTTGAATAGGATTAGCAAACTACCAGAGCTCGGAATCGATTTGTTTCAAGACTTACACAACGCTTGAAAAGGACGAGGCTCCACCCCAGCCCATCAAGACAACCGCAAAAGTTGCAACGGAGAGGGTAAACCTGGCATATCTCAGTGGAAAGGTCACTCGATAATGACTGGAAAAATTTGCTTACCCCAAGAGTCCCAACGCAAGAGAGTTCGCCAACTTTGCTCTACACTTGCCATTGTATAGTTGCGGCTGTATACCCTGGATTAATAATCAGCATCTTGCCGAAAGAAGAAGTTAAAGACTGAAAGTAGAAGAAGCGTACGGCTCTCGAAGTGGATTGCTGGCTAGCAACATGAGTAAGGGCCGGTTCGCGCATGATTCAAACGACAAACGAGAAAGCAACGGCGGATAGAATTAGAAGTAACCTCGCACAGATGAAATTGAATCATGTAGACAAACTTTTTACAGTTTTCCAGGAGGGCTTTAATAGGGAATATCGGTCGCTCCGGGCCTTGCCGAGTAATCCTAAACAATGCGGTGCATCACTTGTGCAGGATCCTCGGCCCCTCTAGAAAGAAGTTGAAAGAAACAAACAATTAGCCGAACGAACCGAGCAGCCTATAAGCTGGCGGCAGCTCAACGTTGGATCGGGAACTCCGGCGGGGTGTGGACTTATCGGGAGGCTCGATGTGCCCTCGGACTGGTACATCTCCGCTAATGTTGCGGGTCGTGTTTCGCGACCGAACCAAAGCTCGCCAAGGAAATTAAATATCAGTAAGATAGACATGGTTAGACAGAGTTATGTGTGTCGCATTATGTATCACAGTTATAATCTCGTAATATAGGACCACGGGTCCTTGTCCTTGGCGGGTCGTGGGTGGCGAGGTCCGAACCGTCACCACGAGATTTCAAACTGCTTCAGAAAGATGTGTACCACACAGACATCAATTATGGGTGACGTTTGAATCAGTTATCCAAGGACAGCACATCACGGACTTTGACTATAATACAGGGCATCGAGTCGGTACTTATTCCTGTAGTCACAAGCCGGTCCATCGTAGTCGGGCACTTGGTGGAGCGATGTAGATTGGTCCAGCGGGACTGGTCCTGTAGTTGCTTATCGCTGAACCATGCATTGGCCGGCAGTGGTAAATTCGAGTCATGGTAGTGCATCGACGCCCATCCCGCTATGTGGTCCTGTTTGGCCCGAGGAGGCGCCCTGGAACAGGCGAACACGCGGGATCCAAACGGGAAAGAAGCAAGTCGTCCGTGCTTCCAGATATCACAGGCTGCTGAAAGAAGACTGGCGTGTGTCTCTTGAAGCATAGGCTGGACCTCAATTCTACGCCACTTGACCTGGGAGCGCGCAATTCTAGCTTCTAGCTATTGCCTCAACTGCGCGACAACGTCCTCAAGTTCCCGGTATCTGCACTAACTCTGGTCTTAATCCAAGGTACCTGACATAACACACACTTACTGTGGCTTGGTAAGGTTTGCGCACGGCCGCTGCATGAACTACAATGCTGCAGGTCGTTCCTGGGCGGTCTTCGTGTTCGGCTGTTGGAATTCTTCGTGAGCCTCTTTGACAAAGCCTACGCAGTCACTTTGCACGGCCTCCCATTGATCTTCTTCTGTCGGCTTGCCCGTGGTTTTCGATCGTTATTTAGAGTGTCGGTTTCAATCTCACTTCCAAAGACTGCCTACCCGCAGCTGCGGCAGCCTCATTCCCCGGTTGGTAGGCTTCCGGATGCGGCGGGAAGGGCCACTCGATTTTTGCTTTTTGCGACCATTCTTGTGGAAAGCAGTCTCCACACGTCAGCAAGTTGTATTTCCAGATAAACTGGTCAGCGGGCAAGCTTAGCTAAATAAACCAAACACTCGGGACAAACAGAGCACTAGCTCAAATTCCTTGAATGTCTGGCCACTAACGTACCGCTATCTTGTAGGGGTGAGCCTGGGCACAATAATTCTTCTCTTATCGTACGGTAGTAGAAAAGAGTGAGAGAGAGTAGAAGGTGGTGACACCACTCTTGGGACAGATGGTATCTAGAAGCAGGAACCAAGAAGAGAAGCTGACGGATCTGTGGCAGGGTGCACAGGCTAGGAATAGCGGGAGGGTCACAGATGGATTGTGAGGTTGATCGTCTCTCGAAGCTGACCGCTGTTGAAAGGTCATTTTGTTGTGAGGGCTCGTAACGTCATGCATGAGCTCGTCTGTCCCGTTGCTTACCACACAAAACCGGCGCAGCGTGGGGTATACTATCCGCTGTACTTGACACATGTGGTAACTTGCCACCTCTCAGGTCGACAACTGCTTCTCTACGCTACCTATAAACCGCCACCACATATTTCCAGTGCATTGATATCAGCATTATCTAGCATTCCTGATCTTATGTCGTCCCCATGAAGTATTTCTCTTACTTTCGTGATTAGTAAGTGAAATTAGTCTTCGACCACCCAATGGCATAATATTCTGCAGGTCAACCCCCTCCCCTTACTCCTGCATCACGCCCTCAATATATATGGCTTTCTAAGTTTGTAAATTGAGCTTGGTCCATATTGCAAATGACCTTGATTTAGAAGAATGATCTTCGTTTACTTTCATAGCGGTTTCTTGGCCTGTAAAGTTTCCTCGGAGAGCGGAAGACTACGCTGCGCACCCGCTTACGTTGCGCAGCCCAAAACACATACTGAAGTAAATGCGAAAAATTACAACTTCATATTATTATAGCGATATACCCTTTAGATGAAATAATAAAACACAGTGTTTTAAGTAGGCCTTCTGGTGCATTTGTATCCTAGGGGAATTCTTTTAAGTATTCATGGAGATATATATTTTATTGATATATAAATTTGTAAATTTTCGCATCCCTGAGTTATTGTGTACGCAGCGTAAGCGGGACGTATGTCAGAGAACCAGGACCGATAAAGATGATATTCAAAAGCTCATAAAAGTTCATATTTTCAATAAAGAGTTAGTTAAACACTTATACAAGTAGTGATGGTAAATGTTCGGACCAAATCAGATGTAAAGAACAGTAATGGATGGGAATGAATTAGCGGTAATCTCATAAGAATCCAGGTCCAATCAACTCAAACCAGGCTGAACCAGGCCAAATCCAGTGGCTATCTCCCGTTGGGGTTGGCGAGGTCTAGTTTGGAACAGGCTTTGTCCTGGCCAAGAAACATAAAAAGACCTCTCCCTACATGACTTGACGTGATTCCTAGCACCCAGAGAACTTCAAATAAGTTTTAGTTGTGATGGCCTTCTCAAATCAACGTCACCACTCTTTTATTGCAGATCCCCCTATCAGGTCGGGACTTGTTATTCAATTCGAATTGTAAAGCCCCAATCCGAATACAAAAGCAAGTCTGGCCAAGGCGGATTTTGAGCATCGGATCAAAAGTCAATATAAGAGAATTCGCTTCGAATATAGGCGGAGTAGATTATGATAGACAAAGTAAGTTATGAGACTAGACAAAGCGCGGCTTCTTAATGAGCCATAAGAAGGCATAGAATAATGAAAATATATAAATTTGGAATTGTACAACTCATGGGGCAAGATAAGTACATCACTTCTAAATGCAATTTCTATAGTAACAATGTAGGGAAAGAAAATCACCGACACTCATGAAAAGAAGAAACAAGGCTTGCAATAGCAACCGCTAGGCTCAGAAAATGCCATTTATCGGAGGAGGGCGATTCCAGTGAAAGCACGGTTCTCATCGGAGTAGATGACCTTCTTGTTCTTGCCCTCCAGATCGGTCTGGTAGATGCTGCCACCAAGATCAGTCAGGTAAATGTGACCGTTGGCAGCATCAAGCTTCACGCCAATTGCCTCGTGAAGGTGCTTGGTGATAATCTCATGCTTCTCCTCAACAAGGCCAGACTCGGTCAGCTGAACCCGGTTCAGGGTGTTACCGAAAGGAATCTCGCCGCGGTCAGTCCAGTAAAGCTGGAGGGTGTCCTCCTTCACCTCAAGATCGACACACTCGGGAAGACCGGACAGAAGGCACTTAATATCGTCTCTCGTCTTGGCAGACTGGCCCGCAGGGGTCTCAATGTTGGCAGTGAAAATACGGCCCTGGCTGCCCTTGGAAACACCCTTCTGGGTCCAGAAGAACTTGCCGAGCTTGGGGGACACAGTGATGCCAACACACCACTTAGAGTGCTCGGGGTTGTCGTCACGGTTATCGATTAACAGGTCCAGGGAGGAACCATCATAGTTGCATCGGAAAACGCGGCGACCTTCACGGTCACAGAAGTAAATCTTCTTGTGCTCAGCAACAACAACAAGCTGCTTAGGGGTGTTGACTGCGCCACCACCAACAATTTGGCGAGCATCAGTTCCATCAGTCTTGGCAGAGAAGACAGAGCCATCATCCTTTCCGGGGATACCCATGTTGGTCCAGAACATGCGGTCACTCTCATAGTCGACATCAATGCCGTCGGGATAAGCTTGGTCGGTAGCAAGAGTCTGCTTAAGCTTTCCGTCCAAAGTAACTTCAAGAATCTCACCGGGGTTGGGAGCGGTGGCCTTAGCGGAAGCGAGTCCAATATCCAGGACAACGATACGGGGGCCGGGCTTGGCGGTGGTATCGGCGGGAGGGTAAAGACCACCCTTAGAGCACTTATTTCCGAGCTTGCCCTCGTCCAGATAGTTCTTCTTCAAGAAGTCAACGGTATGTTCAGAAGGCAGGCCACGCTCGTGGATGTAGTGACCCTCAATGAAGGCAACAGTATCAAGACCGACGCCTAGACACATAAATGTTAGTTTTGGGTCGCATTTGGAGGACTGGAGCTATACTTACTGTCCATCATCTTGCAGGGGCGAGTGCCACCCTGGACGAACATAATGTCCCACATGGCGTCAATCTCCTCGGGAACGGAGACTCCCTCGGACAGAATAGTCAAGCACTCGCGCTTCACGGCAGCCCAGAGGCGGTTGAAGATAAAGCCGGTGGACTCCTTTCTGGCAACATATGGCAAGGTGGCGCTCTCCTTGCAGCGCTCGACCATGAAGGGGAAAATCTCCTCAGAGGTAAAGCCATCGGTCATGAGCTCAACAAGCATGCAGATAGGGGGCATGTAATAATGCATGTTCAGGATCTGAGACTTTCTGGCCTCAGAGACCTTCTCGAGCATTTCGGAAGCCTTATAGGAGGAAGAGTTGGATGCCAAGATACAGTCGGCGGGAGTAAGGGCGTCAAGCTCAGCAAAGGTATCGATCTTCAATTGGATCTTCTCCGGGACAGCTTCGATAACGAGCCAAGCATTCTCGACAACAGTCTTCATATCTTCATATGCGGCAGCCTTGCCAGGAACCTTTCCGGTCTTCTCGGCGTATGAGGCGACATTCTCCTCGACATAGGCAACACAGTCGATACGTTGTTGGGGGCTAGGGTCGCGAACTAGTACGTCATATCCGGCGGAGGCCCAGACACATGCTATGAACAACTGTTAGCCCTCTCACTTCAAAGCACTCGCCTAGGGATAGGAGTCACATACCAATTCGACGACCAAGGACGCCAGCACCAAGGACGGCAACCGGGCGGTTGGCGTAGTCGGCGGGTGCTTGCCAAGAGACAGTCATTTTGCTGAAAAATGAATAGAGAAATTTGAGATGTTTTAGGTCAGTTGGTTGGTATCAGAGTATGATTGAAATTCCAGATGAGTGGGTTCATTCAATGATTAACTGAAGTGCCCAACTTATATACACAACGCTCCAGTTTCGCCGTTCTTACGCCATACGGGGCTAACGGGGGGGCTAAGTTCGGAAGGACGGCATCGAGGAAGAGTCGGCTTCGGCTCGGGAGATAGCCGGAAGGCCGCGGGAAAGTGGAGATTATAAACAAAGATATTGCCGAAGGCCCCACGTGGTTCCGTCCTGGCCCTGATACGGGCCGATAGTAAGCTCCGAGGTAAGATACAATTCCTATTGGCTAACGCTCTGCGGCCAATAGGAATCCCAGGAGTATGAATCGCATTGATTGTTTCATCAACAAGCTTTTTCAAGATATTAGCTTTTTCAAGATATTAGCTTTTCCAAGATATTAGTTTTCCGAGATATTAGCTTTTCCAAGAGATTAGCTTTTCCAAGATATGAAATCTTCCAGGATATTAGCTTTTTCAAGAGATTAGCTTTTTCAACACATCCAAGATATTAAATTTTCCGGCTGATTAATCTCCACTTGCTCACTGGCTGCTGCGAGTCTCGAGATATGGTATACATGGAGACAAGAATCTCACTCTCAGAAAGTGGCGACGAGAAGATTATGAAGGAACTCGAACCGGTAGAAAGATGCCTTCGTTCGAACGGTTTAGCATTTGGAAATCATACAGCGAGGCGTATAGTAATAAATAATTCAATCTTTACATTCCAAGTCACTACCCGGCTGGATGTTCTAAGCGGGTCAAAATTCATACGCCCAGAGGTAACGATGGCAGCTCCTCCAAGGATACACAGCTATTATGCTAGGATTTCACGCGCTGGAATAAATGTTACATATATGTTTTGAGAGAGGAGATTTGAGACAAAAGTGATTCTTTCTACCAGTCCAGGGGGTGAAAAATAATTGAGAATACATCTATCTGAAGAATAAAGGAAAAAACAGAGAGTGACATGATGAACCAAACAATGGAGGCGCACGCAGGCAAAAATCATAAATAAGTCTAGAAGAGGAATATTTGGTCGGTCATCTTGGAGATAGATCCGGGAGCCTGGAAGCCCATGTTTACCAGGGCGCCCTGGGCAGCCTTAATCATACCAGGAGGTCCGCAGAGCATGACCTTGGTATCAGGAGAAGGCGCCGGGAGCTTGGCAGCCATCACAGCCTGGGTGACAAAGCCCTTGCCGTAGGCCCACTTCTGGGGGGGCTGGTCGAGCATGTACCAGAGCTTGAAGTTCTTAGGGTACTTGCGGGCGAATGCTTCGAGTTCCTTGCGGAGGAGAATATCCTCCTCAGTGCGGTTGGCGAGGATCAGGCTAACTTCCGTGGTGTCGAACTCGTCTTCGCAGATAGCGCGAATCAGCTGATACATGGGGGTGATTCCAGTACCGCCAGCAACCATTCCAATCTTCTTGCAGAGACCTCGCTTGTACTTCATGGCACCCTTGGGGCCGCGGAAGAGAGTCTTATCGCCGACCTTCAGGTTGGCCATGTACTTTCCAGTCAGGGCACCGTCGGGGTAGCACTTGATAACCAGCTCCAGTTTGCCCAGGTCGGTGTTATTGGAGGTAGGGGTATATGAGCGAGCGACGTCCTTTCCGTCGATATTAGCTTTAATGGCGCAGTGCTGGCCGATGGGAATTCCAATAACATCGTTTTCGTGGGGCAGCTGGTAGACGAAGCGGAAGACGCTGGGCGAAAGCTGCTCCTTCTTGATGAGGGGAAGCGCCTGGTATTCCTTAGGCTGCAGGAAACCCCGGGCAAGGCCAGGATCGGCCTTCACCGTAGGTCGGCTCTTGATGTGAGGAGGATATTTGGTGAATCCAGACTCGATCTGAGTGATCTTGGAAAGCTTGGTGGCAAGAACAGTGCCAATAGTAGCACACACAGAGAAAGCAGCGGCGAATCCGGTGGTGAATCCTCCCTGCGGCAAGCTAAGAGACGGCGCCAGGCGCAGCGAGAGCGCAGCAGGCAGAGAGAGTTTGGGGAGCAGATCTTGCAGCTTGGGATGACGCTGGGCAGCCAAGTAGAGCGCAATACCACCAGCAAGCGAGCCGACAACCAGGGTAACTGTGCCCGCGGAAGAGCCAGATGAAGTGGTCACCTTCTTGGGAGGAGATTGCTGGACGAGCTTGACAGCCTTCTTAGTGGCCTTGACCTCGACGGCATCCGAAACAGTGCCAATCTTAAAAGTCTCCAAGATCTCATCCGCATCCTCGGAGTGGCCAACCTCATCATATGCCTCGGTCGCATCGAGTCCAGCGACATCGTAGAGGACATCCGCACCACCGGGGTGGTCGCGTACGTATTTCGTCAGGTCGTAGACTAGAATATCCCGTTAGGTGTCAATGTTCCAATGGGTAGAATGGCGAGCACATCTTACCTTTTCCGTGAATGATGACCCACAAGTCAGTTCGGTCTTTGTGAGTGGCGACATCGGCCACGGTGAACACCTTATCAGCTGCCATTGTGGAGGTTGTAAGATGTCTTGTTGGACGAAAGGCGGATATTTTCTTTCAGGAGATGGCGCAAAGGTCGTCTTTTTAGGGACAGACTGTAGGAACAAGGGTTCTTCGAGTTGGAAGAGATCAGACGGGGAAGTCAAAGATCATAGACGATTTGTTGTTCAACACAATCAAAAAAAATGGGGATAGAAAAGATGACCCCCTAATATATGGAACTGCATCTCGCTGTGGTGGCTTAAATTTATCGGGCCATATTCCGAGGATCTCCTTTGTCTTCAATGCCGAGAGATCCCGGCCCGGAGAGAACGGACCAGGGCAACAACAGGCACAATCCAGAGCGAGAATGGAAGGGATCGACGGAACACGTAAGGCGAGCTAAGATAAGGAATAACCGAGAAGCGAGGTGATAAGTGCCGAGCAACCGGGCCGCATCGTTCCGAAGAAGCGAGGCAAAGCCGCTCGCGCTGGTTGGGCGGGTATCGCGGTGGAATTCGGGAAGCCTAGCACTGTGCCCAATGACACATACGCGGGAGAAGATAAGGGAAACTTCTAGGGTGCCAGTCTAGCAAAGAGACTTTCCAGCCCGATCCGCCTCAGTCGCCTTTCCGAAAGTTCGGTACTCGGATCTGACCCGCGAGCGGAGGAATGGCTGCTGTCATTAGAATTAGGGCGTATATATAACCCAGAAACCGGGCATTCTGAGACCCATACAAGCTAAACACTCAAGTTCATTCTACGAACACTTCAGACACCATGCCTGTACAACAGTTCTATCTCCTGGGCAACCCTGTCACGTCCGCAAAGGAGATCGAGATCGATTCCAACACCGACCTCGATGGACTCAAGCACTTGATTGCCGCGCACTTTGCTATCGTCGAGCCAAGTGGTAGGTAACACCGGGCAGAATTCACCATGATACCTTTTTTTCAATTACTCTAACACTCAACTAGGAATTGCCTTCCAGTTCCAAGAGGCCGAACTCGCCGAAGTTTCCGACGTTGTTGCTGCTAAGGGATTGGTGACGATCACCATCGATGGCCACGCCGTCCGCGATCCCCCGGGTCCCAAGGGCTTGCCTATGTTGGGTAACTTCTTGGAGATCTACCCCGATCACCTTGGCAACCACCAGCGCCTTTTCGAGCGATATGGTCCCGTTATTCAGACCAACAACATGGGTCGCGTCACCTACCAGACTAACGACCCGAACATCGCCGCTATTGCCTTCGCCGAATCCGACTTTTTCACCAAGGAGATCAACAAGGCCCACCCTCTTTACGCCCTGAAGACCCCCGCTGCTGGTGTCTTCCTGGGTGACACCGATACTCCTGAATGGAGAGTCGCTCACAAGTTCCTGCCCCCCGCCCTGGGTCCTAAGGCTGTTCGCCACTACGCCCCTACTATGCAGAAGACCGTCGAAGATGCCTGCAAGGTCTTCGATAAGCTGGATGAGCAGGGTGAGGCCTGGAACGTCTACCAGTACATGCTGAAGCTCGGTGCTCAGGCTGTCGGCAAGCTTACTCTGGGCTTGGACTTCCAGCACTTTACTTCGCCTGACGCGCCTGTTCACGAGATGGTTCACCTGATTGCTGAGCTTCTTTCCTTGAACAAGAAGGTCACCTCCAAGGGTGACTGGTATAGCAGCCTGCCCTTTGGTGACCCTAAGCGTCTGAAGGACATTAAGGCCCGTATTGAGGGTATGGTCGAGCAGTCTATCCAGGCTGCTGCCAGTAATGGTACCGAGGACCTCCCCCTGCAAGATGCCGCATTGAAGGCATCCAACATGGTTGGTAAGTATTTCAATCTTTCACTACCTATAATAGATACTAACTATATTGAATCTAGACTATGCTGTCCGCGCTACTGACAACAAGGGTGAGAAGCTGCCCAAGGAGAGTCTTGTCTGGGCCCTTGTCGTGGCCACTGGTGCTGGCTTCACAACTACAAGTTCGCTGCTTTCGTGGCTCATCTACGGCCTGGTCACCTACCCTGGTATGCAGGAGAGACTCCTCCAGGAGCTGATTGACAACGATTTCAACGACGAGACCGAGATCACTGCCGATTTCACAGAGCGTCTGGTCTTCCAAGATAAGTATATCAAGGAGATGCAGCGCCGACACAACCCCTCTTTCCAGCCTGGCCGTACTGCCAAGACCGACCTCATCCTTCCTGGTGGTTACAGACTTCCCAAGGACGCCGTGATTATTCCTGCCATCCACCACATTCACAACAACCCCGACCTGTGGGACAACCCCGCCAAGTTCGACCCCGACCGCTGGGACACCCCTGAGGTCAAGAACCGTCACAAGGCGGCCTACGTACCATTCGGTGCTGGTTCGCGTATGTGCATCGGTTTCAACTTTGCGCTCCAGGAGATCAAGGTCTTCCTGCCGAAGTTGATCTACAACTATAAGTTTGTTCGTGAGGGTGACGCAACCATCGAGTACGACCCCATGTTCCAGCTTATCCGCCCGAACAACCTGTATGTTCGTGCTACTAAGCGCGTCAAGTGGCCCCCCAAGACGGAGGTTGCTGTTTAAAAAGACTGCTCTCCCAAATATCAGATGCAGTCTTGATATCAAGCTCCGCGCCCACGGAAGGGCTTGTGTTGTATTTTCATAGTTCTTATGTTTCATGATCTGGAACCTTGTGTTATTTTATTGGGCTCTCAATTTCAATTTCATTTCAATTTCTCACTTCCACTCCCTCTTGTCTTCAAATGTAACGCGTCTTTCGTTTATTTAGTTCCCTTCTCTCCAAACTAATCATGTATATTTTGAAACAAAATGAGTAGGCATCTTGGTCGCTGAATCAAGGATTCCCTGGGTGGCGTGATGTGATCTCTTGAACCTCTCCATATCCCAATCCGGAACAGCGACTGCCAGACGGCTAGCCGATCGAAGGTGGACCCGCAGCAAGCATCTGAATCCCGGGGCCCCTAGGCTGTCCCTACCCGGTGCCAATGCTCCATCGTCTCAAATCCATACTATGATTTCACACTCTCTATATGAAGACTTCACATCGTACAAATAGGCTTTCATATCCCCCATAACCGGTGTCACTCGGTCATTATCCAAGCCTAGATCTTCTAGACTTTGACTCTGCTCGTGCAAAGAGTCTTCGGCGGCGAGAGCCTGGGATGATCTCACATTATCTTCGACGTGGGTGTCCCTGGCATCCGGGATGTCTCGGGTCTGCATTGGTGACAAGTCTGTTAGGCGCTTGGTCAATGACGAGGCAGCCATAGCACGAAATAAGGGTTGATGGCTTACTTTGACGCTTGAACCAACGTGTCACCCTGAGCAACTGGGGGCTTCTCGTGAGACCCGATAAACACTTTTACTGCGAAGGTTGTTAGAATCGTCGGCACATATACCAAGAAGGCAACTAAGTGTGGCTTTTGGAGCGATTTTCGCAGCAGAGATAGGTCTACAAGAATGGATGCTTTTGCACAGAAGTCCGTGTCATAGTCAGTCGTTGTTCGAGAGATGCTAGCGAAGCTGATATATGACAGATAATATTCGATACAGGAGTACTGAGGATGCTTGAAGAAGAGGGGGAGGGATGGATGTATCTCTCAACCCAAAGTTCATTCCTTAATGAAGCTACTTGGCTCTATGCTTCTCCAGCTGCGTTGCGATTGGATCTAGAGAAGTCTACTGATCACCCTCGCACGACGAGCTACCTGAGGAGGAGCAGAGTGATTGCGACGGTCAGCGATCCTAACGCTTGAAATGGCAGCAAAAGATGCCTGGTCGCCATCAACCCAAACAACGCGGTTATCTGGGGTCGAATCTTCTAGCTGTTGATTCTGCTTCTGTTTGGCCACAATTGCGGCGGGCCCGATCCAGTCACCGTCACAGCTACTGCGTTGGGTCAATTTGGGGCGGGATCTCTCATTGGACGCCTCGGTTCCCCGATAGGGCTGAAAGGATTCATTGCCTCCGCGGCTAGCGACCCGTGATCGATCTTCGAAGGCACTGTTACCCTCCAGTAGTGACCCAGCCGATGCTATGACATCTCTCCCAGCGGAATGGTCACGACTGGATGATAAGAAGGGCACCCGGAACTGTCGGCGGACCTGGATGTCGCTGGAGAAGGCACCCCCTGGCTGGCGAGGGACAGACGCGGGCCGCTCGCGAGATACAACCACAGCTCCGGCGGAGCCTTGCGTAACTCGACTGTTGATGGATCTGGCGCTCACGCTGCGGACATGCTTCCGGACAAAAGCATCTCGTTCTTCGCCTATCTTGCTAATCAGGCTCTCGATGTCCTCATACCATGCCATCATGACCTCGTGAGACTCGGCGCGGAGGACCCATGAGTGGCGCCGGTGCATTGCGCCACTTTGTCGGCCCTTCAATATGAACTTGTGAGAGCTCGAGTCTTCCTGTGAATGAGAGCCAAGCTTCTGCTCCGGCAGATAAAGCGACATGATCGGCGTCTGCCATGCCACACGATCGGCGGACTTGAATTCATGCAGATAAGTCGGGGATAGAACATACCTAGGGTCAGTTAGATAAGAGCTTCACCAAACACAGACAAAGGGACCTTACCAGCCAGGAGTATAACTCTTGACATATTTGCTCTTACGCTGCAGCATGCCAGCCCTAATTGCTATAGCGGCTGGCTCGTTCATGCCAGGGTAGGTAATGTTCTCTATATACCGTAGAGGAATCTGAGGATCGGGTAGCTCTTTGGTCTGGGTGACAAACGAATTCCATTCGCGATCGTGGGGCATCGAGATTGGACCCGCCTGGAGCTTCTCTACAGTATCGAGAGCTTCATTGGCTTCAAGTTGAGGGATACTAGCGTAGGTATTATAGGCTTTTTGGATCTGGCTCACAACAATCGACTCCAGCTTACGGCCAGAATTTTCTAGGTTTAAGAGTGCCTATGAATACAATATTAGTTAAGCACCCATCATAGGTATATTTAAGGAACTACAAACCCGATGCAAGTAGTTCTCTTGCTCGATCTGCTTCTCGACCTGTCTCTCCACGTTTAAACGCAGAATAAATGGATCGCCTTGGCCTAAGGTAGCAGAGGGGTCGGTGTCGACAAGCCCGAGAGCCTCGTGCAAGTTGTGCACGGACATGCGCGTGGCATCGATATCCTTCTTGAGGGAATGTTTGAAATATCCCGACAAGGCCCTAATTTCCTTGGTCTTCTTCTGGATATCGCTGCAAAGACCGGTCAACTGGCTGATTACTTCAACCTCCACTTCGACCGCCTTGTTGGTATTGGTATAACTCTGCTGGAGGGAATCCCGGAGAATAGATGTCGCATCCGCTAGGCCACCGGACTCAAGGAAAGTGGGTGGAAGGGTTTGATTGTTAACAACGTGAGAGGCAGCCAAGAGCAACTTCGCCTTAGTTTCGTAGGATTTGTGCACATCCTCGAAGAAGAGAATCAGGTCTTTGAGAATCTGACACCAAGCTAAATACTAGTCAGCAGAATCCCGGCTTGCGCGCACGAAGGGACTAGAAATCCACCTCCGAACCGATTTGCCAGCACCTCCGCCGGGTTCCCGGTAATAGGGATCGAAGTCATGAAAGCACTATTGAGATCAGGCGGATCCTCAGTGTGATATTTTTCGCTATCACCTAAGCTGAGACTGCTCAAACTGCCCGCGCGCCTGCTTCTCTGGCTGCCATTGCGTCGCAAGCTCCCCTTCTTCCTTAGAGAAGAAGCCTTCTTTAGGAAGGTACTCGCTCGGGACGGGATCGGGGAGCGAACGTGGGACATGGTCGAGGTAGACCGATGCACCTCCGCGGGGCCGCCGTACACGACCGAGCTGCGGTAACTGGCAGTGTGCAAGTCCTTGTTGAATTGGGGTTTGGGGGGGTTGAACTCGAGAGGGGATGGGTAGAATAATCGCAATCGGCGTGGTGAGTTGCAATTGAACTGGAATCGAGAAAAAGGTCAAGGCGAGAGGAAGAGAGGAAGAAAAATCAAGGATGATAATTGCAAGTCCTCACGAGCTTAAAGTGGCGGGTGCACGGAGGACTTTGTTTTGCGGGGAGTACTGGATCACTGGGGGTTGGTAGGCTTCAAGAGCAACTCATCCGCCCCACACATCCGACTATCAAAGGTCTGCCGAAACAAATAGTTACGAAGTAGGCAGATGAAGAGAAGAAGATGAAAATATGGGCTTCTTGGACGTCGGTAGGGCTGACGGGCCAAAGATTGAAGAGCGAAAGCATTACCAGGGTCAAACGATGAATGACGTCTTCGAGGGGGGGTTTCTCACGAGCGGCCGAAGTAAAGGGGCGTTGTCCGAGGAAGGTCCTTCGATGAGTTGGCGCCACCACCTCCTCTCATCAAACTCGTCACGGGAGACTGTCCCAGAATGAAGCTCAGCTTTGGTTGATCTCGGCCCGAGCTTCCCCCGCTGCTCTTTTGGGACCAGATCCCATGCGCGGGAGCCGATTCATCGTGCAACAACGTTCACTTTGCGCAGTATTCGACCTGCTAGAATTAGAGATGTATTCCGATCGGCTGGTATTGCTCTCCCATAGTCGGTGAGGAATCGTTCGATCAAGGCTCCGAATTATCGATGCGCCTATACTTCGAATTGTCGGACCTTCTTGAGCGCTTGACTGTTCATCTCATCGTGGATGACTAGGAGCCACGAGAACAATCGTTAAAAAAGGTGATGACGTATCTGGATCTTGAGCAATGGGCATTTCCATCTGTCCGAGTGGATTATCCTGCATGTTCTCGATGAGTACAGTTGTGGCCATCTCTCTGATGCTGCGACCCAATGTGCAAGCCGGATACTACGGCGACATTCGCCGTTCCGTCCTAGTAAGCGGTGGTAGTGGTACAGAGTGCTAGTCGAAGTCCCCACCGAGCATGCCACAATGTTTCGGGGGCATGGTCGCCGCTCGTGGCGTACCACTTGATGGGGGTCGTCGACGACCATGGCCACCGCCTGCGGTTCCACGGGTCTGCCTAGCCACGATCCTCCAGCGCCCTCGCCAATTGGATGTTGGACTACCCCGAATCCTTGGCTCACGTGGCACCGTAGGATCCACTGATCGTCCCCCGCATAGTACCGAAGACATTAGGTGGGTACGCCTTTCCGCATGCAGATCAAGTTCATCCCGCGTGGCGCGAAATACGTACACATTCTTCAACACCGGGGGTTGGGTTGAACTTCACCCCAAGAACTGCCGCCCTACCAATTCCCTCGGATTCCACCGGATCGCCCGCAGCGTCCGGAATCCACCGGGCTGAAGGCACAAATGGTCGGCACACCTCGCCCTCACGATATTGATCCTCGGGTCTCTTGGAAGTCGACCGGCCCGGTACGCCGGGCGGAAGTCCCGGAGACATTCTTCTTCGGGCCGTCTGTTCGGCCTGGGACAGGCGCTTACAGATCGTCGTCGGGGCAGGCCGGGTCCATCCACTCGAGAACTGGAGCTATTTGGGGAACATTCTCGCGACTAGAGCTGACACAGCTTTGAATACGCCCCAGTCGGTGGAAATCAAAGAACAACCTAATAGACAGTAAGACGAGCTAGACATTGCGACATGGACTAAGACGACTTCGTGGTTGAGGGCCAAGCTGAGGAGGGGGTATTTTACCACGATAGGATTGCTCAGCCTCCAACCATCCTGCTCTGGCTTTATATGGTAACTCTGGTATATTTGGATGTACAGCGTCGTGACATGCTACCTGTAGACCCCCCGAGGATCTCTCAACGGATCTTCCCAATATTCAATCAACCACTCGTTCCTTTGGGTAGCTGGAGTACTAATCAGTACAAGGAATTTCGCGCTCTGACACAAGGCATAATATGGGCCGAAAAGGCCGGGGGTGCTTCACTCATCCATCCTCAAGGCCAACACATTCAACATCCACCAAAAAATACACTCCATCAGGTATATTGCTATATCACTCTATTCTTGAATAATTTACCCATGTATCTAAATCTTACGCCAGCTTACTAGAGATAAAGCTTTTGAATGGCCGGGTACGGAGAATGCCGATTCAAATGGAAAACGCATTGTAAAAGGAAAAGCCAATCAACGAGTAAATGACAATAAAAAGCACGTTCAGGCCAGGCGAGACTCGGGAAACTCGGGAAATTGAAATCGGTCATGCAAATTTGTCAAGCCGGTAGGTGAGGCTCCACATGGCGGGGTTTGACCAAAAATCGAGATCATCCAGGCGCGTTCAAGGAGTTCTCAACGAAGACAAACCACTCGAGAGTTCTTGCGTTGCAAACCAGAGGAATGAGCGATTGCCGTGAATGGTAGATTCACCTAGCCACATGCTGTAGACATAGGCTGATGCTAACACATCGTGTTTGGAGACTAACACCTGCTAAACCATTACTTCCCGCTCTTTGGGGCTGGCATTCTCAGCTTGCCGTTGACGGTTGCTCTCGCACTGACATGACCCATCATTGAATAAACTTTCTGATATAGACAGGAGACTGAAAAAAAATATATAATATCCTTCTCTTTTTGTGTTCTGCTTTAGTAACCGCAACAGAGAACTCGGGCATCCATAAACACACCTACGCCGCCTCTTTGCTCCCCTAGGCTGCAGAAGTCTTTGTCGGCTTCGGCCACTCCGTCCTTCTCTTGGCTCGGATATACAAATTTGTAGGCCGAATCAGCTGGTACTGGGGATCATACTCGACGGAATTTTCTCCTTCGCGGGAGAACTCGTATCTGTATACCAAAGACGGGAGTGCCACCTTGACTTCTCCGAGGGCGAAGTTGAACCCGATGCAAGACCGCGGACCAGTTGCGAAGGGAATATATGAGCATTTGTGCCGTTTCTTTGAATCATCGCGTCCGAACCGCTCCGGGTCGAAGCGGCTAGGGTTGTCCCAAATGTCAGGGTTCGCATGTATGGCGTAAAGGGCAATGATCAGTGCCGCCCCTTTCGGGAGCTCATATCCACCAGGGACAATGCAGTCAACCTTGGTAATCCTGCCGGGCTGGAATGATGGGTTGTGTAGCCTAGAGAAATGACACGCCGAGATGAGCATGCTATGATCCTGGGGGGCGGTGTTGTGCAAGGGCCGCTTACCTCTGAGTCTCCTTGATGAACTTATTTAGATATGGAAGGCTATCCGTAAGGTCCGGATCATAATGCGTGTTCTCGTTGACTCCGAAATCAACAAGCTCTTGCAGTAGACGGTCTTGCGTTCCTTCATAGGTGCATAGGGAGTAGAGCAGCCAAGATAATAGGCAAGCCGTCGTGACAAAGCCTGCTCCGACAACTATTTATTGGCAATGTGAGCCAATGTGTAATCTAAATCCGCACACAGCGGAAATCAATGATGAAGACTGGTTTCTCTCACCTGGGAGCATATTGGGCGATATAAGTTCCCTTGGCATTTTTTGTCCCTTTTCATCGATTGCTCTGTTGAGGTAATCAAAAACACACGTTGCTTGCAAAGCAGCCTCGCTTATAGGCAGATCCTGATCTCCGCCTTTCGGACATTGCTCGAAAGCATTGTCAAGGAGATCCTCCACGTGTTTGTATACCCTTGCCAATTCCTTGGGATCACCGAATGGCAGTTTTGAGTACCTGTAATCCATCAGCTATCCTGCAAAGCCGCTGGGGCCAACGAACTGACCATTCTCCTTTGGACGCCACTTTTTTATTCAGCTGAAGGGTTCTTTGAATGGACGTGACTAAGGTATGAACCGGAGCGTCCACTGAATCGAAATGATGAAGGTTCTGTGCCAACCCATTATAAGGACAGAGCTAAGAGGTGAAACAGAATTTCAGCACTCACCATTCCCAAGGCAAATTCGCCTATCGCTCCACTGTAGAATGAGTCAGTAAAGAAGGGATAGGTCGTGGGAGAAGAGTTAATACCTAGCTAACTTTAGCATGTACGCATAAGTGTTCCATGCCTCACCGCGCTCATCAAGTTCGTCAAACACCGAAAATGACGAGTGAACTACCTTCTGCATCAGAGGATGGTAGTGTCGGATGGCCTTCGGGTTCATCGAGGGGGCTATGAAGCGATGGGCCGTGCGCCAGTTCTCATTAGTGTCGCAAAGAAACAGAGCATGCTGATTATTGATAGGGTACAGCGGATGATTGGGGTTGGAGGTCGCCTTGGTAAAGTAGGGACCCTCCGAAAAAGCCACGTCGGCCACGTTAGGGTCGCAGGTGAGGTAGTTTTGCCGGCCGTAGGTGGTATATTTGATGACACCCCCAAACTTATGGAACATGCGCGCATGATTGCCAATATGATCGGGAAAAACCTCGTAATATGCGCCTGCCAATGGGAGACCCTCCGGCCCAGCCTGTGTTCAACAATTGTGTTAATCTTATACAGCACGACCCTGGTACTCTGCTTCTTTTTTCATTGAACTTGGTGGAAGAGGATTTCATACTGGTTCGCGGACTTGGTGTCCATCAACAAGTATTCCCACAGGTTGGGAGCTATCAAGGACTTCCTCGACGTCATGCAAGAGATGTCCTGTTTGGTTTTGGAAACTGATGCCATCTGGCACAATAATGTTGAATTGAGCGGCAGCCTTCGCTTTCAACGCGTTGAGGTCATCTGTTCGTTCAAATCGAATCTCCTGCTTGGTTTTGTTGGGATCCTTTCCCAGAAGGAATACTTCCACAATCATGATGGACCTCGTAAGTAGTCAGAATATTGACGAAGCGGCTTTAGAGGCGTGATTGGAAGCGAGATTCCGGGGTGACATTATATTATAACATCTAACACCTAAAGTCAATAGCCCCTTCCAAATAGAGTTTCTCCCCTCCAACCCCCTCCTTGGCGTCATTTGATGTCCAGATCAACGCCACGATTAATTAAGATTTTGGGCCCAGCAATACGTATTACTATTGACTTTATATATGACGTAAGTGCAACATTTTGCCGGTCTCGCCAGCAGCTGGCTCTGGAAAGCCCCCGGCATCTTCGGATCGTGAGTTCTAATGGACTGGTCATCAGTCTTCCGGATGACCGGTCTTCTTCCATCCGCTGTTTAGAGAGGAATATTAGCCGAGAGAAGCGGATAAGATGTGCTTTGCTTAGTCCGTGGGAAACTTGTAGTCAGCAGAGACGAGGACCGGGGCTTCCGTGTGCATAAACTGTGAGCTTTGAAGCTCATCGTACACTAAGGACTATCATCCAATGATTCTTTTGACGTATTTCAATCAACTGGCAAGCATTCCACTTTTGTATTCGCTTTCGGAGTTCGCCTAGGTATGAGAAGTTATCATCTAGAACTACTAACAGAATACCTGCAAAATATGTTGAGATATAATTCAAGTCTCGGTATGCTCACTACTTAAATGGATATTTTGGTCGAGTAGATTTTTCAATAAGTACTGACTGGCCACATATGAGTGTTTGGGTAATATAATGGGATCTTCTCAGGACGGAACTACTTTATTGCAGGCCATGGAGGCTGAGACAGCACTCTGAGAAGGTTTATTTCATATGTAGATAAAATGCGGTCCGCTCGATGATAGTGACTGGTCGCCATCTGAATATGGTAAGTAAGCACAGCAACTTTTAAATACACCCGCGGGTTGAAGTTTAATTTACACATGTATCTGCAGTGGACAATAGAAGGTCGAAAGCAAAAAACACCTGTGCTGGCAGGATTTCTGTCGGGAAACACCTGCCAGTTTTCAAAAGACAAAGACCTCATCCGTAACGTGTGCGACAGCGGTTGGTCGATGGAACCCCAGCTCGACTAGGGTATTGGTTATCGCCTTTTGCATCCCCGGAGGACCGCACAAGAGGATCTTGGACTCTTCCCCATTTTGGGCCGGGAGTCGCTCTTGGATTAACTGCTTGTTGATGTGTCCACTGCCGTATTGCCATCCATCTGGGGGCGAATCCAAGACGTACCATATCTTGAATTTGTGGGGGAAGGTTCGAGCATAATCGTCAAGTTCCTCGCGAAGAAGGATATCCTTTTCGGTTCGGTTGGCAAACAACACGCTAAGCTTTGTATTGTCTTTCTCGTTGGTGCAAACTGCTTTTATGATACTAAAATTTAACAGTTTCAGCATACAGCCCTTAAAAGTAGATGGGACATATTACCTGAACATAGGTGTGATTCCTGCAACCGTTCGTGTGAGTTACATTCCCCGCTAATCTTAGAGCGCGCATCGACATGGTACTCACCTGAGCCACCAGCAATCATGCCCATTTCCCGAGTCAGATACCGAGTATATTTCATCTTTCCACCAGGGCCCCGGAAATCTGCCTTATCACCAATTGCAAGATTTGCGAGATATTGCGACATGAAGCCGTTGGGATAGGTCTTCACGACCAGCTCCATCCGTCCTCGTTCGCGATTACTCGACACTGGAGTATAGCTCCGACTTACCATTTCCCCCTTGTCATTTTCATGCCGTATGTAGACATGTTGGCCTGTTGGCAACCCCAGAATGGAACCAGCTTCCGGAAGACCGAAGACAAATCGGAAAGTATCCGGAGAGATCTTATGTTTCTCCACGAGGGGAAAGCTCTTGAATTCTCGTGGATTCAAGAATCCAGAGTTGATCGCCCGTCTCCTAGCAATGACAGGTCCAGCTTTGATATGCGCAGGAAATGGAAGTTTCTTTTTGCCTTTGAACAAAGAGCTGAACCAGAACGTCGCTGCTACCGCCATGAATGCGCTAGCGACAGACGAAATGCAAAAGCCAGCCCAAAATCCACCAGCCTTGTCGAGTGCGAATAAACCTTTACTCGATCTCGTACCGAGAAAGATAATCCCAGTGATAAAAAAAAGGCCAATAGAAATAGCTGAAGCTAGAGCTTGAAGTTGCTTCTTGCTGGCGGCTTTCTTCTTGCTGGCGGCATCTTCCTTATGGGCAAAGGTTTCTCGGGGAGTGAGCGTGATGTCAGCCGCCCCCGTCGTAGTTGTTTCAGACCGCTCCTATTCGACCTGTAAGTGTCTCCCAATCCAACAGTACTCGAGTGAGTCTAACATTATCGGGTAGTCTGCCAACGAGATATTTCTCCAAGACCTCCCGTGCATCAGTGCTGTGGCCGATGTCTTCAAATGCTTCGGTGGTGTCTTGGCCCGCGGATTCCACTAAGATAGCTACCCCTCCAGGATCTTTCTGCCTGTTAGCGCAACGGGAAGAAAAGAAATATGGCTGGGCGAACTCACGTTCCTCAAGGTAGGGTGTAATATTGTAAACCTTTACTTGGCGTAAGTCTCAGGTTTTGCAACGCGATGGGAAATATCACACCTTGTTATGCAAGATTACCCACAAGTCATTCTTGGTGGCATGTCTCGCAACCGCCCCTCTGGTGATCACCTCATTATCGGTGGTATCGTTTTGGGACATATTGTCAACAACGAAATATTTGTTCAAGATCTTCGCTGGAGGAATGCACGATATCTTAGGAATGTTTCCTAGTAGAGAACCGAATATTTTCAGTGGGGGACAAGAGCGAGAAATACTTTCTAAATGATTTTGATTGGAAAGGATGATGTGAGACCAGAAACCGAAACTTGTACCCCCATTTCCCATCATGGAGATACGACAATTCTCCGAAACTATTTTTCTCGGATTTCGCTGGATAAGTCATTTGGTCTAGTCTTCCAATCAACCATGGTCCCCAATATCTTGCTACCTAACTCAAACCTTGTCCAACGGCGAAGAGGTCACGTGTGGCGGAAGCTTCGGAAGTCGTGTGTGCTTCGAGAAATCTTGGGTCCGGTCGTACTTGTTCAACGGTACCTAAGTGCAAGTTGTAGATTCGGAAAGCCAAAAATAAGGGTTAGCTGTAAATCTATGGATAGTGGCTGAACGTGTCCAAAACCTTATTCTCTCATCCCATGACCCCACTGGAAACTCCCCACAAAACTTACATTGTTTGGTGTTTAATACGCTTTATGGTTCAGGTATATATATTCCCGAGTTTGAGTTTGACGCCGGATAAAAAAAGCGATTCTTTCGGGACTCTAGATTTTACCCCTCAATACTCATGACGCGTGGCATTGTGCTCTGGGTCAAAGTCAAACGCCACAAGTGCTAGTGGACCAATGCCCGCTGGCTCCGGACCGTCCCTCAGCATGAAAATACGACCCGTAGGTAGTAATGAGAGCATGACTTTCCTACGATCCACGGATGGAGGGAACCAGGTGATCGAAAGCCACGACATCAGAAGGCCCAGGCCCGCTATTTGTCCTTCCTAGCATTGGAAAAAGCATGATCGGAATGGAAAGGAATCAATGCAGTCCACTAAAAGAACATCGTGCTGTTTGCAAAATCAATCCTCCTGATTAGGGCCATACTGGCCGCCTATTATAATAAACCGGTAGTCAAATTTTGAAAATAATCACGCTGCTTATCAAAGTATATGAACAGAAGGAGACCCGTAAAACCGAGCCATCTACTTTCCTTTAGCACAACCGACAATTCAACCAGGGAAAGGACAAGCTCCCATCGGCCGTCAATTCTTTATCATCCGTTAACTCAATCAGACTGGTTCAACCATCCCGCAAAGCAAATCCCAGTATGCCTTCATGGAAAGCACCAACAATTGGCGAGCGCCCCGTCGCTCTTCTAGGAGCTGGAGTCCTTGGTGAGGAAGAATTTGTGCCTTACAATGGCTTTGTGAGCAAATATTTACAAATTATAGGTCGTCGAATTGCCTGCTCATGGGTAGCTGGTGGCTACAATGTCATCATTAGAGACCCCAGTCCTGAGCAGAGAAGCGCCGCTATTCATTTTATCGACAACAATGTCGCCGAGTTTTCAAAAATCCTCTCAACCACCAGCGTTACGAAGAAAGGCACATATAGTGCGGTTGAAGACCTTGATTCTGCTGTCAAAGACGCCTGGTTTGTAATCGAGGCAGTTCCAGAAAAGCTAGGTCTTAAGATTTCTATATTCGGGGAGCTCGCCCGAAAGGCACCATCAGACTGTATCCTGGGTACCAATTCATCATCCTACAAATCAAGCTTAATGTTGGATGAAGTGGATGCGAACGGGAGAACGCGGGTTCTGAATGTCCACTACACCATGCCGCCAACGACGAGGACCGTGGAGTTGATGACCAGTACTTATACTGACGAGGCAATATTCCCCTTCCTTGTTACACAGCACAAGAACGTCGGCCTTCTCCCAGCTGTTGCTCGAAAGGAATCCACTGGGTAAGCCCCTCGATTAGGTTGGCGGTGTTCTGGTCTGACTATGAGCAGGTTTATTTTCAACCGTCTCTGGGCCGCAATCAAGCGTGAAACCATAAAGATCCTCGCAGAAGGGGTCAGCGATGCTGAGGAAATAGACACCTTGTGGGTGAGTGTACATATAGTTCCGCTTTAGGTCCAACTCCATACTAACCACCTGAGAAGGCTGAGATGTTTGGCGATAAAAAGCCAGGCCCGTGCGCATTGATGGACGCCGTTGGCCTTGACACAGTTGCCTTTATTGAAGATAACTATATTCAAGAGCGTCATCTGGATCCGACCAACACCGTTGAATTTCTCAGAAAGAACTACATCGCGCAAGGCAAGCTGGGAGCCAAGTCTGGCAAAGGTGGCCTCTACCCACCTGGATATACGACTAAAGTCAAAGGAAAGGAGGAGTGCAGCACAGAAAATCTGGCTGCTCCCACAATCTACCTCTTGGACATAGGCTTTGGTGAGAATGTCCACGCGGATTACTTTAACTCTGGGAGACTCATTGTTGCCTCTGCCGACGGCACTACTTGGCGGGCTATTTTAAGCGGCCTTGAAACGCCAGATGGTATTGATGTTAGCCTATCAACCGGGCGAATCTTCTGGACCCAAATGGGGGTTCCATCAGAAAACAATGGATCGGTGCTGTCCGCAAATCTTGATGGCTCAGATGTCAAAGAAGTCATATCCAAAGGTCAAGTGCATACGCCTAAGCAGCTCGCGATCGATCATCAGAACGAGAAGCTGTACTTCTGTGATAGAGAAGGTATGCGGGTTCACCGAGCCAACTTCGATGGCAGTGAGCATGAGATCATAGTCCAGACTGGCGATTTCAGGGACTCCGCCCAAAAGGAGGACGAGTTGAGATGGGTGAGCTACATGCCTATGTATCGAGACTTGACATTGGAACTTACGTGTGTTAATTTTTTAGTGCGTTGGAGTTTGCATTGATACCGAGAATGGCAAATTCTACTGGACCCAGAAGGGACCCAGTAAATCTGGCAAAGGCCGCATCTTCCGTGCCAATATCAATATGCCACCTGGAGGAAGCGCACCAAATCGGCCTGATATCGAACTCCTCTTCGACAAGTTGCCTGAGCCCATTGATCTTGAGATTGATGTTGCTCAGAAAATGCTGTACTGGACAGACAGAGGCGAATATCCCTTGGGCAATACGTTGAACCGAGCCCCCGTTAGTCCCGGAATTGCTGCAGGCCACGCTACGTCGAAATTTGAGATTTTGAGCCGGCACCTCCATGAGGTAAGAGTTGTTCACACATTGTATCATGTGCCAATGCATCAACTAGATGGGCTAACATTCGATATAGGGGATTGGACTCCGGCTCGATCATGTCAACAAACACGTATATTATACCGATCTTGGTGGCTCAGTATACCGATCCGATATGGATGGAAAAAATAAGCAGACGCTCTGCAATGTGGGTGCGACTTTCACGGGTATTGCGCTGGCACATGTTGGATGAGCCCTATCCACGCCTTTCAGGGTGCAAATAGTATTCTTCATGTACTCTTCATGACTTTGAAAACTGCTTCATAAAAAGCCCACTTGAACAGATTGATACTATTTTTTACTGAATTCCAAGGTCGTTTCCCATTCAATTTATTTCATTCAATTTCAATAGTTGGCTGAATTTCTGGAATACGACTTCCACCAGATGTAGCAGACATAATGACTTGCTGGGTCACAATTCTGTGGTGCTTCGGCAATACGAAGAGTAGGCCTAAGAGTAAATCAATGTAATTTAATCGAACCACCCTGTCCTTGGGTATCAAATTCGAGTCTTTCAGATTGGCTCATAATGATTATACTATAGGAAATTCTACCTGGAGGAGTCGTGGCACCGCGCAAGGTCCGTTCTGATGCTATTTTCGAATGTGTGTAACCACATATCTGTCACCTAACGCCGTTGTAGCGATCGGTCGGCGCTGATACAGGGGTGAGGCCAGGAAGAAGCCAGTGTTTGCTCTACGCACTGATTACCTATCCTTACTTCTTTCATTCTGGACATGTGACAGATATATGGCAGATTCAGCTTTCAACTCGCGCATTTTCACGGTGAAAGGCAAACATTGGAGTATACAATAGTACCATGTGTAATATATGCACAGGAAAATCCTTTTGGGAAGCTTTTGGAAAGACCGAAACGGATGACAGATTGAGGGCGGAACTATCCTAGCCACCACGCTGACCTATTCCGTAATAACTTGAATAGCCTCATAACGAAATTTGCAACTCTGTAATTTTATATTGACGCCCATGATTTATGTTAGGAGCCCGTCGAAAAAGCAAATCACAGTACCGACCTACCAATTTGTCTCTGTCAAGGCACCGAGAAGCAGCAACTGCTTTTGTTTGACTGCTCCTCCTCCACCCTTGTCCTTAGCCATAACTCAATAAACCACTGCCATATCTTCTGCTATATCATTGATGTTACACTTCCTTGGTTTTGCGGTCACTTGCGCCTCTTATTACTTGACTAAGGTCCCCGACTGGCAATGTGAAAGGGAAATCCACACTTTGCAGCATTTGTATCAGAAGGAAGTACCAGCCCGACATTGCGCCAGCAAACATGCAGGCACCACCAGTCTTTCAAAAGAGAGATTAATGTCAGCTTCAGTTTCAACTTGGAGGCGTGGGTTATAACTGTAGGATGAAGTTCACAATTAAGCGCTAGGCACTGACCTTCTTTAGCGACCTGGCTAAGCTTACATTCCCATTCCCCACTTGCCATGATGAGCCAGCAAGGAAACAGAATCCTAGCGTAAGGGTAAGAAATATTACCACGAAGCAAACGTTCGTGCGGATGCTGCAAATGAGGTAAATGAAGCATAGAAGACCCATAAACAGCTCGAAGAATGCTAAAATGAGCACGTTCGTTAGTGACAAAGGAAGAATATCTTGCAGTAGGAAGGGTTCGGACCATATGAATTGTTGAATCCTGGATTTTCAGGATTTGACGGGTCGTATGCAGTATAGGCTGCGTAGAACGGGGTTAATGTTGCAGCCAAGGAAAGCCAAAATGCAGCTAGTATCGTGTCAGCCGGAGTTATGCATCATGGATATCAAGGCTGGCTTCATGTCCATACCGTAAGACGAGAAGACAACAAAAATAAAGGTGTTCCCAAGAATAAATTCAAGGACAGCCGCGAGGATCATGAGCAATCCTCCAAAAAAGTATGCAACACCACTATAGCAAGCAATCAGTCAGTCAGCGGCCCCGCACAAAAAGGAAAGTAGGCTCCGCAATTTTGGCGTACACGGTAGCAGCTCCAAAACCCCCAGCTCCTCTCCATTCCATTAGGTCACAGGCCATAGGGGTTAAGCTTAAGATAAAGCCCATAACGCCACTGTCGATCATTAGATATTAGGACCACCATGATATCAAACGCAAGTAGGATCTACTTACAGAGGTGTAGGGTTCCCAAGGATTGCTTTAAGCTCTCTTCTGGTTGTTGAGGCGCATGATACATATATCTTCTCGGGGAGATTTCGCGACAAAGGAGTGCTCTCATTCGTAATATTTTCTTTACCCTGCTCTGGCCCATCGTTAGGACCTTTGACTGAGCAGTGGGTACAAATATCCCCCTCGTGTGACATTGCAAGAGAAGCGAGAGCGGTTGTAAGTAGGTGCTGTGTCGTATGGTTGAGAATTAATGTAAATTGAATTTGTGGCTATCCGGCGACCATTAATATTTATATGCCATATATTAAGGTAGCGGATCACGTAATTATAACTATATTTCAGAGTGCGGGGACTCATATAATCTTTGAAGAAATAAAAAAATTGTTATAACCTAATTTGAGTATTTAAAGTTTATATGTAACTTTGGTAGAGATTCAGAGGATAAGGAACAATGCTGGTGTATTGATTGGTCCTCTTCTCCGCTAAAACCACATGATTGATCCCGGTCGGTGGCAAAGTGATATCATGAGTTCTAACTAATAGAGCCGCTCCACGTGAATCCGGTGGGTTCAATCCTCGGAGGCGGCCGGGCCATACACACTAGTCTCGTGCGTTAAGGTTTGACGACGGAGTACATTCAACTTCCCGTTCATCGTGCCAAGACCTGAAGCAAAGTCACTGATATCTCAATGATGTTGGGGCAGTGATTTTAAGAATCACGCCGTTCAACATACTATTTGCGGTACCATTTTACTGTATCTCAAGCTAGCGCTAGTCGAACGATAACGAACCACCAGTTTATGGAAATCCATTTAATAGCGCTAGTGGAAGCAAAATTGCAGCCTATGACCTGGCAAGGGAGAAATCTAGAAACTCAGATTTCACGTAGAATAATATGATATATAGTTCTCAATCCGTCTTTTTCGTGCCTATCTTTCGCAATACTGGTCTTCCATATTGACCTGATTTACCATGCGTAATATTAGGGAGATTGACTGGACGCTGAATTCAGCCTGTCCTCGGCGGGAATGTACCGCAACGCAGATAGTCACTGAAAAATGTGAGGAAACGAGGGACAGGGGAGTTGGTGACGACATGGCGTTCTGCCGCCCAACACTGCTGCTTCGGGCGCCGGCTAAGCCGGAAGGCCACCTTTCAATGATGGATGACAACGCCAAGGAAACATGAGTACGGAGTAGGACAAGACTAGAAGCTGAATACGAAATAACTATTTGATTTCGGAATTTGGATCACAAGTGAACGCCAGTATTTGTTCTCTTATTATTTCAGAATCCGCCATGTTTTGGTACCTTTACCAGTAAAGGGCCTCTAGTCCAGCGTCTATACGTCCCATCTCCTAACTTTTATTTCAGTATGTATTAACCGGTGCACGAGAGATTGATATGGACTATTATGCAATAAAGTTACTTAATAGGATGTCTCTCTATCTCCTTGGTCCAATGATGGTATAAAAGACATCAGGATAAAATACAATTCATGATCTACATTTGACTAAGCTTGATAAACATAGACCTCCTCACTTTGGTTCACCTCGGGCCTATGGTGGGAAAGAATGACCAGAAGTTCCGCAGAGACGAATATGCGTTGGTCGTCCAGAAGTGTTCGGGGATTCACGGAAGACTGTTCTTTGATTGTAAAACAGAATAGCCGAGCCTCCCTGGCCTTATCCATGGTTTGATAAAGCGGAAAATGAAGGAGGAGCCGAATGGATTTAAAGTCCCAGGATTGACATTGACTGAAGTGGAGCTTGCGTAAACATATTAGATTCGATTCCATTAGCATGTTCCCTGGTTGACTTACCTACATACCTAGATAAGCTAAATGGTAATGAAAATGGTAGAATTCAGGTAATAATCCTTGATAGGTACGTCTAGACACTTGAACGGCAGAAGTCGGAGTGGTCCACGACCTTCAAGACGACCGTTGCGCCAGTGAGTGCGGCGGGCCCGGCGACCGTTTTAAGGACTGCATTGAATGGCCAGCCGCTCACCCACGACCTGCACCCACTTGGTCGCACTTGGAGAAAGCCGGAGGATTCCATACGAATAGTTTGGCTAGACAAGGTATGGTGACTATCACGTGAGCAACAGCACTTGGGATCTCAGCATGTATATTGACCAAGATATGGCTGAGGTTGAATTGACCTAAACCCTGAATCTATAACTAGATGCTAGGCAATGACCGGATAGGTTTTAGTCAAGTTTATGTATCATCCAGCGCGCAACGATAACAAATGAAGCACATGACCAAGAGGTTTCATTAATGCTGCCTCCCGCCTGTGTTGAACCGAGATAGAGCATAAATCGCAGTTTTTTTTAAGAAAAAAAATTTCCATCCATATGTCTCCCACCTTTTGTCGTCAAGTGTTGGAGACCATCTCATTCCCCATAACCACTATTCATCGGGGTATGTCATGTACAGCGGCCAATAGTCTGGCGATAAGGCAATATTGGCGGTTTATTTGGGGGGCGGTTACCGGGCCAACTGTTCGCCGTTGAGAGCCCACCCTCTGAAGAAAGCCTGTCGCCGAACCACATTGACCACTATTCAACAATTGACACAGAAGTCCCGCCTTTGCCGGAGGGCCACTGGTTGTCCTATTTGCTCTCCAGGAAGCCTCCTTCACCGAGAAGTCGCGACCCTGGCTCAGCCAAGATTGGAGCGACCCCACCACACCAGTCCCGATCACGATGGCGCGACTCAACACAACGAATCCACTGACCAGCAACTTTCAGCGGCAACAAAGCTTGAAAGAACGAGCTGACCGAATCCCGACCAGTACTTTGGCATCCGAAAAGCAAATTACCAACAGCAGGACTTCCAATGGCAGCATCGGTAGCACCAGTACACAATCCAGAGCCTCATCACAACGGCAGAGTAGGGGATCAAGCGCCATATTCGACATCTTTTCCGATGAATGTTCAGCCATCGAGAGCAGCAAGGCTGAGATAGGTCAAGATACACCATCCTGCTCACCCAACAAACAAAAGAAAACCAGAACGCTCAAAGGTGCCAATGTCAACTCCCTCCTTCTCCCGATGCACCAGGCACCACGCCAAAGATCCCACGTCAAATTAGAGACCGACGACTATGAAAAGGAGAACGATATCATGGAAAATACACCGGAGCCATACACAGCAACGAGGGAAGCCGTTCCGCCGCCGTCTCCAACAAGACGAACCGTGCCGCGAATCCCCAACAGAAGCCGTCCAGAAAATAGGCCTTTGAGCCCCGTGAGCCCAGAATCCGGATCAGATGAAAACTGTGGAGACAATAGCTTTCACTCACTAGACGACTTCATTGTCAGTGACAATGAAGATCTCAGCTTCCATGAAACGTCTGGTTCTGAGACAGAAGACGCAGAGGTTCCAAGGCCGCCTCCAACCCACAAATCCACCCGAAAGAGATTGATGAGAGGAAAGCGACCTGATCCCAACGCTGAGGAGAAGACACTGAAGGATACTTTCCTGAAAGTACCCTTTCGACTGGAACCTGAAACTGCTGACACACCAAAGTTGTCTTCATCATCTCAAGACAGCCCTAAGAAAGTGTCTCAGGATGACCGTCATGTCTCTACAAAGCTCAATGCGCTGAATCTAGATGGAGACAATGAACCAGCTTCTCAGGTGGAAATGGTGTTCTCACGGTATGAGTTACAATATCTCTCCGATCATCCAGGAGGGATCGTTTTTGCTGACGAGTCGTAAAATATAGTTCCATTATCGCGGGGGACTCTTCGTCCACGGAACTACGTCCAACGAACAAGAAAATGGAAACACCCCTATCAAGCCCATCACGAGCACGCCTGAGATCTCCAGCCAAAGACAACAGTCGGATTCCACCAAGTCCTCATCGCGAGAGTACTGATGCCTTTTGGAGCCAAGAAGTTACTAACAATTGGAACGACCATTATTCAACCCGCTGGAAAAAGACGCCTGGCCGAACTGTCATTGAATTGCTGCAAGATTTTGACGACTCAGAAGACGAGAATAGCAGTCGTGAATCTGGTACCAGCAGCGATCTCGAACCTATTCGAAAAATGGATGTGGAGGCGCCGAAGACACCCAAGACGCCCAGCAAGACAGCCCTCAAAAAGGCAGAAGCAGAGAAGAATCGAGCTACCAAAGCTCGCCGACTGTCATTCAATAACAAGAAGGCTGACTTTGCGAAAACCTTCTTTAACGTCCTAGACCACGCTGTCTCCGGTGGAGAAGTCAGTCGGCTCACAGAAGCTACTGGCGGCGTCGAAATCGTCTGGTCTAAGACCCTTCAAAAAACCGCTGGTCGAGCCCACTGGAAAGGTGAACGGCTTGTTTCCCGTGAACCAGATGGCCATAAAAAGGGGCTGGGCAAGATCCAGCACCATGCCATGATCGAGCTAGCAGAGCGGATTATCGACGATGAATATCGGCTCATCAACACTCTCGCACATGAGTACTGCCACCTGGCCAATTACATTGTCTCCAATGTGCATGACAACCCCCATGGCGCCAGCTTCAAGCGTTGGGGCCAGGAGTGTGCGGAAGTTCTGAAGGACCACCCGATCTATGGTGGCCAGATCAATGTGACAACAAAACACAGTTACGAGATTGACTACAAGTATGTGTGGAGTTGCGTGTCTTGTGGTCAAGATTATGGCCGCCACTCAAAGAGTATCAATACGGAGCGTGTTCGTTGCGGTGCCTGCCGTGGTGTGCTACAGCAGATCAAGCCAAAGCCGCGCAATGTGTCGCCGAAGAAGAACGCGACGCCCGGCCCCAGGAATGTGCTGCACGATGTGACGAGAAACCTTGGGGCGTTTACTCTGTGAATGACTAGAATCCTCCCTCCCTCCCCCTTTAGCCCAATTGTTTCCTTTTGTTCAAAATATGGCGATCTCAAGATCTGCTCATTGCCCTTAGCATACTTGCGTTTTGAATTAGCGTGAAGTTTGGTTGAGCTCTTTATTTTCGCGAGAGCTGGATCTAGAATTGGTCATGTACAGCTGTTATCTATTTCTCTTTGAGATAACCACTTAATTGGACTTGTTCGTACTATTTTATTGACTACCTAGAAATTCTACCTAATATCTAATTTGCTAACGGCTCCAGGTGAGCCAAGTCGGAGTTTCTGTGTCCCAGCATGTCCGCCATACCTCCACCTCCAGCTTTGCCCATTACCGATCCATTCCATATGACTCCCCAACTCAATATCTTCCAAAGCCAAATCCCTAAACAAAAAGACCCCAATCCCGAATCTCGAACCGATCCACCAACGCACTCACAGTCTCCTCCGCCACAGCCTCCTCCCTTGACAAGCTCCGCACATCCCCGTTCTTATCAAACTCCTCATGGGGAACATTGAAGAACACTAGCAGATCAGTCGCTTGCGCTGCCAACCGCACAAGTAGATAATGGCAGGTCAGCTTAGATGTTGACGGAGCCCCAGATGCACCATCAAGCGTGGCCCCTGCAACAGCCGCATCCGTAACGGAAGCAGAAGTCCCATTGGTAGGAACAGCGCTACGTCCGCCTCGCCGGCGGGGAGCAGTCAAAAATTCAACCACCCCCTTGTACGCGCTAAATGACGAGCCCGGGGGTGCGGATGCGCCTAGACGTGCTGGGGTAACCTGCGTAGGCGGGATGATAATCTGCATGGCATCACCTTCATCGCAAAGATCATTGAGATGGTACAGTGCTGCAGCTTGGTCGAGGGTCTCCGATGTGGCGCTAGGTGCGCTGCCGCTGCCAATGGCTAGCGTTGGATGCTGGTGGCTGAAGTTGGCCAAGGTGGTGAGTGCATCTTCTCGGGAGACACGCTGGTTGATCTCGATGATGACGTTTGAGAGCGTGTCTGGCGAGAGGAAAAGCTCTTGGTGGTCTGGGATTTCGCGGAGATTACTATCATGGGGTCAGCACGTTATCTTGTTTTCCTTTTTGCTGGTTGAAGACGGCAGAACAAAAATTGGTAGCCCAGCAAAGCAGGACTGCTGAGAAGGCGGCTATCCTTGGATGATTTCAAGATTCTTCAAGGATTGTCTAATCAACACCGCACGGGGTGTTGAAGAATATACTACTGACCTTGCATCAATCCAGCGCTGCGGCACAACCCCGCGGATCGCCCCGCCGAAGAAGTCCTGCTCAGTGACTGGAGCCATGACCCAGCCAAGCTTTTCCTGAAGTAGAAAGCAAAGTCTTTTTGACCGGGTGTTCTCGGTAGCTGATTTCTCAGGCCGCTGATCGGGTCCCAATGAGCCGGGAGAGTAGCCCACGCTCTTCGATATTGAGATTTGGTGCCAACCTCCCTCGCAACGGCCCAACTTTTTTCTTCTTCTTTCTGATTGGCAAGTTGTGGATAAGATACCAGTTGACACTCAAAGTGATTTCAAATATCGCGAGAAGGGCAAGTTCAGAAACGGCTTCCTAGTCTGATTTATGGTAGAGGAGGAGCGTGAGGCAGCAACTGCGGGTGGCCGTCGTCCGCTCAAGCGTCCAATGACGTTGGCCCGACGGTATGGTGGGCGGTCGACTCGGTGCGAGAGCCTCAGCCGCAATCTCAGCACGGAGTATACGTCGTAGTTACAGGGCAACGATACACCTTCTAAACAGAGAAGCAAGCCGACAGCAGTGATTTAAATGTGGAATACTATGCTACTATACTTTGAAGTATTCCACTAAGCTTAACGTTGGATTTGACCCGATGATCGCGTCATTTAATCAAAAAGTTCCTCTACATAGGCATCCAGCTCGAGCAAACGGAAGCGCTGGCCCCATTTCGTCCGAAACTCTTTCCTCCGATATGCATAGCTAGTAACTTGCGAGAAGCTGACGAGTTCCACACTCCAGCCGCGCTGCAGCGCACGCTCTACCATACGCATAAACCCACCGGAGTATTCAGCCGCCGCTGCGTCTCCGGTCGCAAGGACGATCGTCGCCGGCTCGTCCGTATCCACGATACTCTCGAGCATCTTGAGGTGCAGAATTTCGTCCACACCTTGCTCAACCCATCGCTCGCCGCTGACGCCGACCGTTTCGGGTCCAGACGCTGTGCGGGTTACGACCTCGGCGGGTTTTCGAAATTTGAACGGGCGCGGTGTTGTGTGCTTGACTTTATGTACCCGGTCTAAAATGTTAGCTTCGTAGCCGAGTTTCTCGGCTTCATCAATGGACGGTAGCCGGTCTGAGCCGACCAAGACTCTCTTAGCGGCTACACGCCCCCGTTCCATGATCAGAGCGAAGTTGGAGAAGGACATGTGTAGGCGGCGGATTCGGGTGGTGATGGGGATCTTCCGCGAAACTTTTACCGAATCGTGGAAGCCCACCATGACCTACGAGCGACTGTTAGTTTGACGGAACAACACAGGGAATGAGATAGCAAAACATGCATTAGACATGTCAACAAAGACATGGATGAGACGTGGCTCAACATTCTTTGCGATCGAGCCTGGAGAGCGTCCCACCTGCGACACAAGCTGAGCATACTCGGGAAAGTCCTTGAGGAGCTTGGTCATCAACCCAATTCTTCGCTCCGTCGCAGTTTTGTAAAGAGCGGGGAGGACACGAATCCCCGCGGAGGTAGTGATAATATTTTGGACAGCATCTGAGTTCAATGTTGAATCGGCCTCGTCGTAGGAAGAAGGTGGGGTTCCATCGTGATCGCCTCGTGCGTCGGGTGTGCGCACCTGCGACGGGACGAACGCAAGCACTCCAGGCTTTTTGGAAATGGGTCGGTCAAATATAATAGTACTCGAGTCAGACTCGGCACCTGTACTACTTTCCGAGAGTATTGGCTCGACGTTGACTTTAGATTTGCTATCCTTTCCTCCAGCCTTGGACTTGAGCTTGGCTTTGGAGGACTCCATAGAATGGCTGGCGCTGCCGATCGGCCTCGGCGGAGTGCGTGGAGGTAATGAATGGGAAGGCTTGTCATCACTTTTGAAAGAATGACTGGTTATATTTCGCTTTAGAATCACGACTGGTTCAGCGAATGGTCGTGAGGAGAGATAAGAGGAACCGTCAGTCGTGTCTTTGGGAACTCGAGGGTTTGACGTAGTCGAGGCTGGAATAAGTTCCGAAGACTCTGTAGGCTTTGTTTTAGGATATCCATTGTGGAAGGGTCGTTTGAGAATTGTGAAAGCGCAGGGATCGTCGTTCAGAGGCTGTTGAGTAACGTTGGGCATGGCGTCAGTGGTATGCTCAGACACGATACTTCTGGTAGAAGTCGAGTCCTGGCTGAGAAGATCCCATATCAAGGCAAAATCTCCCAGCTTCGGGTAGCTCTGTTGGCGTTTGACCTCAGGGATCCGGGCGGCATCAGACGCGACATGTTGGCTTGACTGTCCCACGTACGAGGACGAAGGGACCTTGGTACCGGCATGATGAGCGGGTTCAGAGATGTCCCTGCAGGTGGGAGACCTAAGAAGGTCAAGCACCGGGGTGAATTCCCAATTCGAGGCCGGCTCAGTGGGTTCTGGTGCGAGCATTGACAAGTATGTTGGCGGGTTTAGGTTAGGTTGATTGAAGGTGGTGGTTTGAGGTGATAAGCAAGCGAAACAACAATCGCAAAAAAGCAGCAGCGTCAAATATCAACGCTCAAGTCATAAAGCATTCCGCAGATATGTATGAAGCACAGTTCGGCCGCACATGGTGTGAGTCAGGTAGATCTGGGTAGCAAGGAAGGCATCGGAGATAGGGTGGCGGTGTCGGATCGGGCAAGGAGCGGAACTGCAAGTCTCCACCGCCTCCCTCTCTGGGGCACAACCAAACTAGTCCTGATCTATACTAGTACGTTTGCTGACATCAGCAGAGTGTGATCAGCCACGATTAGTCATAATTCCTGGCGTGGTCATCTAAACGTCATGAGCATCGCCACAGTTTTGGATCCTGGCAAGGCGTCATGCAAGACACTACAAGGTTCACGCTGATTTGTGGTCCAGTAAGCCCGCGATTCATGGTGGTCCATAGTTTGCGGTCCAGCCAAGGTCAAAGAAAGTAGATCTAAATCACTAAACTTGTTCGCATCCGCAAACATTGTACGTCATTTTATTTGGCATCATGTGAAAGGCACCTATATAAACGTCGTCTTTTTCTGACTTCTCTCACTTCTTCTTTCTACAATCATCCTCTTCCTTCAATCTCTCACAACTTTACTACGCCTTCCCAAGAATTAAAACTTCATCAACCATCAACCATCATGTCTGACACCGGCCGCAAGGATTTCTCCACCAGTACGTGATATGCTATGCAGCCTTTGAATGCACCTCAGACGCTAACCGCCACTTCTTTCCCCCACAGAGGCTAAGGAGGAGATCACTCCTGATTCCTCCAAGTCCACCATGGACAAGGCTAAGGAGTCTTTCACTGACACCACCGACCGTGTCGCCCGCGGCTTCCAGACCGATGACAGCAAGGGCGGTGCTCAGCAGACTTTCGACAAGACCCAGCGTGCCCACGACAATGAGGCGCACGGCGGTGCTACCGGCTCTATGTAAGAGAAACTACCTCCCTCCGAAGGAATGAAAAGAGAACTAACACAATTCATAGTGGTGATAAGGTCAAGAATGCGCTCGGCATGGACAACAAGTAAAGATTTCTCGTATGTCCAATGAGATGACCGCGACACTGGAATTCCTTTTGAGTGTCACGCTGCTATCATGATCAAGTCACGCGCCGACGATACCTTTTTTCTTTTTATGGCTTAGTTACGAACTTAATGCAATTATCAACTACGTGAATCCACACTCCGGAAATTCTCATAACCCCGTAGAACTTGTACATTTTCCAGCCATAGGAAGAAGACTGCTGCTCATTGTCGCCCAACAAGCCTGCCAAACATTTTGTCTCGCTGCCTTGTGAGCTGGCTAAACTCGCGCTCTAGTTCTTTATATCGTGCCTGAGCCCCTGCAATATCCTTTGGGAGGTCGTGGAAAGCTTTCACGCGGCTTTCAAGAGACCTGACAATCTCACGTAACCGAACAACATTCTCTTCTTCCACCATCAGCTCCTCAATTGTAGGACCGCATGATTGATTCCGCTCGAGTGACGCAATACGACTCTGATATTCCCCAACCTTCGTACCGAGCATCTTCGTACCGCGCACCCACTCTGACGTCAAGCTTTGGGTATCCGCTGGTATCTCGTACACCATGTCAACCTTGAGCCCCTGCAGATCAGCCTGAAGCCGTGCGAGCTCCTTCTGGAGATAGCAGTGCAACGTCTCCACTTTTGACACTTGGTCTTGCACCTCGAACTCTTCCGCCGTGAGCTCCACAATCGATTGACTGAGATCTTCAGGTACAGGGTTCAGAGTGTTGCCAAGTGCAGCTGCTGTATCAGCAAGATCGTCTAGATCGTGTCTGCCTTTGTCGTCAAGACACATTTCCACCTCATCCAGTATCTCATTTTTCTGTCGTTCATGTGGATCTTGCCTTTCGGCTTCTTCCCGTACTTTAAACCCATGGACGGCTTCTTCACGAGCACGGTGTTGTAGACTCGCTTCTTCGTTGGCGGTGTCATTAGCCGCAGCCAGCGTCAGGAGAACCCGGAGGGTATCCTCATTACATTCAAAATGAGGCACTGGCTTCGGCGCGTATAGTCGGCTGAGCCAGGAGTTCACGTACGCCCAGTCTTTGGCCTGAATGGCCGCCTGGCGGGCTTTCGTAGGAGAGGCGAGCGGACCATCATGGAGCATGTCCATCATGCGACCTCGGGGGAAATCAATTGCTGAAGAGCGCTATGAGGAGCGGAGTGGTGCTTGGAATCATACTGCGGCGCTGATAAGATACCGCGGAAGGCGGTCTGGTCGTCCATCGCGAAGCTGTCCTTTCTCCCCGCCCGACGAGACTGGGGCCATTGCTTGTCAACAATCATGACCAATTACTTCCCTGCGGGCGCCAGCAATGGTTCTTCACCAACCTCCTCACCACTGTCTCCGCCACTGTCCCAGCGCTCTACGGCGTTGTCAAATCGTCTAACATCCATTCTCTCCGCGTCATATGCCGACTCCGACATCCGCGATGCTCTCGAGACTTTGAGCGTACGGGGAATTCACAATACTGCCGAAACACGTCGACAGTTGCGCTTGGATGTACAGAAAGAGATTGTGGATAGCAATGCTGAGATCGTAAAGGACTTTGGGAATGTTGCGGAGGTAAGAGGACCTCTCCGCACTGCATTAACACTGACGTCTCCAGAGAAGCTAATGCTTCACCGCAATAGCAATTGAAACGGATCGGACGCGTAATCTCGACATTAAACCAGACATGTGACGAAATGCGTAAACACATCGGCCTAGCCAGGCAGGATACTACGCCGGTGTTGGAAGAAGCCGTCGCGTTGATGGATCAGAAGAAGGACACAGAGACGAAACAACGGTTGCTAGACGCTTTCTCAAAACATTTCCTGGTAGCTGAAGAGGATTTAATGTCTCTTACTGCCGCTGAAGGGCCCATTGATAGCCGGTTCTTCGACATCCTCTCCCGCGTCAAGCAAGTGCACCATGATTGCGAGCTCCTTCTCGGCGGCGAGAACCAACGGCTGGGCTTGGAGGTTATGGACCTGAGCAGCCGACACCTCAATACTGCGTACCAGAAGTTATACCGGTGGATTCAGAAGGAATTCCAGTCTCTGAACCTTGAGGATCCCCGTATCAGTGGTTCGATTCGCCGCGCATTGCGGGTGTTGGCAGAGCGTCCTAGCCTGTTCCACAGCTGCCTCGATTTCTTCGCGGAGGCTCGTGACTACGTTCTTTCAGATGCATTCCATTATGCGCTGACAGATGCTATTTCTGGTGCCACTGGATCGGGAGCCGGAAGTGATCCCACTGTCAAGCCGATTGAATTCTCGGCGCACGACCCGCTGCGGTACATCGGTGACATGCTTGCATGGGTACATTCTACAACAGTGTCAGAAAGGGAAGCTTTAGAGGCTCTCTTTGTTGCGGATGGGGAGGAACTTGCACGAGGCATCCAGGCGGGGTTGAACAGCGAGCCCTGGTCGCGGATCGACGAAGAGGAAGAGGTGGCCTTTAATGGTCAAAAGGCACTCAGTGATCTCGTGAACCGCGACTTGACAGGAGTCTCCCGATCTCTCCGACAGCGAGTCGAGCTAGTGATCCAGGGACACGACGATCCTGTTACCTGTTATAAAGTGGTCAATCTGCTCTCCTTCTACCGTACGACCTTTACCAAGCTGGTCGGGCCACAGTCGAATCTAGTAGACCTGATGCAAGCTTTGGAGAAGTTTACCCTCGGCCATTTCGAGTCTTTGATGCGCGATCAAGCTAGTGCCCTCTCGACCGACCATGCTGCCCTGGCTCCTCCAGACGACCTGTCGCCCCCGGAGTTCCTGTTGGATGCTTTGGAATGTCTCGTATCACTCATGAAAACTCACGAGGGCTCAGTGGGCCCGGACGAGTCATCGGACGCAGACAACGAAAACCGGTTTACTCGCGTGCTTCGCGCCGCCTTCGATCCATTCCTGACCCTGGCTCGGTCCTCATCGGATGAGCTCCATGATACTACTGCACACACAATCTACCGCACCAATATTCTTCTCGCGGCGCATGCGACTGTCCAGCCCTTCTCCTTTGCTAGTGCAACACACAACACTCCTCTTTCCGCTGCCCTGTCTACCCTTCGCACAAACCTTCTTGACATCCAGCACCAATTTCTTCTCGAGACATCGGGGTTGCAGGTTCTTCTAGAGGCGCTGGAGCCATTTTCTAAGACAGCCAAGGGATCCAAGGAGGAGACCGAACCAACGGACGAGAAGTCCGAGAAACCGGATCAGCAAAAACCCCAGCTGGCAGACCTGACAAGCCTCCCTGCGTTCCAACCCGAGGCCCTCATCACATCTAGCCAGCAGCTGGATGACTTCCTCCCGTCGGCTCTGATGGATGCTACTGATAACCTCAAGCGTGTGCAGAGCGCCTCTCTCGTCCAGAGTGTGACCGAGGATGCAGTTGAGGCCTTCTGTCGGGACTTTGAGTTTGTGGAGGGCATGATTATTGCTGCCGATGAAGCTAGGGGAATGACCCAGGTGAGCCTGGGAACTGGAAGTAGTGTGATCAGTAGTCGGAGTGGAAGATCCTCGCGGAAGCCGGAGGCGGGTGAAGAAGGTGATGAGGAAAATGGCGAAAGAGAGGATGGGTGGAGCTTGCGGTCATTATTCCCTCGGACCACCGGCGAAATCCGCGTGCTGCTGAGTTGATGTCCATATATGCACCTGCAGTCGGGAAGGCTGTCTACCTTCCTTGAACATAGAACCCGCCCCAATCTGATGTATATACGCTCTATGCTAGGCATTCAGGGCAGAAATTTTGTATTTCCCTAGGTACTTCTGTGCTTCGATAACTTGCCTTGGTGCCACCTACAATGAACGGTCCTGCATATGATGTTTGTTATGATTCACTTCTTATTCACCGAATCACGGGCGAGGTTCTAAACCGCAACACCTATCATGCGCCTTCAGTCAGGTAACCCTCACTAGGTCCTTCGCTATGCTGATTCGCAGATTGTGGATTCGCATGGCGCAACCGATCACTCTTGAACATGTTGGACACATTCATGCCCTCCATATCGTCATCAGCTAAAACGGCAAGCCGTTAGCAAATAATCAAATAGAAGCAATAGTGTACCGACAGACTATTCTGAGTGGAATTCGGATAGCTGGACTGAGTACCGGATGGCATACTCTGATCCTTGTCGACGTCCACATCCTTATCCCAGATGTCCTCTTGTCCCTCTGCGACGGCTTGTTGCTTGGCGGATGTGGACATCGTCCAAACCATTCGAATGGTGTCCGATCGGGTAATTGCTTTGCAAAGGCGGGGCCATTTTATGCGCCGTAGGCTTGCTATTTATATTGGTTCCAAGGATATTTGCCGCGGGCGTCATCCCTACGCTATGGTTACGCTACACCTGAGAGGCGCGTTGGTCAAATTTTCCGCATACATACAAGGTATGAGAATTGGCGCAGGATGGGAGGCTATGAAACGATTTCATAGTGCGTCAAGTGATAATGAGTCAGATACTCTATGTATTAAATCGGGACCCAGTGGTGATATTCGATCTTTATGAACGAGGAAGTAGTCTGATGCAGCATTGAACATATTTACACATAATCGGCAGTAGCAGGGCTAATTCTTGTCAGTAGCTTTCCACTTTTCGTCATTATTGGGGCAGCGCACCTGTTCAGTCGGTACTGACTAAAAAAGTCGAAGATATACTCGGTGGCGTTGAAGACATACTTGCCCAGCGGACACTGGGAAGACAGTCTCTCATAGTCATCATTACTCACCGTCGAGGGCCAGCAGTGACCATTATCTCCTTCACGGTAGTGCTGCACAATACCCTTCTTGCCATAACAATCCCAGCTGGCATGCTTGACTAGCGGCTGGTGGAACACGGTCTCATTCCTGGCCCACTTGGCATCGCCTCCACATCCATTCCGCTCTGCCCAGCCCTCGAGGATATCGATGACGGGCAGCTTGGGGGATTCCTTCGTATTGCCGTCAATGGGAGCGGTGGTGTCGATGGTGCCGTGAAACTCGAGGAAAGGATATCCTTCCACGCGCACCGCAGGCGCACAGGGGCCCACGCCGGGGATGTCGTCGGTGTCGTACCACGCGCCACTGACGGCAGCAAACGCAGCGAAGCGGCTACCCACGGTGGCATTGCAAGCGAGTACGCCGGTGAAGCCTCCGCCATTTGACTTGCCTGCGGCATAGACTTTGCTTGTGTCGATGCAGAGCTTCTCTTCCATATGGGTCAACAGGTCGTTGGTGAAGTCCAGATCATTCGGGCGCGAAGTGTCCGCCTTGGGGTGCGACAGCCAGTAGCCATTCTTGCTGTTCGGATAGACGGCAATGCCGTCCTTGTTGAACTCCGGGTTAGAGAACTGGGACAGCTCTTCCTCTTCGTACATATCTCGGCTCGCGCCATGGAAGGAGAAGTACAGCGGCGTCGGCTTATTCTGGTCATAGCTAGCCGGGATGAAAAGCTGGTACTCGCGATCGGTAACTAGCAAATGCAAGGTCTTGTTTGTGCCGGGGCCGGGGAACTGGGGGGTATATCCGTGCCACAGCCCGAAGCTCTGGCTGCGCCAGCACCACCCAGCGCGGCAAGGGCGACAAGCGGTGGTGGTATATGCATTGTTTCGAGGGCTGTACACAGAGTCTAGTGATCACGCCGAGGAAGAATGCTTGAAATATAGCATTACCCGAAGCCTCGGAGCAATGGCAACTGAGAAAGCGAACGAACGAGCTGAACGGCCCATCAGCACGAGTTTCCCAATCGGGCAAGATATGCCCTCCTCTCAGCCCCCACGACCGCCACAATCCTGGCAGCTTCACCTGAGACGGGACCAGCCGTAGCGCAGTCAGCAGTCTCTGTGACCACCCTTCATTAGCCTGGCACTCGCAGAGCCTACCGAATAACCAAACGTAAATACTGGCTATACAGTCAGCGGAGTACTCCGCAGCTACTCCGTGCTGGTGGTGGAAATGGCCAAGCTGAATCCCACCCCCGATCAGCAAGCATAATAAGCCGCCGCTGTCTTCTGTCTTTCCATTTTCCTGCACGCCGTGCCACACCTCGCGGCTAGTGACTACGAGGGGCAGGGCATTTCGACACTCAATGATAAGCTGCATGTGCCAAATACCTGGCGGAAGATGAAGGTCATCACAATCCCACGGCCACGAAACTATCATGGCCAACGAGCCGTCACCATGCTGTCAAATCTCAGTCCCCATAGCGTGGTCGCCGTGGGGTGTTCTACTCCCGACACTGGCCTCGGTCGCAATTAGCCTTCAGATTTTCACCCGACATCGGTTGAGAGGGCCCTTCAAGGAGGATGACTGGACTCCGTTGGTCTTAGCTATTCTCGGATAGGGGCGTGGAATCACCAATATTGCGGGCGCAGCACTGGGAGCAGGTCCCAACGTGTCCGATCAGGACACCCTCCTACAAGGCCCCGAGGATGAGATTGCCGAACAGGTGTGAAGCATCTAGATCGTTTCTTTACCCTGGACCGACATGCTAGCTCGGCTCAGATCGTCCTCGGGTATAGCATAGTCGAAAAGATCATGTTCGGCGTCATCACATTTAGCGTACTCTTTGCTTATCGAAGGAGATTCCGAGGTAGGCTCTTCAATATTGCCTCGCTATGCATGATGGTTTCCTGCACCTTTCTGGCGCTCTCCTTCTACTAGTGAATAAATGACTGCTCAGTCGTTGCAGTACACATCATTTACGTGCTAGAATACTGAGTCACAAAGAGCCTATGGAAGTTCAATCTAGTAAGGTTCGTCAGCGGCGTCAAGGCAATATTAAGTGGCTAGATGAAAGACTAGGAAAGTACATATAATATCGCATCATAGATCAGAATACCAGTTTCGAGAAACATTTACTTTGCTTTCGTCTTGTACTTCCTATTTGGTGGCGTGGGTCTAAGTCGCTCTGTAGCTGAAGAGTATAAAACCATGTAGGCCTCTTGTTGCAAATATCTACTACACATGTTTTGATCCTGGGTTTTCTTTTCGATCATCGTCCCCTCAAACGCTGACCTTTGTCCAGGAACATGCGGTCCGGCAGATGTATTACATAGAGGACGGAAAGCAAGAGAACAAAGTGAAACTCCAGTCCAAGTATATCCCATTTCAACAACCCTCAACTCCTAGCCCAGAAGACAAGGTAACTTCACAAGACGACGCTACACACACTACGGAGATGGTTGATCATGTTGTCCTTTCTGTTGAAGACTTTCTCGCAGTTCTCGTCGAGGCATGGAATGGAACGAGGAGCCACGTGCTGCGTGTCCACGTGGCGCTTTAAGGATGCCACACAGCTGAATGGGCCTGGCCTCGTGCATTGAGCCCATTTGCAGATCGAGGGACTCGGTGGACTTCCGGTATATCTAGTTGGAGGTTAGTATTGATTCTGCAGGATGGAAACTTGTGCATCAAGCGAGCTCACCTGACCTGCTTTCTCTGCAGGCGACGAGGCTTGGGCTGGGAGCCTTGAGGATGTCCAGCTTTACTTTTGGTCGAGTGGTGCTTCACCACAGGTTGGGAAGTTGTTCTGCTGGACGGATCACTGTAGGCATTGAGAGCGTTCAATTGCGCAAGCCAGTTCGTATGGTAGGGTGTATCGTTTTCGTAGAAGGTGCCTGGCGCGGGAACTGGAGCCGTCTGATCGAGGCTAAGAATTTGATCGAAGGACGGATCGTTGAACTGTTCCGCTTGTGTAGCCCTTCCTGAAACGTGGCTTGACTGATGCATATGCTCGAAGTCATTAGGAAGATTAGAGAAGTAGATATGGCCTTGTCTCCTAGACATCTCGGTCCGGAGTACTGGAGCAGCAGCCAATGGCGTGGATGATTAGAAGGGATGAGACTGAAATGTGAAGAGCAAATGATTGAGATGGGTATTGAGAAGCATCCAGACTCACAGTGAAGCAGGTTGGATTTATAGTCGTTGTTATTCAATGGGTATACCCAGGCTGCACATGAGCTCCTAGCCCCAGGCCGAGTGTGAAACTGAATGCGGGCGGCAGCCAACTATGCATAATTATCCAGTACCCGAGCTTCCGGTTGGTCGGTTGGTCGATAAGTTTGGAGCCTTATGAGGATACGGAGTGGTGCGTCCTGCTATAATAGTGGTGGCTTACAGAGACCCTGGCATCGCTACCTTTCGGGACACGCCGATAGGTCGTCGCTACAGTAGTCGCTGCAGCGCGCTAACCGTGGGTGTAATCGAGTATCCGAGCGCTGCAGTGACTAGAAATGGCCCCCTCGGCGTGTGCCGAAAGCTAGCGATGCCAGTGCCCCTTAAAGCCACGCCACTACGAGGTATACAGCTAGGAATACCCCAGGAACTACTTCCTCCAAGGAACCGGTATACTACAACACACACCCAGTTGTAGACAACACCACGGAGGGCTGGATATATAAGGACACTCATTAAGCAGGCATGTATTTAGTTCTTCCTTAGATACCCTCTTGTTCCTGGCCGGCATGTTCCTCGCGATGATGCTGGCAAATACACACGATGTAGTCTATGATATTGGAAGCTCCCACCGCATGTCCTCCATCATGTATGCAGAGGCCGCCGGGGTCGCCAAACTAGACATGCATTCCATCTTTGCGCGAACGCTGCTTGACCAAATCGCCCACAGGATATCTAGTCTAGCAGACAAGGAGACCCCCTTGTATGGAGATTCTGCTGCCCTGGTCACTGCCGCATGGGCCCCCTTCAACGGCCGGTACAGGGTGCTCGAGCGGTTTGTGAAGGAGGTGAGGATACTTCGCGGCAACGACCATGAGGACTCGGTTTCTGTGCTGGCGATGGCGCAGCAAAATTACCGGCTTGGGAATATCAATGTCCAAGAAGAAGATGTAACGTCAATGTGGAAGAAAGCACTGGACACAGACTCTCTACCCCATTGCGAAGACCGACCAATCTATACATCATTTTCACCGTCTACCTCCTGGGACCTACTATTGAACAGCCCCGGGGTCCCGAAGTTTGCTTTATGCGACATCTGTCGTCCAAATTCGAAGTCATGGTAGACTTGAGCTCTCTCGCCGTTCACTCCGGCCACCCACTGGGAAACAAAGTCACTGGGTCTCCAGCGGTCAATGCAGCAGCCAAATTAAGTTTCATCGTGCGGTGGGCAGTTAGCAAGCAGTGCTGTCTTGACTGCAGCTTGCAAATCGCACAATGGGCCGATAAAGTTTCCTATGTGGTTTTGATGGAGCTTATGAAGGCCGAGACCTCGACAAATGCTCGAGACTGGCTGCTTCAGTGTTATGCAGTATGGTGCACTACGTCTTATCCGATATCGATGGGCAGCATTCTATCGGGTTTCGACCTACTTGCGACGTTCAAATTTGATGCTGGAGCTATGGGTGACCGGGATGTGGTTGATTGCTAAAATTGTGAAAGATTGGTGAGAGGCGTATTGCGCCGGACCTATAGTAATCCAATAAATTGTCTTAATACTGGTCAATATGGAAGGCGGCAAATATCCACTTCAACCCCCGCAAGTGATACAGACTACTAGGAATGGAGGGAATAAACAAGGCAGACGGGACCAGAACTGGACCGGCTGGGTGATGCACCGAGGTAAAACACGAACATAATCACAATCTTGATTGCTTTATCATTTTCTACATCGTTTTGAACAAGACAAGCCAAAGCTGCGTTTACGTACGCGTTCGCCTCCAGGAGGCTAGAATCTTTCCAGTGGTTACGTTATGAGACCGGACAAGAGTTTTGAGGTCAAAGACAGCGTCAACACCATCTAGCCACCTCGCTCACCAAACTCTCTCGCCCACTCCTCATACCTGCGCAGCCCATCCGGCGAGACACTGGGTCTGATAGAGTACAAACTGGCTTCAAAGTCCTGGAACTTGATGGGTCGGATCTGGTCCATGGGCGTATGGAGGAGCGCTTCGCCGAGATTGCGGAGGGGGCCCATGGCGGCGTCTTTGGCGAGAGCTGTGATGTCAGAGCCTGAAAAGCCTGGACCAATTACAAATTATTAGTGAAAGAACTTATAATGATGGCTTGATAGGGGCATCTACCTTCTGTTACATGGACCAGAACCTGGATATCCGCATCGCTCAGCTCATGGTGCTGGTGGCTCAGCAGCTTGCGCAACTGCTGCTCGCGAACATGGTGCTCTGGCAGGGGGATATACTGCCTCCGCACGAAGCGGCGCCGCGCCGCCTCGTCAATATCCCAGGGCAGGTTCGTAGCCGCCAGGACAAGAACACGACTCGCATCACCTTCCTTTCTATCGCGGGCGGTCTGTTCGCGGCCCGCCGCAGCTCGCTGAAGATCAGACCACTGGATCAAGAACTCTGTCTTCGACCGGCGAGATGCCTCGTTCTCGGAGCCGGAGGACCGTGCGGAGAGCAGGGAGTCGATCTCGTCGACGAAGATGATGGATGGCGCGAGCACCTTGGCGAGCCCGAATAGAGCGCGCACGAGCTTTTCGCTTTCGCCGTGCCATTTGGATGTGAGGCTGGACGAAGAGACGGAGAAGAAGGTTGATTTAGACTCTGTGGCTACGCCACGGGCGAGCATGGTTTTGCCTGTGCCTGGGGGACCGAAGAGGAGCATGCCGCGCGCTGGCTCGCGGAGACCTGAGAATAGGTCGGGGCGGAGGAATGGGTATACCACAGCTTCCTTCAGGGCTTTCTTGGCTCCGTCTAGTCCGGCGATATCATCCCAGTGTACTTCGTCGCCGCGCACGACGATGTCGTTTAAAATCTGTCGTGCTGACTGGAGGTCCACACCTTTGGGAAGCTTGCTCAAGATCTTGGTGAGATCGTTGTTATCGTCCTCATCATCCTCATCCGCAGCTTCACCTTCCGATGATCGCTGCTCCCAAGACTCCTGGTCACTTGACGGGGGGTCTCGCGCCGCTTGACCGGGGGTGGCTTGCGTCGCAAAGCGTTGCTGCCGTTCGTATTCGCCGCTGAAACTGACATTCGATCAATGCCACGCTGGATGTCGTCACTTCCTGAGGATGGCGATATATAGGCTGATTGGCCGGTCTGAGCGACCCGGGGTGCAGACTTTGTCCGCGGCTTGCTACCCGAAACATCCCCGTCCCGATCCTGCCGGGGCGATGTTGCTCGGAGGCTGCCTTCTGATCTGGTAGCTTGTGGTACTTGAGATGGGGGTTGAAGTGAAGACCTCAGCCCAACAGGCTTAGGCTTTACAGATGGTTTGGAAACAGGCGAAGGGGTAGGTGTGGGTGTAAAGTCCTTTGGATCCGGCTGGACCACCGAGCCTGAAGGAAGAGGCCGGTAGCTTTCAGAGGGAGGTTGAAGCTTTCGTGGAGATGGCTGAGCAGAAGTCCTGGGAGAAGGTCTACTCGGTAATGATGGATGAGGCTCTCGCCAATCTGCGGGTGAAATCCGATCCGCTGGAGAATCTCTTCGCGGACGACTCCTCGCCGACGAAGGTTCATCCCCAGAACTAGACCTTGGCTCTGGCTCACGGCGAACGCTACGGTCGCCGGCTGCCATCTGGCGAGATGGGGCCAGCGTCCCATTAGTCAAGGTCTTCTCGCTTGAGGGAGCCCGATAGATACTCCCCCATGCCATGCCTGCTGCTGTGGAGGCGGCCGGCCGCGACTCCTTCTCCTTCTTCTTGGTGCTGATCTTGGACTTCTTGCCGTTCTTCTTTCCATCCGTGCTGCGCAGCGTCGTCAACATAGTTTTGCGCCGCTCCGGACTAGACCCGCGAGACTTGGTCTTCTCCGAGGAATTCGAGTTGACTCGCAGCGTAGGCGAGTCCAGTACATGAGCATCATCAAGGAGCGACAGCGACTCGGGATTCTGCTTCGCCATCGGCGGAGCGGCCGGGCGGCCTGGTATGGCAGCCGGTTTGGAAAGGTCGGTGTAGCCGAAGGCGGGGATAGTACCGTCTCCAATCCAGCCGGGGTGACTATTGGACGACGACGAGCGGCGCAAGTTGGCGGCAAACTTGCCCTTGATCAGTGTCGTGGGCTCTTTGCTGTTGCCATTTGCCTCGGCAGACTCCTTCCTGCTCTCGCGCAGGGCCTCTAGTAGGTTGACTCGATCGCTGCATTGGACCTCTAGCGCACGAATGGAATCCTGCAAGGCCCTCTCGGTTTCCGACTTTGGGGTATAGTTCGACGGCACGCGACGGGCATTATGATGGTAAATTGTCTCGAGGGCGGATCTCCAGGACCTCAATGCTTCCTCTTCGTTGTTCTGATGTTCATGAGCGACTGCCATTCCCGCCCGATCGGGGTGATTCCGGGGCGAACACCTACCTGACCTTCGAAGTAGACCGCGGTTGAGCACGCGAGATAGCATTCATCGTACGTCTTCTGCATAGAAGACGCGGGCCGTGGGCGCATCATTAGAAAAATACAGGCCCGCACCCATTTCACTGCACGGTTGTGGTGGCGAGGAGTGAGAGCGATGATCTCCCGCGGATTGTGAGGGGGAGGATTTTTCGCGTGACGTCGTCGGGTCGGCAGTTACTGCATGCGGAGTATATCGGCGCTCCACTGGCCCGCAAGTGTCTCGGGTTCCCGCGTGTCGACTATCTCAGTTTGGAGGCTTCATCCCAACACCAGTGTTTTACATTGACCTATAAATACGTGGACCGGTAGGCTTTTCGGATATCACATCTAAATTCCTCGTGGTGGACGTCTATCGGTACATGCAAAAAGAGAGAAAAAGCCCAGAAATAAAAAGCGTATATCGATGCAACAGAGCGAACCCCAGCCCACGCACATGAAATTAAAATCAAAATCTGAGGTTCCACGTTCCAACGCCAGTAACGATACAGAACGCACATCGGACGGGGGGAAGAGGGTCAAGAAGAGAAAATGACAAGGTCGATCTCCAAGCCGGCTTGCAGGTGCCATTCCAACCCACAACCCATTCTCCCAACTATGCATTGCAAGCATCGCTTTTTTTTATGAAGATAAAAAGCTCCAATCATGCAAGAAGTCCGAATTAGGCTCTCCTAGCCCTAGATGGACGCCACGCGTTGGGTTTGGCGGGCGCTGCCCGTGCGTTCAAGACCCAGACAGAACGGATGCAGAATAAACCCATTTCGCCTCAAGAGATCGGGGGGAAAGAAAAAAGCACTATGTGATGTTCACATAACACGGTATATTGAACAAGAGAGGAAACACGGGATCGGATCGGTGGGTGGGAGTCAAGTCGGTGGGCGGTGATCAGGTGTGTTGAGTCTCAAAAGGGAGACACTTATTCGGTGAGGCTCTTGAAGTATGCCTTGGCCATCTCATAGGACGTCCTAGTTACAGAGTTAGCACATATCACACAACCAAGCGGTGGAATACCAGAATGGAAACTTACCAGCAAATGGCTGTGCTGGGCATGGTTGAGATGATACGCGGTCGCATGCCGCGCAGGAAACCCGCCCAGCCGAACCGGCGCTTGATGATAGCCGCAGCGTTGAACAGGCCTCGAGCGGAGCGAATCTCTTCGCTCTCTGCAAGACCGCGAGTCTGAAGGAGCGTTTTCACGACATCAAGAGGGGTGGTGAGACCGGCGGCGAAGGCACCCGCGAGACCACCAGCCATACAGTGGGTGAAGGGATCGTACTCGCCCTTCGGGTTCATCACCTTCGAGATCGACTCATACGCGACGAACTGGGTGGCGGTAAAGGGCACGGTCATGCAGAGGGTGGTAGGGTAGGAGAGGTAGAAGGCCTGGAGGCCCTCGGTGCGGTACACGGTTTTGGCGCATTGCATCAAGCTCTTGTGGACGGATCCGTGGACCTGCATGCGTTGCTTGATCACTACTTTGCGGTTAACCTCGGACCTGCTGGAATATCTCGATTCGTATGAGGTCACCTACCATCGAAGGGGTTCATCAGCGCATCGCTGGCGATTGTCGCAGAAGCTCCACTCAAAGCTGTATCCCACATGCATCAGTCACGCGACTCCCAAAGTTGTCTTAGATTCCCGAGAGACTTACCAGCTGCCAAGGGGTGGTGCCCGTCGTCCACATTGCCGCCAGCCATATCCTTCACCAGCTCATATGTGCCGAAGTACACCGCGTGCGCCGGACCTGGAATTGCATATCAGCCATCGAATTTCCCAAAACGCCAATCATCGAACATACCGGCGCCAACAATCACACTCGACACGCCCTTCCATAGTGTGCGCCAGCCCTCAATCCGATAGATCGTGGATACCGCGTTGGTCAAGCCGGTGTAGAGGCCGCCAGTGGAGGGGTTCAGGATTTGCATGCGAGTCTAGCAACCGATTCCATCCCGTCAGCAGCCAGTTTCAACCATCATGAGGACAAAATGTTTTTCCTCAAGAGACGCAGCACATACCTTGAGCAAGTCGACCGGGTACATCACCGAGTGCTCCTATAATGTGCTCATCAGCCTGTGATCCTACCTCAGCCGTGTCAATTCGGTTATTCCCCGCGGACCTACCGCTATCCCTGCAAAAGCACCGGCAAGCATATTGTGGCCGAGGCCATAGTTGGACGGGAGGGCTTCGTAACTAGAGAGTAGAATTGTGAATTAGCTTGCTGTACCGCGGCAGCTGGGCGCCCCAAAAAAGCAGCCAGCATATCCGACTACCCGCGGGCTACGCCACCCCAGATCCGCCTGCGACCCAATGGAGTCGCCGCGGAGACCCCAATCCCCTACACAGAGGGTCATGAGTCCGTTGCGCACCGCACCCGGGGGGAATCTGCTGGCTGCGAAGGCTTTGTGGACGTACTCGTATTCCTGCCCCGGAATCTGCTCGGAAGTCGCCATGGAGCTCCGCTAGCCCAAGGCACAGCGAGCGCAATTCGAGAGAAGAGGTGGAGAAAGGCGAAGATCGATGTGGTACGTAGTGTGGCAGTGACCGAAGGTGTTGTCGCGCGGGAGAACGACGAGCTCGTGGTGGGCGATGTCAAGAGAGTTCTCCGTGGAGCGGCAAAAACAGTTACCAGATTATTTGCCCACAGCGGGAATAACCAGGGGGGTGAAGAGAGGAGAATGTGCTTTCTCGCGGCACAGAGAAGGATAAAAGACCCCCAAAAACAAACGATGCTTGTTTGAATCAGTTATCTTGTGAATTTTTTTTTTTCGGGGAGCCCGGAGAAGAAGAAGAGATCTTTTTGGAGGTCAATGGCACTAGCAGGCTGACTTGCCCCGGCACCCGCAGCCCGCAGCCCGCAGCCCGCAGACCGCAGACCGCAGACCGCAGACCAAACTACACTATCAGACCCCATGGATTTCCGCAGACCACTCTATTCCTGCCGATATCCCGACGGCCGAGTTACCGTTTCTGACGTTAAATCCACCCTCCTTCACACTATATAACAATGCCTGACATTCGAAGTCATGCATTTTTTTTCTCATTTTGGACGAGATAATAATGTGCAGCATCCCTGATTACTCAGGAAGCAGCGCCCAGAACAGATAACTAATAATGTGCGGCATCCCTGATTACTCAGAAAGCAGCGCCCAGAACCCTGGCAGAACAGGACACTCCGAGGATCGCTCTCTTCCGATGACGGAGCTTACCTAAACCGCCCCTAGCGTCCGGGAGCGGAACTACTTACCATTCTGGGCGTAGCGCGAAGGAGAGTCCTGCCGAGGTACGGGGCAAGTACTTTCCCGGTACTTGTGTTCCTCGCATGATTGCAACTCCATAACGAGGCCAACCTAGGTACCTATCGTGTACTGCTGTCGGCACCGAGTTATCAATCTGATAAGCCGCAGTTCGTATCTCAAACCCCTGCGATCGCGGACTAGTGTGCTGGAGTCCGGGAGTGCTGCGCCTAGAGTGGATCGGGCTTTCCCACCCAACTGGCTGGGCACGCTGGCGCCCGTCATATCATTCGCGAAGGTCTTCTCGTCCAGAGACCGGCTGGAGATATTAGAGCAGGACAAACCTTACTGCTTCGTCGGTGATGGACGTAGTATCCCCCGCCACCCGAAGATATATAGCGTTAGGAAGGAACTGGGGAGAACGGTCGACACAGGCATCCCGGTTCCCCTTCTTTTCTTAGAATGAACAAAGAAACAACCTATGCGTTCCCTTTGCTACGAGGGCCTTATCCTTCCGAACGAAGGGGCACAACCCGAACACGCGACCCTGCCGGGCAGGCTGCCGAAGCCGAGTGGGCGTCAGCCCGTGTGGACTAAACCCGGCTAGGCATGGTACGGAGAGAGCTGCCCATAATTGATTTCCACATTACTGTCGGACCCATTAAGGGCATGGGGAACATGCTGTGAGCGAATAGGAGGAGCGAGTCACGCATCGGACTGCGATCATGATCATGATAGTCATACTGGACAGAGAGGAATAGACAACTTCAAGGAGCCATCATAGGAGGAAAAAAGAGGCCCTCTATAAAGTGCATAGGAAACAAGAGCACTTGACCCACGCAACGCTAGCTGGCTATGGAAGTTGTATAGAGGTTGTGAGATTGTGAGGTAGAGCATTGCTATCCGGCCATGGTAGTCCCAACACAAATGATCTCAACTCCGCTGCGCCGTCACCTCCGGAAACCATGGGAGAGGAAGAAGGGGAGAAAAGTGAAAAGCAGAGATGTTCAAGCACAACGGATACAAGGAGTTGGAAAGGGATGAGACCATCGTTTCGATTTGCGGAGAGGTGGGAGGGGGATGAGTACGGAGTGAAAGGCACCAGTCTCGTGCTTCTACCGGGGCCCTGACCCACTGCTGGTGTTGTGGGGTGTTGGGTCTGAGGCAGAAGCAAGAAGGTGAAGGGGTAGGGTCGGAGGATCGGAGGATCGGAGGATCGGAGGATTGGAGCGGTAACTAGGTTAGGAGAAGATTTCGTTCACGTCGTCAAGAGTCTCATCGGCAGTCGTCGGTTTATAGAGAAAGGCAGAGTGGCGAATTCACCACTCGACGTTGAACGACCATTCTCCTGCAGAAAGTGTCAGTGGCTGCGGACAACAGATTACCCATGGGGGTGATGGTAACGAACCGTTCTTTAAATTGTCAGCAGTATCACTCAGCAGAATGACCCGGCGCTTGTTGCAATAGGCCGTCTTATCCAATATATCCACCTTGAGTTCCGCCAGCTCAGGCACCGGTTTCTCAAACATCTCACTCAGGCTCTCGACTGCCATCTCCAGGTCCTTCTGATTATCCTCGAAGATCTCCGTGAGATTGTTGCGTGCGAGGTAGAAGGCAAATGCATATGTCCACTTCAGCGTCTGGCGACACTGTTGGAGTGCCTGCGAGGCCGTGTCGAGGAACTGCACTTCAATCCACGACAGACCAGACGCGGACTGAAGGCTTGTCATCTTCTTCTCGGTTTTAAGATAAAGGTCCTTATCCAGCTTGGCGGATTGTTCGTGGTTGGCATAGCGGTTGTAGTAGTGCAGGTACCGTTCCAACGAGGCGCGCGATTTGGCCTGCGCCCCGCGCGCATCGGAGCCGGACTTTTCTTCATATCGGTTGCAGTTGTACCAGCTGGTGCCGTGCTCGGACCAGAGACCCATGCACATCCAGCAGAACTCGTGCTTGCACTTGCGACATGTCATATGGTTACAGCCGCCGTTCTTCTCGATCGTGGACTGACATTTAGGACATTCCTTGGTGTTGGCGGAAATCCAGTTGGCCGTCTCGGAGTCGTCCTCACACTTTTGTAACCACATCTTGACTAATGTGCAAGGGGTGGGCTGATGGTCGTTCAGGGTGCACCCAAAGCAAAACTCATGTTTACAGAAACATCGCACCGTGGGCACGACGCGACGGAGGTCGCGCGGTTTAACGGGGCAGTCGACCGCATACACGCATTCAGGCGCTGGGCACCATCGAAGATTATCTTTATCATCCACGTAGGTTCGAGTGAGCAGCGTGCGGTATCTGATCAAGCAGACTGGTCAGCTCCAAGGGTTCGTTGCATCACCTTGCGACTGTGAGGGAAATGACTCACCGTTCCTTCAAGTCATCGGTCACCAATAGATCGAGTGACTTCGAGTCCACGATGCGATTACAGTTCTCGCCAGGACATTCAATACGAGCTGCCTCGCCTTCTTCCTTAATCTTCTGTTCCAAGTAGTGCCGATAGCAATTTACGCAGAAGCGGTGCCCGCAGCGCATCGCATAGGTCTCCAGGTCATCCCCATCCTCACAGCAGATGTCACACATGAAGCCGGGGATGAATTCAGTCCTCGCCGTGCACTCGAAGTTTGTCCCGAGCCCGGCGGCCTCGAGCGTCTCTTCCGGATGCTCCATATACTCCTCGATCAGTCTCTCTTGCTTCCACCGACCAAACCGCAGCAGGATCGCGGCCGACTCTGGCGGCAGGCCCAGGATAGCGGAGACCTCGTTGATCTGCACGAGCTGCTCGCGCTCGATATCGGCGGGGTCTAAGACTTTAAACTCGACCTCATAGGGTTTGCGTTTTTGCTTGAGGAGATCTTTATCATCTGAAAAGCCGGCGTCGAGGTCACCGAAATCTAAGAACCGCGACAAGACAGTCAGCGTCAGCCACCTTTGAACATTATCAATTACCCGGGTCGATTCCAAAGATCAAACCAGACTCGGGGTTTCGCTATCGGTCTCACGCACCTTCACCCAAGCTCTCGTCATCGCTGCCCTGCGTGTCGAGGAAGTCATCGGGGCTCGACACGTCGCTCAGAAAATCATCGTCCGAGTCCATGCTGCCCGTGGTCGTCGCAGGCGTCACGATCCGTGCCTGCTTCAGGTTAAGGCTGGCCAAACTGGTCGAGCTGCCCCTCTCCGGCTCCTGGTCCTGATCCTGGTCCTGGGAGGTTGTCAAGGTGGAAGCCGGCTTGGTGCGTGACCGAGGGTCGGACGCAGTGGCGTTCCGTGTGTGGGCAGCCTTGGTGGCGGCTTTGGGAAGAGGCTGGTCGTCGTCCGCAATCGCCGCCTCAGCCGCCTTTCTCTTTCGCGTAGAGGGAGGCGTTGTGAAAAGGGGGGCGGCAGAGGTGCCGGCGGGGAAGGGTTTAGGCAGAGGGAAATAAGAGGGGCAGGGTACAAAAAAACCCCCAGAAGCGACGGGAGTCGTGAGCCAGTGAGCCACAACGTCACTGGGAAAATTGGCGGACCGTCGGATGGGGGGGACGTTCGGGTGGGGAAGGGGGCTGCGATCGAGCGGGACCGCCTGGACTGTTGCGTGGAAGGCCTGCTGCACCCGGGCGAAAACCTGAAAAAGACGGGTGGAGTTGGGTGGTTGTTTAGGAATGTCACAAATTCAAATCCCCCATAAGAATGAGACAAAGATACTGTAGCTCGCTCAAGGGACGGTTCTCCGTTTTGTCTGACTCAACGCGTTGAATCACAGAGTGCCGTGGCGTATAATTGTCAAGGCTGAAAGTGACCTGCAGATCGCAGCTGTGGCGCCTTGCGGATGCCTAGTAAATGAGTAATCGCGTGACTAACTTACTACAAAGCAACAGCATCGCTAAAGGATACGGGAAAATCGTCCCCTTCGAGTAGTCTTATCGGCCAGCAGGTTAGGAGCGTGTATGTCTTTTCCTCTTTTCCTACGAAACATATCTACTAGACCTATGGCTCCACCCGATACCTATAATATGAACGACAGCCATCTCGATCAGCACATCCATTTTATGACAGATATGTTTTGCCCCATCCCATTGCTGCCCTATCGAAATGCATGGTATATGAAAACATCTACTCGTCGTCGCTCTCCTCCTCGTCCTCGTCCCCATCCTCACTGCTCTCCTCCTCCTCAGCATTTGCCAGCCAGTCCACAAACTGCTGCGTCTGAGTCCGGACTGTCCGCATCTCCTCAGTACTGCTGGACCGCTCATCGTTCCACCACTGCTCATAGGCCTCCTCATCCACCAGTTCCAGGTCATAAAGCTCTTTCGCGGTGAAGAGCAGCACGCTGGCACCCTTGTTGCGGTGCACCAGGTCCTGCTGCAGCTGGAGCAGCAGGTCAACTTGGTCCTTCTTCACCCCTTTGTTCCGGTCGAATAGCGTGCGCTCTACGACCTCACGGTACTTGGTGAATACTTCCTTCACGGCCTCGTTGGCTCCCTTGCCGGCCTCCATCAGTTGCTGGATGTACTTCATGAATGATGATACCACGGCCCGGCGGACCTGGACGTCCGACGCATTGGCTGTCATACGCAGACTGACCAGCTCCAGCTGCACTACGTCCGCGGACACGCCGTCCCGCAGACTGTCAAAGACGCTGACGGAGGCATCGTGGTGGAAGTTATCCTGCTCTTCGCCATCGGAGAAACTGCTGCGGCCAGAGCGAGGCCAAGAGCTCTCGGAAATCTCAGAGGACAATGTCGAAATCGAGGCATTCGACAGAGAAAGACCTGGCATCCGGTACACCAGCCCCGACGAGGCGACGCTGACATCATCCTCATCCTCATCCTCGTCCTCCCCAGGAATAAACTCGTATCCCTCGCCGCCCTCTCCGACTACCTCCGGGTCACTGGGACCCGCACTCCCGTCCGGCCGAGACCGGGTTATGCGCTTGCCACTCTCAACCTTCACACCGTCCGAGATCCTGACACCATAAGAAAGAAGCGCGCCCTGTGCAAGGGAGCAGTTCTTGCCCACCACAACGCCGTCGGCAACGATAGCCCCCGGACATCGGTGCCATCCCCGATCACAACATTGTCCCAGATATACGCGCCGTCCAGCTTGACATTCTTCCCGATCTTGCAATTCCGGCCGAGAACTGTGCTGTGGACCGTCGTCCGATCGCCGATGCTAGTACCCCGCCCAATGACAGTGCGCCGGCCGAGCACGCACGACCGAGCGAGCGTTACACCCTGTTCCTGGTACAAGTTGCCCTTGCGGAGGTTGTAGGTGTGACCGGGGAGAAGATTTGTGTCCGGGCATAAGGGGTAAGTCCAGCGCGAAACAATATCCTTGCTGATTGCATCATAGGCCTTCAGGTTGCGTACCCGCGCGGCATAGTCCTCTTTGATGATGTGGGTGTGGATAGTCTTGCCGTTCAGTTCGTAGTCCTTCAGGACACCGTACAAGTAGTGTTTGCGGGGCGACTGGTAGTCGAAGCTGTCGGACCACAAGCTCAGCACGTCCGGGGTGCAGATATCGATGCTGCAGTCGATCAGATCTTGGCGGATGTCTAACTCGGGGGTGGACAGGATGATTTCGGTATCGATGTTCAATCGTGCCGGGTGCTCATCGGAGTGGTGGTCGATCTCCTCATAGTGCAGGCAGCGGTCCTTTGTCGGGTCAATAACGAAGACGGGGGAGATGGAGGAGGATTTCGTGCGGTGGTTACGGCCCGCTTCGCGCAGGACCATGGTCATAATGGCGTTCTTGTCGGCCTCGCGGCGTTTGCGGTGCTTGGACAGGACACTCTCGATGGGCAGGTTGCTGATAACATCGCCGCTCACAACGATGAAGTCGCCGGTGATGAGGTGCTTGCCGTCGAGGTCACGCATAACATCGCCGACGGAGGTAGAGGTGGACTTGAGGAAGGTCAGTTGCTTGAAGGGCGAGGATGGAGCTCTCCATTTCGAGGCGCTAGGGTGATCTGGTTAGCCATGTCCTCCGCCGACACATAAATTTTCGCATGGATGCCGTACTTGATGTATTTCTCTAATTGATCTGAATGAGCACCGCCGTAGAGGAACACCTCCTCGACGCCAGCATTGGCTAGGAACTCGAGAGTATATTCGATGAGAGGGGTATTGGCGAGAGGGAGCAGACACTGTCATGGGAATAACCTAATCAGCTCCATCCTATTTTCAAAACTGCTCCCGCAAATATGCGCTTCATGTTTTGGAAGTCCGCCTGGCACATACCCGTGGCTTGTCGCGAGTGAAAGGCTCGAATCTGGTCTCGAAGGTATCTGCAAGCACCACAGCCTGTAGCGTCTCTTCAACCTCCTCTGCAGTATTCTTTGGCTTCGAGCCACCGCCCTTTTGCTTGGCGCCCATTGCTGTCGGAGATCCTGGATAGTGTCAAATGGAATGATTCACAGTGGAAAGCGGCGAAAGGATAGACGAATGGCTGGGATCACCGCAGGGCTGTCATACCTCTAAAAAACCAGGATCATAGAACAGGGAGGTGACCTCGACTAAATAGCAAGATCGATCCGGAAAGGCGCTGCATTCGCTGGTCCAAAGAGACTCCGCTATCAAAGAAGGGCACAAAAAACCCCGCCAAGCCTCGGGGTGACTCCCACTGTGTTGACTCGTTTGCACTGTTTGACTTATTTGCATATCCAACTCACCGCCCGATAACGTGATTCCCTGTGGCGCAGGTACCATCATGCATTAGCCACAAGCAGCCGCGAAAGGTCCAGAAGGTCCAGAACTACCCGCAAGGCCTGGGCCCTTGTGGACACCTTTAATTCCACTGCTATGGTGGAATCCGGTCTAGACGCGTCTACAAGATAATCCCGTTGAGATCTCGGGTTCGTCCGACCGGCCCTTGTGTCTTGGGATTGCGGGTGCAGTGGGGATGGTTCGTCAGTAATATACGCGGAAAAGATATGCGAGCAAAGCAATGGGGTCCACTGATCGCTAACAGGTGAGTACACCTGGGAGGAATACGAAAACAATTTCCTTCATGCTTTGCTTCTTTCTCCTTTCTATTTCTTGGGCAAATTTGCCTGGAGCTGAGACGTTTCCAACGACTTTGACCTGCCCCTGGAAGAGAGGAAAATAGGGAGAGTACCACAAAACTATGTGTGTAAATAATATGTACCTGGCGAAACAATTCTCTCTCATACAGTAAGGTAAATAAGTGTATATCAGTCCCAGGTGGACAACGCTGACGCGTGAATCGCAACCGCACACATTCGCCACCCAAAATCAAAAAGCCTGCAAAAAGAAAGAAAAAACGCCATGACCTGTAAGGGGTAACACAAACCGCGACCGAGGCAACAACATAAGCTGGGAACAGGGCACCGAGCAAAGGGAGCAACATATGATTGAAGGCCTCATTATGGACAGTGGGAATCGTAAGGTAATAGACAGGCGGAGAGGGAGGCGGGGAGGTTGATTTAGATGAATAAGGCACAGGGTGGGAGAGGTCGTTTTTGTTAGCCAGGACGCCCAGCTTGCACAGCCATCATCGGCTGGGGTTGGGGGTACATGCGCTGCCGTTTTACGTTGGGGTTCTCTGTGGCGCTGGACATCTCAGACATTTGCCGGCGATGCTGGGGCCGAGGAGGGGCACCGGTGGAAGGAACCGTGACGGCGGGCGGTGCAGGAAACTGAACGCCATTCTGGTCAACCGTGTATGCTCCCGGGGGTGCTCCGGGGGCGGCCACGTATTGTTGGACTGCGGGCATGGTGGGTGGAACCGTCGGCATGCCCTGGAATTGGCCTGGTGATTGCCAGTTGCTCATCGAACCGGCCGGAGATTGGCCTGGGGAACTGTCCTCTTTGATCGATTGGGAGGCGGATGTTTGGGCAGCCATTGTCACCGCGGCCGCGGCTGGCGGGGCGGCCTCGATACCCTGCGGCATAGTCTTGAGATGTACCAAATGCTTCTCAAGCATACCGAGCAGACTCTTTCTAGTGAACGGCTTCGGAAGAACGTCGTCCATACCTACAACAAATTAGCGAATGCTCCATGTCAAGTGACCACTGATATGAATGTCGCTGCCTTACCGTGTTGGAAGTAGAGCTGAATATCATCACTGCGGATGTTGGAGGTCATGGCGATAATGGGAGTTCGGTCGAATTGGCGGATGAGGTGGCAGGCGGACACGCCGTCCAAGTTCGGCATGATGATATCCATGAGAATCAAATCGTACTTCGAGCCACCCTGCATCTTGTTCACAGCCTCCAAGCCGTCAAACTAGACAAAGAAAAGTTAGTAGTCATCCAAGGTGACGTGTGCCCATAGGTAGTTTAAGCGATGGGGTAGTCCAAACATACAGCAGTGTCAATCACGCAATTGAAGGAGTACAGGAATTTGCCGCCAATCTGTCGGCAAGTAGCGTCATCTTCCACCAAAAGGATTTGCGGACTGCGCATCCAGCCGGGGTCGACGTTGGTGGTCTTTTTGCGGTTCGTGTCTGGGTACTGGCGCCGCGCCTCCGCAGAGTCAATCTCTGGCTTGGCAGGCATGGGGTACGGCACGTTATTCACGTGCTCGCTATACATGGGGTCGATGCCATTGCTCGTGCCCACCGGGTACACCACTTGCTCCAAGTCGCCGCCCATCTTGGGATAGACCAACGCCGCGTTCGGTGGTGCGCTGGTCCCTGGACGCGCGGCCCCATTCCGTGCAGCAGGATCCATGGGGGGAGCTGCCACTGGGACTACACCCGCCTTCTGGGCATCGTTGGCCGCCGAATCCATCCCGGTGAGGTTGAACTGGATCTCTGCATGCATGTCATTCAAGAGCTTCGACGCCTGCTGGAGAGGCGATGATGGTTCATCATCCGCAGCTCCAACCTGCGAGGGGCTTATGGCGGCGCTGCCCTGTCCCTGGAATGAGACAGCCTTGCTGTCCCTCCGTTGGCGCGCATCCACCGAGAGCAAATAAGTCATCACCTGGTGAATAACATTCTCATGATTCAAGACAGTCTTCTGCACGCGCATCACCTCCTGCAACATGAGCTGATGGTCCACTGTGAGCTGAGCATAGCGATCTGAAAGATGCTGAATCTGCTGCTGCTGGGCGACAATCTGTTGGTTGAGCAAATCGATCTGCTGGGTGGGGACGGACTCGTCGTTGCTCTGGGCCTGCTTGCGGGGAGCAGGGGCCTTCCGGCGAATGTTGTCTAGCGAGTCCTTGCTGTTGGCCCGGAACTCGGGGTGCTTAAACTCCCACGCCTGGAGCAATGCGGAATAAGCCAGAGCCACAGAAACAGTTTGTGGGGACCACATTGAGGGGTTCCGCTGGGGGAAGAGGACAGATGGATGGCCTTACATTTTGCCCATACGGCGACTGGCCGTTCTCCTCGTTATTCTGTCGAACCTTGTGGAAATCATACTTGTTGAGTTGGCGCACGAAACTGGCGAAGTTGCTGTGCTTGAAGTGTTTGGGCAGGATAGTCTTGGTGAATTTTTCGCACTAAATTTCGAGAGCTCGAAGTCAGTCGCCAGCGATCGCGAGCGCACAAACGGGTGTCGCTACAGGCGCATTTACCTCAAGGACCACGAAGCTATCCCCTTCATCCCCCCAGCGCACGATGGACGCGTAGGAGGGATCCTCCAACATTCTGTAGATTTGGTCAATCAACGGTCGAGATTGCGGCGGTCGGAGCCCAAGGGGGGGGAGAGGGGGGGAGAGTGGACGGCGATTTGCAGGTGCAGCAAAGCGAAGAAGAGCGGAGGCGAAGGCAGACTCACTTGTACAGTTTGCGAACCTATGCATGGTGTTAGTAAAAGGAGTTCTAGGAACTGAAGGCTTTGGAGATCATCACGACATACAAAATCGCTGGAGTTCCCAGCGGGGGCGGGATTCGACGAGGTCTGGCCACCATCCATGCTGGGCTAGACGGGTCGCGACCGGTCGAACAAGCAGCAGGCTGGACCCGGAGGCGGGCTGGCGGGTAGTCAATGCAAAATCGAACGTGCCCAGTAAACGGACGAGTTGCCGCGCTGGAAAAAGAAACGACAAGACGCAGGCCACGAAGCACACCGGGGCGAGAGGTGGGAGAGTGAGAAAAAAGCAGGGAATTATAAGAACCGAACGGGTACCGCCTCTCCGATCGTGACGGGGACGGGCTCTGCGCGGGTTGGCGGTAGAGCCAAGTACCAGAGTTACGGAAGAAACACAAGAGATGATGAAGAGCTACGTTCTGGACTCTGGTTCCTATCCTGATTACATAGTCTTCCTACACTCTTCTTGGGCCTTGATCGTGCCGGGGGAATGATGCAAGGAGGTTTCTATTCTCATTTTTTCACTTCATTTGATCCTATGGGTTTAAACCCCCTAGCCCTACGCCGTCCCTCAACTACAAGGGCGGGCAAAATTCTTTCATTCCCCCCCCGAGGGGACGTCGATACGATCTCCTCCGAGAGTAGGCAAAACTTCCTTCGACTCTACTGCTGCATTGTAAAAATCCGCGCAAGTCCATTGGTTGACAGGCGGTTGTCAATGCGCACCAGTTGGAGGGGGGGGCACCATGCATCGTGCGGGCTCAAAGCTCCTCCCAGGTACTGCGTGGTACTCCTCATGGTTATCCTTCGTTGCATCCTCATGGGATGGGATGGTCCCATAGTCCCCAAAGTCCCGACAGTCGCCCTTCCAAGGGAAAGGGCAAGAATAGCACCCGGTCGCCAAGACGCGTTAAGACATGACTTGTCCAGAGGGGAAGGGGACCTTCCAGTCAGCGAAAAGATCAAATGGAGTTCAACCGATGCTCCACTCGTGGGAGACAGACCCTTGGGACGTGGGCAACAAAGTGTGGACCGTTGCTTTGGCCGGTTCCCACACGCGTTCTGCTGGGCCCCTAACTGGTCGCAAGTTGCTCCCTAGGGAACTGGTTTCCAGTGATGTGTTGGCACCGAGTAACGGTGTGTACTCCATATGCACAATATACCTTAGTATGCGGCCGTTATGCTTGTCTGGAGCAGAGATCGTCATGTCCACGGATTCCCGGGCTCAGAGCTCCATATGGATCGGAATCGTTCATGAGGCATCGTCAACAGCGAGGCCACCAGGGACAAGGACAACAGAGAATGGCAGGATGGAGCAGCATGGAGCTTTCGGTAGATGATGTATTGTAGATAGCCTCTGATCTCGGGGTTCCGTTGACGGGCCAAAGCGCCCAGCTGGTTTGCCGCCGATCCTCCGAACTGATGGTACCTTCGGGCATCGGAGACCAGATGGGCCGAGTAAAGAACGGAGTGTATTGTCCATTCCACATAATATGCATAGCTCGTCTGTAGATCAAAGACACTCTCCTTGTCCTGACGGCCCCCAAACGACGGGGTGGTGCAGGGTCCAACGGGCGGGATGCGCGATATGAAATCTCCGGGGCTCGCCAACATCAACATCCCAACCCGGCGAACTACACCCGTCCACCACCCCACACCCTTTTCCCCCATCCCATCTCACGAAATACTCGTGTCTCTCTCCAATCCCTCCCCCCCACGCCCTACGCCCTCAATTGCCACCATGTTCGCGACCCGCCGTCTTGCGACCAACCTCCCCCGCCTGAGGGCCGCCCCCTTCCATAGCACCGCACGCAACCTTGTTCAGAAGGGCGACCCCATTCCCAACCTGGATGTTCTGGTCGAGAACTCCCCGGCAACAAGATCAATCTTGCCAAGGAGATCAAGGGCAAGGCCGTCATCGTCGGCACCCCGGCCGCCTTCAGTACGGGATCCTGCCTCTTAACAAGAAAAGCCAGGACCGCTCCATGCTGACTTTTGCATTTCCTGCGTAAAGGCCCCGCCTGCTCGAGCACCCACGTCCCGGGATATATCAACCACCCGAAGCTCAAGGAGGCCGGCCAGGTCTTTGTCGTCTCCGTCAATGATCCCTTCGTGTAAGCTCCAGTTCGCGTGCGATACAGTGGGGGAAAAGTACCGTTGAAATTGCCGCAGACGGATCGCTGATACGCAAGCATACCATAGGACCCAGGCTTGGGGCATTTCTCTGGACCCCCAGGGCAAGAGCGGCGTATGTATATGTCGATGTTTTGTGGGTGGCTGAGGACGTGGCTGACAGTATCTCTGTTCATCTAGGTCCGCTTTCTGGGCGATCCCACCGGCAAGTTTACCGAGGCTCTCGATCTGAGCTTCGACAGCACCGCCATCTTTGGCAACCAGCGCAGCAAGCGCTATGCCCTGCTGGTGGAGGACGGCAAGGTCAAGGAGGCCTTTGTTGAGCCCGACAACACCGGTGTCAACGGTAAGTGGTCGTGGGGGTCGACTTCCGCCGTTGAGGAACGGTCGCGACTGACATGGTATAGTCTCGACTGCCGAGAAGGTCCTTGGGTAAGCTACCGGGGCTACTGTAAGAGTACGAGGTATGGAGCGACGGATGCCCTTGCATTACGTTGTATAGCAGACTTGCGGACGGGAAAAGAGGTAAGCTTTGAAGGATCAATTCCTGGGGTCGGAGTCGGTTGGTTCTATTTATATCACGCATCGGCTATCCCAGATTGTGATGTACCTCCATTGATTTCCAACGTGGCGACTGTGCTTTGAAATAATACGTGCGTACAAGAGCAACGTCAGAATAGTGCTCACTCTATAAGAATCCTAGCCTTTTACAATATTGGTGACCTGTGATGGAAGTTAGAGTGGGTTGGCGGCTGCCTAAGACTGACGCGGCCCGTTTGCCACACCTGTGGCGGTGTTTATGTACAAGCCTACGAGATAAGAGACTTAAGTGACCCTTGAGGAAACGCGTTCGGAGAAAACTGAGCGCCGCAGTTCCATCGGTCGTGTAACGCGGGTGTGTGTGGGCACCTTGGTGGAAGAAGAAAATTCACGCCATCTTTTCTAGGCAAAGTCGTTGCTCTCTAGTAGAAGCTTTTTGCCATTGACCTGGTAGGGACTCGCCTCTGAATCATAAGATGTACGATAGGGTCCCTGCGGCACAGGACCGGATGGCCGGCAGCCACAATACTCCAGGATATACACTGTTGACGGCACCACAAGACCCAAAAAAATCTGCGATTTATTGCTAGGTATATCTAGCAAATCTCTCCTATCCCCATTTGCTTAAATTTTCACTTTGCTTCAGGCTGTCTCCTGGCTGTAGATCCGCACCCACAACAGCCGCTTCGTCATAGCCCCGTGCCAAGGCTCGTGCCCCCGTTCCAGCCACAGTCCCCTCTCTGTCTCTCTTGACACTCCCATCTTCTCCCATTTCTTCTGCCCGTCCCCTCACTTTCTACTTGGCTCGGCTCAACCCCAGCATTCAATCCCTTTCGCATCTTCCCCTAGTGGCTGGTCCGCCGATTCATCCTCCCGAAGGCGCCACAGGTGAGGCTCGACCACCGCACGCCCGACGACTATCTACCGCCTCGGGTCGCGATTCGGAGCAACGACACTGGGCTGTGAGAGCCTGGCAAGAGGCTGTCAACGATATCCCCCGAAGTCGCTTGATCAGTCGTTCTTTTCTACAGTCGCGCCTTTGATCGGTTCAGTCAGGCTGCGACCGTCGCGTCTATACCCGGCACCATGTCCAAGGTCGTTCGCAGTGTCAAGAACGTTACAAAGGGATATTCCTCGGTGCAGGTAAAGGTCCGAAATGGTATGCGTGGCCCTCTTCCTGGTCTTCTTCCTGGTCTGCGTAGATGCAGTCAAATCCCCGCGATAATCGTGTCGACACGGGTCTTTTTCCGTCCTTGCCACTGCCTCCTTGCTTTTGCCAGCGGCGATGAGGGGGCATGCATTGGCTGTGCACCTGTGATTCGATACTAGCATGCTAACTGTGCCTTTCCTGTAGCTACCAGCAATGATCCATGGGGTCCGACGGGCACCGACATGTCCGAGATTGCGGCCATGACTTTTGGGAGGTAGGGATTTATCAGCGGTTCATGTGGACTAGACCGAGTCTAACACCATTTTTCATATAGCCCGAACGAGTTCTATGAGATCATGGACATGATTGACAAGCGCCTCAATGACAAGGGCAAGAATTGGCGCCATGTGCTCAAATCATTGAAGGTGCTGGATTACTGTCTGCACGAGGGATCGGAGCTGGTGGTGACGTGGGCTCGGAAGAATGTCTATATCATCAAGACTTTGCGCGAATTTCAATATGTCGACGAGGAAGGAAGGGATGTCGGCCAAAATGGTGAGTGGTCACATAAGGGCAGAGCGCGCGCGGCCGTTGCTGATTACTGTTGGTAGTTCGTGTGGCCGCAAAGGAACTCACCGCGCTGGTGTTGGACGAGGATCGACTGCGCAGCGAACGATCCGATCGCAAGCTTTGGAAGACTCGTGTGAGCGGGCTCGACGATGGCTATGGAGGCGGAAGCGAGCCGTCTCGTCGGGAGCGCCGACGACCCCGTCGTGACGACGAGGACGATACCGAATACCGACTAGCGATCGAAGCTAGCAAAGCTGAAGCTGAAGAGGAGCGTAAGCGACGGGCGAAGGAGTCCATGAAAATGGAGGAGGATGAAGACCTGGCCAAGGCGATTAAGCTTAGCCGGGAAGAAGAGGATCTGCGGAAGCGTGAGCTGGAGGAAAGCAACGCGCACTCGCTCTTCGATGAAACCCCAGCCCAGGTTCAGCCCACCGGGTTCAACCAGGGCTACCAGCAGCAGGGTGCGGTGGATTGGTTCGGAAACCCGATCAATGTGCAGCAGCCCATGACAACGGGCTTCTTGAACAACCAGTATGCGCAACCGACTGGGTTCCAGGGTCAGCCGACGGGTATGGCCAACCCTTACACCAATGGCTACCAGCAACAGCCCTCTGCTTTCGACCAGAACCCCTACGGGCAACCCCAGAACAACTTCTTGCAGCCGCAGGCTACCCTCCAACCCCAGCACACCGCATATCACGCCAACAATCCCTATGGACCTCCCGATGTCTTTGGACAGCAACCTCCACAGCAGCAGCAACAACCGCAGGAGAACTATCAGTCCGCTGGAAGCAACAACCCCTGGACTGGAAACCAGCCTGCTGATGCATTAAAGCCCATGCCGACTGGCTCGAACAACCCATTCGCTCAACGCACCCAGTCCCAGTTTACCAACCAGGGCCCGCCTAAGCCAGGGCCACCATCCCTCAACACCCTGGCCGAAGACCGTACCACAAATCAGTTCAACCATAACAACCAGTATAACACCAACCAATTCAGCCAGCAGCCCAGTCAGCAGAACCCCATCGCCGCCTTCCAAGCCCCACAGCCGTCAAAGAGCACCCCGCCCCAGCCCGCAAACCCTCACCACGCACGCCTCAATGCCCTCCTTTCATCGGGCGAGGGCCAGGATACCTTTGGTAACGTCGGCGATCTTCGTATCCCTGCGCAGCACACGGCTCCGGGCACGTTCGTTAACTCTGCCGGCCAGGGTTTGGATCGTCTGCACGCCGCGCAGACCGGCAACAATCCATTCTTCGGTCAGCAGTATACCGGCGTGCCCCAGCAGACCGGGTATTTGCAGCAGCCTGCCAGCAACCCATGGGGCGCCCAGCAACGACCGCAGCAGCATGGCGGTAGCCTGATTGATCTGTAGACACGACGTCCCTGGATACCACCCTTTTCTTGTCTTTCTCTTCTATTATGGCTCCCTGGTCTCTCCAGGGCTAGGATTTCTGGGCTTTCGATCTCTTCGCTTCGCTTTTCTTCCCCCTTCCTCTCTCAACAACCCCCCTTCCATGTCACGCCCCTTCTAGGGTATAGCAAGTGCAGTTGCATTCTGAAGCTACGCAGTCGAGATCCAGGGTTTTCTTCATCACGCTATGCATGTTCTCCTTTTTGTTTTTCCCTCGGGACCACAGAATATTCCTTGGTCATTTCCTCTTTCTCTCTCTCTCCATTCCTTCTTCGCGTCCCGACACCCTGTCCTTTTCTCTTATGTCTACTCCGCTTTGTCGCTAGGATATCCTTCTCACTTCTCAACTGGTCTAAGATTATTTCCCGTTACCTGTTCCCGTGCTTGATACTGTAGTAGGAACTGGTATATCCTCCATCCATTGTCGACCATGCTATCAAACTTTCGTTGTGTGCGGATATCATGATCTGTCCCCTGCGCGTTCCAGCACTTGCCACAGTCGAAGTCCAAGCAGTAAGATGTATTTATATTAAATCAACGTCAAACATGCTATCAAAATCCAGGCGAGAAGGTCAATTTTACGCCTCCGAGGACACCTTGACAGACGTGCGTTTCAAAGTACAACCAAAATATCCCGGAACGCCCTAACAACCTGCCAAGTTATGGCGATAACCTCCAAAACAATAGCAGAAAACGGGGAACGACTCATTCTACTTCACCTTCCCCCCCCCCCCAACTCAGTATCCCCATTCAGAGAAATCAGACTCCCTTTCGGCGACTCGAACTTCTCAAAATCCATCTCCTGGACCTCCACATCCGGCCACTGTGCCGTTGCGGTCTTCGCCCCATCGACCAAACGCTTAGCATTCAGCATAGTGCTGTAAGTAATTCCACTCGAAAACGCCTCGTGCCACTCATCCCCCAAATCCACGATATCCGAATCCCGAAAACTGGACCCAGCCTTGCGCCACGAATTGAAAAGTGGCGGATACGGCGCCAGACACCGGAAATGCACCCCTTTTCTCTCGCTATCACAGAGACCGTTCAGATTCATGTCGAAGGGGCTGTTATTCGGCTCTAGCGAGAGCGTGGCAAGGATCTTGCGCGCTGCATCGTAGGTGACTGCGTAGGCTAGTGTGCAGAGCCCGTCCGCACCGTCCAGCACGAAGCGTGAGTGCTGCATGTCTCGCCGGTCTGAAAAGTCGGGCCACCAGAAGTCTCCGCGGTGGGAGACTGGGCGGACAGTAGGCTCATTCGGAATCATGTAAAGGCGGCTCGCGTCGCGGGAGCGCATCGCACACGAGCCGAGCCAGAGTGTGTCCCAGTTGTCGCCGTAGGGAGAGTGGGATGTCTCGGTGTCTTGGATGGCGCATGCTCCCCGGGCAAATTCTTTTAGTTGAGCCTTCAACGTCACGTCCCAGTCAATATCGTCTTCGAAGATGAGCGCGGTGCGGATTTTATTTGCCACGATACTGGAAATGGACTGTATGTGAGCCAAAAAAAAGGAAAGGAACTATAAGCCGGACATGATCTTGATCGTGTGTACCTTTGCATCGCGTTGATATGTGCCCTCCAGGCTCCTATTTCCTCGGGCTTGCCGCGATTTCTATCCCAAGACTATGTACATGTTAGATATGCCCGACCGAATAGATGGGTGGGATCTTTCATACGGCTGGGTATGCCTTGTCGTTCATTTCGCTGGCGCGGACACCTTCGATCCATTCCAAGTCCATGTCTAGCAGGGAGGCGCCAGTGGTCATAGCATCGCGTTTGTCCATTCGATCGCTAAAGCCAATTGCAAATACCCGCTCGAACTGTGAACCCACGAAACATGTAACACCCTTTAGTTTCACTGCGACATAGGAACACGGGATGATACTCACGCCAAGGGTTGTATTCGCGATGTCTCGCAATAACTCGTTAGTTTGCTCCTCCAGGTTGGAGGAATCGTTGAGTGGGCTAGTAGTAGTTTCCAGTTTTGAGACACTATTGTGATTCTGAGGAGTCCATGAAATCGATGTTCTGGCGTTCGCTAGCCTCATTTCTAGGTCCCAGGCATGCCACACGCCCAGCGCGACTTGGTAGAGTACCACCGCTAGGATGGCCAGAAGAGTAAATGAAAAAAGTCGGTTCATGTTAATTGAATGAGTGGACGCTCGGCGTACGAGGCAGGGCAGTTCGAGTGCCGGTAGGATATTGAGCCTGTGGGATCATTGGCGGCATTATGTAGAGAATACTTATGCTGATCAGAAGTTCCTGACATAGCAAGGCCGATATTGGGGCCATAGGTGGATATTGGGGCCATTCCTCCTCACAGTTATGCGATGTGTGTGGACTGTAATCAGGACCCGAAGAGGTTGCCATTTATGGTTGGTCAATGGAGTCAGCTTACGGTTGGGGGTCGTTGATCTTTCTCGTTTACCTCTTTGTTCTAAACGTCGGGGGCCACTTCATATATTACTTCGGAAGGAGATATCAGATTGTCTACATAACAAATAGAATATATAAGATAGAATTGTTCAAAAAATGAACAGAAGTTGTCTCCAACTGCTCAGCTGGCACTCGGCCAGGAATGAAGCTTTAGTTTCGCTCGCTGTCAACAATCGATCGGGCAACAGAGATGACACTACCAAGTGGGGCCTTCACATAAGCAGCCCTGAAGCTACTCTTCTCATTGAGAGAGGAAGCTAAAATGGGAATAGATTGGCAGGGGCGAGGCGGAATTCGAAGGCCTTGGGTGTAGACTCCGCCACCACATCACGACGCAGCAACTCTTAAGGTTGTGGGTTTCTTGTCATGACCCATTAGGATGGTGGATATTCAATCGAGGGGCTTTTCTTGATTCTTTCATTTCTATTAAGGGAACCCTTGGGTTGAAAATACCCTGAAATCCGAATCAAGTCAACCCAAAGTCCAATCAAGACGGGATCTTGAAATCTCAAAGATTGACCTTGCCAATTTCCAGACGATATCAGTCGAGTGTAGTGAATATGGCGTGGGTAGAACACAACAAGAACTTTGACTGCCTACTGCATTCGAAAGGAATGCCAAGTACGCTTGAAATTACTGGAGCGGGAGGTGTATCTAAGCGAGTCAAGCGGTCCACGGCTGGGGTATAAGCTCGAAGCGACTCAAAAGCGCCCCCAGTAAGACGGGTAAGTGCCCGACGTCTGAATATGTATGGCATTACAAACACCCCCCCCCCCCCCCCCCCCCGGGGCCCAAATACATAACTCATGTGCATCAATAGCTACTGTGTACAGACGGACTGCTTCCTCTCTCACAGACGGCGTATTGGGGTATGGTTCAACTGGTCTCTTCCATGCTTCTCCACCAAATGAGAACTGGGGAGAATGGAAATCCGGCTCAGTGTCATTCCTACCGAAGCATGAAAGGCGTTTTAGGTGTCTACTCACTGGTTCTACTCTTTCTCCGCCACGCACACCACAACTTAAGTCCCGCGCTTCGAAATCACCCGGGTCTACTTCTATTGCAGTAGGTACGGATGCTAGGTATGTGTGAGTGCTTTATGCTATATTACTTTGCTGTTTCAAAAAGCTACTTCATTTCCAGTTTTCAAGACTTGCTCGCGACAATGAGCATATTTTCTTATGGGTTAGATTATCATGCTAGTAGCCTCATCAACTCCGCCAGATCATGATTCCGTAAGGATCACGATCAGCGTTGCTGACAGAGACCTCGACACTGGCATCCTCATAGACCTCCTCTCCAGATGCGGAAGGAGTGGCTCCACCCTGCTTCGCGGCGTCCCGGATCGCCTGAAGAGCCGCCTGCCGGTCGTTTTCCCAGTGCTGCGACAGTTCTTCCTGCAGCTTGCTTTGCATCACCGCGCGAAGATACCCACGCTCGGAGTTGGAGTGGGCAAGAGAGATGACTACTGATCCACGCTCCGTGGCAGCCAGAGCTTCATGGTGGCTCATTTCTCCAGTGAAGAGGAGATCGGGAATGTCACTTCCGCTACGCAGAAGAACACCGGAGCCTGAGCCAGGACACATGCCGACAGTGCGGATGCGGATGTCGTCGACCGACCGCCCTTGTGGGATGGCGATGGGGATAGCCCCTTGGAGGCCGACACCGCGGCCAATATGATCGATGAGCGAGGTGAGAGGCTGGGCGTTGTTGAACGTGACTAGGCGGCCGGCACCTGCAGACTCAAAGCCTTCCGGAATGGAGTCCGGGGGCGATGGGTGGATTGTGGACCGGGTATGGGGGATTTTCTGGGAAGTGCTTGCTGAACCGGTAGTGGGGACAAATTCAGACTGTGGGTAAGTAGGTGCAGAGTACAGAGCAGAGGAGCAACCCGTGATTGAAGGCTTCGGCGCAGCCTCGGATGACTGGTAATTACCAGTCACCACGTCACACAGCCAGTCGGCCATTCCTTCAGGAACGGTGTCAACGGCTGTGTGCGGCGAGTAGACGCTGATACCATGCTGAGCCAGTCGCAGAAGAGAGCGCTGCTGTGTGTCATCAAGAGTAATGGACTTGAGTCCACGGAAGATGATAGGGTCTATAGGTGAGAATTAGATACGTTTGTTTCAACAGAGAAATTCACGATGGTGCTTGGTAGTTGCAATGAAAAAGGAGCATGGGTGCAGAATGAAAGTAGTCAATCTTACGGTAGGCGACGACAGCTGAATCCTGGCGCTTGATAGCTTCATCGGCGACAGCTGTGGTAAGATCGATGGCTAGCAGCACCGAGTTCTTCTGTCGGCGCGCTGGATCAAAGGGAGCCTCAAGAAGCACTGCATGTGTATGGTGAGCACAATGTAATTAAGTTGAGAGCAAGTGTACAACATGATATTCGAGACCATCAACTTACAGCCAGTATTGTCGAAGCTCTTGTCTGCCAATGCCTCGGGGTATCTGCATGCGGGTCAAACACAAAACTCCCCCAATTTTACGCGGAGCTCTCCACTTTAAGGAACGCACAGCTTTCGCATCGAGCTCACGACAGCCCGGGTGAAGGGCGAGCATGTAGGTGTTGCGGAAGCCATTGTAGTGTAGCGACGTGCAGCAATCCGCAGGGAATTCATGGAATTTGAAGAAAGGAAGACAGAGAAGTAAATAGAAAGCGGCCACAGCGACGATGACGCTATTGCTATCGGGCGCCACAGGTGCACGTGCTGCACCAGCCACAGCCGCCCATCGGAGCAGCCGAATTTGTAATGCAACTCATCGCGATCTTGCGGGCGTCTTTCTGCGGACTGCTTTCATTACCCCTTCCGACCGTGCTTAATGTTCTCCCGCGCCTCCTCTCTCACCAAGCTGAGCCGAGGCTGTCGCTATCTCCTCCGCCCTAGTCCTGCCTACATTCCGCAGGCTACGTTCTCCCTTACTGCGCGCTCATTCTCTGCCGTCGGTGCAGCCATGGCAGACACTTCGGGTGTTACGGCGGAATTGCTCCAGAAGAAGCTTGAAGATGAGCTGGAGGCCAAGACTGTAAAGATTGAGGATCTCTCCGGTAAGTCGCTGGTGCCCAGGATGAGTGTCTTGGAAGTGGACTATACAAACTAACTATATGCACTTCTGATGCACAGGTGGCTGTGGACAGGCATTCCAGGCTATTATCGTTTCGGACAAGTTCACCGGCAAGACCTTGCTTGCTCGGCACCGCCTTGTCAATGCTGTCCTGAAGGAGGAGATCCCGAAGATTCACGCTTGGACCCCCAAGTGCTACACCACCGAGCAGTACCAGGCCCTCGGGGAGTAAGATTGGCTCCGAGCAGAGACTACAGGATATGACATGAAAGCAGGAAAACGACAAGGAAGGTCAGCCGTCTATGATGCCTTTGAGTGCGAGGACCGACCTTTCCCCCAATAACTCGGAACTCCGGAATTGGTGGTTGCACAGGATGTACCTCCAACTAGCAGGCGAGATCGTGTTATATGGGATTTCTGACGATAGTCCCGGGGCAGCAGTCACAAGCATAGGGTACTTGCTGCCTGAATCTGGTTGTACGATAGAGCTTAATTGAATGACTTTTCTTGACTGATGCTTGTCGGTATTGATGCTGTGACGTGCATCTCTATAAAACATACGTAAGATTTCATTTCGCCATTCCTTCTTAGGAACCGATCGGTTCTTGAGAAGGAATGGGGTTTTCAGGGTCTTCACCCGACTCAGTCTCTTTCTCAAATGTTGACCCGATGATTCCATCAATATTACCGGCTACAGTGCCTGCTAGGACACCCACGCCGATGATGCCTCCATCGCTGGCTTCCCGAAGGAAAACACTCTTTCCTCCGCTTTGAGGTCCAGCGCTGATGAGTAGTCGGTCGATGTATCGCTGAACGGTCTCCTTATAATGCGGGTAATGCTGTATAACTCCACCATTGACAGCCACAACCAGTTCTTCTGGTCCCTTCAGCCAGCCCGGTGTTGATGATCCGAATTCCGGAATCTTTCGCTCTTGAGCCGATTTCTCTTGAGTTCCATTCGAGTCCTTTGCTGTTGACTCCGGATGATTTTTGCCTTGTAATTGAATCTCACGAATGCACGCCAGAAGTCCAACGGTGCCGGCGGCAACTAGTGCAGCGGACCGGTCCTGCACGGCGGCTGCGATGGCGCGAATATGACCAGCATACTCGGCAGTCCACTTCCAATCACTGGAAGCGGGAGCGGGCAACTCTAGTGCCAATTCTTCTGCCAGTGTTTTATCGGAATGGCTTGATGCCACCACCAGAGATAGAAAATCTGTCGTAAGGGTATATTCATTGACCAACTTCACGGGCATTGAGGATGTTGGATGTCCCTTGATCCCATTAAACCAGTTAGTGCAGATGATGCGCACCAACTCACCAATATAGCGACCGCCCACCATATACTCCAGAGGCTGGAACCCAGGCGCGTTCGAATGAGCATCCAGCTCAGTGTCCCACTTGCTCACTACGTCGAGTTCCTGCAAGGGCCCTGTTGCACCTCGCAGCGTCCACTCGGTCGAAACAACTGTCTCCACTGCATCCGGGTCTTTCTCACGAATATGACGGATCTTAGATTCTTGCAGATCGGTGAGTTTCATAGGCACAGCAGAGTTGCAACCCGCACCCACCAGGAGACCCATCACGACTCGGGTATTAGGCAGAGCTCGAATGGAGTAGGCTAGCGATGCAAGCGTAGAGATAGTATCATTAGTCATGACAGAGATCTTGAGTTTAGGGAGACAATATTGTTTCCGTCGTTTTGCTGGCATCTCGGCGGGATCATCGTCCGCCGAGCGTCGGGTGTGGCATTCATAGCCGTCGAGAAGGGCTTGATGAAGATTGAGAGAGGATCCTAGTGCAAATCCTTTGCCCGTTGGCATTAAAATCGCCTCGTTGACGAATTTTTGCCTGGATTCGGGTTAATCCCACTTGGTGCGTGGTGTTCGCGGTGATTAGGGACAGATGTACTTAATGGGGAAACAGAAGGAAATGCCCATGGCCAGCTCCGAAGGCGCATCCTCTTTTGAATTGGCGAGATCATCATGAATCACTTCGGCAATGCAATCTCCAATCCAGGAGAAAAGAGAGTTGGCCTGATCTCGACGCAGGCGGTCTTCGATCGGCCATGCCTTCTCCAGGGTGCGTCGGACATGGGAACGTTTCCCTATTTGTTCTTCACCCAGTAGATCGATGAAAGCCACTCGAAGATAGTACAAGCCGAGATAGACCGCTAGATAGCGGCCCTTTTCTCGTCCTGTCGGCAGACGCGTGGTAGCAGTGGGGAAGAACTGCTCTGAAGAACTCGCGGCCAGCTCGCGGTATGTCAGAGAGAGACGATACGAGAGGCGATAGAGCCTTTCATGGTCGAGTTTCAGGGGCCCTAGGAATTCCCGCAGTGCAGGATCAGTTCTGGCCATGGTTGTTATCGTTTCAGCCGTCGCATCTGCTCTCGTGCGTGTCATGAGCAGGGGCCCTTGCAGTAACTTTGGGGTTGGCGGAGACTGCCGGGCCAATCATGTCCGCGATCGGCATTAATGACTCGCGTGCCCCAGGCAAGCATTGCGGGACGAGATGGTAAAATGTGCGATTTAAAGTCTATTCACTAATGGGGGCATGGATTGAGAGAATTCAAATTCTTTGGCTCTTTGATCTCAATTTACTGAATATTGCCACGCTTCGTTATTCTCAGTGCCCCTCTGTTTCGCTGAACTAGATCTTGACTTCCAGATGTACTAAATATAGTCCACGTCTAATTCTTACCCATGTGAGGTACTGGGGAGGATAGAATAGGGCACACTGTATATTGCGGTGATCATACAAAAGACGAGAAGGAACCATTATGGATTTTTATGGATACTGGGATGTAGAAAATTGCTTTTTTATCTCTCTTCTTACGAAGACGTGGATACGATGTCTCCCTTGTATTTCTGTCACCTCAACCTGTCCGGAACCTGCCGTTTGCATTATTTCGGAGATTTCAAGGATACTACAGGTATCGCCTCCGATGTAAATGAGATCAGAGAATGGGCTGTTCCCACGCTTTCATACCTCCCCTTCTTATTATCGAAGCCAAACCACGGCGCAATACTATCTTCCAAGAAGAGTCTACAAGAGACGCGACAGATCTTTCTGTCAAGGATCCATTGCTGAGCCAGTGCAAAATGCTTCTTCTTCGTGTCCCATTCCAAATGCGAAAAGTCATGAGCATAATGATCTGCGCCATACTCAGAGGGGAGAGAAAGGGATATGCGATGTGCCGTCCGATTTGACCGGTAGCATCGGCAAAAGCCACAACGGGGTCGCGAGGATATAGAAGTCATCCTTGTGAGTGACTCTCTATAATGGCCGAGGAGTAAAATCTAATATAAGTTGTGTTTATGGGATATAAAGGAAGTCGGATTAACAGATGATCATCATACAGTTCGGAATTAGTCCGGTGCAGAGTGCCCCACACCATTCTCAACTTGGAAGCTCTTATTGGCTGGAGTGGATGTCTGTTTCGACTACAAATTGTCCGAACATACTGACCACCAATCATGTCGCAGCAGACGGAATTGCAGTGGCTGTTTGCATGCTTACAGGGCTGGTAGGCTTCGAGGTATATTCGTATATAGATCGCAGAGTCTTGGCTCCGCCGGTGCAAACCTCTCCGCTGCAACCGGGCTCGACTACACCTCCACCACCCTCTTCGCGACGCACTTCCGAGTGAAGTTATTGATAGGTATCACGAGGACCCAGTTCGAGACTGGGATGTACAATTGATAGTCTAACGAGGAAAATACCGAAAGGGCGAGAGAAAAAAAAGCATGCGCCAATCATAGAAAAGGTTAGAAGCTTGGAGCTGAAAACGCGAGGGGAGTATGGCACACATCAAGTCGAGAAATGCTCAGCTCTGTACTTTTCCCATCCTCATGCTGTGCGCCCATCCGTCTCCATGCTCAGGTACTTCGCCTCCGCGCCACGGATACACGCAATGTTCGCTCCGAGCTTGTTAATCGTCTCTATGTACTCATCGTACGGGTCTGAGTCAAACACAATACCCCCACCAGCCTGCAAATACGCCACGCCGTCCTTGACCATCATCGTCCGGAGTGCAATGCACGTGTCCATCGCACCAGGCACCTCGCCCGACCCGTCCGCATTGGCAATGTTGTACCCGAAGTAGCCCACCGCGCCGGCATACACGCCGCGCTTCTCGCCCTCCAGCTCGGCGATGAGCTGCATGGCGCGCACCTTGGGGGCGCCGGACACGGTGCCGGCCGGGAAAATGGAGCGGAAGGCATCAAAGCGGGTCTTGTCGGGGCGCAGGACGCCTGATACCTGCGAGACGAGATGCTGCACATGCGAGAACTTCTCGACCACCATCAGCCGGTCCACCTGCGTGGTGGTTGGGTCGCAGACGCGGTTCACGTCGTTGCGGGCCAGGTCGACCAGCATGACGTGCTCAGCGCGGTCCTTCAGGCTGCTGCGCAGCTCGTCAGCGAGCGCGGTGTCTTCTTCCAGGGTCTTGCCACGCTTGACGGTGCCGGCGATGGGGTGGGTGATGATGCGGCCGCGCTCTTCTTTGACGAGGAGCTCTGGGCTGGCGCCGACGAGCTGGAAGTCCTGGCAGTCGATGTAGAACAAGTAGGGGGAGGGATTGACGGTGCGAAGGTGGCGGAAGAGGTTGTATGGGTGAAGGGATGTCGGGCGTGATAGCCGTTGGGAGGGCACGGTCTGGAAAATATCGCCCTTCTTGATGTGCTCCTTCAGTCGGTTGACGTGGCTCTCGTACCCCTCCTGTCCGATGTTGGATGTGTACTCCTGGTCGGGAATAATCGGGCCCTGCGGCGGCAGCGGCGTGCGGTCCTGCAGCAGAGTCTCAATGGTGCTCTGGATCACCTCCTGACCCTTGCGGTACTCGGCCTCGATGTCGGCATCGTTGGCGGGGATCGGGACATAGGTGATGACCTTGACAACCTGGAAGAAGTGGTCGAAGGCAACAATCGTGTCGAACAGCATGAAGAGCGACTCCGGCACACCCAGAACATCTTTCATGGGCCGAGCCGTCTTGGGCTCGAAGTATCGGACGCAGTCGTAACCCACGTAGCCGATGGCTCCGCCAGTGAGCGGGGGGAGGATCAGGCCAGGCACAGATGCAACCCGGGACTGGGAAAGCTCGGCTTCAAGGATGGGGAGGGGGTCGGCGGCAGGGCCATGGCCGGGGCCGGTCTTGATCACTTTTTTCGGGTCTGCAGAGAGGAGGGGCGGTTTCGTCAGTGGGATGACTCGACAGACCAGCATCCGAGATCTCATTCACCCACCTGCGCCAACGAAGCTGTATCGTCCGATAGTCTCTGTGGTCGCCGCACTCTCATACAAAAACGACATGCGCGAACTATAACCGCCGAGTCAGCCTCATCCTATCCAGAGGGTCCCTGCCACACTACCCCCCTCCCATCCGGCAGGTGGTTGGTCGCAAGAAACCAGGGACCGGCAACGTACTTCTCTGCAAGCTTGAGATAAGCCAAGGTGGGTGTCAACAGGTCTGCCGGGATAGACGCTGTGATGGGCAGCAAGTTTGGAGGGAATTGGGAGTTTCTCGACTTCGAGATGATCTCCCGCGCCGTCTCGAGCGACGGGACATTGGCGATCTGAGTCATGGGAGGTGTGTAAGTTAACATGCTTGACAGCGAGGTTCGAGCGGAAGTCGCGCTGAAAGGCCATCTTGCTTACCGGAGGTGCCATTGTCAGCTGGGATCCCTGTTCAGTGGCCGAAGCACGGTAGAGTCTTGGGAATGTCTCGCGATGACAGAGGGATTTGGCGGTGGGAAAATGAGTAACTGTGGGGCCCTGGATTGACCGTCCGCTGGAAGAGTCGCTATTTACCCCCAACAGGCCGAGTCCAAGCCCCCGACAATAAAAAAAAAGGACCCAGATCTACGCGACCAGGTAATGATTCTAGTCTTCACTGGCCAGAAATGCAGCAGATGCAACACATGATGCATCTCCTCTATATCCCCCAAACGGACTAGCGCGGGGAGCGGCTATTGACCTCATCGCTTATCGATAGCGGGCCTCTCAGCCATCCCGCCGTGTACTCCGTCGCATGGCAGGCGATCGGCGCGCACCTCGCCCTCTAGCCCTCCAATTAATGCCCGCTTTCATGCGCAGACTCTAGCTTGACACTCTCAGATCCCTAGATTTACCGCGCCCATGTCCACCTTCGAAGTCTACGGTCCACCCCTCCCAGATGAACCTGTCTGGCCCGCCCCCACCGATGGCCTCGGCCTCGGTCTCGACGCACCAGCCACCGCCCCGACCACGAGGACGCCCTGGCTTCAGCGTCTGCGGGAGCTGTCGCGCTTAGCGGCGACGTCGCCGCGAACCGTGTACATCGAGCGCGACACGGAGGACACGATCCACGCGCACCTCGACGTGGTGGAGTCGATCCTGCGCGATCCGCGGCCCGAACTGACGCGGGAAATGGGCAAGTATCGGCGGCGGAGCTGGGGCAGAGCGATGATGGAAACAGTGGAAAAAAAGACCATGACGGAGAAGGAGGCGGCGCCGGAGCAGAAGGACCGTGTGGACCGGCACGCTGTTTTGGCGCAGCTTACCGCGCTCTTGGGCGAGGTGACACTGGTGAATGAGGAAATTGGCCGGCGGCGCACCGAATCGAGTGAGATCTGCGATCTCTTTGAAGAGAGATGTCGTGGGTTGACGAGGACGGTGGCGGAATTGGAAGATGAAGTGGCGGAATTGTAAGTGGAAGAGTCTCGTTGATCTTATTCATTTGTTCCGACAGGGCTAACCTCAATCATTCGCATTAGACAAGCCGACCTCGTCGAAGATGCAGTCGAATTGGAAGGCATCCAGGGTACCGTCCACGGACTGCATGATTGGATCGGCCGGCTACGCGAAGAGCATAAACCAGTCCGCATGTCGAAAGACCTCGCATATCAGACGTCGCGGCGCCGCTGGGTCAGCCGCAAGGAAACTGAGGAATGGACCGCCACAACCGACGGCGAGATGATGCTTGACGGACTGAGTGCATGGATGCGGGGGTGGAGAGATGTCGAAGAGGGCTTTCAGGCCCGAGCGCGGGCGCGACAGATCCGGAGGGACAAAAGACAGGAGCAGCTCTTGAGACCCGCGGAACACGGTACATCAATCTACAATCACATAGTTGCATAGCTCGCGGAGCTCGCTTCTTATTCTCCAGAGGATAGGAGGCCCACGACGATATGCCTGTCAATACGCGGCCCGGCTGAGCTTGAGCATACAATTTTTGTTTCGAGATTCACGAGGAAAAGAACAGTGAAATCCAGACCACCGACCACCGACTACCGACTGACCCCAAAAAGGACGAAAAAAAGAGAAAAATGACCACTCTCGCCAGGAATCCGTTCATCGTTCGCCGTGCCCAACCTGGTCCCAAAGTAATGCATGCTATAACGCATCTTCTAAATCAACGTTGTATGTCCAGAGAAAGTATGTAATGGGAGTAGGGGTGGAGGACAGAAGAGAGACACCGCGGGTGGCACCCGTTCGTCTTTTGCGTGTCGGCGGGATACGGGCGGAAGCAGAAGCTCCTCTTGGCTGGTGCGTCCTCCCAGTACCCTTGGGTGCCCCTGGGCGATATGAGTCCCAGGGTAGCGTGTTGAGTTGCCGCCATGGGCGCAAAGAGATCAAACCTAACGGAGGCGGAGCGGGAAATGCCTCGGAATTGCCACAATCAAGCCCCCTCCCCTTGTTTGAGGAATTGGAAGTCAAGTTATTAGACAGTCCGACAGTAGAATCTTGTTTTTGGAAGTAAAAGAAAACCCCGCGGTTATTGGGGTGAATTGGAGGAGTGACTGAGAGGATGTCCATCAAGGTTCTGTGATTGTAACGGCGATGCTAGGATCGTCACCGCTGTAGATTTACGATAGCCATCTGGGAAGAGGAGTCAACACGTTATCCGATCTTATTACGAGGTGGTGAATCGTCAGCCTACCTGATTTCCAAAGCCGCACGCAAGCTTCTTCCCATCGGGGTCCCATGACAGGGAACGGTCTGGATTGGATGGTGCATGGCCATTCTGTCCATGGGTTGCGCGGTCCGGGTCCTCCTTGACCTGTTCCGCAGAAGGAGCATTCCACGTAGCCATCGGATCACCGCCACGCTCGACGTTCCAGATGAACAGCTGGTCTTTGCTGACGGCGCCGAGTGCATATCCGTCGGGCGAGAACCCGCCGGTCAGGGCGGGGATAGAGGATCCGAGGCGCAGGCGGTGGACGGACTTGTATTGTTTCGAGTCGAGGTCCACCTGCCACACACCGACGGTGCTATCAGCCGAGTATGAAGCAATGAGGATGGAGCTGTTCCGCGGCTTCGCTGGCGATGGCGACTGCGGACGAATGTCGATCGCTGTGATGACGTCTTGGTGGGCGGTCTCGATCACTATGTCATGAGTGGGAATCCAGATCGTCGAGCTGGTCGCGCTCGCCGTGACTGCAACGGAATAGCTGGTGGTGTGAGCGCAGCGGATGAAAGTCCAGGCCGCATCGGGATCTTGGGAGGGGTATGTCTTGGCCAGGCGAATGTTATTGTCCACCTCACATTCGTAAATGGCGCCATTTCCACAGGCAAACACCTGGTGGCGTCCACACCAGGCAAGGTCGTAGATCTGGTTGTCGATCACCTGGGGCGGCGGGTATACATCGGGTCGTCGACTGTCGTCCCAGAGTGCCAGTTCGGAGGTCCGTTCATCCGATGCCACGATCACCAGCTGAGGGCTCTCATCGGCCCAGTACAACCCACTGATCACCCGGGGAAGGTCGGGCAACAAATCCACGACATTGCCGTCTGCATTGTACATGGTCACGTTTCCCTTCAGGTCGCGGAAGGAGGCCACGGCCAATTTCGCGCCGATGCCATCCCACGCCACGCCGGATACATATGCCCCCGTCCCCTTGAGATCCAGGAACTTGTTCTGCACCGGCGCGGTCGACGATGACAGCTTCCACAAGCTGCAGAAGGTGTCGCCGGCGGCCACGAGTAGCGTGGGATCCCGCGGGCGCCAGCTGGTGGACAGCACGTGATCTTCATCGAGCAAAGCGGTGTCGGGAGTCAAATCGGCGGCCTTGGCGGGAGAGATCTGGATGCCCACACTGCTGCCAGTGCTGAGGGTGGGTTCCTGGGGGACCTCTTCGGGACCCATCGTCCCCATGCTCACGTCGCCGTCGCCGTCCACGTCCGGCATTGGGTGCGAGTGCGAGTGCGGGTGCGGGGGCATTGGGCTACCTGGTTTGCTCTCGGCCTCATCCACGTCCATCGACTCATCGCCGTTGGTCTCTCTCTTCTGGGTCGTTTGGCCGGGAGCCTCGACCGGGTGGCCATTTGTCATGCGGTCGTGCGCCGGCTCCGGCGCAGGTAGTTGAGCGGCGGTCGCCTCATCGCGGCTACTCAAGGTGTTTACTTCAAAGGGTTCCGGTCCGAAAAAGTAGTCGGTAGGTGTAAGCGTGATGGGGTTGCCCTCCTGTGGCTCGCCATTAGAACCAGCGTTTAAAGCGAGAGGGAGGAAGAAAGGGGGGTGGAGAGAAGGATGTCCCCGGCGTAACACTAATCAAAAGAGTCGCGCGCAAACGCACCTTGTCAATAGAGGACTCTAGCTCGTGGTACTGCAGGCCCTTCTGGACCAGCGACACCAGCGCGTGTGTTTTGATGTGACGCGCAAAGGGCAACGTCTGGGGGTCGGGGTACCATGCGCGCTGCAGTGATACGGCAGCGTCGCCATGACCTGTGGGACGATGTTAGACAGGGGCCCGCGGGGGGAAGAGCAGGAGAGAAATGGGCGCCCAAGTTGATCGCAAGATCAAGTCGTATCCCACGGCGAAGGGAGGGGAAAGAAAGGGCAGCTACAAACCTGATTCTTGAAGGTACCTAGAGCGCACGGGGAAGCAGGATTAGATCTGGAGCTGCGGCGCATGGGGATCCACGGGGGGAGCAGTACGTACCGCCATATTAGGTAGTTGACGTGATGCGATGTCAGGTCGGGTTGTGCCATGATTACATGTGCGACCAGTCAAGTGCCGCGAACATACCAGAGGGGAGAACGAGTCGGCTTCCGCGAGGGAAGGTGAAAATCAAAAAGTGGAGGCTCTGACGGCGGAGACCAGATGGAGCGCAGGAACACGAGCGTCGGGCCTCGAAGCGCGCGCCGGAGGGGCGAGACTGGGGGGGGCGAATCGAGACCTTCCGAACCGCCGTGAAGGCCCCGGTTGGAATTTTCGGGGGAGATGGGCACGTCGGTTAGATGGGCTGGTTGAGCTGGCTCGCTGGGGAAGACGTGGTTGGAGATGGGTGGAATAGGAAAGGTTTGGAGGACCAGAGACGGGACGGGGAGAAGACGGCAGAGGCTGTCCAGATGGGCCGGTCGATTGGCGGGTTCAAGCCCAAGATCGATCGTGGAACATGCCACCCTTCACGGGAGAAGATGGAAGGAGAGGGAGAGAGAGGAAGAGCGCCAATGTTCGATCCACAGGATCGAAGCGGCAGAGCAGGGCTAGAGTCCCACGTCCCGAGTCCCGAGTCCTCAGTCCTCAAAAGTCCAGCGACGTCCAGAGACGAGGTTAAGCGCACGAGCCACTAGCCACCAGCGCAAAGGCTAAAAGTGGGCTCAAATCTTGAATGCAGCGCGAATCCCGCTGGTGGCGTCCTCCACACCGCACAGCTGACAAGAACGAGGAGCTAGTCGCTCTCTCTGGACGAACACTAAGGACATGGACACTATGCACTATGGACTCTATGGACTCTGGACTCTGGACTCTGGACTCTGGACACAATTAATTATAGACACAATGGACGACCGGCCGATGGACTGGCCGATGGACGGGGGGTGGCTCGCTTGAACCCCTTCAGCCTCCAGGGCTTATCTCCCCCTGGTCGTTTCTTCCCTGCCTTTGGAGGGCCAAGGTGGATCGCGCGGTTGAATTGGGGGAGACACTGCACATCATCCACGCCGAACGGGGCTCCACTCGGGCCTGTTCCCTCTTCCTTCAGGGCTGCCAGTCTCCCTCAGCCTGAGACTGTCGCCCTGCAGTGTGGTCACCCAGCGTGGCCAGGGCCGAGCCTGCTCCCTAGAGGCCGTTCGGGTGACGGTGGTGATGCCGTCCTCACGCCAGTGCCGGGCCCAGCGGAACCGCCATCTCACTCGCCCGTCCCGTCACAAAGGAGCTCCCCGATCCTCCACCTCGGGTTCCCAAGATATAAGATTCCGTAGACCACCGGGTACAGATGGGCGCAAACACTCTCTCTTTCCGGTCGACGTCCGTCCCGTGAAAATGGACTCGTAGAGTGCCCGCCAGTCTCGTATGGCTGTACGCTCCCCGGCGAATCTGATCAGTCTCCACTGGCGGAACCTCAGCCCGCCCCCCCCCCCCCCAACTCCTTCACCTTCTGCAATACCCTCCGGGCTTTTGGTCGATTCTGGTCGACACGCCCTGCGGTCTCGCGTCCGCCGCGAGCCAATATGCCCGTCCGAGTCAACATCCCCCCGGCCACGCGCGCTGTCCTCATCAGCCTGCTGGCCCTGTCGCTAAGCTACAACATCGCCCGATGGCGCCAACTGGACACCTCTGCCGGCAGCGTCCAAAGCAGCCCGATCATTCCCTACCTCACCCTCGTTCCCTCCCTCTTCTACTACTACCCCTGGACCCTACTCACGGCTACCTTTGTGGAGCAGAACATCTTCACCGTTCTCCTTAATGCCGCCACCGTTTTCTATGGCGGCAAGTATCTCGAGCGCGCGTGGGGGTCCCGCGAATTCGCCAAGTTTATCGTGGCCGTCGCGCTGATCCCAAACGCCGTGATAGTGCCATTCTATCTGATCTGGGGTGCTCTCGGGGGTTCCTCGAGCCGAGCGTAGGTTTGCCCTTTGGTGTTGGTCCAGTGTGGCCGGGCTTCGTGGGAACTGAATACTGACCGTGGAAATGCCCCCGTGTATAGTCTCACCCAAATCTGCGGCGGCGTTGCCATCCAAGCCTCTTTCCTCGTCGCCTTCAAACAGCTCGTGCCCGAGCATACGGTCGCCATCTTCAAGGGCCTCGTCAAGATGCGCGTCAAGCACTTCCCCGCCCTGTTCCTGCTCCTCAACACCCTCAGCGGCTTGATCATCGGAACCGACACCGCCGCCGTCTTGGCCTGGCTCGGCCTCCTGTCCAGCTGGACTTACCTCCGATTCTACAAGCGGCAGCCCGATCTCACCGGTACCTCGACCAATGGCCGCGGGGTCCAGGGGGATGCCAGCGAGACCTTTGCCTTCGCGTGCCTGTTTCCCGACGTAATGCAGCCCCCCATCGCATTCGTCGCCGACCGGATCTATGCGCTGCTCGTCGCAGTGCGGATCGTCACACCCTTCTCGGAGGCAGAAATCGCCTCGGGAAACCAGCAGGTGCTGGCTCGAGAGGAAGCGGGGCTGCCGACGCTGCTCAACAATTCGCGCGGAGGAGCGCGCGGCTCGGGCAAGCGGGAAGAGGCCGAGCGGAGGCGCGCGCTGGCCCTGAAGGCCTTGGACCAACGACTTCAGGCGGCAGCTGGAGGGCGCCCTCCTGCCGGACTCTCGACTTTCGGCGAGCCCTCCTCTCACCGACCGACGACGCCGACGCCGTCGGCATCCACGGGGCAAAGTATGTTGGGCGAGACCAGCTACAACCCCGATCATGCATAAAAGGCGCGGATGTGGGGATTGCTTGGGGACTTGTTTGCGTTCATGGGGCCCTCGGCTTGGCGAGTACGCCTCCCTGCTGCTGTTGCTCTCATGTCTTCTTCTGATCATGTATATTGCGCCACCTCGTTCCATATCTGGTGTCTGGATCTCGGTCTTCCCCTGGGTTCGATCTTTCCAACCCCGTGAGACTCGGACCAGACTGACCACTGCATCTTCTTCTCTTCCTTCTGATGACGACCAAGCGAGACCCGCCATCTGTATTCATTTTAGCTTTATACCAGCCGCCAGCGAGCGTCTTGCAAACGAGAGCTTTTCACAATAATTCAGTGCACCCTCAAGATGCCTGAGCATGATGATTCCCACAAAATACATGGTCGTACAGGAAAAGAAAAACAGAGATGCTAGTATACTATGCTACAGGTGGTCCCCCTTCCACCCCAGACACGGGGGCAGATAAACAGAGACCAGAAAGATCGAATGGACGATACCAATCACACACCGCGTCGAGCCACGTCACCTCCCCAACCAGGGGAGACGTCTCACAGCTGCTTCAGCTTCTCAACCTCACCACGGGCCTCAGCCAGCATGCGCTCCTGATCCTTCTTCGCCTGCCGCATCCCCTGTATACGCTCGCGATCTTTCCCAGCCTTCGCCGTAATAGCCTCCAACCGCTTCCGCTCCGCCTCGTCCTCCGCACTAGCAGGAATCTCCTCCGCCCCTGTCGACGCCTGCACCCGGCTCCAGATCTCCTTGTAGCTCAGGTCCTTGAGATCCACTACGGCGGTCTGCTCGCCGCTCGCCGGCGCCGGGGCGTGCTTGTCGGTGATTTTCTTAGCGCCCACAATCGCGGATGCGGTGCTGCTGAGCCGCTCGGCGAAGTAGATCGTCAGCGCGGGCGGGGTGTCTTGATCGTCGGTTTGTTGCACGGTCATTCGCACACCAGGATTGTGGTATTTCAAGCGCGGCAGGCAGCTGCGCCAGAAGTGGCGTGCGCCTTGGTGGCCCCCGTAGATCTTGCGGGCGTATGTGAGGTGCAGCCGGGTTACCGGGGGGAATTCTTTTGTGGCGGACGCCGTGCTGGGAAAGATGGCGGCACCGGTGCCGGCACGGATGTCGAGGATCTGGGTGTGAGTGAATGGTTAGTTTGCAAGCTCCTGTAGTGTTTCTTGAAAAATGGATCGGAAGGGTCGTGATTGTGACCGGAGGTTTGAGTTCGAGTCCGATATCTAGGAAGATTCGGGGGGATGCATGCTTGACGGGGAGGAGTGGGAGAGTTTTACCCTCTGTACGAGAAGAAGCATCGTTAGCCAGAAATCCTTTTCCTAAATAATATCCGCAGCAATTGAGCATAGCCATGCCGCGGTTCTGAATGACTTACAGTCTTCAACTTCCGCATGCGCTTGAACAGGTTCACCATGATGACCGAATGGGTCGCACAGGGGCTGGCCCTGCTGCGAAGAGACTTTTGAAACTGACAGAAGGTAAAGAGGGACCGATAAAGTGTGCCTCTTCCTCAATGGTCTCTCACAAAGCTTAGGGCGAGGGGTTGTTGACTTGGGGAAATTTGACTGCCGAAACTCCGTTGCGCTTCGAAAGTTGCTCCGTGATATGGCAGCACGTGATCCGAAAGCCTTCTACAACATCCTCTCTTCTCTACCAGATCTACTCCAATATCTTATCCGACCATTTCTGAATTCAGGACCCAATTATATTAAGGAGTCACTATCTAACTTTTGAATATGACTCATTTTCCACGTAGTCACTGCTGTCGAGATGAAGCTGAAAAAAAAAGGCGCGGGCCTTGGGTGACAGCCAGTCACAGATAACGGATCTCTACCGCCTTTGACTCACTGGCACAATCCCGCTCGATTTTATATCACCCCGCGATCTTCGTTACCCTGCCCCTCGGGAATCTTGCAATCAGGGTTCAATCCGGCTGAAATAATTATGGCAGCCGCTGCTGCGTCCGCTGCTGCGCTCGACCCGAGTGAAAGCACAAAAAACACCCTGAAGCTCGAAAATGTGACTGCTTGCCCCTCCCCCCATCCATCGGCCGCTTTCCCCCAATTTTATTTGGGTATATAATGATAGTTGCTAACTGAACTTTACCCTATTCAGACCGAGAAGCGTGACTCGCTCATCGCAATTGAGAAGAAATACCAGGCACAATGGAAGGAGAACAAGGTCTTCGAGGTCGATGCCCCGTCGTTCGCGGAGGTTCCTCAGGGCAGCATGTCCGCCGCTGAGCTGCGTGAGAAGCACCCCAAGTTCTTCGGCACCATGGCCTACCCCTACATGAACGGTACCCTGCACGCTGGACACAGTTTCACTGCCAGTAAGGTCGAGTTCATGACCGGATTCGCCCGCATGGAGGGCAAGCGTGCTCTATTCCCGCTCGGTTTCCACTGCACCGGCATGCCCATTAAGGCCTGTGCCGATAAGTTGCGCGATGAGGTGAAGCTGTTTGGACAAAACTTTGAAGGTTACAAGGAGGACGGGGAGGCCAGCGTCCCTGCTGCGCCCACTCAGGAGACTAAGCCTGAGGCGAAGGCCCAGGCCGAGAAGTTCTCGGGCAAGAAGAGCAAGGCCGCCGCCAAGTCTGTGAAGATGAAGTACCAGTTCCAGATCATGCTGGCTATTGGTGTCCCTCTGGAGGATATTCACCAGTTCGCCGATGCCAACCACTGGCTGCACCACTTCCCCCCCTCGCCGTCCGTGACCTGGACAGCATGGGTGCCCGCGTTGACTGGCGCAGACAGTTTGTCACCACTGACGCTAACCCTTACTACGATGCTTTCGTCCGCTGGCAAATGAACCGCCTCCACGAGCTGGGCAAGATCATGTACGGCAACCGTTACACGATCTATTCGCCCAAGGACGGCCAGCCTTGCATGGACCACGACCGCACTGAGGGTGAGGGCGTTGGGCCCCAGGAATACACTGCCATTAAGCTCCAGGTCAAGGAGTGGGCTCCCGAGATTGCTCAGATTGTCAAGGGCAAGATTGAGGATGATGCGAAGGTCTATTTCGTTCCCGCAACCCTCCGTCCTGAGACCATGTACGGCCAGACCAACTGCTTTGTTGGCCCTAAGATCAACTACGGCCTGTTCAAGCTGAAGGAGAAGGAATATGTTATTGTCACCAAGCGCGCTGCCTGGAACATGGCGTTCCAGGGACACTTCTTTGAGAGCGGGTCCTTCCCTAAGACCCAGGATGAGCTGCCTCTGGTCCTCGAGGCCCCTGGCTCTGCCTATGTTGGTACTCTTGTCAATGCTCCTCTGTCTCTGCACAAGGAGGGTGTGTACATTTTGCCCATGGACAGCGTTTCAGCTTCCAAAGGTACTGGTGTTGTGACTTCCGTGCCTTCGGACAGCCCCGATGACTACGCCACTCTGATGGACCTGATCAAGAAGGCCGACTACTACGGCATCAAGAAGGAGTGGGCTGAGAAGGAAATCTTCCCTCTGATCGACACCCCTACCTATGGCAACCTCACTGCCCCCACTCTGATCAAGCAGCTGAAGATCAACTCACCGAAGGACGTCAACCAGCTCGCTGAGGCTAAGGATCTTGCGTACACCGAGGGCTTCTACAAGGGTACCATGATCGTGGGTGAATTCAAGGGTGAGCCCGTTAGCGTCGTCAAGGACAAGATCCGCCAGTCTCTCTACGAGAGCAACGATGCCTTCCCCTTCGCCGACCCCATGGGCAAGGTTGTTTCTCGCTCCGGTGATGACTGCGTTGTTGCCTACCTCGGTCAGTGGTTCCTGAACTACGGCGAGAACGATGCCGAGTGGCAGCAGGAGACCCTGAACTACGTCGTCAACAATCTCAACACCTATGCCGCCGAGACCAAGCACGGCTTCGAGAAAAACATGTCCTGGCTGAACCGGTGGGCCTGCGCTCGTACCTACGGTCTGGGCTCGAAGCTGCCATGGGACCCCCAGTTCCTGGTTGAGTCCCTGAGTGACAGCACTGTCTATATGGCCTACTACACCATCGCCCACCTCCTGCACGGTGACCGCTACGGCAAGACCACCGGTTCTCTGAACATCACTGCTGACCAGATGACCGACGAGGTCTGGGACTACATCTTCACCCGCCGTGAGATCAGCGATGAGCTGGTCTCCAAGAGCGGCATCAACAAGGACGCTCTCCTCCAGCTGCGCCGTGAGTTCGAGTACTGGTACCCTCTGGATGTCCGTGTCTCCGGCAAGGACCTGATTCAGAACCACCTTACATTCTTCCTGTACATCCACGTCGCGCTCTTCCCGCCAGAGTACTGGCCCCGTGGCGTCCGTGCTAACGGTCACCTGCTGCTGAACGGCGAGAAGATGAGTAAGAGTACCGGTAACTTCCTGACCCTGAAGGATGCCGTAGACAAGTTCGGAGCCGATGCCACCCGTATCGCTTTCGCCGATGCCGGTGACAGCATTGAGGACGCCAACTTCGAGGAGACTGTTGCCAACAGCAACATTCTGCGTCTGTTCACCCTGAAGGAGTGGATCGAGGAGGTTGTTAAGGACTCCTCCCTGCGCACTGGCGCCGCCGATGCCTTCTCTGACAAGCTGTTCGACAACGAGCTGAACAGCCTCGTTCGTGAGACTCAGAAGCACTACCAGGAGTAAGTTTTGTTTCCATCACGTCAATATATGGAGAGCTTGCGTCTAACATTTTCATTAGCACCAACTTCAAGCTTGCCCTGAAGTCTGGTCTGTATGACTTCACCGCTGCTCGTGATACCTACCGTGAGGCCGCCTCTGCTGCTGGCGTCGGGATGCACCGGGACATTATCCTGCGCTACATCGAGCTGCAAGCTCTGATGCTTGCACCGATCACTCCTCACTGGGCCGAATACGTGTGGCTCGAGGTGCTCAAGAAGGTCAGTCCCCTCCCCCCAATCCAGAGTTCAGATTGTACCGAGAGCCTCAGTCTAACCAGTTACCAGTCCGAGTCCATCCACTTCGCGAAGTTCCCCACCGTCCCTGAGCCCAACTCGGAGCTCACTGCTGCCCAGAACTATGTTCGCAACACCGCCTCCAACATCCTGTCCTCCGAGGCCCAGTTCACCAAGCGCCTGTCCAAGGGCAAGGCCTCGACCTTCGACCCGCGCAAGCCGAAGAAGCTGACTATCTTCGCCGCCAAGAAGTTCCCCGCCTGGCAGGAGAAGTACATCGATCTGGTGCGCGATGCCTTCGACTCTCTGACCGTCACCATCGATGACAAGGATCTGAACGCCAAGGTCGGCAAGCTCGGTGAGATGAAGAAGGCCATGCCCTTCGTCCAGACTCTGAAGCGCCGCCTGATCAACAACCGCGAGGTACCCGAGCTCGTCTTCGAGCGCAAGCTGCCTTTCGACGAGTTCGCCATTCTCTCCGAGATGGTTGGCGGCCTCAAGCGCACTTCTGGTTATAAGGAGATTGAGGTGATTGCTGTCAATGAGGGTGGCAAGACTGGCGAGGTTGTCGGCACTGGTGAGACTCGGGAGGGTCTGAGTGCTGAGAACTCTGTGCCTGGCCAGCCTAGTTTCATGTTTACCAACGTTGACTAAGTGGACCCTGTTTCTGGGAAGAAATGACTGGGTTCTATCTTGTTTCTTGTTTGTCAGAAATTCATGTTTGATGAGCTTATGCTAAAGAAAAAGAATAAATGCATTTCCATGGTTCCACACTTATTTCCGTTAGATATGAGAACTCTCTGACTTTTAATGCTTCTGACCCAGGAAAGTAAATCATTCGGCATCGATGAAGTAAAAAAATAATAATAATAAATCAAGCTAACACATAATTGCCAGTAGGCTTCAGCACACTCAACAATCTATCATTCAAGTTGTCAATACAAGTCGCCCAGCGCTTGTTGAGGGCACCAACGAACGGCATCACTTACCTTCTAAGCCCTTCCTCCAGCGTGTTTTCATCATGAGAAAACACCAGTCGGAACCAGCCCGCGTCCTTCGAATGCTCCTCGCCGGGATGGAGGAAAACACCCGCATCAACGAGTTTTTGTGCAAGGGCAAACTCGCGCTCTCGAACAGAGACGCCATCATCCGGGAGGAATGGAGAGAGATCGATATAAACAAAAAAGCCGGCATTTCTGAAACAAGAAGTCAATATGATGGACCATCTGTCCTCATTCGAGGGAAGAATTGACCTACCCGCCCTTGATGTAAGTGATACCTTCCTGGTCCAGCTTGGAAGTGACGAGCCGATATCCTGCGGCCAGCCTCTCCCTCGTCTTCTTGATGAAGCTAGAGACAAAGACTTGGTCTTCAAGGATGGCCGTGCCGATTGTGACAGCTACTTGGGAGGGGCTGTGCAGTCTCCTATAATTGAAATAACTGGTCAGTCTCGCGTGAGATAGCTTGTGACGCATAGAGGAGAGGCTCACATAACCATCTTGCAGGCTTGGCGAAGGTGTTCGTTCTGGCTTATCAGGAAGCCAAGATGCAGGCCACCGGAGGCGAAATCCTAGGTACTTCCATATTAAAAGGCAAGCGCGAAGAACAATGAAGTGGGGATGGCGTACCTTGCTAAATCCATAGAGAACATGTACAAGATCGAGATCTATCAGCCCTCTCAAATCGAGTGCGAGGAGTGACGTAAAGGGCACTGCCGTAGGGTCGTCTGTTTCAAAGACAGTCGAAGCATAGACCTCATCGCTGATGAGATGGAGCTTGTGTTCATTGCAGAACCGGGCAATTTCCCGTAACGTTTCTTCGGGGTAGCAGCGCCCTATCCAACATGAACAATGTAAGCATCAGACTTCTCCACGTACCCTTCGTTTACTTCCAATTAACTCACCAACAGGGTTGTGCGGGTTCACAAGAAGCACTGCGCGAATCTTCACGCCTCGCTCCTCCGCTGCCGTCAAAGCTTGCTCGTACTTGTCGACTGCACTGGGTGTGAAAGCCTCTTCTGTCGCAGTATCCGCGTACACGATCTGAACACCCGCCTCCACGCCATAGTCTAGCTCGAAACGCCCATAAACAGGCCGATTGACAAGAATACCCTCGCCGCGCTCCGCAAGGTTGTATCCGAGCATACTGCCCAGGGAAGTCGGGCAGTCCGCAGTAATGACATGCTCTGGCTCAATTGGCGTATAAGTCTTCATGATCCGACTCATATGCGCTGCAGCCGCAGCTGGTAGCCGACCAGTTGTCTTTGCGCTGGACCTGTAGCTGACGGAGTCCAAAGTAAACTCAACCTATTGGAGACATCAGCGTTTATGATCCCTTTCCCAATATCGCGCAGGAGATTGCGAATGGACCACCTTTTGATTGATATACTTGACTATCTCCTCTCGCATTGGCCGCTAGTCGACAGTTAGACTCGCTCTTCGCGCAGGGCAGGAGGCACATACATTCTCGGCCAGGGCAAAGGAGATGAGGCCCGTTGGGTTGGATTCTGGGTCATAAGTTGGCGTGGGAGAGAACCGCCAAGGCAATCCCAGCTGCTGGACATTGTCGAGTCCTCGCGATGAAAGCATCCTGGGGAAGAAGCAAAGTTTTGTAGCTGGTCTGGTTCTGAGTGCGATGTCCTATCCCAACAAGCGGGGTCGCTACTGACAACTCCCGAGCGGGCTGTGCCTCCTGTCCTGGATGGCCTGATCAAGAAGAGATGAGAAATTCTATATTCTACTCAGATGCTCAAGGAATAGTCGCTAAAAGGGCGTTTTGGACTCTGTAGCGTTCGGAGTAGCCGTTTCCGTGGTCGAAAAGATGCCAGCACGTAGTTCTGTCCGCGGGACGGTCCTCAGAAGGTCCCCACCTGCCCCTCAGGGTGGAGTTCGTTGCGATAGGCACCCGTTGGGATATCAGGGGAGGAAATGAGAAAAGCCAAGGGGAAACGGAGATGGAGGGATATATTCTACAGGAGTTTATCAGAACGCCAATCGCTATGCTACATGCGTAGGTTAATGTACATGGTATGTCCACCCATTTCCGGGCCGCCCAGGGTGCAGCTCAGCTATATCGGTGCCTCAAGCGTGGTCTCTTGCGCTTGTCTGCCTTGAGCTTCTCTGCAATAAAGTTCCAGCATTCAATCGGTGGTCGAGTACCAATGTGTTTGCCGTTGGGGGTGAACACTTCCACCTGGGGGAAGGTCGGGGAATCGGGGTCAGCGCGGCGCTTGGAACGCACTTGGATGCTGACTTCGACCCAGCCACACCCCTCCACGAGGATATCGGCCGACATGACACGGTATGGGAGTTGCGGGATAGGAATTCCCTTGTCCTTGACGGCCTTAGCGACGCTGGAGGGCAGATTGGATGCCGTGGTGTCCCACTGCAAGTCAAACTTCCCCGCCGAGGCCATCGTGCTACCAGTCCCTTCTTTCATGAGGACGGTTCCCGAATATGCTCGCTGTTCGCTCTGCACCTCAATCGCCTTCTCTGTCTTGGTGACATGAGACTCGATGGGCACGAAGCACGCAGCCAAAATAGTATGCTCCGGATCCACGGCAGTGATGCGCACCAGCCCGCCGCCCAGAAGAAGCGACTGGCCGGGTTTGACGGTACAGCGAGCAGGCTTGATCCGCTTGGTCATGATCAAATCCCGCTTGTGCTCATCACGCACGTAATCCTCAAGCTCGCCACGCTCGAGACCAGGCAAGTCGATTACTTCGCCTTTCCCGCGGCCAAACGGAATTCGGATAGGCGACACTGTTGTTCCTGGCAAAGAGGACACGACGGGAAGCACGGGAAACGCCTCCTCGCGGGGGCGGGGGGGAAGGAGACTCTCAGGATCCAAGAGCGATGCCTGTCGTTGATTGGGAATTTCGTGCTCGTGTCGTTGGGATTCGATCCATTCGGCCATATTCGCGAGACGCCGCGAGTCTTTCGGGTAACACGCCTCAATGAAGCTGCTCTTTCCCACATTCGCCTTGCCAACGACCCAAATTCCTCCACCGTGCTCGGCGATCTCTTCTTTGACTTGCTTGGTCCACCAGCCACGGTGGGCACTAATCATGTGCACATTGCCCAGTCTGACGTCTCTTCCAGCCTTGCCTAACGCTGCACGGAGCACGGTGCGGATATATTCCATCTTCGAATCCACTTGCTCCTTAGTGGCCGCCAGCAAGTCGGAGCGTGTAATAATGAAGCTGAGGGTAGGCATTTTCTTCCCTCCGGAGTACTTCTCGTTAGCGGACCGTCGGTTTTTAGAACGTTGCTCTTGAACATAGAGTGCCCAATGGATACGTGGCACAAGGGACATTGGGAAGTCGGCAGCATCCGAGATATGGTATACGCGATTGTTCTTGTAAGGGGACTCGTTCATCAAATCTCGAATGGAATGAACGGAGGGCTTGGGGGAGGAAACCGCCTTATTGTGGTGTATAAGGTCGTGGCATCGATCGCAGACATGGGAAACGCGTGCTGGAGACTGAAAGGGGTAGCTCTCTGGTACTAGAACATCATCTAACAGAGCGCCATCTATGGCTTGGGTCAGGAACTGAATTTTCGATATCTCAACCGGGAGTATCTATTGGAGGACCAACCTTGGATAGGTCTGGGGACTGTCGACTGCAAATCTTCCCCCTGGTCATTAATTTCTGCGACAGTGTCGGTCACATCGTCCATTGCTGCAGGTTTTGGCTCGATTGCCTCTCGCTTTGAGGCCAGGAGCTTCCGAGTCTGCTTCCGATTTGCGCCATAGTACCCAGGTTCATCTGGATCAATCGTTTGCGAGAAAGCGCCACAGCCCGGACAGCAGGTTGGTAGCACATCAGTCAGATGCTCAACATCGGATTGTTGTCTTTGGAAACGCGTGGTGGACAAATCGCGGCGCTGGGTTTGTGTTTTCCAGTCGACGTGAAGGCAGTTGTTGATCGCAGGCGGCGCAAGGCGGCATCGCGGGCGGATCGAATATGTTATTCGCCGAGGATATGATCTCACATCCACGCGCAGGCTGTCGAGCCGTAGGGCTCTAGACAATGCGCCTCGAGCGCAAGGCGACATGGTTGCGTACAGGAGGAGTAGGCTGCGGAGTTTGGGCGGAGCTTTTTTCGCTGGCGAAAGGTGTTATCGATAAGGCTGATAGCAGCAGCGCCGTCGGGCAAGTTCCATGAACAGTATTTTGCCACACCTAATGATCTGCAACAGGTAGAATTGGCTCTCAAAATTATTAGGGTGAGCCAGATATATGTTGAGATGCACAGATCAGGAAAGAATTGGATTAAGCCATCATGGGCAAGAATTTTAAGCTATTGACACAGTAATAATCGCTGAGTACCAACACACTCCATAAGCCCCGTTTGAAGTATAAACGCCGTCGTTAGCCGTGAACCAGAAACCCATCTTTTGCCCTTTCAAGCGCGCGCTTTCCCTTTGCCCTTGCTGTTGGTTTCATCCGCATCCTCATCCTCCGAGTCGCTCATGAACTCGTCGTCATCATCGAACCCGATAAACCGCCTAGGTGCAGGCTTTTGCGCAGGCACAGAAGGGCCCGCAGCGTCGTTTGAGGGTTCCCCATTCTCTTCCTCCTCATCCAGATCCTCCTCCGAGCCGGACGAGGTCGCTTGCTCACTACCTTCACTAGCACTCGTGCTCGATCCGCCCAGAATCGCATCGCGTAGGTTGTCCGTCCATGCGCCATCTTTCATCGCAAGAAGAACCGCCTCCCGTGCCTTTTCGTTTATCTCCTCCTTGTCATCCATCCATTGGCCATCGATCTTTTGCTTTCCACCACCATTCTTGATTTCATCCTGGCGTTTCTCCGTCAGCTCCACCACGGCTTGCCACCGACGCCGGCGCTCCTCCTTCTCTTGCTTGTCCATTTCGGGCTTAACGGCGAGATACTCCGCAAGTGCCTTTGCCTCATTGACTGTGCGCAAACGGCGACCATCAAGGTTACGACTGGAGCTGTTGCTGTCGCCCTGGTTGCGCTTGTTCTTGCTGGCCATGCGCCCACCAGCGGCACGAAGCTGAGATCCGAATCCACCCTTACCACCGCACATCGGCGCGGAGAGGCGGATGGGAAGGAGCGCTGTGGCGGAGCCATCGTCGCGGGTGATCAAAGACTGAAGGGACGAAGAAGAGGACGATATTTGCTTGTTGTTGGTTGTAGTGAGGATGAGCCGTTCAAGAGAAAGCGAGGATGGAAGGTATGAGGCGACTTTGTCTGTCAGGTCTGAGACGCTCGCCGTAGATGGGAGCGAGAACGTGAGAGTAGATGGGAGCGAGAGTCCCGGAAAGGACGAGAGCAGAATATTCACGTTCGAGGGCGCCATCTTGTATGGGATAGTTGAAGTGGAGAGACGTTAGTTGGACAGAGACCTAGCTATCCGTTGACGGAGTTCAGATAAGACCCGTGATGGCGGCGGCTGGAAACTGCCTATCATGTGACTGACAGTGGATGACTCAGCCTATGGGCATTTCAGTCACATGAGATGACCTAAAGAGCGCGACTAGGGCGCCAACCCTAGCGAACCGCCCGAAAAAGGAATATCGCACTTTGTTGCGCGCAGCTCCACTCTCCAACCTTTAAATCACCCATCTTTCCTGACGTTGTCAAAGCGATTCCCCGAATTGCGCCAGGAACTCGCGACAATGTAAGATTGCAGCCCAGTCCTCTTGCGATACCGTCAAGTTACTGACAATAGCCCAGGCTTATCCCTAAGGACGACCGCAAGAAGATCCACGAGTACCTCTTCCGCGGTATGTGACCCAACACCCTCACCGACGCCTCGACTCCCTCGAGTCCGCCCAACGTCGATGCGCTCAATATGAGCCAACACGAATCTGAACAAATTTGACTGACTTTCGACTTATAGAGGGTGTGCTCGTGGCCAAGAAGGACTTCAACCTTCCTAAGCACGGTGACATCGACACCAAGAACCTCTATGTAAGATGAAACCGACCGACCACCACTGGCAAACACCACCGTGCTAACGACTTATTACCCACAGGTCATCAAGGCTCTTCAGTCGCTGAACTCCCGCGGCTTCGTCAAGACCCAGTTCTCGTGGCAGTACTACTACTACACCCTCACCCCCGAGGGTCTTGACTACCTGCGCGAGTGGCTCCACCTCCCCGCTGAGGTTGTCCCCGCCACCCACATCAAGCAGCAGCGCTCCCACGCTCCTCCCCGCGGCATGATGGGCGGTGAGGACCGTGAGCGTCGTCCCCGCGCTCCCCGTGAGGGTGGCCGTGAGGGTGGCCGCGAGGGTGGCTACCGCCGCCGCGAGGAGGGCAAGGAGGGCGGTGCCCCCGGCGAGTTCGCTCCTTCCTTCCGTGGTGGCTTCGGCCGTGGCCGTGGTGCTCCCGCTGCTCCCCAGTAAGGGAGTTTCCTCCTCTTGATGTCTTGGTGTCCTGTCATCCACTGCTCGGTCATCCTAGGGACTGATGTTATCGACGTTCGGTCCGGAGTAGGCATCCGCAACTGTGATCCCGAAACGGGCTGGTCTTTGGTGCATCATCTTACGGCCCCTTGTTTCTGAGACTTTGGGGTACGGGAAAAATCAAAAAAGTTCAAATGATATCGCTGGCTTTATAGTGTAGCTAGACTCAAATGGCACACTCATGACTCAGTGCACTTTGCTGTTGGCGTAGATTCCTCGTAAACACCCGCACAGACGGGCGATCCTGAGCTACATTACTAACTGGCCCTCGTGATAGGTTGCATCCGGTGGGTTTATCATGTACGTCAGTCGACGGTGGTTAGGAAGTAGTCGATGCGAATCTCTTCCGATCATATCGCACCACCGCCTGCAGGATCACCGATGCTCCCGTAGCACAATCGTCCGCAGAGCAGAACTCCTCAGGGTGATGACTGACTCCATCCTTGCATGGCACAAAGATCATACTCGTTGGAACCCGCTTCGAAGTGAACACGCTGTCGTGGCCCGCACCACTCATGATGGGCCGAACGAGGGACTTGGTGTCCGCCACCGGAGCATCCGCAACAACAGCATGAGCGGATTGCTGAACACAATCAATGCATTCCTCATGGAACTTCACGGCAGGCGAGTCAAAATCGAGCGTCCACTCAACACGACAAGGCTTGCCAATCCCAGCGCCTTCTTTCGCAGCGATCGCATCGAAATCGCTGCGCAGCTCCTTCTCGACCTCGGCAACTAGCGCCGTCTCTGGTCCACGGATATCCAAGCTGAAGCTCACCTGTCCAGGAACCGTGTTGACACTTCCCGGCGCCACTTCGACGATGCCCACGCTAGCCAGACATCCTTTGGCGGCTGCGACCTCTCGAGCTCGCACCATCATCTGTGCAAAGGCAAACAATGCATCTGCACGGTGCTCAAATGCCGTGGTGCCGGTATGCGTGTCTCGCCCGACTACCTTCAGCCGGAACCAACGATAAGCCTGCACTGCTGTGACCACACCGACTCGCTGGCCCGCCGAGACCAAGTGCGGGCCCTGTTCAATGTGTAACTCGAAATGCGCTGCCATGGGCGTAGTCTTGTAGGAGCATGGCACGCTGCCTAGGTAGTCAATCTTCTGCAACGCAGTCTTCATGGTCTCCGGGGCCGACGCAGCCGTCGGGAGAGATGCGACCGTCGGTACCTCTTGGAGGTTATGGGCTTTTGATAATGGAATGCACTCTGCCCACACTCCCGATGATATCATGCTCACTGGGAAGCGTGCCCCCTCTTCGCTATGAAATCGTTAGCCCATGCCTGAAGACATGGCGAGATGGGTTCCATACTTAGTCCAGTTGACCACTCCCACTCCTCCCTCAGTTTCAAGGCCCATCTCATCCATTCTCTTAAGGGCTTCCACGCCCGACAGAACACCCAGGATTCCATCGTATCGTCCGCCCGTGGGCTGTGTATCAAGATGACTGCCGATGAATGTAGCGGGGACGTCCTTTCTTCTCCCCGGGCGCACGGCGAAGATATTGCCCATTTCATCCACAGTGATCTCGCATTTAAGATCCTTCATAGTTTGAATGAACCAATCCCGAACGCTTTTGTCTTCTGCGGATAGCGCAAGGCGCTGCATTCCCGTGTCGGTTGGATCACTACGGGCGGTTAGCTCTTCATTCCCCCCCCCCACCCACCTCTCGATCGTATACATCTAAGGCGCTGAAGCGATACTCACTTGCCCCATCTAATCCCAGACCCCCATTGACAGGAATGATGCAGGTCTTTCGCCAGTCGCTCCTTGTTGGCTCTCAGTGCCGATACCTCGGCTTCGGACAGCTCGGTGGTCAACATAGCGTGATAACTTGATATGGAGAAGGGGCGGATACGACGTGAACGAGAGGTTGCCTTGGGTCCGTGCAAAGACAACTTTCCAGGTGATGGTCGTTTGAAGCTCGTGCGAAACAACTGAAGACTAGACATGGCAGAACGTGGATGCTTTTATAAAGGGAAGCTCCCCAATCCCAGGATTCGGAAGTGCAATTGATAAGAGAGTGGGGTATACGGCGGACTTTGTCCGCCGTGGACAACTCCGATGTACAGACAGCCCCCCACATTGGAGTAGATGGAGTACCCTCCTTCCTCCAACTTTGTGCACGGGCGCACCTAGTCGGCATTCTCCTTAGATGGTTAGCTCTTACGTATTCAACATGCGTTGGCCTTCTTCAAGAAGTATGCATCTATATACACCGGATAATGTCCGCCGGAGCTTTCCTATGGTATATAGTACGCTCAGGGCACATAACCTGAGGTATAATTCTTAGATTCAATTTCCAACAACGTCCATGCCTAAACATAGGGTGGGTATCATTAAGCAGGCCTAAGCACTTAGATCACAACACATTCCGACCTGCGCTTGGCCTCGTCTTCATGACCCTGTAGGAACCAGCGCCTAGGCCCCCGTTGCTTCATAATACGTCGATAACGCCGACCTCTCAAAAGCGCCCCAATTTCGAACCAACTTGTCATCCACTGACAATCTTTGAGACCAATGGCCCTGAGAATCTCTCGCATGTATCTTGAATCGCCTCCGCGGATCATTTAACATATTCGTATTCAACGACACAAAGGGCCCTGATGGTAGTTGAATTCTCCACCGGAGATCCTCTGCGCTTAGTCCTGGCCCTAGGTCCTTCCAGCGTGTGAGAATAAGACACACGTCGTCAACCTCCACTTCTCGTAAGTCCAAATTCCAAGCTGTATTGCATTCATGGCATTTCCCCTGATTCGAGAGCCTGGCAGAACTTTTTCCTTGTTGGCAGTAGGCTTCAAATACAGAGTTGATTATTTCCATGAAATTGGACAAGTGAGTCCCAATATGCCGGCAGACCTCTAGGTGCATCTGCCCAGGAAAAGAGATGTGATGCACTTTGCCGACTAGTTATCGCAAGTTCCTGTATGCGTAGACAGAGGCTCGGGGGCGTCGGGCAAATTCGTGCCTCGACGGATCGAAGGCCGGTCTTCCTGCCAGGATGCAATTTGGCTTCCGACATCTGTTTCTGGGAGTAAAAAGCTGAGGGAAAGCTCCACGTCGTCACCTCGGTATACAATAGTGACTCTAATGGGATACCAAACGAAGGACCCAGGTAGAACTGCCGCATGGCAAGGTAGAGGTGTACCCAATGAAATCCATGGGTTGAGAAAGTGGGGAATTGAAAATAAAAAAGTGAGAGGGACAGGCTCTTCCCTTTGTCCCAGGGTAAGTCATCGTAGCACTTCTTCCTGAGTTTGAAACCCGGAGCTGGTAAGTTGACGTGTCGCCAGAGGTGCAATCGCATACAAGCATAGCAGAGATAGTATTCCGGCAAATGCCGAGTGAGTCTGGTCAACAGATCGATACGCAGATCATCCGCTGGACTTCCTAGGCCACCTTGAGGAGATGGCCCATACAACATATCCCGAAATGATAAAGAGAAGAGGCGATGGCTGCAAAGTGCCAGGCAAGTGGAATCCACCGGAGAGAGATATTGTGATATCAGGAGCAGTAGTTCTGGCGGAAGAAGGTCGAGATTTGTTACTGCTGTTGTCGGTGGCATATTGAAGACCTTTCACAGGCGAGAGGCGAGAACGAGAGAACACAACCGCTCCTTCGGCCCCCACATGATTCTCCGTTTTGAATGATCACTGCGGACGTCATATGATGGGAAGTTTTGATCTAGCGCTGCCTCTCAAGAACTATAAAACCATGGATAGATTCCGGCACTACCGACTCTCAATTGAGCGATCAAGTGTGAGGAACAAACTCACAGATCAATGTCGCTGCCTAACACAAACCTAAACAGTACTCGTGCCGCGTCCTTGGGCGCATTCTCCATTATCCTATTCAATTCTTAGCCGGAATGTGTTTGTTGGCGAGCAGAGTTGGCCGAACTCATATCTTTCTATCTCTAGGCGGATGGTGAAGGGCCTGTGAGTGGCTGGTGACTCGCTAATACCAGACCAGGACTGTACCAGATGCTTGGCGAAACCGACAGGATAAATCTTGCAGCTTGGCGATATGATCGAAAAGGACCTGAAGAATACAATCCGATCCGTCCAGATCAAAGTCGGCAATCCGTTTCGTATACACTAGGTTGACATCTGTAGATGATATAGGTTAGCTTCTAAATAAAGCGGTATAGGGGGTGGAACTCACCGAACGCCTCTTTGCTTTATAACTGGATAAATAACTGAAATGAAATTTGACTCAGTTTGGGGGGGAGATGCCAGTATCATCGCAGGTTGCTCTGGCATCCCCAACCCTTCCAAACGAGCAACAGCAATCGGCTTGCTCATCTTGTTTGGGAGAGTTGGTGGTGTCATTTCAGGATCTAATATATATATCTCCAGCGAGGTTTGTCCGGTCATTTAACGCGTCCTATGAAATCTTGCTAGTTTCTATTTTCTATTGCGGGTACGTACGTATCCACGGGGTTTGGTTTTTGGGTTCTCGGTAGGGGCCACTGCTCGCTGCGCGTTGATTTCTGCCATTTCATTGCTACTAGATCTGGAGAGAAAACGATAGAAGAGAGGGGCCTCGACGCAATTGCAGTTGAAAGAATGAAAGAACGGATAGTATGGAGGAGCTTGCAGTGCTGGGCGAGGATAGTCCATTACCTGGATTCTTTCTGTGACAAACTCGGGGCAGGCGAATTTTGCTCATAGTATTATGGGACCAGTTGTAGCTGGAAATTAGAACATCATGTCTGAAACATTTGCACCTTTATCCAAAGCATCTGCTTCCCTCCGTAGCACATCCGCTCTGAATCTTCTAAACGCAGTCTCGATTCTCTTCTTTCTCTCCGGGTTGGTTGTGATTGCCCGGCTTCCGCTGGCCGCCCCACCTGCGAAACCTAGTCACTCACGGTTAGTTCAATTGCAAGTTGGGGGATAGAAAATCTTCAGGAAATGATCTCCATACCAAGCTCCCCGCCCAGGAATAGGCCGCCGGCCGAGGCAAAGAAATACGTTGCGACGTCCCCAAGGGGTGTGGGCTTCAGCAAAGGCGTGAGGTCGGGAATGGGCTCTGATTGACATGGGTCTCTCGTTAGTTTTGCATGTCAAGGATATCAATTGGGAGGTGGGAGCATGCAACGTACCGGTTCGCCCGTCCGCGAAGACGACCTTGGTGGGCCTCTCCTGTGCACGAACAGCGGCGAAGAATGCCTTGCGCGTGCTTCTTAATCGAATCGCGGCATACAATCCAAGCCCAAGGCCCACCGCGGATCCAACAGTTGTCCAGGACGAGACAGTCGAGGCGGCTGACTTGAGCGCATCTCGATCGTCGGCCTGGAGATCGTGTTGCATATGCTCATCGGCAAGCTTGGCGAGCTCGTCGCTGCGGCGACGGCGAAGAAGGGCAAATGATTCCGACATGAAGAGAAATTAAGCAGCGGGATTTGCAGACAAGGAAGTTTGGTCAAGAAGGAAAGCCCACGAACCAGGTGAGCTCCGGTTTCCAATTTGTACTCCAATTTGTACCAGGAGCAGCTTGCAGTGATGACGTCACACGGCTTGAAGCCCATCCACAGGCGCGACAGTTCTGATCACCGCAGATGCCATGAGGGAACACCGCGCGCCCCACTAGGGGGATTTGTTGTAACTGAAAATGAAAATTAGGGTCTGAAACAACATTGGCAAATGCGAAGACTGATCGTTAGGTCCGCTCTACGGCTCATCCTCACCCCGCAGTTTCGCAGGTAAGCAGTTAGGGTTTCCCCAGCATTGAGAAAAACCCCGGCTTTATCTCTGGTTTCATGTATATTGCCCCCATGGGCATAGTTCTGGGCGCATGGCGGGCCTGAAACTATCATTTCTGGCCCGAAACTTAGGTCTTTTTCTTGTGCTGACGTCAGATGAGAGGAAGCCCCATGCTTCTAAACAATATCACAAAGACCCCGACATACTCCCCATTTTACCCAGTGCAGAGCAAGAAAGTCTCAGTTTTTATCACATTATTCCCATAGATTAAGTCTCACGATGGTTCGGTTCATCACCGACCCACGTCAAGCCCCAACGGGCAAATCCGCACTCCTAGTCATCGGGGCTGGACTACCTCGTACCGCAACATCATCCCTCCAAGCCGCGCTGGAAGAGCTTGGTTTCGACCCATGCCTGCATATGGCCCAAATAATCCCACATGCAGACCGACAACAGCTCTTGTTAGATGCTGAGCACGAGAAGGATCCGCGCCGACGCCAGAAACTTATACATCAGCTGGTAGATGGATATGCGGCTGTATGCGATATGCCAGCGATATTCTTCCTTTCTGATTTGATGGACCTGTTTCCTGATGCAAAGGTTGTGTTGAGTGTTCGTCCTCGCCCTGATACATGGGCGAAGAGCTGCTTTGATAGCTTGAGCTTCTTCTTTACCCGCCAGTTTTACTGGATTGGCTTCTGGTGGAAGACTGACCGCCTGTGGTATCAACTCAACATGCATATTCTGGACTGGTGCAAAGAGAAACACGGAGAGACGGATATATTTACGGGGGCTTTGTATGAGAGGTATAATGAGTCAGTGAGGAAGCTTGCGCAGGACCGAGGGCGCGAGGTCCTGGAATTCAAGGCGGAGGATGGCTGGAGGCCACTTTGTGAGTATTTGGACAAAGATATCCCAAACGCGGAGTTTCCGCGGGTCAACGAGAAAAGAACGTTTGCAATCATCAAAGGAATTGTGGTGACCAAGGGATTGCTTACCTGGGCAGCTGTGGGGGGGATAGCCTGGTTTGGGGGGAGATATGCCCTTTCTGTGTTCTCGTTGATGAGGCCCAATTAGCCGCTCGATTTGATCTGAACTTGGCCATAGCTCGGCTCATATTTGTAACTATTCATTCTCATCACAAGACTATGGACTATGGATAAACAGGCAATCTGGAGAGTGACCAACTTGTACCAAGCCAGAACCACGAAAGCTTCCTCAAACGCATTCGAGCTATGTCAGTGTTCTCACACCTCTTCGTTGAACGAACATTGATGTCACACAGTCCCTGAACGAAGACATTAAGGAGGGGGAAATGGTGACCACTATGGACAGGGCATTTACACACCTGTGGCATGTTTTGTCAAAGATAATCGAGGACTTCGATGGGAATCTATGTCAAGATCTGATGACTGATGGCTGTCCTGGTCCTAGACCTGGACGCATTCCATCGCCATGCCAAATACAGTGCAGACGTTGATTTCGTTACCTTATATCGGGAAATGCAGTAACGAACTCTCAAATTATCGACAGTGCGAGGACAGATCTGGTAGTACCTGGTAGCGTAGGCTATCCTAACGAGCGGTAAAAGAAGATGATATGCAGCTTCCTCTTCAGATAGGAAGATCATCTTCTTTTACTACCCATCAGGATAGCTTACGCCTACCAGTACCAGTGTCCATGCGGGAAGCAGTTTACGTGGTAAATTCCGCCCTACAAGAAGAAGTCGCAATGAAAGGGAGCTAAATGCTAGTCTCACGTGAGAGCCTCCAAAGAAAGAAAGGGTCTCATTCAATGTACGCGATCTGCGAAATTGGGAACGAGCTAATTCAACTCGAGATTCCTCAGAGCACCAAATATCCCATGAATGAGAGCGCCCCTCCGCAGGCGGCTCAGCTGATGTATTTTGCTTCCGAATCCATGGGATGCTTCCTGTAGTGTAGTGGGTGGACATAACGGCGTCAGGGTAGAGAAAAGAAAGAAAGAAACAAAGGCGAGGGGTCCAATCGCTCCGGCAACACAGACAACAGCGGCCAAGATAATGAGCTGCACAAATAACAGCTTGCTGCAGAAAGCCCAACCTCATCGCTTCCCATGAGAGGGAAGACAGTCTATCGATCCAGAAGGTCATGCAGGGCTCTTCATCAAGGGAAGCCCGGTTCAACATTACAACTCCTCCAGCTCCTCGTCGTCGTTCTGTGGAGAGACGCTGGGCGTCTGTGAGTTGAGCTTGTCGCCGAATGACCCAGTGCCAGCGGACTTGCTGTCACCGCTGGCTCCAAGAAGTTCGTTGATGCGGCCGGATGACTCGGCGATGCGACGACGCAGGGCATTCTCATCCGCACCGGAAACACTAGCGCGTTGCTTCTTCAGAGGGCTGCCCAGAAAAGCATCGGCGGCGCCACCGACGGGCGGGGCAGGCTCCGATGGCTTTGCTGGGGTAGTCTTGGGCGGAGTTGTGGAGCGTCCGGTAGTGGCAGGAGGCGTCGTTCCAGAGGCCGGCGTGTCGGTGGACTCGGCGCCACTGCTGGACACGGGCTCGGCGGAGTGCTGGCGCTTGAGCTGTGGCAAGGTTAGCCCACCTGATTCACGCGAGATGGATGGAATATACAAAGAAGACCTACCCGAATCCTTTCCACACCATCAGCCAGCTCGCCCTGGCGCTTGATATCATCCGGAGAAAGGAACCGGTCATCATCCTTGGCCTCCTCATCGTCGGCCTTGCCCAGAATGGGGTTGTCGGTGTCGTCGTCATCGCTATCCATCCCGTCATCATCGCCCTTCTTGTTCTTTGGGCCAGAGTCATGGTCACGGAAATTGAGGAATCCAACTGTTCCACCAGACTTGAGAGGCCCAAGGTTGGCAAAATCTGCCTGTAATGATTTCCGCTTCGCAGCCGGGGTATCTTGCACTTTGGGATCCTTCAGAATACCCATCTTCTGCAGTTGCCCTGTGAATGCATCCAGTTAGCGGTGCACACCCCCCAATCATGGCCATTTTGGTAGTACTCACGCTCGCCCCGGTACATGAACGTGAAAATAGCGTAGGGCTTGTCTGTGGGGTCAATGCCGGTAACCGTTTGGGTACTAATGCTTTTTGGATCCAGTGTTTTGGGCTTCGCAAAACTAGTCGTATGGTCGACATCGGCATCTCCATTGCCACTATTTCCATGGCCACCTTCCTCGTCATCATCGTGAGCATCGAACTGCGGAGAATACTCGCCTCGCTTTATCTCGCCAGACGCCAGCACGCGGAACAGAGCGACCTTAATCTGGCCGGCGGTCTCAGGAATAGGGTCATCATCATCCGAGTCCGAGGAGAGGTCATCATCCGAGACATTTTCCAGCGGCGCTTTCTCGTCATTCCCATAGCGCATGATGGCCTTGGGCTTGGAGTTATTAAATTCCGTCTCCATGCCACTTGCATCTTCTTCCAGACGCTTTGCGCGACGCTTCTCCATCTTCTGCCGTCGCCGCTCAATCTTAGCGGCCGCGTCCTTGCCTTCCAGGTCTAACCCGTTCAGCCAGCGCTCTAGACCAACCTCGCGGAAGAGGAACTCGCGCTCCGCGATCCCACCACCCTCAGAATCGGGCACGCTGACCCAGCGCGAGTTCACCCAGGTCTCCTCCCCTCGCCGCAGTAGTGTAGCCACTTCTTCTTTCTGCCTGCCATCGAAGTAGATGTAGGCCGCCACGGTCTCGTTCGGAGAGTTCGTCAACGCCTGGTACGGCGCGACCGCCCCGGAGTATTGACCGCGCTCGCCGGTCTGGCCTGGCAATCCTCCGACGACCTTTGGCTTGGGGGAGGGGCAATCTGCTGTCGGCTTGGGGGTCGAGTATGGGACGTCCTGGCTGGGATTCAGGAGGGTGATGGAGATTGCGAAAGTTGACTGTTCGGGTTTGCCCTTGGATAAGGAATCCGGGACTTTGGGGGGAGGAACGGGGATGAAGCACGCTATGCGCGACGCTCGCGACTGCCGCTGGATCGAGTATTCGGAAATCGGGCCATCCGGAGTGTGGATGCTCACGGCCAGGCCTTTGAAACACGGCATGGTGGAGCCTCAAAGGAAAGGCAAGGATCAAGGGTGTTGGGTATCGACAAGAACGGGCGGAGGGAAAGGAAAGGGGAGGGGGGTGCCCCACGCTCGCAATGTACGTGAATTTTCCCCCGGGCAGAGAAAGCGACGGGATTGAGGCTGACAGGTGGGGGACAGGTGAACAGTGCTTCGTTCCGTTTTTTCTGAGCTCCAAGAAGTGCGTGTTAGCTATAGGCGAGGCGGTCAAGATAGCGTGAAGTTAGACTGGGTTGGAGCACCCAGCAACCAACTGGGTGTGGACCCCCGGTTGTTGCTGGTATATGGAGGCTGGTCGAACGAAGCTTTTCGGGGGGCAGGAGATTGTGGGGAGTGAAGTGGGCAGGGCGATCGGACCTTCTTAATGTCGGCAGGATTCTTGCACCATCCACAGTCAGATGTACAGCCACACATCCGAAGATCAGAGCAGAAGGTGGTGCACTGGTTGCTCTTTGGGCAGAGGAGGGGCGCTGGGAAGTGGACCAGCAAAACATTCGTGCCCGCTTGCTTGTCCGAACTCCTGCGGGCCACGTGATATACTTTAATTGGGACTAAGCGCTAGCTGGGCATCGAAGGACGTGGCTGCCACTTCCATCTGACTTCTAACAGCCCCTTCACCTGGGCATAGCTACATTCCCTGACAGGGCAAAGGCGCTGGTCTCCCCACCTGAGCTCGTTGACCTCGTCATCCCCCACGGTACCCACATCACCTGACCCCCGACCATGGATCAGCCGCAAGTACCCCAGGCCCGCGCTACCATGTGATGCCTAATGTGAGAAACATTCACAGAATATTATTGAGCTCGACCAGTGCAGTGGTAGTTTTGTTGCGGTGTGTGACACAAGCTAAACATACCTAGCTAGCCCTCCTTCGTCGTTCTTTTCAAGACGGACTAAGAAGAGGAACAAGGACACTGAATCAGGTGGACAATGCCCAGGATGAAGGATCAGGTACCGACGCGTTGTTGCCTACATTCTTCAAAGATGCTCAAACTTTTAATGGAAAATGATTGATTCTTTGATCATTACTACTTCCTGAGAATCCGTCATACTATCGTGAACCGTATTTCACGATGACAGGACCGAATGTGGAGTCTCCTTTAACAACCAAAAGCTAACTTTACCAAAAGTCATACAAAGCCAACAGTCATAAGCATAATATCGTTCAAATCTAACAGTCAGAAGTCAGATGTCAACAGTTCCACTCCTACTTGGGATTAGCCTCGACCTCGGCGTTCGTCGCGACATGGTCAAACTTGTACAGCGGCTCCAACTGCACGTTCATCCGGAAGATGTAACGCCTGAACCAATACGGCAGTGCTTTCGTGACCTGGTAGTGCATGTGCACGCGAGTAGGGACCGCAAAAATGTAGTCTAGTTCCTCCAGGGTGCGCTGCTTGGTCTCGGGGACCCAGAGGAAAATCATGACCAGGGCGGTCACATTGAGGCCACTGGTCTAAAATCAGCAAACGACGAAGCGATCCACAAATCGACAGTAAACTTACGCATAGAACCCGAAAGCGCCGGTGGGCGTCATTGCATAGAGCATGCGGGGGAATGTAATGGAGAGCACTGCGGCCCACCCCAGGCAGGTCGCGACGGCCCACGACATACCGACCTCTGCGACAAAGGTTAGCGCCTGGTGTGAGGAGGTATCTCATAGGTATACATACCGCGATGGGACAGAGGGAACACCTCGGCGGAATAAGTGAAGGGCACAGGACCCTCGCCGGGCGAGTAGAACGCGGCGAACAGGAAGATAAACAGGGCGATCGATCCCAAGTGAGCTCCACCATCTCCTGGAACATAGAAGCAGAATGCTGCTGCAAGCAATGTCCACGCCATTTGGGGGAAGGTGAACAGCAGGAGGGCCCGTCGTCCGTAGGTGTCGATGGTCCAAATAGCGGGGAAGGCGAAGAGGAAGTTCACCAGTCCGAAACCCCATGAGGCAAACAGGGCCTCGGTGTCATTAGCACCGGCTGCAGAGAAGACTGTGGAGGAATAGAAAGCCACAATATTGACTGTGGAGAGTTGTTCAGCACGATGTTGCGTTCTTCGGGTAGAGGATTGACTTACTTCCGCACATCTGCTGCGCAATCATCACCGTGAACGAGGCCAGAGTGGCGCGGCGAACGCGGGGAATAGTAAAGAGTTCAATAAAGCGAGTCGCATAGTTGCTCTCGCCGACCATGGTTTGCTCAATCTGGATCTGGGCATGGATATAGTAGAGATCCCGAGCAGCCTGCAACGGGGTGTTGCGGAGACGGCAGAGGGATTGGTAGGCCTTGTCCATCTCTCCGCGACGGATATGCCAGCGAGGAGACTCGGGGCAGAAGTAGACACCACACACCAGAGGCACCGCAGGGATAAAAGCCGATCCAAGCTGCAGACGCCAGGACAGTTTTCCAGTATCCTTCACGGCCAAGTTGGCGCTGAATCCAAGGAAGATGCCAAAAGCGGTCCACAGCTGCCAGCACATCACCAGGCCACCGCGAATCACAGCGGGGGTATTCTCAGCGCAGAAAATAGGAATGGTGGATGCTTTCAGACCCATGCCAATACCGAGCAGAAGGCGAGTCACAAAGAGCTGGGGCCAGTTCTGGGTGAAGGCGGATCCAATGGGAGTCAGGACACAGAAAATCGCAGAGATGAAGATCACACCACGGCGACCGAGCAGGCGGTTGAAGGGGTCAGATAGCCAGCAGCCCAATGCGGCACTGGCAATATACGGGGCGGCATTGACAATGCCGACCAGCCACTGGTTGCGCACGCTCCCATCTTCGGGGATGCCAAAGGCGTCGGGGAAGGAGAGGTTGGCGCCGTTGGAGCCTGTTTGATCCCAGCCTCTGTGAGTGAATTAGTATACGATGCTGTGATTGGGTGACTGGTATTCACGTACTGTACAGCAGCACCGATCGAGCAGAGAATGATGGTAAAATAGAGCGATTTGGGCTGGCGCCACTTGTGAAGCACTTCATCGCGCAGCGCAGTGAGCTCAGGCTCTGTCAGGTCCGGAACGGACTCGAATTCAGTTGGATCGCGCGCGACAAGAGCACCCCTTTTCAGTTCTGGTAGAATCTCGGTGACGTGGTATTCATTGGCGAAGACTTCCACGTCACGGAGCACCTGAGATTTGCTTAGGTCGGCGAGCGGGTTCTTGATTCTACACGTGGGTTAGATCTTGTCAAGCCCCAAAGAAAGGAATAGAGCCAATTTGTGCCGGTGAGAGCATCATCTGAGATTGGCCATGACAAAGCAAAGAGAATTCGAAGCATACCTTGCCGAAATATTATTCTGCAGGCTGACCTGCTCGACAGTGCCCTTCTCGGCGCTGTTGTCGTCGCTGGAGCTATTGAGCGTTAGCATTGCACGGCGCTACATTCCCAATGTAGTCAATTCAAGACCCACCGGTATGAAGATTCGAGTGCTTGTTTCTCCACATGCGCGACGGTTTCTTTCTCCGCTGGAGCAATGAGCTCCTTGTCTGCTGGAGTCACCATGGCCAGGTGGTCTTCCTCCATGGTGGAAGAGGATGAAGATCTCACCCGAGTGGCTGCTTGGGGTAGGCGAGGGAAGACAAGAAAGACAAAGGGTAATTGAACCAACGGCAGACAATACCGTGCTGTGAGAGGGGAAGAGACACAAAGCAGGCGACAGCAGCGGTGAAAACGAGTGGGGGATTTGTTTTTCCAAGGGGATCGCTGCCTTTTATGCTTCCACGCTAGACAACCCCCATTCTCACCTCACGTTCGACTAGGGCTGCGCAAGCTCGCGCCACGGGAAGCAGAACGTCAACCTCTCCCACTAAGCCGAGAGCAGAGCTGGATTGACCCTTCGCCCATGGACCGCACCGAACTACTTCCCGAAACGGGATGCCCCAGTCTGGGGTCTGGAGCGCGGGGTTTGGGGTATGTTACATATCGGCCCATGGGGAAGAGCTGGATTCGGATCCTACGGCCTTCGCCTAGTGAATACACGGATGATCCTGCATTGAACCAGTCACATCAGACGGACGAGAGACGTCCATCTGGGTGCCCGGTGAAGGAGGAGGCGAGGGGGGACGAGGCCCGCGCTGTCGCGAAGTGACACTAGTTCAACCTCGTGGCCGACGAAGGGCCGGACATGCCGATTTACAGCTGAGTGGGCCCCGAGTCGGAGGAGCTCCTGGCGATACTCGGGGTGAGGCCCACTCTCTTTCCTTCCGTGAATTCAAAGAGCACCCTTGCTTCGCACTGCAGATGATTGGACCACTCGCCATGTGGTTTCTGATTGCGGACATGAAAGGAGAGAGCGCATCCTGGGGAAGCGCCGCACTTGGGATGGCCGAGAAAGGCCTGAAGTCCTGAGGCCCGGGCGCAGCCCTTGGACAGCCTAAGACGTGGCTAACTCAAGCCACTTTCGTCGCTCTCGGAGTCCATCGAAGTATGCGCTGGACCTGGATCCAGTCCTGCAAATGTTCGTGCGGTCGACAAAAGTTTGGGCGAGGGCGCCACCGAGGCTGCTGATTCGCTGGCCAAGGCAGTTCAGGGCGCCCGACAGCCAATTCCCAGCAGAAGCGCAAGCGGCTACGCTGAATCGAGCCTAACCAGTGCGAAACAAGGTTGATCCCTGCCTACGATGGCGTTTACCTTTTGCGGTCGGGACTGATTAGTGGCGGAGATCGGCCAGAGGGGATGGCGTCGCACTGGGGCCGAGGTCATGCGGGCCGAACTCCACGAGAACAAGAGGTCGCATCCGGCGAAGACTTGCCATGCTCCTACTCTCCGACCCATGTGGTGACAAGCAAGGAGCCGCCGATTGAGATCTCGCGGTGGAGAGCGGGGGAATCTGGGGATTTGGCATCTGCCCCATGTAACGTCTTCCAATGCACTGGAAACCGAGTCGGCCCCAGCTGCCGCGCAGAAGCACAGTTTAAGCTACGCATTTGCGTTAGTCTGCCACGCTAGCCCCCATCTCTCTTGGCCCCGCTGGTCCACCGCTTCATGGCTTGACTTGCCTGACTTGGCTCTTGCTTAGCCTGCTGTCCATCCACTCTTCGGGCTTCGGTTTCCCTTGGAAGATACGATTGGAGTCTACCCGAGGGCATCCCGTATCAGAAAAACCATGCGGAAGAGGGGAATCACGGAGCACCGCTGGCTTCGGCCGGTACGTCAGATAGACTCTCGCCAAGGCCGACGCGGTTCGGCCTCCGGACGATATCTCTGCCTTACAAAGCCCATCCACCCTCCAGCCCTGGCCAATGGGCCAAAAGAAACATGGCAAGATGGCTCTTGCACCACGTTGCGCTCGTGTTCAGATGGCGTGGTGTCGCCCCGCAGCACCTATTGTCCCTCTACCTCTTCAGCCAAGGTAGCCCTGAGCGCAGGGATGAGACACCGTAGTTCAAGGTGATCGCATCATACAAACTGCCTCCCGGGCGTTCGTTCCGGCTGCATCGCCCGTCTTCGGCGAAATACGCATCCTCGAGGCTCGAGCGGCCCCCTCTTTGCCTTGTTGCTTCCCCCAGTCTGCGCGGTCTGGGGATTGCGACGCTAACGACTCGTGGCTTCGCGCCATGTGGAGATCGTCCGTTCCACTTTCCGAATGCGTATATCCCTCGAGAGCCGAAGATCGGATTTGGTCCAGTCTTGTGCAAATATGACGCCTACACGTAAGATGTATAGCAAGCGCTGGTGATGGCACGCTCATCTAAACTCAGCCAGAATAGAGCGGGTTCGCTCAGTTGATTCCTATCCCTCGAGCGGCTCTTTTGGGCTGTATAGGCCGATTCTGGCACTTGTTCCGTTCCAGAGTCATAGGGTCACTTCTCAGAATCAGAAAGCGACTCTCTGAGTAGCCCCCAGATGCCCTTCAGTAAGGTAGCTTGGTTGGATTGCCATCCCGCAGACCGCCCCGCGTTTTTACCACGATCTTTCGGGGCCATGCAGGAGAGCGTTTCTAGAAGGAGATCACCTGGGTGAGGGCCATTGCCTCCGTAGCGCTAATGATTGGCCAAGGATCTCACATCATGTCACTGGGCGCATCGCCAAGGGGGATCGTTTGCGACACTTCAGGATCCGAGATGAGATCATATTTTGCCCGACTGCAAGGGGGAACCAAAAAATGTTTAATGGGCCAATGATGAGCTTTGCGCATCGAGAATAGACCCTTTGAAAGCTACACAGATTTCTCTTATCTTACTTTGTCTGACTGCATCTAAGCTGGTTGATTATTTGGAGTTTGTGTGGATGCAAGGCATTGACGGCGAGCAAAGCCCCGTTCAGATGAACGGATTTCTGTTTAGAAGAGAGAGTCCTGAGTGATCATAGTAGGACTCCATACGAGAATGAGTACAGAGCACGCCCCATATAATATCGGGGATTTCAAAGAACATGCACTGTATGGCGAAAAGGTCCCGTCTAAAGCAGTCCGTTTTAATAGTTGGCAATTGCCCGTGTAATGCTCGGTCGGATGCTCACAAGCCCGTTCAGGCGCCAATAGCATTCTACCTGGGGAATAGCCTCCTGATAATATCACTGAGCCTGCCCTCGTACGTCGTTCCTTGGATTCTTAGAGTATCGTTGGGCAAGATAATTATTGTTGCGCAAAGGGACCGGAAGCAATTTTGGGTCTAAACCAAAGTGGGAAAGGTGAGATTTGGCTCTAAGTCTAAATAGGCATAGCGCATTACCCTGGAGTCTCTGACTCATAGGACCCATTTTCTTGAAATCTTTCAACAACTAGCAAGCTGGCGCATAGGAAGCGCGTCGGGCTCATAACCCGAAGGTACCTGGATCGAAACCAGGGTTTGCTATTTTGCTCCATCTTTTTTTTCCTCCTCGCTTTTCGCCGTCTGAGACTTATCTACTTCCTATGATAAATATTCCCTCTTAATATACACCAACGGCTTTATTCAATCGAAAAATCCAACAAGATATTTGGGAGGGTTGACGGGGCAAGGAGTTATTTTCTAGAATGTTGAGTACATGAGACGTAGCTTGCAATGCCCTTCTTGACGAGCGCCTCCTCGTCTATTGTAATCTATTGTAATTTGGGAATTCTGGGACTTTAAAACCACCAGGACTTATTTTTTGGGCTGGTCAGGAGTTTGAAAGTAGACATTCCTCGACGGGCTAGGGTACAAATTACGCTTTGGAGGGGTGAATTCGTCAGAACAGTGATAGGTATATTATATATAAACCATGATGGCTAGCCACAACACATGGTACTCTGCACTTGATGATGGCTATGGACTGTCTGTCATCTATGCATTAGGGCGTATTTGCTTTTGGTCAATTTGATCACGCCGAGTAAATCTAGGAGCCAACAACAAATGTTCTTTAAGTTCACAGCTTAATTCCGTCGAATTATCTTAGCGCTGCACCCCGCGAATCAAAGCGTATTCAGCGAGAATCCCTTCTTCAAGATGCGGGACCCTAGGAGCGTCATGTGTCGACAAACAGACGGTGAACCATCACGGCCCCTCCTCTTTGGGCTGTTTGCGTTGCGTTCTACTTGACAATCTAGTATCTATTCACTTTTCTCTACCACAGCCCCCCGAACCGGCTAGCATCTGTGGACACATCATCCTCCGGTTGAGGATCGACTCCAGCCAAGTCTTTGCAGTTGGAGCATGCTACAAATCAAGCTCTAAAGCCATTACCCTCGTTTGAAAAAAAAGGCTGATTTCCCGTCGGCTTTACTATGAGATATGCTCCACAAGGGTCCCGCCCATCTCAACCAGTCGCCACATACAGGGTTGGACTATCCGACACCGCCACAAAAGCCTTTTTGGGCTGCAGCAACATCGACAATGCCTATTAACGAAACGAATGGATGCAATGCCGGTGATATAACAAAGGAAATCGAAGCAGCTCGGGCTCGGGCTCCGGCACGGAAGATGACATCAATAGTCGGTAGATGGACTTACCTACTTCATTTCCTATGCCATGTCTTGGCTTTCCTTCTCCGTTTTAGCGCCCAGACCCTCGCCGCTTTTGTTCACTGAATATGGAGTAGTAACCGAGCACGCCTCTGAGCGCCCTGATCTGATCAGTGAGCATTATGGAGGCTCACTGATCTGCTCACTGAGCATAACTACACGTATATAGCTTCCTTTTATCTCAAATTATCTAGCGTTTAGGCTTTCTGGGCGTAGGAGAAGATCTCTCGTGCTCGACGCTCGCGCTATTGTTGAGGTGGTTTCTATACTGGGAAGGAGGGAAACGGGAAAGGACAGTAGAGACTTGAGTTGGTGAGAACATGAGGAAAGAAAACCTGCAAAAGAGCAGACATAAGCAGAAGTGATAGTTGAAATAGACAGAGAAAGTTAGTCAACAACCAACTCAGTGTGCCAGTCCCAGAGCAGCCAAGTACATAAGGTTTCGAGATTTTTATTCATGTATAAAAAATCATCGAGTGCAAAAAATGCCCCGCTTTGTTACTATACACGCCAATCGAACGTCATGGTACCTCAAATGTCCTGTTATATCCTGGTACAACTTTCGTCTGTACAGCTGGCCCTTCAAGCTCCGCTCGCGTACTTCTATAGTCCAGCTCCGACAATGTAGCAGCTGTCATGGCATAGTTATGTGCCAGAACTTGTTCTTGTGTGTTATTGGAGCGACCCTCCTCTTGGATCTTCTTCTTCCTCCATATGCGCCAGAATATGTAAGCCAGCCCGATCAGTAACAGCACCCCTACTACTGACCCAACCGCAATACCCGCTTTGGCGCCACCCGAGAGTGTGCTTGGGGATAATGTAGGAGATAGCGCGGATGTTGCTGCGGAGGTTGAGGGCGCAGTCGTAGCTGTAGTGTATAGTGTCTCCTGACTAGCTTGGTACATAATCGTGATAGGCTGCGCCCACATCTGGATCGTCCCGGACACAGTTGTACTAGTGGTATAATCGGTGGTGTTGAAACCTCCCGCTCTTGCCGCCAGAAATGTAGTGCCGGTATAGGTGCCGATGCAGCCTTGGTAGCCGCTCGTAGAAGTATAGTAGTACCCACTACACACGCGACTTGTCAGGCCTGAGGCGAGAACAGAAAGATAAAATATCTCACCTTAAACAGCAACTGGCCGTCGTGGTCAATGCCACCGTGGTAGCTGGCGAATTGGTTGTGTATCCATGAGGACATGCGCCTGGGCTAAAGACCACATTCTGTGCCCCACGTCCGGCCTGACTGAACCCCGAGGGAAAACAAGACGAGTCCAGGCTGGATTGGAAAGCATTTTGAAGCAAGAGGCCGCTGGTCACCTCGTTGTAAGTTGAAGGCTCATAGGTCCAGCTAGACAAGCAATCGGATGGAGGGGTAAAGATTGTGGTGAGTGGTATTGTAGAATCACTCGGCATTTTGTTTCGTTGATTTGATGATTGTGAATGCAGTCAAGCCTGCGGTTCTCTGAGGGAAAAAGGGGCGAACAAACGGAGCTTGGGGGGTTTGGCCTCTTGTACAAAGCAGATTAATCGGTCGAGTTGGGACCATGTTCGGGCTGCCTAATTGCTTCCAATCAGAGGGCTTCACGAACTCCAACGTATAGCTGTGGACCAGTTAGCAGCAGCAGTGGGGCCGCCCCCAAATAGCGGTGGACCAGTAGCAGCGGCAGTAGAGCCGCCCCCGATAGCGATGACTGCGTTAGTATTGCGGCTGCATGGCCCCTTCGCAAAACACCGTGAAAAAGAAATGGGGCCTAATACCAATATGGGAAGCGCCAAACCTAACTAAGGGATAGTAAGGTAATTATTAATAGTGTCTATACGTGTATGGCGGCCTTCGGCGGCAAGCATGTTAGTGCAAAGTACAAAGTACATAAGATAGCAACAGAAACCAATAGGAGCATTTTCTCTCAAGAGAATAGACCAAACAGCGCCGAGAATCCGCGGGAAGTTTGGCAGTGGGGCGCAGCTTAGGTTTCTGGGCGGCTCGTGCCGGTAGTAAACCTTCACTCGTTCCTCATTTAAAACCAAGGCAAACACGTGAGGACGGGCAATATGTGAATTGCCAAACACCAGACCAATGAGAGCGAGACTTGGCGCGAAATTTGGCCGTCTTTCTCGCAGCGTCTAGCCAGCCTTCAAGTCAGCTTTGGGCAGACCTCCAGTTTGTAACCCATTTCACACCGTTCCTTCGTTCCAGGGCATTATTTCAACCACCCCCTGAGTAGAGGGGTGAGCAGGTGATAGGCAGGCCTATATTCAACCTCGGAATAAAATCCTCTATATGGCTGTTATTTGATCCGACCTTTGTATAGGCGATTCTTGCGGCCACGCCCTAAATTAAAAGATTAGCAACCAAACCTGGAGCTCGAGAGCCGCATAACATACAAGATCGTCCTGCTCGACGATAGAACACAAAAGTACCAGCCATCCACATGACTAGGAGAATCGACCAGCCAAGAAGTTCTGTCACAACAGACGAAGGCCATTCATGGCGAGGCCCTTTCCGAACAGTATAACATAACAAGGCAGAAGGCCACAACAGAAAAAACGACACGTCCAAGGGAGAAACGTTCGGCTCGCCGAGCTGGTCTCTCAGATAGAATAGTATGGCCGTCAATGCTCCTATGTATAGAGGACTCCACAAGGGGGCCCATTCAGGAGTTACTGAGAGTGAGGCCAGAAATGCGGCCCATGAATTCCCAAACCCAGGCATGCTGCAAGACTAAGGGTAATATTTATTGCCCTACACCGCTACATAAGTCATTATTAGTTCGAAGGTATTAGTAGAAAGGCATAACGGAGGTACTCACGAAATCGGTTGGAGTGTGATATAAAAAGCAAAGGCCTCGAAACTTGCGGTAACAGGAAGAGCAGGTGTAGGATGATATGAAGACAGGGTCAAGATTGAACCATTTTCGCCCCCAACTGGCCCCACATAAGAGGGGGGGGCCACGGATCGGCATAGGGCGCATCGAATACGCATTGAAATTCTTGTAGCATGTGCATGATGGTTGTATAGTGACGCAGCAAAGATTTCGACACCCTGTCCCATACCTAAATTATTATCTAATATTCTGCCTAGCCAAACTCCTTAAAACTGTGTACCTGAGAGAACCAAGTTGGTGTTTGATAGTCCCAAAGAGCGATAGATACCTTATTAAACAAGATACGGCCTTTGGAAGCAGTCCTATCTAGATACCTAAAAACATAGCCTTTGTCTCTTCACTATTGATGTGAGTATCAATAGAGTGGGGCGGCGTACGTAGTGTGGGATGTCGCTCTAGGGGTGTGTCGAAACTCTTGCTGCGTCACTGAACGACATGACAACCTGCTCACCACCCTTCGAAATCAGCAATTGGCCGTAGTGCGCGCCATATCTTGTCTAGGTGCCGTTTGACATATAGTGATAGCGTGTTGGCGTTCTCCCTTGAGGCGGCCAGAAAGGGAAGTATCGGGTATATCAGATCGGGGCGCTGCTCCATATGCGGAAAGAATTTCATATTTTGAAAGCATATATAACAAATATGATTTGGTTCTCTCAATTACATTGACAGTCGAGAACAGGTTCATCTCTGAACGCATACGTGTTGCTTCTCGGCCCGTACCCGAAACGACGCTACTCCATATATAGATTGACCTCGTAATGATCATGTTCTAAGACTCGATCCCTTAAATACGAGCACAAGTTCATTACGTACGTTGATGTATATTCTGCGAAGCTCGGATACACTCCTCCCTCAATGCCCCTCCATACTCTCTTTGCCCTCCTTCTGCAGCAGTCAGCACCGCTATGTCAGATCTGCTAATGCTCTACCCAAAATGGCACCAAGCCTCCCCCTATCTAGGGAAAAGTCCACCAATTGTTTAATACAAAGCCAGTCATTAGATACACCCCAATTGGCAAATGCAGCTGAATGCGGTGCGAACAAACGATCTAGAATATTGCAGGAAGCTGCGGCTGTTCAGAACTATCCACGCCCTTCCAACCACGCGGGAAATATCCACGCCCTTCCAAATCGTGTCAGTCGGTACAAAATATAGGTTCTCTGATTCTAGAGGTCTTCTCCAATTATTAATTTTCGAGCACCGTTGTCTCAACCTCGATGAGATTGGTGTATTTGTTAGGAAGAGTTTCTAGTTGTGAACAACAACTTCAGGTATGATGAGGGCTGTTGTTTTAAGAGGTACACTGAAAGTCTACTCGACTGAGGGCAAGAAACCGAGGTACAGAATGTCATCTTTCAGAATACTGATCAGTAGTATCTGTTATTCATTAAAGAATCTCGTTATGATAAGCAAATAAGTTCACATGAATGAGCTGGCTATAGTCCCATTCGGTATCGTCACTGCGCAGGTCTCAGTCCCGGATGATAATTAGTATCCAAATCCATACCGTACGGGTTAGACAACCTCATGATATCTCGCGCTATTTGAGATTATAAACCCTTTTTGACCGGAAAAGCTAGACAACATTCCATCTATGAAGCATGGAGTTCGTTAAGGTCCAACCCTTCGACAAAATTATTCAATCTCAACATGGATGTGAAAGTTGAATCATCACAAGTGTGGCCGTAAAAGTGATAATCCCTTCGGCTAGATGTATACCAGCGTGGAGATGTGAATGATGACACCTTGTTTATAAGGTCTCCGTAGCTCAGATCCGGAAAGGGAGTCGCAGGCCATGGTGAAAGGAGATGATTTGACTGCATCTGCATAGTAAGGGCTCCATACATGATTGATCTGCATTCATATCCGCAGCCTTGAGTTCCATTCAAAAGCGCCTCGCGTGTGTCATGGAGGAGAATAACATTATTAATACCATCCTGTCTATCATTGTTCATTGATACTGCAATTCGGTTAGAGACCAAACACTTTTTACATTCATTCTTCCCTTACCGATGACTTGATTGGGGATCGGAATTCCCCGACCATTGATACAACCGTCACTCCATGAAATAGCAGTTGATGTTCACTCTTTGAACTGGGCAGAGAGCTGAAAAAACCAAGAAACCCATACCCACAGTATCAGATCTCGTGAATACGTTGTGGGAACTTTTTCCTCCAGAGCATCGATCCCCATATCTGCTATGATGGATAGAACCTCCTTGCAAGCATAGTAGTCGGCTATGGCAGCGACTTTGGCGAGCATCTCGAGAGATATCTTTCGTGGTATGAGATAGTATTGGCCATGGATTGCACGAAGAAGGGTCAAGAGCGCTTGGAGGTCCCAGCTGTCCGCAGTAACCTCAACTGAGCCTTCTTGCAAGTAAGCGATGCTTTCCTTCCAGCCGCCGGTGAGTGTCTTTTTGAATACCGGAGAGGCAAATATCATATGCTTCGCGGAGACTTGAATGCGAAAGTCACCATTATCCAGTGATTCACACATCTGTTCTTCGGCAGCGGCCTCTACGGGAGGGTCTTTGAGAAGCATTTCGAGAGGGGGCTCTTCGGCAGTAGTCTCTCCGGCAGGAATCTGGGCATACTGGCAAGGTTCTTGAGGGCTGTGATGAGTCTTGCCAGGGATCATATTTTCAGCTGATTGTGCAAAAGGAGAGTTTGCATTGCGCAATATAATGATCACTTCACCATCGGGGTCGATAATATGGGTTGGGGGGTTCATGGTTGTGGTATTATGAGCTTTGATGGTAGAGAAGATAGAGGGAGACAATAGCTATGAGGAACAGGAAGAAATGGAGCATACCACATCGCCAGATCCCTCACCCAACCTCTTAAGTACAAGTACGTTTTGTAAGATTATGCGTCATTATACAATAACTCATTTGGTTCTGAGATTAAATACGTTCGAAGATGCGATACGGATATCTCTCATAGGTGTCAGAGCAATAAATAACGGTATAGACTAAGAATGTACTGTAGCCTATAGTGCATTTTTGGTCTAGTAGTTAATTTGCCTAGGACTTAGTCCTCTTTTGTCTTAACAATAGTAAGTTAATACAAATTAATGCTGATCACATTCACTGATCTATCACGTGAGCACTCTGATCAGGTCGATGAGTCCGGACTGACATTTACTCAGTGAGTCTAACTGAACGCCCTGACAAAAGCGGCGGCAGCTTAGGAAGGAAAGCCCCACCCGGCAAAAGAAACAAGCTTCCGTCCCCGCCATGACGGGGTTAGCGATCGGATATAGCTGACAAATTGATTCTCAGAGCTGCGGAGACCGAGGGAGTGTATATATAGCTCGAGCTCGACTGGCAAGCATATTATTCCTCCTGCATTCCCCGGTTATGCTCCCTCGCACAATTGGCACAGGCTCTTCTAAAGCTGCATCTCGACTTTCCAGCCTCTCATCTACCATCCGTGCCTCCTATTCCACCATGTCCTCCTCTAACATCACTCTCTATACCTGGCCCACGCCGAACGGCATCAAGGCCTCCATCACCTTGGAGGAACTGGGTCTGCCATACAAGACGGAGCCGATCGACATTAGCACCAATATTCAAAAGGAAGAGTACGGAAATCACCAGTCCCCAGTTGCCGTCCAGAGCGCCCTTACTGACTGACGAAAATCAACATCTAGGTGGTTTTTGAAGATCAACCCCAATGGCCGTATCCCTGCCATCACCGATGGCTCGCAGCGCGTTTTCGAAAGTGGCTCCATTATGCTTTACCTTGCCGACAAGTATGACGCCGACCGAAAGATCAGCTATGCGCCCGGCACCCCGGAGTACATTGAGCAGGTATCCTGGCTCATGTTCCAGATGGGCGGGCTGGGTCCCATGCAAGGTACGTCGAGCAGAAACGAAGCGTCCATCCCTCTCTAAGTTTCAATTTAGGCCAGGCGAACCACTTCCGGCTCTTCGCCGGCGCCCGCTCCGACTACGGTATCAAGCGCTACATTGACGAGACGAAGCGTCTCTACTCAGTCCTGGAATCTCGTCTGAAGGAAAGCCCCTACCTGGCTGGCTCCAAGTACACCATCGCCGACATTGCCAACTACGCATGGGTTCGCAGTGGTCCCAGTGCGCTGGAGATTGATCTATCTGAGTTCCCCACTCTAAAGAAGTGGAGCGATGAGATCAGCAAGCGGGCTGCGGTGCAGAAGGGTGTGGATGTGCCTCCCCCTCGGCCGTACAGACGAGGATCGCAACGAGTTTTTCCGGAGCGCTCGTGCTAAAATCGATGGTATGACCAATACTGACAAGCATTAGGCGGAAATGATGTCATAAGTATAAATGCAGCTAAATTGACTGGTAGTAAGATGAAGCTCGAGTATTCCCTTGTGATGATTTCCTGATTTTGAATTCAAATATTATCAGAGTATCATGGGTAGAAACGTAGGACAATATGAGAAGCGAAAGGCCCACAATGCGGATTGTTCCTCTGGGAAACAAGGTAACATTCGACTCACTGAGTGCCTGTTGAAACGTTTAACATCTTTGACCAAAGCAAGGTGGTTGAATTATGACCATCATCTCCCGATCGGGCTGGTTCCATGTAACAAGCGATCCTATCGAGTGAGAACAGGTATATGTAAGTGCTGGGCCTGAATTGGTTGGCGTCGCCCTCGTCCCACTAATGGCGTTTTACTTAGCTTTATTTCCCAGTCGCGTGAATTATTTTACGGTTGGAAGTATGTTACATTCAATTCGAGATAATCAAAGGTCCTTTCAGATAAAGGTTGTCGATACAACACCTGTGTCAGATTTATTCCCTATACATCTGAAAATTTAGCGTAGCTTATTTCCTATTAGTGTTCTGACTGGGTACAGACCTCTTGCGAAAGTCACGATAGTATAGTATATTGGTAGTAGCGAAACAGATTCATGATCTTTTGACAAGTCAAACACTGGTATACTTACTGCCACAATGGCGGGCCCCATACGCTAAGTGGATCCCGACGCGTAGCGCCTACCCCTCTTCGCCCGGGCATTCCCCGGGCCTCCCATGAACCTGCCATCTCCGTGTCAATCAGCGCAATGGCATCGATAGACCTCCAGAAGCAAGTCGGCCAGGTAAGTCTTTCTTAGGAACATCGATCATGAAGGCAACGTAGCTGATGACTGCAGCTGTTCGCAGTCGGCTTCCATGGCTACGCGCCGAGCCCAGAGCTTAAGACGTTGATTCACGACTATCACGTCGGAGGCATCGTTCTCTTTTCGCGCAACTTCCAGACGGCTTCACAGCTACAGGTAAGCCTCACACGATGCTGGTATCTCATCCCGAATATCCCCATATTGACTGGGTGACCCCCAAGACTTTGATACTTGCTCTTCAAAATGAAGCGCGACTGGCGGGGCATACGCGGCCGTTATTCATCGGAATCGACCAGGAGAATGGACTGGTCGCCCGAATCTCGCCCCCCATCGCTCCCCAGATCCCTGGACCGATGGCTCTCGGCGCTACTCATGACCCAGAATTAGCCTACGAAGCTGGCAAGGCCACCGGTGACATTTTGGGCTTTTTTGGAATCAACATGAATTATGCTCCGGTCTGTGACATCAACTCCGAGCCGTTGAACCCCGTCATCGGTGTCCGCAGCCCTGGCGACGATCCGGAATTTGTGGGACGATTCGCCAGCGCTGCGGCGCGTGGGTTGCGGGAGCAGAAGATCGTGCCAAGCGTGAAGCATTTCCCTGGACATGGCGATACCGCTGTCGACTCGCATTATGGACTGCCCGTGATCCCCAAGACCAGAGATCAGCTCGAGCGGTGTGAACTGATTCCGTTCCGCCGGGCTGTGGCAGAGCAAGTCGAGGCTGTCATGACGGCCCACATCTCCCTTCCGAGCATCGATGACAAGCTTCCCGCAACATTATCGCCTAAGGCTCTCGGCATTTTGCGCCAGGATATGGCCTATGATGGGATGGTGATCACCGACTGTCTGGAGATGGAGGGCATCCGTTCTACATTTGGCACGGAGCAAGGTTCGGTGCTCGCATTGCAAGCTGGAAGTGACAGCATCATGATCTGTCATACATTTGAGGTCCAAGTGGGCTCTATTAGGAAAGTTTGTGGTGCAGTCCAGTCCGGTGCGATAGAACCATCTCGTCTGGCTGATGCATGCCGCCGCGTTGCTCGTATGAAGGACAAATTTTTGAATTGGGAAGTTGCGTTGCGCCAACCGGATCTGGGAGAGCTTGACGCCTTGAGCAAGAGAATTTCAACGATATGTAAAGACATGTACGAGAAATCTGTCACCCTTGTCCGTGACAGCGCCGGGATTCTCCCCCTTGCGAAGGACGGCAATATTGTGTTCCTCTTTCCGGGGGACAAAACTCCTGCCGGTGGCGCAGTGGATGGGGAGGGGATGGGTCGGCGGGGATCATACGAAGCCAGTGTCTATTTGGACACCCTTCGACGTCATAATCCGTCAATCACAGAAATCAAATACGGAGAGGCCGGTCTATCGGACGACCAATGGAGTGTCGTCAAGGCGGCTGATGCTGTGATTTTTGTGTCCATCAATGCGCGGGAATCGCCATACCAACAGTCGTTGGGCACCCTCCTTCCCAAGTACACCCAGTCGTTGGTCGCCATTGCCGCCTGCAACCCGTATGATTTTCTCCAGACTCTGGAGGTCCAGGCATATCTTGCTACGTACGAGCCGACCGTTGAGGCCTTCGCGGTAGCTGCGGACATCATTTTTGGTGCTACGACCGCGAAAGGCACTCTCCCAGTTGGCTCGAGTCCGTCGAGGAAGCCTCATGCGCATGTGGCCCGATTTGATGCGGAGAGAGATGTGGACCCTATTGTATCCGTTTGGAACGAAGCGTTGCCAACGTACGTCCTGCCCGCCGATGGCCTACGATCTCTGATTGACCGGGAAAATGCACACCACTTTGTCGCCTATGTGGGATCCGAGCTCGTCGGATTCTGTCTTGCCTATATCAGCGGTAAAGGAGATTTGAAGCCTGTTCACATTGCCGTGCTGGCCGTGACACCAAAGTACCAGGGCCAAGGAATTGGGACTGCGTTATTAACCGAGACTCGCTCATACTTCAGAACGCAGTTTGGTATCAACCAACTGAAGCTTGGCAGCTCCTTCCCACGTTTCTGGCCTGGGGTGCCTCGTGAGCTTCCAGAAACCGTTCAGGAATTCTTTATGCATCGTGGATTCCGACTCAGCCCGCCGGGCGCGAGGTCAGTTGACTTGTACCAGGACATTCGGAACTTCCAGTCGCCGGAGAAATACATTACTCGCGCGCAAGAACGGGGGTTCCGCTTCGCGCCACTGCAGCCGGAAGACTATGAGGCCTGTTTAGTCGGGCAGAGACGGAATTTCTCGGATAAAACAGTTCGCAATCAAGTATTCAACGCCTGGTGAACCTCACACTGATTTACCATTTTAGGGTTGGGTGGAAGCTTACGTCACGCTGCATCCCAAGGATTATCCCGACTGCGTGATGACGGCCTTCGACGCCCACGGCCAGCAGATCGGATGGACCTTGATGCTGCCCCCGGTCGCTGCACTGAACAAGGTTTGGGCTTTTCCCCAGATATGTGGTCCCAAGACAGGTCTCATCGGCTGTGTGGGTATTGACGCCCCCCACCGCAACTCCGGTATTGGGTTAGCGATGATCTGTCATGCCGTGGAGAATATGAAGCAGCGCGGTATTGAGGGAGTCTTCATCGATTGGGTGGCCTTGGATGGATGGTACGAGCAGGTCGGATTTGAGACCTGGCGCAGCTATCGACCCGGCGAAATCTGATACGTGGCGCCGGGCTCTGATCGTGTCTGCGTGAGCGGCCAAGACCGTCCAGTCCGTATAGACCCTATAGAGTAACATGGACGCCTGAGCGGGTGTTGGGCTTTGGTCCGAGATTTGACCCGAGCCCGACTTTCTCTCCTTGCGAAGTACGGAGTATATAGATCAATCACCCGACCGCTTCGTTCATGCGCGGATTCGACCGATCGCTTATCTCCGGGGTGACACCGAAGCGCCGACAGGACCGGAGACTGCCCAAAGTACCATCAGATAGAGTACGGAGTATCTCGGGCAAAATGCACGGAGAACAGGAATCGTCTTCTAGTGCTTATGTGACTCATCTGGCGGCCACACCCGCTTCGGGGAGATTCAAGCGCTGAGGCTATTCGGACACACCCGAGCCGCTGATTGGCCCGCCCAGTCAGATGGCCTCGTATTTACTTCACGCTACTGCGCCAGCCGAACCGCCCCCCTGCGCCTGTGGAAATTTTACTACAAGTCGGCCAAAAAGACCAACCGATGTCCGACTCACCACAGTCCAAATGTCGTGCATGGTTCTTACATATGTTCCTCCTACTCTCCCACAGCATTTGTGCTTTGCGGAGTGACAAAGACGCTGTCGATGGTGTGCTCTATCCTTCGACTCACGCTAATCGGATTCCCCCTTATTTGTCGGCAACGCTCAGGCCTCGACTCCACGTCTGAAATCTGAAAAGCTTTCCACCCTCTTGCTTCTAGTAAAGGAGTTCGACCATGACGGCAGCCAGCAGTACCACCGATGTTGAAGTTCCACCGGAGAAGCATGTGGAGGAGGGATCGGCGACGACAGAGCAAGCATATCCCCCTCTACCGAAGGTGATTGTCCTTATTTTGGCCCTGTACCTGGCCATCTTTCTCGTGGCTTTGGATCAGACCATCATCGGCGTGGCTATCCCCAAAATCACTGATCAATTCAAGAGCATCTCGGACATTGCCTGGTATGGCAGCGCGTATTTCCTCACGTCGACGGCTCTCCAGCCATCCTATGGTCGAATCTATAAGACCTTCAGTGTGAGTTCCCAGCATATAATATGATGATGGAAGCCCCGCTGATTGATTGCCCCCATCCAGGTCAAATGGAGCTTTTTGGCAGCGGTCTTGATCTTTGAGATCGGCTCTCTCATCTGCGCGGTGGCACCATCCAGTACCGTCTTGATTGTCGGAAGAGCCGTTGCCGGAATTGGCGTCGCGGGGATCTTCTCCGGTGCGCTGGTGATTATCTCCATGACCGTGCCGCTACCCAAGCGACCCCTGGTATTTGGGATGTTCGGAATGGTCTGGGGAATTGCGTCGATTGCGGGACCCCTCCTTGGGGGTGCATTCACCGATGGCCTCACATGGAGATGGTGTTTCTACATCAACCTTCCCATTGGCGGCCTGTCGATCGCCGTCATCTTCTTCTTCCTCCAGCTCCCTGGCAAGAGCGAGTACGCGGGGACGCCTATCCTGGCCCGCATTAGGCAGCTGGACCTGATCGGTGCCAGTCTCCTCATTCCCGCGATTGTCTGTCTCCTGCTGGCCCTGCAGTGGGGAGGCAACAAGTATCCATGGAACAACTCTCGCATTATTGGCCTGTTCGTGGGCTTCGGTCTGCTGGCAATCCTTTTCGCCATCTCCCAGCTCTACCTTGGCGAAAAGGCCACCCTGCCGCCGCACATCCTGAAACAGCGGACGGTGCTTGCATCATGCGTGTTTTGCCTCTTCTTCGGTGGTGCCTTTTTCCTCCTTGTGTACTACGTACCAATCTTCTTCCAGAGTGTCGAGGGCTCCTCTGCGATGAAGTCTGGCATCCAGCTTCTCCCCATGATGCTTGCGACTGTCGTCTCCTCCGTGGTCATCGGCGGACTCATCACCGCAGCGGGTTATTACACCCCGTTCCTGATCGTGAGTACCGCCATCGCCGCCATCGGTACGGGCCTCATCACCTTGTACGATATCGACATTTCCGCCGGGAAGTGGATCGGCTATCAAATTGTGGTCGGCGCCGGTGTCGGTGCGGGCTTCCAGGTCCCCATGACCGCCGTCCAGACGGTTCTCAGCCCGCAGGATATCCCCGTTGGCACAGCTGCGGTGATGTTCTTCCAAACGCTTGGAGGTGCTCTCTTCATTGCTGTCGGCCAGTCGGTGTTCCAGAACGGATTGATTGATGGGATCGGCAAGTACGCGCCGGGGGTGAGCCCGAAGGCCATTGTCGGGGCTGGCGCGACCGAAATGCGACATGTGCTGACGGAGTTGGGACAACTTGACCAGCTTGAGGGCGTCATCAAATCATATATGAGCGGCCTGAGGGGCGCTTATCAGGTCAGTCTCGCGATTGCTCTGGTGGCTTTTGTGGCCAGTCTTTTCCTGGAATGGAAGAGTGTGAAGAACGCTGGCGGAGATAAAAAGGATGTGGCCGTCCCAGCCCTCTGATCGTCGTGTATAGACAGAGCAGCGGATGCTTTCTTCACTGTAATTTATAATAGTGTATATAGATGGATAATATATCTCTCCCTTCAAACATCATCCGCGGTCATCAGGAACCAGGGGACGCTTTTAGCCATGATGTAAGCCTTCACCGCGCTGGCCAGGTCCAGGGTTTCATGAGAAAAGCCCCGATGTTACCCAACATCTGGTACGACATACGCTAATCTCTCCTCATTCCTTCTAGTCGAGATAGTCGAAGGTAGTCGAAGATAAGACACGCACCGCGACTAGCCTGGCTTTGGAATGCGGGGTAGAACTGACCCGAGGAGAGTCAAGGTGAATGCCTCCCCCCCAAGCCTTCCTTCTTTTCTTCCATTCCAAGCAACTATAGGCATCGATGGATGATACAACTGGGAAAGGGCCCAAAGCCAGAGAGCAGGGGTTGAAATCGGACGCCGCGGTGGAGGTGGGTGCCATGCCAGCCCAGCCCGAGCATACCCTTGAGGACTACGAGCGGCTGTTTGGTGTCGACGAGGATGCGTATGAGCAGCCCACCACGACCAGGAAGGAGCTCTGGGCTTATTACCTCTACTATAATGGTATGTTCGCTGGGAAATCCCCTTCACTCCGTGGACAGTACTCATTCGGGTGCAATGAACATGTAGGCGACAATGGCGTTGGTCCGGGTTCTTACAGCCAAGCTCTGTAAGCACCCCCTTGGCAACACAGCCGCAAAGCACCCAGATGAACTAACGGGTCTTCATTAGCTTCCAATGGGCTTTAAATGGCGCTGGCCACCAGCCAGACACAAATCCGCCCCAAGCCTGCACCAACTCCTCGGCGTGTGTGGTGCCTTGGGCAGGGGGCACGCGATCAATCTCCTCGGTGGTTCTGATCGCCAACGGCCTCTGCTTCACTTTCATGACTGTCATTTTCGTGTGGCTGGGAAGTGCGGCGGACTATGGTTCGTTCGGTCGGTGGCTTCTTCTAGTGCTGACGGTCATCTGTTGGGCGCTGCAGTATGGGATGATGGCTATCCGACGCCCTAGCCAATGGCCTGCAGCCATGGGAATGTACGTCGTGGCGTATGTCGCGTATGGGGCCACTTTGGTGTTTTACGCCGCGGTCTTTCCCCGGTTGGCGCGCTATATGCCCCATGTACGAAAGGCCCGGGAAGAGGATTTGAAAGAAGGCAAGATCGATCAGAAGGAGTATGATATGATCGAGTCATTGGAGCGGAATCACATCAGGTAGAATCAACATGAAGCTCACCCTTGAATACATACTAACGATAGTTCCCCCCTAGCAACATTTCGACTGCGCACAGCAATATCGGATACTTGTTGACCTTGGTGCTTAACTTGAGCGTCCTTCTTCCGATGCAGAATAACCAATATTCGAATAACTTGGCACTGTGTCTGACGAATTCCTGTAAGCCACAAACCACGATTGAAGAGTCGTATGATTTCTGACATCTTGGGCAGATTGGGTGGTTCTAGGCATTTGGTGGTTCCTTTTCCAGCAGAAGCGGCCCGGTCCCAAAATTCCCAAGGGCTCTAGCTACACGACCATTGGCTTCAAGCAGATCTGGCTGGCGATTCGAGAGATCCGATCCCTCCCACAGACCTTCCTTTACTTTCTGGCATACTTTCTGCTGGCAGACGGTCTGAATACGACTGGTGAGTCCCTGCTTGACTGTGGGACCACGAATACGCGTCTGATACTCTCTAGGAACCCTGGTAAGCATCATTCAGAATGACCAGGTGTCTTTCTCATTCCTCCAAATTACCTATCTTGGAATCACGCAGGCGGCGTGCTCGATTACGTCGACGTTTGGCTTCTGGTACATCCAGCGATACTTCAAGTTCAAGACCAAGACCATGTTCCTGTTCACCAATTTCTTCAGCGTTTTCATTCCCTTTTGGGGCATGCTCGGACTGTGGACTGACCGAATTGGGTATCACCATACCGTGAGTAATTCCAATGGCCTCGCGCTCCGGGTTATCAATGACTGACGCGTTCATAGTGGGAGTTCTACTTCTACAACGTCATCTTCGGCCTGTTTCAGGCTCCTTACTATGCGGTAAGGAGTAGTTTATTCCATCTATCTTGTCGTAATCCTGATTCGTATGATTTATAGTACGCTCAAACAATGATCAGCGAGTTGATGCCCCGTGGCTTCGACAATATGTTCTTCGCGCTTTTCGGAATCACTAATCGTGCGGTAAGTACCAATCTTGTCTTCCTTTTAAATATGCCTTGCTAATTTGATGACTTTTTGAGTCTTCAATCATTGGTCCAAATGTAATTCAGGCCATCATCAATAACACCCGCAACAACTGGATGGGCTTCCCATTCCTCTTTGCTATCTGTACTGCCGCCATGATTGCTATCGGCTTCGTGGATATTGAGAAGGGCCGTGAGGACTGTCGGAGGTTTACCGAGAAACGTAAAGTGGATCGTGTCGTGGCAGAGGCTGGTCTCAGTGCCGATATCATTGTCAAGGGCAAAGATCCGATGGACAATGGGGAGGTGGGTGGGGGAAATGGAGAATTAAGCAGCAATGGACCGGCCACAGCTGGGTCTACGGACAGAGAGACCTCGGCATGATGCCGGACACAATGAAATGTTGAGTATTAATACCAGCCCAGTGATTCCATAGACACAGGAGAGATGATCAATCTCAAGTAGTCATTATTCATAGTTCTCCATTTTCAAGCCCATGAAGCATCCTTAAATCACCGAATCATGCCAGTATCCTCTATGGCTCTCTAAAAGCAAAAGTTTTGTGGGATATGCAGGACGGACCGACTTATCTACTTAGACTTCGGCAGTCGTCTCAGTCTCCTGCTTAGAAGACCTCCCCGAAGCCCTCTTTTCCTCCTTGCGCTGGTTCCTCTCATCGACTTGATTGCGCCACTTATCGCCCAAGATAGTAGTAGCCCGGACGCACAGACCAGAGCTGATTAAGAACAGGGCGCTGATCGTACTAAACCAACCGACACCGATAGCTTCCACGGCGGGAAGCACAGTGCCAGAGCCCAGGGCGGCAAACACGTACCGGAACATGTAGTTTCCTGCTACAACTTCGGCACTCCGACCCTTGGACTGCATCACGTCTAGGCAGTATGTATTCAGACTAGGGAAGCAGAACAGCTGTGCCACGCCCTGAAGGAACATAGCCAATACGGGGACAGGAATACCACCGACAGCCTTCTCAACTGTCCAGCCGTAGACGAGGATGCATCCCGGGATAACAGCCGTAATGAATATCAGACATGACTTGAGACGGTCCTCTGGTACACGGATGCCACCACGCTTGCGGATCCATTTTTTTACCATATAGTCCGCCCACCGGCCGCCCATGAACGTCCCCACTAGGTACCCACATCCAGGCGCAATATAGAACAGACCCGACTGAATAGGGCTGGTGAGATGGAAACGCGGGTTAAGCACGTAGCGAATCGGCGTGAGCAGAGAGTATTGGTTCCAAACCAGGGCACCAGCGGCCAGCCCCGCGATGAAAAGGTTGGGGTATGAGAAGAGCAGCACACCAACACGAACGGGGTTCGCCTGGTGCCAGAGGAACTTCGCCTTTTGCGCAGGGGTCTTTTCGGTGAGCTCAGTCTTGTTGAGATGCGGGTATGTCTCTGGGAAGAAAAAGAAGACAAGCAATGTACCGGCACCGCCGAGGGCAGACTGCAGCCAGAAGACGACGCGCCATGAGCGGAAGGTGACGATCACGCCCTGTGGTATATGATCAGCGAGTCTGGAGCATGCAACGGGAAAGCACGAGTCCTACGCCAATGAACGGACCAAAGGCTGGTCCGATTAGAGTGCCCGACAAGAACCACCCCAGTGCCGTTGCCCGCGCTCGAGGCTCGTAAATATCACCAAGGGCGGAACTTCCTACCACCAGGAACGATGTTCCTTGAAAGGCTGTCAGGACGCGGAAGATGTAGTAGGCCGGTAGATTTGGCGCCAGGGCCGTGCCAATGCTAAACACGAAGAAAAGGAATGCGCTTGCAAGGAAAATCTATAGATGAATCTTAGCATCTTGGCTCCAACCAAAAGGAGAGTGGCAGTTGCTGACCGGACGCCGCCCCCACACTTGGCTAAAGGGACCCCAAAATGGAGCCGAGATCCCCATGGATGCCAGGTACAAGGCATTGCTAGCGTTGATGATGCTACCGGTAGTGTTGTAGGTCTCTGCGACCTCGGGGATGCCCGACAGAATGGAGGTTGAAGAGATCGGGGCCAGAAACGAGCAGAATGACAATACAAAGACGATAACCGCCTTCCGGGCCGGCGAGAAGCGCAAGTATTGCTCGGCGTCAACCTCGCGAAACTCATCGGTAGTCACGGGCATATCATGGTGGGATATATGACTTCGCACGAGATCGAGATCATTGGTTGTTTCATATCCCTTTTGTGATTTGGAGCCTTCGTTGATTCGCGTCTCCTCCACCGGAGACAAGGCCTCGTCGATGCTATCGAGGGAAGATCGTGAGCCTGAGGGTAACATGGTGAATGCTCTCTGCGTTCACTTATAGACGAGGGAGGGGATTTCAACAATCAAGGTCCCTGGACATTGACCAGGCATGAGACTACTGCTAAAATTCACGAGAGACCTCTTCTGTGACAGGATGAGGTGTAGTGGGTTCAGTTCACCGGCGTCTTTCCGACAACATACTCCTAGAAAGAATAATTGCCCGCGCGGATGACAAAAGGTGCTTCAGTTGCAAACAGGATCCAGATGATGTGGCCGACAACTTGTCAATGGATACACAGTAGACCACAACAGTGAGTCAGAAGAGGAGAAAAGTCCGACCCTGCCCTTCGGCGTAGGTTATCTTTGGCCGAGGATGCACGCGGGGCTCGCAATCAGACCGCGTTGCAGGGGCCGAAGAAAAAGCGACCACACGAAAACCAGCTAGATCGGTGCCCATTGTATGTCCAGGATCCATCTGGATGCCTGATCGAAGGCGCTATGGCCAATGATTCGGGTGGCGAGCCGTGGAAAACTAGATGGATTTCGTTGCCACTACCCCGTACCGATTACCGAGATAGGGCGAGAGCAGCGCGGAAAAGAATCCGTGCCAGCGTTGTGGAGGCGCGCATGCGACAGCCGATAAAGGATATTGCGATCAAGCATGCGCTTGTGAAGTGGGGGAGTCGGAGACCGCTAAATTCTCCGAAAAGGACCCATCCAGGACTGCTCCGATCAAGATCAAGACTACGGCGCTTGAACTGGTTCAGGCCCCGTCGAAGAAGACATGGCCGAGGGCTCCACCATCGTAGTCGAATCCGTCCGGCGGGTCAATCTGTAGGGATCAGACAGACCTGACAGGTCTGACAGGTGCATAACCTCCCATCGCCATCGACTCGGCCCCAGCGAGACAGCGGCCCTCGTGAGTGGTCAGGTATGAGGTATGAGGTGGACTTGGAAAAGTCGGGTGTGGCTGTTCGCTCGATCCAATCGGCCGGCTGCGCGCCATGACGTTGTCCTCTGACCGCCAACCACGAACATCAACTACCCCCCCGTCTCCGGATCTTGGAAACATCGACGTCAGGATCCCTCATTTTTTCCTTTGTTGGCCGAGAAATCTCCCCACCTCTTCAAGTGTTTTGAATCCACCGAAAAATGTCGTCCAAGAAGGAGCCCCAGAGCCAGGTGCCACCCCAAAGCAAGGGCTCCTGGTCGAGTTTCTTGAAGGTAGATTGGCGCATGCGTGACCACTGGTTTCCCTAGACTAACGTCTCTTTTCGTTGTAGTCGATCGCCTCATTCAATGGGGATCTCTCCTCATTGACGGCGCCGCCGTTTATCCTGTCAACAACCTCCCTCACCGAGTACTCGGCCTACTGGGCCGAACATCCCTCCGTCTTCGTGGCACCCGCTAAGGAGGCCGATCCCGAGAAGCGTGCCCTCCTAGTTCTCAAGTGGTTCCTCACTACACTGCACCAGCAGTACTGCAGCCGCAGCGAGAAGCTCGGCAGCGAGAAGAAGCCGCTGAATCCCTTCCTGGGTGAGCTTTTTATCGGCAAGTGGCTTGCCGACTCCGACCCGGAGTTGGGCGAGACCACGTTGATCAGTGAGCAAGTGAGGTGGGTAATACCTGGTAAAGAATCCCGGATGAGCCATAAAAGGGGCTAATTGATATAATTACTCTATAGCCACCACCCCCCAGCTACAGCATATGCGATCCGGAACGAGAAGCATGGAGTCGAGGTAAGTAGAATAATCATGATGGCCGACTACGTGGCCAGTCCAGATCCAATCTGGTTAACCCATCACTCTAGCTGCAAGGATATAACGCTCAGAAGGCTTCCTTCTCGAGCACTATCCAAGTGAAACAGATTGGCCACGCCCAGTACACCCTCACCCCGCCAGGCTCCAGCGAAAAAGAGAAATACCTGATTACCCTTCCCAACTTGCACATCGAGTCGCTCATTTACGGCACCCCATTCGTCGAACTGGAGAAGTCGACCAAGATCGCCAGCAGCAGCGGCTACATCGCGAAGATCGACTACTCGGGCAAGGGCTGGCTGAGCGGCAAGAAGAACACCTTCACCGCTAGTTTGTACAAGGCCGGCGAGGGCGAGAAGAAGCCCCTGTACACGGTCGACGGCCAGTGGTCGGACACATTCACCATCAAGGACGCCCGCACCAAGGAGGTCGTCGACCGCTGGGTCGTAGCCGAGAACGAGACCACCCCGCTCACGCTGGCCCCGCTCGAGGAGCAAGATCTGTACGAAAGCCGCCGTGCGTGGGCGGATGTGGCTGAAAGCATCAAGAACGGCGATATGGACGCTGTCTCAGGGTACAAGTCGCTCATTGAGAACGCCCAGCGCGACCTGCGCCGCGTTGAGAAGGCCGAGGGCCGCGAGTGGGAGCGCTGCTTCTTTAACCGTATCGACGAGCAGGACGACGACCCGCAATTCCAGCAATTGGCCCAATCGCTCGACCTCGCCGGCTGCCTCGAGGCCGACAAAACCGGCGGTATCTGGCGCTTTGACAGCGAACGCGCCGCCGCCGCCAAGCCGCCGTACCATAAGACTGGGGGGAAGGGCTAGGCATCAGCGAGTAAAGCCTCACGTTTCCCTCTCACTTCTCTAGGTTATGTCTCCCGTGTCAATCGGGGAGAAAAATGATCATGTTCTTTTTCACTTCTTTGGATCACGGGGGGTTTGGCTTTGGAGGACCGCTCTTTAACCACGGGCTCCTCATCCCCCCGAACCAATTGTCTGCACACATAGAGTTGACCGTTGTGGGTTCCCGGTTCCTATCGTGAGGAATCGTGTCATGCCGTATTTCGATTGTATATAAGTTCCTGTCTGAGGCAAAGCCGCTTCGATGCTTGAGTGGAGCGCCGAAATTCCTGCTACCTAATCCGATGATATTGGTTCTTTCGTGCTTTTTGTCTCGACTGTTTATCATACTTTGTGGCTGTGAAGTCTTAAGTAACCACCGCAGAGGCCTAGATCTTGTAGGAGGGCACGTCCGACTTCGCATCTCATCTCAAATTAGGGATGGACCATGCTGCATCGCAAGACCCCCTGTCGAGTGCCTCCTATTCCCCTATGTACTCAAGGATTCTACAGTCAGAGGAATAAAAAGGTGGTCCTGGAATATCTGATTTGTATAGGTGCGTACATAACTCATCACACTTTTAGGTAGCCCGCCCAGTAAAACCCGTCCGAGCAGCATCCATCACGATCTACCGCTTTACCAGACCCGGCAACCACCTTCCGATATTGCAACACGGTGGAGGACAGAAGATGAAAAAAGGGAATCAGAGAAACACGAACCCCGTCTTCACAGAATGACACCCCAGACCCGAATTGACACCATGAGCTAGGTTTGGAAGAACAGGAACAGAGAGAAACAGCGGGGGGGGAAGAGGAAAAAAGGAAAAAGGGAAAAAAAAGTCGTCCCTAGGGAGAATTGGTGGATTTAATACAGACCGCATCGACGAGGAAGCAGTGGGAGCAAAAAAGGAGGAGAGGGGAAAGAGTTTGAAAAAGCAAGACGCGGGAGATAAAAAGGAAACCAGGAAAGGGAAACAAAAGCACACGAAGAGACACACTTCCCAAGCCCAGCCAAAACTCCCAGAAAAGGGTAGAAGTTACACAGATATTGAGGAAAATAAGATGAAGAGAAATTTCAGGGTTTGGTTTGCCTTTTTGCTCTTGCCAGGCCCGGGTCGAACAAGACACAACGTGGATGAAATCATGCTTATTCCGCCCTGACAACGTGGAAAAGAAACAAAAGAACCGTAAACCCCCTTCTTTTTCTCAGATCACCCGCAAATGCAACGCCATATGTGTGTTTGTGAGAGGCGGGGAGAGGAAAAGAATGGAATAGAATATATTCTCTTCAACTTTAGTGGCCGTAGTTGCCACCCCAGCCGCCGCCGCCGCCGCCGCCGCCGCGGCCAGTGTTGCCGTAGTAGTTACCAAAGCCTGCACCGTAGTTACCATAGCCGGTCTGGTGGGTCTGCGAAGCAGCGCCCTGTTGAGCACTAAGGCCGCCAAGACCACCGTACTGGGGGTTCAGGTGGGGGTAGCCGCTGAAGCTCTGCTGGCCCTGCTGGCCTTGAAGTGGGGGGAGGCCGGACTGAGCCTGAGCCTGACCAGGGGTGTTGGTGGCAGAGCCGGGGCGGTTAGCCTGGGCAAGGGACGGGGAGGGACCGCCAGTCTTCGACGCATCGAAGCCCTTGGTCTCCTCGGCAGTCACAGGGGGCTGCTGGGCGACGGGAGGGTTCTGGCCAAAGCCAGCCTGGGACCGTCCGAAGACGTCCGACATGCCGGTACCGAAGGCATTGGAGCCTGCAGCAGTCTGCTGGGTATCGGAAGGCTGGGCGGAGCCAGTGCGGCCGTAAACGGAGTCACGACCAGGCGTGCTCTGGTTGAAGCTACCGGCGGCATTTGCGGGGGAAGATGTGTGCTCGTAGGAGAAACCGTGGGGCTGACCGTACATGCCACCCTTGCCACCACCGTAGGGACCATACTGACTACCATAGCCGTACTGAGAGGTGTGAGGCATGCCGTAGTGCTGCTGCTCGTCATAACGGCGAGCATCATCATAGGGGCGGCCAGAGCGGCCATAGGCGGCACCGGCGTGCTGGCCCATCTGGTTCATGTACGTAGCATAGTGGGGGTTGGAGTAGTAAGGGTAGCCGTAGCCATAGCCGTGGGCACTCTGCTGGCCCGGCATGTGCTGTGCGGCCGGGGTCTGCTGAGTGGCACCAGGCAGGGTCGGGTTGGGCGTGTTGTGGCCACTGTTCGTGGCATCAACGGGGCCGTAGCGGCCGGCAGGCTGGGTGGCGGGAACTTGAGGCTGAGCCTCGGCGGCAGACACGCCAAAGCCAGCGCCTCGGGGGCCAGCGCTGGCATCCTGAGACTGGGCGTAGCTGCCATAATAGTTGTAGGGGAAGCGCTGCTGGTCAACAGCGTAGAAGGGAGAATATTCGCTGCCGGTGGTGGCAGTGGGCTGAGCCGGACCCTGGTTGGCGAACGGCTCTTGGATCTGCGGCTGGGGCTGGCCGACTTGCTGAGTGAAGGGGTCGAAGGGCTTCTGGGTCTCAGAGGAATAGCGGGCAAAGTCGTTGAAGGTGGACTCGGCGGCAGCCTGAGGGACCGGGGGAAGACCAGGGGCTGGGCGAGTCTCGGCAGAGGCCTGGGTCGAAGGGGGGAGGGAGGCACGAGGGGCGACAGGAGAGTGCTGGGGAGGCTGGGCGCGGGTCTCGGCCTCCTCGCGGTTCTCATCAATGTCCACGGCGTCACCGTTCAAGCCCATACTACCAAACTGCACAGCGGCGCGGTCCACAGCGTGGTTGCCGGGCATAACGACAGCCTGCTGTTGCTCCATAACACGACGCTGGAAGCCAGGGGCGCGGCTGCTCTGCTTCAATCCACTACCTGGGAGAGTGCTGGGGGGCGCCCGCGAAGGAGTAGCAGTCGCCGCAGCAGCCGGGTCAAAGGTGCTACCGACGGTGCTGGCAGCGGTTGCAGTAGGTGCAGGAGCGGACACATCAGGGATCTGCTCGAGATTTGTCTCGGTCAAATCATCCTTCAGAGGCTTCACATTCGTCTGGGGAATTGCAGGAATAGGAACTTCGGCAGGTTTGGCAACGGGCGTCTTCTGTGCGGCGGCGGGGACGGGGACAGGTTCGGGGGCCTTCTCCTCAACCACGGGCTCTGCAGCCTTTTCAGGTGCAGGAGCCGGAGCGGCCGTAGGAGGCTTCTTCTGTGGAGCAGGAGGGGGTTTGGCGAAGAGGCTTGCCCATCCCTTCTTTGTGCCTTCGGGGATCACACTGGTCTTGGGCTCGGTCGACTCTGAAGCTGCCACTGCGGGCTCACTGTCAACCTCTTCTCCCACCTGTGTCGCCACGATCTCGGCCGCCGGGGTAGTAGTGGTGGTGGTCGTGGTGGCTGTGGCCTCTGCGGGGATGGTCGCCGTGCGAGATCCGTTCGTAGTTTGGGCTCCTGCCCGGCCGCCGCGACCGGCACGACCCCGGTCTCCACGGGCACGTCCACGGCTCTCGAAACCGCCACGACCGCGGCCTGCGCGAATAGAAGCTGCAGTCGTCTCGGTCGAGGTGCTCTGGACTTCCTTCGCCTTAGGCCGGGTTCGGTCTGTGGTCTTCTTCTTGACCTCTCCCCACTGCGACACATTGCCTAGATTAAAGAAGACCCCGTCAGTAAAACTTGTCTGGAATTAAGGGGTGACTTGAGAGATCCCAAAACCATAAGGGGAGATAAAGGAGACACCGACCTTCGGTAATGCGCTCAATTGCTTCCTCGATCTCGCCGTTGGAGTCCTCAAGTGCGAACACGAGATCCTCGTCCTTCCAGTCGGGGAACAACTCCTTGAGAGTGGGCAGGGCGTCCGAGTATTTCTTCTTCATTTGTCCGATTTCACCCTCCTCGAATGGGGCAGGGTCTGAGCTGTCGGTGTTTGCGGATCTGCTGTTTCCACCACGGCCACCTCTGGAGCTATAGCCACCACGGCCACCCCGGGTGGATACTCTGCCGCGCGCAGACGATCGGCTCTGAACTTCGGACATGTTGTCAAATGGGTGTGTGAGATGAAAGAAGCGGAATAGGGAAGGAGGTCACGATGGTGTCGCAAGGGTTTCGTGGTAGGGAGGAAGGATCTGAACGGGAGAGAATGAGTCGGATGTACCCTCGTAAAAGAGGAACAGCACCAGGACCACAGGCACAGGGGCCAGAAAGAATCCAGAGACACAGGCAGGTAAGAAAAGCGAGATAATTGGGAAGGGGAGGAGGAGGGAAAGGCAGTTGAATGGGGAAGGCAAAAGCTAGGTTCTGATGTGTTGCTCGCAGTCGCAGCTGGTCTTGGCGCTGCCTGGCTTTTTAGCGAGTGGCGCCTATTGGTGCTGTCGCTCTCTCCCCCAGCAAGGCTGGCTCTTCATTTCCCCTCCCGCAACGGGGTAGATCTGGATCGACTGGCTTCTGCTACGTAATCCCTGATACCTTCCTCTATACCACTCATTTTTCTTCACTATCGAGGCCATTCCCCTGTCCTCAACTGGTTCGTGTTTGCTTTGTGTCTCCTCGTCATCCACTTTGGGCACCTCATCTTCCCTCACCGCCCACCCCTCGCGGCGATCTCCCATCAGGACGACCCCCTGTGCGTGCTCACGCCGACCGGCACTCACCAACCCGCGCCATGAAGGGTACGCCGATCTTCCAGTTCAGGCCGTGGCCGAAGATCCATCAGCCGTTGCCTCGGACACCACGAGAGTCCCAGCAACTCCTCAACGCCCTCACCTCGTCGTTCCGACGTCAGCTGGACCGCGCCTACCCGGCTCCGGCTCCCAGTATCTCCAATCCCAATGGCGATCGACAGCCCTTGAATACCGACTCCTCCGCTCATGCAACCGATAAGCACCTGCATAGGATCCTAGAAAACCCTTTGTTTCGCATTGTGCCCTCGAAAGCGAAGACACCCTCTCGTGATCATGCCACCCCATCAAACAGCAATGAATCCCAACACGCGATACAGGAACCTATGATCCTGTTCGACGAGGCTGTTGCCTCTGGATCTGCCACGGCACCATTTATCACAGAGTGCCTCAAATCACAACTGCTTCTTGCCCGAGCCTCCGGTGAGAATGGAGTGCGAGAAGCAATGAAGGCCACTCGGGCGGGCTCGAAGGTGGTCAACTGGTTCTGGGCTTCGGATGGTACTTCCAGGCAGATGCTTTTACAGACGCGGGCCTCGACGGGCTCCCTGACCAAGTTTATGGTTGCGGAGGGGCTGCAGAACACCGTGATGGGATGGCTGAGGATGCTCGGCAGCGGGGATCTTGGGGGCCACAATGGCCGGGTGACCGAAGAAAAAGCTCGCGTGTCCTTCAATCAACTTCTACAGGACTTGCTTGATGCTGAAATTCGCTACGGAGCTGGGCTCGGCTCGGCAATTAAGTACTACCTGCGTGCATGCCATCTGCACTTTTCCTCCGTCGAATCGCAGGGCGATCTGAAGGTCGCCAAATCAATGTTGCTCGCATCGGGCGCTCAACTGGCTCGTATCGTTATGGAGCAAAAACCCTCCGGTGATCAAGTCTCCGTGCATACCTACGAGGAATTCGCTGAGACCATCTCCACTTTGTCCTCGTCCCGGTCCTTATTGTTCTCTTCCGTGGCCCTCTGCCATCCGACTCATCCGGACCCAACACCTTTCATTCATTTTGTGGACAGTCTATCACCAAACAAATTCCAGAGGTGGAATGAGACTCGGCGGGATGCCTTTCTCAAAATTAGTTGTGATGCCCTCCGAACCTTGATTGACCGCGAGAAAATCCGACTTGCGACCAGCCTGGGGCAACAGATTCAACAACTACTCCCAGAGGAGACCGCTACTGCAAGCGTGGAAGGATCTCGCTCTCGCACCTCGGCCGAGGAGGATTATCTCCTGAACCGCTTGGATCTCAATTGGACCTGATGACTTGGCTGTAAACGCCTTTTCTACCAATTTGCCAAAAGTTTTGGCATATCTTCAACCCTTACCATATACGAGAATATCGGGATCTTTCTTGGATCAGGTGCACACCACAGGCAACCGAATTGCCTCACAGCTGGACAACTCCAACCAGCTGTAAATGCCATTGGGTTATTGGTACCAAACTTGTCGCCCTTTCTGATACACCAGGGCTCGGAGCGACGGTCAATACCTGGGGAAAAGAGGGAGGAAAGGGGTTCTATATCCTCGGTGTACAGCGGTGCGATGACGACGTTCGCACCCGGTACTCCGCACTCCGCACTACTCCACCCCGGCTGCGCCATCAGCGTTCATAGTTGGCGCCTCGTCTTGGCATTGCTTACATAGTACTTGATCCTCGAGCCCATACTGAAGCTTCCAGGATTCCTCGCTGCGAGAGAAAATTGGGAATGGAAGAGAACCAGCGATGGGGGTGTTTGTATATGGTTTAGGCCCTTTTCCCGTGGTGCGACAGTCCCCAACTGCGGACGAGGGTTGCAGGGGCGAATCAGCCCAGTTTGCGGATAAATGGGGTTAGCGCCTTCAGCTGCTCTTAGTAAACGTCACCACGCAACCTCATCTAACCCCCCAAAATCAACCGACTTCGTTCCAGCCTCGTTCTTCTCTAGTAAATCACCATTCTAGTGTGAATCGCAGTCGCATCCATCTCGCGATCTCAAATCCCCCGTGAACTCCCCACTTCGCATAGCACGTGTCTCTATCTGACATCATCGATCCACCATGGCCAGCGAAGGCTCTCACGTACAGAGCGCTCCCCAAACTACAGGTACGTTCTATGCAGCCTTGAAGGTGCATTTTCGAGATAATTGGGCTTTTTGGACCTTTTCAGCTCGATCCTTTGATTCCGGATGAGACCACAAGCGCTGCTAAGACTCCTCGTTCTTTAAGGTATATGCTGACTAAGACACAGCACCTGTTGCGCCAGCGCCTCCTGTGGTCAGCGAGCAGCCACAGCCAATTCACAATGTGTTGAACACGACTCAGACAGACAGCGAACCTAACTTGTTCGAGACAAAGGTTGGGGCAGGCACCGAAAACCCAGAAGCCCCCGAGCTGGAGGAGCAAGCCAAGCCCCCAGAGGCTCCGGCTACAACTCACCCGCCAGGCACCTCGGTTGCAGCTTCTGAGCTTGAAGCCCCGGTAGCAGCTCAGAAAGCTCCAGAGCCACCGAAAGAGGAACCAAACCCTGTCACCGAAGCGCCCGAGCCAGTTACGGAAACATCCAAGCCTGTGGCCGAGGCTCCTAAGCCAGTCACGCAGGCGCCAGAGACCGGCAAGAAGCGTGACCTTGACTCCAGGGCTAGCTCGTCTCCAGTTCTCGGAACGCCCCCCGTAGCCAAGCCTATCGCTGAGGAAGCCGACGAGCCCGAGGTCAAGAAGCAGAAGACGGACCAGGCACCTATCAAGGACACCAATGGTACGACCCCTACTACATCTGCTGCTCCTATTGCAACCACCTCCTCTGTCGCTCCTACAGCCGAAGCCAATGAGAAACCTAAAAAGGCCAGCCGTTCCAAGAAAGAGAAGATCAAGGATGCTGTGAAGAAGGTCATCTCGACCGATGGAATTGGCAGCCGCACTCGTAGCCGGACCAAAAATGCCTAGGGTTCAACAGGATTGGAGATATGGTTGCAAATGGGTCATATTCTTGCCCTTATATTTCTACCCGGGGTATGTGACTGCATTGCGATGTGTCTCCGATCTTCAGGATGTGACCAAAAAGCTTGTGACCCAAATCCGAGAAGGTCATATGACGAGTATGACATTTATCAAAAACAATTATTATATAATTACCACGCAGTGGAACGTGTAGTAGGTTGCACAGTACATCGTACAGCCGCCTACTCTCAAGACCACAGAAGCCAGAATCGCGTTCAGAACAATTTGCCCTACATTACCCGGCAGCGTCAGGCCGAGCCGATCGTCGGGCGCTGACTCATTTTGCCTCGGAACGGAACAACCGGCCCCGCTATCAGAGAGTGTGTCATTGGCAATAGAACATAATTTCAATCATTGCGATCTTTTCCATATACTCCCAATCTCTCACACATTCACAATGGCTGGACAGAAGATTTGGCTGCGCGCTGAGACTAAGCCCGCCGAGGCTCGGTCTGCTCGTAAGTGCCGCTGCCCCCTCCCCCACATTGGTCCAATGGCGTTGTTGACTCACAGGTTGCGATTGGCAGTGACCCCGACCACCTGCAAAGCATTGATGGATGCCGGGTATGAGGTGACTGTCGAGCGCTCTACCCAGCGTATTTTTGATGGTTTGTATTCCCCTCTCCTTGTTGGAAACGGCGCAATGGACAACGGACTAACAACCTTTGACAGATGACGAGTTCGCCCAGGTTTGCCCGCCTTCGCCCTTCTACCTCCTTCTACATGATCGCAGAGACACCTAACTTGTGTCAACGGCTATAGATTGGTGCTCCTCTCGTCGAAGAGGGCTCGTGGGTCAAAGATGCTCCCAAGGACGCAGTTGTCCTGGGTCTCAAGGAGCTGCCCGAGGATGACTTCCCGCTGGAGCACGTCCACGTTACTTTCGCCCACTGCTACAAGCAGCAGGGTGGCTGGGAGAAGGTTCTTAGCCGTTGGCCTCGTGGCAAGGGTCTTCTGCTGGACTTGGAGTTCCTCACTGACGAGGTTGGCCGCCGTGTTGCGGCGTTCGGTTTCTCGGCCGGTTATGCTGGCTCCGCATTGGCTATCAAGACTTGGGCTTGGCAATTGACTCACCCCGAGGGTGAGGTCCTCCCCGGTGAGACCCCTTATGCCAACCAGGACCTGCTTATTGCGTCGGTGAAGGAGAGCGTTGAGGCCGGTAAGAAAGTGGCCGGTCACTACCCCAGGATTCTTGTCATTGGATCGGTAAGTGTCTCCCTCGCTGAGTGATGAGTCTATACTAACGATTGTACAGCTTGGACGCTGTGGTAAGGGTGCTGTCCAGCTCGCCAAGGACGTTGGAATCCCCGATTCCAACATTATACAGTGGGATATGGCGGAGACCAAGAAGGGTTCGTTATTGCAATGGGCGAAAACAAAGAGGAATGGTTGACTAACCCCTGCACCAGGTGGCCCCTTCACTGAAATTGTTGAGAGTGACATTTTCGTCAAGTGAGTCCTCCATAATCATGAAGCTTGCCGCAGGGACTAATCATTTATCCACAGCTGCATTTACCTGAGCTCTCCTATTCCTCCATTTGTGAACGTTGAGACCCTGTCTGCCTCCAACCGGGCTCTGTCCGTTGTTTGCGACGTCAGCGCTGACACGTAAGTGATTTCTACGGTCTTGTGCACCTCCCACGGCAACCTAACGGGGATATTTCCACATCAGTACCAACCCCCACAACCCCATTCCGATCTACGACATCACCACCACCTTTGATAAGCCTACCGTGCCCGTCAAGCTGCCCGCTAGCACCCAGGGCCCGCCTCTCAGCGTGATCAGCATCGACCACCTGCCCTCTCTGCTTCCTCGCGAGAGCTCTGAGCAGTTCAGCGCAGCCCTTCTGCCTAGCCTTCTCCAGCTGAAGGACCGCAGCACTGCCCGTGTGTGGGCTCAGGCTGAGGACCTGTTCAATGAGAAGGTTGCTACTCTACCCGAGTCGCTGCGCCCTTAAGCTTGTCGCAGTCGTAATCGGGAATAGATATGAAGAGATATGACTTGATGGCACATTGATAGAATCCGGATTGAACTGGAAGCAGGGAATGTCATAAAAGTCTTTGAAGTCCATAGAGATCTTTCGGAAATGCCATGCATGCTGCCTAGCTCCAGGTAAACCCTCAGACCAGGTCACCACTATTTCGTGTTGAGGGATTGCGTATCTCAAGGCATTTTATGGAGTAATTGTAGTTCCCATCGTCTTCGTAAGGTTGATGTTGTCAATGCCCTTGGCTAGTGGGTGTGGTATTCGGTTGTTTTTGGATTGGCCCTCCGGGGAGCTCCGAGAAGCGGTACACGACCACCCGCAAAATTAGCTAAGAACAGGCTACCTAGTCGGAATCGACATTCAATGCCAGCAAGCATTGCGTCTCATCAGAGCATCTCCATCTGCTCTTCTGACTGATGTTTCCCCCGACGGTTCGTTCTGTGCGGTGTGGTGGGAACCCCAAGCTAATCATGTTGCTAGGGAGAGCCTACAGCAATGGGGTATATCACGAGATACACAGCCGAAGCAACGGGGGGACGACGTCTCCGGCAATCCCACCGCCACGTCCTCTACGCATCCCAGGCCACTCGACGCTATCGTTCAGATTCGATATCATTCTCCTCTGACGCCAATGCGGGGTCCTCATCTATAACGGACATCCGGAGGATCCGTCGCGGGGAGATGACTAAATGCAACGGCGGCTTGGCCAAAGACATGCCTTGGCCACCATTGGGCGGGGTGAAACCAATTCCAAAGATCATGAATAGCGCAGCCTGGAAGAACGGGCTCCAAGTGCGTCTTTGCGTCCTCGTCAACAGGCTCGCTGACTTGACCGGGTCGGAGTTTGCCCCGTTTGGTCCTTGGCTTGCTACCCACCGCAGCGCCCTTCGGTTGGGTTCAGATTGAATGCCCCGTCTCTTTCTCCGCATGAACCCTTCGGTCCACTCTCGCCTCCCCCCTCTGCCCCGGCCAAACCCGCTCCATCCTGCATAATTCTTCACGCCTCTTTTGGGTAAACGGGGATTTCGCAGCAAAGTTCCGGTATATAGTGGCTGCACCTCTTCACCCTCACTTCGGATCCTAGGCGCGTTTCCCGCCACCGTTACAACCAGTCCGAGGATGGGGCGCTGAAGTTGCTGAGCTGATTTTCCTCGGAATCACCACCTTACCACGAACCGTCATCTCCTCCCTCCACCTCCGCTTGCAGAGACACCAATGCAAGAAAAGCCGAGCACGGTGGCCGCCTATGCGGCTGGGGCCTCGCTCGCCGCGGTCGCTCTGTTTTATGTTTTCGGTCCCAACTACACTATCGATGGAGACGAGTCCAGCGACAGCAACCGCAAAAAGAGCATTGTGGGCTTGTCAAACCTGGCCAATGACTGCTTCATCAATTCGGTGCTGCAGGCCCTAGCAGGTCTGGGAGACCTCCGAGTGTACCTGATCCGCGAGCTCCATCGGCGCGAACTGAATGGACCAGAGATCTACAACGCGGTGCCGAGCCCGGATGAACTCTCGCGCGCGGAGCGGCCGGACAAATTGCGGGAATTGCAGCAGGGAATAATAACACGGGCATTGAAGGAGATGCTGGACCAGTTGAACGAGCGCCCGATTTATAAGAAGACCATTACGGCGCACGGGTTCATTCAAGCCCTGGAGTTCGCGTTCCGTACGCGCATCAGTCGCAACCAGCAAGACGCGCAGGAGTTTCTCCAGATTGTTCTGGAACGGCTCTGCGACGAGTACCACGCTGGAGTTCGCGCCCGGCAGCGCGCACTGGGCCCCATTGCCACGCCTGCTGGTTCTGGCGCGGTGGTGCCTGAGGCCAGCGCGGCCGAGAATGCGGCCGAGGTTGAGGTGCGAATCGATGATGGAACCCCCAATGGTTTACCTGCCATTATCGATAACAAGCTGAAGGAGATTGACACTGAAGCCGGGTTTCCGTTCGAGGGCAAGCTGGAATCGCAGATTGTGTGCCAGCATTGCCACTATCAATATAAGCCAAACCAAACCGCCTTTGTCAACATCACACTTCAGGTGCCACAGAAGAGCTCCACTACACTCAATTCATGCTTCGATGGCCTTTTGAAAACCGAGTATATCGACGATTTCCGATGTGATCGGTGCCGTTTGCAACATGCCGTGGATCTCAAGACGCAGGAGAAATCCAGAGCGGAGTCAAAAAGTGAAAAGGAACGATTCGACCTCGAAATTGCACGCATTCGGGAGGCATTGGAGACGGACCCCGAGAGTGAGCTGGAAGGAATTGTGATGCCACCATCAGAACTTTCCCCGAAGCGAAAGATTGCGCGGCACATGCGCATCGTATCCTTCCCAAAAGTTATTGCGATTCACCTCTCCCGGTCGATCTATGACCGCAACAGCTCCACTAAGAATGCGGCGAAGGTATCATTTCCGGAACAGCTGCCTCTGGGAGGGATCTTGAATCAGAAATGGTACAAGCTGCTGGCGATTGTCTGTCATAAGGGCAGTCACCACAGTGGTCACTATGAATCTTTCCGTCGCAATCATCTCTATGCTCCATTTTCGACGCCCGAGGCCTTCAGTTCCTACGCACAGAGCCGGGTTGCTAGCGAGAATCCCTCGGCGGCTCCGAGTCCGCGACTGGCTGCGCGTAGTATCCCCGATGGCGATATAGGAGGAGAAAGCGGCAGCATATCAGCGACGACCTCGTCCACCTCCCTATCAACTGTATCTCCGGGAGCCTCGCAGCTCACGCCTCCCATGCCACGTCCCGCGACCTCCAGCTCGCGATCCTCGACGCCTCAGCCAACTTCTGGCTCGGAAGGCAACAACAGCCCAACTCTCGAGCAAGGGTGGTTCAGCACATCGTCTGCCCCGCGCCCATCGCGGACTATCCCTCGGTCGTCAGGCGATATCCCCTCAGGGGTTAGTTCGCGGCTGCGACGCCGGCGCAAGCCCAATGATCGCTGGTGGCGGATTTCGGATGAGAAAGTTAAAGAATGCAAAACCTCGGACGTGCTGGGCATGCAAAAGGAGGTGTACCTTCTGTTTTACGAGAGGGAGCGGGCGGATTAAGTCTTGCGGCTGGCATTGGGCGGCTATGAGGCTTCGCCCTTTCCATTTTCCTTTGCCATTATCCCGGTCTGATTTCTTTTCTTTTCTCTTACTGTAGATGACCATGTCAAGTATATAAAACCACGTCTATTGAGTGCATTGGGCGGGAGGGCGAACAAGAGATGTGCTGTGAAGCGATATGTTGATAGCCGGCCTAGGGTGTGTGCATCTCCGGGACTTGAACTTCCCTACCCATGGCGATTAGAATAAGCAACTAGAATCCAGCTGGGAAATGGGAACCCTGGTGTGCGCTCGTGCACCACAATACGCAGGATTCACAACAACTGTTGCCCCACGGCCTGATGTCAGAGCAACCCGGTTGATCAGGAAAAGTGACGCAGATCCCGAACCCACCAGAGCGGGCTGAATAGAGGGCGAGGAGCCTATGTACGAAGAGCCAGGTTATAACTCCGTACACACTAGGCAGATCTCGCCTATGCGCTTGCCTCACAACCCTTCTAATCGCTGCCTCGCAGGGTTGGTCTCAGTCACCCAAAAGATGATGACTCCGGTCGTAACACGATTTGGGTGGCAAATTTGTAATAGCACACGAACAAAGATACATGAACACCTGCCTATACCTTCTCCAAGGTGCATAGTCTTTCAAGCATAGTATAGGACCAAGGAAACCAAGGTAATATAGCGCCAGCAGAGGTAGACTTGTGCGATTTCAGGAAGAACATGGAACTCAACACCCTGGAATTTCCCGACAAAGTAAGATTACTCCTTGTTAATAATCTCTGCAATCTACGGTACCCATATGAACCTTTCCACGTAATTGCCTATAGTCTACTCCGTACAATCTTGCAAATGGGGTCTGTGCTATTCAATCCCAGGGCCCCCACCCCCTCCATTTTTAAAAAGGACGATCCGACCTTAAACCAAGGACCTTTGACCACGGCGTACTATCAGCCGTGTGGTGGCGAAGTCTATGGCAAGGTTCTAGATGGGATTCAGTTGGCGATTCAGGGCATACCCAACGAGAACTCCTCGGCATATGGAGACCCTGTACAGTATGGTAGACGTACAGTCTACGACCGTGAAAGGACAAAGCAGTAGTCGGTAGGTAGGATGCTACCGCCGCGTGGAGGAGGGCCCACAGCTCATCCCGTTACATCTTCCACAGAAAGGGACGAGAAGATGAGCAAGATCAAGGGGACTGTGATTCGCGGGACGGGGTAAGTGATAGCTACTCGACTGGTTCTGCAGACGTCCGGGACTGTATACCACCACGTGACTGGGGAAGGCGGATGACGGACCAAAAGGCCTGGGAGCTCGACCGGGACCTTGACTACGGCAATGGGTGAACACTTCCGCTACCCTTAACGATGGCCCCCGGTTCGGGCGGAGGGACATGGGTCATAGTCGGGCCCTAACTTGTCAAATGGAATGCCCCATTTCAAACACGCCCGTGTTGGAGCGAAGCAAGGCGAAGCACGGCGAATTGGCCTCGGATTCCTCGGTTCCCCGCCGGCCGACGAACAAATTACGGAGAGGACGGAAGGATCGTGGATTAATTATTTTCAGCGCGTTTGTAACTCGGAATTGGTGCTTCGGGAGGTCTCGAGCTGCCAAGCGGGCGGCCGAGCTGCAGCTCGCCCCGGAACCCCTTGCCTCTGTAATTACTAGCGGTTGGTGTATCTGGCGGTCCAGAAGGAGCGTAGGATACCCCGCCAACGGAGCTCTGGCGATGTTCGCCGTGGCCCAGGCCGAGCATCGGGCTATCACGGGGAGTTCCGGGAGGGGAGCGACCGTCCCCTACATATAAGCTGGGACCGGCACATTAGATCATCGCCTAACCTTAGCAACTTCCCTCTGGCCTGAAATCATTGTGACCTCAGTCCGTTTCACTGGGCAGCTCCACCCGCACCGGTGAGTGCCTCACCGATGACGATTCTGCCCCTCCAAAACTTGCCCCTCCTATTTGCGGCTATTTAACTCTGCCCGCTTTCGTCGCCCGGTAAAGCGATTGCTTTTATAGCTGAGACCATTGGACTGACCCTTTTCTTCCCTTTCCCTCTCCCCAGGTCTATCACCATCGTTTCCTGTTTCAACCCATATCATTACCATCATCATCATGGGTGTCCTTGAGAAGCTGAGCCGCAAGTCCGGCGTCATCGTCGGTGACGACGTTCTCCGTCTCTTCGAGTACGCTCAGGAGAAGCAGTTTGCCATCCCCGCCATCGTAAGTTGATGCCCTGGATAATTCACCCCCTCTTCCCCCCCCTCCCCTTCCCCTGCCTCCCCCGCCCGGCAATGAAGACCTCAACAAGCTCACCATGCCTAGAACGTCACCTCCTCCTCCACCGTCGTCGCTGCCCTTGAGGCCGCTCGCGACCAGAAGTGCCCCATCGCCCTGCAGGTTTCCCAGGGTGGTGCCGCTTTCTTCGCTGGCAAGGGTGTCAGCAACGATGGCCAGAAGGCCTCCATTGCCGGCGCCATCGCCGCTGCTCACTACATCCGCGCCATTGCCCCCACTTACGGCATCCCCGTGGTCCTCCACACCGACCACTGCGCCAAGAAGCTCCTGCCCTGGCTCGATGGCATGCTCGATGAGGACGAGCGCTACTTCAAGCTCCACGGCGAGCCCCTCTTCTCCAGCCACATGATCGATCTGTCGGAGGAGCCCGTGGACTACAACATCTCCACCACCGCCGCCTACTTGAAGCGCGCCGCCCCCATGAAGCAGTGGCTCGAGATGGTACGTCTCATGTCTTCCCCCACCTTGGGCCTCCTGGCTCGGTGGCCCTTTTCTCGTGGGAATTCCTAGTGCTAACGCATCCGACAGGAGATCGGTATCACCGGTGGTGAGGAGGACGGCGTCAACAACGAGGACGTTGACAACAACTCCCTGTACACCCAGCCCGAGGACATCCTGGCCATCCACAACGCTCTGGCCCCCATCTCCCCCTACTTCTCCATTGCCGCTGGCTTCGGCAACGTGCACGGTGTGTACAAGCCCGGCAATGTCCGCCTGCACCCTGAGCTGCTCTCCAAGCACCAAGCCTACGTCAAGGAGAAGACCGGCTCGTCCAAGGACAAGCCCGTCTTCTTTGTCTTCCACGGTGGCTCCGGCTCCTCCAAGGAGGAGTACAAGGAGGCCATTAGCTACGGTGTCGTCAAGGTCAACGTCGACACTGACATGCAGTACGCCTACCTGGCCGGTGTTCGTGACTACGTCCTTGGCAAGAAGGATTACCTCATGACCATGGTCGGCAACCCCGACGGCGAGGACAAGCCCAACAAGAAGTACTTCGACCCCCGCGTGTGGGTCCGTGAGGGTGAGAAGACCATGAGCAAGCGCACCCAGGTTGCGCTTGAGGACTTCAACACCTCCAACAACCTGTAAAAAGGGGAGTTTCCTGCAGAAACGCACCATTGTTGGCTGGAAGGAGGCGATAGTCTTACTACCTGTGAAATCATTTATGGTGCCGAAAAATGGCGCGCGCCCGGGGATGTCGGCGTACCGGCTGTATGTAGCGATGTATTTCGACACGCTGTAATGAAATGAAATGTCCATATCACGGTCTTCGAACCGTCGGGAATCTGAAATCTATATTATCCTTCGAAAGCGTGCCGACGGAAGGTGTTTTGAAGGGACATGGGAAGGCATGAGGATACAGTGTCCCGCTATCGCCCTGCATTAGTTGGAACTCTAGGTTAACGCCGCGACGAGAATGGAGGCCATATGACTTCATCAGGAGGGGCAACGGCCGGGGGTGTTGTGACCTGCGTAGCTGTGTGGCGACGTGCCTGAGTGCCTGAGTGCCTGAGTGCCTGAGCGATCGAGGAATTGTCTTGAGCCCACCAGCAACAGCACGTAACTTGACGTAGTTGAGCCCTCTGCCGCTTATGTCGGTTGGACACCTCAAACCCAAGGCCATTAAATTCATTGGTGGCATTCTGGGAAATTAGAGGCACCGCACTTCTCAATTCCTCGTCAACTCCTCCATTGTTTCCTCTCGTGGAGTCCACTTATCCTCCACTTTGTCCACTCGCTCCACCTCTGTCCACCGTGTGTCAGCGTGACCCTGGGATGCTTGTTCCAAGGTTCCAGATGTTCCAGACTTCTCCCCAACGGGGCGCCTGATTGGACCGCTGAGAGCTAACCCAGTGCCCGTCTGCCAATAACGCGGTTGGGAATGGGTCTAGGAGGGGTATCAAACGTGTCGACCACGCCACCAGGTACATACTCTGCTGGGGAACACAGTGTTGACGCGCGATCACGGCTGGAGCCCGGCGACCACTGCTACGGCCATTGTTGGCGACCGGGGTGACATCGGTTTTTTCTTTCTTAGTGGCCGTGGATCAGCGTGGCCACCCTATCGCTATTGACTATCGATCACTTTGCCCGTCTAATCCTTCTAATAATAACCAGACTAAGCCAGTCTGGACCCCCTGGAACCCACTTTTCTTTCATTGCTGGGCTTGCTTGTCTCACATGTCCGTTGATCGTCCTCATTTTTCAGAGATCACACTAGTCTACTCTCGTTCGTTTCGTTCGTTGCGCTCGTTTTCTTCGCTTTTGTCCCTCCTTCCCCCCCGATCTGCGTGTCTGTCCCTTGACCTCATCTCAACTCTGTCAACATTCATGTCGATTTGTCATTCGTTTCTTCCGTGATCGCTCGGCTGGACACGATGGATCTGCGCCAGAGCCTACGGCTCCGCGATGACACGTCCGGGACCGATAAGTTCCTCTCGCTGATTTCGGATCCCTTTCACGCCGAGGTAGGTTGGATAATCACAGAGGATTGGACTCTACTGATCCCCGGGCAAAGTTCCAAGTTAGCGCTGTTTGGGCCTCGCTGGGCACCTCCATCGGCATCTCCCTCATCCTCGCCGTCCTCTTCTCCCTCTTCCGACCCCGTCACTCGCTCGTCTATGCGCCGAAGGTGAAGCATGCGGATCATAAACATGCTCCGCCCCCGGTGGGCAAGGGCTTCTTCTCTTGGATTAAGCCTGTCATCAACACTCGTGAGCCACAGCTCATCGAGACCGTCGGGCTGGACGCCGCGATCTTCCTACGCTTCACCAAAATGTGTCGCAACATTTTCATCCTGTTTAGCATCATCGGATGTCTGATCATGATTCCGGTCAATATTACGCAGAGCAATACTGCTTACTCGAGCGCACTGACGACGTTCAGCAAGATGACTCCGCTCTCCGTATTCAACCAGACCGCCATTTGGAGTCAGGTCGTGTGCGCCTGGTGCTTTGATATCATCCTCGCTTTCTTTTTGTGGAGAAACTACAAGGCGGTTCGGAATCTGCGACGGCAGTACTTCCAGAGCTCTGAATACCAGCGGAGTCTACACGCACGAACCTTGATGGTAACCGATATTCCTCCGTCCGACCGCTCCGACGAAGGCATTCTGCGGATCACGGATGAGGTCAATCCTACCGCAGCCCTCCCTCGGGCCGCTATTGGCCGCAATGTACGTGACTTGCCCATCATCATCAAGGAGCACGAGGAGAATGTCCGGCAGTTGGAGTCTGTCCTCGCCAAGTATCTCAAACGCCCCGATCATTTGCCTTCGAAACGGCCCACCATGCGCCCGCCTCGAAGCCAGCGAAGCAAGCACCCCAACGGCAGAGTGGACGCGATCGACTACCTGACGGTGCGCATCCGCGTGCTGGAGGAAGAAATCAAGCACGGACGGGCGTCAATTGATCGCCGCAATGCGATGCCGTATGGATTTGCTAGCTGGGAAAATATTGAGCATGCGCATGCTGTGGCATGGTCTGTTCGCAAGAAGCACCCGAAGGGCACCACTGTCGTGCTTGCACCTCGGCCGAGTGATCTCATTTGGGAGAACCTGCCTCTGTCTAAGCAGGCGCGCAAGTGGAAGCGGTTTCTCAACATCATCTGGGTCACCGCTCTGACTCTTGTCTGGATTGTTCCTAACGCTCTTATCGCGGTCTTCTTGTCCAACTTAAGTAACCTGGGCCTGGTTTGGCGGAAGTTTCAGACCTCACTCTCGGCTAACCCCAATGTCTGGGCCGCTGTCCAGGGTATCGCTTCTCCGGCAATCACCTCGCTCGTCTATCTGGTGCTGCCAATTATCTTCCGACGCCTCGCGATCCAGAGTGGTAGCAAGACGAAGACTTCCCGGGAGCGACATGTCCTGGGTCAATTGTATGCGTTCTTCATATTCAACAATCTGATCGTCTTCTCGCTTTTCTCGGCTGCATGGACCTTCGTCTCTGCCGTGATTGACAAGAGCAAGGAAGACGAGGACGCCTGGCAGGCTATTGTCGACAGCCAGCTATATGACAAGCTGATGAGTGCTTTGTGCAATGTTTCACCGTTCTGGGTCACTTATCTCCTGCAGCGCAACTTGGGCGCGACGATCGACCTTGTGCAGATGATCAGTTTGGCGTGGGTCTGGTTCGCCAAGACTTTTCTATCACCTACACCTCGTCAGTCGATCGAGTGGACTGCGCCGCCATCTTTCGACTACGCCAGCTACTACAACTACTTCCTCTTCTACGCGACTGTTGCATTTTGCTTCGCCACCCTTCAGCCTATTGTGCTACCGGTAACTGCGTTGTACTTCGGCGTCGATGCTATGCTGAAGAAATACTTGCTCATGTACGTGTTTGTGACCAAGAACGAGTCTGCCGGTGCTTTCTGGCGTGTTCTATTCAACCGTCTTGTTTTCGCCAGCATTCTTGCCAATGTCATAGTTGCGCTTGTCGCCAAGGTCCGGGGTACCTGGACCATGGTATTCTGCATTATGCCACTGCCGTTCTTGATGTTGGGCTTCAAGTTCTACTGCATGAGGACGTTCGACTCCGACATCGAGTACTACAACCGCGACAACCTCACCGATGCTGAGGCTATCGGTGCATCCAAAACTGGCAGGAAGGCTGGAGACCGCCTCAACTCCAAGTTCGGCCACCCAGCCCTCTACAAGCCGCTCACGACCCCCATGGTCCACGCCAAGGCCGCCGAAGCCCTCAGGAAGATCTACCAGGGCCGTCTCGACCACGGTGATATGGAGAATGAATACTCCGACATTGCCCTGAATCCCATGCTGGCCTCCCAACCGGGCAAGGCCGAGCCCGCTCCTTTCGAGGTTGTCCCGGAGAACCACTTGGATTTCTCGTACTTCAAGGACCGTGCCGACTTCCGCGACGAGTTCGGCGGCGGCATCTATGGCAGGCCAGAGGACCTGATGACCGAACGCTCTCAGACACCACGCAGTCACCTCGGTGGCGAATGGTCTCCCAGCTCCTCCCGCGCCTCCTCGCCCGCACCCTCTCTCCCGGCTATGTCGGGACTGAAGATGCACGAGGGTTACCAGGATCCCGAGCAAGGGCACATTCACCCAGCCTTCCGTGTCCCACTTTCACGGGGCGACAGCGGCAATGGTGTCTACCCGCCCGACGAAATCGAAACTCGCCTCCTCAGCCACGCACAAGCACCCGCTCAAACAGGTATGAACCCACTCGACCGCTGGCGAACCGGTGGCTACGGACCTGTCCACCAGGACGAAGATCCTCACCAGACCTCGTACGAAGCATACCGTGGGTCGCGGTAGAGGTCTACCGATCTACGATGATATCCTGTCGTTTCTCTTTCGGTGAAATCTATCTGTTTGTGCATATATCTGTCTCTTTACTGTCTCGTTTATTTTGGCGATCATTTTCTTTGTAGGCGATGGATGGCTGGTTGATGTCGGGAGAGGCCCATCTACATGCGGCTATTAGATACGAGATCACGATTTTTCTTTTGGCATTTTTAATCCTTCGCATTAAGCGGGATTTGTGAATATAGTGATATACTCAAGTGTACAAAAATTTACTTCTATCCATTCATTTCTTCCATATATTCTGATTTGATAGTAGAACCGGATACTACGTTAGAAAAGTTGTTTGCCCTCCAATTGTCCTATCTTTGTTATCGTCTATTCTGTAAACATCGTTGCCCAAACCACTCATCGTCCCTTCCATATCGTCTCTGTACCGACCCCAAAATCAGACTCAAAGAAGAAGCAGAAGGGAAAGGCGGTGGGGCGGGGAGCCATCGAAGAAAGGATGGCAGGATCTTTTCTAGGACCCCGGGCTATCCCACATTGATATCTCCGGTACTATATACGAGCTGCTTCTAACATCCCCACGCTACGGGACTATCAGCCAGACTAGGCTAATGAAAGAAACACAAGGCCAATCTTCCAGTTTTGCTCGCAAGTCCGACCAAAGACGCAGTTGCCCATGCCGGAGAGCAAGCCGTCTAACGCTGTGGACACTGTAGCGTATTGCTTAATTCCCGAGAAAGAAAGAATCGGAAAATTGTAAGTTTTCATTAGAAAATGATATAGAGCTTGGTCCATTGTACCGAGTATGGGCTGAGCAAGAAAATGAATAAGGGTATCGTTAAATGTACACAAATAATGCAAGCAATCTCATCACCCGTCGACCGATATCCCCGCATGTGGAATATCCAAATCAACCAAGAATTGCTCCGCAAGTCTCTTACTGCGCAGCTCCTGAATTTGTTTTCGTCGATCTGCAAGAGCAGCTTGTCGCTGCACCGCTCTGGCCGCCACTTTTTCTCGCTGCTGCGTCGTCTCCTCGCGAGCCTTCGTCAGCTCCTCCATTTGCTTCTGCCTCTCCTCTTCGTCACGTGAAAAGGCATAGAAGCCCGTTCCACGATTGCGCACCTCGGCGTCCGCGTCGTAGTGTACATGTTCCGGTTCAGGTGATAGGTCTCGCCGGGCTGCAAGGCGGGCCATCTGTGCCGCAATATTCACGTCTGGATTGAACGCTTCGGCTTGTATTGCCTCGCCATAGATCAGATTGTCTGGTCGCGAGGGTCGCCAACGTTCCTCTGTGGCTCGACCCCGATTCTCCTCTTCCTCTTTGGTGAGGGCAGCCTGAGCGGCTTCGGCCCTGGTGCCATGTCGAGTCCGACCAAACTCGTCTTCATAGGAGACGATGGACGCACTGTCGTCGTCCTCCTCTTCCTCCTCGGAACCATCCTTCTTCTTGCGCTGCTCAGCTGCCCATTTTGTATCGAAATCGACCAGTCCCCCCTTCTCCTTGCGTCGTAGCTGCGCTAGGTAGTCATGCCCTCCATCTTCGTCGCTACTGTCTCCCGTAAGGTGCACCCCTTTCTTCATGTCGTCGTACATGCGCACCTTCTTCGCCATCCGGTACTTGGATCGGTTCAGTGTGGCGTCATCGATCGCCCCGATGTCATGGCTGCGCTTGTGTACTTGTGAGACATGGTGGTCATCCTCTTGGAGATCGGCAGCGGCACGCTTCTCTGTGCCTTTGTTTTGCCTCGCGAAAAGGTCGCTTTTGGAGGCATTGGTTGGTCGTGAGCGGCCATGAGAGGCGGGGCCGGAGCCCTGGGCGATGAGGGAGGATAGTTGGCTTGTGAAAGCGAGGTTGGATGATGAGGTAATTTCCTGGTTTTTGGAGGATTTAGCACGGGGCTTTCCATACAGTGAGGACTGTTCGGAGGCCATGATGCAGCGCATACAGCTCCGCAAAAAAAAGGTTGGAAGGACGATGATGTTAAAAGGTCCAGACGAGACCTCGATAACAACTAGCGATAACGATAACCAGGTTAACAGGAACTTAGCCTGATTATCAAGGTGCAAATAGCTGACTCACCTGCTGACTTAGCGCGTGCCCCGCAGGCCCCGCGAGGTGACAAGCTCAAGGACCTTGACTCTCAATTCCTTTTGTTCTCTTATTACTGGCGAAGAAATTGTCGTTTGTCCAGCATTGTTAAACCTTGCGCAGTTCCCTATACCATTGGTTGTGAATATCCCCCAAGAGGCTTTTCCAATTTACCGTTTCGAAACCATCATGTCCGCCAGCCCTATCTATCTCGGCGTTGTTGGTAAGGATACCCTCCGCAATCTATTTTTCAATGCTTTCCTTGGGGATTGTCTCTAAGTGTCGTGTTTCTCCTTCTAGGTGTCGGTGGTGTTGGCACCGCATTCCTCTCTCAGCTTGCCCGCCTTCCCAATGCTCCTAAGCTTGTCCTCCTGGCCCGTTCTTCGCAGACCCTCCTCGCTCCGACACCGGCGTACTCACCGGCCATTCCCGCGGCCGACTGGGCAACCGCCGCCGCTGCCCCCTCTCTGAACAAGGCCGGCGCCCTGTCTGCCGAGGAGATTGCTACATATCTCGCTTCGGCCCCTGGACGCGCTATCCTGGTCGACAATACCTCTGACATCAACCTCGCCCGCCAGTACCCCACATTCCTGAAGAAAGGCGTTTCAATCGTGACTCCCAACAAGAAGGGCTTCTCTGATGACCTGTCTTTGTGGAAGGATATCTTCGCATCCGCTGCGGAGGGTAAGGCGCTCGTCTACCATGAGAGCACTGTAGGCGCTGGCCTGCCCGTGCTGTCGACTCTGAAGGACCTGGTTGCAACTGGCGATGAGGTTACTCGGATCGAGGGCGTATTCTCCGGTACTCTTTCTTTCCTGTTCAACACTTTCGCCCCGGCGTCTGGCTCTTCGAGCGCCCAGTGGAGTGCCGTTGTTGCCCAGGCCAAGGAGCTAGGCTACACTGAGCCTGATCCCCGTGATGACCTGAACGGCATGGATGTCGCGCGTAAGCTGACTATTCTGGCCCGTCTGGCTGGTCTGGAGATTTCTCGACCCGACTCTTTCCCTATTGAGTCTCTTATCCCCGCTGAGCTGGCCTCGCTTCCGTCTTCCGCGGACGGCATCACTCAGTTTATGAACCGCCTGCCTGATTTTGATGCTGAGATGGCCACGGTTAAGGCCACCGCTGAGAAGCAGGGCAAGGTCGTGCGCTATGTCGGCAGCATCGATGTTGCTGCGAAGGCCGTCAAGGTCGGGCTGCAGTACTTCGACAAGGATACCGCCATCGCTGGCCTGAAGGGCAGCGACAACATTATTAGCTTCTACACCAAGCGGTATGGTGCCAACCCGCTGATCGTGCAGGGTGCCGGTGCTGGTGGCGATGTCACTGCCATGGGCGTTTCAGCGGACCTGCTCAAGGTCGTGGAGCGCCTGCGCTAGTGGAAGTTCTGTGCCATGCAGAGTAAAAGTATTTAGATATCCAACGACTTCAAGCCCCTTTACGAAAAGAAATCACACGTCAGTGTCGAATGTAGTTAAACATTGTATAGTGTACGCAGCGTTCCCCTAGCACCGTAAGAATTCCTTCACGGCGTTCCCCCATACATCACCTCTCTTGTACGAGTGCATGGCCGGAACATTGCCTGTCTTTAGGCCATCAATGGCGAGAGCCAACTCCTCACCAAGGCCCTCATCCTTGATCTGCTGGATTGGATAAGTATACGTATGGAAAGCAAAGACCAGTGCCTTGGACTGGGGTAGTCGGTGCAGTGTCTGCCGCTCCACCCGCAAAACCGTCTTTCAACGTATGTTAGGCCAGCTTCATAGAATGATCTGGGCGCCCACGTACCTGATCAACTTTCAATTCTTCACCCGTTATTGGTTTTATGCTCTCTGCGCCATCACCATGCGAAGATTGATGGCCATGCACCCCGCCAAAAGCAGCAAATAATTGGGCCTCTGTCGTAACACTCCAGTTTACCCTCTTCACCGGCTTTCCCACTTGAACTCGAGCAAAGAATCGGTCCATACTCCGCTCAAGCTTCTCTGCATATCCAGGTACAGGCTTATGAATCTCCGCTAGGCGAAGACCTAGCTTCTCGCGTGGGTTAAAGCCGGACGGGAAACAGGTCGTGTAGGCCTGTAGGACATATTTTGGCGAATCGACGGAGGAAATCTCGGGTAGAAGAATTAAAAAGTCTTCGTCCACGGTTTGCATAAGTATTTCAAGTGCTCGGATCGTCGGTGTTTCTACCGAGAGGGATACCGGCCAGGTGTCGTGTGTAATGAGATTCTCAAACATCTCTTCCTTTGAATCTGCGTTCTGTCGCAACTGGAACATGCTTGGGTATCTGCTTGGAAGGTATGTGCCAAGCACGAATGTATACAGCTCACGTACTGCGGCACGTATGCGAGGGTCTTGGGTTGAGACATAATCAGGGTTCTCGTTGACTGCCACAACGATGTCATGGTATTGCTCGAGCAGTTCATTGCGCAATGCGAGCCGGTCTTTGTATGTCTTGTCCATTGGGATCAGTTCGGAAGGGTCCAGGGTCTCGAGAGCTAGAACCTTATCAGTAAATCTGTGCAATATCTGCATGCTTTGATATATTGGTTCATGATGCGAAGAGAAGGGCAGCATGGTGTGCCTCACCCATAGTCAGGTTATACCTCTCCCTCCCGCAGAACGGACGAAATTGCAAAGGTTCTGTCGCTTCCCAGTCGAAGTCCTTCAAAGGCATCACGGCCGGCTTCCTAGGAGCAGCTTCTAGTGGCGCAGTGTCGAACCTCTGAGACAGACGGGGACGTCGGGACCATCGCCAGGTCCACAGGCATAGGCCCACGAGCAAAACTCCCACTGATAACGGAGATGCGAAAGACGAAGGCCATAGGGCGCTCTGGCCGAGGACTATATCGCGCTTCACGTGCATAGCAGCAGCTGAAGCCTGGTAAGCGTACGGGGAACTGATGGCTAGGGAACTGGATCGCAAGCACGATTCTACCCGAGGATGCGCCAGGAGAGGAACCGGTCAACCTTATCTGAACAATTGCTCGTTCTCCGCACAGACTCCGCAGAGGGGTAGCTCTCCAACGGGTTATCTCCGTGTGCTTTGGTCGCTCTCCGCTTTCCACTGACGGGGCCATCCGACTCGCGGAACCACGGTCTTATCAGTTGGCACCGGACTATAGAAGAATCATAAAATATATTAACGGCAAAAATGGGATCTTAGTAAAACCTCCAGACAGTCCAGATCGAGGATGTCGACCTTATCCACCCCATACAAAGACTGCCGACACAGGTATCCCCAGCAGACCAGATCAACACCGAACACCGGCCACGGCAGAAGGCCCGCAAACAGACCATAGGCTGTGTAAAATCAGACCGAAAACACCATAGTTAAGCCCTGGAGGCCAAGACACTCAAGCCCGTCCGAGTCTCCGGCGCTTCACATCTCCATCTGTGTCGGCATGAGCCCGCCCATCCACAGCAGGAGCTATATTCTCCTTCTCGGCATCCCTACCCCTCTCTGCAGCCTGGTGTTCTGACATGTCGCTTTTCTTGCCTTGATCGCTATCGCCAGCATCTGTCTCCACACCGCGCAACCCGAATGCCCGCCGTTGTCCGTCCGGCCGTTCCTGCAAGCTTGGTGCGCGAGGGCGCTGCTGACCACGTGCGCGCCCTCCGATCCACGGGAACTCCCAGAGGACCATTCGATAGAGGTAGAATCCGGCGTCGAAGACGATGAGGACGGCCCAGGGGACAATGGTGATAAGGCCTAGGAAGATCTGTTGGAGGTATGGAAGTTAGCAAGGCTGTTTAGACAAGGTTATACTCTTCTCACAGATGGCAAAGAAGATATTAGTGAGCATACAAAAATCCGAACTGCCCAGGTCTCGAACAGGGTGAGCTGCGGCGGGAGAAGGGAGTACCATGCCATGGTATACTGATGCCTTGATAGTTCCCTGGGTAGCTGGGGCTGTAGTTGTCCTTTGGGAAGCTGACAAGAGTCTTTAGTGTCTTGCCTTCTCACGGGCTCTGCAAGCCAGTGACTCCTTCACAAGCCTAATGTCTCTGCTATCGGCGCCGTTCTGCGGGTCCGTGTGGTGCTGTACTGCCCACTCCCCATAATCCGGGGTTATACGACGAACTGCCGGGGCAGTGGGTGGATGTCCGCAGAGCAGCGAGCGGTATATGAAATAGGGCGCTGCGAGGTCCAGGCTGTGGTGTATCAGTTCCAGAGATTGCAACCCCTCCCCGCACGGTCCCTCCGGCCTGGAGCCCGGGGAAGGAAAGGGTATCCGGAGTCGTTGAGCTGCGGAGGATGAAGGCGGTGTCGGGGCCGAGGCAGCTTGAAGTGCGGCCACTGTGGGAGATCCGGCAGTCGTCTCTAGCGAAGTCGAACGATGGAGAGACTGGGAGGTTTCAGCACGAAGCTCGCGGTCGATGCTAGGAAGCAAATGGAGCCAGGAACGGGTGGAGCAGGGCGGCCGGCAGAACAGACGAGAGTCGCCGACTGGGGCAGTCGTCCTAATTAGGCAATTTATAAGCAGTTCCTTCCGACATCAGCAAGGAATAGACCTTGCTTTTCTAGTGCCCCGTGTATGATGGTCGCTTTGGATGGTAGAGAATACACGTATATACCGAACTTCATAACTGTCTATCGCAAGGTGATTATCCAAGAAGCAGTCGGTGTGGATAAAATGAAAGGTAGAACAGGGAAGAAGTAGTCGAATGCGGAATCGACCCCAAGGCTTGATAGGTACATTTCTACCTAGGAAATAAATTGCATTATATACTGTGAGCATTCGACAGCGCCAGATCCGCTAGTTCGTGGTCTAATCGCGGGAGCCAAACGCCAGGAGCCGGCCATCGGACGAGAAGGCCACCGACTAAAGCGGGTATGAATAGCTCTCGGGCGTCTTCTATAATCGGGACTGTTAAGCAGCATAGCTTCGTTCTTTGTCGGAGAGTCGAGAATATTCACACTCAATCTCTTTCAGCGATAGATATTGATGTTGCTGGAACCATTTGGTCAAACTTTCGACCTCTACATACTTAGTAATTTCAACTTCCTGTGGTTTAGCAAAGAATGAGAAAAATGGCAAGTAATGTCATTACGAAGCTAACCGGCACTCCACCCATAGTCCCAGCCACGATCTAATTATGACCCTCGGGCATCAAGGCAAATCCAAACGCGACTAAATACCAATGGGCCCGCCACGAGAAGCACAAAAACACCCCAATCCAATTTTTGATCTTGCTCATGACAATCATACCAGCATAAACTCATCAGTCATAAAGAGGGCTTGATAGAAGGTTGCATAGGGCACGGAAGCCTAGGGGACGGCAATGTATTCGCGCTGGTATTTCGCCGCTAGGGCTTCCATTTGATCCAAAAAGTCATCGGCATCTATATCGGATTTGATCAGTCTGGCGTGGTATATTTTAGATGAATAAAATAAATATACCTTCGGGAGTCGCGAACTTCAGCACATGCTCGCCGCGATTGGTCTGCGGTGGCGTATAGTCGTCCGCCGACATCAAAACAATAGGCTTTAGATCGCGAACTATCACGGTTCGGTCGTCGATAATACGCAGCCAGCGGCGTCGGCCAAGGTGGGGTGTAACGAAGGCAGTCCAGACGGGGGTGCTGCAATTGGTTCAGGTAGCAGGTTAGAGATCAGTCCTAAGAGCAGAGCTTTGTGCGCAACTTACTGGTCCATGTCCCCCTTGTGGACGGATGCCTGGAGTCGTACAGCCTTGGTTACTTTGTCACGGTACACACGCAGAGCGTGCGGGTAGTCGTCGTCAAATATTTGACTAGTTGCGGTCAAAACGAATGCTTCTGCTGCGGGTGGGATCCGCGATCAACTCACCCGCCATAAATTTCTCGTTCGCCATCTAACTCATAGTCACGGATGTTGACCACCGGATGACCGGCGTCTTGAGAGCGGAGTGCTAAGAACGCAACGTAGAATGCAACCATGCCTAGTGTTCGCCATGTGGTTAGATTAAGTCCCATCAGCTCAACTGTCCCGGTCTTGGTAGCACGTACTCTCGATTGTTGTGAATTGAATACTAGCCCACAAAATAAGCTCACTTCCACCATTGCGCCTCCGGCACAGCTGGAGACACGACCCATCTCGGATAACTTCCAACAAATTTAGAGGCATACAAAAGTAGTCGCTCGGGCGGGATCTGTGGGGAACCTTGCACACAATACGGACGCGATGGTCTCTTTCCCGTAGATAGAAGTATACGGTCATGTTCGAGTCGTCGTTGAAGGCTCTGTGGGACTTTGTTAGGTATGGAACCTCTTATCAATAGGGAGGAGCCTCACAACTGCAAAAGCAGCTCAAATCCTTGGTCCCGAAGCCATGGTTTAATCCCAGCATGCGGGTCGCCAAAACATCCGGCCCTAGAATGCACCGATAAATTAGCAAACTAAAGAGACGGGCCGTAACGGGTTGCCAAGCTATGCTCACACTTCCCGCCCTGTGGGGATTGGGGTCTCGGTCTCGTGGGTCGAGAAGACTTCTTTGATCCAGTGGTACTGAATGGCATCCGAGTGGGTCGATTGGCTGGTGTTGGTTGCAGATGTAGATCCCAGCGGCGAGCTCGGCACTTCGGGGACAGACGGGGGGAAATCAGAGAAGGTAGCGGACGAGGGCGACGGCGACGTAGGGGAGAGATGCGGCGGACGAGAACGCTCGTAAGACCGTTGACGCAGTGGCGGTCGACGGTCACTCCTGGGACTCGGTAGATCCGTGCTGGTGCTGGTGCTGCTCGTCGACGGCGGGTTGCGACCCAGAGACAGGCGGCCGAGTCGCGGAGCCAGGCGCTTGTCCTGTTCCGCGAGTAACGCCTTCATGCCATTTCGATACCCTGTGAGGAGAGGGGATTCGTGGCGTAGGCTACATGAGCTGGTCAGTACATCTTCATAGATCCGCTTTGGATAACTGGATGATCATCTTTGCGGGGATTGCTTACTCTTTCACCGAGTCGCCGAGTTCCCGGAGGAATGTTTTATATTTCGCCAAGCGCGTGCCTAGGGAGTACTGGGACTCATTCCAGAAAAACTTGTCTATAGCCAGCCAGGTTCGCTGATACGTGTCCGGCGAGGCCCTACCGCCATCCAAGCGGTTGAAGAAATCCAAGATATCCTCGACAGTGTACTTCAGACTCGAGCGCACCAGTTCCACATCTGGCTGGGCAAGCGCCCATCTACGGCGATAGCGCGAATCCTTGGAGAGGTCGTCCAGGCTCGACAGTGATGAACTGAGGGCGTAGAAATCCGAGATCAGACTGGTGATCTCCGTCGAGTGTTCGGGAAGAGGGGTACGGAAAGTGCTGAAGCCGTCCGCGGCGTGCTCAGCCTCCTCGGCAGACGTGCGCAGGGCCATGAGCGCGTCAGGCCATACGAGGATTGCAATTCGGAGCTCGCAGAGTGGGGGATACGAGGTTCAGCCTGGGAGAAGGGTAGTGCCAGCCCTCTCACGTGCAATGCGGCTCTTTTATTTGTTCGTCTAGCGTTCTTGACGTGGTCGCGCGGGAATGGCGGGGCTCGGTGGGGTAAGGGAATAATCAGCCAGCGTGTGTGAGCCGTGAGCTGTGGCCTGCAAGCCTGCAAGGGGATCCGACAAGGGCATTGTCGAGTGTTTCAACCCATCGTCACTAGATGGGTCGTGTTTCCATGGTTCTCTCCACGGGCCGGCCAGCAGTGGATGGTCCCCACACTTTGGGAACCCGCGCAGACTCCGGAATGGATGGGAACAGAGAGATAGCAAAAGGAGGAAAAGATTGACGGTCCAGTTGAGAACATCGCCTCCATATAATGAGAGTAGACGGTAAATTTGACGACATGAGCACAGTTAAACAGCGGGGAGAGAGGGAGGTCGTTGGGCCAATCCAGCGTGGGTGGAGGGGGTTGGAGGTGGAAAGTAGAAAAGACCAAAAGACCAAAAGTGACGTGCACCCGCCTGGGAAAGTGCAGATACTTTTATAAATGCACGAGCCAACAATTGATTCACAAAAGCAATTATTTTGCTGCCTGCCTAGCCCCATCCTCCCATCTTCGTATCTGGGGTGGAGGCTGTGCAGTGCACTATTAAAGTATACATGTTGGGGGTCGGGAGGCTCGGGACCGGGCGTTTGTGTCTCAGGCCATGGGCTCCTCTTCTCTTCAGCAGCATCTCTACTAATCTATCTGGATATCTTACGAGGTAGAGATTCACTTGTATATACACACTTACAATGCTCTCTTTTAGGAAGACCATCTCGCGGTTTCCCAAGTCATGGTTCGGACTGATACGAGGCCTTTTGCACCCAGCAAGACGAATAACCATTATTCTCGAACTTGTACTCATATCTCAAATAAAACCATGTACTGAATTCGAACGATGTTGATTGAGCACTGGAGGAAGCGCAGCCCAGGGCCGTAGTCAGGCAACGGTACAGCAAACCACAAGCAAAGAAGTGTATATACACCAACGCTTGGGCAAAGAGAGAGAAGTGACAAAAAAACGCGTAGAATGCACCGCAAAATCCTACTCACACATGACATTTGACCCCGCCCCCCATGGCCCCGGTGTAGCGCACCGTGTGTCTGCGGATCTGCTTTCCAATCCCCAGTGCTTCCCAAATTGTGGAAATCACCTGATGAGACTGGCCTTCAAGCTAATAAGAAGAGGAAAGTCTCCTTCTGATGAAACAGAACGTGTTGAAAACGAGTGTAGCTAGTAAGAAAGGCAAGATATCTCGATCAGCTTTTTCGTCCCCATCTCCTAGCTTCTCAATACCTATACCTTGACCGCGGTCTATTTACTTATCTTATTGGTTGCTTCAGCTGCAGCGAAATCCCCGCAAAAAAGGTTCCAATGGCGGCTTTTTTGGGAAACTCAAGTTTCCCTAATTCGATGGCTTAGCTGAGCGCAGCGAAATTGGAATAGCAGTATCGTCATCGGTGACATTCCACAGCAGGGCATAGACGCCGCCGTCGGACGAAGCCCGAACAAAGAAGCTGGAAGAGATGTCCCCGGATTTTGTCTCAACCATTACCCACTGTCCGTAGAAAATAAACCCAGTAGTGGTCTCGTTAGACACGGCCTTGGAGGTGAAGCCCATCTGGCGCGAAGAGGATGACGAGCTTGGGATGTACAGCATCTCATCGGACCAGCTGGCATCGGTTTTGGTAATAGTGGTGCTATTTGGGTTTGCGATCCACTCGTTGGAACCAGATGAACGCTTGACTAGAGTTTGTTAGTTCTGCAGACGGGCAGATGGTGAATGGGTGATGGAAGTTGAACTCACAGGAGACCGGGACGGCGGAGGACGATGTCGAATTGGATGGGTCACCGATGAAAGCCTTGCCTGTCGCAATTGATTAGCCCAGATATTCTTATTATGCAGTATTAGTAGTTGAATGTTCAAAATACCGTCCGCATAGAAAAGCGAAAGCCCACCGACAGAGTCACCGTAGGCATATAAGCCAAAATTCTTGTCAACTTCGGGGGCAGCGCGAGGCACAAAGCCATAGGCGGATGCCAAAAGACACAGAATAGCACCGGGAATCAAATGACGAAGCATGCTGATGAAATAGGACAGGACGGTATAGACTGCAAGAAGATGCGCCAGCTGAATGTCGAGCTTCACTTCGTGTTTCGCTGCAAGTGCTAGCTCTATATACGACGACTACATTCCCGCGGCGACATCCAAAAACAACATTCAACTTACTCAGGGGCCAAGACGGCTTCTGGAGTCTGTCAGGCTACCATAGCGGTCTGACTACACTGGTTTTGACTTCTTGAACAATATTGGCTGCAGAACGTTCGCTCTAGGTGTTCGTGAACTCCACTTTCCGGGGCCGCGTACCGGGCTGACGTCGGTGCCGCTGTATGTGCGGGTACTAGAGGAAGCTCTCGACTCGCTTAGCTCTAAAGTGTGGAGGTCGTTCCAGACTTGTTTGAGCTTTGGAAGACCATTTGTTGATTTTTGCAGTGGGAGGAGTTTAGCTCTTGATTCTATTCTGTCTCGATTGACTCTCTCATGGTACTCGCCAAGCTATAGTCCAATGTCTAGTGCAATCATCGTGTTAGTCATGGTTATCAAGCTCTAGTTTTACGTTCGAACGCTCGTTCCGATAGGATCAAGTCAGTAAATTAGTTTCAGTATACCGACCCCATACTTGCCTCTCCGGCTTAATCCGTGCCACGCAATGTGCCCGCTTTGAAGCATATCCCAAGCCCCAGGGCTGACGCCAGGGCCTGACGCGAACCGCTCCAGTTTTGATACCAGTTTTGATACCAGATTCCCTGGTTGTCGGCGAACCAACAATGGGGTCAACAATAATTAACCAATAGAAGCTCACTGGGGCATCCGTTCAGGTTTCTGGTTGCGTGGCGGTGATTATGCGTCCGATCTATTGAACGTACCCGGCGCCATCTAGTCCAATGAGGAACAGAAGACTCCCATTCCCTTTGATCCATTTTCTCGCATAACAAAGCACCTGGCTTGCATAAGCAAGCCGAGAGCATTACCGAGAATAAACCTATCCGGGCTCATAAAGTACGGTATGGTGTTCATGAAGAGCGCTTCGTCATCTTGACTCTTCTTGTGTAACGGCTTCAAACATAATAGATATTTCTGTTTCCTTCTATTCTTTCTATGTTCACTCTTCCTTTTTCATTTCCCTTGTTTTTACAGCTTCTTAATCACCTCTCGTTTTGCCATAAGCTACTATGAAGGCCACATCACTCGTTCTTAGCTTGATTGGGGCGAGTGCAGCCGCTTCCTTACATCGCCAGCCTCTCCCTCCAAAACTCAAACGAGATATCTGCTCTGGTAATACCGCCAGTAACAGAAAAGCTTGGTGCAATTACGACGCGAGCACCAATTACTACGACATTGTTCCCAACACCGGTGTGACCAGGGAATACTACTTCGATATTCAAGAGGTTACGGTTGCCCCGGATGGATACTCTCGGACTGCGATGGCCATCAATGGCTCCATCCCGGGCCCTACCATCCAGGCTGACTGGGGCGACCATGTTATTGTGCATGTTACCAACAGCCTCGCCTCGGCAAAGAACGGATCTAGCATCCACTTCCATGGCATTCGTCAGAACTATACGAACCCCAATGATGGTATTGTCTCAATCACTCAGTGTCCGACGGCACCGGGTAAAACCGCTACCTACAAATGGCGCGCCACGCAGTATGGCTCGTCGTGGTATCACTCTCACATCGGGCTCCAGGCCTATGAGGGTGTTTTCGGTGGCATCGTGATCAATGGGCCGGCCACTGAGGACTACGATGTCGACAGGGGCATCCTGTTTCTAAATGACTGGAGTCACCAGACCGTTGATGAACTGTATGATTCTGCTCAGGCGAGTGGGCCGCCCACCCTGGATAACGGTCTGATCAACGGCACGAATGTTTACGGCGATGATAACTCGGCCAGTCAGACGGGGTACCGCTTCAACACGTCGGTTACTGCTGGTACGTCGTACCGCTTCCGTCTGGTGAATGCTGCGGTTGATACGCATTTCAAGTTCTCTATGGACAATCACACGCTTACTGTGATGGCAATGGACTTGGTTCCTATTGAACCTTTCAATACTACTGTTCTGAGCATTGGCATGGGTATGGTTACATTGCGGCCTTAGCTTTGGATTAGATCGTTCGGCTCACTCTTCGCCGATACAGGTCAACGGTATGACATTGTCGTTAAAGCAGACCAGTCCACAAGCGGTGATAGCTACTGGATGCGTGCCATTCCCCAAGAGGCCTGTTCCGACAATGACAGCGTGAATAATATCAAGGGCGTTGTGTACTACGGCAGCTCACCATCAACCCCTACCACAACAAAATACTCGTACACCGACAGTTGCGACGACATGGATATGTCCGATCTTGTCCCTTACCTGTCCCAGAGCGCCTCTCTCCCCTACTACAACGCAAGCGAGCCTGTCACTCTGGGGGAGAACTCCGAGAATCTCTTCCGCTGGAAGATGAATGGCACCTCGAAGTTGGTGGAGTGGAACAATCCCACTCTGCTTCAAATTTGGAACAACGACACCAGCTTCACAAACTCGAGCGGCGTGGTGGAGCTGCCCCGCGCCAATGAGTGGTCGTACATTGTGATCGAGACCACGCTCACCGTGCCGCACCCTATCCACCTGCACGGTCATGACTTCTTTGTCCTGGCACAGGGCTCTGGTACCTACAGTGGCTCCTCGGACATCACTTCCCTGACGAACCCACCGCGTCGCGACGTGGCTATGCTGCCTAGCTCGGGGTATCTGGTGGTGGCGTTCAAGACAGATAACCCTGGCACATGGCTGATGCACTGTCACATTGGCTGGCACACGGAAGAGGGCTTTGCCATCCAGTTCCTGGAGCGGTATGAGGAGGCGCGGAAGTTAATCGACTATAGCACCCTCCACTCTGGGTGCAAGGCATGGGATGAGTACGTGGAAGAGAGCGTTATTGAGCAGGAAGATGATGGCATTTGAAGGGAGTTCTCTTAGGTAGAGCTTCTGTGTATAGCATGCCCCCCTTCTCGGAGTCGACCTGATAGACTGTAGAATTGATAGGGAGTTTTCCGGTGCCTTGACTGGGGCGTATTCAGTTAGATAGAGCCAAATGAGACGATGCAACAAGAGACCCAGGCGCTATGTGTTTTCCTCCCCCCCCCCCAAAGCTACAAGTTCCCTTCTTAGTCGACCGCAGATGTATACTTCGGTGCACAAGGAGAGAGATATATATGCTGCCCGACTCGAGTCTAACAAAGGGCTGTTTCGGAACGCGATATTCGATAGACTCAAGTCAAAGGGGGGCGCTTGTATGCTCCGAATAGCCACCGACTCGACCCTTGAAGCCACCGGTGGGGTACTCAGTGTGCTACTAACAATAGGTTGCTATCGTGTCGCCAGGCACCATATTTTGGCCTCAGGCCGTTATCGGAGATCCCCCGGACGCGTTGGGGTAAACAAACGGGGCCGCGGGAGCTTGGGAGCTTGGGCCAACTCCGGCGTCCCGGGGGCAGGAGGGTTCAACGTGGGCACGGAGTTGATCAAGTAGAGGCCAATTAGCTTGTGAAGACTCAGGATCTTTGAAGTTCACTACGTGAGAAGAATTCCAGGGAGATAGTAGCATTAATCAGACTAGGGTCCATTAGACGGGGCTTGCATCGGAATCCAGCAAAGCACCGTATGCAGGCCATCCCAAAGCATCGCGTCCAGTCACCAACACCGACTTAGCAAGAGCAAAATCGAGGTCCCCGGGACAGCTGTGAGAAGCAGCAGAGATGCAGCCTGCGAGACTAGCTATAGCCCCTACAAAACACTAAGCCCATTGGCCGGGGCCATCATAAAAAGCAAGTAAGAACCACCGTAGAGACCATTCCGTAAGACCCATGAGTGATAAACGCAAAAGAGAAAACCGAAGAGAGTCCGCGAAAATAAACACAAACGCCAGCAGCTGCGCAAATCAGATTTGCGGCGGGGCGTTTAGGAGGACTCATCCTCTTCCTCGGCCTGCTGGGGGGTTGTTAGTACGAGAGCTCACTTGTGGCGCGAAGGCGCGAGAGGGAAGGAGGCGGGCGGAGGAACTTACAGCAGCGTACTTGGCCTTCTCCTCTTCATAGCGCTTCTTGTCAGCGGCGGCCTTGGCGTCGTAGGGCTTGCGCTCGGTCTCGGTGAGAGCCTTCCACTTGTCACCAAGCATCTTGCCGACCTGGCCTGTATGGGGTGTAAGCCGAGATGACAGGTTGAGAGAAGCGGAGCACATGGTGGTACTTACCGAACGTGATTCCGGGGTTCTCCTCGCGGACCTTGTCGCGGTTGTCGTTGGCGAAGAACATGTAAGCGGACAGACCACGCTTGGGGGCGTTGGGGTCTGCCGGAGCAGGTTAGGGTCGACGAACGTGAAGGCAGGCCAATTCATACGAGTAGGGGACGACTTACCCTTCTTGCGGCGAGTGACACGCTCCTTGGCGCCCTTGCGAGTAGTCTTCTCCTTAGGCATGTTGACTGGGAAAGGAGGTTAGCGTCGGTCGGGGTGAAGATGTGATTGGGGTCAATGGCGCTCGGAGAAGCGAAAGAAGGGGAAAGAAAGCAGGAAAGAGTTGGGTGACAACAGGCGACAGTGACGCGACAAGAACAAGGGCAGAGATGCTGAGTTGGGGGAGGGGGCTTTTGCTGTGGTGGGTAGCTGGTACCGGGACGCGACTATGTAAAAGTGCGCCCGAGGCCCTCGCTTGACCAACTCACGACGAAAAGAAATGGTGCTTACTTTGTTTGAAAGCGGTTGTGAGTTAGACTGAAATAAATCAGATCAGAGCGAATCTAATAGCGTGGCAGTCGCGTTAGTGGTGGTGTCCAAATAAATCATAAGTTGCGACGCAGCGCGACCGCGACCGCGGTCGCGCGAGGGAAGAAAAAAGCATTGATGAGGACAGGAAGACAGAATCAAGGTCGATGAGAATAAAAAAAAAAGGTGGTGGTGGTAGTGGTGGTGGTTGTGTTGAGGATCGGGGCCAGAAGCGGGATATAGAAATGGGGGATATGCAGTACCTGACTTGTATGGGCAGATAGTGTATGGGAGCGGTTGGTAGTGTAGAAAGATGGGAGAGAGAGGAGAGGGGGGAGGGCAGTAGTAGTAGGAGGGCGGGCTCTCTGACTACCGGACTACTGTGGGAAGGGAAAGCGTGGAAAGGGTGGGCAGCACAGAGCAAGGGCAGCCCGCTGTTTGCTGACTGGCTGGAGAATGTAACGCTTGGTCTGGTATCGTTACTGCACTGGTAACTTTCTGGTGAAAGCTGGGCTGGCGCCCAGGCTCTGCCCTTTTTCATGACCGTCTTGGGCTCCTAAATCCAGCCATTTTGGAGCCATTTTTTCACATCGGCCCCTTCTGCGGTCTCTTTATCTTGGATGATTTTTTTTGTTTTGATTCGATGATGGCCCTCAAGTAAACACCTTCTGAGACCATACCAAACGGTAACATACTTGGGCCATCACACAGTGGAGAATTACGCCTTGATCCATTCCCCTAAAACCGCGCACCCGTCGTACCGAGTACGCGGTACAGCATAGTAAAGTGATCTCCCAAGCAAGTACCCAGTACCTGCTAATACGCGTTCCCTGATACTGGGCCGTCCATCTTAGGGGTTGCTGACCCCCCGGCAACCCTTCGCCCAGAGCACAAATGCGCAACTCAGATCAATGATTATGATACAATTCACAATTTACGATGAAACCATTTTCTTCTGATCCTGTCATCTTCAGAAGGAAGATTCAAGTTCAGAATCGAGCCGAAAAATAATCATAGCCAATGCAGATATGAGAATGCAAAGACATAAGCTCCCAAATATTGCGTGTCACTCAGTCGCAGCCTGCTCAACACAACGCCTCTTTTGCCAACGTCCGCTTGCGCTGCGTCGGAGAAAGGTTGCGCGGTGGCCTTAGCGAAGGCATCGCGATCGCACAATGGCTTGGCTGGACTGGCCATAAGTCCGAGACGATACGGCTGTATGTGGGAGGCGAAGTTAGTACGGAGTACAGAGTACTGTGTAGTTACTGTAGGTACCGTACTCTACCCATGTCTGGCCCGGCAAAGTCGTATGCCGTATGGAGGGAGGAGCTAGGACTAGAAGTACATCCGCGAGGAAGAACGGAGTCTGGCTAGAGCAGAACCGCGCAGCAGATCCAGTGGCCCGGTCACAAGCAGAAAAACCACAAACCAGAAAACCATCTACCCAACCGACATGGCCAGACTAGGTAGGGTGCCGTACATATATGTACGAGCTCCCGTCGGGAACTCCCCCAGGTACATACAGTAGGTACAGCAATGGCCCTCCTTCCATCCACACCATGTCGACTGGGCATGCAGAGCGATACCGTGACCGATTTAGCTCGAGGTAAGGGCCTGGAGTCGCATCCGCCCGGGTTGGTTGCTCGATCCCCAGCGGAGCTCTTCCTGCTGGCGTAACCGCTGATTGTAAACACGGCCATTCTCTGAACAGTGCGCTATTCCCGCCAGCACAGTAGGAAAAGAAAATAAATCAACTAAGGGGAACCCCTGATATCATGATTAACATTACTATGATAAATCTTCCATTATGAATGGCGGTGGTTCTCTGCCACGGGCCGTTTTCACCGACACGGTATGGTACAGTTCCTGGAGCTCGCGATCCCAGTCGCTCGGCCAGCAGGAAAGGAGGGAGGGGGGACGGGCATAGTTGGATGTGGAGGCGAAGGACTCGATTGGAGCACCAAGTCTGTCCTTGCCTGGATCACACCATGATCACAAGCTGAGCGGCTTACCTACAGTTTACCCTACCGTAGTAATAGTAAGAGTAAGGTATTGACTGTGAGGGGGAGAGTAACTACGGTTGGTGGTGTTGGTAGTATTGATAGTAGTAGCGGTAGCAGAAGAGGCCCGGGGGCTGCGACGCGTCAAGTATCCTTCGGTACTCCTGGCAGTCGGTATCCAGGACCCAGAATAGGACTAAGGGAGGTCTTTGTCTTTTCGAGTGGAGAGAAGATCCTGCAGAACAAATTAGACTAATGCGGTGCCCTGCTAGGGCCTTCGGCAGCGCCAAAAGAGCTGGGGATAGGTTAGCTTGGGTTTGTTTTGGTCACATTCCCGGGGGAAAGAACTCAGGAGGAGAAGTTTGCTGGGTGTACACAGCAAGTAGTTTAGCGTGCTCGAGTCTAGTACGAAGTGCTCCGTACTCCAGGTCAACCTGAAACCAGGGTAATAAACGTGACAATACATCACTCTGGCCGTATACCCGTTTCGCTTGAATCCACTGGTAACGTTACCAGCCTCCCATCTCTTCCGAGAGGAGAGCGTCATAGAGTCGTTGCGTCGCGTCGGTATTCTACTTTCCCCCCTCTCCCTAAAATCTCTGTGTAATATTCTCCGCCATTGCTGGAGCTGTCCCATGGCCCATTGCCACACTCTCTGCCCGCCCATAGTCCTATAGGCCCATAGACCTACCGGCCCATAATAATACCACCGCGACGCGGCATTTGGTCCGAGGTCGTGTGTTCCTCCGCTGATCAGCTGAGCTAGCTAGCTCATTAGTTAGCGACAAGCAATGACTAATGTGGTTCTGATGGCTCTTTTGGCTATGCTATGATGTAGCACATTCGCGCTCTTTCTCCGATCTGCGTTATCTTTCAAAGCCGGAAGCCTCCGAGTCTCCGAGTCGCCGAGTCCCCTAGATGTACTCCGTATCGCACCCGTAAAGCATTCCCGTTTCATGCTCTCCCTCCGTCATGGCGGGTGCAGTGTGATATAAGCGGGGATCAGAGGTCTGTCTTAGCGGGCACAATCTGACCCTGTCCTATTATTAACTGGAAATCCCGGGTCGGCTAACATCAGTGCGGTTAGTGGTCAGTTAATATTATTCTTCAGCTTGGGTTGAAGTATCCATTCCTACGCGGTGAGGCTAGTGGGAAGGCCCTGCAGCGCGCCAGATCGCCATGGAAGAAATGACATTGACGTATAGCACCAGAAACGCCAACGCGATGGGGGTATGCCGCCCAGAAAACACCCAAAATCATTCAGACAAGAAAGCAGAATCAGTCATCACTTTCATCTAGCACTAATCCACGAAGCGTGTCGTCATTGGCCCAATCAAGCCCGCTGCCGACCACCATGGCGCTAGCAATGTTCTTCATAATTTCCCATTTCGCCCTGTTCCTCTTGAGCTCTGCATCGAGCCGATCCAGCTGCGATGCGAGATCCGCGTCCTGGAGCCGCTCGCGCCAGGAGGAATCTTGCTTAGTGAGCTCGAGGAGCTCACGCACGAGCTCTTGATTCTCCCGGTTTAGCTGTAGATTTTCGACCTCTGCGTCAGATAGCTGTTTCAGCACCAGTTCACGAGCCGAGGCTAGGTTCTCCTGCGCGAGGGCGAGCACATCGCGCCGGTTGACTAGGCGGAGCAGGGCTCTGTGCGGGTTGCATGAGATAAGAGAAGAACAACTTTTCAGATAAAACAAACATCATACGTACCGTTCAGGGGGGTGGTGGCTTTCAGGTGGACTGCTTTCAGAATGGGGTCCGTCATGAGGATGGTGCGAGCGGCTTTCCTCCTGACGGTGTAGGTAGCGCGCGACTCGAGCAACTCGCGTTCCGCGATCGCAAGTGCTTCTTCGACATTGTCACCCGCTAGCGATTCCGGATCTACAGAACAAGATTAGTTGAAAGGGGAACTTGAAGCCGACTGCTAAGGCATAATATGGGAGAAAAAGGATATCAATCAGATTTCCTGGGGGTAAAAGCACATTGATCGCACCTTGCTCTAGCAATGCTTTTTCCAGCTGCTGTTCCTGGATCTGGCCGGCCAGCTGCAGCACCAGCGCCTCCTTCTCGGAGAATGTTACGATGTCGCGTGAGTCATCTCCCGCGTAGTCCAGCAGGGTCAGCTCGCTGGAGAGCAGGTGAGGCCTCACGAGGCTCTGTTTGGTCGCCATGGAGGGATCTCGTGGGCTGGCGTGGGCCTTGTGATATGACCGGCGGAGGGCGGTGGGGGAGAGTCGCTCACTTGGAGCTTCGACCTTCCCCGATTTCCCCCGTTAAACCAGCCATCCCCTCCCACATCCCTGGTCATTCGAGCATTCACGCTCGGTGGTGAGGAGGGGGATCATGTCGTTGCATATCTATATTGCTCACTCCGGGGAACATCTGCTGGCGGATCCGGTCGCCTTTGCTTCGTATGTTATTTCCCCAGCTTGCTGGTGAGGGAGAGGTACCTGATGGATCTCGAGCGCCGAATGAGTGCGGCATGCAAGCTAACACTACTCTTGCCGCTCCAGACCAGATTCCTTAAAGTCATGGATTGTTCGAAATACCTCGATTCCGCCCCCTAGGCAGATATTGATGACTGCCCGGGGGAAGAACGTGAAGACCCAAACGCTCGCCACCGAGGTATGCCAGCAATACTTTGGACCAACGACCTAACACGTTTCCGAGGAGAAATATCTAATATGACTACCCCAGACCGAGATCTTTGTGTATGACCGGCAATACGTGAGCGAACCTGCCGACTTCGAGCTCCCCGAGCTGCCCGCCCCCGAACCGTTCCAGCCGAGCAGCCCGCCGGCCTCCCTGACGGACCAAAACGACCTACATTCATGGCGGAATCTTTTCATGACAAGGAGGTCTTGGGCACTAGATCTCTCTGTCCGCTGCGGAATGATGGATAAGAACGTTAAAGAGCACAACGAGCGAACTGATGTCATCAACCGCGCTGTGGGCGTTGCCCTTGAGAACCTCAAGTCCCATGTGGGTACCTTGGAGCATCGCTTCCAGGAGGCGCAGGTATGGGCAAATAATCTTCTTGAGGAACAGCAGGCTGCTCTGGACGGTTGGCAGCGCGCACTGAACACGCTGGAGAACATCACAGCGCGGAAGGACTTCTCGATGCTCGGGCGGCCATCTACACCGAAGAAAGACGAAGACCAACCCACGGGGACCCTGCGTGACTTCGTTGATGTCAACGAAGTCCTTCACGCTGGATCGGATGCGGCGGTTGTGTATCCGCGCTTCGCTGAGCAGGCCCGAGGCCTCGAAAAGGCTGTCAGCGATATTGCCTCGGATACACAAAACTTGGTGGATGACGTGCTTCCCGCACCAGCAAATGGAGAGGCCGGATTACTCGAGGAAGTGGAAACGCTTGCCAAGAAGATTGGCTCCGACTGTGAACATGTCCTCGGTCTGCCCAATAACCAGAAGATGCTGGCGAATATCTCTAGGCTTGCGCTCAACCACACTCAGAACCTGTTACCGTCAATTTTGGATCTTAGCGCTGAGCTTCACCACGCTCTAGAGCAAGCGGTACGTCGCCGCGGTGCCGCCGAAAAGGCAGCTCTGCAGCACATGCGCACGATCTCCTCCATTGAGTCACGCCTAGCCGATGCCCATACACAGCTTGTCAACTTTGGTACAGACAGCAATGCGTTTGATATTCTCTATGCTGTGTTTCAGATGCCAATGGTGTACGGATCAGTTCTCATTGAGTCTGTCCGGCGGCGGGAATGGAATGATAAGATAAAAACAGACTCGTTGACCTTGGCCGAAGAAATGGCCATTTTGAGAGACGAAGAGCAGCGTCGAAGGAAGAAGTGGGTTAAAAGCATGGGTGACTTTATTTCCTTTGGAGACTCTATCACGCCGGGTATCGAACTCAACCTCCAAGGACAGGATGACGAATGGCCCGCGGTCAATCGAAAAGAGATTGAGATCTATATTGAGAATTTGCGGAATAAGCACGCTTTGGCTAACATTGCCGATGATTTGTCTCAGCAATTAAAAGACCTGGATGCGCCAACTCGGCAGCAAAGACGTCGAGCAAAAGCATTCAAAAATGGGAGTGTTTTCGACTTGAGCCGGAGCTCTATGCTGCTGCGCGGCGATGACATGGTTCGAAGCCTGCAAGAGGAAAAAGGAAAGCTGGAGGAGAGACTCAAGGGGTCTGATAGTCGTATTCGCAAGCTGGAAGATCTCCTTCATCGCCAGAGCCATCTGAGCCGGCCATCAAGCGGCAATTTTGGACCTGACTTTCCCAGTTCGCCTGCATCACCGCACCCCGATGCCTTATCTAGGCGCTCTTCTGTTTCCTCGAGGCGAGTTTCGATGACTCAGTCTCCTGAAGATAGAGCTCTCGTCCAACGCATCGTCTCTCTCGAAGCTGAGCTTAACACAGAGAGGGAAACTGTGCAAAGACTCCACAAAGAAGCATATGCGGAGCGTCAGTCCAACTCTGACAAGTATCAAGAGGCTCAGTCGACGAAGAAAGATCTCATTGGAAATCTCGAAGCGCGGCAACGCGAATTCGAGGACGAGCGAAGATACTTGGAGGCAGAGGTCCGAAAATTCAAGCTGCGCACCGAAGAAGTGGAAGAAGAGCTGGACAGACTTATTGACAGCCGTGACCATGAGAAACAAGAGGCCGATGAACGGATTCACCAACTTGAGACAGATCTACAAACTGCCCATGACAATACTGCGGAGGAAACTCGCAAAGCTAGTGGTCTCAATGAACGGATTGAATCTCTTCAACGAAACGAACGCGATCTTCAATCGAAGATTGACGATTTCGAACATCAGCGCGGCGAATGGAGCCGGAAAGATCAGGACCACTACAATGCTCTACAGGCGGCCTTCATGAGTTTGTCCCCTGGTGGCTCGGTGCCCTCTGAGGTTCCTGGTATCATAAAGGCTATCGAGGTACTGTCTGAGGGCTTGTCTATACATGCCAGGAGCGCGGAAGCCAGTGCGTCGAAGGCAATGGCCGAGAATAAGGCTCTCGAGGAGCGTATAGCACAATTGGAATTTGAGCTCGAGGGACGGCTGAAAGTTGCCGATGACCGGGAGGCCGAAGTGACTCGACTGACGGAAAAACTCAAGGAAACAAAATCGAACTTGAACGTCACCAGAACCGAATTAGACCAAGAACGTTTAAGGCTGCACACATTGCAGTCTCAGGTTTCGGCCGGCGAAAGTGGTTCTGACGCATTGCGAGAGCAGCTCGTCGAGGAAGAGCGGAAACAGGCAGATCTGTTGCAGAAACTGGCTGATGCCGAGTCTCAGGCTCTGGATCTGAAGTCCAAGGAGACAGAGTGGGAGAAGAAAATTGAAACGGCATCCGAGGCAGAGCGACAAGCTGTGGCTCGATTGGATGCCCGAGGCACCAAGTCGCACGATCTGTCCAAGCAACTATATTCGCAAGTCGAGAAACTGGAGCGCATGCTGGAGCAGCTAGGCTTCGCAATCATTCAGCAGAACGGTCGCCTTGTTGTCCAGCGCGCATCCAAACTTAGTGCCTCTTCCAGTCTAGGCGAAAGCATCGCTCAATCTGGTATCGTGTCTGCGAACCCCGATTCGAGGCTTCTGGGCTGGATGCACGCAAACAGCCCCGAAGAAGAAGATGCTAAATTCTCGGCCTTCGTCGAGAGCCTGACTCATTTCGATGTATCTGTTTTCGGGGATGTAGTCATCAAGCGTGTCAAGGACATCGAGCTATTAGCCCGCAAGTGGCAGAAAGAAGCTAAGGGCTACCGCGAGAAGTACCACCGGGTTCAAAGTGAAGCCCACGAGAAGATTGCCTACCGATCCTTTAAGGAAGGCGATCTCGCCCTGTTCCTACCAACTCGCAATCAAGCCATCCGCTCCTGGGCCGCTTTCAACGTCGGTGCGCCACATTATTTCCTTCGGGAACAGGACTCGCATAAGTTGCAAAGCCGGGACTGGCTTCTCGCGCGCATCAGCAAGATTGAAGAACGTGTCGTCGACCTTTCCAAATCCCTGAACGGCGTCGCTCCCGACCGGCGCTCTCTCGGCGATACTAGCGACGGTGCTTCCATCGACGAGAACCCATTCGAACTATCAGATGGCCTACGCTGGTACCTTCTCGATGCCACAGAAGAAAAGCCCGGTGCCCCCGCTACCCCAGGCATCGCTAAGAGCACTGTCGCATCCGCACACGTCGACGCCAAAGGTAGCATCCGACTCAAGCGCCCGACCGAAGAAAGCACCGTCGCCCAAACCCTGTCCAAGAGTCTCGACAGCCGGCGCAACAGCTCGAACTCGAAGCGAGGCACGCCCACACCCTCGCAAAAGGCCAATGATTCCGCCTCTGATCTAGTCCGCCCCGCCGAAGCGGATGCCGGCTCCCAGCCTCGCGAGTCGGCCCCCATCTTCGATGAGGTGCGCCGTGACCTGCTCCTTGGCCCGTGAAAAGTAGGACTCAGATCTGTCTTTTCCCGGGTCTTACTGGAAATCTGACGCGCTAACCTTACTTTTTTTTTAATAGGCACTGAATCGAGCGCGGGATCCAACATCTGCAGCTAGTCAACTTCTGCATGCAGGCGATGTGGCTACCTTCCAGGCATCCCCGCCCTCCGGGCCTACCTCTAAACGCCGTCAAAACGGGAAAGCGAGACCGTGGGAGAAGCTGTGGTCTCTTGATTATCGCTTTGAAGATGGTACGCAATAGAAGAACATTACTTCTTGAGAGTTATGTTGGATCTTTGGAGTTAGCGCGTTCCTTTTCACGTGCTTCTCAATTTGCTTTTGATATTTTTTTCTTTGTGTTTCTTTTCTCCGGGGTCGTATATGCATGCACGACCGGAAACTTGATATATGCCCTCGATGGGAATTTAGTTTGACGAGATACCCAATAGTACATAACATCCAATCCCCATAAGAACGATTCTTTCATCTGCAAGCACCTATGTGGTGTATCAGTTCTCTACGTATTCATGTGTAAAACTATCAGATTTTTAAGTAGATATATAGATGCCGGTGAGCGTATACCTACCTACCAACCAGCTTATATGAGGTATTGTATCAAGAGAGGTATAGGTGGCGACGATCCAAAAAAAAAAAAAAAAAAAAAAAAAAACTATACAATTCATAATTCAACCAAGCCAGCTATATGCATCCATGAAATGGAAGAGAAACTGAATACACAAAGAACAAGAACGAATGTCACGTCGCTGCCTCTTCAACGCCTTCCATGCCCCCGAGATCATCCCAGAATTGACTGAAATCTACATTTTCGTCTTTGAACATCTGCTGAGCCTCCAGCATAGCAGACCGCTGCCTCTCCGCCGTGAACCCGCCAGGCTGCGAGCTTTCCCACTGAACCAGCTCGACCCAGCGGAAGAATAAGTCTTCCTTGCCCATCGCAGTCAACCTTTCCCTAAAGGCCAAGATCTGATCTCGCTGAGCCGATTTTTGACGTCCTGCGGGCGTATTTTCATCCCCAACACGCCAGATCAGCCAGCCGTCCGAGTCAGTGTGAACCAGCACAGCCGTGCGGAACTCGTCTAGTTGCACGCCCTCGCCCTTGCGGGTCAGGTCGACCAGCGCGTGGGCACGGACCATGGCGCCATAGTCCAGGTTCCAGTCCGCGTCAACGAGCAGGTATCCCGTTTTGCCGATGCGCTCGGGAGTCACGGCGGCCACGATCTTGTCACGCATAGCCTCGTTGTCACGAATCCACTTGTTGCGCTCGAGCTTCTTGCTCCAATTGCGGTGGCTGCGGCGGACGATGATCTCGCGGTCCCGGAAGCCAACGGCGCGACGCCAGCGCACGGGACCGAGCACGAAGTGAATTGGCCAGGACAGAAACAGCGTCACGAGGAAGTAGTCGATCAGTATGGCGCCTACCCGTCGGAGGATGATCTGTGCTAATTCTGTCCACGGTGTTGTGGCTGTGTCGACGCTCAGGGAGCTCTCCATTCCAATCAGGATGGCTACCAATGCTGGGTACGTACTAAAGCCCCAGTACATGCGCAGCGCGATCACCGCAGCCACCACCACGTTGACCACCGTTGGTACGATGAAGGTCTGCCATTTCAGCTCCGTCGCCGAGGTGTCGATGTGAACGAGATATACTTCATCCGGGGAGAGCGGCTCGACGAAAGACTTGAGGATCGACGGGGCCTTGGTGAACGGTGGAATGGGGCCAGAGGACACAGAACTTGGGGTCGAAGCGCCCGACGAGGCCGGTGTCGACGCGGGTGTCTTCCGGCGGGACGACTTCGCCATGGTTGTAGGATACTTGGCGAATCGCGAGTTAGAGAATGTCTGCTCGGGTCGTTCGAGAAGCCTTTGTGTTTCCTTGGGCCTGGGTGCACAACAAGGAGGTTTTATCTGGCGCGTAGTGTGGAATAGATAGATGATCAGTGCAAGTGAGCGGGTCACATGTCACAGCATCGAGTCACTTGCGAAGCGGCAGACGACGCGCGCATGATTCAACGGTCGCTGAATGAGGCAGCAGGCAGAAGTGGCTGCGGACACGAGGGTGGCTGTGGGCCAGTAAACACGTATTGCTGGATTGGGCTGGTGATCAGGCAGGGTCGAAATTTAGAGTGAAATCAGAAATATGCGAGTGGTGAAGCTGTTGCAGACCGCCCTAACCTCTTCAGGGATGCGGGAGCTCCGTATTTACTTTGAAACTAAACACTTCCCAAGAATCTACCAACGACTTAACGCAGTGATTGGCGAGTGTCCCCGCGAATCTCTACACGTTGCCGTGTACAAATTCGCACAAGGGAGTTGGCTTTTCTTTCGTCACCATGTCATCTCCCCGCAAGAGTGACCGAGCCTCCCTCGCGCGTCACCACCACCCGCAGTCGCCCTTTGGCCGCGCGCGAGACCCCAGCTACGAATTCGACCTCGATAAATCGCATTTCCCCACCCCCTCAAAACAGAATGGGGCGCGTCCCCGGCACAACTATCGTACAGGTACGCTAGCGGGCGCATATCGCGCTACCTCGCGCACGAGCATGTCCGACGACGGTGCTGGGCTCGGATTGACAACCAGTCCGCGACAGCCGCAGGCGTTCGTCGGTGCGCGCTCGCCATCGTCCGATATGTCGAACCCACCCGAGGAGCTTGTCGATGTGTACAGGAGGATCGAAGAGGACGGAACCCTGGCAGACTTCGTGCCGCTGGACGACTGGGATGTTCCACTCGAGACGCGTCGGTTGAATCACTCGTCCCTCCGGGCGAGGGAACGAGACCTGGGAAACCGCGCATTCTCCGAGGCTAGCTTTGTCAATGAGAACTCGCCACGCAGGAGGACCTCCGATTTTACTAGAGATGAGCAGCGACTACGACGTGTCACGGGCAAGGATTCGCCGGTATTCAGCAAAGCCAAGGTCGGGACCCGAGCTGCCCTCACCGCGGATAATCTGCAGCGAAGGGAAGAAGAAGAACAAAACCACGTATCGGAGGAGGAGAAGGAGGAGGAGGAGGGTGAGCGTGGCCCACCGTTGAATTTGCCGCGTACCTGGGGTAGTCGGGCTGGTCGTCGGTCGGAATGGCCCAGGAACGTGAGCGGAAGCACATCATCAGAGCCGCAGGAGAAAAGGGAAGAGCAAGCACCACTCAATGATTCCTCAAGAACAAGAATGAGGGCTGAGGATAGTGCTGTCCCCAAAAGCCCTATGCGCTCATTCCCACGGGCTGTTGAACGAAGCAACCTTCCGGCACGGAGCGCGCTTGGGGAACGCACAGCAAATATTCATATGCAAGAAACACACCAGGACAAGGAGAACGAGGTACCTGGTTGGGGTCATAATGCGCCACAGGGCGAAGGCGCACCCATTCCGAACACGCCCATCGTCGTCTTCAAAAACTCAACCTTTACCAAACCAAGCGCGACCAAGCGAGATTCACGAGATTCGCAAGATCTGCTTCGTAAATTATCAAGGACCGAAAGCCCCAAGCTGGACCAGATGCACACTCCAGATCCGCCGAAGCTTTTCGAGAGGAGGATTTATGATAAGACGCCCAGAGTGACGGGTGCATGGATCGATACTCCAATGACCGAACGGATCACGGAGCTTCCTCAAGACCTTACTAAGGACATTGTTCCATCGGCGGCATCCCCAAAGGAACCAGAACCTGCAAAACAGCAGCCGAAATTGTTGGTGGATGTGAAGTCGAAAGCGGAGGAAACAAAGCCAGAATTGCGCCCTTCAGATGAGCCTGTCCCTGAAGTCCAGCCCGCCAAACCCAACAGGGCGCCTTTGATTCGACCTAAACTCCCAAAGAGTGCCCTTGAGACGGTCATTGAGGACGTCAGTTCCGGCAAGGAAACCCTCGACCTGGGAGACGATACCATTGAATCACTTCAAGCAATCATGGATGATCCGACTGAGCTGAAGACCGAGGAAGAGGAGGAAGCTGCTTATGCACAGGAGGTTATAAGGAGGCTTGAGCTGGCCAATGCCAATGGACAGGACTCAGTTGATATTGACCGGCTGAATGACAAGCTCCATTCGCTTGTGAGAAACATCAACGAAGTGAAAAAGGGCCTGGACAGTCTCGAAGAGCACGTTACACGAGATGCTGCCATTGTGTCGCGGCCAAGCTCCCCCAAGCTAGCCGGCCAGCAGACCCTGCACTCGCAATCCAGTGAGAACTGCGATAAATGCATTCACAATGATGGCCGTGTATACGCCGCGATCCCGCTCCCTCGTCTCTGGAGGAAGAATCCGGCGTCAGGGCGTCGTGAACTCACGAAATTGGGTTTGTTTACGCTCGTGTCGCTTAGCTGGTATATTATCGAATGCATGATGTGGGATCAATACTCCCACCCTTTAATCTCGGAGACATGCGATGGCTACTGCATGCAAGCGGATGCACCCAACTTCCCATTCGTGACTGTCACCATGCTTTGGCGCTGGTCCCATCTGGGGACTGTGCTTGCGCCCATCGCCACTATCTTTGTGGCCTTCTTCCGACTTGTGGCGCAGCTGCTGGGTCTATGGGATGGTTATGTGGATGAGCCTGAACAACTGGTTAAAATCATGGGCGAGATCCGCGTCAACGGCACTCCAGTCTCGTTTCCCTGGCTGGTGCCTCCGGCTGAAACGATTACATCCCCCCAATCATCTCCACCGCCGCCACAACAGCCCGTGTGGACTCCCCGCAATAAAGCTCCAAGTCAAGAGGGGGAGGACCAGGGGTCCATGGATGATGATGAATATCTTTAATTTGCTTCGCGGGGAATGGAATAGGGCATTCATAGCGTTTTGCTTTTGGCGGTGTTTGCTGCCTGGGTTTAGTTTCGGGGACTGGGCATGAACATTAGGGTTTGCTATCAGCGAATTATTTAACACCGATCCAGAATATTTACTATCATCAGTTGGACTGATCAATGATCATACTCTTCAAGTAATCTTCAGGGTTAGGATTTATACTTACTATAGGTGTCGATTGCATCCGAGGCAGTGACAAGGCGCCCAGAGCGCCTAACGCCACGATAGTTCCTGCCTCGGCCGTTCAAATCAACTATGTCAAGATGTATATGGACGTCGTGACAGGCATTCTAGCTCCCGGCGCGCTCGATACGTCCATCAGCCAAGAGCAGAATACCTCGATTGACATCGGCCTAGAAAAGCTCTCTAAAAACCTTGCATCGCTTTTGGTGCTACCCACTGAGGGTAAAGGCAGCGAGCCGATCTATATCGGAAGCATGTTCCAGTTTGTCCTGCATACGAACAACACGACTGTTGAAGATCGGCAGAATGAACATTTAGAGAATGAACAGGATTGAGCCGAAGTTTGTTTTTCGTACCGTCCAGGGCAGAAATTATTTGCATTTTTGCATTTGAAGACTAATGTTACTAATGCAGGTGAGACTAGTACGATCGAGCCCAAGAAAGCGATGGCCGTACTCCCACAAGCCTGAAGAATTCAAACATACTGTTCTATGTACACGCTTCTCTATGTTTGTCTTTGTTATATTGTCAAATCGAGGTATCCCTAACCATCGCAATGTTACTTGCCTTCGTGAATTGCTCGTCATCATTTCATATAGAAAAACATGGGTATCGGATCAATAGGCGCCTACAAACAACATTGCTATGCCTTCACAGCTTCGCCTGTGCGCGCCACTCCTTCAGCAATGCCTCCTCTTCGCGTACCCGCCAGGCCGCACTCTTACGCATGCGAGTATCAGCCCGTTCATCGTCGACCTCAGATACTTCCTCCAGCGGGATCTTGCGAGTGGACTGCAGCCCAAACCCAAGCCACGTCAAATGCCCGGTTGGTGCAACACGGCCAGCTACAGCATCACGACAGAACTCGGACAGACCCTGGAAAAACCGCTTTCCGCTCGGGGTGGAGATCATAAGCAACCCGTGGCAGTGCGGCATGCCCTCGAATTGCTCTGCGACAACTGGGACTCCTGCTTTGTGCATGCGGCGTGCCAGGATTAGGTCTTCGTCTGTCAAACATTCTTCACCTGTCGAAATGAAGACCGGTGGGGCGTCTTTCCAGAGTTCCGGCTTGGTCGCGAGCGGAGAGACGAGGGGATGGATTACCATGCTTGCGTTGGCAAACATATCCACGCGAGGTGGACTAACCGGCCATGCAGCGCCAGATGGAAAGGGTAATGGTGTGAATGGGGCGGGCTCGTCTGGATCCTCCGACGGCACGGCCTTCATTTCGAGGTAGTCGAATTTGGCATTGTTAATAATGGAAGGCATGGAGCGGGTGACGTCGCACCAGGGCGAAATAGTAGCTACGCCAGCGGGTAGCTCAAGGTCCACGTTCTTGCCGTGAAAGCAAATTGGTTGCGAAGCACGCTTCAAAGTGAGCAGTGTTTGCAACAGAACCAGCGACAAATTGCCGCCCGCAGAGTCGCCAGCAATGACGATCTTGTTTGCGGGGACAGGCTTGTGCAAGGCACCCGGGGGCGGGTGAATGAGTGACAGATATGCTGTCAGAGCATCTACCAGTGCTGCAGGGAAGGGATTCTGTGGCGCGAGTCGGTATCGCACGGAGAAGACCGGGGCGCCCGTCAGGCGGGAAAGGTGTGCAACAGGTACGCGATGCGTGCAAGGGTCCATCAGACTGCCACCGTCAGTATTGTCAGTTTCATAAGAGCGCAAAAATCAAGACTTACAAGTAGGCCCCGCCATGAAAATACAGGATGGTCATATCTGATGGCGATTCCTTTCGCAGTTCGCGATACTTTTCCGCTTCTGAGAGGTCCGGTTGTGGCGTCTTCTTCCCGACTCCACTGCGATATCCGGTCCATTCAGCCTCTACAGCCGCAAGTTCTGGCATGTCAAAGGTCTCGTCTCCGGTCCTGAGATCGTCGATGGCGCGCAGCACCGCATCGCGCACATCGATCTCCGGCTGCGGCAGGGTAACCTTGGACACCCACATGGGCCCTTTGATTCCAGGGTCGCGCATGCTGTTCTTCTGTGTCTTGTCGACCGGTGCACTGAACGTCATGAAGGAGCGAATGATGGACGTGGTCAGTTCCGTGCGTATATCTTGCTTTCCCGTTACGGGGGACATTTGAATCCCATGAAGGACGAGCGTTTTCAGAATCAGTGGGATTCGGACCAGCAATGCCTTGAGAAGGCCGATAGTATGTTTGAAGTCACCCATGTTAGGCGAAATTAGAGAGAGGCTTGGAGCACTGCTCCTGGCGGGGTGGGAATGGAGAATGGACGGTAGGCAGTGGACCAGAGAGCTCAAAAGGAAGACGGATATACAGTCAAAACCGGTTGGAAGTGGCGTCGTGCCGAGGTCCGCCCCGGCGGGTCCGCCCTCCTGCCCACTTTTTGGACTAAGCCATCCAAAGTATACAGCACGCACAGGCCCACCGGGCTGGATTCAAGCTTGGGGTTGGAACACACTCAGCACAAGTTTTGGCATAGATTATAAATATACGGTTTCTGACGCTCCAGGAGGGAAGTATGTCCAGTTCATGAGCTTATGCCAGTGATATGTTTTGTGACTAGTTTGGCAGGGTAGTTGTACAACGCTGACCCTTAAATGAGAAGGAGAAGCAGAACCCTATGCACGTCATAGGTCTTCTGCTATCGAACAATAAAGAGGAAGTCAGATCATGAGGCTGGCTGGTGGTCCTCGGATCTCTCCGCATGCCGCGTCCGAGCAATCCCCGTCTCCGAGGGACTGTCCAGGCCATCTCGCGCTCGGTCTACGTCAGACACTTCGCCGCGAGGATGGAGTTCCTTCTGGTAGACAGGTTCCTCATCCTCTTTGAGACCCGAGCCGCTTGGATCTCTACGAATCAGGAAGCTTTGCACCCGGGAGTCATTGTGCGGCATCTGGCTGATCGTTTGCTGTCGGCGGCCAGTCAAGAACCGCATCGAATCGTCGCTTACCTCGCGCAGACGCTGCTCGTATCCGGAATTCAGTTGTTTGATCCAGGAAGCCTGGACAGCACCACCAAACAGGACAAGAAGAATGACGAGTCGGACGAAGGTACGTTGGTCAACAACGTGCTGTTGTTTCCCCTGGTGGCGGTTATTCCACCGTTCCCAGTCCTCCCATGTAGCGTTTGCATAGATGGTCGGCCCGTAAGGTCCCCACTCTGCCGATGCGTCGGCTACAGTGTTATAGCGTTTTGGTTGATGGCTCCATCCAGCACCTGTTTGGTCGTACGCGGCTCGCCTGGTGGGATCGGAGAGAATCTCGTGCGCAGTAACCACGATTCTATAGCGCTGTAGGCGAATTTCAGGGGTGATATTTCGACAGAGGGGGTGCTCATCGCAGGGCCGGTCTGGATGGTAGATCTTCACGAGATCATAGTACCGAGTTTTCGAGTACGGAGCGTTGCGGTGTAGGTTGAGAACTTCATAGGGCGTGAAGGATGAGGTGGAAGGCCAGGAGTACTCGTGCTTTGGGAGACCCGATACCGTAGCATAGCCCCGGCCGGACCGTGATGTCCATAGTCCTTGGCCTGGAGTACTGAAGCTCACGCGAGTGGGTGGCGAGGCTGTAGCCGACGAGCTCAGGAGCCGAATGCCGCCACAGCAACGAAGGTGGGTCTTCTTGAACATGGCCGCATGATTTTTTCGACAGAGCAGGGCAGCTCTCCCGATTGCTCTCTGGTGAAATGGACTGCGGGTGGAGAAAAGCGATGAGGGGACTCGTCCCCTCGTTGTTTGGAGCCGAAGGAGGGTCACGTGTGGCCGGAGCTTGATCTGCCGGGGAATCGTAAAGCGCTGTAATTGGCACATTTCTACAATCCACTACACTGCTTGTCTTCACAGAATGGCCGAGTCGCAGGACGACCACCAGGATCGCCGGCGGCATTCGCCATCTAATTCCTCCCACCGAAGCCGCGATCGACGAGACACTCGAGACGACCACAAGAGCTCGCGACGGCGAGATGATGATCGTCGAAGCTCTCGTCGAGACAGCCCTCGGCGCAGATCGTCTCGCAGCCCATCTAGGAGAGATAGCACTCGAAGGGACCATGCACGACACCGCGAGCGTCGAGAACGGTCTGCAGGTTCTGCAGACGCAGATCGCCTGGGTCACAGACACCGCAGCCATCGACACCGCGACGACCGTGACGACCGCGATCGCCGTGGCGAACGGTCATCACGAAGACAACGAAGCCCTCGACCCCGGTCTCGCTCTCCGCGCCGATCACGCACCCCTCCACAAGCACTTCAACGGAGCGGGCCACTACCTTCGCAATCCGACGCCTTTTCAGGCGAATTGACGCAGTCCGGCGATGCACCTCCACCTGAAAAGGTAAAGCCCAACTTCAACACAACCGGCAGACTTGCGGCAGAAAGCAACACGGTTCAGGTTGAAGGCGGCGCAGGAATCGTCTTGAAATACCATGAGCCCCCAGAGGCGCGCAAACCGCCAGCTAAAGAAGCCTGGCGATTCTATGTCTTCAAAGGAGAGGACATGTTGGAAGTGGTGGAACTTGGTGAGCGAAGCTGCTGGCTGATTGGTCGCGAGAATGCCGTGGTGGACTTTCCTCTCGAACACCCTAGCTGTTCGAAGCAACACGCCGCACTTCAGTTCCGTTACGTCGAGAAACGGAATGAGTATGGTGATCGAATCGGCAAGGTCAAGCCGTACCTAATTGACCTCGAGAGTGCAAATGGGACCCATGTCAATGGCGATGCTATCCCGGCGGGCCGTTACGTGGAGGTTATGGACAAGGACGTAATCAAATTCGGATTGAGTACCCGCGAGTATGTCCTCATGCTGCCAAGCTGAACATTCGACCATTTGCGGAATATTTCTTAGCCAACTGGCCTGATGATCACCGATGCTTTACAGAAAGACGTCGGATGCAAACTTGATATTACAATTCACGATGTACAATACAAGATGGCAGGGGACGAGTCCATCCTGCAGCGAAGAGGCAATGCAAAACCTTCAACCAATGTGGGTGCGCTTGGCCTCCTTGGCCTTGCCTTCCATCTCGTGCAACTTCCCTTTGGCCTTTCCGGCGACCTCCTCCGCCTCACCTTTTCCCTTGCCCATATACTCCTCCGCTTCGCCCTTGACCGACTGAGCCTTCGACTGTGCCTTCGCCTTGGCCTCTTCACTCGAGGTGCCCATTGTGTCCTTGATCTTCTCACTAGCCTGCTCTATACGGATAGACATCTCAAGTTAGCACCCCCTACATAACTGTGCGTCCGTCATACTATAAGGAAGGATGCACATACTGCCTTTGTCAATGCCCTTGACTGCTACGTCAGAGACAATCCGATCGGCCTTCTTCAGAGTATCCTTGGTCGCGTCCACAGGTCCTTTCTCATATCGGGCCGTCGACGAGATAGACCTCAAGGCCACGAATCTTGGTGTAGTGCAAGTCGCCACTCGGGACTTCATGACGGGGATAAGGCGTGCGGTGGACATGGTGGTGGTGGTGGGCTTTTGAGAGGAGTGACAATATTGAATTTGTAGATGATAATGGGGAGTTAAGAGGAAAAGCTTTCAAATATAGAATAAGCACCTAAGCATCAAGGGGTTGAACGGAAATGATCTAATCCAAGTTCTTACTATCTGTGGACTTATACTACAAATACTTGGACAGATGGTTGCCGATTCTTGGCAATCACTGACGTCATCGGAATGGCATTGCTTACGTCGTTACACGGTCACAGCTCTGCTAACAGGGTCTGGATTGCTTTGCGATTCAATGGATTGACAGCCAGTAATGGAACCAATTCCATCTGGTCGTGCCCGGTGGCCTTGTCATGTGGGCTTGGCGCCGTCATAATTTTGTGGTTATAATGAATTGAGACTACTGGTATCGAGAAGCTTATGTATACTTTGAGAACAATCATGCTCATTTATCGATTTTCGACCATCATGCAGTGATAGGTTTCCCTTGTGATAGCGCAAACCGATTACGGTGCCACTAAATGCTTTTGTCAGTAACCATGGCTTCCCTGGAAGAGAAAAAGAAAGACCTACTTTTCCGCAAGAAATAGGCTCATACAAAGCAGGATGCTCTTCGTCAATGCACGATGGCACAACTTCGCACACTGAGTCAGGATTAAACCCCAGGAAAAATGGCATGGAGTACCGCGGGGTAGTTTGTCGATTATACACCCGATGCACAGTCGATTTGAACCGATTATTCGAAAGTCGCTGCAAAAAGTCCCCAATATTCACCACTAGCGTCCCGGGGACTGGTCGCGCATCTAGCCACTCATCGGTCGCGGAGAGAACCTGCAGGCCACCGGACATGTCCTGCCATAGCAGGGTCACACACTGGATATCGGTGTGCGAACCAATCCCGACGTCGGTCTCGGTGTTGGCGGATACAGTCTCCGAGGCACCGGGGTAGTGCACATACAGTCCATCAGCACCTGGATTAGTTGTTACGGAGTCGAAGCACTCTTCGGGCATGTCGAGTGCTAGCGCGAAGATCCGGATCATTTTGCGAGCGAGAGTCAAGCGCTGCTGCCAAAATTCAATGGTCGTTTCCCGGAAGCCGGGAATATGGGAAGTCCCCTCCCATAAGAATTCATCGTTTCCGTAAGAATAGCTCGAGTCGGCGAGAAGGTCTTCTGGGTTGGATATTGTTGGGTCGTTCGCGGGGTTGTAGCGCAACGAGAAGGTCTCCTTGCGGTCTGAGCGGCACGAATTAGCTAAACCGAATAGATCGATTACTCTTGATGGATTGAACCGACCTCGTGTCTCTGTTTTGTTGACTTGTGTACTTCCCACACCATGGAATCCATCCGCGTGAGTGGACTTCTTGTTGGAGACGAGCTCTTTCTGCTCATCGGTCTGAGCGAAGAATGCCTGGGCTTTGGAAAGAGCACGCTGAAGGAGCTCCTCGGGGATCCCGTGGTTTTTGATATAGAAGAACCCGGTATTTTCAGCTGCCGCTTTGACCTGGGATGCGATATCCTTCCTAGCTTGGAACCCACAGTCGATCGTACCCAGGTCAATAATCGGAATTTCATCTTCGGTAGGCGGCCGAGGGGGAGCAGTCGAGACTCGGCGAAATTCAGGTCCGTGAAGAGTCAGGAGCTCGACCTGTGTGTACTGAGTCATTGTCGCCATGGTGAGTGATAGTGCGAATGCGGGGGATGTTAGACAAGTACGACTGGGGTGTTATCGGTAGCATCGGGTGGCTGTAGTTATCTTTAAACTCGCCAGCGTCCCCCAGATAACCATGGATAGAGCCGCTAGAGGCCCACGGGGGCCGCCGAGGTCCTATAGTAATTGCTATGAAGCTTTGATAAAAACAGCTACTAGTCCGTGTTATCTTGCAGGAGTTTCTTTGGTCTTATCATGTCCGATCGCAAACGATCGCGTTGACTGGCATTTCTTATCAGCCCAGGACGCGTGGCGTAGCCCTAACCACCGCTAACATCTTGGCCTCTGTTCTGTTATCGCTTTATGGCCTGCATCTCCGATTGATCATGACCCCCCCAATGCGCATACTTTTTCCTGTTGACCTCGAGGCGCGGCCCGGAAACTACCAGACCTCAGGACCTCTCACATAGCAGTTATACGGAGTCCCTCAATTCAAAGATCCGGCGGCCCCTCTCTATAACAAAGCGATGGCAATCACAGTATTACAGCTGCATGAGCGGCTAGTCGTCAAAGCTGTTGACAGAGATGGCTTCCAACGTCCCGTGGACATGCTGGACAATGATTCGATCCGTCCGACACCAGCCAAAGATCGAACCTGGACACAGTTCACCTACATGATGTTCTGGTTTTCCGCGACAGCCAACGTCAGCAATCTATACTCCGCTTCCACGGGTATGACCATGGGGCTAACCATGTGGGAGGCCATTGCCTGCTCTTTCGGCGGCCAGATCCTGGCGGGATGCCTGATGGCGCTGAATGGACGTGCAGGTGCTATGTATCGGATTCCTTTCCCTGTCCTATGCCGCTCCAGCTTTGGTCCCTGGGGCGCTTTCTGGCCAACCTTCAACCGTGCAATCATGTCGATAGTGTGGAATGGAGTCAACTCGGTTCAAGGAGCGCAATGCCTATAGTAAGTTGGCCAGTACTACGATCAGGTCCCAGGGAAGTATGATACTGATTGGTGGGGTTTAGCGTCTTTCTGCATGCGATATTTCCCTCCATTGAGAATATTCCCGATAAGATGGGTTCCAAATCGGCTTTGACCTCTGCTCAGATGATGTGCTTTTTTGTTTACTGGTATGGCAACACATGTAGTTTCACACGTACCCCTGGATAGCTAATCTCAAACAGGGTCATCAATTGTGCATTCCTTGTTGTGCCTGTCCCGAAGATGAAGTCTCTGGTCTACGCTAAAGTGGTTGTCTACTATGGCGGTACCATTGCGATGTTAGCGTGGACTGTTTCCCTGGCTGGTGGCGCTTCCCAGTTCCTTCACATGCCTTCAACTGTTCACGGGACGGAAAAGAGTTACCTGATATTGAAGTTCTTCTGGTTGGGACTTGCATCTTGCGGGACGTTCGTATCAAATGCGGCAGATCTTCAACGCTACGCTCGGAAACCCAATGATGTCCTCATTGGCCAGCTCATCAGCTTCCCAGTCTCGAATCTGCTAGTTGCAATTCTGGGAAATGTAATTGCATCGGCCAGCAAGGCTATCTTTGGAGAGGTATTTTTTTCGATCCATTTACGCCAACCTCTTAATCGGGCATTGACCACTGAGTACACTTCTGCAGTTGATCTGGAACCCTCTCAACTTCTTGGATAAGCTGATGGAAGGCGAGCGATACACTTCCGGCAATCGCGCTGCATGCGCATTCATTTCGCTGGCATTCGTATACTCTACGGTGTTCTCGGCTATCTTTGAAAATTCTATTCCGTACGGTTTCCCCCTGCTCTGATTCATGGAGATGCACAGTCACTGACAATTTATCTAGCGCCGGCAATGATATTGCAGCCTTAATGCCGCGATATATCACGATCAAGAGAGGATTTTTCATCTGTGCTGGTAAGGAATGGCTTCGCATCTACAGGTATGCACAGTGGTGCTAACCAGCCAACTTTGCAGTTCTCTCATATGCCATCTGTCCATGGTATCTTCTTTCGAGCGCCTCAATCTTCATCACGTTCTTAGCCTCCTACCAAATCTTCCTATCTGCCATTGCAGGAATCCTGATATGCGACTACTACTTGATCCGTCGCGGTCGCTTGAATATTCCGGCTCTATATACTGCACACCCTGAGGGCCTGTACCGATACTTCTACGGGTTCAACTTGTGGGCATTTGCTACCTACGTCATTGCAGTGGCTCCGAATTTCTATGGCTTCCTCAGCCAGATGGGAGTGAGAGCCCCGGTGGGCATCCAACGGTTTTATTATGTTGCCTACCCGACTGGCCTGTTGGTTGCTTTTTCTGTGTACTACATTGGCTGCCTGGTGTCTTCTCCGAAAGGAATGGAGAAAGCTCGGGGCTGGAAAGAGCCTAAAGATTATGTGGACGAGTATGATCCAGCGAGAGACGAGGGATTCGCGATTGACGGCCTTGAGGTTGATAACGCTGGTGCGGAGAAGGGCGCATTTACTGCTATGAAAGAGATGAAACTGTGAAACGGCTGGCCCGTTCTTTACGCCATGTATATTTCATTATTTTGAGTTCGGTTTGGACCTCTTTGGTTATTGAAGTACAATAAGTACCCCACCTGACCAGCGCCGCAAGCTTCGGCCAGCGTCGGCGTTTCGCAAGCTTTCCCCACACCGGAGCTCCGCGCAACTCGGATCTTTCACCTTCCAACTGGATCCTTCATACACTTTCCACTTTCCACTGTTCCCTCTCCGACTGTATAGCCCCTTGTCACAAAGCAACACGTTCATAGACCCCGCGCAAATCTGCTTCTATTCACCACATTCACCCGGGCGATGGCAACAACCACGTCCCCGCGGCTTGTCCGCCTCATTACCCTCGGGCACCTGACTCGCCCGACCGTCCTGTCTACCCGGGTATTTGCCTCACGGTACAGCACGAGCGCCGAAGACGATGTCATCAAAACCCAACAGGTCCCGGCGCCGGGTTCGGGGCATGTGCGCGTGCTGCAGCTCAACCGGCCCAAAGCCCGCAATGCGATCTCGCGTCACCTGCTTGACACCCTCTCGAAGCAGGTCAGCTCTATCGCCGCGGAAGGCGGCAACGGGCCCACCCGGGCGCTGGTGGTGGCAAGCAATGTTGATGCCGCATTCTGCGCCGGCGCAGATCTGAAGGAGCGTGCTAAAATGACCCCTGCGGAGTGAGAAGGACCCGAACCCCCCAGATCGATGGTTTTTGTTTTGCAACCGCACCCGGCTAACCGGCGCAATACAATATCTACAGGACCGAACAATTCCTCGAGAAGCTGCGCGCCACCTTCAAGGAGCTCGCCGGCCTCCAAATTCCCACTATCTCCGCGATCTCCTCCATGGCTCTGGGTGGTGGTCTCGAGCTTGCTTTGTGCACGCATCTCCGCGTCTTCGGCTCCTCCAGCACCGTTGGTCTGCCCGAGACCCGGCTCGCGATTATCCCGGGCGCGGGCGGCACCTACCGCCTGCCCGCGCTGATCGGACCAACCCGAGCACGCGACCTCATTTTGACGGGGCGACGGGTGTCCGGGCCCGAATCCTACTTCATCGGGCTCTGCGATCGGCTGGTGGAGGTGCTGCCGGAGGAGGCTCAACGAGAGGGCGTGGCGCGTGAGAAGGTCCTGCGGGAGAGCATCAAGCTCGCGCTGGACATCTGCGAGGGTGGACCGATCGCCCTGAAGCAGGCGTTGCTGGCTGTGCAGGGGTCTGCCTTGGGTGAGGTGGCGGAGAACCAGGCGTATCAGGGGGTGATTGAGACGGAGGACCGATATGAGGCTCTGCTTGCCTTTGTGGAGAAGCGGAAGCCGGCTTTCCGGGGGCGGTAACCGCTGAAGAACGATCGGTAATGGGGGGCTATGAGCAGGTCGGGTAACTGTCTTGTATAATGATGATTCGCTTCTTGGCGGATCCGGCCGGATTGTACTTATTTATTTCTAGACAATCGAGGGACAAGTTGTCCTGCGGGTTAGCGACTTGGAGATGCATGATGCTACCCCGTTTCTGCAAGAGGTGTGTATAGCCACACAACCATTTGGCTGCCTGTGCGAACCCCAGGTAGTCGTTGCGCCCGAAATGCAGATATCCAACGACAAACTTGTCGGCAGAAAGCTTCGTTTGAGTCATGATCCCGTACTTCCTGTCCTGGGCCATCAGAGACGATGGTAGGACTGCTAGGTTCAACACCATCCGTGGATCACGCCAGAAGGGTGTCGCGGACCAGCATCTCAAACAGGGGATCTTCTGGGACGCGAGAACGTGTGTCTGCATTGGGGTGGTGCATAATCACATCGGTCCCAGGTACTCATCTGTCTATCTACCGTAGCTTTCATGTTCAAAGGAGGCATCTCGTTGGTCTCTGGAAGTCCCACGTCGGAAAGAATGCCCACATGAATCGTATCTGTATCAGCTGTCTATTCATCGTAGGTATTATTACTCTGGCTTTGGCATGCTTTGGAATGATCCGACGGGTTCGAACGGCATCACCCTCGTTCCCCTCGATCACACCGGTTGGGCTCCTCGTATTCGCCGTTGGATGGAAGCCGGTGGCGGCAGGGCGCTTGTTATACCCCGTCCCTTCCAGCCCTTCCAGCCCTGTCCACACCGACATACCCAGGTAACCCCCCTCGAGACCCCGACGAGGCTTCCCCTTATCCACGGATGCCCAAAACTAAGTCCCTCGATCGGGCTGGAACGATGGATGAAGACCTTCGCAGATCGATGGAACAGACAGCCAATGAGTCATGAACAGGGCGCATCTCCAGGCGTCTTGTGGCCCCTGGGTTCCTGCATGGGACTCGCGCGCACTCAGCGTGGCGCAGAGCCCGTCCTCGCAGCGCTGGCCCGATAGAATGAGATCAGTCAACCCTCGAACAGCCTCTGGAGGCGCAGCGGGGCATTCAGCTTCAGACTGGAGTAATGCGCGGGCCGTCTCCACTCCACCCGCGCCCAACCCACTCAGACCCTCGACCCGCGGAAGGCAGTCATCTGGTTGGGTCAGGGGAACAGGCGGCACGGACAAATCACCTGCGGCCCCGGCCTGCCTTCCCTTGAACCACATAAAACAGCTGCGGCCTGCCTGCCACTTCTCCTGGTTCTCCCCCAGAATTCCATATTCCATGCTCCCCGGGAAGAAATGGCTCTTCTCTGATCGCGTTGTCTCTATTCTAACATGTCCGAGTCTCCCTCCGTCAAGCCGTTCGGCTTGACGCAGGTGTACGCTCCGCGGGGGGAGATCCCCACCGTGGATATAGTCTTCGTCCACGGCCTGAACGGGCATCCCCAGAATTCATGGACCAGCAAATCAGGCTGCTTCTGGCCAGTCGACCTCCTTCCAGACGTGCTTGCATCGCTGCGTCCGCGCATCTTAACCTACGGCTACAATGCGAACGTTGCCGCATTCACGGACGGCGCGTCGCGCGATTCCATCGTGAGCCACGCCGAGACGCTGGCATCAACGCTTGCTGCGAATCGCAACGTACGTTACCCCGGATACTTTCCAAGCACTCCATATGTCCCATGTTCTTTTGATGTCCCCTGGTATTCTTGTTGTTCATCTCAACTAATTAGCCGTCGCTATAGCTCCGAAGCTGCTCCGATCGGCCCATCATCTTCGTCTGTCACTCGCTCGGGGGCCTTGTCGTGAAGCGGGCCCTGATCTATTCCCGCAGTCTATCCAACGAGAAAACCGAACACTTGCGCTCTGTTTACGTCTCGACGTTCGGTATCCTTTTCCTCGGCACCCCACACAACGGGTCGGACATCGCCAAATGGGGTCTATTGTTGCACAACATCTGTACCGCCGTTCTTCCCAAGAAAGTGATGGAAGGGTCACCACAGTTGATCAAGGCCCTTCAGACGAACAACGAGACGCTGCAGCATATCAACAGCCTGTTCGCTGATAGCATGAGCCGTTTCCATATCTATCTCTTTCACGAGACCCGATCGACGGATGTGCGTGGCACGCGGGAGATCATCGTCGATGAGGCGTCTGCAGCACCCTACTTCGAAGGTGTGGAGCGAGGGGGGATTGAGGCAGATCATAGCCATATGTGCAAATTCGAGGACGAGAATTCGCCAGGCTATGAAGTGGTCGCTGAAGCTATACTTCGGTATTCTCGCCAGGCACCTTCTGTGATTGCAGACCGCTGGATCGAAGAGCGGAGAACACGTATCCTCGAGAAGAAGGCCAAAGCGCGTGAAATCTATGACGGTGACGATGACAGAGACGCCCCGCTGGGCCACAGCATGCCCGATCTGAAGTCGCCTGATACTGGTAGGGCAACCCGTCTTCTCCCTGCACCGGGGAACTCAGTCACATTGAAGGATTATGAGATCGAGGAGCCCGCCGTGTGATGACTTTGCGTATGATTATTTGATTTTCGTTGGCGATATTGTATGAATGCTCCAAGAACGAATTATGTTTCCTTGACCGCAAGCGGCTGCTGATGGCCTCCTCGCTGCTCGCTTCAAGATTATGGACCGATCAGTTTTTATGCCTTATTTGATGAATCGGCCTCGTGTATTTAGCTTGCTGTGCTTGGTTCTCAGGGTGGCTCCCGTCCTCATTCTCCTCTCAATTTAGCTGATATCATCCCATTCCCTTGAAATTATATCCAAGTCAGACAAACCGCTGACTGCCCTTTCCCCCTAGGTCGCTCTGTACCGAGTCTCCCTCGCGGGTCTGCCACGGATGGTCGCAACTCCCCGGTGTCTGGGACGGGTCCAAGCGGCGCGTTCCAGCTTTCCCAGTCATTGGATGGTAGGTATCGGTACCCCTCGTCGCCCTCATTCCCATCTACGCTTCCATGGCCTCTTTGTGAGCGGTTCAAATTCACTGATTGCCAACACATACAGGCCTGCCTCTGCATAAAGACCCGCCGCTTTTTGTCGCACCCCCTGGGTTCCATCCGAATGCGACCTTCTTCGGAATGCAGAAGGAACTTGAGGAACTCCATAAACGATTATTCAAGGCCAAAGCGCGTGCAGACCGGACCATGGCTGTTCTGATCTCTGGGGTCCCAGGATCCGGGAAGACTCATCTTGCACGCCAGTACGTCTTTGCGCAGCGCGAGTGCTATACTGGTGGCATCTTCTGGATTGATGCCAAGTCTCGCGAATCCGCCTACAAATGCTTCTGGGAGATCGCCCAAGCCGCCACACTAATAGACCAGAGAGAGGCCAAGGATCCCAGTTACCAGGAATCTCGTACTTATGTGAATGCCGTTCGAAACTGGCTCCAATCACGGCACGAGTGGCTATTGATCTTTGACGGAATTACATTCGACCACGATGACGATATCAATGACTTTCGACCGTTTCTTCCTTGGAACAAACGGTGTAATATTATTTATACCTCTATTGATGCTACGCTGCGGAAAAAACAGCGTTTGTTTGAGCCATACTGCCTGTCTATGCCGCGATTAAAGGTCGAAGACGCCTGCAGGCTTCTCTACAAGGACCTCGGTATCAGGAGACCCACGCCGGAACAGGCGTCCAGAGCCACGGAACTGGTTGAACACTATGAATGCCTCCCTCTCGCGATTCATGCTATAGGCCATCGACTCAATGCTACAGGGAAGCCCATTGAAAAATACCGCGTTAAGCATCAGGTGACCGACAAGAAGCTTGCCGAGCCATTTTTGAGCATCATGAACGATCTATTTCGTCTGAACCAGCGGGAAGCCTTGAATCTGATCAATCTACTGTCATTTCTTGGCCACCATGTCCCCGTGGGGCTTCTCGTCCTTGGAAGGTCTGAAATGACTGCGGAGAATGCGGAGATTTTGTCCAGTACCCAAGCAGGAGAGGATCCCGACCTGGATACCACGCTGGGCACACTTATCCACTACGGACTGATCGAGCGGACCTCAGATGCAGCCCTGGCGTTCCCGCAAAATGGATCCACACACCACTCCAGCGACGAGATGCATAGTGAATCCAAGGGTGCTGCAGAACTGACTGAGTCCATGACAGAAAGTAGTCAGGAGGGCTTTTTCTCCCTTTATCGTGGTAATTCCCTCGTGGACGTGGTCAAGATCCACAGTGTCGTGCAGGGCTTCTGTCGCGATGAGCTAAAAATCAAGGATGAGGAATACAAGGAGGTCAACCAGCAAAACCCGGGGTTCTACGACTCATGGTTGATCGTTGCTACTCGTTTCCTGTGCAAATCCTACGAGACGGCCAAGGAGAGGATGGCTCACTATCATGACTGCGGACTCGTCCGTGACTATCGCGAGTATGAAACTCACGCGTCTCGTCTGGGGGAACTTTTCCCCAAGAAACCCTCGATTGGGAATCACCCGCATGTCATTCGTGAGGCACGAGAGAACCTCCGGCAGTTGATGAAGAGTATCAGCAACGAGATTGATCGCATGTCCCCAAGCTCTTCCCAGGAGTCTGCTCGCAATCAGAAGTCTGTGTTTGACCGGTCGAGTAGCTCGTCCTCATCTTTTCCGGATTCTTCAGCCGATGAAGGCGTTTCCCGCCAGTCCACCTGGAACTGGACAGAGTCAGGATCTGCTCGTGCGGAGTCACCAGAGGAAATGATGGCTCCCCCTCGGTTTAGATTGGAGCTCTTTCCACCTCATATCTTCCGACAAGCTGGCTCGGAGTCGGAGGATGGTTACGAAACTGATGGCGAAGCGAAAGAAGCGCCTCGAATTTCTCCCGCGCTCTCGCAAATCAGCCAAGCTACAGAGAAGCCGAACCAACCCCCTGCTTTGTCAAGTCCATCAGTTCCACCTGGTGATCAGCGAGATTGGCAGCTTGTCGACCATCATTCAAAATCCCGTTCAGCAAGACCAAGGCAGCCAAGGAAGCGGCCGCGAGGACCTGGGAGGCTCCGAGGGGCCAAAACAGACACTCCGTCGGTGAAAGTCTCCCCAATCCTGGGAATGGGATCATCCAGTCGCATGGAAACGGAGCGAGGTGGAAGCTCTGCGGTCCTGGCTTCGGCAGCTGAAAGAGCACTTGCGGCAGTTCGACGGGCCAGCAATGGCCAAGCAGGCCACGAGAACATCAACCCATCTCCACTGAATACACCGCCGTCCAACAAAGAAAATGTGCCGACATATGCAAGCATCGCCGCCCGGCGGATGCTTGAAGCTACTGAAGCCCCAATGAGACGACCTTCGTCCATGCCTGCTTCTCGTGCGCCTGAAGTGGCCTCTAGACTACAGTTGAAGTCATCCGTCGAGTCACTCGATAGTCAGGCAAGCCATATCTTCACGTCTCCGCTCTCCCATGAGCTAATGTCTCACGAAATCTTGGCCGAGCCACTGACTCGATCAACCTACAGTGACCCTGGTCGAGAAGGTCTAGGCCAGCCGCTAGGTGCGGTGGATCTATACACGGCACCTAATTCTCAATTTCACTCTCGGCATCCGTCGATTCAGGCTACTTTTGAACCTGTGACGCGAGACTTGTCGGCAAGCACTCCATCTATACTTCCGTATGCAATCCCCGTTCGGGAACTGTCCGCGAGTACGCCGTCGCTGCTTGCATACCCACCTCCGCCGCCGTTGCCCTACGACCAGGACATTGCGATCACCGTTCCACGCAGGCGTTCCATCCCTCAGAACGGCCCCGGTCCGGCCTTCTCTTGCCCCACAGCCGCCAAACCGGTCGCAGTTGCCCACCCATCCGCCATCATGCCCGGGGCTCTCCCTCTCTCTGCAATTACATCTGATTCAACAGTTGTTCAAGCCACCGAGCGTCCCGGGCCTGAAGCTCTCTCGCGTGGCTCATCCGCCTTCTCACACCAGTCCTGGGCTACAGAACCCGTCCGCTATCCACCACGATTTTCCCGGGCCCCAAGTTCCACACAGCCCAGCGACATGTCCCGCGGCACGTCCCAACAGGCACTCTCCGGTGCCGATAGCTGGGCCGCCGACCTTCGCCTCTCAGGTAGCTCCATCCAATCCGACTCCCTCTATCCGGGCCCACCGCCAACCCATCCACGACTGGGTTCAGTTGATGAGCGCCTTAGGGACATGGATCTAGCTAGGGATCTTGAGATTGAGCCTGCACAGCTCTTGCACTTCGGTGGACACCGCGTCGACGTTCGTGATGCAAAGAATAGGTTGCATGAAAGGGGACGACTCCAGACGCCAAGACATGTCCCTGCATACCAATTGTACCATCCGAATCTGTCGGGGCCATTAATCCAGGATGGTGGACATGTCTATGTGCCGGCGCAAGCGTCGAGGGTGTACGAGGTGCGTACCAGGAGCGGAAGTTCCCCGCCCAGGCCGAGTTATCATGGCCTCGACGTGCAGTTTACAGATCGTGCTTTTGATTGAGTTAGGGTTGCATTTGGTGTTTTATGGTGCATTCCCACGCAATCTGGGCGGTGTTACTTTTATTACCATTTTATCTGTTATCCATGCTGATTATGTTTTGTTCCCGTTGCATTCCCATTTCGGCTGAGTTGCATAGGTGCTTTGAGGTTATCATGTTATTTAAGCGGTGTCCTGTTATCTGCAGAGATGGAGTATGCGTCATTCTTCTGCTTTCCATTGGGACCATTATAATGTAATGCATGAGACAGAAGGTGGTATCTGCATTTGTGGGTGTTGGGTCGTGCTATGCATACTGCATTCGTCGTTGGCATTGTTTGTTTCGATGGTTTTATGGTTTGTCCTTACTTCGCTCGACTTGCTTGTGCTTGATTTTCTTTCTGCGAAAAACACATGTTCTGCTCATTGACCAATACACCTTATTTATGATGGAAATGGCTATGGAGTTTCAGAGGGACAAACCATCCATTACCACTCCATCTCTCCTAAAGTGATATTTCTATATTTGTTCTTATTCTTATTCTCCAGATGGTGTGTTGGTATTTACTGGTGCATATAACGAGCTCGGGGAGGCCTCAAAAATTGGGGGGTATCACGATTTGGATTGACAGGTATAGAAAAGTAGGAATACATTATCTGTACAATAAAAAGAACACTGGTGATCACTGGCAGTAATCCTCGACCTCTTCGTCACTGGGCCAGTCCCAGCCGGGTGTCCGGCTGATGATGTCGTATGCCTCCTGTACTTTCGCAGGATCCGACGCTAGCCGGCCGCAGTCCATCGATACAGCCTGCGGGCTCTCCAGGAACATTCGGATCGCCGTGAGGGTCTGCCGTCGCATTTTCTCACCATTCAGCAGCTCGTCCGCGACTGCATTCAACGAGGCAGCTGATCGGCTCATCCACTGCAACAGATGCAATAACCCATCATCGTCGCCCACAACCCCCAACGTCCGGACGAAGCGATGCAAGATCGAAAAAGATGGGACATGCAACAATGTAGGTACTTGAAGCTGCAGGTCGGCCGCGCTATTCTCTGCGAATACGCTCCGCTCCGCTGCCTCCGATGTTTTGGAAACTGGGAGGACTAGAGAATCGAACTGCAATTTCAGCACCAAGAGTCCATTCTCAACCATGGCATCGTAATGCTCATGTCCGAGGATCTCGCCATGTCCGTCACCGCGGATAGATTGTTGGATCAGTATGAACGCCTCTCTGGATTCGGCAGGGTGACTGATCCCCGCTTTGACGGCCTCAGTGAAGGCGGTGCACATAGCATAGAACCCCTCCAGATCAGGTTCGATGTTGTGATCTTTCATCCATTTTACTGCCACGAGGACTTCATGCCATGCGAGAATACGCCTCCAGGATTTGTGCTCCTTCGAAGTTATTTTGATAGCATTACCAAAGGACCGCAGGATATGGGTCCAGGCCGCGGGACATGGAGGTTGTCGCGACTTGACCAGCTGGATTGCATGCCAGAGGGCTCTAGGGTGGCGCCGCTGTTGGGGCTGGTCTTCGAAGTCGGGAAGGATAGTCAAGGGCAACCGGGACTGGCCTTCTGTTGCGAGGAGAGGAAATCGGTCGACCGTGAGAGACTTTTCGCCCGCCTGCCAGGCTGTACATTTCGAGGGTATGCAGAGAAACTTGATGAAGGAGGCAAAAACAACATCTGGCAGGGTCTGAAGGGCATTTAGGTGCTGCGCTCCGTAGTCAGATGAATGGCTCAGTACAGTGCACAGCACCTTGATTTGGTCCTCGGTGAGGTCACTGATGACCAAATATCGCAAGCCAACACGGAAGTTAGGGGTATTCTGAAGCAGCAGGGCCAGGAGTCGGCCCGAGAAGCGAAATCCATGAGAGATCATTTGCTCCAGGAAGTCCTGCAACACGGGGGGTTCGGTATGAACATAGATAATATCGCGCGCAGAGGCTGGCTCGGGGTAAACTTCACGGCCATCGCCAGGTAGAGCATGGCCTACCTCATCAGACCGGCTCCTGACGGCCTGTTGACGATAGATCAGCTTTTCGGCCATTGCGGTGTATATAGCCGCGTTGGGAGGAAGGCCGCGGTCCTGATAAGACAAAAAGCAAGCCCACGCTTCACGAACAGTTCTTGTAGCGCGGATACGAGCGACCCAAACCGCGAAGTGATCGGGGTTGGTATGAGAAGCACGGGATAACGACCTAGACCAGCGCAAAAAAGTTCTTGTCTGGACTGTTGGGCTTCGATCAGTATCCCAGCCAGCCAGAATGGAACAAATATCTTCCCAGAGCTTGCTGGAATAGCCTGCCTCCCGCATTTGCGACAACACGTTCATCGCACGGCTGTACATGCCCTCGTTACCCCGTAGGGCGTCAATTCCCAATCTTTCTTCTTTCCAAGGCGGCCATGAAGGGGCCTTTAACTCGGCTGACTGTCTCTCGGCGGATGTCTTCTTGTGTGCCACTTGGATTGCAAGAACGGCTCGATAGCCTATCCGCGTAAGAGGGAGCACCGGCTTGTGGCTGGCCATGGCGCGGAGGAGCTCGAACTGCGCTTGCTGTTGGAGGGAGATCGATCGGAAAGGATGGATCTTTGTAGGAAATGAAAGCAGACGAAGAAAATTATTGAACTTCTTGGTCTTAAAGCGATCGGCCTTGCGTTTCTTCAAAATCGAATCGCCTGCGTCGCTTACGTTTGTAGCCATCATAAAACGTGAGAATGCGCTTGCAATGGTGGGAATTGCCTGGGGCCACACGAGCCGAGCATGCCGAATCAAGCGGGAGAACATATGCATGCCAGTAGAGGAATCAATCCGGGGCTGGAATTGTCCCGATGGCAGCTTCACAGGCTTGTCCCGAGATGCCTCCCACCTCTCAGAAGATGGCAGTGGCTGGCCGCTCATCAGATGTAAAGAATAAATCAAAAGTAAGCGAAGGGACTGAGCATCTAAATGCTTTTGTTTCAAGAGGAAAAGAGCAATGAAAGACGGGGTAGCAGGAGAGTCAGCGCCAAATCTGGACTTTTGCTCGGCTTCAAGTGCGAATAGGCGCGGAACGGCCTGGTTGGCATCCTTGCTCTTCATGATCCATGCCCATGCCACTACATCCCCGACGTCGTACCCCCGCTTGGTTAGATAGCGATGGCTATTTTCCCTGAAGACTTCATTAAGAGCAGAATCCAAGCGATCTGCCACATCACTTTCAGTGGAGGAAGAGAGCAATGGATCCACCAATCTGATATATTCTCCAAGGGTGGTCTGAAAGGAGAATCGTGCGGGTCGGCCATATGTTGGCTGCAAACCATGCAAGCGTCGAAGTGCATCGGCATCTTGTGAGGCATGCTGAACAGTTCCGAGAGCATGGCCCGTCTGGCGGAGAGCTTTGGCAAGGTATTCAGCTGGGGTAGGTTTCGGTTGCCCGTAGCCTTTCCTGAAACGTCGCCTCGATATCAGAGTGCCAGGTTGTTGCTTTCGGCTTGAGGGATGCTGATCTCCGGCATTTCGTTGTTTGGAATTGCGAAACTCCTCCGTCCGGGTGCCCGATGAATATTGGGCGGGAAGTTGTTCTTGTATGGCTATATTGGAATTGGTTGCAAGCGATTCGGGGCATCGCAGAGAGGCCTGGGAACGAAATAAACGTTGAATGCCTCCGGGGGTATTCCGCGGCATGCCAGCGCAAGTTGCGAGAGAAAGATCACCGTGATGGCGTTCCTAGATTCCAGAGTAGCAAGTCAGCACCAAATCAGGATGACGGTAGCCGAAGCTTTTGCCAAAAGCCATACCTTGCAACATTGATGGCCAGCCAGCTGTGCCGCTCTCAGAGACGATACCCCCGAAAGGCCGCGGACATGATTGAGAGCGAATGACATCCATGAATGTCGTCATCCACAAGCTCTTTCTTATGCGACGCCCTCTAGCTGGGAGTTGAAACTGTCTCCCTTTTCCTAGAGAACGCAGGACAGAGAATAGCTCAAGCGGTCATCCGTCAAATCAGCAGCTCGAAAAAAGTAACGCGGCCGAGCGATACGGAAGAGATGGGGCCCAGGTCACGTGCAGGATCGTCACGGGCTGCGGTTTTCGGAAAGGCGCGCATTCTGAGCGTCTCACGAACGGTATCCGCCTCGCCTTCAAAACCCCCAAGTTAACTAACTACTCGACTCAGCTGGGGTGGTGGCCTGGTTCATTGTGCCTTGGCTGGTTACTCTCTATTGTTCTCCCATACCTTACCCCGTTCATTCCTTGGCTTCTCACCAGACGGAGAAGCAATCCGCTTCTTGTTTGGTTCCTCTCGTCGCGATCTCTTCTTGTCTCGATCTCTTCTCGGGCCTCGCATTATAATCGACTTGACCACCAGTCCTCAACGAGCTCAAGGGCCGCCCTCAATTCTGATAAACCATTGAACATTTGACCTTTGATCGCGAACTCCCAATCTTTGTCTACTCGTTCGTTTTCAGGGTCAATTAAGAACAGCGACTTCTTTTGAGGGGATCGCGTCGACGCAAGTTCTGTCAACCCTGTCCCGCGTCGCGACTTTTGAGCAACCATGAGCGCCGACGAAAACGAAGATACCGCAATGATGCCGGCTGCGAACGGCGAACATCACCCCGATTCCTCTGCGATCGCGACTGCAGGAAAAAGGAAGCGGTCCGCCCCAGAGGAGAACTTGCAGGGTGCCGACTCCAACACATCCACTACGTCGCGTAACAAAGACACTCTTCATGAGAACCTTCGGAGCCTCGTGGATCTCCTTATCAAGTAGGTTTTTTTGACGGCCAGTCAATGATGTATCGTCACTAACAAATGTGATCCAGGCATGACACGGAACTTCAACTCCTTTCCTGCCCCTTCCCCACGTCCGGAGCGAAACCGCGAGCCAAGCGCGCCAAAATTTCTAGCGACCAAGAGACCTCGAGCGTACAAACCCGCGTTGAGTCGGGCCGATATAATACACTGCAAGAATTCCTAGCTGACATCGAAAAGGCCTCCGCAGCCGTGATCGAGCGCACCCAGAGCCAGTCAAATGGCACCAAGGCCGATGGCACGCCTTTGACGGAGGTAGTGAACCGCATCGCAGCCTTCAAAAAGCATATGAACAGCCTCGTCGGCCAATCCTTTGTCAACCAGACTGAAGTCAAGACCGAAGCCTCAGATGACGAGACGGAAGAATCGGCTGAGGCGCTGGCATCCATTCCCGATACCCGCGAGGACCGACAGGCATTGACATTCTTCGGTGCAAATCCTTCCAACCCAGGAAACCCGAAGCAATTGTTCTCCAGTCTGCAGAAATCGATCAAAGTGCCTCTACAGTCTTCTGAATCCAACACGGAAAAGTTTGTTGAAGTACAAGAGCAACTCCGCGAGGCCGCCCTTCCTACCGGCATCGTATCCACCAAAGTGGTTCCTTACAACCTCAATGCCACGAAGCCACCAAAGAAGACTTTCGGCGAGGTCTTTGCTCCCCGTTCGGGTCTGCCGCAGATGGAGCCCCCACGGCGACGAAACAACAGAAGCTCTTCGGTTTCATGGATTGATCCCTTCGATGCTGTCTTCGATACCAGGCACTTCTTGGGCGATCGGAATAGCTACTGCCTCACACCTCTTCCTGCTGGCCAATGGCTGCAATACGGCGGCGTTACATCATCACCTTCCTACTGGGCTCGTGTGGAGAAACACCATGCCGAAGTTGATAATGGTCCAAGGCACGGAGATCCTGCACTCTGGACTGGTGATGATACGTCTTTGCTGCAGGGTGTCTTTTCTTCATTTGCCCCGTCTTTTGACAGCTCCGGTGCCGTGCTCCAGGCTGATTCGAAAGACATGGTGTGGTGGGAGAAGCGAGGCGCGAAGCGCTTGCGGACTTTGCTCTCTCTCCCAGATGAGGAAGTCGAGACACCCACGGTGCAACCGGGTAGTATCGGCGATCTCGACGAGAGCACTCTCGATGAAATGGTGAAATCGTTTAGTCCGGAGGACTTCGCCTATGACTTTACTCAAGATGAACCGAGTAAAGAGGATCCCGAATCCAGAGAAGTCGAGGAGATGCTTGGGGAGGTTTCTGAACTGTTAGACACTCTGAGCTCGTATCAGAAAATCCGCAATCTCCATCTTCCCTCTTCAGGCGGCGAGAACTCAGAATCAAATGAGACTGCTGCACCGGAGTTTGGCACTCCGGACACTCCCTCCGAAGCTGAGCGCGCTGTTTACGAGACTCTGAAGGCGAGTCTGTATGTCATTATCAACAATCTCCCTCCATTTGCAGTTGCGAAGCTAGACGGCGATCAGCTCGCAGAGCTGAACATCAGCCAAAAGATTCCCATCGAGAATCCTGATTACAGTGGCACCATGGAGAAGGATGACTACACAATGCATCAGGAGCGTGCAGCAACACTGGCTGCTGCTGCCGCTACTTCGAATTCCGCGAATCGCACCCCGACGCCTTCTGCAGTGCGCCCTGGATTCCAACAAACCCCCCAAACGGCATACAGCCAGCGTGCTTTTGCACCCAATAGCCAGGTGTCACAACCCCGACCTGGATTCCAGGCACCACAGCAAGGGCGTCAATCCTCAACCGGGGGTCCTCGTTCACCCCGGGCTACACCGGAGCTCGTCCGCCGAGCGCCTCTGCACAACGGCCTGGCTTTATACCTCAGCAGTACTCGCAGGTGAATGCGCAATACAGCCAAGCAAACAACGTGCCGCAATTCCAGCGCCCGGCGTCCAATGGCTATACACAATCTCCACAGCAGTACACACCACGGCCCGGCCAACCGGCTGCACTCAACGCCACGCCCCAGGGACGCACGCCCTACGCCAATGCAGGTGCGACTCAGCCATATCAATTCGCAAATCGCACCCCGTCGCAGACTGCATATTCCAACACCGCTGCCGCCGCCACTTATGCGCGCAGTGCCGCTGAACAGCAAGCCGCGAAGGCGCAGCTTGCGGCTCAGCAGCGACAGAGCCCCTCGACGCCGCAGCCACAGGGTCTCGAGTCTCGTCACTCTCATGAGGGCAGTCTCACCCCCGGCCAGCAGAATGGTACTCCTGTGCCGTCATAGGCGAGTTCACCATTGCTATAGTCTTGTTTACGCTTTTCTTGGAGCAGGATGTACTTTCCAAGCGCCTGTGACAAAAAGTACCTTATCCCATCCTATGCCATCCCTACCTTATCATTCTATTCGTGAATCTCAGTTCTGTGTCGATTTTGGATCACGCCTTTTTCCTCACTTGAAACGTGGCTTTACGATGATTGCTCCATGTTCCTTTTTTCTCCAATTTTCTATCCCCGCTGTGTTGTTAATGGGCCCTTGACCTCATATCTCTGTGGATTCATGTCGATTCGTGCGTTCCGGTGTTCTGATAAAATGACAGCGATTGGCGTGTGGGGTGGTTTTTAAGACGGTCTGGACGGGTTCTAGCCTGGGTGGTCTGGGCTGCTAGTGGATGCGAGGCAGTCTGTTCTTTGTCTCTACACTGTAGTTCTTTTTTAGATGAGAAGATCGCTTTCACTTTCTACCATATACTGTAACATAACTTGTGCCCGATCGTAGTTAATAGCGGTTTCATATATCTAAGCATGCGATTTTGCAGGCTGTTGAGGATATTTTCTCGCTGGTGGTGCCACAGCTTCAAGGAGAGAAATATTTCCATATGGTCAAACCAAAAATTGTTTCAAGACTCATAATCCCGGGATTCGTTAACATCAAATAATTGGTACATCAGTAGAACATAAGACATCAAATCACATCATCGAAATCTCTTCCAAAAAAAAAAAAAAAACATAGTCAGCTCATCCGAATCCGTTGTATTCTCATCCCAACCGTTGCCAGCAGACCCAACCAATCTACCTGGCCATGATATCCAAATGGTATAGTTAATCAAAAATCAGCAATCAATCTCTCGCGAATGCAAACGCCATCACTTTCCCTTCTCTGCGCGGGGAACCTTTCGCCTGACTCTTTTGTGTGCGATCACTTTTAGTTAGATAGTTATCACCCTCTATGGACTCGATCGAGTTTGAATGAGTGGCTTAGTGAGTGCGTAAGTGGAAAAAGAATGTATCTGGACCCGTTGCGGCAGTAGGTTTCGGCGTCAACATGAGATCGACAGAATGAAATTCGTGAGTCATTAAATGTTGTGTTATGTTTTCTTCAGGGGATGAACATGGCGGCAATGGTCATAAAGCCGAAGTACCTATCGATACGTTAGTATTCGTCGTTCAAACGACCAGGAATATGACGCCAGCATACAGTGTCGCACACCTCCATCCATCCCTCGAGTCCACCAACGCGTCAATTCCAGCAGAGTAATTCGCGGCAATGGCAGCCGCCGCGCCGCCAGTTACGGTCACAACGACAAGTCGGCCTGAGAACTCAGCGATCATACTGAATGCCAGGAGTGGCATGAGAAGGGCACCAGAGGCGATGATGATGGCCATGTAGACCGGGGCCGTGGCAGCAGATGCCGCCAGGCGAGGGGTGAGAGCTACGAGGTCGGCATCTTGGTCCAAAAACCGGGTTTCGGTGGCGGCGATAGGGCTGTGTTCTTTCATCCATGAACGGTAGTTGGAGATGTCGTCTTCCGAGGCGCGGGGAAGAGTTTGGAGGACTTTGCTGTATGCGCTCAGCGCGGTATCTGTGGCGGTGTGAGATATCTGGCTGGCATTATCCAGTCAGGGCTATCAAATGACTCACTGTATTGTTCGGTCTTCTGAATAAGAGCAGCCATCAAGTCCATGCGCCGATAATGCAACGATGAATACGCCTGCGACTGAGCGTCTACCCGGCGCGAAGCAGGCACAGGCTTGGTACAGTCCTGCTCGGCAGTGGCTCTTCTATGTATCTCCTCATACTCGTCGAGAGTGTGGAGTTCTTCTTCCATCTGGGAGATCTCATCTTGGAGATGCAACAGGACGCGATGGTTCACGCTCTCAAAGCGCCGGTATAGTGGGGGGAACGCCGCCTTCTCCTGTACAGCAGAGTGGGTGAGATGCGACGCGACTAGCCCATACCCTGATGACACCTGCGATGCACTTGAGTCTCGCCGTCTGGTAGGTGTGCCGCGGTGAAGGCTGTCTTCTGGGCTACTCGGCGGGGACGGTGGGAGCGGCGGCCTGTGAACTGTACCTGCATCTGTTGACGTGTAGTAACTTTCTGGTCGAGAGAGTTGCATGTGATGTTGTCCTGGAGAAGGAAACTCTATGGGAGAGTCTTTGCGCGACGGTGGTTGTCTTCGGGCTATCTGTAATTGTTTCTCTGAGGGAGCAGGTGCAGTTGGCGCCGGTGGTGGTGGACGCGAGTCGCTCGAGGTTCTCGACGTCGTGGCCGATGGAGGAATCGCAATTGGCCTCTGGGAGACCAACAGCGGATGTTGTATAGGACTGGATCGCGGCTTTGGTGACTGAATCTTGGCGATAGCTTGTGTCTGAGCTGGAGGCACTGGCTCATCATCGCCAGAAGAGTCCGAAGACGACGATTCATCATCCTCATCTAGAAATTCGAATACGTTCAGCACTTTCTTCGTCGGCTCGGCAGGCTTGTCCCGCGACACCTCTGAAGCCGCCTGCGGGTTTAGGGCTTGTTGTGATCCATTAACCCGTTCTGTCGGCGGCGAGCTCTTTTCGTTGATTTTAGGACTTTCGCCAGGGCCAGCCTGTGCGATTGTGGTAGAATTGGATACGGTCGATGACGTCCGTTTCCTTCCCTCCTTCCTAGGCTTCCTTGTGCGCAGACTATGAGAACCGGTATGGAGCGGCATGGTGATCGGGGAAGGTCGGAAGCAATCCCCGGCGCATCACTTGGGAGAGAAAATTAAAGAATAGAATAAGTTGTTTCGACTAGGCCATGCCCGCAATCAGCGACTCTGATGCGCATGAGTGTGCCGCAAAGATCGTGATGACAGCGGAATCCAGAGCGTCAGATGTATGGGGGCCCGAGGCATGGCACAAGAGAGGGGCAAGAATTGATCAGATCGCGCGGTCCACGGCGCGGAATCCAGGGATGCCAGTCCTGCGCAATGGACTAATAAAGAACGAGAGAGAGACAGCACGAGAATGGGGGAAATGGCAACGATAGTCGATGCAATGTGATGTCTCAATTCTCCCCGCGTCTTCCCCCTTTACATTCCTCCGATAAGGGTACCTGGGTCGTATGTATACCCCCAGGGCTGACGATTCCGCCCCAAATCAGCCGTCTGGAATAGATGGAACGGAGTGATCACAAACACGGCTCGGCAGCTCCCAAGAGGCGCAAACGACGTTTGTGTCACCAGGGGAGGGCCAAAACGAGCAACCCCGGCGAGTTGCTGGGGATGGAGGGTTGCAATTCGTCGCCCAGGGAATCCCCGAACAATCTGAGGCAGATGAGACGCGCCGAGGACTTCAGATCAGCAGCCAATGACCGTGGGGCCGCAAGGAGGTGCCTTGTATCCCTGCCGATCCCTGGAGGAGGGAGCTAGACTCTGTCTTTTGAGGTCTCCTAGAACGGCCGTGACACTGCTAGTCGCGTTCACCTTGTACACTCGAGATGAGGATGAAGGACGAGGGAAACAATGGGTTGAGTTGATCGGAGGGAACTAACGGGATGGCGGGATAGTTAGGCCTTTGGGACTCCACGGAGTGGGCCCTCAGGACAGACGCAACAAATCAGCCGGGGTTCCTGTGCGATCCGGATTATAATGCATGCGTGTCTGGACGCAGTTAAGTCATTGAAACCCATGCGCTGGCGACTCGCCTGTCGATCGTCTCGCGCCTTGCGACCCGCCCATCTGGCGGTCTAGTGGGCCCAATGACCGAGCGTTGGGCGGGGGCCATTTGGCGTTGGAGGGGGTTTGGGGGTCGTGATGACCGTCGGGGCGATGCCACATTGCAAAGCGACCCCAGTGTGTCGCGCAGGGCTTTATTGTGTGCAGTGAAGTGGAGAGGGCGTGTTGGGTGGGACGTTGTCCACGACTGCGAACAATTGCGCAGGGCGAGACCAGTCCTGCGCTGCACAAACCGGAGTACCGCCAGCGCCAAATAGTTAGTACTAGTCTATCTTTCGACGCATGAGCATATTCGGACCCCAGTTGTTCGTGTGGCGGCTACGATGAACTATGATTAGATGGCAGGAAATAGATTAGTGGAAATAGTTCCCTGTAGAGTTCACTATGTACCCCAATTGGGGGCTGTCGCCTTGGCCCTCGTCACCGCAGTCGCTCCGCAGATCGTGCCCTCCGCAGCTTCGATTCTGTTCCCCGACACACCAGTGGCATTTGCAGCCCCCGACTCCTCCATGCTCCGGCCATGGCCCAGCAGCGGCGCTGTCCGCTTTCTCTACCGGGTCAATCGGCCATTCCTGGCTCGCCCCCATAACACACGTATCCCCGCCGCGACTCGTGGTCTCCAGTCCGCTCCGACGGACCGCGTCCCCCTCCGCAAGCAGCTCAAGCAGGAGGCCAAAGCCCTAAAGGCGCAAAAGAAACTGCGCAAAGAGAATGAGGAGACCTCTAGGCAAGAATGGGAATTGACGGTAGGCGTGGAGATTCACGCGCAGCTGGATACGCATGCAAAATTGTTCTCTCGTGGGTACACCTTGCTGTGGCTGCACAACGGGCTCAAGTACTTAACTCACACCACCCCTGACTAGGAGCCCCAACATCGACGACCGATACCCCCAATTCCAACGTCGCACTGTTCGACCTTGCCTTTCCGGGCAGCCAACCGGTTTGTGTTGACCCAATCTTGCGGAACGGGAATGGACTACGGACACGAGAACTCATGCGACACAGGAATTCCAAGCGGCCACCCTCCTCCCAGCCCTTCGCGCTGCCATTGCATTGAATTGTCAGATCCAGCCCGTCAGCCGCTTCGATCGAAAGCATTATTTCTATCAAGACCAGCCGGCCGGTTATCAAATCACACAGTATTATGGTTGGTTTCACCCGCTGACATCGACCGGATGGGATGCTGATTAATTCGCTACAGAACCCTTCGCTCGAAATGGCTACGTCGATCTATTCGAGTACGATGGCATTGCCCCGGAGGATGGTGACCGGGTCCGTGTGGACATCAAGCAGGTCCAGCTCGAGCAGGATACCGCCAAATCCCAGGAATACCCGCCGTCGACGCAGCTCCTCGATTTTAATCGCGTCTCCCACCCTTTGATCGAGGTCATCACCATGCCACAGATCCATACCCCTGCTACTGCTGCCGCCTGCGTTCGAAAACTACAAGCCATCCTCCAAGCATGCGGTGCCGTGACAACGGGAATGGAGTTGGGTGGACTGCGCGCCGATGTCAATGTCTCGATTCGACGTCGGGGCGAGGGACCGGGGCAGTGTCAATATGACGGGATCAGTGGGCTGGGCCAGCGCACGGAGATCAAGAATCTGAGCAGTTTCAAAGCGGTGGAAGATGCCATTGTGGCCGAGAAAAACCGCCAGATTGCGGTCCTGGAGAGCGGCGGGGTCATTGAAGGAGAGACTCGCGGATGGACCATTGGCAGCACCGAGACTCGCAAGTTGCGAGGTAAAGAAGGTGCGGTTGACTACCGCTACATGCCCGATCCAGATATTCCCCCGCTGGTCATCGGAGCAGATCTGATCTCCCGTCTGGAAGAGTCTCTGCCGGCGTCCCCAGACTCGTTAGTGGTCCAATTAATGGGTCCCCAATACCATCTCTCGGTCGAAGACGCACGGCCTTTGATTGAGCTGGACAACGGGGCTCGCCTGGAGTATTACCAGGATGTGGTGGACATTCTCCGCTCTCTCCATCCCGACCAGGACCCCTCGACCCACGCGGCTCTCACGCGAATGGCGGGGAACTGGGTTCTCCACGAGCTCGGTGGCCTCTTGACCAAGGCAGACCGGGCCTGGGACGACAAGGTTGTTCCGGCCCAGGCACTGGCGGATCTTATTGACCATTTGCAGCAGAAACGCATTACGGGGCCCACCGCGAAGCAGGTCCTGGCCGCGGTGTTTGATGGCGATCGGCGACCGGTGCCTCAATTGTTGAAGGAAGACAATCTCCTATTGCGGCCGCTGTTGCGCGAGGAGTACCTGGCGCTGGCTGAAGCGGCGATTGCGCAGAACCCGCAGATGGTCGATCAGATCCGCCGGAAGAATCAGCTAGGGAAAATGGGCTGGTTCGTGGGGCAGATGATGCGCACGGGTGAAAAGGGCCGTGTGGAGGCGCCGAAGGCCGAGGAGATTCTCCGCGAACTCATTCTGGGGAGGCAGTAGAGCCCCGTCGCGGGTCAAGTGTATGAATACATGTACAACATAGCCTACATATTCCATTCTCTAATGATACCCGTCCTGCTTCCCTTCGCTGATTGGTATCAAAAATCCCATCATCCTGCAGCTGGTCGTTCCCAGACAGCCAGTATACACCGTCGCACTGCCCGCCACCACCTTCCCTTGCCGCCGCAGACGCGCCCCTCGAATGCCCTCGAACCCCCAGCAAACCCAGGCCTCTCCGATACCATTACGACATTGTTCCGGCTTCGCCCCTCACCAGAACGCAAAATTGCAACGCAGTGGGACGGTAAAGCGGCCTAAACGGGGCACCTCTCCTCGACCTGTACTTAGCGGAAGTGATGGAGTACCCGGCGGAGCGCGATGATCCCTAAAAGCAGTTTTTAGCGACTGCACCGTACCAGCAACAAAGCCAGGGCCCGCGACTCGGAAAGGCGGGAAAGGTTATAAAGATAGGGATTGTCTGCTGCAACATTCTGTTCTCTCTTTCTTTCTCATCTTTCAATCTCGTCGTGGTCGAAACATCCACCACTTCATCCCTCCTCATACCTCTCTTGATCCCGCTTATCCGTGCTTTCGGCTCCCCTCCGATCCACTTTTTGGTTTATCTTATCGCAGATCATTCTTGCGATCTTGGATCTTTGGCTCGCTGAATTAATTTTCTCCAAGCCTTTCTCGACCTCCTCGAGCCTACCCCGTTCGGCAGATTGCCTGCATACTCCAAAGCACAATGACGCTACCACCAACCATCGCCTCGCGCTTCCTATCCCACCCCAACCACCTGGGCGTCGTGGCCGTGGGCTTCAATGGCGGACAGGTAAGAAGCCGCTGCGGGCCACAGTGCGGACAGAATACTAAGAATCCCCATTTTACAGTGCAAGAAGGGCGTGGAGGCCGCGCCCATGGCCCTGATCGAGTCCGGCCTGCTCACCCAGCTGCGCGAGGATCTCGACTACGACATCCACCACGATAATATCATCCACTACTACGAGCAGGACATCCCCGCCGAGGACCCGGACCACCGGGGCATGAAGAAACCGCGCGCCGTCAGCGCCGCGACTGAGCGCATCAGCTCGCAGGTCTACAATTACGCCAAGGACGGCAAGTTTGTGCTCACCCTGGGCGGCGACCACTCCATCGCCATCGGCACCATCTCTGGCACATCCAAGGCGATCCGGGAGCGGCTGGGCCGCGAGATGGCCGTGATCTGGGTCGATGCGCACGCCGACATTAACGTCCCCGAGATGAGCCCCAGCGGCAACATCCACGGGATGCCAATGGCTTTCCTGACTCGGCTGGCCCGGGAGGACCGCCCCGACATCTTTGGCTGGCTGAAGGATGAGCACATTGTCAGCACGCGCAAGCTGGTGTACATTGGCCTGCGGGATGTGGATCGCGGGGAGAAGAAGCTTCTGCGGGAGCACGGGATCAAGGCGTTCAGCATGCACGACATTGACCGGTATGGCCACTTTCCCTTTCCCTTCCAGCCCCATGGGTGCCCGTTCGGACAGACTGCCTAACTCTTCCTTGCCCTCTAGTCATGGTATCGGCCGCGTCGTAGAGATGGCTCTCGCTCACATTGGCAACGATACTCCCATCCACCTTTCATTCGACGTCGATGCGCTGGATCCGCAGTGGGCGCCCAGCACCGGCACCCCGGTGCGCGGAGGCCTGACCCTGCGTGAGGGTGATTTCATTTGCGAGTGTGTCCATGAGACCGGAAACCTGGTTGCGATGGATCTGGTCGAGGTGAACCCCAGCCTCGAGGCCGTGGGTGCGGCCGAGACCATCCGCGCGGGATGCTCGTTGGTGCGGAGTGCGCTGGGCGACACCCTTCTGTAATGATAAGCTTGTTTAGATCACTGTTTTGGAACCCTAGAAAAGACAGCAATAGAAGACACCACTGTTTGGTCCAAGGTTTCCTGGATGACGCTGCAAATATGGCCGAAGGTAAGTAACAAGCGAAGTGGCCCAGCGGGTCAGTAAACTCCCGAGACTAAATCGACTAAATTCCCTGCCACCTCAATTTCCCGCCGATCATCAACAAACCCGCCCCTCCGTTAACTTCGACTTTCTTCTGCTCAACAACTCACCTTTTCTTGGCTTTCTCCCTCCTCGCCCTCCCTTGACATGTTCATTGCGCGCTTCGCATCGTGACCAACATACATTCGTCACCTTCCAGACCCGCGTTTCTCCCCTGACGCTGCGCTCAGCGGCGCCCAATGCGCTGTCAGCCCTCATCGCCTGGGTAGCTCTCCTTCCACTCCCCGAATCCCACCGAGCATTCACTTCTCGCCTTGAAATTGAGGCCAACTCGAATATACTGCACCCGGTTGGGTCGCATCGAAATCTCAACTCAGTGACTGCCTCTAGCGCAGGGACACCGACGCCGTGTCGGGCAGACGCGCATTCCGAGCCGTATATATCCCGGCCCGAGGACCGACTTCAGTTAAGAGTCCACGTCCAGTTCAGCAATCGGCGAAAAAGTCATATTGCAGTGGGCTTCTATTCTTTAATTTGCACTCAGCACAATGGCCAAGTCAATTCGTGTGCGCCATGAGACCCGGCGCCTCCACCACTGGCCCGAGATCCAGCTCAACATCTGGCTTATCGTCGTGCTCTCCGCCTCGGCAACATGCCTCGGGATATTCTCCTGGTTCATGGTGGTGCAGTCGCAGATGCAGCTGGGCACACCATGGTGAGTTTCCTTGTCTAGCTCTTAACAGCCGCTATTGTAACTTGGACCGGTTTGTACTGATCGATGACCCCAGGCTCTTCCCATACATGGTCGTCACCAGTGCCCTCGGCGTGTTCTTCTTTTTCTTAGTTCAGATCCTCGTCGCACGTGGCCCCTTACTCCCAGGCATTCTGATCGTCGGCAGCTTTATTCTCTTCGTCCTCTGGCTGACAGGGCTCGTGGAGACCGCGCTGCAGCTGTACGGCGTGTCCGGCAATGTGAATGATAACTGTCAGATCTGGGTGGTGGAGAATGAGTCCCGGGGGAACAACATCAATACCCTGGCATGGCTGACCCAAAGTACGATCTGTGAGTTCCCCTGTTCCTGGATCCCGGAGGGCATCGCGTCTGACTAGTCCCCGCAGGCAATTGTTGGAAAACGGCATTTGCCTTCGAGCTCGTCAATACCATCTTCTACTTTTGGATGATCATCATGTCGTGGCAGGTCCATCGGGACTTCTATCATTGAGTAATATGTGATGTGTGATGTTTCTGATGCTTATGCTCTATGTTCCATTTACTCCTCGTCGTCAGCCCTTGTGATACCATATTCTTGCATGAAATCTGGCGTTGGGTATCATCGTGCGCTTTTTGCAGCTCTTATCCCTGGCATATCCAATCTACAACGCCTTTTTATAACCCATAATGAACAAAGTCTACTTTTCTGTACCATTCACTGTTTCGATCTACGTGCTTATTGCTAGTAATCGGAACAAGAGGCCAAGCAATGCAGCTCGTTGTCTCTGATGTCTCTTCATCCAGCTCCCGAGCACCTTGGCCAAACTCTGAGCGCAGCGAGTTCCTTGCACTTCTCGGAGCGTGCTCGCTTGGGGAGGTAGGGCTGGTCAAGCTTCCTCCAGTCATGAGACCTCACAAGGAGACAGCGACGACCTTATTGACCCCTCGATTAGGACGCGAAAGCTCCTCGAAGCTGTCCCGTTTAGGCAAGAGCGAGGTTCCTGCCTCACCTGGAGATTATAAATACCCCAGACCCCCCAGTCTCACTTTCCCTTTGCCAACTCTTCTCCTCTGCACCTCCCTACACTCTTCAGCCAGCTCCACTGGTTTCCCAACTTTAGTTCTCTTCCAATTGGACTGCCATTCTCCCGCGCCTGGAACTCCCTTCTACCTCCACTTGACCTTCATCCTGGGTCAAAAATTCACCATGAAGCCCTTCAAGAGCTCCACGCGTACGGTCAAGCGCTTCTCGCTGACTCTGTCTGCGTTTGCTGCGGTGGTGCCTGCTCTTATTCGTTCTTGAATTTCATCCTTCCTCGAGACCCTCTCCCTCAAAACATGCTGCCATACTTCAGGCATCTTTTGATGATGTGCTTCTTCCTCAGTGAACTCCTATGCTTTGGTATTTCTGGTCTCTCATGACCTTCTATCACCTCATGCCACGTCATCCTGTCAAAATGTTTTCCAACCTCATGGCCCTCCCACCTCTAACACGTCCATATATTAACATATTTACGACTCAACGAGGCCCTCTACCGCATGATGACATGCATGGTCAAACAAAAGGAAAGAGGCTTGACATTTTCTCACAAGACCTATCTGATATGTTACCAGCAGCCTACACTGACTTTCTTCAGCGAACATGGAAGTCAAGGACCTTGGCGTTCTATCTGGTACTAGGGCCACGGCCATCTACCGCAAGGAGCAATCGGCATCCTATCTTACAATCAAAGGTTCCTCGGTACCAGTCCTTGCTGAACCTTGCCGAGTATCTTACAAGGAACATCCTAGACTCGATCATATCCCGCAGCAAACCTATCTCCGAATCAACACAGACCGGAGGACAAATACAACTACAAATACACCACAACTGCCGCTCCTTCTCCTCCCACAATGCAATTACATATCCATTTCCAAATACAACCATAAATCTACAATATCATCTACAATATACAATATCATTCTTGCCAGAGACTTTATGCCGACAGGGTTGATCTGGTTACCATGTTGAAAGGAGAAAATCCGAGGCCATCGGTTCATAGTTATGTCTTTAAATAGACCAGACTGAGTTGACCCCCACATTATTGATACCTCTATGCCCCTCTCATACCCTGGCCTTTTACCAACTGAATACAGATTCGTGATCGCCACACACTCCACATTCTAAACTCATAGGCTCAACCCAGTTGAAACTCTCCTTCTTACTACTAGCCTGCACCAAACCTGCTACCAAATAGAATATTTCAGACATGTTCAATTTTATCATACCATATACAGCAAAGCCCAGGAGCACACAACCCCACCCTGTATGGAACACCGGCTAGCCTGACGAAATACAAGAGACAAGTAGCAGGTAGAACAGAAAACCACTGACGAACGCCGTCGCTATGTCAGGCACGCATCGCAACTGCACAAATCAGATATGACAGCAGAAGATTGAAGAGACCAGAATTGGAAGGAAGATAGACAAAAAGAGGAGCCAGCAAATCAAAGTCGGGGAATCAGGACGTTGCAAGGAATCCGAGCCGCCAGGATAGGGTAGGACGGGACCTTTGGAGAAACAAATGCTCTCTATTGGTTCTCCTCGACCGTCATGGACTCGTCCTCGGATTTCTCTGTGTATTCCGGATCTTCAAACGCTGCCATCATCTCCTTCTCAAACCCGTCCTCCTCGTCCGAAACCTCGGAACGACCCTCTTCTTCGCCAACGGCGGTGGTATCTCCTTTACCGGCATCACCCTCCCTGTCCTCCTCGCCAATCGGAGCCGTGGGGAGAGCCTTCTCAGATCGAGATTCGTCTGTCTCTGAAGCTCCAGCGGTAGCAACCTCGCGCAGCCCGGTGCTCCGCTCATATGAGCGCTTGATGCGCTGCGAAAGCCGGGATCCTTTGGGATCTGACTCGTCACCGTCGTCATCCGTCGCCTCCTCGTCTGTGGGGCTGTCATTCCCATCGCCGCGCTTGCGCTTCTTGCTCGGCTGGGCGGACTCGTCCGCAAAGTAGTCACTGTCGCTCTCGCTATCGTCGTCGCTGCCAAGGAAGTCCTTCAGCTCGTCGTGCACGGCCGCCTGCTCATCTTCGTCGTAACCGAGGGGCGAGGCCTTGTTCAGTCCTGCGTCCTTGAACATCATCTCGTTCGCTTCGTCGTCGGTCCATGCCGAGCCTGTCCCTTCGTCTGACGAAGAGATCCACGCGCTCTCAGCCAATTCGTGGGAGCCAGGAGAGATGGGCTCACAGCGGTCGTCTGGATGTACGGGAAGCAAGTAGGGCTCCTCGTCCATGTGACTCCAGTTGATGACAGAGTCGTAGAGCCACTGTGCCGTGACGATTTTGATGTTTGGCCAGCGCGTGGCGTCACGAACTTTGGCGGTGCGGTTACGGCCAGCAACAAGGTGCGTTACGTGTTTATCGATCTTGCTCATCACGGTCACGCCGAAGGATTTCGCCCAGAGGGAGACTTCCGCGTTCTGGAGATCCTGGCCTAGCGGAATGACGCCCGAGAAGACCACGACAACACCACCGAGGACTGAGCGCTTGTACAGAGGGACGATGTCCTTGATATCGGGTACAAGCTTCAGGTCCACGTCTTTGTCTTTGGAAGCGGCTTTTTCGCCGCGGAGGGCCGCCACACGGCCACCCAGGTTGGTCCTCCTCTTGTCGTACTCGTCAAAGAAAAGCTTATGGAGATCCTCCAGCCGCTCTTGAAGCCTGAAGAGCTCAGTATCGTTGTCTTCGAGCAGGTGATGTCGAGGCTTGGCTGTCTCTTGAGAATCATCCGCGCTGAAGGACGACTCGCTACCATCAGCGGAAGCATCGTCATCCGCGTCCAGCTCCTTCTGTTTCTGCAACAGAGGCCGATCCTCGACTTGGTGCATGATTGTCTCCTCTTGCGCGTTGGTCTGCTCCTGCAGTAATCTTGGGTCATCACCACCGCCCATTGTGACTAGCTGTTCCAAAGCAGACACCCCCGTTTCGGGCTCATTCGTCTTCATGGTAGAACCGTTAACATGGTGTTCCTTCGCCTCATTTTCCTTCTCACTCGATCCCTTGATCGCCTTCCGCGATGCTGCAATATCTTGCTTCTTCGGCAAAAAGCTGGAATTGATATCGCCAATTCCAACGAAAAAGTCATAAGGAACAACCTTGATCAGATTGGGGATCCACCGCCAGACGTCACCGCGGTCATCAATAATGACGACCATCTTGGTGTCCACAGGGAAGAGCCGCTGCAAATTCTTGGCCGTCAAGCTCCCGCTCTCATCACGGCTAAGAATGCGGTCTCCAAAGAGCTTGCGAGTCGGATCAATGAGGTCGGCAATATTTTGAGCATAGGCTCGAGTGCCCATGGTGTAGATGTGCAATTCAAAGAGATCGGCAACTCTCTCCAAGAACTCCTCGAGCCCAGGCCGGAGCTTGATGTAATACCAGCATCCACGAGCCCCTGGCGTATCGTCGACCAATTGAAACGACCGAACGCCCTTCAATGCTTCATAATTCGGGTTATCCTTGTCCTCCTTCCATTCGCCCACTGTCGGGTCAACGGTGGCATGGATAATCGTTTGATCAAGATCCACCACCAGGGACAGACGCCGGGAGGCCAGGAGGCGACGCTTGGCATCCTCCTCGACACGAGTGGCCTCCTTCTCACTGACAGTCAGCGTGGTGTTGTCATGAGTCATATAGATCGGGGCGCGAGAGGTTTCCGAGATCTCGGTGTTGTAGGTCGCTCTATCCAATGGTAACAAAGAACCGGTCAGTATTGTAATGAAAACTAGACCTTCCATCTGATACGCGCAAGCAGGATATACATACTCGGTCATGTCCTTTCCACACTCCGCGCACATCCCACCGAACTGGACCTCATGCGCACATGGCTCCTCGACTTCGACAACATCCACACTAGACAAACAGGCTGATTAGCTCCAAGCCCACAGGACCCAGGAAAGACCAGACTCACGGTTCATCGATAATATCCCCTTTGGCGATATTCCACTTCACAATCGTCCCATCCACAGTGGATTCAAAGCGCGTCGGAAACTTCCGCTTCACAAACACCTGATTTCCCAGCCCGTCGCCCTCTTCCACAGTAGTCTGATAGATATACCAGAAAAGAGCCTCATCCCGCTCCACCGTATCTCCCTCCTGCTTGAGGAGCGAAGTTACAGTGATCGGATAGTGTAGGCTGAGCGGTAGCCGGAGATGCATGTTAGCCCCCAGTTCGCCCCCAGGCGATCGAAACCCACAGCGATACGCAGTTTTTCAGCCCGACCCGTCGCCAGATATGCGCTGTAGTACTGTGTTTGTTGATTCCGCGTCGATGGCGAGCGCAGATCTCGTGTGAGCTTGATCGCGTGCGAGACTGGCTAAGGCGCCATTCCCAACACGCGACGCGTGGGATAGAGAGCGGCAGTGACAGCGGCAACGGGAATTCAGAGAAGATGGGGGGGATATGATCAGAGGGGGTTCAAAGGGTTGAGCGTCTTCTTTGTGTTTGGGAAGACGAAATTCACGAGCGCGTGGGTGGAGCGTTGTTAAGGCAGCAGTTGAGTGGTCGGATATCGCCACACAAAGGCGGAGTCGCAGGAAAGCGTGTGCCTCGCACAACCTGGGGCGCAACAGGGTCAAAGGACAAGACACGCACCAGGAGCTGGAAGCGACTGCAAAGGGGAGAAGTAGCAAGGGTTGATAGAGTGGTTGCTGGGGTGCGATTCGGAGAGCGCAAGAGCTCGTCCGGGTACTTGTGCGGGGACTGGCTCAACCGGTTTCTTTGAAGGAGCTCCGCTTATGTCAACATCCACCCACTCCGGAGAAACTCTAGACCAACAAAGCCGACACAAAGCTCTCGTGGTTTTACATTGCATTCCATAGCTTTCTTAGGGCATCTACTGAGCTTGTCTGTCGTTGTGAGTCTGATGGGCTAGATGACAACAATGATTGGTCCAGCGTCGCAGGACTGCGCTGCAGCCACGGACCCTCCAGCTCCATCGAAGCTCCCGGGCCCATCGTCATTGGAGCGCCTATCAAACACACTAAGCAGGGACTACAGATCCCCAACTACATAGCGGGGCGCAAATGCTACATTAAGGATACAGGCATAGAGACTGAGACCAGAGACACAGCCAAGAGAGGAAATCGGTTCGTAATAGCGACACAAATGAACGAAATGCAAAGGTACATCCATGCTCCTGACAATCTGAACGATCATCAACGAGCAGAACCCGGGATGGGACTGTGCCGGTAGACGAACAAGAAGTAAAGTTAAACAAGGACAAGATATGCTAGTAAGCCATGAGGCGACGGATGGTAACAGCAGGCACCTTTACATACCACACATCCTCCGCGAGACAAGCCGCATGTACACAGCGTATATACGAGACATCCGCTCGGCCGGTTCTTCTGAGTTGTCGGTGGCTACAGCATCCGCTAGGTTGCGGATCAACGCATTTAGCTGGTCTTGGCCTTGGCCAAGCCAACAGAGCCCTTCCCGTGGTCGTACACGCTGTACCACTTGCGCAGAAACGCGTCACCCAGAATAGCAAGGGGGCCCACGGGCTCAGGGAAGTCCATGCCCATGAAGCTACTGATGCAGGAGCCCTGGACCTCTAGGATGTAGTCGTAGGGGCCGATGGTGAAGTTGTGGCCGGCCAGGGTGAAGGTGAGGTCAGGCAGGCTGTCACGCTTTTCACACTCGACGCTGTACTGGCCAGTGAAGCCCTTCTTGGCACCAATCTCCTTGTTCAGGAGCTCAGCCATGGTCGAGGGCAGAGCAATGAGCGAGGTACCGGTGTCGAGGATAACACCGGTGTCCTCGAGCTCAGCCGTGTTCTCACCGAGGGTAATGGCGTCAAAGTCCACCTCCCAGTAGGCCTTGCGGCGGAGGGGAATGTTGATCATCTCACCGGTGTAGTGGCTCTTGTCCACACCACCGAACGTAGCCTCGGAATCATCACCCTCCTTGTTGGCGTCGCCCAGGTAGAAGGCGAACAGGGGCTCATCCAGAAGACCCTGGCTCAGCGCGTTGTAGAAGGGAGGAACCATCTTGTTGACGGAGATGGTGTCGAAGCCCAGACCCAGGATACCGTCGAAGCGGCCGAAGGCAAAGGCCAGGCCAGGCTCTTCGGTAGCCTCGGCGAAATCCTGGTGCTTGATTTGCAGATCGCCGATCGTCAGGGTGTCCTGAGACACGAAGCCGCTCAGGCTGCCAGATCCGTACCGGATGGCGAACTCGGTGCCGTTCTTCTTGTAGGTGCTGGATGAAGACGACTCATACTTGGTGTGGAGGAAGCAGGCGATGGAGTTGCACTGCGAAGAGGGAACCCACAGATTGGAGCTACCCGTGTCCAGGACGACCTTGAAGGTCTGAGGAGGGGTACCAAGGGAGATCTCGGAGAAGTCTAGGATCGGTCAGTACCGTGTTTTCTTGTGGAAATGGTTTTGGATGAGTGCTGAGGAAGAGGGGGGCGGTCAAGGTTACTGTGGAGACGGTATGCTTACACTGCGCGTTCAGGAAGTTGTCAACCAGCACGTTATGACCACTCTCGGGTTTGATGGAGGTGTCCTGGTAGCCGGAATTCGGGCGGAAGCCCATGTACTTCTGGCCCAGCGACTGGACATGTCTATCGATGTTGGCGGCTGTCTGCGATGATGCTGTTAGCTTGGGGTCTAAGGCAGCCACGACGAGATCCTTACCAACTGCTCGTCGAGCGGGACCTTGTTGAGCTTGAGCTTGTGGACCTCGGCAGAGGCGGCGCCCAACAGCGCAGAGGCTGTGAGCAGAGTGAAGGACTTCATGGTGGTGTAGGGTGGAGGATAGAGATGGAGAGGAGGAGAAGGAAGATAAGGATGGGCTGGGGGCGGAGCCTGGAGGCCGATCAGCAATAACGTGACGGGAGTGCGTCATTCCCGGAATCAGCTGGGCCGGCCATCGACTAAGTGGGTTACACCCACTGCACATTCCCCATTCCCCGTCCGTTTTCCCTCGGCCCGTGCCTATGCTAGACAAATCCGGCTGCATTTGGCAACCTGATCGCACTGATGACTATTTGTTTATTGATTGATATCTAGAACCTACCCATTGATACTGTCTGAGGAGTGGAACCGACTGTCGCGGTCCCGGGCAGAGGTGGCTGGGGTGTGTCGGCTGCTTGGCGCTAACTAGGAGAGGGGTCGAGCACCCGCGTACCTGGCAGCTGCAGGACTGAGCGACTGAGTGGATGAGTGAGGCGGCGGCCTGGCGCTTTTGCCCCTTCTCCCGGTCGCTGCAGCGTGACCGGGGTGATTCCTCGACTAGCTCAACCTCCTACACCGGAAACGCGTATGTAGTCTTGGTACAATCTACGGCCGGGTCTGGAGGAGCCAAGGGGGTCTCGACCTCTGTATCTACTAAAGAATATGGAATACTTTTTGATATCGGGGCCATAGGAAACCATCATAGCGTATGTCTCATAGACCCTGCATGTGATGCAACCTCCTCCTAATGGTATCCTGGCCCTTACGTGGTACGCCGCTGCCATCGCATCGCATCGCGTCGCATCCGATAATGAGCCATGCCGTAAAATGAATCATCCATATATTCCCAAGTATCACAGATTATTGATAATACAACGGTCCAGGCTAAGCTTTCACCACCACTATCCACGCGCTCCCAAGCAACACGGGGCTTACCGGTAGAAGTCGAGGCTGTAACAGAGTCAGTAACACAACAAAACGGGCGCTGGCACAAGGATGGACAGGATGTCGCATACCGGTCATCGTCATGGCCGCTCTTCACCTGAGCAGCATATGCATCCTCCAGGTCGGTCTGGATGATGTTGTATCGGTTCTTACGCACCGCCCGGAGACCGGCCTCCTGCATGATCGCAGCGATCACGGCGCCTGACAACGGCTCGTTACGCACAATCAGAGAGTCCAGGTCGACCTCGGGGGAAAGCGACATCTTGGACGCGATGGTGGTGAAAATCAGGCGGCGCTCACGGCGGTCACGAAGCGAGGGGAACTCGATCTTGCGGTCCAGACGACCAGGACGCAGCAGAGCCGGGTCCAGGGTGTCCGCGCGGTTGGTGGCCATGATGACCTTCACGTTGCTGGTTTGCTCGAAGCCGTCCATCTGGTTCAGCAGCTCCAGCAGAATACGCTGCACCTCACGGTCGGCACCGGTCTGGGCATCGAAACGCTTCGTGGCGATGGCGTCGATCTCGTCGATGAAGATAATGGCCGGCGAGTTCTCACGAGCCATCCGGAACACATCACGGACCATCCGGGGACCTTCACCCAGATACTTTTGTACAAACTCCGAGCCGTTCACACGAATGAAGCTAGCGGTTGTGCTGTTGGCTACAGCCTTGACCAGCATAGTCTTGCCTGTACCGGGGGGACCATACAGCAAAACACCACGGGGCGGGTCGATACCTGCAGCGCAGGGTTAGCAAAAAGGTCCATTAGCCATGGCTTACGGTCTTGATACCCACCGATCTGTCTGTAGAGGTCGAAGTGCGTCAACGGCAACTCGACGGCTTCCCGAATCTCCTGCTTCTGCATGTCCAATCCACCCACGTCCGCGTAGGTCACATCTGGCTTCTCATTCTCACCCAGCATCGCAATCGAGGAGTCAGCCTCGGGAGGAAGGATATCGACGAGTGCGTTGGAGTGACGGTGAAGGGCGACCGAGGACGATGGCTTCAGCTTCTCGCGGTCGAGTGTGGACAGGATACGGACGACGTAGTTGGATCCGGTCGAGCTCTGCACAATACCAGTACTACATGACCATCTGTTAGTAAAAAGTCGACTTTCATCAGTTGTAGCAAGGCCAGCATACTTCTGATCGATAGCTTCCATGAACTGCCCAATTACCAGCGGCACACTCTGTATCCGTTTGATCTCCTCTTGTGCTCGAACAAGCTCTCTCTTCAAGCTCCTACATGGACCCGCATAGTCAGAAATCGACTCCATTCTGTGGGACAAATGTTGGAGATACATGCCTTTGCTCATCCTTGATGTATTCTTCCTGCAGCTGAATGTATCTGTCCGAGGCGTCAGTACCGTTGGAGATAGTCGAGGACCCATCGTCACGTACTCGAGGTGTCTCTGTAACCGCTTCAGAGAGGCATATTCATCATTCCCATCGGCCTCTGCACCCTCGAGCGATTCCAGGTTGGCAAGGGTGTCCAGCGCACCGGGCTTGGAGAGAGGCGTGACGTTGTTCGCCGGGTTCTCCACGGCGACGTCTCCCATAGTGAGATCGTGGGACAATGAGTAGGAAGAAGGATCGGTCAAGAGAGGGTATGGGGGGATTGTGCGGGGCTGGGTTCGTGAATCGACGATGCAGGCGCGTTGTGCAGAGTCCGGAGATGGTGCTGGTCCGTCCTTGGAGCTTGATCGGGCAACATGGAGCTTACTGGGTTGTCACGTGACACTGATCGGCCAGCCGGCAAAGGGTGTTTCGTCAATTTTGCCTCCCTTTCGAAGTTGTCAGGAAGACAATCGGGTGTGACTGATCATAGGTATTTTATGCTGCAGATAGTTGGAACGATAGGTATTGATTTGGTACTCGTTGGACACGACACCCCCGGCCCCCGTACTTATGCCCCCAGACTCACGCTCTATCGAGTCACTCCATCCTTCACTAGCTAGCTCAGACGCCCCCGAACGTTTTCTAGGATTATTGGGGGTGTGGCGGTTTCGCCGGGGACGCCATCGGCACAGGACTGGGCTTGCTGGCCAGCCCAACTCCGCCATGGCCAATCAAACCAGTAGTCGGGGCTATCTGGAGATGATTCGTAGAGGCGACGCTGCCAGCACGCTGATACGCAGATCCAGGCAGCTGATCCTCCCAGCATACTACCGAGGATGTCATTCCACGAACGGGCTCTTCCTGGCTATTCTTGCCGTACTGGGGACCCTTCGTGACTTTTCGTAACCCATCATCGGGGCGAGGCATCCACCGAACCCACTTGTGATCGCGGGGGGGTCGTGCTGGTCACATCGCTTGGGCCTCGCGAGCTGCCATTGAGCCTTGGTGAAGGACCATCCAATGGTGGAGTCCAGGACAGCCCAAGAGAACCAGGGACTGGGCCACGGGTTGGGCAGTCGCAAGTTGCACGGGTTCGCGGGTTGACGGGTTAGCGGTTGCGCTGGGCCAAAAGGTGGGACAGGCACAGAACCATCACGATTTCCCATGCGGATCGAGTCGGATCCTTGCACAGGTCACTAGAGAACCTGGCCCTCTTGGCGGGGTGGTTCTTCCTCTGGTCCTGGAACGGGCGGGGGCTGCTTTCTTTTCTTTTTGGGACCTTTTACTTTGCGTTTTTGAGTGACTGTTCGGGGGATTGGGTGCTCTCGTCATGATTATCAGACGCTAGTGCGAGCTTTTATATAAGGAGAGCCGCGCCCACAACCGTGCCTGACGTGGAGGTCTCTTTCTCCCTCGTTCATTCCCCCCCCCCTCCTCTGTCCCTCTCCGGAGCGCTCGTTCTGGAGATCGCTTTTCTGAATTTCCGAGTTCACCTGGAGCGTATAAAAGCTGGGGGTTGCCCTGGGCCTCCCCAGCCCGAGTATACAGACTAACCGAACTGGGCGAAGACCGTTGGAATGGATCTTCACCGGACTCGTTCTGCGTCTCGGACCTGCGAGGAAGTTTTTTATTATTTTTTATTCATCTCCCCTTCTTCCTGTCTTCCCACAGACAGTCATCAAATTGCTTGCCGAAGTTTTGCTTTGCTCTGGACTTCTTCCTATTCTTGGTGGCCTTGCCAGGCTCTTCTTGATGGCGGTTGAGGCTGGCGGCCACCTGACTAACAGTCTGACTAACCAAGGGACGTCATGGCTGCGCAGCCAGGACAGCATCTCCAACCAAAACCGGCAAATCTTATGAGAAACAGAATTGATTCCGTGAATAGCTACCGGTAACTCCAGGAGGCACACGGACCAAACGCAAGCCGTACAGCCAGAAAGGCACAGGACGGTGTACGGTACGAGGGGTGTAATGGCGGTACGAGCTTCCCCGAAACCGGCCCAGCCTGCCAGCCGCAAGTGGGGGGCTTGGATGTACTGCACTGGGTACTACCGGTACTGTCGGTACAGTGCGGTACGCTGCCGTTTATCTGGCTAGACGTTCCTCCTGTATTTTTCCCTCGCCCTTCTTTGCCTCCACTTCGCCCTTCCCATCCCTAACTGCCTTTCCTGCTGCGCGCGAAACTGTACGGTAGGTACGCCATTCTTCGCTGCTGTTTCGTTTGCTTTTGATTCGGCCTTTTTGACCCCCCAATCTCCCCCATTTCCACCCCAAGCCTCCCCCCCCCTTGGTTGTGGCCACGCACCCACCCACTCTGACCCCCCTTCCCCCTTCTTCCGGCAGTCCACCGACAGCATCTTCCCAGCCCTCATTTGTCTCTTTATGGTTTTTCGGGCCGTCTTTATCGTCGCCTCTGGAAAGACCAGCGGCCCTTCCAGCCCATGAGACCTCCCCCCGGCCTAGCCTCTCTGCCCTCCCCCTCCCCGGCCTCTCCTTCTCCCCTCCCCTCCCAGTGACCTGCCCTTGCTCGCGCCGTCGTCGCCTCAGGCTACCACACACGTGACCCAGAGAGATCCAAACCTCTGTCTCTTGATCCATCTGCTAATTCCGGGACCCGGCTTCAGCCATCCGTTCGCAAGTCGGGAATTTGAGTGATCCAGCCTTGTCGGTATGTACATTCACTAAAACTCCTTTTCCCTTGGCTTTTTTTTATGGTCATTGTTTGTTTTGGGGTGATAATCCCACTCCCCTGTGCTGTGAGACTGTCCCCCGGAGCGTGTCGCGACCGGGCGCGCAAGCCCCAAACAACTTGGCCCAAAACGCGTGCACATGTTCTTGGAAAGTCATTGGCAGGCTACACTTACTTCCCTGTTGATGATGGAGATGTAAATACACGGGGTGGCTCTAATCGCGATGACGACGTGCGAGCTTATTGGATCTTGCTGACCTGGGTTTCCTATGACATAGATGGGTTGGAAAAATCGCACGACATGAACGCCTGGCTCGCCGACGCCTCGAATCTTCCTGGCCAGGATAGTGGGGCCTTCAATCCGTCTACCATCGACCCCTCAGCCGCCTTCCTCCATGCCTCTCCCAACCCTCAGGACCCCAACCAATTCCAGCGCATGTTCAACTCCGTGCCTCGGAATGCCTCCCCGGGGTTTCACAACCCCAATCAGGTAATTCCATCCAAACGGCCCCGGCCAGAAGATGGCATGCCCATGTCACCGCGGCCGGCGCCCGGTGCTGGTGTGACCGGGTCGCGATCGCAGACTCCCCATCAAGTGCCTTATCCAGGCTATCAAGGTCCTGCAAATGGAGCCCAATTCCCTCAGCACCCGACGCCCTATCAGCATCTTCAACAAGGAGCCTCGCCCAATGTGACCCAGTCGCCAATTATGCAAGACTTTGACCAACAAAGCGTGCGCATGGGAACAGCTTCGCCGAGCCCCTACTCGCCCGCGGGCCCGCATGTTGGTGGCCCTCATATGTCACCCTCGCAGTCTGATGGCAGCCGCGTCAATACACCTCAGAACAACCAGTTTATGCCTGGGCAAGCTTTCCCGCAGGGGATGAACCCACAATTCCAGCAGACACCGGGCATGACCTCGACTGCACAGCAACCGCCGATGCAGGCCCAGCAATTCAATGGCATGCAGCAGGTGCCCCAAAGCTACCACCAAGCAATTGCTGCGCAGCAACAGCGACTTCGTCAAATGCAAATGCAACAAAATCAACAACTAAATGCCAACCCGCAAATGGCTAGCCGCCCCCAAGGGCCTCCTATGGCCAACCCCCAACAAATGGCTGCCATTCGTCAGATGCAACAGCAGCAAGCGCAACGACAACAGCAGCAGCAGAATATCTGTAAACCCAACAACCCCGAGATGTTCATGCAGACGTTGCAAAAATTCATGATGTCACGAAGCCTTCCTTTGGACCCCAATCCCATCATAAGCGGCCGTCCCATCAATGTCATGCAATTGTATGGCACAGTGATGAAAATGGGTGGGTCGAAGAAAGTAACCGCAATGAACGTGTGGCCGATGGTTGCACAGCAGCTCCAATTTCCTCAGGTTCAGTTCCCTATGGCCGCACAGGAGATTCGGGAATACCACCAAAGGAACTTGGCCCCTTATGAGCAGGCCTATTTCCAATCTCAGTCTAAACAGTTGGCGGAGATGCAGCAGCAGCAGCAGCAGCAGCAACAACAACAACAACAACAGCAGCAACAACAGCAGCAGCAGCAGCAGCAGCAGCAGCAGCAACAACAACACCAGCAGCAGCAGCATCAACAGCATCAACACCAGCAGCAGCAACAGCATCAACAGCATCAACAGCAGCAACATCATCCGGGTGGGATTCCTCGCCAGCCTAGCGATCCGTCAGCTATGCAATTCCACTCTCCCCAGATCAAGCCAGGCCAGGGCTTTGAGCAACCTCAATCAATCCCCCACACTCCTCAAAACAATACTCCCGTCTCCAATAATGCTCAGGCTACCCCAGTAAATGGGTTTGCCACACCCACACAGGCACGAAGCCACAACAAACCAGCTCCACCGGGGCACCGGCTCAGTGTCTCGCGACAGTCACAGCCACCGGTTCCCCCAACGGAGGTTGTGGGGCAGTTTGCGGCGCCTTCACCATCCCAACAAGGGAAGCCGGCCATGACTCCAGTCCAGCCACCGGTGCAAGCTCCGGAAACACAGCCGGATCAAGTGGTCAAGCGACCTATTGAAGACACATTTAAACCCATGGTCGTCACCGAGCGTCGACTACATGGTCCTATTCAGGTTGACGAAATGTACCAGCTCGGCGAGGACATTTCAAGGCTCAGGCCCACTGTACCAAGCTTCGCCGAGTTGGGTGTGGTAGATATCCATGCGTTGACCATGGGTTTGAAGTCCGGGATCCATGCTGAAATCCGGGTTGCGCTGGATACTCTCACCACTCTTTCCTGTGAGCCTGCTGTCCAGATTTCCCTTGAGAACTGTGACGACCTGGTAGAAAGTTTGGTGGACTGTGCCGATGACCAGGCTGATTTCCTGGCTGAACACATTCAAGAAGTTACCGACGTTATAGCCTTCCGTTCCTACGAAGATGTCACTCGGGGTTGCCAGTCCGAACATACGTCACTGGCAGATGTGCATGAGTTTGGCAGCCTCGACTATGAACTTGACCGTGCCGTGGACCGACTGATCTGTATTACCACCATTCTCCGCAACTTTTCGTTTAGCGAGTCAAACTTCGGCGTATTGGGAATGTCTTCCGTTACCCAATGCCTCGCAAATATCTTCCGCAACGTCGGTACTCGTCCCATGTACCTACGAACCGACCAGAACTTATTGGATTTCATGAAGGATGCCGTGATTTTCATGAGCAACTTGGCTCATGTCATGCAAATACCCGGGAAAGAGGAGGCCTTGAGTCTATTAAGCTTCCTCCTAGCATTCTCGCCCTTGCCAGGACCAACAGCAGCGAAGCCAGGTCAGGTCATGTTTACGTCGTTTAATTCTTCTATTCACCGATATACTCCCGCCGCCGTGGATGGCCTTGCCAAACTGCTGGCAAGAGATGATCCGAACCGTATTTACTTCGGTGCCATTTTCTCTGGGGATGGGTCTGCACCTCCGCAGCCAGAGCTTCTCACCCGCTCATTTGGCCTCGCCATCTGTGCAGTGCCGGATAGGAAGCCCCTAGCCGTGGCGGATGCCCGGAAGGTCTTCCTCATGCAGGGTCTTCTGGCCGCTGACGTTCTGACCACATTCGCCGATGGAGCTCTCGCCAAGCTGTGGCTTGGGTCTGTCGACGGATTCGCCATTCACCTCCTGCGCCTGTCCTGCCTCCTCTGCACCGAGCGCATCCCGAATATCAACCCCCGCCAAAGAAGCCAGGCTGAAGCGGAAGCCTATGCCTTCGGCTCGATCATCCACCGCGGACTGGCTATTCTGCGTCGCCTCGCCGAGAAGTCCAAGCAAGTGGACAACGTCTCTCTCCACCTCCCCTCCGGTATCCTCCCCAGCAAAGAGAGCCTCCTCGGCGCCTTGCTCCTCGCGAACATGGACCCCACAATCATCCGCCAACTCCTCACATACGCCAAGCTAGCAGAATAAACCACGCCGCCGCGTTTTTGTTCTTGCATAGAGCTATGCCCGGGTGTGTTATGTCCCAAAAAAATCGGGTTTGGTGACCAGCATGAAGGCGAGACGCTCGAAACGAATTGATTTGCCGCGAGCACGCAGCATATACGAGAATTTCCGATCTTAATCCTCATGTCATTTGTACCTCATGTCTCAAAGTCAATCAATCTACCCTACAGTCGGCATGGTCCGGTCCGGTCCGATCTTGTGTTTCTTCCCTATGGATGCTTTATCTTCTTGGGCGCCGGTGGGATATCGGAGGAGGGTTTTTTCCATCTGCCTTCTGTTTCCTTTTTCTGGATTATTTCTACTCCTGCCTTCCATTGTGAGATAGCGTGTCCCTCGTGTGTTTATTCTGTACAATGCTCAAAATACCCTCGGCTGAACGCGAGAGATTGAGGTTTATTTGTTCCAGTCTAGAATTCGTAGGAGTTTTGTTAAACATGTATCGACACTGCCTTACACGCACAGACATGACAAGATCCTCGTATTGCGTGAAGCCTACCTGCCAGCAGATGTCTCCACCCGTGTCGTTCGTTTCGCGTCCGCTCAACCATGGAGGAGAGGTTCCAATATCGTACATTCCACCTATCCCCAGTTTGGCACGACGCGATGAAAATAGGTGACAGCCTCTCTCCAGATTGATCAACCCCTTTCCCTCTTCGCCACGGGCTCCGTTGTGTATCCTGTGCCATCGTAATCGGCTACAGATGTGCTCCTCGTCGCTGCTGCATATTCAACGCTCGGATCTGCGGGCGATGGGAGATTGTAGCCCACTCGCTCGACACTGTATGCTGATCCCGAATGTGATCCGTCCGCCGACAATTCGCCGACAATGTGCCAGAAAAATTATTGATACCATAAGGATGCGCTTCTGGGGCTCTTCATAGGCGATATCCGACCTGGGTTTCCTGGACAGTCAAATGACTGACGACGCTAATCTCAGGGATGGCCCCCTCTGGGGGCCAGACCCAATGGCCTTAACCAGTAAGTCTCAATCTTTCTTCAATAATGGAAACAACCTCAGTCCATTCTCGCATCCCTCCGATTCCGATGTCTCCGCAGGCGAGCATTTTCTGCCGATAAACATTAGCAGATTGCATACAACGCAGAAGGCTGATCGACACAAGGAGTATTACTCCACATACCCCAATAGGCCTATAGACCTCAAACCAGCCCTGGCCATGCTTCTCCCCATTCTCCCCATCTCTTACCCCCCAATCCTCCTCCAAAACCCTTATCTGCTGCGTCGTAACCGGATGCAACCACATTGCGACATTCATGGCCGGAAACACCACAATCCGCTTCTTCATCCCATCCAGCTGCCCCGACGTATCCCACGCCCGAATTGTATTCGTCAATAGGTTATCTGACATACCGTTGACAATTTTCGCCAGCGTATTTGCGCTCAGCGGTGCAATCACTAAGATATGCGCCCACTTGCGCAGGTTGATGTGCAGGATGCCCGCGCCGCGAACCCAACTCTCGGCTTCCTCATCCAGGTCAAGGTAGACGCCGTCGACGTTGGGTAGGGTGGAGAGTGATTCGATTGTGGGTTGTTCTGGGGAATGCCCATTCAAGAAATGGGTGGCAGAGGTGGTAAGAATCACCCTGATGGAGAGATTCCGGTGTTTTGAGAGGGCGCCGATTATGTTTGGGAGCTTGATGGTGGCTACTGAGCCACTCCTAAAATTTAATTATCACGTTAGCGCTAGAATAAGGCATGAACGACGCTGGCAAGAGAGCTTACGCAGCTAGAAGTAGGTGCGTTTTGCCATCATCGGTCGCAGCTGCGACGGCGTCTGCCGGGGCTATAGAGCGGATCCTTGACATCGATGAGGGGTGCAGCTAGATGGTATAGAAGGACCTGACGAAAGGGATAACGGAAGTATAGGTTGACGTAGACTGAGGACTAGATCGTTGCTCGTTGGAGATATCGCGGGGAGGCAGGCGGGGATGATTCTCGCGCCGCTTGATTAATAAGCGAGCTTCTAGAAAATGCGGGGATACGGCCAACTCAAAGTGTCAAATTGGAACGAAAAGGTTTGATTGGCTTCCTTTTCGCGTGAGATGGCTATTGTTTTGAATCAACTCTAATAGAAGGCCTTTACGAATTTGAATGTTGATCTTCATCGACCATATATTATGAAGTCATCGGCTTGCAATAAAATATTCCAGGTTATGTCATGCGCTGTTTTCCAGCAGTTCCCAAATCTAACCTTTGGATATCATTGACATCAATGTTCTGCTTCTGAATGGTGACGCTGTTCAAATTTCAGCCTTTCTCTTCTCCAGTTCCTCCCGTCTGCGCTGTGCTTCCTTTTCTTCTTCCTGTACCTTTTTTCGTTCCGCCTCTACCTCCTCCTTACCATCACTATCGGTTGTTCCAATCTTTGAGGACTCGAGATCCATTTCCTTGACCATAGGTAATTAGCTCCTCCCCAGCCTCTTAACGCAAGAAATAATTTGGCTTGAGGACTTTTTTGAGGGGTTATTGGTGTCAGTAGCAGTTTCATATACCCATCAGAGAGGCAATTTCGATGTCAAGGGCTGTGTGTTGGCCCATGATCGCGTTTGTTATAGTGTTTACTCTCGTTTTCCGACAGCTGTAAAGAAAGGTTGATTGAGAAGGAAGAATCGGGTTCGCAGAGGGCGAGTTTCGGGTTAAATAGTATATCTATTCTTCTCTCCCTTCATCTCAAGGCAGGGCGTCGATCCAGACATCATGATGGAGACGTGTATAGACTTAGTGGATCTCTTCCAAGGTTGCAGGGGTCAAAGTGATATCAGTAGCGGCAGAGGGTGGCCTATCTTTCATCCAGCTGGATTATTCCATCTAGAGCTAAATGTTCCTGGAACTTCCTTCGCCAGACAATATACTTGAAGCTGTACACAGTGCCGTAGCAAATCTAGCAAAATTAACGATGGATTTTGCTCTTCTCTTGAGCCGCAAACTGCAGAAAGATAGGATGAGGCATGGTCAACTCGAGCCCTAAGTTGATCACCTGATGACATGTTCGGTTCTCAGGCACTACTGTATGGTTGGTTGTGGGCAGGTAGCTGGACTAAGGTAAATTTTAAAGCCTGCAGTCCTCCCCAATGTGATTTCCTCATGGGAAACGAGACTCATTTTATTGAGAAACAACTAGATCTGCTTTTAAGATGTAGATTGAATTAATTCAACTGAAGAGTTTTAATATATCGAGGATGAGTGGTGGTTCAGACTTTCCGTTTTCGGAATATGGTGAAGAAGGAACGTGTATATAGCCAAAATGGATTACAGTGAGCCTATGCAGTCTAATCACATCCCGAAAATCTTCGTAGGCAGCATTCAAGAGCAATGAAGAAAGGACTCTGCTAAGTTCCCTTGGCGGTACAGACACATCGAATCAAATCACTACGCTCCTAACAGATATATATGACGATGCATGGATTCATTCAATTAGAAAAGAAGACCAGGGCCAGCACCTGTCGAGTCATTGAACATGTACAAGATAGAAATGGTACAGGAGTGCGATGAAAAGGAACGCAAGCGCCAGGAACCAGGGCCACTTAGAAAAGAGATCAGAAGCAAATGACAACACCCGCGGAAAAACACAAACGAAAATGACCCCATAAACTGAGATTGAGAAATACACCGAGGGAGTAGGGAGTCGAGGAAAAGGCGGGGAATATCACCCATGGGCATCACAGGTCCCCCAGAACCGAACCTGGCTTCCTCCTCTTACTGGCCCTCCATATGCTTTTGTTTTCGCCCTTTGTCCTCCCGCTTCAGCGCTCTTCGGGAACCCTCGCTCATTGGAACCCGTTCAATGATTCTGTGGAGACATCGGACAATTCGTCGCCCGGAAAGATAAATTATGGAGAACAGAGTTTAAAAGTTGCGCTCCTGGAGGAACTTCACGATTTCGGGTTTCCGCCAGCCCTATGAAATAGTCGTTAGTCTCGAATTTCAAAGAGGGAGAAGAACTGGCATAAAACGGCAGGTGGCAAGGAGAGCATACCTTGACGACAATGTGACCGTTGAGACGGTTGATCGACACATCAGGGCTCCGGGTGTCAACTCCCAGAGTCAGTGCCAAGTCACTACGCAGCGCATCCAAATCGCCCTCGGTCTTCTGGATCTTAGTGAGCTGCTTGGTGCCACCGGCTTTCGTAACGAGGTACACAGGCAGCTGGTTGGAGCCGGTTCGGCGAACGAAGTAAGGAAGATTATTTAGAGACAGAGCCGGCTTCGGTTGCTTGCCCTGCTTGGGCAGGGGTGCGGAATGTGAGATGGGTTGTTCCTTGAGAGCTTGCGCTTCACGGCGGAGTTGCGTCAGGAACGTGCGAGTCTGGTGAGTGGAAAGAGAGATTCGGGATGAAGTCGGACGGTGTGAGGATTGGAGGCGGGAAACTGCAGGAGAAAGCATAGCTTTGTTAGATGATGTCTTTTCTCTCAGTCCAGAATGGCATGGTCCGAGACCCATGTTTTTCTATCCTCGCGAGTAAAACCGTCTGTATTCCTTATAGTTCTGGAAAGGAATCTATACAGCCTGACTGGCAGAAGTAAAGACAAAAGAGCAAAGACTTACAGGAGACATGCTGTGTTGACGAAGATAATGAAGAAACCCGGTTACATGTCTGCGCAGAAGCGACGGACGGGGTCAGGCGGAGAGTGGCAGTCTGCTTGCACACGGCCGAAGCGACCGAAGCTGACTGACGAAGAGACGCCATTGATCGTCTTGGGTTAAGCCGGACGGGGAAGCACCGGAGAACCTGTGGGGGAGAAGGTCAACAAAAAAATAAGCCGCGATGCTCGACGGATGGACGTAGCAGGTTTCTTCGCAGCCGCCGATTCTGCCACCGCCCCTTGCCCCAAAGCAGTTTAGCGCCACACACCCTCCCGCACACAAATTCAAAGTGCAAAGTGCGTTGTGCCTCGTCTTCGATCTTCGATCAACCACATTTGCGTCCACCATGGCAGACAACGCCCCTCCTTCCGCTGAGAAGCTCAGCGGCGCTCAACCGACCGATATCACCCCCCAATATGACCTGCTGCCTCGCCTGATCCCGTACCTCGACCGCCACCTGGTTTTCCCTCTGCTTGAATTCAGCGCCGGCACCGATGAGGAGGACAAAGAAATCATTCGCGCCAAGTATGAGCTGCTCAAGCACACCAACATGACCGACTATGTCGCCAATTTGTGGAAGGAGATGAACGATTCCGACACGATCCCCGATGAGTTCGTGAAGAAGCGTGAGGAGGTTCTGGCCAAGCTGGAGCACTACCAGGTTCAGAGCGAGAAGATCACCGAGCTGTTGCAGGATGAGGAAGTTGTGGGTAACCTGCGGAGCGACAAGGCCGCCAACTTGCGTTTCCTCGAGGAGCAGCACGGTGTCACCAACGAGATGGTCAACAGCCTGTACGACTACGGCCGGTTCCAGTACAGCTGCGGCAGTTACGGTAATGCCGCCGAGCTGCTCTACCAGTTCCGTGTTCTGTCTACCGACAACGACAAGGTCGCCTCTGCTACCTGGGGTAAGCTGGCGTCCGAGATCCTGACCACCAACTGGGAGGGCGCGATGGAGGAGGTGCAGAAGGCCAAGGACTCCATCGAGACCCGCCTCTTCAACAACCCGCTAGCCCAGCTCACCAACCGCTCCTGGCTCATTCACTGGGCCCTGTTTCCCTTCTTCAACCACGACCCCGCCCGCGACGTCCTGACCGACCTCTTCTTCTCCCCCGCCTACATCAACACCATCCAAACCAGCTGCCCCTGGGTTCTGCGCTACCTTGCCGCTGCCGTCATCACCAACCGCAGCCGCCCCCACAAGCACCACGGTGTCTACCAGAAGCAATTGAAGGACCTGATTCGCGTGGTTCGCCAGGAAGGCTACGAGTACACCGACCCCATCACCGACTTCATCAAGGCCCTGTACGTCGACTTTGACTTTGAGGAGGCCCAGCGCAAGCTGGGTGAGGCCGAGGACGTTCTGCGTAGCGACTTCTTCCTTGTTTCTGCCGCAGATGCTTTCATTGAGGCTGCCCGTCACCTCATCTCTGAGAGCTACTGCAAGATCCACCAGCGGATTGATATCAAGTAAGTTGTCATATCCGAGCAGCCAAATTTGACTGGAAGACCCAAATGATCTAACCAATTCCCCAGGGACCTGTCCACTCGTCTCGGTCTGACCCAGGATGAGGGTGAGAAGTGGATTGTCAACCTCATCCGCGACACCCGGGTTGACGCCAAGATCGACTACAAGGAGAGCACTGTGATCATGAACCACCCTCCCCAGTCGGTGTACCAGCAAGTCATTGAGAAGACAAAGGGTGCCTTCTTCCGGACACAAGTACTGAGGTAAGCAAACTCCGCGGCCAATTTTCTTTCACGGATATCAATTTGCTAACAATGCTTCCAGCTCGGCTGTTGCGAAATGAAATACCTCTCCATGAGCTGATGCCAAAAAACCGAACTTCTTCTTTGTTATTATCCACCCACGTTTTCTGCCTACCCATTTTAGTGATCTCCCCGTGTATGTCACAACACGGTTCTAGGTGAGAGATGGGCACCCCGCGCAGAGTGGCATCCGGCTGGCGTTCTTAGGTGGTCCACCTTTTTGATGTTTTCCTTTTTTACCTCCTAGTCCACAGTTCCCTATCCCTTATATTTCCATTTTCCCCTTTCTCTGCCGTCAGATATTTATTTCTTCTCTCTATTATCTTTTCTTTCTTGTGTTTTTTGCGCACCAAGAAGGTCTTCTGGCCCTGGTGGTTTTGCAGAGAAAGGGAGATGGAGGTCGGAAAAAGAAGCCTATGATCGATTTCCATGGCATGCACGGGGAAGACGGGATGGCACTTCCCCGCGCCTTTCTTTGTTTTGCAGAAGAAAATGACGGGGATCAGGTAGAGGACCCCGGGTTTAGGTCAAGGTCTGATGGATCTATGCTGTTACGAATGGTCTATAGAGATGAGTGAAAGAAAGAATGATGTCTGACAATGTCTGGTTCAGCGGTTCTTATATTGAGACTTGGTAATAAAGGTATTCCATGGCGATGACAGCTTCGTATTGCGCCCTAGGCAGGTCTCGGTATCGACGGAGAAGCTGCCACCAAACGAAAGGGGGTATCGTCATAAGAAGAGAAAAGAAAAAAAAGTGCCCGAAAGTGCCGTTAGGTGTCAAATCTACGGCCAATGTCCGCTGTATCCTTTGCATCCTGGGGCAATCCTTTCTCCTGGCCTGGTTCCATCCGTGGGAATAGACGAGGCCAAGGACCTGCGAGCCGGAATGCATGTCCCTTTGCCTGTTTGGAGAACGACAACTTCCGGGCCGAAAGGTGACCGTGACCGGATAATTGGAGTCTTCAGGGAGCACCTCGGTAAACAAAAGAAAATCGACTGAAGCATCTATGGCTTTGACCAGGTAGGATTGCCAATTCCTTTTAGGACAATGAGACCCGGGAGAAAGGAAGCACTCTGTTCTCAACGAGCGATTCTGGAGTCCGGTTCCACAGGGCGCCTGCGGGCTCGATTGGAATCCACTGGGATAATCTCGTTGATATACGGCTCTGATGGCTGTCGAGATGAACCATCGCCGACATTGCTGGAGGTAGAGGTAGTACTTTGATTGGTCATGCGAAGTGCTTCCTGCCTCTCATACTCCCGAGACATGGCCGCGAGGTCATCGATTTGGTCCTGGAGACACAGGGTCAGCACGGCTGTCCATTTTCTCTCCGGCGTAGAGACAGGCAGACCCGAGTCAGAGGCATGCCCGTAATGAGGTATCCTTCGCGCCCCTTTAAACAAGACAGGTCATCTGGTTAGAGCGTGTCAACCGTGGCGCGCAGCGGGAGGTGGAACCCCAAGTACCTGATAACTATACGGTCTCACTGACGCAGACGGGCCAAGGAAATAGTGTATGTGCCCGAGGACAATGTGCCGGGACAGACCATACCCTGGAAGCCAGTATTGTTGAACTCGAGACATTGTAGCAGGTATGTAAAGGGGGAAGGGGAGGGAAGTCGCAAAGGAGGCGTGTGCGTTGGGAGTCAAGAGCACAAACAGGGCTAGGGCTTGGGCTTGCGGTCTGATAACCGGATGAGGCCAACACGAGCAGAACCGGAACAGGAGACGGGCAGCGGAGATCGTTTGGTATCTTTCTCCCTCTGGCATTAAGACCTCACGGCATCAGGACCACGCATGGGGGTATAAATAACTGACCAGGCCAACCGAGCTTCCGAACCGAGCGGGTCCCTCTGGGAAGCTCTCCCCTCTCGTACAGCATGCGGTCAATAAAGAAGCAGAAGGCCCGTTGTCGGAGGGCACCAGGAACGAATGAAGACAAGTCACCGGGCTGCAGTCCTGCGGCTGCTGTCTCTCCCTCGATCTATTCGGGAAAAAAATGATCTCACACAGCAGTCGGCCGCCTAGCAACCAGCAACGGCGACACTGAAACCGCGCAAACTCTCCCGGTCCGGTAGTACCTACCTTCTTCCAACTAGTCTCCCTCAAGCGACCTCCCGCAAGCGAGAAGCCAAAGGAAGCACCTCCGATCCACCGGCTTTCGATCTCTCGACCCAAGGCGAACGAATGGCATCCTCGCGAGGGCCACGAAACCCGGCCAAACGCCGCACGACGCCGGTCTCAAGTCTCCCCGAGAAGAATGGGGGCGCGGACATGATGACGATCCAGTCAGTTCCCGACCGCTTCCTGGGACTTCTGGCTGTAGAGGATTCAAGTCGGATCCGTCGGGGCGAGCACAGCACAGAAAGGGGGTGGACAACCGCCTCACTTCGAAGAAACAACGGCACCCAACCCTTTCGCATTAACTTAATTAAGTGGACGGATCTGACGATGGCGGCAGCGTCTGCCGGGCCTGTCAGAGATAGCTAGAATGCCAGAAGTGCCAGGAAGACCAGACGCCAGAACAACACAGGCCAGTCGTTGCTGTAGGGCCGTGGACCAGGAACCGAGCGGGCCAGTGTCAAAAGTGAGGCTTGCTCGGTGGTGCGGTGCCCTCGAATCAATTGGGGGTCTGCTCGGCACAGGCGAAGTACGATGAACAACGCACCTGCAAGTCAACCAGCAGCGACTGCAGAAAGCAGCAAGCAGACGATCGGAGCCAAATCACAGCTCGAGCGTAAAAAGGGGGTGGCAGTCTGGCATGACCACCTGCCCTGCTCGCAGCCCATTCGAACTATGCCACCTTTGCACCTATTCGCGCTAATTAGTCAACGGGCATCAAAGGTAGCGCCTCCGATGTGGGGGGCTTTTTCGGATTTCCAGGAAAGGCAGAAAACGTCGTACAAGCACCGCGGCCGTTCTGCTCACCGCACCCTCGTCTCTGCAGCACCAATTTGGCTCTTCCTGCGCCGATGTCGTGGCACCACGGAGCCCTCTTTTCGTCGCGGGGCCCAGACTGAGCTGCAGGCGGCATTTCTGCATCTCTTCGTTTTGGGGATCCCAGCGACGGGGCCGCGACGAAGCGATTGCGATTGCGATTGCGATTGCGTTGGGGGGGTCCGATTGATGCCGAACACATGGCAGATGCAGACGACACGTTACGAGGGGTTCGTTCGAGTCTGGCTGCGATGCAGCCGGCAAATTAGGGGGTTGCCGGACGATCGAGGTTCCTGCTTTCTCCACGAGTCGATCCGTTAGGGAGGCACCGGCTGTCGCCATCCCTCTGGCGTAGTTGGGAGGAGCGAGACGTCGTTGCAAGTGGGTAAAAGTAATGCAAACTGTGCCGTCGGGTTCACCTCTATTATCGGCCGGAAATCGGCAATGAGATGTGACGAGGGCTGCATGAGCCGACGGCGATTGAACATGGCGCCTACAACGGTCCGGGCTGCTTCGATATCCCAGCATAGCATGGAGTTCTATACAGATGCCATCATGCAGCCATGGGCAATGGGCAATGGGCAATGGGCAATGGGCAATGGGCAATGGGCAATGGGCAATGGGCAATGGGGCCACAAGGTACGCAGAATGGAAAGGTTGGCGTGCGTCATGTATTATTGCTCTAGTCTTTTCATAATTCGTCTGACGAGATAGCCCAGCTCGTATCCTCGCATTTCAAGTACCAATGCACGCCCTTATTGCGGAGGCACATACGGGTGGACGAGCATGTTGCTGAACCTGTAGGGGTGAAGAGCGATGGTTAGCCGAGGCCGCTAAGAAAACAAAAAGAAAACCAATCGTCGCAATCATTATCCAGGGCTACTTACTGCTCCAGCTTCTCCTTCCCGCGGACCTCCTCGACCAACAGAGGCATGCGCACCACGTTGAAGTCCTCGTAAAGCTCCTCGATCTGTTCGAGGTACTTCTTCTGCATCTTCCTCCGCGCATTGCACTGGTCGCAGCCGCTCCCGTCCTTGGGGAACAACAACTGGTTCACCACAATCGAGTGGGTATCAATGCCGTAGCTAGTTAATTCCTGGATCATGCGCTCCGTCTCATACAGCGACAGGAACTCCGCAATGCAGACACACACAAAAGTGGTCATGTCCGGGTCCTTGAACTGTGAGTTGACCTCGCCGATCGTCTCGCGCAGCGATTCCATCTTCTGCAGCAGTTCGTCCATGTTCTGGCCACCGGGCAGACCGCCCCGCGCGCCGAGAATCGAGTTCAGCATCGGGCCGAACTGGGAGGACAGCTGCGAGAGCTTGGCCAGGGCCTTCTCAAGGACGGTGGGAAATTGCAGGAAGCGCAGGGTATGGCCGGTCGGGGCGGTGTCGAACACGATGACTTCGTAGGAGAGCGACTTGACCTGCTTTAGCACTTCGGCGAAAGACATTGCCTCGTCCACTCCGGGAATCTAGAGGCCCGAAGGTGACCAATTAGCTCATACATTTTTACGCAGGAAGACCGAGAGAAGTTCCACTCACGCTGAACGCCAGGTCCTGCATCATATTTCCCATGCCCAGACCCGCCATGGGGTCTTCGCCCTGGCCGTCGCCATTCGCCAGAAGATCCTGAATGCTCCCGTTGGGGTCGATCTCCATGGCGCTGAGGTTGTCATAGCCGTCCACCAGGCGGGCCTCCTTTCCGAATTTCTGGCCAAACGCATCACTCAAGTTGTGAGCGGGATCGGTGGAGATCAGCAGCACCGACTTGCGGACCTTAGACAGCTGGATGGCGAGCGAGCAGGAGGTGGTGGTCTTGCCGACACCACCTTTGCCGCCGACGAAGATCCAGCGGAGGGTGTTCTGGTTCAAGATCGACTGGAGCGTGGGCTCCATGTCAAGGTCGTCGCCATGAACCACGGCGGAGGACATTTTCGGCGGTGCGAAAAGGCCGGAGAAAAGGGAAGGGAAAGGGAGAAGATGGCGGAGTGAGGTGTGGTCTGTTTCGGCGGGGAGGCAGAGGGTGATGAGGTTCGAACTTGAGGATTTGCCCCGCAAAGCGATCGAACGTTCGGGAAGACGGTCGCGACGGGCATGACAGGTGTCCGGGCCCTGCTTTGGGCAGAGAGACGGTGGGGAGAAGTTAAATTGTGGTTTGTTTTGCTTTCATCGTCCTTCATAATGGGAAAATAGAGCATCTTCTCGAGAACGGTCTTCCGTTGAGTTGCTGTCCGACAATCGCTGCTCCCGGCCGGTGAACAGCGCACCGCTACCAAGCAGCTTGCCCTGACGAGATCTACTATATCCGAAAAATCCAAGCGGAACTGCTGGCCGCGAATCCAACGTGTAGAATCCCGTCAAATCGTCGCCTCCCAATCTGAGTCGACAGGAGCCTCCTCCACCCCGCCGGGCGAGAGCCATGGCATCCTCCGCAGCCGTCGGTGCCCTCCGATGGCCGCCATCGCCTAAAGGCCCGTAGATATGGCAAGCTGGCCTGCATTATGCTCCTGATCTTTCCCTCCAATCTTCACGTCTTCCTTACTGCATTCCTCCTCGCTGCCTACAGTTAATGGACCCCTCTGACCCCTCTCGTGATTCCGCCCATCGCATCACCTCCCGCCTCGCCCTCGTCCAGCAACAGCTGCTATCCTCACCCTCCCAGGCCCGCGCCCACGCCTCCCCGCGCCAACCACCCAGCATGGCCCGCGATCCCATTACTTGCCACTGCCTCAACACGCTGACCGGCACACCCGCCGCCAACCTGCCCGTCACGTTGACGCTGCTATCCGCGCCCGCCTCGCCGTCCAGCCCCGTTACCTTCCGCGCCACGACCAACGCCGACGGCCGCGTCGCAACGTGGACGCCCGTGGGCGCGTCCTCGGTCCCCGAGGTCCTGTCCGCGCTGCCTACAGCGGAGAGCAAAACCAATTGGGCGGTGCGCTTTGAGGTCGGACCCTGGTATGAAGCCCAGGGCATTGAGAGCTTCTGGCCGGAGGTCGAGGTCAAGTTCACGGTGAAGGGCCGCGGCCGTGACGGAGAGGAGGGCTGGCGCCATTACCATGTGCCTGTGCTCTTGGGTCCCTGGAACTACTCGACTTATCGCGGGTCTTGATCGTTCTTGCTTGTATATGAAGATGTGAAATGGCAATAAATTTTCCCCCATAAATGTTCCATCACTGTTGTATTTCTATCAACCTCTCTGGTTCTCCGTGCATGACCACTGAAGCGAGCGCTTATGTTCTGTACGCTGATCATTGAGCTGATGAAACCAAAGGTCTTGCATTCTTCCATCAAGTAAGGCAAGATGGCCGAGTTGGTCTATGGCGCACGGTTCAGGTTTACCTGATCCAAACTTCCGTGTCTCGAAAGGGGCGTGGGTTCGAATCCCACTCTTGTCATTTCTTTTTGCATTCTTCGGGTTCTTTCAACTCAACCCGAAGCTAGGTGATAAATTTTTTGTTTTCCCTATTGCAAAATCCTTGAAGGTTTCCTGGCAGGCCGGAGATAAAGTCTTTTTTCAACCATCGCTTTTCAAAGACCCCCAGGAATTTCCTTTCGTGCGTAAGGCGCATAGCACGAATCCTGCTAGCAGGCTAGTTATTGCCGTGAAAGCCGTCAAAGAGGGTAAAGATGATTGGGTCTGGCCTTTTACTCACGGAAAGAGGGCAGTTCTCGGTATGAACAGCCTTGTTGATTGTCTTGAGGGGCTTCCTTCGCAGAGTCTCAGTTATTGCCTCGCCGATTGATACCGGTCTGTGTTTCGGAGGATACTAGTAGAGGAGTGGCCGTTGAAAATAGTCCCGAAAAATTTCCCCAACTTGAACTTGATGGGGCCATTGTGGAACCTGTTCAGCGAGAGATGGACTCGGAGGATACCTCTCATTAATCTCTGTCTTAGCCATCCAGGTTCTGGTTTATATATAGTATCAGTCGGTTATTCCCACTGTATCTAGGCCCACTGCCAGTGGCAGGTACAAAGATGGTAGGGGGTAGTAAGTATTTTAATATGATTGATTGGTTGTTCAAGATCTATGTACAGCCTGAATAGATTTAAGAACCCTTGTTAAATCATGATGGAGTAGTATCAGCAAGGGGTAGATCCGATACTAGGTAATACAGATAGGACAGAACTGTGGGCCGCCCTTGGGTGTCCAGCCTTTGACGACCTTCAAATACTTATGCCAAGTCCGAAAAAAAGAAAACGCTGTAAACACAACTCCAGTTGGTTACAGGGAAACCTATATAGACGCTAGAGGGCCCCTAGTCGAGCGCTGCTATAGAGTAGACAGATCCGGCTACAGCAGCGCTCGACCAGAGGGCCCGCTGGCACAACAGCAGTAAGGAATGATGTAGAATTTTACCTGAATATATGGATAAGAATAATATTCCAAAGGCTTTAATAACCTTGTTCCAGGGATACATATCAACACCCCAAAGTCCAAGTTTGTGTTACAATCATGGAAAGAGCCAACTGGAAAAGTAACCAGGTGCATTCACGAAACAACGAAGGTGAAGAAGGAAGAAACTATGGAGGCTCTGGCAACTATCTTGTAGAGAGCTCATGCAAACAGGCCCCATTAGGTTAGCTCGGTCGGGTGTTTCCATCACTCCGCGTCCATCAGGTGATCTCCGTCCATCGTTCTGTCATGCGTCACAGTTTGATGGGGTAAAATAGCAGAAAAAAGCCCATTCGCAAGCGGTCAGAACCCAAAGAACCAATCAGACCACTCCAAACAGACTGTAAAGTCTGCAGAACTCGAGTTGATGCATTCTTTCATTTGGGATTGGGACTAATAGGTCATGACACAAGCGGAATGTTATGCATCTGTACGTAGATGGTGAGGCCTGAGGCCGTGGTGGTGATATTACATCTCACTACCGCGCGTGCGCTCTCTCTCTTTCTCTCCAGCTTCGTTAATTGTCCGTTACATGCTGCCAAGTCTTCTGATTCATTTCCGTGTGTTTGCCAGAGCGCCCATAAATAGCTTGAGGGGAAAGCCTTGGCTACCGATGGAAATCATGCAGCCCCGGCTCAATAATGTAAAGGATGCTCGTTGGGCTATGTAATCGGTTCCATAGCTCAGTTGGTTAGAGCGCTGTGCTAATAACGCAGATGTCGAGGGTTCGACCCCCTCTGGGACCATTTTTTGACCTATCCTAAATAGGTAAGATATGTTCTGCTAGTAGGAATTTTTTGCATTATGCTCAAACTGTCTCCGTGAACCTTTTCTATACACACCTACATATATCTTTAACAAGGACGATACTCGTGATTTGAAAGTATTGATGCAGTGTCCAAGTCACATGGTATGGATAGAAGGACATAATAAACCCCCAAAAAGTGATTGTATAATTAATCATGTATGGATTATATCCACAAAAAATGGTCCTAGAACCCTCGACGTCTGCGTTATTAGCACAGCGCTCTAACCAACTGAGCTATGGAACTAATTATATAATAGAGCAAGTATCTTTTACATTATTAAGGCGGTAGGTACAGAGAGACCGATAACATCAATTCATTTCAGAGCAGATCCAGGCAAAAATAATGGTCCCAGAGGGGGTCGAACCCTCGACATCTGCGTTATTAGCACAGCGCTCTAACCAACTGAGCTATGGAACCAATTATATTGGGCTGCTGAAATTCTTGACAATATCAAGCTGAACATCTATTGCCAAAATCTATATCCTCACAGTACTAACGAAGTATAACCGGCGTGGAAGCCAAAAGAAAAGAAAATCGCGATTTCATATCTTTACTTTGCCGCGGCTCGGTGACCACAATTGGTCTCCGATGTTCAGTATTGAAGCCATGCAAATCCCGACTTTTGAATCTCCACAAACCCTCGAGATAAGGTCTCAGTTGCACAGAAACTGAACTGCGGGAAAAAGGCGTTTGTCTTGTTTTTTTGGCTCACTGTCACCTTATTCACCTCTCTTTTGACTCCAACATCCTGACTCTATTTCGGGTGTCAGCCAAGCCCGTTTACAATACTTGATGGAGAGAGTAGAAGCTACCTGGACCCGGCCAACTAAACTTCATTATCCCGATTGATCCGATGCCTTTAGTAGTCAGTGATGAGTTCACTTTCGAAATTGGGGTCCTGATCGCTGAAATCTCCAATCCCTGTCTGGTGACAGACATTACTCACCACTCTCGGGTGTTTTTGGCCGCCATCAGATGGCGAAGAGCCCTATTCCTGATACAGATCGAATTCCAAGATGTTCAACTTCCTTGAATGTAAAATGAATTTTTCATTCGTGCACTTATCAAGGACAGGAATATTTAGTTCTGCCCTTCCCAGCTGCCGGACTAGAATGTAGTTTCTTTTATCCCCAGTGGTCTTTCCAAGAGCTCTCTCTTTGGCTTCTCGCTCCCACCATGGCCTTATAGGCGCCGTTGTAACTGCAACAGCTGTGGATTTTTCATCGCAGAAACCCGGAATGCAGGTAATTCCACCAGCATTGTCTGCACCACTCTCGAGTTGAATTCTTTGGAACTCCTCTAGTTCTTTCAATGCCGCTTGATCGGAGGTACCATCGGCACCACGTGGATTCGGACAACCTCCATTCAGCCCTCAGAACAGCGGTTGCTCTCCTCCATGGTCACTATCGCCATAGCCCCCCTTTACTCTCCATCGCGTACTATCTGGATCCCAGTTCTGGATACATATGAAGTTGAAGTTCATACGTCTTGTCGACTATGCAAGCACACCCGCTTGGGAAAGGTATATCTCAGGGATATCCGAGGCATCTGTTCTCCTATCGTGATGAGGAAACTACTTCCATACTATCCTGCCTGGAGGACTTTGATGTATAGAGCCGATTCCAGAGGGCCACTACCACTTGAGAGTACCATCTTATTCAGTAGTAGTTTTATATGTTGAGTATGCCATATCCTGTCGATCACTACGCTCTGCCACCTGGTAACTTGGAATATCCCAGATTTGACTATATCTTCCAACGACTCGAGTTCACTCTGCCAAAAAGCCAATCACCTACCATCTCAACGGCTGATGTCAATCCCTCAAATGTGTTTTACCACCCATATACTCTGTTGGTTTGGAATGAACTTGGGAGGAGGCTGGAACATGGGAATAGGAACAAGGGCTTCGTTTCTTTTGATGATAACGGTGGGTTCGGCGGGGGTGGTTGAACCAGAATGCTTGTTCCCAAGGGTTTCTGTTAATGTCTTTACTTTCTTGAAGCCGGTTGGGCTGATGTCCCCACTGATGCCACTGCTGCCTAAACACAACTTGGGCATCTTCCAGCACACTACAAACCTGTTCTTGCCATGCTACGTGCATCTACACTTGCGGTGGATGGACATATCTTCCAGCGCATCACCATCGCCTTATTCCCTGGACACCTTTTTCCTTCTTATGTCAAGCAGGTGCTGCGCCATCCTCTTGGATCCAGTATCCGGAGCAAATACTCTTCTCCCTCTGTATCACTATGCTCTACCCTTTGCCTAAAATTACGTGCGGCCGTTCTTTATGGACTGTGATTGAGAGATCGCGAGGTTGATGAAGGAGCTTCCCATTGCGGAAACATCAGTGGTTCCGCAAACATTCTCGGGTTCGCTGCTAGTCCTGTGGGTCCATGCTGAGTTTATTTCCATTTTGCACCGAGCAGTTCTGGGGCTAGATTCGTGCTTGCAGTAACTTTGTAGCTGTTGCAGCCGCCACCGGTTACTTGATGTGGTTCCCCTTGGCATGCTCCGAGGCATAAACCTCAGTATACCTGGGTGATTCGACATGAATCGCGGTTTCTGGTCCCGGGAATACGCCTTCCGGGGCTGTACAGTAAAACCGCGGCTCCCTCGATTTGGCAATTACCTCAACAAACTGCTCTGTTGGGTTCTTGGCAGATATGACATGGGAATACGTCATAGCCGTGAACCCTGGGGTCGCACCGCAACACGGCCCCTGCACCAACTTCGAAACCTGATTTCACGCCTGGCCATGATGACCACTCGAGAGTTCTTTATGCCCATAACTGATAAGTAGTTGTCGGCTCGCGCCCGCGCCATCTCCACGCCACCTTCCTCCCCGATTACCCAAAATGGCCTCCCTATTGCGTCTCCCGGCACGCCTGCAGGCGCGTGCCTCGGCTATCTCCCTCGCTCGGTCACCTTTCAGTCTATCTGCTCAGCGGGCCTCTGCTCGTGATTCACCTCGGTCCAGTGGCAGCCAAGAGGATGCGCCTCGCGACACGAAGTCTCAAGGGAATGGCACGCCCAACCACCCGATTCCCTCCAACAAAGCGCAGCCAACCCTCTCAGACGGTCGCCAATCGCCTGTTGCCGACTTCGAAGGGAATCTGAAAGACAATTTACCGGAGGATGTGAAGAAGCACAATGAGGACTTAGAAAACAGATACGATCGGCCGTACAACCATGTGGGCGATGAAGGGAATGTCGAGAATACATGGAAGAGAAAGTGAATGACAAAAGTCTCTTGACTATGCCGAGGATTGTAACATATTGATCAGCGCCATCTATTCAGAATGTGGTCACTTTTCGGGTTTTTGTATGATAGGTAGCTACCAATGCGTTTCTCGCTGAACGGTTGGGAAGGATGGGATTCGAGATATCTTCCGAGGCAGCCAGCCAGTGGAAGCACTGATGAAATATATATATATCCTTGGCCTACATACATTCATTATAAACTAATTTTTTTCATATTTTAGATTTAGAAATGACTTTCCCCGGGATGAATAAATAATATTAAGAGAAAAAAAGTATAAAAATGATGGAAATACATAAAAGGTAGAGATAAAATTATAGTTTTCACTATTAAGTATCTTTTCTATGATAAAGCCATACAAAAAAAAAAAAGACTGTGTGATGCTGGGGTCTACAGCTGGCGTACCTAATAGCGGAGGCGGTGGTGCAGAGGGCACCGATAAAACATAGCTTTCATTTTGGAGCAGATCAGGAAAAAAATATGTGGTCCCAGAGGGGGTCGAACCCTCGACATCTGCGTTATTAGCACAGCGCTCTAACCAACTGAGCTATGGAACCAATCATATAATAAGTCCAGCATCTTTTACATTATTGAGGTGGTGGGTGTGGAGGCACCGAAAAACAATTTGCTCGGGGAAAAATTTATGGTCCCAGAGGGGGTCGAACCCTCGACATCTGCGTTATTAGCACAGCGCTCTAACCAACTGAGCTATGGAACCACTTGATGTTATGAGTTCGGGATTTATGCCATTATGAAGTAAGTAGATAAGCAGGTTACGAAGAGCAGATCGAGACAAAATTATGGTACTAGAGGGGGTCAACCCTCGACTTCCACGTTATCAGCATGGCACTCTAACAAATTGAGTGATGGAATCTATTACATAAGCAGCTTCCATAATTTTGATATCTTCCAGAAACCACCTGGGTAGGAAGTCATGGCCACTAAGATGAACCAAACACATCCACAGTCATCTATGTGACCTGCGGAAGTTTTGGAGGAGCTGCCTCAAGACACCACCAGATCAGGCGACACGCAACCGATCTCTCTCTCTCTCTCTGTCTCCCTGTGATGTATCCCCTATACTCGCTACAATGAGAAACAGGGCTAGCAATTCCCTATCTGCGGAGGTAAGTTTCAATGGATCACCTTGGTCCCTCCCAGCTTTTGAAAGCACTAACGCCTGTCTACCCAGAAACTCCGTCAATCGTAAAGTGAGTAAACTTATCTAACCTTAACAACTATGATTCCGTGTTTGTACCGAGGCGATTCTTATTCCACTAAGCACGTCACATAGGGCAAGCTCAGCTTGTGTTTCAGTCAGAGCCCGGGTTCGAATGTCAACAGCTATTCTCGTGGAGCAGCTGAGCTCCTTTGTCTTGGGTCTGAATTTATCTAAGGTGCAGAAGTGCCTTGGTGCCTGGCACATGGCTTTGCTCCCACAGCACAGTGTCATGTTACCAAACAGTGCATCCTGGAGTACTACTGCGGACTGAACAGTACGAAGAGTTGGGGGAATTTCCTCTCGGCCTGACTGGCTCAGCACCCACTTCATACTTCATTCCATCCTCATTAGAGATGTCGCAATCATAGATAAGTGCCTCGGGCACTCATGCATCTACAGAGTCCAAAGCTGAGAGCGAAAGTTTTCATGGATGACGAGGTACCTGAGGCATACAAGCACCAGAATCAAGTTCTATCATGACCAAAGACATTCAATAAAACCAATTGAATTTGCGATAATTAGACTACCTCAAGAACCTTCTACTTCTCATCGCCTTGTGTCAAAATCATCTTACGCAAAAGGATTACCATTGGCGTCATCCTCACTCTCATCCTGTTCTTCATCGTCATCTTCATCGTAATTGTCATTCTCGGTATCAGGAACAGCCTCGGAGTCAGCTTTAACCGCATTTCATCATTTTCAACCTCTGACGGGAATGCGTCCAACTCTGGGGTCTCAGAAACCTTCTCTTCGTCTTGATCACGGCGACGCACAAAGACAGAGGGCGCTAAAGTTGAGTTCATCAATCTAAATTCAATAGCGTCACTCAACATCACAGTCCGAAATGGTGTAAACGTAGATGACGGTGGAATGGCGACGATTTTTGGTGCGCACAAGAATATAAAATCGTCGCCTTTACACCTCGCGGATTTTTGGCCTAGTTTAGGGGGGCCCATGGCTATACCCTGCTGAGATCTTCCCTCTTCAAGTCCGTCCTCGCGGTAACGCGTGGGGAGTGGTGGGATGGTCAATCGGTAATGGTTCGACAGTGAGCATTCTTCGTACCGGGACAATACGTGGGTATTGTTAACGTCTACGTAGGTACTTCTTCTTCCTATACTCTTCGAACGGCTACATGGAAAGACTTTAGACATCTTCGGCGGGGTTAACTTCTTGAGCATCCTCATCCTGTGGGCACTTTATCCGGAGTCTAACCAGAGGACATTGGAAGAAATGGACCTAGTCTTTGCCAGCGACAGCATCTGAAACTGGGAAGCTGAAAAGACATTTGCCAAACTCAAAGCGGAACCCCGAAATTGACGCAGGCAGAGAGACGCGCGAGCGGCAACGTTGAGGCAAAGAAGGGAGTCTTGCGGCCGCGGGTGAATGTCCCTACCTTGGAGGAAGTTCACGGTTTGACGAGGCTCAATATGACTAAGCCTATGGCCGATGCGTGCGAAGAAGGAGTCTTGCGTTGAGCATCTATAGGGGCCTACCTAACAAGGGCCCGCGTATTGCCAAGAGGGTTTCAATACATCAAGGTTGATGAGAACCTTTGTTTTGTGTGTAGATAAATTGAGACCTGACTGCGTTGTATAACTTGAAATAAACTACAAATCAACGACAGAAATATTTTTCGGTGTCAAAATGACGCAACAGTTAGACCATGCGTATGCTACGGAAGCTGAGCTTTGTTCTGAAGTAACCGACCGCAGAGGAAGCTATCTGCAAGCAGAACCGGACATAATGGCAATCCGCTTGGGAAGCGCCCACTGAGCACTGGGTGGGCTGTGGGTCCAAAAAAGCTGGACGTCGCATGTGCGTTTCTCTCTTCAGGCTTCTTTCGTATGTCTTCTGGGAGCATTTTTCGTCGATGAATTGGGTAGAGAAAAAAGTCAGGAATGGCAGACTGAGCTTGCGCCCTCGGGCTGTTATTGACTATCTACCATTGCAGATCGGGAGCGAAGCCAACGCATCGCTGTGGGTATTCTGACCCCTTCTCACCCCTCTCACCCCCAGTCTCCAGTATTCTCACCCATATCACCCGCACACAACTTAACACAAAACGCAACGCTATTTTAAGGCCCAGGGCTCTTTAACTATTGACCGCGCTTAGTATGTGGCTTGAGTACGGCTGAGCGGACGGGAAGCCCTGTTCTCCACACCCTATGGTCGTATGTACTTGGATCGCTCCTGAAAGACATATACCCCTCAACATAAACTGAAATCAAGCAGAGTCTAGTGTAGAATTAGCAGATGAAGACCAGTCTCTACGCCCCGTCATTGAACAAGAGCCTTGATAGAGGGTAGTAGTCCCAAAACCGACACTATGGTTCGAGGCAGCGACCCCAACTGCAACGATCGTGAACACGACGTTTACGACCAAACCCACTAGGTTTCCCCACAAACACCACCGCACCGGATCCTGCCATTCTGGCCTTGTCTTTGGATCTGGTGCGTTGTCGAATAGCGTCCACGCGTGAAACTCCGGAGGAGGGTCGACTTTGGCGGGTGTCTCGTGTATTCATATCAAGCTCGAAGGCTGGCGCAGTGGAACCGGGGTTTTTGAATGGTCCCCTACAATTGTGCTTACTATATGTGAGTATAAAATCCGACCGGTACATCAAGCGGTTCTATAGCTTAGTTGGTTAAAGCGCTGTGCTAATAACGTAGATGTCAAGGGTGACCCACCATTTTTTTGCCTGGATCTGCTCTGAAATGAAAACTGATGTTATCGGTCTCTACACTCTTGCCTCAATAATGTAAAAGATTATTGCTGTATCATATGAGTGGTTCCATAGCTCAGTTGGTTAGAGCGCTGTGCTAATAACGCAGATGTCGAGGGTTCGACCCCCTCTGGGACCATCTTTTTGCCTGGATCGGCTCTAAATTAAGTTAAATTTTATCGGTCTCTATACACACTGCCTCAATGATGTAAAAGATGGTTGCCGTATTATATAATTGGTTCCATAGCTCAGTTGGTTAGAGCGCTGTGCTAATAACGCAGATGTCGAGGGTTCGACCCCCTCTGGGACCACATATTTTTACCTGTTTTTACTCCAAATTGAAAAATCCTGGAAGAGGGTGGAGGAGGGTGAGTGCTTAAAATAGTGAGAATTAGGGTACAGCACCTAAATTGCCCGACTACTACATTAATTCCACTGTGAACGATGATAGAACTTGAATACCATTGGGTTATCTTGATATACCCATAACACCGGGCTTTTTATGTCTCATGTACGGAGTACACAAGGTCACACTTAGCATAATACCTTGTGGGACTCCTAAATTATCTTAGAATTCCGTTCCTTGGAATCGACTTCACTTATTCCTGGACCGGCAAAAACTTCATTGAAGTAGTCCTTCACTTGATCGAATCGAAAATTCTCTAAGCTACGATAGATTTTATTCGCGTGGACGGGACATAGTAGCCATGCTGTTTACTTTGTCCTGTATTATGTAGGTGGTTATACTCGGTCTTGGACCACGTCCGATCGGTTGCTTGGGGTCTTCAAATGTTATTAACCAGAACTCTTCGCTCTTCTCAGAAATAATCCTCCCTTTAATGGCTTCCTATCGTTTGATATGAATGGGTGTTGAGGCCAACTTGACGGCAATTGTAATTATTGCCCAGGCGAGAGCATTAGCAGGTCCTTGGCCGTCTTGAAGATCAAATATATATATATGTATATGCGGAATTTTGAGGGTATTTCCCCCCGGGATTCTCTCTGCCAGAACCCGGGATGGCAACGGTGTAGCGTACGAGCTTTGGAGTATATTGAAGAGAAAGAAAACGTATCTAATATCCCTCCCCGTATTCAATGGCTTTGATGAAGTTTCTGAGGGCTTGTATAATTGAAGTAATTGTTACCAACATTGGAAAATGATTACCCTTCTTAAAACTATTGTCAAGACCTCGGGAATAAGCATTGAATAGAGTGTCAGCCGGATACAGCCCGAACAGAGGCATAGGCAAGACTTGGGAAAGGGCCTAAAATGATCTTTAATTTTTAACGGATGAGGTTACTACCAGTGGCACATAGGACGATACGTAATCTTCAATTAACCACAGCTATTGAATCTAAAATTATCTTCTCCATACCCGAGTCACTGACCCAAGACATAATAAAAAAAGATAGAAGCTACGGTGTAAAAAAAACCAAGTAATACGCCTGTCAATAGCCCAAAGACCGTTGAAGAAACTGTTCTGCCGCGCTGTACAATACAGGGGCCAATCTGTAGTGGGCGCCTTCAGGATCGCAGCCACCCGAACAAGGTAAGTATAAAGAATAAAAAAAAAGGAGAGGAAGGGCGGTCGGCGAAGGGGGCCTCTAGGTTCTCGACAACAAGGAATTGAATTACGCGCTTCCTTCCATGGGGGTGGGATTTCTGGTCTTGACATTTTGGTTGCACTACGATCCTTTCTTTTATTTTCTTCTGTGTATTCGAGGTATATTAGATGATTGATTCTTAGTTGACGATGCTTTGCACCCGGCTAAGGACATCCAAAGCAACATAGGTCGCGTCCAAATGATTGACAGATAACTCTAGGTAGCCATGGCAATCCTGTGTATGTGCCCCCAGGGCTACCAGCATTCGCCGATCGCATGTTCTTGTGGAGATTCTCTGCTCACTCCGGCCCAGCCTCAACAAGCTCCTACCGCCGACTGTGACGTGATCAACACGTGACCCGACTGACAGCCGCGGGTGGCAGCCGAACGGCCCTTTCATGAAGGCCCTCCACTTAGGGCGGAGCTTCCCTCTCCAGCGGGCTTGCCTCTTATGATTCTTCCGCTCCGTCATCAGCTTCTATGTGACTTACCTTATCGGAAGATGCCTACTCGATCCCTTTGCATCTGAGCGGGTGGCCTAACTCTATCAGAATATACTTTCTTCCTTTCTTACCTGGCTTGCCGCATCCATTTTGCCCCATCACCCCATCTCCACCATGGCTTCCCTCCCAGGCTACTCCGCCGCCGGGAGGACGAGATCGTCCGATGGCGCCACAACCTCCAGCACCGACACAGATATCGCGCTTGGGGGTGAGCTGGCCCAGGAAGAGCCGTCTGAGGATGCCGAAACCGTGCTCTTGAACAAAGGCACCTCCACACCGAACGCTGCCGAGAGCGTGACGGACATCGCCGACAAGACCGTTGCTCGGCCCTCAAATAATGCCGATACCTCCAATACCCTGGAAGAGCCGCGCAAATGTTGGATCTGTTACACGGATGAGACCGAGGACTCGCCACTAAATTCAGAATGGCGATCTCCCTGTCCGTGCGCTTTGACGGCCCACGAGGCATGTCTCCTTGACTGGCTCGCAGATCTAGAGAACCCTCGCTCACGGAAACGAAACGGCAGTGGCACAAAGATGGTCTGCCCTCAATGCAAGACGGAGATAATTGTCACTCGCCCGCGTAGCTATATTGTCGACATCCTGCGCCTGATGGAGAGGGTTGCGGGGCGGTTGGTTCTTCCAGGCATGGTTTTTACAGTGGCTGGTACTGTCTGGGCTGGATGCTGCGCACACGGCGTATACTCGATGTATCTCATTTTCGGCACCGAGGAGGCAAAACAGATTCTCGAGGATAGTGTCGATGGGCCATGGAACCCCGGCATGAACCTCGGGTTACCTCTCATCCCTCTTGTCTTGATCTTTTCTCGCACCCGCTATGCCGAAGGTCTCCTCCCAGCAATTCCTGTTCTATTCTTCGCTGCACATAGCCCAGGGCAAGAACCCGACTTTGATCTTTGGCCGCCTACCCCGGCCATGACATTTGCCGCTCTACCATATGTCAAGAGCTTCTACGGCGCTCTATACGACCGTCTGATTGGTGGATTGGAGCGAAAATGGATCGCAGAGGTGCAACCTCGTGCAGCGGAAGAAATATTGGACGAAGTCCAGCAGCAGGACCAGGCGGAGGGGCTTAATCGCTTCGGTGACAACATGAATGGTCAAATACTTATGGAAATTGATCTTGAGTTGCAGGTAGGAATGGACGATGATGATCAGGCTCAAGCTCTTCCAGCAGCAGAGAACCAAGATGGCGCTGACCTGGGCGCCCAGGATGGACAAGCACAGGGACAGAACGGAGGCCAAAACAACGGGCAGGGGCTGGGTCTCGCGCGTCGACAGAATGAGATTATCCACGACACCGGCAATCTCGCGGAGATTGTTCTCGGAGCACTCGTATTTCCCGCCATTTCGGCGTCCATGGGCGGGCTTTTGAAGTATGTCCTGCCCAAATCCTGGACAACTCCGTCATCGGTCCTTGAACGCAGTCGGCCAGGGATTCTCCAGACTCGCTGGGGTCGCAGTGTGGTCGGAGGTTGCATGTTTGTGCTGCTTAAAGACGCCCTTGTCCTTTACTGCCGGTGGAAACTCGCACAGACACACCGGCGGCGCAAAGTGTTGAATTACAATCGAGCTAAAAAGCAGGGTGCGAAAAGGCGATAAGGGTCGGCGGGTTTGATGCGCTACCGCTCTACCGCTCTACCCGGGCAACTGCCCTGGCTTTCTCACTCGATTCGGTTCAACACACAGTTTGCATTCCATGGCGTTTTAAGGAACTCTCCTCAGCGAACATCGGTACGACACGCCGCTCACATGCATGTTGCTTTTGACATACTATGCCTTTCATGACCCATATGATGCCATTGAATATTTGAATATTTTGACTAGTTCCTCAGCTTTGCTTTTTTATTCTTGGGAACCCCACGGTTTTTCTTCGTTGTACCTATTAGAACTAGCAACACATTGTTTCCGTCGAGAGTAGAAATCTACTATGACCTCAAATTCACGGCGAATTTCGTCAGGAACGAGAATATGGGAACCTGGATATTCAACATAATCTATTTTTTGTTAGTCTGTTCTAATATTGAATTCCTAACAACCGCGGTGTTGGGGTATCAAATCGAATGCGGTGCGGCGATCTGGCTGCGAGTCAGCTAAGCGCGCGGCTAATACAGGGCGGACAAGATTCTGCCATCAGGGAATTATTCCCCCCGTACAGCCAAAGTAGCTCCCCGTGCTAGCATCCACCATATACCACCCACCATGCGGTCCTTATCACCGGCACTCGCGTCTCTCGCGAACGTCTTCCGAATCCCGATGTCGCTGTCCTCGACACGCCCTACCGTCTCTCGGGTGTGCCACGAGACCCTTGCCCGGCGGACACAACAACCCGGTCCGATCACCGCGGCGGTGCAATCCGCGCCATTCTCATCGACGAGTACTCTGGAGAGCCGAAAAAGCGGTCGTTCTAATGTGGATAAGAGAATCAGTAAGTTATCCCGAAGATTGTGGGCTATCGATGGCCTCAATTGGCCGATGCAGCCCTCTATCTCGCTCCGAAAAGCGCATCACATCACACGATCAAAGTGAAAAGGCCTCACTGATGCTAACAAACCACCCAGCTCTCATCCGCTACTTCCTCTACCACCCTCTCACTCCTCGCCCTCTCCGCTTCTCGCGAAACCGTTACCTCCGCCACTGGACCATCCACCGCGCTTGGCAATTGTTCCAGGCAAAGCAGCGCTATACCCAAGAACGCGAGCTGGAGCGCCAGTACCAGAGCATGCAGGCTGCCTGCGAGGAGCTGCGCACTGGTGCCGGTGATGGCGGTAGACTGTTCCGCAAGTCGATGATTAAGAAGGGCATTTTCACTGATATGTTCCCCATCGAGTACGGCCGTATGCAGACCGACTACCCCCCAGCTGAAGGGTGGAATCACGATTGGAAGCGTCCTGAGAAGAAGGACAGATAAGTATGCGGGCTTGGATTCACTATGGTGTGATTCGCTAGTTCTGGGTTCATCCAGTGGTAGTGTTGGGTGTTTTGTGTGTCACTTGGGCGCTATGTATTCTACGCATTTTTTGGGGCCAATTTTCCAAGAGCTTTTGAGCTATCTCTGGGACAGCCATACTATTCTTTCATATGTGTTCTCTATAAACAATCATTATCGATGTTAAAAGGCCAGTGGCTCGATATCTATGCGTGGTACACGTAACTGTATGGAGACTGCCAGGGTCACAAAATTGGATTAAATAAAGTTCCCGGAAAGATAATTGCAATGAACGCACTATATGGAATGACTGAAGTAAAAAAAAAGAATCGACGGGAATTACTACACGAGGAGAAGAGAAGGCACCAAGGAGCGGGATACGTAATGCACTTCGGGGGAACAGGGACAAAAGATGGGAATCCGGAGATGCATGTGCATGAAAAGAAAGGGGAAGGAGGGGAAGACCAGAAGGAAGGACATGAAGGAATGTACTCCGAGAGAATAGACACGGCAAGAAGGGCCGGAATAGAAACAGAAGAGCAGCAGATGTCATACCCGGACCAATCGACCCAAGCAATCACGAGAAACCTCCCAAACGCCAATGATGCATGATACAGCGGATATGTCAACCGACCGGGTCAAACCGGGGACTGCGCAAAGTCCATCGACTTCCAAGACGAGATAAACCGAACGCTGGGCAGAGAAAGAGTCGCAATGTCGCACGTTCACGTAGTCAGTTCGTTATAGAACAATACAGCAGGAGCTTTTCCGCTTGTCGAAGGTCAACAGAGCAGCCCGGGTAGCTGCCTCGAAGACATCATCAACACCCTCACCCGTGAGGGACGAGCACTCCAGGTACTTGCGGCAGCCGATTTGAGTCCCCGTCTCATTGCCCTCTTTAGTTGTTACGAACTTGAGAGACTTCTTGCGCATTTCTTCAATGGCCAATGGGTCTTCGCGCAGATCCTTCTTCAGGCCGACTAGGATGATAGGCACGCCGGGGCATCGTTCGTTGGCCTCTTCGATCCACTATAACAGTGTTAGGAACCTTGATCATCGACTCACCTTAAAATCAATATGACGCACCTTATGTTTCACGTTCTCTAGTGAATCGGGGCTGTCCACTGCGAAACCAATCAAGAGGACATGTGCTTTCGAGTATGCCAGTGGCCGCAACCGCTCGTAATCTTCTTGGCCGGCCGTGTCCCAGAGGGCTAACTGTACCGACCGGCCGTCAACTCGACAATCGGTTACGTAGTTCTCGAATACTGTCGGCACCTGAGGATCAAACAGTTAGATGTATAGGCCGTGGGCGAGGCGGGGTGATCGACGACTAACATAATGCTATGTTTAGAAGATAGATTAGCTACTGATCATGAAGTAAGAATCTTAGGTTGCGACTCACAGTTGGAAAGTAGCCGAGTGTGAAGACACTCAGCAGACTGGTTTTTCCACAAGCACCGTCACCGATGATGACAAGCTTCCTGTACAAATGGTTGCTGATTAGCAGATGATCGAGATGATGATATAATGCAAATTGCCCGCAGTCTTGAGTGATATATCCTCAGCGATGGTGCAGGAATTGACCGAGAAGGATCTCTGCTGCTGCACGCCTCGTTGAATGGGGCATGGGGTATTTCCAGGAGAGTATCACAAGACGCAAGAAACAAGTAAACTGGCCGCGCGTACCTCCGCATTACATTGTCATTCTGTTGTTGGGCCATGTTCAATGGTGTGGGATGGTCAAGCCGGGGTGCTCGCAGCAGGGATCGATGATGGTCGAATGGATGATAAAGAGGTCGATCGCAAGTTAAAGGCGGATACGAGTTGTCGAGTCAGGCCTACGAGAGCTGATGGCCCAAGATCGCGACACGGAAGCAGGCAGGGGCGAGCTGAGTACGAGCCCTGCACACACGGTGTTTCCCGTCCAATAGCGTTCAGGGGCGAGGGGGTGGAGGGCCTAAAGATGCACAAAAACAGTGACGTGACGAACCCTCGTTGGGGGTTGAGGGCGGTCGCGTCGCTTGGGGGGGGGTGGGTTGAAGGTCGGAGGATGATGGAGGAGGGGTGTAGACGACGAATTGGATGAGCAGGGACGACGATCCTCACGACGATCCAATCCACTGCCAACGAGAGGAGCAGTTGAAATTGAGTAGTAAGCGAGAGAGCGAGAGAGAGAGAGCTGGGAGCCGACGGGCTGGACGAGCGGTCGGAGCGGTAGATAAGATGAAGGGGAGAAGGAATGCGTAGAGACCCGGAGATTTAAGGATTGCCGGGGGTTTTGACTACGGGCGGACTGTGATACACACTCGGCAACTATCCCGTCTGATCATCCTCTGTTCCTGCTCTCCCAGCTGGCTCTGACCTTCGCCGTGATGTTATTTTTAATTAGCGCTGTCGGTGTCTCACCACGCGGTGGAGCAATGAGGCGCCGATAGGTGCCAGTCACGTGGGTAATCACCGCCTGAAGGATAAGACTGGCAGTATGCTTTGGCGGTGACTCCAATTCACGTGACTTAAAACGAACCTCAGTTTGTGCGTGGACGAGTCCGCCCGGTCTATAACGGAGAGGTAATATGCAGATAGCAGTAGTATCCCAGACTTGCAGGCGGATCTGACCTCTTCCTTGACCTCAAAATCTCTACAATTGTACGCGGTGCCTGACCGGTCAGGCACCAGCTCGCTTGCGGCGGCTATCCCGTTGCGGCGGCACGACAACCAGCCAGAACGCAGGAAAGCCCATCGCCTCATCCATCATCCGCATAAGATCTCGCAACGTTCCTGCCTCGCGCTCTCAGGGCTCTGATACCGTGCCAGCGCTGGCCTTTACTCGCTAATCTCCTTCCTTCGCGGGTCTTCCAGCGCCCCGGCCTTCTTTCCGAGCAGCGAACACGACGTGACCCGCCGGGATTATTGGCCTTTCAACCCCCTCCTCGAGCCTGATCCCGCACTCCCCCTCCCGTTTACTACTCCGGAGAAGCCACACGCCCCCCCCAAACAAGCCACCAAGGGAGCGACTATATCTTGTTGTCCCTCCACGGGGATTTCTTACTGGTGAGTCGGTCCCTGCATTGGATTGATCGGAGCTTTGTGGTAGGTTCTTTCGCCCTCCCGCTCTCCGCTTTGGCCTGCTCGCTTTTGTCCCCCACCCAACTCTCTGACGCTGCTCTTCTGGCGATCTACTGACCCGGCCCTGGTGGTAACAGAACACTGCCTCCGCAGTTGCTACAAGCTCCTTGTCCGCCATGGCGACCCATGCATCAGAAACTCCGACACCACCAACAACCAACGGTGACGCGCGGGGACCCTTGAGCCACTCGATAGCCGGAAATATGTCCGCACCAACGCCCGTTGTGAATCGCAAGAAGCAAAAGCGTCGGCAGAAACAAGCTGCCCGCTCAGCAGCGGAGCCATCGGAGACGCATGCCGCCGAAGATGCCGCAGATTTAGCTGACTATCGACATTCCTATTATGACAACGCGGACCTCGATAGTACCGACTTCACCCACCCCGAATCAGATCTGATGTTTAAGAACGGAGAGCCTGGCTCTCAGCACGACCTGAGCGGACCACTGATGTCGAATTATCCCGACGACCATCCGGATGCACCTGGCCAAAAATCAAAGAAAAAGAAAAACAAGAAAGGCCGCTCTGGGTCACATAACCTCGCAGATGGCAGCTCAACTCCCCTCTCTACTCCCTCCGCTTCATTTTCTCACCCTCCCCCGCCGCCACACTCTTTACCCTACGGCAATCGTTACCCTGCCAGATCGGCTAAGGAAAGCAGCATCTGGAACCAGTCATCGTTGGAGGAACGGGAGAACATCCGGACCTTCTGGTTTGAACTGGGGGAGGAGGAGCGCCGCCAACTCGTCAAGGTGGAGAAGGATGCTGTTTTGAAGAAGATGAAGGAACAACAAAAGCATTCTTGCAGTTGCACCGTCTGTGGCCGAAAGCGAACCGCAATCGAGGAAGAGTTGGAGGTCCTGTACGATGCATACTACGAAGAGCTCGAGCAATATGCCAACAACAACCAAGGTTCCTTTGACGAAGGCGCCCCCATAATTCCTCCTCCTCGACTGTACCAACCTCCTCTCCGATCACCTGGTCAACATACTCGCACGCATGGACAATTTCATCCGTCACGGGGCCGAGTTCAGGAACTGCCCGAGGATGACGAGGATGATTTTGAGGACGATTATGACGATGAAGAAGAGGATGATGAAGACGAGGACGAGCTGTACAGTGATGAGGAGTATGAGGACGAGGAAGCGCGCGCTGCACGGGCCGATTTCTTCGCCTTCGGAAATAGTTTAACCGTCAAAGGTCCGCAGAACAACACTTGTCTTGATCACTCGTCAAATGTGGTTTTTACTGACTTTTTTGCTTGCCTAGATGGTATCCTTACTGTGGCGGACGATCTTCTCAAAAATGATGGCAAACACTTTATTGATATGATGGAGCAACTAGCCGAGCGTCGAATGCAGCGAGAGGAAGATACACAGTATAACATCGCAGCCGCTCATCAATCTTTCCATGCCGGCCATAACCATGGTCCTCTTGACGATGAAGACTACGACGAGGAAGAGGATGACGACTATGATAGCCAGGAGGAGGAGGATTTTGATGAGGATGAGATGGTTTGTTGCTATGAGCAATTTTCTGAACGGGGAATGGAGACTAACAGCTATGATCAGGATGCTATGACGGAAGAGCAGCGTATGCAAGAAGGACGACGAATGTTCCAGATATTTGCTGCTCGAATGTTCGAACAACGAGTCATGACGGCATATCGAGAAAAGGTCGCCGAGCAGCGGCAAAAGCAGCTGATAGAGGAACTTTTGGAAGAAGAGAACCGCAACGAGCAGCGGAATGCCAAGAAGGCCCGAGAAGCACAGAAGAAGAAGGACAAGAAACGCTTGCAGAAGCAAGCGAAGGAAGAGGAGAAGGCTCGTCGTGATGCGGAGAAAGCGGCAGAGGAAGCTGCTGCTAAGGCTGCACAAGAGAAGAAGCTGGAGGAGCAGCGGGTCAAGCGTGAGGAGCAACGCAAGAAGCGCGAGGCAGAACGCAAGGCCCTGGAAGAGGGTCGTGCTCGCAAGGAAGCTGAGAAGCAACGGCGTGCCAAGGAAGAGCGGGAGCGGCAGGCCGAGGCCGAGCGAAAGCAGCGTGAGCAGAAAGAAGAGAAGAAGCGGCGCGATGAAGCCAAGCGCAAGGAGAAGGAGGAGCGAGAGAGGAAGACCAAGGAAGAACAAGAGCGCAGAATGCGGGAAGAGCAGGCAAAGAAGGATCGCGACACTACTGCTAAAGCAGAGTATGCGGGAAAGCCTTACATCCAGACAATGCCTGTACCGCAGGCTGGCTCGATCCCTCTTGTACCTGGCCTTCAAACGCAAGCTGTTCCGATTTCGCTCCAATCCCCGCACTACGCTGTGGCTACTCCTGTTGCCCCGAAAGCTTCGACTCCCAGCAGGCCACGCCAGCCGTCCCAGCAGGGCTCCCACTCCTCATCTCCTCACTCGCAATCAGCAAGCTCGGATTTCCCCTTCCAGCCCTCGATTTCCCCCCGCTCTTTAGCTCAGTCGCAATCGGGAGTGCCAGGACTTGGTCGACCGGTTCATCACCAACAGCCTCATTTGCACCACCCCCAACCTTCCGCGCCTCTATCGCCTTTGGGTCGCAGTCACCCTCCTGGTTTCTCAGCCCTGGGTGGCGTGCCTACCAATCCGCCAGGTCTACCGGGAATGGGTGGCCGGCCTCTCCACCCACCCGATTTGCCAATGTATTCTCCGAATTCGGCGATGATGAATCCTCTCCGTGGTTTTGGTGGTCCTGGAGGAATCCCTCCCCCCCCGGGAATCAACGGAGTCCGTCCAATGCCGCCTGGGCGAGGGTTCCCTCTATCTGAAACCGGGCATGGACTACCATTCCCGGGGCACCATGGTGTTCCCGGAGCATTTGCTATGCAGCAACCTGGTCTATCGAAGTCTCATTCAAGACAACCATCTGGCTCGTTCGAACGCTCTCCACTAGAGTCCGGTGCGCAGCCGTTTCCGATATCCCGCCCAAGCCCCATTAAGCGTCCCCCAAGCACTGCACAGGATCAGCCGGAGCATCATGGCCACAGTCATCCCTCAGCCCAGCGAGATGTTGATGACTTGAGTGCGCAGCTGGGAAGTAGTGCGCTCCTCGATGACATGGATGGTCCGTACTCATCGAAGCTGTCTCAATCGTTGCCCGGTGCCCCTGCTCCTGGACCGTATGCCTCGCCGGCGAGGGCCAGCTTCCAAGGATCGTTGTTTACGGAGCCTTTAGGTCAGTGTATATTTGGATGGTTTGACCGAGTAGTACCTTTGGCTAATTCTTTTGTAGGAGCCAAGCATGCGCCTTTTGCAGGTGGTACTAGCTGGGGTGCACCCTTTGGAGGCTCCGCCTTCCCCGGTGCTTCTACCTGGGGAGCAACGACTGGTGAGAAAATCATTCAAATAACTACTGTGGAACGCCGGTGTTAACAAATCACATAGGAAGCGGATGGTCCCACAACGCTTTCGCAGCTGGTGGTCATCACCGGCCACACACTTCTCGGCCTGTCACCATACGTTTGCTGGTCATCCAAGCCTGCAAGCACCTCAACACGATGAGCCCGAGCCTCGGTTCTGGGGGTTATCACGATGTAAACCTGGTCCTGGGCCAGGTGGAGCAGCTGCGGTCTTCTAGTGAGCCAGCAATCTCCTTAGACGAGATGCTCGAGATTTGCGATACAGAGGGCAGTCCCCAGAATGGCGGTGGCTCTTTCTCCATTAAGGATGAAGGGCAGGGCCAATCCGTCAAGTTCGAGCCGGACACGAACAGTGCGGTCGCCGGCCATCGAGGCAGCATCGTGCCAGGTGATATCGGCAGCCCGATTCCCGGGAATAGCAACCCGGCTGCCTTTGGCGGATTCGGTGCACCAGCACCTTCGGTGCTACGACAGTACTCCTCGCCTCCGGCTGGGTTGTACGGGGGGACTTCGTAAACGCCCTCCTACCTTGCGGTCCACTTCAACGCTCTTATGGGAATGATTCTTGACATGCCTCCTCTTTCTTAACCCCCATCTTCTTCCAACCATTTCTCTTTTGCTTTCCTCTTTGAATTCAAGCGTCACGGGTTAACGTCTCATCCACCACGTTCTGAAATATCTTGATCTTTCTTCATTGATATGGGTTTTGTGTGTTGATCGGTTTCTGATTTTCGTGTCCAAGTCGGGTGCTGGACTTGGACCTGGGGGCATCCGGGTTTGATTTTTGTGTACGGTATGATCTTTTAACTGGCCTTTCTGCATTATGCAGCGATATCCGTGGAGACTGGGACAATCTCCCTCTCCTTCATCGTCCTTGACCCAATTGCATGATTGAAGGTTTCTTCGTCTTTTGCTTTCTGCCTGGTCTGAGACAGACTGGCGACTACGTGGCCGTGAATGCCATCTCCTCGTAGATTTCCATATCATCCTCTACTAGGCTCCCTAGAAGAAGGAGTAGAGAGGGTAGTCAGCCTTTGTAGTATTATTAAGTTACTAAGTAATATATATAGAATAACTAACTCTGCGCGGAGAAAGAGCTTTAGATTAGAGTCCTTCCTTTCCTCTATAATTAGAGTACTACCTATATAATCAGTACCTACTTGGGTAGTAGTAGACTGCGGCATATCCTCTCTATTGGATATGGGGTCATATACCATATCCTCAATGAGGATAGCCATGGATATCCGCACTAGCATAACTCTCGCTTAAATATCTACTTAAGAGGTAGTCGTGTGCCACTTATATAACCTATTAATTTATTTTCCAGAACAAAAGATATATCTGTTTAGTGCTGACCATACTACGGTCGGTACTGGCGATGCAAGAACAGTGGGAATTGAATCTTATGCTTTTGGCCCTTTTTACTCTATGTAGAGTTTCCGGCAGTATTCCAATTGATCAATGGTAGATGGGGTTGAAAAGCATGGGGGAGGCTTCCGATCCTGATGTTAGAGGAATGTCGTTCAGGGCTATTTGCGGTGGCTCCAGTTCCGTGATTGTCCGGTTTAGACCAACTTCCGCGCTCCAGACATCGAGAAACCGGACGCCTCGAGTGACAGTTTGGAATGCTTTGAGCAGCATTTTGTCAATCAGGTACTCCACTTCGTCGTCCATGGGTTGACCACTAGCAATCTCGTGGAATTTCTTGGTAGTCTGGACCAAGGATGAGAGATCAGCCAGTAGAGCTTTGCGGATCCTCCGGAGACTGTCATGGGCCTTCAAGAGGGGGGAATCTCGAGTGAGACATTCGGATTTTTCCTGTTGTAGATGGTCAGTCGTTGCTTGTTCAATGGTCTCAGTACAAAACCTACCAAGAGGAAGCGGACTCCATCAATCAATCCTTGTGCTTGCACGCGATCCTGGTTGCCAAAGTTACCCAGAGATTCCAAGCCGCCGTGAGTGATATCCCAAAAACCAGACAATGCGTCTAAGAGACGACGCATTGGCAGCTGGTCGTATGTGTCGCAGTAGTTGGTGGGTAGCCAGCCACGGGCGCCAGTTTCGAGTAGCGTTCCGTCGGCCCAGCCATTGGTATGAATAGAATGCACAAAGATGATGTCGCCTTGATGCAATGGCAAAATCACTGTAGTTTGGGAGACATCTCCCCTCGGATGGAAGGGGTAAAATGCACGAAGGTAGTTGTGAAAGGCAGCCCTGGAAGGTTCTGTTCGATCCATCGGGGCGTTTTCCTCGCCCGGCCCCTTCTCTACTGTTATAGCTTCCCCCATCTGACTTTCTTCTGCTCTGTCACTATCCCTGTACTGCTGTTAGACAATAGAGTCATTTTTTGGGATGTCACGACATACTCAATATTGCGACCGCTTGCTTCGCCTACCCGACGCTTAGACACGGGTATATCACCAGTTGCTGTAGAGTGGAGGGCGAAAGGTGCAGTGTTTCTCGCACCAACCGCCCGGCTTCACGACAAAAATCCTCATCCACATCCGGGATTTCTTCAGGTAAGGATTGAGATGCATACTCGTTATAAGCTTGTTCTGCTCCCCATCCAGGCGCATCATCATCCTGTATTTCAGGGAATTCAGCACGTAAGCGCTTTGCAATCGATCCTTCACTTGCACCTGGGGAAAGACCGCCGCGCGATGTTCCTTCTGGATAGGCGGCTTCTGACTGGCCTCCATCGCCATCCATATGTCCCGCAATAGTGATCTGTGCCAGGGAAAGCAGGTGCGCAGCAACGTGATTGATCGTTTCTCCTGAACCCAAATCCCGACTCACTCCTTTCGGACACAACGGGCACTCTGTGATCAAGGTATTCACGGGAAGTCGCTGGTAACATGCCGCTGCCAGGTCGTCTAGGTCTCCATCATGGAATTGACCGCCATGGTACTGATGCATGTGGTCCTTGAAAGTAGAATCGGTGTCAAAGAAAAAGGTCGTTTCATGACTCCCATCCATACATGTCCAACCACCGACAACGTGTTGATTTCTCATATGATCAATCCAATCTTTTCCTGATTCAAAAAGGGAGTTCGGCTCCGGACAAGGCTCTAAAACGCAGATGTAGGGCATTAGATCCTGAATGATGTGCTTCCTATTGATTTTAGTTTGCTATTTTTTCCTCTTCATAGAGCTGGGGATCCTTACTTCCATTTAACGCCGCTAAAGTCCTCCGAAGAGCAGACTAAGAAGCAGAACGGACACTCATACTCGACAGACTGCGATGGTATCTTTGGTGCTGGGGGAATATCGTCTTCTTCGAATGTTACCTCCTCCTGTCGTGTCATATGTTCCGACTCCACGGAGTGCACTTTTCTTATCCGGTCATACTGTGCGGTTATTGCTGTTAGCATCGACGAAACCGGCAATGGAAGTTTTGCGGCTTGGTTCTTTTTGCTGTGACTTGCCCCCGGGGGGATTGATCCTGTCACACTGAATGTTGCTCCTAAGGTTGACCTGGGGAATATCGAGCAAGATGGGTTGGTTTCCTCTCTTATCCGTTTGCTCTTCTCCCACTTAGCTCGCAGATACGCGAAGTGTTGCTGGCGCAGACAAATGGAATCCACTATCCGTCTCTGAAGAGCTAGGCTGGCCATAGAATGTTGAAGGCGAAACTCCACAATCCTCTCAGCCCCTTTTCGAAACTCGTCCGTAAGGTTGACGCTATTCTCGTCATATTCCACATACGACGCTACTTTCACGAACCGGCGGAGGATTCCAGAGCGGCGGATGGCACGGGATAGCCTGAAAAGGCCCTCCAGCACCTCATCAAGTGAGCGGGCCTCCTCTTCCTGGCTTACCACATTTTTCATGGTGGCACCAATTTCTATGAAATGGGTTAGCGGGCATCAAGGGAGTATTCGAGGGCCGATACTAATCAGGGTGCTTCGCAAATCATCCAGCAAATCTACCATGGCGGACTCTAAGAGGGGCGCATGCCGCAGTCTCCAGTCCATGGAGGCTCTTGTCGGAGCGAAGATAAAGTTATTCGTGGACCAGAGATTGAACCGGAAGACTTGGTTTTCCCACTCCTGCCTGAGCAAGTCACTCGCTGTGGCGGATAGGATGCCCTCAAAAAGCCGTTTAGCAAAGAAGCTGGTGGTATTGCGTTCGAGATGGAAGGGGCTGGAGCCTGGGATGCCATTTCCTGTGTGATCATCAAGGGAATCTGCGATTATGCAGATATCCATAAGAATAAGCTATGGCAGGACTATGCTGCGGCTACAGCAGCTGCTTGTGCGAAGGCTTTTGTACATCAGTGGTAACCATATCTTCTGTAAACATGCCCTTACATGATTAAGCCACTACGAAGGCCATTTGATCCGGGCTGGAGTTTCGGAACTCATTACATGCTCAAACACCCAGTGTTGACTTGGCGAGGGAAAAAGTCAATCGGAGTCCCTTCTTCAGCTCTGGACCGCGCGATCCTCAGACCTGGTGGCTACCTTCCCTCGGAGTTAGTTCCTGGTTCCTGGAATGGCCTTAATCTGCTTCATGTTTTCAGCAACAAAACCCAACCCCCCCCCCAAACACCAAAACTATCAATAAGGTCAGTATCATATCATCTCGCGGCCCCCACAAACTAGCAATCCTGGCTTAATTACGGAGTAGTAACGGCCCCCACAAACTAGCAATCCTGGCTTAATTACGGAGTGGCAACGGCCCCCACAAGATAGCAATCCTGGCTCAAGTACGGAGTGCCCCGTACCCAGAACTAGCGATGATGCCCTCATACCTGATGGGGGCTGGTTTCAGAATAAAATCAAAATCCTACACGTGGGTTACAATTCTTGTGGGATTCAGCGAACGACAGGCCGTTGTCACCCCTGCGTGAGTAGTCCGCGAAGCACACCAGCAACCCCTATACACATCTTCATGGATATCCACACATAATTTCGTCGGAATTCTGCAATTGAAATGAACGAGAAGAACACTATCACGAAACGCTCACAAGCATTCTCTGACTGCTGAAATTCCTTTTCCATCCTTGCTGTGACAGCCACGAACTGATATTCAATCTGCGCGAATCATCATTTGCAATCCAAGATTTCTCAATCTCAACAATGACATCCAAGATGATAACTTCAGTTCTATTCCTCGTTATACTCCAAGGCACCACCACCCTTGCTCAGCTCGACCCAAAGTGTGCTCCAGGCGGAAACTTCAATCTGGAGTACTGGAACCTCCAGCTGCCGACTGGTAGTACACACTCTCCTGACACCATCTCCTCAAAAGCTTTGCAAGGGTGCAGTGGCTACGAGGACAGCTCCCTCTTCTACACCGAGAGCAGCGACGGTGCTCTTGTCATGAAGGTGTGCGGCTCTTCATCATCCTGCGGATGTGTGACCACCCCTGGAAGCCTCCACTGCCGCACGGAGCTGCGCGAACTCGCATCTGATACCGGGTCTAAAGCGAGTTGGAGCCCACTGAACCCAGTGAACCGTCTGAGTGCCACCCTAGTGGTGCCCACACCAGACGACAGCACGCACGGCACTGTGATTGGACAAGTGCACATTGATGACACAATTTCCAGCAAACCCATCTGTGAACTGTACTACAGCCAAGCAGGCGTTCTGACCATGGGCGTGGAACAAACTCGAAGCGGTGGTAACGAGGTCATGACTACTATCGGCAAGGTTCCTGTCGGCACCAAGTTCACCTATGAGATTGCCTATGAGGGAGGGGTCCTGAGCGTGAGCATCAATGGTGGCGCGGCGCAAAAACTCTCCACCTACTCGTTGGACAACCCCGACAGCTACTTCAAGGCCGGGAACTATAACCAGGGTAGTTCTGCGTCAGAGGTGCATTTCTTTGCTATTAACGTGGACCACGGGGCGGGCTCAGTTTCTACGAGCTCCAGCAAATCGACCACCATGACGACGACCTCCCACGCGGGCACGACAACCACTGCCAGTAAACCCAAACACACTAAACATACCAAACACACCAATACCAGAGCCACCACCATGAAGACTACCTCCCGCATGAGCACGACAACCCCAGTCAAGAAACCCAAACACACCCATACCCCCACAACCACCCCCAGCGCGACTAGTACGACTACCTGCTCATGGACTGGCCACTGCGAAGGTTTTTAAACAACCCCCCCCTTTTTCTCTACCAAAATCCGCATTCCATATGAATAATAGATAGGTTTGTCTGACTTGTATCTTTCAGGTGCTTCCTGCTCCACTGAAAACGATTGCTCGGATTCTCTGGTCTGCAACAGCGGAATCTGTGGTCGGGTTTGCTCCTGGGCTGGACATTGTGCTAGTATGTCATATGATCCTGGAGATCCCTCTGGAAGAATCATTAAATCAATGTATTTGACTGACTGGTTGATTTTTCTCTCAGGTGCTTCTTGTGCTACTGACGATGATTGCTCTGACTCCTTGGTCTGTGACAATGGAAAATGCGCCACCTTGTAGCCTCGAAGTATACATTGATTGATATTCTGCTAAGCAGCTGAGGAAAATGACAGGCTCAATTTGGAAGGCCAAGTGTGACAATACAGACATACATCTTGTATGGTTACTTATACGGGAGAGCAGATGGATTCTCGTGCATGAGATATCTCCAAGGTCTATCTCCCAAGTACTTGGGATATGGTTATTAAGGATCCCGCTGTCGTGTATATGTTGAGCCGCACCCTTCCGAAAGCTGTAGCTTAAGTAGCTGTCTGTCGGTAATCTAAATGCTCTTAGCTTAGTAGATAAGGTCGAGAGTAACTTGTTGCGATTAGATGGGTTTCTGTGGAAGAAGAATAACGGGGTGTCGGATCCTCTGGGTTAAGAAGTAGTAGCTACATTGGTAGTCCGTCTACGATCTAGAGAGAAAGAGAAACAAGAGACCCATAGGCCTTGAGAAACCAGGAAAAGTCTGTCGCGTTCGATGGCGTAAGCTACTATACAATGCCTCCTTTAACCCAGTTGCGTTGAAGAGGAAAAGGAGGACCAAGCAACCCTCTTGTCGTCCCAATCCCTGGTATATATACTGCTACCGTGACAATCTTCAGTTAGATTGTCCTTGGACATTTCAAGTCTAGGTATATGTATCTTCACGTGAAGAGTAGCGGTCAAGCACAACACATCAAATGCCAAGCCACATGACCTTCCCGGGGTGGGAATAGCCTCATCCGGGGGAAGACATTCAAATTCGTAACAGAAGGGGGGGCCTTATAAGTACTATCAACGCGCTAGTTATCACAGGATAGATGGCCCTATAGGGAATATCCTTTTTGGGTATAGTCTAATATAGGCTAAAAGAAATAAAGATAGCTTGCTAACTAGATAATGAGTGTTGGTGAGTACGTAATGACTGAGTGATCACTAAGCGATCACTGATTAACCACCGAGCGATCAGTAAGTATCCATGATTGGTCACTGAGTGATCCCATAACTGGACTGACGAGATCACCGAGCATCAGCCCGTGCTAACATTTACTCACTGAGCCTGAGCCTGATCACCCTCATAAAAGCGGCGGCAGCCCAGACAGGAAAGCCTTACCCGGCAGACATTATCCTGTGTATAGGTACATATACTCTGAAACAAAAAAAGGGAAAAAAGAGGACCCGGCTTCCAGGGGAGAACAAGGACAGAAAGGGAGGAAAGGAAAGGTAAGGATAAGACCAAGGAAAATTCAGGATTCCAGAATCCTATGCCCACATCGCATACACAAACCAGATCCTCACTTGAGGAAAGGTTTCAATCTATATCCAAGATCTTGAATGATATCCCGGCCAAGCAATTCAAGGACCTTTCATTCGCATATTGCATTTACTGCCGCTCAGTCACAACGCCTTCATAGTCCCGGGACCTGATGTACTGCAGAGTGCGCTCGAAATGGCGCTTGGGGCCGTCGAGGCTAGGGTTGGGTTCGTCCTCACTGGTCTGCAGGTTGGAGTGAATAAGCTCGATCAGCCCGTTGAGGTACTTAGTAGTGACGGTTTCGTTTTGCTGGTCAAAGTAGTAGACGTAGCGGTTGAGAATTTCGACGAAGAGCTCCACCGAAACGGCTGTATCCATACAGGCATCCGCAACACGGAGGGCACGCTGGAGGCATTCGAGAACTCGTTTTCCATCGCGATAGAGCTGTTCAGATTCGTGACCATGTTAAAAATAGAGCATAGGTGGAGGTGACGGGATGCTGCTTACATTCTTGGGATCCTCTTCCTCGCGCTGGGGATTCTCGACTACCCACCAGAGATGGCTTGCAAGGTACACTGCGCGGCACTGGTCGGGCTTCTTGAGAAGCTTACTTCCATGGAGAGCGGCCTTAGTGATCAGTGTATCGTAGTTCTCTTTAGAGAACCCACGGGTTCCGTGCAGGGCCCCTGCAATGATGCACACAGCCTGGAACTGCGCCCGAGAGTCGCTGATCGCGTCTTCGTAGATGGTAAATGCTTGTGCGAAGAATTCGTAGCTGACCTCCTCGAAACCTGTCTGGTCTGCAACTTCACCGCACATCACAAACAGCCGGAGTGCCAAGTCTGCACACCCAGGATTTACCCGTTGGTACAAGTTATTGACGCACTGGTGCAAAAAGCGATAAAGAGCGGACGATTGCGTCTGCCAGTTGTCTTCGTAATGCTCGCGCGACTTTAGTTTACGAGCCAAGCGAATTGAGGCCGTGACAAGGGCGGGAGTGGTGTACCGGATGCGCTCATTGCCATCGCTGTATGCTTTCCGAGTTGCTTGAAGAAGCTAGGAGGTATGTTAGCTTGAGATCCTGAAGCCTGAACCAAGTGCTAAGGTTACCTTCAGTTGAGTGTCATTATCGGGTGCCTGTATCAGATGAACCAATCTCGCGAGCCACCCTTGCTCCTCAATTGTTTCATCTGTCTCACCCCCGCGCCGCTGAGATGGTGCTCCTGGGTACCCAGCTGACTGCTGCAGACCCTCCTTGATCAGAACCCTGGCAACCTGCAACACACGATCAAGGTTTTCTGTAGTTGTGATCAGGGTCCTATTCTTGAGGAGACTCCGAACAATCTCGCCTGCGATTGCCCTCCGGGTGGGGTATGACTGTGATGTCAGAAGAGGCAGATAGTGTGGCAAAGCCAAGGCTGTGAAGATCGAAACATAGGAGCGAAGAGGGGAACTGAGAAGATGAAGGATATGCTGTTGAGTAGGTGCCGAATGCAGGTCAGCGTGATCGGTATATTCAGCGGTTTTTTCAGTGGCAAAGTCGAGGACCTGATCAACATAGTGCAGTTCATCGGGGTAGATGTTCAGGGCCAGATTGACGAGAGATACCAGGAGTGCCATAGTATCTTGGATGGGCAATGCGCGCGTCTTGATCAGATTAACTACCTGATCATAGAAGATATCGTATAGCTTGACTTCTCCTGGAATGGCTGGTTTGGCATCGTCTCCGTTCGTAGCCTGTTGTTGACTCTCGCTCTGTTCCGTTTCGGGGGAGTCTTCGGTCTTGGGGGACTCTTCTGTGCCATTCTCCTGAGTCACGTTTGGCACGGCCGCTTCTGAAGCTACATGCTTCTTTTCCTTCTTATCCAGCTCGAGCTTCGCCAACAGCCGAGTTACAGCTTCTTCTTCATTTTGTTTACGCGCCTCTGGCTCAGCCGTTGACTCGTTGTCCCTTGTCGCATAAGTCGACAGGCGGTCCATTAATCCGATGACGATTTTCTTCAGATCGACGTGCGGGTTGAGTCGGGCAATAGCGGACAACAGAAGGTCCAGCGTATGTAGGTGGAATTCATCCGGGAAAACCTTTGTGATCACTGTTGACTGAGTCAATATCCGGACAGAGTGAGTAATTTGGACGAGCATCCTACCTTCCAGGAGATATTCTTGCGCCAGTACATCTCGACACTGTACCACCTGCTCCAGAAGTGCCTGCAGGATGCCAGATTTGTATCCTTCAAGATCGACCAACTGGCTCAGTCGAACGACATTGCTGCCAACGAGAAGCTCAAGCTCACGCCTCTCCTGTATCCGTCGGTCCCGCTCTCTGGAGGGACCCTGGTGCTGCAGCCGAACCCAAAGCTTGTTCATTTCCACGAAATTGGTCAAAACGAAATTGATCGAATCTTGGAGGTTGCCCTCGGGGCCATCGCCGGTTCCTGACGGTAGGTAATCTCGTGCTTGGCCAGATAGATAGTATCGTAGGAAAAGGCCACGGATCGGGTGCTGAATGCCACGGCTCATCTCCATCATATCCTTCATGATCTCCTTGACTGGCGCATCCTCTACCGACATGTAAACGGTGCCGACGGTAATCATGAGGTACAAACGGGGAACGATGTTTCCGGCATATTGGACCAGCTCGTACAGGTCGGCCAGGTGGTTGACTGGGTGGTTCTCCTTAAGGTAGACGGACAAGTGTCGCAAGGCATCGAAAACAGCCATGTACAACTCATAATACTGCTTGGGACCCAGGCTAGGGGTTCGCAATTCGGAGACAAGAGTCGATCTGTAGCAGTACGTTTCCAGTTGAGCAATTAGCACGCGGTTCTGTTGCGCAGACGGTCCGGGGTTGCTGCCTGGGGGGAAAAAGCTAGACAAGCTTACCCGCATTTGAGCGCATCCATGAGCTTGCCAGGAGTCTCAAGGCATTTGCGCATCAAAGCCGACTGTTGCCTCACCACCCCCAATGCCTCCTCGAGGAGGCGGGTCTGGTCCTCGGTGACCGGCGGTGGGCTCGCCATTGTGGAAGGAGTGAGGGGAGCTGAGGATGAGAGCAGGCGGTAAACAGCTGCGCTGCAGAGCAATTAATCGAGCTTGGGGCTCTTTGACCACAGGCGCTCGCAAGAACAATTCATAGACCGTGGAGAGCCTGGATGGTTGTGAGGTCAAGGGGAGGGGGTGAGGGAGGGTGAGTTCGTGAGTTGGTTCGAGTGCCGCGCCAGAGGATAAGAGGATAAGCTCATTGGGTGGTGACACCATGGGGGCACATTCCCCGAAACGTCACTGAACGCCGCGCTTCTGCGGCCATCCCGCAAATACGTCCCTACCAGATTTCATCTGTTCCTTGGCCTTCCTTTCCCTTTAGCGCTTAGCCCTCGCGGCTTTGTGCTCCCTCCCGCGAAGATCTGAGCACGCCTCTGACCTGATCAGTGATTGCTGCGTACGTAAATATTCTGAGCATAGTTAGAGGTCCAGTCCGCAGAAGCAACCTCATAAGAACTGCAACCCGCTAACTTTATCTACGTGCCACTCTACATCTCTGAATAGCCCCTATTATCCCATCGAGGAAGCACTGGCATTCTCAAAATGAAGATTCACTCTGGTAAACTAGCTACAACTGATTGCGCCGCAATAGGTCCTGCTCCATAACCAGCGAATCAATATTACATTTTGTGATAGGCGCTTCTGGAAATATTCTGTTTACTAGCCCCAACCATCACAAGAAAGATTGCTTTATGCCACCCGTTCCTATAGATTGCCTAAGTTGTGTACTGTACAGACAAATCAACCAAGAGAATCATTCACATCGGTCATGTCCTGGTATTTCCGTCATAATCCTTTCCGACTTCTCGCGGATGTCGAAGATCTGAAACTCGGCGCAAGGGGACAATTTGGAATCGTCCATAAAGTGGTGAATAGTAGGATCGTTCTCGCCACTCTGGATCTTCACTTGCGTAAGTCCTGCAGCACAGTAAATTCTGAGGCCCTCGTTCTTATCATCGGGTTCTAACTCGTCGTTTCTTCCAATAGAAGCCTCAACTCTTACGTTGGCCTGCTTAAATTCCTTGGTCACGGGATGATCACTAGGGAGAGCGAAGTGCGGTAATAATTTGAACTTAGAGCGTGTCTTGCAAGTCCCACTTCGACTCATTCTTTCTAGAGTCGTCTGTATTATGTTTAACAAAATTCATAGCCTAGCTTTTGCTATACCCTCTCGCCATTATTCCCGTCGTATAGTCAGCGCCAAATGCATAGCCGACTTCATGCAGAAACGCGCCTTGGCCGACAAAGCACGCGCCGCGCAGTTTCGCATTCACCGTAGTAACTTTCAAACTGTCACAGGCTACGCGTAGCTCGCTTCACCCAGCTATATCCGTGAGTTACCCGCAGGGGCGCCATATGGGTAATCAAGAATGACAGAGCGTTTCAAGTGGTTCGCTTTGATTGTAGGTTAATATACCTGGTAGAATCCGCACTCCGCACGGGACTGGTATTCGACGATGCTTCATGGGAGAGTGAGTGATCCGATTACCACGAAACTAAGGATCGGTTGAACGACCTTCCTTACATACTATCAGCGCGTTACAGCGCCGTACTACGCAAGTCTACGCGATCTACCATCCGTAGTCTAATTGCGATCCTCAAGGTCGAGATTATTCACGTAAATATCTCCCAGTTTGCTCTTCAGCTCTTTCAGTGAATCACGGACCTTCTGAGCCCGATCTTTCCAGTCGACAGGAGCCTCTAGATCAAGTCTATTGCTTACGTATTTGTTGTATCGCATCCCTGACAAAATTAGGACCGGTTGCTAGGATTTGAGACTTTCTCCTTCTGGAATTAGAGGTTCCTGTCTTATATGGACGTAGGAGCTGATAGTGATCTTGAATAAATTCATTTTAGTGACTGGTATCCGTCAACAGCACGGTGACACAAATATCGCACGAAGGCGTTCACAGTCGACATGGAAATGAATGTCGGTCTACTGGCATCTTGAGCACCAACCTCATACTTCCATACTCGTATGCACCCTGCAGCATGCCGCCCAGCTCAAGAAGCTCCACTGGCAGAATACAGGATGGTAAAGAGTGTTTTCAGATGGACATTGATTATTGGCCATTGGGAATGATCACCATTAACTCATTATTAGACCTCAAAGTCCTTGCTCAGTTGCTCCTCGAACTTATCCCACTGGCCTTTCACTTTACACGCCGAGGTCCAGTAATTTCCTCTCTCGTCCTTGCCCAGGATGAAGAAGCCATCTGCCGGTTTGATAGGACCGTGATTCTCTTGGATATATGAAGGTCGGCACGGTATGCTATTGTCTTTGGGTTCTTTCCGAGCAGGGGCAAAGTCCAAGTCGAAAAGGCCAGCCCGATTCCAATTGGAGAAGCCAACTTGGGCCATACCGCCGTCTCCGAGGATGACAATGGGTAACCCCATTCCAGACGCACGAACCATAGCGTAGTATGCTTCATGTTGAGCACGCGTGCCTTGCTCATTTATTGCACGCCGAACCTGCTGCGCGAGCCAACTCAGCGGCTTGGAGGTAACATCCCCGGCGCTCACCAGCACGTTGGCCCAGCCGAAGGCATTTCCAACGTAAGGGTGCTTGGCGGAGGAAGGAATTAGGTCACCCTCGAAGGCCTTTCGCAGCGACATTGCGATAGATGCTGCAACCTGGAAGAGAAGACGAGTCAGCGAGTCTGCCAGCTAAGCGAGATTACAAGGGCCCGAAGCTACCGTTCGACTGGGGCTCATCCCCATCTCACCAACAACACAACGCAGGATCCAGGCCGTCAAGATGTCATTCTCAGTCAAAAAAACCTTGGATGGATCTTCGCCCTTCTCGACCGCCAGGGCTCGAAGCTCCTGCAAGGCCTTCTCCAACTGCGGTCGCCAATGCGATTCTGGCACACAAACCATACGGTTCTCCTTGGAACGGATCAACATATCAATACCGTACCCCAGTCCCCACCTAAGCATGCCTCCAAGTCCAACCCTCTTCTCCGATAGTACATGCTCTTCGGTCTGGGGACGCGAGCCCCGTGCAAGAGAGTCGAATGGGTCTGAGTCGATCTTGCACGGAGTCGGAATCTCGGTTGTCTTGCCCCAGAGCATCGCACTCCAGCCTTCCACAACGTATTGCAAGCCAAGCGCATCGAAAGCAACATGCTGCCACTGCAGAACCACGATGGTTTTGTCGGTGAAAGAGTTGACCCGCAGCCCCAAGACCGGAATATCCGCGTCAAGATAGTCATTGATTCCACCCGGCTTGTACTCGGCTCCCCACGCCAGGTCTTCCAGGTCGTCCGGGTCGCCAACTATGGCTGGGCGCGTCGTGGGGCTAGGGATTTTGGAGGCTGCGGGGTGCTCAGCGGCAGGCATGCCATGGTCGATATGGGCGAAGGAGATGGCGGGCCGTTCGGCGGTAAACTCCGTTGGAATATGCCATTCGATCTTGCCTGAGGACTATTTGGTGTTCTAGCAGTGTCAGCATGCGTAGATCATCCTCGAGTCATGCGAATTGGGCCAGTCTTGCATTCTTCTTGAGTCGACCCCCCAACCTTTGCCACCCTTCCCGCTTCACCAAGCCTTCGAGGGACTCTTGTAACTTTTTGGGGTCGAGCACGGCGTCAAACACAAGGGATGCAGCCATGTTGTTACCCTGTACAAGCAGGCTATTCTCGAAAAAATGCAGTGGCACCACTTCATCTCCCGAGGCTGACCCCGTGGGGGGCTTACGTCCAAAAAACATTCCCATATCGATGACTCTGCCCTGACGAATAATCAATATGCTTCTGTCCCAGGGGCACACTGAGAGGTATGTCTAACAGTCTGCATCAAGTCAGACAGTTCACTCCAGGGGGTTCCAACAGCGAAGGCCTCCACAATACAACATAGCGGTATACCGGCATACCGGCATTACGAGAAAAGGTGCTAAAAGATGGCTGTTTCAATTTCAAGGCCTATGTACGCACTTGCACTGAATACAGCAGTGATAGTCATGTTGAGAAGGATGCACTAGTGCAGCCGAGACCCCGGGGGCCAGTTTCTATGACGAGTCAACTAGCACTAAATTGACCAGGATTTAGCGTGGTTGTGATGCTGTGAGAAAGGGGGTGTGGTTGGTCGGTCCGTTTATACTCTGTTTGGTCTAGCACAAGATTTTCCAATCTTACTGGCGACGGTTTTCTGACAGGCTCTTTCGGGCCTAGCCCATAAGCCTCAATGTTCTCCCCGCCACCTCGGAACCAATTGCCCGGAGTCTAGACGGGTGCAGTGTGGATTATGCCCCTGACTTGACAGGTTCAACAACCGGTTTTAGGTTATTGTCAGGCTGCGAGTGCGGAGACCTCTATATAATGTTACATAGAGCAGCCATACCCTACACTACAGATTATAAGCATCCGCATATTCACACCCTCTGGGTGCGCAGGTGATGAATTGGTCACAATGAACACAATGGATCTGGCTACAACACCAGGAATGCAACCGCCTGCCGGTCAGACGTCGCATTTCCACTCACCATATAACTCGCTGCAAATAGGGACGGTCATTTCCTTCGGCGTCAGCTTCCTTGTCGCAACAATTTTCCTTGGTCTTCGCTACTTCCAGGCCATCAAATTGATCAAATCCATCGAGTTAGACTTGGGTAAGTCTAGTGTGCCGCAAAGTCTGCATGATCGATACTCTAGGGCTGAACACTCACACTACATGCATTTGATAGTCACAATCACGATTTCCTATGGCCTCTCTGTGGTGTATTTCGTGACCATGGTTAAATGTAAGGCTACCCTGTCATCTTGAAGTTGAGCATTCGATCTGACCCAGCGATAGTAATGAACCATGGCTGGGGAAAGCACATGTGGGATGTCTCTTTAGCGGATCTCCTAGAGTTTAACAAGGTAAGATACACCAACTCTACTACATGCCGGACTATAACACTGACACGGATCAGGCCTTGCTTCCTAATACATTGACCTATTTGGTATGCCCGGCCATTACGAAGATGGCCATCCTGGCTGTCTTAATCCGAATCAATCCCTCGCTCGTCTATCGCTACTTTGTGATATCTGTCGGCGTGGCAATTTTTGCCTACACTTTGACTTTATGCGCCATCACAGGAGGGCCATGTAACCCTCTCAAGACAGGAACCACAAAATGTCTGGAGAATGTTGCCCTGGCCCAGGCGGTCCTGAATATCGCATCAGATCTGGCCGTCATAATCCTGCCGCTTCCCACAGTTCACACACTGCATTTCTCGCAGAAGCAGAAAGTCACGGTCGGCTGCCTTCTGGCGCTGGGATCCGGGTACGATGACACTAGAATTTTTCCCCTTGTATTTCTGTTTATACTCGAGCTAACTTGGTCCACAGCGTCATCGTTTGTTCGATTGCCCGCCTACCCTATGTCCTTGTTCTTGATAAGACTGACGATGTGACCTATACGGAGGCCATATTAGGGGTGTGGTCCATCGTCGAGGTCAATCTCGGTATTGTCTGCGCCTGTGCAATGCGCCTCAAGCGATTGATCACGACATACCTGCCGCGACTGTCGCTGTTCTCATCAAACCCATACAGTGCTGGGAAGACAACATACGAGTCGGGCTTAAACCGATTTCAGCCGGTGGACAGAGGCCAGCATTCATACCAGCTTCATAGCATCCAGAATGGCAGCGCCAATCCATTATTTGACAGCAAAGACATCTCTGTTCACCAATCATTCAAGGTGGATATAGAGAGTACCGACCGATAGGACTTCGCCTCGAAGTCTATAGATCCCCAAAAGCAATTAAAATCATCTCCAATTTGAATTAAGCCTTGTCTCCATCCCGCGTAATTATATTATATTCTCTTCAATGTTAGATCGCAAGAAAGAAGCCGAGCTTTGACAAGTCAACAATTGTGCTTTCGCTCATAGAAATATGCATATAAGACCTCCGTTCTCTTGCAGGAAGACAGAGTATTTGGCTCAGGCCCCCGATCTGGCATCTACTGATGGGTCACCCCGCACGCACACTAATGACTTTCAGTCTGAAAGGGTGAATTTTATTTGAGGATACTCCGTAAAAGGGATAAAAAATCCAGGAAAAATTGGCAGTAAAAACCTCCAAATGCCTTCAGTGACTACCTGCTCCAGTAACATAGTGTCCGACAGAGCACATCCCCTATCTCGAACTATGACTCAAAACACATGAACATTATATACACGCAGGATGAAAGAAAAAGACGGCATGGGTAGAAGCAGGAGAAACCCGGAAATACGACGAAACAACAATTATGCATGCCATCGCAAGAGGAGCTTTATGCCCCCGCCACAAAGTAGATGGCAACCGGGTCAGTAGATTGCCGAACTGAACTTTTGCCATGTCGGTCTGCCAGGGGGAAAGGCGTCATTTTTTTGGGTGCTAGGGAGGTCGTCCGAGTTCAACTGATGATTTTCCTAATCGCTTTTGGTGGACCCGCCAGGAAAACGCCATGGATATCAACGGTAAAAATAAATGACGGTCAAGATGGATGGGCTTGGTGTGTGTGGCTAGGATGCTGGCCGGCCACTGTGTAGCGCATTTAATCACGCATGTTGACCTCAGTGGGAGCGTTGCGCTTCTTCATCATTTCTTTACGCTCAATTTCCTTGGCTGTTTGCAGAATTAGTACACAAGCTCAGAATTGAAATATTAAGAGAAGTAGCTACTTACCTTCATCGTAGACCAGGAACTCGTGGAGACCCCGACCAGAGGGCACCATAGGCAGGACAGGAACCTTGCGGGCAGTGATGACCTCAAGCAGGGCAGGACCGGGCTGCTCAATCAGCCACTTCAGCTTAGCCTCGACCTCAGAGGGATTGGAGACGCGCTCGGCAGCGACGCGCATGGCGCGGGCAAGAGGAACGAAGTCGGGGTTCTGCTGGTGGGTATGAGAGTAGCGGTCCTCATAGAACAGGTTCTGCCATTGCGTGACCATGCCCTGCTCCTCGTTGTTCAGAAGAAGGACCTTGACACCAATGTTGAACTGAGCAGCGGTGGAGAGCTCAGTCAGGGTCATGTTGAAGGAGGCGTCGCCATCAATGTCAATAACAAGGCAGTCGGGACGGGCCACCTTGGCACCGATGGCGGAGGGCAGACCAAAGCCCATGGTACCAAGACCACCGGAGGTGATCATGGTGCGGGGATGGCGCCAGCGGAAGTGCTGAGCAGCCCACATCTGATGTTGGCCAACACCGGTGGTGATGATGGTCTTATCCTTCATGTGAGCGGTGAGCTCACTCAGCTTCTCAATGACGGCCTGAGGCTTGATGGTCCCTTCACTGGTCTGGCGCTCGTAAAGGGACAGAGGGAAGCGGGATTTCCAGTCGTTGATCTGCTCAAACCACTCTGGGCGCTCAGCAACGGCATCGACCTGGGGCAGGAGGAGACGGAGGTTCTCGGCACAGTCGCCCTCGACGGCCTCGGTGGCCTGAACGACCTTGTTGATGTTCTTGGGCATAATCTCGAAGTGGACGATACCACCCCGGCCCTCAGCAGCAGCGGCCTTCGCCTGGGGAGCGAACTTGGGAATGCTGAGCGTGACACGGTCGTCGAAACGGGCACCGACAGCAAGGATCAGATCGGCCTCCTGCATGGCCATGTTGGCGTAAGCGGAACCGTGCATACCGAGCATGTGCAGAGCCTTAGGATCCAATTCATCAAAGCCACCCAGACCCTGGAGGGTAGTGGTGACGGGGATGTTAGCCTTGTCGGCAAACTCCTTGAGGATCTTAGGGCCATCGGGGCGAGCAAGGAGACCTTGGCCGACGTAGAGAATGGGCTTCTGAGCCATGTTGACAAGGCGAGCAACGCGGCCAATGGTGCTGTTAAGCTGCCTTCGGCTCATCTCACGGGCAGCCACGGTGGCAGCGCTAGGAAGGGAGGGAATGGTGCTCTGCATAGGGATGGGGTTGCGGAGGATACCAGCGGTGACATCCTTAGGCAGATCGACGAGGACAGGACCGGGGCGGCCGCTGGTGGCGATCTCAAAGGCCTCCTGAATGCGACGAGGCAGCTCACCAACGGACTTGACCATCACGTTCCACTTGGTGCAGGCACGAGAGATACCGATTACGTCGGCCTCTTGGAAGGAGTCGGTGCCGATGGCGCTGGTCGGGACCTGACCGCAGAAGACAACCATGGGCGTACCGTCGGACATTGCATCCTGCATGGGGGTGACGACATTGGTCGCACCAGGGCCCGAGGTGACGAGGACCACACCGGGCTTGCCAGACGCACGAGCGTAACCCTGGGCCATGTGACCGGCACCTTGTTCGTGCTTGGGGAGGACGAAGTCGAAGTGTTTTGAGTTGTAGATGGCATCGAACACGGGAAGGATAGCACCACCGGGATAACCAACTATGATCGTCATGAATGAGCCAAGAGTTGATCTCGAAACAGATATACCGAGGGCAAAAAAGCGTATCACTTACAGATCTGCTTCACATTGAGACGAAGCATCATCTCATGGAAAATTTCACCACCGCTCATGCCAACCATCCTATGTTTTGGGTATCCATTAGCCTCAGCCACCCCGGTGTCATGCGTCGAAAGATTAGGAAAGACCTACGAGTCATCGAGCTCAGGGAGCTGGCGATTCTGCAGAGGCGAGATCTCATTGCGGTGAGGTTCTTGGTTGAAAGCCGGGCTCGGCACGGGCCTGGAGTCACTATTGGATCGGATGAGAAACGAAGTCAGAGAGATTGGGTGACAATACTCACGAGCTCGCCGTCGCGGTACTCTGAGCACGCTTCTGAGGAGAAGAGCGGTGGGGCGAGGCAGCCGACGCCACGAACGAGGTCGAGAAGGGCCGACGACCAGAGGCAAACTGCCTCTGGAGGTGGATGGCGCGCAGAGCGCTCTTTGACGGTCTGAGAGGTATCATCCTGACCGACAGCAGCCCAGCAGCACTTGAGCACTTGGAAATGAAGTCGAGGAAGGGAAAAATAAGTTCCAATGGCCCTTGCCGTGAACTCTCTGGGGAGACGAAAAACGCATTAAACCCAAACCGACCGACCGCTCTGAGTCAAGAATTCGGCGCTGCTGATTGGAGTAGCCATCCCCCGCCGCTCCGACACCGGCGGCACTCGGGAGAATCAGGTGACTCTCCGGAGAATCGCTCCGCATCATGTGATTGTGCTGGGTGGTCGTCTGAATTTTCAGGCCATCAACACTTGTCTGGGGCAAAGCCAAGAGGGAAGATCCGATTGGCCAAACGAGTCCAACTTCCGCGATATCTCCGCAATGCACCTCTCTACAACCCCGCCACCCCAGAGATTCCATCGCGAATTTAAATCCAACCACTGACCGCAGCGGGTCCCTGGGGCTCGCCCAACCTCCCTCCCGATCTTGGGGGGAGAATAATAACCGAAAAATAACTTCTTTTTGCTGAGCTTCTCATCGCTTTGAGAATCCCGAGGGTCTCGCACCGGAAGCCGGGCAGGTTCCTTGCAATTCGACCCGAACGTAGGGTCAGGCTTGCTTCTGCGACAAACGACATTATACGAAACTTCCCGGGAATTTAAATGTTATACCTAGGGGACTGGACTCGGGTTCCCTTGCATGCCTGCCAATTGGTTTCGTCTATAAATACGTGAATGGCCTTGTCAGGTCACGGGTTCTTCTTCCTGGCCCTACTTGCGGAGACTCGGTACAAGATAGCCGAACGTTTTGAGATAACGATATGAAATAAACCTTCTTTCCTCGTACCTGATATACCTCATAGCCAATAGTGAGCCTTCCCCGGCCCTGGGACCGCTGGGGCCTGAAGCTCCCCGCAAAGACTACACTGCAAACGGACACCGGGGATGAAACTTTGAGGCCATCTCCGGACCCCACCACCCTGCTAGCTAATTTACCCGGGGTTCTATCGCCTTGGGACTGAGGCTTGGCTGCCATCATCGCTGCCTACTGACTCCTTTTCTGATCATTTTCCAGGCAATTTCATTGACACCTTTCCACCCTCATTCTCTTTCTCTCTCCCTTCCCTCCAGCCATTTTCTCTCCCCGCGGCCAAAAAGAGACAAAAGCCGCAGACTCAGGTACCCCGCCATGTCTGCCCCGCAGGAGCTCGTCCCGCAAACAGAATCTATCGCGGAGGTCTACGCGACCGACGATGCCTCCGTGAAGTCGGTTGCCTCGAGCCACCAGCAGCGCTGGGCCAACCTAATCTCCCAGTTCAACAAGCAGTACAACCACCGCCCCGACTTCGTAGCCCGCAGCCCCGGCCGCGTCAACATCATCGGCGAGCACATCGACTACTCCCTCTACGATGTCCTCCCAACCGCCGTCAGTGTCGACGTGATCATGGCCGTCAAGGTGGTCCCCGCCGGACCTGCCGGCACGACCGTAAAGATCGCCAACGTTGCACCGGAGAAATTCCCCCCACGCGAGTTCAGCGTGCCCAATAACACCGATATCGAGATCGATCCCAAGAAGCACGAATGGGTGAACTACTTTAAGGCCGGCTTGCTCGGCGCGTTGAAGTTCTTGCGCAAGGAGCATGCGGGCTCGCTGGTTCCTGCTAGCATGGAGATCCTGGTGGACGGCAACGTTCCCCCCGGTGGTGGTATTTCCAGCAGTGCTGCGTTCGTTTGTGCGAGTGCCCTGGCCGTTATGAAGGCCAACAATCACAATGTGTCGAAGCAGGACTTGTTGGACCTTGCCGTTGTTTCTGAACGGGCTGTGGGTGTGTACTCTGGTGGGTGAGTATTTCCCAAAGTATACACAATTGGAACAATTGCAGTTGATGGACATTCTAACGCGAGACATGCTTCTTCCTCGATAGCATGGACCAGGCCGCCTCTATCTTCTCGAAACGCGGCTTCCTGCTCTACACCCAATTCTTCCCCAGGTTCCAGGCCGAACATGTCCCCATCCCCAAGGCCACCGACGAGATCACTTTCCTCATGGCCCAAAGTTTCGTCACCTCGAACAAGGCCGAGACCGCCCCGCGCCACTACAACCTGCGCGTGGCCGAGTGCACCTTGGCCGCTGTGATCCTGGCCAAGGGTTTCGACTTGACCCTGCCCAAAGACAACAGCTCGCTGGGCTACAGCCTGCGAAACTTCCAGGAACAGCTGATGACGAAGGAGGAGCGTCTGCACGATCCGTTGGAGTACCAGATCGACTCGGTCATCCAGGCGGTCCAGGACCTGCTAACCAAGGACGAGGGTTACACGCGCGAGGAGATGGCGGCCTTGCTGGACATCAGCGTCGCCGAGCTGGAGTCGAAGTTCCTGTCTGCGTTCCCCGTGCAGGCGGAGCGGTTCCTGCTGCGCCAGCGTGCGCTGCACTGCTACAAGGAGGCGCGCCGGGTGTTGGACTTCAAGGCGTGCCTCGCAAAGGCGTCCCAGCTCGATGAGAGGCGCATCCACTACCTCGGCCAGCTGTTGAACGAGTCGCAGGAGTCGTGCCGCACCGCCTACGACTGCAGTGCTCCCGAGGTCGATGAGATCTGTGCCATTGCCCGCCGCGCGGGTACCTGGGGTAGCCGGTTGACGGGCGCGGGCTGGGGTGGCTGCACTGTGCACATGCTGCCCCAGGGCAAGGTCGAGGCTGTTACGACTGCTTTGAAGAACGAGTACTATCTCAAGAAGTTCCCTGATATTAGTCCGGAGAAGCTGGAGCAGGCTATGGTTATTAGCAAGCCGTCCAATGGCTCGTTTGTGTATGTGTTACCCTACTAAATAAGGCGTCCGATTGGGGTTTGAATATTTGGCTAATCATACTACAGGGTTTTCGGTGCTGCTATTGACCAGCTTGCTATTTGAACCATTGATATCATTACCCCGTAGGGCGCTTTTGGATTATAGATGCTCTCAAAAATATCTCCAAGCTTCAAAGATTTTCTAGATCCTGCCTCGTGAGGCATTATTGGAGAACATTAGCCGTAGAATCGGAAGCGGCAGCTCCATAAGCCATGTAAGGCTCATGGTCGAGCAATCAAGGGATTGACACCTGTGCAGTGGACCACTTATTTGCAAAGCTGGCCAAACTCATCTCCAATAGGTGCCATATGTTTGCCCCCCCCCCAGATATGCCCCAGGAGACGCCGGCCAAATCATTGGACGGGGAGGAGCTGAATTCGGAATGACCCATGGAAACAGCAATTCTCTTGCTCGAAATCGACATTCTATATCTTCGAGTGATGGCCTGGCTCTTATGCCTCAATATCGTGATGCAGCCATGTTGGAAGAACCTTGGATGATTGTTTGTCCATGAATCATTCAAGTCTTCTTCTTAGCAGCGGCCTTTCCGAAGAAGTCACTCATCTTCTTCATGCCAGTCGTGTTGACTTTCTTCAGGTCACGGACTCCCCGTGACTCAGCTGCCTTCGCTTTCTTCTCTTCTTCCTCCTTTCGGCGCTTCTTTTCAGCTCGATCCTCAGCCTCCTCGTCGTCCAGTCCGCGTTTTCGGCTGAAGTCAGACATGCCCCGAGAGGCTAGGGCCTCAGCCCGCAGAGCTGTGAGTTCCTTCAGACGGTCGGTTAATGGCGCGAAATTCAAAGGGGTTTCTGGGGCGGCGAGCATTTCATCCAGACGAGAGGACAGAGCAGACGATAAATAAGAGTCCTTCATGAATGACAAGGCAGTCGAGATTCGTTGCAAGCGGCGGATATCTTCGGAGCCTTCACCAGCCGGCTGGGGTGCAGGTGTAGTTTCAGAAGCAGGGGTCGACACCGAGGGGGTGGCAGTAGTGGCCAGTGTCGACGGTGAATCCTGTCTCTCGTCAGATTCAGTCGGGCTTGTCTCGTCATTGCCCGCAGTCTGGTTAGTCAACAGATCGTCGCGCTTAACCGACATCAGCGGAGCTGCCAATGCTTGACGGATGAACCGCTCCTCCAAGCTGAGCGGCAGCTCTTGCACCGCCATTCGTTCTGCTTTTGCGAGCAGTTCCTTGAGGAGCTTGGCCTCGCTGAATCGGAACATGCTGTCGTCACCTGCTTCCACGATATCACAGATCGCTTTGGCGCGTGCGAGTAGGGTGTTGCGAAACGTCTCCTCGTAGAGAACATGGCGGAAGTGCGGGTGTAAGTCGTCATTCGAGTCGATGATGTCGTCCAGCGGCTGGAAGAGCAATTGGCCAGATTTTAAGGAGGTTGACAGCAGAGGAACCAGGAAGAAGATTGCATCAATGGGTGTTGCGACCAGCAATTCGGCCTTCTTGGCAATTGACGCCGTCCCAGACGATTTCCCTTCATGTTCTGACACGGTATCGGTCGATTGACGCTTGTTAGGGGTGAATAAAATACTCCGAGGAGCCGAGGCCGGCGACGCGACAACCGTAAATTCGAAGATACCGCGTTCTGGGCAGAAGAAGTAACGGGATAGCTCGCCGGACTGTGGGTTCGGTAGGGAGAGCAGACGCGCTTTGGCGCTGGTGTTGGACGGAAGTATAAAGGTCTTGCTGGGGATTTCGGCAGCTGTCAACTTTCTCGTCTGCTGTTCAGGAGCAGGTCCAGACTGCCCTGACGGAGCCGTAGAGCGAGTGCGGGGCATGGTTGCGACGATGGGTGGGTTTGGCAAGGACGAGAGGAGAGCGGGTTAGCAAAGGAAGCCGCGAGACGCGCCAGGACGCGACCTTCGGAATCATGTGCGGGCCGGGGCCTAGCCATGCAGGTGATTCCTCACATCTCCCTGCATCCTCGCGGGCTAAGGAAAGCTGTGCCATTTTTTGAGCGCTTTCCAGCTTCGTGGCCATTGAAAAATTTCTCATTTCTCTTATCACGCTGGCTTCTTGGTCCTCCTCAGCAACAAGAACTCAGGGTACGGCCCGCGGTGCGGCGGAAGCAGCTGGGAATGCGGCTCCATGCTCACTTCGATTTTTGATTACCCCCTGACCTGATAACGACAGTGAGTAGGTTGTTGCCTTAATCATATGTTACATTATGCTAATTAGATCATTTTGCTAGTGGTCGACTCTGCATGGCCGCCCAAGTCTCCCCGCGACGCCTTGCTGAGCTCGCCGGGAGGACGAAGGAAATACGAGGACATGCAACAACGCCGACAGCTGCTTTCCTCGCCGTTGAAGCGCTCAAGCACAACTCCCAATTTCCGATCAAAAGCCGGACAAGTCCTGGATGAGGGTGAGGATGAAGACGATAGTGAAGAGGACGAAGAAACACTGCAGTTGCAGCTCGCGGAGATCAAGGCTCGCCTCAAGTTGAAGCAGCTACAGAAGAGTCGAGGCCGCTCTGGCACCGCAAGTTCGCGTACCGAAGATGGGGAGGAGGTGCATGCTCGTCCCTCTTCCGGTATCATACGGTCCCAGAGCCACGCTTCAATCCCACGGAGCCCTGGAGGTGCACTTCGGAAGGCACCCACAAACGATGTTCAGGTGCCAGTGTCACCAACACGGCGAGATGCTCCCGCACCAGAACCGTGGTCCCCTCGGAGGTACAAGATGGGCATTGATAAGGGCTGGAAGGCGGGTGATGTGTCACTCAAACGGCCCCCTCGACCAACTAGCCAGCTTGAAACTCGAAGCGGCGCAATGTCGCGTTCGAGCGACGTGTTTTCGGCAAGACCTCAGACCTCTCCCAGCAGTGGAGGCCTTCACAGGATCAAAAGTTTTAGTGAGCGTATGGCAGAGGGTCGAGCGGCCGAAAAGTCCCGCATGGAGAGGGCAGAGAAAGCAGAGAGAGTGCACGCGAGCCGAAGCTCGGGCTTTCAATTGGATAACTCAGAGATCGAGGCATTCAAAGCTGCTGCTGCAACCGAAAAGCCTTCTACCCCCTCGTCTGTTAGTCGGGGGCCGCAAGCGCCAAGCTTCAGCCGTGAGGATATCCTCAGGTCTATTGGCCCAAGTCGTTCTGGTATTATGAAGCGCAGCCAGACGACACCAAACATTAGAAACATGGATGGTCACACGCAAGCTTTATCACACAAAGTGTCTGAAGAAACAGAGCAGACAGAGAATCCACCCGACCCGTCCAAATTTGAGTCCTATTCTGGACTACACCTGTCGAATCGTATTCTGCCGCACTCATTTTTGAGCCGCAGTTTGGCCGACAAAACCACACTCAAGATCCCTGATCTTCTCAAAACGGTCAAAGCGCCTGCTTTTGAACTCCCAGAAGAGATAGATGGGGATTTTGTGGTCTTTGGAATCGTTGCGTCCAAGTCCGATACTAAGCAGACCAAGGATTCAGGGAATGCCTCTGCCAAAACAGCTGATCCTTACGATGACGGCATGAACAATACCAACAGCTACATGGCCATGACCCTGACTGACCTTAAATGGACCATTGACTTGTTTCTTTTTGATACTGCCTTTCCCCGTTACTACAAGATCTCAGAAGGAACTCTCATTGCGATATTGAACCCCACAATTATGCCACCTCCCAAGCATAAGCTGGACACTAACCGGTTCAGTTTGTGCCTGTCCTCGTCAGATGACAAGGTTCTCGAGATCGGAAAGGCACAAGACATTGGCTTCTGCAAGGCCGTTCGGAAAGATGGCAAGACCTGCCAGTCCTGGGTGGATGGCCGTAAGACGGAATTCTGCGATTTCCACGTGGATCTTCAAGTGCGCCGCACCCAGGGGGCGCGCTCTGGTGTCAACAGCGGTACGGGTATGTTTGGCCCTGGTGGCAAGTCTGGATCACGTACTGGAATCTGGAACAAGGGGAGTGCGACGAGGGGCCGTGGTCGAGGCTTGCTTCATGGATCCCCAGAAGATTCTCCTTACGGATCAGAGGCCAAATTAAAGCCTGAAGGTGCTCGATATGACTTCAGCTCCCAGTCTGTCTATTATGTCGCGCCGGGGCCCAAGAACGGGGGAGCTGGTCGTGCGTCCTTCAACCCCGCTGCAGGTCACTCGGCCGCCAATATGCTGGATGCCAACGATGATCCCTTCATCGCGGCTGGCATGATGGGCCGTGGCATGGAGAATAAGGAAGAACGGATGAGAAGGCGCCTGGCGGCTCAGCAGCGTGAGCGCGATATCACACAGAAACTCGTTGCTGGCCGCTCAGGCGGCGTGGGTGCAGAGTACCTCCGCTCGCGCACTGCTAACGAAAGCCCGGCCAGCGGTGGAAACAAGGACAGGCCGCCAGGTACTCCTCCAACGCCCAAAGCGTTGCCCTCGAGCCAGAGTTTGAACTGGACCACCTCTGGCAAAGCCAAGGATGTTCGTCTGAGCCCCATGAAACGTGCCCATGACGGTGACAAACCTCACGGCAGTGGCGTTAAGAAAACACGATTCATCACCTCCAAAGGAATCAGAGAAGCCGGCCGAGATAGCTTGGGTGGTGATGTAGTTCCGATAGGACGGGTCCTTTCGGACGATGATGACGATGACCTGGAGTTGGTTTGATTACATGGCCTGCGGCCCTGTGTTGACCTTGAAGGTCTTCAAGGCCCCCGGTTGCTCTCATGACGCTGTTACGAAAGAAAAAGGCACCTTGCTGGGGACGAATTTTTTTGGTTATGCTAGTCGAGCTACGAATCCTACTCGAATCAGTTTAGGCATACGTCAATCGCACGAAGAATGCCTTGCATGTCTCTGCTCTTTTCCCATTCATAGACCGTCTATATCTTTTCCGATTCATATCGCCCTCGTTCAATTTCAACAGCAAATTCTCAGTGTTCATCTTGGCAGTTAACGTCCGCTAGATTCAAAAGAAAGTCCCCCACCGATTTCATTCCCGATTAAACCTGGTGAGGCGACTGCTGCGTTGGAGCCCGAAGCAGCGTCCCCCAAATCATGAGTGCGACAGCCAACATCGCTAGCAAGATCGGTTGCAGAACAGTGACTCCCTTCGCCTGCGCGATAGCACCAATCATGAAAGGGAAAACAGCCCCTCCCCCCATGGAAAACGCGGCCGCGAAACCGATGGCAGCAACATGCAGATGCTTCGGCAGCAACCTCGTGGCCACGACCACAACGCCCGGGAAGATCGTCCCCAGAAAGAAGCCAACCAGAGCCACGGCCACTGCGGAGACGATAAATTCAGGCACGAGCCAGAAGATCAGTTCTAACGCGATGGCAAGCAGAATGTAAATGACAATCGACAACTTCTCCCCAATGCGAGGCGAAACAAATCCCAGCACGAATCGGCCGAGCGTGACGCCGAGCCAGAAGCCCGTTTCGGCCATGCCGGATGCAAAGGGACTGCCATGGCGTACATTCGTCATGAAAACGACAATCCAACCCCCAATAGCGACTTCTATGCCGCCGTAGAGGAAGAGAAAGACGGCGCATATCCACGTTACTCTGTACGTGAGGGACAGCCGGGTGTGGTTGAGAGACCCGCCTGCCTCTCTGCCAGGGGCAGATGGATGATCCTGACGGTATCTGGAGCCCGTTTCTGCCCAGAAGGCGCTTGTAGCATTGACGAGTTCAAAAACAGCCGCTCCAGTCTTAGGTTTGTCATTAGCAGATGGCGCTTTTCGGGGAGCGAACGTGAAAACATAGCAAGACGCTGGGACGTACCAGGAGATAATAGAACGAGTACCATTCCCATCCAGCCTTAGTAATTAGACTTGTAGCAACAAGAGGACTCACTGTGGCCCCGACCCCATAGAACCCGTGGAAGCATCCGAGTACTTCGTGAGAATCCGCCATGTGGCTGATCCATACGTTCCACCCTGCATTCTGAATGCCGCTTCCCAGTCCCACAAACATATACATAATCACCAATGCCGGAAACGGCGGATGGCTTGATATGACTGCAAAGGCGAGCACATGGCATGCCGGACCAATACACGCCACACCTCGACGGCCCAGGCGCTGGTGGATGAAGTTGCTGAGAAGAGCAGACACAGTGTAGCCGACGAACGGGGAAAGGAAGACCAGGGAGATGATGGCATAACTTTTGTGATAAGAGAGCTCGAGCTGGACCCTCATATAGAATACCCGTTGGTTAGTTATGTTGACCTTGTAGGTAGAGGGTATCACCAACGTAAGGAATGATAGCTCCGTATGCAGCGTCGTTACAGCCCATCACAAATCCACACCAGAATGTAGCCAATACTTTCCAGATCGTCGTCTTCGATTCGTTCCATCTGAGAGCAACGTCGACAGCATGTAACGGTGGAGTGTCGTCCTCCGATTCTGGGCCTGCCGTGACCTCCGGAGCACGGGGGACCTCATGGCTACGGGGAGGTGAGAGTTGACCCGAACGTAGTGAACTTGCAGGCACAGCCTCTGTGGCCATCTTGGATGGGATCGGTGAAGAGAAAACTGCGCTTGAATTTGCTAATGGTGGATCTTTCCCACTTGCTTGAGAGCGGGGAAATTATGGGGGCTTCGTGTTCGATCAGTCATAGTCATAAGTAATACTACCTCACAGTGGCCATCGATCCAACAAGCATGAGGACCAAAGCAAATGGATTCCCTTCAATAAAGGTACCTGTTGAGCAGCTCATACTACACTCAACACGATATCACATACGATCTACAAAGAATCAGAATGTTCACAAGACGAGAAGAGTCTCATTTCATTAACGCACAGCCAGAAGGGTGGGCTTTTCTCGCCCATTTGTATCCAAAGCATAATCCCAGAGAAGCAGGGAAGGACATGTTGTTAACCAACCAGAAACAGCGAAAGAAAAAGCAGAATCCAACGCCACAACCCCATTTCCAGAAAACACACGAGGTATCTGGTATCTTGATTTCCCCAAATCCAAACCCACGCGCCAAGGTGAAGTAGAGGACATTAGTGCTTGAAAAGACAACATAAGACATGACGAGGGGCACAATTAAATCGCCGGAAAAAGAGAAGAAACAATACACGACAAAACGCTTGGATAAAAAAGCGCAGCAGTTGCCCTGCTGGAGAAAACATTGTTGTGCACTCAACCCTCCAAGGGAGCAGTACAAGAAGATCTGTGCCAGCATTAAAACCGGGCGGAACGAACGAAAGGAAAAGAAAGCAGACACAAAAAGTCGCTACCGCTGCACCAGGCCAATGAACAGTGATTCTGAAGTAGAAAGAATTAACCCGCTAACAATGCGAGTGTAAAAGGTGGTGACAGAAGTGAGCCTAAGCCAGAGGAGCAGTGGCAGCACCCCCACGGGCACTGCGAGTCTTCTTGGCGGAAGGCTGGGCCACAGGGCTGCCAGTGCGATCGGCCTGGCGTTTCGCAGGAGTGGTAGGAGCAGACACATCCTCAGGGGCCTGCTTCTTACGCAGCCACTGATCAAACGGACTGATACGCTTCCGCTTGGTGTCCAAGGCTTTGGTGCCACTGGGGGTCTCATCAACCTGAGTTGCGAAACGGGCATTGGATCGCAGAAGACGAGTCGCTCCAGGAGCTGGGGGGCAGTCCAGGGAGGGTGAAAATAGGGTAGAATTGACGTGACTGGGTTCGACCTCGGCGTCCTCACTATCCTCTTCGTCCGTGGCAGCTTCCTCCTCGTGAAGGGGTTTGTCGTTCTTTGGACCAGGGAAGAGGACGCGGGGTTTGACAGAGTTGCGAGTCAGAGGCTTGACGCTATTCAGGATGTCTTGGCTGTCATCCAGCAGATCAGGACGAGCAGCGAACAGGCCCATCTCATCGTTGCCCTCATCTTCGTCTTCAAACTCAAACTTGGTGTGGACTTTCTTCCCACGACTGCCATGAAATTGGTTAGAATGCATTTCCTTTGTGCTCTGCAGGCGAGGGAACTCACAAAATCATGGTCATCCCATCCTCCGGGGTAGACAGATATTCGTCATCGCTGGGGGTTATATTGCCGTGGCTGCAAATGTAAAAGTTAGATCCAATATACTCGCAGGAGGGACAAATCGAAGATATTACCTGCTGGCCGTAACAGGGGCGTTCTGTGAGTTAGAACTTTCGCCGGATTTGTACATGCGCCTTGGAGCCCTTCTGATAGAACCGGCAGCTTCAGACTTTGAAGCAAACGGATTCTTCTCTGCGGCGCCGGCAACGGGAATGCGATCACGAGAGTCCGTAAAGATTTGGATATCCTTCGATGCAGGAGCTTCGAAGCTCTCAAGTGAGAACGGGGAAGGCTTTTTGGCCGACATTCTGCTGTTTGATGGGAAGAGAGTGCGGGACGTGGACGATAAATCGCCCTGGACCTTTCTTTTCGACGGGGTTTTAGCAGGAGTTGGCAAAGCCTCATTCGCCGCCGAGTGGGGCTGAGAATGTGCAGATTGCTGATGGTGGTGACGTCCAGAGATATCCAACTCAGACTCGCTGGTCGCAAATGTGAAGTTGGGTGGAGGCTTGGAGGCTTCACTTCCCATCGACTTCGAGCTACTGCCGGGAGGAGACATCGTCTCCCCATCGATTCTTCGATACTTTTTCGGTGAAGCCCGAGATCGCATCTTACTGGGTGAGCCTGGCCAGACTGGTTCAGGCGTCCTTTCTGTTGTTCTCGATGCACGCTGGTTTGCTAGTCTAGCCGAGAACCGAGTCGGGTATGGCTCAAATTGGTCGTATCCAGCACCATGGCGCGGCGCGGTAGGAATCCGCAAGGATGACGGCGAAGGCGGCGGGGGAGTGGTCGCCATTATGAACAATCGTGATTGACGGCAAGTTCCAAAAGGAGTATGCCGATATAAGCGTCCAAGGAATACGGACTCAGAGGAGGCGGTGCGTTTGGACCAAAAGCAGCCCAGATTGTGGCTTAATGTTGACAGACTGAATCAAGGGCGAGACGGGAATTGATCGGCAGATGAGGGAAACAGATCGAACGAAGCGGTACTATCCGGGGGCAGACAGAAGCAAGCAGTTCTTCCAATGACGGGGATATCAATGAGCAAAAGCAACAAGAACGCGATGTAAAGTGAAAGTTGCGAAAGAAGGGCGAGGTCCCATGAAAGGGCGGCATGTTTGACGCCCAGCCACCTCGATTGTTCACCGCCTCAGAATCTCACCGCCCTGACGATATTCTTCCCGCCCCGCGGTTGGCTCGTTCCGTGGATTGATTGTTGACGTTCTTCCTGATCTGATTCCTGCTAGGTCTTGCGAGCAATTATATGGTTCGGTTGCTGCTATATCGTCTGTGAGTTGGCAGTGGGCTCTATAACAACATTGCTGGCATTCCACGCGTCGGGAAAAACGATCGACCCCGCACCTCTCGACGCGATGGCCGTCCGCAGCACCGCTCAGGAAATGGAGCGACTCCAGCTCTCAGATGAAGACACCGAGGACCTCTGGAACTCCCCGTCAAAGCGAGGAGCTCGTAGAACCTTCACACCACGGTCACCCGACGAGATCCCCCCACCGGAGCCTCGGCAGCCCCATGATGGGGGCCGAACTCTTTTCGACCGCCAAGAGGCTCGTGAAGCAGCACTTCATAACGAATTACACGCCGTGCGGAATATCAACGAGGTCATTGAGGGCCTCTTGGGGAGTATTGACCGGGCCAAGGGCAATATGGAGGTGGGTTTGGGCTATTCTGCATACCCACATAGTTTGGCGCAGGGCCACTTACACCTACATTCATAGACCGTATCGAAAACAGTCGCATCGGCGTCGACCCTTCTAAACACTTGGACCCGAATTCTTTCCCAAACCGAGCATAACCAGCGCCTCATCCTCAACTCCGACTGGCAGGGTGCCACGCAAGATGTTGCCGATATGGAGCATGAAGCAATTCAGAGACAACAAGCGGCCGAGCGGCGCGAGCAAGCGCTCCAGCAACAACGAGAAGCAGCCGCGCGCAAAGCGGAGGAGGAGGAAAGGCGACGAATTGCCACAGGCCGTGGTCGCGGGACTAGTCGAGGCACGGTTCGCAGTACTGGGCTCGGGAGGACGCCGAGTGTGAGCACCAGCCGAACGGGATCTACTAGGGGATCTTCCACGACGGCCACCCGGCGACCGGCCAGTGGGATCGCTCGAGGAAGTGGAATTGCCCGAGGCTGGGGCAACGCTTAATTTCATGACCACTCTTTGTATGATACATTTTGACCTGGAGATAAAGAAGAAAAATGCGCCCAATGAAGATGATACCCAAACCAAACATACATTGCTGCCTGAGGCCCGCGCGGCACCAGTGGACACGCGACCCGATAGTCTCGCGATAAGGAGGATAAGGAGCTTTCCCCCCGAGCATTGACGAAGTCCCCCAGCTCAGCTCTCGCCCATCCCTCACAATGAACTTCGCCCCGTACCAGGACGAGTCCCCGGAGACTGAGCGGGCCCTGTCGCCTCCACACCCTGACGGTCGCGTCAAATCCCCCAACCTTCGGTCGCCGCGGGCTTCGGCCGACCTGCCATCGCCGCGCCACTTCGTTGGAGGCGGATACAGCAACACTGGCTTTGGACGAGATGTGGAGGGTGGTCATGTAAGCTTGGGTGCCTTTGAGACCAGCCTTCCTATCCGCATGGATGTGGAAGCCGCACTGGCATACCTGCTGCTGCCTCCGGCGGGAGGTCTATTCTTGCTGTTGACTGAGCACAAAAGTGACTACGTGCGGTATGAGTTCGGCTCCAACCTCTTGACGGTGATTGAAAGAAGAAGACTGGCTAATATGGAGCCGCAGATTTCATGCCTGGCAGTCGAGCATGCTCTTTGCGGTCATCTTCGTGAGTTTTGCTGTACCTCGTTGAGATTAAGACCCATCTAACGCAACCCAGATAATCCATCTCATCTTCGCTTGGAGCACCTTTATCTCGTGGACTCTCTTTCTTATCGACCTCATCCTCATGGGCTTCCTCAGCATGCGCGCTTATCGAGACGGTGAGTCTAAAACTATATCCGAGCAAATGCCATTCCTTACCAATTGTGTGAATGTCATATGCTGATATCCTTCGCCTCCAGTCGACACCCTCGACCACTTCGAAGTTCCCTTCTTCGGCCGACTGGCTAATTCTTTTGTTGATAACGAATAATCATCATTGGTTGTTACGTCCTTGACCTTGCGTGTATCTGAAGTTCTCGCCAGGAGGGAGCGTGCTTTCCTCCATATACCCCTTGTCTGCCTGTGCTTTAATGTGTTCTATGGATGTTTTGCTCCTTCCGCTGTTCATACACTTGATGGTCTTTTGGGATGCGCCTTTGGGACGATGGGCGCCAACCTCTTCGCTACTTAAATTAATCCTCATGTTCAAACCCGATTCAGGAATTTCGATTACCCAGATAAACCACCAGCTGTGTATGGCGTCCCTAGATCAGCTTCGGGGTGTTATTCTTCCAGCAGCAGTCTAGAGATTGCGGGTATGACTTGGGAACCTTGCAAGTAGAAGTATAGTTGGGCAGATTCTTCGGCACAATCTTCGTATAGTCAGTCCTTCAGAGAGCAAGAGTAGCGAGGGCCTGATGTACACTTTTTGAAGGATATTAGTGTCATGGGCACTATGTAAGTTAGTACTGGATAATCGAGGGACAGTTTTCGAGGATGTAGATTGTCTTCCAAATTGAAGCAACAAACCACCGGAATTGTCTCAACAAGCGGTCAATCAAACCATAATACTCCCATGTGCTCGTTTCTCCAAACAGGTGATTCGTAGGACTGAGCTTCAACACGGCAGCATAACTTCCATCCGCAGCATATCGAAGCATCCGAGGGCATCAACAACCCCACATCGGGCACAGCTTCGAACCCAATGAAAAGCGTCTGGGGAATGGCGTGTGCATCTGAGCAATTTTCACTGGTCGGACTTTAGCAAAGAAATTTTGGCACCTACTAGACCAGAGCGAATTCAGAAAGTTTGGATTGAAGTAACATGCCACCTACAGGGTCGGCATGGAAGCCTACCTCCGAGGTACAGGGACCTCGCCTCGAAGTTCGCACGAGCCGAATCACCTTGCCATTGCAGCGGTCTTTCTTCGGACTATCCCATTGAGCCGTGCCTACGATTTACGAGAAATCTACAGAGATTACTGTACAGGCAATGACATTAAATTCCAGTTACAGTAGGGTACACATTGGATCATTCAGCATAAGCGAGCGCAGTGATTAGGAAACGAAATCATCATGAAAATTAAAGAAAAAGGAGAAACATTCCTTCGACCATGAAAACACTAGCAATGTACATGGCCCCTAGATCGTTCGTGCCTCGTGCAATTTCCTTTGAACGGATCTTCCAGTAAACGCAAATAGCAGAGAGAAAGAGAGAGGGAGAGAAAACCCCGTCAGTATCAAATCACTAGATAAGAACAGGCACGCTAAGCCCCCAAAAATCCATCCGTAGGCAAAACATTGAAAGTATTCATTGGCTTGCCCGGCGCGAAAAAAAAGATAAAATCAATGCGCACGTACAGCGCCGAATAGGTGAGAATCGAAGTAGTTGAAACAAGGATCGTGAATGTGCAAAAATGACTCGGAGAAAGGCAAAGGTATCTACGTGAGAGCGTAAGCACAACAAAAAAAATGTTCCGTCAGGACGAGAGGTTGCAGAGGTCGTGGCGGTTCGTTAAAGATGATCGGGCATCTAGATGATTTGTAGGTAGTTGCTCGGCACCAGGCCTGGGTGGCCGCGGGCGTTGGTGACTTCGGCTTCCCACCATCCGTCGTCTTGGAGGCGGATAACAGCCAGAACATCGCCCTTGGTGAAGCCGAGCTCTTCAGGGATGGCGGCAGTGTAACTGTACATTGCACGAGCTGCAAGTTTGAAGACAAGTAAGATAAAATCCAATTTAAGAACATGTTCGAGTCGATGCTTACCAAAGTGGAGGACGGGACGTCCATCACGGCTGAATTTCCTTCCAGACTCCGCGACAGCAAGGGTACGGCTTCGAGAGCGGCCAACTGGCGGAGGAACAGCGCCGCCGTCGCCATAGTGCGACATAGGTCGACCATCACCGCGACGAGGGGAGGAGCCATATCCATCGCGAGCACCCCCGCCATACGGTTCAACCTGGCCACCAGACAGCTGCAGTTCCATACCACCAGCGCTGGAAGGACGGGTCTGCTGCCTGAACTGGGGCTGAGGAGAGACCGCGCGGTTTGCGGCAGCTGGGGAGCCCCGTCGGACATAATCGTTGGGTGAGTATGGAGGTTCTTGCGCGCGACGGGGCGTAGGGGACTGGCTATAGCGGCTGCGCACGCTGCTAGACTGGCAGGCGATTGGGCTCTGGGCTGGGCTAGCGGATCCACTGTACTGGGCGCCTATTCGAGTGTCCACCCGGGGAGACACTTGAGGACTGGCGCTGCGGCGAGGTGCCGGTGACCGTGCGCGAGGGACCTCGGTTCTGGCGGCGGGTGACATATTCGGACTGTTGGCTCCACCTCGGAGCATGCTTTGGGTCTGTCCAGTGTATCTTTGGGTAGTCTTCTGCATCTGCTTGGATGTAAAGGCAGGCTCCGGAGCGTCGAGTCGCTTCACAGAAGGATCGTTGTAGGCTGGAGGAGCACCCGTAGAGCTACCGCCATAAGCAGATGAAGGAGCCGAAGGAGTGGGTGTCTGGATTCCGTGATACCTGTCTGCCGATACGCGTAAAGTGGACTGCTTTCCACCAGTCTTTAGGTCGGCCAGAGCGCGGGCAATAGGGTCCGTATCGTCCTCGCCTCCCTTGGAATGCTGAGATTCAGCCTTAGCATTCTTATCAGGCGAAGCAACATCGAAGACATTGTTGCCAACGTTGAGCTGGAAGTTAGCTCGGGGGTCAACAGGCTCAGGGCTATGATGACCAGATTGGACTTGTTGAGGAGCCTTTGAAGGACTGTGCTGCTTGGTCGGAGAGCTCCAAGGACTGCGCGAGGAGGCTTGACTGCCAATGGTTGGTCTCTCCTTGTCGTGGCGGCTCTTGCGACGGAAGGGACTGTTGCTGAAGAAGGCACTCTTCTTCTTCTGAACCGATCTATCCTCGCTTTGACTTGGAAGCGGCGCACTGTTGGTTGGCTTTGGAGGAGACTTGTTGGTTGTGATCGGTGCCTCAACGCTGGACATGGATGTAGGGTTGGACACTTCACTCTGAGAGTCCCGGCTGGACGGGCGATATGCGCTGGTTGCTGAACTACGCTCCGAGGGTGGGCCAGTGCGGCAGAACATGGTCATGCCATCAGTCGGGTAAGCATTGTGGGGCACTGCATTGATCTCCCCATGCTGCTCAGGGTCGTAGTTGGGCGGCAGCTGGCCACCTCTGCGGAGGTCCAAGGGCGCAGGTTGCTGAGCACTCTGTGCTGATGGAAGTGCCGGGTGGCCCATTTGAGCTGCGAGTTCAGACTGTGGGTCATGGTGGGACTCGAAAGTTGATGGCTGGGGAGAGGACGTGCGGAAAGCAGGGTTCATAGCTCGCTGGAACTGGGCAACCGAGTAGCCCTCTCCTTCGTCAATATCGGAGACGTCATCGTCATCCTTGCAGAAGTTGACAAATCGCGGGGGATCCGGAATCTCCTGGCCAGTTCCACGTTCCTTAATGAAGTAGAGGATATCTTTTTCAACCTCACAGTTCTCAAGCGATAGGCGGATCTTTTCACAAGACTGGGAAACTTATTAGCATTTAAAACCGAAATTGACAAGCATTGACATACAGCATCGTCGCTGACGCAAACAGTTGAGGCAATGTTCGCGTACGTCCAAAGGCTGCTCTTTGTGAAGTCCAGGCGCTCCTCTTCCAAGTCTTGGAATTTCTGCAAGAGGGTCATTAGTACCTGGGCGATTTGTTCTTCAAGGTCCGTCACGTACATCACAAGCAGCCTTCCATTCTTTGTTCCAGCGGCCAGTTGTATCCTCGAGGGTCTTAATGGCAGCTTCATATTCGTTGCTATTTGAAGCCAGCTGGATTTGGGTCTTCTCAAGCTTCGCCTTGTTCTTGCGCTCTTCCTGACCCATCACCATGTGTCCTTGCGCAAGATAACCCTTAATTCGAAGACAGTCCTGTTCGAAGCGATCACGAGTCTTCAGAGAGAAGAACGTTAGCGATCCGTCCCCATGCTTCTCAAATTAAGGGAACACACCTTGTTGACAACTTGTGTTTGTTGCATCTTGTTCTTGTGCAGTCGCTCAATGCCATCTTGGATAATTTTCCTTCTCTCCTTAATTCCCTTGGAAAATGCGTTGAGTGGCTCCTCAAGCTCGGTCTTCATCTGGCCGGCGATCGCAGCGTGTGCCTTCGCAATGGCTTCCGTTTCCCCACGGACCACATCCAGCGATGCGCGGAGGGACCCTGATTCGGCTGATCCGAGGGACTTGCGGCAGAGTGCCTGGAGCTTTCGGGCGTATTCATCTTCGATCGCAGCGCGCACTTTTGATAAGTTAGCCATCAATAATGAACATGCCTTTCATCTCGAATCCAGCGTACCGCTGTAGAAAGCTTTCAATTCATCGCTCGTAACCTTCGATGCGTGCATGCGATCAAGCATAGGTTGGAGGCCAGCATCTTCCTTGCCCCAGAAGTTGTTGGCAACTAAGATGAAATATGGTTAGAAGTTTGTTGCGCGCGCATAAACAAACGTGTCGGTCTTACAGGACATGGAGACCGTCGGTCCCTCGGCTACGGTCCCAGGCATGGTTGTCGGTGTTGAGCCTCGGCCAGCCTTTGCTCAATGGTAGATGAAAAATAACAAGTACAATGAATGAATGAAAGACAAAGCAAACAGGGTATGGGAAAGGCGATTCGGATAAAGACAAACGCAAAAGAGACCCTGCGGTCGCTGAATGTTCAGGTTGACCAGAGGGATGCAGTCTCCAGGTGTTTACAGCGCGTCACTCGGGGCAACGGGACTTATGCCCAATCCATGGCCCCAACGCAGCGCTTATGTAATGTGACATCGACCCTGATTTTGGACGCGTCACTTTGAAAAAGCAAATTACTTACCCCCAAAGAAAAACAGGCGGTAGAAAGTATGTTCAGTAATTCCATTCTGTGTTTTGATTCTATCTACCCCTTACCGGGGCAGCATGTTCAAATCCATTCTATGTAATCTGGCCCCAAGAAGCAAAGGCTTCATACATAAGCCCATCCCATGTCCATGAAAAATAAAAATAAAATACACAAGTGAAGTAACCATCCCATAAAAAAGAAACTCCGCACATGTGGCCACTGTGTCAAAGCGGTCATGCTAACATCCAGAAATTGGAGAGAGAAAATTCAAATCTAGCTGCAAATGACAGCGATCATCGTCGTCGTACGGCTCATGTTATCTTGAGGTCATCTTCATGGCAATAAATTGATTGAAGATTGGTCATCTTGCTTCAATCCTCAGAAGTGTGGTCATCACGGAAAAAAGTTGCTCAGTAAAGCAGAGCGTTGGCAGAAGGAGCAAGAGTGAAGCTGGAGCTGGGAGTGGCCGAACTCGAGGCGCTGGGGTAGTACTGGCTGTGGAAATCCCAAGCAGCAAGAGAACTTGGCGACGAAGGAGTGCTAGACGAAGCATAGAAGTTCCGTGCGACAAGAGGAGTGACAGAAGCAGACGCAGTCGAGCTAGGAGTGACAGGCAGTGAAGCGCTAGAGCTCCAGCCACCAAACTGGCGGGCGAGCAGAGAAGGAGTCACGCTGGCACTCGAGGAGGGAGTGACAGCGGGAGAAGAGTACCAGGCCCGAGCAGCGAGAGGAGTTGCGAAGACACTGGAAGTAGAGGGACTGTAGCTGCGAGCAAACTGGAGAGGATTACCAGCGGCCATCAGGCCACGGCGAAAGAAACCCGAGTCCGAGTCTGGAGGAGGGAAAAAAGACGCGCCAGGGGGAGGAGGGCTGTGGGAGTGCAGAGTCGAGCTGTGAATTGGTGTGCTGGATGGAGTGGCAGTGACAGTGATAGTGATAGGCAGAGGAGCAGCACCCGGAGCAGTTGTAACAGACTTGACGGTCTCGGTCATAGTCTCAATTTCGGGAGCAGCAGAACTAGTAGGGTCTCCGTCGACATTGACCACCTGGTAATCGACCTTGCGGCGAACCATGTCCTCTTGAGGGTTGGCGAAGGGCGCGGCATAAGTCACGCTGACGGAGGAGAGGGCGAGGAGAGCCGCGGCAAAGACATGCATGATGGCGAGGAAACGGAGTTTCGTTGGTAATGTGCGTATATGGTGAAGATGTGCGATAGCAGTGCAACGAAGATGTAGTAAACCAGCTAGACTTGGGAGAATGAACAGGAAAGGGTGTTGGTACTGTAGAGATTTGGAGGGATTGGAAGATGGGAAACAGAGGTTGGAAGAGTCAGATTTAAAAAGAGGGAGCAGTCTAGATCTTGATCATAGTGTTCAGCAGCATGAAGTATACGCGGTCCACATGGCAACCTCGCGATTGGCCCCAGAAAGTAGGCAGGCTGGGATGGACGTGGCTGGGGACTTAAGAAACCAGCCACCCTCTTTACTAACTAGGCTTAACGTGGACGAAGTTGGCTCCCGCGCGGCTCCACATGGCAACGCCACATGCGGCCTTCAAAACGTGCCCGCCAGCCAGTCAACGCCGCAGCTACTGTGTCGATCCACCTTTATATAAGCAATCAGCGTGGCTGGGGGATCCACTCAAGCCGCATCTTGCTGTACAACCAGCACGCGAAAATCCCGGTGCCTAGTTACTTTTCTTAGTGCTTGGACAAAAACATGAAGTCATTGATGTCATTGGGTTATTTGCCTCTGATCGACGCTTCCCTTCGATTCCACCGACTTTATTGATCCTGGATCGACCAGATGCCGAAAGGCTTCGGCTCGTGGCAGGGTAAATTAAATGGCAAGATCCTCGACGCGTAACAGGCCACAGCCCAATCCAGCGCAAGCCCAGCCTGCAGTCAAGCGGTTGGGGCTCCACCCCAATGCGCTGACGTGGGTTCTTTCATCATAGATGGTGGTGAGAGAGGACCCTAGCTGAGGACGTTTGTCACCCGCCAGGCTCCGAGCCAGGCTCTGGGTTTCCGCCCGGTACCCATCGTAGAACCGGCTTGCACCCGAGCTATCTTTGTGAGTACCCGAGGCCCAGTCGTGGGAGAACCAGGTTTGTTGCCAATGTTGTTCCTTGTTATAGAGAAGCCGACGAAACGGATTAGCAGCCACTGCTTCACCACTAGCCGTGCCGTATAGGAGGCAAGGGTGTAAGAAGCTACATGGTGCCAGACTGATCACCGAGCTGGGCATCCTCCCTGCGGAGGTGGTAGCAAAGAATCGGCGGATTGGCATCAAGCGGCCGAAATCATTTTCATCGTAGGAGAACATTGACTGAAGGATGGGAGAGTAGCTGATATGGGCAGCAGCCTGGCGCTGGCGAACTGGAGTCGTGTATTCGCTGGCGGGATCAATTATAGACCAGAGCTTCGTTTCACCATCCATGCCCACAGTAGAAATAATATGCGGGTTGGTAGGGTACGCCGAGGTAATGCTTAAGATATAGGACGCATGGATGGGTTTGTAGAAGTAAGGTATTGGCGCAGGATCCGAGGTAGGCAAGATACTCCAAATAGCGACAAACCCATCCGAGCAACCCACTGCAATGTCGGTAGGAGAGAGCCATGTCAGGCATGAACAGACATTTGAGGGCGACTTGGCCTCGAAGACAGGCATTTCGATTTTGACTAAATACCGTTGCGTTAGATGTTAGTTTCATGAACCTTGGAGTTTAGAGAGGCGCTTACCAAACTCTGTTTTCTTGCCTGGGGCCAACTTGACGTCCAATACCCTCATTTTTCCATCTCCCCAGATTCCAGCAAGTAAGCCGATGCTTGCCATGCCATTCTTGTCGTCCTCCTCTCGCCTTTCCCGGGCCATTGGGCACCAGGCTATCCGGCGCACATCTCCCCAATCTGTGCACAACGCCAGCCGAAGGTGTGGCTTGACATCCATGTCAAGTGTATGAGTAACACCGCCTGCCGGTTTAGCCGTAAATTCCCACAGTTGCAAAGCACATGGGTACGAAGGTAATGGACAAAATGACGAGGGGGGATTAGTCCCCGGAAGGTTGTATTTCTTTTTTTGGTCGGTAGTGATGAAAGTAACCACAGCCAGGTATTGCGAACGACCATTCTGATTGGGAGCCCATGCGAGGCATTGGATTCTCTGTTCAAAACTGATCATCCAGCCTTCGCGAACGTTCGCACTGTTTTGGTCGCTCTTCTGGGCCTTTGTTTCTCCCCAGGCCTCCCCAAAATTGAAAGACTCGTGCTGGCCTAAATGAAAGACTTGCTGATTGTTGACTGGGCCCATGAGAATGGTATGTTTTCCCTTATTCGACCTCGGCAGATACTTCCGACGTGCATCTGCTTCCTTGAGCTTCGGTCCAGTTTTTTGTAAGTTCTGGAATCTCTTCCCGGTGTCTTTGTCGTAATACCAATCCCAACCGGAGGTTCTTTCTCTCTCCATATCCTCCGGAGAGGCGCCCCAAGTTGGCCCGTACTCATAGTCATGCGCTTTTGTTTGAACGTCTAGGGCGTTACGGGTGGGCAGGCAAGTGTCCACGCCTCGGGCCCACCGATCTCGCGTATATATGGCGGCAAGCAGGTCTCGGTCATCATCACCAAAGGTCGTGATATAATGCATTGGTTTCGACACATTTTCCTTGGGGTCAACAACACCCCGGGAACGGGTCTCATCTGCAGACACCTTCGTGTTCCGATTGGCAGCTCCACCGTCATCGCGGAGGTTTTGCTGGTTCTGCACCGTCTTTGGTCGCGAATTCGCTTTTCTTCTGCCTGGGGTTTTGGGAGTTCTTGGAGTAGCCCTCGGTTCGTCGATGTCCATTTCATCAACATCATCATGGTCCTCCTTTCCTTCCTCGACCTCTTCCTCTTCCTCTTCTTCTTCATCCTCATCCTCCTCCGCGTCGTTCGCTCCTCCGGCAACGAATTCGTCATCGGATGCGGAATCTTCGTCACGTCGCCGCTTTCCCTTCTTGGTTGCAGATTTCTGCACTTCTTCAGAGCCCGAATCTTCACTTATCCCTGCCGATTCAAATGGATCATTGGTATAAACCGCCCTTGGGCCCGTGAGGCGGCCCGACCGGCGGGCGGAAGGCATTTCAGTTGACGTGAGAGTGGGGCACCGTTAATATTGAAAACGAAATTACAATGCCCCCTCTAAGGCCACAAGATTCTTGACAGACTAAACACAGATGAGGAGCAGCAGCAGCAGGCTGTGCGTGGCGAAGGATGGAAAACACTGGCGTTGGAATGCTTGAGCATCGTGAGGGACGGCAGTACCTCGAGAAGCTCGGGAAGACGCTATACCCGATTGGGACAGGTCCTCCTCGCGACGTAAAAGTCAAAATCGATGAGGGTATTGAATGCACTCTCAATGTACTCATAGAGAAGCTCCTAAATTCCCAGCCCGTCAGTAAAAGAGGGACCTACACCCCATGATCATATTTATTGTTTAGACGATGGCTGCGTTGGATGCAGCCAGGCCCACTGCATCCTGCTGCTTCTAGGGCGGTCTTTCAGGCATGTGGCGAGGCCACTGCTTCGAGTTTGAGTCAATTTTGGTTAGACATTACCTTCATATTAAAACACCGGGCAGGAGCGGTCAGTTTACTGCACACAGCAGATGCTACTTTAATGCAACAAAACTACGTTCAGAATCGGGTGACCAAAAAGGGAGCGGAGTGATATATATCTAATGTACCCAACGCTTACTTATGCCACATTTGAGGGGCTGGTGACGTCGATGGATTTAAGCAGCAGTACCAGTTTATACCTTGACAGTTCTTTCAAGGTGGGGTTGCTGTGGGACCAATTCCGAAAGAATTTGTTCGAAATAGCGATGGAGTGTGAAGTGTGTGGCCTCTGGGAACTCTTTTAGGTCGCAGTGAGGGAGGCGCTCTGCCATATACCGCATCATCTGAACCGGGGCATTGGCGTCTTTAGTCCCATGCCAGATTCTCACCCTCTCATAAGTTATGTCCTCAAACTTGATGCCCCAGCTGGATGTTAATAGTCGGGCGTCGTGAACAGCTGGTGGAGTGCCCTGGCGGAAGGCCTCGAATAACTGAAGAGCAATGGTATCCCTCAACTCTGCAGCAGATTGTGTTGATCCGAGATCCCCAATATGCCTATTGAGCGCTTTGTCTATCCGTTGAATCCCTGAGGGGGTAGATAATGCTCTTCTCAGCATCCACAAGAGTAGCCGGAGCACACCCCCATAAGCAGAGGGCCAATGCTGCGCTGTAAAAGCGCTGAGTCGATATGGCCAAGACATATGTTGTGCACCTGCCTCCCACGGCCCTGCACCACCCATGATACCAACTGCTGAGAGCATCTCCGGGGGCAGACGACATGCACATGCTAAAGCGTACGGACTGCCACCCGAGGCGCCCAGAACCGCAAAGCTGGTCAAACCAAGATGCCGGGCCAAAGCCTGTACATCGGCAGGCCAGTCTAGGATTCGACGCGTTGGATCGAAAGTGGTGAGACCATAACCATTGCGGTCAGGCGTAATGATGCGGAGCTTATGGCGGCGTGCCGTATCATCGACCCCCAGGGTTTCAAGGCGGGAGGCGGGATAGCCATGCATGAATATGAGCGGATGGTCGTTAGCCCGGCCATGCTCAGCAAACCCTAGAGTACGGCCATCTGGCAGGCGCATCGTCTGGCTCTCGCGAGCACTAGCGGTGCTGACATGGCGTGTCAGGTTCGGGCAGTAGCCGCGCAGCAGGCGGGGAAGGAAAAGCCCCGGGGTGGCGTTCATAGTGGAAATGGTATACGGAGCTGGTCTGGAACCACCTTGAAAGGCGATCCAGGAGCTTTGAGCCCTGCATTTGCGTGCATCTTGACTCACTTATGGCCTGTGTCCAGGGTCCAATGCCGCACGGCCTTCAAAACTCAACCGCCAGGCTTGAACGAGGATCATCCACCGCTAGCTGACATCAGCATGGGTCATGGGGCTCTATCCGACCAGCAGCTAAAAATAAAAACAGCCACGAAAGATGATCTAGATTCCATTATACCTATACTTGATCCGGCGTCCGATTGACGAACAGCCACACAAGATAGATCTATACCCCTTGCGATACTGACTGACCGAAATGAGGATTTGGAAACCAACTGCCATGGTTGAGCCCCGCTGTGGGTCGCGTACGTCAATTATCGATCGCCCCGCCGCTTCCACTTGTCTTCTCCTTGGGTCAGCTGTCGCACTGTTTCTGGTTACTGTCTTCTAACAATCATGTCTTCCTGCGCGAACCCTGGATTGTCGCATCGTGGAGTGCTCCACGAATACGTATGCACTGCACCTCTCCATGCACAAGGACTGATTGAACTAACCGTCCTGCAGGCCCCCAGGCTTGTAGCCTTTGAATTCACCTCCCCCGCCAAGGCCAGCAGCAAGTCAAATAGCTTGATCTTTGTGGGCGGTTTGACAGATGGATTTTGTACAGTCCCTTATGTTTCGAAGCTCGCAGAAGCTCTGGAGGAGACTGATTGGTCGCTGTTTTCCATCCTGTTGACCTCTTCGTACAATGGCTTCGGAACCAGCAGTCTCGACCGAGATGTAGAGGAAATCGGCAAATGTGTGCAGTTCATCCGAAACCTCAAGGCCGATCGACTCTCTGGAGCGCCCTCGGCGTCTGGCAAGATCGTGGTCATGGGTCACTCGACGGGCAGCCAGGATGTTCTCCACTACCTGCACTCGCCCAACCCTCTTCCCAAGACGGAATTTGATATTGGGCTTCAGTATTTGGTTCGCCCTGAATTGGACGGCGCTATCATGCAAGCCCCTGTCTCCGACCGCGAGGCCATCCTTGCTATCATGAAGTTCGCCAAGAATCCAAATGAGGTGCGAGGTGCCTACGATCAGCTCGTGAGCGCTGCCAAGACACAGCCATGGACTCACGACCAGATGGATTCCATTCTTCCGCTGAACATGACCGCAAAGCTTGGTCTGCCGGCTGATGCGCCGCTCAGTGCTCGCAGATTCCTGAGTCTGACCAGTCCGGACAGCCCAGCACTTCCGTCCCAGGATGACCTCTTCAGCTCTGATCTGAGCGATAAACGCCATCAGGAAACGTTTGGTGCGATTGGGTCTCGAGGCATTCTGCGATCGAAGCTATGTGTTCTGTACTCTGGCAGCGATGAGTATTGCCCGCCGTGGGTCGACAAGGAGAATTTGATGGAAAGATGGAAGCAGGCCACCGAGGCCGGGGGTGCAAAGTGGGACGGGGAGACCAGTGGCGTCGTTCCTGGTGCCAGTCACAATATTGACGGCGAAGGCCAGAAGGACCTGGTGGACCGTGTCCTCCGGTATCTGAAGAATCTCTGAAAAGGAACAATAGACACGAATGCTTGAGTAATGAGATATATCGGTCATTTCAAGTAGATATTAAAGCCACAAGGGAATAAAGCACATTGGATTTTTATCACACATGGAGTATTTCAAGACATGCAAGCACCGCCCAAGAGCACAGAGATTTGTAAGGAGAGAGATATGGAGAGAGAGAGAGAAAAAGAAGAAGTCAGAATGGGGTATAAGGAGGGTCGGAAGAATTCTATCCGGTCAACAACGACGTTGTTGCCAGACAGTGTCCGAATTGATATGCATGGCTAGACAGAAGCCAATTGGTTCGCTCAATGGAAAGCTTTAAACCTTCAGCCACAGGTTGAGCACGCCCTTTAGGTACTCAACAATTTCAGATCCGCCGAGCTTGCTCTCGCCATAGAGACGATCCACGAAGGTAATCGGGCACTCCTGAACCTTGTAACCCATGGCTTTAGCCCGAACCATCATCTCCATCTGGAAGCTGTAGCCCTTGCTCTGAGTGCTTGTGATCACCTTCTCCAGCACCTGCTTCTTGTACAGACGGAAGCTACCGGTCAGATCGCTGACACCGGGCATCAACATCACGTCCGCAATCAGGTTGGCTGTGCGCGAAGTGAACTTGCGGAATAGGTCCCAACCGTAGACACCGCCCTTGATGTCTCCGCGGTTCGCGTACCGGGTGCCGGTAACAATGTCCGCGTCGCTCTCCTTCTGGATCCTGATCATCTCGGGGATGAACTTGGGATGGTGGCTGAAGTCGGCATCCATGATGACGACAAAGTTACCGGTAGCATAGTGCAGACCATGGACGTACGCGGTTCCCAGACCGAGCTTCCCCTCGCGGGGCTTCAGGATGATGTGTTCGGGGCCGTAGAGGCGCTGGAGCTGCTTGGCGATCTCGAGGGTACCGTCAGGGGAACCGTCGTCGACAACAATGACCTCCCAATCCAGGTTGCTGTCCCAATTGAAGTGTCAGTAATGGGTTCTTTGCTGGAAAAAGATTGGAGCTTCGCACTTCTCGTTGAAGGTCCTCTGGATCAGCCAGATGATGATAGGGAGGTTCCGCCGTTCGTTGTAGGTCGGCAGGATGACCGAGTACTTGTTCTTGATGGCGCTCATTTTGGAAATAGTGCAGATATGTTAGAGCTCAAACGATGTCTCCAGGACGAACGCGAAACAAAGAAAGGAAATGAGTAGGGAGCGAACGGTTGACAGCTTGTTGCTTCGGAGAGGACCAAGTCGCGCCAACTTGCCAGATCCGGAGTCCACCGCCTTGGGCAGAACCCGGTATCTTATCGCGTCCGCGAGCTTCCCCAAGCTCCTAGTACGCAGGTTCAGCGTCCCCTGTTCTCACGTCTCGGAATTCGTTACAGATAGATATGGCGTCGCCAGCGCCACATCACCGCAATGCTTCAAGATGTAAGACTAATATTACAAACGGGCCCTGTGTTTTCTGTGTCACAATGCTGACGAACACCTTACAGCTTCACGGCCCCGCAGCTCAACACGGGGTCCTTTAGATGCACCAGATGAGTGAGCAATGCTCCCAGATCATTCGCATGGCAGAATCAGTCTAACTTCCAAAAGCCCCCTTGCATCATCGATGTTACTCACCTCACCAACTAAGAGCAAACATACATTTGCCGAGGAAAATGACTTCGGCTCTACCTTTCACGAACTAGACCCGCTGGCCCCGGATGAGCTGCCAGAAACACTAGGCAAAGATCTTTCATTTCTTCTCCGACACAACATTTTTCACCCACTTTCACATATCGATATTCCTCCTCCACTTCGCTCTGAATTTGTGGTCCTAAATCCTGGCGAACCACTCTCATCCTCACTCGGTGTCCTGGAGAAGCTACTGTCCCAAGGTCGCTTTTTAGTTGCCGCACAGCTCGCCAGCTCTATCCTAACATCCTCCTTGATCTCTCCCACGGACATTAGAATTATTTTCTCTTTGTTCTATACCCGTCTAGCCTGTCTAGAGTTATCTGGGAATACAGCGCTGGCTGCCCAGGAGTCTAAGGCTCTTGAGGATCTCAACTCCGCATTTTACTACCTCGATTCCAGCTTTGATGAATCTGAGGCCAGTAAAAAACAGGAACAATCTCATGTGCACTATGCCCGCCATATTGTACCATGGCCACTTCGAGTCTTGGCGGTGCGGCTTCAAAGCATCGGATTCGGGGACCCCCGCAGGAGTATCGGCGGCTTGTATGAGATTGGCCTGGAAGCCCGAAGAGAGCTTATGAGGAAGGAAAGCAGTGAAAAAGAGCGAACAATTTGGAGTGAAAGACTAGCGGATCTAGGAGTTCGGAGCGTCAACGCGCTGGTGGAGATGGGTGACTTGGATGCAGCTAAAAGATCGCTGGAGGCCCTCAAGGCCTCCGATGAGCAGACGCAAGCTATGAAACTAAGAAAGGCTCTTCTCTTTCTGCGAATAGGTGATCTCGATGCCGCAGAACGAGTCTTTGGGGACTCTCGCGATTCGAAGGAAGCGGCCCTCTTGCAGCCGCTTCTCAGTATGTCAGAGGGTCGTTATCAAGATGCAGTGACCGAGTGGCGGACCCTTCATGAAGATGCGCAAAGGATGGATGGGGCTCTCGTGGCACAGAATCTGGCCGTCTGCCTTCTTTACTCCGGAAAATTGGACGAGGTCTGGCAAACACCCACCCACTTCCATGCTGGCCCACTCGCTAATAGACCTTCAGGCACGCCAACTCCTAGAAACCCAAGTTGCCGCCAATCACTCCTTCGGCAGCCTCATTTTCAACCTTTCAACGGTCTATGAGCTTTGCTCCGACAGTGCTGCACAACTGAAGGGGCAATTGGCTGCTACCGTCTCAGATCAACCAGTGTCTGGCCAGACCAATCTAGATCGGCCCAACACTGACTTTAAGCTATGACACGAATGAAGCATGACATGACCAAGTACGGTGTTGGATGGATTGGTTCCACAGCCTCCTTCCTATGTCAAACGCCAATGTGCATAATACGTAATCCCATGGATGGGGTTAAAAATTGTAATGAGTAGCGGTGCTAGATGGAAGGCCCTAGCTGTCTCCGTGCGCGTTCCACAGTAATTCACAATGCCCTTGACACCGTCAATGCCTTTGCCACCCAATGAGAATAAAAATGAAAAAAAGCCAACTTCTTCGGACCCAACTCCATGCATCCAAATACAAAAGTCAAATAAAACGCCCGATAATGCTCCCTCTATAGGCCCAACCCTAGGCACTCGCAGTACTCGACTGTACCGGCTCCGGCTTTGCAGGTGCCCGAGTCTTCGGCCGTCTAATAACAATCTTCTCGCCCTCCTTCTCCCAGCCGAGTTTCTCTACCTCAACCAGCTTCTCCCACGTCCAGCCCTCGTCATCGCCTGTGCATCCACCCACAATCCAGCTCACATGGACATTAAGGTACGCACTCCCCACAGCCTTGAGTGCATGTCTCCGGACCCGGTCGACAGCCCAGTTCATCACTGCGCGCGTATACGAATCCACGGTTTTGCGCACCCGCCAAAACACCACCCAGTCATCGTGCATCAATGCGCCCAGGACCTGGTCGATAATCTGGTCAGAGAACGCATGGTCAGTGCGTGCGCGTGAGCGCAGCTCGAACGCTGAGACCATGTCGCCTTGCCGACAAGCATAGTCCAGGATGAGATATGCGACTAGTTCTTTCACGACCGAATCTGGGAGTGGATGCGATTTGGAATGCAGTTTGTCGAGGCTGTAGCGCAGGGACGGGAAGTACGATGGAGGGTGTTGGGCGCGGATAGACAGGCGGATTGAGAACATGTAAACTCTCTGGGTGAAGTCGATTGGTGTTGTCAAGGCCGTAGCGAGAATGGCTTCTCGGAGCTTGCGCAGGGAGAGGAGGAGGGTGGATAGTTCTGTTGATGCTCGGGGGATATCTTTGTCTGCGTGAGTCGGTCTTGAAGAGGGCAGGGCGGCGGGTGGATTTGAGGTGGCATCACCCGAGGAACTGGTAGGAAGTGACGCGAACGCAGCATCCAGGTCTTTGGAATGGTTGGCGCAGAATTTCATATATCGCGCCACGATCTTGTCATAGTATTCGTGCTGAGCTTGGGGGTTGAGTAGCCTGCCATATTTCCCGTTAGGGACGCTATCAACACGGCTCTTCTTATAGGTACATACTTTTTATCCCCCTTTGACACAAACCCAACATTTTCCAAGGAATCCGCGACCGGCTTAAGCCGGCTTCCCTGGGCCCTGGACTGCATTGCGTGAGGGTATGAGGGACGGTTGCGTGGGGACGAAGTGGGCCGCCGCGATGATCATGTTTGTCCAGTTTGCACCGAGGTTCCCAACGATGCGACCCTTGTGATTTCCCCAACTACCCAACACTCCTTTTTATTTGGGTTTTCTTCTTCTCTTTTTCTTGTTTATAGTTGATAGATTGCGGAGCCAGTGTGCACCATCGATTTGCTTACCTCCTGTGCATATTTGGTGGGCTGGTCCGTCGGTTTCAAAATATCATATCTTGCAGCCCTGCATCTTAACTTGCATGTGAAGTGACGAGATGCCTCGCCAACGACGTCCTGCTCAGGAAAAGGAGTCTGAACCAGCCATCCAAGCCGCTGAGATGACTGAATCGGTCTTGGAGGTGCCACCCAAAATCGTGAAGCGGCTGCTTCATTGGAATGATTTGCCTCATTGGCAGCGCGATAATCATCATATTCATTCGGGGTATCGACCGGCGTCATCTTCCTTTCTGATCTCGTTCCAGTCTTTGAGCTACCTCCACAATGAGTCCGTAAATATTTATACTCACCTTCTGCCGGGTCTAGCTGCAATCCCGGCTGCGTATCAGCTCCGTCGCGTTCTCACGCCTCGCTATCAGACGGCAGATGATTCAGACATTGCGGCCTTTGCTTGTTTCTTCGCCGGGGCTGCTTTCTGCCTCGGCATGTCTGCAACCTATCACACGATTTCAAACCATTCTCCCAGGGTGGCGCGCTTTGGCAATGCCCTCGACTATATCGGCATTGTGGGTCTCATCGTGGGCAGCTTTGTCCCCAGCGTCTTCTATGGATTCTACTGTGTGCCCACCCTCCAACACCGCTATTGGACTATGATTTGCACCATTGGGCTGGGCTGCGTGTTTGTCTCGATTCTTCCGCAGTTCCGGACTCCCCGCTGGCGGCCCTTCCGTGCAGCCATGTTTGTCGGGATGGGCCTGTCGGCCGTCTTCCCTGTGCTCCACGGGCTGGCCCTCTTCGGGATAGAGCGCATGCGTCAGCAGATCGGTCTCAGTTGGCTGCTGCTTCAAGGCTTTTTATACATTCTCGGCGCGGCAATCTATGCGGCGCGCGTGCCGGAGCGGCTGCGGCCTGGCCAGTTCGACCTCTTTGGCCACTCGCACCAGATCTTCCACGTTCTAGTGGTATGCGCAGCGGTGGCTCATCTGACGGGGCTGCTGAAGGCATTCGATTATCGGCACAGCGGGACTGCCGAGCTTTGTCAGGTTCAACGCGGCTGAGTCCTTGCAAAGTGGACGGGTGCGCGCACGAGAGGGAAGGGGGCTGGGAGAGGTGGGACAACATGCTCATGGCAATGAGGTAACCTGGAACGAAACGTTGCGCTTGCAGCGTTCGTGAGTGGGAATTTCTTACCTCCTCTTCGGATTCACCAAGGTCTCAAAAGGTCTGTTGGGTCCCTGCTGACGAGGACCCGGTTCGTGATGTGCAACAATGACCACGATCAGAGTTGGCGGTGGAAGGCTTTTTGACGTCGTGGATCCGGTCAGCCGAGTCGAGCCCGGTCTGGACTCTTTGCATTTCCCATGGCGCCGCTAATTGTTCCTGGTGCATTGCAGGGTCGGTGGGAGGGGATACTTGGCGGACGGCTGGGACTCATTAGTGGCAAATCGCCCCCAGCCGTTGACAGGTCCAACGGTGCTGCATTCGCCAACTTCTCCTCGATGAGCAATAAGGGGGAAATGAACGAGGAAAAATCCAAACGCAAAAGGTGACTAGTGGCGGCTTACGGTGTTGCATCAGGATATGCGACGTGGAGGACCCCTAGGCGGTTCCATGGGAAACCAGGGAACCAACAAACCAAGGGGAAACTCAAGCAGCAGTCCAATCAACCAGAAGCCGAGTACTCCTGTGTTCCTTTTGCCACGAATGGCCACGAATCGAGCAGTGCTCCAAAAGAGCAACAGGAGAATCGAGGATCCCCTCTGCTTCACCCTATTGTCCTCCCAGTTAGACGCGAGGACCCGCATGTTCCCGGGCTGGCCGAGTCAATCTGATGGCCGAGGGGATGTCGGGAGAGCCCGTTCTAAGGTGCCGGTTGGCACTCCCATGCGAGGTTGATCAGATGGAAACATCTGGGGTTTCACAGCGGCTGACCTCTTCATCGCGGCTGCCGTCGGTACAAGAGTCCGAATGCGAGTGTGACATCTTTGTTGGGTAGGGGGGCGGCTGGGTCTTTCGCCATGAAAGTTGCGCTTATTTGGAGCCTGATGGGTTTATATAGGCGAGGGGATGGCAGGCCGTGGGGAGAAAGGAGAGGCGAGATGGAGGGATTTCGTCTTGATTTGTCTGATCGATAGGTATCTCTGTAAGGCGGCTTGCCATCTTTTCTGTTTTGCTTCTTCTACCAACTTTACTTCCGCCTTAATCCACTGCCTGTCGATCATTCTCATTCTCACCTGATACCCGGCCACACATGTTGGCTGGAAAGAACGGATCTCTTCTTTCCGCTTCGTTTCTCGAAGGCTCCCACTCGGATCCTTCTCTGCCACGCTAGATGCTCGCCGACTCCAATGGTAACCGGTTCGCGGGAGGCGATGCACCGAAACTTCGAACCGCTTGCGAGAACTGCCGACAATCCAAGGTCAAATGCAATCTGTCGGGCAAGAATGTCTGCACCCGCTGCCTCCGACATGGCCTACAGTGCCAATATGGATTCGCCAATCGGTCCGGGAAACCGAAAGGTAGTAAGAACCGCGCTACATTGAGGAAGCTGGGCCAGTTACAAGAAGACAAGCCCATTCGCGGGTGTCGTAACAACCGGCTGGGGCCTCCTGTCACAGATTGTGAGCCTCTGGTCACTGCAGGCTTCCCGGCACATATTGCTGATTCAATGGTGGACGACGATGTATGTGGGCTTTCTTGTCCTCATCTAACCCACACATTGCCTCATTTTTGTGATCATCTAGGTATGCTTGTTTCCAGACCCACCGAGTCTTTGGGATAGCCCGCGAGGCTTCAGCGCCGCATCCCTCGAAACGCCCATCTGTCCTTCACAGCTGACGCCAGTGGACGGTTCGCCCTTTGCCGACCTTGTGGATCCCTGTCCTCCCCTCCCCGTCGGTTTAGGATACCCGCATACTCCAGTGACACCCACGTGTGTCGCGTCGGATCCGCTTGGAGACGGGTTAGCAAGCCCACGCTTCGGTGGCCCCGTGTCCTCGCCGTATCTAGGACTAGCCTCCTGCGAATGCGTGGATATGCAGTTGTTCCATATGAACCGGCTGAACCATCTGCTCGCCGAGTCTCTGCCGCTGCGCTTCGATCACAGCTTGCAAACGATCAAAGCGACCTTCTGCGCCGGCCAGGTTTTCCTGCGTTGCAGACAATGCGCCAAAGACAGCGCCAATCTGCTGCTCCTCATCTCCGTGCTCAACTTGACTCTGCAGTTATTCGAATACTGGATATCGCGTGAGACGTCTCGTGTGCCGCGGGCGCAACACGGGGTCGATATCCGGTACGGATGCTACGAGGTCTGCCACGAGGAAAATCTCCAAATAGGCACATTCTTGTTACGGGGCCTGCTTCTGCAGTGCCGAGAGGTGTTGTCCCTGCTGACAACGTGTGTAAACACATCCTACCTCGACGGCCACAGCTCAACCGAGTCCAAGACGACCACCGACGATCCTGATGCTCAGCCCTGGTCCTTGTCGGATCAGCTTGGCTCCTGCCTGCCTGAGCTGGACCCCAGGGTGCTGCGGAGTAGTCCCGGAAACAGTTGTCTGCTTCCGATCATCGCAGGCTACGAAGCGACGGTCGCCGCCTTTCTGCAGTCCGTGTCGGTGAATGAATGCATCTGCGGGTCCTAATGCACCGGAGCAGTCTCTATGAACATTATACCATGAACATATGTGCGGACAAGTGGCTGGCTGGCATGATTTGATTTGATTTGATTTGTTATACGCTTTGTAATTTAACCTAGGCAGAGGAGAGGGGTCGTGTGCGGAGACTGTGTAGATTGGACCCTCGATTCCCACGAGCTCGACCGTACACATGGATCGGTTAATCGCACACCTTTGCACATGCGCGTCCGGCGTAGGCGATTTGTCTTTGTCGCATAGAAATCAATGTGCTTGATGTGTCGTTATGTCCGCCTCGTACTGTAGGTAGCTTCCCACGCGATCTCCCCCGGTAACCCCACACTTTCGTTCGGTCCTCGGCGAGCCTCGGCCCTCTGCACGCCGAGCTACAGTTGCACTGTACGTATAAGACCCCAACGTCCTTTCCCCACATGACGTGCAGCATCTCTCCGAATCTCACAAACCGCATCAATTAACAAGGAGACAAACCAGAAGTCCCACCACAATGGCCCCCACAGACCGTCTCAACCAGGTCAACAAGCACCTCAACTATCCGGCGGGCATGCTCGCCGGCCAGGTGGCCATCATCACCGGCGCTGGCCAAGGCATCGGCGCCGAAGCGGCGCGGCTGTTCGCCAACGAGGGCGCCAAGGTGGTCGTTGCTGATATCGACAGCAGTACGTGTGACCCTACACCGTTGGCCGTGGGGGCAAGCCATCATCCACGCAGACGCAAGCGGGCCGCCTGGTCGCGGGTTGCGCGCATTTGCGCCCGTTCCCTTCAGCGCTAATGTCTCAGCAGAGAAAGCTAACGCCGTGGCTGACGGCATCAACGCCGCCGAGCCCGGCCGCGCTCTGGCGGTGGTGGGCGATGTCTTGGACGCGAGCTACATCGAGACGCTGGTGAAGCGGACGGCCGAGTTCGGCGGGGGCAAAATCCATATCATCGTGAACAATGCCGGGTTTACCTGGGACGGCGTCATTCACAAGGTTCGTGTCCTGTAGCTCCTTTGATCTTCGATCTACCCTCAGGGCGCTGCTTGAGGCATGTGCTAGGGGGTATACTGGTGGATCATCGACATGGATATGGATGCTGACCGTGATTGCGTCCACAGTTGACCGACAAGCAATGGGACACCATGCTGGCCGTGCACAACACAGCGCCGTTCCGCCTGGTGCGCGCGGCGGCGCCGTACTTCCGCGTCAAGGACCAGGAGCCCCGGGTGATCATCAACATCAGCAGCACGAGCGGCATTCACGGCAATGCGTACGTCTCAGCCGCAGCCCCTCCCCATGCCCATCCCCACGTTCCGTCCAGAAGGATGTAAGGATGTACTAATGCCTTTCTTCCTAGCGGCCAAGCCAACTACGCTGTCGCCAAGGCCGGCGTCGTCGGCCTCACCCGCACCATCGCCAAAGAATGGGGACCAGCCTTTGGCGTGCGCTCCAACACCATCGCCTTCGGCTACGTAACCACCCGTCTGACTGCCGCCAAGGAGGCCGGGGCCTTCATCACCACGCCCGACGGCACGAAGGTCGCCCTCGGCATCCCTGGCCAGCAGCTGGCCGGCAAGAAGGGCGACGAGGCGGCCGCCTACCCGGACATCCCGCTGCGGCGGCCGGCGAGCCCGGAGGAGGCAGCGCGGGCGATTTTGGGCGTGGCGAGCCCGTACTTCTCGTACGTGAATGGGGAGACCATCCGGGTTACTGGGGGGAGGAATATGTGATGAATGGAGACCAATGGAGATCGATGGGACGAATAGGTGGAAAAGGTTAGTCTATTAGTCTTTTGGTGGGTTGAGAACAATCTCCGCCCAAAAGGATGCACGGCTACGGCTTAAAGATTCCCATATACCGTGTGCAGGGCATAGCTTGTCAAATCTAGTTTTTTTATCTGGAGCTAGCTGGGCTCAATGGGCTCACTCAGTAGGTAAAGAAACTGTAGCGAAGCCAAGCTTCACCTCCGTCAACACCGATCGAACTATCCAAGCATCCTCGGTATTGAACCCCAAGGCCAGGCGCATCTATCGTTGCGACCCACGAGGTGGGCACTGGCGTTCGCAGCGCGACGTCTCACTTGGGCAGCAACAGCAACAGCAACAGCAACAGCAACAGCAACAGCAACAGCAACAGCAACAGCAACAGCAACAGCAACAGCAACAGCAACAGCAACAGCAACAGCAACAGCAACAGCAACAGCAACAGCAACAGCAACCAGCGGCATCCGTCTTACGGTGACACGTGCGGGAAGCCAAAGGCAAAAGGCAAAGCCCAGGCCCAGGACGGGTGGCATCCAGGGATCTTGGAGCGTAGGACAGGCGCAACGTTGCACGGGGAGAAGTGAGCGGAATACTGGGAATGGAGACCGGCACGGGAGCAGAGGTGGAGCTGCTTGGAAGAGAGAGTTGTAAATTGTGTTCAATTCGCCCCATGGCACACTCCCCAAGTATCAGGTATCAGGTATCAGGTATCATATCGTAAAAAGTAAAACCAAGCCCAAAATTCCAATCCCAAACAGATCCACATCCAGATTCAGATCCCAATCCAACCGGAGCCATGCCGCGAGAAAACAAAAAAGTGAAGAACTGTCTATGCACATGCAAATCGAAGACAAAGCCGAGAAAGATCTTGTCAGATCACCCACCCATGAAATCATAAACAGGAAATGACCAGCTCCCAAACAAAATAGACAGGAAAAGAACAGAGACGAATCACAAAAATCCACAACACAGCCCATATCCGCCATTGCGGTCGGTGGATGGGCGAACAAAAAGCCAACGCCTCGAACGACCGGTGCACAGGGCAGGATTCACTGCTCGAAAAGTAATCATGACAGCAGCCCAACCCAGGGGTTCTGCTTGTCGTCTTCACGCGTGCCTGCCAATATATTATGCCAATATGTCAAGTGAAATGAAAATTCAAACAAAAACAGCCTTCCGTGCGGTATGTGGCGGTAAGAAATATTAAAACAGGAGAAAAGGAGGGAACATGATATGCTCCATTATGTCCTGTCCGGCAGGGACAGGACAGGCCCAGCGGTGTGGGATCCAAATGGTTCGCGGGTCGCTGGGCCGGATTATTGGTATAGCTGGAAATCCAAAAGGGGGAAATATGTTCAGAGTGAAAGGTCCAAAGAGAGCAAAGCTGGTGGCCGAGATCCAGGTATCCTCGGCAAACACTTTTTTTAGGTTGCGCAGCAGCTTTTGAAAAGAGATCCAAGTGGCAGAATAACCGAGATGCTCAAGCAAAGATTACTTTGGGGGCAAAAGTAAAAGGAAATCCAGCGGATCGGATGGAAAAACAAAGGCGTGAGGTCGTGTAGCTGCGTTAAAAAGGGAGGGGGAAGTCAAGAGAAGAGAGATCGTGATAATTCGTGGCCTCGCGCGTTCAGCAGACTTGGATCGGTGCGCCCGTGGCAAAGGCATCCACGGAGATGGGATGTTCCACGCAGATGGAGTGATGGAAGACGACCTTGCAGTCCGGCACCTGCTCCGAGACAACTGGAGACATACAGTTGTAGTCGGAATAGTCGGAATAATCCTCGGTGAGGGCCGACGTATCGGAAATCGCAGACTCGGAGAAGTCCGAGTAGTGCGAGGAATCTGAGGACGAGCCAGAGGGCTGGGCATGCATGGGCAATTGCTGATGATCCAGGTCCACGGGGATGGTGAAGGGATTCTGGGGTGAGACAAACAGGTCGGCGTGCGAGATCTGGTCCCAGGTGGGAACCGGGGTAGGCGGCGTCATGGACGACTCGGTGAACCGCGGGCAGTCCACAATCAGCTGGCGCAGCTCCGGAATGGTGATCCTCTTGGACGGGTCGCGCTCAAAGACGCGGCTCAGGATGCAGACCATCTCCGTGGACAGGGGCAAGATTGTCTTGAGGAAGAACGGATCCTTGAGATAGGCCCGGAATGTGGAATCCTCAAGCGAAGCACGCTTCCAGGGGTTGCGTCCGCAGGTCAGGTTGACGAGCATCACGCCCAGACTCCACACGTCATTGGCAGCGGAGGCGTAGCAGGACATGGGGCGCGGGTGGGATTGTTGGCATTCTGTGGTGTTTCGGGTAAATTAGGATGGTCGTTTCATCAGAAGGGGGATGAGACGGGCAAGGGACAAGGGACTTCCTAGTGGCAGAGTGGACTAAAACCAGACACCACATCGAGTGTCAAGAACTTACCGGGCGACATGTAGAAAGTGGAACCGCAGCCGAAGTCCGAGGTGAAATAATCCGTGGTCGCGAGGCCAAAGTCGGCGAGCTTGACAGTCATGCCCTGGTCCGTCACCAGGACGTTCTCCGGCTTGAGATCCCGGTGGTAAATCCCGAGCGAATGGCAAAACTGAACGGCATCCAGGAGCTGGAGGAAGACACGCTTGACCAAGGGGTCATTGCCAACAAAGTGGCCCTTGTCGGTGATGCTGGAAAACAGATCGCCCTCGGGGCAGAACTCCATCACGACGTAGGTACAATCCATGGAGTCCATAATGCGCACCAGGGAGACGACATGCGGGTGTTGGCTGGCCAGATGGTGCAGGCGAATCTCACGCTGTTGATACTTGAGCTGTCGGGGATCCAGCCCGGATTTGTTGAGGGCCTTGACGGCATAGCGGATGTGCGTGTGGATGTCCACGGCCGTGTACACCACGCCATAGGCGCCGACGCCGAGGATGCCGGTGAGTTCCAGCCGGTTGGCCAAGATGAATCCTAAACGATCCTCCGGAGCATAGCAGCGGGGGATGGGCGAGAGAGAGGGGGGTCGGAAGTTCGGTCGGAAACATGTTCTATATGTCCGGGGGATCTCCAGATATAAAATGGAAGCAAGGGAGAAAGGGAGAGGGGGAGAGAAGGAAGAAGTAGACGGGTGAGATCCCAAACGGTTTACTCCTGGGAATCGCTTCTCTCGTTGCACGTCACGTTGCTCTCCTGGAAACAACCGAGTGGCAAGTTCAAGTTCCAACGGATCGTGTGTCCAAAGGATCGATCAAGTCCAGGTGGTGGTGAAGGAGTCGCAACAGTGGTCGTAACAGTGATCGCAATAGTGGTCGTAGCAGTAGTAACAGTAACAGTTCACTGTAATCCAAGGCTTGTGGTTTTTAAAACGGTCCAAAAGTCCACGGCATTCAAAGGTAAGGATCCATTCCAAGGGATAGTCCGAACGGGGAGTTGATGGGATGATCCAGTTATGTTCCAGGCGGTCCAGAGAGGGAGAGCGGCGAAATAGTTCAGAAGGATCGAACAATAATCACACTCAACAGGAAGGGAAAGTATAATCAAAGGAGAGATGAAGCGTGAAGGGAGAGAAGGGAGGGGGTGGAGAGAGCAAAAGGAAGGATGAAGTATTCGAAGCAGGAGGAGAAGAAGTAGGCGAGGTCAGGAGTATAATGATGATTGTTTATGGGCCGACCGCAGGAGAGCGGAGGGGGATAAAAATAAAAGATCGATGATGCGGACGAGTGCGTGGAGATAGCCCCAACGGGCGGTTCCCCGTGCGGGACACTGGCGGCACCGGCTGCGCTGGCTGCAGTGGCGGTCCTTCATCCGGCTGACTGCAGGCCTGTCCACATGGCCACCTTTCCTTCCTTCCACGTCCTCTCTTGGTCCGGTTCTGTTCTCCTCTGGTCCAAGCGGTGTGCAGCCACCAACCCTTCCCTCAGTCGCTCACTAACTCGCAACTAACGCTCCTCTTCTGCCTGTCCGCCAATCACCCCCCGGCCTACCGTCGTCGTGCAGGCGCCACCTGCAGGCGCTGATTGGGTAAGGCCCAGGCCCGCACATAACGATCGACTGGCGTTGCAGACTGTCCGCGCCCCCCTATTTTCCTGAACTCTCCATGTCCTTGACCTGGACGGGACGCTCGCAAATCCGGACAGTGGCAATAACGGGAGTCATCTTCCACACGAGCTCGTAACACCACACCACCACGCCCTTGGGTGGATCCATCCACTCCTCCACTCAACTGCTTCTCCACTCCGGAGTCATCTCCCTCCCCCCCAACGCGCTCGATCCTCCCTCTTCCACCGCCACCTCAGCGGATCCATCATGGCCCCTCTGGCCCATCTAGCCCTTCGAGCCCACCGTGGTCCGTGTCCACCCACCACCCACCACCCACCGCCCACACCATGCTCCCAGCCCCGCAGGGTGCGTGGTAAGTGGATCGACTGAAATGAGGCGACAGTCTCGTCTCTGCTGCTGCGGCTGCTCCTCCCAATGATGATCCCACCAGCCTGTCCAGACTGTCCAGCCTGTTCCCCGCGTGGCCCGTTTCACCCATGGGTTCCAAGGGGCCGCGTTTGTTTGCAGCAGCTGGGCTACACCGTATGTTTGCCGACCTCCTATTAGTTAGCTCTTACACAGTCCCCTCGCTCTCTACAGGACCGGTGGATGATCCAGGTCGCCATGTCCCAACTCTATTCCCCTCCCGGCCCAGGCGAAAATGTCATCAAGTCAGGAGCATCAGAGCCCCAGCCAGAACCTGTGCCCGTGAACAGCCTGCCGGGATTCGGTGGCCCGCCTGCGAAGAGTGAGGCGATGAGGGAGGACCAGCTTGGGACCAACCAAATGGCTGGGGGGGCGTTCGTTTTCGAGAACGAGTGGATCCCCCGGCTTTGCACGCGCCCGGGACCCTGGCAGCTGAGCAGGCAATCATTGATTGGGGTCGACGGCGCACGGTGCACTGCCCTGGTCGACTCACAAAGTGAGTCGGAGTTGCACAGCGACCAGGCTGGCGCTTACGGGCCCGGGGGGGGGGGGTTCACTAGGTGGTGAGTGGTGACCACTGTGGCCACCTACGCTGTATGATGTGGTGGAGGCACCCTCCGTCTCGGTCTCCCCCAGTCGCTGTGTTGCTTTTGCGCCCTCACCGCTACCCGCGACTCGCCAGCGCATGTTACCAGTAGCTTTTCACAACCGGCAGGGTCATACAGTACATCAATCGAATCCAGGATGCTCCATCGCTTCTGCATGGCCCTGCCACCCGGCGGATAATCATCTGGGAAATGCTCGGCAAGGCTCCGTACTCCGTACATCCATCTCCATCCACAGCCGCAGTGAGATACGCTCTCGCTCTCCCTCTGCTCCCTCTCTCCCTTGCCCCAATGCGGACAATGGTGGGCTCCAGACCAGCGATCTATCCACCCACCCATCCCTGCTCCATCAACTCATTCTCATGATCACCCAGCCCTGCAGGTGGCTGAAGGCTTCCTGGGAGGGGGTAAGGCCGGGACTGCGCCCGAAGCACTTCAAACACCAGACCCACAAAATGAGCACCCCTCGACATCATCGAGAAATCGACAATCACCTCGCGACTCACGACCGAAGCCGTTGCCACTAGCGTGGGTGCCTCGGTGGCGATGGGGCCTTTTCGTTCTCGTCCTCCTCGACACGGCCGGGAGCTAGGCTCGATACGGACTCTCCTCCCGGCTGGGATGGATGACGGGGAATGGAGGATGGATGATGGGATGAACGGGCCCTGGGGGATCGCCGCCTTCCAGAAGGCTCCGCCCCGCACCACTCCCAAACCCCCCGTCCTGCTTCCTTCCTGTATCCTCTGTCCGACAATTTCTGGACGGCGCGAGCACAGCGGGAGCCTTCCTCTCGCAGACCCTCTCGCAGGACTCAGGACGGAGTTATACCTCCTCCGGTTATACATTGGGCGCCTGTAGCTATACAGCTCCGACTCACGTCAATCCCACTACAAAACTGGGCCCTGTACTCCGTCGACCGCGTCCAGCGCAATAATCATGCACGTACACAATCTCCATGCAAACTACACAATCCAACCCCCCTCCACTCTGCAGGACTTCTCCATTCCAACCAACCGGGTCCCTCGGCAGCCCGCCAACACCGTCTTCTTTGTCTGCCTCGCATCACATGCGCCTGAGGCCGACCAGTCCAATTAGTCCGTAGATGATGCGAGTGGCCAGCGGCCACGCAATTCGCAACCACCCAGCCAATCGGCTCGCATCCACGTCCAGAAATTCCTGGACGCCTCTTTCCACTCCGAAAGCAGCACATCAGGACGCAGGCCAGGCATCTGAGACATCTGATTTGCCCGATTATGCTGATCTTGAGTCCGATTATCATGTATCTTGGGACCCCTTCAACGACGCCCACTCCCCTCTCCCCAAAGCTAAAGGTGAAAACCATGAATCAAACCCTGTTCCAAGTTCCAGACCCATCTATTTCCGCTGCGGCGCACAGCAATGCCAGCTGAGGAAGGGGGATGAGGGTGAATTGGAGGAGAGGATGGATGGCGGGCACACGAGGAAAACCGGTCTTTGTGTGACGAGTCACCTCGAATCTTAACTTCGTCGAAACGATGGACGACGGGATTGGCCCCAGCGATCGGCGCGGCGGTTGCGGTTCCATGGCTCGTTGATGTCAGAGCTTCATCGAAAAGGAGTCGCGCCCGGGGGCCGGGCCTCGCCTCGCCTCGCCTCGCCTCGCCTCCCTTATCTACCTCCCCGGCACTCTCACATCCCCAGACGTGACTCGTTCAGAGCGAAGCAGGCGTGCAACAGCTATTGGCGTCGTGATCCATGGGCGCAGGCTGGGCATCTCGGAACTGAACTGGGGTCCTGCCTTGGTTCTGAACCCGGGTCCCAGGGATTGGCCCGGACCAGGACTGTCGCTAGCCTATTGTACCTTGTCCATCTCGTAGTAACCGTCGATTCCTCCGGTAAATCGGTCCTCGGCAGAGAGGGTTGTGTCTTGCAGTAGCGCCGATAGGCTCCGCCCAGCTATGTGCTTGCTGTGTATGCAAGCTACCGCCAACGCCTCCACTCGGGCCATGATGTATGTTGTGGGTGCGGCCAAGGGCGATGGATGCGCCACTTACACATGCATGGGACGAGAGGTGCAGGGTCTGAGACGGATTCGGATGGCGTTGAGATCGGGCGCTTGGGACGCTTGATTTGTGGCTTACTCGCCTGGCTGGAGTGGCTTACCTTGCCACCGGCGAGGCAGAATTGATATTCATCGTGATCACGCTAGGGGTTGCTTTCTGATACAGGAGCGTGGAGGTGGGCATTGAGCCGAGCCTGAGCCTGAGCCTGAGCCTGAGCCTGAATCTGGGTTGTGGCTCGGCCAACAGGTGGTGGATCTATCGTGTAGAGGTGATGTGATTTCTGCTGGGGTGGCTGGGAGATGGAGGGGTTTCGGCCGCGGTGGTGGTCGGTGGTGGTGATGAATGATCTCTCTGGTGGGAAATGAGACCGTATGCGCTTCCTCTATAGTAGACTGACCGCGTTAAATCAGATCCGAAGAGTAGTGCTCAAAGTATTTAATAACCAAACCCTAAGAACATCTAATTCTCTCCTGGCGGTTGGGGGTCTGGTCCTCGGCCTCTCACCAAAACTACAGAACTCCTGGGGATAAAGGCAGAATCCGAGTGACGCTACGAGGGGTACGAGGGGTTTGTAGTGTGAAAGAGTCCAATCAAGCGGTCAATTTCACTAATCAAGGAGATGTCTTGCTTCACTGGACCTTGCCTTCCAACAGGGACACCATGCATACTCGTTACAGGGGGACAGAATGGACGTCTTGAGAAGATGAACAGAAATGAGTATTTAAACCTGCCTCCCTAACTAAAACGCTGCCGTGAACGTCATCGGATAACCCCTATTTTCGCGTCAAGAAAGGATGTTTCAGCGCCTCAGTTGGCGTGCACCGCTTCTCGGGATTCAGACTCAGGCAGCGGTCGAGAAAGTCCACAAAAAGGGCCAAATCCTTGGCGTCGACATCCGACATACCCCGAGTCCCCTTGCCCATCAAGCGCGTCTTGAGATCCCGGGTCGGCTTTTTGAAATCCATAACGCGGGTCACGGGGCGGCCGGTGAGCTTGTCTTCTTCAAGGCTATGGAAATTGAGCATGTCGTCGAAGTGCAGGTGTGACAGGGATCCGCGACGGAGGACCTTAGGCGGGTATTTGCCACGGCACTCCATGATGGATTTGAGCATTTGGTTGTTGTTGCGACCCGTGAAGAGGATCTTTCCCGTGTACAGCTCGAAGAGGGTGCAACCGATGGACCACACGTCGATGGCATAATCGTACGGGATGCCGAGGATAATTTCCGGAGCTCGGTAGAAGCGGCTAACCAGGTAGGGGGTGATCTCATTCTCAGAGGCGGGAGATGCGGACCCCAAGTCACAGACTTTGAGGATGTTCCGCTGCTCGTTAACGAGGAGATTGTCGGGCTTGAGGTCTGCATGCAGGATGTTACACTTGCGCAGCAGACTGAGACCCAGGAACATCTGTTGAGCGTAGGCGCGGATGGCACGCAGGTTCAGCCCGACATCGCGGCCAAATTTCTTCAGCACCTCGCGAAGGTTCATGCTCAGGTTCTCGAACACCATACACAGATGGCCCTTGTGTTCGAAGTGGCGTATAAATTTGATGACATGTTTCTTGTCATCTGGGTCAGCCTCGTGCAGCTGCTCCAGGATTCCGATCTCTTTCATGCCAGCCTTACGCATGGTATCGTTTTGACGAATGATCTTGATGGCGACTAGGGTTCCGGTAGTCGAATCGCTGGCCCGCACCACAGAGGAGAACATGCCCTTGCCGAGATTTTGCTGGACATGGTAGCGGCCGTTGATTAACTCGCCAAGCCGAACATTGTAGTAGCCTTCCGGGTCATCCCAGTTGTCCATCATACTTATGTCTAGTTCCTGAGGTTGAGGCACAGCTGTGGCCGAAGCATGAGTGGGCTGCTCGTTCGTCGTGTCTTCAGCAAACATATCGTCATCGGCGTCCTCTGCAAACATGTCGTAAGGGTCTTTCGATTTTTGCGGAAGGGCAGCATCGGGGAGAAGAATGTCCTGCTTTGCCGTTTTGGTTTCATCATACGCAGCAGATGAGATATCCTCCCTTGTACTTTGAGCACCATCAAGCTTTAGTCTTTCCTCCTTCGTGTCAAACATTGGATTGTAATCTGCGGCAGAGGGCTCATCTTTCTCCGCTCCGTCTTCGGGAGCACTGAAATTGGCCAAGTCGGCATCTTGGCCAATTTTGAAATCAGGAAGTGTGTCTCCCATTTGCTCACTTGGCGTCTGTGCTGGCGAAAGCTGTGGGGATTCTGTGGAGATCAATCGACATACGTCAGCTTGTATGAGACAGTTTTGTCTGGGGTCATGAGACCTACCCGACGTATCTTTAGCACTTGTCAGCTCTGTGCCATTGGTCGATGAATCTGTCTCGCCGTCGGGAATGTGAAGAGCCTTAAGATGCATGGGAGTTGCTTGGCTTCGGTACTTCGCTCGAATGGCCTCGCGGCGCTTACGACGAGCCTCCAGAGCAGCTGCTTCGTCCATCGGCTCGGATGGCTGCGATTCTGATACTGGTTCTGACATAAGAGTATCTGCTCTGTAGAATTTGTTAGCCATAGGATCTTAGCACGCAATTCAGAAGTTGAAACATACTCATCGGAGAAATGGGCACGTTTTGGGGGAGCCTGCTGCACCTGATTCTTTCGTGTTTCAGCACCAAGCTTGGAATAACGAGCGACAGCTGGAGTCTTTCCTCGTTCGTTCACTACCTGTTCAGTGGATGGCCCATGCCTGGTATCCACCGGAGGATCCGGATCGTCGTACTGCTTTGGCTTTCTCACTTCACGATAGGGGGAGCGGCTGTGAGTACGCGCTCGCTTGTCCTTGCGTCGGTCGTAGTCATCAGTGTACCGCAAACCTCCGCCATAGCTTTCCTCGCGGTCATAGTCGTGGTACATTTTCTGTCGACGGGGAGGGGCGCCTCGCTCATATTGTCTATCGTCGTATCTCGACCCGAAACGTTGCGATGGTTCGTGCCGGGCGGGCCGGCTCTCGTGCTCATCATACACATCGTCACGTCTGCGCTTGTAGCCTCGGTTGTCCCGGTATGGCGAGCGCGATCGGGATCGGGATCTCGAGCGGGATCTCGTCCATGACCTGCGTCGGCGCGGCGATCTACTGCCTCTCAGAGACGCGGGAGGTCTGGGCGCAGACGAAGTACTAACTCTGGGGGGACGGTCAACGCTGGTGCCATTAAGAGGAGGTTTTGACGCAGTTGCCTTCGTCTCCGAACCTGATTCGATGATCTCACCCTCAGAAGGGGTCGACGGGGACCTCGATCGGTTGTGCGACGCCATGCTGCCGGCTGTCGCGTTGCCGAAGACGAATATCAACACCCAGAGGGAAACGACTTCTGTTTGTCTTCTCTTCTTGTATCTTATGCACTCTCTTCAGTCGGCCTTTGGAGGAGGCTTCGGTGAGAAACGCCTCAGTTAGCGTGAGCTCCAGAGACAAAAAAAACGAATCTTCGGGAATGTTTGAAAGTCCAACCGGCTTGAGAGGCCTGCCTTCACACCAAAGCCTTGCAACTTTGATTATCTTGGGCACATAACTTGGCTATAGGCAAGGTCTTGAAAGGGGGTGATGTGCACACGCAATGATTAACCGCGTACGCTCCGAGTCGATGGGGAAAGCAGAGACAGAGATGCGCTTGCAGGCCAAGCTGGCCGCGATAGCAGACTTTGTGCTATACCGCATCTGGCAGGCGGTAAGGGTCCCTCCGATAAGCGTACCCCGGGGATTATTTTTTTCATTTGCCATCGCATTCAAGTTCTCCCCAGACTCTCGTTCCCGTTCACCTCCCGATCACTCCTTCTCCCTTACCTTTGAACACTAATCAAAATGGGTGGTGCAAGCAGAGAAGGTTGGCAGTATCTCTCAGCCTCGCAAATATACCCCGCTAATGGACCCCGCAGGTGGCAAGGCCAAGCCCCTCAAGGCCGCGAAGAAGGAGAAGAAGGATTTGGACGAGGATGATCTCGCCCACCGGGAGAAGCTGAAGGCCGGTAGGTCCTCCTAGCAACCAAAACTTTATGCTACTCCCGCTAATCCTCAAATTTCGACAGATGCCAAGGCGAAGAAGGAAATGATGGAGGCCACCAAGGGCAAGCGGGGCCCCCTCAACACCGGCCAGCAGGGCATTAAGAAGTCTGGCAAAAAATAAGCGATCAGGATGGGACGATAGTCAGGCGCGGTTGACTCCCTGATACATATTGCGACTTTGCAGTCCACATTTACGACCCATACGAGCCATGTCCCAACGAGAGCGGAAACCATAGGCATTCTTCTACTTCAGCAAATGCATATAATTGCTGCGCTTTTTGATGTATCTCTGGCATAGATTGAGTTACACCAATGCCAAGCACTTTATAATAACCTTGCCAATGCTTTGCACTCTAATTTATGGATGCGTCGATGTTTTGAAAGGATATTCTAACGTCCATGCTTGATTATCAAACATAAAGAACATAGAAGCCCAGTAAGAAATGGAAGGGTATCGATGGCGGCTTCGCCCTGCGTGACAATTGAACGCTTCAGAAACGCCGCAGGGAATTAAACCACAGAAGCAAGGGAATTGACCGGGTCTATCCAAATCAAGATAAGGGGGAAAGACCAAAACCGTGGGTGGGAGCACTCCTAAGCTCCATGCCGCCCAACTCAGCTGGTGACACGCTTGACCCACAAATTACTGCCATCGCCATTGTTTTCCTGTTCGTCCAACCGTCTCCACGCTCGCGTGACTTTCATACCAAGTTCATGCTCCTCCCGCTTGATCTCCGCGATCTCGTTCTCGATACTCTGCACGCTCCTTTTGACCTCGGCCTTGGCGGCGAGATCATATGCAATAGCGTCGGGTTGAATCACCCGGGTCAACTCGTAGATCACCGTCTCCAGGTTGACCCTGCGTTTCGCGAGCTCATCGCGTCGGGTCTCTAGGGACTCGATGCGACCTACCGCATCCTTGGGGGCGTCGTCGGGCAGGGGCAGGTGTGCCAATGTTGGTTCCTGAGCGGCCTCCAAAGGAGTGGGCTTTCTTACTGGCTTCTTTGAGGTAGGCATCGAGGGAAGCGGGCGCTGGCGCGACATGATGGAAGAAGGGAGATCGTCCGTAGACTTGGAATCCAAGGTCAGGCTTGCGCGCGGGCTGTCATTCGGGCTGCCATTGGCACTACCGGTGCCCATGGCAGCATTGAGCGCGCCAAAGCGGCTCAAAAGCCGTTCAGACCGCATCGCGCTGTCTATTCCTGTGTCGAATTTGGGGTGTATTTCCTCTCGCCGAGGGCCCGTGTAGGTATCCTCGGTGGCCAGTCTCTCTGACAACGGCCTGGGTTGCCCGGCAGTGATAGTCGTCACGACCGTTGGCACGAATCCGAGATTAATTTGGGGTTGAGGACTCGCGTCTCTATTTCCGGACTGCTCTGCCAATGGAAACACACGTGGCGACGATCGATTTCGGGAATCCATTTGCGCGCGGGGCTCGTGCTTGGAGAAGCTGCTGAGCCGATGCCGCGCCTGCTCGAACTTCCTTTTGGGCTGCAGTTGTTCGCGACCCCAGTGCAGGAAGTTGGACGCGTGCGAACCGCTCGACTTTTGGAAGTTGGCATTGCGTGGCTCTACTGGGCCAGTTTTTCCGGCATTGCTTTCGGTTGGCTCATCTGCGTACGCATCCCCACGCGGGGGTTGCTCCTGACGATGGGGTGCGAATAGAACAGTTTTCGGTGCTGGTTCTGAGGATTCAGGCGGAGACAGCTTTGTATCAGTCGCATCTGGCGGAGGGGCAGCAATTCCAGAGCCTCCAGAACCCATTCGCCTATGGCGGAGGGCCCGCCCTGTCTCACTCTCGTCTATCGGCGAGACGCAAAAGCTGCTTCCGCTATCTCGCGGTCGAGGCCCCAGTTCAGGCGAAACAGCGGGGGATACATTGGCATATCGCTTGCTCTCATCGCTATGGCGCGACGCAGGCCGAGGCGCAGCGGGCGCGCTGGGCTCATTATGCAATGACGCGGCGGAGTCACTTGGAGATATATTAGAAACTTGATCGCAGGCGTGGGAGGTGATGAGGCACATACTTTGGCAGCGCAGGCAAGCCTTTGGCACACTTGCCTGCTCGCGTGGGATCCGCATAGACCACCGGCTTCTCTGACGTTTTATCCGCCGATGTGGGGTTGCCTATCGTTCGTCGTGATTTGAAGGGTCCTTTGGACCACATGTTGATCTTCAAAGGGGTTGCGATCCGGTCAATCGAGGCGATAGCGGATCGGCGATATGTTCGAAGGGGCGGCTACAGACTGTCCTTGCCCGCGCGCTGAGGTGGGAGAGGAAAAGAGGACAAAGGGCGATCAGGCCAGAATGGTCAGACAAATAAGCGCAACGGGTAATAGGCAAATAGGCAATAGGTATGTAATGAAGAAGCTGGACGATCTGACTGTTTACCACGGGAACAAAGCAGGCGCCCCGCCACACGTCAGAGATGAGCTGGAGGCTGGGTGGTGCATTGGAGGAGGAGGGAAGACTTGAAGAATGCGCCTGTGAAGACAGCATGGCATCACCATCCCTAAGTGGGTGGTGACAAATGAGATTGGGGCGTTTATCAAGTGGAGTTACTCAGTTGGAGCTTCCAAGGACTGGGCTGTGTTGCAAGGGGATCGAGCCCGTTTCATGTAGTCACTTAGGGCCTTCCCGTATCATGAAAGGGTGATACTATTAATAAAGTGACAACGGTCCATAGTTCTGAACACGTCCCACAATTATCGGCAGGCCATTCAAAGCATCGAATGAGCGAGAAAGCAAAAGCAGGAGAGCATCACGTGGAGGGGGATCGATGTCATTCTTCTCCGCGGCTTCCGAGCGATCCTCATCCGCCCGAGAAGCATCCTGGAACATTCTATTTTCTCACTCTGTTAGTATTCCATTACACTACTACCCTCTTCCTCCACCCCAAATGACTGCTCCTCGTAAGCTGGATGCTCAATCCTCATGAACGAACCCTGCTGACCCCATCCTTAAGAGAGCTCTGTGCCGCAACCTGAAGTGTTGGTGTCTCTTGCTCATCGGGGCCAGCAACGCAACTAACCCATCAATTAGCATGACTATCGCCACCCCCATCAACCTCACCCTCCTCTCTCTCGTCGGTGTGCTGCTGTACTGGCACTTCCGCCCCAAGCAGCCCACTACGCTCCCGCGCGCCCCCGCCCCGATCGTATTCCGCACCTATACCCCCAAGACACTGATCGAGTTCAACGGTGAGAATGACCGGCCGGTCTTCCTGGCAGTGCGGGGCCGTGTCTTCGATGTGTCCCCGGGTAGACACTTCTACGGTCCGGTAGGTGGATTGGGATGATTGACGGAGCTGGCTTGGATATAGTAGCTGACGAGGCGTTAGGGTGGCCCATACGAGAACTTCGCCGGTCGGGATGCCTCGCGCGGATTGGCTCACCAGAGCTTCGATGAGGATATGCTGACCAAGGATCTATCCGCGCCGTTGGATACGCTCGAGGATCTGGACGCCGACCCGCTTGAGAATTTGCAGTCGTGGGAGGAACGCTTCAACGAGAAGTACCTGGTAGTTGGAAAGCTGGTTGCCGAGGGTGACCCTGAGGCACCCGCGTCATGATCTGTCGACCTATAGCTCTTCGTGTTGTTGGTCGGACATGAGAGGGTGGAAATGAAAACACAAAAAGTTGGATGGGAAAGCTGTTGGAGTGGGGCCGTTGATCTTCACATAAATTCAAGCTTAATAGCTTAGGCCAAAAATTCATTTCGGATATATATTTTTAAGGCATTCCCAGCACGAATTGACAAATGTGCTACAGGGTTGTAAATGGGCTATCAAGCACCGATCCGGAACAGTTCATTTTAAGAAACTACTACTATTGACACAGCACGAAAAAAGCTAAAGCGCCCGAGGATAACATCGTCAGTAACCCTCCGCAAGATTCAGAAGTCATAAGCATCGTGTTCAGAACGTGATCATAGCAGAACGGAACCCCGTTCTACTTCTCTCAACATTCTTAATTTAGAAAAAGAGCTGAAGCTTTACAGCTCTCCCCGGAGACGATCGGTCTGCTCAGAGACCTTCTCACGGACCTTTTCGGCCGCCTCCTGGCCCTGTGCGCGGCCGCTGGAAGCTCCAATCTTGAGCTGGTCCAGGGCCCAGTACAAAGTCTCCATGACTTTGGCGTAGATGGTATCCTGTGGGTTGTTGGTGCCATACTTGAAGTAGGTGGCCTGACGCCGAGCAGCTGCGCGCAGCTCATTGATGCTCGACCCTTGGTAGACGGGGATGCCGTACGAGTCGAGATACTTCTTGAGATCGGAGTGGGACCAGCTGTCGAAGGTGGTTTGTTTGGTGGAGCCGGTCGCCTGGGCGATGTTCTTGGTGGCCGAGGCATACTGTTCGCCGCCAGCCTGAGAAGCCTTGACGTAGGAGTCTTTGGCATGCTTGATCAACTCTTCACGGGAAGCATCAGCCTTCTTTGCGGCCTTGGAGTTCATGGCAGAGAGGTATTTCCTGTCGTAACGCAGGTTAGATAAGTCTTCATAGCAGGTCTAGATTCCAGACTTACAGGAGATGTTCCTTGTCCCAGGTATCGAAGTTGTACTCGTTCCACCCACCAGCAGCCTTGTGCGCACTGGCGCGGACCTTGGCGAGGAGCTCATCGCGCTTGCCATGCTGGGGAACAGGAACGCCGCGAGCATCGAGGAAGGCCTTGAGGCGAGAGTCTGACCACGTCTTGATCGCGGCGTCGAACCCATCCTCCAACTTCAGCTTTGCATCGTCCGTGGCACGGGCGTACTGGTTTCCAGCCTTGGTAGTAGCGGCACCGAACGCCTCCGAGGCAGCGGAAGAAGCACTGGAGGCCTGATCGACAAGATAGGCGCGGTGTTTGCGGGCCAGAGCAATAAGCTCATTGCGCTTCGAGCCTTGGGGGACCTTCACGTTGTGTTCATCAAGGAATTCCTTCAGCTTGGAGTCGGACCATGCGTTGAACAGCTCTTCGCTCAAGGATGCTTGAGCGGCCTCGGCAGACGCCCGCGCGGATGCAGAGATGCTCTGTGCCTGTAGACTAGCAAGGCGAGAGTTACGTCGCACGGAGGCGATGAGCTTGTCACGGGTCGAGGGCTGAGGGACAGGCCATCCCCTCTCGTCAAGCCAACTTTTAAGATCAGACTCGGACCACTGCTCGTATAGCCAGTTGCCGGGGTAAGCCGCGGTTTCGCCAACCTTCTTCGCAACAGACTCATAGTTCTCGCGGGCGGTCTTGAGCAAGACGTCGCGCTTGCGGGGCTGGGGTGCCGGAATGCCGTGGCGATCAAGGAATGCCTTCAACTGAGAATCCGACCAACTGGCGACACGGTCAGCATTCAGCGGTTGGGGACCGCGAGAGGGACATCTTGCTTACCTGTCAAATATCCATTCCTTTGCGTGGTGCAATCCATCTCCGGCCTGTTCCGCAACGTGACCCAGGGGCTTCTGCACGCGGGTTTCCCAGTTGGACTTGACCAGATTCTCGAGATCCCGGCGGTCGGCAGGGGTAGGGTAGGGGATATCTATTGGGATTTGGTCAGTTTCCTGCACGTGTCGCGATCGTAAACAGAATCATCATCCATACCATGATCGGAGAGCCATCGTTCAAGCTCAGTTTCGTGCCATTTATTGTAGACTATGAGCCGATGACGTGAGTGTGGGGATCAGCGATCTAGACCGGAATTGCTACTAACCAGCTTTGCTCCACCAGCTCGAAGCTGCGACAGCGTCAGTGGTCGCAAGCAAGAGCACCAGGCCAGTGGCCAAATTAAATTTCATCCTGGCGGTTTCTCGTTCAGTGCAGCGTGGAAGTGCGTTGGGAAAGCTGAAGCATCAAGGATCACTCGTTAGTATGAGCTGTCACGAGCTTCTAGTAAGAGAAGAGAAGGGCAACACACCACCGACAGTCGAGTGAGGTTAACGAGGCAGAAGGGGGGCGCGCGCGACTAGTTCTTAAATATGAGAGCTCAGTCGCGTTCAAAGGGTGGTGCAGGCAGGGAAAAGCAAGCAGCAGGGATGATCGCGGAGTGACGTAGTTAGGGAATTTGCCTGGTTCCATGAGTGCATGATTCATCAAGGCCCATTCTTTACGGTACGGCATTGGCGTCATCTGAAGATCTTTCCTGTTCTACTTTGTTTGTTGCACGGGCAGAGCCTATGCATGTGGCTGGCCCTGCGGTGCCATGCAAGTTCAGGGTCTTTGCTCACCGAGTCCTCAGCTGTCACCGGGTTCTCTGCCGGAGTCGCCATCGCAAATGAGCTATATGTTTATTGTGGGGAAATGGGCTTCCTTCTTTATATCTGCTTTGGTACAACGGTTTTTAAATATTATTCTAGCTGATAACTTAGAATCGGGAGGTTATGAAAGCCCAGTCCCTGGCGTCGACAGCGGTCAACGCGACTGAACTGTGTCGAGTTCCGCTCTTGTCAGCCCACGATTCCAAGTTAGCATCCCATTCTCTGATCCCTGCCGACAAGCCTCCAGGGTATTAATGGGTATCACCTTTGAACTTCAAGCCCTAAATTGATCCAGGGGGCTCATCCCTTTGTATTGGGTTTGATTGCAACTCCCCCTTTTGTCCAGTTCTTGGCCGGAAGCCTGAGGCAGACATGTATACTTATCATCCAACCAATCAGCATCGTAAGTGCATAAAGTATGCCAATGAGTAAGCATTCATGATCCCCAAGCACAAAACTAAATGCGGCTCCCAAGCATCTCCGAATGCAGCGGTCCAATACACCCACGTAGTCAGCAAGTCGATCATTGCCAAGCGCAATTCATCTGGAGATGTTACATGGAGGAGGAAATTTCTTTAAGGACAGTCTGACAGTCAGACCTGAATGTCAATCCAGACTCATTTGCCCTCGGAAGTTTCCCTCCATATATACTTGACGTCGATGGCACCTGGTCAATAAGCCGCCATGGTTCAAACTGGGCACCGAGAGGATTTTATGAGCAAGAAGCTCTTTGCTTTTTGTCTCTTTTCAATTGGAATCACTATCTTCCTCCTGGTCGGCTCTCCAGCCCCGCCATCACCAGAGGAGCTCAATGATGCACCCGCACCAGGCCTTCGCCCGGTGACATACCATGGTCATCACGCCATCAGTATTTTCCTAGCTTCCCGATCCAACCAGGAAGACCGAAGTGACAACGAAGACGGATACTTTGTGAGTGTGCGGACGCTCATTTACCAGTTGCTCCATTCTCCAGACACCAAGCTTCAGAACCCAGTCCCCGTCGTGGTACTTGTGCCAAAGCATGTTAAGGAGAGCAAGGTTCAGACCCTGAGACATGATGGAGCTATCGTTGTGGAGGTTGAGGATGTCACACACAACACGCCCATTGCTGCTGAACGCTGGACTTCTATGGCAACAAAACTGCACATCTTCGATCCTGCCGTCGTGCCCTACGAGAAGGTTCTATTCATGGATGCAGATATGGTCTTGACCCGCCCCATCGACAAGATCTTCCAAGAATTCAGCACCGAGCTCAGCCCTATTACCAACACTACCCAAGCTGAAGCTGAGGTCGGCCCTCTTCCCGAGCAATACATTCTGGCAGCTTCTCCCGAATCACACCGGAAGGACCATACGTATCCGTTCCTCGACTCGGATCATACCGCGAGCACATTTAACAGTGGCTTGTTTATATATTCGCCCTCTGTGGAGATCTTCCAGTACTACATGACGCTTGTGGACCATCCTGAACTCTACTACACCGGCGTTCCAGATCAGGATCTTCTCAACTACGCGCACCGCTGGGGCGGGCCGATGGCGTGGAAGCGCCTGCACTGGTCCTGGTATATCAACGAGCCCAACGACAACGACTTTCAAGGCAAAATGGCCTTGCTGCATACCAAATGGTGGGAACAGGGAACTTCCATTTCCAAAGACGCCGTCGAGCAGTTTGCCTTTGCACGTAGGTGGGAAATGGAGGGATACTGGAAGGGCAGGAATGATAAGCGCAACACGCCCAAGTTTCGACGGCTCTAGCTCTGCGGATTGCTTTGATCTCATTTACTTTGACTCTGTATCTAGACGAGAGACATGCCATCGGGATCCACCCCAGTTCAAGAACCTAGGTCCATTCGTCAAAACCGAGACCCCATCGCACCTCGCAGCCAAGGAAGGAAGTCTGGGCATGGTCAAACTGCTTGTTTCCCACGGTACTAACTCGTAGCGTGAAGACTGCCGCAAGTCCACCCCGCTTCATATCGCAGCTTGCCTTGGCCATGGTGAGATGCTTCGGTTCATTACAGAGCGACCAGGATCCGGCATTTCAAGATTTCTTCACCTGTCAAGAATTGGGGAAACAAAGAAGGGGACGCATTAATTGTCCCCGCGGGCCAGATAGACTCTCGTCTGACCTACCTTGATCCTCGCAAACGTTAGAGATCAAATGTGTTCTCTATCAACTAGAAATGGAGATGGGGAAGTGGGTCCGCATACTTCACACTGGGCATCAATTGCGGATGACAGGAGAGCACTGTCGACAATTCATATGATAGTTTGGGATTTTGAATTTGCATGATTTGCCAAAAATCCACTCAACGGCTAGTCTATACGTACACTTATAGCTACAAGCATCCGTATCGATGCCCGGGAGTGGAGCCGCCCTGCGCGCCCAAGCCGCCAGGTACCCAACGCGGGTACAAATCGCGCCGTGGCGTTTATCGGTGCGGGGGCAGCCTGTCGACCTGCGAACCCCTTCTCCTTCTCCTTCTCCTTCTCCTCTTAGCTTCTTTCTACCATGATCAGAAACTCTCTCAACCACTATAACATGCAGCTATAAGAAACTCATCTTCATCGTGTGGGTTGCTGAATGTGATTGTGCTGGTCACCTGCTTGCTGTCACGAGTGCTTCAATCCAACCGAAAGCTCCAACGTCACCCCGTTCACCCGGAACCGCCGAACACCTCGACTGTGTCCATACTCAAGCCATAATAAAACTCGACGAATAACACGCAATCTTCATGGACCCCTCAACCCCATATTGCGGCGAGCTGGCCTCGCCCGGCTGGTTTCAGCCTGTGCTTTCTGTGTACGAACCTCGCCAGACCATAGCCATAACCCGGGAACAATCGTGGCACTGACGCAACCTTGCAGTTTGATCATCCTCGGCATCCTACTCTCCTACCTGCCCCAGCATATTCGCATCATTTCCCTACGAAGCTCCTTCGGCATCTCGCCTTACTTTATCCTCCTGGGCACAACATCCGGCACCTCCGCCTTTGCCAATATCCTTGTCTTCCCGAAGACCGCCGCGGATGTCGCCTGCTGCCAGGAGATTAGCGGGTTAGCCTGTTTCGCAGGGCTACTGGGTGTGTTCCAGATGGGCATGCAGTGGATCTGCTTTTTCTCGATGTAAGCGACGCCCTCTTTTCTAAAGTAGAACCCGTGGCGGTGGCTGACCGCAATCTAGCCTACTACTCTTCGTTATCTACTTCCCTCGAGCTACCTCTCCGACCGACCCAACCCATTCGGTACCCTCCACCTCAAACGGGCCTACATATCGCACTGCACTGGTTATCACTGCTATTTGTCTGCTGCATGCCCTCGCGACCGTCATCATCTCCGTCGCATTTGCAATCCGCCAACCTACCGCTCTCCATGCCTGGGCGAACTTCCTGGGAATCCTCGCCGCCATCTTGGCATCTATCCAGTACTTCCCGCAGATCTACACAACCTTCCGACTCGGCTGTGTTGGCAGCTTGAGCATCCCGATGATGTGCATACAGACGCCCGGAAGCTTGGTCTGGGCGGCAAGCTTAGCCGCTCGCGAGGGTGCGAAGGGCTGGAGTGTATGGGGCGTGCTGGTGGTTACCGCCTGCTTGCAAGGCACCCTCTTGGTGATGGCGATCTACTTTGAATACTTTGGACCCGACAGCAAGAGCAAAGCCGTGCATCAGGCCGACCAGAACGGTTCGGCCAACGGCGCCGCGGCGGAGAGACCCGAGCGAGAATCGATGCACGCAGAGCACCCCTCCGAAGAGACTCCACTGCTTCAGAGCCAGTGAGGACTAGATCACCATAACAAAGTAACGTTATCCAGTACCCAGCCCCCAGTTACCTGTTGCGTATATAGAGCGAAGACCTCCCAATAAACGAAGCACATGTCCAAATGAATTGTTTGATATTTTTTTTTTCATGGACCCAATGGGCCTGTAGCCTGTAGTACCGAATGACGTATATCTTTAAGTACGCCATCCGCAGGCACACACCCGGCCCCACTGCAAAATTGATATCCTTTCCCCCTCTCATCGCGTCGTAGCATTCAGTCTTCTTTATGTGATGGCGATTTATTCGACAGCGTAGATCAGGCGGAAGACGTCGTTAAGCACGAAGTAGCTGCCGGCACCGTCGGGCTGCAGCTTAAAGAGCTGGGTATAGTTCATGGGCTTCCGCTCCTCGTCGACCTGCATTGCGCCACACCTGGTTAGAAGAGCGTGTAGAATGTGGGTCGGGGCTCAATAACGTACCAAGAGAGCGCCAGTAACCAGGACGATGATGCCGTTGTCGCTGGAGGGCTGGGCGTCGAAGGTCGCGATCTGGTGACGCACCTGCTGGAAGGGCAAGCTCTGTTTATTGGGACCACATGTTAGCACCTCGCGTTGTCTTTGTGCGCATCCCCTGGTTGATTTTCTCGATATCTGTGGGGGTACCTACAGCCAGCTTCTCGGTGATAGCCGCAGCACCCTGCACGGAGCTAGTCTCGAAGGTGAGCATCGAGTTCTCACGCTATTAAGTTCCAAAGGTGTCATTAGTTTCAATTCCAAGGTGGGATGTTTCTTTCCCGTGTATTTGTGGGACATCCCTGAAACAGCGAGAGCACTTACGTAGAGAGGGGTCAGGCCGCTGCGGTTGGTGTCGAAGGCATTGTAATAGAACTCAACGAACTGCTCTGTTAGAGGGAAGAATCACAAGTCAGATTTTTTAGTCCCTCGATGTGTCTCATCGCCGTTGCAGAACGAGGATCCTCGCTGGGGCCAAGATTCGTGCCCGCGCCGGGCTGGTCTTGTGTGCGGCGCATCGGAGGTCGGGGTGGGGGGAGAACATACGAGCAATGCTGGTGAAGTCTGAAGCGTAACAAAATATTAGCGTTGTTCCATGATATGTCCATTTCCAATGAAATTAAATTGATCGGAGCGCCGGCTGATACAGCACGGCGCAATTGACCCAGGCGGGTTGACTTCGACCCAGGTACCTCGCCGAATGGAAGGGAGCCGGAGCTGGAGGAGTGAGATGGTAGCGTAGAGTAGGACTTACCGGTCATTTTGAAGAGAGAGGTCGAGAAGGTAGGGACGATGCGACTGTATAGAGACGAGGGCAAGAGCTGGGGGAGGGATGGTATTTGTTGACGCGGGAAGAGGGAAGAGGGACGAGGGAAGAGGGGATGTGTGGGGCACGAATTCTGCCACTGGTGCCTGGCTGCCTTATGATCGCCCAAGTCGAGCATGAATGTGTTGGTTGCGGCCAGCTTATCATCTACGCGGCTAATTGACTGGTGGGAATATGGTATCACTACAGTCATTGATATCTCTGCCTATTAGAGCCGGCCAGCTCACTCGGAGTCTGACGCAAACATGTCCTCAGCCTTGGGGCGTGGCCTGCGCGTGCGCTGCGATCCTGGCTCTTGATGCCCGGCTTCCTGCTCGGGCTGCGTGGACTGATCTAATGCTACCTGCTGTGCATCGCCACCATCCAGAGGTGGTCCGTCTTCTTCCATAGGTGCCCCATCATCGTCAGGCATCTCCAAGTCGCTATCTTCCATGGGGATCCCATCGATATCACTCATGGATTCATCTTCCAAATCATCGGCCGGCTTAGCTGCGGGATGGCCCTGGCTCTCAACTTTTGCAGGGCGATTGGGACCGGATTGTCCAGGTGCAGGATCATCATCAACGGTCTTCCATCGGCTCTTGCTCTTGGAAATCGCATTAGCAGCTTGTTCATCTTCCGCCTTCTCTTTCTCCTTTTGTAATTCTTCTTCGGTGAGTGGTGGTTGCTCAAGCATCTTGAGAAAATGCTCCTGGTTCGATGGCTGGAAGATGCTCCAGCCCTCCCAAAGATGGAGAAGAGTGCCCACGCTGCGCTTCCACTTTTCCGCCTTGAGTCTGCCCCAGTTCAGGTCTTTCTCAAGCCTACCAAGATGTTCGAAGATCTTGTGTGAGCGAAGCGCATTTTCAAACAATGACCGATATCGCCATCCTTTGGGAACCCCACTGGTGGCTGACGATGCAAGAATATCGGAGATGAGATAGAGCCCAACCAGTTTGGCTGGGGACATATCTATTCTCCCCTTGGAGGGGTTTGAGGTGTCTTTGTCACCGTCCTCCTGTCTTGCTGCATCTTTCTCTAGTTCTCGCTCGGGATTGGCTCCTGTGTATGCCAGTGGACGGAGAATATTCAGCACAATCATGTCGACAACTTCACGCGCGCCGGTGCCTGCGTGCTTGATCGCAAAGGCTGTGACTCGTGCAACATCACCCCGCCGGAGCTTGGCATGTGTGGTCGGTAGGCGAGCAAGGAGATGGGTGAGTTTGGCTTTTTGTAGAGGATTCATGTAGCCGAGGCCGTCGTTCTGAGCGGTGGCTCCCTCTGGAGGCGGCCCGCCCCCGAGATTCCGCCTCTCATATTCACCGTCAGATTGCTCCTCATCGGATGAATTGTAGTCATCCTCTGAGACAAACTCGTCAAGACGTGTGGTGTACTCAAACTTGATGTCCGTCTCTGGGGGCATCCAATTTGGCCCGCCTTCGAATACGAACGCCGACTTCTGGCTGCCGGCTTTGGTTTTGTTGCGCGCTCTTGGATTGGTAATAATTTGCCACAACTTCCAGCGATAGTAAACACCACCGGGGCTCCTTGAATCCCAAAGCCAGGCCCATTTTTCTTCCCTTTGCACCTCCGGTCGGCTCATAAGTAATGCCTCAAATTCAGGTCCATAGTTGAGGAGGTTTTCCAGAGTCTTGTGGATCAGCCTCAATTGCTTAATGTCTGGTGGTGCTTGCACTTCAACCTGTGCAGAGCCTCCAGCTCTTCCCAAATTGGGTCCATATGAATCTGGAGGAGCGAATCCTCCACGATGAGGCCCTGGGGGAGGAGCACGACTTAAACCTCGACCGAAGCTCGGTTGAATAGACTTTGCACCAAACGGAAGTGAACTGCCGGTGATCGCAGCAAGATTTGTCGGCATGTTTGAGCTGATTGCGGCAGAGGAGGGGCCAAGATCAATAGATAGGTAGTAGCCTCGACCAAGGTACTTTTTATCAAGCATGCTCTTGGCACTCTGTATATCCGAACGAGGAGTATCACTGGCGAAGGTGATGATGGCAGCTGCGGACTTTCGTTCGGTGGGTGACTGATTAGTTGGCCGGAGGATGTTCACATGGTCCACGGTCAGAAAGTCTGGAATTAATGACTTGAGCACCGAGGGGGATGTCCCCGGAGGTAGGGATGAGAGATACAGAGTAGACCTAGCTGCAGCCTTCTCTGCCTCTCTTGTATCAGTCCGGCGGTCGTCTTCATCCTCCGAGGGGTTGCGGAACGCCGAACGTGGGCCTGTTGGACCCGTGCCGGTATGATCGTACCCCAAAAGCCCTTGTATCGGATCCCGGTTGCGCGGCGAATATCCAAATCCTCTCTGGTTGCGAGTTGACGGTGGAGCTGTAGGAGGTTCCAAACTACCTGGACCACTATTCCGTTGAGCGGAGCTCGGGAAATGTCGCGACGGCCGCGCTCCTCCCAATCCACCGCCTCTGTTTCCAAATGCACTTGGTCGTCCATCTGAGACTCGGGGAACTGTCGATGTATCTTCCTCAAACGACTTGACAAAATCTTCGTAGACCGCGGCCGTCTCAGCCTTCTCCCGGGCGCGTTTAGCTTCAGCTTCAGCTTTCGCTTTCTCGAATGGTGACTTCTTGGTTAACGCGGAGGTTTTGGCGTCCACATCGAGGGAGCCCTTCCCCTTCGGATCGCCGGGCATATTGGGAAGAAAGTGCAGCTGCAGCAAGAGCGAACCAGCCTGCTGGCGTGGCGTGTTGAAGGAGGAAGCTGGAGAGTAGCCGAGTCCTCAAGTAGGAACCCCCATCTAATCAACTACGGTAAGCCATAGAACCAAGCCGGTCAAAATAGACTTCTTTGTAAAGTATTGGCCGAATGCCTTACCGCCCTAGTCACCGCTGTTCTTTCCGACCTAGCGCGCCCTTGTGCAAATACCCTACTCGGTCTTCCAGAGCGGCGTCTGTTAATGACCAATCTCATGATCAATATGAGCCATGTGTTAAGAAATATCTACAATCATTATCTGACATTGAGAGGACTAGAGTTTAGACGAAACACAGTCTCCATCTCGATATGGCGAGAAATAAAAGAAAAATGCTTCTCAAGGATCCGAGACAGTTATTTTGGCGACTTCCTCCGCGATATTGTAGTCGATGACTTTATGAAGTTGACCGCTCATGATGCCCGGGAATAGTCCTATGATAATGTCAGAATATTCACGAACAAGGTTTCTCAAGATAATACTCACCCATGATTTTCAAGGCAGTATACATCGAGTACTCCTGAATCAGTCCCATATCACGCTTCTTACCCTGCGAATGCTGGGCATGCTTCAGGATCTCCGTGACACGTGGCTTTCGCATAGCCATATACTGGCTCGCTGCCGTTTTGATGATTGTTTTCCAGGCCGCGTCTGTCATTCGTTCTTCCTTTTGACCATTCTTGCGAAGATGGTGCGACAAAAGAAGAACGAAAGCTTCAACATCTTCCAGTGCCTGCGATGTGCCCTGTCCTGAGCTCGGAGGAAGTGCATGGGCGGCATCCCCCACCAGAACAACGCCGTCGCGTTCCCACGATGGGAGGGGAGGTACTGTCCATGTCGGGTACATACTCTCGACTTTAAGTGATTGAATGATCTTTTGGATAACAGGATCTTTCCAGTGAGAATGTCTCTCACGCAATTGGCGAGTCACATCAGCCATGTCGAGAGTTTTGCGGTCTGGACATTCTTCAATTTCGTATGTTGACCACCACGCAAGCAAATCTCCCGGCTCGGATACATGGTAGGGCGAGTCACGATTCGAAGCTGATAAGGCACTTTCAGAGAAAAAGTATCCAAAGAAGCCATTGCCACCGAAAATGAAATTCATTGAACCTTTTTGAACAAGACCCTTCACATCCGCTGAGGGGATGAAGCCTCCAACGCCAACAAGACCCCTGGTGGAAATTAATCGGTCAATAGCCTTTCAAAAGCAATGCCGCCGTCAGATCGAGGTTACTCACTCATAGTTAGGCGGATAAGGGTCCTCTTTGGCATCCGGAAAAATTGCCCGCTTGGTCATGCTTCGAACGCCATCAGCACCGATGACCAGGTCCGCTTCCACCGAGGGGCTACCATCAACAAAATGTATCAAGTTCTTGCCATCTGCACGAGCAACAACTTCCGAAATACGCTTGTTGATAATATGTTCGTCCGGAACTCGTGAACGCAAAGCCTGCCACAAGGAATGGCGACTGGCAGCCACCATATGCATCTGTTGCTTCTCTGAAGGGGTATGGCCGGTGGCATCTATAGACACAAGCGACCAACCGTTCCTATTCTTCATATTGAAGGTTGAGACAACATATCCGCTGCGCACAACATCCTTCAGTAGATCCTCATCCAGACGCCGTAGAACATTGAGACCATTGGCACCAATGCCGAGTCCGCCACCCACCAAGAGGGTCGACGAATGAGTATTGTCTTCTTGTGTTCGTTGTCTCTCCTCGGCGGTAACGTTCAATTCGGTGCTATACGCCTCGTATATGATAATTTCATAGTTGGCCTCCGGGCCAGAAGGCTTTGGAAGGTGCTTGTGCATTTCAAGGTATGCTGCGCATCCTGAGATGCCCGCACCGATGATGACAATCTTCATTGGTAATTAGGATGATGTTGCTGATTTTTGAGAAGCTCAGTATTAGGAAGGGATGGCTGAAGAAGCTGAGACTCCAGGTATAAATACCTGGCAAGGGCCTGCCTACCCATGGGTGGTATACTTCAGCGATCCAGTGGGACCTGTCGCAAAGCTAGCCTAATCGGGTTTAGTCACATAGCTTAATATGGGGTGGCTTCCTCGTATCCCTTTTCGCTACAGGACGAGGCAGAAGGAAAATTCCCGTAATTTGCGCAAGTGCGCCATCGCCGTCGGATCATTTCAGGCAACAAAATAAATTTGGCTTCGCCACAGACCGGCTTTGATCAGAACCCCATCATCCATTCCTCTTTCATATTATTTTCAGAAATCAATACGGTGTATCAGCGAGATAAATATGGGGTCCGAAGTTCAAGTCCCGTGAAATTTTCGAGACGTGAAAAATCGGAAGATAATGTGCTTTTCGATCGATAACTCATCAAGGAGATGGCCCGGGTTTGTAATGGCGTAGCACGTAGGTAGCTACCTCCCCGAAAAGCTCGTTCAATGTAGTTGAACGATCTGCACCATCCCCATACTGTGCCTCAAGCCCTGGCAAAGGTCGCCTTGCACCATGCGTCTGGTCGGATGGGCTCCAAATGCTGACAATTTTGAGCGGGAAGAGCACGATCACCGACGCACGGTTAGAAGCAGGGCTAGGAAATGCCGAAACGAACTCCTTCGCGGACAAAATCGAGTCAACGTGTTGCTGAATTCGTTCTTCATATAGGCAGGCAGATGGCGAAACCAGGAAGAAGAGTCGCAAGACGATAACATTGACTGCATCGTATAAGGAGGCTAGTGAAGCTGTTGGCATGTCCAAGTGAGGGATCAGCGGGAAATGGTCGGGATCCCCAGGAAGATTTCCGAATCCTTCATTCGAAATGCTCGTCCATGTTTCCGCATTTGCTTCAATGAAGTTCGTTGAAAAGATGCATTTTTTCCACCAGTGGTGTAATTGCGATAATAGATTTCGGACGAGCGTATTTAGCTTAGGCTTGAGGTCATTAGCCATCTCTCTTTCGGATTTGATCATCTCATCTGCCACATCTAGGCACGGTAACAAAGAAAGCAAAATATCGACGAATTCATCGAATGCAGTTTTAGAATGCATTCCAAATGGAATTGTCATCCATTCCATGGAAGAGAAGATATGCTGCTGATTTTTGAAAAACGCACCAATGAACTAGAATGCCAAAGGTCACATTAGTAAAACCTCTAAATGAACTCAAATAACGGCGCGATTGACCCACAGTTAAAAGCCTCAAGTGTCTAAAGAGCTGATGTAAAAATCCATCCCGACAGCTTTCCGGTCCGCCGGATTCGAGCATTCTGGCCGCACCCTGCACATGCTGAAACCAGGCCTCACCAGACGTCCCGGCCAACGTTTCAAAGTGCGTGAGCATCACCACGGAGCAGATGACATCTCCAGTAAAGACCGACGCTTGCTGAAACAATAGACATTGTAACCCCTGTAGAGCCCTGAGATACCACTTACTGGCCTCCGTACGTATTGAAACATCGTCTACCAATGAGCCATAAAAAAACATCGAACCAGCCCTGATAGAATGCTTGACAAGTCTCTGGGTGGGTGAGGTAATGAAGACAGCTAGGTTGTCCAGCCAGGTCGACGACGGATGATCAGGGGTAGATTCTTTGAAGCCAAACGACTCGATGAAATGGGAGACAAAAAGCTGGTCGAAGATATTGGCACGGCCCGGTTGTTGGTAAGAAGGTAGCCGGGGAGTTGCATTTCGATCAATCTCCCAGTGTACAACCTGGTCAACGATGGCCGAAGCCTTCAAGTCCACGGGCGTGCACTTTGCCACGGGCTTCTTGGATGCCGATTCCGGTAACGCATGCACGAAAAATGCCCCTCTCCGGGCTCCAGAACAGGGCAGCCCGAGCTTTACGCACTGAAGGCATGCGGGATGAGATTCATCACACTTTAGGATGAATCAGAGGACGAGTTCCCAGGGTGATCTCAATCTGGACGACCCACCTTGACCTTGCGCTTTCGACAGGTTAAGCAGCCTTTGCTTCTGCCTGGAACGTTGACCATGACTTAAACTGAGCCATCAAAGCATAAAATACATAGCTTAGCTCACATTCGTCAGTGCTTGACTCTGTAGTATGCTTGGGACGTGTTGTGACAGAGGGTGAAGTTTAATGTCTGTTGGCGCGGTTGGTAACTAGTTAACGTTAGTTAGGTGGAGGCTCGGTTAATAACGTAATCCGCCGCCGTGGCACGCCACACCTAATTTAGGCCATAGTCAACAGCAGCAGTTCGTCCAAACTTCAAGGGAGAAGACGTGTGAATGAATTGAACAGGTGAGATTTAATAGATATTTTAGAGAGGATACATCTTGATTAAGGAAACCTCTTGATCACCGGCATTCATCAATCCTCCTATACTGCCTGAGCAAGGTATATACTCCTGCCGGCTTTCCCCATAGCTTCATGAAACCACGTCAATCCATTAGTTACCCGGATCCTCCTCCCTCTCGGGGCCGTGGGCCCCCACAACCCCCGCATTTTTGGCAGTAGGCTTGCTCTGGTTGCCCTCCTCCAACTCAAATTCCTTTGAGACCGGTACCTTGACATTGACTTCGGTGTTACGGTGCAGATCCATGGTATCTTTCTTGTAGATATTCACATAGATGGGGAAGATCATAGCAAGAATATACCCCATAATGGGGATTGCCATGGCAGTATGGGCACTGACATGAGTCTGGGAAAGAACATCCGCGTTAGTCACCAGGACCAAGGGCTGGGTGGGGATGTATATTGACGTACCACGACAGCACCCCATCATCGGAGGGAAGACCATCCCACCCGAAATGGCTGCGACGAGCATGGAGCCACCAAGCTTGGTGTGGCGACCGAGGCCACGAAGTGCCAGGGTAAAGATGGTCGCAAAGCAACACTATCGCGAAATACATGCTGTTAGTTTAGGAGCCAATAATTGCTCAGCTGGACAAGCACTGACCGATTCAAAGTGCAGAACGAGAATAATCATTGCGATAGAGGCGGTACCATGGGTGGTCATAGCAGCAACTAAGAAGACGAAGCAGAGGGGCAAGAATGCGGTCAACATATAACGAGACTTGAATGCTGGCATCATCATCAAACTAGAGCAAACAAAACGCATGAAGGCATAGAGGCCCTGTGCAACAGCAAGCAGGTCGGCTAGGGTAATCACGTCCCAGCACGCACAGAAATCTCTGGTTCTTTCTCGTTCTCTTGAAGCGAGCTGGACCGGTCGAGAGAGCTTTGCCTATTCACATATCTTTCACATCCTCTTCTCCATGTTTTCGAGTGTGCAACGGTAAGCTCCTAGACCCCAGATGGGCTGGCACCAGACCATGGACGCCCTAGCGCGATTGGTCTCAAGGCACATATTTCGCCCAACCGTATCAAGTATCCGCAAACCTTGCACGCTCGGAATCTCATACACCGACGGCCCGAAGCATGACAATTCCGAGTGGATGTGAGGCTACATAGTAAATTGCTTGTCACCAACTAGTTAACGCTGTGCGATGGAAGATCGGGTCGTTCTCTTCGAACTCTATATCTTGCCAGAGGATCCCTTACCTTCCCAGAGTTCCGCAACATCGAAACAGCCCTGAGTTTTTTAGCCACAAGGTATCCCTCATCGGGGTCATTCAAACAGCCGGTCAACAGGATTAATACAGATCCAGTATTTAGGAACTACTCCTAGTACTATTTCTTTGCTTCCGGGACATGCACCTCCATGGGACTGAAGATCCCAAATAGCACAGCTTTGGTCAGATGAATTGTAGGTTTCGAACACTTGATTATATGGACCCTCTTGTGATGTTCTCCACCCAGAATTTGGGTCACACAGGCTTTCACGTGTATGATTCGGGGAAGGTAAGCAGCGAAGCCCTCCTCTCACGCAGGTCCATGAACGCATGTGATACTGGAGGGTGTAGTAAATGAGGATGATGGGCACTGGATGTGAGTAACCAGCGTCAGCATATGCCCATTCCTTTGATGTGTCGGTCTACTGATGTCATATTAGATATAGACAGAGTTTCAAATAGGATAACCAGTGCCTGCCTGTCTTCAACTTTTCTTGAATAGAGCGTGTGCTCATTTGAGTATCCTCTTCTCCACGATACTTTTCGGTCGAGGAATATTCTTTTTATGCAAAACTCAGGTGTGTGGTAGCTTGTCTCACCTCGGTGAGCTTGTGGCCTCTTTCCGTTGTCTATAGAGTCACGCATTTCCACCAACTTTAGACTTCGTTTCCAGGGTCTGAAGCTACCTGTATTCTGCAGCGACCGCGTTAAGAGAAATTCCCGGTCTGTTTTGTCTCCAGCCTTTGGAAACTTCAGACGCACTCTCAGACTCTGATCGTGTCCTGTAATTCTCTCAACCCGTTATTTGCAGCATACGAGCAGCATTGCGAAATCTGAGCCACGCCGATAAACTCTATGAGGAGGAGGAGGCCAACAAAGCCATGAAACCGACAGAGCAGGACTTGGTTCAAAGTAAAGAATCCAGCAAACAGGGCGAGATGGGCAGAGATCGGTGGTATGATTACAAGCGACGTACGGTCGACCAGAAGGATATTAAGGTGAGCTGCCATGAGATCGCCATCAAACGCTGCCGGAAGAGGCAATGCAAACATATCTCTAGTTCGGCTGCCACCACAACCCAGATGAAGCCAGGACACAGAAAGTATTTGGTCTGGGTCTTGAACCTCCGGAGTAGGGCTCATTTGAGCTGCCCCTTCTGAATGAGGTCAGGTCCTGCGCCCGTGGTGTATTTCTTCACTCTAAGTCCTTTTCTGTGCTCCTTTCCTGCTTTTCCGTCTCTGTTCATTCTGTTCTTTCTGTTCCGTAGATATGGTGAGCCGGCTCAATCCACGGTGTTCGTCTCACTGGGTTTCCCTCTTTCTGCTTCGTCCGCACCACTCGATCATTATTTGAGTGATCACATCGAGAGGGCCACATGATTTGAAACTGATGCTAAAGGGCTCATCAACGGACCGACCGAGGGTAGACGTCCAGAATTCTGTCCAGAATTCTTCGATCCCGGGAATGATAAAGACCCGACAGATAAGATGGGACGGGTACGCGTGGCTCACACCCCGCGTCGAGAGGCTGGACCGGTCGGTAGTCGGTCACCCAGCAACCTTGACGGGGCTGAAACGCCGTCTGCCCAAGTTTCAAGGGCATTGACATGGAGAGGCCTCAACTTGGCTACAGTAGAAGAACGGACAGGAGTTAGTGAGCGTTAGTGAGCACTACCTCCTGTAGATCCTGTACGTACACAGCGGGTAGCGGTCTGGATGCCCTGGCCAGCCTTGGTAGTGGACCTGTTCCGTTCCAAATGCCTTCCAAGGTTCCATGGATCCAAGGTCTGATCTAACTAATCCCTTTTCGAGTTCTCTCCTCGACATAACCTACTACTGTACTACGGGCTCGGGAAGAGCAAGTGTCGCCCGGTTCCAGGGTGGTCAAGAATGGGTAAGAAGAAAAATCTCGATCAAAGATGCGGCACAAGGAGTCTCAAGCACGCCGTCGCAGCGGTTGAGGCGCCGGTATAAGCAACGGGTTTCTGTTCTACTGGCACGGGTAACGATTAGTCCGCTTTTTAAGACATCCGATGCATGGTCCGGGATATCCGCTGGCCAATCTTCAGCCCTGCTAAGTCAGTTTGATGGCTGCAAATCCCGGGTTTGGACAGATTGAGTTTTCTACAGGCGGGTGGGTTTGCCAGGCTTTTCGACCTCCGCTCCTCCCAAAGATTAGGACCGGAAGAACTCCGTATAGGGTAATAAGTTGGATTTTGGTGCATTACTCGGGACGATTGATTCCGGGCCTGTTGAGTCGCGGCTGAGTGGTCCACAATCATACGATGGATACGGATAACCAGTCCGCCAAGGCCATTCGGGTTCTTTTGCTCGGAAAATCCCCTAGCTGCATGAGAGCGACGGCTGGGATATAAGACACTGACCAAGTTCCCGGGCAAAGACCGAACGTGCATGTGGTTCTAGGCATTGGTGTGAGAATAACTCGCTGATCCTGCGCAGGAATCGGATTCTAGACTTGATGAAAAGTGCCTGCGCAACAACACTAGTCCGTTTTCCCGCCTGGGGGTGGGTGGCGAAGCCCAGACCCACTGTGTGCAGCCAGAGGTGACTCTAGTCGCTAGCCTGGTCGCCCTAGTGGCCGTAGCGCACACGGAGGAGTCCTAGTCGATCGCGCCCAGTCAAAGGGTCTCTTCAGGGCATGAGGGGACGGCATGGACTCCAGGGGCAGGGTCTTTGTAGAGTGTAGTTGAGGTAGACAGAAAAGCCCAAAGAGAAGGGTTGGCAAATCGTTGATGGTTGTGGTCGTTCGAAAGAAAAGTGCCCAGTCTCGTGATTACCACGTCATTTCCGGCCATTCTTACAAGAGACTGGCCGCAGTGCTGCAGCACCTCCTACAGCAGTACCCCCCGGTATTACCACCGTCACACTAAGTCCCAAACTCAAGTCACTCCTCCCTTCCCACACCCAAACTTCCCCCCCCCCCCGGTCGGCCCCATCCCTCAATCTCACCTCACCCTCCTCCATCACCCATCCCAATCTCTCCCATTCACCGCCACCACCACCTCGCTCACCATCTTCACCTATTATCGATCAGGTGAAGAGCAAGACGCCCGTCACTCGCCTTCTTTCGACCTGCCACCTATCCTCTCCGGGGAACAACCTGTGAACCTGATTGATTCGAATCAAGTGGTGGCCCGACAGGGCTGCCGTTAGCAAGGGGATATGTCTGGACACATTTCATCCGACCATTCTCGCTCGGCGTCACGGTCATCGCAGAATCCTCGCCTGTCTCAGGGGCAGGCGTTTGAGCCCATGCCTCGCCACTCTTTCGGTCGCACTTCACGCGTCTCCAATCCCAATGTCTTCTCCGACGAGTACTCATTAGAACCGATCGATGCCGACCAGATCGAACGGGCTCCCTCCCCTGCCTCAATCGCATCCTCTACCACCCTTCGCTCCTTTAATCACCCCCAAAAGCCCGCCAGCCAGACCACGACCGAGAATGAGAATCCATTTGGTGATGACGCTCGGGTCTCCGAGGAAGCTCACCGGTCCAGTCTGCCCCAAAAGGGGATGGGCGGCTTCTCCTCAAATCGTGGCTCGGTCGCCTCGGTCAACAGTCCCTTCGCCGTTCAGCGTAACCACAGCGTCTCCTCTCGTTTCTCGATACCCCGCGCCATGAGCCCCTACACCGGAGCGACCGGCCCAAGCCATCCCTACGCCATGTACCCCCAGGTTGGTGTCAGTCGCTCGGCGAGTGCAGGGAGCACCTCGACTATTCGCCAGCACGACCGCCCGCTGGGCGAATCCAACGGTCCCCAACACCCGTACGCAATGTATCCTCAGAACGTTGTGGAAGAAGGCATGGATGACGACGTGATCCCAGTTGGATTCCCTGGTCACAACCCACCTTACCAGCCGCCTCCTGGTCGGCGAGATAATGATGTGGGTGATATTATCGGAGCAGATGGGCACGCAGAGCCATTACCACCCTATTCACGTTACCCAACAGGCGTAGTCCCGAAGCCTCCGGGCGCCGAGACCTTAGCCGACCTGGATGTCCCTGCAGATACCCATCAACTCCATTCAATCTCGAGAGACCAGCCAACCCATCAACCCATTTCGGAAACTTCAACCAGGGCCCTTGTTCCTGAATCTACGGGGGGCACCACGGCCGTCGACCATGATAGCGACCGGGAGGGAAGAGCTCCTCTTACGGGCATCATGGCGTTTGAGGAGAAACTCAAGCGAAAGGGCAAAAAGACTGCATGCTGTGGTCTCCCAGTGTGGACTCTTGTTCTGATCGCTACCGTGATGCTAATTGGAGGGTCCATTGGAGGCGCGATTGGTGGTGTGATCGGCGGTAAGAGAGCAGCGGAGCATGATCGACAAGCCGCCGCTCAATCGAGTGGTCCGTACATTGTGACTGTGACTGCAACACCGCAAATGGACTACTCGACTATGACCAGCACCCCGACGAATCTCAAGTCGGTGCCAACCGGTCATTACCTGGTTCCTTCTCAATTGCAAAACTCCTCCAAGATGTGTGTTGAGGATGATCAATTCCAACGTGCTTGGGGCTGCATGGATAACCCGACCAACTTTGATGTTGTTATCGGCGGAGAGAGTGGCCACCACTCCATTGTCTTCAGTAGCGTTGGCCCCAGTTCCACTTTCACCTACGGCGCCCAGCCGCCGATTCTCCCGACCCCAACACAATCCCTAGGTCTCGCGATTGACACCAGTGATACTGATCTGGGCCCCGCTCTCTTTTTTTTTGCCAAATTCGACAAGTTGGTTATCGTTCCCGAATCGCAATTTGAAGCAAGCTCTGTTTCGGCTCGATCGTTTGTCGGAGATGAGTCGTTCCTTGCGGGACTCCATCGCATGCAAACAGCCCAGCCCGGCGACAAGCCATGGTTCTGCTACTGGAATCAGACGATGATGGAATTCTTCATTTATGTCAACCAGACGGTGTCGGATGACTCCGGTAGCACCACCGCTTCTACCGACAGCGATATGTCGGCCAGCACAGCCAGTGCTCAGTCAAATTCCAGAAAGCGCGAGGATTCAATCCTCGATTATCCACGAAAGATCAAGATTGAGGAACGGCGGGACTTTGCCGGAGCTCAGGCGCCCTACTGCCAGCAGATGCAAGTGGGTTCGGATGGCAATCTTGTTGGACCTATTCAAAATCAGGTCATCAATATCAAGGAACGGGAGCCTACCCCAACCACCACCTACATCAACACGAACAGTGGCACCCAGCAGACATACACAGCCCAGGCGCAGTATGCGACGCCGTGTTATTGTCTGTCTACCACTGATTAGCGCAACTTTTTCTCCTTGACGTTCGAGCGAATACCTTGTTCTTCTTCATCTGGTCTTTCGGTCTGGGGACCTCCGGCGTTGGCGTTGGATAGGCCTTGAAATTTACCTATCGGCATCGGCTTATGTGCCCACGATTGTCTTCCTTCTCCTTGTGTGATTCTACTCTTGTTCTTGACTCGTTCCTCAGAGCCTTTCGGCGCCAGGAATGATTTTGTGTCTCCTGATCCCGCCCCCCACGGCACCTATGCTATCTCCTTCAACTGCGTTTTCATCCTCGGAACATTCTACCGGCGACACGATACGATCCTTCCTTTTCTTGCGCAACTTCTCTTCTCTTATTGGGTTATATATGGTTTTGTTTATCTTCGTGATTGTTGAGTGACCTTGGATCCTTTTGGCGTTCATTGGATGAGATGGCGCAGTTTGGGTATCGTGACATGTGTTGTCAGACCTGCGAATGTCCTATCGTTTTTTTTTCTTTCCCCTGTGCCTCGTGGAGCGAGTGGGCCGAATATCTTTGTCCTATTCTAGCATCTCATGTGGCGGATATGCCATTAGCGTCTGTCTAGTTGTAATACAAGATACGGCAATTTTTGGGAAACTCCTCTCCTCTTTCACATAGTAGGCTGCATAATTTGCAGTTCCGATGTAGAAAAACTTGCAGTTGCGGGTTCCTTCGCCATTGTGAGTACAATGTTTATCTCGACTCATCCAGGAGACTTTTTCTTACAATTGGTAGGAAACGTGCTGGGTGGAAAATACCAAAGGTTCATATAGATACCACAACATCCTAAAATTGTCGTCATGCATCCTGCCATTCCCACGAATGTGCCGATTCTGGGTAGTAGTCGTAGTTGCTTCAACGGGACATCGGTGGCTTAGTGGTGTACAGCGGGGTGTCCTTTTGCTATTTCGATGGATTTGCTCAAAAGGTGACTTGTGATTATTGGTGGTGTGATCCCCCATCTTTTTGTAGACCGGGGTCTTAATACCAAAAGTATAAAATGTGAAATCCTGTTCAACGAGAAAGATGTTCATGATCTTATGCTGTTGTGATAGTCATCGGCACAATGATATTCTCAGACCATGTGTTCTGCTAGATTTGACCCTAATTCTTAATCCTGTCGTGTTCGTTTCCGTGATCTACTTCCACCCTATGTCACGATTTTAGCTTTGTCAACTACACTAACCAACCGTCCAGCTTCGAAGGCGAATTACCTGCAGTTGGAGGATGAAACAGGTTCGCGACGTCTGAGTCGGAAGAAGGCACCTCCCAGGGGTTCTCTCAAAAATATCGAGCTGGATGTGCTCAGTGTAAAACACGGCATGTAAAGGTGAGAATGTCTACAAGGAGAAACATCTTACTCGGACCTTCCTGCGTTTTACTTGACTCCTTAACTTTTGGTAGTCCCAGCGGGTGATATTAGTTTGATCTACTCGCTTCGTGTGGTGAGAGACATCCATTTTGCTCCAACTGTACATACCGACAAGTCCCATGCAGCTACTTAGGAATCTGCCAGGATGCAGCCTCTCCTTCTCCGTCGCATTGTCCCGCTACCCACAACTCGATTGTTTCAATGCTGTACAGTGATGAGCATGTTCATCACGCCGACGAGAAATTTGGGCGATTTAAACAGCCAAGGATGCTAAAATACAGCGTTAGGAACCTCGCGCTGATACACAAGTTTTCAACGGAGATATATAAAAGTCTAGGTATGTGGAGCGCATTCAGACATGCATGACTGGCAATCTTTAACTTTGCAACGTGCATAGGTACCTAGGTATTTCCATGAGTTCCTGCTGCATGGGATCCTTGCTCCGGCCGCCTTACATATCGCAGCTAAAAACCGACTCGGACATAGCCTTATCCTACCTGGACACTGCTCTACACTACAATAGCTTGTCCTTTGGACCCTTTCGCAAAGCACTCAAGCAGTTAGCTAGCACCGCATAATGGTGATGTAGTTTACGCGTATTCTCCCATGATCGCTATGGTTGGGATCGCGTTACCAAACCTCTATCTACGCGAAGCACAAGGGGAGCATCTTAGCATGACCGAAAACATAACTACTACCTTTGAAATGCTTCGAGGTGATATCGGTATGTGCCACGTAGCTGAGGCATGGCTACAGACGACTCAGATCTTTTCTAAGTATAACCTTGGCAGATGCAAAACCCCGAGCTAGATGCCGAAACGGCCGAAGCTATCGATCAGCCGAACATGCTAAACGCTGCCACTTTCCAATCAGACTTCGAAGACAGCAAGGCAAAAAAAGCTGCCATTGAGCTTTTGAGGTCCTATTTGACCGAGTTTGATATAGCCCTCACCCAGCAGCCATCCTGCCTAGCTACTATATGTACAAACGGGATTGTTGATCGGCAACGAACACGACAGCCGTTCCAGCCGTTCATATGCATGCATTGGGATGTCCTACTGAATGAGTTGGGAAGCCAGTTTTGGTGGGCTCAAGGGTCGGGAATGATGTTGATGGCTGAGTTGTTGGATGAACTACAATGCCGAGAGAACACAGGATGGAGGTGTGCAACGCAATGGCCGCAGCTGAAAACGTGCATATAAACACATTGCAGTCTGCATTCACGACTTGGCTGAGCACATGTATATAATCACAGTTTTCTATATAATTTTGAGCATGATATAGGCTACGTATTTCACACCTTTGGGTTTTCCGCGATGCGTGCGGATTATGTCGCTAGTAAACAAACCCAGGCAACCTTAGTCCCCCGGTAGCGACAGCCCGCCCAATGACTAAGCATGAATTACACGTGACCTATCGACTGGATGTAGAAACACGACAAATGAGCCTCTTCGAACGGGCTGTAAAGATGTCAAATCTCTCCCTGTAAAGCTCATCGAGATCTTTCACTGGTACTCATTGACGAGGTGCATCGGCTGAGGGCAACCTCACTTCCAGATCTCTCCCCACTCCTGCCCGACTGCCCGAAGCTCTTCGTCTGCGGACGCCTGAGGCACACACACTTCCGACACCTCACACCTTGCACACCATTCCTCCAACCTCTCCTCATCGCCATCCCATTCCCCTTCCACAGCCCACCCGCATCCCCGTCTTCCATTTCTCCCTTGATCTTTGGTCTCGCACGATTGCCATCACCGTTCGGTCGGCCATATCGATCCCAATCACGGCGCCCTTATTCTTAAAAATCTGTCTTTGGACCCTCCACATCAAATGATCGCGTCTCCTAGATGACCTTCCCTCCCCCTCACCCTTCCGCCCAATCGTCGATTGCTTCTGGCACCGATAAATCTTCTTCAGCCAGGACTGAGATTGGTGCCTGGGGTCGGTCCGCGTCGCAGTCCGGCATTCGTCGTGGTTTGACTCCTCTCGCGACCAACCTTTCCTCCTCGACCGCTCCCTCCGCATCTTCCCGGGGCTTGGAAGCAGGCCCTGGGGTTTCCACGCCTTCCTCGTTTTCGGCCGTTCTGAGCTCCTCCAGGGGTCTTTCCGGGGGTAGCCCCAAGCCCGCACCCTCGCCGTTCAACTCGCTGCAGTCGGCCTCGCAGCAGCTGGCGCAATCACTTTCGTCGCCGAAGTTCCGCGCACATACCCCTTCCTCAGGGTCTCATTTCGCTTCTGCAGCAGGTTCCATCACAGGTGGTGGAGGCACCGGGGGAGGTGGTGGGCCGGGATCTTCTAGAGGTGTCGCTTTTTCACCACTATCGTCCGGCACAACCGTGAATTCACCTACGGGCTTCGCTTCTGATAAGCCAGGCTCAGCAGCTGCCCACTCGAGCCAATCGTCTCTCACTAAGATTTCGATTGCGCAGGTATTCCTTCTGTTAGACTCGATCACAGAGAAGGAGGGGAAAGAAAAGTGGGAGACCAAGGCTGCTCAAATCCACAAGGTAAATCATTCTGGAGCTCTAAAACCAGTGTTCATTGGATGGAGGCTGACGAAGGTAAATGATTAGCTTGTGACGTCCAACGGAATGGAGGTCTTTTCAAAGTATTTCCGCCGCCTGCTCACAGGAAACGCCCCTCAAATCTTCCCAGGCGTGAACAAGTCTGTCGAGAATGCGGGCAACTACCCCCTTCTGGTCCAGGAAATGCAGAAAGTTGCTTCGGATATCGAACAAGCGCAGAAGATTGCAGAGACAGTAGACACGTCTGAGGGAGACATCTTCCGAGATTTCGACCTTTCCACCTTTTTGGATCACTTCCGCCTTGACCCCATTCTGAAGGTCTCTCTTGCATTGGCCTTCAAGCTGACGAACAAGTCTGACCTTCGAGCCAAGGGTGAGCTTTCTACTATGAATTTCAACCCAATCTTGGGGTTTCACTGCTAACAATATTTCCCCTCACCAGCTGATGCCATTCTTTCCAACTCTATTACCCCTTTCCTCTCTAGCCTGGCGAACCCCTCAGAAGCGACCAAAGACTTCCAAAACTCCTTTCTTGGAATGACTGTTGAACGATTTATCTTATACCCGCCACGCAATTTCACGAATGAGGTCAAAGCGAAGTTGGTCTACGCAACCAATTTACGATTCCAGAAGCTTGCCCTGGACATGCCACTTGAGGTCTCTTCGGCCCTGCAAATGTTCAACTTCGTTGACCCCGAATATACTCTCGTGCGACAGCTTCACTCCAAGGGACCTCGCGCCACGGCGAATACCGAGGCCATCACGGAGATCATCAATGCCGCTGGGCCAGATAGTTGGAACGAGGAACACCTGGCCAGTGCTATTCTCTTTATGATCTTGTCGCAGTACTGGCAGCAGTTCTCGCTTGAGACTCTTCTGAGCGCATATACCGGGAAGCAAATCAATTGGGCCCTGGTTCTCCAGAACTTTGATCGCGAAGGGCTGAGAGTGGATCCCAGGCAGTTTTCGAAGCTGTACAATCTGCTTTTCGCTATTGCTGCTAGTGACTCCTCCCTGGACCTTCAGAAGTTATGGGGCGGAGACTGGGAGCACCGTGATGCGCAGATGTCACTTTTGACGGCCTTCATTGCCTCGCGCACAGATGCATCCCTCATTCCCAACCTGCGTGCGGCGTTCCCGGCAGAATTATTCGAGGAGGGCCCAGAAATTGTCAAGCTGCAAGGTGAACGCGCGGCCAAGTCTCCTCTTCGTTCTATGGATGCGATAAAGGCAATCTTTGATGTCGCGTTGTTCTCACAGTCTTCCTGGGCTGCAAAGGAGAGCCAACTTCTGATCAAGACAGTGGTTCAGTTCGATCTTCCAGTCTTCCTCGTCTCTGCTCTCGCCATCCCACAGCCATGGACCGAGGTTCAGCAAAACTTTGTTCTTCGTACATTCATTGTGTTTATCTCGAAACAAGAAGAAGGGTACCAGCTGGCTCTCCATGGAGCTTGGCGTCAGGATCGGCAATGGGTGGCAGAGAAGCTGTTCGCTGCTTTCACTCAAGATCCTACGTCTACTGCAATGATTTATGAGCAAGCCGCCGAGAACGGGTGGCTCGACTATCTGCTCGGATTCACCAATGGCTTGGCTCTGGACCTCGCCTGCTACTCTCACCGGAAGGGCAACTTCGACCTTGAGCAGTGGGTCCGCAATGCTTCTCAGAAGGGTCACATGGATATGGGCGGTCTCTTGTCCAAATTCCTTAGAATCAAGGCGGAGGATGAGCTGCACGTACAACGGAAGGAGCAGCCTGCACCGCAAATGGTCAGCCTTGCTGTGAAAACCGTGTTCACGCTACTGTCCGTATTGGAGGAGTATGTCGGCGATCGTGAAAACCTCACTCCTGTCCAACGTATCTGCATTCAGACTTACCCTCGATTGATCAACTACGGCGAGGATCATGACGACATCATTGACGCCAATGGCGAGAATGGTAACTCTCTGCCTGAGGCAATTGATAAGCAGATGCAAGATCTGTTTGGCAAGATGTACCACGAGGAACTTTCGCTGCGGGAGATGTTGGAGCTGATGCGGCAGTACAAATCGTCCCAGGACCCTACCGAACAAGATCTGTTTGCATGCATGGTGCATGGTTTGATTGACGAGTACCACTGCTATCATGAGTACCCACTTGAGGCTCTGACCAAGACCGCAGTCATGTTCGGTGGTATCATCAATTTTAGGCTCGTGGACGGCATCACGCTCAAGGTTGGTCTTGGCATGATTCTCGAGGCTGTCAGAGAGCACGAGGTGCATGACCCCATGTACAAGTTTGGCGTGGAGGCTATCGAACAACTGATCAACCGTCTCACTGAGTGGGCGGGTTTCTGCCATCTGCTCCTCCAAATCCCGACGCTGCAAGGTACTCCGATCTTCCAAAAAGCCGAAGAGGTGCTTCGCGACCAAGGTTCCCAGCTTGGTGAGGGCGAAAGATTCGACGATTTCGGCCTTACCACCGTGCCCAATGGAAACACCGATGATGTCTCCGTTACCGATGGTACCTCCCGAAAGTTCCGCTCTGTTCAAGTGGATCCGCCACTCCGCTCGGATATCTATCAAGACCCCGATGAGGACATCCAAGACAAGATTCTGTTCGTTCTGAACAACGTCTCAGAGCAGAACATTGACGAGAAGCTTCGGGATCTGCGTGAAGTCCTGCGTGACCAACATCACCAATGGTTCGCTGCGTACTTGGTGGAAGAGCGTGCGAAGCTGCAACCCAACTTCCAGCAGCTCTATCTCGACCTTCTAGACCGGATTGGCAACAAGATTCTGTGGGCTGAGGTCCTCAGAGAGACATATGTCAGTCTTGCGAAGCTTCTCAACTCTGAGACTACCCTCAACTCCTCCACAGATCGAGGCCATCTGAAGAACCTCGGCGCCTGGCTTGGCTCATTGACAATCGCGAAGGACAAGCCCATCAAGCACAAGAATGTCTATTTCAAGGGCCTGCTCTTGGAAGGCTATGATACTCAACGCCTGATGGTCACCATCCCCTTTACCTGCAAGGTGCTTGTTCAAGCCACCAAGTCCACGGTGTTCAGACCCCCGAACCCGTGGCTGATGGATATCCTGGGTCTCTTGCTAGAATTGTACCATTACGCTGAGCTCAAGCTCAACCTCAAGTTCGAGATTGAGGTGCTGTGCAAGGATCTTGACCTTGATCACAAAACTATCGCACCGGCCATCATCATCCGTGACCGTACCGCCCAAGGTGCCGAAGAAGTCCTGCCGCCGGCTACCAACATTCCAGAAGGCCTGGAGCCTTTCAACGATCTGGCTATTGGTCCTCTAAACCAAGCAATTCAGAATGAGCGGCTGTCACCAGCGGCGATCATGTCAACACTGCCTAGCCTTGACAAGATCCTGGTTCTGCCTCCTTCCGCGAGCAGTATGGTGGATCCCAGCGTTCTCCGGCAGATTGTTCACACCGCAGTCGAGCGTGCCATCGCCGAGATCATTACTCCCGTTGTCGAACGATCTGTCACCATTGCCTCCATCTCCACCGTACAGCTTGTGTCAAAGGACTTTGCTACCGAGCCCGATGAGGAGAAAGTGCGACACTCTGCCGGTGTCATGGTCAGACAGCTGGCGGGCAGCCTTGCCCTGGTTACTTGCAAGGAGCCGCTCAAGGTTAGCATGACCAATTACATCCGGATGATCCAGCAAGACTACTCAGATCAGCCCATGCCCGAGGGTTTGATTCTTATGTGTGTGAACGACAACCTGGATGCTGCCTGCGGTATCGTTGAGAAGGCTGCGGAAGAGAAGTCTCTGCCTGAGATCGAGAAGGTCATTGAGCCCCAGCTCGAGGCACGCCGGCGCCACCTGGCTACTAGACCCAATGAACCATTTGTTGATCCTTCAATGAACCGCTGGGGTCTCTTTATACCTGAGCCTTATCGCCAAATGCCTGGAGGCTTGAACAAAGAACAGTTGGCTATCTATGAGGAGTTCGCACGCCAATCCCGCGGCCCTGCGACTGCTCATCCTCAAAACGTCTCAACGGACTCTGGTCGTCAGATCCCTGACGTGCTCCAAGAGGCGTTCCCTCCTCCAATCCCCAACCTTTCAACCCCTGCTGAACAGCCGGCTGTTCCTCACCGAACTCCCCAGCCTCAGAACGCAGGCTCACAGATGAGTGTTCCCACCAATGGGTTCCTCGAGGCTCAAAGCCCACGGGAGCGAGTGGAGTCCCTGATCTCTGAGCTCCAGTTGTCTGCTCGCAATGTGCCCGAGGAGCACGTGAAGGACCTTGGGCGGGAGAGTGCTGTTCTCCAGGAATACAACCAGGCCTTGCGCGCCATTTTAGCTTCGCCAAATGGGGAGGAGTTAGCACGCCTGACCTCGTTGAAAGTTTGCAGTACCCTCTACTCCCAGTCATCCGGATCTCTGGAGATTGAGGTTCTTGTCCACCTTCTCGCCAAGCTCTGCGACATGTCCTCCCTCATCGCACGGTACACTTGGGCGCTCCTATCAGAGGTGGATGATGAGCACATGTTCAACGTGCCCGTCACCGTTGCCCTCATCGATGCCGGCCTGCTGGACATTCGCCGGGTTGATATGGTCTTGACCCGCCTCATTTTGCAAAGGAATGTCAGTGCCTTGGAACTTCTCGAGGACCTGATGAACCGTGTGCTCTTCAATGACGAGCCTTCAGCTCTCCGATCCGACTTCTCTGGAAGTCTTGAGGCCATGAGTCAGTGGCTGTCAGAGGATGGAAATGTTGTTCCGGCCTTGGAGATCGTTCGCAAGCTGCGTGATGTTGGCATCCCTGAAGTTGTTAACCCGCTCCTCACCGACCAGGCCCGGTCCAAGCGCGACCAGATGGAGTACATCTTCAGTGAATGGATTGGCGTCTACAAGGCTTCCGGCGCTAGTGAGCGCACTTACCTGTCCTTCCTGCAGGACATGCACAACCGCCAGGTCATGAATTCTCAAGAAGATTCCGCCCTATTCTTCCGTCTCAGCATTGACATCTCGGTGGCCATGTTCGAGCACGAGTCTCAGAACCCGAACGGCAGCCTTGATGAAGCATTCCTGTACATTGACGCTCTTGCGAAGCTCGTTGTTCTTCTGGTTAAGTTCCAGGGCGAGAGCACTGGCGCTGTCAAGGCCGACAAACCTTCTTACTTCCACTCTATCTTGTCTGCTTTGGTGTTAGTTCTCAATAACCACCAGGTCATGCGGGGCGAGGCTTTCAACCAGCGTGTCTTCTTCCGCCTGTTCTCCAGCATTTTGTGCGAGTACTCGGTTGCCGGTCTTCAGCACCATGAGCAGCACCAGGGCATGATCTTTGCCTTGGCCAATAAGTTCTTGTCGCTCCAACCACGCTACGTGCCCGGCTTTGTGTACGGATGGCTGTCCCTCATTTCGCACCGCGTCTTCATGTCCGACATGCTCAACATGCCCGAGCGTACAGGTTGGGCTCCCTACTGCGAGATCATGCAAGCGCTGCTCTCCTACATTGGCGAACAGCTCAAGGCAGCCGAAATTCACTATGTCGCTAAGGATTTGTACAAGGGTGTGCTTCGCATTTTGCTGATCCTCCACCACGATTTCCCTGAATTCGTTGCCGAGAACCACTTCCAGTTCTGCAATGTGATCCCTGCTCATTGCGCTCAGCTTCGCAACTTGGTTCTCAGTGCCTACCCTTCATCCTTCCACAAGCTCCCGGATCCTTTTCGTGAGGGACTCAAGGTTGAGCGCATCGAGGAGATGCGAGAAATCCCCAAGATTGCCGGCGACATTGCTGCCCCTTTGCAGCAGGCAAACATCAAGGATGTCATTGATAATGCCCTGCAAAACGACATCGCTTCCGAGGCCGTGGTACAGCACATTTCCGATGCCGTCGTCACTTCTGAACCCAGGGACACTGCTCTTTTCTATGTGCCGATCAATGTGGATGTCGTGCTCGTGAATGCCCTTGTCCTGTACATCGGCCAGCAAGCCGCTGAAGAACATGCCTCCAAAACCAACACTCGCAGTGCTTTCGAGACGTCAGCCCACGCTGCCCTGTTGGAGAAACTCGCCCAGATCATGCAGCCTGAAGCCCGTTACTACCTGCTAAGCGCAATGGCTAACCAGCTGCGCTACCCCAACAGCCACACCTACTTCTTCAGCTTCACAATCCTGCGCTTGTTTGGTATCGACTACTCCGAGTCTGATGACTCTGACATCCGCCAGCAGATTATCCGGGTGCTACTGGAGCGGCTGATTGTTCACCGTCCGCACCCATGGGGCCTTATTATTACTCTGCAGGAGCTCCTCCAGAACCGGAGCTACTCTTTCTTCCGCCTTCCTTTCATCCAGGCGGCTCCTGAGGTATGCTTTGATTCTCTGCTATGACTCTCCAACACAAGCTAATTCCTTTCCACACAGATCGGTCGACTTTTCGATGCTCTCCTCCAACACATCCAACAGCAAAGCCCCCGCCCCATCGCATGAGCTTTGCACTCTCCCTCTCCTCCTCTCCTCCCACCTTTTCTAGTCGGCAATCCTACCTGCCGCGGTGCACTTCCCTTCTCATTGTATTCTTCAAAGGGTTGATTGCTTTCACGTTTTATTTTTATGTCTCATGTTACGGCCGGGTTATGCCGTGGGGGTGGCATGCATCTTTTCCTATTCGTCTCACGATTTCCGCATGACCTGAGATACTATGATATTTTTCGCTCTGAAGACGCGACCTGTAATGATAAGATTGTAAAAGCTGGAGTTGATGGTTTCTTTCCCTTCTATTTTCTGCATTGACGGTGGGGAATTCTTAATGCAATCTATCACTTGTGTTCGTGTCTTGGAGGCGAAAAACTTGCTGTTATATTGTTATTAGAACACAAATATACCTTATCAAAATATTTGTGCAAAATATCTTTGATCCAAGTATGAATAAACTTGATCGCCGTTGAACTGTGGAGAGCTAAGCTGGTGTTGAGGGAGCTCCGATAAGGAAAGTAGAGGGGCGCGTCACTACCTGCCGAGGAACTTGTTTTCGACAACGCCCCTTCACCACACCTCTCAACATGGCCGATTCAGAATACACAGATGACGAGACAGGATATGACAGCCCGTCGTACTCACAGGCGGTCGTCATGGTCGGTTTATCCCTTTTACCGTCGTTCCATCGTCTGACCTGTCATAGGACGCGCTCCTGACGCCATTCCGCGCGCTTGTATCCAAGACCGCCCTCCGCATATACCTGAACATAGTCCTGTTCTCTGGTGCTACACTCCTGCTGCTGGGAATTTCTGGCATTGCATATGCAATCTTCTACTTCAGATTCATTCCCACGGTCGGTGTTGACCGCGAAATTCATCTGCAGTTTGGGTAAGGACGCTAGCTTCTCCCGGCCCAACGGCATACTGATCCCTGGTCTATACAGCGATATTAACCCCTGGGGAACTGCCTCCTTTGAGTCCGAGTTCGTCTCTTCCCAGCCCTACGATGTCGCCGTGGCGCTCGACCTGCCCCGCACGCCTTCGAATCTCAACGTGGGCAACTTCATGATCGACCTCACCCTCTACTCCCCTGAGACCGGATCCGTGCTTCCAACATCGGCCAACTCGCAGAACAAGATCTCACAGTCTCGCCGACCAGCGATTCTGACATATACGTCGCCCCTTGTGGATGTTGCGCGGAGGCTGGCTCGCCTGCCGTTATACGTGGTGGGCTTGCGCCGTGAAGCTGAGACTCTGGAGGTTTCGATGATGGAAAAAGTAGAGTTTGCGCGAGGCACGCGCAACTTGCCACATAGTCTGAGGCTTGAAATTCAGAGCGATGGAAAGATGCAGATTTACAGGGCGCGTGTCGAATTCCGCGCCAGGTTTACGGGGCTCCGGTAGGACTTCCAGGATCGACCGGTCATTGTTGAGGCATTCGCTGATCTAGGCATAGATGGTTTATGTATCGCTGGAAGCTTACTTCCTTTGTGGTCTTCAGTTCTTTATTCTGGACTGTCTCGATGGCCTCTGCAAGCCTGACATGGCTTCTTTTGAGCTTGATCTTGCAACCCGGGACGCTAAAGGAGGAGATCAAGGAGGAAGAGGAGACACCCGAAGCAATCAAAGACGATCCCGAAGACAGCAGCTCGTCGAGTGAGCCTGTTAAGATCAAGAAGGAGGGAGTCGAGACTAGCTTGCTCCAGAGCTATCCCCCCGAAGGCGATAATGCGGGTATTGGCTCAGGACTGGAAAGCGCAGAAGCGCGAGGAATGCAGAAACGACGGAGCCATTCAACAGAGGATGACCACTGAAAGCGATTGACATAATAATTACTGCACGCAGCTTGATATACCCATAGTAATGTAAATGCCAAGATGTGGTAATGTGATGTGATTTGAACGCCCAGTTCCGATACCAAGCGACCTGCGGGGCAATTCTCCGATTCCTCCTCTTCCCCTCTAATTCCCCCCAAGTTGCCCACCTCGCCATGCACATCCTGGTCAGTACAGCTCTCTGGCCCGCGTAAACCCTCCTTGCCTCTGACAGTTCTCTACTCAGGTCACCAACGACGACGGCCCGCCGTCCAACCAGTCGTCGCCGTACGTCCATTCTCTCGTGCACTCTCTCCAAGCTGCAGGCCACACGGTTTCCGTTGTCCTTCCACACCAGCAGCGCTCATGGATCGGTAAGGCGCACATTGTCGGCGCGTCCGTGAAACCTACATATTTCCGCCCCGGCACCCTGCACCAGGAGGACGGAACAGTACACCACTTGCCGCGGGGAAGCAATGGCGAGCCCGATGACGGCGGTGATGAATGGATCCTAATCGACTCGACCCCGGCAAGCTGTGTGCAGATCGGTCTCTATCACTACTTCGAGGAAAAGGGTCCGATTGATGTTGTGGTTTCAGGCCCGAACTATGGTCGCAACACCACGGCGCTGTTCGCCTTGTCGAGTGGAACCATTGGTGCCGCGATGGAGGGCGCTGTGTGCGGGAAGCGCTCGATCGCGCTGTCGTATGCCTTTAGCTCCCGAAACCATGACCCAGTCATCATCGCAGAAGCGTCAGAACACTCTGTCAAGCTAATCGAATACCTTTGTGCCAACTGGGTGGACGGCGTCGACCTCTACAGCGTGAATGTTCCCTTGGAACCTGGCGTAAGCCAGAACAAGGTTCTTTACACTGCTATGCTAGAGAACAGGTGGACGTCTGGCAGCTGCTTTGAGCCTACTGACCCCACCACCGCCGATGATCCCGAGCTTCAAGAGCAGCGGCTCCGTGAGGGCGAAGTCGCCGGAGAACGGCCCGATCCGAATGGCAACACCACTGATAAGCCTGTTGGGCAACCTAGAATCAAGCATAAGCACTTTAAATGGGCACCTAACTTCCAGGATGTGTATCGGAGTGTGGAAGAGGGCCCAGCGGGCAATGATGGCTGGGTCGTTAAGGAGCAGATGACTAGGTTTGTTTTCTCCGGCTCCACCAGAAATTTCTTTGCTAATGTCAATTTCTTTTACAGTGTCACGCCTCTGAAAGCGAACTTTATGCATACACCCGATATCACGGGGGAGATCAAGCTGTGAGTGGATTTATAGGCACGAAGGGATTTAACGGTCTTGTTTCAGATATACATACTACATGCACCTTAGATATCTGGCCTAGCTGATAGACCTCATGCCCCCTATTCCCATTTGATTCTTTTTGATTTGTATTGTCTGTCTTCACGTTTGCACTTTTCTCGAGATACATGGGTCGATTCTGATAGAGGTGGTCTATGTAGATCGGAGAACCAGCCGACGGTATACTCCATTGTTGACTGTGACGATCCCTATGTGCAAGCCCTTGTCGATCAAGCATTAACCCGCCGTCTCGGGGATGCTGCCCGCATCCAGCGCATATCGAGTCTCTCCGAACTGCCCGATTCCTCGGCGCCGGTATTCCAGTATCGCGAATACGAGCGTCTGGACTTCGAGCATACAATGTCGCGGCCATCGAGTTCACTTGCTAATGCCTATATCATCCGCAAAGCCTTGATCCGCAAGCACTACCTATCCAATACTGTGGCCAATTGGATCTCCAAACACCCGGACAGTATTCTACAACATCATTTCAAGCCCGCGTTCGACTTTGAGCTTGACTACGCCGAGTTCCTCGACGAAGCTCTGCTGGAGGCATATGAGTTGCGCGAGAGTCTGGAGAAGAACGAAGAGCGGCCGGAATCTGAAAAGGAATGGTGGATCCTGAAGCCCGGTATGAGTGACCGCGGCCAAGGCATACGGCTCTTCAACAGCGAAGACCAACTGCGCGAGATTTTCGAAGGTTGGGAGGAAGACTCTGACGAGGAAGACGAGAGCGGCTCTGAGACGAACGTGGACAACGACAGCACTCCTGCCGCACACGACGAAGGCGTTGTCACCTCCCAACTCCGCCACTTCATGACCCAGCCTTACATTGACCCCCCACTCCTCCTGCCCTCTTCCTCGCACCGCAAATTCCACATCCGCACCTACGTCCTCGCAACAGGCGCCCTGAAGGTCTACGTCTTCAGGGAGATGCTCGCCCTCTTCGCCGCAAAGTCCTACTGCGCCCCCCACGAGGAGGAAGACGAAATCAAAGACTTGGCTCGCCACTTGACCAACACATGCTTCCAGGAAGGCGGCAGCTCTAACGAGGGCAGTGTGCGCCGCTTCTGGCAGCTTGACCACCACGTCCCCGGCCTCTCTGCAGACTGGAAGGAGAAGATCTTCGAGCAGATCTGCGCGGTGACGGGCGAGGTGTTCGAGGCCGCGGCACGGGGAATGATGGTGCATTTCCAGACGCTGCCGAATGCGTTTGAGCTGTTTGGTGTCGATTTCTTGGTTGACAGTGAGGGGAATGCGTGGTTGTTGGAGTTGAATGCGTTCCCGGATTTCGCACAGACAGGCGAGGATCTTAAGGAGGTGGTTGTTGGGCGATTGTTTGAGGAGACGATTGACGTTGCTGTCAAGCCGTTCTTTGGGCTGGGTGAGGATTCTGGGAAAGGTGATATGAAGTTGGTTGCGGATTTGGACCTGGGAAGGCATGCATAGAGAGTGGTTATAGAAGGGCGGTGGTGTGTATGATTCACTGTTTGAAAACAAAATAAATGCAGTCAAGCGTGGTTGGATATGGAAAAGGCGTTGGTGATCGAGATGGCATGCCCTTTACAGACGGGGGCTTATATTACATATTTTACTCTATCTTACAACTCCTACGTACATTTTTGAGGGCATATCACAGATCAAGGGCACAGGGGACGCTTCCTAGTTTGTTGAACAAACCTGGTCGTTCTTCCAGAAAATTCGTCCCTCGAATAACCGCCGTGCGGTCCGGAAGACGGTAGCGGAGGCCAACGCTCCATCTGCGTCGAAGCTAGCGCCAACCAACAAGTTTCCACTAGCATGCCCAATTGTGATGCCTGCATCGTCAATTGGGTTCTTTCCAGAAACAAGATCTGCCACTGTGCTCCCGGGCACTCGCGCAGCTGCCGCAAGGGCCAGCGCGACTGTAATGGGGACTGCCTTGTGCGGCTGTCCCACAGAGAGAGCACGAGCGAGCAGGTCAATCTCAGTGGAGGTCTGCTTGTGTTCCATGTCTCGCGAATCGGACGCAACAGGCGCTGCTACGAGACATATCTTGGGCACACTGCCCGGTATAGCGTCAGGCGTGGACGCGAGACCCATCTTGACACCAGCTTGGCGGCGGATGGAATCTAAACGAAGAAGAAGATCAGGATGCGCAGCAATTTCATCCGGCGTCAAGTTGCCGTCTACACCGAGATCTCCAGCTCGGACGAACACGCACGGGTTCGCCGCATCGATGCACGTAGCTGGGATCCCGTCAATGGTATCCGTCGCATTCCCTGTTGGCAACAACTTCCCTGTCGCCGAGCCAGCAGGGTTGATGAAGTCCAGTTGAACTCGCGCCGCTGTACCGGCAACCCCATCGATCGCAAAGTCTCCGCTAGCCGCAGCTTCCCCGTCAATGACTGGGAACGAGGCGTGGATAATCTTGCCAGTATTGGTGTTGTGGATGCGCACCGAGGCGGAGTGGGCATTCCGCTGCGCCAAAGGGAACAACTGCGAATCCACTGCGAACGGTCCAACCGCGCTGATCATATTCCCGCAGTTACTGGAATAGTCAACGTCGGTATTTTTGATCCCCAACGACACAAAGGTGTAGTCAACGTCTGCGTCGCGGTGCGTCGACGGGCCTACCACGCACACCTTAGAGAGGCTAGAGATGCCACCCCCTAGCCCATCGAGTTGTCGGCCATAAGGGTCCGGGCTGCCGATAACGCCTCGGAAGATCGGGGCCCAGTCTTCGCGGTCGCGTGGGAGGTCCTCGTCTTTGAAGAAGACGGCTCGTGACGTGCCGCCACGATAGTAGGCGGCTGGTAGGGCGCGTTGCTTGGTCTGCAGAGAGCGTCGGCCCGTGGCCGCAAATGATGTCCGCGCTGGTAGACGCACGAGACTGGGTCGGGACATTTCAAATCTGTGGTGAGATGGACAGGAAAAAGGATGCGAGTTGCGGGTGGTCGCATTGATGTGCATGCTTGCTATGATCGGCGATCCCCCGAGGGCCGAGAATCGGAGAAATGGGCGCGGGCCTGCGCCGCGAATCCGGGGAGCCGCGTTTCGCTGCATTCTTTTGGTAACAATATAGGGAGCCTATCTATCTACCCGGTTCTAGCCTCTCAATTGACGCCCTTACTTACGCAGGCGCTTGATAGTCGGGCCCATGGGTTCACCAGCCCGCAGGGCCTCCATTATCTTCTCATCAATCTCCAAACGCTCCTTGCACAGCTCCACAACCTGCTCGAGCAGGGACGGCGGGACAACCACCACCCCGTTCTCATCGCCGACCAGGATATCATTCGGATAGACCCAGAGATCCCCTTTGAACTGCACTGGCACATTGATCTCCGATGCGCGAGTGAAGGTGTTCGATCCAAGAACCGAGGTATCTCGTGCAAAGACCTATTCTGGTTTTAGAATCTACTGTAGCATGCAGTCCGGTCCCTTATCCTCGCGAAGGGCTCGATGTCGACGTAGACTCACCGGGTATCCCATATCAATATGCTCCTGCGTGTCTCGCATGCGCCCATCAACCATCGTCCCCAGACTCCCCAGCTTCTGCGCGCGAGTTGACATGAGACCACCCCAGCATGCCGAGTACATCCCCTTCGGCTGCTGGATGTACATAATATGGCCCTCTTTGTTCGCGTCGGCGAAATGGACCGGGGGCGTTGGGCCGGGGCTCTTCGTCTCAACCATCTTCACGGTGATGGCCGGGCCAGCGATGCTCCCGCCGCCGGGGGAGTACATCTTCAGGCCATCCAGGAAGCCGCCGTACGGCTGCTTGAGGTTGACCAGCGCGTCGCCAATCTAAACGGTGAGTGGGTTAAGGCGGGATAGGATGTGTCTGTTGGAAGGATTGCGTACGTCGCAGGTGGTGAATCGCTTTAGGCCCTGCAGGGCTTTGGAGAGGTTCGTCATGGTTGGGATGGGTGCAACACTGAAGGTGCTGGGGTTGGTGTTGTGGTTGGTGCTGAGGTTCGTGCTGGTCGGGCTGCAGGTCGGCCGTCTCCGATCTGCCGTCTGCCAATCTGCCGTCCGATCAGCGCCCCGCGCCCGCCGAGTCGATCGCGCCTTTGGCTAGCGTGAGTCACGGAGTGTCACCTCCAATCCAATGACTGTTCTTTCGATACTTAAGTCTCGTCAAGTCCACCCCGTTAGTCACGAGCATTCCCCTGCGATCTACCTCTTTTCTTCCTGGACCACGCAATAACCCCGATCATCGATCTATACATTGTTGCGGGGCAATCCTCTGTAACCGTCAAATCTCCCCTAGCACGCCGACAAGCTTTACTTCACCCCAAAAATGGATCGCCCAGTCGGACCTCCCGTCGAGGTCAAACAGGCCCTCCCACCGCCTCGCACCACATTCACAGGTCACTCCGTCCAGCTGGAGCCATTGCGATCCAGCCACATCGACGACCTATACCCGATCATTGGACAACCCGAGCAAGCAGCCCTATGGACGTACATCAACCAGGGTCCCTTCTCAGACAAGGCTTCTTTCACGGAGGTAATCACCTTTTTCGCGGAGTCCAATGATCCCGTCTTCTACGCCCTCATCGACCCAACTACAAACAAAGCCATCGGCTTCTTCAGCCTGCTGCGCATCGATCTCACCAACCGCGTCGTCGAGCTTGGCTATATCGTCTTCTCCTCGCTCTTGCAGCGCACGACGGCGGCGACGGAGGCCGTTTATCTGGTCGCCCGGGCCGTGTTCGAGGACCTGGGCTATCGGCGTTTTGAGTGGAAGTGCGATAATATGAATGCGCCGTCCAAGAAAGCCGCGGCGCGGTTCGGATTTATGGCGGAGGGGGTCTTCCGCCAGCATTTGATTGTGAAGGGGAGGAATCGCGATACGGCTTGGTTCTCGATCTTGGACTCGGAGTGGCCGGTGTTGAAAACGGCTTTTGAGAAGTGGTTGGACCCGGCTAATTTTGATGCGCAAGGGAAGCAGCTTCGCTCGTTGATTGATATTCGTGGGGAAGAGCAGAGCACAAGAGGCTAGACGGCGCATGCGACATTTAGCATTCCGGCATATAGACAGTGCTTTTTACGTTGACCCAGTCATGGAACAGTTAGACAAATGCAAATGCGAAATCGGTTGATGAAGAATGCTCGTAGGTTGTGAATTTCCATGTTGGACGGGTATATAGAAGAACAGACTCCGAGGCTGATCCCCAACATTTCAGCCAAACCGCTGCTTCGCCAGAGTCTGCAACCAGCCAATAGTTTCTTCCTCCTTTTCACGGAACTTCTGAACTCGCTCCTCTCGCTCCGCAGCACGAGCCCGAAGAATCTCCTCTCGTCGGATCTCCCGCTCATTCTTCTTACGCTGCTCTTTTTCCTTCTCCTTCTTGAGAGACGCGAAATCATTATCTCCCATCAGCTCCGCGTCGGGGGCAGCTTCGGGTGAAGCCCCGCGAGCGTTTGCAAATGCGCGGTTTGCGGCAGCGGCTTCTCGGCGCTTTTCGAGCTGGCGCTCCCGGGTTCCAGGCTCTGCACGCGGCGTGATCTCGTCTTCTAGATGGCGCAACTCGGTCTTGTGAGAGCGCAATTCAGAGCGATACTGTTGTCGCGAGTCTTCGCGGGCGGCGACGAGGTCCTCAATCGCGGATTCTGCTGGGATATTAGCAAGGAGTTAGCTCGCAACTGTCTGAAAGAAGCTCACCTCGCTTGAGCTCGAGGTCCTGCATGTTCGGTATAGTCGGCCCAGAATGGGTTACATCTCTCGAAAACCCTGGAACGGGAAGTGTCGGTCCATATTCCTCCTCATCGTCTTCTTGTGCTTCCTCTCCATCCTCATCCTCCCTCGCGGGTAGAGACTCCGCTCTCACATCCTGTGACAATCCACCTCGTCCATGATGCGGCGATGCTCTTTCCGCCGGAATCGACCGGTATTCTTCTGCACTCTTACGCGCTTTGTCGAGTGTAGCTGGATCATACCAACCCTCGGCGAGTTCGCCACGATTCCTGCACAATCAGCAAGGCCCATCGACTCCGGAAACCCTCATATACATACCACTTCCGAATGAAACTCTTCCACCGCCCCTTCACCTCCTCATCTTTCAGTTCCTCAATGATCAACCCCTTCTGGATATCCAAGTACATTGCAAACATAGGCTCGAAGGCCTCCAGATCGCGCCTCGAGAGTTCTCGCGCCTGGTACGGGAGAATCACAGGCTGCGCCGGAGGCTCCCTGCTTCGCCGCTCATGACGATGGTCCCGCTCTCCTCGATCTCGGTCATGTCGACGAAGACGGTCTGATTTGCGCCGGTCAGATCGGTGGGGAGAGCGCGAGCGTGAGTGGTCCCGGTGCCGGTGGCCGTGCGAATGGGAATTAGAATGGCTGTGGCCATGCCGACTTCGGTGATGCCGGCGATCAGACTCGTGTTGTGCTGGAGACTGCGGTCGGTGTGAGGATCTCTCGGGGGATGGCATTATTGCTGTCCTCGATTCGTGGGGGTTGGTTGATTGATTGATTGAAAGCAGGCTCAAGTTTGTGAGGGTCCGAGGTAACTGAAGCTTGCGCCCCTTATCTCTTATCGGCGAACGCTCGACTAAGCATTTACTGCGACAATGACTGGATTAATGTCTCTTCACTCCCCTACAGTTTATAGATGAACTCTCTAAAAGCCATATGCAATCATAATATGAGTCGGAAGGAGTTTCCTTGTGGTAAATACATTTAAGCGAAGAGGTATACAATATTCAGTGTAGGCTGCAATCTGGATTTAGCTGGGTGGAGCACTCTGCTCAGTGCTCGAACCAGCTGGTTTATCACCAGTCGGGGCGGGGCTTGACTGGGAAGAGCTCTTAGATCGGTTGGAAGCAGCCATCTGCCAGGCCGGGATGGAGGCAGAGCGGCCGAGTTTGGCGAGAGGGCTCTCGGCGACTGGCGCCGGCGCAGCAGCCGGCTGGGGCTCCTGCTCGGCCGGGGTCACGGTGGCGTGCAGACCGTTGGTTGCGGGAGCAGTTGCAGGGGTGGGTTCAGGCGCCGGCTGAGGAGTAGTACTAGGGGTGGGAGTAGAGCTGCCGACAGTACGACCAACAGGGGGGCCAGCGGTGCTGCCGCCCAGACGGTTGCCCAGCAGGACCTTCAGGCTCTTCAGCTCAGAACCGAGCTCCTTCAGTCGGTTCTCATTACCATCCCGAGCACCCTCAAGGGCCTTGGGGATCGCCTCCTTCAATGACTTGACTTCGTCGCTAATCCGACGGGTCTCATCATCCCTTCGTCGTGATGCATGCTTCAGATCTGAAACGAGGTTCTCAACATCCTTGAGAGCCGAATCCAGGCGCTCGGTGCGAGCATCCTCGGCAGCCTTCAAGGCAGCGGTATCGGTAGAAAGCTGATCAATCAAATCAAACGCTCGCGAAAATTGCGCGTCGATGTTCTCTTTATCTTGCTCCAGCTGAGGAGGAGTTGGCGGGGCAATCAATGGAGCAATATACCGCTGGACCGACAGTCTTAGCAGGGAAAGACATGGGACGATATCACCGATTTTAGTAAACCATACCTTGCCAACAAAATACAGTCCGTATCCCACTCCACCCATCACGGTTGCCATGATGAACCAGTCCCGCCAGTCGCGCTTAGGCGGCCTGTCGTGCGATCAGTCTCCGATTCGGAAGAGCGCGGAGCGGAGTTTGTACATACTCGGGGGAAGGCTGCCATTGATTGTATGGGGGATAGCCATATCCCTGGGCCGCTTGTGGAGATGGCCGGTAAGCAACCTGTTGTGAGGAGTATCCTTGCGACGATGAGGACGCAGTGCCAGAAGCTGCGGCTGCGGCGGCTGGATCCTCACCGACCCGCGATAATGCGAGGTCGACTTCCTCTTGTGTCAAGTTCTTAGACTGAAGGAATGCAACTCGTTTCTCGATAGGCGACGAAGCCACTGAGGGGTCCTGTAGGACTGCGTGACGGTTAGCGCGCAACTTCTCCAACACGCGATGCCGTGCGGAACGGGACTATCATACAGGTCACCTGGAGAACATGAGTTAGCGACCGAATGCGGGATGGAAGAACAGCTGATTACCTACAGCAGATGCGATCAGCTCCTCACGAGGAGCCATATTGAAAGTGTACTGTCAGCCAGCAGCAAAGAGGGACGATGCGGGAGGGAAAATCAAGAGGCAGGGAGGGCGACCTTCATCGGCACCGGCCGTGGACCTCGGAACTTAGGTCCGCCAAGCCTCACTTCCCCAGACCGGAGGTCTCGTGATTATTTCCGGCGCGGCTGGTTTTCTATGTTACCCCACCGCTTTCCGCTTCGGGATGCGGCACGCTCTTGTTTACATCTCCCGACAAAGCTTACCTTCCCAGCACAAGAAACCAAGATTCTCTCCTCCAGGAACTTGCGCCGCACGTCGGACTTGGACTGACTAATTTTGGTGGACTAGCATTTTTTTGTCATAATTTGCACGATATAGGCCCTAGTTTCGCCGCAGTCGCGGCCCTGTCATCACCATGTCGCAAGATACTGGTTTGTTCAGTATCAGGCGCCCGCGAGAGGTATGGATAAAAACCTTACTAGCTGTCGCAAAGAGAACCGATAACTGACAATGGGATCAAGACTCTTGGGAGTGTCCAGAACTATTCTTCAATTCCCCAGCCGGCCTCGGCCATGAAGCGCACGAGCTCCATTGGCTTCAATAACCCCCCGTTCACCTCGCAACACGCCCGACCGAACTCCCTGCTCAACTCAGCGAGCCGCCCTCAGCAACCAAACTTTGCGCGTTTGTCGATGGCTGGCCCCGAGGCTGGACTTTCGTCTGTACGCCGATCTGTGTCGAGTAACATGTTCCACGGTGCCAGCGCTGGCAGGCAAAGCTTTGCGCCCGGTTCCCTTTCGTCCAATTCTGCATCGCAGCAGAACCTGCAACGCCGCAGCAGTGTCTTTTCGCGACCGTCCGTGGGTGGACCTATGGGCCACCAGTCATTCTTCAATTCGGTCCCTGCTGTTGCTGGTGTTCCCAGGGACCCCCGACCACTTCGCGACCGATCTTTCCAAGCGCGTATCGGACAGGAGCTATTGGAATACCTGACTCACAACAATTTCGAATTGGAGATGAAGCATTCCTTGGGACAGAACACTCTCCGCTCGCCAACCCAGAAGGATTTCAACTATATCTTCCAGTTTCTCTACCATCGCATTGATCCGGGCTACAAATTTCAGAAAGCGATGGACGCTGAAGTACCACCCATTCTGAAGCAGCTGCGATATCCGTTTGAGAAGGGCATTACCAAGTCTCAAATTTCGGCCGTTGGTGGTCAGAACTGGTCCACATTCCTAGGCATGCTACACTGGCTGATGCAACTGGCGCAATTGATGCAACGATTTGATAGCGGAGAGTATGATGAGGCGTGTGCTGAGGCTGGGGTTGATGTTACCGGTGATCGAATTATCTTCCGCTTCCTTACTGGAGCGTATCACGACTGGCTTCAAGGTGGTGAAGAAGAGGATGACGAGACGGCAGAGCAAAGATTGGTACCCCACATTGAGGCCATGTCTCAAGAGTTTGCCCGCGGTAATGAGCGATATGTACAGCAAATGGAAGCGTTGGAGGCAGAAAATCAGACGCTCCGTGAGCAGATGGAGGAAATGGAGAAGAATGCGCCGGACATGGCCAAACTGGACAAGCATTTCCGCATCTTGGAGGACGACAAGAGGAAGTTCGAAGACTACAACCAGAACGTCAAAGGGAAAATCGAGAAATACGAGACTCGAATCAAATTCCTTGACGCAGAAATCCAGAAGATCGATGCCGAGCTTCAAACAACGGAAAGTGAGCGTACCGAGCTCCAGGCCAGCGTCGACCGGCAAGGCATCACTATTCAAGATATTGATCGCATGAACACGGAACGAGAGCGGCTGCAGAAGAACCTTGACGATACCGTGATTCGTGTGGAGGAGACGCACGCCCGCATCATGGACAAGGCGGCCGAGGCGAGCCATAAATTGGAGGATCTGGAGCAAATTGTCAAGGCGTATAATACGCTTGGCTACCAGACAAGCCTGATTCCGTCTTCTGCCGAGAACGCCAAGGGTCAGGATTTCGAGCTCAGTCTCAATGTCAATGAAAACAATTTCTCCACCAGCCAGATCGGAGGTGCACCGAACCGGATGTCGTCAGAGGGCGATCGTCTCTTGGCCGAGCCCTACACGGGCTACCACCCGGCGCATTTGCTCAATCTGGACCTCCGGGGTTCCGTCCGCAATAATCTACAGTCGTTGCGCAAGGAGATCAACGAGCGGCGGAAACAAGCTATTGACGACGACCTTGACCGTCGCAATCTACTCGACAACATTAAGGAGGCTATGGACGAAAAGCGCAGTGAGGTCGAGGCCCTGGAGCACCGGCGCCGGGCGGCCGAGGAGGAGTTCGAACGCACCAAGGAAATTACCACCACTCAGAAGACGGCGTCAGACGCCCAGATTGAGAAGATGGAAAAGGAACTGGCCAAGATGCGAGCAACGCTTAGCGACAGCGTCCAATTGATGGAGCAGCGCGAAATGAACACCAACATCGAGTATGAGCAGTTGACACTTCGGGCCAATGCCCTCAGGGAGGAGCTGCACACCAACGTGGAAACGATGCTCAACGATGTCATCCGCTTCAAGGTCCATGTCCAGAAGGGCCTGGAGGACTACGAGAGCTTCGTGGTCGACGAAGTGGAGCAGGAGCTGGGCGGCGACTTACCGGCTAGCGAGGAAGAGGAGCTATGAGATGGATTGATTCCACCATTTCCCCCCTTCCTATTCTCATGAAGTGATGAAATTTGGCACTGTGTTAATTCTATGTTCTATGTTGATTTGGTATCACGTTAATTGAGCCCCTACATGATCCGATGTGTACATGTCCCATACCCTCCGGAGCAATTGTGCGCGTCGCAAAAGGATGATGCTATTTTAGGGTGAGGACGCGCAATGCCCGGTGTGCTAGGCGTTTAGCAAATCATTAGCATGAGACCCGTGGCGTTTTTGCGGTCGGTTAAACATTATCACGCTGTGATGCCAACGCAACGATAGAATAAGCATGTACTCCCTTCCCCATTCTCCCGTCACACAGACCCGCCGGCAGTAGCGTGTTTCTTCGCCACTGTTTTTCTTGGTTTCGCCCAAACGTTATCCCTTACTAGTATGTCCTGGCCCGGCACTACCCACCTTAACCTCAATCTGAAGCAGCCCAGCGGGCGATCGACAGACGACGTGTAAGCTCGGAGTGGGGAAACCAGCCCCTCATCACTCACTCGTTTCACGTTAAACTTCTCCACAGACGAACACACCGCACGGCGCTAGATGCGATCCCTAACGCGTCGTAACGTTAACCTCCTGGCGGAGCTGGCAGCTCAGCGTGGCGCCATCTCATTCAGAACCCCCCTGGTAGCCCTCAGGAGTTCTTCGTGGCGGGCCGCCCAACCTCCCTCTACGGTAGATTCCTCCTCCTGCGTCGGCTCCACTTTGGGACTATGAAACCATAACGCACCAATATGCTTGTCCTGCCGGTAGGGCTGCTTGCCCACATTTCTCGACTGATTCGACATATCGGCCACGATAGGTCAATATGAGAAACCGCCAGCTGCAGACTATCGCCGATCTCCACAGTTCCCAAGTCTGGGCAGCTGATCTAGACGTCTCCGATATTCCTGACAGTGGCACCAGTGTCCTCGTCTCTGGGTCTGAAATTCCCGCGAGTGGCTATCCTGGGACCGTAACGTGGGAGCTGAGGCTCAGTATTAAACTATATAAGGCCCTCAAAATCCTCCATCAAAGTTTTTTGGGATCGCAGTGCTGCGCGCTTATCTTTCATTTCTAAAACTTGAGATCAATCGTCACCGAGTGACTCAGTCATCCATTCTTTTTCAACCACTTTCATTTACCAACACACATCTTCACCATGAAGTTCAGCATTGTTTTCGGCCTGGCTGCCGCTCTCGCTCTGGCTCCCAATGCCATCGCCTTCAACCTTGTATGTTGGCAACCAACCCGGATATTTGTATAGTTGATACTAACGCCTGTCCCAGTTCGGTAACCAGCAGGATGCCACTCCCACCTCCGGTGCTCAGCCCTCCGGCACTGTGCCCAGCGGTCTCCCCCAGGGTTCTAGCGGTGCCCAGGGTGGCTCTGAGGGCGGTTTCGGCGGCGCCCAGGAATCTGGCCGCCCTCAGGCTTCCGGCACCGTTCCCTCCGGCGTTGCTGGTGGCTCCCATCCCAGCGGCAGCTTTGGCCACGGCTACGGTGGCCAGGGTGGTTTCCCCTCCGGCGGCGCTCAGCCCTCTGGTAGCTTCGGCCAGGGTGGTGAGCGCGGCGCTGCCCCTACTGGCGCTCCCTCTGCTGCTCCCTCCGGCGCTGCTGGCGGCTCTAGCGACCAGGGGTCGGGCTTCATCACCGTCTCTGGCGCTCTTCCTACTGGCTCTGCTGTTCCCAGCACTGAGGGTTCCTCCGAGGGTACCCAGCAGTTTGAGCGCGTCCACGCTCGCCAGATCCGCCCCTTCTGGGTCTAGGTCTATTCTGGATCGATTCGCCCTTTCACGGCATTCCCGTTGCCTGGTGTGAAAAAGGTCAAGGTTGTGCTCCTGTGGCTGCTGGTTCAGTTATAGAGAAAGTGTCATGTATCATAGCCTGCAGTTCATACAAATGAGCGTCCCTTTGCTACTATGAGAAATTGGCTTGCAATTGTAAAAGTCGTAATTAAAAGCTTTGTTTCCAATCGTTACTTCGCGGACCTCAAACTTCTAGGGACGCTCGGACTAGCCCATGTTCATTTCTTCCTCTGTTGGCAGTCGGCATGAATCCGCCAGTCCCGTCACCTTCCACTCCCCACTCAATTTATGAAGTATAAATAATTCCACCCCCACATGATCCACGACGCCGTTGATTTTGGCCCGGAAGGGTGCCCATACCGTTGCAAGACTACCAGCCTCATGTATTTTCACTTCAGGGTCCCATATTCGCTCATCAATATCGTCATTCAGCGTTACCACGTGCTCGATGAATGATCCGATTGTGCAGAAGCGTAAGGCAGCAGGCGAAGGAGGCGCAAGGGACATTCCCCCGGCCCGGACGCAATGCTTTTCAAAGTCGACACGTGATTTTGTATTGAGCGCCGCAAGAAACCCCTGTGTTACCGCAATAATAGCTTCCACTTCCGCTGATAGGTCGTGTCCGAGCGCTAGACTGGCGCAGACGTGGGGTGGTATTGTCCAGCACATCGGAGTTAGGGAGTGGAGAGATTGTACAGTAGAGGACCTATACTGAAGGCCTAAATTAGAGTCTAGAGGGTACCAAAATGGTTAAACCGTTCCAACTTTCAAGATCGGGGCCTCATTCTTCCTTTAACCTCAGTTTACCAGAAGCAAACGTTCTAGATGCCTCGGGTTTCTCCTTAGGGACAGTGCTGCCACCGTTGCACCCTCCTCCGACCCGCCGTATGCAACATTGTACAACCTATCAATTCAAGTGTACACCGGTTAAAAACTCTGATCTTCGAGAGAGGGTATATCCTTGCTTTACTGTTCAATAATGTTGTACTCTCCCTCTCGATCTGAAGTAAATGCGGCGGCTCCCATTGGCCACGGCCACTCTCTGCTGAGTCAGCCATCTGGTGCCAAATTTCGAGCATCTCGATTTCGTCCGCACTCGCTCAACGCTCCCTCGTCGCGACGGGAATACCGCTTCTTGCCAGAGGTTGATACTGTGTCAGGAGGACAGCTTCGAAGACCCCTGCGACATGTGCAAATCGTGATCGACCCCGAAATGCGCCACATTACACCCGTGCCCATCGAGACCGTGTTTCCTCCGCAGGCGCCTTCCGCGAGGCTTGTTGCCGTGTCATGAGAAGGTGCTTGTGCCCCGGCCGCCTTCTGCGAATTGGCCGCGGGCCAATTGCGCCTCGCCTACCTGTCCTCTCACATCCGTCGGTGTCCCGTGTACAGACTTGCTTCGCCTCGACGACGACCCGAAGATCCATCACCGAGGATGAATTTCAGCTTCTCTTCTCATACAACACATTACCTTCCATTCCTCTCGAGTCATTGCGGAAGTTCAACCCCGATAGTTGGATACCGATTTTGGAAAAATGCTCACTGGCACGCGAAAAAAAGACGAACAACAACAAGAAGGGAGGGCCTGCTCACCCTGGGGAGGAGGTCGGTTCGCTCCTCGAACACGAACATGAGCTCCGTCGGACCCATGCTCTGATGGGATATCTGTGGTTGGCCAGAACTCATTCGAACTTGAATATTTTGGGCTATCTGGGGTTTGAACTGAAACACTGGTCAACTGTGCACTCCTACTTAAGCCAGCTCATCGACACGTACGAAACTCTCGTTCCGTACATGGCCTCGCGGAATGCTCTACAAGGTTTTGACTGGAACGCGGAGGGACTGTCTCTCGATCAGCTCACAGGTAAGCATGGTCGACAACAAAAAGGGCTGATCAAGCCGCATCCGCAATCAGACATGCTTTCCCTCGATCGGTTGACCGACCGGCCTGCTGCGCGGGAATTGGCCGAGAGATTCCTGGCCGAGGTCCTGCTGAATCTGGGCTCCTTGGTGCTGAAAGCTGCAGACGCGCCGCAAAACGAAGCGGATCTTGCAATGTCTTGTGTATTCCGCATCCTGGCCCGCTTGCATCATTTGGATCTGATCTCCAACAGAGTGTATCAATATCCAAAAAATGATCCCAGCCAAATTTCATTCCGTCCTCCCGGTCTCAACCTACTGTCAAGCCATATTATGAGTGTTTTGTCTGATGCCGCATGGCTTGAGCACGAAGCTGCGCTCGCAACAGCAGCCACCGAGGCGGGCGAGGATCCTCCGTTTCTTCCTTTCAAGGTGGGAGTCCGTGAGCTTGGCCCTGAAATTTGGTTCGAGCTTATTCTCTGGTGTTGTGTCGAGCATGGATTTACTAAACAAGGCGCCGGGTTAGTGAAAGAGATGAGCCAGCGCATTGACGACAAGGCATGGAAAGTCGAAAGCTGGGCGCCTCTAGTACAGGCTCTCGACGTCGTGCAGCAGACCAACATCAGCACTGAAATATCCTGGCGTCGCCCAAATGATAACTTCCTACCTCAGACATTCAAGGGCCCTAACAAGCCTCCGTTCAATGGCCTTGGCAATCGGACTATCAGCACAGAAGTGGTTGCGAGCCTGCGAAGTGGATTGATCAACAAGGCCTATGTGGGGGTGGGATTCCATGGCTCAACTCCCTCGGATATTATTAATTACTCTACGCCGCTGAACTTATTACTCGAATCGTCTGGTGATCGCGAGGATCTCCGGCCAACGAGCAAGTCTACCAATTGGCACATTTTCAGAATTCTCGAGTCTGGCTGCCTTCAGACCTATGAGGACCCGACCTTATTTGAAAGAGTATTACGGTCTACTCAAAATGTGGTGCCACCGTGGGGAGGATATGGAGCTCTCACAGAACACGACCTGAGCGATATGACGAGAGCGCAGCTATACGACGAAACTGCCGCTATCGCCGGGTTGGTGGAACATAATGTCAAGGCTTATGCTTATAAACGCCAAGCTGGCCGCAGCTTCTACCAGTTCGCTTGGCTACAAAACATCGTCGATGCTAGCAAGGCCTACCACATCCAAGCATTCTTTGAACAGCTCAGTCGTTCCAAGTCAACGGACGTTCCTTTCTTCAACTCACAACACTTGGGTGTGCAGGAGCGCGAATTCTCTTCTCTTCCACAGGTCTCGATTGTGACGTTAGCCGAACTGCTTGACCTAGCCTCTGTCAATCGCGCTTATGACTTTGGAAACTGGTTACTTTTCAACGACGACCTTGATGGTCCTTCAATCCCAGCTTCTGCCTACGGCGATCAGGTGCTGGCACCATCGGTTCTCCGATTTGCCGCTGCTACACAAAATACCGAGCTCAGTGAAAAGGTCATATCCTCGCTCAGCATGCCACTGTCCGTCAACATGCTTAAGGCCCTGGTCAGCTCCCATATCGACATGGGTAACTGGGATCGTGCGATCGTCACGCTTGAGTACCTCCGTGACTTCAGACTGAAATCCTGGGGCTTTAGCAATCTCACGGCTCTAGCCGCGAAGATTATCCGACTGGACGCTTCCATCAAGCACAAAGAGTCCAGCGGAGGTCTTGTGGATGAGAGATTGACGAAGAGCCTGGAGCGCGCCAATGATCTCTTCCTCCGTTTCTACCGCATGCAATTCAATACGCCTGCTAGCAAGAACCGTCGAGTGACTGCCTTCCAGCGAAACGTTTTGATGCGTCTTCTCCTTGTTTTCCGATCTCTTCCCGGCCCCATCTCAAATCTCACCAAGCAGATCGACCTCAAGGTTCCCCCGCTCAGTAGCCACTTGAAGCTTCAGTATATCCCTACAGTCTCCTTTCACAATCTCCTCGCTGCCGTCGTGGACGTGTACGGCAGCACGTTCGGCTTGAACATGTGGTTCAAGTGGTGTATACATCGACCGCCCCCTAGCCGTGTCCGCCAGCGCGAAGGCGGCATCACTCGCCTCCACTCTCGCAAAGAACTGTCTTGGGCCCGAGGCGACCCGACCTTCAACCCGAAATGGCTGGAGCACCAACAAAGAAAAGCCGTTATTCCCGACTTCAACACCATCCGCATCATCGCGCAAGCTGCCATGCGAGAGTTCGCACTGCTGCGGAACCCGAAACTCCAATCCCATCCTTCATTCTCATCCTCTCCGCCCCCGCGCCCCCAACAACTCCCCTTCTTCGCCCGAACGCGGCCATATAAAGCGCTCATCAGCCGCTTTGAATTTCAAGGCCAACCCGTTGCCGGTGGCAAACCGCCTTCAAGCCCCGCCGAAGCCTCCCTCGACTTTGTCGTGTGTATGTTCATCCGCGCAGGCATGCCACAGGACCAGATTGACTTGGAGGTCCCTGGCCATATAGCGCGCATGTGCCACCGGGGTATCTTCCATAACCCAGAAAAGCGGACGCGGGACCGGATTTGGGAAATCCGGCGGGATCCTTTCATGAAGTCGGGTCCCTTCTGGAGGATGGTGCACCAAAAGCCTAAAGGAGGCCGAGGTGCGCGTGCCTCATCAGAGTCGCGAGATCTCAAATGATCTTGTGTGTATATTATGTTTCTATGATTGTAATATAGGTTGATATCCAAAATAAGCCCCGCGCCGTCCCCGAACTTCTTAATCGACATGGTCAGGAAGGGAAAAACGTATAATACCTATTCAAGCATCGTGGCTCTCGTCGTAAAACACCTTTGGCCCGACAATAGGACGCTCCTCATCCTCGCCGCAAAATCGGAAATCAAACGTGTGTACCTGCAACCGGTTCCCTCCGCAGGTAGAACCTTCTGCTGTTTCATATAAGGGTCGCTAAGGGTAACCCAACCCGGCAATCCTTACAAAAGCTAGCGGGGGGTTAAACATGCATTTCATCAGGCCCTTACTAATTAGCACTGAGGGTATAAAGGAAAGCTTTGATATTATGGCATATGCAGAACCCCCATAAGAAGTGATCAAACCACACTTCCACCACCTAGGGCCACCGCCTACTAATTCCTACCGGTGCCTAGTCATCCGAGAGCAATTTCCCTCTATATCACGTTCGAAAATCATCTCCACATTCCAGAAGAGACCGTTTGAGGCCAGAAAAATCGCTCAATCAGACGCTCCGGTCGACCTTGTACTTTACGTGCTTTTGATTGAGATCTTATAAACGACGCTATTCAAGAGAACCCGAGTATCCACCACGAAGCTTTAATCTTTTTGAGAGATATCGTGATTTTACTAGAGGATGAGGAGAGTCTATTAATCGGATAAAAAAGTATTGATGAAGCGAGTTTCAGGCGAAAACGCCGAGTGGACCCTTATACAGCCTACAGATCTAATTCGTGAGGGCGATATAACCAAATCTTCAGAGTGATCCTACGATGAACGGTGTCTTTGCGTGGGTGGGACTCTCCTTGTAAGACTGGATTTAGTACAACACTAGGTAAAAATATTATATGCATTAGGCAGCTTTTTTGCTTCTCTTTCCTTTATTAGGTAGACTAGATTTCTATCAGCTATGGGTTCCTGGCAGTAGGATTTACGAATTGGTGTGATTTCTGTTGCACGAGCAAGGAAAAGTGACTACAGGAAGGCAGGAAGAAATTACCTCTAGTGCATATTTCCGCTGGCAAAAACATAAGGTAATGGCCAAGCATAAAAATATACGTACTCATTCATGTTAACTCAGATAATATGTAATATTCAATCAAACTCGAATATTTACACCATCCCTCAAGCGGGAGCATTAAAAACCAGCTCGCATCCGGCGCAACCTTTCCACCGATTTGAAATCTCAGAACCTTCATCCGCAACCAGACAAACCCAACAAGAAACGCTCTCGAGAATTCAAATTTGCTTCCGTCGCTAGTCGACCACCAGTTTTGAGAAACCGTCCATCCGATGCTGACCCAGTCCCTCTATAAATCACGCCAATGATAGATAACCTTCGCATGTACAATCATGTGTTTTTGGCCAATGTAGATGATTTGGTATAGAGCAGGCGCAAAATAAGCTTTTGCAAATAAAAATGAAGCCAATAAAAGGCTTCTTGGGTTAGATAATAATTAAGAAGAAAATGTTGAAATGGCAATGACAATCAAAATCAAGTTGGAGCATGATAGAACAGAGAATAGTGGAGGGAAGAAAGAGAACAGGTAAGATAATCACAATATCGAAGTTATGAGTAAAAATCCCGAGCTCGAAGATATGCCAGATACCGAGACATAGGTGGAAGAGCGGGTAAGTAGTAGGTAGGTGGGAATTGCAAGGAATTCAAAGAGAGAGCGACAGAGAGGGGTGGGGAAAAGAAATTCGTCTTCCTTTGCGTTTCCTGAATCATCATCGTGTGTAAGCAATTCAATGCTCTTGTTTTCATGTCGTGTTTAACCACACCCGCATGGCTAGTCAACCTATCTCAAGTCTGATCCCACGTTTCATCTTCATTGGCGTGCGGGAAGAACGAGCGAATAAACTCGCCGCTGATAGGATCATACGGGAAATACAGTTCATCCGTGGCCTGGCTGTCGGCCACAAGCCAAGCCATCGAGTCCGAGGTAGGGTACTGGAACAAGTCTGCCGGAATCGGGTCCTGGGCTGCCCCCGAGCCCTGATTGCTTAAAGACAAGTCCTGCAGGCCGGTGCCCCAGAAACCGGGGTCTGCTTGCGTAATGTTTTGGTCCTGGTCCTGGGGGTCGGTGAGGGAGAGTGTGGATGCTGGTGCCGGGTGATAGCTGCTTGAGGGCATGTCGCTGACGTCGAACTTCATGCCGGCGGCGAGGCGGCGCAGGCTAATGTCGCAGAGCTGCCAGGCGCGGCGCGAGGCGATGCTGTAGTCGGACATGGCGTAGAGCCAGCGGACGGCTTTCTTGGATTGAAGAATAATGTTCTGTTCTGACGCGGGTACGTGCACGGTGCCGAAGGAGAGCTCAAGGAGGAGCACTGTCGTTGCTTGCATTAGGTAGTGCAGGATACACCACCAGGGGGAGATCTCGTAGAGCTGAATTGCGTTTGGCTCGTCGGGGATCAGGTCCAGCATGCGCTCCGCTGCCTCGAGTGTCAAGACAGCCATTTCGTGGCTGAAGTTCGAATCGTGGGCGGACTTTTTCTGCTGTGCGTCGCGCCGGCAGAGACATGGGCGACCAAGGGTGATCTGCGCACTGTAGTAGTGGAAAGCGAGCGCGAGCTTAGCGCGGAGCAGCTCCGGGCCATCTTCTTCCTTGCGGGTGAAGTCGAGGAAAGGAGGAATGCTGTGGTACCAGAGATCGATTCGGAAGCGCAGCTCGCCGATCCGATTCTCGATATGTGTCCACGGTACCATCACGCAATCCATCGAATATACCCTGTTGATTATTTCTTGCACGATCACGGCTAGGTCACAGTAGAACAGATAGGAGAGGCCCGAGTTGAAAGGGAGGCTTTTCACCCACGAGTTGTCACGATTACGGGACGGGTGTGAGAGTTCCTTGCCGCCGGCGGGGTTCAGCGGCATGTGTCGAACCCACGCGCTAGCCATGACCCTATTGATGCGTTCATCTCGGAGATGACTTTTGTTGAGGAGCTCTGCGGCCGATTGCTCATGCAACTGTTCTTCTTCGAAGGGAATTGGCAAGGGGGTGGTGCATATGCCATCCAGGATGCAAGTAGCTCGGCCAGTCATGATACCAAGCATATGCTCGAATGTGTATAAACACCACCAAACCCGGTAGCGAGCCTCTTTGGAGATGTTCGGAGTCGTCGGGCTGCTGCTCTTCATATTGATGCCGAGAGTGATTGCAGACCGCACCGCCAAAGACGAGATGCGCCATGCCCGGTTAATCTGGTCGGATGCAAGTAGATAGAAAGCAATAAGGCCCTCGACCTGAACCTGCTGGAGATCAGGATGGCTGAACAGCACATCGCCATTCATACTCAGAATCCTGGCCCGGGTCAGGTAGACTAGATGATCCCGTTCATCTCCACGCCACGGTGCTTCCAGAAGATGGGCATGTTTCGTTGCAATAGCGAAGATCATGTTCAAGATAGCAATCCACTTGTCACCGGGTCGTGCATTGCTGTCGAAGAATGTTCGGTACTGTGCGGTGAACAGCGGTCGGTTGATGATGGGGAAGAACGGATGCACAGTCCTTAGGTAATCTTCGAACAGCTTGTCGGCCATATGTCGAGGAGGCATAGCGTAGAGTTCGATAGGTCCGGGTACAGAAATGTCGAGGTCATCCAGGTGGTAACTCACAGCATGCAGGGCGAGATCGTCGTCCTGCTGCTTGCTCTGGCCTGCCTCCAATGACCCAGGCAATCCATGTGACCGGTGTACAGCCTCTCGCTGAAGCCGTTGCATCCACGTAACCTCAGAGATCTTGCCCATAAACCCGGTTGCTCTCGAGTTTTCATTGCGGTTCAAATCTTCTTCCGCGCGATCGATTGCTTCAAGCGATCCAATGGAAGAGGGTGAGCTGAAGTCATTTTCTTCTGCTTCTGCTTCTGCTTCTGCTTCTGCAACGTCATCGTTTGGCGTGACGGAATGGGATTGGTTGCTGTTGGAGGAGTATTCAACATCCGTGCCGTGCTAGCGATTTCAGAGACGTTAGCTTCATCATTTCCTGCGATATGACAATACAACGAACCTTGTCCAGCAAGCTCTTGATACGGTCTGCAGCACGAGTCTCAACCAAATGACCCAAATCCTTCAAAAGATTCTCATAATCTTGTGCTTTCTCGGAAAGCTTGTCCACTTGTCTAGTTGATCACGACCAGTGATTAGCATCTGTTCTTGCACTCATGTCCAAATACCCATATCAAGATATCGGCAGGTATATAGCATCACATCGCATCGCATCCTACCTCTTAGTTCTCTCCTTCCATCCCACCGGATATTGGCAAGTCCCCCTCAGTTCTCGGCACTGCCGGCATACCGGGGTATCACCACTACATTTTGTCTTGCGTGCGCGACACGACTCGCAAGCACGCGGTACACGGCGGTTGTATCTTGGGGCGATCCCCCCCGAGACCGAGGGATTGCGACTTTAGCCTGGCTTCTCGGTCCCAGGGTCGACGAGGTGTTTGCGACCGACGCCGGCTTGGGGGTCGGTACCATATCGCCGTCGGACAGCGGCTTCAGGATGTCCTGTTGAGGCGCGAGGCCCTCACCAGGAGGGAACTGGGGCGGATCTCTGATCGTCATGATCGCTATGTCGTTGTCAAGAATACAGAAAGTTGTGGTGGTGGCCGTGATCAGTAGGGTGCAGGACTATATCGCCAGAAATCGCCGCTGCGGCGGGATTGCAATTTCGGCTTGTGGCGATTCGATACTGCAGCCGAATTGGATACGGGCGCAAGCCGGTAGGGTGGCATACGGAACGGAATAATCTGTGCAGGTTTCAGACAGGGGCATCAGTCCTGCAGGGAGCACACTCTGTGATGAAGTCGACGAGGCGAATCGAAGATCGAAGTGGCGGGGGATGATGGCCTTTCTGCGATTCGAGATGTCGTCCCGCCTGGGCGGCTTAGGTAAGTGGCTGACCTGCAGGCTAACGTAATTCCTGCCCGACCGGGCCACCCGGCCGACCGGGCCACCCCATCAAAAAACGCGTCTTCTAAACCACCCACCTAATTTAACCACCTACCATGCCACCAATTCGCTCTGAATCCGTACAGAAATCGACTAATCAAGAGGGCAAGATCTTATTAGCCCTTGATGATATCAAAAATGGTCGTATCGAGTCTATACGCGCAGCAGCGAAGCTATACGCAATACCTCGTACTACACTACAATACCGCGCTGCTGGCCGGCTCCTACGCGTCGATGTACGCCTATCTGGTCATAAATTGACCCAATACGAAGAGGATTCGCTTACTGAGTGGATAATCTCTCTAGATATACGTGGTGCAGCGCCTAGGCCCTCTACTGTGCGTAAAATGGCTAATATTCTATTAGCTACGCGTAGTAAAGACCCTCCGCCTACGGTAGGCAAGAACTAGTCATTAACCTTCGTCTAAAGACGCCCTAAGCTTCGTTCGGCCTTCTCTAGACGCTACGATTACTAATACGCCTAAAACGAAGACCTAAAATTACTACGAGCTTGGTTTACGACCGTCTAAGATATCGTCGACGCGTACGGTATCTAACCGGAGGATATCTATAACTTTAACGAGACCGGCTTCGCTATAGGGATTATAGCTATATAAAAGGTCGTTATAAGGGCGGAATATTATAGTCGGCGATCGATTTTATAACCGGGTAATCGTAAATAGGTTACTACGGTCGAAGCAGTAAGCGCTGATAGCTACTCGCTACTACCGTACGTAATATTTAAAGGTAAAAACTTTATAGCGTCGTAGTTCGACGAGAAGCTTTATTTTCTAAAAGATTAGTGTATCGAGATCTCGCTAAACGGCTAGACTACCGATGAAATTAGCCTTCGGTAGCTATAGAAGCTATTCATTCTAGCGACGACGATACGTACGAAAGGGAAATATCGACTCTTAATTCTTAACGGCTACGGTAGCTATCTTATACCTTAATTCGACCAGATCTGTATAGAAAATCATATTATACTACTTTATATGCCTCTACACTCTTCGTATCTTTTATAACCGCTTAATATTAGGTGTTTTGCTATATTAAAACGTATATACGGTCGCTACGTAAGCGATCTTACTCGTACGTCGTATAACTATATCGATAAGTTCGATTTCCTCGCAGAGTACGCCTAGGTACGTACGGAGGCCTTTTAACCTTATATTATTTAAAATAGCTTCGCTACTACCGGTCTTATTCTAGTCGACGCAGATCGAGTGCTTTCGAAGCTTAATATCTTACTCCGAACGCCATCGCTACTAAATAGTAGGCCAACCACTAGCTATAGCCAATTTAGCCTAAAAACACCTAGAACGGTCGTCTAATTACAAAAATCAGCTTCGATATTAAAGGATCTATTAAGATATCGGTCAAATAGCCCTCCGAGCCTATCAAAACCCGTACTAGATCAGATTATTAAAGGCGCTTATATATCGCTTTACGGGGCCGCACTATTAGCGTAGGAAAATAGCGATCTACACACAGCGAATCAGAAAATACGCTAAAAACGCACACGATCTAAACAACAGATAGTACACGAAGGAGGCCTTACGGTCGAAGAGGGCCTACAGCTAGTTCAGCAGCTAAATCAGCTAATTAAAGACACTCTAGTAGTAGTACAGCCGCAGGGCGATGAGGCTATTCAACCAGCTCAGCCAATCAGAAAAACTCCACCGAAGTGTAGTAGGTGTAGGCAGGTCGGACATAAGGTTAATTATTGTAAAAACCGCTAGATATAGCTAAATTGATACGTTTTAGTTAAGATATTAAGATTCAAAATTTCCTAATGGGGTAGGGTGGCCCGGTCGGCCGGGTGGCCCGGTCGGGCAGGAATTACGTTAGGCAGTGCTAATCGTGTGGGGTCAGTTGAGTGGAGATGGAGGCTCCATTTCTTAATCTGGGTGAGCCCAACGGAGCAGACATATTTCGGGCAGGTTTTGGGTGAGATACGTTTCAAGTTCCATGGTTTTGCATGACGCCTTAAGCATACAGGAAATAAAGTCGCTTTTTTGCCCTTCTCTGTGATGAAAACCCAAATCCCAATAAATATCCATAAATCGCCCTTCTACCCATCCAGGGCGAGACCATAATAAAAGTTCCAAAATCAACAAAAGATGTATATGTACAGGAAGAAGGAATTAGCAAAAGGGGTACAGGGGCACATCATAGGAGATGGGAGCCGACATATACAAGGTCAAAAGAGGTTGGAACAGGGTAAGAGGGGGTATAACGACAACGCTCGGCTCTCAGGCCGACCGAGAGTGGAGAGGTAGAGAGAGACAAAAGGTGGGAGAATCAGAACGATGACAGCAAAAAAGCACGCAAGCAGACCGGAGATGCAGAAAGAATATATGGTAGATACATGAGACGTTTAGATTTCGCCAAACATCTCATCCAGCTCATCCACTTCCACCGTCTCCGGATTCTGCAGCTCTCTCCAGGTGTCGAAGACGGGCTCCATGACATCCATGGCGGCCAGGGACCGGGGACGCAGACTGAGTTTTTCATGCGACTCGGTTAGATCGGACATCTTCAGGTCCACATCCGGAAGACCGCTGTTCAACATATCAAGCGATCGCTTGAGGGTTGAGACAGGTGCGGTATCCGGGAGACTGATCTGCGGAGCAACGAGGAGCGTGCCCGCCCGCGCCTCGGCATCGCCATCCACACCGGCATCAATATCGGCGCTCGTGCCAGACGAGAGTGACGATGCAACAGAGGTCAGCGAGGGCGAGGGCGATGTGCCAAACAGTGCGGCGGCGGCGGCCTCGTCCAAGTCCGTGCCTGCTTGGTCGGCCGAGTTCATGTGGGAGAAATAATCACTGAACTCCTGTTCGGACATGCGGTTACTAGCCGGTGAGCGCGAGCCACCGTTCACGGGGGATTCGACGATGCTCATCTCCTCGTCCATGGAGCTGAGTCCTTCGGAGAGGACGGAGAGGCTCCGGGCCGATTGGTTGGCCTTTTCCTCCGAGGCGCGCTCGCGCACTGCACTGGCGGTCTGGGTAAACTCCTTCTCGTCACCCTCCAGGGGCGGAGAAGCCGCGCGGTGCGAGTGCATGAGACGAGCATGACCAGAGGGGTCTGAAAAGTGGTCGGAAGGAGTCCCCCTGCCCGAGGGACTATCGAGATCAATATCTTCTTCCTCCTCGAAGCCCGGCGATGACAAGTCCACTTCGGGACTGGGGCTACGCAGGCGCGCCTTCAAATCTTCGTCGTCTTGATCCAGACTTGAGACACTGGGAGTAATATGCTTGCCGTCGACACCCGCGATGAGATCGTCGGAGGGATCGGGTATCGGCTGACGAGGAAAGGTCGTCAGATAATAATAAACTTTGCGCGGGTGAATCAAGATGAGCTCTTTCGCCATGGGGCACGGCGCAAGAGCCGTCCATGAGCGCTTCATATAGGCCGCCAGTCGCGACGAGAGGAGCGCGGCAGGATTAGCGGAACTAGAGCAGGCAGAACGTTAGTACACAAGTTGCGCACGCGCGAGGGCCAAACGAAACTAGGGAAACGTACTTTGCGACAGTCGAATTTAGAGTGACTAGCACCGCAGCCAACTCTTTCACGAGGTGAGGGCGATTCCCCGTCTTCTCCAGCTGGTCGATCACCGCGACGACAATATCATCATTAATGCCTTCGGTATCAATTTTCGGAGCGATACCACCGTCCATAGGCGAAGGGGGCGGTGTATGCTCGAACGCAGCATGCCGGCCGGGGCGCACGACGGATTCCCGGCGCTCCGAGGCAGGCTCGGGTGATAATGAGGTGTGCGATCGCTTCACTTTCTTGGCAGGCGGGACTTCATCGGTCGCATGTGTGGGTTTTGAGATGGAGGGAGAGCGGCGCGACGAGTTGGGGAGGTGGATGCCTAGTGAAGGGAGGGATAGTGATTTGCGACGGGTGTTGTACGGCATGGTGATGTTCCGGGGGGGAGAAGCGGGCGTTGATGCTGGGAAGAAACAATGGCGGGAAGGAGGGTCGAGGAAGAGAAAAGAGGGAAAGGAGAGTTAGGGTAGGAAGATGTTCACAAATAATAAAAAGAATAATAACGATAAATGGTAGATAATAACAATACAATAGGATGGAGATGGGAAGGATGAAGGGGGGGAGTGTCGATGGGATGGGGGAAGATCGAGGGTAAGAAGGGGGTCATCGAAGATGCGACGAGCTCGTTTGCTCATGGCGAAGTCCAACCTGAGGAATCCTCTGCTCCCTAGTGGATTCCCTTTTTTTCCTCTCTTTTTTTTTTCCGGGTATGGACTTGTATTACCATTACCAATACCGCCGGGAATGAGTGCGTCGCTGATTGGCCGGCAGATTCGATTTTGCTAAATTTTGCGAAGGTTTGCCTACTGGATTTTCGGTACGGAATGCCAAATCCTTTCGACCGTGGTTCCCTCGCGGTTTTCTTAGACGGCGGAGCTGCTCCCGAGCTGGAGTACTTCAGTATATCGATGGAACTAGGAACACCAGTTGTATAGTTGGCGTTGACGAAATGGAACGACCTTGTATACTCACGACTCGCGACTCTGGACTTTCTCCTTTCTCGCATCTACACCGCCCAGCTCGATCTCGCAGAGCAACAAACTAGATCGCCAATTCCGGTAGGGATGCAATATGCAACATGCGACATGCGACATGCGACATGCATCCAAACCCAAAAAAAAAAAAAAAAAAAAAAAAAAAAAGATCCTCCAGATTCCAGGCGGTCAGTAGAGTTGGATTTCATATTTTCATACCATTACAGCATAACTACACCGTCCACTCCATCTCATTAGTCCACACCGAGACTAGCTCTCTCGCTCCATTCCAACCTCGGCCATAGTGCATACCGACAGTTGGGAGGCAAAAAAAAAGTAGGCCGGGTGGAGCGCGCCATGTGTCCCATCACCCAATATGGCACTGGGTCTCCACACATCCACCGCCTAGCTCCATCTACAATCGCCGCTGGCTAGCCAGCTAATCATGGCACAGGGCTGTGAATAATAAGATGGTCTCCCGACCCCTTGATTGGACTGGGTAGTATCCGGCAATTGGGTTTGTGGGAGGAACGGTTACAACATCCTAGCCACTCTCCTGTTGGACTCCTCCGACTCAGACACGGACATCAGCGGGATGCGATCTGTCAATTGGTTGCTAGGTGACCAGTCGCGATTTTCTTTGTTTGGGGGGCGGGGGGTAAATGCTGACCGCTGCTCTTGGATCGCCTGCAACCAACGCCAGATAGACGTGTACGTAGCCACGGAGCAGTCGACTAACCGAATCAGATACATGATGTACATCCATAGGGTCCGTTCAGAGTGTGCACCCAGTCCGAGCCCAACCCAGTTTTCCTCCCGAGGCCTCCGAACGAAAACACCGGGTCCCAAAGAACATCTCTAGCGCGCCCCCCGTTTAGCTTGGTGGACAAGCGACCAGACGCCCACCCGGTGGATCCCCAACCGGAATCGACAGAAGGTCCTCCGTACATCAGTACCGGCTGGACTTCCATACAACCTTCCATACGATAGTGTACCTCCCGTCCCGTCCGGACGGTATCGAACATGGCGCTAGTAAAGGGAGGCCTGCAGTAGCGCCTCGGGGAAGGGGGGACCAGCCTCGCCACCCGATGATGCACTCGGAAGAGCTCAGCTACTGTTGGTGCATCTCCAGTTCGCCTCTTGGGTCTTGGGTCTTGGGCCTTGGGTCTTGGAGATGGGCTACCCCCTGCGACCGTTCGCATGTTCTATACTGTCTCCCGGTCGCACGGGACATGCAGCGCCTCGCGCAAGGCCGGTACACGATTTCCCCCCCTTAAAAAGGTACTTAAAAGTGATGATGACACAGGAGAGGGGGAAATCCCGTTCCTTTGTCTCGGGATCCATCCGGCGACGTCGATATGATGCCAGACGCCCCGACACCTCCCCTCCCCCGGATATCCCGTACCGCGACTGAGGTCCCAAGCCAGTCTCCACCACGCTGATATACATCTGAGATGATGCCTCACTCCATCTCTCCGATGGCGTAGCTGTGGTACATCATAGGCTCAAGTCCACCTCGTTCATGGGAGACATCCAGCTTGGCACAAGTCCAGCAAGGGCGCGGGAAGCAGCATTGCAGCGCCTGCACGTCTGCCCACTCGGGATACTGGACGGGGAGATCATTCCATGAAGGCCAATCCCTTCCATAGAAAGACCCCAGCCACTGTGCCTCGCCCTGATCTGATTTGGCGTGGCCGTTTTCATGACATCGTCCACTGTTGGGGGCGGACGGCTGCCCTAGTAGCTCAGGTCGACCTTCTCCAACCATGGAAAGCGCCTTGGTCATCGCCTATTGTGTGACTGCGTCGGGAGGTGATTTATCTGATCGTGGGTGCTTTCCCTGGAGTCATCCTGTATATGCGTAGACGGTGATCGCATGTCATTCGCATCCAGTACCTACATCCTCCTGCAGGTATACTATTTCTCCGCATCTCCGGCACTTGATGCGCGGATGTCGCCTCCAGCCCGTCAGCCTGCACGATCCATGCCAGGCACCCAGACTCCTCCAAGTCCAAGGCACCCCGCACCGTAGACGGTACGGACGTTCTTTTGGAGGTGTGGCCAGAGCCCGATATGACGGCGAGATCGGCGCCGCGGGGTCCAATCTCGTCTACTCCATACCTGCAGCCGTCCGTAGATGTTTCATGGGAGGACTAACCCCCCCCCCAGTACGTCGTCGCGTCGCATATCATCCTGCAGCTGGGGTTTATCTGTAACACTCGCCTCCATCAAATGTTGGTGCGTACATCCGACGAGTAATCCGGCCCGTCCTTGCATGGCCTGTCTCGACGCAGCGACCCCGCGTCGCATTTCTCAGAAAATCCAGCGGGCGCGGGTTCCACCAAGCCCGGTCCAAGACATTCGAGTACCCCTGCAGAGATCTGCGACCTGCATATTGCGATCGATCCAGATTGGAAGGCATATGCATCCGCACGGCGCCGTTGTTTACATCGCGGATAGACTGGACCGAATGACGACCGCACGGGTCGTTGCGACGTCTGTTGGATTCAGCCGAGCTGGTCCTGTTCTTGGTCCGCCATGCCTTGTTTGCTGGACCATGTATGGATACAGGAGACCGGGGCAAGGCGGTCGGTCGGCTCGGATAACCGAGTGCCAATCTAGTACTCGGTACATTCAGACTGATGATAGTTCGGAGCGCGGTTGGAACGGCCTCGTTCGTACAGTCCTCGTGTGGATGTGCGACTTGGCCTCCTTCGTGTACAGGAGAGTGCATTTGGGACCAGACTTGGGAGGGCGCTTGTCTCTGCCAGTGCATTCCACTGGATGGTTGCAGAGGCTGCCTGGGAACCCTGCAACTCGTCCGCCTGCGACGTGTTGCGTGGAGGGTGAGACTGGATTGGAAGTCGGACAAGACAGCCAGCCCGGGAAAAAAATCAAAGCCAACAGCGTCTTGTGAGAGGCATATGTTGCTTTGTCAAAACTCGCATGGACAAAGAAAAAAAGGCCATGAGAAGAGGTTGTGCTAACCGTCTCTGCGGTAGATACAGTATTACCATAGCAATATTCTTACAGCGCCCCCAGTAGATATATACTGACCAATACAACTCATCAACGGTGATGCTCATCACAGCACCCCAACACCACCTACACACCCTCTCCAGCCTTCTCAACCCGATCCTGCCTCGGCCTTAGAACATACCTCCATGTGGTCCCAAAATGCCACCGTTTCTCCTCCACAATCTCCAACCCACTCTCCCTCACAATGGCCCCAATATCCCGATTCCACCAACACCCATGCCGGTCCGCATGCGCCGGCGCCAGGTTATCCAGAATGCGATTCACCCAGTCATAGTACGACCGCCCATGCTCCAGGAGTAAGATGCGACCCCGAGTCGGCTCCGTAATTGAGCCCAGATGCGTCAGCGTAGCCACAGGGTCCGGCATCGAGCATAGGCCCATGGTCTGCACGATAGTATCGTAGTACCGGTCCTTCCCAACCTCCGCATCCGCGTCCTGCCCAGGACCCAAAACCGCAGCCTTCACAACGGACACGCTCGCCGCATCCTGCGCGCGGAACACTACCCTCTGAAAGCCGGGCCTCAGCCGCCGAAACTTCTCCTCTGCGATGGCCACCATCTGTGGACTCAAATCCACAAATGCCAGCGTTCGACACCCCCTCACCGTAGCCCTCCCCTCAGCATCCACGCCCCGCCGCTCGCCCAGCTCGTAGTACTCCAGATTGCGACCCGTCCCACAGCTCACCTCGAGCACGTCTCCGCGCGCCAGACGGACCAGGTCCGCGCGCTTGGCGCCCAGGCGCATGGCTTTCTCCGACAGTTCCACCTCAGCGTCGAAGGTGGGCGCGGTAGTGTTGTAGCGGTCCGAAACGTCGGTTGGAATGCTCAGGGATTGAGCTTTGGAAACCTCGCGTGTGTACGACGCATAGAGGTAGCCCGTGTACGTGCTGATGGTGAGGGCCGTGATGCCCAAGAAGGTGAGAACGCGCGGAGAGATGCCATGGTAGGTTTGCTTGTGGCGGGCGTCTCGCTCGGCGCGGATGCGCTCTTGGAAGCGCTCGAGTTCTGATTTGGGGGGTGCGCGCTTTTGTGATGGCGTGGATTTAGTGCTGGGGTGGGTGTTAGCGGATGGGTTGATTCTGGGGTTGACAGGTGGGTTGGGAGGGAGAGGATGGACAGACATGGGTTGTGTTGGTCGCGGCGCTTTCCTTTTGATGCCTCTGGAGGAGATGGTGGGCCTTGTGGCCCGCAGGGAGGCACCACCTATTCGGGGCGCATTCATTGCAACTGTGGTCCGTGGAGAGCTACCGGGAACCCTTGTCTCGGATGGATTACGTTCGAGAGACGAAACTTGATCTAGACCAGGGTGAAGTTGTCGGTGATCCCCTCTAGATATCAGGGCCAGGGCAGCACGTTGCCAGATGCGCGGCTGAAAACTTCGAAGGCACCCGCGAAAACGAGGGGGAGATGGGAGATGGCTGAGCAGAGATACGATTCTCAGTGTGCTCTCGCGCCCTTGTACATTATTTTCGGTCGTGAATATGGGAAACCCGGTGAATGCGCTCCGCGATTTTGTCGGCAGGTCAAAATGGAGAAACATTCGGCTGCGGAAGCCGACTCTCGAAACCGGGGCCAGTCCGTTATCGGGCTATCAAATCCCACTTGCGCCGAATTGCATTCTCCCACCCCGCCTACGCCTTCCCTCCCCTCTTCGACCAGTACATAGATCTATAGTTCCTCATCATGGCGCTGCCGCCGAAGATTCTAATTGTCGGAGGAGGTGTCTTCGGCCGTAAGTCAAATACCGCACCTCCCGCAGTGGCACACGGCATCTGGTGCCACCCAACACCAGACCAAATACATACACCAACCCCTAAAACAGGCCACAACGCCCGCTAACACGGTCCCACAGTATCTACGGCTCTCTCCCTCCGCGAGCGCCATCCGGCCTCGCAGATCACACTGGTGGAATCAGCGTCCGCAATCCCCAACCCACACGGCTCTTCCGTAGACACATCGCGCATCGTGCGCGCCGACTACGCCAGCGCCGCATACAGCCGGCTCGCCAACGCAGCCGTCCAGCGCTGGCGCTCGACCTCCTGGGGCGCGGACGGCCGGTACACGCAGAACGGCCTGCTGCTGGTGTACCCCAGCGACAGCCCGAGCGCGCAGGCATACGCGCGCAAGAGCTACGCCAACGTACGGGCCATTGAGGGCGAGAATGTCGTTTTCCTGCCCAGCCAGAAGGATGTACTTCGCGTTGTGCCGCCGTATGGCGAGGAGTTGGATGTTGCGGGGGGATACGTGAATTGGGGGTCTGGTTGGAGCGATGCCGCGGCGGGTGTGCGGTTTGCCAAGGGCTTACTGGATGCGGAGGGGAAGACTGTGTTCAGGACAGGTGAGGTTGAGAGGGTGCTGTTTGAGGAGGGGGCCAGCAGCCCTCACGCAAAACCGAAGGCTACCGGGGTGGCGCTGGTGGGCGGGGAGACGATCGAGGCGGACCTGGTGGTGCTGGCAACGGGGGCGTGGACGGGCAAGCTGGTGGATTTGCGGGGCAAGGCCGTGGCGACGGGCCAGGCGATTGCGTATATCAAGATTAGCGACGCCGAGCAGAAGGAGCTGGAGAATCTGCCGACTATCCTGAACTTTGCCACAGGTATTTTCATGATTCCGCCGCGCGGCAACCTGCTCAAGATCGCCCGCCATGCGTATGGGTATCGCAATCCGACGACGGTGCCTGTGCCGGGGGTGAGCCCGTCAGGCCAGACGATGCAGGTTAGTCTGCCTGAGACGGGCGTGCCGGTTCCGTTGGAGGGCGAGGAGGCTTTCCGCGACGCGCTGAGACAGCTGCTGCCGCGGTTTGTCAACCGGCCGTTTGCTGAGACGCGGATCTGCTGGTACATGGATACGTAAGTTCTCTCCTCTTGTCTCAAGCGGGGTGAGTTTCAGTTTTGTTCTGGGCCCGCGAGAAGGGTGGACGCATCCATCATTCATCTGATCCAACAAATGCCAACTCACATGCCGTCTAGTCCCACGGGCGACTTCCTCGTCTCCTACCACCCCGAATACGAGGGCCTCTTCCTTGCGACGGGCGGAAGTGGACATGCCTACAAGTTCTTCCCTGTCATTGGAGACAAGGTGGTTGATGCGATGGAGGGCACGTTGGAACCCGAGTTCCGGGATCTGTGGACGTGGAATGAGATTGTGGCGCAGAAGACGGACACAGATGATCTGTTCGATGGTGATGGCAGTCGGACTGGCGCAAGGAACGCGATCTTGAAAGATGAGTTGGCCCGAACGAAGAAGGCTGCGAGGAAGGGTGTTCTGTAGATTGATTTCGGTTGTATTGGGGATTCTTTGCAACTACCATCGCGCATAGCGTATATATCGCGGATACCGCCAAGTCGATCAAACCGCCAAAACAGAAATAAACTGTGAACCTAACGCACCCCGACAAACAGCGAGTTGAGTCCGACTACAAGAGCACATTCAAACATCTACCACAAAGGAACACAATTCTTGTTAGAACAATTTCCATTTTTTTTAAGTAACAGAAGCGCTGCGGCGGAATAAAGAATCAAAGCCGCTGGAAATCTCGCAGCCATCCGCCGGTATAAGCAACGACGGAATCTAAAGCCTCTCACCATTTTTTTGGGCCCGCGACAAGTCACCCCATCGCGAGTATGTCCAAAGCACGATAAAAAAGAAACAAAAAGGGATTAAGAGGCAGCCATTCGACCAGCGCACAGAACCGCCTCCACTGCGGTGTGCAGCAATCTAATTGTAAAAGGGAGTCGAAATGATGAAAACAAACTAGGGATCATCCCAAATCGCTAAAACGCCCAACAATGCTTGCATGAAAAATCGTGAGGGGAGCACAACCCCGAGGGAAGTAGCGAGGGCGAGGCACCAGTGCGCGAAACAGACGGTGCCCGTGCTGTTTGCGGTTTGCGACTGGACCGTCGTGTAAAAGGGGGACGTAGAAAAGGGCAAAAATTGTTAATACATAAAGTGTGAATGTGATGAGCAGTGATGATCTTCCTGGGAGAAGCAAGCTCGTTAAACCTTGCGGAAGTCTGATGACAGGGAGTTAGTGACCCAAGCACATAAGAAGCGGAAATTCCCCGAACAGAGGCTCAGCAGGGATTACTTACCAGAGAGCACAGGATAGATCAACTCGAAAGCGGAGTAGATCTCCTCACGCACTTTGGCACCAGTCAAGACAATCTTGCCGCTAACGAAGATCAAGAGCACAATCTTGGGCTTCATCATACGGTAGATGAGACCCGGGAACAGTTCAGGCTCGTAGGAGCTGAAGTTGTGGTGACGAGAGGCCAGACCCTCCAGACGGATAGGGAACTTGATATCGCAGGAGCCCACAATGTTCTGGATCTTGAAGTCCGTGAACTTGGCGTTGAAACCCAGCTTCTGGATGATACGCGCATACTTTCGGGACGCCAGCTTCGAGTCATCCTCAGACTTGGCACCGGTGACGACCATCTTGCCCGAGGCAAAGATCAGTGCGGTGGTCTTGGGCTCTCGGATACGCATGATGACGGCGGCGAAACGCTATTTGCAGAGAAGAAAAAAAGACCAGTTCAGCCACACTGTACCCTGAATGCATGGAACAATCTCAGGGAAGGTGTGGAATATACCTTTGGATTGTACTCGGCATTGCGTGCATGCAGTGCGATGGTCTTCAGGTCGAGACGGCAGTCCAGGTTGACCGTGGCCACGATGTTCCTTTAGAGGAGAGAACGCTTTGTTCAGCCTATGGTTTCTTTGCGACACAAAGAGACACAAGAGGGCCCCAAAGAAAGAGTTATACTCACTGCAAAGTGGGCACAATGCCACTGCTATTCTGGGTGGCTCCAGGCGTCGCAGCCGGAGTCGCGGGCGTCACCCCGTTGCCGTTGACGGCATTTCCTCCAGCCGGCTGTTGACCATTGGTCTGCTGACCATTCATCGCCTGAGCCTCTTTCTCCGAGGAGGGCGGGGTGAGATCACCGGCGCCGCCCGGGAAGGAGAGCGAGGAAGGCGAGGTGAAGGCTCGAGCCTGCTGCGCGTTCGACGGGTGGGTCGTGAGCGAGTCCATGATGACCAGATTCTTCGCGGTGCCAGAGGACCGGGAGAGGAAGTGGTGACGAAAGGGAAGGATTCACAACTGCAGCGCAGGGGAAAAGCGATGATTAGCACAGGTGTGGCGAAGTGAGAGATGTTGGAAGTGTCGGAGGTGAACAGAGACGGACTGGAGAAGGCGGTGGAGTGGGGCAGATGGCACGAGAAGAGAAAGGGACCAGGCTTTACCAAAACTGGTGGGAGATGGACAAGTGAATGTATCCCCCTACTAGACAGCTGTTGCGCGATCGAGATGTGAGGTGAATGCAACACAGAGTTCACGATCAGAAGCACAAATCAGGAAAAGCACACTCAAGTGTTTTCCGGGTGGAGATCGCCGAGATGATTATGACAGACGCGGAGGGAAGAAAGACAACTTTTTTTGCGAGTTTTTTCTTTTCTTTTTTGGTCCTCTCTGCTTTTTTGGATTGGGATTGTCTATCTGCGAAGCGATCTGAATGAGAGTGGCGGAGCAAGACCCTGGGAGGAGCAGGAGACAAGCTTCCGGATTAGGTAAGCCCAAGTAGAACCAGGTTGATCTTCAACCAGGTATACTGCTTTTTTTTTGTGACCCCTTTTTTTCGTTCCGAAGAATCAGAAAAAAAAGAGGAGCTTCCCGAGGAATGAGATCAATCTATCCTTTTTGAGCGAGCTCAAGAAAAGGAGAATCCCAAGATTAGTTGAGGAGGGGGAGGGGGGGAAGCGTATGTAGTTCCAACGGATGCCAAGACCGAGACAGGAATCCCAAAGGGCGCGCGGGCGTGGGAGGTTGGGCCTTTATATAGTGCTGACTCACTGCCCGCGTCAGGGGAGGCTGGGCCCGCTGGTGGCGGCAAAAGCAGCGAGACTCGCTCGCCCTTCACCCATGGCTGCTCGGCCACTAACTTCCACTACTCTCCCACCCGACTCCACTCAAGGCCCGCTAGCGGCTCTGAGAGTGGCAGATCAAGCCAATCATTGCCAGCGGGTGCTATTGAGGCTTATGATTTGTCTCTTCTGGCCCCACTATCCCTTATCCTCCCCTATGAATGGCCAGCTCGCCCTTGCTTTTCATCATCTTTTATCCTCCCCGGCGCCTTGGGTGCAGCCAGTGGGCGTCCAGTCCGCGGGCCTCCTGCAGCTGATAGTCGCACCCATCTCATCCTGCCCACCACGGCCCAATCAACACCGTTACCGCTCCGTGGCTGCTCCCTGGGCGACGCGCTACCCCCTCGCCGCTTTAGCGGATGGCAACTGAACAAAAATTGTTCGGCACGCCCGTCTTTCTTCCCTTTTCTCCCCCCCTCCACCAGCCCGAGGAGGCGTTTGCGAAGCGCAAACAAGACACATCCCAGTCGTCCCTGTTCTTCCTGTGCTGGCCATTCGCATCCGATGACTCACGCCGACAGGAAATCAACCTCCCCAATAATTGGCTCGCCCTGTTTCCCAGCTCCCGCAAGTTGGGCTTCTGGCCGACTTGGAATTCCAGGTGATGAGGACAGGTGGCCGTTTGGGAGAGGATTTTGGGTTGGACTGGCCGGTCGACTGGTCGACGCGTGGATCTGATCCACCAACCGCCAAGCCTTTTGGACGAATCTCACTCCAGGCATGCGACTGAAGATCGCTGCTGCTCTCCCCCAGGCTGTCACTTTTCAGACTCGCTTTGTTCTCGTAGGGTACGCTGCGCTATCCGAGTTAGGGTTGTCAGCCGCAGGACACATCGTGGTGTACATGATGTATTGGTACAGTACATGATTTTTTGGCATATTTACTGTACCGTAAAGAGCGCGGTATGCTGAATACCATCCCCGGGCACTGCCGTCGCAACATTCCTGCTCGTCCCCGGTAATCAAATTGAATTCGTTAATACTCCGTACATACCGACGACACAGTGCACATCGCAAATCAGGGAACGGTGTGATAGGCTGCCAAGCTTGGGGATGTGGTACTCCATCTAGAAGATGGAGGCAGATATGTCCGGAGTGGTTTAGTTGGCGCTGGGACTACTGTGACTCTCGCACATCCAAGGAGAAATTTTCGATGATGTCAAGATGGACTCATCGGCAGCATGTGATACACGTGATCAAGAGCTTTTCTGTTACATCCGCTACCCCGTATTCCCCCCAAATTGAATATATTGATCTGTTTCATAGAGAAGAAAACACTGTAGACAGCCAGCTATCGATTTCGTCGATCTGTAGTCTCATGGCCGGCTCGAGCGGAGCCAGCGTGAATCTCCGAAGAACACCGCAGCTCGGTGAACCAGAAAGGCGCCAACGGTGGCCCCCATGATTCCCATCATCGGTCCTCTCATTGGCCACGGGCGGACCCCGAGCCTCGGGTAGGGAGGCAGTTTTCGGCGTTTTCAGCGCAAAAAGTTCGGCTGCGCTCCCCCGGCTGCCGCTCGGCTATTCAAGGCCCCAGGTCTACTCGACATAACCTCCTCTGCCGAAACATCCCTTATTGTACAACTGTGATCGCCTGGCCATGCCCATTGTCGGTCGGTAGCTACGCCACTGTCCCGCAAACGCCTCCTCCTCTCCTCTCCTGGACGCGCTGATACGCACTTTCGATGGCGTCAAAAGGCGCCATGCTGCCTCTGCTGAGGCGTGAGATGCGCTCCTCCCGATTCGCACGGGCAAGCCCCGCGTTCGTTGCTCCTCTCCGCTCTCCTGCAACTCCCTTCTCGACTTCCGGCAGACGGTTAGCTCGCCGCACCGCATCCTTCTTCCCACCCACCCAAACCCGCGCCTTTTCGCAATCAGTAACACGGCGGTTGACCGATGAGAATGGAGACTTTGACCCCCGTTCAATCGAGCGAGAGTCCGACGAGGTGGACGTCTGCATTGTAGGAGGCGGTATGTGTTTGCAATGCCCAGACATGCCGTTTGTCTCTGCCTGCTCCCTCGATATCCTGCTAACTGAGCTTCCATCAATCTAGGCCCCGCTGGCCTCGCCGCCGCCATTCGGTTGAAACAGCTTGCGAATGAGGCGGGCAATGAAGATTTCCGGGTGATTCTGCTGGAGAAGGCCGGCGAGCTGGGTGCTCATATCGTTTCCGGCAACGTCCTCCAACCGACCGCATTGAACGAGCTTCTCCCCGACTGGCTGTCAGAAGACAACCCCTCCCGCTTCGAGGGGGCCACTCCGGCCAAGGGCGATAAGATGCGCTTCCTCACCAAGAACTCCTCATTCCCTCTCCCCACCCCACCACAGATGAACAACCACGGCAATTACATTATCAGCTTGAACGAGTTGTGCAAGTGGCTGGGTGAGCGTGCAGAGGAGTTGGGCGTGGAAGTATACCCCGGGTTTGCGGCCAGCGAGATGGTCTATACCACGGACGGCTCGGTCAAGGGTGTTGCGACCAACGACCTTGGGCTGGGCCGCGACGGCCAGCCGAAGGATACCTTCGAGCGCGGCATGGAGTTCCATGCCCGCGTCACACTTCTCGCGGAAGGCTGCCACGGCAGTTTGACCAAGCAGGTGATGAAGAAGTACGATTTGCGCCGGGACAGCCAGCCTCAAACATATGGTCTGGGCATCAAGGAAATCTGGGAGATCCAGCCCGAGAAGTTCCAGTCGGGCGAGATCACCCACTCAATGGGATACCCGCTGCCCAAGGATACGTATGGTGGTGCATGGATGTACCACTTCGGCGACAACATGGTCAGTATCGGTCTGGTAGTAGGACTGGACTATCCGAACCCGTGGCTTTCGCCGTACCAGGAGTTCCAGAAGCTGAAGCAGCACCCCATGTTCCGGGACGTGCTGGAGGGCGGCAAGTGTATCTCCTACGGCGCGCGTGCCTTGAACGAGGGTGGCTTCCAGTCGATCCCCAAGTGCGCGTTCCCCGGTGGTGCTCTGATTGGCGACACGGCTGGATTCCTGAACGTCCCCAAGATCAAGGGTACTCACACTGCGATGAAGTCGGGCATGATGGCCGCCGAGGCCACATTCTCGGCCCTGCAAAGCGAAAACGAGGGCACGGTGTTCCTGTTCGACTATGAGAAGGCTCTGCGGGAATCCTCCATCTGGAAGGAGCTGTACGAGGTGCGCAACATTCGCCCCTCGTTCAACACGTTCCTCGGCTTTTGGGGCGGCCTGCTCTACTCCGGATTGGAATCTATGATCCTTCGCGGTCGTGTGCCCTGGACCCTGAGCCACCATGGCACAGATGCGGCGGCTACCAAGCCTGCTTCACAGTACCAGAAGATCGACTACCCCAAGCCCGACGGCGAGATCACCTTCGACGTCCTGACCAGTGTGAGCCGCACGGGGACCAACCACGAGGAGGACCAGCCGGTGCACCTGCAGGTGAAGGACTGGGAGAAGCACAAGGACCTGGCCTGGCCTGTGTATAAGGGCGTGGAGAACCGGTTCTGCCCGGCGGGTGTGTACGAGTACGTCGAGGACTCCACCAAGCAGCACGGTGTCCGGTTCCAGATCAACGCGCAAAAGTAAGTCTCGCTTCCTTGAGGAGTGTATTCGACGTGTGTGCATGACGGGTTGAGGATGATGCTGACTGCGGACTGTTTCTAGCTGTATTCATTGCAAGACCTGTGATATTAAGGTGCCTACGCAGGACATCAACTGGCAGACCCCTCAGGGTGGTGAGGGTCCCAAGTACATCATGACATGAGCGCGCTTTGTGGTGGGCTGGGACTGGCGTTGTACTGTAGGTTTTGACAATGGATTGATTACCCGTCTGTATTGTATATATCCGTGAATACCAAAAAGACAGAGCGTTGTTTGTTTTTCCCACTTTTTCGAGGTGTTCCATTGAATGTAAGGACAAAAGTACGAGGTGCTGCATGGTCGTGGCAAAAAGGGGCCCCATGGGGGAGCGGGCAGAACCGTGGAATGAGGGTGGAGGTCCACGCGGCGGATCTACTACATGGCTCCTGGGCAGAACCGCACCCCCTATTGTCTGAACGAGCCTCAACGCCGGCTATCGGGTCATTTTTTGAACCAGCTTCCAGCACCCAACGTCCAATATCTCATATTCACCTATCGAGCAGGGCTGAGACTGGCAGTGTGAAACAGCACTCTCGGTGGGGACCACGTGGATCGCAGAAAAAGTGAGGCGGCCAGAGTTTCCAATCGTAGCGCCCACCGCCATCTCTGCCTTCTCTTTCTCTTCCTTCCCCCCCTCCTCTCCTCTTTTCTCCTGCCCGCCTGCACTTCTTGCGTCCCTCTTCTTTCCTCTTCTGCCGTGCAAAGCGTGTGTGCCCGAATTTCAACCCAACTAGCCCAACCCCTCCTACCCTCGCGACTGTGCGCGGAATTGGAGCACCGTCACCGTCCCTGATTCGACCTGCTACACCGTCTTCCGGTCGCCGGTTTCTCTTTGGCCACTGTTCCTTGTTGCATTGTCTTTTCTGCCCTTTCAGGATCACCCCCCATCCGGAGTGGCCTGACAGCCCACCCCGAACCGCCATGACGGAGGTTTCATCCACTCGACTCTATCTCGGGAACCTTCCCCGCAATGGTATGCTGGCAACCACCCTTTTCAGTCTCTCCTTCGGCATCTCTGGTCCCTGGATTTCTTTGTCCCCGCTCAAAGGCGCCCGCGGCCCACTTTCCTCGGAATATTTTGAGCCGCATGGAAACAACAGCTCCGGTCCCCGGGGAACTCGACCACTGATGTTTTTCTTCTCTTGACCCGCGGCTGACAGCCTCTGTGATCCAATGATTTGCAGTGACCAAACAAGATATCGAAGAACACTTCAGCACCCATGGCTCCGGCAAGATCACGGAGATCAAGCTGATGAACGGCTTCGGCTTCATCGAATATGAGGATGCCATGGATGCTCGGGACGTTGTGCCCGGTAGGTCCACTATATCCCCTCTACTAGCAGCCCTCCCTCCGTTTTGGGAGGGAACCGGTCTAAGCTTTGCTCTGCTAACTTTCCGGTCCTCTCGGTTTAGCTTTCCGTATGTGATCACATCGCGACCTGGATCACTAAGACTTGACTTCTCACCAACCACCCTGCTACAGATGGCTGTGACTTCAAAGGCGAGCGACTGACAGTGCAGTTTGCTCGTGGTCCTCGGCGCAAGGAGAACTTCCCTGGTCCCCCAGACCGCCCGGCTGTTCCTCGCCCCCGTCGTACCATGTTCCGGATGCAGATTTCCGGTCTCCCAGAAACTAGTTGGCAGGTTAGCAGCCCAAACCCATTCATTCCCTGGATGCGCTGGACCCCCATTGCCTTGCCTGGATATCCCCTCTTCCTACCTGAACCTTGCCATGCTGTGCCTTGCAGTCTGTCATCCGTGCTGCTGCTGGGGTATCGGCCTTGACTCCTGGAACCTCGGACCCTTTGCACTTGTCGGTCCGGGTGATATGGACGAGGCCCCATCCTGGTGTGCTTCAATTCTGCTGGACCTCCAAAATGACCGAACAGTTGAAGCGTGGCCTTCGTTGGATTCCGGCGAAGAATCCGTTTCAACGAGGCCATGATGGATTCCAAAGCCCGCTTTGACTGGACGTAGACCACCATCCTTTTTCCTGCCCAACTCTTCTTTATGGACTTTGCCGGACACTCTTGCTCTTCTTCCTGGACCTGGACTCACCATACCTTCTTTAGGACTTGAAAGACTTTGCTCGCCAGTCAGGACTGGACGTGGTCTACTCCGAGACCGGCCGTGAACAAGGAAGAGGGTGGGTCCTCCATCTATATCCCGAGCCACTTATCCCCAGGCTCTCTCTCTACCTCTCCATTTCCTCTCCCATTAACACGGAACACAAGGTTTGTTGAATTCGAAACCGCCAACGACCTCAAGACCGCCGTGGAAAAGCTGGACCAGCGCGAATTCAAAGGCTCGCGCGTGACTTGCGTCGCGGATGTAAGGACCCAGCCTTTACCCCGGACATAACAAACCCTCGTAGTCTCAAAAGGAACCACCCTGTCTCATCTTTTTTTCAGATCCAAAGCTTTGAAGACCGTCCCGTCCGTGATCCCTACCGGTCCCGCTCCCCACGCCGGCCCTACCCTCCCATGGATGAATACGACCGAAGATTCCCCGCCCCCCGTGGATACAGTCCTCGGGACCACTACCGTGAACGGTCACCCGTGCCCATGCGCGGGGGTTACTATGACCGCGATGGCTATGGCCGCCGAACCCCGCCACGCCCCCGGATGGAGGACTACCCTCCTCCCCGTCGTCCATACGAGGATCCCTATGATGCCCGGCCTCCGCCCCCGCCGCGCCACTACGATGACCCATATCTAGCGGCGCGGCCGTACGGCCGGCCCCGCTCCCCGCCGCGAGGTGACTACGTCGCATACGAGCGTCCACGCTACTGGTAGATGGCCGTCTTGTCGTTTTTGTCGTTTGCTCTCATGCTCGTTTGCCCTCAGCCCTAGCGCTTTTGGATGGATTCTGCAGGTTCTTTTCTTCCTCTACTACCCAGCCAAATACCCATTCCGTCTCGTATCATGTGCTTTCCGATGGGACCGCGCGTTTTTTATCTGCCGAGGTTTTTCGCATGTTCTCTCCTGGCCAGGGCCGTCCATCCTCCGGAATATATCCAGCAGCTCGCTATGCAGACGTCCCGGCATGCCCGGCATAGGGCCCAGGCCATAGCGTGCAATGTACCAACGAAGGAATCCGGCTGATGGAAATCTCCCCTTAGCCGACTAATGTATCTGCAACTACAATACCCTGATTTTCGATCCCGGTCGCCGGGTGCTTTGCTTTGCTTTGCTTTCCTTGCCTTTATTTCCTTCCGCCGAATTTTACTTGTGTGTACACATAGCGCAGGTTTCGGGGACAAAGGACGGAGCGGTGATTATGTTTGATTTATGCTTATCGACTTCTGCGCTCTCCATTGTCGACGACAGTGCTTTTCAGCCACGACCATGGTGGGTATGGCGTCGGGAACACCAATCGGCCGTGCTAATCTACGTCTTGTCTGGTCAGATAGCGATTGTCTGGTGGTAGACCAGCAAACTACGAATGCGGATGTCAAGTGGTATCTTCAAGATGTAGACGGACATTGTTCAAGTAGGGATCAGTGCTGGGTCAATGGCGGCCCTTGGTACTGGTAGGATCGTTGCTCCTGGGGGGTCAGCTGTCTGAGGGGCTCGTGCCGTCATGATCTGCGCCCCGCCGAAAAAACCTCCCGAGCTCCTCTCCCCCCACCATCATCCAACTTTGAGAAGGAATGCTGGTCACAGGGCGGACCAGATTGCAATTCAATACTTGGACAACTCTGCACGAAAATTCAATTGCCTGGCGATAAACTTCAGCACCTTTGCTTCTTCCAGTCGATATCGGAGCCGGATCGAGCTTCCCGCGCCTCTTTGACTCAGACGGCCAACCTCTCAGCACAGAAGCTACCTCTATAATTCCCCTACCTCCCAGCGGAAAACCATCCAAGCACCGCACTCAAAGATGTCCTCCCCCCGCTCTGCCGTACACATCCCCCAGCCTCCCGCTTTCCTCGACAGCGTCTGCCTCCGCGACATCGAGCTCCCACTCCCTGCAGCCCCAGACCCATGGCACCGCCCCGACAAACCCCAGCCCTGCACTGCAAGCCTAAAGCTCTCCTACTCCTCCGCGATCGCTGCCGCAGAACAAGACGATGTCTCGTTGTCACTCGACTACGGCAAACTCTTCCGCCGCCTGGAGAGCGACATCCGTGACATGGCCCACCACAGCACGTCGCCGGAGCACCCTCACCACCGCATGATCAGCGTCGACGGCACGCAGCGCGAGGAAATGAAGGTCAGCGAGGTGGGCCAGGATCCCCGCGTCACGGCCGGGATCGTGGCGAATTGCGGTCTCGGTTTGCTGGACGAGACGGCCGCCGGCGTGCGCCGCATGGCGCATGTGCACCAAAGTCCGCGGAATAGCTTCTCGGGTGCGCCGCCTCCCGTACCTGCAGCGGCTTCTTCGTACCCGATTGCAGCGGACTATGGAAAGTGCGAGGTGTGGCTGCATTTGCCGAAGGCACTGCTGCGCGCGGAAAACGGGCTCAAGTATCGCAGCGTGACGGTATGGGGCTATAAGGGTGGGGCGGATGCGGAGGCCTTGGACTCGGCGGCGCGGTCTCCTGTTGTATTGGAGGAGGAGTTCCGCATTGAGGGTATCCGCTGCTACTGCATTCTGGGGGTGAACTCGCATGAGCGGGTTGAAAAGCAGGCTGTTATTATTTCGCTGGGCTTCGAGGGGCCTGGGCAGTTGGCTTGGGGGTCGACTGCTGTCGATACGTACGTGGCTATGACAAGGGCCGTTGCCGAGGTATGTGGCTTTTTTTCAGATACCTTCATTCTTATCGAACTAATGTGAATGTTGTATATAGAAAGTCGATGAGACCACGTTTCAAACCGTCGAGGCGCTGGCAACTTTCGTGGCTCGCATCGTCACAGTGGACTTTGGCAACGAGCGCGTGACGGTGTGCGTCGAGAAGCCTAGTGCCTTGGCGTTTGTTCAGCGCTCTGGCGTTGAGATCACTCGGTCGCAGGCATTCTTCGAGAGCCACGAGGTGGCGCGCCGGTGAGGCTTCCCGCGATGATGTGCAGATCGGGCCGACGATCGATCGTGCCTGCTGCGGGCGCTCCCGAGGAGGGTGAACCGAAGCTACATATTGTATGTGTTTGATTATTTTCTGTCTTGATCAAATGAACAATTGTAAGGACTGAGATGTCTGGAAAACAATCAGAGGATTTTTTTTCATCGCAAGTGTGGTTTGGTGTGGCCAGCAAGAGACGGTAGAGTAAGCCTGCATCTGGGTAGCTTCACTTTCCTTTCCAGTCTGCTGCGTAGACAAGTAGTGTGAGGGGCAGAGTGCGATACAATATAATAATTCGATCTTTTATGCAACCATAATGTATGCTGGCTATCCCTTGAAACCTCTCTTTATCCGAGACGTCTTTTCAAAGACCACTCAGAGCTCATACATTGTCCATGCCTCGCACGTGAACACCGGATCCGGTTTAGCCCGGAGGTCCCCCCGGATTTACACCCGAAGGCGCTCATTTTTGTCAGCTTGGTCTCTCTCACCCTTCCATCTCATTCACGTTCTCTCTGGGAGCACAGAAGCTCTTACTCTCCCGATACACTTCAGATCAACCTATCAGTCGTCCTCGCGATTTCTCTATGTGCCTGTCTGCGCTGCCCTCGCTCGCCTCGACCTCCCTGACCAGCTATCTGGCCAACCTTCACCTGCTTACCTCCCAGCACTACGACCACCGTGCCCCTCCCAACGCCCTCGCCGTGACCGAATATCCCCAGCTGACCCCGTCCGCCTTGGCCTTCCACTCCGCCGTTGGCGAGGTGATTTGGCTAGGGGTCCCGGGTCCGTCCTGAAGCAGGGCGGACGGTAAAATTACTCGAGGGATTGCGATCTGGCTCAGAATCAGCTAGAAAGAAACCGCGCTGTTCTCAGCTATCAAGTTGAGGTTGGTGCCTCTCAATTTTCCCCTGAAAATCCGAATGGTGGTGGTCTTTATCTTTTTTGCGATTGGTGGGGCGAAAAGTCTCATGCAAAAGCTCCATTTACCCCTCCACAAATGTGGTCGCGAGCAAACCAGCGGCTGAAGCTAACATGGATGTTTTTACACGCATAGCGGCTTCCATATAGGCGTCTCGGGTATCAATTTGCCATAAACACCGCTGGTGTGCCCTCAATTGCTCCGCCCCCACTCCCGGATTGCGACTATCGCCGGCGCCTCCTACCTGGAACGATTTTGAGGCTCTTTCGAAGCTCGAACCCTCACTTGGAACTCTTGGTTGCTGTGACGATCTTCTTCGAGCATCATGTTTTCCTCCGCGCCTCACGATGATCTCTCTGTTGGAGATGTTTTTACTCCGCAGGCCGATAGCGCGCAGCCCTCTGCCGTCGACATTCCGACCAATCACCACCTCACGGGTGACCACATGGGTGACGACCGGCTGTCGCCGCGCAAGCAGATAGCCAATTATCGGTCCAACGGGGACAGCGCGATGCAGCCAGCGGCCTTTCACCCGAATTTATTGACGGGCAAGCAGCGACGGAAGAACAAGAAAAAGAAGCAGGTCGCGCAGGTGGACCCGGCGCTGTCGACGGTCCGCGGCTTCACACCGCTGGTCTCCGCTGACGAGGACTCGGATTTCTCGACGACTAGCTCCCGCGCTGCGGAGTCACGCCCGGCGACCTCTAGGGGTGGAGCAAGTCCTCGGGCTCAACCGAGTTCGGGCCATGGGGTGAGCGCGTTGAAGCTCCAGCTCGATTTGCTAAGTCTCTCTGGAAAGCCTACGGCGGGCACCGACAGTCTTTACTCCGGAACCCCCAGTAACGCAAGTGTGTATTCAGACAGTGATCAGACCGAGGTTTTGACGAGCTATGAAGTGCCTCTGGAGCATGATTTCGTCAGTGCAGACGCCGTGAAGGAAGAGGGACCTACCGACAAGAGCCCGGAGATGGTTGGCAATGGTGTGGATATGCGGAGTCAGCTCTGCCGCAAGATGACTGCAGACGACTTTGAACCCTTGCTCTGCCTTGGCAAGGGCTCGTTCGGAACCGTCTTGCTCGTCCGCCATGTCGTCACGGGCAAGCTCTACGCCCAGAAGCAGTTCAAGAAAGCCTCGATCACTGTGCACAAGAAACTCGTGGAGCAAACTAAGACAGAGCGTATGATTCTGGAGAGCGTCAACCGGCACCCGTTCGTGGTGAAGTTGTTTTACGCGTTCCAGGACCACGAGAAGCTCTATCTGATCCTGGAGTACGCTCAAGGCGGCGAGCTATTCACCCACCTCGCCATGGAACGCATGTTCCAAGAAGACGCCGCGGCCTTCTACATGGCCGAGATGGTTCTCGCCCTTGAGCACTTACACCAGAACGTCGGCGTCTTGTACCGCGACCTCAAGCCCGAGAACTGCCTCCTTGACCGCGAGGGCCACCTGCTCCTCACCGACTTTGGGCTAAGCAAGATCGCGCTTAGCGACGATGACCGCTGCAACTCCCTCCTCGGCACAATCGAGTACATGGCCCCCGAAGTGATCCAGGGCAAACCGTACGGCAAAGCATGCGACTGGTGGTCTCTAGGCGCGCTGGGCTTTGACCTGCTCACGGGGTCCCCGCCCTTCCGCGCTAACAACCACACTAAGCTGCAGGAGAAAATTGTCAAGCAGAAGCTCGTTCTGCCGTACTTCCTCGGCCCCGACGCAAAGGATCTACTCATCCGCCTGCTCCGCAAAGACCCGACCAAGCGACTCGGCTACCACATGACCAAAGACCTGCCGACGATCAAGAAGCACCGCTTCTTCCGCAAGATAGACTGGGCGGCCCTGGAGCGCCGCGAGGTCGACCCCCCGATCCAGCCGATTGTTACGGACCCTGCGCTAGCCGAGAACTTCTCCGCAGATTTCACTCAGATCCCACTGAGCCCGACGGTGACGGGTGGGTTCGACGAGTTTTTTGCTGAGGGCCGATCTCGTTTGTCGTCGAGTGCTACGGGCCAGATGTCTGGTGAGGCGGATCCGTTTGGCGGATTTAGCTTTGTCGCTTCGAGTAGCTTGCTGGACCATGGACTTGGGGTGGCGGCGGGATATTAGGCGACGTATCGGTCCTACGATCCACCTAATTATATATCTTTCGTGTTTTTTACTTCTGGCAGTTTCGGTTGCCTTGCATTTTTGTCTCTTATCTCATGGTTGGTGATGCTCTCTACCCTGCTTGGTATTCCTCCAGCCTTGTATCGTCGTATGCAAGCCGTCTTGTTTGGAGTACGCGGCATCAAGTGTGCAGTGTGTTCAAAAGTACAGCATTTTATCTCCAAGCGCTCTTACGAGGAAGGCATTGTTCGAAACCGCGTTGCATAAGTACTATTCTTCATCATTTAGAATTTTTCATAGATGTCATTGATGTACAGTTAGTTCATCCACCTGCCCAGCAAGTAAAAACCAAGCAACGCAGAGCCAAGCAAAACAGCACCTATAGGTCTGACCAGTTCTGTCCGCGCCTCCTCCTAACTCCCAATTGCTATACCAATTATGTTCTAGATTTCGCCCTCTTCGCTTCCGGCCCCTTCCTCACTAGCGTTTCCCTTTGGTGCAGACGATGGCCCTCGCTCGGTTGGGCCCGTAGAGGCTGCAGGAGCGGTATTCGGTTCGACTCCCTTGGAGTCTGAGACTTCACCTTCTTCGGCGCTGGTCTCTTCTCTTTGAAGATTCCGTGCGGGTGATGTGTGGGTATGTTGGTTGTGTGTCTCGCTGGAGAGTCTGTCGACCGGTTTAGACTGCCGGGCTGCTTCCATTGCGCGAAGGGGAATGCGCGGGCGAGCTGTCGCTGTGGATGGCGAGGCTGTTGCGCCTGCGCCAGGTTTGGGTGAATCGGTGCACTGGCGTTTCGGGGAACGCCCTCCGTTGAGAGATGAGGGTGGTTGTGTGGCTGGTGTTGGCTGGCGGTGTTCCTGGGATTGGGGCTCCGGCTCGCGCGAGCGTTTGCGTCCATTGAGTGTGGACGGGTCGCTGGGTGTGCTGAGAGAGGGTGTAGGCACTGGCTCGGCGGTGGGATCGTTATTGAAGAGGCGGGTTGGGTCATTCGGGTCTGCGTCTGAGAAGGCGAAGTCCGGGTAGCCCTTGCTAAGGTTTTGCTGGACGCGCTCGTAGATCTTGACGATCAGCTTGCAGGCGCGAATAAGCTCGTCTACTTGGACGTCAATTTGCTCCCACCATGGTCGGCCGTGAGAGTCGTCTGGGAAAGCGATCTTGCAGTGGCGAGCTGCGGCGTAGAGAGCTGCAGCGGCGATGACACGCGGTTGGAACTGCAGGCAGAGCACCGTGTAGGTGGAGTCGTTGAGGAAGGCATATGCAGCATGGCGGAGGGGCCTGTTATCTCCCACACCGAAGAAAAGAGAGTAATCCCAGAGAATGCGGTAGGGCGACTCAAGTTGTAGGTCGAAGCAGAGAAACTCGAGCATGACACTCTCATTCTGCAGGATCAGGTCGCGCCACTTCCAGTAGTCCTTCGACTGCTCGTCCACAACCAGGTCAGGCTGCTTCATAGCAACGCGGCAGCATGCCACGACGAAATCTTTCATGCGGCGCATCGTTTCGTCCACCTTGAACGCAACGAACAGCGCGACAGCCGCAATGACCTTTGGGTGCATGAGGTCCGCCGCAACCTCCGGGTATTGCCCGCGTAGGGAGTAGCGCATGAGAAAGCGGTGCATGAATACAGTTGCCGTCTGCGACGTCTGCGGCGGCATCTTGAGCATCATGCCAACCTGCCAGATGAACTCGACAGCGCGGTGCCGAATGTAATCCTCCTTCTCGCGGTCGATCTTGTCGATACGCGACGGCGTGCGCTCGAGCTCATCGTCGCTGAATATCCATTTTTGCTGGGCGGCCGCAACGACCGGGTTCGGCAGGCCGGGGATGCGGTCTCTTGGCGGTGCTGGGGACGCGGAGGCTTCCATTTGGTGCTGCACGACCGAGGCCTACAGCGAGGCGGGGTAGGCGGAAAGGGAGGTGAGGAGGACGAAAGTAGTGAGTGGCCACCTGACTCCCTGACTCTCACAGCAGCAGCAAGTGAAGCGCGCCCGCGCGCGTACTTTGTAGAGGGTTCTATAGCTTCCTATCCCAGGCTGGGTGTTGCTTTGTCCAATCGCGCATAGCGGAGCTTTTCATCGCATCTCCGGGGTCGGAGGATTGTATAGTAATTCTGTAGGGAGGTATCGATAGTGAGCGTGTTGAATGAAGGTTCTCCGGCGCACAGAGCTCGATTCAAAGCAGAGATGGGCGTCTTCCGCCGCGGTGAACGCAGTGAAAGCTGCTCGGAGCGGATTAACTGGCTGCCCCGAGCCCTGCTACTGGCCAGCTGTGATATACAATATGAGATAGAGAGCAAATGCGTGAATTTTACTGTGAATAGCGAGATTAGGGCACTTGGAAAAGGCAATAAATTGATAGTCATCGGAGAAACAAAGAAATAGACTTGGAAGTTGCTAGCTGTGAGTGCTGCAACCTAACACTGTCTGCCACCTCCCTGATTACCGCATTTGGCCATCCTCATCCACTTAGTCTTCATCGTTACCTAACCTCCCATATTCAAACATAAAAGCGACCAGATTTCATGGATAACTATCTTTTATCCGATCATCTATTTGTTTCCCTACCACCCATGTTACGAAGAAATATCAGCTCAAGAAAAATAAGAGCCTGAGCCGACAAACAGCATGCTCTTACATTTTTCCTCGAGAAACTAATGTCAACATCCTAATTCACGGTATCGAAATCCAATTATACCAATTAAAAGCACGATTATACCAATTCTTAGGTCATTGAATCTTACGACACATCCCCCGAACAACTCGTTGTCGCGCCACTTGACCACCGTCCTCTCGCACTAAATTACATATCTCTCTATATATCGACCACTCTCTATTAGCCAGGGCAATACGATTCGTCAATTAAAGTTGACCATTTCCTCTATCGACCTATCGACTCCCGAAGCCGCCGCTAAGGCAACCCTATACGAGTTTATTGATAGATATATTCGGGAGAAGATTACTATTGCCGACTAGGTCATCGCCAATAATATAGTATAGAAGATTTAGGACGGCGGCGTGATCGTGACGTTCGCTAGCAGCTCCATCGTCAAGTAGACTCTCCTACTAGCAGGTAGTAGCGAAGGGAAGCGGTTCCGGGTATCGATCATCGACTTACGCCCGCTCTTCGAGGGTAAGAACCTCGCTCGCGCACTCGCTAATATCGGACACGATGTGCAGTATTCACTTATGTACGGCGTCAGCCACGCTATAAAAGACGCAACCAAGGCCTTCCTCGGCGCACACGCCATAATAAGTAACGGCCGATTGTACTTACGCGTCGGAACCGCCCTACCTAGTCGCCATGTCCGCCAAAGAACGCGTAGGCGGCGTCGAAGTCCCTGCCATCGTGTGCTATTAGATAGTTAAGTTCACCGACAAGGTGGCCCTCGAGAGTATCGTGGTCAACGAAATCGCCGACGCCGACGAGCTAATCTCTTGCCAGCTCCCACAACAAGTAACTAGTCTCGCTGACCCGGCTGCATTTCACTACTACCCCGGTCGACCCTAAGAAGGGAGGCAAGACGGTCTCTAAAGAACCTACCTGCTCCCTCTGTTTCATTCCTGCCCCGCCTACTTCGCCTCTCACTAAATAGAAGGATACCTCCAACTTGCAGCTACTAAATATTATGTACGATGTCACCCCTGCGGAGTATGTGGATATGGTCGTGGCGGAGATGGGTAGCTTGCCGCCTAGTGCTGTCCCTATCGTGCATCGGATGAGTATGGGAACAAAGCCGAGTTGGTAGCACGCGTGCGGAGTCACCTACCTTCGCGTAGGCCCTCACGGGGGTGCAAGTATCTAGGTTCGAATCCTGGGCTCGGTCGTCCTTTTTTCCCTCACCACCTCTTATTAAAAAGCTATATGCTAAGTTAAATTCTGCCAAATTACAGTAACGAAATTATCTCACACGTAAGATATAGTTCGGCTTTGGGAAGAATTCAAGTCTACTTTCCACTTAAGATCCACTTCGTCGATCAATCTTGGACCCAACTTATAACTTGACACCCGTTTGACGTAGGCTTGTATCACCACTAGGCTTGGAAATACCTCGCTTATCATCCTATCTATTATGTAGGAATATCATCTTCTTTACCACTCACAGGATAGCTTGTACGCTACTACTACTGACCTAGATACAATTTCCACCCTGTCCACTTCGAATCATTCCCACGTCCCCCTTTGTGCTTCAATCATTTCGAAGCAACCCTGTCCTCCCTCCCGTTCAGCCCGAGCCTTTCTCAGCCGTAGCCTCCATTCATTAACTTTCCCCTGTGCCACTTTCTCCCCCAAATCTACCAATATGGTTGATTTAGCTAGATGAACCTTAGACATGCCAGCTAAGGTTTATCAAGGCCCCTGGGTTATAATTTGCGAGTACGTCCCGTCCTACCTGGCCTTCGAGTGCATCCACAGCGAACTTCCAGCAGCGAGCTCTCTTCCGGCGTAGACCTGGGAGAGCTTGGCTCGGTCAAACAATAGCCAGTCCCTGTCAATAATATCCGCTGTAATGGATGGGTCATTTGCCTACCATGGAAACAACCACCTATTGATTGATAGATTGGCTCTGCTCTGAGCGCATGTATCCCCGTACTGGACGAAACGCCAGATTGCTTGCTACCAAAATCTGGAAAACTATAGTCGTTTGATTTCGACAGAACATAGTACAAATGCACACGATGGCCATGTTCCTCCATCTGGGCGGACTTGGTCTATCTCTGTCTTCTGATTCTAGTCTGGAGTTCCTTATAAAAGTAATCCCACCGATTTGGCTCCTATCCTTGGGTTTTCTTTCCAGTCCTGTATTTTGCAAAGTTATTGGAAGTCGCCACTGGGTGTTGGTACTGCTAGGCTAGTGGACTCGAGCAAGTCCCAGGAATTTCGCGCTGTCCGGGATACATGGTCATTCCTCTATTCTGAGACGAGACTCCAACCAACGCGCATAAGTGCTCTGGAGAGAACGTTAAAAGATATGCTTGAATGCCATCAGGCTTCAGTCTTTAACAAGGCGCTAATGGTAACACTTTGCTTTACGTGCGTGGGATATAAATGTCTAAAGTATTTCTAGGAATAAGTGAAGGTGGTGACACCAGTTTCGGGAAGTACGGTATTAAGGTTGCCATGGTCCGTTCGAAATATCTTTGTCTTGTTTGGCATCAAGTGTTGGAAATACGTAGAATTGCCCACGGAATCGAAGTAAGAAAACGAGGTAACATAAAGGGTTGGGCCTAGTAATTAGTCCACAGCAAAATGGTATCTCTGGTCCTACACCTAAGCGCCACGCTGATATGCAAAGGTAGAATACCCGAAATTTGACAATGCTTACTCCTCCTCGCTCACCTCACTCTCATCATCACTGGCCACATGATATCGTGTTTGACCATACTGATGGCTACGTGCCTCTTCCTCGCGCGCACTCTCTTCGAATGCGGCCTCCATTTCTGCGGCCAGCGCATCATCGTCTTCCAGGTCATCTCCGGTGTCGGCGGGAGCCGAGGAAGCGAGGGTGGTATTTCTGACTGGAGAGGGCAGCCGGAAGGATTCCATGTCTTCACCATCATCATCCTCTCTGTCGTCGGCCGGCGTATTATTCGAGGAGAAGTAGGCGGGGTTGACTTTGAATGTTCGCGAAGGGGGTGGCGAGCCCATGTCGATGATCAGGTCGCCGTCAATGATGATGTTGGGTGACTGAGCCGACTGCTGAGAGCCGCCCCCAGAGCCTGCATCTGATACCGACAGGCGAATATCATCTTGGTCGACTGATGGCTCTGCGCGAGAAACTGGCTCGGGGAGTGGCTCGGGAGTCGGCTGCTTGGGAAGTTTCGGCTTGACAGCCGGCTTCTTCGGTAGACGCTTGGTTTCTCGGAGAGGGTTTGCTTGAGACTTTGGTCGAGGTGCAGGCTTCGCGGTGGGTTTGGTGGGTGGAAAAACGGGCGTGTTGGCTTTGCTGGTGTAGATCGGCTCTGGCGTAGAGTTGCGCGAGGTCGGCTTGACATCCTCGGCACCATCCTTGGGAAGGAAATGTCGAAAGTCATACGGATTACTGTCATCCGCTGGGCCTTCGTCTTCGCTGGCGCTTCCACCATTGCGATCGTCACCCGATGTGTGATCCTCCTCCTGCACTATCCGTAGCTGCTCGTATTGTTCCAGAACTTGCTTCTCCGTCTTCCCCGGCGCCGATCGTAGATTGAAGTTCAGTTTGGTGGAGACCGGCTCCAACACAAACACTTTCCGATCAGGATCGAAGACCAGGACGAGATTGCGCTCTCCGGCCGGGTCTTCGCTGCCTTGGTATGAATACGTCAGGGTGTGATCGGCGCTCGGGGCCTTATCGGTGACGGACAAATCGTAGAGTTCGCGCGACCGGGAAGAACGGGCGATAATCGATCGCTGTTGAGGTGTCGCCGCCTTGGACTTATAGTTATAGTTGACGTTGACCAGGCGACTTGAGTCTGTCTTTCTGGCGAGCTGCTCACCCAGGACAATGGGGTACTCGGCCTGCTTGGTCGGGTCGATCATGGTGGACAGCGTGGGGGCGGCCATGATTCCGCGCAGAAATCAATAGAAGTGAGCGATAGAAAGAGAATTGGAACGAGGAGGGGAAGGAAAAGGGGGAGGGGCGGATCAGAGGTTCGGAGAGGGGAGACAAAGGAGTAGGAGGACGAGGAAGGGAGGAGGTCATGAACCGGAAGTCACAGAGAGAGAGGAGGGTGACACAAGGCGCAAACACGGGGAAAGGCGGAGACCCACGGTTGAAGGTGGTGAAGTCTGATTAGCGTTTAGCCCAGTCAACTGGGCTTGGCATCTACACTGAACGAATGAGGTGTTTAAAGATATCTGAATCAATATCTACCAGCCAGGGTCAACTTAAACAAGAATAGTCAAGTCTGCGCTGGTATTGAGAGGGTATCATGCTATACCACTGACTCTAGAAGAGAGGCCCCTCAGGTTCAAACAGGCAACCCATCCACGCCACACCGCTCTCGTGTCTTATACTCTTCTACGGAGACACACGTTCTCTTCAACTTGTTAGTACTCAGGTCTAAGCTCGTTTGACTTGTTTGTTTCGCGCACAAGTATACCAATCGGGAAGGGCAGATGTAGCTGTGATTTACAGTGACTTTTGAGAAAACACCCCGCCAACATTTCGGCATTTCACACATATAGTCAAGATCATGCCTACTTCCAACAATCAGACTGACTGGGACATCCAGTTTCTCATTTACTTGTAATGGCGGTAGGTATGTCAATTGGTAAAAGTACACAGGTTTCCCACTCAATGCACTGGCACTCGACTCGTCAATTGCTCCAACCGCCCGGCTAATGCCCGATGTTTGCGCATCACATCTTCCCAATCATACGAGATGTCCTCTTCGCCACTCAACTCCGTCAGGATCATGCTAAAGTCACCTCCCAGCCGACCAAGACTAGCCGCACAGTACAGCAGCTGCGTCAACAGACTCTCTCTCGAGCTGCGATCGCGGACATTAGGAAGATATGCCCGCATGGTATCCGTAAGTAATCGCACGAGGTGCATCGGGAATGTGGCTAATGCCGAGGGGAGTCTTTGTAACGGATCATGCGGTCGCGCCGATGGTGACTTGGCCTGATGGGCCTCAGCAGGCCCCAGGCCTGAGACAGCCGGTTCTGAATCAGACTGCTCCGAACTGAAGATGTTCTTGTACAACGAGACAATGGCGAAACTCTGCTCGCGGAATATTTCAATGTACCGCTTCAGATAGCGGTCTGTTTGCTGACCCCCGGACCAGGTGTCGGATTGGTCTTTGCCATGGGTTCTCCGCTGGGTTTCTTGGTCGGCAAGCTCTCGCAGTGGATCCAACGCCTCCAGAGTCGATACCAAGTGCGCCAGGCGACAGACCAAGAAGATGGCGCCCAGCGCTCCTTCTCCGGTACCTGTTGCCCCTTGACTCTGGAGACTCTCCAGATCTGGTGCGACTCGCCGCAGCCAGCCTACGGTTCGCACGCCAGCTGCTAGGCGTAGGTTCTGCGAGCGAAGCCCCGCGATCAGATTGGTAGTCATTTCCTTCATTGCATCCTCCGCCTGGGACACCACATCTTGAATTAATGGTGATTCGGGGTATAGTGTCTGGAGTCGCTTGATATGTGCATGTAGGTCGAGAGCTGAGGAATAGGTAGTAGAGGCTGCGGACACGCCGGGGTTGGCAGACGCCGCAGATACTGCAGTGGACAGCAGGGAGGGTAGTTCGAGGATATCGGACAATCGGTCGACATTGCGCGCCAGCTGCACGGCTTTCTTCCTTCGTTCCAGGGCGGCATTATCGGTGATCTTGCTGTATTTGGTGGAGAAGCTGACGGCCTGCTCATCGAGCTTCGGAATGGCATCGCGGAGTTGCTGCGCCTCGCTGGCTAATTGTGGTATGGATGAGCGAAGTGTGGATAGATGATCGGCGGAAGTAATGAAGGCTCGATGGGAGCGGTTGGATAGCGCTTGTAGAGAGAGGAGGGTCGAGTGGGAGGATTGGGCGAGGGATTGCGGTTCGGTGGTCTGGAGAGCATCCAGGGACAAGGTGGATAGGCGATTGAGATATAGTGAAGCCGTAGCATCGTTGGGCTGTGGCGTCTCCAAGTATGGAGACAGCAGCTCTAGCAGCGAGTCGGCCATTTGGTCTCGTTGGCGAAGTTGCTTGTGTTGCGTAAAGCGAGCGCGCTGAATGGAGGCCAGAGAGGCGTACGGTGGGCCGTGCGGCCAGTTTGCGCATCTCCGCACTGTCTCCGTCATTTTCCGTCTTTTCTTCATCATTCAACACCTCATCCATTGCGGTCCAAAAGGCTCAAAAACGGGTTTCAGAGGCACTGGCAACTGGATTGTATTGACTGAAGTACTTTCTGCTCCGTTATTACCATCTTCACCCCTCCCCCGCATCCCCGCTGCCCTTGTCCCACATGCCCCTTCAGCCATGGGGAAACCTCGGGTAAGCAAGCAGTCCTACCGGACAGAGTCTGTCGATGCTTGAGTTGACCTGCTTCTGGCTGTAGATGATAATCCTCGTCCGTCATGCGCAATCGGAAGGGAATAAGAACCGCGATATCCACCAGACCATACCCGACCACCGAGTCAAACTCACGCCCGAAGGACACCGACAAGCACTGGAGGCAGGCCGTCGGTTGCGCGACCTTCTACGGCCCGATGACACCCTGCATTTCTTCACATCTCCATATCGCCGGACAAGGGAGACGACTGAAGGTATCCTTGAATCATTAACTTCAGACGATCCTTCGCCCTCGCCGTTTCCGAGACATGGGATCACGGTCTACGAAGAGCCCCGGCTACGAGAGCAAGACTTTGGCAACTTCCAGCCATGTTCGACAGAGATGGAACGTATGTGGATGGAGCGGGCAGATTACGGCCATTTCTTCTACCGCATCCCTAACGGCGAGTCGGCCGCGGATGCCTACGACCGAGTGAGTGGGTTCAACGAATCGCTATGGCGAAGCTTTGGCGATGAGGACTTCGCCAGCGTATGCGTTCTCGTCACGCACGGCCTCATGACACGGGTATTCCTCATGAAGTGGTACCACTGGAGCGTGGAGTACTTTGAGGACCTCCGCAACATCAACCACTGCGAGTTCGTAACTCTGATCCTCAATCCAGACAACGGCAAATACACCCTCCAGAACAAACTCCGCACATGGTCAGAGTTGACCAAGGAGCGAGAACTTGAGAGAGAACGTGAACGAGCGACGAGTGACCACGGCGTGACTTCCATCGTTCCATCCGACCATACCCCCATCCGCAGGAAATGGGGCGGTTGTCCCGACGGATGTACTCATGGCTTGACGGGAGATGCAAAGTCATTTCGAGCACAAGTAGTGGATACTATCCATCGTGGAAGTGGACCTGTACGGAAAAATGTCGATACACTCCCCGATCAACCGTCACCACTCAAGCAGGCCTCGACTACATCCGATGGCCTAGATGGGTCGCTCTCCTCCCTATGGGAAAATAACAACCACAACCAACACGGCGACAACTACAGCTCACAGTCCACAAATGAGACCCAGGTCCTCTACAGGCGCTCCTCCAGCTCGGATACCCACCAAAATGGCAGCTCTCGCCCCGGCCGCCCCAGCCTCGGCGCCCACCGCGACAGCGAAGACTACCTCCTGCATCCCCCAGCCTCAACCGCATCCACAGCAACCCTCAAAATGGCCCTGCTGCACCTAGGCGGCCGCGACGGCGGCGGCTCCATGAGCGGCGCAAACAGTATCGCCGCATCCGACGACGAAGCCGAGGACCACCACCACGATCACCACCACCGTCCTCGCGCCGTGACGTCCGTTCCCACCGACAAACACGCACATGCGCACTCGCACTCGCACCCCGGAGCCAACCCGTCGCAAGACCTCGAAGACGACGGCGACGACGAGCTCAGCGCACATCCAACGGAGGATTTGAGGCGTCGCCCGCACCATCACCACCATCACCATCACCACATCGTGCACCCGCGCACGCCCAGCCAACCCAGCCACCACAGACATACCTCGTCGACAGCGTCACAGCCACAACACAGAATGGCCAACATCCTCGGCGACGGCGACGACGGGATTACCACCGAAGACACGCAGGCCCCCCCGCAGTACCGGGTCTCGACCGGCGTCCGATTGTGAATCTGATGAAAATGAGAAGCTCTCTCTGGAGGCGCAGCAGCGTGCAGACCAGAGTATTCGGGGAAGTGTGTATTGAGCTAGATCGTCATTATGATCCGTGATCCGTGATCCGTGATCCGTGATACGTGATACGTGATACAGGGCTTGGGTTTGGTACAGGTTGCAATGGATATGTTTTGGTGATTCGATTTGCATGGATATGGGATATACAGGTGGATATGGATTACTGTAGGTTATGGGCCATGCGTTACGTTACGATTATACGAATGAGAATGACAGTGAACGATTCAGAGAATTATGGGCTCATCGCTAGTGTCTTTCTAGTCTAGATACTACCTGGGGCTGTAGGTCGATCTTAGGTGACATGAGGAACGGTTCGAGTCCTAATTCCAAAGCCACGCCAGGCGCGGCTCGGCTCGGCTCGGCTCGGCTGGAGTACAAATATATGGCCAAAAGATGGTCCTTCTTACGGTACAAGACTACGAGGAATGTCGAACCACAGCTGTAGAGACAAAGATAATAGTTTGTCTCTTATTTCCTGGATCGTCTTCAAAAGAGCCATCTCAATACACAAAAACCAGAGAAACCACCACTCAAGGCTATCGCTAACCTCCAAACAGGGATTCACAAACCTCGTTCAGGGCTACCTCAAAGCCACTGGTGGGGCACAGGCAAAGGGAATTGAAAACACGAAAAGCGAACTCGTAAACCAGTAGACTACATACATAAACAGCCGCGACTAGCTGGAAGCGGACTATCCTAAGAACCCCGTGCCCAGGACGTGAAAGCAACGGCAGGTGCGAGGGAGATTGAGAAGGGCGGAAACATCCAAGGGAAAGGGGAAACCCAGACACACTCAGAGTAACAGACCCGCTCCGTGCACATCCTGGTGTGACGCTTTCAAAATGGGGGAATCGGAGAAAAACATGGTCAAGTCGGCCCTGAAGTGGAAAGCAGGAGGCCCTGATTCAGTAATGAAACGAATCAAGACAAGCAAGGTTGTTGACCGAGATGGGAACCAAAGATGGAAGAAGGCTGAATGGAAAAAAGGAGGGTGAAAAATGTATTTCAAGTTGGTTTGAATGAATTGAGGATGATGAAAGAAGAAAAGAGGAACTGCAAGGCGCAGGAAAAAGAGGAGCTGATGAAAGGTCGATGAAGAGTGAAGATAAGTATTAACGCCGGTGCACACCAGCACAACCACTGTTCCTTTTTGAGGAGAAAGAAAGAAAGATAGCAGGGTGTGGCATGGGTGTGCACAGTGGAATGGGAATAATGTACCGACATGAAGAGGAAAGAGGAGCGCAAAGAGATAGAGAGACCAAAACCAGCAATCTATGGGTAATCACCACCGGACGGGAAATGCCAAGTATGGGAAACGGCAAAGGACAAGGAAACAAGCAAGTCGCAGTAAAAGCAAAGAGCCGAAGATATGAACCGAAGGTCATGGGTAATTAACAAAGTCAGATTTTAGGGATTCGTGATCGTCGTGACTGCGGTCCCGGCCTGGGAGTCTGTGTCCGTCTGTCGGAAAAAGACCCGACTAGACGAAAGAAAACGATCCGACGAAAGGACAAGTGCGTGACCCAGACCCTCTGACAACACGAAGAGTCGCATCGCAAGAGAACCAAGGCTAGCAAATAAATCACGTAACGTAGAAACAGCCGGGACGTGCCAATGTCGCCGCGGGGAGCGTTTTTTCCTCTTTTTTTGGGGTATTTTGGAGTTTTTCGCTGAGCCGACACGAACCAGCAGATCGCAGAACAAAGTGTACTTTTCGGGTGTTGACGCGGAATTACCGGTCGCTCAAATGTTGAGTATGGCCAGCGAGTCAAAAGAAGAAAATGGACTTGGCAAATGGGGCGTAAACGTCGAATCAGATGAAGGAAGCAAGAAACAAACGGTATCATCGAAGAAAGAAAAGGTCGAAAGAAGACCCATGCAGTATCCTCCCAGGCGTTGGAAAGTCAAGGAAGAAAAAAAGAAAAAGTTCTACAACCGCAGAGGGAAGAAATAGGAGGCGCGGAAGAAGAGACGGGACTTTTGAAACCGCTGTAGGAACACCAAGGGCTCAAAAGACGCTGTTCGTCTCAATTTTCGTCCAGAGTCATGAAAAAAAAGGATCAGCAAGAATGCATCAACGAATAGAACACACACGCAGACGGGAGCGGGCGGTTTAGCCTGCTAAAATGGGCTGTAGCGCGGGAAAGGTGTTGTTGCACATGTAATGCTCCATGTGCTTGGCACAGTACATGCAACCGCACGAAGAACCGTGGCCCGTCCAGACACTCTGGGCGAAGGGCAGGCCGTACGCCGGAGTGTGGTGGTAGGACGGGGGCTGCGAGCGTGGGGCCGACGGGGCAATGTACCGGGGAGGCGGAGGGATCCACGCCCCTTGGGTGTAAGGCGGCGGCGGGTTGGTGAAGCCCCAGGGCCCGACGGAGAAGTAGTCGGGGGTGTTGGGACCGCTGTGAGGAGCCGACGGCGGGGAGTACTCGGAGGCGGCAGGGTTGAGCCAGGAGTTCTCGATGTGCGAGCTGCGCTGGTATTGCGGTGGGATGGGTCCCTCGGGGGACATAAGGGGCTTGACGACCGCCTGGTGATGACGGACGTTGGTGTCGAGAGGCGCCAGGGTCTGACGAGAAGACTCCTGAGCCCGTACGTTGGCCTTAGCCCGCCAGTTGTCCCAGTGTCGGCGCCACGAGGCGAACCCATCCTGCTGGTCATAGATACGCTCGTGGATCTTCCACTCAAAGGCGAAAAGCCACTCCAGCTCCATCTTGTTCAGTTCCGCCACAGGGATGTTGCTTACTTCCGACCACGACTTATTCTGGAAGGTATTATCATCCAGAAACTTGCTGCCCAGCAGCAGAGCCACCGTCAACATGCGGTAGATCTGGCCGCTGCCGGTCTGGAATACCCGCTGCGCGGACAACAGGCGCATCCGGCTGGACATGTAAAACAGGCCCAGTAGAATGGTCGAACTGGGCAGGCGAGTCGAAGACAAAATCTGGTAGACGTATTTCCGGAACTGGGGGGGGACTGAAGATCCTGGGGAGATGCTTCGCGCGAAGTCAATATCTGCAAGGGTGATCTTGGTGTTGTACAAATCATACATTCCCTGGGTCATTTCCGCCACGAAGTCGGACATGCGATCCATCTCGTAATCCAGGTGGGCGGCGACACCTCCGGTGGCTTTCTCCTCCTTGCGGGACTGCTGCTGTTCCGGCTGTTGGTGCATCGGGGCGATCTCCGGACGACGGTACTGCGGGGGGATTGCACTGTCCATGGGAGGCAGCTGGACGTTGGCCCGCATGGGAGGCAACGCGGTGGCCATGGGTCCATACATCGGCTGCTGATGACCCAAGGGGTGCATCTCCCGAGCACCGTGCATCGGGTGCGCCGACGCCGGATGCAAGCTCATCGAGTTCGGCTTGGCGTAGACCAGGGACTGCGAGTACTGTTCGATGAACTCGGAGCCGCTCTGGTGGTAGCGAGGCGGGAACGCAGCATGACCGACCGGATAAAACGCGGGTTCATCCAGACGGCCACCACTGTTGATGTGAGGCGGCGTGGGAGGCAGGCCGTGGCCTGGAGCGAAGAAAGAGGGCATGTTGAGAGGGGGAGGGGGTTGAGAAGAACCAGTTCAGGAGGGCGAGGGTAGACGATTGGGATTCCTGTCCGTCGCCGGATTGTTAACACACCGGGCCAGGGACGCAGCACGAGGCGCTGGACTGCTGGAACTCGACGATGGGCGAACACGAACCGTCTACAGCTCCGCCACGCCTGAAACCTGGAGGGGAGAGAGAGCCTTGCTCAGCGAGCACGTCGCTCTGATGTGGTCGTAGTGAACGTCTCTAGTTGAATGACATTGAGGGGAAACTCTTGAATCAAACCGGGTGGACCGAAGAACAAATAAGAGAGAAAGAGCGTGGGTTTTCGTCAAGGAACAATTCCTCGATAAAATTTCGGAACGCCGGGTCTGGAGGAGGAGGATGCACCCGTCAAGGTCGAGCAAGATTCGAATCACACGGGGGAGGGGGAGAGGTTTTGCGATTTGGCGTATCCCTGCACCAGAAGTAATCTTTGAGGAAGGCTGTGGTGGAAGAGAAGACGCGTCACCGAGAAAAGGGTCGCAAGAAAGAAGAGAAAAAGATCAAGGGTGGAATTTCCCTCGCGTAGAGGCAAACCTCACGAATGAGGTCAGCAACGACACTTAGTGAAAAGCTCGTTGGAAGGAGGAGAGGTGGTTGAATAGGAGTAGGAGCGGGAAGAAGGAGGAGGTAGAAGAGAGAGAAGAAAGCGAAAAGGGAGGAGTGTGTGTGGGCGGGTCCATACGTGACGGTACCATACAGGGGCCTTGCCTCGGGCTTTTTTCTTTCCCTCTCTGCTGCTTTTGCCTGGCCTGCTGGTCTGCTGGCCCTTCACCCGGAATCCAGCCGATCCCGCGGGCTCGTTCACCTGATGATTAATAGCTTCTCCTTAAATAGTTGCCCTACTCGAAGACTCGGTCTCCCCGTGAATGTCCATATAATACCGACGCAGTCAAGCATTCTTGTTGAACTCCCTCATGACCTCAATACTGGGGAGGCAAACCCTCTACGTCGTCAGTCCGTGTCCGTCAGGCCCAGAGTTGGCCACTCCAGTGCCCATGGCCTCGGTGGCCTCATTGGCTGAGGACAACCAGGAAGGACTAGTCGAGTCTCATACAAAGTAACCCCCCGTACTCGCCCCCCGGTGATGCAACGCCCGTGTCACTCAGCAGGAAGAAGAAAAATTCTAAAAAAAGGCCCCGACTCGGGCGAACTCCACCTGACTAAGCCGTAAGCTATTTCCCTTTCGGCCCCAACTGCGGACCGGGCAGAATACCAGAATACCAGAATACCAGAATACGGCTAGAATACAGCCAGGATACGGGTGGAGTACAGCACCAGACCAGCCTTCTTTGCTGTTCGGCTGTTGCTGCGGGCCGGCGGTGAGGTACAGGAGGCGGGCCCAAGCGCTGCAGACTGACATTCCCGCTGTTGCTCGGCTGACCGTCATGGGCAGACGACTCTGGAGGATGGAATACAGCCTCACGTCGAGTACATTTGGTGTTCGCCTCCGTATGTACAGTAGAGACTGGCGTCTGCCGGATGCATGTACCTCGCATCACACGCCAACCGCCAACAGCCCTCCCCCATCACCCCGTACCACCACGCAGGGGCCCGCCTGAGAGTCACCGATGGGCGCTGGCCGATGACCGGGCGATCGATGACTTGTTCACGGCCCCTCTGAGTCACTGGCGGGGGAGTAATGCAGTGTGCGTAGCGTCATGCCGTCGAGCGCATCGTGACAGGAGGAGAGGCCAGAGGGTGGAATGAGTGGAGGAGAGGAGGGGGGGGGGGGCGCCGGTGTGTCGAACTGCTCGGGCGCTGGACCAGTTCATTGGGCATTGGGCCCGGGGCCCGGGGCAGCTTCACATTAGATTCCAATGCTGCCCCCAGCGGGGGGGGTAAAGGGTCTTGGTCATGGTCGAACAGGTCACTTCACCGCTGCCTAGAGTACCGTTTTCATAGACACAATTGTTGTTGGAGTATCGATGCCATCCCTAGTCAGTAGCCGCCTAGCAATGCCAGTCTATGTAGGCACCGATATACCGCGGGCTTCCTGATTCCAGATTGGTCCTATGGATGTTCCTATGGATGCTCCTATGGATGTCAAGAGCCCCGTCAGCACGACATGCCCCCGTATTCAGGCACTCCCGGATTCCAAGTATCCAAGTACGGTTACCCATCCATACAGGAAATCCCGCACCAAAAACCCAGGTCTACAGTGCAAATGGACGGACTCCCAGGTTCGAACCTTCGAGTTGACGACGGAGTACACTCCATACATTCCGTCCGCGGCCACCACCGAGTTTCCCTGGGCCCTCAGTCCCTGCCCAACCACAGGGGAGGAAACACACCGTGTTCCGGCTACCTTCGGGTCAACGCCCAATCTGACCACCCACGAGCACTAGTGCTCGTTCCTTGTTGTTAGCCTCCTGCAGTGGTCGGGCAGAATACTTTTGCACTTCCCAACCCCACCGAGGGGAAATCCGGGCGCACCTCTCTCCTTTCGGTGCAGGCGGGGGAGGCAAAACACTCTCACGGACGCCGCCGCGGACGGGATCACGGGTGGGGGGCGTTTTGACTTCCCTTCCACATCGGAGGCCGTCGTCTACGGGTAATCTACTCCGGAGTATCTTCTGCATGAGAAATCAGATGGGGTCCTGGTCTACGGCATTTCTGCGAGGGAGCGCGGAGGAGGTACAACTAGGGATCCAACGAAGGAGCGATTCCTCGACCACCAAGTACGCTAAGGTATAGTTCGGAGGGTATGCATGTACGACCGGAGACAAAGTCCCGTGAAGATGGTTTGATACTTTTTCTATCATGCTGAGCTTTTTATTTATTGGACACCCGGACCAGAGGGTAGAAGTGGGATGAATGTTGGTGGGGGGGAAAGGGAAAGGGAAGATAAACCACAGGAACGGGGTTCGTCCAGACGTTGTTCGGAGTCACACGGTTCACGAACCGTTGCGGGCCTTGACCTCCCGTCCCCTCAGGACAACGAAAAGTAGCAGCCAACCATCCAACGAGAAAATGGGGATGGAAATAAAATGGATCCGCGTAAAAAGGGTAAGAATGGGTGTGAAGGGGGAAAAAAATCCAGAAAATGGTCCAGGCGCAAGCCTGCCAGAACAGAGGGATATCATTAAGATTCAACAGAACCCAGACGCAAACAAATGACATAGACTCGTATACTCGGAGAAGTCGTCAGGGGGAGGGGGGAGGGAAAGGGACCAATAATGGAACCCATTCCAATCAAATCCAGTCCCTCCCGGCCGAGCACTTCCAATGGGATGGGGAGAATGGCAACTCCCGATCCAGCAGTGCTCATCAGTCCAATCCAGCGCGCAAGGCCAGGTACTCGGGCCGGGGTTGGCAGCCCACACTCGAAGAAAAATAGCATAGAAGCCCAGGGGACAATTCCCCAAGACGGTAAAAAACCACAGGGAGAGGTCGTGCTGTTTACTCGTCCTTCAGGCTTCCCACCAAATTGCGCAGCACGTCCATGATGACCGCTTCATCTTTAGGTTCGCCGCCAGGGAACGAGCTCTCGGTTGCATTCCCGAGGACCCGGGCACGCGCGCTGCGTAGGACCTCCCGGATATAGTTCTTGTCTTCGTAGTCTTCCATGAGCACGTTCTCGAAGTCATCGATGGCCTTGTTGGCGCGCTCAGTGAACGAGGATGACTCCGGTGGCCCGGGTGGTGGAGGGTTGGACTGTGCGGGATGCGGTTGGGGGTGCGGCGGTGGTTGGTGGTGGGCTTGAGGTCCTGGAGGAGGGGGGCGCGGTTGCTGCGACTGGTGGTGCTGTGGTGGCGCATGCTGAGGGGGAGGTTGATGCTGATGCTGCTGATGCTGATGCTGCTGGTGCTGGTGCTGCGACTGGACCGGTTGCTGGTGCTGCTGGGGGGGTTGGTGCTGCTGCGGGGGTTGATACTGCGGTCCAGCGGGAGGATAGGCTTGGGCTTGCGGGTTGATGTGTGGTGGTTGGGATGAAGGTGGCTTTTGGGGTGGTGGGTAGGGAGAGTGATGCTGCTGCTGCTGAGGTGCCGTCGGTCCTTGGCTATGCTGCGGCTGCGGCTGCGGGGTCTGAGGAGGCGCCTGCTGCGGGGCCTGCGCAGAAGGGTTCGAGGCGTAAGGAGAGGTATATGTTGAAGGGATTGTCCGAGCAAAGGCAGCTGGGAGGTTGCCGCGAAGTGCAGTGGGGATAGGGAAAGATGCCGGAGCAGGAGCAGGAGCTGGAGCAGGAGCGGGAGCAGGAGCGGGAGCTGGAGCTGGAGCCGGAGCCGGAGCTGGAGCTGGAGCCGGAATTGGCGCTGGCGCTGGTGCTGATACTGGAGCAGGAGCAGGAGTTGGAGCCGTAACAGGAGCCGGAGTCGAGACAGTAGTAGGAGCAGCAGTAGGAGGGGCAGGAGGAGGAGGAGGAGCAGGAGCAGGAGGAGGAGCAACAGCAGCCGGCGGAGGGGGATAAGGACTGGAATGCTGTTGTTGAGGAGGCGCTGATGGTGCAGAGAAGGAGTTCGCTGGTGGTATAGAGGGAAATTGGAAGTGCTGGTGCTGATTCTGCATTGGAGCAGGAGCACCTGTCGGTGGTGCATATGAGTGGGGCATGGGAGGCATATACTGCTGAGGAGGTGGCACCGATGCTTGAGGTGGCTGCGGCGGCGGCGGAGGAGGGGGCGAAGGACGTCTCTTTTTCTCCTTCTCAACAGAGGCGCCAGGCCGAAGTTGCCAGGACCAGCCCTTGCCATCTCGCTCGGCGTGCATGAACAAATGACTATTGCCATTGAGATTATGCCGCACACTGGATGTCCATCCCTCTGTCTCGCACTTGAAGCGGAAGTACGGATACTTCAGTTTTAATGCGCGGTAGATCTGCTTCAGTGTCATCGGGTTTCCAGCTTCCGTCAGAGCATCGAAGATGAGAACAGCGTAGTTGTAAGGCGGCTTAGCCAGATCCTCGGGTGTGTAAGCAGACTCCGGAGGGTAGTTGGGAGACGGAGACCGCGAGGGCTTGCGCTTCTTAACCGGCGGAGGCTTGACATATTCCTCAGGGCGCTGCTCCGTTGTGAACTGGCCCCCTTCTGTTGAAGGCAGAGGGTAATCCATGCCATCGCCCTTCTTCCGCTTAGTGTACTTGCGCTTCTCGGCCGGCTTGACGGAAGATGTCGGCGACTCGACGCTAGCCGATTTCTCAAGGGTCTTTCCAGCCTTGTTGGGTTTGTTTGCGAGAGGAGGAGGAGGAGGAGGCGGCGGCGGCGGTGGCGGCGTAACACCACCGTTGGCCTCGCGCTTGGCAGCCAGCTTCTGCTCCCGGGCCAGTTCGGCTCTTTCTCGCTTGGACATGATGCCATCCTTGGGAGGGCGACCAGGACCCCGGCGGCGGGCCGGCTGCCCTCCGTTCTCCCCGCCTGGCTCGATAGAGGGGAAAGCCTTGGAGGGATCAGAATCTTTGGTCTTGAGGACAATCTTGGTCACCTTGGAAGACGGCTCCCTGCTCTCGCTGTCACTGATAGGTTTGTCCATATCATCGATTTCATGTTCCGCATCGACTGAACCACGATCGGCCTCCTCTTCCTCTGCTAATTGCTCCTCCATGCGATCCGCACCCGTCTCACCAATGGGGACGTCAGGAAGAAGAAATCGGATGCGTACCCCTCCAATTTGAATATAATCCCCGCTATGCAAAGGCCGGAGTTGCCCAGGGGATAGCCAGTCGGCTCCAATGAAAGCACCGTTGCGGCCCATGACTTCCATTTCAAACAGATTGCGATCAAAATTGTAGGCAATGCGGACATGCCGGCGGGAAATGCCACGGTGGCCGGCGGCAGTGCCATCAATCGTGGAAGGAGGGTGGATAGGAATGGTCGGACAAGAGTCAGGAGATGGCAGTAGAGCCAAGGTGTCCACCGGCTTGGGTTCACCATTCCCTTCTTGTAGAGATTGCATGGCAAGCGCATTGTAGTCGGTGGTCGCTTGTAGCTGCGCCGGGTTGGCGTGCAGCGGCACCACAGATCCATCGAACGAGGATTTCGATGACCGTCGGCTCAGATCCACTTTACTAGGCAGATTTGGAGGAACATCCGGATCAAAGCCCATGATACCTCCCCGGTCACTGACCACACTGCCCATCATCGCAGCGCTCTCTTCTCGCTTCATGCGGTTCGGCGTATGGGATGTGTTGCCACCGCTTGAGCTTTTGGCCCGAGAGCTCCGCACGGCCTGCCGATACTGATACTCTCGCTGGTGCGCAGCGCGTGCGGCCCGAACATCTCGGCCCAGAATGAATGAGTACGTGTTGCAATAGAAATGACCATCGTCAAACTCCAGCTTCGCAAACGCCTGGATCCGAGGCTCAGACCCGGCCACCGAGGCAGACCCATCCTGGTACCCCAGGGCCGACAGATCGGCGCTCTGCGACAGATATGCAGCCGTGAGAAATTCGTTCTGCTGGAGGGCCTCGAAGGCGTTTGTCGGGGCAGCGGCAAAATCGAAAGGGGGGAGGAGTGACGGTGGTTGGTCCAGGTCCGATTTCGGGTTTAAAGGATCGGAGATATCCATTGCATCAGACCCTCGGTGTTTCATATTACATCCATTCTGCGGCGTCGCACCAATTTCCGCGAAGATGTCACCAGCGGCTTTACCATCATTCGACATTTCCGACATACTTTGCATCCCTGCCGAGGCCGAGGCATGTTGTTCGTCTCGTAGATTGAAACTGAGGGATGAGTCGTTGTTCGAGCCAGTATTTTCGGCCAACTGGCTCGTCAGATCGCCCATCTTCACATCCTGTTGCCCTGTCCCTAACCCGGTCGTTGCTGAACCCGTCGCAGGAGCAGAACTCGTCGGCGCAGAGTGGTTTCCGAGGAGTTGGGCGAGTAGCGCACCGGCTGCCGACTGCGTATTGATATCCTTATGGTTGTCGGCGCCCGCAAAGTCCTTGTTCTCCATAGACTCCGTCTTGATGCCGATTGGGGTGGTGGGCAAACCCTTGGAGGCTGGGGCAGAATTATGCATGTCGCGGATTGCGGAGTCGCTCCTGGAGTCGGTCGGAGGCGAAGCGCCGTTCTGGGAGCCGCCATAATCGTACATGGGCGTATCGGGGCCTGGATCAGGCGGTCGATGGCCCACTGCTGGCGCCGTCATGGTCTGCGACGACATGGCTCTGGGGAGAAGAGTGGGAAGGAGAACAAAAGCTGAAGTTCTCTTTTGGACCCGGGCGGTGAGGGCCGATTGCCTGGTTGGTGGCTGCAGGCCCCCGTACAGAAGTACAAACTGGTGTACGTACTTTCCGCGCAGACTAGGGGGGATGCTGCAGTTTCATCACGAGAGACTGAAGAGTGTATGTCAATATTGATAAATTTCAGAGGGGTGAGCAGACTCGCCTCTGCAGAACCTGAAATGACCCGATCTTAACTCCCCCTCCCCCTGGAGCCAGATGATCCTCCGGGTCAAATTTTCTCTTCCCGCCCCGCTCCAACCTCCGACTGATCCACCTAGTTGAGTGCCTGGTTCCTCCTCACCGATTGAAGATCTACGGAGAGCGCGGGAGGAACTAGAGAAGCTGAGGTATACAAGGAACCCAAAGATCTCTGTAATCGCCTCTAGGGATTCTTTTTTGGCAGACAATGCCAACTCAGAATTCACCTATTCATGCCCGACCGCCAACGTGTGGAGTCAACCCCTCTTGCATGAGATATTCGGTGGCTTGACTCCGCTGCAGACTCGGGATGTCCAGTTTATACTTCATGGCTCAACCAGCATGGATGTCAACTGAATTGACTTCCCGGCCCTCTCCACCCTCCAACCTATCTCTATCCCACAGGGCTATGAATTATGTCAATACGCGTATCTCGTATAGGTTCCTCCAAACCCGGGAGAGGGGAAGCGGAGCAACTCAGTTGGAGACGCAAACACCACCAGAAGAGCCGAGGAAGGAGGAAATCTTATCAGCACAGCACCATCCCCGTCCTCCCGCCCACAAACCCCTCTTAACACCCTCAACCAACCACCCCAATAACCTCCAACCCACCCAAATGCCGAAGCCCAAGCCTAAGAAATCGGAGCTCGATGCCCGCGGGCCCTCGACCACCGCCAAACCTTCCGCCCCGCCCACCCCCAACTGGCCACCCCTCCGCCCCCTCCTCCCCGCGGCCGACCTGCACCTCACCCCCCTCGTCCACGACCAAATCTACCTGATCCGCAACTTCCTCCCGGCCAGCCTGTGCAAGAGCTATGCGTCCTTCCTGGCGTCGCTGCCGCTGACCACGACGCCCGGGCGGCCAAAGAAGGACGAGGCGCTCCGGGTAAATGACCGGTTTCAAGTGGAGGATGGGCGATTCGCGGAGATGTTGTGGGCGGGGACAGCATTGAGGGAGTTGGTGGTGGAGAGATTTGGGGAGGAGGGGGGTGAGTTTGGGTATGAGGACGAAGATGAAGACGACGAGGACGTTCAAGCGCAGAAGATGCGCGCGACGTGGGGGGGCCAGCCGCTCGGCTTGAACCCGAATATCCGAATCTACCGCTACTCAGCGGGGCAATTCTTCGCGCCGCATTGTACGTCTTGGCCAATCTTGCTTGTCTTTCTGTGCAATCCACTAGACATACACACTCACAGTGCTGTACCTCTCTCCTGAACAGACGACGAGTCCAACGCGCTCACCTTCCGCCCGCCCTCCGCGACCCAGGCCACCCCCGCGCGCACCACCTGGACCCTTCTGATCTACCTGACGACCTGCAGCGGCGGCGAGACGGTGTTCTATCCGGATAGGACGCGCGACAACCGCAATCCGGCGCCGATAGCAGTGGCGCCGGAGGTGGGGATGGCGCTTTTGCATCGGCATGGCGATCACTGCATGTTGCATGAGGGGAAGGAAGTGACGGGGGGAGAGAAATGGGTGTTGCGGAGTGATTTGGTCGTTGCGAGGTGATGGAATGGACAGGAGAGGCCAAGGTATGATTCGACGACTATCTGCACAGCGTCACGGCGTTACGGGGTCCGCGTCGGGGTGGGCATATAAAAGCATGCATACACATATAATTCTCATCAGTAGTGGCCGGTCCAATCGGTGAAACACGGTCAAGTTCTAGTTCAATTTGCTCAATCCTGCCTAGTTACAGCAGGGACATTGCGAATAATCCAAAGGCAAGCCAGCGAGGTCAGATAATGTGACAGGGCGATAGCAGGGACCTGGTTGGCGGAGGGGGCACCGCACGGCGGGCAAAAGTGATCAAACGGGATTTGTAGATACAGGAAGTGTAATAGTCATAAAGAACGTGATCAGGTTAGGTTGGGGGGAGAGCATATTGGGAGGAAGGGGAGAGAGAGAGAGAGTGAGAGTGAGACAGAGCAGTGTCATAACATCGCTGGAATAAAACGCAAGTGGGAGCACGCGGGAACAGTCCAATTCTGGAGAATAATGGAATGATGGGGGATGTCTCGAGGTGAAAGTGAATCAGGTCGCATCCTATTTTCTTCATTTTGTCTTCGCATAGCCCATTTGCTGTCATCGTATCGTATCACATTCATGCAGAAACAGGAGACTTGGATGCATCCACCTGGTACTCTGTCCGCCGCATAATCTCCTCCACCGGTCCCAACAGCCGCTTAAACCCGTCCCGGCCCAGCCGCGCCACCTTGACATCGGTCTTGGTGACAATGCTAGCCGCACGGGGCTTATCATCCAGCAGGGCTAACTCGCCAAAGTAGTCGCCGCGATGGTAGGTCTTGACCGGGACTCCGTTCTTCAGAGCCTCAGCCTCGCCGGATTCCAGCAGGTAAAAGGCATCACCGGGGTCGCCTTCGCTGATGATGGTGGCCCCCGCCGGGTATTTAATGGCGTCCAAGGCGTCAGCAATTTTGGCGCGCTCGTAGGGCTTCAGCGAAGAGAGAAGTGGGACTTCTTCCAGGAAGGCTTCATACATGCGGCGCCGCTGGAAAGCGGAATCCATCAGAATTCGTCGGAAGGTAATCCGGTCCAGTGCCCACAGGGTGCTCTTGGCGTCGGTGGAAATCACCGTGGCGGCACGCGGGGCATTGTACATCAGGGCCAGCTCGCCAAAGGAACCGCCGGGCCCAGTGGTACCGACCTTGTTGCCCAGCCCATCGGGGCCAGGCTGCACGGATCCCGCGGCATTGATGTATATGTCGAAGTGACCCTTCTCGACAATGTAGAAGTAGTCACCCGCGTCGCCCTGGGAGATCACCTTGATGCCCTTTGCCGGAATAGGCTTCTCGACCAGCGCATCGAGCACGGTCTTGAACTGGTCGTCGTCCAGGTGAGAGAACAAGAAGTTCCCACTGACGGCAGTCTTCAGCCGGGCCAGCTGGTCCTCGCTCTTGGGGTGATGCGGGGGGGCCCAACTATCCGACCCCGCGGACGTGGGGTTCAACGATTCCGCGGACACTGAAGTCCGACGACCCAGCGCATAGTTGTTGGGGAAGCCCTGTTGCGCCGTGCCTGTCGGGAGAGCGGCTGGCTGTTCGTCGTCCTCCTCATCGTTCGCCCCGCCTGGAGGCCCCGAGTCAAAGGGACTCCGGCCGAACAGCGACGCCCCTGCCCCTGTTCCGGCTTGTGAACCGCCCTCGGCGAATGCACTGCCTCCAAAAATGTCGCGCGACGGGCCACTGGCGTTGGCTCGCCGAAATGTCATGTCGGTTGGTGACGTCACCTCAAATTCTTCGTCCTCCGAGATTTTCTGAATGTTGGGAGATTTTTCTCTAGTGCTGGTGTCGAGGAAGGGATTGGTCCCCGGGAAGGAGCTTTGTGCCATGACTGCGCGGGTGGTAGGGGCCGGAGAGGCCGCCGCTCCGGCCACGAAGGTGGAAGAGAAAGAGTGAGAGAGTTTTGAGATAGATGGAGACGTCGGCGCGGGGTAGTGAGAATGGTTTGGGTCCCTGCGAGAATGGGGAGTGTTAGGGATTTTGAGGAGCAGCGAGAGAGACAGAGAGAGAGAGAGAGAGAGGGGGGGGGAAGAGGGAGAGAGGGAGAGAGAGGGAGAATCAGTGCAGGGGAAATCAGTTGGGGTGCATGGGGGAGGACGGGAAGGTGCAGGTCCCCAGTGTCGACCAGCAAGCCCGGAAGAACAGAGGGGCAGGTCTCGGCCCAGCAGGAGTGGGGATGGCCCGTAAATGGTGTCTCATTGGAAGGGAAAAGGAAGTGTTTCCGGTGGCCGTGCGGGTTGGACTCGGGGGAAAGTGGTAGCAGGCAGGCGCATGGAAGAAAGGTGACTCACCTGGTTTGGAGGGGGATGGGGTGGAACTGGGAGAGTGGGAGTTGAAGGGGAAGGGGAAGTGGAAGAGAGGAAGTGGGAGGTTGCCACGGAAGGGCGGGGAGAGAAAGAAGCGAGGACGGCGAGAGCGGAATGCTGCTAGCAGTGAGCTCCAGGGAAGAGAAAGAGAGGGAGGGGTAGCCCAAGAGGAGTAAAGTTGGGGCGGCTGGTCTGAGCTTCTTTTGTCGATCATGCGGCAACACTGGGAACAACTCGTCGACTGCCGCTGCCCATCCATGATCGACGTCACTGATTCCCAGCTGTGTGCCCGACCAGGGTTAGCCAGCGGTTGCCGGTTTGTCAGAAACTCTATCCTCTCTGGCGTGGCGGGCTGCACGGCCAGGAGTAGCACACGACCCGACCTGAATAAAGCTTCCTCACGTTTTCCAGGTGTCTTCTAGAACGAACGAAAACGATCAGTGCACACGTTGCCACTGCAGTGGGACATGACAGTGGCAAGCCTCCCCCAGCAGCAGGGCTTGCGACACATCCATACACATCCATACACATCCCTGGAGTTCTGGGCTCCTTCATTGGTGCTCGCGACTCTTGAAGTCATGCATTGCCGGAAAGGGCCGTGTTAACGGAGCCCGTCCCACTTGGTCCCCTGGGCCTGCACCGACTCGTTGGCGGACGTATATATGAACTGCGACCCAACCGGAGTCGCCAACTGGCGATCACGCTTAAGCTTGCTTGCTTGCCTTCCACCACTCGGGCTAGTCATCGTAATAACCATAGTCATCGTAATCACCATAGTCACCGTAAAAATCGCCATCCTAGGAATCCATACTAGCCACGAACTAGTGTGCTATCGTCCTGCTCTCGTACCACCGTGCGACCGCCGGAACAGGCGGGGAGAGGCGCTCCGGCCGGTTCTGGTGGGACCCTGGACTTGGCTGGGCACCTTTGGTCTGGCCGGACTAGTATGTTCCATATTCCACGACCATGGAGTTCAATTACGATGGTGGCTATTATCATGACCACCCTTTATGGGACGGAATGGGATATGCGATAGGTCCTGACCGAGTTAGTCCCCGACCGGGGAAAGCCAAGGGACGGGCCAGCCTCGCAGACGAGAGACGAGAGACGAGAGACTAGAAGACTGACCGAGCGGTGTAGAGACTGAGCGGAGAGTCCACTTGAACGTCGATAAGAGGAGGATGGCCAACGCGAGCATGGTGTGAGCATACCATTTATACTCCGTGCAATGATACCGTCCATTCGGGATCTACCCTGGGGATGTGCCCGTCAGTCAGCACTGGCGGTGCAGGGTGCGTCTGTGTCACACCCCACCCGATGTGCGCGAAGCTTGGAAGCAGCGCTCTGCCCCGACTTTTGACCTCCCCCTTTCCTCCCTTCTCTCATCCTCCCTCCTTGTTCTGACGTGAGGCCGCTGACACCCATACTCAGCCGCAATGGGGACATTTACATTCCAATGGTGAGTCGACCCGAATGGCTGGGCTGGAGCTAAGAGCTTTGGGCGGCTCGTGAGCTATTCTAGCGCCCGAGACAAGAACCCCCGAACTCGCCCGCCCTTGACGAGCTTGCGTCCCCCCGTGGCACAGCCTCACAGCCAGGATTGGAGCGCTGACTGGTTGGTTCCTTACATTTGCATGTAGGCCTTACCGTGCGAATGAGGTGTTCGTGACGGGCACCTTCGATGATTGGGGTAAGACGGTGAAACTGGACCGGGTGGGCGACCTCTTTGCCAAAGAGGTCGCGCTGCCTGCAGGGGAGAAGATCCATTACAAGGTAGGTCTCAGCAGCCTTTTCACCTAGTGCTGCCTCCCATTGGGCCTGTTCGGTCTGTTCATGCTTTCATCCGGGGAGTCGCCTGTCTTGTGTGGCTTGCATCGCATAGATAATCCGTTGCGGTGAGCAGTGGCAGCCTCAGCCTTAGGCCCCAGGCACCCACTAGGCAGCGCCGGCTTTCTATGACGCCTTCCCGCTGACGTCACATGGCCCGCCCCCTTCCCCCTCCCCTCTTCCCTTCAAAACTATAAAACCACTTGCAGCGGCGCCACGGGGTACACAGTTCTAGCGCTGACTTGATATTCCTTTTAAGTTTGTTGTCGACGGCACTTGGACAACCGACAGTCGTGCGCGAGAGGAAAGCGACGGCCACAACAACACCAACAACGTGCTCCTGCCGGAAGACATCATCCAGGACCATTCCCAAGAAACGTCGACCCACGACACCACCACTCCAGCAACCATGTCTGGTGTGACCCCTGATGCCACTACGGCTGCTCTCGCCGCCCAAGTCCCCCGGGAGCCCAATGGGGACCTGCCTGGGACCTTCCCTGAGACGCCGGCACAGGAATCCGAACCCTCCCTGTCTGTCGCCCCTATCCCCGCCTCGGGTGGCTACGGCAACCCGATCAAGCTGAATCCGGGTGAGAAGGTCCCGGATCCCAGCTCCATCCACGGCAACACCGTACAATCGACCGTGAAATTGGACAAGGAGTCGTATGAAAAGGGCGACAGCGTGCCTCTCGGCAGCGCTGGCACCCAGAGCGATACGGCCGGCTCCAGTACTTTCACCGTGCCCCCAGTCTCCAAGAACCTCATCCCCGAATCCAGTCTACCGATCGGCGGTCCTGCCCAGCAGGCCGCCATGGCTGACCCCGGCTACACCATCCAGTCCGCCGCACCCACCTCGACCACCGCCGCCCTGGCGGCGCAGGTGCCCCTCGAGAAGGACAAACAGACCAATGGCACTGAGCCTGCACAGGAGGTCCCACAGGTGGTGAAGGACTCGATTGCCGAAGCTGATCAGACCCCAGAGGCGGCCGCCTATACGGAGGCGGTGGAAGAGAAGAGGGAGATGGAGAACGAGCTGCACGCGAAGGTGCCCGTGGAGGAGTCCGCAGGTACGCCAGCACCCACTACCGCTGCGGCCACCCAGCCCACCGCGCCTGGTGGCGGCCTGGTGGTTCCCCTTATCGACTCCTCCGATGTATCTCCGACCTCGACCCCTCCCCCCCGCCGTGTCGCGCCCACCTCTGCTCCACCCACCTCTGAGCCAGCGCCCACCTCTGCGCCAGCGCCTACCTCTGAGCCAGCGCCCACCGAGTCTCAGGCCGCCCCAACCGTGACCACAGGCGTGGCCACCTCCCAGACCGCGGAAAAGTCCACGCCCGAAAAGCCCACTCCCGAAAAGTCTACTCCCAAACAGGCCGCCAATACCGCGGGCACTGGCGACCTCCACGCCAAGGAAGAGAAAAAGAAGAAGCGCATCAGCGGATTCTTCAGCCGGCTTAAGGAGAAGCTGAAGTAGACGGTCCCCCAATCTCCACAGACTACGATCGATGATCATCTGTTTCTCATGGGCGGACTCCTCCTTGTTGCTGGCTGGCTTTTAGATAGCGCCTTGAGAAAGCTGGGAGAGGATCTCCCTTTGGGGATGCGCTGGGTCCTTCGTTTCGATGAATTGATTTTTCAGTCTTTGTTACAGTTCTCCTGTGTGCTCTTTTCTTCTTCTGTTTTGATCTGGATACCTCATTTGCACTGCACCGTCTCCCCGCGTTGTATTCCAGCAAGCCGATGTGTTCCTTCCTGCACCATCCTCTTCTCTACCTAATAGTGGTTTAGTTTAAATGGAACCCCCGCTTTTCTCCCACTCTCATCGATGTTTGTGCACGACCATGTAGATATGTAAATTCTATTGGTGTACTATCGTGCAGCTAGCGCCCCCGAACAGCACGAGGCACCATTGAAACCACCCGAACGTCAGTCCCAATTTTGGTTTCCAAATGAGGCTCCTTGCATATATTTAAGCCCCCCGTCTCCTCTCCCATCCGCCAGGAATGTCAGAACGGTATGGCGTTACTGACTTGACCGTTCAATTTAACCGGGTATCCTAGCACACTGTTCCACGTTAGCCTCACCTGTTCACCTCAAGTCGTGGAGGGACATACTCTCGACCAGTCTGCGTACATCCACAGCCACAGAAAATCGATGCCGGCCAACAGATCACCTGCAGATGAACACATAGTTAGCTAGCCAGTTCAGCCACCCCAGCAGCCCGAGCGGGAAGTGATGCACGCTCTTATGCTATGCACGAGGACAATGCGCAGCAAAATTACGTGCTACGTACCGCTGCGACGATGGTGCAACAAAATCCTAGGCGAAGCATGGACAGGGTCAGCATTCGTCACTCTCCGGGCCCTTGAAGTTGTCTTGAGGGTAGGACAAGGACAAGGACAAGGACAAGGACAAGGACAAGGACAAGACATACCCAGTGTCGGCCCGACGACCTTACAATGGCACGGATTCTGATCGGTGCCGCATTGGAAGCAGATGGGGAAGATGGGGAAGAAGGGTAGATCGCACATGCTGCTGATGAACTTGGATTCACAGTCCCTGGCCGACTACCGACTGACTATACTTCCAGTGCGGATCGGGTGATTTCGCAAGCTGGGAAATGGGTCAATGGCCCACGCGAATACTGTATAATGGATATTGCAGATATGTCCGAAAGAAATACTGAATCACTTATGCACTCTCGCGACCTGAGGTGGTTTCACAAGTCGCGCAGAACTGGCTTCACCGCCGAATTCGGTGATTCTATCATGATGACGCAGATGAGATCGCGATCCACCGATCGGCACGGCCGGTTTCCTGTGGGGTGCGTGTGGTGGTGGAGGTGGGGAACACGGTGGCTTGCAAAGCATTGGAGTTGCGGAGTGCACCGGGGTATTTAAGGTTGGAAATTAATAGGGCAAAAAAGCAATGCGCCTATCTGTGATGGCCGCTTGAGATTTTGTTCTGCGGATACCTGCTGGGTGTAGAGTGTGCCTACGATTGAGAGTGGCGGTTACCATTACCATATCCGGCTGCTGTTGGACCACGCCCCATGGCTGCTCTCGAACGTTTTCTGGAGCCTGTCAGTATCGAATGGCACATAAATTAGGCATTGATCGGAATGCTGAATAGTTGAGCATTCCCGCTTTATCGGGTAATCTGAAGGAAGCTTAGGACTGCTTCGAATGTAATTGTCGGACCGAGGAATCTACTGTGTAAACGGCAGACCTGTGATTTACTCGATGCGGTTAGTTTTGCCATTTCAGTTTAGCGTCCCAATACGTCGTTCTGTAAGCTCCGCCTTCTTTGCTCCGGCATAAAAAGCTCGCCCTGCCCTTTCGACCTCTTTTCCCTCTCTTACCTTCGCTTCAACTCCTCTATCTTGCACTCATCGCCACCCCCTTTCTCTTCATCTCGCCCCCACCGACGACTGCGCCTAGGCTTTCAGCCTGACGCACTACCCCTTTCATTTTACCAGAGATGCCGCTCGATCCGACGCCGAGCTTGCAATACCTCTTGTCTTGAACAGAGCCCCTGGGGTGATCTAGGCCACAGCGGCATCGTAGCCATTTCGCACCGATCCTGTTACTTCCCTCTGAACTGAGTGCAGTGCATCATGCTACGAAATTGTCTAGATTTTCTTTTGCCAGTGCGCCTTTTCGTCGCTGATATCCTCCCTATCTATGAATGACCGCGTTACCCTAGGATTCTAGATGCCTCTCTTCGATCGGGCCATCCGAGTTTACATTGCACTGCCCCTACGTTCCGTTGTCGTCATTGATAGTCTCTCCGGTTCCTCTACGTCCAATCAATAGATATTCAAGAGCCTAGCGTAGTGACATAGGCTAAAAGCGAAAATGCCGTACGCCCCTGGCCTCCTCTGGCGACCAATTCTGAGACTACGGTTGTGGAAGGTATGACACGACGTATACCAACCGGCGAACGACATGATAAAAAGGACGACTAGTGCCGAGCAGACCCCCCGCCGTGGGTACGAGTGAAGCTCCGGGCGTCCGCATTACAATGGGCCCAGGCCAATGCTAAAGAGCATCGTAAAACCATGTTTCAACGGGCCACAACTAGGCATTTTATACGGCGGCTGGACTTGGCTCTCCCTGGGTTGCACACGAAGATACTGTATGATAGCCTGGATCGGGAGAGAGCATCAATACTTGCTCAACTTCGCACGGGACACGCCCGACTGAATTGATACCTCCATCGCATCGGCGAGAAGGAAAGTGATCTGTGTGAACGTAGCGCCGAGCGCGAAACGGTCCCCCACTTCTTGCTTCGGTGTACACAATGGATTCAGCCACGTCGTGTGCTCGCTAATGCCAGAGGCGCGAGCTTCGGTAATTTGTCAGAGATGCTAGGAGGTAAGCCCGAAACTATAGAGGATGTGAATGAGGCGAATGGAAAAGCGTGGAAGCCCAACATCAAGGTTATCCGAGCTGTTGTTGCATTTGCAATGGAGACGGGACGATTGGTCCAGCAAAACTGAGGAGGAACAAGATCTACAACGAAGACGATGCGAGAGGCTATGCCTGTGTATGTACATATACAAAGGGGCTGCGCACATTAGCTAGGGGGCTACATACGACCCAAGGTCGTGAAAAGCCTGAGGAATCAATAATAATAATAATAATAATAATAATAATAATAATAATAATAATAACAATAATAAACCGGGACAACTCGGAATACCCGCGTTGTAACACGTAGTACTAGCCTTTCCGACTACCGGGACGCTCTCAACAGCGATCTCCAAGATAGTTCTTCAATCAACTCGTTCAATTGGTTCCCTCAGCACGAGTTGGTGGGGAAATCCTTTGGCCCGACAGATCTCAGTAATCTAAGAGACCCTGAATCCCTGATTCAATACGGATCCATGTATTATTGAAGTGGATACTTCCAAGTTTTCGTATGGAACGCCGAGTGTCATGGTACATACCTGAGGTTTAAAAGGTCTATTTAAGAGAGCATTTATCCGCCCGCACGCCGCACATCTATCATTTTCACTCCCTCCACCAAAAATACGATCTTACAATGGCTGCACAAAGCCCTGAACGTCAGCCCCCATTGACAGTACGGAGTCCCTGGCTTCTTCAATTACCTGCTGAGATTTTATTGTTGGTCGCATCATTTTTGCCAAATCGAGATCTCAAATCCTTGCGCTTGGCAAGCAAACTACTAGGCGAGACGCCACTGTCATTCTCGCGCGTGTTTCTTTCAGCCAATTCGCTGGATATCAAGGTTTTGCGCTCTGTAGCGAATCATCCAGACTTCAGGGAGCAGGTCACCGAAATTATTTGGGACGACGCGCGTTTTGTTTCGGCTCCAGTGTCCTGGGAGGATTATGAACCGTATATCGATCGCAGTGGCTTGCAAATCAACGACGAAGAAAGATGTCCTAAGTGGTTCTTGCAGGAATGCAAAAACAACATCCGCAATATGAAACAGCGGAAATCCCGCGACGTGGACAGGCCCGACCATATCGCTCGCCAGCAGCAGGTGGATGCACAGATGCCTCTAAAGGACTGCTGGAAGTACTATTCGCAAGTCCTTAATGACCAGCAAGCTGTGATCGAATCTCGGGATGATGAAAAAGCCTTTATTTATGGCTTAGAGCGATTCCCACAGCGAAGACGAGTGACTATTACGCCTGCAGCGCATGGCCGCATTTTCTCTCCGCTATATCAAACACCTACGATCCGAGCATTTCCTTATGGCTTTAACTATCCTATTCCACGGGGATGGCAAATTTCTCTGACTGAAGGAATGGTTATCGACCCTTTAGTGTGGTCAGAGGCAAAAGAAGAGTATAAGGAGTTATGGAGAGGGGCCAGAATTGCCCTTCGCGTTCTATCAACGATCGAGGACTATAATATTTCTGAACTATGCTTCGATTCAAAACAACTCGCTACTGGGATAAACTACATGATTTTTGCCCAGCCGTGTGAAGAGTATAACTATTTCGCAGCTATCATGAAACGCCCAGGCTTTCGTCACCTTCACCTATCCTTCCTGGTTGGATATAACGGGGTCTATGACTATAAAGGTTTCACCAGCGGATGCTTCTCCGAGGCTGTTAGCTTGGCGAAGAAACTGACTCATATCCATTTCACAGTGGCATTAGGCGATTCAGCTGGGGATCCAGTTGTTCCTTTAAAAGAGATTCTCCCTATCCAGCAATGGCCAAATCTCTATCATTCTGGTCTTTCCAATTTTAGCGTCAACACATCAGACTTAATTGATCTCCTTAGTTCGGCGTCATCTTCACTACGCTCTGTTGAGCTAGGATCCCTTGGGTTTCCTAACGATGAAGGATGCTGGTCTGAGCTATTGGAGCGGATGCGGGATGAGCTTGATTGGACTAGGCGCGATCGATCACTAAGACCGGCCGTAAGAATCACTATAGAGATTGATCAGATGCAATCTGGGAGGTTCGCTCTTCTCACAGATGAGGTAACGAACTTTCTCTATGACTCTAGTGAAATTCCAACACAGGGATCTTTACTTAACTTCCCCAAGTTAGGAATGGGTACTTTGCATGATAATTTCGAACCTAAATATACTCGACCACACGTCGGTATGCAGGAGCTTGAGGAATTGGGAATTTCTAAACGTTGAAATAATAGATATTTGGATCAAAAGAAACACGATTACTTTCTAATAACTTCCATTTCTTCCTTCCAACAGTGACCTATTTGTGAACTCTCTATAAGAACATGAAACAGCTGTCAAGTACAGAAAGTAATATTTTGCAGTATCACCTTTGAATAGTTGAGACGACGCCTACGCAGTTAAGCCACAGCAACGCAAACATACTCGTCCGCTTGCAGACCGGAGCAGTCGGTCTTGACCGCTAGGTTCCAGGCGTAGAAAGAAGACGTTGAGATGCCGTATTCATTTGCGATATTGACGCATGAATCATCTGCAACAACTTTGTAAAACTTGTCACATGTAGAAACCATACCTGTTTGAATGGGATATGGTGTTGAAATACCAGTTCTCACGGGGGTTGACTTGGCTACTGGGGTACTGCTGACAGGGACTACTCGAGACTGGTACGAAGCCCAGGAAGCCCGCTGGGTAGCCACCCTTATATGTCGAAACACAATAGTATGTGCCAATGCTCATCCCGCTACAGTCACTCTTTACCGACGGGTTCATTGCATGGAACTCGGCAATTTCAAGCTGCTGCGAATGGAGTACGCTAAAGCATGTGTCGTACTCATTTCTTGGTGCGTACCATTTTGTGCAATTGGCAATCTCACCGTTGGCGCAAGGAATGGGTGTGTTGACCACACTACTGCCTTTAAAGAGGAACTCTGGCGTTAGTTTAGCCCTTTATAAAGTCTATTGACAAGACTTACCAGTAGAAGTAGGAGTTGAAAGTTGGACGCAGTAAGAACTACTGGGTTGCAAGGTACATGGGTATGTAACAAAGTCCGAGCTAGTAGCGGTTGCTGAGGTGGAGGACCCGGAGGAATTGGAGGTCTGGGCCAGAGAAGGGTTCCATAGGATTATCTCCTATGTAGTCTCTTCCAAATCGGGGTGGTAGGATCCGAACTAGAACATTCCGGCCAATCAGGTACCAATCTTAGGGGCGTAAGCGACTATATTATTCCCAGTGCAAGATAGCTGGTACGTGACGGCCCTCGATCAGAATGCCCCGAGGGGCACCGTCAACATGAGTAGAAGCATCTCGTTATCTTTCACTAAGGCTCGTGCAGAATCACATAATTGATAGTCATCGTCCTTGACTAACGCGAAACGAAATCCCAAGCCCTTGGTAGGCACCTTCCCCCAATGTTTTGTCTTCAGCTGTGCTCTTCCCTTGCCCACTTCATTCCTCCAACTCCCTCGTTCAAAGCCCGTAAATCACTTGTTGCCCACAGCCATGATATCCCTATGTACTGATATCGCTGAAAGTGCCGTTGGGTACCGCAGAATGTCCCAAAGCGGCGCAGTTGTCCCTACTTCTCCTTCCCTAATGCAGGGTCTCCCCGCTGGATATGCTGTGCGGGTCTTTTCCCGATTCAAGCGACTCCAAACCGACGCGGAGAGGATCCTACGGTTGCTCCAAGAAAATCAAGATGGAAACCAGTGGCTCGTAACAGCGTAAGTTTGGCATAGCGCTGTAGAAGGTCTGGTAGTCGCGAAGGCATATCCCTGAAGACGAAGCCGTTGAGTTGCTGCTTGGAATCAAAAAGCCCCCTGATTATAATCCGCTGTCGAATGTAGGGCGTGCTACGGTCGACTCCCCCGATGTAGTCACCGTTAGAGGCATAGAGCTGTACAAGGTACGAGGGACATTCATCCGCAATCCAGAGCTTTTGATCGGATAATAATATAGCCCGCGCTTGCCGCGGATATAATTGGAACAATTGCCACGAACTGGCCATCTTCCCCGCGAACATAACGAACCTTCGGCATCGGGATTGTTGGAATTTGCGGCGAGATTCTCGCCGACTCGGACAACTGCGATCCAAAGAACGAAGAATCATTTTGCCTTGGCCCTGTGGGTGCAGCGGCCCCATCGCGAAGAATGGTCAAGCCACCCGACGCGATGCCCCACCTGCCGGCAACCCAACCAGGTTCCCCTCCTCGAACCAACGTCAGAGGGGACTCGTCAACAGTTACGTTTGGGGCCCCTGATTCAACTGGTTTGGCCTGGTTTCACCCCTCACCCCTCGTCCGACTGGTTGCCTGTGGCTTGGCGCATCATGTTCCTCTCATTTTTTCTCTTGCCTCTCCCTCTCTCCTTCGCCTACTAGGCAGCATCACAAACGCGCTCAGAAACACCCAGCCCTGCACCCTGCACCTACTGTGGCACACGACCCCCCCGGGCACTCGCTCGTCTTGGCGCAATACCACCTGCTCTTAAGACTCCACTCCCCAGCGCTGTCGAGTCTGACCGACTTCATATACGCCACACCACCGAGCTGACAGCCACACCAGGGCACTCAGACCAACAAAACAGCCTTGCTCGTCTACACGCGACACCGTAGTCTATACGCCTCGCTCCTGTCACCATGGTCAAGCCCAAAAGCAAAGGCGGCAACGTTCTTCCCCTCGTCCTGCTCCTCCTCTTTGTCGCTGTCCTTGCCGGCGTTGGCTACGTCGTGTACACAATTGTCCAAGATGTGAGCAAGAACACGCGCGCAAAGATGGAGCGCAAGCATATCGCCTTTACAAAGGATGGAATGAAGGTCCAGGTGAAGGAGCTCCAGGATGAGCAGTACAAAGATCGGACGCAGAGGTGAGTGCTGACCCTATTGTCCATGGGAGTTCGCTCAAGAGACTGACTAAGTGGGTTCTTGCAGCGTCCTGGTCAACGTGTGGAACCACACAAAGTTCCCAGCATATAAGAGTCGCCTGTGGGGTTTGTCCGGCGAGCAGGCCAAGCAGGAGGGCCTTGAGATGCGCAAGCCGTGAGTGCTTTCGTTAACAGGCTACGGGAGACCTCCGTGTGGCCGTCGAACTGACATTTATTCGTCCCTGCAGGCACTCGAATTAATCATTATCTCGATTCTAGCTCATTCCGCGGAAACTTCATTCGCGGCTTGGCTATTGTCCTGATCCTATGTCCCACCATTCTTGATGCTGGCTTTTTTCCATATGGGGCGAGACCTTCTAGGCGGGCACTTCTTGTTCTCCCCCCCCACAAGTCCAGCATAGTGTCTTGATACACCCATTATTTGGCCTTTCTTCTTTCACCCGTCTTAATTCTCTTTTCTTGTGGATTTGTGATTTGTGCTTTGACTTTTGTTCACTCTGTTTCCTTTCTCCTTTTGATTCCTCCCCTCCCCCCTCCCCCCAACGACTTATCATACGTCCGATTTCCGGTAAACGGGCCATGTTCGATAAATACCGTATACTCAGGGATCCCCTTGGGTCCTCAGGATACGTGGGATCCACCCCATCAGTCGGAACCTAGGATCTCTACAAGGGCCATTGCCGTCGGAAATTGATTGGACTGGGTTCTGCTTTGTGAGTATGGTGTGGCAACGTTTCATCTTTACTTGTACAGGAGCTATGAATCTGCGCGTTGATTAAGGTGATATCTCAGATCACGACACTGGCTTTTTGATGCGGGTTTCACACTATAACGAAGATTTAAGAGCTACACATGAAAAGAGAAATGACATGAAATATTGGAACAAGTATGAAATATTATGATATGTATCTGACGTGATAGTCAGGAGAATATCTGAGACATGACATAGGTATTCAACGCCAGTAGGACAAAGAAAAACCAGGATGGATGAGATGATTTCAGCGCTGCGTGTGTCAAGCCCGAGAATCATGTACCGTGATGAAGGAAAACCAAGGCCAGTCCGATGCACAAACGCCACACTTAAAACCACAGACAAAAACATAAGGAACATCGAAGCAGGATGAGGGTATAAGCCGTATTTACTAAACTCGGGTTCAATTGAACCGCGAGGACGAGAGTTCGTACAGAAATTATTTAGGGCTTGGAGAGCTGTTCTTTTCGGAAGAAGAGCAAGAAGCCAGCACTAGTCATTGGTTGTTAGCACTGCTGCGGAGAGACCATGGGAAGAAGAGCTTACCAGATAAGTAACTGGCTGAACAAGGCAACCCAGAACCAAGCATTTGCCAACTCATGGACGCCTTTCGTCATGTCAGGGGAGATGGGCCCCGGGCCTACGTTGTTGGGACCAAAGGCTCGGGCGCAGATGGTTGCAATGGAACCAAGCACTTGTGAGGCGATGAGTGCAAAGCACATGTGTACCCGCGTCAACGTCTGCAGAAGGATGACACCAAAGCCGAGGCCTTGGATGGAGTCCAAGACTCCCAGCCACAGCCACAGACTGCGCGACGCAAGTGCTCCGCCGGTGTAACCACCGGCCACCCAGGGAAGATAGTAGCCAATGCCAGAGATGCCCCACCAGATCTGGATAAAGCGTGGGGCACCCAGACCACAGGCAAACACGGGGAGGAACCAGCTGTGCCGCTTCGAGAATCGACTGATGACAAAGAGGAAGATGCACCAAACAACGCCGAAGAAGACGATGCAGAGGATGACGATCTGCCATGCATGGGCGTGGTTAGAACCCCACAAGACTGCAAAAAGAATATTGGATCAGTGTTTGTTGACGGTATCAGAAGACGGGAGAGATGAATCTTACAGCTCCAGTTACGGCCATATGGTGCACTAAGGAAGAAGTTCTGCAAAATAACGGCCACAAAGTTCCAGAGGACGATCTTTCGTCGGAACAGGGACGTATAGAAGGAAGGCACCTTGCCGGGCTTTTGACGGTAGTAATTGGGCAAACCGAAAACCAAGAGAAGACCAACGGCCCACAGGAAGATGGCAATAGGATAACAGATGGCCCTGTGTTCAAGTTAGCAAATGGCGTATGACAAAAAATCCCAATCGCGGATACGTACGTCATTTTCCAGGTGTTGGAGATGGAGTTGTCGGATGACAAAAGACCTTCGCTGGAAGCCCTGCTCAGGGTCGAACCCCAATACCAAAGCCCGATCACATATGCCTGCTGAACGCCTTGGATGACACACGCGCGGAAGATCCAAGTTTCGACAGGAGCACCACCCTCATCACCAAAGTTCGAGGCAAAGAAAATGGAACCGCTAGAGGACGCTGCGGCGTAAAATCCGCTTCCGATGTTTTGAATCCACCCCCGGTTGAATGAATCGTGTTCGAAGTGGGCAGAACCAATCAATAGGAAGGCAATGCCGTAGAGGAACCAGGGGATTGATAGGGTGACGACAGATTTGAAGTACCGGTACAGTAACCACCAGCACACAGAGGTGATTGCGTAGGTGGTCGCGATACCATAGAGCTTGTTGGCAGTTTCACCCACTTCACCTGTGAGAAGAGTGATCTGGTATGAGTTGGCCGCGATGACCTGACCAAGAGCGAGGAAGATCGAATACACCGGCCAGTCGCCGAGCTTGACCTGCATCCACTTCTTGAGACCCGTGGGGGGAACATAGTCCTTGCCCAGCAAGAACTCATCATCATCTGAATCGCGGGAGTCACTATCAGCGATATGAGAAATACCCTCGGTGTAAGACTCGCCAGCCGGGGAGGCGTTGTTCTTCGAGCGGAAGATCGATGGCGTCGGCGACTTGTGACGACCCAATCTGGCGTCGCGGAATCTGTCGAACCATTCTTGCTCACTCTTGACCAAGAACTCTTCAATGCAGAGCTGATCCTCGGAATTGGATCCATTCAGATTCTGCAATTTCTGCTCAAAGTTGTGGTAGTATTCGCCAGTGCCGTCGGTGAAGAACGGATCGACCTTCTGCAGCTTGAAGTCCTTCTTGCCACCGACAACAGAGTCAAGTGAGAGAACGGATGCGTTGCTGTAACGGTGGCTCTCTGACAGAGGCTGAGGCGGAAGAAGGAGCGACTCCGACGTGGGGGGCGTGCCCGGGCTGGTTGGAGGCAGGAGGAATCGGGGATGCATCAACTCTTGACTGGGGCGGCGCCGAGGTGAAGCCAGTGGAGAAGAGTACGAAATCCCTTCTCTCTGTGTAACCTGCGCACGTCGGCTCTCCTCCACCTCTGCAGGGGTCAGAGTATACTCGTCATCGCCATACACGCTGTGAGTTCGCTCCTCGTCGTCGGTTTCCTCCACGGCATCGCTGCTATCGCCAGATTCTTGGATATCGCTCTCAGCCTGTGCATGGCGGCCACGGCGTGACCGATGACCGGGACCCGAGCGAACACCTAGCGAAAGAGACCGACTCAGGGCAGACTTGGGCTGTTCAGTCTCAGAGGGACTAATATCACGACTATAGATCCGCTGAGAGCCCAGATCGCTGACCTGATTGAAGCTCGAATAGCTGCTGTCTCTGGAATGTTGCAATGCTGCATTCATCCCAGGCATAGGCAATGGACTCATTGGAGCCATGCCTAGATTCACAGATCTCAACGTACCGTTAGGAGTACTGGTCCCGGATGAAGTGAGAGGCCGGCCATGGCCCTTCGAAATCCCCTTCTCGTGGATAGCAATGGCCGTGGACTGAAGAATCTCGAGGTCCTCCACCCACTGAGCCACGGGAAATCGTTGCTTGGCAGATCTGGCACGCATCAGTGCGCGAGTCTCCGTCTTGGAGTTGAGGGCAGCATCAATCGCAAGCTTGAATTGAATAAGCAGATGAGACGTGGAGGTCGATTCCACGTTATACCACCAGCCGGGCATTTGGCCCAAACCACCAACGCGAGCTCCAATACCCAGGGCTCCCTTACGGCCGAACTCCACTGCGACCAGTCCAAAGGGCTCATCGCGAGACGGGATAAGGGCAAATTCAGCCCCAGAGAAAATAAACGGCGGGAGAGCAGTGAACTCGGGCTTAGAGAAGACTCGACCAGGGTAGATCTCCATGATACGCTTGAGTTTAAGCGCAGCAAATTTGCCGAACAGGTCAATCACAGGACCGATACAAATGAGTTGCACATTGGGACGCGCCTCCAAGACCGCGGGCAGGGCGTCAGCGATAAGATCGACACCTTTCTGCATCGACCAACGACCGACGAATACAAGCAGATCGGCGTCGGGGTTCTGGTCGAGTCCAGCCCACTCTTGGGCTTGTCGCTTCAACTCACCACGACCGGCCTCATACTCAGGATCGACAGTAGCTTCTGTGATAGGCTGCTTGGTCCACTCGCCAACATCAGAAGGATCGGGGTTAGGCAGATTGCCAACCTTGCGCAGACCCCAGAAGATCGGGTAACGAGCATAAGAGCGTTTTCCGTATTTCTTTGAGACACCAACAGCACCGAAGCCCTGTTGGTTGATTCGAAGATAGCTTGCACCCGCGTGGAGAAGGTTGAACACTTCACCAAACTGCACATACCGACGAGCGGTGTCCTCATCCAGGTTGAAAACTTGGCAGACTTCTTGTCGCTCCTTCTGGGTTCGCATCGGCCATAGACCCTGGAACTCGGCGTTGTGAAGGGATAGACAAGCAGGAATAGTCTCTGGCAGGAGGTAGAGAGGCGCGACAGATCCATGGTAATCGTTGATATGGTAAAGATCAATCGGGAAGCGCTTGATGGCTTCGGCGATACATTGGTTCCAGGCAGAATAGTACACAGCACTATCCAAATCGTCCATGCGAGCGGGGTATGGCTCCGTCTTTGATTGCTGTCGGAATACTGGAGCGTCAAGGAGCACGTAGGTGATGTTGTTGAGGCGATGATATTGGACCTGGACCTGGAAGGCACTGCCCAGAATGGTCACCGTCATGGGCTCCGCCTCTTGATCGATCGGGTAGTCAATGCCGCCCACGCAAGGAACCACCCAGATGAGGTCCTGATGACCCAGTGTCTTGCCCATGAGCTGAGCCATCACACCAAGACCTCCGATCTTGATCTTGATGGCCCAATCCTCGATATCGTACTCCATGGTGGCAATCAAGACCATGCGGCGCTTACCTGTGGCGCCAGCGACTGCCAATGCAGTGGTGCTTTGCATGAACCCGGATTTGGTGACGCGAATGAGCGGATTAATGGAAGTTTCGCCAGAGCGGCGATGAGTGAGCTTCTTCAAAAAGACCATCGGTGAAAGACTGTGCTTTTCACTGATGCCCACTTCGTTGAATTTGACCTTGTAGAAGGACACCATGAAGATGTAGACGCAGGCTGCGCCGGTCAACGGGGCTACAATCCAAAAGAGAATAAACATGATGATTTGAATATGTCTGGATCCAACCGGTAGGAGGTGGAATCTTTGAGTGCCGTCGTCGATCTGGAGTCTCCATGACAAATAAGGCGCTGGTGGAGGCTCAGTGATGTTGATCAAAGTGCTCGAAAGAGATGACGGAGGCATTCGGTCCAAAACGCTATCATTATCCATATCACCCAGCACCCAGCTTTGGTCTGGCTTGCCATCCGGGTTAACGCCCCAGATGTTGATTTGTCCAGTGGCAGGCCATTCGGATGTGAAATGGTACTTCCAGTATCCGTCCAGCGTGTCCAGGTCAAGGTTATTGTCAAGACCGCCGTCATAGCCATACTGATTGTAAGGACCATTGAAAAAGGCATGAGGGAAGCGTCGCTGAGTAGTTTGATCCCAGTTCGTGTCGCCTTCTTGCACATAGGAACTGCTGCCGGTCCAGCGACTCCAGTACTCCACGCGAACATGATCACCCTTCCACTGCTGCTTCTTGGTACCGGACCACGGAAGCACATCAATCGTGTCATTTCCACCCTTGTATGTCTGCCAATCGGAGAAGGATGTGCCCCAATTAGTAGAATACCGGTATTTGTCGGCACCTGCGGCGTGGTGCTGGATGAAAAGAGTGTCGTTGCCTGATTCCTGATGAAGCAGACTGCTCGAATAATTGGCTGTGGTAAAGACCATGGGATTGTCGATTTGGCCAATGCGGAACAAAAAGTTGTCAACAGCGTTGGTAGAAGCATCTTTGGGAGCATTGGTTGCATTGCTCAAGGTCAGTCTGTGAACTCCATTATAGACTCCGGTCAGATTGGCGGTCCACACAAAAACGCTAGGAATTTGTCCCGTATAGGTAGTCTCAGTGGCAGTGATGTTTTTGCAACTGGCTGTGTTAACGTTCAGGGTTGGAGATATTCCAATCTCCGTGGATGAATTTATAGACAGGCCGTTGGTCACAGACAGACAGTCCATCGGCTCGGAGAAGTAGAGTTCAATTTGCACATCTTCAGACAAATTCGGGGCTACAGTCGAACGCAAAGGAGCATCATGGCCCGGTGTGAATTTGGTCACCATGGGCCGAGGCGATTGATAAACGGAAACTGGGACATAAGCACGGAATTCGTAAGCCGCCAGTGTCAGATTTGGATAGCAGCCGTTCCATTCGGTCGATCCATTTAGGCCAAGCTTCCTTGGTCCATCTATCAACACAAGCTCGTCATGAGGGTAGAACAGGTTTTTGACCGTTGTGCCCGTGTCAAATGGAGATAGGAAAGCAGTATCGTTGTCACTGCAATCGAACGTATAGTCCATTGTGCGGTTGACATTTTGGTAGACGAGCCAGATGGGCGAATTCTTAGCGTCGGAGCCGAAATCCTGCACTTCGCTATTGAGGTTACGAAGAACGGACCACATGCCAGTCTCTGTAGCCGTGTCATTGGAACCGGGATAGACCACATCCTCCGTCTGCTTAGACATATTCAGAAGCGAGTATCCATCGTTGAGAACGGGGAACTGTTCTCGCAGCTGATACATGTGCTTCATAATGTTGCGAATTGGATGGGTTGGATCACGGTGGTCATAGGTAACGGACTCGTCATTGCAGCCCTCGCCAGCAGCTTGAAGAGGCCACTGGTAGTACTGGGAGGATTCCAACGAGAAACATCCGTGGGTTTTCCAGGCTGTCGCAGATGACATCGCCTGTCGCCCGTAGATATAGTTAGATGCGGTTGCATCTAAGATATAAAAGGCTTGTTCCTCTCCCCAGAGAAGAAGGGGGATTCCAGGCATCAGAAGAGTTGTTATAAAGGAGCCAAGCAACTGTCTCTCCACACCGTACTGGATGGCAGGCCAGCGGAAAACATCTTGGTTGGTAGCGCCAAACATGTGCCGAGGGTCGAATTTACCAGTGTTTGCATTAACCAGATCGTTTGATTGAAGCATCTCGTTCCATGCATCAACCCAGTCAATAGGCACATCGTATCCAGCGGCGAGCTGACCGTCCATGCCGAGGAATCTAGTCAGGGAACGATATGTCGAGTAGTGGAAGGCCGCGCCGTCGATCGCCTCATATCCCACTTCACGTAAGAAATACTGAGACTCAGACTCGTTGGTCAATTTCATCGCAATGCTGGCGCTGGCCGGATACTGATTAGGTTGCCGACCGCGACCAAGGTAGATAGAACCGAAGGTATTACCGCCAGTGATTTCACCCGCGATAAAGAAGTTTTCTTTCCCAACAGCGCGCGCGCACTCGCGGTACGCTCGCGACATGTCCCCAAGCGCTTCAACTGTAGCTTGGGTGGCTTTATCGTACCGGAAACCATCGATATCCAAGGACGCAATCACCATGCACGAATGACGGATCAATTTTTCTCGCACAGGTGTATACCATTCACGCAAACGATCCTGCACGGATGCGAATTTGGCAAGTTCACGCTGCCAATCTGGGAAAACACCGAAGGCCTCAATGTCACCGTACTGGTCGAAGTCGCTATCGTAGCAACCAACCAGGCCGGCGATCTCTGATGCATTGACTGGGTATCCGTCCTCGAACCAGAAACGTGGATAATCACAAGTCTCATTATACGTGTTTCCAATTTCAAAGTCCACGTAGTGACGATTGCTCTTCCAGACTGTCGCATGTTCCTTCTCTGAAAAGGGCGTCGTGGTGTTGAGGTATCCGTCGAAGCCGATCAGGTCACCCATTCTGTTAAAGCAATTAGCCTTCTCTCTTGCAAGCCGAAGAGCCAGATTATGCTTACGTGGCAATGGTGTTGTCAAAGACAACATACATTCCCCGCTTGTGGATTTCGGTGATAGCGTCTCGCCAAACTTGTAAGGTGCCATAATGTTGATCGAGTAGTGTTGTATCTAAGGCAGAATATCCGTCGAAGCCCCAGGGCTGGTTCATTAAGGAGGTTCCTGCAAGATAGAGACCCTGTAGTTTGTGAGCATCCGCTAATCCCGACTCGAACATGGGACTGTGTGCTCCATACCTTTATGCCCATTCCCTGAAGGTAGTCCAGTGTATCAACCAAGCCAGCAACATCACCTCCATGACGCATTTGGGTTGAACTAAGATCATGCTCGAACAATGTGCCGTTGATGTTATCATTAGTAGGATCGCCATTGACGAAGCGGTCCAAGAAGAGTGTATAGAATGGGAATCGCCAGTTATCTGGAGATGGATGGTAGTTGCCCTCGTGGTTAGGCCATTCTCCCCAATAGTCAGCTGGGTCTGTGGCCGTCTGATTTTGGTTGAGATTGTACTGGAGGAAAGATTCGTCGTACGGCCAGCATGTTGACGTCGATGCGAACAGGGCAAGGAGCCCGCTGGAGAGCAGCCACCTCATGATTGGGTGGTGATTGTCTTGAACGCTTGACGAGTCTCCAGTGCCTCTCAAAGCCCCGAAGTACCCTCTGCAAAGAGGAGGAACTCAAAGCTCTCAGGTAGAAGCAGGCATGCGTCTAGCTCGCTTTGCTGCGGGTACACGCGAGTCGTTCGTAGTGCTCACCGGGTCGCACACGTCCAAAAAGCTAACAATAGATTCAAGAAACGAGGGGACGACGCTCAAAGAAACGTGATAGAGAGAGAAAGTGCCCGTAATGCAAGGAAACGAGAGATAAAGCTGGTAAGATGAGGGATTACGAATGAAGTGGGAGGAAAAGATCAGATCACGTAGCAAGACATGGCTAAGATGGTGACCAATTTAGTGGCATGTAAGGCCCTAAGGTCAGCACAAGATAAAAATAAAATGGCGAGGCAGACCGAACATTGCGGAGCGAATGAAACCACTAGTTAGTCGAATGAGGCTGATTACAATTACAAAAGCTGGTGGTGATGGAGATGTCCGTTCCTCGTGCAGCCAGTGGATGCACTAGGGCCAGCCGCGACATCCCGGGCTAGGCTCAAAACTGCTATTTTCTTGAGTTTTTCTTTAATTGATGTATTATAGCTAGCCTTTCTATGAGCAGTCTGGCCCGCAGCCAAGAGCTCACTCGTGGTTCGACGGAGAATTGCCGCGAGAAATCACCCAAACGGGTAGAGTTAGCTGTTCGTATCGGTGGAAAGCCTCTAAAACCCTTTTTTGGATCCAGCTCATAAGGCTAGAGACCCTGTATCTTTCTCAGACAACCCCATTTCACTAGTAGCCCTCTCCATTCATGTTACCTTGAACGGATTTCCCTTTCCGAGACAGGTCCACCTTTAGGCGAATACATAGACCATAGTGGCACTCCATCTTCTGCCGGAAGAATGGAATACGTACAGTAAGATAAGACCGAAGAGTAGGGTATGTTGTCAAGCTGTCTACCTTGATGATGAGGGCTTCCGCTCACTCTTCTATCGGGGATCCCGACTCAATTTTGCCAAGTGTGTATGAGGTAATCTTCGAAACGCACACCGATAGGCGTTCGGTGTATCTCGTATTCTGACGCAGCCCAATATATGCGAAAACGATCGGATGGGACCTATACATAGAATTTTGCCGATAACGAATGATACCGAGCATACGGCCCGCAAATCATAGAGTCTTCGGTAGGCTGAGCCGGTGGGTCCATTCCGGCCAGGCTGGTCCTCTTTAGGGCAAGGCTGAGACCTGTAATTTTCTCTTCTTCTCGTTTGAAAATAATTCGATCAAAATTCGATACGACCCTAGTGAAGGGTTGTTCTGAGGTAACATGTATTATCATCCATGGTTTAGTCGTTCAGCCACTTACCGTCAACCAACCCTTATCTAAGACATCGGGCACTGGCCGTGGGTCGACCAGGATGAGAGAGATATGCAGAGGATGCCGCTATGTGTCCGTGGGACTTTTTTGACTTTTTGAAAAAATGGCCGCAATTTCCAGGCTAGCATTGTTCCTGTAGAATCAGAAGCGAAATTCGAGTCTTGATGGGGTTATCTGCAGGACCGACAGCGCCATTTTCTCAATCGGGAGTCTGGGGATGAAAATCTCTCATATCTAAATACCATGTGGCAATGGGATTTAAATGAAGTAATCCATGTCATGGGTGTACCCAAGCGTCTGAGCCAGCTCTGGTCTCGTGTATGCGGGTTCCTACTTCTCGGCACCCACTCATCCTGATAACGCAATCTCAAGGTTCACGAGCGGCATTTTGCTTCGTACTTTGGATAATACAAAATGACGTGTTCTAGTCTTTGTTTAAATTTTACTTCTATGTTTCCTGCTGCCGTGTGCGAAAGACATTGAACCATTAATTGGACAAAAAGCCCATCGTCAGGTGAACCATAGACTGTCTGTCATAAAGGATAACCACGGAAGCCACCGATACCATCACAAAACAGGCACCCGCGGATAAATTCACCGGCCTATCTCCCGACAAAATACATCAAGATTGCTCGCTCTGCCTTTCCGTCGAGGTGCAGTGCTCGCCTCAAAATGCTTCTCATCTTACTGGATAGACATTTATTTGATCAAAAGCAAATAAAATCCAATCCCTGCTAAGGGGGCGCAACGATCCCTCCCCCTCCCCCCCCTTTTACCCCATGGTGGTGTCAATTCCCCTATCGCATGTGCGAGATCACCAAATTCCCGTATTTCCCACCTGGAGAAGGAATATTTGCCGACTCTTATATTCAGCTGCACTGAAGTCTGTTCACCAGTGGTCAGCCTAAAACTTGCGTGATATCAGATACTCCATCTTCAGTAACTACAGTATGTACCAAGGTATCAGGTCTGCATACTTCCTTGTTCGTTGAGAATTGTGGGGATGGCTTACCAGTCTGCGAGACCTGTCTCGGACCATTTGCCTAGCTGAGCGCTATTAACTTTCATCCCAGTTTTGGTCGCAAACGTGCCGTGTCTTACCCCTGTAGGAAGGCTGCCCACACCTGAGGGCGGCAAGTACTCCGTAAAGTGGGTTCGAATGAGTCCCAATGCGAGAAGATCAGCAAGAGCATTGCAATCGCAACGACAAGGTTCGCATTACGGAGTAGTTGCAGATGTCTCGAACATGGGGGTGCAGGACTTTCCCGAGCCTCTGTCTCCCTCCGTAGCAGGTGTTCGTTTATATTCATCACGCTGCTCCTCGTCCTACTTCAACGGAGCCTGCTGCCCTAAAATGCTGCTCCGCATGCTCTTTCTATTGGACTTCTGGAATAACCCCAGGTTCTAGAAAAGAGAATGTCAGATAAGAACTTCGAACTTACACACGGAAGCCCTGCTCTCGGGCGATGTGGCGACGATATTAAAATGCTGAAATCACACTACTAGCCTGAGGGCTAAGCCAAATGATACCTAGACTGAATCACCTACAGCGGGTAGCATCCCACATGGATTTCCGGTTTTTGTGCCTGCCATAGTACCGTGCACCCTGATCCCCCAGTCGCCAAGTGCCCTAGCTAGGGCTGTTCTGCTTCCCCTGGCCCTTACCCTATTCCTTCAGTGCGAATAGCGCGGACATGCACCTTCTTTCCATTATTCCTTCCTTTAATCTATCCCCCACACTCCTTTCCATGTGATTCGAACGATACTACGCTGTCGCTTTTTTAGTCTCTCGTTTATCTTGTCACTCGCTCAAGTTCGAATTTGTCGCTCTTTCCCAGACCCTGCGCGGCGTGATCTTGATTTTGCGACCAGTTGCGGCGCATCTCAAGGCCCGCCATGCTCTCCCCATCACTAGTCTGCTATTTGGCAAGAGTCTTCTTGCTTTCAGGCCTGTTGGGGACCACATTCGCTGCACGCACAGCTTCATGGAAATCCAGATCCGTTTACCAGACTATGACAGATCGATTCGCACGCACCGATGGATCGACCACGTTTCCTTGCAATACCACGGCAGGACTCTATTGTGGGGGGACATGGAGAGGAACGATAAATCATCTCGATTATATTCAGGGCATGGGTTTTGATGCCGTTATGATTTCTCCGATTATCCAAAATATTGACGGTCGGGTTTCCTACGGCGAAGCCTACCATGGATACTGGCCGTTGGACCTTTATTCTCTCAACTCACACTTCGGAACCTCCCAAGACTTGCTAGACCTGAGTAATGCGCTTCATTCTCGCGGCATGTATTTGCTGATGGACACGGTCATTAACAACATGGCGTACATTACCAACGGTAGTGACCCTGCCACGCACATCGACTACTCGGTCTTCAAGCCTTTCGACAACGCAAACTATTTTCATCCGTACTGCAAGATCACGAACTGGGAGAACTTCACCGATGCGCAACTTTGTCAAACAGGTGATTTGGAAGTTGCTCTGCCGGACCTCTTCACTGAACACTATGATGTCGAACAATTTATGGAGAGCTGGGCAAAGGACACGATGGAAAAATATTCGATTGATGGACTGCGCATTGATGCTGCCAAACATGTCAATCCAGGCTTTCTGAGTAACTTTGGAAATGCTGTGGACACGTTTATGACGGGAGAAGTTCTTGAGTCAGAGGTGGATATCATTTGTGACTATCAAACCAACTACATTGGGAGTTTGCCCAACTATCCCATCTACTTCGCCATGCTGAAGGCATTCACAGAAGGGAACACCAGTCTTCTCGTGAATACAGTGGAAGTGATGAAACTCGCGTGCCCCGATGTCACTGCCCTGGTCTCTTTCTCTGAAAACCATGATGTTCAAAGAATTGCTAACATGACGGAGGATATCTCAGTATGCGCAAGTGCTCCAAATATAAGTGCACTATGACTAATTGCCTTACTTTTTATCTAGCTCGCGAAGAATATTGTGACCTTCACCCTTTTGTTCGACGGCGTTCCGATGATTTATCAAGGCCAAGAACAACACTTCAACGGTTCAGGCACCCCGTGGAACCGAGAAGCATTGTGGCTATCTGGTTACAATACTGGCACCGAACTCTACAAACTCATCGCGACGATGAATGGCATCCGAAAACACGCCTGTACTCTGAACGCGGATTACGTTGACACCAAAACGCATTCCATCTTCTGGAGTGGAAGTGAGATGGCTTTCTCCAAGGGTGTCGAGGGACGGCAGCTCATAATGCTTCTAAACAATCAAGGCATACAAGGCAAACCCTACACCCTCACATTACCCGTCACCTATAATGCTGGCATTGAGGTGACCGATGTTGTGAGTTGCCAAACCTACTGGGTCAATAACTTAGGACAGCTCCTTGTCGATATGGACAAAGGAGAGCCCCGGGTTTTTTTCCCTACTCAGTTGATGGGCGGCAGTGGCCTATGTGGTTACTCTTCACAGAATATTTCCTATGCTGAACTCGTAACGGGGCATTCTCTAGGGGCCAAGACTAAAGGAGGCGCCAGGCAAACCCTTTTGCTGGCACTCTTTCTGGGCTTACTAGGCAACCTTTGAAGAATGGCTGCCATCATTTTTTCTGGATTTTACACTGGCAAGTGTGTTTAATGACCTAGCTTCTCTCCCTGATATCCCGCGAGGTACCGAGGTCGCCTCTTTTACCATGAACACGGTCGCGCTCATTCACCCCTCGAACGTCCTCTCCGTCTATTTATATCACTCAACTTCACTGTATATACTTGGAACTGTCCCAATTGTCTCAATATGCTATTTTATAAATAATAGTGAAATTATTATTTCTTGCAGTATTAGCCATGACGCGATCGACAAGATCTGACTTGATCGGGACTTGTGGTCTCACCTTAGATTGATGATGTAATTTACGCTGAATTATAAATACATTGGTCGCGTGGACCCACTCGTTGAAATTTTCGGTTCCACATATCTTGAACCCTGAGACATCCGAAGAAACTGCGGTACCCGCAGTGGACTCCTGTAGTTAGGGCAATTGTCTGAATTGCAAGCATACCGGTCCTAAGAGCCACGCCGTGATTTACTAGCTATTCTTGCTGAATGCTTAGCCATTGCTTGCATGCCACGTCCCGAAGCCTCCCATGATCTCTTTATTTTCGTGCTGTAATCGACCACGTTGGCGGAGACAGCGAATATGGACCGAGAAAGAAGGTCAATTTCCCAGCCAACTTCCTCGTACAATTCTCCTTCTGACTTGTAATTTACTTCATTAGAAGCAGCCAAGAACCTTGATCAACTGCCTTCATGGACTGCACCAGATAACACGCTAATCGTGCAGGCCTTTGAATGGCATGTACCTGCAGATCGACATCATTGGAGTCGATTAAAGGCTGCTTTGCCCGATCTGAAGGCGATTGGAGCTGACAAGATATGGATTCCTCCAGGATGCAAGGGAATGGACCCTTCAGGCAATGGCTATGACATCTATGACTTGTATGATCTGGGGGAGTTTGATCAAAAAGGGTCGATCGCAACAAAATGGGGCACTAGGAAAGAGCTTGAAGACTTGATATGCCACGCTCAAGCTCTCAGCATCGATATCATTTGGGATGCCGTCCTCAACCACAAAGCTGGGGCAGATTTTCCGGAACGGTTTGAGGCCGTTGAGGTAGACCCCAAGAGTCAGTTCTCATTCACTGCCTTTCTGTCTCTGTCACGCTTTTTCTGGTTTAAACGAATCGAAAGGTCCAGGGAGCTAATGTTTGAACTTGTAGGAAGGGATGTCGAAATCTCCAAGCCGTTAACAATAGACGGCTGGGTAGGCTTCGATTTCCGTGCACGCGGCAACTTGTACAGCTCCATGAAGTATCACTGGCAACATTTCAGCGGTGTTGATTGGGATGACAAGCGCAAACATCAAGGGATCTACAAGACTCATGCACCCAACAAAGAATGGGCCTCGGACGTGTCTGATGAGAATGGAAACTATGATTACCTGATGTTTGCTGATCTCGACCTGTCACATCCCGAAGTCCGCGCCGACCTTCTACACTGGGGAACCTGGATTACCAATGAATTATCTCTCAACGGGATGAGATTGGACGCAGCCAAGCATTTCTCCACGAAATTCCAAAAAGACTTTGTGGATCATGTTCGAAGAACGGCGAATCCGGATTTCTTTGTGATTGGGGAGTATTGGACTGGGGACGTACAGGCCATTATGAACTATCTGGAGAAGCTTGAGCACAAGGTCACGGCGTACGACGTTCCCCTGGTTCAAAAATTCTCCAGATTGTCGCATACACGACACGCAGACCTCCGTGGTATTTTCGAGGACACTTTGGTACAGCACCGGCCAGACCAGGCAGTGGTAAGAAACGCTCTACAGCTCGCCATTACGGTGTACAACGGCTGACTTTTTGCAGACCATTGTTTCGAACCATGATACGGTAAGTGGCGCCAGTGGCGGCCCTAAAAATTGTTGGGCTCACTCGTTTAACGTCTTTTTGCTTTTGGCTTGAAGCAACCAGGACAAATGCTCGAGGTAAGCCCCCTCAATGATTCCATTCCATTCCATTCCGTTGCATCCGACCTCAATTAGGCTAACTGAAGTAGACACCAGTGGCCTCTTCCTTCAAATTACTAGCCTATGCCATAATTCTGCTGCGCAAAGAGGGTCACCCCTGTGTATTTTACGGTGACCTCTATGGGATACGCGCCAATGATGCCGCGCGCCCCATGACGCCAGCGTGCCACGGCAAGCTTCCCATTCTCACCCGAGCGCGAAAGCTGTATGCCTACGGCGAGCAAGAAGATTATTTCGACCAACCAAATTGCATCGGTCTGTCTTTTCCTCCCCTGAATCGATCGTTCAGTTTGGACTTATCGTTCCCGGCCGTGTCTTAGGTTTCGTTCGCTATGGCAATGCTCGTCACCGCTCGGGTCTCGCCTGCGTTATCAGCAATGCAGGCCCAGCCAAGAAACGGATGTTCATTGGTCGACAGAATACGAATCAGCGGTGGATTGATGTGTTGGGACATCACGCTGCAGATGTCCTTATCGACAAATGGGGTTGTGGCCTTTTCCCCGTGAACGCGATGAGTGTCAGTGTGTGGGTTAATTCAGCCGCAGGCGGTTGCGGTAGCCTCCTGGAGGACACCTTGTGCGTTTCGGCATTTACCCCCAACCCCAACACATTTTCACTGTTAGCTGACTTCTCTACTGTTCAGTAATGTAAATATTTATGACTATTAATTTTCGCCATATCTCATGTAACCCTCCCCGGGCGAATCCATATTCATTATTTTTTCAGCCAGGGGGCCAGACCCCAGTTCTGTCTCGTAGGCTCCGTTCATCCCGACTATTTCGTATGAAAAGCGAGCGGAACCGCCGCTTCCGCTAACAAGACCCATTATCCTAGACTTGGGGCAGTCCACGACCCAGGTTCTAACGGTTAATAGGGGGTAGTCCCCATGCTTGAGACACACCCAATGTTGCGCTCTTCCCAGTAGGGTACTGGAATTCAATCGGCAGGTGCTCGGTGAAACAGGGGGCAACTGCCTGTTCCTGAAAAATAGTGTCGAATGGGGCACACCAGCGGATGTCTCAGTCTTCCCTAGAAGTTCCGGGTTGCTGGTCCGCTTTAGATACCCTATTGGTCTATCTCCCTAATCAGTCACTTATGGCCTGCGGATAGGGCAAAGTAAAATTATGCGGCCCTGCCAAGAGCGATCATAGTTTGCCAAGCGATTGGTGACACTCGATGCTGGACATGGGTCACCGGGTTACTCGATACGGCCTAGCCTGTATCGTGGCACGTCCTTCGACGTGGTCACCACTTGATATTTTTTGGCCTAAAACTGAATGCCTCGGTACCGTGATTTCAATCCAGCCTGTTAAATACTCGACCGACAGTCTTTTAGTTGAATTGGCGACTTTGCTGTGTCCCAGGGGAGCTCAACCCGCTCTGAACATGAAGGAACCCCCGTTAAGGCCTGATTGGGTTTGGTCCGTGCTTTTAGCAGCGGTGACGAGCTAGTAAGATGTTGTAACCAGATAAGGTGCCTGTCAAGGGTCAAGGCAAAAATAGAATTTGCACTACGGTAACATACCACTGCAAAATACACGATGGCTTCAAAACTTACAAGTATTGCGGTGGCGCACGGATAGTCTGAAGCGCTAGCCTGCGCCCACCATACCTGATCTGGTTCGGCTCAGCCTCCCGCTGGGGCCCCCTCATGTCAGGCAGGCATAGTCTTTATCGGCCCAATCGGCTGTATCTCAAATACGAGCGCCGACAAAGCCGTTCTAAAGCCGGCCGATGCAACCGATAAACCCCTATAGACCACCACTCGGGCCCATTCGGATGATCTTCCACCCGAAGTTGCCTGCAGCTGAAGTGTTGGCAGTACGTGGTAATTTCGCGTGGCATTGGTACCGAGACAGTTTCATGATTTACTATGGGGACAGTGGGTTGCCTGTTCCAGCTCCGATGCACCAGAGACAGTCATGGGCGAATCGGTCTACACTGCTAGGTTCGTGCCGTAGAATGCCATCAATTGATTCAGATATTATTAGCATTGTCTGAGTTGGCGAGTGGCGAGCAAGCTGATTTCATTTGCATGTTTGAGGACTTTACTTTTAAGGTCCTTTGTCACCGTTGCTGAATGCATTGAACTCTCGTGGGCTCTTCTGTCGTTTGAGATCTTTTCTGAACAACTTTCTATTCTTCGTTTATTTCTCATTCGCTCTTCAATCGTAATCATGCGTCTCTCATTTGTCCTGTCTTTGATGCCTCTTGCAGGCTTCGTTGGAGGTAAGTTGGGCCCATCGCTCGCACACGGGCCCTCTAACAATGATTCCAGCTCTCCACGTCACTGAACCGGAGGAGGGTGCCGATGTCAAGGCTTCGAGCTCTTTGACAGTCAAGTGGACTTCTGTGAAGTATGTAAATTCCGGCTATCTCCTATATACATTCTATAACGGCCGCTAACCCCGATCAGCACCGATGCCTCGAGCTTCAATCTTTACCTGGTCAACAACGCGGTATACCCCCCCGTTAGCAAAAAACTTGCGACGGATGTGGAAACATCCAAGGGCTCCTACACGATTGATAATATCGGCAGCGTCACTGCAGGGTATGGCCATTTCCCATGGAGCGCTCGGTTCCATCCTCGGAGCTTTATGATATCTAACATCTCATTCTTAAACCAGACACGGCTACCAGATTAACCTGCAATCTGACGTGTCCCAGGACACCGGGATTCTTGCCCAGTCGCAGCAGTTCAATGTGACTGGCTCCAGTCAGAGCTCTTCGGCTTCGGGGAGCACCTCATCCTCCAGTACTACCTCGACCTCTGGCTCTACCACAAGTACCTTGACTGACACTCTCATCACCACCACCTCAGCGAGCACTGCTACTGGCACGACCACTGTCACTGGCACTACTTCGTCGACTGGTGCCTCTTCTAGCAGTACCTCCTCAGCGACCGCTGCTCCCGCGACCGGTGCCGGTGCTGCTCTCGTCGCACACTCGATCGCTGCCGCTGGTCTTCTGGCCGGTGCTTTGGCTCTCAACCTCTAAACGAAACCTCGCAACATCGGTGTAGTCCACGAACTACCGGGTTATCTATGGGGTTGTAGGCAAAAGGCAAGTGAACGAAGGTTGTCGATGCGAAAGAGCTTTTCAAGCCGGCGGGGTTTGGAGGATAGATATTTACGAGTTGTTTACTTTGCGTCAAGGATTTAATGAGGAAGGAGGTTTCTTACTTTGTGTCTATGGTTAGCCGTTATTAATCAACTAATTGCTAGATTATATATGCAAATAATACCACATCGTGATTCGCATTGATTTCCTCAAGTCAGATTGGAACCCGCCAGCCATCCGTTTTTAGCGGGTTTGGTCGGTCCCGTCCGATTTCCAAGGTTCGAAGATAGATAGTGCTATCTTAGGTACCTACTTAGTTTTCGATGCGCAACCTGGCTTTTTTGCCCGAGTAATGCCACGGCGGGAACTCGTTATGAAAGCATGATGCTTTGATTTTCGTACTCATTCGCATGTAAATGAAAGTTTCTGACAAAAAGCGATAGAATCACGCGGGGAGGTGCAGAATTCCATGCATGACCCGTTAACCCTGCAGCATGCTGACAGAAATATATCCATGGAATCGTACCAGGCAGGTTACGCCACCTCAATCAAACAGCAAAATCCTGCTGATTCTTTTGGAAGCCATCCTGCTTCCATCCCCACCCCTCTCATTGATCGGCATAATAGCTATAATCCTGATTCAAAAGATAAAACGGGCTCGGCTCAGGCTGCCCACTACCACCCACCCACGTCGGGGTCGTCAAGGTCTTTGGCGTGTTATCCCGGTGGCTGCTCGAAAACGTGCTCAAAGGTCTTCGCCCACTGGACTCGGTTGTTCAGGCCCTCCAGGTCCCACAGTTCCTGCAGGAAGTGCAGGATCGAGCTGTGGGTGTAAGCAGAATTTTTGGCGTACATGGTGCCCTCGTTGTGGATGAGGGTATTTGCGGAGATGAAGGGCGAGATTAAAAATGCGGGGACGCTGGATAGCTTGGTTAGATTTGGGCCTTTCTCTGGGTTGAAGAAGATGGCTTACCGGACGCCTAGGTGGGTGAAGTCGTAGCTGACATGGTGGCCGTCGGATGTGCCGGTGAAGCTGATGTTGTCTTCGGGTTGGGGCACGTCCATGGGGGGAGGGACATGGTCGGCGAAGCCGCCATGCTCATCGAAGTTGATAATCAGGAGACTATATCGTTGAGTTCCAGCTTAGTCCCCGTTTTGCATGTTTTTGATTCGGCATGGTGACTTACGCATTGTCCCAGTACTTGGACCGGCGGAGGGCATCGTACAGGTGTTTGATCATCTGCTCGCCAGATGCCATGGGGCTGGTTGGGTGCATTGAGTCTATGGTGCAGCACTCGGGGTTGATGTACGAGAAAGTTGGCAGAGTGCCCTGTTCCAGGTCGCGGTAGAACTCGTCTGCATTGACAAGCTGATGCATGGCATTGTCTTGAACCCACTGCCAAGGGTTAGCGGAAGCTGCTCTTGATACCTCGCGGAATACTGTTCACCTTGTACATGTAGGCGTCGATGATATCGGTCTCGTAGTACTATCAGTGTTGGAATCAGTAACATATCTGATATCGCCGAAGATAGCATGCTCACGTTCTTCCAGCTGATGTTCTTGTTGCTCAGCGATTCAAAGACTGACGTCGCGCAAGTGGTGCCTGTCACGTTGTTCCAGAATCCAGCAGCCTGATCAGTGTTATCGACAAAGCCACAGCTCGATCCCGGGGTTGCGAATTGGCGGTTGGCGTTAGTCGGACCAGAATGTTCGGCGAACTAAATCTCAGGCTTTAGCCTTCACTCCACCTCAGTCTCTCTTACATCCCGGCAACCCACATAAGAATCAAAGAAGGTAAAGTTCTGCGCCAACTCGGCCAACAGCGCCGTCTTCTTCTGATCGTACGCCTTGATCACGAACGCTGCATCTCCGGGAGTCGACTCATATTTCTCCGACTGGCGCTCGATAAAGCCGCCCATGTTGGATACGTCATGCTTGGTGACATTCCACTTGCGGAAAATCTCGTCAGTGACGCCCGCGAAGTTGTGATCCGGATCGGCGAGTGGGACTTCCGTCTCGTACGGGGCCGCGCAGATCTCTAGCGGCTCTCCCCACACGGCCCAGTTGGCGTTGGTGTACTCATTGCAGTAACTGATGTTGCGGAGGTTGTCTATGTCCGGGTGGAAGTCCCAGTAGCCGGCGATGTTGTCGAAGGAGTGATTTTCGAGGGTGAGGTAGATAATATATTTGATCTGGCACAGTTAATCGCTAACGAACCTAATTGATCCTACCTTCGACTTGTGGTGAAGTAGTAAAGCATTACTTACGTTTTGTCGCAGCTGGTTCTAGGTCTGCGTGCTGCGTGCTGCCGGCCGGCCTGATGCCGCCGCAATGAGGCCCGACAGGGCCGCGATAGTCTAGGCTGCCTTCATGATGCTTGCTGGCTTATCACCTAATTACTGACCGATAATCGGATGCCGCGAAAGCTCTGGCGATGTGTGATTCAGGAGGCATGAAGGGACATTCTTATAGAGTGGAGCATGCGCGTCCTGTCTACGCACGCAGAGTCTACATTTCCCTGCTTGGGAGCGGGTGCAATCCTCCATCAGCACCTGCCGTAATTGCGCTCCGTCATGGGCTTGATTTCCATCTTGGGCAGGAGGTTATGACCGAAGCTTGGACTGACGCGAAGGGAGATGGCCGACGCCATTTCCCGGGACTGTCGGCATAGGCGTACACTTCGCGCCCTATCATGGCTTCAGACGCTGCAGGACCCACTTGCCACGCTATTCATTGTGGGTAGTGGAATGGAATTCAGCTCCTCGCGAAGGTGGGCGGGCACGAGATAAGGGAGAAGATGAAAGACGTCCAATGAAGCTAAAGGAATGAGATAATTGATTGTATAGAGATTATTGAGGAGAAATCAACAGAAATCAGGCGGGAAGGCCTGTTGAACGGTCAACCCCAGTAGGGCGCACGTGTTGCTGTCCGTGCAGCCGATACTCGGCTGTTACAAAGCCTGATTTGTCATGAAAAGCAGAATTGCATACAAACACATAAGTTAAGGAAACTGGGCACTTGATGAAATAAGCCCTTTGTTAGTGGTAAGTTACCACTCCATACATTTCGACAAGTGTGACTGTGTCGTAAAGGTCTTGAACATTTGAACATTGGCGCGCGAAGAGACCATTCTCACCGCAGTTGCGGCAAGCGAAGTCTCCGCTCTCATCCGGAGTTGTAGTACGCTGAGCATCATGCCCAGAAGAGCGAGGATCTATGTTCTCGTGGTTGCCGGTATCTTGGACAGTATTATCCCAACCATCAAAGTCACCCTTCTCCACGCCGTGGTTGTCTCGATTATCCCAGCTGGCGTCCCCCGAAGACGGTCTATCCCAGATGGAAGACATCTTGGAGCACAGCGGATGCCAGATGCCTTGCAATTCACTGGTGCCCAGCAGGGAATGAAATGGTTGACGATAAACAAAGATCTAGCTATTACGTCGCGCTTAATATTCGGAAGTCTAATGTTAAGGCGAGCTGAACTAGCGTATAGACTAGTATGAATTAGGAAGCAGAAGAACTACTGGAATTATCAGATAAAGAGTTATTGATTGATTGAAGAAGAAATCGCCAAGTTCACAAAAGGAAAAGAGGCCTGACCCTCCACATTTTCGCCGCGGGAATCTCTGGCCGGAGAGAGTACGGGTGATCTTGTCCGCGGTGTCTGTCGTGACTCTCGAGTCTACCTAGTTGCCAGCACAGTGTGAGATGTGCTGACTGAGTCGCATGTACCTGCTCCGTGACTGTCCGCGAGGCTATGTTTTTTGCAGTAGACCACACGCGATCTCGAATGATCTAAACGGTCTAATGACCTAAGCAAGAATTAGCCCCTCCTGTGAGCAGCGTGGAACCAATCATGAGTAGTCGCTCGTCCGGGCTTACAATTGACCTCATCTCATTTGCTGGCAGATTGGAATTAAGCAGCAATGGGATCCACTCCGTCCCACCTTCTTCCATTTCTGCCCCACTTGCCAACTGCTCGTCTGCGAATCAGCGTTGCACGTGCCTGGCGGTACCCGTCGGAGTCCTCCAGCGGTGCCAAGCACGTTGTGACTTGATCGGCCTTAATAGGCTGCGATGCGCGGGGACGGACTCAGGACGTGCTCGAGCGGACCCAGCGACACCACCGGTTTCTCCGCACGAAGTGCAATGCGTCCAAGCGAGAGCACATGCAGCGCCTTATCAGCCCTCTTCGCTTTGGCTCCACTGCTCGAGCCTTTTTCCCGGTTTTTTTAATCACCTTTCTGCAGTTTTCTGCTCGCGTGGAAAGCCTCCCTACATAAACAAGGGAGAGCCGAGCAGTCCCCTGGACCGATTGATCCAAACGTTCGCTTGTTTCTGGTCTACTTCTCCGCTATGTCGATCACTTCAATGAGCGGCTTCATGTCCCGCTATTCCCCTCTCTCCGACCGGCGCTCGGCGGCCGACGAGGACAACGAGAAGGAGATGCACCTGCCCCTGCAATCCGATGTCGAGGGACAGAAGCGTTATGAGGTCGCAGAGAAAAAGGCCTCCCGTTGGGTTGACGGTCGCACTGTCTCCGATGCCATCATCGGGCTTTCGGATGGCATGACGGTCCCCTTTGCGTTGACTGCGGGATTATCAGCCCTGGGAGATACCAAAGTGGTTGTTTTTGGCGGCATGGCCGAGCTCATCGCGGGCGCTATCTCCATGGGACTGGGCGGATATCTCGGCGCAAAGAGCGAAGAGTAAGCCAAGCTTCCCCTTCCAAGAAACCCAATAGACCAACAGTGATGACGAACACTCTATCGGTCTTGAGACCAACCACCTTGCTAACCCGTCGTCTCGCTGCAGAGAATCCTACAAGGCCACCCTCAAAGAAACCGAGAATCAAACCATGGCCGACCCGGCCTCCATCTCCACCACCATCGAGGAGATCTTTGAGCCCTACGAGCTCCCCGCCGAACTGGTCTCCCAACTGACCTCCCACCTCTCCGCCTCTCCCATGCTCCCATCCTTCCTCATGAACTTCCAACACACCCTCGCCGAACCATCCGGCTCCCGCGCCGTCATCTGTGCCCTCACCATCGCTCTAGGCTACTTCATCGGTGGCTTCGTGCCCCTTGTGCCATACTTCTTTGTCGGCCCGCACGATGCCTTCATCGCGCTGCGCTGGTCTATCGCAACCATGGCCGTTGCCCTGTTCATGTTCGGGTACGGCAAGACCTGCTTCGTGAGCGGTTGGCGTGGGCGGAGGAATGTGCGCAAAGGCATGGTTGGTGGGGTCCAGATGGTTCTTGTCGGAGGCCTGGCGGCTGGGTCAGCAATGGGGCTGGTCAAGCTGTTCCAGATGCTGGCGGATGGACCGGAGCACGCCCACCACGACTAAGTTCTTTCGGAGAGATTTGTGTATAACCTCGTTTCCTCTCGTTTCCGTTCTTTCTTGCCGGGTCTCTTTGGCGTTTGATGGCATGGCGTTCTAGATGATGGCCCTCGGGCGGGGAGTATTGGTGTTCTTTTCCTTTCTACGATTTCGGCTTCATGATGTGTGATGGATGGATGCGGTTTGCAGACAAAAAGTATACGCAGTATCAAGATAGACATTTTCCTCCCCATCCGTTCTTCCTATTTATAGTCAAACTCGCTCAGCGAATGCCGTGATCTAGTTAAATATGGGATAACTTTATATCATTGTGAACCCGCCTTAGCAAACAACTGATGGACAAGACTAGATGACCGGACACCTGATATCACAGCCTCGCCCATCCAACTTCCAACTGTCAGTTCCACCCAGTCTTTCGAAGCTTACCAGTCGCAGGCCGTACAGCCCGCAGCTCATCATCAACAACCTTCGCCAATCTCCCCCCATCATCAATCGGCCCCTCCCATGAACCTCCACCCAAACGAAGAATCCGAGCATGCAAACAGCACATTTCCATGCCGTTCCCGCAAAGCATGCAGATACTTTGTCGTCATCTCCGGCCGCAGCTACTCCCACGCGCCCCGAGCAAATTTATCCTTGTGCCAGTTATGGTACACCATTCTCTGCACGTTCGTGCCTGAGTGAAATGCCTCGAAGGCTTACTTGGTAATTTCAGCGTCCTGCTCTGCGTCCAGGTGCACGCCCGAGGGGGAGCTGCCGAACGCAACGAGATGAGCGTTCCCTATGGGTGCGATCCTGTCCCCGAAGGTGTAGGTGAGTCTGCTGTTGGGGTAGCTTATTACACTAAGCTACCTTGGCGTGGCATTTGACGACTTGATTCAAATGGCTGTTCAGGGAAGCTTCCGACTTAAGAGCTGGCAGGGCGGGCGTAGAGGCCAAGGTGTGCAGGACGTTCAGCGGCACTGTCCACACGAGACGCCTCGCCTTGAAGACGTCCACCCCCTCTCGGCTTGTCACCTCAACCTCATTCCCGCGGTCAACTACGCTCTGGACGGGCGTCGAGAAACTGTAGTCCAATCTGCCCGAGCCGTCGGCTTCATGGAGATCCGTCGTGCCAATGCACCCAAGTCCGCCCATTTCATACGGGTAGCCATCCGTGTTGGATGACCACAAGCGCCTACCAATGCGATCCCGGGCTTCGATGACCAGGACTTGGTGAGCGGCGAGTGTGAGGTCGCAACATGTTGTGAGGCCGGCGTAGCCGCCCCCAATGACGAAGGCAGCATAGAATTTGTTCTGTGTGCAGTGTGCGGAGGGCTAGGACGCCTTCAGCGCGGCCAGTGGTTTGGGTCTAGTGGCAGCCATCACGGCGTTTAGGTAAGTTGGTCAAGCCATTTGGTTCTTGGTGGAATACCACGAGTGTTGGTAACCTTGGTTGGTCTGTCTTGAAGCCGGAAAAGGTGAGAGTGACATTCTGAGAGTATATCTATATCATCGTAGCTTGAGTCATCCTTGAGCGATCTATGCCTCATGGTGGAGTGAAGATATCTCGTCGCCTGATACCCTCGGAACTGTCTATAGAATTCCGAGGCCGATACCGATGCTTATCGCCAGCGCAGAATGGTGCCGGTTTTCCCTTCGTGAGTGTAATCAGTCACTATGATCTGCTCTCAAGTCTAGTGACTTGATCTTGATTTTTAGCCTCTGCCGTGGTCCGCATGGGGCCATATCATGACGCCTTCGGTTAACGAGAACCGGATTGAGAACCCATTCTGGAAGAACACTCGAGAAGCATTCAACAGTTAAATTTCAGAGTTCGAACATTGTTAACTGTTTTTTTGGTTAGCCTTAGACTCTTTTCTCACAATTTTCCAATTTCTGTCCTTCTCACCCCCTCTGATCGGTGATAGAAGCCTGGCTCTGTCATCAACGGTGTGAGATGCCCCACTTTTCGCCGCGGCAATCCTATCAAAGCAGGCTGCTGTTTCGGCCTTTCTCGGGCTTCCCTTCCGCTTCCGAGCTTGCTTTCGACTCCATCGCTCCAGCAAAGAACGAGCCCTTGTTGTACTCCCTGGTTTCTATAGTGGCAGTTCTCGGAATATGACAACTGAGTCGCTGGATCGAGATGCAGACCTGGCCGCATCCTCCCCGCCGAAGAAACGGGCAAAATATACCCAGATTGCCTGGTCCGTCTGCCCCTGGCTTCTATTCCCCAATGTTTTAAAAACCCGAATATGTGATGGACAAAGCTTGCTGAACATCTTAGCAATGAATGTAAACGGCGCAAGCTCAAGTGCAGTGGAGGTTCTGTGTGTACGCGCTGTTCGCGCAGCAAGATCCCTTGTCTCTATCCAAATGATCGCACGCCAATCCTAGAGACTGAATTTAAAGATGCACGGTAAGTTCTCGTTGTAGAATAACGGTCGATAAATGAAACCAATAATTGATTCAATCCAGAGTCGGCCCGAGATTCGAGTCCGTTGAGCGGCAGTTGGACATGCTGCAGCGGGAGATGCGGAGCATGTCTGCCCGTCTGCGAGAACTCGAAGCATCTACCTCGCCGTCCTCACGACCAATGAAGACCTCGACTCCGAGGGAGCTAGATCGCATTTTGAACGCACCGAAGTCACCGCCGTACGTTGGACCGACAAGTGCGGAGTTTGGTTTGCATCGACAGCGGCCTTCATCTCAAGAACCTGGTAGTGACGAAGTGGCTGATGAGGATATGCCGTCGTCCACACCCACCCGGAGTCCCTCCCCAGAGGAGACAGCCTCGCATGTGGGGAGTGATTTCCGCCTCAGACTTGATGATGCCCTACGTTTGGTGCAGGTGTATGAGGACCTGGTCGGCATTGTGTATCCCTGCGTGGATATAGACAGTGTTCGCGCTTATGTGCACGAGTACTATCGCTCTCATGACGCAATTCTCACTGACGCGTCTGAGTCGCAAGATAAAGCATCAACAGACCAAGATTGGTTTTTTGCTCGTGATATCCAGGTGTTGAAGTTAATCCTCGCGACTGCACTATTGGCCGAGTCCCATGGTCGAAGCGAAGCTGCGGCGCAGCTTGCAGATAGCGTTGAAGACCGGTTCGCGGGTCGGTTTAAAGTTGCGGAGGTGGATATGAAAGAGATTCTGATTATGACATTGTTGGTATGTCTTTTCTCCGTTTGCTGAACCCTGGCCTTGACCGTTTCTCCGTTATCCTGGTTTCTAACAAGCGTATCCAGTCAATTTTCCACTCCTATCGCGACGATGAGGTTATCTCGTGGCGCATGATCCGCATCGCGACTAGTGCTTGCATGGAACTGGGCCTTCACCGGCAAGAAACCTGGCAACGAACTGGGGGTGTCTTCCCCGGTGAACTCGCTTGGACATGGGCGATGCGTCTTTTCTGGTGCATCTATGTGCTAGACCGGAAGTGGTCTTTTGGCAGTGGATTGCCCTTTGGCATGCAAGATCTCGACATGGATACCAACCTCCCCGAGCCTGGCCACTCCACTCCCTACTTAACCTGCATGATCTCCTATGCGCGGTTGAGCACTAAGATCTGGGGCTTGTTTATGGAATGGCCGAAGCACTCGCGAGTGGCTACGTCTGATAAGTGCGCCCAGTTAGATGCACAAGTGCAACAGTGGATTTGGTCAATCCCGCGCGAGTTACGCTTCAACCCGAACTGGCAGTCTGGCTCCCTTGCGAGGCCGGAGCATTCAGAGCACAATGACCGAACGATGATGTTACAGGTCTTGCTTGCGCTGCAAGGTAACCAGCTCCGGACTCTCGTGTATCGACAGAATCTGCAAAGCAGTGAGCACATTGCTGCAGATATTGCGGGAGCTACTACAGCTGTAGAAACAGCGAAGAGCACCATTCATATACTGGACTATTTCAGCGGTGTGACGAACATATACTTCCAACGCCCGGAGCCGTTCAATTACTTCCTCATATCTGCGTTGGCAGCGCTCCTCTTGGCAGTCCTACACGCACCGAGTCGCTTCAGTCACGTCTGTCGGCCAGAGTTCTACACAGCTATCGAGCTCGTTCGTCGCTCTGCGACTCGTGCCCGAACATCAAGACGGTTACAGAAGATCATCCGCAGTTTGAAACGCATCCAATTGCACAAAGGTGGCCCAGATCCCCAGCCATTCGGCTCTCACAAACGCCCATCAAAGACAGGAAACCGGGGCACCAAGCGGGCCTTTGATCACCACATCCATCCGGCTGCACAAACCGACTCGAACTCGTCCCGCGGTCCCTGGGACTTCAATCCACTCTCCACTCCATCTTCGCAGCCTACGTCTACATTCAATACGAGCCAACCCTATGACACCTCAACGACTTCCCTGCAATTTTCTCCCACTACAATGATAGACGAGTCCAACATCTGCGAGGACCTGAGTAGCTTCTTCGAAAATGCCGGAGACCTCTATTTCGATTCTCATGTGAACGCGGACCTCCATCTGTCGAGCGGAGCGGACTTGTCTCGAGCCAAAGGTGTGGACATGGGCTTCTTCTCTGTCCCTACGAACCCGCTGTCTCCCAGCAACGCCTTTGATGCCTTTGAGGCTGATAATGAAGAGTTGACGCGGGTTATGGCCGGTTTACTATAAAGTTTTGGCCAATCAATTGCTCACCTGTACGAGCAACTCGCGTTAACTCTTTCGTGGCAAAAAGACACCAGATAACAAGGATGGCGATCCACAATGCTTAGCACTCAGACGACCCGATAGGGCGTCCACGCATCCGACCCTTGACATCATATAACCCCTCCAATCGACACCCCGGATCCGAGCAGTCGTCAGCCCACTCGTAACGCCCTTATCGACCAGTTGCTAGTCAATACCCGCGCCACGTTGCTCGCCAGACGTGGCGCTGGGAATATCGAATTGTTGCGTCATTGTGTCCTCCCAGACCGACATTGTGACCCATGCGACCTATTTTGTCCCAATCGGGCCGTTGCGAGCTGCCTTTGGCCGGTTCTCATCAGGCACGTGGGTCCGTCAGTGAAATCATTCGATGGCGAGGGATTTATGCAAGGATAGTGATGGAACTAGATATTGTGGATAGATAGGTAGGAGAGAGAACTTTCGAGGAGAATAGGGCCGCAGCGACGTTCCCGCTAGGAATGCTAGTGCTCTCAGGTTATTGGCCCCATACCCTCACCACCCTGGTCTGGGTCGGTGGGGTGAAGAATATGGTCTGATTTCCGCGCTGCTGCCATTCACATTCTACAAGTCTCTAGAATGCACTTTCAGGCGGCAATCATATGGTACAGTCTAACAGACTACGGCCGGATGCTGGAATTCCGGTTTTCCATGCGACTGTGAATTGCACAGACTGCCTAACGTAGGATACAAGAATTAGCCCCCTGGAATCCTGGCTGTGCAGTGCCAAGACTGCGTATACGGGTGTAAGCGGGTTGGCTAAGTACATAGCCACTTCAAGTCCACCTTTTTGGGGCCAAATTGAGTAGTTGTATGGACTACGGAGTATGAAGTGTGGTAGTACTATGCATTGTATATTCTCCTGCCTAGCCTTTTGTGGCTCTCTGTATCTGTTTCTTCGAAATCAAGGCTGAAGAGGGCGGGTCGCCCTTGCGTGGATCAGACGTCATTTGCATCTTCTGGTCGAGTCTTGCGACTGCAGAAATGGTTGCATACGATCATCCAGCGGTACGTTGAGCAAAAAGAAGGTAAGAGAGCAAGCAACTTCCGTTACGGGGTAATTAAGTAAGGGCCATTCTGCGCAGCAAGCTGACGATGAGGTCAGCCAACAGCCAACAGGCCCCAGCCCCCATAGGAATCATGTGGCGCAGCGACTGGCTCGTGCGGGACGGAGAAGCACGAGAGCATGGCCACGTCGAACGGGGCAGCACGGCCGATTTGGTGATTTGCACGCAGTGCTTGCCCGATCCGTGGAGACGCGATGGAAATGAAGGAGGCCCTGCCCCCTCTCCAGAGCCTTGCTTCACGCTTCACAGCCCAGATGCCCCACGCAGGGATCCACCCTCGCGCCAGGCAACCATTGACTTGCCGAGCGAAACGAATACGACCTGCACTGCGATGGCCGATGAGTTAACAATAATCGTGTTACGGCGTTTTGTCACGCTATGAGCGTGGAGACCCCGTTACAGACGTCTTTCACAGAGCCCTGGAATCAGTTCATTTCAGGTTCAGAACTCGGCTGGCTCGCGGTGCCGTGTAAGCGCCCTCGTGGGGATTTGGGGAGGGCTATGAGGCTTCTGATTGGAGAGGAGGGACGCGTTGGGATTTGAAACATGGGATGGTCTGGTCGAGTGTACTCCATACGGGATCGGCTGAGGTAGATGGATGCTTCAAGGAAAGAGGCTGTAAGTGTTAGGATCGGCGGATCAGGGATTGTCCTCCGAGCGGTTAATTGGGCGTTAGATATCTGTGTCAAGGCATAGTTCCTTAGCTACCATCGTGAGTTAAGTTAAATGGAGGTTCAATTAGCCTGAGGGACTCGCTATCCTGCGATGCTATTCTTTCTATGGAATTGATCGCCAACTTCGCTTTTAATAGCCTTGATGCATGGCGCCCAGGAACTCGAAGGGCAATTATCTCTCGAGATTGTTTAGAAGCTAAATAAGATTTCCAACCTACCCTTAGATTTGTTGAATAAAATGGAATCGACAGCTACAAAACGGGTTCAAGTTGCGTCACTCCAGACCATAAAGATATGAAAACTTTCCTTCGCCCGTACTCTAATATTGCAAAGAGGGAAAGTAAGCAAGAATGGTTATGCTCCCGCCCAGAATGTCCAGGGCCAAGGATATAAAGGACAAACCTCACAATCCCCTCTAACGGATCAAGAAAACCCTTCAAGAGATATTAGTGACTTCTATGGCCTCTACATGGCAACGAATGATAAGGGCACAGAGGCATCTTGGAAAAATTGAAGTTATGAGAATTCAGGGGGTGGAAGTGAGGGATGACATGAACTTTGGACTGCGTTCAAGAAAATGACAAAATAATATCATCAGAGGAGGATCCTAAGCAGTTAAAGACAACGTAGTCGTCAAAGACATATGAGAGTTAAATGCGGGAGTTAAAACCCGTAAGCCATGCTATTAGCTCTTGCGCGCAGCAGCATCGCCCACGCTGATTTTCGCTGAATGTGATTTTACGTGTGTTGGCTCTTGTGTTGACAGCCACATTCTTAGCGGGATTCAAGACGCGGCAGATATTTCCCACCATGCTAGAAGAGAACTATACATGTGAATGTCACCCACTGTACCAAGGAATGCCGTGCTGCTGCTGGACCATAGCTTATTTCGTTAAATATTATCGGTCGGGATTTCAGACATGGTAGATATTCATCAGGGCAAGCCACCATCCCAGGAGACTTTGATCAAAGTAAAAGGCACGAACCTGCCCGCCATTTTAGTTCTCGTTGTCTCTTTTTTTTTCAAGTGGTTTTCGTGCCGTTTCTCACCCTTGCAACAGCAGGTAACAGATTAATAAATCTGCATATCCGATGGCAAAACTCATCCTTGCTCTTCTCGTCCTAACATCCTTCGGTATGCCTTTCTGCAACATAAATATAAGCTCATGCTAATAATTCTCCCGGTAGTTTCGAACCTTGTTCAGGGCAGAGATCTCTGTATTCAGTGGTGTGCGCAGAATGTCCCGAGAACATTCGTCTCCTGTATAGGGCTTGCAGCACTCGGAACCGGACCTTGTTATATCTGTGGACCTTACAAGACTAGTGCGACTGAGCAGCTGTGCTCTGGTTCCTGTGCTCAGACCAATACTGATAACAAGAACTGTGGGAAATGTGGCAATGCTGTAGGTCTAAGGAATGAGAACTTTGCCAAGGCGATCAATGCTCACAGTTGCTTCTTCTAGTGCCCTACTGGATCAACCTGTAAATCAGGTACCTGTATATGCACGAATTCTGGACTAGCTCTCTGTAATGGGGCCTGTCCTACTTTCAGTTCTGACAACAAGAACTGTGGGAAGTGCGGTAATATTGTATGTCAATAACGAGAACTTCTCAGAAAGATCGATGCTTAAGATTCCTTAGTGCCCAACTGGATCGACCTGCACATCAGGTGCCTGCATATGCACGAATTCTGGACTAGCTCCCTGTAACGGCGCATGTCCTTCTCTGAGCTCCGACCCGAAGAACTGTGGGATGTGTGGTAATATTGTAAGTTTGGAAGATATTCCTATTGTCAAGGCTAAGGTTATATATAATAACAGTTTTTAGTGCTCTCCTGGGTCGACCTGCACTTCAGGCGTCTGTACACTATGCGCGAGCTTCCAGACACCGGTTACCCTGTCAGCTGGGTCACAGCCTGTAGGTGTTACAATAGGCGATTTTAACGGAGATGGCAATACAGCGAATCAGGGTAGCAATAACATTGGCATCTTCCTCGGCAATGGAGATGGTACCTTCCAGGGGCAGAAAATCTTTAACGTTGGTACAGCGCCGGTGGGCGTTGCAGCGGGCGACTTCAACGGAGATAGCCGTCTGGATATCGTGACTGCGAATAGTGTTGGCAGTTCGGTAAGTGTTTTGCTTGGAAATGGAGATGGGACCTTCCAGGCGCAGACTACACTCCCTGTGGGGGTCAACCCCCAAGGTGTTGTAGTAGGTGATTTGAACGGCGATACATATCTGGATATCGTCACTGCAAACTTCGGCTCTAATATAGTAGGCGTTTTGTTTGGGATGGGAGATGGTAGCTTCGGGGCGGAGACCGCATTTCCCGCAGGTAATGGCCCGAATGATGTTACATTGGGTGACTTTAATAAAGATGGCTCTCTTGATATCGCGGTTGCGAATACCTTTAGCAACGCGGTGGGCGTCTTCCTCGGGAATGGAGATGGGACCTTCAAGGCGCAGGTCACATATGCTGCGGGATCCGTGCCAGTGGGTATTGCTGTCGGCGACTTTAACGAAGACGGCAAACTTGATATCGTCGCTACATATTATCAAGGCAGCTCCGTGGGCGTCTTTCTTGGAAATGGAGATGGTACTTTCCAACCGCAGACCCCATTCGCCGTGGGGGCCAGCCCATATGATGCTGCAGTGGGCGACTTCAACGGAGATGGCCATCTCGATATTGTGGCTTCGAATAATGCAGGCACTACACTAAGCCTCTTGCTCGGGTATGGAAATGGTAGCTTCCAGGCGCAGACCATACTCAACGTGGGAGCCAGTCCAGCTGGTGTTGCATTGGGCGACTTAAATAAAGATGGCCATCTCGATATCGTGGCCGCGAACGCTGCTGGCAGTACACTCAGCGTCCTACTTGGGCAGCCTTGTGGCGCTTAGAATAGGTGTCGCTCAAGCCATAGTGTTGGAATCGGAAAACCCAGGGTGCGTTAGGTAGCGCTTGTCCAGTAGTAATAATAAGATACCGTTTAAAATGTCATCATTTTACGTTCCGCTCGTTTTATCAATACTATAACATTCAACTTGGCTACTCTACTGTTCGGCCAGCTCCTACGAGCTTGGACCTGCGAGGGGGCGGTCGCGCGACACGATTCTGAAACTGGGGGCGGCAAAACTAAACCACGATAGTCCTACGGCCAACGGCACAGATATGCACATATCTGTCCTTCGTATTACAGGGGCCTGAGGGCGAGAGGAGGAGGCTGGTGAGATTTGGAATCGGCAACACAGGGGAGAAAACGGGGTGGCTGGTTAACTAGTGTCCCCTCCGTTATGTAACTAGTCCATATCGTGCGGGGATGGGCCCCCTGGGAAGCTCCTGTGAGACACTAAGCGATGGAGCTGCACATCCTCATTTCTTCATTGACGGGGCCCGACTCCCGTTCCGAGTTTCTCTACGGAGTACGTTTTCAGCATTTGACTTTGCGTCTGCCGCCCGAGCTGCGAGGATCTGCTAGTCCGTGTAGCTATTAGCTAGCTAATAATTGGGGCTACTATACTCGACCGGGTTTAGTCGCTCTCCAAAAAAACAAAACCAAGGAATCAACGCCTTGCGACCCCCCTGCCTCGTCCCGCACGGTACCCGGCCCCTGTCCCTCCCAGAGAACGGAGGACAGTGGCAGTAGATTTACACGCGACGTGAAGCATAATGCCCCACGATCACCAGCGCCAGGCACAAGCCCATACGGTGGCTGCCCCTGGCCCAGCCCAAAGCCGGGGCCATGTTCCTTGGAACACGGGCCATCCAGCCAGCCCGGTCTGACTAAGTGACAAAGATGAATCCCGATGGACGCATAGTAATCCGGGTTCTGCACCACCGTTGGTGGGCTAAGCGAAATTGGGCCTGGGGATTGAAAATATTGAAAAGTCTCCCGTTGGCCGCGACGGAACGATGGGGCCGCAAAAGGGCGGGCCAATCGGCCTCCTGCAATGCATCTTATAGATTGGACAGTTGGGAAATCGAAAATTTGCTGCGAAAATTTGCTTCCCGACCGGTACCGTCCACCAACTGCATCGCGCCGTGAATTGGGTTGGCCCGGAGGGGGCAAAAGTGCTGCATACACGGTATTATTCATTCCACACTCTTCTGTGGTTCTTGCGGTATTCTATTCTATGCTTGCTTGATCTTCTTGGATAGTTCAGTTGCCCCAACCACTGCGCAGGGCAGCTCATAGCAGGGTGATGACATCCCCTATAGTTCCGGAGTCAAATACATAGTATGGGAACAGGGGCCAAAGAGACGATAGGTCGGGCAAATCCTCTACAGTCACAATGTGGCCCTCGACATCAGCCACTGCACAAATAGTCTGCCTCTGCAGGTATAATCAGCATTCGGGCTTTCAATGCAGTAATCTCCGACCATGCGTTGTGATCTCTCGTACGGAGACATCTGCCCGATCGGCCTCCGTCAGCTCCGTTCCGCCGCATCCGCCCGGCACCCGCCCAGAGCTGTATTGATACCGACAAGAAGAAAAAAGGCAAGCAGGCTTTGATCTCGTAGTTGCCTGTCGAGAAATTCGCATTGAAGGATATGGAACAGAGTTGTAATGATAATCCCCTATCTGATCGCAGCATGCTCCCTAAACAAAGGCACCAGGAGCGGCAGCAGAAACGAGGCTAGTTACTTCGTGACGCCATGGACTTTTCCTCTGCATCGTTTCCTGGCGGAAACCCTGGAACGCGGTAATACGGATACCAACCATACGCCCTCCCAGCTTCTTCCCCTTCATAATCCTTACCTCTCCCTCTTGTGCCTCCAGATCTGACCGTGACTCTTCAACCCTCCGGCCACCGCGCCTTGCATTCAGACCGGACACCATCATCCCCCTAATAGTCCTGTCTCATGCCGGCCTGTCGACGTTGATATCCCTGCCACCGCCCTCTTGCGCATTCCTTCCGTCTCATCCCGCGCGGTCATCCCTCGACGCCTCCCGCCCAACTGTCACACCCCCCCCCCCCCCTTCCCCAGTTCGAGTGATCCCACGAGTCTCCCTCCGCTAGGAGACTCGCGCCGTGCAAGATGAACACCTTCCCGTCATGGAAGGATCGCACGCAGAACCAGTTTGGCAAGCTTCAGATCCAGATGCCATGGCGCTCCTTTCAGATGCTCGTGCCCCATCGTATGCGTCGCAAGATCCGCTCCAAGCTCCGGAGCCGCATATCGCCAACCTCCTCGATCTCGACGCTGCAGACCTCCTTCTCGCCTGCCGACACGCTTCGGTCGCTCCAGTCGCATCGCTGGACCATGTACGACTTTCAGTACTTGCTACTCTTGATCCTCGGCATCTTCTCGTTGACGGTCATTCAATCCCCGAGCCCGCTAACAAAGACCGCCATCGCCACCCTTCTCCTCTTCTCCCTTCTTCTGCCGATCACTAGGCAGTTCTTCCTGCCATTCTTGCCCGTTGCTGGCTGGCTCATCTTCTTCTACGCGTGCCAGTAAGTCTCATTCTCCCCTCCCCTCTCCTTTTCGGGGATTGTATCGCCTTCCGGGCGGGAGGTGGCACACGGAATGCTCCTCCGAGACATGGGTCTTGATACAACGCTGGTTTTTGCCGCACAATGCGAAATTGGAACAGTGGCGCTAACGAGTTGATCGCAATAGGTTCGTCCCGAGCGACTGGCGGCCTGCCATTTGGGTCCGGGTGTTGCCCGCCCTGGAGAACATTCTATATGGTGCCAACATCAGCAACATCCTTTCTGCCCACCAAAACGTGGCTCTCGATGTTCTAGCCTGGATTCCCTATGGTCTGTGCCACTACGGCGCACCATTTGTCGTCTCCCTGATTCTGTTCATCTTCGGTCCTCCCGGCACCACCCCCCTCTTCGCCCGGACCTTGGGATATATCAGCATGTTGGCCGTCACCGTTCAGCTGGTCTTCCCCTGCTCGCCTCCCTGGTATGAGAACCTGTACGGTCTCGCTCCGGCCGATTACTCTATGCAGGGCAACCCAGCCGGTCTGGCCCGCATCGACAAGCTGCTCGGAATTGACCTGTACACGTCCGGCTTCAAGCAGTCCCCGGTGGTCTTTGGCGCGTTCCCCTCGCTCCATGCCGCTGATTCGACCCTGGCCGCTCTGTTCATGAGCCACGTCTTCCCGCGGCTGAAGCCCCTCTGGGTCACCTATACCCTGTGGATGTGGTGGGCCACCATGTACCTCTCTCACCACTATGCGGTGGACCTTGTTTGCGGTGGTCTGCTCGCCACCGTGGCATTCTACTTCGCTAAGACCCGCTTCCTCCCTCGCCCTCAGGCGGACAAGATGTTCCGCTGGGACTACGACTATGTCGAAATCGGTGACGCCTCGCGTGAATTTGGTTACGACCTCGCGAGCTTGGATGGTGACTTGACTCTGGACAGCGACGAGTGGACCGTGGGCTCTTCGTCCTCGGTCAGCTCCGGTTCTTTGAGCCCCGTTGACGATCACTACACCTGGGAGAGTGAGACTCTGACCTCAAACCACGACCTCGAGGCCGGCCGCTGAGCACCTCCGACATGCATATACCGTTTTTCGACTTTGTTCATTATTACATCCATCTTTGGGGGCCGGCGTTATACTTTGACGACAAATGTTGGGACCATTATCTGCATCGAGCCATTTTCGACACCTACGCTTTTTTAATCCCCACCTCTTGCAAGCCTCCGGTTCACGCGGCTCCCGACCCGCTTCGAGCCGAAGGTGGTGCTTTTATCTTTTTGACTGTACATGCCTTCGTTCACCCTCGCTGGGATGGACGTCTTTCCGTCTATAATATTAATTCCGGTGGCGGGCCCTGTCTCGCCTGCCTGGGCTTGTGCGACTGCGGCGACATGCTAGTTCCGCTCGCATCGCCACCGTTGGAAACCTTCGCTTGTACAGAATGCGGACTTGCCTCGACTTATCTTCGAGACGAACCGCCACTTTCTATTCTTCACTTCTCACCCATGTCTTTCGCTACGACCTTTTTTTTTTACTGGACGAGCCACTTATCTTCTTCCGCATCGCGCTCGTCCAGCTGCACAAACATATATATCATTCGTGTCGATCGCTTACGAACTGGCGCCTGGGAACTTTGGGACACGGTTTACGGGGACTGAAACATTTCGGCGCCTTGCTTGCACTATCACTCGCTGTGCATTAGAATAATTTTGTTGGACATTGGCTGCTTCGAGCACATTTTTTGCATTTGGCACATAGAAGAAGGATTGGGGATACGAGGAGATCGTTCGTGGTTTTGGTGCCGTCGCCGCTGGCAGGTGCTATACCGGCGTCGGCAAACGGGCGTGTTCTCTTCTCATGAGGCACCTGCCTTGACAGGGTGGAATGGAGCTTGATCGCTTCGTTCGACTAATATGGGGGTTTTGGACGACTGGGAGGGGTTCGGAGCGGGATTACGACGGAGCTCGTCTCTTGTCCTGCCCCCCAGCTTGGTTCGCCGATCTTCGCTTGTGGCTATCGGGAATGATGGCGCGGATTTCAATCCGATTCGGGATGTGCACCGCACGCACTACGCAATCCCCCGCGACTTGATGTATGACTCCTAATGTCTATTTCCTCTTCCTCTGTTTCTCTTGTTTTGGAGAGGCGGTGGTGGGTGTGGTCGTGGTGGTGCACATGTTCTGTTCCTTTTCGGGACATGGGACTTCCGAGGCTGTGGTTGTTGGATCATCGTTAGCCTTATTCTTAATCCCTAGATGAAGTTATGAAGAAATGTACATTACTACCATTCCTGTCAATGGTTTCCATTGGTTGTAGGCATCACCCTCTTCCACCTAACATCGGCCCGAGATGAAATAATGAAATACCCGTAATCCCTTAGTGTGTCATAATCGACCGTACCAAATTACAAACCTCCAGTGCTAAAGCCGAGCACCCCCGAGTCCAAGCCCGTCGCAGAGCCCAACGACCCAACTCGCAACCCTGCAGAGAGCCATGCTGGACCCCCCGCCTTCTGCAGATCACTGTCCCGCCTCTGAGTGGCTCTGCCCGGCTGCACGGGTCGATCGCACGGGCTCCGTGCTGCAAGTGCCTTTCCGAGGCGGACCGGCCGGACGACGGTGTACCAGGTCAGAGGGTCAGCTGTGGTTATGCTTATGCTTGGCATTGTGGAATGCACAATCCGGGGTTTGGGAGCCATAGATGGGGTAGATGGGATAGGAGGTGCACGGGCACACCTCCTAACTCTCTTGGGAGTATTTCGCTAGCCAGCTGCCCTGCACAGTGAAGAGGACGGTTTGCGTTGTCGTTATCATTATCCTTTGCGCTGCATGGTCTTGCGCGTCGTGTCGACGGCTTACTGCGTGGATGGACGTGGCACGCTTTCGACGGATCAGGGATTACCGATCACCCGCTAAATGGGAGTCATGGTCGTTACCCATCCCCACCAGGATTTCTGGGACTAGGAAGCTGTGTGCAGAAGGATTTGGTCCAGCGTGCCGAGGGGTGTGGGGGATCGGCGTCTATTGTCTGCCCCTACATATTCATACAAGTGCCCGTGGAAAAGCAAGGGACGCCGTACAAGAAAACCACAGACCCACCCAGCTAGGCTGAAAAGAGAAGAAACCAAGTGATTTATCGAGAGAGAAAAAAAGAATCACTAGCACAGCTCTTACAAGACGAGATCCAGCAGGTTGGAGGTTGGAGGTTGGAGGTTGGAGGTTGTAGGTTGTAGGTTGTAGGTTGTAGGATGTCTGTGTAGTGATAATTATATCGGATGAGACGAAAGCACGTCTAGGGTAAAATGAAAATGGAGCAGAAAACAGCAATACACCAGCCGGGACGCCTCCTTCAATTTCGTCAGAGTTCTATTTGTTCGGGGTGGTCTTGTTATTCGTCAAAGATCTGTACACGCTCAGCGTACTCGCGGATGTTCGAGATGAAGGTCTCTTCGATTTGGTCGCCTTTACCGCCGGCAACGCGGAGAATGAGGTCGTTAAGGGAGGCGCGGCCAAGGATGTCAACGTGGTCGCCTGTCTGGGTTAGAAGATGGGAAGAAACGAGAGGGTTGGAGCAGGGGATTGTGTGAGAGAGCCAACGTACCGGTGTTTGGTCCACCTCGGGGCGAGAAGCGGTCGGGCTCGTGGGGCATCTCGAAGACCTTGATTTTCGAGCCAGCGGGATTATACCGCTTGATGTGCCAGCCCTTGGCGCACATGTAGCCCGTGCTGAGGAGGTTGACGGTACCATCTCCTTCGCCCATCACGACGCCGTGATCGATGTTCTCGTTAATGGTGACAGTGGTGTCAATGCTGACATTGAGGTTGACCAGCGGGTCAAGCTCCTCCTGGTAGAAGTAGCTGCGCTCCGTCGGCTTACCAACACCATAGAAGCAGTAGATCTTCATATCAGGTGCATGTGGCAACCGCGCCTCGAGCGGGTTGAGCCACGTTCGGGGGTCTTTCTCGTTCGCTTCCACTTCGCGCGTGGTATGCGCTACACCGTGCGAATAGCTGCCGAGCACTTGGTCTCGGTACCAATCCTCACTCTGGTCCAGCAGGTACTGCAGACTCTCGGACGTGGTGAGATTGCGGCTCGTCCAGGACGAGTTGGTCTCGCGGAAATTCAGCAAATTCCCGAAGCTGACGGCCTGCCCGGGCTGGTCGTCGGGGGCCCAGGTTGCGTTGCCCCAAACGGCTTCGCCGCCCTTCGGCAGCATGCTGGAGATACCGGGCATAGCACGGAAGATCTCTGCACGCTCCTCTTTGGACAGAAACTTCTCCAGTCCGTATACGGCGAAGGCATTCAGCTGTGCGGTATCACGCATCTCGCCAGACAGCACGGCCGTCAATCCCTTGACGGCACCAAGCATGCACCCGCTGATATTCACCCACGAGTCAATGTGCTTATTGACCCAATCCTTGCCCCCCTTGCCATGATCTTCGCTTTCCACCCATTTGAAGAAGTACAACACCACCTGCGAGCCCATACTATGAGATGCCAGGGTGATCTTCTCGCCCTGTACCTCCACTGCTGTTTCAATATAGGACTTCAGCCGACTGAAGTACTTGTCCCGGACTTCGAGATTGGGATACGAAAGCCGCCAGTCGTAAGCTGCAGTAAACGCATTGGTCGGGTCGTAGCCGATGGTCGCCAAGTTCTCGAGAATCTTATTCCAAATCCAGTATCCCGTAATAAAGAAGTCCGTGGCGTCGAATCCCTGCGCTGCGCGTAGCTTAATGCCAGGCGGGTCGAGACCCGTCTCCCGATCGAGCATGATGTGGTTCTTCCATTCCGCCTTGTCCATCACCAGTGCCCGCATCATGGTCCAGCTGCCCCAGAGCCGCCGGCGGAAATACTGGCGCGAAGAGGTTCCTGTTCCCCAGCTCTCCAGACCGGTCGAAATGACTCCGGGAATCATCACGACAGGGTGTTTGGCTTTGACTCCCTGGGATTGAAGGTGTAGGCCGACCGAAAACGAATCATAACTGACGGCACCGCGTTCGTGTTGCTAGAATGGGGGCGACGAGAGTTAGCAGTCGTACCCAGCGCAGGTAAGCTAGCTAGGAGCCACGGGCAGCAGGAAAGTAAACGCACCGAGAACTCCTTCGCATCACGCACAATCCCCTGAGGAATGACATCGATCAACGATTCAAGGTTCAAGTCCATCAGAGAGTCCAAGGAAATGACCTCTTGTTGATTCGCGAAGAACAAGGCAATGAAGATGCCGAACAGCCCACCCAAAACAAAGATCAATCCATTGCGCCGTTTGCTTCGTGGCCGGATGACCAGCTGCTTGACCTTTGCACCATCAAACTCAGCGCGGAGCTTGTCTTCTTCTGTTTGAATCCGATTCAGTCGGGGTCTGTTGTTGCTATCGTCGCGGGAAGGGGCATCGTCCTTGCCCGTGCGGCGGCGCAACATCGCGACCGCTCTGAGGGGTATGCTCGAGGGAGCTGTGACGAGACGCGTTATCCAGGGGGTTGTCGTTGAGGAAATGAAGAAAGAAATCCCAAGGAACGAAGAAGCCGGCCAGTCTGAGAGGAGCACCACAAAATCAAGGAGTGTACCTGCGCGAACGTTAAGCGGCCGATCAGCGTCACATGGCAATCGGAGCACAACTTACCTCCAGCTGCTCGGCCCACACTCCGTCGCCGTCCTCACTGCTCGACCACCACCCCACCACAACCAGCCCCAAGCTGAGGCTTTAGCCCCCGCCCCGTTCTCTTCCTGTCCATAAGCCTATGACGCCGCGGCAATGACCCACGATGCCCCGTCTGACCTCCGTTACGTGCGGTACGACAGCGCGCGCGAGAGCGAGTACGTCGCCGCCATGCGCCAGCTGATCTCCAAAGATCTGTCTGAACCCTACAGCATCTATGTCTATCGCTACTTTCTATACCAATGGGGGGACCTCTGCTTTCTCGCTATGGACGAGAAAGACGAGATGGTCGGCGTTGTGGTGTCGAAGCTGGAGCCGCATCGCGGCGGCCCACTGAGAGGGTATATCGCCATGCTGGCCGTGCGCGAGGAATACCGGGGTCGGGGCATTGCGACGAAGCTGGTGCGCATGGCAATTGACGCAATGATTGAGCGAAATGCAGACGAGGTGGGTGCTCTCACTGGTGCTTGGGGGTTTTGTCCACGGGTTGCTAACGATGTTTTGTGTGTCGTATGCAGATTGTTCTCGAAACCGAAATCACCAATACCGCCGCAATGAAACTCTACGAGCGCCTAGGCTTCCTACGGAGCAAGCAGCTGCACAGATATTACCTCAACGGCAACTCAGCCTACCGGCTTGTTCTCCTTCTTAAAGAAGGTGTCGGCTCAATTCGAACGTCGTTCGACCCGTACGGCATGCCACATGCACCACCCGCCGACCAGCCTGCCCATGCTGTTGCGGCCACACAGGGAAATGGCAGTTGATTGGCTTTTCTTGAGAATAGCAGGACGGCCGGTTACGTACCCTCTGGAGAACAAGGGGGAGGAGGGGGGGGGCATGATTACGATATCTTTATGGGAAACGACCTGAATAAATAGACTTGAACTTCCACTCGGAACTGGCGTCCGGGATTGATAGCGAAAAAGAATGTAACTGAGAATAAAAATGAGGGTTGGTCTTTCTAGGAAACGTGCTGTATTTAACTTAACAGCTTACGTTTTTATCTCCAACCGCGAAGACCTGTGTTGTAGAGCCATGCGCGTGCCTCAACAATCTAAAGCAATGGGCACATAGGGTATCCATAAGAAACACTTTATCATGGTTTCATCCAGTAATTCCTTATTCGAAGATTTTGGAGGAAACAACTCGAATGAATGAGAAAGAGAACCACTAGGCAAGGGAGAGACGTAAAACATAGCTCTTCATCAGTGTCATATGCACATCTAGTTTCAAGCCATGTGTGCACACTGAGTTTACCTTGACCAGAGCCCAGCTCATCAATTATAAAGAGGTCATCCTCTCGTATCAGGCAACTAGCAATATCCTATATGCAGTAACGCGGGTCTTCCGGACGTTCTAAATAAGAGCTCATTCGCAACATGGCTGATTCGTTCTTGGGGGAAACGAGGCTGACCGATCCAAGCTCGAACTTAAGATCAAATCCCGGCTAGATTGGCCTATCCAACCCTCAAACGTGATACCAAGCAATATTGCGTCCTCGCGGATTCAAACTAGCGTGGCTCAGATGATCAATGCAGCACTTGGCCTTTGTCTCTATCTTGGAGAAGCCCCACTTTGCGTTTTGTCGCGAGCGAGGTCAATTCGTGCTTTAATACCAGCCCGATGCTAGTTTGTATCGGTACGTAGTAGTTCTAGAATGCTCCTTGAAATATCTCTAATATGTTTTGCTTTTGGATTTGCAGTAAATGGTCCACTTTGAACGCGAATGACTGGGAGACCCGTGTGCCACTGTTTACGAGCTGAGCACCGATTCCAAATCATCGTGTTTTACTGTGATCAGATCGACAGACATGGTGGAGTCGCTATCAATATTCAGTTTTCATGGAAATACAATACTGAGTATCCTGCAATGGAACGACGGCCACGAAACTGGACCCCGTAGTGGGAACTATGTGCCTGATTACCAGGGCGCAGCTAACTTCCCGGGCTATTTTTCTGGAGGAGGCTCCCAGACAATCTTTGACGCCCATCACATCATTTACTGGAGGCGATTCTAGTGCACAGCTCGCTGTAAATCCAATTTCGCCAAATAATTGAATGCTCGAAGGCTGGAATGTGATCCAGGTCCCATTGGATAGATAGAACTCCCACTTTGCCACGGTTGACACTTCATAGGCTGTACAGGTTTAGCTGAAATCAAGTTCGGCTCCTCGTTGGTACAGGAGCTTTTTCCCCTGCTGTGACTTTCAATTTATCCTGTTTTGGTATATCACAGGTGTCCAGATACCCAAATTAATATATTCAACCAGTTTACGCAGCGCCCCTTACGTCATGGGCTCGATCGCCCGATCAGCTTGATATAGATCAGTATCAGTATCAGTATCAGTATCCTCAGAAGCTATTCCCCACCACTAGCGAATGGAATAGACCATCTAACCATTCTCGCTGCCCTTACGCTATCGATCCTAATCTACGACCTCCTGCCAGTTCCGCCCCCTCCACCCACGATGTCTCTCGACTCCGTCACCAGCGGTCTCGGGCGCGGGCTGCCTGTCAACAAAGTCACCGACACAGCCTCCAACACGGTCCACTCTACCGCCCAGCAACCTGCTGCGCAAGTGCACGAGACAGTGAAACCCCTCATCAACCCGGTCATCCCAGGCGAATTCCCCCCGGACGACGGGCCGCGCAACACCAAGGAACCCGCCCCGGAGATCAACTTCCGCGGCATCTGGGCCGCGTTCAGCCAGTGGTTTCACTCGCTGGTCCCGCAGGCCTTGGACGGCTTCGAGTGGGCGGTTCAATGGCTGGTGAATAGGCTGCTGCCGCCGCCGAAGCAAGCGGCCATGTACGAGGCGGCGCTGAAGCGGCCCATCGCGTCGACGTTCCTCGTGTGCCAGATGATCTGTTGTGGTGTCCCGCTCCTGGTATTTCTAGCGGGTCTGTTCGTGTTTGCGGCTGTTGCGTTGGTGTTGTGGGCGGTGCTGTCGGTGCTTATCCTCGGGCCGATCCTGCTCGTGGCTAGTATGATGGGGGTGTCGCTGTGGGGCTGGGGGTGGGTTTTATATGGGCTGGTGAAGTGGGTGGATCAGCGGTTCTTGGGCGGGATGATTACGCGCTTTTGGTTGCCGAAGATGCAGGAGCAAGGGGAAAATGAGAAGGATGGGGGTGATGGGGATGCTGGGGAGGATGAGGCTACGGGGGATGGAGCGACAGACGAGGCGCAGAAGAAGAACAGTTGAGGGGCTTTGTGATTCCGATTGCGATTGCGGGCGAGTCAGGGCAGACATGGTGTTGCATGTGCAGCCATGATGGTGTTTGAGAACGGTATGCGAGTATGAAATTGTTCGAAGCGTCGGGCCTCCGAGGCCGGGTGGATTATGATCTGACCTCTTGGAGATTCGGAGAGCACTCGCTGCAGATAGATTGCTGCAAATGAGGGAATTAGCCAGTCCACACAGCGTCCATGCACACCTATGCAGATTCCAATGCAGATTCTAATGCAGATTCCACTGCAGACATGAACCCAGTCATCGATCTCAAGCACGGGACGTGGATCAATCAACTTCTCCGCAGAGAGCGACATTTCAACGGCAGAGTCACATGGCCAGGCATACATCGCGCCAGCGTCTGCGCATGCACCTCATCATGATCATGCCCCCCAAAGCCCGAATGCCGTCCCAGCACAGACCCAACGGCCAGACAGCCATCCAGCCCAGACCAGCTCGTGCGGTCAGCCGACAAGCAACATCATTCCGCACAGGCCATCTCCCGCCAAAAAGAATGCAAGGTTCGACGGTGTGCATTTACACTTCCGATCGTCTTCAACCGGCTGGTCGCGCCCCAAAGCAGTAGAGAGCACAGCCGATCCCAGGAGTCCCGCTAATTGCTCACGACAGAGATAGGATGGGCCATCTCGCGGACCAAGAGACCCCTGAGGGGAACAGGGATTATGCTGGGCCGATGCATGCATTGCTGATCGCTGGCTCTGGCTTTGACATCGCCGGTGGATCAGAGGATGCATATACGGAGTACCGTACGGAGTATACTTTGAACACAGAGCTACTGCCCGCATACTCTGTTTGTCCAGCCGCATACTACTATGCTATACGCGACACGATAGCCCCCCTCAGAGAGCCCCAATAGGGGGTTGCTACAAGCTGCGAGTTGCGACGGATCTACGACGGAGGCTGGCGCGTTTCAGGACGGACGGGATGGGATACAAGTTGGCCCGTGTGGTTTGGGAGATCGGGTCGGGGTGGATGGGTGTGGCGGGCGACATGGAGGTTTAATCTGCTTAATGTCGAGCGTGCGCACCTAGTTGGGAAGTGCATAGGAATGAAATGGGGCAAATCCAACAAATCCAACACAGAGTGATCGGCTGGTCTCTCTATCTGTTACCGGATGGAGTACTCTGCGACCGCGGGATATGGAGGACGGAGACTACACCGTTTCTAAACTTATCGTGAGTCCTATGGTTAAGGTTAGAGTCATGGTCGTCATCCTGGACCTGCCGTGGCATCCCCGTTCTTACAGTAGTACTGATAAAGTACTGTCCATGCCGGACGCATGCGTGTCTCAGAGACATGGCGGATAGGTGCCGCGTTGGAACGGCCCCAGAGATCAGGGGTCAGGCAGACGTAGGACATGCAGCAGGCTTCATGCATCCTTCCCTTCAGCGCTCATGCTGTGGAGAGGGGTACTCTCGAGGATGCTCCATCCCGAAGGTCTGACTGGGATCCACTCACGCGCATTTACCCCTGACCGGTCTCAGCACGGACCAGCCGATGCAAGTGTGAGGTCCAAGGGGGGGGCCAAAAGCAGAGAGAAGAAAAAGCAACGACAAGACACCTGCGAACCCCCGCATAAGGTGTATGGATTGGGGATAGTATGGGTGGTGAGCTGGGGACGGGACCTTGACGAGGGAGTGGAATATTGGATTATTGAAGTAAGAATGGTGGTCCAGGTCACGCTACCCAGCTGGAACGGCGGAAAGCGGACGGTGATTGGAATATCCTCCGGACGAGCCCTACGACGATGCCTGGGAAATGCACCAGGCTGCCCGGTTTGCCTTTGATCTCATTCTTCGGGTGCAAAGTGTCTCATCATCCACGCGGACTGCACGATGTCGGATGGACCAGCCGGTCTGCCAATCCAGGTGAGATCCGCTAGGAGCCTTGCGTCTGAGACATCCCGTTGAAAGCGTCAAACGATTGCAGCACCTGCAGCAGCCCAGAGTTGTGGATGGAGGAGCAGAGCAAATCAAAGTGGAGAGCTGTCTTTTTCGATGCCCAGGTTGGGTGTGGATCCTTGGCTAGTGTGGTAAGCTCGGTTGGGCGGGGCGTCGTCGGGCCATACACCGTCCAGCATTCTTGAGTGATGAGATCAGCGGAGGAAAGAGCAGTCGGCGACAGGACCGATAAGCAATGAGGAAGAACAGAAGAGAACGCATCTGGGCCAATCATGGAGTCAACCTTTCCTGACTTGCAGGTCCAGGGGCCTCGGCAAGGCGTATCTATCTACCGCGTAGTCGTCAGCATTATCTAGGTGTCTGTCTACGAAGAAACCTGCGAGTGGTAGAAGGATATCTTTCTCTTCCCCTCCGACTGAACGAGCATTTTCGCTTTCCCGGGAAGCCCAAAATCAATCTGAAACCGTGTGTGACGTCCACTGGACTTTGCAACTGTATGCACCTCCAGAGGGAGCTGTAAGTGCTCCGTAGGGCCCCGTACGACCCCGTGGTCAAGACGGAGTATGTAGTGGTAATGGAGCAATGCCGTGAAGAATGCACCGTCCACATGGAGGTCTCGTGGACCAAGCCCGTCCCGCCAGTCCGTCCCAACGCAAATGGCCTCACTGGCCGACAAGGCCCCAGTCCAGGGGGCCCTCCCCACTTGGAGTCAGTGCGGCCCTGGGCCCCAAGGCCCCATCCTGCTTCGGATGCAGGTACCGCGCGGTGGGCCGAAGCATTCAGGTTGGCGAACAAGGCCCGGGTCCCTTTTGGACGGGATACGCCAGATCGAGGCACTCGGGGCACTTGAGGGTCAGTCCTGACGTCAAGATGAGAGACTCCGTACACTCCGTACACTCCGTAAAGAGATAGTGCGAGGAGAGGAACAGTGGAAGAGTGGAGACCGCCGGGGCACCAGTGGGAGTGGGAGGGATCGCGAAAGGGTGTAGTTCGTAGTCCGCCGTAGCCCGCCCGTCGTAGGAACTGCCAGGGACGACATTGGGGGGGGGGGGGACAAGATCGCCTCCCACAGGCGAGAGGGTCATCTCTGGAACCGGACCAGGGGAGGAATGGACGTGACTCCTACTCCGTACGGAGAGAAATGGGCGAACAGCACGGATAGTTCGCAGGGCCGAGTGGCGAAAAGTGGGAAGGTGCATTGGGCCAGGGGTAAAAAAAAGGGTAAACAGGGCCACGGTAACGGCCCAAGAAAAGAGGCGTGCACACCTCCCCTTGCATGACAGAAAGTCTCATTCCCGCTATCTGGCTTGGGGAGGCAAAATAGCCAGGCAGATGATTCGAAGAGAATCCTTTCCTATTAGACGTTCCTCTATGAATCGTACAGTGCGTACTCCGTACAGAGTACTCTAATAATCGACGGCTCCACCGCTATCCACCGCGCGTTTCCCTTTTCCCCAGAACCGCCCTAGCAGCAACTAACGAAAGAATAATCTCCCCCTCCGACCTTCTCTCTCCTCCCCCTCCCTCCATTCTTTCAGTTGGCTTCCCTCGCCTGCAAACCCTGCTGGCCCATCTGTCGTTGGGCATCATCGGCCTCGCCTAATTCTGCCCCCGTATCGACCCGCGCCAATTGAGTCGTCTGTCTCGTCCGTCCGCCCAATTTTCCCGCGCTCTTTCCCGTGGTCTCGTCGAAACCTTCTTTGCCGACCAACGTCTCCGACCTCGCGGAACCCTCCCCCTCTCCTAACTTGGTTCGTGGAAGCGCGCCTTGCGGTCTACGCTGGGGATATACTCGAGGTAGGCGCTGCGACTCTACTCCCTGCCCTCGTGGTCGTGAGAATACATCCATTGACATTGCCCTCTCCGCCCCCCTATTTCAAGACTGTCGCGCGAACCACTTTCCTGATCGTCGCAGTCCTGTGCGGTGCAGTCGACCACCTTCGCGGATCCCAACGGCACGCCGCCCGATACCACAATGTCCGTTGCGACCATGCTTCAGCCTGCATCGAGAATCTCCCGAGCCTCCTCGTCCTCGTCCTCCTCGTTTCAGCCCGTCGCACGACAGAACACCATGTCGTCGCACGATACGCGGTCGCTCCGCCAATCCAAGCGGATGTCGGTCACCGCACTCTACCTGTCCATGTCCGCGAAGGACCGAGACTTGGAAATCTCAGATGACTTGGCACGAGGTACGCGGGGATCCCCCTGGTCTTCGCCGTGTGGATGTGTGGTACTGACTCGCAAAAAGCCCAAAAATACCTCCGCGAACTCAAGTCCAAGATCTCGTCGCAGTCCAAGAAGAACTTCGTGCTGGAGAAGGATGTGCGGTACTTGGACTCGCGGATAGCACTGTTGATTCAGAACCGCATGGCCTTGGAGGAGGTAAGAGATCGAGACCCGGAAATCAGCCGCCTAGGATTGAGGACTACCATAGCACTGACACATCTATCCTGTAGCAAAACGAAGTCGCTAGCCATCTCGACGATACTGCCGATCCGCAAGAGGGATTCTTTCCGAATGACGAACGAACACAGAAATATGGCAATCTCCTGTTCCTCCTGCAGTCCGAGCCCCGCCATATCGCCCATCTGTGCCGGCTGGTCTCCATGGCGGAGATTGACTCGCTTCTTCAGACGGTCATGTTCACCATTTACGGAAACCAGTACGAGAGCCGTGAAGAGCATCTCCTGCTCACTATGTTTCAGTCCGTCCTCACCTACCAGTTCGACAACACCCCCGAGTACTCCTCCCTCCTGCGCCAGAACACCCCGGTCTCTCGGATGATGACTACCTATACCCGCCGTGGTCCCGGTCAGAGCTACCTGAAGCAGGTCCTTGCCGATCGCATCAACTCGTTGATCGAATTGCGAGAGGTGGATCTGGAGATCAACCCCCTGAAGGTGTACGAGAGCATGGTGAAGCAGATCGAGGAGGAGACGGGCTCGCTCCCCGACTATCTGGCCCGTTCGGTGACGGCCGAGGACGCCGCCGACAACAAGCAGGTGCAGGCGATCATTGCCCCCCGCCTGAAGATGTTGACGGATATCGCGAACGGGTTCTTGACCACCATCATCGAGTCGGTGGATGAGGCTCCGTACGGTATTCGCTGGATTTGCAAGCAGATTCGCAGCCTGTCCCGCCGCAAGTACCCGGATGCTCAGGACCAGACCATCTGTACTCTGATCGGTGGATTCTTCTTCCTGCGCTTCATCAACCCCGCCATTGTCACTCCCCGTTCCTATATGCTGATCGACGCCACCCCGACCGACAAGCCGCGCCGTACCCTGACTCTGATCGCTAAGATGCTTCAGAACTTGGCCAATAAGCCTTCGTATGCCAAGGAGCCGTACATGGCCAGTCTGCAGCCTTTCATCGAGCAGAACAAGGAGCGAGTGAACAAGTTCCTCCTCGACCTCTGCGAAGTCCAGGACTTCTACGAGAGCCTGGAAATGGACAACTACGTGGCTCTGTCGAAGCGTGATCTCGAGCTCCAGATCACTCTTAACGAAATGTACGCGACGCATGCTCTCCTGGAGAAGCACAGTTTGGCCCTCGCTCAAGACCATAACTCCCATCTTGCCCTGCTGTTGCAGGAGCTGGGCGCTGCCCCGCCACAGGTGCCACGCAAAGAGAACCGCACCATTACAGTGCCACTCTTCAGCCGATGGGAAACTGCTCTGGATGACTTGACTGCCGCCCTGGACATCACCCAAGAGGAAGTGTTCTTCATGGAGGCCAAGGCGACCTTCGTCCAGATCCTCCGTTCCCTGCCTCCCAACTCCTCAGTCGCTCGTCGCCCGCTGCGCCTGGACCGTATCGCCGAGGCAGCGGCTACCCTCAAGAACGACGCCGTGATGGTGCGCAAGGGTATCCGCACGATGGAGCTGTTGAGTCAACTGCAAGACATGGGCGTGATCGACCGCTCTGATGAATTCAGTCTCCTCCGGGATGAGGTGGAGCAAGAATTGGTGCACCTCGGCTCCCTGAAGCAGAATGTGCTGGAGGAAACCGGGAAGCTCGAGGAGGTGTTTGCCACCATCCGCGACCACAATGCCTATCTGGTGGGCCAGCTGGAAACTTACAAGTCCTATCTCCACAACGTGCGCAGCCAATCCGAGGGCAAGTCGCGGAAGCAGCAGAAGCATCAGGAACTAGGGCCGTACAAGTTCACGCACCAGCAGCTCGAGAAAGAGGGCGTCATTCGGCGCAGCAACGTACCGGAGAACCGTCGGGCGAACATCTACTTTATGTTCAAGAGCCCGCTGCCCGGCACCTTTGTCATCAGCCTGCATTATAAGGGTGAGTTCATATCGCATCGATATGAGAGATGACCTTGCAATATATCTGAGCACTAACTGATCCCATTTATAGGCCGAGCCCGTGGATTGTTGGAGCTTGATCTCAAGCTCGATGATCTCCTGGAAATGCAAAAGGACAACCTCGAGGATCTTGACCTGGAATACGTCCAGTTCAACGTCACCAAGGTGCTAACCCTCTTGAACAAACGATTTGCACGCAAGAAGGGGTGGTAAAAAGGGTCGCGACACCACCGCGCTACCTTCCCCCTTTTATGATTGATGAGACCGAGTACAGGCGAGTAGTGTACTGATGGACTGACTTAACTGTCTCTCCGACCCCAATTGACTCGGCTGGCGGCCGCGCCACTTCGCCGCCGACTCTTTTGATGATCTTGATGGACCCGGATCTCTCCGTTATCCAATATACCCATCCGTCCTCGGCACACAGCACGACGGACTGGATCAATTCTCTTGCCATGACTGCAACCGGCCCGTCCAGCCAGGCGTCTACCTTGAACGAGTATATCTGGATGTGGGCGGGGTACGTGTTCAGTGTGAATGTGTGTTGTTGATATACGAACATATTTGACGGGCGATGATCGCGGTGGGAACCCGCTGGCTCGGGCCCGTCGGTGATCGTCGGATTGATCGAGTGATCGCATGATCGAATCGATTTTCTTTTCTTTGTTTTTCCGTGGTGGATTTTTGCAAGTTATACCCAGCGCATCGTTCTTTGGCTCGTTTGTCTTGTTTTCTGCATTATATCATCGATCTGGTTCGGGCTTTTTTGTTCTGTAATCCTATCTCTGGGTTGTTCGGATGCTTTTGATTACTTCCCCATCATCGCTCGGGCCTGTTGCTATATGGTCTCCTTGCGCTGTGTATAATAATGCCTGCTCGTTGTGCGGTTGTCTGAGTTGAATACCCGTTTTTGCCTGTTTGGTCTCCCGTCTACCGGTGCAGAGCCTCGTAGGAGGCCATCCCTACTCCGTCCTGATGGCGAATCTACTCCGGACCGTTCGCATTGATTCCTCTCCTATCACTTGGTAGGTTGGCGGGGCCGCTTTGTACGCCTGGTGTCGGCTTTGCCGAGGACTCCAATTTTCAAGCGCCGATAATCTCGTGCTTAGTTCGCTCTAGTTGGCTTGAAGTCGCCTAGGTCTTGTCCTGCAGGTGGGTTCGCCCGACACCGCCTCCTGCCCCTCTTCTCGGAGGCGTTTGATGGTATTTTTTTTACTGGTCTCCGACTCTTGCAAAACTCAATGAGATGTGACATGGTGCGAGATGTGAGATGGAAAGGCTGTGCCGCATGTGGGTAGTAGCAGTATGAAGCACAAGATGTAGAACAGGAGAGAATGGATAATAACAACTGGTTATCTGTTCACACCCGGCCGTGCTCGAAAACGCGTGTTCCTCGATTCCCCCCTATATCGCCAGTAATTAATTTTCCCTTTCTCCCTCGGATGAGTTGACGAGGATGATGGTTGGGCGATGGACCCAACTGTCATCCCTCGACCTAACTACCCCCTTAGGACCCCGTAGCCCATTCACGGCGGAGTAGAGATCGAATGGCCTCTGAAGAAATTGCGAGACCTGCAAAAGCGCATTTCATCCGCTACGCAAACCTTAGCGTCCTGCTTTACGCTGCCCAAACGCGGCCGATCCCCGCCGTTTTTAAAGCTCGAAGTGGCCACGCCAACTTCCGCCTCCCCACCTACACCCAGACCCAAACCCACCGCTGCACCTTCACCTTCTCTTCGCCTCCCTGTGTCTCTCCTTTCTCCTCCTTCTCCTCCGCCCCTCCACCCTCCACCCGTTCATTCACTCCCGTATTTTCACCATGGCGGCCGCTACCGAGCATAAGCTGCCCATCGATCCCAAGTACGATCACTACGAGTTCCCGACCACCGCGCCGGAGCCGCAGAATGGCCACCCCGGCCACACCACCCCCGAGCAGGATGCGCAGGTGCACCAGCTGCGGACACTGCTTGAGCAGATGGGCTATACGGAACGATTGGACACGTTGACCCTCCTGCGGTTCCTGCGCGCCCGCAAGTTCGATGTTGAGGCGGCCAAGGCCATGTATGTTGTTCCCTTCCCCCCCCCCGACTTTGGTGGCGGTCCACGACGGCCAGAGAGAGGCTTGTGCGCTTCCTTGTTTTTGCCCCCCCAACCCATTCTCCTCCTCCCTATTGAGAATGCGCTTGCGTCTGCCACGGCTTTTGATGTGATGCGTTCTAATGTGTGTCTTGGGTGGCGAATAGGTTCGTGAACTGCGAGAAGTGGCGCAAGGATTTTGGCACAGATGACCTGCCTCGCACTTTCGAATACCCTGAGAAGGCCGATGTGTTCAAGTTCTACCCTCAATACTATCACAAGACGGACAAGGTAGGTCGATCTGGCAATGCCCAGTTGTGCTGAAATGAAAGCCTGGGTTCTGGAGAAATGCAAGGAAACTAATCCCCCGCCCCCCGCGAACAGGATGGCCGCCCCGTCTACATCGAGAAGCTAGGCAAGATTGACCTCAATGCCATGTACAAGATCACCACCGGCGAGCGCATGCTGCAGAACCTGGTCACTGAGTATGAGAAGCTGGCGGACCCGCGCCTGCCTGCCTGCTCTCGCAAGGCCGGCAAGTTGCTCGAGACCTGCTGCACCATCATGGACCTGAAGGGCGTCGGCGTCACCAGCATCCCCTCCGTCTACGGCTACGTGCGCCAGGCCTCCGAGATCTCGCAGAACTACTACCCCGAACGCCTGGGCAAGCTGTACCTCATCAACGCCCCCTGGGGATTCAGCAGCGTGTTCTCCGTCGTCAAGGGCTTCCTCGACCCCGTCACCGTCAACAAGATCCACGTCCTCGGCTCCGGTTACCAGAAGGAGTTGCTCGCTCAGGTCCCCGCCGAGAACCTTCCTGTTGAGTTCGGTGGTTCGTGCACGTGCGAGGGCGGCTGCGAGCTGTCCGATATGGGCCCCTGGCAGGAGTCTGAGTGGGCGCGCCCGCCCGCCTGGGCCACCGCCCCCAAGAAGGAGGCCGAGGAGGCCGTTATCCAGAACGAGGACCCCGGCTACGAGAAGAAGGATGCCGAGGGCCAGGAGGGAGCTCAGGCCAGCGCATAAGGGACAGGAAAGCAAAGCAAAGCACTTATAGAACGATTTTTGTTGGTCCACTCGCTTCGCCGTGTCGCTTTCGTCCGGAGCCGGTCCTGCTCTACTACAGTCAAACATTTCCTCATTCGTATCGAAAACAAAGACCTCCCGAAAGAAAAGGAGCCAAAAAAGAAGAGAATATCGCCGCAGATAAGGGAGGTTGAGGATGAGAATATCCTGTCAACGAGTAATGAGCCATCTAATCTGTCGTTCCTAAGATCAACTACTGGAAGAAAAACCTTGCCTCCATCTGATATCCCCAATCTCTGGCATATATCCATGCCTGGAATCAACACCATGCCTCAAAGCCTTGTTTCCCTTCTTTTGCTATTTCTTGTTTCCCCAATCTAGAAGAATATCATGGAGACCTTGATTGATTCCCCTTTCTTCGCTCTTGCCCTTGCCCTTGCCCTTCCCGCCATGTCTTCTGTTGCGCTGTCTCCGTTAAGTCTAGGCGGTTACGTTCCATGTCTGCTTGTGTATATAGAAGGGAACGAATCGATCAAAACAATATCAGGGTGGGATGCAGGATTTTCGCTATTGAGTTTGAGTCTTGCTTAAGAGCGTGGTGGGCGTGGAAAAGAGGAGTGTAGAGCGATGATGAAGACTAAGACTGGCTCTGTTCTCTATCTTCTCGCTTGATTCTTTTGATCTAGTGTATACGCGGAGAGCACATAGTGAAGGTGGTCTTCGCACCTGGATTGACATTCTTCCAGTGCTAGGGTTTTGCGTCAGATCGTGGTAGTGTATGGCTCAGTCAGAGGAAGGGTGTATGGTTAATATTCAATAATCTGATGGCTCAAAGAGCCTGGTAAATTAAGACCACGGAAACAATAAGATAATGGTATCATGATCCTCGGTTGCCGTACCCTGGCACCGAAACGCCATCGTTCAACAAAGGAAACGAGAAGAACAAAAAAACTCCGATGGTCATAGTCAAACATCCAATCTCGACCTCCGAGTGCAGGAGCGCAGATGTCTCACATACTCTCCACCACCTCAGCCGCCCGCCCAGCCCGCTCGGCCTTGCCAACCGTCGTCGCCAGCGCATTGCCTTCAGAGCCCGCCTCAGTGGCATCCACATCCACATCCGCGTCACCCTCACCCTGCAGCCGTTGCAGTGTCCGCAGTGCATTCTCATATACCTCGGCCATATCCCCGCTCCGCCAGCGCTCCGATTCCTCATCTGTGCCGAGCGGGACATCCAGCGTCCATTTCGGATTGGGATGGCTGCGTCGCGGGCGCGTTTCTTTCGCAGCCGATCCAGACCCTGATTCCGGATCAACATCCATAGCCTCCACGTCCTTCCCTGCCGTCTCATCCTCTTGCTCTATGTTTTCGTTCTGCAGATCCTCCAGATCCTCCTTCCCTTCCTCCTCGATCAACGCCGCCAGCTGTGCAGCATACTGCTTCGCCGCTTTCCGTGGTGCTTCGCGGCGTAGTTGTGCAACGGTCGTTGTCAGAGACTCGAGCTGGGCGTACAGTGTGCTCACGCGCGAGGCGAGCTCCGCGTCGAAGGCTTCGTACTCGACGGTCTCGGGTGCGGTGAACGCGGCTGGAAAAGGAAAGGCCGGCGAGGAGGAGTCTAGCCCGTTGATGCTGATTGAGGAGGAGGCTGTTGTGAAGGTGCGGTTTATGTACTGTTTTCAAGGTATTATTAGCCTTACGTTTCTCCTCTCTTCTCTTCGCTTTGCTGGACTCATGTCGCGTCTGCACATCCAGAACCCGGATTGATCATCCTCTTGTCTCAGGAGGCGAGCTCGAGAGGAGGTTTGTTCTTACATCGTCGACCAATTCCCGCACGCGCTCGCGCATCGGGTCCGGCGTATCATCGTTGGTCGCCGAAGGGGGCAGGTGCAGATCCAGTTTTTGTCGTGAGAGCGCGACTGTGTTCGCATACAGATAGGTGAAGTCTGCTGCAGTTTGCAGCTCGATCTTGCGGTAGTGTGGCGCGGCCATGGTGGTGGTGTGCTAGGATGTGTTGACCGGGCACGCGTAGGAGGGTTTCAAGGATGCGGGCTTGGCACGGGCCGATCGGTGGGTGACGGCGGTGGGCAGCCGTCCCCGCAAACGCAAACGATGTCATCGGCGACCGCGCCCCGAAGCTTGAAAGTCGCTTTGGCTGCCTCGTTTTAACCTCACTTGCTCAACTTACCTGGCCTCCAAGCCCGGTTCTTTGGCCATTTGTTCATTCTACCATTTCATGTTTCGCTGTTATCGTTTCCCGCTGACTTACACCGATTCTGGGAGCTGACTTTTGCTTGCTGCCGGCTGCCTTGGAGTATGCGACGATCGCTAGGATAATGCTCCCGACAGTTGTGCATGGATCGTTCAAATACCATTGAGAGCTACTGAGGCCATAGACGAAGAGAACAGCCTACCCGCGGGCCCTCAAATCGCCTTGCTACAACCATGGAGAACCGCAACAGCATCTCCCTTGTAGACAACACTGTCCCCTCGCAACAGCCAACCGGCGGGGAAGCCTTACGACAAACCTCCACGATCGGTCGACAAGGCACTTTGGCAAAACATCTCAGCCGTACATCTGTATCTGGACAGCTTGCGAAGCGGAAATATGCCAAGTGGCAACCAGACAGACTCGGCCTTCCCTCCGACACGAACACGGAGCATTCGTTGAGCAGGGAATCGTCGCGGGCCCGAGGCTCAGTCTCGGCCTCGAGCTCCGGTGGACCAGCAAGTCGACAATCTTCACACCTGGGGATCAGGGACTCGATCGGTGCAGGCGCTTCAGACGTCGACACAGCCGACTTTGCTCCCTCGCCAGCTCCAGGCACCACGAATGAGCCGCCCCAATCCAACGGCCTCACCCAGCAACCTACAACCACCGACGAACCCAAAATCCTCTCCGAACTAGACATTCTCTACGAAAACCAGCGCGGCTGGTTCTTCTTCGGCGTCCCTCTCTACTCCCACAGCTCCCTCCTCAACCTCGACCCCTCCGCCTGGATGACCAAAGACAAGCGCGATAGCCCCGTGAACATCACCAACGCACAAGTCCCCGATCCTAGCTGGGAATGGGCCTGGCGCACCTGGTACGTCGACATGTCTGGCGATGTCGACGACCAAGGCTGGCAGTACGCCTTCTCGTTCGGCTCGTCCCAGTGGCACGGCACGCATCCCTGGTTCCACTCATTCGTTCGGCGGCGGCGCTGGCTGCGGCTTCGAACGAAGATCCCCGAAAGGCGGCACCCTGGACGGTCGGAATTTGAGAAGGCGCACATGCTGAACGAGGACTATTTCACTATTCATTCATCGAAGGTGCGCAGTCGCGAGCAGAGTATTGCCAGATTGTCGAGGACTGAGTCTGGGTTTTTGAGCCGCCTTGGCTCGAAAACGGAGGAAGAGGCGCATATGGAGGAGATCGGGGATATACCGAGTCTTCTGCGTGCGCTGAAGCAGACATCTATTGATCGGGCGAGGATTGATGCGTTGAAGAAGTTTGTCGAGGAGGGTGGTGAGGAACTATATTATCTGAACGACAAGGTAAGACGAGAACTATCCATGGACTTCTTGACATGTCACTTATTTATGTGGTTGCCGTATAGATCCCAGAGATTATGCCTATGTTCCTCTTCCAAGCCTCCCGCTGGCAATTCATAGCTCACCTCACAGAAACCGTCCACGACCTCTCCCAGCAACTTTCCGACCCCAATACTGAAGACAAAGATAAGATAGAGCGCAAAAGAGACAGCCTCTCACGCGCAGCTGAGTCTGGCAGGCAGCATATCACCGGCCCGGAGGTTTTCACGGATACCCACGGGCACGCCGCCACTGGCCTACTGGATCTGACACCTGTATCAAGACATGATACGTTGCTGTCAAAACGTGCGCAGCTGACTGGTGAGCCGCTGCGCGTGTTGAAGGGGAAGGAAATCGAAGGCATCCCGAAGAAAGCGGAAGTTGGGAGAGAGGGACATATTTATTAATTATTGATTGGTCTTTGTCTGTCTCCATTCATAAGAGGCAAGCGATGTACCTAGCATTGCTATCCAGCACTTCCTTTTCTCTTGTCTTGATTATCTTTAAAGCGCTATACCGGCATTCTCTTTCGTCAGCAATATTGATCATCCGGACTGTGAGATATCTTTGAGACCCAATATGCAGACTTCCAATTTGGTACCTGATTCAGAGTAGTAGTGTGTCTGTACTGAGCAGTTTGACCATCATCGTTCCTCTGATGAAGAAGTCTTGGCTATGGCCCGGCCTTCCGTATGATGAGGATATTCTTCACGTCAGCTTTGAACTTTGGAATTACTTCTGTTGTCTCTCGTCCGCTCTCAAACACAGGCTGGAGTTCTTTGGTGCTCTTTTTGGGCGCCATAGCCTCCTCCGTTGCCTCGGTGTTGGTTACGAGGCCCGCTGCGGTGAGGAGGCCTTGAGGTACAATTAAGGATGATTGCCTAGTTACAGCACGCACGTCGAACTATCATAACAAGTTGAGATCAGATGTCATGTATGATCATGTGCCTAAGTATCTCTTTCGACATTAATAAATGTGCTTCTTTCATGAATGCGGACCTTTCCCCGGCATGTGCTTTTGCAGCCGGGAAACTCTAGTTCGGCAAACAAGGGAATACATGTACACACTGTGACATATACCTAGTCGAGAAAAAAATCACCGAAAGGATGGATCTATTCACGTGGCAGTCGCATTCAGCATTAAATCCCCGAAATTTATATTCCCCATTGATTTCGAACTATTGAGGTTGTAGTTTTAGCCCGCGGTTTATCAGATCGGAATGGCTGCGCTGTCCGAGTCGGCATCCTGTCACCGCCTTCCGGAACGGCCAGCGCGCAGCAATTTTCGGAGCAAGCGTGCGGTCTTTGCGGTCCTTCAACCTCGCATCCTGTCCAACAACACACCTCCCCTTTAATGCCTTGGATGCTACTAGGGGGCATCGTTCCATATGTTATCGCGTGGCCGCCCGTGTCTAAGAAGGCATCTGTCTGCCGCCTTGGATGCTGTCGCGGCTGGCCCCGATGAACCGCTGCTATTCCTTTACCCCCGATGGGCCGCGTCGGCCGTGCGGCGAAGGCGTCCGATTTCGTCTTTAACGCCTGCCAATACTCCTCTTCATTCAGACGTCCGCCCCTGTACCTCGACATCACCGTCATTCCGCCGACAATCGAGCCGATGGATCACCAATGCTACTACCACTACTCAGCCTGACAATGGTTCCGGTGCGGAATTACATGCTGTCGAAGACGTGTTGGAGTATAACAAGGATGAGGGGGAGGGTACAAAAAAGCCGGCTGCATCACAAGATGCGAGTCGGTCTGCGCTGGGCTCGAGGGAGACGGCCGGATCTGTCACCGACAAGCCGAATCAGCTCCATGATCTAGCCACAAAGAAGTTAAAAGAGAAATCATCCAACGGATCGAATCTGCGGCCCTTGACACCAGGCTCACGTATACGAGTTCCCAAGAGCTTCTTGGAAAGGAATTTGTCCCCACGGAATCGGAAGCAGTTGCGGTACGGCGAATTCATCATCGCAAAGGAAAATCGTGATGACATACCCCGGAATCATTTAGGAAGCTGGTTTGATGTGCGGGATTTGTTGTTGAGGGTACATCGACAGACTCGGACTGGTCCCAAGAAGGTGTCAAAGTCTAAAGAGTTGCTCATACCCGAGGAGACCATCGCTCTGATGTCTGGGATCACAACCACAGCTATGAAGGAGAATATCTGGTATCTTCCGGTTCGGCACGGATGTCGGGTGCACGTTCTCCCCCCAAGGAGGGTAATGGACTTTGCCGCAAGGTTATCCTGACAGGCTCAGACCGCACTTTGGAATTGGTTGAGGATACAATAAAACAGCAACAGGATCTCCAGGCCAGTGGTGATCCTCTTGTCGAAATCCAGAAGCCGCCGTTTCCTATTCTGGCTTCGACGGATACCATGCGGCAGCTGAATCTCCCGGTGCCTGTGATACGGGGAGTTTGGGCATCTCCCGCGGATGAACAAGAGCCGATGAGTTTGAATGAACTCCTCAAAAACACGCCATCACTTGGTTCAGTGAAGGAATTTGCCGAACACATTGAAGAAGTGATTAATGCCCGAAGAATGAATCCTGTCGAAAAGGCTAGAGATGAGGCTGGCGTCTCCCATCTAGAGCGTGTTGCTAAGCACATCTTACGGCTGTTCCGGCAGGATTCAAACCGCACGATTTTCTCCACGGCAGCCTTGAACAGCGCATTGAGATTTTTATACAAGCATGAATTTCTCAGCATTGCTCGGGACGTGTTCAGCAGAGCAGAGCATCTCGCAACGGCAGACTCATACAACATTCTGCTTCAAAATGCAGCTTCGCGCCAAGATAAGCGGATGTTCCAGCTCTTCCTGCAAACGATGGCCCAAGAGCGGATTCGTCCAAACGCGGACACCTGGCTTGCGTTGTTGCAGGCTATGCTGACACACAAGACCAAGGCAGCTATCATCAAGGACATGGCGAAGAAGGGCTACATGAAAGATACCAATACGATCCGCAGCTCGCTCCAGCTAACAATTTCGGATTCATTCCTCGTTCACTTGGACGGTGGTCGGAGCGTCCACAGCTTTTTTGACCTCATGGTGAAAACGAACGGAGCAGACTGGTTCACTCCCTCAATACTGGGCCAGCTGTTTAATGTGGCTTCTCGATTGAAGAATTTCGCCGCCATGCACGAGTTGCTCGATATCTGCACCAAGTATCATCTCGAGATGAATAGCTCCTGTCTCACACAAGTTCTGTACATGGTTGATGACGACATCTTCACTGCCCTCGAGTACACCTTCAAAATCATGAAACGTGCCTCGTTCAAGCTCGACGGCGTCGCTCTGGAGAAGCTTTTCTTCATTGCTTTTGACGGCCACCACTACAATGTGTGCCGCGTGCTGTGGCACTATGCCTGCATGGAAGGAACCGTGACCTTCAAAATGCGAAGCGCAGTCCTAGACTCCCTCGCCCGCAATGCGTCTTTGGGGACGGGATCCGACGATGTTAGCAATATCTGGAGTCTTTCCGCCGGCAAGGTCATCGTCCGAGGCAACACGCGCAGCAAGTACAGACTCAGACAGAACCGCCTCACCCAACTGCCTGCCGAGTTCCAAGACAATCCTTTTCTCTATTTGGTATCTGGTTACAAGAGCCAGGGTCCAGAACGAGAATTGCAGCTTCGTCTGGCCAAGACCTTCGTCGATCGTGACATTGAAATAGGAGCTGCTTATTTGAAGCCCCAATTCTCTTTGGCGGTGATGTTGGAAGCTGCTGCTACTATGGACCAGGAGTGGCAGGGTAAACCGTGGCCCTTGACATGGATGCTCCAGAATGCCATCGAGGTTCCAACCAAGCAACGAGTCTAAAATATATCCTTCCTTTCCCCTCTCTCTTCTTCCTCGCCAGATACCGTTGCTTTCTCATGCATGCCTCCTCCATCTACTTCCCACCCTCTTCTGATGCTAGCGTGTTGCATGAGATATCCTATTGAGCGGGCCTTTTAGATTTGTCATTTATCATCACTTCCCTCCTGTACTATGTCTTGTATATAACTTATCTTGTACAACTTTGACAATATAGAGCTTCTAGACTTCACATCTGAGACCGAGACCCAGGTTCGACACGGAAAGCTATAGAAGGGACGTGTACCGGCCCGCCCTGCGTATTCAATCTACCGCGGATGTACCGGCTCATCCCCGATCTCCTCCATCTTATCCTCCAACAACTTCGTCATATACCCTACAACATCCTTATACTTCTTCTCAGGATAACAATTAAAGAGTTCCAACGGATCCTCCACCAAATCAAAAAGCTCCCACTCCTTCTCCTCCCCACCAGGCCTCGTCCCCTCGATCCCGAAATCCTCATTATACCAGTAAATAAGCTTATACCGCTGGTCCCGCACCGCATAATGCGCATACGCCTCATGAATCACGTCCCGGTGCATCCAGTACCGGTGATACGCAACCTGCTGCCAGTCCGTGGGTGCCTGCTGTTGCAGCAAGGCCCGGAAACTGACCCCCTGCATGTAGGTTGGTTTTCTGAGGGTCGCGAAGTCTAGCCATGTCGCCGCGAAGTCCACGTTGCAGATGATATCGTTGCATACGCTGCCCAGCGCGATCTCGCGCGGGTAGCGAATGAGAAACGGCATGTTGAAACTATTCTCGTACACGAGCCGCTTGTCAAACCAGCCGTGCTCGCCGAGGAAGAAGCCCTGGTCGGACGTGTAGATGACGACCGTGTTCTCTGCGAGGCCTTCGACCTCGAGGAAGTCCAGCATCCGGCCCACGTTATCGTCGATGCTTTGGATCGTGCGGAGGTACCGTTGCATGTAGCGCTGGAACTTGAACTCGGCTAGTTCCTTGCGAGTAGTGAAGGTGAAAACAGTCCCGTCGTCTTTGTCAATTAGTTTGAGCTGGGTTACGTCGTCTGGATCCGGGATCTTGCGGTCGTGCGACCACCATATATCCATCATCTTGGTGCCAACTGTGTCGCTGCCACCATCTGGCTGCGCCAATCCGAGGTCCATATAGGTGAGATCCTCGGCCACGCGCATCTTGGCAACTGCTGCAGCCCTTGCGCGATTCTTGTAGTCGTCTGTGAATGTATCTGGCAGGCGGACGGGGTCTTTGAATAGATGCTTGTGCTTCGGATCGCACTCCCAGCTACGATGCGGTGCCTTGTGGTGACACATCATGAAGAAGGGCTTCTTCGGATCCCGAGCTTTGATCCAATCTAAACTCTTGTCTGTGATAATATCGGTGGCGTATCCTCGTTCACGATGGATGCCGTCGGGGCCGATGAATTGCGGATCATGATATTCGCCTTGGCCGGGTACAATTTCCCAGTAGTCGAAGCCCGTGGGCTCGTGGTCTTTCCCTTCACCTAGATGCCACTTGCCAACCATCGCAGTTTGATATCCGCCGACTCTGAGGTGCTTTGCAACATTGGGAATATGCTTGTTGATCTTAGAATCGAGCGTCATGACCCCGTTGACATGGTTATGAGTTCCCGTCAAGATTGCGGCTCGCGAGGGAGTGCAGATACTGTTTGTCACATAGCAGTGATTAAACTTCATTCCTTCTGTAGCTAGGCGATCAAGATTAGGCGTGTGATTTATCCCTGCGCCATAGCAAGAAATTGATTTTGAGGCATGGTCATCGGCCATGATGAAGAGAATGTTTGGGCGGGTGTCGGAAGCCATGGTGTCTTATGGAAGACCTGTGGAGGGCCCTGATCGGATTCAAACTGTATTTCACCCAGGGTACTTGGGACTGGAAGTCAATGACTTGATAAAATTTAAAGGACTGGAGAAATTTGTGGTTGGAAGGGCCGGGGCGTTCTTTAAATACTGGCTTGCACTGCAGTCCTCGGGCTCAGATCATACCAACTGGAGAATGACCAGCTCCAGAGAAGCTTTCTCAACCCCTCCGCGGGGGAAGCTGTGGAGCTCCCGCGATCCATGGACGCTCAATCAATTCGAGGTAGATGGAATAAGCGGGTCGGAGTCGCATGTGTTGCGGGCAACTATAAGCCCCACAGATCCACAACATTGCGGCAGTCGGCGGCTGTCGGTCTATCGCAACGTCAATTGGCCACGAGACAAGCGCAAGACTCCGCGCTCGTGATTGATGCGTGGGGTTGATGGACTTAAATATGTTCTGCAATGTTCGATTGGACTATAGAGCTCAATAATGTCGTGCTATTTTGTGTCATGTCGGCTCTGCGGCATAAACGGCAACCCTGGACATCAACCTTCTCAAAACATCACATCTAAATCGCCCACCAATGCAGCAATGCTCACAGAGCAACTAACCCAGGAGCTATCACATCTGCCACAACGCCACTAGAAGGAGCCGCCGCTGACGCGGAAGGCGTGCTTGACCCCGGAGTAGTCGTAATCGTAAATTCTTCCGGACACGTCTGTAGTCCCATCTCTCGAGTACGTAACACTCAAGCCATGACAAAGCTCTCATCATACGGAAACAGGGTCGGAAGATTGGATATTGGAGTGGTCCCATTATACGTATCCAGAACCATAGTGTGGTTAATATGACCGGCCGAGCAGGACTAGCAGGTAGATATTTGTATTGACCGACGAGACTAGTAGCTTGGGTATTCACCTAGAGGCAAGGGGCCCTGACACGAACTTTATTCCAGCACAGGTTAGTCACATTAATCTCACTATTTGTGTATCTGGTGTTGTTGGGAACAGTCTGGAAGAGGTTGGCACCGTCGTCCCAGCGACCCAGCGCAGGGAGGCTCCAGCTGGCAAAAACAAAAGCGATTGTGGAGTGGTGGGTGTATCACGTTCTGTCAGTTGCACCAACCAGTTATCTTGGATAGCACCACTGAGGAGAATGCTATATGATGGGGCAATCATGAAACTTATCAGACAGTAGGCAGTGATATCGTACTCCTAGCAACTCATTCTTGAGGTTGTCGGCGCCATCAACGTAGTCCTACTTCTTGTGGGTCAGCGATAAAGCGCATATATGGAAACTAGGATCGAAAGCAGAAAGGGAGGCGTTCGGCGTTCTTCAGCTAGATCTGATAGAGCCGGTCCGAACGCAAGACCCTTCAGATTGGAAGTGGCAGAGTACTTAGCGTTATTACCTCCGCAGCTTTGATTTCTGATCGAGATGGCTCAGTGTTCTGAATAGATCTGGCGTGACCTTGAGAGCAATGCAAGAACTGTCGCAAGGGAAGACCTTCTAATGGATATACGCTTGGCGAGGACTAAGAGTTCGGAGTGCTACAGCCGAGACAGGTCATCCTCCCAAGATATATCCCAATGCGCTTAGTTCCCTGGCAGTGAATGGAAGCGTGTTTATCGTTACACTATAATAAGATCCAAGGCCCTTGAGGTCTGTAGCATACAAGACTGGCGATCAATCAGCCTACAGGGTGATATATATGACAATTCGATTGAACCCGATCAAAATTCCAGAAAATAGGATGAAATAGGTACCGGGCCAGGTAGTTGCGGTGAGGACCACCTTCTTCTTCCGCTGACCGCCCAACTAGAACTTCATGGTTCATGGGTTGAAAGGATCTGTCTCTGGCTGCTGTTGCGGATCCGGCGGCACATTACCCAAGTCCGAGTAAAAAACAAACCCAGGCTTAAGCAGGGTTCAAATTGATGTTCTCCTGGCCCGTGACTGAGTACCAAGCTTTCCCAAGCTTTGTACTAAAGAGCCTGTGCCGTGGCAGGCAGGGATATTGTGCCCCATTCACTCCACCGGGCCCGGTCCAATCGCCGAGTGTACGTTGAACATCATGCACTCGAACCTGGCGACCTGGACGGGCCGTCGCATGGAGATTGCATAAATCTTCTGCAGATCGCGGCTATAAGATATGGATGTTAAGCAAGGGCGTATGTTATGGGAGCAGTGGGATGGAATAGGAGATGGATGTAAAAAGTTGGTCCCATTTTTGGGGGCTTTCATTCCTTCCCGGTAATCGCCCCCGATGAAAACTCTGACTGTTCGAAGGCTAGTGAAGGCTTGCTCCGTCCTCTGGAATAGTAAGCGAGGAGCGTGAAGTTAATAATACTTTGTGAGTTGGGTTGTTGTAGACTTTGGGCGGAAGGGCCTTAGGCGCAATCCTACAAAACGCTTGGTCGATGACCTACGGAATCTGGTCCAATGATGGTTGCGGGAGGCCAATAGTATGCCGTGATGTCTCAAAAAGGCGTTCGGAGTACTCCGAACCAGCGGGACATTGAAATCTCTGATTAGCGGATAGATGGCCGACTTGGCCGACCTGGTTGACCTGGTGACCTGGTCGACCTGGTTGATTTAGCTGAGTTATTTCGGTAGTATAGAGTGAACACTGCCAAACAGTCATCGCTTCGCCTGCGCGAGCTTGATGAGTTGTTGATAGCGGGTTGCAGGCTCGTGGTAGGCTTATGGTAAGCTCGTGGTGCGAACAATTAAGGGGCGTGAGGTATCTCCACAATGTGACTGGGAAAAAACTGCGTGGATGCCCCACTTTTAACACGAGCACGTGGTAAAATTGGATGATTTGATTGGTGAGAAGACTAAGTATGAACCTGTATATGGCTTTTCGCCATGAGAACTAAACAAATCAAGATGGCTGATCTAACGGCTTGGCAGAGAAGACAAGCAATGCCGAGAGACTGCCCAGCCTGCCCCCAAGACTCGGCGTTGCTTGTCCGCAGCAGAGTTTGATGCCGCCATCAATGAGGAACATCAAGTCAACATTGTATACAATTTTCGTCTGTGATTTCAATAACTATCACATTGAATATTTTCTCCCACTTTCTTACGATCAGACTAGACCAACCTTCCAAACCTAAAGGTTAGCGCGCTTGCGATATAACCCCCCCTTGACCCAATAAGACAAACCCAACGACATTGCGCGGCCAACATCGCGCGGTGCTTTGGCCGCTTTGTGTCTTTCTAGAAGTCATCGTCCCCACTTTCATCCTTCATCCACCATCTTCGTCCGTGTTCATACATGTACTTCGTAGTACTTCGTGCTCCGTGCGCCCCTTTCACTTCCCATCAGCACCCATGTCTAGCGCGCTACCCTGCTCTGATCCAGACAGGAGCGGGCCTAGTGCACTATCACCGTAGTTTGGCGTTCCATCTCACTGGCCCCGACGGATTCTCATCCACTCGTGCGTGCCGAATACCTTCTCGGTCTGTGCACCCGAGATGCGCTTCCTGACCTAGTGCTGGAAAGGAAATTGCAGCCCCCCACTGCCGTTGCGAATCGTGCGTGCTTCTGTGCTTGCTATAGGATGATGATGCACTGTCAGGTTCGCGAGTTTTGGGAACCCGGCGTGCTTAGGTCGAGGTCAGAATGTGGCTACCTACGCGTGGTGTTGTCGCTGACTTTGATGCCCTATGGATGGCTAGGCATTAAGATAAATACAATCAAATCGCGCCAGTCCGTGTACTTTTTTCTTCTTCTTTACACCGAGTCAAAGCACCTACCCCCGGCCAACCCTGGGCATTCCGAGGTCTTTGAACACTTGTTTCACTTGCCCCCGTGACAATGGAGCCCACTAACAAGGAGCCGATCTCCTCCTTCGAGGAGATGGAGGTTCATGAGAAAGCTGCCTTTGACGATGTCATTCGCCCGAAGGACTGCTACGCGCCGGATGGTACCTACTGGGCGGACCTGCCTGTCAGCCAGCGTGTCAATTTCTGCATGGAGCAGGACCGTGCTGAGGCTAGCAAGGAGCTCAGTTGGCTCTGGGAGATGTTCAAGAATGATCCTCTCTCTCCGATTTCGTACTACTTCAAGAACTCCGTCCTCCCTGGTGCCGGTCTGGGTCTTGAGGGGTATGTTGAGCCCATCGATGACTTATCTTATGAAGGTTATACTGACAGGGAACCGATGATTATAGTTACGTTCTGTTCTCCATTAGTAACAACTCGGCTCTATTCAATGTGTCCTACAAGGACTGCTGGAAGGGCAAGACTTGCGACAAGAACTGGATTGCTGCGGTCAACTACATGGAGGTTGCTGGTATCATCGTCGGACAAATCCTCGTCGGTTTCTTGGGTGACTGGTAAGCCATCTCACCCCTACTGGTTGAAGAACGACAGCTAATCTTCTGTGTTCAGGATCGGTCGTCGCTGGGGTCTGATCCAGGATGCCGCTATCATGTTTGTCGGTCTTCTGATGCTCACTGCCGCTTGGGGTCTCACCGAAAACGGCTGGGTTATCTGCTACGCTTGGTCTCTCTTCTTTTACTCCATCGGTGTTGGTGGTGAATACCCAATGACCGCCACTATCGGTATGGAGAACGGCTACGGGAACGGAAAGGTCACTACCTCCGAGGATCGTCTGCACCGTGGTCGTTCCGTCGTCGGTGCCTTCCTGATGCAGGGTTGGGGCCAGTTCGCCAATCAGGCCATCCTTATCATTCTGCTGCTGATCTTCCACCACGGCACTGGCGCGTTCCCCATCTCTACTACCGCTACACAGTGGACCTATCGTGTGTCGTTCGCCATTCCTGCCATTGGCACCGCCTGGCTCGTCTACTACCGAACTTACCACATGAAGGCCGCTAGCAAGCAGCTCGTCGCCCAGAAGAAGAAGTCTGCTGTTACCGGTTATGATACGGAGTCCCTGAAGCTCGTTTTCCGCCACTTCACTCCCCGTCTCATTGCTACCGCTGGTGGCTGGTTCGCCAACGATGTCTTCTTCTATGGTAACAAGTTGTTCCAGAGCAAGTTCATCCTGGTTATCAGCCCCGAAAGCGCTACCAATGTCACCACTGGCTGGCTGTGGAACCTGGTTAACATTACTGTTGAGCTTGCTGGATACTACTGTGCCGCGTGGTTCGTCGATTCTAAGCTCTACGGACGCAAGTGGATGCAAATCGTCGGCTTCATGATGTGCTTCATCCTCTTCGTTATCCCGGCCTTCAAGTTCGAGTACTACCAGAAGCCCGCCAACATCCATTCTTTCCAGGCGATGTACTTCCTGAGCTCGTTCTTCAACCAGTTTGGTCCTAACTGTATCACCTTCCTCGTCGCCGCCGAGGTCTTCCCCACTCCCATTCGTGGTACCGCTCACGGTATCTCTGCTGCCTGTGGTAAGGTGGGTGCCCTGATCATCGCCATCGTCGGCTCGTACACCACCGCCCAGCAGCAGTTCTATATTGTGCCCTGGTTCGGTCTTGCCGGCACCTTGCTTACCTGGCTGTTCCTCCCCGATACCACCGGCCTGGATCTGCGCGAGCAGGAGCGCCGCTGGGCATTCATTCGCCAGGGTCGGGAGGAGGATTACCACGGCCCCGCCATCCACTCCAAGCATCTGTCTGTCTGGGAGCGCTGGACTGGCAAGGGCAAGCAGTATGACGCCGAGCTGGACTACCAGATGAAGGTCGAGGAGTTCCGCGCTGAGTGGGAGGCTGCTGTTGCTGCCCGTGGCGAGGAGCAGGACAACGTGCTGGATGATGTCGATGAGAGCATCCTGAACGGCACCATGCACACCTACTTCGAGCGCACTAGCCCCGAGATCCGTGGCATGAAGAAGGAGATCCAGGAGCCTGTTACCCTTCCCGCTGCTGCTTCCTCTGAGGATCAGAAGACTCTTAATTCGGAGTAGATGTGTGCAAGCTGGCAACAGGTTGCTTGAGTCTGTGGGGGTATGTTAATGGGAAGTACTCCTATAAACGGTGTTGTATAATAATATCAGGCTGCTTCGAGGTGGAACTGGAGATTGTATGGACTTCCAGGTGTTCACCAGCGGCTAATCCTCAAATATCATAATTTCCTTGTGTGTTTCTCAACTTTCTTTTACAACTCATCCTTTTGGGGAACATGGCAACAGTGTGCCGATGAATTGCATATTCATTTTGATGTGTATGGTATTCAGTTATATACTATCCTATCCTACGTACCCTTTTCCTATGTCAGGTATTGGCTTTGTCCTTCCGTGTTCGTGCTCAGTCCCTCGCCGCTTTTGGTCACTAAGTACAAGTGAGCACGCTCCTGAGCAGTCCGAGCAGTCCGAGCAGAGCAGTGAGCATTATGCAAGCTCGTGGATCTGCCTCGTCAGTAGATCAGAGCCCTCAGATCATCAAGCAGCACCCTTCTGTGTCCCCAGTGGTCGCGAAAACCACTGAATGAATTGAAGAGATTGAGATACCGAGGCGTGCTGAGTTCCCGTCCGAATGCTTGCAAGCCAAGCACCGTAACTACCGTGGCATTTACCCAAGGCCGTCAATGTAATCGTGAACCGAAATCTACCTAACTCTCTTCGTTTTTTGCTGATCTTCTCATCAGCCAACAATATATCCCCCAATGTCCTTTGTAAAGTAAAATGCTTTGCGTGGCTCTAGCATGTTAAAATTCGACGTAGCTGAAGTTGATGTGGGCCCTCTAGCACGATTAACGTTTAACGTTTACCAGTTAATTAGTTGCCCGCCAATGACGTAATGGTATTCTCCAATGCCCGCAGTTGGCACAAATAGATCATCTCCAAAAGCAATTATCAGAATTCAGAAAAGATAGCCAACTTCTCTTACGACGACACAACGTCATGGAAGACCGCTACATCCCAAACACGCATTCCCGGCAGGACTATCTCCCCTTGACGGAGGCACCAGAGAGCTGCGTCCGGCGAGCGGTTGAGCACATCGTTGCCGATGCACCACCCCGTCCTAAGTACAATCATCGTCATTGTCATGGTCTTTTCTCTGGCCCAACGGCCCTGGCATTCTTATTACTCCGGGTCGGCTCTATATATCCCACCATGAAGATCGGAGATCATTCCCTTCGCTACTGGGCCAATCTATACATTAGTGCTCGACGCATTGGAGCTTCATCCTCCCGGTGCGGGTTGACGAGCGAGATCGCGGGGCTAGGGACTGTCAAGACCTTATTAGACAGGAACAATGCCCCGACACTTCTCAGAGAACTCAATGAGACCATGAGGAATACCCAACATCCTCATGAACTACTCTACGGCTCCGCTGGTCTCTTATACATGATTCGTCTCGTAGAGTCTTGGGTAAGTGACCGATTATCGTCGCTAAGCTTTATTCCAGCTGTTTAATATCCGATCAGCAACCAGTTCTCACTTCTTCCTTCGCCGACATTAAGAAAAGGATCATAGATCGCATTATTGCCGCTGGTCCAGATTGGACCTGGCATCAAAAGCGGTACATTGGCGTTGCCCACGGCGATGTGGGGATCCTGACGCAACTGATCCTGACAGATCCGAACTTGGCAACGGGGTCATTTGCGAACAATAAACTAGATCGCTTGTTGAATCTACAGCAGAGCGATGGTAACTGGCCTGCGAAGGAGGGTGAAGGCGGAGAGGGAAAGCGCCTGATGCAAATCTGCCACGGGGCCCCCGGATTTGTCGTGTCTCTGGAGTCTCTGCGACCATTTTTTCCCAAGTGGGCGGACCGGATTGACGGAGCTATTACAAGGGGTAGAAATGCAATCTGGGAAGAGGGGCTCCTCCGAAAAGAGCCTTGCCTCTGCCATGGAATTCTGGGGAATGCCCTGTGAGTGTCATGTTTCGTGGGTTACTGGAACTGGAGCTTCGCTGATCGAGAAAGTACATTTCCTCGCGGTGCACAGAGAGATCACTTCTTAGCGTGGTCGTCGCTGGAAAAGATAACCGAGCAGCGCGCAAGAGATAGCAATGTCTTCCCTGCACGTGAGTCTGACAAAATGTCTCTGTGGATGGACTATTGGCCCAGCGTGACATGGGCATGGCTGGCATGCTCAGTCGATGTATCTGGAATTGTCTTATTTAATGACGTCTGAGATGTCAAACAAGTTACCGGGTTCGGATGGCGGTTATAATCATCGAGCATTTCTCGAAGTGTCTTATGAATTCAGATTTCCTTCTACATAACACATTCATTCATACCCGTCATCTACAAAGTTAGCCTGTCTTACCAGACTATGGATTGCAAGATGACTATGCCGATGTCTTCCTTGGTCAAATACTTGCTCAGAGCCACACAATTCCCGATATATCACCGCCGGCTCCCCCCGCGACAACTTAACCAGCTGCCGCATATCATTTATAATCATTTGCACAGGCGCCGAACTCAGATAGAATCTCTCTAAAAATTCTAATGCAGTCCTAGCGCATTCAATTGCACCATCCATGTCCAGATTTAACTGCTCTCCAAAATCCGGCGACAGAGGTAGAAAGAGTGTCAGTCTCGTGGCATGGTATGCGCATACAGCAATTTGGGACGGCAATACTGGCTCAAACGATAGATCCTGAAGGGCCCGCAGGACCTGATGAATGTGCGCGACATGCTCAACGCACGCATCAAGCGCATGCAGGCGCAGGCGTGGCGCAATCGTCTCCATAATAACCCTCGGCGCCGCTTCAGGGTACTCGGGTAGAAATAGGCGATACAGGTCGCAGTGCGCCTGGTGCCAGGTCATCGAGACCTGGAGGAACCGCACGAACCAGCGCGAAGTCGATTTCGCGGTCACTCGCGCCGATGAGGCGACATTGTAGGCAAATGTATGCACCACATCGGCCTGCACCCGCCACAGATCGTGCTGGATTTCCTGGACGAGGCCGCTTAGTTGGGCGAGGGGTTGTTCAGCGAGTGCCAGTTGGCGCGTGAGGCGCATTATGTCTTTAGATATCTTGGAGATCCGGGTGCATGCGCCTAACAAGCTGCAGCCCTCCGTGGAGGAGTTGTCTGCGTCAAGCGAGGGCAGATACCCTGCGCTTGTATCTGTATCCGCTGGGCCTCCGTTTCGGAATGCATCTTCGGAGCATGGCAGCCGCTGGTAGACTATTGTGTGGGGGATTGTCTCGTACTCCGGGAGTCCGACGGAAAAGTAACCGTCTATGAAACTGAGAGCCCACAACACGCGCCGTCGCGTTTCTTGTGCAATAAATCCGAGCTCTGGGCGCTCGTAGTTTAAACGGAGGGCTGTGGCGGAGCGCGCAGCTAGTCCTGCAAGCATATAGGCGCGTGAGAAGTGGCTTGCTTGGATATGGTAATGTACAACCAGGAGGAGGGTTTGAAGTTGGGTGATATTTGGGGCTTCGAGGTTTTGCCAGAGGAATGTCTCTACCTCGGTGATCTTGGTGGTGCTTGCTGGAGACTGAGAAGGTGATCTTGAAAGACAAAGGGCTGATACTGCGGCAATGGAGAGAGCTAAATTTGTGTCGAGTGTGCCGTTTACGCATCGCTGGCGGATCGAGGGTTCGTGAAGAAATGCGTAGCAAGGGATTGGATATAGGTAGGTGAAGAAGTCGTCAATGTGCCGTAACATCTCATCATGAGCGATTGGCGAGACCAACCTATAGAGATCAGACTAGTCCCGGTAATCTATGTCACTTTTACATACGAGTGCCCCCCAGGCCCTTCCAGGCAGGCGACATCTGACTGCCGCTCCTCCTGTCCCCGACCAGTCCCAGCCCTCGTAGTCGGATACCGACAAGATCGCCCGCGTCTATGGCATTTCGCACACTCAGGAAACTCTCCTGAGCAGCGTGCCTTTTGTCGGCGGCATTCTATGCACGCTTGGCTGCCCCTCCGACGCTCGGGCCGATCAGCAACGGTCTCTCTCAAATCAGGCAGGTAGGTCGTAGGGCCTGCCTGGTCTCGCTGGAATGAGCATGAGAAGTCCAAGCGCTCACAGTTGGTGCATCTACCTGGTCGGCGATCACAGCGAACCTGGTATACATGTAAGTAAGGCTGGACGTGAGAGCCCTGGGCGGGCACTATACCTTACGAAATCGGCACTGGAAGCATGGGGAGGGCTGAACACGGCCCATGGAGACGGTTAGTTTGGTGTTAGGTCAAGATTCCGAACTCATGGATTCATGTAAGGCCAATCAAAACGCTAGTCTTAGGTTGCAGTTGGTGGTGGTGAATATTGGGGAATCAGGGGGCGCATACTCGGCAAAACTGCGGCAATTCCGATTTTGCGGGGTCTGGGGTTGATGCCACGGCTGGATTGCACCATTGGCGAGTCATGCAACTAGACAGCAAAATGCTGGTATTTTTATCCAGGTATATCGGATTGTTCTGTTGTTTTATGACATAATGCTTTTTGGGGACACAAAGGTTACCACTACTCCGTAGTGAGAACGATGGGGCGCAAATCCGGGGTGAATGCAGAATCGGTGAGCGCGACGCCTGTTACATGCACCGTAGTTGCCGAGGGGGATATGGGGATATGCCTAACTTGATGTTTCTAACCAACGCAAATGCATTGCTAATCCACGTACTCCGTACCATTACCAATGATCTTTCAACCTTCAGGACGCGGAGACAAAGGCTGAGATCAATCCACCTGACTCGTCCAATTCCTGTAAGTGGACGAGCTACTCGTATTGACGCTACACGAAGGAGCGGCCCCAACAGTCTGCAACACGGCTAGGTCAATTGCGGAGAATGCCAGCGCAAGGACGCGCCCGACCTGATTGTGGCAGCACGCGACCAATCATTACTCCGTAACTACATCACCATTTAGCGATTTCGGGTTCAGTGGATAGGCAGGAGGGCATGTGACTGGCCGGAACAACTAAATATCCGAACCCCACACCAGCACTGTCGGTCGCCTTCGACCGCAAAAAGTCCCCCGTCAGACGAGCATCCCATTCATCCATCATCCCCCCCTTGATGAACACTTGATGTCTCACTCCATGAATCTGCCATCATGAAGTTCTTCGAAAACGTGTTCACCTATGATTATTCCTTCCCTGCCGTCTCACTCGCCTACTTCCTTCGCTACCCGAACCCCTACTCCCGCCATGTCCTGACGACCGACGTGATCGACCGCTATGTCGACCCGGCCACCCAGCGGCTGCATACCGTCCGCCTTCATCTGAAGAAATCCAAAGTCCCGGCCGGTATCCTCAAATTACTTCCCAAAGGAATGGGCGGCTCCGACAGCTCCGGCCAGAGTTATATCCTCGAAAGCACTGTGGTGGATCCCATCGAGGGCTGGATGGAGACTGAGTCTCGCAACGTGGAATGGACTGGCATTCTCAGTGTCGTAGAGAAGCAGCGCTACCAGCGTCACCGGACCGAAGAAGATCTCCAGGCTCTCGATGGCCTGTCAATCGATAAGAAGACTGAACAGACGACCGTGCGAACCACGGTCACGTTCCGATCTCGGCTCGGCCAGGGCAAGTTGCTCGGTCGCAAGAAAGCCGAGGCGATCGACCACCCAGATTCCGAGGATGAGGCTCCCAAGAAGGGCTTCTTCTCTTCGCTGTCCACGGCTGGCATCCAGCGAACTATTGAATTGATTGGCGTGAGCCGGACCCGCGATGCCGTGATGAAAAGCAAGCAAGGTATGAATGTGGTCCTGGAGCGCCTGCGCAGTGGCGGCATCGTCGGCGTCTTGGAGGGCATGCGCATGGATCGCGAGGCGGCCTTTGGACCTGACGGGCCTTGGAAACGCGTCTGGTTGCAGGGCAGTGGCCTCAAGGAGCGGGTCTACGTCGACGACGAGGACAACTGAGGCTTCTGGATTTCAGCTATCTTCTTTTCTCTTGTCTTCACGCATTTTTTTTCGCATCTCCGCGTCTTTGCGGTATCAGCGCATCTCCGTGCATCTTTTGATTATCAAGCGTGGCGTTACTGGAGTTGTGCACATCACTGACGGACACTCTCCCATGACAATCTTTTGCTTTTTTCTTGTGCTGGGTTTATTCTGGGGATCTGTACATTGCCTGTTCAGTTTGCATTGAGGCTTGTGCTTCACAATTGTGTATATTAGGTGACTGAGAATATGTTTGCTGGGTTGGAGGATGAGGAGCTGCTTAAGTGGTGAAAGCATGCCATTGTACATTAACAATACGGACTAATCTATCATTCCTGATCAATGCTCTCTTACTATTTACTACGTCTTACTATTTACTACCTCTCCTTATTCCGCCCTGGCGTGGTGAGGCTTCTCAAAAACCGCGGACCAAAAGATGAACCCACAAAGATAGAATTGAATGTAGCGTCATAAAGATTGCCGGGGCATTGAAGGTCATAGAAAAAGAACAACAGAGTTCACGTCCAACGGGAGAACGGGGAGTGAGGCGCCCACTATCCGTTTTGGGCATGTTGATGCGGCGAGCTAGCTTATCGCGCAGTATTTACTGGCCAGCCATGTTCGGCTGATAAGCTGCTGGGACTCATTGACATTGTCGTAAAGGTGCGAGCGTACCTGGAATTCCGTCGATGCGTTTATTTAAACAGATGCATTGGTCTATCCACTCTTCATTCATCAACACTGTCAAGCACGCCTAGCCTTGATCGCAATGGTTGTTTCCGACGTCTTGGCTGCTTGGGAGGAATGCTCCAAGATAGACACGCTCTTTATTCTTATATGCTGTGTATTCTGCTGGTTAATTATCCCCGCCGTTGGCCTCGGTTACTCAGGGTATTCGATCCATCGTAACGGGCTTGCATCTTTCTATCCCAGTCTCCTGGTCATTGCTGTCTGCTCTATCCAATGGTGGATCATTGGATACTCGATAGCATATGGGACCGGGGGCGGCATCATGGGGGGCTTTGATAAAGCTTTTCATGTTGGCGTTCTTGCAAACCCAGTAGGCTCAATTCCAGAGATTCTGTTCTCGGAATTCCAGCTCATCTTTTGCGCTACGGTGTGCGTCATCTCTATTGGCGGCGCCTGTGAGCGAGGAAGGATGCTTCCGTTGATTCCCTTTATTTTTGTAGGTCATACTCATGCGCCACTCGCTGATCCTGCGCTCGCTTGCGTATCTGACATGGTTTCACATAGCTCTGGTGCACCTTCGTCTATGCACCACTTGCGCATATGGTCTGGTCCGATACTGGATTCCTCGGTGCTATCGGGGTTCTTGATTTTGCGGGTGGAACACCTGTTCATATCTGCAGTGGAGCGTCAGCGTCAGCCTTGAGCATTTATTTGTCACATCCTCTTTTTCGATCACGGCGATCTGCTTCTCGTACGCCACAACATTTGAAGCTTCATCGGCCACACAATAGCATGTGCCAGCTTTTAGCTCTGATGATCATATGGAATGCTTGGCTTGCTTTTGATGCTGGCACAACCCTCGCGCTCAACTTCAAGAGTATCATGACCGCAGTGGTGACCAACATCTGTGCCTCGTCGGGTGCGTTGACTTGGGCTCTTATCACGTTCTGGGAAACTCGAAAATGGAGTCTCGACAGCACCTTCATGGGGGCGATTGCCGGCCTGGTCATGATCACTCCAAGTGCTGGCTTCGTTAACATGACAACCGCGTTTTTCTTCGGAATCGCGGGTGCAGTAATTTGCCGGCAGGCACTGCGAATTAAGTTCACGAAGGTGGCAGCTCGTTGGCGATGGGTGGACAATGGAGATACATTTGCAACACATTGCATCGGTGGACTGGTGGGTACTATAGCCACTGGTTTGTTCGCCCGACAAGATGTTGCTGCATACGACGGTGTCACAGAAATACTCGGTGGATGCATCTTTGACGGAAACTGGAATCAACTTGGAGTTCAGGTTCTTGAGGCCATTGTTGGGTTTTCCTGGAGCTTCACTGGTAGCTATGCCCTCTTTGCACTGATTGATTGCATCCCTGGCCTAGAGGTTTTGGCTACAGATAGGTAAGCAATACTCTAATCCTCTGACAACCCGACTAGTTAGTCTTGGATCAAAGGGCCCGCTGACATAGGTGTAGTGAGATTATTTCGGGAATGGATGCCTCGCAAATGGGCGAATCACTTCACGAGGCGCAGTGGGCTGAAGAGGAAGACTATTACCCATTTTCAGAACGATGTCGGCTAGACTAATTGACTGGCAATTGAATAGCTGTCGCTTTATCGGAGGAAAAAAACCATTGAGGGTACACACTTCCAATCATACAGGCAGCCGATGGCACAGCGTGACTATACTGTGTGCCCATGCTCAGTGTCACATCAATGATCCCAATCCTTGCGCCTCCTCATAGAACTACATCACACTTTTCTTGATTGGAGAGGATTTTGCATATTTTGGTTACCATATAGTAGAAAGTAGATTGAATCTTTGTCTAGAGGTGGAGCGCAGTCCTCCCAATCTGGCTACCCTGCCATACGTACTCGACAGCCTCCTTCAGTGATTGCTACACAGGAGGGTATCAGTGTGGCGAAATATGGAAGGGGAATCCCACTATTTAGATTGATTGTTCAAGGCTACAGGCTAAGACCTACGTTTGCGTCGGTGTGGCAAGCGGTAGCTCTTCTATTTCAGCAACTACGACGGCGCGAGGCGGCGATCAGCATACTCAGGACATGCCTATGGTGAGAAAATGAACCAAGTGAGCCTCTGACGGATCTTGATTAATCGAAATGAACCAAACAAATGAGGAAACAAAAACGACTGATTTTCTCCTCCTCCACAAAGGATCCGTTTTCGATCATTTTGCTTATCTTCTTGCTCCCCCTCTCTTTCTATATTCGGAATAATCTTTGCCACTTGGGATTTGATATGAATTACGTCAAGGATCCAGCAGTTCTTGAAATGTTGCATAATCTCAATATAAGGCCTAGTTGCTAACATATGCATCATGATCCACAAATTGCAAAACGATTCAATCTTGCAAGAAGGCTAACTGCAGTGAAAATAACTCAGAATCTTTGACATCATCCCGCATAAAATCATCATTATAACAGAAAAGGCTCTATGCAGGAAATCCACGGGGCTTCTGAATATGATTACCAAGCCAGAACTTCTTTCTGTCCACAGCTGAGAGCTGCACAGATCTCCTCATCCTTCTCGCTGATTTTCGCGTTGCATGCCAACTTCTGTTTCGCTGGCCAAATCTCCCGTCCCTCCAACTTCTCGCGCTCAAAGTGCTCGGTGATAACCTCGCGAACTGTACTCTGGAAAAAGATAGGTGCCTTTTCGTACTTCGGGTGGAGTTGACCGTTAACGAAAACATTTCGGTCGAGGTTCTGTTGTTGGTTGTTGCAGAGGACTTTGTCTTCACTCATGACCCGCGCGTACATCTCACTGATGAGCTTAAAGTCGGCATCTGAGGAGTCTCTGTTGCGGTAGATTTCGTAGGCCATTTTGGAACTGTTGGTACTCTTGGGGAGGAATTTTTGGATCATCATAAAATGCGGTCTATATATGTCAGATCACGATTGTATTGGAAGGTGCAGGTCGAGCAGACTTACGAAACAACCATGGCAGTGACAGGGAAATAGTAGGTGCTGGCGGTGTAGAGACCCTTCGCAATCTGCTCTGGCGTAGATTCGCAATGATGTTGAATATGTCCATCCTTGAGGTCGCTGTCGAAAGAGTCAAGGTTGAGAAATTCAGGGATATCCGCGTGCGTGGTGGGGCAATGGTAACATTCATTGAAGTTATCGGCCAGAATCTTCCAGTTGTAGCGACCGTCTAGCTCATAGGTGTGGTCGAGGTCATAGTTGTCGAAATTGTAATGTTTGTACCTCTCTTGCTTGTCGACGTCTCGGAAATGCTCCTCCCAAGGCACTTCTGGGACTTCCTTCGAGTCCAAATTGACCCAGATAAAGCCATTGACATCAACCCTGACATGGATTCGGAAAAGACTATTGGCCTCGTTCTCGAAGTCATCCACGTTTTTGTATCCGGTAGCTTTGGCCAATTTACCATTCAGTCCATACGACCAGCCATGGTATCGGCAGGACAAAATCTTGGAGTTCCCGGAGCCCTCTTTCTCAATGACTGGATACGCACGATGCCTGCAAATGTTGTGGAATGCGTTGACGTTTCCTTGCCGGTCACGGGTAATGATGAAGTTGAACCCCGCCATCTCATAGCGTAGCCAATCGCCGGTCTCTCGTACGCGTGAGCTGTGTGTAAGGAAGATCCACCTCTTGGAAAATATGGCCCGGCGCTCCAGCTCATACATTTCTGGAGATATATACCATGATGCTGGTAACGCACGCACCGGGCCATCTTTCACTTCGTCCTTGGCGGAGGGAGGAACATTGTTGCCGAAGCCGAAATAGTGCAGCATGGAAGTCGCCATGGGTGTTCTGATGACGGGTTGCAAAGATATTTCCAAGAACTCTCGCCGTTGACGTTTTGCGGTCTATGGCGGGACGCCACTCTATATTTCATTATCTGCTTTCCTGTACCACAGCTTTACTGCCGGAAGCCGCGTATCTATTCCGATCAGGTGACCATCCTTATATGCCAATCTGGTAAAGCAACCCAAAGCTAAGCGCGTGGGATCGCCCAAATCAGGCACTGGAGCCGTTCAACTAGGCCTACGGTACAAGAGGCCCTTCTATAGCTCTGTGCTGATTGGTCCACCCTTCCATCGGCTGATCCGAAACGCACTAGGGCCGGGATCCCGCGGGCACTGATACCGCCACTCCGCTTGGGGCTAGGCAGACCGACTCTCGAACCCTCTGCCGTAGGACCAATAAGAGATCACATATCTGGTGATACCTGGACTTGGTGGACCCACATACCCCAGGATGATAAGCACCCCAGCGTTTCGGCTTCGAAGCCGAGCATCGCGTAGGGTTTCGGCATCCCCGAGATATAGCAAGAGATGCTCTGAACAAAAGGGAATGTGGCGCGCCTCACCTGTTTGTGACACATGATCATCAGTCGGTTCGGTTCTCGTCCGCAGCCGGCCGGGTTGGTTTACGTGGTCTTTACGTGGTAATGATGGATTGCTACCCAGATCTTGGCTACCGGGCAACCCGCTCGCTGTTTATCGAAATCCCGCCACGTAGTTGCTCTGTGAAGCGATAAAAGGATCTTCAAAATGGAACCAGTCTTTGGGTGGGCTGCGAACACAATCATGCCACCTCCTAACGAGCCCAATGCCGTGGGAACCATATCCAAGCATAGAACCATGATTTCTCTCCCCTGATGCTAGGGCAGCTATAATTATATCTCCTAGGAAGCCATTGGTCGACAAAAATGGATCTCGGTCGTATATGCTACCCCGGCCTCAATCTAATCACCCATCATCGAAAGTAGGCAGGGAGAGAGAGATGACGGCGACGGGAAGGAAATAGTTTGGGCCGGTGCGGGGTCCCGAGACGAGTCACGACCACGAAGGTTTACAATCACAGTCTCTTGTCGCATCTATTCATGGCCGGTCCATCATGCAGCCTGCGCAGCGGCAAGAGATGTATGGTGCGAATCGGAAGCAGAAAAGAGCGGCGATCGCGTAAGAAGATTCCCGGCAGTTGCACTGCCTTTGTACGCGTCCTCGTTGACTTGGGTGGGCAGATGTACCGCGTGCCGGCAGAGCAAGATCAAGTGCTCGGGCGACGAGCCGTGCGCCAATTGCCGACGACGATCGCTGGACTGTCAGTTTGCAGAGGGAAACAACAAAATCCTAGTTTCCGAAAGGTGTGCGCGATCTGCGAAGCCCCGTTCTCCTTTTTCATGGTACGCGGCCACTGACTGCCACCTGCATCAGATATCTTCGCGATTTACAGAAACAGGCATATAATTGGCAGCGGGCCACCGGTGTTAAGCGTCCCCGAGAGGATTGTTTTCGGTTCGATGAGGATCTGGACCCAGGGCATGTCGTGAATGATTTTGGGTCCGCGGCAGAACTTCTAGACCCCAGGGCTGGCGAGTCTCCAGCGTCGCCTGCAGCCAATTTATCATGTACCATCTGGGCGAGTCCCTTCACGCTTCCTACGACTGTCATCAAGGACAATCATCAGGAGCAAAGAAATTGGAGTCAGTAGGCAGCTGAACATGTTCATTCTCTTGTCTCTTGATCTAACAAGTGGCACAGTTTGGTTGGCCCCATCCTCGGCCTGGTCCCTCACAGCTCGACTGATCGTGATGATGACAGAGAAGCTCGACGTTGATTCTGTCAGAGAGCCTCCCCGGTTTTACTTAGACGGGGATATCTATCCTTTTGCGTGGAACCGTGTTACGAATCTGGACCCTATCGACACGAGTGGCTTACCTTCCCGAGATTACGCTCTCCATCTTTTTCAAATAGTTCGGTTTCACCTGGGTCAAGCGTACCGATTTTTTGATCACGATTCATTCGTCACCCGAATCCGTCAATTTTACAATAGTCGCGCGGATGAGAAGGTTGTTCAACCTCGCTTCTGGTTCGTTCAGTTTCTCATGGTCCTGGCGCTCGGCAATGCATTTCTGTCGAGGCCTCGTAACCAGGATTACCCTCCTGGTTCAAAATACTTTGCACGTGCCATGTCTGCAATGCCGAACTATACATGTACCGGAAAGGATAGTCTGCTAGCCATTGAGGCGCTGGCACTGGTTGGGCTGTACTTATACGCGATTGACCACAGAGAAGCCGCCCATGTTCACGTAGGTATTGACCCCATCACCTCAATACCCCCTGACTGACGTCAGTCGCTGGTAACATAGATTGGTCATGCTGTACGAATAGCACAGCTGGAAGGGATGCATACCCAGCTTCCTGAGGAAGTTCTTGGGGCTGAGACGGTCGCCCGATGTCGGAATCTCTGGTGGTCTCTGTACACCATGGATCGTCATTTCTCTCCATCACTGGGACTTCCAATGACTACCAAGGACAGTGAAATCACGACATTGATCAGCTCGTCAAGCTCAGATCCTCCTGACCTTGCGTTTAGTCTACAGGTAAGGATTACACGGATGCTCTCGTTTATTATTTGCAGTAAGTGTCTCTTGAGCCCACTTACCTTAACAGGTCTGACATCGCTGCTATCAAGCCATCTACAAGACGGAAAAAACTCCCCTTGGCACGTTTTTAGAGATAACACGCAGTATACTGGAGACTATGGCCAGGTACGCGGAAGAGATCGAGAAGATGATCCATGTCAGCTTCCAGGGCTCCATAGATAATGTGTCCGAAGAGACACGTCATACAATCCTATTATATCATCAGGTAAGCTCGTTTCCCCTCCATTTATCTTTCGTTTCATAATCTCATTCGCCTTCCATAGTGTGTGATCGTTGCCACCAGGCCGCTGCTTCTGTCCGTCCTCAAGGAAAGGCTGGAAAAGCTTGGTCGAGCAGAAGAAGATTGGCAGAAGTTCTTGGCTCTTCCCATATCCCTGATATCTATTGGTATCAAATCTGCCGAGAAGACTCTCCAGATAATCGGCGATGAAAACGGCCTTCTTGGTGCGGCGATTCACTCTGGTCGAAACTTCGGGTAAAATACGTCAACTGACTGGGTCTTAGAAACCTTCCTGCCATTTGACCTTGAAATGACCTACGCGGCCGCTATTCATTTGACCATGGCAAATGCGCTGTTTCCTCCCGAGACGGACGTTCGGCCATATAGTCAGGCTGCTCATTCAATTCTCGACGAAATGATTCTTTGCGGGAACCGCGTGGCAGAAGCCCGAAAGCGGGAATTGATCCGTATCGAAGGCCTTTTCCAAGAGCTGGCCAGGCGAGTTGAGCAAGAAGGCCTTCGAATTTTGACCTTGGCGGATCAGGGACTTTCAGAAATAGTACCCCTCAATATTCCTGACGAGCCCCAGTCAAGAGAAGTCGCTATGACGGAATCCGCGATGGTGCTTCCGTCTTCGGCGCGAGATAATCGGCCATCTTCGGCAGACACGTCTGCTCCAGCTAACATTGAATTCCTCGATAGTATTGGTATCTCTTCCAATGAGTTTCTCACCATTGTGGATCAGATCAATAATCCAGGGATGCCGTATGGAGCCTTGGATGTAAGACCAGATTGGCTGACAGGAGATGATCCGACTACTTACTCATTTGGCTGAGCTCTGAGGATTGCATCATCAAGACCATACATCTCGCGGTGGTTCAAGTTGGAGGTACCGATTATGTAGTTATATCACGTCATATTCACGCAATAGCGCATAGGCAAATGATTCCGGAACAATACCCAGGGAGCCCAGGGCAATTTGGATTGAGGGAACTGTGGGAGAAAGGCTACCCTATAGACATGGACCAAAATCTTGATATTTCATATCACTTGGTTGTTTGATGTTGAGAAACGGCATCTCTGATGTGGTTTGCTTTCATATCACGCTGTATGCTAAGCATTCATAACAGCAGAGAGAAGCGCTTGAATGGGTATGGCACAACTAGGTATATTTGCATATAGCATCGAATTACGTCAGTAGAGGCGTGCAATTGCAGTAGATCTAGCTATGGAACGAGAGAAGGCTGATTGGAGCGCATCATTATGTACGGATTGGTGAGAAGGGCGGCCACGTAGGTGATACGGTGAGTTGGATTCGTGTGATACTACCTTGAGACATTCGGATACTTAGCTAGCCATCAGCAAGGGAAGTATTGAAGTGATTAATGGTTATTTCAGCAAATATAGAGCAAAAAAGACAGTCTAAATTTAGCCCCATTATAGTACCGAAGTTTCACATCTCCGATACCGCGAGCCTGCAGGAACCTATTTGGGAGATTCTGTGCGAGACAACCGGGATGGTTTCCGTAGCGTGGCGGTGTAAAAAGGCTTGTAGTAGTCAATACCGGAGCTTCAGGGAGGCCAACCCTTGGATTTAGATACCCAATCGAGCTATTTGCTAAACACACACACTAGACCCCCGGAACTCCCGGTATCTGGAGCACTAGCGGGTTTGACCCCCTCTTCAGGACGTCCCCTCCAGATAGCATGTCTGGTGCTCATTGGAATGTGGTCCACCAGTAATTTCTTTGTTCTCTGCAATCTGCCCCGCTGGGAGATAAAAGAATATGGGACAGCACTGCTAGTACGTAGATAAGGGCCTTAGCCATCGCGAAGAGAGCCAATAAACTCAGCTCTATATACGCTGGGAACCTTGTTTTACCATTGATAAAAACACTTTGAGCCCCATGGAAAATGAATCTTTGCCCCGCATCGGGAGCCACACCCGAACTGGAGGTTGTGTGGGTCTCGGGCCATCCGAGGCTAAGGTGATTGGGCCTTCAATGAACCATGATAAGAACACTCCATACTCTATATCCTAGCCTGTACTCCGTAGTCAGGCCAGTGTCTATGATTATGTACAAATGCTCCAGGGGAAGGTGCTAATGCACAGCTTGCCCAGTCTGCCAACCCGTTGGGTCCTGCGCGCATATTTCTCAAGTTTCCTACATATTTACATTCTCTGCACTCTCCTAGGGCATGCTCCTCCCTCTTCGGACCGCTTGTATAAGGGCTTGTATACCCTACCCAAGCCCTTGTGCTCATTCCAAGCTCGGCCTCTACACAAGAGTCTCACGAAAGTATACGCCGTCCGTACCACTCGGTGATGTAATTTGTACAACTCGAGCACTCAGGTCAAGTGGCACTCCCCAGGTGTGACCTTCGGCTTCGCGTAGGCGATCAATTCATGTGCCAGAATCCATTAGTGTGCGAGCTAGTTTCTATTGTTTTTGATAGATTGTCTTCGCTCGTTTTTTCGAAGTGTAAGTGTCGCGAACAATATCTAGTCTAATAGAACGATGCTGTGTCGGTTTCTGATCGCCGCTTGTTCAAGCTTTCCGAGAGAAATGCAATAGCAGATTCCACGTCACGCTGGTTGGTCTCGAGTCTTGTTTCACGCGATCGCAGTCAAATCCCCAAGTGCTTGGAGATCGCACCATCCCTTGTCGTGCCAGGCGCATGCCTTGAGAGTACGGGCTCCGGGGAGCAAGGGGCTCAACCTCGGGATTTTGAAGGACTTGGCAACTGACACAAAATCATCGATCAATAATCGATCACGTCTCATGTACAAGCACTTGCCTTGGCTTTGAGGCTACTCACGTACTCAGTCTGGTGAGCTTGCTGTTGGAAGGGATTTGTTCCCTCCTTTACATCTCCCTCGTTCAAGCAGCTGCAGGTGAGAGAGGAACTGGCATGCCAGCAAAGACACCTGAGATACACTCCTGGAATCAGATCTCAGCTCCAAGTAATTACTCGCTCTTCACACTTGACACCAAGGGTATTTCGACCAGCATGGACGAGATGGCACATGACTTCCACGACTCCGAGAACATCCACGACCAGCTCGCTCAGCTCACATGTGATGAGTTTCCCTTTCTCGTACCTGTTCCCACTGCAGGCGACGATCTCGAAGCCACAGCCCACAAGCTCAGCGATCTGGTCCAAATCATCAGCAGTGGCCGCCCTTTTGCGCTGACAACCGGCCAGGCCTCAACATCCAAGCCCAGTGCTGAAGCCTTTGCGAAGGAACGCATGCTGGCAACCGAACTGGTGCAGTACGAGAGGTGGAAAGGTCGGATCTACCCACTGCCAGCCTTCGACTGGGCGACGAACATTCGCCCTGTACCCGAAGAGGCTCTGAAGACCTTTTCGCAACGTGCCGCCGCCATGGACATCATCTGGCACCACCAGGGTGCCACGCCGGAAAATGCGGCCTGGCTCTCAGTCAACCACTCCGATCTGCTTCCGCTTGTGAAGGCCGTCACGAAGGTGCTCAGTGCGAAAGTTCACCTCGAGAAATACAATCCGCTGTCCCGCCTGAGCGAGACTCAGATTGCAGAGGCCAAGACCCTGCAGCTTATCAATGCGGTCGTGGGGGAAAACGTGGAACGAGAGAGAGCGCGTCTGCGTAGGGTGATAGAGTGCATCAACCAGTCACGGGCTGTGCTGAGGGCCCGGCTGAAGGTGCTCGGGACGTAGTTGAATGCTTGCCTTTTCTGGTTTGGAGATATGGTCGGGACGAGACGCATGATCGATACGAAGGCCCTTTTTTTTCCCCTGTTCTCACTTTTATACCTATACTTTGATTTATAGTGAGCATGTCAGTAGCGTTCATACCAGGCCGAAAACAACGGCAAGAGAAAGGGCAGAGGAAAGCTTGCGTTGCCAGTAGACCATCAGGCCAGTTTCGCAGATATAATTCGAGATCAGCGCTTCCGGCAAAGTGGGTAGGTCATCATGATAGGTATTGGGTGGGTCTAAAATGAGCATTGCACTAGTGCTCCTAGTCGTATGGCTGGCGAAGATGTTACCTAAAATGGATATTTGTAGCTGAGGCAGGCTCTGACCGCTGGTTTACCAATTTGTTACCGTTCATCCCGTCTAGGGAGATCATTTTTACCCAGGAACTGGTTGGAAGTAGTGGAGTAGTTCCTCGACCTGAATTTTGCTCTGCCCGTTCTCAACCCAATTTCCCACTGTTTTCTTGGCACCCGAAAGATCGCAGTTCAGATCAGTGAACGCCTACCTATCCACGTCCACAGGGTATCGCACAGTCCGCCTGGGAAGGCTCATAATCCACCTGCCAGGAGCTTCTAATTGCCGACCGACACTGATAGCTCCAGTTGGTGGCGTTCCTGCCAGTGCACCGTCCCGTAGGGTTGCGGGCGTGCGAAACCGATGTGCTTCCAACACCCAATGAGAAGGCTCCGTCTGACATCCCTAGCCTAACCGATGACGCAGAACAGCATTCGCGATGCTCCTGTCGGAATGCTCCGATTCGACTTGGCCGGCTCTTACGTCAGAGGGGTCCAGTTAGGCCCACGTAAAGCCGAGAGGCTGGATGATTGACAGGAATCTAAGCCGTCCATTTGGCTGATCATCGTTTCAGATCTGATACCACATATGTTAGGCTCTGCCTTGCGAAAGGATGAAATGGACCGATGCGCATGCGGAGTATGTATATCGCATATCTGTACATGTAGGGTCGCTGCACTCCGTTCAGTCGGATCTATTGGCAGCCTCTTGCAGACTTGCAGGGACAGAAATGCACCGTAGGCGACTGGCGATGCACCTGCGCAGAGCCACCAGACGGCGACACCCTACACGGTAGACGCCAAGGGAACTGGGATACTTCCGACACAACGGCCCGTTCCAGGAGCGCTAATTAGCTGAAAAACAAGGGTTCGCAAAAAGTCGGTCTTCGGTGGAAAAGTGTATCGGGGTTTGTTGGCCTTAGCGCAGGCACTGAAATTTTTTACAGCCACGAGCATGTCAGATTGTGTCCATCCCATGCTCTCACAGTACGGAGCACTGCTTCGACTTAACCGTGTCGCTCGTGACCGGCCTCTCTCTTTCTGACTGAAAAGTACTCCGTACCTCGACACAGTGACCGGCCTCGCAAAATTACTATCGCTAGAAGGAGCCCATATGCGCGAACGGGTGGCCCTGAGGCACTGGCTGTCCAGAGGGCTGCTCGAGTTGCTGCTGCAGTGTATAGACCAGAATGCATCAGTAGGGATGAGGATTCGAGATTCTTCGGAACACACTAAAAGGGCTCCTTTCGCAGACCGTCAATGGCTGAGGTATGCAGAGTATTGGTTGGTTGTCGTCTGGGTGAGATAGGCAAGTCTCAGTGACTGGACCCTGACTGCAACCTGAGAGATCGCCGCCTCGATTTGCCCTCTTGGGTCGGCAATAATGCGGGGACTGGCCGAGGGCGGCCTGTGATGTCTCGTGATTCGCCCAGCAGTGGCCAGTGGACCTTCCAACTGGCCTTGATTGGCTTCAGCTGGCCCCAATTTGGTCTCAATTCGGCTCCACCCGGTCCCTAGTCTCCTTCGCTCTTCGCCAAGAGTCAAGACGGAGGAGAAAGATTCCAGAGACACTAGCGAACAATGCGCTGAAACCTTTTGGTGACCTCCTGGGTCCCTACGCCGATGGCCAGCGCTGCAGGTATCCCCGAGGTAGCTGCCCACGCCCGTCGGCACGCCCTCCTCCCCTGTTTCACCGGCATCTCCCTCTCAATTGCTGGAACTGCCCGGGAATGCACCGGAGAATAACAATTTTCCTTTTTATCGGCATCCGACCAGGGCGGTTGCTGGCACTGCCGCCCGCTGCGACCCCTTGACATTGTCGACTGTCCACTGCCCACTGTCGCCTATCGAAAACCTCCCCAAGCGAAGCCCAGTCGCCTTCCGTGGTTCATTCTCCCCGACTGCTCCATTCCCGTTCTTGCTGGGACCGGCTCGTCTACTGCTGGTGATTTTCTCGGCATCCACAATCCAAGACTCTATTCCTTATTTTTCTGCTGGGTGTTGCCTTTCCTGAGCACAGACTCCACCCTCCGCCGCCGTCCATTGGATCGACCCTGCAAAAAGAGGAGTCCGTCGGAGATAGCCACAGGGACCCAAAGGGCCCCAAAAACAGCGCCGTGTCCTCTAGTGCTGCGGGGACCGTTTCCCGGGCTTCCACTGTTGGAGTTGCAGGGTCCCTGTGCGAACTAGTCCTTGGCTTGTGCGAATCAAGTTTGGTTTCTGCTCAGACAATATATTATTCCCTCCCTACGCCCGCCCGTCGATGCGAATTCCTCCCGTTGCCCTGTGAAAACGTCCCCGGACGGCGCTCCCCGTCAACGCAAACCATTCTCGCGACAGACGATGAGTCGAGCATGAAAGACGCTGCCTTGGCTCATCGTTCTCGCTCATCCTGGTACCTGTGAGGGCCCTTCGCGGTCGCTCGTGTGGATCCTGACCCTGACACCACCAACCAAACAACCACTGTTATCATCCCATCGGATCGCAGATATCGAACGCGATGGCCTCCATCCTAGGCTTCGGCCCCGTCACTCGGCCCCTAGTCCTAATGATCATACTCGCCCTACTACGATGTAGTTCGGCCCAGATGTGCTCATTCTGGTATAGCGGGTGCATCGATCCGCTCGCTCAAACCGCCGTGCCGATCGACTTCTCGCCGCTGTTCCCAGACCCCGTCATCTTCTACTACGGCTTTGATTCGAATCCATCCGGCAAGGGTCAAGGCCCGATGACCAAGGCCAGTTACTGGCTGCGATATCAGGATCGGAAGATCAATAAGAACGCGGTGACGTCAAATCGGACTTCTGAGATCGCGATGCGTGTAGGCAACCTGACTGGCACGCCATCGGGAACTACGAATGGCTGTGATGGAATCTGGGGGAATCCTTGCTCGCATGATATCAAGGGAGCTCTACAGCACACGATTTTCCGCCTGTCTATGTCGGGCAAGTATTACTCGAAGCCCCTTGAGGCGGCTTTAGAGCAGATGATGAATTACCCCCCTCATCTTCCTAATTGCGGAGCCCCCATCTTTGACGTTGCCTCCATTCCCGTGCAGGGTATGTTCCTCTTCTCGCGAACATTGACACCGGTCGCGTCCAACAACTAACATCATGTGAAGACTTTGCCAAAGAGATAACACCTGGTGAAAATGTCAGTGTCATGCCTTCAGGCTCGAGTCAACGCCCGTGGCAGGTTTGGTACATCGACGACATGACCTCGCATAACCAAGCGTCCCAAGTCGCTGTCGGAATCATTGCTCGATCACCTACATACAACAGTCCGCCGCCGCTAAGCCCTGATGAAATCCAAATAGAGCTCGCTTGTCTTCAGGCTCCCCAGGGCCCTCCGATGGGACCCTCAAACGACCATGATTAAGAACTCTCTGTGGACGGATGGTCCCTATTTATCTATACTTTTCTTCCACCTATGCCTCGACTAACCACCAATGGGTTCACTGCTGATTTCACCCATGCGAAATTTTTGGTCGCGCATTGGCTGCCGGTGCCATTGCACTCTCTCTGGAACTACTCGGCCATTTGAAACGCTATCGAAGCAGCAACGCTCTCGCCTCGCGACAGCCCGAGCATGACTGGATCGGATTCTCGTCGACGAATCAGATCGGCATACCGCACGTATCTACATCATGCGTGGAGGGATCCCATCGACAGTTCAGCATGTTCCGACTAATCCATGGTCTCCAGACCAACAAGCCCTTTGAGTATTACATATAGAGGCCATGACAACTCCAGAAGCCTCACGCTGGCTGCCCCCGGCGGCCACTCCAACTCCGAGTGTAGCCGTCGACACCTCACCACCTCATAAAGTCGGCCAACTATTATCAACAGCCTTCAAATTCCCTGGTCCGCGAAAATCCTCCACAATATCCGCCTGCTCACTCAAAAGCACCCTGTCCGTCTGATTTCCGATCTTTGCCAGACCCCTCCATCTCTCTAAATCCGCGGAATTCCTCTTGTTCCCATGCGCCTCCTCTGCCCTCTCCCAATGGCCCTTGGAGAACCCTAGCATGGTGGTGATCTTCTGTCGGGGAATGTCGAAGACGAGCGAGCATATCGTCCCCGTCTCCTCGAGCCAGTTGCATTGCCACAGCTCGCCGGGCCGGATGCACTGGTAATCCGCGGCTTGGAAGTTGATGCGCCCTGCCATCGGCCCGCCGTGGATGGCGTAGTTGATGCGGTCCTCGTTTTGGAACCACATCTCGTATCGCCATTTCTCCGACCGACCGGCGCTATCTTGGGCATTGTAATCGTATATTAGGTGGCGGTCGCGGAGGTCTGAGTCGAAGGTTGAATTCTGTAAAGATGGCCGGACGGGCATTTTGGGGGCCTCGAAGGGACGGTACTCAAATTGGTCGGTCTGGACTTTGGAGGCTCAGATCGAGTGTGATTTATAAACGAAGGCAGAGGCTCTCTTGGATTCTCGGTATGTTAGAATTGCAGTATAGAATTGGAACAATCAAGTATTCAATATGTGGTTTTAAAACCAGTTTTATTCTATCTGGCGTCTTCTCCACCCCTTCTCCGTCCATCTGGATAGTTTTACGCAGCCATGGCTGTAACCATAGCTCACTTCCGTTCGCACCTTGTCCATCATTGATTTACCTTGGCCATATCCATTTCCTGTTCACGGACATACACATCCTGGCAGGTCCTGTATTACGTCATGACTCGCAATGTCGGTCGACAACAACTAATGGAAATATGTTTATCACTTACTTTATTAAGAATTGTTCATCATAGTCATAGAATCGTTCATTGATAGCATCAGAAAGTTCAAGCTGCGCTTCCAGAGACAGAGAAGGGTACATGGGACTTGATGGGGACACAAGTTCGAATTTGTACTTGACAATGATTAACTAAAGTTACAAGATCATCTCCCAGCCGGCCATCGACCGTCCATTCATCGCAGTAAATTACCGGGAAAAAAAGGAGAGAGAGACAGAGAGACTCAGTCAAAAGGTAATGAATAATCTAGTTCTCTTTCTTCGGCTCACGACGGATGTAGGACGACCAAAAAACAAGTGGACCTAGGCGGGCTCGAACCGTCGACTCTCGCGAGGCATATAATCTCCCTTTCGGGGATGATTACATAAGCACGACACTCTACCAACTGAGTTATAGGTCCCTTGGTTAATATTTAGTCCGAAGTGCGATTTGTGATTCCACGTTGGGTCTACAGTCCTAACAGCCAAAAGACTGATTGTGATACCAAGACTGGCTGCCTTGCTGAATTTTCATCGCCACTGGTCAATTGCATTAGTTTGACCGTGCACGGGCACAGATGCGATTCAGTAAAACTGCAGACGTCGGATGATTAAAGTAAAACCAAGTTGAATTGGGGACGGCAAAAAATTTTTGGTTTCTCGAGTGGATCACGTGTGGGGTTTCGGATCGGGTCATGATTATTCCGTTACCGGACATGCCGTCCTAGGGGCGTGGAGTGGGATTGGATCATCAAAACTATATGGGAGATCTTCATTAATTATCTAGTCACGATCAATGGAGCTGTTACTGTCACTTGCTAGAAGAATTGGTAGGTATTTTCTTTTGATCAAAGCAAAACATTCCGCGCCTTTTATCTGGCCAGGCGATATCGTGAAGTGTGAGGATGGGTTCGCGCACCTCTGCCCGTTGCGATCTCTCGAATGCTGTATACACGGTAGATAGAAATTCTCCATTATGTTTTCTCAATGCCTACGAGACGAATTCTCCTTCAGTATCTCTCACCTCAAGTCAACTCACATCGTCGCGCTTTCCTTCTCTAGCGCCTTCCTCCCCACGTGCACCTTCCCATTTCGGACCGATCAACAACGCTTATCCACCGCAGCACTCCCGTGACCCGCCGAGATGGCGGCGGCCCCTTCTTCATCAACGTACGCTTTGGCTCCTAGTCTCTCAGCTCATCATGCAAGCGGCCCTAGGAGGACTGGTTGAGAATGCCACAGTGTACTCGCTTCCAGGCTTGTCCTCATACGTCGCGGCTCCCGGATTTCCAACCTCAGCATTTGCGTAAGGATGCCTCTTTGGATACTGATCGTAAATTAAGCTAACCTGATCCACAGATCCTACTATGTGTCACCAGCTCTGCCAACCAGGGAGCCTCAGCCGATCATCTACGATCCTGTGCTGGACATCACGTTCCCCTATAACCTGACCAATCCGGACATTATTCCCGAGAGCTCAGATGAGGTGCTCTACCCTGTACCGAAAGGAAACCTGAATTCGCACCAGAAATACGCCTTGATTGAGAGCGTCAAGTCCAACGTATCAGATATCATCAAGTCCTCGAGCTCGGAAACACGCTGCTCAAAGTGCAAGAGGGCGTTGGCGGAGGCCAAGCCTGCGGCCCTTTACGCCCCGCTCCTGGTGCCGGATGCTTTGATCAGCATGTGCAAGGCCTTCGGTTTTCACTCAGATGAAGCCTGCGAGGAGGATTTTGCGCCACAGTCCCTCGGTGCTATCTGGACGCAGATCCTAGCCTATGCTGATGTGGAGGGTCTGGACGGACAGTATATCTGCAATCGTCTCAACAGCGATTTCTGCGACCAGCCTAAGACACGTCCTTTGGATGCATCCCAGTTCTTCCCTAAGCCCAAGCCAGCGCATGTGCAAGTCCCAAAGGCCAGCGGGAAGCGCGTCAAGGTGCTCCACATGTCGGACTTCCATCTCGATGCTCGATACGCGGTCAACTCGGAAGCCGACTGCTCAGCTGGTATGTGCTGCCGCAGTGACCAGCATCATGCTGGCTCCGAGGATCATGTTGTGTCTCCAGCTTCAGCGTATGGAGCCTTCAGGTGCGATACCCCGTACGACCTCGGACTAGCTGCGCTGCAGGCTGTGGGGCCTTTGACGGGCACTGGCAAGGGCTGTGATAATGAGTCTCTGGGGTGGACTCTCTACACCGGTGACTTGGTCTCTCATGACCACGAATCTCAGATGTCCCGGGAATATATTGAGTACACTGAGTCAAGCATGTTCCACATGTTCAAGGAATACCTCTCGGGGCCTGTTTTCGTGGCTCTGGGCAATCATGACTCCAGCCCCGAGAACATGGATTCCCCGCATACCCTTCCAGGACGTCTTGGGGAGCAGTCGTCTTGGAACTTTAGGCATCTAGCTGATCTGTGGCAACATGAGGGGTGGATCAGCAACAAAACAGCTGAGGAAGCGAGGGCGCATTATGGAGGATATTCGGTCAAATTGCATTATGGATTGCGAATTATTTCGTTCAACACTGGTATGTTTTCATTTTATTGATCTGGAGGGGTTAGGAGCTAATTGCTATCAAGACTTTTGGTACAAATCAAATCTCTTCAATATGATCAACACTACCAACCCCGACAATTCAGGTATCTTCTCCTGGATGGTGGAGGAGCTCCAAAAGGCTGAGGATACGAACGAACGCGTCTGGATTGTTGGCCATGTCCCTAGTGGCTGGGACGGTAGCAACCCAATCCCTGATCCAACAAATCTCTTCTACCAAATTGTGGACCGGTATTCACCCCATGTGATCGCCAACATCTTTTTTGGCCACAACCACGAGGATCAATTTATGGTATACTATGCCAATAATGGCACAATCCAGAACGCAAGCACGGCTCTTACTACTGGCTGGATCGGACCCAGTGTTACACCACTGACCAACATGAACAGTGGATTCCGACTATACGAGGTCGACACGGGAGACTTTAACGTCTACGAAGCATACACCTTCTTCAGTAATGTCTCCGAGTACGCTAATCTCCGTGAAACTGGACCGACGTTCCGCTTCGAATACTCCACTCGCGACACGTATGGCCCAGCCGCAGAGTGGGACAAGGATGCTCCCCTAAACGCGACTTTCTGGCACCGTGTTACCGAGGCTATGGAGAAGGACATAAGCCTTGTGACTCTGCAGACCTATTTGCAGGGCAGAATGAGTGTTAGGAGCCCAAAATGCGACACGGAGGCTTGTCAGAAAGCGAAGATCTGCTACATGCGGAGTGGCAGCGTCGCGCTGGGACGTCAGTGCCCACAGGGGTATGTCTACCTCTTCTATACAATTTATGCGCCACGCTTGCTAATATAGAATCATAGGTATGCATCTGTGCAGAGTGCTTTCACAGCGAAGTAGTTGCATAGTCCATTCCGGACTCTTGAGCTTATCCCATTCCCTAGTTTACTAGCATATCCGGGCATTACGCATTGATCTAGGCATTTATTTTCTTGCATATTTAACAGCGATACACATTTCCGCACACGCAAATAGCGAATATTCATCTATTGATTGCATCATGAAGGCGCTCATCCATTTGTGGTAGACTTCTTAAGCCAAAACCACGCCATTTTCCCAGCGTCAGCCCTAAACCCCAGGCCCTCCTATCAGCTTCCTTTCCGGCGCCCACTGACTACCGGTCCCAGTGTTGGAGAATAGCTAGCCCGGAGCATACTCTGCTCGCGGAGAACGCATGCTCCCCACATTCTACCCCAGTCTAAGCTGGCTATGTTGTGTCTCTAGGCATCTATCGAGATGTGGGATTGCCCTTGCCGTGGGATGTTACGAGAAGGAGAGACTTGTAGAAATAGTGTTCGTTCTGTATGTAGAACATCTTCCTGATCATTTTCTGAATTATTGTTCTTTTGTAAATTGACCCCGGTCCTTTCGGCATGAAGAACTCCACAGAAAAAAGAAGATCGTCTACAAACCCCTCCTATGAAAAGGAAGAATACGCTGCTCTAGAAACAGAGCTTCCTTCGGACAAAAACAACTGCGCTTGGGCGCGGATCATATAATATCGCTTCTATCGTCAATGCAGTTGTGGCGCCGTACATGCCTCATGCAACTAAAGGTAATCTCAGAGGAAAGGCTGCATTTCCAGGAGCTGGATTACCATTCTTCTTCTGATTTGGACATTCTACCGGTTACCTGAAACGAAAGGGCTCACCACGGAAACACTGGATCCTTTCTTTCACGAGAGGGTAACGAGGAGGAAGTTCAGGAATGAATAAAAGTGGTTCCAGTAGATAGAGATGCTTAGACTATGAAGGGAGTCCCAGGAGTTGGAAATAGCCTCTTCTTTCGAATTTAGCAGATAATGAGGTAAGAATTATGAAGAAAGGCTGGAATGAAGCGATGGAAATGATCTTTGCAGTCATGATCCACAAATCGGCCCTGTGGCCCAATAAGCGGATTCCATAACTCAGTTGGTTGGAGTGTGGTGCTAATAACGCCAAAGTCGAGGGTTAAATTACTTATACTCTTATTTTTTCTCAAAAATATATTTTAAATATAACCTATTGTCCCTGGATGGGACATGATACAAAATTCAAAATTCGTTTCCTCCTACCGCTTGTGTTTTATTCGAACCCCCCTACTCCATTAAATTAGTTACGGGGTTTCCTTCCGATGCCCGCACCGGAAAAGCTAGGTGCAGCCCCTCCTAAAAGTGTCCCCGACTATACTTGATTACGGGAGTGCGGGACGAGGAGCTGTATGTACCCGCCCAATCCGTGTGGGGAACGCCACTGGTCCTTGGGTAAGCTCATCACCTCGTCGACACCAGTGCTCCTAGCCAGCGATTCATTTTGTCATTGACCAAGGAGGAGCCGCAGAGTTTTCCAGTCGTACCGTCTCAAACTGGATCACACCCCCTAGCCCGGTTGCTTGGTCCAGTGCCGCCGCTCCCGGGCGCGTCGATGCATGACGTAGCCGAAGGTCTCCCTGAGCCTTTCTATATCGTCATCATCCTCCTCCGGGTGATCCGCGACTTTTATAACCGCACCAAGGGCCTAGAGTACCTAAAGGTGTCTGCAATCTGCAACATCCCTGTCACACTCTCTCCTGACAACCTGCAAAATATCTAAACCGGCTGTCCGACACTTACCCCAGCGCAAGCTTCGTATTCGACCCTTCTCTCGCATTCTCTAACTCTGCAAACTGCGATCTACAACACTTCCCCGCTGTCTAGGCAAGCTCCATCTCGAAACTCACAATGGGTCTGCGTGGTTTTCAGTTGGGCCTCCGTGCGTGGGAGGTACGTGTCACATTGAAGCCTGGAGAAGCTGTTGCGCGACTCTGCCTTTACTAACTCTTAAGCTTTGGCGTGCAGTTCGTATGGACTCTCCTCATTATGGCCCTCATTGGTAACATGATTGCCAGTGCATTCGCGGGCAACCCGGCCACGGTCAACTACTCGATGTTTGTCGCGGCGTTCTCTATGTTCACACTATTCTATCTGGTTCCGGCCTCGTTCAACTCGGACTGGGCCCTGCACCCGATGATCATGATCGTGGTCGACGCGCTCAACTGCGTGTTCTTCTTCTGCGCGGCCATCGCCCTCGCCGCGAAGCTGACGTGCCACTCTTGCAACAACCGGGTATGTTGGTCGCCAGTCTAGATTTTCACCTACTGGTGCAGAATGTGTGCTAATGAACCCAGGGCTATCTGCGGAGCAACGAGATCACCAACGGCGCCCACAACATGGAGAAGCGTTGCCGTGAGGCTCAAGCGTCTGTGGCCTTCCTGTGGTTCGGCTGGGCGGCTTATATGGCATCTGTCATCATCTCCATCTTCATGGCCCGGTCGGCTACTGTCAGCGTGCGTGGCCGCACCGGTAGCGGCCGTCGACGCCCCAACATGGCCCAGGTCTAAGCTGCTCGAACAAGACCTGGCCTGTTTGGGGACTGGCCCTTAGGAGCTGCTTGGGATGAGCCTTGAATACGCGGCCTATGGAACTTTTCCCCGGGCTTCGTCGATCTTTATGGTCTCAAGGGCTCATGGGCTCTCTTGCTTCTGCAATGGTGCGATACTATCACCGCTGGCCATGAACCATTGGTGCTGGGGGGCCTTGTGATTTGCAACGACGTTGACGGTAATGGGCTGTTGAACGATTGTATGACTTGACGATCCGGTCGGATGAGAACCATGCGGTCATTTCCTCCTGTTTTCATCTCCTGTCTGGATGAATTGAAACGGAAAGTGGGAAAACGGCTACTTATTTTCTTCATTATGTGCGACAGGGCGCAACTTCCGATAATTTCTGGGTGCTACTATAATGTCATAATAATATTGGTCAAATTTGGAGTTTTGGTACCGAATGTACGGGCAATGTCAAGGCGTTCAAACTCATCTTTCCTTCGACCTTTGTAGATTTGTATTTGTGGAGCGCCAGTTCGATGTTCCAACACAAGCTGCATGACTCTCGGTCAGTCATATACATAGTTAGCCTGACGTACCAAGGAGATGCTCGCCGACCTCAGGAGTTAACATGTTCGTACATAAATCAGAATTAAACCATTCTCGTTCTTGTTCTCATGTGCCATTTCTGATTCAATTTCCATACAAGACATCAACCGGGATGGGAAAGCATCTCGCGTGACTCACAATTGCTGGCTTTGGACGAGCCATGGTGTGGCAGCCTTGGCTCCATCCGTGTGCAGGGAACAGAGACACCCTCCTAATCCATTGAATCTCCAGGCCCCTTCTTCAGTTCCTTTACATACTCGGCACCTTTCGAACCGGTTTCCAGTTGGTAAGGTTGTGTGAAGCTAGGGCTCTGTAGCGGGGCACCTCTCCTCTGCTCCACCTAAAGAATTTCTCCAGAGCTCGGGTCCGGCACGGCCTTGACAGCACCAACCCCCCGTTTCTCCAACCCCTTCTCCTCCCACACCCCATCACAATGCCCATCAGGTGAGACGGCGAACTGATGCTGGAGATGACCTAGGTCCGCTAACACCTCCAGCTACCTAATCCTCTTGTCCCGGCAGGGCAAAGTGGTGCGTCGCCCTCGTCACCCACCCCGTTTCGCCGGCGTGCTTGAGTTTCCCCCCGACTGACACAATTTTCCTTCTCGCAGCGACTCGCCAAGTGGTTCACCACTCTCTCTCCCAAGGAGAAGGCCAAGATCATCAAGGATGTGACCCAGCTAGTGCTATCCCGCCGGACGCGGATGTGCAATTTCCTCGAATACAAAGGTGGCTTCTTCTCCGCAACCCCGACACCGCCGCAACCCTACTGACGACGGTGTGACTACAGACTCCAAGGTTGTCTATCGCCGCTATGCCTCCCTCTTCTTCATCGCCGGCTGCGCCTCGACGGACAATGAATTGATCACGCTCGAGGTCGTCCACCGCTACGTCGAGCAGATGGACAAGTACTACGGCAACGTGTGTGAGCTGGATATCATCTTCAATTTCCAGAAGGCATATTTCATATTGGACGAGCTATTATTAGCGGGTGAGATGCAGGAAAGCAGCAAGAAGAACGTGCTCCGTTGCATCAGCCAGCAGGATAGCCTGGAAGACATGGAGGTGAGTCCGACCATGGTTTCTCCCCGCTGCCCTGTCTCTCCTGAGAGAATCCCTTGCCATACGTGCAACCGCGTGTCCCTGGCAGGTGGGATCCTCTTTCCCTGTCTATCCATACCTTCTCTCTCTCCCCTTTCTTTTCTCTCCTTTCTCTCCCAGGCGCAATCGGGCTAATGCTCTCTGCCCCAGGTTGAGGAAGATGTGGTCACCAAGATCATGTAGCGACCGGGACTTGGGAATCTTCGCTTTTTGCTTTCTTTTTATTTTGTTTGTGTTTGCAGGCGTAGCGTGTTTCTCTCTACCTTCCATACTAATCAATACCACTGCCCTTCAGGACTCAGACGATGTGTCGCGCAACTTGGACCGGGTTGGGCTGTGAGGGCCGTGAGCGGAAGCTGGACCCATGGAACCTGCCCACGCCTGGTCTGCCAGTCACACCACGCAATCCACCCAGTCCAGTCCACTCCCCAGGCGGAAAGACTGCCAACAAGACGACTGGGTAACCAGAATGCTGGCCCGCCCGTGAGGTCAGTGCGGGCTCTCACTGGCCGGGGCCCCGCACGTGACCCTCAGTCGCACCCCCCGGCTCCTCCCCCCCTCCCCCATCTGGTCGATCGGATGTCAATTTCCTCTCGTTCTTTCTTGTCGCACCATCTTACTGCTTTTTTGTCTCTGATATAAAGCCATCCCCTGGTCTCCCCTGGTTTGCACGGTGTAGCTGGGACTCGTTTCCCCTTATCTGTCCTGCTTGCGGTTATCGCCGATCGGCGACATCACCTCCGTCTCCGGCGCGAACACCTCGCGTCCATCATCCACCGCTTCAACCTCAACCCAGCGACCGTCTTCTCTCTCGATCACTCGACCTGCAGAGCGCTCTGAGTCTCACTGTGATTCCAATAGTCTGATTCTCGACCCGTCACGGCGCCTCCGCTAGAATGAAGGTTGGTCCCTGTCCCCCCCCTTGGTCGCTATGGCGATCAGCCCCAGATTCAGTCGCTCCGATCGCGGTACTTATCTCCTATCTCTTCTCGCTGTTTAGTTCCTGCCTCTTCCAGAGTTTGAGGATGTCACGAGCTCGTTGAACTTCGATTCGGCCGATTGTCATATCGTAGGTGGATGCGATCTGTACACAACCAAGGCCGCCCGATCCGACCGGAAACTCTACAACCACATCGAACAGTCGCTGGAAGCCCAATACGAATCGATCCTCCGCTTCTCTGCGTCCCTCTCTCCCACCCAACGCTCACGATGCGGCCGAGACTCTGAACCTGTCGAGATCAAGTCCATTTGGCCCCCTGAGCGAGCATTCCAGTCGGCGTACCTTTGCTTATCTCATCGCAACGCTCAATGCCAGCCATCCAGACTACGACTTCTCACATGTCCTGCGACCCACTGATTTCCACCGTGAGCGGCATATGAAGCGCGTGATGAATACGGTCAACTCGACACTGTTCAACCTGCGTCCTCGCGAATCAATTGATCTCTCCCCGTCATCACCTGCCACTCTCTCCGGATCGTACAATACCGGTGCTCCTGCCTGGGGCCCCCGAATGTGGCGGATCATGGATGAGCACATGTCGCTGAAGGAGTGCGCGATCTACTCGTACTCCCCGGAGGAGGACCCGTCCGACGCCGATGACGGAGCGATCTGGAGCCTCCACTACTTCTTCTTCAACCCGCTGCGAAAACGTGTCTGTTATCTCTATCTGCGCGCAATCCCCATTCTCAGCCACACACCGCCCGACGATAACGATAACCTCTCCACATCGACAGGCAAGCGGACCTTCGACGACGGCTATTTGACGCCCGACTTGAGCTCAAGCAAGCGAGCCCGGTACTGGCTCGGGAGTCGGGCGGAGACCTCGCTGCATCATGCCGAGAGTGTGGATGATGACGACCAGTACATGCTCAGCGACGAGGAATCCCGCTCGCGCAGAGGTAGTAAAGGTATGGTCCGGGCGATGAGTGAGGAGCTTGTGGATACTATGGAGATTTGAGCCGCGCGACTCTTCCAGGTTTTTGCTTTCTCGATTGTGTTTAATTTGAGGGTACCGTTGATCGGTGATTTTGACTTTCTTATCGTTATTCCTGTTTTTAGCTAGGGGCGTTCGGTTATGGTATTTGATGGGCTTGTGGAGCAATTCAACCTGCATTATTTCATTTCTGCCCCAAGGGGCGTTACGTTGGGGTGGATGAACAAGACTGACATGAACCACCTCCTGATTCTGATATCGAGATCTCTCCGTTCTGCTTCTGTCAATACTTTTTAATGATATATCTGGTTTATCCGACTTTTGTGACTTTATCTCACTTGTCCTTTTTCTCTTTCTTTCCTTGTGGTCTCTGGTGTCGCTGCGCTCTTGACAACAGCAGAATACACTGTTTCTCCGGCTAACGGCCGTGTAGGGAGAGTGCCCAGTCCAGTCAATAGAACGAAAGAAACGAAGACCACTTGAGTTAAATATGTAGTGTGCTAGCCCTCCTCAGGGTGGTCGATGTCATGCCTGCTGTATACATCGGCGGTGGCCCGTGCGCCCCAATGGGGAAAGCTGTCCATTCTCGGCCCTCCTCCACTTCGACAACTACTCTACGCCCATTGACTCCCTCTGAATCCTCCATAATGGCTGACGAGGAGGAGCGCATCAAGGCTGAGAAGCTGGCAGCCGCAAAGAAAAGGGTACGTTCCCACATCTGGCGCTCTTGCATTCCCTAATAAGTCTCGTGTTGTGCAGGTGGCCCAGCTCCAGAAGCAAAAGAAGAAGGCCAACAAGAAGCCTTCGACTTCTACAGATACACCAAAGGACGCCGAGGCTTCCCAGAATTCAGAAACGGCGGAAGATCCCACAACTGCCACGGAGACCATCCCTCCAGCTGACGGCCCCGCCGAAGAGAAGCCACACGACGATGATACACCCCCGGACACCGCGACCCCGGAACAACCGGCAGAACCAGAATCGCAAGAAAAGCCCAATGAATCGTCTGAACCTATCGAGTCACCCGTCGAACCTATGCCCCCAGCCCCCACCTCCCCTGACCCAGAGACTGCGCCGCAGGCTGCACGTCTGGATACCCCTCGCGCCGGGCACGTCCGCCAGCCGTCCCTGTCGATCCAGTCAAAGATGCGCTCGTCGTCGTTCCGCAAAACATCCGTATCCCAAGGCAGCGCACCACCCCCAGCGACTCTCAAGTCCCCACCGCAGTCTCTACCGCCCCTGACCGGGGACGGAGAGTCGGTGCACGAAGTGTTCCGGAAGCAGTCGACAAAGATCGAGGACCTAGAGAAGGACAACAAACGCCTGGAGAAAGAGCTGTCGGAGGCGACGGCTCGCTGGCGCAAGACTGAGGATCAGTTGGAGGATTTGCGGGAGGCTAGCGTGGATGGTGCGGAGTTGAGGGAGCAATTGAAGCAGGCTGAGCAGAAGGCGGCGAGCATTGAGTCTCTGGTATGGTTTATTGCAGCTGCACGGCCAGCGTCTTTTGAACTGACGTATATGGCAGAAAGAGGAAATTGCCTCGTTACAACGGCAGAACTCACAGCTCCAGTCCCGGTCACACCGAAACAATGCTAGCGTTTCTGTACCAGGGCCATCGGAATCGCCGCCAGCTGATCTTGTGCGCCAGTTAGAATCCAAGTCCGCCACTATCGAGGCGATGGAACTAGAGATCTCTAACTTGCGCGCACAAGTTAAATCGCAGACGTCCTCGAATAGCGCGCACGAGACCCAGCTTGCTGCCCTAGAAGACAAAGCACTACAGAGCCAGGTTGCACTGGAGAAGGCCCAGCGTGAACTAAACGACACAAAGCAAGCGTTGACCCGTGCCTCTGAGAGAGCTGTCAAGGAAGGTGTGGACAAGACATCCACCGAAACCCTGATCAAGACACTGCAGCGCGAGATTGAAGAGCTCAAAAATGAAAAGAGCGAGGGAGAAAAGAAGATCGAAACCCTGGACAAGAAACTCCAGGCCCTGGGCAATCTGCACAAAGAATCAGAGACCCGACATCAGACCCGGCTTCGCGAGAGCGAGAAATCCGAAAAGGAGACCGCCGTCCTACGAAAGAAGCTCGCCAGCATCGAGAATGAGAACCTCCGCCTCCGCGAAGAGCGCGATCGTGTGCGCAAACGTGATGCCGGTGGCGCAGACGACGAGGCCCTCGACGAGCTCGAAGACGAAGAGCGACAGCGCCTCGAGCGTCGTATCCGGGAGCTCGAGGGCGAAAACTTTGATCTGCGCCGCGGCGTCTGGCAGGAGAAGCGCTCAGAACTGGCTGGCCAGCAGCATCTGGCCGAGGGGGCTGACTCTGTAGGTGATTCTGCGGCGAACGCATTCGATGACGTCGATCTCGTCGGCGGCCGCCCTGACCACGCCCGCCGTCGTAGCATGGCCCTGCAGCAGCAGCACTCGTCGTTCTCGGATGTGTTGTCTAGCGGCTTCGCCGCTTTCACGGGCGGCGCCAACCGCTCGCGTGCTGGCTCGTCGAACCCCCCGCACCCTCACCCCCCTGCGGCCCGTGGTAGTCTTGAACTCCTGTCCGAAGAGAACCTGGAAGATGAGTTCGACGAGGCGGAGTTTGCGCGTGCCCAGGCGGAGGAGGAGGCCCGGAAGCGGGTTGAGTGGGTGCGCGATATCAAGCGCAAGCTCCGGGATTGGCAGGGCTGGCGCTTGGATCTGGTTGATAGCCGGGCTGGGGCTGAAGGGCCTGGTTTGGCTTTGGGGCAGATCTTTGAGGTTTGAGGCTTGGAGGTATGGTTCTTGCTTTGCACGCTGCAGACGTATCTTCCGATCTATCTTGAGCATGAGGACTGGATTGACGGGGTGAAGGCGCATCTATATTTTATATACCACGATTTTGTCAACAATACAGCCATTTCATATTTACTTCATGATATCGAGGCGTGTCTGTCTATTGCCATTCACATGGCTCGAAGCATAAGACATGATGAAGCAATACTTCCATTGCAGCCCATAGGTAGTACGATGGAAGCAGCCCCTGGAAAACGCAAAAACCAAAATCCCGAAAACAAGAGTCAATGCAATGAATTCCTTTACTCAGTATAATGCAACATGAAAAGCAACATGAAAACAGACAACTAACTGTAACAACACAAAAACTCCAATCAATCCGTATAGTGCTTGCCCGTCAACACACCCTCGCTTTGCCTACGCCTCTTCACCACAAACTCACCCACCCACCCCGAAATCTGGTATATCCAACCCCCGGTAACAAGCACACCCGATACGGTATTAATCATCCGAATCATCAGGTTCAAGAATCCTGTCCGCTCCTCGCTGACCAGCAACAACATCGGCTCAATGTTGTACTTGAAGAAGATCCCCGGGATAAGGTACGGTGTCTCGGGGATCGGGCCCGATTGGCTGGTAGCCGCGTACTGGTTTGTGAAGATTGCGTTGCGATTGTAGCGCGCCGTGCTGGCGGAGGGGTTGCGAGTGTACGCGTCGAAGGCGGAACGACCTTTTGTATAGAGGGTTGGCACGACTGAGAGGAAGTATTGGAATTTGTGGTAGTGGTTGGGGCTCTCGGCCATGGTCTTGTCGAGGGGGTTGAGCAGGCTGGGATAGTGTGGACCGAAGGAGAGTTCGGTGATCATGTGGGAGAAGTTGAATGCTGTTGGGATGGGTTGTTAGCAGAATGTCGCGCTAGGAGAAATATCAATAGATCCGAGGAGACAATCGGACCAAATCAGAGCGACGAAAAGCCTCCAAGGCAGGCGAAGAAGCAGGAAACTCACACTCATGCGACAAATGCTCCCCGAGCTCCCGGTACCCATGCCCGCGTGCTGTGATATGGAAATCCCCCTGGACCTTATTCCCCTCCAGGCTCCCATAAATCCGGCAAGCATCCGCCTTCTCGCCCCAGCGCTTGCGCGGGCCCTTCGCGAACTTGCGTCTGGGGTTGCGCCGCACCTCGCCCATGACGTGGTGCACATGCGCGTCCTCCTCCTGCGCGCTCAGCCGGTCCGCCTCTTCGTGGCTGAGCGTCTGGTACTCGTGCGAGCCGTAGTTGCGCTTCTGCATCCACAGGGCCCAGGAGGTTTCTTCGCGCTGAAGCAGTTCGCCAGCGAGAATGCGGTCGCCCGCGGCATCTTGGATGTTGACGCGGAGCGTGTCGCAGGGCATGTGGACAACGATGTCGAGGTTGAGCTGGAGGTCGTGCGAGACCCCCTTCTCTACGCTGAAGTGGTGCTGCTCTGTTCCACGCCACCATGTTTTGAGCTCAGTGAAGCTGAAGAGGGTGCAAATGACGAGGATGAGCACAGTCCATTGGCCACCGCGGGTGGTGGGTGTTGTATAGGAGGCTTTGGTTTTAGCTGGTCCAAAGTGTCATTGTTAGCAAAGATGCCCTTTTTGGATGCATCGGTGGTACTCGGAGTGTAAGAGTATGCGATGTGTGGTTCCTGGCGGTTCCTGGCAAGGGACTTGCTATGAACTCACGGAAAGCGTCAAAGGTCTTCAGACCTGACAGGCTGCCCTTGTCCCCAAAGGCATCCTCATCGAGGCCTTTAGTGTCAAAGCCATTCATTGCGAATTTGCGGGCTTGACAGCGACATCAAGCGAAGCAAACGTCGCCAATGGCAGAAAGTTGGGGGAGAAGCTTGGGGAGTGGAGTAAAGTTAGATAAGGCGATGAGGCCAAGTAGCCCGATTGCCGCGATCCACCAGTTGGCGACCGGCCCCCATGGGACTCAAAGCAATAAAGCAACATTGACTGTCATGTCACTCCTACCGAGACGGAGCACTCTGGAATAAATCATTTATTGTCTACAGCTTCGGGAATGCAGATCGATGGAAAGTCTTTCAATAACAAATGCAAGCTTAATTGCCAATTCCGAATGCTTTACATGAGCGCCCACATCATCATGAAGCATGAAGCGAAGCTCTCGAGGAGAGATGCAAGGAGATAAAAGAGAAAATGTACAAATAGCAGGACCGAAACGGGCCCTGATGGGGGGGAGTCGTCATACAGCAAGAAAAGCGAACGCGGGAAGACGAAGAACATGTACGCAATACCCTTTCACAAATAATCATATCAGGGCGCAGATGCAAATGCTGTCAACGAACATAACGGTATAGGATGGATGCCGTCCTTTGTCATTTCCGTGGGTTCATTGAACCAGTTCAACATAAGCTGACATGACATAGCATCTGATGCATGAGAAGAAAACAAGCCAAACAGGAAGCAAAAGGAATTATGATTACAGGGCAAGGGGAATGAGCAATGGGAAGGGGAATTAGGAAATGATGGAACGGGATGGGGAAAGACCGCCTTATTTGCTCCTCTGTTGCTGGTCAGCGTTTTTTGTTGGATTCGTGCTGGCGTGGTTGGCAGCATCTTCAACTCACCAGGCTGGTCGCAGCCGCCGCTGTGGCGAGGTCTGGCTTTCCACTGATGCTGCGTGCCGAGGCACGAGGCAGACCGGTTCCTGAGGTAGTGGAAGTGTGAGACCCTCGCTTGGCGGGGCTGGACGGCGGCAGGCCTGTGACCGTTGAATGGCGTTTTCCGCCGGCGCCCTTAACCGGGGAAGTGCCGGAAACATCACGAGTGCGGGCGCTCTTCACGGTACTGCCAGGGGGCTCGGGAAGGGGGCGCGCGTTGGATGTCGTAGTGCTTCGCTTCGAAGGAGAGGCAGCACTAGCATACATCCGAGGCCGAGTAGCCAACTTGACACCAGTGATGAACTCGTGTTTCAGGGCGTCATGGGGGCCCATCCGACGAGCAGGGTCCCAGCGGAGACAGCGTGTGATGAAGTCTAGGAAGGCGTCATCGTCACACTTCAAGACCTGCCGAAGCTCCTTGGAGCTCGGACGGCGGCGACGACCTTTGGAGGAAACGGTCAGGCGTGGTTTTCCGAGGGAATCGAAAAACAGCTTCTTGCGAGTGCTCTTTTCGATCAGATGCTTCTCCGGTGGACCAAATACTTCCATGATACAAGCCAGTTGCTCCTGTTCGTTCTCACCCGGGAAGATGGGATAGCCGGTGAGCAATTCGGCCAGGATACACCCCAAACTCCACATGTCGATGGGCATGCCGTACGACATTCCAAGGATGACTTCAGGAGAGCGATAGAAACGACTCTGGATGTAGGTATAGACCTTCTCGTTTTCGAAGCAGCTTGATCCGAAGTCGATCACTCGGATCTCGGAGTTCAGTGGGTGAACGAGTAGAATGTTCTCGGGCTTCAGATCGCAGTGAATGACCTTCTTGGCATGCAAAAGCACCAGACTGCTGAGCATCTGCTTAGTGAAGCGGCGAATGAGCTTGAGAGAAAAGCCGCGGAAGTCATGCGCCTTGATAAATTCGTAGAGATTCATGCCCAGAAGTTCGGTTGAGATGCAGAGATGGCCGCGGAAGTAGAAGCTTTGGTCGAAAGCAACCACGCTGTATCGGCGCTCCGAATCCCAATCCTTCAGCTTCTTGAGGAGATTGACTTCGATGAGGGCCTGCTGATGGAATCGCTTCTTGTTGCGAATGATCTTAACTGCGACCAGAGCACCAGTCTTGTGGTCAACACATCGCACGACCTGCCCGAAGCTTCCCTTGCCCAAAACATCCACAACCTCGTAGCGGTAGGCGAGGTGGTCACCGATCACAATGTTATAGTCTCCACGATCATCATCATAGCCAAAGTTTGCAGCGCCCGAGTGCAAATCTCCAATGTGCTTTTTCGCGTTCTGGGTGCCACAGAAAAAGATGTCGCGGTAGTCAATGATCTCGCCACGCTCAAAGATGTTCAAGTTTGCCATCTTGAGGGCCTGAGCGGGACTGACGCGATCCTTCGGTCCTGCCTTGCGACGCAATTCGTCCAGTTGCTTGGCTGCAGTTTCAAAGTCCTTCCGTTTTGAGCCCAAGCGTCTCATCTCCTCATCCGCAATCACGGTATCCGCATCAACACTGGCGTCAGCTGACCGAGAAGAAGCGGCCGCGCTGGATCGAGCGGTGCTGATTATCTTGTGAACAGGGGATACATAGTTGCCAGCGGCACGATTATGAGAATGATCGCTGCCCGTAGGCTCATTCGTAGTAGCGTGCTCAAGGGTAAGGCTCCGATCACTGCTGACACTGGGTTTCCGTGGAGCAGATAGTTTCGTGATACTGGACACGGACGACTGGCGCCGGGGCTTGAGATAGGAAGATTTCGTCACAGGGCTGGTGGATGTCATGGAAGACAGACTGTTCCATGTTGCAGAAGCAGGAAGTTTTGGTGGCGGCATGCTGTTATACTTGGATGGATCGGCATCAACTATAGAGGAATGCTTCGTCTTGGAGTTGCTGCGGATGCGAGCTACATTCAACCGGTCTTTCAGGGTGGAAACAGGCACCGCAGTGGTGCTTTCAGGCTCAGATGGCGTCGAGATCTGGCTGAGTCTTTCAGCAGCTGGCGTGAAGATGGCGCTCTGTGTCTGAGGCCGGGGGCCGGTGAGTTTGTAGGACTGAGAGACTCGGTTGGAGTAATCACCGCTGGCCTGATGGCGAAGAGCGTTAAACTCCGAGCTGGACTTCGGCAGGGTGTACGACGCATACGGCGAGATGTTGCGGTTGCCGTTTGGCGTATCCAGAGAGCCCCAGGCACTCGTGCTGCTGGCCGCGCGCAGCGTGGCCGTGGAGGTGGAACTGAGTGCAAAATGTGATGTGCTGCTCCGGATCTGAGTAGCAGGTTCCTTGTCATCCTCATCACGATACCAGAAGTTTGCCTTTGATGCGGTCATGGGTGTGCTAGGTGTTTTTGACATGACCTGGTTGGAAGGCGTGTGAGCCTTTCTTTCTTCCGCTTCTCTGTCTTTTAACGCCTCAATCTTTGTCGTCATTGGAGTTCCCAGAGGGAGCAAGTTCAAAGGTGGTAGCTTTAACGGCTGCAGGCCCTTACGGCCCAACACAGTAGAAGTCCGCGTCCGCGACTCTGGCGTTTTTGTAACGCGACCAGCGGTGATGTCAGCATTATCATCCCTGGTGACACCGAGGCCGCCAAGGGCATCTGAGTCTGAATCTCGCGCAATGTTGAGAAGACTGATGTCGACAGGCAAGCTTGACTTCCTTGGCGCAGGGAAAACAGGCGGATCCAGCTCACCTTTGGGAGATTCCCATGCCTTGGGGATTGCCGGGACTGGTGGAACCTCTTCCCCGGGCTCCTTCGATGTATGCTCCGTGCGCGGTTTGGGCGTAGGCAAGCGGGATGATGAGAAGTTCTGAGAAAGGCGTGGTTGGAGTGAACTTCCCGAGTGTCGCACCGAATTATAGCTAGTGTTCGATGACAATGATAGCCCAGAGCTGTACGACTTGCGATTCGGATCGGGAGTTGTTCGGGTAGAGGAAGGGGTGACGCTTTTCCTTGGGAGAAATGATGGGGACTGGTTCGTGGACAATGGTCGACTGGGAAGAGGCTCTGTAGGAGTGGGAGGGGTGTGAGGCATAGGTGGTGCAGGAGGCGCAATTGACATCCGCTTCATGCGGCGTGCATCTGTAGGGCTGATGGTGCGGGCGCCCAAGCCGGTCGCGTGGGGCATGACAGACATTCGCTTGGATGATGAGGAAGGTGTCAGGCTCGCGGCCGCAGGGGCGTTCTTAACCGGCGTACGAACCGCATTGGTCGAAGAAGAGCGTGTATGGTCGGTTGTCCCGGCCGCAGTCAAAAATGTACTTCGTGGCTCGCGTGGAGACGGCTGGAAAGACTTTGCCTTGAGGCTTCGGAGAGAAGACGGAACTTTCGTTTCATCTGGATCTTGCTCCGGTTGTTGAGCTCTTGGGCGGAGGAGATTGTTCGCATCCAGTCGTGTCGTGTCGGTACTGACTTTGCGAGCGCTCAGGCTAGCACGCCTCGCAGAAGCATTCGTAGGACCAAATGCCCCTGAGCTGATAGACTTCCGTGAAGCTCGCGCACTCGCGCCGGCTACGCCGGGTACGCTGGGGTTTTGGGCGAAACTTTGGCGGCGAGCACCGGAGTTGGCAGAGGTTATTGATAGCCCCGAGGTCGTAGGGTTCTGGCCATTTAAGCGGTGGACTTCGCTCTTTCGGCGAGATGAAGCGCCCCTTGTCCGCTCCGAGATATTGCTCTCGTAACTATGATTCGTCCAGGAGCTGTTTGTCGACAAACCAGAGTTCCGATTTTCAGACCCCGCACCACCATTGCCAGGCATAGGAAAATGATTTAGACTGGGCTCGGCCATGATGCTATTGTGAAAATCGTCAAAGTTGATTGGTGCCAGAAATTCCATGCCCTCCGGAGGGGCTTGGGTTGGGCTGGGTTCAGCTTTCGACAAGTTTCCCACACTTGTAGATCGGAGATTATAACCCAACGTCGGATCGTTCGTCGAGTCGATTGAGGAATTTTCGGAGTGAAAATAGGTGCCGGAGGGTTTGCTAGAAGCCAATGACGGTTAGATTTTTGTGACCGTTGTTATGCCCAACCCGAGTCTAAAGCGGGCGAAACAGGGGGAGGGGGGGTTGTTGCAGACGAGGCCTACCTCCAGCGCGAAGCATCTTGTGGTCGTGGCCCCTGAGGAGCCTTTGAACCTCTAATTGACAGTCTCCTCCTACTCATTTCCCCTGAGCGCGGGCCTGCTACGCCCCTCGAAGGCTGCGAATCGAAATTGGTCGAGGTATTCATGTGGAAGGTGGTTGAGGCGGCTTTCTGGAGACGCCTGCGAGCCGGTGTCTCTGCTGTTAGGGACTCCGTTAGCTTCATGCTCACTCCGCGCGGAGAAGTGATGCCTTACCTCCGGAGCCCGAGTCGTCGTTTCTCGACAGGTTGGACCCTTGGGATTGGGTGGTCCCCGTTGGACACCTCCCCGGGGCCTGCGACGACATGGTCGGCATTGTTCCAAAACCCACTCGGCCTGTAGAACAGCCAGAATCGCGTCAAATTGACAGCCTGCTTTGCGGACGGAACCCAGACGTGCTAGGGTCCGACGGCAATGGCATTCAGGAGAAGCGGGCCTCTTCGATCTAAAAAAGGAAGAGCCCTGAGCACTGTCGCGCGACCCGTCGATAGATAGTTACCGGTCCATTTCGAGCACAAGGCGAGAGAAATGGCCGTTCTGCGGTGCCAGGGAGAGTGTTGGTGGGCTGTTTAATTTTGCTTGGGCTCCAGCACTGGGAAATAATTTTGGCGTAGCTTTTCCAGTCGTGTTGCTGGGGCAAGAGCACAAGGCGGTCGCAATGGATGCTATGAGGATCCACCAGCAACAAAGCACCAACAAAGGGAACAGCACATCAGATCCTGCAAAGACGTGGAAGGGGGATGGATGAGGAATCCCAGTAAAGTCACAGAGACAAGGAAAAGAGGAAAAGCGTAAACATCCTGCAGCTCCTCCTCGAGGTTCCCCTGATTGCGAACTGCAGTACCGTACCGGCGTGACCAACGTTACCCGCCAGAACGGTTCCGCCGCCGCCGATCTGACCGTACGCGGTACCGCCAACCCCAGAAAAGTGCCCATGCCCAAATCAGCAGGCATCGACAGCGCATGTGCTTTTGCTGGGCTTGTTGCCGATATCCCCTCTGCGACATCTCGTGCTTCCATATTCCTTTTTCCCTCTCTAAACACCTGCAGGCCATGTTGGCTCTTTCCCAGCATGGAAGAGTACAATCCAGATGCCCTGGTAGATCGCGACCAGCCTGTGCCGATGCTGAACATGAAGAAGCCGAGGCGTCATAGGAACGGCTCTCCAGATAGTGCGCACTCGCGGTCATCGTCGCAGTCGAAAAATTCCATCCAGGAGAGATTATTCACGAAGTATGCTCTGCCCATTGTGGACGCTTGGAATACATCCTGCTCCTGTGCTGACGGTGGCAAACCCCAGGCTTCTACAGCAAGTCATCCCCGCCGACGATGACGAGGATGGAACGAATCCCGGGGACCAGGCCTTTGTGACGTCCCCAAAACGGCCGGCCTTCAGCCTGCCGACGATGTCGAATAACTTCCGCCGTTTTAATGCAAGGTGAGCAGGATGCCGAGGTATTGGTCGTCGAACTGTTCTAGGTGGGAACTGACGCTATCGTATAGAATTGGCGTGGTGTTTGTGTTCCAGACCCAAGTTGAACGTCTGCTCAGCTGGCAAACACCAACCCACACTATCTCATTTCTATTTGTGTATTCCTTCATCTGCTTAGATCCGCACCTGCTTTTGGTACTACCCCTAGTGGTTCTCCTCCTCTTCATCATGGTGCCGGCCTTTATTACTCGCCACCCTCCACCACCATCGACATCGACCTCCAGCATTATTCCGTATTATTCCTATGAGGGGCCGGCACTGGCACCGGCAAGGACGATCAAACCGGCCTCGGAGACCTCCAAGGATTTCTTCCGCAATATGCGGGACCTTCAGAACTGCATGGCAGATTTCTCCGATGTCCATGATGCTACCATCGCCGTCTTTGCTCCATTAACAAATTTTGCCAATGAAAAACTCTCATCAACCATTTTCCTGGCCTGTACAGTGGCTACAGCAGCGCTGTTTCTGATGGCACATCTTTTGCCTGTACGGTTGATCATGCTCGCCGGTGGGAACGTGGCGATCTTGTCGAGCAATCCCAAAGTACAATACTTTGTCAAAGGACTAATGGAGGATATTGAAGGGGGCCTGGCTGAATTGGACTCACCAACTGACGATGACGGGGGCAAGGATCTGTTCGGGGCCGCTGTTCCAAAGGATCCGTCCGCGGCCATGTCTGCAATGGAACAGTTGGCGGATATCTCACTTGACACCGACCCAGAAGAGCGTGAAGTTGAGATCTTTGAACTCCAGCATCGAGCACCCGGGAAATCAGAGTCAGGATGGGAGAGCTTTATCTTCAGCCCCCAACCCTACGACCCATTATCACCAGCGCGCATCGCAGGGGATCGACCCCGTGGATGCCGTTTCTTCGATGACGTTCAGTCTCCGTCTGGCTGGAGATGGAAGAGCAAGAAGTGGGAGCTTGATCTGGACTGTCGGGAGTGGGTGGTTGAGCGCATGATCACTGGAGTTGGGTTCGAGGTTCCAGGAATGAGCCCGGACGGCAGTGCAATCATTGATGAAGTAGGTGGCTGGGTCTGGGATTTGCCTTCTGACCCTCCCACCGTGCGAGAGGAGGAAGAGGAAATGACTACTATGGCCTACGGTGATCTGAAGGTGTCGAACTCTTCATCCAAGCCGAAGGGTGCTTCGCCACCAAAGGAGAAAAATCGGGCGAAGTCTGCTGGGGACTGGGAGGAAGCAGCTTCTGCTGCTTACGGGGTAGGAGAGTGGCGGCGTCGCCGGTGGGTGCGAATCGTGCAGCGCATGAACCTCCCACCAGCTGGCACCGTCACCTATTCGACCCTCGGCCACAATTGATTGTTCGGCCACCTGATGATACCAAGAATCCAATGATATTGCGGGGCCGCGATAGTTCTGATATTTGTTCAATTGGGAGCAACTATACACTGCTCGAATATCTTTCCCATGAATATAGATATGCGTAGGAAGGGGCACTTTTTAAACCATCACAGAAAGATTGGGAAATAAAAATCAAACGCCGAACTCGCCCCGACCGAATGCTCAAAAGAAACATGTTTAGCGGCATCACGCCTGGCCCTTTTGCCACTTGCTGATTCTCCTCCGAATATCGCCTTCGGTCTGCTGCATGGGGTTCAGCTTGCGGTCACGAACCATAGCCGCGATGTTGTCCCCGTGCTTCTCAATCAACCGTGAGATCCACTCGCCCTCGCGCGAGCTTTGATGCCGCGGCTTCTTGGCCTTTTCACCCTGTCCCTCCAGGTCTGCCTGGCGCTCCAGCTGCTGCACGATATGTGTGCTGGGTGCACCGGGGGTGGTAGTGTCCTCGTTGTCGGACAGGTCGTTCAGAGGGTCGTTGAGCGGGTTTGCACGCCGGCGCTTGCGCCCTGCAACTTCGATCTCGTCATCGTCGTGGATTACCCGCAGAATTTTGCCAGTCTCCGGGTCACGCTCAACCTTCGTCTCGCCCAGATCGATGTGGGCAGCGGCAACGGCGCTACCATTGATGTGGAGCGAGTTCGACTTCTCTGCGAGGTCGGTGCGCCCAGGGATTCGTTCATTCCCGCCGGTAGGGGCGTTGAGCTTGTGGAGTAGACCGAGCTTCTTGTAGTTTTGTGTAAGGGTCAAATCACGGTCCCTGGAGTAGAAAGCATGTTAGCGCATCAGGAACAACGTATTTTTCGAGGCGGTTTACGCATACCAGTTCTGGGCGATGATGGCGTTGCCTAGCACGTTGATTTTCTTGTTGCCGCTCTTGAGGCGGTTGTTCTTCGCCTTAGCCTTGGAGAGGCCGGAACGGTTCTTCTTTTTCTGCAAAATTTTGCCCATCTTTGCGACTGTTGTGGTGGATGGTCGTTCGGAGGAATCGTAGAATTATCAGCGTTATCGAAACTTTTTTAGTGTTTGCACTCCGACTGTGCTGGACCTTGGCGTGTTTGTTCCAGGGTCCACCGATAAAGTGGCCCGACCGCGGCGATAAGCGATCCGCCCACGCGGGCTGTTTGTTCCCTTGCTGTCCCTTTACACACCTCATTTATTCTTCTCTAATGGCTTCGCGATTCATGCCCTCGCGCCGCACGGGCTTTGCGCTCGTTGCTGGATGTCTCTTGTTCTCGGCGCTTGCCGCTGCTACTCACCCGGGCGCATTGTCTGTGGGTGAGATCGAGGAGCAATTGCAGGTAATTCACCACAAGCTGCGGTTGAGCTGAGCTTATAGACCTTAATTCAGCCTCCGTAGCAGCTGTTGACACCTTGTCCTAGAATTGCCCACTTGTTGAAGCTCTCAATGAGCAGAAACGAGCTGCTGCGCCAGAGACTGCGAGTTTGACCTCGAAGATCTTCGCTGTTCTCTTCCCCGGAAGCCCGGCCGTGAACTCCCTCCTGGCCACGTTGTATATTTCCGGTCCTCCCAGTTTGTCCAACCTTGCCCGTTTCTGAAGACAGGGATTTCCGTCTGACAAAGACTGTAGACTTCCTCTTGGCATTATGCCCTCCCAACATCGACCCCTCATCCTTGTCCGTTATGGTCGCCTTCGCCGTTGGAGGCTTACTGGGTGACACGCTATTCCACCTCCTCCCGGAGATCTTCCTCGGTGAGGATTCCCCAGACCACGTGAGCTTTGTCATGGTTGAGCCAAACAAGAATCTTCTGCTTGGTCTGGGCATCATGGTTGGCTTCTTCACCTTTGTCGCGATGGACAAGGCCCTGCGCATCGCCACAGGCGGCGAAGGCGGCCACGACCACTCCCACAGCCACTCCCACGCAGAAGTGACTGCCGCATCGACCACGGGCTCCGAGGTGGATGGCAAGACTGGCAATGAGCTGAAAAAGCGCAAGTCAGGAAAGGCCGCGAAGGAGCCTTCCGAGGACTCGACGGCCGAGAAAGAGATCAACCCTAGCGTGAAGCTGGGTGGATACCTCAACCTCATTGCAGACTTCACGCACAACATCACCGACGGTCTGGCTCTGTCCTCGTCTTTCTATGCTTCGCCCACCATTGGCGCAACCACCACCGTCGCCGTGTTCTTCCATGAAATTCCACACGAAGTCGGTGACTTTGCCCTCCTCGTGCAGTCGGGCTTTTCCAAGCGCAAGGCCATGGGCGCGCAGTTTATCACAGCCGTTGGTGCGTTCTTGGGTACTTTCATTGGTATCGCTGTCCAGGAATTTGGGGGCAACAGCGCTACGTCGGAGGCTGGCCCAGGCGCTGGACTTTGGGGCACAAGCCTCCAGTGGGGTGATATGCTTCTCCCCTTCACTGCGGGAACTTTCCTCTATGTTGGTACAGTGGCTGTTATCCCCGAGCTGCTGGAGACAGGTAAAGACAAATGTGCCGAGGTGCGCAAGACCATCACCCAATTTTTGGCTATCGCTGTTGGCGCGGGGATCATGCTTGTGTGAGTATACCTTTCCAAGATCTCCCGTGCATGTTTGCTGACCATATTGACAGAATCTCTTGGGATTGAGAACATTAATGTATGTTGTCATTGGAGTTGACTACTCCACAGGCTCATTGATAGTCCATATATCTGTAGTATGTACTTCTAGCTCTTGTCATTAAACCTATAGAGCACGGGAGCAACCTCCCAACATCGCTAATTCGAGGTTAATCTACGAGAACGCACCCAATACACACTTCGAATACATGACCGTTCTTATTCGTATATCTAGCATCTCCAAGGTTCATCCCAACCAGACCTAACCGCAGACAACCTCTATTCAGGAACAAACCACCAGCATCAACTGGCTCACCTTAAAAAAGAATCTTGACGCCACATCGAAAAATAACCGCCGAGGCCATGTCTCAATGAAGCCCAGTACCATATTTGTCGTCGCATAAGAATGGACATTGAATTAAATTGTTCCTGGAACAAACATCTCCAAGTTGATACGCGGAAAGAGGAAGTAGAAAAGAAGATAAATCGACAAAAGTAAATAGGTGAATCCCACAAGAAAACAAAAACGCCAAGGAATGGGTTGTTTCGTGATGAAGGCACGTCGCCCTCCTTGCTAGCAAAGACGAAAGGGCGACGCGGATCGGGCGCACAGCGCACGACGCATGCATGTTGAATCGGTACTTCAGAATGGAACACGGGCAGACGCAGTTACTCGTTATAATGGTAGACCTGGGGTTAGATGTTAAAAGCGAGGATCTTCGACAGGAATGAAGGACAGGGACACTTGTCACTTACGAAATAATCTGGCAGCCCAAAGACTGCATACCCTAGCCGCTTGGCCATCTTCGCAAATCCTTCGGTCTCAACAAGGTGGTAGAACGGGAAGGCAGGGAACATGGCACCGTCACGGTGAACGTCGGCCTTGACCATGAGGGCTGTGCCGCCGACACCATCGAGAGCCACCATACGCTCCGGATCCAGGTCCTTCAAGTTAGCCAAGAAGGCCATGAGGGTGCGGTATGTAGGCAGCTCCGCATACCCCTCCAGCAAGATGTCGTCGGGTCCCATCTCCGCAGCCAGCCTCTGGGCATGTTCGCTATCGATCCATGAGTTGTAGTCGTAGGGACGAATGTCCCATTTCCTGGAATCCGAGTCGTAGTACCGCTGGTAGCAGTTCGGCACAATGACAGGCTGATCATGCCTCGTCAAATCCTGGATGAGAGACGAGGGTGTCTCGACGATGTCCCCATCTAGCCAGAGCACCCACGATGTACTCGGACCCATGGTGGTGAACACGAGACTGTTGCGGGCGCGGCTCATAGACTCGCGGCGCTCCTTCTGCGAGGACATCTTGTGCCGGACCTTCTCGTCCTGCGACTGGAGCGGCGGATCGAAGTCCTGACGCAGGATTGAAATGCTCGCGAAGCGGGTATCAATCGGGCCCGATTGCGTGCGGGCGATAGCTTTCTCCAGCGCCGCAACAGCTGCGTTTCCATCCTTGGATTTGGGTGCTATAAATCCCAGCGAGATCAACTCGTGCGGGTAGCTCAGCTTGACCAGGTTGTCCCAGTATTCTTGGTAGAAGCGGGCCAGCGGGGTGAGGATGAGGATTCGCTCGCGGTTGGCGATCGAGTCGCTCGTGCTGGTCAGATTGTTGAGGTTGTAGTGCACGACCGGCGGGGCTGCCTGGATGCCATCGCTGCGAACGGGCTGGGACTTGAGGAAGGGCTTGGTGGGAGGGGAGAGAGGGTGTTCAGCGGCGTCTTGCTGGCGCTGGTGCGATGAGACGGCGGAGGCGGAGGCGGAGGGCGATGAGGGCGATAGCATGAAAACGATGAAGCCGAAGGCCAGTAGCGCAGCCAAAACGAGGCTGACAGGACTCGTACGGCGCATCGAGCGTGCAACGGCCATGGCCGTTCGGCTTCCAATTGCGATATGGCCAAGTTGCAATTGGACAGTTGGAGAAAGGGTGTAGGAGCTCAGATCTGAAACGGCGATCAGCGCGTCTGTGGTGGCCTCAGGCAACTGAGGGTCTTAGCTCTCTGAAGATCACCTAGCACAATTGGCTGCTTCCTCGTCTATACCAGCGGCCTTGTCCGGACTCCGACGGCTGCTTTAAAGAACAAGGAGATGATGATGAGAAAATGAAGACAACCGTGTCTCTGTGTCGTTTTTTTTATTCTACAGGGCCGGAAAGAGAACTATTCCCCGACTACGCTTAACCTATACGACTCTAGAATTGGGGCCCTTTAGAAAGCAATCATCTCGAACACAATGAACCTGCCCAATTGCCGAATCGCACGGCACGTCTGGAGACTAACATCCTACGGTGCTATCGCGGGATGCCCGAAACAGCTGCCCGGGGGTCTCCTTTGGCCGAAAGCGGCCTGTTAATATTTCACATTCCTGAGCTGGGAAACCTCGGTGCTGGCCCCGAGCCGAGCATATCTACTGAATCACAGACAAAGAGGACGAAAGTTTGATCAAGAATGCATCTTTTCCACATGTTTGGTTTATTCTATGTTCATCCGGGAGGCGTCAGTCGTGTTTTATATGTATGTACAGGCCATTGGGTGTATATGCAGGTGGGAATTATTTGGTTTTCATGGCAAGGTGCGCATCACGCCCTCGAATGCAACCAACGCCATCGCATTCGCCGGGAACGCCCTGAGGAAACAGGGAACGAATCCCCGCCAGTACCCTCTCCACCCACGCTCCCGCCACACAGCCCTAGCAGCGTCTTTCCAGCCGCGGAACTGCCGCGGCCCATCATTGAGTGCGCCGCCCATTGGGTCTGTCATGAGGCGCTGCTTCACCACATCGGATGGGTACGAAGTAAGCCAGAAAATCTGGGCAGAGATACCGCCAGCCCAGAAATTGATCATAGGCGCGGACATGCTGGTGTTGTCTTTCATGTAGCGAGTGAGCAGGTCGTAGGAGCCCCACCAGAAGAAGAAAAAGGAGCGGAAGAAGATGGTAGCGCAAAGGCCGCGGTATAGGCCGCGGATGCCATGCGTGCCAAGCTGGATTGATGCGTTAGGAAGACGGTCGTATACACGGTATATGGCTTCATAAACTTACAATTTTGCGGAGACAATCGATTGGCCCGCTGTACATGCGCTTGGTTTTGTCCGCAGCGTATTGCACCTGCAACCGGGCCTTGACGTGCTCAACTGGAGCCGCAATAAAACTGACTGTCGTGCCCGCCATGATACCTGCAATACCATGACCGAATGACGGGAGTGTTCCGAGATCAGGCTGGCTGCGAGAGAAAGGAATCCAAGGGCGGATATCGGGCCTAGAGAAGACATTCTCCAACAGCAACCGTCGGTATAGTGTCAACGATCCCAACATCCTGGTCCACAGAGTGATGGTCAGCCTCCGATCTCTCGCATATTCTTCATGTGGATGTAGAAAGGAAAGCGCCTGGCACAGGCTACTCACACAGAGTCCATCATCATCCATCCGACCAGCGGTGGTGTAGCGCCCTTTGTACAATCCCCGTACGCCCTCCTTGCGCACTGTCTGTAGCGTGCAGTCCAGTGGTCCCCGAAAATGTGTATCCTTACTGGTCTGAAGGCGAACCTTGATGGTGTCGAATCTGTCCGGAAAAAGCAGGGTTATTACGGTCGATCCGACTTGCGAAAATGGAGATGAACTCGAACGACGTACGGATGGCCAACTAGAAATCCAAATCGCTGTTAGCACTACACTGAAATCATTCAAACTGTGATCCGAATGCTGGACCAGCATGGCGATCGACTTACCACTCAACTTTGCAATACCGGAAAACACTCCAGCAACAAACCCTTTGTAGTTTTGCTTGCCTGCCGCCGCAGGCGCATTATTCCCACCTCCTGTGTCCTTCACCAACTGTTGCTCCATTATGTTGGATGTGGGCAAGACTTCCAGGGGCGCCTGCGCCGGTGACATAGTTGTTGATCCGTGAAGTGCAACCCGGTGCGTCAGCGGTATCTGAATTGAGCAGGAGATGCTCGCGCGACGGAGTGGGGTCCTGGGACGTGAGGATCCCGGTGGTCGCGGTACTGCACGCCTTGATTTTGGGCAGTCGAAAGTTTTCGCGAGGTACGTAGGAGCACGGTTAGGGGTATAATGAAGCAATTGAGGAGTGATGAGCGAGATCGGAAAGTCTTTAATCTTTCGTCTTGAAGGGCCCCGCCGCCGCCGGTTCCTCCGGGGAGCAGTGGCCCACCTCCGGACTCCGCTTTTATGGACACCTCAGTCATCAATTAATTCACCTAACGTAATTCCCGGCCGATCTGGACGCCCCAAAACACCATATTAAAGCCGATAAATTACAACTTCATATCTCAACAACAATATTCAATATAGATAAGATATTGAGTTTGTGCAATTTAGAAAGTATCTGTAACCTACTGAAGGAATCTTGAAAGCTCACTTTAGGTGGCTATTAAAATATAGATATTTACATCTCGAATGTCAAAATTACGTAGTATTTTATAGTAACATGTCGAAATAATAGATTTAATCGCATAGTATCTAGATATATTGTTCCTTGCGCGTAGAAAATGAGCATCCTCAAATTTTAACGCAAATAAACACCTAGTGGTTAATATACCGTGACCTGAAAAATCGCATTGAATATGGTGTTTTAGGGCGTCCAGATCGGCCGGGAATTACGGTAAGTTACGTTAACATACCATTAACCTACAGTAGTTAGGCACCCCTAGGCATTCAATAGGGCGGTGAGATGTTTATCAGGTAGATCTTCTGACGTACAAACAAAGTATACATCGCTATGGTCGTCGTTTCCTGGACCGGGTTGGGGATGAAGGGACATGAGACCTCAGGACAAGGGCCCCCTTCCTTATGGAGTCGACTGTAACGGCGCAGTCGCTTTTATCCAGCGACTTACATCTACGTGGAATGTGGCGTCTATGCAAAGAGAAAATCAATAGTGTATAACTCGAAGGTCGCAGAAGCCTTCAGTAATGAATTGGAATTCAAGTAAAAATAAAATTAGCAGTCTGACTGGTCCGTGTCTGGGATGCTTGTGGCCGTACTGTGGACCAGCGGGGTATAGAAACATGATGTCGTAATGCAAAGGGTGACAGCCTGAAGAACAGACTCCGGTCTGTAACATATCAGGCAGGAAGTATGAGAGCAAAAGAAGACTAAATAAAACAGAATCAATAAGCCCATGCCCATGTGCAAAGGCTCGACTTCAGAGCGCTCTTCAGTCTTAGTTTTCATGCCCGTAACACCAGAAAGCAGACAAGGATGGGTCCAAGGAAAAAGGAACAATAGTTCTCAGCAATAGAAAGGACAAGGAAAAGGTCACAAAAAAAGGAAACACCGATTCTGATGCAGGGCAGTAGCTGCAGCGTAGACAGGGGAGAAGGAATCCCGTCATCGACCCTTGGCGGATTTGCGATTCTTCTGCCGAGCCTTCTCATTCTCGCGTGCAATGAGTTTCTCAATCAAGTCGGGCGATGGGCCCGAGTAGAGTCCTGCGCCGTCACGAGAGGTGTGGTGGCTGGCCTTGCCGGCGGAGCCGACAGCCAGGTAGTCACCGGATTCTAGGGCCAGCGGTGTGACGGGGCCCGGACTGCGCAGAGGATCCAGGCGCGGAGCCGACGGGCTTTGCGTGACGCTATCGCGCAGGTCCCGGTACTGCCATTTCATGTCGCGCGACCCCGACGACGTGCGGTAGTTGTGTTGCCGGGACTGCCGCGGAGACGGCGGCTGGCCCGCCACCGTGGGCCCGCCGGTGCTGGACTGGTAGACGGCCGGGTGGAAGCGTGGCAGGGTGCCGAGGTGGAAGCCCGGCATGGACTTGGCTGGATTTTGGGTGCGCGAATGCGAAGGCTGCGGGGAGCTGGGGCAGCGCGGAGACATGGTGGGTGAACCAACTGGCGAGCAGAAAGGTGAGTTATCGGAGCGCATGCTTGGATGATAGCGGCTGAGACGGGTCGACCGGGGCGAGCGGAGGTGCCTAGATTTAGCGGATAGCGAGGCACGCTCCCAGTCTTCGAGGTAGTCGTCGTGCTCGAAGCGCCCAGTGAGCGGAGTCACAGGGAGATCGTGGTTGTCGTCCAGGCCGTGGCGGCGCCTGGGGATGGGGATGGGACGGGTCGATGAGGAGAGGGAGAGCGACTCGAAAGCGTCGATCGGATTTGGATCCGGGCGACGAGAGCGTCTCGGAGGCGTGGGCGGGCTATATGTGGAGGAGGTGCTCGTCAAATCCCGCAGGGAGGACAGGGAGACCGGAGTGGGGTAGCCGTGCTTGAGGATCAGACGCTCGAGATGGTCCCGCGGCCGGTATGGCGACGAACGAGAGCGCAAGCCTGAGGAGAAGCCTACAATGCAGGTGATCAGATAGGGAATGAGACGTCATGGAATGCCACACGTGTCGCGCGGAGAGAGGAATGTATTAAGCTGGGACGGGGTGATGGATCGATTGGGGAAAGATGGGAGGGGGGCCACGAAACAGCGGGAGAAAGGGTTGGAAATCCAGCCAATTGAATGCCCCACACAGCATGAAGGCAGGCATAGGGATTGGGGGGTTGGGGGGGGGGGTTGGTGCATTGCAACTTACTGTCGGAGTATGAACTGCTGCTCAGCGAGGACGGATAGAACGAGGATGACGAGGAGGAAGAAGCAGAGTATGAAATGGGGGCGGTCGTGGATGTCGGTTTTATTTGTTTCCGGCGCATCGTCTGCACAACAGTTAGTGTGTGACCTCCACACCTGCGGGGAGGTTGGCTCCACTACCAACCGCCAACACGGCCGGCATGGCGTCATTTTGGGGGACTTGGAGGATTTGAAGGGCATCAATGGTAATGAAAAAATAGCCGGCTCCACCGGGCGCTCAGGTCCGGATGGCATCGGTTCCTGGGCAGGGAACAAAAGAGATCCAGCACATACCATTGGCAGGGAGTGCAACCACCCCGAGTCCCGATCAAGATTACCAGTATCTCCAAACGCGTCTTTCGAAGACAACTGTCTCTTAGCCCGGCAGAAGTCTCCCTCCCGAGACCCCGCTGATTCGCTGCGGACAGCATGCAGTGAAGAATCTCGTAATGCTCCGGATGTTGGACCGAGTTTCAACGGTGGGGCAGGCGATCCAGGGATTTCAAGTTTCGCGGGCTAGAACTTTCGTCTCGTTTGGTCCGAAATGCGAGGTATCGAGGCGCCAGAGAAGGGACTGAATTCCCAGCAGAGGAGTTCCCGAGGAAAGAGAGCAAGCTGGATTATAAAAGCCTGGCCAGGCACCAGGGAAGTAGGGCGACCATTGTTGATATTGTTGTTCCCCCCCGGTACGGAGTGCTCCACGCGGTCTCGCCTGGTGACCCCGCAAGACGTTCGTTCCAAGGCACAGCCCACCAGCGGTCGCAACAGGAAGGAGTGTTTTCTTCACATCACGTACCTGGGATGAGACCATCCACGTTGCGATCTCAGGCTGGGCTGCGGGCGGGGCTGCCGATCTCCAAGCGGTGGATCGGGGGGTCATGGGTTGGCCCTGGTCATCTCTCGTCTGCACGATGGTGACGTTTTCGGACATGACAAGCAAGTCAGGTCAGCAAGGGCTCGGGATGTTCGTGCTGCCCCCCAGGAAGGCGCATGCGGGCCAACCAGCGTGGATAGATCCTGCTGCTCAGGCGATCAGCCGACATCGATCCACACCTATCACGACTGCGGGAGGGAGGGAACCGCTGCTGCTGAGTGGCTGAGATCGGCGTCCCCGGTCGTCTGTCTTTCCCATCGGATCGGATTGCTTTCTGCTCTTTGCTTTTTTGGGCGTGGAATGGGTGGAATGGGTGAAATGGGTGAAATGGGTGGAATGGGTGGAATGGGTGGAAATGGATGGAATGGATGGGATGTCTCAGCAGAGTGACTCTGGGGGTGACGACCCCACCACGGGGAAGCTCGTGAGTCAGAAGATGGTTCCCACCGTTGATACCACAGCTTGATCCTTCAGCCTGAGGCTCAGGGTTGATCTTCCAGAGGGGGCAGAGGCTTACTTTGGTGGTCGATATCTAGATATAGATCGTGAGGTGGGACCGTCCTTTGCCGCGGATGCTTGGGAACACTGGAAGCTTTGCGGATGTTACCAGCGGGCCATACATCACGCCGTTGCTGGTTCTGCCAATCGCGTTGTATAGTGCTCGGACTCGCTCCCAAGATTGACGTCTGTCTCTCTCCAGATACAAGTGGAAATGTGGCTCGACGCAGGCAAAATCGGGCAGCCTGGCCGATGATGCCCCTGCATACAGTGCGGCCTCATGCATGTCACGCAAGCCGCATATCGCTCATTCCTCCTTGCTTCCCACCCCTCCATCTTTCATCTTTCATCTTTCTGGGCTGCAGCCACCATCCATAGCCCCCACCTTCCACCCCACCTCCCTTCCATTGGATGAGTTCGCGAGCGATGCCCCTACGCACACTACACTTAGTTCCCCTGCCCACTACGAGACTTGTCGGATGACGCAGTCAAATCAACCCTTTTAGATGTGAGTGCAACTGAGGCCAGGTACCGACTGACAGACCGATGGCTGATGCTCCAAAAAGCCCGCCACACATGCGGGTTCCTACTTCCAAGGCTCCGTGAACCATTCAGAACTCTACGAATACATGTCCATTGGGCCATTTGAGACAGAGCAAGACTTTGTTTCGCAGTTCACCGGTGGCTTCGTAAACGCCTCCGAATCGGTGGCGTGCTTTGCCGTCATCGACAAGAGGAAGCCACCCTCCCTAGCAGACCTAGAGGGCGAACTACCTGGGATGGTCTCATACATGAGCACCACGGCCGTGCCCGCAGAGGTAGGATACTCCATCACCCTCCCGCCCTACCAGCGAATCACCCTGTCACGGATCCTGGAGGGGACTTGGGATTTCTGAACTGGGGATTCTTCGTGAAAGGATACAGGCCATAGGGACTCTAAACACAGTAGCCGAGCGGAAACCCAAGAAGAAATTCCAGACTGTTGTCAAGGAACCCCTAACAGTAGACGAGACTCACGTTCGGCACTTTGCCCTTGGAGGTCGGGTTAAGATAGGAATGGGCGGATTCCATGGATTGATCAAAGCGGAAGACCATGGGTCGTAGACACGTCAGCATCACGCCCTGACGGCTTGCATCGTCATTCAGGTCCGGCGATATCTTTGATCCAGTCTTTCCCGACATGCTAGTGGAATAGAGAACAACTTCCATCATACTCGGACCAAATGAACTCTTCTCTTGTGATATTACAAGCTGAAGTTGAAGAGGATTGAATTCAGATCTCATGGGGTTCCATACCACCTCCATCAACATCGTGCTGAGAAACCGGCACACTCTCAGCTGTCGGTGCGAGCGACCAAATGGGGCGTGGTCGTACTCCCAGCTGGATCTAAACAATTGCCTAGGGAATAATAACGGTTGGTGGAGAATGCGTCGTGAGAGATCTAACTGTCTTTCTAATTATGTTTCCTTGGTAGGCGAATTTGTTTGGGGAGGCGATAGCTTTGCACACAGCGCGGCGGAAATACACCTTTCCTTCGAAGGGCCCCAGGGAGATCCATGGCTGTGTGCCAAACTGAATGATAAAGATGGGACGCATCGGTCTGCATCAGTACGTTGTAGATTGATGCTATGACAGATGATTTCTAATGTGGTGGCAGATAAACCTATCCAAGTGTATCCAGAACAATGTGGGGGTGCTGGCGTTTACGCCAGATGAATGAGACCGAGAGTACCTGGGTGGAATCGATCGCCAATCCCCGATCTGAATTTGACCAGGCATGCGAGAAGCGCTCTGCGATGTGGGAGTGGTCACAAGGGTGGTTGCTATTGCGAATACTGCGGGGTTGTTGCATTAGACTACGATCATCATAACAGACGCCGATATCTTTAACTATTTGCTGTGTCATATTTGGTGAGATTAGCTAGTATTTCATACGATTTACAGTACGTCCTGATGTTTACCCGAGCCCGACTACAGTAGCCTCTTTACGAAGCTCGTATTTAACCCACCGTCTACCCCTCGTCAGCATCGTCAGCCCTCCACGCTGCAACACCGACCGAGCGCAGAACCACTGTACCCACAACCGCCACAATGGGGATGAAAGCACGCTGTCAGTGCTCCAAGATTCAATTCACTACCCCGACCGACAAGCCGCTGGCGCTGTACGCCTGCCATTGCACGGAATGTCAACACCAGAGTTCCTCAGCACACGGCATCACCGCCATCTTTCCCTACTTTGAGCTCCCCGAGTCAGTGTCCGACCTGGTGGGGATTTATACACGCCATACTCTCAAAGGCCGAGTAATGGAATGTCTATTCTGCAAGAACTGCGGTGCCCGCCTCTTGCACCGGTTCCAGGATTCCATGGCGGCACCGGGTGAGAAACCTGGCCCGACGGCGACTACGAATGTGAAGGGTGGCTGTCTCGTGGATCTGGATAAGGAGATGATGAAGACGGCTGTCCATGTGTGGACTCAACATGCAATCGTGGAGATTCCGGAGGGAGTGGAGAGGTGGGAGACGGAGCCGCCACAGGCGAATCCGCTTCAGTCGAAGCGTTAAGTTAACCAAACTATAGTGCAATGCGATAATACAACAAGATAATTATCTAGCTAACCGTGCAAGTCCACCCATTATCAAGGGCAATACATGCACCGTTGATGATACTGGCACCCTTGCCGTAGGTCAAGTTGACGCAGAACCCAGCAACCTCGTCCAGGTCGCAGGTTTGAGTGCCCACAGACTCATAAATGGCATTCATCTTCTGATAACCTTCCATGTGCATGCCGGTCTGGAACACATCGGCAATGTTGGTATTCATGGCGCCCATCATCAGAGCGTTGCAGCGAATACCCCTGCTGCCGTAGAAAGCGGCGGTATTCTTGGTCAAACCCACCAGCCCATGCTTGCTGGCGGTATAGGCGGCACCTAGTAACCTTCAAGTCAGATATTACTCAATACCGCTAGCGGGGTGAAGGTATCCACGTACCGGCGGCCCATCCAGCACGGCCAGCGACAGAGACGATGTTGATAATCCGGCCATCAGGCTTCGGCTGCTCCAACATGTTACGAACAGCCAATTTGCTCAAGATCATAGGTGCGGTGAGGTTCAGCGCCATCACTTGATCCCATTGCTCGATGTCCAGGTCACCAACAGGAGCGAAATGGTCCATGATCCCGGCGTTGTTCACCAGCACATCAATTTTACCAAACTCCCGGATCAGCTCGTCGAACAGACATTGCGCCTCACTGGTGTTCGTGAGATCGGACTTGATAGCTCGCAGGGGGCCCTTTGATGACAGCTCTGCGGAGGCTTGCTGCAGACGTTCCTCGTTGATATCGCAAATAACGACGTTGGCGCCAGCGCCGAGAAAATGAGTCGCGATAGCCTTGCCCAGGCCACCAGCTCCGCCGGTGACGAGGCACGTTTTTCCAGCGAGGATCTGCTCCGACATGGAGGATTGGTGTTGAAATGTATAGAAGGGATATTTTGGAAGAGTAATGGTTGCTCGACTAAGCACTGAGGCCCTTCTTGAGCCTTTAAGTATTTATTTTTTTCTTATAGAGACGGGATATGCTCTATCCGCTCTCCGCTGGGAGGTGCTTCCTCACTCATCGTTTAGAGGGGCCTCGGCCGCTGTAATTCCGGGGAGGGCAGTCCAAGCAGAACAAATCGAACCACCAGCTTGCGTAGATACCGGGGTGTAATGCAGTTACAGCTGGTACTAGAAAGCTGATTACCAGATGTTTATATGTTCTTTGCGAGAAATGGGGTAAATTGAATGATGCAAGAGCATTATGTCAGAACACGGGTGTTTGATATTAGACTAATGCACCGCTTTGACAAGGAGTGAAGGTTATTTGCTTGTCGACTGCATCCCGACCCGGCAAACTTGCTGCATACAACTCCAGCCAACAGTACGGTTCCTGGTACCAGGCAAACTTACACCCCCACTGGCCCAGGAACATCCGTCATCCGGAGCCCTAAGCCCTGATACCAAATATGGAAATGCCTATCCCCTATTCTCGGCGCAAGTCTGCTGGCCATCCGATTGGAGGTTGCTGTGCCGCCATCTCTAAAATGCTTATCCAGGATACTTTGGAAATATGCCGACTAGAAAATAGGCTTACTCGGTGTACCGTGCGCTCTTGGCTAAGCTCTCTGTAGGAGAGATTATTCCTGGACTAGCCGAAAGCTAAATCAAGGGCAACATTAGGAGACGAGCACGCCCCCCCCGGCTATCTCATTACACAATTCCCGCGACAGAATTCCCAGGGGCTTGATACCAGGCTCTGGGTCTCTTTGAAATGGGCAAATGACAGGCTCTGCGGACCCGGTCCTCCTTATCGGCGGCGAGAGCCGATCTCAAAGGCGTTGTCTAGCCCCCCCGCATAATACCCGAGAAATCTCACTGTCAGTCCGGGACCGGCAGACCAGGCTCCACCGGCATCGCGCCGACCTTCTCAATCAGGACACTAGGGGAGGCTTATCTATCTTATCAATATCAATCCTACAGGGTTGAAAATGGTCATTTGGTCACTCCATGCGGTCTCTAAGATAGCATGGGGAAGAGCAGAGAATTTTTGGTGGCCCCAATCTTTTAAACATACGTTTTGCCCATCTTGCCCGCTCGGTCCTGATTCTCTTGCCATATCTGGTGCAGAACGGCCTCAGCAGCAGCCATGTCAAAAGAAAACGCGAACTCGCAAGTGTTTGAAGGCACTACTAGTGAGGATGTTCGCCTTGAAGATCTGGGCTACGAGCAAGGTGAGAGCAGCAAAGGACACAGAGATTCCCCGCTGAGTCATAGTTTGTTTTGTGCTGACCTTTCGTTTAAACTAGAGCTTAAGCGTTCTTTTGGGTTGCTGTCTATGATTGGGTTCAGCTTCAGCATTGTGACATCGTGAGGGCTTCTACCTTATGAATCAGAGAAAAATACGAATCTAATATATCCTATTAGATGGACGGCTCTGAGTGGCGTATTTATTGTTGGGGTGACCGCGGGTGGACCACCAGTGATGGTTTTCAGTTTCCTGGGCGTCAGCCTCCTTACGTTGGCTGTCGCGATCCCCATGGCAGAAATGTGCTCGATGTACCCTGTTGCCGGAGGACAGTACTCATGGGTTGCTGCTCTCACGCCTCCAAGATTTGCGCGAGGTTTATCATACGCGACCGGCTGGTTCATGCTTATCGGTATGCCTTCAACCTGCATCGGTACAGAACGCACGAGCTAACAAAGAAACATCAAGGTCTTCTCGGGATGGGTGCCACGAACAACTCAATTGCCGCTAATTTTATCTTGGGAATGGCGAACCTGGTGTATCCGGAATATACTATCGAAAGATGGCAGACGGTGCTAGTCGCCTACCTTGTGGCCATCCTTTCGGCTGCACTCAACCTCTGGGGCTCTCACCTCCTTCACCGAATCTCCAAATTCATGTTGATTTTCAACGTCGCTTCTTTTGTCATCGTGACCGTCACCCTCCTCGCGATGAACGATCATAAGCAACCAGCCTCGTTTGTTTTCCAAGATTTCCAGAACGCAACCGGCTGGGGCACTGGAATGGCTGCTATCATCGGCATATTGCAAGCATGCTTTGGAATGTGCTGCTACGATGCCCCCGCACACATGACTGAAGAGATGAAGTCAGCTTCTAAAGAGGCGCCCAAGGCGATCGTTATGGCCGTAGTTATGGGTGCGGTCACTGGCTTTGGCTTCCTTCTTACTCTTTGCTTCTGCATTGGAGATATCACGGAGACTGCTCTCAGCAGTACTGGGGTCCCCGTCATCCAGATTATCTACGACTCAACCGGCAGCAAGGCCGCCACATGTATTCTGTCTAGCATGATTACGATAATTTGCCTTGTTGCAGGTATCAACATTCTTGCTGAAGGATCTCGTTCTGTCTATGCCTTCGCTCGTGACAATGGACTGCCCTTTTCGAAAGTCTTCAGCAAGGTCGAAAGCAAGAGCCAGGTACCAGTGAATGCTGTTCTTCTCACTCTGGCTGTCCAACTGGCCCTTGATGCTATCGAGTTTGGCACCATAACGGGCTTTGAGACTGTTATATCTATATCCACCGAAGGCTTCTGTAAGCGATTCCAAACCTTAGTGACTGGTAAACTACTAACAACATTATCAGTTTTATCCTACGCTATGGCACTTCTCAGCCGCCTGATTGGATACTTCTCCGGCCATGTGACCAAGCTTGAAGGCCCCTACTCATTTTCCACCCCGGTATCCATCGCGCTCAATTTCATTGGGCTCCTATTCCTTCTTTTTGCTTCTATCACATTCAACTTCCCAAGTACATACCCTGTCAACAAAGAGTCGATGAACTACACTAGCGCTGCTATTGGTGTCATTGGTCTTATCAGTATCGTCACTTGGTTTACTACTGGCCGGAAGAACTTTACGGGCCCAGGTGCACTGAGCTTGTTGAAAGGCCAGAATGCCACGCAGAATACTGTACAAGCTGAGGCCGATGGAGTCGACGAGAAAAAATCTTAATAACCTGTTTGGCCAATGTGACTGGAACTTGAATAACTTATCGGAAGGATAGCTCTAATGATAATCTATATTGATTGGTGAATTTGTTGATTCCTGGGTCGCATATCCTGTAAAAGTGTTGCCTAGGTTGGGAGTGAGTTCAACCTTCAATTGCCTCTTCGAGTTTGGCGTCCACTATGACCTTATTGAAAGGTGTCCAATGGGGTCTTTTCATAATAATGCACTATTGTGCGGTAGGAATACTTGTTGTGATCATGTCGTATGTCATTTGCGAACATCGATTTGAGATACTTGATTATAGAAAATCCGCGGGGGCGGATAGATGACCGAAGAGGGATAGATGACCGAAGAGCCAGAGTGGATTAGATTATGCCAATTACCCAATTTTGAATCATGGTTGATCTGTTTCCCTCATTGTTACATGGCTAAGCTTGGATGTGGTACGTCTTTTACTGCTTGGCTTTGCCGGGGTCTCCAGTGAATACATCTGTTTGGATGAAAATTGTCTGAATAGCTGAGACAACAATGACTTTCATATACTCAAAAATTGTACTTGTGGCCAGCAACCCAATAACAAGATTATTATTTCCAAAATCCCGAGGCCAACAATCATTTGGGAAACAAGTTCTCCGGGTTGCCCGGATTCCTCCGGCATCCCTGGCCCCCATGGGAGACACAGGTGCTTGCTTGATCGACCTCTTCGTATACGCTACACTTAATTCCAGAATATACGCCCCGACAAAAAAGTTACCGAAGGATCCACTCTAAATAAGTATCAAACTCACTTAACATCTTCGGTTTTCTTACACAGAAACGATGTAAGGGAAGTATTTCTCTCGCACTCAACAAGATCTGCTCCTGCCTCCCAAGCTAGCAATGACCGTAAATCAAGATAAGGCGGCATTATTCTCAATGCCGACATACTACTCTGCGACCAACTCTACGGAAGCTTTCGACGGGGTAGTGAGTGAAATTTGGATGGGCCAAACACAATGATAGATAGAAATATGCTTATAGCTTTCTACAGCTTAGGCATATCCTAGCGCCAGAATTTGGGGCGTTTTTATGAAGCTTGGGTCCAGTTGCCTCACAGTTTCAGCAAGATTCTCCCCATGTGATCCATATATACAGCATGATCGAAATCAGTTTCACCACCCACACACTCATAGATTCTTTGTGAAACCCTCCTTTCAAACCCACATACCTACTACATTTACTCTGCCCCCGATCCCTTTTCTTGGCTGTATTACAATACAGCTGTAAATAACAGCGTAAAAAATAGCCTCTGTATTAATATTGTATGGTCATGCTCTGTCACATGTGATTGTTGCCTGGAGCTGCCCTTCTTGCCCTTCCGCTACCCCCTCATATCTTCTTTCCTCCCTTTTCCCATTGCCACCGTCATGGCCTCAGACACCTTCGCTCGTTACCAATGGCCATCCCTTCGCAACCCGAAGGCAATTCGTCTGTTGAAGATCCTTGACCAGGAGCTTGGTGGCGTGCCTTGCTGCTCCCTAACAGAAATCGAGCTGGATCTCCAGGCAAATTACATAGCACTATCCTATTCTTGCGGAAGTCCAGGCAAGGAGGCGACGGAGCGGGGTGTCATTGCAGAAGCATGCAAACAGATATTCTGCGAAAATGGCATCATCCCTGTCACCCAAAACCTTTCTGATTTCCTCAGAGACGTACGACGATTTCATCGCCACCTTCTTGGAGAATTTATCTGGATAGACGCTGTCTGCATCGATCAAGATAACCTGAATGAGCGCGCAGCACAAGTTCAAATGATGGGAGACATATACATGCACGCAAAATCTGTAGTTATATGGCTTGGCAGGGCAGAACAGACCACCCAGTTAGCATTGGAGTTCATGGCCGTTATCGAACAGAAAGACTTCCCATTAGTGGACGCGCGAATAGACAGTCCTCCGCCATTGGGCGAGATTTTAGGACCACTCGCGGATTCAGATGATCACTGGAATGCATTGAAGCTGATGTTGCAGCGCACATGGTTCTCGAGGACGTGGGTTCTGCTAGAGTTTTGTCTTGCTGTCCAATTTTCGCTACTCTGTGGTAAATTTGAAGTCAGTATCGACAAACTTACCAAAGCTGCATCTCTCGGCCTGCGCTTTCCAGCCTCCCGAGCACGCGAGATTATAGATCTTCCTGGTAGTAGGATGATGGACATACTTAATTTGAAGAAGGGCGTGGAGGAGAGGTCGCCTGGAAATCTCCTCAACATATTACTATATTCATCTAGCTCCACTGCGACGGACCCAAAAGACATGGTTTATGGCATTCTCGGAATGATCAAGAGAAGCATCTCGGATGCAAGTCCTCTTCAGAGCTTGGACGTGAGCTATCGCCTTTCAACTGCCGAATTATATACCCAATTCACAAGACTCCTCGTGTCGGAAGATCCACGATTACTGTTGTGCCAGAATCACGATCCTCAGGTACGAGGGTATGCAAAGTTCCAACTGGAGCTCCCCTCTTGGGTTCCGAACTATTCCAATGGGCTAAATCTCGCTCATGGAGACTTTGCATTCAAACTTTCAAATGATGCAGCCAAAGGGCTTTCTCCCTCGCCTGTGGTCATGCGACGACCTGATGGGCTCGTACTCAATGCACAAAAGATTGACGTTATTGAAGATACGGTTGTTATTTACAATGGCATGTACGAGGGCAACTGGATTGCTAGAACGCTCCCAGATATACTCAGGTTTCTTTGCGCCTTTAAACCAGTGTATTTCGATGGTCAACCACGAAGCCAGGCATTATGGCTTACTCTCGCGTCTGGCATAATCAAGGCGGACTTGAGAACGACAGCGGCTCTGGAAAGATGCCGCCCCCTATTTGGACTTTGGGTGGGCGAGTGTCTTCTTACTCTGGCAGGAAATGACCTTGGCACATACTTCCGTATTCTGATGGATCTTCGGGGGCCGATCGAAACGTTAGCCCACAGCGAGATGGATTGCTTTCCAGGCCTCACTATACTTGTGAACTTTCCCAATGTGCGTACACCACAGAGGGATGTGACTCTTGCACGTCAAAAATTCCGCAATATGATGACAGAACTGTCAAATATCAGTCGCCCAGTACTCTTTCGTACTCGGGAAGGTCTTCTAGGCAAAGGCACTAAGAAAGTACGAAAAGGCGATGAGGTGTGGCTTATCGCTGGAATGCCAACCCCAGTTGTGTTGCGAAAGACAGACAATGAGAATCATTTCAATAAAATTGACATTGCTTATGTTCACGGAATCATGCAAGGAGAATTTATTGACCAGAAAGGATTGTATACAGAAGAGATTGAACTCATTTAAATGCAAGATCAAGTAACGTTTTTGTCAGACTAGAACAGAAGGCGTAGCTAAGCCAGCTCTCAGCACAATCGACACAAAACTAGACAAGATGTCGAACATTAAGCCCCAAGCCCAAATGTCGAACTAGAAGTGGAAGAGGTGCCGAAGCTAACGACCAAGACAGGATCCTGCATGCCTAATCGCTGCGCAGTTGGCTCATAAATTGGAAATTGATCGCTTCTTGTTACGTCAGGACCGAAATACGTGACTGCATTGACGCGTGTTAAGATAGTCCAAGAAGTCAAACGGGGCGGGTTGACCACGAATCAGATGCCACCCTGTGGCCTATCAGGACCTTGATGATTGACTATTATTGCTGCAGTCAGTTTATAAGAGTGTTACATTCACACTACCACTTCCGAGAGGTTGGTTTCTCGGAAAACAATACAGCTTAGCCGACATGGACAATCTCGAGCAAACATATCAAGCCATTTGGCCGGCTCTGTGATAGTGAATCGCAGCATGGTGCTGGCGGTGGACATTCGGCCCGCTTCACGACAACGTATTGTGACTGCGCGTCGAGTCTTGACGTCCCACGGGTGTGCGTCAGCACTAATTGTATCGCACATCCAAATTGCACATATCTTGCAACGCCCAAGAATCCCAATCCCAGTCGGTCTCCGCTGTGAAAAATAGGTGTTTCTTCTGAGATAATTCCTCGCCTTTCCGAGACGTGACGTGTCCTCCGTAGAGAGAAAGGAAATGTAGATTGCTTCCTGTTTTGCGCATACTCTGCGCTGTCTCATGCAACTAGCTACTCTTCACGAGTTAGTGCGATTCTTGTGTCGGAGACAGCTGAACAATCTGACTTGGCAAGGCGTCCCAGCTGAATGGTGGTTGGTAGGAACGGCAGCACCATACACGCATCTATTAGGCCCAGGCCCGAGATAGCTGCCATATCATGATGACAGGGAAAGCTGCCAGCCAATGGACAGGGCTGAAATGGACTGATACTTGGACTATTTCCTTCCGCCTTTCTCCATATGCCGCGTACTTAACCTCGGTATCGCTTCAGTGGGGTGGGTTCCTCACGCGAGCCTGCTCATCACGAACTCAGGCGCGTTCGTTGGTGAATGCGGGCGATTTAGGCTTAGTAGCGGCGCCCCGGAAAAGAACAAAGGCTTGCGAGCTCAAACCACAAAACTGATCACCATGGAGCGAACCTTGATTCGGGTAAAGAGCGCTAGGCAGTTCATCGGCAAGTCCAGCCGAGAACATTGATAAGCTTGCTAAGAGCTATCTTATGCGGGACTCGAAGTGCCGGCGTGGTCGGGGGGGGAAGGTACGGGGATGATGGTGGGGAATGGAGACAAGCCCGAGCCTCGCTAGCTTTCCCCCCTACTTGCACCGATGCAAACATGGGCCGGCAGATTGACGTGGCTAGTCGCCGATGGTTCACGATCGGTCAGTTGCGATCTGACCGATTGCTCGGTCCACCTCCATGCATGAGCGAGCCGGGATTCGGTCAGGTTTCTCGCACAAGCCACTTCGATAGCGCTCCGTACATGGTCCGAAGAACTAGCCCACTGATGTACATTACGTACCATGGTCCACTTTTGTACCGAAGCACTTTGGCACTTGGGTAATCCAATGTGTGTTTCTGATACATCATCTTCCGAATACTGTAGCTACCACCATCCTTGTTTCTGTCTTGGTCAACATTACGGATGTTTTTATCCACTGCCCTAATCTGTCCTAACAAGCCATCCAGTAAACAAGCCCTGCCCCCACTCGTATTCACTGGCCTGAGCAGAGCATGTTCCTGCAATCTTAAGCTTCCTAGCCTCCCCCGGGTTGGAGGGTTCATTAGGCCAGAACCGAATCAGTTGAAGGCGCGACGGTCCTCAGTGTCACCAGAGTCTTGTCTGTTCCTGTCGAGGCAGAAACACCCCATGATAGTGTATACCAGCCAGCGACGCCGGCAATAGGCTCAGCAAAGAAATTTGCATCGCTGACTTCAGCCATGACATAACGACCGTAGGTCCACCACACATTGGTAAGTTTGTCCGTCGATGAGTCGGACGAGGCAAACCCAAATTCACCCGACCCTCCGCTCGCCATATAGAGCGTTTTGGTTGACCAGGTGGCATCGCTCGAGTCCGCATGTGCAAGCCATGTGTATTGCGCTAAGCTGGAGACCGTAACTAGAGTGGAAGGAGTTTTTGTTACCTACGAGCACCAAGCCAGCCATGCCTTCTGCCCGTATCAAGGCGGGGACGACTTACAGTAGATCGGGACCACTTCGGCTGCGTTACACTGCATTGGGTCGCCGATTTTTGCTATTCCTGTAGATGCAGAGAGCAGATTCAGACCATGGTCCGAGAAAAATGGGTAGTAGGAAGAGTGCTGATACCATCCGCATAGAAGACCTGCAAGCCGCTGATATTTTCTCCAAAAGCATAGATGTGAAATTGACTATCGGTACCACGAGCATTCAGCGGCGAAGCCGAGCAAATGGAGCTGGTAAGCGCGTAGACAGGAAGAAAAATGGTTGAACATGAGTGAAACATTCTCGTTCTCAAAAAAAAAAACAGATTCTAATGGACATTGAGGTATTCGGTTTGGACTTTGGTCAGAAAGAGATATATGGGAAGAGAGAGCGAAAGAACGGCAAGCACTTTCGCAGAAATAGCGAGGACCTAGAAGAATATGCCTGGACTTGGTGGTGTCACACTTTAGATTATATTCCTCACTTAACCCCAGAGCCCTTTCAAAATCTCACGATTCGTAAGACCTACGCGTCCGCCTCCCCCTGTCCCCTGGGCGTTTTCCCATATTGATGCTAGAATTTCCGAATGGAAAGACAAGCTCACGTGCCTTACATACTCCAGGTCCACCCGGTGCCTTTTTCATGCAGACCAATGCTCATTCATTGGCCTCGGAGGCACTGACCCCTCGTTTTGTGGCCTCTTGGTACACAGTCAGGCGGCTAAGGAAGCAACAACAACTTGCATTGCAGACGCCACGCAGCGCAGGGGCTAACCGACCCCCTAACGAGGACTTATCATCCAGTGAAAGTCTCCGAACACTGCTCGGATAATACCTGATGATTGAGCCTCGGAGGAAATCTCTCATCACGCCAGATTCAGCTCGGGCTAGAATCTTACTATGCCGTTTAGTATATGTGGAACAGGTTTTTACCCCATTGGGATCTAAGACATGCAGATGAAGCAATCCTGTCGGCAGGGTCACCTGAATTTGCGATTTTTGAACCTGGAGACTCGAGGAAATGGACCCCCCATGATCGATTATCCCCGGAAAATATATGCGCTCTGGATAGGTGGGTGACCAGTAAACCTTGTCAGGACAAGATTAGTTGGCTTATTTGGCATTATTACTCGACAAGCATTACGCCCGTGGCTTATTTTACGTAGCCCGATGGCTAGCCTCTCTCGATATCATCTGCATCCCCGACTAGCGGGGAAGTATGGGTCACCGTGGGCGGCCTTGTGAATGCCCACAGGTCTCCCAATGAGAAGCATTTCAGCCTGAGCCTTGCTAGTAAAATCATCCCAAGTCATATATAGCTCTAGAGTGGCCTATCTTGGATAATATGCAACGCATCCAACACAGTCTCTTCATAAATTGTCTTTCAGCTATATCAGCCTTCCGCCTTAAGTTCTGGGCCTATGGAAGGAAGCTGTATATTCATTACCTCTGATGAATGTTAAACATGAAACTACTATATTTTTTGTTCTTGGGGCTTGCATTGGAGACTGCTGCTTTTTCAATTCCCAACCTCGAGGCTCGGAAGTCCAAAAGATGCATAGGCAACACAGTCCACACCCGGAAAACGTGGTGTGAATATGACATCAACACCGATTACACCACTGTTGTTCCCAACACGGGTGTGACGCGTCAATATTGGTTCTCCGTTGATGAAGTTACCGTCGCCCTAGATGGCTTTTCACGTCCAGCAATGGCGGTCAACGGGACCTATCCCGGGCCCACCATTTATGCAAACTGGGGAGACGAGGTGGTCGTACATGTCACCAACCACCTCGATGAATCGGGGAATGGAACAAGCATTCACTGGCATGGAATTCGGCAGAACTATACAAATCCAAATGATGGTGTAGTGTCTGTTACCCAGTGTCCCACTGCCCCCGGGTCAACGGTTACCTACATGTGGCGCGCGTACGGCGGCCGATAGCGGCCACTGGGAAAGTGCACAATTATGCATATTCTAAGACCGGCAGAAAGATTTAGATACCTGAATTACTATTACAACGCCCATATTAAATCATGTACAACTATCTCAACGGCCATTTACCTCGCTGTCGCTATAATGAAGCTATTTTTATGGTGTATCTTGGCCATTTCCGCTGATATCAGGTGGTGAGGTGCTATCTCAACAGCCATTTACCTCGCTGTCGCTATACTGAAGCTATTTTTATGGTGCATCTTGGCCATTTCCGCTGATATTAGGTAGTAAGGTGCTATCTCAACGGTCATTTACCTCACTGTCGCTATAATAATGATATTGAAACTATTTTTATAGTGTATCTTGGTCTATATTCGTCTACCATCGCCGCCGCCGCCTAAGCCGCTGGCTTCGTCGTGATAGAGAAGCTGCTCGCTTCCTCGATAAGGAAGATACTGTAAGAGATACAGTACCCTCTACTACTACTATAGGAGCAGCATCCTCTACTACTACTATTATAGTAGTATCCTCTGCTGCTACTACAGAAGTAGCACCCTAATCCGTATCGTAGTCAAAGAGCCGCTCTATAAATAGCTTATCCTCCTCCTCTTGTTATAGCGCTATCTGTTCGGAGGACCGTAGGATCATAACGTATATCTAATATTTTCCTTTCTCTATCCGGAAGCGCTAGTAAAGTTCACTAAGGCTTCTAAACAGGAAGAGATTCTACTTAGAGAGAAAGTGTGCGATCAACGGCCCTTTCCCTCTACCTTAATATATGATATCCTCGGCTAGAAGGAACTGATCTCGTAGCCTCGTTTAGTATCCTAATTGCTAGAGTACGTTCCGATCGAGCTTTAAGACGAGGTCTCTCGCGAAGGATAGGATATCGACGATGGTCTCGGAGGAGGGGGAAATATAAGAAACCGATACTAATAGATGAAATATAGGTTAGCCAGCTCCTTCTAGTGGTAGTGGTACTTACTCTGTAGCCGCTCTATCTCCTTTAGGCTCTCCTAGAGATAGAAGGACGTAGAGATATAAATCTCTTATAGTAGCGGCGGCGGCGGCGGCGGCGGTAGTAGTAGTAGTAGAGGGTATCTTTCTCGTTAACGTAGATATAAGCTCCTAGCTACGCTTACTATGCTAGAAAGAGAGGAAAAGCGTGTGTTTAGCTACGCTGGTGCTGTAGTTACTAGTGAAGCTATAGTTACTAGTAAAGCTGTAGCTACTAGTGTTAAAGGTATCGGTGTTAATAGTGTAGGCGTTAGAGTTACTACTATTAAGGAAGCTGCTATTACCGTTAAAGAAGATAATATAGCTAGGATAGCAGTAGCTATAGCGTCCTATAGGGAGGATTATAGAGATGCTATTTCGAAGTAAGATTCGAGATTAATCGGGGCCTTTAATAAGCTACTCGAGGCCTTTAAGCTTAATATAAGACGTAAATTTAATTTTGAACTATATCTTAGCTATCTTAGCTGTCTTAGCTATCTCGGCTGTTAGCGACTATGAATATATACTATACGGCTTTATACAGACGCCTAGGATAGGCTCCTTACTAGATTCGTAGTAGTATAATGCACGAAGCCGAAGTACTTTATACACCGCTCGGTATAGCTAGTCTCTTTCCCTATAGAGCTAAAGTAGTAGATCTTCAGGGTTAAAGCTAACGCCTATAAGTTACTGCCTAATCTGCTAAAGCTGTAAGCGGTACTATACTAAGGTCGTTAGTAGGAGATATTCTAAAGGATCCTATTCTTCTACGTCTTACTGTAGTCTTCGAAGGAGCTCTTAGTTAAAGGATTACTAATGATCTTAAACGTCGGCATAGTAGTAGTTCATAACTAGCTTCCCTAGGATAGTATTTAGCCAGCGAGACTGTCGCCGAATTAGATGAATATTCTACGTATTCGTATATAAGTATATACGAGCTCGGAGGATAGGTATATAGATAGTAAGAAGCGATATCTGCTCTAGAAGACACTGCTTTAAGAAGATCCTATCGCGTTATAGTATATAGAAATATTCGTAGAAGAGGAAGGCGCTTGACCCTACGAGCTGTCCCTACTAGGATTTAATCCGTTGATTCTTAGTGCTTCGGCCGTAGAAGAAGCAGTCTTTTTGCCGAAGATCTTTATTATCTAACGCTAACTAGCGAAGGGCTAGATACGTATCACTAAGCATCATTATTTCTGTGCCTAGATTAGCGCATATAATACGTGGTAGAAAGCCCTTCGAAGCTACGCAGTCGAGATACTAACGAAGCATACTTACTGCTGTCCGAGTAGAGATTCCTATATATATCTATATAATAAGTCGAGAGTATCTATCAATAGCAGTATATATCTCGAATCTAAAAGGTTCTAGCTTTATATAACTATTAACATACTATATCTAGTTAGGCCTAGGGTAAGTGTAAGCTCCTCTCCGGCGTTAGAGGTCTGATCGACGACGTTTAATAGCTTTAGGGTTGATTATTTGGTAGACCTCCTAGATTCTATCTCTAGAGAAAGATTGGTATTAGCTTCGTGTCTACTCATCGAGGATAGGAAAGACCTTCTTATTAAGGATAGGAAAGACCTTGACTTACCGGGGATAGGAAAGACCTTGGCTACGAAAGAAATAGTATTATAGCCGCCGGCTATAGCCTTTAATATCTCTAATATGATCCTCTATAATTAGAATAGCCTCGATCTCAGCTTTCTGCCGCTTACGTTCCTTAGGATCGTCGACCCGAAGCTTTATTCTAAGCCGCTTGCGAGCTCTACGAAGAGAGCGTTCGGATATAGGTATATCCTGTCTCTTTAGTACTTAGAGAATCTCTTGAGTGCTTAGAGAGAGGAGAAGAAGCTCATGAATAAGCTTATCTATAGCTTCGGTTGTCTTAGCCGTTCGACGGGGGTTCGCTAGGTAGATATTCTATAATTATAGGCGGTTATTGATTGTGCGCTTTATGACGCTAATACTATAGTTATTAAGCAGGGTAATACGAATAGCTTCAGCAGAGCGCCCAAGTTAGACGAGATCCTCGATCTCCTGCCTATACGTATTAAGAGGGATAGGAGGCGTCATTATAGAGTAGCGCATAACGATGGCAACTGCGAGGGTATTCAGCGACGGCCACAGCAGGGCAACAGCGAGGGTATTCAGCGACGGCCACAGCGACAGCGACAGCGAGGGTATTCAGCGACGGCCACAGCAGGGCAACAGCGAGGGTATTCAGCGACGGCTACAGCGACAGCGACAGCGAGGGTATTCAGCGACGGCCACAGCAGGGCAACAGCGAGGGTATTCAGTAACGGCCACAGCAGGGCAACAGCGAGGGTATTCAGCGACGGCCACAGCAGGGCAACAGCGAGGGTATTCAGCGACGGCTACAGCGACAGCCACAGCAGGGTAATAGCGAGGGTATTCAACGCCTAGCGATATTGAGAGTTAGCAGATTGTATGGTATGAATAGCTTCAGCTTACCACCTGGGATTAGTGGTGAGAAATAGCGGTCAATATGGGGTAAAGTAGAAAGTGGAGAATCTATTTTTGTATGGGAAAGACAGTGTAAAGAACGATTCCTGCGTTACAGAGCGGTCCCTAGGGCGGTCTAGAATATGCCCAAATTGTGCACTTTCCCAGTGGCCGCTATCGGCCGCCGTACGCGCGGTTCAATACGGCACCTCCTGGTATCACTCTCACATCGGCCTTCAAGCCTGGGAGGGAGTATTTGGCGGCATCATTATTGATGGGCCTGCGAGCTCCAATTACGATGTTGACAAGGGCGTTCTGTTCCTCAATGACTGGTCTCATCAAACAGCGGACGAGCTATATACTTACGCTCAAACGCAAGGCCCGCCAACCCTGAATAACGGATTGATCAATGGAACCAACGTATACAATGGCACCACTGGTGGCTCTCGTTTTACGATGCGAGCCAATCAAGGCGAGTCCTATCGACTCCGGATCATCAATGCGGCAATTGACACCCATTGGAAGTTTATGATTGACAACCATACACTGACAGTCATTTCCATGGATCTTGTGCCGATCGAGCCCTACACAACTAATTTCATCAACATTGGAATGGGTGAGTCATCATCCATCGAAAGTTCATGCACCTAGTCTAATTATACACTGCTAGGCCAGCGATACGACGTCATAGTCACCGCCAACCAGGCCTTGGTGGCAAGAAACTTCTGGATGCGTGCTGTACCACAGACCCAGTGTTCCGAAAATGACAGCGTCGATAACATCAAGGGCATCTTCCACTATGATACGAGGATAGGCACGCCTGAGACAAGTCCCTACGAATTCCAAGATGGCTGTGTTGATGAAGATATGAGCAACCTAGTTCCCATCGTTTCAAAATCAGTTTCTCCCGCAGACTGGAGCTCCGTGGAGGATGTGGCTGTAAGCACCAATGCAAACAATCTCTTCCGTTGGTATTTGAACAGTACCACTATGGAGGTCGCATGGCAGGATCCTACATTGCTTCAGATTTATAATAACGCCACCACTTTCTCCGACTCCAGCGGCATAATTGAGCTGCCGAATGCCAATGAGTGGGTCTACCTGCTCATCAACACCTCAATGCCAATCGCTCATCCAATCCATTTGCATGGGCACGATTTCTTTATCCTTGCACAAGGGTCAAACCCCTGGGATGGCACCACGGTATCGTCCACAAATCCTCCTCGGAGAGATACCGCCATGCTTGAGAGCGCCGGGTATCTGCTCATTGCATTCGAGACGGATAACCCTGGTGCATGGCTGATGCACTGTCATATTGGATGGCATACCTCAGAAGGCTTTGCTTTGCAGTTTGTTGAGCGTTCTGATGAGATCAAAGATTTAATTGATTATCAAACGCTGAACCAGAACTGCGTGGCTTGGACAGCATATGACTCTGCATATGGCATTGAACAGGAGGATTCGGGTGTTTGATTCACTCACTGGAAGGTGGAAAATATACGATGTTGCTGCGGAGACGCATAATTAATACCTATACGTTAATATATGTTCATGGACTCTTGTTTATGAAGTGTTACCGAATCTGCACCCCCTGACTTGGTGGCTGGCCCATACACCATTAGGATTTCTGCAACCTCACTGTTATTCTACATCTCGGCTGCTATTTCATTACTGTAGTGCCTTTCCCCGTTACCTGGGTTGGGCAATCGTCGCCGTACGCAGCGGTGGTTAGCCGCCTTGGGGGGATTTTGACCAGGAGGACTACTATCCCAGGGGCCTTTCCCACCTTATCTTACCTTAGGCCAATTGACCAGGAGATCAGATATTATAATCTGTCAATACGATATGAATATTGAGGCTCATGTTCCGATTTCTTGAACGCTGCTTCTCCCAACCGTCTCGATATTACATATGACAACAGGCGTTTCTTCACAATCGCCGTGGCACCGCTCAAGACCACCATAACTATGCTTTGTTCCTCCAGCCAAACCCCCGCTCCTACCACCATGTTTGGCAGTTCCAACCTTAGGCTATCTGGTGAGGTGTTGCGAGGGCGGCTACGCCCACCCCGCTTCATGGGACACCCTCCACCACATACCCATCGACTACGACGCCAATTTCGTTATGCTTACGCCAACGACTGCGACTCCAGACTTCCACCAGGGCCCCGGCGCTGTCCACAGCTGCGCAAGATCCTATGGCCGCACAGACTCCGACCCCCACCCCACTATGGAGGTGCAGCTACCACCGTCCGACCCCTTCCATGTACACCTAGACACCAAGGACAAGATATGCGTCAGTGGTAGGGATAAGGGGAACGCCATTATAGTTGGTGACCAGTCAAAGTGCAGGTGAACCCAAGCTAAAATATCTGTTCAGAGATGACTGTCTTGGAGAGCAAATCAAAGTCTCTTCTTTTGACAACGTATGCCGGTCATGATAGTTCATGCAGGCCCAAAAATGTGGCCCTTCATCGAATAAGAATGGGAAAGACAACCCATCTGGGCTGGTCACGACTGCCGAATCTATAACCTTTTGAACGGTGGGGTTCGGTCCGCGGATCTGCTTCCACGAGCACCTCAGACCCAACTCCGCCTCGTAACGGGGGTAACTCCGTCGCATCCCGGCGAGGTCATGATCCAATAAGTTATGTGTATGAGCTGATGTTCCTTTTTAATTCGGTTGAGAGGCTCGTGAACCCCAAGCGCGCTCAAACGAGTCAATATCTTGTCTCTGTTGAAACAGGTAAGTCTTCAACGCAATAAACAGGCTGCTTAGAGCTATGAGCCGGAGCGAGTTAAACCTAACACTTGCAGCATGACGTCTAATAGCTCTTTGCACGGTGCATCGAAGTCTCGCGAAAGGTGATAGATCACATAGCGTCGGTCGGAAAAGACGAACCAAAAAGCGGTCTACAATTGCGATCTCGGGCGTCGCCCATCCGTCCATAGCGGGGATCTCAATTGCATCGGGGGACCCAATCCACACCAGGTCTGCCCAATGAGCCCAATGAAAGCGAGGCTAGATCTGCGGGCTTCTCGCGAGAGGCGGAGAAGCGGAGAGGCGGTATGGAGAGTCAGCTAGCCAATGGGAACCCACCACACGGACGATCCTGGATGTGGGTTGGCGATTTGGTGCATGGCAGTGTGCGACCATTTTGCAAGCAGCTGGTCCGTGTTCTTGATGGAAGAAAAGATAGCCCTCTGAGGCGAATGCAGAGTCCCCAATCCCGCAACTCGTGCACGCTTTCCATCCCAGCGGCATGCAGTATCACCACACCCATCGAACTGAAATCAGAGCGCAGGTTGAGATACGAGAGCCGGCGTGGAGATCATTGACAAGATTCGAATAGAGCCACCGCTGAGGTTTTCTACTTATATGGCCTCTGTTCTGTCGCAGCGTTGGGGTTCTAGATTGCCGTGACTCTCGTGCCCGCCATATTGACGTCGCACCCATCCCTGCCACCAGCTGGGAAAGGCGAGAATCAACATGATCGCTTGCTTTTTATTGGGCAGTGTCCTGGCCTATGGCCTCGTCACCACAGTCTATCGTCTCCATATCCACCCATTGAGCAGATTCCCAGGGCCTCGGCTGGCCGCTCTAACAGGACTCTACGAGATCCTTTGCACTGCTTGGCCGGGTGGTTCGTTCGATGACGAGATCCACCGATTGCATCGGCTCTATGGTACCGCACCCTGTCCGGCTATACCGCAGACACTGTACTGACACAGTCGGCAGGTCCCGTCGTACGCATCACTCCCGACGAAGTCCATATCCAAGAGCAGTTCTACAACCCGAAGTATGCCGATAGTTGGATCAAAGGCACCAGGGTATTGGGCCCTGGCCGTCACCAATCGGGACGCACCACCCAAAGCGTCCAGACCCGGAAACGATCGATCTCGCGAGTGCGATCAATCCTCCAGGTCGAGGTTCATCAGATCATGCGTGGCCTGGCCCAGAAGCATCAAGTGCACCCAGTATTCCGCTCACGGCTTCGGCCCCTCATCCCGATTCCCGACCCCCACGAGAGCCGAGCTGATCCTGATTCCTCGGAGAGTGATATAGACGATGGGCATGGAAGCGCCTCGGGATCGGTGGGGGGCGGATCAAAGCCCAAGTCCCGCAAGAACCATCTCCTCCCGCGCCGAGGCCAAACACGCCCAGGGTCCTGGGATCCCCGGAACTTCGGTGGACAAACAGGCCTTGTGCTCGACGGGACAGAGGATGACAAAGTCTCTTGGTTCGAGACCCATTGAGCCCGCACAGAGTTTCCGAACGAGAAAAACTCGGGGAATGGGAGGTCGAGAGTTTGGTTTGGTACAGGGTTCTCGAACTTGTCACGTCTGGAAAAAGGGGATGGCTGCTGAAGCGGGCACATTAAGGTTACCGAGCGGGATTTGACCACTCGCGAATTCAGGCGAATCGCATGGGGACAGTGACATCGTGCGGACAGCCTGGGAGAGCAAAGACTGACAAGGATGAGGAGCCGAACAAAATATGATAAAGCAGCAGTCGCCTAGTCGAGCAGTCGAGCAATTGGTGGCTAGACTGGCAATCTGGTGTTCGGTGCGGGGGTCCGGATCTTCACCGGCCAATCTCCGATTCTGCACTCTGCGCCCTCTTCTTATGCTCAAGCCTGAAGCTTCCCTTCTCCCTTTGCACGCGACCCTGGCGCAATTGCGCAATTAACACTTCGTCTACCCTCTTTTTTCCTTTCCCTTGTTCTTGCCAGATTCCGCGCCCCCATATCAACAATCCCCCCTGGGTGGTCAAGATGGTGCGTCCTCCGCTCGACTCTCCGCCGGTGACAAACGGGGCGGCTTTTGGCCCCTGCAGATTCAATCAAGAGATCGTTGATCGCCGGGCTGCAGATCTCTCCAGACAGGACTGACCAGACCGCACTGTTTAGCCTCACGCCGACTCGTCCTATTTCTATGGCCAGACCAAGGCCGAGGTCTACTCCCAGCTATTGGAGCAAGCGCAAGGTCTGCTCGACGGACAGCGGAATTGGGTAAGTTTTGCTCGCTGTGGTCACAACAAGCCCCTTGGGCCTACTTTGTGGTCACATTTGTTGGATCTTGCGCAACCGTTTACTAATTGTCCTCTACGCGAATAGGTTAGGTGAGCACAACGCCCTTCTACCCCCGCCCCCGCGGCTGATGCGTTCAATTCCCGCATGCCGACGCGACAATTGAGCAACCCGGAATTGACCGCCCTCTAGCAATCTGGCCAACATCTCTTCCCTTCTCTGGCACGCCTATGCCGCTCTCCCCTCCCCCTCTTCGGCTGTCAACTGGGCCGGCTTCTACATTCGCGATGACAAATTCCCCGCTCTCGCCTCGCCGGTCTCGTCCCCCCCCGCTTCCCGGTGCACAGGGCCTTGGTGTAACCATCTCGACTACGTATGCATCCCCCGAGGATCAGGTCTTGCTTCTCGGCCCATTCCACGGCAAGCCCGCTTGCCAGCAGATTCGCTTTGGGAAGGGTGTGTGCGGGACGGCTGCCGCTAGCCAGAAGACTGTCGTGGTGCCTGATGTGCTGCAATTCCCGGGCCACATCGCATGCGATGCGGACAGTCGGAGTGAGATCGTAGTGCCTATTGTCATTCGGGGAGAGGTGAGTGCTTCTTGTGGCTCTCGGTGCCTACAGCCAAGCGTGAGATGAGAGACTGATGATCGAGTTTGGCAGACCGTCGCCATCATCGACATTGACTGCACCCTCCCTTCGGGCTTCGATGACGAAGATCAGAAATACCTCGAGAAGCTTGCCGAGCTTCTCGCCGAGAGCTGCGATTGGTGACCGGCTGCCAAAAGTATAGACCTTATATGAGACGTAGAGAACTGTTATGTGATACGATTGAGATTAAAAAGGGGGTTCGGGCCCTGGGGATTAGTGCTTTCGACAAAAGTTTTCAGTTGACATTTGGAAGTGGATTTCAGGGAACCTGCTACGGCCACAGGTTACCAAGTACATACTTTTCGAGGGATTGAGATTCGGATCTATCGCCTGTCTGGTATTTAGTTCGGTGTACATGTTACATGCATAGCAATTGACAAGCAGCTTCCGTTTGCCTCGCTCGTTCGCCATGAGATCGTTCCTTCAACTGGTCCCTGACTGAAATGAACCCTTAATCTAGATGCTACAGTACCTGGTTCGGCTAGAGCTTCTATGAAACACAAGATCGGCAGTGTGGGGAAGGTAGCAAGTGCATGGGCCCTGAGACCCTTGCCAAGTGACATCGCGTGCGCCGGAGCGTCAAGGGGTTCCAACGTGTCAAGCCGGGTTGAAACTATAGGTTGTGTCGATTGATACTGAGTATTACCACTTGATTGGTTGCTCTGGTGCAGTTTATCTTCCGAGCCAGCGCATGGTAGCTCGGGGCAGCTGGGCAATAGGCTCGCGCTGGGGCCACGATATCGATATCGATATCGAATGGAACCAGGGAAACATTTTCTCAGAAACAAAGGCATTTCATATTATTTCACTGCGGGCTAAGATTCAACATATTCACAGACAGCCTGCAATCAAACGGGGTGGATCTCCGCTCTCGCCGCTAGTCTCTTAGAACCCTACATTGACCGTGTAATCGCTTCCACTCTGCTGGGTCGAAAAGCCGACCTTACCGACGCAGTCGCCATACTCATAGGGCTTCCCAATACTCCCAGAGTTCCCGCTCGAGGTAGTTGGGGCGCCGAAAGTGACCGAGGTCGCGGGAAGGGCGCTGCATGAGTGACTACCCGAATTCCAAGGGTAGTACTCCACGAAGCCGACTTGGGAACCGCCAATGCCACCAGAACCAGACGGCAGAGTGTAAGTACCAATATGCGTCTCAGAACCCGTGGTAGCATCGACGAGAGTCCCGGTCCAGGTTGTGCCCTGGGTGTTCTGGATCTTCAGCAGATATCCATCCGTATAGGGCCCAGTCACGTCCACAGAGCAGCTCACGCCGGGACCACCGTCAGCACCATCGCTGCAGTTGCTGTCATCGGTGGTGGTCCCACTGATAAAGCTAGAGAAGACGGCGTGAATAACGGGCTGAGAGTCGGAGTCTGGGCGCGGCTGGAGTCCGGTGTATCCGATGTCGGACTGGGCGTTGAAGTTGAACTGCTGTGCGAAAAAGTATCCGGATTGGTGCGGGGCATCGGGCATCGAGATCGGGAAGGTGATATCAGTCAGTCCAGAGCTGGAGACGTCGGAGACAGTCCATGAGAGGCCGACCAAAGCCTCCGAGGCTTGAAAGATGGAGGACAGGAGGGCTGCGCGGAGGACGTTGGATGAGGTTTTCATTTTGGCGATGGAATTTCAGCACTGGATGGAAGGGAAGACAATAAAATGAGAGTAAAACTTGTTTAATATTTAATATTGTCGTTCGATGTCGGATGCTGAATAGTTCTTTCGCGTATTTATATAGTCTAGTGGGGGCTTTGACGATCACCAAGGGGGTAAAACGCCACATTGCATACTAGCGATTTGTAAACAGCATGTTACATGAGGAGCATCCAGCGGATGGAATGTGTCCAATACGAATTGAGATCTTGTCTTGAAGAATCAATTATTCGCCCGATCCTTCCAAGCTTGGCTTTGGCTCGTGCGGCGTCAAGTCAGGGTGGCTGTCAATAGTAAAGAGGGCGGGCTGAACCCATCTACAGTGCCCACGTGGACAGAATGCCACTGAGTGATGCTAAGAAATATATACACGGCACAATTGATAAACTTTAACCATAACAAGTTCAAACATCCGGGGATCGTGGGGGAATAGAATGGTTCTGGAAGTACTAAGCATTATCAAGATCGCTGTCCAATCGATCCCAAACAAGTAATATCAAGGAATATTGATTGACTTTATTGATCTCAATTGGGCGTGCGCTATCAGGCTAAATTTCTGGAGCCAAGGCAAGACGATCCGGATTCCAATCACCTCTAAAGAATTTCCATTCTTTCACCCACAGAAACCTTAGATGTACGCGCATACTCAGATCGATTACTTCCCTAATGAATGACAAAACAGAGAGAAAGAACCCAAGATATGCGAAAGAACATCACAAGTGAAGGGTGCGGATCAAGCGGAGGATTTTTAGGCGGAGAGCACATCGCACGCTCAATACTGTGCCTACAAATACTCGCCGGTTGCATTGCTTATTACATTCTATGGCCGCAGGGGCGTATATAGCACACACGGTAAACTTTCACTTTTTGGGCATTCAAACACCTATCTTGCTCGGACCTGCGTGAAGAATGTGATTATTGGGAGTTGATAGAAGTCACCTTCTTCTCCCCAGTAGTCTAGCGTCCTCTTGAAGGTTATGCGTCTCTTCCAAGCTTGAAAGATTCGCTGGAGTTATGGAAGGTTGCAGCATTGTTCCGGCCCACGAGTGATCTTAACTGGCTTTTACTGATCATTTTCGCATATCGATACTAGAAAGAGACACACAGTCCTCCGCCCTCATGGGGTTCCTGAAATTCCCGTGGGCTATGAATCCATTTATAGCTTGTCTGCATCTGCTTTGACACACCGCAGGTTTTATCAATATAATCTCAAGCCCCACAATGACGTTGACCTTAGCCGGCCCATAGACTCGTTGATCTCATATACTGTGAGCAGCGAAATTGTGTTGTCCCTCAGCCATGAATAATCGAGAAGATTGGGAGGGAGTTTCAGAGAACAACCGTGTTAAGATCAAGGACCATTTGGAAGAACTCCCAGAGACGTTCATGTCCCTCAGACATTGGGAGAAAATTGTCAAAAATGAAACAGAGGTATAGGTATGCTTAGATATACAAGTGCATCTTTCTAAGCAAGATTACGGTTGAACCTGCGTGTGAAGGATAGCTAATAGAGTTAAAGAATTAAAGAGTTGGAAGCATTCCTACGCTGTCTTTCCCTGGCAAGTTCTAGTACTGCGACACTCCTTTCTGCTGGAGCTAGTTGACCTACCGCTACATCAGCCCCATAGCCAGATCCTACAATCACAACATCTTCGGCTTCAATGGAGTGGAAAGGAGAGCTTAGTGTCGAATAGTTGTCAGTCCCGTTGCTTATGATTGTCATTGCTTTCGCCGTTGACGTCTATATTTTATGAGATGCAGAGCCTTGATCACAGGTAGGCAGACGAATAAAATTCCTAACATAGTAGATATGTACCAACTTCATGGGAGGTAAGCAACGCATGAAGGGCGAAGGTCTTAAGAGGCTTGAAAAGAACTGGGTTCTCGCCAACAGTATGTTTTTCTTCCAATCAAGCCATGGTTTATCCTACTGGCTAGACAATCCGAAGAATGGACAGGCTGGAGAATCTATCATTTAAAGTCATCCCCAGTCTCAAGATAGCGAGCTATTCAACGTAAAGCCATATCAAGAGGCTCACCAGTATGCTCTTTCCCACAACCGACCCGAGGTGTAGACCTTAACATGGATACAAGATCGAGAGTCTCCAAGTGGACAGGACGAAACACAACACGAACGGTGAGGGGAACCGCATACGGCAGCTGGATGCTGGCAATAGAAGAAGGCACGAGTCATTGATTTCCTCATATCATGCATCGCTCGCAGTCGATTCAAATCCACCCGCCTTCCTTCGACTCCATCCTCGCCCTTCGCAACTGCCCCGTCTCCCTCCAACCAAACAGACTCCAGTCACGGCCTCCTCTTGCATGCCAGCTGGAATTTCCTTTGGGCCATTTCTGCCTCGCTCCTTCTGCAAAAGCTTGACATTTCCACTGCCCTGAGCAGACAGTCAATGAGCCATGGCCACAGAGCAGCCCCGCCCATATGCGGCGAATGAACTCGCTGCTCATCCTGCAATGCTGCGAGCCTATAACCCAGCATCCCGTCCGACACCCTTCGGCTTCCTCGACCTTCCACCAGAAATCCGCCTGCACATCTACTTTCACATCCTTCCTCGCGGCGAAACAATCGCGGTGAATGGGGACATCCACCTCCGGACGCACCCGCACCAGGATTGGTGCAGGAACTTTCGTGACAACCACGTATTCACGTTGTCGATACAGATCGAGCAGGAATGTCTGGATGTTCTCTACAGCCAGAACACCTTTCAACTCAAGCTGAGCCATGTACATTGCAGTAATCGCTGGGTCCGTTTCCCGGAGCCGGACCTACTCAGAATACGACATCTGAGGCTGGTTGATGTTGATGTGACATTTTTTGAAGCAGAGAAACCTCGATATCACCACCAGGCATGGGATTCAATCTTGTCAAATCTCAGGACGCTCAAGCTCGCTTTTAGGCAGCCCCGGCCGAGTCTCTTACCGGATCGTGGTTTGTTCACCTTCATCCATGATCCTGCCAGACAGGGGGAGGTGAGAATGTGGAGGGAGATGATGATATTATGGTTTGAACTCCTCGTACCTTGGCTTGACTGGTTTGGGGAGTTTGTGGGGGCTGAAACAGTGGTGATTGCCGAGGAATGCTGCGGAGATGAGACGAGAAGGCTCATCAAGAAATACATGCCGGCCTGCCAGGATTGTTATGCATCCAACTATTGATATCTCCATCCTGGGAGCGAGTGATTTTGTGATTGCGGAAGGAAGGTTCATTGTAACCGAGTGCTCTCTACCATCATAATTCTCTAGTACAAGAGGTAGCGACTGTGAGCGCCAAGATAGCCAGCTTAAACCCCCGAACGAATATCAAATAGCAAGAAACAAGCCTAAGCGTATGGCCGAAAGGTATAATGTAGAGACCGCTAGCTTTCTCTGGATGAGTTGGAGCAACAACCGAAAAATTCGTAAATCTATTCGTTAACCCTCCATGGTAGAATGTAGGTGGATAGGTCGTAGAGCGCCGACAAAATAGACGACGGACGTCAAGTGAGATATAGGAGGTCATAAAAGAGGTAAAATGTATAGAACGTGTGGCTGCTACATGCTCAGCAGGCTCATTTGTCGCCGCATCGGGTTCGGTGACATGGAGTCGCCGTCCTCACTTGGACCAAGACCACTGTCTGTTCCGGTGAGCCCGGCGTCGGTATCGATGTCCCAATCATCTTCGGCGTCACCGTTCAGACCGCCGTCAGCATCTCCGCTGTCCCAGCTCTTCTGGATAGCACCGCGGGTATTCCAGCGCAGGGCACGTTGAACGCTGGTGAACCATTCGCCGCTATCAGAGACGACGGTGGGGAAGGGATACTGGCTAGCCTCAACAGTGACGTAGTCGCCCTGTCGAAGCTCGACGCGTCCTTTGCCATCGAAGGAGCAGTAGGCGGTGGATCGTGAGGTATTGGGGACAGCGATGCGGAGGAGATGAGAATCTGAGAGGACCATGGGGCGGAAAGAGAGAGTGTGGGGACAAATCGGAGTGAGGAGGATGCCCGGAATCGACGGGTGCATGAGAGAGCCGCCAGCGGACAAAGAATATGCGGTCGAGCCAGTGGGCGTGGAGAAGATGCAACCGTCCGCTTGGACAACAGTTAACAACTCATTATCGGCGTATAACTCCAGGTTGGACACGTAGGGAGAAGGGCCCCTGTCAATGACCACCTCGTTCAGAACTTCAAACTGCTCTCCTTCCTCCACCGCGCCAGCCTCCGCCCCTTTGCTCCGGTCTTGCCGGAACACTGTACATGTGAAACGCATTCGTAGATTGACGCGCATGCCGATCTCGCCCATGACGCCATTGAGATGGGATTGATATTCTTTAAACTCGAAATTCGTCAAGAAGCCCAGGCTCCCGAGCGAGAAGCAGAGCACCGGGGGTACCACACGCTGGAAGAGCCAGGAAGTGAAGAGGACCGTACCGTCACCGCCCAGCGTCAATACCAAATCGAATCTCTCCGGTGACGTCCAGCAGAGATCCGGAGTCCAGAAATGGAGCATTTGTGCGAACCGCGGTTCCTTCTGGAAGAGGCCTACAGCGTCGAACCGCTTGGAATTCCGCAGCTTCGCATCGACGTATACATTGACCCCCAGATTGCTTCCATATCGCGGTGTCGACAGCAGCCACTCGGCTACTTCGCGTGTCAAATGGACCAGGGTATTGTCGCGTGCCTTGGTGACGATCATGATATTGCGCACCGCGCGTTTGATCGGCCGTCTTTGCAATTGTTTCGAAACCTCCCGGACCCCTGTCGCGGTTTGAACCAGCCTTGAATGTGATAGCCACTCGTCATCTGCAATCTCTTCTAGAACTTTCTTTATGTTGACGGCGTCGTCGAAGCGTTGGTGGAAATAGCATGGTGACTGGAGCATCAACCGCGCCGTTGAGGGAGACCGCTCCAGATATCCACCTAATTGCAAGTTGGAAAGCGCACTTGACAGCTTTTGGGACGAGGCATTGCTACACCGGCGCTCCTTGTCATCCGGCGGCGACGAAGCGGCTTCGTGCGTGCTGTTGGCGAACATGCCTGTAAAAGGGTTTGTGAAGGCAGGGTTCGGATTACTATTGGCCAAGCTTGACCGCGAGGCTAAGGCCTTCATGATGGTTTGACGCGGAATACAGTCCGTTGAGAGAGATCGGTTTCCAGAGAAGGACTTCTGGCGGAACCGGTGGAAGCTCGAAGAGGGCAGTGGCCGGCCGGCAGTATCCTCCTGGTTGAGCCCGTTCTTCTGCAGTGGTAACACACCGTTGCTAGGCGCTCGTGGGGCGTGGTCATGCGACGGAATCTCGTGCGTCTGGGAGGGTTCTATATGAAGGGCATAATCGCGAAGAAGCGCCGTCCCGACGGATGATGCGGATGGGGGAGGTGGGGCTGTCGCGCTGACACCAGCGTTGGCGTTGGCAGCGATTCGGGTTGGGGAGAGCTGCGGCGGGAATTGCACCGGTGTGGGTGCAGGTCGTATCGAGGGTATGTCAGATCGGAGAGAATCACTGCCGGGCGACGCCATGGGCAACAGCAAAAGTGCCTGGATTGGCTGCCGGCGGGGTTTCAAAGCGAGAGATGACGGGGAGGAGCGCGAAACCCGGCGCGGACGTAACGGGGTTTGCGGACCACCACGAGTCAAGCCAGTGCTGGCAGTCAAGCCAATCTGCCCGTGTACCCGTGGGTCGCAGGCCTCAGGCCTAGCGGGTTTGGATATTCGTTTCCACCGTCTTCCACGGTGGTTCTTCCGGTCTGATCTGCGGACAGGGATATACGCCTGATAAGCGGGGGGAGTGCTCGAGTGCTCTGATCGGCCCGTGGGGGCTGCTACGAGCTTTGCGACTGGAGATGAACCTGGCTTCCGGATAGAGAATTGGGGAAGGAAAGAAGTGTCAGAGGGTTAATGTCGAAAAGGAAAGGCAGTTGCCGACAGCGGAGGTGAGACGGCGACGGTGGATCGCTCCACTTGGACTAAGGAGCGGACAAAATTCCTGAGCTTCGAACCCTGCGGTCGGATAAATTGCTTTTTTATCGCCGAAATTGATGACACGATCTCGGTATGCTTAGCGGGTGCCCAGCGGTCGGAAATCGCGGCAGTACCTCGATAAAGTACCAAATGTACGCTTTTCTGAGGAGGTATTTCTAGCCGCCTGGTAAGATTTGCTGCGTGTCTTTTAGACAAATTCTAGGGCCCTTTCTGAGTAGAGACTAGGTGGTTAGTTATAGTTACTGGCAATCCCCAGACCCGCTTCATCGTGAATCGAAACGGGCGATGCATACATAAGCAGCTCCCAGTCCCCTTGAGCGATGGGAAATATGCTGTCTACGATGACGGTTACATGTCTACAATAGCTTGTTTACGCAAGAATATTGCGATGCATGAGAAGAAGTTTCTTTTTCCTAATGGAACCGTGCTTGGTTTGGTCGTACAGCGGTCGCGTCATTTGTGCAGCGTCGAGCAGGGGCTGGAGGCTTGAGCGCCATAAACCAAATCCGAGGCCCCAGTGTCGGTGTAGCTAATTCTGCCGCCTGCCGAATGGATCATAGGCTGCTTCTTTATGCGCGGTGTGTGCGAGTCGCCCTTTTGAGGCCAGCCGTTAGGCTAATAGCATGTGTGACCAACCCCTCGCATCACTCTGGGGGCGCCAGCCCCCAGCGAGAAGTCAAAGATTAGACCAGGCAGAAATGCAAGGCTAAACGATGCTCGTAAAAACCCCTTCGTACATTCAGGGACAGTCAAGTGATACGGGCCTCAGGTGAGTGTGACACACAGCCACCAAAGTTATCACAACTCTGGCGCCGTACGGAATAGAAGAGTCGGTATCTCGTGGCGGAGTCAACGGCTTGGGCACAATAAGCAGACCAAAGACGTACTCAGGTCCTCCTGGTCGGGAAGTTGAGTTGAGTATTTGCCGCACTCATGCTTTTTTCTGCTCGTCGCACGTGTGGCTGGGCCTCGTTGCTCAAGCAGAGTCAATCTTCCACGAGTAGTCGCGGTGGAGGTGGTCCTCCACGGTCTCGCAGATGAAGCCATTGATGCGAGCTTCATCACCTCCGTCGCCCATTGTGACATCCCCATCGGCCCCGGGGGTTGCCATCCCGCGGCAGATGGAGAATGCTCGCTCACGAACTGACTCCCATTGTTCAAATTCGAACCGGCCCTGGCTTTCGTCAAGCAGGAGGTGCCCCTTGGAGGAGAATGCAAGCACGTGGAGGGACGAAGCTGCCTTTGCTTCAGCTGCAGATGGATTGCAGATAATATCACCGGACTTGGTGACACCCAGTAATGCCGTAGAGAAGGTCATCGACATGGGAACGGCGGCCGAGAGAAGGGCGAGCAAAGAGACTTGGAGGAGTGTCGGGAGGATGTTAAGGTACTATATCTAAGTTAGTATTAAGGCCTTGTTGAAGGTTCAGAAGAGTTGAACAGCCATAGCGTGCTTGAACTCACCGAATCACCACGCTCCACAGCGTCGCCGCCAATGATCGCCAGTGTGATCACCACGCCGCGGCGAGGAAACCCTCGCTCGCGCCCGAGGATCACCTTTTGCAGCACAGATCGCAAAATCCCCTCCACGTATCGCTCACCCACCCCAGCAGTGGTATTTCCGGGCTTGACAAACACTTCCACAGTGGCTTCTTCGGGTTTCAGGGCGTCGCGGCGAGCTGGGAGCTCAATGGGAGCATTGACCGAGCCCAGCACGTTATAGCCTGTGGTCGGGCATTTGAGGGATGCAGAACCGTCGGCACGACTCAAGATTGAGAGCGACGCAGTAGGGCCGACCATCTTGGATATGATCAGGAAGAAGAGTGGCTGGAGAGAGTTGTAGAGTTGTGACGCGATACGTGGTGTTGAACGGTCGACGGTCGAGCCCCAGTGATTTTTTTATCGGCCATGCGGGCCGCGCGCTGATTGGCTGCCGGGCCTGCTCGTGTTGACGGACGGACGAGTGTGGAATCCAAGTCATGCCCAGAGCAGCTTCAACCTTTTCTCTTTTTTTCCTGCGCCAGTGATCTACTTGTGATGAGGCCGTGTGCCATGCCTTGCAAGTAATGCCACACCCCCGCATGTAGTATATTCCTTCTCTGCTTTGTTTTCCCTTTCCTTCACATCTCTTGCCTCCTTTCAGTAGGGCTTCTAAGGTTACCTCAATACTACGTTTCCGTCCCCAGTTTACCCTGGCTTCCTTAGCTCCATCGTATATATCAATGCCGTCATTTTGTAGACTTGTTAGGCAAGTGCCGTTAGGTAGAATAGAAGTACCATGGGATGTAGGCGTTTTCCAATTTCCTCATGAAACTTATACGTCTAGACCGTGCAGGTATTTCACCGAATTTCTGTTGTCGATTCGCGGCCCGGGCTAAAGGCGACATCATCTGAGGCTTCACGCTCGACATGCCCTGAATTATATTCATGCGATAATTAGTGGATCACAGGTATCGTTGACATCACATACCTGCCTTGAGTGCGAAGGTGTTGTATACCATAGGTATCCACCGCCGGAAGAGGCGGCTATTTTTAATCAACACCTATAATATCGTTGCATACTTGGATCGGCCTCTGTAGGGATTGGGATCTATTGCCCAGAACCCAACAGGCCTGGCATACGACAGGTTTCCCGACACGCCGAGCTCTTGGAACGTGGCACTGCAAAGGGTTGGCAAAGTTTGCGTCTCGATGCAGTCATGGAGTCCCCGGAACCATGGGTTCCCCACAAAGACACGGACCAACAATAACTGAACTGGTTTTCTATTGTTGTTTGACACCGGCGATTCGCCGATGCCGTTTGTACCACCTACCCGAACTATGGGATTGCATGAGCCGATAAGGTCGTAAGCCCCCGGTCGATGTAGCCAGGGATGAGTGCCGATGGGCACTAATGAGCACCGCCCGGACGCCAGTGGCTTCCCCCTCGGCCCGCCAGCATCCAATCATGCTTGCGGCGGGCCCCGCCCCAAGACGCTTAGTGCGTTGCCAACCAGCATCGTCGCAAGCTATCGACCCAGATTAGAGCAGCCACGCATCCGACTGGGCATGCCCCAATGACATCGTGGCTCGGGAATATGACAAAGAGAGGCCCCGCTTCACAACGTGAATCCCCCCCCTCTTCTCGGTGGAACAGCCGGCGATGTGGACGGGTTTCACATACAAATACAGCATACAAATACGGCGACTGCTCCTTTCGCTCTCCCACTTTTGCATCCTGGAGAAGAAGACCACTTCTTTGTAACCAAGGGTGTCTGGCTGGTTTGTAGTTGGCTTGCATAACAAAAAGCATTCCTGTCCTTCCCAACTCCTTTCTCTCCCTTCCTTTCCCTCCACCTATACTTGAATGGGCATAGAGACGTCTCCCGATGTCGAGGAATCGACGGAGCCTCCTATATGTGGCTTGAAGGAGCACACTTCAAATCCACATGCAATTGCGGCCCTAAGCTTTGAGCCTTGCGATACCAATGAAAAGCCTACGTCGGCACCGGCCAGTCATAGTCTGCCTGCTGGCGCTGACCTGAAATCATCATCCGACGCATTGCAAAGCCTCGACGGCCAAGTCAGAAATACCCATCTTCTAGAGCCATCTGATATCGCCGGGCTCCTTCAAACCGACCTACAGTATGCAGCTAACCACTGGTTCCCCACTTCCCCCACAAGGGCTGTTCATTCTAACCAAATGTTCTGTTCTCTAGCAATGGGCTTTCTAGTGTTGAGGCCGACGAGCGCCTCAAGAAGGATGGTCCGAATGCGGTCCGCGAAATTAAGGGCATCTCCGTCTGGGGGATACTGCTAAGACAGGTGTCCAACAGTTTGACCATAGTGAGTCTGCCATCGCCTTTGCAAGCTCAGCCTCCAGTGGTGATTTCTGGGTAACCCTGCTAAGCGTGTTTAGGTTCTTCTGATCACCATGGCACTGTCCTTTGGAATCGATGATTACATTGAAGGTGGAGTCATCACCGCTGTCATTCTCCTGAACATTATCGTGGGGTACGTGATTCTCCGAGCTCTCTCCATGGCCATATCTGACATTGTATTTAGCTTTTTCCAAGACTATCGAGCCGAGAAAACCATCATGTCGCTGCACCGTCTCTCCGCACCGATATGTAAGGTCATACGAGACGGCCGAGTGGCTTCTGTCAAGGCCGAAACGGTGGTGGTTGGAGATATTGTTCAATTGGCTGTCGGAGATATCGTACCTGCGGATCTGCGACTCTTTGAAGGCATGAATGCTTCAATGGACGAAGCACTTCTGACAGGCGAGTCCCTGCCGGTTCTCAAAACACCACACGCCACGTTGGAATTGTCGAATATTCCTATTGGTGACCGCACAAACATGGCATATTCCGGGTGCAGCACCACTCAGGGCCGCGCAACAGGAATAGTGGTTGCGACTGGGATGGACACGGAGGTAGGGAAGATTGCCCAGTTGCTTCAAATGCAAGCTGCCACCGGTGATGCAGGTTCTCTTACCCGGGCATTTTGGCGGATCAAGTCTTCCATTGCGAAGATCTTGGGTCTTGTCGGCACGCCGTTACAAGTCAAGCTCAGCAAGTTTGCGCTTCTGCTCTTTGCGCTCGCTATTCTTCTGGCCATCATTGTGTTTTCCGTCAATCTGTGGGATGTCCAAGGCGAGGTCTTGATTTACGGCATTTGTGTCGCTGTGGCTGTGATTCCAGAATCTTTGATTGCAGTGCTTACTATCACGATTTCAGTGGGTACGAAGGCCATGGCCAAGGGCAATGTCATTGTCCGAAAGCTCCAATGCTTAGAGGCAGTCGGTGGTGTCACAAATATCTGCTCAGATAAGACGGGCACTTTGACCCAGGGGAAGATGATTGCCCGCTGTGCCTGGATCCCGGGTGCTGGAACCTTGTCGATACACCAGACAACCGATCCATATGACCCGACAAGTGGTGTAGTTCAGCTGGATGAGATCGATTGGAACGCAGATTGCCCCATTGAGAAACACCCTGCCTTGCATACTTTTCTCTCCGCCATTGCACTTTGCAATGTATCAGTTGTGCATCACGACCGCAACATTTGGAGTGCGGTTGGGGAACCAACGGAAATCGCCCTCCATGTCCTTGCCACACGATTCAACTTTGGAAAGAGCGCCGTCGTCAACCGACGTGGAATTCGGCTATATACCGAGTATCCCTTCGACTCGGTTATCAAGAAGATGACAGTCGTCTACCGCAATACCGAGGAGATGGTCAACGAAACATATGCCAAAGGTGCCCCGGAAGCTATCATACCATCTCTGTCAATCTCGGAAGATAAACAGCGCGTCATTCAAGAAACGGCAGAGAGGATGGCGGGCGAAGGCCTCCGCGTTCTCTGTATAGCCTACAAAAAGTCGCCAATCGACGATGAAAAGGAAGTTGCTCCACGAGAGGCTGCTGAATCCAATCTTCAATTCGGAGGTCTGGTTGGGCTTTATGACCCTCCCAGGGTCGAGACGGCCACAGCAGTCCGCAAATGTCAGATGGCGGGCATTACTGTGCACATGCTGACGGGCGATCATATCAAGACTGCCACGGCAATCGCCTCTGAGGTTGGAATCCTTGATCGGGTCGCTGCTATCGCAAAATCGAAACATTTGGTCATGGCGGCAGACGAGTTCGACAAGCTGACGGACGATGAAATTGACGCAATTGAAGAATTGCCCCTCGTAATCGCCCGTTGCAGTCCGGCGACGAAGGTCCGCATGGTCGAAGCCATGCACCGTCGTCAAGCTTTTTGCGTCATGACTGGCGATGGAGTCAATGACTCCCCTGCGCTCAAGAGAGCCGACGTCGGTATTGCCATGGGCAAGAACGGCAGCGACGTGGCCAAAGAGGCTGCAGACATGGTCCTCACGGATGACAACTTTTCATCTATCGTCAAGGCAGTCGAAGAGGGAAGGAGATTATTTGACAATATTCAGAAGGTACGCGTTGCATTCTCATCTCTCACCGCATGACTAATAGTGGTGATAGTTTCTCATGCATTTGCTCGTCTCAAACATTGCTCAAGTCATCCTGCTACTCATCGCCCTTGCATTCAAAGATGTGGGAGGAGATTCTGTTTTTCCTCTTTCTCCACTGGAGATTTTGTGGGCGAACCTGGTCACCTCGTCGTTCTTGGCCGTGGGACTTGGTCTTGAGGAGGCTCAGCCGGATCTCATGTACCGTCCGCCACATGATCTGCGTGTCGGAGTATTCACGCGGGAACTGATCGTCGATAAAATGATATATGGGACCTTCATGGGATCCCTCTGCTTAGTTGCATTTGTGTGTGTCATTTATGCCGCAGGCACTGGCACATCGGATTTAGGTGATGGATGCAATCAAGGACACAACCCGACCTGCGACGCAGTTTTCCGAGCACGCGCCACGACTTATGCCACTCTGACCTTTCTTCTGCTGGTGACCGCCTGGGAAGTCAAACATTTCTCGCGGTCCCTATTCAACATGGACCCGGTCCGGTTCCCCCAGCGACTTTCTATCTTTCCCACGCTCTGGCAAAATCGCTTTCTGTTCTGGGCTGTGGTGGCTGGGTTTGTAGTGACGTTTCCTGTGATCTACCTGCCAGTTGTAAACCAGCTCGTCTTCAAGCATCACTCCATTACCTGGGAATGGGGGATTGTCTTTGGTTGCACGGCTACATACCTATTGTGTGTGGAGAGCTGGAAAGCAGTCAAGCGAGCATTTGGTATTGGAAGTGGTAAGAATGCCATTCTCACTTTGGAAGATGCAGAGGCTCGGGCTGGTTTGAACAGCCCATCACCACTCTCGATGAGTGCCAACACAAGTGTGGAAATGAAATGATGATCATCTCCATTACCCGATTGATTCAACATACAATCGGCTACCGGAATATTGTGAGGGGTTCGGGACTGGAAGATGTCGATTGAGCTTACTTTTTGAACTATGCTTTGCGGTATGCCCCCAGAGATTGAATAACGGGCCCAACAATGTGAAATGAAATATTGTCATGAGTTCTATTGGTACCCACTGGGTACATTTATATGCGCCTCCCGGAGTCTTGATCCTCAAGCATAGGGTGTAGATGTCATTGAATGCCCTTCTGCTTGGCAGAGACTGAACCAATAAGATGTAGTTGAGCCATGATCGGGAATTGTTATTGGCTAATTTCATATGCTCCCTAGAGGCTGAGATCTGCGCGCCACCGATGGAGGTTAAGCCACATAGAGCATGCGCAAGGACCATCGAAACCTAGATCCAACTTTGCATTTATAGTGCTTTGAAGATAAAACTCGCCAAGTAATTGTTGCTCTCCATTCCGAGGTAAACGTAGGGGATGGGTCTTCTTATCAACTAAATTTGGAGGGAGCCAACGCCAACAGCCCCATACTCTAATCATTCGCTTTGGACCTGGTAGAAGATACTCGATAGTTGGGTGTCGGTTTATGCTGGGTGAGTCGATGTAATCGGCGTAAGGAGGGATAAGGAGTTGAACATTGTGCCCACGGGACGAAGGCTCAGATACAAGATGGTAAGGAGCGATGTGAGGAGCGAACAACGAAGTGAAAAATGAAGCTGAGAGCTACCAAATACAGCTTTAATTGATTTACTCGCTTTCTGTAAGATATAACTAGGTCGCCATCATAATATTTAGGGGGTCTCAGAAACATTGTAGACCAGCTTCACTCCGCTGACCTTGTCCTCCTTCATCAGCTGCAGTCCCTCCAAAACACCCTTCAAGCCATCCTTGCCAACCTTTGGCGTATGAACCTTGATTTTTCCTTGGGCTAGAAGCGATTCTGCAATGGCGATGAACTTCTCGGCGTGTGCCCGATCCTCTGGCTTGGCGGGGATGGGCGTGTCACGGTATTTGAAAGCTTCGCCTACAGCCGTGTAGCCCAGGGTGAGACGATCATTCACGTTGGCACGCTCAATCTTGACATTCAGAAGAGAACTGTACTCGCCACCCTCAGTGGAGATGGCCTCGTCGCAGAACTTGGCGCTGGCCTCGAGAGAAATGCAATCCATCACAAGCTTCAGGTTGTTGTTGGTTTGCTTGCGGATCTCAGCAGCAGACTGAGGATCCTTGTAGTCGAATACGGCATCTGCCCCCAAGCGCCGCACGAGATCGAAGTTGTGGGGAGAGCAGGTAGTCAGCACCTTATACCCCGATAGCTTGGCAAATTGGATGGCGAGGGTGCCAGTTGCGGTAGAACCACCGTAAATAAGAATGGGGGTCGCATCCGCGATGGGCTCGGTAGGAAGCGCCAGCTTCAGACTTTGGTAAAGCCCCTGGCCAACAGTGACGATGCCAACGCCGAGGGTAGCCGCCTCCTGGAAGCTCATGTTGTCGGGGATCTTCATCTGCAAATCGCCCTTGGCCACGATATACTCGGCAAAAGCACCACCCGCGGGCTGAACAGCATTGGAGCCATGGACAAACCCACAGACACGGTCGCCCTTCTGAAATGGCTTCTTCACATCCTTGCCAACCGCTTCCACCACGCCGGCATAGTCGCATCCAACAACCACACCGGGAGGAGCGAGAAATTCAATGTGCTTCCAGTCAGTCGGGTTCAAACCCACACTGACGTTTTTGACCAGGATATATTCATCCCGAAGAGAAGGAATGGGCCAGTCAGTAACTAGTCCAGCCTTCTTGGGCTCAGTAATGATGACGGCTTTTTGAGTAGTCATAGTGATTGAGTTTGGGGGGTGAGTGTGGTGGTGTGATGGTGTCGGAGAGGATGATGATGGGAGTTGGGTGATATAACGTCTCCGATTAGTAGCAGATTACAAATCTCCATCCCGCCCTGTCATCTCGTGCCGAAGTTCGTTGCGTGGAAGGACGAAGTTGGTCAACCGGCAAGTGGATCCTTCACCTGGTTCCACTGCCAACAGAGTCTATGGGTCTACTGAGTACCGAGATCAGTGGTCAAGACCGGCATAGATGAATAATCCAAAATTCACTTCGATGCAGAGAGCTCGACTGGTTATAGAATGAAACGTGTTAGAAGCCAAAATATGATCTCCTTTACACATCGTCTTGCACAAGGCTAAGGTGACTAATCAACACAGCAGTAAATGCGTAAATAGCCAGTCCTTCTCTTCCCTTTGTTGCCTCGGCAGGAGAGAGCGGTCCACAATGAACCCGCCAGTCTGGAAAAAGTCGCTCCATGCTTTATTGGTCTTCCGATATAGTTACAGCTGCCACCGCTGGACATCACGCCCGATGACATCATCGCAGCTGAAGCTATCCGAGAGTCCCACCAAAAACGCGCCCCATGGCTGATTAGAGGCTTCTGTACGCGACGAGTTTAACGCTCAAGAGACCCCTCGAGTACCTGGAGAAGTTCACTCTGGAGGATAGCGTGGTGTTGTGGGAGTATAATTCGGAGTAGGTGTCAGCTCAACCCTTGCAGCCCCAGCCACGCTATAAACCGACCAGGGTCCTGGCCTCCTAGGAGATCCTTGTACGGGACCTGTATGGCACCATAGGAGGGCCCTCAAGTCGTCAGTCAAGTGTAAGGTATTGAGTGAGCCTTAGGCAAGGGGTCTCCATGCTCGTTGCAGTACAATGTCGGACATAACCCTAGAGGATGAGGCATACGGGCACATACATACGGGCACATACGGGGACGTGACGACGGGCATCAAATGCATGGAGCAACTACGTCGTACAAGATGTCAGGAAGTGAAGAGTGAGGCTTAATATCATGATTGCCCTGGCTTAGGCAAGCCCGGGGTGTCCCATGGGTTACTCGCTTCCTCCCCTGCAGGGGTGATTTGATGCCCCGCAATGCTGATCCCAACCCCTTGTTCGTTCGGTCGGTCTGCACTTTCGCGGTGTAAGCTTGAAGCCATCAACAAAGTGCCTGGTTTCCATGAAGTTGGAATTGGGAATCATCCAACCAGCGACAGACCTCGGACCTCACGTACGTTATCTTCGCCTAATTCGTCAGCAGGGCGCTTACTCGTAATCAACAAGCACCCGCCCCGCCCCATTGCGGCTTCCCTTCTTCACCGACTCTCTTCCCTTCAATCTCCACCCCCGACCAGCAATGAAGGTCATTTGTCTCCATGGAAAGGGTACCAGCGGCGCCATCTTCCGGTCGCAGACCTGTAAGATTCTCTTGCAACCTTTGGAAACAAGCTAGTCCTAATGCCGCGGCCCCTCAGCATCTTTCCGCGCGAAACTGCCAGACCAGAGCATCGAATTTGATTTCGTAGACGGGCCCTTTGAAGGAAGTGCCGCTGCCGGCGTGGACCTCTTCTATCCCCCTCCTTACTTCTCGTGGTGGGAGAATGACACAGTGGACGATGTGCGGGCAGCGGTGGCACGGTTGAATGAATACATCGCCACAAATGGCCCTTACGACGCGGCACTGATGTTTTCGCAAGGCTGTGTCCTGGGTTCATCGGCGCTGCTTTTCCATCAAGAAGAAACACCACACTTACCCGCCCCCTTCAAGTCAGCTATCTTTGTCTGCGGTGGTCCGCCTATGCGCATCCTGGAGGAACTGGGATTTCATGTGTCAGCACAAGCGCGCGAGCGCGACGTGGCGTCCAGGAACGCACTCGCTCAGCAAGCGGATAATTCCGCAATTTTGACCCAAGGCTCCAATCGCTGGACCGGCCTTGAATCCATTGATGGAGGTCTCTCCGAGGAAGAATTGCGACGTGAGATTCAGTGCCCGTACCGCATTCCTATCCCTACGGTGCATATATACGGATTCAAAGATCCGCGGTACGCTGCCGGCGTACATCTGTCTGCGATATGTCAGCCCGAGAAAAGGCGGACGTACAATCACGAAGGCGGACATGAAATTCCTCGCACCCTGAATGTCAACTATGCCATCGCGGAATCTGTCCGGTGGGCTCTAGCCGAAGGAGAAAAGTGTGTGTGAAGAAACTTTCTTGATTTCTCCGAGCTCACAGCTCGCTTATCTTCAACAGTTAGAAACGGTCTCCCAGAGGAGCTATGGGGCGGATGATTCGAACGGAAAAGCCAAACCCGGGCTACGTTCGGACGAAATGGGACAGACCACTCGATATTCTTCTAGAGAACAGGACGAGATGCATTCGCAGAATACACTGAGACCTACATTCCACATCACTTGTACGCTGAGCTAAACTTTCCGGCCCAACAGACAATAGAACGCTCTAATAGTAACCCGACGAGACAATGGATTGATGACATGAGGTCTAAAGGGGATGTGGCTTGGAGCCAACTGACCCGCTTCTTCAGATGATCGAAACCGTATCATTGAGATTCTCCCAACCCTAATTGAATAGCCGAGGCACAAAGCCAAGACCAAGATCGGCGTTCTCTCCGAAGTGACACACCTAGAACAATGCAGGCAGCTCGGTGTCGTTACGGCCCGGGAATTCCAGAAACTGTAGACTGCGTGCGAATCAGATCGAAGAGTCCCCACTCAAATCCCTCTTTTAGCTTATCGGATGCCATTTCGGGCCGAGTGGGGAAACCTATTCTGATATCATATCTGTCAGTCATGCGCCTATGCAGAATGTCAAGATGTGTGTGTTGGGCACAACGGAATGATCTGTTGACCCGCTTCGTCTTCCGTGGTAGCGCAAAGAACTCCCACGACAGATTAAAGACCTCTTTAATTTGACCAAAGTCAATGGAAGCATGCATACTGTGCTTATGCACCTCGAAATACGAAGTTTTGATCCGGCGGGGTCCTCCGCTCTTGACCCCCCAAACGCACCGTCGGTTATTAGCTATGCCGCGGGCTCAACATGCCCATCTTGGGCGCCGCAGCGTAGGGCGTTGATGAGATCCACCGACCGTGTGGTTGGCGCTGTCAACCAGGCCCGTTAAGCAGTGGGAGCTGCCATGAGCATCCGGGCCTTGACCGACACTATTGAATTGATGCCATGGTAGGATTGACCAGGGGGTTGCCGTTTCCCCATATCGGCCCGTGCGAAACCACCGGGGTCGTGGTTATTAGCCGTGAGCCAGCGTTATGCAGAAAAAGGATGACCGGTTGGGGTCGACTCGGACAGAATCACTTATCGGAGGTCGCAGAAGGCAGCTACTCTGGAAAATGATCAATTTACAGGGGGAATAACAGATTCATGCATGATTATGTGCAGCTAACCAAAGGTTATTGGTCTCGAACTGCCGACTAGGTAGAGAGATACCTGAGGCGCTTCTTTCCCAGGGGTGCCTAGGTAGTGACTACCTATGCTCTACGAGAGCTGCATGGAAGGGGACTAGGATAAATTTTGATATTCGCGTAGGATGTAAGTGAAAGCAGGAATCAGCATTTGAAACCTCATCACGTTAAACATTGAAGCCTAAGGTTGTAGAGGATATTTATTTGAGCTCGCTAAGTATATATCGTATATCTGGGTACAACTATTAACACCATGATGACCATCTGAAAGGGTCACCACGAAAACGTCTCTTCGAAGAGATCAACCGTCTTCTCTCCTTGGACATGGCGAACCGCATCACGGACACTATCCCCCAATCCACCAGGACCGCACACACTGACCGCCAGCGCGCCGACCTGTTCCGCCTTCTCGGTCTCCAGGAGATTTCGGAAAGAAGGCCTCTCGTGATGGATGCTGACAGGCACATGGGATGGGGCGCATTCGGTCCACGGAGTCTCTGGTGCGGGAAGACCCTCTTCAAGATCATCCTTGTGACCAGTCACATGGATGCTTATGGAGAGCATCAGGCTGGGGAATTGGAAGTACGTGTCTCCCTTGGGGTCCATGGTGCTGTTAAGAGAGTCGTGCCCGAAAATGTCCGTCATCCAGGTTTGGATCCATGCGAGATGATCTATAATTGCAATTAGCGTCTATTTCAGATATGACAACGCTGGGATGGAATCTGACCTAAGGTGCGAATCATCCACACGAGGCGCACCTTCCGGGTGGCCGTCTTTCGAGTCGCAAAATTGGTGACTACCTCGTGAAGATAGGACATTGGGTGAGTAATACCGATGCCACCTGCAACCAACAGCAGGGTTCCATAAGAGGCAAGGGAGTGAATACCACCTGAGATGAGATATGAGCAAGCATCCTATTCAAGCAGCGTAATCTGGAGTGGCCTTACCAAATGGTCCTTCAGCCAAAGCCATGGCCTGAATTCTTCCCTCGGGCGAGTCTTCGACCTTTTGGAGAAGCTTCTTGGTAAATCCATCCTGGCCCTTGATCAGGACTGACATGGTAGTTTTCTCTGAACCCCCGAGCAACGAGGCAAACGAGTCGCTTGAGCTGTGCTTCTCACTGAGGCTCGATGAGTCGGACCCGTTGGAGGACCACGCAACTGTGAAGGGGTGCGATGTCCACAATCCGAGGCATGGCAGATACAGGTATATGTATTGACCGGGTCGGAATTTCCAGGCTCGAGAGACCTCTACGTCGACACGAGCAACGGCGCCCGGCAAGGCTTCCACGGTCGCGGTTGTCCGTCGCTTGCCGCAGTTGCGCCAGATGAGAATGCCGAGTCGACCAGCGCGCTATGAGATGTTAGCTACTGACTCACGCAAGGTGGACGAACGGATAGATGTACGTCAAGACCCCAAAGTATCACCGTGCCTAGAAGCACACGCTGCTGCAACAGATTCTTCAGGTGGTACCATAGAGCCACAAAAGACATGACGGCCAAGGCAATATGCAGATGAAGAAACAGTTCGTAGAATGAATGTCGGACCGGCGACATTGATTGCACGACAATGAGAATGAAGCCAAGCAATGCCACAAGACCGTAGATGTAAAAGGGCATCTCCCAGATAGTGTAGATAATATAGTCGACTCCATCTGGGCTAGGTCAGGAATGAAGGTCTTGGTCTTGTCAGATCATACGTACTCAGATACGCCTGGTTGGCCAACACCGCGCTCATGTGGATCACAGCATTCGCAGCGACAACACGGCCGACCCAGCGATGCATGAAGTTGAAAGTGTCGAAGGGAAGTCCGAGCAGTGGTACCAAAGGATTATTCCGCCCGGCGCTCAAAACCAGGCCTGGCGTGTTCATCACAGCCAGATGGCCTGCAGCGTACTTGAGTTGGAACATCTTTCCGGAGAAGTCCTCCCACCAATCGACTGTCACAGTGAGGAAGATGAAGTTCAGCAGCAGATAGATCGTCAGCAGGATCACCTCTAGCCGCAATGGGATCGACCCCATGTGGAGCTTGAATAGCCTAAACTCTCGGCTGTGGCGGTCACCACAAACAGGTGCATAGAGCACATGTTTTTTCAAGCTTGCATTCACGCCATTCGTCCGAGACAGCTGCGTCTGATCGTCTAATTGTGAGGCTAGTTGAGACCGCCGACGGTGGCGCATCCGAACGACTGTTCTCCAGAATAATAGGACGGCGACAAAGGCTCCAACGGCGAACAGAGGAACCGCTACCTCGGGGTTCATAGGCGGCTCCCCAGGCCCGTTTCCTTGGAGTTCAACACCCATTTTGCCATGCGTAAGAGACAGTCGAGGGTGTATATATCGGAGTGGAGTGGATGCCGTCGTCAGTCGCCTAACAGCGCGGATGTTAAGCGACTGCTTGGAGGCTGTCGAACCAGGGAGGAAGGGGAGGAAAGAAGCAGGAAATGTATGTGATTCCGGAGGTCGAGGAGATAAGTACAAGGACAAGTTCGCGAGAAGAGGAAGATTAACGACATCACTGCGTGGTATTCGATTTCCTGATTCTTTCCCGCACATGGATGCCGTCATGGACCCCTGGCCCTGGGCACAACCGTGCGGGATTGAATGAAAACATCGTCATTCTTCGAAGCGGGAGTGTCCCCACACAAGCCAGCTTTGGGATTGCTGCAAGTGTAACCAGCCGAATCGAGCGGTGGCAGATCCCAGCTCAGCCCTAACCTTATCGGTTGGTATGCGAGCAGGGGATCGGCGGGAATCTAGATCTTCACGCGGACTCACCTGCCGGGGATGATTCGGGGCAGGTCGAGTCAAGAGGTACGTAATCCTGTCGACCCCGTACTGCCATTTGCGGGATCTGGAAAGGGGAATGAGGCGCCGGTCTAGACGTGGATCGGCGTTTGCTGAACTTCGACTCGTGTTGTCGGCAACCCGAAAACGGAATGTTGTTAGGCGGCATCCCCACACCCCGTCTTCGGCGGCTCCTGGACCCTAGTGCATACCTGAGCCGGCAACTTAAAACAGAGTAGGCAATAAACCCATCCCCCTCCGCGTTCTAACTTAAATGATTTCGGTTATCAGATATAGGATGCACAATTCATCCTGCGAGGACGAGTTTATGTCATCATCCTTTTGGCGCCCGAACGTGGGCTTGGAGACTCCGAGAAACCCAAGTGGGCGGGAGCCCAATTGTCTGGAACGCAACTGCAACGTTGAGTAGACAATGGTCAAGTTCGACCAGGTGGAGACAAGGTAGTAGCGTATGACGGCATAGCACCCATCCGACGTCAGTGGGTAAGGGCGCACCATCAAGGTTGGAGTGGAAGTCGCGCGACCCTCTACGACGTTAAGGTCCGCGCGGTGGTGGATGGGCACAAAAGGGCAAAATGCACAAGACTCCCACCCTCATTGGAAAGGTTCAGGTCGGGAATCTTTGCCGACTCCTCCTAACTCGATCTCGTGGACCCTGGGATCCGTGGGTCGATCGGGTGGAATAGATCAGGCCACTTCTCTTCGGCGACCATCGTCGCGTCCGCAGTTGTTCCAAGCGGGTCTCTCTAGCGATCCATAGAAAGTCTAGAACTGTTGCAGGGCTCAATGCGTTCCCTTCAATGGCGCCCATTAACAAATCCGTCCATCCAAATCTCACCATGCCCCCTCACAGCTCCCTATACGGAGGCGTTGGAGGTCCCAGTATGCAAAGAGCACAAAATTCACCATCGCCATATTCAGAAGCATCATTTTGTCGTCGCAATCGCCAATGGCACTCTGAATGCCAAGCTCGTACAGCTCGAGTAGCTCACCGACGAGGCTAGACCTCATAAGTAGCGTTGTAGAGGCTTGAGTAAACAAAAAATCGGCCAAAGGTTCGAGATCCGTCTCCCAGAACAAGTCGGACGGTCCCCTGGAAATTCAGGGTCGACCTGAGATAATCTTGCTATTATGTCAAGCATCACTGGAAGTCGAGCGCCACCGACCATCCACACTGCTGTTAGGAACTTGGCGAAGGCTCATGTACAAGTAAAAGCAGGAATATATTTCACCGGCTTAGCTGGGAGTGGAGCTCTGGCGACTGCCAGTTCAATTGTATGAGCTACGCAAACTCAATGGTTGTACTGACCTCTTAAATGAGAAGATCAAGACCAATCCCGATAAAAGTGCCCTATTTTTGATCAGTCAAGTGTATTGGAGTAGAAGTCTCTCGATTGTGGCTTGCCCAGATGCCTCTGACCATCGGCTCGTCCCCAGGAATAGTTGGATCAGCACATGAGCTTCACTTTGACCTCGCAGTTCGCAGAAAGAAGACCGCATGGCGATGGAGTAGGCCGGCCGGGCAGTTGGACATTGTCATTTAGTCATAAATCCGATGGGCTATTCTTGCGATCCTTCTAAGTTGTCGCTCTCGGGTGCTTCGACAATGCTGGATTAGTCCAGTCGTGACACCTGTAATGGCTGGTCGAATCTTGAGCCCAGTTGTTGAAGGAAGCAGCCGACAAAAGAGTGTGGCTGCCGCCTAATCCGCTAGGAGGGTTGACCTGGCGGAGGGTCGGCCAGACACTCATGGTCATTTGGAAAGAACAAGCGTTATGTCGTGCGTCATCCGGTAAAGCCATGCGAGGGTAAACAATGATTATCTGCACACCCTCTTCAAGAGGAAGAATCGATGATGTGTCTCTTTCAACTAGATTACCCACGATTCCCGGTTTGACAAGATCATTTTTCCACATGTTGGGCAAGTCTCGCGCGATCTTTATCAGGTCATTTGGGAGTTGTCCCCTCATCACATTCCGCTCATTTTTGAAAAGGGGACTACTATACTGTGCCATCAGGGCAACCAAACAACATGTACATAGTATTATGTTAGGGATGTTTTATTCAAACTCGTTTTCTATGTTGGAGACTCATAACTCACCATCTTCAGGACAGAAATCCTTCTGCGGTGTTATCTCTGAAACATGTTGCATTGTGTTGGGTGTGATCATTATGCACCGCATACGGCATTATGTCATTTGGACTACAGCAGATGTACGAGAAATGGCGTTTTATCTTCTACCGCTCGGCAAGGGATCCAGGCTTAAGACAAATTACGGTTGAAATAACTGCGCTTAAGGTATCACAACTATAGCTGACAATAAAACCCCCGAGTGAATAGCCAACACGTAACTTCGGATAAATGAGAAGGGTCCAAACATAGGCAAAAAGCGCAATAATGATGGTTCTACATAAAGACAAACGCCCTCATCCGCCTGAGCTTATTCCCTGTCCGCTGGTTTCCCTCCCAGGATGCGGCCACTTACCCGAAATTGCACCAAAAGTCAAAAAACGCCGTAGTCGTTATCAAGTCACATGATACATAGAAGTTGAACACAATTTTAAGTCAGAATGTCCTGAGGCTTTTCCGGTACCTTGGGAACAGAATGAATGTCTTCCTCAAGGCTGAGACTGCCGTACCCAGTGTCATTACTCGCGGACCGCTCGCGTCGGAGGGGCTTTGGGTGCATCACGTCGTGCTCCGCATCGCTTTGCAAGGACTGGTTGGATCCACCCCGGCGGCGCCGGTGGCGCCGTCGCCGAGATAGGAGTGGCTCCGGCACTGTTTGTAGATAGTCGTTGATGTTGATGCCGGCGTTGGAGCAAAGAGTGGTGCAAGACTCTACGATCACCTCCACAAGGCTAGACGAAAAGCCGTAGAAGGCCGGATTGTAGGCATTTCGAGCCCAATAAATGAGCTCTGCCGCCACACGCCCAAGATTAGGGATGTCTCGGGGGCAGACTGCAATCTTACGCCCATTACGTGGCTTTTCCTCCGCCTCGTCGTCTGCAGAGGCGGCTTCGGAGACAGGCGCAGATGGAGCGGAGGAATCGGAGGACGCAATGTAATCAACATCAGAAGCCAACAGGTGCAAGAGGTGGTAGACTGCGGAAAACCCGAGCAAGCTCAGCTCGACAGGGTCGATAGGAAGCTGGTTGAACCAGTTAATGGCCTTGTGAATGGTGAACGATGCAGGGAGAGAAGTCTCGCCCGCAGAGCGAGAGGTGACAATGGCCGCAATCATGGCGCACCGGACGGCAACAGAGATTTCATCCCGCACGGAAACAGGGAGCGAGGAATCAAGGAAGTTCGCAGCGTAGTTCCGCTGGCCCTTACTCTTGTCTTTGGGCAGGGCGGCCAAAACAGCACTAATATTTTGGATGCGGCCGTGCTCAAAGAAGACTGCCTTCATAACGAGAGCACGGGTATATGCCGCTGAAAGTCGAGGGGCCACATCAAGAGCCATACGGATCTTCTCCTTGAAACAGTCACGGCTCGCCTTAGAGGAAGAGGCCCCTTCGCTTGCTTCCAAATACTTGAGAAGAGCATTCTGAAGGAGATGACTGGACCACCATGCTGCAAGTGCATCCACAGAGCACTGAATAGCAGGATCTTCCTCCACAACATCGAGCAGCACTTCATCATCAGCAGCCTCCTCTTGGGTGGGACGGTTCCATGTGAGGTTTACTGCACGCTGGATGATGTTGTCGATCATAACATCCTCACAGTCGAGCTTGCTGAGAGCAGCCAGATGGCTGGGAAGCTGATCAGGGTGGCCCTCTGGCAATGCATCATTAATATCCCGTGCAATGGCCCACTGGTACTTAGCCAAAGCGCGGGCAACATCATTCGACACGTGGAAGGTCCATGAACCGGGCTCGCCAACTCGCCACAGGAGGATGCGCACATGCAACGCCTTAAGCATCATCCGCATAGGGCTTCGGGGAAGGGTACCGGCAGCGAAGATGGTGAGCACGAGGCGACTCTTGCTGATCTCAATATCACCACCCGTGAGCTGAGCATCGATCGCAATATCCCATGTCTTGACACGGCCCTTTTCATCTTCCTCTGTGATGCCCGTGGCCCACGAGTAGAGCTTCCATCCCATAAAGCATCGCAGAATGTATTCCAAGCATCTCGAGGTTACCACGTACCACTCACGGAAGAACCTGTGGCGAGGGACGCCAACTCGTTGCATGCTTGTGAGCCAGGCTTGCCGGCGGAAGTCACTCGAGGAGGGTGGTGCATGTTTGCCTTCAGAAACAGTCTTTCCCGAAGCACGCTGGGTGACAGGCCGGGCATTGAACAAATAGACGAAAACAATGAAGGCACTTCCGACAATAAGCATTGCGAGAAGGAGAAAATGGGAGATCGCTCTTGCGTGCCAGGAGTTCCAGAAGCTTTTCACGTAATACTCAAGGTAGGCAAGGTTGGGTGGTCGCAGGCGGTTGAGAAGATTCAGAGGGATGGAGAGCAGGCCCTTCTGCTCGGTCTCGGACTTGTCCGACCCAAAGCCTTCCAAAACCATAAGTCCAGCCAGTGCACCCAGCATGTACTTATTAGGCATCTTCGACCGTCGGCGGGAACCCTCCTCCCGACCATATTCGGAGGTTCTAGGTGTGGACTGGATGTATGACTTGGAGAAAATACCTCCGGTCTGCGCAGCCTCCTCTCGCATCCGCCTGAATGCATCGGGGACCTTAATCAGACCCTCGGGTGGGTGTGTCGAGGCTGGAGAGCCTTCAGTATTCTCCTCGGGGTTGGAGAACACACTGGGCGAAGTGCCCGAGTCACTAGATGCAGTGTAATTGCTGGGTGAAGACACAGAGGCACTCGAGGTAACAGCCTGATCAGCTGCTTTGTCGACTTGGCGGAGTCTGTTCTTCAGGGCAGTGTTCTCATCTTCCAGGCGCTTATTGCGTATTTCTAGGTGTTTGATGTACTCGGTCGCCTTTGACAGAATAGAAGCTTTGTTGAGCTTGCTGGCCGAGTTGCTTCCGTCGACATCCTCCTCATCCTCGTTGGAGTCCCCGTTGGCATTTCTGGTCGTTCGAAGGCTCGGCACGCTGTTACGCAGTTCAGCAATCTTTTCGTTCAAGTTGGCTCGGTATCGTTTCTCGATGACGTTGTGAGCTCGCTTCTTCGCGGGCATCTTCTTGCTCGGCTGAACAGGCCCAGTAACCGTGGTGGCGTCGTTATCGCTGCCAGTCTTTCGCTTCCGGCTTGCACCGACACTGGAGATTGGAGACACTAGGGCAGATTGCTGATGGCCTTGGGAGTTGGATGGGTGGGGGCCATTGATACTGGTATTGCGGCTCAACCCGTCGTGGTGGTCGGATGGAATCTCCATCAGACCAAGCGGGAGGTTCGGTGAGAAGTCGTTGGAATGAATCTGACCTGGGGAGCTGGAAATCGTGTTTGGGGAGACAAAGGAGAGGTCCATCGATGGCTCCATATGCCTTTGATCCCCGTTGGCAAACATGGGCTCATCCCATCGCATCCACTGCGTCCAATCTTGATTGGAGTTGCCTGACTGTGCGTGCATCCCTCCGGACTCATCCCCACCCGAGTTGCGGCGCGGAGAGAAGAGTTGAAAATCATTGTCCATGCCGGGAGCAGACATGGTGTCTGGGCATCGGCGGCTTGGATGCTCGGCCGATGCAGATGCAGGTTCAAATTGGTCGATGATTTTCACCAGTGAAGGTGGTCAACACTATGCCATATCTTAGCTCTGTGCCTGGATACGGATCTGTCACGGGCTCATGTTGCCAGGTTCCCCCGGTCCCGCCTGCAATAAGCCCATGCAGGCAGGTAACGGCAGCCAGATTTTCGTGATAGAGAGAATAGACAGACTTACTGGATCCTGGTGGTAGAGAAGAACAGTCAATGAAACTTAAGAGAGAGTGATGGAAGGGTTCGATGGCGTGCAACGTGTGAGATGCAAAAACTGGGGAGGGAGGGGGCAGTGTCAGAGTCAAAGTCCAGGACAAGTGCATTGGCAGCAGCTAGGCAGTCAAGATACCCACCCAAATACGTCGTAGTGTAGGCGGATCCTTGGGACGTGGGAGGGTGGGTTCTCAAATCAATTGGTCTTCCCCTGCAAAGTCGATCATCTCCAGGTGACGATGTTGTGGACCACGCTGTAGACTGCGCCACGCGAAATCGGCAATCGGACAACGGAAGAAGGGTAGCGCAGTTCAATAGACCGTGTTGAGCATGTGCTGCGTTGTTGGACGAACGCAAAGCAATGCTGGACCCCAACGACGTCCGACAGCAGGCCGACGGGGGCGGTTTTAGTCGTCGTATGATCGCGGCTCGCCGCAGTTCCGGCAGGCCGGCAGACCGGAAATACTGTATAGCATCGGTAATACTTGCTGAGTCAGTGGGGCTAAAGGCGCAGTCCTAATGTCATGTCTTGTTATTTTGACGGTAAGATACACTCTGTTATCATTGGCTCTTCTATTCCCCACTATCCCCTGATGACTCAGCTTTTCTCATGTGATCCTGGTCGCTTTTGAATTTCCCCAGAGGGCCTTGCACTTCCCAGTCAAACGAGACATTCATACGAATATCACAGTCACATCCTTCCAGACTATGAAGAAAATCAGAGTTTTTACCTGGAATCTGCTCACCGATCACCAGGAGGTGTTTCTTGGCACTCCACTCGGGCGCCACTTCGGGCGCGAAAAAAAGCCAAAGATGCCGCGCTGTGATCTTATCTGATCGTGCCAGTCTCCACCTACCCTGCGCCGGTAGGCCCGGGACTCGAATGAACGGCGACAATCACGCATCAAACGCCCTGTGGATCGATGATCCGGTATCGGCGGGTGCTTAAAACACTTCCTCGCAAGTAGGCTGCCAAGTACTGTTAAGGCGTTCGCCCGCCCCATGGACAATCCTGCGTCATCGCGGCCAGCTAGCTCCCAGCCCCAGTCGGTCTACGTCCGGTGACGGAACATTCTTGCAGTCATACAATGGGCTAGTCTAACCCACGCGTCTAATTCCTGTTGGCCTGAGCCTGAAACTTGAGAAAAATCTGCGATGAACCTGCTTTACATTGCTTTCTCGATCACAGCCACCGCCTCCATCAGCTCCTTCACCGTCTTCTTAACCGAGTCCCCGGCCTCCTCATATGGTGTGCGTGGCTTAAGCCTCTCCAGCGCATTTTCAATCCCCGCCGCCGGCGCTGAGTACAACGCCACTGCGTATTTAGTCGATGCGATCCCACCCTTGCAAGGTGTCTCGGCTAGCGCCGACGCCCGCTGCAGCTCCATTGCTTCAGGCAGCATACCAGCGGTGAAAAGCTCGTAGACCTTCGAGGCAGTCTTCGGGAAAACGTTGGCAAACGCTGAGATACAGCCTGCCGACCCAACCGTGAGGCCGGCGATGAGAAAATCAGACTGCCCTCCAAAGACGGCGAACTCAGTCGGGCTGAATGTCGCAGCGAGCCGTGTGATCTTGCCGACAGAGCCGCAGGTCAATTTCACTCCGACAACATTTGAGACTCCGTTAGGGCTGGCGGCGGCAGATTCCCGGACGATCGCAGTGATGGTCTCAGAGTCAATATCGACACCGTTGCACACACCGGGGAAGTTATAAATGAGCACAGGTAAGGGGCTTTGCCGTGCAACATCTGCAAAGAAACGCTTGACAACATTCATATTGGTTGCTTTGCCGAAGTAGGCCGGCGGTAGGACTAACAGATAGTTGGCACCGGCCGCCGCTGCGTCGTGTGCCAGTTCAAGGGTTTGCTTGGTGGAGTGGGTGCCCACGCCAGCCATCAGTGGATAATGAGGGCCAACTGCAGCGCGTGCAGTCGCAATCAATTGCGAACGCTCCTCGCGTGTCAGAAGGAAGGCTTCGGAGTTAGTGCCCATGATTACCAGGCCAGCCAGCCCGGTGCGTGACAGGTACGCATAGTATTTCTTCTGTGACTCGAGATCTAATGCATCGGTTGATTGGTCGAATATGGTCACAGCCGGACACCAAACGCCTGATTTAGGGACATGAGGCTGCGGGGAGATTGGAGGTCCTTGCGATTCCATGTTGACATGCATTGAGAATGGCGATATATATCCGGCCGGAGATCGTACAATCTGGATGTGAACCAAGATGTCCAACTGGATATCAGCTGACCGTAGTAATAGGGAAACTGAAGCCAATATCTATTTCATGATCAAAATGCTTTTTATTTAGTACCCGAGGGTGCGACCTCGAGCGGGAGTTCATGCGGGGTCGAATGGACAGGAAAAGAATCCGAGTCGGAGTGCGGCCGACGATAAGGCTTATCGGCTCGGCATAGGGAGCCGACCGTTAAAAAGGGGCGGACGTCTCGGGAGAGTACCCGATTACCCGTCAGATAGAGGGGGTCGAGTACCCTTGGGGCTGTTTCTAAACTACTTGACAAGCGTAAAGCGCAAGAAATACTGAAAAGAACAAATTCTAATTTCACGGGTACGATCAACGCATGGCAACTATCCACTAAGTTGTGTCCTATCGTGCTGTCCTGTGACCATGTTAAGAGGTAATACCCGGAACTCTAGATTGGTTTTCCAATTGGTTTGGAGAGGTGATCATACTCAGTGCTGCAGCGAACGCGTTAGCCCCATGGAACAGTATACCGAAAAAAACACTCAAGGGATATGCTTACAGCAACATCCTCCCACTTCTCCCAGCCACGCCCGCGAACTTCGGCCAGGTCATCCATCGTGACCTGTTTACCAGTTGTGAAGTATCCTGCGTTGATCTTCGCGTCAATCTCAACTCGCGAGTCGCTGGGGATCATCTCATCGGGAATAGGAATACGCTCGAGGATTTTAATTCCCGAATCCACAATGGCATCATATTTCATGTTGGACATGGACAGCATGCGGTCGATCTTCGTTATGCCAAGCCAATGAAGGATGTCCGGCATCAGGGCCTGGAATCGCATCTAAAGGAGAATGGGGTCAGATAAATTTCCTGAGAAAGCAAGGTAGAGGTATTTTCCTTACATCTCGCACTCCCGCAATGTTCTCAGTTCGCGTGAAGTACTTATCGGCAGTGTCGCCACCCCGTTTCCGTGCATTGTACACGAGGTATTTGATTACTTCACCAAGGGCTCGGCCTTCCTTGCGGAAGTAGATGACCACGCCACTTCCCCCATTCTGCGCTTCGCGAATTGCTTCACGGATGCCGAAGGCTAAATATGGCCGACAGGTGCAGATATCGGACTGGAAGACATCACTGCCGTTGCATTCATCATGGATCCGGAGAGCCAGTTTGACATTCTCATCACCGACTCGTTCTGGAGGGCCAAAGATATAAACCGTAAGACCTCCGATTGGGGGAAGGAATACCTTCAAATCCGGGCGGGTTATTAACTCAGGATAACTGCCACCTGTGTGCTCAAACAGAGTTCGACGAAGAGTGCCTTCATCCACTCCAAATCGCTCGGCGACACCGGGCAAATACCACACGGGCTCCACTGCAACCTTTGTCACTCGCACCTCTCCAGACGAGTCAACCACAATCGAGCCGTCTACCTCGAGTAGGCCGTCTCGAACTGCGTCTGCAATCTCGGCCAGCTTCATGTTAGCTCGTGTGATCGCCATTGTGGGCCGAATATCCCACCCAGCCTCCAACTCCTCCTTGTACTGGTTGACGATATCATGACCGTACGGGTCCATCGACACGATCCTGGTCTTATCGGCCCAGGCCTTCTGCCAGGGGAAGTCAAAGGTTGGCTGGCTGTTACGCAGGTCTGGGCGGAAGTTCGCATCCAGGTCGCCCGCAGCAACGGCCAGCGCGTTGTAGATGCTGTAGCTACCGCCGTGAGCGCCGATCGCATTGCGGCGCTTGACGAGGTTTCCACTGCGCGACACCACTACCGGTCCGCGAGATTTGGCATCTGCGGCACCCCATTCCAATGGCACGGGGTCAATGCCACTTTGACCAGGGTATGTTGTCAACTATTGTCCGTTAGCATTCCCTCCGTGGTAGCAGAAGCTCTCCAGATAGTCCTACGATGATATGCTTGCTGTAGTGCAACTTGGGCGAGGTCGGGGACGGCGGTGTAGGCTCCGGCATTTTGGCGATGGATTCAGTTTCTAGGACCATTGGAAAAAAAATAGGAATGAGCTTTTAGACAACGAGGGGTACGGTGGGCGACGTTGAAAGGGTAGGAAATGTAAGGGGGGGGAGCCATGTGACTTCCCCCGCACGTTATCAGCTTATCTGGAAAGGGGCGGTCACTTAGTCCTGTTGTTATCTGCACAATGCAACATCTATGCATCTATCTATGCTGGGCGGGGTATCAATGACGACTAATACCATTGCGTTGTCGGCGATGTGCCTATCTCCTGTGCTGGTTCCACCTCTATATCCGTCTTCGCCTGCTATGGGGCACCCGAGGTGATCCACCCCCTAGGGACCCCTACTTGGCATCGGAGTTCTCGGCATTCCGCTCAATGGCCGGAGTGGTGAACGCCGAGCACAGATGGCCCGGTTGACACTGCATTTCGCCCTGCGAGGACCGTGGGTGACTAATTCACAAAACAAGAGACCCAGAATACATTGACATTGACTTATTACCATCCATCTAACTATGAGGTTTGTACGCTGACAACGATTGAAAGCCCGGCGCTGACTAGGCCGACCAGTAGTTCGCGTCGTCGCAACGGCAAGCCTGCCTCGTGCGAGCCCTGCAGGCGCGACAAGGTCCGTTGCGACCATGCCTTGCCCACGTGCAATCGGTGTTAGGATCGCGATATCTCGGCGCGCTGCTTCTACCACCCCGCGCCTCTGACGCGACCTAGGGGAAGACGTATCTTCCCGCTGGCAGAAGGCATCCCATTTGATCGTGCCGCCCTAGCGAGGTATGTCAAACTGTAGACCCAGTCTCAAATGGCGTATTTGCAGTCTGAGGACTACAATACCCGAGCCAAGTATCCGCAAGTTCCATGTGCCATGGAGGGACTGATCTAGATCAGTGCCATCAGTAGGAACTCCCATTCCGTTCAAGCATCCTCCCATTCCCACACGGCCGCGGTTTCAAATGACCACGCACCATCGGCACAAGTAGCAGTAGCAATCAAGAACAAGCCCCTGCTGGCGGGATACTTTGGTCCCACGAGCTTTGTGTCTCCTCTGACCGATGATGTGGATCTTGCCTCAGGTGGTCAGGGCTTGGAGGTTGAGGGTGCTCAGCGCGTGCTGCCTCCATACTGGGTCCAGAAGATCTCCGAGATATTATTGACGTTGGAGGATTTTTCTGTCATTGAATGCTTAATTTGGGAGTATTATAATCTGAGCCAAAGTGCGGCGATCCACGCGCCATTCGTGCTGAGTAGCCTTGGGCCTTTCAAAGCCATGTGCGCAAAATGCGTCTCTATGGGAAAATATCGAGGACGTGACTTCGGCGCTCACGGTACGCATCATTCAGAACACAGCCGAGACATTCGACGTTCCCCCGACCACAGCCGGGAAGGACTTTCATACTCTCTTCACGGGTGCAGCCACTCGCTTGGAAATGATCGGAGTCATTTGCTCTCTTGCTGGCCGGGCCCGCTATCCGGGGCTGGCCCGTGACAAATTCAGCGATCCAGCATCGGGTGTGCATTTCGCGCGGACGATGCTCGCAGCTAGTGAAATGATCTTACAGTCTGGCTTGTACATGAGAACCTTCTGCTTTCTCATTTGATCAACGGAGACTCAAGTCAGTACTAACCTCCAAACCCTTCCATAATTCAACAGATCCTGCTAGCTAAAACCCTACTAGGTCCCCACTGCTGGAACCGACTCCCCGAGCTCTCTACAGATATTTTCGCCCTAGGACTCCATCGAGACTCGAAGAGCTCCGATGATCTCCCGGAGTTTTTGCTCGAATCGCGTCCTAGGCAGTTTGCAGCGGCACACCAGCTAGACAAAAGCATCGCCACATTTCTTAGTCGCCCACCTAGAATACCTTTGCGCTGTGCAGACTGCCGCATACCTCTAGATATCAGTGACGATGCCCTCGCATCCGTGGATAAGAATATACAATACTCGGCGACCGAACTTGATGCTAATAATTGGAATGTTCATAGTGTGTTCCAGCGTTCCTCATGGATGAGAGTGCGGTTCATTGTCAGCATGTTCCGCGACGAGATCCTCGAGGTTTCATTACAAAAGGTCACGCCGGCAACAGCAAATCTATTGAAGTAAGGGTGGTTATTTCCCAATGCGGGAGACCATACTAACATTATATAGTGACATTTGCCACCGCTGTCATTTAGCCTGGGAATCGCTGCCTCCTCATCTGCGATACACACCACAGTGCTGGGAAAGCAACTATCCAGTGGCCGTGTGCCTTTTTTTGATTGTTTCGTATCTTGCGTATTTGTGCAATGACTTCCTCATTCAGTGACTATTAGCAGGGAAGAAAAATCCAAGAGGCAATCCAGCCCTGCTCTCGGTGAGCGCAGACATACTCTCCGCTGTCTTGACTATAGGAACTCGGCGAGAGCAAATGGTCGATCTCCCACCCGACTTTATCTGGACGGTGCGTCTCCACAAATTCATTCCACAGCTTACGGGACCGAGGTGCTAATAGACCTTGTTTCCGATTCTAGGTTCTCCTTTACGGCTTCCCAAGCGCCAACCTCCTAATCAAAGCGCTTTAACAACCAAAGACGTACCGGCGAACCGTTTCTCTACGAAGGCTCTCGGTCAGTCTTGCTTCGCAATCTTAGTGTCTTTATATCTCACCTGGAGACCATCGTCCGACCTGACAACCCTAACTACGCGCTCTTTCAGAGAGCCAGTGAGGTGTTCTCGAAGATCATCGATGAAATTCTCGAGCCCCAAGATACCATCACTGCTCTTGAAATAAGTGATGCATCGCTCTTTGACTTCGACCAGATGATTGCCGTGGACGGGCTGGACCTGTTCAATACCATGGACTTCGGGGTCGCATTTAATCAATGGCTTTTTTAAAGTGACTATCTTTTACACACAGAATACTGTCTGACGTTGGAACGTTTGTCTCGTGAACTTTGCTTGTATTAAGATTCGGCTGGTATATCATGGAATCAATGAGGGAGTATGAAAGCCGAAAACGTGGGTATTATATAGAAAATATGATAGCGCAGTCATTTCAGGCAACGCAACGATGAAGGTCTCATATACTTTTCACAGCTCAGTGAGGTCTCTCAGTCTCACTCACATCAACCGTTTTAGGTTGGCTGTCTCCATTAGGCTCCTCTGTTCTTGGAGCCGTTTGAGACACGGGGTGCTCTGGCGGATGGGTGTATACCTGCTGGGGTGGAGGATAGGCAGCCACAGGCGGCATACCTGGGGCCTGTGGGGCTCCCATAGGAGGATAGACAGGGCCCTGAGGATATTGCGCTTGGGGCGGAGGCACAGGTCCCGTGAAGCCTAATGCCTCAGCAGCGGGGTCGCGGCGACTGAAGAATTTCTTTAACCACAGGCCCGTCTTCGCACCACCAGACATATACTTCCATCTCCCTACTAGCCATGCCTGTTGATCGGGAGTTTTGGGGTCGTACTTCTTCACCGTGAGAAGGAGGAAGCACGAGAGGATTGGACACAGGAACGCAAAGGCGTACGGCGACCCGCGTCGGGCTTTCTGGCCGAGCATCGCCCTGCGGAACATGAACCAACTCTCGATGAGGCCGATAATGAGGAAAAACCCGAACCATGAAAAGAAGATGGCTAGGGCCAGTCCCCAAGGTGCAATACCCCAGGTATAATGGCAGCCGTCGGAGCAGCAGTATCCACCCGAGAAGGCGGAGTTACCAAGATACCAAGTGAATTTTTCACAGCCAGAGTAATCACCGCTGCCGCTGCTGTCCCCGCCACTGCTAACGCCGCTGGTGTAATAGCTGTTACTGTTGCCGCAGACAGTATACCGCGCAGGGGCGAAGTAAGAGCTAGCTGTGGCTAAGACACTGCTCGGGATGTCGTTGGGGTCCAGCATGGCCTGGGTATAGGTTATTCGGTCGGTGATATACTGGTATGTTTCTGTGCTAGTAACAACAGTGGTAGGCTGTATTAGGCCCTCTGCATCGCCGGGGATATAGATGGGAATAGCAGTTGTAAGGGTCCTGCCGGTTGTGATGGAGCAGGATGCTGGAGCCGTATAGACCACATTGACATAGTAGTTGTAGTAAGGGTTGCTTGTGATCTCGACACCGGCTGTTGGAGCCACAACGAGGTTGATGGCCGTTACATCGGAGGTGATGTACCCGTCGACGGATGTGAACGTGCTGATGACGGAAGGGTTGGTTGCAGTAGGGGAGATGGGGATGATAGATGTCTCAACAATGGGATCATCCGTGAAGTATGCGCCCGTATAGCCGCTGTCTTCAATGGTTGTCTCAATGATTGCGACATATCTTGTTCCAATCCATGGTGAGGCATTGGCTCCTGCAAGGAGTAGCGGAGCCAGGAATAAGCCGGCCTTTGTGAATAGCTTCATGGCGTCCATTCAGAGCCGCTGCGGGAGGTCTCCGGGCACCGCGAAGAAAACAGAGTGCAAAGGTAAACGGTCTGCAAAGATTCTCCTGGGGGCACCATCTTTCAAATAAGTATGAGCGTGAACAAGGGCATCACCACTTGGCGGCCTTAAGCATTCGATGAGGCCTTGCCTGATTGAGCTTCATGTTACGAGTCTAAGGGCCTGCCCAGTATTAAGAAAGCAGTATAGATCGACAACGAAATTGATTTTATGTGCCCAAATTCTGGAAATAGACCGCTTTAATGACTCCAGTAGGTTTGATTGGCGTAGACGCAACTCGACGCTACCCGCTTATCGTTAGCGCTCTCGTATTTTGACCCTCGTGCCCGGGGCCTTTGGCCCATGCGCGGGTGAATACGAACTGGCCAAGACCTTAAAGCCTCTAGCCCAGGTAATCGGTGCTAGCTTTAACCCGTGGCCCTTGATTGGAACCCTGGATCACTTATTGTGGGGCATGTGCCGCTCAAGTTGCTCTGCAGAAACGCTTCGGACTAGGTCTATGTTCCCCTGGTGCCCAACCAGCCAAGCCGCTTACCCGGACCTGGGGTTTTTTGTGGGCAAGGCAAATAAGAATATGTGGTGGGGTAGCGTGTAACGAGTACGCGAATCAGATATCATGCTCAAACGTTTGGTGATCCATTGGAAGGAGGAATTTGTCGAGCACACGCCCGACCGGTCCCTGGCCGCCAGGGAAATCTCGAGATGTGAAGAACTAAATTCTAAAAATACAGCAGAAACGGGAAAGAGAAATTTGAGTTCATGATTTGGTATCTATTATTCCTGGCCTAGCAAAGCCCCAGATCATAAGAAATGAAGTAAAGGGCCAAGAGGAGTTTCGTAAGTCTTTCATACATGATCATGAGCCGACCGGCCCATTAAGAAGCACATTCATCATCCACAGCTAGGTAAGACGCTGAAGTTTTCCAGGTCACACGTCGCCAATGTTCCCATTCCGCCTCACTGCTGCTGCGCAAACTGGGCCTGGGCACGAGAGTTCTTGATCGTCTTCTTGATGATCCGCTCAACCTCGTCCCAATCACTGGTGTCGATACGCTCGATGTTACAGCTGAAGTGCTGCTGAATCTGGCGAAGCATATCCCACTCCTCTCGGCTGGAGACGAAGGAGATGGCAACGCCAATGCGGCCGAATCGGCCGGTACGACCGATACGGTGGAGGTAAGTTTGGAAGTCGGGCTCGCGCTTACGAGAAGGGTTAATGGTCTCGGGTATGTCGTAGTTGACGACCAGCGAGACTGTGGACACGTCGATACCACGGGCGAGAACGTTGGTCGTGATAAGAACCTTGGCATCACCATTGCGGAAGGCGTCGATGACAGCATCACGCCGGGAGCCCTCAATGCCACCAGTCAGGGAAGCGACAGTGTGGCCCTCGGCGGTCATGCGCTTTTCGATCTCAGCTGCAGAAGCACGGGTCTATATGGAGGAGGTTAGCAAATATGGAGGGACAATATCCAAATGAATGGAGACCACAAACCTTGACGAAGATGATGGACGAGCCAACCGTCAGCAAGCCGTAGAGCTGTACGAGGTTGGCATATTTCTCCTCATCGCTGTTGCAATCCATGTACAGCTGCTTGATACCCTCGACAGTCAATTCCTCGTGCTGAAGGGTGATCTCGTTCGCCTCCGGGGCGAATTTAGCGGCGTAGCGATGAACATGAGCAGGGAATGTGGCGGAGAAAAGGACGACTTGGATAGTACGCGGCAGCATGGCCTTGACACGGATACACTGGTCACCAAGCCCTTGCTGATCAAGCATGTTGTCGGCCTCATCCAAAACCAGCACCTTGAGCTGGGTGGGGTTCAGGATGCGTCTCTTGATCATGTCCTGTACAGTACCAGGGGTTCCAACCACGATGGCGGCAGACATTCTAGTGGGGCGAGCGGACGCATCGGCGGGAACAGCAGTTCCAATGGTCAGACCGTCAAGGAACTGACCCATAAGCTGAACAACACCGACAATCTGACGAGCCAGCTCACGGGTGGGAGCCAGAATCAGGGCCTGAGGAGTATTCTGAAGTTCCTCGGTAGAAAGATCGACACGGCTCAGGATGTTGAGAACGAAGGCAGCTGTTTTGCCAGTTCCGGACTGGGACTGACCCACGAGGTTCTTCGGGGGGTTGTGCATCAATAGGGGAAGCGCGCGCTCTTGCACCTTTGATGGCTTGCGGAAGTTCATGGTGGAAAGACCCTTAAGGATGCGCTCATCTCTGTGATGCATCAATTGTCAGAGTTGAATAGTTATCGGGGTTTAGCATAGTACTTACAGGCCAAGGTCCTCGAAGCTCTTCACGGAGAACAGGGGGTTGTTAGGATCCGCCTGCAGGTCACTGAGCTTGACTTCGACCTTGTACTCAGGCTCCTGGAGCGCTGAGCCCTGGAGTTCAGTCCCAGCGCCATCATCGGCTGGCTGCGCAGGGGTCTCTATTTGCGACAAAACGAGACATTAGTGTACTGTCAAAGTCACATTCTCCCGAGATGGTAGACCGGCTACATCCAGTAGAAGGATTCTCAGCCAGTTCAGTCAAGCTCTCACTCGCGGATCGTACAGGTTGCCTTATACGCCCCGTGAAAGATCCCTTGACATGCCCCATAGAGAATCCTTTTTCAAGACCGTGCCGAGGGAATGAAGGAGGGTTGGGCGCCGCGACGGAGGATGTGGACTCGTACCGGTGGTGGTGGTGGTGGGAGTAGGCTGCGAAGCCTCATCAGGTTTGGAGATGCGATCAGCGAGAGAGCCGCCGTTCTCGGTATTCTCGGCCGACATTGTATGGGATTCGAGGGATACAATTGTCGACAGATGAAGCGAAGTGGGGGTTTGGAAGAGGTTGTATTGGAGAAGGAGAGCTGGAGGGGTGCGGCGGGGTACAGAGAACCAAGCGCGATTGGATTTCAATGGCGGGTGGAGGTAGTTTCAAAGAGGGAGAATGAGGAGAAGGAAGAGGAAGGACGCCACTCGAGATAAAAGACAGCGGTCGAGCGCAGTCAACAGACGGAGGTAGTCAATAGAGAATTGGTATGCAGTGAGAGACGAGCAAAAACAGAAATGACGCCGGGCCCTTGGGCAGATACCCACTAGACCTATTGTGGTAGGGCGGAAACGGTATGGTATCTGCCCAGGTGGATGCGGCCCGCAGGCAGCGCAAGGTGGATGTACGGTACGGTCACAGGCACCGGGGATGCTCCCCGCCTCCAAGTCGGGGCGTTGCGATCATCGTCCCTCTGTCCGAATTGGCTTCTTAATCGATGAGCCGCGTGCGCTGCCTCGCTTTTAACATTACTCCCAGTGGTCTGCTTGAGGAAAGGCAGCACTTGCTAAGCGACAATTCCTCCCTGCCACGCGAGTGTCCCCTAGCTCATGCGTGATCGGGTTGCGACCTCACCACGGCCATGGCGGCAGCTGACGTTGCTCCCCAGTTTGGAGCGGAGCTAAAGGTAAGACAGATCATGGTGAGGTGTGAAATGGGAGCTGCCAAGCTAATCTAGTCTTCTTAAATAGGACAACTTTAAGCCAGTCAACGCTTGGGTACGTTGTCCGTATCGGCTCCCCTGCAGGGGAGCCTCACAACAATTCGTGCCCGTGGGGCGGAGCTAATGCGTCGGTGTTGTACAGGTGTCGAACGGCATTTCCTGGCTAGACGAGATTCAACAATTCTACCGCGAGCGCAGTGCCATCGAGAAGGAATATGCGTCGAAGCTGACGGCGCTGGCAAAGAAATACCACGACCGCAAGGCGAAGAAGATTAGTGCTTTGAGTGTCGGCGATACTCCCACCTTGACCCCCGGATCCCTTGAGAGTGCCTCCTTGACAACATGGACGACCCAATTGAACGCTGTTGAATCTCATGCCGCCGAGCGAGACAAGTTTGCCACGGAATTGGTCGGCCATGTCGCAGAACCTCTAAAACAAGCCGCTGCCCAATATGAGGAGATTCGCAAGTGTCATGCTGAATATCATGCAAAGCTGGAGAAAGAGCGTGATGCATCATATGGCGAATTGAAGAAGGCCAAGGGCAAATATGACGGAGCCTGCCAGGAAGTTGAGTCGCGGCGAAAGAAAATGGAGTCGTCCTTTGACCATAGCAAAGCCAAGGCCCAGTCCGCGTACCAACAGCAAATCCTGGAAATGAATAACTACAAGGTAAGTTGTTGACTGGGAAAAGAAACCAAATCGATGGTCTAATCCCTCAGTTAGAATCTCTACCTTATTAGCATCAACGTCACGAATAAGCTCAAGGAGAAATTCTTCCATGAGTATGTCCCTGCTGTCTTGGATGTAAGTCACTTTACTCTTTTTTTATTCATCCTCCGGGCTATTCGAACAATCTTAACTCTGCAAACAGGGCCTACAAGACCTCAATGAGACGAGAGTCAAAAGACTTAACGCGCTGTGGTCTCTTGCTGCGCAACTCGAGGAAACCTCCCTAACAAATTGCATGAACCACGCCGCCAACCTCCTCAGCGAGATTCCTCGCAATGACCCCCGACTAGACTCCATGATGTTTCTCCAGCACAATGTCACGCAAGCTCAGGAGCCTGGAGATATGGGCTTTGAGCCCAGTCCCGTGTGGCACGACGATGCTTCTATCGTTGCTGATGAAGCCGCGAAGGTCTTCCTGCGCAATATCCTTGGAAAGAGCAAGACGCAGGTGCACGAGCTGCGGGTGGAGGCGGATAAGAAGAAACGTGAAGTGGAGAATGGCAAAAAGACGCGCGAGGGCATCCAACAGGGCAAGGATAATCGCAGTGAGGTTGATGTCGTGCGAGGCATTTTCTATTTGCAGGAGGCTTTGCATGAGGTAGAACGCAAGTGGGTCACTGCGGAGGTGGAAACATCCACGATTATGTCTGTGGCTGGAGACTTGTCTGTGGGAGCCCAAAACCATAACTTCCGATCGCAAACCTTTAAGATTCCCACCAACTGTGACCTGTGTGGCGAGCGCATCTGGGGCCTGTCTGCCAAGGGCTTTGACTGCCGGGACTGTGGCTATACCTGCCACAGCAAGTGTCAGATGAAGGTGCCAGCCGAGTGTCCAGGCGAGCAGTCAAAGGAAGACAAGAAGAAGCTCAAGACCGAACGACAGGAGCAAGCCGGGGCTGTGCCTGCTATCGGCATTGACTCTTCGGCGGCGTCAACAGCTGCACCATCTCTCACACGCCAAAACACCATGAACTCGCTCAGCTCGGGATACGCTGCCAGCACTGCGCGGTCCATGTCGGTCTCCCATGACATGACTCAACCCACTCCTGAGCACCCTGCAGAGGCAGCTCCTGCCCCCGTTGCTGAAACTAAGCCTGCGGCGGCGAAACGGCACAGGGTGTTAGCTCCGCCTCCAACCGCATACTCGAGCGCGTCGCCTGTCAATGAATCCAGTGCGTCCCCCTCGAAGGAGCCAAGAGGCAAGATGCTTTACGCCTTCCAGGCCACCGGGGCGGAGGAGGTGACCGTGCAAGATGGGGCCGAGGTGACAATTGTTGAGCCCGATGGTACGTCTAGCTCGATTTCCCGGCGAAGGATGTATGCGACGATGCTAACTTTCCCCTCCAGATGGATCCGGGTGGATGCGTGTCCGTTCTGGATCCCAGGAAGGTCTTGTCCCTTCCTCCTATGTTGAGGCTGCCCCTGCCCCGTCCCCCGCACCGTCGGCAAGTCCCGCCCTAACCGACCGACCGGGCTCGATTTACTCGAACTCCTCGGCCTCGCTGGCCGGTAGCGCGGCCCTCAAGCGCGTCGGCCCCGCAGTGGCGCCCCGGCGCGGCGCCAAGAAACTACAATATGTCGAGGCCTTGTACGACTATGAGGCGCGCAGCGACGTGGAATGGTCGATGACCGAGGGTGATCGGTTTGTTCTGATCACCCGGGACAGCGGCGATGGGTGGGCCGACGTTGAACGGGGTGGAGTCACTAAGAGCGTTCCTGCAAGCTACATCCAGGAGGTGTAACCCTCGGGACTCATTTTTCTTGTATAGTTGGACCGCCGTACAGTTCGACGCACGGGGGCTTGCGGGTCGCTGCGCTGCATACTGGGGTTGTTTCTTCTTCTCCCTCTCTTCTTGTTTCATAGCGTTCTGCTGGCCCTCCCCGCATGATTTGCATCAGCAAGGAGCGATTGGGGGCTATTAGTGCTTTTGCGATGCATATGCGGACATATTATTCTAATCTCAAGCGCAATTTCAGAGTTGATGTTGGATTATGAGCTCTTTTGCCCCCAATTCACCTGCCCATAGAAACCGTCCGTGCATAGCGAAGCTAGGTTGTTGATATGCTCATTCGGAGATAGACTATACCAATGCTGGTTCATTACACGTTTGCACCCGACACAAGAACCCCCACCTGATCATCCGCCCAATTCAGCGCTCCGTCATAATCATCAGTCGTGAAAATTCACTGCCACACCGGCAGGGCAACCAATGTTATCGCGACGGGGGATAGCCTGTATCTAAATGCTCAAACCCCGTCTCCGGGGACCACATATACCGCGACCAATCTTCCACATGGAAAACCTCACCCGTCACGCCTTCCGTGAAATCCACCTCCACATCCATCTCCCCCAGGTACCCCAGTGCCTCCTCGTCCAGTGTCAGCGCAGGATCCAATGGGAAATCAAACGGAGTAGCACCCTCCGGCGCCAGCGGACTGATCAGCGGCACGGCCTGCACCAACCCGGCTCCAGACACGGCGGGAACGAGCGTATACCGGGGGTCAAACATCTCTCCGCCGATTGCCGCGTCCAGCGCCAGGGTCTCTAATGCCGAGCATGCCACGGTGTGGCCGGACCCAGTCCGGATCCCATCGGCGGAAACAGAGCGGCCGGCAGTCGACGAAGAGGCCGAAGGGTGAGCACGGCTGCCGCCGGATTCATTGCCCGAGCCCTCGGAGCCCGACCCGTCTCCCACACTGCCATGGACCTTCTCGCGGCGCGACGAGGAATGCGAGCCGCGGACGGGGGTATGGGACGACGACGCGGATGCCGCAGAGGTCGACCCGGAGCGCGAGACGCGCGCGGAGGAGCCGTGCGCATCTTTGCTGCTGCCCGAGGGTCGAGGCGCGATGGGGAGAAAGCCGGTCGGGTTGTGATGACGGGGATAGAGTCTGTTGTGCGTTGCTTTCTAAGAACCAAGAAGGAACATCAGCACCATGCCGTCTGCATCTCTTCTTCGCCTGGAAGATCTGCCTGCCGGTGGTGGAAACGGCGGTTGTGGTGTGTGCAGTTGCGTTACTTTTGAAGATGAAGATGGAGTTTTGAGCTCCGCCTCGCGCTTGAGCCGCGCGTGGTCTGTCGGGGCCTCACAGGGGGTGGAATTGCATATCGAGCAGGTTGCGAAGGGGCGACCCTTGCGCTTGATGCGAATCAACGGTCGATCTAGGAGGTGGGGGGGGGGGGTGGTTAGCGGGAGTGGGATATCTAGATATCTAGACGGAGGATGGGCGGTGGCGGCATTGACGGAGTATCGACATCGGAGGGAGAGGAACCACCTACCATGATGTTTGCAGCTGGTCACACGGTGGCCCCGTATGCAAGCTTCACACGCCCACTTGTGACCGTCGATAAGCATCCCTCGATAATATGAAACTACGCAGGCATGGCGAGCTGGGCTGATGGGCCTTTATACTTTTTGCCGCTCCCAGCGACTACAATCAGTTTGGTGATGTGGTGGATTTTTTTTTCGTGGAGGTAGGACGGGGAGGGGCTGTTTCGACGAGCTATGACATACGAGAAACAACTAGGTACTGTACTGTGTAGGGCATGTAGGGTACTAACTGATTTCCGAACTTCTGGTTTTGGCGAGTGGGTTTGTGTCGTGGAAAACCTGCCCGCTGATTGCACTGATTTGAGCTCAGCCACAGGATCGACTCGGGCGGGACTAGCGCGTCGGAGGGTTCCGTATGGTTCTGCTGTTTTGGCGACCATGGGAGCTTGGACCCGACACTGCAGCGGCTGATTCCTGTGTCAGTTTGCGTGGGTCTCGGCGAGCACGGAGCAAGGTAGCTTGTAGCACGGAGCGCTATGAGCACTATGAGCACTATGAGCTCGAGGAGAGGGCGTGGAGGAGTCCCCTTTCAGGGGAAGTGAATCTATGCTCCGGTGGTGGGCCACGAATTTTCCCGTCTTGTTCCCCGTGGTTACCACCGTGTGCGGGATTTTCTGATACCTCGGTTGCCTGGTTTGCCAGTTCAGTGTTCCCGCCATTCAATCACGGCCAGAGCGGAAACTCGAAAAGACCGGGAAAATCCCCCTGCCAAAGCCAAAGCCCAAGCCCTAAGAAGCCACTTCCTACGGTACGGTACGATAGCGGCTGACATGGCCAGTCCTTTGTCGGTTCTGCTCCCCCGGGCTGCCAGATCGGTGCTAGATCTCACCTACAAATGCCTCATACATATCCCGTTGCACCAGTTCGGACTGGCTCAGCGTGGAGGAGAACAAGGTTACCGGCCCTAGCCTATACCAGGACGGGACCTATCGAAAAGAAGCCATCCCCCTTTCCCTCTAGGTTCAAGGAGGGAAACCCGCGAGCCGTCGACCGTTTGGTGTATCTCTCTGCTCGGTAACCGGAACGGCCGCGCGGATCACCGTGCGGCTGGTGATTCAAGCCCTTGGCATGATAATGATAGCTTCCTATCGCCATGATATCACCGTCTGACGAGCTGCCAACGCGATCCGGCCTTGGTCCGATCGGGCCCTGCACGGTGAACGTGGCTGTGCTGCAGCTTCGCTTAAGTGGCGTCGCACCAAAGGGGGTTTTTTCAACCCAGGCGCAGTAGCCCAAAGATTTCGTTTTGGTGCTTCGTGTTGAATTGATTTTGCTACAGTATTATACGGATGCCATAACTGCGAACCGAGTTGGTCTGTACCTGAACCGTCCTATACTGGGGATATCACCACCACCCAACCAAGCCGCGAAGTAAAAATTCAATCTCCGAAAAAATAATAAATAATAAATAATAAATCTGAATAAAAAAGGAGGCCAAATTAAGGAATATTAAGCTCCAACGGACTCTGCTCCAGCGCTGGGAACCGTGTACCGCCAGGCCATGGGTAATTTGGTGGTTCCCCACACAGCCCCAGTAGTTAACTATGCGCCATTTTGTATACACCTGAGGCATTTTTCTTTTCCAATTGTTCCTCCCCAACCCTCTCCCCGTCGCGCTCTACCAAAAGGACGGCTTCGCTGTCCACCTCCAACCTCCACTTGCGAAATGACACGCTGAGGTCAACAGCTAGCCGCACGGTGGACTTATCCCCTCCCGCTACAATCCTCGTACCGAAACCGGTTGAGGTAGTTGGGGGATTCCCGCAGGCGGCCGAAGTATCACTTGCTATCCTCTTACTAAGGAGAGATCCCTCGTGGTCGGCACCAGGGGGAGGCGACCTGCTCCCGGAAAGATGTTTTTTTTTTTTCACACCCTTCGGGGATAGAGAACTGACGGGGGAATTGTCATATTCATTCTATCCCCAGCGACATGCTCTTTGATGCGGAGCGATGGGCAGGATTCCAGCAACCTGCGACGACGATGCCAAAACTCGGGTCTTGGTCCCTGTCCACTGCTGGATCCTGGATGCGCAGGAGGGCGCCACCGAGGGAATGTCCAATAAACCCGATCACATTGACGGGGATCATGCTGCTTGGGAGACAGAGTAGCCTGCCGCGCCGATTCCTCATTGTTCAAAGTTGTTTAAATGGACTCCAGCAGAGAAGAGTGCCCCAGCGGCGCGTAAGGGTCAACTTATACCCTTCGGCCACTGCGGCATCACGTCCGGTCTGGCCCACGGCTCCTTGTTCGCCAAGATATATTGCGCAACATCCCAGTATCAACCCTGACGGCTGATCTGCAGATGGCTGGCTGCCAATATTCCCGCTCTGCCTGTGGCTGCAGCCCGCGACTCTTATGCGCGCTTCAGGGCGTGTTCCGGGCGGGAAAGCTGGTGTTGTCTGTTCTCTGATCAGCGTCATTCTTCACAGAAGTGTTCTCGCAGACGTTGGAACGTGCCTGAGCTTGGCTCGCCCGCATTTTGACCCAAGACGGGAGCCAAGGCAGTCCCGAGTCCCACACATAGCCTCACAGCGCTCGGGCCCATCCCTGACCGGACGTCCAACACACCCATCGAAGCTTTCACAGACCACTCCAACATTTTGTCTCAATGAAACAGACATCATGCAGACGAGATGTTGAAAAGCGTGCGAGCGTGCCCACCCTTCGAGCCCCAGACAAGTGCTGTGGCTGCTTGATGTGGTCCCCCGGGGTCTGTTTCCTCCTACGGCCCCCACGCAAGGCGACTCCAGCACCGTCTACCCCGTCTCGGCTGGGGTCGCTCATTGGACACTCGCATCTCGGTTGCTGCAAACCAAGACCCGCCCCATGGTCTAAGGGTCTGCTCTTCGAATCAGATCCGGACGCTGAGCCCCAATGCCATGCTGCGGTGGTCTGTGTTGGCCCTGGGGGCGGATGAACAGCTTTAAGCCTGCCGTCTTCCGCTCACCTGCCTTTTTTTCCCCTTCTCGTTATCCTCAATCGAGTCGTGTTGTTCCCTGTGACTGCCCCGTGTCGTTAGCCCACGCCACTCGCCTGCCGATATTTGACGACCAGGAGCAGTTTCGGGGAGCCTAGATCGGTGACATCGTGGAACACCACACAATGATCCACCTTCTGTGCGCGGCTCTCGTGTTGAGCCTCGCGCCGAGCCTCGTCCGAGGAGCGGCCAGCGCCAACGGCACATGTTATTATCTGACTGGCGACATTGCTACGGGCCATGTGCCATGCAAGAGCGGCGGTGGCGTCACCAACTGCTGTGATAGCGGGGCCGTCTGCTTGAGCAATGGGATGTGTGTAATGCAGGGGGACATGGGACTTGGCTTCGGCCGTGGCTCCTGCAACGACCCCGACTGGAGCCCCGCGTGTTATGCGCCTTGCCGTATGTCCCGACAGGGTTTCTGAACCCATAACCCCTGCCAGTACGAGCGCTAACATCTACTCTTTCCAGGCGATGCGTATCGGGAGGGTGGCGTGCCCATTATTCCAGTCGCATGGTATGATGTGAAAACCCAGTACTGCTGCGGCAAAGTCGAATTGAACAATGGCAAGACGACCTGTCGGTACGGTGATCCGTTCTCGATCGCGGAGGGGACGGTCCTGCCCGGCGTAGCCTATCTGTCCAATGTCACCTACACTGACTCGACCGATAATTCGACTACCTGTGATAATGCCACTTCGTCTGGGGCACTGACGACCTCTGTGGAATCCTCTTCATCGAACCGAGACGTTGCCATCGGCGCGGGTGTGGGCGTCCCGCTCGGTCTAATTGCTCTTGTGTCCATCGCGTGGGCCTTGTGGGAACGTCGCAAGCTCGCGCAGATGAAATCCTCTCTGTCTTCAGGAGAAGGTGCGTACGCCGCACTCAACCGCACAGTGGGGCCTCCGGTCGAGCTGAGCGCGGCGGCGCCCGGCGCAGCGGAGTTGATGGATAGCATGAATGAACCCAAGCATACAGACTTCAAACCGGAGGTACCGATCGAGAGCGAGAGACGATGGTAAGCATTCAACCCATCTTCCCTCGGCTGTCTCAACCTGTTTGACTTTCGGTGGGTTCGATTTCCTTCATGAGCATTCATAGGTTCGCATGTGCACATACCGTGAAGAGTGGCTTTTTAATTATTTTATTTCCCCATTTGTTGCTTTACGCCTGGGGTGTCTCTATTTATTCATTTTTTTTTCATGTCAATATACCCTTGGAAGACCTTTCTACACAAAGCAAAACTGAATGCTGGGGCCGTGTGGTGTGCCCCTGATGATCACGAAGAAATTGTCAGCCGCTCCACTCGTAGCAATCATTTCTCAATTAGAAACCTGACCCACCATGCACGGTTTGACCCAAAGCATCCTGTCCGGAAAGCTCCATTTCAAAAATATTGCCCAAGATGTTTGGAATTAGATAACGTCAAGTATGGGCATTCAGTAGATGCATATCCAATTCTCCAAGTCGGGTCTGTCGGCACTTGATCAACTCATGAAACCATCCAGCCATCCTTGACAGGGCAGCCTTATAGTACAGTGATTCTCGAAATCGGCTTGACCAATACACGCTGAGCAAGTCTTTCTTGGCCCCGCGGTCAAGGCCTTGGCGCAGTTCATTTTACTGAGCGACTCGCGTTGAGGGGGCGCAGTACAGGACTCGACACCTCAAAGCCCCCTCATCACTTCGGCATTGAGTTCTTCCCACCGAGCATAGCCTCGAAATGCTACTAGCTTGCTGATGAAAGCGAGTTCTGATTTCCCCGCCTCATTCTGACCAAATATTGAATGGCACACACGTGCTAGACTTAATCCCATTATTTTCGCACGCAGCTGAGAGGTGAACGGTGAACGATGGACGGCATTAGTGACACTGCTTCCATCATCGCTGTCGCTCAGCTAGCTGCTTCTATCATCAAATATGTCAAGACAGTCATGCACCACTTCAAAAGCGAAGGCTACTCATTGCGATCATTCAGGCGCGAGGCTTACTATTGACCCTACACGAACTCACGAATGAAGTCGGAGATGAAGATTGGTCATCCACAATCCAGAGCTTGACTTCGCACGATGGGCCACTGTCCACGTTTCGGCAGCTGCTTGAGGACATGGCGGGAAAACTCGGTATCACACGTTCCGATTCCCAAGTATCAAATGCTCTTCATCGACTGCGGTGGCCATTCGATCAAGCCATCCTCCAAGAAATGATTGCATCGCTTGAAAAGCTCAAATCAAATCTTCTCTTGGCTTTGGCAAATGACCACATTCGGCTTTCCATGGAAATTCGAAATGAAGTTCGCAATGTTCAAACCCAGTTGACTGAGGCTACTATCAATAGTCGGAGACAAATGATCAGGTCTCTTTCTAGGGAGCAAGAGCTTATTGTGAAGTCTTTGTCCTTGGCAAGCCTCTCGCGCGAGCTGGATGGAGAAGAAGTGATGGAATTGAGAGCCAGCACTGAGTGGTTTTTATCCCACGAGGACTTCAAAAATTGGCACACTGTGAACCCTATACAACAAACGTTGGTTCTTACTGGCAGTCCTGGATCAAGAAAATCATCTTTATGCGGCGTTGCTCGTTTTTTTCTTAGATTTTGGCGGCAGCTGGAAAATGTCTGCATCGCATCCTTTGTCTTCGATTATTCGGGGCAGGAAGAGCCTAGCGAATCACTTGTGCTGTCCAGTATCGTTCAGCAGATTCTCTCGGAACGTCCATATCTCATCGAGCATCTTACTGCTCTGAGACACACGGGCGGGCCGCTATCCGTGGCGGACAGTATTAAGCTAATCAATCTGGCCCGGCGCGACCTCGACCAGCTTTACGTTATTCTCGATGAATTTGATTCATATGCGCGGACCGGCCTATGCGTTTTCAAGACCCTCCTTTCAATCAAGCCGCCTATAAATATTTTGATTGCCACGCGAGAAACACCATTTCTCTCTGAGGCCCTTCAAGACTATCTTGTTGTTCGCTGCGAAGACGCTAGACCTTTCCATGTTTATGTGGACAGTATAAAGGCCATGCTCGAGCAAGAGCCTCTTATATTAGCACATCTTGATCACGACCCTGAGAAAATTGCGGATGTTTCGATATACCTCGCTCAACGAAGCTATGGACTGTAAGTTCTTCTGCAGACGCTTTGACCTTGGTTATACGATCTGATGCCATCTGGCTCCTGTATTTGCAGAATTAAGTTACCGGTGGCTAACGGTCTATAGCTACGTATGGATAAAGCAGATGTTGAAGCTTCTTGCCCGTACCAGGAATAGGACGCAATTCCAAAGTGTACTGCAGAAGAACCTCCTGACCTTGATCGAGACCTACAATTTGATGCTGCACAATCTCACGGAACAGCCACCCGAACTCGTCAAACTAGCCACAAAGACCCTGAGGACAGTACTGGATGCCGGTAGACGGGTGGAAGCTACTCAGTTAATGAGTGATCTGGCCCCGGAAATAGCAGCATCTGTGCCGCAAAGTAACAGGAACCTTACAAAAGCTGGGATAATCGAAGCCATTGAGTCGAGTTGCAAGGGATTTGTTTCTTCCTCGGGCCAACTGAGCACAAACGGGATACATTTACATTTTATCCATCAGACTGTGAAGGAGTTTCTGGTAGTTAAATACGCAAATGAATCGCTTGCCACATGATCGGAGCGCAGAAACGAATTTTTCGAGCGCGTATTCGGGAAACTATCTAAGCATACCGCAATGTCGTTTTCAGTTGAAGCCTATTCGCAGCGTCGATCCCAACACAGTCAACACTTCTTGTTTCCTCATCGGGCTCTTGGCGAAGAATGTTTGCAACTAGCTCCAAATGAACTCTGCACTTCGCGACAACGCTCCCAGCTCCCACATTTTCAACTTTCACTCTACCGACAAATCATCATTGCAACCGCAGCCTTTTACAGTTCGTCTAGTCTCTTGCTCGAACCCCTTACTAATCTCGATGTTCCCGCTCTACACACCACCAGCCACGCTCCATACGGGATAGAGTTCGTCGGAGCTCTACAACCATGGGCCAACTTAAAGTCAGAAGTGGCCAATACCTACAACGGCTAGATCTGGAACCCACTGGCCCTAGCGTCAAAGATGACAGGCAATTTCATCGCCAGTTCGGTCAACGAAGAGCACGTTCTGGTCAGTGAAGAGCGGCGTATACAAGGCCGACTAGAAGGACGAGCGGGAACGGCTCTAGGAGCCATCTTTAGGGTTCAGAACAGGGACCTTAAGCTAGGCGCCTTCAAGGGTGCTTTGCCGCCACACCCAGGATATAGGAAAGCTCCTAATTTTGCCGATACAGTGGTATGACAAGGATGTTGTTTCTTGAGTGCGTAGGAACCAAGCCCAACGTACAATGAGATCTTGAAATTTCGGCCCATAGAATGTGTGATTGGTAGCTGGTGAGTGTCCATCAGAAACTGGATACTCCTGAGCAGGATGCTGAGATCCCTAGCCGATTTTACATTGGCGGCGTGTCGTACGTTACACCAACCGATCCCACGAACAACTGAGAAATCCTCAAATGGGTGGCATTTGCACAAGTCCATGCTATCACAAACTGTCTAGCTAATCCGTAAACAGTCGTCCGCTGATCTAGGCAGCGTCTCATCCCAAAATGTAGCATCTCTGACCGACATTTACTACGACAAACCATTCCCAAGTGCTTGCACCTTGAGTATACTCCTTCAGCTCCCGGACCAGCCTAGAATCCAATCCTCGCCACTTCCCCTATTGTTCGGTAATTACCGGTGACTGCATCCATTGCTTTGTCTTAGGATCGAGAAGCCCCGCCTCCGCCTCCTTCCACTCTCGAACCACCATATCCGCACGCTTCTGAGATCGGGGGGTAATGCGAGCAGGGAACTCCTCGGGCATACACACAAACCCTTGCGTCAAACGGTCCGGGTCGGGAATGATCTGGAGCCCGGCCTCATCCCGTGCCGGTTCGATATCGAAGGCCCACAGAATCCGCGACATGCCCAGAAACAGGCTACGTTCCGCAACGTGGATGCCTGGACAGATACGGCGCCCGGCTCCAAAGGTAAATGCATCTCGCTGGGCGGGGTCAGGGTTAGCGGCGGCGTCCCCGAAGCTTTGCCGATCGTTTTGATACCGGTCCGGGTCGAATGTGCGTGGATTGGCGTGTCGGGTCGGATCCATATGGATCCCCCACACATTGTTCAGCACTCCTGCGCCTTTGGGAATGAAGTAACCCTTGTACTCATCGTCCTGGGTCACTGCATGAGGGACAGCACCCAAAATCGTCGTGGGCATCCATCGAAGCGTCTCTTTCATGCAGCTCCGGATGTACTGCAGATCGGCCAAGTCTTCCATTTCGGGAAGACGGTCTGACCCAATCACTCTATCGAGTTCATCCTGAGCCTTACGTTGCACATCCGGGAACAAGAGCATCGCCTGCACAAATGCGTACAGTGTACTCGATGTTGTATCCGAGCCGGCCTCCAGTAGCGTTCCCGATATATAAGCCGCCTGGTCGTCGCTGAAGCCGTCTCGCGTTTGCGCCTCGTACATCCCGGCGCAGAAACAGGGCTTGATGGTCTTCTCCTGGGTTTCCCGCTTGGCCTTCATCCAATGTTCCTTGTATAGCGCTTTCTCATGCATGTGAAGCCTCTTGGCCTTTTTCTGAGTCGGCAAGAGGAAATCGGGCAGCTGGCGCAGCCAAGGGAAGAAATCAATGAGAGCGGCGGTGCCGGTCTGGTTGATGGCGGCAAACTCGGAAAACCCATCGAATAACTGCATCATCTTTTGATCCTCGTATGTCGATGTCCGCCATCCGAAGACCATGGTGGTGGTGAGCGCATTAGAATAGCGGCGGATGTGTTTGAGGAAATGATCCGGCTGCGTCAGGAATTCGTATAGCATCTGGCGGTTCTCCAGCATCTGATACGCTACATATTTCTTGGAAGTAGTGACGTTGAGTAGTCCGTGGACCATCTTGCGGAACTTGGGCCCTGTCAGCGATGCCTAATATCATAATGATGGGATGAGTAGAGTACGTACTGCACGCCATCTTGGCCCATAACCCTGTTGCTCAAGACTGATTAGCCGTGAGCCTCTGAATTGTGAATGTTGAGTGGACGTACCATCATCAACAATCTGAGATCTCCACTGCATAAAGTCTGACCGATATACATCTCCTGTCGGTCGGAGTAGATATTACTTCGCTTGTCGAGTAATTCTTTGACGGCCTCATCGCTTGAAAGCACGATGAGGCATTTCGTACCCAGCATGAGACTATAGATAGGCCCATATTCACGTGCCCACTTTTCAAATTGCAGGTGAGCATCATGTGAAGGCATCTAGTGTGTTAAGATGATTAGTGGCGTCTTTGCGAACAAGAACATTGGGAACTGACTTGATGGATATTTCCCAGGATAGGGAGCGTCGGCGGCCCCGGAGGATAGTTTTTGGGTCTGCGACCAATGAGAAGGATGCGTAAAATAATCACGACTGCGATAGCAGTGGCGAGGACTGAATTAATGGCCAGCATGTTAACTTGCTGCGCTGCTTTTCATTCACGTGAGTTAGTATCCGTGGAAAGGTATCACTGTTCAGGAGAAAACAGCTCTCATTTGGCCAAAGCATGATCCAGGGATCTGAAGCTATTTATGTTTATGTGACTATTTGCGGGGAATCAGCTTTCTAGGTCATGATTCACTGAATGTGCTTATTGTGTCCGGAGTTAGTGTGGGGGGAAAATCCAATTGCGGATGTGGAGGTGGGCATGGCGGAGTTGTGGGGGTCTCCGATCTTCACTCTTGCCTATGGTGGAATAGACACTAGGCAATAGGTTTTGAAATCTTTATGTTTATGACGTGTATTAAGCATTGAATTCGGGCTGGACAAACTAGACCGATGGCAATCGTTTCGATTTCTAATCCAACTAGTTCACAACTGAAATGTTTGAAATCCAATAATCAGGTTATTGACCTGCCGCATACTAGTCTGATCATACTGGTTCAAAATCGGATCCAAAGCAATATCATCAAGAGGTAAATGCTCAATTTCCGGCTGCAAACTTCCCAATGTGGCGAGGCGCTCCGTCATTAGCTTTGCCAGCAGCCAGAATTCAGGGCAATGCCGACAAAAGCCAATTCGCCTCCACATGAGCTGAGGCGGAGGATTGCAATCACCCATGGTAATGTGAGGAGAGACACCTGCCAAAGAGACCGAGGCAAACAGCTGCCAGGAGTCGCGCCAGTTTCGGAGGGTGTTGTGTATCGGTTTCAAATTCTGGGAGCTACTGACCGAGCTGCGGTACTGGAAGATTTGGGAATGAATGGCTTAAACGAGATCAAGATTAGTGATGTGGCAAATTGAAGAGGCTAGCTTCCAAGAGGCATACCGGATGTAAGTGAGAAGAGGTTCAATGGCCCTGATGCCGCGATAATGTGGCGCATATTTGGTGATAGATGATCCTTTGCGAGTGCTTCGAAGGCACCGCGGAAGGAAAGACTCCAGTACGCATTTCCACTTGGGCGGTGGGTTTGTATTTGCTGATGGCATTCATCGGCTGTCAAGGCTTGAAAGCAAGCCTCCGGCATTGCCATGTGCATCTTCATTTCCTTAATCACCATGCGAGGAGGGAGATTGTTGAAAATGACGAAAGCAGTGTCAAGGAGGAAAATCCATGTAAATACTCTGGTGCGAGTTAGAGTTCAGCGCCTTGATCGAGTAAAATAGTGGCCTGACCTGATCAACTCCTCTCGAGTGGCAAACTCCTTCCACTCGAATTCATGTCGACCCATTTCGGCATAATTCAAATGCGTCGCAGTAGTGATTCCAATGTCCCGCGCGGTCTATGGAGTGATCAGTAACAACACCACTCACTTAGATTTGCGTGTGAACATACAGAGACTAGGGTAGCAAATCGGTTCCGCCGAATCCGACTTTTGCTTGAGTCTGTGCCTTCCCAATTCTGGTAAAGGCAGACGATATATGCAGCTTGGAGAATTTGTACCTTTCGCCGATGAATGGCTATATTACTCGAGGCAGGGCAGACCGAATCACTGTTGAAGTCATCGTCGATGAAGACAATCTCCTCGACACAATTGAACCATGTTCGAGCATCCTCATTATCTGGCATATCTGGCGAGACGCATGCTCCTGAATGGTGTTATATGGTTGGAATATGATTGATGAAGGGGAATATCACATACCCATCACGGCCATAGAAGCCAAAAGAGCGGGCTTTGCCGATACCGCATCAAAGCTAGGTCCGTGAACGAAGTTGACATTAGGATGCCAAATAGCCCAGTAGAATTCGAGAAATCTTCGCAAATTGGCGGGAGAAAAGAATTGCAGGCAGGCATTCTTGAGGGCCGCCGACCAATCGAGTGTCACGGCACTATTTCTCGGTTTGATTCTTACGACCTCCTGGATTAGCAGAAGTATCTCATGTGTTTTCAGAGAAAGCGGGTCGCCGAGCCAATTGATTGGACTACAATCAACAGTACTAGCATCACTGAGGTTGTCTAACAGGGGGGTGAGTCCACCACACCCGCCTGGAAACCCAGCTCTGTAGGGTTGCTCAATGTAAATGATTGTCGCGGTTCATAGCGAGCATCAACTGCTAATTGCGAAGCAGAATTCTCGCGTTGAAGCTCAGTTCCGCAGTCAAAACTCGAGACCAGGCCGGAGTTGCTTGTAAATCGATCGAGGAAATGTAGCGAGTGGCTACTGCCGGTGTCGAGGAGAGGGTTATCGCGAAGAACCTCACTCTCGGAGGCTGAAAGGAGATAATCTTGCCAGCTTGAGCCCGCAGAGCCAAAGAATGATTCATTGAAGAGATTATCCAGCGGACTAGTCCCAAAACTCCCGGTTTCTTGTTGTGTCCCAGCAAAGGGATTCATAGCATCTGTTGACGAAATGGAATTTCCAGTTTGTCCAGTGAAGTTTCCGAACGAAGCATCAATAGTGACAACCTCAGCGAGGCTGGCATCCTCGAATGGTTCCGGAACAGACGAATAGAAACATAATACCCCCTTTTTGGAACAACCTTGGCACGGCTGATGGGCACTGCAAGCTTTTTTCTGGCGGACGCACCGATCACAAGCGCGTCGGCGAGCACCAGATCTCGAGCTTCCGCCATCGCATGTTCGAAGGTGACGTTTCAGGACATCTGCACGCTTAAAAGAACCATCACACGTGTTGCAGCGGTATGGGCGCTCTGATGTATGCGAGCTGGTGTGTCGGGACAGGTGTTCGCGACGCTTGTAGCGTTTCGAACAGACCGGACATTGATACTTCAGCGTCGGATTCGCATCGCGGTCCGACTGTGCGTCGGGCGATAGGACATCGGACGGCATTGATTCTTTTCTCGGGGGGAGTTGGAAGTTGGCAAGACTCCGGGGCCCCAGGGTTCGGATTGCGGGGGCCGACAAATTAAGGTTCACCAGTTGCTGATTCCGGGTGCTGGTTCGGTACTTTGCCGTGATCCAAATCGCCTGCTTTCTAATTGGTGCGATGCGACAAAGAAAAGGGTATTTATTTAATCGAGCAGGGAGTTCTTTATGGGCTTTCAAATGCGCAGAGCATTGACTTTTTACTTGGGCATGCTAACAAGGAGGTAAAGGACTGGAGAACATCTTTTCAAGAGAGATTGAAGACCGAATCATGCGGCATCCCGCCATCAGCGGGGCCAGTGTGGTGGGCACCAAAAACGAGCGGTATGGCAATGTCGTCGGATGCTTCCTGAAAGGAGTGGAAGGACCTGCAAGGGCCCCCGATTTAAAGGTGAACCCATGAATCAGCAAAGACCGCAGGACCTGTTTGGGATCGAAGATCAAGGTGTTGGGGACGAGTGGCTCGCGACCGGAAGCGGCAAGCAGCAAAGCCCATTCTACGAGACATCGGTAAGAGGTTGATTGCCCAGAGCGTAGTCAAGGCAAAGCTATAGATCGATTCCATATGAAGTTGTGCCGGTTCTATCCAACACGGGTCTTCGCTTTCTGTCTCCTATACGCGTGTTCCTCAATACCAACCATCTGGAGTTCATTGTTCTGGTTTGTTTGAACGCGTTGTAGCCCGTAAGCTACAATTCCCATACCTAAATTTAATCTTCACCCCACAAACCACCAAAAAAGGGCCCCATCCAAGCATCGGTCCGCTCTCCGAACGACCTGTCAGCTTACCTTACCGCATGGTGGAGGGGCTGAAGTATGCCCTCGGGGCCTTCGGTCCGGGGATCGGAATCCGAGCAGCCCCGTCAAAGCACCGCAGTTTAGGACAAGCCCACACAGAAAAGAAAAGTACAACTAGGAGTCTTATGCTAAGGCATGTGCTGCGTCGATCACAGAGGCCGCCGCCGGCGGCATTATCACATCACATCACCATGACCATCCAGACTGCCCACGTCCGCATCGTGGAAGTCGGGCCCCGGGACGGCTTGCAAAATATCTGTGACCAGGTCCCCACGTCTACCAAGGTGGAACTCATCAGGCGCTTGCGGGAAACAGGACTGCGCACAATCGAGCTTACATCCGTTGTCTCGCCGCGCGCAATTCCACAGTTGGCGGATTGTCGCGAAGTAATGGACCACGCTTTGGTAAAGACACTGCTTCAGAATGAGACTGGAGGTCTGCGGTTTCCGGTGTTAGTGCCTAATGTGAAGGGCCTGGACATTGCAATGAAATGCGGGGTGAAGGAGATTGCTGTATTTATTAGTGCGACGGAAGGGTTTAGTAAGGCGAATATCAATTGCTCGGTGGAGGATGGGATTGCCAGAGCCAGCGACGTGGCTGGGTTGGCGACGAAGGCAGGTGTTGCTGTCCGAGGGTAAGTAGATATGATCCATGCCAGGTCCCTCCCAAGGAGTACACATCATATCTCACGATCATAGCTATGTTTCTTGTATCTTCGCGGACCCGTACGATGGTCCCACCCCGGAGGGTGCGGTCCTGCACTGCACCAGATCGCTGCTGGACGCGGGCTGCTACGAGGTCAGCCTGGGCGACACAACGGGCATCGGCTCGCCCTCAAACGTGCACAGCCTCATCAAGTACCTGATCAGCAACGGTATCCCTCTCGAAAAGCTGGCCGGCCACTTCCACGACACCTATGGCCAAGCCGTCGCCAATGTCTGGGAAGCGTATACTTGCGGAATGCGAGTATTTGATAGCAGTGTTGGTGGGCTGGGCGGATGCCCCTTCGCACCAGGCGCAAAAGGAAACGTTGCCTCGGAGGACCTGGTATACATGTTTCACAATGCAGGCATACACACGGGCGTCGATCTGCCCAAGCTCGTCGAAGTGGGCGACTGGATATCGCGAACGCTGTCCATGACCAATTCCAGCCGCGCCGGCACAGCACTATCCGTAAAAGACAACCTTGCCAACTCGCCATCCACCCCTGCCAAGCCTCCCAGACAAGTTTCCCGACAATGGACTGTCCTCGCCCAGCCACAAGGCCTCCAACTACACCGCGGCGGGACAAACCTCAAGATCACCCGCAACCGCCCCAAAGGGGACGATCGTCGCGCTGAACGGGCCCGCGTGCGGCGGCGTGGGGCTGGCGTTTGCGTGCGATATTCGAGCTTGCGTGCGCGGCGCAGGGTGCGCTCTGAACGAGATTAAGCAGGGGCTCTCTGTGGGGACGATCTCGAAGGAGTTGCTGAGGCTGGCGTGGGCTCATGGGGGGAGGGAGGAGCAAGCGAAGGGGATCAAGGGCTTGCTCGAGGAGATGACGCGGCCAGATGCTGAGGGTGCAGAGGGAGTGCAGAAGTTTCCGGCCGGGAAGATGGATTGGGACGAGGGCGTGTTGGTACCAGGGCTATTGAAACTTAGGTTGTAGAGAAAGGACCCTTCTGCCGACAACGTAGATACTATTGCTGGGCGTCCGTCAAGACATGGTGGAATGAGGTGCGTATGATGGACACTATGTCAATTGATGAGAATACTCAAGATACGTTAAACGCATGCTACCCCAGGAAACGAACATGGTGAAAGATAAGAAAGCGTGAGAATTATGGCCTACTGTACACTCCGAAGCCGCTTCGCGGGGCGGACAAAAAAGATATAAAAAACGGACCAACTAGCTTCATCAGGCCACAAGCGGCGTAGAGAACGACCATCCTTGTATCAAAAAATGCAAACGCGCCAGCGAGGGAAAGCCAAATCCCGACGTGTTCGGTAAGTAAAGACAAGCAAAAATATTCTGCAAACGCGGAGTTTACAGGAGAATCAGGGCAGCACCAAACAGGGACGATACCATGGTCAGCAGGCTGACTGCGATGGGGGCCATGCTGACGGTGAAGGGCCTGGCGAGGCCTGCAGCGGCACCGGATGAAGTGGCGCCCGCGGTGGTGGTCGAGGACGACGAGTTGCTCGACGAGCCCGAGCCCGAGCCCGAGCCGGCCACGGCGGTAGAGGTGGACTGGGTACCAGAGGTCTGGGAGCCCTTGCCGCTGAAGCCAATACCCTTGCCGGCACCGTTCTTCAGGTACTTCTCGGCAGGGGCGGGGATGGCGGGCAGAGCGTCGGAGGCATCGACGTCCCAGTTGGGGGAGTTCTTGGCGGGGCAGGGGTTGGAGCCACCCGTCTTGTTGTAGTTGCCGTCACCATTGGGGTTGGAGGTCTTGTCGAACGCCGCCTTCAGAGCATCATAGTCCTTCAGGTTGCTCACGGTATCGCCGCTGATCTCGACCAGGCCGTACTTGCTGCCCTCCTCCGAGTACTCGTAGACCAGACCACCGGAGTAAACTCCGGTCATCTTGGTGGAGTACAGCGCGCTCACCTCCTCGAACTTCCGGGTGTTGGTGTTGCAACCGTACTCCGACAAGAAGAGGGGGAGACCATAGCCAGTGAAGTTCTTGACCTTCTGGTCCCAGCCGGAGGTGGTGAAGGAGGAGGGGTCGCACCAGGAGTAGTCGTTGAAGGCGAAGAAGTCGGAGCGCTCGTCATCGGTTCCACAGTTCATGTACTCGGCCATCTCCAGGCGGTTGGTGTCGATGTCCGCCGCGGAGTAGCCCACGGGAACCTTGCGGAGCTTCTGCTCACTCAGGTAAGAGCGGATATCACGGGTGACGGCCTTGACATAAGGTGCGGCCTTGGACGAGGGGCCATCGTTGATGACCTCGTTACCCGAGAAAAACGCAAGGGTGTTCTCGTAGCGGGCGAACTTGTCGACGGTCGCGAAGACGTACTGGAGGTAGACATCATTGTACGAGGGGTGCGGGTCGGCACGGTTCAGGGAGTACTTGGGCGTGTTGACGTCGAGCACCAGGTAGATGCCGGCATCGGCCAGGGCGTTCATGCACTCATCGTGGTCGGCGGAGTTGTCGACGGAGTAGACCCGAATGGTGTTGAGGCCGAGGTCCTTGAACTTCTGGATATCGCGCTTGCAGGTCTCCGCGTTGCCGATCGGGTCGGTCAACTTGGACGATCCACCGGGCTGGTAGTCAACTCCGCGAATGTAGAAGCGCTTGTCACCCTGGAAGAAGGCATTGCCCTGCACCGTGATGGGGGTGATACTGTCGCGCTTCGCAGCAGTCAGCGCGGCGGAGGGGGCACCGAGAACGGTGTGAGCGCCCAGAGTGAGGGCGGCTGCCAGAGACGCGACGGTCGCCTTCATTGTGAATCGATACAGTGGTCCGGGGTATCAAAAGGGGGCCGGGAGTTGGGGGGCGCCAAAGTGAAAACCGCGGGAAAGAATTGGACGTGTTGTGGATAGTAGTCGATGTAGATGTGTAGATATTGTCAACGGGTGTCTAAACGAGCGACAAGAAAGATTAAAAGCCAATGGCTTCAAAAAGAGAAGGAACGAGTGTGAGGAAAAAAGGCTGGTCGAAGAACGTAGGGATAGGGAAGGGGGGAAGGACTCTCTGCTTATACTTCGCATGGGCTCAGCATGCGGAGTACGCAATAATCCCTTAATCCCTGGCAGTCCCAGAGGGTGTGGAAAGGCCCTGAGGGCCCTGATCGACCAGTGGCGCGCTGTGGAGCTCCAGTTGGAACGGCAATGATGGACCAGGCCCAGTGGGCAGGTGTGGTGGCTCGACGGCGATTGGCAGGATGGCCGCCAGCGTGCGGATGAGGTGCTGGCGAGCCTTTCCTCCGAATGGTCGATCCTCGGCATCCTCCTGCATTCGCCTGTAAGGGGCCCTCTCACGGGCCTGATGAGGCCCTGACTGGCCCATCGCGGGCTAGAACGGGGACGAGTGGAGCCCAAGTGGACGGCCAGTGGGGCGTTCTGACCCTGAAACCCCACTCACCATCAGTCCCCGTCCAAGACCTGATGGTCCCAAGCCCTTGGCCGTAGTTTCTGATGTTTCTAGTATTTATAGCATTCATTATCGGAGTGGTACACGGTTTTCTGGGGCGCTCGTACCGCTTATCCTCCCATCACAGTTGACTGGACTTGACTTGTTGACTGTTGACTTTGGTACCGTTCCTGGTTCGAACCACTCCAAACACATTCCCAACGGCCTCACCGCCCAGTCGACTGCCAACTACTCGTCATGATCCCTTAGACGCGATCCGTGCTCCGTACTCCATATTCCGAACAGCGGCAATATTGGCTTGGCGATGACGCGCTCCTTCTGGGCAACGGCGCTGATCGTCTCGCGAACAGTGCAGGGCCCCTGATAATTGACTCGAAATGTTCCATACAGTACACCGCATAAGACGGCTATTTTTACTGTACGGCGGATTCCCTCCACGGTTGTCTGTCCAAGACTCGGCGCCGAGCGCTTCATTTATGTCGTGTCACCACACCCAATCCTTTCTCACCATCGCCTCGCGGCATCCCAGTGGACCCATGGGCGCGATTCTACTCCGACATGGCGGGCTCTCGACGCCTCGATGGCCGCCTGGCTCCACACACGCACAGCGGCCATGGCTGTCTCACACCTCACCCGCACTCATCACGGTGGGAGTGATGAGAATTCTGAGATTTGTGCACGCCCCCTTGGTGGAACTTGGCCCGCGCCGGCCATTCGCCCAACGGGCCGCCATGATCTTTGCATTGGGCCTTTGGCCACTCAGCGCGACCGCTAGGCAGCACCGGTATAGAAACCCGATCGTCAACACCAAGTACGCTCGCGAAAGGGGTTATTCGATAAATTAATCCTAAATGGCAAATCTGGTACATAGAATCTCGAAACACAACCTGCCCAGTTGGAAGAGACAACAGGCGGCCCCGATCACCCGTTTCTTCACGCGTCGCCGCTCACGGCTACTTTCTCCTTCCGAACGCCTAGCACAGCCTTCACATCGCCCCACAAGCCTCCCACTATGCTCCGCAATGCCCCCATACTTTCGACCTGAATGGAATTAGCTCGGTTTGTATGACGCCAAGGTTCTGGGCACTCACCACGGGGTACACCACGCAAATGATCACGCTTGTCCAGACCCAGATAAACGACACCACCACCCAGCCGGTGAAGAAGGGCTTGCTGTATATATAGCTGGTACCGAACAGCGTAAACGGAACCAGAATAACTGCCCCGAAGAAGAAGATCGCACTGGCAACCATGGCGATGCGCTCGCCTTTCCGGGCGAGCTCGGGGTCGACAGGCTCGATGTTGTTGGACTCGAGGTAGTCGACCAGGTCATTGCGCAATGCAGGCGGTGCGGTAACCTCGTCGGAGGCTGCGGCCGCCGTCTTCTCCTTTTCTACGGTCGGCGCACCCTGGTCGGGGGCAACTGTTGACGGGGTGGAGACGCCGGTGATGGCACTCATCTCTGGGGAGGTATACTTCTTCGGGAACACGTAGCTCAACACCACCGCCATGACAAACCCGACGCCAAACGACGCAATGTTTCCAGCCACTGCATTGGTCGCGTCCCCGGTGCTCGCCACACTGATCGTGCCGGAGCGCTTCCAAGCGGTGACAAACCAGACGACGATGCCGCACAAGAACCCGATCCACGGGGCGCCAACAGCTGCAACAGTCGACATGGGCTCCCACAGCAGAATCATCCCGACGGGCAGCGCGGCGCCGCCGACGATCACGCCCAGTACCGTCAACACCCAGGTCAAACTAATGCCGGCCGCGTTGAGAATGCAGCAGAATGCGGCGAGGACCACCGCGTACAAAGCGATTGCCCAGTGGCTCACCCGCACCAGCTCCGTTGAGGTAGTGTTGGGACGGTAATACGTTTTGTACACGTCGAAGGTCAACAGCGATGACACCGCAATCAGCTCGGCGGATGTGGAACTGGTCACTGCCATGAACAGCAGGATCAGCATCAATACGGCGCCGCCTTTACCAAGCAGCGCAATTGCCGTCGCGGGGGCTGAGAGTCCTGCTCCAACCTGTGCGCTTGAGAGTGGGTTTGGGTAGGTCGGGAAGTGAGGGTCTGCAGTGAGCGCCGCACATCCCAGCCCCATGACGGTTGCGAACCCGAAGGGAATCCCTGTATTCCAGTCAGAACAAATTTGTGAGGCCCCCAGAGGTCCCCCCACCCATCGCACTCACCATACCACGCAATTCCACCCAGGATATAGGCCTTGACCGACGTCTCCGGCTTGGACGCAATCGCCCGCTGCCAATATGCCTGGTCCAACCAGACCGTCGTGAAACCAGCCACAAACAGATCCACGGCAAAAATCAGGCCTCCCACCGAGCGAAACGCCAGATACGAGCCATCCGTGTTCCGGTCGATCGGCATCTTCTGCGACGCCTCTTGCAACAGGTCATACAGCTTTCCGGGACTACCTACCAAGTCACTGCTGGCCGTGATCAAAAAGCCAAAGACCAGGATCGCAATAAACAGAATCACCGTGTGCGTATAGTCTGCGATGAAGGTCGACCGCAGGCCGCCCGCGATCACATACACCGCGACGACCGCGGGGATGAGGAATGTCGCGGCGTAGACGTTCATGCCCGTCAGCGCCTCCACAACCTGTGCGCCGCCCAACACTAAGCATGCCCCGACGAGCATGTTCGTGGCCAGGCCGTAGTACAGGTATGTCAAGTGGGCGATCTTTCCGTGGCGCGCGAGGACAATCTCCGGCATGGTGTGTGCGCCGGGGGCTTTTGATTTGATTTTGATCGCGATCAACCCGAACATCAGGATTTGGAGCGTGCCGGTGGCGGCGTACCACATTGGTCCGCAGACGCCATACTCGTACGCAAAGGTCGAGCTCGTCAGTAGGGTTGCGGACCATGTCCACGAGGACACGATGCCAGCGCTGATCAGGCCCGGTTTGACTGATCGGGATGCCGTGTTGAATTCTTCGGCCTGGTGTGTGGAGAAACGGGTGTAGCGGTTCTGCAGCCAGGTAAGGCCGAGCATGAAGAGCGCGAAGACGCCGCCGATGCCGATGACGATGCCATAGCCCGCGGCGGCAGGAAGGACCTGGAGCTCGTTACCCATCGGGAGAGATATTGATGAGTAGATTGATGCAACGGCCTCAATTGCCTTTCTTGACAGGGGAAATTTCAAAACTGTCTTGTGTTTATCTGGTCCTTTTATACGGCGCGACGGCGCGTCGACGTCTCCGACCGTATCTTATCTTGATCATCGCTGCACAGATAGGCAAGGATCAGAATGGGGTACGATTGTCCTCCACGGGCTGGGGCTACCCCAATTCTCCGTTGGAGTAGGCTGATAAGGCTCGCGGGTTTCCCAAATGGGCTAACAGTGCTGGGGTAGGCCACGCAGATGATAAGAGGCGTCTCGATGACCCCAACAGTCCAGAGCTGTGCACTGCGGTTTGGTCGCGCGCAGAGCATTATACGCATCCAAGCTCCAACAATATGTACAAACCCTCTCCAACTCCCTACGATTCACCCATCGCACTCCTTACTCGGAACGCCTCTTCCCCAACTTATCAGTTCCATGCACCCAATCCAGCAAGCCAATTGACCCGTAGTTCAGATTGAATTTCTCATGGTGCAAATCATGCTTTTTCGCCTGATTGCGAAAGAAATCATACCCGCTATGCACCGTTGCCGTATTCAACAGCTCCCATGTAAGAAACACCCAAAACGTCAGGATATGGCTCTGCAGCAGCTGCGGCGGCAGCGAGATCGGCAGTGCATTCGCAAAGATCTGCTCGAGCGGGTGCGCGAACTGCGCCGCCAGCGCGATCGGCGCCGTGAATTTGTGGTGCGTCTTGTGGATGCGCCGGTAGAAATATGGTACGTGGAGTAGACGATGGCTGTAGTAGAACATTGCCTCACGGAGGAGGAGGCAGATTGCGAAGTCGCGCGCGAATTCAGCGGGCGGCGGGAGGGTTGCGGTAACGCGGTAGGAGGAGCTGGCGCCCGCTTTGCCGGCGATGTAGATGAGGCTGAGGTGTAGGACTGACGAGAGGATCTGGTTCCGGGTGACAACCAGGAAGCAGTGCACGATGTCGGTGCGCGTGGGTTGCTTCGGCGTGGGTTGGATCTTGTGTCGCTGGGAGAAGCCGGGTGCGATGGCGTCTAGAAAGAGATAGGCTATTGAAGGCAGCCAGAACGAGAGCACTTGGACAAGCAGCGTCCCCACAAACTCGATGCGTTGCGCCGAGTACGAGGCCACGAGGCCGGCCCAGATGGCCGAGGCTTGTTCGACCGGGGGACTGCCGTACTGACTGAGGGCCTCCATGGCTGCAGATCGAATGAATTCACACTGCGACTCGAGGGAAGGTCCAACTTGCAGCTGTCGGGACATTAAAGTAAAGATCATGCCCCTTCTTCAGGGTCTCACTGGCATGAAACCTCGGCCGCAGACGCAGACCTTGTTTTCCCGCATCCCCGCAATCGATCGACGTCGCTTGCCATTGCCATCAACGATCGGTAGATCTCGGCTAGGATCTCGATGCCATGTGACGGACGTGAGTCGGGATTTAATCATTCGCGAGGTGCGCGTGCGGGGAAGTAAACACGTCTCAACTCAGCCATAGTTGTGGGATTGGTGAACGTCTTCCCGTCTTCTCAGGTATTGAACCAGAGGATCACTGTGGTGGTCCCGCTTGTGAAGAGCATCACAATCCACTTCTGTGCGATGAGCCATGGTTGGCTGCCTGGATGTCCACACATTGGAAGCATATCTCGATGAATGAGCGAGGCTCCATAGTCGGTATGTCACTATAGTTCCGTATCACGGGAGTATACGATTCCATGGCCGCCTTATATCTGGCGGGACAGACGACAGCCCAGCGATGCCGCAACCGGCCCGTCAACGGGCCCATCCAGGCGCGACATGACAAAAGCACAACCACCTCAGCGGCCGGAACGAGGTTTTCCATATTGTGAGCCCACCTGCTCTCGAAAGCCACTCATCGGAGCTGAACTCAACTGAGGGTACGCCTCTGGTAACGCCTGGGCGACTTCGACTGCACACCCCTGCCTCCGACTCGGTACCCTCCATCCCCGCCACTATGAACTACATTGAATACGGTATCAGCCGCATATTCGCGGGTGCCAAAGGCCGCGATGCGCGCCTTTTCACGAAAGGCGCTGCTTTTGCACAGCTGACCAGCCCAACACTGACTCTCGACTGTCCCGAGGTGGGCGCGTCCGGATCGCAAATGCCCGCCGACCTCTCCGCTGACGGCGCTGGGCGCTTTCCCACCCTGAGCTGGGCTGCAGCAACCCCGGCTGTGAAAGAATATCTGCTCATCAGTGAGGATCCCGATGCGCCTCTGCCTTCGCCGATTATCCACGGAATCTACTACGGCATCCCGGCCAGTGTGACCGGCGTGAGCGCAGTGGACTTCGAAACGGCCGAGGGCGAGTTCATGCTTAAGGGCGGCTTCAAGTACGGCAAGAATCGACGGGGGAATGTATACATTCCCCCCTCGTCCGCTGCTGGGTCATGGACCGCATCGGTACTTTTTCACCCTCGTTGCGCTCAGCGAGCCTATTGATGCGACTGCGCTAAGCCCCCTGCCAACCGCCGAGGAAGTGGGGAAAGAGATTGAGGGGAAGGTGGTGGGTTGGGGCGAATGGGTCGGTTCATATGAGAGACAATGGAAGTGATGGGCTTGCTGTATTAATGCAGGTCTTTCTGGATGGGAGTTCCTCGCTCAGGGAATCAAGACATCGTTCCGACGGCCCTGTGGATCACGCGCGTTTCTGAAATCGTCGCTCTATGTTTTCTCTGCTATTCTACCCACGTTGATTATGCATACAATTCAATCTTCCACCTGAAATATTTCAGCTTGCAGCCAAACATGTTCGAGGCCGCTTCGGGTCCCCAGCTCAGATATGATTCGCGTGAAAGTGTCGAGAAGAATTGGCATATTCGCCTTATATTAAGTAGACGACGCTTATGGCCGACTGGAGGGGCCCTACAGCTGCGTTGGCCATGAGCGGAGGGGATCTCTGCTAATTGAAAATTGTGCGTTTGAACCGATCTTTCGCACGGCACATATTCTGCAGGATCTGCTGCAAACCCCCCTTTGTTATTCCTTAGCGGATTGCCGTTCATTCGCACTGCAATATCAGATTGGTGAGCAAAGTCATGGGTGCATTTTTGCATGATCCGCTCACAGCTCTTCTAGCAAGCATTTGTATTTCCGGTATATTCTTGATGAGTGGAACTCCGACATTGGGCTCTTCAATGCTTGCGGTGCGACATTCGGGATTCAACCGCTCCGATGTATAGTCATCCATGTGATGTAGAGACGGTTTCAAAATCAGTCTAAGAATTGAGCGCATCCGAGAATCAGCTTTCGCAACGAGCGTTCTGTTGCCCAGTGAAGCCCGAACCGCTGGATAGTCGTCCCTCGGCGGTTGAAAATATTGGTTTTGGAGGACTATCAAGTTCATCCTCGCAATCTTCTCCGCTCATACTGATATCACTGGTGGCAGCGTCCCATTCCTTCACGTACTGCTCCATATTTCATGAGCGATGGTCTGTGACGACATGGAACCAGGGCTAGTATTGGGGATCTCGCATCGAGAGGAGTGGCTCCGGGACAGATCCCGTACCCATCTATGGATAGATCGCCTCGTGTGCGGCAGGCCATTTTTCAGCCACCCATGGTGTGTATGGGTAATCCTTGTAACTCTTTCACGCCTGCACATTCGCATGCTACACTAAAACATTGTCACAGCGTCAGCGGTATTGCTAGTCAGGGGCTTCCATAAAACATTGCGGCCTAAACACTAAGGGCATGCGTGAAAATGGTCGCCATGGCTGGTTGGAGCATTGGTTCCTGGTAGGAACTCTATTAACGCAGGTGCTGGCCGGGATTGATAAAGGGCTACCGAGGATCTTGGGAACATTGTGTTCCCTCACATGGCACAATGTTTCTCCCCAAGCCTTTCTTGCTAATCCTTGCTCTGACAAGCCTTTCATTTGCAGTTCCACGGGATCCGAGACAGCAACCATGTACACCCGACAATATCGCCATTCGAAGGGAGTGGTAGATCGTACTCCATCCCCGTCTTGCGTATTTCTTGTCCTATATCGCTGACCAGCCACCAATCTAAAGGAGTGAGATGCTACCGGCAAAACGGATCAGCTACACCAATGCTGTCCTCTGTATGACGCGGACGCCGCCGAGACTTCCAACTACAGCGTACCCAGGGGTGCGAAGCCGGTTCGATGACTTTGTAGCGTGTGGATCTCCTACGTGCGAAGCTGGGTCTGATGACGCTGATGCTGGTCTAGTACGCATATTAATTACACACTCAACAGCCATTACAGCGGGCTGTTCCTGCCATAGCACCGACGTTTCTTGTGGTTGTTTGAGAGTGCTCTCTGGGACGAGTGCAGGTATACAGGTTATCTCCCGTGAGTCTCTTGTCTCGGCAACCCTTTGCGTCACCGAGCAGGACGAGGAATTGACTTGACTAGGTATTGGAATTGGCCGCTCTGGGCAGGCAAACTCCATGACAGCCCACTCTTCGACTGCAGTGAGACATCCCTCTCCGGTGACGGTGATTACAACCCAGGGGAGCAGAGTGTCTCTGGTGGGGATGTGACTCTCCCTCGCGGCACGGGAGGAGACTGTACCCGCTGCGGTCCTTTCAAGGACATGGTGGTCCATCTCGGCCCATTCTCCCGCATGCTCCCCTCGCTCACCGAGATTCCATCGCCCGGATTCGAGTATAACCCGCGGTGCCTCAACCGCAGCTTGAACAACTTTGTCGCAGCCCACTTCACCAACGTCACTCAGGTCTCCCATCTCATGGCTGCCGCCGATATCGCTGATTTCCAGATGGTCATGGATCACTGGCCGGCCGAGCCGACGGGGGTCTTGGGACTACATGGCGGCGGGCATTTCAGTATCGGGTCCACCCTCCAGGATCTCTTCTCCTCGCCGCAAGACCCAGCATTCATGCTCCACCATGCGATGATAGATCGGATGTGAGCACTTTGGCAAGCCGCAGACGAGGTGAACCGGCGGCATGCGCTGAATGGGACGAATCGTATTCTGAACCCGCCGTGGGCGGAGCAAGTGACCTTGGATATGGAGATGGAATTTGGAATTCTGGATCGGCCCCGGTCGGTCCGTGAGGTCATGAGTCCCTTGGTGGGTGGGTTGTGTTATGCCTCCACCGGAGAGTGTCAGAGTTGATTTGATTGAGCTGACTGAGTTTTTGTTGTTTCTCTTCCATTCCTGGATCATCGGCGGATAAGGGCGGATGAACTCGGAATATGTCATCATATTCCCATCGATCGAGCTCGGTTTCTGTGATTGGTGCATTTGTTCGGTATCAACCGCCTTGAGGGTTCGCCAGTGCGGAGTTATTTGTACGCTTTGGCGGCGCAGGGGAGTCGAGCTACGCGGCAGAACTTGGGACTGGTTTCTACGCGATCCATGGAATAGAAGACCCCACGACCTGATGATCAACACGGCAAATGGCCCCCCTAGCTATGTATTTGTTCTGTTGACGATTCTCGCCCTCAGGCTGGCATTGACGAGCCTCGCATCATCTTCTTCGCATCATCTTCCTCACCTTATCTTCCTCGCATCATCTTCCCTATGCAGTCGTTCGTATTTCCTGTCGACGGGGGTATGACAACACGGCCAGCACAACACGCCGACTCCGAACGGGCCCGCTATTTTCAGCCCTGAGACCGAACCAATGAAGAGTGGGCCAGCACTGCCTTCGTGGATACATTACGGAGTACTGGGGCCATATCGGCAGAAGCTTGCGTCGCCCGGTAGCTTCTTGCGACGCATATATGCCGTGAATATTTCGCAATATTCCAGAGACCAAGTCAACTGTCTCCCATGTGCATCGGGGTCGATTTTATTCGGTCGGAATGTGTCACGGATTGAATAGGCAAACTCTGTGGTCGATCCGATCGGCCGCCGATCGCCCGTGTGAAACAACATCAACTTCTCAAGCCACAGTCAGACAGCCAAGCCTCCGAGAACCGTTCGCGGACCACTAATTATAGCTGACATCCTGAGTTCTAATACCCAAGCTAATCCAGAAGGATGCGAATCTCCATCACTCATTCTATCCCTCTGTCCCCGTGGATCCAAGCTCCGAGCTGTCTGGTTTTAGGGATCGCTGCCACTAGCGTACCTAAACTGGGTCGTAGTCTGCCTAAAACCGGTAAACTGTAGAGATCATTGCGTTGCCTCACTGCTTTGTCTCCATTATTTCTCCATTATTTTTTCCCTTTATCTTCCACGCCTGCATATTCTTCCTCACCTTCCACGTCCTCCCATCTCTCTTCTGTCTTCTTTCTTTCCTGTCATACCTTCACGCTCGACCCCCCACTTCCCTTCCCCTCCATCAATCTCGTCCAATTTGGAGCAATCGCCTTCGCCAACACCAACTGCCGTCGATCGCCACCATGCTGCGAATCAACCTCCTCCAGACCCTGTTAGTGTCGCTTATGCTCCTTGCCCTGGTCTTTGCGACGGAGTATCCAGTGATCGACAAGGTGCATCGTGAGTCTCAGTCTCTCCAGGATGTCCTGGCCAGCATCAACGTGAACTCCATTCACGAGGCCCTGCATGCCTTCTCTCGCAAATTCCAACACGGCGTTTTCCCGACTGACATGAGCGCCGCCGAGGCCCTGCAAGATGATGATGAGACTATTGCAAGCCTGGTGAGGCTGGCCAGACGGGCCAGCAACACGACCGCTGCATCGGAGCCGACTACTTCGGCAGAGTCTACCACCACGTCGGCAGATTCTACCACCACCACGGCGCCGGCTACCACCACTGCGGCGCCCACGACTTCCTCCACCTCGGAGTCCTCAACCACTTCGGTTCCCAGCTCGACGTCCAGCTCGAGCTCGGTCGCCTCCACCACCACGGTGCCCACCACCACGACGGCAAGCTCGAGCTCATCATCCTCGACGAGCTCCAGCACTACCTCGACTAGCTCAGTGCCCTCCACTCTCACCACCACGACCAGCCACTCGTCCTCATCCTCATCTACTACCTCGGCCCCAACCACCGACAGTTCTTACACTTCCACGTACAAGAGCACCACGACTCTGCCCAATGGAAGCTTGAGCACCATCACCTCCACGACCATCGTGCACGTCAACCCGACCGGTTCGTCCGGGAGTTCGACCACCGCCGGCTCTGCCCCTGGCCTGCAGACTGGTGCGGCTGCTCTGACCACCGCCGGTCTCACCCGTGAGGTTGTCGCCATGCTCGGCGGGGCTGTGGTGTTCGCAATGGCTCTATGAGGACGGCCTCTTGTGTCCTCGCCCCCGGTCGACTCCATCAAAGTCGCCGGCATTCCATTTCTGCGCATATCTTCTAAATTTTGCATCTACTAGCAAGTCAAACTTGCATCCATCGGTCCTTCAGCGTTTCCATGACAAGCATTGTCATATCACGATCCTTACGAGCTTCAAGACTCACGCCTCTCCTTTCTCACACATACACTGTTTCTCGTTTCTCCGGCGTTAGCATATCCAGCCTAAGGCTGTGATCGGGTCATCTGGTTTTTTGTATCTGGTTGTTTCACGGGCAGCGTGTAGCGTGCACCATCCCTGGTGCCTTAGAGGATCTTTATCTGCAAAGAAAAATAATGCAGTGGTAATCTTGCCGGCCTCGGCCGAGGAAAGCATGTTTTCCGTTATTCCAATCTTCGTCAAGTGCATTCAGTCGTCACATGTAGAATAAGAATAATCTTATCAAAATTCACAATATATAGCATCAGAGTATGCAGCGGGGTATGTATGCGCCACCAAGCGCGGCCGAAATTACTATCCACCAAAAGAGCCAATCACCTCATATACCGTCCTCACACATCCTCACATGTCCGATCACTCCTCGGGGACTCATCAATTCCTTGCCAGCCCGATATCGGGGAGTCATGTTGATCGTTCACGTATGGATCCACCTGTCAACCTCATCGCGAATAGGTTGCACCACCCTGCCAGCGCTCCTCGCCCGTCCAATACCGGACTACGCTCTCCCAGGCCGGCAGGTCACCGTCTCGCAGGAGCGCTGCAACATCAACGTTCAATGGCGAATCTGGCTGCGGGTCGGTCAGGAGCTGGTGGATGGCGGTGAGCGTGGACGAAAGCGTGTAGACGGGGCTCCAGTGCTCGGTCGTGAGGAGGGTGAGGCAGATCTCGCCGGTCGTGAATGAGATGTTCGGATGTGATATCCGAGTCGTAAAGTGGATTGTTGGGGGCGCGAGGGGGTAGTTGGGGGGGGATTGCGATCCGGAGGTGCCAGAGGCCGCCTGGTGATACGTGCGATGTGAGCTGAAAGCGTCCCAAGTGAGAGTGGTCATGGCGACGCATACCTTCGTACGGAGTTCCATTCACGCCCTTCAGAACTGCCTCCCAGCGCAGCAGATCCTCATCATTGACTGGGCCGAGGTGTAGAAGCGCCTCGTTGGGCGATTTGGCGTAGTCCTTCAGCTCGCGCAGCAGCCGCTGTGTCGTGTTGGTTGACGACGCTGCCATTTCTGAGGAATGTGCAGGAAAGCCTCGCGCTCGGAGGGGTTGGAATGTGACTGCGGCGAGGTAAGGAAGGTGGTTTGCGGGGTGTGTGGTGTGTGGTGTGTGGGCGGGCGTTAGAGGCGTGAAGTCGTAGGGCAATTTGATCGCAGAGTTGCCCTTTCCTCGGCGGAAAGTTGGGAAAGTCGGAGAGGCGCTAGGATCGTCGCCGAGGCTGGGGAACCGGCCCCGGCCCTGCCCCAGGCCGCATCCACGGGTCGCAGTCCACATGTGCAAATTACCTGTCCTATCGCCTTTGGTCGATTAGACACCTCCTTTTCCCCCAACCCATTCCGCTCATTATGCGCACTTCTCGTGCCTCGAAGGAAACCTCGAAGGTTCTCCAGGCGTTGTCACCCCCTGCACGACGCCAGACTCGCAGTGCGGCGATCGGCACTGGCGCCCTGAGGAGTTTCGCCTACCATGGTGACTCGACTGTAAAGGCCGAGTTGATCCCGACCATTGCCACGATTCCTGCTACTAGAAGTGACGATGAGTCCTCTCTTTCGTCTGTCAATACAGCCGACATCGAAGATCTCGTTGCCGACATTGAACCCCCTTCGAAGCGCCGGAAACGCAACGCCAGCCCCAAGATCCTATCCGCCTCAAATCGCACTCCGCGCAAGCCCCTCGTGAAGAAAGAGGATCCAGATGAGAAGCCCACACCGCAGTCCAAGGCCCGGCGCATGCCTGCTCGCAAGACCCGCGATGCTGATGGAGCAGTTGTCGTGGAGCCGCCGTCCGACTGGGAGACTATGTACAACATCGTGAAGAAGATGCGTGAGGATAACCCGACCGCGCCGGTGGATACGATGGGCTGTGCAGAGCTCTACTGGCGGGCATCATCACCACGAGATCGTCGTTTCCAGACTCTCGTCGCGTTGATGCTGTCGTCCCAAACCAAAGACACCGTAACTGCCGTTGCAATGCAACGACTACACACCGAGCTTGGCGATGACCAGCCAGACCGCGTCAGCGATATCAAATCTGAACCAACCGACTGTATGGACGAGGTCAAGATCAAACCCGAACCCGAAGACCCCTCTGCCACCCTCGCGCCCAAAGACAGCACCCTCAACCTCGAGAACATCCTGGCCGTCTCCCCGACACGTCTCAACTCGCTCATCGAAAAAGTCGGCTTCCACAATAACAAAACCAAGTACATCAAGGCCGCCGCGCTCATTATCCGCGATGAATACGAAGGTGAGATCCCCTCCACGCCGGAAGGACTCATGAAACTCCCCGGTGTGGGACCCAAAATGGCGTACCTATGTATGAGCGCGGCGTGGGGCAAGCATGAGGGCATCGGCGTGGACGTGCACGTCCACCGGATTACCAACTTGTGGGGGTGGCATAAGACGAAGACACCCGAAGAGACTCGGCTGGCGCTGCAGTCTTGGCTGCCGCGGGATAAGTGGCATGAGATTAACAAGTTGCTGGTTGGGTTGGGGCAGACCGCGTGCCAGCCGGTTAAGAGACGCTGTGGAGAGTGTTATTTGGCCGGCACGAAGCTTTGCAAGAGCGAGGTTAAGGGGCTGGGTCCGGTGAAGCGGGAGGTGGGTGTGAAGGGGAGTCCTGGGCTGGAGGAGCCCAAGATTAAGATTGAGACCCAGTGAAGGGCTTGGTGGATCCGGTCCGCTGGAGAATTTCAAGAATCGTCCATTGAATTATTGGAGCATGGCTTCGACCTAACTGTTTTGAACGGTTGATCGATTGACCTTTCTTTTCATCTCAATTCCAGGGGCCTGCCTGGCGCGGGGAGCTTCCTCTTTCCCATGTTCTTCTTTCTTGCTATATACAATATTCATTCTTCATGAAAATCTGTCGATTTGATTAGACTAACACACTGCCCACTTGCCTTGCGTCAGTCTCGGCGCAATCACGAAGGAATATAGATTGGGTACTCACTGCTGAACATCTCCTCCCACAGCTCATCAATATGAAACAGCGAGGAGATATGTCCCCCGGGCAACATCTTCGGCTTAGCAGACTTGTAGTTATGCACAATCCAATCATTGGTACTGCCGCCAATATGATCGTGGCTCGAGCTAACCACAAGCATCGGCTTCGATGCGTGCTGGTCATCCAGCCTCTTGGGCTCGAACCCCCAATCCGAATGAATCACATCCGAAACTTCCATAACCCCGTCCCAATTCTGGCAACATCGGATAGTCCCATTGGCCATTGATTCGAGGAACGCATCCTCCGAGAGGTGGTTGGTTCGCAGCCACCCACCGAACGTGGCTTTCTCCTCGTCGTCCATGGGATCGATGAGTGTTTGTCGAAGAAATGCCTTTGTACCTTTGAGACTTTTCAACCTCAGGCCGACGACGGCTCTGAAGATCCACTGAACCGCGTGGAAAGGAAGAAACTGAGTTGGTGGGCCAAAGGAGAAGTAGTTCTGCCAGTTCAACGACTTTGTGTAGTCCGTGTGATACTTGACTGGTGAGAAGCCGGCGAGCAAGAGACATCCCGCAATCTTGCGGCCTGCCGGGAATAACTCGTACGGTGCGCCATACAGCATTTGTGCCGGCACAGTACCATACGAACCACCTGAAATGTACAATTTATCGAAGTCATTGGTAGGGTAAAGGAATGTGAGGAGGGCAGAGATGTCCCGGGCGAGCGAGACGTTGTAGGGCACGGATTTGTCGCGCGTGCTTGATTTGCCCGAGCCGGGGGGAGTTGGGCTGATCCAGTGTGCTCCCACTGCGCGGCATGGCTCCGGCACTCGATGCGCGGTCCCCACGCTCAGCACGCCCGTGAAGAAGATGATGACGGTTCGAGATGTCTTGGGCCCATTGTGGGCGTAGGCGAGCTGTCTGTTGTTGGGCAGAGTGAGAATATGCTCCTTCTCGCCAGCTTCAGTGTCATAGGCTGCCATTGCTCTTGGTTTTGGCAGGGTAAGAGGTGATCAACGCTGTCAGTCTAGGTTGGTAGGCGCGGATATATATAGTTGTTCGACGGGTTCCTTGAAAGTGCTGCCTGATGGTGGTGGCTTGGGCTAAGGAATGGACAGGGTCCTGCCATTGGACACGATTTGGCTGTGTTGACGAATACGAGATCCATATTAAAGCAGGTTGATCATGAGTACCATACCTGAACGGAAGCATTCCAGCTGAAGCCAAAACAAATGAACCGCAACTGAGCCGCAACTGGACCCCGGGCGTTCTGACTAAACAGGCGAAGTGGCCCCGCGTGGGGCGGACATAGCTCAAGCTTCCAACTTTTAACGCCGAGAGCTAGACACAACGCGGCTAGGAGGCCCCTTCGGTGCTGCCAACCACAATTATTTGGGTCCAGGTATACATACGCAGTCTACAGGACTCAGCCATATTCCATTCATAGCGTTGGCTCTCCCCGCTGGCCAGCATGGCCCCATCAACGCCGATTTCCATCCCCGCCTTCGCCGAGACGCAGCTCCAGCTCCTCCTCCACGAGCACGAGGCCGAAGTTGCCTCCTCCTCCCTCGCATCAACCGCGGCATCCGTATCACCATCAACGAGGCGAACGCTCCAAGCTACAGGTTATGCGCTCACCGGCCTGGTCCTATCACAATGTCGCACCGGCCTAGGCGGCCGTGTCGTGGGCGAATTCACACCGGACCCCGCCATCGCGTCAAGCGGGCCCAAATCACGGGATGGCGATGACTCCAGAACATCGGATGGGTATCCCCGGCTTGGGTCTCATGGGATTCGTGTTGGCGATGTGGTTCGCGTGAACGATGTCTCTGCAGGGCCGGCGAAGAAGGCGGGAAAGGATAAAGACAAGGGCAAGGACAGTGCCAAAGAAGGAGCTAAAGGTGGTCCGGAGGGCGTGGTAACCAGAGTGAGTGAAAAGGCGATGTGGATCGCTTTCGGCCAGAGAGGTGGCACTGGTCGCTCGAAAGAAGACGACGAAGCTATTGAGGAATTGTGGGGGAAGAAGCTCTGGGCGTACGTGGAGCATCGCTGTTCAGGTGGAATTCCTGATGCTAACTGTCAATTGCAGAATCAAGCTTGCAAATGATGTGACATATAGACGGTAAAGCCGACGATATACTAGGCCGAGATATCGACGCTGACGTTTCCCAGAATGAGGCAGACGATGGAGAAAATGGCCAAAATGACGGAGTCGGACCACTCGCACTTCATGCGTGTTGCCTTTGGCCACACGACTCCATTACAACCGGACTACGATACAACCGGAGATGTACAATTCATCGATCCCACACTGAATGACTCGCAAAAAGATGCCATTCGATTTGCGCTGGCCTCCAAGGATATTGCTCTCATCCATGGTCCGCCCGGCACGGGAAAAACGCACACCCTCATCGAACTGATCATGCAGATGATCCAGCGAAAGAAGCGTATACTCGTCTGTGGACCATCCAATATCTCTGTGGACAACATCGTCGAGCGCCTTTCCCTGAACAAGGTCCCCGTTGTGCGGATCGGACACCCTGCTCGCCTCCTTCCCTCGGTGATGGAGCATTCTCTGGAAGTCCTCACGCAGACATCCGATGCCGCGAGTATTGTGAAAGATATCCGCAAGGAAATGGATGAGAAGCAGGCCAGTATTCGCAAGACACGAACCGGCCGCGAACGACGGGCGATCTATGACGATCTCAAACACTTAAGAAAGGAGTTCCGGGAGCGCGAGTCCAAGTGCGTTGATAGTCTCGTACGAGAGAGCAGTGTGGTGCTAGCGACTCTTCACGGTGCTGGGGGTCATCAACTGAAGAACCAAAAGTTTGATGTTGTCATTATCGATGAGGCCAGTCAGGCGCTAGAGGCACAGTGTTGGATTTCGCTTCTCGCGGCTGAAAAGGTTGTTCTGGCCGGTGACCATTTGCAATTGCCGCCGACTGTCAAATCGACCAATCTCAAGTCCAAGGACAAGAATAATAATGACACAGAGAAGACAGGTGACACAGCCGTGAAAGAGAATCTGAAGGGGGTGTCATTGGAGCGGACGCTCTTCGACCGGCTATTGGCGCTCCATGGCCTCGGAATCAAACGAATGTTAACGACGCAATATCGGATGCACGAGAAAATCATGCGATTCCCGTCCGACGAGCTCTACGAGTCCAAGCTGATTGCCGCCGATTCGGTCAGAGATCGACTGCTGGCCGATTTACCTTACGAGGTCGAGGGCACCGATGATACACAGGAACCGCTTGTCTTCTGGGACACACAAGGCGGCGACTTTCCCGAGAAGAGTGAAGACGACGAGATAGGCAAGAAAGAGGCTCTCCTGGGCGAGAGCAAGAGCAATGAAATGGAGGCCCTGGTGGTCGCCCGGCACGTTGACACTTTGATCGCGGCCGGGGTGCGCCCCGAGAGTATCGCGGTGATCACACCTTACAATGGGCAGCTAGCCCTCCTGTCTCAGATACTGCGTGAGAAATATCCCGGCCTCGAGCTGGGCAGTGTGGATGGATTCCAGGGCCGTGAAAAGGAAGCCGTGGTGGTCAGTCTCGTGCGCAGCAATGCGGAGCACGAAGTTGGCTTTCTCGGCGAGAAACGGCGATTGAACGGTATGTCATCCCGTCCTTTCTGTTTGCCTATCTTGTGGCCCCATGCGCCAATAAGCGTCGTCAGCCGCCGTGCGCGAGATAGATACATAGCTTGATCGATTCGGCTAACGGGGGCTATCTCTGGCACTAGTGGCCATGACACGCCCCAGACGGCACCTCTGCATCTGCGGGGACTCAGAGACCATCAGCCGGTAAGTTTAGTTTTGTCCGTGTTTCCTGCGACGAAAGCTTGAGGTTAATATGAATTCTCCTCCTCCGTCACAGGGGTAGCAGTTTTTTGAAGCACTGGATGGATTATTTGGAGGAACATGCCGACCTGCGCTACCCTGACGCAGGGGACCTACTCTGAGGGAAATGCCGTGCTGCAAATAATTACGCCGTTAGTATCATTCTGTGTCCGACCGTCCTGCCGATCCCTCGTGGGTGTTGAGGTCTCGACGACATGCGCAGCGACCGACCAGCCCCGAGCCTGGGTCTTGAGGCCTGGCGCCCGGCCATAGTACAGCAGGGCTCAGGAATGCCGCTTCGTCCCGTTTCCCCGTTTTCTCCTGCACACCCCTCAGTACGGAGGAGTAGAATTCATTAGGATCATAGAATATACACTTCTCCCACCCTAACCCCTTCCCAAACAGTCCCAGTGGCACCAACCAGCGTTGAGCGCTCCCCATCCCGAAACACAACAGCAGCACCGAGCCGTGTTGAAAGAAAGACCCGGAGGCGGTGAGACGTGGGACGAGGAGGACGGCGAGGTTCGAGCTCATACTTGTTTCAAAACAGCCCTCCATGGGGTGATCTTCACTTTCCCGGAGGCGTCGGAAATAGGTTACTGGACGCGGCGACGCCGTGAAAGGGGCGGTCGTCTCCAAGTCAGCGACAACAAAGACACGATCGCCCGGTCAATTGGCTGGCGAAAAGCCAATAACGGACCAAGGGTGGCTTGACAGCCGAGGATAGGACGATATGACAAGAGGCAGCCTGGCGTCCGTGAAAGTGGGAAGCCCCAGATTGTGCGACTGTGCGAGTCGGACGGTCTGTGCACCAGATTGGGATTTCCCGCGATCACCAGCCTGTTCGCCTGTTGGTGCCATGTGGTGTTTCAGACCGTGGGGCCTGCAGCACATCGAATGCTTACTCCCTCTACAACGCATAGGACTCAGTACCCCATATGGCGTGCAGAACTGAAATGTCCCAAGCCCAGCCCGAGCTGCGAAGCCGTCGTGCTGAGGGGCGCTAGGCGCATTCTGGATGCGCCTGGAAGCACTCCAAAACGGCCGTTGCTCTGCGTGCTCCACTTGGTCTCGGCTCGTGGATCCAGCGCAGCATTCAATTGAAATGAGGCCCAGTCGCTGTCTGGTTCGGCCCCTGGCTCCCTTGGATAACTGGGCGGCCGCTCAGGTCTCTTCGTGGGCTGTTTAGGGTTGGGCCTTTGTTCCTGCTCGGACAAGCTACGGAGTAGTCTTGCTAGTGTCTTCCGCAGGCCAGTGAGATGCTGCCTACGGGCTATCAGAGATGGATTGCGCCCTGCTGCCGTTTTGTGGCAGGTTGCCCTGAAGACCCGTCTGCTCGGTCCCAATCTTGCGGCGTCTCGGGCATCCCGCCAGAAGCAGCATCGGGTTGAGTCTGTTGCGAGCTAGCGTAGAACCAAACAGCCCGACACCGTTCGCCTTCAAGCTATTCCTTCAAGCCGTTCATGGCCGAGCGCTAGACCATGCTGTTCCAGCCCAGTTCCCGCGCCCTTCGGGTGTGGCGCGCAGACAGTGCCGACCGTCCATGGACGAGGGTGGGCTTCATAGTTCCCGATGCAGTTAGCTTGGACTACATAGCTTGTCTCCTAATTATTCCAATTGTCCAGCAGTCTATCTCCGCCAGAGCTGCGAAAGCTCCCCTCGCGCTCTCGCTCCCTTTTCGCCTTTCATCGTCTCTTCGCCTCTTCTTTCCCTCCTTCCTCTTCGCTCGGTTTGGTTTCCCCACACTCGTTTCTGTGCCACTTCTCGTTCTTGGTTGTATCCCGTGTCCCTTCTATCGCCGCTTCCTTCCCCCTTCTATCCTCTCCGCCCGTGGTTGCGAGCCAATATCCCGAGACTGGCAAACGCTCTTCCGTCGCCGGGTACTGTGCCTCGTTTGCAACTATGATCCTGATCATACCCGACTCCGTACGTCTCGGTTTCATTTTCGGGCCCTGTCGTGCCCCATCCCTGACTAACACCGTTTGGCAGCCCTTCATATTAGACCCGCGACTCGACTGAATACCGTCGATTTCCTGGCCTTGATTCGAACCCTCCGCTGCGCGGCCACTGCCTACTATTATACCCCCCATCTTGTTGTAACGATCTTCGTTTCCCCGCCTTAGCTTTCGTTATTTCGACACTCGCTCCCATCTGTCGGTTCTTCACCGTTCTTTTTTCCCTCCCATTCCTTGGATCTGCGTTTTCTGTAACGACATATACCCCAACGTGACCGCGACAACTATCTCTTGTCATGATCACCGACAGACAGTTTGCAAAGAGTTCTAACAAAGCATCCACTGTGATCCTTCGAACGCGATTTTAAATTTTGAATTCGGTTTCGTTTCTTACGATGTCGCGGGTTACCACTCGGTCGATTGTGAGCGCCGGCAGCGAGTCGGCGCCCAGTCCACAGCAGCGTTCGATTTCGGCGCGAGGAGAGCGCTCGGCCTCGAACCCGGCGTCGTTCGCCCTGGAGACCAACCACTATGACACGGCCTTGCCCCCAATGAATTTCCACCAACCACCCGTTGTGCACCGTCGGACGGGGAGCACACTCAAGACGGTGATGCGCAAGATCTTCAACCGCAAAAGACAAAGTCAAACAGACGGGCTAGAGGAAATGCCCAATGAGACTTACTTCTCATCACCGGCAAGGTCGTCGGGACCGATCGTCGCGGGCACGTCGTTTCTGGCTGTACCCTCTCCGTCAGAGTCCAAACGGAGTAGTCCCTTGTCCGAGGAAAACCTGCAGCTGGCAACACATCTTTCTCCGACCGCTGCCACCGGTGGCTCTTTACCTTCTCCTAGGATGGGACCTCGTCGACGACGTGCGACATTGCCGAGCGTGATCTTTTCCGACGATGAGTCCCGATATGCGGTGGCATCCACTGCACTTTCCGACCCCCAGGAGGATCGCCCTGTGATTCCCGATCAGGAGCGCCAACGCAGTACGCTCCAGGCCCGACGAAGATCGAGGAGTATCGGTGAACTGCAGCACCTCGCCAGCGAGCGACCACGGTCTCCGACGGCGTGGCCAACACGGACAACCTCGGTCCCCAATTCAGCTCTCGAGTCAAAGTCGCCCCATCTGGAAGGTGGAAGTTCTGTGAGTGACCATTCTGGCAGACCTTCCACTGGGACGACGGTCACCAGTGTGACCAAAGCATCTGTTGCCCCATCCCTCCCCGAGTCCAACCACTACGCGGAGCAAATGAGTCCTCTCCCGCCCAATATGGGCACTCTGATGCACACCATGCAACAAGATGATGGCCTGACAGTCGAACAACGCCTCAATACCATCGAAGTGAAAATGATCGACCTGGAGTTCGCCATTGCGCGCATGCAATCCAATTCGGTCAATGAGAAGACCCAAGACCGACTGTCGTCCCGCCGGAAGCAAGACTCGTTCCCTCAAATGCGCAGCAAACCCTCTTACTCGAGCTCCGTGGACCGTGACGAAACCCCCAGTCCCCTCGCAACCCTCGCCTCAGTCCGCCCAGTAAGCACCAGCACCATCCGCCCCGACACAATGGCCTCCCGCACCATCCGGCCCGCGCCGTCCGCGACGTCGCTCTCCGACTTCCACGGCATCTCCATCGAACAATACAGCACCCTCGTCACCCTCCTCCGCCGCGAACAAACCGCGCGCCGGACCCTAGAGGGCCAGGTTGCCAGTCTTAAAGATGACCTCCGGCACTTCCAGCGGGCCGCGCTGCACTCGATGGAGCTCGGCGGTTCGATGCACCCCCTTCACCGCGTGGATTCGCAGGAGTTCTTGCGGTTCCGGCGTGCGCTTGACGAGTCTGATTCTAGCTCGCCGATTCATACGACGGATGAAAAGCTCAATGGGACTTTGGATAACGAGTCCGATTATGATCCGTTTGGCCCGTCTAAATGGGAGCGTGAGCGTGAGCAGCGTGAGCAGGGAGCCAGGCGCGTCGTTACGGTCCCGATGATCTGAGCAATTGCGTTGCATCACGATCTCCCGCATCCGCGCGGTTTCCGACCCCCATCGTGCTCCGAGTGTGAGTGTCACGGGAGCCTCGCGCGCCTCGACGATCACCAGCCCAGACCTCGCGGAAGCCAAAGCGCTTCTTGGTGAGATCGGTGACGATGGCCACCGGTAATCCCACCGCACTGGTATCTGTCGCATTGGCTGCGATCCACCCCAGCGCATTATTTTTCTACGGTCGTCGGTCCCCTCCCTGTCTCCACTCCAACCGACAATGGCATCAATGAGCCTGACCTGAGTATAAGGTGCATCCGGACGCCTTCACTTGATTCTCTGCTCTTTCCCCGCGACGGGTTCGCGATTTGTGTCACGACAATCCAGATCAAACGCCTCGTGGATTAGACACTAGCTTTACTTCCAATCACATAATCTGTCTTCTTTGAATCATTGTCTCTAGTAGTTGATCGTGGACTGTTGTTCTTTCTCCGTAGGACCGACTGGATTCTCGCGGTCGTCCCCGGTAGGTTCCAGGTTTATATAAGCTTCTGAGTTCCTCTGACTGCGTCATGAAGAAACTCGAACAGAACGGCACCAGCTGCTTGGTCCACTACTCCCTGCATTGTCTTCCTCGCGGACTTCCGCCTGTCCGCCTGTCAACGTAGTATTTCCCCCACCGGGCCATTGATCATGGGTACCCCGCAGTTTCGGCCCCCCTTTCCCCTGAGCTCTCTTGACGATCATTTGCCATTCTCCTTGCATCTTGTATAGAAGGGCACGGCACCATGGGGAGTACAAATACGAAGGACTTCACAGTGACTATTGTGGGCGGTGGCATCGGCGGCCTCACGCTGGCCGCCGGCCTCCTACGGCGGCAGGTCCGCGTCCAAATCTATGAGGCTGCGTCCGCGTTTGCGGAAATCGGGCTGGGTCTATCGATTGGACCCGCGGCACACCGTGCGATGCCCCTCATCGATCCTCAGATTCGGGAGATTTATGATTCGCTGATCACCACGCACGCCGATAGTCCGGGCTATGAGACGTTTCGACAGACGTGGTTTGAGATTATCTGGGCGAGTGGCGAGAGGGAAGGGGAGTTGTTGATGGATCTCCAGGCCCTGCCGTCGGGCCAGACTACACTGCGGCGCGCGAATTTCCTGGATGCGCTGGTCGGCTTGATTCCGCCGGACATTGTGCACTTTGGGAAGCGGCTGGAGAGTCTGGCGGAGACTGCGGATGGGGTGGACTTGCGCTTTGACGATGGGACCTCGGTCCGAGCTGATGTGGTGGTTGGCTGCGATGGCATTAAATCCAAGGTCAAGGAGTCGATGCTGCCGGAGGAATCGGCACAGACGCAGCCGCGGTATAGTGGGATGTATGGCTATCGGGCTGTGCTGGACATGGAGGATATGATCCACGCCGTCGGCGACCAGCGCGCCAGAGTATCCACGATGTATATTGGGGAGGGGGCATACGGTATTTCGTACCCGATGATGCACGCGCAAAAGGTCAACGTGGGGCTTTATATATTGAGTGACAGGTGGGATTGCGAGACGTGGGTCAGGCCGGCTGTGAGGGAGGACATGCAGCGCGATGCTCAGAATATGGGTCGATACGTGAAGGCTCTGGTTGAGGTACGAACGACTTTGATGTGCCATCCGCATGAGTCGACCAGGTTGCTTTACTGACTGCGCACTGCGGACTTTAGCATATGCCCGATCCATCCCAATGGGCTATCTTCGAGCATCCCCCCATCTCCACCTTTTTTCGCTCCCGAGTAGCCATCCTGGGGGACGCAGCGCACGCCTCGACGCCCCATCAGGGGGCGGGTGCCGGGCAGGCCATCGAGGATGCACACGTTCTTGCTGAACTGCTTGGCGATGCCCGTGTGAAATCGGTCCAGCATGCCCGTGCGGGATTCAAGGCCTATGACGAGATTCGGCGACCTCGCAGTCAACGAGTGGTCACCAGTAGCAAGGAGAATGCCGATCTGTTATGTCTGTGTTTGGACGGAGTCGGGGCCAATGAAGCAAAGCTCAAGGAGACATTTCAGTCTCGACTGCACTGGCTTTGGGATTTAGATGTCCAGGAACAGGCTGACCAGGCGAGGCGGAAGATGCTCGAGTACTTTGAATATTGACCAGTGAAAGCTGACACTCTCGTCATGGATTCCCTTGATCAATTCCTCATTGTGTCCTCTATAGAGAGGAAATCACGTAATTGGAAGTATAGGATGCGGGTCAACGCTGTTCTTCTTTTGACTTCCCCTATCCAACAAAGGCGCCAGAAAGATAATCATCACACGAGAGGTCTAGCTTCGTATTTGCCGTCAGCAGTTTTGTAAAGCCAATTCATACGTCACCTACGAGGCAGGACCGAACAACAACCCCTCTCGAGACGCCAGCCCCGCCCAGCCTCGGTGCGGAGCAACCCCCAGATTGTCAGCCTTACAAAGAACAGAGGGTCAGCACAATCCCACCAGAGAACACAGCGGCTCATTATATCTCTTGCGGAACCAAATCCACCGAATAAAGGGATCCCACAGTAGTCCAGATCGAGTGATACAACTGCGGGTACCTGTGACGTCCTTCACCATGGCAGACATCACCATCTCCGACGAGATCCTGAAACATATCAGCGGCCAGGTAGTTCTGATCACCGGTAGGCATTGCCATTCCCACTGAACGCAAGACATGCTCATAAAATAGGTGGATCCTCTGGAATCGGCCGAGCGACCGCACAACTGTGTCTGGACCTAGGCGCCAAGGTTGTGATTGGAGATCTGAGTCCTCCCAGCCCAGCATTCGAAACCACCGAGCAAGTCAAATACGTGGAGGTGGACGTGACCATATGGGGGAGTCTTCGAAACATGTTCGATCAGGCGGACAAGTTCTTCGGCGGCATCGACCACGTCTTCGCGAATGCGGGCGTTCCGCCAACAACGCAATTCTTGGATGTTCACCTCGACGAAGCGGGCCAGCTGCAGCCTCCGCCTCTCCAAACCATCAACGTGAATCTGATCGGGCCCCTATACACAATCAACCTAGCATCGGCCTATATGACGCAGCTGGCAAGCCGCCGCCCGACGGCGAAAACAGGAAGCATTGTGCTCACCGCATCTGCCTCGTCCTTCCAGGAGTTCAGCGCCGGTGACTACACCATCGCCAAGCACGGGGTTCTCGGCATGGTTCGTGGACTCGTGCACCGGCTGGAGGCGGAAGGCGCAATCAGACTGAATGCGGTGGCTCCCTCGTGGACCAAAACGGCTATGATTCCGGCGGAAGTCATTGAGGCTATGGGCGTGGCAGTCCAAACCCCCGAGGCTGTGGCGCGGAGCGTGGTCTTGCTATTCGCCGATCAGGCCCGACATGGAGAAGTGCTATATAGCTGGGAAGGACATGTCCGGGAGGTCAATCAAGCCGAGGGGGGTCTGTTATCCATGACAAAGAAGTTGCTATACAACGACGATAACCTCGAGGGAGTGCTACAGAATCTCACCGAACAGGCACAGGCGACAAAGTCATAACATAGAAGCATGGACATAATCTGGATGCATGGGATGACTCCAAGGAGTCATCTCAAGGAGTCATCTCGCTCATGCCCGTCGCTGTATCTACTTTCGGGTTGTGTAGTCATGTCACATGGCTTATTTGATTGCCAATCTCCAGGGGCCTTCTTTACTTGGCAAGGCGTCCGAAGTCAATGGTTATTCCCAGACGACATCACACACGGCTATGGTTGGACTCACCGATGGTGCAAAATTGGTGGTGGAGGAACACTTGGATGTAAAACCGACCAAACTCACTCGTGGCAGCCATAATTGCATCGTTACCCTATGCAGGCCTGTGCAATTTGAGCTAAGAAGGAAAGGATATCATGTAACCAATCCACCGTCACTACGGCGATTCGGATTCTGTCCTCACGTAACCCGATTTGAGTCGAAGTCTTTCGCCGATCTCGGAATAGCGTTGGTACGACAAAGTGGCAAGCTCAGTACCATATCTTATCCCCCTGGAGGTGAAGTTCCTCAAAACTGTCTGACACCACGCGAACTTTCGAGAGTCCCGCTCTCGGAAGAATTGGTTGGCAGCCCAAAAGGTAGGCAAGACAGGCTGTCGCATAGCGGAGCCATGGGTGCTTTTATCGCACAGAGCCAGTGCCTGGCACAGCCTTTCGGCAAATTTATCGGCGACTCTCTCAATGTCATGGAATGTTCTTGATTCGCCGGTACTAGTGAGCTTCTTGTTCCCGGCAACAAGTGCGCATTCGTCGTTGAGCCACTGGCGTCGGCCATGCGGCCCCCGTGGAAGTAAAATGTGTGGTCGCTCCAGGGTAATGCTCAACATCTGCATTATAGGTGACATCTCGTGATGCAGAATCAGGAAGCCCAACCAGGCGAGCAGAAGGAGTTGCAACGTGTACCGGTCGGGAAACTCAAGCACTTCTGGGAACACGTTCATCAAGTCCGGGGATCCATGAAGGAGACAGAGGTCGTCCCATGTAGCTGTTCTGATACTGAAAGGGCATTCAGCCAAGTTGTTGAGAAGACTCAGGTACCACACTCGGAATTGAGTCTCGGTTTCGTTGAACAGGCGTATGAAGCGTTGCTTGATGGATTCAAACCGGTCCGGGGTGTGGCCGAAAAGCCTGGTCTCATCTAACAGTTCTTGGATGGAGGGAAGCTCTAACAAGATATCCAGAAGCTTATCATACTCGCCCTCGCGAGGAGCAGTAGCGCGCCATCTGGGGGTTGCCAGAAACGTAGATTTACGTCTTCCGCATGCGTCATAAAGCTATACAAGATTTAGCAGATGCTGCTTTTGTTCGGATCAAGTGAACCTACCGCTAGGGTTCGGACCCGTCGAAGCAAGTGTCGATCGATAGGCATATGAGGGCCTTGTTCTTCCAGAAGCCGCCATGCGGCCTGGATGTGAATCATCCATGCCTGGGGCTGATTGGTACCGCAGTTGTAGAGCTGTAAATATGAGCGCTTGGTCTCTTGGCATGGTGTAGTTTATAATACCTGGTAGATGGCAAGCACCAGAGCGGCTCCAATGACATCGGCAACTTGAGCAGCATCACGCGTTCCACCAAGTCGATACAATTTTGCCACGACCATGCTGTAACCCCGCTCGCTTTCCCTGATCCATTCCGGATTCTGGTGTCGTTGCCCAGCAAAAGCCAGACTGAGAGCGCCGAGTGCATCATCCAAAAGGGAGCTTCTCCCAATGTAATCGGGTAAGCGCTCAAACCAGGAAAGTGAAGTCTGACACCCGGGCCCATGTGCTCCATATTCTCGTGGCAGGTAGTCAGACATGAAATGGGATAAGAGCTGAGTCTGGTACATGGGCCCTGAAGCAGGACTTTGGATAAAGTGATCATTGCACCAATCCAAAACAAACTGGTACAACGGAGGTGGAGTGTGGATTTGGAACACCGCCTGTGGTTCTCTTGGTTCTATTGGTTCTGCACGGGACAGGCCAGGGAGGTATATCATGCTGCCCTCTTCACGCGCAATCGCACAAGTACGCTTTGCCCTTCGACAGCTCGTACAAATAGGCCGGTTTCCATCGCACTACTTACAAGGAAAGAATTTTTAGGGATCGAACAACGTTTTGATTGATGGGAGACGATCAAACTCTGTGTTCTCTCACCTTAACCTTGCGCTTCCGACATGTCTCGCAGCTTTGAGTTCGCCACGGTGGTCGCACCATACTTGGGATAAATTGGGAAGGTGATGATGTGAGACGGGGAGACAGTCAATCTAGAGGACTTCTCGTTGATCAACACCAACGGCCTGAGGAACATCCCAGTGCTCTTTTTAAGCCATGCTTCGAGTGACCCCACCACGGGAAACTCTAAATAAAGAGCTATCGATTGATACAATCCAAAGCAAAGGCAACCCGACAGATTCCTCGGCGTAAGCTTACTCGTGATTGGTCAGACCTGGCTCTTGACAGGGATCATTATTATGAAAGGATTGGATTGAACCCTCGGACCGCCCGTGTATTGGTTCAGGGGCCTTTGCGCCCGTGGGGGTTATCGATGGTTCTTGCAGATCGAGCTGCTGGCGTCAAGCGAGCTGAGAGATGAGGCTGAAAATACTGGACTATCGCATAATACAAGTGCAACAGTCGAGACTGCAAGCTTAGGTTCACCTCGAAAGCTACTCTGTCCAAAGAAAAAGAAAACAGAAGCAAGAGAAAAGAAAGCATGGCTGCAGTAGTTTTTGAATTCGTCTGACCTTCCACTTTGTAGACTTGATTCCCATCAAATAAATCCTGAATCTGCGAATTCTGATTGGATTTAGATTGGGCGTTTGAATCTTAACCGCTTTCTATACTGTACTGTAATAGTCTATGTATTTTACAATCCGTTTCTAGGACCATGAGGGATGTTATACATTGCAGCTTATAATCGAGAGTTGCAAGATAGTGTCTATTCCTTACTGCTCGCTGGCCCTGAATCATAATTTTGTGAGATGCTTATAGTAGCTAACCACGAAGCTTAACCAGTGGGGGGCTCACTTCAAATGCCGGGTTACTAAGCAATCCGTAACTCACTGTAACTAATTGGTTAGGGTTAGACGATAGCCATCATTGCCGGAGGCTCGAGGAACGTGTTTGCTAAGCTTCTTTCGTTTCCACCACTTCGGTGCTTCTCCCTTCGTATTTTCGACGAAGGGCGTCAGATATATACGTACTTTGTTGCAAAAGTTGAGAGCGTCAGGTCAGTCACGTATACTGGAGTAATTGAGCTGTATGACACCATCACCGGAGACTCGATATCCTATCCTTGGTCACATCGCGATTTTCCAATCATTTTCTGCTCCTCCTCACCTATTCTCCTATCTCCTACTAGCTTCCTCTGATCTCACCATTGCTCACCCCACATGATGGCATACGACGGCTTTCGTCAACTGCACCCTGAGCTTGAGGACTTGGGCGGTCCACACCAGCCTGCTTTCCACGACGCAGAGGGGGTTGCGGTGTACGAGGCTCCTTACCAAGAGCTTTTGGCTGAAATTGTACGAAATAACGACGTCCCGTCTCTCCATCTTTACAATGCTAGTCCCCATACGAAGGTTTTCTTGGGAGCATACGAGGCTTATTATTACCATCCGTTCCTCCAAGCGGCCGAATGCGGCAGCTTTGATGCACTTAAGGCACTGTTGGAGATTTATCTTGCGGATCCCACACTTCCGGAGCCGCTTGAAACATACCTCGAGCGCATTCCCTGTTCTCCCATCAATGATGCTTGCTATGCAGCGAACCGAGACCTGATGCTCTGGTTACTACAACATGATCCCCCGTTGGCGAAGTTGCATAATCGGGACAAGTGGGGGGAGACACCACTCTTCAGCGCGGCCAGAGCGCTGAGTGTAGATGGTGTCCACGGTGTGATCTCCACCAGGAATCAAAAGCGGGACCAGTTTGCACGTGCAGAAGACTTCATTTGTTTCCTCCTGGACCAGGGGTGTTCGGTTCCAAACTCGAATACGTATGTGCAATGCTATGGGGCAAAGAAACCATCCCATCTCGATCAACCATTGGCGGAGGTAAGGGAAACAGTGCTGGGTGCGGCCATACCCCACGCGAGCTACCAGATGGTATCCCGTCTGATAGCGGAAGGCGCTGACGTTCATGCTCGGCAATATTGGCTAGATCAGTGCAGCGGAATCGACTGTTGCGAAGGAGTGACGGCCTTGCATATGGCAAGTTTTTGCTGGAATATTGAGGGAATGCAAGCGCTGGTGGATCATCGCGGCGAGGTGACCCTGGCAGAGATAGTGTCCATCTCTGACAGTGTTGGGCGACTTCCACTCCACTGGGCGTTGAAGGGCGATCGGCATGGCCGGATGGAAAGGGATGGCAAGAATGATCAAGAAGAGATCACAGCCCTGATGACGCGCACAGTGAAAATGCTGATTGAGGCCAATCCAAATACGGTCAACGCGCGAGACCACCAGGGCGCAACCGCATTTCACTACGCGGTGATCTCCGATGCCGGTTTAGAGAGTATTCTTCCTGTGGTCAAGTTGCTTCTGGGTGCGAAACCGCTGCTTACTACAATGAATGCCCGCAACCATAGAGGCATGACAGCTTTGGAGGTTGCAATGGCTTATCGTGCGAGACGAGGCAGGAATCCTGATGGCCTGGTTATGGAGTTAGTTGACATCTTCCTCCGAAATGGAGCTGATGGCCGCGCATGCAATAGCAAAGGACAGAATTTGCTACATACAATGGCGATGACTTTCCGCAACACGGGGTGCTCGGAAATTGCTATCCTGAACAGGCTCCTAGAATTCGTTGATGTCAATGATGCCGATACCGACGGTCGTACACCGCTTCATTGTTTAGTCCGGCATCTGAATCGGATCAACGCCATTCGCCATCTGATTAGTCATGGTGCGCAAGTGAACGTGGCCGACAAGAAGGGGAACACACCTCTTCATGATGTAATGTACGGCAATGTGATCCAGGGACTGGCGGGAATTGCAGAGTCTGAGACCATGACAAGTGATCGTTTGGTGAAGGCGCGAGAGGAGATGATTCAGGCCTTGGTCGAGGCTGGGGCCTCGATGGACAGTTTGAATGCATCTGGACAGACACCAACACAACTGCTCGACGAGGTCACAGAGATGATAAATCGAAATGGGGTAGAAGCATTCCGGCGTGTGGCCTGGCGTCGGTACCCGTGGCCCGGGCCGGTCTAAGGACGAGGCGGGTAGGTGAGATGTTGTCTACACATTATCTAAACAACTACACATTATCTAAACAAAACTCAGACCCCGATTCCGACTTCGCAGGTTTTCTCCAAAGCTACCCATTCAACTCCAGTATCTATTGGAACTTCACGAGGACTTTCTCGGGGTCGTCTAGTTATGGGATATTACTATGTATACGGTAGAAAGGCGAATGAGAGAAGCCTAATTTTATATGCTTTGATGATGATAATACTTCCTCCGCGGGATGCGATCAACGGCAGCCTGACAACATGCAAAATCGGAGTTCAGAGTTAGTTGTAAGAGCAGAGCCTCAATTTTCGATCCTATCACGAGACATACTCTCAGCAGTCTCCATCATGCTGTGAGTCCCACTTATTAAAAACAAGTCACCTCTCTCGGCCATTCCGGCGCTTGGGGTCCTCTTGGGGCTCTGGTAGGTATTTCGCTGCAACCGATAAACCAGAAGCAAGTACGATCAGGAGTACCCAAATGGCATATCCCCCTGCTAGCTGTGTCCTCGCCCCCAGCGCGAACAGGCTGGTAAATAGAGCTGGACAGAAAGCCCTCAGGCCGCTAACGCCGGTCAATGCCAGCGCATTCAACGTTCCCAGAACCTTTGGCGAGGGGGAAATGTCGTTCAAAGAGAGCTGAATTGCCGTGAAGCTCATGCTAACTCCACAGCCGATGACTAGCATCGTCGGCGCGAAGATCCAGAAAGCGTTGATCGATCTCTCGGTTCCCATTCGCAGGAGGACATTGCCGAGGGGGCAGCATAGGAAAAACAATGGGTAGGCCAATGCACATAGCCGTGTGACCCCTTTCGAGCCGATCCTTCGCTGTAAGGGGGGGAACACCAGGAGAAGCCATGCGGCTTGGGCGGCGCCGTTCAAGCCCATCATCAGCGAAATTTGCAGGGGTGTGAAACCCCATCCCCCGAGAGGGATGGGGGTGAACCAGAAGACGGGAATAATAGCCGTGTAAGCAAAAGCAAGGACCATGATGTGCCCGTACGTGTAGAGAACCATGCCTACCCCTGGCGATTTTAAGAGCTGCCATGTCGAGAGGTTGCCACTTTGAACCAACGGGCCACATGCCGCCTCCTCCCCATCATGGCCCGCCAACGCCGATTCCTTCGTCAAGGTCTCACAAACAAAACAAGCGCTAGTAATGGCGGCCGAAACTCCCACCAGCGCCACCACAAGGCTTGAAAGCGCGTAAGGATAGTCCTCAAAAAAGCGCACGCCTCCAAAAGCTCCCGGGTACTGGCTTGCAGGGTCGGCGAGGGCTCCTCCCAGCAAAGGTCCTAGGAAGATTCCCAGGTTTCCACTGAAGGCGAACCAGCTGAATGACCGAGCCTGGGTCCGGGGAGTGCTGTGCTCGGCCACCATGGTACGGATTGTGACAATGGTTCCAGCAAAGACGCCGGCAAGACACCTAAACATGATCATTTGCGCGATGGATTTGGCAAACCCGAAGAGCCCTGTGGCCATGGCCACGCCGAACAATGAGAAGACCAAGACCGGCTTGCGCCCAATGCGGTCGGCTGCTCGGCCCCAGAAAATCATGACGATAGCCTGCGTCAGGGAGAACAATGACTCTATGAGGCCGCTGTAGAAGCCCACATCCGTGTCCTTGATGCCCCCATTTTCCTGGACCATCTGATTGACATAAGGGAAGATGGAGAAGAAGGCCAGAGGCTCTATCACTCGGGCATAGCAGAGGAGCAGGACCTGACTCTTGTCTAGAGGCTTTTCTTCGTCATCGCCACCGGCCCCGTCGTCGCCTGGTGCTGGCGCACCCTTCGGAGAGCCTAATTGACGCCCGTCGACATTGGTAGCTTTTGTAGATCCCAGAAGAGCTGTAGTCTCATCTATATGATCACTTTCGTTGCCAAGATCGGCAGCCGCTTTTGCCCCAGTGGACGCCGCCTTCGGACCAAGACGGTGTCTGTCTGTCCCCGGTGTAGTGGCGACCATATCTGTACGTAGCAGCCAGTAGTCCTTGGATGCAGATCAAGGACAGAAGCGGTTGCGTGTTTTCGTTGGAACAGCAAAAGGAAAAGTGTGTTTCAAAATATGGGGTCAAATAAAAAGCGCCAATGTAAGCGGGACAACTTAGGACTTCTTCAAGATCGGGCTTACGTAATCTCCCCGGATCTCGCCCCATCAATGAATGATCAATGTCTCCGGAATAGACGACTTTGGACGTATACACCTATTAGGCCTAGAAGATGAGAGACTTCAGCTCTACTAATAGTGAATCTGCAATGGCTTTGTTCCAGTCAAACCAAGTATAAGCTGGGGTAGAAATGGAAATAGTTGAATTCACGAATGGAATGCATTCGAGTCCATCTCCATTCAAGACGACATGCCACGAATAAACCGCAAAGCACAAAACACAAACCGCAAATCGCAAACCACACCAGCCAGAGAATTCATAACGAGGTATTAAATAGTACAGTAGCTAGCTTACTGAAGAACATGTTGAACACAAATGGTATACAGCAATCAACAGACAACAACCATCCACCGCCCACCTCCCTATTCCTCAATACCCTACGCCCGATACACCTCACAACTTAAGCCCAATCTCCGCCAGAGCCTTGGTAACGTTCAAATACACAGTCAGATTATTCGCAGCCAGCGCTTGCGTGAAGTACGGCAGCTCCTTGCCATCCCACACGCTCGAGTTACCGGTAATGGTGAATGGTATCACGCCGTCCGTGTACGGGTTGTCCGTGGCCGTTAGCAGGGCGATGATGGCGGTTTGGTTGACAGTGGAGGTCATGGGGACGGTATTGTTGCCTGGGACGAGCTCGAGATTGTCGAGGTAGGAGTATCCCATTGGCTGGCCGGCGACGGAGAGATCGAGGGTGACGTTGCCCTAGTGGCAGGGGTTAGGTGGGGTCACTGGAAGGGGTCATAGGTGCATGAGTTGGGGATGAAGCATACCATGCTAATGTCCATCACGGAGGGGTTGGGAATATACACGGTGCCATTCATGTTGCGGCCGTTCACCGGCGAGGTCATGATGTGGAACTCGGTCACGTCGAAGCCCTTCAGCTTATTGAGGCCTGCAGTCTCCGTGGTTAGGATTCTGTTTGCACTGGCTCGACCACGCTTCCAGGGCGAGACTCACCCTTCATAGTAACAGTCTTGTTATATGTGACCGTGGTCGTCGGCAACGAGCCCTCCTTCAACTCTGGCCTGCCATAGATATTCAGTTGAACCTCCTCGTTTAGCATGACGGCCTCCGCAAAGTCCCCGAAAGCACCTGCATCGCTCAGGTCGACTGTCTGGTTCACATTGACCGTCGCGCCATCCTTGGACTTGACAGTCGGCACCTGCACGGAGGTAAACGGATTCGCCGCGCCAAGGAGGGAGACCGAGGCCAGGAAAGAGTAGATTTTGGGGTGGTAGGAGCTGTGCGACCCAATGACTTGGGTTTGGAGAAGTTCGAAGGAGTCAGGCGTCGGGTTGGCAATGACCATGCTGGTGACATTGAGAGTGGAGTCGTTGACATCGTCCTGGGCGATCTTAGGATAGGCGACGTAGACGCTGCGAAGGGGGTTCGTTAGGGTGAAGTTGGTGGCGCCGATGGTATACAGCCTCATGAAGTCATCGGGATCCAGACGGACTTACATCGGCAGTGTGATGATGAGCACCACGGCAATGAACACGATCAAGTGCACCCACCACCATTTCTTGAAATGGCCACCTACACGCGCCCCGAAGCTGCGCCTGGCTGGCGGCGATGCAGTGACAGAATCCATCGCTGCCGTCTTGGTAGTGGACATGATGTGGATGTCGATCACGGACCTGGAGCATGCACGAACGTTTGTTAGAGAGAAGTACACGCGAGTCCACCCCAGAACCCATTAGCAGCTCATTCAACCCATCCACCGTCTCAAAGCAGCCTGGCACAACATACCGAAACAGATCAAGTCCAGGGCTAGGGCTGGTCTAATTTGGTCGAGATGGAAAGACAGGAAAAGGCGACAGCCACCTGGGTTTGCAGGCGCAGGATGCGCAGGTTAAAACGAGCGACTAGAAAAGGAAAAGGAAAGAAAACAAGGAAGCTACACGGGATTTTTCTAATAGGTAAAAAAAAAAAAAAATTGATAAAGCCACAGCCTCAGTGCAGCAGCCGGCGCCCCCGTGGCCACCAGGGTAGCATTCATGCTTTATATTAATTCAGCGGACTATTCTTGGCTTGGCCGTTCCCTGAGGCCTGGGCCAGCAACACAAATTGGCAATGAGTTAGGACGGAATAGGGTGTCGGCACGCATCACATGTCATGCAAGAAACAACCCATGCAAGTCTGCCCACGGGGATTAACGAGAATCAATGGACCAGGCGAGATGCAGTATAGTATGCGCCTTGAGTGGAGTGCAGGGCGGAAGTTAGTCCCAGCGTTATCTTTCTGGTTCCTGCTTGGCGGACTCGTTCGTTTCCGCTGTTGGGTTAGTGCCTGTCGACGGGGGAACGTAGTGTGTGAGGATGCCGTTAATGCCTCCGACGAGAGGCTAGTGGGCCTTGTCGTGGGGAAAGTCCGGAGACCCGGAGTAGCGGGGCCGTTCCTGGATTGACTTTGCTTCCGCGAGGTTCTGTAGATAAGTAGGGTTTTGCTGCGCGATGTGCAGAGTCGATCGATTGATCTTTGGATCTTCGGTTGTAGTCTGATGGACCACGGGGTAGAATGTTTCAGATTGAGCTGGCGAGCCGTCCTCACAGGCAAGGACGGAGAGCACACGAGGGGTCGGAGATCGAGGCCGTGCTGGTTCGCATTCTGCGGAGTGGAGATGATCGTGCAGCCTGCCCGGGCCGTAACAAGGTATGCATTTGCCTCGGAGGCCAGTGGCTGAAAATACTCATCAGCTGCAGGTGCATGTGCAAATGCCATAGATGTGCGCCCTGGACTGGACGCCGCCACCTGCACAGCTCATATTGGATGCCATTCGACGCCTCCAAGGCACCGCGCTGTGCAACAACCCTGGCTTTCGCTGGCACGCGGACCCCTCTACCGTTGCACCGAGCGTCCGGGGTCAGCTTAGCGGATTAGTGCCCATTGGTCAGCCGCGAGGCACGGCTGCAGCGCGGGGACGCCAAGGTGCGCGACGAGTCGGCTAGGAGAAAGTGGGCGGGGTCAGGTTCAGGTTCAGCCCGTGGATCCATGGCCAGGGGCCCCGTATCGCCACTGTCTGGGGTTCTTGGGGTTCTTGGGGCTTGGGGGCTGGGGCTTGGGGTCTGGTCGCGGATCGGGATCATTGTTCTAGCGTAATTGTAGGGTCATTGGGTGGCGCTGGTGCCCTAGGCGAGCAGCCGTGCCAAGGTACTTGTTAGCGGTCGCTCTAGAGCGTGTTAGGCTACATGTCCGGGAGTCCTGGGCTGTTCCGCCGGCTGGTGGACGGGCCCCTCCGAAGGGGGAGGAGCGTATGAGATGGGACAATTTAATCGTATATGGAACGGTGCCCCGGCTGGGACCAGCCGATCCGATCATTTGGTTGTTTAGATGGATCATCAGTAGATGGCTACACAATTGGACCAACAAACGAACCCCCCTCTTTGCCTGACAGGTCCAAGAAGAAGTCGACAGTCGACGCCCTGGAAAGTACAGTAGGTAATCACACTGGTCACGAAATATGTCCACAAAACACGGCCTCAATTGAGTCATAACGGGTGATTGCGAATTCTCGCGCGATGCACCCGGGAAGCATCTGCCGAAAATAAGATTCACAACGAGGGGATGGTAGTTATGAGAAGAAAACAAAATGTCCAGAAAAGAAGAAAGGGGAGGATCGGCCCCCGCAAAACACTATGGCCAAGAAAGAGAAAAGGGGGTCAGCCCACGGGGAGTGAGAAGATAATAAGCAAAAGGTGAATGTGACAAAGAAAAGGGTATCCACGGAGAATTGAAGTATTATGCCCGCCAGGCGGAGGGACGGGAATCAAGAGCCTGTCCAACAGGCTCGAACACAGCTGCCCTGGCGGCTCATGTAAAGCTTGTCGCTTGGAAGATGATGAAAAGAGGAAATCGGAAAGAAAACGCAAGAAAAGAACTCATAAGCCCAAAGAAGGGGAAAGAATGTAAACGACTCAAGCAGCCTTCAAGAGTGGTGAAGCAAACCAAGAATTTCGGCTTAGAACGCTCCAAAAAAAGCATTGCTTTGGGATGCAAAATGACAATGATGTCGGAATAATCCCGACAGATAATATGCGTATCTACATGCCACACAACGGGGGTAGATAAGATGAGGCACGATGCATCGAGGCAGTCTATGCCTCGGGGACCGACTTCTTCCGAAAGATGCCGCGACTACGCGACTTGCTGCGCGACTTCTTCTCGTTGCTGACGGTCCGCCCACGCGAGCGTCCACCACGGCGGTCGTCCTCGCCCATATATTTGTCCTTGTAGATCCTGGGTGTGAACGTGAGCGGGGGAGATCAAATGGGGATTTTGGTCGAACGTACCAGCTGTTGCCAACCATGCTCATGCCCTTGGACTCGGCCTCGCGGTAGAACCGCGCCGCCTTCTTCATATCCTTCTTACAGCCAACCCCCTCTGCGTAGCAGAATCCGGCCTCGGCCATGGCATCAACATCGCCCCATTGGCCGGCAATCTCAAAGCATCGCAGAGCCAGGGATTTATCCTGCTCGATACCCCAGCCGTTGAGGTGGCTGACACCCAGCTCGTAAATACTAAGCGCAAACTGGGCTCGGTACGCCTTCTGAAGCTCTTTGGCCTTGGACGCACCCGGTGCATCCGGGTTCTCCAGCATTTCCAATCCAACCGAATCCACGGCTTTGCGTAGCCATCGCACGCCTTCTTGCTGGTTGGACCGCATGCCCCAACCATGACGGCAGGCAAGTGCGTATAGTAGCATACCGGTGGGGTGATTCTGCTTAGCAGCAATGCGCAGATGGTAGGTCGACGCGCTCAGCGAGCCCGCCTCGTGCAGTTCGATACCCTTTGTGACATGATCGTCAGCGGTGGCAGCCGAGGTCGATGGCTGGGCTGCCTGGGTGGTTTGGGTTGTGGCCGTCTGTGGGCGAAGAGTGCTGGCCGAGTCCACGGATGAGACGGTCTCATCCTGGTCATTGATCGTCGGTGCAGCAGATTCAGTGGATGGCCGCGAAGGTGTGACCACCGCGGGGGCTGCAGGAGGCTTGGGTGGTGAGACGGGTGCTGGGGGTGCGCGCTTAATTTCCGGGATCGGGGTCGTGGTCGGGGTCGTAACCTCGTACATGGAATGGGGCTTGGGTGAACTCTCCAGCTTGGGATGCGAGGGGGGCGGGGTTCGAGCTGAGCGCGGCGGCTCCTCAGAGTGCCGGGGTGGAGAGTTCTCAAACAAGGGCTCCTGCCATTCGAAATGGGGGGTTTGTAGACCTGCGAAGACCACCGAGTCTCGCGACAGCATGCGTCCGCGCGGAAGGTCATACTTGGCGTATACATAGGAGGATACAGCGGAAGAAGGTTCACCTTCGTTCGGTTGAGTTGCCGCCGCCTCATCCATAGCCAACGGCACCAGAATGGGGGTCGGTTTACTCGGCCGGTGCATATGACTAGACTCTCGATTCCACCGACTCTGTTGGGGCGCGGCAGTTGGTGTTGTATTTGGTTCAGACGTTGGTGATGGGCCCGGAGCAGACAGACTGGTGCTGGACCGGCTCAACGGCCGAGAGAAGTTAAAGGACGGCCGGGGGAGATGACCGGTGGCCGAGGTTTCTGAGCTCAGAGATGGTGAACGGGGATGCATCCGGGCTGGATAGGTAGACATGGGCGAGTATGGGAGTGAAGCAGTACTGCCCGAGGACAACTTGCGCGGCTTGGAGAATGTTGAGCCAGCATTCGAGCTGCTATAGTCGTCATCTGAGCTCTCCGGGTGCATCACTCGTGCGCTACTCGAGGGTCGCGAGTGCGGGGACACCGGCGGCGCCAGAGTGCGCGGGATATGGAGTTGCGACATCGAGTCCGTGGAAGACTCGCGCGATGGCTCCGTCATTGCCATGCCCACAGGAGCGCCATCGGCCCCGCCGGCGAGCGACGAGTCCTCTTCAGGGGAGTCTGCCCGTGGCATATCGTAGGTACTGGAGCTTGTCCGCACCATCGTTGTCCGCGGGGTCGAATCATCATCGTGGGGGTCGCCATTGCTACTCGCGAGCGAGACGGAGCTGAACCGGGGGTGCTCCGAAACAGGCCGATACTTGGGTTCCTCGAAATCCGGGTGTGACTTCAGCGTCGGCCTTCGCGTGAGGCCATCGACCTGGGACTCGCTCGACTGCCCGCGGAAATATCCGGGGCGGGGGGTGGACAGCGATCGGGCGACGCTGGAAGGAGGTAGGCGGCTCATGCGCCGGTCTAGTCGTCGGGACTCATCAAGCTGTTTGGCCAGGAATCGACCTTGCGCAGCGAATGCATCCAGGGGGAGAGCGCCGGAGGCACTTCGCCGTCGTAGTGTTCGATCCGCGGCGACGGCATACCGCTTCGCAGGGTGTCGTGGGAGGTGGAGCGGCAATCGCTCAGGTTCCCGCGCGAAGCCATCGTGGAAGAGAGGGGGCGAAACAATTCGGGATTCTCTGCGGTAGGGGTCCAATCGTCGGTCCAGTCTCCAGCTCGTCGACAGGGGGGATTGGGATTATTGGTCACAAAGGTCGTTGAAGCGTTCATTCATCCAGAGTCACTTGGGTCTTTCGATACTCGCGCCGGACGCATCGGAGAAAAGGCTCGACGGGGAAAATAGCCTGAAACTCGAATGCTGTCACGGCGCAGGGCGCAGAGTGGGAAGGAGGCGGGGGGAGGGGACTAGGTAGAAATCTTTGGGCGGGGGGCGGCGTCGAGGCCAAAGGAATGACAGCCCTGACAGGATGGGGACGTCGAGAGGCAAAAGAGTCAAGACGAGGACAAGAACAAACAAATGGGCGCGGTGTGTCACAGGAGAAAGGAGGGAGTAAAACGGGCGAGGCCCTGACGATCACAATGCAACTCGACTGCGGTTGTGGTCGCGGGCGTCCCGTGCACTAGAAGGGGTAAGGCTGCTCCACTCGGGTTTCTCGTCTTTCCCAAGTGTCGGATTGCCCAGGGCCAAAATCATGGCCAGTAAGGGGGTTAAGAGGGAGGAGAAGAGTCGGTAGACTCGAAGGCTTGACAAGCGTGGGAAGCGCAAATGCAGCCGACTGGCGGAGGCGCATGAAAGCGAGGTTAGTCTTTCAGTCTTTCAGTCTTTCAGTCTTTCAGTCTTTCAGGGGTCGCCAAGAATAGCATCGGTCCTTTCGATTGAGGCCATCCGCCCTCCGATAGGCACGTTTGCACATTCAATAGTTTAGTCAGATTTGTGCTAATCAAACAAGGCTAAGAATACTGGCCACTGGCTGTCCTGTGCTGCACTGGCCATAGGATCAGCGGCCTTCTAGAATCGCTTGTTTCGCGGCCGTCTTTCCATGGCCCATCTTCACCCCACACGGCATGCCTCCAAACACCCGTCCAAATCACCCGCACTCTCAGGCCCACGCGCGGCGCGGCCCTGGCTGCACCAATCGTGCGCGGCCAGTGGGCCGGTGGGCTAGTGGGCTAGTGGCGGCCTGCTTCTTATTTTGGAGCGAATCCTGCAGTTAGTACAGTTAGTTCCTGGGGAGTTTCGCTTTGTTGTCGGTCTGTTGACTCTTGACTCGGGTCAGCTGATGAGGTCGTAGATGGCGGACTCTTCGGAGTCTGGACGGAGTAGATCGAGAGCATCGCCACCCCATCATATACTCCTCCTTATAGGGCAGCAGTATCCCTCTCAGAAGTCGCTAGCCGCCCGCGCGAAGGTCTCCCAGCTAGATTTTGAATTCCGCCCCCATCGATCGGACGGCGGTTCCCCTTTGAGGAGGTTTCAGCCGATCGCGAGACCAATCCGATGCTCGAGGGATCTGGCACCCGTGGGAGCGGGGCTGGTTTTAGTGACTATACTAGCCGTTCACCTACAGTACTGTACAGTAGCACTTTAGTACGTACCGGTGTATTCGTGGTTAGCTGCTGAGCTGAATTATGAGGTGAGGCGCCTATCCTAGGCATCGGGAGGCGAGTCCATCGACCCGATGCGGCTTCTGAGCTGCTCGCGTCGGCGTAATCCCTTGGCGTCCCAAATCGACCGGGGCTCAGTCTCGACTTGGCCTAATACAATTGGACAAGCGAAATAATGGTTCGGTTCGTTTGTGCTTCCGTCTCCATCTGCAGCTGGTCTGGGGGTGGAGGATTCACTCAAGTAGTGCCCATCGAGCTCGTCCTCGTCCACTCATAATCCCGAAAGCTCGAACAGCTACAGAGAAATATAATCAGGCAACGCAGAGACTTCTTCACGATGCGCCGCATCCCCTGCGCAACGCTCTTCGGGGCCGACCCCAGCCTCGACACCCGCCATTGCTTCGAAACGTCTTGGCTGCTGCCCCCGCCGTGCTCGCAGGTCTGCGCGGCCTGATCGCACTATACATCTTCACCTCCATCATCGTCATCTGGGCCTGGTATGGCACCCACGACGACCGGAGCGACATAGGCCAGTCCTTCAGTTACTTCACCTGGCTGACCTACTGGGGCCTGGGCTTCTACCATCTCTTCGCCGCCATCCACACGGCCTGCTATGCGCGGACGGGCCGCTCCGTTCTCTTCGACCGCTGGCCCCGGGCGTGTCGCGTGCTCCATGGGCTGCTGTATGCCACTATCACGACCTTCCCCTTCCTTGTGACGATTGTCTTCTGGGTAATTCTGTTCAATCCACCCTTCTACAAGGAGACCTTCCCCGGCTGGTCCAATGTACGTGTGAAGCTGTCATGCAGCATGTCTCACTTGATGCCCCTCCCCGCCCCCCCCCACATTCTTCGGAAGCAACCCAAAAGAACCAAAGCTCACAGCCAAAACAGATCTCCCAGCACGCCCTCAACTCCCTCTATGCCCTGTTGGAGATTATCCTCCCGGCTACCGCTCCCCACCCCTGGATGGCCCTTCCTGTCCTCATCCTGCTGCTCCTGCTTTACTTGTGTGTCGCGTATATCACCGTCCACACGGAAGGGTTTTACACTTACTCGTTCCTGGACCCCGGCTCTCATGGCCAGAAGAGCGGCCGGGTTGCCGGCTACTGCTTCGGCATCTTGGCCGCAATCTTGGTGCTCTTTGTGATCTCCTGGTTGCTGATCCGTCTGCGGGTCTACCTGACCGGAGGCAAGATCAAGCGCGCGGCGCGGGATCCGATGCGTGACCACGGACCAGGCGGTATCTCGGCAGGTATGCAGGGTCCGTCGATGGAAATGAAGGTGTAAAAGGGACGGGTTACCTTGGGTGAAGACCCCCGAACGATCTACGGACACCATGATATTTGATGCCATAATGTGCATATAGCCTAATGTTGATAAAAAGAACCAATTCCATTGGCGCCATTAAGAGCGAGGAGTATGATATATATACAGGGTAATCCAAACATGCTTTCCAAAAATCGGAGTCGGGAGAATCACTTCGCTGCTGCTCAAGCAACCCGAAGAGCGCTTGGCACCTGGGAGCTGAGCCAGCAAGACTGGAAGGCAGCTGTGCTGGCCAGGACTTAAACACGCTCCCAGCTGGTCTCACTGCCACTACTGGGACTGCCCAAGCCCGCGGCCTGCCCTCTGCGGTAACCCATCATCAAGCCTACCAGTCCACTGGGCACCCAGTCACCGATCACGCCGTACGACCGCGCCCCTCGACCCACATACATGACGGCCTTCTTGTGCACGCGGCGTCCAAAGATATTCCGGGAGGCTGGCTCCAAGGCATCTAGCACAGCGTGATGAAGGGCACGCGCGGGAGATCCGCGAATAGTGGCAGGCCCAGCAGAAGCGACAGGTCGCTGCTCAATACTGTTTAAGTACTGGGAGCCGTAGAGAGCCCGCTGCTGCGCGCTCCATGCCAGAACTTCCGTCCCGGCAATTTGGTTCTGAGCATTCCGGTAGGACGGGCCCAAGTCGATGTTTCCAAGCCGAAGTTCGACGACATCGACATTTCCGTTCTCGAGAAGGTAAAGTTCCTGGCGGAGCGAGGTCGCGAAGCCTGAAATCGCTCGGGCTGTGGTAACTTCAGGTCCAGCGAAGGGGGCAGAAAGAGATGATGAGATGGATGGGTAGGCGAAAATAAGAGAGCTGCTGTTGCTGCGGAGGGTCAACAGAGGCAGGAACACCTGGGCAGTGAGGATGGGAGAAAGAAGACGGGTGTTGATGGTGTCGGCCCACGATGAGGCTGGAATGGTAGCAACGGGACCGGAGGCGTAGTTCGGCGACGGCACGATGATAACACCGCTCAGCTGGCAGGTATGCGGGGGCATCCCTGGGAGGGGATACTGAGGCTGTGTGATCAAGGTACGAAGCTCATGAAGCGAAGGGTGGAGTTCGGACTGGTTCGGCGAGGTCTAAATCGATGTTAGAAATGTAATTTCAGCTTCTCGGCCTTCAGTCTTGAAACCAACCGTTGTCAGATCCAGCCACAGGGCTTTGATGTCCGCCCGGTGCTCAGATTGAACAAGATGTTCCTCGTCCGCAGATGAAACCGTCACATAAACAATGTATCCTCGACGCTCCAAATCCGCAGCAATAGCTCGTGTCATAGGTTCATGCGGCGATCCAGCAACCACTATACCGCCAATTAGCACATCGATCTAATGACGACCCAGTCGGCCATAAACGGTCCCCTCGACGTACCAACGATCTCCTTTCGTGCCCCATTACCAGCCTTTCTAGCCTTTCTCCGCTTGCTGTTCAGCTTTTTGTTCCCATATAGCAAAACACACCCGGTTCCGACAAATGCAACGATAGCCGCGGTCAGCGCGCGATGCCGAGCCAGCCAGTCCTGGACCCGGTCGGCCAACCCATGCGGCGACGAGCGCATGTCCTGAGCACGCAACCTCGGTCGGACCGATGGCGGCAGCCATGTTTGATGTGAAAGGGTATCCCGGATCGTGGCCGCTGCCCAGTCGAACTGGCGGTCGATGGAGTCGGCGACCTGCAACGAGTATCGTCTTACGTCATGCGGTATGGACGCAAGCTGCAGAGGCACAGGCTGTCAGCGCGAGACGAGGTATTATCCTTGCGATAAGGGCCGTCACTCACATAGTCGAAGAAGAACTGGTCGTCGCTTGTCATGGTGGCGTTTGGTAAATCCTGGAAAGCGAAAAACGAAGACGATAAGCTCCAGACGGCCGATAAGTAGCGTCATCTCCACTTTATCTCGAAGTCACATGATCTGTGAGGTGTTGGTCGAGATGGACACGACCTACCAGGTAGGTATGACTACGATGATTATGCTACTTCGGTGACATGAAAGAAAGTGATGTGATTGTCTACGTCTTAGGCGATGATTGAAGGCGAATAGCCAGGCGTTTCCCAGTTCCAAAGCGTGGTGGCGTTGATATATTCCTCTATCGTTTGTTTCCATCAACACAAATTAGGGGCTTACCAAGTATGACAAGAAAACGTTCTATGCTGAATAGAATGACTGTAGACATGTAGACTCATCTGCATCAACACGTAATCTGAATAAAGCGTACGTTAAATGCCCGGTAAGGTGGAGCTCGAGTGACATCACGTGATTAATATGGCCTGATATACAAGGCCCATTAGTGGCAGCTCATTATTAATTAAAGGCGCCACGGAATCGCAGCATCTTTCTCACAGCCCACGACTTATTTGTTTTCCGTTTCTCGATCGTTTCTTTTGGTGTCTTAGATGTGAAGTTGCCGGGTTCCTAGACTTACCCTCAGAGAATGAAACCCTGAGGGAGGTCTGAACCTCTCGTCCCTCGACCCGCTGCAAGTCTTTCGTATACTATTGCAGCAAAATATCATTCGTTTGCTTTCAAAATGCGGGAGTTAGATGCCCTTATCTCTGAATATCGCCATGAGAAGCAACGCCCACGTGAATCGGAGGCGCTCTTCATCCTTCGCAAAGTTGCCTCCATGGTCAAACCCATCATGCGCCAACGCTCTTGGAGAGTTGGCGCCCTGTGCGAGTTCTATCCGCAACAGAGTAACCTGCTGGGGTTGAATGTAAACTATGGCCAAAAAATCTGCCTGAGATTACGGTACTCCTCGGACCAGCGGCAGTTTCTGCCCATTGAGCAGGTCGTGGATACGATGCTGCACGAGTAAGTCACATTTCTACGTGCTTCTCCTGGGAGTCTTTCTGATGAGCATTAGGTTGTGTCATATTGTGCATGGTCCCCATAACCGGCAGTTTCACGCGCTGTGGAACCAGCTTCGAGATGAGCATGAGGAGCTCGTTATGAAGGGATACACCGGCGAGGGCTTCCTGTCCCAAGGCAAACGCCTCGGTGGAAGCAGGATCCCGCTTGATGAGGCTCGTCGTCAGGCTCGTGCAGCTGCCGAGCAGCGAAGAACCCTGGCCAAGAACTCCGGTAAAAGACTCGGTGGTGCTCCCGTCCTCAGGGGTACAGACATACGCAAGCTCCGCGCAGATGCTGCCCAGCGCCGTATCGAGGTGACCAATGGATGTGCCTCCGGAACTGAGCGGGGCGCAGAGCTCGCCGAGGAGGCCTCCAGGAACGGGTTCAGGACGAAGGCGGAAGAGGATGATGCTAACGAGCAGGCCATCCTGCAAGCTTTCATCGAATTAATTCAGGAGGAGGAAAGAGAAAAATATGGAGATTCTTACATCCCTCCAAGTCAAGAGAATCCTGCCGGTCCCAGGACGCGTGAATCACCACATCCATCTGACTGTCATACTTCGAAAGCGCCTCAGCTAGACCCATCTCCAGAGCAGACACTCGAGGCGCTTGACCTCACTGCAGATAATAGCTCTTACGAGGCGCCGTGGACATGTACGACATGTACCCTCGAGAATCCTCCCAATTTCTTATGCTGCGATGTCTGTGCCGCCGAGAGGCCGGTCCCCTTGGACACACAATCCACTGTCATATCACGACAACCAGGCCCAGCGAATCGTACACGCCCAGAACCATCACGTCCGAAGAAACGAGGGTTGCAAGTCGATGGTGTAGAAGAGAAGGAGGAAGCTACTCCTCGGGATAATTTTGCGTTCAAGAACCGCAGTCGGGCCTTGGATACACTTGCTTCCATTGACCGTGAGGTTAGCAAACGACCACTGGGGTGGCTTTGTGATCAATGTGGGAGCTTCATGGAAATCCAGTGGTGGACATGCTCTTGCTGCGGGAAAATGAAGCCATCATCCTGACACCGACAATCCTCGGACTCAATAGCCGTGGATAATGGATAACGAACTTCACAACCTTGTAGGTTTAGAACACAAGACTAATACAAAGTTCTTATCTTTGATGCTCGGTGCTGTATACTTTTACCAGTTTCTCTGTATACCATCACGTGACTGACGGGATGCCTGACTAATCACTAGATCCACCCACCCGACTATTTTTGCGGACTTTCACTTTCCCCAAATTCCTTTCTTCTGCACACGCGAGATCTGCGGTTCACAGTCGGCACTCAGCCAGCATGGAATGAGACCAGTAATGTCCTGAGCTCTTCATCCCATGCTGGATGCTAGCAAACCATCGGTACGTCTCCTTATCATATCTGCCACCTGCAACCACGCGAGGAAGAAGCACGAGAGAAATGAACGCAAGCCGAGAAGCTCCAAATGATGAGACCTTGCAATGAACCGATTTTTTAGGAAGAGCCGGAAGAGGTATGGCAAATAGGGCCCAAAAGAGGATTCCGTTTGCCGTCGATGCTTATAATGGTTCTGCTGAAGGAGTCTTTCAGGCTTGCTGTTCTCTTGTTCCTCTGGCCTTTGTGGTGGATGGAAAAGAAGCTTAGTGGGATGTATTGCTAATGCCATCTCGCTTTTATAGATATTGGAACTGCTACTATGACTTTCAATTTCTCTTCGGATAGTTCTTGTGGGATGGAGCTCGGTAGATAGGACAAAAATTAATGGAGTCGAGTCATTGACTTGGCCGCTTAGAAAGATAAGATTTCCTTGTGGAATGAGCTATATTCAGAAACTATTCTACTATGATACATCCCTTGATCTCTCTCTGAACTCCCAAGGATATAAAACTTTTGTTCAACAAATCAAACACGCAATAACATCCGGAAAAAAAGGTCAATAAATGACCCACAACGCCCGTTGACATGCTCGGAACGCTCGCCTCAACTAGGCAATGCTCCTGAATTGACGCTTCTTGCCAGTTCCCTTGTCCGCCTGCGACGCCGTCCAGGTCTCCTCGTCGATATAGTCCTTGGTGTTGTGCTCGCTGATCTGGTTGCCGATGATCTGCAGCGCAGACAAATTGAAGCCCATCTCGTCCTTTTGGCGGGCGAGGACCCGGCGTAGAGAGGCCCGAATGCTATCCAGCATGGGGCGCATCGTCTTGCTAACCACAACCTGACGGTGATGCGTCTTCAACATGAAGAACAGTACACGGCAGGTAAGGGGCACATTCCACTCGCGCTCCGCCCAGATGTTAAGAAAAGTGAAGAGCGATGTAAGCTTGGAGAAGGGTAGAACCAGGAGGGCGTCCTGGAGGGCAGCGGCAGGGATCTTCTGCACGGTGTTTAAAACGTGCTGCTCGGCGGAGACGTTGCCCAGGGCGGTATAGACCGGGTTGCGATCCGGGGGTACAGCACCGGCTTTTGGGTTTCTGGCCTGAACTATACGCCATTCGCGCATGACCTCGAGGTCCTCCATGCCCAGATCCAGCGCTTCCATGATCTTCTCACCAGCCATGAGGGTGCCCGTCGTCTGCTTGCCGGCATCGACCGCTTCTGCCTTCTCACCGTCTTCGCCGTCTTCGTCTTGCTCCAGAGATGCAGTGAGGGTGCTGTCATATGCCTCCTCCATCTCCTTCTCACGCTCTTCCTCGAGGAACAACGGCTCATCGGTCTGCTTCCAGACACGGATGCTCTTGTCATGGCTAGCACTGACAATGAACTCACCATCATGGCTTATTGCCAATGCCCAGATCTCTCCGTGATGTCCGTTAAGTTTCTGGATCTGCTCGAACTTGTCGCCGTCCCAGTACTTAATGACTCTATCCTTGCTTGCACTGAAGAAGTTGTGACCATTTTGTTCCCTGTTGGTGGGGACAAATGCTACTGCCATGACACTGTCCTCATGGGCCAATAAGGCCTTGTGGCAATCACCAAAGTCCAGACCCCAGAGACGAACAGTCTTATCAGCCGAGCAGGTGACAATCATTTTGCTGTCGTAAGAGATGTCCATGCTCAGAACTGGAAGCTTGTGGCCGTAGAGGTTGAGGAAAAGTTTCAATGTGTCGACAAAGAAGACCTTGACGGTATTGTCCAGTAAGGAGACCGCTAGAAGACGTGCATCGGGCGAGAATCGAAGACTGAGAATGTCGTCGTTGACCTTCAACGTTCTTGTGTGGACCAACTTGAGGCGCGGTGTAGTGCGTTTGGTACCAGGGATCTCCTCTTGTACAACCTTGAACTCCCAGAACTTGGCGGTCTTGTCTGCACTACCACTGACCATAGACTTGCCATCCGGATGCACATGGAGGGACCAGACAGGGCCATCATGCGCCTTGATAGTATCGAGCAAGGTCGAAGACGCGATGTCGAACACCTCCAACTCGCCGTTCTTGTTGCCAACTACCACGATTTTGTCACCAGGAAGGAAGGCAGAGCACAGGGCATAGCCGCACTCGAGGGTACGCAGACAGGTGCCCGTGCGGACATTCCAGATCTTCAGACTTCCATTTGATGCGGAGGCAAGCATTCGGTCCTCGGAGCTCAGTGCGATTGACCGGATGTCTGCTCGGTGGCCAGGAATATCGACTGCAAGACTCCTGGTATAGTCAGACTCTTCATCGTCCTTGTTCTTCTTGTTAGCCGTGACAACGCTGTAAGCCTCCAGCTGATTATTTGTCGTCGCGGCAAGAACGCTGAGACCCCCACTGGACTTGGTAAGCATCCAGTCAAAGGATCGAACCTTTCCACCAGTCCGCACAATTACGTGGGAGACGAAAACCTCGGTGACGGGAGCAGATGCAGGATCTTCAGGCTTCTCCTTGTCGGCCTCTGCACCATCCTCCTTGCCCTCACGCTTGGCTTCCTTCTCCTTTCTCCTCTTCTGCTTTCGTGCCATAGCCTTCTGTACCTCTGTCTGAGAACGAATACGCCAAATCTCAATCGACCTTTCGGAGCCATGGAAACCAACGTAGTCTGCACGAGGGTGGAATCGAATGCCAATTGTGCGATCCTTGCCATGCCGATAGAAGGTGCCCCGGTCTGTCAGGATCATCTGTCCTTCTGCCGCAACCTTCTCTCTAGAAATTTGAAGCATGGCGCTCTCATCGATTGACCAGACCTTCAGCTCGCCATCATTTCCGGCCGTAATGCAGCCACCCTGATCGGGAGACAGACCTAGACTCCAGCACTCGCCATTTGTTTGCGCCACATGTGTCTCAATACAGTGCTGCGATGCCAGATCCCAGACCTTGATCAATGAGTCCTTGCCGGTAGTCAGTAAGAAGCCGGCGTGTTCGCTGAGCCCGGAGGCGTTGAGGAGCTCTGTCGAGGGGAAAAGGAAATTGAGGGAGGTGATTTGGTCGGTGTGACCACGGAGCCTAAAGAGACCGACTTCGGCGATCAAGTCCCAGAGAATGATATCGGTGTCTTTGGAGCCACTGGCGAGGCGCACACCGGCGTTATCGAAGGCTAGCTGGGTGATGGCAGATTTGTGGCCATTGAACGAAATAATGATTGTGGCGGTTCGAGAATCCCAGATGCGGATGCTACCGTCTTCGTAACTAATTAGGAGCAAATAATAGTAAGTAAATGGATCGTTGTGGGTTTGCGATGGGAGGTTTACCCGACGGCAAAGACATCTTCATCTGTCTGGCTCTGCCTGACTACCGTCACTTGTGCCCTGCAGGCCGAATCACGCCATCGGCCTAGCAGTTCACCTTTTTTAACATCCCAGCACAAGACCTCTTCGCTCGCACCAACAATCGCTCGGCCGGCGCCCGTTTGGCGAGCAGCGCCTGGGGTCTGCTCGTCCTTGGCCCAGATCGCATTAGACGACGCCGAGGCAACGAGCCCGAATGTCTCGGAATGCTCGAATTTCCTATGAGGAAATAATGTCAGCTTTAAAATTCACGCAATCTCAGTAAGCGGCCCTTACAAGTACGATTTCACCATCGTCGCAGGGTTGATTGGAAAATTTTTGGAGACGCCGACTTGCTATCGATAGCACAAAAATTAATACGGGCGGCGGCAGCGACCTGTCCGGCTCCCCCACCGCCCATGACGATCGCGCAGTCGCCCTCCCCCAACTACCAACCTCTTGTCGTTCCACTCATTGTGTTGCCCGCCATGCTTCTCTTGGATTACCAGAACGCTTTGATCCAATCGCTCCTTACGGAGCGGTTTTCGGGGTACAATTGTCCCCCTTGCTTGCTCTGCCGCCTCCCTCATCCCCCTCATTGTATACGCATCCAACCCCCAGGCCCCCAAGCTAACGGTTGCCCGCAGTGCTCCCCCAGTTTCGATTGACCAAGTGGTCTCCGACTTTGACGGAGTGACCTTCCACCTCTCGACCCCCGAATCCAAGACCAAAATCCTTATCTCCATCAACGTGAAGTGCTTTAAGGAGCTCGTTCAGTACGGCGCCCAGGAAGTGCTGGAACGGGAATATGGCCCCTACATCGTATCGCCTGAGCCGGGTTATGATTTCTCAGTACAGATCGACCTCGAGAATTTGCCTGCCGAACAAGAAGCCAAGGATGAGTTGATCATGAAGCTTGCCCTGCTGAAGCGGAACGCTATGGCAGCTCCTTTTGAGCGGGCGTTCGATGAGTTCGCCAAGCTTGCGGAGGAGGCTACGAGGCACACGTCGGAGTCCGCGCCGCAGGGTATGAAGGAGGGTGGAGAGGTGATGGCCATACACTACCGCGAGGAGGAAGCTATCTACATCAAGGCTAGCTTCGACCGTGTCACGGTGATCTTCAGCACTGTGTTCCGGGAGGAGACGGATCGGATCTTCGGCAAGGTCTTCCTGCAGGTTCGTCTTATATATGCGATTGGTATTTGCGGCCTTTGGGGGTTGACATTGCCGGTTTATAGGAATTCGTCGATGCCCGACGTCGGGTTGTGACCCTTCAGAACGCGCCTCAAGTGCTCTTTCGCAGCGACGCCCCTCTCGAGCTTGAGGGAGTTCCTGGACTCAAGAATGCGGGCGAGGGTGAGATTAGCTACGTTACTTTTGGTGAGCACTGATTGGATTCCTCGAACTAACCTACGAAATCACTGACAACTATACCCTAGTTCTGTTCCCCCGACACTTGACCCCCCAGCGTCGCTACGAAAATATCTCCCACATCCAGACATTCAGGGATTACTTCCACTATCACATCAAGGCCTCGAAGGTAAGACGCTATTCCCCATTGTGGCTCTGGAAATGCATTCACTGACCACAACATGCCAGGCATACATTCACACCCGAATGAGGAAGCGCACAGCAGACTTCCTGCAAGGTATGTATTCTGTACCCGCGCACCATATCACGCCGCTAACTAGCTATAGTCCTCAACCGTGCCAGACCGGAGAATGAAGAGCGTGAGCGCAAGACGGCGAGCGGCCGGACGTTCCGCGTGCAGAGCTAGATTTTCTTATCGCTTTATGTTGATATCACCTGGAGGCGAGCGTTTACGAACACAGCAAAGCTTTTTGATCCTCACTTCCCTTTTTCCTCCAGTAGTACTTTTCGCGGAATCGTAAGTTCCCTTGGACACTTATCCGCGAGAGATCGAGATAAACTGTCAGTTGTCCGTGAGTTCTCCCGACGGGCTACTCCGATGTACAGTGCTTGCTGCTGTCACGGTTGTCCCCGCTGTTGCCTCACCTGATGAGCTGCCACACTGGACCCTTCCACATCCCCTTTTACTCTTTCCCTCGCTACGAGTTCGCCTCATCGTGGGTCTTCCCTTGGAACTACCCTCGGTGCCTTGGCCGTGCAATAAGGCTACGACTCCTTTACGATCAAACCATCAAATACCGACATTGGAGAAGATCAGAGCTTCAACTCACGGGTCACTATGACCCAGCTCCGCAAGAGTTATTTCTGGAGTCCTTCAACGTGGAAACTTCGTTTGAAGCATGGAAGTCGTACCCAGTCAACGACCAGCACAGCTGAGGAATTTCATTCCGCGCATTCCTTCATCCTTAACAACCATATCGACCCAATGAAGAACCCCGTCGAGGAGCGAAGCGAGGCCGTCCCCAGATACTCCTCCTCTGTATACTCGGAGCATGAGGACGCCTGCTCCCCAGTTCTTCGCCTCTCTAACAATAAGAATAAGAAAGAGGACCTGACTGGGTATTATCCCATGGGCTCGACCTCTCAAACTTGTTACTCACCTTGCCTTTCCTGACAGATGCCTGAAAAGAAAGATGAAAAGCTTGACGGCCCCCAACCAGATGGCGCCAAACCGACGCCACTCTCGTCCGTACGCGGTGAGCAGCGGTGAATGGGTTTTGGTACCAACTACCGAGTCCTCTCTGGGCCGGATAGGGCAGGTGCTGTCCCTTGATGATCTAACTGAGATGCAATTCTCGTACCATTTTGATACAGCACTCAAGGTGTTTATCAAGGTTTATGCGATGGCCAAAGTGATGGAGGTCGCTTTCTTGAGCTACGGTTGTGAGGTTAGTGTGATCCTTGACTTCTCGTCCACCTGACAGCTTTCATCAGCGAGTGCACGCGCTAACTAGACCTTTGCCTAGCTTGATAACGCTGAGACAGGCCTGCAGTACTGGATCAAGCATGCAGAGGCAGAGGTCAGAACCAATTCGCTTGCTGTCCTAATTGAGGTCGTGGAGAATCTTTTTTACGCCCTCTATTCCCGAGTGATCATCGAAATGGCTGGCATCGAACTGTGTGCTCTCTTCAAACTTCAACTGCGGCCGGCAGTAGGCTCTCGACAGTTCTTTCTTCCCGACGCGAATCATATGTACCGGCTCTTGCTCGCCTGCAAGGACAACCTCGACGACACCAATGTCTGTGAGTCGCTACAGGAAGGGGTTGTTCACCAGTGGCAGGAAGGCTTTCTCCGGCGTCTGGCTCTCAAGGAGATCGAGAAAGGGTTCAACCCTGATGACATGCTAGGATACCGTCGATTTGCGCAGAGCATCGTCTCTGATCCCACCTGTGCCTACGTGGCCAAGTGGCGTTCCCTCGTTCCTTTCTTCGACACCATCCCGAGCGAGATCCTGGCGGTCATGTCCGAGAAATGGTTCACCGTTCTGCCCAAGGTTGTCCTTCCCGATGACGTCCCCTCCGGCCAACTCCCCTTCGTTGACCTCAAGCGTGCCAACCCTATGCAGTGGGAGAAGGAAATCATTCTGGACTACCGCCTCGCAACACTGGGTAAGCTGGAAGGTAGATCGATTGGAGAGGAGCGTCGTGACGACCCGAAGATTCGACTTCTGAGCCTGGCCAGGTGTCGCAAGTGTATCTGCACGTCCGTCTGCTTGTGCTCTTGGGCGTGCACCTACCGCGTTAAGAGCGCGTGTCCGTGCTCTGAACGACACGTGCGCATCATGATGGCCCGTCGCTGCAAGGAAACCGGACCATTTGACTTCACCATCCGTGCGAACACGGCTGCTCGCGCCTGCTGGGAGGGCCTCGCAATGCTTCGACGTGACGTGAAAGACGACACGATCCTCCTTGAGTGGAGGGAGGCGTTCGAAGTCTTCGAGTTGACGATTCAGAAGGAGCGCTGGGCTGATTGAAGAAGACACCCTCTGCTTCAGTTATCTACATCTTATGTCACACGGCGACTATCACGATTCACGACCAGATGGCATTAGGAAGGGTGGAGACGGGGATCGGCATGCATTGATTACCCCAGCATCCTCGATTCAGATCCACATCCGAATCCAACATTTACTTCTACCATACTACATCAGCCCATCGTAAATCGTATCTCTGCCTTTGACGTAGCCTTTAAGTCTCTCTCGGCGTGTCCAGATCGTTGACCACTTTCAACAAGACTCGCGGGCAGAGCTTCGACCATCCGTAGAAATTGTCGCGTCCGGACTGCCCTTCTGAACGGGGCCACGGGCGCGACTGGAGGTGATGATTCCATCCCGCCAGAAGCCTCATTGTACGTGACGTCGACTCCTTTCTCAAAGACCTGGTCTTCTCCTTGACTCAACTGTGCATATTCCCGAGCATCCTCGATCCCGATTGGAGACGGACAACCTCTAGCGGTAGTTGGTGGGATCTGGGGCAATCGCCGTCGGGATCGAGCAGCCATTCGCATTGGGAATAAGACCGATAACTATGGAAGCGGTTTGCGAAATAGTCATCCAGATCGGACGGGGATGACCTTCCGAACGGCGAAAAGCGGGCCCTCAGCGCTGGTGGGACGGTCGTTGTGTACGGCGCGGTAGCGGCGGTGTACAGTAGACAAAGAACCGCCAGGGCTTGGCTTCGGGGCTGTAGGAGTCCATGCCGCGTCAGGTTCGGTACCTCCAGGTGTTTCTAACACGGCCAATGGAACGAAGTAGGATGCGAGAAGGCAATTCCAGTGTCTCGCAGGTCTCGCAGGTCTCGCAAGTATGCCCGGCGGTCTAGAAATAAGGGTTGCGCATCCCGCGTCGCGGAGGTGGCCGTACCTTTCATATGACGGGCGGTACTGTGTAGAGCAGAGCACAGGCGTCGGCGCTGCAGGCCAGTGAAACTTCGCGATGCCTTGATCGGCCCCGGTGAGAGAGCCCTCTGCATTTTTCATCCTCCCGTAGGCGTCAACTTTCTAGCTCCTCTTTCCTCTGTGCTCTCTTCTTATCTTCGGAGGCCATGACTTAACGGCCCCCAGAATTCCACCCTCAACCTCCTTTGGTGCGCGGAGAGGCGCCCAGTCAGGCATGGTGACCACGGCAGGGGTTCCACCTTCACTCTCATCACTTCCATGGCCGGCGACTAGACGGTGGATCGCAGGAGTAGCCGCAGCCAGCGTGCGAGCGTCTTTTAATCTCAGAGGCGCTCCAACCGCCCCAGTCCAGGGCCAGGCCCGCCGACCGTCGTCGGCACGCCGATACCACGCGGCTGTGTGGCCCTCATACGGCATCACCACCCCCGGCCCCGACCGCCAGCTGCTCGGCCTGGCACGCTCGCCCTTTCGCTTCGAGACCGGCTACGCCGTGTGCCAAACGGCCCGCGCACCCGTTTCCTCCTCCCTTCCTGTCCCCGCCGTCCTCGTCTTTCTCGGACCCCTTGACAACTCACTCCCAGAGCCAGGATAAGAGATTATCCGTCCAGGGCGAACCGGTCCGGGGTCTGAACAATGGCGACGATGCGATCATCGTTGCAGAGAACTTTCTGGGCGTTGACGATGGAGTAGGCGCCTGGGCGACAAAGCCTCGTGGCCATGCTGCGTGAGTGGATCTCATTTCATCATCTATCGAGGCTTGCATGTGCTGACTCTCCTTCTCTCCTTCTATAGACTGTGGTCAAGACTCCTCCTACACTTCTGGGCTCTCGAGGTCGAGCGCCGAGTATCTGAAAATGCAACCACCCTAGACCCCGTCGAGTACCTCCAGACCGCATACGAAGAAACCATTCGCGCAACCACCTCCCCGACCCAGTGGCTCGGCACGACGACGTCAGCCACCGCCCTCCTCCACTGGACGCGCGAACCAGACGGTACCCAGAAACCTCTTCTCTACGTGACAAATCTGGGCGACTGCAAGGTGCTCGTGATCCGGCCGAGCGAAGAGAAAGTACTCTTCCGCACCATGGAGCAATGGCACTGGTTCGATTGCCCCATGCAGCTGGGCACCAACAGCGTCGACACTCCCCGCAAGGACGCGGTGCTATCCAAGGTCGCCATTCAAGAAAATGATATCGTTCTCGCGCTGTCGGACGGAGTCATGGACAACCTGTGGGAACACGAGGTGCTCAAAATCATCCTGGATAGCCTTCACAAATGGGACGAGGGACACATCAAAGCCAAAAATGTGAATCCGCCTCCAAACCTGTCGGAGGAACGCATGGTCTATGTGGCTAGGGAACTGCTTAATGCGGCTCTGAGTATTGCTCAGGATCCATTCGCAGAGAGTCCGTACATGGAAAAGGCGGTGGACGAAGGCATCGCGATTGAAGGTGGTGAGTTGGATCTCGGCATCTATGCGCTCGAAGACACGTAGTAAGCTAATTGTTGTTCGCAGGCAAGATGGACGATATTTCTGTTGTGGCTGCGTCCTGCAAAAAGCGCGCTGGGTGATCAACACCAGAACTAGCGTTCCCCGCAACCCTTGATTTTTCGGGTTGCTACAACGATCTAGATGGGATGGTTGATGGAGCCTAGTTGGACTGTCCATTGCCCGAGCCACTCCATCTCAGCCTCGTACGGCAAACGAGACGGGCGACCTCGTAATTGAGCTCGCCATTTTCCGGTCCATTCATGCAGCCTGCACCGGTCTTCCAGTCTTTCACACCCCTGAATGCCATTCAGTGTTGTCTCAAGAAACAAGTGTGGTGGAGTCGGCCAGATGGACACGACCCTACCTACGGCGGCTACGGACCACCCGACATACCTTGAAGGGACATATGCAAACGGATTTGCCCTCCGCCTCACGACTGAACGAATTCTCATTCCGTTTAATTATTCTTAATTTATTTATGGTGCTGTTGGAGTTTCACAGGGGGTTAATTCATGTTGCATAGAACACGGTGCTCTTTTATGGTTCTGGTCTCGTTTTGTTTCCCTGCCTGAAATCAAGCAGAGACATAGTAATAGAAAATGACTCACCCAACTCTCTAAAACCCCTCGCAAAAGCTCCTCAAAAAGGACTACCATAACATATCTTGCAGTGACTGGATCGCGTGTATACTTCTCAGTCCCCCCGCACAGACCATCACCGCCTCGTCCGCCGCCCGGCAAAATGAAAAAAGTTTCGTCGTTACCGCAGCGCAGCAACCTCCGCGACCTATCGATTCCAACACCCAATTTCTTGACCCCCACCGTTCACAATGAGGGCCAAGCGTTCCAAGAAGTATCGCAAGCTCATGCACCAGTATGAGCTTACGTTCGGCTTCCGTGAGGCGTATCAGGTGCTCGGTACGACCTGTCTTCCCGAGCCGCCAAAGAAATCAGTACGCTAATATGCTGTCACATAGTGGATTCGAATTTCCTGCAAGCGGTTCATAATTTCAAGATGGATTTGATGCCCGCGCTAGAGCGGACAGTCCAAGGCCAGGTCAAGCCATGTCAGTACTGACCCTCCCAACCCGGATCTTGTGATCTCGTGCGGCAAATAGAAACTTGCATGGAGACACTTACAGCTGACATATCCTACAGTGCTGACCAAATGCTCTCTCGCCGCCATCATGGCTTCTCAACCCATCAATCCTAAGACCGGCCAGCCCTATCGTCCATTCCACCTCCCCCCGCCAACAATACTCCCGCTCCGCCACTGTTCGCACAACGAACGCTCGGAGCCAATCGATGAGGTCGATTGCCTTCTCTCTTTGCTCTCGCCGAATGCCGATGCAAAGAAGAACAAGGAGCATTACATTCTCGCAACTGCGGATCCAGCGGTCAAAAAAGTAGACAGGAACGACAACCAGCAGCGCAAGCGCAAGCGTGATGACGAGCGCGCGGAAGAACAAGCTCTGCGCCGTGCCCGCACGTTGCGCGTTCGTGCGCGGGCTATCCCCGGTGTGCCCATCATCTACGTCAAGCGCTCCGTCATGGTCCTGGAGCCGATGAGTACGCCGTCTGAGAATATCCGCGAGGGTGTGGAGAGAGAGAAACTCGGTGTTGGATTACCAGAGAAGCCGAGGGTGAATACAGAAGATGCTGCAGAAGGCGCAGAGAAGAAAAAGAAGCCCAGCGTGAAGAAGGCTAAGGCGCCCAATCCGCTGAGTATGAAGAAGCCGAAGAAGCGGACACAGGAGCCTGGTGCTGCCAAGACGCCTAAGAAGAAAGACCCTACTGAGGTCTCAAAGGAAAGCGAGACTGCCGAGAAGCCTGATGGCGAGGAGGCTGAGGCTCCCAAGAACAAGAGGAGACGGCGACACCATAAAAGCGGTCCTCGTGAGGGAAATGAGGATGATGCACTCTCGACTGAGGCCGGCCCGGCTATGGAGGTCGACGCATAATCTTTTTCACTCCGAGTGGGGCTGCTGTTGCATTAAACCTGTTTCTCTTTATCATCCACGGCATGGCGTTCGGGCTGGATATCCATATCTAAAAGTTCAATATCAATGTATCTAAGTACAACTTAAAGTGTATTCAGTGCCCACCGAGTCTATCGGACTCATTCTGCTTCATTTCTTTCATTTACGCTTGGGACTAGTACAAGTTCGGCTGGAGGGTTGATACAGTTGAGTTGCTAGCCTAGATGGTTTTCCATCTGAACCACGGGTTCCATAGCCCGTGTTATATTCACTCAGTCCTTCATTATCGTACAGATATCTCCTTTGCGTATACATAGAGGGAAGAGATGATGAGACAGACCGAAATCATAGTCCCAGAAAGAAATGCAGCACGCTAAACTCCAGCTCGAAGAGTCGCAGATCACGTCACACAGCGCGATGAAAAATCAATGCTTCGAAGAGTTGGAGTCCCCTGCGCTGGCACTCTGAGTAGTCTGATCCACGGTCCGCTCTCGCGCCCAGATATCCTCAATGCGCCGCCGGTTGCTGCGCGCGTTGTCCCGGTTCTGCTTCGCCCGGTCGTACCGCTCCACAGACAGGCACTTGTTCACTTCGCGTTTGATATCGTTGCAGTTTCCGAGGGCTTTGTAAATGAATCCGCGGGCATGGCACTCGTCGAGGGCGGTCATGATCTCCTCACAGTCTATAGGGCTCAAATTAGTATTGATCGTATGAGGTCCAGGCTTTGCGGGACCTGTTGAAAGGGTCGGGACCGATGGTGAGACATACTGACGTTATACGGGGTGTGCAGGTGAGAATGCATAGTTGCGATAGTGGATTGTCCAGCAGAATAGAAACAGCTCGGAATTGCAATCGAGCAATGCTAACTCTTCCAGCACGGACTGTCGAGAGCGGCCAGACACCGCAAAACCCCCGGGCGGTGAGTCGATCTCTCAGTTCTGCCGGGCGGAACGCCCCTCCCAGCACACCGATAAAAAAATATCTCCGATAAAAAAAAGGTAGAGCGGTGCATCAGTGATTAGCATTTACAATGTCTTCGATGATCACGACCACGGCCTGGGTGCGACGAGGTGTCGCTGCCCAGTTCCCTACCAAATATGAGATCGACGAGGAGGAGATGGGCCGGATATCCAAGCTTGCCCGCATGCAGCTTGAAGAGGCCCAGGACGACCTGAGTGCCGCCAAAGCGGGCAAAATGGACGATGGCGAGGATGATTCTGCCATGGAAGAAGACAATAAGGAGGCGGACGCTATGGATGAGGAGAGTGAGAAGAAACCTTCCAAGGAGGGCGATGATACCAAGTCGACAGAGTATGTTTATGGACAATGAGATGGAGGATGACAGTGAGCTAATTGGATGCTCTAGCGACGACGACGTTTTGAAGGAGTTCGATATGGACCACTACGATAGCGATGATATTGACGAGGATGGCGAAAAGGTCACCCGGTTCGGCAACGTGCAGTCGCTGGCCTACCACCAGCCCAACGAGGCGGACCCGTACCTGGTCATTCCTGAAGACGAGGAAGATGAGGACCGCGAAGAGCTCCAGATCCTGCCTACGGATAACCTCCTTTTGGCTGGAAAGGTCGAGGACGAGGTCGCCCATCTCGAGGTCTATGTCTACGAGGACCGCGCGGACAACCTCTACGTGCACCACGACATCATGCTTCCCGGCATTCCGTTGTGCGTGGAATGGCTCGACATTCCCGTTGGCAAGGGCAGCGAGGATCGGAAAACAGGAAACTTTGTGGCTATTGGAACAATGGAGCCCGACATTGAGATCTGGGACCTGGATGTTGTGGACAGCATGTACCCGAACGCCATTCTGGGACAGGGCGGCCAAGATGCCGGCGATGGGGCGCAGGCCAAGAAGAAGTCAAAGAAGAAGAAGTCCAAGGCGAACGACGAGTATCACATTGACGCAGTGCTGGCACTGGCAGCCAACCGTCAACACCGCAACCTGCTCGCATCCGCGTCCGCAGATCGCACTGTCAAGCTGTGGGATCTGAATACCACTAGCTGTGCTAAGTCTTACTCGCACCACACCGACAAGGTCTGCTCGCTCGACTGGCACCCGAAGGAGTCTACAATCCTCCTCAGCGGCTCATACGACCGCACCGTGGTAGCAGCTGACATGCGTGCCCCCCGACTCCACTGCCCGTTGGGGCGTTGATACCGACGTTGAGAGCGTGCGCTGGGACCCGCACGATCCCAACTACTTCTATGTCACCACCGACGGCGGCATGGTGTACCGCTTCGACATCCGCAATGTTCCCGCCACTCCGGCCGAGTCCAAGCCCGCCTGGTCGCTGCAGGCCCACGATTCTTCCGTCTCGTCCTTCGATATTAACCGCACTATCCCTGGCTTCCTAGTCACTGGTTCCACGGACAAGGAGGTCAAGCTGTGGAACGTCGAAAACGACAAGCCCAGCCTGGTTGTCACCCGCAAGCTGGATGTCGGCAAGGTCTTCTCGACCGCCTTTGCCCCTGACGCCGAGGTCAGCTTCCGCTTGGCTGTTGCCGGTAGCAAGGGTACCGTGCAAATCTGGGACGCTTCGACCAATGGAGCTGTGCGCCGCGCTTTCGTCTCGCGCATGCCCGATCTGGCTGGTGATGTGCCTGAGCGCCTTATTGGCGTCGGTGCTGACGATGAAGAGTCCGACGATGAGGGCGCTGAGGAAGGTGGTGAGACAGGCCAGGCTGACGGTCCCGATGGCTGGGAGTCGATGGATGAGGATTAGATGGTCTCGATGAGGATGACAGATACCCGTGGAGTCATGTCCTGATGTACGCAAAAATAGATCTCTTATGTTATTTACCACATTTTTATACTCACAATGCTCCCCTTCGGTCGAAGCCGGTTAAATAACCGGCGTCCCTTAACTATGCAATAGGAGTAGGTGAAAAGAAGAAAGAAACCTCTAGTTGAATCACGATCTAACACCGAATCTATGCTCCTAAAACTTTCAAACTCCAGGCCCAGAATATGAAATCAATCACGCAGCCTCTTGGCCATGCACCAAAGTCGTCAAGTCAAGCAGACGGTTCGAGTATCCCCATTCGTTATCGTACCATGCCATGATCTTGAAGAACTGTTGACCACCGAATCAGAATTAGTACATGGCCACATTGCAAAGTGAAGGGTAACCGTACCTGAGGGTTCAACTCCGCACACGCAGGTGCATCAATGATCGCGCTGTAAGGACTGCCGTTATAGTCGGAGCTGACGAGCTCCTCGTCGGTCACTCTGAGGACGCCGGCCATGTCGGACTTCGCGGAGACGCGGAATGCAGAGAGGATCTCGGCGAGGCTGGTGGGCTTCTCAGTGCTGATGGTGAGGTCGATCATCGAGACATTGGGTCTATACTGAGTTAGTTTCTACACTTCAAGGCCTCAATGTGCGTATCAAAAAGTGCAGGCTTACGTGGGGACACGGATGGAAACGCCGGTCACCTTGCCCTTCAACTCAGGAAGCACGGAAGCGACGGCTTTGGCGGCACCAGTGGTGGTGGGGATGATGTTGCCGAAGACACTGCGACCTATACAGGAAATGATGTGTTAGAGATTGCGATTGAATTCCCAAATGAGATCGTCCAAGGGTCTCTTACCCAGACGCTGGCTCTTCTTGCTATACCCGTCCAACACCTGCTGGGAGCGAGTTGCAGCATGGACAGTGGTCAAGAAACCCTGTGTGACGCCGAATGTGTCATTCAGCACCTTCAGGACTGGAGTGACGCAGTTGGTGGTGCAGCTAGCATTAGATACCACGCGGCACTCCTCACTGGGAGTATACAAGTCCGAGTTCACACCATAGACAAAGGTAGGAGAGTCCGAGCTAGGCGCGGAGATCAGCACCCGCTTGGCTTGGCCGTAAGTGACATGCTCAATGGCGAGATCTCGCTTTGTGAATTTGCCAGTGCACTCAAGCACATAGTCGACGCCAAGGGCAGCCCAGTTGAGCTTCTTCAGGTCCCGCTCGGATGTAAGTGCAATTCGTCTGCCGTCGATGGTGATGAGGCTGTCAGAGACGATTTGGATGTCGGTGCGCTCGTCAAGGTTTCCCATGGAGGAATCATAGCGAATGAGGTGGACGAGGTCTTGGACGGTCACGCAGGTGTGATTAATGGCATTGACTTGGATGTCGGAGCGGACTAGAGCAGCACGGAGAACATTGCGGCCTGAGCAAGTGATTTGTGTGAGTATGCGTCGACCCCAAAGTATGTGAGTGTACTCTTGTGGTCACTAACCAATACGACCGAAGCCATTGATGCCGACTCGGCAGGCCGAACCCGAGACAGGCTGGTTGACAGGGACGTCATTCAAAGAGGGAGCCATGTCAAGATTATGCTTATCTGGGAGGAGGGGAAAGGAGGGGGATGGAAGGATGTTTTAATTGGCTTGAATTCAATCTAAATCTAAACAAAAACCTCGCGAGCCGTATGGGAGCTGAGCATCTATAAGTATATTCGAGTCCCGCCAGCCCTCATTGTCGTGTATGCCCTACAGACGGCAGGGATCCCGAAAGTTTCCGTACGTCACGGATCCTGCGTCGGCTTGAAGCAAGTCGGCGAACAATAATATGCACAATCGCGTTGAAGCCATCCACTCTTCCAAGCCCTAACAGCCACCGAAAAAGCCCCTGGGCGGTACCGCCCATCGGATACGCGGAGACCAGGCCTCCGCCGCCAATGGCAACCTCCCGTTCCACCGAGAATTCCCGTACTCATGACCCGACTGCAGCGGAAGGGGTCACCTTCCGTGTACAGCCGTGACGCAAAGGCCGTGTGTGATCCGCTGGGTTTCTTGTTTCGTTGGGGCTGGGTCGACTCCGGGGTAAAAGGACCGATAAACGGAGGAACTATCGAGTATGCGGCCTCGCGACGCCATTGGCTGCAGCCCCCGGGGCTGGGTAGCCGTTACTCAATGGCGCTAGGGCCCACGGCTCGTGCTGCGGCAGGATTTAGTTGCGGCGTAAGTGGCCTATGCCCGCGTCGTGATTTGCGGCAGAAACCCTACCCTCGGGCCTTCTCTTCCTCCGTATCGGCGTGCCGACGTGGCTTCGGCCCCCCCCGTTCAGGTGCCGATTTCCGCCGATCGGGGGATCGAAAATATAGATTTATAACTCGCAATAATAAAAAAGGTCTAGTCTTTTTCGGAATTTAGGAACACTGAATTTGAAACCTCGAGAAACATGGAAAGTGGTGATACACATAGCTTTGTGCACGAAGTGAAGCTGTACAGCACTGTGTTCCTGAATCTCATGGATTTGAGCCGATTGCGCACGGAAAGTTATTTGCAACAGCACCCCAAGCTTTTTCAGTTGCGGTGGTTTACCGTAGCGGGGCCTGGGTATTATGTGGAGTGAAAGGTTAGCTCGCTTGAACTGTGCCTCCATCCCATAAGCGATAAAGCAGCAAAGAAATTTTCAAGTGAGGCTGGCACTCAGCTTCAGTGACTACTTAGCGGGTTTCCTTATACTGACGCCACTCTGACCACACATTCTGTCGCATTTTTTAATGTGGTCGGAATGCCAATACCTTGGTGAACTTGATGCGAGCGAAAATTCTCATCTATCTGGGGTTAGAGATATATAATTGAGAAATCACCGCAATGATGAATAGTAGCCCAGGATTTGAGACACATTTTTACAATCCCGATTAGGATAGCCCCCAATCCCATCGGGGAATTTCGGAGAAGGCCCCACCGAGCTATAATTGCCTAGAAGGTGGAGGTTCTTTTCTAATATTTGACTAATTTAAACCAATTCTAGTGAAAGCCTTATATGCGCAAGCAGGGCCACAATTTTAGAGGTTGGAGTAACCGAGCAGATCATATACCTTTGGAGAACATATTTATCGATTCGAGCTCAATCCACTGTAACACATGGGACTTAAAACACACGTCAAAGCTAAACAGTGGCAGTAGCTTCGGCTTCACTCTCTGTGATGGCTTGATTAGCCCGCTTGAAGTCAACTCCATATTGCTTCCACGCAGACTCAATCCCAAGATCCAACTTTCCATCCCTAGAAGACATCAATATATGATGGCAATTTTCTGACTGGCCATGATAATCTGCTGAACACCCTTTAGCTCATGACAGGCCCCGTTGAGCTCCGTGGACACTAGCTGGACAGGCAATGGCTGAAACGACCCTGTCTCGATGGCGAGGTATGCGTATTCGACATGGTCTCCGGACGCTAGCAGTACTTGATTCTCCGTGATCGCAACCGCCCTGTCCTGGATGCGGGCGAATATTCCCGGGGGTGCTCCTTTGGCAACACCATCATATGGAATGAAGGCTGTCTGCTCATGTCCTGTTAAAACGGAAAACCTTGGGGAGTTGAACGAGTAGTTGAGATTAGAGTTCTTCTCGATCCACACAGCCTTGTATCCAGTCGGCAGCGTCTCGACCAGTCAGTTCACGAGCTCAATGCCCGCGAAAGATCCACCCAGGACCACGACCTTCTGTGCACCAGGGGTACTGTGCCACGTCCAACTATGACCGCATGCGGCGACACGCTGGACAGGACTACGGCCAAAGTGCAGGACAAAGAAGCCGAGTGCTTTGATGAAGACTTTGATCTTGCCGGATGACATCGTGCTGGGGCGGGGTATTTGCTTTGAGCATTGGAAAATAAGGAAGTGTGAAAGGGGCAGAATGCCTGGGCCTCAAGGTGACTGGACCTGAACCTTGATCTCAATGGGAGTCACAGATCTAATCAGATGGACAGCACCAACCATTTGGAAGTCCTTGAGGTGAACGGTCGCCGTACCCCGAACTGGGAAGAAGTAAGTCTATGAAAACAGCATGGCAAATTTAGCTTGGCTGAACTTTACGAAAGGTAGGCTGACAAGGCAGGCCGCGGGATTTCCTCGGATGTACTTCTTCGCGCGCAGGAGCCGCTAATAGAGCAGCTGACTTGGCTGATATGATGTGCAAAGACAAAAGAATACGGAGACTTTTCTTCGATCTTGGCCTTGATTTCCGTTGGGATATGACAGTACTTCTAATCCGAGGCATCTGAGATTTGGAGTCGAGAAGGATACTTGCTGGCAAATATGGAAGGTGGAGGAAATGCTGGAGCAACATATTCATGACGTACGCCTCAAGCACATTCATGACAAGTTTTTATGATGTCTTTTGTCTCTTCAGCAACGGGTGTTGATATTGTGTGGCCCTTCATTTCCCATTAACACTCTACAATCGATAGTGGTAAGTGAAGGGCAATTTGGGTGTGTTGATGTCCATGCCCATGTCCATTTACAATTTCACACAGGTACGTCGTACATCTTATGACACAGTTCTAATAATCCCAGCATCTAACCGTCTCTATTTAGACGACAGCTTCTTGATTTCAGCCACCACAGCGTCAGTGACCTCCTTCGTTGTTGCTTGTCCACCAAGATCACGGGTGAGGATGCCCTGCTCGCAGACATTCTCGACACAGTCCAGGAGCTTCTTGGAGGCATCCTCCTCGCCCAGCCATGAGAGCATTTCCGCGGCAGTCCAGAAGGTGGCCACAGGGTTGGAGATTCCCATGCCAGTAATGTCGAATGCAGAGCCATGAATCGGCTCAAACATGCTGGGATACTGACGTGTAGGGTCAAGGTTGGAGGTAGGCGCGATGCCAATGGATCCAGCCAGAGCAGCAGCCAGATCGGACAGGATGTCAGCGTGCTAGTGGCGCATTAGCAAATCGAATAAAGATACCAGGCCATGATTAGATGTATTTACCAGGTTGGTGGCAACAATAGTGTCCAGACTCTCGGGCTTCAGGACCATGCGGGTAGTCATCGCATCGACTAACATCTTGTCAACGGTGACTTCAGGGAAGTCCTCAGCGACGGACTTGGCAACTTCGTCCCAAAGAACCATCCCATTGCGCTGGGCATTGCTTTTGGTGACTACAGTCAGGAGTTTACGCGGGCGCCTCTGGGCAGTCTCAAAGGCAAAGCGCATAATTCTCTCGATTCCGTGGCGAGAGAAAATAGAAACCTCGGTCGCAACCTCCCAGGGCTTGCCGGTGTGAGATCGGCCACCCTGGCCGGCGTATTCGCCCTCGCTGTTCTCCCGAATGATAACCCAGTCGAGATCACCAGTCTTGCACTTGCGCAATGGCGACTCGGTGCCGCGGAACACTCTGGTTGGGCGCACGTTGGCGTACTGCTGCAGCGGCTGGCAAATGGCAAGACGGAGACCCCAGAGAGAGATGTGATCAGGGACATCTAATCGGGTTTATTAGAACGGTGGAGACTTTAAATGCTCTTGGTTACTTGCCAGGAGCGCCGACTGCACCGAAAAAGATCGCATCATGCTTCTTCAACTCCTCAAGACCGCCATCAGGAATATATTTGCCAGTCTTCTTATAGGTCTCAGAGCTCCAGTCATAATTCTTGAACTCGAGCTTGAAAGTCTTCAGAGTATCGGTCAGGGCATTCAAAGCCGTGATACCGGCCTCGATAACCTCGGGTCCAATTCCATCAGCAGGAATAGCCGCGATGCTGTAGGTCTTGTCGCCAGAAACAACCGAGGGAGACATCTTGAAATCTGCGCTGGGGGGCTCTGCTTGCAAGAAAAAATTTAGATTGATGGAAGGGTAAGAATTGAGTACATGCGGGGATTTCAAGACTGCTTTCGCCAACTTACCGAGTCAGACTAAACTTACTTGGATGGACAATCAACGATCAAGACCCTCATGCGAGTGGCTTCAACCAATGCCCCTCCGAATGGTTCGTCGGAGATTTCAATGTCCGGGAGATTGAGCCCAATGATTGGTGCTCGGACGGGGATTGGAACTTCCGGGGATCCACAAGGAGAAAGACATGTCCGGGTGAAGAACCCAGGCTTGAGTTGATCAGGCCGGTACTACAGAACGGTGACTCCGTTGGAGACAACAAAAAGGAATAGTCTGTGTGATCTGAAATCATAGGTGTTCTCCACAAGTCTGTGGATTTTGTGTCGCGATTTGCTTATATCGCTAATTGAGCATTTGTTAGAGGTGAACAACCACCGTCAATATGTGAGAAATTATACAAATGTTGTCAATAGGGAATCACAGAAAATTCCCATGAATCATCCATGGGCCATCAGCGACGCTCCATAGGTCGTTAATAAAAAGAGACGACGGGTCCGAAAAGGGTAATGAATCCTGACTTCCAATTCCTGGGCAGAAGGCTGTATTGTTGTTGACCATATTGCCAAATATGAGGCCAGCCGAGCTTAGACCATCCAGATTAAAGTCATTATTTGAAGGGTCGTTGATCTCATTCCCGGGAGTTTTGGGCGTCGAAAATATTGCAGAATCATAATGTTCTGCTCGATCGACTCCTTGGACAGTAGACATGCGAATTTCAGACTGCTGTGCGACCGGCGGGAATATGCTGCCTTGGTATCCGCTGATTTCTGGATGGCCATACTGGACAGGGGCTCGGTTTATGCGACTTGAGAGACCTCTTTCATTTCGATGAAACAAGCCATTGTTCCCATTTGAAGCATTCTGATCCACAGGAGCCTGATTCAGATTCGCAGCACTGTCTGAACCTGCTGACTTGGCTACAGTTCCACTTGCTTGTCTGCCAGAGATGTTTGCCGATAAAGCCGTCTCCATGCTCTTGATTGCCTCGATACATGTTTCCGGCCAGGTACTACCACGCAAGGCAATATTTTCCAAAACTTGGACCCCCATTTTTGCGTATTTTAATGCTGTGGGCACCGGGAAATGGCCCTCCCATGATGCGTACATCAAAATGAGACAGGCCATCCATGTTATCCAGGTAAAGGACGGCCACGAGAGTGGTGCATTAGACCCAGAAGACATGTATTCCTTCAATGCAGCCAACAAAGATCGAGACGAAGCAATGCATGTTTGCAGAGCATGTTTATAATCTGGAGTAGGTTTGTCTGTGGCAAGAAGTGGCCGATTCATCGAGATAATTGCTTCATGCCTAAGAATCTTCAGCAATAACCGGTGATAGGGAGTGAGCACGGGGCGTGCTCCTGATTCGGCGTCTGCATAATCATCGACGGGATTGACATCATCATAGACTTCGTTCCACCACTGGGAGAGTTCGCCGTTAACATGGGAGGCCTCCAACGCACCGGCATGGCTGTGAAGAACGGACTTGTTGCGAAGCTCCAATATCAAACCTCGTATCCTGGCAAATTTAGCGAGATTGCGGAGCAGCCGCAGGCGTTGGTCATCAGATATCGTAGGTTTGGGGATGGCATGTCTTTCGGCGCCTGGGTAGCATACATCAATGTCGTCGTCTCGTAAGCTGAGGGGAATTCCAAGGGCCTGAGACAGGTACCGTTCCAGTGAATAGATGGACCAGAACAGGCGCCTTCGAATGTCGACATCCTCACTGTTGAAACATTGAAAACGCGTAGGACAGCGATGCAAGCCCAGATGAAACGCGGTGCGGGTGATAACGCCCCCTATGCGAGAGGCTGCATTGAGACGCAGAAGTGAAGTGAGCGCTAGCTGGGCGGTAAAAGCCGCTTGGAGCAGCATAAGCGTCGTTGGCTCGGCAAGGAGGCTTTGGATATCTTGCATGACCTGTTGCACGGTCTGAAATACCAGGGTTGCAGGAATTGGCCTCATTTTCGATTTGGGGGCTGTTGCTTGGCGACCATCCCCAAGAGATATTGAGATGAGAGATCGGATTACTATCATGTCCAAGCGATTGACTGCCTCCAGCCCTTGATTCCCTAGTGTTTCCATGGCCTTCAATACAGTCGGCGCATGAAGGCACGGAAAGATTGGATGCCAATTTTCGAAATAACGACGCGTCCAGTTGACAAGGTCCTCAAAGGTGAATGCAGCAGCTGGTACAAAATCGATCTCGTCTGGCAGCCAGAATTCATCAATGCCATGTGCATTTTCAGCCCCTCGTTGCAATCGGTCATCTTCGCCAGGGACCGAGCTTCTGTCGCGCGCTCGATTCTGTTGCAAGTCCGCCGACCGGCGAGCAAAAGCATTGTATACATGTCGAATGAAATGGATACCACTCGAGCTTCCAAGAAAGCTAGCAGAGCCGTCATTCTGGGACTCCCTCATAAATCCAATTTCACGAGGGGAGGGCCTTGAAGCGCCCGCGGTCGATCCTCGCCTATGTCTTTTGGTGGCGTGAGGTCCATATTGCCAGTCCGACTCTTCGAAGTGGGTACCGACTGAGGAAGGAGATGCCATCGCTGCTGTCCCATCACATTTTCCGGCCAATGGGTCATGAACCGACTGTGCTCTATGTATTCGTAGTGACCAAAGACTTCAAACGACATACGAGATCGGTTGCGTCACTCTCTGGGTTCACTCAAATTGATTAGTCATATCCTGGCAAAGGCCGACGGGTGGGAATGGACTACAACCCCGACAATTATTTAGTCTTGTACATACTGCAAGGCATAATTAAAAAGTATAACATTCACTCAACATTTTAGTCAAAAGAGCAGATAAATACTTTGCCCATTGTTCCTCCCTTTCGATTGCTCTTGTTTTGAAAAAAAAACATCACGCGTAGATCCCGATAGTTGGTGGAAGAGAAATTTAGACCGGCGTCAAATCCTTGTTATGGAAAGTAGCGATATAGTTTGGTAGGTATCATTTGATTGCTTCATTGATCCCACACGGGAATTCCAAAAGCTAAGCGATGAGCCTGGAAGTAAACTAACTATCCAATGGTTGCTGAGAGATCAGAACGTAATAATTTATTGCCCTTCCCGGTATGGCAATGGCCTTTGCTAAATACTAGTTAACATAGCTAGTTAACGTGGTCCCCGCTGACATTATCCTTCCAGGTAATTTTACGGGTTCAATAGTGCGACGTTTCCATCACTTCGTATACTACTCCGTGATCCCCGGTGACAGCAAATTCCCCTATTCTTCTGTTATGTAAACTGACGAAGTGATATTCAATGAGCTTGATAATTCGTGTCTCGATATCTGGAGACGTCTACTCTAAACAAAGGCAACTGCTACGGCCGTGGAACACATATCTAGTGATTGTCGAGTATGTGATCCAAAATACGCTGTACTTGCCGGGCATGATCCTTCACATCCCAAATTGCGCCCCGTGTCATTCCCCTTGGTGCCCAGTCGAGAACTTGCCGGTTCACATCGTCGTATTTGTAAACGCGTATGCATCTGCCGATAGCAGCTATTCCATACACAGGGGTGCGATCTGCGCGTCGACGAGTACCGTGTGAGCTGCTCAAGTATCGGCTTAACTGGTCGACGGCGTCGTCCCAAATAGCAGTACGAGTCTCAGTACCGGCCGTCTTGCACTGCACCATAAGAAATTTGTTTGCTTGGGTCGCATTGCCAGCGTACTGAAAAATGTGTAGATCAGAAAACCCGCGCTGGCCACCCTGGGACGTATGCTGATCTTGGGGACGCGTGACATATCCCCGGGTAATAGGGAACTGTAGCGCTAGAATTGCGGTCCAAACCCCGTACAGAACCGACTCGGGGCGTCTTCTTGAAATGAGTTCGATTTCTTGAGTGATAGCGTTGTTGCGGAGGTACTAACAGCTGTTAGTGTTTTAAGCATAATTGATATTTCCTCGCTCACAGTGGTCATGGTGGCTTCGCTGGACAGGAGAGGTCTTGGTGCCATCTAAGCGGAGTTCTGATCTTATATAAATAACCCTGTGTATAAGCATCATTCTCTACTTAGGCATCATTGACCTATTACTGCCTACAGATAAACAAGGAAGAGAAAGAATACCAGGCACAAATGCATTTGCATGAAGCAAACGAGACGAGGAAGAGAGGTAAAAGAATGAAGAAAGGAAACGAAAGAGGGGAGGCTAGATACTTGCTGGGATGAAGCAAACAATCCGTCAATCCTACAGCCCTTGCCCTGAGGCCCCCTTCTCAATTCAGCAACGCCTCATTCAAAGCGAAATCATATGGAGGCGGGTGAACTAATTGTCCAGTTGCTGCCTATTTTGATGGCTAGCCACCTAGGTATTTTAGGTAGGGGATAAGTAACAATCCATTTCGACCTACTTCCTGCCTAGCACTTGGTCCTTACCCAAACAGGATATTGTTTGCTACCTAAGAATAAAGTACAGTATGTGTATTCTCCATATAGTAGCTATTAAACTTGCACAGAAATAAGGAACTAGTGTCTATTCCATAGAATCTATAAACAGTATTAAAATAATGGAGTGAAAGATAGAATACACTGGTTGCCAGAGGAAAAGGAGTAGACAGGGTTGTCAAGTCTCAAGGTCAATGTTTGTTAATTCAACTGACCCAAAGAATATGATCAACATAGTTCGCTATAAGCGGTTTACTTGAGCCTACTCAATACCTTAGTATCTCGAAATGAAACAGCAAGGCATAGAATCATTGAATTAGGTCACCCGGGGTAACCGGATAAGGTAGGTACAGATCCCTTCCAATATGTGATATAGCTTCGAAAACATTGTTGAACAAATCGATTTAGATGGCAATTCTTAAAGCATTTCCTATAGCAATTTTTGTAAAAGCAAAGCTCTCTTCTCTTAGCTCATTCCCGCGCCCCTTCCGATAGCAGCCACATTTCTGAGTATACGTTCACGATTTGCCAGACCCCTGGTAGTATACCATGTTCGATCTGACACAAGGCTCATCAAATCAAGTCGTAACCCCTGCCAGTTCACCGGAGAGCTAGACTTCCTGAGAATATCTAACTCGAAGAATAAATCTTCTTGTAGTCGTCTTCGCCAAAACCAATCGGGCAAGTTCCATTGAAATGTGAAAAGCATATTGCGCATGTTTGCAACATCATCCAAGGTGTAATCAGCTGGGCAGACCCACTCAGATATCAGGACGGTAATATCTATCGGAAGCTTGCTGAAACAAGGAAATATGGAGTGACCTGTATTTGCGCGGGTAATCACTTCTTGAAGTGCTGGTATAACTAGTGGGTTCTGATAAATATCACAGCTGTGTTCACGCTCTGATAGGGCTTGGTTCGGCTTGACCCAGTTAATGTTGTGATCTGTCAAGCCGTGCAGATTTTCCTTGCGCCAGTGATTCCGGGAAGACTGGATAAACTTCGCGAGTTTAATCTCAGTTGGCATCGCTCCCAGAGCTCGGCCAAAAAGTATCCAGCAATGAGCATGAATAATAAACCCCAGTCGCTGCCCTTTATACTGGGATGGCTGTCTTTTCATCTTCGCCGCGTAGAATTCAATAAAGGTAGCATTATCGTATCGGGCGTTTTTCCTTCCACCAATTCTCGCGATTGTTGGGTCTTTCGGAAGGTGGTAGGGCTCACTACTTCGTTCTTGTAGCATGTTAATACCCGTTAGATGATACTTAGTATCTGACTCCTTGATTACTATACTAGTTAGTTATGTTAAGCTCGAAATATTATCTGGAACTTACTAGCTCGACAGAAACATGACCATAATCGGGGCATATCACCAAAGCATGCCTCTTCTATCTGGATGGATGGCACCATTACATGTTTTAGTCTGGATCGCCAGTAACCCCTCCATTGACATTTGAGCAGCTGATCACTCTCCGGAGTCCGATCCCATGTCGGGCACCCTGCAATTCCAGAATCATGCACATATGGGATTTCCATCTCGCATAGAAGGCATGTTGGCGGTGGGTTGACACCTGTAGTAGTAACACCGAGGTTCTTGAGGCGTGCCATAGCGATTTTCACGGGAAGAATATTCGAATAGTATGCAGTACTATTAAAGATGAGGAATCGTCTACTACATGATTTTTCCTCGTAGAGAAATGCTAGATATTGTCATGGACTGATGTAATAATGAATGCTTGACTCCCGAAGCTAGATTTTAACAGGAATTTATCTTGTTTGACTTCGCTTGGTACGTCAGCAGCCTAACATATTGTATAGCTATTGAGATACTGTATTAATAGCTTTGTAGATACGTATAATAGCAGCGAATGAATGGTGCAAACAGTAATATATATATCTCCTAATAAAGCCATCCTCTAGCTATGTCTACTTTATAAAAACGCTCCCTGTAATGAATAGGTGTGATGAAACTGGGCGAGATTCTAGTGCTTATATAATAGGGTATCATAGTTAATTAACTAACTTATAGCTAGTAACTATCCCCGTCCATGTACTCCGTATACCTGAGCAATAGTGCCCTCATATTGCCAACCAAAAGATACTCACGTGACTACTCTACACGGAGGTATCTTTCTCCGGACGATATTCCGACCAATTTCACATCAAATCGATGAATATTGGAGCAAAGAGTTTAGCGGATTTATCTTGGATTTAGTAACCAGTTACTATATTCGTGTTGGGTACTCGGGCAACACAAGTCGATGAAATGGGGTCCCAACGATCAAAGCGAACTCGGACATTTGATGCCATCATGCCAGGTAACCACGTGGCCCGATTCAAAATCCCCATTTATAGGTCTGCTGATGCGTAGCCTCCTTCAGTTGATGAGAACCTGAGCTCAATCTCATGTGAGATATGCAGGCAGCGCAAATGCAAGGTGAGTGTAGGTTTGGGATATGGGTTATCCTGCCACGCTGACAGGGACATAGTGTGACCGGAAACTGTATGGGGCCTTACATATCTCATGACTCGGCCGAGAAATGAATTGACATGGATCGTGCTTTAGTCCTTACTGCTCTCAGTGCTCAGGCGAGCCGTCAAAATGCGTATATCCAGAAAGTGGCAAAAGGTATGTGGCTCTATTGAAGTTGTTGCCGGCAGGGTGGAGCTGAGACCGAACTACGCAGGGGTCTCCCTCTCGGATATCTTAATCAACTAGAACAAAGATTGTCAGAGACCGAGTCAGCACTCTACAGTGCCCTTGTCACACTCCGTGCGATGAGACCAGTAACTGTGGTGCAAGCATCAGCGAAGCCGGACTCGGTGCCTAAGCAAAAGGCTGCTCGTATGGAGGAATGGTCCCAGCTGCCGCTCCGAGGATGGCCGGACATGGAGCGCTGGCTCGCAGGCATGTGTGACCAGTTCACCATTGACAAACCGCAATCCTCGAGTGTTCCAGTGACGGACCCATCGGGAGGTGGGTTTGCAATACCACCATCTCCAAGTCACGGTAGCACCAACAGTGGTGTAGATATGGAAGCTGGAGAGCTCACGGTTGCAAACGCGTGGCTCCCACGAGGGAATATATCCATTGGGAGCCCATATGAGACCCACCTCCACCCATCCGGGTTAAGGTCCTCGCCTGTGTACCCGCAAATTCAAGCCACCGGGGAATCCGACGTGGCATCCCCCACTGGCGGGATGGCTGAGTATACTGACATCGCTGGGGTCAGTGAGAGCGGACAAGCGAGGCCCGCCGAGGCTGCGGCCACCAGGGCGGAGGAGCTGTCGAAAAGTCGACCTAACATATACTTTTAATACTTCTCAACATTAGGGTCAGAGAATCTCGGACCGGACACCCGAAATGTAAATAGTCGGTGCCACTTGATGGCGTCGCACTTTATGTGCAACGGACTAGACTGGAAAACCCCGATCATGTGGCTAGTTCATCCCAAAGGGGAAGAATAAATTCGGAGGCCGACGCCGATCGTCGTTGCAGCCAGACAGTAACACAGCATCGGTGCGACCACTGAGCATGAACGCCGCAGGGTCGAGTCCCCAGTCAACAATGATATCCACGCTTTCCATACCTGGCGTTCGGTCTAGCGCCCCACACCCAGCTTGACCTTGTGTTATCGGAACCTGCCCCTCCCCACGACTCTTTAAGATTAACGAGCCTGGCCCACTCCAATACAACCCAGCTGGACCCATCGCGCCCACGACACCTCACTGGCCGAATAATCGATATACAGTTTTGGCAGGCGGCCAACAGGAGCCAATCAAATGCTGGTGTCCCTGCAGCTAACCACGCGCCGGTCGCACCAGGATCACGCTTACAACATCGGCCACGTCGGAGGGGATTATGATTGGCGAGTGGACATCATGCCGCCCCTGGCCCTGTCGATCCGTGCGGCCGGGGCACAGACTGCATTTAGCAAGGGGAGGTTGAAGCGGTTTGGTGGTGAAACGAGCTCCGTGCCAGGGCTGGTGTGGCCGGGCCAAATTTCTGCTGGGAAGCTTGGCGGAGTAGAGACTCGAAGCCCGCTGTTTCAGTGGGATTATGATCGCGGAGCAGTACGGCGTCACGATCCGCCTGGTGGGCTTCGTTTCGATCGTGCTTCACGTGGGGCGTGGTATTGTTCACCAGATGGTCCTGACGGATGTGTTGTACGAAAAGTGCATGGACACGTCGAATCACCGTCCTCTTGGGTACCAGAGCGTATGACCCCGAAGCAGTCTCCCTCTGGCGCCCTCCATACCCAGGGCAAGGGCATGCTTGCTCCCTTCCCTCGACAGGGACAGGATGACTATAGTATGGACCCTTCGACCGTAGTCTAGTATGGTCATGGCGATGGCATGATCCCAATAATAGGGCGAGAAAAAGTCTGGATGAACTGTGGCGACAACGAACACTGGGCCCTGGGCATTCAAAAGAACCTCTCGGACTGAAGGGCCTGCAGGTCCCTGGAGCGAACCTTGGGCGAAAGTTTTTTTTTGCTTTGCCGGACGAGTGGGCGTGGACAAAGTGGAGAGGGCCGAAGCAACGAGGCCCAACGGTGGTTCCCTCACAGGTTAAGCGCCGGGGCCTCTCCACGGTTCAGCGTGGGCGAGAAAGTCCAGACGCTCTGCCGCACTGTGTAAGGGACTCACCCTGCCCCTTCCCTTCCTGCCTCTCTTCCACCCACGTCCTTCATTTTGGGGTTCCTTCATTCTTTCCCTTCCTTCCCCAACCCACTTTCACTTCTTCTGGAGTCCTTGATACAGTGATCCGTGATCCTGTACTCCCTCTTTTCTCTTAACATTCACACACCCTGGCGCGTCGTAGTTGTACGCTCCCATTCCCTCCCTCGGCCCTAGACTTCCTCAAAGAGGCCCGATTTCTCGCCCATTTTGCTGTGCAAAAGTCACCGAGGCCTTCAACATTCATTTTGAATCTGTGCAAGACACAGCGAACTTGACTGTTCAATCGAACCCCCAAAACGACTCACTTGATACCGGAGATACCGGGCAGTGATCCCCATTCCTCGTCTCCGCATCCGCGATCGTCCTGCCACGCGAGACCAACCGTTCGGATCTAATCGCAAAGAGCGATAGGAATTCGCAGCCCCAACGATACCCAGACGGTCCTTCAGAAACTGCACGAAATCAACAAACCACATCGATTAACGGCACGCCCACGTCGATCGCAAAAGCCCCTGTACGTGTCGTGCGACACACTTGGTCCCTAATCCATCATGTCGACCATCACCCGCGCATTTACCAAGCGCAATAAGCGGCCGGAAGTGTCGGCGCCAATGCCATATCGAGGCGAAGGGCATGTGCGATTTAACTCGGGGTCTATTAAACGCAGCAACATCTCCGGCCCTGTCCAGTTGATATCCACCACCAACATGCTAGCCTACGACGCACCGGACCTTCGCTCGACCAATTCCTCATCCGCCTCATCATTCCGGTCGCGGGACGATTTCGATAGCGGTTCTCCGCATAGTTATTCTTCCTCCATCACCACCCCCGATGCGTCGCCACACGACTCTTCTCCTGTGGATGCGAATCCCGCCTCGTACTTCCCCAAGCGGTCCGTCACTGTGACAAGCCACCCGCGCTCCTCGACTACCTCGTCCTCATCCAACGATGCCCCACTGGTCCCCAAGCGGGCGCTGTCGCATACCAAGCGATCGCACCAAGAGCTGGCCCGCAAACGCTCCCAGCACCGGATGTCGCCACCACCGCTTAGCGCGCCGCGCAGCAATCCCACGATCCGCGCATCGCAAGATGTGTTCCTTCCCGAAACACATCCGTTCAGCAAGGAGCTCGAGCAGGTCAACGAGGTGGCCGAGGAGTTTGGCGCCGCTCATGTGATGGACGAAGAGGAGATGGTCTTGCATCGCAAGGGATTGAAGAAGTTCACTGTCGACGATTACCTCACTGAGATCGAGGATCTCTACGGCAGTATCTTTGACGATAGGCTGGGACCCATCAGTATGGGCCCCTGGCTGTGAACTCATTGATACGTGCCACCTGTCTCCTACTGCTCGGTGGATATTACTGCGCCCGGTTGATCCGGGGTCATCTGCTCGACGACGACTCTATTCCACGCGGACTTTGATGACAGAACTGGATTTTCCCTCGCAAACCCCGCTACGACTAACTCTTATTCCTTCCTTGACGACTCTCCGATTGTTTATTCCCCTGCTTTGCGCTATACCATGGGAGGAGCTCTGCAGTTCCTGTTTTCGGTCGTTCTTCTGGTTTTTTGTTATCCTTCTGCCGTGCCGCGGGTGGCTCTGCTTTCCCATGTAGGGCTATCTATAAATTGTTTGGATTTGCTGGATCTCCTATTATGGTTTCTCATGTAGGCGTGTATGACACTGGTGTATGCTAGATTGATCGTTGTTTTTTCACTCGAGATTCTATTTATACGTGGTGCTTTTCAATGCATGCTGTAAAATTGAGATCCCGTACTTTGCTCCCTGAAGCTTCTCAGTTTCCCCTATTATGGACCATGCAGTACTTGATTTTGCGAACTCCCAGTACAGTGAACCGTCAGAATAGCTTGGCTGCCTCTGGCGGCAGAACACGAAGAATGGTCTTATCCAATATTACCTAAAGTAGACTAGTGTACAGCTCACCGCTCAGTCACGGGTTCTCCGCAGCCCCACCGGCTTGCTAGGGAAATTTTTTCGCTCGAGCGTTCATTTCGATCATCTTGTTGAGCCTCGACACACCTCTGTCTGCATCCCTTTCATTGATTACGTGGCCGAGCGAATGCCTTTCACGGGTGCAGACCGATGCCTGTGGTCTGACCCCTCCAATCTGTAGCACTGTCTCAAAACTTGATATTCTGGACGGTCGTGTGCTGGGTTGCCTTTCAGCTCCACCACTGTCAACACATCGAGCTATCCTTCTGAGTTCCATCGGAGGTGCAGCCGGCAAATGTCACATTATCAGTGACCTTTTTAGAACCTATTGATCGCACTGTCTTCGTTCTGCAACCCAAACCCGGCCATGGTCTCCGTCGCCACTGTCTCTCAACCCTCGGCGCTCACGGCCACCCCCTACTTTCATCAATCAAAGATGATACCGTCCTCGTCTCCCGTATCTATCCTCAAGACCTCCAAGCCCACCGGCACGAAACGCAAAATGGCGGACGTCGACTTCAGCCTCTCCCCCGTTTCCTCCGTGTCGGATACCTTCGAGGACGCCCCTCCCTCGAAGAAACGCGCCCGCGTCACCTTCGACGAGAACATCCAGACCCATTCCTGGAACCAAAATGATCCGGCAAGCAAATCAGGAATCAGCTTAGCGATGGTTCGGGAGGAGGTCCGCCGAGCCATCCACCGTCATGTCTCATCGGGAGAAAGCGAAACCTACGACCAAATCAAGGAGATCTTCACTGCCGACCCGAAGAAGGCCGGTGACAGCCTCTACTCATACGATATCCCGACACATACATCCTTGAAACACCATCTGATGGGTCTTCTCTCTCACATCGCGTCCCTCGACCGTAACTGCAGCAGCCTTGTGCACGCCGTCCTGGAGAGCGAGTGGCTTGGCAGAGATGAACCGTATGTGAAACTGTTCATTCGGTTCCTCGGAAATCTTGCCGCTGCCCAAGGCACTTATCTCGGTGTTATCTTCAAGATGCTGGTCAGCAAGCTCGCTGGCGTCCCTCGGGGCACTGGTCGTCTACCTGGATACCCTGTGGTGCATGTCTCCGAGATTTACACCCGAGTCCACATGGCGCTGCGTCACATCACGCGGTTGATCCCAGCTGGAAGTGGTACTTTGTCGCCAGTCTTGTCTCACATGTTCCCCTTTGAAGCCGACCCTGCCAAGTCCTACATCGCATACACGCGAAACCTTCTTCAAATCATCAACTACGCCCCCGAACTTCAATCAGATATCCTCGCCCTCATAACTGAGAAGCTAGTCAAGATCGATGTCCAGATTCAGGTAGATTTAGAGGATTTCGAGGATGAGCTTGGCGAAGATCTCTTGCATGGTGTCTCCACCGATGCTGATGAAGAGCTGGATGACGACGATGTTTCCATCACCAGCGAAGATGAGGCGGATGATGACCGACGAGTCACCGAGATCAAGGAAAACATTCACAAGGTGGATGGCATGATTGATATTCTTTTCGAGTACTACAACTCTTCGTTTACAACGGGCACGCTTGCCGACAAGATCGGCAGCCTCGACCTTCTCATGAGCCACTTCCAGACCATCATCCTCCCGACATACCGGTCCCGCCACTCCCAATTCCTGCTTTTCCACTTCTCTCAATCACACCCAGACCTTCTCGACCATTTCACCGGTTGCTTCACTGAGCTGGTCTTCAACAAGCTTCAACCAGGTATCATGCGCCAATCCGCAGCCGCATACCTTGCCAGCTTCGTCGCTCGCGGCGCCCACATCTCCAGCGCTCTTGTGCGCGACGTGTTCAATCTCCTCACCGCGCAGCTGGAAGCCATGCACCATGACTACGAGGCTACTTGCCGCGGCCCCGACCTCCGCCGCTACGGTTCATTCTACTCCACCGCGCAAGCCGTGCTATATATCTTCTGCTTCCGCTGGCGTGATTTGACGACCGCTTCCATCGAGGGCGATAGCCCCGAGCAAGTGGACGAGCTGGAGCCAGGCCAGATCGCCTTCCCGCCCGCGATCAAAGATATGCTACACAAGGTGATCTACTCGCGCCTGAACCCGCTCAAGATTTGCTCTCCTGGTATCGTCACCGAGTTTGCTCGCATCGCAAATCACTTCCAGCTGCTTTACGTCTACCCCCTCCTTGAAACGAACAAGCGTCTCCGTGTCACTGCCTTCCGAAATATTTCCTCCCTCGCTAACCCTGGCTTCGCCCAGGTTGAGCGTGAGATCCGCGCTGGCGATCACCTCGGCTATCAGCTTGATGCATACTTCCCCTTCGACCCGTACCAGCTCCCACGCAGCCGCCGATGGCTGGAAGGTGACTACGTCGAGTGGCGCGGCATTCCAGGACTTGATACGGGTGATGACGACTCAGACAGCGGTGCCGATGATGACGGCGATGAAGACGATGATGCCGCCACAGCCACCGACGAGGAGTGAAGCCTTCCGCTCTCTCCTTTTCCATTCATCTATCTATTCAACCTATCCTGCCATAAGTTCCCACAATGGGATTGGCACGATCTATTTGCTGCACATTTGTTCTTTTTTTCAGCGCGGCGCCCGGGTTTGATTTCAATTTGGCATCTAAATGTCTCCCCGAAAAGTTCGATACCAATTCTTCCATGTCCCTGATGAATATTATATTGTGCTGTTGAGCGTGCATGGCATCTTACTGGAGCAATTCTTGTGCTTGATTGATTGCTTGTGCACGGGTTAGTCAACAACTTTAGCTCAAAAAAATGGAAAATGACTTCATACATCAACCGACCCGCCTTCGTAAGTTGCCTGCTTCTTCGACCAAGCAAGGAAATTACTACTGGCCAATAGTTATGTCATGGTCTGCAGATGGACGTGATGCATCAGCAGCCACAGTTTAACAATGTGTCAAGTCGATTGCCTTTGGGGAGACTTGCTGTCCAATTGATTGGGGAATCTTGAATCCAAATCAGTACCATCTCACACTCCCACCACTGGTACTTTTTGACGGACGTTTCGGAATCCTGTCCGAGGAAGAGAATGGCAAGACAATGAGTATACTCTGCACTACACGGAAGTACTCATACATAGCCCACGAATCATCGTACGTATGGTAGAGTTTCAACCGCGGCTTAAACGCATGACTTGGGACGCAGAATCTCAGCTTTTCAACATGCACAGTTTTTGATGATCACCGCGCCCACATCTCCACATCTTTCAAAGGGCAGGGAATCTTGCAGCAATGGGGTTGCATCTGTCACCTTGCCCGTCTGCCATGCTGTCTCGCTTGATCTGTATAATGTGGGCCCAAATCCTTGAGGTTCGAATCCAGATTGAGTAAACTACCAGACGATGCAACTACACAAAATACTTAAAAGGCAAAATACGTGGTGCTGTGTCCTTGCAAGGGCATCTAAATATCCTGCAACCAGCCATGTCGCAGAAGTCAATATCGAAACGAAACATGATCTTGCCGCATGATCTCATCACCAAATCAATATCTATGCCTGCAAGGAAGACTCTAATTCCGAAAGTAACCCGCAAGTAATCTACCTTTCTATCATTTTCCCCGCATCCAAACGATAGAAAACAAACGCAATGTTGACGAACTTCCACGTGCGGCTACGTTGAGCTTCCCGTGCCTTGTTTTCCACACGTCTTGGCACTATCAAGTTCCCACCCGCTCGAACGATGGGGCCCAGCCCGCGGGGGTAAGGAACCAACGTGTCAAGGTCGTTTATGACATCACCCGCCTAGGAACGGGAATTCTTTTTACTGCCTGTTCCAGACGCGGAACGTGAAGGACATTGCAGATCTGCCGGTCTCGAGCCCAGGGCCCTTGCTGCTGAATGTTGACTGTTGCGCCGGGGCTAGCCATTGCCGGCACGGCGAACCAGCCAATAATGGCTGTTGATGCGGTGGATTGGGGCACACACCTCTAGCGCGGCCCTGTGATCTGCTTCCTGGGTTAATCTGGCACGCCCTGTGTGCGTAGGGAGTGGGCTAAGCGAGAAGGGTGCAGGTGCAGTTGCGGCTACATTGTACGAAACTATGTCGCACAGCCCTATGTCGCACAGCTCGCATAGAACACGGCTCAAAGGAAGAAAATGAAGTTGTTGGCTCTCGGAATAAGCAACTAGGAATGCTTCATGTATTGAACAGCACATATGAGTGTCAAGGGTCGTGTACAAAACGCCGTGGATGCCCGCAGTCCGAACGCCAATCATGGAATGAAAACCCCCGCGCAGTGGTACAGAACATGCTTTCTAAAAGACAGGAAAAAGAGAGGGAAAGAGAATGAATCACCGATCGAAGATCGCTTTCATGTCCGCACATGCATCGCGGTAGAGGATGTCTATGTGGCCCTGGTCACGAAACGGGTTGGCGGATTTGTCCCACGCATGCCGGGCCTTTTCGACCATCATGGCCCGTACTCGCTTGCCCAAGCCCTCGAGGCGACGCACAAAGGTCTGGCCCTCGTTCATCAGCATGTCCCACTCACAGATGAACAGGAATACATCGTGAGGCAGAGCTTCATTGAGGATACGATCGGAGGCGCGCACCGGCGACGCAAAGGCCGAGTAGCGGTCCTCCAGATCAGGCAGATACGCTTCGTCAAAGAGGGAGGTGAAGAACTTAGGCAACGTCTTGTCCGGCATGATACTCATCGCCCGGCGATGGTCGCGCGACTCAAGAAAGTCCAGGATCGGGTACCAGCAGAACAGCGCCACGATGTTGAGGTCGCTGGTTTGATCGACCAGCCGCTGCGTCGATTCCGCCCGGCCAAAGTGCTCATTGACTTCTGTCGAGATTCGGCCACGCAGACGCAGCGGCACGGTGACGGCCAGGTTACCACCGGCCGAGAACCCGCTCAATGCCACGCGGCTGACATCCAGGGCTAATTCAGCGGCATGCGCTGCCAGGAACAGCAGCGCTTCAACGCCGTCGTCAACTGCTGCCGGGAAGGGGTGCTCCGGTGCCCGCCGGTAGCTCACACTAGCCACCACCGCGCCGACATGCTCGACGACGGCGGCCGCCCAGCGGCCATCGTCAGTGGCGCTCCCCAATGTGAAGCCTCCGCCGTGGAAGTTGACTGCGACTGGGTAGCGATGGCCCAGGCGGCGTTGTTGGTAGTAATCTGGGGGGCAATAAAAGTGGATGACCACGGAGTGGCCGTGGGTGTCCGATTTGACGATGCGGGTGAATAACGGTTTGGGTGGTCGAGGCGGCAAGCTAGTGTGCAGGAACATGCCGATGCGCATGAGGAATCGCCAAAAGACGGCCTGCACGTAAAGCCACCAACGCGAGGAGGTCATTTTGGGGCAATCGGATAGTCGGTACACTCGGTGTACCTGGCGGACTGACAGGTGACAGGTCTGTTCCAGGCAAGATGTCGGTCGGTCGGAGCGTCGGCGTCCGGGAATGGCCGGGGAATTTGAGTGATTTGGGGAAGGTCCGATCAGAGCAAGAAGAAAAGGACTGAGAGGGAGGGGGTGGAGAGAAGTGCAGAATAAAGACAAACAGGGGAACACAGGAACGGCGCAATTGAAGAAAGAGAGAAAAGGAAAGTGCCCAGGCCCCGAGATAAGTGAAAGTAGTGAAGATGAGTGTCAGTGTCAGTCCGCCGTAGCAAAAGCAGAAAGGCGTCGTAATGGTCCAGCTCCGTGTGGATTATGGACACCTCAGGCTGCCAGCTATACATAGGCTACCGGAGTTCACAGGGGGAAACCCACGGATTCAATTGATTCTCCAGGGCTGATTCTTTCTAGTTGACTCTGCTACTTTCCTACGCTTCAAAGATGCCACTAATAGGCCTTTGGTTATCTGCGACGTGCGACTGGCTTACGGAACCCACCGTGACGGGGATATCACGATTAAAGTATAAAAGTACGAGAGGATGGACCGAGGTCATTGGCAAAACCCATACGGGTTAGTTAGTCTCTTAAGCCAGTCCCTAGAAGGAAAACAAGCATACCAAGAAACCAGGATCCGGGCATTGCACGGCCTAGCGACGACTTTCCAGGTCCGTAGGGCTCCAACAATCCGGAAACCGGGGTTCCCGCCATGATGTCATGTCTCGATCCTGAATATGGGACGAGACTGCGACTGTGTTTCGATTGTGCTGCTCCGTCTACTACTCTATCATATTTATAGCCTCATTTAACCCTTCCGTCCACATCCGGAGTCCCTTTTGTATTCCTACCAGGTCGAGACTCGGAGAACCAGCGCTTCGCACTTCCTGAACTTTATCGTTGAACAACTTGAAAAAAAAGTATAAAAAAAAAAGGGCGCCAAAGTATCACTCGCAGGGCCCCTCCCCCCACTGGCCCGGCCGCTCCGCGCAATACGAAACACCCCTCCGATCTACTCCCGTCACTTCCGCTCACCAAATTCAAACCCTCCTCTGCTTACTTTTACTCCTTCCTCCGCCCTTTACTTCCCCCTTCCCAACATCAACCCCGTCGCATGCTTCTGAAATCAGAGGCAATTGCCCACCATGTCAATTAAACGGGCCCTCTCCAAGGCCATCCGCGGGCACATCAATGACGATGACGACTCCGGCTCTCACATTCGCTCGTCCCTCAATCCCAAGCCGCGCACCTCAACCTCCCGAGATGGTCATCATCCCCATTCCCCCACCGCCTCTCCTCGTCGCAGCATTCTAGGCAGCTTTTTCCGCGAGAAGGACTATGTCTCCTCCTCTGAGGACTTTTCCGACGATTCGTCGTCCACCGGCGCCCTGAGCAAGAACCAGCAGAAACGATTGATCCGCCAGCAGCGCCGGAATGAGCGTTCCCGCCTCAGTGAGGAGCAGTTCTCCGAGTCGGACCACCGACGCAAAGAGGAGGAGATTGCCAAGGCGGCGGCTGAAGAGACGCCAGAGATGAAGGCTCGATACGGCGAGCTGCCGCTGATGCAGTCGCAGAACCGACTGCGTGAGGAGCGGGTCGCTCTCGACGATATTACTGCCGCCATGGAGGGGCAGGAGATTTATTTCACGGCGCGCCTGCACGTTGTCCGCCGCATGAGTGCGAAGCTGGTCTTCCTCGTGTTCCGCCAGCAGCTGTGCACCTTCCAGGGTGTGCTGCATGAGCGCGCCGGCATGACTTCCATTGCCATGGTCCAATGGGCAGAACACCTGCGTGTGGGCTCCTTCATCCGCGTCCGCGGCAAGATCCAGAAGCCCGAGGTGCCCGTCCTGGGCTGCAGTATCCACGATGTCGAGCTGGCCATCGACTCCGTGCATCTCCTCGTCAAGCGCGAGGAGCCCGTGCCGTTCAGCGTGTACGAGGCGGAGATCCGTACCACCGAGGAGGAAAAGGTCGAGGGCCGCCGCAGTCATATCCCCGACCGCACCCGTCTCACCAACCGCTTGCTGGACCTACGCACCGCGACCTCCCAGTCCATCTTCCGGCTGCAGTCGGCAACGTGCAATCTCTTCCGTAGCGCCCTAGACGAGCGAGGGTTCATCGAAATCCACACTCCCAAGCTGCAGGGTGCTGCCACCGAGTCGGGCGCCAGTGTCTTCCAGGTCAATTACTTTGGCCGCCCGGCTTTCCTGGCCCAGTCCCCGCAGCTGGCCAAGCAGATGGCTATTGCGGCCGACTTTGGTCGTGTGTATGAGATTGGTGCGGTGTTCCGTGCCGAAAACTCCAACACTCATCGTCACTTGACTGAGTACACTGGGCTGGATATCGAGATGGCCATCGAGGAACACTACCACGAAATGCTCGAGACCCTGGATGCCACGATCAAGAATATCCTTAGCGGCGTCTATGGCAAGTACCGCCGGGAGATCAACATGGTCAAGAACCAGTTTCCATGCGAGGACGTCGTGTGGTTGGAGGAGACGCCTATCATTCGCTTCTCTGATGGCATTCAGATGCTGAACGACTCAGGGTGGCGGGATGAGGACGGCAAGCCTCTGCCCTTGGATGAGGACTTGGCCACTCGTGATGAGATTCGCCTGGGCGAGCTGGTCAAGGAGAAGTATGGCACCGACTACTACGTCCTCGACAAGTTTCCTCGTGGGGCCCGCCCCTTCTACACAATGCCAGATCCCGAAGATGACAAATTTACCAACTCGTTCGACATGTTCATCCGCGGCCAGGAGATTGTATCCGGTGGCCAACGTATCCATGACCCGCACATGCTCGAGGAAAATATGCGCAAGTCGGGCGTCAACCCCGACGACATGGAGGAGTACCTGGAGGCTTTCCGCTGGGGTGCTCCGCCCCATGCCGGTGCCGGTGTTGGGCTGGAGCGTCTGCTGATGCTTCTGCTCCAGGTGGGCAACATTCGTCTCACCTCGCTCTTCTACCGTGACCCGAAGAGCTTGCCTGCCAGGCCTCCTGTCCAACAGCTGCGCCACCCCGAGGCTTCCACCGTCGATCCACCTTGGCATCGGGACCACGCTCGCGTGGCTACAGATCTCAGTGAGCTGCAGCCGCTGGAGAAGCTAATTGCCAACTATGGTGACGCCACGTCCACCTCCTGGTTTGATGAACGGTTCAAAGTCTGGCGCGATATGACCACCGGTGCAGCCGTGGCCTATGTGCCCAGCACCAGCAACTATGCCATCATTCCGGGTAACCCCGTGTGTGATCCCTCTCAGTACACCCGTACCATCACCCAGTTCTTGCAGTGGCTGCGGCGGGATACCAAATACAAGCCAGTCTGGATCCTCTGCTCTCCCGAGGTTGAGACTATCCTCGGTGAACGCCTTGGATGGCGTAGCTTGTCCTGCATTGCCGAAGAGCGTGTTGAGCCGTCTCGCAACCAGGCTGCGTCGGACGGCGAGATTGCCCGCAAACTGCGCCGTGCTGAGACGGAAGGTATTAAGGTCATCTCGCTCAACCAGGGTGAGCTGCCCTCCGAGGAGATCCGCAAGAAGATCGACGAGCGCATTGCCGAATGGCTCGGCAACCGCAAGGGCACCCAAGTGCACCTATCCGAGATCCGCCCGTGGTGCGACTCCGAGCACCGCTGGTACTTCTACGCGCTCGACAAGAACGGCGTCATCTGTGCCTTCGTCGCGCTCGCCATGCTGTCGCCTGCGCATGGCATGCAAGTCAAGTACAGCTTGGACTTCCCGAACTCGCCCAGCGGTGTCATCGAGTACATCGTTACGCAGGCCATCCAGACCGCCTCCAAGGGTGGCGTCAAGGGTCTGACCTTCGGTGCTGGTGCCACTAGCCAGCTTACCCCCGGCCATAACCTGCACGGCGCCAAGATCAAGATGCTGGAGCGCACCTACGAGGCGCTGGCTAAGCAGTTCCATCTTGTGCGCAAGAGCGAGTTCCGTGCCAAGCTGGGTGCTACCGAGGAGCCGCTTTACATCGCCTACCCAGCCCACGGCCTCGGGTCGAAGGGTATCCGCGCTGTACTCAATTTCTTCGAGGATTAAGACCTTTGCTTCTCAGTTGAATGTTTCGGGTAACACCTCGAAGAAGCTACGATCTCACGGCAATTTATGACTGTATTTCTCTTGGCCGATCTTAAGTGGATTTTATTGGTATTATTTGGATATGCTTGGGGCTATGCTCATTATAGAGAAGGGCAGGCAGGGAAAATAATGAAAAAGATGGCTATCACAAGAGTAAGAAGAAAGGATGGGGATGATTGAGTCCAGCTTGCCCAGCCTTGAAGTTCGCATGGACTGTTTCGTCAACTTGATTCTTGCTGTCATTTGGTACAGCCACGCTCATATTTTACAGTTGCACAATGCTTGGTTGACATATTCCCCCTCCTGTACCTGCCCGTCGCATGTATCTCCCCTTGGCTTAATGGCGTTATCTAAATGTGTATTTATTGTTGTTGATGGAATGGCATACATGGCTTGTTCAATTACCGTGGTGCAAACTTATGCGTAGGACTTGGTCCGATTCCGGCCACCGTCATCCTTCACAATGGACAGATGAACGTTGGGAAATCGAACCATCCATTGGAGTGATTCATGCCCTATAATATACAGTACCGAAATAAAACACAGGATCCCACCGACCAGCCCATAATCGTACAGGACAACAACATCTCCCACGAGATACAACTACCTCTCCTTCTTATCCCCCTGCACATCCCGTTCCTGCCTCGCATCCTCAATGACCCTTCCAAACTCACCAACAACCCACCGGGCAACCACAGCTGCAACAACCGCCACGGCGACAATCCACCCCGCAGTCGGCACCAAGGACCGCGGGAACAAATTCCACAAGAATGGATCAAGGATTAAGTCGACTGTGACGGGCGGTACATCACGCATCAACGCCTCGTCGGTGCTAAAGTAGTCCGCCGCCGCGCGCACGCGCAGGAATAAGATCGAGTCCGTGGTCGGCGCGGGATCTATCCCGTCCTTGCTGCTGCGGCCACTGGCGCGGCGAGGGATGGAATTGGCTTGAAGCCGTGCATCTAGTGCTGCGAGCCGCGCTGTGGCGTAGACGCTAAGTGAGGAGAGGAATGTCGAGTCCTCGATTGTGGCGGCGAGGGGGTGTGTTGTTAGTGTGAAGGCAGTAGGTTGCTAATGTTGTTGTCAGATGGCACTGTCTACTGAAAGTATTCAACAGCACTGGAATGCTGGGATGGAGGATCATACCGTCGCCAGCCAGCAGACGCGGACTTCATATCGCTGTCCGGGCGTCAGGTTTTCCAAGAAGAACCACGAGTCAGTCCCCTCAGGGGCCTCGGCCGTTGGAAACGACGCGTTCAATTGGGTCCTCACGACTGAGCTCTGCGGGGAGAGTCGTTCCAGGCCTAGATCGTCGAAATCTGGCTCTTCTGATGGGATTGTTGCTGCGGGCGGTGCCAGGAAGATGGTCTTCTCAACGTTGGCCTGGACGAGGCCGGCGAAGAGCGGGAGGAGCATCCCCAGGAGGGCGAGGATGAAATAGTGCATGCTTGTGAGGGAAAATATGTTTACACTGGTGATGGCATGAATGGTATGTAGGTAATCAATCCGACGTTGGCTTTATTCCCCGGTCATCCTGGTGGTCTTGATATATGCCCCTCCTATCACAGTGCCGCAGTGGATATATATTCGGGCCGGATGTAGTTGGCTTTAGTGTCTATCAGCGACTTGGCGGTGAAGGACTTGGGTTACTGGACAAGGTGGTGGGGGAGATGCATAGAAAAGCACACGGCAGACCAGAAACGTCTGGAATTGACCCCCATGAATATAGGTCTTTCCGAAACAAAAAAAAGAATAGTTCTGATTCCGTATTACTTGTAAAATAGGTTAGTGAATTAACTTCATGGCAGGACTGCCTCCCCTCCTCACCCGTCACCTGACGCTCACGGGACCAGCAAAAGGCGGTGAGGCACGACCAACTCGACCTCCGGCGAGCCAATCAGCAGGAGCGACGCGACCCAGCGAACGGATCAACAACGAACTCCCCCCCTGCGCAGCACAGACGCCCTCCTCCACAACATTTCTGCTCTTCTTTCTTTCTCGACTCGAGAAGAGAGATTCCATTCCTCCCATTCCTGGTGAGTCCATCCCCCCTGCCTTTCATCTTTCCCCTCCTATTCCCCCTCCCTTGGTGTCCGCGTGGTCGATCTCAATTGACACTAACCCCCTGAAACTTGCCAGACCCCGTGTTTGTTGTTGGGTCCTTCCTCCCCCTCCTTATTTTTTGCACCTTCAAAACAACCCACCCAACACAATGAGAGAAATTATCAGCTTGAACGGTACGTGCAGCATCGAAGACGGCTTTCGTCGTCGCGGTCGACGATTTGATGGAAAATGGACGCGCTAACATGTGTTGTGACCACAGTCGGCCAGGCCGGTTGCCAGATCGCCAACTCCTGCTGGGAGGTAAATTCATCCCGCATCCTCCATTGTGGCGGCAGAGAACAGTGAACTGACTTGACAATCGTATAGCTGTACTGTCTGGAGCACGGTATCCAGGTATGTGGAAATTTCAATCTCGTCGTGGCGCCTGATGTCCACTCGGGCAGCGTGACCCCCTTTTCTGCTGCCGGGAAGCGAGTACCCGCGACTAACGCTATTGATAGCCCGATGGTTACCTCACCGATGAGCGCAAGAAGGCCGACCCCGACCATGGCTTCAGCACTTTCTTCTCCGAGACTGGTATGTGAATTCAACTAATTCATTTCTTTTTTGGGAGAAGGCGGGAAAACGGCTGTTATGGCTATTACCCCCCTCATTCCCCTCCCCGCCCTGGGAATTGTCCGAAACGTTCTGGCATCGTTCTCCTAACATTCTTCCCCCACTCTTTACAGGCCAGGGCCGCTACGTTCCTCGCACCATCTACTGTGATCTCGAACCCAATGTCGTCGATGAGGTCCGCACTGGTACCTACCGCTCGCTCTTCCACCCCGAGCAGATGATCACTGGCAAGGAGGATGCCTCCAACAACTACGCTCGTGGCCACTACACCGTTGGCAAGGAGATGATCGACCAGGTCCTTGACAAGGTCCGCCGCGTTGCCGACTCCTGCGCTGGTCTCCAGGGCTTCCTGGTCTTCCACTCCTTCGGTGGTGGTACCGGCTCTGGTTTCGGTGCCCTCCTGATGGAGCGCCTGTCCGTCGACTACGGCAAGAAGTCCAAGCTGGAGTTCTGTGTCTACCCTGCCCCCCAGAATGCCAGCTCCGTTGTTGAGCCCTACAACTCCATCCTGACCACCCACACCACCCTGGAGCACTCCGACTGCTCCTTCATGGTCGATAACGAGGCCATCTACGACATCTGCCGCCGTAACCTCGGCATTGAGCGCCCCAGCCTCGAGAACCTCAACCGCCTGATTGCTCAGGTCGTCTCGTCCATCACTGCCTCGCTCCGCTTCGACGGCTCCCTGAACGTCGACCTGAACGAGTTCCAGACCAACCTGGTCCCCTACCCCCGTATCCACTTCCCTCTGGTCGCTTACTCGCCCGTCATCTCTGCCGACAAGGCCTCCCACGAGGCCAACTCGGTCACTGAGATCACCTCCAACTGCTTCGAGCCCAACAACCAGATGGTCAAGTGTGACCCCCGCAACGGCAAGTACATGGCCACCTGCCTGCTGTACCGTGGTGACGTCGTGCCCAAGGACGCTCACAGTGCTGTCGCTACCCTGAAGACCAAGCGCACCATCCAGTTCGTCGACTGGTGCCCTACTGGCTTCAAGCTCGGTATCTGCTACCAGCCTCCCGCGCAGGTCCCCAACGGAGACCTCGCCAACCTCAGCCGCGCTGTGTAAGTTTCAATTCTCTCCTTTCATGGAATCATATTTCATATAATCTTCCTTCTGGTGGAGATATCTAATGGTCTTTATAGCTGCATGCTGTCCAACACCACCGCCATCGCCGAGGCCTGGTCCGCTCTCGACCACAAGTTCGACCTCATGTACTCCAAGCGCGCCTTCGTTCACTGGTACGTTGGTGAGGGTATGGAGGAGGGTGAGTTCTCTGAGGCTCGTGAGGATCTCGCTGCCCTGGAGCGTGATTACGAGGAGGTCGCCAGCGACTCGCTTGAGGAGGAGGAGCTGGAGCCCGAGTACTAGATTGAGTATGCTGTCTAACCGTATCTGGAGGATGGGGTTTGGTTTCTGCCGTGTGCTTGGGACACAAACTCCGACCTTTGCGTCTCGGTTTTCCTGGCCTTCCTACATCTATCGGGCTTCTTGCAAATAGAAGGGAACATAGGTTTCAGTCCGACGATGTTTTCTGGCTTTGTTGTTCGATATATCTTTAATATCCCCGAAGCAGCGATAAGTTTTTCCGCTCGTTCCTATCTGTTTTTTACTTTCTTTCTTTCCTGTGATGCTTGTAATTAAAAGCACTCCAAACATAACGGCCCTCATGCTTTTAGCCTCGTACGCACTTTTTGCCCCGTGTTCGATCATGGCCGGGTAGGTTGTATTGACACTCAAGACAATCCGGGGCATCCGCTCCAGGGCGCGCTTCATCCCCATATCCTGTCAGCAGAAGCGGACCTCTTCCCCATAGGTTATAGGCCAATTGAGTATCTCATAGGCTTAAGAGTTGACTTCAACAGTCTCGTATCAAATTAATCATAACCAAGGATTTACCCGAGTAAAATAGATCCTAGTACAGCAGAGACCCTAGGGAGACCCTAAACTGACCGGGTAGAATAGGCGCCAAATTAACTAACCGCCTTAGGGGCCTTTCCTTACGACATCGACTTTAGCCTAGCCACTCCGTATTAGATCCTTTTAATTCTACCCGCGAAAGTCGCTCTTTCCCCCTGCAGCCCGAGAGTCGCTTGCCCTGCATTGGCTGCGTCCGCCGGGTAGGTTATATTAATACTTAAGATACTCCGGGGTATCCGTTCTAGGGCTGCGCTTTAACCCTATATCCTATTAGTAGAAGCGGACCTCTTCCCTATAGGTTATAGGCTAATTGAGTGTCTTATAGGCTTAAGAGTTAACTTTAATAGTCTCGTGTCAAATTAATCATAACTAAGGATTTACCCGAGTAAACTAGATCCTGGTATAGCAGAGACCCTAGGGAGACTCTGAACTGACCGGGTGGAATGGGCGCCAAATTGACTGACCGCCTTAGGGGCCTTTCCTTACGACATCGACTCTAGCCCAGCCACTCCGTATTAAATCCCCCCAATTCCACCCGCGAAAGTCGCTCTTTCCCCCTGCAGCTCGAGAGTCGCTTGCCCTGCATTGGCTGCGTCTCCTCCACCACCAGAAGCTGCGCTTGGTCCAATCTATGCCCGTGGCCTCCTCCGGCTAAGCTGACGGCTTCTCCATTCCTCCACCTTTACCTCCCCCCCAAGGCCCCCAACACTCCGGATCCCATCTGGAACCGAGAGGGCACCCGCTCCTCTCAACAACACACAGCCATGGCTGATACTCGTGAGTTACTCATCGTTCCTGATCGTTTATGGAGATGGCAAACGCTCCTGCAGCTCCGGCGCAGCCCAGGAGGGCTGCCGCGAGCTCCGCTTCCCATCACCCCCTCTCGCGCAACGTTCTCTCCGTATAGCCTGCACCCCGGACACGGGACTGATTATTGCCTATCTTGCAGCACAACGACACCCGAACCTGAATCTTACCGCGGAGGAAAAGCGCGTTTTCTACCAGCTCTTTCAGGTTGCGGATACTACCAACCTGGGCGTAATTACCGGCGAGATCGCTGTGCCGTTCTTCGAGAAGACACATCTTCCCTCGGGTACCCTTGGAGAGGTATGTCTTCTGCGTGGCGACAGAGTGGCTGGAATCGTGATGACTGACGTTTGCTTCCGTGGCTTTTCAGATCTGGCAGATCGCGGACAAAGAGAACAGGGGTCTTTTGACTCCCTCTGGATTTGGGATCGTACTTCGATTGATTGGACATGCACAGGCTGGGCGCACACCATCCGACGAGCTGGCTTTGCAGCGTGAGTAATCCCGACACATGCGCGACAGCTGTTAGACGCAGGTATACCGGTGCCTTGTGCTAACTCTACTCTCTTTTCTGCTCATAGCCGGCCCCCTACCTCGATTCGAAGGCGTTGTAGTAGACAACACACCCGCTCCCCCAGAATCTGGTGCTGCGAGCACCCCCCAGGCACGGGTGCGCCCATTCGAGTGCCGCCCCTTCAACCCGAAGATGCTCACAAATTCCTCTCGTTGTTTGAGAAGTCAGATGTCTCGAATGGAATGATTTCTGGTATGAAATTGCCGTCGCTGCTGGTCCATATGTTGACTCTTGATCTCTAACCGATTGATTTGATAGGCGAGATCGCAAAACAAATCTTCGAACGTGCGAGACTACCCAACGAAGTCTTAGGTCGGATATGGAATCTTGCGGACACAAAGCAGCGTGGAGCTCTCGATGGCACTGATTTCATCATTGCTATGCACCTCCTGACATCCTTCAAGTCCGGCGCTCTCCGTGGCATTCCCCAAACACTCCCCCCAGGCCTATACGATGCTGCAGCTCGCCGAGGATCCGGGAGAGGATCTTTTGGCGCCCGTGCGGATGTGCCCCCCGTTCCGTCGATCCCTAAGCAGTTTACTGGTCCCCAGCGTACGAGCAGCCCGATGAGCCCTACCACTGGTCGACCAGCATTTGGTGGCCCACTTTCGGCCCAGTCGACTGGCGACTGGCTCATATCCCCCCAGGAGAAGGCGCATTTCGATGGCATCTTCGAGACTGTTGATACCTCCAGGGCTGGACTGATTACTGGTGACCAGGCTGTTGCCTTTTTCATGAAGGCTCAGCTGTCTGAAGAGGTCCTTGCGCAGATTTGGGACCTTGCTGATATCGATGCTGATGGCCAGCTCAACCGCGACGAGTTTGCTGTGGCAATGTACCTCGTGAGGCTTCAGCGTAGCGGAAAGGACCCTCTCCCGCTAGTGCTCCCCCCAGCCTTGATTCCGCCCTCCATGCGCCGGCAGGCTCCTATCCCTGCTGTCGCAACTGCACCTGCACCGGCTCCTGCTCCTGCTCCAGTGCCGCGATCTGCTGCGGATGATCTATTTGGCCTTGATTCTCCTGCGCCTCCAGTCGCCCAGACTCAGTTCCCTCAGTCTACTGGGGGCTCCAATGCTGCATTCCACACACCTAGTTCCCCTGCCTCCCGAGCTTCTCCGCCCATGGGATCGTCAACATTCAGGCCTTTCATTCCGACCTCGACTTTCGGCCAGAGCTTGCAGCCTCAAGCAACAGGCGCATCCGCAGGAACGCCGATCGCTGCCCGTTCTCCCCCGCCTCCGCCTGATGATCTGCTAGGAGACAATGATCCCGAGGAGTCAAAAAAGCTTACTCAGGAGACTAGTGATCTTGCCAACTTGTCTAACCAGATTGGGTCTTTGGCGAAGGAGATGCATACCGTGCAAGAGAAGCGCACCTCAGCTGAACAGAACCTTTCGCAGACCTCGCAGCAGAAGCGTGATTTTGAGGCGCGCCTTGCACAGGCGCGTGCTATGTATGAGCAGGAGGTGACAAACTTCAAGGCTCTCGAGGAGCGTCTCAAGGCTTCCCAGGCTGAGACCACGAAGCTGCAGCAGGATTATGCTTTGATTGAGGGTAGCCGCCAGGACCTGCAAAACCAGTACACCCAAGTTTCGGCCGCCCTGGCTGCCGATCAGCAAGAGAATGCAAGTCTGAAGGAGAAGATCCGCCAGGCCAATGCAGAGGTTGCTCAGCTCAAGCCGGCGCTGGAGAAAGCCCGGTCTGATGCTCGCCAGCAGAAGGGCCTTGTTGCAATCAACAAAAAGCAGCTTGTCACCGTCGAGGGTGAGCGTGATAAGATCCAAGGCGAGATGGACAGCCTTGCCAGGGACACTCCCCAGTACACGGAGGATTCTGGTACTCCCGTTAGCGCCGCTGCCGAGATCGCCAGCCCTGCTGTCTCTACTGCTAGCCAGAACACGAACCCGTTCTTCCGACGGACCGCGACTGGCAGCTCGAGCGAGCGTGCTCTGTCTCCTCCTCCTACGAACGACCACCAAAAGGCGTTCGATAGCCTCTTTGGCCAGTCTTTTGCCGCTCCCTTAGCAGCTGGCCCACCCTTTACCTCTTTCCGTGCCGAGTCGCCGCAGGCCATCACCAAGTCTCCCGTTACCTCCAATCTCCCAACTCCGTCTGTATCCCCGCCCCCTGGTTCTCTGCCTGGCGCTTTCCCTGGCCTCGCGTCTGAGATTCCGCCCCCTGGCTTTCTGCCTGGCGCTTTCCCTGGCCTCGCGTCTGAGATTCCGCCCCCTAGCCAGTCCCGCCAACTCACCCCAAACTTTCTCCCATTCGGTGAGGCCCGGTCTGTCACCTCGTCTACTATGGTTTCCCCGCCCGGTAGCCGATTTGGTGGTCCTGATGGTTCGGGCCTTGGAACCCCATCGCAGGTTGCTAGTGACCAGGGTGGGCCACCCTCCTTAACCGCATCCAGCGAGTACAGCCGTGCTCCGACTTCGACTATTGAAGGTACTCCCACTCATTCGCCGTTTGAGGAGATTCCGACTGCATCCGAAACGGTGGCCGCGGCACCTGCGATTGCGCCCATTGAGCAGGCCACGTCTGCGATTTCCCCGACTTCCACCGGGAACCAGGAGACGGCGAAGGACTTGTCTTTTGACGAGCTGTTTGGGAGCAAGGCCCACAAGCGATCTGAGTCTCAGAAGGAGAATGACTTCGAGGAGGCGTTCGCTACTATGGGCCTTCCTGGGGCTGAGAAGACTAATGGTGCTGCTGCTGCTGCTACCCCGTCGGAGTTCCCTCCTATTCAGGAGTTGCACCACGAGGAGGATGAGGACGAGAGCTCGGATGACGAGGGCCCTCTGGGCTTCGATGATAACTTCACTCCTGTCTCGCCCACAACGACTAAGAAAGAGAAGCAGTCCGACTCCATCGACGCTGCTCAACTTGCTGCTTTCCCCGCCCCGGGCACGGCCCAGCCGCCAGCAGCGGATGCTCAGGTGAGCCCTCCTAAGTATGATGACAGCATCGCCAATGATGATACCCACATGCCCCCGGAGTTTGATGGTCTGTTGCCAGAGCGTGCCGACCCCACCGTTGCTCCAGATGCTCCCCACTCAGTCGAATCCAGCACTGGTGCACCCGTGATTGCCAACGAGCCTCAACGGGACTCGGTCTCAGAAGCCGTTCCAGCACCTGCTCGTGGGGCAAAGACGGGCGGACCCGATTTCGAGGCCGCCTTTGCTGGACTTGATCTTGCCCCTGCGACGGAAGCAGAGGACGACGAAGACGACGAGGATGAGCCCGAGAGCCATGAGAAGAAGAACACCTCGGACTTTGACTTCTCGTTCGACTCACCTTCCCAGAACAAGCACGGTGCTTCCTCCAGCAGCGATGCTGGCCAGGCTGGATCCTCTGATTTTTTCTCGTTCGATAATAATGTCCAAGCTGCGACCACCCAGCCTGCCATTTCCCCAAACGGAGGCAACTCCAAGGCTGCAGGCCATGACTGGGACGCACTCTTTGCTCCACTCGACGGTGCCAAGCCCGCCGCGGACCAGACTGCCAATGGCGCGAGCTCCAAGCCCCCCGGCTGGGCTCTCAACACCGACTCTGGCGAAGATGACCTGATCCTGCAGCGATTGACGGGCATGGGCTTCCCTCGCGACGACTCGCTCGCAGCCTTGGAGAAGTTCGATTACAACCTGGATAAGGTGAAACAACCCGTGACTATATCACGGTTTTAATCTATAACTAACTCTGTTTCAGGCCGCGGACTACTTGACCTCGAAGCCCTGACCTTATATTTCCACTCTGACCGACCTGTTTCTTTCTCCCTTGCACATATCATCCACACATAGCTCTCTTTTGCCGTGATGTCTTTCCTTTATGACCTGTGTCTTCACTTTTCCTTTTTCGTCCCTGTTTTTGCGCTGTGACAGAGGTCTGCATCTCTGCAGCCCGTTTTCTCGCATCCTTCTCCCTGTCCCCTTCAGCGTCGTGTACATCTTTCCTTTCCTCCCCTGAGATTTCGTCATCATGCTGCGCCACCACCGATCTCATTTGGATTCATTCATTCTTCGCGACCGAGAGCACGTTGCTCTTGATATGCGCTGGCATCGAGCCTTGACATTTTATGTTCCGTGTGTCTGTTCCCCCCTCCTCCTCCGGGTGTCCTGCAGTGTATTGTAGTTTACGATAACCCATAATTGACTTCATTTCATGAAATGTGCGTGAGCATTGAGATCGTAGATCGTATAGGATGATGATGATGATGAATTCATTCTATTACTAATAAAGAGATAAAGACCTTTCTAGATAATATAGAGACCTAGGACTATTAGTACCTAAGAGGCCTCTCGCTACTATAGCCTAGGAGACTTCTATAGGCTATATATGTGAAGGGCTGTAGCCAGTCTGATTCAAACTAAGCTAGGCCTCATGCTGTCTATAAGAAGCATAAGGAGAGGAATAAGATATTAGCTAGGTAGGTAGGTATTAGTCTGGATTATGAAATACATTTCTATGAAATGCGCATTAGTCCTATTGCAACAGTAAACTTCTTACTCCGCCTTTCCCTCTGTTCGAACTTGTGCCTCCTGCTCTGTCCCACAGTCTCTGCTAGGTTCATTGTTTCTATCATCATTCTTCGCCTTTAAACTTTTCCAATCATACAGCAAAGCACCTAAACTCGAGATAGTTGCTAATATCATACCAACCCGGAGAGCGCTTTTGATTGCTGGGGCGTAGGCCGCCTGTAGTTCTGGTGATGTCTGAGCAGAGCCCGCGTATGCGCTATCGAGAACGCTTTGAGGATCCAGGTTCGGGGCGATCTTTTTCAGTACTTTGCTGATATTTGCTAGGAAGACAGTCTGCGCCACTGACACAAACAAGGCCCCACCAAATGTTTGTGCGAAGAAGACGATGCCAACGCCAATTGCTACATCCTTTTCGGGGAGGGTTGTCTGCACCATATAGATTCCTTGTTCCTCTCCGAAACCAATTCCGGCTCCACACAAAATCTGGAATCCGATCCATGTAGCCCGCGAGGTGAGATGAGGTTGGACAGTCGTAAGCAGGCCAGTACCGATCGACATAAGGATTGAGCCGGCGTAGACGAAAGGTGTGTAGTATCCCGTTGCAGCGGTCCCAAAGCCAGCGAACATGAATCCGCCGACGACACTGAGCATAAATGGGATAGATAGGATTGCAGATTCAACTGCAGAGACACCGTTGACCAGTTGAAACCACAGCGCTTAAGAGTCTTGATTAGAAATTATTCTGCCACCCTGATTCATTGGGCACTCACGTATGTAGTAAACATTGACCTAGTACGATGGTAATGTCTGTCTTAGCAGGATCCAGTGCGAAGTCTGTGTTAGGAATACATACAAAGAACACGCCTCCGAGGCAGATACCAAATAAGATAGCGGCACCTATACTTCGCCTGCGGAGCAAGCGTAAAGGAATAATGGCATTATCCTTCTTCCAGCGTTCGATGCCGTAGAACGAGCAAAACAAAACACCCGCGAGGGTGAGCAGGGCGACGATGCGGGCGTTGTCCCATGCATATGTGGTGCCGCCCCATGATAGTGCTAAGAGAAGACAGACTGTTGCTGCCACAAAAGCGCAGGTACCAGCCAAGTCGAAGCGCTCGATCAGGCCGCGGAGCCCGACCGGCCTGGGGGATTTGTCGGTACCACGACTTCCATCATAGAAAAAGATGGTAAAGACCATGACTGCGCCTCCGAGGGGAAGATTGATGTAGAAACACCACCGCCATGTTGTTGAATCCGAAAAGGCTCCTCCCTGCACCAGGTGTCAATCAATGCCATGAATTGGTTGCTAATCGGGGGTATCATCTCGTACCAGTAACGGTCCAACCACACTTCCAACTGCAAACATGCTGCCGACGATGCCGTTCCATGTCGGTCGTTGGCGTAGCGGCACACTCTCCGCAAGAACCAGAGTGGTGCCTGCTTGTATACCGGCCGACCCGAGGCCTGCCAATGCCCGTCCCCCAATGAACACATGAGAACTCGATGCGGTCGCACAAACCACACTCCCAATCTCGAAAATGAGCAAGGCTGCTAGGAAAACATTTTTGCTGGAGAAGATTGAATAGACCTTTCCGTAGGATGGTTGAAATGCACAGGACGTCAGTGGATAGATTCTGTTCGGGGATCGGTTAATTTGGGCGCCATTTTTCCTCTCAGCATTGGCAGATTATGGGAGACGTACGATGCATACCAGCCCACATCGTCAATGCTGTCAAAACTCTTTGTAATTCGGGGCACAGCGGTCGAAATGATCGTATTGTCCACTGCTACGCAAAAAGTGGCCAAGCAGAGTACAATGGAGATCATGACCACACTTGGGAGCTTTAGATATTGGGACGTCTTTTCCGTCTCTTCCGATTCTTGAACTTGGGTTATCATGGCCTCAGCCAGGTCCGCCGTAGCGACTTCATTCTCAGGGGTAGGATTTGCAGTCATCCTTGTGAACTCGGTTTAACATAGGTGAAAGAGTGAATATTGTAAGGACTTTAAGGGGCAAACTAAACTTCAAAGAACAGCACGACCGCGGGTACCACACCGGGGGTACTACGGGAGACGCTAACTACCACATAGAGCAATTTCCCTTTTCAAAATGATTGACCGCCTCCCCACAAACATGTGACGCATGACAGAACGATGGACGGAGATCACCTGATGGACGCAGAGTGATGGAAACACCCGACTAAGCTAACCTGATGGGGCCTATTTGCATAAGCCCTCTACAAGATAGTTGCCAGAGCCTCCGTAGTTTCTTCCTTCTTCACCTTCGTTGTTTCGTGAATGCACCTGGTTACTTTTCCAGTTGGCTCTTTCCATGATCGTAACAAAACATACCAATCTCAATCATGAATAGTTTTTTTTTTTTGGAGTTTTGAAATTAGTACAGAGGTATTACTACTATTATTAAGTCAACCTCTACGAATATTGAAGGACTTCGGATTGTGATCCGGGGCGTACTTTACCGTCCTTTACCTTACATGTTCGGCCCCGGAAGGGTACTTTCTGCTAAGCTTTACCGCACTTATATCCTTATAGATATATTCGCTTAGGATAATAACAGAATATACTCTTACACTCCTGTTATCTTATATAGTAGTAAACCTCTAAAACCGAGTAGCCTTCTATAGCCGCTTACGGGAGGGCCTAACCTTATAGTAATCTTAACCGTAGGGAGGTCCTCCTAAAGCGATCTCTAGATAATAGAGAGAGTAAGGGAAATACTAGGTTAATTAGGAGTTCTAAGAACCTTTCTTCTATCTATTCTAGTGTAGTAGTATAGTATCAAGATCTAAGTAAGCGATAACTTACGGTCGGTAACCTCGGCGAGCTCGGGGTCCTTAGGAAAGTAGCGGTAACCGAAATCCCTTACTACTATATAAGGATCTACGAGTAATTACGTTAGTACGTACGTAATATCTCTTAACTACGATAGGAAGTTAGGGAAACGGACGGAATAGTCTAAGTACCTCGGATTACCCTATAATAAGGTATCTTTCTAGAGGCTTACTCTTAGTTATTCGGACTTTAGTCTATACCGAGGACTAGAAGTAAAAGATAAGGGATTTAAAGAGGTTATAAAAAGATGGAGAAACAAGATGAGACAAAAGTAAAGGGGAAGGCGGCTCATCTTTGTGCTGTTCACTGTGCCACAGTAGAGTCTACTGGTTGATCAACCAATCAATCTAAAATTTTAGCCTATATGCTCCTAGAAATCCTTCGTCTACTGGCTGCACGATCTCCTGAGCAGGCCTGGAGGAGTACCTGTGCTAGGGCAATTACATAACTCTATTCGGAGACCGAGGGTCTTGCCCTGGGCAAAAGTCCACTAGAAATTGATTGTTCAAGGATTTGACGACAAGAACCACCTCTTTCGCCACTGAGAGGTCACATCAGAACGCGTATTTGAGCAATATTTTTCTCTTGTAGGTGGAGAAGCTCCCTCCAAGAGTTCCTCATGGGAGACCGCCGTATGCTCCTGCGACCCCACGAGACCCCACGCTATTTCGTGGGCATATGTATGCTATCTTTCACTAATTTGCTCACAATCACCTAGACTTCCAGGCACTTGAGCGGTAAAGATAGTTAACTACCTGAAGACGTGCCAGAGACCAGCGGTATCATTCCAAGGGGTACATGTTTGAGTCTGCCACCAGGAAATAATTGTCTTTCTCCCTCTCAAGTTATCAATAAACTTTCCAAGCAGAGAACTATCCTATGTACCAAAGATCTGCCAAACCTAGGAGTGAAATAGAGCATGGGATCAAGGAAGCTAAAACTTTGATCATATTAAAAGTCAAGAGACTTCACATCGGAAATCCATAACAAAAGCCAAACCTATAAGCTTCTCCCATATAATAACTATAATTATCCATCGCGGACTTCGCACAGTTCACGTTGATATTGGGCTGACACAGCTTCTGCTGTTCCTCATTTAATGAAAATCCTCGGGCCTGAAGACAGCAACCGCACATTTTCGTACAATGGCCGTCGCCCTTGGGCCGGACGGAGCTGCGCGGCTTAGAACAACATCCGCAAGTTCGACCACAGCAACCGCCTCTTCTCACGCAATCTTGGACTAACCACGTGTTGAGGTACCATCGCGGCCGCTTTCGAGTGGAAATATACGCTCGCCACGAAGGCTTGGTGGGACAGAGTGTGTCATTAGCGTAGAGCCTCCGCTCCACGCTCCAGTATTCTTGCTCGAGGGCTCGCATCTCCGCGTGCCACTCATCCAGTTGCTGCTGTCGCTTCTTGGGATCATCTAGCAAATCCTCTGATTCGTCGCATTGCTTGCTGAGAAAGGCCTCGTGTTGAACAATCTCGCGTAGACGAATATCAAGATCAATCATGTTTTGTACCCATAGGCCGTAAGCCGGAGACCATGGGTTAGTTATCAGTATTTCTTGCAATTGGCGACAAATCTGGGCATATTGCCATGTCAACACTCTGGATGATAATAAGGCTTTTGCTTCAAATTTGTGCTCGAGACGATAAAGAACCTCCCGAGCCATGAAAGAAGCAACTTTCGATACACGGCCCATGACGAGGATTATTATGCGGGCAACCTGACGTAAAGAGGGCCACACTAATCAATAGACGTGAGATGTTAGATGGATAGGTGAACTTGGACGAAGATCGTGAGAAGTATTCTTTTGAAATAGGACGCAACCTCTCCGATATTATGTCATTATTTATCATCGAAATCGACACGTTTCGCAAAGAGCAAATCACAAATAATATTCTCGTCATGATACTGTATTGAAGAGAGTAAATTCTTTAACTTCTCCGCAATTCAATGCAACAGGTAACTCGGCATCCCCATAACACGAGCAAATCTCCTCTTAGCAGACCAAGGCCCAAAAGACATTTGGTTGTTGAATTAAAAATACGCTGCCGGTCGTTGCTAATCGGACCTGCACTTGAATCTTCAGAATCTTCTCTAAAGGGAATACTCCAGTTCAGATTGTCTCTGCGGACGAAGAATGTTTCAAGGTCAAATGTATACAACACAATAAAAATGTACAAGGTATCAAAGAGCCCCCAAAATGCAGCGTTCTGGGGCACCAAGGTGCAGAAGGCAACAGAATCCATAGTCAACCCCCCAAAAACAAGACCCAGACCCAACCCCATAAAGCCCCTTTACTGAGGGTGCGGGCGCATTCGCTGGCGAAAGTTGTTCTAACCCCCGTGAGTCGGGTCCCGAACGCCCTGCCCGGCTCTAAGAACCTCATTGCCTGGAGCGGCATTCTCAACCCCTGCAGCTCCTCGTCACGCCCTGTAAGATCATCCCCAGCGTTGTTGCCAGCTCCCTGCGGCTGATTAACAGGCCCGGCAGAACCCCCAGCGGCGCTGTTCACCCCCCCTGACTGATTATGAGACGCTGTAGGCGATCCAGACTCAGTAGCTTCGTTCGAGCGAGCGAGTTTTCTGCCGCGGGCCACTCGTCTCGGCCAAGCTACAAGTACACGATACATTTTAGCAGAAATTCGAGATCCAGGGAGTAGATGTGTCCTTGCATCTCCAATCGGGGGCATACTTGGCCGGCTCTCATTCAAAGCTACCAGCGCAAAGGCACGCGCTTCAGCAGAGGCATTGGCGGGGATGGGTTGAATTGCGATGTATCTACAACGGGCTATCAATACGCATCCTTGTGGGCTTATCACGAGGGGGTCTTACTTGTGAGAGAGAAAAGTGCACCACCAAGTGGCGCAGAAGAAGATCATGGCCAAAAAAGCCACCGAACCAATTGCGGCCCCAATAATATGTGCGGGGCGAGTTCCCTGGCCAAATATTGCTTCCAGTTGTGTCAAGTGGGGGACTTCAGCAGGAATAGAAGACATTTTTTTCTGAAAATTTGAGTAGAAAGTAGATTCTTGAGGGATGGAGAAAAGACAGGACGGGACGAAACTGGGGGAAAGTAAACAAGTGCTTCGATACCCTATACGGAAGGTGCTACGAAACGCCTGATTCTCCTGCCGTCAAGCTTTGCCTGCCGCTGCCGCTGCCGCCATCGACTATGCGACTAGTTGGCCGGTTGCGGCGGCCGTATCAGAAGCAACGGAGGAGGCAATAGGTCAATTCCTACACGATGAAATTTACGTGAACTATAGCGCACCAATGGAGCTGATTTCGGATAATGGACCTAATCTATTGGCCGGTGCAGTGCGCTTTTATCTGAACCTAGTGAAGACAAAACACCGGACAACAACACCCTACCACCCACGAACGAATGGGAAGGTAGAGAATGGTCCCTTCAGGAAACAAAATGTCCTGAACGGTTCCTTTTGGAACAAAAAGGCTTCGAATGGTCCCACCGGAACCAAAAGGGCATAATAGCCCTAGTTGCCTAAGAAAAAGAAGTGTTTTGCTGCACAAGACACGAACTTATGGGCTACACCATGCAAGCAGTCCCTCCAGGAGCATATTATATGCAGGAGCCTACGACAGGAGCTACAACTACCCGGAAAAGAATGATTTTCAAGGAATTTTCTGAAATAACTATCTAGAAAGATCAAAATCAAGCATTTGCCTTCCACAACATTAGGTTATCTAAGCCAGAGTGAACAAATTGGGGTATTGAATCAACACAGAACAGTAGAAGGTGTGAAAGTACTCCCGCTTTCCTTGGCGACCGTAGGGTCTCAACTTCAGTTTCATGTCGAATTGGCTAAGACCGCATCCGAGGCCTACCGAATTATTGAGCGCATGTTCAGCAGACTCGCGAAACAACATGTGTGGGCCAGTTGGATCGGCTGCACATTCAACGCCCTCCGACTGGCTTCGGAATTCCTCTGGCGCTGGCGTCAAGATTTGGAAGAGCTGCGATATCTCTTTGAAGAAGATGCGCCCTCCGTCAGATGCCAGTTCTGTCAGTTCATGGCCGCTGTGGGCGGTCATCCCGATATGAAGTCGTGGGTCCACGAAAGCTCTTTTGATCTGGAGGACCCTTCCTTGATGGATACAGTCTACCAGTCTTTTCTATCCCATATGGCAAATCCTAGGAAGTCGGGCAATCAGGCATGGTTCATTGGAATCTACCGTCAACGGCTTATTTTGCCGACGATAAGTTATTTCTAATTTTACCCCTCTCACAGCAGAGCGGCGTATTTTAGAGCCCTCAAATGGCCCAGGAGGGCCTTTGAATTTACGCGAATCATCTGCAGATATATGCAGTTCCTTTGCTTATGTGTTATTCTATGGCATCTCTCTTTTCCATGTGCGGGCCCAATGAATTTATTATGTATACTCCATTCTAGATCCTGCTATTCAGGATATGCACCGCTAACTATGGATCATCGCCGCTGTGGCTTGGCGGTGGGGCCGGTAATAGGACTGGAACGAGGCACTGCTGATTTAGGAAAACCCCAGTGACGAGAAACTAGAACTTATGAATAGTAATATAAAAGTCTGTCTCTGAAGGCCAGAGTGTGTCTAATATTGCATGGATTGGCTCGCTCCCAGTCTTCTTCATATTCTCCGGGGGCCTGGCACCCAGACCCACGATGGATTGTTATGGCCTGAAGGTAAGCATCAAGTCACCAATCGAATCCAACTCAGCTGTCCATTTCCTTACAACTATGAGAGAAAGGTCATTCTGATTTCGTGTTCCCTCCTCATCCTATCAGTTATGCTTACGAGTCTGTGCATCGAGTACCACCAGGTTATGCTCGCACAAGATGATAAATGGTCTGGCTTACACCCCGAATCTGACAGCATTCAACCAATACTTCTTTCAGAGATGTCCACGACCGATCGGCATTTCTTCGAGTGGGACCTCTCTCGCGGGCGTAATATTGTCGGTTACTCTAAACCTGAACCACATTGCTCAACAAGAGTGCCTTGAGCTTCGGCTGGCCCGCCCGAGTGCTTGGATTCCTGATGCTGGGCTGAAGTATTGTTGCCTGTGTATCGGTTCCATACGCCGTGTCTATCTCCGTTCATGTCGACTAGTCATCTTACCTGACCACCATCCTCAGTGCGGGATCGTTCTTTGGACGTCTTCGTGACAGGGCGCCTTGGCTAATCGCATCGGGCGGTTCAACGTGCTGACCAGCGCATCGGTGATTTGTGGTATCTTGATATTCTGCCGGGGGCTACGCATAGCCTTGGGGGAATGACTGTATTCTCTGTTTTGTTTGGACGCGACTCTTGCGAGGCTGCGACAGAGCCCAATAAGATAGGGTCCTATAGGGCCTCGGGGCTCAGCCGAGCCTCGCAGGGCTGACGGGGACCCCAAGGACGGGGCGATGATTAATCAAGATGGGTCGTCTCACGCAGCGATCATCTTCGGGGGTTTGAGCCTAATCCTAGCCGCAATTGTCTTCCGGGAAGGACTCCTGAGCAAACCATCCCACAATCCAACCACGTTCTCGCGACAGAAATCCCCTGCCCACAATTCCTGCCATTCTTGTGCGACGGTACGACTTTAGGCAGCCCAATTCTGCCGTCCTTGGCACCACTCCTGGAATAAGTCGCTAGTGCCGGGAATTATCACCTCTCCGTGGACCAGATCGGGTTGCATGGAAAAATCCAAAACACCATAATAGTGTTGTGATTCGTGGCAATGTCACCTTTCCAACGGGGAAAGTCATTTCCTGGAGAGAATTTTCCACCACAGACCCCGCAGGCAGCATCCTATCAATACGCTGCTGCCTATCCTCGTGTCAGATGGGGCTTGAATCAAAGCAATCCAATGGTGGCCGGGCGCGTTGACCCTGCACTAGCGGAGTAAAGAGAAAAGACGTACCAACCACAGCGCCCGATTCCCGACCTTGGCCGCTAAGCTTTGCCTGCAGCCGCAAAGCTTGGCGCCCCCTGATGGACTAGGTGCTTACAGCCGAGGATTGTAGAGCGAATCCTCCGATGATTCTTTCGCACTAATTGATCTTTATCAGGGCTACGGAATGCGGCTTGACGGGCAGCTCCACGGCGGGCATCGTCACGAGATCAACCTTCTCGCCCGCGAAATTATAGTCTTCCAAAAGGGGCAATGGGGCTTGTGGCCCGATCCGTAGAGTTTGGGGTCACTAAGCGACCTAATTAACTGGATCCTTTTTTTAGTTTCTGGAGCCGAGCTGGCCTCGCCCAAAGCATGGCGTCTGGGGGCGTACCTGGGGGAGAGGGGAGAAGGGGCTACTAAGGCTGGGCGAATTTTCTTTTTAAATAGCGAATGCCCTCAATTGCCTCATCTTGTCCATATATTTTTTCCCTTTCCACTTTCTTACCCGATTTTCATGATTCTCTAATTTGCCTCGCCATGTCTTTCCGTACCATCATCCACCGGCCGGCCTAAACCTCGCACGCCAGTGCATCCCTTCTCCTCCCGATTCTTTCACTTCTGATTCTGATTCTGATTCTGATTCCTATCCCGATTCCGATTCTGATTCCGATTTCGATTCTATGTTACCTGGATACCTTCCCTGCTCATCTAGCTTCATCCACTTCGCTGCCTAGTGGCCGCTCCATTGTCTCTCGCTGCCACTTCTTTCGCTACCCATAGTGGACACCTCCATCATGACCGACCTCGCTGCTCGCCATAGCAGCAATCTGCAGAAGAAACCACTCGAGTTGATTTCCGTCCTTGCCCCATTCTCAGCTCTCATCATCTCCATCGCACTCGTCATCTTCTTCCTCCTCCGGTACTACATCCTGGAAGGCTTCCTCATCCAATGGCTCTACGGCCGCATCTACACCGACCTGAGTGAGGTCAACCGCCGCGGATTCATCAACCATCACATAGCTGGTGTAACCAAGCTTCTCATCCTCATTCTCGCTGCCTACCCCTTCGTCAGCGTCACCTTTGGCAAGACCACGTTTCACACCCCGTACGCCCATGGCTCCACGGTGACGCTGGGTGACATGCTCATCATCGTGGCTCAGATGTTGATGGCCATGTATGTATTCGAGCTCCTCTACCGGTCTAAACTCTCTCCGGTCGCTGTGATGCATCACATCGGCACCATTATTATCGGACAGTCGGCTATTTCGCTGAGCTTAAGACTGGCGCGTGAGCCTGATGCCGATATCGAGTTCATTCTCTGCACCGTCTGGGGTAAGTCAGCCACCGCAATTCTTGACTTGAAATAAACCGGGGGATAGGGATATCATATTGATCATTCACTGCAGGTGCCTTCGATATTGTATCTGAGTTCTTCCCCCACATCGCCATCGTCCTCTATCGCGTCTACCCCCAGCGTCACCGATTCCTCAGCCGAGTGTTCCTACTGTCCTGTATCACAACCGCCACCGGGACAACATGTGAGACGATCGTGACAATGTGGCTGTTCGGAAGCCTCTGGAATCGATGGCAGATTGCCTTTAAAGTAGCCACGCCATTACTGCATCTCGCCTTCTCAGCCGCCCAGATCCACGGCAGCCTCGTATTCTGGCGGATGTACAAGAGACAGCAACAATTTCTCAAAGAAGCGGAAGTCGAATCATTTGAGATCAAGGAGCAGAGCATTGGCATCGCCTTACACCCCTCTGCAGACTCGACCGCGCCCTGCATACCGCCGAGGGTCTTATCCCACGGTCGGCCAGAAACTCTCCGGTAGGGAGTGTTCTTGTTTTGTTTCGTGCACATATCATTCCTTGGCTCACATCTAATGTCTTTGTGGTCTTTATGGCTACTCTTTTGCATCGTCGTTTGCATCGTCGATTTTCATGCATGTTGTCCCTGACACACGGTAGACTGGATCTGCTCATAGCTACAGGCTGGTTACGGTCGAAAATACATAGTACTCCAAATTTATCGCAGTAAGCACCCAACGTCGTCAACCCGAACCCGAAATATTCTTCCGGTCCTGCGTTCAGTATGCAAGGGCCCTTCAAACGGCGTCTGTTCCTGGCCGGCCCACAGCGGATATAGCCTCCTCCTCCCCGCAAACCCCACCACGTCGGCGGCTCATCCCGCCCACCGCCGGCAATCTCAACTTCAGCACACTACCATCGCGACACAAATCCATAATTCTAGGATCTAACCAGCCGAGACCATACCGAGAGATTGAGCCTAGCACAGCGCGCCCCAATGGCATCCTCTGAGAAACGAGCGGACCTGATTGCGCTCGCCCGCGATCTGTCGGGCGTGCCGATGAGTGATGATTATGAGAAGATGATATCAGGCATGCTGTACGAGATACCCTCTTTGCTACATATCAGACAGATTGAATCACATCTAGAGTCATATTATGGCTATTCTGCGCCGGACCGAACAACCTGACTCGTGATGCAGATACAATCCGCTCCTCCCCAGTCTGGAGGAAGGCCGGCATAGGTGCCGTATCTTGACCAACGACTACAACAACCTGGATCCACGCACCGTGCCCTCTGACAAGATACGCGACGTGCGCTTTGCGCTCTTGCAGAAGCTAGTGGGGCGTGTCGGGGAGGGCACCTTTGTCGAGCCGCCATTCCGCCCGGACTACGGATGTAATGTGGTCATTGGACGGGATTGCTTTTTGAACTGGAAGTGAGTCGCCGGAGTCTGGAGCCTACTTGACGTTTACGTGCAATCTACGTGTCGTCTGCAATTGCTTGTTCTGACGAGCCAATCGCAGCCTAACAATCCTCGACACGTCGTTGGTGATTCTCGGGGATCGCATTCAGATGGGTCCGAATGTGGGCATTTTCACGGCCGGACATGAGACCAGTGTCTTGTCGCGACGCAAGTATATCGAGTTCGGGCATCCGGTCAGGATTGGCGACGACTGCTGGATTGGTGGTAATGTGGTGATTCTCCCTGGCGTGACCATCGGCGAGGGATGCACAATCGGCGCTGGCGCGGTCGTCACCAAGGATATTCCACCCTTCTCAGTGGCTGTCGGGAACCCCTGCAAGGTGATCAAGACCATCTCATCCGCAGAGGAGGAGGAGAGGGACCCCGAAAACCCCTACCGAGCAATGGAAAGAGAGCTGTAATGAAGAATATTCTTAATTGGGGACATAGGCTTAGCCCTTTAGGTTTCGCTATAGACGCCACGAGCAAGGCTAACATCTGTTTGGCCGCAATACAAGCAGAGGTAAAAATGGACCGGTTCGCCTCCCGCCAAACATGTCCGAGCAAGAAAGCCTCCTCTGTAATTTGCAAGCTGAACTGAAATTGATTCCTGTCACCTGCTCTCCAGCTAGCTCGCGGGATCTTCGTCAGTCACGTTTCAGGGTACATAATGTCAGGAGAGAGCCGTTCGTGAGTAATTCGCCAGCTGATGCACTCAAGTCGTCTTCTCGTGCTGGGTGGACACCCGCTGCAGAGAAAGCACTGTGGCGGGTGAGTTAACGGGTTGTGACAAGCTGGATAAACGGTGAGACTTACAGAAGTCTTCCCAGGATCGCTCCCGCGACTTGCCCCGCAGGCTTCGACCATGCATGAGATCGTCAAAGGCTGTGGAGTTCTGCAAGAGGTGGTACACGATTGCACAGACAACCTCGACGCCCGCGGAAAAGATCCAGATGCGAACCACCGCGACAATTGACGTTTCCCGGTTGACGAACGCGCCGAAGATCACCATCAGCGTTGCAGTGATGTCCACAGCCATCACCGCCAAGAACAACTGCAGTGACGGCAAGTTCTTCCAGAAAGGGCCGTTGATATGACGGGTGATGAAAATGAGCCAGTTCTGGGTGAGCGCAATCTCGAGGAACATTACTGGGTCGCGAGCGCCATAGTTCTGCACTACACCGCCATGCTCGCCTCGCAGAAGCATGGTACCGAACGATATCCATGACCCGCCCGCTAGGATAGCTCCCAGGATGACAGCGATGCCCCACAGCTTCGGCTGGTTCCATTTTACGGGAGAATTTGAGTACGGCGCGTTGTCATAAGCAATAGCCAGTGTGGCAATGTCTGCAAAGATAGCCAGTAGGACCACCAGGCGAAGATCTAGCACCTCGTTCATAACGGAAATCCATAGTCCGAAAAAGATCTCCAGGTGCAGAGACAGCGCAATGCGATAAATCACGTACGCATACATGCGGTGGAAGATCTGGCGGGATGTTTTGATGGCATCGATGATCGCAGAGAGACCAGGTGCGAGGAAGACAATGTCAGCAGCCGAACGAGCGGCATCAGAAGCACCCTCAACCGCAATACCCGTATCGGCCTTCTTCAGCGATGGAGCATCATTCACACCATCCCCGGTCATGGCTACCAGGTTTCCTCGCTTCTGGAGAATCTCCACGACGCTATACTTGTGCTGTGGAAAGACCTCGGCAAAGCCATCGGCAGCCTCGACAAAGTCATTGACTTCAGAGCCAGGCATATCGCCAGCACCCGTGACTCCAAGACGTTCCGCGTTGTAGATGTTAGTGCCAAGTCCGAGCTGGCGAGCAGTCTCACGTGCAATACCTACAGCATCTCCAGTCAGCATCTTGACGGCTAGCCCGAGCCGCTTGGCCTCGGCGATGGTCTTCGCGGTGTCATGGCGAGGAGGGTCCGAGCAGGGCACGATTCCCAGGACCTGCCAAGGCTGGTCGCCAACCTTGCGAGCAATCCCCAGGGCACGGAATCCACGGCTGGCAAACTCGGTGACCTTGTGAAGGTATGCAGTCTCGATAAACTCGCGGACAGGGTGGTCATCCTGGACAGTTCGCAGTACTGGGATAGGTGCTCCTTTGACACAGATGATTCGTTCACCTTGTGGGGATTCGACAACCGCCGTGACTTTCTTGGAAACTGGATCAAAGGGGTGGAATTCAATCATTTTGTATGCTCCAATTTCTTCCTTGACCTCGGGATATGCTTTCAGGGCTTTGATAAAAACCCTATCGATGGCATCGATGCCCCTTTTCTTGTGACTTGCGGCCAGACAGGATGTCAGCATGATATCGTTTTTGGTCACGCCGGGAGTTGTAAACGGTTCACCCAAAGCAAGCTTGTTGCGAGTCAGAGTGCCAGTCTTGTCGGAGCAAAGTATCTCGACTCCAGCCAGCGACTCAATTGCGGATAGCTTTTGCACAATGGCATTGCGTTTGGCCAAATAGGATGCCCCAACCGCCATGGTAGTTGTGACAACTGCTGGGAGGCCAACCGGGACTCCAACGATCGTGATTGCCAGGGTGAATTCCAGGATGTCAATAATTGGGTCCGACCGATAGTACGATGCCACCCACACGACGAGCAGTGTAAGAACCACAAGAGCCAGGAGAACCATGCTGATCCCATTTAGTACCAAGGTAAAATGACCAGTACCGCTATCAGCAAGATTTACTAGTGCTGCAGCGCGTCCGACAAAGGTATGATCACCGATCGCAGTCGCAATCAGAAGGGCAGACCCCCGCTTGACGGCCGATGAGGCAAAACAATTATCGTTGTGATGCTTGTCCACAGCGAGAGATTCTCCAGTGATAGAAGACTGGTCGACTTGCAAATGGGCCTCTTCGGAGACAATCACGCCATCAGCTGGGATGATTGTGCCCTGCACTCAAATTAGCAAGCTATTCTGTTCACCAGGTGTGTTGTTGTTGAGTCGGGAAGCACTCACGTCTTCAACATGGATTACATCTCCAGGAACCACTTCCTCTACACCGATCTCGAACGACTGTCCATTGCGGGTCACAATCGCCTTCAGGGCAAGTGTCTTCTTGAGGCTATCGACGATGTTTCCCGCGTGGTATTCCTGGATGAAGCCGACACATGCATTGAGAAATAGCAGACCACAGATGACTCCGAAGTCGATCCAGTCCTGCAATCCGGCAGCAAGTAGTGCTGAAGCCTGTTCATCGCCATGGTCAGGGTTCTTCACCGGTACCTGGATGGTTCATGGGAGTTTCGATTAACAGTGACCTACCTCCATGACAAACTGCACGGGGCCGACGAAGAGCATGAAGAACTTCAAAAAGTTGTTTCGCCGTTCTTCTTTCATCCGGTTCCAGCCATACTTGCGTCGTGCAGCCATCACCTCTGTGTCGCTCAGGCCCAAATGGAGGTTTGTTCGCAGCAGATCAGGTTGGAATTTGGCCCCGGCGCCTTCAGCGATGGTGATCACCTCTGGGTCAGTGTCTTTCCCATCTTCCTCTTCCAGTTCAGCGATGAGGATATCTAGATCCCTGGCAGTCTCTTTCTTCGTGAGCTCGGGTAAATCAGGAGCTGCGGGTGCTTCCTTGTCCTCTTGGCCACATGTGTCCTCCGGGGGGTGGCTGCGAAGCGACATGTCTCTAGGGTCAAAAGCCTCAGCTTTGGGCCTCATGACGAAGGCAATTTTGGTATGAACAACAAAACCAATGAAGAGATGCTCCTAGCAGTGATGCAGAGAACGGACAGGAAAGATGTCGGATGGGTAAGTGAGGATGAGGTTATAAACAAGGAGGAGGTTGGATGGAATCACACCACGGTTAGCGCGGCAGCAACGAAAGGCGACTCTTGAGCAGAAACAGCAAGTAGGACTGCTTGTTTGGCGACAATGACGTGTTTTGCTAGAAATAAAAAGTGGGATAATCCACGGAAAACAGATCTAGCGTCCAGGCGCGCTTACCAGCTGTCAACAAGGCCATGCCAAACCAAGAAGGCACGAAAAGAGACCAGACGAGTCGAAGGCTGCCCGGGAAGGAGTGCGAGATGCACCTGGATACGCAGGCGCCCAAGCCCTCGCCGCCACCAGAACGGAGAGACTTAGCCGAGTATACAGTCCGCTGGGCTCAGAAGAACCTGTCTAAGACCCCTTGAGCTACTCAGCAGCCTGCCAATGCCATTTGATCACGTCTCCGAATAGCTGCACATCAACGAGTTATCCTCTATATCAAATCCTAGCAAGGTGATGCTAGGAATTGCAGAACAAGGCTCCAAGTCAAGCGGCAATGTGTACTTGGGTCCAAGATCCATCTACTTCGTGGAGTCCGGCCAAAGTTCTGTCTCCACGCCCACCACTGCTTCTGAGGCCACCTACTATCATTCATCATGTACGGATCCATTTGTGTCTCAGCGTATCTCGAAGACAGGTAAAGGCCATTTCCCACCAATCGTCGTGGTAACCGGGGTGAACCTCGGTAAAGCAACCGTAGCGATCTACGGAGTATATCCACGGTCCACCCGGTCCCTCGTCGCCTCAGGCCACAGGATTATGTAACGCGCCGGACGTCACCATCGCCATCGAAGAAATCGACGCAGCAGCAGCCTGTGGAATCGACGATGCTGAGGTTGGCCCATCTCGTGTTAGTCAAAATAGGGTTTTTCATGCGCGTCCATCCCTGGGCATGGTTGTCATCACAGTTGACTACCTGACGGCCTCGTGAGCCTGTTCTTTCAACTCGCCCATAAACTCAACGCCTACCCGGTCCCATATTATGTTCACTTTCAGACAAGCCTTTAGCGACTACTCTATTGTTCAACCCACGGTTGATTAATCTGCTCCACTTATCCTGTCTCTTTACTACAGATCGTCGCGAAGATGAATCCAGATATTCCCGGGTTTTATTACGGTGAGTGTTCTCCCGTCCGTTGCACACTCCATCTGCACACTTGGTGCTTCTTAAAGCTCCAGTTTCCGCGTTTGAACATCTACCAGAAGCAAGCGAACTCTAACGGAAATCTACCAGACCCCGAGAAGAAGAAGTACTTCAAGATCCAGGCCAACCACGTTGCGCCAGCGGGCGCCCAGTACTCCCAGGAGTCCGTCAAGCGGAAACGTAATGAGCAAGAGGTCAGCACTTGGGATCCCATAATCCAGACTCCAGAAAAGTTGACCCTAAACCCCTTCAGAAAGAGGAGAAGCGTGCCCATGTCAGCCGGCGTGTAGCCCGCGAGACGGTCCGCAAGCCAAGCTTCCTCCACCACCCGCTCGTCGGCGCGGACAGAGAGATCCGAGCCCGTGCTTCTACCTTGGCTACGCTACGGGACGAGCAAGCCGGCATTTACGTCAGCCAGCTGCGGCGCAGGAAGCTTCATCAGTTTGAGCCATGGCCGGATGATTACTCTATGCGTCATGTGCTACGAAATCCTCGTTCGGGAGCTTTGATTACCAGTACGTGCCCTGGTTCAATGTGATTTAGGCGATTGACTAACCGCTTTTCACTAGCTGGACATCGTGGGGATGAATCATCTGTGTCGTTTGTCTATCCTATCGGTCCCTCAGATGGGATTGCTATTAATGTGTACTTAGGATCTGCTTCCCTGACTTCGACGAAGAGAAATGGACATACAACCGCACCATGGAGCGGGTCCTCTTCAAAGAAAGTTACAGGGTACGCCGCATCGTGCCTGGGCCCGATATGATCCAAAGTCACTGACAGTGCATCCCAGCTGTCGTCAATCTCTCTAAGTCATACCGGCTATCTACTGTATGTTATCCCCTAACCTCTCAGGCCCTCGACCAATAACATCACTAACAATCACAGAGCAACAATGGACAGCGGCCCCGGCGGTGACTCCTTTCTAGCCCCACGCATGCTGCCAGACCCGGACGAAGGTGGAGACTATCGCTGGCCCGCTTACTGTACGTCAACACAATTAAGCGTAATTACTGGGAGCATTGTATTCACAATTTTGTTTACAGTCGCACATCCAATCCGGATTCGCACGACCCCCTCCCTCTGGTGCTCAGCGGCATGTCCAACCGGCGACAAAGCCCTTTTTGCAATCGGCACCTCGGACGGACTGCACACGCTCGAAGGCTTCGGTAGCCACTGGACGCTCTCGCAGAAACCCTTCCCAAACGAGAGGAGCAACGGGACTCAAGGCTTCCGCCGACATGGCAATTCGTCACATGCGAGCATTCGTGCGGTTGAGTGGCTCTCCTCGGACGTCATTGTCTCGGGCCTGCGCAACTCCACCGTATTCTTGTACGATGTTCGCACTGGCGATAGTTCCTTGCGGTTGCAGCATTCGCAGTCGGTGACGAAGATTCGGAAAGTCGATCCCTACCGAGTTGTCGTTTCGGGCCCCAATTCAGTGAGTGGCTAATCCACTACTGCCACTCAATTTATGTCACTCACCCCAAGCCAGCTGGAGATGTACGACATCCGCTTCGCGGCCAATGGCCTCCAGCACAAGCCGAAACCCCTTGCCCGCTCGCATGTCTCTAGTCACCCTTACCTCTCCTTCCCCGACTTCGCGCCCGATGCGATTCCTGATTTCGACGTGAGCGCCGAGCTGGGTCTCCTAGCGAGCGGTAAACTCTCCCTTTCACTTTATGTTGATATCGAGATAATTATCTAACTAATCAATCCCTATTCAGCATCTGATGACCGCACAGTTCAATTCTTCTCGCTGAATACAGGCAATCCAGTTCCCTCACCGCTCTCGAAATACCGTTATCCTTGTCCGATTACTGGCCTGTGCTTTGAGGCGAGCGAGGGCGTGTTGAATCAGCAGGGGCCGCAGACGCCGAGCTTGCTGGTTTGTTCCCAAGCGACTGTGGACCAGTGGATTTGGTAGGATTCATCACAACTGGGGCTTTGTTTTCCATCCGATGTGACTTTCTGCTCTTCTCGGGAATACCCTCTTGTAGTTCGACCGGTGTTTTTGGCTCATAAAGCTGTACCTTAAGCAATCAGTACAATCTACGTCTATTATATACGGCAGGAAAATCAAGGAACAAGCGTTCATAAGAGAAAAACGGGTATAATTTATTTGCATCCCACTTAACATGCGATGCCTGCAAAGATGTACCAGCCAACCAATTCAGAACACCAATGCCAAAGTCAAATTCCTCTTCATACTCCCACAATGCACAGAACGCAACCACGATCAATCCAGCCCACCGGCAAGCCACTCTCCAACTTCAACCCCAATGCCCTTCGCCAGCTCCCCAATCCAATCACCCGACACATTCACGCACCACTTTTCGCCCGCATCCGCACTTGTATTCCCACTCCCCGTGCTCGCAAATCCAACATGGCCCGAAGCAGGCACCACAAGACGCAGACGGCGTAACGTCGCTAGCTCAGCGTAGATCTGATCTGCCACAGCACCGGTACGGATGGGGTTTTCGGGTGGGTTGGGATCGACGGCATGGTAGATTGCCAGGAGGCGTTCTAGAGGGAATGGGCGGGCTGTGAGAATAGTCGATGGGCCCGTGATGCCCGCGCCGCCGCCAATTGCGGACGTTGTGGCAGAGGATGTGGCGAAGGCGGAGGAAAGGGTGGATTTTGTGATGCGGGTTTTCGTCCGCTTGCCCTTCCGGGGTGTCGAGGGATCGTCGTTGGCAGCTGCTCTATCTTCGGCCCGCGCTTGGGAAAGGACCTTCAGCCGGCGACGATGGTGGGCGCGCTTGTTACGTGCCGACAGCGATGATGAAGAGAACTTGGAGAAGAAGATTGTGTCCAGACGTTGCGGGGTGTGAGATGCCAGGTATGCGGATGTCAGAATCAATGTCGAGAAATAAGGGAGGTGAGGCAGGGCGGATGGAGCAGCTGAGATTGCCAGTGGCTTCCGGACTGTCTTTCCCGGGTTGGTGGAGTCCTCGGGCACAATGCGATGCACGAGCGCTGACTCGCCTTGGTGCCGGAAAAGTGCCCGATTCTTCACCAGTAGACGGGTGAAGTCCCATTCCGTGTTCCTGCCGGGCGGAGCCTCGCCCTGCACCACTGGTGCGACGAACAAGGGCCACAGTCGGTTGCATATAGATCGGAACGTGGGGATGGATCCTGCCGTTGGTCCAACTAGGGTATCGAAAATTGTTGCGACAAAGTGCGGATATACCCGCGAACAAGTCTCGTCAGGCAGACCTTCCACCAACGGCACTGGGGACGCCAGTAGAATGTCGATAGCCTCCTTCCTGGTATACGGAGGAAAGCTGATGTGGGGGACTGCTGCACTCTGTAGAAAAAGCGGTCGAGGAGTCGAGCTCAGCACCAGAACAACACAAAGCGACGGAATCTGTTCAGCGGCCGGGTCAGTACGCATCCACGGGCCACCTGCCAACCATGCTTCGAGAAATCACTCACGATCTCTCCCAGTCGTGCCAAAGCAGACAGTAATGTCTGTGGTGCCTCTCGCTGCCGATCAATTTCATCCAGCACCAACACAAACTTCCCGCGCTGCTCGTCCGGCTTCGTTGCGAGACACTCCTCCAACAGCACCGCAAGGGTGCTCACGTGTTCGCATCGCCCTTTGCCGAACTTCTCCCACTCATCTTTCTTCCCAAGGGCCTCGAGTGTGTTCCAAAGGATCTTGGTCAGGAGATGTCGTCCAGTGATGCATTCTGAACTGCGAACGAAGGCATACGGCACTTCGAGTGTGGACAGGACGCCGCGGATGATGGTTGTTTTGCAGGTGGCAGCCACGCCGTATACCACCATCGTTGGCGGGCTAGAAATACTAGGCTATCGTGGAATCTTGAATTAGCAGGCTTTGGAATGACCCTGTTTGATCTGACTCCAACCAGCTGCGGAGCTCGGAGAGACCTCCGAGAAATACTCACATGGAGCAGGCTGGCAAGCTGCCTCGCCTGGACGTCCCGGCAGGGCCATTGTGCGCCCAGGGAACGAGCGACGTCAATGGGCTGCATGAGTCGCCAAGTTCCTTGGATTTCACTGGAAACAGAAGTTGTTATCAAACAAGTCGATGAGTCGTGCGGCCTCGACCTGCGGCCTCAGTGTCCAAGTTCACTTGGGTCACGTGATCACGCGACGCGTGATGGCTCCACTTTACCCTAAATGAAGCTTAAGATTTATTACAAGATTCAAGCAGCATACATGTTAGAAATGAATAGTTCATGAACCCGAAGTCGATTCCAGTGCTAAAGTACAAAAGTGCAGAAAGTGCGTGATGAAATAAATCAGAACATCCATCGAGCGACCTGAGGTCATAAGCAGCAGGAAAAGACCTGACAGACAACTTCGATCGCTGATTCAGCTCAAACGAGTTGTCCCAGCAAACAAAATAGCGCATAGTCACATCATTCCCCAGGATAGATGTTTGAAAGACCCAACACGACACTGGTGCAATTCAAAATCAAGCGCAAAGTACAGGGGGGAGGGGGTAAAGAAAAGAAGAAATGGATGAGGAAACACAATGCAGGAAATGAAATGATCATACGTCAACCTCGCCCACCAGGACCAACGCAATGAAAGCCCAACCATCCCTCGAGGAACGATCAAAGGCAGGCATTGTCATTGCGTTGCCAGGGGACGTCAAGGAAGTGAAAGATCATTGGGGGGAAAAGTACAAAAAGGCGGGGAAAGAGACAAACGCTATGGAAGCATGTCGGAACAGTGCTCCCACGCTGACTGCACCATGCCAGTTTCGCTTCATAGATGAAAATGTATGCAATATGCAACACGTGAATATTTGCCAGATGCGGGAAGAGTCGTGGCGCATTGCCTCATGCACAGGAAGAGAAAGTCAAATGCAGGCGAAACAAGATGGAACGGGGTTGGATGGAATGCTGATACCGAGTAGATCATGGCACATGCAACTAGGCCCCGGTATGATGACAGCCTTGAATTGGAATCCGTTAAATCATCAGAATATCATAGCATCGTGTCGATTGATATGGGTACAGTTGGGTGAAGATGGTATGCACATGGGAAGCGGAAAGGGCCCCCGTTAAAAGTAGGCGTAAACGTGGCTCTGGGCGCTGATGTGGCCATTGGTTGGGGGCGCAGGCGGGCTGAAGATCGAGGGATTCTCGCTGGGGGGTCCGCTAGGAGGAGAACCCGTAGGGCTCGAGAAGCCCTGGCCACTAAAGCTGCCGGATCCAGTCGGAGTGTGAACGGAGGAGCAGCCCTGCGGGTAAGGAGGGAAAGGCTTCTGGAGCACCTGCGCCGGAATTTGCGCCGAATTCGAGAGCTCGTTGGGGGTGACCTGCCCGCTGTTCTGGGCACTAGATCGGCCAGAATTTTCAGTGGCCATTATCTTACCGGCAATGCGGCGCCCGTGGGGGGTCTGACGGATTGAAGGAAGGATGGGGCGGATGGATTCGACAATGCGTGTACGCGTTTCTTGATCAGCGAAATCCATGGCAGTCTGCACAACATAGTTGGCGAATGAATCGCGCAGCATCTTCTCCAGCTCATTGCCAGACAGAATCTCGTCAATCATATCACGACGAGCAAAGCCATCAGCAGTTCGCAAACACTTTTCGATAACGTTGGAGCTGAACTTCTGCTTGGACAGGGAAGGTATATTGCCGGCAAATGTTTGACAAAGAGGGTTGGTGAATCGCGTTTCCGCAAGATCCAGAATATACTGAACAACGTAGTTCCCGAAAGGATCCTGGACAAGGGCGAACGAGTTCGAGGTGATCTGGGCGATCAACCGAGCCTTTTGCGCACCAGACGCATGATCAATGCACCGCTGAAGGACACAGCAGCCATGACGGTGGGTACCAACGACGACGCAGTGAGCGCCCACAGCCTCGTAAATGAACTCAGCTTCCTCAGCACCCAGGCGGTTCAGGCATTTTTGAATGACGTGATTGCCATTCAAATCCTGGACCAACTCAACGACATGGTGCTTCAGGGCGTCAATGACCGTTTGGGTCTGCTGTGGCGTGGAGATGAACTCAATCATCTTTTGAAGGGCCCGGGTGCCATGCTGGTTCAGCGCGATCTTAACGAGCTGGGGAGCGGCATTGTCAATCAAGGCAGTTCGCTGGTCATCATTGGAGTACTCTAGGAGCTTTTGACACAGGTAGTTGCCAAACGGATCTATCAAAAAGAGTTAGCATGCAATTTCAATCTGGTAAATGAACGATAAGAATTCCATACCCGTCATCAACTCGACCACATGCATGTAAGTCTCGCTGAAAATCAGCTGCACATGCTCGGGGTTTCGCTCCTCCAGCTTACGCTGCAAGTATCGGCAGCCGTGCTGGTCCTTGCATAGGGTGTATAGTTCGCCCTTGTAGTGCTCAATTGGGAAGTTCGCGTAGCGGGTCGCCTGTCCCGCATCGCTCTCGGTCTGCCGGCGCTGAGTGACTCCACCTCGTGCAGCAGCATCATTGAAGCGGTAGCTAGCAGCATAGGTAGGGTAAGCTGCATAATTAGTTGCTTGTCCGAAGTTCGTCATCTGATTGGTCGCCTGGGTCACCGGCCCAGCGTACGGCTGGAGTCCATAGCCATACATGGGAGGGAATGGAACGCCTGCAGAAGTAACGGAGCCAGTGATCCCATTACTGGGGACCGCCGTAGTCAACTGAGGACCAAAAGGTGCAGCGCTAGCTTGGAGAATAGTTTGAGCCTGACCGCTCTGGATAACCTCGGACTCCGGGGATTCCTTGGCAGAGCGAGGATTGACGGCTCCCGTGGGGATCCGTCCCATGCTAGCATTATGGTGGTGAAGGTGCTCAGCATTGGACTTCGGAGGGGTGATCGCAGCGTCGAAGCCACTGCGCTTGACAGTCGGCAGATCGCTTGTTGAGTATGATGACTGCAACGAGGTGGGACGGCTGGAAGGAACCGGCGCCATAGTCTCAGGAGTGCGATCAGTGGAGAAGGTCAGACCGCCCTCAAGGGAGTGACGGGCATGGTGGCGAGCGTGAGCCACGCTGACATTGTCCTCGCTGGTCGGGCTGCTCAACTTATCGAGGCGCATCGCGCTGGTCATGTTCTGAGGCATGCTCTGGTGGCTGGAGCGATACCGGCTGTGGAACGAGTACGATTCCGGACCCGGAGTTCGGGAGTTGGCCAGATCAAGCGCATCGGGATTTGCCGAGAGCTGTAAAACAGTGTTCAGCATCACTTCCTTAGCTGAGTCAAAGATGGCATATGCTTACGATATTTGAACCATCTCGGCGAGATAGGGTCGGGAACTTGTCATCAGGCTCGGTCATTCTGATGTATCCTTTGATGTCCGGAGTAGAAAGTCGGTCTTCGTCTCTCAACATGTTCAACTTGTGCTCATCGCTGGGGAAGAGGTGTTTCGTCGCAGCAAAGGAATCAACGCCAGTTCCTGAATTATATCCCGAGCCGGCGACGTTGGACCGATACGGGCTGCTGAAGTTGTTACTAGGCAGCGAGTATCGGTGTAGCCTGGAGAAATGTTAGACTGGAAACTCTCACAAAATGAGGCGTTGCCTTGCAGTCACCAGCCAGTCAATCGAGAGCAGATTGTCTCGTGACCGCATACTGGGATTCAAGGCAAGAACAATAGAAATATCAAAGAAAGGGTTGACTTACGTAGGACCCGGTCGGAAGGGAGCACTCTCCACAACAAAGTCCTCCTTCTCTGAGTTGCGACGGGAAGTAGGCATCGAGTGACCAGCGAATCGATCGACTGGCTGCTGGGCCGGTTGAGCCGAATGCGAATGGGAGGGAGCTTGGGGTGAAGTCAGCTGCGAAGAAGGGGCGAAAGCCGAGAAAAACCCCGGAGACGAAGTGACGCTGGAAGTTGAGAATCTGCCTGGACGAGAGGCGGAAGACACCGTAGGCTCCGAGTGATCGGGAGGAGTTGTAGGCTCGCTCACCGGCCCCGAGAGGCCAGCCTTAGCGAGATCCCGAGCCAGCTGGTCCATTTCGATCTTTTCCTTCTCGTGCTGCATGTCCAGCAACTTCATGTCTTCCTCGAAGCGTCGTTTCTGCTCTCGCATATATTCAATATGCTGACGCTTTTTCTCAAACTGGAAAGAGTCAGAGAGGGTTATATGCAAGTAAGAACAGTGAATGAGAACGTGCAAAGGCGGATATGAGAATGGGGAATGAGGATGCCAAAGGGGCATGGGATCGAAGGATTCCCACGGATTGCAAGGGATGAAAGCAAAGATGCAATGGAGGCAGCTCAAGTCCAAGTTCGGCATGCAGGCCAAAAGGTGCCAGCACCGTTCAGGATACGATTGATAAAAGGACCGTGCACGTGGATCTGGGAGGTGCGGCCTTGAGCAACAGAGCGCCCTTCCAATGAGTGGAGAGGGGTGAAGACACGGAGGGAGGAGGGGGACGCGGGGAAGAAGTGAAGAGGGGCAGAAGTGAAATGGGGCAGAAGGGCAGAGGGGCAGATGGGAAGAGAGAACGAAGGAAACCTGGCGGGTGAGGACGAAAAGAGGTTTGGAAGCTGGGCGACCATGGTGAGGCCATGCAAGCTGATCACAGGCCACAACCGGCGGGATGAAACGACAACTTTCACCCCAACCGACCCATCGCCCCAGGGGGGCTTGTGAAGGTTGCGCACATGTTCCGTGGCTTTCCTTCCTTGTCCAATTGACCAGAGCATAGCTAACCAAGACCTCGATTCACAGACACCACACAGGATCGCGGGTGGGAATCCGCACAGGGCACGCATGCAGCACCATCAGAAGAACGAAACACTGGGCTCACCGAAGATAGCAGGTCGAGAGGGTCTGGCAGCTGGGCGGCCCCCTGGTTCAGATAATTCCATGACGAAGGGAATTTGCTCGAGTCCGTCGTGAATCGACGTTGCAGATTGGCCCGCACCTCTCCCGAGGGTCGTGAGAAGGGAGATCCGAAGTTGGAGTGGCCGGGCGAAAGCGAGCTATACCCGGGGTAGACCGATTCGGACGGCGGGGAGCGTGGGGACGGGAAACGAAGCTCGTCGAGGCGTTCACTCAGCCCATTCTTGAAGGCCATGGTGGGCAAAGCAGCCGTAAAGTCCAACTATGGGGCACAGCAGCATCGGTCAGCCTAGTGATCTTGATTGTTGAAGAGGGCCCGCCTCCGGAGCGTTTTGAGGCCGCACACGTAAACCACGCCGCACGCAACAGACCCCAAGAGAGAACCCCGCAAGCTGCAGTAGTGGCAGGGCAAGGGCTAGGGTTATTCTGCGTGGTGGCGGGCTGGCGGTGTGGTTTTGACGGAGGCGGTCCCAAGTAAGGGGAAACAAGAGGGGCTGAGGGGTCGAAGATGATCTGCGCGGAAAAAGCGCAGGGCCAGCGGGCCACTCACACAATGAACGCCTCGAAGGGCAGAGAAATCACAAGATGATCAAGAACCGCAGTGTCCCGACAAGGTATTCATCTGGTTTCGGGCTGCAAAATCGGCCGTCGTGGTGTGTTCCTGGCGAGGTGCGGAGATCAGCGGCAGTCTGGCTGCGTGGGATGAAGCACGACCTACCGCTCTCCACTTAGCGAAGGGAAACAAAACACGAAACGAGTGTCACCACAAACAGGCTTAGTACAGCGATCGCACAATATGCAAAACGAACGAGAACAAAATGTTGTACAGAGGGGAGTTGGTGGATCAGGAAAGGGGGGCGGAGAAGAAAGGGAAGAAAGGTGGGAGGAGAAGAGACGAGAGAAGAGATGGCTGGGTGTCCAGAGCGAAGCGGGGAGACTCAACCCTATTCGGCAATCGCCGTACGAACGCGCTCCTACTCTGCTGGAAAGTCGACCTCCTTAGGGCTTGGGCGATGGGCTTGGTCACTGGGTCACTTGGTTGGTCTCGTTGGTTTTACAATCGGCACTTTGATCTTCGTCCCCTGCTTGACCACCAACCAAGGAACAGCTATGGATTCCCAAACAACCCAATCAGCCTCCCGAACCGCCACGATGGCCCCGAAAACCTGCCATCGCCAACTACAATCACCAGACAGATTCTCACCACATTCCAAACCCTAAAGGCTCTCTTGATCCGACCCATATTACCCCCAGACCACAATATGACCGTGGACAACGTGACGGCCGCAGAGGATCGCCCAACTCGGAAATCAGTCGGACCCCACGTATGATTGGAGAGGCTCCGTCTGGACACTTTGTACGACGCAGCAGCTATCACCCGGAGGAGCAGCACCGACTGGGGGACTCCATGGCCGACAGCTCTCGCGCAAGGTTCAATCCCACCGCCACGAGAATGCAGAATGCTCCGTTCCACCCCGGGCCAGGGTCTCCCTGAGGCAATGCGTGCGGTCCAGTATCTCCTCCGAAATTACGGTACTACGATCCTCCTATACTCCTATAGGAGGGAGTGGAGGCACACGACGGAACACTAACCGAAAGTGAGCAGTCCATGATGAGGGAGAGCGCATCCCGACTCCATACTAGGAGCCCCTAGCCTAGACAATTCTCCTCTCCACGGAGATACCTCAGAATCCCTAGAATCATCGTGGATGCGCTGTTCGCAGCGTGGCAGCTGCAGATACAGGTTGGCCACGCCAGATGGAGCAGCGACGGTATCATCCCAGCCAAGTGGAGACGCGCTGAGTGGTGCATGAGGCTGGCGCCCGAAGGGATGGAAGGATGTGACAGCGGATCGCCCTCTAAGCTGGTTAGCCACCGCACGGGGCCGTCTGGGCGTGTACCTGGATCGATCTACCGTGATAGGCTGGCAGTTGGGCAATTGAGCAATTGGCAACCATGGCAAGTCCGATGGCGGACTATGAACGACTATGAACGACTGATTATTCTGCAGCGCTGAGGTTGTTTCTTCTTTTCGTCTCAACCCGGCTGCGCGGTCCTTCGCGTGTCTGAATGGTTCGTGCTTCACGCGACTGGTCCTCGTTCTGCGGTTCGCTTTGTCACGGGCCAACGGGGCTACCCATGGGTCTGCCGCCAACTCCTTGTCAAGGGAACCCTTGTGCTTCTGCTTCTTTTTCATGCGATGGGTGATGGAGTATTTGGGGGCGGGGCGGGTGATTGATTCATCAATGAGAGGCTAGTGAACTAATACTTTCTGGAACTATTAATTTCTCCCAGCCCGCTCCCGATAAGCCTCCCTCTTTCGGGGTCCCCTCCTCTTCCTGCTGGCCACTGGCCACTGGCGACTGGCAAGAGAAGCGGTGAACATGATACAAGCCATCCCTGCTGATCTTGTCGCTTGGAGCCCCTGATCCACTGAATGACGAGCATACCGTCGCCATTCGGGGATGTGGAGATCCTGCATCGCGAACCCCAGTCACCTTGCACACCCTGGAGATTCGGACAAGGGACCGCCAATCACTGCAGACCACCTCGTCCCTTCCCCCCTCTTTTCTAGCGGTTGGGCAAAAGGCAGTCCTTCACTCCTGCGCTCAGGTATTATCTCCGGAATCTAGATCGGGGCTGTTCATAGAAGTTCATAGAAGCGTGCGCTGTACCCCCCGGTCGATAGGCGATCTCTCCCCCTTTTGAACACTCCTTTGACGAGTGGCACCCCCAACTCTCCGTAAGGCACTCCGTATGTGCGATGATCTCAACCGATGGCGAAATGACACATCCGACAATCCTCGGGCTTAGGCCAGCGCGGCGTCCCACCGATTCCCTAGTGGGCGCAACCGAGCCTGGCGCCGTCTCTGGGTTGGGCGCCTGGCGGGAACCAAAAGACTAGTTCGGGGCCACAGAGAGGGGTTGCGCCTTTCATGCCCAACGCCAAAATTGCACCTCGGCCGGTTGGCAATGGTTTCGGCTTTTAGTGACCGACTTACTCGGTATCCTGTCCACTGGCTGCGAGACAGCCTTGCTCATTCAAATGAACGAGAGCCTGATACACATGTTTCGACTATGTTCTCCCACCCTAAAGAGGTACTCCGTGCAGAACTACAGACTGTCGGCATATCTATCCACCTTCCTTCACCATTCAAGCCTAAAATCGGGGTTTCTGCTCCACCCCTCGGCGGCTAATCTGCTAGACTGTCGGCAACCGCCATCTCATCTTAGCCCTATGGTAAGTATGTAGATGCTGGGAACCGACTCTCTCATAGCACTGGGTCAAGTTGCCAGGCCCGCCACAGACCGGGCCCATTTCATCCTCAGCCACGGTGCCCGATTCTCTGTCCGTTAGATGCCCATTCGCAATTCCGAGTCTCTAGGAGAAACTCTGGACGGGTTCGACGTTATCGGCGGGGCCACTCGGTTGGAGGGGCTCTCTGGTGGAAGAAAACCCCGGCGAAACAACCCCTCTCAACCCCTCTGCCACCCAGCGCCATACATCCACTCTCGTCGCTGTGGCGAGAAGTCTGAAGGTGATCGAAGTTGCGGTCAAGCTATTTGCCACGGGTCTGGCCTTCTCCAACTTTTTTGTTAGCCGGGCTTTGTACATCTCGAGTAGACGAGATGCGCTAAGCTACGGGGGCACACCAGAGTGCCACACGAATTGGCCAGAGACCACCCGCCGTGTAACGTGGCTATTTATATTTCCAGTGTACTGTAGTTGCCTCAAACATGATCTGGATCCATCTTTCCAAGCACTGTAAGCATTCCCTCCATAATGATATAGCAATCCACAATATTCACGCCTGTTTCTCTGTCGGTACTGAAAAGAGCTAGGTCACATAGAACATAGTTTATACTGTGGACTCTTCGACAACGCCGCTGGGCTGTGGCCTAGTCGATCATGTACGACAGCGCATCCGTGTGGGTTCTAATGGAAGCGGCTGTCCGTGCAGACATCAAAAACGTCGGGAGTTTTCGCGCTACATGTGCGACGAATTTTAGGGACCCACTGGCTGACAACCCTGACGGACCACACTGGATACAATTCTAAAGGATCTCTGATGATAGGGTTGGCCTGATCAGTGGATTCAGAACATGTAGTCTCATTGATGGGAGGCGGGGGTTTTTGAGATGGTCCCGCCCGCGTCTGCGCCAATCCAGGACTTTCGCCTCTCCGTTCGCGACCCTCAAATAAATCGCTGCGAAGGTGTATTTTTCATGCTGATAGGTCAAACACAGATCATGTATCTATGCATCCATCTATTCTTGGACTTTGTCTCTCGTGGTTATACGATAAGAGGGTGAAAAGATACATGTTTGTGCCTCGAGAGAACACAGGTCTTGTTCGCAGATCCCCCGTCCAAAATAAACACCACTTATTGCACGAGAAATGTGAAATTGAGAGAAACAATTAAGGGGCAAAGTTCTACAATGATCATGCAGTCGGTTTACCTAAGACACCCACAAAGATAACTTACCTACTTCAAGTCCCAATTGTTCCTGAAGCATGTTTGTGCATGCCTCAGGTGTCAGGACTACGCTCTAACCAATTTGGGATAGCTGACTGATTAGATAAGCAATCTCCAAATTCTCTCGGGCTTCCCCCCCACCAGGAAATGTCACCGGCGACGCAAACGAGCACGCTTTCTCTCCCTGATCACTGCGTGGCCTGAGATCGCCGAAATAGCGTCTCTTCAGAAATCGGATTTCTAGCCACAATGCCGCCGCGCAAGAGGCCGCAGGCCGCTGCGGCCACTCAGCCCCGGCGTCCCTCGGAGGTAACAAAACTTTTTTGGGCGGCGCGCAAACAACTGCACAGTCATACTGATCTAACTTTTGTTCTATGTCACAGGCTGGCCAACATTCTGCGACCGAACCTCTCAAGAGGAAGCGTTCTTCCATTGTGAAGGAGTCGAACCGACCGGCAGAGCCCACCATCACCAGCGGACAGCCCGGTCAAACCGAAGAACCGGCGTCGAAATACCAGCATAAGGATCCCTTCGATGCGCTTCTCGAACCGTTCTACTATAGCAAATCTCTTACCGATCCTATCGATACCGCGAAGGATAAATGGAACCTGCTTCCGGCGTTCCTCAAAGTCAAGGGCCTGGTGAAGCAGCACATTGACTCATACAACTACTTCGTCGAAGTGCAACTAAAGAAGATCGTCGAGTCGAGCTCTACAATTCGCAGCGATGTAGACCACCAGTTTTACATCAAGTTCACCGATATCTATGTTGGGTCGCCGCGGCGCGCAGATGAGACCCAGGACGCTGGTATCGAATTCCAGTCGGACGTGACCCCCCAGGAGTGCAGGCTTCGAGATACTACCTATGCCGCGCCAATTCTGGTCGATTTCGAGTACGTTCGTGGCCGGCAACGTGTTATTCGCCGAGGTGTTTCGATCGGGCGGATGCCGGTCATGCTGCGCAGTTCAAAGTGTGTGTTGGCAAACAAGACGCCTGCGCAGATGACAGTTCTAAACGAATGCCCCCTGGATCCCGGTGGTTATTTCATTGTGAACGGTACCGAGAAGGTTATCCTGGTTCAAGAACAGTTGAGCAAAAATCGAATTATCGTGGAGACGGACCCGAAGAAAGAGATTGTCCAGGCTTCAGTGACCAGGTACGTTATTGAATGGATGCAACCTCCTGGACCCCGAACACGCTTGCTGAATCTTTCATAGTTCTTCTAATGAGCGAAAGTCGAAGAGTTACATCGTTCTCAAAAAGGAAAGACTCTACGTGAAGCACAACGTGCTGAGCGATGACATTCCAATTGTCGTGCTGCTCAAGGCCATGGGTATTCATACAGACAAGGAGATGCTGCAGCTGGTCGCCGGTTCCGACAGTTTATACCAGGACGACTTCGCCATCAACTTTGAAGAGGCTATCAACCTTGGTATCTTCACTCAACAACAAGCACTTGACTGGATCGGTTCTCGTATCAAGATCAACCGCAAGACAGGCGCATATCGCCGCACCCATGTTCAAGAGGCCGTCGAAGCCATTGCATCCGTCATCATTTCCCATATCGAAGTCAAGGACATGAACTTCCGGCCAAAGGCCATCTACGTTGCCCACATGGCTCGCCGTGTTTTGATGGCGAAGAATGATCCGTCCCTGGTCGATGACCGAGACTATCTGGGTAACAAGCGACTAGAACTGGCAGGTCAGCTGCTGGCTCTTCTTTTTGAGGATCTTTTCAAGAAATTCTGTTTCGATATCAAAATGAACATTGACAAGGTTCTGAACAAGCGAAACCGAGCTGAACAGTTTGATGCTTGGAGTGTGATGAGTATGCACGGCAACCATATCACACAAGGTATGAACCGAGCTATTTCCACAGGAAACTGGAGCTTGAAGCGTTTCCGCATGGAACGTGCAGGTGTCACCCACGTTCTCAGTCGGTTGAGTTACATTGCTGCTCTCGGCATGATGACTCGTATTAGCAGTCAGTTCGAGAAGACGCGAAAGGTCTCTGGCCCCCGTGCCCTTCAGCCATCGCAGTTCGGCATGTTGTGTCCCGCCGATACGCCCGAAGGTGAAGCCTGTGGTCTTGTCAAGAACTTGGCTCTAATGACGCACATTACCACCAACGACGAGGAGGGCCCAGTACGGAACTTGATCTTCATGCTGGGTGCCGAAGACATCTCTACAGTCAGCGGAATGCAACTCTATGCTCCTGGCAGCTACACCATTTCCATCAACGGTACACCCACTGCGCTGACACGGCGACCGAAGTATTTCCTCAACGCTTTCCGCCGGCTTCGCCGTATGGGACGGATCTCGGAGTTCGTCAGCATCTACATCAACCACCATCAGCGAGCTGTGCACCTCGCAACGGATGATGGGCGAATCTGTCGACCTCTTATTATCGTTGAAGACGGTAAATCACGGGTGCGGCGACACCACCTACAGAAGCTGCGTGACGGGCGGATGTCATTCGATGATTTCCTGGCCCAAGGCCTGGTCGAGTACCTCGATGTGAACGAGGAGAATGACTCGTACATCTCCATCTATGAGAAGGACATCAACGAGGCTACTACTCACCTCGAGATTGAGCCTTTCACCGTTCTGGGAGCCGTCGCTGGTCTCATTCCTTACCCCCACCACAACCAGTCTCCTCGTAACACCTACCAATGTGCCATGGGTAAACAAGCTATTGGCGCCATTGCTTCGAATCAGTTCCAGCGAATTGATTCCATCCTCTATCTCATGGTCTACCCACAGAAGCCCATGGTGAAGTCTCGGACTATCGAGTTGGTCAAATACGACCAATTGCCCGCCGGTCAAAACGCTACAGTTGCTGTGATGAGTTACTCCGGTTACGATATTGAGGATGCCCTGGTCTTGAATAAGGGATCTGTGGATCGCGGATTCGGTCGATGCCAAGTCTTTCGTAAATACGTCACCAACCTCAAGAGTTATCCCAACGGCCTGAAGGACCGCCTGAACCCTCCAGAGTTCGAGAACGATGCCCCGATCCGCAAACATGCACTTCTCGAGAGTGATGGTCTTGCCGCTGTGGGTGAAGAAGTTAAGAGCGGCGAGGTCTACATCAACAAGGTTACCCCTGACCAGTCGCACACGACTGGCCTTGGTGGTTCTGACTCGGGCAAGCCGCTCTCCTGGAACGCCGCGCCCATGACGTACAAGCTCCCTGATCCTGCCTACATTGACAAAGTCATGGTTTCAGCTACCGAGGGCGAGACACAGCTTCTCAAGATCCTGACCCGGCAAACCCGCCGCCCCGAAGTTGGCGACAAGTTCTCCTCTCGCCACGGACAGAAGGGTGTGGTGGGTATCATTGCCGACCAAACAGACATGCCCTTCACCGACTCCGGTATCAACCCTGACATCATCATGAACCCCCACGGTTTCCCCTCTCGAATGACAGTCGGTAAAATGCTGGAGCTGGTTGCCGGCAAGGCAGGCGTTCTCTCCGGCCAGCACGGCTATGGTACTTGCTTCGGTGGCAGTCCCGTCCAGGAAATGTCCCAGATTCTGATCGACCACGGCTTCAGCTACGGCGGCAAGGACATGCTTACCTCCGGTATTACGGGCGAGCCGCTGCCCTTCTACGTCTTCACGGGTCCCATCTACTACCAGAAGCTCAAGCACATGGTTCAGGATAAGATGCACTCGCGTGCGCGTGGTCCCAAGGCTACTCTGACTCGCCAACCCACTGAGGGTCGTTCGCGTGACGGTGGTCTGCGTCTCGGTGAGATGGAGCGTGATTGTCTGATTGCCTACGGAACTAGCCAGCTCCTGCTGGAGCGTCTCATGATCTCGTCTGATATTCACGAGGTTGATATCTGCGAGAAGTGTGGCTTCATGGGATATCTGAACTGGTGCCCTGGGTGCAAGTCGTCTCGCTTTGTCGTGAAGATGTGCATCCCTTACGCTGCTAAGCTTCTCATCCAGGAGCTGATGAGTATGAATGTTGCTGCTCGTCTGAAGCTGGAGGATGAGTTCCCTGAGATGAAGGGCCGGTAAAGGAGGTACCTCTTGGCTTGTAGAATTGGCTGGTGTTGGTGCAACAAAAAGTATTTCGAGTGCATGGTTTCTTTAAGTGTGTTATAATCTTTGCATGAATGGCATAGCGCGGCGATTTGAACATTCTAAGCCCGGACAACCTTCTGGTCAATATTGTAGAACAAATAAGCATGCGATTGAGAAGATTGTATAAAAATTTTCAAGAGAAGTAGTCCAATTCAGAATTACCAGAACAATTCCTGTAAACAGCCACCATTATACTCTTCTGCGCTTTTCAAAGCATCACAACCCGTGACTCAAATGCCACATGCTGATACCGCTCAAACTCCGCCATCTCCTTCAATACCTTCATCCGCGTCTCCAACGCCTCAGTCAACGACATGGGCATTTGTCCCCTCTTATCTTTATTATCCAGCGCCAGCCTCGCCATTGCGGTTTGGAGATCTTCACTAGTCTCTTTCACATCCAACGTCCAGTCCAGTCGCTGCGGTGGGATATTCGCCGTCGAGATGATCCGTATATTCGGGTCGACCATATAAAACACCAGGCCGCGTACGTATCCCGGCTTTGATTTGTCTTTCAGCTCGAAGCGTGTCAGTCGATGCTGTATTGTGCTTGGAAACATCACCGTACGGCCTAGGGTGCATTTGATTGCGCCTTGGTGCTGGATGGCTGGCTCCCCATTGTCGAGGCCGAAGACTTGATTCATCCAGATGAAGTCGCCAGGCTCGTGTTCGACGTCACCGAGGCTCCCAACCTCGATGATGCTGCGGAACTCCATAAAAGGGTCTTCCATATTGTCCTTGTCGAAGATGAGGAACGAGGCGGCACAAATGTGCTCATTCTGTTGCGGCATAATCAGATCTGATATGGTTCTTGAGACAGATTTGGAGTAACCTACCATTTGACCTTCCACGTGCCACTCGGTTTGATAGTTTGGATCTTCCGGCGTGAGATCGACGCCTAGAATGCGTGTGATTACCTGCAGGCCGCGGTCCTTGTAGTCCTGATTGAGCGAGACACCCTGTTCGATGCGAACTGGACTCGGCAGGTCCTCGGGAAGCCTGGACATCAGGGACGGAGGCACAGCCCAAGGAAGAAAGTTACCAACATCAGGCTGAATAGCTTGAAAATGATTCAGTCTCCACTTTTCATACCGCTCATCAAACTCGGTCTGGGCCTCTCTGCGCTCCATTTGTGGCGATCTATCAAGAACTTCCTGGAGGACAGGGTAGTACTCGGCTTTGTGATATTCAATCCGTGCGCGAGAATGCAGCATGTCCTTGAGCGGTGTCATGGTCATATTCCACTGCGGAACGATACAGTTGAATGCGTCCTCGATGATCTTGTAGATATTGCGGTGCTTCTCTGGATGTAGATTGTTGATGTACGTAGCAATATGCCAACGATCATCATCGCCGAGCTCAAAGTCACTTGGTAGGATCTGGTAGTGCCGACGGTACGGTCTGACCTCGATGTCTGCGCGCGCGAATACCCGCCAAACCATATCTTCTCGAGTAATTCCGGTTTCTTTGGGTAAGGGGATGACTTCACCCTGGCCAGCGTGCCGCAGCGCCTCATCTACCCGGATGGTCTTATCAGGGAGGATACGGCTCTTGCCGTATACAAGGGGATATAATGCCTCGGCGAGGAGATCGCGTTGCTTGTAATTACTTCCCGGATGGTAAAAGTGTAGCTCAGGGTCCACATACTCCAGCACTGTGGTCTCGGTTCTCAACCTCTCCAGAAGCGAAGCCGGCACGTTTGAATCGGACTTGGTAACGTCGCCATTGTACAGGCCCACAGCTTGGCTTAATTCGTAGATCAGGGCTTTGTACTTGAGCTCGTCGATGATCCAGTTGGCCATGTTGGGAGTGATGTCTGCATCACTATTCAACGCCATGTTTTTCCACTGGTCCGCAACACCAAAATGATGGATCTGCAAGGATAAATATTAGATTCACCGTTGTGATGGCACAAATTGCGATATATATTGTTTGTGGATACCTTTTTCCACCACTGTGGAATGTCAGTCAACTGCTCCATGAAGGCGACCATGCCGATTTCTCGAAGCGTCTGGGCAGGTTGCCTGTTTTGACAATCTATTTAGCTTTGGCCCAACTTATCTTCCCTGGATGCATACTCAGTGTATCCATTTTCGATGTCCCTGTCATCCAGAGCGGATGGGAACATGCTCCGACTCTCCACGCCGTAGATATTCTTCGCAACCGGTGCGAAGTCCAGTGGCCGGCCATACCCGGGAAGAAGGAAATGACAATCCCGGGTCTTACAGATCGCCTGAGCATCTTGCTCGTTGGGAGGACGCCGAAACATTGCGGCAATGGCGAGGAAAAATGACTAGAGAGATCCCGTACTTAACTCGCGCTCATGAATATGACAACTTACGCTGGTCAATCAATGTCGAGATCGGAACAGATAATACACGTGGAAGAGGAGAAGATATGGAGAGCAAGAGTTTTGTGCCAGGGAGCTTTGACGGGAGACAGGGAAGGCCGGGCCAAGACATATAGTACAATGATGCACCGCTGTCGTCGTTGCTCATGTACAGTGTGGATATCTAGCAGAGCTATTACGCCGATCGGTAGAAGACACGGAACCGTCTTCCAGTCCCTAAGAGGTATGGAGCTTGGTGTTTGAACGCTCAACGGTGCAGTAACTTGGCCTAGATGATGGTCATAGTGACTACACAGCCGGACGAACCGTGGGAGGAGGAAAGCCAATTGCCAGCCGAGGGAAACATGCAACAGGCCGCGCTATATATCTCTTCCTAAGAATACCCCTGTACAATAGCTGAATAGAGCCAATCATAGTCTAATACTGTATTTAATATGAACCCTTCAGCCCGCAGAGGATACAGCTGTGTTGGAACTCCCGCCATCCATCGCCCATGGGAAGTCCCAGGGAATAGTCTCAAATCATGCCGCTTCAGCCGCTTCCAGATATTCCTTAACGATGGACCAGTACCGCTCCGGCTGCGCTCTCATGTGGCCAACATGCGGCGTTCCTTGGAATTTCTCACGACGAACCGCCCAGCCGGATGCTTCCGACTCAGACGCGTGTCTTTCCACATCACGCCAATCAACCAGATCATCCGTGTCGGAGTAGATATAGCAGCGCGTGGGGACGCCCTTAGCATTGGCAGCTTGCACAAGCGCAGTATCATTGATCGCCTCGCGGGCAAGGCTGATGGCATCTGGAGACCGGGTGAGAGTCTGAAAAGCCTTGATGAGGATCAAAGATACCCACAAGGCGCTCTTGCTTAGCAAGCGCAAGATCCACAGTTTGGGCAGCGCAAAGGAAAAGGCTCTCATTGCAGCAGCAGTACTCGCGGTGCCTGGGGCGCTATCCACAATCATCGAGGAAATCGGCAACGAGTTTCCGGTTGCGTTGCGGTACGCCTTCAACAGGTGGGTGGTACGGAAGAGACCGCCATTGGAGAATACGTGCATAAACACGGGGTTTTCAGGGTTCACAGAAGCGCGAAGTGCGTCCACCGCAGGCGCAACTCGGGCCTGCTGCGCGCTGGCCGTGGAGCGGAAAAAGAAGTCATTTGACGAGCTGCGGATGAAAATGATTCGGGCTGATGGTACTATGCGTCTATATTCAACCACGTACTTGGCGAGCGCGCGGGGTGGGGCGTTCATCCAGAAGGCAATGAAGATCAGTGGCCGATCATCTTCCGTAGTTGTGTCTGTTGGGTTTTGTATATAGACTGAAGGACCCAGCTTGCGGAAGGGTGCTAAGGGATTCTCAGGGTCCGGTGCCATGGTGGAGGCGGTACACGTTGATTTGAAGATGCGCGTCGCGGACAGAAGAGGTTTTCGGGCGCGATCGCCGGCCTGCCAAGTGGCCCCGGATATCAAAGCCTTCTGGATTATTGACAGTGAACTTAGATAGATCTGTAAGGAAGGAGAGATTATGGTGATTTGGATTTGATCAACAAAGCCGTCCACTCTCGAAGATATCTTGGGGATGTGGATAGTATACTTTGACCCGATTCATTCCCTCTCCCCTTTTAATTAGACGGCTACGCAGCTTAGGCCGAGGCCCGAATGCGACACCGGGAGGTACTTCTGCAAACTACCCTACGAGAACACTACGAGACGGAGTTCATAGGGAAAAACCATGTATTTTCAGTTTTGAAACCAGAGAAAACCCGAAAACGCCTAATCCTCGCTATGCCAGCGTAACAAAACCCCCCCGCCACGCACTCTAACGGCCTCCTATTTAAAGGTTTTCATCATATCGTGCAGGCTTGATGGTTCATTAAAATCGCAGATCTCCAGCTATCTTAGCGCTTGGTGCTACCAAGGGTTCGACCGGCAGCCTTGCCCTTCTGGCTGTCGGCTTCGCTACCTGATGTGGGGGTTGCGGATCCACCTCCGTCCTTTCGCTTTCCGCGTAGGGTCTGACCGATACCCTGGAACTTGGGCTGATCTTCTGGGATCACTAGCCCTTTCTCATCGCGAGGCTTGGCCGGCTTGATCGCGTATCCAAAGAACAGTTGGTTGGGAGGTAACCGAAGAGGCTGGGGGCCGTTGGTCCTCCGGATTGGTGGGGGGTGCTGGGGATTTGTAGCGCCGGGCGTCGGAGTGCTGGCCTTGGGAGTAGGCGCTTTGCTGCCCTTCTTTGCGTTGAGACGCTGGCCTTCCGATAAGAAGTTGGAAGACACGGCCCGGGCACCAGCAGCGGCGTCGGTTGACTCGGGGGCGATGGCGGCATAATTGATAGACTGCGCCATGCTCCCTTGAGGGTGTAGTAATCCGCCTGCAGGTAGCTTCCCTCCGCTTATGGCACTGCCAGGTGTGCTGGTGCCACTGGTCCGCTGTGGCTCTTCGTATCCAACTGGCGGGGCAAAGTCGACTTCTAGATCGGTTTCCAGAACCGACACCGCATTCTTGGACCCAGAAGGCTTGGTCTCTAGGACTGCCATCTCATAGACCTGATCATTATAGGCGAATGTGAACACATCGCCCTTGGTGAGACATGAGAAATTCCGGAATGCGTTTTCAAGGACGGCCTTGGGGTCGCTGATGTCAAGGAATGAGGTGGACTGTGCTTGAAGCTTGATAAATTGACCAGGAGGGAGATCTGTAGACTTGATCTGGAGCAGATCGCCGGGCTCTAACAACAAGGTTTGCATGAGCTATGGAAGAAGCTGCTGTCAGTATTTCGCGCAAACCAAGTATTCAGCAGTTTAACCTCACTAACCCAGAATGGTAGGTAAATCTTGCCCTCCTCAGCGATAAACTCCAGGACACCCGCATGTGTCATTCTCTCCTTCGCACCATTGTGTAGCTCGAATAGCATGGGGTAGGTAATGTGAAGGCGTGTAAGCTTATCTAAAGCACTGGGCGGCATGATGACCTTTCCACCATGGTTCACGTTCTCTCGCTCAGGGCCGGGAAGCATGGCAACAGGGTAGCATCGATAGTATTCATCGAAGCGACGGGGTGCGGCACCTGGGCGCATCAAACTCGCACCGAGAACACCGTCCATGATGTCGTCGGACCAATAGTCGGGTCGGAGCTGGAGCTATTAGGAGGAGCTCACAACGTGCGGCAAAGGGAATGCAAGCGGAGCTGGGCTCACCATGATCAAGTAGGTACCTTGAGTAGGTAAGGAGTGGATCCTAAAAATTTGACGGAGAAAGAAGGCGTTTCAATAACCAAAGGAAGCCGTGGGGAGGGCAAGATGCGGCGTTGGAACTCGCCGAGAGTGACGCAAGTTCGCTACGCCATGATTTTCCGTTCCGACCCCGGACACGGCAGCGCAACCGGATGGAGTCGCAAGCTCGACAGCTCACCGTTTACTTGCTCCCACTTGCTATAACGTGATTTCAAAAGCATGGCAAGCTCAGATCCTCGCCCTAAGCGGGGTGGAGAAGATTTTACGCGCACCCATCACGAACAAGATGACGCCGAAGGCCCAGACAGCAAGAAACCCCGATTCGATATCCGCAACCCCTCTGCGCTCGCGCCTGACACCCTCGACGATGACCAGTTCCTAGACGCCGATGAGATCGGTCGAAGAGGCCAGAAAGTGCGCCGCAAAGCTGTCAACATTGATGGCTACGACTCAGACAGCGAGAATGAGGGGTTCTCGGCGCGTATCGAGGCAAAGTCGAAGCGCGATCGCGAGAAGCATGATGCCGAGGACGACGATATGTTCGCCGAGCTTCAGGAGGACTTTGGCGAGGAAGAGATTGACGCCGATGAGGCAATGCGCAAGAACAAGAAAAATGTTCGCTTCTTGCGAGACGATGAGATCGAGGGCCAAGTTGCGTCTTCGAAGGGTGGAAAAGCATTACATGCGGACTTGAGCAAAGGCGCCGACCAGATTGATGTTGAGGATGATGAAGAGAGTGAAAGCGACGTTGGGGAGGAGGAGCGTGCCAAAGTCGACGATGATCTGGACGAGGAGCTCGGTGCAGGCGCGAAGAAAAAAAACGCGCCTCTACTTGATGCATTCAATATGAGCGCTGAACAGGAGGAAGGCCGATTTGACGACCAGGGTAACTATGTTCGCAAGGCAGTGGACCCGGATGCTGTTTACGACTCCTGGTTGGATGGCGTGTCCAAAAAAGATATCCGGAAGGCAAGAGAGGCCGCAGAGAAGCGCGACGAGGAGAGAAAGGAAAAGGATCGCATGGACGACAGCGTGTTGACAGCAGATGTCCTGACGACTATCATTACACACCTTGAACGCGGCGAGACGATCTTGGAAGCCCTAGCTCGACTAGGAAAAGGTCTCCAACGAAAGCCTAAATGGCAGAACAAGAAAAAGAACAAGAAGAACAGTGATCCGGAAGACACCGAGATGACTGACGAAATCCCCGACGATGCCAACAGGAGGAGGGCAATCGACGCTCTTACTGGTGCCGCTGACATTCTCATGGGCCGAGGTCAACCTGAGGTTTATGACGCAGAGCGCGAGCTCTTGACTCGGCAATACCGCAACGAGACGGGCGAGAACTGGGTTGATCCACCGTCGATACCTGGCGGTGAAGATTCCGAACCAAGATCTACAATGTGGGAGTTTCGCTGGGCCGACGCTCGCGATGGCGGTGACGCCCATGGCCCTTACGATAGCGCCATGATGGAGTCATGGAAGAATGCGGGCTACTTTGGCGAAGGCGTGGAATTCCGCCGGGTCGGAGACACAGGAACGTGGAGTCAAGCAGTGAGCTTCATGCACGACTAGGAAAATGCAACCAGGGTTTAATTCAAAAATCATAAACACAAAGATCACCTCAACAAGCGCCAGTCCTATCATACATCGTTTGATGTGGCAGAAAATAAAGACCCTAAATCCAGTGTAGTTTTTCGACCCGCTAAACCGTCTTCGTTGATCCCCATTAAGCAAGTGGAAACACCGTCTCGAAAGGAAGCCACTAATCGGATATTATGAAAGCTCCATCGCGTCACCGTTGGTTGTAGCAGAGAAGTTGACCGTTCCTTGGTCCCCGATGAAGCGCTGCTCGTGTTGGTTCACGAACTTGACACTCCGAGCCGGGTCATAGAACAACCGGAAGCTGCGCTGGACGTCATCGATGCTGACCTCCTTGGCCTTGCGCTTCTGGCTCAGAAGATGCGATGTGGTGATAATGTTGCTCGCATAGCGCAAATTTGATTCCTGGCCGATCTTGGTCAAAAGGGCCAGAGCATCAGGCGAAACGTCAATCTCCTCCTCCTGTGCCCGAATGGCCAAAATCTGGCGGATCTCGTCGGCGGAGTACGCCTGGGTACTCACAATGACCAGCCGATCGAGGAAGTCAAGAGGCAGGCCGTGGGGCGATGTGTATGTGGTGCCACGAATCTTAGCCTGGCCCCGGTTACTCGCCATAATGACGATGGGAGCGAGTTCGGCCTCAAGGGCACGGTTGATATAAGAAAAGCACTCGATGTCCAACATGTGGACCTCGTCGATAAACAGCACACCGGGAATAATTTCTGCCTTGCCTTCTTCCTTCCACTCTGCCACCTTGGTGTTGATCTGGTCACGGACCTCGCTGCGGATCTCGCCAGTGTCGCCAGAAAACAGTGCCAAGAAGCCCTGTGACCGCGAGTTGATCACATCGATCTCATGCAGGCTAACCGTGTGGACAATCTCCTTGCGGACTTGGAGCTCTCCCTCGGGGCACTGCACAAATTTGGTGTCGGCGCCCATCGCGTCATAGTCTCGCGAGCGAGCGTAGGATCGGCCCATCTTGGTGATCTTGCCAGAAGACTTATCGATCGAGATAACATCACCTGCCATCACCCGTTCCTTAGTCATTGAGTCGATCATTTTGGTTCCCATGTCGTAAATCGTTTCCATGTCGGTGGTCTTAATCGTGAGTTTCCCTTGTTTATTACCCTGCATCGGTCAGTATGCGCCAGCTCATAGGTAACCCTACACACGGCGTCGCACGTACCCCAGTGACACTACGGTCAATCTGAATCTCCACAACTTCACCCTCGATAATCTCGCTCTCCTCCTTGATCCGCACACCGATAGACTTCCGGAAGGCTTGGGTGAGAGCCTCTGTCTTGGACATCTCCATTGAGAAGATCTCCGACGATGCAAGCATTGTGAAAGGGACATCAGATCCCAGAGACTGAGCCATACCCATTGCGATCGCGGTTTTACCAGTGCTAGGGGGTCCAGCAATAAGCACGGCGCGGCCCGCAATCCTGCCCTCCTTCACCATCTGCAGGATCACTGCGGCGGCTTTGCGGGCCTTCTCCTGGCCCACGAGGCCCTGAGATGAACCTCGGGGCTGCAGAGTGTCTGCATCGACGCCGAGGCCTCTGATATGCGAATGGGCGGCGATGAGGTTGAGACCGCGGAGCTCTTTGCTCTCGGCGACGGTGGAAATTTGCTGTCCGAGGTCAACGAGTCAGCATGCCCAGGAGAATATAAATTCAGATACTCACAGCAGCCATTGTAACCAATTCCCAGGAAATCAGAGTCTGAATTGGGGATGGAAGGCCGGGATCAAAAAGTAACAGAGCTTCTCTGGGAGAAACAGCAGATCGCCGATCGGGAAGGAGAGGACTTCACCGCCCGGCAGTAAACTACTCAAAGAATGCGCTTCAGGTTGGCGCCAGCTGGGGAGTGTCAGGTAGTTAACTACTGGACCCACCGAAGTCACTGGCTGCGGCCGCAGTCTGCTTTCCCCTTTCAAGTCATCGGCCATCTTCTATCCACACCTGTTTACCGGGTTATGCCCCTGGCCTTTTATATCAAACCGCTGGCCGGGCTGCGATCCTGAACGCGCAACAAGTGGTTTGAGGTGATTTCAAGACACTCCACTAGTCCGTGTGCGATACCATGAAATTATCACGACATTACTCCCATGGCTGGCTCAATATCGAATCTACCCGCCTTGCCTCCCTCTCGCCCCATGCCTCGTCCTACAAATGATCCTCGTCTGGGCTGCCCTCCTCAGAGAACACCCATCGTCACCTCACATTCAACTCTCGTCCGCCAGACGCCGACCCCAACGCAGACTCCGAACTCGTCGAGTGCCCAGGAACAACTTCAACTATTGACAAAATCGACCTCGGATGCTGATATCTCAGACTCTAGAGTTGGACCCGGGGGAGTAGTCGGTCAAAATAGCCCGATTGTCGATTACAGTCATGTCGTACCAATTCTTTTGAAGTTTTCCGAGCTCAGTGCCATAAAGGGAATCACCGAAAAAGAAAAGGCGGCGTTGCAGGATGACGATGCTTCCATCAAACGACGCCTGGAGAAGGCCAAGTCAAGAGACGCATTCCCCGTCGTAATTGAAGGTATACAGGCAGAGGAAACAGCTTCCCAATCTCAATTACGCAACCTTCAGCAATTCATTGACGATAATGAAAAGACCCGCCAACAAATGGCGGAGACCCTGTGCAGTGTGCTCCGCCAAACACCAGTATCTACACCCAGTCAAGTCCTCAGTCAAGCCTCTGATAACGACAAGATTACGAAACTGGAGGCTGAAAACCAAGAAATAAAAGCTGAACTTCAGAACCTCAAGGATTTGATTCTGAAAAAGAACGACATTCCCTTTGACATGCAGGCTCATCTCTCGAAGCTAGAGAACTCAGTCAGGAGCCAATCTATCAGCAACCATGGGGCAAATAAAAGGCTCAGGCATCTTGAAGAGTGGAAGGAAATAATGGAAACAGCCCAAACCAACGTTCTTCCGCAATCTGCTCAGCCTCAAACTCAGGCTCCAGATCTGGAACCATTACGGCAAGATGTGAAGACGGCCCAGGAAAAAGCCGATGAAACACAAAAGAAGGCCGAAGCAATTGAAAGTGGTTTCTCAGCACTGAAGGTTGCGATGGAATCCTTCAAAGAGCAGTTCGATAAACGTCCAAGCTCGGATATTTTGAGCGCATTGATGTCCGTGGAAGATCTCAAACGTCAGATCCCGGAGCTCAATAATCGACTCGGTGCCATGGAGAAGGAGCGTCTCGACTTTAAGGATACCGATGTTGCCGCTAGAGAAGCGGCAACGGCAATGCGTGGACTGATCTCCCAGTATGAGACATTGGTTAACAACCATAATGGCCGGATGCAAATCCTGGAATGCATCGGTAACAATTTGTCGACACGCGTCGAGGAGTTGAAAAAAGGATCTGATCTTTCACAACCCGAAACGTCCAACCATAATGAAGAGGTTATCATAGGGCTCAAGGAAAGCGTTGAAAAGATGGAAAAAGGCCATCTTTCTCTGTGGAACAATGTCAACCAATTGATACTTGAGACACCGAAGTCTACCAAGCAAGTGCTAAAGTGCATATCTGCTACCGAGTCGCTGGTCACTGCTGTGCGATCTTTGGAAAATAGATATTCCAACATCAATTCAGAGCATTTGGTGAGGCATATGGCGGTCGCTATGCAGGAGATGTACCCCTCGATGCCACAGGCTCTGGAGCGAATCGGCTTTCTCAAGGAATACTGTACCAAGGAGATCGCTGCTCTCAAAGAGGTGTCGCGAAATGTTAATCTGGCATCTGTAGACGAGAAACTGGGCCAGTTTCGCGAAGAGGTGTCGAATCAACTACATCCTCTTCAATCCACTCTGAAAGAGCAGGCGACAAACATCACCCAGCAACTTCACGAAATCAATGAGTTAAAAAACAAATTCCAGACCCAGTCTGACGTCTTCTCAGAACTCGGCGATTCAATACCCCAGGCGTTGCAGCAAATCGAGAGGGTCACTGTGCTTTCTACCAAGATTGGCACCTTATCTGAAGGCCTCGAGTCTTTAAAGATCAGGCTGGAAGGCCTAAACAGCGGGAACGCTAGTCAGGTGGAAGATGCCACAGAGTACCAAGAACTACCTCGCACATATGACACCTTATTAGGTCGTTGCACTTCGTCTGATCCGCAAATCAAGGACAAGCTCATAGAGCTGGCAAGACTCAAGGTTGAATTTCTGACCCGCGCGAACCAGATTGACGAGACAGTCCAGTCATTTTTGAACCGCGACGCCAGGGTCGGTCTTGAAGACGAGTGTTCAACGCGAGGACTTCCCGGACTCCCTGGATCTTCTGGCGATGATTTTCGAATCCTCGGCACTGCGGCTCGAAACACGGCCGAGCGTGACCGTCGCCAAGCCAGATCTGGCTCGCCTCACACGGTAGACGCGCCTCTGACCACCCGTGTCTCCGGTAACGGTAATGGAGAAATCGGAGCGCACCTGAAGCGTCCCCGCCAATCTACAACCTCCGATGACGAGGCTCGCCGCCCGCCAGTGTCTCCTGATCGCGTCCGCAATGCCTCTTCCGGTCCCCCGACCGAACCAGCAGCTATGAGGGCAATGAAAAGAAAGAAAGCAAAGAAAGGAAAAAACAGACAGGACATGCTATGCTGACGTTCTTCAACAATCCATCTCCCCGCTTTCTGGTTCAGTTATATTATTGTTGGAAATCCAATGCAGGTATCTGTCTATTACTCTACTATCTATTTATGGTACGTAGTATATGTGGGACTAAGACGATCCTAAAAACTTGAGCACCGCTGCACAGATCGTTAGTGCTACACTCCAATAGAGGGGAATCAAAGCGGATTACCTTGCCGGAATGCCTCCGGATTTTCAGAGATGAGCCAATGCCCCGCATCCACATCGGCGATCTGTGCATTCGGGAAGAATTGTTTGATCGCTGGGATGGTCTTGTCGGAGACGTAGGGGGATCTGGTACCTCGAACAAACAGCGTAGGACCGTTATATTGCTTGCCGTCCGACTCGGAGAACGGGAAGTCTCCCAATTCTTCAAGCGAGTTGCCGAGCACCGACAGGGGCACGCGGAACTTCAGCGTATTGTCCTCTTCTGAACGGGTGAGATTGGTGAGAAGGAATTGACGGATTGGAAGAGACTGGAGGTTAACGTTAGCCAAAAAGAGAAGAAGAAAAAGAAAGAAAGGGTTGTATGGGATCTCGCTGATTCGAATGATGATATCTTACTTCTTCATATTCTTGGAGGATCTTGTCGGCGTCCGACTGCTTGGCAACCTTCGCCTCTTCTATGCGCTGCATGCCCTGGACATATTTGGGGAAGTCGCTCTTCAGCGCAGCATTAACAGGTGCATTGTCCACGGGGATCAAGCCAGATACAAGCTCGGGAGAGCGAAGTGCCACCGTCATTGCAGCTTTAGCGCCCCTTTCCTTCAAGTCAGTATGGAACAAGAATAGATATTGGCGCGACCAAGCGATGCTAAGGGAAGCCTACATAGAGTGGCCAATCAGAACGCATTTGTGAAGCTTCTGCTGCTCGATAAACTCCTGCACATCCTCCGCCATAACACTGTAGTTATGCTCCGGGGCGTGGAAGGATTGGCCATGATTGCGCAGATCCTAAAGAAGACACATCAGCCTCATCGATAGTTCCTGGATTTGCGCTCTTTGAAGAGTACTTAGACATACCAGAGTGAATATGCGGCACTTCAAGTCCCTGGCCAGAGCTCTAGATGCGTGTTAGAAAGCGAATTCCACTAAATGAGCTTGTCACCAACATACTTGCTGATACTACGGTTGTTCTGCTTGGAACCGAATAACCCATGCAGGAACAAAATCGGATCCCGAGTCACGGGGTGCTCACTCTCCGGGACGTAGACCTGATAAGAAAGTTCGGCGCGATAGACACGCGCTGTTGAAAATGCGCGAAGCCCAATGGCGCCTCGCACATATGCCCGAGCGAACTGCATAATGCAACTGACGGTGTTCGATGTTATCGGAGATCGAGGAACGTGCTTGGCCGTCGATATTCTGGTGATCGGGAAAACGAAGCCGAGCTGACTAAGTTCTCCGACCGGAGATTGGCTGGCCTTGGACTTGTCCACGGCAAAATCCAATCTAGTTCCTAAAACAAAAACCCAATAAATTGGATAAAAATGGCTTATTATGTCTTCGTATAAACCTTCTGGTTCAATTTGAGTAACGGCAGATGCATGGAAACATTAAAGATGCACGAAGAGGTAAGCAAGCCGCAGGATATATAATCTTAAAACGGGTTCCATTGAAATCGAACCTGAGAGGTATATCTGAAACGAGTGAGCCCAGCCAAATTAATTCATAGACATCCCGCTGGCTACCGGCATGGATGGCCCATAAAATCATTTTTTACCATAATAGATACATTGTTACCCTCTTGAACTACCCCAGTCTGCCCTAGGCCCTAGGAAGATGCAACCTGCAACGGGGTTGCCAAGATACAGCGGTGGATAGACAGCGGAATCGTCGGGGGCGGCGGTCTGTGCACTAAGGGGCGGGAGATAGCGCTTGGATGACGCTGAAGATTACAAATGTCTTAAAAGGCTGACCAGTGGCCAATGTGAAGCCTTCAAGAGCATTATTTTACCACAAGTTTTCTGTAGTTGGAAGTTACCTTGTTAAAAAGGCTGGCTCTACACTGTGTTCGTTCACCTCGTCCTACGCCCAGAGGAGGATCACTCACCCCTCGTCCATTCACTCCATAATGTCTGACCAGGCGCAACCATACCTGATTTCAGTTCCCGATCACGACCTCGAAGGGCTCAAGCAGCGCTTAACATGGGCCAGATTTCCATCTCAGCTTCAGTCGGCTGACCAGGACCCCTGGGATTTTGGAGTACCAGTCAATGAAGTACAACGACTCGTGAACTACTGGAAGGATGGTTTCGACTGGCGGAGGGCAGAATCCCAGATGAACGAGCTCCCTAATTTCCATACTGACATCGAGGTTGAGGGATTCGGCGTATTGAATATCCATTGTAAGCGGTCTATGGAGCAAGGAAGCTGTGATCTCGTACTAAAGGAGCACAATTAGTTGTCCATCAGATCAGTCCAGTAAAGGACGCCATACCGCTACTATTCAGTCATGGATGTAAGTTAGTAGCTGACTCTGGACATATCGCCCATGCTAATCTTTATACCAGGGCCTGGATCGTTTATAGAGGTGACGAAGCTTTTGTCCAAGCTCAAGAGCGAGAAGGGACAGCCAGCATTCCATGTTGTGGCTCCCTCGCTTCCTAATTTTGGATTCTCCTCCGGCGTCACTCGCCGCGGATTCGGCCTTGGGCAGTACGCGGAGGTTTTGCACAAGCTCATGCTGAAGCTTGGTTACAATCAATACGGTTAGGTTCTGGGTCGATTGTCTCTTCAGCCATGCCCCAAAGTGCTAATTCAACATATGTAGTCACCCAAGGCGGAGACTGGGGCTTTTGGGTCACTCGAAGTATTGGCCTTCTGTACCCTGAGCATTGCAAAGCTTCCCACGTGAACATGATCGCTGCTCGGCCGCCTCGGTGGAGTAGCAGCCCATTTCTAGCTCTGCAGCATGCAATGACGCCATATACCACTCGCGAGAGGGAAGGGCGCAAGCGATCTGAATGGTTTGACCAAGAGGGATATGGATACAATATGCTCCAAAGCACAAAGCCGCAGACTATTGGTGTCGCACTCGCAGATAGCCCAGTCGCCTTGTTAGCCTGGATTTACGAGAAGCTCCATGACTGGACGGACTCCTACCCCTGGACCGATGATGAGATTTTAACTTGGGTCTCGATTTACTGGTTTTCGAAAGCAGGACCGGATGCCAGCGTCCGCATCTACTGTGAAGCTTTGCATGCCGGGTCAGTCTCCGGGATCACATACGATCAGCTGAGGTCCTACATACCTAATGTGAAGCTTGGCCTTGTTCATCTCCCTCGGGAGATTACGGTTGTCCCTTCCACATGGGCTGCCGCGTTAGGCCCAGTGGTCCGGCAGAGCGAACATCCACACGGGGGTCATTTCGCGGCGTGGGAGGTTCCGAATGTCCTTGCAGAAGATCTTTGGGCCATGTTCGGCAAAAAGGGTCCTTGTTTTGGGGTGATCCCTGGAAGGAATGGTTATTGATGTACCTCAAGCTTTCTTTTTCCCTCCTTGGCACGATTTTCTACAACAATCAAGGTAAATTCAACGATTTTCTCCGGAGGCTACACTTCTGTCCTGCCCAGTACCCATTGTGATCCCTTTCAAGATTTGAACGTGCGCGGCGTTACCTGAGCTGATCGACAGGGATCCTGGCAATTTGCTCTCCTTGCACGGGGGAGCTGATGATCTTAAACTATAGGTCGCGCACAGATCACTCAAATTTCCCACGTAAGAAAGGGGATAGACCCAGTTGACCACTTGAAGTCAATCGATGTTCAGTGGAAAGGCCAGGAACAGCAAAGAATTAGTTGAAATAGAAGTTTAGCGAGATAAAAAATTCACAAGGAATGCATTGGCAACCGTCAGTCTCCGGAGAGACCCGGCCAAGAGGGGCCGGCGTAGAGATGAATGGGCAACTGGGGCCGGGAGATTGTTCCACCTGACACGATGGGCGCTCTTTTCGACCTAAGAAAGCGGATACGTTAGGCAGGATACAGCAGGGTTCGCAAATGGTGGGTGCCAGAATACAAACTCGAGACTGAACAGCCGATAGAAAGGTGGCTGTGTAGCAGCTCGTGTGAGCATTTGTTATCTGATGAAGATCCACTACTACCCGAGCGGTAGCCGAGGCTGTTCCAGAAAAGAATACTACCCGTTTTTCTCCTCCCACATCATTCCTGATCGGCAATCTATCCCTCTCAAATACGAGGTGATGTCAGTGGGAATCCTCGAACCATAGTTCGGAGCTTTTGGTGGGTTTGGCGTGATTTTTTCACGGAAGCCGCGGAAACTGAGGTATATCATAGATAATACAAATGGATGTCATGAAGGCGCAGCAACGTAATGCTTCTCAGGAATCTCCTCCCAGTGCAGGGCAACAGCCACAAACCACCAACACTTGTGTCAAAATTTTGCTTGTCTGCCAGGGTCTCGAGGATGGTTGTGTGGGCCAGGCTCAACAAAAATCCCGCTACCGTGGCTTAGGGTTGCCAAAAGGGCATGTCGGTGTCGACAACAAGCTTGCCAAGATCGAAAACTTCCCGCGCTACACGGTACAAGCTTGGCTAGCGCCAAACCTAGTTCGTTATCTGATCCGCTCTCCCACCATGACCATCGCATTTCGGATCGTCCATTTTCATGTTAGGAATAGAATCTCCACAACCTGTGCTGCCAATGGCCCGTGGGTCATTGAAAAAATGGTTACGTTACCATTTACGGCTTTCAGGTGGCCCGTGACTGGCCTCTTGGTGGAGTGGATATGCAATTGGTAACTGATTGATAACCGACCTACCGTCGTTCCGTGGCCGAGGCCAAAGTCACCGCATAAATGTCGCACATCGCACATATTTCTATCATTCTTATAGTTTCAGAGAAATACGGCACACTCGCTTGCAATGAGTTCCAAAGCACTCCGTTTATCGCACAATGTCTGGAGTGACAAATATTTTGCTATTGCCATAGGGGCCATCATGGCCCTATTCATCCTTTATCATTTGTGCAATACTGTATATTTGAAATATGGATCAAGAAGCCCAAATAATTTAGTGAGACGGTTTTTACAATACCGGCGGTATGTCCAGAGCGGTTGAATTTTGCAGCCCATTTTATTGACAAACGATAGTGCTCTTTCAAGGTCCTTGAACAGTTTGGTTTTCGGGGTACCCATTGACCAGTGGTTGCTCTATTTTGTCTACTGGGCCATTAACTTGATCCTCACTTTGATAAATGTTGATCTCACTAATATAATAAATGTTTGTTCCGCTCTTCCCCCTCTGTCTCCTCCCGAGAAGAGCTCTAGAGCGCAGTGTCTGACTCGAACTCTAGGTTGCTAAACGCCTTGGCTGGTACGCGCAGAATTCCGGCCAAACGGTTTGCTCTAGCTAAGATTATGTCTCTAGGATTTCTGTAGCAAATCTCGTTCTTGTGACATTCCTCTCCCTCAAGCACACACCCCTCGCGCCATTATGTGGACGGTCCTACGAGAAACTACGTCCACTCCACAAAACCGCAGGCTATACATGCATTACCACCAGTGTTTTGCATGCGATCGTATACTTAAATGCATGGGCCCAGGCACATGAGTTAAAAAACATGCGTGAGAGAAACAACCTCACCGGTGGGTTTGCAGGGTTGGCGATGGTCATCATTGGCATATCTACAATCGGCTGGTTTACTCGCAGATACTACGAATGTATGTGAAATCGCATGTGCCCTATGGCTTCCGGGTTACTAACCAGGGAAATCTAGTGTTCTATATCATCCATGTCGTGATGTTTATGTTGATCCTGATCTTGGTCGGAATGCACCGACCAGAATTTTCCACCTCCACAGTGAAAATCATCATCTTTACCGGGTGCCTATGGTTTTCCGATCGTCTCCTTCGGGGGTTCAAGCTGGCTTGGAACTTCTTCGGGAATTATGCGATAATCACTCCTATGGAAGATGGTGCCGTCCGAGTCAAGCTGCACCGTAACCTCCACTGCACCCCAGGCTCCCACGCGTTCTTGTGGATGCCCTCTGTCCGCTTGATGGAAACTCACCCATTCACACTTGTTTCAGCCGAGCCCGCCGAATTTCTGGTTCGCAGATATGATGGCTATACGAACGAACTGTATGAAATTGCTCGAAAGCAGCCAGGGATCATGCTTCGGTGCTCGGTAGATGGAGGGTACGGTCAAATCCCCAATTTCGTGAACTTTGACCGTGTGATCCTGCTGGCGGGTGGCAGTGGTGCGAGTTTCACGTTTGCCCTTGCACTCAGCTTGATCAAGGAGTGTGCAGCTGCAAACATCTCCAAAACAATTGATTTCATTTGGACAGTGCGATATTCTGGTACGTCGTGTTTACCCCAGGATCTGCAAATAGGGCGAAAGCTGATACTCAAGCAGAATCCCTAAACTGGTTTGAGAAGGAGCTCCAACAACTCGAGGAAAGCCCTTGCGTGAACCTGTTCCTCTATGTTTCTCGGGATGAGGTCGTGTCTGCTGATTCCTCGAGCCTGGACTCCGCTTTGATGACCAGCGATGTAGAGAAAGGGAGAGAGATGGCCGACCGAACATCCCGGTGCTCCCCGCCATCCAGGGGGCGGCCGGATGTTGGTAACCTGATCGCTAGCTGCATATCTCACTGCGATTCCGAGTTCCGCATAGGCGTAGGCGCCTGTGGACCCAGCGAACTGATTGCGGCCGCACGCGAGGCGACTTCACAAAGCGCATATGACAACGGCCCGTCTATAACTCTGCACACTGAGGTAGATACCCCACCTGCATGGCAGATCGTCTTGCCGTATGGTCCAGCTAACACGGTCGCGCAGGAATTCAAGTGGTGAAACTGGGTTGCGCAAGTCGAGAAAGCCACTTGACCCAAACCAAGAAACAGTGCACAGCGTGAAAAGGTTATCCCGGGGCCTAAGCTCCTGTGGCCCAGCAAGGGAATTAAGTTCAATGAGACTTGGTCGTGTGTTCGCCTTCATCATTGATGGTACCACAGGGTCCAGCTGAGGTCGAAAACTGCGACGATGGATCGACACAGCAATAAGATCTTCAAGAGAAGAGGCCAAACTCCACTTACGCGTGGTGGGATGTGGATTGATCTCTTCTCGGGAGGAGGATCGCAGAAGACGAGCGCCCCGCCGGGCAACGGCCGCTGCCATCTGCACCCATGCGAGTGAGCTCGAAGGGTGGAAATCCACGAAACATGTGGGTGCGGCAGCGGTGTCATATTTCCTTTGGAGGTGTCGCCTTCGGTCGCGAACGGATGCACTAGCCGAGCCCCAAACCCCAGCCGGGCCCTTGTCGACGTGCAGCTCGACCCCCGCCACTCCGAGATGTCATTGGTTCCTGGGCCCCGTAATACGATGCATAAACTGCACCCTCGGCATTTGCGTGCGTCCGGCTCTCACGGAATATAGGGCTCATGCGATTTATCGATCCTTCCTAGAAGCATTTTCTTCGCTTAGGAAATATACCCCGTATTCAAAGGCCTGTTTCTAAATCGTTTTATTGGGCCCCTTGCGGGCGCTATTGGGCCGAATCTATGAACTGGCCCTAATTGAAGCATTAGCTTTGCTCCTTGCCTGCTCGCTACTTGTCTTGATCATGGGCGTATTAGTGGTTGGCTGCTGCTTCGATTTTACTTCCCCTATTCATATCTTGATCAAAACAAAACAATGTCACTCTCTACACACCACATGCATAGCTTGCGCGATGAGTTGCTATGCAACAGAATCAATCCCTCTACTCATTCGTAATGTGATACGTCGAACCCTCGCGGTCGTTTTATCCGGGAATTCTCCATTCGAAGTTGGCATTAGAAGCAAGATCGCCCAAGGTCAAAGCACAGAAAATAATCCAGTGTTCCGATTCATGTGGGAATCATTGCCGTTGGACCCTTCCGCGGCAAGATGTGGCTCGCATCCCCGTCTTCCGGTCGACCTTTTTGATTGGTAGATGCATGCTTTGTTGCAGCCGATCTACACTGTGCTCCTGATATGACAGATCTAGAGGACAGCAAAGCCCGCTTTTGCCCCTCCTCTCTCAATGGTGCCCTCTTTATATTAATCTCGGGTGATTGCAAATATTTGAAAGGATTCCAAATCGTTAAAGCTTCCGAGCGCCTCTCGCCTGTGTTTGCCTCTTGAACCCGCTTACCTGGCCGCCATGTCGTCTCAGCAATCCTCCGGTCACACGTGGACCGAGGGTGACTTTGAACATCCTAACCAGGCTATTCGCCACTCACTGATTGTGGCGCTCGTTTTTGCATTTACGTTGCCAACAGTCGCCGTTGGTCTCCGTCTTCTGGCCAGGAGACTCACGGGGAACAGACTGTTCCTGGACGATTATTTGATCATTGTTGCGTTGGTATGGCCTCGGACTTGACAGGAAAGATGATTTTCATCATCTAATGCTACAGGCATACTTTCGGTGGCATGGTGACTGACTTGCATGTTAGCTATTCAAGTACGGATGCTCGATTGGTGTTGTAATTCGTGAGTCAGGAGAACGCTATTTGGATACATGGGACTTCATGCTGATCGGAGGTATCAGTCCTCTTTAATGGCCTGGGCTCGCATATCGAGACTGTTCCGAAGGAGAATGTCGAGCGTTTCTTCAAGGTACATCAGCACTCGCCCCAATGTGGTATAGGATGCACGAACTCTAATTTTCGCTAGATTGGGTGGGCGAACCCCTTCGTCTACACTGCCAACGTGATGTTCATCAAGCTCTCGATTCTGGCGCTATATCGACGTTTATTCTCTACCAAGTATATGTTATTTGCCATCTATACCATGGGAATGGTCGTGATTCTCTGGGCCGTGACCATCTGGGTAGCTGCAACTCTGAACTGTATCCCAGTGCCTAAGTTCTGGGACAGGGCGATTGAAGGAGCCTGCATCGACCCCAACAGTTTTTATTATGGCACGCAGATCCCGAACATCGTGTCCGATGTGATTCTCCTTCTCATGCCACAGGGAGTTGTCTGGTCACTTCCGGTCGCCAAGTCCCAGAAGTTGCTTCTATCCTGCATATTCATGGTTGGCGGACTGTACGACTTCCAATTCTCAGTTGTGCGACAGGTCAAAAGTACTGACGTGATGATAGGGCCCTAATTTTTGACATCGTTCGACTACTAGCCATGCTCCACTTGTCCACCCAGGGTAATGACATCACCTGTAAGTATTTTATTGAGCAGTCCCGCCTTTTTATGCGCATCTCCCTTACACTCTGCACAGACCACCAAATGCCGGTCGTCATGTGGACCTGCACCGAAGCCGGAGTCGGTATTATTGCCGCATGCTTGCCGAATCTCCGGCCCCTGTTCAAGGTAGGAGGCCGCAGTTTCTGGTCGCAGCTCCGATCCATGAGCCAGGGTTCAGGCAAGGCGCATCTTCACCCAAGTAGCACGGGTACCTCAAGCACGACTGGCAACGTCAGTCTGGCAAAAGGGCCTGTTGATTCTTGCGTGGCCGAGGAGGGCATTGAAATCCATCGCTACAGCAACATAATTGCAGCCTCGGAGAAGTAAACCTTGCACCATGGGCTGCTGATATTACAAATGAAAAGATCAAGGAAAGGCAGCGCACGATTGATGGCGAGGCGCATATCGAAGAACGGCATGATGTTGAGATCTGGGAAGTATATGCCGTGTTTTACCTGTTTTTGTTTTCTTTTTCAATCTTCTTCGCGAGATACTCCCTTCGGCAATACTTTTTTTAATTGAGATCCCAATTTCTTTCGTTAGCTAGGTATGGCACTTTCAATACCGACAAAATTACTTCATAGATCTTCTCACTGGCCTTTAGTTTATCTATATGTTCAATTTGCAAGATTATGCCTGACTAACGATAACCACCGGTCCAGAGTACCCCTGCTCGTAGTGCTGTCCGAACATGCACAAAAGCGGGACAATCTGGGCTATGATTTCCGTTTTTGCTTAAGGACTGCAAAGTCCGCTAGCATTCAGCTGCCATAACTCCCGTAGGAAAACCCCCAACTTTCAATAAGGCGAATGGTCATCCAGATCGGAGAGACGGTATCCATACCGTGGTAAATTCGCTTTGATGGCGCGCAAAACAAAGCATTGGTTTTTTACCTTGGATGTACTCTTCGATCCATGAAGGCTGTGCTAGTGCGTCCCTTTGCCACGCGAGCGGTAGAACTGAACTAGATTCGCCTGCCGAGCGCAATTTATCAAGCATTATGCAGGCTACCACACAGTGGTAGTCTATTGACTAAGCACTGGGCAACTAGTCAAGACATTGTCGACACGAAGCGCATTTGATTTGAAGACCGCAGGCACTCGCGGAGACATTCGGAGACAATCAAGTCCGACGTTTGTACTATCGCATAAAAACCTTATGAATTGTCTAAGGTCGTACAATCACCGAGGAGTCCATTGATGAGGAAAGCCCTGCAAGTGATCCCCGACAGGTTCGCTCCGCTTGCCTTCGCGTCAAGCGAGTCGGAGCCTGCCTGGGCCTCGGACCTAGTGAGAAATGCCAGGTCCCCACCAGCCACAGACCCTTCATCCGAGACTATAACCGGTTGGATTGCTAGTCGGTTATGATATCTAGATGTTAGTGGAGTAGGAAACTTCCAGGTCACTCAAATATGGAGACTGCCGAGCCATGAACGTTATAAAATGGCGTTTGAATCGAGAAATATTTCCACCACCACAGATAAACCACGATCGGCAAAGCTCGATATCCGTTCTTTCAAAACGTAAAATGCGGGACTGAGGCTCGATGTCCGCGTGGGAGTCACAAAAATGACGGCTTTACATTTATCTCCAAGGCATTTTGCCATTCAGTCGCGGATTTATGGGCAGCCCGGGGATTATCTGCGCGGGGGGCTTATCTCCGCATGCATGTGGTTTGCGCGTCATGACTCGATGCTGCACTTCGAACATAAAAGGTATCTGGGCTTTTTCCAATGAATTTGCTGTGATGTCCATTTTTCTCAGTCTCATTTCACAAAAAGACACATTTCTCCACCTATCATACGATTGCGCGCTGCAACGGCGCCTGACCTTTCTGCTATGGGTTCGAACTATATCAACAAGGTCGCCATCGTTGGGGTAAGTCAAACCCGACCGTCGATTGCAGCCCTCCACAAACTTCGTAACTAATAACAATAGGCGGGCGGAAACAGTGGCAGCTTTATAACCGAAGCCCTGATCAAGACTGGCAAACACACCGTCACAGCTCTCACACGAGAGGGTAGCCAGAGCAAGCTTCCACCCGGCGTGATCTCGAAGTTCATCGACTACGGCAAGCCCGAAACAATTGTCGAGGCGTTGAAAGGCCAGGATGCACTGGTTATCACACTACCGGGCCAGGTCCCAGAAGATACGGAGCTGAAGCTCATTAATGCGGCTGGCAAGGCGGGTGTGAAATGGATTTTGCCTAATGAGTGGTCTCCGGATACAATGAACGAGAGTTTGGTCAAGGATGTCCCCATTTTCCAGCCAAAAGGTATGAATTCGGAGCCCACTATAGAGTCAAATCGCTGATCGTACTAGTGGCGACCCGAAAGGCCATCGCCGACCTTGGCAAGAGTGATTATATCTGCGTGTCGACTGGCTTCTGGTATGAATGGAGTTTGGCTATCCCTGCTGCTTATGGCATTGACTTGATCAACCATACCGCTACACTCTTCGATGAGGGCGAGACCAAGATCACAACCACGACCTGGCCCCAGGTATGGATGCAGCCCGAAGGCCTTTGGTTGTTCCTGATAATTAATATATCCTAGGTCGGACGCGCTGTTGCCGGCATCCTGAGTTTGCCTATCAAGCCCGAGGGCTCCGACCAAAAGGCCTGTCTCGAGAAACTCAAGAACCAGGTTGTATACACCAAGTCCTTCACCGTCAGCCAGAAAGATATGTTGGAGTCTGTCTTCCGGGTGACCGGTACCAAGGAAGCGGACTGGACCATCACCAAAGAGTCATCTCATGATCGGTATACGAGTGGTCTTAAGGAGATGCGGGAGGGCAGTGTAACTGGCTTTGTGAAGATGCTATATACCCGGATATTTTATCCGGATGGCTCTGGTGACATTGAGCATAAGGGCACGATCAATGCCTTGCTCGATTTGCCGAAGGAGGATATGGACGCCGCGACAAGAAGTGCGATTGAGCGTGCCAAGACGAACCCCTGGAGCTAGGAGACCCCAGCCTCGTCGGAGCGGCTTAGTTTCATGATCACCCCTGTGGAGGTTTATTGAATCGGCCGTGGACCCATGTGCTCGATCCATGACCTTATCTATAGTGGGACAGTAGGACAGTGGGACAATGCGAAATGAAGATCTCCAATTGAATAGTAGATAATGAAAGATTCATTTTCGAGCATCACACATGATTTTCGAAACCATATATACATTGATCGCATATCTCTATATGTGAATGTCCAGCGTCTAGCTGTCCAGCAGCACGGGGACCTTCTCGCAGAGGTACTCGACAATGGCGTCGGGCCCACGCTCGACCTGCAGGCCGGTGGGAATGGCGTGCAGCTTGATGTCAGGGACGATCGACCTGGCAATGTCGTGGATCTGCTTGGCCTCGTCGGCAGTCCACATGGAGGCGCTGAACTAAGTAGGCTGTCAGTTGGGACCATTCGGGGCAATTAGGCCCGGGCTCGGATATCCCGATCGGGAACATACTAGCACGTCCGGCTTGTGCTCCGTGACCTTGGGCGCGACCTCTTCGATCTCTGTGGGCCTGTTAGAATGCCAGATTTCTTGCGCAGGATCAATGGATCAATGGATCAATTGCTGGGTCGGAATGTCGCATAACTCACTCTCGCAGTTGTCGACGTGGATGATGGTGTAGCGGTCCTTGAGAATGTCCGCAAGGCGGCCGATGAGGCGCTTGGCGCGCTCGGGCGCAGTGTTGACCGTCACAAGACGGAAGGGGCCCTTCGGAGCAGACATAGTGGCAAGAGAAGAGAGGAATGAGGAATGAGGAACGAGAGACTGACAAGACACGACATCGCGGGGCTTGTCTGTCTTTTATTTCCGGCCGATTGCGGCGCCACTTCCCCACATCCTGCCACTTTGTGGGTGGTTTGCCTCTCCCGCCGGCTTTTCCCAGCGCCGGGGTAGACATACTCCGCGCGGCGCGATAAGAACAGGCGTGTTTCCTCCGCTGCTTTGGTGGAAGCATATACCCCCTCCGACCTCAATCACCATGTCTAAGATCGCTTCGACTTTCTCGCGTAAGTGCTTGCCCTTCACCGTGGGGTGTGCCGCAGAGACTGACTGTCACAGGCCTGGTGCGCTTCGTCCCCAAGTCGAACCCCGCCAAGGTTCTGATCGGTGAGCCGGTCGATCCCCAGCTGGACGTGGGATTGGCCCTGTACCAGGGCAAGGAGGTCTCAGTGCGCCCCTTCTCGGGCTCGTCCGTCCTCAGCCCCGGCCAGGTCACCGGCTCGACCGAGACGATCGACCACATCCTGTCTCCTCTGGCGCAGAGCGAGGTTGGATCGATCCGATGCGTTGGATTGAACGTACGTGGTGCAAATTGAGAGTACGGTAGCAGAGACAATTGCTTATGCTGTTCCGATAGTACGTGTCGCACGCCAAGGAGATGTCCCTCCCCCTCCCGGACGTGCCAACCCTCTTCATTAAGCCTTCGACTGCCCTGGCCGATCCCTTCCCGGCGCCTACTGTGCTGCCGAAGATCACCCAACAGGATGGCACCGGTGACTACGAGTCTGAGATGGTTATTGTCATTGGGCGCGACGCCAAGGATGTGCCTGAGTCTGAGGCCCTTGACTACGTTCTCGGGTACACGGCTGCCAACGATGTGTCCAGTCGGACATCCCAGATGAACCAGAGCCAGTGGTGCTTCTCCAAGGGTTTCGATGGCTCATGTCCCATTGGTAAGAGCTACCGACAATTCAATTAATGAGGCTTGAGCTAATTCGAACATCACAGGCCCCGTTCTGGTCTCTGCTGCCCTGATCCCCGATGCCAGCAAGTTCCAGATTCGCGGTCTGAAGAGCGGCCGTGTGATGCAAGACTGCCCTCTCACGTACGTGATTACCTGACTGTTTTGGTCGACTCACCGCTTTATGTACAGTACGAGCTAATCGTCGCTTTTTCATAGTGACCTGATCTTCAGCGTCCCCCAACTCATCAGCTTCCTCTCGCAGGGTACCACCCTCCCTGCTGGCACTATCATCCTAACCGGTACCCCGCCCGGCGTCGGCGCAGCCAAGACCCCCAAGGAGTTCATCAAGGCCGGCGACGAGTTCGCGGTTGAGCTGCTGCCTCACGTGGGCACGCTTATCAACAAGATCGAGCACCAAGAATGAAACCGATGACACCAACGATGACGATCACTTCATGTAACACAGACGTCGGAAATGTATATATTTGTGTGCCTTGGAAATATCTTTGATCTCCATTATTCCGACAATCAATAGCTTGCTCCAGAAAATATACCTGCCTGACACCTGTCAAATGTGCTGGAAGCGATACATTTTTAGTAAATCCGCCGTAGATCGCGCAATGCCACGCGTTGCACCATCATCGCCATAGACGACGTAGAGGCTGAGGATTGTTTCGTGTATCCTCTCTTTTCCTGACGTGCGGCCTTGCAAAAAACAAAGAAGACCGATGATTCGTCACGGAAGAGGCGACGTGAAGGGGTCGTCTACCAATCGGCAGCTCGGGAGGGATATGACTTTTTCCACTTTTCTCCCCGACGGAACAGATCTCTTCCGCCGCGTTATCGGTGCCGCAACCAGGGCGGGCTTGCTGCGTTGAGAGTTTAAATTCTTGTTGCCAAGCCCAGGTAGGTGCTTTGTTGTACGACCGTGGATGTCGTCCTATCCTCGAGGTTCAATTGGTATGCAGTGATAGAAAAGGAAACCTTGCAATAGCAAGGACCTTTTGCCGCGAACCTCATCGAATTTCGAGTTTGCTTTGATCTCCAGATAGCAAGAATCTAGTAAAATTTATCCGAGACTGTGATTCGTTGCGGTTAACTACACCTCGTAACTAGACAAGAATCAGAATCACCCAACCCAAGCACAGGCGGCACCAGCCCAACCCCCTGAAAGCCGGCCTTCGCGTATCAGACCAGCTCGTGGGCCCCCCTATACCATTTCCAGGCAGAGCCAGGAACCCCCGATGGTTTGATGGTGCGCTACGGCATATATTCGGGTTCTACCCGCTGGGGCTGTCCCGATCGGCCTGGTTGATAAAAGGCCGGTCTGCGGCTTTTTGTTTATGCCGGTTATTTTTGATATTTGTTCATTACTTTCTCTACTTGAAGTTTTTGACTTCTTCTGCTTTTTCTGTTCATTTCTTTGATCCCTTTCCCCTCCTTATTTTCCACTTTTGGCCGTTCTTATTGTCTGATCGTGGATGACCACATAAGTTTCTCGCACAAGAAGCTCTTGACTGCATTACACAGTGCTGTTCGCCATACTGACGTGACTGACTGATCCAATTGCCAATTTGTTGGGGGAAATACATCGCCGCCAGGATCATTCTCGAAACTTTGCATATTCAAATTGATGCATCTATCTATTACAGTGACCGAACGCCTCGGGCCACACCCTGTGTCCCGGGTCGAGTCCAGTCTCTGGAGTCCAGTCTCTCCGTGCCGATGCCGATTCTATATGCAGGTTCTATCCCCGAACTGACCGTCTAAATGCAAGCCGAACATGTTCACAAATCTTGTTGAAACAAAATGGCCATTACATCATGCCTCGAAACCGAAAGCCGAGAACACAAAAGGAAATTGACGTCGTTTACTGGTCTTTGTTGCGACGCCAAATCCCTCCCCGCCAGTGCAAAAGGATGGTCGGAACAACGCTGACGGCAAAGAGCATTGCACATCCAATTCCGGAGCTGGGTGCAATGCCGACATTCTCGAACATGGGAGAAAACCTGGACTGGTGGTTAGTCATGATGTTGGAGCACAATGGTTGGAAAGACGGGCTTACCAGAAGGGACCGATGAATCCCCAAATCTGGCGCACGAAGGTGATAAACACACCCACGCTGGCGGCCTCCTGTGGGTAGCAGTCTATGGCGTACGTGATCATCACCGTCGTGACCAGCTGGTTGCCAGCGGCACCAATGCCCGTGCCGATGATGGGGGTCACATTCCAATGCCCGGAGGCCGACTCCTGCGTGCAAACCAGGAATACGATGATACCGATCATGGTCAAGGCGAAGCCGAAGTAGCTCAGCCAGAGACGGAACTCGGGCTCGGGCTTCCGGTCCAGGCGACGTTGGCGCCGATTCATCCAGTGGTCGGATAGCACGCCGCCCATCTGCTCGCCAATTAGGGATCCAATGATGGCTCCCAGGAACTGCATGCCCAGCTGCTCGGCGTTCAGATCGAACTTTTCTTGCAGCAGCGAGGGCACCTCGACAGTCGTCAGGATGTTACCCCACAGGAAAACCATGGCATATGCGCAGGCAGGGATAACAATAGATGGACGGCGGACCATGGTTAACGGGCGAACAAACTCATACCAGGTGAAGGGGGTGGGATCAACCCGTCGGAGAGACATGTACTCTGTCTTCCATGTGGGCTCCTCGCAATCGACCCCCTGACCCACGTAACGGGTTTCGGGTCCCAAGAAAAGATACAGGACGAACTGGCCACCGTTGATCTACACCGAGACATCTCGTCAGCAGACTGGTCGGCTGGTCTTCAAACCTGATTCCGCAAAGGGAACTTACCATAGCCAGGATCCAGTAGATCCAGTGATAACCCACGCGGTACGTCACGAACCCGAAGATGAACGGCCCGATTGGAACACCAAGGGTGACCATCAGGGTCCAGATACCCATGTAGCGGGCGCGGTCCTTCTTGAAGGTGGTCTCCATCACGACGGCACTCCCGATGGCCGAGGCCGGCGAGATGAAGAACGCCACCAGGGCGCGGCACGCAGCGACTGATGCATAGGTTGTGCTCTTCGCACAGCCGATGTTACATACGAGACTGAGGATGAGCGACAGAAGGAAGATAGGCCGGCGCCCGAAGCGGTTGGACAGGGGCTTCCAGAAGAGGGGCGCGCCTCCCAGGATGGCAATCTGCAGCGAGGTTAAGTAGCTGGCGTTTTGCAAGCTGACGCCGAGATCCTCCGCGATGTTGGCGTAGGCGGGAATGATGGCGGCAGCGGTGAATGTAGCCATGCAGGCGTGGAATGCCACCAGGATCAGATTGATCATTTTCTACGATGATGCATCAGTGTTCCCGGTCCGTTTTCTGACCCCGGCTTCTCGGACAGGGTGTTCGTTCACCATCCGTAGGGAAGAATATCAACTCACCTTCCATTCAGGCCAGTTGTAAGGGTCGGCAGGGCCCATGCTAGGAATGGGATCGAGTTCCAGTGTGCCATGTCGTTCGAGCAGATATTCCCGATGAGCCTTGGGAAGCCGAGCAGCCACAGACTCCTCATAGGTGGCCGCCCGGCCGGCGCCTGCGCTCTCGACAAGGGCAATATCCGCCTTGCAGCTGCTGGGGTCCTCCTCGGCCTGCTGTACGGGGCGAGAAGAAGACGATTGCAATTCGACGGATGTCATGCTGGTGACAACCCAAGGGGGTATCCAACAAGGAAGCCGGCAAGCACTGAAGGTGCTAGGAAGCCCTGTTGCTCGGCGAAGGTGAAACGGTGGGTGGGTCGAGTTCTCCTATACTCGGTCCTGGATGGTAAGAGCAAACCACATAAAAAAAAGGAAATACGATGCCACCAGGACAGATTCGGACTGGAGAGGACTGTGATGCCCAAGAGAATTGGGGCACAGGGACCAATGGACGAGAAATTGACGTCGGAATGGAACTGATGACAATTTGGTACCGACAGGGCAGTCCGCTAGTTGGACGCGGAAAAAACCATGAGGGCGAGGGCTTGGCGTGCCTCCAACCGAGCCCGGTGAGCGCGCATATGCCGCGCAAGCAGGGCAAAGGATTATCTCCGGACAGCAGCCTGTCAATAACGGGGAACGGCCTTGCCCCGGGGTATTCTTTGCCGGGCCCATCGGCCCATCTGGAGAGAGTGCGGAGGGTCTCCGCCCCCGTGGACTTCTTTCGGACTTGGCCAGTAACAGGGCCAGCGAGACGACCCTCCAGGTCGTGGCGATTAGTCACGGCCCCCCATCGTGGCCCATCATGGCCCATCCTGGCACTTGAAGACGGCTACCCGAAGGCCGTGACTGCATGTCCGGCACGCTGGCCTCTGCCAAGTACCGAGCCCCGCGGCGAATTCTACTGGACCTTTTGCCCCGAGCTCCCGTGTTCCCGTGCCCCCGTACCGGTCCTCCACACCCTGGACCTTCTTCCGGGTTCTCTGGGGGGGATGTCCGGCCACACGCCAGCGCGGCTGACTGTCTATTCGAAGTGAGGTAGTATATGCGGAATCCAAGGCCAGAGAGGCAAATTTTCAAACCACTCACTCCGGCCCACTAAGACCGCCCTTGTGTCCTCGTCGGAGGGTGCCCGTGATTCGTAAGGCTTGTGGAGGCCCCACAAACAAGACCGTGGGGAAGCACTTCGTCAACGTGCCACACCCCACAATCACCTCTCCCCACGGCGCTTCCCTTCTCCTCCTCTTTCCCACACCTTTCCTCCTAAGAGGCAAAGACCATGGCGTCAATGGAGATGACGGCGCCTGCTGCGGCTGGTGTCAAGAAACTGATGTGTCGCGTGTGCCAGAAAGGATTCACCAAGGCTGAACATCTTCGAGTAAGTCGGCGGAGCCCTACCCCCATTCCCCACGTTTTGAGGGGCAGCTGTCCGATGCCAAGGCCACGCAAGGCAATCGCAGGGCTAATGGACGATCGGACAGAGACATGAGCGTTGTCGTAAGTCGAACTGTGCTCTTTTCCTCGGCTGCTATTATTGTTCGCCGGGCTCCCTACCCCACCACCAAAATACTGTAGTCCCATTCCCGATACCCTCCGTCGGCTGACCGGAAGGATCTTCCAGATACCGGATCCAAACCCTATGTCTGTAAAGAGTGTCGCCGGCCATTTGCCCGCCAAGATGCACTCACCCGCCATGAGAAACTGCATCAGCGGGACATGAATTCAAAGCAGGGCCCGTCGCCCCCTTCGGCGACCCCTTCGGCCTCGTTGGATTCCATGGCTTCTTGGGATGCCGGTAGTGTGTCCACCACTGGTCCGGCGTCGACGTCGGCGACGACTCGGTCGTGGGATGAGCCGCAGCCTGGGTCACATCATGGTCTGCATAACGCCGCTGCTGATCTGGATTTTGCTCTCATCTGGCCCGATACGGAGGGTTTGTTTCAGAGCTTGATGTCGGCCGACACCACGGACCAGTGGCAGATGCCATTAGGGACGCTGCCCTTTCCACCTGTAGTGCAGGATATAAACGGGATGAATTTCGGGTCCCCCAATTCGTTTGATGACCGAAGCTCTTCGGTCGGCACGATCCCGTCGGGGGGAGGACATCAGGCTGTGCGCGATGTGACGGAGATGGTAACGAGCTCAGTGAGTTGATAGTTCCTGCCGGTGGGAAGTGAAGTGGTCAAAGGAGGGATCCAAAATGACACCTCCTTTGCGGAAACGAATTACTCATACTAATGCAGGCCTACTAGTCCTCGAGTGTCACCGCTGCCGTCAAGGCCACCTCCATTACTTCAGTCTTCCTCGACGAATGCTTGCACATGTTCTTCGTCCGCTTCATTCCGACCTTTCCCATCTTACATCGAGCCACTTTTGTTTTCCGCGAATGCACACACGCTCTGCTACTCAATGCCATTGCAATTGGGTCGCTGTACCTGGGTCCTAGCGACTCTGTCGCAAAAGGCGAAGCGTTATGGCACCTGGCTCATACGGCGGTTGCTACCTCGTGGCAGTCCTTTATCACTCATCACGGCCCGTACGACGCCTGCAAGGGTGTTCAGTTGATGATCACGGCATTGCTGGGCCAAATATATGGGGCACTCTCCAAGAACCGAGCCATCCGCACTACAAGCCAAGTATTTCGGCCCCTGGGCTTCTTTTGGGCGCGGCATTGTGGAATGTACGATAGCGAGCCTTATTCCATGGAGAACCTCCCCTCTGCCGACGCGCCATGTGCGGAGAAGGAACATCAATGGCGCATTTGGGCGGCACGAGAAATTCAACAGCGCGCCCTTCTGGCATACTACGTTCTCGATGGTCTTGTTGCGCAGATGTCCGGCGATGGAGCATCCGCCCGCCATGTCTCCAATCCGTTGAGCCTCCCCAGTAATGAGGCTGCTTTTGACGCCAGCACTCCCGATGAATGGCTGGTACATATGCGTTCGCAACAACCAGATCGGTCCTCGTTTCGAATGGTGTTCCGTGCCTTGTTTCCGCCAGTTGGTAACTTCAGAGCGCTGGAGTACGAATTCTCCACGTTTGCGCTTCGCGTAGTGCTGGAAGGTCTTCAGTCCCTAGTGTCTGATTGTGATGAGCATGATCTTGCTGTCGGCGTGCCAGGTCGGTCTGATGTACGCCGGGCACTGGCCCAAGTGCATGAGACTATCTCGATGAGCATTCACTTCTCTGCCGCGGAGCGACTGGAGATACTGCTGCGGTGGCACACGGTCTGCCTGGACACCATGATCAACTCTACCGTCCTCTCCCGGCATGTCTGTTCTCGGTATAATATCGCACAGCACGTCTCGGGAGGTTGCCGGACAGTTCGCCCCGACTTCGACCTCCTCCAATGGGTGAACACGGACGATGCCAGGCGCGCAGTGCTCCATGCTGTCGCCATCCAAGATATCATCGAGCAGCTTCCGCGCGGTCGCGCCCACGTTGTTCATATGCCCAGCTCACTATTTGCTGCCGCGACCATCTACGTCGTCTTCTCGCTTGCCGGTACCGCCACCGTCAACCTCCCCCGAACAATCGTGTGGCAGGACGCGTTGCTGTCCCACTCCGATCTCAACATAGGCCATGAGGACATCCGACCTCCGTCTGGTTCAGAGACACGGCGCTTTGTGGACACCGAGCAAGGTGTATCGCCCGCTCCAATCGGCGGTACCGTTCGCAACCTCCTTTATGAATTGAACTCCATGCATAAGCTCTTCCGCTGCTTGTCATCACAGTGGGGCATTGCACATGACATGGAGAACATCATTGCTCAGTGGATCCAACTGTGCCATTAATGACGGAGCTGGGCTCGGTCTGGGCTGGCGGCTGCGGTGGCATAATTCCAATTGTACATAGTTAGTGGGCTGTTTTTAGGGTGTCATGAGACATGTATACATATGACCGATACGCCATAAAATCCGGGAGACGTGTGATCAACAGCAATTGTACTTCCAGCTCCGGTTTCGCATGTAGTCGGGGGTAGTTCGACGCTAGTGCATAGACGAGATCGAGCAGCATTCAAGCACATCGGACCACGATGCAGGAGGTTGCCCGCTTACTGATACCCAGTTACTTTTCATATCCAGAGTATCTGCTGGGGATACACAGTATTGGAGCAGAGTTGAAAAGATTGTCGGTCCCGCACTTCGATGACCTTCGTTTTCCGTTAACTGCTTCCATTCTTTGACTTTGCTCACGCGGCACTTCCGCCCGTCCTCGATTTCGCATTCCATCCACGTGCAAGATCGAGCCATACGGCAAGCGGCTTAAACAAGACAGTCTTCGAGAGACTGTATGGGCCCCGATCTTGAACCCAAGGCTTCCTACCCGATGAATCGAATCTGGAAACGAAGCATCTCCACTTTATCATCCATCAACTGCTGCACTTGACGGATCCGAATTGGAAATCGCAGGTGACATTATCGTGAGAGAAACTCCCGTCACATTTCTCCAACACCATTCATCTAAAAAGCGCGAGGTGGTCAGAAACGCCTTTCTGTTGCCATCGAGGGGCCACCAAACGCGAAAGTGGCGCGTGGGCGTGGCGCGCGACGCGTCCTTTGCAGCGGACGCTAAACCAAAAATAAATCCCGCCTGCTCGGAAGACATACTTGTGGATCTCCACCATCAACGCCAAGGCCTCACGCCCATTGTCCCGTGAGTATTGGATGAAACCAGTCGCCAATGTGACTCATTATTGACAGGCCTGCATGCAGATACCATGTCGGACCTCACGCCAGACCTCACGCCGGTGTCCGCGCCCCAAGGTTCTCCGCTGCCCCAACCCACTACCGCCACGACCGTGCCGCGAGGCGTACGTGGCAAGAGGCTCACGGCGCCGCAAATCAGGATCCTTGTAGACGTGTGCAGCTCTCGCAAGTCCTTTCCCCGCTATGCCGAACACCCTAAAATCTTCTGGCTCGACGTCTCGGTCCATTTTCAACGGCTAACCGGCCGCCCCTACTCCTGGCAGTCGTGCCGGCGTCGCATGATCACTTTGGAAGATCCATACCATGCTCAAGCAATCCTCCAGGGACGGCTATCGTCTCCATTACCAAGATTACCGACTCCCATTCTCAGCAACGGTCATCGGGCCGCCCCGCCGGGTCATGGCACTTTGCCCGAGGCCCGCGGCCTGACTGGTATCGTGCCTTCGGCCAGCGTCGAGGAGGACGACGATCTGCCTGACGCGCCCATTGTGCACCGCAACATTCATGCCCACTGTGAGCTGGAGGAGGATACGTTGCGTGACGATGTTCACGCCCTCATCCACAATAGCATGACTGCGTTCGAGTCCCAGCTTGATTATTTCACCAGCGCAATCATCGATGATCTAGACGAGGAGTGGAATGTGAAGGAAGCATACCTCCGCTTCAAGCGCCTAATGGAGAAGGCCATGGAGAAGTACAAGCGGGGCTGATGCGGGCCAGTAATGCTCTCGAAAAATCTTTTGTAGGATGTGTTGTTTCTCCATCCTTAGGGCCATGGCGTTTGGGGAGTCTGCTTATGACTTGTTGAGATACCTGCTGGATGACAATTTCTTTTTCTTTCGTGTGAATCGCAACAGATTGCGATGGTGGGTAATTATTACTTTTTTTTTCCCTTTCCCGCTCACTCTTCTTGTAGCTTTTCGTTCCATAATCGACATCATTTGGGAGGGTTGGGCTATTTAGACTGTCCGGACGGCCAAATAAATACCACTTAGTTTCAGTCGTAGTTTTGAAAGCACAGCTGCTCTTGAGAATCCGATATCGATGTCATTCGAGGATGCGCGTATGATTTTCTCATTCCCTACAGAGGGGCTGAGAAAAGTGCCGAAGGGTATTCGGGGCTAGGTGTCGGAGACATGGAGGACTAAGAAAGGACCGTTCAAGCGGGATAAGCAGATATTTTTCGTTAGAACAGATTGTGACTGAAAGAATGAAAACCCCAGCTGCCCACACACCCCCTTTGTACATCATCTCGCTTGAAACCAACTGTCCACGCTGACCCCCTGTTTGAGTAGGGTAGCAAGCGAGATGAGGATCTCGCTGTGCAGTCTTCACAGATGCAGTTAGGCGCAAAGAACAGAAAAGAAAAATGGATCCCGTGATCCTCCAGTCGTTGTAAGGGAAAAGCAATGTGCACGAGGGTAATCTTTATCACTTCCTTCACGCCTCGTTGTCGGCCGTGTCAACACCCGCAGTCCGCATCAAGCTGTCCAGGCTAGCGGCACCGGCGCGGTAGGCCTCGGCATCGGTCATTGAGACGGACGGGAGAAAGAGATCATAGCCGTTCGTCTGGCTGTCGAAGATTAGATCCCGTTCCAGGTCGAATGCTGGCAACTGGGCAGCATCGACAAGGAAGGCCTCACGTTTCGCTCGTTTAGGGATTTGCTCAGGCGTGCCCTCGCCTTCATCATCACCGTACTCATCGTCGACACTTTCTTCGAGATGGTGGCGCTTGATGCCCATTAAAGAGCGACTGAATTCATTGTCTGCCTTGATCTTAGGCTTGATAGGAGTCATATCATCGCTCGAAACTTCAATGATCATAGAAGGCTCCTCGCTGACCTTAGGGTTGGTAACCTTGGGCGTATAGTTCTTCGACGCTGGACTTGGCTGTTCAAGGCCGGATTTGCGTATTTTCGGAGTTCGGGGAGTTCGGGGTGTGCGTGGAGGCCGAGCATGAGTCTGCGGGTTCTGTTGGGGTGTTCCTGCCCCAGCCGTGACGCGCAGGTTTTCCGCCATTTTCCGCCAGGCCCGAAATCTGTGCTCCATAGAGTTGTAGTTCGCATTGCCACCGTACATCTTGGCAATTTCACCATAATTGAGCTAGTTAATCTTGCTCAGCTCGTGTCAAATCCAACGACGGAGACGGCAAGTACATACCCTCATGTTCGGCTGCGCGGCAAGCATTGCTGCGATCACCCGCTCGAGATCGACCTTCATGGTGGTGATAACGAGCGTCAAACGTGTGATCTGGAGATGATTGAGTCAGTGAGCATCGACAGTGAATGATAAGATAAGGACAGGCAGATATCCTACCTGGGTGTGAAGTGCGGGGTGGATCACCAGCTCGAAGACTGATGAGATGTGAGGGTTGATGAAGCGTGAAGGTTAAGAGGAGGAGGGGGAGAATGTGTGGATCACAGAAAAGAGATGCGTGGACGTGCGGGATAGGATTGCCAGCAGTTCTCACATGAAGAAGATCGGGCTTGGGAGGCATAAAGGGCCTTGACGTGGCCGTTTCAGAATAGAGAGGATAGTTGGTTGGGGAGAAAGGATTGAGATGGGGATCAGTGTCTTTACACAGTGACGAGATGTGAGTCAAATAGTAGCTAGGAATAGTTACCTTCCTTGCCCGAGATACTCGGCTCAGATCTCGTTTAAAGCAGACATGAGTAGGCCATGAAGGGGTGGTTTTCCCTATCGGCACTGGGGTCTTCTCTTCAATATGATAGAGGTTGGCAAAGAATCAGCCAATAGGGAGGTATTGTTATCCTGACTACTTGTCTCCACCCTCAAGGCTGGCCGCCATCGCTATCCTGGGAATTATTGGCTTTTCGAGTCAACCTTTGGTGGTCCTTTTATTCGTGCTGATACTGCTTTGCTCTACAGTGTGCAATGTGATGCATGACGGCAATACCCAATAGTAGCCATGCCTCCCATGGGTATACATCCACATAAAATGGTTTCAGAGCCCCTCGAATGATAGCAGATATTAGGGAAATGGTTATGTCCCTTGGAAAGTTCATGTATAGGAAATGCAGATAGTGTGCGAGCTAGCATATTATGTGATACATTCCCGTGAACTTGTGCTCCAGTCGCCGAGGAAATTTGCATCACTGCCAATATTCTTTGACTGTTTGCTATCTACTAACGATCGCAGGAATTTGAGGGGCTGCTTGGGTAGAAGAGCCCTACAATATCACACAATACCTTTATCTAACCGTTTGTCACTCCATTTCTCTTGGATGCGTCATCGTCCCACTTCCTCAAGCAGCCACGAGCACTTTACCTGGTCACCGACACCTTCGACCTCCCATACTTGTCTTCCTCTCGCTCGACCTTGCCTAACTCTTACTGCTTTATCCTCCCTTCGTCTTCCTCTCACCCTACTTTCTCCACTGCCACACACTTTCGAAATATCATCCGTCTTCAAATATCCCGGCTGCCTACAGACTACCCTCCAGTACCTATCACATCGCTGACCACTTTCCCAATCGCCAAAATGCGCTGGACTGCTTCTGCGGATCAGACGGTGAGCTCCGAGATTACTGATTGTGCTCTTTATCCCTCTCGGTACCTGCAGATTTCAAGCATCAAAGAGGCACAGCTTAAGCGAGTCGAGTTCGCTACATGCGTGGAACTTGCAGTTGGCGCGCCTCTACCCATTCTGGCCTCTGTTCTTTGGCGGTCGAATCACAGAACTCGAACCCTTGCTTGTCCTCCCGTTGGACTTGGGGAAAACCACAACCTTCATCCCCAATATACTTCTCATTTGACACTTCATCATCGAAGATACGAGCCTTGACTGACCTTTCCGATTTTCCAGCTGCTGCTCAAGATTATTGAGACTCATGACCTGAGCGTCGATACCATCAAGGTCGCGGCCGCATGGCGTATGTGATTTCCTTGTCTTCAGCCTGCCTTCAACGCCCCAGCATTACTGAAACCCCCGTGCATTCTGTCGAGGCCAGTCTGCGCGCCTGATTTTATATGCCCACCCCCAACCATGTATCTCTCCCCTTCCTGTCCCAGCCGCTCGATGCAATCTCACTGTCACCGCACAGCGCTTTAGCCTGTGCATTTTGAGTGCTAGTACTAACTGCTGCAGCTGAAAACATGGAGGGGAAGCCAACCGCCCGCGCAATAAAGGAACGCATATCTAAGATTCGTGACCTTGCAAAGACTACGAGCGAGGGCAGCGTTGCCACCCCTTCTCCTGCCAAGCGAGGCCGTGCAAAGAAGACCCCCAGCGCCAAGGAGACCACTACTCCGACCCCCGCAAGCGCAAGCGCGTGAAGAGTCCATCGCCTCAGCCCAAGCCTGAGTCCGACGACAACGCGGATGACGACGCGTCTGAGTGTGAGCTGAAAGACTTTCTGAATCACCAGACTGCGGCCGGCAAGTCCGAGGACTCCGATGCCGATGAGGCCGTCCACAGCCAGCATGGGGGTATTGAGGACCTGGAAGAGGATGCTTGAGGTGTGAGAGTGACGATGTCAACCTTCCTGGCAATGTAACAGAGACTTTGGGGCGGGTCTGGACAGTCTCTATTTGCGATATTCTGATGTTATCTGAATTTTCTTGATCACTTTTTCGACTCAAGACCCTGCTGGCGTAGCCAGCACTGGAGCTTGAGATTTGTAATTTCCTGGAGTGCCAAGACTTGACCGTTTTTCTTTTTCTTGCTGGTCTTGGTTTTATGCCCTGCGTGCTTTGCGGAAGGATTCAGAGACTCTGGATTTTAGCTTAGCCCTGCGATGATGTACTGCGATCGAACGAAAAATACCAAAAAAAGATGACCCGCCCCCCAAACCCTCCTCCGGAACTATCATGATCAGCCCGGAAGTTGGTCGAAAATAAGTTGATCCCTGGGATCGACGCGCATAATATCCATGGAAATTCCACTCTCCGTTAGCCGAGAATATTTCCGGAGGCTCCGATAGATCTCTCGAGCTTTCCGCACTGCCATTCGAGTCTTGCACACTCTGGCCACAATAATGCGAGCTTCCGCGTGTCCAGCGCCAAAAGACCATGGTAGCATGGGCAAATGCAGTGGCGCATTGCTGGACTCGGTGATGCAGTTTCCGTCTAATCCAGCGACGAGTGCGGAAACACCACCCGCGAACCTTCCACTGGCTTGTGTGCTGCGGAGATACAACGCCTACAACAATAAAATAAAATTGCAGCCCGTCTAAATATGAGGACAGGCCCGACGCTACGCGGTTGGGGTTCGAATCAAATATCATGGGATCAATTCTCGTACGTGCTTTCTCCCTCATCCTGATCCCTAAAGACCCCTTGTGAATAAGCCAGAGAAACGCAATATCCCTGTTTCCCGACAAGCAAGAAACAGAATTCTGAAAAGGCAGGTGGAAGCAGAAACGCAAAAAAGGGGACACAACCCGCTCCCAGTAAACACATGTCCTCAACAACTTCACACCCCGAATGTTGATATGCACAAATGGAGAAAGCACCCTTAGATAGTGACTGACTCATGTCATCCGAGAGGGATAGCATGAGACCGGCACGGCGGCGATGGTCAGCTACGCATCGTCGAAAGAGTCCTGCGCGCCGTACTGGAAACGCTCGTTGCCCTTATTCTCATCCTTGACAGCTGTCGCGGGGGATCCATCATCGTTCTTGCCCTTGACGGTGACCTTGGGCTTGCTCGCACTCTCCTTGGTCGCCTTCATGGTGCTGGCACGCTTCTTGGTGGGCGACGAAGTAAGATCCTTGGTGCGGCCGGCGGACTTGGGGGAGGAGGCGACGATGCCGGCCTTCTCCCTCAGACGCGAGATGCGGTGCTTGATAGCACTGACGGTGCAGTCTGCATGGCTATGTCAGGAAGTATGTTCTGATGCAGATATTGTGCTATATGAAGGCAGGATGTGAGGACGGTGCCCCTGATATCATCCAGTCACCTACCGGGCCCCATGAAGTCCGCGACGGCTTCGTAGTTGATGGTCGAGGTCGTCGAGATGATTCCATTGAGTAGCTATACTCTTGTGTTAACAGGGCCATGCTAGATGAGCCACAGCATAGACGTGGACGAGGCGGCACTGGAGGTCCGCAGATGCCCCTCGTCACGAGCCACAAGTGACTCGAAGGCTCTTGCTTACCTTGGCATCTGCCTTGCTATCCCAGGTCATGGGCATGATGGCGGTTTGGTCTGGATTTTGAGGAAGTTTGGGCACAGTATGTCCAAAAATGTGGGAAGGGGTGGTTGACGAGGGAGAGTTGCAGGGGAGGGAGAGGGGAAGAAGGAAAGAAAGGCACATGAACTTGACTGACCCGCAAATTTTGCGGTGCCCTCAAGGCAGCAAAGCGGGCTTGCATACTCGCTTCACCTCACTTCCGCAAACTGCACTGCATCCAACTGGCGCATCATTGTTCTTGCCGTTAGGGCCAAGCGCCCAAGGCTCGCTGTACCTCATGATCGGTGTTTTGGAAACGTCGGATTATCCCGCTTGACGCACCGGAAAGAATGAAGATCATAGACAGAACTGTTTTGTTTCGACCTAGATAGTTTGGTTTATGTCTCGTCTAATGATTTCCTTGAGTGTCAATCATGCTGCATTCTCCCAGCCACCACAACGAGCATCATCCGCAGACGCGAACTCATGAATTCAAAGAAAATATGCTCCAGAGAAGACAACTTTCAACAGCTCTGGAAACCGAATTAGGCCAGAGCAAAATAGAAACGACTCGCTGGAACGCCCATTGGTAGCCAAGGCCATGTGCCTAATGTTGGTCGTTAAACTGAGTCCACCAGTTACCGGCAAGCGTGGCATCTTGCGAGGCGTTGTAACCTGTATTGCAGGTGCTCCGCTCGTCCCCAAGGAGCTCGCCAGAGTCTTCCTGGGTCTTGAGTGCGGCGGGAGGAGAGGAGGGCCCGTGCTTGCGCTGGCGTTTGGCGGGAGACGGGGTGGCGTACGAGTCACCAGCCTTGGTGATCTTGTCGCGCTTTGTGGCATTCGACTGACTGGTGCCAGACTTGGTCTCTTTCTTCGCTTTGAATGCCTTAACCGCATGCAGAGCCTCCTCTTCCTCCTCCTGATGCTTCATTTGTTCCTTTCTGACGATGGCGCGGAGGTGCTGCTTGATAGCTTCCGCAGTGCAGGCTGGATAGTAGGTTAGACAGACAAAAGGACAAAGCAAGATGGTAACCAGGAATGACCAACTGCCACCCATACGCTTAGCCGCGCCCTCCCAGTCAAAATGGGAGCCGCAGGTTTGCCAGATGACAATGAGGAGCTATCCTCGTGAGCCGTTTAGTAAGGTGAATATGTGCAACTTCTCATGAACGAAAGCGTCCATAGAACACTCACTCTGTGCTCCTGGTCCTTATTCCAGCTAATCACCATATTGCTGAGAGAAAGTTGATATCAATCGTGATCTTGGCGTGTTGGTAGTGGTGATGTATGCGAAGAAAGGTGGGTGTGATGTGAGGAAAATCGTGGGGACCTAAAAAAAGACCGTGAATCCCCTTTCAGCTAGTGACATTTACTTCAAATCTAGAGCCACAAAATCACCATGCAGATATATGCAATATAAAGACCTTTCATCTCCTACTCAGAAAGGCACTCACATTGGGCACATTTACGTGCCTCCGCCTATAATATTTTGGGATGCTTCGATGTGCTTGTTGTGGCTGCATTTTGGTAGCCATGATGCTGATAGTAGTACCCCTCTCCTGAAATCAGAACTTGAAAGCTAAACTATCCAAGATCTCTATTGCTTGAGTCTCACCAGACTGCTCGGGGCCCGTTGGGCTAGCCGGATAACTGAAAACTAAAAGGACGAAAGGTTTATCGTAGGATGAAGAGGAAGCGAGAACTACTAGATAATGCAAAGCCAATAAAGAAGACACAGAGTCTACATCACTTGATTCGTCATAATTCTGCAGTCACTGACCCGTTGGGCATCTTGTAATTCAAAATTCTTCTCTGAGACAAAAGATCTAGTCTGCTGTAGCCTAGGTTCATGTATAAATAAACTGTCAAGAGCGGGAAGCTACGCCAGAGAGGCCAGATCAAATCGCACATTTGTATCCACATAATTACCCAGAAATTGGTGTGATTACAAGGATTAAAGCAACACCTTGATGCCTCTCAAGAGTTGAAGTGGACGGAAAAGTTAGGTCTTAATTGGTCACGTGCAAGACGTGTCCCAAAGGTCGTTCGCAACATAATTTAGTTTCTGGACCCACCAGAGCGAGAGACGTGATGAGACTAAAGTCACAGGGCGCTGTGAAGATATCCGAACCCCTAGTTACGTGATATATAATTGACTATATACGAGGCAAGGAAAACATAATTTCTCTCTACTAGGGAATAAAACGATGAATTATCCGGAAGGCAGCGGCCGCAAATCCAAGGGAATCTATAACGAAACATGATGCCAAAAGGAGAAAATATGCGTATCCACTCTGTTCAAACGATGCCGGCGTATATCAATTGGTCACGACTCAGCCGTAGTGAGATTGTGTGGGTGGTCCAGATGTTGGCGGCGTTGAGGACGCCCAGGGACCGCTTACAAATTGGGCATCAGAGGCCGCAATGCGCGAGCCACCAGCTGAATTCGTCCACTGGCCTTGGTAGCCAGATAGCTGGCCACCCCGCGGATGATACTCCGTTCCAGTATGCACCGATGTTGTATTGAGAGTGCCGATCTCAGGCTGTGGGGGCAAATACTGGTGGATACCGGTCTGGATAAGAGGATTCTGATAATACCGGGCGCCCCCATGGAATTCAGGGGTTGTGAGCAATACCATCGAGTTGAAGCCCGCACCTGAGTGCGTCCGCGACATACTGGTGCTCTGATAAGAACCTTGGTCATTCAATGACTGGGGCGGGTACCCTCGCAAGGATGTTTGCGGATCTTGTTGGAAGCCAAAACTTTGGTGGGAATGCGATTGGGACAAAGGATGTTCCGCCGGAACATTAGCTTGGTCCGTACTGGCATGAGAATGCGCCGAAAAAGTGCTTTGAGGGTGTTGCAGTCCCTCTTGACTGCCACTGAAGGCGCTGCCCGGATGCGAGGGATTGGAGGATTGTGTGGAGCTTGACGCAAAGTTTGGCGGAGACTGTACAGTAGTTTGTGGAGTAGTATAGGAGTTGAAATATGGCTGAGACAAGGTTGAGGAGGCATAGTTGCCAGACGGAATTTCAGGAGCATGACGCGGATTGGCATGATGTTCTTCAAGTTGCCACTTCGGCTGGGGTGGAAGAAAGGTGCTAAGACGAGGAAGCTGGTTCTCTGGGTAATCTATCGAGGATGGATATGCCGACATATGACATGCTTGCTGCGAGTCCCCAAAGCGCCGATAACTCTCCGCACTATGACTTGCACTAGGTCCACTTGGGTGTGCCTGCGTAATCTGGGTATGGTTGCCCCAGGTTGGCTGTTGGTGACTCTGCACCAAAGGTTGTCCATGGCTGGGGAAAACAGTTGCTGCTCCAGGAGCCACGTTTCCCGAGACGGTTTGATGTGATTGATCCTAGGAAGCTTTCAGTGATATGCACCAGTATCAACCTCGCAGGTCTAATATACCGGTCCATAACCCCCATTACCGGGTGAAAAGTGCTGGGCGTAGGCCCTAGGCCCATTCTGGGAGATCTGGTTCGGGTGCCATCCTAAAGCCCCCAAAGACCCCTGCATGGAAGCGCCCGGTTGTCCATTGAGCTCGGAGCTTAGGGAGCTCTATCCCACCATCAGTGCCACTCTTGCAATTCTTGTGCAGACATTATGAGCGCGATTCTATACGGAAATTTTCGCACCGTCCGCCACCGACTCCATCCGCTCTACCAGTGTATTCCCCGTCGTTGTCACCCGAGGGCTGTTGGTTGATGGCCGCGAGGGCGGAGCTTGCGAGGGGCCCGTCCCGATGGATGTCGGTGTGGTGGACGGAGTCAGAACGACCGGTTCGGTTGGAATGTCCCATTGCGATTTCCCGGTCGCTCGTTGGACATAATACCACTTGCGCTGAACGCCCTCCCACTGTGGGAGCCTGGACACATATGCCGTCAACATTGAACAGGCAAAGGCGATGGTCATGGGGCCCACTTACCAGCCTTCGGGCAGTTGAGGCGGAGGAGAGGATGGGCCTGCAGTGTCTTCAGGGGCATCTTGCGCCATTCCGAACACAGTCAGAGGATGGGCGGCAAGTCACTGAAAGAGAGAAGCACTCCGAAGGGGTAGGGCGTTATGAGCGTGGTGAGGTGATCCTGTGGGGCCCCGGGCTTGGCTTGGCGATCACGCTTCAACGTGATCGGACTGCACAAGAGAGCGATAACTACCGTTGTAGTGCATACTGCCGCAACAAGGTGAGCTAACGACTAGAGAATCAATGAAATCTGCTGGCTGTTGATACATTGGTGTGACTTTTGAACCCCAAAATTGTCTAATCGTTATAAGATAGAATTCCCCGAGTCCCAAATCCTTAACCTGTCCGTCCATTAAACCGTCCACGTCTAGTCCGTACCTGAGTTCTCCATAACTGGCCCTTCATTTTCCTTAAAATAACGCCTGGACATTTCACGCGGAGTGAATGCCAAATCGTGACATACCAAATAAAAGAGAAGGGGGGAAATAATCATAAACACCATGAGAAATTACCACGCATGACGGTCCGCAGGTTCCCAGTCATCGCCATCCCAGTCCTCGTCACCACTCAGCTCATCATCGAGGAAGTCATCTTCGTTGAACTGGGTTTCTGTAGGACGCTGATTGTCGATCCGAATATTGACCACATCGCACATCCCTTGACGAGCATCCTCATCGGGTGGAAGGGATGGAGACGGAGATTGGGAACCCTTACGCTGTGCGAGGCGCACGCTCTGGCGCTTGGATGGAGTGGAAGGGCCACTACCAGCAGAGCTAGGGCGTGCTGGATAAACTCCAATAGCAGGTTGCCTAGATTGGAGAGGGCGCTTGCGAAGAGAGCGGAGGTTCGGGTCAGGAGGTGCGCTATGGCGTAAAAATGTAGTCTCCAGTTGATGAATCCACCGCTCACGGAAGGTAGCGCGATCACGCCAGCCGATCTTAAGAATCGCTGTGATAGTCAGGCAGCGCAGGTCGCGCAACTTGGGTGCAGCATCGACCAAGGACATGAAGAACGACTCTGCCGTGGTCTCGCTAAGTTTTTTGAGTTGGATTAACTCGATCTCCTGGATCTTTTCTGGCCACTTCGGGATTTCCGACTCAGCTAGAAGCTCGTGGAAGTGTGGTTCGGTGTCGTGGTAGCTTGACCAGTCGTGAAGGGAAACGTCCATCTTGAATCGCTCAAGGTTGGGGCAATGTTCCCCGAGATGAGTAATGAAGGACATGGTCAGGTGTCGATTGTGACTGAGCCTCAGTTCCCGTAGCTCCTGGCCGCGGGATTTCAGATAGGTAGCAAGACAGGAAGAGAGCATGCGGTCGCAGTTGGAAAGGGTAAGCGAGCGAAGTGCTGATGGCAGCTGTGGCAGAATACTCTTTCCCACAAGGGTGCATTCAATGAACTCTAAGCGATGAAGACGAGGGAGTTCCCGTACCACACCAGCGAGGGAGGCTTCCATGTCACGGGTGTCCTCTCGAGTGCGATCATCAACATGAAGCAGACGAAGATGTTCCAAATGCTGAAAGGCAGCCCGTTGGTGTTTCTCCAGCATAAATGGAAGAAGGTCGTGGGTATCCATGAAACGGCCATTCCAGTCCCAGCTGCGAAGAAGAATACCAGATTCATCAATAGCTGAAAATAGAGATTCAGGATATGACCACTTGGATGAGGTGATGCCGTAAGAAGGAATGCCGATGATAAAGTCATCTTTGTGGAAAAGTCGCATTTTCTGCACTAAAGGAGTAGTCGCAATCAGTTTAGAGAGGTCGAAGTAGCCAAGCTGAGGCCCAGTTTTGTAAAGTAGAACAGATTCAGCATCCACATGAAGCTCTTTGACCTTCGCAGAATAGTTGATCGACAGCGACCCCTGCGGCTTTGAGAGCAGGTTCAAAAGATCGAAGCTCTTGGATGCTGGGATTAGCGGAGGAGAGTGGTAAAGAGCCGCAAGAGCCGGTTCCAGGAATTGTCGACACAAGAGCGCCATACCAAGAAGCCACTTGGCCGACTTGGTTCGCAGCATCAGCTGTTCGTCAACAAGGGGAAAGGATGCGCGCAGGAAAATGTCGAAAAGCACATGATATGGGAGCGTCGCCCATGGAGGAACAACACTGGAGGTGAGAAATATTTCCTCGCCCGCATAGACTCGAGTGCGCTTTTTCAAAGGCTGTCCCAGTGCTTTGGACGTTTTTTTCTGAGTTGTCTGGGTCCGTTTTGGCTGCGACCGTCGCGTAGGCCGGTTGCTCTTGGAGAGACGAGTATTGCGAGTGGTCGAAGAGGCAGAGCCGGCTTCAGAATGCAGATGGGGAAGCATGTTGTCCGAAGGTAGGGTACGAGGATGAGCTTCAGATGTACTCCGCTCGCTGTCGGTAGATGAGCCTTCTGAATTCGCATCCGAAGACTCCTCGCGATAAGATGGACGAATTCCGGATGAAGTGCGCGGGCGGAGAGATACAGAAGAACGCCTCGACACGGCATCGTGTAATTCCTCATGCTGATTTAGATCATCGCCGGAAGTGCTGTCTTCATGGTATGTCTCAACCTTCGTGCGGGTTGATCGGACGGGTCGAGAGGAGCTCGAGCGCGCACCCGAGCGCGCCGGTGCCATGGCTTCTCGATCAGCGCTAGTAGGTCTTCAGTAAGCAGAACGACATTTTCCGGACACTTCAGATGCCCCCAGATATTTCGTATGGCTGGAACAAGGATTGTCTGGGGGAGCCCGAGGGAAGGCAGATGCGATGACTTCAGCAGCTCTTTGCTGCGGATGCGACGGCAGGAGCGATCAGCCCTATCGATAAGAAAGTACCCCGATGTTCTAGGCTAGGCCATAGAGGAGCTAGTTGCTCCCGTGACCAATCCAGGCATAACACCCCCGCCCTCAGGCATAAACGCTAGGCCATATTAGGGAACACTAGAGACAGCCAAAATTAGAACTCAGCTTGAGCTTGGATGGCGCTTCCAGCCACCTCGGGGTGATCCTCGTGGGTGGATGCTTCGTGGACTTCTATTCATTGCCGTCCCCAAAAGGTGCTCTTCATTTCAAGTTTGGACCAGCCGTGACGACTATGGGAAAGTCTGATTTATGCGATCCACAGAGCCCATGAGACATCGTCAACACAGCAGGTCTGCTCTCGCCCTCTCTCTTGTTGGGGAGGTGACGACATCTGAGGGGTCCGATGGAAACAACATTCCCAGTGCTTATGGAGACGACGGAGCGTTCCAGCCGAAACGACCTCACGTCGTCTCAAATGGTGATCCAGCAGTATGCGCGATATCCGCCGGCGATGGAGTCAACGCTTCAGAGTGCCTCCTCCCTAGGGAGTGCTCGAAGCCAGATTGACACCAATAAATCGCCCCCAATGCATCGCAAGGAAACCCCTAGAAGCCTACAGTCCTCTCCACGAGGAATACGCTCAGCTATACCGCCATCATCCGCTGCGCGATCTGGCCTGTCCATGTCTCCACCAGTTTTTGACGCCATGCGTCATCCTCAGATGAAAGGAGCAGCGGATCAAGCTGAATCTCGCAATCTACCATCGCGGGACGTGACTGATGATACTATCGACGAAGCCTACGTTTTGTTCATTTTCTACTGCAATCCTAACGTGCCTTCCTCCGTTGATACCTCGGAGCTCCGCAAGACGTTTCGTTGTCCCCCGCGGAGTGATGGCAAGAGCTTTAGTGTTTTTACTCTATTTGAACTTATTCGAAAACTCGACAATAAAGAGCTGAAGACCTGGATCCAATTGGCGATTGAACTGGGCGTTGAGCCCCCTTCAATGGAAAAGAAGCAGAGCACGCAGAAGGTCCAGCAGTATGCGGTTCGGCTCAAGGTATGCGCCATCCCCTTTGAAGCCCTTCTGTATCTCTAACCTCCCAATAGCGGTGGATGCGCGCCATGCATGTCGATGCTTTCTTCGAATTTTGCTTGGGCCACCCCCATCCATACTATACTCAGCTACCCCCTCCGGACCCTTCGTCAGTGAATCTCGCGATGGCGTCCCGCTAGAAGAAGATCTCGCTCTCCGAGCACTAGTTCCACAATGGAAGCCCAAGCGTGGCCGAAAACGCGCAGATGAAAGAGAGCTCGAAGAAGAAAAAGCCGCAAAGCGGCCACAACTAGATACTTCGGTAGCTGGCTTGCAACCAAGTGGTTTCCATGGTCATTCGGTTACTTTCCCACACAGTGCTATTCCTTTCAGTGCTTATCCTGCCGATGAGGATCCCTGGATGACGGCATCATCTTCATTTCCACCACCCAGTACGTCGGACCATCAACGTCACGACCTACATTGGAGGCTCACGGAACGGGAGATCTCGCCCGCCGGCTACCCTCACTCAGCTATCATTCCAAGGGGAACTCAACCATCGGAAGCCCTCATGACTGCCGAGCCACGCTCTGCCGTCACTCCATCTTCAGGGGAAAAGGCCCGCGCTAGACGAAGGCATGGACCGGCTGTGTCGTCCGCTTGGCCGAATAGCAACGGCTCGATAACAGGGAAGAGTCGCGGGAGGCCGCCCAATACATCATCGACATCAGGGTCATTCTCTACCTTCCAGGTGAACCCAAGTCGGGATTCCTCGCAGGTTCTTCAGCCCCATATTACGCAGTCCTCCCCGCTTGTAATTGACCAGGACTCTTCAAATGTCGTGGTGGCCTCTTCCTATGACCGGTCGCCAACACCTGCCAATCAGGGAAGACCTGGTAAACTTCAATTACAGGTTCCTCCACACTTAGGCGCTCCGGTGCGCCTTGCTACACCTCCCACACTTCTAGTCAATGGCGTCAACGGCGCGGTTGTGCCCCAAGATCAAGGGCCGCATGATTCTCAGTCCGCCCATAAGGCAGATTCCCTCAGTCATGGTGGTCCATTGGCAGAGCAAGGCATGCCAACAAATGACCCAAAAATACCAATGGAGGACATTATCCCCACTATGTCAAACGCGCTTCTCCATGCACGTGTCACAGGACAAACATCTCATATAACACCGGATGAGGCTCGGGCTTTGGCGTCAGCATTGGCCATAAGTTTGAGCACCCTATACTCACACTTACCTTTCCAACTTCCCTCATTTCTTTTAGTCTTCCAGCTTGGTATTGGGCACCATTTTGGTCTTCCGGTCAACAGTCAGCACTCAATAACTGTGAATACTGAGCATGCTACCCCAAATACAGCCATGGTCGGCCTGTCGGGCCCGGTAGAACCTGTGGGTGGAACGCGATATACCGTCTCCTTCGAGTATAATCCATCTTGTCGTCTGTCTTTGCAGGTTGTGCTAGCAAACTTCAAGACAGGAACCGTCCCCGATGGTACTTTCAATCAAATGATAGTTCCCCCCCCGGTCTCGGATCCACTTGACCAGAATAATGATATACCTGGATTTGACCCCGAGGAGGATGATCTTGGCCATTCCGCCTCGGACGCTACCTGGAAGCAACGCTATATAAGGCTTCGAGCCCAGATGCAGAAAAAAGAACGGGCTTTATCCCAATACAAGCGCAAGATTGTGGAATCAGTGATGGCAGATATCTGAACGACCTACACTATGATCACATCCACATTCGTGGTACCATGTTTCAAGGTGCCTTTCATTCTCAGCGTTCTGCTCTTCTTTTCGTGATACGATACGATACCCCTCTGAATCTCACTATCACTCATTAATTTATTTGCCGAGTTTATGGCTTGATGTATATGTTTATTTTCCGCGTGTGGTATTGACTTGATTGTAGAAACAGGAATTCATCCTCTACGATCTGGAAACAAACTCCCAGCGGAATGGCTGTATCGAAAGCGTATCTAATTAATGTTATCGCGCATTATGCGCCCCAATTTTTGTGCCTCCCTGATCAGATAACGAAGAGCAGAAATAACACACCCCAACTTTGTTTGCACACCACCAGCGTAGGCCACTTCATTACCCTTCGTGACCTCCAGGGAAATACAGAAAGTGGTGGGAGGGATACCACTGGCAAAGAAATTCCCGAACATCCAATAGGTTCATGGCTCGGCTCGGTCCCACACCATCAAATTCCGCGTGTCATTCACTTGTCGTCTTCACCCTCAGGGCCAGCGTCGCCTGCGCCTCCCTGATAACCCTCCTCCTCTCCCCTTTCCCCCTTGGGGAAGTTCAGGCGTCCGATTCGGGGTGGCCGGGCCAGCTCCCAAAGAGGTCGTGCCCCGGGTCGCAGCCGCCTTCGGGGGCTGGTAGGAGGTAGTAAGGCCGTGAGAGTTGAGAAACCGCGCAGAGCGTGTAGCAAGTTATCACGTAAGTTTGTGGGAATCTGGCTCTTCATTCAGGAAACTCATGTGGCACCCTTCGATTTGATTCCATGGTCTTGGGCCAGGTCTTCGAAAATCAACATAACGTAATGCAACACGTACATGTTAATCGTGTTGCCAAGTGGGCCAGAGCCAATCTGTCTAGCGGACGAGGCTTACCTTTTGTATCTTTCCTTCCTTGGAGTGGAGAATACAGGCGATCAATAGCGCCACCTGATTGATATTGTTATCCTTGATGTGCTTGGTCAGGAAAGACATCCTAACTGTCTTGAGACGTCACTGCAGGTCGAAAAAATGCCCTGTAATAATAACCTCCCAGGAAGCAGCGGAGCAACAAATGATACTACGATGCTTGCCTTAATCCTGTGGTTGGAAGTGCATGTTTGGGGGTCTTGTTTAGTGGAAGAGCAGAGGAAGTAGCGCAAGTAGAATCAATGAATTTCAAATTCCCAGACGCCTGATAACTGTTGCAAGTAAATTCTCCCCGCTAACCACTGAAATTCAAATAGAATCTTATGGCGCGGGTTAAATCTACTACACCGAACCTAATGCTGAGATCCCCCGAGTATGAAATTCGAGAAGTGAGTCGGGCCATAAAGCATCCAGGCCACCACAGAGCTCAGAAAGTTGGTTGACGGGGCGGACATGAAGTGGGCGGTAGATAGAACGGCCTCTTGTAATCCTTTGAGGCAGAAGGCTTAAATTTCCCCCTCATTGGGCTTGTCATCGTCAGTGTCGTCCTGGATGGACTCGGGCTCCCTGACAACCTCCGCCTTAGGCTGGCGTCCGCGCTTGGCAGTCGATTTCTGGACCTTGTTGGGGGACACCTTTGGGATCGCCGGAGACTTGACATCTTAGTCGGCTGCTATTATCTCGAAGTTGCACACTTACCTTGGAGCGGGGATAGAACACGTCGACCGGGATCGAGTATTTTCTCTTGAGGCTGCCGAATCGATTACCAGCGGACTTGACATTGCCGTATCCCAGTGCCTCGGCGACAGCTCCCATGTCAATCTAGAACGTTATCAGCCTCGTAAGTTAGAGATTATGAGCAGTCGGTGCATCTACCTTCTTGCTAGTCGCATCCATCGACTTCAAACACTGGGCCAGGAACGCATTCTCCTGGTCCAGGCCGGAGTCAGCGGCAGGGGACGCCGGTGCCTTGGGAGGAGCCATTCTGAACGTTCGGACGTGGACTTTTGCGGGGGTGATATGAAGAGTCAAGTAAGGACAGCAAGAGTGCTGGTGGGTTCCGAGGAGGAGAGGATGGAAAGGAAGAGGAATGGTGAATGTCGGGGGCGGAATAGGAAGAGAGTCGAAGTGAGAGAAAAGTCGTAACGCGCTTCCAGGCAAGGTACGGAATATTTTGTGGAACCAGTCGTGTCAAGCTCAACGACCAGAATTATCAGTCCGCAGCCTCTCACAGGGCAATCACAACAAAACCATTATTTACCAAGTCGACCTAAGGCCACTCTCGGGCCCATGTGTGCTGTTTGAGCTAGGTCACCCACCTGTCCAACCCCACAACGTAACTGTGGGAATATGATTTCGTTTTAGTTGAGGGTACAATCTGGAGGATTACAGCAAACATATATGAGTTATTAGTAGCAGCTTCTTCTTGAGTGGTTGCTTGACTAGCACATTGAGTGTGTGTTCAAAAAGTGAGTCCGATGAGGTCCAGACCTAGCACAGGAGAGTGCGTGATGTTCAAATAAGCCTCAGAAGTAGGGTACCAATAACAGGGCTTTCTATCGCAGAGTTTTGCTGTTGTCGAGTGGTTTAGGTTGCGATAGTGACTTTTCCCAAGATGTATCCAAGCTCTAAGGATGTATGCTTGCTATAGTATGGTCCGGCAGTCCGGATGAGTGTGGCTCAATAACGCCTGCACAAATGCTCCTCTCTTGGTTACTGTGGTACTAGAAACGGTTTTGCTTTGAGAAATCTAATTCTATTCATTAACGATAGAGAACAGCAAACAAGAATAGACAATTTGGCCGATTTGGGAGCATGGAAGATTCAAGTCCAAATGCTGGCTAACTCATCCAGGATTTGCCATCGGGGATCTCTTCCACTTTGACCACCACATCTTTGGACTTGGATTCATATGCCTCGGGTTCCTCCTTGATCTCCATGGGGGAGGGGGCAGATTCGGTTTGTTGCTGTGTTGCAGGCCCCCAAGTAATCATTGGGGGATAATTGAAGGAAGCTGCCTGTGCGGAGAAGTCTTGCATATCTACCTCATGGGATATCGGAAATGATGAATAGGAAGCGAAAGGCGATGGGATCAAAGGCAGTGAAGATGGCATGCCCGAGGCAAGAGAGAATGACATTCCACTCGAATGGTACTGGGGCCAAGCGCCTTGAGAGACTTTTGTAATTGACTGCATGTGGTTTGGTGGCCTAATTCGTGCATAATCATGGCCAAGACGGTCTGCGGTGCCGGGGGTGGCAGAGCCTTGACTACCAGATTCGTGTTTAATGAATGGGTTGGACTGGAAGGGCGACTCTGTTGGCTCCAAGTACGGCGCGATCCCGGACTGGGAAAACTGTGGTGACGCCTGTATGTTTCCCTTTAGAGGATCCTTTCCGGCTTTCTTCGCGTTCCTCTTTTTGATTGCTCGTGGAGATGGCCCGTCCATCTGCGTTTTGAACCGTGAGTATCGCATGCGGGCAGCATGGCCGTTCGAAATTTCAAGCTCAGAAGCCACTCGGTTCCAATCAATCTAGTAGGGCTAAGCATTAATTCCGTCTCAGCTCGGATTCAAACATCAACAATGGACTCACGGTCTTCAAGTCCAGTTGTTTGATGATGGCGTGGAGAAACTTTGGCGTCGGGCCATCCGTGTCTAACACCTTGCTCCGTTGACCCATGGCTGCAATCCTGAGGTCAGCCTTTAAAAAGAGGACGGAGAAGTCTCAGGTAGGGTACCCAACCGAGTGGGTAGGATGAACTTTGAAGCTAAGATGGCAGTAAAAACCTACCTATTGCACTCTCGTGCACATTTTACTCCAATATATATTCGGCTCTCAGCAAAGTGACGACAAAGCGAGGCCAGCAGGTGCGTGCTCTCCGCTAGCGGGACTAAGTCAATAATCAAAAGCAACTTCTTTGCATGCCAAAAGAATTCCCTGGTTTGCCTGTAAATAAGGAATTGCAGTCGTGGGGGCCCGCAAGAAGTCAGCCCAGGCTCAAAGAAGCAATGCTCCATGGATCCCGCAGCGGACCTCCTCTACCTCATCCGATTATGATACCTAAAGGCCTGTGGCAAAATATCTGTCTGTAAGATGCAATGGTGCCAACTCCTTCCCCAGTTCAATGTTAGTTCCTTTGATGACTCTATCTGTAATCGGTTTCCCTTGTGTTTGATTTGCATGTCCGCACGTGGCTGCCGTTGCATTTACGGCCGCCTGCGCGGGCAATCGCAGCCGAATAAGAAACGTCCTAGATAGGTGGAAATGACCTGACATCAAAATGGAAAACGAATAGTCCCACTGATTGAAGCGAATCCGCTCCTGAGATGAAGGAGCCATGAATAGGTGGATACATTGCCCTGATTGGCTAAGCTGGTCGTTTGGGAACACCAACTTTCTTTCTACTTTTAACGGGATAACAAATAGCTTGAGTCTCTTCACGTTTATTACCGAGGCAAAAGCACTAACGAGACCCTTTTATGAAAGAAGCTAAAATCTTACAAGATGGCGTGGATGGGGAGTGGCCTACTCCGCAGGGCAGCGATAACAATATCCTGACTAATCCGTCCCACGTTGAACGGTGGGCATGGCGGGAATCCGTTCAGCTTTCAGTTGATCTTGCCGGTATATAATTCATCGACCCGAGAAGAGTTACCGAACCTGTCCACTATGTTGGTTGCAATAGGGGCATGTTATGTCGACACTATCCTAACGTGTGTCAATTACCCGTCTTCATGCGGCTGCACCGACGACATTGGACATTTCCAATACTAATTTGACGGTCACCCTTACCTAGCACTGCATACTACCCCGAAGAAGATGAGAAGTTGCGGGCTTCAAATGTGACTCGCCGGAGGGGTGGAAACTGCCCGAACACCCTTGAGGTGCTGCAGCAACTGTCGTCTCATGGGTTGACTAAGGAGCTGTCGTTGTCACTCATTACAATCTTGCCTGCCAAATCATCAATGGCCTCACAGCATATTATATCGGAATTTGAACCACACGTTAGTCTCAGCTATTGCATTTACCGAGAGGGATTTGAAGATCCAGCATCATGCTATATTATCAAAAGCCAATCTACCAGCAGTCGGACTATCGTCAACTACAACAAACTTCCCGAGATGACCCTGGATGAGTTTACTGGATGTGCCAATGAGCTAGGTCCGAAAGCAACTTGGTTTCATTTTGAGGTATGATCAAAGTGGAAAGATGTTTTCTCCGCCCCGAACTTCCTCTCGATGCATTCCACTGACAATCATCTAGGGCCGAACGCCGGACATGACTCTACAGTTTATGCAGTACCTCCGAAGGCATTTCCCATCTGTTCGAGTGAGCATCGAGATTGAAAAGCCTGGCCGACCAGGTCTTCAGGAACTTGCAATGGAAGCCGATGTCGTGTTCTATGCGAAGACATGGGCGCAGGTGAGAAACGGCTTGAATTGGGCTTGCGTAAAAGACAGCGCTGATACCTTAGATAGGATGCCGGGTACGCAACAGCAGAAGAATGCGTAAGGAAGCAGTCCGCCTGCGCACACAACGCGTCAGTATTTCCAATCTTGGAGGCAGGATGCCGGCTGATTCTTCCTATTATAGGTCGCTGTTATGTTGCACCTGGGGCCAGGATGGAGCTGATGCCTTCGAGCCAGGCACTGGGGAGTTCATACACGTGGCGGCTTATACGGCGGAGGACCTCCCTGTTATTGAGTGGGTTGAACCTGTAAAACAGAAAGAAAATATGCTGATCAGGAACAGTCCCATTGGAGCAGGAGATACATTCATCGCGGGAATGTTGTACGCAATGAATTGCAAAGAAAACGACTGGGATTTATCCAAAAAGCTTGCATTTGCTAACCGAGTTGCGGGTATGAAAGTCTCCCAAGAAGGCTTCTCAGGCTTGGACCGAGCATTGGCGGGCTTTTCTTGAAGGTGGGGGATTTCATGATAGGTCAGCAAATAATTGTGACTGAATCACATCAAAACCGCTAGCATAGTTAGCATAAATATTTGCGAAGTGTATATTGAATTGCTTTTCGAGCCATTAGTTTGGTCCGTCGTTGACCCGCATGAAAATAGCGACGGGCGATAACAGCACGTGACCAACAATTGTTGCCGGCCTGGCGGTGAGCAACAAAAAATATTCTGCCACCAACTTTTCTCGGAAAGCTTCTGCATCGAACATACCTGCTGCTAGGCATTTGCATATCACCATGGCGGCAGTTTACAAGACAGTTTCCAAGAAGCAGGCTCGGCAAATGACCGAGGAGGAGGATGAGGACATGGATGTGGGCATGGAGGAGCTCCTCGACGATGCGGACGACACTACCGACAGCGAAGAGGAGGAAGAGGGTGAGGAGGACCGTATCGCTGCGGCGAGGAAGGAGCTCGCCGCTGGCTTTATGCCCAAGACTCGGGTACTGATACTTACTTCGCGTGGTGTCACACATCGGTCAGTAACAACCATCAATGCGCCTAAAATCTGACTCTAACTGACACATTTTTTAGCCACCGTCATCTCATGGCAGATCTTTGCGCTCTTCTCCCCCACACTCACAAAGAGACCAAACTCGACACTAAGAAGAATGCTGGCTACAACCTCCTACTGAACTCTCTCGCCGATCTCCACTCGTGCAACATGATCTTCTTCCTTGAGGCTCGCAAGAACGGTCAAGATCTCTACCTCTGGCTTTCGCGCCCGCCAAACGGCCCCACAATTAAGTTTCACTTGAACAATCTGCACACGATGGCCGAACTCGGTGCCGGATTTGCAGGCAACTGCCTGAAGGGTGGACGCGGTGTCGTGGTTTTTGATCGCTCGTTTGACGAGCAAGGCCCGGATATGAGTGTCGCCGGCACTGAGTACCGCGGTCTGGTCCGTGAGATGCTGCGCGGTATCTTTTGTGTTCCCAAGCGTGGTGTCAAGGGCATGAAGCCTTTTGTCGACCGAATTATCGGCGTTTTCGGTGTGGACGGCAAGATCTGGATTCGGGTCTACGAGATCCGTGAGTCCGAGAGTGGTACCAAGAAGAAGGATGGAAAGGAGACCGCTACACCTGCCCCAATGGGCCCGGACGGACTGCCCGAGGTGTCTCTGGTCGAAATTGGCCCTCGCTTCGTGTTGACTCCTATCGTCATTCTGGAAGGCAGCTTCGGCGGCCCCGTCATCTACGAGAACAAGGAATACGTCAGCCCCAACCAGGTCCGTAGCGAGCTCCGGATGGGCAAGGCTGGCCGATACGCCCAGCGCCGGGAAGTGCAAACGGATCGTATGGCTAAGCGGACGGATCTGGGTCTCTCGGATAACTCTTCGCGGAGACCTGATGCGATGGAGACGAGAAAGTTGTTCGCATAAAGGTAGCAGCAATTCTTGAATATGCCATCATGATGGTTCGACTATTTTGTATATTTGGGCGACGATATCATTCCAGGTCTGCTTTGGCGTCAGGGCAAAGTCTCATATCCGTTAATTTCCAAAAAAGTATTTTGCATTTCACTTGTGCCTCTCATGCGTAGTGTATCGATATGAGCAGTTTCTTCGCCTATATTTGCCTGATTTATTCTCGCAGCTGTGACAGCTCTATTCCCAACGCTCGGCGGAGAAGCACATTTCTCAGGTGGAGCTGCAGGTGGGCCCGGGCGCCGTGGCAGCTATCTGGACCACAGATAAGACCATTGCTTATGGGACTCGAACTACGGGACTAAAATAGCGCATGCAGGGCCGTTCTTGAAATATACCGATTGTCCAGAAAGACTTTCATACAAAACCACGTAGCCACAGTGACGCCCAACCCAATTCAGTGCACCGGCGACCTCGGGAACCCGGGGGGAAAGAGAGCACGAGTCTGATGGGAAAAAATCAATTTCGGTGGGAACCACACAGATCTCAAGAACGCAGAAGAAATAATAAAGGAAAACAGAAAAGATCCGGGACTATCGGGAGACTTGTCCGGGATTGGCACCCCCATTTCCCATGCTCTCTACCATATCCAGATCCCGCCCGTGTATTGTCTTCGCCTCAAATTACAGACTCCATCACAGATCACGGCCATTCCAAAGTCAAATTGTAAAAAGAAGAGTCGTTGCGGTCCGTTCGTTGGCCCTCTTAGCAGCAGCCTTGCTTCTGCTCGTTGGGCTGCGGGGTGAAGTCGATGGTGCGGCCCACAGGAGGGTTCGTGCTCGATTCGCCGGAGTCGAGAGCCTTGCTGGAAACGATGCGGTAGATTTCTGGGAGTTAGGATTAGTTGCTGCCTAGGCCATGTGTTGTGCCTAGATCTGTGGACCCACCTGTGAGGATGTTCTGGAAGGCAAGTTCGACGTTGCTGGCGTCAAGGGCGGAAGTTTCGATGAAAGAGAGGTTGTTGTCGCCTTTCAAAAAGTCAGCACCTTGAACCCCTCCCCACATACTATCCTGGGAGATAAGACATACTGGCAAACTGCTTGGCCTCCTCGGTGGGGACCGCACGCAGGTGTCGCAAATCGCTCTTGTTACCGACCAACATAATGACGATGTTGGAATCGGCGTGGTCCCGCAGCTCCTTCAACCACCGGTTGACATTTTCGTAGGTCTGGTGCTTGCTAATATCGTAGACAAGGAGGGCACCGACAGCGCCACGGTAGTAGGCAGAGGTAATGGCACGGTAGCGTTCCTGGCCGGCAGTATCCCAGATCTGTGCCTTGATGGTCTTGGAGTCGACCTGGATCGAGCGGGTCGCAAACTCCACACCGATGGTGGACTTGGAGTCCAGGTTGAACTCGTTGCGGGTGAATCGACTCAGCAGGTTGGATTTACCGACACCCGAGTCTCCGATTAACACCACTATTCACCTGTCAATATCACAGTTCGTGGTATCCTCGTCGGATCGTGCAAGGAGGGCTTGGAAGGGGCACGCAGTGGCCGGGCGGAGGGGGAAGATGCGGTATCCGCACGAGGCAACGTTACCTTTGAAGAGAAACTGAAGCCCCCGTCAGCAAAATGAGATAAACAACCACCGTCAGAGGGGGGTCACTCACATCATATTCGTCGTTGGCCATGTTTAAGGTAGGGGAGGAAAATTCGGGGAATGAGAAGAAAAAGGGAAAAAGAACGGGGCGAAGTATTGCAGGCGATAGGAGAGAGAGAGATGATGCTTCCAGGTGGAGTGTCTCCTTAATGTCAGGTCACGTGGGAGATGTTTTCCCGCACGGCTTTTTGGCACCTTCACTGATGCGCGGATCTGCGGCTTCAGCGGTGATGGCTTGGTCTCTGTAGCCTGGTGAATGCCAGAGTGCATTTACAGTACCCCGGGGCATTTCAGTCCGGAAACTGCCTTTTTCCCCGGTCCATATCACTCTTGCAAAGCCCGCGTCTCGTGCCTTCTCCACAATAGATCGCCTTGGTTTCTACCCCACAGCGGTTTCAAGCACGACATGCTACACAGTGTCTCCAGCCATAGAGACGGACATCAAGATGGCGGATGCTGATCATCACTCCGATGCCGACTCCCTGGCCTCTACAGTTGCCAGTATAGAAGGATCCGAATACGAGGTGGAAGAGATCCTCTTCGAACGCATTTCCAAGAAAACCGGCGAAAAGAAGTATCTGCTCAAATGGGCAGAGTATCCTATGCATCGAGCAACATGGGAGCCCGCGGATATGTTCCTGGAGATGGACGACGCCTTGCTTAACTGGAAGGCGAAGAGGTCCCGGATCATAGAAGGCATTGACCCTCCATTTGACCTAGTGAAATGGGAAAAAGACCTCAAGGAACGGCGCAGAGAAACAGCAAAACGAAAGGAAGCTCGTCGAAAAGAACGCGTGAGGAGAGCAGCTCAGATCACCGACTTCCAAGATCAAGATGGGCATCAACCTGACCGTGAGGATGACGATGAGGATGTCTCCAATCCCGCCGATGTCATCGGATCAGACTCGAGTCCTCACGGATCTACATCCAAATCTTGGAAGTCACCACAAGAGGTGCCTTTACCGCAGGCGTGCACCGGTTTGGCTCCAGGCGGTCAGCTTCTCACTAGTCGATCGCGTCGCGAGAGTCCTCTGTCCGACTCCTCGATCGTCTCGTCTCTGTTTGTTTCCGCGAATACTCCACAACCAGACAGCCGAGCTACTCAGCTCGCATCAAACCAGGGAGACCTTCTGCTTCCCACTTCTACAGCTGCTCAACCTCGACAGGCTCTTTCGCCTCAGTCACCCCGGGTTGGATCTCAACCTCCGCCTTCTGGCCCCTCTCAGACATGCCACGATACTCTACAGACCTCTCCCACCCCGAGCTCGAAGCAGGATACCGTCTCCGCTACAGAGCCTGGCCAAAAGCTAGGGCAGATTTTAACACCCCAAGCAGAGCCGCTACGAGAGCCTCAGCATCAACGATCGCAGGCGTTACCTAGCCAGGTTGCCAAGCAGCCGGCATCAAGACCGCCCTACTCTGCCTTCGGAACGGCTAAATTAAGTGATCGCGAAGCCGATCCTAGCCAGTTAGACCTCCGAAAGCCCTCTGAATTCCCTGCAAGGTTAGCAGGCGCAAGTTCTGTCCCTTTTGCCAAGGTCACAACATCGGAAATTACTCGACCTGCGTCTAAGATCGGAGAGAAATCCACACCTACGTATTCTGTTCCATCCCAAACTCCGACTATTTCAAGTGCGCCGCGTCCGGGGTCTTCCGACATCATACCGCCCCTCCCAACGACTCCTTCGGCTCATCTTGAAAATGAAATGACCCCTATGTTCCCCCAATCGTCTTCCCGCGGTCCTCCTTTCAGATCTGGGGTCGATTTACACCGGCCAGGTGGTGCTACAAGTGGCGATTCCCCTCGGCATCAACAACCACGCCAACGGTCACCCGAGTCACGTCCTAGATCTCCCGTGCAGCGTCCAAGATCCGCTGGATCGCAACCGCGCTCCCCAGAGCCACAGCCAATATCGCCAGGGTCACGTCCAAACTCTCCTGTACGGCGTCCCCCCGTTGGACCACGGCCGCGATCCCCACAACACTGGACACCTGATCGTCATCGGATACCTGCTCCTTCCCCATTCGACACTGTCACCCGTTCACCTACCGCACCTAAGATTTCACCCCCGAGGCCATCTCTGGTTGCTCCTGTCTACAAAGAAAACAGGGCCAACTCTTCGCTTGGGGGTACGCCTATCTCATCCACTAGGCCCCCGCTGCCCCCTCCGACACTCTCGCTATCCGTAGATGAACAAATCAAGCGAATGCCGATCGGTGTACCGGAAAAAAACTCTATGAAATTCAAAAATGGCTATTTTGTCAACCGGTGTGAGGTCCTCGCGCATGTGTACTTCGGTCCGGAAAAGGTCTTTGTCGGGGTTGTACGGCTGTGTGGTTTAACAAGCGACGTGAAGAAGGATCTCCTTGCATCAAAAGGAGCGAAAAGAGGATCCTTCGGGAACTTTGAGATGTGGTTCAAGAATATCTGCACGCACGACGAGTATACTGCTCTTTGTAAAGCAGAGGAGGAAGCAGGGGGCTCGAATACTGTTTTACGCACCTGTTGGATGGAGGGGTTTGCGAATACCAACCCAGACATATTTCGTATGTCGGAAAACCTCTTCTCGGAAAATACGGTCGCTATCTACTACCCTCCTGGTCTGAATGGTTTCGTGTGGCTTGCCTATTCTCCCAAGTCCCATGTTTTCACCCATCTCACCCAGCCCCAAATCAAAATCAGCCGGTGGATTCCCATTCGCCTTGCTGTGCGGACCCCTCTGGCGCCTATCAATGCCTTGAAATTCACGTCCGTGAGACTGGAATGTGAACCCCGACAACAAGTGGCCACGGATATGGCCATCGTCCCATCCAGCCAATCAGCTGCAGGTGAACGTGAGGCGCGGGATGCTCCTGTTGGGCCTTTTCTCAACAGGGCGGCGGATGGTGAGCATCAAACGAGCAGGCTGGGGCTCTCAGACCAACACACAGACTCCCCATCCGACCCTCGCCTCAGGCGCCGGTCATCTATTACGACGAGTGCACAGCCATTGCAGGGTCAGGCTCGAACTATGGAAATGGGGGTTGACAAGAGCAATAACCATCATTCTGAAGGCGCCAGCTTGCAAGAGCCGTCAGATATCATGGATACGAGCCCAGACAACACGGAACCTGCCCACTTACCCTTAGCGACAGGTACTCAAAATCCCCCTATGTCAGGTGTGGCAGACCCTAATTCCATGCTTGTCGAATACTTTGAATCACAGGTCAGAATGACTTTTAAAGAGCTCGCTTCTGTGACTGGGAGACGAAATGGCCCTGCTGCAGATATTTTCTACCTGCACCTTCCAGAAAATGAAGAGGGTCAAAATGACTGCACTCTTCTGAAGGCGTGGCTTGATTTGCACGGAGCCATCGTATGGACAGATTGGGGGAAGTTCATCAAAAATAGCAAATGTGGCATCATTCTAGTATGTTTGCTCCAGTCTAAGAGGGTTGACTCTTCCAAATTGACCGACTTACCATACTTCCAGTTCCATGAATCTTTCGCCAAGTACTATATGCTGCGGCCCAATATTAGTGATGCTTTGGCGAACTCATCAATGGGCTTTTGGACTTTCCGCATCTCAAGGCCCCTGGACTTTCCTGACCTTCGGTATTGCCAGAATGGGGTCTATTTCCAGCGGATCTTTGGCCGCGGAGGCGCTTTCTTGATGTCTGAAGACCTGCTTCAAGATCTAAACCAGGCGCTCGTCATTGTCTGCTGGTTCTACGGTGTTCAAAGTTCCAATCCTGGTGCTTGGAAACTGGTCTGTTGGCCAAGCGTGGTGGAACGCCTTGAGCAAAGGCTCGATGATCCGAATCAAACCAAGGATGAGCAGAAACTGTATGATTGGCACAGTTCCCGAATCTTGCTGTTTAAACACTAACATTGCCTAGTCTGGTCGCCCTTCTCTGGTGGATCAGGAAATGCAACTCTGTCGATAAGCTTCGACCCTACTTCCAGGACGACAGCCTAAATCAGGCAAAGCTGGACGCTCCTAACAATAATGTCATAGCCCTCACAGTGGCAGGATATGGAGAACGTTCAGAACATGTGACCCCCGAGCTGCCTGGCGGTCTAACACAGACCGAGCGCAATGCCGATCACCTTGCCGAGGCCTTTGCAGGCTGGACCCTCGAGAACACGGCCCGTGTCCGAAAGGCATACATAATCTCGAACTGCAGCAACGAGGCCCTGCTCAAGCGGTGGGGAAGGTGGGCCCACGTCATCGTGTTCAGCATGGAGTCATTTCTCGGCAGATTTAAAATAGATGCAAAGGAAATGCTCAAAAGAGCAGAAGGCAGGGGCAGGCCGCGATCACCGAGCAAGTCGAGCAAGTCGAGCAAGTCGAATCAACCAAGTCACCGAGCTGCCAGTGGCTTTTCTTCTCCATATCAGACTCCCCAGACTCCCGTAGCTGCCGCGGGCAGCGTCCGAGCCCCGGGAGAACCAACTGCAGACTGCGCGAGCCGTCCAAGACCAGGCGAATGGAGGCAACCACATAGGCACGACGCTGATCGGTATCCAGCACCCTACCGTTGATTGATCTGTGGCCCTAGACAGGCAGGAACGGCCGTCGGTCCTTTACCCATGTTTGCGTTTACTTGACTTTTTAGGAGTTATCTCTGATACCCGGATGATTAGCATGAACTCACATGAGGCTCATCTGATCGGCCACAACTATTTTGAAAGTAATTATCTGAATTACCATACTTTCTCTCCAATCTTATAAAAGAAAAACCGACGGTTCGCACTGTATAAATCATCTGGTCATCGAAATTGTGAAGTGTAACTTAATTTGATCCAGTATAAGATAAAGGCACGCCTCGGGTACTAATAAAGAAAACCATATACACCAGATAATTCATGACAAGCCCCAACAGGGATAAACAATATTCAGTAGCATCGAACCACACTACCCATTCGCTCGCTTGCGATACTCTTGGAAATTTGATGCATGCTGCGCCTCGTCGCTCACATCCGTCTGGGCCTTAGCCTTCTTCTCTTTCTTCTTCTCGCGTCGCGTCTTCTCCTCCCACTCGCTCTCTTCCGCAGAGATCATCGCGTGAAATTTGCCGCCTTGGCCGCGGGCGAGGTATATCGGCGGTTCTTGGCGGTCAGCCACAGCCTCGGTGACGAGGACAAACTTCACGCTGGAGCCTGGAGCTTCAAACATGGCGTCGCTAAGGATGGTTTCCATTTCGGTGCGCAGCGCGCGCGCTCCGGTGCCCATCTTGAAGGCATTGGATGCGAGCCTGTGTAACGCCGGCGTCGTAAAGCGCAGCTCGATGCCTGAAAGTGAGAAGAGGGTCGTGTATTGTGCGAGCAGGGAATTGCGGGGCTCGGTGAGGATGCGCAGAAGCAAGGGCTGTGTTAGTGTCGACAGGGCGGCGGTGACGGGGATCCTGCCAATCAGCTCCGGGATGAAGCCGTAAGTTTGCAGGTCCGCTGGCGTCAAGAGGTCCAGGGCGTTGAAATATGTTGGCTCGCCGCCTTGAGTGGCTGGAGATGCAGAGGTGAAGAAGGGGAGGTGCTTTTTGTAGAGTGCTTCCTCTTCGGATCCGGGGGTAATTGGCTGAAGTTCATCGTGCGAGATAGCGGACGTGCCCGGTAGACCGCTCGAGCCGGATGAGCCCCTAACAGGCTGGCCGAATCCGATTGAGCCATGCGAAATTCGGTCCATGACCACTTTGGGTAGCCCGACAAATGCGCCCGAGAATACGAACAGGATGTTGTCCGTGCGCACATTGTAGACTTCCCCCTTCGTCACTGGATTATTGTTGTGCGGTTGGAATGGTGCGCTGCCCAGAGGACTGTTAGATGGGTAGGAGTTTGGCGGGCTCATCGATCGAGGGTTTTTCTCTGGCTTGGCCTGCACTTGCACAGTGGTCCCCTCGATGATTTTCAGGAGAGCTTGTTGAACGCCTTCGCCGCCAACGTCCTTGCCATGGCTCACTTTGGCCGCCGCAATCTTGTCCACCTCATCAAGCACAATGATGCCCCGCTCCGCCTGCTCAACGTCATAGTTTGCGGCCGCCAGAAGCCGATGGACGCACGTTTCGGCATCCTCTCCAATGTATCCGGCCTGCGTAAACGGGGTGCAGTCTGAGATGCTAAATGGTACGGACAGAACACGAGCAAGTGTTTTGGCCATGAGCGTCTTGCCGACTCCCGAAGGCCCAAGAAGTAGTATGTTAGACTTGTCGAGCTGTAGCGGCGATGTATCGACTAGTTCGCCTTGGTCTAACAGAGTATTCTGACGAGGTTTGGCGGCCGAGGGAAGTCCCACAGTTCGCTGCTGGCCTGGAAATTCACCTATAGAACAGGGCTTTAGCCAGGGCACCTGGGGGTTAGAAAAACGCCGAAAGACGTACCTTCCAAGGGATGACTTTCAAGTGCTTCTCTCCGCTGCCGTTTCGCCAGGAGCTCCTCTGCTTCCTCCTCACGACGCTGGATTTCCTGTACCCTCTGGTAATGATTATACACTGCCACGCTCAGAACCTTTTTTGCGCGATCCTGTCCCACCACATATTGGTCAAGATACTGCTTCAGCACCTTGGGTGTGATGCGCGGGGCGCCAAAGGCGGGTGTGGAGCCCAGAGGGCCGGTAGTCGGTAATCCAGTCTCATAGCTCCCCGTAAAAGGCTGGGTTGTAAAGTCTGACCGGTTAAATTGCGAGGATGTTGGGAAGCTGGATGAGGAACTGGAAAGCAGGCGTGCTTGGCTGACGGACAATACGTTCGCCCGACATCGGACACAGCGGACAGACAGGACGGCCTCACGATGCGTCCTGGTAAGTGGGAACCGACACTGGAGACGCCGGCACAGCATCTCCCAGAGACTGCAGTGCTGGGACAAGGCAAGAATTCCGATATAGATGCGGCGAGGAGAGCGTGCGGAGGGATACCTCAGATACGGAGCTTTCCCCGCAGGTGATCTTATCGGCTGAGTCAGCGCGGCATCGAGCGTGCGCTAAGCCGACCGGTGGGACAATGTGTGACCGGGATAGGATAAGCCTCATCTGTTCAACCCATAAAAACCTGGTGAACAATTTAGCAAGGCAGGGATAATGAGGCTAGATGTCATAATTCAGTTATGCGAACTATTCAAGCCATGGGACATGCAGGGGGTCTTTATCATCTGCCATCTGAGTTCAAAGGAGTCGTACTCTAGAACTATACCAGAGCCCATGCAAAGCCTACATCCACTCCAACACAATCCTCAGCCTTCCCGGGTTCTCATCAACTGAATATATGAGTCTATTCTGCAGGCCACTAGTTCTTCATCGTAATGTAAACCGGCCGATTTGACGGTATATTTTCAGCGAAATTACATCGCGGTAATCCGTAAACAAGCCACAAACCCCGAGCGCTCCGTCATCCCACAGTTCCAGGTCTACCAGCCTCTCCCATCATTTACATCCGTTATCTCGCACACAATTTCTTCTTTCATGATGTTGTCTTCGTTGCCTAACTGGGTCATTCTCGCGAGATCCACCAACCTTTCCCCATTTCGTATAGGCGATGATGTCAACCGCCGGGCAAATACGAAGGCGATCTGCGCGCTAAGCCATGCCCAAACGTATCCGGCAATTCGTGTATGGTTCCTTGGTCCCCACCACCCCGATCGAGTAACTTCGTATTTGATATGCATCAACTAGCACTGCACTGCCTACGGGGCAATGTGATCGAAAAATGATTATATATAGAGCGAGAATGCCGGGTGTGCCCCCGGGGTGGTGGTTATGGGATCACATTGTGAGAGTATATCCATTATGATCAAACCTTTGCTTCTCTCTCTTCTTGTAACTGCAGTCATTGCGGTGCCGCAGTCTGGCAATTGCCGCTGTCGTCCCGAGGACAGCTGCTGGCCCTCTCAAAAGGAGTGGTCGGCCTTGAATAACACCATCCATGGCAACCTTGTAGCGGTGCGTCCGGTCGCGTCAGTCTGCCACCAGGCGGAGTATGATGCCAAAGCATGCAGTACCATCACTGGGCTTTGGTCTGACTCTGCCTGGCGTTCATCTCAGCCCGGTGCCGCCCAGTGGGAGAATTGGGAAGCTTGGCCGGAGCGTAATCAGTCATGCTACGTCGGTTCTCCTCAGAATGCTGTCTGTGGACAAGGTCGGATCTCGCTATACTCGGTCAAGGCACACAGTGCATCCGATATCCAACAGGCCGTCCGGTTTGCCAGCGCCCACAACCTCCGGCTTGTCATCAAAAACACCGGGCATGATTTCTTGGGCCGCTCAACGGCCCCAGAGTCGCTGCAGATTCTCACTCATGGCATGACGGATGTCCAAATCGTAGATGACTTCGTTCCAAAGCGTTCGGTGAAGAGTGAAGGCCCTGCGGTGACGATTGCTGCCGGCGTACAACTGCCACAAATGTATGCGGCCGTGGCCAAGCACAACAGGACGGTGATTGGGGGCTCTTCGCATACTGTTGGGATACGACATATCCTTCAGATCACCCATGGTTAGGTCTTACGCGCATGACTAAGCATGCCGTCCCTTATCTTAGATAGTCATCACATAGCAATGACAGCACTTTTACACCTTCTCAGCTTGTTTTGTAACAAACTGGTAGCAAACCCTGGTTAACTAAAGGTCCTTTAGACTGGGTTTCCTGATCAGTGCTGTGCTTTCTGGCATCAATTACCAGCTATCCATATTGCCTAGGTTACCAGCAACGCGGACTCATCTAACCATCTGATTTGCCTTCGTCGAGACGAGACCCTATATCAGACGGAGCCCTAATCTTTATTCGAGCCGCGACGGCTAGTACTACTTCGACGACACTCCCGCGCTTAACGTAGCTTCGGGACGTCGAGTGTAGTATCGTCGAATCCTTATTATACTATTTAGGTAGTATCCGAAGCGTTTATATAACTTAGGTAACTACGTAGGACGTTACGTTAATACCGACCTACTCCTTCCTTGGGTAACGAATAACCTTTATCCTACCTATCTTCCCCCCTTCTTAACTCTTATCCTTTTATCCTTCTCTTCTATCTATCTAATCTCGTTTTATCTATCCTATCTAGTAAAAGACCTCTAATATCTTTTACCCGAGCTTAAAAATAGCGAGTCTCTATTCTTAGTTACTAGCTCCTTCTTTATTTTACCGAAGATAACCCTTATTAGGACCTACTTTTACTAAGCGTTAAGTAAGACCTCTAATATATTACTAACTCTTTTAACCGCCTAACTCTATCTAAGCTTACTCTTTATCTAATAGAGTAGTCTATAGACTGTAGATTACTTAGTTTAGTACTTTAGGAGTTTAGTAATCTAGCTATTAAAGCCCGCCTAGTAGCTTAGTAGACTACGTAAGGCGACCTATCCTCTAGAGACGTAATATAGGGTAGCCCTTTAACTACTCGCTTACCCTCGAGAGAGCCTATACGAGCCGGCCTTTCGGCTATACGGCCGTTATTAAGAGAGCTATATCTATCTAAGGTACGTTAATAGTAGCGTCCTTCTACTCGCCCGGCCTCCTAGGAGGATCCGGCCTTACGTTAGACGCTACCCCCTCGTAAACTATCTTAGCCGCCCCGTAGATTTACCCGCTCTCCTATCCCGGGAACGTTCCCTACCGACGGTTCTACCCTTACCGTCGATATTACCTCTAACTCGCTATCCTCTCCGCTTTCCGCCTCCGCTACTTCTACTCCGACTCCGATAGAACCGTCTCGCCCCCCTCTAGCTATAGGCCTAACGCTAACGCCTAAGTAGCTTTAGGGTATTATTACCTCTGCGATATAGTAAGCTACGGCGTATAGCGTCTAAGCTGCTATTAATACGGCTATCGCCTAGTAGGACCTATATAGCCTAGCCGGCCGTAACGGTCTAGATACCCCTTAGGCTAATTCTAACTAGAGATCTAACGATATTAGCTACTTTACTCTAGATCCTAATACGGATACTTACGTCCGTATAATAAAGGGTACTACTTACTACCTTAATGTATATACCTTTATTAACTAGTTAAAGGCGCTAGTTCCCTTAAAGTCTAAAGAGATCGTTCGGGTAAATATTCTATCTTACCTCCGCGAAGCCGTAGCGCGATAGTATAATACTAAGCTTTCGGAAGACGAGAGAGCCGATCTCGGTATTCGCTCCTTTTAGCTCGGATAGTACGCTACGCTAGAGAAGCGTTTCAAACTACGCCTAACCGAGGCTCTTACTAGGGTTATATTATCCCTATATATATAGAATAACGTCTGCGCCTAACGTAGCGTTACTGAATAGGCGTAGAATATACTCCGCGATATATAAGCGGCCGAGATTTTAGGCTCTACCGCCCTTCTCCGGCTTATCTAGATATATTTCGAAGCTAGCCTCTAGCGGGATATCCGTAAGCCGACGGCTTCTACTACTATATTATCCTTTATAGTAGAGCTAGACTAATACTCTAGGTAATAGACAGAGATATTACGTAGGCGTAACCGCTCGTAGAACTAGTATTAAGCCCCTACCTAACACTTTTAAGATACTCGCTATCCCCTATTCTAGCCTAATAGGCGCCCGTCTAACGCTCTCTAGCTTATATAGAATCCGCCGACGAACCCTAACCCCCTAGGCCTCTTCCTATACCGTTAGCTATAGACCCCCTAGCCCCCGTAGTACGCCCTATAGCCCTAGGCCCTACGTACGCCCTAGCCGCCTTCGTAGGACCGCCCGTAGTTACCGTCTCCGCCGACACTAGACGATCGTCCGTTACGTACGAATTAAGCCGGCTAGCTACTACTAACTAATAGACCCTAGAATACCTAGGCTAGATATACTAACCCGGGCTATACGGCTCGCTAGCCCTACGTTAATAACCGGTAACCCTAGAACCGCCCGGCGGCTACCGCTTATCTAGCGGATTCTAACGCTATAATTACTCCCGTACCGGTAGCGCCTAGTCCGGCCGTACTATATACATTTAGTACGCCCGACGTCGTATTTTACGACGGCTAATATATTTATAAGCTAGGTCTCGAAGCCTACTATACAGATTAAGCTCCCCCGTACTACACTTCCTACGTAGAGTACCCGTAGGATAACCCGTAGGCCTACTAGTAGGCGCCGTCTACTTCGGACGATAACGATAGTACCGGGCCTACCTATTATACCGTAGTCGAGGATTAGGCTTTTACCGCTACTTATCTATACTACGAGTTAACTTTTACTTCGAATAATAAGCTCTACACTTACCTAAAGGAGTATAAACCTACTATAGTAGCTATCGATAATACGTCGGTTACTAATTATACCTCTTACGAGGATATAGATAAGATTCCTAACGACCTTCCGGTAGTTACGTCTAATAGATCCTACGCCTCCTAGCCTAGATAGGCTTATAAATTATAGCGTTATACCTCAGTAGTAGTCGGCGTAACTATTTAGCGTAAGCTCCTCGTCGCTTACCTCGATACTAGCTACGTTATAACTATTATCAATACGGATCTCGCTAAGTCCCTTAGCTTTCTACTACAGAAGTACCCTCTAATCCCTATTACTAGTATCGGCTCCCGTTACCTATCCTCCGTATTTATTACGCTCGACGTCTTCTTCTACGGCTAGGATAACGTAGCCCGTATCTCGGTTAAGGCCTACCTTATAGAGAACCTTAAGGCTAAGCTCCTTATCGGTATAGATATTATAGGCTATAAAGGCTTCCGCCTTAACCTAGAGGTATATACGGTACGAATTACGTTATATATAGGTCTCTTAATTCCTATCTCGATATATACTAAGCCGCACTACGCTATATAGCGCATAGTATATACGGAGGCTTATACCGTTATCCCGCTACGCTTAATTACTCGCGTCCGTACTCGAGTATAGACGAACTTACCCGAAGATCGCGACTACGTCTTTAAAGGTCGCTATTATAATACTTCGTTTTATTTATACCTCGTCGACGCGAACTTTATATAGGTTTAAGCGGTGAATTCTTTATTATCGCCCGTCGTCGTACGCCGACGTAAGCGTATTAGCACTCTCTATAAAGCCGATATACCTATAGTATATACGGTAGAACTAGAAGCCGCGGAACTTAGTCGATCCCCTACGTATACCCCTAAAGCCCCGATAGGTCTACGTTATACGTAGGATAAAATAATCCTTCCTAACGGTATTACTATCTATAGAAATATTACCTCTAGTAATACTTAGCGCCTCGCGGATACTATTATAAAATATAATATCTAGGATAAGCGCCCTAGCGTAGTTAAGGTCCTAGAGGACCGTTAGATAACGATTCCCCTCGTCCCTAGATAGGAGTCTTAACTCTCTAAGATAAAGATATATCTACTAGGCCCTAAGGATCGCGTAGTCGTTAATAAGGCTTTCGACGCTCTTTAGAAGTAAAGTAAACTATTATATATTACTAATTATATCGCTACTAGTTTCCCTATCTTCGTCGTCTAGCGTATAGTTAACCGCCCCGGTCGAGCCCTAGAGCGTAAAGGCTACGCTATTATAGACCTTTAGCCCTTAAATAAGGTTTCTAAGCGTAATATCTACCCTATACTAACTCTCGAGGATATTCTGTTTCTTACGTAGGGTAAGAAATTTATCTCTATCCTCGACGCCGCGAAGTTCTTTTACTAATAGCTCGTAGCCTACGGCTATTATAGTTACGTCTACGTTATCTCTTACCGAGGCTAAGAAATATTCTATATTATTATTATAGGCTACTATAATAGTATACCCTACGTATAACGCTAGATAGACCTAATACTAAAAGAATTTATCGCTTTCTGCTACGCTTACCTTAATAATCTTATCGTCGCATCGGACGCTATCGATAAGTATATTAAGTACCTTTCGGTAATACTATAGACCTTAGAGGACTATAATATCTCCCTTAAGCCGAAGAAGGTATATATCGGTTTCCCTAAGGTCTCCCTTTTAGGCTAGCGTATCGACGCCCTCGGTATATCTACCCTAGAAGATAAGATTAAAGTAATTACTAGCCTCTAGTTTCCGCGTACCCTATATTAGCTAGAAATATACCTTAGTATAACTAGTGCTCTCCGCTAATACGTCCTATACTACGCCTAGAAGGCAGAGCCTCTTTAGATGCGTAAAACCGAGCTTCTAAAGGGGAGCCCCCGCTCTAGCCGCCCCTATTAGGAGTAGAGTAGCCGTACCTCCTACTTATATCCGACGGAGCGTAAGCTTACTACCTTCGACGCTATATAAGCCGTCTTCTAAGATCCTTAGTAGCTTACGTACTAGGATAGAACTAGGCGTCTCTACTTTAATATTAACGCCTTATAGGAGTCCGGCTATAGTACGATAGTTTTCTATCTAAAGAAGACCTTTATATATACTACGCTAAAGAACCTCCTACCCTCGACGGCTATCGAGCCTATAATATTCTATAGCCGCCTTCTAACGCCCGCCGAACGGAATTATTAGTTAACAGAACTCGAGGTCTCCTACCTTATTTAGGTAGTCCGTAAGACTAGGTATATAATCGAGGCCGTACCGGACGACCTTATCCTAGTAATCTATACTAATTATATCGCTACTATTAACCTTGCTACCTCGCTATTGTCCGCATCCCTAGATAGGCTAAATCTACGTCTCGTTCGTATCTCGTAGTATATTTAGTAATATAAGCTCTATATCTTCTATCGGGCTAGTAAGACTAATTATATCGCCGACGTACTCTCTCGCCTACTAGTAGTAGATAAGACGGAACCCCGAGAAGATAATAACCTAGATACCCTATTTACCTCTCCTACGATCTAGGACGTCCCTAATAATACTTATACCTTTATTACCTCCGAAGTATAGTTCACTAACGAGTTTAAGACTCGCTTATACGCCGGCCTAGATTCTAATCGTAAATAGAGTATAATCCTTACTAAGCTCTAGTATATAGCAGACGATAATAACCCTATTAAGCTACGCCTACCTTACTAATATTACGATAGCCTACTTTACTCCGTAAAGTAGGACGGCGATCTCTAGCTATATATTCCTACGCCTATAGAGCGTAAGATCTTCGAGATAGCTTATAGTCCCGGCTACCTCGGCTTCGACTGTACTTAGTAAAAGATATATAGCTTTATCTTATATAAAGGTATATAAAAGGTCCGCTAGTTTATTGACTAGTACGACGAGTATAAGAAGAACGCCGTATATCGCTATAAGCCTTACGGCTCCCTATAACCTATACTCGCCCCCCTATTCCCTTTTATACGCTAATAATTAACTTTATTACCGGTCTCCCTAAAACGAAGAAGGGCTTTAACGCCGTAGTAATTTATACCTATAAGACTACTAAGTATATCGGTTCGACGCTAGGCCGAAAGGACTAGTCTAGCGAGGAATAGGCTACGGCCGTCCTAAGGGACTTATAGAAAGGCGACTAGGGTATCCTAGTCGTTTAGATTTCGGACCGAGATAAGAGATTCGTCGAAGGTTTTTAGCGTAGTCTCTTTACCGCGCTACGTATTAAGCTTATATATACTACTATATATTACCTATCCGCTAATAGCTAGTCTAAACGATCTAATTAGACTGCTAAGGTATAGCTCTAACACTAGCAGAACTTATATTAGGATATCGACTAGGATCGCGGCCTTTCCCCTATATAGGTATCGCTTAACGCTTCTCCTAACGCCTCTACTAGTTAATTACTGTATAGGTTAATATTCGGCTTAGATCTACGTATACCGTAGAACTTACTTCGCTAGGTATTCGTTAGCTCCCCTAAGGCCGCCCGCTAGGATACTGATAAATACGTAAAGTATACTGCTATAGTTATAAAGAAACGGTACGATAAGAGATATACCCTAATATTCTTTAATAAGGAAGACTACGTCTATCTCCGTATCGGGATAGAGGCCGGGAAAGGCTATAATCTCCTAGCTACGGCCGTCGCGAAGAAGTTATCTTAGTGCTACGTTAAATATAAGGTACTCGAGTATATAGGCCGTTTAGTATATAGACTATAGCTCCTACTAGAACTCGCCGGATGCTATCCGGTTATCTCTATTAAATACTTAGAACGAGTACCTACCGAGGGCGATATAACTAGTGCTAAACCTCCCTTAATATTTAACCCTCGCTTCCCGGACGATATAGACTATACGGACGTAGACGCTGTCGTAGATATAAAATACCGAGGCTACGGCCGATCCCGTCGTATCTAGTATCTCGTCCGTTAGTTACCTTTAGGAAATAAATACCTTAAGTAGCTCGATAAAAATAACCTTATTAGTACCGAGGAGAAAGTCTAGGAATACCTTAAATAAATATACGGTACCCTAGATTTACCCTAATATTAACCTCCCGTCTGACGCTGCTCTTACCTATATCTATATTATATATATCGTAGCTTTACCCCTTTCGGCCCCCTCTTTTACGTATAGCTATCCCGCCCTACTATATTATCTCTTACCTCCTAATCTTTACCTTTATCCTTCTTACCCCCCTCCCCCTCTACTTTAAGGATTACCCTTACTAAAATAAACGTACTACCGTTAGCTACTATACCTCTAGCTTCGGCCGAACGTAGTCGCTACGCTATACTACGTACTAGTAGCTCTCCCTACCCGACGCCTAGTAAATATAAGAGCTCGGCAGTACTATTATTCTCGGAAGATAACCTATATAATACTACCTCTCCCGTAGCTATTTAGGGATCTCTTATAGATAACGCCGACGATAACTACGATCTCTACCTTTTTACCCCCTCGGCTATCCCTTATATTTATATAAAGCTTAGGAAGGGCGATAAGGCTCCTATAGCCCCTAAGATAAATATTACCCGCCTTAGACCTAAGACTAAGTAGATATTCCTTATCGCTATTACTATCTAGTATAACTAGTCTACTATATACGCCCTAAAATACTATAAGGACTATATAGACTACCCGGTAGATAGGTAGCGAGAGGGTTACGCCCCGGGCCGCTCCTATAGTAGATAAATTAATATTAAGACTATCTCTATCTAGATAGTATTTTACTTCTTAATCTATTATCTTTAGGATAATACTAAGCTCGAGGCCCTCTTTACCCTATCTAATATACGTCTAATAGATAAAGGTGTCTTTTACTATCTATATATAATAACCCCGTACGACTGTAGCTCTAGATTCTAGGGAGATTTCGACTAGTACGGAGATATCCGTACTACGTATATCCCCCTCGACCCCCTTATAATTATATAGGCAAATAGGAAGCCCTAGTTCCCCGTTTATAAGGCTTACTATATCCTCTATAGCTCCTAGAATATCGCTACCTACCTAGTTAGTTAGAAATATCGTATAAAAGACGCCGCTTTCTATATTAGTTATATACTTACGCCTCCCGCCGCTATCGAAGCTAGAAAGGAAGACTCCCTAGAGTAGCTTACTCTTAGATTACTTAATAGTACCGACTACCTACCGCCGCTCTTTATAGATAGCCCGATAGATCTTATCTATATCGGTACTATCGGTAGTTAATAGAATAAGATCCCTACTCGCTTCCTAGTAAATACCGACCCTACGTCCTATATACTAGTATATACTACTAAGATAAAGGAAGGCCTAGCCCTCTACTAGCTTACGCTACTTCCTACCCTATACAAACGTATCTACGACCCTACGTTAGACTTTCTAATTACCGCCTTCCCTAACAGCTTTACGGACACTCTTTACTCTATCCTAGAGTTTTTTTTCGACCCTAACCCGTAATACGACTACGGTTAGCCTTATCCCGGCTAGGACCTACAGACTCTTTATACCTCGGACCTCCGCTACCTAGACTAGCGTAAGGGCTACTACTATATAGACCTCCTAGGTAATATCCCTAGACGTAAGCGTAACTATACTAAGAAAGAGAAAGCCCGCCGCGAGAATCTCACTACAGATAACAGAAACCTATTATAGGCGTAGGTAAAGGTTAACCGTCCCTACTTAAGTCTTACTACACCGACCTCCCTAACTAACTATATTATCTACCTTTCTAGTAATTATAAACTAGATATTATCGGCCTAGTTTCTTCTCTCTTACTCGCACTCGAATACCTATATTAGGTAGTATCCCCTAACCCTTCTATTTTCTATCTTATACGCTTTACCTTAGCTAAGCTAGTTAACTACCGTAACCGGCTAGCTAAGGGTAATCCGGACGTTATCCGTATAATATATAGAACTATCTCTCCGTATAACAGAATTAAGGACGCCATCGCCCTAACGGAGGGACTATTCCTACTCGACAGATACCTAGACACCATACGAAACCCGCAGCTTCGCGCGGAGGTTACGGATATCGCTAATAAGTTACGCGCCCCCCTAGAAACCCCCCTTACTACCCACTACGACATGTCTATCACTAGCAGCTTCTGATCTTACACACCCTATATTACTATCCATCATTACGTCTGATGTTACCTATACTACCAAGGGCGGCAGCCTCTTTCGGTGATGGGCGGATTGTTAGGATACGACATATCCTTCAGATCACCCATAGTTAGGTCTTACGCGCATGACTAAGCATGCCGTCCCTTATCTTAGATAGTCATCACATAGCAATGACAGCACTTTTACACCTTCTCAGCTTGTTTTATAACACATACTGTCGGGGCCGCCGGCGGGTACATCCAGGGCGGCGGGCATTCGCCGTTCGGCCACTGGAAGGGCCTGGCATCGGACAATGCTTTGGAATTCGAGATCGTGACGGCCAATGTGAGTACCCGCCTTATATATCTGTGATGAAGACTTCTTTCCTAGGACTATTTGAGCTCATAAACGTCCCTAGGGCGCACTCGTCACCGCGAACTCCTACCAAAATACAGACCTTTTCTGGGCCCTGCGAGGTGGTGGTGGTGGGACCTTCGGCGTGGTGACCAGCGTCACGCTGCGCACATTTGAAGAAGTACCGGTTGTCGTGTATAACTTCAACATGACCACTGCCGGCGGCGATCCTCGATTTTGGGATGCGTTCGCTCAGTGGCATGCCGCACTCCCATCCATTAACGATGCTGGTGGCTCGGGTTATTACTTTGCTCTCCCCAACGTCCCCCTTGGCGCAACGACCAGCACATCAACCATCATCTCGCTGCTGATGTTCCCCGAGAAAACGGACGTCGGCCAAATCGATCAGCTGTACCAGCCGTTGGCTGCAAAGCTACAACAGATCGGTGGCGTCCAAACCGCCAACGCGTCCATTCCCTTCCCGACAATGAACTCGACTATCTTCACCATGCTAATCGCTGATCCACAGTCTGATAGCACCGGAAGCATCGCCATGCTGGCGTCTCGTCTTTATTCTAAGGATCTCCTGACCTCCAAGGACGGCCCTGAGCGTCTGGCTAAGGCCTTTCAGAGCATCAAGTGGAGTCCGTACTCTGGAATCACCGGCCATGTGGTCGCAGGCGGTGCCGTTGCAGCCAACGGCGACAAGGTCGACAGTGCGGTGAACCCGGCATGGCGCAAGACCATCTCGCACCTGCTCTTCTCCAGAAGATGGGCGACCAATACCACTCTGGCAGAGCAGAAGACCATCATCAAGAACATGACCGAGGTGGAAATCCCCATCCTCCGGTCCGTCGAGGGCGACGACCGCATGGGTGCTTATCTGAACGAGGCCAACGGCTATGAGCCTGGCTTCCAGACTTCATTTTGGGGCGACAACTATCCACGTCTATACCGCATTAAGCAGAAGTGGGATCCCAAAGGTCTGTTCATCGCTCGCAAGGGTGTTGGCAGCGAAGACTGGGATGACGCGGGTCTGTGTCACATTGCCCGCAGGAGCGATTGAGCAGTTGCAGCCTTACTTGAAGATTAGATTAGTTCGTGCAAGGGCGTGCCACCGAAGACATGGGAAGTTCCAGATGTATATTTATTAGCGTAATCTCTCAATGATTCTTATTCAGGTGGCATAATCTGCACATGTTACAACTTGGTCATTTTAAACACCCGAAGGCTAATTCAGCTCCATCAACCGCCGGAAGCCGACGTTAGTGATGAGGGAACTCCCGCCATGTGTTTCCACACCCTCGCCCTTCAGTTTGCCATCAAACTTTCCCATCGCCAGTCCGGCGAGGAACTCTCCCAAGGGGGCTGTCGGGCTGTGTGAGGCTTTGAAAAATACTCGAATCACTGGGCCGAAGGCGGTCTCTGCTACTCGCTTTGCGACTGACCCTTGCGGTATCCACGGAAGGATGGCCTGGTGGCTCTTGGGGTCCACAAACGCAGGGCGCACGATAAGAGGTCGGAAGTCAGGATTTTGGGTCTCCATTTCCATTAATGCGCTCTCGGTTTCACCTTTCACGCGCCCGAACAGAGGCGTGAATCGACCCGGCTCGCTCGTTGCACCTTCCCCGGATACGAAGACAAAGTTGAAGGCACTCGACTCGTCCGATTTCAGCTTCTCGAACGCCTGTGCCGCTTCGAGGGTCATGGTCTTAGTGATGTGAATGTACTCCCTGACGAATGGTACCGGTAAGTTGAGTTGCCTGATGGGGATGGTCCCGACGGAACTCGACAGTGGGCTAGACGTACTCTTTGGACACGGCGGTCTGGCTGATTCCCAGCGCCCACACGCAGCCGTGTGCACCCCGCAAGCGATCTTGCAGGGAAGTATCATAGTGCTTGAAATCGTGCACAATCACCTCGATGCGATCATCCTTGCTGTCCTCCAGCATGGGAACGGGCCGCCGACTCAGAATGGAGATCTTGGAGATGTCTGGCCGGGCCCTTAGCGCAACGAGAGCTGCAGAGCCAACGAGACCGGTGGCGCCTGTTAGGATAATATGCATCCTGGGATACTAGGGAATAATAGGTAGTTGTTGATATATCTCGCGGTCGGAACAGGAGGAGGAAGCAGAGCAATGAAGCGACGATGTCTGGAAGGAGGTAGATTATGGGTAATCGACCGGCTGCGTCGGGCCCCTTATAACGACATTTTGCTTATGCTATCACGAGTATTCTTTCGATTCGTGGCGCAGATTATGCTTCGAGTCATTTCTAAACTTCCAACGAAGAGTGTCAGTGGAGCAACTGGCGTTTGCTGACTGCGGTCTAACCCAACTCGCTGCCGCACCCCACCACCACCCGTTGGAATGCGATCTGGAACCGCCGCTAACACCGTTAAACCCGAAGTGGATCGATGGGGTTTCTCGGTCTCAACACAGTCAGCAAAGGTCTCTCCACATCTCATGCTGTATTTTTCGTACATCCAAACACATTGTTCGGCTGTTTCTGGATTGATCGCTGTTGAGGACATGAACAAAAGCTCGCTCAACCTCAATACGGCTTGAAGGTCTAGTGCCAGATTGAGCCCTGAGGTAGCTAGCTGATCATGGTGTCTATTTTGAAAGAACCTTCTTGTCACAAGCCAACATACCCGAAGAGGCCGCTCGAACCCATCAAGTTGCATGTAAAGGGAATGTGTAGCCGTTTGCCTTTCGAGAAAATCCCAGTCGCAGAGCGCCTAAGACAATGAAACCTCCAAATCTTCCTCTTGCATGGCAAGACTATCATCAGCGTCCACATCTACGTTGATGAGGCTAGTCCTTTGCGGATGGGGAACAGGACCTAGCCCACCAGGGACGGATACACGTCTGTGGTTCTAGTGTGGAAGGGGTTGCAATATCCACTCCCATGATTGAGGCGGGTCAAGTGAGGCCGGTCATTCAAGCACTCCGATCCGGCTCAATGAGAAAGATCATAGGCCGAAAAGGTAGGCCGCTCCATTTGACCCAGTGAGCAAAAAGGCGGCGTGCGGTGGGCATAGAATCGAAGTGCAACATCTAAGATTAGCTAACCATGAATATGATGCGTTTATGAATTTGTTCGATTGCATTGCAGCGGTGTGATTGAACTATAGGTAGATCTTCGGTATGCGTTCGACTGAGTACGACTCAGGAACTGGTACTCGCTGGGACATTTTAGGATCTGACGGGTCTAGGATCCGTGGCATGATTCGTTCGTGGGGATGCCTTGACACCAGCCAACTGACGGGGAATTCCCCGCTGGTCGAGTGCTGAATAGCGAGACATCGGTGACTTTGCCTTCCACTGATCTCCTAGCGGGGCTAGGGAACACATCGGTGTTTCTTTTTGTTTGTCGGGTTATGGGTATCATGGAGATATGCAATGGTGAAGTGGTCAAGTGTAGATAATCTTCAGTTCAGGTCGGATGGGGATTTCATTGGTTCGCCTTGAACACAGGCTGTTGTTCCATCGTCTGCGAGATGAAATTCCGCAGCGCAGACCAGCGATTGGCAGTCGGGTTGGATTCAGGAGCCACTTCGGCAGCATTTCCAGCTGCAGCTGACGGCAGTCCCGACATCTGTGCCATGTTCTTCGCAAACCGGGCGCGTTCCACCTTCTCTAGCTTCTCCCGCCGCTTCATCGCACCGGGCTTGTGTCGAAGAGTCGTCTGCTTGATCACATTTACCTGGCTGGAGGCATCGTGCGATTCGTCAGCGGCATCGGGCAGCGCATCAGCGAGAGATTCGAGGTTGGCAACCAATTTTTTCGAGGGTCGGCGCTTCTTCGGAGTCTTGGAGCTCTTTGCGATCTTTGACATCAGGGTCGCATGCTTGATTTGCCGCTTATCCTTCTTGCTGGTGCGGAAATTGTCCCCAAACGAAGAAGCCTTAGCCGGGACAGCTTTCCCGATGCTCGTCTTTGCCATCTTGATGATGTAGTAGTAGTGATGATAGTGGAGTATCAGACGCAGCGACGAGAAAGAACCGGTGCGCGGAGTCCAGACTGTGCGAGCATGTGAGAGCGGCCGAGATTCGCAAATTGATGGGCCAATCACGAGGTAGACAACCGCCCCACATGACCTGTGCCTTGTCCCTGTTGGGCTCACCCAACGCCCAAAAGGAGCAAAGAGCACCTCCAAACGGGGAAGAACAGTCAACCACAATCCAGCGGACACCCAAAAATGCGTCGCCGCCCTGTGACGTGACTTCTCTACAGATCCACCCCTTGTTCCCTCGGGTCTACGACTCTCCATCTTCGCCCCGGTGTGACATCAGAAGAACGCCGCTGGGTAGAGCGAAAACCCGGCCTAGACTGAGATCGCTAGGAGCTACCGCAGTGGATGTCCTTCCCAGCGCGCATTTATCGTCGGATCAGCCTTCCTGGCCAGTCTTTCACAGTTCTGCCTCGGTCGCCTCTAGCCACTCGGACCCGAACCCCAAGCTATCTCGATCTCCCCCGGTCGCCCCCGTCGGCTTCCCTAGCGTTCTTTAAATCCACCACCCTCGCCGGTCAACTTGCCGTGTGCAGATCATTTTCGTCAGCTTCGCTTTCCAACATGGGATCTCTCGCTCCGTATCAGCGCAAGCACAGGGTGGCAGTGGTAGGCTCCGGTAACTGGTAAGTGTTCTCGTGGTCACCAGGAACCCCCTACGGGCAACCTTGCTGTAGGTTGCAGACAAAAAGCACAGCGGAAAGCTAAGGTTGAGATTTGTTCTGAATCGGCAGGGGTACCGCAATTGCCAAGATTATTGCCGAAAATGCGGCGGCCAACACCGCTATCTTCGAAGAGAAGGTGGATATGTGGGTGTTTGAAGAGAAGGTTGAGATCGCAAAGGACTCGCCGCACCATGACCCCGCCTTCACCGGTCCCCAGAACTTGACCGATGTAATTAACCGCACCCATGAGAACGTCAAGTACCTTCCAGGAATCCTGTTGCCGGCCAACCTGCACGCGAACCCGTCGATCGAGGCCGCCGTCAAGGACGCCACCATCCTCGTCTTCAACCTTCCCCACCAGTTTATTCTCAAGACCTGTGAGCAGATCAAGGGCAAGATCCTGCCCTACGCCCGCGGTATCTCGTGCATCAAGGGTGTCGACGTCAACGAAGAGGGTATCAACCTCTTTTCGGAGACCATTGGCAAGACCCTGGGCATCTACTGTGGCGCGCTGTCCGGCGCCAACATTGCCAACGAGGTCGCGCAGGAGAAATGGTCCGAGACCTCCATTGCCTACGACCCCCCGCACCTGGACTCCAAGGCGCCCACGCCCCAGCGCTCTCCGTCTTCTTCCCAGGTCGACCTGGTGCATTTCCAACACCGGGATACCTCGGGCCAGTTCTCGACGGTGAAGCTGCAGGCCCTCCCTTCTGAATATCCACCCATCAACCATGACGTCCTCAAGACACTGTTCCACCGCCCGTACTTCCACGTCCGGGTGGTGAACGACGTCGCTGGCGTTTCCATCAGCGGGGCGTTGAAGAACATCGTCGCGCTGGCCGCTGGCTGGGTGGACGGCATGGGCTGGGGCGACAACGCCAAAGCTGCCGTGATGCGCGTGGGCCTGATGGAGATGGTCCGATTTGGCGACAAGTTCTTTGGCGCGACCATTGACCAGCGCACCTTCACAGAGGAGAGCGCTGGTGTGGCCGATCTGATCACCAGCTGCAGCGGTGGCCGCAACTTCCGTTGCGCCAAGCACAGCGTTGAGCGCAATCTGCCCATTGAGGAGATTGAGAAGACCGAGCTCAACGGCCAGAAGCTTCAGGGTACTTTGACAGCCGTCGAGGTCAACAACTTCCTGAAGAAGCAAGGCATGGAGGATCAGTTCCCTCTGTTTACTGCTGTCCACCGTAAGTGCTGTGTCTCAGCTGACCGTCCGTGGACGCTCGCTTACAATCTATAGGCATTCTGGAAGGGAACATGCAAGTCGCGGAGATTCCTTCCTATATCGAGCGGTAATTAGTTGATTCCGGTCTTTTTCGCTTCGTGTGTGTGGTGTTAATTTACCGGATGCGTTTCCTTTATAGCCCTCCACTCTCACGTACCCCGGCCTCTGCTTCCACTGTGACTTCTCAAAGGGAGGATGGCGATGGCGCCCGGCTTGCAAGCGCGCGACTTTGACTTCTGGATTTTCTGGACTTGGCTTGTAGATAGATTTATGACCTGTACCTACGCATCTACGAAATGAATTCCCACGATAAACAATTGTTGCATCTCCTTATTCTGGAATTCCTCTGATAGAGTGGAAATTCGATTTGACTTGAAGTTTTCGTGCAATGCGCTAAAATCCCGGGCTTGTCCACGACCACTGCGGTTCAACCTGTTTCTGCAGCTGCGGTCCAGACCCGACGCTAAAAATACCTGCCAAGGCCCGTGCAACGCCCAATTGAATGATGTCACCGGCTGCGGAGCTTCTAGTGAGGGGGACCTGCCCTGTTCATTTTCTCTTCACTTACACTCTCTCACGCCCAAATTTCAGGCCATTCACTCCTTGAAAGCTCCCAGTAATTTCACTGGTTTGAGCAATTTTTGTTTGAGAGAGTCGCGGCCGACACCCATCCTCCGCTACTAAAACCACTCATTTCCGCACTAACTACAATGTCCCCCGCGCGCCAGATTTACCTGCTTCCATTGAAGGATGATGGCTCGCCTGACGTACCCGGTGGGTATATCTACCTTCCACCCCCTGGTGATGAGGGATATGTGCTGCGATTCATCATCGAGGGCACCAGCTCCATCTGTCGACAGGGGAGTCTGTGGGTCAACATCCCGGAGGAGGGCAAGCCGTTCGAGCGCCGATCATTCCGCGAGTTCAGGTACCTTCTCTTGTCTTTGGTGTAGCGTCTGAGGATGAGAAGGGCCGCCGCTGAACTGAAGTAGATTAAAGCCCGATTTCAACCGCAACATCCAGATCGATCTCCCCGTGTCCAGTGCGGGCGCTTTTGCGTATTACACAACGTTTTCCCCACTGCCGGAGCTCTCGGTTGATCCTGTGCCCACACCGGAGCCGACGCAGACTCTAATTCACTACATAGATGTCTCGCCAAAATTGGTCCTGCAGGGCAAGCATCTCCCACTCAATGCACTCTCGATTTTCTCGGTCATTTCGAAGTTCATGGGGCAGTACCCTATGGACTGGGATAAACATCTTCATGGCATCAGTCAACGGAACTATAATATGGTTCATTTCACGCCTCTCATGCAACGTGGCGAGTCCAATTCCCCGTACAGTATATTTGACCAATTATGCTTTGACCCGGCGCTGTTCCTGAACGGAGAGGACGATGTCGCCTCGCTGGTTTCCCGGATGGAGAAAGAGTACGGACTCTTGACTCTGACGGATGTTGTCTGGAACCATACAGCCCACAACAGCAAGTGGCTAGAGGAACACCCAGAGGCTGGCTACAGTGTGGAAACGGCTCCCTGGCTTGAATCTGCCCTAGAATTGGATACCGCATTGCTGAAATTCGGGGAGGACCTTCAGAGCTTGGGTCTACCAACGGAGTTCAAGACTACGGAAGATCTGGTGACTGTCATGAACAGTCTACGTAAGAACGCTATCGATGAACATCGTTTATGGGAGTACTACGTGATTGACGTAACGGCCGACAAGAAAAAGATCTGGGATGCATGGACGAATGGAAAAACAGACCCGACAAGCATTAAGCAAACTGACTTGCGCAAATTCGGAGAACTGTTGCTCAAGGAGCAAGCCCAACTTGTTCGTGAGCACGGAATTCCAAAATCGAAGCAGGTTCTCGGACGATTCGGACGTTCTGTGGATGCTTCATTCGGTGCCGCGATTCTTACGGTCCTCCACGGCGACTACGGTCAGAACGCATCCGAAGCCGAAGCGTCATTATCCAAACTCCTCGATGCAGTCAACCTTCCTCTTTATGAAGAATACGATGCAGATGTTGCTGATATTATGGATCAACTTTTCAATCGCATCAAGTACCTGCGGATTGATGACCATGGTCCGAAGATGGGCCCTGTCAACAAAAATAGTCCCTTAATTGAGTCATATTTCACTCGCCTTCCTCTCAATGAGGTCACCAAAAAGCACAACCCCAAGGCACTTTCCCTGGTCAACAATGGCTGGATTTGGAATGCTGATGCAATGCGCGACAATGCCGGACCCGACTCCAAGGCCTACCTGCGACGCGAGGTTATTGTGTGGGGAGACTGCGTGAAACTTCGATATGGAAATTCGCCGAAGGACAACCCGTTCCTTTGGGATTTCATGACCAGATACACCCAACTTATGGCGAAATACTTTAATGGTTTCCGTATCGACAACTGTCACTCCACGCCACTCGTGGTTGCGGAATACCTGCTGGATGAAGCCCGCAAGGTTCGACCTGATCTGACCGTCTTTGCAGAGCTCTTCACGGGCTCAGAGGAGGCCGATTATGTCTTTGTCAAGCGTCTCGGAATCAACGCTCTGATCCGCGAAGCCATGCAGGCCTGGAGTACGGCCGAGTTGAGTCGCCTCGTACACCGCCACGGTGGCCGTCCAATTGGTAGCTTCGATGTGGACCTGCCCTCTGCTGGTAGCAGCCACGCCATTGCATCTGCCAAGGACGGTGTCGCCGATGAAAAGATCACGCATATTCAACCTTCCCCTGTTCAGGCTTTGTTTATGGACTGCACCCATGACAACGAAGTTCCTGCCCAGAAACGTGATGCTAGGGATACCCTTCCGAACGCTGCTCTTGTTGCGATGTGTGCGTCTGCCACCGGGAGTGTGATGGGCTATGACGAAATTTACCCCAAACTTGTTGACCTTGTTCACGAGAAAAGACAATATACGTCTCCCTTTTCAGGCTCCGAACAGTTGGCGGTTGGATCTGGAGAGGGCGGTGTCGGGGGGGTGAAAAAGCTACTCAATGAGCTGCATACTATGATGGGGGTTGAGGGTTACGATGAAACCCACATCCATCATGATGGTGAATACATCACGGTCCACCGAGTTCATCCAAAGACCAGGAAGGGTATTTTCCTCATTGCACACACTGCGTTCCCGGGCAATGAAAGTGGTGCGATTCTGCCTCCGACACGCATCACTGGCACCCAAGCCAAGCACATTGGATCCTGGGTGCTCGAAGTCGATGCAAGTGATGACACCAAGGCCAAAATCTTAGAGGATGACAAGTATCTCAAGGGCCTTCCAAGCCACACACGCGATATTAATGCCACTAAGATTGAAGGCGATGACAAGAATGTAACGATCTCCGTCCTCGATAACTTGGTGCCTGGCTCTATCGCTCTTTTTGAAACTTGGATTCCTGGCGCGGAGCATGCTAGCGGCCTGGACAACTTCCTTTCCAGCGGAGCTGATGAAGCATTCTCCGAGCTCAGCTTGGTCGATTTGAACTTTGCACTCTACCGATGCGACGCCGAGGAGAGAGACTCGAGTGACGGCCTGGATGGGGTGTACAGCATTCCCAAACATGGCCCCCTAGTCTATGCTGGTTTGCAAGGCTGGTGGAGTGTCCTCGAAGATATCATCAAGTACAACCAGTTGGGGCATCCGCTTTGCGATCATCTGCGAGAGGGTCAGTGGGCCTTAGATTATGTGGTCGGGCGCATGGAAAAGGCTGCATCCAAAGAATGGTATCCCGCTCTGCACAAGCCGGCCGCCTGGCTGCGTGAGAAGTTTGATGCTGTTCGCGGTTTGCCTAGTTTCCTGCTCCCGCGGTACTTTGCAATCATTGTGCAGGTAGCCTACAATGCTGCATGGAAGACAGGTATCCACCAGCTTGGTGACAGCGTGCGCCATGGCCAGGAGTTCATCCATCAGCTGGCCATGGTCAGTGTCCAGCAGACTGGCTATGTGAATTCTGCCTCTTTGTGGCCCACAAAGCAGGTCCCCAGTCTCGCAGCCGGTTTGCCTCATTTTGCTGTCGACTGGGCGAGATGCTGGGGCCGTGACGTGTTCATTTCCATCCGTGGCCTCTTCCTCTGTACAGGTCGGTTTGACGACGCCAGGGAGCATATCCTTGCTTTTGCGAGCGTGCTTAAGCATGGTATGATTCCCAACCTTTTGAGTAGCGGCAAGTTGCCTCGGTACAACTCGCGTGACTCTGTCTGGTTTTTCCTGCAAGCAATTCAGGACTATACCAACATGGCGCCTGATGGCATCAGCCTGCTACAAGAGAAGGTGCCTCGGAGATTCCTGCCGTACGATGACACCTGGTTCCCATTCGATGATCCTCGAGCGTACTCCCACTCTCCCACGGTCCTCGAGGTCATCCAAGAGGTGTTCCAGAGACATGCTCATGGCATGTCATTCCGGGAATACAATGCGGGGCCTGACCTCGATGTTCAAATGAAGCCTGAGGGTTTTCAAATTGATATCAAGGTTGATTGGGATACTGGCATCATCTTTGGTGGCAGTCAGAACAATTGCGGCACATGGCAGGATAAGATGGGGGAGAGCGAGAAGGCTGGAAATAAAGGCATCCCTGGCACACCTCGTGACGGTGCTTCGATCGAAATCACTGGTCTTGTCTACAGTGCTCTTGCATGGGTGACGAAACTGCACGAATCCAAGCTGTACCCGCATGCAGGAGTCGACATTGGCGAGGGTAAATCGATCGCTTTCAAGGAGTGGGCGGGAAAAATCAAGGCCAACTTCGAACGCTGCTACTTCATTCCCACTGACCCCAAGGACGACAGCCAATACGACGTCGATGCTAGCATCATCAACCGTCGCGGCATCTATAAGGACCTCTACAAGTCTGGCAAGCCTTTCGAGGATTATCAGCTTCGTGGCAACTTCCCCATCGCCATGGCCGTAGCGCCGGAACTCTTCACACCAGAAAAGGCCCTGCTCGCTCTATCCATTGGCGACTCTGCAATTCTGGGCCCGGTCGGCGTTGCCACCCTCGACCCATCAGATCTCAACTATCGCCCGTACTACAATAATTCCGAGGACTCCACGGACTTCGCGACTTCGAAGGGCCGGAACTACCACCAAGGCCCTGAGTGGGTCTGGCAGCGCGGTTATTTCCTCCGTGCTCTGCTGCACTTCGATCTGCTGCGGCGCAAGACAGCCGATGAGCGGATTGAGTCTTTCCAGCAGATCACCCGGCGACTTGATGGGTGCAAGAAGGCTTTGCGAGAGAGTCCGTGGAAGGGACTGACAGAATTGACGAACAAGAATGGAGAGCACTGCGCGGACTCGGTATGCTTACTTTGCTTTTCGTATTTTGTTTCACCATTGCACTGCTAACCTGCGTTGGATGTGTAGTCACCCACTCAATCATGGTCCGCTGGCTGTCTACTTGATCTGTACTATGATGCTGCAAGGCTTTCTTAGGAGCTCTTGGTCCGAGGTTATACAAAGGCATAGCATATGAAAGCGTTTCCTTTTTCTATACCTTTTCCCTTTGTTGGTTCTTCCAAGAGCATCTGCATAATGCATTGTGATTTAGAGTATTGTTTTCCGAATACATTGCGCAGTCATGCCTTAATTTCATTATATTCTACAGCATGCCACTTCTCGACGATGTAATATTGGGAGCTACTGCTACTTGGCAACGAGACTTTGCTGGGCCTTGGTTAGCTGTCGGTCGGCCGTCAGTAAGCTGCTACTCCTCCTTTTACTTGGCGTCGCGGTGGCTGCAACCGTCGTAAGATCTCGACCAGTCTGTCGGAGCCATGCAGGCGGGCAGTGCTGGAATAACCATCTGCCGTATGGTGCAATTTTTTCTATACAAAACGGTCGACCCCTAGTTCTCAGTTAAAGCAACCTTCTTTTCGTTCTAGTATGGGTTTCATTTCTAGCTTTCCAGTATCATGCTGTTTTTATGATCCTATTTTTATTGTACCTTTCCGAATACTTAACAAGAAATAGGTCGCTCGTCTAGAACATACGGAATAAACTAGCCGGAACTGAGCAAAACTCTTCAGGGAGACATCTAGAACCGAAGTACAAGGGAAGGGGGCGCGTTTTCAATGATAGTTTCTGCTAGCAATTACATTGCAAATGGCTAAATAAAGGCTTGACATATCCTAAGCATAATTCAGTCTGAATGAGGGACAGGATGAAAGCCACAGTAAGCTAAGGAGCGACAAAAACAAACATATGAAAGTATGAAAGAAAAAAATGAGGATCACGGTAAACTAAGGGAGCGACAAAAGCAAACCCCACTGCACTCATCTAAGTAAAAGTCATAGGATGCTGATTTCCACCACGACTCTTATCCATTTGCCAACTCAGAGAGTACCTAGTTTAATTCGAAGGAGAAACAGGCCGCTCTGCTGGTCACATCACAGTCATTCCCTGCATGCACATTGGGAGGTGCAGGGCATTGGAAGTTCCCTGGCGAAGTTGCGAAGGCAAGGATGCTGTCAAAGCGCTTCTTGCAAATAGTGCTGGTGAGAGGTGTAAATAGATCCGTCACCGGCGAAGGATTGACAGTTTGGTACTTCAGGCTCAAGGTGGGAAGTGATGGTCCGAAGGGGATCTTGACAAGCACATATCCTGGTGAGGGAAGCGGGGCGGGCCTATATGTTCGTCCACGGGTCAGGGCTGAACAATTAGATGTGACAGTCATCGGTCTTGGTCATGCTTACACATAGAAGACTTGGTTATTAGGGAACCAGAAATCGCAGACGCGATCGGTAAGCAGCTTGACATTGGTCCAAGGAGTGATCGGGAACGAAAAGGGTCCTCCAATACATTGATCGCGCCGAGTGAGATTCTGTATTCATGAGACATGGCCACAACCAAGAATTTGGTGAACACATCATTGCAATTTGGCTTACAGAAGGAAATTGAGGAAGGTCATTGCTTGGTTCAACATCGATTTCAGGGTGCGTTTCAAGGAGAGAAGCGTTGGTGGCTTGGACTATCGCGACAGAGTTGTCTCCTTCAACTGGGATAATAGGCAAGGAGCTGAGAACAGATTCTGCGAGGGACGGGACAACTCCGGCCGTACTACTCGGAGTACTACTCGGAAGTTGACGTGCAGGAGTAGTTGACGTCCCGATGAATGAGGCTTGGGGTAAAGCCATTGTGCCTATTCCAAGGCCCAGGAAGGCATTGACAGTGATCAAAAAGGTAGATGTCATCATGATGATAATGGGATTCTAATCGACTTGGTTGAGATTCGTGAGGTTGATAGATTGATAGATTTATCGGCTGCTCTTTTTATTCTGTTCTTGGTGATAGATGTTGAAGCTTATATACTTTGGGATTCTCAAACAAAAATAGTATTCAAGTCAATTGTGTATCAAAGTTGGAAACCATGCAGCTGAATTCTCGTAGATGCTGACCTACCGCGTGAGCTGAGTACTCGTATGCTGAAGCTTACTCCTAGCGAATTGTCGTCAAAATCGTTGAAACTCAAAAGATCGCACATCCGTGGCGCATTTTTACGAGCTACCGCAGTCTCTTGCTGTAGCATGTATCTAGCCTCCCGCCCGAGTATTCTGTCTGATTTGATCTTCTAGAACATGAATTAGGCAATATAGCTTAATTAATGATACATTGATCCGTTATGATGGCAAGCCCGCCGATTGATACCATTGGGTTTCTAATATTGAATCAAGTTGGATCTAGTCGGGCAGCCACGCCGGTAGTAGTTTTAAAATGGTACACGAACATGGCTTTTTGTGATCTCCCTCATGCGATTCCTACCAATGGTCGCCTTTGATCAACACTTTCTATAATTATCAAGGTTCGTAACTGTCGGGAGGCTGAGGGAGGTGTTCAGGAAACAGATTCCACCGTCGTCAGATGAGGCTGAGACAGCTCATTGTTGTTGGCTGTTGTCCCGATTATCATCGACAGTCTGCAGATGTCTTAGATCTGGTTCTAGTCCTTTGGGTTAGGCCGCAAACCCATTGTCTGTTTCAAATGCCAGTGAGCCTTTTGGACCCACCAGGGCATGATGGGCTTATATTATATTCTCCGCAACCCAAAAGGACCAATAAAAGGAGAATCCTCTGGGCTCTTAGAATGTATACCATAAGGCAAAGTATTAATGAGGCTTGAAGGTCGGCCGGGTGTAATGTTAGTTTTGCTTGCTACCAGGGAATCTCTTCTAACATGTTAAAATTTTCGCCTGTGTATGCGACTAGCAGAGGTCTCGTATGGATGAGACCTTTCGTTTGGATACAACAAAGTAACAAGAAGTTTACAAGAGTGGCGGAGTTCCAGTTGCCAAAAATATACCTCTTGTAGGGCTGATATGTAAAGAACAGGGCGCTATTGGCCACCGGTCATGTAAGAGAGTTTAGATAATGCCCTGGTTATGAGCCTAGGCACAGGATCAGGAGGCCTTCGTGGACCATGGGACTAGCGAGAGAGAGAAAAGAGGCCAATGATACATTGATGACCACGTGTGCTGCGAAGAAGATCCTTTTCCACTAAGAGTGGTAGGATTTTTTGATGAGTTGTCCCTCAGCCGATGAGGATAAAGTCCTGTCCTGTATACTTGCATACAAGAAGTTCTTTGACATTTTGTTTTGTGCTAGGTAGAATCAGCCCTTCTCTGCCATGGCGTTGCAAACCATCTGACTCTTCTGCCTCCTTGTTTGACCCCCAGCCCTGACAAGCAGTATCTTCAGTGTCACAGCGAAGGAAAGAGGCAACGACTCTAACAGAGAAGCGACCTAACGAGTACCTAGTAATGCAAAAAGCTGTTGTATATTTTTATACCGGACTGAACGTAGAAGCTGGTCAAATTTCAAATGTTTTGCATTTTGCACATCCTTTTTGATGTGAACCACCTCAGCTACTCGCTCTGAAGCATCTTTCTCGATTTATACGGGTTTCCTTTTTGTTAAACAAGGATTTAGTCTTCCCAGGCCGGTGCCAAGATCTTCAGCATTTTACTGCGTCCACACCTATCTATTCAACTTCATCTTTTACCATCATCATCTACTTCTGTGTTCCATTGCAACTACGGTATTCCTTCACTTCGAAAACTTCCATCCTGGAAGTGCTATCTGAGAATGGATGCCTCAGGACGACATCCACTTCCACCCTACAACCGGATGAGTAGTAATTTCTCGCGGTCTCTCACCGTGAACGCTTCTCACCTCGCGGCCGGTACAATACCAGTCTCGTGGGCTTCACCTTGATCGCGGCTTAGATCGATATCGAGCATGTTCGAAAGGCAATTGGCTGGAGAGTGGAGAAAGAATGTTGTGTCAATCTAGTCACATGCTATTACATGCCATCCGCGTGGAAGGTGCAAATATAAGCGCGGCTCGCGAGAGTTTTCTTGGAACCTCCACCGTCTCGAGAGATGGGTATTGCCCGCTGCATTCGAGCTGCTTCTAGCTTCACCTACCAGGCAGGAGAGCAAGAAATTGGGGAGTTCATTGCCCGCTTGGCCCCATTCCTTGGGTTTCAGCTGCCATCGGGCCCAACGTGGCAGTGTCGGACCCGGTGTCTTGTGGGCGCTGGCATGTTGCGTATATCCTCGCTAACCATTTCGAGAATTTCTACCAGAGCTTCGCCGAGCTGAAAAGGCAACGACTGGTCTTGGGCGATTGCGCGGCCATTAGGAACTGCGAGCCATGGCCATCCAATCTTGTGGAAGTGCACGAGATGCTTGGACTACCTCCGCAGGCGGATGGACGACCTACGACCGGAGCATCGGCACGACGGCTCGATTTGGGCTTCGCAGACGCTCTCGTGAGCCGAGCATGCCTGACGAAGCCCTCGGGTGTATGCTTCTGGAATCCCTCAATAGGCCCCAAAGCCCAAAGCCGAAGGGGGCCCACATGGCGGGCTCGTGGAGTCGGTGATCCCCGCACATTCCCAGCCGGACCTTTCGCGATGAATCTCGCGACCTTGCGCCACCGGCACCACAGAACAACAATCGAACAGACATCAATTTTCCCCTCCGACAACAGGAGACTAGGTTGCTGCAGACAAAACCAACTTTAATGGTTGCCCTTGAAACACATGTTCCAGGAGTTGCTTCCCCTTCGGAGGGGTGTCTCATTCGGTGGAGCCCAGCGCTGCAGCTGCATCCGGCTGTCGCCTCGTCCACATTCTTCGCGCCGTCGCGGTTTCACCCTCCAATGGAATGCACATGAACCTGCTGGACCATCACTGGGCGACTTTCGATGCAAGAGTCGCATACTCCTCGGTTGTCGCCAAACCCGACGCAGTCTGCCGGGGGTGGCCTGGATGTGAAGAGCTGCCCCCGTTGCCTTCCCTCCCATTCCAACCATGCGCCCCATCCAGAGCTGGTCTGGCTCCGCTTTGGGGCTCGTCCGTCCGCGTCGCTGACTCGTCGAGCACTTGCCGCCGTCGATTCGGGGCCCATGGGTCTTTTGCGAGTCTCTCGCCGCGATGGCAGGCCTTTCCCATTGATGGAATGCCGCTGACAACTCCACTTGCGACCGCTCGCCGGACTCCCGCCATCAACGTGGTCCATGTCTCAGCAGGACATCTCGACGTCAAGACGCCCCAGCGATGGCGCCGCGATGGCAAATGAAAGTTTCGCCCGCGCGATGTATACGATTTCCGGCTCTCATGCAGTAGAAAACCCTTGCCTCGTCCTCATTTCCCCCATGCCCGGTTCCAAGTTATCAGATTCCTCCTTTCTGTTCTGCTTTCTTACTTGAACCATCGGGCCACCGCTTTCGCGTTCGCTTTTTCAGTGGCACCGTTTCTTTCCACTGCGAATACAACCTCACACTTGCACATTGCACATACCGCCGTCAAATCCCGGCTTGGTCCCTATCGACTCCATTTCAATAGCCCCAGTTACAGGCAATACCACCATGGATTTGCCCAGCCCGTGAGATCGTGACCGACAAATCAAATTGGAGCCCCTAGTGCAGCGCAGCGAGTGGCCCCGGTCGATGCGCCGCTAGCCATCCATCCCCACAGGCTTATTCTTCTTCCATCTGCCGAGTGGAGTCCATCCCGTCATTCTGTCACTCATTAGTCGGCTTCTCTTGCCGGACAATTTTCCTTGGACGGATTAGGCTTGATTGACCACTTTTATCGACCTGCATCTGCCTCATTTATTGCATTATTTTATTTGCCATCAATTTTGGTTTGTCTTCGTCGGCTGGCCGGAACTTGAGGTCAGCGTGCAAGGCCAGAAAAGCAGCTCGCGCCATACATGTCGAACCACTAGATGTCCTCGACAGACTGTCGATATGCCACCTCTGAGATCTCGCAGCAGCAGTGGTGCGGGACAAGGCCCCGGGGCTAAAGCTGCCAAACAAGGACAATTGCCAAGTACATTTGTGGAAGACCTTGCACAGTCAAGACTACCATCCACGATTGCCAATCTAGTATCTCCTAGCGATCCCGAAGAGGCAATCACAGTATTCACACAACATGATTGCTCAAAGCTTGCGGGGGGCTTGCCATCTCCCGCGGCAAACATTGCTCCCGCGGAAATCCTACTTCAGATCTACTCCATGTTAACGCCCCGGGACTTCGACAATGCACGGCGGACATGTTCACAATGGATGAGGATCAGCCTGAATCGCAATTTATTGGAAGGGATGTTGAAGAGGGCGGGCTGGTGGGACGCGTACCTGCAAGACGCCGAGGCGCAACTAGTTCTTCGCCGCCCCTCCAGCGAAGAAAGTGATGTTTGGAGGATGAGCAAGCGTTTTGCAACGGAATGCCTATTGTCGGGACGAAAGGCGAACGTCGAGAAGCCAGGTTTTATTGCAACCGGTATTGTCGACTTTTCAGGACTTTCTCAAGGCATAAATACGAAAGCTCGAACATCTTTAGCGCGTGACTTTCCAAAGCATGCTCGAAATGGAAGTTCGCGGTCATCATCGACGTTCAGCGTTAGCAGTTGCAGCAATTATGTCCTGGTGACTACGGGCTGCATGATCTATGTGTTCCGTCTGCTTGGTAGGAGGGCCACGACAATGCCTTCTGCGGATCTGAGTGATACGGATCTGGAACCGATATCTAGTATTGAATGTCCATCCGAGGTTCTATCCGCCACGTTCGACACAACTACGCCACGTTTCATCGTCGCCGCTTTGCTGCGGAACCGGGTCGGTATGGTCTGCGATGTGGAGGTATGCAAGCAGGGTTCGCCTGCAGCTGGCTCAGCAAAGAATACGCAGACTTTCAAGTCCACCACATCTCAAAAAACCCTTCATCCAATCTCGAATGCCAGCCATTCCTCTCCACACTATTATTACAATGTCTGCTCAGAAGATCACCCACCGCGAACAATCGCACTCTGCCCAGGTCGCCGATGCGTGGCCTTCGGATGTGCAGGCGGCATAGAGATCCACTGGGTCGACGAGACAACCCGCAAGGACCAGCGAAGACACTTCCCCATGTCCCAACCCTCGGAGATACTACATTTCCTACCTAGCAGCCCCGACAATCCGACGGAACTGCGCCTCATCTCATCTCTCGCTGGTCCGGGAGTCCACGAGTGCGCATGCCGACAGTCACCCAACCCTGATCACCCAAAGAAGTGTCAGTTTCATCTTCTTTCCAACGTACAGCCTTTCAATCATCGGGATCCCCCGAATACATCCACCCTTAGTCTTGTCCGGGCTACTCATTGCCACCATTACCGCGCCGTCCCGATCAACGACGGCTTCCACATCATCTTCGTTGAGCCGAGGACCGGCTTCCTCTGCATCGGATCCGATGCACCAATCGGTGGCCCAACAAGTTTAACACGAGCATTTGTCTGTGTCCCACCCTTCGGAAAAGACCCAACAGAGAGCATCAAAGAAGCCCGCGCGCCGTCTGTATTTACCGTCGGCTCTGATCGCAAATGGGGCCTTCGCATTGTGGCTGCATATCAAGACCGCATCGTCATATACTCTGTGCCACTCGATGTCTTCAATGTCATTCGCAAAGAGCGCGAGCGCCAAGGCGACAGCGTAATGGGTGACAGTGACTTGGCACGCGACTGGTTCGTTAACTCGGACCGGTTCCACAAGCGGCGTGAAAGTCTTGTCCAGAATCAAAACGGGGATTGGGAGTTCTTGTTGAGTGTGAACTACCAGCCAACTGCGATGATGTGGCCGTTCAAGATATACGGCAAGGAGATCGGTCGTGTGGATAACCTGGTCGAGCTTGCGCTGCAGTCTTCCCATGGCGGAGCGCGTATCTGGGCCTTCAGTGCATCAGGTCAAGCCACAGTCTTCGATATTGATACGTTTACGTCGACAACTCAATCTGCAGCCGATATCCCTTGCAAGTTTGTCACAGTTGGAGCAGACGGTAGCTTGGAGTCATCTCGGTTCGTTGATCGCGCCCAGGTGGGAATCACGTCACTGGAGGGGTCTCGTAAACGCAAGTCTACAGAACTTGGAAATGATTTCGTGGGTCGATATGGTACCAGTCGCTTTGTACCGAGCATGGCACTTGATGGTCCAGAGTCTACCAGCAACGCAGCAGTGGCACTGGCCCCAAATGAAAACTCATCAGTCCGTCGTCCTTCATTCGCGGCATGCATTGTGGATTTCAAGATCCCCGAGTTGGGGCCACGAGAAGGTCGCTGGAGAGATAGCGGGATAGTGACAGTGACCTGAGCACGGGAAGGATTGTTTGTCTTTGCGGAGTATGGTTCATGTCTTGGCTCTTAACTTTTGCATTTGTGATGTGTGCCAGGCGTCTGTGGATCAATGTTGATCCAATTGCATATAACTTCCCACTAATACGGTGGTTCTGAATATAATATTGCATTCCTTTCTGGTTGTTCTAGTCGATCCAGTTCAATAGAATGTATGATGGGAGAATTGAGTGGGTAGGGGTTCTCGTATAAAAAACAGATGAATAATATTAAAACTTTTCCTTGGTTCCAATGACACGTTACGCTCGTTAATTGTCCAAGTGTTATATTTGGTTCCCGATAGATGGGAAACCAAAGACAAGAACAGAGGAATGCAGCTTTAGTTAGCGCCGCTCAGTTTCTGTCTCCGGGCGCGCACAGCTTGAGCCAGGGTCTCTAGCGTGGTCTCGGTGTCTTCCCAGTTGATGCAGGCATCCGTGATGCTGACGCCGTACTTGAGGCCGGCCTTGCCCTCAGCAGGGACCTTCTGGTTGCCTGTGAGGAATCTAGTTAGTATGGTCCCCAGTACAACAGGCATGTATGTTGGTACAAACTCACCCTCGTTGATATTGCTCTCGATCATCACACCCATAATGGCGGTCTCGCCAGCCGCGATCTGCTCGCTCAGGACAGCGGCAACCTTGGGCTGGTTCTTGTGGTTCTTTTCAGAATTACCGTGGCTGCAATCCACCATCAAACGGGGGACCATGCCCTTAGCCTCCAGCTTGGCCTTTGCGTCCTTGATGCTGGCAGCATCGTAGTTAGTGCCCTTTTTGCCGCCTCGCAGAATGACAAAGCAGTCAGGGTTGCCGATAGTGCCGACAATAGAGGCAACACCGGGCTTAGTGACAGACAGGAAGTGGTGGGGATGCCTGACAGCGCCAATGGCGTCGACTGCAACGTCGAGCGAACCGTCGGTGCCGTTCTTGAAGCCGACGGGGAAGGAGAGGCCCGAGGCCAGCTCACGGTGGACCTGTGACTCGGTGGTGCGAGCACCGACCGCACCGACGGACAAACAATCGGAGAAGAACTGCGGGGAGATAGTATCAAGCATCTCGCTGGCAATGGGCATGCCCTTGTTGGTCAGATCCACGAAGAGCTGGCGAGAGACGCGCAGACCTTTGTTGATCTTGAAGCTGTTGTCGATATCGGGGTCGTTGATCAGACCCTTCCAGCCGACCGTGGTGCGGGGCTTCTCAAGGTACGAGCGCATCACGATGAGCAGGTCATCCGCATACTTCTCCTTCATCTTCATCAACCGATCACAGTATTCCAAGGCCATGTCGGGATCGTGGATCGAGCAGGGCCCGATGACCACCATCAGGCGCTTCTTCTCGGTATCGGTGCCATGCACAATTGCCACGGCCTCATCACGGCCCTGCAGCACCGTTTGCCGCGACTTGTCGGTCAATGAGATCTCATGCTGGAGGAGGTTGGGCGGGGTGAGGGGGTTGTAGCCGCGAACTGTATCGAGTGTAAGCTAGAACGTCCATTGGGGGGGGCCAATTGGGTCGAGCATACTCCTAGAATCTTCCAGGTGGCTGTGATTGCCCACATTCGGATTTTCAATGAAGAACTAGTATTTGTTAGGATCAATAGTGCCACAGCGGACTGTGCGGTTGCACATAGGAACTCACCGACATGGCGGGGAAGATGACGGCGGGCAATTGGACTGAACCGTGGGCAATCGGACTGGACTGTGGGCAATCGGGGGATACGGAGATTAAAGGAAGCAATTGGGTGTAATAAAAGGGTATTGATGAAAAGAATACACCTCGGCAACTTATAATGTAAGAATAAGAAGCAGCGTCGATGAGTCAAACGAAAAATAGAATGCACGTGATCCTCGGTGAGAGGGGCCAGTTTCCGACCCCGCGGAATTGAAGCAAGGGCGGTGGCTATAAGTCATGCAGCTAACATGAACACTCGGACGCTGGCTTCGCTTGAAATCGCTCCTACTGCCCCTGCTGCAGCCGATGGTCCTGTAACCCCCGAAGCAGGTCCTGGCAGAGCTGCGTGTGCTCCTCCTCAACTGATGACATCTGCTGGCGGTACAACTCCATCCGCACTGCCTGCGCCCGACGCAGATCGTCGAGGATGTGAATACAGCCTTGGCGGTAGAATTGCAACACCTGTCTAATGGTCTCCTGCTCCGCGGCAAGTTGGCAGGACAGATGCTGTAATAATGCTTTAGCATTGCCCCATGCCGAAGCCCATGCACCCAACTTACTTGGTTGTTTTCTAACAATAAGCTATGCGCGCTTCGCTGGGCTTTTTGTAGATTTGAGATCCATTCCATGTTGTCAGAACCGTCCTGCAGGAGCGAGTGATGCGATCCAGAGCCTGAGTTCCCCGTGGACAGTCGCGTTCCACCCCTTTGAAAGTTGTCTGGACCCAGGCCGTACTCCATTCTCGTCTCACCAATGCTGCCTTGGGAAGAGTCCGGTGCCACTGCGGATGCTTCATGTGTATCATTGCCACTGATACCCTCTTTGATCACGCTGCATTCATCGCTTACATGCGGTAGGTCATCGTCCCCTTCAGTAGCCCCTGCGCCCCCAAGGGAATCGACTAACACACAGTCTTTGAAGGTTCTCAGCCGAGTTCTCTCCGTGGTCAGCTCTTCAGGCCCAAACCCATACTCCATAAACATGTCTCGCTGGAATTTGGACCGTGTTCGTCCACTCTGTGATTCGCTGTCAGTTTCATGGGTATCAGAGTCTCGATTATATTCGCTAGAGCTAGTATCGGCGATACTGGTGCTCTGCAGGCGGCCAGTATTCAGGCATAGTTGAGCATGCTCGAGCTCCATATTAGTTCGGATACGAAGTCGAGGGCTACCATTACGGTCAACGATGCTGCTCCTTGGGATTGACCTTGGAGCTACATGCGGAAAAATCGCTTGCAGAGGGGTTTGCAGGCTCAGAAGCGGCTTCTGTGATTCCGGAGTATAATCGCTTCCACGTCCTTGAACAGGCAATGCCAGAAGATTATGATGAATCCGTACTGCTGAGCTCTGTGATGAAGTATCAGGCTGACTTGCGAGGGGCTGCATGCCTGCTTGTGGGATCTCTCGAAAATCATCGCTTGGTCGTGTAAGTTCTATCGCCATAGACTCTGGCAAGTGCGTTCCTTGCAGAGGATTGTCAAATGCTTCGTATCGATCATCTACTGCCTCTCTTCCGAAATTTGAATCGACTGATCCCGTGCTATTCAGCAGCCCTTGTAAGACCAATGGGTTTGGGCCATGCAGACCAGATGTCTCCGCGGAGGTTTCTGTCTGTCGTAAGTGAGAATTGGTGATTACACCCCACCGGGATTCATCTTGTTCCATCTCAAGTTGCGACATAAATGGATTCCGAGTCGGAGGGGCCGGAGGGGCCGGAGGGGCCAGAGGGGCCAGAGCTTCGAGCACCAGCTCAGAAGGGTTGCTTGGAACCCGTGATGGGGTCCCGCCAGCAAATATCTGGGTAGAACGAGATTGAACTTTAGCAGCAGAGGAGCATGAGGCCTGTAATCCAGCTTGACGGAGTGCATCAGCAAGCTTCTGTCCAACCCGTTCCCCCCTTCCATGCAATTCTGCTTTAACTCTCTGACCTTCGTCCCTGAGCGAATCGATACCATGTCCTGGGCTGGACGGCTTGGATGACAGCGATGAGCTGCTCAAAATCTCGATAATTCCAGTTGGTGGGCTGTTAGTTTTGGGATGGTTTCGCTTATCTGTTTCGGAGAAGGGGAAAGAAGTTGCGGGACTGTCAGTGGCGCGCCTTGAACCTGTGCTGTTAAGTTGTCCATCCGAAAGTCTCGTAGTAGAATTAGCGTGAGCTGCAAGAGGCCTGGACTGAGACAAAGCGCTAGCATCAGCTGTTAAAAGCAGCTGGTCGCTTTGGAGATTTCCTTGTTTGGTGCTGCCTTTCCTCATAGCCTTCTGGCGTTTCCCGGAGCCAGGCTTCGCCTTGGGTGCTTCACGTTTCCTTCTTGGCTTTTTATGGACCACGGGACTGGGCTCAGGATCCGGCGAAGGAACCTCAGTTCCTTCTAGGTTACTGTCACCTTCGAATGATTGCTCATCTTCGGTCGGTCGGAGATCTTCATTCCAGTCAACATCCGTCCTCGGATGCAAAGATAGTTTCGGATTCTTGCGCTTCAGCCGAGAAAGTCCCGCGAAGGCTTGTTTATTTGGCAAGGGGGGTTTTGAATTTGGACGAGGAATTTGTTGTTTCGTGATGCTCTTTCGTGTCAGTGTCGAGCCAGAATCGCATTTAGGGCTGCTTTGCGGCGGGTTCATCCGCGTATCGATGGGCGATGAACCATCACCGCTGAGACCAATGAGCGTCGACCCCTGCAGTCCGGCATTGGGGTCGAGGGCAAAACCTGAATCTGTAGTACATTGTTTCACGGCATCATTCTTCAATGGTTGGATGCCTGGCGGCAAAGTACTGGTGCCCTGCGAGGTGATTTGTCGAACGCCCGGCATGGCGTGCTCAGTGGAAGACGCGCGCACTTTGCTGACACCGGCCCTGCACGCGATAATGGCCGGTCGTGACGAATCTTCCCCGAGTGGCCAAGTAGTATAAGTTGGAGCCCAACCTCCTTCCTTCGTAGTTCCCGAGTGGTTACTAGACATTTCTGCTGTCATTGTGTCTACTTGATTGGCGGGGTCTTGCTCTTGGGCGTTCAGTGGACTGTGATCCTCCTTTCTTTTTGATATCGCCAGCACTTGTGCTTTCCGGTCTTTGGCAAGGATCACGTCCCCTGGATCTAGCTCAACAAAAGCCGATGAGACTTTCCGTGGTTTCATTGTGGATACCAGGTGCCAAGCAAGGTCGTTCCACAGAGGAGCGTGCGGTCTGGCATATGCCCGTTGAATTTTGATCAGTTTCGAATTGCAGAGAACCAGACGGGCCCAATGAATGGTGCAACTAATTGCTCAAAGAGTCGTTAGAGTAAGGAAACCATTATTGGGTCGGGACGTGGGTATAGATCACGAGCCTTGTACAACTTGACCTGTCGATTTTTCTTTGATGCCGGAGTTTGCCAGTCAAAGAGACAGTTTCGAAAGTGTGTCGAGCGTGTCTGTCCTCTTGGGAGTTGATTGTTTACGATTGGGCGACAATGAGGTGACGTACACAGCAGCGACGAGTCCGACGAGCTCGACGGCAACTGCGAGCGTCACCTGATGCCTCCTGATCACGGCAGCTCACTGACGTGCAAAGATTCTACTGGTCTACGCTATCTTTCGAGGTGGGCAATTTGAGATAGGTAACCGCAAAGACACGTTCAGATGCATTCTCAGATCATGCATGTTAATTTGCAAGGCTCTCTAGTCTCTTTCTACCCAGAGCCGAGCCACGCCACGAGGTCTGTGTTATTAAAGCACAAAACTAACTCGCAAGCCCAGCCTGCATCTCCACAGGAAGCTTTGATCTTCTCAGGAGTCGGCCCGGCGCTGGATCAGTTGCGCCGGCGCCGCGCTTATTAAGCGCGGCGGTGGGCTTAGCAATGAAGCAAGGAATCCGGTTTGCTGCTGCAGATGCAGCGCGTCAAATTCATCCGCCGAGGCGTCTAGCGCAATATAAACCTGTGGTGCCTGCAAGTAACCACTGCAACTAACTTCCAAGCCCCCAGTTGCTCACTTCCCGACGTGACGGTATCCCGAGTTTGTCACTATGGCCATTGTTGATCACCCTCGGCGAGTGGCCGAGGAAGCAGCGCCTCCACCCACTGAGTGCCGCTTCAGTGCGATTGAGCCGCTGACCTGGCTACGTGGCCTTCTACCTACTAGTCTGACTCGATCCACGAGCCCTCAAACTCGTCCGCTTCCTACCACCACTACAGACCGCCGGCGCGCATCTATTATCGCAGCCTCTCTCGATCAAGATGCACACCTCTCAGAGAAGATCGCAAAGCAACAGGAGACTGGGGTGGAGCTTGCGGGGACAGCTGCGGAGGGGGAGACAGTCCTGTACCTAGCGTATGGTTCTAACCTGGCTTCCCAGACCTTTCGTGGTATGCGCGGGATCAAGCCCCTATCGCAGATTCCTGTGCTTGTACCGGAGCTCCGTCTGACCTTCGACCTCCCCGGAATCCCATATGCCGAACCCTGTTTCGCGGGCACACAATTTCGGGATCCCAATGCTGCATACGATCGACAGATCGAGTCTGAAGATGACGACACGTCTTTGCTCGACGGAGAATTCATGCCAGAGAAGGAACTGGTCCTGGTTGAGACGCGGGAAGTCCAACGGTCGGAGGCGAGCAGGAATCGGTGGCATAAACCTCTTGTTGGGGTTGTATATGAGGTGACGCTAGCCGACTACGCGAAGATCATCGCTACCGAAGGAGGCGGTCGTGGGTACCGGGATATTGTCATCGATTGCTACCCCTTTGAGAAAGACTTCAAGCCCAGCGACCCCGTGCCTAACCACCCTGAAACCATGCCATTCAAAGCACACACTCTTCTTTCACCGGCTGCAGATGACGCCCGGAAAAGGAGCGAGGTAATCAAGAGCGGCGACTCATCTGTCGCAAATACTTCCAGTCCCAGTCTCTCAGTTCTGGGTGACGTTGGGCCGCACATGCGTCCTGATCCAGAGTACGCACAGCCCTCTGCCCGCTACCTGAGCCTGCTTGTCAAAGGCGCTGCAGAGCACGAGCTGCCAGTATCATACCAGAATTATCTCTCTCAAATTCATCCATATAAGATCACCACGATCCGGCAGAACATCGGGAAGGGGATCTTCCTTGTTGTATGGGGACCCCCCGTACTCTCCCTGTTGGCTTTCTCAAAGAAATTCGCGGGACCTGATGGACGAAGCCCACCATGGCTGGTGACCCTGTCGAATGTAGTGTTTGCGGCGGTGTGGAGCAGCTATGATTGCTTCTTCAAGAGGGCGTTTGGCGATGGTGAGCGGACATTGGAAGATACACCGACCATTTAATTTAATATTGCTAGAAATTTTGTATACCGATCGCATATTCCTATATTTGTTTGGTAGCTCTAAAATCGACATGTACATGCGTATCGATTGTCCACAGCTTGACCCTCTGCCAATACCACTCCCTTCGTCCCATCAAGACGAGAACTGACTAGTATGTTTATTCTTGAATTTGGACATCTTGCACCAACAGAATTCACAAAGGAAATTAGATTCAGTCAACTCCTCGAGCACACAGTTTTCGGAAGGGTAAAAAAAGAGAATATATCTAGGATACAGATACAGGTGTGCCGGGAGCGTTCTAACAAAACAAAAGGGCAGCGACCCTAGACACAAAAACAAGATGACGAAAGAGATCTCTCCAGGCGATAGAACCCGACGGGGCAATAATACAGGGTATGCCCAATGGGTCACATAGCCGCGTCAGCCTCTCCCCTGTTCCAACTCATACAGGCATGGTAGCCATCACGTTTAGCGGCGGGGGCCGATCGGGGGGCTGTACACGATCTTTCTCGACTTGATGGGGGCCCACTTGTAGCGCTTGACCCAAACACTGATGGCAAACAGGCCAGACAGGAGGACAACGGCCTTGACACCCATCTTCTTGCGGTCATCCATCTCGGGCTCAGCGGCCCAGTTTAGGAACTCAACAACATCCTTGGCCATCTGGGAGGTGGTAGCGGGGGTGCCATCCTCGTACTCGACGACACCGTCGAACAGAACACGGCCCATAGCAATACCTATATGATCATACCCATATTAGAAAATGTGAACATGGCCAATTGCAACGATTCTAGTCACATACCGGTACCAGGGAAGTAGGGGTTGAAGTTCATGCCCTCAGCAACGCTGGCGCCCGCTGGGGGCTCATCGGGGTAACCGGTCAGCAAGTTGAAGACGTAGTCGCAGCCACCGTGACGGCCCTTGATGATCAAGCTGAGATCGGGGGGCAGAGCACCGCCGTTGGCCGCACGGGCAGCCTCGTCGTTCTTGTAGGGGGCGGGGAGGTAGTCCGACAGCTTTCCGGGGCGCTTCTCGATCTCGCCCTGGTCGTTAGGCTCAGTGTCGTACTCGTTCTCCTCAGCCATAGTCTTCATCTCATCGACGGTGTGCATAACACCAACGAACGAGCGCCAGGGAACCCGGGTCAGGGAGTGGCAGCTGGCGCAAACTTCACGGTAGACCTGGAAACCACGGCGGAGCCTGAGCCGGAAAATTTGTGTTAGTTGACGCGCGACAGCAGCATGGCGGGTAAGGGTGTGAGCACTCACGCAGCGTGGTCGAAGGTCTTGTTGAAGCGCTGGTGCACCCAGGGGTATGGGGTAGCGTGCAGGCTGGGTAGAAAGCATTGGTTAGTCCAGTGGTCATTTGCGGTCCGAATCGCACAATCCTCGGCTCGGGATAACGGAGCGACCAGCCTGGTCGCTCCCTATGTTTTGATGGAAATTGAGACTCACCCCTCCTCAGCAGGGGTCGAGGCAAAGGCCTCCTGGCCATAGAGATGGTAGTACCAAGCGGCGGAACCGGCAGCCGCAGCGGTAGCGAGCGAGGCAGTGAGGGTGAGGTAGAAGGGGGAGCTGGCGGCATCGGCACCGGCGGCGGTGGATGAGGCACGCTGTCGGATTTCATTAGCATAAAGTCTTTTCCCCTACACGATGAAGCCATCACGAAGCGATTGCCCTTTCCGGCGAGGCTCAATGGGTCGGTCGGGGTGGTGAGAGCGTACCGTGGACTTGCCGACAGGCTGGCGAGCAAAGGCCCGGGCGGCCACGCGCGGAAGGGAACGGCCCAGCATGACGAATTTCAAACCCTCCGATCGATTGGCGATGGACGGGAAGGGGCGGGATTCGCTTCGAGCGAGAAGAGGGGGAGGGGGAGGTGGGTGGTGCACGGGAGAAGTGCTGTCGAGAGGTGCGAGTTGAGGTTCGAAGGTCAAGTTTCTCGCTGGGGGTGAGGATTGGGTAAAACCCTCGCGCTGATTGGCCGCGCTGGGGCGGCCGAGCTGACTTCGGTGAAAACCGGCTGTGTTGCAGGCCTGACTTTGCAGGCAGCCATCACGTAACTTAACTAACTAGTTATTCCTATGGAATTGCTTGCTAGGGGGCTTTTGATCATGGATTCAGTTTCAAACCTCCTCCGAGGTTATAAATGGAAGCTGTTTGCAATGTGTTTGTGAAAGAGTGTTGGCCACTATCTCGCCGTCGTGCAAAAGCCTATCTGCCATCCGATCAATATGCCTCGTGTCCCGGTCACGGCATCATGTTTGATACCTTCCCTTTCGGACAGATTGGTTGTGTGTATCTCCAACCATGGTAAGGATTGGGTATCCTATCAAATGGTATATATCAAGTACGGACTAGTAATCGGAGTCTTACAAAAGGAGCGAAATATATCATAGGCATTGATCTCGAGGGACCCACGGTGTCCAAACCAGCATTGACGCTATAACCGCGGACGCTGTAGTGTGACCGGTATAGGTGTACCTAGAAATTAGAAATGGGGTTTTATTTGGCCTGACACTCGTTTTCATAGGTAGCAATCCTGGGATTTTAATGGTATCGACAGTTGGTGTTATACCCGAAAGTAAAGGAAGAGAGATGTTCTTGCTTGCTCACATTCGTTACGGATTGGAAGATGCATCCGCAATTGATAGCATGAGGTCATTCATTCTCATGGCTAACCAGGAAACTTGCGAAATCAAACGCAAGGTCTTGAAATACGTATAGCAAACCAAATTATAATTTGATCATCACCTAAACCCGTCGTATATGGCCTTACAACCTGCATCACCAACACGTTGTCTTAGCCTTGCTCCTCAATGGAGCTGCCAGTTCCACGACCCAACGAACAATGGTCGGTGTGGGAATGAACTGCTATGGAAATTCACTGAGAGTATACAGAATACATTTGGTCTTTCTAAAACCAACGAGCCTGGAATAAGCTGGAGATGAGAGGATTTCCCAATAGGCCATCTTTAGCATTATGTAGCGCATAAATTTAAATACATTATACTAAGCCATCTGATGTCACCATATCCCGTCTTGATGGGGAAATTCTAAAGGAAATTGTCGACTCCCCGGTATCTGATGCCGCAAAATTGAGATCCTAGTGTCGAGCTATGTAATACAATTGCATTAAACTTTCAACCTTCTTATCTAAATAGGGTGTCGGGATGTCAACTGGCATAGCGGTGATGGTGGAACACCGCTGAGATGGACCGCAGCGCGCGGCCAGCAGGAGGCAGCCAAGGTACTGCTTTCCATCAATGATGTGGACGTTCATACAAGAGCTTGCGGTTCTGGAATCAAGTTCGAAAATATGCTTAAGGTCTCACTTGACCCAGTAGCAAACGGCGACATTGAAGAAAAAGGAGGACCCTTCGAGCATTTTCCATACCAAGCACCAGGCCCTTTCCGCAGCTGGCAAAACCCATGGCTTGCTGTTATGATTCCAGTAGGCACCAATATCCAGGTCGATCCTTTCCCATTAGTATTCTGGTATATCAACATGAATGGTAAAGGGAATCCTCCTGGGCCCTTCGCGCATTTAGGGTGAATGCGTTAGAGCTAGATATATTGATGATTCCAAGATACATGCAACGTAAACCTTCGAAGCAAGAAAATTCAACAACACACATGGAGCCAAATGTTTCAAGAGGTCCATTAGGAAAGGAAGAATATCCGAACCTATTACCTTGTCAGGCTTGATTCGGCGACTGGAATGCGCACTGCAAGTCAATAAATAATATTGAAACTGTAAGAAAGATCCCCTAGACTTCATGCTTTACCTAATAGCTAGAGTTAGAACTATTTAAAAAGCAGTTTACTGGATCTTTATCGTTGTCTATCTAATGTTTCAGCCACATTTGGGGTGGGGCGGGGATAGGGCAGGAGGAACCACACGAGCGCCCTTCACGAACAATAAATGTGCGTTCATGTGCCACCAATGTCAATTGGAACTACCAAGCTTGGAACCCTTTACACGTTAGTATCTATATCAGTCGCGAATATATTGTAACCCAATCTTTCTAGATCTAATTACTATTTTTTCTAGATTTCGGATGGCCCTGAATGAAAAATTGGCAGATGCCGATGGCCCACCTGCTCGGCGATTGTTGGTCGCCGTTTGGGTTCCATATTGTGTCGCTGAATATTTCTCTCGTTCTTTGTGACATTGATTCATTTCTGGGCCCACACTTTTTCAATAATTAATCCACAGTACAAATGACTTCCTGTACGACTTTTCGGATCATCTCACTCTCCCATCTCTACCCCCTTTTCTTTCCATCTAAACGAATTTAATCTAGGGAAATATCCTCCCAACTCAAAACTAAAACAGCAAATTTGAACATCCGTCAAATCATGGAAAGAAGAAATGCTCCACGGGCCCAAGCTGAGAACTCCGAATCAACTGCAATATCCAAACATGACCATGGGTGGCGTCGGGTTATTCGGAATTTTACCCCAGCGTGAGTTCTAAAGCAATGTTGAAGATATCAATACTCACAGATATGCAAGTTGGTTTTCTGTGAATATGGGAACTGGAATCGTCTCTATTTTGCTCAACACTCTACCCTACAACGGACGATGGCTACATGATGTTTCTGTCGTCATTTTTATTCTGAATGTAGTTTATTTCACAATATCCCTAGCGATCACGCTGCTACGCTACATTCTCTACCCGGAGATCTTCAGAGTCATGATAGCTCACCCAGTGCAATCATTGTTCTTGGGAACTTTTCCGATGGGGCTCGCGACAATTATCAACATGTTCTGCTTCGTCTGCGTGCCTGCGTGGGGAGATCGAGCTGCTTATTTCATTTGGGCAGTTTGGATCTTTGACGCAATTGTGTCGGTGTTGGTGGCTATCGGTATCCCATTTTTGCTGTTAGTTGTGCTTCTGCTCTTGTGACCTTTGTTCCCTGACTAATTTGACTTCAAAGAACAACGAGCAAGAACGAAATCGACCTTTCTTCAATGACTGCCGCTTGGCTTCTACCTGTTGTTTCTTGCATTGTCGCAGCTGCCTCGGGGGCCATCGTGGCGGATGTCTTGCCCGATGCACAACTAGCTCTCGCTACCATCCTTGCCAGTTATGTTCTCTGGGGAATGGGTGTTCCTCTAGCACTAATGATTATCTGCATATATCTGCAGCGCCTGATGTTCTACAAGTTACCGCCCAAGGCATTGCTTGTAAGCGTCTTTCTCCCTCTGGGTCCGCTGGGCCAGGGTGGTTTCGGGTAAGTTTTGATGTTTTTATCGGCGAACTAGCTATGCTTATCACGTTGATATACTGACGAAAGCATCAATCGTTTAGTATCCAAAAACTTGGCAAATCTGCGCAAACGATCTTCCCCCAGACGAACACTCTTAGCACCTCAACTGGTGAAATATTATATGGTATGGGGTTCTTGATTGGAATCTTGCTGTGGGCATTTGGGATCGTCTGGCTTTCTTTCGCCGTGGCGACACTAGTCAAGGCGAGGACATTTCCTTTTAACATGGGCTGGTGGGCGTTGACCTTCCCCCTGGGAGTTTTCACCACCTGTACGTGTACAATGGGTCAGGAGCTTCCCTCCCGTTTTTTTGCCGTTCTTGGAACAGTACGTGTTCATTTTCCATCTCCTTGCCTGCATATGGGACCACTCTTCAGTTGCTAAACAAATTACAGATATTCTCGGTTGTGATCGTGTTGTTATGGTTTCTGGTCAGCTTCCACACGTTTCGCGGCATCATCCGAGGCGATATATTCGTTGCACCATGCCTTAAAGACCTGGGGAGCGCAAAAGCCCGATCAGGTGAAAATGTTTGAAAGACTAATAGAAATATGCTGAGACTGGTCAGTGCGAACTCTTCTAGAGGATGTAGAGCGGTAGGGGGACAGGCAACCTTACTTGCCTAATAGAGAAGCAATCTCTCACAACATCCCATGCTGAACTCCGCAGTAAATTCCACTGGAATTGACTAATCCTTATGTAGCTAGTTAACTATCACCCAAACAAATATACCTTGCGTCCGATAAGCAAAACGCTAACGTTGTTCAGGCCGAGCTTATGCGCTTGAGGAAAGGGGGGCATGTGCAGCAGGTCGCCAAGCAAGGACCAGTGTCAATCGCCGATTGACAACTATCACGATTTCATTGGATGATAAGGCGCCAGACTCATTAAAAAAAGCAGGGATATCTCGGCTTCATTTCTATATTTTGCTGCAGCGGCATGATTGCGCAGTTCACAGGATATCTAAGTGGTAAGGGTGGCTCGGAGACTGCTCTCGAGCGCTTGTTGGTGGTCAGGCTAGAACAAAACGACCCTAAGCCGGACAAATGGCCAGCCGCTATTACTTAGATTTAGCAGTTTGAAACAACTTCAATTTGACTCCTCCTCCGTTCTGTTCATTCAAGCTATCACTGTCCAGAAGCGAAGATGGTCTCAGTGGTCGATGAGGATGAGGGTCACTGACCGCATTCACCACGGGCGTGTTGCTATCGGGTTCTGCGGAACTGCCGCTGACGCCGGTCAACCCCCTTCCTCGCAGTCCACCTTCCTCCCCATTTCATCATGGCCAAAACCAAGGAGAGTGGGTTGGCTTCTCTTGCATGTACCGAGTGTCGGAAGCAGCATCTCAAATGTGACGCGCACAGGCCGACGTGCTCGCGTTGCATGCTGCACAGATACTTTTGTGAGTACCTCCCGTCACGACGTGGCGGGCGCAGAAAAAGCCCGACCGGATTCCAGTCGCCCGCCACCGCCATCTAGCAACCCGGATGAGCTGAATATTACTTCACATCATGATCCCACCGGGTTGATTGAAGAGATACAACCCAGGTATCAAGCACCTCTCGCCTTATCCGTGCCCCGGTCAGAACAGCCGAATACGCCAGATAGCACCTCGCCACAAAGAGCGGCAGGTCCCACGAGTGCAACAAGGTCGGTCCCCTGGCCGATGGGCATTCCGCGAAGCGGACTGGATCAAGAGCAAGTTCAGCATGCCCGGGACCCCTGGTTTCACGATGAGCGCTTTTTACGCCTCTTCTATGAAAATTTTCATGTCGCCCATCCAATCTTGGTGCCCAGCGCAACATATCATGATCGGCAGTACCCGGACTTCCTTCAGCTCGTTGTGAATTTTGTTGGTTCCCATTATATCCCATCAAGTCCGACTCTAGACTATAGGGACAAAGTTCTTGCAGAGCTTACCTGCAATCCGGACCGTTCACCGTGTATGGTTCAGGCTTGGTTGATCTTCGCAATCGCGATTTATGCTCGCGGCGAATGGCAGGAGGCGCAGGACGCCTTCTCGCACGGTGTTGAAATCGCTTTAGAGATTGGCATGAACCGTCGCGAGTTTGCCATGGCTGGCCACCCCGAGAATAGCATCGAGGCTGAAAGCCTCCGGAGAACCTGGTGGGAACTTTACGTTACAGATATCTTCATCGCGGCTCCGTTTAAGAGCAATACCTTCCTTTGCAGCACAATGGCTCCAGATGTGGGTTTGCCTTGTGAAGAGTCGGTTTATACCGGAACATGCGATATTTCAACACCCCGGAAGATTCTTGATTTCAAACGCCGAGTCTTTGCGCCGGAGGAAACAGTCTTTTCCTCCTTCAGCTATCGCATTGAGGCTACTACCATTCTTTGCAGAGCTCTCGTCTTGAGTAGACTGCGGGACTATCATCGCGATCATCTTCAAGCGGTTGAGAATGCGCTCGTCAGCTGGGTCAATCATTTGCCTCCCAGAAAGCTGGACATTGTCGATTCTTACGGTAACATTGATGAGATGATGTTTCAAGCACACATAACGATCGCCTATGCTACTATGCTCCTCCACCTACCGCGAAGCGACCTCCAACCTGTTTTATCCCAAACAAATGAGCAGTTCTGGCCTTCTGCCACTCGACATATGGGCTCTACCCTCAACCGCCCGATTCACAGCATCAAAGCTACTGAAGCTTCCAGGCGAATATCCGATGCAATCTCCCTCTGTCCAAATGTCCTCAAGCACTCTCCCTTCGTTATTCCCACATTGGCACTCGCTGGAATGATTCAACTAGCAACATCTATTAAGCACACCGAAGAGTGTTTTGATCACCACTACAACAGGGTTACTCTCATCCTTGGGTGCCTCAAAAGCACAAAACGAATATGGGGTCTCGCAGATGCTGCTTACAATCATCTGCGTACCTCTGCAGCTGATGCATTATCAGATTCCATGGAGCGATGGAGCACGGAACCTCTTCGAAAATTCTTCCCAGCGGATTCGACACCCAGTAGAGCAGAGCGTACATCATCCCAGCCCACTCGGCCCACATCGGCCATTTCGGAAGGCCAGGAGCTCTTTTTCCCGCCCATTACCCCAGCTTTTGTTGACCCGACATGTTACAATGACTCGTTCTTCACCTCTATCCCTGATTTTGATATTAGCTAAGGCCACAAGCATTAATGCCATTTGGAGACGTTGTAATTTATGATGATATGAAGAATATGCATCAACATGGTCATTCCCCATCATGCATATCCGTCCCCCGTTATATTCCACCCCTGATACGAATCAGAAACTTTATTCTTCGTGTGAACATATCCTGTGATTCTGTTGCCGAACCTTTTGGTCTGGACATCACCCCCCTCCTCCTGACCCTTTTTCTTCTTCGATATTCTAGATAGATCCACACAACGTTGATTAGGAAATGTCGATCAAACCTAAAGAGTAAGTGTGTTCCAATCACTATCTAGAAATTCCAATATTAAAATGTTGAAGTACGCGTAACATACCGACCGGGCTTATCTCTCGGGGATCGAATGAGCGGTATGTATTCAATCGCCGATTGAACTTATCAACGTCATTCTACATCGGCGATTGCATTGTTGCAATGTGTTCATCCCGGAATCTCTTATAATATTCCTTCTATTCAGTTACTTACTTCGTTCCCTTATAACAAAGTGCAATAAGTTTGAGTTATTACAGTGTTGACAGCTTGTTGCAAAATGCTGCCTCTCATTCTTCCCTCAACCGCCGCGAGCACCCCAAGCGATAAGCGATCAGCCACCCCTTATCGGCCTTTTAAGGAACGGTACCACTTGGATGATGTCGTGCGGGATATTAAACAACATCTGGGTGAATCCGGTGGTATCTCGTCTGAAGATGTCGACTCGGAGTACTTGCGGTCCTTGTTAGAAAAATACATCTCAGACCCAAGCGACTGGATCCAGTATTTCCACAACGATCGCAGCAAAAATTACACTCGGAATGCGATTGAGAGCATCAATCATAAGGCAAATATTGTGAGTGAGCGCATGGTCTTGTCTCAAAGTTCCCAACAATGCTAATTATTGTAGCTCCTTCTAGTATGGAATCCCGGAAAGGGTTCCCCGATTCACGATCACGCAAATGCCCACTGCATCATGAAAGTCCTCGCCGGGGAACTACATGAGACCGTTTATAAGATACCCGATAACAGGCCAGGGGACTCGTTGCCGTTAGAAGTCAAATCCGCAAACACCTATGGTATGAATGAGGTCACCTATATTTCTGACGATATCGGGCTCCATCGGGTCCACAATCCCAGCAGCAGCCAGATAGCTGTTTCATTGCATTGTGAGTATGAGCTTCGCATATCACCTATTCTCATTAATTCTAATAAGACAATTGCTAGTATATACACCCCCAAATGCAGCTGACTATGGCTACAATATTTTCGATGAAGCTACCGGCTCCGCAAGCCACGTATCACAGGCACGCTCATTTTTGAAGCCACAGGAGAATTAGAGGACATGTGAATGTGGAAATTACAGTATTGAGAGCTTTTGGGTTTTGTTTTCATTCTGTCATGGGCATTTATTTACAAGTGAAGGGTGTACAGCTTGCACGCGTTTTCTCCAGCGATGATATCCACCGTCATCGCGTATCCTGGTTTCGGGTAACTTTGTCTGGTTTCAGTTAGGATTTCTGCTAGATTGAAACAATTTCAACAAAGATTTTATCAAATCTAGATTCTTCTGGTTTTTGTACTAAGCACTTGATCGTCCCTTATACTTGCATTTGTTTACTTGATACTGCCGAGCCGTGGGGAAGGCGGTGAGATCACGGACCCTTAACACTGCTAATCGCCGCTGAAACCGGGGGCGATCGTTCATGTGCGGCCACACTGAGAGCTTGGGTGGGTTTCTTTCCACTAGGACGTGATTCCTTCGCTCCCGGTCTGCACCGTAGTGCTTCCATTACCAAAATATTGCTCAGGGGAGTTCAGTGGCCCCGAGGGTCAACTCCAGCGCCTTCATTACCATCTCGCCCCGCCAACCCTCTGGTCGTCTCCGATGAAGACCCCAAAAAACCGCAATGCCGAACGGAAAGAAAGGGATAACGCCTGCGCGGCCACGCAGAGATGTGCTGGCCTCGCTGCGTATGGCATCAATGGAAGAGATTGCACGAGCTTCGCTGCCGGCTGGTATGTCCTCTCAATGTTTAAATGCCTGGTCATGCACTAACCTCGCCCGCCGATAGAGATCATGTCGTCAATTCTAGATTACCTCGACCCCCTCGACCTCATCCGCGCAGCTCGGTCGAGCAAACTTCTCCATGAAATGGCATACGACGACACCCGATGGGTACAGCGATTGAAGCGAATTGGGTGCTGGGATGAGGCAGACGCTCGAAAGCATATTGAGAGTGTTTACGGGAGCATTGCGAACTTGGATGTTGCAGAGCAGGAGGATGGTTTCGAGAAGTCGGGTCGTGCACGTGCAGTGCCTGCCATTATTGTCGAGGAAACCCCTGCTTCTGATGTCAAGCAGCTCTCTGATGGATTCGACAAGATCGAGCTAGTCAATACAAGCTCACAGCCCGTGCCATCAGCGACCACCGAAGATGATCCTGATCTAGTGGTTTTGAAACACGCAAAATCCATTCGAGGTGAAGCGCGGCAGGAATATGGGAGGATCCATGCCGCATTAGCGCCCTTTTACGACGATATTGCCAAGAATGGACCGTCGATGAACAATTTGGTTTTTACTCACTATAGCGATCCGCAAGCACAGGCACAAATGCTGTCCCAGCTAGTGTCCTTTTCAAACTCTGATATGACAGATGGCTGGCAAGACCGGACGGACTGCCTCCAAAGGGCCGTGTCTATCTTTGAAACCGCTGCATTGAACGAATTTCGAAAAGCATACGAGACAGACGACATTGATGACACTATGCGCAAATACGCCCACATACTATGGACACTTAATGGTGCAAAGGCAGCTGTCGACCTGTTTATACATCACAATCATTTGATAATGCGCAAATCCGAGCTGGGAACTGTAGCGGACTGCATTGATGCCTTGGGAAAAGTGAAAGTACAGCATACACAGGCGTTTTTTACCCGTTTGAGTGTCGCCTACAACGAGGAGGTGACAATCATGAACCGTGTCTTTCCTCCGGAGTTGGATGTGGCATCTCCCTTCATGGAGAAGGTCGGACAAGATGTGCTCTATCCATTCCTAACCGCGATCTTCGATGAGCTGCATCGCACTAATATGGAGTCTTATCTCACCGCCATCTCTGTTACGTTTGTACAGTGCATGAATCTGTCCGAATCCCTCCTGCCGATACGGAACTCTGGCGACAGGTTTGATCAATACCTAGATTCGGTCGTGATCAAGATCTACGAGCCACACATTGATTTGTATTTGGCTGAAGAGCTTGACTTCTTTCGAAAGGGCTGTGCGGCCACAATTGACGACTGGGATCGCCAGCTTTCAGAACAAGCTGCCTCGACCGAATCATTCCTCATGTCCAATGTCAACCGCCAGGCTGACAAGCGAGACTTCCTCACTTCATTCAAGAAAGTGATCATGATGCCTGTCAACATCCTCCCCAGTTTTTCGGGCAACAAGGCCAACGAAGACTTCAAATCATACTCTGAGACGAACGGCAATAACCCGTCTGTTCCGAAGATCTCCAATCGATTCTCCACTATCTCGTCACCGACACCAACTACTTTAGAAGAGGCCCCTACAACGGAATTGGCAGCAAAGGCGGCTATTATGAAAACAAAAATGGAAGGCATCCGATCCTTGTTCAGCATCGAAATTGCTTTGAGCCTCGTTCATTCGGCAAAGTCCAGCCTGGAGAGAGCCGCCCAGTTTGTCCGGCTAGGTGGAGAGTATGGTAGAGCTGCGAAACAGCAGTGTGAGGCCATCTTTGTGGCCTTGCTCCGTCTCTTGGGCCTTCGCCATGTTATTGTTGGCTTCGATAAGGCCGTCGACCACCTCTCCAACTACCGACCGCGTGATCAGGAGGAGCGCGATTCTGCAGGAGTGGAGCCCCTGGTTACCTTTTTGGAGCTGGTGAATGTGGGCGACCTCATTCTCCAGATGGTGGATGTGTTCTACGAGCAGGAATTGATTGGCATGAGATTGACGGACCGCCATGATTTTCTCGATCCGGCGGTCAAGGAAAAGAAGAAATTCGAGCAGATGCTCGATGAGCGGGTGGCAGCTGGGTTGAACAAGGGTATCGACGTTCTCATGGAGGAAGTGGACTATATTCTCGCTACACGACAACTCGCCACCGACTTCAACCCAGGCGTTTCGTCAGACCCCCACCGACAGACCATGGATGTGGGTGTGAGTGAAGCGGCGGCCGCCGTGGTAGATGTGGTTTCGTCGCATACTTCGATGTTGGTGGGCAGCACCGACAAGAGCACGCTAGATGTGTTCAATCAAGAAGTAGGTCTGCGTCTCTTCACGGCTCTGTGTAAGCATCTCAAGCGACAGCGGATCAGCGTTGAGGGGTCCCTGAAGCTCATCAGGTATGTATATCTATATGTCCCTTCTTCCTACACGGCTTGCGCTAATTCATTCCCAGCGATATGAACCACTACTTCAAGTTTGTCCAAAACCTCAAGAACAACGAACTTCTCCTCTACTTCAAAGCATTCCGCGAATTAGCCCAAATCTACCTGATCGACCCGTCTGATGCCAAGGAGCTGGCAACAATCATCGCCGACGCCGACCGGTTCCACGGAATCTGGCGCGTGGAGGAAGTATATGAGTTCGCGGAGCGCCGGGTCGACTGGTACCAGGTGAAACGCGACGTGGAACGAGCTATGTACGGCATCGGATGCAGCGTGATGTAATTAGATACAGATACCCCATTGCCTAGCGACTTAGTAGTATATATATGCGTCGACGTCGATCATATTTATTGGGCTGATCTCCCGTCAGGAGGGACACGGGACTCATCCCCGCACCCCGCAAGTTTAATTTTCACGGATGGCACTGTCCATGTTCCCAACGCTGGTCCACTTGGTCTTCTCACCATTTCCTTCCTATTTTGTATTTTGTCCAGAAATGATAGATGATCTGCTCTTGCGATGTTGCCTCCGGGCCTTCCGCTGCGCTGAGGTCGCATTCTGACGTCAACGGCGGCTACTGGAACATCCCACCCCGTTTGGAACGACATCAAGACTTTCCGGGCCAACAGCCGCTGCCGTCCGGTTGCAGCTTGAAACGGGATGGAACCGACACGGAACGCGTATTCCTATTTGCCGCTCATTCAGGCACTCTGCCCTTCTGCTGGGACTGGGCTGGGCCTGATCTCAGGAATCGGTGGGGTGTGACGCGGAGATCTTCACCTGGGCACTAGGGCGCCAGTGCAAACACTACTTTTTCTCTGGGAACCAGTGTTGCTGGGACCTCAGGTGCCCGAGAAGATATTATATCTCCCCTGGTGGTGCGCCTGGGGGGCAGACGCAGATGTAGACCCATTGGTGCGCCATCTTCCTACCACCTGGCTTCTCTTGCTGCAGTCTGACACAGCTGCCTCGGAGCTCAGAGTTTGACGAGACGTTCGGGATCCATGCTCTCGGACTCTTCATCTGCCTGGTCTGCCATCGCTCTGCTTCTATGATGTGGTGATCCATCGCAGAGTCCAGGTCATTGTCGCTACTCAGGGCGGGGGAGATAACTGTCCCCGCAATGACAATGGCTACCATCTCTCGCTGCAGCTTGCTTGTTTTACTACTCGTGATCATCGACAGCTTGATCATGACTGTGGGGGCCCAGAAGACGGTAGTCATAACCGTCCAAACCACTGTGGACGCCGTCACATCCACCGTCCAAGTAACGCCCACGATTCCTAGCCCCGCCTCATATACCTCCCTCAGTGACTTCAGAGATACCGTCCTCCAGGTCAGCAACAAATACCGAAGCGCACACGACGCCGAGCCATTGGTCTGGAATGACACATTGGCCCAATATTCCCGAAAATGGGCGGAAGCTTGCATCTGGAAACACTCGGTATATAGTTTCGCATTCCCCCAATAAATTCAGCATCAGCCACAAGACCCCAATTCTAACGCACTTTAGGACGGCCCCTACGGTGAAAACATAGCCTTTGGCTACCCCAATGCTTCTTCCGCGGTCGCAGCATGGGGTGATGAGGAAAAATATTATAATTTTGACAAGCCGACGGGGTTTACCGAGAAGACCGGCCATTTCACTCAGCTCGTGTGGAAATCTACAACCGAAGCCGGATGCGCTGCGATAAATTGTGGATATACTGAAGACAACCACAAGATCCGCAGAGATACAGGAGACACAAATGAGGGCCGAGTTGTTTCGAGAGAGGCGGATGGCAGCATGCGAGCGCAGGGCTGGTATGTGGTGTGCGAGTACACGCCAGCAGGCAATGTCGTCGGCAGTCACAACGAATACTTCAAGCGGAATGTCAAGCCGAACACCAAGGCATCAAACCAGGCCACGTCAACTACCACGTCAAAGAGCCAACCGACAGGTGGCGCGACGATCAAGACGGGAATGAGTTCCACGGTGTGGATAATGCTGCTGGCGCTGGGGACAGTCGCCATTGGGATGGGCCTGTATACATAGCAACCAAACCTACAAAATACAAGATGGAAAGACAGCTATTTGTTCGTAGGCATTTCTCATGCTTATCCACCATTGCACATCAAGAGCTTCGTCGGACACGCACAGCTCAAACTATTGATTTTTGGGAGGCCCCGATCCTCGCTGCAAAAAAAACGGCCGGATCAAACAAATGGGGGACACAGAAGCCCGGGTCTGAAGGGCAGAGGACGCCGGCGACAACAAAGAAAAAGAGAAATGAAACACATTATATGCGAAAAAGGTGGGGCGGAAAGAATTGGGTTCGTCAACCAATGACCTCCTCGGTCTCCTCGATGATCTCCTCCACGATCTCCTCCACGATGGCATCGCCTTCCTCCTGGCCGCCAATGCGCGCATCCTTCGCCAGCTTGGGAGAGTCGGCATCCTCGGGCAGGCCGAATGCCTCCCGCTCTTCGGCCTGGATCTCCTTCTCCCGGCGCAACCAGGCAACCCACTCGCTGAGTACGCGCTTGCGCTGCTCGACAACGGCAGTATTGGCAATGTCCACAGCGTATCGGTCCTCCTCGTCGAACTCCTTCGAATACTCGCGCAGGTTCTTGCGCACCTGCTTCTGCTCCTCCTTGCTGAGGAAGGTAGGGGGACGTGGACGCCAGATGAACTGCTTGAACTTCTCGGTAGGGTTCTCGGAAAGGGTGGTTCCGGAGAATGTGTGCAGGTTCCAGCCGTTTTCCATCTAGGTAGGCAATTAGTATTCGTCATGGGGAAGCTCGTGCAGCAGAGATTGGGTCTTACCGAGTGAGTCCACACACTAGCACTGCTGACCACGTAGCGACCCGTGGGGTCCCACTCAATGTCGGTCACACCGTAGTGCTCAACGGTCTTCATCAACTGGAGGTTGGCGGCAAGGTCCTTCTCGGCCTCGTTCTTCTCACCCTCGAAGTCCATGTCCCAGAAGTCCAAGTCGAAGTTGGACTGGGAGTGAACGGTAGCAACAACAACGAATCGGCCCTTCGGCGACCAGTAGATGCCGTTGCTGGTCTTCTTGTCGACCGTCCGGATAAGCTTGAAGTTGCCAGGGGTGTTGCCCTTCTTCTCCGGGGCAAAGAAGGAAACGGCAGACTTGGGAGGAGCAACGGCAGCACCGGCAGGAGCCTCCCCGGTGTTGATGAGAACGAAACGCGAACCGTTAGGCTCCCAAGAGAAGTTGATGACAGTGTCCTTAAGACTATCAACAACCTCGACAGGCACACCCTTCTCGCGGACCCGGAAAATCTCCAGGTTGGTGGCCATGGACTTCTTTGACTTGGAGTGACGGTCGACCTTGACGCAGACATAGGCACCCTGGGATTGCCAGTGCAGCTTGACATCGGACACGTTGAAGAGATTACGAGTACGCACAATCTCCTTAGAGGGCACACTCATCAGGGCGACACGAGCGGGGTTGCTGCCGATCTCGGGAGTCCAGAAGCAGAGGAGCTGCTCGTACTGCTTGATACCTTCACGGGTAACGGTGGCGGGTGACCACTCGAAGTCGTTAACACCCTCAACCTTGACGGAAGTGCGGCCCAGCAGGTTCATGTTGGGGAGCTCGTAGATGGAAATGGACTGGCCCTGGAGCATACGGGCAACGTATTTCTCGTCCGCGGACCACTTGAAAGCAGGCCACTGCACCTTCTTCTTGGGCTGGACATCACCGTCCGCATCGAAGCCAGGGGCCAGATCGTGGGAAACGAACGAACGAAGCGGTTTGCCGGTCTCGATATCCCAAACAATAATGTTCTTCCCATCCTCCTCGTAGGTCAGCACAGGCTGACCCTCCTCGACCTGGATTGGACGGGCAGACCATGTCGTAATATAGCCCTCCAGAGGGGAAAATTCAATGAGTTGGACGAAGGGGTGGGGGAACTGTTTCTGTTTTGAGAAGGAGGCGCCGCCCCAGAGCTGGACACCCTGGGGGTGGACGGAGGCAAGGAAGGTACCCTTGGGGGACCATTGGACGAAGAGTTGTGTCCAGTGAGCGCGGTCAACGACGTTCTCTGGTGGGTTAGACTTGTTGTTCCAGAACACGCCGACCTTGTCGTTCCGGTAGAGGGCGAACTGATCACGGGCACTGGCATCGCCCATCCACGAGCGCAGGTGCTCCTTCTCCTTGAACGGCTCCAACTGGGGAGGCTGGTACTCCTCTTCAATGCGACCCTCGCGACCATACCGCTCAATATCCATAAGCTTGTTCACGGCAAGAGTGTGCTTCTTGTCGAGAGGAACGCCGTGCAGCTGCTTGATGGCGCCGACAGCCTGTTCGGGGGTTTCGTACTCAACAAAAGCGAACCTAAAAATAATTGTATCCCAGTCAACCACATGTTCCACCTAATAATTCGTAACCGAAATTGCTGTACGCACCCTTCGGTCATGCCCTTGTCGTTCAGCGGCATAAAAACTGCATCTTCGGAGGTGTGGCCCACGGTGTTGAGTTTTCTCAATAAGAACTTGACGAGTTTCTGGCGGCTGTCTTCGGGCACAACGGGGAGGCCATCGATAACGACGAATGTATCCAAGCCTTCCTCCAGCTTTACTTCGTATTGTTCCTTGAGATCTGGAGGGTGTCGGTGTTAGAGAGGGGCACACGCCACAAAGTGGTTTTTCTCAGCACGCACCGGAGAAGTCAACCTCCTCCTCCTCTTCCTCGTGGAAATCCTGCTCGGTCAGGGTGTCGAAGCTGGGCGCCATGATGGGTAGACTTGAGGCGACAGCCGTGGATCAGAGCGTTGCGTGCGGACTTTGAAGATTTTCGGCCAGAAACAAAACTCGCCGCCAAGCGGGTTCTTTGTGCGCGCTGACTCAGCCCCAAGGAGATCCAGCGGTCGTATCGTATCATGTGACCTAGTTGCGGCGCTGAGTCAGCGTCTTCCCCGGGCGCGCATCGCAAGTTGCAGTTGGAGTTGCAGTTGCTCCCGGAGCTGCGGCCGACGCGGGGTTTCTTGTGTATTCAGGACTTTGTGGACTTGGTGCCTCGCTGTTTTGCACAGCTTGAGTAAAATCCATTCGCGACTCCCTCCCTGTCCTCTGTTGCTGCTCCTTCACCTTGCTCCCTGCGTCCTCGGTTCGCCCGTCCTCCCCCGCCGCTCTTAAGCGCCAGTGCGACTATACCCACCTGACCCTCTCCAAGTACCTACTTGCGCAATCGACACCACTGCCCGAATCAACCCCCCGGAAGCTCCATCGCAAGCTGCCCATTACACCTGAAGCTTGGACAACACCCTTTTCGAGGCGATTTTGCAGGATTGACAGCCGACAAGATGTCACGTACGTTACCTCGGTGCTGCCCCGGCTTCAATTGCCGGTTCACTCTTGCGAGTGTTCTTTCCCCGTCTAATGTGGTACAACAGTGTCATCGGAAAAGCGCGATGAATATTCCGGGATCATTGACTCAATCCTTGGCAGGAGTGACCTCAATACCATCTCCGAGAAGCGGATTCGCAAGGGTCTCCAGGACGTCATTGGCTATGATCTCACTCCACAGAAGGTCAATCTATCCGTGGCTTTTTTTCACACTTTATCTCCATCAGAGCATGAAACTCGAGGGGTCATCAGTGGCTGACAATGCTTTTAAAGGCTGAAATAAAGCAGCTCATAATGGAACGATTCGATATCTTCGCGGGCAACAATGGCGTCGAATCCCCCGAAGAGAGTACAACGAGCAATGGCCATAAACACGCCGATTCTGCCTCCGCAGTGCCTTCCCCGCCTCCATCATCGTCGCCTGTGAAGCGCCAGGCAGATAGCGAAGAAGCGTCCGAGCCGGCGACTGCCTCGCCGCCCCCCAAAAAGCGAAAGCCCGACACCGATGTCGACGCCGATGCCTTGTTCGCAGCCAAATTGCAAGCGGAGGAGAACTTGCGCGCACGACCCACGAGAGGAGCGAATACACGTCGTGCCCCTCCATCCAAGCAGAAGAGCAAGGCCAAGACCGCTAAACGCGTCAAGGCGGAGGATGACTCGGACATCGACTCTAGTACAGACACAAAGAAGGAGGTCAATCGATCCGGTGGCTTCCATGTACGTGCTATTGCTGGAAATCTAGCTCGATACAACTCTGACCATTCTCTAGAAACCACTCAATCTCTCCGCTCCTCTATCGGCACTCCTGGGTGGGGAGACTACCGTATGTTGCTTCCCATATTCTAGTCCTTACCTTCCACTAACCCTTGGAATAGCTTTCGCGTCCACAAACTGTAAAAAGGGTGTGGCAGTACATCCGTGAAAATGAACTCCAAGATCCTAGTGATCGACGCCAAATCCGTTGTGACAACGCGATGCGCGCCGTGTTCAAGCAGGACCGGGTCCATATGTTCACCATGACCAAGATTCTCAATCAGAATTTGTACAACCCCGATGAATAATCATGGATTGCATCAATATCCATGGCCTGCTCTCGATGGGGTCTATATTTCTGCTTTAACGAATCTCGTCTCTTCTCGATTATCTATTTCTGCGATGCATGGGAATGCTGGCGTGACAACTCCAATTTTTGTCGCCTTTTCGAGGCTTTCTTTTGGCGCTTGTGCTTGTGCTGGACTATTTTAGTTCTTTTTGCTCTCCAGCGGGAGTTGGTGCAGCCCTCGAATGATTGTTGTCGTTCTCACAATTGCATCTTTGAATATTTCATGACCACAATAAGCCTGGGCATACATGCGCCGATCAGCTTGAACGTATAATTAATTTTCAGCAGAGCTAAGGTATAGGTTTCATATGGCCATGGAACTCATTCTTATGCGCAACAAATGGCGAGTCTACCTATATCTTTAATCTACCCTTTGCAAAACGTTTGGAGATCACATGAATACCTCAGGTAGGTGTATCTATATATTGTCAGAGAGAGTGAGTGTAGTGACACATTCGTTCAAGCCTCCTGCATAGACACCAATAATTGGTTGTAGCACCTGCCCATAGGTTCGGATCAATCAACAGTCAACATTTTTTTGGCGCATGGGATGGCCCCGAACATGGTAGCCGTGGCTGGGTTGCGAGGTAGGCGCGGCGGCCGCGGAGGTGATCAGTCAGCGAGATTTCACTTTTCCCCCATCCCCCACTAACCCTCAACGCTCAGGGAGCTCCGCAGCTCGCACCTTGTGGCCATTGACTCTTACCTGCAGCGCTGCTATTGAGTCCCACGGTCCCCACCATGGCTGACAACACCCCTGCCGCTCCAGCGTCATCAGGCCACGGTCGTGGTGGTCGCCGCCGCGGCCGCGGAGGGGCCCCTCCTTCCGGCCGTACAGATGGACAGCGCAATGCCGATGGGACAAGCAGAGGAGGCAAGTCTCGTGGACGTGGAAGCCGAGGCTCTGGTGGACGCGACAAGCCACGGAGCGAAGATGGACCCCATGATGACTCTGAATCGCAACCCGCGCCAAATGTTGTGACTGCGGGAACGAAACAGGTCGCCGCAGCTACTGATGATGCCGACGATGGGGAGATTTGCTTCATTTGTGCCTCGACCGTTGAACATACTTCTGTGTCGCCTTGCAACCACCGGACTTGTCATATTTGTGCGCTTCGCCTGCGCGCGCTATACAAGAACAAGGGGTGCGCCCATTGTCGGGTACGTCTGCCTCGCTGTCCCGGTCGTCCGCCGTTGATCTTGCAGATCATCCTAACCTGTTTTGATATATAGACCGAGTCTGCGTTTGTCGTCTTTACCGATGATCCTGCGCGACGATTCGAGGAATTTGAGACGAAAGATTTTGCTCGGACCGACGAAAACTTGGGAATCCGATATGAGAAGGATGAAATCTTCGAAGACACCGTCCTATTGCTTCGGTACAATTGTCCCGATGAAGACTGCGATGTGGCTTGTCTTGGATGGCCGGACTTGCACCGCCATGTGAAGAGCAAGCATGGAAAGGTAATGTGGTGAGTGTTAATTCCTCTTATCCGCACATAAGTGCTCCGGTGACGACTAAGCGACTAATCGGGGCCTTGTATTACAGTGATCTTTGTACACGGAACAAAAAGGTGTTCACTCATGAACATACCCTCTTCACCATGGCCGAACTGCGCAAACATGAGAAACACGGCGATGACAAGCCCGGTGCTATCGACCAAAGCGGTTTCAAGGGCCACCCGGAATGTGGCTTCTGTCGGCAACGATTCTACGGTGATGATGAGCTCTATACCCACTGTCGGGATAAGCACGAACGATGCCATATTTGCGATCGCCGTGCCTCCCATCGCCAGCAACAATACTACGTTGACTACAACGCGCTCGAGGGCCACTTCCAGAAAGACCATTTCCTTTGCCTCGACAAGGAGTGCTTAGAAAAGAAGTTCGTCGTATTCGAGTCGCAGATGGATCTTAAGGCACACCAGATTGAGGCGCACCCAGATGGTGTCTCCAAGGACGTTCGTCGAGATGCTCGGATTGTGGATCTCGCCGAATTCGATATTCGCAGCCCGTACCAGCCCCAGCGCCAACGCCGTGGTGCTGGTCGAGGCCGGGATCCTAATGCCGAGCCCCTTCCAGTCTCGAGCGCACAGCCTCTCGGACGAGCCGAGCAGGCTTTCCAACGGCAACAAGCCATCCAGAGCTCCCAGTCGGTCACCACACGCAGTTTCGGTGGACAGCTCAGCCGAAATGAAACCCAGACAGTACAAGCACCCGCTCGCTCAGCAGCAGCTACTCCCAATCCATCTTCTGCATCCCGATCTCGACCTCCACCAAATGCAGAGCTCGAGAATCTTAGTCTTGCGGCTACTTCAGAAACTCTGAGCCCGCAAGATCAAGCTCGTCGCATGCGCCACTCTGCCGTCGTTGAACGAGCATCCAATCTACTTCGTAACGATGCTACTAAGCTGGCAGAATTCCGTAACAGAGTGTCCAGCTACCGTACATCAACCATTGGAGCAACTGAGCTCATCGATGCTTTCTTTTCTCTGTTCGATACCTCCAGCTCAGAGCTAGGCAAGCTCATCAAAGAGCTTGCCGATATCTATGAGGACGAATACAAGCGCACCAGCCTTCTACAGGCTTGGAATGATTGGCGTGCAATCAACGAGGATTATCCTGCCCTTCCAGGACCTGGTGGTCTCCTGCCTGGCATGTCTCCCGGGACTGTTAGCACCGGCGGCAGCCGTGTTTTGCGACTGAAGTCATCCACCGCCCAATCGTCTCGATCCGCCGTTGGCAGAAGCGGCGCAATGTCCTCATCCTCCACAAATCCCTTCCCTCCTCTCTCCGCAGCTGTTGGTCCCTCGTCTCGCCGTAATAATGCTGCCTCTTCCACTCCCTGGGCTGCAGCCGCGCCTCCACCCTCCGTGGGTCGCCCGTCATACTCAACTCCACCCAGTCGCTCATCCCCGTCAATGCCTGCTAGCTCCGGGCGCCCCACCACTGGTGCGGACGCCTTCCCTGCTCTTCCTGCGGCTGCAAAGCCTAACATCATGATGGCCGGAAAGACCCGTGGTTACGTCCGCTGGAATGAGGGTAAGGGTCCAGCTGCTAATGCTTGGGGGTCGAACTCATCTTCTGGTCTTGCATCGCCGGCGGAGCCAGCTTATGATCTTGATGACGAGCCCAGCGATGGAAAGAAGGGCAAGAAGAAGAAGGGCAAGCAAACCCTCTTCCACTTTGGTTGATTGGTTGATTGGTTGATACCCCGACCGCCCTATCAGATACCTTGTGAGCGATTTTGCATAGACTACTGAATAAATGAAGCGGTTATTCCTCTGTATGATTTGTGCTACATCTGGTTCTGCCTTAACATATGTTGTGATAACTAATACCTATACTTGCCTAGCCTGGCGACCATGTTTCATCAATGAGATGAAACGCGGTGGATAAATGGAGCTTCCTAGTTGTTGCCCCCATTCCATCATCTCGAACAAAAGCTACATGAGTGTAAAAGGCCTCGTAGCAGATGCCGAGACATGCCATATCCGCGCCCAACATGTTCACAACAACACCACGCTCTCACATTCAGTGGATTCAGGTTCGGATATAGACTCGACCAAGATGGGATCAGGGGGCAATGACGTTTTGGTCGGGGTTCTCTCAGAGTCTTGGCTTGCGCGCGAGGTGAAAGGCTTAGAGCTCGCTTGAAAAGCGTTTCCACTCTTCGCCGAATAATCTACGATCTCAGAACTAGAGTCGCTGGTTGACTCTACCTCTCGATCGATGGCAGCCATGCGCAACGCAAAGTCATCTTGAAGATTAACCAGATGCTGGTGGAGGGATTCGCCGCTCATTGTGCCATCTGAAGCAAGGATCAGCTCTTCACGTAGGTTGAGAAGCAACTTTCGCTTACGGGCAATGGCCACGGCACGCGAGGTACTGTTTCGACGTTGGGCGAGGCTATCCATGAACTTTGATACGTCCTTGGCCACTTCAAGAACCGCTGGTGGGAGATCTGCCAGCTTTGCCAGCTCAAGGCCATATCGACGGTCCGGAACGGGCCCTTCGGCGATTTGATATAACATGGTCATCTTGTTCGCGTAAGGGTTGATATCGGCTGACAAATGGAGGTTGATGACCCCGCTTCGTGCGGACAGAATTTGCGTGAGATCATGAAAGTGTGTTGCAAACCAAACCAGCGCGTTAGTGGCAAGGAGTGCTTCAGCCAGTGCAATGGCGATTGCGAGACCATCGGTTGTGCTTGTACCGCGACCAAGCTCATCAACGAGAACCATACCGCGCGGCTCAACATGTCGCAAAATGAATGCCATCTCTCGCATCTCTGCTGCGAAAGTTGAGACATTGGCATCGAGATCGTCGCTGATGGCCACGCGGGCAAATAGTTGATGTACAATTGGGAAAGACGCATATTGTGCAGGTACAAAGGAGCCAATTTGCGCCATGACAGTCATCAGTGCAAGAGATCGGATGTATGTCGATTTTCCACTCATGTTGCATCCGGTGATGATCTGGAACCGGGTTTGCGGCGTGGCACACGAGTCGTTAGGTACGAACTTGCTAGAATGGATCCTTTCACGAATGGGATGACGTCCAGCTTTAATCACCAGAGAATTGGATATCTCGGGACGGATATAGTTGTGGCTCACTGCCAGTTGTGCAAATGCTGCCAGCATATCCAACATGGCGATTGCCTCGCTGATGCGAAAGAGTCCTGCAATTTCGGCGCAAACATCATGGAGTAGTTCTTGAACTGTCTGGTCGCTCATGCTGATCACTTCATTGTGTGCGTCAGTGATCTTCTGATTCAGCTTGACCAAATCTAAAGTCTGGCACTCGATTCGGTTCTTTTTGCGATAGACGTTAATGAAAATATTTGGCAACGACTCTGGATCTCCTGTTGGAATGCAGATGTAGTATTGGCGCGCCGTGTCGTACTTGAGATCCAGAGTCATATCATAAGTTTCTGGAACGATTCAGCCAAGAGGGGATAAATTAGCTCAGAGTCTTACCTCCTAAATCCGCAATCATATCCACTACATCAGCGTTAGCCTCCTTGAATGTTTGTCTCGCCACATCAAGGAGACTGCTGACGCCGGCCTCTAAGGCATTAGTATTGGCAGATCGAGGGAATAAGATCATCAAACACGATTACCTTGACGCAATAGATTCGTTGGTTTCGAAGATCAAGTGGCTTGCTTTGGTATGTAATGTTTTCATTCAGCGTTTTCTCAATACGCTCCTCTACAGAGCGATGTCCCGAAGGATGACAAATCTAATATACGTCAGTCTCAATTTTCCTCGCCCATTGGACTTTGATGATGAGATGAGTACTTCTCGAATAGTGGTAAGAAGTTCACTTTGCGATGGCCCAAGCGCCTGATACACTTTCTTGATTGCCGATACATATGTTTTGAGCATGATGACATGGTTGACTGACTGCTCAATATATTGAACTGTTCGCTTGGTAGGCACAAGAATGATCTTAAGAAGTCAGTGGGGCGCATAGTTAAGGGCTGGACCAGTGATAGGTACCGAAGTCAAGACCCTATCAGCATCTATGAAACCCTTCAAAGATTGACGAACAGACACGAATATGCTTTCTTTTGTGAATAACTCTTCCACAGCGTTGTATCTAGCGGTCAATTTGACTCTTTCAGTGGACGGCTGGAGGATGTTGGCCCGGAGCAACCTGGCTCCTGTGGGTGTCATGGTTTCATTGAGTACTCCATACAAGCTATCCTTGGACTTGGCATTGTGAAGATTTTGTATGAGTTCGAGGGACACTATCGAGGAGAGATCGATTGTCATGGAGCCTTGCGATGGTTCAAACCTGATGCGGAGGGAGTGGGCGGCAAACGAACACTGGAGTTCCAATTCGATGTACTCCAGGGCCTGCTTATTGATCAATATATTTTTCTGACAATCTCTCCTCGAAGCTAAGATCATACCGCTGAAAAACAACATGCCGCGAAATAGTTCCCGCCTAGCGTCACCTTGAGATAATCCACCTCATCTGGAAAGGCGAGCCGATCGAGATACTCATGAGCGGCTTTTTCGGACCAGCGCCTGCGGTCTTGGAAAGTCAGGATGGGGTCGGACAGGTTTTCCTCGATGATGTAGCGCAATTTGGACTCCTTGGCGGTGCTCATGAACAGGATCTCGTTGGGTTCGAAGATGCCGATCTTGGTCACTGTTTTGACATATGTCTGACTGTCACAGATCTGGCACAGGACCACCTCAGCTGTGGCCAGGTTCACGAATGCCAGCCCGATTGTAGATGAGACTCCCCGTGACTCACTGACGGCACAGACGATATCCTGAGAGGCCACACTGGTGGCAGTGGTTGTTGGCCTTGCTGTTGCCGCACCCCGGGTACTGACCTTAGTCGTCAGCGGGACGAAGGAGTTAAGCGTAGACTGCCGTGATCTTATAGACATTGTGGAGTTGGCTGGTGTGACATGGCATAAGAATGATAGGAGAAGTTGGTGTGGTCTATTTCTTCTCCTGCACCTGACCTGACACTTTATACTTGGCGGCACCTGTTCTCGTTTTTTGTCTCAGTTTTCTAATCCTCCGTCTCCATTTTGCCTTTTTCTCTGCCTTGCTCCCCCAATACAACTCTTAGAAGACATAACAGCAACAGGAAGATGGCATTAATTGTAGATTAATGGGGTCAGCTTCGATTTTGCCTCTCGTGAAATAACATACGCCCGTCCTTCACAATGCCCCGGTATCCGCTGCAATCGGATCGTGACGCCGTGTGTCTTTGTGTTCTTGACTGCTCGTACGATGGCATGGATGATTTGTTGTCCAGATTTGGCTCCCTGGTTCGGAATGGCTTGTAATGCTAACATGCTGTCGCTGAGAATGGTGGCATACCTCGCCCGCCCGCCGGCTGGTCTCGGACTGCGGAGGGCGGCCTTGTTGATGAAGTTGATGGCATACAGAACTCCTAGTAGCTCGGCAGCATGTACCAACCACTGGTCCATTGGTCCGGCCTGAATCGGTAGGGACTCGGTGACCTATAATACTTTCGGTACAAACAGTGAGGTAACAATGCAGGTATATTATAGTCTTTGATGGCCATTATGAAGCCAGGGTAATACCCCTGTATAAGGTACAAAGGGTGGAAAAGAGTGTTATTATTAGAATGATTATTCCATTGTTCAATATCCGTAAGAAAATGCTCCGATGCTAGGTAGCTTTAGATGGTGTAGTGCGTGGGGAGAATATCGCACGTAAATAGCTTGCAAGACGATCATAAACCTGCTTTTGTTTCCTACCTTCTACAGCCGAGCTTGGAGGATCAACAAAGGTGGGTCTGGTCGGTGTGGAGCATTCACGGTGAGCTTGTTCATACCAATCTGGTGGGTATTCCGGCATTGGATGAGCGGGCACGGGAATAAGATCTGTCGAAAGTCCCGATAATCTTTGACATAATCTTGACGATTTGTTCTGGCTGCAAGCAGATGAGTTTTAATGAATGAATAGCCAGAGTCAGCTGCACTTACAAGGGATACTTTTGGATATTTCTCCAAGCACACAGGATAGGCTCTTTTTGCGCCATCTCTTGACCCGACAGAGGGTCCATCGATTTCAAAAGAAGGGAGTTGAAGCTGCCGTCTTTTCCATCAATAATCCACTGTACGCAGAACTCAAATAGCCTTGGGTAGAAGCCGGCAGAAGCCCAATCAATAAGACAGAGAGACCCATCTTCTTGCCACAGGATATTCCGAGGTGCTATATCCAAATGACAAAGCACGAGCTCACAGCCCCGTAAAGTCAATTTCGGATTGTGTGCGAAAAGTCGGCTATTAAACCACTTCTCCATCCCGTCAAGGCTGTCGAAAACCAGATCCTCAGTTTCAGGGAAAAGAAGGCCACGACAAGCACTTCCATAAAGTGACCCAGGGACGTCATACCGCAACGTTGCGAAATAATTAAGCACACTCGCAACTCTCTGTATGGCGCTAACATCCTCCAATGGATCTATAACCTTCCCATCTATAAACTCCATCACAATATACCCCCAACCCCGCTCATCACAAAAGAAATCACATACGCGTGGGATACGAACTATGCGGCTATCCACAAGTTCATACGCTAGCCTCTGATTTTCGAATTCTACCCTTGTCACATCTGGGCCCCATTTAACGACTTGATGATCGGAGATTCTGATAATTCGTTTCCCGTATTGGCTAACAATATTGCTAGGCAACGGATCTGCACAAGAAGCGATTACCGAGGCTCGTTGGAAGTCCTCGAGAGGCGTCATGCTTCTGCAATGGGGCTGCAAAAAAGAAATGTTTGGTCCTTTGTAGACTCTGGATATTGAGCCCAAGTTATGAAAGAGCAAGGCAAAATGGGAAACATTCAGGTCTGCGGCTTCAAGCCAGTCAGAGGTATGACAAGAGAAGGTCAAGCTCGTTGGGCTGGAGAGATAACTCTCAATGCGGAGCGGTGTGCTTGATGCCAAGGGGCAGAACACGGGAATGTGTTGGGCCACTTTTGATGACATAATGAACATACGGACTTTGATTGGGAGCTAGGTCAGTTAGAATAAATTAACCAGTCACCAATTAATGGCCAGTTCTCGAGCCAATTCCGGGTTCATAGGGTCCCTTGTCACAGTTTCCAGGAACCATGCCGTCTACACGTTCATTACTGTCCAATCAATAAAGATAACTTTTCCCTTGCAGCATAGCCGCTCAATTCGTTGGCGGTTGCAGGGATTGCGAGATTTACGCTAGTGACTACGGGCTCAACCCGTTGTTCTCAGAGTTGATGCGTCATTTTCTAATGCCTGCCGTCGCTCAGTTTCCCAGCGCTTGCGATTATATAAATGACCGCCGAAGACATGGGCCAACCACTGAGTTGGAGATTTTCTTTGACAGATAAAATTACCATATTCAATACATATTTTGCCACAATGCCGTCGCCTCCGTTGTCTCCGCGAGTGGTACAGGCGGACAGCACGCCAGTCACGCACGTCCGAGTGGTGGTACACACACTTGGTGCAGCTGGCCCTAACACCAGTGATAATCATTGGTCAATTTACTTGCTTCATCCTGATGGCGTGTCATCAACTCGCATCAACATGAGGGCCGAGTTTGATGATCCGACGGGGATCCTTGAATGGACTAAACATGGCTACATCCAAACTACATCCGCCATCAGGTATTGGGACTTCCCAGTTGCAGCGGGTGTCACTGTATTATTCTTCGCACGCGTCATTTATCAACTTCGCCGTGATAGATATCAGAAGTCCGGAGGAGGCTCAGGCTGCCGGTGGTGGATGTAAGTTTAAGAAACCCTTCGAGAGTAGTTCCAATCTCATTTCTTCAAACAGCTATAACATCATATCTGACATAGCTCAGAAAACTATATCCATCATGCTGCTCCCAGTGAGGTTTGGCCCAATTTATTATATCTCTATCACATGCACAAGGAGCGAAAGGCATTGCACATGGTTCAGGGGGAATTCCGTTAGCGAATTTTATAAATTTAGCAGTGCCATACGTCAGGCAGTGATTGATGGTTATTGTGAAATTGTGGCACCTGAACAGGTGCTAGACCGAGTCGTGACAAGCTGGTTCGTCTCAATGATGTCTGCTTATCGCATCCATTCTCATCCACATACACAACTTCACACGATTTGTAGGAGTCATACGCTCTCAATTAGTCTGCTATTTGGCCTGTGGTCAAACTGCTTTTTCAAACTAACCTGCGAAAGCCCTCCATATACTGGACGTTGTTGCGAACATTTGAATTCCTACTCATAAAAATATAACCGTCCTATTCAAATGTGATCAGTGACTTAGTCGGTCCTGTATCACCTCAGACCAAGCAATACAAACAGCCCTACCATGTCTCGGAGGTACCGATTCCCTGCAAGAAAGCGGTAGATCTCTCTCATACGGATCTAATGGTTCTCGATAGCGAACTCACCTCCCCACTGCCCTTTATCGGATGCCATGGGCCAGCTGGAATTTTGAAGTATTGACGCAAAATTGAGTGGATCGCCGTCATATTGAACATGTTATGCATTTAGATTTTTGCCGTAAAGATAGCTCGGCCATGGTTAACCAAGCCCGTCAAAACCATTGGATTATTACTGCTAAAATTCGAGGGGATTCAAGGAGCTCAAATCACCAGTCCAATAGAGCGGGTTTAAATACATGATTCCTTGATTGAACCATCAAAAGAAAATATAACCAAAGAAAATAAATCTTAGTTTTCTTCCGAAAACTATAGTATTGATCGCTCGCAATCGCTTGTCGGTGACGTTGTAAATCTCCGCCCGATAAGATAAGCCCTCGCATCAAAATTTCTTCCTTCGTCAACTCCTCAAACCCAAAATGGCGACCCTCCTCCCCCCGCCCAGCAAGCGCCAAAAGCTCGCTCAAGCTGAGAAGGCCAGAGAGCAGCAGGAAATTCAGAGCATTCCTAGCGATCTTGGCAGCGTCCGAGTCCAATTCTACGACCAGGCCACCGGCAATGCCACCGGTCCTGCAGTGTCGGTCCCTGTGGCCGATGCGAATGTTAAGAACCTCGAGACATTACTGAATACTCTGCAAGGGAACGTATGTAGAGTGAAAGGACCATATTTTAACGGATTGAACTAATGTGTCAAACCTCGCTTTTTGCAGGATGATGATGATCGAGTGCCATATCGCTTCACTTACCAGTCCGACAAGAAGGAAGGGCAGACTATCGATATTCTCGCCGACCTATACCACTCACTTCTCCAACCTGGGATCAAGACCACCGAAGACACAGTCTCGTTGTTCTTCACGCCGCAAGCTGTATTCCGAGTCAAAGCAGTTTCCCGCTGTGCGGCCTCCATTGCGGGGCACGGCGAAGCCATCCTGGCAACCTCCTTCTCCCCCGTCAACTCGTCGACCATGGTCTCCGGAAGCGGAGATTCCACCGCTCGAGTTTGGGACTGTGACACGGGAACCCCGCTTCATACTCTGAAGGGACACACTAGCTGGGTGTTGGCTGTGGCATACTCGCCGAACGGCGCAATGATCGCGACTGGCAGCATGGACAACTCCGTGCGAGTGTGGGATGCGAAGAAGGGCCAGGCGCTGGGTGGACCGCTCAAGGGCCACTCCAAATGGATTACCAGTCTCGCCTGGGAGCCGTACCACATGCAGGAGTCTGGACGCCCTCGTCTGGCGTCCGCGTCTAAAGACGCGACCGTGAGAATCTGGGATGTCGTGTCGAAGCACACTGATTATGTCCTCACGGGGCACAAGGGGTCCATTACTTGCGTTCGGTGGGGTGGCACTGGGCAAATCTATACTGCGTCGCACGATAAGACGATCAAGATCTGGAACCCCAAGGACGGTACCCTGATCCAGACTTTGTCGGCTCATGCTCACCGCGTGAACCACCTTGCCCTATCCACCGATTTTGTCCTGCGCACTGCCTACCATGATCACACAGGCAAGGTGCCGGAGTCGGAGGCTGAGAAGGTGGCTGCTGCACGGAAGCGGTTCGAAGAAGCGGCGACGGTAAACAAGAAGATTGTTGAGCGACTTGTATCGGCTAGTGACGATTTCACCATGTACCTGTGGGATCCATCGAGCTCGAATAAGCCCGTCGCCCGGCTACTGGGCCACCAGAAGGAGGTCAACCATGTTACCTTCTCTCCGGACATGGCCTATATTGCCTCTGCTGGGTTCGACAACCACGTCAAGCTGTGGAACGGACGTGACGGAAAGTAAGTACATCCTTTTTCTCGCCATATCGATTCTCTCTTGCTCATACCTCTCTTACTAGGTTCATCACTACTTTCCGCGGTCATGTCGGTGCTGTGTACCAATGCTGCTTCTCTGCCGATTCTCGGATGCTGGTATCTTCCTCCAAGGATACCACCCTGAAGGTTTGGGATGTCCGAACCGGCAAGCTGGCCACGGACCTTCCCGGGCACCAGGACGAGGTCTTCGCAGTGGACTGGAGTCCCGATGGGCAGAAGGTCGGCAGTGGAGGCAAGGACAAGGCGATTCGGATCTGGCGGAACTAGCGGTTAGAAACTAGAGTCCTATATAGAATGATACCCATTGCCTGTTCCTGCATGAACGCATTCTTTCTTCTTCATACAAGAATTCGTGGCGATCTCAATGGAAAGTTTGGACATGTTGATCAATTATTAGATTTTATTCTTGCTCTTAAATGCTATACCCTCTCGCTTGAGGAATAACTAATGTACAGGACAATGCTCAAGCTAAATGCAAATCATGTCGTGTCAAACATCAAATAGCCAACGATACAAATATATCATTTCTTAGGCGTATTGCCAGGCAGGAACCTCGCCCTTGTAAGGCAGCGCCATGGCGGAGAAGCCGAGGCAGTCGCTAACATTGCCAGAGGGAACGGTCGCGTTCTTCATGGCGGCGAACACCTGCCAGCGGTTGTCGCTGGTCGGGCACGCCATGAAACCACTGGCACCCCAGCCATTGAAGGTGTAGTGCGACCAGGGCTGACCTGGCTGGTACGTCAGACCACCGACGGCAGAGCCGGGAGGGATGTTGGCGGAGTGGGCCTGTGTGAAGCTCAGAGCGCCGGAGGGGGCAACGTAGACCTGCTGGCCACCGGGAACCTCGACATCCTGTCGAAATCGTTAGTATCGATGCCATTTGATGGGTGTTGGTGCAGATGGACGAGCCATGCAGTGTCACGTACCAGGGCGTTGCCACCCGGAGCCAGGACGGTCTGGTTGCCAGGGGGGCAGTCCTGCACCACCTCGGTTGGGCAGTAGGATGAGGTCTTGCCGCCCAGCCAAAACTTCTGGCCCGCGGCATTCATCTGCATATAGTGAATAGGTGAGGCGGAACGGATAGCCATGACGCTAAAGGGCGGGTTGGCGTCGGTGGCTTGCGGGGCCGGAGCCGCCGCGGCCAAAAGAGGGAGGGCGAGAGTTGCAAAGAAGGCCTTCATCTTGAGGAGTAAATTAGACGGAGGAGAAGGAGTTTGTGGTGGGATTCTTGATCGAGAGAGGATTGACGAGTTAAGAGAATGTTGAGGATGCTGAAAAAAAGCCCCGAGGAATGCAAGGCCCTCTTTATAGCCAGGGGGACAGGGTCGATCATGGCTGATCACCAGCCTTCGGCAACCCCGCGAGCAGAGAAACGGGCTCCGCAGTTTTGTCTCCCAGGGAACCCACCAGGGACCTGCCACAGAACCAGAGAACAAACACGATGACGGAGGCATTCAGCGGCGGACAGATCCGCCCAGCGGAGACGCCGAATAGTGACACGATTGGGCGTGTTTGAGACATGACTGCTGTTCGACTCTCCGCAGTGATGCTATGATGCAACACGCGACGGGCACGTTGGCCGAACGGTTAAAACTCGCCGGCAACGCGAGGGGCAGTGCTGCCAAGTGAGACACCGCAAAACCACGCAGAGACCCAAGCTAGCAGCAACTAGCAGAGCAGGAAAGTTGGGCGGGTCCGTGGTTTGCCAGTACGAAGGCTAAAACGACTCAGAGAGCCGTGCTGCTGATCTGCACTTCCGTGTCTCACCCAGGCTATTCTTGGGAGTGCCCTGCGAAGAGGGTGGAGTGCACGTGGGCTAGTGGAAGAGTGGAAGAGCTTCATCAGGCAAATCTTCGACATTTCGAGAACTAGCTACCATAGCAGGAATGATGATCTGCTGCTATGCGATCCATCCTAGCGCCGAGTCTCGGATGATGCCCGGTCCCGGATGCAACTCTGTCTCCACGTCTACAACTCAACCGCTGTTCCTGTCTTGGATCTATCGGGCTTCACGGCAAACCCTGCCGCACGTTGCTCCGCTCGTTCAACCCCCAGGCCGAGGCACTACCGTCATGCACCGTGGCCCGCCGCATATCCCGTCGATATTTTCCCTCGAAGCTTCCTCCGACCGCCCGGTGCATGACGCTGGTGTTGTCCCACAGGATTAAGTCACCGGGTTGCTCCCACCCCATGCGCAGCACATAGCGAGACTGCGTCGCATGTTGGAACAGTCGATCAAACAGTGCCTTGGACCCGTCCGGGTCCAATCCTTCGACGTGGTGGATGTGGGCTGCGAGATACAGAGTCTCTCGTCCAGATGCCTCGTGCCGCTGCAACAGTCGGTGTCGGCTCATCGGATAATCTTCGGGGTTCACATCGGTAAACGTTGCGGGGGCAGCGACCTTGCGTGAATGCCAGAGCGAGTGAGCGGCGATATAGTTTTGCTGCCGTAGCTCGTCCTGGATCTCAGCCGGCAGCTCATCAAACGCGGTTCGAACATCGGCGAATTCGGTATCCCCACCCATCCCAGGGGGTGGCAGCTCATGCGCCCGGAGCAACGAGTAGCCTGCTCGCCGGGGGTTGAAGCTCGAGTCCACGTGGAAGAGGCCGTTGCCCTGTTTTAATCAATGGGATGCACGCTGGCGCTCCGACATGATAGAGGCTTACCTTGTTCCACTCACGTCGCACATTGTCCAACGCAAACACCGTACCGTCCAGCTCGATATTCCCCACATCAAAGAGGCGGACATCGGACAGTCGATGCGCTCGGCCGCCGGCTATGTAGGGTGTCACATCGTCCAGCTCACCGAACTGTCCTGCAAAGGCCACATGACGTGCATCGTCGAGTCCCGTATTCCGAAACACGCATACGCCATACTGGTTCCTCTCATGCAGGATGAGACTGTGGTTTCTGCTAGTTATTCTGGGCGCAGACCCACCTTCGAGATTGCAGTCAGAACCTCCTGAAAAACATCTCCCTCCACCGGACGCGAAAAGTCGATGCCGCTGATCTCGGCTCCGAAGGTTGGATGCAACTCCCGGATGGCGAGATGGCTGAACGCGGAAAGTGTTGAGAGACCGGGCATGATGCCAAAACTGATCAGGTAAGTGGTTCTTGACGTGGGATGTCTTACTTGCCAAAGCTTTCATGCCCCTCTTGTGCCCGTGCTCCCCCTTTATACAACCGAGCCCCCAGGGAGGTCCTCGGCATGAAGAGCGATGGGTATGCTGATATCAGTGCGGGGAAGACCCGGACTTCTGTCCCGATGATAAAATCAGACTGATGCTCAAGATTACACTACGCCTACAGACACAACTGATCACAGGCTCCTAATCATATTTTGATTCTTATCGTTCCATCCTAATGCTTCATTTGCAGTACCTTCCAGTGCCAGTATAAGGCTGTCGTGCTTAGGCTCCCTTTCCCCACCCAAGCGATCACGGAGGGTTATTGGACAACAGAGGATAAGATTATTGGTTACGGACCCCAATAAGCCCAGAAATATGCATTACACATAAATCTGCCAGCGGAATGATCACGATGAATTGACAAGGTACCCTACAGGTATTCCTACCGGCCAAAAACAGCCATGGCCGCCGACCTGGCGAGATGACAGCGCCTGGTCGACTCTTCTCACGATAGCAAGACCAAGTGAAAGGCTTGCGCTTTGAGAGATCGTATGGGCGAAACTCATTCAACCTCCTGGTCATAGCATTGTGCAAGAAAGCGCCGACTACTGGAACGACCGGCCTCCCTCAATAATGCAGGCAATCTCCCCCGACCCATCTCCACAAGTCCGTCGAGGATTCATCCCCACTACGCTATCATGTTCGACCTTTTTATCGTTTCGAGAGGGTCAAATGCTAGGGATCACTTCCGCATATTTAGGGTGCTTGATCGGATCAGCTATATCGATCCCATACATCCAGAATAGCACGGGTGGGTGCGTCGTCGGCCACCTTGACCCCATCAGGTACTATGCACACTCAAGAACAGGCAACCTTCTGGTCCCCAACATGTTCCGTCGGGAATGTCCGTATCTCCACCGGGGTCGACCTGAGACAGTCCGCTGTGAACAGATGGCCACTGCCATCCTGGATACCCCGTTTAACCTGGCGGCGGTGTTGGGGGCCGGTGGAAGCGAAGTTCTCTGGTTAAAGGCTGGAAAGGAGGATTGGTTATCAAGAGCACTGTTTTTTCGGCCGGCTAATGTGGTATAGATGTACGTAGACGCGTAGGTTGCCATGTCGACGGTGATCGGGGAGAAGAAGAAGGAAGGGGCAGTTGCCGGCGTAAGCAGCACATCTGCTGAGAGCAAAGGTATGGAATCCATTTCGAACACCCTAAAAGGCTTTTGTACCCTCTATTCAAAGTCTGAAATCGGTGTCTGACAGTATACTCCGATGCTCATGAAGCCCTATACCCCTTCGAGTAACATCAGATTCCCGTCAGCGATGATATATCAACCCCCGTAGGGAGTATATAACGCGCTGCCACATTGCGGGGAGGAGACTACAAGACAGTGATATGCCATTTCCTAATTTCCATATTCGGCAGGGCCGGAATGAATATTGTTCCTTATCATTGGTCATCCCATTTATTGGGCTCTCAGCCTGCATAGAATTCCAGGATGGCGGCCCCAATTTAAGGTTATCTGCGCCACGCCCGCGGGTCCACCTGTGCAACCGGGGCGTCCCCATAAAGGAGGAAAGTCCCCGGTGTGACATAGATTTAATCGTTCAGCCCGAAATGACAGGACATTGAAATCACCGAATAAGATATATATACGAGCGGCCAATCCGCTGCCGAGGTATGAACACGGCCAATGGCCAACACAGCGGAGAGAAAACAAAAAAGCCAGACACCCCCAGCACCAACCTGTGTAGCAATATGGAAATATAAAAAAAAGAAGGCCGCCGAAAACACCGGTAGAAGTCAACACGCCTTCCTTTTTTTAGCCTCGCGTCTTGATCCGCCAACCCAAGCAAGAGAAAACACCAGCCAACACCCATGTCCCATTCAATAATCGTCTCTATGCGGGAGAGACGTGCGTCAACTCCGCGTCGGGTGAACTCGTTTCGTGCTGGAGCAAGATGAGCGCCAAAACAGCCCATCCCGAAAGTTTCAACATTTCTTTGTCGTGCATTCTAATAGTCACCATCGTCATCATCGTCACCATCACCGCCACGCCCGCGAGGGCCTTGACACCATCCTTTCGGATGGGAATCTTGATACCCTGCAGTGCAAAGCACTTGCTCAGCTGGGTGCTCTCAATGACACCGGGGAACTTCTTGGCGGAGAAGACTTGGAAAGGCTCGCTGAAGACCGAGGCCAAGACGGGGGCAGAGCCATGGTTGATCACGGGGGCGCCGTTGCTGGTTTCGGTGGACTGCGTGCCCACGTTCACGAAGCTCATTTTAAGGCTGTGGCTAATTAGCAACCAGTTGGTCGGTACACGTTCCCCTTGGAAATGACATACCGGAAGGTACCTTCAGTGCGCACACTCAAGTCTTGCAGAATAAACCACACTCCGATCTTGTTGTCCGGGTCCGTCAGGCGGAAAGCACTAGCGCTGAGGCTTCCAATCAGGTTTCGAGTGAACATGCCTCCCGGGCCCCCTGAGACGGGTGGTGCAGGCGACATAGCCGCAGGCATCTGGCCCCCAGGGGGAAAGCCATATCCTGGATAACCGACGGCCTGGCCGTATGGATTTTGGTACATCTGTTGGGTGCCGTAATAGTTGTTCATGGGCGGATAGCCGACGGGTGCCCCGTACGGACTTTGGCCATAGGCGGGATAGGTAGGCGACATGCTCTGGGGGAGGGGGCGGGTATGAGGAGGACATGGCAGTCGAAATAGAGGGAGAGGTGGCGGAGTGCTTGACGAGGTTGACTTCGTTTGTGCCATCGGCGTTCCAGAGGTCAACGGTGAGCACATAGAAGGATGTGTCGATTTCACTAAGATAGACGAGCAGGGTCAGAACAGAAGCAAATGAAAGTGGATGACAGTGGCAAGGCAAGGGGGAGTGGCAGACATACTTAATATCAATCTCTTTTTCGGTATGTTCGTCTCGCACAATCAGGCGAATACATGGCGGTGGCGTGATCGGTCTTCGATCCTAGCGAGCGATTCGAGTTAGCCAGGGAAACCATCCACGTCACCCTCGAACGGGGGGAAAAAGGACACCCACCTTATCGCCAAAACCACACATGCGAGCCCGAATAGGCTGTTGAACCACCTGTAAGGACCAGATCCGGCCCTCATGGCTGGTGGAGATAGGCGCGAGATGGTCAGAGGACCGCAGCGGACCTGACCCCGGCGTGGGATACGCAGCGGACGGGGCAGGGATGCGGTCCATTGAGAGGGGCGGCGGTGGTGGCGGCACCGGGTGAGCCCTTTCCTGTTCAATAGCGTACATGGTTCGTGATGGGAAGGAACCGAGGACGGCGTTCACAATAGAAACGACGGGTCCTTCCTTCTGTATTTATAGATTTGCTTCGATCGTGGACCCTCAAGAATGCTCAGGAGCGGGGGGTCCAAGGTGACATGCGGCCCCGCGAAATCCAGACGTCACAGTTGAAGCATTGACTTCCGGCGGGAGCTGAAGCGGTCGCGAGCGGTCTTACCGCGCACAAAAAGACCGGGGCTTGCTGATCGGGCGCGAGATACTCGTCGAGGTCGGGAGGGGTTTACGTGCGATTCAGCCGTCTCAGGCTCGTATTCTTGATGTTGGTGGAGATGCGATCGCGATGTGGCCGGGGAAGTGAAAATTTGACGAGGTTTGCCCGGCAGTTGGCGCAGAAAATGGGTTCTCACCGGAACCAGCGAAACGAGTGCGGGAGTGGCGAGAGCACCGAGAACCGCGCTGTCGGAAGGTCGAGGGGAGGTTCGGGGCAACTCAGGGCTGAGAGCTGACTATCTCAGATATCACTGCAAAGCTGTTCGTTAGACAAAGGCATTCGACTCGATCGCATCCCGCGGCCGTGGGTGAGCCAGAAGACGCAGCTGTCAGGGTGCGGGAGATTTGCTGGGCTTCCACGGATCGCAGGCCCGAAGTCTGCACTGGTCCACCCCCAAGATTTTTCGGCAGACTTACCACACGGAACTCAACCCGATGGACTTTGTCGGGAAGGACAGGCGGCGAACGCGAGAGAAAGAGATAAGGAGATAATGTGAAGAAGTCGAGGGAGTCGAGGGAGTCGAGGGAGTTGAAGAGGGGGGTGGTGGTGGTGGTGGTGTGGAGGGAGGAAGGTGGAGGAAGCGAAGAGGGGAGAGGGAGTGACGTTCTCGAAAATCGGCGGTTGCATGGCCCATCCGCTCTCGCCCTCTTCGCATTTCACTCCCAACTGGAGACTGCCAAACGATCCGCGCAGCCGGCGCAGGAACCTGGACCCAGTCCGTCGGGTTCCCTGAAGTCTGCCCACGACGAATGAGGTGAACGCATTTGCGCGCGATACCCTGAACCTACCGATGTAACCGCGACTCTCTGGCCGAGTCTGCGCTCTCCAACGCTTCCCTGCACTGTTCCCTGCGTCTCTCTGTGCCCGAATGAGAAGCCTAGCCTCGACGCTTCTGGGCCTGGCCGTTTGCGGAAATCCTCCACGGCCGGCGCGGGTCCTCATTCCCGTCTGCGGCACTGGACCGATCGCGGCTCACTTCTCCGACTCACGACTTACCATTCACAATTCGATCCAAACCGGCCGGGGTGGAAGTGTGCCAATCATCAGCCATCGGTGATCAGTCATCACAGCCGGTGCCATTCACGGTTGCCCGGCGAAGTCTCGGGCCGTGCACCGCCGAAGTTGGTCATGGCGGTGTAGCCCGAGATCTATACGGCAGAGAGATGCCAAGGGTCAAGATCAAAAGCCAACGATCGAAGATGAAGGGTGAAGGGCCTTGCAGGGACAGCCAAGCACTACTTGGCATGCAGTGGATCCTTTCTCCGGCTCCCTGTTCCTTTTTTCCATTCCAGTTCTCTGGACGCAGGGTCGCGGCCCCCTGCCGCGGTACCAGAGGCTGACAACCCAGGTTTATGGCGCCGAGCCTCCTGGACCATGAATACACGAACCTGCCAGGTGCTCGAGTGGTACGGCCCGAGATCATGGCTGGTAACAGGGAGAGATCGTACGATCGGGATTCAACATTCCTTCCCGGCTCGGGATACACAAATTGTGTCGGTATCGGGCGATTTTTGCCGTAGTATATACACCGGACGATCGCCTGTCTATGTAATCCCCGCCCACCCCACTCACATTATACGAGGGTTTCACAACGTCAAACCGTGCCAAAGGAGATGTAGATCGGGCGCTTAGACGTGCAAGATTGTGATGCAGCCCGGATGGTCATGATCATGAGCTCCATCACAAGATGACAATCTCGCCACAACCCATATTTGAACCCTAGACTGCACCCATCGGGTTTCGGACCGAGGTTCCGCAGGTAAACAGCGTCTTCTCTCAGGTTACAAGCAACTCGTCCGACCTGTCGTGATATAGCATCCAGAAGACGAACTTCACGGACATTTATCTCCCATATAGGGGATGCACCACCTCTTGGATGGTCACCTGGCCCGCGGCACCTAGAGCAAGCGGCTTTGACTCTGTTAAATGCCTGCATTTGTATGTGACACGCGATCACTAAGAAATCGACCAGTCCAAGGTGGAGGCGTCGGTCAACTGGCTGAAGTAATGGGGTTCTTTCAAAACTCGGATGCACTTTTATCCCTGAGCTTGACTTCCCTCTCCAGTTCTCAGAACAAATGACGGTTCGCCAGCTTCGAGACGCCTGAAACACTATTTTGGGGGGGGTTTTCTTTTGATTTTTCAATGTTCGTTGAATTTTCCGTTAATACTATCTCATCTAGATCGAAACAGGGTGGGATTGAACCTCCCCACCGAGTCTGCAGACCGTCGATGCAGGGGAGCTGCATCCAGGCCCGGCCCCTTGCAGCGGCGTCTCCTGGACATCCATGTGCAAAGAGCCCAGCCCTCATGGGAACTCCCGAGCGGACGGACGCCGCCAACACGCTGAGTGGCGAACGAGGGTGCAGTCGTCGTCAGCAGTCGTCCGCCGATCTACATGCCCCTGACCATCATGGTGATCATGCAGAGCTTGGATATGCGGGATGAGAGGACGTGCAGCACGCGATATGTGGAGACCCAGAGTCGAGGATGTGCAAGGACAGGCGTGAGGCGTGAAAATGAAGCCAAGTTCACTAGACAGATCGGCTCCCCCTCCCCCTTTCCCACGTCCACAGCCGGGCCACAGTTGCGAGTCGGCCGACAGTCAAGGCAGGGGCATGATGTGAGGAGCGGCTCGATCATCTGGACTCAGCGCCTTCCTCCACCCTGGAAACCCTGCTGTCGGACAGCTGGCTCCCTAGCGAGCCGTCTGCGTCCAGTCCAAGCGGTCACCAGTGCGTCCCGGTCGATACACTAGTGGTCGGGTCATAAGCCACCACATGCATAGCCGGCCGAGATCCATGATGAAGCTCGGCGAGGAGCAAACCACGCCTGGGTAGTGCCCTGATGACCTCAGTTCCGGCAACTGTGTCGTGCACTGGCCGCCATTCTTCGGGAAATTGCCGAGCTTAGGGGGTCTGATTGGCCCGGCGTGGAGCGCGGATGCTTGATCTAACCCCGCGCAAAGCCCAGCAGCGGTCCAGAGGTGCAACCTTGATAACTAAGCCCCTAGACTCCAAAAGCAAGAGAAAGAAAACGTGAAGGGTGGGGGAAATGGGCCGGGGAATGAAGTGGAACGCGGTGGGGAGTCTCCAGTGCATTATCACCGTGTCCTGTCTCCGCGGTGGACAGGAATATCCCAGTGTACGGTGGGCGTGAGGTTGGGGAGGATTTCCCGTCGAGTCGACGGCTTCCTGTCTAGTTTTATGTAGATAAACAATTGGCAACCCAGACATGCCAGGCCATATGCATGGCAAGCTGTAGCCCCGCCGTCACGCTGATTTCCCGCCTCGAAGAGAAGCGTCCAACTACTGCAGAGTGATCGTCGAATTCGGTGTCGAGGAATCAAACTCCCGCCATGTGCATCCTCATGACACCATCCGCCGGGGCCGTTGCGAGCCAACGACTCCGCTCGGCTCTCGCCTGTCGACTGTGGCCGTGGAATGGGCTAAGCCTCTGATTCGGTTCGGGTTGGATTTGGAGAGGTCAGGGCTCGCCGCGACTCTACGAAATGGCGTGCTGAAGCTTGCTAGCACGCCGAGTGACGCAGATGGAGTACACTTCCCAGACGGCAAAATATATGCCGGCGCACATCAACTGACATCCTGCCACCACCTCCTCCTTAACCCCCCCCCCCCACCCACCTTCTCAACTCAACGGGGATGGGCCGCTGATGTGCATTAGGGCCTATCTCGCGCAAGGCGCACCACGCATGTTGTGATCGGAAGCTTCTGGTTCTCAAGTGCAACCATGCGAGATGCGCATCTTGGCTGTCGCGTGGGGAAGGAGATCTGAACGAGGAAAGGTATTTGAAGCCATGAGATGCCCACCATTTCCGGGGATGGGATTCTTGTTTGGACGGCTCGGCGTGCGAGCTTCTGTATATAGTCCTAATATCCCTTGATTCGCGTCGGCTGTCCGCTATCCCCCTTCTGATCTGCATACCCGGGCCTGCTTAGAACCTGAGCCACTGGTCTGGGAGATTGACCCGTTTGCATCATGTTGTGGTCTCGCGCCTGGAAAGCCCTCGCGCTGGTGGCGGGTTTGGCGCCAACGAGTGATGCTATCACATACTCGCCTCTGAAGCCTCCATCGTACCCGCTGGCCGTGCGGAGCCCATACTTGTCGGGTGAGTGTGGATCGCCAAAAGATTGGCACACGGAACCGTGAAGGGAATCGCTGACCGAGATGATTGACAGCGTGGATCCCCGGCAATGAAGTCGCGTCGATTTCCAACAACAACGCGCAATTCTGGGCCGGCAACAAGCTGATCTGGTCGGTCATCGCGCGGGTGGATGGCGTCGCGTACAACTTGTTTGGCGTGGCCGTCCCTCCCAGTGGCACCCAGTCGGCCACCGTGACTGCGGCGACCTACACCTCGACCCATTCCACCTTCACCTTGACCGCGGGATCGCGTGAATTCACCCTGGACTTCTTCTCGCCGGTGTCGCCGAAGAACTATCTGCGGCAGTCCTTACCCTTTTCCTACCTGACGGTGACCCTCGCCGCGGGTGACGCGAGCTCGGTACAGATCTACTCGGACATCGATGCGAGCTGGACCGGCCAGACGAGTGACTCCAGCTGGAGCTACTCCACCAGCGGATCAACAGGCGTTTTTCAGATCGAGGCGGTGGGGACGGCCACCTACTCGCAGAACAGCGACGGCCAAGCTCTGTGGGGCAGCGCCGTCTACGCCACTCGCCCCGCCAACTCCAGCTCGCTCTCCACTGCCTCCGGGCCGTCCCTAGCCGTGCGCAAGACATTCGTCAACAGCGGCAAGCTCACGGGTAACCACGCCGACTGGATCTCCACGGGCGTTGTGGGCTTTGCGCACGATTTGGGAGCCACCGCCGCCGAGTCCACCGTGACCTTTGCGATCGGTCACGTGCGGGAGCAGTCCATCAACTTCTTTGACCAGGCACAAACCGGCTACTACCGCGCAACATACTCCGACACCGTCGACGCGGTCGTGCACTTCTTGGACGATTACGACGACGCCAATGCTGAGTCGACTCAGTTCGATGACCTAATTCAGGACACGGGCACCTCCAGCCATGGTTCCAACTACTCGGACATTCTCGCACTGTCGGTGCGCCAGGTCTACGGCGGCATTGAGGTGACCATTCCGAACGACTCGCTCGACACGAGCGACACACGCGCCTTCATTAAGGAGATCTCCAGTGATGGAAATATTAACACGGTGGACGTAATCTACGCGGCATTCCCGATCTTCTACATTCTGAGTCCCGAGATCATTAAACTGCTCATTGCCCCTGTTTTCGAGTACATGGGCACCAGTGCCTACACCAAGTCATATGCAGTGCACGAAATCGGTGCCAACTACCCCAATGCGACCGGCCACCCATCTGACGGCGAGGAGATGCCCATTGAGGAGAGCGGCAATGTGATCTTCCTCACCTATGCCTACCAGGCGGCCACCGGCAACACCGACCTGGCGACCACATACTCGGTCCAGCTGAAGCAGTATGCCGACTATCTCTACGAAAACGGTCTTTACCCCGCATCACAGCTGTCGCTCAACGATGCGCTCGGCGAACTCGCTAACCAGACCAACCTGGCGGTCAAGGCTGCCGTGGGCCTCGCCACTTACGGGGCTTTAGTAGGCCAAAGCAACTACACGACTGCCGGCAAGGAATTTGCAGACAAGATCTGGACAGACCGCCTCGGAACGGACGAGGATGGCACCCGCTTCTTGATCCAGTACGGCATCACCCCGTGGTTCCTGGTCTATAACCACTACCCAGACCTGTTATTTGGCCTGAATGCCTTCCCCGACGAAGCTTACATTGTCACGGCTGAATTCTACCCGACTGTGCGCAGTGAAGCGGGGGTTCCCCTGGACGGATCTATCGGATGGGGTCAGACGAACTGGCAGTCGTTCGTTGCTGCGACTGTCAGTGGCGATACCCGCGATCTTCTCATCAGTGACTTGCACACGTATGTATCCAACGGGCTGAACTCGGCGCCCTTCTGCGATCGATATTGGGTCGAGGATAGTGGCAGCTACTCGGCCGGCCAGGAATACTCCTTCCGTGCGCGGCCCACGCTAGGGAGTCACTTTGCGCTGGCGGCCTTGTCGGCAGGGAACACTTGGTCTTCCTGAACGGATGTTGCAAGCTCTTGGCCAGGTGGTCATTTACGTAAAAATCATTTTGGATGCCCAGTGAGGAACAGACATTGCATGTCTTGGGCAAACTGGGACTGATTTGGGTCTTGCACTGCGTCGAACTCCAGAATCTGCTGTCCATATATATATTGTTTCAAAATGATCTTGAAGGCCCAGCGCTCCATCAAACATCAGACATGATGTATCCACACGTTTGCCCAGGGTGTTTCCCCTTGCATTCGCTAGCGTGGCTACACTTTGCCTTTTTCTTGCCTCCCCCGCTCTCGGGATATGGCCCAGCCCCAGCCGTGCGGGCAGGAGAAATAGATTACCTGCTTGCGTATACCATCTTGGCGAGGAACTAGAGTCAACAGTGTGTCCCCGCGGAGGCTCTCTTAATAATTATCCTAGGCGAAGCTTTTGTGCAGAGTCGGGATGTGGGGGCCTCTTGTCCTTGGTTCCACGAGCGGTTGTGGCCCACAGAAGCTGTCGAAACATGGAGCGAACTTACCGCTAGCAAGTCTAGAGGTTACACAGGAGCCCACATTTGCGAGATAATGGTACTCTTTTACGAGCCATGGAGTTGCCCTGTTGTTCCTCTTTAGTCAATACTTTCCATCTGATTTTGATTCCGCTTGATCTTATTCGTCTTGAATTCATAGGCTATACGTATCCAGCTTGTTATGACAGAAGCATAACCCGCTATGCACTCCGTACATCACCCCGACACTCCATACTCGCAATGTGTTTCTTCTCCTCGGATCTGCCCTTTCGCGAGGCTCTTCTCCACTTTCTTCCCGATGGATCCCCTTCCCCCGTTGATCTACGTGCGGGCGCACCTCCCCTTGGGGAACGGGCAATTGCGCGTCCTTCGCCGTTCAGCGTCAACTAGGAACACCTGGGACGAGTATTTAAGGGGTACAGTCGGCATCCTGGTGACATTGGCTCTTGGACAACAGGCTCAAGCACAGCTCGCCATTCCAATTCGAGAGACTCCAAGACGATGGTTGCACAATCACTCATTCTGCTGCTCCCGGCGCTTGCGCTGGCGGCGATTCCCGTTCAGGATCCCTCGGATGTGATCAAACCTATGTGGTGGACGAAGGACAATGCCCTTCTCGCCGATTACAACATTGCGATGATCAGCACGCAGCCATCAGACAGTGAGTGATTCGACTTGGACTATGGGCGCGCGCGAGGCATTGACACGCTATACAGTCGAGGCTACCCACAAGTACGACGATACCAGCGCTTCGGTGGACCATGTGGCCTGGTCTGCTACTGCCAACGATACCAGCGTGATGCTCGTTGCCAACGGCGCCGAATTCAACGGTTCCTCCATCGACATCAAGAAGAGTGGCTATTCGACGAATCTGAACACGGCTAGTTTCTGGGGGTTCAATGCGGCGATCAACGTGGTACGAAATTCCCTAGAGTGTTATCGCAACTTAATGCCCTCATCTACTGATTTTCATTGTCAATTGTCGTTTTCATTATTAGGCCAATGCCTCCACTGCCTACTTTGATAACGTCAATGTCACTGTGCATAACGGCGCGGCCCAAATTTACTCGTACGGAACCGACACGGTCGTTCACGTCAACAACACTTGGCTGTACTCCTCTGGCCCTGTCAGCCATGGCTTGTATGCGTCCGGAAATGGCACAATCGTTGGCCGCAACATTCAGGTCTACTCTGGTGGCTACCGCTCGTCTAGCTTCTCCGGCGACTCTCCTGGCGGTAACATCTACATTTACGACAGTGTGGCCCACTCAGCGGGCGTGGGCTCTGCCACTTACTACGCCCTGGGTATGATTGATGCCCACAATGTGGTCAGCGTCTCCGAGAAGGGCCCCGTCGTCTTCTCCGACGGCGCTCAGACGACCAGCTTGACCAATTGTGACGCCACCGCAGGACTGCTGGGCGGAGTGGTCATTTTCAGCAGCTCCGTCCGCTCCAGTGGTGCGGAGCTGAACCTGGTCAACACGAAGTTTACTACGATCGGCAAGACCATGCCCGGTCTGTGGTTCGGCAACATCATTGCCACGGCGACTCTGAATCAGGTGGAGCTCAACACGGCCTCCGGTATCCTGGTCGTCGCCAACTACTCCCAGGTCACCCAGGACTTCGATTACTACGCCGACTATGAGGACAACAGCAGTCTGTCACCCGCGGAGGTGACTCTTATAGTCACCGAGTCCGATCTGGTCGGTGATCTGGTCGCTTATAACAAGAGCGTCATCAGCTGGATCCTTTCTGACTACAGCACCTGGACCGGTGCTGCGTACTCTGGCTACGGCGAGGCCTACTTCGACGTCGCCCTCGATGCGACCAGCGACTGGACCCTGACCAGGGATACCACTCTGCAGAACTTCACCGACACGCTAACCACCCTATCCAACATCCACAGCAATGGCCACAACATTCACTACAACTCGACCCTGAACAGCTGGCTGGGTGGCAAAACCGTTCCTTTGTCTGGCGGTGGTGTGGCGAAGCCAATCACCTCCACCAGCCGTGTCCGCCGCGGAGTGACAGTTGGCCGTCGGTGAATGACCACCGTGGAGATCCTGTAGATATTGAGTTGATCTGTCAACGGGAATAAATCTTGGTAATGTGGAGGATGAGTGGATACTGTACGGAACGTGGTAGTTAGCTGTGGCAAGGGATCCGTCGAAGGTCCTTGTATCTCTGTTTTATGCGGGGTGTTTATTAGCTAGCTCTTCTTAGCTCCAGGTAGGCTTGAATGACTTCAGTCGGTCTGGGAATAGGAAGTGGACGATCAGCACCCCCTTCCTGCAGAGACGATAGGCTCCGTAGCGGTTGAGGACAGTATTACTCTGGTGGAATGACCGGCGCGAACGTCACGATTTCAATTATATTACCCTGACCTCTCATATCCCGGCGTTCACATCTCCACGTTCCTCTGCAATATCTCCGGACTGGCTTATCGTTGGTTCGATGTCACTCAGATTTGGTTGCCAGCGGGGACCGACTTCCCGATTTGGCCGGTGTATGCGCAGACTAGGAAGGAAATTACGTGCCGTGCCAGCTGGCTCCGCCAGGAGGACGAACAATCTTCATGACCTTCAGTATTGGTAATGCATCCGCAGCAGAACCGAACGTGTTATAGTCATGGTTAACATCTCGGTTCTTCTGGTTAGGGTATGGTTTCTAGTAAATATAGTCAGTTCTTGGCCCTGACGGCTGAGCACCGGGAGGCCCCGTTGAACGCTCCCATTGACTTCGCCGCTCTGCCGATAAACCCTCGGCCCGTACTTGACGAAGGGCACTACCCAGGCCACGATCGGCGTTCCGAAAACCATGTGGAACTGTGTTGCAGGTCGGAAGTCCAACTCCAGGTTATCATGCAGCACGGTGTTTTGGTACACGACGCTTCCTTTTGTCAACGGTAACGGCCTGATTGGGACTGTAAGGACCGTAATCTGGGAGCCCTCTGTCAAAAGGACATCTGGACGAGAGGGCTAGTGCCTGATGAACAACCTGTAGGAGGTGGGAGGGGCTGGTTCGATCGTACGGCCTTAACTACTGAGCACTGTCTTGCACCATCAATGCCCTATTTGAGCATATGTGCGCGGATCGAACTCGCATCCATCAATGCATGCAGACACCCCTGTATGTTGATATTAGTTGAAATTGCTGGTTTATTCTCATTGGGAAGGTGGGTGTAGATATTCGAGAGAGATCTAACATGAGCCGTGCGCCTGGGTATCTACTCCGTAGATGATACGGAGCCACGCGGCCGTTCGCACCAGCAGCCTAATCTAGGCAGAGTAGATCTGGGCGGGGTTTGAGTGAACTCGCACAGACCATGACTGGCGCCTTCAGGGCTGCAGGAGCGCGAGCGCGAGCTGGCGCGTTTTGCCCGGCAGGTGCCGATCGGAGCATCGGCCGTGGGCTGGAAACCGGGCGACATCCTTAGTGGAGCATCGGCCGTGGGCTGGAAACCGGGCGACATCCTTAGTGTAGTAGTGGGTTGTTGTTGTTTCATTTTCCTTTCTTGAATTCATACCCGGCAGGGTCATCAAGTCAAAAGGAATGTGCTTTGCCGACTTTGGTTCTTCCCTTAGTCCACCAAACCCAGTGCCAAGGCAGAATTGGCCACGAGGAAGCCACTCGCTAGCGCCGAGGGGCGGGGCGCATGATGAAAATGATAAGATGAAGCAATTATGAGCAGCTAGGCGAATCTGGTAGAGTAACCCATCCACTCAGGTCGACCTTCTCGCTTGTCGCTCCGGGGTGATAGGAGTCGCCTCAGCGCCGAGGGTGTCGGGTTGATGGGGAGAAGCATTGCTTCTGAGCTCGTGCATGCCAGCTCCAGAATGATCTCGCCATGGAGCGGCCGTTTGCGAAGCCAGAATGATGAAGACCATGTGTAGGTGTGAACGAGTCATGTCCGCGGGTAAAGAGCATCTGCATCTTGGGCAAGAAAGCCCCACTTGACTGATGCATTAAGGCCTGGTGCGTACGCCTTCAACTCCGTATATAGCGGACATATGCCAGCAAAGAAAATAACATTCCCCCTCGTAGTCGGGCCCGGGATCCTTGGAAGGCTAGGGGTGATTCGTGGTTATCCTGCGTAGGTGATATGTGATATGCATATCCCCAAAGTGGCATTCGAACAGGGGTACCGACGGTCCCTATAGCGCACGGTCGACTGCCAAAAATCCACACCCCGACGCATTTTATCCTAACCGCATCTACTAAGAACCCTGTCAGCCATCGACATGGATCCTGCAGTCCCTGCCAGGGCGGATTCCGGATCCAGTTTCGGCCGGCACGGCGCCTAGAGCCAGAATTTTCGTGACAGCGGATGAGAGGCCATAGAGCAGAAATGGGTGGATCGCTCTACAATGTATCGGGATCAGAGGATGATCGGATCTGACACGAGGTCAGCAGGACCTCGATTTGGGGGGTGTAGGCGAGCGGCGGAGCACGGGGGCTAAGGCATCAGGCTTTGGAGGGTGATGCGGCAGTTGAGGTGGCTCAACCCGGGCCAACAGGACTATGGGCTGCGGGACCAAGGCTGCGTGGCGCATGGCATGATGCAGCCAGAGCTTGGTGGGAGCTGCTGCTAGCTGCTCGCGCGCTTCGTGGTCTGGTCGATGCTGAATGAATTCAAAAACGAAGTGGGTGCGGATGAACCCCTGGAGTCGGTCAAGCAGGGCCACCGGTTCGTCCTAAGACTGTGGGGCTACGTGTAGTCTGGGGCCACGATGGGGCGCTATCGGGGCGGATGGAGGGAGGAGTGTGATGCCGCGAAAGAGCCACGAAGTACCAGCAGTTGTCACCTGATGAGTCCGGGGAGCGTCGCTGCAGGAGGTTCATCGCTAGCCCTCCGTACTGGGCGGTGAGATCATTGGGTTTCTTATGAGGGAGGTTTAGGGGAGCTAGTAGTTATGTACCGTACCGAGGTTAATGCAGCGGATAAGGCTGAGACCGAGTACACACTGTCGGCCAGCGTAATCGCCCAGTGCATACAGTACTACACGACGCAGGACTTGGCAGGATCTCCGTAACATCCGCCCTGTCCCCCAAACACCGCTCGCCTCGCGTACCGCTTCACAGACCGCAACCCTACTATCGTTTGCCCCGATCGGGAAAACGCATGGCTCGTCCCTGTTGGCCCTCGGCCCCGCCAATCAGCACTGGCAGATCCTCCCTGGAACTGCTGCACGAAGCACTCTTCTAGTGGATCGACTCGGGCCCCACCCGCGCTAGGCGTCATCCGGCAAGACGCGCCGCCTTGTCTTTGACCTAGGGATTCACGCTGTGGAACCGCGTACTCTCCTATTGTTGCTCTTTTGGCCCGCCTAGGCGCCAGATCGGGCGCCTTGAAGGATCGATCCCCTGGAGGAAAAAAAAACTGTGGGAAGATCCCCGGAGGAAGCGACGGACCACACGACCCTGGTATACAGCGTCCGTTCGATGCCCGTCCCCACGGCCAACTCCGCCAAGCAATGGCAGTCTGGGATGGGAGGTATACCGCGGCTGCCGGCTCCAATGGGTCAGCACGGCCCCCACTAGACGCAAAAAGAGTGGGCCCGAACTATGTCACCGAGGTGGCTGCATTTACTGGATCGGGCCATGGTGCTGCTGGTCCGCGACAGTCCTGTTCTGGTAGGCGTGCGGCGCGCCAGTGTGGCCGCTCCACCCCGTGAGGTCTCTCGCGTCCTTCTGGAGGATTATAGGAGTTGTCGACTGTTTTCTGATTTGGATATCGCTCGTTGTATGCCCCACTAGGTTCAGCCAGGGGGGAACAAGGCGATCTGGGTTTTTTTTCTCGTGCATTGCGACAGGCATTCCCGTCGAGAACCATCTCCCTCTTCTTTTATAGATCGAGCGCGCCGCTGCCCACTCACATCACCCGGGGGAAGAAGAGCGTGGAAGCCCGTGATATACAATCTCGAACAGTCGAGTTGTCCTCCGATCTGCGATCGTCCCTCCCGCGCGAAGCGACCCCACCGTGTATACCATCTCCGGCCACGCTGCCCCTCTCTCGTCCGACCGCGACATGCTTTCCTGGCCGAATAAGCGACCCCGTCGGGGGAGCCTGGAGAGTGAACCCCAGGTAAGCTCCATCCGGCCCATTTGAACTCAAAAAAGAGGCGTGCCCTCCCCCAAAATGCACTTGATGCACCCCGCGGGCCTTCCCGAGACCTTTCTTTCACCTCCCATCTCCACCCCCAAGCAGCATCCCGCGGAGTTCCGTGGTGCCCATAGCTCCCGGCAGGGGCCTCTCCTTCGCACTCAAGGGCTGTCTTCCCCATGCTGACGCCCGTTTCTAGTACTCTTCGGCGAACTGCCCCCATTGCCTTGACTACAACATGGTCAGTCGGTATCCACCGCGGCCTCGCCTGACGCGGCTGGATACCAAGGCTTTCTCGCTCTCGTCCATCTCCAGCGCCTCTTCCACGGCGACCTCTGTCGTGTCGATCTCTTCGCCACGCATCCTGACCGATCTCGTGCCCAAACCAAGCCAGTTGGGGTCCATGGGCGACGAACAGCAGCCACCCGCGGCAAGGAGCCAGTTGCCGCCGGGGGTGGAGGAGTCCTTACATCTGCAGGACCTGGAGTTGATGATGCATTGGTGTACGACAACCTATCGATCCATGGCCCGCGATCATGCGGCCGAGATGTTGTGGCAGATGGCCATTCCCCAACTGGCCTTGCGGTATCCGGCGCTTCGACATGGCCTCTTAGCTCTGTCGGCCCTGCAGCTGGCCCAGAATAGTCCCAGACCCGAACATAAATGGCGATATTTGAGCTCGGCGCGCGACCACCATCGCCATGCTCTCGCGGGGATCCACGTCGACTGCGGGGAGGACGTCCCCACAGCGCAATGCAATGCGTTGTTTGCCCTATGCTGCGTCTTGCTCGCGTTTTCATTCGCATATGGGTTGATGGACGAGCCCGATGAGGAGGATCAAACGGAAGGGTCGGACGTTTTGGAGGATTTTTTGGAAGTCTTTGAGCTCACACGCTGGCTCGTGGGGGTCATGATGATGACGACGGACCGGGTAGCGGACGGTGAGCTATACTCTCTCGTGCGGCCGGAGCCAACCCGGCCAACGATGCCGGATATGTCTCAGTTGGTCATTTTGGCTCTGCGGAGGCAGAATGCGGAAGAAGCCACGCGAAACCCTTCCCATGAGAAGGAAGTATACGAGCAGGCCCTGGAGCACCTGCGCCAAGCGCTGGAGCACCTCATGAACGGCGGCGAGCCGAAGGATTTTGCGTTTTGCTGGACGTTTCGCATCCCGGCGCGCTTCCAGGATCTGCTTCGGGACCGGGAACCATTTGCGTTAGTTGTGCTGGCTCACTACGCTGTGATCTTGCACCATCTGCGGGAGTCGTGGTGGATGGGCCATTGGGGCACGCGTATTCTCAAGGAGATCGTCGACTACCTGGATCCGGAATGGCGGGAGCTGATTTGCTGGCCGATCGATGCGACCGGCTGTCTTCTGCCCGAGGAGTGAGGTTCTTTGTTCACTCCGGTCGCCCTCGATAGGCAAGGGCATGAGCATGGCCAACAGCTCTGCGCGGGCGCTTTCCACGCCACGTCGCGCAGCTTCGCGAGAGAGTTGTCGATCAACGACCGTGGCGTCTCTCACACAGGAGACAACTACCGCAAATCATGGGCTCCACATGGCCCAGTTTGAACTGGAAGATCAAGCCGTGAGGGTGGTTGAAGCCAACCATGTCCCATTCTACCGGCGGGGGAGAAATCAAGTAATAATAGGCTGCGACCAACTTTGGTCAGCCCTTGCATTCACATTCATATTCAAATTCACATTTGCATTCGCATTCGCATTTGCGCCTAACGGCAGAGAGACCAGGGTTGCGACCAATGTATATAGCGAGTCATGAGAGCGTGTCATTAGGACAGGGAGATCCTAGGATCGACCGAGGGGCTGTGCGGTTTCCATCCCCTGCGCTGACATGTTGTGCGCCAAGGGATTAGAACTATGAAGCCAAAAAAAACATATAAACACCCTGAACCAAAGCCTAGAACCCAGAGCCTTGAGGAACACCAAGCGCCAGCCCTTTCCGGTGGGCGATACATTGGAGAGACATGTGGACCCAGCGGCCATGCAGGGAGTTCTTAAGGCCATGCAGTAGCGTCAGACAAGAGATAGGCCGAGCCGGGGAAAAGATAAGGATGGAACGCCAAATGCAAAAAGCAAAAAGTACCGATGATAAGATAGCCTCGCCTCCCTCCCCTCGTCTTGCAGCAGCAGTTCTTCCACTGCATCTATCCTCCGCAGTGTTGGAATGATCATGCATACACGGAACGGTCATCGATGTCGACCACAATTTGTCACCACCGATCAGCACGTTCTCGGGGGTTGGGTATGGCGATCGCTGAGAAACTGTCATTTAGGCGGACGGCGACCCTTTCCGCAGCTCCTGACGTTCCTGCTCAATTTCCTTGACGCGATCCTTGGACTGTGTGCGCACCCGCACCAGCTCGGCCTCCTGCTTGCGGGCATTTTCTTCCTCCTCTGGGGTTGGGATATAGGCATTGGCGGCACCGCCTACAATGAGATCGGGTCAGCAACTTGCCACCTTATACACCCTTCCGTCTTGTCCTGCCATATGGGATTCACTTCGCATACCTCGGCCTGTGTGGTGGGGGTACTGCGCCGCTCGCAGCGGGGGTGATTCGACGTCCTGGCTCTCGCGCGCAATCTCCGGGCGCTCTGGATCATTCTGGACCATATTCCCTGAGCCACCGCGACCGGTGGTGTAGACTTCTTGCTTGATGGTTGGCGTGACAAAGTCTTTGGCTGTGGGTGTCTTGTTCTGGGGGGCGATGTTGCCTGCGCGCGGTCAGCAGCGAGTCATGCCAAAGGGTCCGCAGGTGTGGTACCGGCGCCTCCTCGGCCGTACGAGATATTCCGACCACTCATGGCTAGCGAGAGCGACTGAGATCTGAAGATGTCGCACAAGTTGGACAGTGTGGGAGCTTCGCCGTGGCAGCGGTGGTGGGGAAGGAAGACCGGCAGATTCTGTTCCGCCTTGCAGTCAGGATCGATGTGGTCAGCTTGATATCGATAGTTTCGGCGTCTTCGAGGGGATTTAGGAGATCGTGTTGACTGTCAGGAGAATAGTCTTTGTTTGTTCTTTCGCTATGTCTTGGTACCTCGCCGAAGAAAGCCTTCTAGTGGCGGGCGCAGCGCTCTGAAATCTTTTCCGCGCCAAGCACCCCGGCCCGATGAGGTCATGGAAGCCAGCCGCATTGATCCGCATCGCTCCATTTCTTTTCTGTGGCCGTTCTGCTACTCGTTCAAGGCGCCCAGCTAACATACAGGCTCACCGTCCTGCTCCCCAGACGTTCTGGAGAAGTGGAAGACGTCCTGTCCATAACGCCTTTCCCATGAATGATATTCAACTAGCTAGGGCACCGGCAACACCGTTGGAGGCTTGGTTGGGGACGGCGCAGTTGCCATACCAGCCGTTCCTCTTCAACCAACCCAGCACACGAGAGGGCCGCGAGCAGCAGAGTAGAGAACTCCATGTTTTCGAAGGGAGGGAGAGAATCGGTTGCTGTCAGGATTACTAGTTGTGCGTAGTACTTGATCCTAGCCATGTGTATGGGGAGTGAGAGGTGATCTTTATATGGCATCACAGACTAAGAATGGATCATTGAACTCGGGTCCAGTTTCGCCGTAATCCATGCATGAGCACTGACTCGGTTAGTCGCAAAGAAAGTCAACCATGTGGAGCAAGTAGACCTCATCCGCAGGCTGTTGTTGGCAAGGCTGTCCTCAGCCTTGTAACAGACATGGCAATTTACAGTGACACCGCAGTGGCCAAACTATAGAGATCCACCTTTCCACGGAAGAGCTACGCAGCATCGCAAACCAGCCCCCGCTAATAATTAGTAAAAATAGATCGAAGACATTCTTCGATCGCGCCTATACTACTACGTACCTAGAAACTATAGTATAAGATTAAATAGTTAGATCACGATGAAGATAATATATAGTATTATATCGCTAATTTTAAGAATATGCTACTAGAATTACTTAAGTTTTTATCGATAATCCCCTAGTTCCCCTAGACCACTGAAGAATCTATAGACCTAGTTAGCTATATTAGAAATTTAACAAATTTATCGGCGATTATAATAACAATAATAATAATAATACCCAAGGGTCTTAGGGCCAGCCTCTTTAAAAAGGAGGGCTCTGTAGTGTATAATAGATAATAGACTTGGAAATCACCTAAGGGATATATAACTATTACCTAGAAGCAACTAATCTAACTAACCTAATTAGGCCTATTTGGACAAGAGTTCTCTATATAATAGCGGACTATCCCCTATAGTTTCTTCCTTCTTCACTTTAGTTATTTCGTTGAACGCACCACCTGATTCTTCCAGCCGGCTCCCTCGTAACATCTAGTCCAGTAAGTATCATTTCTCATATGTTCCCTGAATTCGATCAACCTTTTCCTCCCCTCCGTTCCATGCATTCTCAAGTGGGCGCTTGACACATCAGTCAGTTGCCAAGGAACCTACTTCACGAACACCATGTCCCCTTCCGTATTCCGACCTCAATGGATTGTGATCCTTGTTCCATTGCTGTCTAACTTTGGAAGTGGCATCAAGAAATCCACAGACTGCGAGATATCAGACTCGTCCGTTTCGAATAATTCGAAGCGGGGTGCATTTGGCCTGAACATTACTGCCATGGCCCAGTACATCTCAGCATAAGCTAGACTGTTTATTTTTGTTAGCCTCATCTCCACATAGTACCAAATATCACCTTTGGCGATTCTGACAGGAAATGGAAGACTTTTCTTACTTCATGCCTAAGCAATTCCGAGATCCTCTGCTGAAAGGAACCCAGTTCCTGTTCATATCGGCGTTATAATTGCCCAGCCAACGCTCGGGAATGAACTTGAATGGCTCCGGGTAGACTTTGGGGTCGGTATGCAGGCTATATGCAGCCATTCCTACGGGAGTGCCAGCAGGAATCACCCACTGCTTGTAGACAAGGGGGATATCCGGCGAGATCCGGGGAAGACGGCGCATTACGCCATAGCTCAGACTGCAAACGTTCGCTTTCTCAGCAGGGACTTCCAAATTACTCATTCAAGTCAGACTAGACTTACCGTAGGCCCTCCTTGATCAGCGCCTGCAAATACGGCAACTGTTCCAGTTGCTGCCAGGTAGGCAGGGTGTGCGGGTAACCTGCCATGACATCCTTGAGCTCTTCGCCTAGACGCTGCCGCATCTGCGGATCAGTGAGAATGTAGTAGCACATGAAGCCCATCGTACGTGCGGTGGTGGCGGTACCAGCCCCGAAGAGGACCATCGCCTCGCGACTCAGACGCTCTGTGCCGCACTCAGACTTCGGCATCTCGCTTGTAATAACATAGCGGAATACGGAACTCTTCGCGTTCGCTTCGACTTTCTGTTTGCTAAGGTTGTCCTGCTTAGCATCGATGATGTGCTTAGTAGCAAGCTGGCGGAACACGTTGAATCCGGCGGCTCCTGGGTACACACGCAGGAGGAACCCGGTTGGGATCATGGATGCCAGACTAAATCTGTTAGTCTATACCCTTTGCTTCTAAAGATGGAAACATACGTAACTAATTGCGGGATATGCATGAACAAGAGGAGCTGTCTCACAATACCCTCGATCAAGTTGTGCCTAGTTCGCCGGATTATCAGTGCTGGATGTGTTTTATGCGGGCGTCCACTTCACTTACCACTCTTTCCCAAACTCTGGATTGTTCATCATGTCAGGAGGGCTTTCACAGCAGATCCGGCCGATAACATCTCCGGCAAAGGCAGAGAACACATGGTCGAGTCGGACGACATTGCCAGATCCCTTTAGTTCAGTTAAACGATCATTAAGCAGTTTGGCTTCCTCGATGATCATAGGTTCCATCTTATCGATACCCATGCGGGAGAAGAAAGGCTCAAGTGGCTTGCGGCGACGCCGGTGCAGTTCGTGGTTCTCCGTCATGGTGTGAGAGCCTGACATGAATAAGAAGACTTGTTCGTTTCCAACAACACAAGCTAAAACCAGGGGAGCAACATACCGTCGAACCCAATGCCGGTCCGGTAGCGAGGCCAGATGGTCGTACGGCGGGTGTTGCCCGCCACGTAGACACTGTTGTAGAATTCCGGGTCGTTGATAACTATCTCGTGCGGGTTGATGCGGATAATTGGGCCTGATAAGATGAATCATTGCGAGTCAGTCTGGGCCCTGTTACCGTGGTGCGTGGAAATGGGAAATATAGCAGAATATAGACCCGAAAGTGAAATGGAACTTTACCATATTTCTGGTGCATCTCCTCAATTTTGTACACATACTGCCCCCGCTTAATCACATCGTAGTAGAATTCATACCAGCGAGTAACAGCGGCAATTTTGGGCCCAGGAAACCCGGCCAACGGATGGAAGTAAAGCCGGTAGATAGACAGCGAAGCAGTGTAGAGGATCAAACTCCCCGCAATGGCACCATAGATGCCATATTGTTTCAGCAAAGGATATTCGTCCACGAGCAAGACAATCTCCTTATACAAAGCCTCCATCTTTGCCAGAGGTTTTCAGTACAAGTGAAGCAGGAGGTGAAAAATATCTGAATGTTTTGGGGAGACTTGGGTTGAAAAGAAAGATGACTTTCAACCTTTTTCATATGCTCGTGCTGCTGCTACCAATGGTGGGTCTCATTCTGATATCTGGTCCTACATTCCCAGGCGAATTGACCAAAATACGAGAAGAGGGGTAAGATACAGTCCTTCGGGGTTCTTCGGGGTCCCCCGGAGCCATTCTAGATCACGAACACGTAGTCAGACCGAGATAGAGAAAGAAAATGCATCTAGAGGATTGGACTTGACAATTTGGGGTTGTACCGGCCTGGCCGGTCAGTGTCAGAACCTCGATCTGTTACAGGTCCCATTGCAAGGAGGGCTGTCTCCGCGGGCCGGAACGAACGAGGTGGAACCGGCTGATGGGTTCTAATTAGTTACCATACTATCTTGACTATGCTGATGAAACAGGAAGTGCCGAGTGGTGGCAACGGATGGCCAATATCCTCCGGCACTTGCGCAGCCAACGTGGGCCTCTCCTTGGCTCTCGTGTTTAAGGTAGCGCCTTGGGAGGTCGTATTAGCCCTGCCTGAACATATACGAGGACCTCTAGCCGAGGTTTGAACGAAAACGAGATGCCAGCACGCTATTTCGTTCAATACTACCTTGTTATCCCAAAATAGCAATTTCCTTAGTTTTGTACAGTTTTTCCATACCCCGTATATGGTATATCCCATATCCACCCGTGGGACCCTGGGGGCGGGAAGGCAGGAAGTGGGGGCGCTTGGCCCCCGCTGGTGCCTCGAGCCTGCATGACGCATGCTGCAGACACTCGTTATCATGCCCAATCCGTCCCGTTGAAGACTGATTGGCTTTGAAAAAAGGGCAAGGCACTCCATGCAACACTTGATCACGCCAGATAAGGCCTTGGTAACACCTTGTTAACGCTCGGACTCCAAGGATAAGCATATTCACGATTCGGGAGGAGGGCGCCACAATAAGCCTCAATACGCGCGCTAAGTCTAAGATCCATGCTCCATGCCCTGCAGACTAAATAGTAGACTGCTACCTCGTATATATCTGAACCTTACAATTCAACCCAGATCCAGCCGATCCCGGCTCCCCGACAGAAATCCTAATCTTGGTGTCCACTAGGGCAAAGTGGCTGGGATTTTTCTGAGATTTTTCTGGGGATTTGATGACTGCATAGAATCTTAAATGCCGTGGAGGTCTGATAAAGGTAATAGTGCCAGGCAATACACATCCCAAAAGAGGCAGCCTAGAATGATTCGACAAAACCGGATTTCCTCGGTCGTATCACTCAACAACAGGCCCCCCATCGGGCACCTCGTATTGCATTGTCTCCGTTTCATATCCGAGGCGGCACACTGGCTCCACTAGGGGAGGATGGAAGCACTCGCAGGGTTCCGATAACACCTATTCCATCCAGACTTTTTCATAGATTCCGAAACTCGTTACCATACCTGCATTCCAAGAGTCTGACGGCGATCCCGAGGACCCACGTGTAAGAGACAGATGAGACCATCGGTTGGGGATGCGTTGTAGACCAATCGGCCAAAAGGAGAACTGAAGATAACTAAACAACCTAGTGCATTCTTGGTGCGAGGTTGGGGCAAGAAGGGAGGATGTCCAAGACTCCGACACGAGGACTTGCGTACCCTCATGAGGGGAAGAGATAAGTACTTAAGAGCGGGGCTCTACTGACTGCTTCATTACCAGAGACATGTTGCCAGATGCCAGTTCCGTTGTATCAGTGAAATATTTCGTCTTGCTGCACCTCTGCCTGATCTTGCTCTATTTGCTCATCTCGTTTGTCATCTCTGAACATGGAGTTCAAGTACTCTACCGTGATCGATCCCACCACGTACGAAACACACGGGTTGTGTGATGGGATCGATCTCAGATGTCATGAGAGTCCTGAGCTGGAGGAGATTGAGACATTGAGATGTCAAGAGAACTGGCGGGAATGGGTTGGTCCACTCGGGTTCTACAAGGGTGGTTTGGGGCCACGATGGAATTTCATGGCCATCACCGTTCCAGAGTGCTTGCCTGAGCGGCTCGGTGTGCTGGGATATGCCAACGAGCTTGCCTTCCTACATGATGGTCAGAATCTCCAATAGCACATGGGAGTGAGTTGTTGCTAATCCTTCTTTGCAGACGTCACAGATGTGGCCGACTATGTGAGTCCAGCGGTGTAACGGCTTCGACCTGATGGGCACTGACGAGAAATGCGGATCAGGGAGACATACATAACGATGATTTGAAAGCTGCCTTTGAAGAAGCCGCCAGTACTGGACGCATTGAAGGGTCTACCTCTGGAAAACGCGCGATTCAAGCCCACATCGCAAACGAGATGATGAAAATCCACAAACAGCATGCAATTACGACGCTGGAAGCGTGGGCCAAATTTGCAGAGCTTGGGTCAGGACGCCAGCACACCACCCACTTCAGAACAGAGAAAGAGTATATTGAGTACCGCATGATCGATATTGGCACGATGTAGGTCTTTATTTCCAAAAGGAACTGGTGACTAGGACATGCATGGCATTCGAATCTGACATCTCGCAGGTTCTGGTATGGCATGGTCACGTTTGGGATGGGTATTAGCATTCCCGAAGAAGAACTGGAGATGTGCCACGAGTTGGCGAACATTGCCTATTTGAATTTGGGCCTCACAAATGACCTCTACTCCTGGCAGAAAGAATATGAGACTGCAGTGGCCATGGGTCGCGACTACGTTGCCAATATAATTGGCGTTCTCATGGAGGAGCGTAAGGTCTCCGAGGAAGAGGCCAAAGAGATCTGCCGGGAAAAGATCAAAGTGACCATCGTCGACTTTCGCAAGATTGTTGCTGATACCAAGGTTCGAGATGACGTATCCGTGGACACGAAGCGGTATCTAGAAGGTCTGCTGTACAGTCTGAGTGGAAATCTGGTTTGGAGTATCGACTGCCCCAGATACCATCGGTGGTCTTCGTACAACGAGCGCCAGCTTGACTGGATGAAGAACGGAATTCCCAACAGCCCCCAAGACCTTCCAAAATCCAATGGGGTGTCCAATGGGCTGGCCAATGGTACGGAAAAGATTCACTCCAATGGAGATGTGAATGGCAATGGTGCTGTCCATCTTCCAGCTACCAATGGCGTCACGAACGGGAATGGTGCCACTCATACCTCAATGTCCAATGGTACCAATGGTACCAATGGTACCACAGGCCTGAAAGATCCATTCAGCCTGGATGCCGACACTGACTTGGTCAACGTTTTTGCACGGAAGGAATACAAAGCTGTCAGTGCCCCGAAGCTGCATGAGGGAGAAGGATATCCCTCAGCGCCCAAGTTAGGCCTGAATGGTGATGTTACTACCCAGCAAAGCCCGGAGATTGAAACCAAGGTCAGTACCGACATCCAGTTTCCAACGTATTAAGCCTGCTAACAAAGGCCGATATAGGTGATCCAAGCCCCTTACGACTATATTAGCTCTCTGCCATCAAAAGGAGTCAGAGATCAAGCGATTGACGCTTTGAATGTCTGGTGCCGTGTCCCTGCTGCGAAGGTTGACCGAATCAAACTGGTAACCAAGATGCTTCATAACACTTCTTTGATGCAAGTTTCGAATCTAATGTCCGTCCAAGAATGCCAGCTAACAAGTAAACAGGTTAGATGATATGGAAGATGGCTCAACTCTGCGGCGCGGAAAATCATCAACACACACGATCTTCGGAGCTGGCCAGACCGTGAATGCGGCCAACTACCAGATCATTCGTGCCCTGGAAGAGGTACAGAAGCTTGGGGACAAAGAAAGCGTGCTGATATTCACTGGTGAGTTGCCAGCCATTCTAGTCGTTGGAGGATGAAGATTGACTTGCTCTGGCAGAGGAATTGAAGAACCTCTATATCGGTCAGAGCTTGGATCTACATTGGACCAACAATCTGATCTGTCCGACGGTTGATGAATACTTCCGTATGGTGGAGCACAGTAAGTCGAAAGATATGGAAACAAAGGTCATTGGACGCCGTGGAGACTAACAAGTGCGACAGAAACCGGTGGGCTGTTCCGACTCTTCGGTCGCCTCCTATCACTCCACTCGACCAACCCGGTCAAGGCCGATCTAACCGGTCTTCTGGATAATTTTGGACGGTACTTTCAAACGCGTGATGATTACTCCAACCTCACGTCTCCCGAGGTATGGCCTCAAACCCCCGCTCTAGAATCCCCAATGTTTGTGACAAAATCAAATTAACCCTATTCTAGTACACAAAGCAAAAGGGGTTCTGTGAGGACCTGGATGAGGGAAAATTCTCGCTTCCGGTCATCCATATGATGCTTTCCGCTCCATCCAACACTGTGATCCGCAATATCTGGACTCGACGGTTGGTCAACAACCAGGCCAGTCTGGCGCATAAGCAGGCTATCCTGGAGCTGCTGAAGAAATGGGGAAGCCTACAGTTTACAGAAGACGCGTTGGACGTTTTACACGCCCAGGTACAGAAGAGCATTTCCGACCTCGAGGACAAGTTCGGGGCCCAGAACTTCCAGTTGAGACTAATCGTGGAGATGCTGCGGAAGAATTAGGAATGAGGGGGTTTCAGCCAACTTTTCGTCTCTGTTTTGGTTCATCTATTGCGTGTTTCCTTTTTCTGGCTCCATAAATTGGTAATCTGTTTCGTGATGATTTGCTGCTGGCGACACCATTGGCTAGTGATGTGAATAGGTGAATAGACTCGCATATAAAGCATCCGCTCTCTCCTTCCACCTGCTGGGATCAGTCGTTGGCGGCGTAACTCGGCGAGTGGTGGCGTTCAGATCGCTGCCATTTTGAGTTCGCGACGGGCCGTCTCATAGTGTGTAAAATAAAAAATGTAACCCCCAGTAGGGAGCCAAGCACTAGACTAGTGGACTAGTCAATAAGCACTTAAGCAACCCCCCTGTGGCCTAACACGAGCGTCGAGGAATACGAGAGGACCCTGCATGAACGAGAGCGAGAGGGGAATGCGATCTAACTCCATCCAACGCCATCCCACGAGAACGGAACGCGTCGCCTCGCTGTACTCTGACCACGCCACCAACCAGCAGATCCCTGTCCGAGCCCCCTGTTAAAACCCCTGCGAACAAAAAGACTAAATCACAGCCAATCTTCTGCACGCGGTCGGACATAAGGGAATAAGAGACTACCTCCGCATCTGCGGCCTTACAGCCGCGGCCCCTGCATGTCCTCCAGCATCGAAGTCTTTCCTGTTGACGAGAACAAATGTCTGAAATGCGGAATGTTTCACGTCTTTGTGGCTTATGATTTCTCTTCACTTGGCAACTTAATACCTACCGACGATCTCTCTTACCACCCCCCTCTCTCTTCTATCTCCCTCGTCGGCACGAAAAGGCAGCGGTAGGCATGGTCTCATCAATGTCAGATTTACGCGCGGTGGCGCCTGCAGCCCCAGCCGAAGCCGAAGCCGAAGCTAACGGGCGGTCCGCGAACTGCTCGCCTGGTGAACATCCCTCGAAGCTCTCTCAAGCCGGTCTTCGCTCTGGCTCTGGCTCTGGATCTGGATCCCTCTCCCTGGGGGATGAAGAGAAACAGCTGGTCGCTCAAGTCGGAGCGATCTCTACAGATCCTGTTGCGCCGCTGGCCTCGAATATTGTCGACTGGGACGGTCCCGATGACCCTGGAAATCCAGTCAACTTCAGTGGTCTGATTAAAGCCACTAATGTCGGAATCGTGAGCGCGCTGACGTTCATTACTCCGCTCGCATCGTCTATGTTTGCGCCTGGTGTGCCTCTGCTCATGGAGGAATTCCATACCACGAGTACGATGTTGGGCTCGTTCGTGGTGTCGGTCTATGTGTTGGGTTTCGCCATTGGACCACTCATTCTGGCGCCGGCCTCGGAGCTCGTCGGGCGAGCCATTATTTACCATATTTGCAATATCGGCTTCACGGTGTTCACCATTGCATGCGCCCTGAGCACCAACATGGGAATGCTCATCGCCTTTCGGTTTTTCCAGGGCTGCTTTGGCTCGGCGCCGGTTACAAATGGTGAGCTGTTTCTTTGTTCTGTTCGATGCCATACCCTTTAGCTAGATCCAATATACTAATATTCCACGTCCCCCGCTATAGGTGGGGGTACGATTGCGGATCTCATCGTGCAGGAAAAACGGGGAGGTGTCATCGCCATCTATGCCCTCGGACCCTTGCTGGGTCCCGTCATCGGGCCCGTAGCAGGAGGGTACCTGACTGCAGCCAAGGGCTGGCGTTGGGTCTTCTGGGTTCTCACCATGGTGGGCGGATTCTGCACCATCGTGTCCTTTCTCTTCCTCCGCGAAACCTATCCCACTGTCCTCCTGAAGCGCAAAACGCAACGCCTCATCGAAGAAACCGGTAACACGAACCTCCGCTCCAAACGAGACAATGGCCTCTCCACCGGTCAGCTCTTCCTCCAAGCCCTCACCCGCCCATCGAAAATTCTATTCCGGTCGCCGATCGTCTTCGTGAGTTCGATTTACGTGGGTATAGTCTACGGGTACCAGTATCTCATGTTTTCGACCTTCACGGAAGTCTTTGAGGAGCAATACCGATGGGGAACTCAATCCGCCGGTCTAAGCTTCCTGGGAATTGGCATTGGCTCGCTCCTCGGATTGTTCGTGATTGGCGCTGTATCGGATCGTATTCTCAAAGCCAAATCCAAGCCCACCCCGGAGTCCCCCTCAGGTGGCATGAAGCCGGAATACCGTCTGCCGCCGCTGGTCGTGGGTGCGTTCTTCATCCCGGCGGGTCTGTTCATGTATGGTTGGTCGACGTATTACAAAACGCACTGGATCGTGCCGGTCATCGGCACTGCTATCATGGGCATAGGCAACATTGCTGTTTTCATGTGCATTACGAGTTACCTGGTCGACGCGTTCACGATCTACGCGGCCAGTGCGCTGGCTGCCAACACGGTCGTGCGGAGTATTATGGGTGCACTGTTGCCCTTGGCGGGACCGGCCATGTACGACTCGATGGGACTGGGATGGGGGAACAGTTTGCTGGGATTTATTGCCGTGGTGTGTATTCCGGTGCCGTGGGCCATGATTCGGTATGGAGAGAGGATGCGGTTGGCATTTGATGCGAGTAAACTATAGACAGGGCGGTTGGAGGGTAAATGTTGAGGAAGTTCGTGTCGACATAGTGCAAGGTTGATACGGTATCCATAGTGTCTAATTATCTCCATTATTCTCATCTCTCAATGGTAGTGTAGCTATGGCCACGTCGCTCGTTCTCTCCAGGTCTGTCATTCTGATGTTCTTCTCTGGATCTCCCACTCTCATCGCCTCATCTGCCACTTTCATCTGAGCAATGCTCGTCGTCCTTGTTATGCCCTCAATGCTACCCACTGCAATGGCTGTCTTTCTTCCTGATTCATCAAGAACCCATTTCATCGGCCCGGGTGGCAACTTCCCCTCTTCTTTCCACTCTTCTTTCCACTCTAAGCCAGATTGAATCCGCACATCCAAGTCGAGCGGCGTGCCATGCTCCCAGGCAAACTCCCCACCAAATCGACTCGGAATACTCTCCGTATCAATATACTTCGTCAGTGTTGGCATCATCTCGCTTGCCGGCACAATTACCACCTTGTCCACTGTGCCCTGGTCGAGCCATTTCCTCATAATACCCCACATCCATCCAAAATATGACGGGGCATTGAGGACCTGAGAAGGCGCTATTAGTTCCCGTGCTATCAGCGTGTATGGGAAGCGGGCAGAAAGGAAACGAAAAAATAAACATTCAACGGGAGACACACAAAAAGCCGATCAATAATCTCCGGATACCCCATCATGAGCAATTGTGCAATATCACTGGTATAGTTCTTGATATCCCAACCCTGCTTCATTGTGAAGGTACGAAGGTCCACGAGATATATTGCGCTGGTGATCGGGACGCCAGGCCGCGGTCGGTCCTTCATCATGCTACATAGCGGGAAGACAAAGCGGGTAAGATAGTCGTGAGCGAGACTGGCTCTCTGGGTCGCAGTCAGGCTCGTATCTGTCCCCAGGTCGGTGCCGCGGGTCTTCTCATACGCGGCGAGAGTCGATCGATTGAGATGTCCAAAGTCAAACAGGCATATTGGGAGGCCTTCTTTTGTTCGTCGGCCGCACCAGTGGGGGTACTGATCATATTAGTGCCCTATTGTTTAGAAGAGGTGTCCGTGGCTTCTATAATACTGGGAGGGCCGTGGTGGTAGTACTCACGAGAAAGCGCGCGGTCTCGAATTCCAAGACGTCGATTTCATTGTATCGTATCGGAATGCGGTTGTTTCTATGCGTTATTGTGGCTTGTTGGAACTGCTTCAGGGATTGATCGGGATCGAAACGGCGGGCGCGGAGGTACCGTCTAGCTTTGCGTTAAGAGGTATGGTTCTTCAGCGCATTCGGGAATACTGGGCTGGGGGATGGGGGACGGACAAGAGGGTGGTTTCATCATTCAGCCCATCCTGTGCCTCGTTTTCTGACAGGCCCGTTGGCCGGGCCAGAAGTCCTTCTTCATTACATAGCTTCCAGAAAGTCTCGAGGGCAGACAAGTGCTGCTCGGGCAAATTGGAGAAGATCTCGGTCTGGATCGCCATGGTAGCGAACAAAGAAACAAAAGGCTAGAGTCTACAGATGGGAAGGCAAACTAACGGGGTTAATGTCAAATTGAAAAGGGTACAGTAGAAGCACGATAACAGGGTAGATCGGATTGGCGGACTATACCCCTGTAGCTACCTCGTATACCAAATGCCCTAGTCGATGAGGTTACAAAGGACCCGCCCTGCACGAGCGCCACAAATCTAATGGGTTGCATGCAGGCTGCGGTTGATTTCGCATTGCAGAACACGAGCCAAGATGATCGTCACTGCAGAAATGGCTGGAACCTCCAGCACGGATCACTCTCCAGGCACGTCCTTCGCACACTCTCCAGAAACGGCGTAAAGCCTTGCGCTTGCCCAAACTGCTGCAGGATTTCCACGGACCTCTTCGTATCCGCAACCCACTTACTGCCCTCCTGCATAGTCTCTCCCGCTTCACCGGCAGGGGCGGGCCATTGACGGGTGGGATCGATTTGCTCAAATGCCTTGCCAAAGTTGCGCAACTGGTACGGGTCCGCCAGAGCGAGTAGACGCTCATTCTGCACGGCCTCATCGGTCAACCCGGCCAGATGCAACAAGGCGTTATCGGCCACGTCAACGACCCAGGGTGCACTAATCCATGCTAGTTGCTGAGGACTGTTGGGATCATCAAAGTAGCCCTTGACCAAGGCCGACGTGCTGCCCCGTTGTTGAGAGTGGACAATTGGCCCAATGACAAACCCGGGAAGCACGGAATTTTGGACAAATCCGGGCTTCTCGTCACTTGCGAACTTCCAAAACAGTCTTTCACATTCGGTTTTGAGAGCCTGGTAGATAAAGAGAGCATGCATGGGGCTGTAGGGTGGGGGTGCCCGGGCTCGGATGCTGCTGGTCTCATTCCAGCTATCCTTGCTGACGCGCACCTCTGACCCTGGCCCTGGGGCCACTTCCGATGTATCCACGGCGGCAGTGTAACTGCTTGTGAGGACGAAGCGTTTCACTGAGGGGGTTCGGGCGGCGCTCTCGAGAGCTGCCTGCAGGGCCTCGAGGGCCGGCGGGATGACCTGGGTGTGGTCCGCGTTCAAACTGGTATCGGCGGCCACGTAGGCAATGCCATCGACGTCTTGGATGAGATCATCCATAATACCCGGTGCGGAGAGACTGGGCACGACAAGGACGTTGATTTTGCCCGTGGGGTAACGTTTCTTGACTACCTCTGTGATCCAGGAGGCGCTCTCAGGGCTTCGTACGGTGCCTCTGACTGCGTATCCCCGTTCGACAAGTTCCAAGACCAAATGAGATGCGAGAAAACCATTCACCCCGGTGATGAGGACAAGGCCCCCAGGAGGAATGATAGACCCCATTTTGTGGGCTGTAGACTGTAGACTGTAGACGGTAGCTGTGTTGTGTATGTAGAAGATGGGGATGGGAGCACAGTGGGAAGTTGGCTTTGTGTGGATTTGAAAAACTTCAGGGGGCCACTTGCGTTGGCTTTTATAGACGCACCCACCTCCAAATGAAAACCGGTGCAGAATGATCTCACTGCCTTCTATAGGGTCAGGATGGTCGTATTGACCCCTGATAGGCTTCCTATATGCAGCCTATAAGGCTAGGCAAGATCCCGATCGGCGGGCGACAGGAAATCTGAACTTCTCTGTTGGCTCCATTATTCATCAGATTAATTTACTAGTATTTTACTACATGGTACTGAATTGAGATCATCTTTGAAAGTGGCAAGTAGCAGTATTCATTTCCTCCTTGCCGGCTAGCGCCCTTATGTTCATCTGCGCTGCCTAGACCAGCTTGCCTTGGTCCGCGATATAGATTCCCGAGATTTCCGATAGTATCTCTAGAGGGTCGACGTGTGATCCTCCCCGAGCCCTTTCTCGTACCCAGCTAGGGCCCGCTACCTAGTATATCTACTCTACCTCGGCTAGCTTTACTTGGTTCTAATATAGAATTCCAAGATTATTGACAACATAAAGGGTTAATTTATAGTCCACTCCAAGAGCTTATACCTAGCTAACCTACTATTATATGTACTTAGTGGCAAGAAGAAGCACTTAATCTTTAAGTAGAGATATAACTAGTAACACTTAGCCTACTCGATAAGGCATAATGAAATTATCATTGTCGCTCTAGTAGTCACGCTATTATACTATATAGTACGGAGTATATATAGCTAGACAAAACCACAATTAGGGGGAAACCTTACCCCTAAAAACTAAACCGTAATGGTTATGTTTTAGAATACCTAGACTATAATTAAACCATTGAGATTCTAATTGCCGTTGCTCATATGATAGTTCTCATCGGCCAAAAAGGTCTAGCCAAATCCTTCGATACAAATAGTTTTGCTGCAATGGTATATATAGATAGGTCTTGGGATAACAATAACAGTACTTATCTATTACTAGGGCTTAGAGACCCGCTATCTTAGTCGCTATAATACTTATCTTTTTTATTTCTTTATCTAGGGGGAAGCCTTATAAGATCTTATTATAGACCTATAGAACTAGTAGTCCTACTAGAATTATTTTAATATATAGTAGTATCTTATCTACTACTAGGACTAAGTAGTCGAGTAAGATTATTTCTGGAGTCGGTCTGCGAGTCAGGGATCTTTGGGGTGCATTCATCGTCATTCTTGTCCGCATCTTCCGAGGACCACAGCAGAACGCCGCCTAACCCCGGGATGCATAGAAAGGGTTACTGGGATTACCAAATGGGAGTTTGAATAATTGAGAGATTGGGTCATCTGATCTAAGGTTGCAGCGCCATCAGGGACAAAAATGAGGATAAAGACAAAAAGACAAAGATAAGCAGAAGCCAATGGATATCATGTTCGCCATGCCCGGAACTCCAATGGAAACGAGACAAGTTCAAATCAAAGCAAACCAATTGAGACGCGGAAAAACGAAGAGAGAGAGAGAGAGGAAAAAGTTAAAGAAAGCAAAGGGGGGAAATAACTTAAACGAAGGCAATTTCGCCACTGCTAGCAACCGGGAGCCCACGAGAGCTCCCACTCTTGATGGGAGGTGGGGGCTGCAGACCCATATTCCACGATTGGTTCTCAGTGGTGGCGGCAGCCGCCTTGTGCGGACTCGCCTTCCTGGACAGATGCTCCTCGAGATCAGAAACAATCGAAGAGCTCTGAGGCATACCAGAGTCAGGATCCGCTCGTAATTGCCGTGGTGGCTTGGGGTGAGATCCTGATTCTAGGCGCCGAGCACTGCTGAGACTATTCTCACTCCAGAAACGGGGGAGCGGAGAGATTACGCCGCGGTAGTCTTGTGCCAAACTCAGCTGACTCTGGCTTTTCCCGCCGCCTTCGGCGAGAGGGAACAGACTCGGTGGGGGTTGAAGAGTCTGGTATTGGGACATTCGGTTATCGTCTCCATACTCGGACACGGACATTGCAGTAGAATAGGGTCGGCCTTGAATGGACTGGCGGTATTCATCGCTGAATGTGGAAACAGAGACAGTGTCGGCACGGCTGCGCAAACTGCGCGCTCGCTCGAGGGCGCGAAGTCCGGAAGATGTACGGCGACTGACCTGAGCAGAGAAGAGCGGATTTGACGAATTGCGGTTTTTTGCCCGGCTGTGAACAAACGCCTCCAGAGAGTCGGCCTCGGAGATGGTCGACTCATCTGGCTCCACTGTCCTCAATGTGACTCGTTTGGAGTTTGGGATGCTCTCGGCAATACTATATCTCGCACGAGCCGCGGCGGGGGAGGCCGTGGGAAAAAGGGTGTAATGTGGCCCAGGCTACTGTCATCGCTCATGAATGAAGCCTTAGTATTCTGCCACGACATACGCACAAAACCGTGTCCAGGAGGACCGAAGCCACCGGCGCCATGTCCAGCGCCACTCATCCGCACGGGCAACCCTGAGGCGACAGTTGAGATTCCGCTCGAACGCCTAGAGCACCTCTTTGACCGAGAGGACTGGATGGATTCACGTTTCATGGCTCGTGGCTGGATGGTCTTCAAGGGTTCGCGGCGGGAGCGATTGCTGGTCCTGCGTCGTACACCAGGGCTGGCCGTGAATGGCTGGCGTTGAGTCTGCTTCTTAGGAGGCGACTTCTTGACTGGCGTTTTCCTTTCAATGATCGAGTCCCGCAACGGGACGAAAGTGCTCCGCCTTGGGGAGCGAGGTGGCGGGCTAGGCTCGCGAATCACCGCCATACTGTCTTCTGGTTTATCGAACGATGTCATATTCCAAGCAGGTCCAAGTTCAAGCTTGGGGAGATCGGAAGCAGGTGTGATTGGACTCTTCCAGTCATCTGAGTTCTCGTCCCCTGAAGGTATCCGGGTCATACCGGGCTGACAATTCGGAAGGTCTGGCCGGGCAGGCCGTGGCGGAGGCACCTTGGCTTCGAATGGCTTTTGTCCGTCCTCCACAGTAGTCGACCTCCTTCTTCGCCGCCAGCAGCAAAAGAGGATGATGCTGCTGAGAATAGCAACAACTGGAAGGACAATGGAAATCGCGATAATGCCAGCTTTTTTGTGTGATGCGCTGGAGGGGTCCGAGAAGGGATCAGAACCGCCTGAGGGGATCTTGGGCGGCTCGAGAACGTCAAGTTCAAAGTTTTGCGTACTCTGAGTAGATCCTTGGAATGCCTTTAAAGGAATGGTAAAGTTCTCCGGTTTCATGTCTGAGGGGACGTGCCCGTAGAGCGTCTTATTGGCAGAATAGTAGGTGAGCCATGAAGAAAGGTCATCACCAAGGTCGACATCAAGTTGTACAGAATCGTCGGTCACAATGGACTGGTTGAACACAAATGTAAAGTCCTCGCCGATGGTTGCTTCGCAACCTTGAACGGTCTCCAGGAAAAGTTCCAGGAAATCCACACGCACCAGAAGTGTCGCCTCATCGTTATAGCTATCCGCTACAGTGATGGTGATGTTCTGGTTCACAGCATCTTTTGGTGGCGTGCCACTCAGGGAGATGGAGTCGTCTTCCAAGATCAACCAATCTGGAAGTTCTGCGTCGATCTTGCTCAACTCCTTGCTCGGAATCGGCGAGCCGTCGAGGGAGAGAAGGGCTTGGAAGCTAGGGCTGTTGAACTGGTCACCTCTCGTGAGATTGAACGTCTGCACAGTCTCATTGAATGCTAGAATATGTGGTCCGATCACAAGCTGGAAGGTCTGATTCACGGCACTGTATCCGGCCACATCGGAGGCAACAAGCTGGAAGGTAAACTCTTGAGGACCAGATCCGGGAAATGCCGGGGTGTTTCCAACAAACTGGAGTGTGGATGGATCGAAGCTAATCCATGACGGGAGTGGAGCGTTATTGGGCGATGTTCCATAATATATTGTGGATGGGTGGGTATTGTGGAAGGTCTCCGGGTCGAATGCAATCGAAAACGGGCGTCCAGGGTGTATGTATAGTGTGGCAGGATACGAAACAGGGCCCAGGGTCTGCAGTTGCGATACTAGAGATATACCCTCGGTCGGTCCTTGGTCTGATGTGACAATGAGGGTTACGTCCATGCTGTCGTGGTCGGTGCCATTTGAAGCGACCAATTGGAATGTCTTAGAACCGCTGTGCTTCGAGTCTGGAGTTCCGGAAAGGGTCCGGCTGCTGCTGTCGACTTGGAGCCATGACGGTGCGTTCTGGAGCGAGTAAGTTGTATTCGAGTCGGTGTTGGAGAAGGTGCTATCGGCAAACACAAATCTGAAGGGTTGGGAGACTCGTGCAACGGGTGGTAGCTGTGCATTGATAGGATAGTTGGCGGTAATAGCTGCTGCATTGACTACAGCCACGAAGGCCAGAGCAATGAGAAGCAAACGCGCCATTGCTGGTCGGTTTCCAATCCGGAGCACGTCCGGAGACTGTGTAGTTTGCAGAACACAGCTAGCACGACCACGCTGGACCAGAAGAGGGAATCTCAACAGCAGCACGCCCAAAAACCTCAATCGACGGATCAAGAACACGGCTGGAGTGAATTGAAGGAGACAGGAAAGCGAAGATGAGGAGGTGGCTCATCCATGACCTCCCTCCAGGGCACTGCTCCCCGGCCCTCGTGCCAAAGGGACAAGGAGTCATTCAAGGCGTGCCCTTTAGTGAAAGCCATGCCTGGATATGCTCAACGTCACGGAAGTATGTAGCAGAGTGACAGCCGAGAATGAGAGGGGGGACGCGTCGCGGACAGATCGAAGCTCACGTTTCGCCGATGCCCCCCAAAGCAAGGGATACTCATGCTCCTTCGGCAGCCGAGGAGCGCTGAAAATGCCCAACCACTCCGATGCTTTCTAACCCCTCATAACATTTCCAGCAGAGGGGCCCAATTACTGCGAACGCCGGAAGGCAAGGAACATTTCGAACGTCCCTTTAGAAAAGGCCTGCCCCATGCACGAGACCTCGGATAGCCGCAGGTGGCGTCTGCGCTTCAACCGTCACGCGCCAAATCAAGGACCATTCTGATGCCTGTTCGTCCAGGGGCATAGTAGTCAGGGATCACTTCGCGCTCCTCGAATCCACACCGGCGATACAACGCCCATGCTGGCTCCCTAGCCTGGTCCACCCATAGCTGAATGTACTGGCAGCCCTCCTTTCGCAGGCGCTCCTGAATGTAGGACATGAGTTGGTGGCCCACACCCTGGCGGCGATAAGCTTCGATCACACAAAGTTTGTGCAGGAGCGCGACGCCCTTCTGGCGGACGTACACCGCGTAGCCCACAAGATCGGATCGCGCGGTATTCTCGTTGGCGCGGGTTGTGTATAGAACCCGCGTGTTGGGCTTTTTTCTCCATAATTCTTCACCGAAGCCGAATGCCTCATTGGTCGGGAATGTCTTCTTCTCGACGCGTGAAATCTGGGCAAGAATCTCCAGCGCTTCGTTCCTCTTTAAAGAATGAATGTCTGCATGGCTCAAGGTGGGGGACATTCTTCTAGTTGTCAGACTTAAATCTGGGTCTGTCGTTCTTGCTGGTATTCTGAGACTGCAGTTGGATGATTCTGACTGAGGTGTGGAGCTTGAACTTTGAGAGGATCCAAGGCTTGTTGGTCGACAAGTTTTTGTTCGGGGAGATAAGATCTCGGCTGCCTCGGTGGTCAGGCAACCCATCCAAAACAGCATCATAAAATGAGGTATGGAAACACTACAAGTAGATCTCAGATGAATAGTGATGGGTATTGTTATTTTATTCATTCTGACGACCATATATGTATAGTCATCTCCATATGTGGCCAGAACAATAGTGTAATCTCCGGTATTTCTCCCCAAAAAGATCACCAAAAATAGCCAAACTTCGCAAGCAGACATTTTACCGTTACAGGCAAATGCCAGAACGCCATATGGAACACCAATCAGGTATCAGAGACAGCGTCAATGGCCATAGCGATATGTCCATATGTACACTGCAGCTCATATACCTATAGCTACCGCGGCCCGTTCCATCTCTCAGAACAGAAGAACCCGCCACTTCGCGCGAACGGAGTGTACTTGAATTTGAGTTCTCCGGCAGGGTGGCGCTGGGGGATGAGTCTATCACTCAAGCAATGTGGTCTCCTAGAGATAGTTCCCTTTCGAAAAGCGCGAGCTGTAGTCACTCGCTTTGTTTATCATTTCTCGACGTTGCGCATTTGTGATTTTTGACGAGACCGCCATATCCTTCTCTCGATCAAAAGCACGCGAACTTGGATCGTCCTCTTCCTCCTTCCGAGCTGGTTGATCTTTATCGAGGCGGGTGTTCGTGCCAGATTGATCCTGTGGGAGTTCTTGATTAGCTCACGAGATCGCCAACCGGTCGGGCTAGCCATGGTGGCCGTTGTTCTCCACTACTAACATTGAATTTCTTGATCTTTTCTTCCATCTCCTTGGCTCGGGCTGGATTTGTCGAGCTCGGAGTACGCTGCCCCTCGCTTTTTGAAGGAGCACCAACGCCTAGCATTTCGTCCTCAAGCCGTCGCATTCTCTCCTCTGGCGTCTCTATCCATGTGGCATCCACTTGTTTGGAAGTAGATGAGCGGGCGGACTTGCCCGTCTGGAATTTTCGGTTCCGAAGTTGTGTTGGGTCGATTTTCGAGGCCCAGTCGCTCTGGCTGGGTGGGTGAAGCATCCATTCATCTCGTTGGCTCTCTTTCTTCTGTGTTTCTGATATCTGAGAAGCCTGCTGTTCAGAGAACTGCCTAGCCGGTTGGGCACCACCGAGTGATGGTGGTAGGCCGGGCCCAAAGTCATCGTCGCTGTCGCTGTCGCTGTCGGAGTTGGAGTCGGAATGCGCATCTTTGCTGCTACTCTCGGGGGCGTCCAAAGGCTGGGGTGGGGGCAATGAGGGGCCAATCACTCTTTTCTTAGGCGAAGGCTCATCGCCATCGGGTCCAAAGTCGAGTTTTCGCTTGTCAGTGAGTTCCATTTCAGGAAAGAGGGGAGCAGAGGAAGGGTCGTGAAAGGAGAAAGGTTGGCAGAAATGGAATGCGTGCCGATAAGAGATAATGGGCGGTATGGACTTGATGTCATGCGACCTGACCGCCTACCCAGCCTGGTTGTCCAGCTACCCTGTCCTCTTAAGACACGAGCTCCAGCGAGGATGGTGTTGAGTTTGATTATTATGAGTATCGGAATGGTTTTGCCTAGGTCTTTAGGTCTGCTTGCCTGTAAACCTACAGTACCTTTGGAGTAGTCCATCTCCGCCGCATATAATTTGGACGGCGGGCATCTACACAGATCGAGTTAACTACACGGCTGACTAAGCCTTCAATCGGCCCCAACCAGCGACCCCCGCCAGAAACAAAAAAAAAAGGGTGGACAATTCACCTAAATCAAGCGGCGGATTGTTGCCCTATTGTTACCCCATTTTTCTCTGGCCCACCATGGTCTACTATTTTACATCAAATGCGGTCTCCCCCTCCGCATTCATCTATGTCGGCAAGGACAAGTTCGAAAGTACGACCTATTGAGCTGGTTTGTCGCGGAGCTGCTCCTAACCCTTTCTCTAGATGAGGATTTGATCAAGTTCGGCTTGGAGCACGATGTCTGGTAATTGTGCGCCCTGGAAAAGTCCATCGGATTGAGGAGCTAATAGTGCTTTGCGACAGGGTCGGTCCCCCCATGCTCCTACTACTAGGATGTCGCGGCCCAATCGCTCTAACACCTGCCTATCCAGTTTCACGTCGATAACCTGTCAAGTGCCCATGTCTATCTACGTCTCCGGGAGGGCGAGACATGGGATAACATTCCAGAGCCACTCCTAGAAGACTGTGCTCAACTTACAAAAGCGAACTCGATCGACGGTCCGTCCCCGACTTTCTTTCAAAAACACCAGGATGCCACGCGGGGCTGATCAGTCATGCAGGAAACAAAAAGGATAACATTACCATCATCTATACGCCATGGTCAAATCTTCAGAAGGACGGCTCAATGGCTACGGGTCAGGTCTCTTTCCATAACCCAAAACTAGTCCGGAAAGTCCTGGTCCGGATCCGCGAAAACCCGATTGTCAACCGTCTGAACAAGACCCGTGTTGAGAAGTTCCCCGATCTTCGCGCAGAGAAGGAAGACTTCTTGAGGAAGAAGCGACACGATGAACGCAAGACCCGCGAGCAGCAGCAGAACAAGGACAAGCAGGAGAAGCGAGAGCGGGAACAGCTCAAATGGCAGAAAGACCATGCTTATGATGACATGTTCAGCGCAGAGAACATGGAGGATAGCAGCAATCAGGACCGGGATCCGGACTTCCTGGACGATTTTATGTGATGACGAACTCAATTTCGCATCCCTCCGACGATAGCACATGAAGATATGAGACCCGTTCCTCATTTCACTTGGCGCAAAGCCGTGTAGATAGGATTCTATTGATCGCACAGCAACTGCGATCCCTAGAGAGGCATGGATGGAACGAAGGCACCGACAACCCGTCAGATCCCAACATTATACGCAATCCTTTGCAATCCTTTACAATACTAATATTTCCCCAAAACAGGGAGGCTCAATTGTTATTCTGGTAAAAGCCTCGGTATTGTCATGAGAATTTGCATGGCACGCGTTCGTGATTCTTCTGTGCTGGTTCGTTCCAGCGGGTCATACTCACGGATAAGTCATTGGAAACGTCATCGGTATTAGCTGTATTGAACACACGAGTTCCAATATAGGGGTATGGAGGCGAAGGATGCCGGCAGAAATATGATTTCGTATGCGTAAGACTGGGCGTGCCTGTTGACATTGATGAATGGTCACTTCCACTGTAGACTCCGCCATCTTGTACGGAACCAACATCTTAACGTGATATTGGCATGGCTCTTTGCAAATTGTTGCAGGCAAAAGATGTGTGAAATATTATTGCTAGCTTCTCTGGAATCACTGGCACTCTGGAATCGTCGCCTCGCCGGCACAGATTGGGACAGCATTGTCGCCATGGTAGAAGGATAGAAGAAATATCAACTTGTCTGGGTTAATGTGTTGGGCAATAGACAACCCAGCCACCGGACTGCTGGTGGCAAGGGAAAAGAGAATTGCTGCAAGATGACGGGTATTCTATGCATGTCCCAAGATTCTCAAATCCCAAGTCAATTTTGTGCAGATGTCTATACAGTTTGGATTCAATCCCCTTCACTCAGCGCCGTTTCACGGTCCCGACTGGGTAAGCCTGTGTTTACCATTCTGCGAGCCAGATTATATGTGCCTCGAATGATCACAAGAGTTCAAACTTCAAGTCGACTAGGGCTCGCAAAATCTCGCAATAACATGGTTGTACCTTGTAATGGGAGTTCGGCAGACTTCTTCAGGCCACCCGCAATGCTTAGCAGGGGCGACACAGCGCTGAGTGGGGCTGATGAAGGTTGAGGATCCCAAAGTGAGCCGTCATACATGGCAGACGGGCGTGGCAGCAAAACGAACACTTGGACAGTAGTATAAATTTCTAGGCCAATAATCACCATCACCTTCTTCTCATATGCCGATCCCATTCCGGTTCATTTACTCGTCCCAGATCACACTGCTCAGGCCTTCCGCAGTGCCCACTTTCCCGGGCTCCCCCACCTGAAGCACCGCAATTTCCTCCCCCAACTGACCCGTTTCCCGGTCTCTACGTACAATCGCGACTGTGGCGGTAGCCTGGTTTCCAATGGCCACCAGATCCCCGGCTCGGTTGATCGTGAAGGTCCGCGGCACCTTGCCGTATGACGGAGTCTTGTCCCGGAGCAAGACGGCTCCATTGAGCGGGGATCGATCCAGGGTGACCATGCTATCATTCGGGGCGAAGGCCTGGTCGGTCCGAATCGAGACGTAGAGTTCATTTCCGACCATCCGAATTTCAGCAGGGGTAGCGCCCTTGGGCATCGTGCCATTGGTATAGGGCACGAGCGTTTGCGTCTTCTGGAACGAGAGACAACCCGATCGCGCATAGGCGACATCAAACACCATCACGGTGCCACCGATTTCGTTCGCTAGGTACATCATCGTCTTCCCGACCGCTGCGACTTGCCGAAAGCGCTCCGGCGAGCCGTCCTGGCTTCCAGCCGACCGGCTCTCGTTGTTCGTCCCATCGGTCCAGAACACTCCATGGCGGGGACCGCTGCCGAAAGTGACGTTGACGGGGGGACATTGCTCCAGCTTCCCCGACCCACCGTCGATCGAGTAGACACGAACCAGGTCCGCACCCAGGTCGGGGCTCACAATAAAGGAGCCTGTCGGGTCGAGGAAAACCTCGTGCGGGTGGGGCGCATCCTGTTGCGCGGTCGCTCCCTGATGGCTCATATTGAAGCGGAGTTCTTGGACGGCAGGCGCATTGTCCTGGAGTGGAAGAGCGAAAGTTGAGAGCGCCGAGCCCTCGCTATTACCGGGTGTGAGTTCATGATCGGGATATAGCGTTCCAATCCTCCCTGAACCAAAAAATATATTTTGTTTTCCAGCAGCCAATTCCCGAGGAAGACAAAACACGAAGACTTACTAATGCGCAATGGCAAGGAATTTCTCCCCCTTGTTGCCCTCATAGATCACACTATTCACGCCACCACCGACGGTATTCGTTTTCGCAATCTGGTGCAAGTGCCCATCACTCCCCGCATGGTACGCCCACAGCGAGCCATGCGTACTCGGATCCGCAGTGCCGTCCTCATCGGAGCAGTACACGGTTCGCGTCTCCGGGTCAAAGGTTAACCAGCTCGGCATCAACCCGCAGGTCTTCGTAGTGTCGGAAAGTGTCAGATTATGGCCATCAAATGCGAGGGTGTAGACATTGCCATTGTAATGAGTGGCCCAGAGGGAGGTGGGTGGGCGTCCGCATGTCTGGTGGAGGGATGCCGCGGTTGTGGTGGTGAGGAGCAAGACCAGGGGCGCGTGGGAGAGGCGCATTGTTAGGGTGGTCGTCTGGGTCAGGTCGCCAGCGCGATGCAAAAGGGATGTACCACGATGGGGTCAATTTGATCAGTAGGCCCGCAGTCCTCCAGAGTGCACCCTCAAAGAGAAGTAGAGTAGAAGTAGAACTCCAGGGCGGACGCAGGCGTGAATGTGTATTAGAATAATACGCGGGATGATCGACTGTAACCCTGATGAATTCTCCATGCAGGACCCGGGCCCGGGTCAACAGCCTCGCGCATCATGCCCGCCCTGCGACGAGAGCTTCGTGTTTAGCGGCTAATTGGAATGGATCGACGTGGGGGCTTGCCGAAGGGAGGCCATTGTGGAGTTTGCGCGGGAGGGGTGGGATTCAAGGGGTTTGAGCTTGAGATTGGATGTTTGGCCTCCCCAGGGACAGTAATTATATCTGCTGACGCTACTCGCTCTGTGTGTGTGCTTATTCGAAGCCGGGGGGAGTTTGAATCCAGTTTTATCCTTTGCGTGTTTACTATTCCCGAACACGCTTTATACTTCGGGCTCTGGTCTTGTGCGGGGTTGGCGTTCTGGTGTTTCGGCCACAGTCTGCCTCGACCGCGTCGGTAGGACTGGTCCCTACCCCGGAATACTACTCTACATAGTACAGTAGCATTGGGTTTCAATGCACAATGATGGTGCGCGCCGAGAGCATACCGAATAATGGAGGTGGCGGTCCTGTGGGGTACTGAAACTCCGAGATCTCCCCATTAAATCCCCGTACCCCCCGAGCCCAGCATCTATCGTGATCAACAACGCTAGGCACCCATGGGATTGGGGGTGGATGGATTCTGTTCCCATAATACCGGTCAGGATGATAGCGACCCAGTTAATTCATGGTGCGGACTGATTTATCAACAAAGCCCGGACATTGCATAGCACCCACGAACCACCATGTCTAGTCCACCGTGAGAAGTTGCTCGGTAAACCCACCGATCTGTCGGGCCGTGTCGTGGAGATGAATCTCGAGGATCCAATGGCGTTTGAAACCATCCGGTCCAGTACAATTCATGGTTGAATTATTTCCTTTTGTGATATAGAGAGTCGTTTGATCCTTCGGAATGCGCTCGTGGGGGAAGTCGCCAACAATATGCCCGGCAATATGAGCGCCAAATTGGAATCCGTGTTCCCGGGCAATGCCGCAGGCGATATCGTATAGCTCCTCGCCGGTCATGTCAGGATTCTCGCGGAATTTCGATTTGACGATCTCCCAGATTGGCTGGAGTGCATCGCGCAGCGTTTTCTTGTGCGGGTCGTCCCCGAGCACAAACGTGCGGCCAAAATCGGCCTCCCACTCCTCGAAGACCGGCCCGAGGTCCACGATCAGGATATCGTCCGGGTCAATGATGCGATCGGGAGGATTGTCGGCATAGGGCCTCAAGGTGTTGGGTCCACTCCGAACCACTCGCTTATGCCAATGGGTTCGGACGCCGTATCGCTCGGCACCAAGCTTGTGAATCTCGTCGCTCAATGTCTTTTCGCTGATCCCAGGACGAACTAGAGTTCGTTCGATTTCCTCGAAGAGTCGGATGGCTTTGTTTTGGGCATCCAGAAGGAACGCGGCCCGCTTCGCTTCCTTCGCTTCCATGGTCTAGAAGGTATTCGGCGAGAAAAATCTGGTTCCTGGTCGACGTTAGGAGAGAACGGACAGCTTCGACATTAGCGGGGGAGGTGCCGCCTCCGCTGACCAATTGCGGAGATGGTTGCTGGGAACTAAATGTGCACCCCGCCGAAGCGTCATTTGGCGGGGGGACGTAAGGACAAAACTAGTGCGGGCTTCCGAGTCTGCAGTGGGAATCATGAAACAGCAGGCAGTAATATATCATTCTAATGAAGGAAGCCGAACCCGACAGCACGACAAACATAGGACCGTCCTTTCTCCTCTTTCTATCATCGAACCCCGACACAATGCCCTCAAAAACCAAAATCGAGACCGAAAATCTCACAAATACACATAGCAGAAAGGCCCGGCCGTGGTGCTCATTATATCTCGCACCGCGATTGAGCCCGGTTTGACATATCCAACGTTGACGTGGGTGTCGAGCGTAGTATTCGGCGACGCCGGATCATTCAAGAAGGTTCCCGTCCCGGAAATCGCATATTGCCGTTTGGTCAAGTCCAGGTTCTGCCAAATCCACCAGAGACGATCAATCATGGCGTGATGATTCCAGAATCCAGGATCCCCCGGATTAGCGTCGGCGTCACGGCCAGGGTCACCACCCATAGCCAAGTGGCCACCACCGTGAACACCGAGGAGCCCACTCCCGGGCGCACCCTGCGCATTAGTCTCGAAGTCCCAAACATCGTGGTTGTTGAGGATCAATTGAAGAATGGTTGTATAGTTATTGTTATCGCGCAAAATGGAGGTCGTCAAGTCGCGCTTCAAGCAGCGGGGGTTGTAGTCGAGTGGATTGGACATGCGCGATACGTTGCCGCCGGGTACGTACAGGAAGGACGGGCCCATGTTGATCGTGGAGTTCATGAATGGACCACTAGTCAGACAGCCTCCTCCGGTGCCAGCGGGAAGAATTAGAGGGGGCAGATCGGTGTTCCCAAGTGGTATCCGCAGGTTCGGCTGATTGGGAATATAAGCCCCATTGCCCGACAACGATGTGTCGCTGCCGTCGAAGAGCGGGGACTCTTCCATTGATTGTACATCAGCACCCCAGTTCCAGTAACTGCGCATGGGAAACTGCCTTAGATCGGTTCTCAAAAGTAACATAGAGCTGGTCAGCAAAACTCACGGGAGGTCGCCGGTATAACCGCATTCATCACGCAACGTCTCTTCGAACACGTAGATGAAATACCGATGCCAGGCCAAAAAGGTGCCCTGGAGCCGACCAATATGTCTTTGGGTTATTACACCGGTCAGAATGGGAGAGATAAGACGTACCGTGCGATGAATATGCCAGGTTTGGTTGATGTGCGTGGCTACGAAGTCATCGTATCGGGACTTGGCCCCGGCTGCAAGGGCAGAAGGTGTTTGAGCAGGCAGCCATTGTAGACATAAAACTGCATTGATATAGGCTCTCTTTTCCTTGCGCGGGAAGGTTCTCCAGTCTCGACGGACCCGCACATTTTCTAACGTACATCCCCCTTGGTCATGACCCAATGAGCGATTCCCGATTGCATCCAGCGTCGAGTCGAGGGCAAAGCGAGATAGTCGGTTGATTTGATACGCGGCTGTATGTTCGGAGAAGGAAAAGGAATTGGTCTTGGCAGTTATGGGCATGGTCCAGACCCGCAACATCAGACATAGCAAGAAGCTGGTGAGAAGAATAGCCATGATGGGGATTCGAGCTTCGACTCTGATCCACAGTAGATCGCGCTACAGCGTCCACGCAAGCTCTTCACTCCAACGAGAAGGGGACAACGGCGAACATGGGCTTGCATTATATCAACACCAGGCGTCCTCTGTCCGATGGTCCCCGTTCGGAGATCTGGCTGAGCAGCTCGTATACCGTATCACTCAGTTGACTTTTCTTCATTGGCTCGGGGGGTTCCGATCGGGAAGGATACGCGAGTCTTACATTCGACCGTGAAACATGGAAACCTCGTGGCTGAGCTTAGCTGTGATGCCCTGCAGGGGTTGGACTCTCTCCCGAGCACGGGGAGTAAGGAAACGATGGGTCGCCGTATTATCCACACACCATCTGAAGCAGACTAGCGCCTGCAGAGCACGATCGATTCAGGGTCGGGCCTCGTCGTATAGAACCTCAGGATCGAAATTTGCATGCACTGCTTCCCGGCATCCCCTGGAAGGACCATTGGCCAGGGTTTGTAAATAACACCATTTGGTGGGTCGGCTGAACTATGCACCCGTCGAGTCAGTATAGTGCATCGTTGACTCAGATTCGATAGGATCACAGGGAGTTCCATGCTGACGACCTCATATAGCAAGCCAGTACACTCTCTCGTGCCCGGCCGATAATCTTAGTCAAGTCCTGGGAAGTGATCCCCACCGTCACGACTCCTCTGACCGGATACCTTGTGTACTTCATGGTGAATGGTTGCTACCGAAGGTTTGCTTCCCCCGATTATCCGCCGTGGTGGATCTTGCTTGAGGTGCGAATCTGCGGCCGATCTAGTCGGAGGGCCAAAGGTTTGAAACTCAAAGGTGGGTCACTAGTCATCTATGTATATTTCCCACTCGTCTCTACAAATGTGTATAGCGTAAAGTCGTCTACCGCATCCATCCCAGCTAGGGTTGCGAGCTCGGCAGGTATTTACTGCTCCGAGGCCAGCAGATCCGAGAGTTTATCGAGGTACGCCAGTGGCCGGACGGGACCAGACACGAAATCCTCCTTGGAACTAACGCCCGTGAGCACACCCAGTGTACCACCCAAATTGCCCTCAAGACCAAAGCGGATATCGGTGTTTGCACGGTCGCCCACCATGCATGCGCGGGTGCGATCAAACTTGAATTTACCCTCAATCGCATCCATCATCGCCTGGCTTGGCTTTCCTAGTGCCACGGGATCCTGGCCGAGCATCATTATCAGCGGCGCACTCATGGACCCAGCTCCCGGGAATAGCGCTCCCGAGTTTGGCAGGGTCGAATCGATGTTGGTTGCGAGGAAGATGGCGCCACGCTTCACGTAGTGATAGGCCAAGGCGAGCTTCAGATAATTCAGGTGGAAGTCCAGGCCAACGAGCACAACTCCTACTTCAGGGTCAAGGAGGGAGGTATCACCCGCGGCAATCCGCTTGTAGTCTTCAGGCTGCACGTCACGACGGTACGCCGGGTCGGTGCCACCGACGAAAGGGACATTCTCCGAGCGCAGCTCCTGCTCAATGCCACTTTCACCAATTACGTAGACTTTCCGCTTGTTCTCGGGGAGCTGCAGGATGCGGGAAATGTAGATCGAGGAACTGTAGGAAGACGAGAAGATCTCTTCCTGGTACGGTGTGAGCCACTCGGTCTCGCGCGCATGATGGCCGTCTGAACTCACCACTGTACTCGGGATCCCAAGACCGTCGAGTTTCTTGCGGTAATCGGCGCGCGACTTGGTGCTGTTATTTGTAACAAAAACGACTTGTTTGCCTAGGTCAGAGTTAGACCATCTGTTTCCCACCACATCGCGCGTGTGGGTCGCGCACCATTCTTTCGTAGTAACTCTAGGGTCTCGACCGTCCCGGGGAAGCAGTGGTCACCGGACCATAGCACACCTGGATCGCCAGTTAATGTCCAGCCATGGTCATCGCAGACAATCAGTCGCGTCGAGAGCTCGGAGGGAAGGCCGAGATCGCAGGTCTACCAACCGTCGCAGTCAAAGAGAAAGACCTAGAGAGCAAGGACGTCAGTCAATCCGGAATTCAAGAGGCATGTATATCGGAATTGGGATCCCACATCAAACTTATCCAAGAACTCACGCAGACCGGCGGGATCACCGGTCAAATAGCTCGGAGTGTTGGTTGACGCGGGGTGTGATTGAGCCATAGTGGCGGTGCGCGGAAGGGAGGAAGGCCGCGCGAAGAGAAGGAGAGAGGGGGGCGCGGGATCGTGAGTGAGATGAAGGAAAGTTCGTCTCAGGGAAGCGACAAAAAGAGTTAAGAGGCAAGAAAAGGAACCCGTACAACCCGACGGTCACTCACCCGAAGCGACTCGCCGGTGACTCGCCGACCGCGTGGGGCCTGGCCGCCTTCAGGCAGTTTTAGAGTCACCGCCTCCCCGCGGCGGGGAGTAGACAGTAATCAACACATGTCTAAATGAATATATAGAGACTGATGAATCCAACAAAGTCTAGTGACATATGTATCTCAGGAATTTGCAACATATCGTGTCATTTTTCCGACCGCCAACCCTCGGACCCTTCGACAGCCAAACCACTATGGTTTACATAAAGGATCAAACAGAAACAAGTTGAAGTAAAAATTATACCATCCACTGCCAGTCCAAACGCCGGCCGGGGGTGGAAAAGCGGAAGCCCCTCCCAAAAAGACAAGAGAAGAAAAAAAAAGATAACACTTATATACCAACACACACACACATTATATTACGAAAAGACATTGCGCCGCCGGGACCGGAACCAGTTTTTATGCCGCTAGATCGCCAAAGCCCCCGTTGATGCCGAAAAATTGGAACCTATTGTCATGGTCAGTCACCGTGAATCCACAATGAACAAGAGCAGAGGTAAGGAACGAAGGACTTACCAGTCTTCCACGTTCAAGGTCGTTGGCGCAGTCGGCCCACTGCGCGAGCTGCTGCTCCAGTTGTCGTCCTGGCTGGCAGCGTCCATCGCCGCACCGCTCATGGGCCCATCGAGTCCCTGCATCGGCCACGGCTGCCCCTCCATGCCGAACATGGGCTGAGCCCCTCCTGGTCCCGGCATTCCCATGCCTCCAGGGAAACCCGACATCATCTGTGGGCTGCCCTGAGGGACGGACATGCTGCGTCCGGGGACTGGGGGGACCGGCTGTGGCTGGTTGCCCATCATGGGCCGCTGACCCAGGTGAGCAGCATGGAGTTGCGACGGAATCGGCAGCTGCGGGTCGACCGCCGCGGGCGGAGGCGGAGATGTCAATTCGGGGAAGATGGCTGTGCCATCGGGGAACAGCTGGTCCGGTTGGAAATTCTCCCACAACGAGGGGGAGAGGTTGGGGGATGCGCGGGTCACCAAGAAGAAGTCGGGGGGCGTGGCAGGCAAGGAAAACTGCGCGTTGAAGGGAGTGCTCGCCCGAGTATTCGGCCGAGTGTTCCCCCGCGAGTTGGCAGGTCCCGAGATGGGGTCCTGAGGGCCGCGATGGGTGTTTGGTGACGGTTGTCTCAAGGGAGGCTGGGGAAATTCACGGGACGGCGTGACAGCCGGCGTCTGTGGGCGTGACCGCTCGTACGACACTGGGGGGTGGGGCCACCGTTAGACAGACCCAGATCCATGTCGTCGAACTTCCGCTTGGGCGGATCTGGTCTCTTTGAAGGGGCGGAGTTACTCTCATGCGCTCGGCGCTGGTGTCGCCTTCCAGCAGCCTTCTGAAGTCGCTCTTCGAGGACCTTGTTGCCCAGAATAGACTCGAACAAAGTGTTGACCATCTTGGCCACGAGCCACACTTTCGAGACATCCTTCAGGGCCAACATGCACACGTTGATGCGTTCTTGGCAGGTCGCTACAATGGAGGGGACCGAGGATCGCATCTGATACACGTGCATGATCAGGGCGGAGAACAAGCTGTAGACGCTGTTCGGGGACTGTTAGTAAAATGGGTGGACTCGAGCAGGCGCCCACTAGAAAGGTAAAAGAAAGCATGGGCTAGAAGGGCAACATACATGAACGCCGGAGTATAGCGAATCTCATTGTGAGCCTGAAGGTTCTCGATGATGGACGTCATCATGCCGGCGGCTTGGAAGGCAATTGTCCGTGACGGATACGCCATCTCTTCCACCCGGTAGCTATTGGGCGCCGAGGAAGCAGGCGGCATGTGGGCTCGGTGCAACAGACAGAGGGTGGTACTGCAGAGTTGTCAGTCATGAACCGCGACCAAGAACAGCTCCGGTTGTCTGGAATAACTTACTAGTAATTGGAATGGAGAAGAGCGGCCCAGAAGTGGTGGCGCGATCGCTGCCAGCAAACCTCCTTGGGGCAGTTCTGCAGCCAGTCGGCCAAAGCCATGTCTGAGTGAGTGAGGTCCATCGCGTTCATGCGACGGGATTTCGATGCCACAGAGTATTGTTGGGACAGCACCAGACCCATGATCTCACAGAGCTTCACATATTGCAGGAAGAACTGCACATGCACTGGATCAGGCGGGTATTCAGCCTGAACGTCGAGCTCATCCTCGATGAAGTCGTCCTCAGTCACCATTCCAACGTCCGAATCATCGGTATTGATTCCAATCGGGCGCCCCAGTGCCACAGCGACAGAGCGATCCCGGGTAAACAGCGTCCACCAGATCCGCTTCCACAGTCGCTTGTCCGGTTTGCTAAGCTGCGAGGTTTCCACACTATCAAATTCTCATCAGAATTCAAACATGTCCACACAACGATGGGGATGTCACAACATACCTCCGGTGCATGCCGGAACCCTGGGCGACCACCATGGCGACTCTGGTCCAGTAAAATACGTTCTTGGTTACATCTATTGGGAGTGGGTCAGACGCGGAGCTCATTTCTAGGCTATCGACAGGTTAGACTCACCTTCGGGTCCTTCCCAGTACCAGCCTAGGAGGACCAAGGCCTGAACGATGGTGACTCGATCATCTTCGTAGTTGGCATCGTAAAGAGCCTTGGCTCGCTTATAGAAAGTCATCGCCGCCGGCGTCGTCGATCCATTGGCATCCATGAGCTGTGGGTTGGTGCACACCCGGGAGCCGGCCAGGAGAATGGCCTGCAGCAAGAGAAGGGACGGCGGGTTCTTGGGATCCCGATAGTGGCGCATGAAGCGGCTGCGGTTGATGATGGGGACGACCGGGGCGACCCATTTGAAGTAGGCATCAACCAGCTCATCACACAGCGGCTTCGGGGGTAGCAGGAATGCTCCTCGCTGATGGAGAATATCGATTTCGAGATTGTCCAGGTCGGTCAACCGTGCGCGCGATCCACGGATATTGGGGGGGGAGGGGATAGTGCACCACATCGGTGGTGCCATGCCGGTCTTGCACCAGGAGGGACAGATTCGATGATTCGCCCAGGTAGGCCACCCGGCCAGCCTCCTTGATCGGGGCCCGAGCGAACTTGGGCTTCATAAATTGGGCATAGGCGTTATCGGCTGAGGCCTGCTGGGCCACCTCCGAGTCGGTCAGGGAGGTGACGGGCATACCCTCGACCGCCATCTGGTTTTTGCGGTATCCAAAGGAAGCATCCTCCTTCTCATCCAAGTCCGATGTCCGCGCTCGTCTGTCCGAGGGGTCACGGTCGACGGGCTCCTCGGTGCTGTCGGGGCGAAAGTGACCAACCGCCGCGTCGACCAGCGAGGAGGCAGGGTGGGGTGGTGGACTGTCGGCATACTGACTATCGTCCTTGCCTTTGGTGGAGGTTTTCTTGCGTTTCGGGCTGGGGATCTTGCATTCAATGGAGAAGGCGACGCAGTTGGTGCAAGGGACGCCTAGACTGGCAGCATCACAGCGAACCTGGTCGGGGTGGTTAGATGCGCCGGCGAGGTTCTGAGGGGTGTGACGGGGGGCAGCTTACCTTACGAGAATGGCAGGTCTGTACCAGATTGAAATCCTTCTAGTTAGCATGATTCTGTTCACCGAAGGGAGATTGTGCGCCCGTCGCTGGGGGCGAGGGGGGCATATTGGGGCCGCTGGGTGGGTTGGACATTGCGATAAGGAGCTGGGTGACAAAAGGGACCGAGGCCCACCACCAGCCTCGGCTCCCCCTCAAGCGCACCAAATCGCGTCTCCGCCCCGGAACAAAAAGGACGTACCTCGCACGCGCGGGATGCTCGTTGTCTAAACCCCGATCGATCACGTTAGCATACGTTTATATACAGACTGAACTTGATTCGCAGAACAAATTCGAGGCACTGGCCCGGGGGCCCACGGGGGAGAGGTGAAAACCCTGTCGATGAACCCTCCCCTCTTTTTCCCCCCCCTCAAGACTCCGTCGCGACCGCAGTCACATCTTCCGACGCACACGCATCCTGGCACGAGGGTATGTGCTCACCTTCTGAAGCTGAGCGCTTGGCCACCAGGGCCATTGCGTACCGTGATTCCTGACGTTCCTGTCGAACCCGCTGCGCTGGGTGCCGGACTGGGTTGGTTGGGCGCGGGCGGTTCGGTGCGAGATTCGGTCGTAGTACTCATACTCATGGTGCGCAAGTCCCTCCACGGGAGAACTCGATCGAGGCGAAGCCGAAGAGTCTCGGTGGTGGGGGGGAGGAGGAAGAACGGGGCAGGGCGACAGTGATGGTGGTAGTTTGGGTTTGGAGGAGGTGGTCGGGTGGTCGGGGGCGGTGATAATGTAATAAGAACAATGGGAACCCTAAGCACGGGAAGAGTATGGGGAAGGGAAAGGGGGGTGGATAATGGCTCTCAGCGCATGAAACGGGAGACGCCACACGGTCAAGCTGACGGGGTGACTGGGGAAGAAGAAAAAGGACCGGAGCCACCAGGTACGCGGAGAGGGGGGGAGGGAAGAAAGACGGTCGGGCTGATGAGTTGGTTTGGTGTGGTGTTGTCTCATCAGTCGAGTCGAGTTGGAGGATCATCTGGGGGAGCGCTGCAGGCTGTGGCAATAGCCCCGTGGACTATGGTCCGCAGGCCTCCGGAAGGTGGAGAACCATGGCGATCCAGTCGTAGTGCCTCCCTGGCGACTGGCCCGTGGACAATCCAAAGGGACTCCGAGCGGGAGGCCGACTGCAGATTTGCAGCTAGTTCTGGTTCCTTTGTTCATTGGTTCGTTCCCGCATCTACTCCAGGCCTCAATTCCTCAATTGCGTGGTCCTGGGGCAAAACAGCACGATGGTGGCTGGCCCAGCGTGGGCTTAGGTAAGCCCGCAGGCTGCAGGAGCGGACGGGCTAGTTTGGCCCGTAGGATGCCAGACGGGCTACCGAGATGTCGAGTACTTCAACGGCGGTATAGGATATAATCGACAAGATATGAGATAGTATCGTATATGATGCGAAGTGTCCACTAAATGATAGTGGCTCGTCCACCCTCGTCAGTCGGGCCCAACTGCGGAGTACGTAGTGACCAAAGCCCCGATCCCTAGGACCAATGAGAATAGGCTGGATTCTGCCCTTGGTAGCGCTGTTATCAACCTCCAAGACCAAGGCAGAAGGTAACGGCGGGGTGGAGGTCCCCGCGCACCGCTAGCGAGCACGCCACCTCCCAGCGCCCGAAAATCCGGGGACAACAGGGGAAGGCACTAGGAACGGGGGATTGGTGAGCTGGTGGGTCGGTTCATCCCATCCTGGCAACCTTGGATCTACAGCAACGAGTACAGAATAGAGAGCCTCGAGTCACCATCCACGACACCTTATCACTGCACTTCGTCCATCCCGACTACTCGAACCAGCCAGACAGTGAAGGGGCGTCCCAGCATCGGGGGAAGATCAACGGACCCGGAAGAGAGGGGCGGGGTAAATCCAGGACGGAACGGAACACTTCTCATGCCCTTTTAAGAACCTTTTGAAACCACCATTTTTTGCGCACCTATAGTTGACATGGCTGCACCCGTGTGGTGTGTATCTATACCAGCCGACATCAACTCTCACCATATGCGGTCGCCCTCGAATTGGGGTTTGTCCCCTTTGTTGTGACCGAGATGATTGTCGTTTGGGATGATTTAATACACCTGGGTGAGATCCCGAGGAACAGAGTCCTGTTGGACCACCATCGAGTGAACACATGGACTCAAGATCGGGTCAAGATCTCTCTCCAACGGCCGAGGGCCAGTGCCTGGCCCCGGGGGCCTGAGGCGGAGGCGGGGACGGTGGTGCGCCGTGGAAATACCCGTTCAGCCTCCAACTTCTCGTCTTGCGGAGCGGATGATTCTTTCCCTTTTGGGCGGAGGTTCTGCCGGCACGTGAGGGCCCCGGCTCGCCTGGCCGCTGACTGCGGACGGCCTGGCCGGGACTCTCCAACGACCGTCATGTCAAACAGCAATGCCCTCAAATGGGATATTGTATGCGCTTGCGCGCTCATTCGCAGATCGACCCCGAGATTTTGATTGTTTATGGCGACTCTGGTCCTACTTCAAGGTCCAGTGTGACCTATCCACCAAAGCGTGGGCGTGCGCCCACATGCCTGCTCCACTCATGGAAACTCAACCGCCCCCTCCTCGGCTCCCGCCGCCAGGGGTCCACGATGGCCATATAACATATCCCACGGCGCGCTGGCGGATCCAACGTGACTCCTCCACATAAGATGGCATTCCGCGATATTGTCGCGAGCGGGAGCTTTGCCGCCTATGCTCTGCGACACCCTTTGGAGGGCCTGTCGAGTTTTGGGCCGACTCTCAATGAAGCAACACTCGGACTGCTTGGGTCTTCCTTCAATCCGGACCGGGATATTTCTGGGATTGAAGGGAAGACGGTTGTAGTCACTGGAGGTATGCATGCCTCCCATAAATCGTGCATGCGCGTCTCCTCGCGGGCAGCTGGCTAACCCGATCATTGTATCTCTGCAGGCAATGCCGGCATTGGCAGAGAGACCATTCTCCAGCTCGCGAAGCACCGACCAACCCGGATCTATCTCGCCGCGCGCACGGAGAGCAAAGCGCGAGCCGCGATGGCCTTCATCCAGGCACAACTCCCTTCCCCAGCCGACATCCGCTACATCCCGCTGGACCTATGCTCCTTCAAGTCGATCCGTGCGGCAGCAGACATGATCCAAGCCGACAGCGATCGGCTAGATATCCTCATTTTGAATGCAGGAACGATGGGCAATCCGCCCACCACGACAGAGGATGGCTTCGAGATTCAACTAGGCTCGAATCATGTGGGTCACTTCTTGCTCACGAAACTGCTTCTGCCGATGCTGAAGAAGACGGTTGCCGACCTCCGTGCGAGTGGGCAGACACCTGATGTGCGCGTTCTGAGCTTAGCCTCCGTCGCGCATGTGATGAGCCCCACTTCGCTCGAGGAGATGACATCTACGCCTGATCTGTTGGCGGGCAGTACCTGGACCCGATATGGTGCATCCAAGGCGGCGAACATTCTGTTTGCCGCGGAGCTGGCGCGACGGCATCCAGAGCTTCTTTCGGTGGCGGTGCACCCAGGGGCTGTGAATAGTGATTTGTATTCGCATGCAAGATCGAGCGGTGCGCTGATGAAACAGGGGGTGAACGTGGCGACGTCGTATTTCTTCCGCAACGTATCTAGCGGGGCTTTCAATTCTCTCTGGGCGGCCACTGCCCCAAGATCAAACCTAGTTAATGGGGCTTATTATACCCCAGTTGGGTATCGCAGTAATGGCACTGCGTTTGTCCAAAATGTCGATGTTGCTCGTGGGCTTTGGGAGTGGACTGAGGCTCAGATTGCCGAGCGGAGTTGAGCGACGTCCATGGCTCGGCATCATCTGCGTTGGATGCTTTATCATCTCAGCTGATCGTGGATATCTATAGTTGGGCTTCTGGAAAAGACATGTACCATTTTGTTCGCCGCGGATCTAGCAAAATATACTCAATATACTCTGATCTCCCGATCGATCGGTGCTCGTGGTCTTTCGCAAACACGGCAGAGAGGTGAACTATGGGCTGCATTCCCTGGGTCAGGCAGCCCTATCGCTGGCCATCCCGTACCGTCGTTTGTTTCCCTTTTATCATGAATGACATCAACGCCTCCTCCTGGCGGTCATCTATCGTATCTGTAGGGCACGTCTTCTTGGACCGGGACACGGGGGCCTTCAGGAACTTCCTTCAAATCTCAAAGCCGTGTGGCTGACAAGGTTTCACCAAGGGTATGATTCATCTTATTCAACGGACATGCGGACTGGTAGGAGGCCGGGTTTGTCCATGGCCTGGGGACGAACGATGTTGCCAATGTAGGTGATGTGTTTGGAGACTGACACTGGCATGTCGGAATTTGTGCGTTGCCTATCTGTGGCAAAATAAACCCTGAGCCATTATTCTCCACAGTCGTAGTGGTGACTGTGTCTCCCAGAGCAGCAGATACTGAGTCTGGCGAAACGAGCACAATAATTTTAGACTGGGGAGACATGGTGCTCAGGACTTGTAGGATTTGAGGTAACGCGTTTTCTGTAGGTGCGTGCTGAGCGTTAGTTTTGGCTATCTTCTGCCCATATGCCAGTCAGTGGAAGCCAGAGCCTCACCGGTTGCAACATAGTATAGTGGCTGGTTGGTGTGAGTGGTGAGTGGTCCTGGAGTATGGAAACCTCCTGCGATTGACATGTTGAAATTTGCGTGCTCTTCGCCATCACCCAGCAATGGTTGTATAGTACCATTATTCATCAAGCCAGTTACGGCAGAAGAGGAATATGCTGCATCAACTGCCAAGCCTTCCCTAGTGAAGAGGCAGGTAGATTCACCGGGCAGAAGCGTGGACGGCTGCGCAGTCGTGCCAGTACCGGGCCAAGTTGGTATCATTGACAACCCATATGATGGCATAAAAGGCGAAGAGGAATCTGCCACTAGCTGGGAATTGTACGAAGTGCCCATTCCAGAGCTAGCTCCCGGCTGGGTCAGATGCCGGGTTGTTATTAGTGGCGAAGGTGAATAGGGCTGGTCCCAACCGTTGAGAGCCGCGGTCGCCCGGAGCTCGTTGGCGATAACACGTTCTTGCAGCTTCGCAATTCGGTCTCGAATCTTGCGGCCTGACTATCATGAGCTTTAAGTTGCGACAAAATGCGACCTAGCAGCAATCCATAACATTCTTACGGTGATTTCTTTGAGACAGCCGATTTTGAAGCCGTCTCCTCTCCAGGGGATCCTGCTTCGGATCTGATGCATCGTCACTGTTGACAGCCCCAGAGCCTTTTCTCACTTTCATAATGGCTATGTGACGATCTTGCAATGGGTTTTCTTGATTATGAGATATCAAGACTTTCGACCACGTACGGTATCTGGGAGTCGCTTGGATAAACTGTGTCGCAAGCTGAAAGGTCGGCTTCAGCAGCGGGAAATGCCAGATCTTCAAATTTCCATAAGAATGGGTGATTCATGGACAATCATGGCGGAGGAAATTCTGGGAAGCACCGTCAATCTCACGGTGACACGTACCTGTGCAACAAAACCCTCGGGTACGCCAACGACTCGGTCTGAAAATGAGTGGCGATAGATCATTACCAGGGCTTCTCAGCCGCGTGATTCCACGAAGCATGTCCCTTCACCATCCTCAGCTATCTTATCTTTCTTCCAATGGGACATTTCAAGGAGCAGGCGCATGACCTGTATCTTCCATTCCCTACGAGGGATCGACCTCATGTCCCACGAGGAAGAGGCGTCAAAGATATGTCTCAGCATGGTTCCGCTACCAAAACGTCCTCTACCCTAGATCCCCGGCTACCATCGGTCTGGGATATCTCGTAACACATGGAACCACCCTTGTAAAGAAGCCGCGGGGATGCCTCACGCTTCTCACAACGCCTGGAACCACTGGACATAGCGAGAAGTTGGCGATGATTGTGCAACCACCGGATTTAGGTGGAAGGTCAATATGCAGTCTAGGTAGTTATATGCTTTGTAAGAGCTTTGAGGTGGATCTAAGGATGAGTCTGACCACCATGACACCTGTAATGAGCCAGATACTATCTGGGTACAGAATCTCATCCGGGGCAGGATTCCTGAAGAACTGCATAATAAGGTGGGCCCGCTCATTGTCGGACCGGCCTGGGGAACTTTCTATCTGTTGATATAAATGGACAAGAAAGCTCTGTCTAGTGCTATGGGCTCTGGGGTCATAGGGACAGGGTACTATTCTAGAGCGCTAACCTTTGGAATTAGATTCCCTAATATAGGGAACAGCAATGTACCATGGACGATGGTTTACCCCAATGAGAACCTAGGCATTACAAGAGTGGGAGCAATGATGACGGGATCCGAATATACCCCGGGTCCACAGACGCCGAGCTTCTCTGTGCTGTGGAGCAAGCAGACCTTGCCAAAAGTTGTCTGCTGAGCTCAGACCTCAGAGGGAGCGGTGTGGAAAGAAAGAAAATTGTTTCAATATGCTCCCGTCTACCCACTGCTCATCCTTGTCGATGCCATGTGGACAATGGTTGAAAATACTCTGGGTGCCCCTAACCTATTAACTAGTGAATGTGAGATTCTGACATAACAATGAGGACGAAGTGACCCGTGCCACTTGTCTGTCGCCGAGAGCCAACAGGACCGGTCCACTGTGTGACCGCTAAGGCGGTTATTGATGGAGAGTATTTTTAGGTTGTTTCGGAAGAAAGCACCTCCCTACTATCACTTACCGGGCTATGGCTTTGAGAGTTCCATCTTGTCTAAAATTCAGGCGGAAAGCCATAGAAAAAGAGATTGTTTGATATTGGGCTTGCAAAGGATAGGTTTCTACAACAAGGGGAGTGGATCAAATACAGTGACAATTCAGAACTCAATCTCACAATATGGTACTAACGACTGATTAACTCGAATCCTGCTCAAATTCACACAAGAATCTGCTTCGTTCTCGAGATTCGCTTCAGCCCCACCAATCAATACTAACTGTTGTCCCATTTCCAACGGCTAAGAACAGCTAGCCCACTAGTCCCAATCAAAATTCACTCAGAACCCAGCCAACGACACAATACGCTCACTGTCAGCCGCCAAGGATCAGACTAGCATGATGATCGGTATCCAGGCAACTATATTTGGCGGCCTCATAATCTGCCCGATTTTTCTTGCCTTTTCGTGTAACCCCATCCTTGACTCGTGGATATTTTCTTGAATTGAAACCTCCACGACAACAGCGTCTCACCGGCTCTTACCCCCCCTTGACCTTCTGAAGACCGAAAGCTCACAACATGGAGAGCATTCTACCCACTGTGGGGAATCTGCTTCCCTACCATATCCTTCTGTATGGAGCGCTCCTGGGAACAGAGTTGTTCCAGGTAAGAAATGCGTCCCTTATTCCGTGTCAACCATTTCCCTTGCATCAAGAACAGGTTACTGAAGCTGGGGTTTACATCAGACCTTTGTCAACACAAAGCTTTGCTTCCAGGCACTCCCGATGCGTGAATTCCTCATGTTGCAGAAACGACTGTTTCCGGTGTACTTCAAGTGCCAGGTTGGCCTGGCTGCTTTGACAGCGGCGACACACCCGCCATATAGCGTTGTGTCGTTGGCGAAGGATCCGTGGAGCGCGGTCCCGCTTGTCGTGGTAGTCGTCACAGGCTCCTTGAACTGGTCTGTTTTTGGACCGCGGACAACCACTGCATCTCTGGTTCGACGAGCACTAAGCGGTAAGCGATATGTCGTTGAATCTACACCTGCAGTACTCCCAAGGCTCATACTTGAAACACAGAAAGCCAAGGTACCCCAGCAGACCCAGATAAAGGAAAAGTCTACCGTGCTAATCGCAACTTTGCCCGAAACCATGCCATGTCCATTCATCTCAATGCCATTACTCTCGTGGCAACAATTTGCTATGGTTTCTCGCTGTCGTCGCGCCTTCTACCCAGGCTCTAGATCTCGCAACGAAGCAGAACGGAAAATCAACCTAGAGCAATGCGGAATGGATTGATGAGAATGGGCTGGGAACACACTGTAAAATGAGCCTAGCTTACAGCCTCTCGCCTGGGAAATTACTAAGTTATGCTCTTCCTACATGATACCTCCCCAATGAAATCTTCTACGAAGTTACCACCCCCAGGATTCGAAATCACATCTTCGGGAATACTCGCTGGAATCGTATAGTGAACTACCATAAAGACAAGCCAGATGAGTGTTGCTTATAGCATACAGTAGAATTAGAAGCTATTTTACCTCCAGACACTTATGCATCGTTTCTGGGCCAGTACCTGAAACCACGCCGTATCAAAACAGTGTGTACATAATCCTTTCCATCGACACAGTTTAATTCCAGAAAGACCACGTTACAAATAATACCATGTTTCACACGAGGCTCCTATACACTCCTGGCACCCATGCTTCTCAGCACACCATCTGAGAACTGTCGGAACCTCTAAGCCACATAGCGCCGAGACTGCCCGCGTCAAAGCTCCATCCCATTAGGCATTAGTGATATGTTACAAAGCCAGTCGCTCACTCGTTCTCAAATAGCCGAGGAAGCAGAATGTAGTGGACGGACGATCAAAAATATCCGGAAAACTTACCACTGTTTCAGCACGTCTATGCCCCTGACTTGTGTCGGTCGGAGATGAAGCATGACACCCCAGTAAATCTCTGATTCAGACCGTCCAAACAGAGTGGGAGTTTTAGCGGTCTGGCAAGATCGCCCAGCTTTCTTACTCTCTCTCATACTGTACGGGGGACTTCATCGACGCGGTTCTGAGATAATACATCTAGCTGTGCTATAGTGTCAAGATACACGCGGCCAACCCCGCCTTTCTACTACCTCGGACCCAGATGCAGTTCTGAACACGGAAGTTGACGATGGCATCGGATGGAGGGATATGGGTTCCTGCGAAGTCTCAAGTCTCTTTGACCGCGTCTTAAGCCAAGGCAAGAAATTGAATACGCCACCGCAGGCAAAAATGCCCAGCCAAAGGACCAACTCGGTTCCATATATGACCATGCCAAGTATGTCTATAGTCGGTCCGAACACTTCTTATACGTTAGCCACCACCGCTCATCCACACATTTCACTCTGACTCACAAACTGATACGAGCGAAAATAAATCACCAGCGGCGTCGATGCCGATGAAAAAGAAGCTGATCCCTCGCACGGTTCGATGAACATAAATGTCCCAGTAATGCCTCAGCACTCCTGCTGCAAGCAGACATGCGCTTAAAACTGCCATCAAAATAAGGGGCCATCTCAAATCATGAGATTTAGCTTCTTTCAACGCAAATATCAACCCCGTTTCCATCCCACCAAAGATAAGAAGAAGGGGAGCGACGGCGGCAATGCACTTTTTGACAGAGTATTTCTATCTCGCAGTCAATACCATATAGACAACGACGTCAGAAGGCGAACAAAGCCTACCTTTCCGTAGTAAAGACACTGGGCCCAAGTTACAAGGCTTAGAGCTGTAAGTATCTGAGGCTGTATTCTTAACGCCACATTGAACTCTTCCACAATGTTGTACACCCCGAGAGGGACCCCTGCCGCAGCCCATAGGAGCATCATTGACCCTTGTAGGCCTTCAGTGTTATGTCTCCTGTAATTTATGATAATTTGGGGTAGAAGCTGAGAAAGATTAGCAGAAGTGAATAAGACTTCAACGCGTAACAACGGCCAACCTGGATAGACCAACAAACCTATGAGCGTCATTAGTGGGATAGACTGCATAGGCCAAGCTGGTGAACGAACCGCGCCAAGGGTGCCTAAGACGTTTTCCGCCACGGGAATGTCCATTCTGACAAGGCACACGAGGTCAAGTTTGGAAGAGAGCGTGAGAACCGGTGAGGAGATAAGAACGATTCATCGTATCGGAAGCGTACTTTTCAAATCCTGATTGGACGCAAACACGTGAACAACCCCACTTAGATGCATCTCGCGGGCCAAGATGGCTGAAGCCGTGTTGAATTTGGATGATGCATTATTACTTTCTGTATCGGCCCAGCTATTGCCGATGGTTGTCTTGTATCCTCAAACTCACCGACCTCTCCCGCATACAGTAGAGTTCGAGAACAGTTTACCCCCGCCCCGGCACGCACGCTTAGTTTCTCGGCCCACACCCGAACTCACGCCAATCTATATCAGGTTACTTTAAAAATAACCCCTGCTTTGCAGCATTGTAGTGTAGAACGCATTATACCGAGGTTACCACATTCTCCTTTGAAATATTCTAGGAAGGGGAAGGGAGACTTGCCCATCTGGCTTGATTTTTCCCTCGTCATAGTCTTCCTCTTCGTATACCTAGTTCTTACATGAAGAAGGCTGTACTACCTGCGGTAGAAGAATATACCTTGTATGCTAACATGTTTCTCGTCCATGCTTCTCATGGCGCTTGCTCCCTGTCGTCGCTTCCATTCGTCATTGGTTGCACGGCGCATCTCCGAGAGAAGAGCGCCGAGACCTCCGTTATGGTAGCCTCAGGCAACGGGGCTGCCTGGCCACCCCGCATTTGCTCCTCCACTTTGCATGCGAGCGACTGCAGCTGAGCTTGAGGTGCAGAATGTTTTTTTTCTTCAGTGACACTATGCATAAATAAAAAACATTGGTAACAAAGCCTGGTATCATATTATACAAGAAGGGTTCTGTATGGTCAATTCCAGCTGTAAGTGAGTCGATTTACACAATCCCAGCCGGCGGCCAGTTTGAAAGACCTAGATGCACATTGAATGCCAACCGCTTGTCGCGCTCATTTCGAGCTGTAACAATGGACACTTGAAAGCACCACCAGGAACCCTCGGAGCCGTGTCGAAAAAGTAAAGGCCGCGCTGGAACGGCAACTTAATATCCCGCTGGGCCGGCCTCTCGGCCAGCAATGCCCCGAGGCCTCGGGTTTCCCCTCGACACTCACGCTACAATTGAAAAGGTGTCGACGCCCCCACGAATGCCCCGGACTCTTTCTTTTTTTCTGTCTCTCTTCCTACTCTTTCCTCCTGTGCCTCTGCTGTGAAGTTGGCATTTTGTATTGGTTCTGTTCTATCACACACCATCATGGGCTCCGTCTCCATCTCAGAATTTCCCCGCATCAAGGAGATCCGCACCTTCGTCATCGACGGGGTCGGCTCCGGCGGCGACTACCACAATGTGCGTGGAAAATTTCATGTTTGAAATCAGGAATAATGAGTGTACTGACTCCATTCACAGGTCAAGGGAGGTCACTGGCTCATCGACAGCAACATCGCCACTCCGATGGCCAAGTGGGCGCAATACCGCGGCTCGCGGACATCGTGGGGTATCAACGTGCTGGGATCATTCTGTGTGGAGATTGAGGCTACCGATGGAACGAAGGGTTTCGCAACTGGCTTCGGCGGACCTCCCGCATGCTGGCTAGTGCACCAGCACTTCGAGCGCTTCCTGATCGGCGCTGGTAAGGCTTCATTCCCCACGCGACCTATCAATTGAATTTCTGCTAACAGTTCTTGTGATAGACCCTCGTGATACCAACAACCTGTTTGAGAAAATGTATCGGGCGTCCATGTTCTATGGCCGTAAGGGTCTGCCGGTGGCAGTGATCTCGGTGATCGATTTGGCGCTGTGGGATCTGCTGGGCAAGATTCGCAACGAGCCTGTCTACAAGCTCATTGGCGGCGCGACTCGGGAGCGATTGGAATTCTACTGCACTGGCCCTCAGCCTGCATCAGCCAAAGCAGCGGGCTTTATTGGTGCCAAGGTGGCATTGCCACACGGCCCCGACGAGGGCACTGAGGGTCTGCTTAAGAACGTTGAGTATCTTCGTCTGCAGCGGGCCAGCGTGGGACCTGACTTCCCTCTCCGCGTGGACTGCTACATGTCTCTTACCGTGCCATACACTATTCAGCTGGTGAAGCGCTGCGAGGCGCTGGGCTTGGATATTGACTGGTGGGAGGAGTGCCTCTCGCCCGACGATTTCGACGGCCATGCCTTGCTGAAGCGTGCCCACCCGACCGTGAAATTCACCACCGGCGAGCACGAATACTCTCGCTATGGATTCCGCAAGCTGGTCGAGGGCCGCAACCTTGATATCCTGCAGCCTGATGTGATGTGGGTGGGCGGTATGACCGAGCTCCTGAAGGTCTCCGCACTCGCCGCCGCATACGACATTCCCATTGTTCCCCACGCCTCTGGTCCTTACTCTTACCACTTCGTCGTGTCACAATCTAACAGTCCCTTCCAAGAATACCTGGCTAATTCGGCCGACGGCAAGTCCGTGGAGCCCGTCTTCGGCAACCTCTTCCTCAACGAGCCCATCCCCACCAAGGGATTCCTCGATGTCTCAATTCTGGACAAGCCTGGCTTTGGCCTGGAGCTCAATCCAGCTGCTCCGTTGATTCCAGCCGCTGCGCTTCTGAACCCTGCACCCCAGAAGAGCCTACGAGCCCCAGATGACAAGGAAACCAGTTGAAGGACATTGAATTTAGAAGCGTTTCATTTCTGTGCAACTGTTGGCCCTTTCTTGTCTTCACCTCCCATTTTTTATGATGAACTGTTCCCAATATTGCCCCAAGATGTCCTGTATATAAATAGCATCGACTGCTCAATTCAATAGACTGAGATGTTCCAAGGATGAGAAAAGCCGTGTGTAGACTTGGTAACAATGGTGAAGCAAAAAGGCGTAGGACGGCGGACGTGTCGTCTAACTTAGCTGAGCATGATTGGATGAATTATGACCGAGAAATTCCACCAAACACAGTTCTGTCGGTGCTGTCGGGTGAATTACTCTTGGGACTTGCCCACTCGGCCGGTATTGCCCCTCGCTGGGGGGAAGACGACCCCACGTTCGGTCTAACATCAATGCGAAGCCCGAGATTTTGTCGGCGGGGGCAAAACGACCAATCTAGCCTTTGGCGACCGAACACCAACACAGGGGAAAATCATCATTTTGTCCCCAGATAAATCATACGAGCCCGCGTGATAAGGATTTCCGAGATTTACGAGCCGGCATTCTGATTCTGCAGTCCGGCAGGTCTCGGCTACGACATGCCTCTCCCTCAATTACTCGTGGGCAAAGTTGCTGCCATTACAGGTGGTCTCACCGGCATCGGACGGGTACGGTGGCCTTCGAGCAGCGATCACAATTTATAATCTACTCTTGAAATGACAAACTAATCTCCGGCGCCTCGCTTCCTAGGCAATCGCCCTTGAATACCTTCGCAATGGAGCCAACGTCGCGATTAGCCACCTTGGCGGCCCCAAGGAGGACGACTTGTTGGACGCGATGCGTAAGGAAGTGAACGAGATTGAAGCAGGGGCCTACCAAACACGATTTATCACAGTCACTGGTGACATCTCACAGCCTGCCACGGGAAAGAACTTCGTTGCCAAGACAGTCGAGGCATTTGGGCGTCTGGATGTATTCGTCAGTAATGCGGGAGTGTGCCAATTCGCAGATTTTCTGGAGTAAGTCTGATTTCGACAAAGGGTAGAGAAATTTGGACAGACTGACAACTTAACCGCAGGCTTGAGCCTTCCCTCCTTAATCACACCGTTTCCACAAACCTTTCCGGCGCCTTCTTTGCTACACAAGCCGCGGCACGACAAATGGCGCTCGCCCAATCCCCGCCCGGGGGCTCCATTATTGGCATCAGCTCAATCTCGGCACTTGTTGGTGGTGGTGAACAGACACACTACACTCCCACCAAGGCCGGAGTACTGAGCTTGATGCAGTCATGTGCTGTGGCATTGGGGAAATATGGAATCCGCTGCAATGCGCTCCTCCCTGGAACCATTCGCACTCAACTGAATGATGCCGATATGGCTGATCCCGAGAAGCGGTCATACATGGAAGGTCGCATTCCTCTAGGCAGATTGGGCCAGCCACCAGACTTGGCTGGGCCTGCAGTGTTCTTGGCCTGTGAGGAGTTAAGCGGTTATGTCGTAAGTACTAGGCTTTTCTCTCTTGTGACCTTTTTATGTCTTTTGTCGGACCAGATTTGTCCTAACACAGCTCTGCAAATAGACGGGTGCGCAGCTATTGGTTGATGGTGGACTCTTTGTCAATCTTCAGTAGAGCATAATTGGATTTCACATTCTAGTAGTTTTGCAATATAGAAAGTTGGGCTCTAGATGTTGAGCAAGACACACCTTGGGCATTGGCATCACCTGCGATGTATTTGCCGGTGGTGGGATCCATCTCAAGCACACCAGAGCAATAGACGACTCCTTTCGCGATGATGGACGACTGGACGAGAGTTTTCGTAGTCACGATGACAGTGTCCAGGGACTGTCAATTGGGTCAAAGGAAATCCGGATGAGATCCTTCCTCCACCAAGAGAGAAGCCACCGTTCATACAGCGACGCAATAGATCTTGCATCCCGCGCTCGGAGGACAAGCGAGACGGTATAAAATATGGGATCTACAGGTGTAATGCCAAGGCAAGTAGAGGGGTACAGTGACAGAAAGGGAGGGGTGCGTTACAGCAGCAGCCCATGAAACCTGCTGAACTAAGTTGGGCGGGTTGAACTTGTCGCAAACTGGTATAGTTACATCTTCGTTCGATAATTGCTCACCCGTAGGACCCCGCTTATCGTTTATCGGCGCTGACCCCCGCGCGGGGCATGAGTTGCTTGAGGTATCCCGCTCGACGCGTGGGGGCTGCGCGGGATGGGGCTTTCAGATGCAAGGGGGCTTTTGACCCCAACACAACAGCTGCTTCGCCTTTTCGCTCATTTTCTTTCTCTGACCCCTTCTCCTGCCTTTACTCTCTCCTTATCCGTCACCATGTCCGTTACCGGCGTCAATCAACCCCCGTACCCCCTGCACGAGTCCGTCAAGGATCTGCTCGACCCGGAGTATGTCGACTTCTATAACCAGCATGTCATCAACAACCAGCAGGTTCACTTGCAGCCGGTCGCTGCGTCGCGCACTAGTGGAGTTTTGATTCCCGGCGCGGGTCCAATGCTGGAAGTGGGCAAGACGCAGGATCTCATCGTGCAGCGCCAGGCCACCGAGGGACCGCCAGTGCCAATTCGCTGCTTTACTCCCCAGGGTGAGGTCCCCACCGGCGGGTGGCCTGTGATGCTGTACTTCCACGGCGGTGGCTGGGTGCTGGGCAATATTGACACCGAGAATGTCGTGTGCTCAAATTTGTGTGTCCGAGGTAACTGCGTGGTGGTAACGGTTGATTACCGGTAGGTTTGAAAGCGTCATGGCTGTAACGCCTGCATGGGCGATCCATGCAGCGATGGAGTACTATTATCTAACAGATTCGACCAGTCTGGCACCCGAACAACCTTGGCCGGCGGCCGTCCACGACTGCTGGGAGGCGCTCCTCTGGCTGGTCCAGCAGGGTCCTTCTGCGCTGTCCATCAACCCATCTAAGCTCGCAACTGGCGGGTCATCGGCTGGTGGCAATCTTGCTGCGATCATGACACATAAAGCATTGACTCTGTCGCCCCCTGTGCGCTTCCAAGCCCAGCTGCTCTCGGTTCCGGTGACCGATAACACCGCGACGGTGGCCAACAACGAGTCATACCGTCGCTATGAACATACGCCGGCTCTACCCGCACTCAAAATGATTTGGTACCGCGATCACTATCTTCCCAACGAGGCTGATCGTACCAATCCCGAGGCTAGCCCGCTATTTTATACTGGTGACTGGTCTCAGCTTCCACCTGCTCTCGTCATGGTCGGCGAGCTGGACGTGCTGCGTACGGAGGGTGAACAATATGCCGAGAAACTCCAAAGGGCCGGTGTCGAGGTCGACCTCCAAGTTATGAAGGGAATGCCGCACCCATTCCTGGCCATGGATGGTGCTCTATCGGAGGGAAAGAGGTGTATCACACTTATGTGTGATGCCCTGCAGAAGGCTTTTTACGACTGATGCAAGATATATGTAGCAATAGATTCATGAGATAGACTAAATTCATTTTCCACACAAACCTTACAATTTCTCAATATAATCTTGTTCTTTTGAGATTTCGGTTAGTACAAGTTTCGTGGATAGGTAGGTGTCAACAGTGACCATCGCAGGCGACCTCCAAGATTCTCTCCCAATTGCCCCCGCAATGAACCAGATTAAGTGTCTATCAGCATAAGAACTAGTCTACCACAGTGTCGGGATATGCTTCTCATAATTTTTAGTGGCCGACGAGTTAAGATATGCTGCGGATCAGCATGCAGTAGATATCACACGGAGATCTTAGGCCCCTCTCAGTTACGGCCCCTACCCAGCTTTGGCCTTTGTGGCTAGTCATGGCAGCTATGGAAGCCAAAAGTTTTATCGCGAGGGGGCAGTCAACGTGCTTGATAGCTACCAGGGCATTTCGAGGTACCACTATTCTTGGAGGAAAAGATTCGTGGTGACTGTTTGTGAGCGAGAAGATCAAGCCATGGAAACGGTTTGATTGGAGGGCAATTCTAGCATAGTTCCAAAGGTGGGCCTAGGTATATGCCATCGTGAAAGGGGCTTCATGATGGACATGCACATGCGTGGGCAATTAATCCAACCCCTTGAAAACCTCGTCGAAACGAAGTTCGTTCCACCTCACATTGGGCTTCAACCCTGCGAATTTCCACACACCATCGACCTTCCGATAGTAGTGTTCATTGGTGGCGTGCGAATGACCCCGCAGCTTGACCTCGTCCAAACCGTCGGTCGTATACACTTGATGCGCGGCGCGGAGCTGATGGTAACCGATCACCTCGGTATCGGAGATCTTCTCCCACCAGGTCTGGCCGAGTAGATGCTGCGTCTTGATGGTGGGATCCCCCAAGAATCCTGGGTGGGTCACCATAGCCATGTAGTCGTCGGCAGCCATATTGTCCCATCTCTTGAGGCCGATTTTTGTGTAATCGACCTAAGTCAGCATTTGGATGTCAGCAGATGACAAATCCACGTTTGCTCTCGCATGTGCTTCCATTGTATAGACGCAGAAAAAAAAATAAACGTACTGTCAGAGTTGGGGCAATGATGCTGCGGAGGCGCTTCCAGTCCTGTGGGCAAGTTCCAGTCAGTCTTTGGATCTGCTCGGCGTTCAATTCAGCCGAATTCTGCGTACCTTGGCATCGTAGCTATCAGCCCAGTCAAAAACAAGCTTAGAAAGGACCAAAAAGTCTATTATGATCAGTAACTATTTCTGAGTGGTGGGGCCGCATTCGACAGTACCCTGAAAGCTAATATCCAAGTCGGGCTCGGGGTTGAGTTTAACGGCGGGCGACATGTTGAGGCTCTTTGAGATAGGCTTTGATGCAATCTATAGACATCGCTGCCGCGCTGGAGCGGGCCATCGGGTATATCTGCGAGTAGTCAGTGGTTTGTGCTTCGCGCATGGCCTTGGAGACCACCGGATCCGGCCAAAATACCACGCATGTCTTGACCAGGAACAGGTACGTCGAAATGCAACCGAACGCCCGTGATGTGACATGCGGGGGTAACCATTTACGCTATTCTAAGACAAAGCCTTCCGCATGCGGCAACCTGTGCAGTCACAGTGGGCATGAAAACAACTTCCATGCCCCCGAAGCACCATGTCAGAAGTCGGGATTTGCATCGCAACGTAAATTAGCATTAATCAATACTCCCAAACCGGTTTACAAAGGCCCTTCACCGGGGCTAGCCTCTGGTCTGGGCGGGATGCGACCCACGTATATATCTGATTTCAGCTTCCGACCAGTGTAGTCGTAACGTTCTTTAAAACCTGAAGTGCTTTTCCACTCAATCTCATCCTGCTTTTTTTTGGTCCTGTTGAATATATCGCCCGGTCGCATTTCCCCAATATCCTTCACATCGTCCCCAGCGCCAAACTACAATGGTCGTGACCAACCCCAACGCCGCTCCCGCCGAGCTCGCCGGCAAAGTCGCCCTGGTGACGGGTGGCAGCCGAGGTATCGGGTCTGGAATTGCCCTCGAGCTAGCTAAGAAAGGTGCCTCGGTGGCTATCAACTTCGCCAGGGACCCTGCGTCGGCCGAGCAGATGGTCATGGAGATCAAAAGCCTGGGAGTCCATGCGGCCGCTTTCCAGGCCGACTTGACCAAGGTTGAGGCCATTGAGAAGCTGTTCCAACAGGTGGTGACGCATTTCGGCCAACTCGACATCGTTGTCTCCAACTCAGGAACCGAGAAGTTTGTCTCGCTGGCCGACACCACGATCCAAGACTTCAACGATGTCTTCGATCTCAACACCCGGGCCCAATTCTTCGTGGCGAAGAACGCCTATGACTATATTCAGCCCGGCGGACGCGTGGTGCTGATGTCGTCTATCGCTGCGGGCGTGGGTGTCCCCGGACACTCACTGTACGCAGGCAGCAAAAGTGCGGTCGAAGGCTTCACGCGCTGCTTCGCAGCCGACTTCGGCAAGAAGCGCTGCACTGTCAATGCGATCGCCCCGGCCGGCATTAAGAGCGACATGTGGTTGCGCAACGCGTGGCGCTATGCCCCTGGCTGCGATCAGGACTCGTCGCTCGAGGAGATCGAGCAGGCGCTGGCAAATGGAAGTCCCCTCAAGCGGTGCGGTGTCCCGGCCGATATTGGCCGTGTGGTCGCATTCTTGGCCAGCCCCGCAGGAGAATGGATCAACGGTGAGTGGAGATTTTTCGGGTGGAGACCCTTTGGGAAGATTGAATGCAGGCTAATCCATGGATCTTCGTAGGCCAAATCCTCCCGCTGAACGGAGGTGCCAACATTTGAAGATGTTATCCGTTATTAGATTGGGTGAAAGAGGAAGAAGATTGCCTATGTACAGAGTGGAATCGTCTTGCTCAGTGCGGTCAACGTACTTGTTTAATGCGCGTGGAACACCGTCAATTGAAATTTAATCTCAAGCTGTATCCTACACTGTGTGATCTGATTTCCCTACTCTTGCTAAACCCCCTCTATAACTCACACGGGGTCTGACAATCAATCAATGGTGGAGGACCACGGGCAACGTACAGCTTACCAGGTGTCATTACCAGCAACCACACAAGCTTAATTTATTTAGTTGGATCACAAACAGAACAGATTAGTTGTCGTATACTTTTTTTCATGCTCATTATCAATATGATTCTAAGGGAGCCATTATTTGCAGTCGTCAACCGGTGTGATTAGAACCTTCGTCGCATGAGTGTTCCCGATTGCAAGTCAATTTCGATGATGATCACAACAGAAAGAACGAGAGTCGCCAAAATCAACTACAGCGCAGCCACTTCGTAAGCAGTTGATTCTTCCCGAGATGGGTTTCAGACCCGAAGCCAAAGTACTAAACCTACTAAGAAGAGTAATATTCCCACTGAATTGAGCTCCCAGCCGCCAGCATGAACCTTTCCCACTGAAATCGCACTCTGCTGCCGCCAGAATCGATATGCCCCGATCAGGGCCACCAGAAGCGCTACACAGTGGCAAGCTACGGAGAGTGGAATGCCGACCTCGTAGAATCGCAGACGATCTTCCGGGGTGGTCGGTCGCTGCAGGCGGAACAGCTGCGCAATCAGAACCCCTTGCATGGCGATAGTCACAGAGGTGCGGATGTAGGCGAGGAAGGTTCGTTCGAGCGCTGTATACATCGCATAGATCGGGTCAGTCTTCCGGACTACCCAGCTCCTCCAGGAATGATAATGTCGCTCAACGTACCAAGGTGATCACGATTGCTTTTCTGGGGTACCGTCAGGGTGACATTATGTCTCCAGAAGCGACAGACCTTACTCCAAGCTCCATTTCTCTCGGAGCGGCGGCGCACCGTCGACCGAGACGTTACCCTGGTCATCCGGTACTCCTCTCCGGAGGACACGGATGGAGAGGAGTAATTCATCTGCTCGTTGTCCTCGTGTGTTTGAATTTCATCGAGCTCGATAGTTTCCGCTTCCCGTGGAGAAGGCGGCCGTGAGCCCCGTAAGAGGCTATTGGCCGGCAGCTCAGGGCCTCCCGGCCGATCGTATGGGTCGGTCATGGTTTAGACGATAGGGGGAAGGAGGCATGCAATTTGGACCTGGATAGCAGAAGAGACGGGGGGCGAATGCAGGGCGTTATTTTTTTGACGTGCGATCGGGGCAATCGGTAGTCCCCGAGTCGCTGGGTCGGGCGCCGTCAATGGTGAATGGTCAATGGTCGTGTGCCAATAGAGGGCCACGATGGATCAAAGCGGGGTCCTGCCACGCGGGTCTGGGGAAGACGGGGATCGCGCTGCCATTGATGGCGCGACAAGAGAACGATGGTGAACGATGGTGAACGACTCCGAACGATATGGAGATCAATATAGATCGCTCAGGGAGCCAAATAACCTTAAATGCGAGTGCAGCTGGTCTTTCCAGCCGGTCCCAAAAGGGACCGAATGCAGCCAATCAGAATTCGCCGAATGCGGATTGCATCATCTCTGGGCGCGATGTTGCCAGCACCTGCCAATCGCAGTCGACAGCTTCATCCCAAATGGGCTGAAAACAAAAGCAAAGTGCTAGCTAAACTACATCCACACCTGGATATTGGCCAATGGGAAAAAATCAAAGCAAAAGCAAATTAGTTTATTGGGTTCGCACTCTAACCTTAACGCTCGATATATCCATACACATAGCGATACCTTATCGCCATGAAGCAATTTTCTTCTGTGCAGACACCCCAAAGGGGCTTTCAGAGCTGCTCGAGAAGCAAAGAAGCCAAAAAAATTACAGCTTCATCCTACTAGTTTGTTATCTGAGCCGTTCTGCTCCAGTGTATGTGTGTCGATGTGTCGATCGTAGTTTGCTACTCAGAACGGCCAAGCTGCTGGAGACCAATAGCTATCGGGTCCATTCTTCGGAAGCCAGTATACTGGCTATTGGTAACTGTATAGAGCACTCAAGTCTTGGGACAGGTTGCGAAAAAATCATAGCATCTAAATGCTTTTCATTTCTTCTAAGGCTGCGGTATGGCAGAGAGCAGCAGTAACCTACCCGCACATCTCCGATGTCAATATGGCATCGACAGTCAAGCTATCTACGCGATGATTTTAAACATATGGTCCCCCAATTTCATTTGATCCCGTCGGCAATGAACGCAGTAAACGACAAAAGTGGGCAGAACTAGTCGACACCTGAGGCATGAAAGCCTTCCTATTTAGGATTAGCCCGGTTACGACCTGTCGACGAGCGCATCGGCAACTTCGCCGCGACTCCGTTGCGACTTCGTTGCGACGCCTGCTCCATGGCTACCATACGACGCCATCCCCGGAGTGTACTGGGGTTCTGGGGCTCTTCCGTTTCCCAGAGAAGCTTTGTCCCGTCATGGACTGCACATTCCAACGGTCTCAGCCCTTTGAACCTGCGGTTTCAAAGCTCCAGCTCCGAAAATTCATTTTCGCACCCCGACGAGCCGAACCAACATACAACCCGCCATCGTCGCCGTTCAAAAAGCCAGCCTGAAAGCCGGAGGTTACCACTGGGCGTTGATTCACTCGGAAAACCCGGCGAGATCGTAGTCGTGCCCCCGAAGCGCACCCGGACCTCGAATCGAAAGCCGCGCGAAACGAAAGACACAACCGGCGAGGATGCGCGGACAGTCACTCTGGGCTCGATGCTGGAGGATCTGGAGGAAGAAGCTGCCATTCCGACTCCGAGCCTAATCCGAGAAAGAATCGAGAGTTACCGGTCCTCCTGGGGCCCAATGGGAAAGTTGGCCGACAGCGACTGGGAGGCCGTGCGGTCTAGCCTGGCATCATCATTCACCTACACACAACTATCGGAGTATATCGAGGCATACGTCCCACATGAGTCCCAGCCAGAGGGTAGCACGGGAAGGTGGAGGCCTGGCACCTCCGCGTTTGTGCATGCCAATTCAGTGGGCCAGACCGGGGTGGCCAACCGAGTGCCTACATCACAGGACTTGAAGGGCAAGCCACTGCTGGCGGAGCGGATCCTTCGAGACTGTTGGCAACTGTCGATCGCCGATGAAATTGGCCAGCTAGACCTCCGCCTTCCACCTGCCTTCATCGCTCTCCTCCTGAATGCAGAGCACTTTTCCTTTGACGAAGTGGCCGGTCTACACCAATCCAGCATCGATATCACTAGCTCACTGGGCCTGGTGAGGATCACAGGACGTCAAGGTGCATGCGAGTCCATACGCGAAATCATCCTTGACGCCACAGCGAGAATCCGAGAGGATGCAGTTGACATCAGAGCCCCCACCCCCACCCCGGATTCGGTCAGGTATTCTCTTCACGCTTCTTGGACTGGGTAAGCGAAACATACGGTGTTGCTTTGGAACCGGCATCCTCACAGGTTCCAGAAAGGATCTTGTATCTTGCAGAAAACAAACATGGTGCGGACAACGCTCGCAGGACCCTCAACCTTGCGCTTCACGGGAGCACTCCCGCATCCGTCCCCTTCTCCACCTATTTCCCTGCTTCTGAGCCTGCGAATGTGTACAAATATAACCCAGGAGCCAATGTTTCATGGCCCGATCAACAAAAGGAGTGGTTTCGATGGGCCATGCCCTCTACACAGGCCGTGGAGATGAAAAGCAACCCGACTCCTTTCTTCGACGGTCACCAAACACGCCTCTCGGACCATTTGCTGAGCCTTCTTCGCAAGGCTCCTGCTCCAAATTCCGGCCTGAAGGGCGGCTTGACGGTACACGAGTCTGTGACTGCTGCCGTAGGTTGCTGTCTATTCGCCCGGAAATCCTCGCTCGAAGATGCGCCCATCAGTGCTTCGCAGCTGGGAAAGTCATTTCTGCAAAGGACCTTTGCAACAGAGATCCCCCAGATCACGCGTTTCCTGGGATCCCTTCAGCCCATCACCCCCGAGGATGAAACTCAAGTACACCACATTCGACTGACTCCATCCTTCGCATATTCTGGCGTTGTCCCAAAACTGGACGTCAAAATTGCCTCTAGGTCAAGAGACTCTACGCGGAGTTCTGAGAACCCGTTTGACGTGCGAAGCATCAAATTGGTTCTCGAGTCGAACGCTGTTGATTATCTCCTGCCTGAGAACGGCCTCGACTTACGATTTACACGTACAGCTTACTGTGAGCTTTCGGAGGCTGCAATTGCCGAATCTCCAGCTTATCAAGGCCTTGCGGAGAGCATCCGATCGTCCTTGCGCGACGCGTTCGATTCCAGAAGGACGTCGAGTGACTCGATCTCATTACCGGCATTCTGTCAGATTTCTCTTCCCGCCGATCTTCTTCAATCTGCAGCGCACTCTGATAGTGCGACTTCGCTCACAGCGGAGTATATTTTGCCTCCACTCAACGATATCCGGGATGCTGCTCTTCAGCAGTTTAATTTCGCCGGTCGACGGCTGAATTATAGCTTCTACGAGAGCGGGCCGTTCCTCGCTGCTCGTACAACGGACGTTTCCCTGGACATGAAGATCTCAAGTACGGCCACCAGCGTGAATGACGATGGGTCTCAAATCTCTGCGGAGTCTGATTTCCATTCATTTTACAACGCTGCTTGCCGTGTGGCTTTCCAAATCCACAACCTGAGACATACGGATGCCGAGGATGGCCTATTTGACACGGATGGCTTGTATTAATATTTTGATTCTTTAACGTTTGCATATACATAGCAGCATGCTCTAGGATGAAGGGGCCTTGTAAAATAGACACATGATTTGTGATTCCCACTCCCACATTTGAGCTCACGGCCCGAACACTATGACCGAAAGTAGAACCTCTCAATCTGTCTGTGGCGATGTGTTGCACCAGTCTACGAACAAATGCCATCCAATCGAGCCTGGATCGTCTCTTCATCAAATCGGCCGCTTTCCCCTTCGTAGTGGCGAAGAACCTCCAGGGTCATCAGGCGCCGGGGGGCTTTGCGGCCGGTCATCAACTCAAACTGCGCAATGCCTTGCTCTATCACATTTTCCAGTCCGTCAGATAGAACCCATGGCCGTCCATTATCATTTCGGATCCGACGCATCTGTTGTAGTAGAGGCGTGTCCAAAGGCTTGTAAGCCATCTGTTTCGTATTAGAATGGGACCCGGGGCGGTAAACGTTATGGCTATCCGGAACTCACCTCCAACACCACACCCCCAGTTGGACTGCCGAGCCATTGCATCGGCATCTCAAAGTTGGCCGGGGGTTCGTCTCCGTCTGGGTCAGCAGGCACGCAGGATGCAATCATACTAGGTGGACTGGCATCATCGGGCCAGTCATCCTGAAGAGACCGGAGCACCCGAACCACCTCAGCTGAGTCGACCTGAGACGCCGCCCAGGAGTTGAAGTGCCGTGCTACCTCTTCCGCTCGCGATTGAGTTCGGTTATAGATGAAGATCTTACGACAGCCCAAACGAAGCATCGCGTAGATGGCTGCTCGCGCCATACCACCGGCGCCAATGACAAGGCCAGTTGTCTTTGCACTAATGGCATTTCGGGGGGACAGGTGACGAGCGATGCAGGTCATGATGCCCACCCAGTCCGTGTTCTCGCCATACCACCCCAACACCGGGCCGGCCTGGTTGCGTCGACTGGCTTGTTCCTGGAGCGAATACATCGTTCCATCAGAAGTACCTCGCAAGGGCATGATCGTGTTAATAGCCCCGATAGCCTCTGCGTGTCGGCTTTTCGCGGCAAGTTTATGATAGAGCTCCACACGCCACGGTCGAACAACACTAGACCCGCCGAAATTAGGGTCCCGCCGGAATTCATCCAATACTGCGAGAGAAGGGGAATCAGGGATCCTGTAGACGTGGCCCAGGCCACAATGCTGAATGGCTGCGTTGTGCATAGCAGGTGACAGACTGTACGATACTCTGGCTCCCAGGATACAGAACTTCAGGGGATCAAGAACATAGCTCTGGAACAGAGCTCGAACGGCGTCGCGCGAAGTTATTAGTGCATCAAGGTCATTCTCTGTCTCTCGAGTAATGGCAGGATGCGTCACCCCCGTGAGAATCGAGTTGAACACCTGTGACGTGCGTCCTAGGCGACCGATGTTGTAGGCAATAAGGGGGGCGTGCTGTCCTGGTAAAGCTCGGATCCTGTTGGTAAACTCGAGGACCGTCGCGTTTTCCTCCCTTGACGTGGCTACCCGGAGTAGGCGCACGAGCTGACAACCTAGCTTTTCCGCCTCGTTATACAGAGAAAGGCAGCCATCGTCCTCCCATTTCACACGGGAAGACGCTTCAAGGACATGCTGGCCAATGATCTTGGTCTTGCCCCGAGCGCGAATAATCCGGGCGAGTTGTGACCGGTCCTGGCCGAGGTCGACAACCAAGTATTCAACAGCCAAGCGAAGACCATGTTCCAAAATATCAAAATATGTTCTCAACTGATCACGCTCCTTTCCAACACTTGTGGACGACGTGTCCACGGAAAGAATTATGGGAATCCGCGCATTGCGGCGAAGCACAGACACCTGCTTGCTGATCACGGTTGGCGTTTCAGGGCCCCAGCGGTCGACACAGAGCTCAATGGCATCTCCACCGGACTCCAGCTCTGGCAGATTGACGTTATCCGCGAGAAGATCCGATGATCGCACGAAGATGGCATGGGTGAAGGAACGAAGCTCCGGCGGTGTCTCTAAGAGGACGAAGGGGGAGTCGTAACTAGAATGGTTCACGTCCACTCCCGTCACAAAGCGGACAAATCGGGTAAGGTCCTCTTTCACCTCTTGTAGCTTGAATGAGTAAGCTGCCGATCGAGGGTCGGGGCTTCCGTCTTCTGAGACAACGCGCGTACGGTCCTCGACATTGTAAAACTCAAAGTTGGAGCAGGTTCGATGTAACGGGTCTCCCTCGCGCAAAAGCCGTACCGATTGATCGTCCAAGCCGAGGAGTTGCTGAATGCGATCGATGTCCCGAACGACGTGGACCACCGGGTTCGTCGTGGATATGCGCCGCAGATGATCTTGGACAGGCCGTGTGAGACTTCCCAACCCACATTCAATCACACACCCAGTCCGGTGATTGTCGATCATCTGTTTCACCACCTCAATGTCCCGGCGCTGGAATTCCTGGCTGCCATGTTCCTTCAGATATCCATGTCGCGTGACTCCGGTGATCTCTTTGAAGTAATGGTCCTCTGTGATGAAGCGTCGCTTCAGTGCTGTCGCCGCAACAAACCCCAACGATCGCTTGCCACAGCCGCGGATGCCGACAAGAATCAGCGAGGCATCGGGAGCGAAGGTGCGCGGGGGAGTAAGATCTGGGGGGTGCATGGCGGGAAGAGAAGAGTCCCTGGTCGGGTCGGCGCAGGCAGTGGAATGATTGGAGTCGACAGGCTCGCGGACGCGGTATTTCCGTTCAAGCATTCGGGGCGGTTGTTATCAGAAAGGCGAAGTATTGATCTAGCTGAAAGGCGCCAGTGCCATGACTCGACACTGCATGTGCTGCAGGTGTCGCATAAAGGGGAGGTAAGCGAGGCCCAGGACGTCTGCGAGGCAAGACTAGGCGATCGCGCACGTAGCCGGGAGAAATCTGTATAGTTAGAGGTATAGGTTATAGGTATAGGTATCGGATGAGTGGAAGCGGAAGGAAACAAGAAAAGCAGTGGGAGATGGACGAGCAATGGACCGGACTTTCCCCAGATGCCGGATGAGGGCCGGCGGGTGGTGGGGCAGGAGCTCGTCGCGCGTCTGATTAGTCGGCCGGGCCGTGCGGGAAAAGCTTTAGCCATCCCTGCGCGGCATGGCCGAGTACGTCAATCTGGAGAATAATCCGGGCCATGTGGGGATGGTTGAATCATTATATAAAGGTGACGGGGTGGCTGAAGACAAACGAACCATACTAGGGAGCCAGGGTGATGCATAGCGCTTTGATCCAAATGTACCAAAATATCTAGGGAATCACAATATTCACATCAAACGAAATCAAAGACTTTTAGGTCTCCTTGAACTCATAGCGCCCCTCCCGGTCCTGCACCTCCACCTGGATCCGTCCCTCCTCGATCTCCTTGCCATTGACCTCAATCGAGGCATACATAACGTCTCCAGCCTTGACCTCACCCACGCCCTTGGGCGTGCCGGTAAGCACAATGTCGCCCTTCTCCAGGGTCATCACACGCGAGATCTGGGCCAGCTGCCGAGGAATACGATGTAGCATCAAACTCGTCGAATCGGCCTGGCGCTCGGTCTGGCCGACGCGCAGGCGAAGAAAGGCATCGTGGGGGTTCGGGATCCGCGACTTGGCGATCACTTCGGAAATGGGCAGGAAAGTGTCGAAACCCTTGGCGATCGACCAGGGAAGACCCTTCTTCTTGGCTTCCTCTTGGACATTGCGAGCGGTCATATCGATGGCAAGCACATAGCCTAATTAGAGACGTCGCAGACCGTTAGTCGGCCGAGGCGAGAGAAGAAAGCCAGGCCTGGCAGGGCGATCACTCACTCTCAATGGCATCCAAAGCGCCCTGCTCGTCCTCGGGATCAAGATCCCGGATGGTCTTGCCAATCACAAGACCCAATTCCACCTCATAGTGCAGACTGACACCCTTTGGGCGGAGAACGGGGCCGGCACCGGGAGGGAGGATGGAGGATGCAGGCTTCAGGAAGAAGAAAGGCTGCTTCGGCGTGGTGTTGTTCAGCTCCGTAATGTGATCGCTACCGAATAATCCATCAGCGCTTGCGCCCAATCAACCCGGAGGGTTGAGGGGATGAGTCGAGCAGGATCGACTGCGAAAGAGATGGGTCACAGGAGGGGGCACGCACGCGTAGTTTCGGCCGATACACATGATCTTGCGGCAATTGGCTCGGATGGATGCCATGGTGGGCTTCGGACAGTGTGGCAGGGGCAAAGGTGTGTAGGATACAACGTGCCGGGGAACGAGCGACGAGCGATTAAAGAAGCTCGGCCTCTCGGCCGACCTCCGGCGCGGGAGTTTGTCGCCAATCGCCCACAGCCCCGCTTGTGTTTTTACCCACCCTAGAACGTTGGCTAAGCACGGCTTACCAATAGATGCACCACTTAACTACGATAGAACGAAAGGTAGCAGATGGCAGGGTTCACGTTCGCCCCTGCCAATAGTTGCTCTCTATTCCCTACCTAACGGCATTCGCGCCGCAGTCTCGCTGAACAAGCATTCTGCGCGGATCCGGCTCACTGGACCGAGGCTCGGCTGGTCCGCCCGAGAGGGGGACGAAGAGATGGGCCTTCCACCCTGTCAAGCATCAGGGCCTATAACTACATGGTGATGCTGGGAGTTTCCCACTAGCGGAACGGATCGGATTGAACCCAATGGAAGGGAAACAAAAAGTAAATTTCCGACATCGGAATAGGTTTGGTGGCCTAGGTTTATCCCTGGACGCGCCTGTGTTTTGTGTTTTGCTGGGGCACGACGATACATCTATATACAATTGCACGGAACATAGCCCTGAGTGATAGATCCAACCATACCCGCCCTTTGATTTACGGCCCTTTGTCAGAATTGAGGCCCTGAATCACCCTTCCCTGCGTATCCTTCATAGACGAGGCGCCTCCAATCTCTCGCGCGTCTCCGTTTCCCGTTGATAAGAGTTTACCGATAAGACCCTGTCGACTCCAACTTCCCCAACTTTCTCCATTGGCACATGCCCGCCGAGCCAAGCGGGGCATTGCCCCCTCTATTTTGCCCATCTAAGAAGGTGCTTAGAGTCCGTTATCTTAGCGAGTTGGCTACTAACCACTACCCTCGGATAGGACCCCTTATAAGAAGAGTACGCGCGCGTTAAATTCTTCTGTTGGCCTTGCAACCTGCCTGCTTTTCCAAAATGCCGCTCAACGCCAAAGCCGTCTATGCGAAATCGGACCCCGCGTATGTGCCTTTTGCCAGTCGGCGGAGCACTATCCACAGCAAAAATGGCATTGTATCATGCACCCAACCACTAGCCGCGGCAGCGGGCCATAAGATTCTGAGCCAGGGTGGAAATGCAGCGGTATGCTTTGTCTTTCTTTGCGTGTTCTGGGTACTCTTTAGATATCTCAGTGCTAATCGGAGAGATACACTTTTCAGGATGCAGCCGTTGCCGTTGGTAGGCGCAATACTTGTGAAGCTGCCAAAGAATAGATGAACTGACTGTTTGTGTCTCTAGCGGCCGGCCTGAACATGACCGAACCTGGATCGACGGGTATTGGAGGGGACATGTTCTGCCTTTTCTACAATGCCAAAACGAAGAAAGTCCATGCGTTGAACGGGTCTGGGCGGTATCCCGGCGAAGCAACCCTAGACAAGGTGCGCAAGGAACTGAACCTCGCCCCTGGCGCAAGTGGCAGTATTCCCATGTTGAGCGCGCTGGCGGCCACTACGCCCGGCGCGGCTGCAGGCTGGGTGGACACAGTCGAGAAGTTTGGGAGCGGGAAGTTGTCGATGCAACAGATCTTGCAGCCGGCTATTGAGATGGGTGAGAGTGGATTTCCAGTATCGGAGCTTTCGTCCCACGGGGTAAGCATTTGGACTTCTTTGCGTTGGCGGTGCAAGACAGCTAACTCGCCCATAGTGGCAAGAGAGCGAGAGCGACATCCGCAACGCGTCGCCCAACTTCCGTGAGATGCTCAAGGATGATCCCTCCGCCAAGGATGGCGTCCGCGCTCCCCTTCCAGGGGAGATCATGAAGAACCCCAGCCTTGCAAGGACGTTCCGCGCCCTGGCAGCAGAGGGCAAGAAGGGCTTCTACCAGGGCCGAGTGGCGCAGGAGATCGTCCAGGTGGTTAAGAACGGGGGCGGATTTATGACCCTCGAGGACCTGGCATATCATGCCGAGGTCGGCACCCAGGAGACAGAAGCCATCTCTCTTAAGTTTACCGGCCAGGATATTATCTCTAAGCAGACTCCTGGGACGGATGGAGAGCCCAACCAGGGCGTGGAGATTTGGGAGCACCCACCAAACGGGCAAGGTATTGTTGCATTGATGGCGCTTGGAATTATGGAGGAACTGGAACGAACGGGTAAAATCCCTCGTTTTAGTCAAGCTCAGCACAATTCCGCAGAGTATCTCCATGCGGTGATTGAGAGTCTACGGATCGCCTTTGCCGATGCGGCCTGGTGGGTGACTGACCCAGACACCGAGCCAGTGCCGTCGCAAGGTCTGCTGGCGCGCGACTATCTGGCCGAGCGGGCGAAGCTGTTCTCGCCTGAGCGCGTCGCCGACATCGTGGATCACGGGAGCCCTGCCCACAACCACTGCGATACCGTTTACTTCGCAGTGACCGACTGCGAGGGCAATGGTATCTCCTTCATCAACAGTAACTATGCTGGCTTTGGTACCTCCATCATCCCGGCCGGCTGTGGTTTCACGCTGCAAAACCGCGGTTGCAACTTCTCTCTTGACCCTGGACATCCCAATGCATTGGCACCGCGCAAGCGTCCGTACCACACCATCATCCCTGCCCTCATCACGAACATTGCCGATGGATCCTTGCACTCCGTCTATGGCGTCATGGGTGGCTTCATGCAGCCGCAGGGCCATGTGCAAGTCTTGTTGAACATGCTGGCCTTCGGTTATCACCCCCAGGCTGCGCTGGACTCCCCGCGTATTTGCATTGCTGCGCCAACACACGAGAGCAATGACCGGACCATCCTCGTGGAGGAGGGAATCTCGAACGAGGTGGTGGAAGGCTTGCGTCGCCTGGGCCACAAGATTGAAGTCTTGACTGAATGGAAGCGGGCGATGTTTGGTCGCGGTCAGATCATCCGTCTACACTATGATGACGGGTCGCTGGTGTATAGCGCTGGCAGCGATCCTAGAGGGGATGGTATGGCATTCCCTCTCCTGTGAAAATTGAAAGGAATATATAATTCAATTGATGGAGCTTCCAAACTTCTTTTCGAATACATTATGCTAGTTTCAATCTCTTTTCCAGTGCCAGAGAACTCATGACCAAAGGAGGCCAATGGAGCAAGGAAGCACCGGGCTAAACCCCTCGAGAAGCTAAGACCGATGTAGAGTCTGCAAATTCCGAGCTAGCTCGCTAGCTACAGATATCTCTATAGCCAACCAGGCGACACCACCATCCGTCGTGGATACAGCCCTGCTATTAACCTGTCCAGGGTTAGCCATTGAGCTCCCATACACCACTGTAACTACCCGAAAGAAGGCAAGGAAGATAGGGCCAGAGAAATAATCAGCTCATTTTGGAAGCTTCGCATCCCTGCGTCTTGAAGCGGACTGGGCAATTGCTTGTATAAGTGACCCAAGCCAATCAAGGCGACGTACGCGGATGTACCCACAGCCCCAGATTCCATTAGGAGGCATTGGAGGCAGCTAGTGTGATGTTCCCTGTCTAGGCACACATCACCATCGAACACTCTAGACCCGACGGAATCGAATTCCTCCTGAGAGGGATTGCACCGACTCGCCAGCCACTCGGGAGTGGGCGTGACATGGAATCTACGGCCCCCCGGGGTATAGTTGCGACCTGTCACTGCATCGCCCCCCACACTGCGGAGAGGAGGGGGTTTCCAGGTGAGTGACGCCGTGTCGGGTCACCATCCCCGGATGTCTACTCCACGCCAGGCCACACGCGAGAAACGTGGTAAAGGCTGTTCGATCCCGTGGTGTAGCACCCCGGGCCAATCGGAAGTCGCGTTGAGGCGTTAGGAATAATGCCCACCTTGGGCTTTGCAAGATGTAGGGCTCAGAACAGAATTGTATATAATTCAACTGGGTCACCTCTTCCTCGAGCGTCAGGAGACAAGTGCTCTGCGAGGATGGTCATGGTCACCCCTCTACCTATTGGGCTTCATCTATTCATACCGCATACCAAAGTGCCTTGATCCAGACCCAGACCATTATTCACAATGTCGCGTCCGCCGATGACCGATGGCGATGTGGAGAAACAAGACGGTGCGGATGGCGGCATGCACTCCCCGGGAGGGACTCCTCGGCCAAGCCATGAGGAGAAGGAGGGTGCCGATGGAGCGCATCGAGCGAATGACGCTGGCAACAGCCCCACGGACCACAAAGAGCTCAAAGAGTGGGAGTGCTATGACAAATTGGGCTACTCATTCCCCCCGTGGAAAAAATGGTGCATCATCTCGGTGATCTTTGCCGTCCAAGTCTCCATGAATTGGAATGCCAGCTTCTATGCCAGCAGCATCTCGCTGTATGCGAAGCACTTTCATATTGCGGAACAAGCGGCGCGGGTCGGTCAGATGAGCTTTCTGGTTGCCTATGGATTTGGCTGCGAGTTCTGGGCGCCCTTCAGTGAGGAGTTTGGCCGATGGCCGATCATGCAACTGAGCCTTCTTCTTGTCAATATCTGGCAGATTCCATGTGCGTTGGCCCCCAACCTGGGCACGATCATCGTCTGTCGCACCTTGGGTGGTCTATCCTCCGCGGGAGGGTCGGTGACCCTTGGCATGGTGGCAGATATGTGGGAACCACAGACGCAACAGTGGGCGGTTGCGTTCATTGTGTTGTCTTCTGTGGCAGGGTCAGCCATCGCACCCGTGGTGGGAGGCTTCGTCGCGACGTACCTGGATTGGCACTGGAACTTTTGGATTCAGCTGATCCTGGGAGGGTCTGTTCAACTCCTGCATTTCTTTGTCCCCGAAACGAGATGCAGCATTCTGGTCACGCGGGAGGCCCGCCGGCGACGGAAGAATGGCGAGATGGTCTGGAGTGGCGATGAGCTGAAAGGAAAGCGCATCTCCTTCCGATACCTGTTCATGGTGTGGGCACGCCCATTCATCATGTTTCTGCGCGAGCCAATCGTCTTGTGTCTTTCCCTCCTCAGCGGCTTCAGTGATGCCTTGATCTTCACGTTCCTGCAGTCCTACAAACCAGTATATGAGCAATGGGGGTTCAACACCGTTGACACTGGCCTGGCCTTCATTCCGTGAGTCTTTCAAAGTCTTTTAAAGTCTTTCATCCTGCTCGGATTTCCCCTGACGCGTGCTGGCAATTAGGATTCTGGTGGGGTACGGCATTGCCTATGCCTCCTTCTTGCCATGGATCCACCGCCATTGCCGAGTTCAAGAACGAGACCCCGAGGGCTTGCAGCCAGAAGCTCGGCTTTATTGGCTACTATGGGGTATGTGGGATCCTACTGGAGATGTCCAGGCAACTGCTGACGGCAGAAACAGTTGCTCCACTGCTCTCGATCGGACTGTTTGGATTTGCCTGGACTAGTCTTGGGCCACCTCATGTCCATTGGATTGCACCCATGATATTTTCGTGCGTGATCGCCATCGCCAATGTAAGTAATCCATGGAGCACATCAAGGCTCTCGCTGATGACTGATATTTTGTTCCAGTTCGCTATCTACATGGCCACGATTGACTACATGATTGCCTCGTACGGCCCCTACGCAGCCTCCGCCACCGGAGGCAATGGGTTTGCCCGAGACTTTCTCGCGGGCATCGCCGCGATGTATTCGATTCCCAGTAAGCTGGACCGACTAGATGCCATATTGCTCATCCGTCCCCCCCCTAACAAGATATAGTGTACAAGCACATGGGAACCGTGCACAAACTGGAATGGCCCTCGACCTTCTTGGGCTTCATGGCGATTGTGTTTACGATTCCCATCTACATCTTTTATTGGTACGGCCCAAAGATTCGCGAGAAGTCCCCATTCGCGCAGGTTCTGGCTTCGGACCGCAAGAAGGCTGGGCGCAAGGTTTCCCAATGCGGTTCTGGCGATCCAGATCCCGTCGAGCGTTACCTGTCGGGATCATCGTAAAAGTAGGCATGTTTACTTGTGGCGGATTGAAATTGGGCAAATTGCACACTGGCTGTTCTAGTCATTCAACTCGTGAAGTATCGGGCACCCGCTTTTTATTGAGGAAATTCAACGATTGATTGTTCTTTTCATTCCTGTTTGGCTTTCTTACAAGCTCGCCCACATGCCATGATGCTATCATGCCATCATCCATATGGGCTAGGCGATGATCTACGCAACGTAAGCATCACGTCTGGGCTCGGCACAAATTCCCGGTAGACCCATCACGTTGGGTTGCCGCAGCAATCACCATCGCGTGCATGGAAAGATCAATACTGGCAATGCAAGGCCTATGCCAGCAGTCTTGGGTCGTAGACTGGTTACTGCGGCTGCCAGGAAATTGTTTTGGCAAGCGGTCCCCCGCGGTCGTAGGTGACCAGCGCAGTATGGTGATCGAGTGCCAGCACTCCCGGCCAGAAGCTGGAGGCGCGCGAGATCACCTGCGGTGCGCTCCACCGGATCTGGCCATTTTGAGGCGGACCTGCGAATACAGCCTTGATAGAAGCGTGCTTGACCCACTCCACCTGGGTCGAATCCTCGTCGGTCATAAATACGACAACCATAGAGCCATCGGCAAAGGCAGAGATCTGCGGAGACCCCGCGTTGTGGCCTGGGCGTGGACGGAAAACTTCATGCCGATTATGCCAGGTGGCCCCATCATCGTAGGAAATCAATGCCTCAATGCTGAATGGCCCATACCGAGTGGTCTCGAAAACCATCACGAGGGCCTCGCGGCCATTGTCGATGGTGGTTGCAATTCCATTCATACCGTCTCGCAAAGGGTCTTGATCGCCATGTAAGCAGACGGGACGGCTCCAAGTGCTCCCTTGATCATGCGAGACCACGAGCATAGTGCATTGATTATTAGGCGCGGATTCTTGGGAGTAGGTTAGTTGCACCTCTCCCCGTCGGCCAAGCCGCATGAAGGGCTCCCAGATTCCAAGCGGCGGGCCTTTCTCTGCGGCCTGGGACGCGTATTGCCAAGTGCGGCCCCCGTCCATGGACCTGCAGACGGTGATGCGGAAGTGCGTGGGGCCATTGGGTCCGAGATCGTGATTGCGGAAGGCTGCCAGGACCACACCAGGCGCGACCTCGAGGAGGAACATATTATCCACATCCCCGGCCGCTCGAGTCACTTCGGAGAAGTTCTCAAAAGTGCGCCCACCATCGGTGCTGCGTGCAACACAGAGGGCATGCATACCATCGGGGAAGCGCGTGAAGGAGGAGAGGATAGAGCCGTCCGAGAGTCGAGCAAGGCGGGGATAGGTGCCATTGTTCGGGGGCGACGAGAGCGGGCGCTCGTCGTCGTGGACGAGGGCGCGACCTGGTAGAGGTGCGCCAGATGAAACCTGCTGCGCATTGTGGCCCGCACCAAAGGCCTTGAGTACCTTTTGGCCAAAATGTCCCATGATTGGAGCGAAGGTGAAGAGAGAGGAGTTCGGTGGACGGGGCGGACGAAGCTAGGCTGGGGTGCTGTTACGTCATGGCCGGAGGGCTGGTCTAAGCTCTGATAGCTTGCAGGCTGGTGGGGACGAGAAGGCACGAAGAATGGAGACGGCGTCAGGTTGAGAGTCGACACCGCCATGGGGAGAACAGTCCGTCAATCTGTCAGTCATATTCGCCCTCCTGAATGTCCCGCAATCAATCTTCTCCGTGTCACCCTCTCTAAACTCCTCCCGACTGCACTCCGACCCATAGGAACGACGACCACCTTTTGCTGGTCATGGTCCAATTGCCTCGCTCTCGCCGTGGGTCATCAGATACCGGAGGCGGGTCGACTTCCAAGGCCGAATGTTCGGTGTTAAAAACTGCTGGAGTTAGGTTTTTGCACGGCGGATTTATCGCCGGCTAATCTCCGGTCTGGCAGAGCGGATAGTCACCACTTTGATGTCTACCAAAGGGGGTGTTCCCAATGGTATAAAAGGACCTAGTGGGCCTCCATGGATAGGAGAGCGGATTCTCATCGGTATACTGTGCCTCGCAATCTCACAATGGCGTTTGTCTATTCTCAGTTATTCGTCCGTCCGACGTATCCCACCCGGTCCTTCGACGGCCAGACAGTGCTCGTCACCGGTGCCAACGTGGGCCTAGGCATGGAAGCTGCCCGCCATCTGGTAAGGCTGGGTGCAGCTCGCGTGATTATGGGAGTGCGCAATGTGCCAGCCGGACAGGCTGCGAAGGAGCAAATTGAGACCTCGACGGGCCGCCCTGGCGTCTGCGAAGTATGGGAGGTGGATCTTGCTTCCTACAGCTCGACCTTGGCCTTCGGCGATCGCATCGCGCAGCTCCCCCGACTTGATGGTGCAGTCCTCAATGCAGCTGTGGCAACCCGGACCTTCCAACTTGCTGAGGGTCATGAACGTACGATCACGGTGAACGTGATCAACACCCTCCTTCTCGGTCTTCTCATTCTCCCCCGGCTCAAGGCCACCGGCCAAGAATTCCCCATGATCCGGCCCCGTCTATCCTTTGTGGTCAGCGGAGTGCACGCATGGGCAGAGTTTACAGAGTGGAAGGACACGGATACACCCATGCAGCTCGTTTCTGATCCCTCCCAGGCCAGGATGCAAGAGCGATACCCGCTATCCAAGCTGCTTCAGGTGCTGCTCGTCCAAGAGCTAGCTGGACGGGTTCGCGGCTCAGATGTGATTATCACCATGGTTGACCCAGGTCTTTGCCATTCGTCACTTGCACGCGAGGCGGGGTGGCAGCTCTACGTGATGAAGCTCGTGCTGGCGCGATCGACAGAAGTGGGAGCTCGCACACTGATTGCCGGCATCGCCACTGGCCTCGAGGGCCATGGCGCCTACATGACCGGTGGTTCGGTAGACAATACTAGCCTGTCTCCCTTTGTGCGCAGCGATGAGGGAGACCTAGCTCGGGGAAAGCTCTGGAAGGAGCTGTTGGAGATTCTCGAGCCTATCCGATCTGGGATTATGCAGAATATCTGAAGGACCTTGGAAGGTACACTCCGAGCAGCACCGATGAGAATTTTTGTGGCTAGAATGATATACCCTTTCTATACAACCGTCATCGACTTTCACTTTCTTTGGAAGTCCCATAAATCAGATCTCTGTTTAACGAATGGGCCCTGTCGCTCACACGGCAGCCTCAACTCCAACCGGTCTAGATCGGAGTCAACCGAGCTAATGCAATGCAGGTTGCTGGCTCGCACCGATATAAACGAGCATAGAAAGGGCTCCGAAGCTGACATGTTGCTGCGCTAGTCCCCACGCCGCATGCCATCCGTCATTCGCGAGACCCAGCCGGCAGCATTTGCCCCGGCCTGCATAGATCTGCATAGTTCGTAACAGCTGCAATCATCAGCCAGCCCGCTTGCAAATGCAGCCGTTGGAGGACAAACAACACCTCGAATGGGCGCCTTTGGAGGTGACATGATGCGAACAAGTTCGTGCTGAACTGTGAGCCGTGGCGCCTGGACCCAGGTGCCGATCGGTCCAGGCGCCGATCCGCATGGATTGCCCTCTTTGTCCAGCCAGGACTAGTCTGGTTCGTCGTGATGCTTGAGCCATGCTGGTGGAATGGCCCCCTCTTCAGCTCGTGAGATTTCGCAACGCAGGCTTTTAACCCGCACTTCCCTGGGTGTTCTATTCGTGATGGTCTACAACTAGTTTTGCTCTTGAATGTGCTACTGCCGCAAATAGTAATTATGGCTCCTATACGCTTAGAATCGATTTCCTTTGCTCGTCCGACGACCGAAGGGCCATGCAAACCTGTCCAAGCTGATCGATCAGGGTCAGGCCTTGATCTGATGCTGGCCGAGCGCCCTCAAAGCCTCTTGTACTTGGTCGAGGCTTTCGATGCCCCAGCTGCCGTCAAAGACGAGCATTTCGATGTCCAGCTCCAGCGAGTACTCCACCTCGCCTGGATTGTCACTGTCCGTGCCTTCATTTCATCTACCACTCTTTATGTCGGACAGCAGTACCTCAAGGGTCGGTGCTTCGTTGGTGAGACACCGAGAACTGCCGACGTCGTGACTCGAATCCATGTCGATACATACGAGGCCGTGCAGGATCTCTTTGCGCAGCTCATCAACCATCTGGAAGCGACATCGAAAGAGGGCCATGGCAACGGCTGCTCTGGAAAAGCGGCTGCCGATGCCATGTACAACACTATCATCCTCTACCACTGCCAGCCAGTACATAGGGTTGGCACTGGTACCGAAACCTGCATGAATCACTGCCATGTGTGCTGTCCTATGCCCATTATGGACCCGTTCGAAGCAGGGCTTCCATCGTCAGAGCTTCGACTATATATAAGACGAACCCCCGATAACCGCTTCCTGGTTCATCTGGATGGGGATGCAGCTAGTCGCAATTTGCCGCTGGCCACCAGCTTGCTACATAGCTTTGACCAGGCCTTGTGTTCAATCGCCCGCCTCCCGACGCAGTCTATAGGGACGGCGGGGCTATGCTCCATGTACGATCGCGAACAGATTGCTGATTCCACTCGCTCGCTTTCACCGGTTCAAGATGCACTTCTGCATGATCTATGCTTGCGACACTCGACGACCACGCCAAATGCGCTGGCGGTTCGCTCCTGGGATGGTGATCTTACCTATGCTCAGCTACATGACTTGGTATGCCGATTAGCCCATTGGTTGACCGGGAAAGGAGTTGCTCCGGGTGTTTTTGTCGCTTGTACCTTTTACAAGTCAACATGGGCCATCGTTGCCCGCCTTGCAGTCCTCATGGCAGGCGGCGCCTATATATGTGTCGATGCCCACGATCCACCGACATACTTGGAATCCATCATGGAACGAACTCGCGTTCGAATTATGTTAACCTCGACGGGGTTTACTCAACAATTCACTGACCGAGTGGATGTCCATTTTGAAGTCAGCGAGGCGTCTCTCCACGGCCTTCCATCGCTCCGTGTTATGCCTTGCTCCCCCGTGGCACCAACCGATCCCTGCGTTGTCCTGTTCACATCGGGGAGTACAGGCAGCCCCAAGGGCATCGTGCAGGAGCATCGGAGCTACGCTTCGGCACTGACAGACTACATTCACGTCATGGGGATGGGTCCGCATTCCCGGCTTTTTCAATTCGACGCATATGCCTTCGACATCAGCAATAATGACTTTCTCGCTCCCCTCATTGCTGGCGGCTGCTGCTGTGTACCGACGACCTCGATGACTATTGAGGCACTAGTGACCGACCTGAATGACCTAGCAGCGAACATGATCTTTGTGACACCGTCCGTAGCGATGGATATGGACCCCGACCGTGTCCCTACCCTCGAAATGATGTGCATTGGTGGAGAGCCTCTTTCCGACGCAGTTCTAGCGAAATGGATGGGCCGTGTGCGTGTTGTTAATCAGTACGGAATGGGCGAGGTCGCCTCTCTCTGTGCCCATAACCCCGACCTCCAGCTCGGCCGTGGGGCGGTGGTCGGACGCCCAGCTAGTGGCTCGATCTGGATCGTGAGCCCCGACTCTCCCGACCAGTTGATGCCGGTCGGTGCGGTGGGGGAGCTGCTGGTGGAAGGCCCACACATCTCACGGGGCTATCTCGACCATGTGTCCGGGAAGTCGGAAAACTTCCTCTCTGCACCTCCCATCTGGATGGCACACATCCACCCCGACCGACCCTCACATCGGTTCTATCGGTCTGGCGACTTAGGCCGATACAACCATGACGGAACTATTGAGCTTATCGGGCGGAAAGATACCATGTTGAAGCTCGATGGGGCAAGAGTCGAAGCCGGGCAGGTCGAGTTTGTTCTGAGCAGCCACTTGACACCTGGAGACGTCGCAGTAGTGGATATTCTCGGTGCTGTCGATGGCGTCAGTGAGCCCATCTTGGGTGTATACCTGTACTTATCCACCAACCCGATGAACCTCGAAGGCGGCTCGGTGGAAGAGATGCAGTTTCGGCCGATCCAGAAGCACCATGCCGTCCATCATCTCACGCAGGCCCTGAGCAACGCGGTCCGCCAGAGTCTTCCCCGATACTATGTCCCCAGTTTGTTCCTGCTCATTGACCGTGTGCCACGCACCAAGTCCAAGAAGACGGATCGCCGCAAGCTCCACATGCTAGGGCAAGCTTATTATATGGCTCGCCGAGAGGAACTAACCGAAATTACTGTCTGGCCCGATTGGATTTGAGTAATGTGATCCACTTGAGCGACCCCGTGGCATGAGCATACGAAGGGTTTAGGATTAACATCTCTGCGCTGTCGCAACTTTGTTGCCTGCCATGTCCGCTGTGTGTGGTGTTTCCAGGATTGCATCGCGACATGGTGGGTTTTAGCTTATCCTAGGTTCGTTGATGAGTCGATTGACTACAACCTGATCCCACAAAATCCTAGACCGGATTCCCAGACCAGCAACGTGCCCGGGCCTATGGGGAACTATACACTATCTCTATAGTCTAGATTAAAAGCACGGTTCATGTAATTGTCTCTGGGCTAATCGGCCGTATTTTGTATTCCGCACCAATCGACAAAGCCCTGCCTGTCTCACCGTGGAACTCGACCGTCGTAAACAATCAAAAAAAAAGACTAAAATCTAGGAGTAAGCATGTGCCAAAGCTTGAATAGGTAGGGTTACCGAGCTGTGCATTTCAACTGCTTGCCGGTGTCCCGCTCCATTTGAATCAAAAAGGCGCCTCCTCCATCAGGCCACTTTTCTCCCTCTGTACTGTAACTTCGGACGTTTTGCCGTCTTACAGCTGGAGATAAACATCGATGCAGATCAAAACCATCCGTCAATCTGGTCGGGAAGCGTCTGCCCGTGCTCTATCCATTAAGCATCGATAGCTAACTTGCACAGTGATTTCGATTACCATGCCGAAAAAGGGTCCCCGAACACCCTAACGGTCGCCCGCCCCACAGGGCTACCCGACTAGAGCTACTCTGAAACAACGAAGCAATATAATCGGCATCCTGAGTGGGGCAGAACGAGGCACGAGTAGCCGATTCGGCGATCAGGAGCCCCATCACGATATTCATTCATGGACAATTCGGGCCACCGCGTGGTCGAGGAGTTCGCACCAAAACAGCATGGATCATCACTGTGGGCCTCACATCCACTCAAGCTCAAACGGAGCCAAGAGCTCCGGCCTGTCTGCTCCCTTAGATGGTCAGCGCTGAGAATCGGGGTATATAGCTAGGCCAGCATGGCTCAGAGAACATGCCTGTGTTGCGCCGCCAGTCTTTCCTTTGCCGTTGCGCGACCTTCTCTTGATAAACTATCGACCTTCATTTTTGTTGACGCGCTGCTGGTTCAGTCGTTCTTTCGCTCTTTCGCTCTCTTGTGATATCCCATTACGCCGCCCATTCTCCCTAATCCTCCTGCCATGTCGGTTCAGAGAGCGCTTCTGGCAGCCGTCGCGCTCCTCAGAGTCACAGCTCAGGCTGCAGGGGTTTCAGGCACTGCTTTTGGCTTTGCGACAGGAACGACTGGTGGTGGCAATGCCGCTGCTGCCGCTCCTAGCGACATCGCCCAGCTCACTGAGTGGCTGACCGACAGCATTCCCCGAGTGATTCTGATCGACAAGGAGTTCAACTACCTGGGCAGCGAGGGCAAGTGCTTCAACTGCAAATGCTGCGTTCCTGACTCCAACACGTGTGGCAGCTCGGGCCAGAATGCCATTGCCCTGGCCTCTTCTTCCTGGTGTGGAACCTACCCGACGACCACTTGCACCTACGATAAGGCGGCCCTCGAGGGCATCAATGTCTCCTCGCACAAGTCCATTGTCGGTGTTGGCAGTGCCGGCGTCATTCGCGGCAGAGGTCTGCGTCTGGCGAACGGCGTCAGCAACGTGATCATCCAGAACATCCACATCACCGATCTTAACCCGCAGTACATCTGGGGTGGCGATGCGATTACTCTGGATGGCACTGACCAGATCTGGATTGATCACGTCAAGATCTCCCTGATTGGGCGTCAGATGTTTGTCGCTGGCTTCGATTCTAGTAAGTGCAGATATTCATCTTTTGAAGCGTGGATCTAGCTGTCGATATTAACCGATTATACTTCCAGGCGGTCGTGTTACCATCTCCAACAGCGAGTTTGACGGACGGACCAGCTGGTCCGCCTCCTGTGACGGCCACCACTACTGGACTATGTATGTTTCGACCCTCTATCCGGACAGCGTCGTACTGGGTTAATATCTGACTAATTGTGACTGATCTTTTCGGTACAGCCTGGGCTACGGTAAGAATGACAAGGTCACTTTCACGGGAAACTATATCCACCACACCTCCGGCCGCTCCCCCAGGCTCGAATTCGACAACTACTGGCACGTCTACAACAACTACTGGTTCAGTAACACCGGCCACGCCTTTGACGTCGGTGAGGGCACCAACGCTCTTATTGAGGGCAACGTCTTCGATCAGGTGAAAACTCCTCTGCTCACTCCCGGCAAGACCTTTGCGGTCAGCTCCAGCGACATGTCGACCTGCAACTCCATGCTCGGTCGTTCATGTTCTGCCAACACCCTCACCACGTCAGGCACTCTGTCGGCCAGTGACCAGTCCGTCCTCTCCAGCTTCCCCAGTGGCGGGTCACGCTTTAACCTGTTGGATGCCGGTCGCGTCAAGTCCTCAGTCCTCAGCAATGCTGGCATCGGTAAACTCCGCCGCTCCAGGGCCTCTAAGAAGAAGGACCGTCAGTATGCTGGCATCACACCCTCCGTCCCTGCCTCCTCTGCTGCTGGCTCGGGTGCGAGCCCTACCGGCCCTCCCCCTCAATTTAGCTGGACGACCATTGTTGTCAAGCCCACCCCCCTGCCCAGCGGTCCTCCCGCTCGTCCTCAGGGAAGCTAGTGTGCCGGCAGCTTCCCCTCCGGCTTCTTCTAGGTCCAATCAGATGACGTGTGGTGGCCGACGGGTACTATCCACTGCTTACTTGGTCGCTGTTCTTGCGGCGCAAACGATTGGTTTTTTTTTTTTCATTTCTCTTCTTCTGGTCGGGCAAAATTGCCAGTTTATGCACAATTAAATTACCCTTAGTGTGGGTGAACTTGCTCACCGACTTATGTATTTACTTGAAACTGTGTGGTCGCTTGTGAGGGCCTCCAGTCGAGGTCCTCCCGGTGCCTCAAATCACATCTTTTGATCCACTGACGTATCTTTCGATCATGTTCCTCGCGTCCCTGATAATCCACACCTTGCATGATTCTCCTTGGTTCACCTGCAGTGCACCTGGGGGTACTCTCTATAGGGTAGTTCCCGGCCTCCCCGGCCATTCTGCAGGGTCGAGCACGCTGTTAGGGCGCGGGTGTACGCTGAAACCCCGCTCAGCTACTCGCCACTGAAATAGATAGATCTCGAGGGAATTTTGCTTTGGATAGAAGCCCCAATCTCTGTGTGCTTGCCGCAACGGATGTAGGGACCGTAGGAGAGAGAATAGCGGCGCCGCTGATCCTCGACTTTAATACTCGCACCGCCTTCCTGGGCTATCATCCAAAGCATTCATGAAAACGGCTGGTGCGAGAGACGTCATCGTTCTATCCGACCGGCTTCATTGAGATGAATGCCCCTGAGATGTGGTACAAGTCGTGCGTCTCGGGATCATTGGCGCCCGGGGCGGCCCGAAATGGATCGGTCCCGATAGTGAACCCAGCGCTGGAATCGACTGGCAGCCAGTTGGACGTCTGGCGAGTGCTCCCATCGGGCATTTCCAGCATTGTTGGGTAGTCTTCCTCATGCGCCTGCTGCGAGGCGTGGCTCGCGATAGGCATGTTCGGCGCTACTGTGTGTGCAGGCGGGGAACCCGGGCATCGGGAGGACTGCATATCTTCACTGTCTTGATCCGTCTCCCATCGGCCAAATGAGGCATGACTTGGTTCGGGCGTGCCGCAGGGATCAGAGATGGGCGAGCCGGGGAAGGTCGGGAAGGCGGCTGGTGGACCGCTGGGGGTCATAAAGAGGGCTCTTTGGGTGGCCATCAGGGCAATCCATCGCTGTCGCTCCGCGTCGTCCGAGCGCGGCGACTCCACATACGGTTGGTGATAGCGCGCACTAGACGAGTGAGCAACTGGCGGCATTTCCCCGATCCCTCGGATTCCGCCGCGAGGGGTCAATTGTCATTTACCTCGAATCGTCCAACTTGTGGCCGGTGGGGTGGATCGTCAGGCCCGCCTCCACCCACGACTGCGGATACCGCTGGGGCCCGCCCACCTTCGCAGCAAGCTCGCTCTGATGCCAGCCCAGATGGTCCATCATCCCAGGATCGAGATCGCCTTGCATCACAAACGGTTGCCCGGCTTCTGCAAGGTAGCTCGGATGGAGTTCCTCGTGGGCCATGCAAGGTGCCAGGCCGTCCAGGGTTTGGCCGGACGCATCGACCAGATACCAGGGTTCCATTCTGTACGATGCCATGGTGGGGAATTTTCACCTTGTCAGGAATTGAGGCCCGACCTGGAAACGTGTGATGGGGACACGCAGTGGGACACAAGAACAAAAACCGAAGTCGATTGGGAAAAGATTCTGGAAATTGCGTCGACTTAAACCCTCGCGTCGCGGCCATACAGTAGCTGGAGAAAAGACAGGTTCCCCGCAAACCCGGGGCATCCTGGCTTACTTTAGGGGAGAAAGAAATTAAAAAAGCATTGAAAATAAACGAGAGAAAAGAAGTTGAAAATGCGGAGAAGGTACCAGGGACGTGAGCAGTTCAGCCGGACGCCGGTAAATTGCTGGCGCACCACACCGCATGATCCAAGAAGAAATGCATCACGAATGAGAAGCTGCATGCAATTAACCGAGTGACGACTCGGCGAGATTTCCCCGGATTGTGGCGGGCCCGATCGAACCGAGCTCCGCAGGAAACCCGATGCGCCAATCGGCGCATTCTGCGGCGGGCTCGGCAAGGCCTTATTTAACCGAACCCCCGCAGAAACGGAAGGGCTCGTGCGGACGATGGCGTTGATCAGGAACGGAAGGAAAAATGGGGAAGCGGGGGCACAGAAAAGGGCCCGTCAGCCGCTGGGTGCAAGGTACGGCCCATTTCAGCCCATTTCATGCGGCGGAGAGCCCCTCCGGGCCTCTCCCCGGCGATCAATCACCCACATCCCGAATTCGGGCACGGACATATGCAGTCGCGGTAGGCACAGGCTGGATTCTTTTGTCGCCGGAATGCAGGGGGGGGGTTACACAAAGCCAAAGGTACGGTTCTCATGATTTGGTCTTCGGGTGGACGGAAAGCGACCCACGGTGAGCGATATGGTGATCTCTCGAGGGTATACGAACCCCGTTGGATCGTGGACTTCAGGAAACCGAGTGTGCCGAATTAGCGAAACCCTCTCAGGGATGGGATACGAGCCGGTGACAACTGCCCTGCTTCTCCACTCGATGAGGTCGAGCGCCAGGATAGGAGCCAGAAATCCCCTGCTGAGCTCGACAAAGGGGTTATGCGAGTTGGACTAAGATTGGGCGTTTCTCAGCCGGTCTTCCTCGGCAACTGGCAAAGACCAGAGCAGGGGTGAGAACGGATTTTCCGCACTTTTACACTTTTATCAAGCCTTACTTTTCCACCGCATTTTAGTGGACCAGACATGGTATGGGTTTGCAGTGGACTACGCGTGGCCTGCAGTTGCTGACGAGCTTGGCCTTGACTTCGACTGCTTTTAATCCAGCGGACGAACATCGTGAGACAAGAGCTCCAACCCGACCGCCAGTATACTGTGGTATATACAAACAACTACCAGTACTGGCCGCGAGTTTCGGGTCATGCTGGCGCATGGACGTCCGATGTGCATGGCACATTCACAGGGCAGATTGCGGGGTCCCCAACGATCTCCCCACAGCCGAACCGAGGCCGCAACGCTCTTCCCACCGAGCGCAACGATCTTAAGTTCGTGGGCTTGATCACAAAATGCTGTGTCCTTTCAGCTAAATCATTGGGTCTCTGTTTCCTCTCTCTCTCTCTCTCTCTCTCTCTCTCTCTCTCTCTACACCAGTTTCTGGCGGTGATACCTCGCGCACAACATGATCTTCGATCCAGCCCCGATCGAGCTTCCAGCCTCCTACGAGACGGTCCCAACAACAGGCCATATCAAAGTCTCGCATCATCCCGCTGGTGCACCGTCGGTCACACCAGTCATCATTGTGACGCTGAATCGGCCTGCCAACAACAATGCCTTCACCTCCCAAATGGTCCAAGATGTCGAATCGCTCTTCCCTCTATTCGATAGCGACGATCGTGTGAAGGTTGTGGTCTTGACTGGCGCAGGCAAGATCTTCTGCGCCGGTGCAGACTTGGATATCGGGTTCAGTGGCAACCGAGAAAGGCCAGCCGATCACCGTGATGGGTAACCCTATCGTTCCATTCCGCTCCGGGGACCTTCAAGAGCTTACCAAAGCTAGCGGCGGACGCGTTGCACTGGCTATCCACCGCTGCCGCAAGCCAACCATCGCAGCGATGCAGGGCTCTGCCGTTGGGGTCGGGATGACAATGACTCTGCCGGCGATCATTCGGTGAGTGGTGGGATTTCTTCTACCGGCGTCCACTTTGACCCTAATCAACTTGGGTGGTTAGCATCGCCTATGAGAAGGGCAAGTACGGCTTTGTTTTCGGCCGGCGTGGCATCGTCATGGAATCGTGCTCATCCTATTTCCTGCCACGCCTGGTCGGCTTTTCCAATGCGAGCTATCTCGTGAGCACGGGGGGCGTTTTCCCACCCACGTCCAAGCATTTCGGCGATCTGTTCAACGAGACCCAGCCGGACCCGTCAAAGGTTCTACCCAGGGCTCTCGAGCTGGCCACCGAGATTGCGGAAAACGTCAGCCCAACTTCACAGTACCTCAACCGTGCATTGTTGTGGCGCAATCCGGGGACCGCAGAGGAGGCACATCTGGTGGAATCGGCAGTCATCTGCCACACTTTCGGCTCAGAGTACGTGGTCTGGTCACGGTGCCGTCCCACTCGGCGGGAGCTGGTTTGCTGACGGTGGAATAGGGATCAGAAGGAGGGCGTGAAGGCATTCTTCGAAAAGCGCAAACCTGCCTTCCGGGCCAATCTGGACGATAACCCGCCAGTGAACGTGCCGTGGTGGACCGAGGTGGACACAGGCCGAAATCCAAAGGCAAAGACCCCGTCGAAGCTGTAGCTGATCGCGCCATGAAACGAACGGCTCCGTTGTATGCACGGCGTACTGCCCCTTCCACGTAGATCAGCAAGAAGTCGATCATGTGTGATAATGTAATTGCTTCACAAAGTGGTGTGCATGATACCGTCCATCCCCTATTCGAGTTTAGCATGACCACCATTGCCTTGCATAAGTACGTGATATGTTCCAATGCTGCTCTGGGGTTTCACTGTTCTTCCTTCTACTTTGACTACCTGTCCCTCCATCAACAATCACAAACATGATCGCCGGCTGGGGGAGAATACGAACACTACACCCCAGGCAGACACCGAGGGTTTCCGCATAAAACTCAAGTATCGGCAGATAATTCATCCGAAATGATTGAAGACAAATGGGAGCTGGTTGATGGCGCTATCAAAGATCATTCTCCAATACAATGTAATCCCCCCGGCTCACCCGCGCCGCTAATGAGGTCGAAAATCAAAACACCGATCCCATAAGAAAGAAGAAAACGCCCAGCTTGGGCCCGAGCCTGCCGAAGATGCAGACAGGTTGAATCGTATACACACAAATTAGAGCCGGGGGAGGCAAATGCCTCACATAAAACAAGACAAAAGGCAAGATCAGGCAATGAAGTTACGGCGCTTGCGGTTGTACGCCCGCTGGTCCTTGAGCCACTGTCGGTATCCTTGCACGCTGCCAATCTTCTCGCCGTAGTAATCAGGGACGGGGTTTGCAATCGAGTTCGTGGAGGGGTCCACGCGGAATCGCTTGATACGGTTGAAGAACTCCTTTTCTTTCTGCGAAGAGATCACAAGACATTAACCCAGCTGCTCATCCATTGGTACAAGGGTTTTGCAATGACTTGGCACTTACCGTTGCCACAGAGGGCTTATACCGCCGGTACACCAGGCCCCAGACGCCGTTGCCAACAGCTGGACCAACCAGCCACCCGGCGGCGCCGCACGCCGCTGTTGCCATGCCGAGAACGACAAAAGGGTCCAGACCCATCACCTGAGCACCAAGCGACTCCAAGTCCTGCGATGATAGGACCTGCACACCGACTGTGGTGGAAACGAGGGAGCTCACAATCGAAGATGCCAGGGAATAGCGACGGCGAGAAGCGCGGAGCTTGAAGAAGGAATCCCAATCCAGCTTCACCTCATCCTTAGGCGCCGCGGAGGTAGACTGTGCCCGCGAGCCGGCTTGACAGCTCAGGGAGGAGGGAGAAGGCCGAACAAGAGGCCGGAAGTCCAGCTGCTGAGCGGCACACGACGGTCGAGTGGCGGCCGAGTGGAGGCGAGTAAGTTGCTTCGATGCCATCTGCGGGCCGGATTGGTAGATTGGAGAGGTACGGGCGAGCGCGCCGACTGCGGCGGAGCTCATCCGACCACTGAACATTGAATGAACGGACATGCTGACGGAACTGGAATTTCTCTGGTCGTCGTGGAATCGCGTTGGACCAGAGATTGCGCTGTTCGCAAGGGAAGTTGGCAGAGATGGAGTGCTGGTTACGTAAGCTGAGCCATGCTGCGGGAACAAACCGGGGGCCAATCAGGGTGCAGCTGCACCTTCAAACAACAATAACATCTCCACAGCAGCATTTTGACGAGAAACCTGGTAGTACACTGATTCGCATTTGAAGAAAAGGGGTCTTCTCCCAAACCTAAGAAGCCGAAGCGCAAACATTGTTCGAGTTGAAATGGAGAGTAGGTCCCCAATAGGTATAATCTATGTATGTCCAGGGTGTACCTCTTGAAGGTCCCATGCAATATATATATCTAACTGCGCCTCATGCCATCTTCTGAAAACAATTCTGAACCCACCTCCAACGCTTCAAACAATCAAATGCGACGAAATTAAGGTTGTGGCCTATCCTATCTCACCAAAAACGTGAATGGTCGTAAGAACGGCTACGATCAAACTACCTCATAATTGGTCCGCGATCACGTAGATTCTGAAATCCACCCTCGTCGGTGTAGTTATTTCATAGGCCATTGGTCTTTCTAATGTCGCCAGGGCGAGATCGAGGAGATAGGGAGGTGCCAAACCCGTTCACACGACCGTACAACCACTTGAGCGTGGCGGTGCTCAGGGCCATCACAATAGCACTCAGTGAGAACAGACCAATGCGACCTGGGGTGGGCAACTGCTCAAATATGGGATACGGATACCTTAAAGCGGGTAAGTATCATCATAGAGATGCATGCGTCATCAAATACTCTTATTTGTGCTTACCATCCATTGTACGAGAAGCATTGCTCAACCCAGAACCAGTACCCAAAGGCAATGGCGCCAGATAAGCCTAGCGAGGGCAGGACGGAAATTGTCCACGGCGGGGAAAGCAGCAGCAGATCCACCATCATCACGATGGACGGAATAGCGTGAAAGCCGATGTCTACCGGTAGGTGTTAGCGCGGGCCCCTCGCGGCATGAGCCGCTACTAGTCTTATCAACGTACCGGCATGCAAAGGGATCACGGCCCAATCTGGGAGCACTAAGCGCTCATCGATCTGAGCCGGACATATTCGGTCAGATGAGTCAATCAGGCCAAAGAGATTATCTGTCTCCACTCACCACCCGCAGGCCCCAGTACAGCACGCTAATCAGTACCTCCATAGGCGCACTACACACCGACAACATATTCTTTACCAGAAACAGCCGCCGGGACAGGGTCACGTCGGCCAGCAAGGCAACGATGAATGTTAGCGTCGACAGACTTAGGCCGATGACGGTCAAATACTGGAAGTGCCAGCCGTATGCCTCATTTCTGAATGAAATTAGCAGTGCTTGTACGCGGGAGGACTTCGATAACCCTCCCGCTCTGGGGAAGTGAAACTCACGCCCGGTTGGGGTTCTCGTGCATGCTTTGAGCAATTGTTAGCGCTCATTTTACGTAAAAGGGGTCTGCCATAGTACCCTAGAGGTACATCGAGACAACATACTAATTGAAGGACCATAGAAAGCTCGCCAGGCCCGTTGCCTGTTGATGTCAGCCATGGGTCCCTGCAGCTGGTCATGAACTAGAACCACGGGACGGATGCACATACATGAACCAGAGCAGAGAAGCCCCGGGAGGGACTGGGCATCCGCTGCAACGGATGATGCGCGATGAGTGACGGGCTCATACTGGTAAACCTGGACGTATGTGCACAAGAGGTAAATCAATTGAGTTTGCAAGTTCGCAGGGACAGCATCCTGGAGGAACCGGGGGACGGAGGCTATCGGGCCCAGCTTGGCAAAGGGAGCGCCGCTATGACGCACGCCACGTGACCGGTAAGCCGCGGTAAGCCGCCTCGGACCGCGGGTTTCCCCGATATCCGGCTGAGTCAGCCTTATCTTTCGCTTCCCCACACTTTCACACGAGCTCTCCAGATGCGAATCTTCCCTGCAACTAGTGCTCAGTTGCTTCGTTCTTTTTCTTTCTTGGTCCGCATCGTAGGTCGTGGCCTGGTGAAGCAAGTGGGCCTTCCCGCTTCCCCGGATTTTCCATCCCTAGAGTCGTCCACGCGAGATCATCCCGGATCGTCCTTGGCCTTTCGGTTCCCTGCATTCTCCCCTCCAGATAAGGTGAAAAGCATCTGTCATTGCTGCCGTCGCAGCGGGACCCTGATTTTTCTCGGGCACATCTCCCTCCCACACCTCGATGTGCTTGTCTACTAGGCGTGGGTGTCTGGTCGATTATCGTTTCGTCGCCACTTGGGGTCAACACAGTTGCAAACGCAGAAAGCGAACCAATTGCAGCCTGCGTGCCCCGTGAAAAGCCCCGAGCGAGCTGGCAGTGTGACGTGCGTGTCCTGTATGGCTACTACACTGAACATTGAACCCTGTGGCTTTTTTTGAGCCTCACATTCTGCTTGGTTCTTCCCGTCCCTGCTATCCACGGGGTCTGGTCATCAGTAGGAGCGGCTCCGAGGGTGCAATGCCTCGCCCTCGCCGACCTGGCGCGCCAGAGCCCAAGCGCAGGAGTCGAAAAGGTTGTTGGTGAGTTGGTTGCCGACGGAAACGAAGTTTTGTGTCACATAGACTAATGGTTCCAAAGGCCATGCAAGGCTCGCAAAGTAAAATGGTAAGCTCGCATAGCTGACTCGTCATCGTGATCCCGCTAAAAGTGATATTGCAGTGGGGAGGAAAAACCCTCCTGTCTCAATTGCCAACGGCAAGGAGAGACGTGTGACTACAGCGTCCGTCTGAACTGGGCTGGCCGAACCAAGCGGTCTTCAGTTGATTCTCCTAACTCCATGTCCAGTGGATATGGTGGCACAGTGATTGGGTTTGCTGATACCATGCCGACAAGTGCTGTTAGTTCGATCCAAATACCCACATCGATGCCTCCAGGGAGCAACGCCCCTGCGGATGGGTTTATCAATTTTCGATGTGATGATCTCGGATCTCCTAGGGCAATATCACCCAGCAGCCCTGCCACCTTGGGGGTCTTTGAGTCTCCAAAGCCTCAGATAAACTCGGAAAATGTGACTTCCCCGTCTCAAGGAGAAGTGCACTTCGCCACGACATGGGCGGAGCATTCTCCTTTGACCCCGGCTTCGTCCGGATCCGTGTCACAGTATTCCTTTGGCCAGAATTTCCCTGGCTCATTTTCCCCTGCAGCAGATCAGGGAGTGGGTCTTCGATCTCTTTCTGCGTTTGCGTTCCATTCAAGCTCGGTATCGCAGCCAGTATCTTTCCTCCGCAACTCGGTGGATATGGCCGGCCACGTGTCTGATGCATCGCCTCATCCAAATCAGAACGATGCCCAGATGTCTACTGGCAGTCCGTTGCCGCATGATGGCCGGGGATTAGAATTCTCGGTCAATGGCGCTGCGAGGCAGGATCGCAACTCTTGTGATTTGTCAGGCCATAGTGGGACCCCGGGCTTGCTGCTTGGATCCCATGCGTCTTCATCTGCGGGACATGACAGGCCCACGCCTGTATCGACTCATGCGCCGCGGACAGAGTCACTTCATGCTTTCCACCATTCTGAAGTACGGTCTACCGATGCGAGAGAAAGTGAACGGTCTGGGAATGAACCCCATGCAGCTCAAAGCAAATGGCAGGCCTATCTCACTAGCGTGACCGATAATTATGGCTTGGACTGCGGACGTCCAGATTGTGATCTTGCCCTAAATAATGACCATGCCGCCATTGAGATTAATTCTGCTCTTGATTCAATCGGTTCATGGGGTCGAAAAGATGAATTTCCATCACCTACTTCTTTCCAAAGCCCCTCTGATACGCAGAAGCCCGACTTCACTGGGTATTATGCGTCTCCGGTTCCAATTAATATTCCTCGATATCTCTCCCCGCTTCCTCCGGCGTTACTCAAGAACCCGATTAATTTGTTGTATTTTCATCACTTCCTCAACCACACGTCGAAAATGCTGGTTCCACATGACTGCGACAACAACCCGTTCATGTCCGTCCTCCCATCGAGTAAGTTCGTCCAACCCTTGATTTCGAGTGTCTTGTGTTTTCGCATGCTGATTGTCCAGTGGCTATCTCTGATCCAAACTTGCTGAACTTGCTGTTGGCGTACTCAGCGAGCCATCGTGCACGCTATCTTGGACACACAGAGCCGGCCAATCGTATTGCGCATTGGGTTAGTGACGTCTTCCCAACTCTGCGGGTGGCCTTGGAAGCGTCCAAAGAGGAAATCACCGACAGCCATTTGGCTACGGCGATTCTGCTTCTCTCGTTGAAGATTGTGTGCCCTGGAACTTTCGAGGTCCCGATCCCCTGGCAGAGCCATCTGAAGCTCGCTCGAGATTTGTTTATTGCTCGTAGTGACCGCATTGCGCAGCCCGGCAATCGGATTGGGGCTTTCTTTGCCCGGTGGTTGGGCTACATTGACACCATGGGTGCCCTTTCTTGCCGCCAGGCTGGCCCGCCATTGATGCTGTACCATTCGGTTCTGGCGGCTTGCTGCCATCCTCAAAGTCATGACGAATATTGTGTTGATTGTTTCACCGGATTCAGCACCCGCACCGGGTTCTTTCTCCTCCGCCTTGCCCAGCTCGTTCAGCAGTGCGACAATGAACGCTTTGACGACATGGGGAACTTCCAGCGGGGCTGGCACCCTTCGGCGGACATGGTAATGGAGGCTCGGGCGGTGCTAGGTGACCTCGACGAACTGAGCGAGAGAGCCCATGCCGATCCTGATCATCATCTGGGTGTCGAGGCGGATGACATGATGGCCACCGAAGAGGCGTTCCGCTGTGCTGGTTTACTCCATCTTCATAGGCGTGTGCTCGGGTCTTCACCTGATTCCTTTCCTGTTCAGGATGCCCTTCGCAAGCTTATCGGCGCTTTGGAACGCATGCGGCTGGGTGCTTCGACCGAGGTTTGTTCGTTGTTCCCATTGTTTACCGCTGGATGCGAATCGCGCGATCCTTCCCAGCGAGTGAAACTCCTCAACCGCTTTTTTGTGCTAGAGAAGTCAGGCATGAAACAGGTATGTTCTCCCACCTAACTCTTGTTTGCTCCCTAGAGCCCCGACTTAACACAGTCATCTAGATCCAAAACGCCCGCCAATTGATGCAACATTGCTGGGATGACAACCTGCCGTGGGTTGCCCTAGCTGGAGGAGAATTCCTCGGGTGAACCCGAGTGGTTATGCCACCCGAACGCTGCATTGTGAGCGGCACTTTTGCTCTTGCAGAATTGGCTGGCGGCCTCCTTGGTTGTCTATGTATATCATGCCGCTGGCAGATTCCTCTGTATATCTTCTAGTGGTGATAGCACGCTTCTACCGATCTTCTTGATTCTCTCTTACCTCTGATACCATTTGATACCACCTCCACCGTCCACTCACAGCTCATTCGTTGCCTAAGGCTTCTAGTCCAGACCGAAGCGAGAAACACAATAGCTGATAGCATCCCCCTGTAGCCGACGCTGCTGCCACATAATGTGCAGCCTCGCAGCTTCCGTCGCACTCTCCACTCCTTCTCTGTTGTCCCCGAGTCCGAGCACGTTCCTGCTGGGCTTGTTTGCCTTGCTGGCTGTCTTGCTCATCTTCCTCGTGCTGTCTCTCGCTTCCATCTCTTCTGCCTCTTTCATCCCTCCCATCCCTACCTTGTCCCTTCTCTCCCCAGGCTCAGATCGACCAGAACAGGAGCCACCCGTCGTCATGAATGAACCACGGCATTCTCTCAAAGCCCGCCCTCCGGATACGTCCAGCCTTTTGGATCAGTCGAGTGATAACTTCGAATTTCCGCCACTTCAACCTCTCAGGTACGTCCACGAGCATGTCCCTGGGTCACCAAATTGCAACTTTTACATCTGTCGATGTCGATGTTGTTGTTCAGGCCTCGGCTTGATACGCAATAACATTGAAAGGCCCATTGGGCGAGAGGATCTGTCTTGTCTGATTCTTCGCTTTAGTCACAACAACTCCTTCTCAAAACCTTCAGCTTTCGACGAGCCCATTATTCGCGATGTAGGTGGAAACATTGATCTGCATCTCCCCCGGTGAACCAGCGGTACTAACTGATTGATAGGGCTCGCCCATTGATCTCGGGGTGGGCCTCAATGAAGCTGCGGGCGCTGGCCATGCCGTGGATTCGCGCCATGTCAGTTCACTCCTGGTTCAGCCCTCCGTGTCTGATCACCATGTGGTTCCTGCCATAGCTCTTTGTGAGCGTGGAGAAAGGCTTCCGAAGAAGACCGAACCCATCCCAAAGAAAGGGAACCCGAGAATGGGGTGGTTGAAGTGGGCCATTCAAGACTCCAGCATCTTTGCAAATCAGCAAGAGGAAATCATCGCCGCGCAATACGGAACACACAACAAAACCTTCTTCAGTGGCGTTCAGGACAACTCGTTTTTCCAATGGGGATTGCGATATGTGCCGGCCGCGTCCCATGATAACGTGTTCCGGACGGTGGTGATTGGCAACCTCCCGCATGCGTGCACGCTCACCCAGATCCTGCCGCAAATTCGGGGGGGTCCGATCTTCTCGGCCTCGCTGCTGAATACCTGGACCATTACCGGATGCCCGACCGCATTGATCACCTTCAATCATCAAAAGGGAGCGCTGAACTTCCTCCGTCGCGTTGGCCGGGATGGCTTCTATGTTGGCGCCAGTGCTGCGCAGGTGCAGCCGGTCCCGACCCCCACGTACCTCATGACTGGGGACATGGAGACTCAGATCAACAAGCTTGGCCGGACTCGTTGCCTTGTGGTTTCATCTCGTCGGTCGGGAAATTTGAAGAAGGGCATCCATCGAGTGCTAGCCACGTCTCGGCTCCGGAATTACGTGGAGTGCTTCGGGGAACGGGACCCTGACGGCGAGGTCACCATTCGGTTTCACTCGGTGAAGATGGCGGGAGTGGCTTGCACGATGCTGGTGAACGACGAGCGGCTGAGAGGTGCGTTTGTGAAGACTGCCCCGGATCCATGCTCGCTGGTCTGATCTGGTCGGGTATGAGGGCTTTGCGCATACCAATCGCCAAATCGGAGTGGAGCATATGAGGAGAGCACGGATCTTGTCTTTTTGATTAGCATCTGATAGTCAATGAGGAGAGAGGGTTCGTGAATTATTCAGTACTTTGTAACAAAGAAAGTTGAACAGGTCCACCTCGGCCTCTTCCTCGGCCGAGTCCTTCCCCGCCCTCCCCCGTTCCGCGGGGGGTGCACGGCGCCGCGCGGGGGCCCCGTCGAGCCGGGCCCGACCTGCCCTTCGCTGGCTTGTGGCTTACCCAGTGTAACTCTTCTACTCCGGACTTCTCCCCATCTGCTCTCTCGGCCCTCCAGACGTGTCTCGACACACCGTCGCATTCTCACCAATTCTCATCTCCGGTTACCCCAACTATACAAAGCCACTCTGTCGACTCCAACTCACCCAACAGCAAGTGGGCCGCAGCCCAATAACCAGCCATGCAACAGACTGCGCTCCTCTCCACGCTGATCATACCCGTATCGCGCGCGCCGCTATGCTGATCCTCCAGACTCGAGCCCCGGGGAGGTGGGAATATGCCCCTCCCCCCTTCGACCCCTGTCCTCCAGTTCCCAGTTCGAAGAAATTGCCTTCCATTATTGGCCGGATACAGCTCGGTGTCCCTGCACCAACAACTGCATTTATAAGCTCGCTTGATGGTCTTGAACCCCGCTCTGCGTCTTCCGACCGGCTATGACTCGCGTGGTTTTCTTTTATCTGCTTGCGTGTGTTGCAACGGCTACCCCTTTCGCTTCTCTATGATTGAGAGTGAAACCTCCCATTCCTGTCTGCGTCTGCGCCTGCAAGTGCCGCCTCCCAGCATCAACTATGGCTACCGCAATAGACGAGAAACCCGGCGTCGACAACGCCTCGGATCACGAGAAGGACCTCGGCTCTGCGATGCCAGAGAAACTGACCAACTTTGAGGATCCGGATGCTGGGCTGAGTGATGAAGAAAGGGCCCGAATTGTATGCACCCCCAACCCACACACACCCACGCAGGAGCAGCACCCCTGCAACTCCGTGTGCATCCCCTCCCCAGCTCTCGCTCCAGCCCCACCGTCTTCTCCATCGCTGCAGCTGCTAAACCGCATCTTATGTGCCCCGTAGGACCGCCAGCTCCTCTGGAAACTCGACCTGCGACTCGTGCCCTGGCTGAGTCTGCTTTATCTCGTCTCCTTCCTGGATCGGTGAGTGCAGCTGGATTTGGAAATGATGGATTACGAAAACAATAACTAACGGGCCATCATCTCCCCTTTCCTCCAAAAGGACGAATATTGGCAATGCTAAAATCGACGGCCTCGCGACGGATCTCGGCATGACCGCCGATCAGTACAATGCCACCCTGACGATCTTCTTCGTTTCGTACTCCGTCTTTGAGCCCGTGACCAATGTCTTGCTCAAGCGGCTCCGGCCGAGTATCTTTATTCCATGTATTATGGTCGCGTGGGTACGGATGATCTTTCTACCGAGTGGTTTATGATGATGAGATCGCTCACACGCGGTACTTGTTGTATAGGGGATCTGTATGACCTGCATGGGCGTCGTCAAAAACTACTCCGGTCTCATGGCCGCTCGCTGGTTCCTTGGCCTGGCTGAGGCTGGTCTTTTCCCCGGCGTCGGCTACTTCCTCTCGTGCTGGTACAAGCGCTCCGAGTTCGGCGTGCGCATGGCCATTTTCTTCTCCGCCGCCGCACTGGCCGGGTCTTTCGGTGGCCTACTAGCGGCTGCCATTGCGAAAATGGATGGCATCGGCGGCAAGCCTGGCTGGTCCTGGATTTTCATTTTGGAGGGGCTGGCGACGATTGTGATTGGCGTGATCTCCTTCTGGTGTGTCCATGATTTCCCCGACCAGGCCAAGTTCTTGTCGCCGGAGGACCGCGCGCGAGTGTTGCGTCGGCTCGCGGCCGACCAGCAGTCCAGTGCGGAGCACGAGGAGTTCAAGATGTCCTATTTCTGGGCCAGTCTCACGGACTGGAAGACTTACACGGGGGCTATCATCTACATGGGAGCGGATGGATCGCTGTATGCGTTTTCGCTGTTTGTGCCGACGATTATCAATGAACTAGTGAGTGAGGCGGGGGGCGAGCCAACATGAAGAGGGAAGCGGCGCAAACTGACAGGTGTCTAGGGTGAATTCTTGCCAGCAAGCGGCCGAGGCTGAGTGGTGCCATACTAACCCATTCTCCCGACAGGCTACAGCGCCATCCGCGCGCAGCTCCTCAGTGTACCACCGTACGCGGCGGCGGCCATCCTCACCATCACCATCGGCTTCATTGCAGACCGGACGCGTCAGCGTGGACTCTGCAACATTGGTGTGTCTCTTCTCGGCATGGTTGGCTTCGCCATGCTGTTGGGATGCGAGTCCCCGGGCGCCCGTTACGCAGGCACCTTCCTAGGCGCCATGGGTATCTACCCAGCCATTGCAAACACCATCTCCTGGTCCAGTAACAATACCGAAGGTACCGCGTTCTCTCCCAGTCCCACAGCAATGCAGCCACTAATATGCCTTGATCTTTCTCCGCAGGCGTCTATAAGCGTGGAGTCTCCCTTGGCTTTATCATCGGCTGGGGCAACCTCAATGGGATTGTCTCCTCCAACATCTACCGCGCAAATGACAAGCCCCGCTACTATCCGGGCCACGGCGTCGTGCTGGCCTACCTGGTGCTGTTCCTGTTTGGTGGCTCGGTTGTGCAGTATGTCCTGCTGCGCCGGGAGAACCGCAAGCGCCGGCGCGGTGATCGTGACCAGTGGATTGCGGGATTGGACCCGGGCCAGATTGAGTTGCTGGGGGATAAAAGACCCGACTTCATATATACCCTGTGAATGTGTACTTCCTGATGGAGCGGATCTATATGATGAGTGGAATTCGATGGGCTGAGACGCGATTGAAATCCGAATACGAGTAGAATAGGCTGAATTGCAAGAGGTTGACGCAAACAAAAGGGTAGGAACGGAAAAGAACCAGCCCGCTCCCAGAGAGAGCGGCCCGCGGACTGGCTGGCTCCCGGGAAGTTATACCGACAGCATCACACCGAGTCTCTCCCCCCGCCTTTTTGTTCATTGCCCCCGGTCGTAGCGATTGATAATCTCCTGGTCCTTCTTCGGACCCCGGACGACATGCCGACTGGCCCAGCTCAGCACCTCCCCTGTCTCCGGCCGAATGCGAAAGGCGTAGGCGGTGCGGTACATGTCGTTGATGCAGAGGTGGTTTCCACGAGCGGTGAGAACGGTGCTCTCCGCATCGGACGTTGTCGTCGGAGGCGTCGGGGGAGTGATCAATTCCTCCCCCCTCCTCCTCCTTCCCCTCCCCTTGTCCCTCCCGTCTGCTCGCGGCCTCTGCGAACTCGAAGTTGTGGAAGAGGTAGTCTGCCTCCTCGGGCCCGGGAGCCACCTTGACAAACCACACACTGATGCGCCCCGCGTCATCATCGCGCCAGATATATTTCTTCGTCCAGCGCAGGCCCGCCTGCGCGGCCCCGCCACTGACCGTCGTGGGGATGTCGCCCTCTTCGCTGTACAGCCAGTCGCGGTCGGCCGTACTCGGTAACGCGGTGAAGGTGGCGGTGCCCCGCAGTTCACCGTTCAGGTCGAACGGGTTGTCACTGCGGAGGGTGCGGGTGAGGGCCCAGCGGGAGTTGCCCAGCGAGCGGAAGAGGGCGAGGAAGGGCGAGGCCATGCGAGGTTGAGGTTGAGGTTGAGGTGGAGGTGGAGGTGGAGGTGGCGGGGGCGGTGTTGTGGTGGCCATCTCGGTGGGGTGGTGGAAGGTGGACGAGGGCTGGTTGCGGTCCCCTCCTTCCGCCCGCCCGCGCCGGATGGCGGAGCGGGACGACGAACCTCCCATTTCCAACTAACCACCCGCAAATGAGTCGACCCCAGTACTCCGTCCAGGCAAGTCCTCCGTTCAGGCAAGTCCTCCGTTCAGGCAAGTCCCCCGTCAAGGTGACTGCCCGCATTCACCTCCGATGTCCAATATCCAAACCATCTCTCCCGGGCCTCTGGCCGTGTTTCAGATGGAGATGAGAGCGACCGCAGTCCCGCATCCTCTGCAACCTCCGGAGGATATTCACATCTTCCCCCTGCTCGCTGAGCTCGGCATGTCTCTGGCAGAGGGGACGGCTGGTCCGGGCTGTTCAGGATCGGCCCAGGGACCCCGATGCTTCGACGTGGAATGCAGTGGCATGCAGAGGCATCCTGTTCTGGGATTGGGATGCTGCGAGACTGCGGCCAGAGCCGGTCCCAGCGGACACGCTGAGCCGAGGAGACGCTGTCCTCGTCGCGGCGCCATTCGTAGCCCTCGCCCATCATGAGACTCATGAGCATCCATCAGTCACCGATCGTGAGGAGGAACGATCCGGACGCCTCTCCATTCCCGATTCCCCGGCTGCAACGGTCGCGCCGATCACGGTGGGCCGAAAGTAGAGTAGAAGTATAGTTCCGAGAACGTGTCGGGAGGAATGCCTGGGAGTGCGTTGATTGTATGACCGGAGGGTGATGGTGATTATGATGGTGATTATGACAGTGATAGTCTATGATTCTAGTGCTCTGCTCCTGCCTCCGTAACTAGTTATACGCCGGCCCCGTCCGTGGCTGTTTCCCCCGCGGTCAACCCCGACCGACCCCGCCATGGAGCTATGGAACTATGGAGCTGTTTGTCCGTTTGTTCGCGAACTATCACGGTGTCAGACCGACGCAAGCGGACGGCGACTTGATCTCGGACCCGCCGAATGCAGGCCCACTGGACCCTGGGTGGGCTGCGTGCGGCCCAGACCCTGGTCCCTGCTATTGTTTCGTTTAGGAGTTAGTGTCTTGACGCACGATTTGTCTTAGTGTCGCGCCCTGGATTTCACCTCATCGTTTTCCTTTTTCCCCCTTCGTTCCAATATGGACTGCCTACCCTGACCGTCTTCCTGTCCCAGTCCTTCGCTCAATCGCACTCGTTTCCTCGGCGCAGGGATTCACCCTCCCCCCCCCCCTTCTTTCCTTGCCATCCTGCTGCTCCAGACCCGTCCGCTCCTTCGCCATGATGGGCACCCCCGCCCAGCACGGCCGCTGGCTAGTCCTGCTGCTCCTCTGGCTTTGCGCGACTGTCAGCGCCAGCAGCATCATCCCCACCGCGGCCTCCTCCTCGTTCCCCCAGTGTGGCCTGTCTTGCACGCTTCTCACCCAGGCCCAGGATAGCTGCATGTCGGGCGCCGCGTCCAGCTGGGTCTCCTGTTTCTGCCAGTCGGCACTCCTCACCTCCCTCAAGTCCTCCGGCAGCCTTTGCACCTCCTGCACCGCGTCCGCGGACCAGTCCCTCCTCTCCACATGGTACAACAACTATTGCAACTCCGGTGGCACAGACACCGGTGCATCCACCACCACCACCAGCAGTAGCAGCAGCACTACATCGACGAGCACGGCGACGGCCGCGGTCACTGCCGGCAAGAGCACCACCAACTCATCGACCACGGACGAGAAGAAGTCTTGGTATGTCTCCTCTCGGATGTCTCCGCAGGATCTCAGACATTCCCCGCATCCCCCCCCCCCCCCCCCCCCCCAAGCGGAACCCCCCAACTAACCCCCCAACCTCTCGTCTACAGGTGGAGCGCCCACTACCAATGGGTGATCATGCTCATTGTCCTCGCGATCGGCTTTAGCGCCCTCGCCGCCGGGGGTGTCTGGCTCAAGCGTCGCTACGACGCCAAACGGCCCGGCCTGTACCATGGCGGCAGTGCCATGGGCAGCAGCTCCGGCGTACTCCGTCGCAACTCCAATTCAGGGGTTCTGAGCCCCCCGTCCGCTGCCTGGGCATCGCCCGCCGTCCCCGGCCAGTCGCAGTCGCTCGCCAGCAGCTCCCGCACGGAAGTCGCCCTCCAGGGGAACCCAGCTTTGCCACCAGGCAGTCGCACGCGGCTGCAGAAGCCGACGCAGTCGGCAGCGGATGTGGAGATTCGACAGATCTCGCGCCAATAGGTTGTAGTTGGTTCTGATCCCGGGGATCTTTAAGCGGGATCATTTCTCTTTTGTCAATGGTCATGGATGTATCGGGTCTCTCTGTTCGTGGCGCCCCGGGAGCCAAATAATCTATCCCGGCGCCAGCCTTTCTCCGGTTCAGGGAACGCGGCTATTGGCCTTTGCTTTCTCCCTTGTCCCATGTGCATCTTTCGGCGTTGGTGGTGGCATATCCCCCGAGCCTTCCTCCCCCTACGGCCCCCCCCGGCTGTGCCTCCCAGTAAAACGGTCTCTTTCGGTGCCCGGCTCCGGGTCGCTGGGGGATGAAGGTACGTCCGATCGGTATCGGGGTACCTCCAGGACACGGCTTGGTCTGGTTGGTCATGGGGATTGTCGGTGAGACTTTGTAATACATTTTATGTGTGACGTTCTCCGCCACGTTGAGGTTTCGGTACTCGTTATCTCGTAATGAAGACAATAGATGCTAGTATACATGGTCCCCCACCCGCCTTTCACGAGATGGTGATGCTCACAATCTTCACATCGACCTCCGGCTTTTCCTTGTAGGTCTTGACATTTTCGATCTTATGCACCACGTCCAGACCTTGGACGGCCCGGCCGAACACCGTGTGCTTATTATCGAGCCAAGGGGTCTTCTCAGTGGTAATGAAGAACTGACTTCCATTCGTGTTGGGTCCTGCATTGGCCATTGAGAGCGTATACGGCTTATCGTGCCGGAGACTCGAGAACTCATCCGCGAACTCCCCGCCCCAGATGGACTCGCCACCGGTCCCGTCCCCCTGTGGATCACCGCCTTGAATCATGAATTTGCGGATCACGCGATGGAAGATGGTATTATTGTAGTACCCCTGGCGGGCATGGGTGACAAAGTTCTCCACGGTGCGGGGGGCGGCGGTGGGGAAGAGGCGCAGATGGATGTCCCCCATGGTGGTGTGCAGGACCGCGGCGGTGCCGCTCTCGCTCGGCTTGGTGGCGCGCGTCTCCGATCCGCCCGCCTGGGTAGGCTTCTCATTCTGCACATCGCGGCGACCCTTCGAGATCTCGGTTTCGTTGGTGAACAGGTAGAAGCGGACCTTGGCGAACCCCGTGCTGAGAAGCATTGCATCACGTTCCTCGGCCTCCTGCAGAAGAGGATTACTGCTAGCGGCCATGGAAACGGTCACCACGCCTTTGCGCTGCGGTTGGCCCTGGTATAGAGCCAGATGCAGGGCGCGGAAGGGCTCGTCGCGCCCATACACCCGTACGACGCGATTGGTGTACGTATTGATACACTTGATACCGTACAAAGACCCGTAGAGCAAAAAGTGGCCGGACTCATCGAAGGCGACATTGACTTTGCTTCGGGTTGCTTCCCCGTCCAATTCTCGTTCGACGGCTAGTCGGCGCCCGAATTCGAGCTCTTCCAACGGGTATGGCGCGGTGCCCGCCTGCTGCATCTCGGTAATGGTTGTGATAGACTCGTCATATGTACGGTAGAGTTTGCCTGTCGCAAATTCGAACACGCGCACTTGACGGTCAGGGAATGAAACCGTAGCAAAGTGCTCGCCCGAGGGAGAAATTGTGATCGCAGTAGGGGTGGATTTGGCCTTCTTGAAAGCAAACAAGTTGGTCGATGATTTGAGCTCGAAGACATTATCCGGTTTCTCAAAGGATCCATCTCCCGCTCGCCAATACTCGATCATGCCCGACTCATCGGCCGAGATGACGCAATCAAATGCATTGTTGAACGCCATTGATACAACCGGGGTGCGGTGGACCGATTTCACCGTGTGCAAGGGTTGCGAGTTCTCTCCCCGTCCATCGAAGACCTGGAAGGTGTTGCTAGACTCATCGGTCACAGCCAGGAGCGGTAGAGACGCTCCTCGTCGGTGCACCCAGCATACACAGCGGGGTACAAATTCTAGGGTGTACATCGCCAGGAGATCTGTGATGCGGTCAGCAGAAATCTTCAAAAGCGGGAGTTAGCATTCCAGCATACCGAACGTAATGACATCAAAGATCTTGACTGTCTTATCCACACCCGCCGTCGCAAAGCTGCGGCCGTCTGCGCTGACATTGACGCTACGGATCTCGCCTGGGTGGGCACGAAACTCCTTCACGAACTCGATTCCGTCTGCCATCTTCTTCCAGAACTTGACCACTCCATCGACCGAGCTGGTGATGACAAAGTCTGTGAATGGGGTGACCGTCACAAATGATAATTGGTCCTTGTGCATCAGCGACTTGGAGTACCGCGGCGAGGCCGGCAGTGCCGTGACGTACACCTTCTCGAAGGGCAACTTTCGTCGTTTCTTCTTTGGCGCCACTTCGGAGGGTAGGGCGGGACCAAAGTCATCGTCCGAGGAGGAATCATCGCCTATTCAAGAACGTGCGCTATGAGTAGGCTGCGGCTTTGAAGACTTGCGGAGTTCTGGCGTGGGTTGCACTCACCATTGTCGCCCGTGTCGACCTCGGAATGGGAACGCTTGATAGCAGGAGGCGCGTTGGCCTCTTCGGAACTCGCCATGATCACAGCCGTACTGTGTAGAGAGAACAAAGCACGAAAGCGCGATTCGGGGATGTCCAAGGAGAAGAGCTTGGGGGGTCTCATTGCGGGCGGTGGGCGGCCACTCGGGCAGAAGCTCGGACCACCCAACTTTTCTCCTTTCCTTGCGTGACCCCCCCACTGTTGACGAAGTTGCATCTTCCAGCATTCGATACCTTTGATCACTAGTTCGACTGTTCGCTCTTAGCTGGTCATCATGGTATGTCTGAACTATATTCTGCAGCTTTGCTGTAACTATGAGTTAACCGTTCACCCCGCAGGCGTCGTTTGCCAATCCCACACAGATCTTTGCCGACGATGTCACTGAGGAGAAGGGTGAGAATGCCCGTCTGTCGGCCTTTGTTGGCGCCATCGCGGTTGGCGACCTTGTGAAGAGCACCTTGGGTCCGAAGGGAATGGATAAGATTCTACAGTCTGCGTATGTGGAGGAGATTCCTGATTCTTCTGGTGGGGGGAAGGCGAGATATACTGACGCGGCGACAACACAGCTCGACCGGAGAGATTCTCGTGACGAACGACGGTGCTACCATCTTGAAGTCGATTGCCTTGGACAACGCCGCGGCGAAGGTGCTGGTCAACATCTCCAAGGTTCAGGACGATGAGGTTGGGGACGGCACCACATCCGTCACCGTGCTGGCCGCCGAGCTATTGCGGGAGGCAGAGAAGCTGGTGAACTCCAAAATTCATCCTCAGACCATCATCGAGGGCTACCGGATAGCTAGCCGTGCCGCTCTCGCCGCTCTCGAGAACATCGCAGTCGATCGAAGCAAGGACCCCGAGGCCTTCCGCAAGGACCTGCACTCCATCGCCCGCACAACTCTCAGCTCGAAGGTGCTGGCACAAGACCGAGACCAATTTGCCCTGCTTGCATGCGAGGCCGTCCTGCGCCTCAAGGGTTCGACCGATCTGAGCCACATCCAGATCATCAAAAAGGCCGGTGGCAAGCTGAGCGACTCGTATCTGGACGAGGGCTTCATCCTGGACAAGAAGATCGGTGTCAATCAGCCCAAGCGATTGGAGAATGCGAAGATTCTCGTGGCCAACACCGCCATGGACACAGATAAGGTCAAGATTTTCGGCGCCCGGGTCAAGGTCGAGTCGACGGGCAAGCTCGCGGACTTGGAGAAGGCCGAGCGAGAGAAGATGCGGGCCAAGGTGGAGCGTATCAAGTCGCACGGGATCAACTGCTTCGTCAACCGTCAACTGATCTACAACTGGCCCGAGCAGCTTTTCACCGAGGCCGGTATCATGTCCATCGAGCACGCCGACTTCGACGGCATTGAGCGCCTGGCTCTGGTGACTGGTGGTGAGATTGCCTCGACGTTCGATCACCCCGACCAGGTGAAGCTTGGTTCATGTGACCTGATTGAGGAGGTTATCATCGGTGAGGACACCCTGATCAAGTTCTCGGGAGTGGCGGCTGGCCAGGCCTGCACCATTGTGCTGCGCGGTGCCACCGAGCAGCTCCTCGATGAAGCCGAGCGTTCGCTCCACGATGCACTAGCGGTTCTATCGCAAACCGTCAAGGACCCGCGCATCACCCTGGGCGGTGGCTGTGCCGAGATGGTGATGGCTAAGGCCGTGGAACAGGCTGCTCAGAACACGACCGGCAAGAAGCAGCTCGCAGTGGACTCGTTTGCGCACGCGCTAAAGCAGCTGCCGACCATCCTCGCCGACAACGCCGGTCTGGACTCGAGCGACCTGGTCACGCGTCTGCGTCAGGCCATCAACAACGGCATGAACAGCTCTGGTCTGGACCTGCTGACCCCCGGGGGTGGCATTGCCGACATGCGCGAGCTTGGGGTGGTGGAGGCCTACAAGTTGAAGAAGGCGGTGGTTTCGTCGGCCTCGGAAGCCGCTGAGGTATGTATTCTTTTGGGAGGTTTAACACCTCCCGCTCCTTGCTCCTTACAGCCCCGGACTTTCACTAACAGGGACCTCCAGCTGCTTCTCCGTGTGGACAACATCATCCGGGCTGCTCCTCGCCGACGGGAGCGAATGTGATATGATTGATGCGATGGCGATGAATCACTGTATCTTTTTTCCACGTTAAAAAACCACACTAACCCCTCCTCGACTTTTGAGGCATTCTCCAAAACATTCAATACACCACGTGCCATAGACACATTCCTCAAGCCACTGCCATCTACGTACCGAGTACCTATTAGTCTGTGTAAAGATGGCAACCAACCGGTAACCAGGAACTCTCTAGAATGACTGGACAGTATACTGCATGGTTCTCGTCCTACTTCAATTAAAAAAGATAAAGCTGCTATTCTTTATAGTGCCAAATGCCAGAGCTCGATGCATCCCCATGGCTGTCTTCGCCATTCACATATATCAGAGTATCTGGCTTGTATGAAGAGGCACCCTGTAGGGGTGTCTAAACGACAGGGAGTCGACAGTATATCTATCATATCTCGAATCATGCTGCCTCCCCCTTAGGGGAAAATGCCTCATATCCCAAGGGAAGTGATCCTAGGAGTATTCTACCTTACGCATCAGGCTGCCTCACGGAGTCTTCCCGCCATGTACCCGCTGACCCTGTCTAGGTAGACTACATATGTGTATACGGGTTGAGGAACGTGGTGGAGTAGAACTCGGCTAATAAGAGACTAGAGGACGCGGTGAACCAGTTCGTAGGGGATTTTAGGACGAACCTCCAACATAGGAATGCCCTCTTTACGAAAGCTTTGAAGACAGCGGTCACAAGGATCCAGAAGCTACGTGACTGCCTGGAAAAAGGTACAAATGTGCTTACACTGTTGCGTTTGAAGGATATATTTATTTAGAATATTCTTTGCAGTTTACCTTTGATATCAGATTTGTTAAGAGTACCTAATCGAGTACCCTTTTGGAAGTGTTAAGGCGCTTGACTTGTATACGGACATCCGCATAAGGACATCCGCATAGCAATCAAGATAGCACCGGTTTGATTCCGGTAGTGTGCACTCTCTGTTTATTCAAATAAACTTTTATCCGGCTCTTCAAGCTCCAGGTAAGCGTAGCGTGCTTAAAATCCCCCGATAGAGGAAAATGTACACGCCGAGAACCTCTCTCCACTCCATTTTACTACCTCAGAACAGCTAAAGTCTCTTCCATTCGGCCAACTTGATCCAACATAAAAGCATTTATCTGTGAGTAGCCACTACCACGCAGTAGTTGAATTGTCGGACTCGTTAGGTCGTCCGTCACCTGGTTCTCTGGGTCTTGCATGTCGTATGTTGGGTGTTAGAGCGGCACGACATGGGGCGAGCTCTCAACAATCAACCGGTACTTGCCTTGGGTCCACTACCTCGAGCGCACGTGGAAGGATCGTCCATCACTAAGCATAGCATATCGTGCCACTTTAACACCCAACATACTACGTGAAAGACCCAGACAACCAAGTGAGGACGATCCTTCCACGTGCGCTCGAGGTAGTGGACCCAAGGCAAGTACCGGTTGATTGTTGAGAGCTCGCGCCATATTGTGAGAGGCCGTGGCGCGAGAAGGTAGATGGGGAGTGTCCAGAAAGCTTGAGAGTTGTTCTGATTATTCTGTCGTTTGCGTCACGATCAGCAAGTCAAAAAAGGTGATGAATCTCCTCATATGTTCTGTAAAGAGACGAAATCAAGTTGAGGCGAGGAAGTAGGACTTGACAAGGGCATGAGAGTTCTGGTTAACAGTCTTAACAAAAAGCACTCCAGGCAATAGTCCTCCACAGTTCAACTCATGTGCAAGTGAACGGAATCATGTAGAGGGCGCTGATGAGGTCACCTGGTGGACATAACATTCTTGAAGGGCATATGTCATGGTACCAGCCTGTCGCAAACCTAGTACAGAGGGCCTCACAGTAGCGGGCCAATGACCATAGGAGACAGTTGTTACGAAGGAGCCAAGCTGGAAAAGAAACCAGGTGCATTCAACGAAACAACATAAGTGAAGAAGAAACTATGGAGGGGGTGTCCGCTATTATGTAGAGAGCTCTCATGCAAACAGGCCCCATTAGGTTAGTCCGATCAGCTGTTCCCTTCTTCACACATTCCTCAAGTGTTTGTCCTGTTTGAAGACCCGTCCCCCGTTTACTGCTCTCGCTTGGGACACTCCTTCCGGTCGGGCTTCTGCCTGGCCTCTCAGGCCTCCACAGACTCGTCTGGCTTCTTAGTCAGCACCCCTGGACCCTCTCAGACCCTGGCGGACCCTGCGGGATCCGCCCCCGAGAAGCTCTCGTCAGCGCGTGTTTTGGTCCAGGCAGCCGAATATACTACTCCGTACGCTGTACGGTCTATGCAGTGCTCGTTCTTCCGGGTTCCTCGGTGGACGGAGGCCTAGCCGCACAAATGAGACGCCTGGGCGCGGGCACGCTGGCCAACGGCACTGGCGGTCGCATGGGGATCGGCGAGGGGCCCGTCAGTGGCTGTGTGGCCGATCCGAGGAATGCGGGCAGTCTTTGTTCTCGTGAAATTTCGACGATCGACACGGGGGAAGAATATCAGACAATGCCATCAGCTCGTCGTCTGATCATGGCCGTGAGCCTGCTTCTTCTGAGACTCGAGGGATGCCAAGGTATGTCTCATTGGCGAGCTGTAGGTTCCGCGGTTCCGCCATCTGCCGCCAGGCACGGCCAAAGTCTCCCCGTCATCGGGTTTATTTTTAGGGTCGCTCAGCAGCCCCCCTGAAAAGAGAGCAACTGTAGAGCGAGATCATGATGATGGCTCGCGATGTAGAGGGACGGTCCGTCGACGGGAGGAGGGAATTAGGATGCGCATGTCGTAGACTCCGTCTTCCGGAGTGTCCTCCGTAGTTCGATTCCAGCCCAGACGAGTGGCTGCAGTGACGAGCGCCAGACTAGTCAGGCCCACCCACCATCCAGAACAGCCACTGCGACTCTCACCTGCAACTGCGTCTCGTCCGCTCGCTCCTCTTTTCCTTGCCTCCTCTGTGCTCTCCCTCGCTCCCTCTTCACAACATCCCGGCTCGAGACTTTGTTCCCGTTCCTCCCCCACCCCCTCCACCCTCCAACCTCCAGCCTCCACTGTGAGGATTCTCCCGGTCCCTGTCCACTACTTTCGCCCCCAAAGGTCGCGACCCCCCCCTGCTCCTCCTACTACCCGTTCGCGCTCTCTCCCACTCGCCATCGCCCTCGTTTCGATGCCGCACACCCTTCCGCTCGTTTGAAACCCTCCATGTTTTTCTCCCACTGGCTGGCCGCCCTTTTGGGCGGCTCACTCGCCGTCCCTGGCGCCCTCGCCGCCATCGTCCTCAATGTGGACGATCAAAGTCAGTCCTCTCCTCGGCAGCCGTACCCTACCCGTGCTCCTCCAGTGGCATCGCCCCGGTCATCACTCACCAAGCATGCGCTTTTCTAGGTTCCCTCACATCCGCCGCCAAAACCGTCGCCATGGACATGGTCAATTACTACAATGACCGTGACTCTAAGGACATCCCCGGCAAGTTCGATGGTACGTGGTGGGAAGGTGGTTCGATGTTCATGATCCTCATCCAGTACTGGTTCTTGACCGGCGACTCCCAATTCAACGCTGCCATCCAGGAGGGCATGTATTGGCAGAAAGGAGACGACAACTTTTTCCCATCGAACTATAGTCAATACCTGGGCAATGACGATCAGGTCTTCTGGGGTCTGGCCGCGATTACCGCGGCCGAGTTGAACTTCCCCGAGCTCAACAACCAGCCGTCCTGGGTCTCCCTCGCCCAAGGTGTTTTCAACACCCAGGTCCCCCGCTGGGACACCAGCAGCTGCCATGGTGGCATGCGCTGGCAGATTTGGCCCTACCAGAGTGGCTATACCACCAAGAACGCCATCTCCAATGGCGGTCTGTTCCAGCTGGCCGCCCGCCTCGCCCTGTACACACGCAACGCCACCTACGCGGAGTGGGCCGAGCGTATCTGGGACTGGAGTGCCACCACGCCGCTCCTCAAACAGAAGAACTGGAACATCGCGGATTCCACCACCTGCGAAACCCAATGTACCGATCACGGGGACTGGCAGTGGACCTACAACTACGGAACCTACATCAGCGGGGCCGGTTACATGTATAACTACGTATGTTCTCCTACCATGGACCTCCTGCGACAGGAACTGATACTAATTGGAACCGGATCTAGACCAATGGAACGGCCGAGAAGTGGAAAGAGGGCATCGACGGGCTGGTGGGCTCTTCCAACCAGTTCTACCCCACCGCGGGCTACAACAACGCCGACGGCAACGTCCTGGTGGAGATCACTTGCGAACCGGTCACGAAGTGCGACCGGAATCAGATCACCTTCAAAGCCTACTTCTCCAGCTGGTTGGCCTTCCTCACCACCATCGTGCCCGGATCCAGCGCCGAGATCATGCCCAAGCTGAAGACTTCGGCGCAGGCCGCCATCAAGACGTGCACGGGAGGCACCGACGGCACCCTTTGCGGCATCCAGTGGTACACGCAAGCGAACGACAACACCAACGGCCTAGAACAGCAGATGGCGGTGCTCGGAGTGCTCAATGCCAACCTGGTCCCCTTCAAGAACCAGGCGCCTTACAGCGCGGACACCGGCGGTACCTCGAAGAGTAACCCGAGTGCTGGCACCAACACCTCTGACAACAGTGTCCCGACGCTGAATAATGTCACCACCGGTGACCGCGCCGGTGCCGGGGTCCTGACCTTCATCTTCGTGACCGGCTGGGCGGTGGCCGTCACCTGGATGATACGTGGTGGTTAAAACCTGTTCTTTTCTGGCATTCGCTTCTGTGCTTCTCTTTCGCCAATGCGTGATATTCCGGCAACCCCGTGGGTGCCTTCTGTTCTTATATATTCCCTTCAGTCGGCCATGTCTGTGTATCTTTTCTCTTTTCCCCCTTCTTTTTCTGTATCGCGAACTTTTCTTCTTTGTATCTATGTGGACCCCTCTTTTTCTTTTTCAAGCTTTTGGGTTGCTCAACCAGAGTGCATCTCTGGCAGCAGGGTGGACGTGGTGGGGTTCTGCGGCGTCTGGAAACACACTGCGACTTGGGATCTTGCATTGCCTCGCCCTTTATTTGACACGGAAACCAATGGATCTGGAGTTTCTCGGTTGAAGATCTACGCTCCACCGTACTTTTCTCTCCGTGGGTCGCCTCGGGCGCATCCTCCGTACTCCGCCCATGCTGCATACATAGTGCGGCTGCACCTTTGGGGCCAGAGTAGTAGTCCTTGGGGCCGTACGTCGGAACATAACAGTCCATCTTTCATTCCGGCATGATTCCCTCCACACAGGATTTTTTACTTATCAAGGGCCATCGTGGACAGATCACTTTACAACCTACGGTAAGTGGTAGAATGGTACATATGTAACTTGGCCCTAGTAATGTACACACATGCTGTGTCAGCGTCTGCGACCGAATCCAATAATACTACAGGGGCCCGGCTGAATTGCGCGGCCCCCGTATTAGTACCCGCTGGTACAGCCACCTTGCTGCAAAAGCGGGAAGGGGCTGGGCATCGCCCGTATTGTACACGTGTAATACCTCCTGTACACACACAATCCCTGTCCGGCCTTCGAAGTTCAGATCTCCTTCTTCTCTCTCCTTCTCCCCTTTCTTTCTAGCTTCGCCCCCGCCTCATCCACCAAGTGACCGCTGACACCTTTCGCGTTTATCCCTCCTCTTCTCCCCTGTCCCGGTTCTCACTATCCGAATCATCCACTTCGGAGGTGGGGGATGATCCGCTACCCGGATTCTCGCCTCGCTCCACACTCAACCATCCGTCATTGACACGACATTCCGCCCAAGTCAACCGGAGACCCTCCTCAACATTAAGGCTCTTTGAGAACGCCCCTCGCGCTGTACTGAAGTTTCCACAATGCGGTGGCGGCTGCCGGGCGCCCGTTCGACCCTCCCCGCCAGCGTCGCCCTCCTCCTCCTCCCGGTCCTGGTTGCTCCGCAGCAGCACCCAGAATCCCATGACTCCTCTGCCCCTCAAGTCTCCGTGCCGTTAGCACCGACCGGAGCAGATGCATACCATTCGAGTGCGGCCACTCTGGCCGTTCCCCCCATCGTGAAATCTATCGATGCGAGCGCCCTTGCAACTCTGGCTCTGGCGGGCTCCGGCCGCGCCGTTGGAGCCCCTCCTGTCCAGGCTAGCAGCACCGCTGCTGGCCTGGCTTCGCAGCTTCACGCGCGGTCCTTGCAGGACTGGGAGGTTGAGGACTTTGTGCTGTTGGCGACCGTCGATGGAACCATTCACGCAAGAGACCGCAGGACCGGCTCGACTCGCTGGGCCCTTGAGGTGCCCAGCAGCCCTCTCGTGGAGAGTATCTATCATCGTGTAAATCGCTCGAGTTTCGATGAGACGCAGCCCGAGGATGACTTTTTGTGGATTGTTGAACCCAGCCAAGATGGCAGCTTGTATGTCTACAGCCCCGGCCCTGAGGCTGGGTTGCAGAAGCTTGGCCTGACCGTCAAACAATTGGTGGACCAAACCCCTTATTCCGGTATTAGCCCTGCTGTGACGTATACCGCTCGGAAGGAGACTACACTGTACACAATTGATGCCCGTACTGGGAGCATCCTGCGGGTGTTCAGTTCTCGAGGACCATTCACAGCCGGGCAGGGGTGCCGGAAAGTGGACGGCCTGGAAACAGACTCGGACGAGTGTGAGACAACTTCGGGCACTCTCGTGCTCGGCCGTGTGGAGTATGCGGTCGCCATTCAGAACACCGAGACTGGTGACCCAATCTGCACCTTGAAATACTCCGAGTGGGCCCCCAATAATCGGGACATTGACCTCCAGAGCCAATATCTCCGTACCATGGACCAGAGTCATATCTATAGTATGCATGATGGAGTTGTGTTGGGGTTCGATCATTCTCGGATGGATCGGCCTCGGTATACACAGCGTTTCTCCTCTCCCGTGGCCCGCGTTTTCGATGTGGTCCGTCCTATTGACAAGGATTCCCCGGATGCGTCCACCCCTTTGGTGCTTCTGTCACAGCCACTCCAGCCGCCAGACCCCGACTACGGCACATTGGATGATCGAGACACACGCGTGTTCATTGATTCCACCAATGCGGGAGGGTGGTACGCTCTGTCTGAAGAGACGTATCCTCTCGTTACAGGCCGTGCCCCAATGGCCCAGTGCTATGACAAGGACTTTTTTCGCAAGGGACAGTCCCTCATGAGCTTGACCCCAAGTCAACAACGAGATGCCTTGGCTGGCGTCCATTCACTGAATAGGCCGCGTGTCACCCCTCCCATCCCCCGACTTGGCAGCTCGTCGACAACCGAATTGTCCAACGACACCCCGCGTGACGTCCTTTGGAGCCCCTCTGAACTCGCCCTTCCCCCCGCCCTTCGGCATAGCGCGATCATCCGTAAGGGCTGGGATAACGCCTTGGACATTGTCGTCACTTTGTTTCTGTTGTTCATTGGTACCTTTATCTACTTCAACTCTCATCATATCCGAGATCTCGCAAAGCAGAAGCTGGACATCAAGAACATTATCAACTCGAATGACAAGTCTCCGCTTTCAACCCCTACCACCCCGATTATCGGTTCCGCTCCCGACATCAAGCGATCGTCTACTCCGGCTCGACAGGTACCTGGCGTAACTGTGGAGGTTGATCTCGCCGACACCACTTCGGAGGGTGATGTCACTCCACGAGCCTCGCGGGACAACAGCTTGCCGCCAGATGGAACGCCTCGTGTGCAGATCCGTGAGCCCTCGCGTGGCACTTATGATGGGAAGCCAGACAACGGATCTCAGGATACCGACAAGCCGATCAAGAAGAGAGCTCGTACGCGCGGCCACCGGGCTGGAAAGGCGCATCGTCGCCGCAAGCCGCCTGGTACAGAGGGAGGTGCCGACCACGCTGACCAGGTCGTGGAGCAAGTTAACAATCTAGCCCCGCAGTCTCGTCTGGAGCCCGACATCCAAATGACCCGTACTGTCTCCAACGAAATTGTGGAGATGGATGGTGTCATCCGTATTGGTCGATTGGAAGTCTTTACCGATGTTGTCCTTGGACACGGTAGTCATGGTACTGTGGTTTATCGCGGCGCATTCGATGGTCGGAATGTGGCCGTCAAGCGAATGCTGATGGAGTTCTATGACATTGCCTCTCACGAAGTGGGACTATTGCAAGAAAGCGACGATCACCACAACGTCATCCGGTACTTCTGTCGTGAACAGGCGGCCGGTTTCTTGTACATTGGCCTAGAGCTGTGCCCGGCTTCGTTGCAGGATGTTATTGAACGCCCCTCTCAGCATCCAGAGTTGGTCGAAGGGGGCCTCGACATGCCAGATGTTCTGAAGCAGATCACCCAGGGAGTCCGCTACCTGCATTCCCTCAAAATAGTACACCGTGATCTCAAGCCGCAGAACATTCTGGTGTCCATGTCCCGCGGTCGAACTCCATACCGCGCTCTCCGTTTGCTCATCTCCGACTTTGGACTATGCAAGAAACTGGACGACAACCAGAGTTCCTTCCGAGCTACCACGGCCCATGCCGCTGGTACGTCCGGATGGCGTGCACCTGAGCTGCTGGTGGACGATGACATGGAGCCCACGAGCCTCGAGTCGCAACATACGGAGTCATCTGAGCCTGCCGTTGTGGACCCTCAGACGAACCGCCGTGCCACTCGTGCCATTGATATTTTCTCGCTGGGCTGCGTGTTTTACTATGTCTTGACTCGTGGCAGCCACCCCTTTGATAAGAACGGTAAATTCATGAGGGAGGCCAATATCGTCAAGGGCCAATTCGACCTGGAGGAGTTGAATCGTCTCGGGAACTATGCCTTCGAAGCTGATGATCTTATCCGCTCGATGCTGTCCCTGGACCCGCGTCAACGGTATGTCATCTCTGTCCTTTGCCGATGGTACACTTGAGTTACTGACTTGATTTTTCCCAGCCCCGACGCTAGTGCAGTCTTGATGCACCCTTTCTTCTGGCCTCCATCGGACCGACTCAGCTTTCTCTGCGACGTATCGGATCACTTTGAATTTGAGCCGCGCGATCCACCCTCGGATGCCCTGCTCTGCTTGGAGTCCGTAGCCCGGCGAGTGATGGGCCCCGAGATGGATTTCCTGCGTCTGCTGCCGCGCGACTTTAAGGACAATCTGGGCAAGCAGCGCAAGTACACCGGGTCGCGGATGCTGGATCTCCTCCGCGCCCTGCGGAATAAGCGTAACCACTACAACGACATGCCCGAGTATTTGAAAGCACACATTGGCGGACTGCCGGAGGGCTACCTGAACTTTTGGACCATACTCTTCCCCAGTTTGTTGATGAGCTGCCATCGGGTTATTATAGAGTTGGGTCTGACGGATATTGACCGTTTCCAGCGGTACTTTACTCCACCAGAGTGAGACTGAGGTGTGGATGGTGACGGTGATTCCCTCGGGAGTTACGTCTTGCTAGCCGTGTATCTAACCTCCAATATAACTGATCTTTTCTCCTTGCACCATAACCATCACGTCTCCCGCCGCGTTTCCTCCAGTTCCCCGCCCTTTGTTTGCCTGACCCTGCATCGTTCACCATTAGGTTTGCGTTCAACACATCGCCTCGTGCTTGTTGATGACTTGACTTCTTTCTCGCGTCTCTCCCATCACCCCTCCCCTTCACCTGCTCTCACACACGATCCTTCTATCATCTCTTCCTGCCGGTCCTTTCTTTTTGTGATTCTGCTTCCGTTAATTTGCTTTCACCTTTGTCCGGTGCTGTTGGTCTGGTCATGTCTCCGGCGAGTGTTCTACGTCTAACGGTCCTGATCCTCCCCAGGGAACAGTTCCCGCTCAGAGGCATTCACAAGGAATCGCACCAGGAGGAATTCAGCACGGACAATCCCCGGGCCTTTTTACTGGTCGTCAGAGACCCGGAAAACCTTTCACTTGGGGATCTTGCCAATTTGATCAAAGATCAGTGGCAGGAACTTTGGCCCACGGAAGAGTGATTTCCCTCTCGCCAGATCAGAATCACGTACCCCTCGGTGGATTGGTTGCTGACTTGTAGCCGGAATAGGCCTCTTCGAATCAAGAAGCTCCTGGATGATGCCCACCCCGGGGCCCCATTCAGTCTCCGGTGTACAGTCGCAGACATCTGGGTGGATAGCGGACGGCGTGAGAGAGAGGGTTTTGATCAGCGCGGCACCGTCCGCGTGGTCCGGGCTCACTCGAGCTCTACTCCGTTTCACTCAGATCAGCGATATCCTTCGGTTGTTCAGGATGTGGAGGGGGCCGCACGGGATGCGAAGCAGAAATTCCCCTCCAAAGATAGCAGTGGGGTTGATTTGCCGGCGAGGACAGGCGAAATAGCCTCATCAAACTCTCACATGACGAGACGAAGGCATCCACAGAACTCTGCACAAGTCACCACCCCATCGAAGCGGCCGAGATTGACAGAAGCCGCGCATTCGCAGGCTTCTCGTCCGGCGGAGACACCCATATCTTCTCCTCAATACCACGACCGTATACAGGCCCCGTCCTTTGCGCATCCAAGGGGACACCGAAGGCATCTGATCCGAATTTCGACAGATTCTCCGAAGAGAGGATTAGGCCTCGGCATTACAGCCAGCCCTATCAAGACCCCGACCTCCCACAGCACCGTCATGAACGACATGGCCTTCAACCCAGTGTCTATGCCGCCGCCGCCTTTCCGAAGCCGTGCATTTCCTACTACCTCGCGGCTACAGTCTGTATCACAGCAGCAATCCACTGTAGTCACAACAAACTCTACCCATCGACACTCTGTTTCTTTGCCTAATGGTAACCCTTGTGAGTCAGCTTCTCAAGGCCGGGAATCTCAAAGCACTCGAGCTCCAAGCCCGATTTCGTCTCACACTACGTCCCCGGTGGGGCAAGTGAGTGCCTCACAATCACACTCCCCCCGGAATATCTAGAGAGGTTCAGACAAGAGATCCAAGAATTTGAAGACCAGATTAAGGGGCGGAAAGCAAGTCCGGAGTGCTTGCGTCTTCTGGAGGAGATGTCCAGCCTTCAGAAGGAGATAAACGAGCTCGCATCTGGCCCGAAGACAACAAACACCCCAAAGCTTCTCAAAAGTTATCGCAGACGGTTTTCCTACCGCCGAGGACGCCTCCATAAATTAACGAGTGAGGGAGAGCTGTACGCGAAAAGTGATGTCCCCCCTGACGAGTCTACCGATGGGGACCAAGATGAGAATCCCAACGACGATATGACGGATGCAGTGATTGGGGGTGTCCAGTCTGATCAAGCTCTTCTTTCGGTGGACATGCCAACTGCTCGGAATGTCCCCCTGTCAAGGACGCCTTCCACAGGCGCCGAGATGGAAGAAGGCGAAAACACACGCAGGAAGGTGAAACGCCAGCACGGCCGTATTCCAGAGTAAGTTGTGGTCTCCCAGGTACTGTAGGTGTTGCAGCGCTAAGACGCAGGGTCAGGAAGCCCGGACCCGCGAAGATCAATTTGCCTGCGCCCTACTACTCCCAGGCCCCTCCGCAACATCTCCCTAGGGCCCCTACTCTGAGGCAGCTCCTGCGCCACAAGCAAGAGGCGGTCATCCTCGAATTCCCTCAGCCTTGCGCTGATCAGTCCGAGGTGCTTGCCATTGGGACATTGGAGGGTGACAGACGTGACAGTAGTGAAGAAGACAGCGGTAGCGAGGGATGTGATATTATTTGATGGGAACCTCAACAGACAGTCCGAGACAACGTGTAGGCGTTGGAGTCGATTCAGGGTTCCCGTGGTCTTACCCAGGCCAGTTGCGTGTTACCGACTGACTCGATCTGTTCATTGAAAATTCTACATGTTGCATCATTGATATGTGGATTTGCTCTGATTAACAATTCAGGGTACAGATTTGAATACAGGACTGCTTTTTGCTTCGTTTCTTCGTAGGTTCTTTCAATTGCATTTGGCGGCTAGTATCGATTAAAAGAATGATCCACGGCAGGCTCATGGCACGGTGGTTCCACGCTGGTCTAGCTTCTCGGCGTGGCCCTCCTCGATCCATTCCTTCGCAGGAGCGGTCACTTCATAATTCCAGCCCATTGGATCTTCGATCGATCCTAACTGAATCCCTCGCAGCGTTTGTAGAAGCTTCACGCAGACCTCGCCGCCTTGTGCCTGGTCTCCAACGCGGTACTCGAACTTGACGCCCTTGGAGCGCATCGTGATGCTTCGCACCGGCACGAGTGCTGCCGCCGTCCCAGCGGCAATTACCTCATCGAACTGGCTGAGTTCCTCATAGGCCACTCGCCGCTTCTCAACGTGGTAGCCCAACTGGCGGGCGATATCACCCACCGAGGATGCGGTCACAGAATCAATGGCATTGCGACTGTCCGGATGCACGATGGTTATCCGATCCCCATCGCGCTTCACGCCAATGAAGGCCGACGTCGAAAACTCGTCAATCTCGCTCCGCGTCGCGCTGTCCAGATGCAAGGTAATCCCGAAGCCTTCACGGCGGGCGCGATCACTGTGACGCAGGACAGGAGCGTAGTTGCCTCCCACCTTCGCATTACCTGTCCCATAAGGCGCCGAGCGATCAAAATCCTCCAAGATCAGCGCATCAACCGCACTGGCTCCATGGTATACACCTGTCGGCATCACAAACACGACCAGCGTATACCCATCTGGTGGACTCAGTCCCAGCTGCGCCGAGGAGCCGAACAATAGCGGTCGAATATACATGGCCGCCCCGGAATCATGCGGAGGCACAAACTCGGCATTCGCACCGACGGCCAGTCTCACACACTCGAGAAAGAGGTCCTCGGGAACCGGCGGAATCGAGACTACCTCGGCGGATCGCTGCATGCGCTTCGCATTGCGATCCGGTCGGAAAATCGTGATCTTGCGGTTCTCCGCGTGCCGGAAGGCCTTGAGTCCCTCATACACTTGTTGTCCATAGTTCAGGCCGGGCGCCATCCCATGAATGGAGAGATAGGGCGAGCGCACGAAACGCGGTGCGGACCACTGGCCGTTACCCGAGTACGAGTAGTGGCATTCAACGTGGCCATTGACTGGAAATCGTTAGCGATTGACATTTAATTTCGACAGTAAACCCCTACCGTCGCGCACTTTGAAGCCGATGTCATTCCAGTCGAGCGCAGCGGGGGGTGGAGGAAACATTGTGTGTGGAGCGGGTTGGTGGATCTGCGGGGGAGGGGCGGCTCTCGTTTTACAGCCTGGCCGGAGACGAGGCGGTGACTCGAGGGGTCCGCCGTCGGCCAGTTGGGCGCAGGTGGAGTGCAATGAATCAATCCATGGAGGATCTCGGGCCCGGTGCGGGTGGTGGCTATGACGGCCAGACTTCGGGTGAGACTGCGACGGAGTCAGACGGGAGTTTGTGAGTTGAATGTCTTTTCCAATTTCCAGCTGGCTCCGGTCTCGGCGTCATCATCCCCGGCACTTCGCCATGCTTCATCAGAGTCCTCTTTCTCTCCCAACACCTGGACGGGCATTCTGCGCCGCACTTGCGGGCACTTGCGGGTCCTCTTTTCAACTCGAACAGAAACCCGTTCCAGTCTATTCCCTCATTCGAGCCAGTATTGCTAATCCAACCCACTTGCACCCTCCGCGGAGGTTCAATCGTGTCTTGCCATTTGGTCTGTAACAGCTCAACATCCAACCACAGACTCTCTAAATATCCAGCTCCTGAAGAAATTCCTTCACAATCTGTGCATTATCCTAGGCCTCGTGTCTGAGCACTCGTGGCTGGTTACTGCAACACTGGCCGCGTACCTGGGCAAACCGGTTGGCATGGCGGAGAGATCAATACTCACGCTAAAGAACAAAGAGCTCATCAATATCCAGCAATCTAGCTAAGATGATCTGGCTGTGATAATAACAGCCAGTTTTGGTATGGATAACCCGAAGTTTGGGTCATCAACGGTGCTAGCCAGCCACCTGAGTATAAGCATAGCCTCTACGTATAATGGCCAGGACCAAGTGGGCAGGATCCACGAGGATGCTACATGTTCTATAAGCAGATACTAGGTGGCGGCGCAAAGAGTTTGAGCGGCGGAATCACCCCGGAACAATGTCATGTTGCTCAGCCTCGAAGCTCCCAAGCGAGAAAAGAATCTCGGCGCAATAGCTATTGAATCGATGTTGGTGGGCTCTCCCAAAGTACACACCATATATGTGCAAAAATATACAACCCTAAGAATCAAGCATTTGAGAACAACTTGAGACGTGACCTCAGCAGCCGCGATCCGCTCATGTTAGTTTCTTACCCTTCCCCATCATCGACTTGGAGGTCCTCACTCGGAACAGATAATACAAAGTAATCGCTCCAAAGATGTTAAAAACAAAATAGCACCAAAAAATGCCGTAGTTGCGCCATCGGTCAACATAGTAAATCTCACGAGCAGCCAGATACTGGTCTGCGGAGGACAAGCTGCAATACTGGCAGTCGGACGTGGCGTTCTTGTTGTAAACCGAGCCGCCAGCAATGTCGACGTACTGCTTCATGTAGTCCCAGCAGGTCTGGCCCGATGGCGGATCGAAGATGCTAAGTTCAGCTGAGTTGCACTCCACCGTGCGGCCGTGCAGCGCAGTGCCGCTGATTCCGCCAATGTAATATGTAAAGGGCGAAACACGATACATGAAAATCCAGAATCCTACTCGCAGAAGAAGTGTTAGATCATCATGGATACAGAAAGCACCATGCGGCCCCGAGGACAACGCAACCCGAGCCCGGTAATGCTACAAGGTGCCAGGGGAAACGTACCGGGCAGATCACCAGGTGGTTGCATCACACCATTAAAGATGAAAGAAAGACCAAACATGAGGGTTGCGAGCATGGCACCGAGAGTTGGCTCGGGAATGGCGGATGCGACAAATTGGGCCATGCTGGCCGCATAGACGAAGAATTGAACGATAAAAAGCATGATCAGTGTCCGGCTCTCAGAGTCCTGACCGGTGCCAAAGACAGACCAGTAGAATGAGGCCCAGGAGCAGACGCCCAGGCAAATTTGCCAGGGAACTTCCACAAGGATCTGCGAGAGAATAAAGATTTTCCACGAGTAGATCCGAGATGGTCGCTCCCGTACTTCGTACAAGGATCGCTGGGAGACGAAACGAGGCATGATCTGGTTGACGAGCGTGTTGAAAATGGTACACAAAAGGAAAACGCTGAATAGCACATTTTGGAAACCCTGTTGGGTGTTGTCGGATTTCCAGAAAGAGAAGCCAATGAACAAACCCGATGCGATACCGAGAATGAACTTGGCATAGATGTAGTCGGGTTGGCGGTAGTAGCCCTGGAAGCAGCGGCCAAGGACGACCCACAGCTGTGTCGACAACGGCATGGCGAATTCGGCGTTAGCGTCGTCAAGGAACAGCTGATGGGATGAGCCCTTGCGCATGGCATTAATTTGCTCAATCTCAGCAACAACATCTTGGTACTCCTGGCTTTCATTCCAAGCCTGGGGCCAATCAACACCGGGGCAACCTTCTCCGGCTACCATATCAAGGATGTATTCCGCGGGATTCTCCACCTCCTCGCAGGGGCGGGCTCCGTTGTGTTCGAAATATTGGAGGAGAGTAGACGATTGTTCACCAATATCACCGAAATACACCGTCTTTCCACCCTTAGCCAGGAATAGAAGGCGATCGAATGTCTGGAACAGAGTGGCGCTGGGCTGATGAATCGTTGCCAGCACAGCTTGGCCATGGTCTGCCAGTCTCCGGAGGAATTGACAAATGGTCCATGAACTCTGGGAGTCCAATCCACTAGTTGGTTCATCCAGGAAGATCAGCAGAGTCGGCTTCGCAGCAAGTTCGACGCGAATGCTGAGAAGTTTGCGCTGCTCGACATTCAAACCTTCGCCGAGAGATCCAACGACCGCTTCAGCAAAAATCTCCATGCCAAGAACCTGGATAACCTGCTCCACATAATGATACTTCTCTGCCTTGGAGACGCTCTTCGGTTGGCGGAGCATGGCACTGAACCGTAGAGCCTCACGGACAGTAGTTGTCTCAAGATGAAGATCTTGCTGCTGGACATAGCCAGTGCGACGGGGGAAGTTGGGTAGCAAGGGCTGGCCATTGACCAGTATATCGCCAGATACAACACCAACAGACACCCGCTGGGCGAGAACATCCAGCAATGTCGTCTTACCAGCACCAGATACACCCATCAACGCAGTCAGACTGCCTGGTTTGACCCAACCGTTGACATTGTCCAAAAGGCGTCGGGTCCCTTCCTTGACGGGAATATCGTAACTGACAGCCTTCCAGGAAAAGATATCTTTCTGCTCCGGCAGACGAATAGTATCGTTAGTCTGTGTCACTTCAAGTTTCGGATCCACGAGTCCACCCTCTGCGTCCTTTCCTGACTGGAGATGCTTGGGGGCATGGCCGGGACGAAACACTAAGGCCTCGGCCTTTGACTTATCGCTGGAGATGAACTCCGTCGCAATCAGATAGACAGCATTGAAAAAGATCATAAAACAAATGAGAATCCCTGTACATATTTATTAGCTATCTGTGAGGAAAAGAGATGAAATTTGCAGTGACCACCGCGGGGAGAGTTATTTTGCCAGGCACATACCAAAGTTCCGCCATAGGTGGGAGTAGTAGTAGTGATAGTTCTGCTCAATGAATGCGTCGCCGGAAACAACCCGCTCGCCAGCCTTTGCGCCAACGGAAGAGCAGATGAACGACGACCCTGTTCCATAGCTCGGAACTATTGACGTGCACGGATAGCTTTTGCCGTGAAATTCATTGGCGATCAGTGCTTCGAAAGTATAGTAGATCGGGTTGATCCACCGGATCCAGGACAGCCATGGGTGCATATACGGCTGGGGGAGCGTAAACCCGGTGTAGACGACAATACACAGAACTAAAATTCCCGCGAATGCCATAGCCTGACCGACGGACCTAGTGAGCGCCCCCAAACTGCGGAAGAGGCCAGACATGGTCAAGACAGCAAAAACTAAAAAGAGGTAGAAAATGAAGAACTGGGCTGGCTCCCGACGGAGGTTTGCCATGAAGTACAAGACAATGCTGAAAATCGAAATCCGCAAGAGTTTGATCGGGAAATCCACCACGAGGCTGGCTAAGGCTTCCGTGAAGGGGTGGACAAAGGCATAACCAGATTGTTTTTCAACGATCGGACGTTGGCTGTAGAGCTGCATGATTTCATTGATGGTTAGTAGTGCATTCATCAGTACAGCAAAGTAGCACACAGCGCCTTTTTGAAAGAAATATGACGAGGTGTCCGGGGTGTTGTAGAAGACAGATCCGATGATCAACGATAGGATCAGCTGGACAATAAGAGGAGAAAGGGCAGTTGGCAGGTCATTAAGCATTCGCTGGTAGGCTCTTCGGATACATAGCCTAATCTGCATTGGAACAGATAGGATGTATGGGCTACGGGACCGAGTGTGTCTAGCTTGCTGTTTCACATGGCTTTGCTGGAATCGTTTGGCGTCCTCGCCATTTGGAGGATGCCGTTGGTCGAATTCTGTGATCTGCTTTTGCAAATCCTGGTACTCTGGGCTTCGCTTCCAATGCTCAGCGAATTCCTTGGCTGTGCGCGGCACCCTTCTTTCCAGTCCAGGCAGTGCCTTGCGTTCATTTGGATTGGTAATGGCAGTCAAAAAATCACCGCTCACTTGACGTTCTGGCCTGGCCCAGCCCATGCCCTGGAAGTAGGCCACAGCCCGGTCACGGGGGCCATAGTAAATCTCATAGCCCTCGTAGAGCACCACGACCTTATCGAACAAGTCGTACATCGACTGCGATGCTTGGTATGCGGCAATTGCATGGCAAGACTGGCCCATATCGGCCGCAAGCCGCAGAGCCCGCACAAATTTCAGCGCAGAAGCGGCATCCAAGCCTCGGGTGCTATTATCCCACGCACCAATGCGACAGCGAGAAACAAACATCTCCGCAATGCTAACCCGCTTGCGCTCACCGCCACTCACCCCACGAATAAACTCGTTGCCAACCTTGGTATTATATGTATGGGATAGCCCAAAGACTGACATGACCACTTGGGTGAGGGTTTCAACATACTCATTTCGTGTCAAGTCTTCGATGCGTTGATGTGGAGCACGAGCGTGAGCAGCGAAGGAGAGGGTCTGGCCCACGGTCAAGTGAGGGAAATGCAGGTCAACCTCTTTGTTGTACGCCACATCACCGCGGTGGTGCTTGATCATCTGGTCAAAGTCAATCCCTTCAAAGTGAATGAGCTGCCAGGTTCCATAGTCAAACCGTCCAGATGTCCACAGATGGTTTTGAGGAAGGTGGTGCATCCACTCCCGGGGCGTCCCAGGACAAGGATAAGTTCGCCACCCTCCAGCAAGCCATCGAACCTGTGAATAATTCTCCGCCGCGATGATAGACGTCCCGTGAGAACTTTGGAGGCGAAGCGAAAGGGGAGGGTGAGACTCGAGATCAAGGTCTCTTGGAATAGCAGCGCAGATCCGGAGCCGCTAATCGAGAGGTCGGAGAAGACCACGCCTTGGGATGGAATATCGATGCCCGATTCATGTACCTGGCTAAGTACGGTCTGGGCCCAACGATAGTGATCAAATTCCGGGCTGTTGGGGTCTAGCCGAGGATCTTGAGTGTCCTTTCGGCTCGCAGAGGCCGATAGCTTCTGACCAAGCCTGCTAGAGGCAATGCGGCCCAGTGCTTCAATTTCCCGCTCGTCAATCGCGGTTGGAGTGCGCTCCGTGATAGGCGCGAACTCCATGCCCGGGTCGTCCTTTTCCATGGTGGCCGAATGCCGTGGCCACGGGGGTTGGAATTTGGGGTGTTGGGAAATATCAAGGCAGGAACAGTCACAACATTGGGCGAGGGTCCCTTCATAAGGACGAAAATTCGAGACATGGTTTCGAACATATATGGGGACGGACAGTACCAAGACCGATGAGACGGGGATGTTGGTCGAGTTATGCTCATCGCCTTCGGGGCCCGTCCTCCCGAGCCACGATCTCCACGAAACACGCGGCGCATCCCCACATATTCGTGCCGATTCAGGCCAATTCAGGCATACATATATCAGAGTGGTCGACTCTCAACCAATCACAGTGGAGTCGGGGTCTGAAAGTGCCGACTCACCGACCTCCGCAACCTGCCTTAAGCGATCATCAGCGCACGTAAGGTTTTGTGAATTTCGGTTGATAACTCCGGCTCCTCCGTCGCCCTCTGTACATGCTGAAAGTATTATGCACAATGATGGCTATTGCAGTATATAGTTTAGATTCTCTGCGGGGCCACTATTCTCTGAAAAGCCTACGATTGGCATGATACGACAGAGCAGCCTGCGCCATTGCTGTGAATGGCAGATCTGCCCCTACCTGGTAGTCGGGCCTGGTACCTCTTAAAGTGGATTTTTATGATGGTTTGGCTCGCCTCCACGTCTTCTACGGAGGTCGGCACCTATGGATGGCAGACTTCATGCGTTCTATTGGGCCTATGCTACCCTTCTACGGAGCAGTCCTGGTAATTCTATTTACCTTCCTTTTTGACACATTATGCTATTTTTACCCGTTGTTTGTTTGGGATTTTATGCTACGAGGTTCTAAATATGTTACAAAAAGAGTCTCTCCCATCATAGTTGATGACTACCCAAGCGTAGTATATATGTTAGGAGATTATATATTTCCACTACGGAGATTCGAGGTCAAGTCGATATCAGATCGTTTCTCAAAACTCAGGCACCCATACACTAGTTGCATAATGACTAGGTACACTGTAGCTTCTGAGGTAGTCTTGACTATATTCCACGTTGTTACCACAAAAGGCGATCTATTGCTTCTAAGCTTGTAGGTACCTGACAGTTAGTCCAGTTGGACAGCCTAATGGAAGAGCGGGGCTCCGTTCCAGATCACGTGCCTAGACTTACACGTGACAGAAGCAGGATTCCCATAAGGTCACATGAGCCTGCCAAGCCCCGCCATCTCTTTGCGCTCAGTCCACGTTGTACATACCCGAAATAGGCTTAGCGCGTACCTAATCCTTTCTCTCCGAAACCGATCCACAGGACCGATCTCCACAGCTTGCTGCTACCTCTCGTCCCCGCTACCAATCTCCATGCAGCCAAGACGCCAAGATCCGGGCGAGGCGAAGCGGATCGGATTGGAGAGCTGACCTGTGTGGACCGCTGTGGCTGGATGGGAACAATTATGGGGTTCTTTCTCTCTCACCACCCCCACCGCCCTCTTTGCTATCCTCCGCTTCTTCACCATGGCGACTGGAACCGCGACGACAACGGCCACGGCCACTAGCATCGCGAAGGTGAGCCCGCAAGGTGGCATCCTTGAGGGAGGAAATCCATCCCATTATGACCCCAAGAACCCGCTTGTTCTGTTTATTATTCAGGTAGGGAGCTGTCAAACCTCTCCTGGCCCCACTCAGAGCATTGCTGATTTTGGTCCAGGCGGGGATTATCATCGTGCTTTGCCGCCTTATTCACTGGCCTCTCTCTAAGATCCGCCAACCCCGAGTCATTGCAGAGGTCATCGGCGGCATTATCCTGGGCCCCTCGGTGATGGGCCGTATCCCCGGCTTTACTGATGCTATCTTCCCCGCTGCAAGCATCCCCAGCTTGAATGTGGTTGCAAACCTAGGCCTGGTCCTCTTCTTGTTTCTGGTGGGTCTGGAAACGGACCTCCGGTTCCTCATGAGCAACTGGCGCGTGGCACTGAGTGTTTCAGCTGCAGGTATGATCCTACCATTTGGCTTGGGATGTGCCATCTCCTATGGACTGTATAATCATTTCCATGACGACCCTAGTACGGTGCCAATCAAGTTCGGTACCTACATGCTGTTTATTGGTATTGCCATGGCCATCACGGCGTTCCCGGTGCTGTGCCGTATCTTGACGGAGCTGAAGCTGCTCGGGACCCGGGTCGGCGTCATTGTATTGTCCGCTGGAGTCGGAAACGATGTGGTTGGTTGGATTCTGCTCGCCCTATGCGTGGCCTTGGTGAACGCCGGAAGTGGACTTACCGCCCTCTGGGTGCTGCTGGTTTGCACGGGCTACTTGCTTTTCTTGAGCTTTATCTTCAAGCCAATCTTCTTCCGATTTCTTGAGCGCACAGGCAGCCTGCAAAAGGGCCCCAGTCAGTCGGTTGTGACGTTGACTTTACTCATTGCTCTTGCATCTGCCTTCTTTACTCAGGCTATTGGAGTCCACGCAATATTTGGCGGGTTCGTAATTGGCCTGATCTGCCCCCATGAAGGTGGATTTGCTATCAAATTGACGGAAAAGATCGAAGATCTCGTTGCAGCCCTTTTTCTACCCCTGTACTTCACCCTCTCTGGCCTCAGCACGAATCTGGGCCTTCTGGACAGTGCCATCGTTTGGGGATATGTGGTTGGCGTCATTGCTATTGCTTTCATTGCCAAAGTGACCGGAGGCGCTCTTGCATCTCGCTGGTGTGGACTGTTATGGCGCGAAAGTTTCTCTATTGGGGTTTTGATGAGTTGCAAAGGCTTAGTCGAGCTGATTGTCCTGGTTAGTACCCGCTCCGTCTTGGTGAGGCTCACAATTGGGCGCCCAATAAACTGACATCCGCTTGATAGAATATTGGTCTGCAGGCCAAGATTTTGAGTACTCGCACATTCACTATTTTCGTTGTGATGGCTCTGGTCACAACCTTCCTCACGACCCCACTGACGACGATCCTCTACCCGCCCTGGTATCAAATCAAGGTAGACCGATGGCGGCGTGGGGAGATCGACTGGGACGGAAATCCCATCCAGCAGGATCACCGGTCCGATAGTGTCTCAGCCGTGAAGGATCAGCTGAAGACCCTTCCCGTCCGAAAGCTTTTGGTTTATCTCCGTTTGGATGGACTCTCGGGAATCTGCACACTGGCCGCCCTGTTGAGCCTCAACCGCGGAGCTGCGCTGTCATCACCGCGGATACACCCTTCGAAGAAGCTGAAGCAGGCTGAACAATCCGTTGAGGATGCCGTTAGCTCGGATGACAACAAGGAGACCGCACTCCGAGTCCATGGTGTCCGACTCATGGAGCTGACAGATCGTGACTCTAGTGTCATGAAGGTTTCTTTCGGAGAACATGCCATGTGGGACCCAGTCGTTAATACCTTTTCTGCCTTCGGGGACTGGCAAGATGTTTCTCTTCGGGCTGGTGTATCCGTGGTGCCTGAACATTCTTACGCAGATACCGTCATCGACATGGCCCGCCAGGATAAAGCGGACCTTCTTCTCCTCCCATGGAGCGAGACCGGAACATTGGCAGACCGCCAAAGTGGCCTCGAAGTTGATTCAGCAGGCCGATTTGCTAATGGCCCATACGCCGACTTTGTCTCCAATATTCTGGAGCGTGTCCCGGGCCATGTGGGTATTATGATCGAGCACAACCCCGGATCTCGCCCTGCAAAACGCCCAGCAGCCCAGCGCTCGTCTAGTGGAATTAGTATTCATGACTCCGTTTGGTCACGACCAACTTTCGGTGATCGGTCTCATCATCTTGTACTCCCGTTCTTCGGCGGTGACGATGACCGCATTGCACTTCGACTTGTCCTGCAGCTTGCACAGAATGATCTAGTGACTGCTACTATCATTCAGCTTGCAGGGTTTCCATCAGATACAACCAAAGCTGCTGTATCCAGATCCGTATTCTCCGGAGCCGCTGCTGGAACGCCGAGTGGTCAGTCAGATATCGTGTTCTTCGAGACTCTGCGTGATTCTGTTCCGGAGGATCTGAAAAACCGTGTCGTCTTCCAACAGCCTGATGTGCAGGAGACGATCAGTGACCCAATCCAGCTGGCTCTGGCCTCTGTGCGACAAGAGCTCAATCTAACTTCCAACAAACCAGGCAATATTATTGTTGTCGGGCGGCATAGTAGCACTCTTGATTCTACCATTGAAATCGACGCGGGTGAGCAGAGCATCGGTTCTGATGCTCGGCGAGCCCTTGGAGCCATGGCTTCGGCGATGGTGCAACCGGGGGCCAAGGTTTTTGGTAGCGTGCTGGTGCTACAAGCTGGCCCCAGTTCTGGGTTGCTTGACAGTTACCAGTGAATTCGCGATTCACGAGAAATCGCGCTACGGGAATTCTATCAAATTTGGACATGCTATTCTGTTCTGCTTTGGTAGCTCAGAATGAATACAAGGACATCATACATGCAAGGAGATCTCGGCCGGCGTAACCGAGTACAGATTCACCAAAAGCAGACGCGACTAGGACATCGTAGGTGACATGCATGGATGATAGATCGTTGAACTGCAAACATTCCTCTCTGTGGATCAGAAATTGCCATCATTTACCCAGGGCAGGTGGGCATAACAGGGCAGTTCCAGTTGAATTTGCTTCATATTCCGGAGGTTGTGCAGCTTGACTGACGGGAATTATCCCAAACCCACGGTGGGCTGTACTGCCGGTGAACATTGAAAGCGCATCCGTCACTGGGAGGCACTTCTTGGGAAGAAGGGAAGAAGTCGATCTCACGAGCGCTGGATGACAGCTCATCGCCATGGTAGTTGTACGATCCACGAGCGAAGGCAACTAGCTTTCCAAGGATGGCGTATTCAAGTTTGAGTTTGATACTGTATGCGACGGGCTTGAACATGACCTGGACAGCATAGTAGCCAACATATTCAATGACGACGACGGAGACATCGAGAATAAGGATGATAATGTTGATGAGGAGCAGCTGACGCAGGATGCCATGCGGTCGACCATGAGGTCGGAGCTGTAGCAGCTTGACGGTCTCCCACACGTAGATCCCCGAGATGATCAGTTCCTGGATGCAGAATCCTAGTAGCTGGATGCGCTCCATGACACTATATCCACGGGACCAGGCACCGATGGGGGCTGCTACCGTACCGTACAACAGCACCGTTGTGGGGATGTGAAAGAGAACGGCGTCCACGATGATCATCCAGAGCACACCATACAGAATCTTGGTGTTTTGCAGGACCAGATGCAGACGCGACCACAAAACAAGGGACTGGCCCGTCACCATAGCATACCAGCCGGTCACGATGAGAGTGACACAGACATAGGGGGTCACCCCGGTTGGAAAGAAAAGAAGCATGTAACCCAGACAGTTCGGGATAATGCTGGCGGACGAGACCAGCAAACTCCAGAAATAACACCCGCGGCGCCGTTTAAACGAGACAAAACATAGGACAATAAGTTCGATAGCATTATACCAGGCAATCGCCGCAAAGGCCGCGAAGATCTGCGTGCGAACTTGGTCTCCGCTAGAGTGTGGATCAATCAGCGAGTCCGCGATATCGGAGGCGTCGTGCGATGACATGGATCGAAGGAGCGCATTGCTCAGAAAGAGTCCGAGAGGAAATATCAAGGACTTTTTGTTGAAGGGGAGGAGCGGATTGAGAAGAGACAAGGGGAGGTACAAAAAGGATCGTGCCCTTGCAGCGGCACTGCGATCGAGCGCGTCTGCCGATCTCCAGCTTCCTCACAGCTGGGCCGTGGCATGGGGGAGCGCGAGGGGGAATTTTGGAGCCTTTGGAGCTTGTTCACTGGAGACAATTGCTGGTGGCAGTCAGAGGGGCGGTGTTGTGAGGAACAGCCCGTGCCACCATGACTACTGCTGCTGCTTGCCGTGGGAGGGGGGTTTCCGTGGTTGCGATGGGTGTCGATGCAACAGCAACAAGACGCAATTGGAAGTCGACGGAGTGCCCGTGGATCCCCCGAACTCTCACCCCCTCGACCTCTCGACCTTTCGACCCCTCGACGTCCCCCACTCCAGGGGAGCGACTATAGACGCCGGCCGACATATCGTGCACGGGTGCCTCTTGTCCTTCGTTAGGCGCGGTGGCTTGGGTGGAGGAGATCGATTGGGCGCCGATCGAGGTGGATCCCGGGGAAGATCCCTGGGGGACTCCCCCTTTGTCAGCCAGTTAGGTTTGCTCACTAACCGTTAAACTCTTAGCCCCTTTTTTCAGATTCCCGAAATCTCAGTCGCAGTCTAAGCGTCATGACTGAAAGATTGGCGGATAGACTACTGTTCCCTGGCCCCGTCGTGCGAGAATGATCCCCACCAGTTGATGGGTCTGATCGACGACTCTCATTGTTGGAGGAATTGAGGCGTGGCCGAGCGGGCGATCTCAATAACTAGTCGATAGCGGACTAGCTGAAAAGTTGATCTCAGTTGCTCAAAGATGGCATGGGAACCGCACCATCAGTCGTGGGTACCTGAGGTATGCGCCTGGTAGAACGTTTCCAAGGTATATTCTTCTTCCCTACTTCGCACGGAGTACATATCAGCAACCCCGGTAGGAGGATGTTGGATCGATCTCATCCTCAATATTGAGCAAATGCGCAATGGGTGAGAGTGGCAGAGAAGGTTGAATCGTGCTCATCGCCCTGCTACCATGATCGACAGGTGTTATGGCTAAGAGTACTCCGTAGCACACCTACGGAGGAGTGCAACTAGTCCCGTGCACACGAACAACGCGAGGCCGGTCACGTGGAGACGCGCCACTTCGCGCTGAACGAACCCTGTGAATTCGCGTCACCTTGGACTTCAATCGGGATGATGAAGCCATTAAACGACGGCAGGCCTATCGCGGCGGGATTTTCGTCGAGGCCCAGCCAGAGAAATCCTTGCCCAATGCCGCCGGGCTCTTCCTCTCAGCACGATCCAGATCGGTGACGTCAGGAATCAGGAATCGGGAATCTGGAATCTCGATCGTCCGATCGATCGATGACATTCGGCGCGCTCAAATTGGGGCCCGCGCAGGCCATGGCTGCTCAACGCGATGCGCGTGATTTTGCTTCGTTGCCCTTGCTCCTCTCGCCCACTGGCATCTCGCGGATTCCTGCCGACCGGCAATCTTCTGACTCCAATCCGATTTCACAGTTTCATTACCCTCATGGCGTCTAAACGCAAGATAGTCGACACGAACGGCGACAGCCAGCCCAATACTGGGCATGACCGCAAGAGGGGCAAGCCCGATTTGCGTCAACCGCATCCCAACGCGAAACAGACCGAGGAGTTTGGCATAGTCCTGCGTGACTACTACCCCCCGGAGATGAGTAACGAACGCTGCCAGGCCTACGCCGATGGCACAATCGAGCGGCCAATCGAGACGTTGGAGAATGCGTGCAAAGATACGGTGGACACGCGCCGTGCTGTGACGCCGGGCAAGGCGGTGGTCCATTGGTTCAAGAGCGACCTTCGCCTCCATGACAATCGGGCTCTTGGCACGGCTTTTCAGCTGGCGAAAGATCACCAAATCCCCTTGATTGGAGTTTACATCCTGTCTCCAGAGGATTTCGCAGCGCATCTGACAAGCCCGGCCCGAGTGGACTTAATTCTCCGAACGTTGAAGCAGCTCCAACGGGACCTGGCAGAGCTTGATATCCCGCTGTATGTAGAGACACAGGAGAAAAGAAAGGGGATTCCAAGCCGCATCGTGGACTTGTGTCAGGAGTGGGAGGCGAAGCACCTGTGTGCGAACATTGAGTACGAGGTGGATGAACTGCGACGGGACGCCCGGCTAGTCCGTCTGTGTGCCGAGAAGGACATCGATTTCACCCCTTCTCACGATACCTGCGTCGTCACGCCAGGTGCCTTGGTCACCGGAACCGGCAAGCAGTATGCCGTCTACACGCCGTGGTTCCGCTCCTGGCTGCGCTTCCTCAAGGAGAATCCGGATTATCTGGAGCCGTCGGAAGAGCCGGGGTCCAACCCAGGCGACGCGCGGAAGCAATTTCCTGACCTCTTTGGTTGCCAAATCCCGGCCATGCTAGGCAATAAAAAGCTGTCGGATGTGGAACGGAAACGGTTCGAGGACCTCTGGCCGGCGGGGGAACATGAAGCCCTTCAACGGCTGGACAAGCTTCTGGAGGAAAAGTGTAGTTGGTATGGTGAGACGCGCAGCTTGCTTTCCGGAGAGCACACCTCGGCCCTTAGCCCCTACTTCGCATCGGGGGCGTTGAGTGCCCGGACCGCCGTGACGACGGCAAAGCGAGCCAACAAGAATCATCTGGACCGATATGATCAAGGTTATGCCTCATGGATCAGCGAGGTCGCTTGGCGGGACTTTTATAAACATGTGCTTGTGCACTGGCCATTTATCTGGTAACCTCCCCCCCCCCGGCCCTTAACCTCCCTTCGTTGTCCCCTTATAGCTGGTTGATGAGAGAAACAAGATGCAAGACTGAGCAAATTATGCAGTATGAACAAATGCTTCAAGCCCGAACATACCAATATCGAGTGGGAGTATGATACCGATCAGTTTCAGGCATGGTGCGACGGCAAGACCGGATTTCCCATCGTCGATGCTGCCATGCGACAGCTCAAGCACTGCGCCTGGATGCATAACCGCACGCGCATGGTGGTTTCATCTTTTCTGTCGAAGGACTTGCTAACCGACTGGCGCCGAGGTGAGCGGTTCTTCATGGAGCATCTCATCGACGGCGACTTTGCGTCCAATCATGGCGGGTGGGGGTTTGGCTCCAGCACGGGCGTCGACCCACAGCCGTATTTCCGCATTTTCAATCCGATGCGACAGAGTGAGCGATTCGACCCCGACGGGGAGTATATCCGGCGCTGGGTGCCCGAGCTGCGCGATGTGAAGGGCACTGCTATCCACGCGCCGTATGACCGGGGTGCCGGGGGAACTGCGGAGCAAAATGGCTATCCGAAGCCGATTGTGGAGCATGCGGCGAGTCGCGATCGGGCACTGGCGCGGTACAAGAGTGCTCTCCATGGGTGAGACGGTATGTCAGACGGATGTGGGTGGGGGGAGGAGCTCATGTTATCTACTTCATCCAGTATGGCCCATCGCATCCTGGCCCTGATCGGTTGAGGTCACATCTTAGAACTGATAATGGACTACCGGTATGCTTTACGCGGAACCCTCCAATCGGGGTAATAGGAATCAGGATAGGGGCAATCCAGAAGAGTTTCTGTGCACCAACTATTCGGTTCAGCACATTTCGCTTCGGCTTCCTCGTGGCTCTCATTGGGGGCCTGTGAGTGGCCGCCGCGTGAGACACGGCGCCACAATTTCCCCGCGCTTTGATTTTCCCCGTCTTCTCGTTCCCCGGCTTTGTGTAGGTCCTCTTCGTCAAATTTCTCCTTCCCCCCACCCCCGATGACGACCTGAATTTTCACCATGGACTCCCAGCCTGGGGACCCCGATGCGACCTCGGGTCCAGTCGACCTCCCCAATGGCAAGCGCCGCTGGCGGCGCAATCGGGTCGCCTGCGATTCATGCCACGCCCGCCGGGTCCGATGCGACCGCGCTTTTCCGTGCTCCCGGTGCTTGCGCAGCGACATCCACTGCGAATTCACTCGCGAGCGTCGCAAACGAGGGCGCATTGCACGTGCTAAGCTGGCGACTGGGTCGAGCGTGGCGAAAGAAGCTCCTCCAAGTTATGCACCCCGAAAAGGATCCTACGGCGACCAGAAAGCCCCCGTGCAGTCGGCGCTGTCGCCGCTACAGCAGAGCTCTCCAGAGTCCGTTTTCCCGCATCGATCGCCCACAACCAACGATGTGAGCTTGTCTGCGCCAAGCGTGGACGACCCGCACTCGGTAATAGAGAGCTCTCATTCTCAGCGACCAGGTTTGGGGCCCGGACCTAGACCCGAAGGGAACGCCACAGAGGAATGGCTGTCTGCCGCACATGTTTCGCCCGAGTCCTATGATATCATAGGGGGTGTGGCCGGTGGTGATGGACCATTGCCCCGGCTGTGGGACATTTGGACTCCTGGTGATCTGGCGGGCCATCATCCCCCCAAGCGCCCGCCGCCGATCCCGCCGGGAGCTACGCAAACTCACGCCGGTCAGGGAAACCCCACTGGGAGTCGGCCCGGGTTGAAGTACCCAGTGCTGGAACCGGTAATGCCATTCCTGGAGTCCAACCTTCCACGTCGCTTAGTGTGCGATCTACTTCAACTCTACTTTACTAGCGCTTTCTCCACGCACATGCACCCGGTCTGTCATCACATCCACTGCTATGTCTTGCGCAAGGCCTCGTTCCTAAGCGTCGACTGTCCTCGTCCAAGCAGTCCGGCGTTACTGGCGAGTATGCTATGGGTGGCGGCGGTCGATGATCGGGCATTTTCCCTATCGATCTCCCCTTTGCAACGCCGCAAGATATGCCAATTTCTCTGTGCACTGACGATCCGCCTGCTCCGACCCTTGATTCACGTCTCGTTCAAGGACCAAGAGCCACCTGAAAATCCTAATGCACCTCAGGACTTCTCTGCCGCAGCTGCACACCATCCGTTCGAGGGAGTTGGCGATGACAAGGGTCTCGTCGGTCCTGCGGGCACACTGGATGATGTCATTACTTACATTCATGTCGCGTCGATCATCTCCTCCAGTGAGCAGAAGGCTGCGAGTATGCGGTGGTGAGTTCAAGTGTTCATTGCATTCTGGGGGGTGGGACTTTACGTGGTTGATTTCCTTCACTTCTAGACTGACTTCTTCTTAGGTGGCACGCTGCATTTACCTTAGCCCGGGAGCTCAAATTGAACCAAGAAATTGAGGTCATGCCGAATATTGATAGCCAGACTGATGGATCAAGTCCGTCCTTTGGATACCCCCTGGCCGGCTGGGCGAGCTCCCCTGGTGGCCCGGTCTTTGACTACTCGAACCCATCCCGACCGAGCTTAAATTGCGTCTGCGAGGAAAAGCAGGACCCGCATAGCGGCTCGGTTGTTACGGAAGAGCATCGCGAGGAGCGCCGTCGCACCTGGTGGCTGTTGTATATCATGGACCGTCACCTCGCACTGTGTTACAATCGACCGCTCGCCCTCCTGGATGCCGAGAGTGAGGACTTACTGCTTCCTCTGGATGAGGGATCCTGGCAAGCTGGCCACATCCATAGCAACAGCCCCCGCGCAGATGGTCCACAGTGTCTCCGATCCGGCGACCGCAACAAACGCCGCGTCTTTCCAAACTTCATCTGTCATGACCACTCCATTCTCGGCTTTTTCTTACCACTGATGACGATCACAGGGGAGCTGATCGACTTGAATCAAGCGCGGAACCACCCCACTTTGGGGCTCCGACTGCAAGGCAAGGAGGCGTGGGAAGTGCATGTGGCCGAGGTGCTCCGGCAGCTTGAGATCTACAAAGCCAGTCTCACGACATTTGCCACGGCTGATCCGGAGGCCTCGCTGGCACCTTCCTATGCCACCAAATCGGATCAACCTATGGATGCATCATTGTCACAGGCCTACTCTTGGCATACGCAGACCGTGATGGCCTACTCGTCTTATCTGGTCCACGTCCTTCACATTCTCCTTGTTGGGAAATGGGACCCGGTTTCCCTGATTGAAGACAAAGATTTCTGGACGTCTTCGCCGGCGTTTGCATCCACGATTTCGCACGCGCTGGAAGCCGCCGATGCTGTGCAGCAGATTTTACGGTTTGATCCGGACATCAGCTTCATGCCGTACTTTTTTGGCATTCAGCTTCTCCAGGGGAGCTTCCTTCTGCTTCTCATCGTGGAGCGTCTCCAAAAGGAAGCTGGCGAGGGGATTCTCAATGCCTGTGAAACCATGATCCGGGCCACCGAGTCATGCGTGGTGACCTTGAACACCGAGTACCAACGTAGTTTCCGGCAGGTGATGCGCAGTGCCGTCGCCCAGGCTCGGGGTCGCCCTGTGAACCCCAGTGAGATCCGCCATCGTCGGAAGGCGGTGTTGGCGCTGTATCGATGGACGCGCAAGGGCACTGGGCTGGCTCTTTGAACGGATACCTGGTTTTCTTTCTGTATTATGATGTGTCCAGTCGATATGGCGTTGGGACCTGGGGCGTCGGGTAGGAAGGGGATGTATATCGCATGCAATCATTCCTTGGTAGACCATAGAGTATGCTACTCATGGTAACGATCATATCTCCCGTATTCAGGATTGTAAATAGTATTAATCAAGGCTTACTGCGTGACGCGTCCTGGATCATGCGTAGGAAACAATCGGGTCTTCCACCGGACCTATTCCAACTATCCCGCACGCTCATTGGCGTCGGATATGCCGAACTGATGCACAATTCCTCCTGCCATACAAATTGTAGCTGTTCTCATTCCTCCAGCAAAGCACGCCATGTGTGGCCTGACCCACTCAGCGGAGTCTTCCGCAGATCGCCATTGGGCCCGCCGAATGACATCCTTCGGGATCCCCCGCCGTGCGGAGCTCAACCTTTGCCGAGTGCGCTAGCCGCTTGCGCAGCTGGCGATTGGCACCGCTTGCTGCGTTCGCAAAGCAGAGAGGCAAGAGGCAGCCTACAGACGCGGATGATGGCATGATTGCCCCTCACGTGGCAGCGATCAATTGTGGTCCCTCCGTCACGGTGAAGCTTTCCTGACCGCTTCACCTTCCTTCCACGCCAACTCTTCGACTCACTATGAAGGTTCTCGCTGCGATCACCGGACTGATCGTGGCCGCCGAAGGCGCGGCCCTGGGGCCGCAAGAGCCAACCGCCCTCCAGTCAGTCCTGAGCCTCGGAAAGTCAGACCCGTGGAAACCACCCAATATCCTGTTGGTGATCACCGACGACCAGGATCTCGAGCTGGACTCGATCTCATATACGCCATTGATCGAGAAGCACCTGCGACAGAAGGGCACCTTCTTTCGCAATCACTTTGTGACAACTGCGCTGTGCTGCCCGTCGCGAGTCAGCCTGTGGACGGGTCGCCAGGCGCATAACACGAACGTCACGGACGTGAACCCGCCATATGGTGAGTGAGCTACACGTATGAGGTTAAATCGCAATCGATGCAAATCTGATCAAGGCCCCAGGTGGCTACCCCAAATTCGTTGATCGTGGCTTCAACGAAAATTTCTTGCCCGTCTGGCTCCAGGAATCGGGCTATGACACGTACTACACCGGCAAACTCTTCAATTCCCACACCATCCATAACTACGCCAGCCCTCATGTCAATGGATTTAACGGCTCCGATTTCCTCATGGACCCTTACACATACTCCTATCTCAACTCGACCTACCAGAGAAACCATGAACCCCCGGTCAGTTATGAAGGACAGCATACGATCGATGTGATCACCGATAAAGCGCTTAGATTTCTGGATGATGCCTTAGAAGGCGAACGGCCCTTTTTTGTGGCGGTTGCACCAGTGGCACCACACTCAAATGTCGACCCACGAGACTTGGAAAAAGGCAAGATTGTGATGACGGCTCCCATTCCATTGGAGCGCCATAAGAATCTCTTCCCGGATGTGAAGGTGCCCCGGACGCCTAATTTCAATCCGGACGAGGTGCGTGCCGATCGAATGTGAGATATGGTCCACCCCGATCTAATGACCCTGCAGCCCAGCGGAGCCAGTTGGATTCGCTATCTCCCCCAGCAGAACCAGTCCGAGATCAACTATAATGATCATTTCTACCGTTCTCGCCTGCGTGCTCTGCAAGGCGTTGACGAATTGGTCGACTCGCTTGTTTCTCGGCTGGAAGAAAGTGATCAGCTGGACAATACCTACATTATCTACACCTCGGACAATGGATTCCATATCGGCCAACATCGACTGCCACCGGGTAAGACCTGCGGATTTGAGGAGGATATTCGCGTTCCGCTCTTCATTCGGGGACCCGGCGTCCCGGAGGGGTATACGCAGGAGTCAGTGACCACACACATCGATCTGGCGCCGACCATCTTTGACCTGGCGGGCATTCCGCCTCGCGCGGATTTCGATGGCACTGCCATCCCTGTGCAGCCGGATTTCCTTGGAGCCCGGCATGAGCATGTCACCGTGGAGTTCTGGGGGCAGGCGGTGGCGGAAGGGATCTATGGTGGGATTGGTAGGTTCAGACTGCTTCGAGCACGGTGGTTTTTGGCTCTTCATGGGAGTGCTCACGCAGCGAATAGGCCCCGATGGATCAACCATGATCCCCAATAACACATACAAGTCCATTCGCCTCCTGGGAGAGGATTATAACCTGTACTATTCTGTCTGGTGCAATAATGAACATGAGTTGTACGACCTTTCGGTAAGAGAGCAACGCAACGTGTGGGGAAATGTCACAGGCAGCGCTGACCAACGGATAGACCGATCCATACCAGTTGCAAAATCTATATCCGACCAATGCCCGGGCCCATAAAGAGGATGGGCCGCTGATGCTCGGCCGTAGCTTGAAACAGGCCATTGCCCGCTTGGATGCCCTTCTTCTGGTGTTGAAGTCCTGCCAGGGCACTACTTGCATTGAGCCATGGAAGGTCCTCCACCCGGGCGATACCGTTCGGAGTCTTCGAGATGCTCTGGACGAGGAGTATGACTCGTTCTATGGAGTGCAGCCCCCGGTGTCATTTGGCTGGTGTGATGCGGGGTATATTGTGGAGGCAGAGGGCCCTCAAGTGCCGCTGACTAGCCGATATGGCGTGTCCTGGGATGTTTGGGTGTAGACCTTGTACTCCTACATGTATAGAATTCGTTGGATATACCCCGCTCTAGCCCATCCGACTGATGAATTACGGACCAAAGATAGCGGATCCTTTCAAGCGTCCCTACCGTTTGGAGCATAATTATGAGGTGGAAGAGTGATCGATCCGGGTTAGCTCTCGCCTAGTTCGACTGTTGTTCGGGCTGCCCATCAGCCGATGTAAACAACCGGAATGGTGATCGGAAAGGCCCGCACGGGGCTAATGTGCGAGTGCTAATGACTGAATGCTGCAATCAGATTGAGTGGCCAGTTCTATCAGCAGAGAGTGCGAAATCGGGAAATTTTAAGCCATTTGGGGCTTGGCGCGTTCGTCAAAGGACCGATGATGGCGCCATAGCTTGCCGCCCTGTCGTGAGGGCCTATCGGGGGCCATTTCGTGCACGATGTGTCGCTTGTGGGGAATTGCGGTGATCGGCAGCGGTCTATGAGGACCGAGATGCTGTCTCGTTCAGGACAGCCTACGCAATCTTTTCTGATGAGCGACCGGCGCGGGAGTCCACATAGAAGTTGCCTCGCCCACCCAGATTGGAGGTTGCACCAGCACCGGGAAGACAAACTATATACCATCCTCCCGCATTCCGCGTCCGTTACGCCGCCGTTTCGGTGACCACATACCTGGTCTTCGAGCTTTTCTTCTGACTCGGAAGCCAGAAAATTTCCGAGACCACAGGATGTCTGACCAGGATATTATGGCAGAGAAATATGCCGTCAGGAAAAAGTCATCGATTCGCCGCCCAGTGAGGTCGATCAGGGCATCGTGAAAGACTGGGACGGCGAGGAAGCCAAGGTGAAGCGCAAGTCGGTGGATACACGGTTGATCATGATCTCACGATAGTGGCTGACACTTTGCGCCTTCAGAATCGACTTTATCCTCATCCCCGTTCTCGCCCTCGCCTTTTTCGCGCTGCAGATGGATCGCGGCAACATCAGCGCCGTCTTGACCTCGACCATCACCAAAGACCTGGGTATCACCACCAACCAGATTAACGTCGGTACACAGCTCCTCTCCGCTGGGATCGTACTCAGAGATTCCGTCCAACATTATCATGCAGCGCATTGGACCGCGTGTGTGGCTATCGGGCCAATTGTTTGCCTGGGGTCTCGTTGCTACTTTCCAAGCCTTTGTGCAGTCCTATCCTGCGTACCTGGTGACTCGGATTCTGTTGGGCATCTGTGAGGGTGGATTTATTCCTGGTATGTGGAAAGGAGCGCCCGGAGAGGGAGTCTTGGAGCCTTGCATGACTGACGCGGGACTGGTCTAGGTGCTCTATACTACCTCTCCACCTGGTGCAAAAAGGACGAGACTAGCCTCCGGACCAGCCTGTTCTTTTACGGTCAGATGTTTGCCTCGGCTACATCGAGCTTGATTTCAGCTGGCCTGTTGAACCTTTCTGGTCGCCACGGGCTGGAGGGCTGGCGATGGATATTCCTCGGTAGGGTTCAACCTTTTCGTTCGCCTCGGATTCAAGGTTAACACATACCCTTAGTGGAAGGCCTGCTCACACTGTTCGTGGGAATTGTATTCACCCTACTGATACCACCCAATGCGGGTGACGGTCGGCCCCTGATCAGCTTCGGTCGTTGGAGCTATTTCACTGAGCGCGAGTCCCAAATTATCCGCGATCGGGTTCTTTTGGATGATCCTCGCAAGGCGCAGGGGCATGTCCAGATCTCACGCTCCGATATCTGGAAGACTCTCAAGCAGCCACGTATCATGCAGCATGTATTCCTGACGCTTCTGGCTATGTCAGGTTTCCAGGCCTTGACGCAATACACTCCCAGCATGATCAAGTCCATGGGCTTCAGTGCAATCCGTGCCAATGCGCTTGCGTCAGTTCCAGTGTACTGCAGCATCGTATGGTTGACCATTCTGTCTATTGGAGCGTACGTTAACGTTCCATTCAATTAGAGGATCTTTCATGCTAACCCGTCTGCAGGGACCTGTCAAAACATCGTGGCCCATTTGTGCTTCTCGCCATTACTTGGAATGTTATCTCCTACGCCTGCCTACGGAAAACCCCATATGCATCGTCGCAGTGGCATCGATACGGTGTTATTGCCGTGGCAATGTGTCTTATTGCAGCATGCAGAATGTATCCTATAACAGTACACTGGCAAAATTTGATGACTAACGCGATCATAGTATATTGAATGTGGGTTGGTTGTCGGTCTATTGCCATACACCACAAGAGCGAAGTGTAGCTCTGGCTCTGGTTGTCATGGCGGCGAACTGTGGCGGAATCTCAGGCTCCCAGATCTTCCGAACGTAGGATGCGCCCCAGTACGTGCACGGTTTGACTGCAATATGTGCTCTGGCTGGGGCCTCCTGGGCGATGGCGGCGGTCCTTTGCGTGCAGTATTACATGCGGCGCCTCAAAAGTGGAGCTGGAAGTCCTGCATGAGAAGATGGCGCGGTACAGAGTGAAATTTTAGACTATGCTACCATTTTGAATGAATAATGACCTTCCGGCTCGTAAACAGGCGATCAATCATCACGATTGCAGGAAAATAGCCAACAAGTAACGACGTTATTCGTAGACCGCCCACCACCTTCTACAGTATTATACGAATCGCTTCTGTACTTATTCTCAGGCCCTTTAAAGCATATCAATCATCGATCCAAAATATGAATATCTCCTGGACTGAAAGCTGTAATGCGTGTGTCTCACTATTTTTGGCAGCCAGACTAATGTCGAAAATCTTCCATTGAATTGGTTTAAACATAGTATCAAGATATTAAAGAGTGACTTCCTTTTGTATATGAGGCTATTTTTGCTGAGGGGGAAGCAGGATGACTTGGCATATGATACATGATATATGATATAACTATCGATCCTCTCACGTAGTTACATCGCATATGTGATAAGGCTTCTAGCTCTACACTCAGTCTCAGACCCATCCTGTCGCAATGGAAAAATAAATATAAGGCAAAATAGACGAAAAAAGTATTGTCATGTTTTCTCTAGAGCCATAGTCCAAATGGCTAAAGCAAGAAATATAGGCTTGGACGTGTGATAAACGCGATCTTGATCGGCTCTGGCGCGCTAGCCATAGTATGGATTGACCACAGACTGGGTGTTCTTCTCCGTGCAGCACTGGCCGTTGATTACCGTGCCAGTCGAGTCGTAGAGGCAGTTATTCTGGCCAAAGTAGACATCGCCATAGCTACGCGGCCATGTAGCGTTAAGCACGCATCTGGGAACCACCATGTAGTCGAGTTTATCGCTGCCGTCGAACTGGGCATAGATGGTAGCAGAGGTGTTAGTTGTTCCTTGATCTGCTATGTCTGTATCTTGCTTAGCACTGATTGTTTGTCACTAGGAACAACAAGAGCAGGATTACTCACTAACTGAGTTGGTGGCACACTGAGGGGTACTGTTTATGGTGACACATCCGTAGTTGACATGCTGCATTTTCGTGGGTTAGTATTTTTTTGCAGTGCTTCCAACCGAGAAATAACATACCAAATTAGTCCCAGAAGGGTTGTAGCCTGTGGGGTTCGTGCAAGGCCAGTATTTACCGGAGGGGCTGCTCGTGATTGTGTTCCTAACAGCAGATTCGACATCATCACATATGGGCAGGCTGAAGAAGCCGGGGGTCCGGATTCCATTCTGGAAGACAACGTCACCCTCTGTGCCTTTGCCGTCAATAATACTGGAGACATATGGCATCACATAGCCATTCTGGTCACCGTTCAGGGTGTAAGCATCGTAGGAGCTCTGCACCATGTCCTCTAGGATCACACCACCCCATGAATTTCCATTAAGTTGGGAATGGGTACCACCAGGAAGGCCTGTGAAGGAATACGTGGGATTGTCACTACCCTGGACTGAAATTTCGGCATTGACAACGTAGAAAGCGTCGCCATTGTAACAGACATACCCGCCCTTGAGGGTATCCTGATCCATATATTGAAGCATATCCGAGTCAGGAGATACGCTGCAGCTACCTGGCTTGCGGCTGGACGAGTTAAGGTCAATCTGCTGCCATTGCTTGTGCCGGAGGAGATAGAACTTACAGGATCACAGGGTGAAGATTCTGGGGAGAAACAGACCATCCTGCGGGAATCAGCTGGCCGTATAAGATCTTCTCTGCCTGCCCGGTGAGGCCGCTGAGGTCTAGGTTCGATGGAAGCACAAGTAAGTCACCTGCGCCAATCAGACTTTGCAGGGCCACTATAGAATCGGCATCGTTGGAACCGTCAAAGAGGGTCTTAACGTATTCACTCTCCATTGATTCCCACAGTTCGAAGAATGCCCCGAGAGCTGCAGAGAGGGTGTTCTGAGTTCCCAACACATTTGCACTATGCAACTGTTAGTCAGCGTCCTCACCAATGCAAAGGAGTTGCAGTATGTCATTTCTCACGTGGAACTCAAGCTATCCTTGGTAGCACCGAGGGCGAATGAGTTGACGGCAGCATTGGTGATATCCTTGCTTATACCAGCATACTCCTTTGCCACAATACCTGCCTCAATGAAGGCTAATTATGTGAGAACCGTACGTTAGTGGAAACATGCATCTGCAGCATCCAAAAATGGATCGACTCACCGAATCCCCAAGCATAGGAAGAACCAATAGCGGTAATCATGACAATCGCGTCTAAGAGGATCTTGAGCGCCAAGGTATTATCTTTATTTTGGGGCGCAAATATGGACGAAAAGTCCCCAATCGTGTTCTGCATATCGTTCATTGCATTTCCGAGGGCCGTGTAGGTTGATTGATGGAGCTGTGTGGGTCAGAACGTGTGGGAATGATAAAGGTCCAGGATGAGGCGATGTTCGGCTTACCTGATGAATTGAAGAAAGGGAGTTGAGGATTAGATATCTAGAACGTTTAGTATCAAGAGCGACAAATTAGGCAGCCAGTTTGGAGGGGAAAGGCTCACCCAGCTGGGTGATTGACATCGTTGCAGGTGACCACAGTCGAACAGGGGATATTGGAAATGTCCTGGCAGTTCCAGTTGTCCGGGCCAGCGAAGTAGTAGCTAACAAACTCTGGAAAATTCAGATTGCTTGAGCTGCCCTCACTTAACCATGCGTTCACCACGTCGGTCAACGCACCGGGACCTCCAGCAGCATTCCACCGGCTCTGAGGGTCTTGGGTCGCATCATCGATAGTATTGTCACATATCGCCGTGGTCCAGTTGCCGGATTGAGTTTCTTCTCCAACTTTGGGAAGTGGACTGGCGACGCTCATACGGACGTACGGGGTTGGAATGTGCCTTGATGTGGCAGAGGCTGAGGTGTAGCTGCGGGCGACATGCCCGCGGCTGTATCCATGGAGAACGCCTGCGCAGGCCAGAACAGGCAGGGCAGCAACAGTTGCCAGTGAAACGAAATGCATCTTCTCGTCAACCTCGGATTAAATGAGAGATGGATATAGTGGGATGACTGTTGTTGGTCAAAGGAAATAGAGATATTCGGACGATTTGACTTGAGCTTTATACTTGATGCATTTGTTTGGAATATGGGTATCGAGTTATGATATCCAAGGGCCTCGTGTTCACAGTCATGTGTTTAATTGGTCCTATACTATATTAGCTTCCTGTTAGATGGTCCACCAGACTAAGATAGCTAAATCTGGAATGAGGAACCTTGCAGGGTGCTTATTCAAGGTGGGGAAGAGGGTTCTTTTTGCCCTAAAAGATTTGTATCCTTGGTATCCCATAATAGTTTAGTCTCCTTTGGGGGTGAAATTGCATAGTGCTTCTTGAATGATTCTTTAATAGGCCTTATGCTGGCACCCATGTGTCTAATTGGACCTATCTTCCTATTAGATAGTCTTCTCTGCGAATTTAACCGAATGATCAATAAGAAAACCTATTACGATATTCATTTAAGGTGGGCAAGAGGCTTCTTTGTGCCCTGAAAGAGTTGTATTATTTGTATCCCTTGATGGCTTGGATTCCTTCGGGGCCAAAATTGCCTAGCGTTCAGTGTCTAGTTCTCTGACACTACTAATAAAATTGGACCCCTGCTGCGGACCCCAAATGATGCTTATGGAAGGTGGATTAGGATGTTCCTTCGGCCCCCAGTAAACCCTTAGGCCCCTTCGTCTTCCTTAGTGTGTTTGGTTTCATTGGGGCGGAAAGTGCGTTGTGTTCAATCAGCGTGGGTTTCCACCGCACATGGCCGATAAGAGAGAGCAACTAGTCTCGTGATCGCAACGGGCGAGAGGGGTTAACTACATCCTGCTAAATTCGCCGATTATAATCCTGTCAGGAGATTTTGCAGAAACTTTTCCGTGCGGAGTATGCAGTTTCTAAGACGTTTCCCCGGTTCGGGACTACTGTTGGAATGGGCTGCAGGGCCCCGAGGAGTAAGCTGCGCCCGGGTCACCCCGAAGACCCTAAAATATTTATTTACGGCAGAAAATAATTTACCCTAAATTATGCTTTACTGTAGCGCAAAGGACGTTATTTACCATATTTTCAAGAAGTAGGTAGTGATAATATCTTATTCTCTATGGCCTACCTCGTCGATTAGTCCACGCTGTCCCTAACCCCAAGGCTGTTTGGCTAGCGACTTTTAAAACAGAAGTCTTTGCCTATAGGACTAACTTACTATGTCCATTTATAAATCATCGAGTACCGGTTTCTCTCCCTGACCGACGAGTTGTATTCCTGGGCAGGCACAGGTTGGCTGGGTAGCGGAAAACGGTCGGCTTGATACTAAAGTGGCCGCTCTACTAATTGGGTTAGATTTGGCTTTTGGAAAATCAAAATGGTTGTAATATAAGCCTTCTGTCAAAACGTAGGATTATTGGGATAGGCTATTACTGGAGAAAACCAATGGGACCATCGCGGCACTTCCATACTTGAAGGATCAACTGCTTGATACTATTGAAGACGGCGCCAGATGAACATCCGACTGATCTATGAATCTGACGTGCCGTTCAAGCCGTCTAAACTAACTGTGCCCCATTCTTTGAACAATTCTTCAAGCAAGCTGGCGAATGATTAATTGAAGGAGTTGGTTCACGAATACTTCTGAATTCCACCCATTCTGCACGCGTCCTCGATTATCTGTCTCGTCGGCCCCCAAACAAATGGCACAGATAAAGCTACTACAGTGTCGGACTGGAGGCAAACAGGAAAAAATAGGACCAACAGCATGGGAAAATATACACAGTGGACTACAAGCCTATCTGTAACAATCGAATCAGGTCAGCATCATCATATGTCCATATTCTGACTATAAATTATACCTCTCACCCTCGTTCTCCGGGAAGGGGATTGCAAACCTGGTCTCTCATCCATTATCGAGGGATCAAGGCTCCAATATCTTACTCTATATTTGGTTTTCTCGCGATTTTGGGTTCACTCGCTGTGACTTCAGGTGCCTGTTCCCGCCGTCACTACATCCGAAAGTCAACCAATCGTGGTCCCTTAGGCTGTTATCCTGTCGGCCAATACTACAATCCCACTCCACAGGATTGGCAACAGGCCAACACAGATGGCTGGCTAAACAATTGGTGGACTGTTCATGCTGCCCAATGCACCCAGAATACCAACGGCTTTGCTGGCGCGTTAGGTGAGTGGGCCTGGGTGTACCAGACTGGAGCAGCCAAATCAGTGGCAAGGACAATAACTGCAATCTGGGCCCCTGCAACAACCCTGTATTGGATAATCTGGGCAACGCTACCCAGCAGGCGTATTTCGTGACCCAGGCGATGTCCAATCTGCACGGATATCTCCTGGGACTAGGGCACAGCGACCGCAGATAGTTATGCTCTAGACGCCATTGTCACCCAACTTCTGGTGGGATGATGAAAGCTGGAATCCTGCCAATCTTATTCGCAATGCCGGAAATCGCAGTTGCTGCCAGTGTACTCTCAACCCTGTTTAGTGGCGCCACGAGTGTGGCCAGTATCGTCATGTCACAGTAAGAAACCTTTCGGATACCATATGGTGGCATAACAAGAGATGGATGCTAATTCCAATGTTCTAATAGGCAGGATATTACCTTCGACACAGCCGCTGATATGGGTCATGCATGAGCCAGTTCATCATAGCAGGCGAAACCATATTCATCAATCTGATCAGTGCTCTCATGCATGGAGATGGTGTAGGAAGCTCGGGTGACATTCGTACATTCCTTCAGGACGGATCCTGGGTCAATGTTCCTGACATGGATATGGCAAAGACTAGTCAAACTATGATGAGCATGATCCAGTCCTCAATGATTAACTACCTCTGCGCATGCAACGTGTATTCATCCTAGGTGGGACCTCCTGCAATGAAGATCAGGGCATCGGTTCAACGGGGCCTAAGGACCAGGATAACCTTATTTGGTGGTGTGATGACAATAACCAAGCATGGTATCTTTACTATTGGCAGAGGCGACCCACCGATCAAGACACTCAATATGATAATTCGGATAACGGATGGATTGCTCGTCCGTGGGGATCAGACCGGATGGGCAAACCCCCCTACTTGAAGACAACGGGAGGTAGTGGCCCATTCTGGGAGAATATCAATCCCTCGGTAGGTCAATTTTAATCCTTGCTACTTTCATCACCCCCGAGTTGATCATCTGCCCTCTTCGATTGTGATGAGTGACTGGATTAATGAAGGATCGACATAGGATGCTGTTATCTCCGCCAAAGCCTACCGAGTAGCCGGTAACGACTATGATACAGCCACTTGGAACAAGCGGATAGAGGAGATATTCAGTACTGGAGCGAACCCGTGGTCTGAAGGTACCAGTATGGAAGGGCTGTGGACAATTCCTGTGTGCGATATCAGTGCCACTGTTAGTAGTGACTACGATTATGCCTTCAAACAGTATATCCTACAGCCATACGGATATGGATATAAGCCGAAGTGGTGTGGGCCCATCTGTGGCAATGACGCCAACCAGACTATAGCCTTCTATCAAAAGGCAAACTTCGGCAATGGCTTTTCGGCACCCTTTCTAGATAGTTGTGAGTATGCTGGCAAGACTTGGGATTGGCAAACAGGAGACACAAGTAACTGATCATGGCGACATGGTTTAGTCTCGCTCGATATGCATACTCTGGCCACTCTGGTTATGACATCCCTTATACATATAACTATGCACTGTGATACAATAAGCGTGCCTTAGACTCACGTAAGCGCTACTGTAGGGCCTTTTTTCCTGTCGTGAGCTCCAATCCATGCCCTTATACCGACCTAAGCGATGTTGCATCGTTGGACAAAGACGGGCTTGATTTCGGAATCGAATGGAAGGGTAGGGTAAAGACAATTCGGAGATTACTGTATTCATGCTCTCACAGTCATTCTATTGTGGCGGGGCTAGAGGATTCCGAGGCGCCCACATACCATTGGAAGGAGCTTCGACATAGTCATCGCAAAACCTTGAGTTCTGAAGCAAGACGAGGTAGTCGGACAGGATCTGGACTCTGAGTTTCCAAGAGGTTCAGGCCTTCAATTTGCGAGTGCAATCCACCGAACATACGATCTTAAGCCGAACCATGCAGTTGGTGGCGAAGGACAAGCTAGGCCTCTATGAGTGACCCTCATATCAGGACTAGCGAGCAATTGCTAACTAGATTCAATACCCCATTGCCTACTTGGGATCCATCTCTGCTGGAGCGATGATCGCTCCCATCCCTGTTCAGAATGAAATGAGCGAGACAGACGTTGCCGCGCTCGGCTCGAGCAAGTCAATGCCAAGCTGTTCATCACCGACTCTGACCCCCTCGTCTTGTCGGAAGTGGCGTCCGAGCTTGCCCGTGTGATCCCAATCCTGGAATTGGAGAACAACACCGAGGGCTGGCCGACACTAGAGGGTCTAGTCCAGGCGGAAAGCGCGGACGCGCGTGTATCTCATGCTAAGACCGCACAAGAAGCCGGCGAACACAATGCCTTCATTAATCGGACTAGCGGATCATCGGGAAAAATGAAGTCACTAAATGAAGTGACTACGTCACCTCTGCTCCTGCTCCTAGAATGGATGGACATGGATGGTAGAGGGCCGGAGATGGGTGGTCGTGATTGACCAAGCATCTCCGAACTGACCACGATCCCCCGAAAGAAACCAGGATGCAATCATTAATCACTACCAGGAAATTGGGAGAACCAGAAGGACCCCTTCACCGAACTAATAAGAGAACGTAGGCCTGTGAAGCTCCTTCTTCTTAATTTCCTCATCCTCGGAATGCTTAATGCAACCATGACGAAACCTGTCGCTGCAAGCGCCGTTTACCGCCTTGCTGGCCTGGGGGGGATACTGGCTGGGCAGACCATAACCCCAAAGCCGGAAGGCAGTGCTCGCGATAAGCCCCAGCCTCACGCATGGACTGTACGGTCTGGGGTGTATACCCCACGCCAAGTGGTTGAAGGTTTGGGTCCCCTTCTGGACACAGTCGTCTACCGTCTGAGCGAGGATGCCCCAGATACGAGACCCGCCAGGGCATTGCTCCTCGACAATATTGCCTGCAACTTGGCCACCCACACTCGCAAGTCCACCCTGCCCTTCCAGAAAGATGTGCGCGATCTCTCACGCAGGGAAATGAAGGAGCAGGCCGATCGAATCGGAAAGACTCTGGTCAAATGGGCACGGGAGGCCTCCAACGGCCCCTTCGAACCCGAACTCAACATCCGCAGCCCATGCGAGAATCATCTGCTTACACCGATAAATGTCGAGCTCATGTTCGGGCGTCGCAGTCAGCCGCACCTAATGCAACTGCTCAATGAATATATGCACCAGATGGTGCTGCTTCGCGACGCTCTCCTTCCGTTCCGAAACTTCGAAGAGGTCCTAATTCCCATCGATGGTAAGGCTACCCGGGGCATCCGTCATGTGGAGCCCAGTCGCACGCAATTTATGACGCTCCTCGTCACCAAGGGCGTGACTCAGGTGTTGGTGCTAGCTTACCACCTGAGTCGGTGCTAGCTTACGCTAAAGCGCTTCTGGCGCCAGATCTACCCCGGACCGACACAGGTGGTTATGGCTTCCAGTACGAGCATGGCTCCATCCTGCCGGCCGTCCTGAGCGGCGGAGAGACCCATTTCCACTTGGTGGAGTATGTCCCAGCCAAGCTCGATCCATCCCAGAAGAACATTCTATTCGACTACGAATTCTCAGATTATTATACTGCCCCGCGTCGTGAGATTCCAGCTGGCTCCCAGGTGCAGGCCGAAGAGCTGCTGAAGTTTCCCTCCGCGTCTGCATCTCCCGTCATCCAAATTGCCAGTCTGGGCCTGGTGCCCTCGACCGACTCCACTCCCGTCCGTCAACTGGAGCTCTGCCTAGAGTTAAAAAACGGCAAGTGCGTCGGCGTCGATATCGGTCAGATTTCCCGCGGCCATCGCTACGCGTACCAGGCACTCTCGGGCAAGGAGCTGGACCTCCCGACTCGGGCTCCTATCGTCCACTCGGCCCTGGACGTTCTCTTGCACCCCGGCTGTGGTCTTATCACTGCAAAGCAGGGCGGTACCCATGTCATCCCGACCGTGGAACCCATTGTCGCTCTCGCAACTCTAGGCAAGCTGTATCCGGAGAACGTTGTGCTCCTGCCGGAGAATGGTGGCCTCAGCCAGACTGGGAAGGTTGGTAAGGGTTTCGAGCCTAAATTCATTATCTGGGGTGGTGTGAAACATGGTGGCTACAAGGGACGCTTCTGATTTAGGCATGTTCATTCTACTCATGTATTGCATTGGGATTGTTTTATTTCTTTCTGCTGCCTTAGGTAGTTGCTTCTATCATAAGTGCGTTCCGAGTACAACGGATAGACTGCGTTACTGCCGTTTACTCTTATCATACCGACTTCTCATTTGCGAGAGCGTGTGCGAGTCAGAAGGCCTAGGCGCTAGACTTCGCACATCTGCATCGAATATCCATCGTAGTAGCAAAGCCTCTTCGGTAGAAGATAATCTTAGGTGATAGTGAGCTTTGAACGTAGCAGGGAATCTTCTGTTCATAGGCGCGTGCATAGTAGTAACCGATATTTCATAACGCGTCACTGCTGCGCGAAAAGAGACAAATTGGCCACTTTCATACGTTTATATCGCGAATAAGATGCTGCCCTGTCTCTGCTGCCATTTTGACGCGTTTTCGACATGTTTTTGTAGCATAGTGTATAGTGGAAGAAGATGTGTCAGTGTGGGAGTGTTTCGCGTAGCGGGAAGCACGTTATCTGATATGAAGAGTCACGCTGGAGGTGCACTCGGATACCTGGAGTCCGCCCCAACGGCTACACCATGATTCTCGGAGATCCCTCGCCAATGAAGGGAAGGGCATGCATCGTGGCCGGATCTCGACCGATTTGGTAATATAAGATGTGGGTTTATTGATCAATCCTGATAATGAAAGGCCATAATACACCCTTTAAGAAAGGGTCTAATTGATTTTATGTGTTAGCCATACAATATTTCCGCAAATGTGACGTCCTGGTTCTTAAGGACAAGGCGAATTATCTAGTTCGGACAAAAACAATCCACCTAATCTCGGCTTTGAGCGGCAACTCAGCAGTACTGAAGAGCAATCAATAGCCTCAGATCAAGACAAAACACAACAAAGATTTGAGAAGAACAGAAGTATTATTCCCTCCTCCAACTCCCTCCATTCAGCTCGACTCATTCAAGGTTTCAGCAGACTCCTTTTAAGTGACGACTGGTTCTTTCTTCCATTTATGCACCTTCGTCGCCCATGTCACGAAATAAACCAAGAGGAAGCTTGAAACAGTAAAAAGTACGAATATACCTCAATCACCCCAGATCCCGCCGTTCTCTCCACCACCTAGCCGGAACCTCTCCAGATACTGATTTCCCATGGTGTACTTAACATAACCTGCAGTTCTCTGTAGTGGAGGGGTTCAGGACTTGTACCTGGGCGGAACTAGCCCAGGAAGAGAGGTAGCAGCCGCATGTTTCGTTAGCCGGCGGGGGCAGGAAATAGAGGTCTTCTCCCCTGCAAACAACGCGTTGGTCCTCGATAACTGCAGTGACAAGACTGCCGAGGAGGTAGGTGAAAGGATTAATCCAGTACATCTGTTATTCTGAAGTTAGGGCTTCTTCCTTGAATTGGGCTGGTTGAGTTGTTTGTGATGTTTAAGAAAGTGGACGTGACGGCTTACCCAGTACCACCAAAAGACCTGAATCTGTTCATAGGGAACAATGATCCCGTTGAACCAGTTGACCGAGCAAACTAGGAAAACAAGAATATTGCCGGCTGTTCCGAGGTCAGGGCTCATGCCGATCATCAATAAGCCGAAGCGGACCTATATATTTATTTCAGTCAGCCAAACAACACAATTGCTTTTTGTCCTCGCCACAGGTGCGTATTTGTATGTGACTAACCTCAAACACCTCGGTCAAAAATGACAGGAAGACGTAACCGGCCGCCTCGCCGTTGGGCAATCCGCAAGGCAGTACCAAATGACAGTACATAGAAAACAGCATACCAGAGAGCCGGACATCTCGGCTGCGATACTCGCTGTTCAGAGTGCCTGCAACCGTATGTGCGCGAAGGACCCTCTCGAGTTTCCCAAAGGAGTCAAGCGAAGAAGAACCGAGCAAGGACGGTATTGACGATCGTGTTAACCAGAACAACGATGGAGAAGACACTTAGCATTCTGATTTTATTTCCATTCATGTCAGTAGGGTGTTTTCCGGGTTCAATGATTCTGTAGGTGGATGGATGCCTGTGTGCTTCCCTGTTTTGGAGATCGCTAGGAGATGTTCCGAGCTTGTAGACAGTCGTACTAGTTAAAATCGCACGGATAACATGCACCCAAGTCTTCGAGTACATGTATGGCGGGTTACGCCACTGGTTCTTTAGCATTCGGACAGTGAGCAGCCACGACTGAACCAGGATAGAGGCGTTGAGTTCGCCATGACCAATCTCCTCATCCACGCAGTTATTTCCTTCCTTGTAGTCCTTGTTGATGCGATCTATGCCCTCCAACACGGCCTTCGCCTCAGGAGACTCGCGCCAGTGCTTCGCCTACTGGCTTCCTTTGGTATCCTTGCGGGCATTGATGCCAGCGCCACCGGCTTCAAGGATGAATTATGCTGGCGTATCGGGGGCTGGCACGGCTCGATGGCTGGTGAAGTAATCCAGTACCTTATCATTAGGATCCAAGCACAGTTGCTCTCCTTCTGGAGAGAGAGCGAGCAGCTTGTCGAATTTGGAGAAAGCCAGAGCAGATGGTTGGTGGATAGTCATGTACTGCCTGACCAGCGTGAGAGAGTTTGCACAGGTACTCGTCGATGTTGGCTGCGCCTTCGGAGTCCAGACCGGAGGTTGGCTCGTCGGCCAACAGCACGTGAGGTCGAGGTGCGTGCTCTGCGCCAATCTGAGGGAAGCGTCATCAGGAGAAGGCTCCATTGAGCTACGACGGGAAATCGATACATCCTCTCACCGTTACTCTTTTTGTCATCTCAACTGCCAATCCAGAGTTTTCATCACCAATTAGGGCATCAGCGATATGCTTCAAATCCAGCAGGTTGAGAACCGACTCCACGTATGTGAGCCGCTCAGCGCGCGAGTAGGCGTCGGGTTGGCGTAAGAGAGCAGAAAATTCCAGTGCTTCCCGAACTGTTGCCGTTAGATCACGGAGAACAGCCTGTTGTGCAAACCCTAGGAAGGTATCAGTTCAATTCACATCGTGCCAACTATGCGGCGAACGAACAGAGGCCGGGCACTAACCTGTTACTCTTTTATACGATTGGTTGGCCAAGTGCTATTTTGTCAAACAGCATCTCTCCACCAACTTCGCCGGTCACATTTATTTGGCTCAAAGCCTTGAGCATTGTCACCTTACCAGCACCACTGGTACCACATATTGACACGAAGTCACCCGGCCGGATATATGCTGAGATGCCCTTGATGATGTGTTTCTCACCAAGGTCAATAGTCAGGTTCTTCCAGGTCAGCGAGGGACTACTATATTTGGTAGGACAAGACTTCTGCGTATCGGCACAAGGCCCAGGCAGTTCACGCTCGATATATTTCTCAACAGTCCCGTCAGCTCCGCGCCGCGAGTCCGAATGTGATTTCGACTGCGCTTGGCCCTTCTTGGCATACACGATGGGCGAGCCGCCCTGGGGTGTAAACTGCATCAACTCGCTGCCGATCATGCTGATGATGACGTACGCAGCGATGAAGACGAAGAGGATGCCCACGTTACGCCATTTATGTTCGAGATATAGCCCGTTGGCTTCAGCGTACTGTATACCAGGGATTGAAACTTGACCATCTTTGGTTCCGGTAACAATACAGATCTGGTGATCTGGGTTTGCACAGAGCATATCGGGAATCATGTTACCGCTGCAGTCAAAGTTCAGGCTGTCGAATCCGTTAACGAAGACCTAGGGCAGTATTCCATTGGCTTTTGTGGAATCGCGCGTATGTATCCGTGCTCTTACACTCTCGTAGACATAATTAATTGGACTGAGGTAGTGTAGCCGGCCGAAGGAGGGTCTCATGTCATTGGTCGTGACCAGAAAAGCAGAGAACAAGATGGTAATAGTCGAGCCGGTGCCGCCGAACCGGAAGCCTATGGCAATGGTTTTATCAGAAACACAATGTCTGCAAGAAATTGGAAGGGACGCTTACAATCATCCAAAGTAGGCACGTAGTACGCAAACATCTGCAATAAACCGCTAAAGCAGATAGTCGACAAGATCAGGACGAACCAGAAGAAGAAGAATTTGCTCGCTTCGACCTGTAGCCCCGCCAGAAAGTAGAATACGATGACAAAAATGCCATTCTGAAAGACAATCAGCGGCACGTCAAGATGACTCGAGCTAGAGCCACCGCTGACGGTCGGTACGTATGTAATGCCGCTTGACGCTCCAAGACGGGTCAATTCGTGTGCGCATCAAAGAGGTCCGGGAACTAGAGCCAGCCGTTTACATTGAGGGCAAAGGGAATCGAACCGCCACGGGAGAAGGCACCCTGGGCATCCGCCGAGACGTCGAAATACTCGCTTGCGATAATCAGACATAAAAGAATGGTGGCGATCCACTTGCCGTAGTGGACGATGGCCTGGCCACGCACGAGCTGGATCTCGCGCAGCAGACACTCCCAGAGTTGCAGCGGGTAGGACCGATCGAACGATGCGGTTCCCGTTGACTTAGCGGCTTGAAGGTGATCTTGGGACAGCGAATCGTCAATTTCGCGGACTATACTGGCGTAGTGCGGGGAGCTCGAACGCGGCCGCAGAGTCGGCAGCCGTGTGCATGTTCGCGGCCACGCTTCCCGGTGTGGCTTCACGGTGGGCAGGATCGGAGACAGAGGAGAGAAACTCAGCGATTGTTTGGGCTTTCGCACGCATGAAGCCTAGATCCTCAAAGTACGGTCGGGCCTCGTCAATCTTGCCCAAGAAGGCTTGCCCTCCATCGTAGATGACTAGTACCTTATTGAAGTAGTTGTATAAGGTCTCTCCGGCCTGGTATATGGTTGCCATAGTGGTTCGATCGCCCACCATCGTGAGCAGGTGAAGCGCCTTGACGAAGTCCAGTGCGGTAGACGAGTCCAGGCCGCGTGTGGAATTGTCGAAACATTGCACCGACGACCCGGCCGCGAGAACTTCGGCAATCGACACTCGCTTTCGCTCACCTCAAGACACACCGGCGTAAAAAGAGCCACCGACAGGCGTATCTAAGGCTTGGTCGATGCCGAACATCTGCGCCATCGACTGAACCAGCTCCTCGACCATCGCGCCATGGCGCACCTCTGACGGCAGGCTCATCTGGGGAGCGAGGCTTAACGTCTGACGCACAGTCAAGGCTTTAATATGCTGATCCTCCTAGGGTAAATAGATCGTATCACAACGATGGGTCTTTAGAAACTCGTCTGACGATATCCCCGCGTACTGAGGTCCCCTTGAACCTCGAGGGACGTTCGATTCGCCAACGCGCGCAGGAACGTCGAGCATCCACTTCCCGGACGGCCCAGAACCAGCGATATCTCACCTGGGTTCACAATTCCCCTGAAACCTTCTAGGAGATTTCGGCTCCTGGTCTCCCCGAATTCCTTCGGAAAAGGGAGCTTTTTGACGACATTGAACTGGTCGATGCGAAATGTATTCAGGCAGGCCCCGGGGAGACCGTCACTGGGCCCGCATCCGGGGCAGAGACGCTCAGTCCTCGCCAGCTGACGGGAACATGGGCTAGGTGTACATTATCCAAGCCTTGCTTCTCGATCAGGGTGCGGATGGCAGGGTGGTCGTCATTGATGATCTTGGGTGCGATGTTTTCCGTATCGCGGAGCGAAGAATTGGACTCGGAGGTCTCCATGGTGGTTGAGGTCACGTGAAGAAAGACCAGAGCTCAATGGACTGGTCCCAATGGCTCATACAGATAAAGGGCATCCCATGGACATAAACAAAAACACGCTAGCATGCAGGCAGGAGGAAGGAGAATATATCCACACGTGTAGAAACATACCGGTACGTAAGTGGAAATGGATGAGGTCCAACCATTTTGATCCGCAGGAAGGCTTTCCAGCTCTGTGCATAGCTCGAGTCTCAGTAATGACCCCTGTCAAAGCAATAATGCTCCATCAACACACGATGCCGTCCAGTTCCCTCCGAGATATCAGTCACGTGATATACACTCTCCCCCGAGCCACTCGCATAGTTAGTGCGTAAAGGATGAGTAAGTCAAGGTCATTAGTAATGCATCAGGCATGGCGGTACATAGGGGAGTACATTCTAATACTACTGCTGTTGCTCCAGTAGGTAGATCGTGAGTGTTACGATACTGGTAGCAGGTTGGGCCGCCCAGAAGTACTTGGCAATTGCTGTACAGTAAACTCCCGCGAGATGCACACCCTCTGAGACCTATACTATCTGTACGCTGTGAGATGATAATGCAACGAGTATATGCTATATACATGAAGCTTTTTCTATATGAGTTTGAACCCAATCTCTACCTAATAATGTCTTCTGTTTGTTCCTATCTACCTCAAGCCCTTGGGGGTCGGCTAAATATACATCCTATGATCTTGCACCACAGGATATCAGAAAGCTAAGCCCATAATGGGTTAGAGAACATAATACAAGAAAAGGAAGGAACAGGTGAATCATACCTATACCTCTAGTGTAGCCCATTTATTCTTCACTACCGTTAAACTTGGGCCGAATCTTATGACACGCCAAAACCATCCTTGTGAAAGGTTGAAGTGACATGAGTGACATGACGTCCAAACTTCCGGCACGGCCTAGATCAAGTAAGTCCTGGAGGGTACACAGAGTAGGTGACGCCGGGGGAGCGTATTCGCGGGCGACTTGCTATTCCGCATCGCTGCAGGCGCACCACATGTACTCCGGTCCTGGAAGGGGCATCTGTAGAATCATGGCATTATTCAATGGCTCAAAGTAGTCAGAGTGCAGCGTCCGGGCTTCAGCGGCGAGTATATTAACGATGTGGACTAAGAAGACGTTGCGGCGGAGGGATTCAGTAAATTTCCACTCAGACCAGCCTACTTCGTATCGCCCGAGGGCTTTTTGGTGCAGCTTGCAGAGAGGCCGGGTCATCTTTGCAGCAATTTAGGTGTGAGTGGTGGGGATTTAAGGCAACAGGGAGGAACAGTAGAATGCTCACCTTCAGTAAAAAGGAACCGTGGAGTTCTGAAGCCTTGCCCGAGTCTTCGCGACTTCGCTCACTCCTATCTTTCAAGGGCGTGCTATGACCCAATCTAGGGCTATCTACAGACGGCCCCCCAAAGAGTCCTAAGATTTGATACAGGCAAACAGCATGTAGGGCGGCGAGGCAGGTTTCCGGACGGTCACTATAAAGGTGAAACTCGCGGACCAGCCGCTCCCGTTGAGAGTTGATCATGTTATCAACGAATTCAAAGCTAGACTCGACAGAGCTCAAATAGGCCGACACACAGGCTAGGGAAATTCCGAGGGCTTCAGCCATGCCGTCCTTAGAGCACCGGTAGAGACGGTGGTGGATGAAGGGGGACCAGAAGTTAGGCTCTAGCATCATTCGCGAATACTCGCACAGGATCCCGAAAAGCTCCCGAGATAGACTGGCTGTGTCTTGTAGTGCTGCATGGGACAAGTCCGGGATAAAGGAGCTAGCAAACATACTTATAATGTCCCAGGAGACACCGGAGTTAGAGGTCTCTACGTCGTCGCGTCCCGCGGATGGCCCTAGGTGACTACTGCCTGTCGACGAGGATAGAAGTGGTAGGGAGACGTCTAGCGGATCCCGCGAAAGTAATAGAGAATAATTGTCTAATGGGTGTAGTGCCTTGGACTTTTCCTGCGTTGTGAGAAAGAAAGAAGTTTGGCCGTGCAGATAGTCCACAAAGGCCGATGCTGGGTCAGGCCATATAACCTGTCCAGAAAAGCCAGTCTCATCAAGAATGTAACCGATATTATTGAGTGCTGGGTTCCAGGTAATACTGTCCATACCAGGAGCGCTATTACTGCTGTCCCCGGGCAAGGTCATGGCTGAGACGGGGAAAACTGGCATTGAACCTATGGATGCCGGTTCCAGAGTTACTTCCAAAGGTGACACATGTTCCGGGCCTGTGTCTTGACCTCTCCGTGTTGGAGAGGTCGAAGATCTGTTGGGATAGTGACAGGCGGTGCCCAAGTGAACACATCGTCTACAGGCTGGGCGGGCCAATGAACAGCGCCACTTCTTTTGGGAGGAAGTTTCACAAGACTTGCGCTTAGATGTGCGTTCCTGACCGAACGTTTTGGCACAGCGACGTCGATGCCGGTCTCGGAGATCCCCTGTCGGATAAGTCAAAAACTCTGCCAAAAGATAGGTCGATCGCATGCATGTAGATAGAAAACGTACGGCGACTGTAGGCCTTATTGCAGAGACCGCAGCGAAACTCCGAATCTATTGTGGTGGTGAAGTTGCGACTATTGGTATGTTTAGTGCAATTATTCCACTCCATGATGCCGGGAGTGATCGATGACACGCTGGCGTTGTGCGTGAAGTTTATGGAAGCGATAGGCGGTGCCATAATAATTAAAACCTAAGTAGAACGATGCGCCTTAGTCGCTCTGACTAATAATATACGAGGTCGAGCCGAGAGGTGGTATTTTACCATAAGCACCTAGTTCATTGAGGTGCCCTAGGTTGCGATAGTGCTCACTTCACGGAACACTAGCGCCCGTCAATGAAGCTTTAGCGTCCCTCTTGGAGCTACTGCAGAAGCCTGGACCTCGTCTGATTCTGGGACAACGCACGCATACATGCATGATTACGTGCGTGCGCACGATATCGTGATTGTCCGTGATAACCCCACACATTAGGAATCAAATCGAGGTACAATGCAGAGCGACTCGCTCGCCTGCTCCGCTATTGTTTAAGATTATCATGTGATGATCCAGGAATGGCTCTAGTACTTTCTACGTGACAAATGGGATTGCCTGAGTCCCTCGTTCGTGTTCCATTTCAATTTTCGCCCCCACCGATTCCTGCATAGAGTTACGCATGGACTCTTAGCTCGATGCACTGGCATAGCCGTATTGATGTGCCCCTCCCGTCCCTGGTCACCCACTGGCTGGCGGGTCAGGCGGGGACCTGCTGGTAGCGCCAGTCCTGGTTCCGTCGCGGCCTAATGCACTAGTATCCACAAACTAAGCCTAGACGGGCGCAGGCTCACTAGTGGCCAGAATCTGTTACTGTAGGTGCCGTTCCAAGAACTACAGTATTATGGTTTCTTACATAAAAACCAAAAACCACTATGGTTTCCGAAACTGTAACCCTAAAAAACCAAACCAATTGCAGTTTGGGTTGGTTTTGCGGTTTTGCGGTTTTTGGCACACTCTAGGTCTTAGTATAATTGTAAAACTATACGGGACCGCTTAGGGGACTGGAATGTATTCCGCTCCTACCTACTGTGAAAAAGGACCCAAGACCGGATAGTCTAGTCCCGGTTCTTGCCGAGGTTTAGTGAGGACTGAGGCCAGGATGTTGGATTGTGGGGTGACTCCCTAGCTCTCTTTTCTGCCATTTCCTTTACTTATATATTTGTTTGTCCCTTTTGTTCCGTTTGTACTACTTTCTTTGGTCTGATCGTTAGTAAGCCATCGGATCTTGCTATAGGCAGCTTCGTATGTGCACCGGGCTGGTCACCGGAAGGCGCAAATCCCCGCATAACATCTATATCTAAGGAAGCTCCATCGGGAATAAGACTCTTGATTGATCGATTAATTGTGAGACATTTTGTTTTATAAATACCGCAGAATGTCGAGAACTAGAGCGTTAGGGCCTTCCACAACACGCGAGTCCATCTGCTCAATGACATAAAACTTCTTCTCAACCTCCTCTTTCGTCCAGATAGAACTGTCACAGGCAAACTTCACTTTATATTTATCCACATGCGAGGTTCGGATCACCTCGAACACCACCGCGTAAGGTTCCGGCATGGTAATTTCCGACTTGGCCATCACCAGCCACCTCTGAGGTTCACCTACTCCTCCAGCCGAAAATGAAGATGGCGGTTCAGGCTCGAATGGCTGGAAGAGGAAAAGGGCCTGATTAGTAGATTCCTCGCGAGATATTCATTTGGGACGGCTTCGCTATATATCACGGATCCTAACTGTGCTGTTCTCAGTATACTGCCAGAAATCATCCTGGGTTTGTATGAGGAAGTCTTGAACGCGGATTTGCATATCCACCAGGAAGCGCATCGGAAGGAAGTTAGCACATGTCTATTGATGTTCTGAGGGTCGAGCAGGTCGAAGTTTCGCCCCCATGTAAAGGTAGCCGCATGCGACGCCCGGCTGGCTACTATGGAGGCCGAGCCAAATCTGGAAGATAGTCTGGAAGAGAATGGAGGCGGCGGGTTAGGGTTATAGTTTTTAAAGGGGGGACTATTGATCACGTGTATAATGTTCTATTGGTAATATGGGATTTTATATAGTACTGGTTGAACGGTCAGACCCAGAATCAAACCCATCGGCAGGTTACGTCGGGTTGGGTTTTAGGTCATGCGGGATTTAGCGCAGTCTAATGCTAAGGAAGCTCCATTAGGAATAAGATTATTGATTGATTGATACGCGCGAATATATTTAGGTTATGCCTAATCACCCAAGCTGTCCGCAACATCCCCGCCGTCCCCTAGCTGTTGTTGTCCTATACCCACTTATCGAACACGCCAAGGAGGTAGAGTTCGAGAGGAAATGAATATGGTTGGTGAACGATAATCTAGATTAGGGAAGGCAATCCCCCCGCAGTAATTAGTATATATTGTTGTTAAGGTAGGATATAGATCTGCTTACCACGATCGCGCTCTTTTCTGCTAAATGGTCGTGCCTTGAGTGAATCAATCCAGTGCCCAAACGATATTTGAGCGCGTTCCTCATTATAGGCAGCGGTCCGGTGTTTGAGATTGTCTGAACTTGAGCGTCCGCTAAGACGACTCAGGCGATCATTAATACGCACTTCGATTTCTCGACATGCAAGGCCTCTCATGGACAGGAATTGTAGCGAGAAATCATCTCGCAAAATTTTCCAAGCCTGTTGCCAAAGCTGCTAAGCCTCGTCTTTCTTGCCTTCTGTAAGATCCGACTTGAAATTGTCATTCAAGGTCACAAATTCAAGACTGAGGTGTTTGAGAGTGAGCGCTGAGGTACGCAGCAAATCATTGAGTTCATTCAGGGTCATTTCCATCAAAGAAAGGTGTAGCTCTCGAAGCCGCGTGAAAAGAGCACTATCCAAGAGCTTAGGAAATATAAAAACCGGGAGCCACCTAAATCGCTCCAACCTGTTATATTGAGCATCTTCAGATTGGGTACAGATGCCATTGCAAATTCAATGAAAGCCTCGCATAACGGTCCCTCCTGCCCTTCCTTCCGAGGGCAAAAGTGTAGACGTTCAGCCCCCGTTATGAGCGGACGCAAGGATCTGTATTGAGCCGCGGTCAATGTCATGCTTGATAATGATACTCCACAGTGTATAGTTGCACATGTGTGGAGCTCTCTGACTTTTCAATTGCTTGCGAGGATGGCTTTAAGAAGAGCCGAGAGGACCAGAGCACCAAGTTTGCTAATTTCTGGATGACGAGCCAGATTGGAATGCGTAGGTCGATTGGATCTACACCCGAGTTGAGCCCTAAACTGCCGTAAACCTAGGCAACCAGGGAAGACAACCTCTGTTGTACCAGGGAGGGCATATGTACATTCATATTGCAAGCCAAAGACATCCAAGTTTGCAAATCGTGGCAAGCAATCTTTTAGAACTTCCTGTAGAGAATTGAGAGCATCTGGATGGTCTGCCGTGACTGATTGGTATGTTCTGTACCGCGATTCGAGCTCAGAGTCCTCCCATTCATGATGTGGCCATGAATAAATCCCAAAAGATGATGGTGAAAGTGAGGTGTATGACATTGGCCCCTCATCTTCGGAGAGAATTGTTAGGATTATGAGCTCCCGAACCCGGGTCCGGAAATACTCGTGCGCGGCGATCTCTTGCAACTGGCGGAGACTGTCACTTGTCACAATCATCCATATTGTCTTAAAGTGATTATCACCAAAGAACCCTTGAGACTTTTGAAGCAATCCGGTGCAAGACAACCTTAGCGAATGCAAGTGGCCGGGCTCTAGATAGCTGCAAATTCTATTTATGAACTCAGTGGGAAGAATAGGCAGGGACATCATGATAGATTCTCGACAATGAAAGCTATCACAGGAATCTGATCGGGAGAGAACAGGAGCGTGGGGAAACGGAATTATTTGACTGACTAATTATTGTTTAACTTCGCTAGCAGTTTACATGGCAAGCGGCCCGCTACTTCCCGAGGGGTAACCGGATGTGCTACCCCACACTTGTGACCACCGGGTTTTCTCGGGGCCGCCACGGCCCGGCCCGATCCTGAGATGGGCCAATTCCTGTGGCAGAAAAACATAACCCTCAAGGCATTTCGGCTCTGTGATTGCCTTGGTAAAAGAGACCTGTCGCAGCAATCTGCGCTGTTCGGGTGATTCGGGGACTTGCTCGCTCGTGGAATCCTGAAGGCCCCAGCCTTGGAGCACGTTCAGTGGAAACAAGGCTCTGAAAAAGCGGCTGCTGGATGCCATTTGGAAACAAAAGCAGGAATCGCTTTGTCAACAAATGACAATCCTTACCTTCGAGTAGGATTCTTAGGTAATAGGCTTGAGCTGGCTTGCACAACTAAAATTGACCGTGGATCACCAGATTAGGCTTGCTGAACGAGGCTGCTATATTATTAAAAACACCTAGAAAATGAATAAGCTTCCTAGGTTTGAGCTTCTTCTGCGCCATTTGCTTAATTCCTGCAATCCTTGTGATTAACCTCTCGAGTATCTGTTTTGTAACTAATTGCTGGAGGTCGATCCTAGCTCAGCCGCGTAAAGACACTGCATAGCCTAATGCAACTAACTACTACAGCAGCAAAGAAATCACACCCCTGCAATCCTCTAGCCCCCTTTCATCTTATTGTCCAACTCGCTATACGCTACAGCGAAATTTCGAACCACTGTTCGATGACAAATGTTCGCGATCCAGCCTTACAATTCTTCTCGAGCAGAATGGGTTATGGCTCTATATTATAAAATATAAATAATTTTGGCATGCCTTGTCTATTTCACCCATTCCTAGAACGATCCCTCCTAGGTCTTTAACATACTATACCCTAAACCCATGTCTCTTCCTTTCCACAAGGAGTCGTTCAACAAGCCCACCACTCCACCCGCCGTGCTGATGCCAGACTCCGATCTATCGGAGACTAAGAAAGAAACGCCCCTCCAAGCCGGTCGACACACCACCCCCGCCGCCCCGTGGCGGACTGACCGCGTGGCTGCAGGTCGCAGGAGCATTCTTTCTTTTTCTCAACTCATGGTGGGGGTTCTTTGGTCGAAGCGACAAAATGTAAAAACTGTTTATCGGTAATTCTATGTACACGGGCCTACTCAATGCCTTTGGTGTCTTTCAGAGCTACTATCAATCTGATCTTATTCGCGGCTATTCTTCTTCCTCCATCACCTCGATGGCACAGTGCAGGGGTTCCTCCTTCTTCTGGTGGGCGTTATCGTGGGCCACCTACTTTACCTCCCGTCGTGCAGTCGCGACCGGCATCACCGCGTCGGGCGGAAGTATCGGCGCAGTGATCTATCCCATCATGTTCCACAAACTAATCAACCGGGTCGGGTTTGGCTGGACGATGCACATCATCGCCTTTGTGGCCCTGGCAGGTCTGATCGTATCGTTACTGGTGCTGAGGCGACGACTGCCTCCACCCAAGCAGAGCCGATCAATCCTCGACCTCAGCGCGCTGAAAGAACCACCTTTGGTTGTGTTTGCTTCCGGACTTCTGCTGCTTCGTGGGACTATGTTTTCCCTTCTCCTACTTGTAGAGTTACTTCACCTATTACCTCCACAACGACAGTAGTCTAGCCTTCTACACTTTCTCCGGGTTAAACGCCGCCTCAGTCCTGGGACGCATCACCCCCGGTCTGCTGGCCGACCGCTTGGGCGGACTTAATACCCTCGTCCCCATCAGTCTCCTAGCGAGTATCCTGGAATTCGTGTGAATTGGTGTCCGCGACTTGGCTGGAGCCGTCGTCTTCGCCTGTTTCTACGGCTTTGCCACGGGGAGCAATTGTCTCCTTACCACCATCCATTCTTACGCGCATGTCCCCCAACATGACTATGGTAGGCACACGGCTGGGGATGATCTTCATGTTTGTTGGATGTGGATTCCTGATCGGCACCCCGATCGCATCCCTTATGTTGGATTTGGCGAAGGCAGATCTCTGGGAGGCGCAGCTCTTTAGTGGCGTGTTTGTGACGGCGGGCACAGTATGCTTTGTGATTCTGCGGTTGATTTTGGTGAAAAAGGTGGATGGATGGGAGATCAGAGATTCCTGGCAAACTTATGAAGGAGTTGAAATGGTTTATTAGCGTTGGGCGAGACAGAGAGAGGGGGCCTAGTAATTGATATCACACTAGTGTTGCTAGCGCAGATGCAGAGTAAAATAAGGGCAGAGATCTGAAAACCAGAAGACCTAAATACTCAAAGCTGGTAAAGGAGTACCAGTGAGCCACTAAGGGACCAGACTTTTTTGGTTGCAAAGCATCACTTGTACGCCTAAGTGCAAACCGCCATTATCTGACCCATGGTCCATAAAAACTACGCTTCGAGATCACCGCACCGCCCTCAAAGTTGGGGCTTGAACATCGAGAAAAAGATTTGAGGGCCGTCTCCAAAATCTCCAAAATCAAGAGACTTTCCCCCGGATCCACGGGGCTAGCTAGCATATGGATAAATTAATATTGTCAGGAACTATGCACTTCTCGCACCTAGATAAAGCACGAAGTATCCAATATGGCTTAACCTTCAGCGTTCTGACAAAAATGCTTCATCGAGCCTTTAAAGGTCTGCCTTATTAACTTTAACCCCTTTCAATGCCAGGCGGAACTTAGCAAATGAATCGACTTGGTGCTCCAGACTAATTACGTGCACTATAAGGAATCTCAGTTGTTGATATTTCTCTGCTATCACCAAATTGTGGGAACAGAGAAAATCAAGCGGAGCCTGAGAAACCTTTTTCAAATGACAGATCCAGGGCCATGCAGCTACTATCGCGGGATCTAAATGCGGCGAGACCGTCATAATAGGATACTGTATCTAAGTCAAGAAGCATGTACTGACAAGGTCGCTTATTAGTTCGGAGTCAGCAACTGCGCTCCTGTTAGGACGCCAATGGAAACCTCGCCACTTCTAGAGAATAGTCCAGAATATAGATGCCCTACAGATCAAAGAACCACAAACTAAGCCATTATCGGACCCCTAATATACATTATTCTTGGAACTAAGGGGGGCATCATGTATATAGTCTCTGTGGCGAGTACATCCCTAGCAAATCCTGGACCCTAGTATATGACACTCGCTCGACGCATCGTGCGGTATCTTAAAAGGACAAAGAAGCCTTAGACTTATGTATAAGGGTTGGCTCTAGATGCTGAAAGGCTTTAAAGATGTAGATTATGGTGGATGTCGTAGTACAAGACGATTAATGGCTAGATTCCTCTTCAATATTGGGAGTGGAGCCATTAGTTAGCAAAACGAAGCGCCAGAGCGTTGTTGCCCTCTTAACCTATGAAGCTGAATTTCTGGGTAGACACAAGCAACTAAAGAAGTAATCTGGCTGAGAAGTCTTCTCAACGAATCAAACAGGAGCTAAGGTAAAACTGCAACAATAATTTATGGTGACAACCAAGCTGCCATCGCTCTGTCCTCAAACTCGCAATACCACCCCCGCACGAAGTATAAGGAAATCCAACGCAATTAGCAAGGAGAGTTTCAAGGCCTTGGAATAGTGGAGCTGAAATACATACCAACTACAGAGCAAATTGCCGATGGGTTCAGCAAGCCTCTTGCACGAGAACGATTTAAGTGGTTTCGGAGAGGGCTTGGCATTGAGTGACACCTCTTGGCTCACAAATCACGGGCAGAGGCTAAGCCATACGTTCCCTTTCCTTCTTTTCCTCTGAAAAGTTTTTTTTAAAGATTTTCATGGGGCCCACTACAACCGTGATATATGATCACTGGCTTCCTTAGGAATGGTTGCCATCGAGGGGGGGTTGAATATCACGGTGGTCAAAGCTTATAGCGGGGACTGGCAATGGATATGTAAATAGATGAGGTATCCCGCTTCCTACAAGGGAGTCAACTTATCTGAACACAATCACTTATTTCAACAGAGATGGTGAATGAAGAATATAAATGTGGCTGATGAGTGGCTAGTTGGTCTTGAACATGCCAGGACCCAGGGCCATTCTAACATTGTGAACAAATGCCAGTCTTCCCAGGTTGGTAAACATGTCAATAGTAGAATGCGCATCGTAGAAAATTGAAAGTCGATACAAAAGCTGAACTTTCGTCAGATGCATTGCCATGTCTGATCGCAACCGAAAACTAAACCGAGGTGGCCAGAATATAGTTGAAGAAAACGGTTTACTGTAGTGATAAGTTCAATTCATCATCAACGCAGAGATTCAACTTACGTACGCTCAATGTGAGGAAAGAATTATGGGGGCCAGTGAAACTATGACCGAGGCTTGACGAAGCTTGGCGTTTGAGGAGGGAGGTGCAGTAATATCTGGACTTTTGGTTAAGTGTACTGCCGTTTCTAAACGCGGCGAAAATAGACTGATATGGCCGTAATGAAATCGACAAAAATAGCACATAGATGAAATCCGATCATCGTTACCTAGTGGTTTAACAGATTTTGGTCAACATAAGGAAACACTAAATTGTCATCGAACTTCCAACGCACTGTGCTTTTCAAAAATGGTACAGGGTAGAGTGAAAAGATTGGCTAGCCGAGAGGCCTCCTCCACATCAAGCGTAGGTCTCCATCCACACCAAGCGTAGGTCCGTGCATTTCCTATTACCTTGGGAGCCTTCGGTCTCGACTAGAAATTATTTCAACCTACTTTACGACCTCTACTATCTGAGCTCCATCCAGAGTGATCGGACTAGACCGGAGAACCCGATCTACAATCCTCATGTTCACCTATGTTCAGTATCTCCGTACCGAGGAAAGCGATATAGTTGAACGTACTGTAATATCAGCATAAGTATTTACTTCCTTTCCTCGATAATTCTTATACTATATTTAGGTCCTAGGAGCATTATCTACAGTGGTTCAGTTGTAACCTTCCAGTTCAACTCATCTATAGAACCTATAGAACCCAGCATGCCAAAGGGCAAGGCTAATACAATATAGGATAGGGAGATAGAATAGCACAGTGTACAGGAGTTAGCGTATCTTACTCCTATCGTGCCACTAGGTTGATAGTATATCATGTCATCAGGTCGTGTTCTTTGACCGACTCTAGATTTGATAATTGACTACGAATTAATGACTAGCATAGCTACACGATATTGTAAGCACCATAATAACACAATTAATCCAACCTGTCTATGTTTTCATTCCCCTCGCAGTAATATTAGGCTTCTTTGACGCTTGGCGGCTTCGCAGACGGCCTGAATGCGATTTTCAACAGGTAAATAGCTATTATCCATGGTGGTGGTGGTGGTGGAATAATAGAGAATGGAAGAGATAAATAGGTTTAAAATAATCGTTGAGCACCAAAAGCTCGTTGGGCGCTGGCCGACCGACCCCCGTCAGAGCGGTCGGTCGGCTTCCATAAGCGACTATTATTCCTAGGATTTCGGCAACTGCCCACCACCGCCTTCTATTCATAGCCTGTCAACTCGGCAGAAGCGAACCATTTCTAGGTTGTCGAAGCAGGGACTCTGAGCAGAGCAAAGAGAAACGCTAACCGCTTTAGGCGACCGAACCTCATATTCATTCAGACCGACCAAGACGTGTCATACGCTCTAAATTGGAGGCTTCAAAGGCCCTGTAAGCAGGTTTCGGGGGAAGTCATAGGAAGAGAACACAACTTTCACAGAAATGTTTATCGGAGATGGGACGACCATCTCACTTTACTTACGGGTCATGCTAGTGGCTGTGGCATATATCATCAGAGAGGCCCTAACAGCGCATCCATAGAACCTCAAGCAGGCGAACACGCGATGGGCGACACCTCTTTCCACACCAGTCTAGTAGGGTGGAGCAAGGGTTTTTATTGGTTCTGACATTTTCTATTTGCTACTAAGTCCGAGTGGTGTAAACTAGACGCCAGCGTCACCAGCAACCAGCCCAGAGTGAGAAAACCATTGTGCAGACAGCTTTTGGGGGATAGAAGGGTATGGGGAGATGCACAGACCGCGTTTTGTGTTGGGCCCTTTCTAGCTTAGCGCCACAGATGTGACAAAAATAGCACCCACTTCCGCGATTTCTCTACCGCTGCAACAGCCAGCTAATTAAGGGGTTGCTTAGAAAGATGAAGATGACCGGAGAATAAACGGTCATCTCCAAGGCCCAGTCTATAGTTAAACCGGACAGCTGTTCGCCAGTGCACAGGATCCGGGTAGAAAAACGAGTGAGTGTAGACAACAAAACCGATTAGTACTCTGTTGCGTTTGTGGAAACGAAGCCTTGAGGGTTATAGCGAATGCTTAAGCGGAGGTCGCAAATAGTGGCAAAGAGAGTAAACAGCGTCTGGAATTTCTTGATGGAGGGTAGTCATCAAAAATAATTGGCCAGGCAAAATTGCATCATCTCTACTCTATATCCAGGTCACCGTGCAACTCCTAAAATCTCTCACACTCCCAGAGTTCGCTGCTAGATTTTACGTCAGACTGGTCCGGCCCCACCCGGATCTGATTATTCTTACTTAGAAAGTAAGGCATTATCCCAGGTTGAACCAATTTCAGGGTCACAACCTGGGACCCTATTAGGAAATGCAGGTCCGAGGAGACAATCTTTACCCGTCTATGATGTTGAGCCACAGACTTTCACCAGGTTCGGCGATCGCACTTTTCTGAAGACTCATTTTGAAACTGTTTGAATGATTCTGTACAGTTCCCTTCATTTTTCTCTTGCCACTAATCAACTGCTGCCTTGGTGGGCCGTTCTTTTGGTGATTGCTTCTATCATCTTGACGATGCTGTTAACGCTAATGGCCTGGAGAGTTCGAAATAACCGTAGATTAGGATATCATTCTTAGTTAAATGTAGTTATTGTTGTTTTGACCTTGGCTTTGCCCTATTGTGAAATTATGGCGATGTTCATTCCCCCGGCTTTCCGACCTATGATGGGTGGTAAAGAGCTATGGCGCAATATGGGCGCGAATGAGGTAACTAGTGTCGCGCCGGTTAGCAAGTCTCACTCGAGACCGGGTGAAATATTCCGATCAGGCTGCACAATCTACCGCCTTCATGCCGAAGGGCAAACAAAGCCTGGTAGACTAAGGAGGAATGGGTAAGTATTAGCAAATGAACGGACTTTCGGCTTCATGCTAGGCGGTCATAAGTGTACCGTCATCTACTAGAGGGTGGTTGGTCTAAACCTAAGCCAAAATCTCATTTTCGAACAACGTTTATGACGTCGACCACGCCACGTAATTTTTGTAAAAAATTACGTTGGGACGGTTATTTGCTAAGGCCCCCGGATAGATTGATGTTCCCCACGTTACATATCAGTGCAAGCTGATACTGTATACCCTAGTATGCAACGACGACGAATGATATCAAGCGGAAGCAATATAGACGAATAACATTGATTGAATCAGTAGAAAGATGGGAGGAGAAGCGCTGTTAGAAAACACACACACTGAGCCACACCGCTATTCGATGTGTCCGATGTGTCTCTGTTACTCAGCTGTGACAAAGGCTTCATTGCAGCTCAGCTCCCTGATTACATAGGAAATACTAAACGAATGTGGGCCCAGGAGCAACCAATCAGTTGCTAGCGGTAAGTTATCCCTTCATGTGCTGACATTACACTACCTACCAGTAGAACCCTTTCCCAAATAGCTTAGGCTGTTCATAACTAAGTCATTGGCAATTGCAATCCGTGAATTCAACACATGGGCTCCACCCTTAACAACCCCTATGTGGCTTGATCCTTCTCAACCGATTTAACTTTTCTCCGGAATCTTGCCACACACGTGGCGCTATCTAAAGGCTACCATCTCTGGCCTCGTCCTTACCATCCTCTCTAGCCCATGGGGAAAATGCTCAACCCCCCAGCCCCCCGGAATATCCAATTCTCAATTTCTGATTTTATCTAAAGTTTACCATTTTCTCCGAAATTATTCCGTCTGTGTGCCAGTAGCAGACAAACTAAATTCTAGCTTATCCATTCGCTCTTTAGAAAATATGTAGCAAATCACACATCCTCGGAGATCGATTACGCCAAGAAAATCTAGGCTTAACCAGCATCGCGCGAAAAGTTTGCCTTAATTCTAAAGATCGTGACTTTGAAATAAGGACACAATAGTAGACCTCGGCAAGGACCGCTTAGGACCAGATTAGACCAGGGACTAGACCGCACCATGCAGGGCTTCGTCCCAACATTTTTGGGGCCGCACTATAGCCGTCCGGTCCAGTCCTATGGTCCTATTACCAAGACAAACATAGAAATATAGCAATTTTGGCTAACTAATTAGTTCATATAGCCTGAATAGGAAGGTCTTAGTATCCTTATAAAATTCTAGGGGACCGCGCGGGGGACCACGTAGGATCGTTGGGGACCGTGGTACAGTCCTAACTACATTGAAAAAAGACCAACAGTGGGCCTGCGCGTAGTCCTTGCCGAGGTGTAGACGGTATTAATATTGAATTCGATATTTTATCATGGAAAAAACTACTAGATTTAATGTTATTGTAGTCATATGAGCGGATTTCCTACTTGATACAGCATAGGACGTAGGTCCTTCCACTTCAGGAAATCTTAGACTAGGGGCTCTGGTCCATCGGAAGTTGCTCGCGCTTTGGACCAGAAAACGCGGGGGTAAGGTTAAAATTCTTGGCAATTTCCCTGAATTGTCTCATGGAACCAATCATGCGTCGAACATAGCTTTTAGGTAAACCTTACGACTTCCTAGAATAGGGAAGAGGGTTCCCTCGCGGGGTTTTGGCACCCGTCAAACCTTATAATGTACTTGTGTAAGACGGCAAATATCTCCCGGGTTCGGAGGAATCTCAACCCCTATCGTGGGCCTTCGAGTAAAGAAGACATTAACAACTCCGGAAAACGGATATAGGCTCAAACCACAGAACCAGCCAAAGCGCCAAGGACCAAAGGCAAATGCTGTTTATTTCTTGGTTTGCTATGCCAAGCCGGCGGAGTTCAAAATCAAAAACAATGCTGCCGATTCTCGGTACGTAATACACCGTTTTTCATGACAAGGCCATCACTTTACTCTCGATATATGTCTTATAGAATGAGTCTGTTGGCTACTGCCGTTAGGAAAGGATATTCATGATTCCAGCCCAGCGTGAGCTAGATTATCTGCTGAGCACCTTTCTTTCTATGATCAACGGTACCTCAAATATAATCAATTCTGGATAAGAGAAATCGAGAAATTTGGTGTGCTTTAGTCGAGACTGAGCTGAGCCATTCATTTCCTTCGATGACAAGTGTCTTGGCGTTCTCCATCTAGCTCCGTCACTCGCAACCCAATTACGAGAATCACATATATTTTCATCAAAATTGAAGCAAATCCATTATTTACCTCCGTCTATCGGCGACTCTTTTTGAAAACTCAAAAGCACTTTGTCAGAACTGGTAAGCTATGGCAGAGACCTGGAAGATCCTGTATCAATTGTATAGATCTTTTACCCCTCAGTTGAACCAGTACCTTGGATCTCATACCCCGCTGTTAAAGAGAGAAGTATAAATAAGACAAAAGAATCTGCGCATATTTTTCATCTTCATTCCATTATCACCTACTCAAACAAATACTACCAACATGAAACACTCATCCTCTATGATATTGGGCTTTAGCCTGGGTTTTGCTGGCTTGTCGCTTGGCAAAACCTCAAATCAAGCTCCTTTTGTGAACCTTATGACTCCGACGCTACCGACCTACGCTTCCCAGACGGAGGAGCAGGCAGCGTAAGAAAGAAGGATCCGCACTTGAATTCCTCTGCTAAACGTTGTCTGAATCAAGCCGTGGTTCACTTGTTGGCCGCTTTCCTGGATTTAAAGAACTCCTGCAACCTTCCATTGATCCAGGTCTGGCAAGTTATCAGCCAGTTACGCAACCGCTACAGGGAAACTACACCCTCGCGAGCTCTGATGTGCTGGCTGTTCTATCCCAGCAGTGGATTGATGCTTTCATGCTCATGTAAGGGCCCCATTCTAATCTACTATACTCGCTTGTAGCTGAACTCGATATGGCTCAGGTACCCCAATGTGACGATGCAAATCCCAGCCCCGCACGCTGGGTCATTGGGAGCCCTGGAGCTTACTAAAGGAACTCTGGATGGTGTTTTCGTTTCCCGGGAACTCAAGCCTAGCGATATTGATGGCTTTTCTGCCAAATTCGGTTATCCTCCTACTTCTATTCCTATATGTGGTGGGTCATATCGGCAGTTCGGCTTCTTAGACGCTATGGCGTTTGTTGTGAACAAAGAAAATCCAGTTGAGCACCTCACATTTGATCAGCTCGACTCTATTTTCAGCACTACCCGTGCCCGCGGTGGCCCAAGCATAACAACTTGGGGCCAGCTAGGTGTCGGTGGTGAGCTTGGTAAAAGCCCTATCAATATCTACGGTATTAAGCCTTGGAATGGATTTGAAGAGTTCATCCGCCAGCGGGTGCTCAGTTACAATGGTACTAGGGGCGAATGTACTGTATCCTACCCTTTGTTTCAGTTGCCGTGGAGAAAGAGAGATGGTGTGCTGACTTAAATTTTTCACAAGGGCGCTCCGGCATCGCAGTAAACAACACTGCCAAAGACCCTCATGTCACTTGGGATGCTACAGTCTTCAACATGTCACGTTACGTAGCCAACGATCCCGCTGGCATTGCGTATACAGGGCTTGCTTACATTGACCGTCCAGTCAAGGTACTGGGCACAACCAATCCGACTACTGGCAATCTTGTGACCCCTACCTATGAAAACATTGCTATGGCAAGTTGGCCACTTGCGCGAATTATTTATTTCAACCTGAACTCGCCTCCTCACAAAGGCATGGACCCAGTGTTGCGAGAATTGGTCAAATTTGTTCTTTCCAAAGAAGGTCAACAGATTCTTCTGGACCAAGGCGTTTTCCTCCCTTTCCGAGAGTTCCAGCAAAAGTCAAGCTTGAACCTTTTGTAAATTGATTGAAGGTTACCAGAAGTTGAAGGGCACCAGGACAAATATCATTCTTCAACCAATGAGCTTCATCTTGAATACACTACGTTTCTGTCGCTCTTCTTTCTCTCTCCGTGAGCTATGTGCCAGCGTCTTCGACGCGTCCTGATACACGAATGTGGTCGAAACTTTGTCAAACTTGTCTGAGACTAGACCAAACCAGACTGGCAAGCTATCTCTTGGCAGCCACAGAAATAACATCCTCATATCTAGCTACGGACACTTGTATATGCATGTAGGGGAATCAATGGTATTTTAACCCGCTCCCGGTCGTAATAATTTCCCTATGACAATGTCAATATTAATTTAATCTTAACCATCTTCTTATTTTGGTATTTAATTCTCCCTCGGACGTTCTACTCACAGGGACCAGTTAGGAACACGTAACACCATAGTTAAGCTCAATCCCCTAAATCCAACGGGACCAATAGCATTAACCCCTATAGGATATAGGATATATAGTCCCGGCCAAGCTTTTCCATTGTGCCCAATTAAACTAGGGCCTAGTCGCACCGTCACCCTCTGGTGATTTCCCGCAGACGTACATAGCATTGCTTGGACTCATTTGTGGTGATTAAGGATGAGCGATAGTTGGATAAGGCTGAGGGGCACGGCAGTAGCACAAAATTCCACACCACCAACGTCAGCAGCGTCCTCATCTCTAGATACACCAGCCTCTTGCCATAGCACCCACGAGCACCGAGCCCAAAGGCCAACTGGGGCCCGGCCGTGGCACTAAACTGGCCCCTTGCTTCTCGTGCACGATCCAGCGATCTGGACGGAAGACCCCCATGTCCGCGGGATCCCACGCTCGCACTTGGCCCTTTTTCCAGGCTGCCTGGCTGGTGGGACTCCGCCAGGTTTCGTCAATGTCGAAGCCGGAGCTCATCATGCTGGGTCCCGTCACGAAACAGGTCACCACAGTGCCTTTGGGGACCCAATGCCCGAGCAGCTCGGTGTCCACCACCGCAACCCGATCGACGGCCGGGGCGGTCACGGCACAGCGCAGAGTCTCCTCCAAGGTGGCGTCGAGGTAGGGGATGTTCGTGCCCGTAATCTCCTGGATAGCTGGATCGCGTGCTGCGGCGACAGCGGTGGGGAAGGCGGCCTCTAGCGCGTGGCGGAGTTTGGTCTGGGCCTGATGGTCAGCCAGGAACTTCATGCCCTAGCTGAGGGTCGTGCTGGTGGTTTCGTGGCCGGCGAAATATGAATCCGAAGGTCTTATCAATCATTACCCGCGAGAAATAGTTAGGTTGTCTCCAGTCTTTCTCGGCCCAACTCTTTTTCCGCGCGATTATTTGGTCTATAGAAGACGTGATCACATTGTCTCCGCTCTGGTGCAGCCGTTTTATTATATAGACCAACTGTTGTCGGATATAATCCTCCTTGACTTTAATTGCCATCATTGCTTTCGGTCGTCGGATTATATAGGCCTACGTTAAGCTTGGTACCGGGTTCCCTTGCACCTCTCCCACCGTCTCCGTTAGATCGAGTGTGGCTTGGATGGCCTCATCCGCCCTCCCTTGGGAAAGACCAGGGGTTCATCGCGGTTAGTTCTGTTCACTTCTTGGATCGCTTCCCTACTTATTATCTGAACGGCTTCTAGTGTGGGTTTCGTGCCATTGTGGTCGAAACCCTCTCTAAACGCAAACGATATCACCGCGTCGAGCGCCCTCTGATTGATATCATCCCCCGCAGCCCATAGGCGACCATCCGCAATCTTGTTCTTCGTCTGCCGTAGGTCGATCATCATCCGTACGTTTTGGTGAAGGGCCGGCCCCGCCACTTTGTACAGGAATGAGGGCGTCATTAGGTCCTGCACGAGTCGACGCTGGGCTTTCTACACATTGTCAGTCTTTAAAAGGATGTGGTGATCCGAGGCCAGCCCCAAGACCAAATCCCCGAGCGTATGCGACTGGTCGAAGTCTTTCCGTTGGACGAGGATGTCGTACGCCTCCGGGAAGTCCCCGAGGATAAGCGGGGGCTTGCTCATAGGTCGGATGAAAACCTGGATCAAAGCACGTTGAGCACCGTCATTGTTTCCATCACATAAGTGATAAATGTGCCCCCTTCAGTTGTAGGGACGTATGATATCATCGTGTGGACGTCGCCTAGCAAGCTTCGGGGGAAGGCTTTATTGTAGGGAATTCCGGGAATGGGTTTAGGAAGGAGGGCTTGGTAGGCTAGGTAGAGACATTCGATCACTGTCGCGAGGATGGTGATACACATGGGCGATATGGTGAAATCCATCAATCCAGAACTATTCAACCTGTTGGGGGGGGGGGGGGGGGGAGGATAATATTGAACATTTCGAATTCACGACGCTTATGTAAGTAATGCTCTTGGGCTAAAACACAGAGTGGGTTGGAGAGCTGAGTGAAATATTAAGGTCACATATCTGGCTACGAATGGCGCTCTCAGTTGGGATCAGTATGGGACCAGTATGCTAATTCAAGTTGAAGGTGAAAACAAAAGCTACCGTATTGCATATTCTTTCGTTCTTTTCTTTTTTGTCTTTAAATGTCCAGGGTTCTTCCTATTTTAGGTAGCTTTCTCCAATTCCCTTTTCTATGCACGCTTACTGTTGAATTATATGTATGCTTACTGTTCTTTCTCTGCTTACTAGCTTACTATTACCTGCCCCGCGGTAAGGTCGTCGCTTCTCTCGTGATAATCGCAAGGTCAATGCCATAACCCTAACCCTAACCCTTAATAAGTATAAATTCTTCCTTTTAAAAGATTAGGATTAGTAATAGTAAGATACCTATTATAAGTCTTTCTAATAAACTATATTTCTATATTAAGAGTATCTTATAATTCTTAATTAGTCTAGTAAAGGCTCCTAGAGAGTATCTTAGCTAAGCTTAAAACTTAATAAGATATTAGATAAAAATAATGTAAAGGATTAAGTTTATAGCTGTGCGCTACTATATGTGTCGGTCCTGAGCATGTCAACCTTGATGGTTGACATAGTGGTCTTTTTGGCTCAAGAGAACAATCATGTGACTCAGGCTTGATCTGTTACAAATAAGCTATAACTAAATATAGCTATTAATAAAATAATCTAATATCTTAATAGTAATATATTTATACTATATCTATATTATAGATATATTATACTAATTTATAGATAGATACTATTTAGATTAGGCTTTTTATATTCTAGAGAGAATACTAAGCTTGTTTTCTAGTAATTATAGTCTTTATATAAGATATACTCTTTTTTTTTATAATAAGTACTAGGATTAAATAGCTCTTTAATATTACTTAGGATATCTATTATTACTATTAAGAGAGGATAAAATCTTAGATAATTAAAGACTTAATAATATTTCTTTATATATTATAGTTTAATATAGAAGAATAGGAGGCGAAGCTTCTAGAGAAGTTCTTCTCCTATAATACAAAAAAAATAGTAAAAGAAAAGAAAAATAAGAAACTTACTAAGATAAAGATAGAGCTAATTAGTAATATCGAGAAATAGGAGACTATAGTTAATAATAAGATTAAGCTAGATAAGGCTTTATTAATAGAGATTAGATATTAGATAGTCGGCGAATCCTAGCTATTACTACTAAGGAATTATACCTAGATATATATATTAGGATAGAAGCGTAAGAGTTAAGATAATAACTCTTTAAGTACTATTAGAATAAAGTTTTTTTAGCTACTATTTACTAGACCTAGTAAAAGGCCTAAATTCTAATAGCTAGTAGAAAGATAGTAAGGATATTAATAGTCTCTAGATAATAGATAGCCTAAATTCTAATAGCTATTAGAAATATAGTAAGGGATATTAACCTATATACTAGAGAGACTATAGCTTATTATAGGAATACTTAATATTATAGCCTAAAAAATATATAAGTTATATAGTTATAGGTCTTAGTGTATTTATAATATTTATAACCTAACTTAGGTTATTAACCTAATACTAGACTGCGCCAAAAACCGCAATTGGGGGCAAACCTTGCCCCCAAAAACCAAACCGCAATGGTTGCGGTTTTTAAAACCAAAAACCAAACCAAACCATAAACCATTGCGGTTCCCCATTGGGGAACCATCAAAAACCATTCTTACATAAAATTACATAAAATTGCATAATAACTAGTTATAAACTAGTTAAAACAGCTTAGTAATTAAGATGTAGCCAATAAATATCGATAGAATATTATCTACGTGATATTTTAGCCCCGCTTTAAAAACCATTGGGGCCCCAAGAACCATTGCGGTTTCTAACCTAGAAACCAAAAACCATTGCGGTTTCTAGAATTAGCCCCAAAAACCCCCCAATTGCGGTTTGGTTTTTTGCGGTTTTGCGGTTTTGCGGTTTTTGGCGCAGTCTACCTAATACTAGGTCGAGATTTATAACCCGGACCTAACGCTAGGTTAAAGGTTTCGACCTAAAACCTAACCTAGCCTAGGTTAGGTCCGGGTTAGGTCCGGGTTGAGTTAGGTTCTACGGAAGTCTAGTTTAGGGAGAATAGGTCGATGGCGCTGTTATAGGACTAATTACTAGTAAGAGAGTTAGAGGCCTTAGTGATAGGAGAAAATAAATCTACTGAGCGGGACTGAGGACTTCGTTACTAACTGAGGTATCTCCTATCTTCTAACGAAAGGTTAGATAGCGTATTAGGGCGATTGAATACTATGATAGAACTAAGGGGCAGGTTTCGATTATACACGAGCTAGGTAGACGGTAAGGCGGGGAAGGCTCGAGGATAAAATATAAAGATATTTACACGAGCAAGAACCGGGTGTGGTAGCGATGGGGAGGGATCGAAGAATATTAAAGGAATTCGCGATCGATATTAGAGATGTTATTAACCATAGAACAGAAGATTGGGCCCCTATCGGCTGCTCTAGGGCCGTTATATATCCGTTCGGGTATTTAACAGAAAATGAAACGGACTGGGGCCGGAGGGATGACGACTCGCGCTTGCTTGGCCGTGGGAGCCGAGAATGGACTTGTGATGTCAGGACTGGGCAGGTCGAAAACAGAATACATCCCAGTAGTGTAGGCAGACCCTACTCCACTAACGGCTAGTGCTCCGTAACGCACTGCGATTCGCTCGGTGTTGACGAGCCGAGATTACCTTAGCAGGCTGGATAGCAGAGCTACCACACGGCCGGCTCCGAAGGGAGCAGCTCAGCCGTGAGTGGTTCCGAGGGTGTCGTAGTGGGAGTGGGCGAAACCGTTGAAGAAGTTTCGGGCTAGGCGCAGCAGGGCCCAGCAGCTCTGGCTGTCAACGGGGGCGAATGTAAACGGTGGGGCCGCCCGCAAAAGAACGGGTGGACCCACCAAGCACCCGCCCGGCCGAGTCTCGGAGCCGATAGAGCTGTGTTTGCCATGGTTGCTGCTGCACGGAGTACATTTTAAGCCCGAGTTTGCACCCGTCATCAAAGTCGCTGTCACGAACTGACTATTCATGTCTCGTGCCCTAGCACAGAGAAAGAATAGTCGAAGGTCACCCTCCCATATCACATCCTCCTCCGACTTTCCCATTCTCTTGAGAAATAGGCTCTCGATTCTCACGATAAACACTGGCCCTCACTAAATCTCTCGTCTCCTGTTCTACAAAAAAATCATCACAGGCCTGGAAGGTCTTCTACTCGATACAGTATAGCAATGTCTTGCCCCCATCGAGAAGGATGACTGAATAGGACCTCACTGGCACAGTATGGAGGCCGCTATTCGAGGGCCTAGGTATATAATGCATGAATATTCCTTCTAATGTAAAGCACTAGCAGAGCTTTGAAGCTCTGACTAGTACACCTTGAGAAATTCAAGCCATTTGGCAGCATAGCCAAAAGCATTTGGGTGGACCAGTCTAAAATTGCTACTTAGGTGCTGACTTCCTGACCCTTCTTCAAAGCTTTGACAGCGAGTTCATATCCCCAGTTTCTGGCTGACACAAGGATTTTCACCTGTGAGTTTCTTGTCAAAGCCATGCCCGCACCCCTTCATCCTCTGAATTATGACCTCCCTTCCCGGCCATCAGCGTGCCCTTCGTTCTTCGCTCTTTTAGCTCACTCTTCTGCCTCTATCGATGATTCGTCCAACTCTCCCGTAACGAACAGCACGTTGGCTGGAAAGCCGGATGTATCAGAACACGCGGGAGAGATTCTTAGATCGTGGGGATCCATTCCCCGGATATAAGATTCGATTGTGCACGGAGTGGTGCAGACACTTGCAATTTGTGGAATTTCCTCCGGAAAGCATCTCAATAATCATCCTAAGGCTCGTCGGTAGAGGTTTACTATATTATACGATGATTCCTTGAGAGGTGTAATATAATAAATGCACTAGACCAAGCTCGGGTTATTGATAGAGTGACAAAATACGGACTTACAGCATAGTTCCGGGTACGGGCCGAGAAACAATGCGTTTGTATCCAGACGGTAGTTTGTTTTCGACTCTCATTTTACAGATATGGTGGTGACCGTTATCGCCTTCCATGTCAGAAACAGACAATCTTTCAAAAGTTAGCCACATGATACGTTAAATCTAGAATGAATTACACTTGAAAGACACAATCTGTACGTGCACCGTAATAATGGACACGCTCGCAGAGCGTACAGCGGCCCTGGAACAGCAAAGAGGAAGGAGGCGAAGGGACAAAAAGACAGTTGAATGGGCAGACACTGAAAGAATGGACACAATGAATAAGTTTGACCAATAAGAAAACTAAAATCATTACTAATACCAGTTTGCAGACAAACCAGGCAAGGTTGAAGGTGTCCTAAGTTTGACCGAGGAAGCTGCTACCATATCATGCTTTCCGTAGTCATTTCGAACGTCGTTTTGGAGTGGGAACCTGGGGAAAATTTAGTATCGTCAGCTGTATCTGACGAGATTATAAACATTTCTTGTCGGAGCGGACACTAGCATTGTTTCTTGACCCGTACTCCAATCACCGCACCCGGCGTTCTACGGCGTATAAGTGGATCCGGAAAAACTGGAGGGCATTTAAGCGGTTAAAAACTACGCTCTTAATACAATCAAGAACAGGGAAGTGACGATACATCGAAATTCCACATTCAACAATAATATAGTGTAAAATCCATCCTTATAGGCATGACAAACTGCGCGACCCGACAATCCACCAGTATCGGATGGCCATCGCTAATGGCCAATGGCGCGGCAGGTAAAGAGAGGAAGGGTCAACCGCTTTACGGCGGACCAGGTAATAATAGACAAGACGATGAAGCAGAAGCAAGAAAAAACATGGAAGTAGTCGACAGACGCAGTCAATAGCAGTAAGTAAGGGAAGCCAAATATTGAAGCAATAGCAAACCACGGAGTACGTCAAGTAACACTCTTGAAGATAGCAATAGGAGGTTCACCACAAAGTACTCTCAACCAGCATGTTCAGTCTTCGGCTGCTCCTTAGGCCAGAGCTCTCGAGGTGACCCCTTTGGCTCTACAGTTGGATTATTCATATCAAAGGCCAATATCTTATCCACATTTTCATTTTTCTTGAGCACCTCGAACTCGCCGTCCCAAAAGCTGAAAGTGTTCGGAATGTTGTACGGCAAGACAACAACGACATCACCCTCTGCGTTCAGCGCATACCCATTAGAGACAGCCTGAACAGCCTTATCCACCTCAATTTCGCTCCATGTAGGCTTATTGTCAATCACCCTCAGGGCTCGCTCACGGAATGGACCGCCTTCAAGATTTGCCCATCCGTCACCATCGTCTGCGTTTGCTAAAAGGCCACCACCGATCTTTCTCGCGTAGTGGGATGGTGCTTCGTGCGTCGTATCCCTATAGAAGACTTGCTTGCCAGGACCGAGCTTTTTCAAGTGCTTGGCGGCTTCTTCGGCAGTTGGGATTTTGGGGTTGGGTGTGCGCTTGGAAAGGGCTTGGGTGGTGTTGGACAGGGTAGTTGGATAGCTATGCACAGGGGCAATGCTTGCAGCGAAAAATAGAAAGAGAAAAGCAGTAAGAAGACCCCGCAGGTTGGTTCTTGCCATTGTAGAGTATGGTCAAACGATATAGTAAAATAGTACTAAAGGGGGCAAGAGAAGTAGGTAGTGCTTGAAAACGAATTGAACAGACCAGAGTGCAGAGGATGGAAGTCCCTTATATGTCTTCGGGTACGTACTAACAAATGTGGAATTCACTCAATCATTCAAAAATAGAATTAGGTACAATGTATGGCCCCATTTATAGACCAATAACCAATTCAGAGGCTGTTGTGCTTCTCAAACTCAGCCAAACGGTCCCCAGCAGAAATTCCCTCCTTATCCAGTACACTCAGATCAGCGTGGAGATCCAACAATAACTTCACCGCCCGTGCATGGCCCCCGGCAATCGCCCAATGAAGAGGAGTCCCTCCAGCGTGGTACCCTGCACCGTGATAGTCTACAAAAGCAATAACATCCATGAAAGTTATTTCGTTGACATCCGCCCCATGTTCGAGCAACAGGTGCATTCGCTCTAGATTGCCGAGAAAAGAAGCAACATGTAGAGCCCCTGTTCCTTTGATTTTCGCTCCTTTCTCCAACAGCACCTTCATCCACTTAATATCCCCGGTGTACCGCACGGCGACACTAAGTGGGGGTAACCAGTGAACCCAATGCCCCATGTTGGGATCAACGTCATGGGAGAAAAAAATTCAAGTAGATCCGGGTGGTTGTGTCGTAAGGCAGAAATCAGAGGGGAACCGGTGTATTCAAAACAGTAGTTGATGTCCCCACCGGCATCTAGAATCACTTGAACAGTCTCCACGTCTCCATATTCCAAGGCACTTAGATAGACTGATATGTCCATTGGCGAAAGACCTTTCTTGAGACATTCTCGGAGCGTTGCGGCATCGCCTCGCAAAGCTGCCTCTGCGGCTTCTTGCTGCAACTCAGATTCCTCAAATCGTGCCATTTTTGAATCAGGAACTGGCAAAGATGAGGATTGTTTTGGGGCCAATTCCTCCAGTCTGGACTGATAGTAGAGAGGGGGCTCAGTAGTGCAAGGGCAGTGTCATGAACGGACGATTATTCCTACAAACAACATTAGAGCCTTTTATATTATTTAAGCACCGCTAAAATTGTCGTCATCGTGGGGGTGGGGCCGATAAGCAGCAGTTCGAATGTAATGGCTAAATATTATCGGGATGTGCGGGTATACAGCGACCCATGAAGATCATTTAACAGTGACCGTTTTAGGTTCGGCCCCAGACTGCCCAATTTATTTTCCCCGGGCACAACGAGACTGAGCCGAGCGCGCCCATAGCTGAATTAGCCTTGGCCTAGATAAATGATGGGTAAATACATTCGAGGGACATGCCATAAAATATTAATAGGAGTTCGGGTAGAAGGGGAGCTAAGCTAAGAAAGCGGCTTAGGCAGATTTCTGCCATCCTCCCGATGCAGAGTATCGATAATTATTCGGACTGGAAAAGGCGGAGAAGACCGCAGGGAACCTATTCTGATTGGCTATATCGATATTTTGCCCCTAGAGCTTTGCATCGGACTGTGCACTATCAGATGTCCTCTATTGGCTGCCGTAGGCGTACTTTGGGTACCGGAACAGAACAGCCCAGGAGACTGACGTCACATCGAACAGTTTCATGCTGGATCCTGGCCCCGGGGCAGAAACGTTGTGATGGAGGCTGTATCACATCCAGCAGTTTCATGTTGGTATATAGTGAGAATCTAATTCGGCCCCACCTGTTCCGCAATGAAAGAGCTAAACATAGTGTCTCTGTCTTTGGAATATATGCAATAAGAATTGTGGCTTCGGGCCGGCCCCGTGTGGAACCCTTGATTAGCGCCATCCTGTGACGGCCCGGGGGCAGTTCTCTGGGATATTGGTATCAAGCAGACAGTTCCCCAGGCCCCACCATGAGCTTTGCGGCTTCAGACCGGCCACATAGAGAACCGTTGATTAACGGAATGGTGTGACGGCCCCAAGGCCCGCACGTATGTCGTCAATATGCGCTGAGAATCACGCCCCCACCTATGCTCCGAATTTACAATTTGCGAATAATTACCAACAGTATCGCTATTATCGTAACTGTCGAACTTAGCACTATGTGTATAGGCTAGTAGGGGAGATATCCAACGGGACCACAAGGTTGATCGGATTGATGAATGGTAGTATAAAAAATAGGGGACAACTATTGAAAGCTTCTCCCCCAGTACTGGTGCCGTACAGCCAATAGTCGGCTCTTATAAAGCCTGATTTTATGGCTAATCTAGAATTATAAGAAAGAAAACATAGGTTAGGGAAAAGGGGCACTTGATGAACAAGCCCCTTCGTAGTGGGAAGTTACCACACCACATACTTCGACAACAACTTGTATGTACTATCAATGCGTGATATAGAAAAGGAGTCAAGAATAATTACTTACTGGGGATCGCAAGGCTGACACACTAAAAGAAAAATAAATACCAATGGAACCTACTGGTATTCAATAATTATACTTTGGCCCCTGATGTAGGATAAAGGACCTTCTGGCATCAGTTCCTGTGTTGGTTCCTCTACTGGGGCTATGCGCTATCTGAATTTCAACCGGGCGCGAAGAATGGATGGCAAAATGTCCTATATCGAATCAGTATTTGACGGCCGTTGGGGCGGAGCATGGCATAATTCCGAATATAAAAAGCCTTCGTATCCCTCTCAAATTAAACAATCAATTTAGAGATCTCTTCACTTACAAGCATTCTATAAGTCTTGAACCATCGTCATATCTCCCTGCTTTGCCTGAACACACTCAACCAGACTACGATGAAGTGTATGTTCCTTTAACTTGCGGACTTAATCACTTGTCTAATTTCTCCAGGCATTATTTTGACGGTCGTTCCTCTCCTCGGAGGTTTTCTCTTTCCTGTTACTTCTGCCATTCCTGTTGGAGGTGAATTTCTGCTTGAAAGAGATCAGAACACACAGGAGGACTGGATTGCTCCGTCTATCGTCAGTTTCGATTTTACCAACGCCGAACACAATGGTGATGACAAACGCTCTTTTTTGGACTCGCGTGACTCCTCAACTACTCTTTCCGGGTTAGCAGGTTGTCTTCAGCAAGACGGTTTGTTCTATGCCTTTTTCTTTCCTTTTCCGGTGAAGTCACGCTCATATTTGGAACAGTTCCTGGCTGGCCGAAAAAGCAGCCGTCTAAGGAGCAATTCAACATTCGTTTAAAGCAATCAGGCTTAGGTGTGTCCTCGAAGCGCAGCGATCCAACATCTGCTCAGGCACCGTCAAAGGACGGTAATACTCTGAGTGGGGTCTACCAGACAGCTAATGTGGTCCTATCGAACTTCCTCACGGGTGATGGTAAGTAAATTTATATAACAATAGAGGCCCTATACCTAGCTAACTATCTTGAAGATATGAAAAAATTGGCACCTGGAATATGTGATAAAATAGTCACACTTGCAGCAGGAATTGTGAACAAAGATGCAGGGGCAATCTCATCAGCCTTGACACTCCAGGGTGGGCATAAGAAAGGTCTCTCAATCGTACACAAGGGCCGCATGCTACAAGTGGTTGGTACAGTGGCTAATCTTGGTGGTATCAATACCAAGTCCACGCTGGTCGATCTATGTGTGGATGCGATCAGATACCAGGCAGAGACATGCACAGCTGAGCTGAAGTATGGATCTTTTGAACACCAGATCGACCATGTCGCGAAGGCATCTACCTCGACCTGGAGAGATGCCAGTGGCGCTGCACAGGCTATCTTTGACTTTGGCTTTGCTATGCCTGGGACTTTAAACTGACTCATGATAATATTTATCATGATTTGGTCAAGTCAAATTTGACGTATCTTGGCTTTTTGAATTTACTGTTATCTTGCTCATTGTCTGTTTTGTTTTGTTGAATTTTTATGCTGCTTGCTCTGTGATTTACACGTGTTGATCTGATATTTGCGGATGAAATCAAGATTTCTGTGTACTGTGACTATTTTACCTACTTTCAAATCACTATACCTCACAGGGTGCAGGCTATTACCATTGAGGCAGAAGGGTGGTACCCGAGGCATTTCGCGTTTTGATAATAATCAAGAATTTTAGTATTACTAACAGAGTAGTTTTCGTATGGCCAGAGGAAAGAAAAAGCCCGGGGGGAGGAAAGGAGACAGTGACTTCTGAAATGCCACCGTATGCTGCAGCAGATACAACGGAAATAACTCGGCACGGTTCTCTCCATGCAGCTTTCCCTGCTTACGGCCCCAATAGCACGTGCTAGCTGAATTTTTCTTCCAGAAAAGCCACCACTATCATCAAAAGCAGGGTCTGCGGGAGATCAAGGCTGCATATTGCTACTCTGCTAATTCTCTCGGTAAATTGGCATTAGCATAGCATTGTTATTAGCAGATTATAGCCTCGGTAATGACATTTATAGCGGAAGACATACAAACACTAACCCGGGTAATACTATAGGAGAGGGGATAATTGTAATAGCTTGTTGCCCTCTACACTATATTCGTATGCCTAGTCCATTCGTACAAGCCCGACGTCTCTAACCCTGCAGAGATGAATCCGAGATCGTGCATGGCGCCTGGGTGGTAGAATAAGTGGAGACGGCCGGCCTATCTGGCAAGATTAGGCGTGGGCTAGTGCGACCGTAGTGGACTCCTGCCGGGCTACTCGCGAAGTACGTAATTCTCGCTGACCCGGCGGCTGCCCTGCTTCGCCTATCAGGTGCCACTCTGGGCCATAGGGTGATCCGGTTCGAATCTTCCCTTAGGCGAGCCCGGTGAAGGGCTTTAGCCCGATCTCTACCGAGTTGTTATGATCGCATTGCCTAATTGTTAGTTCTCGTGACAGGTGTTATCTTGCTGCACTAGAATTGGATGCGGGATGGAGTTTATAAGAACCCAGAACCCAGTTTCGGTGAACGGTTCTGGTGCTTGTGGTGAGAAAGATCGTGAATTTTTGATTATCTGCTGATACTGTATCTTTCGCGATCCGTGTGCCGTGATCTCGGGAGTGAGATTGACCACTGGCCTTGAAAACAAGATAAGTATATCGAGTTGAGCAGGTCCTATTGATTTTGCACAATCATCCACAGCCAGAAAGTCCATCTGTGGCTCTTCAAATAGGACCTATACTATATCACGGGATTCTTGCAATCATTTCGTAAGTGGAATCACCCTATCGGACCGGAGAGCAGATCTATCAAAGCCAACCCGAACAGCCGGCCCCGGTTTCGACCTGGGTGGTGGAATGTTGCCCCCCTAGAGGAGTCTGCGTGTTGACCGTTCCCCCTGTGTCATTCGACTAGCCCTTGTGCTGACCTTATGCCAGGTATCCGGAAGAGGGCATCAGCTCGGCGCAATTGACTACGAATGAAATAGAGTTAGAGGTCAGCCGCAGATTCAACGCACCGACGCGGGGTCAGTACTGCATCGTAGTCTAGACTTTGGCTTTGATAAAGGCTGATAGCTTGTCTGTCTCCGTTGGTCTCATTCCAGCCACTCCAGTTGCTGGCTTTTTTGGGCTCGTGTTATTCCGTCTGGCTATTGGTTGGGCGCTTCCACACTCGGGTATCCAGGCTCGCACTCACACCGCCAGCTCACAGCACATGCTACTCCGCTTCGTTCAGGACGCCACAACTAAGGACTCATGAACCTCTGCAACCCAGTGCCCGGGTGCTCAAGCCTCTGGGGAGAGGTCACTATGGATGGGATAATATCTCCTTCCCGTCAGTCGCTTCAGAAAAAGGCAATCTCCTTGAATTCCCATCCTGCCTTTTCCCCCTCCCTTCAATGCTTCCCTCAGTCAATATCAAACATCCAGCAGTCGATATCTCAAGCTCTCAGATCATGGACAAGGACACAGACGACAAGATCCTCCCCTCTGCCTCGGCCACGCAAGTGAGCCCACAAACCACTCCCACTAAGGAGCCTCTCCTAGGCCACGACTCTGAGATCGACAATCGCAAATCCCTCCGCGACGCCCACCGCACCAAGCAGATTCAAACCCTGCGTATTGTGCAGAGCATGCTGTCTGCCTTGCTCTCCCTCGCCATCGCCATCTTCCAGGGCAAGGTGTACTGGACTTACCAGAACACCAAGTCCAATGCCGGGGCGTGGCCATCCGTGCCCAACGTCGTCCCAACGCTCCTAATGTTCAGCGTCGCGCTCGCGGCGCTGGTTTTTGACGGGTCTAGTAAGTTTTTCCGTCTTTCCTTGATCTCACCCCCCGAAAGTCGTCCGAGGCTCCGGGAAGGTTAGCTGACATGCCCAACCCCGACAGTGCTAGTTGCGTACATCGCACCCGGCAGCAAATTCTCGAGATGGGCGATTATGGTTGGCGGCGCTGCTCATTACATCGTGACCTCGAGCAAGACGGTTGGCTACACCATCTCATCGATTATCTCCATGACGAGTCTCAACTATGGCAACGTCTCGGGCACACACACGGACTTGTGGAGCTATACTTGCACGGACCAGCCAGCCAACATGGACTCCTTGATCCAGGCCTCCTCGAACTGTAATACTCAGGTACGTGTCTTGCAACTCATGTCCGTCACTCGAAGGCCCTTGCTGACTGGGGTTTGACTTATAGTGGGCATCCTGGGGCTTCGCTATAGGGCAGCTCTTCATCGAGGTCATAGGATGGGTCATATCCGCTCTGGCCCTCCGCCAGAGCGAGAAGAAGTTGAGCGAACAGGCTGTGGATGAGAGATTCACGGCGTACAGCGCGGATATAAACGGCCAATTGAAGGATGTCACGCCGCAGTTTGCTTTCAATTCTTGATGGTCACGATCAGAGGGCTCGTGGCATGGTGCTATTAAGACCTACACGGAAAAGGGATAGCACCTTAGGATATAGGGGTACTCCATTTAGATTTTCGATTTATACCTAAGAGTAACGTATTCCACGGCAAACCCGCCACCACGGCAAACCCCCACTATGCCACCAATACGGTCTGAAAAGAAGCAGGATTCTACCAAACGAGAAGGTAAGATCGAACTTACAATCTAGGCTATTCAGAATAAAGATCTTCCCTCTATTACTGCCGCTGCACGCGTCTACAATGTACCGCGATCGACCGTACGCGACCGGATCAATGGCTACAGTTCAATGGCTACCATATGCTCCTATACCTATAAGATAACCTATTTAAACAAGGATACGCTTACCTAGTGGATTTTATCTGTATACGACCGCGGTGTAGCCCCGAGGCATACTATAGTACGTAGAATAGGTGACTGTAGTAGAAATAGTTAACACTGTAGGCTAGACTTTACCGCTATCAATTATATTTAAAGATAAGTGCTATATCGAATTATAGTTCTACGATACTCTAAGGGACTAGCGCTTCGAGTGTTTCTCTAAATAGGGGGATATCTAATAATATTAGGCTTCGATAGCTTCAAAAGCTTTTTATTCCTTTAACCGTAAGCTAGATATACGGTCGGTATAGGCTTTTAATTCTTGATAGTAATAGAAGCTACCTTGCGCCTAAATTCGACTGTATATATACTTTTATAAAGTAGCGGATGGTAAATAGACTGCTAGAAATAGCCGTAAGGCTATTTTGGGCCATAAATCTACCATTCTTCCCGCTACACACCTATAAAAGCTTACCTACGTACGCTAGGTTCCCGGTCGGCGCTTTAGTAGAGATACCGGCCGATACTTTTAGTCTACAGCCCTTACTGACTTCCGCCCTAGCGTCTTTCATCCCTACCTATAACGTTTAATAGATTCCCATACGGTCAAAGGTGAACTAGGCCGCCTATATTTACCTTCCTATATCGTCGACTCTAGCTCCTATTCTTCTCACAAGGCAAAGATACCGCCCCCTAAGAAAGGCGTATTTAAATACCAGTTTTTCCCGCTATCTCTAAGATCTATCCTAAATACTTTTAATATATACTCAATAACCTCTTTCTTATCCCTTTCCCTTCGAATACTTTAGTTCTCTCTACCTTAGGTATAGTCCGTACTCCGCGAAAAGCTAAGTCGCCCTTATACAATAATGATGCTAAGACCAGGGATAGCTCTAACGCTAGCAGTAACGAGCGACATAGTCTCAACCGCTGTGCTGAGAGGTAGGGAGGCTTCCCGGCTACATTTCTTCAGGATATCCTTGTCTTGGATATGAGATGGGTAACTCCAATTTTTGAGGGCCTGAGCTTCAAATTGTGACCAGGGTTGAAAGAATCATCTGCTTAGCTTCAAAGACGAATCGATTACCACAGAGTGTTTTTCTCGTCACTTTGATTTAGATATTATTGATAGTGCGTTTTTGATTAGCCGCAAATTTGTGGTCTTGGTCTTCTTGAGTATTGTGGTAACCAAAACAAAGGCCGTGCCGCAGTCCAGTGCTGACCGTAAATAATCCGACGCTTTTGTAATGAGTGCATCAATCGGGACCATCTTTCTAGATTGCGAACTTGACATTATTTTAAACTCGAGGAGCCGAGGTTCAAGTATGTACAAACTAGTTCCGCAAAGCTCGCCCCTCCGCAAACTTCTAACCCATCACGTTTCGCTCAACAGGAACTTTCTGGTCGAGGGGCGGCTAAAGTCCGGGTTGGTTCTAGATCCATGCACGTGTCTCTCGGGCCAGGCGGATTACTTGAAGGCCCACTATCCCAACGTTGGTCCAGCGAAACCCTTGTCATTATCGCACCTCTACAATCATTAATAGGGGACGAATGCAATTGGCCAGCCAACGGACCATCTGAAACTGTTGACCCTCGGCGCGCAGTACTACTAAGCTGACTTTCCATCAACTGGCTTCCTTCGAAGAGAGGATACGAGGATTGAGGCTTTGGAAGTCGACTGCTCGAGGATGAGTGTTGTCGATTATGAGTGGTGAAGGTGTTGAGGGCCGGAAGACAGGCACAGATCAGTCCAATGCCTAATTCCGCATTTCTGGTAACGGTTTAGGTTTATCGTGAGAAGAAACAATGAACGCTCTTACCCTGTCAGTATAGCCCTCATAAACAACACCGTATCATGACGGTTTTCTCTTTGGTGGATTGCGACCACAAGCCGGTAGAGACTGAATCCGACTGCCACGCCTCCAAGCCCGAGAAGAAATATAACTCTGAGCTTTTTTCTGGTTGTCATTTGCAGTCTCCTAGTCAAAACCACTGGAAATGTCAGAATGGCAATGTCTGTCACAGAACCGATGACAGAATCTGCGATAATGATGCTTGATTGTCTCCGACAAGTCGCGTAAGCTCGTTCTGATAAGGTCCAGTAGGCTGAGACTGGACTGCAGATGAAGATTTTGACAAACATGATGACAAAATAGTAGCAAATTACCCCACCAAGAAGACAGTACAAGGATATTATACCAGCGTAAAAGGGTTTGAAAACCCTTATCAAAATGTAGATCAGACTTGTCTTAACAAAGAGTGCGGCCGGTGAATATAGTACCGTGGCAATATAGGCTATCTGCAAATACTTTAGTGATAAGAAAATCGTACGAGTTCAACTGTCAAAGATCTTTTCTTGCCTTGAGGCACTGCTCGAAATCATGTGTATTTAATTCTGCGGGGTGCTTGGTTCCCCCAGATAAACCATCTGCAAGTCATAGAAAGATTAAGCCAATTCAGTATTCAAAAACCTAGCAATTGCATCAAACCTACATATAAGAGCATTCGCGCAATACCCCATGAATACGGCCTGGCTGGACCGTTAGTGAACAAATACAGATTAGAGAAAATTGGGCTAAATTGGGCTATACCCATCCTAGAAAACAAGCCACTGTAATAATTAGTACCTATCGAAGTTGATCATCCAGTTGATTTAATACATACCATCGTCAACACCTAGCACCCGTGTAATTCTCCATCGAATGAAAATTCGAAGAAACACGAACGGCGCCACAATAATGAAACAAAGGATCTGGGTAGCATAGTTGACCAGGAATAGAGAGTTACCATCTTTGAGTGTAACCGACATAGACGGTGGGTCTCTAAATTGCTGCAAGGCTGAAGGTCCGGGAATTTTTAGATCCAAGTTCATCTGGGGGGAATTTACAACCCTCCTTGTATGGAGCTTAGTCATTGCCACCGTGACGTCAACGCAAACTGTGTACCGTGGTTGCGACCATTTTTAAACAATTAAGCCATCCAAACTCCCCTAGTAAATCGACTGCCAAGGAAGATTTTCTATGTTTATGGATTTTGAACCACTTTTGTACAGGATTATGATGATTGTGTCATTTACCCTGACCCCTCGCACAAAGTTTGTTGATCAATAGACCAAAATGCGCATCCATAACCAGCACCAGAGAGCGGGGGATTTCCTGGGACCTCACTCTACCTAAATATAGTCGGGCCCGTCCCCGGGGGGGGGATCATAGTTAAGGAGTGGGTCTAGGGGGGGGGGGGGACGAGTCTAATACGTCCCCCCCCCCCCTAACTACCCTATCCAACGGGGGTGTGCCCATCCTACCAGAGTGGGCACCCTAGCGTCATTTTTCCCATAGTAAAAAAAAGTGGGGGGGGGGTAGGATGGGCATATTTTCAGACCCAGGATGGGCATACCTTTTATGGATCGTACGAGCTCAAAATTTCAAAAGTTTTAATTAAGTCATTAATCTTTACCCATTTTAAATTTTAGAACAAACAGAGAATTTTAAAGGGTAGTTACAGGGTTTAGAAATATAAAGATTTGGGGGAAATTATTTTGATGGGGTTACGACCGGGGCTTATATAATCCATCGTACGACAGCGGATTCCCTATAACGTAATTCCCGCCCGACCGAGCCACCCGGCCGACCGAGCCACCCTACCCTATTAGGAAATTTTGAATCTTAATATCTTAACCAAAACGTATCAATTTAGCTATATCTAGCGGTTTTTACAATAATTAACCTTATATCCGACCTACCCACACCTACTACACTTCGGTAGAGCTTTTCTGATTGGCTGAGCTAGTTAAATAGCCTCATCGCCCTACGGCTGCACTACTACTAGAGTGTCTTTAATTGGCTGATTTAGCTGCTGAACTAGCTGTAGGCCCTCTCCGACCGTGAGGCCTCCTTTATGCACTATCTATTGTTTAGATCGTATGCGTTTTTAGCGTATTTTCTGATTCGCTGTATATAGATCGCTGTTTTCCTGCGCCAATAGCGCAGCCCCGTAAAGCGATATATAAGCGCCTTTGATAATCTGATCTAGTACGGTTTTTGATAGGCTCGGAGGGCTATTTGACCGATATCTTAATAGATCCTTCAATATCGAAGCTGATTTTTGTAATTATACGACCGTCCTGGGTATTTTTAGGCTAAATTGGCTGTAGCTAGTGTCTAAGCAAGCAGTAAGGCTGCGTAGGAAGTTATATTAGGATAGTTGATATAGGTAGGTGTGATATAATAAAGATACTCAGAAGGGGAAGAAAAGATGTGAAGGAAGCTTAGTTCAATTCTTATTTAGTTAGGAATTTTGTGGGTATTTATACCTGAGCTCGGCTGGCTGGCCTTAGGCTATAGTTTATATAATATTGGTTATAATTGCATCATCTCGGCTATAGTTGTATGTAATCGGCTAAGGTTGCCTATGGTTATATTATTATGATGTAGTTATGTTATAGTTATAGTATCATGATATTGGTCTAGATCATTTGTAATTGTATAGTGGTAGCTATAGTCTTGAAGTTGTATGATCTCGGCTATAGTTGCACATTATCGGCTAAAGTTGCCTAATAAGCTGTTATCTTTGATAAGATATCTAGCCGAGATATCTAACCGAAATGCCTCACCAGATTTTATATATCTTATAGGTAGGCCCTGGTGGTAGGTCTTTGTGAGCCCTATTATGAGCCCTATTAGTAGGCCCTGGTAGGCCCTATATCTTAGATAGTGGTTAGCCTGCTATTTAGTAGCGATGGCGTTCGGAGTAAGATATTGAGCTTCGAAAGCACTCGATCTGCGTCGACTAGAATAAGACCGGTAGCAGCGAAGCTATTTTAAATAATATGAGGTTGAAAGGCCTCCGTACGCGCCCGGGCGTACTCTGCGAGGAAATCGAACTTGTCGATATAGTTATACGACGCACGAGCAAGATCGCTTACGTAGCGACCGTATACGCGTTTTAATATAGCAAAACACCTAACATCAAGCGGTTGTAAAAGATGCGAAGAGTGTAGAGGTATATAAAGTGGTATAACATGATTTTCTGTGCAGATCTGGTCGAATTGAGGTGTAAGATGGCTACCGTGGCCGTCAAGAATCAAGAGTCGATATTTCCCCTTCGTACGTGTCGTCGTCGCTAGAATGAATAGCTTCTGTAGCCACCGAAGGCCAATTTCATCGGTAGTCTAGCCGTTTGGCGAGACCTCGATACGCCAATCTTTTAGAAGCTTCTCGTCGAACTACGACGCTATGAAGTTTTTACCTTTAAATATCACGCATAGCAGTAGCGAGTAGCCATCAGCGCTAACTGCTTCGACCGCTGTAACCTATTTACGATTACCCGGTTGTAAAATCGATCGCCGACTATAATATTCCGCCCTTGTAACGACCTTCTGTGTAGCTATAATCCCTATAGCGAAGCCGGTCTCGTTAAAGTTATAGATATCCTCCGGTTGGATACTATTCGCGTCGATAACATCTTATACGGTCGTAAACTAGGCTCGTAGTGAGGTAGGGTCTTCGTTTTAGGCTCTTTAGTAATCGTAGCGTCTAGAGAATACTGAACGAAGCTTAGGGCGTCGTTGTACGAAGCTTGATAGCTAATTTTTACCTATAGTAGTTGGAGGGTCTTTACTATGCGTAGCTAGTAGAATATTAGCCATTTCTCGCACTATAGAGGGCCTAGGCGCTACACTACGCGTATCTATAGAGATTATCTACTTAGTAAGCGAATCCTCTTTGTATTGGGTTAATTTATAACTAGATAGGCGTATATCGACGTATAGGAGGCGGCCGACAGCGCGGTGTTGTAGTGTAGTGCGAGGTATTACGTATAGCTTCGCTGCTACGTGTATAGACTCGATACGACTATTTTTGATATCGTCGAGGGCTAATAAGATCTTACCCTCTTGATTAGCTAATTTCTAAGCAGATCTAGAGCGAATTAGTGGTATAGTAGGTAGTTAAATTAGGTAGGTAGATTAGAAGACGCGTTTTTTGATAGAGTAGCTCGGTCGGCCGGGTAGCTCGGTCGGGCGGGAATTACGTTAACTAAGTTATATTTTAGTAGTAGGATAATTTATATAAGCATTTCAGTTAATTTAGATTTATTCAGACTTTTAAAGGGTAGTTTCTAAATCTCTAGATCTAAGGGAAATTATTTTAATAGGGTTATAACTAGGCCTTTTATAATACATCGTACGATAGCGTATTCCCTATAACTAAGTTAGGGCTATAATTGTAGGATAATTCAGAGAAGCATTTCAGTTAATTTAGATTTATTCTAAAGTTTATAAAATTACTAGCTAAGCTATAAAGTATATCCATCCCTCTTATAACTAGACTATTCTTACTCTATCCTATATCTAAGCAAGCAGTAAGGCTGCGTAGGAAGTTATATTAGGATAGTTGATATAGGTAGGTGTGATATAATAAAGATACTCAGAAGGGGAAGAAAAGATGTGAAGGAAGCTTAGTTCAATTCTTATTTAGTTAGGAATTTTGTGGGTATTTATACCTGAGCTCGGCTGGCTGGCCTTAGGCTATAGTTTATATAATATTGGTTATAATTGCATCATCTCGGCTATAGTTGTATGTAATCGGCTAAGGTTGCCTATGGTTATATCATTATGATATAGTTATGTTATAGTTATAGTATCATGATATTGGTCTAGATCATTTGTAATTGTATAGTGGTAGCTATAGTCTTGAAGTTGTATGATCTCGGCTATAGTTGCACATTATCGGCTAAAGTTACCTAATAAGCTGTTATCTTTGATAAGATATCTAGCCGAGATATCTAACCGAAATGCCTCACCAGATTTTATATATCTTATAGGTAGGCCCTGGTGGTAGGTCTTTGTGAGCCCTATTATGAGCCCTATTAGTAGGCCCTGGTAGGCCCTATATCTTAGATGCCCCCTTAATCTATATAATCTTTATAGATATATAGATATATAGATTAGTATATAAGATATAGATATATAGATATATAGATTAGTATATAAGATATAGATATATAGATAAATATTTTTATATATCTGTCAAGTTGGCCAGCCTTTTTAGTTCTTCAAATATAATTCGACTAAGATTTTTAGTCAATATATCAGCTAGCTGAGTCTTAGTAGGTATATAGGTTATTTTAGCTTTTTGATTTATTATAGCTTCTCTTATAAAATGGTATTGTATATCGATATGTTTTGATCTTTTGTGGAATTCAGGGTTATGCCCTAGCCTTATAGCACTATTGTTATCTACTAGAAGTAGTGGTATATTGGCTATGTAGCCAAGATGTAGTTTTGTATTTATATAGTTA